ACACACACACACACACACACACACACACACACACACACACACACACACACACAAAACTGGGTTCATCTAGGTACGCAGCCAATTCTCAGCCCATCTATGAGCGATGGAAGGCTTGCCAACAATGTGGCCTCCAGTGATTAGGACGGAAACCCTCCTGAATCCGGCGCTGGACAACCAGATCGTCACTTCAGCGTCTTCCGGCTTCCCGAAGCAGCAACTGAGCTGGCGACAGTGGCGGGTCCGCCGGGCTTGCAAATTCTGCACAATCATCGCGGAAGACCCAAGTTCGATTCCTGGGTGGAGCGCTTGAAGCACCGCTTCAGCAAAGTAGACTTTTCGTCGCAAGTAGTGCATCTGCATTCCGGAGTTGACTGATCCGCTCATACCAACTTTCAGTCGACGGTTCGCTCATTGCAGCGCGCGGTTCGCGATGCGGTTCGCGACTCAAATGCGGCCAGCCGCTAGCGCGCGCTTGCTGAGGGCTAATAGGCGCTTCACACAACAATGACTGTAGCTGGAGCCGGGCTACCCATCTCCGAACAATAATGTCGTCGGTCCATGTCCCATACAAAGCGGTTAGGACTGATGTGAAGTCCCTCCACGGCCAGCATACTCGCCCCTAAGATCATACCTATCGCTTGCTCGCCCTATCTTCGTTCTTGCAAAACAGCTGACGCCGAGTCGCCAACGCAGTGAAACACTACGTTGCAGTTGCTGAAGCGGGTCTTGAAAAGCTCGAAGAACTCCAAGCACTGGCCACACAGATCTTGCTTACTGACGGTAATGATGGGGTTTAGCGTATAATCGGGCTTTACACTTGCGAGCCCTTTGAGCTTTGAGTTCGCCCCGGTATCTTCGAGATATTGGATCGAATGGTGATGTACCAGGAACCCGAGCAGTTGAGGCTCGACATGGCATGCTGCACGTCTGTCGGGTGGGAGACGAAGCATTGCGCGCAATTTTTCCGCTACGTCAGTCCACACTGTGTTGTCGAGGACGTTTGGCCAGCCAGCATGAGTGTATCCACTCATCGCATTTATGTATGGGTACGATGGTCCGCGGTCAAGCGTGGCGAACGCTTTATACTGCCCGCCTTGTCCACCTGGCGGAGACAGTAGCACCTGAGGTCGATACAGCTCAAGTGTGCCGTCGAGGTTTCTACTGAAAAAGGCGCGTCGTTGCAATGCCGGACCGCTTGATACGACAGCAGGTCTGGTAAGGCGGTCTAGGACTGCTTTAATCTGCTCGCGCTGGCGGACAGCATCGGCGGGTTCTCGATATACCTTTCCAGCTCGATACAGCCTTTCGTTCCTATTCCGTGCTGTGTCGGTTGCGAGGTCTACTGCTCGCATGCTGCTGCCATCGCGAGCGACAAGGTTGGCGACTCGAGAAGTCAGGTATTGCACGGTCTCCAGTCGACCCCACAAGGCGGCCTCCATGAGCGGAGTGCGACCGTAGTGATTCGACTGGTCAATGTCCCCACCATGGTCCTGCAGCCAGCGTAGAGTACCCAGTCCGCCTTCTTCAACTGCGGCAAGTATCACTCCTGTATTGCCTTCTTCGTCGGTACAATCGATGAATCGGTCGTCCGGGTACTTCGAGAAAAGGATTCTGAGCTGGTCGATGTCTTTCCAAATGCAGTGGGAGAAGTATAAATCCAGGCGATAGTCTTTGCTTTCACACAGCTCGTCGAAAATGGCTTGGGAATCCTTGGTCGAAGGTGCCTCTGAAGCCTTTCCGGATTTATCAGATGTGATGTTCAGGGTGCCCGTGGCCGCAATCAGCTCGTCAGTCTCAGAAGTGGTGCTATCGGAGTCATCAGAGACAGAAGTCATCTGCTCACGCTGCTGGTGCTGAGGTAACAGAGTCCGGCCGTCCCGAAGCTCGTTGATCGGGATGGGCACGGGACCTTGCTGTGTCATTGCCACGAATTCGAAATTATCCCGGTCGAACATCCAGCCATAGTCGACATCATCCGAGCTGTAGGTAGGTGGAAAGGTGAATATATACTCGCCGCCAGACAGACAATCGCCATGCCTTCGCCTTGTGGTCCCGCGCAGTTTCCATCCTGGCTGGGTCTGATCTGTGCCTTCCTCGTCATCCACGTGTCCGTAACCATGGCTGTGTGACCGGAGACAGTAGGGGCATCTCACTCGAAGCGATGCGTGATTCCATCGCAACACGAGAGCCTCCGGGAGCAACACGGTGTTGGAAGAGTCTTCAACACCAGGGTTGGACGGTCCTGATAAAGTTGGGGCCAGGCGGTGCATGGGCAGTAGCGTACGCTAGGAGCCGATATTGACGAAGAATCAGCTCATTTGCACCCGCTCGTACCAGAAGGTTGTTGATGTATAGGTCGCTAAGATCGAAATAAATGAGCTGGCGGAGGTAGAACTTTCTAGAGCATGATGGATGTCTGAGTCGGCCCGTAAGGTGCAGCATATGCTGTGGAAGCCAGGGGGATTCCAGCACGACAGTGCTTCGCTGAGTAGTGATAGCACCAGAGTACGTAGATGAGAGACGAAACAGGCTACGAACAATGACATGCCGGAAAAAGATAGAGGGAGGTGGCTGTGAGGTACAGATATACTCCCACGCACCTAAAATCACGAGTGGACCGCCAACCAGCCGATTCACAGTACAGTAGCCATCTTTCCACGAATAGCGATGGAAACATGAGTCGTGATCACACATTCCTGGATCTCGTTCATAGTGGGAACAGACACATACAAGGTTACATAACGAGAGTTCTCAGTACCCCGAACTCCACAACTCCCCCTCATCAACGACAGCCTCCTCCTCCGTAATCGCGCCCCTTCCCCGCCGCTCCTCCCGCTCCCGCTGCCGCCTCTCCACCCGCGTGGTCAAGTGCGGCGTAATCGGCGTCACGGGCGTGTACGGCATATAGGGACTATACGGCGTCGCCATACCCGTTCTTATCCCTGGTGCGAAACGATCCCGACGGGGAGACACGAATTGTGTCTGACCTGGTCCGGCCGACATGGGGACCTGGAGTTGCCCGGGCGCGTGTTGATGTTGCCACGACATAGGTGAGAGTGGGTACGCCGCAGCGGCGGCGGCGCGTTGTTGTTCTTGGAGTAGGTTTAGGGCGCGGAAGGGGAGCGGGCGGGAAGGGTCGCTGGCGGATGCTGCACCGCGTTTATTCTGTGGTGTCGTGCCTGTGGGGTCTGGACGCATGGAGGCGGCGTCTGTGAGGGCTTGGGCTTGGTTGGAGTAGTTGTGCGTATTGAGGCGGTTGGGGTGTGGTTGGGGGAGGTCGCGCACTTGGTCTAACACCTCCTCTTCTTGTTGTTCCTCTTCTGCTGGCTCGGTGTCGTCTCCGCGGTCGTCTTCGTCCGGGTATCGCCAGCTGGCGTCTGTGCGTGCAGTGCCTGGTGTATTCGGTGGGTAGTAGTCCGACTGGCCCGTTCGCGTTGTGTCAATCGTCCGCGCAGTCGGCGGCTCGGGCGGAACGCCAGGGTCAGTGTAATAGCGCGGTGACAGCGGAGTGCGAGCGCCGTCGCTGTTATCGTCCGCGTGGAGCGGCGCGCTAATTTTGAGATTGCGCAGGCCTTTGCGGAGCTTCTTGCCGCCGGTAGCCTCCGGAGCTGGGTCCGCCGCTGATCTGCTGCCTAAAGACGAAGCGCGAGTGCTACGGTTGGCGCGCAGGTCGCCAGACTCCCTACCAGGGCGCGTGGGCGACAGCGGCCCACTTGACATGGGTAGATTCGGCGGATATATGGCGCGCACTGGTGATTTCATCGAGACTGGACTGCGCGGACTCATTTGTGACGTGTGCATATGACGCATATGCGGCGCATCGGTGATGATGCTTGGAAGCTTTCGCTGATACTCCGGCGGCGCCATAGCAAGTGTCGTCTGACTCTTCGTCTTGCGGTCATCCTCCGCCATGACTGCCGCATACAGCATCTCCATCTGTTCCTGCTGCTTCCGCTTGTCCGCTTCCACAACACTCGTGTCAAAGCTGACCACGCTATCCATACCAGGACTGTTCAGCTGGCTGGCGCCAGACCGGATGCTGCCGCTCCTCTTCCTGCGGAGACTGTACCAGCTCTTCATGCTGCGCGGGCTGATGGGAGACGGATCGAACTGCTTCCTCATTGGCTTGACCAGCTCCTGCGGCCTCTCCGCCATGGTTTGCGCGCGCTTTCGCAATCTTCGTCCTACCGTGAGCAGTAGCGTCCCGAGAATGAGAACAGTGAGAACGTAACTGCAGACAATCGCGATGACCTCATACGGTAGGATTGCCTTATTCCTGATAGCGTTCGCAGACAGCGGCGGTCCGTTCTCCGGTGAAGGAGGGGGCCCGTTGTCGATCCAGATAGGCCAGAGGTTGCAGAAGGGACAGGTAGCGGTTGCGCCACCAAAGCCGACACCGCTGTTGACGCCGTCTCTCGCGAGAGTACCAGAAGCGGTAGATAGCAGGACCAGTGCTGAGTAGCTGAGGTAGATCGCTCCGCCTCTGCCCATTGTATCTAAGGTTTGCAGACAAGACCCTCCGTCCCGTCTCTTGATATGCGAAAGGCGATATAACAAGGGAAGCTGCAAACTTACGCTGATCGTGCCGATGGGCCACAAAGGATGGGGACAGTCTACACATACATACTCACTGCCTCTACCCGACATACTGCGAGGACGAGGCCCAATGCGGCGGCACACTCGAGCCTGGAGCGGTGGGAAACAGCTTGTCACCGTCCAGTGATGGTGGAGGAACGCTGTGAAAAGCGAAGAGGAGACGCTGATTGGAGACGGAAGCGCTGTCCAGAATCTCGGCTTCCCGTTTGAGTTGCGGGAGGGGCCGGCTGCAGGTGCAAACGCACGCTGGTCCATGCTCTGGGCGCTTGCGGAGAGGGAAGCTGCACGGACGATGAGAAGAAATGCATGTGGCACAAGGTGATGAAGTCGTGCTGGCACAGAGCAGGAGCCTCAGAGGGGTACCATCACTCATGACACGCCCACATGCCTTGTGCGAGGGCTGGTGCAGCTTGAGTGTGCTCGGCAAAGCCTCGGTAGTGCTTGCATTAGCGTCTTTGCATTCTTACTGATCACGGGAACAGGCGCCGACCTCGGGGCGACGGCTTGTTTACTGCATTAGCGAACCATGCCCTCTTGCGTGAACGATACAGAGAAGGCCGTATGGTGGACCATTACGAAGCTACGATGTTGAGATGAGTGACGAGGTCGCAACATGTACAAGTTATCCGAAGCGCTATTTCAACGCTTCACAAACATGGGACCACTGGAACCCACTCACAGCCACCGACATCCACGCGTTACGGACTGAGTCAGGCTTCGAAGGACAGAAGATCTACTTCTTTGGTTACCATCCCATCCGATACACGCGCGTCGTGGGTATTCTTGTCGACATCGAGTTACGCGGTAGATATACGATTTTGACCATCGATGACAGCAGCGGGGCATGCATCGATGTCAAGATCGAAGCGCGCAGGGTTACGCGAGGCGATAATGCGGAGTGTCCTTCCAATACTACAGTGGATAATGTAGACATCCATGTAATCATTGGCAGTGGGCCGACAATTCACCTGCACCGCAAGCCGCTGGAGATTGGCTCTGTGCTGAAAGTCAAGGGCACCATCTCCGCCTTCCGAGGCGTGCGGCAGATCGAGCTGAAACGCCTCTTCACCGTGGACGACACGAACGCGGAAGCTCGCGCATGGGCGGAGACGGCGAAGTGGAAGCGAGATGTGCTGGCTGAGGACTGGATCCTGACGAGGCAGCAACAACACGAGATCGATGAGAGGTGCCGGCAGGAGGAGCGCAAAGCGTTTGAGTTGTCGAAGAAAAGGCGAGAGTGGCACAATAAGTACGGTGCTGCGAAGCGGACGTACGATGAGAAGCGCGAGGCTCGTCGAAGGGAGAAGGAGATGAGGTATAATGCGGGTGCGCTGAAGGGCAGTCATCTAATCCCAGCGCCTTGGGACTGAGCTTAACAGCATGCGCGAACTGTACGTCAAGGTGCGTATCGGCTTCGGACTACCCAAATCGCCGGCTTGAGGCTCTGCTCGACTTACCACTTGGGTCACTGGAGCGTAGCTGACTGTACCACTTTGCGGGCTCGCCATGCTCAATATCAGTTGGGTCAACAGCACGACAGTTTGGCGGTCGCATGGATTGTCCACTGCTGCAGCAAAAAGCTTGGTCGCATTAGCATTCGTCAAGCGTACCTACACGTCTAAACAAGCTTGACGAGCGCCGCTGTCGAGCGCGGCCCGTGGTTTATAACAAGCAATGAAAGGCTTTTAAGGCGAACGCAGAAGACTCACTTGCGTCGAAGAAGGCCATGGTTTCGTTCCGATGCGGACAGCATGCAATACGAACTGGTCAGGTATTTCGCAATGGTACCTGGTCTGCCGCTTTTCTGCAGCGTACGGTCGGCATGACCTCGTGACATTCATGGACCAATACTGGAAGAAAGACTATGGCGAACAATAAGAATTCTGTGAGTATGATCGAGGCACCCACGGCATTTGCTACAGCTTCCTTTGACCCCTCACGCTGCATTGGATTATACCAGCTCGAATTTAGCCGGGAACCAACCTCTCTGCATATGCTTTGAGCCGACTTTGACGTCTGTTGTTCTAAGCGTGCAATGCATCTCGAACGAAGCTAGTGTTGCTACCATCTTCACGACCATACCGAGGTAGCATCATCGTTATCGGGCGCAGTCCTTGGCTTGCAGAAGAGGCGTACGACTGCGCCCCTCCACCCCGCGTAATGGTGCATGTTCGCAACCATGTCAGCAGCTTACATCAGCAAGTTCAGCAACAGGGTGTCGGTCGATCTTAAGTAGGCAGACAAGCGGGAGTCAAAAGAGTCCAAGGGGCTTATGAGTTGTCTGAAATCATTCCAGCAAACTACACCGCCACTGTAGCTCACGCTTTCCACTTAATTATGATCGGAACACGATATGCGTACAGGCCACCCGTCGCAAAGACAGCTCAGACAGGAGACACCGCTACTGCCAGTACAAGGGCCATAGTCGCGGGTGAGGGAGAGGAGCAGCAGCCCGGCGATGACTGGGACAGCGAAGACTACCCTCCAGCACCGGAAGAACTCCTCCGCTCGATCGTGCGGCCTAGCACGCCGGAGAAAGGTATTCGTGGTGGCTCCGAACATCAGCCGCTTGCGACGAGATACTGACAGCATGCAGGCGACCGATACTATGCCTGGCAATCTTACCACGACCTGCCCCGGAATCATCCCGTGTTCTACTACACCCGCGAGATGCGGGAGAAGCTGTATGAGAAGGGCGTCGGTTCGTTGGTCCTTCTCGTCCAAGCATTCAAACTGCGGACACGTGCGTGAGTGGGCTTACTGACTTCACTGGACAGATCCTGTAGAGAAGGCCGATGTGGATTTCCGGCTTCGTGGAACTCTGCACGGCACAATTGGGAAGCCAATCACAAAAGGTCTCGTGAACCGTGCCAAAGGCACGCTTAGCGGGTTTGGGACGATGGCGATGTGGACCCATTAGGTATACATGAACAAGCCGTGCTTCTGCAGTTGTGGTGCGTCATATGTCATGGACACGACTGCCGTTGGAGGTGGAGGCGACGATTTACCTCGCGATCGCATTTCTGTCATGATCCGATATCGACCGTGTCAGCACCTCCTATGCTTCATTCAGTACTCGTCCGACATGATGTGGCGAAGAACGTTGAGATGTACCTGGACGCGACATCGGTACGATTCAGGTTCTGAGTAATGGGACGCTTCTTGGACGAACTTGCATCATACAATCATGCCAAGACCGCGAGCGCAGTAAGGCGACGTCTTGTTCTATCCGACTGCCACAAGCGATGAATGTGTAACTGAACCGATACCGAATGTTGTTCCGCGGTGTCTTCGGGACACTCGTATCGTAGGCTACATTGCTCCCAGCCTGACTCCCACTTCAGGCAACCCCAACTTCCGCATCTACAGCGCGGACCCTGTTAGGCTTGGAGTCCTGAACTATACGGTCTATTTTGCCAACCTCTCTACACCGGGTTATCACTCACGCGGCCCGGTCTGGCAGAGATACTATTCGTTCAAGTCCGCCTATGGCTCACTTCTCAGCCCGCCATACACAGACCCAAGGGTTTAGTGGACGCTGGCGTTCATGCACAACATTACCAATCTCCTACAGAATAGTGACACGGTGTTCCAGCAGTACTATAACCGTAAGCAGCGTGGTTGGACGCCGCCGGGGTATGGTCCATGTCCCGGAAGCTGCAAGACGAACGAACTCTGTCGGCTCAGAAGTGCGCAGAGCCAGTACGCATGTCTTTCACCCAATGCGGCGATGAAACGACGAGATGTTGCCCCAGTGGGACAAGCTACTGTCGCACGTTCGGATGATGAGTGCTCTCCTAGCAGTACGGCGGGCGTGCTTCGTACCATGATGGCGAACCCGGACAACGTACGAAAGACCGCGAGGAGGATGATAGAAGAGTCCTGATGAATCAGTGCGGCCGTAATAGGCGCTCGGGGAATAGGTAAGCGAACAATTATTGTCAAAGGTCGGAGGTCCTTCGATCCACACCTGGCTTTGGCAGAGCCACGCTACGCTAATGCTAACAACAAGACTAGATATTACAATGATGTATGTCCACACTTCACTCTCCAGACACCTCGATCAGTACCTTCCCTCTCGCATGGCCGGTCTTCAAATGTGCGAACGCCTCTCCAGCTTGCTCTAGGTTGTACTCCTTATCGATCACAGCCTTGACCTTGCCTTCCTGCATCCACTTTGCTATCTTCTCATACTCAACCGCGTTCGTCGTGCAGAAGGTGAACACCAACTTCCTCTGGCCACCACCTAGCCAGCTCGGCCAGAGGAAGACGGAAAGAATGTCGCGCAGCCACGCGAGGCTTGGTGTTCCGACAACAGTGACGTATTTCCCGGAAGGCTTGAGGAAGTTGTGGCATGCCCAATAGAGAGAAGCGTCGGAGAAGACGTTGTCGACGACTAGGTCGTACTGCGTTCCGCTGCGCTGCAAGTGCGACACCACGTTTGTGGAGCGATAATCGATCACTTCGTCCGCTCCCAGAGACTTGCAAAGATCCACATTTGGCCCGGAGCAGGTGGCGGTTACGTGACAGCCCATCGCTTTGGCGATCTGGATCCCGAAAGTTCCCGTGCCGCCACTACCGCCGTTGATGAACACCTTGTCCCCCGCCTTGACGTAGGGCGCAAGGCATTGGTAGGAAGTGAGACCCGTGACACCCACGCATGCGGCGTCTTTGAGACGGACAGAATCAGGTACAGGAACACAGCCGGCTTTGCCTACGACGACGTACTCGCCTAGACAGCCGAAGACGGGCGGTTCGGTCTTGCCGAAGACGAGTTCGCCGGGCTTGAGGTGAGGAAGGGTGGTGGTAACGACGGTGCCGGAGTAGTCCATGCATGGTGTTGCTGGCTTTGAGAAGAGAAAGGGAAGAGTCTCAACGGCTTTGTAGTCGGCTGGGTTGCTGTTGATGTCAAGTGTCAATTGCGTTGAGACGGAGTGGATGATGGGTAATGCGAGGCTAACACTGTGGTATATGCTACTTTGACGCACGTCTCGCCGGGCTTGAGAGATTTGGCATTTGTGGGTAACGGTGCAGATGTGTTTACCCTGAGGTTCTTATCAAGGCCGCCGGATGTCGTGGTCCATTGGCTTGCTCGCATAGTTTGCGGAAGGGTAGAAGCCATTGTGTAGGTTCTGACTGTCGGTGGTGTCAGTCTCGTTGGAACTGTCCGGAAGAGTGCCCGTGTTGGGGTTGTCAGTCGGGTGAAAGGCATTGGAGATGTACTTACTGCCTCAGCGGTTTTCAGTCTCGTCTATGAAGCGCTCTTATACTGGAACCTCAAATATCGAGCATTATCCGAAAGTGTAGGTCCGTCTGCAGGTTACGCCATTGGAACACCAGGACCGAACTCTAACCGCTATGCGACGCTGCTCGGATGCAGGGATGGAGACGGGAAGCACATCGACCGTCCCTAGCGCGTTCGGCTTACATGTCGTCTCCATCCGACTGCGCACCGAGAATCACAAACGCCTTTCTCGACTTCCCGAATATTATAGCATGATAATTCTCGGATGGGTGTCACAGGGATGCCATAGGCTTGTCGTTGAGTACCAGTGGACTTGAATCTTTTACCGACGCTCCCAACCTCACCGAGCCATCATCCGATAAGACACTCATGGGAGTATTAGTGCCGCTGACTGCTAGCTCGGGCAATACCTAATTGTGAAACAACGCGGTGGATCGAGCTTGCCATGGTCCTTCCCAATACTTCCCACTAGAAACGAACTCGGCGGAGGTTTCGATAGGTATTCGCGAAGACGCTGGCCTACTACGACAGTCAATGCGTAATGCTTCGGTCCCAATTTGATCTTTCGTGCCCTAGAGCGAAACGCCAGATGACCGTTGTCGCTTTTCTCGAATATCGCAGCCTCATCTATCGAGTGGTCTACGTCTCAATGTTTACGTTTGTAGAGACAGGGATCGACCGACCCGCTTGTCAGAGGGAACACAGTACTTAAGCAGAGTTCGAAATGCCAGCCCCTTGCCACGCTGTGGCCTTAGGCTCATAACCTCCCCACCTCCCCACCTCGCCTGCACTGGAAAGACTGCCACTGTGCTTGACACTGGTTGCTTCTTACAGCACATATGTGTCGCGGGATATCACTGCGTCCGCTCTTTCTGAACGTGGGTATAAGCTCGATGGTGAGCGTGCGGTAGTACTATTGCTCGTCCCCGAAGCTGCTCAGCCCCAAACTGATCGGCATATGATCTACAATCCTCAATGCGTGACTCGATATATGTATCTATTGTGCCGGAAGACGTAAGAACGAGAATGTTTAATTTCTCAACTCCACAATGCCTTTCATTTCATGCACACTTAGTCTCTTGTGCGGCGCCCTGCTGACGAGAGCCTCCGCCCCAAATTTCAAACCCAACATCTTCCATCTCAATCCCACCCGTCACTGAAGCTGTAGTCACGCTCGGCGGCCTCGTCCAAACAGCCACTAAGCTCCCCGGTCCATCTGGAGCCGTCGCCGTTTATGGAGCAACCCTGTCCCCTGGCGGACCTGGCACCGTCATCGGCGGCAACAGCATCAGCGTGGCATCAAACGAGATCGTTGTCAATGGCCAGACCGTTCCCTTCTCCACCATGCCCGCACAATTCGGCGTCACGCAAGCCGTTGTCATCCTAGGCCAGCAGACTTACACCGCTCACCCGGCACCCGGTAGCGGCGGCGAGATCGTCGTAGGCAATGCAACCTTGACCCCTGGTGCACCAGCAACGACGATCAACGGCAACGCCATCAGCGCCGCAACCGCAGCCTTGGTACTGGATAGCATGTACACCGTGCCCTTATCCGTCTCCGAGACAACTGCGCCGCGAGCCGTCGTCACCCTGAACGGCCAAGTGCTCACCGCCGTCCAGACAGCCAGCACCGACATCTTGATCAACGGAGCTGTACTTACGCCAGGCGGTGCAGGGGCTTCACTGTACGGAGTGGCAGTCAGCGCATTATTTCGTGGGTCTAGTGGTGATGGATTGGTTGTGGGGAGAAACACGACTGTGCCTTTGAGCAGCGCTTCAAGCGCAGCGAACAGCTCTGCATCGGCCACGACCGGTTCTACTAGTGCTTCCAGCACGCAAGCATCGACAGCTATGACGAGCCACGCAAGCCTGACTGCCATCACTGCCACTACGTCTGGACTTACTGCGACAAGCGCCGCAGCGACTAGTGGCGCTGACACGCTCAGCAAGCAGATGTTACTCGGATGGACAGCGGCATTATCACTAGCATTGGCAGCAGGATGCTCGGTCGGCAGCTGATGGGTCTGTGAACGGCCCCAAACTGGAACTACTTGTCTTTCCGAGCTAGGTGCACCGTGGTTGCTGCCAAATATGGCTATTACGGACGTCTTGGCCGCAACAGATGTGCCCGTCCCTTAGCTCCAGCGTCAACTCCTCGCAAGGTCTTAAGAGGCTTGTCGAGGTCGTCGTGAGCGGTGTTCGGTTGATGGGCAGGCACATCGCTTGAAGTCGGCCTACATTATCTTGCAATAGATGGAATCCCTGCACGAAAAGGCACTGAGATTGGCTACGGTTCCCGCCGCTGCAATCACCATTAACCTACCCATCACCATAGATGCAACCGCAGTCGAGCAGGCAGGATTGAGATCGATGTTGCTGTTGAAACGGTATATTAGGTATGCGTGCCCGTAGCCACTTGACGTCAATGCTTGCCATTCAGTGAGTTCCAATTCAACCAGTTCAGCCTCGTTCGTGTAGCATGAACAAGTATCGTAATCAGCGTCGCACTCTCCGACACAATTCAGGGCATTTTGACGAGCTTGGAGCAAGGTTCCGGCGGCTGGAGAGCCCTCGGTTATGGCAAGCAGCGAAGCGAGTAGCATCAACGCGGTTGCGGTGCAATGCATTCTGGCGGGCGATAGCTGGATTCAGAGTCGGACAAGATCAGATGACAACCGTTCTTTGGTCGATCACAGAAATTGAGAAAATCGGGAGACCGCATGGTCGGCGATGTGGACGATATATGCATGTTGAAGGCTCGCTCATCGCAACTCTCCCACCTTCAGGCAGCAGGTTGTTCAAAGGCCTTTGCGTCACTGCGGCGGTTTCGATGTGTTCTTTGTCGGTGCATTTGCCCCTGTGGAACAGCGGCGCGTGCGCCACGGGAGGTCCGGTTTTCGCTGGGTAACACAAGATGCGATTTCGGATGAGTGAAGGGGACTAGTTGCTTCGTTTGCCATTACTTGTGCTTGCTTGTTCGGCACAGTCCTTCATAAGTCTGTGTTGTGAGCCGGTGACTGTTGGACGCCGGCTCAGAAGATGCAGGACGATGGACGCATGATGCAGGACGTAGACTTCAAGAGTAAGCTATTATTAAACGTGTACGGTAGCGGCTATCTGTTGCCTGAAGCCGGAGGCTACATCCTACCAACCTACCGAGCTTGACGGAAGATGATTCGGTTCTTCTTGCGCGAATGCCCAGAGCGAGGTACGCATATTCAGACATGCAGCATGTGACGGCAGCTATACTCATTCCCCTAGACCGATCAAGTGGCTCGCAGAATTGTGACTGATCTGAGCAAGATACTCACTGTTGGCCGACTCGTTTACTTGAAACCTTGCCATCTCACCTCGGATCCCACTCTTGTATCACTCCGTCACGTTCGCCGATCATCCAGTTTCCAAGCTCAGGGTGATGTATAGCCTCCTCCACTAACTCATACCGCTCAAGCTCCGGCGGCTCTCCTTCCCTCTGGTACGAACACTCGTGACTGCTGAGGCGATACTTGATTGGAAGCCTGCTCTGATCATGATGTTCAACCACAAACCCCTCGCTCTGATCGTCGTGCCGCGTCTCCGGCGGGGGACCCAGGAACTGTTTGATCCCTTCGATCAGCCACCAGCCACTCTGTAGTCTGAGCCTGTCCCGTGTGGGATTAGGCTGCATGCTCCTATCGGCCTGGCGTCGTGCGGCATCCAACACACGTAGGGGATCGTAGGCTTCTGGACACACTATCAGCAGACTTTGCAGAATTCTTGGCTCCCTAGGATCCCAGTCATGCTTCTCCGAGTGCTTGCGTAGCATCTCTATCGTGACACTCTTGAATCGCGATCCTTCTTCGAGATGCTGTTGTTCGTCAAGACTCAGCCTTCGCGTTCCGCCATAGCGCCAGGCGTTGATATGGGCAAGGAAGCAGCGATTGTCATCGAGGGCGAAGTACACACCTACGCAGGTCTTGACGCCTGTCACCCCCAAATAATGGATACGATCGTGGTCCTGGTCTGTCAAGCTCTTTCCTGCATCTTCGGTTCCAAAGATGGGCTTGCGGAAGTTCAGTATGCCACCGCGGCCCTCGGGAACGTGACGAAAGGCCGTCTTTCCTCCAGGTATGAGCTTGGGATTTGTCGTCTTGGCTTTGCCACCAGCGGAGAGCGCATCTGACAAAGTCTGACGAAAGATTTCCTGGATTCTTGAACCTGGTTGGCACGAATGTAACTTTCTGAGAGGCGGCATTGGTGTCGCTGATACTAAGCCAGTCTAGGCCTCTTGCTCTACTCTTATGTCGACCCATACTACCTCGGCAACAAAGGCAACACGCATAGACGTTTGCCTAGCTGCCACAGCGAGCAAGCAGAGAAGCAGCGGAACAGAAACGCTACGCCTTTGTCTTGGGGCCCTGTAGGTGTCAAGCATGCTGAGCGGTCCGTAGGTGCCCGCACTAAGGGTTCAAAGCACAGCCTTCTCCACAATGAAAGCAACTGGAGCTTCTAAGTAGGAGAGCAAGCGAGGGCAGAGCCTGCGCCGCTGCGAGGCTCTGTCGCAGATCTGTCGCTAAGCTGCTTCTTGGCGGCCGAACCGCTTGCGCTCCTACTTCGAGCGAATGACCTCCCCGCAGTCATCTCCTGACGCAAGAGGCAAGCAAAAGGTCTTTGCGGCGTGAGATGTATGATGACATCGCCGGTGTATGTTGGTGCCTGACTCCTCACACTATGGTGGAGGAGAAACACTCAGCGCTACCACACGGGCCGCTTGTTGCTCCGCTCGGACCTTGACACTAGCAGCTGGGTCTTCACACACAGCGGCAGCCGGTCGCGGTCTACAGAAGCTGCCTTCTTCCGCAGGGTTGGCACATCGCTTGTCATGGGTGATGTCTCCCTCAGGTCCGGCCGGCAGCGATTTCTTGGTGCCACAATTGGAAGCCCGTCGATGAATAAGGCGAGTAAAAAGATCTCCGAATTGCTTGGTTATAGTGCTTGCACGATCGTAGTCTTGCTAAGCTTAGCTCGTAAGCAGAAGTGGATGTCGAGTTGAAGGTACATAGCCTGTTGCTGTATATGGCCTGTTGCGAAGGTCAAAGGTCGAATTGAGCATGCTGCCTGTCAAAGATGCTAAGCTCGTGTAGTCGAGCCGTGGTTTGGTCATCAGGCGCATGGTCATCGTCAACCGCCTGAAGAAACTGGTAGCTGATGCTGCTCGGAAGCTCCTTCCTTCGGATGCCCAGATCTAGCAACGGCCAAGATCTCCTCCTCAAGTCCGGGCACATGCACCACCTCAATGCCAGCCTGCACAAGTTTCTTCTTGCCCTCATTAACACCCACAAACGTATCCGGCTCGCTGACGCCCACGTACACCTTACCGATCGCTTGCATACCATCACTAGTCTTCAGCATCAAGATACGGTCGACACAAGGTAAGTTCCCTACACTGCGTTTGTTGCAGGGTTCCATAGTTGTATACAGCACAGTATGAGACGGCAAATGTTGGCCCACGTGTTGCTCATCACAACTGTACCGCTGAGCGAGCTTGATGAAGCAGCATTGCTCGGCATGCGTGTTGCCCGAACATTCGAGTGTGTATCCCGTTGCTAGTAGTTGTTCATCCCGACCGTCTGGGGTATGTGGCGCCACGAGACAAGCACCCACGCAGAAGTTGGTTGGTTTGGGAGGAGACTTGCGAGCTTCGTCGAGGGCTAGCTGCATGTACTTCTTGTGGAGCGTATATTCAGCTTCACTGCCATCGCTCACTGCCGTGGTCATCTTTCCATTTCACTTAAATCATCGTTGATCGGAAGAGACCAAAGTGAAGTGAAGTTCCGATGAACCTCGGCACGGAGAGTTGCCAAGACCGCGTCGCGTCCTTCCGGCGCGTCTACCACTGTCATCGATTCTTGCAATTGTCAATCAATCAGAAACAGCTTCGAGAACGACACAATCAACCCATTGATATACCTGTCATCAAAATGCCATCTCGAACGACGCGCGACGAGCAGGACCTCGATGACCCTAACGAGTCACCTCCAGAAATAAATCCTTACACTGTCCTCTCAATCCCCCAGAATGCAGATGCAGATCAGATCAAATCCGCCTACCGCAGAGCAGCCCTCAGATACCACCCTGACAAGGCTCCACCCGCAGACAAGGAGGAAGCTCATACCAAGTTCCAAGAAATCGCGTTCGCCTATGCCATTCTCTCGGATGAGCGGCGGCGCAAACGCTACGATACCACTGGCAATACCTCCGAGACACTAGACCTCGAAGACGATGACTTCAACTGGACCGACTTCTACCGTGAACAATTTGCGAATGTTGTCACTGAGGACTCGATCAACAAGTTCGCGAATGAGTATAAGGGGAGTGAGGAGGAGAGACAGCATGTGCTGAAAGCGTATGGGAATCGCAAAGGTGCTATGGCGAGTATCTACCAGGAGATCATGCTAAGTGACATGTTGGACGACGAGGAACGGTTTCGGGCGATCATCGACAGGGCGATTGAGGACGGGGAGGTGGAGGCGTACAAGAAGTATACTGACGAGACGGAGAAGGCCAGGGCAAAGCGGATGGAGCAGGCGAGGAAGAAGAAGGAGCGTGACGCGAAGGAAGCCCAAAAAGCTATTGAGGAGTCGACAGATCCCAAGAAGAAGGGTAGGAAGGGAGACGGTGGGATGGGAGATCTGGCGGCGTTGATTCAGCAGAGGCAGAAGGGTCGGGCTGCGAATTTCCTTGATGGATTGGAGGCGAAGTATGCTGGTGATGCGGGTGGCAAAGGCAAGAAGAGTGCTAAGCGTGCTGCTGCGATGGATGAGCCGCCCGAGGAGGCTTTTGCAAGGAACCGGAAGGCTGGGAAGGGTGAGGAGGCTGTTACTACTGCTGATTCGAGGCAGAGCAAGCGGTCGAAAAAGGTTTGATATTAATGTGATCGTTAAGCGTGGCGTTTGGGTCTTCACTAGCGGCATGGGAAAGATGTTCAACAATACAACATCGTCACGGACTATGCGGATGGTGTATTTCATCCTGTTGAATACTGTAGGTTAACCAAGTAAGATTAGGATTGCCTTGAACGAAATTGATTGTAAAGGGTTCGAATCAAACCGACGTCGTTGTCTTCGCCAGAAACAATAGGTCGGGGTCGGTGCAGTCTCCGCTTCCGATGAAACTGTAACCCGATTTCATCTGACAACCGTCGCTCTTCCCCAGATCTGGCTTCAGTGACGACGGCTTGACGCGTGCATTCCGCGAAACGTGGCTCTCGACCGACGTCATGACATTCGTCCTCGCGTCCTCCGTGCCTGCCCTAAGGAGTATACTAGTAGAGCTACAGTCAGTATGGAACAACTTTCCATTCCTTCCCTTCATCAATCCAATGCAATCCCTCCGTAGCACCTTCACCCGCACCATCACCAAGCCACGCTTCACCCCTGCATTCTCCTGTTCCCAAGTCCGCACCATGGCCTCCAACGACGTCGGTGAGCTCAAGATTGAGTCAACCAACATCAAGACCGCCCCTGGCGTCTCCCTCGACTCCCACCAACAGACCCTCGTTGGCTCCGTCCTCGACCTCTTCGCTGGCCGCCCATCCCTCGCCAAGCTGGCGCTATGGAAGGATGATGCCGTCTTCACCGACCCGCTAACCATCGCCGAGGGCCGTAAGCAGTACTCGGCGCAGTGGTACGGTCTACAGACTGCGTTCAGCGAGATCGAGCGACTAGGCCATGAGGTGAAGAGCAACGGTAACCCGATCACGATGGATTTGGATACGCGGTATGTTATCAAGGGAATTGGAAAGGAGCAGAAGATCCACAGCTTGGTGGAGATCTACCACGAGGGTGGGAAGATTACGAAGGTGGCTGATAAGTGTATGTCTTGGTCGTCCCGCCACATTGGGCCGGAGAGTGTGAAGGCTAATGTCATGTTATAGGGGACGGCAAGCTGCCCGACAGCACCATCAGCAATGTGAGTTCTTTCTGGATGTTAATAAACCCTTTTTGGTGGCTTCACTACGGCGAGAGCTGGGTTTTCTACGCCTGGAGCTTCACATGGGAGACGCCGGTCTGAAGGGTGAGCTGGACCGCTCCGATACCAGCTCTTGGCCAATATACTATCCTTTCAACCTCAAATCGCTTTACTAACGAATGCGATGCAGGCTTTCCGTCACCTCAACTCCGTCACTGTGCCCCAGATGGTCAGCGTGCCAAAGAACGCCGAGGAGGATGCCAAGAAGGGCAACCAATAGAAAGTTCATGCCATAGACCCATCATGTCCAATGGGGGGCATTTGCCTGAGCCACCAAAAATGTAGCAATTGGAGAATGAACGTGTATCAATAGCATTGTACCATGGGGCACAAAAGTGTTACAACACCCGACTGTGTCGTTCTCAACAATATACCACAAACGGGCTATCACCTGCCTAATTTGTTCCCAAAACATGTCACCCATTTCGTTGGTAAAGCAGTGAGAACATCAACGTGCAGCACATCGACTCGCTTTCGCATTCGCGTTCTGTCATTCAGCCCCTAGTGGAAGAAGCCAAGAATCTCAGCCTGACTGTGAGAACGCGTCGGCAGAACTCGAGTTGCACTACGACCTGTCTATGGCGAAGGATTTGAGGCCCGCAATACAAAGGCGTTAAGCCGAGCGAAACTACGTCGCAGCTAACGGCGTTCTTGCTGACGGCATTGGGTACATGTCTGCACAGCCCACTCGCAGGTGGTGATATCGGGATGAAGTCCGCTTGTAGGAATCGGAGACGGCATATATTCACGTTGCGATTCCACTGCAGCGAAGGCAGCAGCATTATTGCGGAGACAAGTGGGTACGTTTTGTGAGGAGCGGGACAACGGTGTCCGCTTTGCTTCCTTCCTGCCGTTCAGTCCCCATTCACCTCCTGGTTGATGCATAACCATGATGCGCTGCGAGATGTAGGAGCCACGAGTGACATGTATTTCAGGCTCAGCGCATCGGTTGAGCAGGCAGTCGCTGGCCGTACGACAGAACAACCAGACGAATGTTCGAATGAATCTACTGCTAACCTCACGGCGTCGGACAAGATGATGTGAGACCGTGGTGGCTGAGGCACAAGCCGCGTAGCGTGTCCACGACTCGTGCCGTACGGCCACTCCCGTGCATACGAGCGAGCCAATAAGATGGAACATACAGCCTCCACTCTCCTAGAATACCTTGAAAGCCCAAGCCGCCTTGCGGTGTTGCTGCAGTTGACCATAAACGACGCCATTACAGATGCAAAGAATCTGGGTGCCTGGGGAATTCGACTCCGTAGCTGTGATGCTGGACCGAGCGAGCCAATGGCATGTACGTGCGAAATCGTCGCAGCATTGTATGTGGGTTGACAATGCCGCCCTTGTGAAACGGCCGTACAAAGGCAGAGGTAGGTATATATCACTGCTTCGTGCGCTGTTGTTGTTGTGCTGCACATCCGCATCGCGCTCTTCCTCAAGCTCACCACAGGTGACTGCGAATCTCTGCACTCCAGCCTCACCTTGACCTCACCGAAACAGTCTCGCACAAGGTCCGTAGAGCAAGACATCAGCATGGCAATCGATCCTTACGCCGGTTGTAACCTCGACATCCCTTCTGACCTCTGCACACTGGAGACCTGCTGTCTTGCACAAAGCAACTTCCTCTATCTGCCCAACTATGGTGCCAATCTATTCTTCACGATCTTCTTCGCGGTGTTCATCGTCCCACAGCTCGGACTCGGCATCTTCTACAAGACATGGGGCTTCATGGCGGGCATGGGCATCGGTCTGGTTCTGGAGGTGGTAGGCTACGGCGCTCGAATCATGATCCATAACAACCCTTTCAACGGCGATGGGTTTTTGATGTGAGCATCACTTTACTTTGTACCATGGCTGAATGCTAACGAGAGGTAGATACCTGATCACACTCACCATTGCACCCGTCTTCATCTCCGCCGCCATCTATCTCTGCCTGACACGAACAGTCGTGTTGTATGGACAGTCCAACTCCAGGCTATCACCACGAACAATTGCCATCGGCTTCATGACGTCCGACTTCCTCTCCCTCCTTCTCCAGGCTATCGGCGGTGCGATCGCAGACACAGCAGACAACCACCAAGACTCCAAGAAAGGTATCGATATCATGATTGCCGGTCTCTTCCTTCAAGCTCTAAGCCTGGCAGCCTTCCTCGTCGTGGTAGCGGACTTTGCCCTCTGCTGCCGACGAGGCACACTGGATGAGAATCCGGCGAAGAAGCAAGCTCGTGGCCGCATGCTGTTCAAAGTTTTCCTGGCAAGCCTAATGCTTGCAACTGTTGTGGTTCTCATTCGATCGATTTTCCGCGTTGCTGAGCTTTGGGGGGGCTTTAACGGCAGCCTCTGGAACGACGAAACCGATTTCTTGGTGTTGGATGGCGCTATGCTTGCGATTGCTACGATTTGTTTGACTGCATTTCATCCTGGCCTGGCCTTTGGTGATCAGTGGCACGCTGCGAACTGGTCCTTCAAGTCCAAGAAGACTGTCTCTGAAGTGGCATACAAGGAGGACCGCGAATTATCTTCGTTGTGATGTACCTTGACACGCGAGTCTTTACAGTCGGGACCAGACATTGAGAGGGCACGGATCATCGGACTTAGCGAGGCGTTATGGGGTTGTTGATAGAGGTCTTACAGATTTAGTGTACGGGGATAACCATGGGAAGCACAGCATACACGATTTCAGTGCCTCTTTTATTTCACCGGCGTGAATACCGAAGCATGTTTGATAAATCTGTACCGCGAACCTGGGATGCGCGTGTTCGACTGAGGGCTCTCCGTTACCAGTTTAATGCGGAGATCTGGTTTCTCTCTGGAGCTGGTGCATCGTATGTTCTCCCTAGACATTATTGGCGGTACGTTTACCATTCGAGGGCGAGGTGCGGCGTTTCGGGTTGAGTAAACCGTATATGATAATCAAGAAACACCTTCACGATTACATACGGCCATAGGTCGCAGAGAACAGAGGATCCCGTCCGCTCTCCTGTACTTAAGCTGCGAACCGGTGGATTAGTACTGCGGTGGGTGACCACGTGGGAATACCCGCTGCTGTATGTTTTGTTTTGATCTTGGTCTTCACAGATAAATGTGGGTGTCGCAGGCGGCGTAGGCGGAAGATAGGAGAAGACAAAGATACCAGAGTGCAATTCAGACACAAACAGGGGTTCCCAGAGATACCGGACGGAGACGATCTGCGGCGGGTGTCCAGGTTTTGCTGTACAATTAGACACATCTCTTGTACGATGCGATAAAAGTCCTATACACAACGTGAAGGAAGCCACAAGACATTATCTCGCGCTCGCAGTAGGCCTGCTACTGTGCCATCGTCCTTCAGCTCCTAGTCCTACATGCATTGCCGTGCTGTTTCTGTTCAAAGGCGTGGAAGCCCAAGCGCTTCGATTCCCACCATTCTTGTTCACATAATAACTCATCACCCCATCCATAGGCACCTCCACAGGTACCAACTCAGGTCGGGATTGCAAGTCGTTATTATAGGCGTTTGATCCTGTCTTCGACCGCTGTTTGCGTCCAGGGACACCAGGTTGCCTACCGTGTTGCTGCTTGGGTTCGTGCTGTGGATCATCGTCCAACGACGTGATGGTATTTGTATTGGCGCGCTTCACTTCCCCGGTAACGGCCTGGAATTCCTTGCGATCCTTCGAGATTTGCGCGCGTAGGTAATGCTGGCCATTCTCCGTCTGGAGATTCTCCATCACGGGCACACGCTCCGTATAGGCAAATCGCTCCGGGTGTGGCGAGTCCAGCGGTCGCACCCCGGGGTCAAGACACGCCTCGTCGCCCATTGCCAGGATTTGGACAATGTCTAAACTTTCACCCGGCGGGATTTTGTTCGGATGCGAAGGTGTCACACAATCCATATCCACCTCCTTCCGCAAGACGTGATCGATGTCCACGGCGCTGAAGTACGCACAGCTCTGCGGTAGGTCATCGATACCCATCTGCTGGCTGAACATCGCGCGCGTCCAGACATTGGCGACTTGCAGGGCCATGGCGGTTCGATACTTGTCCTCCCCTTTCGCAAGATAGCGGATCTCATCGTGCACCGTCAGCGCCAAGCGAGCGTTGATGTTGTAGCGTCGGCACAGGTACTCCATGCTAACGATGAGCAGATGCAAGTAATCAACACCACTCGACTGAATAGCCCAATTAATTCGACTCGTTAAAAAGCCGCCTTTGCTTAAGAAACGACGCATAAGCGCTTCAGTTATACCCGCGCCAAGGACAGGAGTGCGAGGGCGTTCTTGCTCCGCAAAGTCCTCGAGTCGGTTGAACACTAGCGATTCGGTGCCTCCATACCAGAATTTGCGTTCGCGGAAGATTTTCGCGCCAGCCTTGGTGCCCTTGGTCTCAACGTACAGCTTCTTCGCAATGTCGTTGGCTTGGTCCTCACTCAGACTGGGGTTGAAGCGGCGCAGCAGGCCCTGGGCGAATTTCAAGCCTGCGCCATAGATGCGGCCGTAGTTGAACACTTTTGCATCGTTACGGGAGATGCCAAGGATCTTCGCAGTACGTGAGTGCAGGTCCGTACCTGCAGCCTTGTTGCCTTCGAGCGTCATGAAGCCGATGGCATTACCGCCGTGCAGCTTGAAGCTGGCATCCCCGACAAGCGATGCGATCCAAAGCTCCTGACTGTCTACGTCGGCGCCTACAAAGGCGTAGCCGGGTGGCGCAGTGATCATGCTTTTGAGTTCTGATCCAACGCGGTTCTTCTTCGCGTTTGACGCCGTTAGCCACGTGTTCTCAACTGCCCGGCGGGTGATAGTCCCCATCGGTATGACTTGCGGCAGAATGAAGCCTTGCTCATCGCTGCCATTTTCAACACCTGGCACATCTTGCTCATACACGACCATCTGACTTCTTATGCGATCCCGCGCGCTGATCCAGTACGAGCACGATGCGTTCATCTCGAGCGCCTCGCGCGCATATTCGTACTCAGAGCCAAGCGTGCCATTCTCGAAGAACTGCAGATAGCCCTTAGCAAGCGGCGTCGCACATCGCGCACTCGGTCCGTTCGCATGCGGTAACTTAAAGTATATGTGATTGAAGTCATTCTTGAGCTGCGGACTTTCTTCTTCGTTCATGTCGCATTCAGTCATGGAGCTTCCGCGGTACTTCTGAGCCTCTCCGGGAAGCACTCGAAATGTCCAACCGTATTTGTCGGACCAAACGAGCGGATGCCCGTCCCAAGCGAGCTTGAGCAAGAGAGGTGCGATCCGCGTGCGCACTGTTAGGTTCACGGACGAGTCGTTATTGTTGAATAGCTCTTTGTACCAATTTGGCATTCCGGGCTTCTTCTGCCGTGCTGCCGGTCGTGGCGGGTCGTCCTTCTTCTTACCCTTGACCATGCGCACTTCCTGGCCGCCCCAGTCCAGCTGTCGCAGCCATGGATCTTTTTGATAAACATTTGGTGATGCCTTCTGCTTCAATGCCGTCTCTGCCAAACTACTCAAGCGCTCTTCGACGGCAGATGAAAGACGTTGGAAGGTTGCTTCAGCATTTGCAATGTACGCCTCCCACCCGTTATTGACTGGCAATATCTCACTCGACAGATGTCTCAGTGCCGCAAAGGACACTGGATGAGGACACGTGTCTAGGAAGACAGGGAAGACGGCCTTGTACACCTTGTGTGTTACCTCGACATCAGCCGCGCAGTAGTCCATAAGCTCGTCAAGCTTCTCAACCACGCCGTCTCGGTCAAGCTCACCAAACCACTCGCGCTTCGCCTTGTCAATCGTGATACCGCAGTGAAACTTCGCTACATCACGGAGACTGTTGGCGGATGAGCGGCCGACCCAAAGCTCTTCTTCATCTTCCATGCCCTCTTCCGCATTAAGCAGCGTAGACAGGCCAGCCGACTCCTCTTCTTGCGCATACCGATCCTGTCTCTCTCGCTGCTTGCGTGCCTTCGTCCAGCCGGGTCGTTGCCGGCTGCACATCCCATTGACAGCGACGTGCAAGCTCATCGTGTCCAAGAAGAAATTGCGCGATTGGTCCAGACTGTACTCCTCAGCTATGCGAGCTCGATCGTAGCCGATATTGTGTCCTACGACAATGCGCGGCTCTTTGGGGTTGCCCAGCGGTATAAGATGCCGGTCACTGTCACTTTCGCCAAGCAGCCACGGTGACAACCAAGCATACCAGTGGGTCGCGGAGACGGCGCAAGCCATGGCCGGAAAACTTGTCTCGCGCCACATCACCTCGATATCGAAGGTTAGCAAATCAGCATCCGGGACGTTGATCGCTTCCCAGTTGCCGTCCGCATGATATTTTGTCCATCCGCTTCTTCTCTGCCATCGCCTGGGCTTGGGCGGAGGAGAAGCACGCGCATACTTCCGGGCCATGGTCAAGTACTTATCTGCGCTGTCCATTCCTAACCGGTAGAAGTGCTCGTCCAGCGTCGCACCCTGCAAGTCCGGAAGATCGAATGCGATGGGCTCGACGGTCTCGTTCTGCTTTCCAAGTAGTTCATGTTGCGCAAGGTGCCTCTTCGATAAGTTGACCAAGTCCGGGTCGGCTGGAGAAGCCGGCCTATGTGATCGTGCCGGAAAGAGCTGTGAGTGGACGTGCTCGGAGACATGTTGCACGCCGATGTCGTTGAACCTTGCTCGAGACGGTACTGACAAGCTCCGCGACCGTGACGGTGGTGTGCACTCTGGCTCCGCGACCACCTGAGCGGCCGCGGTGGCGTATCGTCCTTGCTCAGACGACCATTTAGGGGCATGAGCTGGGCGGATGCGGAGCAGCGATGTTTGCTCCGTGCGCTCAAAGACGTCCACCAAGTGGCGACTACAGCGCGATCGCATGGTGCTTTTCGCTCTTATCACTACCAACTCATGATACACGTACAGTGTAGGAGGTAATAAGGATGTCGTGGTTGGCATCGCGTCATAGAGAAGCTTCGGTCTAGCGTGTTCGACTTTCCCTCAGCCCTACCCCATGCGCCATGCGCTTGCTCGGGCCGAGATGCGAGTAATTTGGGGCAACAGAGGCGACATTGCTTTGCGTCTCGAGCACTCTTGCCTTCTCGCTGACCGTACACCCTTACGTGAAAGCTGCATCTCATTGCTCTAAGTTGAGCTATGAGCTCGAGCGAGTCAGGTCTATTGCCCGGTCCATCGTATGCGCCTCAACGGACGTGGAACCTTCCGCAGAATGATTGGGGCTTCGACGAGTTGCCGGTGAATTGGTGAGCTTTGTCGCAACTGTTTGCAGCGTGTTGTAGGCCATGCGCTCATCTGTGAATTAGGTCTGGCTTTGACGAGGTGTCGCTGCCGGAGGATGAGCGGAATAACGGTAACTCCATCACACCTGACCTTGCCGACGCCGACTTTCTACACCGCGCGACACTCTATGACAGGTGGGTTCCGGGGCCGGCGTCGGAGGATCTTATGGGCAATGTCGGCTCGTCACTAGCGGAGAGGCATGTCTCACCGGACAACAACGTACACATAATCCCCGATCGTCCTCGCTCCCTCCATTACCGCCCGTCCACCCCACGTGCACGAACCGAGAGTGTGCGCGCATACCCTGACTCGACACAATCCTCTGGCTATATACCGAGTGAATCAGTCCACTCTATCCCGGACGACGAATATTTTCCTCAGTCTGCTCTCCGCAGCACAGTCAGCAGAGATCAGATCAGCGACGACGACATGCCGCTAAGCACTCGCCAGCGACGCCGCGGCAGCTTCGTCGACCTGACAAATGAGGCTACTTCGCCTCCCACTCTCAATCGACGCCGGACACAGCCTCGCAGCCTCAAGCGCGCCGCAGAAGATGCGATCGCAGAAAGCAGCGGCCCGGCCAAGCGCACACGCCCAGCTTCGGTGATCGAAGAACTGGATCTGACCAACGAAAACCCGTCGGCAGAGGACGAGCTTCTCGCTCACCAACAAGCCGCCACCGTCGCCGCTCAACAAGCGTCCGAAGCATCTGGCGGCCCGCAGAAGATTGGCAAAAGGCAGTGCATCATTTGCATGGAGAACTATACGAACATGACCGCGACGCATTGCGGGCATGTGTACTGTCACGAGTGTCTGACACAAGCGCTAAAGGCTGGTGAGAGGGCGGGCGAGCGGAAGACCGGCACTTGTCCGGTTTGCAGGAAGAGTGTCAAGAGACCGAAGGATGGAAAGCCAGGGCAGATGATATCGATCAATTTCATGAAGAAGAGTGCGTTTGAGGGCAAGGGAAGGCAAGGTAGGTGAGGGGGTGAGCCTGTCCGCCTGTCCGCTTGTTCTTCATGTCGGCGGAGAACGGTACTAAGGACGTTCCAAAAAATTCTCATGGATACGATAACGGCTTTTTGGGTCACCAAAACAATTATCAGCAAGCGTCCCGGCGAGCTACGGCCGTACTCATGTTCTGTGTAATTTCGTACTTCTCGTTTATGTAAGCTGGGAAGACTTCTTCCCAAAACTACCGGGACGCTGCTTCTCGCCTGTCGCTTTGACATCACCTCGCGCCTACGAACGAGCTCCGCTCGTCTCGCGTTCTTCGAGCGTTAACCGACGTCACTAACCTAATGAGCTTTCTCGCGACAAGTAAGCAGCTCTTTAGACGGCCATTGAGCCTGGGAATAGTTGTTGTAGGCGTTGCAAGTCTCCTCTTGTACTTCTTTGCTGATAAACCATCCTTGAAGCCCGCTACTGTTGGCAAGATGCATATTGAATCCATCCCTATGTGTATGTGCTTACCGTACAGCTAGCTATAGGTCAAGCTGGCCACCTTGATGGACTAGCTAATTGAGGTATGCAGGGGAGGGTAGTGGAAACAACTATGCGTATCTCGTGACCGACGACAAGACTAAGGATGCTGTGATTATTGATCCTGCCAACCCTTCTGAGTGCGTCTTGCCGATATGCTCGACAAATATCCGCTAACATGACACAGAGTCCTGCCTCACATTAAGAAAGCCGTGGACAGCGGCGTCAATCTGAAGAGTATCGTCAACACTCACCAGTCAGTACTCTCCTTCCGAAGATGTCAATCCATGCTAACAACGGCCAGTCACCATGACCATGCTGGCGGCAATGCCGAGATGGTACGCAAATAGTCTGCTGTTTGTTGCAATAACGTCGCTAATGCAGACGTAGCTCAAGTCATACTCCGTGCCCGTCATTGGCGGCAGAGACTGTGCCAAAGTGACCAAGACTCCTAGCCACGGCGAGACGTTTACGGTCGGCGAAAGCATCAAGGTTAAAGCATTACATACGCCGTGTCACACGCAAGACAGTATCTGCTACCTCTTTGAGGATGGTAACGATCGAGCTGTTTTTACTGGCGATACACTGTTCATCGGAGGCGAGTGCTGTTCAATGACGCCAATTAGTGAGTTGGATTGCTAATGGTATCTCAGGCTGCGGTCGTTTCTTCGAAGGTACCGCAGAGGAGATGGACAAGGCGCTCAACAAGACGCTTGCTGCACTACCAGACGACACGAGAGTATACGTAAGTCTCAGGATGTCAGAACATGCCAGTTCGCCTTATTGACCACTGTCAGCCTGGTCATGAGTACACAAAGGGCAACGTCAAATTCGCGGTAAAAGTAGCGCAAAGCGAACCCATTAAGAAGCTGGAGTCTTTCGCCAACTCCAACAAGCAGACGCAGGGCAAGTTCACCATTGGCGATGAGAAGGTGCGTCGAGTCCTGTTTGCGATGCGAGCTACCTAACATATGCTGACAACTGGTTTACAGCAACACAACGTCTTTATGCGACTAGATGTAGGTTATCTTCCACGGTTCGGAAGTTGAAGCTGTGCTAATACCTGGCAGGATCCGACTGTACAGAAGTTCACAGGCAAGACGGAGCGTGTCGATGTGATGGCGGCACTCCGGGAGGCGAAGAACAACTCGTAGATATTGTAATATACAATCCCTCCATCCATCTCCAGCCAAAAATGCAAGGTACTTTCAGCCGCCCCCGTGCTTGTGCACCGAGGTGTGCATTTTGTTCCATGCGGTTCCAGCGCATGAGCTTCGTTCGAAAGATGAGTCGATCGTGGTCGAATCATTGTTGATATCTGACTCGATCTCACAAGGCTGAGTCGGAGGGGTTCGCTGCTTCGCCTGCCCCGCCTGATCGAGTGTGGGGTGAGATGGCAGAGTCATGCATTGAGTCTACTAAGGCGATCCCATCTATATATCGCCACCAAAGCCTAGCATCTCCATTTCGTTCAGCAATGGTACCTCGAATACGGATCTAGTCGCACCTGAGATACGATCGATCCCAACGCTACGATATCCGAGATGACGACCAGAGCGGAACGCTATAAGCAAGCTCCACAATCAGCGAGTGAAAGAAGAGCTGGGGAGTCTGTAGGTGCAGTCTTCTAGCAATCAGGAGCGGATGACTGACGAGGGGACATCGCAGGCTCTTAGCGACTTCGCCGACTATGTGCAGCAGCAGCAGGCCCTACGGAAAGTGCCCATCACGACCGCGACTAACGGGTCCGCCAATGGCGCGCCGATCAAGCATGAGCATGCCGAACTCGACATCCTTGACACCCTAGATCTCGCAGACGATAGGCCGAAAGTCAGGTTAAAACAGCTGCTCCTTGACGATTCTGCCACGAAAGACGACAGCATCAAGCAATTGAGGGACATCATCCAAGACCGATTAGACGAAGGGCATGGCGAGTGCTTGTTCGATGTCGGATTGGAAGACGATGGCGACACACAGCTGTTGACGGAGGCGGAATGGGACGCCGCGCTTGCACGACTACGAAGCTTGTTGGGAACGCTCAAAGCGGACTACAGGACGCTTATGACGAAGAACGTGCCTAACAGCGAGGTAGACGTTGGCAACGAGCTGAAGAAAGAGCGAGGGTGCATAGGGAAGTTCTTACTACGAAGACAGCCGGAAGACGTCGACGATACCATCGAGACGCGGATAGCCGTCGTTGGCAATGTCGATGCTGGCAAGAGCACTCTACTTGGCGTGCTTGTTAAGGGCGGGCTGGACGACGGCAGAGGCAAGATGCGAGTCAACCTCTTCCGACATAAGCATGAGATCGAGTCCGGCAGGACTAGCTCTGTGGGCATGGAGATTATGGGCTTCGACACGAAGGGTGAGGTTGTCGTGTCCGGCGTCCCAGGACGGAAGCTCAGCTGGGAGGAGATAGGCAAACGCTCCGCGAAGGTTATCTCCTTCACGGACCTTGCAGGTCACGAGCGATACCTGCGAACCACCGTCTTCGGCTTGTTGAGCAGTGAGCCAAACTACTGCTTACTAATGGTTGCGGCGAACAACGGCTTGATCGGCATGTCGAAAGAGCACCTCGGCATTGCCTTGGCGCTCAATGTGCCGGTCATGGTGGTGGTCACCAAAATCGACATCTGTCCGCCCAATATCTTGCAGCAGACGCTCACCCAGCTGACAAAGATTCTGAAATCGCCGGGAGCGCGAAAGATACCGATCTTCATCAAGAATCGAGAGGAGTGCGTCAATACAGCTACTCAGTTTGTCAGCCAAAGGATATGTCCCATCTTCCAGGTCTCGAACGTGACAGGCGAAAGTCTGGACCTTGTGCGAGAGTTCCTGAACATCCTACCACATCACGGAAAGTACGATGTCGATGCGCCTTTCGAGTTCCATGTTAATGATACATTCTCCGTGCCGTTCGTCGGCACCGTCGTCTCCGGAGTGGTCAAGTCAGGGGTCGTACATGCTGGAGACACCGTGCTTGTTGGACCGGACAGTCTAGGCCAGTTCACAACGACCACAATCAGGTCGATCGAACGGAAACGGATACCAGTACCAGCATGCTCAGCAGGTCAAAGCGCGTCTTTCGCACTACGCAGAGTACGAAGAAAGGACGTCCGGAAAGGCATGGTCGTCTTACTGGCCAAATCCGAAGCTAATCCAAACGCTCCGCTGTCCCAGCCCAAGGTCTTCCGCGAGTTCGTTGCAGAGGTGCTCATCTTATCGCACGCTACGACCATCCGGACGAAATACCAAGCCATGCTGCATGTGGGACCGGTCAGTCAGACCTGCGCCATCATAGACATTGACCGAGCGTACATCCGCACCGGTGACAGGGCGACAGTGGCGTTCCGATTCGTGCAAAGACCGGAGTTCCTGGCTGTTGGCGATCGAATATTGTTCAGAGAAGGCAGGACCAAAGGTTTAGGTATCGTGAAGCAAGTAGGCTATGATCCAGCAAAGCCGCTGAATCCGGAGTTGGCGAAGGAGAGGGAGCAACTGGAGGCTAACGGGCACCAGACCGAGAAGTCTGCCGCTCCAAAGACAGTGGCGACATGACAATTCTGCGCTTGAATTGATGTCGCCTAACAGCCTGTGTATTGCCGTTGGCTGACGATGTTGGAGGTCTTACCAGGCTCTACTTCTTGAGCACTTGCTTTGCGACCCTGCGCTCGGTCTCCTCCAGTAGCTTCGTCACGCTCATCCACCGGTCCTTCTCTCCGGGTCCAGTTAGCACCACCTTGTACTCCTTGCGGCGCCGTCAGCAACGTTCTTACGTTCTTCGATCATCTTGAGCGCACTTTATGAACGCTGGCCGACTTGGGATCAGTGGCCACAAGCGAAGCGAAATGCATAAGACCGCTCGGTGCTTGCGCGGTGATCACCTTCAAATCATGCTCTCGCGGGAACAAAACCTCGGCATTAGCTTCACACGCTGTCAGCCATGGCATGCTTCGGTGGTTCGCTCCTTTAGATTGTTGCGAGTCATGAGTCGCGCCACCTACCGACAGTCTGCGCGATGGTGTCCGCAATCGTGCCGGTCTCAGAAGTGCGCTCAGCGCTAAGTCGCGATGCCATTGTCGGAAGCGCACTCAAGGCGGACAAGGTCTAGCATCTTCATGGTAGATGCGAGTTCTACAGAAGTGCTGTGTGGACTGCTGTGGGCCGTCCAATGACATCAATCGGACGACAATGCTCTTAAAGTCCAGAAGAGGATAAGGCTGTGCTTACATACTCTTGCTCTAGCCGGAAGTAACTGGCGTAAGACAGCGAGCAGAGTCTCGGCGCTCCTCCCGCTGCACTTTACAGCCTCTCTCCTATTGCCTCCTCGCGCCCTGGTTCGCTTTGGGAATTCACCACGTTCAGAGGCGTTCATAGCCACAGAGAGCAGATCTTGTAGCCTTATGCGGCGGGCATTTACCTGGAGTCGAAGATGTTCATGTCCTTTCAACGAACCGAAACCGCTGAATGGCCAGTCAATATGAAGGCTGCAGCCGAGCATCCTTCCGCTGTCGCGTTCGTTGGTATTGGGCTACAGTGAATTAGCATTCGACATTAGGGAACTGGGGCAGTGTTGTGCAAGCCGCTCATCGGGCGGGGTCGTCAACCCATCCGCATTCCCATAACTAGCTGAAGCATCGCTCTCTTATATTGCCAAACGTTCGCAAACGTGTCGGCTCCAGAGGACCGAAGCGTAGTTGGTGAGCTGCATACCGGGATGTTTTCCACAGTGCTTGAACTCACAGCGACATTTGGATTTCTTCGTCTCGCACAATGCGTGCCAGAGACATCATGTTACTGGCCCGACCACTCTCCGGCGTACAACCAAACTCCGTGCAATGCTCAGGCATCGGTTAGTTGGTGCTGCTACTTCACTGACATATGCTTGAGCAATGGGATGTGCTTGCAGCAAAGCAATGTCTACACGAACAGGCTAGGGCGAGGAAGCTGCACTGATAGTACCTGGAGTTCTCCGGCTTGTCCGCAATATTGCGCAGACGGTGAGTTGAACTATATTTGCAGCAGAATGCCTGAAACTGTCACTAAGACCCACTGACACTGTTGCGGTGAAAGTCGCGCCAGGTAGTTCAACGGGCATCTATTTAGCCTACGACACCCTCAACGGCGCCTTTTGTTGTGGGAGAAACTACAACCAAACCACAGGCCAATGCATGACCGGGACGCAAGGCTCGAAAGCGCCCTTCAATATCTCACCTGGTGAAGTGATATACAACAGGGCGAACGGGGCGCTATTAACGCCAAACCCGACGGAGACGTCGGCGCCTTCTGCAGCGTTCGTTCTGCAGAACTCTACTGCAACCGTCACCGCATCAGCAACGTCATGCACCACGGCGTCGGCCGGGAGCTCCAGCGTTGCAACGATAGCAGCTGCGATCTCTGTACCACTTGGTGTCTTGCTACTCGCAGCACTGGCAGCAGTAGCCTTGCTCCTTGGCCAGAACAGGAAGTTACGAAGAGGGCGGTCGCAGCAGGCTGTTGATCACGCCACACCCAACATGACTGCGCACACGCCTTCCACCCTGGTATCGCCGTACGAGTACAAGCAACAATCGCAGCCTTCGAACGTGGTGCAGCCGTATCAATACAAGCAGCCACCACATTGGAGTCAGCAGGTGCCCATAAATGAGGCGCCGACGGAGAGGGAGAGGGTTGAAATGAACGACGGCGTGCGCGAGGCTCCATATGGCAAATGAGTTGCAAGAGATACTCCTATGATCGTAATAGCTGATGTTGAGCACCACTTGTGATGAATGCACGTGTCTTGGTTTCATGAATGTGCCACGGTAGTTTGAATCGATGATTCTCCACTGAAAGTCTGCCCGCAGTCTGGGGCAGCGTTACCCAACACCACCTGCGCAGGCAACGGTACATCATACACCCTACAAAGCTAACAACTGCCACTACTGAACGACACAGTCTCTAATCCAATAATTTTTATTCTCCTGAGTCAAGTGTCATACACTTCCTACGATCATGAATCGATTGTTCGGCGCAAAGAGCAGCGCACCTAAACCTACACTCAACAGCGCAATCGCTAACGTGAGGCTCGCGAACTCTTGCAAGCACTCAGCCTTCTGACAACTTGCAGGTGGACTCACGAATCGAATCAATAGACGTCAAGCTTGCGAAACTCACAGCCGAACTCAGCACATATCAACAGCGTCTGAGCCGCATGCGAGATGGACCTGGCAAGTCGGCTGTCAAGCAGAAAGCGATCAAAGTCCTACAACAGCGCAAGATGTACGAAAGCCAGAAGGACCAGCTTACGCAGCAAAGCTGGAATATGGAGCAAGCAGGCATGATGCAGGACAACCTCAAGAACACCATGGCTACGGTGGATGCGATGAAGACGACGCAGAAGGAGCTCAAGAAGCAGTATGGTAAGGTGGACATCAATAAGATCGAGCGAATGCAGGATGAGATGGCGGATTTGATGGAGATGGGCAACGATATCCAGGAGAGCATTAGTCGGAGTTATGATGTACCGGAGGATGTGGATGAGGCGGAGTTGGATGCCGAGTTGGAGGCGCTGGGCGAAGAGGTCGATTTGGGAGCGGAGGGGATGGGAGAGGGAGAGATGCCGGGCTTCTTGACGGAGAGTGCGGGTCCGCCGCAGTTCATTGACGAGGCGCCGGAGCAAAACAAGACGAAGGAGGCGGCTACGTAACTGTCTAATTATCACGATCAGGCACTAAGAAGGCGTCACGAAGTCAAAAAGGCCATCATATTACTGGATACCAGCTATGCTGCACAAACTTCGAGCTCATCTGCTGAGCATGCTACGAGAAGCACATCACCACCAGCGCCAACGCTAAAGCCAAAGTTACATGATCATCACCCATTATCCAGCTTGCCATTCGAGGTCTGCCCCTGCTCGGGAACGCTACTCCCTGAAGCGCTCGAGATGACAGTCATTGCCCGCAGTGGGGACCGTGGAGGCGCAGGGACGATTGTCGTACCCTGACCGCGAGGTGCTGGTGTGAGATCGCCGGCTCGCGGCGGATTCGACGTCCTACTCGGCGAGGAAATGATAGTCGGGGACGACGCTCCACCTGCGCCCAAAGGGCTGCTGCTCTCCACTCGTGGCGCCAGACGACTTGCGGGACGACTTGTAGAGCTCGGCTGACCGCTAGCTGGTACTTTGGGTAGCTGCTGCGCTGCTGAACTACTCTGCTGCGTGAGCAGCTCAGGACTCCACATCCTTCCACTGCCTCTCGGCTGCGCAGGAATGACTATGACAGGTACATCCTCGTCAGGCCTGCGCCCAGAGTACCTGTCACGCATGCGCTCACTAGTCTCTGCAGCCAAGACGCCGAGCCGATTCTTGACATCCCATCGAGAGAAGTTGTGCGATGGGGTTGCTGCTCGTCTTGAAGCTGCCTCTCCGGCTGCACGCCGTGCTTGCTGAACTTCGGCTGGGGGCGACGCACGCTTACGCTTGAAAGGATTCGCAACGCTGTGCCATTTGCTGTGGTCTTGGTGGTGAGTGGCAGTGCCAGCTTCATTCACGTCTTGTGGTTGGTGTAGCTTAGCTTGTGGCGCTGTATCACTGGATCGCTGAACACTGCCCAGCGTTTGAGGTTCCGCAATATCATCACTGGCGTCTCCGTCGACTCTGCGTCGTACAGGCTGTGGTGCGTCGGCTCCAGTATCGTACCGCACAACGTAAACCGTGGAAGCGGCGCTGGTGGTGTCTGCTCGACTAACAGGACTCGCCACCGGTGCAGGCACTGCAGGCTGTCCTAACGCCGCTTGCTGGGCGTTTGTGACATTTCCAGGCTTTGGCAAGGTACCAAAAGCTACCTTGAGGTTTCCACTCGCGGTCGCACTAGGGTCGTGAATTGCTCCATTGATCGTTCCAGACTGGTCCTTACCGTCCCCCCGCTGCCGTCGAAACCGTTGCGCAAGACCACTGATCCCGGCCTCAAGTGCACTGGCCTTTGGTGGACTGGCCCCATCCGAGCCACCACCGCGTCGGAAGCGATTTCGACCGCGACGTCTCTGGGTAAGAATAGCCTCCTCACTCTCCGTGACTTCTAGCATCTCGTCCCCATCGAAGATCTCGCGCCCCAGAATACCGTCCTTCTTCTCGTCGCGTTCCAACGCCTCAATTCGCTCAACCCACTCCCAGACCACGACACTCGCAGCCGCGGCGCCAACCCAGCGGAAATAGTCACCCCAGCCTGCCACATCTTGGTTCGAGACATCAGTGACGAAGAACACGACAGGCGTAAGGACTGCAATGAGTGAAAGCAGTGCAATGACGCATATACTCTTCATTCTGGGATGATAGAACGCATAGCGGCGCTTTGTCAAAGCATAGTAAATCACCCATGCTGCGTAAAGTAAGCTCAGTGCAAGCTCGAAGAGGTAAGACAGAGCCGGTATAGCATCCACGAAATGACCAGGCCGACTCGTACTGCCGATCAGAAATGAGTTTAAGCAGGAGAAGACGGAATCGAATATGATAAGCGCAAAGCCGATCCACTTAATCAACACTTTCTCCTTGTGGCGTGGAAACAGTCGGATTAGTGTCTGCACCTGCGCAAGCCAGAGAAAGACGTCGGATATGGCCCGCGTCACACGCACTTCCTGGGAGCCCAGAACTTCGTCGCGTAGAGCACTCGCATCCAGAAAGCCATTCTCGTACTGATGCTGTGCCGTTCTGAAGGTATCCGCTGTCGCTATGGTCAATGATATGGCCACAGTCAACGTCGCCACTTTCTGCAGCCATGGTCGTGAGCCAACACCAATGAGACTGGAGCCTCCTCCGCTAGCACCACCAATTATGCCATGCCCGCCACCGAAGCCGCTGTTTGTGCCGGTACTCCCAATGAAACTGGTCCGCGGCGTAATGACGAGCATTACCATGAGTATCCATGCTATGACCGTCGTCGCCGCTATGACGTACGTCTGCGGAGTGGTTGAGGCGTAGAAGGGATCCTTCACGCCGCCAATAGATGAGATACCTTCGTTGGTTCGGCCTGTGCATTCAGGTTGGAAAACGGCGTTGGTGGTAAGCGTGATCACGGAGTCGGACGCAAGGGACAGTATCCCGTTGACGGGAAGAGTGAAAGGGGTGCAATGGATGTAGTGAGTTGAGCTGGTCTGAGTTGGGAAGTTCCATAGCTGTCGCGCGGTAAGCGTTGCATATTGCGGCATTGCCGGGCGGCTCGTGTGCGATATGTGTCAACGAGGGTATGTGTCTGGGTGGATCATGTTGGTGAGAACACCCGTCCTTTCCGTTGGACTGCCGACACGGTAGAGTATCACAGGCATTCGTTGGGTGAACGATGTGTAAGGTGGGCGATGAGGCCGGCGCAGAGACGGAACCTTCAGCCCCGTTTCTCCACCCTGCAGCGATCGCCTTCAAGGATTTAGTCTCTCACGTGGGGAAGGGGTCCTCCTCAGCAGCTTGACGACATTAAGCTCACCTCGACTAGTATGTGACAGTAGACAACTTATCCAACATTCTCCCACAGTAAGTGTCGAGACCGTTATAGAATTAACACATACTACCCTCTTCTCGCTTTCCAAAGATGGGATCAGCTCTCAACCTTTCCTTGACTACGATTGATTCTGACGTGATACAACATGTGACGAAGACTTCATCTGGGTGTACAGTGAGAAGTTATAGCCATGATACAGGCTCTGGTCCCGTCCTTTGTATGGTACATGGCTACCCGCAGAGTTCTTATATGTACATTCTGTCATTCTCCCAACCAGCCCGAGCTGAACGAAGTAGGTGGCGGCACGTTGTCCCAATGCTGAAGGATAAGTTCTCCATGTTCGCTCCGGAACTTCCAGGTTATGGCATCAGCTCTCTTCCTGCCAAATCCGACAAGCGGACCGTTGGCGGCATTTTAATGGAAGCGCTGCAGTCTGTCTTCGGCAAGGAGCGGTCCATCATCTGGTGCAGTCACGATCGGGGTGCACGGGTGGGTCATCGACTTGCTGTCGACAACAAGCCTGAGCATAAGATCATTGCGGCTATCTTCATGGACATCGTTCCCACAGCCGAGCAATGGCGCGTATTCGCAAATCCTGCCGGTATGTAGCTGTTGAGCCTACAATATCATGGGCACTAATGACGTACTACGTCCAATAGCAGCAGTTGCCTATTATCACTGGCCTTTTCTTGCGGGACCTACAGCTCCGCAGTTGATCGAAGCAATGGGCGGCCGTGTCTACTGCCAGGATAATCTGAATCGCTCGAAAGGCGCGAATGAGGCCGGTGCGGCTCGACTCCGTGAGAATGACGCTGTAGACCATTACTGCACTCTGTTTGACAAAGCCGAAACCATTAGCGGAAGCTGTGCTGATTACGCTGCCGGCGCGTTCGAAGACGTGGTGGAACAAGAAAAGGATCAACAGGCAGGTAGGAAGGTGACCGTACCAACAATGGTCATATACTCCAAGAAGAACCTGGGCAGAATGCATGATGTGGAAGGTGTGTGGAAGAAGTGGGTGGACGGTGACTTGCGAGGGGAAGCTATTCCGAACGGTTATGGGCACTACTTACCGGAAGAGTGTCCGGAGGAAGTAGCTAAGCTGGTACTCGACTTTGCTGGCAACTATGCAAAACAATAGACACATGGATACAATGCGAAGTCTGCACTACTGAACTCCACCAGTCTTCTCAGTAGCTAGTACATCTAACCACGACTTCAGAGAATTGCGGAATTAGCATGCTTACCAAACGCACATCTGCACCCAGATGCATTGATCGGTATCGACTGCATGTTATACGATCGCTGTGGATTTGGGATTATGCCATAAGCTTGCAGGCTCCTTAGAGACATCATTCGCAACATTGTAGGCTCATCGGTCGTCCCAGCAGCTTGTACGCCTGCTACGGCTTTAGGAAGTGCGTCAGTTGCGCAAACGATTTATAGAGTATCAGACTGGCCAGAGCTTGTGTTCGCTGCAAAATGTTGACATTAACTGACTTTACCACTAATCCATAGAATAGCTCGCGGTGCAAAGCTTGCGTCTATTCGCCAAAGTGCCTACATCATACATTCTCATGGTACACAAACGCTGCCCGAACAAGCCAACATGCTTCGCAGCAACATTCCATTGCTGGGTACTTAGTCCCGGAAATGCCCAAAGTGACCGAGGATTGGCGAGAAGCTCTCAAAGCTGTTGTCGTCGATGATAGAAGACCTAAAGGTCCGTGGTGAGGCCGAGGCTGTTGACCAAGTCGAGGATGGTAACTTCGACGGTCAAGAGGAGGCTGTCAAGCAGCTCCGTAACAGACGAGGAATCGTTAAGGTCGCAGTTGCTCAGGGTGGATGTGACATCGGCGCTACCTAGGCCTAGGCCGCTGAGGAGCGAAGTGGCGTCTGAAAGGTCGGTGAGGTCGAGTGCAGAGAGGAGCTCTTCAACCGTGCTGAGATCAGTGAGATCGAGGGAGCTAAGGAGGGAAGAGAGGTCGAGCAGGTCAAGAACGTCGAGGTCGCTGGTCACGCTGCTTAGGTCGAGCAGGCCACGCTCGATAATGGAGTCGACCGTGTCGCTCGTCACCTCTAGGTCGTCGAGATTGACGAGGGAATCGACATTGACGCCAAGACCACTGATGGTGACGACGCTATCGCCGCGCTTCTTGTTGGTAGAAGAGGTGAGGACTGAGCCACTGAGGGCGGTGTCCTCAAGGGTAGTAAGGTCGAAGCCCAGGACCGTGAGATCCTCAGAGGTGCGGCGGAAGAATGGAAGGGCGGTGGCGGCGCTGAAGGCCAAGCTGAGGATGAGGAACTGCATCTTGATTGGGTGGTGGTTGTAAGGTTCGGAAAGGATGGTTGACTGTTTAGTAAAGACTGTGTTGAATGAGTGACTTTTTTGGAAAGAGTGACTGGACTGAAGATGCAGATGCTTGTTGATGATCGGGGAAAGATGATTTCAGCATGCGATATGGCATACTTATAACGTAGCTGCTCTCTCGGGCTCCGAAGCATCAACAGAAGTCACCGTGATTCTCATCCCCTTCTTGTATCCACTGTTCAACGGGCTTGCAACAGTTGATGGCTTGTAGCTATACTCGTCGTCGTCAGCTTGACAGCTTGCCCGAAGTAGTTGGAACGCATCCTGTTATCGTCCAGATACAGCTGTGCTGGCGTCGATCATACAGTGTTGGAAAGTGATCGTCAACCAGGAGATGAAAGTGTGAACCGTTGCTTTTCCCTTCTCATCACCACTGACCTCCTGCCTAACTCCGTAGTGGAGACACATTCTACAGTAGTAGGGACGTGCCGACTGGTAGCGGCCCTTGTCCACATCCGCCCATTCCCGCAATGTGGTGTATTGCTTGTGGCGCTCGACAGCGAAACAAGCCTTCGCAGATCTCCATCAAGTCGCCGTTGAGAAGGCTCCACCGATTTACTTACACAGGACATATCTCGGGCCTAGGCGGGGCATTTGGCTGACTCTTGAGGTGTACTCTGAGGGTCAGGCATGCCAGAGACCTTAGGATAGCAACAGACCTTGCATGTCTGGCGTTCAGTTTGCCAGCTTCATGCAAACACACACGGCATTCTGCTGTTCGACCGCGAAGCTACCCCAAGCTGCATCGTGGCTGCATACCAGGAGTGAAGTGGATCCGTGGGGTTCGCCGCACACGACTGAAAATAGCACCGTTGTGGACCCTCGTCGATCATCATCCTCAAATGCGCTATGTCAACGGACGGTGTTTCACCGAGCAGCCGCCTAGTATGAGAGTGAGACAGCTGTTAACGGACGCGCCCTTGCCAGCACGCAAGCCGACTATTGGGTGTAGCAATGCCACTCCAGCACCCATTGACAAGCATCACGATACCATGTACCTGGAGCCATTTGGAAAGTGCACCAACAATTCCTAGAATTATCCACCAGCATGGCTTCAGTAGACTGCTTGTGGCGATTCTCATTACCATCGCCATCTCCAGAGGGTCACATTCTCCACTGAGACTTACATTCTGTAGCTATTAGATGGGGATAGGGAGCGTCTTGCTCATTCAGTCATTAACTCCTGGACGAACCTGAGTCCGACCAACGCTTCTCGCTTGCGAGCACATGTCATAGTCACTGAAGGTGTGTGAAGAAGCGTAGGTTACGAGCTGGTATAGCCCTAGGTTCCGTCCTGCAGTTTAAAATAACTTCTAATCACACGCACAGCATGAGGGACGAATTTGGTCAACTCCAGGGACACCGACCAATGTCAAATGAAGTTGCCCATCATTTGCCGACAGTCAAGTAGAGTCGATCCCCTATATCACCAAGCCCAGGCTTTATCATGCCTCTCGCGTCTGTCTCGGCATCCATTCCACCGACCCAAAGCTCGACGCCTTCAGGCCACACTTCTGCTGCCTTCCGAAGGCCACCTTCGCAGGCCAGCACGCCGATCGCGATTATGCGCGGTACTCCCCAGTCTCTGAGTGTCTCGATCGCCGCACACATCGTAGAGCCTGTCGCAATGATAGGGTCGACAATTATGGCCAGCTCGGAAACCTGCGACGCATCGTTCGGTTTATGATATGGCAAATTGTTGTAGTACTCCACTGGTTGAAGCGTGCTCTTCTCGCGGTACATACCCAGATGGTGTACCACAGCTGGCATAGCAAGCAGTGACTGCACTGCCTCAACCATGCTAAGCCCGGAGCGCAATATTGGCACTATGCTAACATGTGACGGCGTAGTACCCTCCACAGTATACTCGTAGTCGAGAGGAGATACATCCTACGAACATACAGCACATAACGATCAGCCATATGTTGCCTGGCATATATCGTCAGCCAACGCAGGCTGAACAGGATGGGAAGGAAACTTACAGTGCCAACAGCTTGCGTGGAGAGACCGTGTGCTAAAGCTTCACAGCCTACTATCGTTGCGATCTCATGGATGAGCCGCTTGGTGTCCGCCGCGCCTGTTGATGAGGATCGCAGTTGGCTGAGCTTCGCGCGAACGCAAGGGTGCGAGGAGACATGAATACTCGATGGCATATCGGTAGCCATTTTTACTGTGGCACGGGCCCAAGATGTGGAATGTGTTGTAGCATGGGCAATGATATTTATACGTACATCAGTGGTAGTGCACGTGTTTGCTCGCCGGTGAGGTATGTTTGCTTCACTGTCTGATAGGCCAAAGAAATGACACCCCACGTGCGAGACTCTGTGAATTTGGACGTCGCCATTGTTCCCACTTGCACCATCTCGTTTAGGTTGGACTGTACGATCTGAGACCATTTCACTGCAGCTACGGGTCTGGAAATAGTAAGGACTCCTCTCTATCAGCTTATGGTGGACGCTCAATGTACATATGTGCTATGAGCGAACTACAGCGCAGCTGGATTTAGACCTCGCGCACGAGCGACTTTTGACAGCAACACTGCACAGTGGAGCTAAGGCGCGTCAAACCCGACCCGACGAAGGAGTATAGGCTCGGTCCGTTGCATGGGTTGCCATTACGACGGGTCCATTGCCGCTCTTGTCCACAGTATCATCCATAGCCTGAGACGCAGAACGGTGCGGTATCCAGATCTTACTCTCGCGATCCTGTTCGCTCGAGGTTACCGTAGGTTACCGTAGGTTACGACAGTAATATTAGTGTTATTGCATCGGCTTATACTGTATGGCGGACTTCTCTCGCTTTTCCCCAGAACCAAAGACGCTGGTCGAGCAATCGTCCGAAGATGAGGATAACGAAGTTAGAGCGTCCACAAGTACAGCGAGTCAGCGTGAGAGTCACTTCCAGCAACAACGTGTTGGGCGTCGTTCGCCACCTAGCAGCCGTGATAATCAGCCTTCGGAAAAGGCGCAGGGGAAACAGCCGAGTTATCGGGAACCGTCCGACTACCAGAATCTGGATGAGGTAGCAGTGTCTGAGCCTGCAACGAGAGAAGGTCCATCGTCCCTGGAACAGGGTCGTGCGCAACAAATTCACCCCAAGGCCAGACAGGAGACGAATCAACAGAGCTACCGCGATACGGTGCGAAGACGTGTGAGCAGCCGGCACCAGCCGGCAGGTTCAACCGGCGCTGTCATCCCGCCACCAATCCCACCATCGGAGCCTCCAACCACGTCGTCGACCTATGCTGAGCAGCGTAGCCGGACCAATGATCCGGAAAGTGGCGATGCAGACGATGAGGAAAGTCTCGGCGCCCCAACACCGTTCATTTCGCGTCGCCCGGAGGACTATATTGCACGACAAAAAGCATTACCGCCAGTTCCCAGGTCACTGACAGAACTCTACACCATCTCATATCTGATCTTTTTCGCTATATTGGGCACTCTAGCACGGCTTGGCATGCAATGGCTTACCTTCTACCCTGGCGCGCCGATTGTGACACCCGTCATATGGGCCAACTTTGCAGGCTCGCTCTTTCTTGGCTTTCTCGCCGAAGATCAAGGCTTGTTCAGCGACAGCTGGTCTGAGCGGCGGTACGAAGGCGAAAAGCCCACACCTGGAGGCGATTTAGATGCCGCAGTCAAGGCTGAACGGTCAAAGCGAAAGAAGGCCATACCGCTCTACATAGGCCTAGCAACCGGATTTTGTGGGAGCTTCACATCTTTCTCTTCTTTTGCTAGGGACTTCTTCCTTGCGTTGTCGAACAGTTTACCGACGCCTATCAACCACCCGAGCGCTTTTGTCAGCGGTACGCCATCCACGACTACCGTTGTCAGCCGAAACGGTGGGTACTCCTTCGAAGCGTGGGCAGCCATTGTTATCATGACGGTCGCACTTTCAGTTGGCGGCATCATGGTTGGAGCGCACTTTGCGCTGTTCTTAGATCCGATCACGCCGCGTATACCTAACGGCTTCATTCGGCGCTTTTTGGATCCGTTGATGGTATTCCTAGGCTGGGGCAGTTGGCTCGGAGCCGTCTTCCTTGCGATCTGGCCTCCAGATCGACCGGCTGGGCCAGCCTCACACGGAAGCTGGAGCAACGAGACCTGGCGCGGCCAAGTGCTCTTTGCGCTTGTCTTTGCTCCAGTCGGATGCATCATCCGCTTCTATGCAAGCTTGAAGCTCAACTCCATCGTGCCTTCGTTTCCCTTGGGTACCTTCGCGGTGAACATGCTTGGTACGGCAATCGAGGGCATGTGTTACGATATTCAGCATGTCGGTGTAGGGGTCGTAGGTATGGCGGGTGGTGGCCGGGTGGGTTGCCAGGTCTTGCAAGGCGTTATGGATGGTTTTTGTGGATGCTTGACCACGGTCAGTACTTGGGTTGCAGAGATACATGCGCTAAAGCGGAGGCACGGTTATCTGTATGCATTTGCGAGCGTGGTAGGAGCGCTATGTCTGAATTTGGTTATTATGGGTCCAGTGCGATGGACTGTCGGATTTAGCACTGCTGCTTGCAATACTGGATACCCGAACAAGACTTACAGATAGACATACATGAAAGTTGAGAGCATTGCGCCTGTCCGTTCCTGTGGCTTCCAACGCCCGCGTGACTTGTAAGGCTCAAGTGGCTCCATTGAAGCTAATGAGCCTGCGATTAGCTTGAGACCGCACACAACCATTCCCACATCATCGGAAGTCTTGGACGTCCTGTCAGCCGCACAATATCTCTCCATAATCCAGTGCCCTCGAGACTAGGTTTTACCCGCCGTGGGTGCCGAGTGGCTTCGTAGTACAATCGTAGTATAGGTCAGACTACTCTACGCAATATAAGCATACATCCCACCCTCCTCCCTCTCCATGTAATCCTTCTCGATCAACCGATCAATATTCCTCTTGATGTCGCCCACCGCCAGAACGCCCCTACTCATCGTAGCCTTGATCGTCTCACTCACCAACTCCGCATGCGCAATCTTCTTCCGTCCCTTCAATATCCGCACAATAGCGGCCTGACATTCGAAATTTCGGTCTTCGGCCACGCGGTGATGGGTCTCGCGGTTCTCTTCTTTAGTCTCCTTCAACTGGACTTGGTTGATTTTGACGCGGTATTTTGGGTGCGAGAAGTCTAAATTCAGGGTGAAGGTGTCCGTTGAGTTGACTTCGCGACCTTTAGGGTGTTTGGTAAGGGGGCGCAGTTTGGCGCAGGCGAGGGACTGGAGTGTGCGGTTTACCTCCGCTTCGGCTACACAAAGGCAGTTAGTATAGGGGGGATTCAATGGTAGGTTGAGAACTCACGCAACCCAGTCTCGGCGAGTATGCGCGAGTGAGGCACATGCTCATCTTCCGCGACCCCGTTGAAGAGGAGTAACACCACCGCCTGAAAGCTGGACACCACAAGCTCCTTACTGCCCTTCTTGAAGCTCGCCCGCATCTGGCAATGCGCCAAAGCGTGCTTCCAATCCAGCTTTCGGCCGGTATGTTTACTCTTATAGTGCAGCTCGAAGTCGTCTATCGCCCGCTTCACGTTGCTTGGCACTACGACCGGAATATCTGGATAGGAGGGCCAAGCAGCCGCGGATAGGATGTTGACACTTAGATCGACGTTCTTGCCCTTCTCGTATCCGATTCGGTCTTCCAGCCGCTGCTTGTACGACTGCATCTCCTCGCGTGCTAATTCCACATCTTTGAACATTTGCTCCAGGTTCTGCGTGAAGCCTGCACCGCATTCGGTCTTCAAACGGGTAAGCATGCTGCGTTCGGCATCTGCGGAGGCAGAGCGAGCCATGAGAAGACGCCGAGCCAGGTCCTTCTTGTAGAAGGCTTCGAAGACGGCTTTTCCGTGCACGAAGCGGAACAGATCTAGTACTTGATCGAGCTGAATGTTGATCTCAGCATCCTCGTCCACGTCATCATCTTCATTGTTGTTCTCCTCATCCGCAGCCGTCGGTAGCTGAACACCTTTTGGCAACTCTGTGATGCTTGAGGTGCGACGTGCTGTTAGCACTTCCGGGATGGCTTTCGCACCGCCGCGGAGAAGTTGGTCAACGTATTTGGCGATCATTTCGCCGACTTTGGTATTGTCTGTTCCCCAAGTAGCATCACCTTTCTTGGTCTTGTTCATGAACGCCTCAAAGGTTTCGCGCAAACCGTGGCCGAGTACCTCGTCACGCTGGAAGCTCGTTCGCCAGATCAGGTCAAGCCTGCGCTTGAGCGAAAGAAGATGAATGACCATGTCTTCTTCTTTGCCGAAGACGATAGCTGTGCCGGTCTCGTCAATCCACTTCACGAAGGCGGGCCGCAGCTTATCGCCCAGTCGTCTCCGGTTCAGCAAGCCGTAGAGTGCAGTCAAGTCCGGTAATGAGCTGCGGTCGAGTAGCTTGCCCAGCTCCACGTGGTCTGTGAGGTCTTGATACTTGCGCACTACGAAGTGGTCTTCCAGCAGTGCTAGTAGGTCTCGTCGGGTGCTGGCATCAAGCGCAAACTCCTCACAGCGGTCCATCTCCGAAGCAATGAACCCTTCCGCAAGTGCTACAAATTCAGGCACGCTCTTCTCTACTATCATCTCGTCTGACCAGGTTGCCACATACTCTTGTGTCGTACCTAGGAAGCGAGGTTCGAACGATGCCGTATAGACCTGCAACTCATGGAACATTTCCACTGCCTTTTTGAAGAGGTCTTGGTCCAAAGCTTGCGTTCGTAGACGCTCGGCGGCAACAAGATCGCAGGCTCCATCAATGATCTTGGGCTTGAGTGACGGGTTGCTGAAAACAATCTCCCTGAATAGCTGTGGCGTGAGCTCGGACAGAGTTGGCTTGCTTGACGAGAGCAAGTATGACCGGTCTAGAAAGAAAAAGATTGCGCGGATGGTGACCATCTGCTGCTTCCAGCGTGCCCACTCCGCCAACACAGCCTTTAGCACCGTCACACTGTCCGAGCCAGCCACCTCCAGCAACGGCTCCCGCAGGTCTCTTCCAACGTGCTGCCGACACCTCCCTTCCAACCGTGAGAACAGCGTCGAGGCACCGCCCTGCCGACATACATTCTCTACACCTCGGTATAGATCCTCTTTGCTGAAGCCATCAATGCCATCTTTGAATATCACGGCCAGAGCCTCGTCGACCTGCTCCCAGATCTTCTCAAGGTAGGCTTTGCTGTCCCATGCCGTGGTGGTTCGCAGGTTCTTGACGACGAGCTTCTTGGCTCCGGTATGCGAGTTGGCGCCCAATCTGCCTTTCATTGCTCCGTTGAGCCTACGCGCTTGAGGTGGTGTTGGCGGGCTGCCATTGGTGAGATCGATGACCCCGTCGCCGTTGGACATCGACGAGCGGGAGCTGAAGGAATACATTTCCGAGCTATTCAGTGCCTTCTGTGGCGTTCCAGTCGCAGCGGGGCACTCGAGCCTTTGGCGTTTCTTCGACGGTGAAGCTCTCACGGAAGCAGCTTGAGGCTTCTGTTGACCCGCGAAGAGACTCTGAAGTGTCTGCTGTCTAGACGGGTCTTCGGTAGTAGCTTGCCGGCTTGAACGCTTGCGTTTGCGGTCTTGTGAGGCGGAGGTGGCTCGTGATGGCGGCTGTTCAATGCCTGGCGACGACTGCATGTGATCTCATGCTCCCACTGCCCTCGAAGTGCTAATAACTGCGCTATAACATACTTTGTGCCGACGAGGAACGGGGAGAGCGATCAGTGCATCACTCTTGCTCCATCGATAAGCGCCACGCTAGTACGAGAGATATGGGGACCGTGCACGCAGTATTCCACGAGAGCTGTCTGCTGGCAACCATGTCAGGTTGATCAACATCGCGATGCTACCGGTGGAAGCTTGCCACACCGCCTGCTTATTCACTGGCTTCGCTAGCTTAGCAAAACCAGACAGCCATGTTAGTTGCGGAAGCACCAACAAGAGCATTACAATACCCTGGAGACACCACCGACAGCTATTCATTCAACACCGCTACTGCGCTCTACCAAGGCTTCTGCTACCAAATGGCGCAAGATTCACCTATTGACTTGCGCTGGATATACTTCGCACAATCGAAGCGTAAGCTAGAAGCGCTGTAGGATCGGTACCGTATTACAGCTTCGCTACGGGAATAGATTGTTCACGTGCATGATTGAGGTGTGAAGCTTGTCGTCAGAGACACCGCCAGGCCTGCAAATGGCCTTGCATTCGCATTCTCAAGCGCTCTTCTGCTTACTTTCATACAGATCATCTAGACAGACAGCCTGTTTGGCATCGGTTTCTGAAGTGCGCTTACCCCTACCATATCCATGAGCATCCCCAGAGACCTGTCTTTGACCTATCAAATCGCTTTTTTCTAGGGCCATCGCATCTGAAGCGTGTCAGGCAGTGGTCCCGTGGCGCTTGACCATTGAGGTAGTCACCAGCTCCGTCATCCCAAATCTGCTGCTACGCCGTTACTCTTGTGTGCAGTATGCCAATGATGCGTCTCCACGAACGCCCGCTTGCAGGTGCTATTGCGGAAGCTGCTCGATGTGTTGTGATGGTCTTGAAAGTGGCTTTCCTGTTTCACCTAGCTCACCTGCGTCTTGCTCCCGTTTCGCAAGCTCACAGGCATGCTCCTCGACGTCAGATATTGGCTTCCAATGGCTTGTCGGTACAAAGACCGGGTGATCTCGGAAGAGCTCATCCATGTCCTCTAGGTTAAGTCCCTTGGTCTCCGGTTGAAATGCCCAGAAGAAGATCGCGTTCGTGAAGTTGCAAATGATAAAGACGACATAATATTTCCACCCGATCGCATCAACAGCTATGGGTGTGACCTGGCCGATCATTGTGTTGAATGCAAAAGAAGTCATAGCGCCCCAGCTGACACCCTTCAGTCGCATTGCAGTGCCAAAAAGTTCGGCCGGTATTGCCCAGCTTAGCGGCCCAGACGTCCAGAAGAACACAAAGTTGAATAACCAGGTAAAGGCGACAAAGGTCCAGTGAGCCGCTGTTGATGGTGTATCCGCGGGAAAAACCTTGATGAGAACAGCATTGATGACGAATGTAATGCCTAGGAATGCACATCCGTATATTTCCAGCGGGCGTCGACCGAGCCGATCAACGGTTAGGATGCACACGGTAGTTCCGAGGAAGGCGAAAATCGCGTTTACGGCCGATAGGAGCAGAGCCATACCGGTGGATATTCCAATCTGCGCAAAGATTTGAGGCGAGAAATATTGTATAGCCGAAACACCAGTCATCTGACAGCTAGCTTGGATGGCCATGACCAATATGGTGCGGCGTAGATTTGGCCAACCTCTGAAGAGGTCGATGTAGCTGACCGACTTTTCGCGCGAGTGTTCATCGGCAATCTGCGCGTGAATGAGCTCGTACTCAGCCAGCACATACGGATCACTAGTGTCCCCATATGCGTGGAGCATTGCAAGAGTCGTAAGTGCTTCGTCCGACTTGTCGTGATCACACAACCATCTGCAGACCAGTCAGTTCTGTAGATATGGTTTTGCTCAGCTCGAAACACGCACCTCGGCGATTCTGGAAATGTGAAGATCAAGGCCCCGAGGAACAAGCACGGGATGATCTGAATAGCAAGCGGTATCCGCCACTCTCGGCTGTTGCCAGTCCCTTCCCAGGTCATAAAGCATCCATAGCCTATCCAAGTAGCGAAGATTTGGCCGATCGCGTTGAACAGCTGCTGCAGGCTGGTAATCTTTCCTCGAATCTTTCGATGGGCCAGCTCAGCCTGGTATATAGGGATTATCATCGTCAGAAAGCCTACTCCGATTCCTGCTATAAGTCGTCCAACGTAGAGCATGGAGATCGCCACGCCAGCGGTCTGGATAGCGCCCCCAACAATGAAGATACAGCAAGCCATAAGAATCGTCCCACGGCGTCCTAGAGGATCGGAATATGAGGCCAGGAATGCACCACAGAAGCAACCACCTGTGAAGAGGGCGACGACTGTCCCGGAACGGGTGGCACCGTTGGTCTGTAGGAACGCATCCTTGAACGATTGCGAAGCCACAACCTCTGCGATAACTCCTAAGTCATATCTTGCTCACGTTAGCCTACTTCGCTGGGAGAGTGTCGCAGCACTGACCCAAATAGAAAGGAGCCTATGGCAGCAAAGGAGCCAATCAGAAACTGATAGGTGGCACTCTTCATGTTTCTGTTTCGTAGACCGCACGATGTCTTTGCGAAGCAAACAGATGCTGATCCGGCAAAGGTAGAGACGGTCGGGCAATCCTGTAAGGGCACAGGACATACTGATATCAGTATCCTGTCTGTTTCACCTTCTCGAGGCGCTAGTTTGAGAAGAGTAAGCCGTCAACTTCGTCAAGTCCGGTTCATGCACAAGTGTGAAAATGGATACCGGCAATAATCTCCTCACGATCAAATTTCATTATGCACCATATGTCCTAGACAGCGTGGCTCCGCCGTGAGACCCGCAACAGCCGCAGTTCTGAAGCACCTTCAGCGACGGAGGATCTCCATCTGCCACAACTTACACGACCAGGTTTACCCACGCTCAGTGAATAAAACACGGCATCCCACACGAGCAGAGTGCAGGCAATTTTTCCGCGATCGCCGTCGAAACGCCGTCATGCATTTTCCCGGGCGTGCATAGAGTCGGGAGAGACACCGCCGAGATCAGCTACTGAGAGTGAGGTGCAAGCCTTGATTGAAGTTTCGATGCTCCAGTGCCTGGACCTCCCTCCACTCTCCGAGATGACAGCTGTTACTAGTCCATATTTCGGCAAGCCTGTTCGCCGTATGCGGAGTCAGTACGGATTCTCCACATGGTAGCCGGTGGAGACCCCATGACAACCCCGCCTTTGCTGTGCTTTCCCCCTCGCGACATTCCCTGCTAAGGGCATGCGATACTGACCGAGTTTGCATGACCTGCCAACCCGGATTGTCACGCACGGGCAGCTGGTCCCCAGTGGATGTAGGTGAAGACTGACATGGTTGCGTGGTATGCTACGAGTACAGAGGTTTCTTCCTCATGCATCTGGCCGCCTCGAACGAATGCTGCTTCAGGACGCTATTGAGCTCAGCTCATCCACCGGTATTCATTCGTGACATGCCAGATCGGCGCGCCCAAGACGGTAAGCACTGATAGACTGGGAAACTGTATTCATGGCTACGGTTGTCAATAATCCACCACTCAGAGTCCATACAGAGCGGCAGTGGTATAGGGTTCCCTGATCGGGTCATGGCGGAGGCAGCGTTCGGTAGGTGGCCGTGAACTCGGGGATGGGTACTAAAGGCAACTGTCAGTCTTGCGACATTACCATCTGTCCTCGGTGGGTTCAACTTCACATGGCTTGTGCCGACGTACTCGATCACGGTGCCTCGAATTAATCTGGCCCCAAGCACCTCATGTGTTTGAGCGGCCATTGCAAGCTTCCGGAAGTATCAATGGTGCAACATGGCAACTCTTGTGTACAACTACCGATGCAAATGTTTGATGCTACAAGTATCAGACCTAGACGAGTGAGTTTGCTGTCTGCTATGGCACCCATTGTAACCCAGGCTGATCGTAGACGAAGGAAGAGAGGCAGCAGTCAAGCAGAGAAAGTCATTGACACTTCCAGCAAGAATCATTGTTAGCTTCATTGTCATAGTGGTGGACCGGTACTCTTTGAATTCCTCGCGGGGTTGCTTGGCGGACTTGTGGTAGAAACGTAACATGCAGCGACTTGAGATCGTACGAGGAGTAACTGGACTTTATGTGTGGGGAGCGTGTTAACCCCCGAGAAATCCGAGCGCGGCTCCCTGCAACCATCCAGATTGAGTGCCACATTTACAGCTTGACCTCTCCTTCTGTCGGGCCGGCATGCATGAAGTTCGCTCGAATTGCAGTAATTGACGTCTGACCTTCTTTCACAGCCCAGCCATCTGAGCCCGGACCTGCCTGCTGCACAGCATCGTATACGTCTGTGAACCTGGGAGCCCATTTGAAGTGCCTATGTCGCCACTGGGTACTCGCAGGAGTCGCAACACCACTTTGAACGCCCTCGCTGCTTTCTTGCCGCCTTAAACGAGCTTCTTCCGAGATTGCATCGTCAACTGCAAATGACTGTGGTAATTCCTGAAAGCATGCGCCTTTCCTCCACTCATTCTGAAGCATCTGCGTGTAGACGGTCTTGGCTGTGCTCACGCCTTTTTTTAAGGGTACGTTGACGGAATAGAGACGGCCGCCACCCCATTCGGCCTTCTGTGCCAAGTGCTCGCAGACGGTTACACTATGCTTGCACGCTTCCTCTACAATGTCGGATGGCGTGTTACGATCGAAGAAGGCGTAAGAAAGTGCTATTGCGTGATAGCCACATACTGCCGCTTCCAGTGCAGCACCTAATGTGCCAGAGGAGAGCGCAAACACAGCTGTCGTATTTCTGCCGAAGTTTGGTCCTGATATAACCAGATCAATCGAGCCTCGATCGAGGAAGAAGTACTGACTTAGGCCTAGCTGAGCACAGCTTGCTGGTGTTGAGTTCACCAAGACCCACGGATGGTTGCCGTCGTCCTGGCTTGATGCGGCAATCGAGTGCTCCTTCGGATTCTCTACTGGCGGCCAGTAGTGACTGGCCTGTACGTCTTGGCCAACAATGTGTGCTTTACCAATCCATGAGCGCTGGGTGTCAGGAACAATGACCGAGACGGTATGTCCAGCTCGTTCAAGCGCTTTCACGAAGGGCAGCACGTACGGAGAAGCCTCCGCCGACGGTGGCCCGTCATCGTTCGTGACCTGATAATATTAGCCGATAGATTTCTTGCGGGTTATGTCCTCTCACCAGGATATGCATTGCTTTTGCTAAGCGGTTCAGAAGTGTGGTTTATACAGCAAGCCGAATGCATCTGGGCTGGCAGCTCCGTAAAGAAATGTTTCGATGTGCATTTAGACCTCGAAAGTTCATTGAGGTATTGCTTGATTGATGCTAAGCTCGCTTGCAAGGCAGTCTTAGTATTTCTGGTCACGCACTCTGCTTGGGAACTGCAGCCCAAAGCACTAAGTACATCTTCCCACTCTAGCCTGAGGCTTTCTTAGGTCCCACCTGTCGAACTCTTGACGCTGTCTGTAGGTACACTATCCCAACCACATACGACATCCGACGGAGATCCTCCGCCATATCTCTGCCGCGCTCAACTACCACGCGGTAGCAGCACAACTTTATCGGAGAACCGCCTGAATAGATACTGAGTCATGCCTTGCAGCCTCCTCACGCTTCTGTGCCGACCACCCGGTTAGTGCAGCTCGAGACATGCTTCGGCGAATGACAGCTTCCCAGTCTCTTCTCTAGACGCCACCCCACGGTGCCCTTGTCATGCCCACGTGTGGAGGCTGGAGTAGTGCGTTCCTTCAGCGGGGGTCTGCTGGTCCATGCTCTGGAGCATCTATGGCCTCGAGAGTCCGGACGGATACAGCTTCTCTCGACGGCAATCTGGTATAAGTCTCTAGTCCTTCCATCTCCCCCATTTTGATCTCTCCGTTCCTTGTTGAGTTGCGTTATAGCTCTATAAGCTATCAGTCACCATGGGTGCCAACGACCAGCCCTCAGCGGACGTCGAGTTCAAGGCATCTGCTATGCATGAAGAGAAGCTGGACCATGATCAGCTCGCTGATTCAAAAGTCGACCCCCATGGATACCCGCTTCGCCCACAGCCCACAGATGACCGCATGGGTAAGCCAGACAGCAACATGCTCACCAGTAGTAGGCCGCTCACGCATATACAGACCCTCTGAACTGGCCTTATTGGATCAAGATGGCGGTTCTTATCCAAGTCTCATTCCTCGCTTTCCTTGGTCCGTTCTGCCAGGCTGTGATCAATAGTGCTTTCGTGCCTCTATCGAAGGCCATGCATATCAGTGTCACAGTGGCCAGCTACAACACGACAATTGCCATCTTGTTCGCTGGAGTATCGCCAATCATATGGTCCCCGATTGCCAACATCTACGGCCGAAGGCCAATTTTTATCGCAGTCACCGCCCTTGGAATTGCAGCACAGTGCGCTTGCGCAGTTGCACCACATTGGAGTGGGATCCTGATAGCAAGAGCATTCGTGGGTATCGGAACTTCGGCTGGTATGGGTATTGGCGCAGCTGTTGTGGCTGATTTGTATGTTGGCTTCACGACGGACCCTCGAAGGCGCGACACTGCTAACGATCCTGATCCAGGTTCTTCACGCACGAAAGAGGGAAATATACGGGGATCTATATCGTCTTCGTAACTAACGGTGCACATCTTGCTGCTGTAGTCGGCGGCTTCACAGCCCTCAATAAGCATCTCGGCTGGCGCTGGTGCTACTGGGTGCCGGCTTTCATTTTCGCCGGTACCTGGGTGGTGATGCTCTTCTGTCTTCCAGAGACGCTCTATCACCGCGACAACAAGACCGGTGAATCACATATGCAGGGAGACCGAACCTGGTTTCAGCTTCTCACCTTCCGTGGCGTGACGGCGCATCGAAAACTCAAGCTGTCAGATTTCGGACATGTCTTTGTCATGCTCCGGTACCCAAGTGTACTTCTGCCTACAATCTACTACTCTATCAGCTTCGGATTAGGCAGCGTCCTTTTCGCCGTGACTGGCGCAGCAGCCTTCGGCAGCATCTACAAGTTGTAAGTCTTGCTTCTCGATCACTTTCAGCCAAGGCAGCAGGATCTCAAGGTCAATGGCGACGCGTGGATGCTTGGTGCAAGCATAGGAGGCTGAGAAGCTGGCCATCATCCGGGACTGTATTGTTAGGCTGTGGAGCAGAGCAGCGTTCCCACAGTATCGACTGATGCTAAGCTTCAATGACTGCCGGTAGACGGGCATTAGACTGGTTTTGATTCTGGGAACGACGCACGCTCTTTGGTCAGATCCCTGCTAACTATGAGTTTGTAGCAACACCGCCCAAATCGGCATGGCGATCGGGCTCAGCACCTTCATTGGAACCTTGATCGGCGAACTCCTCGCCGGACCGGTGTCCGACCGCATTCTATACATACAAACGAAACGTAGCAATGGCGCCTTTCGCCCAGAAGCACGCCTTCAAGCCATCTGGCCCGGCTTCTTCTTGTGTCCAGCAGGCGTCATCATCGAAGGGGTGTGTCTGCAATACAAGACCCACTGGGCTGGGCCTGTCATCGGCATCGGGATTGCTGCGTTCGGCCTGCAGATCATTTCAACCAACATCTTCGCCTATTGCACGGATTGCTACAAGCCGCAGAGTGCGGAAATTAGTACGTTGTTGAACTTTGGACGACAGACTTTCTCCTTCACGCTGGGCTTCTATATGGTACCGTTCGCACATGCAACGTCGTACGGGGTTGCTTGGAGCGTTTTGGCTATCATCAACGCATGCTTGTTTACTGGTATAGTGCTGCTTATGTGGAGAGGCAAGCATTGGCGGGAGAGTTTGGGAAGTCCGAATTTTGACAAGGACTTGTAGCGAGCATAGCGCTCGTACGTATGCATATGTAGCTCGTTTGTAGTGAGGTCGTTGTACTCTGGAGAAGTAAATTGAGGGGAGAGCTGCTTGCGGCGATCGAGATGCTGCCTGCACCACCGCCACATCATATAATCGTTCTACACCATCTTGTGCCCGTTACAGCGTCGAAAGCACTGACCGTCATGACTCGTGAACGATTTAAACAGTGGGCGTGTACCGAAGTCGGCAGCTTGGGTCAGAGGAGCGGTACATATAAGCTGACGACTCCCTCTGCCACCATCTTCTCTGAGCTGCCAGCTCTCGCAACAGGCATTCCCTCGTCGCTTATCTGAATGAAAAAACCCTTCTCTTCTCAAGTTCCGGACAACCCTCTGTAAAGATGGCGCCGTTGAAGATGAACTTGTGAGTTGAGACCTGATTACAATATCCTCGTCAGGGACGGATGCTCGATGCAACGGAGCGTGTGATTGTTCGTCCAATGCATCAGGATGGCTACATACGAATACCTAGTGCTTACGTTTCGCTGGTGAGGTACGGTGCGCTAACACTTGCCTTCTAGTGCTTGCTGTCTATACGATCGAATGGTGCCGTTGGCCACAGGCGAAGTGCAACCCAGAGGACTGGATTTGAATTTCCTAGAGTTCCACCATCCCAGGGATATCTTTGACAGGCAAGCTGGAAACAAAGAATTTGATGCTTGTGAGCTCTCGAGCTCCGAGTACATCACACGTTACGCTGCTGGAGACAAGTCATTCGTTGCCATCCCTGCCTTTCCGTCCAGAGCGTTCAGACACTCCTTCATTGCCGTGAACAGCAACACGGTGAAGAGTCCGAAGGATCTGGAAGGGTGCGTGTAATGCATTGCTTGCTAGCTGTCTGGATATTCCCTCATGATCTCACAGGAAAAAGGTTGGAGTACAGCTGTATACAATGACTGCTGCAGTTTGGCAGAGAGGCTTGCTCCAACACGAGTATGGTGTGGATCTAGACACTATCGAGTGGGTTGAGGGCATGATGGAGGCTCCCGGATCTCACGGAAAGCCGTCTGCGCTACCGCCGTTGAAGCCTATCAAGATCACCACCAACAACAAGCCCAAGTCTCTGAGTCAGTTGCTGGAAGACGGCGAGATCGATGCGACCATCGGTGCAGACCCACCAGATTGTCTCGGCCGAGCACCGCACATTAAGCGTCTGTTTCCGGACTTCAAGAAGGTAGAGATGGAGTACTTCAAAAAGACCGGCATTTTCCCGGCCATGCATCTGACTGTGTTGCGAAGAGAGTTCTACGAAGCCAACAAGTTCGTGGCGTCGAGTCTGTTCGAAGCGCTGAACGAGAGCAAGGATTTGGCACGTAAGAAAATGAGTTACACATCAGCTTTAAGGTATATGCTGCCGTGGCTTCCTGAGGCTTTGGATGAGATCCAGGAAGTCTTCGGCGGTGATTGCTGGCCGTATGGACTTGAGCCGAATCGCAAGATGCTTGAGGCTTTGATTCAGTACCTACACGAGCAGAGCATGATCGAGACTAAGCCGACGGTGGATGAGCTATTTGCGCCAGTCAGCTTGACGAGATTCAAGATGAACCTGAATGATTCACTGCCATAGCGAAGCTGTATTATGGTAGCTGTGGTATAGTGCCTCCAATTCGTGCTTCAATCGCACGATGTCCAGTTCAGCGCAGGAGGAACGGTCTCCTTGGCGGCAATGTGTGGCAGCATATCGAGACGATTTACCTATTTGTGATTTGTTGCCTGCTGGCAAGGATTTACCTGTCTGTGATTTTTGCCAGCAGGCAACAAATCACACTCTAACAACGTTCTTCTAGAATCCTGAGTATGAAATAATAGCCACGTAATGGTGGGACTTGATTGTTGCTCGGCTTGCCTGCAAGTCTTCGAATAGCTCTGATTACAGTTATATGCGAGTAACTCCTGGGAATGCTGCGGCTACTCGATCGCTGAAAACGCTGAGATACATGTCAATATACTCGGACGGAAAGCTCCCAACGGTCGGATTGAGCAGCTGGACAATTTTACGGTCATACAGTAGTATCGAGCAACCCAATATCATAGTAGCCTGAGGCAGAAAGAGCGCCTTGAGCATCGAGCATGTGACATCAGTGAACATCCTACATTCGTACATGGTCTAACGGCAAGGGTGTGCATGATCCGCTAACGGCTTACTGGGTTGCACGCTGATGGTACGACAATGATATCGAGGCTGCTGTCCTCACGGCTCGCCTCCACCACCAGTAACAGGCCCGCCGCAGTGCTCACGCGAGCGGCACGATCACCACCTACGCGAAATGTAGGCTCGTTATATGAAAGCAGCGCCATAGCTGCAAGACGACCACTGTCGCACGCTGCGCTGTCCCGAGCAAGCGCCTCGCTTCGAACTGGCCGAGCATGGCCGCAGCGGAGGATGTGGCCTTTCGGCAGCAATGCCATCCACAACCTCCCCGCAGTCCGACATGCCTCCTTTGCACGAGCCATTCCAAACCTGGCTATGAAGCTCATCCGAGTTCCTGCAATGTTCGGCATGGCGATGCTGGGCGGCTTGGCATATCTCCAGTATCAAGCAGCGCAAGCAGGCACATATGTCATGGATGTGTTTGGTAAAGCAAAGGATGCTGCCTCGGGAGCGGCAAACGGGGTACTGGAAGGCGCAGGTGACCTGGCCGCGCAGCTAGGTAGAGGCTGGGAAAAGACGAAGGAGGACGTCGGAGGCATACAAATGCCGCAGTGGATGCGCGATATTTATGAAGGCAGAGGGGGGCAAGAAGGCGGAAGTGAAGGCGGCAGTGGCGGTCCTGAGGAGCCGAAGCAGGCGGGTGTTGGTGCTGCTGGAGCCGGTGCCGCGACCGCTGCAGCGTTCGCCCTAGACGCTGAAGGCGAGCAGGACGACAGAGACGAAAGCACCGCGGCCAGGGACGATCAGATGATGATGCTTACACGGAAGATGATCGAGATCCGTTCCTTACTGCAAACCATTGGGCAGTCAGAGTCTCTGACCCTTCCATCTATTGTCGTAGTCGGTTCGCAGTCATCCGGCAAGAGTTCAGTACTGGAAGCTATCGTAGGCCACGAGTTCCTTCCCAAAGGCTCAAACATGGTCACAAGACGCCCAATCGAGCTTACGCTGGTCAACACACCAAAAGCGCATGCCGAATACGGAGAGTTCCCAGCGCTCGGTCTAGGCAAGATCACGGACTTCAGTCAGATACAGAAGACCTTGACGGACCTCAACCTCGCTGTACCAGAGAAGGACTGCGTCTCTGACGATCCAATTCAGCTTCGCATTTACTCGCCTCATGTCCCTGATCTCAGCTTGATCGATCTTCCCGGATATATCCAGGTTGAAGCATTTGACCAACCGACTGAACTGAAGACAAAAATCCAGGAGCTCTGTGACAAATATATCCAACCACCAAACGTCATCCTAGCCATATCTGCTGCGGACGTGGACCTCGCGAACTCGACCGCCTTGCGCGCTTCGAGACGAGTAGATCCTCGTGGTGAGCGGACCATTGGCGTTATCACGAAAATGGATCTTGTCGATCCTATACGAGGTGCACAGATGCTCTCTGACCGTAACTATCCTCTACGGCTAGGTTATGTTGGTGTAGTCTGCAAAGTCCCGCAGGAGTCGAGGTCGCTGTTCTCACGAGGCTCGGCAAACATCACGAATGCGATTACAAGGAACGAATCAGCGTACTTCAACGCCCACCCGGAAGCCTTTGGACCGAACAGCAACATTTTGACCGGGACGCCGAACCTACGAAAGAAGCTCATGCATGTCCTGGAAGCAACCATGTCGGCTTCTCTTGCTTCGACAAGCGAAGCGATCCATCATGAGCTGGCAGAAGCCTCGTATGAGTTCAAAGTACAGTACAACGAGCGTACCTTGAGCGCGGAGAGCTACCTTGCGGAGAGCCTAGATGCTTTCAAGCATGCGTTCAAAGGCTTTTCGGACTCGTTCGGTCGCGCCGAAGTTCGCGAGATAGTAAAGCGTGAATTGGATCAGCAAGTACTGAACCTACTCGCGCAGCGATACTGGAACAGGCCTGTGGAGAGTCTCCGACCGGTTGACCAGCTGGCTGAAAGCATTCAACAGCCTCTTGCAAGCCTGCCCAAAGCGGATTCGGAAGACCCATTATGGCACCTCAAGCTTGACGCGAGCACGTCTACGCTGACAAAGTTAGGTATTGGACGGCTTGCTACCACCGTTACGGCACAAGCGCTGCAAGAGAGCGTGCAAAGTCTCATACAGAACAGCACGTTCTCTACACATCCGTTCGCCGTGCAAGCCATCACGCAGGCGTCCGAGAACATTCTGCGGGACCTCAGCTATGACACGTCGGATGAGCTCGAAATCTGTGTCAAACCGTACAAATACCGTGTTGAGGTGTCGGATGCGGAGTGGCGGCGTGGTAGGGCCAACATTGGAGAGGTGCTTAAGCACGAACTTAAGGATTGCGAAAGCGCCTTGAAGGCGCTCGAGGATCAGATTGGTGGGCGTAGAAAGGCCAGTGACGTCCTCGCTTTCATCGACCGAGTACGCAAAGGCGACACGGTGCTTGAAGGTGACGGCGTCGGTGGCGCAGGTGGCTTCAGCTCCGCTCTGTTGCAGAAAGGACGAGAGGCGCTCTTTCTCCGCGACCGTGCGGATATCCTACGCATGAGATTGGCAGCCGTGAAGTCACGGCAATGCTCGGATCCGAAGAACAAATATTATTGTCCCGAGGTCTTTCTGGACGCTGTAGCCGACAAACTCACCTCGACTGCCGACTTGTTCCTCGATGCGGAGCTTTTGAGTAAGTTCTACCACCAGTTCCCGCGCATCCTGGAGCAGAGATTCCGGGATATGGACGAGAGTACTGTAGAACGCTTTGCCAGAGAGGATCCGAAGATCAGACGTCACTTGGACGTTGTGAGGAGGAAGGAGCTGTTGGAGCATGTGCTGAAGGAGATGGAGGCTCTGCGGGCGCTGGAGCAGCGGGAAAAGCGGAGTACAGTGAGGAGTGGGTCGACGCAGGAGGAAGGGAGGAGGAAACGAGGTTGGGGCATCTTTTGAACATGGTATTCCGTTCTGGGCGTTTGGTGCTGTGGAGGCGTTGTTTGGTTCACGAGAGATACCACGATACTGAGTATGCTGATCTTGCTTTAAAGAGATGCGCTTTCCGCTCACAGCTTAACAAACCTTCACGGCAGCCTTCCAGTTTCTGTTGCCATTGCCAAACGAAACATGAGATTGCTCCAACCGTAACGCAGCTCTTACCAAGATTTCCAATATGCCGGAGAATGCAAGCAAGACACAACTGCCGTCGGAGCGTGTGGTCTTGCTATTTCAATCTGAGCACAACTTGCATATTACACTCAGTGCGACCAAGGCTCACTACTTTACAATGTGTAGTGTCCTGGAGAAGGCGGCACGTTACCACTCTCCCACATCGTCTGCTGACTTCCCATCTGAAACACAATCGTGCCTCCGTTGACCATAACGTCACCATGGCTCAGCCAATTCTGTGTCCAGGGCCGACCATTGACCGTCACAGACTGCACGTAGTAGCTGTTCGCATTGTCGAGCCCGTTCGCCATGATCCGCAGCGTAGCGTTACCATTGATGGTCATGTTGATATCTGGGAACCAAGGCGACTGTATGAGGTAGACGGGCTGCGTGACGACTGGATACAGACCGAGCATCTGCCAGATCAGCCAGCTGTTGAGAGCGCCGGCATCGCTGTTACCGGGGACGCCGTAGTTAGCGTTGTGAAAGTACTGATTCGCCAGGGAGCGGGCACGCATGACACTCTTGTACTGTTTCCCAACGTAGTTGTACTCGTAGGGTGTAGCAAAGTCCGGTTCGTTGCTGCAAAGTCCGATTAGCAAAATCCATCCCGTCTGATATTGCAGGTCAACTTACCCGATGTTCATGAGCGTAGTGATTCCCGCTCCATTGGCACCCAGATTCTGCTCAGAGGTATTTGGCTGGAAAATGTAGTCTAGTCTACGCTCAAACTCCGCAGAGCCACCCATGAACTGAATAAGCGTCTGCATATCGTGCGGTATCGTGAAGGAGTACTCAAATGGTGTACCTGATCATCGGAGAGTCGAAGGGTTAGCAAAGCTTCAGACGAATGGAAGGGCAATCACCTCTTGAGTCGCTTACCCTCATAGGTGATTGATTGCCACTCGCAACCACCGCATAGCGCTGGGTTGTAGTCGGTCAGGTTGAATGTGCCGTTCGATAAACGTGGCGCAAGGAAGCCTGTGAAGTTCTTATGGGTAACGTTGGCGTTCCAAATGTTCTGCCACTGCGCTGACCGAGCAAGATATTTCTGCGTGTCATTTGGTGCGACGCCGCGTGCCACTTGCGACAAAGAGAAGTCGTTGAGCGCATACTCCACACTCCGCGAGATAGCCCTCGTGCTTCGATCGGAGCTGACGTAGCCGAGCGGGATCCAGTCGTACAGAGCCCCTCGACCCTCTTTGACACTCGCCGTGAAGTCGGTGTAGCTGAAAGTGTTGTAGGGCACGACCTCGGCGTCTTTCAGCATGGCTTGGTAAGCTGCGGTCCAGTTGATGCCAGGGAGACCTTTGACGTACGCATCGGCCAGCACGTTGTCCGCGTTACTTCCGCCTTGTACCAAGCCGTTGTAGTTGCCGCTTCGACCGTCCGGCATGAAGCCCTCCCAGCGCCATATATCGATCAAGGCGCGTATCATGCCCTGATAGTAGGTCGGCTGTATCAGGTGGTATAAGGAGACGGTGCAGCGGAAGATGTCCCATAGTGTATAGAAGTCGTCCCAGTAAGACTCGATGTTCGGCCAAAGCGGGTTCTCTCCTGTCCGGTCCGACGGCATGAGGTCTAAGGTAGTGATCACTATCGTTAGCACCGTCTCACAGATCAAGTAGATGGTACTCAGAAGTTTACGTACGCATAAAGTAAAGACTGGAGTACAGCAATATCAGATTCGTCCGGTTCTGCGTCGAGTCGGTGGGTACTCGTATCTTGCTAAAGACGTCCTGGTTCCACTCCGAGACTGCCGCTTGCACCGTGTCGTTGAGGTTCCACGAACGGATCTCTGAATTTTTGAAAGCGCAGGCTTTGTCCGCAGAGATGAAGCTGATACCGACTCGAGACTTGATCGTGGATACAGATGCGTTGCTCCAGGTGAAGAGTGCTCCGACTCGATTGTTCAGCGGTCCAGCGGTCTCAGTAAGATTGCCAAACGTCGCTTGTGGAACTGGGCCGTCAGACCAGGTATGGTACCTCGCAATCGGGTCCGTCAGCCGTCCACTGAATGCGTTCGCCTGATCGGGCGCGTGGTCGAACTCGCCGCAGAAGTATACAGTCATAGGCGCGCTTTCGCTCCAGCCCCCACCGATAGTGGTGTAGCCTGTATATATTTGACCACCAGGCTGCAGATCCATCTCGCCTCCGACGTAGAACTGCACGTCGCTCCCACCAGTCTCCGAAGGTAAGTAATGCGACAGATCCACGAGGATGTGTTTGTCGCCAGCTGGGAAGGCATACTCCATGATCCCGCTGTGTCTGCTCGCACTCAGCTGCACGCTGACTCCGCTCTCAAGCTTCGTGGCGTAGTATCCGACATTAGCAGTATCGTTGCCCACTCTCTGCTGCCAGTAGGTTGTGTTATCGAGTACATTGACTGTAGCCAGACTGCCCGCCAATGGCATCTGTGGTACAATACCATACTTCGGCGCGCCGCCCGTCCCGCTCTCATGCATCATGCTGATAGCTGTGACACGGCCTTGCGGAGTGTAGCCGCCATTGAGGGTACTGAAAGAGACGTTCTGCTCATATGTATCGATGCCGACTTTAACAACGCCAAAGGGCAAAGCCGCTCCAACAAAGATGTCGCCACCGCCGAAAGCGAGGCCTGGGAACGGGCCTTCAGAGCCGATGAAGGGGTTGACATATTGGCTGTAATCAACCTGTGCTACAACAAGGCTGGAAAGCCAGATGAGTGTACCGAGACGGAAATTGACAGAAGTCATAATGGTTTTAATCCCAACACCGAGGGAAGGGAACAGGAAGAGGAAGCTCAACTCACCATGAACACTTACGGTGTGTATTACTTAGGCTTCCTGCTGTCTTGACCATGTTGACTCGATCGTGTGGTGCACGAAGTACACGATGTAACACTGGTGGTTTGTGCCTGACATCATGTACCTGACCAATCTCCGCACTTCAACATCCTTCGTGAGGGGTTAAGCTGACGATCGCAGATGTGTACATGAGCTTGACTCGTGAAAAACATACTCGGACTAGCCGCTAACGATTGCCAGATGGACGCTGCCTTGTACCACATTACTCATCCATGAAGAGGCGGCGACGCTGGCTGGCGTTCTGGAGACTCAAGGGTGCTGGACGTCTTGGCATCTGAGCGTACTGGCCATATGCGCACACGAAAGCAAGTATTCGCAAGTGTTCGCAAGTGGCGCCCAATAGCAGCCGGGCGCACATCAGTCCTCAGACTGGTCCTCCCTCGAACCCTCCACGGACCCGTCGTCTAGCGCAGCGAACGGGCACTTTGGCCACTCTGTACCACCAGTTGATAGTACACCCTGCAAGTCCAGTATCTTCGTAAACCACCTTTCTCGCCGAGTACTAGCCCGCTGACTACCTTCGAGTGCGCTGCGTGCAGCCCTCGTAGTCCTTGCGCGCTTGTTCTTCTGGCCATCCGAATTTTCTAGCAGACGGCTAAGCCGTTCACGTTGTTCCTCGAGCGCAAGGTCATATTGCACGATCGAGCGTACATAAGGTGCAAGGTCGACGGCAACAGGCGCCAATGGTCCGTCGAACGCTGACTGTAGCAAACCTGGACCGGTCGAAAGCGCTGATTCTGCAGGTGCCGATATGGCGTCGAAGACGGCAAAGTGGTGGCGTTCAAGCTGACCATTGCCGTAACCGGCACTTCTGGCCTCAATGGCTATGTCCAGAAGACGACCGTCGTCCAACTGATGCGATGTGGTCGCAGACAGCAGATGGACAGCCCTTGCCACCATCTCCATGCCCGTGGTGAAGTAGTCTGGATGCTCATCAACCTGCATAAGTTGCATACCTTCCACATACTGTCTCCGCGCTTTATCGCAAATCTGAGGCTGTGTTGTATCCAGTCGTGCAGTCTCCGGAAGTTCTCCGGCTGTAAACGTATCAAGGGCACTGACTATACCTGCGTGCCATGCATACTGTCTTACGCTGGCGTAGCGGTTGCTTTGGTTTTGCGGTACAGAGGGTATCTTGTTCGATTCGCTGAAGAAGTCAAGAGGCTCGAGCCCAAATTCGCGCCAAGACCACAACGTCTTGTCTGTCTCGCTTGTTGCAGTTCCGTGAACCAGGCCCACGCCTTGGCGATAAGTGCCGTCGCTGACGACCCTGAGCTTGCGCCCAGTTTCGTCCACGTCCGAGCCGGGCGGCCAGCGCTGGTAGAGCCAGCCTAACCCGCATCGAGGATCGCCAACACCCATCTGACACCAGAAGTCAAGCTCCGTCAGCGTCGCTCGCAGATCTCTGCCTTTAGCTTGATACAGCGAGCAGACTGCCTGGCGCTTCAGCAGGTGGCCTTCTGCAGCAGCGACAAGGAGCAGGTAGTCAGCGGCCAAGTCGACCGATGGCGGAGTGAAGCGCAGGATAGCATGTAGATTCATCGCTTGCAGCGGAACAAGGTCCTCGTCGTTACATGTCATGATGAACGGACGCTTGGAGCTAACGATCAGCTTGAGGACGGTACTCCAGAACTCCTTGTCGTCTTTGAAGAGGATGTCGACCTCTTCTAGGAGGACGAGAGACTGTTGCTGGTCCTTCGATGGCTTCCTTAATGTTTGCTTGACAGCCTCCAGCGTCTTCGACCTTGCAGCCTGCTTCTTCTTCGCGGTAGGCTTGGTGTTGGCTTGCGGCTTGAAAAAAGCGTTCATCTTGCCTTGTCTGCCACAAGCCAGATCACGTTGGAACTCTTCCTCAAGCCGCGCGTTGTTGGGCTCCTCAGTAGACGAGACTTCGCCAGCATCGAGGCCATGATGTTTGACAAGGTGGTTCTCCGTCATGTCACCAACCCTAGCAAGAATGTCTTTGCCACTACGCCGCTCCGACGGGCTGATTTCGAACACTTTAAAGCCTTGCTCCCTCGCAACCGCATAAGCCGCCGCTGTTTTTCCACTGCCATGCGGTCCACTTAGCAATACCGCGTTGCTAAGCTTTACTCCATCGAGAGCGACCTGCACCATCGACTTGTGTCCGTTGCGGGGCCCGTCAGTGCCGGCGTCCCCAGGATCTGTAAGCTCGTCCATGTTACGGATCTCTTCGTCGCTGTCCACCAGAAAGTCGTCCATCTCGTCGTGTTTCCTTCGCCGCTTTTTCTTCGGTCTACAGCCCTCCTGTGGCAATGGCTTGGGTGCAGCGCTCGGTGCACTTTCCACCGCCGTTACCGTAAGCGAGGTGAGCCAGGTCTTGAGCACCGACATCGCTTGCGCAGGCTGAAGTACCTCTGCCGCCGTCGACGGAGCGTACTTATGTGTCCAGCCCAGGTTCTCGCCTCTGCTTTCGTCAAACGCGGTCAAAGTGGTTGGGATACGATCCCAGATGTTCCTCAGAGCGGGATGAGGGCTAAGCATTGAGGAAGACGGCAATGACACCGGAATGTCTAGGTCATCAGGGAGCAAGCCTGCAATCTCCGGCCTTATCCGTTGGCGGATCTGGTCACCAGTGATCAACAGCTTGTCAGGCACTTGCAAGGAGCGATGAGGCTCCTCGAAGCCATCAGACCTGAGAACAGTTTCTGGCTCAGCTACCAGATCAGCTCGAAAGCTTGTAAGCACTGACTCTGCGGAAGGAACAGGTAGCTTGACAGCTTTCCGTTTGCGCGTTCTGCTGAACCATTGCTCATCGACAGTAGTCAAGCGCGGCAAGGCGCTTTCGCCGTTCGAGACTCCTCGCACATGGGCAGTCTCCTTCGCAGGCCAAGCTGGTTCTTTCGCACCCGGATGCTTCACGATCAACCGGTCTTTGAGGAGGCCTGAGCCGACAGCGTACGGCACTTCTTTGACGGAAGAGACTGCAGACAAGCGATCATTCCAGATTTGCGTTTTCAATTTGCCCGGCGTTGTTGCGGAAGCCTTGCGTGGAGACTCTTGCTTCGTTGTTGGTTGCAACTCGTTAGGCTTGCCCGCGAAGAATGGATGGGTGGCTTTGCCAGATTTCCTTGGGGTTCGAGGCTTCTTTGGCGAGAGTTTATGGTTATGTACATCAACCCTTTCTTCGCCATGCAGGATGCGGTGGACCACCTGACCTACGTCGCGTCCTGCAGACGAAGCTTGAGCATATGGTATCTTAACAATGAGCGTCTTCTGCTCTGCGGGCTGTTTAGCTTTCCTCGAACGGCCTTTCCGTTTAGGCTCATCCGAAGAGATTTCGGTCGCCGCGGCATCCTTTGGTTCTCGCCTGATGGGAGAGCTAAACTTGCCGCTGGCGTTTAGACGTAGAAGCTTCTTCGGTGGCGTCGTCGGTAGGATCAATGGATCCGACACGGGGTGCTGTTGGTCGACTTCTTCAATTACCGGTAACGGCGAAGATGCAGGAATGATCACTCGTGGGGACTTCGGCGGTGCTCCATCTCCTGCGTCACCAGCTTCTTCATGTCGGAGAGTGCGCAGAGGATTCGAGGGCAGCGCAACATCAGACGTCGAGTTGGAGTTCACCAGATCGTTGCCGATTTCCCGGTATTCATGCTGGCTTGTTCGCCGTCGTTTCTGACAGGGACCCTCCACTACCGAATTCGATGCCGCTACTGCGGTCCCGGTATTATTAGTTTTGCCAGCATCGCTATCGCCGACTCCAGGGTGGAGTGCAGAGGACAAGGTTCGCTGCTTCTTGCCATTGCCGTCGACTTGCGGTTGGGTTTTCGACTTCCTCTCTCGCTTCTTGTGCTTGTCCCTGCCTGCATCGTTCGCCTGGCCCCCGTTCTCCTCGGCGTGATCACGTTGTTCTGCGCCCTCGAGATGGTCTGCTTGCTCATTACAACCGTTGCTCTGCTTAAAGAACGGATGTATGCTCTTCTCCGCATCGCCATTCATTGCGGGCCACCATGTCGCCACCGTCGCCATACACGTGCAATGCGGCCCATTTGCTACGAGGTTGCCGCGATGTGTACCCAACGATGTTGTCGTGGATGAGTGAAGTGATCACTGACGTTCGCTCAGTCTCCAGTCCTCATCTCGTGGAGGAGGTGACGCGACTGAACGCGCACGGGAATATCCGCTCACTTACACTAATCCCGCAAAATCCGGCGCATCTATTTGCGCCAAGATTTCGTCTGCATTTCCAGCCTTCTCCGTATCCCAGGCGAAACATTTTGTGCTTTAGTGTCGCTTCAATTTCAACACCGCAATGGCCATCCAAAAGAAGCACGCCAAAGCGCGCTTGGACAAGTACTACTACCTCGCAAAGGAGAAGGGTTACCGAGCCCGAGCGGCGTTCAAGCTCATCCAACTCAATAAGAAGTACTCCTTCCTGCAACAGTCGAAATGCCTCATTGATTTATGCGCGGCGCCGGGGTCATGGCTGCAGGTTGCAGCAGAGACCATGCCGGTTAAGAGTCTCATCGTTGGTGTAGACCTGGCGCCGATCAAGCCCATACCGAGGACCATCACCTTCCAAGGCGACATAACAACGGACAAGTGCCGTGCAACGATCCGTGGCCATCTCAAGACGTGGAAAGCCGACACAGTGATTCACGACGGCGCGCCAAATGTTGGTACAGCTTGGGTGCAGGATGCCTTCAGCCAGAACGAGCTGGTCTTGTCATCGCTTAAGCTTGCTACTGAATTCTTGGCGCCACAGGGCACATTCGTAACCAAAGTCTTCCGTAGCAAGGACAGCGCAAAACTGGAGTGGATCTTCAAGCAGCTGTTCGCGAAGGTAGAGCAGACCAAGCCACCCTCAAGCCGAAATGTCTCAGCCGAGACCTTTTACGTTTGCCGTGGCTTTAAGGCACCAAAGCATCTTGATCCGCGCTTTTTGGACCCCAAGCACGCATTTGCGGAGGTGGAGGAGGCGGCCGTCAACAATGAAGCACGTGTCTTCAACCCAGAGAAGAAGAAGCGGAAGAGAGAGGGTTATGAGGAAGGCGATTGGACGCAGTTTAGCGAAGCTGCGGCGAGCGAGTTCGTGCAGACGCAGGATCCGATTCAGATGCTAGGTAGTCTTAATCGGTTACACTTTCGGCAGGAAGGGAACGGTGACATTGCTCTGGCGGCGCTGGACAAACTGCCGGAGACGACAGAAGAGATTAGACTATGCTGCGCCGATCTGAAAGTGCTGGGTCGCAAAGAGTTCAAGATGTTGCTCCGATGGCGATTGAAGGCGAGGGAGCGGTTCGGCTTCCGGCAGAAGAAGTCGTCTAACCCAGCTGCTCCATCTGCTGAGACTACCGCTGCCGGTGCGGCGGACGATACTGCAGCTGAGAATGGTATCGTTGGTGAGGAGGTTGCCATGGTCGAACCAATGGATGAAGAGATGCGTCTGCAAGAGGAGATTCAACAAATGAAAGACCAGCAATCGAAGGTCAAGCGGAAAGAGCGCCGAAGAGAGAACGAGCGCAAACAGAAGGAGATCACACGCATGCAGATGAACATGACTACGCCTTCCGAGATCGGTATTGACGCTGCAGCACCTATGGGAGGTGACGCGACGTTCCGGTTAAAGGATGTGGAGAAGGCGGGCATTGCACGGCAAATAACGAGGGGGAGGATGCATCATGAAGTTGAGCGAGCGAAGGCGGAGGAAGTGGCTGACGAGGAAGAAGAGGAGGACGAGGTAGGCGACGAGTTGGAAGCGCAATTAGATAGTTTGTATGAAAGCTATCAGGAGCGTAAGGAGGACCGAGATACGAAGGCGAGGGCTAAGCGGGTCCGAAAGGAGACGAACCCTGGCGAAAGTGACGATGAGTTCGAAGGCTTCGACAAAGCTGCTGATGAGGGTGCGGAGACGGATGCGAGCAGTGACGCTGACTTGATCGAGGATAACGATGACGACGATCTCGAAACTGGTGTTGAGGATGCTGCACTCCTGAATGACTTGGCGCCGAAAGACGGACCACGACAGGGCGCTTTATCTGGACGTGCAGCGAGTTTCTTCCAGCAAGACATCTTCCGTGATCTTGAGGTGGACAATGATCTGGACGACGAGGCTCATCTGGACCACGAGGCAGATGTGGGAAGAGATAGTGGGATTGACGTTGGCTCTGGCGATTCTGTCTCGCCACCGTTCAAGGCCAGCACGGCTGTTAAGGAAGCGGTTGACGAGGAATATGGCGACGATGATGAAGAAGTCGATGATGCAGATGAAGCCATACAAGACGTTCAGACGAAGGACCCTGAATCGTCCAAAGATGACTGGGAAGAGGGCACGCAACGGGTTACCGAGGCAAAAGAAGGACGTCCCAACATCAACATCATCACCGCCGAAGCCATGACCCTCGCTCACGCCCTCGCTACAGGCCAAGTAACGAAGCAAGCATTAGAAGACGACGCTTTCACCAAGTTCTCTCACCGCGACGTCGACGGTCTACCAGAATGGTTCCTCGACGACGAGTCCAAGCACAGCCGCCAGCAACGCCCCATCACCGCCGAAGCAGCCGCAGCGATTAAAGAGAAGTTCCGCGCTCTGAACGCTCGGCCTATCAAGAAGGTGCGAGAAGCCAAAGCGAGGAAAACACTACGGGCGGCGAGGCGGTTGGAGAAGTTGCGGAGGAAGAGTGAAGGGTTGGCGGAAGGTGATGGGGATGGGATGGGCGTGTTTAGTGAGAAGGATAAGGCGGGCCAGATTGCGAAGTTGATGGCAAAGGCGAAGAAGAGCGGAGCGAAGCGGAAGCCGAGTGTGAAGGTTGTGGTGGCGGGTGGCGCCAATAAGGGTGCGGGAAGGCCGAGGGGAGTCAAGGGAAAGTATAAGATGGTTGATAAGAGGTTGAAAAAGGATGTTAGAGGGGAGAAGAGGTTGGCTAAGAAGATGAAGGGGAAGAAGTAAAGGGATGAGTGTGGCACCAAGCGAATTGCGCGTAAAACAAGAGCATCCATTCACTATTCAAGGTGTCTCCATCTTCGTCTTACCACCTTAGCCATGGCGTGGGTGCTTATCGTTCCTTTGTGACCGCCTCCAATTTCGGCACTACTGTGACTTGCATCGAGAGATCTGATACGGTAATCCTTGCATGGAATCGCTGGGAGCACCTTACTCAATAATATATAGGTTAGACGGCAACGTTCAACTGCATTGTTCTTCGCATGTGGGAGGTCGTCTCGTATACATGCAAAGGGTACGGAAATAGCCGTGGAGGCTGGTCTTGGCACACGGGAAGGTGAGGTCAGCAGACACAGTCGCCTTCAGACTATGCTATCTGCAGAGTAGGCCGAGTCAATGATCATCTTATCGCTTACGAGTGGATATTCACTCTAATCCTCTTTGCCACAACCTGTGCTCCTTTATGCACATATCCTGCATTTGACACCATTTCCTATACACCTGGCCATGCTACCGATACTCGCCGCTTACTGGGAGGAGCCACCAGAGATGGTGATAACTTGGCCTGCGCATTAGTGTCAGCTAACGTTCTCATCAAAGTCAGGGTGTTGCTTGTACTCACCGTTGACCCAGCCACCGTCATCAGAAGCAAGGAAGGCAACGACACGAGCAACGTCCTCCGGCAAGGCGCAGCGCTTGAGTGGGCAGTGCTCCGCCATGAGCTTCTCGATCTTGTCCGCTGGCCAGTCGGGGGTGCCGCCTGGGATGTAATGCCATGCCTAGAAACGTAATCAGTCATTAATCCAGCTTGCAACCTGTACCAAATGAACGCACATTCTGGGTGAACATGTCAGATTTGATGCCGCCAGGAGCGACGCCGTTAACAGTGATGCCACGGGCACCGAAGTCAGTGGCGAAACCCTTGATCATACCGATGACGGCCATCTTAGAAGCATTGTAAAGGACATGGTCGCGGACGCCAAGAAGACCAGCGGCAATGGAGCTCATGAGGATCAAGCGGCCGTTGTCCTCGAGATGCTTCCACGAAGCCTGGCCGACGAAGAACTGGGCACGTGCGTTGAGGTTGAAGACATGGTCGTACTTCTCCTCGGTGATCTCCTCGGTCTTGTCCCAGGACTCAGTACCGCTGTTGCTCATGACAATGTCGATCTTGCCGAAGTGCTTCTTGGCCTCCTGGAAGAGGCGCTCAATCTCGCTCTTCTTGCTGACGTCGGCCTGGATAGAGATGGCCTTGGCGCCGCTGCCGGTGGCCTCAATGGCCTTGCAGACCTCATCGGCGGACTGCTTGCTGTTGGCGTAGTTGACCACAACGCTGGCGCCACGCTTGCCGAGCTCAATGGCGCAGCCTCTGCCGATACCACGGCCGGCACCGGTAATGAGGGCGACCTTGCCGTGGAGGGAGCTAAAAGCGAAGGGTCAGCAATTGTGTTCATTCACTCCATGCACCTGTCGTGACCTACGCCGAGGGTACGAGGACGGGTGATTGCTGAGATGCCATTGTGCTAGTTATGCTCTGCTCCAAGGTATCAGTTAGGTTTGGAGCCCAAGCTGCTGCTCGAGAAGGCAGTTCTTACGTGATACTGTTGATGTAGATTGTTTGACGCTTTGGGAGGAGTGAGTAGAGGGTAAAGGAGACAGCAGAAACAGCGGTGTAAGAAAAATTATGCGGCTGAGAAAAGGTCAGAGAGCTCCAGACCTCAACCACAACAGACCAGCTATCCTACTGCTACTAATACTGCCCCGGCGTATCTGAAGTGGGGTTCCGAGCTCTCGGACAATACAGTGGCCATGTAGCGGACTTCGGAGGGCGTCAAGGGAACCATTACAGACTGCTATAGGCCGCTCATTGTCATCTAGGCTGTTGCCGGGTAGGCAATCGCTTGAGCAACAAATTTGGAGGCGTATTGATGCAGGAACATCGGTGTTCGCGCAGCTTGGGCAAAGCCGAGCGGCAGAGGCGGGGCGCACTGTGGAGTATCTGCAGAATCGCAGGGTCCGGCGGTACTTCGCGGAAGAGGAGCACATTGTTATGCGAAGATCGGGACCGCCCTCCAGAGGTAGTATGAGACGATAGAGCAAGCAGTGCATTGCAGTGAGTGCCTGGTTGCACTACCAAACTCCCATGAGCAGTTGGGTATACCAGCTGATCACCCTGCTCACCCGTGGACGCCTCAGTAATACACCCAATATCAACGCCTCCTGTACACCGCCTCCAGTCCCTTTACTATTGCGAAACCCTTAGAGGCTCCGCAATACGAACCGCTCGATAGCCGATAACAAAGCCAGCAAGTGACGGTGGGGTGCTTTCTTTGCTTCGATGCCATCGATGTTGGCTGAGCCAAGACAGACTGACCGAAAGAGCTGTGGAAGAGTATTATGGTAGAAAGATCATAGCTTCGTATTCCGTCATCGCGGTCGTTCAATGCTCCCCCGTAATAGCGCCATGATGTCCGATCAATGAGTAAGAGAAAGCCAACACCGCAATCAAGGCCGATTATTGTTTTGAGGCAGCTCCGAAGAGCATGCAAGGATCCAAGGTCGGTGAAGGAGTGTTAGCTGGTACAAAGGAGTGAACGGCAGCGAGCGCTTCGCAGTAGAACATGCATGTCGTAGAGCCTTGCTTGCCGATGAAAAGACCGAGCGAGCTGATTCTCAACACCACAGACGGCCAGTGTTGGGATCTTGCGGACCAGGTAATATGCCAGGCGGAGAGTAGCCAGGTACTGCGAAGCCCTTCTGCAGCTCTCCAACTACGAAGGTGGATGCACGCTTGTACCGTTTGTCCATGTACTTCTCGAAAACCGCGGAGTGATGCTTCTGCGGTTCCTCGCAGCATTCGAGGATTGCGTACAGCAGTTGTCGGAGCTGGGAGTATGTGTAGTTCGAGTAGTACACGTGAGCCGGGGTCCACTCGCCTTTGCGGAGCATTAGACGGGCCATGCAATGCGCGCCGGCAGCCAGGAAGCTGGGAGTGCAGCCGACAAACCGCTCGTCCATAACGGTAACCTCCAGAAAATACTTGGCCAGTGTTCGTGTTTCGAGGTCATAGTCATCTGCCTTGCTGATGCGTCGCAGAAAGCTCATCGGACCCGGCCAGCCTAGCTCAAACTGCAACATGCTAAGCATGAAGCGCTCGGCCTTCAGCAGTTCATCTGGAGTGTAGCCTCCGTCAACCATGTAGATGATCTCCGCAATTGTCGGGCACTGAACCTCTTCGTACTTCGACGCGACGAAGATGGCAGTTGCGCCCACCAGCTGCAGCTTGCCTAGCGACACTACCTTGCAGGACAGAAACCGGTCAATGTAGTTTACTGTCAGGAACAGTGTCTCCGGTAGCAGGTTGAACCGCTGATGCACCTGGATGACCCAGTCCATAAGGACAGCCCGCATCGACCACTGGATCTCCTGCTGCTGTTCCATATAGCGCGGATTGGGTGCCATCTTGGTCTCGAGGTCACGCATGTAGCCGAAGATCTCGTCGCCGTACTCCGCAACCATGGACGTGTCCCACTGCTCGTCCTCGATGTCGTCAGCAGGCCGGGTAGCCTCTACATGCGCTCGCGCAGCCTCCAGCTCCATGCGGACCTTTTCGTCAGCAGCTGGGACAAGTACGGTGGTGAGTGCACCTGTGCTCTCTCCTCGGAGTCCGAACGATCGCGCTGTGGTGTAGCCATCCTCGCCATAATACTCTTCCTCCTCGCAGTCGTAGAACTGCTCGACAGGCTGCTGGTCCATGAGCGGGTAGTGTATAAGGGCTGGATTCGCGGGCTGGTAGCCGTGCATGGGCGGAGCATAGTGCATCTGGGCCCCGCTCTGAGCTGCAAGGAAGTTGTAGTAGTCCTGGTCGGAAGTAAAGCCATGCGGCAACATTTGGCTGACGTTCATAGCGGAAGACCTGACCGCCGGCCGAGCAGGTGCTTCATCCCGAAGAGGGACGCTCTCTGTCTTGCTGACTCCCTGGCGCTGAATCTCGTGCAGTTCTTGCTTGGCCGCTGCCAAGAAGGCCGACACTTGTGGCCGCACCTCAGGCTCGGGTACGGGTGCAGTCGCAGGCAGCAAGTCCTTGAGCACCTTTGTGCTCTTCTTAGACACGACCGCTTTCTTGACTGGCTCCGGCGCCGCAATTGCAGTTTGCAGAATACTCTGGGTCGTTGATGTGTTGGCTGCGCCCATGCTTTGACTCGATGAAGTCTTTGTCACCAACGGTCGAGCTGCGGGCCGTGTCAAAGCGGCAGTCACAGGCTTCACAGACTCTTGAGCTTGCGCGCTGATCTTCCCTGGAGAAGCCTTTCCGACCTCGGAGTCGTCTCTCACGACTTTCAGATTCGCACTCGCTTCGCCCAATACCTTCTTGTTGGCCGCCTTCACTGCACCCGCCTGCAACAGCGTCCCTAATGCCGGCGTGGATTTGGTCCGTTGATGGAGCGTCTTGCCTGCAAAAGCCGTAGCAGCACCGTTGACAATGGCCGGAGGTGGCATGTTCTCGTCGTGGACCTTAAGCGCGCGTGGCCTCTGAGGCTATGCAGGGAGGTAAGAGTCAGTGCTATGGTCAGAAGAGCAACGACGCGAGGCTTGTGATGCATCAAGCAACAGCATATGACTTCCGGTACACAAGCTTCTTAATGACAAAGGAGGAGGAACAGCACAACGCGGCTTGCTGGCGGTCACACCAGTGCTGGTGCGCATCGTGAAAACCCTGCACCTGCAGTATATGGAAGGAGTGTGTAGTGACGGTGACATGTGCGTACCTTCGCGTCCATCTTCGCGCCGCTGAACTCCCTTCTACCCGCTTCTAACTGCTTGGATACTGATCGTTTGATTCGTGCCGGTGCGGAAGTATTGAGGCGGGATGGCTTGTTGGTCGTCCCGACTCAGTCGAGTTGTCGAAGCCGGGAGAATGCTGTTAGCTAGCGCATTGCCCGGATATCGTACTGGCAAGTATTGTCGGCGCCAATCCGTATGAGCAGCCTCAAGGTCCGCGTGACTGTATCACTACTCAATGGCGATGCTGGAGGGGTTAATACATGCGGTGGTAAGTACTTGTCTCCTGCCTCATGGCAATATAGAAAACGGGAATCCACGTCCGTTGTCCGTTGCGTAGCGATCAACAAACAGTGCGGAAGAATGGTCGGCCCGCCTAGCGCTTGCTGTGACTAGCCTAGCGCAACGTTAGCGCTACGTATCTGTCTCGGCTTCGCTTGTGTTGGTCGCGTCTTCCACCAACAATGCTTCTACGCCTTGATGCGCACACCTCCCCTTTAAGAGGTCAATGACTTCGCACGGCTACGGAATAACTTCAAGCAGCATGCTAGATCGAATATTCCAAAGTATGCCTTGTGATCATGCATCTTCCGTAGGCCCAAATGGCCAGTTTTAGATGGTTGCGCTTCTACGCGTGCCAAAGCGAGCTTCGACGCAGGTTTCAACGCGTTGCGATGCGTAATCACGTGAGGGACGTAAACATTGTGATGCTATCATTTTGCGTCAGTAACAGCGGTAGACGCCTTGCTGAGGGCATCGCGGTGTACAGGCATGCACGTGGACTGAGACAATGATGCGCTGGCGAGACGTCGGCAAAGCGCATGGTCAGCCAATGCTTCTCGCCTTCTCGGCGCTGCTGAAACTTCGCGGCCAGCTTCCGGGAACGCAGATGCGCCGCCCGCGCACCTGCATAATCTTTGAGGGGCTTTTCCACGGCTGGCAGGTGGCAGAAGCAAGCGAAGGTGAAGCCAGTCTTGCAGCCGCTTTCGGCGCAGCGCACGATGCTCAAAGTGACTGTCATCCCGCTTACCATTGTGCCACGCGGGCTACGCAGCGATATGAGCTCGGATTCTTCTCCAAATTCTTGACATGGCGAAGGTCGGTGCGACTTACAGACGCCATGACAGACGCCGCATGCGCTGCATCTATCCGTTCTGACAATTGGCGCAAGCATTACCGGCAAATGTTCTCTACGTGAAACGGATATCGTGTGGTACCGATTGCGCCTTTCCTTGCGTCTCAGCAGCGCAAAGTCAAATTGTTCGCCGCGGTCACACAAGTCTACATCTGTGCATCCCACAGACGATCGCCGAAACGCAAGAAGGAGAGTAAGACAACAAATACTACCAGCGAGCAAGCCTTTGTTACTGATATAGATTTGCAATGCGCTGGTGGAGTGACTACTTTACTCCTCTCGCATCGCTTCCCTGGAGGGTGCGGGAGGGACTCTGCGATATGATTGGAGCGCGTGGAGTCCAGAGTCTCGAAAGCCGCTTGCCAGTACTCTGTCACTGCAGCTTGACGACACGCTCGAATCGCAAGCTCCATCAGACACCACTGAACTGCGCTGTCTGCAGGTATACAGATGACCTTCAGTGGCAGCATCCCACATGAAATTGACAAACAGGCTTGAGTGGGTCAGGAATGTTAACGGCTTTCTTTGTGTCGGAGCATTATGGGCGGTTACGGTAATGTGATATTGGCCACCATCGCCGATAGTATAAGCAAACCTGCAACGAAAGAGGATCAATAGTAGAGGCACTAATCGCGCATCTCAAGAGAGTGTTCTCGCAATGCTGGATGTGTTGTTTCGGTGCATCTGCCGTCCCATGACTTGGTGACTTCGCCAACTTTGATGATGGTCCGTGGACCCGCACGCCGCACGGCTCAGCGCAGCGAGAGTACCGTAGTCTTCCTTCATACTCCTCCTCCCCCAACCTTCCAGCACTGCCTCTGTGTGCAGTGAGCACAATCACTTGTCAATTCGAGGTCGCTGTGTTCATATCTTGTGTCGTTGCTGATCTGTCTCTTCAGTTGCTGTCAGGCAAGGCATTCTCTGCTCATCCCGCCCATCCTGCCGGTGCCGGCTCTGGCGGCAGCAAGGTTGACGGCGAAGACTTCATCAAGGGCGTCCAAAAGTCATCGGTGGCCTTGTCGGAGGCGAGGCGATCCAAGGTAAGTAACAATTTCCTCCACAATATCAATGGCGTCTGGCGATATGATCTTGTCGCCGTCATTGCTGTTCTCCCGATGCTCAGCTCTCTCGGTTGCCGAACCGCTTCCTTCAACCTCACTGTGCCTAGCCGATTGACAAACGCTGTCTCTCATACGTTCGTATAATATAGAAGGCCATCTTACTGACTGTTGTCCATAGTGCTACCGATATTGCATCGCTACGATTGTCCTTCCTGGCTTAGACCCTCGTTTTGCGCCGATAGCGAGGGCGAAAGTATAAACGGTCACGCCGCCCCTTGAAGAGACCTAACGCACGCGTACACGTTGGGACTATACTGCGGAAGACGAGCAAGAGCCGTGGTATCACAGTATGCAGGTCTCAAACATGCTGTCGAGTGGCAGTGCTGGCGCGCAAGAGGGCGATAGCAGGAGGCTGAATCAGCAACATGCTCCAAGGTACACCGACGGCATGCAGGAACAGCATGAGCAATACCAGAAGATGAGCAACGCCGCCGTGGCTCGGCCTCAGAGGGGAGCTTATGGTGCTTCCACCGCCTCCGCCTACGGTCGGGGCTCGCCGGCTAAGAGGGAGCAGAAGCATGTCGTCTTCCAACTTATTGACACGGAGGATCCTCGTATCCAAGCTCGATTACCAATGAGAGTCATGATTTCACCGCACGATCCGACAGACTCCATCATCACCACCGTCAAGAACTTTTACGGACTGTACGACTACGGGGTCAGCTTCGAGAACAAGCAAGGTATCAGCATCATTGCTGCATACGACAACTTCGACAACGACATGACGGTCTACGTGAGGACTGTATCGCAGCCACCTACGGCCCAGAGCGAGCATGCCCGTTCCACCATGTCGCCGAAGAAACCTTCGCTTGGCGCTCCCTTCGAAATGCGCCCACCGCAACTCAACACCGCCCAATCACCTTCTCGCTCTGCTGCTCGATCTGCTGGACTGCGTAGCATGTCTCCACAATCCGACGCTGGCCGGCGAAGTGTTTCAACCGCTCCGGGTGGGAAGCTTCGAACGCACAGGCTGAAGAGCAGAGATAACAGCGCCGCTGGGGATGCAGACGGTTACAGCAGCGGTGACAATGGAGAAGGGTCGGTCACTAGCTCTCGTCGCTCTAAGACTGAGCAGGTCAATGCAGAGATCAGCGTGGACAACATCGTGGAGGGTGGACGGCGCAAGCGCGCCTTTGAGAGCTCGGTAAAGCACTTCAAATACCTATTGACCAGTCACACAGGCTAATAGAAGACAGGAACTGCCACTCTTCGTACCGCCGCAGGTGCCAATGAGTGCTTCCATCTCATCGATTTCACCACAGCGTCGCAGCGGTCCTGGAAACGCTACTTCCCCGTACGCTTACTCTAACCAGCAGACTTTTTCTTACACGCAACCTCTGCCTTCGCCACAGAGCTATGGCGGCGGCGTTAACCACACGCAGTCCGGCATGGCGGCTAACGGTGGCTTTGCACCAAACAAGCAACTGCGTGGCAGGCCCAACGTCACCTACCCTCCGCCAAGGCACTCCAACGGGATCATTCCAACACCCGACCCGACCGTAGGCAGTGTCATCTCCGATGAGGACGTCGCGTTGCAGTTGATGCGTCTAGGCGACCCAACTGCCTTTTCGCATGGGCGCACGTCCACCTCAACAGTCGACGATGCCCTTAGCGGCAAGGCCGAAGCTGCTTCCTCTGACGAGGAGGATGACGAGGATGAAGACGACGATTTGCCAAGCGCTGGCCGACCTGCCGTACCACGATTCAATGACGCTGAGCCTCAGCGGAAGAAGCAGCGCACCACGAACGAGCTGCCAAGTGACGGTACCAGCGGTGAGGAGTACGAGGACCACCGTGATGGTACCTTCGCCGCGGACGGGATGCAGCGCAAGCCCAGCAAGTCCAAGGGCAGCAAGCCTCGAGCTCTCTCCATGGCGAAGCCGAAGAGTAAACCTTCTGTGGGCCATTCGAAGGTGCCTATGTCACCGTCTTCGCTCCCGACTCAGTCTCGCAAGGGCTCCATTGGCTCGACCATTAACTTCCAGCACCAACTTGGTGTCGACGAAGAGGATCTGTCTTCTAAGCCGCGCTGTCAGCGGTGCCGCAAGAGCAAGAAGGGCTGTGACCGTCAGCGTCCATGCGGTCGTTGCAAGGACGCCGGAATTGGCGTTGAAGGTTGCCTTAGCGAGGACGAAGGAAATGGGCGCAAGGGCAGATACGGTCGGCATATGGGCGTGCCTGTCAAGCGATCGGACGAGATGCTTGATGTTAGCGGAGGCGCCGCTGCACCGCAGTCGGCGATGCCTGCTAACGGATACTTTCTGGCTCCGGCTCTGCCAGACAAGAGCAAGAAGAGGAAGAGGTGAGCAGGAACGCTGAGTGCCACAAGCACTGCAAAGGACGCAGCGCTGGAGAGTTTGGGCAGTGACCCTACCTGCCACACTGCAAACGACTTCTCCGCAAGCTCACGGTACGATCTAGAAGTCGTCTGACTTCGATGTTGCAACGATGGCATGACTTTCATTTTGGGGGATCATGCTGATGAGAATGCTGGGTTGCGATGTTTTCGCTTGACTTCAGCTGTTTCATGGCTCAGTTTTGGCGCGATAATGCTTTGGAGAGTGGAGAGTAGAGAGTGCTTTGCACTTGGCTGTTGTTGTGTTCAACAAGGAAAAAGTTCTGAGTGGATTCTGTGCTTTTACCGGCAAAGGTAGACTGTGCTTCTTATATGGGAAATAGCAATGTCTCTGTCGAATGCATGTGAGCCGCAAAGCCGGGCATACTGAAGATGATAGAGTTCTCTTCCGACATTACCATGCATCCGAAAGTACCAAACAGATCCCTCTCCCCTCTAAGGACTCTGGACCTCAGTTCTTTGGGTTGAAACGTGTTGGCAATCATGTAGCTCCCCAAGAGATGCTCCGCCACAGCTTGAAGCTTAGCTTAGGACACCCATATATAGGTATAACCTCGAACAAACGCGCCACCTAATAGTCCAGTTCCTCCATATGCTCCCTCTTTGTGTTTCTTCAATTTAGTTCGTTTAATCACGCCCCCTGTTGAGAAGCAAGAAATATTCCTGAGAACCAAGCACGCCGACCTAGCGGACGAGGCTGGCGTCATGTCTCTCAAAGAGCGCATCGCTCAGCTCGAGCATAACAGCGGTGGAACAGTTCCCTTGCGGTTCCCGTCACAATCCCATGCAAACGCGAGCCTACAGAAAAGAGCGCCTCCAGCGCCACCAGCACGTCCTACCGTACCGGCTAGACCAGGTCAACCTAGTCGGACTCAGTCCTCTAACTTTCCACCAACGCAGGACAATGCAACGACTTCCAAGGATGCCATAGGTAACGAACCGGAACGCGACACTCCGACCGTCGTCCTGAATGCCACGGACGGGGTCAGCAGGCCGGCTCTGCCACCAAGGACCTCCACGCAAACATCACAAGGACCAGTTCTGCCACCGAGGAAACCCTCGGGTCCCTCGCCTGCGCTAACGCTCCGAAGACCGTCAGAAACACCATCGCAATCAGAATCCGCGCTCAGTCGAAGGACCTCGCAAGATTCTGAAAGCTCAGTAGCAACCGGACGGTCGTCTGTGTGCGGAGGCTCCCTAGCTGAGAAACAAGCCGTGAAAGCACCAACATACGATTCATCAGCTCTGCCAGCGCTTCCTCCACGGAGAACAGAGGTAGACAAGCAAGCTTACTACGATTCCGGCAGTCAATCGGCACGACGATCGCTAAAGGCTACGTCCTCTTCACCAAACATTGCGCCCAAACAGATTGGCACCACACCACCTCCATCTAAGCACTCTGCTGCCCAGCCACAGCCTACACCACCGATATCCGATGATGTTGTGCCAGAGCCACGGGAAGGAGCTGAGCCACTACCACGACCAGTTCTCGCCGACCCTCCGCGCGTAAGAAAGTCCGCGCTTGAGATGGGACTTAGCCAGGTTACCAAACCGTCTATACCGTCCCGACCATTCGAGAGGCCTTCTTCCATCGCTGTGTCGAGTAAAGCACCACCTCCCGTACCTAGAGATTCTAGACCCGATCTAGCAGCGCTACAAGCATCCAAGCCGAGGACAAATGCCTCGTCTAGCACACCTTCTTCAGCTAAAGGCCTTTGTCTGCACTGTCGCGATTTCTCTGCTGTGGATGCGCATGCTGCCCGCTTCCCGCGGCAGTCAGTGCCGAATAATGACATCGGTTGGCTAGCGCAGCAGCTCACAGCGCCTTTCGAATCCGCTACAGATAAGGCACGAGCCATATTCACCTGGCACCACCACAATATTTTCTATGACACCAAAGCCTTCTTCTCCGGCAACATACGGCCGTCAACGCCTCAAAGTACGCTTGAAACGGGCTGGGCGGTCTGTGAAGGCTACGCTGGGCTGTTTGCTACTTTAGCATTGAAGGCCGGACTGGAAGCGTTCGTCGTCTCCGGCCACGGAAAAGGCTTTGGCTATAGTCAGCTTAAGCCCGGCGATCCGTTACCGCCGTACAAAGCTGGCCACGCATGGAATGTCGTGAAGATTGACGGCGGTCAGTGGAAGCTCATAGATGCGTGCTGGGGCGCCGGGCATATTTGTGGGAGCAACAACCTCTACAAGCAGGAGTTCTCGCCGGTGAAGTTCACGCAAAGTAACGATGAATTCGGCCTTGATCATTTCCCGGGAAACTGTAGCCAGCAGTATCGCAACGATGGACGGACGATCACGTGGGAAGAGTACATCATGGGCAACAAGCGCGGCTGCGGCGCCGAATTCTTCGCAGGTTATACGGCTGCAGAGGGTATCAGCGAGACATCCTTCCAACCGCGAGCGAACCCAATCGTGCTTTCTCACCAAGGACCGACCGTACGCTTCAGCTTTCAAAAGGTTTGCCCCCATTGGGATGCGGTACGCAATGGTAAAGGAGTGCATTACCTCTACACTTTGGCAATCGATAACCTGGAGGGCACCCCAAAGAACCACATACCATTCGAGAGCAACGGTGATGTCTGGTGGTGCGATGTGCCGGTACAAGACCTTGGCAAAAGCAGTCAGACTGTCAAAGCGCTATGTGTGACTAGCTTTAAGGGCAATAATGGACGTGGATTGACCGTGCAAGAGTACCGGGAGTGGAGAGGCAGATGCGCAATGAGTTGGGCGTTTGTTGCGAGGTGGACTATCGCGTAGCTAAGTCCGTTACTCGACGCTCTAATATCGAATATCAGTTGTGAGGCACGTCGCCGAAACAGCCTGGTTGGAGCACTTCGCTCATGTGCAGGTCTAACTTCAAGTGAAACGACGCAGCATGCTGGATGTGCAATTTCGGTGCGCTCATGGCGGATTTATAAAAAACAAGTTGTGGCTTGCCGGCAGCGACATCATCCACTAAGTGACTTATGACCACGAACTGCGCCTTGTTCGCTGTTTGCGGCTTCTGTGATGTGGGTGGTGTAAAGCCTCCGATAGGGCGACTCTATTGCTGTGGCGATATGAGTACCACGGAATCACCTATGCATGGCGTTAGTGTCCTGTCTATCGGGCGGCGCGGAAGTGTAGGGTTCACCTCTCACGAAGAGCATCTCAGACTGCTTCTTCAGGGTTCGGACATCTTCACCTCCGGCTTCCTCAGCCACTTGATAGATCGTCTCCGTCACTTCCCCGAGCACCAAATTGCAATGGCTGTCGTAAGCCTTTCGCAAAGTCAATTATCATCCTACAGGTCAAGCCAGCAAAAAGAGGCGTACATGGAGTCTTCCTTGAAGCTCGCGATCTCCTCGAAGCTTCACGAATACTGTTTCGTTGAGCGACAGACGTACCAAGTCCAGAGGCTCGTTCACCGGGTCTGCGCCAGGTTCTTCTGTGTCGGCCATCAAGCACTGCTCTCTCAGAAGGCTGATTGGTGCAAGTCGTCGAAGATAGATGTTTCGAAGTAATGCGGAACAGTTTCCGAATTGTTTAACAATCACGAGTCATGCAGGATGTCTGGGGGATCCACCTCCGCAACGTCTCCGCATTCTAATACTCGCTAACCCCCGACCAACCACAAACGCTGCGGAGCGATGCCCAGCGTTTCTCATAAGCTCGTCCATGTCTTCTGTGGTCGCCCGACTTGGGCACCTAGAGGCGCGCACAATATCTCAGACGCTATGCCGGACTGCCAAGCGAAAGAGGGAAGACTGGACCTGCAGGCGATGTCAAGCGACGCCAGTTCAACGAAGAGACTACGCTATAGACAGCTTGGGGTCCGCTTTGAGCCGACTTTGGCTTTCATCTCGAGAGCAGGAGTTTGAGCTTCGCTCGTCGTGGGGCCCTGCCGAGAGGGTGCGCGGTAGCAAGCGCTCTAGCACGTTGACCGGCGGATCATGGGAGACTCCGATTGAAAATGACGCAACGGAAGAACAGGACATGACTGCGAGCGCATTCACAAAACCACAAGATGAAGACTGGGACTCTCAACAACACCTCTGGCAGCAGTTTGAGCAAACAGATGAGCCAGTCGCTGCTGCCGCAGGCGAAGGCCGAGAAGTTTCTCACAGCGCAGACTATGCGGAAGAGACGCCTCGCATCTACGACGATGCGCTGCTGGACGTTGACTACGCAGCTGATCTGCCTCGAGCATTGGCGAAAGGAGAAGTAGATCTTACTGCTCGATGCCTGTACGCTGCTTCAAGAGCGGACGATTTGGAGTTTGTCCGCTCGTTACCGGAGAGCACCTTTTCCGAGGTGGTCCGCCTTCTGCAACCAGCGCACCTTATGGCAGATCTTGCACATGCGTATGTCGAGGTCAGCGATGCAACGCGCAAAGCCTTCGGCTTGCCCTCCATGGCCAGCATTGCGGGGCAGTACTCTCAAATAGTGTCAGCAATCGTATCGATGCGCCGAAGTGCAGACGTGCCACTTACCTTGGCAGACTACATCGTCCTTCTTCGAAGTGCGAGAGACCTGGGGAAACCCGAGATGGCACGAGCAGCATGGCGCGATCTCCATTTAGATGGCCATACTCCGAACATCCAATGCTACAACTACTATATGGCCAGCGAAGTATTCGGGGATCTGCACAATGCCGCTGCAAGGCACAAGACTCGTGTCGTGCCGTTCTTCATGCTTGCACGACAAAGACCGACAAGAGGCAGCATGTTCCGAGCGTTTCGCACAGGCTCTGGTGGAAGTAGGGAAGTTGTAACGGAGATATTCCGAGACATGCTGAACAGTGGTGTCATTGCCAACGAGGAGAGCTTCCGCTTGCTCATCACTGCAGCAGCGCGCGAGGGCGAGCTGTCGACCGTGAAGTCAACCTTGCGCAAAGTTTGGAATATCGACGTCGATGGTCTACTGGCTGGTAAAGACGAGTCTGATATCTTACCCAAAGAGCTCGAGACGGAGTCACCGCTGTATCCAACACCCAAGCTTCTCTTCACTGTCGCGCAAGCGTTTGCAATCAACCACGACATTCCCACCGCCTTACGCTTGGTTGACTTCATTGCGCGCCACTACAACCTTCCTATCAACAGAGCGATCTGGGCTCAGCTCTTTGAGTGGACATTCGTGCTTGCCGTCCCGCGGACCGGCATCAAAGCGCGCACGGATGGCACGCGCCAGGGCAAGCTACCGCAGCAGAGTGTTATGGAGCTGTGGGACACCATGACCAGTGCACCCTATTTCGTGGAACCGACAATGGGCATGTACAACCACCTGATCAAGAATCTGTTCTACCGAGGAATGACTTCGGTAATGCTCGACAAGATGGCGGAGGGTCTGCATTTGTACCGTAAGAGTTACGGTGAGGCTAGGGCCCGATTCGCAGCGCTCAAGGCTGCCGCTAACGTTGACGAGCAAGAATCAGCCAACGGCTCCGATTCGCTCGAGAAGCTTGCGTTGCAGTGGAAGGCAGCGGAGGTGAATCGGATCCGCAACCGCTTCTGGTGTAAACGTTGGGTGCGCCTTTTGCTCGGCAGCCTGATGCCGCAGCATCCTTCCTTTGTGGCCCAAGACTTGAGTCTGCGTGAGATACCGAGCGTACTTTGGACATGGCGAAATCTTCTGCCTTCGAAGGTGCAGTACGAGACCACAGGCGGAATCATAGAACTACAGATGCGATCCCAGCCGGAGATCGATCAAGTCCAGGTCAAATGGGCCGTTCATCGGACGCGCAGGGAAGAAACATTGAAGCGCATACCGCTGCTGACCAGCGAAGAGTGGTTGAGGAATCAACGACCTGATCATGGACTTCCTGCTCGGCTGGCAGACAATGCGCGGCTGGTCAACTGGGTGAAGCAGCAGGCAAAGAACCCTATGACTTCAGAGCGGACCCTTGCGGAAGCTGAGGAGGGCGAAGAGGCAGACATTGATGCAGACGAAGACGAAAATTCCATGATCATGCCTGTCGTATAGGAGGCAGTGACGTACTGCTTAACCGAGTCTCGAAGCTGAAAATCTGTTAGTACGGCACAATTCTGTTCGCCGTCTCAAGCGATGCCGCCCATACAAGGCCCGTACAGCATTGCACGCATGATCCGCTAATCCCACAAAGCGCGGCGACGCTTACGAAAATTCATCGTTAACGAACATGCTCTCATAGTCTTCCGCCTTGAGACCCGCACCATCCTTCTTCCCGTCCATCTTCTCGAGCCTGCTACTGTTCTTCTCAGCCAGCTCCACCCTTGACAGATTGCTGTAGAAGTTGCGCACTCTGTCATGCGCGACGACTTTCTTCGGATCAAATCGCAGGACCTGCAAGCCAGCCATGCTCGTGGCTCTCGAAAGTGCCACGTATGCTTGACCTTTCTCGAACACTTTGCCCAGGTCAACTTTAACTCGGTCCAGCGTCTGGCCTTGAGCTTTGTGGATCGATAGTGCCCAGGCTAGAATGAGCGGTATCTGCGCGCGACTCGCTTGCACCTCGCCATTCGGAAGCTCGACCTTCCATACTTCCGGCTGGCAAAGCAGGTCTCTGGTGGTGCCGTCCGTAATCATGAACCGTACTACGGGAAATTGCCGCATCGTTGAAATGCCACCATTCGCTATGTGCACCATCGACTTCTGCTCCGTGGACAGGCGCGCATCGTTACTGCTAGCCAGAGTACCACCAGGAGACGGGCAGAAGTCTTCCTCATGTTGCGTGTAAGTATCAAACTTCTGCTCGTCCATGAAGCCGATTACGCGACCAATGGATCCGTTGACAAGGCTTTCATCAACGTTCTTGATCAACATAACTTGCGCACCCTTCTTCAGCACGATACGCTCCGGAGCCATGCAATTCTGCAAAAGCTTGTCACGCTGTGCTTTGTCAATAATGGCGCCGCCATCCCGCGCCTCGAATATATGGTCCTGTCCGACGAGGTGATGCAGTCGTTCCTGGTTGGCTCTGTCGACTTCCGCACGTGTAGGGAAGAGTTCAGTAGCCTCGATCGTATCTTCGAACTTTATGTCACGATTAAGATTGCGGAACGCTTTGATGGACGACTCGGTCAGGCGGCCTTCACGCATCTCGTTCAGCATGCCAGCGAAGACTGCAGCAACGTTAGTCTCTTCAGCCAATATCGGAAACTTGTCAAAACTTACCGGGGTCCTTTTGCCGGAAGACATGGTGCAAGCCAATGGTATGCTCAATAGTCGTATTCCAAGTCGATGCATCAAATGCAAACTTCGCCACCCGCCCGCTGTCAGGAACTGGGGGCAGCTGGAAAAAGTCGCCGGTAATGACGAGCTGAATGCCGCCAAATGGCCGTCCATTGTTGCGCATTTGACGAGCGATCGACTCCAGCTTGTCGAACAGGTCGGCGTCCACCATAGATATTTCGTCGATGATCAGCACTTTCGTTCGCATCCACCTGTGCTTCGCTTTCTGGTTCTTCTTGATCTTGCGTACAAGCTCCGGCGCATCCTCCTTACCCAAGCCGATACCGGCAAAGCTGTGCAGAGTCACGCCGCCGACGTTGCACGCAGCGAGGCCTGTCGAAGCAGTTACGGCGACACGGTCCGGTTCCCGCTGATACTTCTTACGCAGCGAGGCAATAATCTCGCGGAGCAGTACGGACTTGCCCGTACCTGCTGAACCAGTAAAGAACACGCTTTTGCGGCTCTCTACAACCAGATCGAGCACGTGCTGCTGTTCTTCGCTCAGGAAGACTCTTGCTGGACGTGCGCGGGTGGTCTTCGCTTTGCGAGCGCTCTCTTCCGTCGCATCATTCTCCTTGACGGCCTTTTTCCTATTCTGCTCACGGAACTGCTTTTGCTGCTCTTTAACAGCGCTTGCGGTTGTGTTCCATGGGAAGGTCGCCTTCTTCGACGTCCTGGAAACTGGCGTCGCATCGGCGACAGGCATGGGCCGAGACTTCGTGCTGACCGTCGGCCGAGCCGTTTGCGGCTCATCCTGGTCTTCATGTTCAGCCTGAGAGAGCCAAGGTAGCTTTCTTCGCTTTGCAGCTCCAGGTGGAGGTGGTCCATTTTGCTTCGCCTGTACGACACTTGATGGATCGTACTGAAACTGGCGCATTAGCGACGGCGGTCGTGCAGACGCGTAGTGTTCGACAGGCGAGGATGACCAGGGCAAGGGCTGAGAGCTCTTCTGACCAGAGACAGCTGCAATGTGGCCTACTGTCCCATACCCAGAGTCCGCAATGCTGATATCCCTGGCGAAGGTAGGCTGAGCCTCTTGCTGCCTTGGAAGTGTTGGGTATACCACAGGTCTTGCTGTTGCGGACGTTGTCGCCGTTGCTTGCCGAGGTAGCTGTGGGTAGCCAACCGTGACTTTTGCGACAGGTTCTTCAACGTCCAGGTCTACATCACTGTCAAAATCGTTCATGTCGAATGTCGCCTGCGCCCGGCCGTTCTCGTCGCTGATAGTGATAGGTTGCTGCTGCGACCCAGGGCCATCATCAAACGCGCCATCTAGTGCCTTTGCCAACCCGCTTGCTGTGCGCTTGACGCCTGACACACTGCTGTGCCGTGATTGTGAAGTCCTGGCGCTGTTCAAAGCTGATGCCGTGGCGGACATCAAGGGGTTCCGGTAGATGGGGTTGGCGTTCGGGCTTGCGAGCTTGGGTATGGGTGGGCTCGAGCTGAAAAGATTCTCCAGCGAACGGTTTTCAGTGCGGGCTGCTTGCTTCTCATGCCGCTCTACGGCACCACGGAGCATGCTGGGCGTACTCGGGCTTAGGTTTGCAGTCGAGCGTAAGTGACAACGTGATAATGTAGTCGCAAAGGGCAGCTTTGAGGGTCGAGGACTGACCGCGGCGAGCGCGCGCTGTGATCCCTTGCCCGCGGTACGTACGATGAGCATATAGTACACTGCATAGAGTGTAACAATGATTGCGCTGGCGCTCAACGAGTCAACTTTGCTCCAATCATCCATTCATCGTGCCTCGTCTGTCTGCGACGCGATACGACGCGCCCGAGGTGGAGTCGAAATGCAGCGGAAGTCGCCGCCACGATCGGAGCTTCTAGCACCCTGTCCCTCGGATCACATGACCGACCCTTACGAATGCCTCGTACCAACCATAAACGAGCCGTAGGCGTACCGTGCCCTGGAAGAAGGTGGCATCCCACAAGTGAGTTGCATGCATGTATTGTGCTTGATGGTTTCGTCAATTATCATTGTCGGCTATTGCTATGGACAAGCCAGCTTACAAAAGCTGGCAAAGCTGTCTTCTTCGCTGCAAGTGCAGCAGGGCTCACGGCTGCAATGTGCTGCGCAACGACAACATGTGCTCAGAAACGTTCCTTACACCACGTTCTCCGGCTAAGCGGACTCCTTGCGCTCCGGCGACTGCTCATCGTCAAGCCTCTTCTCCAGCAGCTCACCATGCTCCATGCGGGCACTGGTGGAGTAGTAGTTCTTGGTCTTCCACGCTGGTGTGCCTATGTACTTAAGCCCTCCAGGCGGAGGTGTCTCGAACATCTCGTTCACCTCCTCCAGCGGCTTACCAGCCGTCTCTGGGAACATGAAGTAGACATGGATGAACATCGCTGGAGGACTGTTAGTGACCATCGTGGCTACGACTTGTCGATAGCGTTTACATACCAACGCAGAAGACCCCGAACACGACGTATGTCTTCCAGGTGATGTTTTCGAAAGCGGGAGGCACGAAGTAGCCGAGGGCGAAGTTGAAGGCCCAGTCTAAGATTGCGTCAGCGTCAATGCCACCATGGACCGTGAGGATGATATGTACTGCCTGAAGTAGCGAAGGCGACAGCTTTGCCACGAAGCTGATTAGGGTAAAGCTCAGGCGGATAGATCCTAACAGCATCAGACAGGTCTTGGCGAACATTGGGAGGGTGACTTCTACCATGAGACTGGACCCCACGTCGGAGCATAGGAGGCGACAAACAAGTAGCTGCACGCAATCACGACCTTGCTCGCGGCTCCGGTGACGAGGACCTTGGCTTCCTTGATATTGTGCACGCCTTCAGGCTGATAGACGCCCATGCCTCCGAGAATGCCAGCGTTGATGAAGAGCCATGTCGCCATGAGTGCCGCACCGACAAGCAGCGTTGGGCGACGGCCGATACGGTCGATCCAGATCAGAGCGGGTATGGTCATCACGACATTGATGACGTACTGAATGCTCGAGCTGACCAACAGATTGTTGCCTTGGATGTTGGCCATCGTGAAGACATAAGTGATGTAATACCTGTAGATGGTTGGGAAACAGAGTCAGCTGTGTCTCGAGCGTTTGCGTGGGGTTAGGTGCGTTGCCTCGCTTACATCATGACATTCATGCCAGTTAGCTGGCTCCAAATCTGCGTGAATAAGCCGATGTGGGTGCGGTTGATGTACCTCGGAGTGAAGAGGGTGAGATAGCTAATCTGCTTGCTCTGGCGCTCAATCTCGAGCCACTCCTTGATCTCTCTGAACTCGCGAGCGACCCATGGGCTGTGCGGGTCACCATGGCCGTGGACCAGGACGAGGACCTGCTCGCATTCCTCCCAGCGGTCCTTGCTGGCTAGCCATCTCGGCGACTCTGGAAGGATCATCATGCCGAAGAACAGAACGATGGCCGGAATCATTTGAAGAGCCCACGGGACGCGGAAGGCTGCGGGGCCATTGATGAAGGAGGACCCATAGCTGATGTAGAACCTGCGGATGACACAGCCCAGTCAGCTAGCTCGTAGCGTTATGCATGATTGTAGGATATGCTGACATGATCATGATGCCCCACGTGATCGCCCTGGTGAAGATCGTCAGCGAGGTTGTCGAGCACAGAGTAGTGCCGTCCTAGTAGATACCATTGCTGCGCACCAATGAGACGGCCACGCTTTGTTGGGGGTGCTAGCTCAGCGATGTAGACGGGAACCTGGGCACTGCAGATACCGACGCAAAGGCCGTTAATGATACGACCGACGATTAGCTGCGGGATATTCTGAGCAGAGCAGACGATAATGCAGCCGACGCTGTAACTTGTCAACTACGACGGCGAAAAAGGATACTACTGCAATGCTTACACCCAGATGACAGCGCCGACCATGATAGTCTTCTTGCGGCCGAGCGCATCGCTGAGGAATCCGGAGAAGAGCGAAGCCAGCCAGCTTCCACCTGCCATGGAAGCGGTGATCCCGCCTTGGGTGTTCGCGGATGGACCTGAACACGGCTTTGGGCCTTGATTAAAGTAACAGAGGTAGCCTTGGCCGGCAATAATGGCGCTCATGGAAGCTATGTTGTGTCAGCGTTGTGAAGTCATGTTTACGGCGTGTCGCACTTGCAGATGTCGAAGCCGAAAAGGCCACCTCCAATAATGGAAATGGCCGCAATGAGGTACACGTTGCCGTATTGCTTCATCTCGACGGTGTGCTCAGGACTTCATAGATGTGGTTTGAAACAGTGGTCAAGGAGAGAGATGAGGGAGAGAAGGTTTTTATATGAAGGAAGCTCTTCAGTGGAAGAGCTGCTGATCACGGAACCTGCACCCTCCTCGTGACACTCACCGTACGACCATGTAAAGCCGTCTTAGAGCGCATGTCTGCGCAGTTGTCCAGGGACAGCACGTTTCGGAAAGCGCTATCCGAGCGGAATGTAACAAGCTACAGAGCTAATTGTCAGGTCAGCGAACGGCATGCATGCTTCACTTCCCACCCCTCCACAGCACTCGCATGCTTGCCATGCTCGCCATGCGGAGTCAGGATTGGCGTTGCGGAGTCGATGGATGAGATACTACATGTAGTCAAGATTTGCATCGCTCCACGAATCCTTCGGGGTCATCAGCGGCGCCCTTGATGATCGAAGTACCTGACGGCAGGGGTGCGATGGCATTGAACAGCAGCAAACAGCTCCTCTCCCCGCAATGTCCTCTTGCACCAACAAGAATCTCCGATCACGACAGTTACTGTAGCTGCAACTCGCAACCTGCTTTCCCGGGAATATGGCAGGTTGAGAACAGTTCATCGCGCCATTGTACTGGGGCTGCAGTCAGGCGCTCGGCATCGGAAGGCTTGCATGGAGCCGACGGGACGGTGAAACATGGGGTTGTGGCCCAAGTGCCTGCATGTTCCGAGCACGTCCGTGAATGCGACCAGGCCCCGGTCAACAACGACTACGCTGCCACATCGTTACAACGCTCGCTGCGTGCCTGCTGATCACCATGTGCACGCCACTTGAGCGAGGCTTGCAAGTCCTGCCGTCTTGCCGACTCCACGGACGACGTCAAATGCTTGGCTTTAAGCCATCTCCACATCCCGCCTATGAGTTGTTCGTACAATTTACTCCTCCGGTTAATACGGGGCGTGATCTCCAGGCAACCTGCGATTGGTCGGCATTTCGACAAGGACAAGCGGGTAGAGTGAGTAGCCGCGCGATCGAAGCCGGGTGATTGGCAAAGTGAGCAAGCCTGTTGCGCGCGCAGAACTTTGCTCCGCGTACAAACCAGCGAGCTCTGTGAATTTCTGAGACATGGAAGTCCTGAAATTATGCAGAAGTGTGTCCTTTCAATCGAGCAAGCTTCGCCTTGGCTTGCTTCTCCTCGTAGAATGAGAGTACTGTGTTCACCAGCGGCGGTCTCGAAAAATGGTCCACTTTGGATGGCGTTGGGAAGCACCTGGTTCTTGCTGTGATCCAGCCTGGCCCATGGTTGCGCTTAGCGAACTAGCCCTCACGAGCCACCGTTCACCAACACTGCCGCAGCCATGACGTCTAGCACAGCCATTTGGCTATGGCTCGTCGGACACTCGAACGGGCCATTCCACCAAGGCCCATATTGCGAGTTACCATTCGTGTTACGTCGAAGCTGACTGTCAAGATTGACATTGACGAACTGCTTGAGCAGCTGAGCGGTCTCTCGAGCCTGCGGGTCGGCTGGTTGAGTCACCTGAATGACCTTGAACAGCGTGCCGAGATGACGCATGAGGACAGCCTTGAAGCCTACCCCGTCGTCGTTCTTCCGCGGATCCCGGCCATTTCTCCCTTGCGGGCCCAAATCGGTCAGAACGCCATTCTCCTCGATCCAGTCTCTGTTGCGCATCGCACAGTGTGCCATATGGCAGGCAAGGGTGAGATAGTCCTCATTCGACGTCGCTTGGTACAGGAGCGCTGAGGCACCGATGGCGACGCCAGTGTTGTAAGTGAAAGTCGCCGTCGACAGTTCGTTCTTCTCCGAGTGGATCCCGTCCATGATGAGACTGTTGTCCGAGCGGTATACGCAGCGTACAATCCATTCCAGAGAACAACGGGCTGCTTGCAGATACTCATCGGCTTGCGACACATGGTCGCCTTTGATTACTCGCCCTAGCTTGCTGAATACTGAATGACGCCCGCCAGTCTTTGGCTCATGCGTCGCAAGGTAGAGGCGAACGCTAAGCTCCGCATATAGGCCGGTCGTGATGGCGTTGATGTATCCTTCACCAGGCCTGGTCGTCCAGTAACAGCCGCCTTCCATGTCTTTTCCGCAGCACTCCTTCTCTCCTTTGCCACAGACGCTGTTGCTATCGCGGAGATGCCGCCATACAATCTTGGCTTTCGCGAGGAACCATTGGTCTCCGGTGATATTGAACGTGTGTAAGCACAACAGAGCCCACCAGAGAGAATCGTCGTTGTATTCGTTGATGAAGTTGGAGTATTGTTGTTCGCATTTCCTGATGTTGCTGTTCAGCATCGCAGAGTTTCTATGCTCATGTGTATTGGCATCGTTCAGGGTGGTTGCAGTGTAGCCATTGGCCCACTGCCACCATCCGATTCCGTTGATGCCGCCACTTTGGTGATCGTTCGATAGCATATACATGTCAATGCACGCTTGCGAGGTGTCATGAAGGTGGGCTGGCACCTCAATAGGCATAACCGCCCACAGCGGAAGATCATGCTTGGTCTGTTCCGCGACCTGAACGGCTTGTTCGATCGTTGACATTGCTGCCCGATTAGAGCATGCTACTTAGGCTAAGATGGTGCCAGTAACTGGGCGGCGACCACAAGTGAGTCAGAGATAGTGATGTGCTGAACGTCCATTACCCACGAAGACTGACAAGTACGCAAGGGTAGGGACGACGATGGTAGACCTCATGCAATGTTGATGGAATTTCAGCATGATACTGGTTGACGGTCTCGATTTCGTTGAGCACCCTGGCGTAGGAAGGGTCCCAGCTGTGCTGAGTGCTACGCGCCCATTGAAACAATTGAACACCGTCTGCGACATGCTCATCATGCCAACAGCGCACCCAGATATATTGAGCGATCTAATGGTTGATGAGGGCATTGACAGCGTCAGAGCCAGCCGTGGCGCCAGCACCGAAGATCGCAGCGCCGCCCAGCTGCTTGGGGATGTTCTTCAAGAACTCGCCATGCTGTGAATGTCAGTGGTGGACGTCCGCTGCCGGGTCAATGTGTCTGCGAACCTTTGGGTGGTCTTTATGCGCCGGATGGTCTGCGTTGTCCTTGTTCTTGTGCGCTTCCTCGAGGATCTTCTTGTCCTCATCCGACAGTTGTTGCTGCTAAATCATCAGTGCAAATGGACATAAGCCTTTGCTAAGCATTCTGCGCTCACGTCAGGCATGTTGGCTACTGTGATGAACGTTCGTCTCTGATGTGGGATTGCAGGTATCGCCGGTGAACGACTTGAATGGACATCCGCAATGCACGTTCGAAGTGGTTTATGCTACAGCTGAGCTCTTGACCCTCTTCTGCCCCTCATCACAACGCGGCACATTCACTAGGATTATGACGCAAGAGAGCAGGCTAATGGTTCGCACTAGCCCAAACAGTTCGTTCGAGCATGGACCCTGCCCGCTGCATTCGGAAGTCACGCATCCGCGAACATTCACACACGTTCGATTCTCCAGCATCGCAAAGCGTTGTTATGGACTTCGTCAAACTACCGGGAACATGCTGTTCTAAACATTCAGCCCCGGTGATGCGGACGTACCATGAGCCATGGGCGACTGGATCGCACAGTACTCCGCCGCGCTCACGGAGCGAGATGCGCGCGAACAAGCGCACAAACCCTACATTGATGCCTGTAAGAGCACACCAAGAAACGCATCGGTCAAAACCATCGCACTGATTCCGGCATAGACACAAGGCTAGCAGACCGTACAGCGGGCCTGCGTGCACCCGCACCGGCACCCCAATCAGCAGCTCCATCATTACCGCAGTCGATCGCGAGCAAAGATCGCTCAATCACCACACCCTCCAAAGCCCGAACCAGCGCTTCAAACGAAGCAGAGCAGGCCCCCAACGAGTTACTCTCCGCCCTCCGCGCCGACCTCGCAACCACCCAAAAAGCCCGCGCAACCCTACAAGCGCAGATAGACGACCTCACGACCTCCCTCTCCGCCCTCGAAACACAAAACAAAGCGTCAACCGCACACCTCACGCAACTAACGCGGCAGAAAGCGGAGCTAGAACGTCGTGTACGCGACCGAGACGAGGAATTACGGGAGAAGAGTCGACTGGTCGTGCGGGCACAAGATGAGATGGTGGCATTGGAGCTGCAGATGAATGTTGCAGAGCAGCGGTCGGAGAAACTCGTCAAGGAGAATCAGGAGCTGGTGGATCGGTGGATGAAGCGGATGGGGGAGGAGGCGGAGAGTATGAATCGGCGGTCGAGGTGGGAGTGACTTGCGCCGCGGCAGGTGTTCCGGTGCAATGCAAGCTCAAATGGAAAGGGCGTGCCAGCCGCTTGAAACATTATTATGAATAACGCCAAGACACCGTCGCTTGCCATGGAGGTTCAAATCATAACCTTCAATATCGATGACGACGATAACCAATCATCACACCTTCCTCCCCGTTCTCGCCCGATCCCTCCCCCTTCTCCGCCTCAGCCTCCGAATTCCCTTCTTGACGAACAGATCTTTAATCCAATCCCACCCGGCCGTCACAGCAACCAACGCCGTAAACCCCACCAGCACCGGCCCAGCAACAACCCAAAACCACGCAAACGGATGATCAATGCCCCCGCCCGAGTTGAAATTCATGCCGAAGTAGCCACTAACAAACGTCAGCGGCACGAACAGGACCGTCACAACCGTAAAGATCATGAGTAAGTTATTGTTCTTCGCGCCGACGGTGTTGAAGATGAGCGTGGAGATGTTTTGGGCCGAGGCGTCCATTTGCTCCAGCGCTTGGATCATGGTGATGCAGTGGTCCAGCACGTCGCCGAAGTAGGTGTGCGCGAGCGGGGTGATGGTTATGGTGGTGGCGGTGGAGGTTGGGGTGCGGTGGAGGGTTTTGTGGCGGCGGAGGGCATCGGAGGAGATGGAGCGGTTGTAAATGGGGGCGGGGATGCCGTCGCGGTTGCGGGGCGCTTGCTTTTTATGCATGCCTGGAGGTGTGGAGGACTTGGGTTCGCTTGCGGACGACTCGGGCGGGTCGTCTGCTCTGCTTTCGCTGGCTTGATTGAAGGAGGCGAGGCTGGGCAACAGCGGCTCAGCATTATGGTCGCGAAGCGCATTGACAAGATGCACGATCGGCTTGAACAGATTCTGCAGCATATCAATCTCCTCTCCGAAAATATGCAACTTCCGCGACGTCTTAATATCCGGGAACGTCATCGCATCGACCTGCAATTCCTTTCGCGCCTTGTTGTACGCCTCCTTCACCGGAACGGCGAGATCGACAATCGCGTCAATGAGCGCCTGCAGCATGAGCGAGGCGTCGCAACTGCGGCGAAGCATAGTCTCTGGGCTGTCCAGCCGGGTTAGAAGCGGCGTCTCGACGTCCTGCGCAGACTGCTCGAAGAAAGAGATGATGGTGTTGTCAGCTAGGAGGAAGATGGAGACTTGCTCCACGCTGACCGCTAGCTCTTCGTCGGCAAGCACACTGTGCTTCTCCATGAAGGCCGTGTGCTCGGGGATCTGCGCGCTCTCGTAGCGATGGAGGGTACGGATGGGCTTGATAGGACTCTCCTCCGACAACCCACTATGCGCACGTATATAGGCGTCCACCTTGCCATCTCTGTCGCGGTCGAGATAGCGTGGAAGCACATCCTGGTGCCGCTTGGACTTTGACGACGACCAGAAAGACACCGGTGAGAAGCGGCGGGATTGAGCTTTACCAGCAAGCTCCCCCGCAGAGTCATCTTTGTCGCTACTACTACCATCTTCCGAATCCTCCATAGCGGGGCAGTCACACTTCCCATCCTGGCCCCTATGCTGATGTAGTCGTACCAACTTCTGCAACGTCAGCACGACAAAAGCTTGGTCGGTGTACCAATCGACTTTCGTCCGGGAGTGCAATTGAATAAGATCTTCGATCGCAAGTCGATGCAGGTTATAGTTGTTGCTTAGCGAAGTAATAACATCCGAATCAAGCCCATTCACCGAGACCCATCTACACAGCGACCCCTCTGGTCGATCCTCCATCAGCGCCTCGTCCAGCGTGGCATTCGTAGCGTGCACGTGATGGATCTCGGAATCAGAGAAATCCACAATCTGAATATCACACGCGGCGGTCAGGTTAGTAAAATGCGCCGGAAGCCTCTCCGGAGCGACTGCCGTATCAATACCGGGTTCAGCGCCAGGCAGCCAAGTCGCCTGGCTCGTCTCCTCGTGGTACGTCGTCACAGTGTTAGTGCGCGTGGGCCGACGATGTCGCATCCCTTCGGGAGAAGACGTGGAGCTTAAGTGGGAGACTACGCTGCCTCTGCGGTCACGGTCACGATTGGGATGGTCGGTGATGGTCGGCGATTGCGGCGGAACAGCGGACGGTGGAAGACAGATTGAGGATGTGTGCGAAACGTGCTGGGCGGGCATGGTCCCGGCGCGTCGTGGCGACGGCATGTTGTCGCCGAAGTCTTGCGTCGCTGTTGTCGTGTTGGAAGCTGGAGATGCCAGATGCAGTGGCGTGTGTGGTGCGAGAGGCATCACCGGCGATCCTGAGTATCCTGGTACGGGACGAACGATCAGAAGTTCCGGCTCATCACGAGCCCAGAAGTAGCCATTCCTAATTGTCCTGCTTTGATTCGGTAGGCCTCAGCGGACTGTTCGAGCAGGTTGGCTGAAGTATAGTGGATGTGTGATGATCCGGTCCTGGTATACAGAATCGTGTGGGAAGCACCTGACCTGAAATCAGTGACTGAAGGCCTGCATGAAGATTAGATGGAGGTGTAACAAGGTGATGCACGATTGACGGACGGTTCGAGACTCCGCACAAATCAGGGGCAAGCGCCACCCAAGCCTTCTGGGGAAATGCTTATGTTACAACTCTGAAACACGATCACGTGGTTTACATGAATCTCGCTCCTAACAGCTTCGATCTCGGTTCTCATGGTATGGGACGTTACGAGTATGCTACTATACTTGTTTACATAGTCCACGAATTTTATGGACAAATACACTTCCCTACGCATCACCACGGAAGCCCCCCTCTCACCAATCCCAGCTTGACCCCATCATAGGGTGCTCCCTCCGACCTCGCACATCATAGCCCGCTGCTCCCTAACATGTCCAACCCTCCGCAAAGCCTTCTCCATTAATGCCTTGCCATGAACCCTGACCCTGTGCCCTTGAAACACGACCTGTACGGTAACGTACTCCAAGCGTTGCGGATGGTCCCTCGGCGACCTTGTCCCACCACTTCGCTTGCTACCATACAGTGCAAAATGCAGCCCGCTTGAACCTGTCCCTGCCGGAGACGGAAGGTCAAATATCTCACTGTAGTACATGTGGAGACGGCCTCCCGTTGCTATCGGCATGCTTGACTCCATGCTAGAGCTGTAATCCGGCCAGGTCCATGGTCGTGGAGAGCGACTGGCTGTTCGCCCACGCCGAGCTTGATGATTAGCCGCGCAGCTCGCGTAGGACTGTGAGTCGGCTTCGAGATCGTAAAGCTGCTGTTTCTATGTGGCATGATGGAATGTCCCGGGGGGGATATCTGCGTGTTGGGCCCAATGATGTTCGAGTGCAAGGGAGTTAGAGTGCTTTCATGCACTCTCCTATGAATGCCATCCCCGGCGACACGTCAGATCCTCGCGCTGTCCGCCAAATTGAACGTGCAGGCCAATATCTCACCCTCCATCCTTCAAACCGGCTTAGCGACTTTCCTCGCCTCTCTCACTCCCGTAGACGGATCCTCAAACTCCCTCCAACTAACGGGCCACATCGCCTCCCCACTCGCCTCACTCCACGCCATCACCACACCCAACTCGTTCTTCGCCGTACTGGCGTAGTAACTCCTCTCGTCTCCCAAACTAATCACCACCGCGCGGACAATGTCTCCCACTCTGAAACTTTCGGCGACTTTGACTTTGTCGATCTCGGTAAGGCGGATGTCCTGTTGGCGAATGATGGCTGAGAAAGGCTCCGCCAGGGGAACCGGGTCAGTAGTGGCGGCGGAGGCGGAAGGGTAAAGCGCTAAAATTGAAAGGTTCGCTTGTCGCGGGTTGGTGCGCGTGATGCGGCCTAGCACTAGTGTTCCTACTTCTGGCAGCAGAGGAGGCTGAGCAATCGAGACGGTAGGGGCTGCTTTTGATTTCGGCGGGGGCGGAGTGGTGATGACGCTGCCGGCGATGCTGGCGAAGAGATGGGAGCAGTGGATGTGCGTGCCAGGACCGACGTTGTTGGAGGCTATTGGTCCGAGGTTGTGGCCGGGGAGGGCTATAGATGATGAGGACATAGTGGTCGATGGCGGCGGAAGGCGAGCTGGTCAAGTAACATTGAAGACTAGATTGTGAAGTAGTACTCTACGGATTAAAGGTGCAGAATGTGGGGCAGCTTGGCGTCGCCGCTCAAGGAAGGCACGCACCAGTGTGGTTACTCATCGGATTCCCAGAGGAGGATTAATTCTCTACTTTTTACACACGGCCACAGCATACATACACCCCAACCGACATCCCTGTTCATCTTCTTACCGATACCTCTCACTACTCTTCCTCTTGTAGGGCAAAGGCTCGACCCTCTTCCGCTTAAACTCAACATCCCATCCCACAACACCCGCCCACTGCATGACCTCCTTCGTCCCCTCATCCCACTGCGTCCGGAACAAATCTACGCCTACCGCCTTGAGCCCATGCACGGTCATGAATGACCTCAAGTTAAACCCATGCCGTTCAGTATACCGGCCCGCTTCCTTCACTTTCCCCACGTCTAGCGTCTGAGAGGCAGACTCGGGGCTGGGAGTATCAGACGCCGGTTGAGCGAGAACAATGATGCACATGCGTTGGTACGGGGCGCCTTTCTGCGCGTAAGCGGGTAGCCAGGGGAGAATGACCTGACTTCCCTCATCCAACTCTCCGAACCGCACTCGTGTATCCGTCGGCGAGATGGGTATGTTCGAAGCGAGAAAGTGACACCGGTACGTAAACCCGTCTTTCTCCACATCCGGAACATCGGCATTCACGACCGCAATCGTCACCAGCCTTGTGCCCTTGTCATACGGCTGGATGACCATGTTAGGCGCTCGCTTGGAGGTGAGGCTGTCAACGAACTCGCCGTGTTGGATGCGCTTGAAGCCATTGCTGTTGCTGGCGGGGAAAGTGAGGGAGGTGGAGACGACGGGGTCAATCGCTTGCAGAACGTCGGGGACGACGTGCATGGTGGTTATGCGTTGCATGAGGAGGGGGCGTTTGTAGGACCGCCATTGCTTGTTGGCAAGGTGGCGGTAGATGGGTTTGTTCATGTCGCCTAGTACTCATACCGTTAGCCGCATCATTTTAGAAGAGAGAGATGGAGATACGCACCCATCCCATCCTCAAACTTCTTCTTGACAACCGGATCGTTGATATCGGCCAGGATCTTCAACTCCTCCAACTTCCTCTCCATACTCCTCAGCCTATTCTCTTCCCTCCATCGATCTTGCTCCGCAACCACCGTGGCAAGCTTCGTCTTCAATCTCGCGATTCGCTCCCTCTCCACCCGTATCTGCTCCAACTTCTCGTTCCGGTCTTCTAGCAAGAAAGCGCGCGCTTCTTGGAAGCATTGGTAAGGCAGCTGGGTGAAAGGGATCTGGGAGGTGGAGTTGATGGCTGCGCGACGCCGGCGGGAGCCAATGGGAACGAGGTGTTGGTTGATGAGGAGGGAGCGCTCCGTGTGTTTGGAGTGGACTTTGTATGGATCGCGGAGTCGCTTCGTAGCAGTCGTGGGAGGTGGTGGAGGTGGGTCGCTTGAGGATGGGGCCTGCTCTTGCGTTTCAAGGCGGAAGGGGGCGGTGGTGGTGAAGGATCGGGTAGAGCGAGGTATTCTATCGTGACGCGTACATCTAGTGCACCGTGCCAGAGGTCTTAAAGGCTTCTCCATTGTCAAACGTAGTGATTTCTTACGTGACTGTATGTGAGATGGTGGTCTCGTGCGCAGCGAGCTGACTTGGCCGAACAATTTGCGGCGAAAGAGCTGCACCTCCGAGAGAGCCATACCATCCGTACGACACCACATACCGTCCAGAAATACTGCGAATATGGCATCCAAACGCTTGAAACTGTCGACAGACACTCTCTACAATGGCATCAGGACATTCTCTCACCCAGATCACGCACAACGATGCCTCACCCGCTCCATGGCCACCGAAGCACCCCTACCAGCTACCACACCCTCGACACCTCCACCCGCACCCACACCTGGCTTCAAGCCTCAGCCCAACCCATTCCTGCAAACCGCCACTCTAACAACTCACGCCTTCCCCTCAATGGAACCATCATCCTTCGTCGCCTACCCATCCACGCACCTTCTCCTCCCGCTCCGCAAAGACATCCTCCACCGCGCCGTAATCTTCGAAGGAGACATGTCCCGCCAAGGCACGGCGTCCACTAAATGGCGCTCCGAAATCCACGGCTCGGGGCACAAAATCCGGCCGCAGAAGGGAAGCGGCAAGGCGCGGTTGGGTGACAAGAAAAGTCCCATGTTAAGGGGAGGTGGTGTGGCTTTCGGACCCAAACCCAGAGACTTCAGCACGGGGCTACCGAAGAAGATCTATCACTTGGCATGGCGCACAGCACTCTCCTACCGCTACCGGAAAGGCGAATTGCTTCTCATCGACGGGCAAGCGGACATCACCGGCGTGCATGAAGATAGTCTTGAACGCTATACCCGCGACTTACTCCGCCACAACAGATTCGGTCACGCGGACGGGCGGACGCTGTTCGTCACGTTAGAGCGACGGGAGGGCTTGTTTCGGGCGCTGGAGGGGGAGAGGATGGGACGTGAGGCGCGGGCGTTGGAGGTTTGGGACGTGGATGTGAAGGATTTGTTGGAGCTTGGCAGGGTGGTGGTGGAGAGGGAGGCGTTGGAGTGGGTTTTGGAGGAGCATCAGGAGGATTTGGCGCCGGGGGTGAGGTTGGGGGCTTGGGGGAGGATGATGGAGGGGTTGGAACGTGCAAGCGAAGGGGGAGCGGTGGGAGATGTTACGATGTCGGCCTGAGTGTGCTGGTTGTGGAAAGTACGGTGGATGATGTCGATGTCGAGCGCGCCTTCCTTATTTGACGGATTGGGAGGCTTCGGACTTCAGGTGTTTCGACCTCACCAGACAATCCATACTGCGGCAATTCTGCGCAAGCTAAGCATCCATCGCTGCTTCTCGTCTACGCCATGCCGACTATTCCACCCTCAAGCACTGCGGACCTCCGTCGAACTTGTCCAAGTGACCGCGCCATCGCCTTCGCCATCTCCGTCGTGCTATCCAAACCGGACGGTCTTGGCATCAAAGGTCACATGCCAAGGATATGCATCGCTTTCTGTCTTCTAATACTGACCAGAATACATCGCCCTCCTCCGTCAACACATCGCCAAAGGCCGTCGGCGCGACGCTCTCACCTCCACTCACCGCCACCTCGACCGCTCTTCGTATTGGCGAGCGGAGTATGAGCGGTCGCAAGGTGCGTTAAGAAAGGCAGAAGGGGATGCGATTGACTCGCGGAAGGAAGTTGAGGCGCTGAAGGCGAGGTTGGCGGAGGCGGAGAAGGAGAAGGAGAAGGGGGGTAGGCCACTGAAGAAGAGGAAGAAGGTTGATGAGGATGTCATTCTGGTGCCGCGTAGTCCGAAGAGGGTGAGGGTGCAGGTGCCTAGTGATGCGGTTGAAGCGGGTGTTGATGCTGTTGAGTTGCCGGAGTTGGGCGAGAATGGTAGGCTGCGGGATGTCGCTGACAGGTCGTATGCCTTTACTGACGAGGTTCGAAGGCGACAATCTCCTGCGCAGCATCTATCTCATTCATACGCTTCTGAAGAGCCGGCAGCGCGTTGAGGCAACCCCACTGACTTGCCATCTCAGCCGCGCTGCATCATCGTTGCAGCTTACGATTAAGGAAGCCGTGAGAATTAGCTTCATACTTACGTCAACTGACGCCACCGTCCTCAAGAGAACCTTGACGGGCGGAGCCAGAGCCTTTGCGATGCTCATCGTCGGTTTCAACCGCGTCAACGATGCCACGGACGGTGCCGACATGCAGGGACAGCTCGTCTACGCCTACGTTAAGATGTTCGCGGACTTACTGGATACGTTCAGCGCCGCCCCTGAGGCCGAGCTAAACCGCGTCGGTTCGGAGGACGGTTCGTCCGGCACTGGGAAGCGACCCACGAGCAGCAAAGGCAAGAGCTCGAGAGCTCAGAAACCGAAGCAGCTCGGTGCCAGAGACATGCCGTCTTTGAACGCCATGACGAGCTTTCTCTGCGGTATGCTCGCTCTTTTGGACGCCACGTCCGAAGGTCATGGTCAGATGTTCGAAGGCTTCGCCTATTGCGTGTTGACGAAGCTGGGTGCATGCCTGTATACCTGCGTCTTTGGACAGTCCCGAGGGGACGGTATCGAAGCGGAGATCATGGCGAACAACCAAACCAGTGGTGAGACTACTCATGACGAGCCTCATCTCGCAGCGAAGCAAGACAGCCCTGAGCTTCAACAAGCGAGAATGCAAGCACCCTACCTCCTCCACCTCCTCACCCGCCTCATGACCCTCGCCCCCACCCACCTCGGCAGCAGCATGCTCACCAAAACCGGCAAACCGCGACACATCGCCGCGAAGAACGTGTCGAAAGCTTCTCTCGCCGTTCACGCGCGGGAGAAGCTGCAGAGGACTCTCCTCAAGTGTACCTTCGGCGACAGGCAGGACGATGCGCTAATGGATTGCTTGAAGATGCCCGGCATGCCCGAGAAGGCACTGCCGATGCCTAAGGTGGGTGAGGTCGATGTTCGCGAGTGGTTTACGGAGGAGGTTTGGAGGTTGGTTGGGTGGGATGTTCTCAGTAGCAGTAATGAGAAGGTATCTTGAGTCACTGTCTGATGTGTGGAGGTGTCTGCTGGCTGAGGGTGACATCTGAGTTGGGCTTTTTTACTTTCTCTCCTCGAGCTATACGTGACTGTACCTGGTCGTAATTCTTACCTCGCACGATAGGGCGAAGTGCATCATACCCTGCGCCTTTTTGATCCGCGTGAACGGTATCGCAACTCGCACTTCACCATGCAACACGCTTCCATCGTCAATGAAGTAATCAACTAAACACACCAAAGTAGCATTGATATCAAATTCAACTCCCTTCCCCAGCCAAGATTACGACACAAACGGCTGCTCATTCAGATGCATTATATTGCTTTCAATCAAACTGAAGCGGTTTCACAGAAGATGGAAGAAGATTCGTAGATCGCGCCCCCATCGTCCGAGCGAGCGGCTTGACACACCACGCGCGGCCGAAGGCGGCTATGCTGGGCCGATGCTGCCGACCGCCGACGGATGCGCCACTGATGGGGATGGGATGGCTGCAGCGAGCTGGAGTGGTGGATAGAGTAAGCAGATTGAAAGCGCCGGCAGTTCCCTTCCACTTCCCTTGCCTTTCCTGTCAAAGCTACATGTATCGCTTGATGTTGAGGCGTGATAGGGTAAGCAAGCAAGCAAGCAAACAGTGTGGTCGAATGTGAATCGGGGTGAGACAGTTGTTGCGAATGTGGATTAGTAGTGTGTGTGTGTGTGTGGCAAGAGAAGGCTGGACTGGAACCCTTGATGCATGCATGTGCCTTTGCGTAGGTACCTGAGGTCGTGCGCTGTTTTTAGTTCGCCTGAGATTGCCGGAAGGGCTTTGTCTTGGCGGGTTTGAGAAGTTGAAGGGAACGGGGGACGGGGCACGAGTGCTGCTTCTGGCTTCTGTGCCTTTGCCGCGTCTTTACAGCCCCAACCCAACCCAACCTCCACCAAGCTCCACTCCTGCCAAATTCACCAACACCAACACCATCACCACACCACACCACACTCTCCATATATACACTGTGTGGAGGTCTTACGTATTCTGAGTGAAGCAACGCTGGCGACGACTGTGTATTGTGTGGGAGGAGAGAGAGAGAGAGAGAGATAGTGTAGTGGCAGGAGAAGGGGGCAAGGCTGTGTGGTGTGTCGCTTCCCCGACCGGCGAGATCTCGACTCCTGCATCTGAGCAAACACCGCCAACATCCCCACCCGCGACCTCGACGCACCGCACTGCACTGCGATACTCCACTCCCCGAGTCGCTGTGCTACTCGAAGTGGTGGTCGTCGGTGACTCTTGGCTGAGTCAGAGGCGCCGGGTGCAAACTGCGAGTCCTTTGTCTGGATTACGAGGGAGCAGCTCCGACACCCGCCTTTGATCTTTGCTCAGCCTGCTGAGCTAATCACGACGGCGCGAACGAGGGTGGCGAACGAGACAGTGCAGTTTGACACGTCAAGGAGGTGTGTTTGGCGTGCAGAGGGCGAGTCTGGCAAACACTCGACCACGGCAAGCGAGGAGTGGCGCCAAGCGAAGTCTGTCCGTCAAAGTTTGCACCTTCGCCTCCATCGAGCAAGCAGCGACCTCGCGACCAGGCGGGCGTTGAGGTGAGTGACGCGCAAAGATGAGAGAGGTCAACTTCAGCATCCCGAATGCGAACAAAGCCTCGGTGGGCATCACCACCGCCCTCTACGACCGGCGCGCGCTCGACTGCACCTCCACCCTACCCCTGATCAACTCCCTCAACAACCTCACCTACCTCACCACCTCTTCCGGCCGCATCCGCGATATCCTGACCGTAGATGGCGGGATCGAGCGGCTGGTATGCATCCTCAAGGAGGGGAGGAGTAAGGACATGATGGAGATGTGGAAGTGGAATCTCGCTTTCCAGTGCATAGTCAACATCGGCGTGCGAGGCTCGGAAGCCGTACGGACGCGGGTCGTCGAGGCGGACATGGTGCCCATCATCGCCACCATACTCGACAACTACTTCCAGGTCGTGGAGAAGTGCAGGGAGAGGCAGGAGGTGGAGAACAGGCGCAAATGTCCCTTCGGCTCCGCCGCGAAGGGCTTCTCGAGGTCTTCAAGCCGCGTGTCTTCGGCAGGGCAGGAGCATGGCACGTCTCGATCACGGCGCCACGCTCCACCTCCCATTGCGATTCCAGACCCCGACAACAACCCCGAGCAGGACGACCCGACGAGCGAAGTCACGCCCACCGGACCCGTCCCCATCATGTCGCTGAGCTCACCACCCGAGCGCACCACCTTCCCACGCCAACACCACCACCACCACCATCACCGCTCGCACGCCGGCCGCTCGCAGTTCTCCTCGCCCAGCCTTGGCAGTAGCCGACAAGCCAGCGACACGCCACTATCAGCACTTCCTTCACACGGCGATATGGGTTCAGCATTTGGCTTTCGACCCGTCCGCGACATCGACCGATTGCCGTCCATGATGCCGACCATGCACGGCGACCTTAGCTCTCAGCCACAGAGCCCCACTACACCCGTCGCGCGGCCGAGTAGTCCTCAAGCGGGTGCCAGTGTACTGCGGCCTCGACGGCGACCATCCATCCGCCACCAGCTATCCGTGTCGGGCTCCGACGACGATGGCCAACCCGATGAGAGTCCCTCGGATGAGTCCGCCGACCCCGACGGGCAGCAAGAACCCGTCGTCGAGATCCAAACCGACATCGTCATGGAAGACATCGTGGACGAAGAAAGCCTCCTCGAACCGCCCCAAGACGCCATCACCGTCGCCGTCCCGGACTTATCCAGCGCGGACGACGAAACCTTCAACATCACCCACCGCTCCGCCACGGACGGTAGCATCGTCAATATCGTCAACCCCGCCGCAACCCCGACCCAAGCCGGCAGAGTCGGCGGCCAGCTCCCCTTCCCACCCACCCAACTCCCCGCCGCAGCTCTGAACCCCGTCAACGCAACCCCACCCAACATGCATCTCCCACCCGCCTGGTACCCCTCCCGCCTCACCAGCAACTTCGACCGTTCCGCCGCCCCCGCCAGCATCCTCGCCGCCATGCCGCGGGACGAAGACGTCCTCATGTCCCTGCAACTCCTCGCCTACGTCTCCAAATACTGCAACCTCCGCGCCTACTTCCAGAAATCGCACCTCGTGCCGCGCCTCAAGATCGGCGAGAACGAGCTCCGCCTGCTAGACCCGGAGTACGATCCCTCCACCCACGTCGCGGCGACGCAGGAAGAGTTGGACGAAGACTGGGACAACGAATTCGTGAAACGCAGCCCGGACGAAAAAGCCTTCAACATCTTCCCGCTGATCGAGAAATTCACCGCCAAACCCTCCTCCTCCTCCTCCTCCTCGTCGCACTCATCTTCCCGCCACTCCACCGGCAGCCCCGCCAGTCCGCAACAAGGCGACATGCAATACTGGGCCGGCGTGGTGATGCGCAACCTCTGCCGCAAGGACGACACGCGCGGCGGCATCCGGCAGTGCGCGTACTGGCAGTGCGGGAAGTGGGAGGAGTACACGCGGCAGTTTGCCAAGTGTCGACGCTGTCGCCGCACGAAGTATTGCAGCAAGGAGTGTCAGAAGGGGGCGTGGGGGAGCCATCGGTTTTGGTGTGTGGCGGCTGAGTCGCAGCAGGGGCAGGGCGGGCAGGAGGGGGAGGGAGCAGTGGGGGAGGGGGGAAGTGGGAGCGGAAGGCATGGGAGGAGGCATGGTGGGCATCATCATGGTGGACATCATCATCATGCGCATGCGCATCATTAGTCGCGTGACCCGGCATCGATGCGGGCGTGCGAGCGAGCGAGCGAGCTGTGCGTTTGATGTGTGTGGAGTATTGCTAGCGAGCATAGCGTGGGACCGGGCATTGCTCTATGCCGAGGCGTTTTTGACTTGGCTATGCCGACTTACTTTGTGGTTGGCTCGTCTATGATGCGCGAACTGGATTATGGATGAAGGGAATTGGGAATCCGGGGGTTTATCGGTACGAGGTGATCTGCTGGGGGTTGATGAGGCATGGTTAGCTCTGATAATGTTAGCGAAGCATGGCATATCCCCTTTTCTCCACACGAACTTGCTCGCCGGCTGCCGAGCAGTTTTCTAAAACAAAGGATTGAGATGTGTACCGATTCGTGTTCACGTCAAGGTATCGTCCCACACACTCATCGATCACGCACTCCCCGCAACGCCCACGCTATGCTCAAACAACCCCTCCCCCACCCTCACCCCACACCCAGAACACCCTGCTCACTGCTGCGCACACTGCGCCCCCTGCCCACCCGCCTCCCCATCCTCATCCTCCCACTCCGCCCCGGCCCGCGGATCATCCGACCCGGCGCCAAACCCCTCCAGATTCTCCACCGCCTCAAACTCAACCTCATCCACCATCTCCGGCGTCTCGCCCACTCCAAACCGCGCCCCCTCCGCCTTCGGCAGCACATCCCTCACCCGCTCCACCGCGGCCGGATCCCTCAACCATCCGTCCTCGGGGAACGTCACGCGGACGGTCAGGTACAGATCCCCGCGGGAATCCGATCGTTTCACCGGCATGCCCTCGCCTCGAATCCGTAGGATTTCGTCAGGACGCAACACTTTGCCCGCCGGTTGCTCGACGTGCAGTTGGATCCCCCTCCCGTCCAGATGGCGCAGCACGACGCGGTTGAACCCCGTCAACGCCTCCACCAGCCCAATCTCCAAATCCGCCTGCAGATCCGCGCCCGCGCGATGGAACACTTTGTGCGGCTCCTCCACCACCTCGAACACGATATCCCCCGGCTCACTATCATCGGGATCCTGATCCGCCTCCCCCGCCAACACGATCCGATCCCCCTGTTTGCTCCCGGGCGGGATGTAAAGCTCGAGGATCTTCTTCTGGCTCACCGTCCGCGCGCCCTTGCATTTCTTGCATTTATCCTTGTCCGCGTAGAAACTCCCTTTACCGGAGCACGTGGCGCAGGGGACGGTTTCTTGCGTGACGAGGCCGGGGCCGACGGGACGGATGCGGGTGGTTTGGCCGCGGCCTTTGCAGCTGTCGCAGGGCTTGGACTTGGCCTTTTCTTTGCCCCCCGTGCCGCGACAGGTGGCGCAGACGACCTTTTTCGTCGAGGCGAAGCGCGTCGTTTTGCCCTTGTACAACTCTTCCAGCGTGACTTCGTACGGCTGCACTTCGTTCCGGCCTTTGCCTCCTTTCCTCCTCGCGCCCCCACCTCCCATCCCATCCCCTCCGCCCATCCCGCCGCCCATCCCGGGCATCCCGCCCATGCCCCCGAACATCTGCGCGAGTATATCGTCCAGATCCGGGCCCCCGGGACCCCCGCCGCCATTCATCCCCCCTCCCTTCTCAAACGCCGCCATACCATGCTCGTCGTACAGATGCCGGGTATCGTCGTCGCTGAGGATTTCGTAGGCGCGCGAGATGGCTTTGAATTTCAGGTCGGCTTCTTCGCGTTGCTCGGAGGGGACTTTGTCCGGGTGGGAGGTTAGGGCGGCGCGGTGGTAGGCTTTTTTGATTTCGGCTTTGGTGGCTGTGCGGGGGATGGAGAGGAGCTCTGGTGGTGTTAGCAGAGAGTGGTCGTGAAGGGTATTTGGGGGTTTTGTTACCGTAGAGGTCCTGTTCGTCTGGTGTGCTCATGTTGGCGGTCGAATGGTTGGAATTGTGGTGAAGTGTAGGGTTTGGTAGCTGACTCGCGATTATGACATGCTTGGATGCGGGAGGCGTGAGTGGGTGGTGAGGAATTTACTCGATAGCGGTTGTATTGACTCGCAGGGAAATGTTTGATGATGATGACTTTCGAACCGCATCGGCGTTTGAGATCGCATAACTCCGCCTCGTGTCAGTCGTGGCGCGTGTCGAGGCGGATATGACTCGAGCAATATCGCGTCTTCCCAAGCACGTCTCCGAAACTTGCCCTCCAGCATCGTCCCTTGCTTTGGCTATGACAAGGTATGAAAAGAACAACATCCGCTCCGACGTGGTTTGGCATCTTGCGCAGTACAGATTGGATCTGCTCGACATGCCAGCAGCAAGCCCGTCAGGCGTATCGGCGACAACTTCATAATGTGTCTCGGGCAACAACCTTCAGCAGAGGGCAAACAACAGCGAGACTGGACATACGACAACACAATGCCAAGCGCAACGTTACAAGCGCATCGTCTCCCATTGCTGGTCTCACGCGTAAACCTATCCTGCCAGATGGACCGGCCAGAACCCGCTTCGCTCCATCACCTACAGGCGACCTTCACATTGGAGGTTTACGAACAGCTCTATTCAGTTACTTGCTGGCTAAACGAACAGGTGGACAGTTTCTGGTTCGTATAGAGGACACTGATCAAGTAAGATCTCTCTCTATCCTTACATACACTCGTGCACTGACTTACGAAGAAAAGGCTCGTTGCAGGGGCCGAAGAGCGCCTGCTTGAAAACTTAGAATGGGTTGGTCTACAGTGGGACGAAGGTCCCAAAGCAGGTGGACCGTACGGTCCATACAAGCAGTCTGAACGCAATGACATCTACCAGCAACATGCCAACGAGCTGCTAAATGCTGGCTCGGCTTATCGATGTTTCTGCACTCCGCAAGCGCGAACTCAAGGTAGTGCCAAGTTCGTACTGTCTGGCTGCTCCCAGAATTGCTCGTCTTTGTCAAGCGAGGAATCACAAGACCGCGCTTTCGACAACAAGCAGCCCTTCACAGTGAAGATTCAGCGAGCGAAGCCGGATCCGAAACGTGTATACCCCGATCTCATATACGGCAAGATCCAACCTCTGAAACAGAACGTCGCTGCTAACCTATCCGATGGCGACGATGAAGTGAGCGTCAGCGTAGCAGACGTCATCCTGATGAAGTCCGACGGCACGCCAACCTACCACTTCGCCAACGTGGTAGACGACCACCTGATGAAGATCACCCACGTCATCCGCGGCTCGGAATGGATGGCCAGCACACCCCTGCACTACGATCTCTACTCAGCCTTCGGCTGGCAGCCACCCTTATTCGCGCACGTCGGCCTGCTGGTTGACGAGAACAAGGCGAAGCTCTCCAAACGCAGCGCACACCTGGCGTTGGATGTGCGAAATATGCGCGCAGAGCATGACGTCTTGCCCGAAACCCTTGTCAATTTCCTTGCGTTGCTTGGGTGGAGCAACCCTACACGGAACGATGTCTTTGATATGCAGGGATTGATTGAGCATTTTGACTTGAAGCTGACGAAGGGGAACACGATGGTGAAGTTCGATAAGTTGTGGTTTCTGCAGAAGCAGCATGTGGCACGGCGGTGTGAGAAGGTTAGGTCGACGGGCGATCGGAGCTCGTTAGCTTCCCTCGTCGATCGGATCGTGGAGGAGGTCGTGCTGCGGTTCCCGCAGGTGAAGGAACGCTTCCCGGAGGACGAGAAGTTGAGGGACTACTGTGAGGACATCCTGCTCGCCGACGGCAAGATGTTTCAGACGGTGAAGCAGTTTGTGGAACGGAATCGTTATTTCTTCTCTTCCGAACGACGTACTGATCCTGAGTACCTCGACGGGACGAGGCTTACCAGAAACGTTGACATCGTCCTCTCGGTATTAGTGCATGCCGCGGAACGTGAAGGCTTGTTCGGACGCGGTGGCCCAATGGACAGCAATAGTCCAATATTCAGCGCGGATGCGGCTACCGACGGACGAATGTGGTTCGATCATATGTCCGATCGGATTCATGCGAAGATCCAGTACCAGGTAATGGACAGCATAGCGGGCGATATCTCTAACGCAAAGTGCATCGAGGCGGGCCGGAACTGTCCGAGGTGCGATACAGAGACCGGTCGTCCTTTCACTGACGAAGAGTATGGCAAATGCTATGCCCACCTTGCCACCATTGCTGCGGAAGGAGGGGTTGTTCAAGGACGCCTCTCGCCGCTGGAATTGGAGAAGGAAGGCATTGAGAAGAAACACCGGCTTCATGCCGAGGTGATGCGGTACCTGAGGCAGGGACTTTGTAATGGCCTGCCTGGGCCGAGTATTGGAATCGTGATGGCTATACTCGGTCATCGTGAAGTCCTTCGCCGCCTGCAAATCGAACCCAAAGTCGGCGAGGGGAGATATCTGGAGCCGCCGTGCGATGCTGAAGGCAGCATGCAGGCGGCTTGAGTCTGTCGATGGTGCCAGCACACCCATATTATCGTAGCCAGCGTAAGAAGGAATACAGTTTTGAGCTCCATCGCAGTAGAGCTGGCACTGCAGGCTCTAGAAATATCGCCGTACATCCTCATACGCAAAGAAGTACATATAACCTCCCATCTACCCCTCCCCACCACTCTCCTGCCCACTAGCAGTCTTCCCCTGCAACACCAACGTCGCAAACCCCCCCATCTTCCCCTCCAACCCCTTCAACTCCCTCGCGCCCCTAACCCCCTCCACAACCTCCCCAATCCTCCTCAACAACCCCTCACACTCCGCCCTCGTAGCCTTGCGCCCCTGCTTCTTCGCCGCAAGCACAATCTCCACCCTCCTCCCCTCCGCCAGAAACTCCCCCATCCGCTCCAACCTATGCTTCAGATCCCCCACCTCAATCGCCCAATTCAGCTCCAGCGTCTTCACGCTGGCGACCTTCTTGCTATCCGCCTTCCGTTCCTTTTCATTGATTCGGCGTCGGCGTTCGGAGTCGAAGAGGTCTTTTTTACTCACGATTTTGCAGACGGGGATGAAGTTGTAGGCTTCGGGTGAGTCGGGTTTGGGGTCGGGGGTGACTTGGATGAGACGGTGGGTTTTGCGGTCGAGGGTGTTGAGGATGTCGTAGCGCGTGCTGGGTTGGGGAGCCAGTTTGTTCGTTGCAGGGTCGACGAGGTGGATGATGCGGGATGTGATCTCGTCGTCCCACTTTTGCGTGCGTTCTTCGGCCTTGAAGGTTTTGCCGGCGGAGCCACGGTAGACTAGGCGGCTTGGTGTGGTTGAGAAGGTACGTCGCTTTGGCAGTGTGGCATGCGAGGGCTTCTGATGCGATATGCGCCTCGACTGAAGCGCAGGTAGGATGAATGTTCGATAGAGAGCCTGTACCGTAGATGTGCCATGGTGACTGGACATTGTCTTGCTGGAAAGTGGACACGGAAGTAGAATATCGCAGCGAAGTAGGTTCACGAACATTGTGAAGCTTGGAGATTCCCGATGCGGAGTAGCACGTGACTATCGCTTGATATAACGTGAAGGCGCTAAATGTACACGCAAACGTAGCGAAACCGACCATGTTCATGCTCACATGGGTCACAAACGCCCTGCAGATGCTGCCACGCACTGTCCGTCCGATAGCACGGGGTATCGTTTGAAGCCAAAGCCACGCTCCCACCACCAGTAAACCAATATCAGGCGCCAACTATGCATTACTGGTCCCGGAAAGTCCTTAAAAGCTTTTGTCCACCCAACAGAAGTTTGCTCTTCCGCTTCTCCTGCTCTGTTTCCTCACCAGACAGCGCTTCTGCCTGCTGCTGTTGCATGCTTCGATACCGTAGCCGCTCGCCAAAGCCGGAAAGGTGACGTCCAATCGAAGACGCACGCGAGCGTTGAGCAGATAGAATATCGGACGTCTCTGCTGTCGCGTTCTGAGTCAATGGACCAGCGTGTGACTGTGGTCGCGCTGGCGTTGAGCGATGACCGTTCACTTGCTGCGAGACAGGCCTTGGCTTCGCGTCGTCAAGACCGGATGCGGTAGTTGCGCGCGAGGAAGTTGCAGGCGACGATCCCATTGACATGGTGCGACTGAGCGTGCTAGGCCTCGCTGAAGCAGTCGATGGCCTCCCATTCGCCTCCGCCGGATTGAAATCGAATGTGCTGCTCGTCTCCGAAGATGCGGGTGAAGGGGTCTGGCCGCTAGCAGCTGCCACGAACGTGCTCATGTTGGCGAGTTCGCGAAGTCGACTTTGCTGCATGCGGTTTGGCTTGTGATGGCTTAGCTTGTTACTGACAATGGCGCCTGCATGTGATATTAAGGCTCGAATGACATCCTTCTTCAGCTGCAGAGCAAGGTCCAGGTTGGACCACGTCTTGTTACGGTACTCCAACGTAGGCATGCGAAAGACGAGATCATGCACGTCCTCGAGATTACGTTTGCCTTGTCCTTTGTAGCTGAGACAGAGAACCATACTTGGCATCTTCACGAAAGCCAGCGTCATGTAGTTGGACGCACGGTTCATCATCTGTGTCAGATCATCTGAAGGCTCGTCTCTCTTTTTCTTCTTCTCGTCGCTGTGCGACCGATGAAGTAGCGACCGCTTGCTTGGCTTCTCGATTTCGCTCGCAGTAGTACTCGCGATGGTCACGATTGAGCCTGCGCTCGGTGACCTTGACATATTGGGCGTATTGAGTGCGGCCATGGCTTGACGAGAGGCTGCTGATCGCTTCGAAGCAGTTGCTTGCAAAGACTTTTCAGAATGCTGGAAAATTGCGAAGCCGGGTCGACTGTGTCCGCTGCTGATACCGAGCCCTTTACCATCGGCCTTCGACTTGCGTTGCTTGGGCAGGTGGAGCGTGGGATGTAGCCTCTGCTGCAGTGCACCTGGTCCTTGCTCGTGCGTCGACGTCCGCTGGAGTTTAGGCGAATTCGGTGGTAGTTTGGGAGTATCCGCTGATGCAGTCTCTGTCTTCGTACCATCTTCATCCGCTTCATCCTGCTTGGCAAGCTTGTTCTTGATGCTCGACGGCGAGAAGCCACCTCCCTCGAAAGCCTTGCCACCCGCACCCGGGAACACGTATTCGAAGATCTTCTTCGCAACCTCGCGTTCGACCTGCATTTTCAACGGAGCAAGGTCGATCTCGAAGTAGTCAACCACCGGTATACCGGCGATGGCTTCCAACATCAGCCAATGGATTCGTAGCATCTTCTCGTTGCCGAGCTTCTTCCCGCCCTTTGCTTCGTCTGTGAACGGCGCTATTATCTCCGGGTACAGTGCGTTAGGCAGCAAATTGAAGCCATTGATACGTCCAATCTCCATCTGATTGAAGTTCGAGCCGTCATTGTGGTCTGTTCGATCAAAGGAAGCGTTCTTCAACTGGAATTCAACCAGTGACTCGCCCTTTTCGCGCACCAAGTGCCATGCAATCTCCTTCGCACGCATGCTCAGATGCACGACCCCGTTAGCGTTCTCTTGCTCTCGTCGGTCTTCAGCCCGCTGCTGCGACGTCGTGATGGCCTTCATCATGAAGAACAGTTCGTCTTCGCAAGCTGCAAGATCTTGGTCCATGATGATGCGGTCTTTCCAGCCTTGCCGGTCGAGGTACTTTTCGTTGATCTGGAAATGCATCTTGATTTCTTCGAGCTGCCGTATGCGCTCTTGCAGCATCTGAACCATCTCCGGAGCACCCGTAAGGTCGCTGAAATCGGATGCTAGCATAATCTTTTCAAGCCGCTCACTGCGTGTCTTCTCCAACGGTTCGTTGTAGAGTAGGAGGTCCATGACAATAACATACATCCCGTAGTACTGTGCCGAGTCGCAGATCGCTCGAAAGTGCGGGAACTCCAGCCAAACATGGTCCATCCGCTCCACGGTCTGTTCGTCGCTCTTAATGTCTTTATCCTCACCACCCGAGACATCATCATTGTACTTCAAGCGGAGATTATTGTACTTGTCATAGCGTAAGCTGGCAGACGTGCGGTGTACGACCCTGTTGAAGCCGTAAGGGTTTGTCTGATATTCGAACATGATCTCCATCGGCACCCATGGCGGCCACTGAGTGCCAGCTTTCGCACCATACAGGTTGGCAGAATACATATGGAAGAACTCCATGGAGAACGTCTTCGTACTGGTGACGAACATTTGGAGGCTGTCGGCCGCAGCGGTGAAGCGACGCTGCACCAGACCGCTAACGTCGTCGTTGACGTTCGCCTTGTCCATGATCTCCACAATCTTTAGCTGCATGCCCTTCGCTGTGACCAATACTGCAGACTTCGGGTTCTTCTCGCTCTGAAGCTGGATTTGAGGTGCAATGAGGCGGAAGTGGTAGATGTTGAGCGGCGTAAACTCCTGTGCGATCTCTTCCGTCGGACCTTTGTCAGCGGTACCAATCTCTTCCTTTTCCGCAACTGGCTCATCCGCATTCACAAAATTGCGACCGTCATGCAGTAGCTGCTCGATGCGGTCTTGTACAGTCTGCTCGTCATCTGCGTCAGGTGACAAGACACTGATCTGTGTTGCGTGCGATCTTTGTCGCTGAGGGACCGTCGTCTCGTCCCTCTTTCTTCGCTCTTCCACCACATCCAGTATGAACTTGACAGCCCGCCGTGACATGTAGTATACGAACCCACGTCGCTGGCTGACTTGGTGCGCATAACGGAGTATGATGTTGCGCAACGAGTTATTCCACTTGATCTGCGCGTTGTGAACGATGAACCGGTTATTGAAGTCACTCGTGTAGTCCGCCAAGGGTGCGGTATCCAGGCGAGAGAAGTCAGACTCTTGCTTGCTGGCGTTGTTGTGGGCGTCGAAGAACTCTTCGCTTGTCTCCAGTTCCGGAACTGCTGCTGGATCCTGTTTGTCCAATCGTTGATATAGCGCATCAAGCATTGACTGCAAAAAGTCGTGCTTTTGGTGCAAGTGCTCGCTATGGCTCTTTAGTGCGTTGAGCTTGTCTTCTTCTTTCTGGTGGCCAGCAGCATCACCCGAGGACGTCCGGACGAGTTCGAGTTCCTGCTCGCTTATCTCGCGCTCGTTCCGTTCGCTCTGCTGCCGGAGTGTAGCTAATCTGTCCTCGATGAGCTCGGCTTGCACGCGGCGTGGGTCATTCATCGCGGACATAACGCAATAATGTGTTGGCTCGTCACCGAAACGACTCGTCCTAGATGGATCGCCGGCTATTATGCCTCCATGATCTGTCTGTCGGAAGTACGTAAAGCGAGGTGCGTAGCCTATTGGCAATATCCTTGTCACCGGATCCGCTTCTGCGGGCAAGATCCAGTCAAGCTCGACAAAATCATCCATGTCGATCCAATCGAAGTCATTGTCGGGTATCTCGAACTTAGACATGTCGACTTTTGGCGCCTGCCCGTGCAGAGAAGCCAGTACTTCATCACTGGCCTTGTCCAGATCCTCAACGCTCGTGCCACCTATGCTCGCAGAGAGCGCTCGAAGATCTGCATGTATAAAGTCGAGTTGTGCTTGGTTGATACGCATGGCACTTGTCTTCTTCGTCATGACTCCTTCCGTATCGTTAATGTCGAAATGCTCTCTTCGCTGATGCAGGTCCAGCATGAAACTGTCTAGCTTCATCTTCAGACCAGTCACCGACACTGTTTTGCCTTGGTACTCTTCTGCATCTTTATGCTTGTATACGTGACTGATGTAGAGTGGAGATAGGAGCAGATTGTACTTCACGGTGGCTATGTGTCGGCCGAACTTCTTACTCTTCTTCTGCGTGACTCCCCACAAGGGGCCCTGCCTAACCGGAAGAGACATGGTACCAGAGAACATACTCCACCAGTTGAAGAAGTGGGAGAAGAATCGAGGGGTCAGATGGACTGTGTTATAGTTGTTCGAAGCCTTGAGGTTCGACACCGTCCAGTCTCTGTCCTGTGGTGCAATGACCGCGATGGACATGTGTATGTATTGACTGCGGAAGTTGCGGTAGGCATCGTACTCCTCGCCCTCTGGCGCCCTGGCGAAATCTGGATGTTTTAAGACAACATCATAGTGAGGCTTGAACTCGAACAAGCGTTTCTGGTTAGGTCCGTCGCGCTCAAAGACCAGACCAGCAAGCCACCGTACGTTGCCTGATAGCTTCATGACTACCTTTCTAAACACGGCATCCTTCTTATTGCTCGAGATGGAAGAAGCAGCATCAGTATGCTCGCTCTCTTCGTCTTGGGCACGTCTCGCGTAGCCGTTGAAGTCGGGCACGGCCAAAACATAGTCGCTCGAGTCGACAGTCATGAACTGGCGCGGGTCTTTGCTCTGGCCGATGTTCCAGCGCACGTCGTTGCGCCATACCATAACCAGGCCGGCTCCGTTGCCGGTCACGGCGTATGGGTCTCTGGTGCCTTTCATGATGAGATGAACGTCGCCGTCGCCCTTCCACGCTACGTTCACCCGTGAATGGAAGCTCAATCGAATCTTGTCCCAGAAGCCGACGCGGTCGGATGGATCAAATGGTGGCTTTGTAAAGCCCTCAATGACCTGCATCGTGTCCTGTATTGCCGGTTGGTATGATGTACCCCATGTGATCTTGGTCGGGTTGCTTGTGTTGATCTCGAACTTCATGTCGGAGTAGGTCTTGATGGGTGAGATGGTACGTCGAACGTCGATGGTAAAGGGACCCTTAGCGCCATCACCCATTTTCGCCAATGGTACGACCTCTACATTAGCATGTCGCTGTGACTCGACATCTCTGAACTCCTCCGCAATAACGAAGTCCGTCCGCATAGACAGAGCTGGCAACCTCATTGACTGTCCATTTGCAAGCATTGGAACATGCATCAGCGGCAACGGGTAATCGCGAAGCTGAAAGCGTAGCTCACCCATCGTGACATGTAGATTGAGGGGCACAACGAGGCCGTACTTCATGTCGAATGGCATTCCTTTGCCGACATCGTGCAGAAACCTCGGAAACTCGTCGACCGGAAACGAAGGCTTGTCTATAGTCAGACTAAGCTCGCTGATAGTGAGGAGCATGAGCCCAGGCCGTTGGCTTATTTGCAGTATGGGTTCCTGATTCTCGATATCTTCAGGTGCATCGTCCGCACCCCAAAGCATGGATCGAACCTCTTTGACCGCGTGGCTTTGAAAGCTCAGGACACGATCAATCCTGTTCTTCCATGATTGTGCGTTGAGGTAGTGCAACCGCTCACGTGCTTGATCAATCGTAAGCTCAGAAGTGTCGCTTATGCCACACCTGCCGTCCGCTTCGTAACGGATCTTGCGGTCCACATGTCGACGGGGTTTCGGCTGCTGGGCGAAGCGTGCGGTAGGCTGAGTACTCCGACTTCTACGCTTGCCAATGTTTCCAAGGCGATTGTGAGATCGTGACCTTTCGCCCATGTGTTGCGCAGAGTGAGCTCGCAGCCTCGATGAGCCAGGCGCGGCTCTACGAGCGAGCCGCTTCTCCTTGAGCTTGAATGCCTCTTCACGTACTAATCTCTGCTTCTGCTCAACCAAACCGGCTCGGTAAATAGCACCCAGTTTCCACTCGAAGCTGCTGTCTTCGATATCGAACAAGAAGAGCTGGGCTCGGATGTTGATTTTAGGTACGTGTTTTGGTCCCTCTGGCTCTTTCGTCAAGATATACTCGTCCGTGCCCGTAACGAAGTGGTGTCGCAACTGCTTCGAAACCTTCACCACGTTTGTGATGTTGTCAAAGATATTGTGCACAATGAGCGAGTGAGGTACAGCGAGTCGAACAGTCTCCGCGGCAACATCGATAGACTTCTCCGTGATGACTTGCTTGCCAACCTTGCGTTTGTGATCTCGTAGATCGAGCCGAAAGACTTTGATGCTGATTATTCGACTCCAGACCGACTTCGTTCGCGGTGCACGCACATACATACGTGCTAGATGGGCGCGCAAGAACGGACTCGTCCAGCGATGGCGGCCTGCGTCGAAGCGGTAGATCTGTATCATCATCGGCGGGTCTGCCGGCAGGCGCGCCTTCAACTGTAGCAGGTCTGCCTTGCAGTCGATGGTGGTTATTTCATGACGAGCTACGTCATCAATCTCCTCCATGGGCGAGAGCGGCGTGCTAGGCACTTGTAGATTGGCCTGCTTTGAAGGCGCTGGCGGCCGGCCGGTGTCGCTCAAGTCATGGTCCAGGAATGTTCTTCGAATCACCAAGACAGCTACACCAAGCGCAAAATGGTTGTATAGTGAGTACTGAAGCAGCAGACTCTTAGCAAAGGAATTGATGTGAAAAAGAGGACCGTGGGCATCGGTAGATGTAGAGAAGGCTACCTCGTAGCGTGGCAACGTTATGAAGGCCTCAGACTCGGAGTCAACCACTGAGTCCACAATTAGGCCCTCCAGATTTGTCAGATGCAGGGTCAATCTACGCCCATCGGCAAAGCTTTGATACTTCCTGCGCGGCGATGAATGTCGCGCTGCAGGCCTGGACTTCGTTGAAGAGCTTCTCGTAATTGAGTTGCGGCGTGCCATCTGCGTGGTTCGCTCCTCCCGATAAGCACTGTATTCGGTGGTCCACGACTCGAGATGGAGAGCGAAGCCACGCGAATCTTTCGAAACTTGTTCGTCCACACCAGCAAGCTCCAGGCTGAAATCTGTACCTTCAATGTGACAAGCTTGCAACCACGACGGCACATTGCGCAGGAAACTTGCCTTCGGTCTCGGCTGATCATCGTGCTGCCTTGCCAGTACATTCTTGCGCAGCTGCTTGACAATTTGTCGTACACCGTCGCAGATGTCCGGCCGGACGAGGTAGAGGCTGTAGGTTCTAAATTGCGCGTTGACGGTGACGGATGGCTCCGGTATCGCTGTAATGTCAATTTGGATCTCGACGGTGTCGCTTTGTAAGAGGTCATGCTGTTCGCCGGTTGCGGTTTGGTAGTAGAGGTGATGCCGCGTATGTCGATAGTGAGAGCTTAGACTGTAGTTGATCCCAGCCTCGGCGGCATGTGATGACTCCAGCTCGAAGTTGATTGAAGATACAGAGCAGATCAAGAGGTCAATGTCATCCTCACGCGCATTTGCTTTGGCCATAGGCGGTAAAGAGACCCTAATCACCGGCTCCTGTACTGCAAGCTTGACGTGAGCCTTCGGCAAGAGCTGCGAAAGGAGGTGATGTCTGTCTGAGCGTGCGGCCGGGACTTGTTTATCGTGACTTGATCGCTGCTTCAAGATCTCTCGCACCAAGGGTAGGTGCTTTGGATCCAGGTCGATTGAAGGTGACGTACAGACAAAGTTCGCATAGAGCATATTCGTATTCCGTTCTTTGACATTGATGTCGCTTTGGAAGTTCACGGTCCGAGAAGGGAGCGTCGTCTTCACCGTCGCCGTAACCATCGGTACGTAGACAAGACGCTCTGGGTGCTTGTGGCCATCATCTATGCCGGCAGAGATGGCGATCGCTGTCAGCAGACCTTGATGTGCCACGTCGCTCGTGGCAAAGTACATGCGATGTGCAGGACTTTTCTGGTCTAGGCGCAGAATGTCCAGACCAATCTCCTTCATCGCAACATTGAAATACACATCTCTCCCGTCCTGGCCCGTGACGTCGAGCTTCCTTGACATTCCAAGGAAGCTGACAGCGAATTGCACTTCTTGAATGCCGCGCAAGATGGATGCAATGAAGGCTCGCGAGTCGGATACCGTCCGTACAATACGAGCTTCGTGACTTCCAGGCTTCTCGAACTCGTCAAGAGCATCAGAAAGCGAGAATTCGCCATTATCATGTTCTACATGCGGCTGTGCGTACTGACCTCTGAGCATCTGCGCGCAGTCGATGGCATGTTTGATGTCATCATACGGGAGATTGAGCCGACCGAGCTTCAGCGCAATCGATGCGTCTCGCAGGCCTTCAAGTCGGTTGTGGAGCATGCCATGTATGTTGAGCGTGCAGTAATCCAGAACCTCGGACGACTCCTTGCCTTCAGGAGTGAACAGTATGCTACGGATCACGCACTTCCACTCTGCAGGTGATTGCGTCTCGGGCTTCGACTTGTGGTGCTGGAACAACCGGCTGCGGTCGACAGTCCTCGCTCTGGTGTCTACAGCCAGCGTGACACGCTCAAGCTGCAAGCTGCCGACTCCGACTATGTTCACCGTGGCTTCCGATGCAATCAAGTCTACCATCTTGATCCACTTGATGTTGCTGTGCATTCGCTTGATGCGCTCCTTGATGTCCGTGAGCTGTCGCCAAAGTTTGCCATGTCCCTCTTCATCTTCGAACTCGCTTGTGGCCCTCTGTAGAGGCCTCGTGGGAGCCTCGGGTGAGCCATTGGCGTGTGCTGGCCCTGGACCAGCCTTGCTCTTGCTCTTGGTATCTCCAAGCGCATTCAGATCTACCGTGACAACCAGCTCCTCAACGACTAAGCTGCACCACGTTGGCAGCACAAAGGTCGGCCTATGGATCGCCAGGCCAAACCCTCGAACTGCGATCCTGACGCCATGGCGTGGATTGAACGATATGCGCCTAAAACCAGAAAATCCGATCCGCTGGACAGATACCCCAGTGGTAATCCGCACGATGGCAAAGACCACAAAAGTGAGCAGGTAGCCCAGCACTACCAGTCCTACCAGGAACGACAGCGTCGGGAAAGGCATGACCGCGCGGGCGGCACCGCCATCGACCCCTTGCGCAATGCTTGCGCGACCCTAGTCAATGTTGGCGACTGGCATAGTGGTGCGGTTAGAGGTCATCTATAGCCATGCAGCGATATGTCCAGATCAGCTTCAGCCGTCTGCAGACGCGGAATACGCAGGCTATCGCTTATGGGAGTCCCCGTAGACCTGAACAAATCGGTGATTAGGGCAGTTGACGGTCGCTAGCAAAGGAGTGAAGCAGCGAGCACGCCTAGGGGATGTGTAATGTCAAGGTATTCACGATCTCATTGTGCATGGCGGGCATTGGGGAATGCACGTGAGATCCGCAGACAGCCGCGAACTTAAAAAGCTTGACGGAGTTAGCGGGGTATGAACGTTGTGAGAACAACGCACAAGCGAAAGCGGTATCTCTAACTGTACACCTCAGATACAAAGACTGGATGCGACGTCATGCTCTACTTTCCTGCTACTTCAAAGCGCGCTCTGTGCTGAATGTGCGCCTCCAACGCCGTGCAATGCGCGACTCCACGAACAGCCGAAACGTGCTTCGATGACCAAGCTTTCCGCCCCAGCGCCGCTTTATGCAAAGCCTTCCGACGAAGCGGATCGCACGTGAGAACGACCATTGAAACGCCTTGCGCACGTGAACTCCGAGTTGCTCCTATGCACCCTTCGCATCCTTACTCCGCCATATGCGTGTCGCCACCGTTAGTCTGGACAGCATTCGCAGCGTCGTCGACAGTTGCCGCGCCCGCAGCGAACACCTTCTCCTTCACCATAGCAGCCATCAGCCCCATCTTCTCCTCGCTTGCAATCTTCTCTGCGGCCTTGACGATCTTGCTCATCTGATCGTCGCGACCTTTGGTCCTTGGTCCCATAGGCGGGAGGTTTGCGTCTCTCTTAACGGTATCTTGCACCAGCTTCGTCTTCGCGGCGACGTCCGCGATTTGTGCAGTGACATACTCCTTATTAGTAAATAGTGGCGACGATGACAGCGTCTGCACCCAGTATTTGTTCCACAAAGCTTCAAGTAGTTTGCTGTCAAGCGTCGACTTGTAGAAAGCAACCTCGAGTGAGTAGTACTTGTTTGCATGCGCGCCGAAATCAGCGGCCTTGGCCATCGGTACGGCTGCCATACCCTGAGCAGATGACCCGGAGTCTTCAGGCTTGAATCCTTCCGGATAGGTTCTGAAGGCGCCAATCTCGACTTTGCCTGCGCTGATGGTTCGGTGCGGGTCAATGACCACGGCTAGAAACGGATCGGTCATTTGCTGGGTTGCTTGCGTGGACACATCGATGCCTGACAGCCAACAGCCGTACCCAGGATGACTGTGGTACCACCCGACTGCATTCTCTAGCTGTCCAGCTTGCCGCGATCGCTCTAGAAAGCTAACCATGTATTCGTCGGCCTCTGACTGCGCGTTCACTCTTGTCTCTGTGCCTTCCACAGGCAACCGCATAGCGTCTGTAATGATGAAAGTCTCGTGCTCCACGTAACCCAGCATTAAGCCCATCACCTCGAGATCACCTCCCGACCGTGCATGCATCACCATCTTAACCAGTGCAACGGCAGATATGCGTACGTACTTGAAGTGATTCGGATCGCTTCGCCATGGTCGCGCCTCATTGATCTTCTTTGCGTTTGCCGTGTCATATTTGTAAAGTGCGTCGCGGTTGACGTCCACCAGCTTCACGGCATTCTCGACCTCTGCAGTTATCGTCAATATCATGCGCCTTCAATAAGGGTGGGCGCTTAAGGCATACCCCATGCCTTCTGCGGATCCATAACAATATCTGGATGAGCGCAGCTTCTCTTGCTATGATGCAGTCATGTTTCGAGCTTTGTGGATCGGGTCATGTGGAGAGGGTACAGTTTTCACTAGACCTCCCAGTGGGAAGCGTTTGCTGCGCAGTAGCTGCTGCTTAAGCGGGGAGTATCGCAAAGCTTTGACCATACTGCGTTTGACCATCTATCGATAAGGCAGGCACGTTGTTGTTGGCCAAGAATCACCAATTAATCGATAACAGTCTGATGTGACACGCAAATGGGTCCAAATACTATGTAACCGCGATATGTACAGTAGATGACTGTTGACCAACATGAGGTTGCTGCGCTCTCGAGCCTTAGGCCAGAATATGCCTCCCTCCTACTACGCCGCTGAATGCAAGATGTTTAGCACAGAACTAGAGTACAGCGTCCCCGATTAGGTTATGGATCAAGTCAAAGATCGTAGGTTGCGTGAAGCAGTCATCCAGACAGCGCGCCATGCGGCATCGATAAATACACCGCATACAGTGACAGTGCAGTTTGAAGCTTCTCCCACCATTTCCTCAGCCAGGATGCTCAACTTAGCAAGAGCATCCTTGGTTCTGCTCGCCGATGTTGATCGGAATCGTCTCCGGAAAGTCCGGGTTGAAATCTTGCGATTCTTCTTGCGCTAGCGCATTGCGTGCAATGACTGCGCAGTTGTTAGCGCGGCGATTTACTTGGCTGGAATAGAGGGACACTGTCGCTCACCTTCAAATGCTTGCTCAACATTCACCGCCTCCTTCGCACTTGTCTCAAAGTACGGTATGCCGCCTTTTGCTTGGCAAAACGCCATTGCCCTTTTGGTGCTGATCACCCTCTTGTCCTCACCCACGTCCACCTTGTTACCAAGGACCACAAATGGGAAGCCCTCCGGGTCCATCGGACTTGCTTGTATTAGGAACTCGTCCCGCCATGAATCTAGCGTGTCGAAACTTTTCGCATTGTTGACATCGTACACCAGCACGCAGCAATCTGCTCCTCGGTAGAAGGCTACGCCTAGGCTCTGAAAGCGTTCCTGTCCGGCGGTGTCCCATAGCTGCATCGTCACTAACCGATCGTCTACCAAGACTTCTTTGGTGAGGAAGTCGGCGCCAATTGTGGCCTTGTAGCTGGCCGAGAACTTCTTGTTGACATATTGGTTCATGAGTGAAGTCTTGCCAACACCGCTGTCACCAAGTATGATCACCTTCAAGAGAATCTTCTTTCGTGAGGACATGGTTGCTAGGCGAGAAGCTTGTTTGCGAAGTTGCTGGTTGAAGGGCGCTGCGCGCAAGGATGCGCCGAGCAGCTAGGTGTTCTCTGATGACTGATTTGTGTTGGTCTGATGTCTGGTCAATACTTAGATCCTGTTGTCCGTCTACACTCAGTTGCTGCGTGAGTGGCTACATCATTGTCCTGATGGCAGGTGCTCTGAGGCTCATGATCTCGGCACGGGCTCGCGCGCTGCCGCGGGCTCGCGTGCAACATCTTGCAGGGGTCATTGATTGGCAGACAGACGGGCATTATCAACATTGGCAGAGACGACACTTCCTCCTATACAGTAGACATTTTTGTTGCTCACCGCATGCAGACTTTGCACAGCGGTTTGATTGCCAACAAGATCTATCTTGCGTTAGGAGTTGTATGCCTTGTGACATGGTGGGTTCAGAATTGCAATTTTCGTCTGCATGATGGACTCTCAGTGGTCAGATTTGAGGACATAATTCCCTACGACAGCTGCGATTGGTGATTACAATTTGCGCGCGATGAGCTTTAGCATGCTGCATTGTTTGGTGTACTCTGGACATTATGAAGACATATTGTAAGCCTGTAAGAAATCGCATTGCCGGTGGGCAATCACGCAATGTGCGACAGTGGCTACATCAAGGACGCACGAAAGACAAAAGTGAGGAATAGGCTTCGCAGCATCCGTGTTACATTTTTTGATACTAGACCAGCTTCCAAAGATTCATATCATCCAGGGAACGACCGTGTTGGTCGCCTTTATCAACCTCTACGTTGACATGGTCGAACAGTTCACAGTATTGCCACGTGCATTTGGCGACTCTAATAGCAGAACCGAGTTTGCCGAAGCTCTTCCGGACTTTGACCGCATCAGAAAGGCGTGCTTTACTAACCCCACGGCGGTAATATTGGAGTGCATGCATGGTGGACGGAGAAGCCGTGGTAGCGGTATGCGTAAAGAGTGCTTCTAGAACAGCTTCGTGCATACAGCGCTTGGCCGCGGAGGGCAGTCGCTTGGCCAAGGGCTCCGTTACGCGGCACCTCACGCGTTCTGTGGCGATAGTTGAACTCTCGAAGAAGCACCGAATAGCGCACTAGCGGTCCGTTTTCGATGTTGTTAGTGCTACTCGTGTCCGGGTTAGGCCGAGAGGACGGTAGCGATCAGTGGAGATTGGTGTCAATTGCGGAGATCGAGAGACCACTGACGTATTGCTTTTGGGGGCTGTTTGAATCTCTCGTAGAACTCAATCGGCCTGTATTACGATCACGCCTTTACAAGGCAATATTGCCAATGGTTCAGATGTCACAACGTGTCGTGAGGCATTTCCGTGGCTTGCATGGTAATGAAAGACCACGAGAGGGCAAAGCTCGTACAGAGCTGCTCGTGATGCTCGACCCCTCATTCGCCAACGCTGTGACCTTTTCTGCCGCGGATCACACTTCAGCTTGATCCAAAGCTTCATCGCCGCGGGTGCAAGTCCTAGCCAGTCGGCTGTTGGGACTGAGACCATGCGCACGCGATCGTGGCGGCGACAACGGCCAGACTCTAGGCGGTCCCAAGCCTCAGCAAGCCCTCGCGGCCTCTAGTAGGTTTGACCAATGCGTCAGTCAAGGCGTGCGACAAAAGCAAAAGGTAACCGCCTTGAGAACGACTTACTTTCACAATTACTCCCTTCCATTCCATTCTCTCTTCCTCACGCTTGATCATTATCATTGCACCTAGACGTCTAGCAACACAACTCACCATGCAGCTCAAGCACATCGTTCCAGCGGCCCTGGCTGTAGCCGCTGTCAGCGCACAAAATGCCACCAATGTCACCAGCAATGGAACGCTCAGCTCCCTTATTGCGAGCAATCAGAACCTGTCGGGTCTCAACACGCTTCTCACCGCATACCCGTCGATCGCACAGTCGCTCGCGAACGCCACCAATGTAAGACGAGCAGGGACGTAACGTTTCTGTTTCCTCGACTGATCGTTATTCTGCAGGTGACGCTTTTCGCACCCAGCAATCAAGCCATTCAGGCCTTGACGTCCGGCTTGGGCGCTTTGAGCACCGCTGACACCAACGCCCTTGTGTCGGCGCTCCTCAGCTACCATGTCGTCCCTGGGCGCATCTATGCCTCCAACATCTCCAGCACGCCCTCTTTCCCACACACCAACCTTACCAACCCGATGTTCAGCAACGTCACTGGCGGCCAGGTCGTTGAGGCCAGACTGCAAGGCACATCGGCACAGATCATCAGCGGCATGAAGATGACCTCCAATGTCACCCAGGCTGTAAGTTCAAACGGCTACTGTCGTACTGAAATCATACTGGCTAACCCGGAAATGCAGAACTTGAACTTCACTGGTGGTGTTGTTCACGTTATCAGCAGCGTCCTGAGCCTTCCCAGCAACTACGAGACCACTGCCCAGACGGCAAACTTGACCGCTCTTCTCGGTGCCACTAATGCGCTTAACCTGACCTCCATGTTGAACAACGCTCACGGCCTGGTAAGCGCGCTCATGTGGTCATGTTTTCTACTTCCGCTAACCACTTTCGCAGACCATTTTCGCCCCATCCAACAATGCCTTCCAGAGCATCGGTTCCGTTGTGGGCAACCTGACCACTGCCCAGGCTTCCATGATCCTTGGCTATCACGTTGTCAACGGGACTGCGGCCTACAGCAGCAACCTCAGGAACGGCTCCACCCTCCCGACACTCGCTGGTAGGAACCTCACGGTCACCATTTCCAACGGCACTGTAAGCGTTGCCGTATTGCGAAACGTTCGTTTACAGAAGGCTAATTCACTCAGGTCTTCGTCGGTGGCTCCCGCATCGTGAACCCTGACATCCTTCTCTCCGGAGGTGTGATGCACATTATCGACTCCGTGCTCAACCCTAACAGCACTGCTCGCGCCAACGCCACTGCGACAGGTGCGGCCACCCAGTTCTCCGGCGCCAGCTCCAACTCCGGCGTCCCCTACACCAGCGGCGTACCGTCCCCGACCACCACCATCGCTGCGCTCCTCACCTCTACCACCAACGTTGCCTCCGGCTACACGACCCCCTCCACAGGTGCCGTTGGTGTAACTTCGGCCAGCGCACGTGCCAGTTCCAGCTCGTCTGCTGCTGCCAACGCTCTGCAGACTGCCGGTGCCATGGGTGCGGCTGCGCTTTTCGGTGGTGCTGCATTCTTCGCAAACTTGTAAGTCTGCGTAGAAAAAAAACAAAAACGGGAGGAGGTGGAATGAGATGGCAAAAAGTTGATGCGGTTGTATATTGTTGTTGCATAAGCGAATGACTATCGTAGTAATGGTAGATACGAGCCATGAACTATGGAACTTCTTACAGCAGACGCAGCACTACTCCACGTGAATTGTGTCACATCGAGCCGTCTTTTCAAAAAGTCTGGCACGATTTATGCCTGCTGTTGGTGCCGTGTCGCGTTGCGACAGGTGAGGCGTTGGAGACGTAGCTGCTGCGTGGTCGGTTGGTTGACATACGAGCACTTCCCATCTCCTATGCAAAATCTCTACTCTCTTGACATCGCTTCTGTGTGCGCGCCGTGTTCAGCCGCCATGTAGCGTTGAGACGAACACAATCTCATCTCCAGGCTGCAATTGATAGGCTTCCTGCCCTTCAAGCTCCCAGTCAGCATCATTAATGAGGACTAGGATGCCCGGTCGCCTACAAGCTATCAGCACCATCTTCACTTCAAATCGATGTTCAGTAATGTAGTGGTTCTTACACTGTGTCACCAAGCACGAACATCTCTTGCCTCGGGTCATCGATCAGATTGTGGCGAAGCCATGTTATGAGAAAGCCGACGTTCGCCGGTTGCCCCTTGGTGTCGTTGCGAGGAATCTCGAGCTTATGTTTGCGCTGATTCGAGAAGAGAAGTTCCAAGCCACCGCTATACGAAAGCTGTCAGTTTCTCAACATGCCGCCCACACTGGGCGTTGTGAGGAAGGCAGACGGACGTGAACTCTACTGTTAGTGGAAGGCCAGACTCCACCGGCATGACACCTAGACCGCGATGACAGTTCAGATATCTTCGGTGTGTGTAGCCCTAATGATAATTGGTTCTAAACAGATACCTCGGAACCTAGGTACCTTTTGAATGTGAAGTCGCAGGCCGCCACAAGCGGCTAGCGTAGAGTTAAGCGAGCTCCGAAAGCCTTCGCTGCACATTTTCAATGCATCCAGACCTCGCGTCTCCGCACAGGACATGAAGTCAAGTTCGATCGCAATCGATTATGTGAAATGTCGCTACAAGGGCAACAGCCTGATGTCACGTTCGACTTCATAGCTGCTGGCGGCAACAGACACCCCTCAGCGGCGGATTGGGCACCTAGTTTGGTGGCTTTTGGAGCGGGCAACAACATCGCCCTGTGGAATCCAGAGGATGAGTTTCATGTTGGCATATCTGCTTTGCTTGCAGGCCATAACGATCAAGTCAATGCCGTGAAATTTCTCGATTGGGAGGGCGAGAGACTGATAATTAGTGGCGGCTCTGACAAGACTGTGCGGTTGTGGAAACCGACACGCGCAACATTTCCTCCCTATGAGGAAGTGTGTTGTCTTGCCGAGCATAGCGGTTCAGTCAACAGTATTGCAGTCCTTTCTGATGATGGATTCTTCGTCACTGGAGCGGCGGATGGCACGCTCAAGGTATGGAAGTTGCAAGATTTGAGTATGCAAGTCGTGCAAGCAATCTCATTGAAGCCACACTATTTGCCTCTCTCGAGCGCGCTTACACGGCTCGCGGATGGCTCTATTGTGCTCGCAGTTGGCGGGACTTCCACGGTGATTCAACTGTTTGTCCGGTTAGTGGACGCTCTTGAATTTGTGATCCAAGCGACGCTTACTGGCCACGAAGGCTGGATCCGCTCACTGGACTTCGTGCACGACGGCGAGGATATACTACTTGCATCGGCAAGCCAGGATAAATATATCAGGCTCTGGCGCTTTCGACGGTTGCTGACTGCGGAACCAGATGCGAAGATCGGCATCGCAGGTGGTACCGCGATATCAGCTGAAAAGCCGCTGTCCAACAAAGCACATCTTGTTGGCAACGCAGACTGTCAATATACGGTCACCTTCGAAGCATTGTTGATCGGGCATGAGGACTGGGTTTATACGGCCAAATGGCGGCCTCCCACCGAAAAAGATGTGTTGCCAACCTTGCTATCTGCATCGGCAGATAATTCGCTTGCGGTATGGATCGCCGACGAAGCGTCCGGTGTCTGGGTCTGCAACGCCAGGCTTGGGGAGATCAGCGCGCAAAAGGGGTCCACTACAGCGACTGGCAGCACCGGCGGCTTTTGGATAGGCATGTGGCAGCCCAACGGACAGTCTGTCGTTAGCCTTGGCCGGACAGGAAGCTGGCGCAGATGGATTCACAGCCTTGAGAAGGATATGTGGGAACAGGCTGTCGGCGTCAGCGGACATACCAAGGAGGTGCAGAGTCTTGTTTGGGCACCAGATGGCTCTTATCTACTCACTACAGGCTCTGACCAGAGCACTAGAATGTTCGCTGAATGGAGACGAGACAGCAAAAGGTCGTGGCACGAGTTCGCACGGCCGCAGATCCACGGATATGACCTCAATTGCATTGACTCGATAGGGCAGAATCAGTTTGTCTCCGGCGCCGAGGAGAAGCTTCTCCGCGTCTTCAACAAGCCCAAAGCTATTGATGCCCTTGTCGCAAGGCTCAGTGGCACGAAGCCTACTGTAAATGGTGAGCTTGCGGACGCTGCCAATGTCCCGGTTCTCGGCCTTTCGAACAAAGCCGTGGCGGCTATGGATGACGACGAACACGTTGACGGCATCATGGTTCGCGCCGTCGGTGAGCACGAGGCCGCAGACCCATCCTCCATCGTTCGCAAGTCAACCTTAGCTCTAGAGCATCCGCCGTTAGAAGACCACCTTGCTCGGCACACCTTGTGGCCCGAACATGAGAAGCTCTATGGGCACGGGTATGAGATTGCCGCGGTGGCTGCTAGCCATGATGGCTCACTTGTTGCGACAGCTTGTAAAGCCAGCTCTATCGACCATGCGGTCATTCGACTTTACGAGACGAAAGCGTGGCGTGAGCTGAAGCCTCCACTCACGGCGCACAGTCTGACTGTGACAAGCTTGGCCTTCTCGGGCGATGACAAGTATTTGCTGAGTGTAGGACGCGACAGACAGTGGGTCGTCTTCAGCAGGAAATCCGCGGCCCAATGCAATTACCAGTTGCTGACATCCAATCCAAAGGGCCATGCTAGGATGATACTTGACTGTGACTGGGCTCCACTCGACACGGACTACTTCTTTGCTACAGCCGGAAGGGATAAAGCCGTTAAGATATGGAAGCTTCGAAGTAATACGGCGGATTGCGTGAAGAGCATGGCTGCGACGGCTGCGGTTACAGCAGTCGCGTTCTCGAAACGTCGATCGGAGGAACTGACGCTGGCATACGGCACGGATGATGGAGACATTACCATCGCCTTCCTACACGTCTCTGATCCGGAATTGGCTCAACCCAATCACCTTGCCAAGCTGATCTGTCCTTCGAAGAGTGTGTCTCGCCTGATCTGGCGTCCAGATGCTGCGGCTCTTGGAAGGAAGAAGCAGCTTGCAGCAGCAAGCGATGATGGGTCGGTGCGCATATTGAACGTCGCCTCCTAATGTTCCACCGAGGCTGTCGCTAGGCAAACGAGAAACCCGGTATTCATACAGCTCAACTCTTCGTTCGTGTATGACAGTGGTCGCCGCCGGGAGCCGGCATCTCGACCGAAGCGGACGCTCAGAGCACCAATGCGCGCAAAAGCTTCAGGGCCGCCTCGCTTTATTGATGTGTGCTTTTGGTCAGGCGTGACAGCTGCTCAACAGCGATTATATGTTGACAGTTGCAAGATCGTGAGTGTCTGTGGTGGAATGTCGGTTATGCGGCTGCTCCTTCCGAGCGAGGGAAGCGCGAATCGGGTCCTAACGTGACGTAGTGAAGGTGTCATTCAAGCAACGCGGGCTATCAGGGCTTGGCAAACCGCGAACTTCGCAGGAGGCATCTCCGCTTTGCCGCTGAATACCGAGCCAACGGTTTGCAATCGAGCCTGAGATCGAGGTTCCTCAATAATGGATCGATGCTCACGACGAACATCATGCATAGGTTACACCATGTCGTAGGGGGTCTATGAGGTGTGGCGAGGCTGCAAGCCGACGTACGAACCCTTAACAGCCAGCAGACTAAGCGAAGCTACAGCCCGTAGCAATGTCTGACGACGACGGAGCGCCGGCAGTCAAGCCAAAGAAAGTGCAACGAATATCTCAAGCATGCGATCTTTGTCATCGTCGAAGCATCCGTTGTCGGCCAAGCAATGAGAGCCCCAAGAGTCACTGCCAGAACTGCTTTGACTTTGGTGTTGACTGCACGTACAATCGGCCCTCGAAGCGGCGACGGAAGTCGACAGGCGCAAACGTTTCACCAATAGTCGGTACAGAAAATCATCGAGCCAGTACCAATACGACACCAACCTCGGATGGCGACCCTGGAAACAAAAGCGTCTCACGGCCAGCCACGGAAATGATCATTACTCCTGGCAATGTCCCGGACTACACTGGTGCCTATGGACTCGTTCGAGCTGGGAAGCCAGCAGACGCGACTGGAGTAGCGTGGAGGGCATTCGCGCTTGCTAGCGGCCCGACCATCGAGAGATACCTCGAGATCTTCATGGAGGTTCTGTATCCATTTGCGCCCTTCTTCCATGGGCCTACATTATGGGAGCGAGTTAAGCGACGCGAGTATCTAACAGACCCTGGATTCCTCGCCTCGGTGATGGCTGCTTGCGCCTTTGCAGCGTCCAGAGCCAGAGACGGTGCCGCCGAAGGCCGCTTTACCCATACCGACACCCCGGAGAAGTTGTCTGAGATCTTCTTTGCGGCTGCGGAGAACATCATTGACAGAGACCTGAAACAAGCCAAGAGTCTGGACTGTCTCCGTGCCTACGGACTACTGACAATGACGGCTATGCAATATGGCTCGGTCGGTGCAATGCATCAGCATGTCGGCACGTACACGACGCTCTGCGCCATGATGCATTTCCACGACGAGGATCGCTGGCCAGGTGGCATTTCGCCGGTTGAGAGGGAAGAACGGCGGCGACTTTTCTGGTCCATGTATTGTCTTGATGTCTTCATTTCTGTTGTCTTTGACTCCATCATGAAGTCACAAGAGACGCTATCTAACGTCAGATATCCGTACGAAATCGACGACGAAGATTTGACCACAGAAGGTACCGCTGCATACCCACTGAATGAGAACAACTGGTTACACGGCTTCAATTTTGTGACAGATTTGTACCGCATCCTGGAGCTGACCATAAAGCGCATGAGAGGGATCCGGGACGTTCGAGATGATCGCATGTCTATAACGCGGCTGCTGATTGTAGATGGCATACCAGAAGAGCAGATTATGGATAACGTGATTCGGTGCGTGATTGAAGGCCACAGAGCCTTCTCCCTATCTCAGACGTCGCTAATGGTTACACCTTTCCCTCCTAGGATCTATCACGAGCTCCCGCAGATTTTCAAGGCCTATGACTTACCTCTCTCAGGAGACAGGAGGCAGAACCTCATAGGTTCTCAGGCTGCAAATATTCAGGTGACTCTTCAGCTTGTGCGCATGACGGTGTTCTCGACAAACTCCCAGCAAAATGTCAATCAGAAGTGCTGCATTGCCGAGCAATTCCTGGCAACATACCATGAAATTGCCCAGCACCATCTCCGCGCCATTAGCATACCGCTTATTCACCACCTCGGAAGTATTGGAAGAATACTGTCATCGGTCATGGGAAGTGTACTTTGTGAGGAAACTTATAGCCGTGTTCGGAGCTTGCTGGTATCGATGGCCGACCTTTTGCAGAACGTCGAGAGCGCCCTCCAGCCTACCGCTGGAGCGAGCGGCGAGCTTCGTAAGCAGATCGAGAAGATTGACGGGTACATGGAGGTCCAACGGCGCCTCGTGACCTCTGTGCCACAACAGCAACGGCAACAAAACCAACAACGACAGGATCAGCAGCAGAGTCAGCAGCAGCAGCAGCAAACGCACCAGCAATCCATGCTACCGAACGCTGTCTCCAACGGCGGCATGCATATGCCGCCACAACAGCAGCTCGACCAAGGCAACATCTACGGCATGATGAACGCTGATATACCGCTCGACGAATTTCAGCTCCCTCAAGATCTTGTGCAAAGCGATGCTTGGCCGTGGCCTTTCGTATTCAACACTCAGTGGCAGAATCAGATGCAGATGCCGATGGGGTATCAGTAAATTCCCACCGCTATCAGCCCTCTGTGACGATAAAGACTGTCCAGTTTTGGGATTGCTCACATCAGCCCCTCAGAATTTCCAACACTTACTTGCCGAGCGAAGAAAGGCAAAAAGGTAGAGTTCATTTTTGCGTGGCACAGCGACGGCGTTGACAGCGCCTTGACATTACAGCGTACACCTAGCGGGCGTGTACGATCACACAGCAGCGTTGATACAGTATTGCGGCACCACATACATATTCATCCATGCATATTTTATCTCACACTTGCCCCCAACCCAAAATTTAGACTCTGCTACGTCCATCTCAGGCAAATTCATCTGATATAGCCGTTTTCGGGGGATAGTTTTTCCGGTCTCCTACGCCGCAGTACTACGTACACGTACAAGAAGCAACCAGCGCCAGTGCAATAGTTAGTCGTTTGGTTGGAACTTAGCAAGTCTGATGTCTTCCATCTTGTCGAATTCTCCTGCGAATCTCATCGTGTTGGCAGGTGGCGAATCATGCCACCCCTAGAAATACAAGTGGTGCGCCATCATTACTCTGAACGGCCAGAACATCATATTCTAGCCGACACAAAGCCTGGTACGGCATGGACATCCTATCTTCCTTGGAAAACATCAGCGTCTGGCGAGAGTCGTACCCGGAAAGATGGCAGAAGGCCATTTGCAGGGCGAATTACCAGCAGTAGTACGATCAGCGAAGGTGGGAAATCCGTGAACCATGACGAGCCGCTAACATCGCGCTCCACTGCCGAGAACATTACAGGCTTCCGGAACCCATGGCAAAGCTGGCACCAGCCGACGCATGGAGAAGTCTGGAGATCACTCCAGTGGGGACTCGACAAAGACCCTTGCATCGATCTTGGTGCAAAGCGTGCTCTAGATGCACCGTCCAATGATATCGAAAATATCCTCAACTCGAGGGAGAAACAAGCCGCGGCTTTACTCCGTATTGTAAAGCCTGACTTCACATTCGACAGTCAGAAGCATCGGGCAAGGGTAACGTGGCTAGGCCATGCTGGTGTTCTGATACAGCTACCGCCGCTAAAGCAGGGCGCCAAGCCAGTGCGACTATTGTTCGATCCGATATTTTCCATGCGCTGCTCTCCGTCCCAGCTTGCCGGTCCTCTTCGCTCCTACCCTCCTCCTTGTGCTGTGGAAGACCTACCGGAGATCGATGTCTTCGTTATCAGCCACAACCACTATGATCACCTGGACTATGATACGGTCCTCAAGGTTTGGGAGCGCAACAAGCAGCATCTGCGTTTCGTCGTGCCTCTGGCGAACCGTCAGTGGATCATCAACTGTGGGATCAGCGAAGATCGCGTAACGGAGCTTGACTGGTGGGACGCCGCATCGCTCACGAGCTCCTCTCATGACCGGGGCGAGGTTTACGAATCTGCTATCAGATTGACGTGCACACCTGCGCAGCATAATTCTGGTAGAGGCTTCGATTCCAATGAAACATTATGGTCATCTTGGTATCTTGAACATCCTGGTACAAAGGCGGCCTCGCAACCTTATCGCATATTCTTTGCCGGCGACACTGGCTACCAGTTCCACGACTCTCCAGGTTGGCCTCCACCGCCTCCCTCTGCAGCGGAAAACCTGCAGAGCTACGACGTTGGAGACATTGACGTTGACTCAACAAATTCACAGTACCCAGCGTGTCCGGGATTCGAGGAGATTGCTGATCGACTCGGCTCGCCGCACTTGCTTCTTATGCCTGTCTCCGTAGGCGCGACACATGACTTTGTCAGGAGCCTTACCTTCATGCCGGACGCCACAAATCCGGTGCCACGGCATACTCCAGGAGTGACTGCGCATAATCATATGCCACCTTGGGATGCAGTGCGTGTATTACGTTTGATGACCAAGAAGCAGAGCGCAGCAGAAGCAAGCCCTGTAGCGATCGCAATGCATTGGGGTACGTGGGCCGAACCTGAAGAGGTCCTGAAGACTCTTGGGCAGTTGGAGTGGGCTTGTGTTGCGCACAAAGTTCAATTCGCAAGGGAGCTTGGGGCGTCGAGAAGCGCGGGTAAGACGGCGTGCTTTCTGGCGATCAATCATGGGCAGAGTGTCGACGTTTGATGTATCGATCGCAGAGATAAGATGCTGGCTGCGGTCTTCCTAGCAATGAGCTGAGCACGGCATTACGGAAACGACCAGTACGCTGCCACGTCCACGATGCTGGAATTCACACCAAACATAATCTAAAGCCATTGAATGAACCTACTGCTACTCAATTACTTGTAAAGTAGTTGCAGGCGACAATCGGCCCGAGCTTGGCTTCTTGCTCGAAGGCGTCCAAATCGTACCTAGAATGGACTCCAATCAGTGCAAGTTCTCTCTGTAGCAGGCCGCAGCATACCTCATGCGCTGCGTGTTCGGGAGTGGCTGTCCGTCTGGGGGAGCATAACGACTGCCATCGAAGCCTTCGGGCTCTCTATACAGGAGGAAGGCATAGCGATGAGGCCCACTGAACGGTGGTGGAGCCGGGCCAATGTAATTGGCGACGAAAGGTGTACTCCCAGCGGTGAGTGTACCAGCAGAGTTAGACTGGAAACCAGGCTGCACCCAATGTAAGATGGGCCCGAGGAGTCGGAAGGAAGGAAATGGCGCATCCATATCAAGGCCTACAACAACATATTTGCCACTTCCGCCAGGGTATGAGACCTCAGGTAGTGATTGCGCATCTGCAAGGCCGTCAGTGGAAAGGCGTCATCGACTTTCAGCTGGTTCACTTACCGGCCTTGGATATGTACTGTCCGGGTTCGATGGCTTTGCCATTAATTGTCAAGCCTAGCTTTGCGCCTCCCCGCGAAAGCTTCGCCAGAGCTTCAGTGACGCTCTTGTTGGTCGGCATCTTGTTGGTGTTGTGGTAGCGGCAGCGAAGGCAGCGTATGTGGGAGTTAAAGTGGTGGGAAATGGTCAATAGGTGCTGGCAGCGTCCTACATATATGCCTTGTCTTACCGTTGTTGCTGTGGTCCAGCAGGCAGCGCTGGATCCTTCAGGTAGGCGATCATTTCCCTTCCCAATGACCCGACGAATTGCCTCCTTGGAATGGCTCCTTGCCCACCATCAACTGGCAGGGCTGATGATCGTGAAGGTTGTACGACGGTGTTCCAACTCTTGTCGCGGAGAGAATGTTACGCCGCTCGGTGCCGAGCCGAGCGGAAGGATTCAGACCACTTCAGCTTCACTCAGGCTCATCGGTCTTCAAGTGTTGTCCAAGGGCAGACTATCTTTGGAGGTAATGAGAAAGAGCGTATCACGGCGAAAGCAACGAACACTCTTATTCGAAACAGATGGGTATCGTGCAGATTGACGCGCTCCGCAATACAACCACCCTCACATTGTTATCTCTCCATCGTGATTATACATTAACGGCTACCTTGCAAACTCTAGAAGTTCACGAAGTGCTCCAGCTCGGTAATCTCTTCGGCGCGATAGTCCAAGCATCTGGCACTCAGTGACAGATCGATGCTGCTGACTTTCTGTTCGTCGTAGCTGTCGCGTCCTCGCACGAATGGAGTGAGCTCTACAACGATGGAAGACAGTCAGTACAAGGCACCTTCTCCGCCCCAAGGTGTACGACTTACGAAGGCTGCGCGAACACAGCTGCAGTTGCTTCATGGCGTCCACAATATCGGGGTCGCCACCAACATTCGCGATAATGTGGGGCTGAGTCCAGTCGAGTTGTAGCGGCAAGCTGCCTTGACCCGCAATGCCGAAATGCGCCACCAGCACATTGGCGAACACTGTGGCTCTCTCCACCAGAAGCAAAGGCGCCAAAGGGTGCCGCCACTTATTTGCCTGTCGATCAATGTTAATGACTATCTCTTCATACGCTGCTAGCGAAGTCATACCGCAGGCTCATGCTTCAACCAGTATAGCAGTCTCCACGTGTCCCGCTCAAGTGCGTGCAGTAGAATGGTAATCGCCAGAAAGATCGGTATCCAGTCACTGCGCTGGCGCTTCTTCATGGATTGCTCAAGACCTTCTAAGAGTGCACGCTCGCATTGTGTGATGTAAAGCTCCAACAGCGAGTCGAGCTGGTTTTGAAGTATTCGTGGAGCGGTTACAGATCCCAAAAGCGGAGAGCGCGGATTCTTCATGACGGTCATGCCGAGCATCTCAGGGCCACTCATCTCCCACCCTTGGATGAGAAGGCGGCTTGCGGACCAGATTCTGAGGGCACCATCTACGAGAGCATTCTGGAGACACTTAGTTGAGACTCGACCCGGCAGATGACTCAGCCACGTACCTTGTGATACTTCATAGCCAGCTTGAAGATATAGTGCAGCTGAGATGGGATGTCGTCCATCGTTTTGCAGAAGAGGGTGATATGTTCGCGCACGTAAGGCTGGACGTCGACGGCCTTGATGTCTTTCAGTGCATATGCTGTTGTTTCCATTACCCTCCACCCATTTCTGTCCTTCCAGTGAACCTGCAGTTGCTCCTTCGACGTCGATTTGAAGTGGCAGCACTCGATATCGAGTGTCGGCCCTGCACGAAAGTGCTGCACTCGTGCTTTCTTAATGGTCAACGACCTGTGCGGAACGTGCAGCAACAACCTCGCGCGGTAATCTGGCTCCTTAAACCGACTGAAGACAGCCAAGTCGGTAAGCCTTGCTTTGATGCACAAGTGCTCCGGGATCTCCGGTTTAGCCTTGACGCAAGCATAGCAGCGACGTCCTCCGCTACACTGCTTTCGTGACATCCAGCACTTGATGCAAGGTGCGCCGCTGAGGATGGCAAACTGTGCAGAAGGCACCGCAACCGCTCGAAATGCCAAGCTTGACGAGATCTGCAAGCTCTGAGCAGTCTCCGTAGCGTCCGACTCCCGGCGTCGTTTCTTCGGACGCGATGCGGTGTTAGCCGCGGCGCTTGGGCTCGCAATAGGCTTCGTTGCACTGACATTCACACGAATGAGCTCCGAATGATCGGACAGCTTCGCGTTGACAGGACGGTATTCGGGGTTCTCTGATACGAGTGCCAGACCGGCTCCAGAATGGAACGCCTGGGCATCACCAAAAGCCGACATTGTCGGGTACCAACTGAGCGGCAAGGGTGGCATGGGCGGCAGATATTGTGTGATATCCCCAGATACGCCTGAGTGGATGTGATCGAACAACGATGGGGGCTGCTCAAATGAGAGCTCGGCATGCTGAAAAGTCGCTGCCTCTTCGTTATAGGCCGGTGGAACGAGCAGGAGGTCTGCAGGGTTGGTCGTGCAGCTAGCCTGCAGTAACGCATCAAATCCAGTGTCAGTCGTGTCAGCAAAGCATGCATCGGCGCCGGCTGACGCTGACAGAGTGTACGTTGAGAGCGGATCCAACCAAGGCTCTTCAAGCTGAAAGTTACCATCTGGAAAATCCTCTGAAGGTTCGTCAGCACTTAACGTGCCGGAACTGAAGTCTTCTGGCAATTGAAGCTCTGGCAGGTCGCCTGGTCCGCTAGGCAAGAACCAGTCAGACGTCCCACTGCTGGTATGGCTTGTGGGACCGTCACTGTGACCTCCGCTGGCAGAGGCCATGCTAAGGCAAGCCGTGTCCACAGCATAGAAAGATTCATGATGGAGCCACCAGTCGTCCAATCCGATATCGTACATGACGTGCGATGGCATGGCAAATAGAGGATGCCCGATACTGTTGCCGCTAAGACCTTGGCCCGTCTGAACCCTCCGTCAATTGATCGTCCTTGGTGGAAGGGACCTTGGTGTTGATCCGCTTAGGAGGTCCGTATGAGGTCAAGATCCTAGAGCTGCTACCGTCTGCAGCAACAATTATTCCTCATCGCGAGTAGTACCTCTGGTAAATACGCTGCGCCGGCGCTTTGAGTGCGCTTGGCTTGTCAGCCAACGGAGGCGTCAAGAAACTCGTCGAAGAGACGAGGAGAAAATGTGCACATGGTGAGGAGAAGAAGTAGGAAGCTCTTTACCATAGCTCCGTGGCCAGGTGAGGTTGTGTGAGGCTGAGTGTGGAAAGCTGCATCTTAGCACTGATATGGAAGATGGAGCTGACTGTTCAGACGTCCAACCACGAACCACACGTGGATGCTGCATTGGACTGCAGATGGCACATGATATGAGGCTCCGGTGAGAGCCATTCGCTCGCGGCTCGTATCAAGCCACGGTGATTGGGCGAGCTGCAGCTCTGGAACTCAAGGCGTCGCAAGCTGCCGGAGTAGGCCGACGTTGTTTCCCGGTCGGCACTAGCTGTCTCGTCTAAATGCATTAACATGGGGGACTGGCGGCGGGGCGAAAGTGGCTTGTGCCGTCGCGTCTCGCCCGTGATTGCAAGGTTCTTTCAGACAAACCGACAGCGCGCAAAGTACGCGCTTTAACGGCTACATAACTTGCCAAGGGCTGGAGTTACTGGTTTGGCGTTATCACAGCACGCCCCTCCTCGCCCATAGGCAGTGCATGCGACGCAGACTATTCGGCGTGCGTTGTCGAAACATCTACGCCTCGCTATATGTCTGCCTCCTGCGACAATACAGCCCATAACCCAGGTGCAAGCTCGCGCGTTCTACGAATTACGTTCGTCCGAAGCGTCCTAGGTTGCTGCGGCCACGTCAATCTTCGAGCACCTTCCCGCATGGAGTACAGTATGTGCCGGCACTGAGTTGCCAGCTACCGGAAATTGGGCAATGACAGTGTCTGCCGCGCTCGGAAACTCTATGAAGTGGCCGGAGCTTGAGACATTGTGCATATCAGTAGCAATCAAGATATCACCTGTGTGAAAATATGCTTGACTCGTACTGCTGTTGCCGCAACCCTCCGGTACTGTAATGTAGGCAAGACCGGAAAGGAAGATGGAGTATTGAACCTAGACCGCATCAGCGTTTGTATGTTACCATGATGGAGGTGGCTTCTACTTGGCGTGCGAATGCCTGCCCAATATAAGTTGTAGGAGGTATAACACCGACAAAATTACCTGAGTCAAGATCAGTATCAACGATCATTGCCGCCTGAGTTGCCAGATCTATAAAGTGGCTCTCGCGAGTATTGTGGCAAGAGACATGATCTGTTGTAGGCATTTGAGACAGAGTGGGCAAAATCCGACAATTCGTAACAACGCGAAGGAGGAGACAATGCTCGAACACCCATAACATGGTATGATTGTTCCACGCAGTTAGGAAGTGGGGCACGGTTTGCGTCACTCACCTTGTGAGTCGCCAATAGGGTAATTGCTCGCGCCAGCTGCAATGTACGCAGGAGCAGCAAGATTCCAGCACTCCAACGTAGACACGTTGTTTGACGTGCCGATGGCGCTGATATTAAGACCTTGCGATCGTACAAAAGCGGGGACGAGAAGTCCAACGAATAAGCTCGTGCGAAGCAGTCCCATAGCGACCGGGTCAAGGATGAATGGAGCAGGGCGAAGAAAGGCACAATACGAATGTCACCTTTTGTGCTCTTCGACAGTCTGTCTCTAAGCCAAATGCACGGTGACGGTGGGCGCTATTGGGCCCGTCAGAGCTTTGCGAACAACCACTACTATCTGTGTAATAGACACGTACCCCAGAGTAGTCTCCTCATTGGGGTAACGCCAGTCCTCCGGAGTAGCCATCCATAGCGGTTTCTAAACGCTGTTCCAGGCACATGCAGTTCCGGACAGAACCTAGGGCGGTTTCGAGGCGGAAACGCCACCGGGCTTGTTCGATGACGCTAAGTCTTGGAGCGAGACATGACCACAACCACTTTATGCACGCAACAGTCAACCTCCCGAGCCCTTCCGCGACCTTCGACCACTGTACAGCTCACCACGTGCGGGCGATGATGATGGCGAGGGCGGAAAATCCGCTTATCGGTTCTGCGGCGCGAAGCTCGGCAGAAGGACGCATGTGGTTGCTGCGACCAATGGTATCCTCTTCCGTCCAGATTCAGCCGACTCAAATATAGACCCCGAACTCCACGTTTGTGAAGGAGGGGTCCACAGAGCGACATCTACAACACCACCGCCATGCGCAGCTTGGTTGCAGCGAGCGCGTGCCTGGTGCTATCTCCCCTTGTCGTGCGCTTACAGCGTGCCTGGCCTATGACGGGAGTCTACGAAGATAGCTGAGCGAAGAGGAACGCCGTGCATAGCGCCCAGTTGAAAGCTTTCGTACTGATCGTGGAGTTTACCCTCATGCTACTGGTCCACAGCGCTGCGATGGCGGCTTGCTGGTGTACGTTGCGACGGCGAGCACGCCCAGCGAGACATGTATAAGATGCGTACGCTGCCACTTGCTGCGATGCGACGAAGAGCGAAGGTCCTTCAGTATCGTCTGTCATTGCGGCTGCATAACCTCATAGTGTCAACATATCTCTTCTCCATCATAGCTTGTATCTGCAAGTTATGCCTCTTCTGCACAGCGAGAGATCCGCTCTATCGCCACTGCATAAGGGGACCCCGGTCTCCCATACGATGCAAGACGAACCTAACAAACCACGTCTTACCGAACGCGACCACATGCTGCGTCGCTGGATGGAGGACAAGTTTGCATACGAAGCATTTCTTGTGGGCGCGCAGTTTAACGGAATCACTAAGGAAGACGCCGTACGTACAAAGACGTCATCTGGTGGAAGCTCGGCGGGCCTAGTCTACACACCGAGCAACTCGACATACATCGGTCTTCAGCCAGTAGCGCTGGCCGGGAACCATGACGCTCGTACTCGCTATCAGCCGTGCCGTCGCCGGACGTTGTGAATCGCCGAGCATCCATACATCGGCGACTTCTGCAAGGGGGCGGAGTCAGAGGATAGTGTCAGATAATTATTTTGAACCACGCTGGACGATGCGGGATGGGTTCCACCCTTGTGTGGTTTGGACAGTTTCGGAATACAGACTTACTGGTATGCTTGTGATCAGGTGCCCGAACCTGGGAAACTCCGCGCTACTCTTCTAAGTACCGGTACTTACGAAGACCCGATAGGAAAGCTGTCAGACAACCAGGCCGCTCCCTTTCAGCTCATCAATCATCTTCTTGACTTCCTCAACAACAAGCTCAGGCTGCGTCACATGGATCCAGTGCCCACTCTCGGAAGCGTTTACGAACCTTCTCGTGCCATTCTTGGTCAGTAGCAGATGGTCTCTTTGCATCTCTTCCTCAAGCGCATCTGCCCCGTCCAGCTTCCTACTCAGATCATCGCGCTCCTCTTTCGTCCCCCCTCCGAGCTTTTCAGCGGCCGCGATCATGCGACGAATGTCACGTTCGCTGACTCCCTTAATAACAGTGACCGGGTAGAGGCCTAACGGGTGCGTTTGGAGCAGGCTATGCCGCTTGAGCGCGGGACAGCTCTCGAAGTATGCCTGTGCTTCAGCAAACACTCCATTGCGGCGACCTTGCGGCCAACCTTCCGGTGGGCCACGCTTCCCTTTGCACTCATCCCACAAATCCGCCGGCAATCTGTTCGCGGCGTTCAGCCCTACGATCTCCTCATACTCATACCTAGCCGGGTCTTCGATGCCTTCGCTCAGACATTCCAAGTCTGGATCTGAAGGTGTCGACCGGGTGTGTCAGCGAGATCTTGGCTGGAGAGTATGGCGTATGGCCAGGAGTTTACGTACCCATGACTGATCGCTCAGCTGAGCGAGCCGAGTTCGCATCCAGAAAGATAAGACCTACGACATTCTCGACATACGCAGCAACATACTCCCAAGCGATGACGCCGCCGTAAGAATGCGTCATCAACACGTACGGTGGCAAGACTTGTGCAGCTTGAAGCACCTCGTTCATCTCGGCTGCCATCTGCGTTGCATTCCGCGGCTTCGGCTTCTTGCCTGCAACATGACCGTCCCCAGAACACTCTGGTAATGGCGACGAGCGACCGTTGCCGGGTCGATCATACGTGAACGAGCGGATTCCGGCCTGTGCCAAGCTCTCCTGAAGGAAAGTGAAGCTTAAACAAGAGCTACCTAGACCGGGCACGATGACGATGGTCGGCTTTGCAGCGGAGTCAGATGGACCAGCTGAGCGTAGATGGATTTTACGCTCATGCCCGTCGAGGGGTGGTAGGAGTATGGCTGACGACGCGACATGCGCGGGAGACGCCATGCTTAACAAGTGCTCGTGAAGACGTGTCGATATTGTTAGCGGATAATGATGAGGGAGAGAGATCAGCAGAAGATTCCCTTATCTTGCCGACATGCATCGCTGCGTAGCGAGCTCGGAGCTGTCGCTGGACGGCCTGTATTTAGCCGCGGTACTCGAATAGGAAGTCACGAACCTTCCGCGCACTTCTCATGTCGCCTCTACTATCACCTAGGGTTGTAATGATCGGATGCGCTAACCCACGCTATGGCGAGCTGAGGATGTTCTACGGCGCTTGCATGGCCATTTGTAGGCGCAGGACAGGCGAGATGAGGCGCAAAGACTGCGGGTCCGCCCCCACGACGATCTGACTTCTGAGCTCACTATATATACAGTACCCTGCCTACACAACCTACTGATTTTCAATTTGGATTGTGCCGCGTGAGCCGTGATTTCACACTTTCCGAATCATCAAACTGGTAACCTTCTATACAACCAAGCAATGTCGACACGCATACCCTCAAAGCCACGGAGTGAGCTCCGTCCTGACCAGCAGGAGATGCACGATCACTTCATGGAGATAGTAGGCCAAAGCTCACATCCAGGCGCGGCAGAACGTGCAGGCAGGGTGTTCCTACCATTCCTAGTACTTGCTCCGCAGATTGGCAGGCTTTCGGTAGACATGTTGCAAGCCGTCGAGGGTCTACCGAGTCTTCCAGCAGATGCTAGAGAGACTGCAAGCTTGGCATGCACGACGTTCTTCCGCTGTGATTTCGCGACCTACGCCCATTCGGCGATGCCTGTCAAGCTTGGCCTACTCACTCAAAGCCAAGCTGACGCTATTGCTTCGGGTCAGAAACCAGATGACTTGAATAAAGGTTGTAGTCTGGCATACGATGTGACTCGCCAACTTCTTGAGGTCCGCGGAGCTTTGCCACAGGATCTTTGGGACGCTTGTGTGAGGCAGTTTGGTCAGGAAGGTGCGTAGTAAAACATCATGCGCCTTAATTGCATGAGCGAAGCATCGCTAACAAATGAGCTTTCCGTTCTGTAGGGGCTGCCGGCCTCACACACACGGTGTCTTTAATGGCGTGGACGAGCATGTGTCTCAATACGGCGGACATACCTGGGCCGCGCTTAGATGCTAAACAGTGAGATGACCCAATATGAGCCCTGACGCTGTTGGTAGTTTCTTTATATGGGGATGAGCATCTCACTATCGCCCAGATCCTCGAATATCTCCGACACAAGCCTGAGGACGATCGCACAAAAGGGCTAGGAACGTCCAAGAATGTATAGTTGCACAAGCGGGACCAGCTTCACGTTGACTTGACAATGCTTGCTGGATCGGAGACACCGGCCTTGACATCAACCAGTATCTTAACATGCTTATCCTTCTCTTTGATCAACGCCCAGTATCCATCGTCCACGAGCTTGTCCATCTGTATTCGACTGGTGATCATTTTCGCCGGCTTGATCTTGCCTTCGCCGAGCGCCTCGATGACACCCTTGAAGTCTTTTCTCTGATATCCAAGGACAGCTTTGTAGTTGGCCTCGCGGAAAACGAGCCAGTTCGGATTGAAACTTATCGCATGCTCCCATATAGCGACGTTGACGACTGTTCCACGGCTTCTTATGACTTTGCATGCGGTTTCCAGAGATTGCGGGACGCCGGCGCAGTCGAAGGCGAGATCTGGAGGATGCATTCCACCGCACAACTCCAACGCAGTAGAGACAACATCATGCTTCGTCGGATCCAGTACGTGGTCCGCGCCGAACTCACTTGCAAATTCTTGACGTCTCTTAGCGACCTCCACGCAGATGATAAGCTTGGCCCCTCTTGCACGCAGTACTTGCACGACTGCCAGACCGATCGGTCCACCACCGAAAACCACGCATTTCGGCTCCTTAATCTCTGCGATTGGCGAAGCGTCGACGGCATGCCAGGCAACTGCGAGTGGCTCCACAAGGGCGCCGATGTCGAGCCCAACATTGTCGGGCAGTGGTAGGCATGCTTCGGCAGGCACCACCACCTCTTCGCTAATGCCACCACCGCCACCGGACAGACCAATGAAGCCGCCGTTGAGACAAGCATTCTCCGCTCCGACTGAACAAGCACCGCATTGTGCGCAGTAGATTGTGGGTTGGACGGCCAATCTCTGACCAATCTTCAAGCCTGAATGCTCAAGACCGCTCCCCAGCTCCTTGATGGTGCCGGAGAACTCATGCCCGATGGTGATGGGTATCGCTTCTTTTGTGATAGGATGGGGAGATGTTGGGGAGAAGCTACAATGAGAAGTGAGCAAGCGAAATCCGAGTTCGCCATAATCAACTCTGTTCAGATCTTACTTCGGACCTCCCATAAACTCATGTAGATCTAGCTCAAACTTTAGCTTAACATTAGCCATCGACCTGACCGACGAATCTTACCTGTTCCGCAAATGCCGACGAATGCAGGTTCAACCTTCACCTGCCCTGCGCCGCATTTCGGTCGCTGAATATCGTTGACGATGCGAACATCTGCATCGTGCTCAGCGGATCAACGTGGTTGCGGCATCCGAGTGGCGTCACCAACCTTCTTTCCCGTAGTATCGAGCGGCTAGCATGGTGGTTTTCGAAGTCAATCCTAGCCGCGCTCGGTGGTAGTTAGCGTGCTCAGGAAGGGTCACACCTAGACGAGATAACAGTCTGAAGAGGAATAGTTCGCGTAGAACGGAAGTTGAGTGGAAAGCATTGAAATCGTTTTGTAAGACGTGGCCCCACCTGGCATCTGCGCGTGGGACTACGCGTCCGACATAAGGATCGTCTTGGCTTGTAATGCATTGCTGTAGTCGGTCGTCGCATGAAGGGTGCCCTTAGTCCGGTATGGTTTGTATGCGGGGTAATGGTACTGGAGTGGCGGGGTTGTTGTTTAGGTATGCGGGACAAAGACCCAGCGTCGAGGGTCGTCTGTATCAGTAGCAGATATGACGGACCGGCTTGGTCTGACACATGTACTGCCGCCATGAAAAGAGAAGGGAAGCAATGAAAACAGCAAGTCGTGTAACCTCCAGGACATGTCTTTTCGTTGAGTACCTGTCGCACTAATCATAGCCATTCATAACTTGCTTCGCTTCGGGCGTGGCACTGCGCGTCTATTGACAGCATGAGCCGCTTTTCCATGTATTGTTCAAACGGTGGTGAGTTTAGCGGCGTTGCCAGCTTTATCGTAACCACTGGAGACGCTTACCGCTGACGTCCGAAGGACGGCGGGGGCGCGGGCTTGTTGTCAAGCACTTTCTCGATCTCCTCCATTAATTCCGGCGTCAGTTTAGGAAGTAAGCCAAGCGCTTTGCAGTTCTCCTCAATCTGTAAAAGTATATTAGCAAAGGCCGAGTGGTTGTTGTTGCGGATTTGACTGACCTGTTGCACCTTGGTGGCACCGAGAATGACCGTGCTCACGTTCTCGTTCTTGACACACCAGGCGAGGGCCAACGAGGCGACACTGCCGCCAAGCTTCTCGGCGATCTCAGTAAGCTTGCGCACCTTAGCAATCTTGGCCTTGCCCTCTTCAGTCTGTAGCGACTTGATGGTGCTCTCGAAGAAAGACTTGTTGGTGGCGAAGCGGCTGTCCTCGGGAATGCCATCATTGTACTTGCCCGTAAGCAGGCCAGATGCGAGCGGTGACCAGATGGTTGTACCGTACTGGAACTGCTCGAAGAGCGGAGCGTATTCGACCTCGAAGCGTTGACGATGGAAGGCATTGTATTGCGGCTGCTCCGCGATGGGTGCGATAAGATTGTACCGCTCCGCGATTTGAGTAGCCTCCATGATCTGGACGGCGCTCCATTCGCTCGTGCCCCAATAGTAGGCAAGGTTCAAGTTGCGGATGCACTGGGTGAAGCCTTCAACGATCTCCTTCATCGGCGTGCCGACGTCAGGTCGGTGAGCGAGCACGATATCAACGTACGGCTGCTGAAGACGCTGCAGACTGCTCTTGAGACCTTCGACTACATGCTTCCTGCTTAACCCTCGAGTGTTGGGCTCCTTCCTGCCGGTGCCGAAGAACACCTTGGTCGAAAGCACATACTCATCCCTCGGCCATGCGAGCTCCTTGAATGCCTGGCCCATCTCGATCTCACACTGACCGTTGGAGTATACCTCGGCAGTATCTGGAAGGAAATATTAATCGGCGCGCTGTGCAGAACCGATAGTCGCCCGCTCCGACTTACCAAAGAAGTTGATGCCGTGGTTCCACGCCGCCTCCATACAATCCTTGACTACGTTGCCCTTTTGAGTGCCACCGTATGTGAGCCAGCCGCCAAGCGACAGGACCGACACCTTGAGTCCAGTAGGGCCCAGGTGACGGAACACCATATCCTTAGGATCGAACTTGCTTTCCACAGCCATCTTGGACGTTGTCGTGAGTGTGATGTGTATTTGCTTGATGGAGGATGTTTCTGTGTAGATTTGTCGAGGAAAGTGCGAATGAAGGCAAAATACGAAAAATCTGCCCACCTGCGTCAACACGCGACTGTCCGCCGGTGTTTGTCTAATAAGTCCGAGCTGATCTCATATTGAACCCAGCGATCTGGCCACCTTCTCAATGCGGCATTGAGGACATCTCGTTACATCATACCTTCAGCGGCGGGGTACGGCAGATAGCATTGCGATCTTCCGTGGGTTTGGGCCCGTTGGTTGGCGGCTTGATGCGGTGACACCCACTCGTGTTCCACAAAGGTATTCTTTGGTTGCCACACACCCTGCACGCCTGCGTGACAATGACCAGGTATGTGGAAGAGTGCAGGCTGGAATGGAGATGTCCTCGGCGGTCGGAGCGGGATCGTGTGCGGCTGAGGGCAGGTGCACGGACCGTGTATCTCCTTCAATGGCTGTGCAAAGCGTCTTTCCAAGACAGTCAGACCACCTGCGTGCAAGATAAGTTCTTAAAGCGCTGTAGCGGCTGAGGCTTGTGGCAACATGTACTGTATCGTCTCAACCCACAACGTGCTGCAAAATGGCCGCGCCGGTATCATGCCTCAGAACGCATACGCCACTCCACATGAACGACCAGTGAAGCAGTATGGTGAGCGTCTCGCCTCGTCTTCGCGACTCGCTGGACTACGAGGAGCCTGAGGCTACGGATCCACGCTTCTCCTTAGGCTTTCGGTCCCTCGACCTTGCAACGAATGGATACGATCAGTACGAGCTCCAATATGATCATCGCCCGTTTTCTGGGTTCCCCAAAACTGGAGCGATAGAGCGCAAAAGGCGACGACGCCAAAGTGATCAGGTACTGGACTATGCCGTACCTTTCCAATACCGTACCACTGCGGACGGCGAAGCTTTTAGGCTTGCCCTGCTTCTTCCCGGGACTGGCACATCGCCGGTAGAGTGTCGCTTGATATGGGAGTCTTCCAAGCGACCTAAGCGCGAGTACGCTTGTCTTTCTTACTGCTGGGAGACTGTCGAGCGGACGACTGCTATACTATGCGATGGGTACCGTTTCCCGATTACGAAAAACCTCCTCATGGCCCTGCAGAAAGTGCGAAAGCCAACCATAGGCATTCACATTTGGATTGATCAAATATGCATCAACCAGGACGACTACCAAGAGCGAGCGCACCAGGTCTCCATCATGAAGTATATCTTCAGCAATGCAAAAGAAGTGATTGTGTGGTTAGGTGAAGCTGGCGATCGAAGCGCGAAGCTGTGCGAGTACGCCAGGAGGATGGCGCGAGGGCAGCATGCCCCAAACGACCGGTATAGTCCAAAGTCAGCACTCAATCGCATCATGAACCAGAGGCAGCTTCAGGACGCGCTACAAAGGCTACTGGAGCGTCCGTGGTTCAAAAGAGTCTGGGTTATCCCCGAAGTCGCATTGTCTCACTTCTCTGTTGTTGCCATCGGCGACAGCACAGTCTCCTGGGACAACCTTGTGAGACTGATCAGAGACACGCAGCTGCCTCAGAGCGCAGGCTTCGACAAGCAGACAGCGTTGCTCGGCAATCCGCGGCAACGTATAGCCATCATAACACAAATGAGCGCATCGCAAAGCAAAGGATTATTCCACACAGATATCATGCAACTTCTCATACTTGCCAAAAGTAGCCAGGCCACAGATGTGCGCGACAAAGTGTATGCTTTTTACGGTGTCACTCTGCTTAGGACTCACCCTTACTACGGCGAGATACCTGATAGAAAGACCTCCATCGAGCGACTCTACGTTGAGATTGCGTGCCACTACGTCAACAGCATTCTCTACGATGATTACTATAGCCGCTGGCATGGACTCAACGAAGCTCGGCGTACTCAGCAGCTTATGAGCATACTGTACAGTGCCGGTCGCCTCCACCAACACCACAACCTGCCATCTTGGGTGCCGGACTGGACCTACGCTTGGTATCAGGCTCCACTATGGTGTAAGACAGAGTCGAACTTGGCAACGCTGTTACCGAGGGATGATTGGAGTGCAGGCATCCGTTCAGATCATCGTGCGGGTGGCGAGAGGCGCGAGACATTCGAGATTATCGACGCTGCAACTGCTCGGCACCAGCTACGAGTGTCTGCATTAATTTTCGATTCGATACTGGAGACATACGAAGCGACTCCGGCGATGACACTCTCTGAGGAGCACGGTCCCTTGGAACCCAGCGATTCAGCCACCGCGCTACACTCTCCTACTCTCTCTTACGGACGTGACTTCTTCAAGACAACAAAAGGATTCTTCGGCATGGCCACGCGCGGCATTCGCCAAAACGATACGGTGGTCTTGCTATTGGGCGGCGACGTGCCCTTTGTGCTTCGCGCATTTAATCGTGAAAGCAACGGTACGAAAACATTCATGCTACTTTGCGAATGTTATGTGCAGGCCAACAGCGTTATGGTTGGAGATTACATGCGGACGGAGTGGTCACGGTCTGAGGACATAACGATACTGTAATGATCTATGCGTAGCAAGTAGCATAGGCTGTTCGATGTATCATTTTAGTCTGGAGTATAATCACCGTTATAGGAGAATGTCACATTTACTGTCTAAATACTCCATGTCATCAGGAGGTGCACGACGATTGAGTAGCATACCAGTGAAGCGCGCAGTCACGTGCAGCAAGCCGTGACTTGCGACCTGGCAACGTCGGCAACATCGCTGCATCGAAGATCTTGTCCCCACCTGCTACCAACACTCACCTCACTCGACTCTTCTCCCATTCAAGATGTCTGTGATCCCAGTCACATCATTTGCGCACTTCAAGACCATCACATCCAGTTCAACGTACACCATTGTAGACTTGTGTGTTGAGGCGTTCACTTGTCATCTACCTGGCTTGACTGATTGCTTATAGCTACGCCGACTGGTGTGGACCATGCAAAGTGATCTCGCCTATCTTTGAGAAGCTGGCTGCTGCTGAGAGCAAGCCGGGCCGGCTTGTATTCTGCAAAGTCAATGTTGACAATCAGAGGGACGTCGCAAGCGCATATGCCATCTCGGCAATGCCCACGTTCCTGATACTCAAGGGCTCATCGGTCAAAGAGACTGTTCGCGGTGCAAATGTAAGGCATATTCAGAGTGATGATCGCAAGCGGTAAAGGTCGCTAACGGAAGATGGACTTGCTCAGGCTACTGCTCTCCGCACCGCAGTCCTCTCCGCCGCCGCAGACGCAGCACGCGGACCCGCCAAGTCCGCCGCCACCTTCTCTGGCAAAGGTCAAACATTGGGTGCTTCCTCCTCTGACGGCAACGCAGGCGTAGCAAGTAGGAATGTGTCAGCACCTACAATGCCCAACGTAGGCGCAATGCTCAGTAGTCCGGCACAGTTCGCTCAAGGCAGGGGGCTGCCGCAGACTATAGTTCGGTTCCTGGGTCTCTACCTCACGACACTATTCAGCCTCGAACCGGAGAAAGCGGCACAAGAGTCACCTTTCGCGGTGAAGAGTCAAGGTGGGGGCACCCGAGTTGGGACCGTCAGGTGATTGGGCCTTGCAGTGATCTGTGTGGAATCTCGAACGCATAATAGCACTCCGATCTGGTAACGTCCACTGAACGTTCACGCAGGGCGATACGATGTTCTGCTGTGCAGCAGACACCGACTCAAATGGGAGCTTGAACCCAACGACATGCTCTTGTCGTTCTTTCAGGTTCTTAAGGCGACTCGCAGCGATTTGTCTAGCTTTCGAACGCGGAGGTGAATAGAACAGCGAATGTTGGCGGCTAAGTGATGCAGGATGGACTTCACTCGATGGTGTGCTGCTCTGACGACCATCAGGCGTGCACTCCTTTGCACGCCACGGTGCTTCATCCCCGTCTGAGCACACGCCATGCAGATATTCTGTTTGGCGACCCGCTCGAGTAGTCGAGAACGGAGTCGTCTTTACTCCACTTAGGTGGCCTACCTCGTTCGAAAGCTGTCCGCTTGTATAGAGTTTCAATACGTGCGCCACTCGCGACCCGAGAGCAGGGCGGCGCATACCAGTTGTTCGCGTTCAAGGGCGTGAATGAGCAGCTATTCTCCGCCGTTTGCACGTCGTGCACAACAGGGTTCTGCATGAACTTGCGAACTAACTCTGCAACAAATGTCGCCCAACCTTGTGTCTTAGACATATACTTGATACTCCGACAAGCAACACACTCTCTGCAACCTGCAGCAAGCCTGCCAGCACCCCGACATAAGAACGGCGTCCAGCGCAAACATTCTTGGCTCCTTCGTTCTCCGTCTCGCAGTTCGACGCACCTTCCACGGTCTAGACGGCCACACGCCTCGAAAACATGGCACACAGTAGCCACATGATGGTAGGTGAAGCGATATGTATCTAGCGCTCCAACAGAAGTTGATTGTCCCAGATGTCTCCACAAGAAGTCCTTCAAGCTCTTAATGCTAGGTCCTACCCACTCTCAACAATACCTATTAAGAACTTACAGTTTACCTCAACCGTCGACTTGGTCAGGAACATACCCAACCGCGGTGTCGCGCTTCTTGTTCGCGCCTTGTCGTTACCCGAGCGTTTTCCTGACAATTCTGTGCGCACCATTGTCCAAGATGCAGGTAGCAAGAAGCTGGGCGTGGTGCTCAACAACGCAGATCCTAATCTGGACGCTGATGACATTCTGCCAGAAGGCGCATTCCTGGCAGTAAAGGAACCCTTGTATTCTACGTCAATCATCCCGGGCCACACCATCACAGTCAATTATCCTTCGGATCTTTTGCGTCTCTCACCTCTTGATCCTTGCGTTCCCAGCCACTGGCTAACACGAGAAGTGCGCCTCCAGAAGACTAGCGAGGTGTGGAAGAGAGCCGGAAACTCCTTCTACGCCGCGGGGCGATACGTCGCTGCAATGCATGCGTACATACAGTCAAGGGCTCCAGATTGTCAGTTCTGGCGTTGACCCTGTAGCGCGCGACCTTTACTGTAACCGCGCTATGGCGAATCTGTGGCTGGGTCGGCATGAAGCTGCATTGACAGATGCAGAGGCAGGTCTGGCACTCAACCAACCACTTTCCCACAGCACGGCTGCTGCAATGAACTGCAAGGCCCACTATCGAGCCGGACGCGCTGCGTATGAGATGAGACTTTTCGAGTATGACAGAGAGCACTTTCTTGCGTCCGGCAATTGCGTCCCAAACGACTCCGATGCACAGCTCCTCCGCACGGATGTGCGCTTGATGGAGATGAGTACCGGGCAATTCGACTTCGCCAGTATGCCCTTATCTGCCGATCAACCTGGGGCTCCACTGGATCACGCCAGCTTTACCCGCCTTGTGGACGTTCGTAGCGCCGGCCCACGCGGGCGAGGACTCTTCGCGAAAAGCGCTTTCATGCCCGGAGATCTGGTGCTCTGCGAAAAGGCCTTTGCTACGGCATCGGCCTCGCCCCAGAGAGCGCTCGAAAGCGGCCTCATACCCGAGAGACGCGTGCACATCAAGGTTTCTTCACAAGGTGCTCCACAGCGCCGCAGCGGCGAGGGACTTCATGAATCTTCACGCCGGCGACCATTGGCCTAAAAGTCCTGCGACGATCGTGGATGGCCTGGTTGCAATTGACGCCTTTCAAGCGGAATCCATTACTAGGCACAACTGCTTCCAAATCCCCGCAAGGGAACGAGAAGCTTCCCTAGACAGAGTACCAACTGGTACAAAGGAAGAGGCTTGCGGTATGTGGATCACGGCATCGTACATGAACCATGATTGCATTGGCAATGCTAAGCGGTCGTTTATTGGCGACATGCTCATTGTGCGTGCGACCAAGGCCATAGCTGCGGGCGAAGAGATCACCTTGTCATATGTTCCAACAGAGGATGCCTACGAAACGAGGACGGAGACACTGCAGGCCTGGAACATCAGATGTCGGTGTCGTTTGTGCGTTGCCGAGGAGCAAGACACCATCGTTGCGCGGAAGCAACGCGCTGGTCTTATCGAGCAGGCCGAGCGACTGATGGCGGCCAACCAGCTGGACTCTGGCTCCGTCAGCTTAGCGGTGCTTTCCGACGCGGAAGAGCTGTTTGCAAAGGTTGAAAGCTTGTAGGAACCAGACCGCTACGACAGGCTGCCCAGGCTTGGTCTAATATCGATTGGCACGTAGCTTATAATGCATATTTCGGCCAAGGAGAGTCTGAGGTGATCTTGAAGATTACCATCGACCTGTTGCGCAACCTTGGCTATGGCATCACAGCACGAGGTGACGACGTGATCATCGACCATACCGACTGCTTTCTTCATAGTGCGGCGATCTTGGCAGCATACGCCGTATCAATCATTGGAAAGGCGGCTGGAGCCGACACTCAAAGCGAAGCCTTTGCAGCGTTGGCAAGGCTACTGTGCCGGACGTATTATGGCGAGGGTATTAGCTTCGGAGAATGGGAACTGGGGTGCAAAGGAAGCTGATCCGCGAAGTAAGGATTCCATCCATGGCTTGTCCCTTTACACTACGGAAAGGTGCTGACTGGCGCTACAGCGGTATGACTGTGTTGATGCCTACATCGCACGGTGTTGGGGCGGGCCCATTGCAGATTCAGGGTCAATTGAAGTGACTTGAGCGATTGAGGGCATCAGCTTCCGGGCGGACGTTCCTTGGGCTGGGGGCGAGAAGCACTCGGCTTGTACCATGATCAGCAGTACCTTACTGCTGGGCTACCACATGTGCACTTGGAATCTGTACTGGTATGTCTCTTGGTGCTACAAACCAATGGCTTCCAGCTGGTACGCCGCACACTGAGTATCGGAGAGCTAGCTGTTTCGGCAACCCGATGCAATTGCTAAGATCAACAGCACGGAAACTCGGTTCTGTGCTGTACGCAAGGTTTGGGGAGGGTTGATCCTCCATTGCAGACGCAAGGAGGTGTAGCAGATGGTGTAGCCTTGGACGTCCTGTTCGGAACGCGTGGGAGTACGGTCCATGCCGGGCCCCAAGAGTCGCCGAAAACCGGAATCGCAGTTGGGAAGAGGAAACCCCGCCATAACGGAAAGACGAGCCCCGCGAATGCGATCATTGCTGGCGTCTCGCCCATTGTTGGGTGTCGTCGGAAGATTTGGCACGCAACCGCGGCATTTGTTAGGCAAAGTACAAGAAGAACCTCTGTCCGAGACTATAGCCAGTGTGATTGAGCCTTTTGCATCTTCTACGGCTGCTGTACTGTCGCGTGATACACCAGAGCTTACACTCTACTCCACTTCTGATATCATCCGAACTGTGAGCATCCATACAACCGGATTCGCAACTTTCGAACGAGCATCTCTTACCTTTTGCTTGCTCTCGGTTGAGAAAACCTACCACTTTATCATTATTCTCATCTTACGACAGTCAGCATGAACGGCAACGCGAATGGCGAACAGCCTCCTATGGCCACGGAGAAGATCAACACCGAAATCGTTACGCTTACCCGGTTCCTGAACGAAGAGCAGACCAAGCACAAGGAAGCTACTGGAGACTTCACGTATATTTCACAGAATCGTCCAGCGTCCAACGTCCAGAGATAGCTGACACATTGGTTTCGCAGATTACTATGCCACGCCCTGCAATTCTCATTCAAGTCGATAGCGTACTACATCCGACGAGCGTCTCTGATCAACCTTGGCGGTCTGGCGGGTTCTTCGAACACAACAGGCGATGACCAGAAGAAACTCGATGTCATTGGAAACGACCTGTTCATTGCAGCCATGCGATCTTGCGGTCGCGTCAAGGTGCTCGTATCCGAAGAGGAGGAGGAAGCCATCGTGTTCAGCGACAACCCGAACGCCAGGTACGCAGTTGCCTGCGACCCGATCGACGGCAGCAGCAACCTTGACGCAGGCGTCTCAGTCGGTACCATCTTCGGCATCTTCAAGCTTCCCGAAGACGCCAAGGGGACGAAGGAGGAACTGCTAAAGCCCGGCACGGAGTTAGTCGCCGCAGGCTTCACCATGTACGGCGCCTCCGCGCAACTGGTGCTCACCATGCGCGGCGGACCGGTGAATGGTTTCACCATGGACAACGCGCTTGGTGAGTTCATCCTCACGCACCCGAACATGCAGATGCCGAAGAAGCGCGCGATCTACAGCTGCAACGAGGGCAACAGCAAGTACTGGGAGGAGCCGGTGTTGGAGTGGTGCAACAGCGTCAAGCAGGCGGACAAGCCGTACTCGTTGCGCTACATTGGGTCCATGGTGGCCGATGCGTACCGAACGTTGTTGTATGGTGGTATCTTTGCGTATCCGGCGGACAAGAAGAGCCCGAAGGGCAAGCTGCGGATTTTGTACGAGTGCGCGCCGATGGCTATGGTGTTTGAGAATGGTGAGTCCACAGTGCGAGCATGCTAATCCTTGGGAAAGTCAAAGCTGACATTACCGCAGCCGGCGGCCTTGCCGTCAATAGCAAGATGCAGCGTATGCTCGACGTCGTGCCCGAGCACATCCATGACCGCAGCGGTATTTTCCTTGGCAGCCAAGAAGAGGTGCAGAAGGTGATTGACATTCACAAGAAGCATGGCATTACTGCCTAGCTTGAGTACCCTCACATAGCGTTGTACATACCGATGTTCTAGGTTTGGGCGAGTGTCACTCTCAACAGCGTAGGCGTGAAAGTCCCAATAGCATCACTTTCCGCCCTGTCCAAGTGTGGTCCCGCAGTACAGGATCGGACGATCGTTCAGAGAAGTGGACAGCCGTCATACCGTACAATATCATACAACCGCGGGCACCTCCGGCGCACACTTGCACCGATAAATGTTATCGCTCAAGTTCGATCAATCTTCCCTTTCCAATCCGCAATATGGTCGTTGATGACCTTCGCAGCCGCTTCCACTGTGAAATTCCGTCCGATCGCCTCCACAAAGTCGCCTTCCGGATCCATTAGGTAGAAGTAGATGCTGTGATCGACGAGGTAATCCTGGCCTGGCTTCACATCCGGTGGCGTGGAGAAGTACACCCTATATGCTTTGCAGACATCCTTCACCTCCTGCCATGTCCCCGTCATGCCCAAGATGTCATCATGAAACTCGGCCAAATACCGCCTAATAACCTCAGGCGTGTCTCTCGCCGGATCGCATGAGATGAAGACGGGTTTCATCACGTTGCCATGCTTCGCTTTCACCCGGTCGATCATGCCAGCCATCTTGTCCAATTCCTCCGGGCAGATGTCGGGACAATGTGTGAAGCCGAAATACACCAGGCTGTACTTGCCCTTCAGGTCCTGCTCTGTGAATTCCTTGCCGTCGTGATCTGTGAGATGGAATGGTCCACCCACCAGCGGCCTGCCAATAGATTTGTTCGCCTCCGCGATGCGTGCCCGGGCCATGCGTGCCTTTTCATATCGGAAGTAGATGGTCAGGCCGATGCCCGCGGTGAGAAAGAGTGCGCCAGCTTGCCAGCTAAAGGGTCCGAGACGGTAGCGTGACTTCGCTTCCTCCACGGTCTTGTAAGATCGTCTGCTCGCCTTACTGCCGAAGTTTGTTGGTCTGGAACGGATTTCGTGCTTGGGAGTTTGCGAGATGGAGGCGAAGGTGCGACGCAGAGGCGCTTTCGCGCATTGGCGGCATACGAAGCGTTCCAATGGCATGATCGCTGCAAAAGACATGGCTGTGTTGCAAATAATGTCTTTACCATGTAGAAATGTTCGATGTATCGCCTCGTAAGCACGGACTCTCGGCTCCGTCGGCGCCGCTAGCTCCAAAGCAAGCTTGACCTCCACCCACACAATCAGTCTTCCTTCAACCTCCCATGTCAGAACCTCAAACGTATCTGTTCGGCGCTAGCAAGAACTGCCTACTGAGCTACCGGTTTTGCTCCTGGTTATGCGTCCACAGTCACATTGGAAGCGGATGCCCGGCGTCAATTGACCCTCGCCGTCGCCGTTCGGTCCAGTCAGCTCGCAACAAGCAGGATCCATTTACATGTCCCAACAGCATACAACCGGCGACGTGTACCTAATCGGCCAGCCCTGACCAGCTCACTGCTGTGTTGAAGGCCAAGTGTCAGCGCCTTTCACGCCCTAAGCGTCAGGTAAATCCGTCAACACGTACATCGTGCTGCCGCTCCTCGCGGGCTCGAAACAGCAAATGCATCGCTGCAAGAACCTCAATGCGGTAAGAACCTACATCTTGTAAAGGCTGCATTGCCTCCCGCCGCCTCACGAGTCAGGCTTCCGCAATGGCACCGCCAACGCCTGTAAACTGTCGCCTTTTGGGGTAGACGGCTACTGCCGTTAGCGGCTGTTTGTTTACGCTTTCTGCTTGCATTGCATCTGCAATCCATCCTTCCGCATGTTGGCGTTCCTTCGAGCCACTTTAGTCGATGCCACAAGGAACCTCGAAGACGTGTCTTGATTAACTACTTCCTACCCCAAAAATGAGATGCTGAATGTCGCACGGTGCTTTGATATCCATTGCCGAATGTCTGCCGGTGGAAGCCTCCCGCACATGGCGGGGAGAATGACATGGATGGCATGGCTTTCCAGACTATAACAGGATTCAGCCGCAGCTGCCATGTGCACGCTACCGCATTTGGCCAGAACTTTTGCGCCTTGACCGGTCGATCGAAACATCACTGCCAAGCAGCAGCTGACAAAGGTTGATAAGCAATGCCTCTTAAATCCGTCCTCTGTCACCGCAATGTTGCTCGACTGTCGTGCAGCATATCTGTCAGAGGTAGGGCTGAATCCGCGACACCACATTTATTGCTTTTTCCTTGACATTCCATAATGCCCTTAGCGAGGCTTCGAGTAGCAAGCAGTGTATGCGGACCCGGCAGCCCTATTGACTGACCAGCAGTCGAACGAGTCGTAGTTGGTCATTCTCAATGCTCTGCCAGCCGAGCTAGACCAGCACAGGAGCTCGAACGCAATGACGGTGACGATGCGGGTTCTCGCGCCGGCTATGTCATCGCGAGAACCACAGTAAGCCACACTTGCACTATGCGACGCCACAAAAACAACCAGTTGACTTTCTTCAGCCCTACCACTTACCGAACACAGCGTGAACGGTGGCAGCGGCTACGCCGCCCTGCTCCAGTCATACTCCGTATCCCGAGCTCACCGGAATCATTGTTCGCAGCGGAATTCTATCAGACGCTCGTAGACCTCCACTTGCACCACACCTGGTTCTCTTTCGTGCCCGCCATGCTCGGCGGCCATGCCGCTACGGACGCAGCTGCTAAAGCTGTCATGAAGGTACACACTCTCTCCAACCCGGCGACTTCTCAGTGCAGAGACAAAATCATAGCTCAAGGTGACAATTCCTACGGCAAAGCCATCGCGGCCTTGCGAAGTTCGCTAGATGATTCCGATTCAGCCTTGGTCTCGGTTGGGCTATTGTCCCTATACGAGGTCTTAATGCGTTCACAGCCCCAGGCATATTTCTGGCATGCCGGCGGTCTAAGCGCCATGCTTCTGAGTCGACGGAAAACGGGGTCGACGAACGAGCTTACCAGAGCGATCGTGTACGGTGACACGCATGGCACGTTCCAGAAGCCGTTGACGAAGGGTGTCGCCAGTCCGTTTGATGACCCATTTTGGTTCGATCTCGAGCCTGCTACTTTTGTGGAAACGAGCGATGAAACTAAAAGGCTGCGAAAGCTGGGCAACCAGCTACTGATTAGACTACCCGGTTTGGTTGCGAGAGTACGTGCGCTACGACAGCGAAGTGTCAAAGGTTCGTTCGAGCAGTACTTCTCTCAAACGGCTGAGGTTGCGGACCAGCTGCTTGATCTCCGGGATGATCGAGCAGAGACCGAGCTCCTCCGCAGGGTGGCAGTAAGGGAGACTCGCGATCCGTTCGACAAAGCCGTTGTACCATACTCCTTTCATCATTTTGCGTCCTCGTACGACAAGGAGACTCTGCTCATATACTGGGGTGGCCGTTTAATGGCAATCAGACTTTGCATGGAGCTTGACCGCCTAAGTCACCAAACCATCAGCAATCCCGCAACGGCAGCTAGACCCGTTTCCGCGCACGTAGAGGGCGTCGCGGGCGCTCCGGCTGTGCGCGCTTGGGATCACAAAGGTATGCTCGACGAACAAGAGCGCATAACAATGTCAATCCTCATGTGCTGGGAAGATGGACTCGGGCAAGCCAATCCTCTCTGTATGGTGTGGGGAGCGCTCATTGACAAAAGTACTTTCCGTGGCAAGCCTGCGGCTATCGTCCGCACATGGGTCTGGACACGATATCAGGAGAGCTTGGCTGGCTGGCCTGTGAAGTACACTATGCGCATGATGGACGAGGAGAGCGAGGCTCTTGCGGGGGGGCCGCTTCTTTGGTGGTTGAGGGATATGGTAGTTCCGGACGGGGTGGAAGTGGACAACGGCTGAACGAGGTAACAATGACGCGTAGAGTGTAGTCGTTTGTCCCGAACGCTTTTAGTCATTCCTATTCAAGGATCAGATACCCAACCACCATCAACGACGTAAGAGCTGCCCGTGACTCCGCTGGCATCATCGCTCGCTAAGAACAAGATAACTCTTGCTGCCTCATCTGGTTTCAGATCTCGCTTCAGGCTCTGGTTCGTCATAACCTCCTCCCTGTACTCCGGCGTCAGCACCTCCTTGATCTGTCGCTCGGTGGCGATGGCTCCGGGCATGACGCTATTGACTCTGATGTTGTCCTTGCCGAACTCCTTCGACAGAGACTTGGTCAAGCCCATGATAGCTGCCTTGCACATGGTGTAGAGCGGTAGACCAGCGGCGGGTATCCGCCAATTGATAGAACCCATGTTGATGACACTTCCAGAGCCGAGCTTCTGCATGGATGGTACGATGGCCTGCGTTAAGAAGACGTGGTGTCGCAGGTTCGTGGCCAGGTCCTGGTCCCACAACTCCGGCGTGACTCCAGCCAAGGGTACGCGGGACTTTGCTCCAGCTGCCGCCGCGTTGTTGACGAGTACGTGTACTGGTCCGTGTTCGTCGAGGACTTTCTTCGCCAGTTCCTTCAGCCGGTCAAGGTTGGTTACATCACAATGATAGAACGTTGGCACGGTGACTTTCGGCATCCCAGGATGTTGATCTGTTGAGCCTTCCGCTCCCTTCTTGATCTGTTCGATCAGTTTTGTCGCAGACCCCTCGGATATATCGAACAGGAAGACATTGCTGCCTTGTTGACAGAAGAGCTCGACCGCGGCGGCTCCTATACCCTCTGCTCCACCTGTAATGATAACGTTCTTGCCTTCTAGGCTAGGATATATTGTGTACCTCGCCATCTATGCCAAGAGTCTATCGTCTATACTAACGCACAGGAAGCGAAGTTCATGTATCCGCTATCAAGGACATGACGTTGCGAACGCTCACAGCATTAGACCCACTTTGATTAACAATTGACTAGAGCCGAAACAACCACAATGAAAATACCGCTTCGATGGGTCGGAAGAAGCCGACACCGCACTGGCTAAATCGGTTCACCTTCCTCCATTGACTCATATGCGGCGAGTGGTTTGTTGAAAGGTACTTCGAAAGCAGCTTAAACAGAGTCAAAGAAACATCGGGTCTGCCAATCATGGCCGAAAAGATGGAAAATGTGATTCCAGTCAATGAGCCAGCGCCAGAAGCCGAGACCGACGAGAAAGGTCCATCGAAAAGTGCCCTGAAGAAAGCCGCGAAGGAGAAAGAAAAGGCAGAAAAGGCAGCCAAACGAGCGCAAGCTGAAGAAGCCCAGCGTAAAGAAGCAGAAGCCAACGATGTCTCGAAAGACGACTATGGCGACTTACCACCTGACGGCACCTTACCATTGCCAATGTTCGAAGACGACAAAGTACCGTTCGTCGAACTGTCTGAGCTTCCGGAACTCTTTAGCGACACTACCAAGTTAGACGAGCCTCAAGGACCTCATGTGATACTGAAAGCTCGTGTCTCCAATGCTAGGACCCAATCAGCGAAACTGGCTTTCCTCGAGCTTCGTGACCGCCTCGACACTATCCAAGCTGTGGTGGCGGCCAGCGACACGCTCAGCAGACAGATGATTAAGTTCTGCGCCAGCATCCCATCCGAGAGCGTGGTGGTTGTTCACGCCCTAGTCAAGAAGCCAAAGGATCCTGTAAAGAGCGCCACTATTTCAGAGCTCGAACTGCACATCAAGAAGCTGTACGTCGAAAGTCGAGCGATGACCCAGCTTCCAATGCAGGTCGCCGATGCAGAGCGAGCGATACCCGCCGAGGGCGAGGAGGAGTCCGCCGATGGACCAATCGTGACGCTTAACACCAGGCTGAACAACCGAGTGATCGACCTTCGAGCCAATCTAAACCAAGCCATCTTCGCGATTAAGTTCGGTGTGGAGGACTTCTTCCGCGAGTTTCTAAAGTCGAGAGGATTCACTGGCATCCACACTCCGAAACTGCTGGGCGCACCGTCTGAAGGTGGCGCCAACGTTTTCGAGGTCAAGTACTTCGGCACCAAAGCATATCTGGCACAGTCGCCACAGCTATACAAGCAAATGCTTATCGCCAGCGACATGAAGAGAGTAATGGAAGTCGGACCCATCTTCCGCGCCGAGAACAGCAACACGGCTCGCCATCTTACCGAGTTCGTCGGCCTCGATCTGGAGATGGCGTTCAACAAGCACTACCATGAAGTAGTCTCACTGCTCGAAGAGCTCATGCTCTACATCTTCAACGGGCTGAAGGAAAAGTACAAGCGAGAGACAGACCTTCTCCGCAGCGTCTACAAAGTCGACGAGTTCAAGCTACCCGAAGCCGGCAAAGTCCCACGCCTGAATTTCGCAGAAGGCATCAAAATGCTCCGCGACGCGGGTGAAGAGATTGGCGATTTCGACGACCTGACAACGCCTCAGGAGAAGAAACTCGGCGCCCTCGTGCTGGAGAAATACGGCTCGGACTTCTACGTCCTCGACCAATTCCCCCTCGCCATTCGGCCCTTCTACACCATGCCCTCCGCCGAGACACAAGCGAAGTACGACTCAGCAAACCCCAACGCGGGCTACAGCAATTCCTACGACTTCTTCATGCGAGGCCAGGAGATCATGTCCGGTGCGCAGCGTATCCATCGAGCGGAGTATCTGGAGCAGAGGATGAAGGAGCACGTGTCGCCTGTTGACCCCAACTCGGATGGTCTTCGCGACTATGTGCAGGCGTTTAGGGAGGGGTGCTCGAAGCATGCTGGTGGTGGGATAGGATTGGAGAGGATTGTTATGTTGTGGTTGGGTTTGCCAAATGTGAGATTGGCGAGTTTGTTCCCTCGTGATCCGGGGAGGAAGACGCCTTGATCGTCTCTCGCGTATTGCTGTCGCACGTCGAGGCAATCGGGCTGCAAGGGCCCGTCGCACGCAGAGTAAGAGCCGCTCTGCTACCTGCTATGTTAGATAGCCTTGGATGGCGTGCATGCATGCAGTCAAGTCAGGCTCGCAAACATCAGCGTAAGTAGCATTCCGTCTGCCGCACCAAGTCGACGGGTTGTGGTCCAAAGTAGCATTGCTATCCGCGATGGCTATGCTATGGGAGGAGACTTCTAGGCCTGAGCCTACCTTACATTAGACCCCGTACTCAAACCTTCATCATTATAACATTAGAGCATCCAGCCTCGCTGTTTGCGCATGGAACTGCCAGGCCGTGATTGACAGCAATCCACTTCAGCATAAGTAGAGGATACCGAAAGCACCAGTGCATAGCTTGCACTCATACGTCGAGCCGTCTGGGTTGGCGCAGAGGCTGAGCTGGCGCTTCTCGACAGTCGGCGTCTCCCAGCATTCTTCGATGATACCACTTGGCCCGACATAGGCGTCCCATTCCCGCTTGCCGTAAGGGAACGTGGTGATGGACGCATCGCGTTTGCCAGCGGTAGATGGCTCGAAGCATTTCTCGATAACGCCGTTCAGACCGACGCAGGCGACCCACTGAAGCTCGTCGATGACCGGCGCGTCGCGCTTGGTAGCAGTTGATCCCTCCCAGCACTCTTCGACGATGCCGTCGGAACCGACGCACGCGTCCCACTGACGCTTGGCGGCGCTACGCGGTTCAAGGCACTCCTCAGCAATACCGTCGGGACCGACACAAGCGTCCCACTGACGCTTCTCTGCTGGAGGTGGGATGACGTAGGCTGGGAGAGGAGCCAGCGAACTGCTTGAAGTCGTCGTAGCCGGACTGACCTTTGTGGAAGTCGCCAGCGTAGTGAGATTGCGCATTGACACCGTGCTGGGGGGAAGGATGGTGCTGCTCGTGTCGGAGACGAAGTTGCAAGTTGCTCCAGGAGGTCCGCATGGGCCAATGGTGGCTGGGAAGGAGACGTGCGCTGCTGCTACTGCGGGGATCGCTTGCGCGGCGGCGGCCCTGAAGGGAGTCAAAGCAATGATTTGCGGGTTAGGAGCGCGCTTGACCTCAGTGATGAAGGTGGTCGGGTCAGCTGCGGCTGTCGACTTCCCCATGTCCACGTCGACGTCGCCGGCAGGATGAGCTCCGAGGCGCTCGTCGAGCGCGTGGGAGCAACCCATCCACGACGGACGATTGCTGGCCTGACTCTTATTCTGACATCCGGAGTTGCAAGTCATGAACGCCTACCGGGGTCAGCAAGCGGTACCTTACCGAGTCGTGATGAAAGTAAGGTACATACATCGTAGCCGCCATTGCCGCACATGCAGGCATTCTGGGTCATCAGAGTGGCAGAGCCGGTGCAACCGTGACCGATCACTTGCTTGTTCCAGCATGAGATCTGGCAGACTGGCAAGCTGTAAGCCCGTGAGCTTCGATTCTGCGTGGGGAGACTTACCGGTAAGACCGTTCTTGTCGGCTGCGTCTAGGAAGGTGACGGGACGTATGAGAGTGTTGTCTGTAACGACTGTGGCGTGTCAGTAATGCCCTCTGGCATGAGAGGGATGCCTTACCAGCTAGAGCAGAGACAGGAGACGTGAGCATCATCAAGCTGATGAACAGCGAGATGATGCTTATGGTACGCATCATTGCCTTGGCTATGGTTGGTGCTCAAGTCGTGTATAGAAAGATAGATGGTATGCTATAAGGAGGAGTGATGGAAGAAGAAAGATGATGACGGGTGATGGTGCTGTAAAAGTAATGTTGAAGGTCTAGTGTTGGCGAGAGGTTGTTCGGAGGACTGAGCAACCCTTATAAATTTGTCTTGTCGCGTGCGAGCTTGGCGCGACCGGTTGGCGTTTGCCAGGTGGATAAAGAAGGAAGGAACGATGGTGGTCGCGCCTGCCCAAAGTGGGATGACTGAAGGAATGTCAAGGAGTTGAGGTGCTAAAGACTAAAAGAACGACGAGGAAGTGATAGGAAGTTCTGCTTCAGTAGTCTTTAGGTAGCGCGAGCGAGAGAAATAAGCACTGAGCAGGATATACAGCCATACCTACAGCAGCGTACAGGCAAGCGTCCCTGCGAAGGCCTTGTGTGACCCATATCGCGGGATGCGAGCGTAAGCACTTTGCCTCACCTCAGTAAAAGATCAAATCGATCTTCTTCCCGTCTTCTGCCCCGTAGCGCTCTTTGAACTCAGTTCTCGACAACAGCTGGACCAGTGGCGCCTGCGTCTCTCGCATATCGAGAATCCCGCGCTTCTTCTGATCAATATGCGACGCATCCACCACAATCCTCTCCAGGTGAGACGAAGAAAGCGCGCCGTCGTCCAGTAAATCAGTAATTCTCTGAGGCGTTCCAACACCGATACCCATTCTCGTCTTCTTCACCGTCTCAATGGCTTCTTTGAGCTTGATATGCTTGGCAAACAGTTTCGCCACCATGGAGTCCTTGGTCTGAAACTTCCGCAGCGCCCTTGTGAGATCTGCTGCGCGCAGTCCCGCGCCCGCTACCACGAGCGTGTGTGGACTGCCCTTCTCCTGCGCGGCGTCAGAGAGCTTGTGGCCCTTTTCCTTCCGCCGGGGTCCGGCGAAGTGCTCTAGGAAGTCTGCTAGGTTCGTTGTTGTTCTCCGTTTCTCCCATGTTGAGGTCTCCGTGATCGCTTGGGCAGAGATGTGCAGTTCTTCCGCTTCTAGCATGCTTAGGTCGGGCCGGAACCGCTTGGTTCGTTGCGCGATGTGGTCGGCTACGAGACGACCGTCCATGTACGCGATTGCATGGTTGAGACCGAGCTCGAGGTCCAGGGTTTCGTCGTCTAGCGTTGCAGCCTTCTTGAACTTCTTTCGCTTCGCTGCTCGTTTACTCTCGGTTTTCTCTTCGTCGTCCCGCTTTCGCTTCGCTGAAGGCGGTTGTTCTGCTGTGCCGGGTTCCGGAAAGTCTTCGAGGAGCGGGACTCCATTCTGGTCGTCTTCCGAGTCTGACATACTGTCCGATTGCGGCTAGAAATATATATAATGTCGAGTGCAAGAACGGAGGTTGATCTGCGCAAGAAGTTCACTTTCGCTAGCGCCGGAAGGTTCCGCTATGTGCACGTCGCTGTCGTGTGCCTACCGGAGCTTCAGTTGAACATCGCCAAAGAAACCACCTCCGCCATCCTCCACCTCCACCTCCACCTCCACCGGTACATCAGCCCATCATGTCCGCCGACGGTACCATACTCAAAGCGGATAGAGACTACACCGCCGAAGTCGACGCCGCCCTCCCGGAAGCAGAGTCGCTCGCCTCCTCCGGCCAGACACAGGCCGCCATAGACAAACTCCTTGCACTTGAGAAGCAGACACGGCAAGCCTCAGACCTCCCTTCCACCTCGCGATTGCTAGTCACAATCGTGACGATATGCAAGAACGGCAAGGACTGGGCGCTTCTGAACGAGCAGGTGTTGCTGCTCAGCAAGAAGCATGGCCAGCTGAAACAGGCCATCACCAAGATGGTCCAGACGGTCATGGGCTTCCTGGACGATATACCAGAGGCGGGCGGGAAGAAGATGAGCGTGATTGAGACGCTGAGGACGGTGACGGAGGGCAAGATCTTCGTCGAGGTAGAGCGAGCGCGAGTCACACGGATCCTATCACGCATCAAGCAGGCCGAAGGCGACATTGCCGCCGCCGCCGACATTCTCTGTGAGCTGCAAGTAGAAACGTTTGGCTCCATGGCGCGGCGAGAAAAGACCGAATTCATCCTCGAACAGGTAGCCTTGTGCATTGAGAAGGGCGACTGGACGCAGGCAGCCATCCTAGGCCGCAAAATCAGCACACGCTACTTCGCGCGAAGACCGAAACGAACACCAGAGGAAATAGAGAAGCGCAAGAAGGAGAAAGAGGAGCAAGCGCGCCGGAACGCCGACACAGCCGTAGGCGACACCGCTGACATCGACCCGGACGAAGACGACGTCACCGACCTCAAACTTCGCTACTACGAGCAACAAATCACCCTCGCTAAGCACGACGACAAGTACCTGGAAGCGTGCAAACACTATCGCGCCGTCCTCGACACCGAAGCGGTCGAAAACAACCCCGAACAACTCCGAGCCGCGCTCCAACGCGTCATCTACTTCATCCTGCTCGCACCCTACGATAACGAGCAATCCGACCTCCTCCACCGCATCTCACAAGACACGCGCATAGCCACCTCCTGTCCAAAGGACGGCCAACTCCTCAAACTCTTCACCAAACCTGAACTCATGCGCTGGCCGTCCATCGAAGCAAATTTCGGCTCCCACCTAACCAGCACGGATATCTTCTCCGCCACCCCACCCCCCACCACCCATCCAAAGAAGGGCGTGGACCCAAAATCCCACACCCGCTACACCACCCTCCGCCGCCGTGTAATCGAGCACAACGTCCGCGTCATCGCTCGTTACTACACCCGCATCACCTTCGCCCGCCTCACCACCCTCCTCGACCTGCCCTCAACCGAAACCGAGAAATACATCTCCGATCTCGTGGTGGGCGGGACGATCTACGCGCGGATTGATCGGCCCGCCGGGGTGGTGAGTTTCGAGAAGAAGAGGGATGCGGATGAGGTATTGAATGAGTGGAGTGGGGATCTGAAGCAGCTTTTGGGGGTGTTAGAGAGGATTGGGCATTTGATTACGAAGGAGGAGATGATGGCGAGGATTTTGCCGGGTGGGGGGAGGCAGCAGGAGGGGGGGAAGGGGTTGGCGGTGAGATGAGGTGGGGGAGCATGGGAACGAGCGTGAGCGCGTGATGGCCGAAAAGAGTGTGGCAATGGCGCGGCGGAAGCTCTAGCGTTTGTATGATCACATTGTAGAAGTACATGTAGAAGCGACAGCGCGGATGCGGAATCACGCTCCAGATGTCCCACAGCGTCCGTTGCAGCGTACGGGAATGAACTGCGATAAACCGGGCGGTATCATAAATATTACAAGAACATTCCATGTCCGCGGAAGACTAACTTCATGATGTTCGTCTATTATCAGCAAACTCCGCCCTGTAGTTCGCTATCCAGGCAGACTCATCCACAATTGTGTATTGGAAAAAGCGGGAAGCACGCCTCGTTGCTTGACGCATCGTACTTGACCTGACAATCACTCCGATCGATTCAAAGAACCGCGCCGTGAAGAGTCTTGACTCGTGAGGCCGGGTCTGGCGCAGTGGCGGCGAAAGCCTGGGATAATGGTAACGCGGATTGGACGGGCTACAACTTTCGCAAAAGCTTTTTTTGAAGCATGATGTCTTTCGCACTTGAGTGCCATTTCAGCCAGGCCGCTCGAGACTCATTAACAGATCCAGCAAGAGCCGCGAGTAGACGTCAGATGCCGAAGGAGGATGTCCAGAGCGGCTGGCAAGCTGTACTCTTCGGGCGTCATGTGGGAGAATGTTCGTGGTGCGGGTGCTGGACGCTGCACAGTCCGCATGACCATGGCAGTAAATTGCATCCGTGAGAGAGGGAAAGCCATAGTGGGCGCGTAAGTCTTGACTCCTGGAGTCAAGAAAGCGGAACCGACGGAATCCGCATCTGAGGAGTCTGCATGCTCCCGTACGGTTGGGCTCGACGTAGGCTAGATCGCGCGTGGCGAACCGCTGCGTTTAGAGTTCAGTAACCGGTTCGTCACATAGTCGAGCCGCGGTCACACCGCCACCCTCACCGTCCTAATTGATCAATCCCAACGCTCACCACCCACTACTCCTTCTGACCCCTCCTCCACCCCCACCCCTCCGTCCCTTAACAACCATCCACAACATCACACTCGTCGCCGCACTGAGACTGAACCAAGTAAAAATGTACTGCAAATGATTGTTCCTCAAATTCACCTCCGCGGGCCTCCCAATCGGTGCGCCCGCCGCCTGCCTCTCATAAGCCGTGATGAGATCCGGCCGCATCGTCTCCTCCACCCACACAGCCTGCGAGCCCGCGTGCGCGGCCATTTCGGCCACGTCAGGGAAATGCCAAGTATTCTGCGCGGGGTTGTTGGCGGGGGTGAAGGAGTTCTTTTGCCAGGGCGTGCGGAGGAGGCCGGACACGACGACCGTGGAGGCGGGGAGGCCTTGTTGGCGGGAGGATTGCGCGGCGTGGGAACGCGAGATCCAGCCGCGGTTGACTAGGATTGTGGTGTTGATCCCTTTGGCTGCGAGGTCGGGGAATTCCTCGCTTCGGTCTAACGGTGTGATGACCAGATACCCGTCTTCGCCTTCGCGGACGCGGGGTCCGACGAGCATTTCTTTGCCGTGGAGGAATTTCCCTCTTGCGACGACACGCCGGTAATCGAATTCGGCTATGGCGTCTGGATCTATTACTGGTGGTAAGGGTAAGGGTTCTCGGACCAAACGGTCCTCGAACTTGGCGATGAGGTCTGTTTTCCAGGTCAGGCGGTGGACCTGCCAGCAGCCGAGGACGAAGGCTGTGAGAGGGATGGAGGCGAGGAGGAGGAGGCCGATGGTGTTGTGACGCCGATTGGAGCGGATTAGGGTGGGAGGGTTGTCGAGGATGGAGCGGAAGTTGGGATCGATGTCGGCGGGGTTGTTGTTCGGAGGTTGTGTTGATTGGGGTCTACGCTGGGTGTGGCGGAGGGAGGGGCGGGGTTGTTGGCGGAGACGGGTGCGGATGGTCGATGATGGTCGTTGGATTTGCTTGGATAGGTGCTGGAGGCAGTGGGTGCAAATCCATTGCCGGCGGGGAGGGATGGGGAGTGGTGCACGTTGGAGTGATCGCGATAGCTGGCGTACCACGAGGCGGGAAAGGGGCTCCATGGTTGCTATGACTGTTGATGATGTGAATGTTCGACGTTGATGGTGTCGCACGTTTCCGTGCCTGTATGTCTACATGACTCGCGCCGCAGTGCCAAGAGATCTTGGGTGAACGATGGAGCGAGGGGAGCTTCCTTGTTGGTACAGCCATGTGAATACAAGTACTACTCGCAGTGGTCATCATGTTCCACGCCGGCGACCTCAATAGCGGCATCTCCGCCGCCATCTCGGAGCAGAAGCTCGTCGCCTGCTTCATCGCCGCCCCGCCTGACAGCTCCGCCAACAACTCCGCCAACACCTCCGCCGACTCGACACTATGGGAGGAGGAGTGGTTACCGGACTTGCAAGAGATCATTGCCGACAAAGCTGTGTTGTTACGCATGGAGAGAGGCAGTAAGGAGGCCGGCTTCCTCAACGCTTTTTGCAGCATCGACCGCGCTCCGACGCTCATCGTGGTGCATAATGGGAGGGTGCTGGAGAAGCTGGAGGGTGGGGTTAGTAGAGATGACTTCGTGGAGCGGCTGTTGAGAGCGCTCGGTGTGGAAGGGATGGATGAGAGCGCGACGGCGGAGGATGCGACGGTGGAAGAAGCGACAGCTAGCGGTCCTGTGCACCCAGACGCAGCCCCCTTACAGCCCACGCAATCAACACCCGCGCAGGCCTCTTCAACCCCCCAACAACTCTTTCCCGACCGCGCCGCCCGCCTCGAAGCAGACCGTCTCGCCCGCGAAGCCGCCGAGAAGGAAGCCCGGAACGCTCGCACCGAAGCCCGACGCAATGAAGCAGAAGAAGCGCATGCCGCACACCAAGACAAAGGCAAACAGCGAGCGACCACCGAAAACAGCGAGAAGCAACGAGCCCGTGACGCCTGGATCTACGAGCAGAAACAACGCAAAGACGAAGCCAAGAAGGAACGCGAACGAATCCTCAATCAGATCGAAAGCGACCGACAGGAACGCAAAGCCAAGGCCGCAAGAGCGAAGCAGGCAGAGACGCAGCAGGAAGGTGCCAGCAGTCCTCTACCCGACGCACGTATGGCGGAGACGAAGCGGAGCGCAGGTGCGGGCGGGATGTGTTCCCTCCAGCTCCGCCTCTTCGACGGCACCAGTGTGCGCGGACGTTTCTCCGCCCCCACCGCCACCCTTGCGAAAGACGTCCGCAACTTCGTGAAAGAACAAGCACCGCCCGGCTCAGGAGGGGCAGATATCCCCTACAGCTTCCGGCAAATCCTCGCTCCGAACCCGTCTCGTTCCATTGAGGTAAGCGAGGAACATCAGACCCTCTCCGAACTGGACCTCGTTCCCAATGCCACGCTCGTGCTCGTCCCCGTCGCGGGCGCGGTAGCAAGTGCTTACAACCCAGCGGATGCCGGATACCTCGGCTGGGCCTCCTCATGGCTCAATTACGGGTACTCATCTTTACCAAATGTGTCCTACTACCTCCCAAGTTTCTCCCGGCTATACATGGGCGGCACCGCGGATCCAAGCGAACGAAGCAACGTCGAGGGAGCGGCGATGGCGGGCGCAGATACTTTGCCGGCGGCTGCTGATGCTGGGGAAGGGTCGGCTGCGAAAGTCAGGGTGAAGACGTTGGCTGATCAGCGCGAAGAGCAGAGAAAGAGGGAGGGGACGGAGTTCTATAATGGGAATAGTTTGGGTTTCGAGCCTAGGAAGGGGGACGAGGACTGAAAGCGGCAGAAAGAGGAGATGAAACATACAACGCTGAATGAACGCGATGCATGCTCACGCAGCGTGGGTACGATGCAGACATCGCCAGGACTAGCTTGGAAGATATTCTGCCAAACGGACCATTGCCCACAATTTCCCGACGTTTCTCAACGACGGGAGACGGAGCCGCCGAGTGTTCCTTGTCTTTGCGTTCACGACGACACCTGTACAGCGCAAGCAGGCAGAAGAAAGAGCGGTCCAACGGCACGCTCAACACCGAGGCCGAGCTCGAGTCGGCTATTGCTTGGTCACGGCCCTGTCCACGGAAAAGCGATCCTCGTCCTCCTATCCGCCATCCTGGTCGGTCTCGATACCGGTACCGACGATTGCACCTTCTGCGACCTCATTTAGACAGAGACGGCGTCTACAAGACGGACGGGCAGGGCAAGAAGGTGCCCGAAGACCGCCGTCTTCGCACGCCTCAAAGAGTGCTCGCATGACATTGTGCAGTTCCTCCCCTACCTTCGCGTCTACATTCGCCCTTCGCTAGCTGAGAGTCTTGCGGTGGAGGTGAGGGCGACGGCGAGCTCCTGGAGCCAATTTCGCGGCCAAAGGGTCGAGCGAGCCGACCGGCCAGATGGCCCGAAGGTGTCAAGGGGTGTAGGTTACGCTACTCGGCTGTGAAAGGCGGCGGATGGGAGGGTACGGAGTGAAAGGCGAAGCCGTATGGATGGCTGGGGATACGGGAATCAATAGGTAGAAACTTGTGCACCATGAGAGCACGAGGTGAGTTCATGTTCGAAGGGAACAGAGGCCGGCCCAGATTGCCTTATCATGACTATGTTACACGTTACATGCAAGCAAATGCAGCTGGAGATCATGCAGATGATTGGCGAAGCCACTACGCGATGCTCGTGAACGACGCTTCAAATGTCATAGCTCCCCGCGGGAAAGATACTTCAGCTCCTGATGTACGTCCCCGGCGCGCTCTCGCCAGGCTGCAACGTCACCTACACACCACAGTCAGCTCGGTCATCACCACCTGGTCACTGCGAACCAATACGCACCGTCATCGTGCCCACATGCGTAGTAATCGTCAAATGAACCGTCGTCGTACTCTCACCACTCACCCTACAGCACCGTCAGCTTTCCACTTCCTCCACACACAGGCAGCAAACAAACTCACGTCGGCGTCGTCGCCGGAGACACCTGCTCAACTGTAAACGTCTCAAACACCGTCGGCGCCGTACTAAACGACGCCGCCCTCGTATGCGTCACCGTCCAACTCGTCTCGTACTCCAACTCCGAAGTCGTCGTCGTGCTGAAAGTCGTCATGATTTCCGTAACGTTTGCCACGATCGTCTCCCAAATCACTACGCTCGAGGGCCCGGGAATGCGTGTAGTGATATCGAGCGATTGTGTCGCCGTCCTCGTTTCCGTGATGACGCTCGTATGCCAGACTTCGTATTCGGTGATGCATTCTGTGCCGTTCGTGTAGTCCGCACAGATCGCTTTGGTGATGTCGGGGGGTGCAGTACCGCCCGTGAGGTTCTGCCACGGGGCGAAGTAGTAGGTTGTTAGGTTTTGGATGCTGAAGGTGGGGGTGGGAGTTATCATGGCCGTGCCGTTTGTGGAAGTCGTGTTGGTGGAGATGTTGGCTGTTAGCGTGGGCGTTATGAGCCGGTAACCTTCTCTGGTGGAGAAGGTGATGTCTTGGGAGCACTCCGTTACCGGGTAGCTTGTTATTAGATCGCGAAGAGTGGTGTCACAGATGGTGTTCGTTGCTTGGCTGTAAATGGTGCTGCAGGAGGTACTTCCGGGTGGTATGGAGGAGGAGTAGTTGTGGAATGGCGCCGTGGTAGGCCGCGAGATTGGCGTCCGTGTCGGAGCGAAGAAGTCTGACTGCGCTAGAGGACATAATGTGTATTGCGGCACATAGTATGTGACTAGTTGGCTTTGCGCGGTGATCGCAACTGGATTTGCACCGGGTGATGGCGTGATGTATGCTATCACCCCAGGTGATGTCGTTGATGTAGATGCGCTGACTTCTGGCGGTAATATCTGTCGCTTCCGGACTTCCTCCGCATGGTGTGCATGTCTATTCCCTGCGTGGCCAGCCCCGACTATGGTTAGGACTGCGAGCAAAGCGCATAATGAGCGTGTGTATGCCATGTTTTGGTGGCTCGCCAGGAGTCTCCACGATGAACGAATGTTTCGGCAATGTCGTGTGCTCCGGCACTGCTGAAAGCGGCATTGTCTGCTGTGTCGCAGGTGGCTTGCAACGTGCATTCCTTGATGCGTCCTCCCCAAACAAGAACGACTGCATTGCGGGGATGGGGAATGTAAGAGGTCACGATGCCTCTCCCTTTGCTTAGCTCGACCCCTGGTCCTTTGAGACGACTCAGCATCACCAAGACTTCATGCATGCCCAAGGCTTGCTCTCTCAGACCGCGAGAGTCCAATCAGTCACCATCGTCAGACTCATCGTAACTGTTACCATCAACTCCGTTCGGCTGCGCTTCACCTCCGCGCATCAAGCGGGCATGCTCGCGCTGTATTAGCGCCTTTCTTTCCGCATTGATCTTGTCAATCCTGTCGAAGCTGGCCGTCTGCAGCCTTCGTAGCGCTTCAATCTGTGCCCTCAGCGCAGCGTTCTGCTCCTCGAGAGTAGGCTCTTTACGCTTGTTAGAGTCTCCATCCAGCGCCATAAAGTCTTCGGTTTCATCAGGCGCGGCGGCACTGACATGACGCTCTGGCGCGAGAGACCAAGAAGCCAGCTCACCTAGACCTTCATCAAGCAGAGCCTGCGGGAAGGACGGAGCGGTGAGTGCTTGCTGCCATAAGGTCTCCTCAGCACCGAGATCTGACCCTGTGAGCTCGACGTTGATCGCGTAATTGCCGGGTACAGTACCAGCTGCACTGTCGAAAGCGCCAAACTTCGGCTTCATCACTGACGTTACCTTCACCCGCTTGGTTTCCTGGTACGCGAAGCCAGTAACCGGCAGGAAGCACAAGTTGGTTACGGGACCTGGCAGAGGGTTCTGCATAAGATTTGTCTGTGCCCTGCCAGTTGCAACATCCCAAGCCACTACGCTTCCAGACTGGTGGCCCGTGAGCAGAGTGCTGCTGTCGAATGACAGGCTGACGCTTAGCGCTGCACCTTTCAGCGCGTCGGGCTGTCTCCAGCGCGAAGATGCAGCTGGCTGAATAGGTACAGAAGCCTTCTCTCCACCCTGCACAGCCGACGTTGAGTGGCCCTGCCGGTAAAGGTCGAGCTGCTGCACACTCCCGTCATCGCAGCCGAGGTAGACAGCTCTATCAGCGGCGTCGAGAGTGATGCATAGTGGTAGCGATGAAAGTAGATAGGTACGTAGAACAGTATTTGTATGGAAGTCCCACAACAAGCAAGTCCTATCTCTCGCAGCAGAGACTGCAAAGTTGCTGAAGCTTACGCTATGTCCGACAGTAACGGCCGTCACTTCCGTTCGATGGGATGCGAATGTGCGTAAGGGTGATAGACCCTGCGCACCAACGTTCGCAAATGAAAGAAGGCCAGGTAGGGACCAGACTTGGACAGTAGAGTCCGCTGAAGCGGAGAGCAGGAAGTTCGAGCTGGCGTCGACCGCAAGCGCGGTGACCTTCTGGAGATGTGACTGTACCGTAGTAACCTGTCGACCAGAGTGTGTCTCCCACAGGAAGATCCTGCCTTCTGCTGTACCCAGCACAAGGACTGTGTCGTCGCAGGCTAAGGCAATGCAGGTAACCCGTTCCGTGAACGGCACAGTAGCTTCTTGGTTGCCCTTCAGTCTGTTGTAGACATGAACAACAGCCTTGTCCGATTGCGCGGCGAAGATATGGGACTCGCTTACTGCGAGGCAGTTGGCTGGAGTGGCGCTTTTCTTGAAGATGGCTCGCTGTTGTGCCAGCGGCTGGAATTCGTGGAGAAAGATGGCCGCATCTTTCGCTACGTTAGTACCTGGTGGCTTCTCAGGCACACCTATAGAGGCGATGAAGTGCTCGGTGAGCATGCTTCACGTTCCCCAATAACGATTTGGGTGGAAGAGAAAGGTTCTCGTGTAGGATCTGGAAAATGTACAATGCGGAGCGTCCCGGCGCTAGCGAAACTACTTCAGCCCCGTCACTGATGCGCGGTGCTCTCCCTGTCTCCCCTTATGCTTCGAAAACTTCCAGGTAGAGCAAGATTGATCATACCGTCCGCGGCAGATCGGCAGCTTCTGGCAATTTACCACCCTAATTGCCTTATTGTATCGAGCGTGGACTGGCATCAGTTACTTGATTGATGAGGCTGATCAGTTCGCGCTAGCAAGAAATTCTATGGTCAGAGCCATAGCTTTGGACGAGGTACATCAACCCGGTTTGGGAGGCGGTGGTTGTACTCTTGTTTATGTCCGCACGTAGTCACGATCATTCACGATCTAGATTTGAGTTTGCCCCACAACGCCATGTGCCTTCCATGCCGAGCGCCGGGAAACCGTTGCAAGCGGGGTCGCACGTGAGGCCTCCCCCGTTCCAGAAAGGCTTCCTTTCGTCGAGCAAACCAACCCTACCTTACACCCACATGCGTTGTGTCACCACTCTGTCTTGGACGAATTCGCCCCAAAACGTTCTATACAACGAGAGTGCAGCAGTAGCAACGCCGACAGCATGCAGCGCATAGAGCCTCGCCCGATGGAGGCACACTCACAACCGCAAAGCTATGCGCAAGATCACGCTACACCGCCCCAATCATCGCCAGCAGCAGCAAAGAACCAATGGAACATCCCCACCGGCTTCGCATCGACCGGCAGTCAATCACATACCCAAAGCTTTGAGGAGATCTACGGCGTACCGGAGAACTTCCTCGAAATAGAGGTAGCTATACCCATAGTCATGCCCATCAGAAAGCCATTCTCCCGCCGCAGATACGTGATATTGATGCACGAGTGATACAGGTGACAGACCCACAAACGCACCAACCAACATCCTCCCCCTCCTCCCGCTACACCACCTACCTCATCCGCCTCAGCACCAACATCCCCGCCTTCAAACTCCGCCGCTCCGAAGTTCGCCGCCGCTACTCCGACTTCGAGGTCTTCCGCGACCTACTCGAGCGCGAATCCGCCCGCGTCTCCATCCCACCCTTACCCGGCAAAGTCTACCTCAACCGCTTCGACGACGCGGTGATCGAGGAGCGACGGAAAGGGCTGGAGCGCTTCCTCAAGATCGTCGTGGGACACCCGCTCTTGCAGACCGGGTCGAGAGTGTTGGGTGGATTCGTGCAGGACCCGAATTGGGATCGGAATGCTTGGTAGTGTACTGCCTCTGACACCGTGGGTGGGAGATGTGAGGGTGGGCTGATCTTGCTGACGGATGGAGTTGTAGGTTGACGTACGAATAAACCCACTACACCTCTTGCGCCTTTGCGTTGCACGTGGTTCTCTGCCTTCCCCTTTTCAGCGCGCGCGCACTTGCGGATGCTTTTTCTAGAGTGTGCGCCAACAAATGTCTTCAACAGAACTATACCCGCCCGCGACTCATTTGCAAGCTTCTCCAAGGCGACGTACATCGCATGAAAACCAAGAGCGCATACCTGTGTGGACGCGCGAGTCACAGCATATTTAATACTGCACAGAGCATTACACAAGTATTATCATCGCATTATCGAAACTTCATCTACCACGGCGCAGGGAAAGCGAGGACGTTACGGTGCAGGTATGCATGCATGTGTTTGCGGAAGGTGGGCGTTACAGCGGAATGGGCTGTGTGGTGGCGAAAGGCTGGGTCTTTCTAAACACCGTACCCTTGAGCGTAACCGCAGCGCATTGCAATGCCCATTTTGATTGGCTCCATTAGCCCAACGAACTTTGAACACTTTTGATTTGGCTTCACTCATCGCAGACTCACCGCCACCTCCAGCACACTGACATACCGTATCCTCGTTTCCGGCACCGGCACCGGCACCAGCACCGGATCCTTCGCCTGCTCCACAACATCCCTCTTCTCCGTCTCCACGTTGCCAGCCTCCGACTCCGCCTCCGCTTCCGCCTCCGCCCCCTCAACCTCCACATCGTCAATCGCGCCCACACTCCCCGTGCGCAACCGCACCGCATACTCCTCTCTCTGCTGAAACCACAATCCCATCTCCATCACTCTCCTGACAGCCTTACCGGTTCCCTTAATCCATACTTCCTCCGCACCACCATCCTCCCCATCGTCCTCATTCACGTCTCCTCCAAGCCTTCTCCTCTTGCTATTCTGATTACCATCACGCTTCAACCGCTCAACCGCCTTCGCAATCCCCATAACCTCATCCTCATCCCCATCCCTCTTCCGCTTCCTCCTCTGCTCTTCCTTCGCGAGAGTAGTCGCAGCCTGAACGAGTCTCTTATCCGCCAGCCGAAGCAGTTTGTCCACACGCTTGACGGCTGAGATGAACGGTGTACGGGCGGAGACGTAGACGATCTTCTGCTGAGTGGAGCTTGTATAAGGTGAGGGGATCGCAGGGTGGTGGAGAGGGCGTTTGTGGATTTTGGCGTCTATATCTCCTCTTAGCTCGGTCGATGTAGGGTTGTAGGTGTAGGGTTAGTTGTACTCGGTGGTAGCTTTGCTAGCTTCTTTTGCTGCGGTCGATGCTGCTTGCGCGATTGCGCCTGAGGTGCGCTCGGGACGTTCTGTTCCTTCTGCATCGCATCGATCTCATCGAAGTTCGTTATAGCAGCGAAGCTTCGTGGGTCAATGTGACCATCGAAACGCGGAAGATCACGCGAATTGCGGGTCCTCGTGCCTGCAGATCTGGGGTGCACTAGCCGTGGCTCTACCCCACATTGCCTTACCCTGCATGACCCATCCTCACGTCCCCCTACCACCTCGTCCTCTCCCGAAGCAATGCTCCTCCGCCACCTCCACCTCCCCACTCTAACCCCCTATACTCACGTTTCCACGCTGCAAGATCGTCTCGTCCGCAGCCTGCTCGCCCACAAAGCCTCTACCACTAACTTTACCAACACTCCGCCCAACCCAACCGTAATCACAGCCGAGTTCACACCCGTGTACACCTGCGGCCGAAGGGAAGTAGGCACGCTCTCAGCCCAACAAAAAGCCTACCTCACTGAGCAGACTACGTGGGGTCAAGCGGAATTCCACGAAGCGCTGAGAGGCGGACAAACGACTTTTCACGGGCCGGGACAATTGGTCGCTTATCCCATTCTGGATCTGAGAAGGCATGCGCTCACGCCTCGCTGTTGGGTGAATGCGCTGGAAGGGGCGGTGATAGCTACGTGTGCTGCATATGGTGTTGAGGCGGGGAGGACGGAGAACCCGGGGGTGTGGGTGCATGGGCAGGGACAGGAGGGAGGGGACGAGAGAAAGATCTGTGCGGTGGGCGTGCACTTGCGGAGGAACGTTACGAGCCATGGCATTGGGCTGAACGTGAGTACGGAGCTGGGCTGGTTTAGGAGGATCGTTGCGTGTGGGCTGGAAGGGAAGGGGACGACGAGTCTACAGGCGGAGATTGGGGATGTGAGACCGGTGCCTAGTGTGGAGGAGGTGGGCGGGATTTTCGTCGAGATGCTGGCAAGGAATCTCTACGGAGTCGACGGGGTTGAGCAAATCGACGAAGCAGATATCACAGCTTCCTCGCCCTCTTAGGACTCGGACTCCGCTCGCCTTCGTCCCCGAACCCAGCAGCGGGACTCAAGTCCACCACGCTGACCCTCACACCATACCCACCATCACTCCACCTCCCGTTCTCATCCCGAGCGTATGGCCGCCGAACCACCTTCTCGCACGCAGCAGCCTGCACTTGTGATCGTGAACGGCAGACGGGGAAGCTCATCACCACGCCGTTTGGATGGAAAGCCGGAGGAGCGCAGAAGGAGTCGTTCTGCGGCAGGGTCCAGAGGTGCGCGGCGGAATGGTTCGGCTGGGGTGGCAAGCTGACGCCTCCGTATCCAGACCCGAATGCGACTGCAGAGCTGCGAGCGGCCGTGTCCGTGAGCTCGAGCTTGGCGATGCCGGTAGAAACTGGTTCGAGAGTGGCGGAGGAGGCGTGCTGGGATCCCTCCGTGATCGTCTCCTGAAACGGAGTGTTAGCGTCTACGACAGCTATGCTGAGCAGATGGCGTCGGGACTATGATGGTGTGTACCTTCTCCTCGCCGCTCTGCTTCCGATCCCAGGTCGGTGCTCCTGCGTCCAGGCCTGCTGAAGAAGCCATGCCAGGCTTGGCGAGGTGTTTCAACGAAGCAGTGGCGAGGCGTTAGATGACTGCCTTCCCACGCGCAGACATGATGTATAAATGCCGATGGTGTCTTCAGCAGCGTATCTGAGCTGTGATGAAATTGGGAAAGTGTGCACAATATGGAATTGGGGGGCTGTGTGTGCGCTTACCATTCCCTGTTCGCTTGAGTGGACTGGGTGGGTTGAAGTGTTTCTTCCCGAAGAACCTTACATCACACGTCAACGCATCGCTGCTGCACGATTATATGGGTACCTTTTGAGGCTTGGGGATGCTCCAATATGTACGCAATGCGAAGCTACACATCTACAGCTGCGGCTTAGGCATGATATCCGGCACCGGTCCCAGCGGGACAACCTTACTGCGCGAGGCAGCCGCGTAGCCCGTCTTGATCTGTTCAAAACCCATCGTCAGTACTGAACAGCACACTGCGCTTCCGTTCACAAGGGACGCTTCACATACCGCCGCAAAGTCGGTCGTGCTCTTGAACGCTCCCCTTGTCTCCTTTGGAGACAGATCCCAGTAGATATGCAGCAGCCATTTGTGAAGGTTGGGGTAGTCGTGGCGGATCATCTTGAGGTTGCATTTGAAGAGGGTGTGGTAGCCGGGGTCGAAACGGACGATTGTGGTGTAGCTTCATGGATCAGAGTCAGTAGGGAGATGGATGGTAGACGGTAAGGGATGTGTGTGTGTATCTGTGTGTGTGGTAGTGCGACTTACAGCCTGATATCTGCTTCCGTCAGATGCTCGCCGAATATGAACGGGCCTTTGCTCTCGGACACGATCTTCTCCATCCGGTCGAGATTCTCGAAGAGCTTCTTGACATTCGTCTCGTAGGCGTCTTGGGCTTGCGCGAAACCTGTAGCTCATTGTCAGCCAGTATATACTATACCATTTCATTTGCGGTCGAGAGCTCACCAGTTTTGTACACGCCATTATTGATAGTGTCATAAACCCACTCATTCATCTCCTCAATCTGGCCCCTCAACTTCTCCGGCAACAACCCACCATCCGGCTTATTCACCTCCCTCAACTCCTCCGGCAAAAGCTCATCAAACTCCGAATACAACATCCGAATAATCTCCGAACTCTCATTATTGACCACCGTCTCCTTCTTCTTATCCCACAAACACGGCACCAGAATCCTACCCTCATACTCCGGCTCAGCCTTCAAATACAACTCCTTCAGCTTTGTAAAGCCATACAACGGGTCCTTGGGATCTGTGCCGGGCCGGTCGGGGTTGAAGATCCACCCGTCGGGTCCCATGGTGTAGTCCATTGTGACGAGTTGGATGATGGACTCGAGGCCTTTGAGCGAGCGGACGATGTTGGTGCGATGCGCCCAGGGGCAGCCGGTGTTGAGGTAGAGGACGTAGCGGTCTTTTTCGGGTGGGAAGGGGGAGTCGGGGCTGGAGGAGATGAAGGAGCGGAAGGCGGAGGCTTTGCGGCGGAAGTGGCCGTCTTTGTCCGCCACGTCCATGATGTCTTTCTTGTCCTTTTCGCTCGGGTTGGAGGTGGAGGGGTGGTCGTACTTTTTCGCGTCGCCGTTGGTGGTGGCCATGATGCTTGTGTTGTGGACAAGGGATGTGTCTTGCAATTTCGTGATACGAAAAGCGTTAAGGCGTTGAAGGAGCAATGGAGATGATCGAAGGATGTATGGAGATGTAAGGAAGAGAGCTAGCATGAGAACACAACCTGCCGTGATGTATGTAGACAATCTCGGCGTCATATAGCTCGCTGCATTCCGCGGTGCTGGCAGCTTACGGATCATGCTTTTACTCTGAACACGCTGCTTAATCAATACCTACATGCCCATATTCCACTACCTACAACACTCCCCAGATGGATGAGTAAGACACGGGTTACGTTGGAGATGGAGAGTGATGGATGTGGCCTGATCCGAGCCATTTGCGGAGCGAAGTTGGCCCGCATTCTAGCGAGGCCCCTCAATTATGCTGCCTGAGGATGGAGATGAACCTAAGGCTCGAAGAATCTTGGCAATCCCACTCCGGCCAAAACTTCGCGTAGCGCCGACGACATTGAAACGAGCAGGCGTCGCGGTAATATCACCATCTTCAACAACGCACATCCTCTTCGTCACCCACGACCACAATGAGTATGTTATACCGACGATATTGCGAGGGTCATAGAGGAGGTCACTGACCACAGCGCACAGCGAAGGGAACATCCAGCTTCGGCAAGCGCCACAACAAGACGCACGTTCTCTGCAGACGATGCGGTATGCGAACACCATATCCCACAAAATCCCGCCTCCCTTACTCCACCGATACTGACATTCAGCACAGGTAAACGATCCGCCCACGTCCAGAAGCACACCTGCTCCAACTGCGGATACCCAGCCGCGGGCACCAGAAAATGTACGATAAATCTCCCCATTACTCTGTGCACAATCTCGCGAGATCAGGAAGACTAACCGGTATCGCGATACACAGACAACTGGGGCGAGAAGGCGAAGAGGAGAAAGACGACCGGTAGCGGCCGCATGAGGACGCTCAAGACCATCCCACGCAAGGCGAAGAACGGATTCAGGACGGGCGCACCAAAGGGCTCGAGGGGACCGGCGACTCAGTCATAACCGAATGAAGGGGACGATTGTGCGGGCTCGGAGTTACGGGTGACTTTGTCGCACTGGGTTTGACGACTTCCGCTGTGGAGAGGTGCGGGAGTGTGAGCCGAGTAGCTACATAATGCATAGCGAAAGGTGAATGACACACATCATTGCAGAACAATTTCTGGCAGTCGCAGAGCCTACTCTGGTCCGCTTCCCGATGAAGACCTCGTCAGACGTCACGTGCTGCACGAGTCATACGTGAAGTGCAACAACCTGCGAACTCTACATGGACTCAATAGACTCAGGACTGTAAGACGCACCGGGACCTCATCATTCGTAGCGTTGCTGCCTGTCTAAGCCCAACTACATAAAAGTATCCACCCCACTAGCATACTGCTCAAAGATATCCAACGGGAACGCCCGCGCCATAACCTCATACCCCAACTGATTCGGATGCAAATAATCCCCGGAGTTATAAATCGGATTCAACTGCTCCGGGTTCGCCGGATCCCTAACCACGGCATCAAAATCAATCACCGCATCAAACTTCCCACTCGTGCGTATCCACGCATTGACCCGATCCCGCGTCGCCAAGCGCTCCGGCGTAGAGTAAGCCTGGATACTACTATTCGGCGCGCCGAACGGCGTGATCGTCGCCCCGAAGAAGGGGATCCCAAACGTATGCACCCGCGTGATCATCTGCTCGTAAGCTTGTATTATGCGATCGCCGGTGAGGGTCTGGTTGTACGTGGTATTATCCGCGGTACCAATGTCGTTCACGCCTTCGAAGATCATGGCGTACCGGATCCCGCTTTGCGCGAGCACGTCCCTGTCAATTCGGCCCAGGGCGTTGGGACCATTGCCATCCATGAGGATTCTGTTGCCGCCCGCGGCTTGGTTGGCGATGGCGATGTTGGAGGTCGGGGCGTAAGTCTGCATGCGGTTGAAGAGCAGATCCGGCCAGCGACCGTTGTAGTTGTTATAGCTCGCGCGGCCATCGGTGATACTGTCACCCACTATGGCGAAGGCGGAGCGTTGCGGCGGCATCCATCCCTCGAGCGCGGAGATGAAGAACCAATGGTACGTGCTCTGCGTGCTGGGGTCGGTCATGTTAGGAGCAAGAGTGTAGTCGCCAAAACTCATCCAGATCTGCGTGCGCGAGCCGGGGTGCGAGGTGATGTAATTGCTCGCTTGGCCGGTGGCGAGGTACATACTTACGGTTATGATCTGGCCGGCGGAGATGGGGAAGTTGATCGGGTCCGAGACGGCGAGGGCGGCGTTGGGGATGATGATGGATTGGTTGCCGGAGAAGGTCAGGGTTTGCGAGGTCGTGGTGTTGATGCCGCTGGCGCCGGTGAGGTTTTGCCCGGCTTCGGCGAGGGGGAGGGAGATGACGACTTTGGTTATGGGTAACTCGTTCAAACCGAAGGCGTTCGAGAGGCGGAGCCGGATCTGTTGCGCTGGCAGGCTGACGCGGAGGGTTTGGCGGATGGTGGAGTTGGGGAAGACGAGGTTGCTTTGGTTCTGGCGATCGCATATTAGGATGTCCGATGTGACTTATGCTCAAGCTCATGCAGCTTATCGTGGCCACTTACAAAGGGCGGTGGCGGCAGGTTTGCAAACTCCGTCAACTGCGGCATTGACGCCCATGTGTCCACCCACTGTCCATTGCGCGGATTCGGTGCGATTGTAGAACCAGAGGCATTCTGATTGTTGCTCGGAGGCTGACCCCAACTCGGTGGTCCCCAGCCAGCAGGACCCCAGCCCGGAGCAGCTAGGGCAGACGCTGCAAGCGTGAAGAGAGTGAGAGACTTGAAGATGCTGTCCATACTGGCTCGGAAAGCTCTTGCTGGAGACAGAGATGGTGCAAGAAAGTGTGAGAGAGTATAATCGATATATATTGACTCACATGCCTCGCCCACAAGGTGGCAGTTGACCCAAGGTGGTAGCTTAGCCTACGACATGCTCGACCTAGATGCAGTGCTGCTATTCGACATCCCGTCCGTCAAGATTATTCCTCCAAACAGACTGGGAGGATGAAGCAGTTCTTGCAAGGTGCCGAGAGGGGTACCTGACGATCAGTTCGCGTAGCATAGTATAGCGGCTAAATAGACCGTTCGGCTCTCCGGGTCGCTGCAGCGGTGAACGATGACGGCATGAGCAGCAAGGACGACAGGCGCAGTTTCGATGCCTCTTGTCAATAAGTTGAGGTTGTGCGATGGGCTTCCATGGTCACCAGTAGGGTAGTGGTTGGTTTCGGGTCGACGTAGTTGTAACAATGAATGAACATGAAGTGTTGTTCTGTCTCAAAGGAGGTTCGACCGAGGTAAAGTTGTACGTCAACATCGCTCTGTCATGGCATCGGCAGGATACTGTCTTGACAACAACAACTAAAGAAGAAATATGTGTGACTCTGTTATCTGCTGCAGGAGTTAATCCGAGGTCCAGACGAACACGAGCGGGCCCAAATAAGGTGGCGATTCCCCTGGCTGCAAGCTGCCCTTTCACGTCGACAATACAAGGTTTCGAGGTTGTGCTCATCTTCGAGCAAACGAGCCATGATCCCATTGCGGTGGTCTCCCACATGCGTGCAGAGGCAAATATAGCAGCTGCACATCCTCAAGGATTCGGAGATGCTGGCTTAGAAGGTGAAGCGTACCGAAAGTCAGCCATGAAGGTCTTCGGGGCATCTGCGGTGGGCGATAGACTCCCGTCTTTTATCTCTCCATAATTGCGTGTCATATCATACGGAGATTAGACCAATCGTAACACCGTTACGGTGTCCCTGCGATGTTCCTAGATGTATCACACGAAGGCAAGTCACCCACGGGCCGTTTATAAATGTTCACATTCACAATCGAAGCTTCCTAGTTGCGTCGACCCGCCAAACCATTGGTGTTTCTCTCGGACCATGCTACTTAATATTCCAGATCCGCGAGTCGATTCGAATCCCACAAGTTCGACAATTGCAACCGAGCAGTACAATTGCATTTGACGACTATAACAGCATTCCCACTTCATCTCAAACGCATCCAACAGCATCCAGCATGTTCAACGACACTGATGAGCCACCGATGAAGCGTCAGAAGACTGCGTCAGCCGAACAGTCTCCTGTTGACAGCACTATATCAAGGTAGGTCCGCGCACACCCAAGAGCTCTCTTCGCACTGACGTTCGCTCCCCCAAGAGGATGCCGGTGAGACGTTACGATGTTCGACGTTAACGTTGCCTCAACAGATCTCCAAAGGCCTCTTGTATGGGAGCCAACATTGTCGATGAGAGCAGCCCAAGTACGGGAGCTAGCCGCCTTACAGCACAGTCGCCATCTCCCGTCGACAGTCACTCAACCTCGACGGCAGCCGCATTGTCGACAGACCTACCAACCACGGCATCGACACACGATGAGTGCACAGAGCCTTCAAGCTTATGTAAAGACTCCCCTCGACCCACCAATTTCGCCCAACGTATCTCTAAAGCCAGTCGAACATGGACGCCACCAGCAGCAGCGTCCGGTCGACGACTTCCACCGATCTCGAACTTCGCCCTGTTGATGCAAACAGTCCCAAAGTCATCAAAAGCAGTCAATGAGAAGATGATATACTGCATCTGCAAAACCAAGTCCAGTACCATCAATTTGGCGAAGTGCATCCAGTGCTGCAACATCAACGTACGTAGCTTGGGTTTCGTCGTTGTAACCATCGTCGACAGATCAACAAGTTCACACACTAATGCGTCGTACAGTGCGGCAAATGGTTCCACCTCAAGTGCGTCGATCTACCGGAGTTTCCACAAGGCCGTTATGGCTGGTCGTGCGAAGAGTGCGACCCTGACGACAAGCATAACGGTTTATTCGTTGAGGGCGGCCGTGTGGATTATCATGGTGAGGACTACGATGGGAGACAGCCGTATTCGCTGTCGTTGCAACGGAGTTTGCGGAAGGGGGGTGTTAGCAAAGACAGCCGCAAACGAAAGGGGACTCTGCCGTCGTTGGAATGGCGGCGGGCCAAGACGGAATCTCGATGTTGAATCTCGATGGGAACCGCCTAATGTGTTCCTAGCATGCTGGAAAGTGTTTGCTTCTTGATATCCACAGTAGCACTGAATGAGTTTTAAGGCCTTCTTGAACGATCAATAGACAGGTCCTAAAGCGATCGCTCCCCTGAGCACACCATAGTAGCTTTGGATATGTTTTCGCTGGTTCTACTGTTGGGCTACCCGGTCAAAGGCCACAACGAGAGTAACCAAGATGTAAACGGGATGTCCAAAGACGACGCCTGAACATAACCAAGAGAGCTCTCTACGCCGCCCAATCCGCCTCAGTCCTAACATCTCCATCGACATCCAAAACTTTACCCCGATCCCACTCCCTGTCTTCGCCCTTCTTCCTCCACCGCACGTCCTCGGCATCCCTCTCACCTCCCTTCTCCCACCGTTTCGCTTCATCGTCAGTGAAACCAGCGGCCTTGAGTCGATCAGCGCCCTGCGTCCGCCACTTCGCACGGTCGCGCAAGGCCTCGAGCGCCATATCCCAGTCGTCAGCCTCGTCGCGATCTAGGCTCACGTCGGACTTGGGGTCGTAGCTGGGATCGAAATGGGCGTCCATTGCTGAGCTACTTGCGGATGCGGCACCTCGACCGCGAGCGCGTGATGCAGACGCTCTCCGTGGACCGATAACATCGTCCAAAGGGTCAGAGTCACGATCATCCTCGCTAATACTGCGTCTCGATTCTTTGGCCCCTATTCTGGGGATGTCGGAGCGTCGTGTGCGGTCGACCCTCCTGTCACACTGCTCAGAGTGTGCTTTGGGTCTTGACTTCTTCTGCTCGGTGGCGAGACCCGGTCGCGAGCGCACAGCCAAACCTCGATCTAGCTCGTCATCAGAGCGTTTGCGCTTGCGAACACCGACTTCTTGTGCCTCTGGCATCCTTACTGCCGCATTCGAGCGTCTGGACTGTCTAGCATGCGGGCGCTCTTCCTTCGAAACTTGACGATCGGACTGCTTGCCAAGTCCACCCAATATAGCTGCCCATCGACCCTCCCTCTCACCGCCCTTGCTCCGTTTACTCACGCCCTCTGCATGACCATCAGCCTCGCGAGCGCGCTTCCCCCGGCCAGCCTGCCGCTTAAGCTGCCGCAACCTTTCCCGAGCATCCTCTTCCTCCCTAGCCTTCAAAGCGGCATTATGGCGATCTGCTTCCTTGACTATGTTATGCAGAAACCGCGTGTTCGGTCTCGGCGCATCCCGATCTCTCGGCTTGTTGCTCAAAAGCGATCCCAATCCGGAAGTTACGTAGCGTTTCTTATTTCCTTCGGCATCTTGCTTCAGAAGATTGATCACGTAGTCGTCGTCGAGTACTTCTCCGAGAGGCATATTAGTGGGATACAGAAGAAAGAATGTCGGCCATGAAATATATCAACAGGATGCACTTGGACGATTGGAAGAAGGTCCAAGGCCGATGTAGAATGCGGAAACCACCGCCCCCGCCCCCACAGTTGCCTGACGCAGTTATTTCTCTACAACTCGTATGGCCAACCGTGAAAGGTAAACAGAGTAAACAGCGTCGTCTAGCAGACTTACTGAACGCTGTATTCGCTCATTGCCGCTGAGCAAGCAACGGAGACGAAGGCCTGAAGCAAGAAATTAACCACATATAACTTCAAGATGGTAGCCGACAATCTACGGCAACCACAACACCTAACAATCCTCTCCTTGGCCGAACCAATCCTCAATCCACCGTCTCCGTTGCAAAAGCGTGCCTCCGACGCATCAGATACTTCGAACCTCGCACATCCGAGACCCGCTCTTCTAGCGGCGGATCTCTCACACTATCGTGATCTATTCAGCAAGCTTCGCTTCTCATACGTTGAGCAAGTGACCAAGGAGCGCTTCCTCAAAGCGATCACAAGCAATCCACCAGAGTTCGTCGATGGAGGCGAAAACGCCGAGCTGGAAGGAAAGCTACGTGGCGATAAGGCTGCGCTGAAGGAGCGGAAAGAGGAAGTTCGAGTGTTGATTGGAGAGTTGGAGGAGCAAGGGAGGAGTCTGGCGCAGAGTAAGTGATTTGGAACAGATCGTGCTGTTCCCTCACTTTTGCTGACAGTCATCCAGGGTACGAGTTCATTCAGCTGCAGAATGAGCAGCTTGAGAGCCTACCGCAGGAAATCGAACGGCTGGAGACTACCATTTCCGCCTTGCGGTCCGCCCAAACAGGTGCTACAGGCAGACCGTCTCTTAACCTACCCTTACGGCCTACACTGGAGCTCCTGGAGGAAAGAGAACAGCAGCTCTCGGATCTCGACGCCCAGATAGCGGCATTGCAAGCCTCAATTTCGACTCGGAGAGAGGAAGTCGAGCAGCTGGAGGACGGACTCGCGCCGTTGCAGATGCGCAAGACGAAGGCTGTCCAGGAAGCCCAGGATGCCCGTAAGAGAAGAGCGATTGGTGCTGGCGGTATCGGTGATGACTTGGAGGAGAGGGGCCGATGGCTGAGAAGCGTCGACGCCGGGTTGAGGACTATGCTCGAGGTGTAATGTACCCGGCGTGCGACCGCTGGCCATGTTCTTCATGCCAGCACGCAAGCAACATTGCAGTCTCAAACACGCAGTCATTCCGAACGCCATCATTTTGATGTCGTCCTTGCAGCTAGCAGAGCATGTTCGCCAGACAGAAATTCCGGCGTCCAGCTAAGCTCAGATTGGAAAGCACGCTAGGCCGGAGACGGAAACAGATGGAGCGGGCATGTGAAGACGACATACCAGAGGTCTGGGCCGTCCAGCACACGCACCCAAGTTACGCAACGGTTTCCGATCAATATGGGAGGCCTACCCTTTGCAAACCTGTTGGCTCGTAAGAGCATCATGCGGGGTTGCAACAGACTTCCGCGGACTCCAAGATAAAAAGCCTCTTACCACCCACCAGTTTTACAACACCGTTCTCAATCCAACTTTCTTTGACCGTTACCCGTTCGGCTCATTAGAAACTCTACATCATGCCCGGAAAGACCCTTCTCATCCTAGGCTCCGGACCAGGTATCGGCGTCGCGGTCGGTCAAGTATTCAGCGTCCGCGGCTTCACACATATCGCCCTCGTCTCGCGCGATAGCAACCGTCTGAAGGAAGACCAGGACAAAGTCCTGGACGCCATCCAGGAGCGAGGTTACAGCTGCCAAGTCAAGACATGGGCCTGCGACCTCACCGACCTGAATGCGCTGAAAAGCCTACTGAACGAGATTGAGGACTTCGGATCGCTCGAATGTGTATTCTTCAACCCGGCTAGGGTGGCGGGTAAGCCGCCACTTGAGGAAAGCACGGAGATGATTCTGAAGGATTTCACGGTAAACTTGCTTGACATAAAGATGATACCACCCCGGCTAACAGATCATGCAAGCTTACCAACCTCGCACTTTACGAAACGGCCAAATGGGCGATCCCGCTCCTCAAGCAAGCATCATCCGACAGCTCGCCATCGTTCATCGTCACAAGCACCAACCAGCTCTGGAAAGAGCCTTTCCCAGACCTAGTCTCGTTGTCGATGGTGAAGTCCGCCCAACGCGCTTTGGTGCTATCTATCCACGCCAAGTTTGGCGAGGACGTACACGTTGCGCTGCTGAGTGTTGGTGGCGTCGTGTCGCCGGCGAAGAAGAACCTCAGTCCGATGAGTATTGCCGAGAGGTGCTATGAGCTGTACAAGCAGCCGAAGGGAAAGTGGGAGAGGGAGATTGAGATTACTGCCGCTGAAGGTGAGGAGGTCTCCTAGAACGGTTTCGGAAGTAGACAAGTTATGACCTAGCCGATTCCGCGCACGCGATGTAGCCTCAATTTGTATAGAGTAATAGAACGACTCGGACCATCATGCGTGGCGGCGGGGTCCTCTTGGCCGTCAAATGATGTGATTGGACCCGATGACGGAGCTCAACCCAAAGCCTCCACTATTTGCGAGTACTTCTCCGAGGTTCCATGTCGCAATTGTATCTCCAGGGCCGACTGATCTCTTCCTGCCACCGCTTAGGACGTTCTCTGTAGGGCAAACGGCTTGACATCTGTTCCCCATCTCGGCGTACTTCCAAAGTCCTTCGCGTGAGCGGCGCTTCCTAGCCTATGTAGCGTCCGACGTATTGGCGGTCGTCACGGTTGTAGGTTGTCAGTGGTCCGTATAAACTCACAAAGCGAGCGCCCAGCCTGGAGATACTGAGGTGGATTTGGCTGTCGGCTTAAGAAGGCCGTCAACTCCAACGATTGAAGTGTTCCGCTTTCACTTTCGCACTCCCTCACCCACCATCGTCCCCACCCCCATCGAATCCGCCACTACTCCCCAGCCCAACCCTAATATCCGCCACAATCCTCTCCGCCTCCTCGTGGCTCCCACACTCAAAGTCATACCTCTTCGTCTCCTTCTCTCTATACACCAACACCCGGATCATCTTCGGATGCTTCCGACTCACCTTCACACCCACAATACTCGTCATCGGCACGTTCGTCACCTTCCCTCCCTGCCCCACGGCGCCCTCTTCGCTCCCGGGTAGCGGGGCGGGCAGGATCTGCATGTACTCCGGCGTAATGACCAGCGTACGGGGGTGCGAGCCGGAGAAGGAGAGCGGGAGTTTGCGCTGCACTACGTAGCGCCGGCCGACGTCGGTAGGGGCTGCAAGGTCCAGTGTGGAGTTCTGGAGGGTTGTCGTGGTGATCGTGTTGCTGACGGTTGTGGTCAGAGGGTTGTGCATGGTCATGTTGAAGCCTTTGCGGCGGTAGAGACCTTTGCCGACTTCTTTCGCCGTGGGCGGAGTGTTTGGCACAAGCTCCAGAGGCGCATTTGGCGAGCTGGAGCCAGGACTTCCTGACAGGCCGAGACCGAAGTCGCCGACCGCGCCGAAGCGGCGACGCACGAGGTCCAGGTGGAGATTAGAGCCCAGGGCTTCGACCGTTCGGTCTGAGGGCGCTACCGTTTGCGTGCCGCGGACTTTGAACACGTAGAGGGCTTTGTCGAGCCGGAGACGGGCACAGGCAAGGTCGAAGAGTTCGGCAATGTAAGTGTCGGCTGTGGTGGAGAGGGGCAGGAGCGTGGTTTGGAAGGACTGCGGGTCTGTGAAGTGTACGGAGACGGTCTTCACCGGGCCCATGCGCGGTGTGCTCGTTGCGGTGGGCGCGGCGGGAAGGTCGAGGAGTTGCTGCGGGCCAGTGGAGTCCTTGCGGGACGCTGCATTGAGGGTGAAAGATGGGCCGGTGATAGGATTGCGAGACGGTATTGGCGTAGGTGCCACTTGTGGCTGGATGGACATTTCAGATGCTTGTCTCGTCGGTGCTGGCGGCGTCGGAACATCGGCTTGCTTGGTTGGGGCGGGCATCACGTCACCGTCCGATTCTGCTTCGTCAGCGCTCTCTGCTCGGACAAGGCCAAACTCGTCCCACGGCTTATCTCGCATTCTCCGCTGCGGTGGGCGATTATTGTTTGACGTGAAGTCAGTGACTGCCCTCGCCCGGCTAAGGGCCGGAAAGTCCATGTCTACCTCTCCGTCCTCGACCATCCTCAGCTCCCAGTTTTCCACCTTACTATCTTTGCCCTTCAACGGCGGCTCGTAGCCCTCCTCATCATACCGCCATAGCGCCAGTCCGATAAGTTCGTTGACAGTCGGGGCGCCACCTTCGGCATCCTTCACTCGCCGTAATGGCACTTCCAGCGCCTCGTCTTCCTGCTTTGACCATGGTGCGTAGATTTTGATCCACAAAGGCTGCGCTTCACCTTTGCCTGAAAGTCCAGCATACTTCTGATACGGCTTCTCCGCCGTGTTCGTACCGTCTTGTTGCTTGAACGCCATTGACAGCAGGCTTGAGAGCGGGACTGATGGCATTGGCTTCCCAGATGGCAGTCTCGGTAGCTTCGGCAAGCTATCTCTCGACTTCCTTGGTGACGGCTGGTGCGTGGGTGTGATAGCAGGTGGGACCTCAATCTGCGCCTTGGAAAGCTCTGCGGACGCCTGCAATGCTTCATCAATTGGCAGCACAGGCGACGGAGCGGCAATATCATCTCCCTCGAATTCGTCACTGAGATCGCTGGCTTCGGCTACCTCAACGTCTTCTTCATCCTCCTCAGCCTCTGCCACACCCTGGTCGTCCTGTTCACTTTCATCCGGCCCCTCTTCTGCGATCTTCTCTGACAACAGCGCACCTTGTTGCGGGCGATTGGACAACTTCTTGCCAAGCCTAGTCGTCGCCGCCGTACCCAATGCTTCGTTCTCCGAACTCATCTCGCTGCTCGTAGTCGTATCACGCCGTGGCCTCGTGCCAGTCTTTCCAGTCACCACGTTCAGCGCCTCCGATGCAGCCAGGCTGCTCGTCCTCGGCCCGTATGAGGGACTAATAACCTTCACCTCCGGCCCACCCTCGCTGTCCGTCTCCACCTCTGCCTCTGCCTCCACATCCCCTGGTCTCAAAGTGACTGTGCTCTCCCTGATCGGACTTGGACCTTCTCTTCTCCGTCGCATGGGCATCTTTGCAAATGTCACGCTCGCCACTCCCGTGACATCATCTTCATCGCTGTCATCGCTCAAGTCACTAGAGTCATCCTCTTCCAGATTCTGCCCTTGCACCTTCTTCCTCCGCCGCCTTTCCTTCTCCGTCAGCGCGCTGGGTCCTAAGGTGTCTTCGCTACCTCTATGCCCACTGATGAGTCCATTTTGCGTCTCCTCCGGGCTTTCCACAAGCTCGTGCCGTGAGCGGCTGGGCCGGTTGAAATAGTCCGCCGCGCCTGTAGTCGGTATGGGCGGGCTGTAGCACCGCTTTATGGCTGCCGTGTCCGGAAGCCAGCCAGCAGCGCGGAAGGCAGGTTCATTGAGAACGGCTGTGTTAAGACTGATTAGGCGCTCGCCGATGCCATCCGGCGCGTTGGTGAGATAGCCCAGGCGGAGACGGTAGAGTGTGAAGTCCTCGTTTAGTAGGAGAGACATCTTATTGTGAGGGAACCTTAGCCAGGCCTGCTGGCTATATCTTAGCTTACATGGTCGTGTCGAGGTTGTACAGAGGGTCAATGGTACCGAGACGTCGATGCTGGTAATGAGGTAAGCCGCTGATTAAGCCATTCATTGGGAAGGCACGCGAACTTCATTGACTTCGCGGCCATAGTCCGGCCGTGCTGTCATGAATGCCTACTTTCCAGCAGTGCGCAAACAGCTAGTATGTATGCTATCTGATAATCTATGCCTAAACCACTCTCGAGATTGGCATCGATTGCATTGATTAAAGTACCCGGGCTGCCGCGGGCATAAACACGTAGTAGGGGTGCTATGCAAGCTCTAAGGGATATGTATACCAAGTTGCCATATGCTGCTCCATTCGAATCAGATGCACTGCGCCGCGGTCCTGGATAAGTGATACGCTGTACCCAATCTGCTTTGCACACCGTCGCACGCCGGCACGCGGAGATTGGCGCCAATACCACTGCTTCCCATTTTGTGTCGCATGCAGTATGCTGATGTATGGCCCACCTGATGCCCTCGGCTTGCTACCACGGCTGCGAGCCATTCGTGAACCTTGAAACCATGACGCAGCCGAATGGACACCTACATTCTCCTCCCGAACGGATTGCGCGTGTTGCGCCTTGTGTTTTTAACCTCCATCACAACCGCGTCGGGCGAAGGTACTAAGTCCTATCATAAACGGGCGGAGGGCGTCCATGAGGGCGCGGGAGCAGTACCAGGGTAAGATGGGCGGCGAAGGACGTCCACGACGACCGGAGGGTTGCGCTAGGGCTAGATCGGCAGGCGAAGGAGGCTCATGAGGGTATGATGATGGCCTGGGAGCTCGATGGCCTGGCAATGAGCTTGAATTGGCGTCCTGAGATTCGTCAGCTCCTACCAGAGCGGGCTTCATAGCCACGCTCCCCGGCCAATTGCACCGCAACAGACATGTATCTGTCCCAGGAGGTGCTATGGTGAGGCCCAGCTATCTGGAGATAACCTTTGAGAGCGTGATATTGAGACAACAATGTGAAGTCTTTGGCTGCTGTGGTGACATTATGCTTCTACACAGCGCTTTGAACGCTCAAAACCCGCTTCTCCCGACTGCGCAACAAGCGGACAAGACGGCTAGAATGCCGCAGAATGGCGGCGCGTCGTCTGCTGTGCCGGTGATGGTGATGGTGGTGGTCGAGGAGGAGGCGAGGGCGCGCGCCATTTCTGGGTCGTTATCAGTCATCTTGCCTATGAACATGACTGGAGAGCGGTCTTCGGCATGCAGAGCCATCTATCTTACCTCGTCGACTGCCTCGAAGCCCTCAAACCGACCCGAGTGACACTCCGATTTCCACCTCAGAGTTCGTGGCTTGCAGACGCACGGCGGCGTCCAGTCTTTGCTCACAACGAAGCAGTGCCAGCAACGAGCGTTTGCGCTGGCCATGGTGCTGTTGCTGTTGCTGTTGCTGTTGCTGTTGTTGCTGTAATGTAGGGTGAATGATGACTTCTTCAGCAGTGATTGAGCTGGAATGTTCGTGCGTTGCTGCTGAATCTCACGCTCTCGGAAAATCACATTGGAGGAAAAGATGATGCAACGCGCACAAAAGGGAATTGTTGAGCACACGCACTTGCCTGGTGATTATGATGGCAAATGACATATCTCAGACTTGACGAGCCTACACTCTCTCCTCGATTTCGGAGACAGTGACCATCCGAGCATTTGCATGCCATCATGTGGTTCAGAGAACGAACGGTCAGCTTTAGAGATACCAGGCGTTATACGAAGAAAAAGCAAAAACCTAGTCACCCTGCAGGAGGGGCCCCAGGAGGTAACTGTCAACCTATCCGACTCTGTGATACGAAGTGTTAGTATGAAATTGCAACGATCTATGAAGTGTCAGCGGGCAGGCGGGCAGGCAGCGGCAATTCCTCCTCTTTCTGTCTTTCTTCTACGTAGAGTAAGTGTTAGTAAATCCGGTCGGTCGAGAATCCCTACGTAGAAGATATGTTAGCGAACGAGGGATCCACAAGCGACCTAAGATGTATAGTAAAGAACCCCTCTGCCGAGAAAGACCCGACGGCAGCACTGCTTGCAGCCCGGTATACTGTTATCTTCGCTCACGACAAGCGCAAAGAAACACTATTAAAATCAGTGGGATCCTCTATAGCATTAGTAGAATCTCATCAGAGCGAACAAGCGTGTTCGCATGGTGTGGTTGCCTTTACGGTGCCCTTCGTGGCAGCAGACTTGTCCACAAGCGAGCCAAGCTGAGAGCCCCTGATGGCTAGCTTCAAAGCCGAGCCGCCATCGTCAAGAGAACAAGCCAGCCAAGTTGCAGGCTTGACTAGTCTTCGCGTATGATATTGTGGTCGAAAGATGAACAGCTGACAGCCCAGTGATGCCGTTACGCTCGGCTTGCTTTGCTCGATCGCTGATATGTCCGGATTGCAGCAAAATGATCTGTTTGCCCAGTCGCTCAGACTCACGGCATGCTTGCGTCGCTATGCCTTTGCAACGCATGTCTGTCGCTGCACACAGTATCATTTCGACCAGCAAAACACGACCGTACCGACAAGGGGCAAAAAAGTGTTTTCCATCACCTGTACTGTAACAACCTGTTTGATCGCAGGAGTTGATCGATCTCCTGTGAATCTCATTAACGTCTTCTTTCAACAAGGAATCAATGAAATCTATCTAGTCTATCTAAAGCAGCAGTCAGGCAGGCAGTCAGGCAGGCAGGCAGGCAGGCAGGCAGGCAGCGGTTGTCGGATTTCCTACGTAGAAGATATGTTAGTACGTCGAACTCCAGGTCGACAGAACAATTTATAGACAAAACCCCTTGCCGACAAAGTCCCGCTCAATTCTACCAATCAGAAGGCCAGGATGGCGCGTAAGGGACCGATTGGGATGTAAGCCTCACAGCATGGGCTTCCACTATGCTCATATCGTGGTCGACGGTGAGGTCTGTCCAGCAATGCAACCATATGAAGTTGTTTTCCGTCGATCACGCTACAATCTCCATACAATATCGTCGTGTTTAAGCGAACAAGCATTGAGTTATCGCATTATGAAGGTAGACCTTTTGCCAGCAGGCAGCCCGCCAAGCGTAGCATCTCAAGGCTACCACTGCGCCGCAACCGTGTCAAAATTTACAGAACAGTGTGCATTGCACGAAACCAGCGTAAGTTGCCTATGCATGCCACGCGCTACGATCTCCAGTTCTCAACATCCCGAACAGATGGTTGGTTGGTGAGATCTGGCGTAGCGATGAGCAATCCGCAGAATTTGGCTCAGCGTCTCAGTGCCAAGAGCTCGGACGAGTCAATGCGGTGTTACGGTCGCAATATCCTCTTTCGCAGCAGAGCAGACGCATCGCAAGAAGCGTACCATCTCGAAGAAACCACCACGCGCAGCACCCAAACGCCAGCAGCCCGCCAAAGCGAGCACAATGGACCAGGGGCAAGAATCGCGCCAGCAGGCTTGCACATGGCTAGGATCAGCGCGCCACGGCATACAGACGGCCATAGACTACATTGACGATGCACAGACAGGCTTCTGGCGGGCCATGGTTGGCTACAATCGAGCCGTTCAACGTCAGAACGGCAACGAAGCGACGGCAAAGTGGGTTGAAGTCCACGTGGAACTGGCAAGGATGACAGCAGACGCCGAGGTGCTGCTAAAGTGCCAGCGCTTGGCTGGAGTGGCCTCGCAGTTGCTTGAGCTCGTAAACGGCCCTGAATAGCGCGATGATGATGGGACAGAAGTGGATGGAGAAGCCGTGGGCGTGGGAAAGCCTGCTGGCAATATGGCGGCGAGGCAGCAGTTGAGTGGCAGGGGTGAGCGTAGGCAAGGCGGTGGGAGGGTGGTGGATACGGATTCTCTGTGTGATAGCATCCTCATCCAGGCCGTCGCTTTATGACATGCCCCCACTTCTGCATCAGCTTCCGTGTTGGTTTCTTGCTGCTTCGGGTGGCTGGCGCTGGACTGAAAGGCAGCTATAAGTAGGCATATGCGGACGCAATAGCGCTCCCCGGAGCTGTTGTATAAACTGGGAGATGTTGTTTTTTGTTTGAGGCTGCATCTGATGAGGTTGCACACGTCCGTCTAGCTGCTAGCAAGCATACTTCCCATGATGAATGACGTGGTAATAAGGTGGTGCATTGTCACAACTACGCTCCTGTGGTCCCCTAAATTGGTTCTGCGAGGTACGGTATACGTTCACTCATACCAGTGGTGAGGGTACGAGGCGAATACGATCACAGCAACAAGCCATTGTACGGGCTCAGAATGCATGCTGCGTGAGAGCTGGATTGGTGTTGGTATGCTTGCTGTGATAGCGGACGCAAACAACTACCTTGTGGGTAAAGCCGCTTGTTGCTCGGCAAAGCCCCATTGCACACACCTGCGAGCGCAGCTCCAAACACAATAGCGAGGACTGAGCCAGTGTTGAGGACATTCAATATCATGCAGACAACTGTAGCGATGGAGGAGTGGCGAAAATTCCGTAGGCAGCATCAACTGCGGCCCACCTTCGCTTGAGCGTGCACAACAAGCATGCCAGCACCGGAGCGTAGCACTACAGCGCGGCAGCACTGTCTCAGACTCTAATGTTGCCAGCATTATGAAGCACTGGCGGTAAGAGGAGGCAGCGATACGGCAGACCTCCGCCAGAATTATATCCGACAACGGGTGTCCGAAGGGGTACGGCAGCTGAGAGCGTCTGACCGACCATCACTCTGCTGTGGCGTCCCGCACACCGCATATTTCACGGTTCCGAAGAAGCAGAAAGACATATCGACCGGGCTTGTCACATACTATACTCCAGGCCACAAAGCTTCAGAGTCGCAGGTGGTAGCCCGCAACACTTCAGCTGCATTGATGAACTGGAGGCAACGTGGTACAAAGCTTCAGCATTGCAAGATTACTTAGGCGCATGCTGAGGCTGGCCGCCAACGAGCACCGACAGTAGAGATTCGGCGAGGCCACTGCCAAGGGTTGGCGCCTATGTCCAGGTCCAGTTCCAGGTCCGGCTCCAGCTCCTGTAGGTGTCCAGGACCCATGGCCACACCTACCAGTACACCGACTGGCAAGTATGACCCTATCTCCAGAGTCGCCCAGCTCCCGACTCCGCGTGGCCATACCAACCGGCACGCCGACCGGCAGGTATGGCTCAACTCAACGCTGCTCCTGCTCGAACCTCAACAGCCACGCCCGCAGGCGCGCCGACCTGCAGGCATGGCTCAGTCATGGTGGTATGTTATCGTCGACAGTGCCAGCGCTCAAGCTGCTGTGTCAAGATCCATGACCGTCCGAAACTAAGCGCCGAACGGGCACGGACACATCGTGCGCATAGTGTAACCGCAAACAACGTGGACATCCAGGCTGCTGAAGCTGCTCCGCGACTCTGATCTATGCTGCCCTTCGTTGCCGAAGCTGCCGGTATACGGTAAGCCCGCCTCGGTCTGGTGATGGGAAAGGCAACGCCAGTGTGTCCACCTAGTCAGTGCGACTACGGTAGCCTGCCCGGCTACGGTGGCCTCCGTTCCACCTCTACGGTGACCTCCATGTTTGATGCGGCCTTCGTCTTCACGTTGGCATCTGGTATCAATTACGAACACTTCATCCTTTACCCAGCCAGGACCCTGGGTGGTAGGACTGTTAAAGGCAAGTGCTTTGTCAGGTTATCACCAGCGTTCATGCGATCAATGTGGTCTATGTCGCAAACGCCAGGATCGAGCCGTTGGTAGTCATCGTTCGTATGGCCATACGGGTAGCCGCACTGTGGGTACGGCACGATCGACAGAGTGTTGCATGGCGCACAACGCTCGTGTTACCCTTGTGGCATACTGCGAGCCCTCAATCTAAGTGACTGCGGTCGCCTGCAGCGCTCAACTGGGATCGGCTAACCAACCGTGTGGAGCCAGCATACTCGGAAGCTCGTTCAGCAGGACGGTTCAGTGGGCTTCTCTACTGAGGCCGTCGAGTCTGCTATGCAACGCCAGCTGTAGCTACCAAGCTGTAGCGGCTAGAGTTTGACGTTGGACTGGCCGCTAGCCAGTATCTAACAACTCTCCTGTTATTTTTGCGCGGCAGCTCGCCCACCACATTCATGCGCTTTTCCTGTTCATGATGCGGCCCTTCACCATCCGCGAGGTGGTTGCCGTACGTCGATACCGCTTTACGTTGCCTTGGGCGTACTAAGTGGTAGCAGCAGCGGCTGGTGTATATGTGTGGCACCAGTTTAGCTGATCGCGATGTTGACCGGCTCGCCTGCTTGGGAGCGTTGCAAGTGAACGAAATCTGGCGTCTATCGATGCGCTGGGGGGTTTTGTGATTGCACCCATCAACGGCGTTGCGCTGTCCGATGCGACACGGAGACGGAACCTTGTGACAATGAATGAGGCCCAGCAGCCAGCGGCAAGTAGTGAGCAGCCTCCGGCAATGAATTATCTCGTGACGACGTTGCGCTGTTCGAGGGGACGTAGTGCTACCGACAAAGGTCCGCAGCCACTAGAGTTCAACATTCTCATGGATATCGCCAAGTACATGTGCAGCTATGCGCGGTTCCATTCCTTGCAGGAAAGGAGGAAATGCTAGCGCAACATAGCAAGCGTTGCAAGGAACGCCTTCTGCAGTGGTAAGCAACAGTTGCCCGCCGCGGCGAAAGCCAAGCACGACTCGGACTCGGTTCCGGCAGCAAGTACCAAGGTACCTCACTTGACGCCTTCACGACGACGTAAGGGCTATAGGAGTCGCTTTTCGCACGATACCGACCACCATTCGACCGTGCTGCGCACATCTACCGTTCCAGGGACAGTGAACTATGCCTGTAGCGTCCCACGTCGGCACTGTAGCCTGCACGCGGCACCTCAACGCCTAAAACCGCAAGATGGCGGAAGCCGCACGAGCTGCTTGACGGCAAGTTAAGGAAGGTTGTAATAATCGAAGAGATCGAAACATGGCTTTTGTTCTCACTGCAGTCGGTCTGGACGCATAGCCGGCCCTTCGCAGCAACCTGGCCTCTAATAACTCCCAACACCACGCCTTCAGCGGCAGGCCCTGGCTGAGCAGGATTACACACTTCTGGCGACAGCCTGACCATATCGGGCACGTCTTTGAAACTCCACGCAAGGATGGCTACGTGACTTGCGGTGCATCATGTATTCAACCGTGCATACCGGAGCATTTACCATGCGTTTTTGCAGCGTAAGATCCCGTTAGCATATTAAGCTTTCTAGGTAGGATCTCCCATTCCGCAAGACGCAAGTCATCCTACCGCAGTGCTCGAGCGATCAAGACCTCCACTTCATCGACGTTTAGTAGAAGCAAGCAACCTTCGCCCTTATAGCATATCTCACGTAAGGTAGGGTTGATAAACAGTGTCTACAACATCCCAATATTCTACCTACCTACTACTAAGTATCTAGAATTCTCGAGGACGTGCGACAGTAACGAAAGGTCGAAACCAATGCGATTTCTGATCTACCAGCTTCCCAATGATAATATCGTGGGGACGGATGCGATGCTTGAGGTCAGTAGCAAGGGTAGGATTGCCATGATCTTCCAGCACAGCTGTAGCGAGCCCGGATTGCAGGAATAGACCACAGAGTATCGGGGTTCAGGCTGAGGATACATCACTATGTTCAAGAAATCCGAACGAGACATGCCCTGTCCGTGGACATCGAAAACGAGACGGGACACCAAGATGGGGAACCTGACTTTTGGATGACACTAGAGCACGAGTCATCAGTCCGGCAGTCCTATCATCGAACATCCGCATGATACGTTCGTATTCGTGAGGCCGTTCGAGCCGATTGTCCACCAAACCTTGAAGCCTGACATAATTTGGGGAATCCGAACTCAGGATTCGTACAAGTATCATAGCCAGCAAGCAGTTCGCAAGGGGGACATCACAGGCCAGAAGTAGCACCTCCGTCAGAGTCACAAGGGACGTTCTGATGAGTCGCATAGCCGTGCCGCATGCGGTTGCCACTGACAGTCCGAACTTCCGAAAACCCGACGTCTCGGATTTGCAGGGAAAAGGAAATCTACTACCAAGGTGGCCTTAAAGTTCTGTCTGCAGGGCTAGAGAGGTAGAAGGGCAATGCGACTAATCCAACTGACTATGACAAGATGTCTATTCGGAAAGCTGCGCTAAAGGCGGCACATTGGATATGCGTTGTAGCTTACAGTTAGCGCAACCAAATGACAGCACCTCGCCATACCCCCAAGAATATCTACCCCAGCGCCGTGCTAATCTGACATCACGCACCAATCTCCAACCCGTATATACACGCTGCGTATCCGCAACAATCTAGCAGTCACCCGCTCAGCCCCTCCACTCCTCCACAACCGTCTCCCTCCCCTCCTTGCCACTGGCCTCACACTTGAACAAATTCACATGTCCATCGTTAACAGCGCCACAAGCCATCATCAACCGGTGCGGATGAAACGCCGTCGCCGTAATGGGAGCATTGCGCGGCACATTCGCCAATCGCAGGTAACTCATATACGGCTCAAAGGTGGACAACTGCTTGAGATCGGTGGTGTTGTACACTCGAATCGTATGATCCGCGCCGCCTGTTGCGAACACGGGGGCGTGTTCGTGTACGGCGAGTGTCCGCAGTTGTCTTGGCTGGCTTCGGGAGGAAGGCGGGTTGAGTGCGGCGACTGCTTTGCGCATGCGGATGTCCCAGAGCCGAATCCCGCCGTTAGACTCGGCGGAGATCAGCTCGCGCATACCGCCGCGCTGAAGGTGTACGCCAACGATCCAAGAGCGATGGTCTGTTTTACGGTCAACCCAGTCCATGATCATGCTTTCCCTGGGTGCCAGTCGCTGGTCGTAAGCGCGCAAGGAGCCATTGCCGAATCCGGCGATGAAGACATTGCCTTCGACCTGGTCAGAGGTTAAGCTCGTAATGCAGGAGCCCGATCGAGCAGGGATGTCGACAATGCAGAGTTCGTGTCCTGCTTGCCAGACACGAATCACCCGGTCATCACCTGCCACCAAGATACGACCTTGGCCTTGCTGCCAGTCGAACACCAAGCCCGCGTTCTGTCGGTCGCTCAGCACTAGGTCAGAGAGGGCGCGGAAACTGCTCGCTAGCTCGATGTGCTTAACATCGTCGTAACAGCGGAAGATCTTGATCACGCCATCGCTCGAACCCGTCATGAGCATAGCCTGATCATCCTCATTGATAAACCGCACCTCCGTCACACGGCTACCAGCCGGGTTTCCATTCGAGAAACGAGCAAGTTGCGTCGCCTCCTTCCAGTCCCACACAGCAATACTGTCCCGATCATCGCTGGTGACGAGATGGTTCTCGAACTGGTGAAACACCATCTTCACCGGCGCCGCCCCGATCCCGAAGTACCCGCATGGTACATCCCACCGCTGACTCCCCGCAGCGTCCTTAAGCGGCTGCGTAGACGCGATGATCTTGTCGTTGCGGTTGCGACGCCAGAGGCGCTCGTTGTAGTCCAGACTGCCTGGCTCATCCGCCTCTGAGGGTCGCATCTGCGGTTCGCGGAAGTACGAGGTTGACCAGGCGAAGAAGTTAGACTGTAGTGGTATGGTAGGCGGTTGGCTAACGTCGCGGTCCACGTAGTACGGAGACGGTGGGACTTTGGCTTTAGGCTGATGAGGCGGACCATTGATGTGGTGGTCGAGAGCGTCTGGAGGAAGCATAGCGGCATCGCCGGGAGTCAGTGGCCGGCTCCTATACGGCACCGATCCGGCGCCGCTGATGGAACCTCGGTGGGAGCGCGTGGGTGACGGTGGCTCTGTGGGCGTTTTGGCGCCGGTGAACCAGTTTTTCATGGCTGCCGCCACGCTTGCGGTGCGACTGAGCGGTTGAGCAAAGTAGCCATCAACAGGCCTGCTCGCCGTACTGGCCGCGGGCGAGGGTGGCGTCTGCGGTCTCGAGTCTCGGCTCCTTTGCCTGCTGAGTCCGTCCATCCCAGAGAGTGCGGCATGATCCCGCTTTAGACCCAGTAAAATAATCTCATCTAGAATCTGGTTCGCATGGACACCGAGTGGTGAGTCGAGCAACGCTCCAATCACGTAATCGACGACAATCGATGCGTTCCTTGCAACCTCCGGATGCGGATCCGCGGACATGGAAAGGATCTGCCGCCAGATCGCACGGTAGATCGTCTTCTTGCTCAACGTCCGCGTCGGCTTACCATTCACTTCCACCTCGCCACCTGGCGTCGACCTGCCAAAGGATACAGTGCGCTGTCGCCTTCTGCCTTCGCCGCCATCGTACCCATTCGCGCCATGACATTCGGGCTGGCCGTCTTCGTCAATACCATCCGGATGCAGGCCAGAATCGTCTTCCGCGCCAGTACGCTTATCTCGCTCCTCAAGCAGCTGCTCCCACGCAGCGACAATGATGCGGTTCTCATACTTCTTGATGAATGTCGAGTAAAACACCGTCAGCTGCTTCCGCACCATGATGCTACCATCCATGCCCATCGCCACAACCACACTCGCCATCGTCTCCTCCTCGAGCTGGATCGCTGCATCGATCGGCTCGCCCATACCCGTACACACGAAGCTCGTCAACGCGTCCAGACACGCGCAGCGCACTTCAGGAACAGGGTCGTGGCTTCGATCTCGAATCCTCGCGTGTGCTTGCGCAGCCATGCCGGCCTTTTTCGCCGGTTCGAAGTCCCGCCACAGATTACTAATGCAGAAGCAGGACCATTGACGAAGAAGCGGGTTTTCCATGTCTAATAGATGGTGCAGACACCCCTCGATGATCTCCGGGTTCGTATCAAGCACCGCCTGCTTCGCGGGCCGAAAGTCCCGGCAGAACATGGAGATGACGAAAGCGCACATCGCGCGATGCTCAGCAACGTTACCGAGCGGAATGCCGGTAGCTGAATTAAGGATAGAGGTGAAGTAAGTGTAGCCGTTGTCTTTGAGGAGGTCAGACTGACAGCTCTGATCGACTGCGAGGATGCGTGCCCAAATGAACACCATGGGCGGCTTGAGTTCCAGTGCTTGTGATTGCAGGAGCTTGAGAACGTATGGGAAAATGCCGATGCTGAGGGCAAGATTGACCGCCCACGGACCGAGATCGAGGAATTTGCTGAGGAGGATGAGTGCGCGGAGGCGGTGGACTTGCGAAAGCAGGACTTGCAGCACGATCGGGAGCTGTTCGGGTGGCTTGGCGTAGCCGGATGAGGATGTCGAGGCGGGCGCTGAGGCAAGGTAGACTTCGAATGCGGAGAGCTGATCGGCGAAGAAGTCCGAATGCTGGTACTCAAGCTCTGCCACGGGCTGCGCTGGAGGCGGTGGTGCCTGCTGCTGTTGGTTTGACTGGCCTTGCTGAGGTGCTGACGGCCCACCGTTGGCTGGCAAGGCCGCTAGCGGCGGTGCTTCCGGGACTGGTTCGCTCGCCTTTTGCTGCTCGAGGAGCTTCGGCACCTGATTTAGTATGCCATCGACTGCAGCGTCCCAACTGCGCCATAGCGGATGGTTGTGGGTCTCCGGTATCTGCGGCCAGGATTGTGGATGGCAGTGGTACTGGCGCATGACCCTTTGCGCGAGCAAGAAGTTCCGGAATAGCGCCGCGACCATGAGATCCTGCCTGAACAGCTTCTTGAAGAGTGGTGGGGGTAGGGAATTCCATGCAATTGTGTCGGTAATGGCTGTAAAGATCCAATTCAGCTCTCCAAGAGGCGTTCGACGCTCGGACACTTTGCCAGGAATGTTGCGCGCGGTGTCCAATGTAATGGCCGAATTTAGTGGAAGCGGATTCTGTAGGATGAAGAAGCGAACCGCCATTATTATTGGCGTCGTCAAACAACTTGTGAAGATGTCCGCGGGTAGATCTGGGTTGGTCGGCAGCACTTCGCTCTCCTTGCAGGCAGCCAAGTGGATGCAGTCGTCCCATTTGATAAGTGGCTGCTGCGCACGCGCCGGATCACGCTTCAGCGCTTCATCTTGGTTCGCATCGTGGCGCTTAGCGCCGTCAAGGAAGCCTTTAATGATACCGCCAGACGCACTGCAGTCCCATACCCACAGACCAGGCGCACCGACCCATTCTTGCAGGTCATACAGACTGATAGGGATGTATTGCGTGTAGCTGCGGTTGAAGCACCACACCTCTCCACTCGCTGTAGGCTTCGGCACGCCGTGTCCGTTGTAATGGAAGAGTATCCGCTCGGCATGCGCCGATCTACGCAGACTGGTAGTATAACGCCGGAGCTCTTCGATGGTCGGATCAAGGATCACTCTGTACCGAGTCCTCAAACTCAGGTTCTCGTATTGACTCTGCAGGTTCTTACCAATCTGCGCATTGCTAGTGTTGGTGGAATTCTGCTGCGTGGTGCTATCAGGCGGTATGGGGTCCACCCAACACTCGAGGCGCGCACATGGGTTAGTCTTGATGACATCCGGTGGGTCGACGCCGACGTTCAGGCAAACGGCGAGGATGGCGGAGATGGTCTTCAAGCGATCCTTCATCCGCCACTCTCCCACAAGCACTTTCGGGTCATAGTCGGAGGGCAGGTTGCCGGCAGTCTCGTGACGCTTGTCTTCAAAGTACATGAAGAAGGTCTGACTGAGTAAGGTCGCGTGCTCCTTGTCCTTCAATTGAGCCTCCCACCCGTGTCGCATTCGGAAGTTGCGATGCTGACTGCCACCGCCCTCCTCCGCGCCCTCCTGCCCGCCATGCCTACGGTCAGAACTTACCTCACTCTTTGCTCGCAACAGTTTCGGAGGCCGTGACGCTGCACCATTTGCTCGGAGCATGTGCAAGCCTTCATCGCCGTCGTCCGAGTGTTCCCCATCATCATCTTGGCGGTTGCTTGGAGGAAATGTCTGCGACTGAGCTCGGGGGCGCAGGGTGAGTGGCTCCGCTTCCGTATGCGCCGGGAACTGAATGTCGACTACGGGCTGTGGATGCTTTGATCGATGGCCTTCAACTTCCTGCGGCAAGATGCCGTTCGTGGCACCTCGGGTCATGGTTGGTCTCGTTGAGCTGAGCGCGCACGCATTGTCGCTTTCGACGCTCGGTTTTATCTCATCGCAGTAAAGACAGTACGGTTTTGGGTGTACGCGCTTGGAACTACCGCAGGTCAGTCCGCGATGAGAAAGATCGCTTAGGCTTAGGGCGGCGGCTGCCGGCACTAGGATCAAGCAGCCGAGAGTCTATGTCGCGTGACACGGACGTGCGGAGGCCATCCGGTCACTCGTTCCGTTACCCGCAAACGGCGATGAGGCCGAGCAATACAACACGAAGAGGACACGAAGGCGGAGGCGATCAGTGGTGAGAGGTTACTGCATCTTGGGTGCTACAAACGCAGGCCGCTCCGACTATTACATGGGCTTACTATTGCTGCAGTACTCGGACAAGTATCCGATCTGGGGTAAACGATCTGTCGTCCTCGCTCATGGTATCCAATCAAAGGCATTCCCATGGTTTACAGAAACAAGCGACTGGTGAGGCGATCGTGACTTCCGCTGCGCAGTCGAGGACTGTCACGATGCTGTTGTGTTGTTGTTGGAAAGCGGCGACTTGTCACCAAGGCGGTGCTTTGCATCAATTACGGTACGTGTACCTTGCACAAAGCTGTTAATGGTAGGGATTCGGCAGCCGTATGATGCCTGTTACTAGTAAGTAGTCTGCCGAGGACTCCCTCAAGCTTTCGATGGTAGATACTACAGCCTACTGTTTGAAGTCATCTCTGGCCGCAGATACGTCGGACTCGTATCTTTAGCCCATGTCGAGTACATGTACTCGGCTGTAATGGCATGGTACATGTGGGCGGGATTGAAAGACGACATGTTGGCTTGGATATGTTTCTAGCGTCGTTCGAGCGTTGCACTAAGCCAACCCAATCACAGCGGGGCGTCGGAAGCCCCTGATTCTCCCATCTTTGATCTTCGCGCACTGTCCGGGTCAGTGCCCAAGTTTTGTCGAGACGAAACGGTCGTACCCTCGGCGCACATTTAGCACGCGTTCACTGTCAACACCCCAATCGCGACTCCGGAGTGTGTTTTGTGTGTGGAAGTGGAAGAGCGAGAGCGTTGGGGAGAAATTAGCAGTCGCCATCATCGATTCATTAACATTGGATCCTGCAGGAGGTCGGGGCCTTGAGACATTGGGTCGACCGCATTCTTTTTGTCCCCCCAGCCTCCGTGCGGCCATCACCCACGCCGGACTCATACTGCGACACGACTCGACAATTAGTCGCATCCAAGGCTGGCATCTTGGCTGGATGACTGTACACTAGCCACAGTCGTAATTATCCGCTCGCGCACACTGCCACCCGCGGTGCGCATTGCGACGCGACGCCTTCGCATTGGGGACATCGACCAACCAAGCATAGAGGTACAACATGTCGTTCCTCTTCAAGAACAAGCAGAAAGGGCAGATGCCGCCGAACGCTCTTCCACCCGCGAGCCGAGACCTCAGGAGCAGCGACGGGCATAATTCGCCCACGCCCGGGCCCACGCTCAATGGCGCCATGAATGGCGGCTCGAAGCCGGGGTCGCCGGTACCACACCAGCATAGCAGCGTGAATAACAGTTTGGCTTCGCTCGCCGATACTGCCAGGAGTAGCAGTGCTCCGCCGCAAGAGGAAGTGGTGCGGCAGCAGTACCCGAAGCAGCAGCAGCAAGATGGTGCGAGCGTGCGAACGGGTCCTCCGAGTCCGGAACAGAAGAACTTGCGCGAAAGTCGAGAAACGGTATGGAATAGCACAGGCGCGGTTGCCTCTGCAATGGTGCTAGAACGAAGAGCTAACGGGTCATCTGTACAGCAGCTTTCGCAACGCTCGCAACTATCGATGCGTGTGCCCCCGGCAGATTCCTCGCCATACCCGTGGTCGCAGAAACGTCTCGCTTTCACTGTGTCGCATACGAATCCATTCCCACGCTACGGCGCAGCAGTCAACGCAACGTCCAGCAAAGACGGCGGGATCTATCTCATGGGCGGCCTGATCAATGGTAGTACCGTGAAAGGCGACCTCTGGATGGTGGAAGCCGGCCTGCAGAACATCATGGGAGCTTCCGCCGGACAGATGTCGTGCTATCCTGTCGCGACTACATCGGAAGGCCCCGGCCCGAGAGTGGGACATGCAAGTCTGTTGGTTGGCAATGCCTTCATTGTGTTTGGTGGTGACACCAAGATGGATGAAGGCGATCAACTTGATGATACGCTGTATTTACTCAATACATGTGAGTCTTACTGTGTTAGGTTCTGTGAGAATGGAGTTCTATGGCGTACTGACCTTATTTAGCGACGAAGCAATGGTCGAGAGCGTTACCAGCGGGTCCAAGACCGCCCGGGCGGTACGGACACACGCTCAATATCCTCGGCAGCAAGATCTACATCTTCGGCGGTCAGGTGGAAGGCTACTTCTTCAATGACTTGGTAGCCTTCGATCTCAATGCGCTGCAGCAAGCTACAAACAGATGGGAAATCCTAATACAGAATACGATAGACGGCGGTCCACCTCACGGACAAATACCGCCTGCGCGGACGAACCATACAATGGTCAGCTGGAATGACCGTTTGTATCTGTTCGGTGGTACTGATGGCGTTCGTTGGTACAACGATGTGTGGTCGTACTCACCCCACACCAACTCCTGGACGCAGCTCGAGTGTATAGGCTACATTCCGAGTCCGCGCGAAGGCCACGCAGCTGCGCTCGTAGGGGACGTGATGTACATCTTCGGCGGTCGAACAGAAGAAGGCAATGATCTTGGGGATCTGGCGGCCTTCCGGATCGGCAGCAGGAGATGGTACACCTTCACCAATATGGGCCCTTCGCCCAGCCCACGGAGCGGGCACAGCATGACCACGGTTGCCGCCAAGCACATAGTAGTACTGGCTGGTGAGCCCAGCAGCGCGCCTAGAGACCCCGTTGAGCTGGGCTTGGCCTACATACTGGACACCAGTAAGATCCGGTATCCTCCCGACTCTACCTCGCAGACGCCGGTCAATGAGCGCACTCAGGGCTCTAGGAGGCCTAGCGGTGACAAGGCTAGCGTGCTTGCGGGAGTAGGACGAGGACAGCCTCAGCCCCCGCCGCAGCAGCAACAAGCGCCAGTTGAGATTATGGACCGGCCACGCATGGGGTCTGGAGATTCTTTCGGGAAGCCACGGCAGGATTCTACGTCGCGCTTGCCGCGTATTGCTAGTGCGCCGTCTCCAGCGCCCATGGGTCCTCCACCTCAGACGCCTGGTATGCAACCACGCCCAAATGGTGTGGCAAATGCACGGCAACCCACTCGACCGCCAGACCGAGCTCTCAGTCCCACACAAGACGCCGAGCGCGCGCAGCGGTTCGAAAACTTGGCTGTGCAAAGCGGCAGGCAGTCACCCGCAGCTACTCGAGCGCCACCAGAGTCACGTGCGCCAACGAGTCCCTTGCCGACCAGCCCTCTGCCAATGAGCCCTGCCTTCCCGCCCGAGCAGACGTATTACGAGCCTCAACCTCAGTCTCAACCTGATCGCGAAGTGCAAGTACCCGTGCAACAGCAACCTCCGCCAATGCAGCGACAGCGCTCCAAGCCAGAAACATACCAACCTTCCCAAGATCAGAGTGCAGACGCCATGTACCGCTCAAGCTCGCGTAGGAAGCGAGAAAATTCTGCGGACATGGATCGGATCGTCGACTCTGATACGCCGAGGCAGTCCGTCGATCACTTTATGAGCGATGAGCCTGAGCAGATGCCGAAGGTGCGAGAGCTGCAGCAGGAAGATGAGAGACCTCCGCCGAAGGACTCGGGCATCGGCTCCAGTCCGGCACTTAGCCAGCAGTATGATGATCTGCTGAAAGAGCTGGAGAGCGCGAAGCAGAAGAACGCCTGGTTCGCTTCCGAACTTGCGCTCGCGCGCAAGTCGGGCTATCAGAGCCGGAACGTGACGGAGCGAGACAGTCCGGTCCTTGACGAGCGGGCGACGGAGGTCTTTTCAGATGATGACAAGCCGCTCATTGAGGCTTTGCTGAAGATGCGCGCGGAGCTCGCGAGGGTGCAGGAGGCGATCGACGAGCAGAGTCGAAGCGCGGCGGAACGGATCGCGGAGATTGCGAAGCAGCGCGATGCTGCTATCAACGAGGCCGTCTTTGCCAAGGCACGGTTGGCTGGGCAAGCGGATAGCTCGGCGAGGGGTACCCCGGATCATGAGAGGCAGAGTGAGATGGGTCGCAAGCTTGCGAACAGCCTGAGCGCGCAAGGTGAGCTGAGCAAGAAGATCGAGGCACTGATGAGAGAGGTGGAGCATGAGCGGAGAGCAAGAACGATGGCTGAAGAGACGGCTGATGCGGCGCAGCGGAGAGTAGGGGAGCTAGAGGGTCATCGGCAGAGTCACTCCGGTGAGCTGGAAAGCCTGAGGGGGGAGTTGCATGAAGCGCGGACGCAGACGAGGGAGCTCAGCGCAAGGCATGCGGAAGTTTCTGGGCAGCACAAGATGCTGGCCGTGGACAAGGGCGAGCTAACTTCACAGTTGGAGGCGCTGCGTGCTGAGCGCGAGAACCACACGGGCATCCTGCGGTCGCTGAGAGATGCAGTCATGGCGAGCCAGACGAAAGCGGAGACCTTGGAGAGGAAGCTTTCTGAAGAGCGAAGGGAGAGACAGGGGCTGCAGGACAAGCTTCGCCAATTGCGCGCGGAGCATGAAGAACGGACGTCTGAGCTGGAAGGTACGAGCCGGCGACTGCGGGATGCAGAGGAGACGGCTGAGCGACATGCAGCGGAGGCCAAGACTCACCGCGAAGCTGTGCTTGCGGGTCTTGACAAGGTCTCCGATCGCGGCATTACTCCAAACTCTGCAGTCGACGAGCGGGTTGGGCTGTTGCAGCAACAAATCGAGGAGGCGAATGCGCTTGTGCGGCAGAATCAAGCAGCCGCAGATGCTGCGTCTCAGAAGCTGCGCTCGGCGGAAGAGCGTATCGCTGGTCTCGAAGCATATCAGGAGCAAGCGAGCCGCGAAGGCTTGGCCATAAGGAAGCAACTGCAGGCCGCTATGAAGGAGAAGCAAGGTTTGGAGAGTGAGAAGGGCGAGCTTGAGCAGCGACTGCAAGGTCAGATGCTTGAGACGAATGCACTCGCTGTTCAGCACTCGAGTCTCAAGGATATCCTGGCTGAACGCGGTATCAATCCGGCCGACGTGCGCCGGTCTCGCGCACTGGACAGCCCGAACAGCCTGTCGAACCGCTTCTCCGCTTCGGACCTCAAGCGCGTGCAAGAGCTAGAACAGCAGCTTGAGGCAAGTCTCAAGTCGCACGATGAGATGAAGGCGCAGTTTGAAGAAGTCAGCGAGCGGGATGAGAAGATGAAGCGGGAGTATGAGGAGAAGCTCACGGCGCTGGATAATGACCACCAGGCTGCGGTGAAGTACCTCAGAGGTACGGAGAAGATGCTTTCTAAGATGAAGCAGGAGCTGCAGCGGGTTAAGAATGAGAACGGTGAGCTGAGGAAGCGGATGGAGAAGGTCAAGGAGGAAGGTTCTGCGCCAGCGGAGTGGGAAGGGGAGCGCGAGAGGCTGAAGTCGGAGCTGCAGCAGGCTCAGACCGAGCTCAAGAACTCTGTCTCTGGTTTGGAGGGCCGGATCAGAGAGGTGGAGGGCAGACTCCACACCACCGAGCAACAACTGGAGCACGCCCGGACCGCGCATGCGACCAGTCAAGCGGATCTCACCACGCTGCGAGCGACACACACGCAGTCACGTGGCGACCTCGAGCGCATGCAGAAGGAGAACACGCTTCTGGAAGAACGCGCACGGGATGCAGAGAACAAGGTGCAGCTCCTCCTCGACCAGGTTGAGAGCAGCGTCGACAATTACCGCCGGCAGTCACGGATGAGCAGCATAACGCAGATTGCCCCTGCAATCGTCAACGGTACGGGCGGTTTCCACCAGCGCAACCTCAGCGGCGGTAGCGCCGAGACAGTTGCCAACCCCGCGGCGCCTCACGGCACCCACTCGCGCAACCTCTCCGAAGGCGCAGAAAGCGCGTACAGCCAGGACGCGCCCACCTCTACTGGCACCGGCGGTGGGAGGAACTCGCTTGCGCTCGACAGTCTGGCCAATGAGCTCGACGCTCTGCGTTCGCATTGGGAGACGACGAATAAGAATTATCGAATGTCGGACAAATTCGAGTTTGAGCGGACGAGCACCGCCCCTGCCACGTCGGGGGAAGCTGGAAAGGTGGATGTGCCCACCGATTTCGAGTCGCTGGCTAACTGGCGCAGCCGGTTGGATATTGGTGATGAAGACAGTCCGCCTGAAACAAGGGAGGGCGATTTGCACCCAATGGCGAAGCCCGCGGAGGCGCATTCTGGGATGATTTGAAGATCTGTGAGCGAACGTATGGCAGGCATGTAAAGGGATGACTGGGTGGGCGCTGGTATATACGGTATAAGGCGTCGTTAATGTACAGTGCTAAGTCGATTGGCGCTATGTGAGAGCGGGTGGATATTGTTGGGTGTTGGGTTGTCATGTCTGCTATATATACCCTGCCGTAGGTTGTTGTCGAAAGGCATTGGTGTGTATATTTACATCCAAAATCCGATGCATTGTCATATATTGACGCCTTTCGTATGTTTCTCATGTGGCTGGCTGCATTTTGATACGATGTCCGTTGCTGCAGCGAGGCAGTTCGGACGTCGCAAATGCCTCATCTCCTGCCGGTGCTTGCCTAGTTATGCCAACAACGATCGCGACATTCACTTCCGGTCGATCGCGCCGCGAGTCAGCATTACGAGAAGGCTACATGTATCACTGACAGCTACTACTTCTCCACGCTGACTTCTGCGTCAGCTCTCGGATGGATTGAATCAAGTTGCAAACAACAAGCGTCCGTGAGACTCTCAGCTCGAACTCTTGGAGGCCATGGCGTCCATTCAGTTACTCTCTCAGCTGCCAGAGGAGCTCCTCCAGGACATATTGGAACGATTGGACACATCTTCACTTGGCCCCTTGAGCTTGGTCTCACGCTGGTGCTACGGAAAAGGGAGCGCTTTATTGTGGCGCGACGTACTGCTTGAGGACCGCCGGACAAAACACGGCGACGAGATTGACGACCACGATGACACGCCGACGATTATGAAGCTCGCAATTCTTCTCAGGTACGCGTACCCCGGCCACTCTGACGGTCTGCCATGATACGGCCGTGGCTGTGATTGCGTGCCTTCCTTTATTGGCCCAGCCATTACCCCCACGCCTTTGCCTCCACTGACTTGATCGTATCGCACGGGCACTAACTCGTCACAGAAAGCCGCAACTTGCAGCATGCGTCCACACCTTGACCTACCGCTGTCATCTTCCACCACCGGCAATCTTCCATGAGCTGCCGAGAGCGCCCTTCAGTTCCCAGACGCTGTCCACAGATCAACGCCTACTCCGGCTCACTCGGCTTGCAGTGCAAGCCATGACTAATGTTAGCACCCTGAGGATCATCATGGGCCATCCAAACATGAACGACGTTCTGCTACGGTCATTCTTCGACAAGCACAGAAGGAAAAGCACACCGGTGCGACGCTTGTGGCTGGAGAACTGCCGCATCAGTATGGGCTGCAATCCTACCGTCACCAAGGCGCCGTACGACCTGCCGCTTGAATTGGACTTTAATGGACTCGAGAGTATACGTTTCCGCCGCCTTCCGCTGAAACCAGGCGAGCTGCAGAGTAAGATCTGGCCTACAGGGCATTTTGTCCACGCTCGTGGCTGCGTCGTACAGGACTTACTCAATGGTCAAGGAAGCCTATACTGGACATCGACTGCCACTCTGGAGTCCGAACAGTCCGCTGGATCTGCTCATCAACTTTGGCTGCGTGACTGGGATGATGGGAACCGCACAGTGGCTGAAGCAGATAAGACCATCGACCATCAGACATCGCCTTTGGAGCGATTGTTCCAACGACCGCACAAGTTCGACGAACTGACATGGTCAAGTGCCTTGGCCAATCCCGACTTCAGCGAGACCCTATCTTCTTGCGGTGGACGGGAGCTGGATGACCGTGTCCGTGCAGAGACCTCGTACCGTGGTGGGGTGCTTGATCCGTTGCCATCTTATCTGCAAGCTCCACCTCCGCCGTCCCGTTGGCGGGAGCGAGAAGAACTGCCGGCGTCCCTCGTTGCGATTGCGCTGCTGCAAAGCGCAAACCGGACTCTGACCTCGCTGACCCTGGATTGGGTTCTTACGATACCGGCCACGTTGGGGTACGCTCGTAGCGCTCAAGCACAGCGCCTATGGATCGACACATTCTTGGGCCTCTTCACACTTCGGTTTCCGCATCTTAGAGCATTCCAATTTCGCAACGCTGTGATGCCTGAGACCGTGCTTCCACAAGGTCTCTACCTACTGGACCATGCGCGCATCCAGACTCGCAATGCACGCTACATGGAGGAAGATGACCCTTTCCAGCTACATGACCAACAGAAACAACGTCTCGACCTGGCATGCCTGACCTTCATGGAAGCACACCCGAACCTGCAGGCACTGGCTTGGCCCATGGAGGCCTTTGTGTCAGAACGGCCATTGGCGCAGGACATTGCTAGCAGAGTTGACGCCGTTATAGAGACCCTCGGCCGTACTCTGATTGACCTTCGCGTTGACACTTTGTATGCGGAGAACGGCGAGCTTCAGAGCGAGAGTCTCAACTGCCACAATCCGAACGTAAGAGACCGGCGAAGGAGATTTGTTGAATGCTTTGCGGCCAGGATGAGGAAGGTTGAAAGCATCAAGATTGAAGGTGGGGTGCCGCGTGACGAGCGTCGAGAGACGATTCGAGCATTACATGCATGTCCTCTGAAGAACATTGTCATGATCGGTGTCAGTAACCCTCTGGGTAATACATGGGGTGCGGAAGGTCGTGATCTGGCGGATAGTCTGAACCCTCTGGAGCTCGACAGGCTAGAGCCCGAGGACAAGGAAGCCGTCTGGCAATATGGGCAACTGAAGCCAGAGCCTCCAACCGCAGACTTTCGGTTCGAAGCAAACTATGGCTGGGCAGCGGGTCCACCCATGCTGAACATAATCGCAACCCACTTTGCCGATACAATCACCGAGCTGAAGTTCTGCGGCTATAAAGGCTGCCCAGCGCTGCTGTCTCCCACACCGATCACAGCTCCCCTACTCGGTGCGCTCAAGCATTTTCACAACCTTCACTCGCTGGTTACGAGCCTTTGGCTGTCGACGTTTTTTGACGGCTCAGATCGCGACGCTGAGATTATTGCATACTGGCTCGATGCTCGCTCGCCCGCGTCCACGGCGCTTGTCCATATGAGCGATGACGAATTGGAGGGCTGGGAGAAAGAGCTCCGCACCAAATTTGCGCCAGATGCCCTGGCATGGCGGATAACGAACTTCATCGGGCCGTATCTCAGCGAGACAGCTAAGGCCAGAAAGGGTGGCGTACAGGTGCGAGCGAGCTTCTGCATTGGCGACTGGGGTGGCATCTTTGACGTGGATCTTCATGTAGGAAAGGGTGCAATGGGCAGTGATGTTTGCCTGGGCTTCAAGGGACCAATGGAGGAGCTCGAATCTGAGAGACGCCGGAGCAAGCTGGAGAATCGGAGATGGTTTTAACGGCCGGCATGACCTGGTGGTGATGATCCGCCTACGCAGACCGTTATAAACAATGGTGGATAGAGTCAGCAGTGACTTCAACTACAGATATGCAGGATGGCACCACGCAGTTTCAAGCAGCGGACAAGGAATCTGGCGCGCCAATATTACACCTCGCTGGGTTGCTGGCTCTCTGCCGAATTGCTCGCCCGCTAGGACCAACAGAGAATGGGTTTAATGGTGATGCCGTCGTGCATCTCCTTTAAGCCTTGCTCGAACTCGTCGGCCGGCATGAACTTAGTGAACCTGTCGAAGGGAAACTTTCCCTGCCTCCACCAGTCGACCATCTTTGGAACGTACTCCGCTGGGTACGCTTCGCCCTCGATGGCACCTTGTACTGACTTGCCGGCGACCATGAACGAGAACAAGTTGAATTTGGCGTCAAAGTCGAAGGGAGCACTTCCGACCTGGATGTAGCGGCCTTTGTTGCGAATGCACTCGATCCCGGCATTTACCAGAGGCGGAGCGCCAGTGGTGTCTATAGCGATAGTGGGCCCAAGACCGTCGCTAACTTCTTTGATAGCTTCAACCAGAGTCTTGTCGCCCAGCTTGGAGCCATCAACGATATGAGTCGCGCCCAACTCCCGGGCAAGCTTCAGGCGGCTTTCGATGCGATCCACACCAATAATAGTACGGCACCTTGATGGTTCGGTCAGTAAACGTAGAGAACGATTTCAGACCAACTTAGCTCACCCCTGGATCTTTGCGCCCATAATTGCGCTTAACCCAACGCCACCCAGGCCCATAATTAGAATGACATCGCTGGAAGTCGCTTTTGCAGCATTGATCACAGTGCCGGAACCAGTTTGGATGCCGCACCCGAGGGGAGCGAAGAGCTGAAGCTCCTTCTTGTCCTTGACGAGGTTCTTCGCATTCACAACGCTGCACTGTCTCACGATCGAGAGGTTGGCAAACGAAGACTGTCCAAAGAATTGACCTCCTATCTCTGGCTCACCGCTTTTGGACGCCAGTGTAAAGTCTCTGTATGGTCCGCCGAAATTTATATCGTTGAAGTCAATGCAATTCGAGTAGTGGCCGGCTTTGCAAATATCACATGTATTGCAAAATGCAAACGAGAGAAGCACGGGGTCGCCAGGCTGAGCAACGGTCACTCCCTTGCCAACCTCCTTGACATAGCCGCTGCCTAGACAATGTCAGAGTTGCGAAGGACGTTCGCTATGAAGTTCAACTTGCCTTCATGGCCCAACACTCTCGGATAGAAAGCGATCGGAGCCGCTCCGCCCGGAATGCCACCAATCATTGCCTGGGATGAGGGTCGGTTCAATGGACATCAGGATAACCGTGTCGAAGCGGACTTACGTCGGTATGGCAGATGCCAGAGGCCACCATCTCAACGAGAAGCTCGCCTTCACCAGGCTTGCGGACGCCAACCTGCTCCATTTTCCAGCCGCCGTTGGCGTGAGTGTCATGGCAGACGATAGCCTTAGCTGAGTCCATCCTGCTGGCTGAGAGTCTGCGATCCTCTTCTTCCCGCTGCCAGATGCGTAAGAGAGAAGGAGGGACGTTGTTAGACGCTCTTCCGGACATACGTAAGAGACAAAGTGGAACTCACAAGGCAAACACCCTTCAGCACCCGAAGTAGGACCTTTTGACGATGTACTAGTATCAATCCGGGTCAGCCAATCAACAAAGCACCCACATCAGCATCCATTGACCCTGTATAATATCCACGAGCCCGGGCATTGGGCTCGAGCATAGACGCTTTGCCCGTGTGACCCTAAGTTTCTAGTCATCAATGAAAGCATAGCTCTTTGAAACCTTCTCTACCCCGCGCAGTTCGTGAAAACTCCACATAATGGTCTGGGCGGAGATGTCTCGCTTCTGGCTGTTGATAACGGCAATAAAGAGAACAACACAGCCGCTGGTCCCTGTTATGGAAATTATACCCTTCCAACGCAACGAAATGAAAAAGGACATGTGCTGTCCACTGGCCGTGTGCACCACACGCAACTCCATTGGTCCTACAAATCTCATTGACGACAATTGGCTTCGTTCTCAAGCGAAGCACGTTCAGTCTTGGAGACCAACATCTCGACAGCAATGATGTCCGGAGAGTGTAATGATGGAGCAATCGCGTGTCTTTCCCAACTTCGCGTATGAGCCTCGTTGAAACAACCGTTACCGCGGCTTAAACGCTGCGCTACGCACGCTCTGCAGTAACGAGACGTCAGCTGACCCCACGGTGACACAAGCTGGACTGTACACATTCCACGATGCCAGCGCTTGAGCGCAACCGTGTGGAGACGGAGGCCATCGCTGGTACAATTCCCAACAAGGAGAAGCAAATTGCCACGTTACAAACGGAGAGGGACGCCGGTAGCCGCCCACCCGTCTACCAACCCTCGAGACTGCGGTCTATCGTACAAGCTGTCGTACATTTGGCCATCGACAACTGGTTTCTCATCGCACTGGGGACCGTGATTGCCATAGCGAGCCAAGTCCAAGTACCTAATGCCCGACAGCATGCGAAGGAGACTGTTGTCACCTATCTGTGCGTCAGCATTATCTTCTTCATCACTGGCTGCACCATCGACCCCAAGGTGCTACTCCAGAACTACAAAGAGTGGAAAATCCACCTCTTCGTCCAGGTGCAATGCTTCCTCATGACTTCCGCGATAGTTTTCGCTGTGGTGTCAGTAACGGCGACCAACAAGCATTTCATGGACCCAGCATTGCTTGTAGGCCTAATCACCTTTTCCTGCGTGCCAACCACAATCAGTAGCAATGTAGTCTTCACCCGGGAGGCGCATGGTAACCAGGCCCTTACTGTAGTGCAAACAACGATTGGCAACTTCGTTGGCGTGTTCGTCTCACCTGCTCTGGTGGTGCTTTACACAAGCGTCAAGACTTGGTATAATGCTGTGCTTCCATCTGACTCTGGGGACTTTGCCGCAATCTACAGGCGCGTGCTGCAACAGCTCGGGCTGTCCATCTACGTGCCATTGGCGGTCGGCCAGTTGGTACGCTATGCTTGGCCAGATGCGTGCAAGACGGTTTTCGTTCAATGGAGGATGAACAAGGTCGGCCCAGCCTGCTTGCTATTTATCATCTGGCAGTCGTACGATGGAGCGTTCGCGTCTCACACCTTTGACACCATCCCTGCCAACAACATCATTTATCTGGTTTTCATGAGCATAGCCGTGTGGCTTCTGCTCTTCACAATAGCACTACTGTCCTCACGGCTGTGGCTGTCACCAAGAGATGTGGTATCAGTCTGCTATTGCGTTCCTGCCAAAGGTCCCGTTGTCGGGATTCCGCTTATCGACACCATCTTCGCCAGCGTCGATCCGAAGCTGAAGAGTACAATTCAAATACCCATCATTGTATTTCAAGGGTTCCAGATTGCCTTCGGAAGCATTGTGGTGCCTATATTGCGACGTTGGGTCGACGCCAGCGAAGAAGACCGTGATACATTGTGAGAGGCGAGGTCGTGAGTATCTAATAGGTCGTGGTTACTATGTACCTAGTATGATCGTGCCGCATGCTCGTCACCATCATCATCGCATGCAACGCGAGCCATCATCATACAATGTTCACGCCGGACTGTCTGCGCTTCTCCAGCGAGACCTCGGGATCCGGAAAGCCTTCTGTCGTCGGCGCGGCGTGGTCAACGAATCTGTGACTGGCGTCGTGCTCGACATCCAAAGTCGCCTCTTCGATCATAAACCTGCATAACTTTGGTCAGCCAAGCGCAAAGGGTCTGCGTGAGAGAGCTTTCCCGGAGTAACTTACGAAAGCCCGAACCCGAGTGCACCGATGCCTGCCATGGTGGCGAACAGATTCCTGAAGGCGTATTCGTATGCTGCGATGATTGCTGTCTTGAGTTCTCCTGCCGCCATTCCCTTTAACGTCGCTGCGAAGCCTTCCGCGTTGTCTGCAATCTCGATGGGAAGACCATGAGCCGACAGCCGGTGGCGCAAGAAGTTGGAGAATATGGTGCCACCTAGCGCAACACCTAAGCAGAAGCCGAGTGAGCGCATGAAACTGAACATCGCAGACGCATAGGCTGCATCCTTTGCGTGAGCATTGGCTTGCGTTGCGACTTGATGGGCCATAAACAGCAAGCCCTGACCGATACCTGCGGTGATCATAACGAAGATCCTGGGATGAGCAAGTCAGCACGGAACGCACTTTAGCGAGGAACACTTGAGGTATGGTGAACATACATTCCAGGAACGTATGCATCAGGTGACAAGATCATAAGAGCTCCACAGGAGAAGGTGACGATCAGCCATCCTGCACCGCCATCAGCTTAGTAGAAGTTTCAATGGCCACCGAGTTGCTCACCGCAGAAGACAGCCCAGCGATAGCCGCCAATCTTTGTGATCAGTGCGCCGGTAATGCCAGAGACTGGCACGACCGCGGCCGCAAAAGCAAGGAAGACAGTAGCGCTGACGAGCGGTGAATAGAGCTTGTTCGTCAGAAGAAAGAGGTTGATAAAGTACATCTCGGCGAAAAGCTATGAAATCGTTAGCGAGGTTATGAGGATGATACGCAAAGGACCGGCTTACCGTAAGCGACGCCAATACCGTGCACATGTATGCTGCAATGGCAGACTTCGTTCGGAAGACCGACAACCGCAAAAAGGGGATGTGCGCAATGTAGCGTTCGTACGCAAGGCAGCCAACTACGATCAAGGCGCCCAGTATGATCGGGACAAGCGTCGCTGAACTACCCCAACCGAACTGTTGTCCACCCCATGAGATACCAAGGAGAAACGTCGAGGCGCCGACAATGAAGATACCGCAGCCAGTCCAGTCGATCGATCCGAACTTGTTGTACACTGTCGTCTCAGCCTTGACGTAGCGGAGAAGGAAGGGAATGACAGCCATGCCGACTCCGGCAAATGGCAAGTTCACCCAGAAAAGCCATCTCCACGAAGACTTGATGAGTGCGCCGCCTACGATTGGTCCGATGGTGACGGCGAGCGAGCTGACAAGCTGTGTGATGCCAACATACTTGCTCCGTTGCCGCAGCGGGATAATGTCACTCAAAATGATGAGGTTGACACTGAAGATGCCGCCCCCGCCGATGCCTTGAATCACTCTCCCAGCGAGCATTTGACGGACGCTATGGGATGTTGCACAGACGATCGTGCCGATGGTGAATATCAGAAGCGAGGTGAAGAAAGTGCCCCGTCGGCCGAAGACGTCTGCCAGCGCTGATGTCAAAGGTTGTATGACCGCGCTGGCAAGCAGATAGCTGGTGATGAACCAGTAGGCCTTAACCTGATATCCATTTGGTGGGAAGGTCAGCCAGGTTAAAACAAGCCAAGGGCAGCTACACATTGCTACGCTTACCGCATTGGCATCGAGAGCTCGGGCAACGGTGGGCAGCGCAGTGGTGAGAATGGTGCTGTCGAGAGCCACGACGAAGACACAGCAGCACTGGCCTGCAATTACAAGCCATATCTGCTTGCTTGGTTTCCACTCCTTCTCCGCCTTATCCATCTTCAAGCTGCCTTGATCGCTGCCGGAAATCTCACGGACGTTCTCCTCGAAGTCTGGCCGCTTGTTCAATGGTTCCATCGAGATGGGGCGCTCTGCCTCATATGAAGGAGCCATCCTGGCCCACGAGTTTATTGCGGTGACGTTTCGGACCCCAAATGATAGCAATCAGGCGTGCAATGGGGAACGAGTGGGAAGCACGGCCGAAGGATGCCGAGAAGATATAGTAAACATGCAGTTGCAGGCCAGTGAGAAGGATGACTAGGGAACCTGATAGACCTACCTGTCACTTGCAGCTGCAGCATGCCACATTGTTACTAACCACCACAGGTAAGGGGTGTTGCACTGCTGCGCAAGCCACAACTTAACCAATTGACGATAGGGTGTGAGACCGGTAAGCCAGAACAGATAGATAAACATGGCGAAGCGCGTAGCCTCGACGACGCCGACGGGATTGAATATGCAATGTCCCGCTAAGCAAGCGAGGCCGTTGGAGTTTCCGTACGGCTAGTGGAGCCCGTTAAATCGCTCAGCCTTATGGATTATTGAGGAGGCGCTAGTGGCACCTCCAGCAATAGCTGAGCCAGCGGAAAGCTTGATAGAAGTGGGTGTTCTGCAAGAGCTTCGAACATGCATGTCAAGAGAGGTTCACGGCTTCGGCAAACAATTGCTGCTGCTGTTGTCAGCTAACATCGGGAGCTGATAACTGACGTGCCTAGCGGAAGCCCCTCGCACAGGCCACACGGCACTAGAGTAGGCTGCCGAATGTCGTGTTTCACCGACCTTAACTTCCGACGTAAGCATGTTCGGGATGACCTAAATCTTCAAGTCAGTTGTGAGAGCGAAGCTTCCAGCGAGGCTTTTGCGTGTGTGAATGGTTATGGACGACGTGGAAATTGTTGCTGCGGCTTGATCTATTACAAGTCAGCACCCCTGATGCGGGAGGCTCCGCTAGCGGTGCTGTAGCTGATCAGCCTAATTCGTCAAGTTTTCCCACGCTTGTATCGACGAATCGTGGGCGTTCATGCTCGAAACCAACAACCTGTGCGTGAAGCTACGGTATGATGTGTTGGCAGCAGTGATGCTCTTGACTCGTAGTGGCCTGATACCGGAATGAAGCCATCCCGACGCCGGAGAAAAAGCTTGCAGGCTCCCCTGTCGAAGAAGGCGTTCTGAGGCGGAGCTGAAACCGCAAGCCACCGGCTTTGTGCGATACTCGAGACTCCGTCGGTTCCACTGACAGGTCGGATAGAGGTGCTGCCACACCTTCAGCCTTACTACGATCCCAGCCGGTAGCGACCTCGATAAGCTGCTGTTTGCCCAACCAGATGCGATTGATACGGCAGCGAACGCTCATGCGTTCTTGCGCTTCTTCTGGCTGATGCCCGCTTCTGCTTCAGCAGCTTCGTGTTTCTTGCGTTTGCCCACGTTCTCCGTCGCGGCATCCAGGTGGCTCGTGACCACGGTGTCCTCAGTCCTTAAACCTTTTGCTGCTTGGCTTTTCCTCTTGGACTACTACAGGCTCCAGATTTGCGACGCTCATCACCTCGCCGCTGTCCCGCTTGCGCTTCTTCCCATCCTTTTTCGACCTCTTCTCCTCCTTCGCCTTCAGCCGTGCAGTCACCTCTTCAGAGACGTCTTCATACGCAACGCCGTTCTGCCGCACGCCAGTGCCAGCATCCAATGCAATGTAGTCCTGCTGCCCGAAAGCAGCCCTCGTATACTCCTTAGTAGCCTCTACACCACTGTCCTCGGCGACAGCAGCTCCGTATACCCCGTCGACTTTACTTTCTCCCTTCTTCATCCTGTTCTTCTCGCGCTTCTGCCGAGCCTTCTCCGCATCCCATGCTTTCCTGTTGGAGCGATCCATCGTTGACCGTGGCACGAGCGGTTCCTTCGCGCCCTTCTCCCACAGAATCTTGTGACCCTTGTCATCGTACTTGATCTTCTCAGACAGTCGGATGACCTTCTCGGGCTTGGTTTGTGGAGCGGATTCGCCTTCATCCACAGGTTGCTTGCGCTTCCCTTTCGACTTCGCTGAGTTTCCCACGGAAGTAGTCGTAATAGTTTTGTCTTGCTCTTTGTCAGCTTCCGCACCAAGTGCAGCGTCTCCAGATGGGGCTATGTTCTCGTGGTGGTCGTGTGCCTGAGCTGCTGGTACACTGCTCGCGGTCTCGGCAGCTCCCGCTGGCGAAGCCGTGGCGACCGTGTTGCTTCTCGCTCTCTTCGCTGGGCGCGGTTGCGAAGGAGTAGCCGCATCACTGGTCATTGATTCCCTCTTACGCTTGCTTGGCTTGTTGATCGGCTCTGGCTCGCGCGCTTGGACCGGATAGTTGAATGCAGCTTTCCTCGCTGCAGCAGCCGTCTCCGCGATGTGCTTGAAGTAGTTGTGCGCCACATCAGCTTCGCGGCCTTCCGAAGGGTCAGCGGCGGTGACCTTCTCAAGCTCGCGGAAGACGTTGACGTAGGTGTCGGTGGCGAGCCTCCAGGCCTTGACCGCATAGTCCTTGTAGTCTTGATGCTTCTGGACATTCTCAGGATTGGTCGGGTCTACTATTTTGATGTGCAGTGTTTGGACAATTTCCTTCGCCTTCGCTATTTCTGACTTTTGATTTCCGACTTGCACCGTGGCGATGCGAAGCTCGGTAAAGAGTGCCTGCGAAGCATTGTACGCAGCAGTGTCATTCCGCTGCTCGATCTTCCCCTTGCGACCCATACTGTCCAGCAGTAGTTTTAAGGAAGATAGGATACGCCGGGAGGAAATATGGTACTGATCTTGAAACCGCGGCGAAAAGTGCGGGACAAACCAATTTTGGCCCTAGCCAACCAAAACGTTCAAAGCAACACCTCCAAGTGAATGCATGAACGCCACCTTCGCCGAATGCCAGTTACGCGATCCGACTTGCTACAACACCTTGTCGCTTCCTGGCCGCGTTCACAACTCTATTCCAACGACATTGATGGAAGGTCTCGAGTAAGTTGTGGCCGTTACATCTCATCGGAAACCGACGTCAGCGCCCAGCTGGATGGGGTGATGCATGAAATTACCTTGATGTGAATGCTTGCAGTCCACGATCGCGCGACTCGTCAAAGACTCTGTGCTTCATTACTATGGCTGAGGATGAAAGCCCGCTGATCAAAGCGTTACCGCCGGAGTCGGACTATCTTACCTACTTGACTATCATAGAGTACAATCTGAGCCAAGAAAACCTGCCATTACTGCACAGAGTCCTCCAAGATGAAACACTGGCAGTCAACATAGGCTGGGACCTGGTTCATCTGCTAGTGCCTTACCTCCCTGAGTCGGAGCAATGCCTTCAAGACATTGCAAGGCTTGGGAACCCACGAGAAGTAATATTAAAGGTCACTGAGAGCCTTCGCTTGATAGAGTACGAATCGCTGGACCAAGACATAGATGGGCCTGTTGAGCATGCCCTTACTGGCACACCTGACACACGCGTGAGGGCCGATTCGTCAACGTATCCCATCAAGACTGCGCCTACCGCCGATGGAGAGAAGAGGCCTGGCAGCTCGCAAATGGTTGAGCTGCCTCCGCCGTTGCCGTTGCCTGTCAGTCAATTCATCGCGTTGTTATCCATGCTGTCTACACTACATGCGCGCATCAAAGCCAAATATCCAAGCCGATTTCTAAGTACGACGTTGCAAGCGGTATTAGCGAGCTTTTCTAACGCCACCACGCATCGTGAGGAGATGATCCAGGCGATTGTGAGAACGGTCAAGTCCGTCGCTGGTGTTCAACGACCAATACTACCTGCCCGTAAAAGCAGCGGTATGTTAAGCTCTATTCCCGCAGTCGGCGATGCGCCAGCGGGAGATCCTGAAGGTACAACAAGCCGTGAGATAAGCACAGAGGAAGTGTCGATGCAGCGCAAACTGCTACAGTCTTTCGTCACACATATCGTTGAGCAGTACATGCTTAACCTACCGTCGTCGCCTGCGGAGGATGTGCCCGGGATGGCATGGTGTACAAGGATCATGGAAAGCACCTACCCGGAGTTGGTCATTCCGGGAAAGCAAACCATCTCTGAACACTTCCAGCGAGATGAGGGGCTTCACAGACGCATCGATGCTATTGGTCAACTGGTCACGCTTGGTCGAGATCTGAAACTCAGCGATGAGACTCTCCTCACTGCAGCTATAGCGGTTGAAAAGGTACCAGCAGTCAGTGGTTCGCAAGATGAAGACGAACCGCCCGCATCCGCAGAAGACATTCCGCTCTCTCGTATAGGAGCTCTGCTCTTGTACACTGCGCGCCAGGCTGCAGGCATGCTTTACGATACTAAGCCTGCAATCGTAAGCACAATACCCTTTGCTATCTTCCCTGACCACCAAGAGATACTCAAGCGTACGCTTTCCGCATCGTCACCCGCCGCTGGGACAGGCACACTTGGCACCGAGCCCGAATCGCTCATTGATGCCGTCCTCGCACTAGGACTTGTCTGCCTTCAGCACGACAGTATTGGCGAGCCGTCTTCAGACGAGCAGTTCAACGAGTACCTGCAAGTTGTCGCACTACTGTCGTCAAACTGCCCTAGCCCAAATCTGCGAGGTCATGCGCATTACCTTACCAGCACCGTCCTACGCAGCCATCCAGACGAGACGGTACGGTTGGCTTTCATAAGAGACACCCTCGAACACTGCCCCTTCGAGAACCTCAAAGTCAGCGCCGTGGGCTGGATAAAGGGCGAGACGATCGAAGCGAATCCGCCAAGTCATTCCGCAGACCACCATCATACCAACGAACAGTCAGAGTCGGTGGGTTACGAACCTTCTATCTTTGCCAAACCGCTTGCTCTCGAAAGCTTAGCACCGTTCCTATTCCCAACTTTGCATGCTGAGCTCGTGACTGCGCCAGTCATCGAAGCATGGCAGACATTCCAAGCCGGCTTCTCCTTCTACCTGGCGAGCCTCAACTTTCTATACTTGTTGTTGTGCGCAAAGCATCTACATCACAGCCTTGAGATTCGAGACTTGTGGACGGACAGCGACATTGCAGGCAGCTTTTTGCAGCCGCTGAGGGACGCTAGCGCGCGCTTTCGCAAGGAACTTACCCCTAACGGAGCGCTGGCTGAAGAGGTGTCGGACAGGACGCATGCCGAGCTGAATCTGCTTGACGAGACGCTGCACAGGGTGACGAATGCCGTGCGGCTGCTGAACGAGTGAAGACGCGGAGCGCACACGCATGTCGGTTCCAGTCTTCCATAGCGTGGTGTTGGTGGCGTGGGCATGGCAGCGGAACAGATGAGTTTAATGCGACCATGATGGCACGATTCTGCATGTAGCGCGTGACGATTGATGATCGGCCGCCGGTGGTTACAATGTCGTTCTTAGTTAGACACCACAATACACAGTAAGACTATCGTCCACCGATGCTCCTTGCTCGCGATGACCTAAGTGCACGCTGCGATTACAACCCAGGCTAACACCGCCTCCACCGGCTCTCAAATGCATGCCACTTTCTCGAAACGTACAAGCATAGAATCATCGCATCCTCGACGTCGTGCTATGTTCGCCTGACGACCGCTCAGCAGCCATCAGGCCACCAGACAAGCTGTGACCGTATTGTTGAAGTTTCCGGCTCAGCCGACTGACTGGTACAGCAACAACGGCTCGCCTACGTGCTCAATCTCCGGTATCGTGCAACGTAGGTCGAAAGCCTTTGCGAGCACTATCTTGAAGATCTACGCCACAAGTCAGCCTACAGCGTACAGTATGACGGCTACCATAAGCGCGCACCTTCTGCACATTGATACTGTGGCTGGTACTCGAGAAGATTAGGCTCGCCTTCATGGCCTTCGCGAAACGTCGTGCTTGCGTGCTGATCTCTTCCTGCTCTTCTCGGGGGAAGTTGACGAAGTGATCGTACTTTGTGCCGACGAGAAAGGGTATGGCGGTCTTGTTGAAGCCTCGGCCCTGCCGATACCACTCCTTTATGCTGTTGAGCGTGGACTTCCGCGTAAGGTCGAACATGAACAGGATAGCAACCGCATCGTTGCAGACTAAAGGGAGCATGTTGACGAACTCGCGTTGACCGCCCAGATCCCATATTGAGAAGGTGATCTCTGTGTTACGGATTGAGATAGTCTTCTCCATGAAGTTGACACCTGCGAGTCACATTAGTACACAAACTACCAGCACTCCCCTCCACCGCATACCGAGCGTTTGTATGTAGTCCTCGTCCCAGCTGCCCTCCACATACTTGACCATCAGGCTAGTCTTGCCGATCTGCGCATCGCCAACCATGCCAACCTTGATGACCACACTCGAGTTCTTCTGGGCTTGCTGCCTCTCTCCCTGCCCATTTTGACCGTACTGCTGCCCTTGACCCTGTGTGCTTGGCGGTCTGCTCAAGCCATTGCCGTTCTGTAAGGGTGTCTGGTCTGGTGTATTGTCTGCCGATTGGCTGTACGCCGGCCTAGTGAAGCCGGTGTCTGAATAGCTCGTCTGCGGCCTGGGATCGTACTGCGGATTCTGTTGTAGTGAAGAAGCGGTGATTGTATGCATACTCGCATCATCTATGGGCGTCTGGGCGCTATGTGCGCCGCCGGCGCTGGCCTGGTGTTCAGGCGTGTGGTCCATTGTGCGTGGCAGCTGCCCAATGGCTGCTCTCGTGCCTTAGCTTGGTGAACGCTCGCGTGAGCAAGTCACGGCTGCGCTGCACGTCCGGCCGCTACTGGAACGCAGCCGCGTAGTCGGGCTCCAAGCCAGTCGTTGTTGCGTGCCAGTCAAGGTCGAGCCCTCAATCCCACGCCCGATCTGTACCGCTTTGGTCCGATTGTGTCACCAAACACTGCGCTTGCCGAGCCTTGTCGTCAACTGCCTACAAGCTCCATGTAACATTATCCGCACTACTCCCGTTGCTTACGAGGTGAAGTCGACCTTCTATGGTAGCAATAAGACCGGTTCCGCGAACCGTCTTCGAATGGAACCAATTGCGGCACAGAACGCGTGAGGTGCAGAATGGCAGGGGTCGCACGGACCAATGAACGTTTATATACGCCTTATCGATAGTGCAGAGCTTCTGAGACCTCCCAGTACATGAAGGCAAAGACTAAGCACCTCTTGATCTTTCATCACCGTCACACTTCGTCCACCACTCAGAGAGTCCCGATCATGTGCAACGGCAGGACAAGTCACATCCTTGTTCGTGAAATCGCAGGACACGATCTATATCTCCTCAGCCGATGAATCGTCCTTACTGACAGCGAGCAGTCGCAGCACTGGCGCGACCTTCCCACCGTCTTTACTCTCTTCAGACTCGCTGTCTGAAGCGCCGTTACCTTTGGCTCCTGACTTTGGCTCGAGAACAGCATGCTCTAAGCCCAGAATCTTGACGGCGCGTGAAAACCTTGCCAGTGACTTCTCGCTCGTGGACGGTGGCGGCATGTTGACCTCGATAGAGTTCTCGGTCGGTAGCCTGACGCTGCATTCACTCCCAGCGATGCGATGAGACCATTCGTAGTAGGCGGGCCCCTTCGTCGGCAGGGTTAAGTATGTGAGCGTACTTTGTACGAAGTCTTCGTCGTACCATTTCTCGTCATGCACTTGGTGGGCAACCTGCGAGACCATTGGTAGAATGGTCAGCCATGCCTCACACAATGGCTAGTATATACACATCGCTATGCTCACCCATACATCGAGCCCGAAGTGGTTTCGAACAATGTCGGCATTCTCATCGAAAAAGCCGCGATAGCATGAACCCGGCTCGCCTACGAGATTGGTCCACTGTCTGCAGTCTTCGTCATGGAGAGTGCGCCAGCTCCGAACACCGGGCAAGACGTCGTCCCACGACATGGACTCGACCATCTGCTCATTCAGCACCGCTAAGTCGTCCGCATCTGGAGCGCTCTCCGGGATGCTCGCCTTCGGCCCATCTTCAGTGTCCGAGAAGAACCCACGGAGTCGTTGCACCTCTTCAGGGGTGTAATGGTCGATTGGGTCACAGATACCCATGAAGCACCACTTCGGGCACGTCCATGATCCGCTCAAGTCATCGCGCTCCTCTTGCGCGAGGATATCTGCAATGCGGGTGACGATCTCGACAGGAATGCGGGTGATGAATGCCTTGTCGCCTTTACCGAAACGATTGCACAGACGCAGAGCCTGGGTCACTGGTAGAAGCTCAATGTAGGCCTCGAGGTGGGCGCCGAGTAAGTCTGGCTGCACACGCTGCACGTAAGTGTACCGCAGCTCGAGTGAAGGCATTGTGACTGAAAGATCCGGTAGTGGTGTATTGGTACAGTTGCCAAACGGCCAGGGCAGCACTCACGCTCCCAGCTCGCGTCCAGCGATATGCGTTGCGAGATGGGAGAGGAATGGTTGTAAGGCGGAGTTCGGGCGAAGACTGATGAAGTCGAGAAAGACGCGCCAAGACAGGCTTTCACGTAGACTTGGAAAAGGAAGGTGCGCGTGTAGACCCCGATGTCGGGTACGGAAGGCGCGATGGTCAACAATGCTTATATTGTTGAACTGTCCGTAATATATGACTACGCTCATGTCGACTTACGCGCGGATCTCGCCGTGCATGCCGCGTCAAGCATCGCTAATGGTACACTTCAACGTTTAGATCACGGTAAAGGCTTGTTGACATGCTCAGAGAATGGTGCCAAAGCCGAACGTTGTCTTGATCGACCGCACATAGTAATCGTCCCAGTTTCGCCTCGTATCGATCTCGGAACCCACAGGCACACCTGTAATAGTCAGCCAAAAGTTGCTGTACGATCTGATGATTTGTTACTTACCTTCCCAGTCAACCCTCATCACAGTCACGGCATCAACGTCATTTTGCTCGAATTTGATCTTCAGGGTGCTGTAGTGTCCCTGAGGCCACTGTGCTAACCGCCACTTCTGCTCAATGTAGCTTGGCCGCTCAAGCTTTACATACGAACCTGAAACGTTTCCGCCGAAGATTTCGAAGCGGCCGCCCTCCTTTGCCCCTTCGAACAGCTTCGGCGGCGCTCGAGTGAAGGCGGCGATTCGCTGTGGATCTGTAAATGTCTCAAACAGCTGCTCTGCGGTCGTTCGAAACTCCTGCTGATCCGAGAGCGATGTGACGTTGACCCTTGACCCGTTTGCATTGCTGGAAGTGGCAGTCGCGCTTGATGAAGCCGGGTTATCACCTTGCTTGGCGACTGACGAGCTCTGCAATACGCGCGGGGTGCTGAAGCCGGACGACGGATTGCTGCCCGGTGCATGTTGGATATCTTTACCGTGTTCCGATATCAGCGCCGGGGCAAGCTTGGCGAGCGTCTTCCGGATTTGCGGAGTGATATCCTTGCGAACAAGTTGCTTGACCGGCTCCTTACTCAGATCGGAGCTGTAGACTTCCACTTCGAACTGGTTGTAACCTTTGTCAGCACTCCCGACTCCAAAGAGTGAGGTCAGGTGCATATGAGACATACGACGTACTCATCTTCCTCCGTGTCATGTGCGACTTCTGGGATGGTGATTGTTCCGCTCACATCCTTCGTGTCATTCTCTTGACCCTCAGCCTCACCCTTCGCGGGCACCTTGCCGGTCCATTCGAGCTGTAGCCGCACATCGAAGATTGTGATCACCTTCCCTTTCCGCTGCGAGACATCGACGTCGCCGTCCATGCTCATCAGCCTGCTGATCTCTGCGCTCGTTCCGTCATCCTGGCTGGCCTTGATGCCGACAAGGTGTTCGCTGAGATAATCTTGCGCCCATGTGGAGACGTCCTTGTTCACCCAATGCCAGTTGTTTGGATTGTGTAGGACCATGGCGAATGACTACAGAATGGAGGGTTGCGAGCCGAGACGGAATGATAGCACAATACCGGATTCTGTGAGAAGAGTTAGAGGTTGCGGGTATTTGACTTCGGCAGATGTATGAGGCAGGGTGAAATTGCGATCAGTACGGAGAGGTAGAATATCTCAAGCTATTCCGCATGGTAGAGAGTACAAGTCCTAGGACTGGTGCCAGCTGTGTGTATCATCAAGCAATGGTGAGGTCGTGAAGAGAAAGGATACGTACCGAGAGATTTTGAGGCTTCCCCAATGCCAATATGAAGGACGGCAGATACGGCAAGGTGTTAAACAGTAAGCTGAATATATCGCTGCTTCGGAAGAGTCTAGAAACATGTGCGCAACAGTTATGCGTGCGCGTTGTGCCTGAGGTTAAGGCTGAACGCTTCCTTGATCGCACTAAGCTACATTAGGCGACGTGAACGGACTGCTCGCGACCTCAGTCCAGCACGTTTGGCATATTCGGAAGCAGACATGACAGAGTAGCGCCGCAGCAGCAAACGACCAGAAGCACGTGATAGGTTTCCCAATATTGGAAGATGAATCGACCAGGCGATTCCCAGAGGCCTCCACCGCAAGCCCAACAAGCGCAGAAGCCCGCAGACAAGTCGTCTATGGGCCTGAGATCGCTTTATCTCATCCAGTACAACTTCGTCTCGGCTGTTCTGTGGGCGTCCATCCTCGCCAGAGTGTTGCTGTTAAATGCCACCGAGGGCTACCAGGACGTCTACCCAGCTCTAGGAGAGACCACGAAATGGATCCAAACGCTTGCCGGACTCGAAGTCTTTCATGCAGCCGTTGGTGAGCCATCACCCACGGCGACAAGGGGGTCATAGCAGACTAACGTAACGGCCAGGTCTCGTACGAGCCCCTGTCCTCACAACGGTAATGCAAGTCGCCTCCCGCTTTCTCCTCGTTTGGGTTATTGCGGACAGATTCCCCGCGACAGTATCGGGATCACCAGCCTACAGCACGATGTTGATTGCATGGTCCGTCACGGAGGTGATCCGGTACAGCTACTTCGCCATTATACTTGCCTACGAGAAAGTGCCGGCGTCAATCACCTGGCTCCGCTACAACACTTTCTTCGTGCTGTATCCGCTTGGCATCGCGAGTGAATGCTGGCTCATCTGGATAAGCCAGGGACCTGGGGTCGTGCAGTTGGGTCCGCTGTGGCGATGGTTTGTATATGCGGTTCTGGCGATCTATGTTCCTGGTGAGTGTCTGCCAGTACCGAGACCTTCGACGGTTGTGGAGCTGACATGCTTGTTTAGGCGCTTACATACTGTTCACGCATATGATGGCACAGAGGAGAAAAGTCATGCGTACTTTGAATGCGAGACGGCAACGATGAGCTAACATTACAGCTGCTTGTGGCGTATCGTATGCCACTTCTCGTTCGGAGAGTAAGCCGCAGCTCGGCTCGGACGACGGCAGGGCGGAAGACCGCGGTCAACACCGCGCGCGATGTCTCCGCCTGATCCCGCGATCCATCGTGACTGTGCCTAGCAAACGATGCCGTCCTAGGTAAGTGCTCCGCAGCTTGCACCCTGGTCATATAAGCATTTGGCAAAGGATGAAAGCGAGAGCACGCCAATACTGACGGATTCGCCACGTATCCAGGAGATCCAGTACAGGCCTATATACGATGCCAATGGGTATCGGAAAGGATTACAATCTGTGCACAAGGAAGCGAAGTTCTCGCGCCTGCCCATCACTCTGTACAGGAAGCATCCTACTCTGCTTTCCGACCTTAGTCGCCCAGTGGCATACTCTCCACAGCGTCGACCATGCCTCGAAAGTTGTCGGCTTGCAACTCAGCATACTTAACGCGCTCCTGCGCCCAGTCTTGGTGAAGCCGGCTGACGTAGTATTGCGTATGGTTGAAGAAAGAGATCTCATCGCGGACGCATTCTTTGATGAAGACGCCGCGGGCGTGCTGGTTGACGATGCTTTGCTTGTCCTGTTGAGACTCGTTAGCACGTCGCTTCAATCGCACGGTCGAAAGATGGGACATACTGCGACAATTGCATTCTCAACCTTCTCCGCTTCGCCAGGCTTTGCCGCGTCGCCTTTGGCTTTGATTCCCTGTAATCTCTGCTCGTTCTGCTGGATTCTTCGCTCCAGCTGCGGAATGTTATCCCGCGCCAGCCGATCTCGGCGATCGAACATATCACGCATGCTGACAAGTGCGTCGCGCATAGTTTTCAGGTCCTCTAGCAAGCCTTCATCCCAAGCTCGAGATTCGTCTTCGAGCAGATTCTGTGAGATGGAAACGTGCTTCGCGGTACCCTTGAGCCCTTCATTGAGCAGCGGCACATCGTTGGTATCGATAGCGTAAGTGTCCGCAGACGAGTCGGTAAGGCTGGTAAGTGTCATGCCGAAGCGACTGTACTCCCCGGCCAGGCCTTCTTTGCGCTTGCAGAGGCGCTCGGTCAAGTTGCAGAGGTTGATGTACAGCTCCGCCGATCGACGAATACCGGAACGTACGGTGTCGGAGGTGTCTGGCAGGTTCTGTGGTAAACTGTCTTCGAGGCCCGGTGGTAGCGGTTTGCCAGTGAACTCTTCTTGGACGGAGATGGTGGCCTGCTTGCGCCAGACGGCGAGCTCCTGTCTCGATGTTAGCGCGGCAAAAGCAAAGGAGGTCATACTGGTTTGATTACCGTCGGCACTGTCAAAAACATAACAACCAGCTGCTCCTCCCTCAATACCGGATGTCGCACGAGTGCGTTGGTAAAACGCGCCAACCCTCGTCTCCGCTTTTCAATAAAGGTCTGATCCGCAGCGATATGGTTGCCATTGATCGCCACTCTCTTCGGAGGCAACAGCGGAATCTGTCGGAACGGGTAACGCTTGTGCAAGCAATCAAGCAGCCACACAAAGTCGCTGTATCGGCGGATGACCTTGCTGTTCCGCCTCACCGACGCTACTTCGTAGTTGCGATGCTGAAACATGAACATGCCTTCTTTCTCATCCAGCAAGTTGACGGTGACGATCTCCTCCTGTCCCTTCGAAGTAGTAGGTCTCGGTGGAGCAGGTCGGCGAACAGTCCCTTGTCCACTGCCACTGCCTTCGCCGAAGCCGTCTCCGCCAGCGCTAGAGCTGCCAAACCCACCCTCATTGCTGATGTTGCTACTGCCGCCCCACGTTGTGGAGCCATCCTGTTGTGCCGCTTGGCCATTCCCAAAAGTCCCACTTGGCTGGGTGTCACTAGGATCCGCGGCGCCGGTGGTGAAGCTGCTCGTAGTGCGTTGCGGCGCGCCATTCGTATGCGGATGTCCCTTGTGCATCTGCGGACTACCCCATGGATCACTCTCGGCGAAGCCACTGGCGCCGAAGCCTGGCTCCGGCATATGGCCGTTTTGCTGCTCAGCGCCGGGCTGCGACTGGGGTGTAGCAGGCGGCGGCTGAGTCTGCTGTGCGGTCTTCCTCTGTGGCAGGGAAGGCTGAGGAAGTTTGTTGCGTCTCTCATCAACCGCGTCCAAGCTCAGCTCCTCGCCTTCCTGCGACAGTCCAATGAGGGCAAGCAGCACGTTGAACTCGTTCCGACCCAGCTCCGTTGCTTGGCCATTACTCGACACAATGTTCCAGATCTTATCTGCCGCATTGCCCGAGACGACTTCGTGGAGCAGCTTCTGGCAGTCTTGCGCGCTCACGCTCCCTCCCGTCTGCATAGCGTCGAAGGCATCCACATAACTATCCGGCATGCTCGCCCCGGCCAACAAGCTCTTCACCAACCCCCCTCGTCCAGCTCCTTTCTTCGAAGGCGTGAAGCCCCAAGGCGAGTCGTCACCGCCAGCAGCATTGCCATCGTCGCCGAACATGCTCGAGCTTGTCCGCGCTTGGCCGGCATTGTTGCCTTCACTGAAAAGGCCAGTCGCTTTCTGCCTTGGTGTCGGCACGTCTATGTCATCGCCAAACAGCGACATTGTATATGGCAGGACAAAGGGATGTAACAAGCAATAACCCGAACAATTAACAGAGATCAGTCGCGCGGTAGTTCATTATTGTAATGGTGTTGATGGAGCGAGCTTAGATCGTCCATGCTATGCGAACCGTGCGTCAGCCGCTGCATCATCGTGCCTCGAGCGAGCGGACGGATTATCGTGGTACACCTAGACGACCATTGAATAACCCATAAACCACCTGAGCGTCCAGAAAGATATGACTGGGGGCACGCGTCTCTGCGTGACTGCTATCGTCGTACCAAGCTGTGGCTTATCAAGATTATAGCTCTACAGTAGACATTGTTCGAGACAAAAGCATTCAACACAGTGCTTCTCATGACAAAGTCTCCGAATTACACCGATAGCCGTTAGCTGCCCAGATAGACCTGAATGACCGCAGACTTCGTCGCCTTCGCCCCGCACTCTTTCACCACGCACGTCGACCACGGCGCAGGCAGGCTTTCCTCCTTCTCCGTCGCCCTCTGCTTGCCCTTCTTGCTTACTTTCCGCAGCCTTTTCTGCGCACAATCGCCGCAGTAGGCATGCCCACACGTTTTCACGATCCAGACCTGCTGCTTGACCTCGTCCTCGCTTACCGCAAGCTCGTCGCCGCAGTTGGGACATACAACCACGTCCTCCTCGCCGGGATTGCGCGTGAAGCCTTTCTCCGGTTTCTCCGGTGCCACGTACGGTGAGGCAGGGCGTTCTGGAGCAGGTACTCCGTAGCCGAGGTCGAATGCGGCAGCGCCGTAGTCCATGTTGATTGCCATGACTCCTGGCGCGGCGTTACGGCCATGCTGGTGTACGGCTAGCCGGTCATGGGCGGGACGGTATTGGTGCCTGCGAAGGTGATCCAGATGCCTGAGGTGCTCGACGTCCAGTTCGTCGAACAAAGCCGGCTCAGGCTCAGCGTCCCGGCCGAAGAACCGCTGCGCAAACCGGGGCAGTCGGCCGTTCATATCCACGCCTTGTGTGCGAAGCATGTTCCATATCGGACCAATGTGGAAGCCGCCCTCGTCAGCGGCTTCGCTTCTCGTACCAACTCCAGCAGTTGCGCCGGGCCGAGCTGCGTTCAAGCCGGCGCCTGCTCTCGGTCTGGTGTTTAGATGTACGACATCGTCGTCTGCCGTGAGGTCTATGGGCTCCACGCTCATGTCTGCTGGGTAGGGCGTGAGACTCCTGGGTGGTGCTGAGACTACGGGTGAGGGGTGGCGACTTGTCCGCTGCGAATCAGGCAGGGTACGCTCGGAGATTATCTCTAGCTCGTCGTCGTCCACTATTACGGGGGATAGTGACCGCGTGATGTTGGATGCTGCTCTGAGCTGCGCCAATCTCGGGTGAGCGGCTCGCTCTGGCTCTGAGGGTGTTGCTCGCCTGTGAACGTGGATATCGTCGGAGACTTCTGCGAAGATGTTCCTGCCACCAAATCTAGGCAGGCGCGACGCATGTGATGATTCTGCTGCTGCCGCTGGAGCTCTCGCATCTTCCATTTCCGAACCAACTGCAATGTCCTCGTCCGTCAGATCAATGACCGGTGCCGCTGATGTCACTGTGCTCATCACCGGTCGTCTAAAGTCATAACCGTCACCCGGAAATCGTCGTAGACCAAGGCCAGGAGGTGGAGTTGTCCGCATGGGCGGTAAGGCGAGTCGTGGGCGGCGAGCAGCATGTTCGTTCGTGTAGTGATCATCTGAGGGAATAAAAAGCGAGTCCGGTGAACCGGACCGGTTGTGTGCGTTCATGGCGCTGTATGATCGCTGCCAGACGGGAGTCAGTGAGTGACATGTCTAGAGAGACAGCATGCTATGGTGGCGTTGTGGTGCCAGATAAGACGTACCTTGCTGGGCTGCTGGTTTCTGTTGGAGAAGGCGCCTTGAATGGCAACCTCCATACTCGCTTGCCAGCTTCTTCACACGCCACCTTTTATATCGACCAACTCTTAGCTTCAGCAGTGATGAGTATGGGTAGTATCGCACTGGTAATGTGAGTGCAGCACACAGCACCGTAGTGGGAGTGCGGTGGCGCTTGCAGCGGATGCAGTGCGCTGTGTTCGGACGATGTGCTGTGATGTGGAGTGGCTACTCGGCAGAAAGCCAGAAGCGCTGATCAAGCGAGGCGAGGCCCTGCCTTTTCGCCAGCGTTACCTTTCTCTGCCACCCTGGTGGCATGCCGCTAGTTTGTTGCACAAGCGAATGTGATGACATTCATAAGACATCGTTGTTCAAGGTTATCTGGTAGACGAGCAACAGCGCAGTGCCCACGACCATAGACTGCATCTTTCTGCACATTCAGCGGCTCGTACGCTACAGTCCTTATGTCCGTGTGAAACCGCTGATCCTACATACAACACACCGCGTGGCGGGAGTCTGCTCGGTCCAACCCTATCATACACATCAAGTCCGCCGAGCTGAACTCCGGTTGCCTTGCCTTTCCGAATTCGACGTTCATGCTGTTATGCCTGCCTACGCAGTAAGCACGCTAACAGCACCATCCCCGGTCAAGGCAACAAGCGACTTCGCGCTCGCACCCCATTTCATGTCCACAGCATCGATGGCCTTCCGCAGCGGCTCGCTCCAAGACTTGTTGCTCTTCGCATACTGACTGACCACCACGCCACCCGACCCACACGCAGCGAGAAACTGGCCCGTGTAGTCCCACGAGAGTCCGGTGATTGCTGTGCCGACATCAAGCGTCTTCAAGGCATTGAGCTTGCGTAGGTCCCAAACCGTGACGACTGTCGAGCCTTGAGTGGCTGAAGCCAGCCATGTGCCGTTCTCGGAGAAGGACAGCGAGGAGATGGCTCCACTCGCTGACGGTGGGAAAGTGTGAGCGAGCTGTGAAGTCTTGACGTCGTAGAGCAAGATCGATCCATCTGATGTGCCAGCTGCTAGAAGATGGCCGTCAGGGTGGAAGGCGACGGTAGTGTACTCTGCTCGCTTGTTAGCCTGCTTCATGCACATTGTACCTTAACACCATGCTTACCGTGATCCGAAAAGACCTGCGTAAGCACCTTTGAATGCTGCAAGTCGTACATCACGAAGCTCTTGTCGATACCAACAGACGCTAGCAGATCGTGGCTTGGGTGTACAGCGACAGCCGTCGCAGCGCCAGCGTGCTGGTGAAACTTCGCTTGCACAGTGCCTTCTTGGCTTACCACCACTGCGCCGCTGGCCGTAGCAACCACAGGCTTGTCGTTCGCCCAAGCTCCGTGTAAAACGGCACCCGACCCAAGGTTACTCCTGGTTGTGAACGCGCCTTGTTTGAGGTCATACACGCCGATTGCGCCATCCGAGTCACCACAGAGGAAGAAGTCGCCGGTTTCATCCACAGCCAGAGATTTCGCTCCAGTAAACTGAGTATCTGCAGTCGACTTCACATCGTACGTGGCGATTGCGTCACCAGTCGCCCATTCCTCGGGTACAGGTCGCTTGCGGCGGGTGGATGACAGCCTCTGCTGCGTCTCGTCGATCTTCGCGAGGATGGCTTCTGGCAGCTCCTGGCCGTCGACTTGCATGGCATCGCCATTTGTATGAGAAGCTCCGTTTGGCGCGGCAGTCAGCGAGAGCTTCGACAGTGCGTCTCTCGCCTCGTCTCTCTCAGTCTGCAACCGAGCTATGACCCTTTGCGCAGAGTCATTATAGTAGAGTGCCGTGGATAGCTCCTGCCGCGTCTCCGCCAACTGCTGCTTGAGCTGAAACGTCTCGAGGACAAGCGCATCCCACTCATTCTGAAACGTCGAGAGCAGCGCGGGTATGGATGTGAGCGTCGGTGGTCGAGGCTTGACGAGGCGTGATTGTTTGAGATCGATCAGGTCTTCGAGTGCGAGCGCTTCCCCATTGACGGGATCGGTGCCATTCTCAGCGATGTAAGCTTCGACGAGTCTCCGCTCAAAGACATTCCCTACACCTACCGTAAGCTTGCGGTCGATCGCTCAATGGTCGAAGGTGACTGACCGGACTTGCGCGACGCGACGGGCTGTGAAGGCGCTTCGCCGGAGACTATTGAAATTGGTCAGCGACATCCGATCCTCACACCCACAGATCGTCTCTTGTAGACTTACTTGCGCACAACATCTTCTAGCCTCCTCTTCCGATATGGTACCTCATGCACTGCGGCATTGCATGTCGTGCTCGCTACGCGAGACTTTTCGCGTGCGGCAGGTTCCGGCACCTAGTGCACTATCACGTGTGATCCTGATCCCGATCTGGTCGCTGTCTCAGCAACCCCTTCACTGGCCTTTACTACACCCAAAAACCGCAAACGCAAAAGAGACCAGCGCCGTCGCTTAATGAACGCCATTCGAAGGCCGCTTGACGGACTAGCGACCGGCCTTCATTGCCGACCTGCTGTTCTCCATGCCTCGTCGAACGTTCTCGGCGGGGTCCCGTTTCTGTCCGATGTCCAGCCCACAGAAACGCCGGCATCTGCCCCACCTATGCAATGCGAAGCTGCGAGCGAAAGAATGAAATCATAAGAGCTATACATTTACCAAGGCAATCCCGTCCTTTTCCATATACTCGACTTACTTCTTTCTCCCTTCCATAAATCGGTATTGAAAGATAGCAAGCACTCGACCACAACCCATCTACCAAGCGAAAGACACAACAATGGCTCACAATGTTCGCAATACCCCGCCACAACTTCCACCGCCTATCTAACGATCAATCATGTAGATCCTTAAGGTGAAGAGCGGCGTTATCTACGGTGACGACGTAAAGAACCTCTTCAAGTACGCTCAAGAGAAGACCTTCGCCATTCCCGCCATCAACGTCACCAGCTCTTCCACCGCTGTCGCAGCGCTCGAAGCCGCGAAGAACGCCAAAGCACCCATCATCCTCCAGGTCTCGCAGGGCGGTGCCGCGTACTTCTGCGGCAAGGGCATTGACAACAAGAACCAGGAAGCATCCATTGCTGGTGCCGTGGCTGCTGCGCACTACATCCGCGCCGTCGCGCCTGCATATGGCATTCCTGTCATTCTCCACACCGACCATTGCGCCAAGAAACTCCTGCCATGGCTCGACGGCATGCTCGATGCGGACGAGGCGTGGTACAAGGAGCACGGTGAGCCGCTCTTCTCCAGCCACATGATCGATCTGTCCGAGGAGGAGGTCAAGTACAACATCGAGACGACCGCCAAGTACCTCAAGCGTGCCGCTCCAATGAAGCAATGGCTTGAGATGGAGATTGGCATTACCGGTGGCGAAGAGGACGGCGTCAACAACGAGTCCGTTGACAACAACAGCCTCTACACCCAGCCCGAAGACATCTACGAGATCTACAAGACGCTCAGCCCGATCAGCCCATACTTCTCCATCGCCGCCGGCTTCGGCAACGTGCACGGTGTTTACAAGCCTGGCAACGTCAAGCTCCACCCTGAGCTGCTCAGCAAGCACCAGAAGTACGTGCAGGAGAAGGAGGGCACGAAGGAGGAGAAGCCTGTCTTCCTTGTCTTCCACGGAGGCTCCGGCTCCAGCAAGAAGGAGTACCAAGACGCCATTTCGTACGGTGTCGTCAAGGTCAACCTCGACACTGACTTGCAGTACGCTTACACCGAGGGTATCCGCGACTACATGATTGGCAAGAAGGACTACCTGAGCAGCCAAGTCGGCAACCCGGACGGCGCGGATAAGCCGAACAAGAAGTATGCCGAGCCTGCCACCTATTATGCTGTGAACGTACGTTGACAATTTATAGATACTACGACCCCAGAGTCTGGGTGCGTGAGGGCGAGAAGACCATGACCAAGCGTATTGCGGAGGCACTCAAGGACTTCAACGCCGCGGACCAGTTGTAGCACATTCGTGCAAGCGTGGCGATCGGAGCGGGTGGTGAGGGGCTAGGCGGTTGGCGAGAGGTGAGAATGTTGTAGATACCGAAAAGTGCAGCCATTGGGAATATGCCGAAGAATGACTGTACCAATGGTACGCATTCCGGCTTCGTCCGATTCTGTTATCCAACCTAAACTCGTTGGGTTGCTCAAGATTTATTAGCACGGTTGACACGGTCAAAGTTGTTGCCTCGGTCCAATTCAATGCCATCTGCAGGGTCGAGTTGTGTCCTTTCACGTGCCAGAAAAGCACAGAGCCAGCGGAGAGCGTTTGCGGAGACGGGAGGGAGAGTGGGTTGGACCGTAGGGGAAGTCGAGGCGAGAACATACTGTACATGTGTCGCAGATGCGAATCGACTGCAATCTACCAGCGGGAGCTAGACACCTTCGCACCCGCATATATGGTCAGTGTTCGAGTACAACGCCCTTCTTGCGACGCACGGTCAGCAACTTCATATATATTATAGAAATTCCTGCGGTTCCTTTCTCCGCTGAGCTACCTCGTCTCTCCCTAGACAACCCGGTCCTGCCACATGGGCGCGAACAGCAGGATGGAGACGCACATCGCTCCCGGTTCTACACACGAGAAAAGCAACGGACACGCACTTCCACGACGGCGGAGGAAGAACAGCAGTCTCGGTCAGGACCCCCATGGCGACACCGACGTAGGATCAATCGCAACGAATCTCGCTCGAGCGGGAGCGGATGGAGCAACATCACCAACGTCACCAGTATCGCCAGCAGAACAGAGATCTTCTGGCAAGCAACCTCGAGAGCGGAAGAGACGAAAAGCACTGCGCCTGTTCCGAAGATGGAAGCGTATGTCGCTGCGGCATACTTGGGTCAATCCCTTGGTCCTCCTGGTGATCCTACTGTCTGCGTATTATATCAGCCCTGGCAAGCAGAATCCGCTATACTACGGGCTCTTCCTGGCTTACGAGAACCCGCCGCTCGTGGAGCGGACCAACTCACTACCTCCACACATTGGTGACGTGACCCAGTATGGAAAGGGACCGCTGGACTTCGCCTTTGTCGCTTTCTACACCCTCGTCTTCACCTTCACCCGCGAGTTCATCATGCAACGCTTCATCAAGCCCATCGCGATCTACAGCGGCATTGGCGCCCGGGGCAAGCAAGCGCGCTTCATGGAGCAGTTCTACACGGCCGTCTACTTCGCCGTCTTCGGCCCTCTCGGCATGTACGTCATGAGCCGGACGCCCGTCTGGTTCTTCAACACGGCCGGCATGTACCAAGGCTTCCCGCATCGGTCGCATGATGCCTGGTTCAAAGCGTACTATCTTCTCCAGGCTGCCTACTGGCTGCAGCAATTCATCGTGCTGTGTCTGCAGCTGGAGAAGCCGCGGAAAGACTTCAAGGGGCTGGTGCTGCACCACATCATCACCCTCGCGCTCATCGGATTGAGCTACCGCTTCCACTTCACGTACATGGGCGTGGCGGTCTACGTCACGCACGACATCTCCGATTTCTTCCTCGCAGTAAGTGCCTTCCCACATGTTCATTACCAACCTCAGCCTTTGACCATGTACCTCCGCAGACTTCCAAAGTCCTCAACTACCTCGACTCCATGTTCACAATACCCTACTTCGTCTCCTTCATGGTCATCTGGGCCTACCTGCGCCACTACCTCAATCTCGTCATCCTCAAATCCCTTCTCCCTCCCGGCCATATCCCCTTCACCTCCGTCCCGACCGGCGAATTTGCCACCGTTGGTCCGTACGAACTCGACTGGGTCACGCAGCAGTATAAATGCTGGATCAGCCAGGTCATCACATTCTTCTTGCTCGCGAGCTTACAGGCGGTGAATATCTTCTGGTTCTTCCTCATTGTGCGGATTCTGCTGCGGTACGTGCTGGCGGGTGTGCAGAAGGACGAGCGCAGCGAGGATGAAGAGGAGGAGGAGACGGAGGACGTGGCGCCGGTTGCTGTGAAGGCGAACGGGCATGCGACGAAGCCGGGTTTGACGGTGAATGGGGAGCTTGTCAGCCCGGTGGCGGTGGGTAAGCAGGAGTAACTCGCGAGAGGTGCGCTTCGGCATTTTGTTGTACAGCGATCGTCAAACCTGTGTAGAGACGCGAATGCATATGTGTATAGCGTTCAAGCGGACGGCAAACTGAAAGAACCATTCTTACAGCTCCAATTACGTTGCAAGCTGCAGATGCACATGGCATCGCAAAGCCAGTTCATGAGCAAGACAAACTGTTCATTCAGCGATTACTAGCAATGGGTATCCGGTATGTACAATAGCAAGAGCGTGCCATAAGCGCAGCAATCGACCAATCCCTTCCAACGAGTCCCGAGCGAGCGACCAAACGCAGCAATCATAGCGAAACAGCAGGGTATCTTGCTCCGAACCGCATCAATCAACAACAATCAAATCGGTATAGAGACCAAACTTCACACCGAGTCTTCCCGCGGACATGTATCCTCATACTTGATGCTGGACTCGGCCTCATTCCACTGCTTCTCATTCAAATGCTTCTTCCGCTTCGGCGCCAACGTCTCCTTGTCTTCCACAGCTTTGACACCAGCCGAGGAAGAGCCATCCTACTGCTCATCCTTCTTGCCAATGCCCTTCAGCTTGTCCAACACGCTGCCCGGCTTGAGCTTATCGCCGACGACACTCAGACGCTTCTTCACGCCGCTGCTGCTGCTGCTGGAGTCCGGCTGCGAGTTCTCGCCGCCGTAAGCCTGCTTCTTGGGTGTGGTAGGCGCGCCTTGCGTGGGTGGCAGAGAAGACGGTTGCCGCTCCGGCCGGGTCCCACTAGAGCCCGCGTGCGTGTTGCGTTCCGCGTTCAGTCTTGCCTGGTCCTCCATAGACATGTTCCTGGATGCCGGTGGCAGGTCGTTCGGCATGATACTCCTGCGCCGCTCACGGTCTTCTGCTGCCCTTTGACCGAGTGGGATGCCGCCGGCGGTCGGGAGTCTACCCTGACCGGGCTGCGGCTTGTCGGTCATCGCGGCCTTGCCCTTATCCGGCCTTGGTTGCTCGACGGACTTGTCGTGAGACATGGTTGCCTTGGCGCCTTTGGATGAGCTCGCAGAAGGCCCCGTGGGGCCGTCGTCCTGCTCAGTGTCGTGCTGTACCTTTGAGGAAGAGGAGGTGAACATGCTGGTGAGGAAGCCGACAGAGCTATTCTGCGGCTGGGTTGAGTCTCGTTGAGGCTCTGTGCTAGTCTTCTCCTGTGCAGGCTTTTCAGACTCGGTAGGTGCGCTATCTTTGCTAGCTTCCGCAGATACAGGCGCAGGAGTGCGAACTTCAGTTTCTATTCGCTCTTCTACAGCGTGGCCCTCTGGCACGTTCTCGCCAAGATGGTTAGGAGGCAATCCGCTCTCCGTTGCCGTCGTTTCCTGCGAGCCTTCCTGCCTCCCGTCTACCGTCCCACTCTGCGCCGGCTGATGCTGATGCGACTCTGTCGCCTCGCTCTTCCGCTTGCCGATTGGGATGGCAGTCTTAAACCAGCTGGGACTGCCAATGCTCGGCTTCTTGCCGTCGCTACTGCTGGTTGCCTTGGAGGTCTCAGAGTCTACTGTAGGGGTCGCGGGTTGATCAGACTTACCGCTAGCGGTAGTGTCTGCGGCTTTAGTATCAGCTGAAGGGGCCAGGCCGCTGACCTGATCTGGGTCTACTTTACATTAGCGGGCAGTACGATACGAGAAGCGAAGTGGGTGAGACTCACCGGTGTGCTGTGGTGCTTTGCCGCCTAGCTCTGGCTCTGAGATACAACGTCAGTATATCGATGCTTACTAGTACATTTGTCGCTGTCGAGCAGGAAGGGCAGCCGCTCAGCAAACAAATGCGTCTGAAGACATACCTTCGCTGTTGCCTGCGTCGTACGGCTCGACAGCATTGCCCTCGCCTTGCACACCCGACACTGGCTCCTGACCCTCCTGCTCCTTCTTGCCCAACCCAACGATGCTCTTGAGCGTATTCATCGTGGCACTTGCGTTGGCGCTCGCTGTGTCTTCTGTCGAGCTTGCGGGGTGAGACTGAAGCAGGTTAATATCAACGTGCTTGCTATGGAATAGTTTTGTTCTGGAGTGCCTTACTCTTGAGATCACGAGCTAGGGGAGGCAATTCCAAGGTCACTTTGCGCAAGAGGTAGCCCTGCTGGGATAAGCAAAGGTGCCCAGAACTACAGTATACACCGACGTCATGCCGCCTTCATGCACATTCGCTTCGAGCTCCAAGCCTACCGAGGCTGCATAGTGGGTCTATCACGAAACATTCGCGAACAATCCAATTGCCCGCAGTAGCATAACTGCCGTGCATATATACCAAGGCTCTAAATGAATCGTGGCGGATCTCAACGCTGCAGCATATGGTAAACGCCGTTGGGGAAACCCGCTCGGCTCTTCGCGTTTGCAGATGACCATCCTTCTCCAAGTGTTTTGGAAGCGTGACTGATATGCGGCTGACGAAGAGCCTCAGATTTATAGTGGCCGTTGAAGGCATGACTCTTTTCGGAATGAGACATAGCCAATTGCAATATTTGGTACCCAAAGCTGCATACACTCAAACTTGACCTCATCGTCTAATAAGCCCAAATTGTCCGTTCGCACTAGATGCCACAGCTCACCTCTTCAGCCATAAAGCCATGAATTTTAGTATGTCCAACCTCGTCTACCGAACGCTAGAGCTTAGTCGTGAAACAGTGGCAGCTCGCCACGCAAAGGGACTCCAACAGAAAGGCCATTCATGCGGTTCGACATGGCTCTCAGGGACGAGTTTGCACTGCGAGAGGTGCATTAAGCCAATGGTCTCGTATGGCGTTCCAAGCTCGTACGTGCAGGCAGTAGCCTCATGGACTATCTCCGTACGCTTTGCCTTGCGATGGGAGAAGGCGTAACTTGCGACCACAGACTGCGTGTACGCGGCGCAGTACGTTCCTCCGTCCGCACGGTGGTGTGGCGAGTCGGTTCCGTATCGTCGCTGATTCCAAGGACGTATCAACAGATTTCCAGGCCAGCCTCAATCTCTCCGGCTTTCGGAAACATCCCGATGGGTCGGCATCACTGATAGATGGTAGACCTGCAAGCTCGCTTCAGGGCGGAACGAGCATTGCCTTCACCCGCTCAACCCGTTTACTGGCCGCTTCAATAGTCTCCAGCCTGCGCTTGCGGTCAACATCACGCTCCTCGAGCACCTTCACTTTCTCGCCGAGTCTGACGACCTCGCGTCGTAAGCCTGCTGGGTTGCCCGCCACGACGTGCTCTCCGACCTGACTCGTCAGGTCTTTAACCTTACCCTCTAATTCCTGGATCTTCTTCTTCAACTCCGCGTTCTCCTTTCTCTCTGCCGCAACCATTTCGTTGGCCTCTTGGAACAGGTTCTCACTCAGCTCCTCAATCTCCGCAGTGACATCCTTGACTTTCTGCTCGGCCGCAATGCGCAGGGTCTGTTCTTTGATCAAGGATGCTTCAAGCTCCTTCTCCCGGTGTGCAGATGTTGACACCGGCGAAGGCTTGCGCGGAGACATGAAGCTGAACGAGCGGCCCACGCCTGGTCGCGCTGGCTGAGCAGCTGCCTGTGCTCCATCCTCTGCCTCTTCGGGTAAAGCATTTTGACGTTGTTGTATACGTTCGAGTTGCCGTATACGGGCCTCAAGAACTCGTTTTCCATTCTCGTATTCCGCTATTTGTTGAGCTGGGCAATAGTGTTAGTGTTTTACAGAGCAATGAGAAGTGTTGGTCCTCATACATGCATTGCTGAGCTTTTCGGCCAAAGTTTGGTTCTCATTCTCCAACTCCTGAACCCTCAGTATGTCGCCCGACGAGTATCCCGAGTCATGAGCGGTATGGATACCGCTCGGAAGGTCTTCCTCCGCCATGTCTTGCCGTAGTGTGATGCCCTGCAGCTAAAGCCAACATTACTGTGTCACTTGAGTCCTGCAGGGCCGATGAGCGGCATAGTCCTGTTCGGCGAAGACAGCGAACGACTCCTGGCTTAACCGGCAGCGGCACGCGGCCGCTCCTCCAGCGCGCTTCTGTAGTTTGCACGAGCGTGATTGGGCCAGACAAGGAATTACTGAAACTCTAGCAATACAGAAACGTTGACTTGACCAATAAGCTTCTCGCCGTGAGAGCAGCGTTTGCAGCAGCCCTATCGGATCACGGCAAGGCAAGGCAATTGTCAACCGAAAGTGGATGTTTCTGGACTGCGATCGGGGAGGCGGACGTTCGCTCCACCATCCGCCATCTCGAAAGGTTACGGGCCACGTTTTGCGGAGCCGGGAAACTACTGCAGTTTCATGAAGTGTGGAGTCAGTGTAGACATCTACTGTGGCGTTACAAGAACGACATACGATTTGCGCGAAGAAGCTGGTAGGGATACAACGGAATGCCGGCCAACAGTGGACATCAATCCTCCCCAGCGGAGTTAGCTTTCAAAAAGCGTGACGTTCACATCGAGTTACTCTGCATGGAGATGGCTCCTTCAGCGCCTTTACTGGAATTTGACACCTTTCACATGCTCCTTGGCTACCGTCCATGGGTACTCGTGGATTGCGTACCTGCTCCGCCTCCACGAACCGATTACCGTTGGCAGGAGTTGGATGCCCGCGTGAGTGGGAGCTCGCACCGCTACGTAGAGCTTGCGGGCTGCTGCACACTTACCCAATGATGGTTGCATTGGCGAAGTGACATGCTGGGCACACGCCATTGCTTAGCCAAAAATGAGGCGCGCAGGCAGCGGGGCTCCTCTCCGGCGTGGGCGAATGCCGTGCAGGAGGCGGGCAAGGGCCCAACGGAGACACTCCGATAAGGTAGACGAATGCACAATGTTCCGGCGAGAGCTCGTTAGCGGGTAATGCGTGCAGCACGCATAATGCTGCGAAGCAAGTCAAAGCTGGGAACACATCGGAGAAAGACGCGGTTGAGGACGGGTGCAATCATCAAGCATAGTCATTGGGCTGTAAGGCCTTGAGCTCACACTCGCACTATGTATGCTGCTAGACTTCAATGATCTCCTACCATCCGGGTATTTCGGTATGCACCGAAAACAGTAGGATCTGCACTATCTTCTGCAAAAGAGCGGATGCCGAGGTTAGTGATGAGCTACAGGATCACCGATCTCACTGCCTTTCTTTCGGATCGTTCACTTGCGGCAGCTCGGAGCTCGCAGCTCGGGCCGTGAGCCTGAAGGTCATTGGCTGTTGAGAGCGGGGTGTCCCACCGAAGCCAGGAACCTTGGAGCTTGCCGGACTGTTCTGGCGCAGTCACAGCCGAAGGCCACGCTGACGTACGAGTGGTCCACCGGGCTCAACTCCGCCTATGCAGATATTGCTCGCTTGGTAAACACTACGCAGTGCACACACAGATGCATTGCGGGCGGTGACGAAGTCCTGTCGATCAGCAGTATCCAGCAGTAGCCATTCCTACAGCGACCAAAGAAAAAGAGTCCTACCACCAAAAACGCACGCTTACCTCAAGGCGCTACTCCGCAAAGCATAGACTTCTATGCCGCTCGATTTGCCACTCCACCTTAGATAGACCTACTTGCACACAACCGAGCACAATCGTGCGGTGACGGCCAAAGAACATCTGCTTCGACATCACCAGCAGTCTCTCTTAGCTTCATTCGCGTCCAGCAGCGTTGGTTATCCGGCAAACACCAGAAAAGGCTAGAAAAGTCTGCTAGCCGGCGTCCGTGACGAGCTCACACAAATACTGCATTTGCTTTCGCTGCGTGCTGTTCTCAGAGGCATCTCCGTGCCATCGACCACAAAGGCTCGTGTCCATACTTTGACTCATGATGACCACCGTGGCGCCTATTCAGCGTAGCGAAGGCGGTCCCCAGCCCGCCTCAGTTTACGAGGACCCAGCATTCGAGCCGCATGCCGATTTCGACTTTGGTGACAACGACAGCCAGTTCAATGGATACAGTGCAGTGAGCGGTTCTAGGTGAGAGAACAGAGTTGCTGAGCTTGCTGCATCCCACTGACTTCCAGAAACAGCACGGCTTATCAGCCATTCGACCTCGGCCAGGATGAAGCATATCCTGTCGGCAGCGCTGCACTTTCATCAGGGCCTAATGCGTTGATAGACCCAACGAACGTTTGGTCTAATTCCGCCATGTTCAATCCCATCAACACGAGCGCGCTGCCGCCCTCGAAGCAGTCCACCATCGTCAGCAGTCGCACCGACAGCGCCGCACAGCGCTATGGCCAGATCACACCGCCAGATGATAGTAGTCCACCAAAGTTTGGCGACCGTAAGAGTAGCACAGAGTCGACCGGATCGCTTCGAAGCAAGAAGATGGATAAGTCGGAAAGGGCAAGAAACGCGGCAAACCAGCGCCACGCCAAGTCGAAGAAGGCCAGAAAGGACAGCAGAGACATTGTTGATGACGGTGAAGATAGCGAAGGTAGCGTCGAAGGCAAACGCGAGCAGTATCGCGAGAAGAACCGCCTAGCCGCGGCCAAGTGTCGAGCCAAGAAGAAGGAAAACGTCGATGTCCTGGAGAAGCAGCATCGTGAGCTCAACGCGCAGAATACTGCCTTGAGATTCCAAGAAAGACAGCTGCGTGACGAGCTATCACACTTGCGCACCATGGCATTGCACCACACACCAGCGTCGAATGACTGCAACTGCCAAAGCATCCACATGTACAACTCGCAGAAAGCCAGCCAGCTTGCGTTCGGCCTTGGCACAGCTGGTTCGTCACCTGCAAGCGGTCAACATTCAAATCCCCAATCTCCAAGCATGGTCAACATCATGAATCGGTCACATTCGATGCCTGGTGGCCAGGCTAGTCAGTTGGCTGCCTTCTTCGCGAATAGGCCTCAGCCATTCGCCGCACCACCCGGATATGGACTCCCTCAGATGTCGGAACCGGAGCAGATGCAGGTTGATCCAGTGAATGCAGGTGGCGGTGACGGTCAGCAGAACTTCGCAAATTTTCTCCAGAGTTCGCCAGACGGACGGGCAGGCTTCTCGTAGACGTCCATGGTCTCATTTCCAGTGATGACCAGGTGATCTTGTGCGCGGCTGATGCGAGTGGAATCGCTCACAGGGTGGCGAGAACGGAAACCAGGCGTTCGTAAGACCCTCGATGTGCTGGTACGACGGGCAGTGTCGGCGTGACCTGTGAAGGCGGAGGCGGCATGATGTTATGAGCATATGATGCATGGTGGGGTTGCAGGAAAGCGTTGCTGCAACTTGCAGACAGCATGGACTCCTTCTCGGGCAGTTAGCATAGGCGATTGAGGTGCATGTATGGCGCATGCTTTTTGACTCATATGCTATGGTCGCATGGCCCAAAGGTGACTGTCTTTGCGAAAATGTAGTGTATTCAGAGTGAGTCAACATCGGTGACCGTAGATGTGGTGGATTGCGGGCGGCAACCCACAGAACCTACCAGTATTGCTTGGTCCATGGTCTGCGGACGTCCGGGTGTTGTCATTGTGACTCGCTCTGACCGCTTGCAGGTGACCCTGATCGGATCGTGCATCCGCATTCTCGTGAGAGCCGGCGCCGCGAGGGAAGGGTCCGCTTCTCTATTTGCAATATGAGTTATTGCTGGTTGGGAGTTGAGTAATAGTCGGCCAGCCATTGCTTGCTGATCATTCCAGATGTGATAGCGTGCCATAGTCAGTCGTTGTCGCATCGATCTCGGCCCTTTTATTGCATGGTCCGGGCACGCCACATCGTGAAGTGTTTGCAGCGACAACGTTCATAACAAGGCCTTAACATGAATTGTTGTTACAAGCTTCCGATATGTTGCTGTCGGTGTGTTGCTGATGCGTTGATTCGTAAGCCCAGCCACGATGGATCTGCGCGTTCGCAGTCTTCCAAGTCGCCGTGGCAGTAAATCATCGATGACAACGACGACAACGCCGGTAACGCAAACATGTCAATACATTTGGAATGGGTCTTCCGCTGTTGACGTTGTTGCTGCTGGTTGCTGCTTTTCGCCACGTTCGTAGCTGTCATCGTGAGCAACCCGACCGTCCGAGCACCTTTCCCAACCAAATTGCGACCGGCGCATCAAATCTGCGTCGTCCGTTCATCCGATCGTCAATCTCTCAGACATAGTAAGAAATGAGACCACAATGTCGAAACCATCACGAATTCTGTCGTCCGATTTCTGGCGATATTTTTCCTGATAGTGTTTCCCGTGCTGCGTGACGAACAAAATGCGAAGAGTTGGAAGAAACTGAAGCTCGCAGACTTGTCTGCTGAGGCTTAGCGCCAAATGATGCAAATATGAGGAAGAACAGCGGCGGCGAGATGTCCGCCGCCGGGCCCCTCGGCATTTGCCGCTCTCTTTGGGTATGGAAAACCGAACGACCAGTCCAACCAACCGTGACCAGAAGTAAAGCATTCGCTAAACTATGCGCTCGTGCGTACGAGACGACATGTATCCTACGTAACTCGCAAGGAGCTAGCAAATGGCAGAAAGCAGGTATAGCCACTCCAAAGCAGATGAGCTGTAAGCGGCCATGGGCTTGCGGCACCGTTCATCGTCGTTATGCATCGATCACTTCTCTGGTTTGATGAAGTAAAGCTATGTCTCCTCCATTGGGAACGCAAATACCTGAGAATGGTACGCTTGATATGGTCGTGGACAAGCAACGCCTACAGCAAATTGAATGCTACCTGTATCCCAGCAGTCTCCTGGACGGCACGCCGTACTCGGATACCCTCCAAGATTCACCGTCTCGTCAATCTTCGCTTGACGTTCGAGAATAGCTGACCTATTGCATTTGCTTTTGACTACGCAGGTACCATTCTAAGCTGAAGCGTGGCCCACAGACTGCGAGAGACGAGTCTTGGTGGTGTGCCCTTCAATCCGTCCCTGTCTGGCAAAACAGTTAAGCAGGGCATAACATCGCTACATCTAGCTTACCTTCTTGACTCTCGGGGCTTTGGAGAAAAAGGGAGATATGTTGCCTCGTTGCAACGTGGCTGCCCCGGGTCGAAAGGGTAGTGATTCGGCTCATCTATGCATCGGTGCTCTCTGCATTCTTGTCCACATTTTACCTGCAGACTAATGGAATTGGCCACTCCGTTTTCATCCCGCCGGCTGGACATATAATGCTAATAGCCTTACTGATTTTGACATGTTCACTGTGGAGAGCCAGTTGCTAATCAAGGGAAGATGCTGGTATCAAACGTTCACAACATCTTTCAAGAAGCAGCTAATGTACCAGTGTTACACCACCGTATGCAAGGCATTAATTGCTATGGTGTGAAAAGTTGGGTACTCTGGACGCTGCCTATGCTATCGTTCGACGTTTCCTTGAGCCTTACACATACTGTGCAAGGTCCGCTCGCACTGACGTGATTAATACTGCCACTGCGCGCCATACTGGGCAGAAGCTTAAGTACTTTATAGCTCTATTGGCCCTGTAGTGTTCGTGAAGGCTCCAGGCCGCGAGGACAAGATCTCAGGCCGCGTGCGCTCCCAATGCTTCCTAGGCGCGGTCATTGCTACCCTTGAGCTCCTCCTCAGCCGCCTTCACGGACTGGTTGAAGTCCTTCCTAACCCAGTCGAAGTACTCCTTCCATGCTCTGCTGTCCTCGGCACCCAGCGCCTTGCTGAAGGACACTGACACCTTGACAACAGCCCGCTGCTCTTCTGCCAACTTTTCAAGCTCTTGCTTTACAGCGTTCTCTTTCGGCTTGAAGGCAAGGACGGACCGGAAGTGCTGGGCCAGTGTGTCCATCCGGCGAGCCGACTCAGCGGGGGTGATTGTCAGAAGCTTGCCGAGTACGAGGCAGCACAAAATCTTGATCTCATGCTCGTCAGTCACCCCCGCCACGATGCGGTCATAGAACGAAAGCATGTCAAGCCGCTGGCGTGATGCCGGCGAGTCGAGTAGGGCGTATAGGGTCTCGTAGGCGGACTTGCGAATGTCCAAGCCGTCATCGACCTTGTGCTTGAAAGGACCCATCTGCACTTCACGTACCAGCTCTGGCCGAATAATTGTAGCTTGCATGGCGTACGGCAGCAGATCGGATAGATGGGGCAAGACAAGTCCAGGCTTGTTGTGGATTGCTGAATTGAACGTCGTAAGCGCAAGGCGTTGGTCTTCGAGGTGGGAGTCGGCGAGCATGGTTGCTAGCATTGGTATTATGGAGCTGCGTAAATTGCCATCGTACGTTTCGTCCGTGTCGGAGAAGACGTACCGCAGTGCCGAGATGACCATGCCGCGAACCGCAGAGTTGGGATTTTGCAGGAAGGTCTGGAGCTGGGGTAGGTAGGCGGCTGGATCAATGATGGCAAGCCTCCCAACGCACTCAGCACCGACCACCTTGTTGTCCTCGGCTTGCCCGGAGTTGATGATGTTCTGCCAAAGCGTCTGCGCATAGGGCTTAATGTCGTCCTCGGCATTGCTATGTTGCAGCAGCTCTTTGACGGAATGAAGGAGGAAGTACTGTTTGCCCTGCGCCAGCGCGTCCATGATACTGGGCAGGTATGCCTGTACATTTCCAGCACCAGCCCGGCCGAGAGCGACAGCTGCAGCGAGCTTGACCTTGTCCGAACCGTTGCTGAAATAAGGCATGAAGCTCTGAGGCTTCAGTGGGCTCTCGGTCGCTAGGCGTAGCCCGGCCTCACCCAGCACGGACAATGCGAGGCACTTTCTCGCTTCATCACGTTGCGTCTCCAGTTCCTTCACGAAGTCATCGAGCTTGACGCCGACCTTACTGCCACCGGCAACAAGCAGGGTCCCAACTACCCGCCCCGTGACATCGATGTCGCCTCGGACACCAACGTTCAGAAGGGCCTGCATCAAGTCCTTACCCGCACCTGCAAGACCGATAGCCTCAACGCAGGCAACCAGGGCGTCCAGGGCCGCTCCAGAGATTGAAGAGGTGACAATGTCGCAGATGCCACTGATGACAGACTGGTTGGCGACGAGTGCCGGCTTGTCCTTCGCGAAAGCGGCGAGCACTACAAGGGCAGGCCCCAACATGTGCAAGTCATCTGTGCGTAGCAACGGTATGAGCATCTGGATGATGTGCGTGATAGTGTCATCATCCATGCATGCCCGAGATGCCTGGTTGACGGCCAGCATGCGGAGTGCGCTAAGACTCGCACCTCTCAAAGACCTGCTCGACTTTCGCAGCTGCCCAGAAAGCTCGACCGCGACAGATGGTACGAAGTCGGGCTTGAAGTCTTTCTTGCTCTGTGCTAGGACGGCAATCGTGTCAACCGCACGGACACAGGGCAGGCGAGTAAGCTCGTTCTTGAGACGGTCGGCGATCAGCTGCTGGCCGGCGAAGCGGTCTTGCTGGCTTAGCAGGCTTGATCCAGCCGCACCGCTAGCACGGCCGATGAGCAAGCCAAGCGCTTGAACAGCCTTTTGGCGAACATCGGTGTCCGTATCCGTCGCGGTTATCCGCTCGGTGATTACTTGGTACAGCTGGCCGAGGTACTGGGCGTTCTGGGTTCTGCTCGCAGCGGATCGGGGAGGAGTGAGAGCCTTCACAAAGACTTCGACAGTCGCGAACGCCTCGCCCGATACCTTCGCATAGCGGTCCCTAGCCGCTTTGGCCAGCGCCGGTATTATCTTCTGTAGGAAAGCTTGGATGACTTTGCTTGAGTGATAGTCTGCAATGACGCGAAGAAGCTGTAAAACCTCAACACGGAGTGCATTACCTGCCACGTTTGAAGCACTGCTACCCAGACCTGATATCGTGTCAAGGACGGGCTCAATGAGTTGATCTGCGTGGTCAGAGAGTCCGCCTTTTTGAGCTGTCACCATGTCCTTGAGTAACAGGATAGTAACTTGTTTCGTGGGTAATGTGCTGCTCTTGAGAAGCTTAACTGCTCCCTTGATAATGTCTGGGTTGATAGTCGCTAGGCCTTTGGTAGCGTTGTCCGTAGGAGGGGGTGTAGCCGGCGACGCGTAGCCGTTCATGGTCGCTTGATGATCCTGAAGGTCGGACCCGAGGGAGTCGCTCAGGCCCCTTCTTCGCTTGCGACTCGGTGGTAGGACATGGTCCGCAGTTGTGTCGAGGTGGGTTCCTAATGAGGCACCAGTTTTGTTCACGAGGAAGCAGAGAGTCGCGATCACCTCGTTTCGCACGCTCTCCTCTCGCTCCTTGAATCGTGATATAAGAGCTGGCGCAACCTGATCGTACACCACTAGATCATTTGGATCAAGTGTCTCGATGAGGGCATGTAGTGCTTTGGCTGAGCACCGCCTGACCTTCCAGCTGACATCGTCCTCATCCTCAAACCCAGTCTCCTCCTCAAAGTCTTCCTCGACCTCGAATCCGTCCTCCTCTGGCTCCTCTTCCATGTCTTCATCGTCGTCATCTGCCACATTCGGTTCATACTTCAAGAAGCGAGCCGTAGCTTCCACCACTTCCTTCGTGTACGCTCGCATATCCTGCGCGCAGGCTCGCAGGAAGCTCTCGATTGCGATCAAAGCAGCTTCTCTGACCTCTTCCATCTGAATATCACGCTCACCTTCGTTCTCGGCCTCCTGCTCTCGCTGCTGGTCAAGCTCTTCTTGACTCAATGGTGCGATTACGAAGGGAGCAAGCGTTTTCAGATAGGGCCCGAACTTCTGCGGTATGCTTCTTGCTAAGCTGCCGTAAACGGTGAGATAGAGCTTGCGCTGCTGCGGAGTGATATGTGGCTGGCGGAGCCGCTCAATGCTGTAGCTCACGTGATGCGCTAGTAGAGCATCGGTGAAGTATGGTGCCAGTGCAGAAAGTGCGTTGACGGCCTTCTTCTTCATGACCGTCCCGCATTTCTCGCTCTCCAGTATCTGCATGGTGATCTTTTCGAGCGCTTCCACCTCCGATTCTTGCAGCATCGGTCCGAAGCACTTCGCCACCTCACTCAGCAGATCTAGACTGTTGCTGTCGCTGCCAGTTTCGAGGTCCATCTCGAGCATACCCTTCGGCGGCGCGGGCAGGTTCTTGTTGCCGAGCGGAATGACCACATAGCCAACAAGACGTGGTACAAGGGCCTTCGAGACCGCATTGTAAGACTCTTGCACCTTCTGGCTCCGCGGAGCACCGGGTACCGGATGCGCCAGGTTGACCACTATCGCTCGCACCGCTAATGCTGCCACGGTCGTGTCGATGGAGTTGCCCGTCTGGATGTTGCTGACCTTCTCAATGGTCGGACATAGTATGCTCTCCGGCGCTTTTCGAACAAAAGAGCCCAGTGTCTGGATCGACATGTTCTGCACATCGCCGTTGGTATCGTTCAGTGTGTTGAGTAGGCCGTCCACGACCTTGGCGCACGTGGTGTAGTCATGTATGAGGAAGTTACTGGCTCCATTCCCCATCATGGTGTGTAAGTCGTTGAGGGTCATGTAGCGTATATCTGGGTCGGCATCTTGGAGCTTGCCCAGGATGGAGGCAACATTGTGCGAGGTCGGATTCGCCGGCACCACGGACGACATGCTGCGGTATGTTCCACGCACTTCTGTCAAGGTGAGGGAATGTTATGATGCGGCAATTGTGGTAATCCTTCCACGCGCCAGGCAGCGGATGATCATGCCAACGGAGAAGACGTTTGTAAGAAACGATTCGAATGCATACCTGAATGCGCGAGTGCCTAAGGCTCTGACCTGGGTGGGGTCGACGTGAATGGCAGGCACGCTTCTCAAGCTCTTACACACGTAGTACGGTGTGAGAATCATATAGAGACAGATTGCATGTTAAACATCGAATGGCGATGCTAAGAAGTCAGGCAAAACCTGGCAGATAACCTTGCTATCTGACCGTACCATTCTCCTATTCTCCCTCACTCGTTGTCTGCTTAGGCTGTCCTGACGCTGATGCCTGCTTGTATTTGCCTTCCGCTTGTGGCGGTAGAAAGTAGATCGCAACGTTTAAGCCCAGTGCTAGGACCGTCAGGACGATCCAGACTAGGTGCCCGTCTGCCCACTTGATCTTGACTCCCAACGCAAACAAACTCGTAAAGGCGACGGGCGCCACGCCCCGGACCGCACTGTTCAATGTCAGCGCAATAGCATTGACGGTTGCGAGTACGGTGCTTGACGGCGCGATGTCGTTGAGGAAAAGCTGAATGCATGCTGCGCCGTGAAGTCCCGTCAGCAAGATGTTTCATTCATCATGAAGGTGTGAACGAGTGCTCACCAAACGACATCGCCACGCCACTTCCTAATGCCAGCGATGGGAAGAACACGCCAAAGAATGCATCCCGCATCCCGTGCCGTAGCAACTCGTTGTACACTGGAAACCCTGCCATGAGCAGCGGCCAAGCAACTGCGCAACCGCGATATAGGTTGCCCGTCCCGAACCTTTTTTGCAGGGGTGGAAAGCCGAACAACATCCACGCCGACTGACTAGCTCCAACGACAGCAAGCTGCACCGCGATCAGCTGGTCGCTGAAGCCCAAACCGCCCAACGACACGTCTGTGAAGCTGAAGACCGGGTTAACGGCGGTGTAAGCGAGTGACAGGCCTAGCGTGTAGGTGTAGATGAGAAGCACCATCGGCACACCAGGGGCTTTGAGGATCTCCCATGTCGACATCCGCTGGGCACGCTTACCGCCTTCCCTGGTGTGCAGAGTCTCTTTGAGACCGAACGAGCATAGTAATGTCGCACTCAAGGTCACTGAACCGCATACAATCGTGGCAAGAGCGTAAGGATACTCCTTGAAGAACGTCGAGTGGCCAAACGTGCCCGGGAATGAGTCGGCTGGGTTAGCCAGACTTCCTGCATATCGTAAGCATGTCCTTCTTCACCACCGATGTAGGACTCATACCGATCAGTGGCCCCACAAATATGCCCAGGTTCCTGGTAAACATGTACCAGCTGAACGCTCTCGCCTGGCTCAACTTCGTGCAATTCTCACTGATCATCGTTCGGATCGTAACGACACTGCCACCAAACAGTCCCGCGCAACATCTGAACAGAATAATCTGCCACAGATTACGACTGAAGCCAAAGAGCGCGGTCGCTACGCCCACGCCGGCTAAGCTCCACACGAGCACTGGCTTGCGACCCCAGTAGTCTGCGGCGCGACCGTAGGGTATCATGAGCATCATCTGCACGACGGAGAACAAAGACTCGACGATGCCGGACCAGATCCCGACTGAGGATTCGGGCATGCCACCTAGGCGGAATATCATCTCGTTAATGAAGGGGAAGATGGCGAAATATGCGACGGGTTCGGCGAGGCAGGCATAGCAAAGGATGAGGATTTGGCCGACCGGCATTGGACGCTCCTCTTCCTGCTCCTGGTCATCGGTATCTGTAGGGATGCCATCGTCATCCGTGGGCTTCACTGACGAGTGTCCGTTGGCGTGAGGTGGTACGGTGTCGTCATTTTGTATAATAATGGATGCTGGGCCTGTATCTGGGGCTCCCAGAAGTGGCGTTGTCTCATCCGCCGTCTGGACAACTTCCTCGTCCTTTAATGGATCTGCAGATTTCGCCATGATTCAGCATGCGATGAAATGTATGGTCACTTTTAGATAGACAGTAGGCTGTAATGCCTTCGACGCTTTCAAACAGAAATGCTATATATCCAAGGAGACACGGAAGGTATGTTCGTTGGATATTGCTCGAAAACAGAGGTCATATTGGGGCGTACTTGTTGAGACGCGATAGTTCGGCAGTCTGATGCCTATCATTGATCCATTCGTACACCGGAAAGGTGGAATGATTGCTCCTGCCTCTTGTGGCTGGTTTGGTGGGTCCGGGTTCAGCCGTCGCAAAGCACGCCAAATATTCGGAATTTACTCGCCCATGCTCAACCTTGTTCCGAGGACTTCGTGAGGTAGTGGGCTTTCGTAGAAACAATGTCACGCGAGGAGCCAAACAGTCGGAAGGAGAAGAAGGCGCTGAGAGATGCGGAGCGGCATCGCAACGGCCGAAAGAGAAAGCATGCAGAGACGGGAGAGCCTGCAGAAGTAAACGACGAGAAGCCAGAGCTTGAGGGCGACGTACTTGTAGCGGTGCCACAGAAAGATGGCAATGCAGTCGCTACGCAGGATACAGCCACATCAACGGCAGTCACCTCGAAGAAGCGCAAGCAGTCGGATCGTGAAGTTACGGGCGATGCGACTCGGGCGGAAGCAGAAGTAACTTCGGAGCAGCCAGCACCCAAGCGTAAGAAGCGCCGGAAAGCCAAACGCGATCCAGCAGAGGTGGCTGAGGGTACGGAAGCCGTGGAGCAACCACATAAGTCACGGTTCATCCTGTTTGTGGGCAATCTGCCTTTCAACACGACCGACGCCACACTACAAGCGTACTTCAAGAAGCTTGCACCCTTCAATCTGCGGCACCGGACAGATCCACAAACGAAAAAGAGCAAAGGCTTCGCATTCCTGGAGTTTGAGAACTACGACCGCATGGAGACATGCCTCAAGCTGTACCATCATGGCATGTTTGACCCGGAGGACTACGTGGCAGGGATCGGAAAGTCGCAGGCGAAAGGTAAGAAGAAGAGTGGTAGACGTATCAACGTGGAGCTCACGGCAGGTGGCGGCGGAAAGGCTGGAGCGCGAATGGAAAAGATCAAGGCGAAGAATGTGAAGCTAGAGGAGGAGCGGAAACGGAGACTGGAAATGGAAAAGGATGAGCGGGGCCGGCAGCCTCAGACACCCAAGGGTGCGTACGTTCGATTTGATGATAAGGATGGCGAGGCGCAGGAACAACTCGTAGAGACGGATGGTGCTGGAATGCACCCTAGTCGGCTAGCGCGCATGAAGGGCTGATGGCCACCGTTTCGCCTATCATGAAAGTCTTGTGCAGGCGAGGCTAAGACCGTTGGCTCGGATGCAACCACCGTCTATCAGGAAAGGCGGATACGCACAGGAAGCACATTTTAGTGCGGACCGTGACCGCGCACTCCATTTTGGCGGTCAGGAACTTGGCTCTTCTACTTCGATGTACGACCATGATGTCCTACGATTATGCTTCCGTCCTAGAAGTATTAGGCGAATGCTTCCACATACAGGAGGCGCGCATAGTCTCCGTGGTACCTGCGAAGCGGTCGACTTCAACGGGCCTGTTGTGCAGTACCGTAGAGTCGACCTCCCCAGCTCCGCTACTAATCGATCGATCCTGCGATGCACCGGTAGCGTTTCTCAAAATTTCAAGTCACTGCCACCCTTCTGGCTTGAGGACGCTTATACTCTGCCCTTTCACAGCGCAATATTTGCGCCGAAGCCAGTGGCTGGCGGCTCTGGCGGCTCTGCAGCCAACGTCGTAATGCCACTGCTCGAGCCTCTTACGTGAAATATTTAGATGCCCAGTCTGACTTGTGTTTGCGCGGATATCCTGCGGTAGAGTTAGACAATTGTCGACGGGCTCGAATGAGCGAAAAAGCACGCTAATACGCTGACTAACCTTCGATGATGATGATCGGCCCGAAGTCCGGTGACCTTCCTGGCCTTTCCGACTTGCATGCTCTTGCCGTAACCGGATTGCTTATACTCAATTAGCGCTGCCAAGAAGGATCACGCCATGGAGTTTGAATCAGTACAAGCAGTGCACTTTGACACTCCAGGCTTCGTGGACCACCGAGTCCAGTGTTCACGACCACTAGAAAGAGGCCGAAGGCTTCGGCGAGCATTGGCGGGCGACAGCATGAGGGACGTAACGAGCTTATCGTGATCATGCTGCAGCATGATCTGGACTAGGCTGTATTACTGCTTATCCGCATCGCGTTTGTTATAATGGATTTAGGTCAGCGTCGTAGTGGAGACATGGAAACTTTCCCTCACTGACGACAAGCAGGCCTATTAGGCGACACTGCTATCAACGCTTTTGTTCAACTCAACCCCTCCGCCCCGTGGGCGATCAAGGTGGCAGAGAGTTGGCGCGGGCTTCCCTTCGGCAAGTACTTACAGAAGTCGCCGCCGAGACGAAGACGCTCCGTAACAGGGCCGTCTAGTACAGCACGTGTCCCGTTGTGGTGTGGCGGCTCGATTGTTGTCAATCAAGACTACCCCTATGAGCAAGCTGAGAGTCTGTTCTTCTCCAAGCTTCCACTTGATGTGCGTGTCATCATTTACGAAATGGTACTAGGGGGCATGCTCTTTCATATCGACTCCGAGCGCCAAGATGGACGGATATTCCACAGTATTTGCGCCAGTCCGGAAACTGTCGGCGAGGTCCATCATCATCCGCATGAAGCTTGCGATAGTCTGAACTTGGCAGCAGCACGCAACAACATGTCCCCCTCTAGGCAAGAAACGCCGGAGCCATCAGGCTTCCTACCCTTGCCTATGACATGCCGAAAGGCATATACCGAGGCCATAGAAGTACTGTACAACAGCAATGTCTTTGACTTTACCTCCAACAATGTTGCTTTCCGCTTCCTGAAGACGATGATTCCAACGCAAAGGCTTCGCAGCATTCGACACTTTCGCATGACCATGCGAATACCTCATCATCCTGCAATGAACAGCCGCTCTCGACGAGATTGGAACGCGCTCTTCGAGTTCTTTGGAGACCAGATGTCTGGTTTGCGTAATCTGTACCTGAAGTTCTTGATGCTGCATCCTTGTCAACAGCAGATCAGAAACACCGAGGACGCCAACGGTGTTCATTGGATAAGACCGATGGTTTCGATGGCCGCGGATTCGAAACGGAAACGAGGTTGCACCGTCGAGATTATGACAGGACATGAACTTCAGAACTTGGGCCTGGCTTATGAACAGGCCGAGCAATACATTACGAGTGGCGACTACGAGGAAATCGTGCGCCTGACATGTCTGACTGTGCACAAAAGGATTCGCGTCTCTCTCGGAGGACAGGGCTGATCAGTTCATCCGAACTCAGTCGCTCTTGAGTCGACAGCTACGCAATCACATCGCTGAGATCGTTGGCAATGCCTGTAACCGCGGTCTTGAACGATATTGCATACGCGAGAAGCGTTGGGCCCCGAGCAGTCTATTTCCGGTGGTGTAGTAGTGTCCTGAACTGCTCCTTCCCTAACGCCCGCTTTCATTCGTCGTACCTTCGCTTACGCTATTTGATACGACGAAGTGAGCGCAATCGGCACGGTTTGCAACCTCTGCTTAGAGTCCAGGATATATGGCGCGACACGGAGCCATTTCGAAGCATGTTTTTGCGGCAGCGAAACCCTACTGCCGCCGGATGACGGCGTTGCGATAGCGAACGAACGGTGATTCTTGGGTTAGCATCGCTTACGAGCTCCAAGCCGAAGTATAAATTCGAAGCTACAAGTGTATATGTACCTCGCATTCGACGACGACTACAACACTGGCCACCACTACCATACGCGGGGCGGACACCTTTTATCGAGTGCATACCTAATAGTCCATTGTGTCGACCCTCTTGCAGCTCCCGCATGCTAGGTTTGACGGTTACCCGTCGGGGTGCGATGGTAGGTATGAAGCTTACGCTAAGGTTCATGCGTACTGAAGCACAACGAAATGTCCATCCCAGTCCACACCGACCGAACAGTAAGCTCATCACACGTGCCGCGTGGCGCACAGAAAAACCGTTTTCTTAAGCTGCTCTTCTGCCACTTTTCCTCCTTCCTACTCCTCGAGACTCTCCAACTCTCTCCGCCTAACCCGCGTCTTCTCCAAATACCCAAGGCCACCTTTCAGCCCCAGCTATACTCGAAGCAATAACCAAGACCCGGGCTGCGACTACGAGTATACTCGCATCGCCGCCTTTCTATTAACTCGACAAGCACGGCTGTGGCTCCTTGTGAACCCTGCGCATCATGGCGGACCACACTGGCAGCGCCAGGCCCGGCACTCCGTCATACAAGTCCAATGGCTCGTCCTACGAACATGTTGTCCTCGGAAAGCTCAACCCATGCAAACCCGACGTTATAACGGTCGCCGATGTTGAGGCTCACCTCGCTCACAAAGAAGCTGCCACCGCACACGGCGCCGCCGCAGCTGCTTCGCTTGCGGTCGAAAGCAAGCTCGACGTTCACAAGCTCCACTTCGCCAACGATGGCTCCGGCCGCCGCGTTCTTCGCGAAGAGAACTGCTACAGCAAACTCGGCTTTTGCTTCCCACAACGGAAGAAGTGGCGCATTCTCATCGTCCTGTTCATCGTCCAGATCAGCATGAACTTCAACGCGGCCATCTATCCGAACGCCGTTCCTGGCATGAAGGAGCACTTCCACGTCGATGGCTGGAAGGCTCGTCTCGGTCAAATGGTCTTCCTCGTCGCCTATGCCTTCGGCTGTGAGCTCTGGGCTCCATGGTCCGAGGAGCTGGGCCGTAAGTGGGTGCTTCAAGGCTCGCTCTTCCTCGTCAACCTCTGGCAGATCCCGTGCGCACTTGCACCAAGCTTCTGGGTCGTCTTCGGCTTCCGGTTCCTTGGCGGCCTCTCTTCTGCCGGCGGATCCGTTACGCTTGGCATGGTTGCCGACATGTACGAGCCGAACGACCAACAGTTCGCAGTCGCCTTCGTCGTCCTTGGCTCCGTCGCTTCCGCTGTCATCACGCCCATCGCCGGCGGCGCCATCACGCAGTACCTGCCCTGGCAGTGGGTCTTCTGGATCTCGCTCATCTTCGGCGCACTTACTCAGGCTTTGCAACTCTTCCTCATCCCCGAAACCCGCGCTAGCATCCTCGTAACCCGCGAAGCCAAGCGCCTGCGCAACGAGGGAACGATTGTCTACAGCCAAGACGAGATCAAAGGCGAGACTCTCTGGAAGCGCCTGGACTGGCAGGAATGCTGCACACTGATGTGGCGCCCATACCAGTTCCTCATCATGGAGCCCATTGTCCGCTACCTGTCCCTGCTCTCCGGCTTCAGCGACGCGCTCATCTTCATCGGTCTAGACTCCTTCGGTATGGTGCTGAAGCAGTGGCATTTCAACCACCTCACCATCGGCTTGTCTTTCATCGCCCTGCTGCTCAGCTACATCGCCGCCTACTTCTGGTTCTTCTACGACTACAAGAAGCAGGGAAAGATGATGCGAAACGAGCCTGACAAGTTCACGCCAGAGCGCCGCCTTTGGCTTCTCCTCTTCGTGGCACCGCTACTCTCCATCGGCCTCTTCGGCTTCGCATGGGCCTCGCTCGGCCCACGATCACACATCCCTTGGATCCTTCCGATCCTCTTCACCGTGCCGATCGGCATCGCCAACTTCGCCGTCTACATGGCCACCATCGACTACATGATCGCAGCCTACGGCCCATACGCCGCCTCTGCTACCGGCGGTAACGGCTTCTGCCGCGATCTGCTCGCCGGTCTTGCCGCGTTGTTCGCCACTCCGTTCTACAACAACGTCGCCACAGGCACGAAATACCAGCTCACCATCCCATCCTTGATCCTGTCGGGTATCGCGCTGCTGCTCATCATCCCAGTATACTACTGCTACGCCAAGGGTCCGGAGATCCGAGCCAAGTCAAAGTATGCGTCTCAGCTGGCTCAGGAGCGTGCAGAGCACAAGGAGGAACGCCAAGAGGCCATATCAGCGTCCACATCTCCAGTCAACTTACCGCCCAACTCGCCACCTCGCACACGACCAAACTCGAGGCCATCGTCACGGCCAATTTCGCGGATGGCCTCACCGGTCCGTAGGACGGTTCGGGCTCCGAACGAGATGGAGAGGATGCAGCTGCCGGCGATTGACTTGATGTGACGATGATACACTGCAACACAAGCGCCATGGGCGACTAAGTAAACTCCGTCCATTCCACCTTTCTCGATGCTCGTGCTGACCGTTAGTTGTAGAGTGCGGGACTACACAAGAGCATGCTGTCTTTTCTGCTCGAACATCGGGTTCGATCATTTTCACAATGATACCCAGCTGTAGCTGGTCGCAACTGGAGATGCATCTCAGGCAAAGCTGGCGGCTACAGCATGCGTTGATGGAATTGGTAGGAGTTGAGGATGCATTTGAATGCTTGTTTGGCTTTACGGCCACTGAATACTTGTGTCTACTTTCGCCGCGCTCTGGCGATGGGGGGATCCTGCTTTCGCGAAGTTGCCTCGTGCTAAGGGGAGCAGCACTCTCGCTGTTAGCAAGGGCGCGTACGCGAAATGGTGGTCAGGATGTACATTCGCTCTCCAATAAAATAAATACCAATATGCTTATCCCTTCCCTTTCCCACTGCCTTCCAAATGCCGTATCAGGTCCTCGATCGTAATCACCTTCAGTCCATACCGTCTCGCAAATGCCAGACACCCATCCCGTCTCATCATCCCAAAGCCACCGCTCATCTCTGCGATTCCCTGCGTCTCCTCACCGTCTTCGACCAACTCCGCAATAACACCCACCGGCTGCTTGCCCGCTAACCGGCAAAGATCGACGGCAGCCTCAGTATGCCCTGCCCGAACTCTGACGCCGCCCTCCCGAGCCTGTAATGGCACCACATGCCCCGGCCGTCTGAAAGACTCCTTCGTAGCTGTCGGGTCCGCCAGTCTCCGGCACGTCGTACTTCTGTCCTGCGCGCTAATTCCCGTAGTGACCTCCTCGCTCGCATCGATCGTAATGGTGTAAGCAGTCCTATTCGGATCGGCATTCTCGCTCACCATTTGAGGGAGTTCTAATCGTGCGGCTAGTGAGGGCAAGATCGGAGCGCAAAGATAGCCGCTGCTATGCCGGATCATGAACGCTGCTTTGGCCGGCGTAAAGTCGGAGGCGGCGATGATGAGGTCGCCTTCGTTCTCGCGGTGCGGACTGTCGAGCACGACAAGAAACTCGCCATTGGCTGGTGGAACGCTTGTTAGCGGCACCTTGTCGGCGTCTTGCGCAGGTGAGACGTACCGAATGCTTCGACAGCATCTGGTATGCTATCGAACGACGTGTCCCCATTGGTCATCGCCATGGTACCACCCGTACTGCGTGCCCGCTACCTGGATGCTCTTGCGGCTTACAGTCTGCTCGAGGGTTCGGCGACAGGAAGTTGAACAGGCAGTCAGTAACCGCAGTAGCTATTCAGGACGGTGCTTCCTTGATACTTTCACCGGCGACTACGTCTAACTCTGACCGAGGCACAATGGTTTCACTAAGCTTGACAGTCATTTTGGTGGATATATGAGGGACGACACATTTAGTGGGGTGACAAAATAGACTCTCCGTGCTTTGATCGGCTTAGCAATCATTATCTGGCCGACGGTCCAGCAGCACGCCGTGTGCCAACGTCTTCTTGTGGCCCGAAGAATGATGGTCAGCAGGAATACATAGCATGGTACACTGCTCGGACAACGTCAACAACCAGTTTTTGGTCTCGTGTTTCCCATTTCCTGTACAAGATTCCACCAGCCATGAGCATACCGCGTAACAAGCAACCCATCGTCGCTTCAGCGTGTCAGTGCTCCTACAATGGTCGTTCGACAACGTTGTATACGCTCGTCGAAGAAGGGCAGAAAGGGTACCACGCAGCCGAAAAGAAGTCTCCGTGCAGCCTTGTCACACCGGAAGACCGCCGCCTGGTACTGTCCAAATGGCCCTCATCTGCACAAAAGCGTGCTTAGTTTACCCGATCATAGATGCGTCAGTGTCCAAATCCTGCTTTCCAACTAACTGGCTCGTTTAGCCGGGAGACCGGTCCCCTTCGTTCGAGATCAACTGTCGACGCGCATAGGCGAGCTGTAACCAGAAGAAAGAACGTAAGCAAATGCGATAAGGGACACAAAACAGAAAAGGTCATCATGACAGTGAAGGCAAAGGAGAGAAGTAATACACACCTCATCCAGCGTCTTCGCCAAGTTCGCATTCTTGCTGACGACCGCCTCCACTTCCGCACTCACGCTGCCCCTTAGATCAACCTCGCACTGGCGTGGCAGCCATCTTAGTATATCAAATCCATTAGCATACACTGTAGTCGTGTTAGTCGGCGCAGCATTGCCATCGGTAGTAGGCAGGCTGAAAGGCATGTAAATGACCATCTTCCGCAAACCCCAACAATAGCGCAACGACAGCCGGACAGTCTCCTGAAAGCGATCCAGTATCTCGTTGTACGATGGGATTCCTACTTCCACATGCCTGATCTGGCGCCGAGACCGCTGATGTAACGTCGCAAGCGTGGCGGGTGCGGTGGCGAGATCGAGGTTGAAGTGGTTCTCACTGTAAAGGACACTGCGCGCTTCCTGGTAAACGGTCTTGCTTACGCGGAGAAGGTTGACGACTAGAGGGTCCTCGGCTTGCGGGCGCGGAGTCGGCGGAGGCAGAGGCAGTGGCGGGAGCGAAACGCGTCGGTGAGCCCGAGTCGTACACTTCAACCCGCGGCCAATGGTTGCTGTGGCACCTGCACTGCTTTGACGAGCGGACAGCCGGGTGACGCGCATCGGTCGCGTGTGGCGGTTGGACCAGATGCTTGGCCCTGTAGGCTGGGACCGAGTTGCTGATCTTGACTGCGAGCTAGATCCTGCAATCTCGTCGTCTTCCATCCCAGTACTACTCGGGCTAATGTCGATTCGGGCGTCTGCATCGACTTCGTCCTGTTGTGGCCGGGGCGCAGGACGCGGCTGCTCCTTCTTCGACAGCAGAATGTTGAACGGCCTTGTCAAGCATGCGCGGTAGATCTCGTTTCTGATCTCTGCAGGCAGCTGCATCAATGGGAATTGCTTGTCCTCAAACAAAGCCTTGCGTTTACCCGCCCGTGCTACCTCCAGTCCCTCCATATATGCCATATGACCGTCGACATCTTCGTCCATAGCATCGTGTTCTGATGGTGGTTCCGACTCTCCGGTTGTGCTCATGTAACAGACCTCGTCAACCATCTCCTGTAACTTTGAGCCACTCGCACTCGTGGCCTCCGTAGCCAGCCTGCTCCTCAGCCGAGTGCTCATACCATTATGCTCTTGCCCAGTACCTGTTGCTGACCGGCGCTTCGCAACGCGTCCCGAAGACGTGGCACGCGCCATGTTTGCTTCTGGTTTGCCTCGAATACGCGCTCAAAATGCTATGCCTATGTCCAAGTACAGTGTGTAACGTGCGCCATCTTAACCTGACCACATAAAGAGATGATAAGGTGGGATACGGTGCCAAGCCAAATCGTTCGATGTCTAAATCCCAATAGCGGTTTTCCGAATCCTGTTGCAGTAGTGGACCAAATGTACCTACACTTAGAGATTGCCCAGCAAACATCGCCTGGTTCCGAGATCGATGGCGGCAAGGCAAGGATATAGCCGGGCCGAGGCCGGATGTGCCGCCGGTCAGGGGTCAGTGTGTTTCTCTTTCGCAGTGATTACAGACAACGAAAATGCTCCAATAACGAAGATTATTATTCTTGCTTGACATACAGATCGTAGAACTACTTCCACATACCTCGCCACTGCTTTGCGAGCGTGCATTCTTCCCCCAAATATTAAGAGGCTGATTTCTCCGCCGGGTTTTCCTATCTCCGGCTTTCCGCAGTACTACTTCAACACTGTCTTGCACCGCGCGCCACCGCTATGCGACGGCAATCCATGTGTGACCGCCTCGTATGGTACACGCGCTGTTTTGCTGGTCATTGTCGTCATGAAGAACTCCCTTCCCCACATGAAGCGAACCTTCCAGTTTTTCCCACCAAGCGCCTTGGATTAACATGGGTCGAGATATTAGTGATAGAGTCGAGGACTGGCCGCTTCACAATGTTCAGAAAAGACATAGAACATGAGAGTAGATAGGCAATAGTGAAGATGGCCAGGTAAGATGCCAGTAAGAACAAGCGCAGCCCTCTGCGCAGACGCCAGACGTTCCAGCAAACTAAAGTCAAGTCGGTCGCGCAATCGGGGTATATCCGGTAAACCGTCAAACGCCGGAACCCTGGTAAGCGAGCAGTTACACGTTGCCTCCTGCTTCCGGACCTGCAAGGTGGTCGTACCACAGCCTCCTATGCTTCGCCGAGAGAAGAGCATTAGCACAACTAGACATCCTTCTCTTCCTCGGCCTTCTCCGACACCTCCGCCAGCGTCTGAGCATCTTGTTGATCACTTTGCTGATGCGCAGTCGGGTGAGCGTGTTGAGCAGTGCCGGCAGGCCCAGTGCTGACGTGAGCAGTCTCAACATCACTGTACTATTGTTGATGCTGGGCCCACATCTCCGCACCGCGCAGCTGCTGGTAATCAATCGGACCAGTGCTGTGCGGCCTTTGCACTGGCTGCTGATAGTACATCGCCGCCGCGTTGGCGGTCGCGTACTGGCCGTTTGGATCCGGGTATGAATAATCGCTCTGCTGATGCTGCGTCAGACCGTTGTGCGGCGATTGCCACCCCATTGCAGCACTTATATGCGGGCTGTTGCTTCCGCTGCCTGTTTGCTGACCGTTAGTCGTTGGCGGCTCCAGTATCTGCGGTGGGTTGTAGCCCGATGATGGATTAGAAGTAAGTCCAGGCCTCTGCGGCTGGGTGGTGGGCGGCATCGGATATTGCGAAGGCGACTGCGGCCGAGGCGAGCCTTGCATCTCGCTGCGAAGATGCTGCGGGAAGGCGGCTGCTGCTGCCATGCCGTTGCCCATGACTTGCATATAGAGATCCGAGCCTTGCCTCTGCATCTGCGGAACGCCGTTAACATTGATGGCTGGCGAGTTGACTCTATCCGGCTGCTGAGGCATCGGCGACTTCCCGTCGGAGTAGTCACCTTCCTCATCAGACCCTCTAGAGCGGCTTTGCATGTTGACGCGAGACGCCAAAGCAGCAGCGGTGGCGGCTTCTGATTCCTCGATGGTACCAGTGTGGTGATTTTGGTGGCGCGTGAGCGTCGTTCTTCGAGTGAAGGTCTTCTGGCAATCCGCGTATGGGCACTTGTAAGGCCGCTTGCCAGAGTGGATACGCCGGTGGCGTGCTAGCGAGCTTGAGTCGCTGAATGGCTAGAAGATAGTCAGCAGCGGTTCGCTAACAGGTGTCATATAAAGCACAAACCTTGCCACACCGCTCACACATATGCGGCTTTTCACCAGTATGTACTCGTGAGTGAACCGTCAACGCCGAGCGCTGGATGAACTGCTTGTTGCAACCCGGGTAGTCGCATGCGTGAGGCCTGACGCCGCTGTGTATGCGCTCTGTACTATGTCAGCTGGTGACAACCATGCGTCATCCGTGATGAGCCTACCATGCCGAGCAAGATCACTTCTCCTAGCGAAGCCTTTGCCGCAACTGGAGCATGCAAAAGCTTTGGGAAGCCCACTACCATTTGGCCTGCCAGTACCATCACTCTGCGTCGGGTCTGGTGGTAGAGCTCCTTGAACGGGTCCCATCGAGGCTTGTGGCTGGTAAGATTGGTCTGATCCCGCGTTCGGATGGTACGTGTGCTGGATCAGAGGCATAGCACCTTGCTGCTGCATTGAAGGCGACGGATACCGCGGTACACCGCCATTCAACTGGTTCGCCAGGTACGCCATGCTGTTCTGCTGCGGCGTTTGCGATGAATATCGCGATGACTGTTCTGAATTATGAGGTGAGATGGCACGATCTGAGCCGTTTTCAGACTTTATCCTGCCGTTGCCATTCGGGACGTAGAGGTTCTGCTGTCCATAATGCGCGCCGGTCATGTCATGATTCATGTTCATCGGTATAGGTACTTCGTATTGCATGTTTCTGCGGCCTGCTAATGAAGTTGATCTGTTAGTGTTGAGCAACGAAGTAAGGTCCATTTCGCCAACAATGCTGTCCCTCCTCTTGCGTTGAGGAGCGAATAGCAGATGACTGATGGAAGGCAAAGCCATACAACGCGGTCTTGTGTGTACGCGCCTGATCTAACCTCCACCTCCAAGGGCCGGAAAGACGGTGACTCGGTGAAAAGTTGCAACCCACGTGATACCACGCAACAGTGTATGTGAACGGGCAATGTTTCTTACCACACGTCGCCTTGGCCCGCAGAATGCGATATGTGATGTGTATGCGGGCGTGGGCCCTGGTCGCGGGTGGTGGTCTGTTCGGAGGCGATGGACGGGAGGTCGTGCGTCTTGAAGGTCACAGCTCCAAGTGCTTGCAACAACAACACTGCGCAGTCAACTCGACACGTCAGTCAAACGTGTCTCAAGGGTGTCTTCCATGCATGCAGTGTGTGGTATGGGATGGGGCTAGATGGAAGGTACACCGCGAGTGCCGGCTGATGGCGCTTCGCGTGCACCGTCGTAGAAAAGGAGGTGGAATGAGTTTGCCGGCGAGGGAACGCGTGTCGGCGGCGATGGCAAGAGCGCATAGAACATACCTTTACTGTGTTTGCACCTTCCCAGAGAAGACTCGCAGAGCGTAGCAACGAAAATAGCGACGACGGAACGCCGACGGAACAAAAGACGTGATGGTGTTGCTGGAGTTCGCGCGTTCGAGTAGCTTGCGATGCTCCGTGCGCTCTTTAACCCTGAGCGCTGAGTCTTCTCCCTGGAAAGATGCGATCGGAGCCTCCCGCGCCAAGCCGACACTAGCGCCGCAACTCGAAGTAGCGGTTTGGAAAAGTGTTTCTATTTCCAAACGCCGCTCTCGATCTGAATACCCTCCGCGAATCTGTTCGGTTCCTCGAACCGCTTGGTTCCCAAACGCGCTGTTTGTTTGGTAGTGCTGACGATAGCACTGAAGCTTTCCTTTGGTTCGAGTAGGCACTAAATGCGAACGTTGCGGCTGGCAAACGTTCCGATCGATGAGCAACCAGTCGTCTTCCGGGTGATTACCGAACGTCCACTCACGCGGACAATAAGCTCTTTCTGGAACAACCTTGTCACGCCGTCATCCGTCAGCTTTGCTGCGATCGTTCAAACGTAGTTCTTGCGACCCGGTATCTTCCACCGTCAGACTCTGGCGAGCCTCGTCCGCAAGCGCTGTTAAAGTCGACGGTGTCTTGAAATCCCTGTCTTCCGTGGGTACAAGCACGTCTTGAAACGTGGGACCTCTTCAGATTTCCAGGCAGGCGGTAAGTGGACGTTTGGGTGAGCGTGACCTCGCTCCTCCGTTGCCACTTGTCCAGCGGCCTTGCCGTTGCTCTCGCTCCTCCGTCTGCTGTTCCGTTATGTTTGATTTACCAATTTTTCGTCTCATTCATCACTGGGATCTCACACGCTGACAGACCGGGAACCGGTTGTTCGCACGTTCTTGCTTGGGATAGGCGAGATTCGGTCGTTCAATTCGGAGCTAAGACTTGCTGAATGAACGCTTAGCTGCGTTCGTGGGGATCAGTGTAGTGAGGGAGCGTGTTGTTTATCTCGAGGTATGGAAGTTGAAGAGGAGCTTCAAGGATTGCTGCTCCACGCAAGTGTTGTGAGTGAGGCAAAGAGAGAGCTCTCCAGCCCAATTACAACTTCAGCACAGCTCCGCCCAGGCGTATATAGCCGCAAAGACCACCATACGTCAAGAACCAGAGAGATTGCATTCGGCACTGCGTCTAGCGTGCGCAGCGTACAAGGACACACTATGGTAGGAACATCCTGGCACCCTAAGCCACGGCCCTACAGGCCGGCGAGCGCACCGCCAGTGAAGCCGGAACCTGCATTCCGGGTATGGAATGTGGAACATATATGGCGGCAATGGTGCGAATCTACGTTACGAACAGTAAGTGCCACTGCCTGGCTTGAGGCGACCTTTGTTCTACGATTGGTGCCAGCATGGATGTTCTGAATCGAGTAGTTTGACGCAGGAGCATGCCATCTCGGACGTGCTTAACACAGCATCCATGCCTATAGGCTCCATGTCGGGCATGCCTTCAGCCGCTAGGCGCACAAAGAGCACCACTTCACGAGTCATTGAGGGTTCCGCTGCTCGTACGTTCAGGGATGTGTTGGGTTGTATGAGTAGCAATGGCTTGATTAGAAGCTCGCTAGAAGTCCTCCAAAGCCATGGACTGACGCCATCATGCCCGGAAACGTACATGCACCGCCATAAGCAGGGGCCGGTCTGAGGCCGTACGAACGGCGCTGTGCTATAGAAGCACGGGAGAAGGATGGAAGGGGTAGCACTGAGCTCATTTCGCGTGGCAGCTGCCGGGGCGCACAGGCCGCTTAGGTACACATTGCCAATAAGCAGCCATTGGCCATAGCGCTATTTTGGGATGCTGAAGTTCGACGTCAGCTCGTCGTCTGCCTTTTGTAGAAACCTTTTCTTCCCAGAGCAAGAGCAAAGAACGTGTATCGATCGACACAATAAATACATAGAAGCTGGTATGGAGACATGCTTACTCTGTATGATGGAGAAGCTGTCGATGCCGCCATCTGCAGTATTAAGCGGAGAGCGGGCAGTAGTTCGGCAGATGCACTGAGGTAGGCCATGCTTACAACCCACGCCCTCTGCCTTTCCATCTTTTGTAAACCGGCGTATAACTAAACAGCATGGCTAACCCGGTAATGAATCACGCCCACATCGGCCAAGTGAAGGGCCGCAAAGCGAAAGAAGGAGTCGAGCAGTATCTTGGTATCCGATATGCTACGATCAAAGATCGTTTCGCGCCTCCTGTGCTCCATGAGTACGATGGTAGTGGTCTTGATGCAACGAAGATAGGGTAAGCCTGATCAACACCCTGCCCAAGCCTACCTACTCAAGCGCTCCCAGGCCACAGACGGCGCCTATCCCGCAAGGTGCACAGCACGAACAAGCTCTCATTCAGCACACACTCCCGACATCGGAAATACAGTTCTCGGATCTGGAGGGGCTGAATCTCAACATCACCAAGCCGGCCACTGAAGACGACAACCTTCCTGTGTTCCTCTTCATCCATGGCGGCGGCTTCATGGTCGGCTCTGCCACGTTCCCGCAATACGACATGGCTCGCTTCGTCGCTCTGAGCGTCAACAAGGGTCTCCCAACCATAGCCGTGACGTTGAACTACCGTCTTGGACCGCCAGGCCTGCTCACAAGCCAGGAAATGCGGGAGGCTGGGTATTTGCCCAATAACGCCATCCGAGACCAACGGACGGCCATCCAGTGGGTGAGAAAGTACATCTCTGGCTTTGGAGGGGATCCGGAGAACATCACGCTTGCGGGTGAGAGTGCGGGCGGTGTTAGCTGTACTTATCATCTGCAGTCTACGCAGCCCTTGTTCAAGCGTGTGATGCCCATGTCAGGCACGAGCCTCTTGTTTCCTCCGTTGCCGATCGACTTGGCAGAGGCGAACTATCAGACTGCCGTCAAGGCATTAGGCTTGGACTCGCTTTCTCCCAAGGAGCGGATTAAGGCGCTGGTATCGATGGACGCTGCTGGGCTAATGGGCAAGCTAATGACTGTCCCTAAGCTACCTGTGATGGAAAGCGATCTACCGCTCATATCGCAGTCCTTTGCCGACTTTTCCGAAAGCAAGGTCCCAATGTGCGGCGCCGATTGGTGCGAGAGCATACTGATTGGCGACTGCCAAATCGATGGGAGCATTCAAAGCCTTCGGCTTCAACATCGCAAAAGCGGGATCGGGCGAGCCTTCTGCGACGACATGCAGAAAGCGTTTTCCACGGTCGAGTACGCCGACAAACTCCTCCACGGTTACGGCATCTCTCCCGACTTAGAGGACGATACTGCTTTCGGCAAGGTGCTCGAGGTTCTGAACGATATCGGCTTCTACGCGCCTACATTGGCTTTCGCGGAAGGTTCGACAGGCGGCGGCGTTAAGACCTTCATGTACCGCTTCAACGAACCGAATCCCTGGGATGGGCCGTGGAAGGGCAGAGCTAATCACATCCTGGACATCGCTTTCCTGTTCCAGAACTACAATGACTACCTTTCTGACGAGCAAAGGAAGACTGCGGAGGGTTTTGCGGAGAGTGTGTTCCAATTCGTGCATGGGCAGGACCCATGGCGGGAATGGAAGTCGGAGGAGCGGGTGGCAAAGGTACTTGGTCCGCATGGCCGCGCCGAGTTGGTGGAAGACGTGCCGGAGAAAGTGGGGAGGAGTATCGTCTTGCTTGACCTTGCAAAGGTGGTGCCAGGTGGAATGGATTACCTGAATGAAGTGCTGAATGGGTTTTTGAGAGGCCCACCAGCTTCATAAGGCACGAGGCAGCGACGACTGTTGACACGGATAGCTCTAAATCAGCATCCTTCATAGCCTCATGAACCATGCGTAGGACTGCTCAGCCCTCGTCGCACCAAGCAGATATGCGGTGGCATCGCAGCAAGATGCGTGCCGAATTGAAGCCCGGCACGAAACGCGCTAAGACACGACAGCACGGCTCACACCAGCGTCGAAGCGTAGACCCACCTGCCACATACTGTAGACTTTTGGCTTCTAGCATAAATGTTCCCGAATGCTTCGACAGGCGGATCACCTACATTGCAGACCAACGGTCTCGAGGTTGATCCGCAGGGTCTGAACACGTAGAAGTGAAGACAAACGTGAAGTCTGAGTGGGCAAAAGCGTACCCTCATCGCTAAGAATGCACATGTCAGCAAGTGAATCTACCATCTAATCCCATCCACCTCCACCCTCCCATCACCCACCCAGCAAATCCCTAAGCACCCTCCACCCTCCTTCCCCTCGCCTCCCCCTTTCCCGCCTCCGGCCTGCCACCAAGTGGCGGCAATCCAAACGGCGGACCCGGCAACGTCACCTCCGGCAACTTAACCGGCACCTCTTTCCCCACCGTGATCCTCTCCGGCAACTTCTCCCCCCTAACAACCTTCTCCATCTCCTCCTTACTCAACGTCTCATGCTCCACCAACGCCTTCGCCAACCGCTCCAGCGCACTCTTATTGTCAGTCAAAAGCTTCATCGCTCTCAGTCGTCCCTCTTCCACTAGTCGGCGGACTTCGGACTCGATGTTCTTCTTCGTGTCGGGAGAAAGTTTGCTGTAATCCGATGCGAGGTCGATGTTGCCGAGGAGTTCTGACATCCCCGCCCGTGTAACCATCGCCTGCGCCGTGGCGGTCGCTTGCGTGATATCCGAGCTCGCGCCCGTCGTCACATTCTCAGGTCCGTAGATCAACTCCTCCGCGCATTTCCCGCCCATACACACATCGATCCTCGCCATGAGTTCCTTCCGCGTTTCAGAAACTTTGTCGAGCTCCGGCAGCTGCCACGTCAATCCCAGCGCGTGACCGCGGGGCATGATCGTCGCTTTGTACAGAGGTGTACTGGCTTCGGTCAACATGGCTACGAGCGCGTGGCCACCTTCGTGGTAGGCGGTCATGACTTTGTCTTTCTCCTGGATCACTGCGGAGCGGCGCTCGGCGCCCATCATGATCTTGTCCTTGGCCCAGACGAGGTCGTCGATGGTGACTTTCTGCTGCTTCATCTTTGACGCCCGTACGGCGGCTTGGTTGACGACGTTCTCCAGCTCTGCTCCAGAGAAGCCAGGACATCCTCGCGCGATCTCAGCGGGATCTACAGCCGAGTCGAGCCGGATGTTGCGGAGATGGTGCTTGAGAATTGCTATCCGACCTCTCACATCGGGCAAGGGGACGGAGACGTTACGGTCGAAGCGGCCGGGACGAGTGAGCGCTTTGTCGAGAGATTCGGGGAAGTTGGTGGCGCCGATGATGATAACGCCGGAGTTTTGCTCGAAGCCGTCGAGTTCGGTGAGGAGCTGATTGAGCGTTTGCTTGGCGTATGCGGCGTCGCGTTCGTGGCGTTTGCTGCCGATTGCGTCTAGCTCGTCGATGAAGATGATAGAGGGTGCCTTTGCCTTCGCTGCGGCGAAGAGATCGCGTACGCGTTTTGCGCCAACGCCTACGTAGACTTCGTCGAATTCGGAGCCGGACATGTAGAAGAAGGGCACACCTGCTTCTCCCGCCACTGCGCGAGCGAGCAGCGTCTTGCCAGTTCCTGGTGGTCCAACGAGCAGTACGCCCTTTGGTAGCTTGCCTCCCAGCGTGCTGAAACGATCAGGCGACCGCAAGAACTCCACCAACTCTTGCACTTCTTCCTTCGCCTCATCGCAGCCCTGCACGTCGCCAAACCGGGTCGTCTGCAGCTCTGGCTTCGCTTCCGCATTCGCCGCACCGCTGACCTTCTTCAGCACGCCCGTGGCCTCGATCAAGAGCGTGAACACGACAAGCGAGCAGTACGCGATCAGGCCGAAGACGGCGAAGAATTTGACCCATTTGAAGATGGTGCTGCCGATACTCTCGTCCACGACAACATAAAGCGGCTCATTCTTCGCACCGGATCCTGCCTTGGATATGCTGACATTACCGCCCTGGTTCCGTGCCGATACCGCCTGTCCGATCGCTTGTAGTTGCTCGTTGCTAAGCGAATGGCTGTTCCCACCCGCGATCTTGCCCGCCGCCGACCCGAGACTGCCACTTTCTGTCGCGCCTATCCGCTCCAGCGCACGCATGTATGCGCCCTCGCATGCCTGGTTGCTTGCATATCGGCCTGTTTGATACCGCTCTACCAAAATCTCGGGCATGTTCGCGCGAAGGAGGGCTTGATAGAAGGCGTTTTGAGCGGTGGCGCTGCCGGGATTGTTATTGGCCGTCTGCTCCATTTGTGCGAGGAGATTGTGGGAGGGATTGTTTTGCTGACCCCATGTTGCGCCGAAGAGGCTGCGTTGTTGGGAGAACCCGACGAATGTCGTCCGCGGGGGCGGAGAGCGAAGGGTTATGGGCGCAAACCGGATGGTAGAGGTGGTAGAGAAAGCTCGGGCGGAGGGTGAGAGGGAGGATGATGGTCGTGTGAGTGGCGATGCTTGTCGGAGACTGCCTCTCGGCGAAGCGCCGAACAGTCCGCCGATAGTCATTGCAGTATTTGTTGTAGGTGTGCTCGGTGTTCTCCTCGTCGATATCGACGTTGGTAATGCCTCTTGTTGCACCTCTCGCCTCCGCTGTCTCTGTTGGGTCGATATCGTCCTCTTCGGCACATTTCTAAACGATGCCCGTACAACGTATGCCCAACTCGGCAACAGCTCGTTCGTTACGGCGGCCATGTGCTGCATATTGCCGGGCCTCGCGAAGGCCATGCTTGCCTGCGGTCTAAGCCGCGGGAGTCGGGATGAAGGCAACGCTCAATGCAAGTCTCATTAAGGATTGAATCAAAAGAAGGAGAAGGATATAACGAGGTAGTGGGTGCGTGGGAGTGAAGGACTGATTGAGATGCAGCAGGCGGAGGCAAGACCGCCTGTCAACGAACAGACGCCCGGAGAGGCACATGACGACTTCCGAATCGGAAAGAACATCGCCACTATGGTGCGCACGGGCCTCCATTCTAGATAGTCGGCTCACGTGCTCACCAGCACTACCCACTGTACATGTGTTCATTGTGCTCTTCGGAATCTCTAACTTCCAATTGGTGCTTGCTTTCTATCGCTGAAGACCGTAGGGTCATTAGCGTGTCTACTCATCAATATGGCGCTGTTTGCCACTGCAGCAGACAATATTGGTGTAAGAGAGGGAGATAGTCCTCAATAGCGCAATTACCACCTACCCACCAATATGACCCTACTCACTTCCCCCTCCCACCCCCTTTCCCACCACCCCCACCCCGCCTCTTCCCCACACTGACAAACAACGGCCGACACTCCTTACAATACCACGTCTCGTCCTCGGCAGGACTACTCCTCAACTCCGTACACCCCAAGTGGAACCACTCACGCGCACACGCGTCGTTATCGCACGCCACCATCTCCCCGTACGAGCCGCGGTTGCAATAACAATATCGTGGCTCATTCGGGTCGTCCGGGTCGTGTTCCGAGTCTTCTGCTTCGGCGTCCGCTTCAGCGTCCGCTTCAGCCTCGAGCTCGGTGTCGGCGTCTGCGTCTTCATCGCCTTCCGCTTCTGCTTCCGGTTCTGGTGATAGGTTGGCGGGGCTGGTGTCTTCCTCCATGCCGCGCGCGGGTTCGGGCTCGTCTTCGGCTTCTGGCTCGTCCTCCTCCGGTGCTGGTGCAGATGCAGAGGTGACGGCCGTTGCGTCGACAGGCGGCTCCTCATCCGCAATCTCAGACTCCACCTCCTCCTCCTCTTCCTCCCTTCCCTCCGGCTGCCGCTCAGCTTCCTCCTCACCAACTTGAGCCTCCACCGGCGACTCCACCCCCCTCGTTTGCGTATTCCTCCTACTAACCGGCCGACTCCTTGTCCTCCTCCCCTCCTCCACACCCACCTCCGCCTCTCCAAGCGTCACCTCCTCCCCAACACCATCCAGATGCTCAATCTCCGCATCAATATCCCCATCATCATCCGACTTCCGATGCCGATCCAGATCCGGACTCCGATTAAACGGCGCCAACTGCTTGATCAAATGACTATTACTCGCATTGCGCTTATGCTTCGGAATATGCTCCGATGACGCTTGCCCGGGTTCATCCGACGCGCTGTCATCCCTTTGGTTGGTGTTCCGCAGACTCCTCGTGCTTCTCGCACGCGCCAGTCCGGGCGCATCCGGGAAACTTTCGGTCCTGGGTGTGCCGGTCTTGCTCGCTCGCCCGCCCGTACCCGTACCCGTCTTGCCAGAACTCGAGCGCGAAGGAGCGACGGGGCGGTCGGCATCTGGCATTTCCACGTCCTCTTTCTTCATCGTTTCTGCAGCCTCAGGAGGCACCTTCTCCGTCTGCTCGCTCTCCACCGTCTCCTCCGCCTCCTCAACTTGCGCTTTCCGCTTCCCACTCCCCTTCCCAGTACTCTTCCCCGCCGACGCCGGCTGGACAATTTCTTCATCCACCAACCTCTCATGCCTCAAATTCGTCGTGCTATTCTGCCTCAACCTCGCGCTCTGCGGTCGCGCCAACGCCGGCGGAGGAGGCTCCATGCTACTAGCGATGAAGCTCGTATGCAGCGGACTACTCGCCAACGCCGGACTATTTTGCACCGACGTATTCGCATTCTGCACGCGCTTCTTCGGCGGCGCAACAGCCTTCGCCTTCACCGCTCTCTTCCCCACTTGTTCAGCCGCAGGCGTGCTGCGCGGAGTCTCTCTGTTACCCTTCCCGCCCTTCACGGTCGCAGCACTATTCGAGCGCTCCATCATCGGCGCAGCCAGCCCCTTATCCACCTTCCGTCTCTTTACCGGCTCTCCAGTCGCAGTAGAAATGCCCAATCCAGTCGCCGCCGCCGCAAACTTCCCCTTCATCCCCTTCGCCCCGACCTTCTTCGTCGGCCTCTCATCAAAATCCGAGTCGACATGTTCCTGTTGCCTCTTCCCTCCCCTCCCCTTCTCCCGCATCGCCTCGCGTCTCGCCTGCGCAATCTCCGTCTCATGCACCGCATTCGCAGCCGCAGCTAAACTATTCGTCGCGGCCACATCGACACGTCTATGACTCGCCGCCGCCGCCGCGGCACCAGCCGCCCCAGGCGCAGTCGCAGTCTTCTTCTGTCGGTTGTCGCTGTACGCCCAGTGCGTCATACTCCCCAACCGCGCCTCCTCGCTGATTTCACCCTCGACGTACGGTATTACAGAGTCCATGCGCAGGAGTTGGAGGTTGAGGACTCGGTTCGCTTCGGCGAGGACGACATTCTTCTCGTCCAGGTTGGGGAGGAGATTGTGCAGTGCGATGCGGAGGTCGTAGTATTTCCTCCTCCGAGCTAGTTCTTCTTCGTTCTCGCTCTCCGCTTCGCCAATTTGTGAACCGGCGATTGAATTTTGCGCCGAGTGGCCTCCTCCACCGCCACCAGCAACGCCATTGATCAAACTCGCGTTTGCGCTCCCAGTCGCGCTGTTGCTGGCAGTGAAACTCAGTAGTCCTTGGCCTTGTTGTGCTGCACCTCCACCACTAGCCTGCGGTGCCCCTCTAGCCGGAATGGGGAGTTCCATCAACGCATCCAACATCCCCGCCAACGCCTCACTAGGCCCATGAATCTTCGCCTCGACCTCCTTCATGAGCGTGAACTGGCGCATCACCTCCCGCGGCAACGCCGTGATCGCATCGCTGAAGAATTGAAGGGCTGGGAAGAAGCCGGGTTCGGCGTCGGGGAGGAGGGAGGTGTTGTTGTTGTTGGGGTCGCCATTGGTGGCCGAGGCTGCGGACAGGGAGCCGAAGGGGCGGGCATAGTAGTTTGTTGGGCGCGTGGTGTTGTTGCGGATGGCGCGACCGGAGGCGGTGCGTTTGGTTGACGTCGTGGGATCGGTGGGTGGAGGCGCGGTGGTGGTTGTGGTCGTCGTGGTGGTGGGGGGGAGGAGGGAGCTTTTGCGGAGGAAGGAGGTTGGTGGCATTGTTGTCGCGAAAAGAGGTTGTCGCGTATGGGAAGGGAGGGTTATGGTAACAAGGCTACCCAGCGAGCCACATGATGAATAGTGGTGTACATGTCAAGCCGAGTGGAGGCGATGGTTGCGTTGCACACCTCACTCTACCTCTCGGCGCTGCGTGAAAGCTGAAGCCGAGCGAGGCAGGTCCTCCGGATAAGCAGGGCAGCTTTGACATCATGCGCCTATCTTGGAACATGTCACGTGGCGATAAGCGGGCAAATATCGATTGCTCCATGTTCACATTGCCTCTAGTAGCAGAAGAGCGAAGGAAGTCTCACAATGAGAGAGGTATACGGGGAAGCTGCATAGCAGTTCATCCATCGTGGCCAAAATGAGGCTACTGTGGTCAGCAAAGTCAAGCACTCCGAAAATACATGTATCCTTAGCGACATGTGAGCTGCCAAGAATGGATTGCAGGTCTATGTTGCCATATCCCATGCCGCTGTGGTGTATGTTCATATTGGTATAGCCCGAGCACAGTGAAGCCTCCTTTCGACAGCAAAGCTCTAGGATGTAATATGCTCCTCCCGGATCTTGTGGCTTCTCCACGTAGTCGATGGGTTGATGGACTATATTGCCATCATATGCTCGTTCAATACAAGCAATCCTGTTGACAAACTTTATGCCGTACATGCTTTGATAGGAACACTTGCTGAAGTCCAGTGACTACATCTGAGTCGAACCCGTTAAAACCGCCACACCCATGGCATTCCCAACCTAAGCCTAGCCCACCCTCTCAAGCCGGCGGCAAAAAACTTGCAAACAATCCCGCCTGCACCACCGCATACACCATCATGCCCCTAACCACCCACTCCGGCCGTGCAGACGGAATGCGATCATAATTCCCAAACAGCCTGAACAACGCCTGCCTCTTCCCATCCACACCTTCATCCCCGCTTCCCCAAGCGGGCACACACATCTCAATCGCTAGCGCGAGATACCAGATCGGATACCCGGAGCTAATTCGGTTCAAGATCTGGACGTGGAAACTCGTCGCCGCCAACGCCACGAGTAGCAACTGCGGGAGGGCGAAGCGGGGGAGCAGATGTTGGAGGACTTTCTCCCGACGCGTTTGCGGGGTGGGAGGGTATGGTTGCGGTTTCTGGTCCGCCTGCGTGGAGCCGTTGAGCACGCGGTTGACGTGATGGGACTGAAGTAGGCAGGGGAAGGTTGTCTCGACCATGATCCAACCCATGGGGAAGGCGAGAGCGAAGAGGGGCAGGTTGGGGAGGGTCCAGTACCTAAAGAGTCCGACGTTCCAGTAGTGGGATTGCACGAAGGTGTAGATGGAGGGAGGGGTGGCGGTGCACCAGGGCCGGGGGGCGTTAGTGTTGGTGCAGTATTGGGTGTAGGCGAGGTATTGCGGGAAGGCGAAGCAGGATGCTAGGATCAGGCCCGCGGTGAGGGTGGAGAGGAGGCGGGTTAGCTGCTCCAGGTCGCGGATGCGAAGAAGTTGGGGGAGGTTAGGTAAGCTGAGAACGGCATCCCATAGGAAGATCAAGCCGCTTAGCAGGCCGTTGGAGCGTATCATGCTTGCTAGACCGAAGAAGATACCGGCGCCTAGCGTCCAGCAGGCGTCGATTTGGTAGGCATCGGCGTAGTTGGAGAAGCGGGCGTCGACTGCGATGGCGTAGCATAAGAGGCCGAGGAAGTTGAAGAGGGCGAAGGTGGACTCGCCGTAGGGTGCGGAGAGGAAGATGCCGGCGGGAGATAGGATGTGTAGGCATGCTGTCGTGAAGGCGACTTGCCGCTTGCGTTGGTCAGAGGGAGACGGGGTGATGGTGTAAACAAGCTGATAGAGCACGATGACTGCGAGAGCGTGGGAGAGATGGGAGATGCAGATGCCGGCGATGGCGTGCTTGACAATGGAGGAGACGGGTAGAGGCCATAGGAGAGCTAGAAGGAACGCGCACTTAGCCTTTGATCCTGATACTGTTCGTCGGCAAGGCTTCAAAACACACCTCCAGCGAAAAAAGAGGTGCACTTCGATAGCAGCCAGCTGAAGGCCCAGTCCTGCTCACGAACATAACCACGAGACGCGTTGCTCGCAAAGTAGATGGCGTCCCACCTTGTCAGGCGAAGCACGATGTACTCTATCGCTGAAGAAACCCACGACAGATGGTGATTCTTGGCATGCTGATCGAACAATATTCGCGTGCTCGTGTCATACCCGACGCCAGGACTCAGCAGGGCGACGATTAGTAGCACAGCCTTCCAAGCCGCGAAGATCCGAAGCAGTCGCTGTATACTGGTCTGCTGAATGGGCCTTGCAGCCTTCCCTTTCAAGGTTGCGGGCTGGCTGATCCTGGTAGGGCTGAAGTAAGTCTTCAGCACGTTCATGGCGGTCAGAGGCAATGGACGCTTTCGGAAAGCTTCTCGTGTGTTGTTAATTTGCCGACACCATCCGGCTGAGGCGTTGTCAGATCCTTTCTCGTCACCGTGCGTCTCACACCACCCTGACACGAACGAGCAGATGGGGCGCAAAGCGGTGACACCGCTGTTGTCAAGGCGGGTAGGCCCGCAGTCGTACGAGAGCCGGCTGTACTCGTATACAAGCCTTGAAGATGAAGAGGGACTAGCACCGACAAGTCACTCCGCCGACTAGCCGGACATACAAGCAGGCAGTGAAGTCCCAAGTGGAGCAGCGATCTTCCCACGATGCGTGAAGTCGAGTGGATGACGAAGACGAGTCTCTTGGCTGCCGGTGCCAAGGTGTGAGAGGATCATGAGCGCCGGCAGCGGCTCGAAAGGGATGTTTCATGCCACACGCGGGCCGTCGGAGCTCCGATTAATGTGGTGCGCTGTGCAACAACGGCGTGCGGGACAACAAGGGCACACAATGTTTGTTGCGGGCGTAGTGGTTCGACTGGTAAAGTGCTCACTTTGTCTCTATCACGCTCACTTCTCTTCTTCTACGTCGACTTGGTCCACAGCTCGTAAACATATACGGTCATCTCCTCCTATTGGAGCGCATGCGCCGCGTGTGAAAGGGAGGCGCAAGTGCCAGCCACGCATTTAGCCCCGCAGATCTCAGTTAGCCACGACTGTGTCCTTGGCGTCGGTGTGGAGGGAAAGGGAAGGGCTGCAGGAGACGAAGGCTCTCGCTTCCCTCCGCGAACGTTACTGTTAATAACAAAGAAAGAGGAGGCCTGGAGTGGAGGCAGGCTGGTGTGGACCACCAGTCGGCTTGCCTGTGCCGGCCACTCTTGGGAGACCGTACTCCCATTGTTGTTGACTTGCATTGATCTTTATATGTCTGCCTCAGCACTACACAGTCGCTGCATTGAGACGACTCACGCTCAAGCACAAGCCCAATGGCAACATCGGAGGCACCACCGCAACAGCAGGCAGCTGGTCTGTCTCGCTGGGTGCCAAGTCTGCCAACCATCGATCTGAACGCTCTTAATCCCTTCGCAACAACGAGCGATCCTTCCAAACATACCGCAGATGCAAATGCAAGCCAACAGGCTCCCGACCAGTCGGCGGCCGTCTCAGCGAACAGACGATCATTCCTTTCCACTCTCTCTATACTTGGCAGTACTCAAACTCCGGCCGCTCTTGCGACCTCTCGTGACCCATCCCCAACACCAAGCAGTGCCATGTTCGCGGAGCCGGAGACGAGAAGCACCAGCGAGGACGGCGAGTCTAGGGAGGGCAGCATTACCGACAGCAACAAGCGCTCGAAGAAGAAGTGCAGCAGGTCAAAGACATGCTTCTCCGTCTGCCATCCTGCTCCTACCAATACGGTGAAACAGAGGCTGCACCGTCGGCCGAGGAGCCTACTGCAGCTCCACAAGCTTTGTCCGAGTGCCCGACCCAAGCCTGCCTTTGAGGCCATTCCAGCTGCCAACTTCAATCCTCGCTTGACGAAAGCTATTACACGAGTTTTCAAGGCTAAGCATGGCTTGTGCCCCAATGACCTGGTTGTCCTTAAAGCGGAGAACTATGCCGTCGTAGACGATGATGAAGACGAAGGTCAAGAAGAGCAAGATGTCATCGGCCTGATCTGTAAGGGGCGCAAGCAGGACGAGGCTGCAGCCAAAGAGGGCAAGGCCAAGATATGCATGGCTTCGGGTGCCGAATGGGAAGCATATCCGCTGGTGAGCGGCGGGTATGAGTTCTTCACCACGGACGAGCATGGTCTTGGACTTACAGTCAGATGGGTGCCGAAGAAGGTGAAGGACCGCGACGGCACCAAGACGATGCGAGAAGGCAGCAAGCGCTTCAACTTCAGCACCATAAGCCCGACCAGCCGTCGTCATCCCGTCATTGCATGTCTGAGCAAGACTGCTCTGGAGATCAACGACAGCTACAAGATGCCGGATGCAGCAGCGGCCACGCCGTTATCCACTCCCAAGCAAGCAGGCCGGTCTGCACTCGCAGAAGCTATGGAGGATGAGACGGTTGGCAAAGAGCAATTCGAAACCGACGATGCTCTGCGTGAAATCATCACCATGACCGCCATCTGGGTTACGTTCAAAGAAGGCTGGTCACCAAGCTTCAAATACGACGATCCTCCTTCCGCAGCTCAAAGAGTGGCATCCGTAATGAGCGCATCACCCTCCAAATCCGTCGCCTCACCTCTGACGACCCCACCCGCCTCACCAGCCCCAACCCAAGCCCCTCTCGAAAAACGCGGGAGCATGAAATCCATGACCTCCACCATCCTCCGCAAAAGCAGTCTCCGAAACAAAAGCAACCGTGCCTCCCAAATCTCCGTACCGGAAGAAGATGAATCGAACATTGGCCTCTCACATCTCGAAAACGTGAAATCCAACCGCTCCCGAGCCGACTCGACCTCAACCGTCCTCGTCCACCGCGCGGCTAGCAATCGTCGTAAGAACAACACTAATCAACAAGCTACCTGGCGTCCGGACTTGCTTTCCGCACAACAGCATAATGTCATCAGAGAAACGAGCCGCGAGAACGTCAATAGTGCCCACCCGGCGTCAACTGTCCAGCAACAACCGGACAGCGTCTGGGACTCTCCCTCCCCGACTCCTCATCAGCGACGGCGTACGAGTGTGGTAGCCGAACGGCTTTCTCCGCCTGCTCCAACTGGGATGGGAATGGAGAGTGACGATGAGACCGAGAATGATGGTCCAGCCGCCGAGACGGAGACCGAGACTTCGCCAGCGGCTGTGCCGAAGCTGGAGACGCGCGTTAGCGACGCTTCGTCGACTACGGCTGTGGAGTCGAACGTGGGTGGCCAGCAGAAAGCGCAGCACCAGGAGCTGCAGCTGCAGCAGCAGCAGCAGCCGAAGCTGGGGGCCAAGGCGGGCAGCACGAACACGAACACGAGGCAGAAGGGGAAGAAGAGGGGTTGGCGGAAGTTGTTTTGTGGGATTGGGACGCATTGAGGCTTTTCAGCGCTCTCCTGGAGGTGTATGGTTGGGTTGGTGGACACTGTTGTATGATTAAGTGATGGTCCCGATTGAGAGGTTGGAGGTAGATGACATCGTTTACATATCGATATGATACCATAGGCTACGCGTAGCTCTCTGCGCCAAGTAAGATATGCGTCTAGCACTCACTGAGCAGTTCATCTCGACATCAGACCACTTCGCTCGGCTACTAGCTGTTGAGCCTCCTTTGGTTCCGTGACAGATGCAGATTCGCTTATTGCACGCCCAACCCGAGCAGCACCAAAAGCGCCACATTCATTATCACAATAACGCCCCAGATAAGCACAGCAAAAATGGCGGTGACCCAATGATTCCGCATCTGAACGACGCCATACCCTCCCTCAGGACGGTTGTGCCGCTCCGCAGCGCCGTCATGCCGTCGTGTCCCATCATCATTCTCAAAAACGCCATGACCGATATCACTCCGCTGAACGCTAACAGTCATATACTTATTCCGACATGTAAAGTAAATCAGCGGCGCGGAAACAAAAGGCAAAATCACACTTAACGCCACCTGGCTCGCCTCTAGCGCCCGTGAGAGTCCCTGTTGTCCCACCGCGCCCGCGATGATGATGGAAGGCGTGATCGAGATCGAACGCGTGATCAGTCTCCGCACCCAGGGCTTCACGTTCAGGCTCAGTTGGCCTTCACTCACCATCTGGCCAGCGATCGTGCAGACAATACCGGCGCTCATGCCCGACAGTAGTAGGGCGAGGGCGAAGATGGTTCCCGCGGCTGGCGCGAGTGAGGTGGAGAGGAGATGGTAGATTCCGAAGAGGTCTGCATCCGACGCGGAAGGGAGGTCGGAGAGTGAAGCGCCGGCTACAATGAGGATGGCGGAGTTGACGAAGAGGGCGAAGGCGAAGAGGCTGAAGGCTAGCTCGACGATGGAGTAGGACATGCAGGACTTGATCGCGGAGAGGGAAGGCCGGTATTTCTCTTCCTCGGAGGCGGAGTCCGAGTCCGAGAGTACTTGCTGTTGTGACGGATGCCAGGCTTTGTGCTGCTGGTCGAACTCTTTGAGGCGCGCTTGGATGATGCCGCTGCCGAGATAGAGCGAGTGTGGCATCACGGTTGCGCCGAGGATGCCGCAGGCTTGATATAAGCCTTGGCCTTGCACCAGAGCTGAAGACGGTAGGTAGCCTCGGAAGACTTCGACAACGCTGGTGTCTCGAATGAGCGAAAGTTGAACGCAGAAGCAGACGACCACGCCCAGTACGAGGAGCATGACAAAGATCTCGAAAGCGCGCAAAGCCCGCATGCTGCCGTCGTTTGGCCGGTAGAACAAGAGTATGAAAAGAACGTCGACGATGGAGATAGCGCAGCCAGCCACTAGTGGCAACTTGCCGTTTGAGAGCAGGTTCAGCGCTATCGCCGTGCCAATCACCTCAGCAATGTCTGTGGCGATGATGGCGGCTTCCGCAAATACGTAAAGAGTGTAGTTGAGCCAACATGGTAGGTGAGCCTTGCACATTTCCGCCAAGTTCAGGCCGGTGACTGAACCGAGCTTGATACACAGAGACTGCAGGTAGATGGCGAAGAGGTTGCTGAGGAGGACCATGAAAAGCAGCTTGAAGCGGTAACTGGCGCCCGCAGCAACGTCGGTCGCATAGTTGCCAGGATCGATATAGGCCACGGATATCATGAAGCCCGGCCCGACGAATTTGGCATACCGCACCAGGATTGAGCGTATGCGGTGCGACCAACGCAGCCAGGAACTCTGCGGCGGCTTGGATGGGCCATGGTGTTGCCGGTGGGGTGCTGTGCCAAGCGTCTCCGCCAACATGTCTTCGCCAGTCTCACAGCCCATCCCATCGCCATTGTCGCTTATACGCGGTCGTTTCCCTTCGCTTTCAGTGGGTTCGCAAGTTTCCACGAATTCCAAATCCACCGTTTCCGAATTACTTAAACGATGGTCTGTTCTTAATCGAGCGCTCGCTATTCTTCCCAGGTCGCTTCGTGTGGTGAGGTCCGCAGACAGCGCATTAGGACTCTGGTTGTATGCATCTGGAACCTCGGGCTCTGTCCGAGACGGGCAGTTCATTGTTGCAGTGTCCTGGCGTTAGCGGCAGCGCCTAGTTTGGGAAGGACAAAGAGAGGGTGTGGGAAGGAGAGTGGTATATGCAGGCAGTGCGGAGTAAGTTGACCATCTCGGTACCTCGAAGGCTGCGTAGCAAATCGTTAAAGCATGACGTTCTTACCTTTGCCGGTCGACTCAAATCGCCCGGCTTATTCCGATGTAAATCTAGATCTGAGGTAAGTGCGCTGCGCGTGGCAGAGCTGACGCGCGGACATATCACCTTCCGTGAGCGCGTCGGACGGTAACTACTGTACGAGCGAAATAAGCGGCTCTGCAGGAGGAGTAGGTGTCGTTGAGATAGAGGTGGCAGGAGAGCGATTGCGATCGTGGGTAATGCATTGCATGATCGGCCAATCTGCCTAAACGCCGGAAATCCGATGCAAGAAAGTGCCAAGACCACCATTGAGCTTGGACCACACACTCACACGTATACGCGACTTCTCTCCTTGCCGCTTTTCAACTGCGTGACTCTGCCTTCACCTACGCATCAGGTAAATGTAAGGTGTGCAAAGTTTGTAGGCGTCAGTGCTCTCTGCCATGGACTGGTTGAGCTCCATGGGATTGAACGACTTCCATCAGCCTCACGACGAGGACTTCGAGGAAGATAACGAGGAGGACTTCTACGACAACGGAACGATGAACGAACAAGACGCCACGGCCGGCGCTACCAGTGGAGTATGTCTGGACTGCGCCTGACTGATGTCGTCTCATGCTCACCGTCTAGGATGCAAACCATCTGCTCAACACTTTGTTACCTGCAGTTATAAAAGCCAAAACAGAACAGACAACCAGCCAGGAAGCACGCAAAGCTGAGAACCAAAAGAAAGCCGAAATGTTACGTGCTCAATTGCTTGCTAAACGCCAGAACACTCCAATGAAGGCTGCATCTTCGCGTGCGGAAACGCCTGCTGCAAAAGGGGCGTCGACACCACACCCTCCGCAGATGATTCAGCAACAAAAGCCGTCCACAATGGCGAAGCATTCATTGAGCGACAACCTTGGTCTTGACCAGATGATTGAAGAAGCTCGCGTTGCAGCCGACGTGAAAGCTAAAGACCAGCCAACCATCAATGGAATGAAAGATCAAAATCAATCTATCCTGCTCGCTACCCCTAAGAGTGAGGTCAAACCAGCTAACAATATCCAACAACCGCCTGAGCTTGAAACATCAATACAACAACAGCCGCAGGCCGAATTGATAACAGACAAACCCAAGCCTGAGTCTTGTCCACAACAGCTCAAAGATCCCTACTTCACTGACCTCGCAGCGTGGCTCGAAATAACAGGCTACCATGATGTTAGTTACCGCACTGCCAAGCTACGTACATACAAGCAGCGCAAGGCACTCGAGGAAGAAGCAGCTCGTATAGCCGAGAAGCTCGAGGAGCTCCGTCGTCAGGAGCAGGAAGAGATGGAAGCGTTGCGCTCATCAACTTTTCACCTCGTGTCCCAAAGGCCAGATGCACCACCGCCAGCACTTCCAACTCATGTCCCGGCCTCTGATGCTGTCCAAATGGCTGCTGTTGCATCCAAGCTTACCAACGGTGTCAAGCGAGCCCACTCACCAGCTCCAGTTGATCGCACAGTCAAGCGCCGCGGGGAGCCTCCGTCGACCGACGGCTTCCGCATCCGTGGCGCAAACGAGTCGCCAACCGAAGCACACCGTCCACCGTTTCCCAAAATGATGGAGCGTCGTATCAGCTACTCAGACGCCCGCCGTCCCTCGCTTGACGATGCACGTAGTCGAGACCCTTCACTGGAGCGTCGTCAGGGGTACTACAAGCGCGAAGGCGAGCGTCCAGGCCCGCCTCCGCGCGCTGACTCTAGGTACGACCAATACACGCCGCAGCGTGACTCACGTGTTATGGCTCGTGCCGAATACAGCTTGGGTGGCTATGCTAGCGCACCGCGGCCGCACACGTGGACGAGGAGTGATCATCAGCATCAACAGTTCAGAGGCAGTGCAGGCCTTGAGCTGCCCAAGGGTGGTCAGTCTACCTCTTCCGTTCGTCGTGAGTTGATGCGTTGATCGTTGTTCGTTTCGCATGCATATCGAGGTGTAGTATTATCGCTCAAAGGCATCAGCATAGCGTGGTAAGCCGGTAGGCGGGCAAACAGAAAAACAGGCAGCCAGCGTCGTGGCAAGAAGGCGTAGGAAGGCCGGTTCAGGGCGCTCAGGCGATGGTTCTTGGCTGATACTGTTGTGGTTGTCCGTCATTGGTTGTATCATCTGCTGAAGTGTACCAATACTGCAGGTGTACGATACTTCATCCTCAAATCGTGGAACATGGAAAACGTTGTGAATGCGCAGCGCGACAGTCTGTGGGCGACGCAAGTGCACAATGAGAACTTGCTGTCCGACGCCTTCCGAACCTCTCGCCACGTGATCCTGTTATTCTCCGTCAATAAAAGCATGGCATTTCAAGGCTATGTAAGCTTCCATACCCATCCCTGTACCGTGCCGAGGAGGCCGATACTAACAGACGCGAGGCTCTCATGACCTCCCCACCAGATCCTACGCTCCCGAAACCGCCCTTCTGCGCGAAGCTCAATTGGTCCACCTCGCCGGCTTTCACAATCCGATGGCTCGCTACGACACCAGTGCCTTTTCGTGCGGTGGGTCATTTGAAGAATACGTTGAATCTTGATGATGGGGGCTCGCCGAGAGCGGTGTTGGTGGGGAGGGATGGGCAGGAGGTGAGTGCAGACGCTGGTATGGGAGTGGTATCGGTGCTTGATGAAGCGGATGTGGAGCAACGGGGTCGTGTGTAGACGATTATGAGGTCCCGCAAAAGGTGGAGCTGGTAGATTTGCAGGTGAGGTAGGGAAGCGGTGGTTTGGTTTAGAACGCGTGTGATGAGATGATGGATCAACAGGAGGTATCGTTCGCATTCATAGATGCGATGTAGCGTAATCGTACCCCAACGCCGTACAGTATTTACAGATAGCCATCAGACACCTTTCTCCGCCAACGCAGAAGCGCCGTTAACGTTCCTATGCACACTCAAAGTACAAACGCCAAGCTTGCGAGGAATAGACTGAGCGTGCCGTACACCACAGGCTCGAGCGACCCGGCAGCATTGGTGGTCTGCGTTGGCAACATTGGGACCCCGCTGAGCGTCGCGGTCGCGTTCGTTGAGCTTGACGGCGCAGTCGTCGCGGTCGCATTTGCCGCTGCCTTAACTGCGCCTTGCCTGCCACTAAGGGACCTCTTACTCACGGCTGGATTTGGCACAGCCGCCGGGTTTACAACTCGGAAATAGTTCGCTGCGACTGGCAGGCCAGCCGTCTCCGCGAGCGCCGTGAGGTCGAAGTTGAAGCGGTCGGGTGAGTCGAAAGGAGCAAGATTGCGGCCGGCGTTGGGACCGGAAAGCTTGACGCCGGAGGTGATCCAGGACGGAGGTTCTGGGAAGAGATACATCACGTAAGTGTGGGCTAGGCCGTCGTTGGGAGGCTGTGGGCCGCTATATCACGCCTTAGGTCAGGCAAGAGCTCTGTTAGGCGCGAGGATGACGATGAGAACGTACGCATAGGATGAGAGCGCAGGGCTACTGCTAACCAAGCTGCCGTCTTGACCTTGGGTGACGTTGGTTTGCAACCACTGCAGCCATGTTGTTTGGCCCGGTTCTAAGCCAAGCGGGGGGCCGTGTGCGCCTGCCGCAGATGGTGAAGCGGTGGGTGTTGCCTCGATGTCAAGCAGGAGGAGCACGTATGGCGGGCTTATCAGAGGGAAATCCAGAGAGACGGCTGGTTTGGTTGACACCACTGCAACAGTGTCAGTCGATAGCCTCACTACCGGTCGGGCGGCGTACAAGACTGGTCCAGCACGTCACCAGGTTGAACGCTGGCGCCATTGATGTAGCTAACGGACAGAGACTGTGCTGCGGCGGGGTGGTAATTGGGAGGTGTTTGGCAAGAAGCAAGTGCTGCAAGAGTGATAGCTGCAGAGGCGAATCTGTTCATCGTTGTGGTGGTATGAAATTGGTATGGTTCGCGTGGTAAGGAGATGGAGCGTTGTACACCACGAGCGATCTGCAGAGCACTTATGTTCCCTTGAACTTGTGTTTTTGCTTCGGCTTACTAGTACGTGGCCTGGGCATCTGACATACAAGCCTCACGTATGCTCTTGTGTCGCTCGAAATGGGTGCTGCTTAGGCCATACCGTGCTGCGCCTCACATGTCTAGAGTGTGCGCGACAAGCTGCAAGTTAGCGCGGACATCAGATGCCGGCTCATGCTAGAAGACAGTCTCTTCGGAATCAGCATGGCGAAAGTCCAACACTTTCTTACAGGCCTTCCGCACGACCAGAAGATCATGCCGTCTGCGAAGCATGTGGTGCTTGCATCGAGAGCACAGTATGCGTGCTTGATTGCTGCGCGAACATGAGGCTGGCTAGTCAGGAAGCACGCAGTTGGGTGAGATGAGACAGTGGGTATTGCGCTTCGTGTCAGGCGTGCCGTCCACCGGGACGAGCACGCCAGTAAGCACGAGCGAAGTAAACGGGACTGCTCGGGTCGCGAACAGAAATACTTTCGGGACGATATGCAAGGCTGAGTCGGACGCCGTGCGCCATTAAGTGCCTTGGCAGTCGGTTCGGAAAACGGCAATTGTGTCTTTACTCATCGCTGCATCTCGAAGTAATGATGAATTGTCTGAGATCAACCAAAGATCAACCGGTTGGTTTTACAAGTTCGAGTGTGAATGAAAGGATGGAATAATGCTGTTGTGCGATATCGACACATCCTCATGGTTGATGACCTTTCTGTTCATGCCCGCATCAATTATACCATGACCTTGTCACATATGGGAACTTCGGGGTGAACTTGATTGAAACCATCTTCAACAGTCGATTGTTCAAGCATAGACTTGGTAGTGTGCCGTGTATGAAACCGCCATGTGACATGCTCCAAAAATGTACTAGGTATCCAGCGACTGGTTAGCTTGGTAGAGCAACTGGTAGTTGCACGGCGGAGGTGAGACCGCAGACGAGACGACACGGGCCCACCTCGGCGTCAAGATAACGCAATATATGTTCAATTTTATGGCTATGTCTCCATCGCAGGCACTTTGGCGGAGTGGTTAACGCGCTGCCCTGCTACTACGGAAGCAGTCATATCGTCAGGCAGTTCCTTCGGGAGCGTGTGTTCGAATCACACAGGTGTCGCTTCGTTTTGCCATTTGTTTTGGACATCGGACAGGCAGGCCTGGAAAACCGCGGTCCAGCAATAGCTGGCACCAATGGCATTCACAATGCTACTTGGCGGTAGCTACCACTGGCTTCTTCGCCTTAGTGTCTCGGTGAATTCGGAGCAGTGCGATCGTGCCGACATCCTGTCTAACACAGTCTGTGCTTCCATTCGCTATCAAGATAGGACAAATGAACCGTCTTTCAACACTGATAAGCAAACCGTACCTGGTGCCTGACCTGCAGATAGATACCCTGCATGACTCTGCTAGGTGCTAATCTAAGACATGAGCCGCGATAGCAGACGCCAAAAGCCATGTAGAGATTGCGTCTTGGATTGTGTATGACAAGGGTAGCGCAAACCTGGTCTCCAGTGCAGCACGAACACAGAGAGGGCCGCCTGGAAGGCCGGCTTTTGTCGACCTCACTATTGTGCCTCACAATGTTGTTATATACCCCGAGTCGTTTCAGCGCTGTACTATTGTGTTTGTAGAAGATACGAGGCCACCATGGCGGCTACTCCCTCGCTCCGCTCTAGCCGATCGTCTTCGGCCGTCAGCCATCACCCGCAGCCGCTGACACGAGCATTAACCTCTGATCGCCCCTCAGCATTTCTCCAACGGACATATTCCCAGAATATACTGGTGTTGGAGAAGTGGGCAGAGGATGTGTCACAAAGTGGAAGTGACATTGGCGAGGAGATCCGTAAGATGAACGAAGAGCAGAAGGCGCGCAGTCGGCAAAGCAGCATCCAGAGCAGTCATCAGGGTGATGTTGATGGCGCTAGGAGTGTTGCAAGCGGCGCACCACGAGACGTCGAAAGTTCAAGGAGTAGGGGAAGCAGCTACAGCACCAACATTGTCAACGTCAATGGTCTGGCGAGGTCTGGCGGTTACAGTCCAGCGGGCTATTTCAACAGCCCCGTAGGTTCTGTAGGCTCCACGAGCGGTTGGTCTCACATATCCGGTGCTCGTAAGGCGTCGACGACAGGGTCTTCTCGTCTGGCGCAAATGATAGAGCCAGTGCACGAGGGCCGGCCGCTCGATTCGCCTTTGGCGCTGGCATACTCAATGCACAGCGCTTCGCCGCCGGAGCACCAACTGTCAAGACAGGCTTCCCAATCTTCGTTCGCACGACAATATGATATAGTAGCAGGCCAGATGGACAACTTGAACGACTTCGGTCCACAGTCTGCTCCGGAGCAGAGCCACCCTCTATTGGGAACGGAGCAAGAGGATGTCCAGCATGGCGCTGTAACACCTCCTTACCGCCCAGGTTCAGCGGACACCTTCCAGCAGGCACAAGTAGCGTTCAAAGATTTCGATGGCGTCCACTTTTCACCCGATACCGAAGAGTTCGTGGAGGTGGACGGAGACGGCAACGAAGTAAGGAGAGTGGCGGCACGCAATTCGTCTGTTCGACTGTCTATGGATGCTGCGTCTCTACTGCACACCCCGCGAGCTCGACTAATTTCACATGCAGCGCCACCACCTGCAGACGGCATGGTGTATTATCCTGCGCCTGTCCCGCGCATGCTGAATTTGCCTAAGAGGCTGTCACAACTACCGTCGGCGAGCGTCCAGGCCCAGCGACGTTCGCAGCTTATCGGCTCTCTTGGACCCAATGCCCGCATGTCCGCACCGTGGCTGCCTGAACTCAATCTGAACGACGGACACAGCAGACAAGGCTCAGGCTCTCAATCCGCGCATTCTGGCGCACCAAGAAGTATGCTGAACGAGCGCATGAGCGTCGCCAATCTCCAGAGTCTACCTCCTCAACTACGCGCGGGCGTCTACTTTGACCAACAGTCCGTGCCACACAATGTCCAGATACAGTCGCAGTCTGCCGTTGCGACACTTGACAACATCCTCGCCGCCTCCGCTACCGCGCCTGTTAACGCGTTCACGGATCACCCGTTCGCCGGCGACGTAAGGAAGTCTACATTCGCTCCGGAGCGACCGTACATGGCACGGACTGTGACCACCCCTGTGCCACGCACACTGGACGAGCCGGAGACTGTGAAACAGCCGAGGAGACGAAGCACTTTTGGCAATCTACTGCGCCGGAGCAGCAGCGGCGACAAACTTGCTGACCAATTGCAGAAGAGAGGCAGCCGTGCCAGTTTGCTCACAGATCTTGGTAATGAAGACGGAGGTAAGCCACGGAGGCGCAGGAGCCAGATTAGTTTCGGAGAGGACTTGTCGAAGCGCGCAGAACCAGTGCGAACACCTGGCAACGAGACCGTTGAGTCTGAGTTCGGCCATGGGCTCATAGCGCAAGCACGGCATGCCGATGGAGGGGAGGTCGCGGAAGATGAAGTGCACATGGCTGGCGGATCGCGACCAGGCACATCGTCCAGCGGCCAGAGGCTCGATGAAGGCGCACAGATTGAGGAGGATTTCAGGGAAGAGGAAGGGCAAGAGGATATCGAGTACGCTGAGCCTGTGTTCGTAAAGCCGAGTACTCTGCTGGCGGAGCTTCAAGTGCGGAAGGCGCAACAAAAGAGCCGAAATCGCACAGCTGCAACACACTTCCCGAACGGAATGCACTCCACTTTACTGGAGATGGACGCTGTAGAGGAGATCAACAAGACTAAGCGGAAGAAGCAGCGTGTGCCGCTTGCGTGGGAAGATCCTCAGCAGCAAGCACCAGATCCGCAAGATGAGGACGACGATGTGCCGCTCGGTGTATTGTTCCCTGGCAAGGACGGCCTGCTCGGCGGTAAGAAGAAGCTTGGCGACGGTCATGATTGGGATCGACCGCTCGGGCTCATGGAGAAGCGGGAGCTCGAAGATAGCGAGCCTTTGAGCTCCAGGCGAAATAGGATGCTTGGTCTTCCACCGGACTTTGGACGAGCCGAACGCGATTCGAGTAAAGTCAGGTTGCTGCCGAACAACAGCGAGCTTCATTTGGCTGGTCAGCCGGATGCGCCGCCTGAAGGTGAAGCTGAGGACGAAGGCGATAAGCTTCTGGAAGGCGAGACCTTGGCGCAAAGGCTGAGAAGGCTTCGGACCAAGAACGAGCTTGATGGAGCGCTCGCGGATGTCGTGGCAAAGGACGGCAGCCGTCCTGTCAGTGCGTTCTCCGACGATTTGCTCAAGCGCCTTGGTGGCATTGATATCGACAAGAACGGCAACGACGAAGATGCGGCTAACGCGGCAGCGAGTGACAAACCTACCGAAGCCGGCACAGCAGCCGAAGAAGAAACCCTAGGTCAGCGCCGCGCGCGTCTGCAGCGCGAGCGTGAGATCGCTGGCGAGCATTCTGCTGCTGGCGGGGACGCATCGACGCGACCCAATCTCCTCCGTTCCACCAGCAGTCTAGCCAATCTCCTCGCCACGAACCCTGTCGGTACCCGTAAGCTGAGCCGTAAGCATGAGCCGGCAGAGGGCACACTACTACACGCAAACGCACACCAACAAGCGCAGCAACGGCAGCAGATCCTGAACACGAACCGACAATCCACATTATACGGTGTCGAACCGCACAATTCAGGTGCCCGACCGCTCAGCTCTAGCCACGCTGGCATGACGGGAGTGCACGGCTTACAAAACGGACGGGCGCCTACAGGCGGTTTCGCAGGCGGCATGTACAACAACGGCATGGGCGCAGTGGGCATGGGTCCCGCCAGCGCTCCGTTATATGGCATGAGCGGTACGAACGGGTACTTCACTTCGCCGACTGCGGGTATGACATACGGAGGCGGCATGTTGGGGTATGGCATGCAGCCGCCGCAATCCATGATGAGCCCAATGGCTTACCAACAGATGGGTATGTCCGCGGGTTATGGCTTTCCTTCACCGATTGTGGGAGGTTATGGCTTCGCTGCGCCTCCGCATATGCAGTGGGGCAGCATGGGCGTGGCCACGGGCATGGAGGATCCTATGGACTCGGAGAGAAGGGAGGGCATTGATCGCTGGCGATTAAGTGTAGCGCAGTAGGTAGTGTAGAGGCAATGAGATTGGACCACCGAGGATAGTCCATCTCTTGTGATACAATCTGTACCTACTGTGCACTTCCTGCAGATGTGATTCTTACGGCAAACTACTCTTACAACTTCCACCACAACCCGTTTAGTTTGTTTGCACCCATTGCGAGATAGTAACGATACTTGTGTACGCCATCGCCACAAGCCCTAGACCCATCAGACCAAGATCCAATGCCTTCGTCCAGAACGTGTCGGCGACTCCTCTGTAATGCAAGAACGGCGGGTAGATGTACACGAGCGGCACGCATGCAAAGCTGCCAATGAGCGCAACAAATTTGTCCAGATCACTCGCGCCAAGAATGGCAATGATACCACAGAGGATCATCATGCCTGTACGTAAAGCGTTCTTCTTCCACTTGATCATGCTGGACTTCTTGCCGGTAGCCTTCTCGCCGAAGAGTGTAGTCTCGATGATACGGACCGCCGGAAATAGCTGCACTGGTTCTCCAACAAGGACCGCCATGGAGTACAGGAACTGCACAGCATTGACCAATTTGCTGTTCTGGGGAAAGTTGCTAATGATCTGGATCTTCGTCTCGTCGCCGAATGTCGCATAGCAAAGCGCGCCGACAGAGGTGAAGATGATCGTGATAATCAGCATGACCAAGGACAGCAACCAGCTAAAGTGCTCCGGCTTCTTCATGCTGCTCTGGATAGGAAGGATGAGGCCAATGCCTTCAAACGTGAATATGGCTGAGCCGATCGTGAGGGTGAAGGCGGATGGGTTGAAGAGTACAACCGAGGGTGCAATGCTATGCTCCGCAAGGGTGGCAATGTCGTAATACCAGATGTAACCGATGCCAATCAGAATGAATACGTCGGCTAGCAGTGCAGCACCCCCCAACTTGCTAATGTTCCTGATCAGTGCAAGCGGAATTAGAACGACGAATTGGATCGCTATGAGCGCTTCCACACCGAAAGGCTGGGCCCGACGCGCGCTCCAGCTAACGGCGTTTGCGAAGGCGAGCAGATTCTCCGCGGTGAAGATCAAGCCTGCACAGACGAAGCCGAGCTGCGAGAGAGTGATGCTTGCAAGGATGAGAGAGCGGAAGCGAGGCCCGAAGATGGCTGCACCGAGCTCACCGTAACCACCTCCACCGCACTGTTTGCGACACTGTAAGAGCAAAGTGAAACAAAGCATCGTAACAAGTGAAACCACGACAAGCGTTATCGAGGAGAACAGAATGCCACCGTTGCGGAAGGCCTTCGGTAGAAACATGATGCCAGTGCCGACAAAAGCTTTGAGTAGCGTGAAGAAAGTCTTGGTCGTGCTTGCATCGCCTTCACGCTTGATTCGCTTGGAACTTTTGCGTCGTCCCAGTAACGGTCTACTCTCGCTCGGCGGTGCTCCACCACGCTCCTCTTCTTCCTCAATGGCTGACTCATCGTCGTCCGTGTCGGCAAGATCTTCGCCAGCAAAACTTCCATAGAGCTCGAGGAAGGACACGAAATTCCTGGTCACAGGCGTAGCGACGCTACTCAGTCGTCTCTGGAGTCCCTGCCGCTCCAGGTACTGTCTCCGGAACCCGCCAGGTTCTTCGATATTCTGCGCGTTGGAGAAATGGTCACCGGTCTCAGGATCACGAGGCGTCAAGCCAGCTTTGTGAGCGGTCGCAGCGGAGAAGGTTGCAGCACGTTTCGGAACCCGTGCCCGTGCCTTGATCTTGAAGATGTCGCGATGCATGTCGCCACCCTGGAGGGTGAGGGAGTCACGAGCTTCCTCTTGGAGCTCGCCATTGGGCGGAGTATTGCTGCCTTGTTCGGCATTGCCGTTGGCATTAGGATACTCTACCACGTCCGGAGCTGCAGAGTAACCTTCGGGCAGGTGCCGGTCTATTATGGCGGCTTCCCGGCGTGACTGCTCGCTGTTAGGAGTGTCCGCCATATCTGCGGCGAAGATAGATGTGGACGTAAGTAGAGTCACGGTCTGCGAGGTGTTGCACAACAAACTCCTAACCGGCGAAGGATTTCTGTCCGAGGATGCAGCGAGTAGGAAAGTTGTGCTGCTTCTCCTGCTTGCCCGACATTGTGACGAAACTTCCGCTGCACGTGGTTGACCGCCCGCCAGACCGCGGCCCAAGCTTGTATTGTGGAGGAGCGAACCTCACCTTCTGCTCCTCGTCTCTCCACGGCCAAATGCACTGCCAATATCGAACAGGCAGTGATACCGACTGACTTGCATTATGTAGTGACAACACTCTTGGAATGTTCGTCTTATGTTGTCCTTGGGAAAGTAGATCACTAATTAACTGGCTTGGAACATTCAAAGTGTCCTAGTTCTATACGCTGCTGAAGGGTAGCTAGCTAGCGGTTGACGAATGTCCATCAGGAACGGGAGTTATGACACTAAGCGCAATTGCGTACAACCCTGACCAAAAGTGAAAACATGTTAGGTCTGTTATCGCATGAGCGTTGCCGTTGCCCCGTACCTCACGCCACTTCCGTCAAACGTTCATTACGATGCCGCAGCATGGAAAGCAAGACTACCGTACTCACGCCTTCTGATGACCAAGCTACACTTGTCGCAGGCATGGTACTGCGTAAATATAGCCTTATTCGCATTCGTAGGAACGTTTCCAGCACGGCGTTACTGGATACTACTCTATTGCAGCACACATTCATACAAGACAGTCTGCCACGACATTCCGTCACGATCAGCATTTGAAGAATTCTGAGCTGTCGTCACAATCCTTCAACAGCGACAAGCCGACGACCATGTCATACAAAGTCTTTGCCTACACTGCAGCGCAGCTCGCACAGCTCGATGAGCGCGGGATCCACTATCGCGTCTCCCAACTTGGTATGGACAAGCAACATCACGCATATGCTGTGTACGATGTCGACTGGCCAAGCACTATGTCCGTGAGCTGTCGGTCACACGCCGGTTGGCTTGCCCCATTAAGCTCCTGGCAAATCTACCGCCGCTCAGGCTCCATCAGCGCCGCTGGGGCTGTCTGCACGCTCAAATATGGCTTTCATTTTCCTAATTGTTTTCCCGGCGATAGCATGTGCCATTTTCATGACCACCTCTGCGCGTCTGGTCAGTACCACTCCCACATCGCTGCACGTTAGTGGCGTAGGATGTATCTAACGAGACAGTAACTGCGATGCGGGCGACTGTTCGTGGTGATTGCCACAATACTTGCAGCAGCAACAGTTGGCCTCTTTGGTTGTTTAACGTGGTTGGCGGACAAGGTCGAAAAGCAACAATTGTACTGCAGACCAACCGAGGAGGCTGGCGACTACGTGCCGAATTGGACTGGCTTCGCCATGTGCATTGTCACGTTATGCATAGCTGCGCTTAGCACTATCGCTATGTAAGTCCCAGAAATCATGCGAATGGTCTGTCCTTCCAGCTTACCCACATACAGACCACTCGCCGCTTGCGTACCAATGTTACGGCATCCCAAGGCAAAGGCAGGGCAAATTGCCAGGAAGGGTGTCGCAATGGTAGACGGGACGAGTGACCGGGTTGAGATGGTGCCCGCAGCATTGTCAAGACCCGCTGCGGCGCACAGTCTGCCATCGCTTCCAACGTACGACGTCACGAAGCCACCCTGTTATTCTCCTGCGTGACAAGGGGCGGACCCTGTTTTTGATGTGGGTGCAGCTTTTTGTACCTAGGGTAGATACCTGAGTTAATACTTTGCGTTGCAGTCACCTACGTACCAATGCCGTTGACACCACGCTATCGCTTCCGCAGCACCTACTCACATATCGAATCTTCTGGGAATGTCTGCAAACTCGGAGTAGTCAGGGACTACGCCTTCCCACATATATGTACCTATCGTACACTGCTACCACGCGCACCGTAGCCTATCACAATGGAGAGCCTACCACAATGTTTGCAGAGTCATACATAACTCCACAGTGCAATCTTTCCCTCATGCATGCTTATGGTACAATGCCACCGCCTCCGCAGTGGCTTATCGCACGCGAACGCCAGTGGGAATTTCTTGCGGTCTCCAACTTCGCAACTATGACGGCTTGTCACTTCTAGCGCCCAGACCTTCCTTACCTCCTTTCACCTCGTCCACTTCATGAAAACCCGTGCTCCGCTCACTCGGCACTTGTCGATCCGGCTGCTTCATTGGATTGTCGTCGCCTTCCGTCTGCGTGTAGTTTGGGTCCCTAGAGGCGGCCGACGACTGCGGATCGTCTACTGGCTGGCTTGTACGACCATGCTGTTTGGCTGAGGGCGATTGGTTTCCGGGCGGTGGGTCTGCAAGTAGAGCGCGAGTCGTGGAAAGGGAGCGGGTTGGATGCTGGAGGCGGAGGGCTGCAGGCAGAGTGCGGCGAATGGAATACATGTTGTCTTCCGTGTGCTTGTGGTTTGGAATACGTGCGTGATCTCACGAAGTAGATGATATGTGGACAGTGGAATCGAAGAGAGATATTGAGTTTCACTCTACCCTGCAGTCTATGATGATCTCATCATGAGCCGCACATGGCACGCGGTCACTTGGGTTTCAGTAATCACTGAGGGACCGAATAAGGAAGTTACGCACATGTCAGGATCTCTTGACCTTCTTGTCGTGAACAGCTGGCCGTGGTTGAGCATAATGCAAGGTGGAAGTCGAGTAGTACCCGGGATGGCGCCAGCGTCGAAAGCTCGCTGGCGACCCTCCCTCGCATGACTGCTAGCATTACAATCCCTTTTTGTCGCCCATCCAATTGGTTATTGATGGCTTTCATGGAAACGAGTGCATTCTATATAGCTTTGTGATATACAACCCTTTACTTCGCGTCCTTTCCACTCACCCATACAGATCTCTCACATCAACTCATTCATCTCCTCCTCCAGCATGACCTGGAAGCTGAACGGCTCAAAAGGCACGCCATCGCCAATGAAATGCTTACTCATTGCTTCGACCCAATGCAAGCGCAAACTGTGCAACATCGCGCTGGTGCCCTCCATGACTACCAACACCGCAATCGTGAGCGCGAACCAGACAAAGAAGAAGCAGACGATTGCGAAAACGCCAAGGGCGCCTGTGAAGCCGAAAGCGTTGGCCAACGTCATGGACCAGAGGACGATGGAAAGCTGTTGATGAGCGAGGGAGAGGGCCCAGAGGCGAAGGTAGGAGGCCGTGTGGGAGACGCAGTTGAGACAGAATTCTAGAGCACGTTTAGCAGATGACAGTGTGGTATTCAGGAGCGAAGTGATACTTACCAATCGTGTGGATGACCTGGTGGATCATCACTTCGCTGAACTCGAACTCCTCTTCCCCCTCGCCGTGGCCAATGTCCTGTGTGATCATGGCGCCACCGTCCATCTCGCTATCGGCGATGGATGGGCGTCCGTTGGGCTGTTGGTGCCCTTCTTGCGCCTCCTCATCATCGTCGTCACCAGCAGCAGTCACATGGCTGGTCTCGCCTAGCCCTCTGTAACCCTGAGCACGGGCGCGATTATGCTCCCACCGCAGGTAGAAGGGTTTGAGGAATAGCAGGATCGGCACCTGCACGACCGCCAACAGTACTAATACTACCTGCAGTGTTCCTTGACCAGGGTAAAGCTGCTCATCCACTCTACCGGGTTGCAAGAACATGTAGATGAGCATGTTCAAGAGCCCCGGAGGTTGCTGACCAATAGCGTACCAATCGACGGACCACTTGTAGATGATGGTGAAGACGAGGTAGCCGAAGATGGACTGGAAGAAGATCATGCCAGGTATGAAGTTGCCGAAGATGTCGATTGGGGAGCGGAAGTGCCGCGCATTGACGAAGGAAAGGCAGAGAGAGTAGGTCATCTATCGACGTAGTCAGCATCAGGTAGCCGAGGGTAGCAGTGTTATAGACTTACGTGCGCCCATCCGAGGATGATGGAAAGCTTCATTTTGTACGAATTGCTGAAGAGCAGATCATTGTCGGTATCGTGCCATCGCCAGTCCATGCCGAACGGGTAGGTGTAGCCCTCCACCCTCTGAGCCGTCACCTGCATGCCTGGCTCATAGTTGTCAGGGAAGTTCCATGTCCACATACTTGGGAAGAGGCTGAGCTCCTTGCTGAAGGCGTCACAGTAGATGAGTCCAGTGTACATGGAGAAGATACCCATCATGAGCATGATGTAGCGGCCGTAGAACGCCATGCCAAACAGTTCATCCTGCTTGCCGCGCTGCAGCGGCTTCTCCCAGTAGATCATAGCTATGGCGGCGAGAGCCATGATGGCGCCGTGACCGAAGTCGCCGAACATAACAGCGAAGAGGAAAGGGAAGGTGACGATAGTCGGTAAGCCGGGGTTGACTTCCGTGTACTTCGCGGTGCCATAAGCGTCAATGATGGTCTGGAAGCCCAGCGTGAACTTGTTAGTGCGGTTGAAAGTAGGTGGCGTCTTAGAGGTCTTGATCTGGTTGACGATGGTTGGCACGCTGTGGCCGGCACGGTCATTGACGTCCTGCAGTGTGCTCTTAACAAGCCCGAGACTGTTGGTTGGACACCACGCTTCCGCCACGAGGGTTTTGCGGGCTGGGTCGTAGGAGAAGCGGTTGAGTGTTTGGTAGACAGACTTCTCTTTTTTGATCACGATCATCCAAGCGGCAAGACTGCGGCCAATCTGCGTGAGCTCGGCGTCGAGCGTGCGCTTGGTGTTGCCAAGGACGTTGGACAGGTCTTGCAAGCGGCTGTTGACTTCATGGATCTGCTCACGACGTAGCTCGCTGTTCTCGTCCACGTTGTAAATGTCGGCGCCCAAACTCTCACTGATCTTGCGGATTTTGGCGATGATCTCCTTGCCGTGCGCGAAAATAACGAAGACATTCTTGTGCACTTCCTCGTTCTTCTCCGGGTCGATGATGGCATCAGGGATCTCGCTCTGGTTCATATACAGATTGCCACGTAGCGTCCGCCACAGGATACGCTCGAAGGCTGCCATACGCTCGCGTGGAATGACACCAGCGACAAAGCCGATGTTCATGACGCTGAAGCTCTGCTGTCCTCCTTGCGCCTCAGTTGACCCATTGGCTTGCTCTACATCGCGCAAGAGCGGTGCGTCGTCAGTCTCTTCGATGGACTGCCGAATCTCCTCTGTCTGCCCTCTGGCGCGGTCAAAGAAGCCTCCAGCTTCTCGCAGTACCCATCGCCACTCGGTCAGCTCCGTCTCGCGCTTCTTTAGAGTCTCGTAGCTGTCATTCAAGCTCTGAATGCGCTGCTCGAGGCTCTGGCTGCGGTCGGCCAACTCGTCAATCTCGGTGGCGGTTGGAGCTGCCATTGTGTTGCTGAACTCATAGATCGGCCGCATGCCGATGTCATTCTTCTCCATCTGCGAGCGGAAATAGTTGAGTTGCCGCTCCACATTGTCCAGACGGCGAATCTCCTGGGTGAAGGTGCGTTGGAAGGCGGACGTATCGGGGTTGAGCTGGTCATCGTTAGCTTTTGCTTATTCTTACACTCCCTTCGTTAGCTGTACATCACGGAACTGCATGCAGCCCAGCTCTCCCAGCGCCGAGACGACTTCGCGGCCGATCTCGTTAGCCACGTAGAGCTGGGTCAGCGTCATGTCCACGCTCCGGAAGAGCGAGTCTTTTGAGGCCGCCATCTTGACAGCAGAGTCTCACTGTGACCTGTGAGAGTCTGTATGGTGAGGGGGTGATGTGGTTGATGTGGTGATGGTGTTGGCTGTTATCAAGGCTTCTGCTTTCGCCTTGCCGCAATGACGGGGATGCCAAGACCAGCCCTTCGGAGACGCCTGGTCCGTGCATATTCAGCTAAGAAGGTGCTATTTGACAAGGCGATCAAAGCTGCTGTGCACATTTACTGATTTCGATGCAAGGAAACGGAGTATCCTGTTCGTAGCATATGTAACTCGTGCATCGCAAATTGTTACAAGCGGTCACTTCCTAGATACTGCGCTATAGACGCTGGCGAATGATATTAACCTATTCGTACCGGATCTCATCATCTTCCGCTCCCTCTTCGTCTGCTTGGTCGTCCTCACCAACAACGTCCTCCTGCGCGGCCGCAAGTACATCGTCCAAAGCAGCGTCATCGGCCTCTGCCTCTGCGTCGGCAACATCGTCAGCATTGATAACGGCTTCGCCCAGCGTGCTCCTCGTCCGCCTAAGGCTGTTGCTATCACCGCGATCCCTCCGATACCGCGCAGAAGCCGTCCGGCGGGTGGGGGTTCCGTAACCGCTCCTGCGGCTGCCACCTCTGGGGGGTCGGCCAGGCTTGCGTCTTGCTGATGCCATCCCAGGGATAGGCGGGAAGATCTCGAAGCGCGTCGGCGGGACGGGCCCGGCAGAATCAAGCTGTGAGTCGCTGTCTCCGATACTTGCGGGCGCAGGCGCAGGGCTAGCGGTGCCGTTCGGTGTCTTGCGAGGCGAACGACGTGTAGGTGAGCCGCTCCTTCTGTTATTAGCCAGCATCGAAGGCTCAGGTGTGAGCGTAAGCGGCGAGGATGTCTTCTTGCGCAATGTCGACGAGATTCCGTTGACATGCACATAATCGTCAAGCTCCGTGGTTTCAGTAGCTTCTCCATGTGTTGCCTCGTTCGCCGCAAAAGATTCGGCATTGGCTTTCATGGCCTGCTGCACGCCCTCTTCGGGCTCCTCCGGTAAGATCCCTACGTCTTCTCTTGGCGCCATCGTCTGCATTGGTTGATTCGCCTCCTCTCCCATCGCGAAGTAGTTGCTCGGCTTGCCCATCACATACGGTGTCCAGCACAGCTTCTCCGGATCAAGCTTGATGTGCGCCTTTCTCTCATGCTTCTCGACATACTCCTTCATGTAGTCGTAGTCCAGCCGAAGCGCATATTGGCGTGTGATGGGATCGCGGACTAGAAAGCGCAAAGCCTCGAGCGTAGAGATAATGTCGTCGGGCGTCATGCCAGTCTCGCGTGCGATTTGCAAGATGGACAGTTGGCCTTCATGTTCTGCTGCTTCGTTCTGATCTTTGTACTGAAGCAGCAGCGAACACAGAACGTTCCGCCAGTACGACCTATATGACACCAGGCCCATATCCGACAGTGGCTTCTCCGGTGACCCAGTACGGCCCTCGAACTTGGTCAGGAGATAAGAGAACTCGATCAGAACTCTGCCGAAGCCGCGTCGCATATGCACGGGCAGCACGAGAATGCAAGAGACATTGTTGCCTGGGTTGTTAAACGCAGGGTCGAGAGCTGGCTCTTCCAGCGCGTTTGCGCCGCCACTAGCTTGTGCGTCTTGGGTTTTGTCAAATACATTATTTATGTTGGGTGGCGGCGGAGGACCGCAGCCTCGTTTCTCCTTCGAAAAGTAGCCGACGAAATGGCAGCCGAACTCGTCGTTCTCCGTCATTATGTAGAAGAGAAATGGTTCGACGTCGTAGTAAAGCGTCTTCGAGCCCAGAAATAGCTTGGCCAGTAAGCAAAGATTCTGACAGTAGAGCGGATTCCGCCGACCATCAACCTCGAAGAATGAAAGTGTAGTCTCAGCGCCAGTCTCCGGGTTCGTGACTTTGCTGCGATAAATCTCATCGCCCGGTGGATACTTGGCTGAGCACTTCAGCTTGTGACGCCAAGCCACGTAGTCTGAGCTCATGTACTTGAGGCAGAACTCGCAGATGTAGAGGTGCTTGTTGCGACTGTATTCCTCTGGGTAAGGTGCAGCATGCCAAGTGTCAATCTCATACTGCCCGAAGTTAATGCATTTGATTTTACTAGCCGGCCCAGCTGTCTTCGAGCGAGCAGGCGTCTCGCCATTCTGTGCAGCAAGCTTGTCTTTCCACGCCTGTTCAGCTTTCGTGCGAGCGTCTTGAAACGCTTGACGATCCGCATCGAGCGGGTAGGTGCGGGTGGTGTCAGCTTCGGCGTCGGTGAGGATGCCACCGTAAGGTTTGCCCTTGTTCTCGTCCGTTTCCCGGTCCGGAAATGCGTAGAAGGGGTTAGTATAGATGGTCGTTTGCACCGCTGGGAAGTGACTAGGCTCCTCTGGCTCGGCGGTTGCAGTTCGGCGACTATTTCGCGCCCGACGTAACCGATCTCGCTCACGGCGCCGTTGCTTCTTCTGCACTTCACGCTCGATCTGGTCCCATTGTGCAGCGCTGACCGGCAAGGCAATAACGAGACTCCTGGGATCTTCGGTCGAGCGGACGATACGCACGCCTTTGTGCCGGGGCTTCATGTTGCGTTGGGGACGCCCAGAGCGTGACCTTGGCGAATCCGCGTCCACGGCATCATTTACACTGCTGACTGCGTGATCAACGCCGTTTAGCATGCTGGATCCGTGGTCCGGAGTGTCTGCTTTCCTTCGCTTGCGAGCTGGTGCTCGTGAATTGTCATCGCCGTCCGCTGAAGGTGTCTTACGCTTTCGCAACGATCTGGAGCCGTCCATTGGGTCCTCGTCAAGTATGAGAGTGTTGAATACAGAGTGCGAGTCTGGCCTGATGCCACCTCGCGCTGCCGGTAGTAGATCGCGTGCCATCCGAGGGGCAGAGGAGCGGCGTCGAGCTGACGATAGCACCTTGGGAACATCCTTGAAGTCGGCCTCGAGGCCATTCGACACACAATCCTTGCATCGCCACCTGGAAGCATCTGTATGACCTTTTAGTGAGAGCTGTCTTGTATGCTTGGCACGGCGCATGTCAATGCACGCAATCACGTACCTTCGTCGGAAGCTAGCGATCCGGCTTCTCTAGCACAATATCGGTGCGCTGCAGGAACGAGTCAGCGTCTGGACCCTGACTGCACTTGCATGTATCTTTCATATTCGTTTTCATGCAGATACATGTCTTTCCGCTGTATTCTTGACGCAGCACTTACCATTGTCGCCGCACACTGAACATGCCAGATACTCCTCGAAGTCTTCGCCTGGATCGTGTTCCTCATCTTGGCGGCAGAACCTGTATTAAGTCAGCCGAGTTATCTCGCGGGTGGCTGCGTTCACTCACACGCAGCGATTAGCCGTTGCATTCCCGACTTCGACATCCTCGCCAGCATCATCTGCAGCTTCCCAGTCCTCTTCGACAGACTTGACGCTCTCGTCTTCTGACTCCGGTTCCTCCACGTCAACCTCCGCTTCCGACTCCTCTTCTTCAGCCTGCTTCCGTGGTATTCGTCTACTTCTTGTTTTCACTGCCCCGACGATCTCGCCTTCATTGTCCTCGTCGTCTTCCTCCTCCTCTGCAATCTCCGCATCAGCGTCTGAGCCTTCATCCTCTTCTGCTCGTGCATCCTGCTCGTCATCTTCACCCTCCGCATCCTGCTCATCGTCGACATCTGCTTCCTCTTCCGGAGTTTGTCCAGGCTCCATCTCCTGCATTCGCGCCTGGTAATGCACGCCGCGCCCCCGCAGCCTCGTGGGCGTGGGCGCGGTCGCGGTTCGATTCACCACAACAGTAGCCAGGTTGCCCTATCGAACCACCCTAAACGCGTCGATTCCTGTTATGTACGATCATCGGCGCGTTCACAACCATGTGATCGCGCACCTAGCCCTCCGTGGCTCCCGTGTGTTGGGCCGCGGTTTCAGTGTTGAGTGCCACTTGCGATGGTAGCGTTGCAGCTTGTGCTTCCAGCTACCGGTGTATGAGTCAATCGGGTGTCTCTTCACCAGTCCGCGGTACAAGCTGCGCTCTGCGCCGCCTAGTTGGTCGCCTGTAGCACGCAGTCGGAGAGCGCAGGAGCGGAGGTGGCTGCCAAAGGGTCAGGCGTGCTTCGGCCGCTGTGATGAATTTCTTAGTGGTCTGTAGATGGATGCGACACACTGGAGAATGCTTTGGTGATGGTCTGCGATGGTCATGAATTGTTGTGGTCGCTGTCCTACTCCCCTTTGACCACCGACAGCGCCTGGTCAGATGTCGTGGCTTCCGCCGCGCTGTCCCATAACTTTCGCGGATGCCGGCAATTGCTGGCCTCTCCACCTCCTCTCGGTCGCGGAGACATCACCACCACGGCAAACCACCCATTGCGATCGTCGAAGGCAAGCACGTTCATCAGAGTGACCGAGACACTGCGCAGGCAGCGCCTGAAGTTACCAGCAGTCTACCGATCATGGTACGCTTCGTCAAGCCACCGAGTTCGCGCCAGACACTGACAACCAGCCTAGGGTGTCCCATTCGAAGCCCTGCTTCCGTACGCCATCCGCGTCCTGTTCCTTGCCGCTTGGATACTAATTGAATGCAGCTACGTAGTCTGCTTGGGCATGTTCGGCTTCTCCGGTGCCGCCCTCTCCAAGATCAGACACATGCAGAATGGCGGAAAGAGGGCGAGACACTCGATTGATCAGTGGGATAGGCAGAGTACGGCCTGCTGTTCATCAATCTGCTCGACTCACCTGCTAATTGCGCGATCGCTGCAGTGATGGACAGAGACAGGAGGCTCACAGGCTTTCTCCGAGGGCAGACAGACAACCCGCAAGCGCCGGCTGGCTTCGAGCTCAGCAATCCCTGGAGGGTACGTGCATGCTGCAAGCCTGACCTCGCTATACAGGAGCTGACACCGTTCGACAGCTTGAGAGAGCAATCTGCTGAACAAGCAACATTGCGAGCTGTTTCTTATCATGCTATGCCTAGCTAGCGCAATATATGACGTGACACCCCAAGCGCCTCGATACTCGCTTCTACCCTTGTCTGAGACTTCCTTCCTCGTGTCAGAATATGAGGCGAAATCAATCTGGCTCCACAGCTTTCAATCCATCTCCGTTCGTCAGGAATACCCTGTTATTGAACAGCCGCTCGCTCATCGCCCTCTCCGCCTCTCAACCCTCCTTGCCCGTTTGCTTTACGAAGGACCGCAAATCTACCCAGATGAAGAGCCCAGCGTTAGCCCCACTCTGGTATGTTATGCCTTTACTCGAAGGAAGCTCCTTGGTCAGCCAATTGCGTTTGGCGAGCCGCTTCTGCGGTTCAGCGAAGAAGCTAGTTAGCCAGATCTCCTTCTAAAGCACAAGAATCGCCACTTTACTGTCCGCCACGCCGCCCCACTGGAACTGACGCATGACAGATATGGCCATCCATAGCTCCTGGTTGCGCGTGTAAAGGCAGCCTTGCCGTAGCCCGCTGGCTCCGAAGTCTCTGCTCATGCCATAAAGCACATGCAGATAGTCTTTTGGATGTACTCGGAGCCGTCAAAGAACAGCGCGCTGGTAAAGGGAACGGCATCCTTGTTGGAGACGTCGTAGATCAACATGGCATAGAGTTCGTCCGACAGGAGATGGATTCCGTACTTCGAGCACAGCCGCATGCTTGCGATGATTGTGTCGCGAGGGTAGCACCGTCCGAGTGGGTTATGGGGGTCGCAAAGAAGCAAGGCGCGGATTCCCATGCCTTCGTCTCTTCGCCTGGAGCAACCGGTCATCGTAACAAGCGGCAGACTTCGGCGAAAACTGGTCCAAAATACCAAACATTGCATACACAGCTTGCGCCTTCGCCCTCGTTCCAAAATTCATCTCGAAAGCTTAGTATATCGGACTGCCCATCAGAATGCCGTCGCCAGGCTCTGCAATGGTGCAGCCTAGCAACTCGCTCACGGTCGTGACTCCGTTCACCATTGGGATGTCGTGCTGCTGGATCTCGACAACAGGTTTGAAGTTCTTGTTCATGTGCCGAGCCAGTGCCTGCTGCAAACGCCCGCCACTCCATGGACCCTCACCGTATCCGAAATCATTCGCTGACAGCTCAAGTTCATGCTGGGAGACTAATTTCGCGATCTCAGGCTGCGTGGCGTGGTCCGCTACGCCTGGAACAACAATCCTATTGGGGTTTGTCTTAGCATCGTACACGTTACCCATGACAGACTCATACATATCGCGCGTACTCGGGCGGGCAGCCAGTGCTACGCCACCAGGCGCCAGTGTGGACTTCCTAACTACCATTCTCATAGCAGATCGAAGATGTCAGACCAAGTGTAACTGAAAGAAATCAAGGTGTTCGCCAGATTTCGTTGTGAAGTAGCTTCATCAAGGAAGGACCATGGGTAGGCACGTATACGGCGCAATTGGAATCGAGTGAGGAAACAAGGTGGTGCATATCCGACTGGGGGTATGCGCTCCTGTCGTCATTGTACACGATCTACAGCATTAAACTCCTGAGTAGGGCTCATTCTAGGGTTTGCGTTCCTTGAGTACTCTAGCGGTGCGATGTTGTGGTAGTTCTTAGCCTGTCGCGCAACAACTTCATATCTTGACAGGATCGCGTGCAATTAAGAGGCGACGCGGTGGGCACGTGCACAGGCGAGATGGAGGCGTCTCAGGGGGCTTTGCGGTAACCAATGGCAAGAGCTGAAGAGCAGCCACGAAGTAACGACAAACGGCTGCGGATGCAGGTCGACATCTGCCAAACCGTTTCTGTATTTCCAACCGTCCTTTCTTAATTCCCCATCCGGGTTGCTGTACTGGCATTATTCCTCGTCTCCCCTGCGTCCAGCCGTGATTCTCACCTAATACTCTCAATAGCAAAGACCAGGGGGACCTCGGTCTCCAAGCGACGTCCAGTTTGTCGGCTCGCAGATTTCTCACAACCACACCCCTTGGCCGGACAATCGTCCGCAAACTCCTTCTAGCCTGCCCTACATCACGGTACCGGTCTCTTCCACGATCCTTCACGCTTACATTGCATCTGGCAACGGGCCGATTGGATCCTGTCATGCGTGGTCTGATCTCGTAATCCGTTGCCGTCACCCTCTATGCCGAGGAGGGCAGTCAAGGTGCAGGGTGCCCCGAACAAGACGCGCTGGACGCTGGCACAAAGTGAGCAGAGCCTGTTGAAGGAGGACCGCAAGGCGCTCACCCTCATCACCACGATGCAGACGAGTGGACCCTACTACGACCAGCAAGAGACGCCTCTGCCGCGGTATGAGAGCTTCGATGGCAGTCAGTATAGTGTGCCGGCGCTTGATCGCGCCAACTCTGGAGCCTGGATGCCACCGCGCGGAACAAATGGTCACTTTGAGGACTTCGAGTACAATACCCCGTTGGAAGAGCGCGCAAGCCACCAGATCAGCCTGAATACGCGTATGCGTTCGCATAACCAGGATGTTGTGGGACACCACTTGCTGTACGAGACTGCCATGTTGGATTCACGGGCTTTCGAGATGCTTGACATCGCTGAGGTAGATGCATTGAAGAAGGAGCATGCACGGTTAGAAGCCAGAATCACGGCGGCGAACCGCAAGCTCACCTTAGAGAATAAGGTCAAGGGTGCCGCACAGAACTTACAGCGACTGTACTCTCCGAGTACCAAAGGGCGACCCGATACACCGCAGAGCCCGGGTGAAAGTGGGAAGAAAGTTAGAGGCAGCTTGCTGGGGCATAGAGGACGTGCGGACAGTAATGGTAGTGGAAATGGCCAACCGCTGCATCAGGCTGAGGATGAGCTTGCTGTTAGTGTGAAGAAGGTTGATGATCTGCACGATACCATCAAGAACCTGTTGGAAAGGCGCCAGCTTGTAGAACGCAAACTACTTAGGCATACAGCCGCTGTACTGGTTGAGCAGTCTACGCGAGCCTCACAACAGCGCGACATTGGCGATGCAGCTCGTTCCAACAGCCATGCTCCTCAGCGGCTCACCCGAGACGCTGTGTCCGGCATCTACGCTCCGGACGAGTTCGACGGTATTCGAGACATACTCTCCGGCGCACTTCCAAATCAAGGCAGGGGCCAGAAGTCGGCTGATGTGCAGAAGATGGAAGAAGAACATGCGCACCAGATGGCCACCGTTCAGTCGAGGCTTGAGCAGCTCAACGAACAGCTTCGACAAGTTATTGATGACGCCCACAGAACCCGAGGTCTGAGCTACGAGCCGGAGGCGGAAGTCATTGACTTTGACAATGCGCCGAGTGTCCGGATAGGACACCGACTTGATCTGCTCCAGATTAAGGTGCAGCTCCTGGGCCGGGAACAGCAAGAAGTCCAAGCACACTATGCGCGTGTTCAGGAAGGTGCTCATATGACCCAGACAGCCGTTGAGGAGCAACTCGAGACTATAAACCAGCGCTTGCACAATACGTTACTTCTTGGCGCTGGAATGGAGGACATGGAGAGTCTCCGCAAGCCACCTACTGCGACTGGCCATGGCTATCAGCAGCAGTTGCAGTATCTCGGTGAGAGTTTGGAGCGGGTCGAGGGTCTGCTGCAACAGCACGCAACTGAGCTGGATGAGGCACGTGAAGCGGCTAGTGGCGCAAGCCGAGGCGTCGAGGAGGCCCGCGGTAAAGCCGCGGCGCACACGAAGAAGGTCGACGAGTACGAGGCAACACTAGGCGGGTTATGGCAGATCTTACAGTCAGACGCGACGACCCGCAGACCAAGTCTCGTAGACGGAAGCGAAGAGCGTCACTCGAACAGCTCCACCGCATCTCTCAAAGAGGACTTCTCTCTACAAGCCTTCAGCGCTCATGTGCAACACTTGTTCGATCGGACACAGTCAGCGCGAGAACAGCACGACATCCTCCGTCGCCAGGTGCAGCAACAGCGTGAACTCAACGGCAAGTCGGACGCGGAGAAGGACCAGCAAATCACAGAGCTGCAGGGCAGGCATGATCAGCTTGCAACCGACCATGGCGTAGTTCAGGAGGAGCTCATGAGAGTGATGGCTCAGCACGCGCAGGCTGAGAGCAAAGCAAGTCAATCAACTCTAGAGCTGCAGAACTCGATGAACGAGTACGAGGACCTCAAGCGGACCATAGATGCTAGGCAGCAGGAACGTGAAGAAATGGTCCGCCAGCTCCGAACGCATCAGGAGACTGCTGCAAGCTTGCAGCAACGCGTTGAGGAGCTCGAGACTCAGGTCGCTGAAATGACGGACAATGTTCGCCTTGCCAATGTGGAAACTGCAGCGAAAGCGACGGAAGCTGAGAAGAAGCATAGAGAGGTCTTAGAACAGCTGGCCGCCGCTACGAGTGCCCATGGAGAACTCGAGCAGCGCCATGCAGAGGTTCAGCGGGACATTGGCTCAGAGCTGACATCCGCCGTTAGCGCTCGGGAAGCAGCTGAACAGCGTCATGCGGACTTGCAGAGGGACATGGATGCTCAGCTCACATCAGTAACATCTGCTAAGGAAACTGTTGAGCAGCGCCACGGCGAAATGCAGGAGGAGATGGAGACGCTCAAATCCGAGCTAGTCCGGTTGTCCACTGAACTCACCATGGCCAGAGCCGAACTCGATGGGGCGTACGGCAGCCGCGCCGAGCGCGCTAAGGAGGCGCAGACTGCGGATGTTGCAGGTCTTAGCGAGCGTAACAAGCAGGTCTCGGACGAACTTCAGAAATTGCAAGCAGAACATGAGGGGCTGCGAGGCCTGCATGACACCTTGACTGGCGAGCATGAGGAGCTCAAGGGTACGCACGAAGCTACGCTGGCGCAGGTCGAGGGTTTGAAGACGCAAGCTGGGAGCTCCGAGCGGACGAAGAACCTAGAGGCGGAGCTGACTGAGATGACGGACGCGTTTCAGGAGCTTACGCGGGAGTCTGTTGAGCTGGAGAAGGAGAGACATCAGCTTGAAGATCTGATCGACGGCTTGCGCGATCGTTGCGAGACACTCGAGGGTCAGCTTGGCGACGAAAGAGTTCGATCGCTGGGCAACGACCCCAGTCCAAGCACTTCTGCGGCTAATTCAAGGCCTACGTCGAATGGGGTCAGAGAGACCACGAGTACGATGATTCTCCGCCAGGAGTTCAAGAAGATGATGAGGGAGTCGAGAGCGGAGGGCATCAAGCTGTTGCGGGTAAGCCCATCCTGTCCCGCCTGCGATGGATACGCAAGCGAACACATACTGACATCCATTTCAGGCCGAACAAGAACACCGCCGCCACCTCGAGAGCGAGGTCCGCCGCCTGCGACAGGCTAACGGTCCGCTCGCAAAGGCGTTGCCTAACGGGATCGGTAGTATCAGCGCCGCTAGCACGCCACCTGCCCTGCCCGCCACATAAGTCACAAGCATCACATATCATTCAACCGTCTTACCGCGTAGCTGCCAACAAGCGATACTGGGACATTTGGGCTTACATTTTCATTCTGTACATCTAGCGTTCTTTGGCAACGACCGCACTATCTTTGGCATCTGCGAACGGCATCTTCAGCGATGGCGTTATGATTTAGTTACCATCGACGTATTGGTCGGGCATGGTTTATTAGGTGCGCTTCGGCAACGGATTGAGTGCGGCATAGAAGCCTTGTGGAATATCGAGCCAGTGGGCGAGACGCTTGCGGACGAGCTCTGTCTGTACTGTGGGCATCCGGATGGCTTGCTAAAGGTACGAACGGGGAGGCTGTATAGTTAGTGCTTATAAGACCTAGGCCCGCTCTCCGTACCCTGGCACATATAGTACGATCGGCTTTTGCGACGACTTGACAGTCAATTTCCGGCGCTAGTCGCTTTCTAAGGCATGGGAATGTTTAATCCTATGCCCAGGATACCTATACTTTGTGCACACTAAGACCGTGGTCTTATCTGAGCGACGCGACAATATGCCTCTCTCTCCACCAATGCCTGCGAACCTTCCCCCTTGCAATCCCGCTTCGGCTCGCTGAGGCGAGACGTCAATGTGGCCTTGCGCATCCGATTTTTTCTGAAGGCCGACGCGTCCACCTCTGCACCCTACGTCAGACAGGTGTCCGCGTCTACCTCTCGGCAAGCACTACCCCTGATCCCCAGGCTGTTGGCATGCGAAAATGGCATGATCATGCGATCATGCCGAACAGCGCGGCCGAAGGGGAGCGCCACCTCTCGATCTACCTCCCTTCGTTCACCTCCCTCTGACCACTCTGCATGACAGTCCTCTTTCGTACATGCAGCTCCAGGACTGTGTTGGCGCTGCATGACCATGCGAGCCACAATCGAGATGCTCAATTCGACGCGCCGGGCCAGTGCGATGCTTTTCTTCCTGGCGCACACTAACGAGAGCGAGGTAGGTAAGACGTGGAGAACTGATCCAAACAAGAAACGCGAAGCTTCAGCGATGCGGTAGACGGGCTGCGCAAAACGATGCGTCAACATCGCTAATCCCACGTTGGAGACCGTTCTTACCATCAGGTTGCACGGGAGGAAATTGAGCGCCAGGTACGCCTGTATAGGCTTGCGCTGGCCAACTCGTGCTGAGACCGCCGCTCAGTTGCCCGTGACTATCGCCATCCGCTGGGAAGCCGTTTGCAAGCGCGAACGGTGGGGTCTGGTTACTGCTGCCGTAGGTGGCTGTTGAGTGAGGATCGGCTGACGACTCAATGGGCTGCACTGGTTGTAAGCCGTTGAACGAGGCGGTAGCTAGGGTGTTGGTATGCGGATAGCTGGACGTAGGGGACGATTGATACGATGCAGGCGTCGGGATTGTTGCTGCAGCGGTAGAGTCGCTCAACGCTGTAGTATTGCCGTAGCTGCTGAAGTAGTCTGGGCTGGTCGACGAGGTCGTGTATCCCACTGGGGTGTGTCCGTATGCATGCGTTGCGAATCCTGTTGAAACGCCTTGATGCGAGGGTCTGTACGCGTTGTTGGCGCCAAATCCTGTGCTCATGGGACCCGTGAATGACAGGTCGGATTGCATACTTGGACGGCGATAGCCGCTGACCAAAGGGGGTGCAGGAGCACTGCTTCCGTGTCCTCCATAACCGCTCGGCAAGAAGTTCGCTTCTGGGTAGGAGTGAACAGAGCTCAAGTGGTTCGCAAAGACAAACGTGCTTGCGCCTAAATCTTCGCCATATTTGGAACGCTTCGAGGTGGGCGAGGTATAGCGTTCTTCTCCATGTTCACGGGCCAAGCCATCAAACTGCTGCGTGTAATCAGTGTCTGCTCTGGTACGCTTCTTAAGTCCTTCTTTGCGCAATTTCAACTTCACACCCTGGTCCGCAAACGATCGGGATAGCTGAGACGAGTCTTGTAGCCCGCTGTACCCCTTTGCGACCACTTGAAATGGCTTTGAGTCCACATAGGTAATGAAGTGTGCGTAAGGTGCAGCCAATGACGACTTGTCCAGGTTGTAAAGGTTAAACCGCAACCTATACCAACCGGTTTTGCGGATTGAGATGTCGCCGAAGACGAAGAATCCCCCTTCGCGGTTCTCGAGGTCCTTCAAACGGTGTAGCGAAGATGACAGCTGACCTATGATGGTGTCCTGGCCCGACAATATAGTGTCGCCTTTTTCTCCTTGTAGTAGAGTCGCCATGACGAACAGATAGGGACTAGCAAGCCATGTATCCTGAGGGTCTGCGGACGCGTCGACGTGCATCTTCACGAAAGGTGGCGGATCGACTGGCTTTCGGAACCTCTCTTTGCGATTCTGTGTCATTAGCGCGGCTCGCGGCTGTTGCACGACCTCAAGGTGGACGTTATGAACGTCTAGCGTGGGCGGTTGTGACGACGCTGTCCTGAAGTGGACGTCAGAATGGCTCCATGTCGGAGCCGGCGTTGATGACGTGTGGTGTACTTGGATGCCAGAGGACATCGCCATAAACTCATCCAAATCCAACAATGTGTTGCTCACGGTCGCCTATGGCTGCGACCGCTGGTCGGCGACCACCCCGAATCGCACCTCAAGCCCCGGTAGTAAAGATGCTCTCTTGGCACAGTGACGGGTGGATCGGTACAGGTTGGGATGTATTGTAATCAATGGCCAGCGACCTCTTTCGACACAAGCGCAGCAACCGTGGTCGACGTCTTTCTTCAACGCATCGTAGGCACCTGATGACTCCGAACTTCCTTAGGGCTGCGATGTGCAACGCGCACTCCCAATCTGCTCAAACCGACTTGATTTGGTGCTAAGTCTGAGCGGGCACCAGACACCGCGTAGGTGATGGTAATATTTGTGGACTCGAGTCGTAAACTGCACGCACCATCCACGCAATGCAGAGGTAGGTGTCGTCAGCGATGGCGACTCCCAATGTAGAGTGTGTCTATGGATGAGTTGCATGTGAGCAGGGCATTGACATATGAGCGCAATGTAATTGGCGTAGCTGCCAGCAGCAGGCCCACTACTATACAGCCCTCGATCGCAGCCCCGCCGCGGTGGTATGTGACCAGATGCTCTGAACAGATATTGTTGCGGTCTGAGGTATCGAAAACAGCTGCAGTCCGTGGTAAGTCAACCGGTATCCGCCGGTGGAGATCACTGACCCGAAAGACGTACTGCAGCGTTGATACAAAAGCGTGTTGACGGAAGATCTAGTCAGCTAGACAAGAGCCCTACCCAGTGGTCTGCTGGTAGGATCGCTGAATAGTGAAACGCTCCTGCGAACAAAGACCCAATAATCACTCCGACCTGATTTGCATGGCATTAATTTCTATGGGTGCAACGGTGTTGTAGTCGATAGAGGGGCAGGAGGGGTCCGCTCTCGGTGGCCTGCTCGACTGTGACTGCCCACCGAGACCCAAGCCTGATGAGTGCGAACTTCCGGTTCCGGAAACTGCAGGATATGATGTACCGTGCGTGAAAACGATATTCGGGCAAAAGACCGACGTCCACCTCGGCAAACGTACCGAAAGGCTTTCGAAGCACCAGATTGGTGCGGTCGTTATTGAACGTTTACAGCTTGGCCGACGCGCTAGGAAACGTGCGGCCTCCACCAGAAACGGACCTAGTTCCTGCGACAGAGATGGATAGCCAAATGAGCGTTCGGTCCCGAGGGTGTCGATTCTAGTGCTCGATGGTGTGGTCCGCAAGAGCAAAGAGTCAGATATGGTATGTCAGCAGTAGTGGCTGGCGTAAGCTGGGGGCGGACTCGAAATATACTGATCTACAGAACGAACGTTTGGCAGCCAGCGAACTCAAAGACCAAGCTGCAATGGCGTAATTGGCGCAGTGACGGGAAGGCGCCCATATCCGCTTTATTGGAGCAGTCACACCAGGGTCAAGCTTCAATATGCGATAGCATGTTCGGAAACTGTCGCTGTAAGGCGCGTCGCAAATGCTACGATGATGCTCTACCGGGCTTGTCAAGCAGCTGCAGCTCGATCGGATCGAGAGGATCATTATATGCCACTCGATACTCGCCTTACTTAGGCTTCGGGCACATCCCTGTCTCGGTAGTGCTGCAAGCGTCTTCCGCGAGGGATTGATCACATCCCCTCATGAGTTCTTAGCGATGTGGTTCCCAGGGCGCGGTGGCGCCAACCAACATGCTGATGCTCGCAGAGCATTCTCTTCCTTGGCGCATCGTCCAATGCAGCCGCTTCGTTGCTGCTTCAGCGTCCGTGGCTGCTATGCGGTTAGAATCATGCGAAGGGTGATGAACAGTCAAGGTAGTGCATGAGGTGCCACAAGCCACGTTGCCGCGGCTGTCAGACCCAGCACTAAAGACGGCGTGGAAGCCCAACGCCAACAATACAGTGGCGGGCTGGCTGCGGAATGGTCACAAGCGAGCATTTTGTCAATGCCGTATGTGTCGCACGACAGACACGCCGCCCATTTTGGACAGCACCCATGACAGTCTTTCCAGATGCGGCTTAGTGCGGCGTTTCTGACAGCAGCGATCCCGGTCGTGCTCGAACCTTGACGCCGGTCGGCATAGCGACTTGATCAACCCTCAAACTCCAGCACTTCGTCTAAGCGTGCAAGCTCACGAGTGTGGGTTGCTGGCAATTGAACCACTAAGAATATCGTTGGACCCACAGCTAGTGAATCAAGTCCCAGCAATACTAACACTTATGGGATACGTGTCGAAGGACAACTTACCTGGTTCGGCATGCTTGAGGCTGACTATGCCCAAACCTTACCGGGATATGCCTACTTTGCGGCTTGACTGCGGTTCCAATTTCGAACTAGGCCTGGAGGTTTCTCGGCGATGGATACCTAGTACGCACATGAATACTGCCGCATGTCTTACCTGAATAATCTCGCTTCAGTACTGAGCTTGGTCTCTATGACAAGTTGGTGGGAGGTCGACAGCTGCACACGGGACCAATGGCATCAGCGAGCCCGAACCCTCGCCGAGGGTGTGCATGTATTGCTAAAACTTCCGTGCTACTTTCCGACTTGTCGATACGGTCCTTGATCCTGCGCTAATCAGCAGCTTGCGTATGTACGTACGCGACCGTTGGCCCAGTGCAAGGCGAGGGTGCGCCGGGACAATGTTGAACACGGCGAAGTACTTATCGTCATAATGTCTGCACGCCTTCGCTGCAGCTCGGAAGCAAGCATGCGCAAGCGGCTTGCCACACCCGTTGTGTTGACCTCGCTTACGGCAGCTATTGCGTGTGGCCCGTCACCTGAACCACGAGCGTGGTGGAATAGTGGATGCTTCTGCGCCACCATTTTGACTCTCGTAACGGTCTCCTGTGTTTCCGTGTGTGGCCGAAATGGTTCGGGCAGATCGGCAGAGTCTAGAGTAACATGTGGAAGCCACGTGAAGGCAGGGATGCTGACCCCAGCCAACAGTGAGCGAACCATCAACACGCGAGGAGGATTGTGTGGAGGCTGCATCGCCCTGCATCACTATTTTGCTGCATGCTGAGACGAATAGGAGTAACAACGAGGCACCCTGATCGACCCTAACTGCTTCCGTCTCCGCCACCACTATCGGTGGCTGTCGTGCTTGCTGTCTATGCCTATAACGGATGCGCAGCACGTCAAGGCATGGCTCGAACACAACCTTTGCGACAATGTGTTGGACGCGTGCTAGATATGCTGCGGACCGTCGCCACGTGTGTCTTCATGGCTGCCACAGCATCTACATGGTGGCTTTCACATCGCCTTGCATACTTCGTGGCTTGGGGCAATACTTGACTACCTTACAGGTCACAATCCCAGAATCCCTTGAGCGTGGCCGTGTAGCCGGCACCTTACGACCATTGCATGCGCCTAAGCGAGATTCTTCGTACCCAGCCGTTCATCGTACATTCGAGGGTCATATCGCTGTCTGCATAGCCTGCGGTCGCGTAGGAGGTTTACACGTCAGATCTCCGTCCGCATAGAGGCGAATATACGACGATAATCACATGCTTTCCACAAGGACGCACAGCAAGAATATGACCCGTCGGACTGATGCAAGCCACAATTGCACCAAAAGCTGTTGCGATTAATGCTACACTTATCAACCGTACGCACAAGTAGAATATGCAAGCCGGCGCGCCGTGTGGGTTGAGTTGGGGGCGGTGTGTCTTGTATGGCGCCAGGAGCACCCACACTCTACACAGGATGACTCCGTGCGCTCTTCCTCTGCACGCTCGAAGCTGGGCGCCGCAGATGGGACGTAACATCGCACTTCCAATGTTAGGATCTAACTGACTCGAAATCTAACTAGATGGGATCGACTCTAAACCACTTGTGGCACCAAAGATGCGTGGACAGCCTTGCACTACTTCCTCTCGAAAGCCGCCTCGCGCTTCGCCGTGATGTCCTCGTGCTCGTCGCAGTCCACCTCTTCTACAATTCCGCTCGCGAGGTCGTAGATTACGCCATGGACCTGCATGCCACGGCTTCTCATCGCATCAATGATCGTCGGCATTCTCCGTAGCACATCGACGCCAGCCTGCACGTTGAGCTTGCTCATGTAGGTGGTCTTCTCAGCACCTTCCAGCTTCTCTAGTTCATCAACATGCTGTTCGCGTAGGACCCGCATTGGCTGCAGCCAGATATCAAGCGGGCCACCAAGCTTCATGTTCGCTAGACACCCTGCAACACCGCCGCAGCTTGTGTGTCCGCACAGGACCACGTGCTTGACTTTGATGTGTGCCACGGCATATTCGACGACCGAAAGCAAACTTAGGTCGGTGGGGCTGACGATGTTGGCGATGTTGCGGTGGGTAAACACATCGCCAGGCTTAAGGCCCAATACAGTGGTCTCAGGGGTCCTCGAGTCACTGCATCCTAGCCACAAGATGGCTGGAGCCTGACCTTTGGCGCATGTTGGGAAGAAGTCAGGGTCAGACTGGCTGACTTTCTGGGCCCATTGCTGGTTGCTCTCGAGCGCCCGTTTGAAGGCAGAGTCTGCCAGCTTCACGGTTAGCTGTGCCTGATCTGTAGCATGATCGACAAAGCGTACGGTGTTGAAGTCGGCGAGTCGATGCTAGCAGGGAGCTTGAAGTACATTGATGGACTCTCACCGACTGCAGAGCTCGTCTGATTGAGGGTAAGAGGAACATCTCTACCTACCAGCTTGCCCCGCCATTCCAATCTCCCCTTTTGAGTCTAATTTGCGTGTATAGTTTACTGTTATATGATTCGAAGGAGTGCTCTTACTTAGTATGAAGGACGAATTTATCGCAGACTTGAAAGCCGTTGACGAACATAGCTTACTTTTGGCGGGTTCAAAGGTTTATCTCCCGCTCCACAGCCATTGGTGGCGGGGTTTCTTTGAGTGGCCTCTGCTCGGAGATCTCGCAGCTCGAACCCTAGCTTGATGGTGCTGATCTCCCTGAACATCGACCATCTCCATCTGAGTCTGCTTCCTGTGAGGGAATTGCCAACTCGTGTAGGCGGCACTGTTCGTTGCTCACTTGCGAAGCCTGCCACTAAGACAGCGTTGACAGGCTCTGACGGTGAGACTTCAGTAGTCTTCGTCTGACTCTGCATCACCATTCTGTTCCGTTTAGCAGAGTTCGCCTCATGTTCTATAATCGGAAGCAACATTGTTCCTCTGCAAACGCTGAAAGCGCACCTGTAGGAGTTGGTCTGGCGGCATTGGTACCGCAGCACAACCAAGTACCCGCCCTCAGTGATTACTCAGATTCAACGCGCACAAGCCTGTGCAATTAAAAACGAACATTCGCTCGGTATACAGGTTGGCACGTCTTGCCCTGCGACTGCAAGATCTGTACCCTCTCCCACGGTAGATCACGAACGCTATAATTCCAGTGGCAATAGGCACCATGTTCCGCACAACTTTCCACAATACCGTCACGGATCCTATACCCGTCAACGTGGACAGCAAAGGGGTTGTTGACCTTCTCCACGACCATTCGTTCCTCATTACTATGTCTCCAATCGTCACCCGTCACAGCGAAGTCAGCCGCGATCCCGTCACGCAGAAGGTGACATACGATGTTTGGGAGAATCTGGATCTGCTACCCTTCGGACTGTGGAAGTACGAGCTGCGCTTTACTGCTGCCTTCGAGAACAAGGCAGATGGAGTGATCACTCACATAGAAGCGCCGATGGGCTTCCAGTCAAAGGCTGATTATACGGTCCGTGGCAAGCAAGGCTTTGAAGAAAGTGGCGCAATGGAGTTGAACGAGGCAATTGAGAGCAGTTGCTCCCATATCTTCAGGCCGTTCGTTGAATGGACCATGGTGCCCGTGAGGCGGAAGATGCATGCGCAAATCATCGCACGGGCCCACGAGATGCAGCATGGCATACAAAGCTGAGGCGATATCGCAGGCTCTTGTGATATGTACACCGTCTTCAGAACTTGACTGGCATGCTGCTATGCTCTTCGAGATGGCGTCAATCGTGCCGTGCTTCACCTCGCGACGTCTCAGTTCTCATCCTCAACAGACGGGCCGGACCCACAGTTTCATCCTAAGGCAGAAGCACTGCCAAGCCCAGCCCAGCCACGGTCTGTGCTTTCCTCACCTTCAACGCTGCAATTTCCATCTGCATCTGCAACATTCACTTCGATTCATGCAATTACGCTCCGGCACCACGTTGGTCCGTATACGCAGCGAAATGGCGAAGTAAGGAGCCGGCGGTGCACAATGATGCTGTCCAGCTCACACTGCTCGAAGCGAGATCCGACCTAAAAGTTGTCCATGCCATATCTGCCATGTGGTCCACGGTCCCTCGCTTCAGCTCACATTTGAGGGCCCTTTCCCCAGTGGCGAAGCTGTGTTCAGGGTCCCGAGATGGCTAGGTATGCTCAATCCGCCTTCCAGACCTCTTCTTGTTGATGATACCGCAAAACCGCATACAAACTAGAGTCTTTGACCTCTAGCGAGGACTGAAACTGCAATTGCTACGTCAGTCTGACTAGTTGTACAAACCATTTGGACCGCACGGAACTTTCAAGTCCGCGAGCTTTCGCTAACCGGCTTTACCAGGTTCAGATGCCTCCGCCGTGGAGAAGGATGGGAGACTTCACAGGACGCCTTTAGTCCCCCGATGACACTGTATCTGACGGTACGTTTTTCGGTCTTACTTACACGATATCTTGCAATGATGAACCATCAATACGCTAAAATGGAATTACCGGCCGAGACTTTTGGGTCGGTGGCGATAACACAAGGCTTTTACTGACATCCGTCCCTTCGCTCGCGCACTTTAGCACACAATCCCGGCTTCAACCGCTGACTATGTATAAGCAGGTTGACCGGTGTGATTCTAACGGCCGGGTTTATTTGTACACCCACTTTTAGAGGGGGTACGAGCATGCTACCGTCGTGCCAGAACGCTTACCTCATGAAAATGGCTCGGGAGCACTTGCCGCCCGCCCTCCACGCACCAAACGGCTGCTAGGTACTGGACACTTCTGCACATGCCTTTGTTTTCATTCATTCGGACCGAGACAACAGATCGGCTAGCGCCATCATGACGCCCGCTGTCCCGAAGAGCTGCGCAAGTACCTCTTAGCCTGTTCCGATATCCACGCCAATAAAATCATCAAGACTCTCCACCAGTCCCAGCTTCAGGGCGATGCTAAAGTGCCCGGACTGCCAACGTAGTGCCAACAATGCTTGTGGCAGGGACCAGCAAACAGCACCGCAACATGAGAGCCGAAGCTGAGCGTGACGGCGCTGATCTGAAACGTCCACTGAACAGCTCTATGGCGTTCCGGAAGTACTACGGTGCATCGATTGCTCCGCTCACTCAAGAGGGCATTTCCAATATGGTCAACCAGGGATGATCGACCTGCGGGATCAGTGATATATTTCAGCCCTGCCAGTGGCATTGCGAGCCCCTCTCCAGAAGGAAGGCACCTGCTTCGACTACCTCATGCCTTCTCTCCTGGTTCTGCGATAACAAGGCGCGGCGGTACACGCACGAATTGAGCAATAAAGATGCGGTGGCGCAACGATCCGTCCTTCGATGAAGTAGGCAACCATAACCAAGGCGTACAGTACCTGGGTAGCTGTGGTAGGATTTCATGAGTTCAGTCAGGTAAGGCTATTCTCAGCCACGGGAAGCGGCGTCCTTTGATGAACCGGCACTGGGCTCCGACAACACATGAGCCGATATGCCACTTTGCGACAGGCCTAGAAAACCTCGTCCACTGATCGCAGCCGTGATCTTCCCCACCTCACGCATGCAAGTCTTGCGACATTGTGCTGACACATCGCAAAGGCACGCTTGACCAGACATATTCAGAACCCGACACTCATTGGTATCGACCCCTACGTAAAAGCGAACATGCAGGAGGTACGTCTGCTGATTACAATCCATCTAACCCGCTCCCGCATTTCTCTGATGATTTCTGATGACGAGTCTGATCTGGCCTCGCCAATGCAGACAACCATATATTTTACCATTCATGCAAACCCTGACTTATTGCACGATTGTTCTCAAAACACATGCGTTGTAATGAGGAGCACGAGCGCTAACAAGGTCCAGGTTCCTCGGTTGCGTCAGTTTGACCACTCACTACTGGTGAAATCCGAACATATGATATCCGGCCTTCGGATGTCGATTGTACGCTTCGGTAAGTCTGTTTCGTTCAGCACTACCGCTCCCCTTTGCACTGATGAGTCCATTCTCACAAGACAAGCATATGTCCAAGTTGCCGTGACAAGCAGCGAAGACGATCATAGAAAACGGAACCTTTCCTGACACCTTCGTCGGTCTTCGAGCCCTCATTATGCACCTGGGACATACCGAAGGTAGCTGATAAGTCGACAGTTTTTGATGAGACCTTGTCCGTCGCCCATAATGGAGCTACCGGTTGATCTACCAGTATGTATCACAATCCCCCTTTCTTTCACGTATCCTACTCTCATGATGATCCAAACCAATCATCTCACGACGGTCGACATAGCGGGCATAACGGCTTGCATTGATGAGATGGCCTCTGACCAGGCCTTTGGGACTGACCACGATCGGACACTTACTGAGTCTATTGGCGCACTGTTTGTATATGTAACTGACCATCTACCAGACCCACCGTGACGGAGCTCCAAGCGCAGAGAGCTTGCCCTCAATGCTCGTACTAGTTCGTCTACGCCAGTAATGGCGCGGTATAGTCGGCTGCTCTCGAACTTGTACGAGCATTTAAGCGAACGAGGGCAAGCGAACGAGGGAGCAACTTTCGTAGAGTAGCGGGACAAGCATAAGGACCCTTTCGAAGGAAATGCTAGCGCTCACACAATCTCTTCGCATACTCGGTGATAGTGCTTTCTGCTACTCTTTGAGACCAACCTGCAAGGCGCCAAAACACCAACGCTGATTCATCATGTCATCCTGCCGTAATCAAGCACTCCTTTCCACTCTTCGAACAACAATGCTGCCAAGAAGGCACAGCGAATAAGCATCTTACTGCTCCCAAATGCGCGCCAGTCAACCCATGCAAATGCCCAAGAATGCCTCGCGATCAATGCCTCCCTCTCCCCTCACGTCAAACTCCTCAATCATCGCCTGCAATTCCTCCTCCTGCAGCCCTTCACCCAGCTCCCTCGCCACGCGCCGTAAATCATTCACGTCGATCCGTCCCTTGCCCTCCGCATCGAACAGCTCGAACGCGCGCAGAATCTCTTCCTGCGGGTCGCGATTCAGTATCCGCTGTGCCGCTATCTGCTGGAATGCCACGTGACTGAGCAACAATCGCGACGGACCCGTGAACGATGGTCTATCACCTCCTTGCTGCTGCTGCCCCCCTCTCGCGCCGCCTGTGAGTGACGACGCAGACACGCCGTGCGTCTGTAGCATACTCAGAATATCATTCTTCGGCAAATCGAATCCGAGCGCTTTCAGCGCGACCTTGAGCTCGTGGTAGTCGATGTAGTTGTCCTTGTCCAGATCGAAGAGCGAGAATGCCTCGTTGACTTCTTCTCTTTGCTCCTCGCTTAGCGACTCGAGCGCGCCGCGTTCTTCTGCCTCGCGACGCTCGCGCTCAGCCCGTTCGTGTCGTTCCCGCTCGAGTCGCTGCGCTTCGCGTTGTTGTTGCGTGAGTGCTGTGCCGAGGCCGGCGGGGTTCTGTGTGGGCGGAGGCGCGTTGAAGGGAGTTTGCGCGTTGTAAGGGGTGGTGGAGAAGGTGTTGGTGTTGGGTGCGCCGGCGGTGCGGCCAAGGCCGGAGGTGTAGGGGCGGGAAGGGAAAGGTTGGTGGGAGGCCGATGTGGCCATTTTGTGATGGTGTGGGGAGTTCGGGAATGTCTTGCAATATTTCCTTCTCGTCAGAATTGTGTGAAACTTGAATGCACCTCGGCGCGTGTTCGTGTCAGTCGAGGACGCGTTCGGAGACTTTCGGCATGCTCGGCATGACCTTCGTTCCTTTCCGCGACAGACCCGCTCCCGCTCTGCTTTCGCGGATCTGTTTGATGTCATCCACCCTGCACTTGCGGATGCGAATGCACGCTGTGTATATCATGGCAGTACCGGGCGACCTGATACTATGAGAGAGGCAATGTCCTGTGATTGTGACTTTGTACGATGCGACAAGCAGAGCATACCAGCAGCTTGCTGTTCTCGACGACATGTATCTCGATCCGTGGGCACGAAACCTACCTTAAGGTAGTCAGATGCGAAGTCACAAAGCGTTGCCGAAACAAGCTCGACAGTCGGACAGACAGCCGATGACGGTACCTAACGTCGAACACTGCATATAACTAAGGCAGCAGAGCACGACCACGAGCTTCGTCTGTTCATATCGTATCAAACTGGCATGACGAAGTGGGCCCGAAAATGGCTGGCTGGTTCGTTTGGTGAGTACGAAGCGAGCGTGCTGGTTCGGCATTTACCTCAGATCAACTTGTAAGGTATACAAAGATCTGTTGTCCGATTGACAGCACCACCAAGCTCTCTGGAAGAGCGACACCCTACCAAACCTTCTTCCCCTGGCTGCCCTGCTCCACGCCGTGTGCGACATTGGTAGTGGCATCTTCGACACTGTTGGTCACCGACTGCAGCGCATCGCCCACCGGACGAGTTCCGCTGGCGTTGTTTATGGTGCCGCCTAGACCACGGCCTGCGGCTCCCACGACTCCGCCGACTGTGCGGGAGACGCCGCCAACTACTGCACCCAGCTAGGGTATCATCAGTCCTGAATCAAACCCGTGTATAGGTCGAGATGGAATACTTACGGTTCCTGTCACAGTCGTGACGGCTCCGGTAACGCCTTGATTATTGTTAGACATGTTGCCGCTATGGCTCGAACCTGTGGTAGCGTTCTTGTCGAAGAAGTTGTTGATCTTGACTCGGGCGTCTTCTGCGTCTTTTTCGAGGTTCGTCATCGGGGTACACGGCTGAAGAAGAGAGAGTGTCCCGACCAATATGAGCTCTACTTACTAGATGCTGCCTAAGGCGTGGCTGTGTTGCTCTTGCTGCACGTCGTCGTCATCGCCTGCAGGCAGGTGACCTTCAAACACGAAGTAGTCGCGTTCACGGTGTCAGATTGAACATGTGACTGACTTAACTGGCGTCCGAGAGCCTTTGCATTGCGCAGTGGCGTTACCTCGTTGCGTACACATTATGGCTGCGAGGAACAAGCCTGCTGTGACAGGGCGGAGCAGCGCGCCTTTCACGTGCGTCTTCAATTTGTCTCAGCGGCAGCCCTACGCAACGGGCCGCGCCTTCTCCGCTGCTGCTTCATTCAGAAAATGTGAGAAATTGCGCCTCGTGCCTGCCTATTCCACAACCACCACGACCAGTCAACATCTCCAGCATCTTCCCCTCTTGACTCACCAGCAAAGCCCAAAAACACTCGGAAGAAACTTACAAAAAGCCGTCCCTTGTCGATACTCTCGCAAGGCCTCCTCCTCCTTCCCCCAAAGCTCCTCCTTGGCGTAACAGTGACACGTGAGTTGTCGCGCAAACCGGTGTAAGAGCAAACTGGCAGACTAACGGTCGCAGCGCAATCACCTCACTTCACCTCACCCACTCACTCACTTACTCACTCACTTCCCGTCGCTTCGACCCTCGTGACAGCATCTTCGCTCCCAGCATCCACAAGGCAATTTCGGCAAAAGGTACGGTTGCGCGTACTTTCCCACTTACAGCATTGGGTCAGAACCTGCAGTGACGGCGAATTGAGGTCCGGACGGTACGGCTAACAGCGCGACAGGTTACCCGCGGCGAACATGTCCGACGTGCAGAACTCCACCCAGGCTGGCGTTGCTGGTCAGGCCGCCTCTCCCCCCGCCGAGGGCGCGAACGGCGCTCCCACTCTCAACACCAACACCGCCGCCTCCATGTCATCCGAGTACAATGACATGCCCACTCCCACCTCCGCCGCTCCATCCACCGCTCACCCGAACTCCGCTTCTCTGTACGTTGGCGAGCTCGACCCGTCCGTCACCGAAGCCATGCTGTTCGAGCTCTTCTCCTCTGTTGGCCAGGTCGCGTCCATTCGTGTCTGCCGTGATGCCGTCACCCGTCGCTCGCTTGGCTATGCTTACGTCAACTATAACAGCGCCAACGACGGTGAGCGCGCTCTCGAGGAGTTGAACTACACTCTCATCAAGGGCAGGCCTTGCCGCATCATGTGGTCGCAGCGCGACCCGGCTTTGCGCAAGACTGGCCACGGCAACGTTTTCATCAAGAACCTGGATGGTGCCATTGATAACAAGGCTCTCCACGACACCTTTGCCGCGTTTGGCAACATCCTCAGCTGCAAGGTCGCCGTCGATGAGCTGGGCAACTCCAAGGGCTACGGCTTCGTCCATTACGAGACCGCCGAGGCCGCCAGCCAAGCTATCAAGAGCGTCAACGGCATGTTGTTGAATGAGAAGAAGGTGTTCGTTGGTCACCACATCCCGAAGAAGGACCGCATGAGCAAGTTTGAGGAGATGAAGGCCAACTTCACCAACATATATGTCAAGAACATTGAAACTGAGGTCACGGACGATGAGTTCCGTGAGCTGTTCGAGAAGTACGGCGAGATCACTTCCGCTTCGCTTGCCCACGACAACGAAACTGGCAAGAGCCGCGGCTTCGGCTTTGTGAACTACATCAACCACGAGGATGCTTACAAGGCGGTTGATGAGCTCAACGACAGCGATTTCCATGGTCAGAAGTTGTACGTTGGACGCGCCCAGAAGAAGCATGAGCGCGAGGAGGAGTTGCGCAAGCAGTATGAAGCGGCGCGCCAGGAGAAGAGTGCCAAGTACCAGGGTGTCAACCTATACGTTAAGAACTTGGCGGATGAAGTCGACGATGAGGAGCTGCGCAAGATCTTTGAGGCATACGGTGCCATCACTTCCGCCAAGGTCATGCGCGATGTTACGCCGCTTGACAAGGCGGAGACTGATGCCAAGGAGAACAAGACCGATGACAAGGAAAAGCAGGTGGATGGCGAGCCGACGGAAGACAAGAACGGCGAGGAGCAGGAAGACATGGAGGAGCTTGAGAAGAAGATGGACACGGTCACTATCGGTGGCGAGAAGAAGGTATTGGGCAAGAGCAAGGGCTTTGGCTTTGTCTGCTTTTCCAACCCGGACGAAGCGACCAAGGCCGTCACCGAGCTCAATCAGAAGATGATCCACGGCAAGCCACTCTACGTCGCTCTGGCCCAGCGCAAGGAAGTCCGCAAGACGCAGCTCGAAGCCAGCATTCAGGCACGCAACCAAGTCCGCATGCAGCAGCAGGCCACTGCCGGCGGTCCGATGGCGCCGCAATTCATGCAGCCGCAGATGTTCATGGGCCCCAATGGTCAGCCGATGATGATGCCCGGAGGCGGTCGTGGTGCCGCGCAGATGCCGTTCATGCCTGGCATGCCCGGTGCCGGCGCCCAGCGTGGTGGCTTCCCTGGTATGCCTCAGCAAGGCGGCCGTGGTGGGCCTCAGGGTATGTCACAAATGCCTCAGATGCCTCAGATGCCCTATGGTCTCCCACCGCAGATGGCCGGCTTCAATCAGCAGATGTTCAACAACCCGATGGCGTACGCTCAGATGATGCAGGCGGCTCAGCAGCAGGCGGCGGCAATGGGTGGACGTGGCGCTGGTCGTGGTGGTCCGATGCAGGGGATGCAAGGCATGCCGATGATGCCTAGTATGCCACCGCAGATGATGCAGGGCGGTGGCGGCGGCGGAATGCGTGGTGGCTTCCCAGGTCAGCAGCCGCCGTCGCGTGGTGGCATGATGGGAGGCCGTGGGATGGAGGAGCCGCGTGGCCGTGCGCCGAACCGTCCGCAGATGCCGTCGTCGGGTCCGGGTATTGACCTCAATCAGCTCAATGCCGCGCCACCGAGTCAGCAGAAGCAGATTCTGGGTGAGGCGCTGTATCCGAAGATTCACGCGCAGCAGCCGGAGTTGGCGGGTAAGATTACGGGCATGCTGTTGGAGATGGACAACCATGAGTTGCTTGGCTTGTAAGCTTCTCGCCTTGGACTTTCATGTATGGTCACTTGCTAACGATGCTAACTAGGACCACTGATGACGATGCTCTCCGCGCCAAGGTCGACGAGGCCATGAACGTCTACGAAGAGTACGTCAAGAACCAAAGCGGTCCTGGTGGGCCGGAGGATGTTCCTGGCGCGCAGCCGCAGCCCAACGGGACGGAGAACATGAACCCGAGCATGGAGGAGGTCAAGGATGTCGAGGCTTGAGCACGACCTACTGATTCTGAACTCGACATGGTAAAGCCGCAACCTCTTGCTTGAGTGTCGCTGGCCGTCTCGATTGACGGAATTACAAGCGAAGCAAAGGACGCTAGACTTTCCTTGCGTGGCCCGCAAGCAGATTCTTTTTACGATACCCCTTATTGAGCTTGCGCTTACGCTTGGACCGCGAAACATTGGCATCTGATCATGCTGGTATGCTTGAAACGGTATTGTACACTACGACCACGTGCGAGCATAGCTATGTGCTGGTACGAATGGCATCTGTAGCATGCACTCGAAGAGATGCAGCAGCACTTCGCAAGGCTGAGGTGGTAGCAGAGGAAATGATATGGTGGATGGTGACGTGTATGAGTATGTGTAGTAGGGCAATAGAGTAGTGCAAATGGCATGAGCATCGAGAGCGGATAGTGTGATATCACATCACCGATCGGTCCTTTTAATACTGTCTGTATGTGAGGATGAGTTTACGCCTAGTCTATCACGCCTCCCATCTCACGTTATACATGGCAATACGCCAACCCAATACACAGTACGCCGTCCGCTGATGCCCAAGGCGCAGATGATTGTGTTTACAGCAAAGCACGTCGCTCAACTGCCATGCAAGCCTGCTCTGGCCGCTGCGCAACACAGGACTCGAGCTTACAGTCCACGACCACTTTCTGCCACGCTACTGCCGCTCGTCGAGCATGCTCCCCTGGCACCGCCGGACTCGGTTCAGCAAGGGTGCGGTTGAACATTTCCGCGCTCACCCAGCCTTCGAATCCCAGATCGACCAGAATGGCTTTGAGGATCGCCCTAACTGGCAAATAAGCGCCCCGCTCCTGTTCTCCATAGAATAACCTGCAGTTCCGTGACCAGCTCATCCGGGCCGGCTGTCCTGCTTCATAGTACTCGTGCCCTTCGATGAGTGGTTGAGTAAGGTATTCGGCGTCCACTACCTGCACGTAGACGATCTTGCTCACGTCCACGGTACGCACGAGTCGGTCTACGGATGCCTTGGTCGCTGCCTCCGCGTTTGGAGTGCGTCGGTGTGGTGCGGTAGGGTCGGCGTATATTCGCGCAGCCATGTTGAACGTATCCAAGCAGAGGCCGAAGTTTGGTCGGTCGACTAGTTGCACTATTTTCCAGCTTTGCTCCCAAGTGTCGGAATAGGTACCCCAGGCTAGAGATTCGTAGGCGAATTGGATGCCTTCTGGCGCTCCCAAATCCGCTACTTTGCGCAAGTCAGAGATGATGAGTTTGAGGTCACCGCTCGCTTGGTCCACAGGCAGGAAGCTTGAGGGGATGGATATGATGTGCGTGTTTAGCACGTGTGCTAATTGGATCCATAGATGCATCTCCTTGACGCGTTGGGCATGGCACTGACGATCTCGGAGGCCTTCGTAATGCATGAAGGGTTGTAGACACACGATTGCAATGCCGCGTTCAACGCAGAGCGAGCGGACAGTCTGAGCGGCGAGGAGAAGGTTGGTCGCAGTGACTCCGCCCGGGTAAGATTTGGCGACGTACTCGAGGTCTTCGTAGAAGAGCTCAATGTCGAAGCCGTGCTTGGCGGCTTGGTCGAGTTTCGAAGGCATGGAGTGTACCCATGCGCGGCCGAGAGAGTGCGAGCTAATTGCAGGGCGGCAAGGCATCTTGCCTGTTACAATATGAATCTGATTCAAGCGATATTGTGGAAAGAGAATAAAACAGTACGGAGCTATCACTGTAAAGAGTGGTACGTTGCAGTTTTGAAGTAGGAGTGGACAAGAGGTCCGGTGTCTGAGCAAGGAAGGGCTACTGCACTTACGGAACAGCCGTGGCTAATGTTGAACTTGCTGATATCTCTTGCGCCTGTAGACCGATGATAGCGTCTTGGACGGTCTGATCGTGTCCGCTAGAGAAGTCGCATCGTGGTATGGGGTCGAGACGGGGTCTGCGAAGTGGCGACGCAGTCGCCAAAGCACACTTCCGGCGAACTGAAGAATGTTCATCCGGACATTGTTGATCCGAGCACGGTATGATGAACAATGACTCACATCCACATCTAGACATCACCCACCCGACCTACACACACCATTAGAGTTCATCCGGTGCTCATTCGGAAGCACATGGCTGGTTGTGTGTTGAGGTTGGCGTGATGACAGTGTAAGGTCGACTTATGGCATGAAGCTACTGCAACATGGGAGTGTACATTCTGACACCGTAGTTGAACCGCGAAGTGAGAGGAGGCCTCTGTGTGGTGACTACTCCATTGACCTTGCTACTTGTAAGTTCGAATAGATATCTGTGATATACCACTTTGCTCGTTCAGCAGTCTGAGTCGCAGGCGCGCGCAATATCATGGCCTCAGCACCGACTCGCAGTCCAATCAACATCGCTGTAGTAGGTATTGGGCAGATTGGACCCAGACATGTCCAGAGCATTCTCGGCTGTCGTGATGCGACACTTCTCTGCGTCGTTGATCCAGGTCCGAGCGCAGTCGACGTCGCCACAAGCTTGGGTACGAAGCTGTTCCCTTCTGTGGCCGCCATGCTCGAGGAGTGCAGGCCGGACGGCGCGTACGTGTGCACGCCAAACAGCGTCCATGCTGCCAACGCTGCGGAGCTACTGAAGGCCGGCATCCATGTCTTGGTTGAAAAACCAATAGCTACCATAGTAGCAGACGGAAAGAGGGTTGTAGAGCTCGCTCGCTCGTCTGAAAGGCACCTGTTAGTCGGCCATCACCGGCGCTTTAACCCCTTTGTTGTCGCTGCGAAAGATGCCTTGTCTAAAGGGGTAGTAGGAACAGTGATTGCTGTATCAGGTCTATGGATGACAGGCAAACCCGACTCCTACTATCTGCCTCCCACCGAGTGGAGACGCAGATCTGGCATTGGCGGCCCAATCCTGATTAACCTTATTCACGAGGTCGACATCCTCATGTATCTACTAGGACCCATTACCCGTGTATACGCAGAGATGACGCTTTCATCCCGTGGGTACGAGGCTGAAGAAGGCGCTGCGGTATTACTGCGCTTCACTTCTGGCGTTGTTGGCACATTCCTGCTTTCGGACGCGACACCTTCGAATCATAACTTCGAGTCTGCCACTGGTGAGAACCCGATCGTGCCGAGAGCCGGTAAAGATATTTACCGCATCTTCGGCTCGGAAGGTACGCTTAGTGTTGGAGATCAAGTCCTAACCAGGCATGCTGATGGTACCGCACGAAACTGGACGGAGCCAATCCATGATGAATCCATTGGAGTTATACGCACGATCCCTTTTGATGCGCAAGTCGCTCATTTTGTAGAGGTTGTGAGAGGCACAGAGGAGCCGCGATGCAGTGGAGAAGACGGTTTGCGTGCGTTAGTCGTCTGCGACGCTATCAAGCGAGCAATAGCATCTGGGAATGCAGTGGATATCTAAATCCATAGCCATGGTCTTTATATGAAGTTCCTGTTGACATAGAACATGCATTAGGCGGTGGCAGGAGACGGATCACCCGTTGTAGCAGGCAGTGAACGGGTTATCTGTTGCAGAAGTTGTACAATCCACGCCGTATATACAAATCATCCTTTGTTCTTCATACCTTCTCATGATGCTCGAGCTTCTCCTTTGCGACGCTGAGCCCAGCACCCTCCGCATCATGGCGGAACTCTTCCTCTCGGGCCATGTCTTCCTCATGAATTTGTCTATGCGCCTTGCGAACAGGCTTGACCTGGAAGAGACGGTCCATCGACTCAAGTGGGATACCTTTGGTCTCCGGAACAAGGAAATAAACGAACGGAATCGAAAGGATCATCATCGATGCGAAGACTGCAGCAATAGTTAGCACTTGCATGACTACAGTACTTGCGGGAAGGAGACTTACAGTAATACACGCCACAGCCCGATGGACCCATCGTATTAAACATCTGCGGCGTGAATCGGGAGATGATGAAGTTCCAAAACCAGTTGTTCGCTGCAGCGTTTGCCTGACCCAAGCTGCGAGTATTCTGATCGAACATCTGAACATTGATGGGTAGGGGGTTAGCTACTTCTCGAACCGCGAGGATCTCTGCTCAACACTCTGCTTACCTCGCTGTTAAGCACCCATGGCGTTCCATTCCATGAAGGTGTGTAGAAAGCAGTCCAGAGGTAGAAGAAGAACACTGCTGCAACGCCTCCAGGTCCGAGGCGGGTGGTCTTGTGCGTTGCAACGTTGGTGGCGTTAATGTAGCCGCCAATTATCCACATGCAAACACTCCCTCCCGCAGCACCAATCATGAGCAGGTTACGACGGCCGAGTCGGTCGATGAGGAAGAAGAGCCAGACGAGGGTGAGTGCCGTCTTTACCACGCCAAAGAGGCCGGTAGTGAAGAAGCTTGTGTTGGTGCCAACGATACCGATCGACCTGAACACAGTAGGAGAGTAGTAGTTGATAGCATTGATGCCGCTACCATTCTGCCATAGGAAAAGCATGCCACCGAGGAAGAAGCGCCATTGTACTGCACGACTGCTGCCAACGGCCTTGAATGGCTTCCAGAACCCGATGCCAATGGTTGCAGCTTGCTCTTCGAGGGCAAGGTCCATGAAGGCGACCTCCTCAACGATATACAAGTCATCTGCCTCGAGGTTGCGAATCCAGCTTAGGTTCTTCAGTGCTTCTTGTCTCCTGTTCTTGGATAACAGCCAACGCGGCGACTCTCGCAGCCATATGGCGCCAATGAAGAGCAGACCAGCTGGAATGAGCTGAACGGCGAACGGTATAAGCCACTGCCTGTGACTGGGCTTCATTGTCTCCGAAAGGCCGTAGTTGATCCAAAAGCCGACGAGGCCGCCAATCTGCCAACCAAGCTCGTAAATACCGACGAGTCTACCACGAACGGCGGGCGGGCTGAGCTCGGATATGTAGATAGGAACGATCATAGAACATCCACCAACACCCATGCCAGCAAGGACACGTCCAGCGTAAATGGGGCCGAGGCCGTGTGCGCCACTGGCGTCGAGCATGATTCCCGCACCAAGGATGAAGATGACTGACCAGAGCCATAGGCTGCGCTTACGGCCGAGAAAGTATGCTGATGCGTAGGCGAAGATGGAACCGAAGAAGGCACCTGCTTGGTAGACAGAGACTATGTTCGCCTTAACAAGAGCAAGCTCGCTGGTCGACAGCTTCGCAAAGCCGAACTCTTTCGTGAAAGCAGGGAGTGCCAGTGTCGTGCCAATGAACGCAGAGTCATAACCGATCTAAACATGCTTTAGCCGCGGGACTCGACCCAGGCTTTGAGAGACTTGTGGCGCGAGCGTACCATGCATGATGCAAAAGAGGCAATGGCGGCGCAGGTATACACCCTCCAGTTGTAGACAGCCTTGGGCGTTGGCCTGTCCTCGACAAGTGTGAGTAGGCCCATGATGATTAACGATGTATCACGACAATGCTGTCAAGTTGAGACTAGGGAGTGAAACCGATGTGGTGTAGAATTGAAGAGCGGGGACGAAGGAAGATATATCTGCATCACAAACCGTGCAGCCCCGTGGGGCAGGTGTCTACAAGAAGTCGGAGGCGCTCGCATGAGCTAGCTCCATGTCGCGTCTATGCAGGCTTTGAGCGGTATTCACCCTCTCCGCATGGCTAGCCAGGATCTAGATGCGAGGAAGGCGGAGAGAAATTGCAAAGTTTGCGGAGCTTGGCCTGTATTGGAAGTGGAAGAATGTTCACCCACTAGGAAGAACAATGAGCATTTGTGGAGCAACTGCGTTGTCGAGACGAGGCGTCAAGCCCAATGGCTCTACACCGCGATCTAAGTCCAAGCATGAAACACAGCACGGCTCATTGTGCCACGGAAGCCGTTACAAAGCTGGCCCTTGTCGGCAACAGCAGCACCATGTACCGATGTCAAGGAACACCATCAGGTTTCGTCAATGACTTACTCGAAAATATAATAAGCCTATATTGAATGATAACGTTGGATCACTCTGCGTCTAACACCATAGACTTTTCGCCTTAGACGCTTCGGCTTTGCTGTTACAACGATGGCTGCGAACGGTTTGATCACATGCCCGGATCCAGCAGTTGACCACCTTGACCGTCACGGCTACCTATTTGGTTGGCCGATTGCGCACTCAATGAGCCCACTCTTTCACCAGACGATATACGACAATCTCGGTTTACGATGGAGTCAGTTACCACTGCCTTCCACAGATATGGATCACTTCCTTCAGCTTATTCGGCATCCGAAATGCTATGGTGAGCTTTCCACTCCATCCAGGCCTCTGGAAATAGTTTTGATTGACCACAATCTCAGGCTCCGCAGTGACCATGCCGCATAAGGTTGCCATCATTCCGCACCTTGACGACCTAACACCGGAAGGTCGAGCTGTGGGAGCCTGCAATACTATTTTCCGGCGAGGTTCACGATTCGTGGGCACCAACACGGACACCATTGGCGTGCGCGAAAGCTTTTACCAGAACGTGGCAAGTCCGGACCAGGTCTTTCACGGCAGGCCAGGTATGGTCATTGGAGGCGGTGGCGCCGCGCGATCGGCAGTCTACGCCCTGGTAAACTTCATGAAGTGCCCCACAGTCTATCTTGTCAACCGTGATGCCACGGAAGTTGACGCAGTGATAGGGTGGTGTAAATCTCAAGGCTATGGTGATGGACTCCAGCATGTGTCTACGGCGGCGCAGGCGGAGGCTCTTGCGGGTCCCGGCGCTATTGTTGCATGCGTGCCTAACTTCCCACCAGTAACGGAAGCTGAGAAGGAGGCGCGGAGAGTAACAGAAGCTTTTTTGAGCAAATCGCACAAAGGTGCAATACTTGAGATGTGCTACCATCCAACGCCATGGACCGAGATCGCTGCGCTTGCAGAGAAGGCTGGATGGCAGGTCATCCTCGGTACTGAAGCCGTCATCTACCAAGGCCTGGAGCAAGATCGATACTGGTACGCGAACGCTTAACAACAGTCCTCACTTTTTGTCGAAGATAAGGCTAACGATGGTGTCTGATACCTTCAGGACAGGTCGACCGCTCGAAGAGCTGCCAGTCCAAAAGGTGAAGGATGTGATATCGCAGGAGCTGAGCAAGGCCAGATTGTAGCGTTCAACTGTCGCAGATTTTGTACGGTGTATGGAGGCAATGCCTATGTGAGACTATTGGTCATCTGATCAAGTTTGTACTGGCTCGATCATACTCCGGGTCGGACATAGTCAAGATGCCGCACGCGCTTCCACACCTCACGAACGGTGCGCTCCTGGCCTTGCCGTCCTGTCTCGTGCTCGTTATCACCAGCAGGTCGTATAGCGAGGTACAGTCGCCCACCGAGCTTGACTGGCGTGATCGGTGCAGTCATTGGGTTCTCGGGGGGGTTGGCCGTTGTGGCCAAGCCTCCAGCTTCCTGCAGTATACAGATACCCGCAGCGACATCCCACTCCCTGATGAGGTGTAAGCAGTGTTGTCGCTGATACAGCAGCTGAAAATCGTTAAGCTTACCAGCAACCGCCCTCCCACCAGATATCAAACGACCCCATTGCGCAATAAGCCAGATCTAGCGTCGCAGAGCCTAGACTTCGCACACCATGCACCATGCCGCCCATGCCTTGCCTACCGCCGATCTCGGCAGCCATGTTGACGAAGCTGTCAACCTTTCTGTGCAGGTTGCCATCAGGTAGATCTCGCCGGTCCTTGCCCCATTCGCATGAGAAGATGCACCCTTTAGGTGCTGCTGGCGGCATAGGTGGTATAGGATTGCGGAGTAGCGGCAGCCTCTGTGTTTCGTTGAGCCATGCGCCTTTGCCGCGGCAAGCAGAAAACGTTTGGTTCAAGAACGGAGCGTTGATAACGCCAATCACTGGCTCGCCATCGAGGATGAATCCGATCGAGACACAAAACATTGGGAAGATGTGTGTAAAGTTCACCGTCCCTTTGCAGATAGAGGGGTCGAATGAGCACACAATGAGATGCACAGGATGCCAATATGATGATTCTGGAACTACGTACCGTCGAGCGGATCAACGCACCAGGTCGGCTCTTTACCGATCAAATAGTCCTTCGAGGAGCCTTTGCTGTAAGACTCTTCGCCGACAAAGCTCGGACTTAATCAGTGTCACCATTCTCCGTGGGGTGGTGCGTCCTTCAGAGACATACTGATGGGTCGGGAATCTGCTCGTGATCTCCGTTTTAATGAAAGCCTCAACGTCTGAACAACCATAAGTGTCAAGACTAAGGGCCGTGTAACAAAGGGTTACAGAGAAGTCGCTGCAGGTGAGTTACCTTCATCTGTCTTCGTCACAATATCCACGGCGTTGGCTTTTTCGACGTGCTCCAGATCATGGCGACCCGCAGCTCGATCTCGCCAGCCATCGTCCAGGAGTTTGCCAGCTCGCTTGCCAAGAACCACAGCAAATTCGTAGATTTCATCCAGATCAATGTCTGATATTCTTGACATCGTCGGACGTGTGCACGTTTATGGGTGAGGTAGAGACAGGTTCCAAGTATGGGTCACTGGCTCGCGGTGTTTCTTCGGGTGTAGTAAAATTGCCATGGCACAGCCGTATGGTGCACATTTATTGCGGCCAGCGACTGTGAGATTCAGTGCACGTCGTGCAGAAAGATTCATCGTCATCCTCCGGCCGGCTTGATTGCAACATCGAACGAACCGGGAAGTCTTGGGAATCGGGCGCAGTCCTTAGCCACGGGTTTGGCCCCAAGCTGAGAAGGGGCAGTGGAGTTAACCCGCAAACCCCGCCTGCATCTTCGTGCCGCCGAACCGGGCATTCTGGGGAAGCGTGCAGATCTCCTTCGATGCTTCGTATCTCAATTTTGACACAAACCAGCGAACACTGTTCTCGCAAGCCTGAAAGCGCACCCATTGAGGTCATTGAATATCTGCGCGGCTACGGGAACAATATGCCACCTGCCATACACAAGTAATGCGTTTGACAGAGGAGTCGAGTCGAGTTGAGTCAAGTCGAGTCCATTCGTTGACCGATGGTCACACGTGGATTATCCCGCCACTAAGCAATTATGGAATGCATGTGGCGTTCGCTAGCTCATTGAGTAGGGCACAAGCATTGCGGCGTATAAGGTGCCGCGCACGCCCAGCAATCTTACCTGACGGCCGACATCAACAATAAACTCATTGACAAGAAGGCAATTGTACTTCATTCATACCTCAAAGTTGCTGAGAATCGTACGGCGTATCTCGCACTTAGTCGACCATCACGTACAGGCCACAAGCGTGGAACACGAAAGGTTGCTCTACTCGAAGCCAAGCCAGGCCGCAATCTTACTCCATTGAGAAGTCTAGCTAGCGGCGAATCTTCACCTTGACGCCGTAATGGGAGCGACAGCATGGGCAATACCTGTTGGGATTCTTGCAGGCCTTGCTGTCCTATGGTGAATAGATAATCGCCAGTTTCAGGCGAGGCTATGCTGACTCGTGGCAGTTTCATCTTCGTCTGCTGGTGGTTCCCCCGAGCCTGGCGGAAAGGTTCAGCACTGGAGATGAAGGCGATTGCAGAAGATCGTGCCGCAAGGCAAGCGGCGATTGAGCGAGGAGAAGCGCCGCCGACTAAGCCGACAGGTTTCATCGCGCCTGTGGCAGGATACTGATCTTGGGAATGCGCTCCAGAGGCTTTGCGGAGGAGGAATTGTGCTTATGCAGCGACGTGCTTGTGACCGTCAAGTGTTTCTTAAGGGGCCACAGCACAACTTTCTCCCAACGAATTGATGACGCTCAGAGATTATGGATACCTTGGTAGCATACGGGACGGCGCATGACTTTATGCGCTCTGCTGCAACTGTTAATGATCACCTTGATGGCCGCAAACGGATGCAACACGCGCTTCGCATTTGCGATGCGTCATCATTGCAACCATGCAAATGTCTATCACCCGCAAGAAGTGTTCATGCTCTCACGGGATTCTAAACGCCTCGCTCAAATACGCAGACTGCATTTTTGCTCGCTTCAACGCACAGACAAGTCCAGCACAATGACGATGGCCACTTCAGCCATCCAATCCATCCTCCCATCCTCCACTAATCTGCAAATAGCCTTTGACCCTGGCCCTACAGTCCTCCAAACCATCCCCGAGCGCCTCTCTCCACTGCTTCTCCACCTCGCCCACCTTCTCCTTGAGATCCTGCGTCAGTCGCTCTTCGGCCTCCTGCAGTACGGCACGATCGGGAGTATGCGGGCTCGCAGCCGAGCCATGAATCTCCACGAGTCGGACATGGCCCTTGGTACTAGCCGTACGGACTTCGTGGAGCAGACACAGGAGGTTGATCTCTGACTCGATGAATTGGTAAGCACTCTTTTCCGCATGGCTGAGGAGGCAATAAAGGTACTGCAACGGGTGGTCGTGATAACTCGGGTTTTCTTCGTATTCGAGCTCGGGGATGTGGATATCGAGTTCTTCGAGTGCGGAAGGTAACCCGGTGGCAACGTCCAATAGACTGGGAGCAATGTCCCAAAAAGCCGACATCTGGTCCTCGACACCCCGGCTAACATGCATCTCGACGATTCGCTGCAGCTCCTCGTGCCGCTTGACAAAGTCTCGCGCAAAGGCCAATTGCCGGTCTCTGCTGTCCTTGCCGAAGAACGCAGTCGCTTCATCAATTTTCGCCTGAGCTCGTTGAATCCGATACGGCGTAAGTATAACTTCCGAATACTGCTCGCTTCGATTCGCGTGAAGGTCAAATGTCTCTGTATGCAATTGCTCCCGCGCTTCAAATAGCCACTTGAGCAATGTCAACTTCTCGAGCCGCTCGGGTTGCTCATCACCCTCTTCCTGTGCTTGATTTGGGTCAGCGACGTGGTTGCTCGTCTCTAGATCCAGCTTCAGGCGCTCAATGCACTCATCAGCCGTTTTTAGCCGTGCCAGTAAGAGCTCGTTCAACGGCTGCGCGACCTGCGTTTCATAGCGTTCGAAGTTCGTCCGAGCTTCCGCTTTGCCACGTTCTGCTTCTTCTTTGTCGAATGCGGCTTCTTCCTGCGCAGCTTGTGCGAAGCTCATCGTACCGTTCCCGAGTTTCGTTTGTATGCCTGAATGCAGCCTAGCGCGGCGCTCTTTAGCGAGTTCGTTATGCTGCTTTCGGATAACAAAGTCGCGATCCAAGAAATTGTTCTTGATCTGCTGGATATCAATGTGATTCGTCATTGTGCGATGCTCATTCCGTAGATCGGCCAGCATCGGATGGCTGTTATTCAGGGCGGGATGATGTCGAGGATATGGCGGAGGAAGTGTGACAAGGCGAGAGATGTCCAGTGGACCGCCGACAGATACTGCAGATGATTTGCGTTCCTGTGCCTGCCGTGGAGTAGGCATAGGTGTTTTGAAGTCGTTGCCCTCATGCCAGCCCACTTTCTCAGGCGGATACTCACTGCCAGTTAGGACACTTCTCGCGCCAGACGTGTCAGAGCTCTGAGGGAGGGCGGGCGATGGCTCAGCAGTCCCTGCCAATTCAGACGCTCTAACACCCATGTATTTCGTTTCGCGCTGACTCCTTTCAATCCGCTCGGGTCTCCCGATCGACCCTGAACCGGACCCAGACTGGCTTTGCTCCCACCACCTGCTTGGGGCGCGGCCGCGTGAGCTGTCCTCGTCTGGCACTGTACTTTGAGCCATGCTAGGAATCGGGGACAGGGTAGGCTTGAAAGATTCCGCCCAATGACGTGACTCAGTAGCGCGCTCCAACGCAGACTCCGCTGCGTCTCCAATCGAACACAAATCCGTAGCCGGCGTGTTCTCCCCGAACGAAGAGGCTGAGCTTGGTACTCCATATGTCGAGCCAGGCTGCTCATCCGACGCCCAGGATGGCACGGTTGGATCGAAAGAGGACATGGAGGTGGTTGGAGTGAGTGCTCGCTTGCTGCTCCGGGTATACGACCGCCACATATCCCCCGTAAGGTCAACAATATCACTTGCCATGGCGGTGTATGCAGAATGATAACGATCACGACGGAGACGGGATTCGTGAACGATAAAGTTTGCAAACAGCTCCAAGCGCACTCCATCCGATGCTGCAAAAGCCTCCTTTTCGATGAAAACGCGATGTCGCTCCAATGATTGCAACGCAAAGGCGTCAAGTTTGGCTGATGGTTTCGCTGAGCCCGCCGAATGCGGCCGCCCGGGTGTGAGCGGCGTCAATGCAGCGGCGCCGGCACTGGGCGTACGAAGCATGATTGTCGCCGACCTCGTATCGTGTCGCTGGACTGCAGTTTCCTTTCCTACGCTAGGCGTATACGGAGGGGTCATCATGCTCGGGGGCGCCTTGGGCGCCTGCGCGGCTGGCGCAACTACAGCATTGGCTTGCGGACCAGAGTTGGATTCACCAGTAGGCTCTGCGTAACCGGAGGCTGCGCGTATGTGCTCCCGTCTTCGACTTATGGTGCTGTCTACAGGATCTGATAGCTTGCCACTACGCTTTGACTCGTCACTGGAGGGCGAGCGATCGCCGCTTCGGCGCTCTTTGGCCCTCCGGCTGCGAGAACGTCGCTCACGCAGACCCTCACCACGACCTCCACGCGTCGTAGGCCGCCTGGAAACCGAGCTCTCATGATGCGCGCCGGTGTCAATACGCAAAGGTTGGTATGAGACATCAGGCTCCAGAACCTGATTCGCAGGCGTGGCGTCAGTCGAAACAGGCACATCCTGGTCTTCTGTCCAATTTGCCGGTGTCGGCGGGACAGGTCCGAGACTAGAAGGTTGAGCAGCCCGTCTTGGGTACGCCGGGGGAAGCACACTCGTTTTTGCTTCTACGAGCACGCCATGACCTGACGAAGAGTCTGGAAACCTGCTTAGGCTCTGTGATCTTGCTCCAGCAGGAGGTGGGCCAGGAGGTGGGCCAGGCAGAGGCATACCAGGCTGCCAGCCGTTCTCTGGCGATGCGTGCCGTGACAACTGTCCCTGATCACCCGCAAACGATCGCATGGTCCCGGTTGACGCTGCTCGTCTTGCCGCAGGCGCCCTGATCTCCGCGGAATTGGATAACTGCATACTGCTGCTTGCTTGCGGATCGTTCGAATAGACCGGTTGCTTGCCCCTCAGGTTAAGATTCGTAAGGAAAGCGCGCGTGCTCGATATGCCAGAGGCTGAGCGGTCCCGGTGCCGCGACGTCATCGCGCTCGGCGGAGGCGGAAAGGCAGGCGACACTGGTACCTGCGGTGAACCTCGTGCAGTCGCTGCAAACGTCAACGGCGACGAGGCGAAACCCATGTCATCTATCAACGGCGACAATGTCGTGGTGTGGGTTGCGGAGGCACTAGAGCTCTCAGTTGAGTAAGGAGGTGGTGGAGACGGCATAGCCTCTACTTAGGCATCAGCTACACGACCATGACTGACACACAGTAAAGCTTGGCTAGTGGCCAAGGTCTCATACCTTCCATGCCCGTCGCCTCTCGCGTATTGGGCGGAGCATTGCCATGCCTGCCAAAGACCATCTGGGCGCCGGATGCCTGCCCGCTCTGACTCCATTGGCGAGGGTTGTACGGTTCCATTGGAAGAGCCCGGCTGGCCACTACTGCGGTAAGTGGGTTAAGAGCACTTGAGGCTCGGGGATTTAGTGCAACCGGCGTGCTTGGACTGAAGGGAAATGGTGTCGCATTGCCATCAGAAATCGGAGTGGGAGACGCCAGCGGAGCACCTTGAACCCTGAGGAAATGAGTAGTCAGAGATGGAGGTTGGGCGGGCACATGCCGGCGTCTCTGGCCATAGGACTCTCCGGGTCCGTTGCTCCCACCTGGGCGAGGCGCGGGTGAAGGGGGCGGAAGGGCGGCGTGATGATGCCGACTCATCACCATACCTCGCCCTTACATGAGCGACACTGCAGCGTTACTTACTGGAGACCCGCCACTACACCCGTATGGGAGAAAGCAAGCTCAGTGACGAGCTACAGCGCCGATAAAGACGCGTAGCGAGTGAGAGCGCGAAGGCGGCATATGAGTGAGACACTTGCACAAACGCTGTCAACGTGCGACGCGCAGGCCCGACATTAGCACGAAGCTAGGGTGTGACGAAGATGTACCACAACGCGGTTGTTTTATTCGTAGGACAGGCAGAGCGCAGGAAGAGCCGTGGAGTTACTCCCACCAAAACCGACGGGGCCTATCATTGGCCAAGCTTTAAAGTCTAAGGGCGTATTAACGACCCAGCAACGTGGCTCTCTCACCCGCCAAACGAGTGACCAACGCGCACCGCATGGCAGACATGCATGGAAGCGATGAGAAAGGCCTATCACAACTTCTGCTGAAGCGCTGCTTACGAGTGGCGTTGTCGTCCCGCTGTCTCCCGCGCGTGCATTGCTTGGCGCGGCTGTAGCCGCCATAGGGGAGATAGCGCAGACGGAGGGAACATCAACACGGACCGTGGCGAGAGTGTCAGACGTGGCAGAATGTCCAAGACGTGCTGGTCGTGAGCAAGATCTCTTCTGGCCAAGGTGCGATCATTTTCATTGAAACTACATACCGTGCCGAGCCGACCCTACCACTATATCATTAGCAAAAAACGCGGCAACCATCTGTTCCAGCGGCTTCAGCGGAGGGTCTCACCTTTCAGCACAGCTCCGCTTATGCGGCCGATTTCAGTGCCGTGTCGGTGCATCTAACTTCCCACGAGGCGGGAAGGATGGCTCTCACTTGCCCTCAGCCCTGCGGACCAGCTGCTCATCGAGCACAACAGGCTCGTACTTGGTCCTGTCACCCTTCTTCTGCGCCATGACCAAGTCACCTTTGAAGTATATGATGATGCCACCCTTGCCAGTCGCGCTCGCCGTGATTCGAAATAGTGGCAGTCCTGTTTGGGAATGCGCTTCACGGAGCGGTACCAGAGTAAGATCCTCTTCGGCACACCATGCTTCCACGATATCTTTGAAATCTATGTCTTCAGTACGGCGCTTGAGAGCTGGGGGTTTTGGCGCGTCCAGTTGCCGCGCAAGCTCTCGCGCAAGCGGCCTGGCGGGTCCAGCGGCCGGAGCAGGCAGCTGCGTAAGCGGAGTGCCTTGGTCGAGCAGATCAAGAGCATTGTCCATCATTGCTCTACCTTGCTGCCACTGCTTGAGAACTTCCGGGTGCAATGACAGCCTTTCCGGAATTTGCTCCTTCCACCACTCGAACCACTGCGCAATCTCTTCGAAGTTGGCATCTTCTGTGGTGAGCCACAAATGGAGCGTTGCGAGCCACTTGGGGAAGAACTCTGCAACGAACAGACGTGCAATGATGTCTGGTTTGAATGAAAACTGCCACTTCAGCACATCCTCAAGCGGCCTTAGATCTTGGTTGGATGGGTCGATGTCAAACTTCTGCGAAAGGTGTAAAGCTAGCCGGGGCAGAAGGTGGCGGACAAGGATATGATCGAACTCAGAGCCTAGCAGATCTCGCCACTCCGTCAAACCTGGCAGTATGCCTGATGAGATATTCCAGCCGCCTAGGACTTGCCGCAGCCGACGTTTCACGTCCACAAGCAGACCACTCGATGCCTTGGCATCAAGCTGGTACGGAGGCAGATATGGGAGCCATGGGAATATCCAGGTGTGAAGTGGTGTACTTTGCAGTGACTGCTGCTTTTGATGATGACTACGCTTTTTTGGATTCCAAGTCTGCAAGGTAGTGGCGAGCTTCGGCACTATCAGCTGGTCAATCAGATTGCCGTAGATAAAGGCCGGGAGTAGTGGCCGCCACGCTTGTACTACAGCAATAAGAGTATTGTAGTCCAGTACATCCCAATTCGTTACGATCATGCGCATCTTTGGCAGCCAGACCGTATAGATAAGTGTCTCATAAGAAGAAGTCGCTGTTTGCCGCCGAGGCTTCCCACTCAGGTCGTCAATGTCTGCATGACCATTCACTGTGGCGACCTCGTGCGTACTCTCGAGGCCAAGGATAGCCTTGATGCGCAGCAAGTCGCTCACAAGCACGTTTGACTCTTGCAGAGGATCCCATCCGGCAATGCTTCGCTTGAAAGTAGGCGCAATGGCGCCAATGGCAGCATCAACCAAGCCGTAGCGCTCAACGTTATGCTCGTATGTCCTCTGAAGGCACTCAAGCTTCTCCAGCGTCTGCTGCCATGAGGCGTCATCGATCGTGCTTTCTAAACCCTCGTCAGGTTGCAATTGCAGACTTTCAATGGCTTGCGTGACAGCCTGCAGTTTCTCGAGCTCCTCCTTTTCTTGCTCGATTTCCACCTGCTGTTGGCCTTCGTGTTCCTCGACGTAAATCTTCTGTTCCTGCACCCCGTGCCAGGCGTCGATGAATGCTTCCAGTTCGAGCCGCTCTCGCTCTGCAATCTTCACCTCCTCAGTGTCTACAGGAGCCGAAGCTGAAGTCATAAGGCCGGCAAAGTCCGTCAAAAGCTTGGTTTGCTTTCCCGTCGCATCAACCATGGAGCGCAGCATCTGGGGCGGCACATCTAGACCCGGTGCAGCCGCTTGTACGTCCGCCACTGTCTTATACCTGGTCTTCAGCTTCCCCTCCGCTCCAGGGGTGCTGGTGCCGCTACCAACACCTTTCATACCGTGAAGCTTTCTTTTCCGTTCTCGTCGCGCTTTTCTCTCTTCTTCACTGCTTCCTTCGTAGTCCTCACCCCGCCGCTCAGCAGCTCGCCTCTGCTCCTGCTTGTATTGCTCTGTACGTTCTTTGACCGCTCCGACACCCGCACCTTGCGGTCGTAATTTGACCTCGATCGGGTTGACGATACCCTCTCCTTCTTTGCCCAAACCCTGTCCTTCTTGGTAGCCCATCTTCGCCATCATTTTCTGTGCGAACGACATTTTGCCTCCATTACCTCCGGCACCACCCAATTTTGGTGCCTTGTGAGCACCTTTGGCAGCGCTTTCATGCTTCCGCTTCGCACTCGAATTCATACTGTATAGCGTCGGTTGTGGTCTACCGAAGTTCGGGATGGGCAGGATACACGCAGTCGGAATGCGATTCATATGACTCGCGCTTGGCTTGAGTTACGGAAGCTTAGTCATTATCATGAGGCTACCATTATATGCGCGGACAGGGACAAGGTATGTTGAAAGAACCGGTCCTGCCACAACCTTAACAATTGTCCGACCAGCCGGAACATTGTGGATGAAACATGTCTTGTCTCACTCCGCGACAATGGCCACGGTGGGGACACTGAGTGACTGAGGGAACATAATCCTGACGAGTATCCATGACAAAGTCGGTCAACGGCGGCCTTGTGCAATCTGAGGAGCACCATGGAAGAAACATTGTCCGTTGCTATCAACAGTGGTCGCATCGTCCTCGTTCATACCGCGTGAACTCAGACCCGTTGGTCGCTGTTGCAACCTTTACGTATAAGTGGAGTTGATATTCGTTATAGACGGTTGTTCAGACCCTCAATCGTTGTGTGACCTGCACAGCTCAGATTTCAATATGTCTCGTAGTGATACGCGAAGGTGATACAGAAACAGCCGCCTGCAAGCCCACTGTCACCCTCGTATGGCCGACTCTTTTTGGCGTTTGCAGTACTCGGAGCAGGCTTGGCGAGCGTGAAAATCCGTCCTTGTAACGTTCTTCCGAGCTGATGCAGTGGGCGCACACACTCGCATGGTACACCGGCTCTATTCGCGCCATGTCTCAGCCTTGCGAATGCATGCTACACCTGGTCAGCGCCGTCGCTGTGCCGTACCGAGTTTTGTTGATTTCCCTGTCACCGGTATAAACACTTGCGTCAGCAAGCGCACAACTAGCGTGAGGTAATTTCGCGGCGCAAAGCATTGGCATGGTCTGAGCAAACGACTGCACAGTCCCGAAGAGGACAGGCGCGGGATTAATCGTGCATGGCCAACATCACCGCATCTCGCCGCGTCGCGCCTCTCGGTTCTTCCATCTGAGAGGGGTGGTTGTTCGGCTGAAGCGGAGGGTTTTCCCTAGCAACAACATTACACTTTGCGCCTTACCGTTAAGGTGGAGTGCTTTCTCTAACCCCTACCCTCAATGAAGCAGTATGTTGATGCCAACCGTACGAGTCAAATTTGACAGGCGATACGCACACCATGGAGTGCGCAAGTCACCTGGCGGCGATGATGGCTTCGGGCAGACGCAATTGTCGGGCGAACAGGCGATTTTGGTACCCACACTGTTCGCCAGCCAAATGTCTTCACGATCAGCAACAAACACCCATGTAGCGCACCTCCCGGTACCTGCGTCCGTGCGACGGACTATTAGGCGCGTGCGCGATCGCCATTGTGTTCGGCAAATGGCACCGCGGTCTGATGAGGGCTATGGCCACTATCCACCCATGTTACCTGGGCAAAACCGTTCGTAAAGTCAGTTCGAAGCAGACCTTAGCGCCATGGTGGTCGTGGCCTGTAGGCATATATCAAGTCGTACGCCTTCACGTTACACGGTCGTCTTTGATACAAGCATTCCATCTGCGCCATTCCGTCGGGACGCTGTCACCTGCAGCCATTGTGGTCCGGTACAACCTCGAAAAACTCCACTCCGCCACATCGAACCAAACGAAAAGACCTTACTTTGTCCATATCAATCGAATCTGTCCAAGACTAACTAATTAGATCGAGCTGTGCGACCCGAACACTCGTTCTTACCGAAACCGAAACAAAACACAAGACCAAGCCCATCAACAACCACACCGAAGACGCGTCAAGCCAATTCACTGTCAGCGCAGGGTGATACACCCATCACAGAGCCCACGCCAATACCCAGAGAAAGGAGACTTAATATCGTCTTATTAGCGTTTGCACCCACTACCCCTTCACTGCTTCTGCTGCACTTCCACCTAACATACTGACCAAACCCGATACCTTCGTTTGCGTCTCGAGTTAGACATCCCTTCATTATGGCAAAGCACTGCTTACGCCCTCGGGCAACAAGACTTTTACCGCTGATTGCACTTCTACAGGTTCCGATAAGTTCAGCTTATCCATTCGTCAATGCACCTTACCAAAATAGCAGCACGTCATCGACTGCTAACAATTTGCAGGTTACTGGACTCGGACCTGGTCCAGCAAGTCCGACATTCCCGGACCTTGAGCCAACTACCTTTCTGACGACCATAAGCAATGGACCAGATGGCGTACCCACCGGACCTGTGATCCAGATCAATGATGGCCAAATACAAGAGCTTGTGTACACGCGACTTCGGACGTCCACGAGCGGCGCGGACAGAGTCCTTTGCACGACCACGGCGACGACGACCTTGAACGCAAAACAACGGTCGTGGGCGCTGTCGAACGCATGGAGCTCATGGTCGGAAAGCCTTGTCGGCAGCGCATCCGCCTCGCCAACGAGCAACGATCCAGCGTTGGCAACGTCGAACAGCTCTCCATTCTCCGCTGCATCAACTTCGGCATCGGCCTCGTCGGTCACGAGCTCAGCTGTTCCCTTCAACAGTCTACAATCTATTCCGCCCGCCAGCTCAAGCTCATCAAGCACACGTGCGCCAGCCTCCCAGAGCAGTAGCAGCAGCACGTCGTTTCCGGCTTCCGCGACAAGCACTGGCCAGACGACGGTTGCCCAGGGTGTAAGCACGAGCACGAGCACAAGCCCAAGCCGGACACGGACCATGAGGACTGTTCCAGACAGCTCCTTGACATCTCTTACTACCTCAGCCGTGCAATCTGCGACAACATCGGTCTCAGCAGTCACTTCGGGCTCGGTACACAGCTCGCTCGAAACGTCAGGCAACCCATCCACGCAACCATTTCAGACATCGATAGTAAGCGTTTCCTCGACGCTTTCTATGTTGAACACATCGACCATGACGAGCGTGGGGCCAACTGCAACCGCCAGCGTCACGACATTACAAGCCAGCAACATCTTTGTCGCCATTGCGACCGACGCGCCACCAGCGCAAGTCACCTCGCGAACAGATCACCCGGTGCCAACTCTTGGCATTCAGCCGCAACAAGAACGCATAGAGACGAACAAGTTCTATGCCAATTTCTTCCTTGGCGACCAACAGGCAGGCACCTGGACTCATCCTTATTCAGTGTCATGGTCGAAGGGTCAAGGTGAGACTGGCAGTTGGGGCATGGCGATTTCTCACATCGAGCGGGACCAGCTCGCGGGTAATGGAACCGCGGACCCTACCAAAGATGCTGGCCAAGTCGGCTTCATTGCTGCACCTGTTGGACTTCAATCTCTCGTACTCTCTGCTGCCGAACTTGATACTGGCACCACACTGACAACAGATTCCTTGACAGGCTTCTCCGCCAACGTCAACCTCATCCCCAGCGGAGCGGCGAACCCGGTGATAACGTTTCCACTGGTTCAAGGCATGGCCTTCGTTACCGCTGAGTACAACGGGGGTACGCCAGTCATTGAATCTGGCATCGGGATCCAAAGCGTCATGTACGTCGGCGCTGTCAATGGCGGCAGTACCTACAAGTACCGAGTCACGCTTGCGAACACCTTTAATTGGCTCATCTACGTCTCACCTGCAAGCTCGACCTACAACACGAATGCGTTCACTATGTTGAGCTCAGGAGAGATCCAAGGACCCTCTGGCTTTGGTGGCTACATCCAGGTTGCTAAGGTGCCAGCCAACACCGCAGATGCGGAATCCGACTACGACAACTCAGCCGGCGTATATGCGACTACCGCAAACATCAGCGGTTCGGTCCAGGGTACCGAAGGTAGCTACAGCCTCTCGTGGACGAAGGCTGGCGCCACGAGCCGCACGCTGCTCATGTTCGCATTGCCGCACCACGTAAGTTCCTTCTCAGCCGCTACATCTGCGGGAATCACCGATGTACAGCTTGTTACCACGACGAAGGGATACGCAACCGCTGTCCTTGCTGACTCCTGGACCCTTGTCGAGCCGAATCTGCCGATTGACATGGACTTCCTACCATGGTCGCCAGATCAAGGTAGCATCGATTCCGTGTCCGCAGCCGCTGCGGCGGCGATCAATGCTGCTGGTACCTCGGAACTGTCTCAGAACGTGTCTGCTCAATCGAACGTTGGCAGTCTGTACTATGACGGTAAAGGACTGGCCAAGTTTGCTGCCATCATAATTGCCGTCAACAACCTTGCCGGGAATAGCTCGCTTGCGCTCACTGGTCTTCAGCAGCTCGAGGCTGCATTTGAGTTTCATGTCAACAACCAGATGCCAACCCCACTTGTGTACGATGCAGTCTGGGGCGGCGCAGTCAGTGTAGGCAGTTACGGCAACGACAACTCGGGAGTCGATTTCGGCAACACATACTACAACGATCACCACTTCCACTTTGGTTACTTCGTCTACACCGCTGCGGTCATAGCCTACATGCGCCCGGCCTGGCTTAACGAAGGGACCAATAAAGCCTGGGTGAACATGCTGGTCCGCGACTATGCCAACCCAATCAACAACGACCCGTACTTCCCGTTCCAGCGGATGTTCGATTGGTATCACGGCCACTCTTGGGCGCACGGCTTGATCGAGACCGCAGACGGCAAGGATCAGGAGAGCTCCAGTGAAGATACAATGTCCATCTATGCCATTAAGATGTGGGGCCAGATCATTGGCGACAATAACATGGAAGCCCGCGGCAACCTTATGCTTGGCCTCCAAGCAAGGAGTCTGCAAAACTACTACCTGTATACAAGCAACAACACTGTCGAGCCGTCGTGGTTCATTGGCAACAAGGCTGGAGGCATCGTGTTCGAGAACAAGATCGATCATACCACCTACTTTGGTGCAGTGCCAGAGTACATCGAAGGAATCCAGATGCTGCCACTTCTGCCGAGCAGCACCTTGACCCGGACGGAGACTTTCACTTCGGAGGAATGGGATGCCTACTTCGGCAACGGTGGCTTGAAGCCCGTTGCCCAGGTCACTGGAGGCTGGAGAGGTATCCTCGAGGCTAACCGGGCCATCTTCGACCCTGCGACAAGCTACGAATTTTTCAGCGACCCCAACTTCGACGACACGTACTTGGACGGTGGCGCCAGTCAGACCTGGTATCTGGCGTTCTCTGCCGCTCTGGGTGGCAGTTCTTGAGCGAGCACAAGCAAGAGGTGGAACGGAGTAAGGGAGCATAGGTGAGTATTGGTAAGTACACTACGCTATAACCGAGGTCAGGTCGCAGGCGATCGTCCAGGCTACGGCAGCGGATGAGAGGGTGACGGATAATGTAATGAACGATTGAAATGGGATCACGAGATGCACTGGCTGCACATAGATGGTTGGGTGTATAGGTATGTATGGGCGTTTGGGTTGGGTTTGGAGATGCAAAATGGGAAGATCAATTGAGTAAGAGAGAGATAGCAGGTTCGAGTATAGATTACGTCAATATAGAAACATAATGCAAAAATGTTTTACGCACAGCTAGTACCATTCTCATTATCTTACTTCGATTAGCTGGCCGTAACACGTGTCCAGTATGCCCCTCGACCGCGACTCGATTCGCTAGGCGGAAGCCGTTGACCTGACCCCAATCCCTATGGTAAAGGCGGAGTATTGAAACCCATCACTCAGTACAGCGTCAATTTTCGGGCTTCGAAGCAATGGAATCCGAAACCTGGTGCAGGTATTCAAAATCATTTACGCCATGCAATAGAGCACACAGACTACACAGCCATCAATAGTATATACACCATAGGGGCCCAGACCGCAACCGCCCACGCAGCCCACTTTCCAACCCACTGCATTCTACGCTAATTAGCTCCCTAAGCCCCTTTCAGTTTGTCTTGCTTAACCCTCCACGCGGTGTCCAAAAGCTCCTGTTCCTCCTTCAGATGAGTACTCTTCAGGCCAGTTGCCACACTCGCACTTGGCCCACGACCTGCATACATCACGTGCTTGCGGTGATGGTGCTTAGTATGATTCAGGAGCGTCTCAATTCTCGGTTGTGCGAAACTCCAACCACCCGCATTGAGCGGCTCTTCCTGACAGTAGACGATCGTTTCCGCGTTCGGGTAGCTATCTAGGTTCTCTTGTAGCTGGGCCCACGGGAATGGGTGCAGCTGCTCGATACGCGTGATGGCGGCGTCCTTGAGGTTGTTCTGCGCACGGTACTTGAAGAGGGCCGTGAACACTTGTCCAGTGCAGAGGATGACGCGCTTGATCTCTTCATGAGGATTGATACGGAAGTCGTAGCCTGCCAAGCTGCCGTCATGAGCTGGGTCTGGAATAATCCATTGGAAGTGGCTCTCTCCGGTAAATTCGTCAATGTTGGAGCGTGCGAGCGGGTGCCGCAATAAATTCTTGCTGAAAAAGGAGATGAGAGGCTTTCGGAATTGGCGGTTCATCTGTCGGCGGAAGATGTGGAAGCTGTTGGAAGGTGTGGTGCAGTTAACAATCTGCATGTTGCAGTCCTGGTGCTGACGATCGAGCTTCTCCGGTGATGGAAAGATGCGTGGGTCTTCGTTGCAGAGCTGCAGGAAACGCTCCATGCGGCCAGAACTGTGCTCGGGACCTTGACCGTCGTAGCCGTGGGGAAGATTCATGACGAGGCCGGAGCGTTGCAGCCACTTGACTTCGCCGGAAGCGATGAACTGGTCAATGATACATTGCGCGTTGTTGGCAAAGTCACCGAACTGCGCTTCCCAGATGACCAGTGCAGAAGGTGAGGATAAGGAGTAGCCGTACTCAAAGCCCAGGGTTCCGAACTCGCTCAGACTAGAGTTGGAGATGACGAAGGAGCCCTGGTCCTTACTGACGTGCTTGAGTGGAGTGTAGGTCGCTTCGGACTCCTGATCATGCAGTACGGCGTGGCGCTGAGAGAAGGTACCACGCTCGACGTCTTGGCCAGACACCCGGACGTGGTGACCTTCAGAGCAAAGCGTGCCGAATGCCAAAGCCTCACCGGTAGACATGTCGATGTTCTTGCCCTCCTCGACCGTCTTGGTCCGATTGGCTAAGATACGCTTAAGGTTCTTGTGCACATTGAAGCCCTCGGGAGGCTCACCGATGACCTTGCCGATGTGCTTGAGTTGCTCAGCGTCGACCGCAGTAGGCAGATGAGGCAGGACCTCCGTAGCAAGCTCTTTGGGTGACTTAAAGCCGTTCCAAGCGCTGGTCAACCATTCCTTGGCAGTCGGCTGATAATCCTTTGAGCGCGTGAAAGACTCCTCGAGCATACCCCAGACCCACTTCTTGTGCTCGTCAATATCCTCCTTCGTAAACGTATGGTTGTCGAGAAGTTGTTTGGTGTACTTGTCGATTACGGGTGGCTGCTCATTGATGCGCTTGTACATCAGGGGCTGGGTGAAGGATGGCTGGTCGGTCTCGTTGTGGCCCTGTCTTCGGTAGCAGACCATGTCGATCACAACATCCTTCTTGAACTCCGCGCGCCAGTCAGCGGCCAGCTGACATGCATAATTGACAGCCTCCACATCGTCTCCGTTAACGTGGAAGATGGGTGCATCGACGAACTTTGCAATGTCGGAACAGTACGGCGTAGAGCGGGCAAAGCGCGGATCGGTTGTGAAGCCGATCTGGTTGTTGACGATAATGTGTATCGTCCCTCCGGTGTGGTAGGCCGGTAGAGCAGCCATGCCCATAGTCTCGTATACAATGCCTTGAGCGGCAAACGCAGCGTCACCGTGAAGCAGCACCCCCATAGCAGATGTCGCATCCGTCTCGTCAGCGTTGTAGTGCAGAATGGCGCGTGTCTTGCCTAGCACAACAGGATCTTCAGCCTCCAGATGCGAAGGGTTGGCGACCAGGGACAACTGAACACGCTTGCCGGAGGGCGTTGGCCTCTCGAAGTTCATACCCAGATGGTACTTGACATCACCGGAGCCCTCGTCGGAAGGCTCAGCTGAGCCACCAAACTCGGAAAAGATGGACTCGTTGGGCTTCCGGACAACGTTGGAGAGTACGTTCAACCGACCTCTGTGCGGCATGCCAATGACAATGTCCTTGACGCCATAATCGACAGAGCGGTCGATCATCGCCTTCATGCCGGGAATGAGCGATTCACCACCCTCGAGACCAAAACGCTTGTCGTTAGGGTATTTGGTGGCGAGGAAGCTCTCGAAGGAGGACGACCAGATGAGACGGTCCAGAATACGACGCTTCTCATCCACGGAGTATCTGTAGGGTGCCGGCACCTCCACACGTTGCCGAATCCAGTCACACTGTTCTCTGTCCGGAATGTGAATGTACTCAATACCAATCGGTCCGCAATAAATCGTCTCGCACGCATCGATGATTTCCCGTAGAGTCATCTTCGTCCGCTTCTCCGTCCTGAAACGTGGCAGGATACCCGGACCAAGCTCAAATTCTTTGTTCATGTCCTCCTCGCTGAAGTCATAGCGTTTCACATCAAGCTCTTTGGGGTTGCTATGTGGGAAGTGCTGTGACTGGTTGCGGATGCCAAGCGGATCAATATTGGCCTTGTGGTGACCTCGCGCCTGGTACGCCCGTACGAGAAGCTGCACCTTCAAGTGGCTCATGACATCGCTGCCCTCTCCGGTAGCCACGCCGACGCCAGTGCCTGCAGGAAGTGTTGCGCCACCTACTTGCGGTACAATGGTAGGTGGAGGGGTGAAGGCCCGGCTCATGGGCATTTCGCCGCTCTCCATGTTGCGGAAGTAGGCCTGCCATGACACGTGAACGGACGAGGGGTCGTGCTTCCAGGCCATGTACATCTCGTCGACATAGTTGGCCGTGTTGCCGGACAGGAAGGAATCGGAAGGGTCGACACCCTTGCTCGTCTCCTCTGCGGCCACTGCATAGCTTCGGAAGTGCGAAGTGAATGCGTTGTATGATGTGATACCCAGCTGTCTCCTCTTCGCCACTAAGGCTGTCTGAGGTGCATGGCTGAGGTTGGCGAAGGCTCTAACAGCGGCGGGGCTGCTAGAGGTGAGGCGTTTACTGCATCGGCAAAGTTGGGTTCGCAGCATCGTTACGCATGCGCATCTGCTGTTTCGCCCGGATACGTGCGATGCAAGGCCTCTGAAACACAAGCAGAGCTAGGTGTGGTGATGGAAGAGTCACAGGAGACGAGAGGCGGTTGGTTATGACGGATGTGTGCACGCATCGCAGAAGCTCTCTCTCCTCGAGGCGAGGCGAGCGTTCCCGCGCAATCCGCTTCCTTCCGAAGCACGCTAACCCTGTGGGTCATCCGAGCCGCTATCCGCTGTCTTTGCAATGTCGAGCGCTATGGCTCCGCGTTTACATTTGAGCACAACGTTCAGTGATCGAGTGCTTGGCTCGACGACAGCATGCTGGGTCTGGTGCCGCCTGATTGTACGTTGCAGCGCCCCCTTTAGCCGGTAACGCGCTCTACGTCGATTATCCATAAGTGACGGGGACAGCATGCTTCACCGCATCCATATCTACGAACCGTTACTGTATGATTGCAGACAACCTTGCCGCATGCAACCCCTCGCTCGTCGTCATCATCACTGCGCACACGCGGCGGTAGTCGGGTTGGGGCGATTACAGTGAAGCCTGTACCAACAAGGTCAGCATCGTGGTCTTGGTAAGGTCTTAGTATGCACCAAAATTTTCCTTTCACTTTCACTTCGTAGCCTTTGTTTTCCACTATCAGCAGACAACCAGTAGGTCAGCCTTCGGAAGACCCATCATTATGAATGACCAAATCACGCAAGCTACCCGCGAGGAGGTCGCACGACGATGGTCTGCCTCTCCCGAAGCCCAGCAAATGCGACGTGAGCAAGTCAAGGAGTTCACAAATCGCATACGACAAGGTGGTGCTGACTATCAGATTCGTCAATATCTGCAAACCCAGCCACAAGTTCAGCAGCAAAAATCCGCAAAATGGACGCTTCCAACCGAACAATATGTTCGAAAACCTCTCCTCCACGCGGCTGCCGACATTGGCTGACATGCCTCCACCCCCGTCGCTTACACCGTTGACAATTCCGCCGCTTCCGATGATGGGAGGTTTCCCACCTATGCCCGCAATGCAGAATATGCAGCCACAAGTGTCGTCACGAACCTTTGACATCCCAGGTGGTTCCGCCAACGAGCATAACCTCAACTACTCTGGCCAATTCGGCAATGCCCAAGTCAGCTACAGCTCTAGCAGTACCTCCGGGAGCTAGTCAAGCAATAGCGGCATGCAAGGACTCGACCGACCTGCAATACACAGTCTGCAAGGCTTCCCACGGAAGGTAGGCCTGGAGCCGCCACTAATGCCACCAATTGCATCTCTTCAACAACAAGCGGCACCATACCAGCCACATGGTGAGTTTCCGGACGTTTCCATCGCCAATCAGGCTCTGCCACCTAACCAAGCAACCACTTCCGGCCCGCAGAACTCACGTCTCCACGACGCCTTCGCACAGCAGCTGAATGAAGACACCTACTTCAGCAATCCGTCTGGCGAACAGGACCATGCGGCGCCAGAGGGCCGGTCCAACGAGGCCGCCGCTCTGAGCAGGCAGTCAATAGATGACCATTTCAGTCAGGCTGGCGCAGAGCGCAAGGGCAGAAGAAAGCATCGGAAGTAAGACTACTACGTAAGCCTCATTCACGAAGCCGGAGTTTGCATTATGACTTGCGACCTTCGGCATACTATCCTCGGGCTGTCTACCATAGACATGTAGTTCTAATGTACAATGACTGGGTATCATAGTCTGCCAAGACTCACTGCCGCCTCCCATCATGCATCTGAAACACTAGCCTTGACACCGCCATACGCTACAGCTTGTGTACACATACATACTCCTTTAAACCAGCAATGTCATTCCTAATGCAATGCCCAAACTCACGAACAATGCAGGCCAGAAGTGGACGTGAAGCGCTTCCAGCAGACTGCCCGACGCAGAGCGGGTGGCCGACGGGCTCGGCGTGTTGGTGGCTGTATACACGCCCGTCAGGCCCGTTGGTGAACCATCAGACATCGCAGGCGTCCCGCTCACGACACTAGCATTCGCCGTTGAGACCGGGTGGCCAGGCACACCTGCCGTTGACACCGAGGTCGGCAAAGTCATGCTCGCCGAGTTCTGGTAGAAAACTCCATTCATTACCGTGCCGCTACCGGCAAGCATAGCCTTCAGATCATCGCTTGAGCACGTGCTGTTGAAGTTCCGCACCCAACAGGTGTGCGCCGGTGCAGGCGGGACGCTGTTCTGATGCGTAGAGTTGGTTGAGCCATTACTCTGGAAAGTCGTGGAGTTGATCAGGTTGCCGTTGGAGAGATTGCTGCCTTCGATTACCCGCGCGAAAACGGTGAACGCCGTCTCGGCCTGGAAATAAGGAACAAAGTGACCAGCATCGTATATGCGGCTGAAGGAGAGGTTGCCATACTGCCGCACCACGCCGCCAATATAAGTGCTATTCACGACGATCGGCGCGTAGCCTGCGGCGGGGAAGCCGGACGCATAGCTACCAGGTGCGACCGATGAGGTGGCGGTACTCGTAACCGACGTCCTAGACGAGGTACTGGACGAAGTGCTGAACGAAGCGCTGGATGATGTTGACGCCAACGGCAGTACTGGATAGTTGGGCAGACGGCTAGCAACGGCGTAGCTGATAGCCTGCCCGCCGAACCAGTTGCAGACGTAGTCTGCGTCACCGTACACAAGGGCCACTCGTATGCCTTGCGTGAGGAGGTAGGCTAGGTCCTCAATCTGCCCGCCGCGAATCGTGTCTCCGGTGGAGATGAAGCCGTTCTGCACATACCGCGAGCTCTCAGTATAGTTGACTCTCGCGCCAATCGCAGCAAGCACGCTTGCATTGTTAAGGTACTCCTGGTACGCCGCTGGTGGATCTGGGCTTGGCAGCTTCTGTCGGATGTCATACGGGTCGTAGCCATTATTATAGTATGGTTGCGAGACATTGGCACATGTGTATTGCGCCAGTTCGCAAAGATAGTCGGTCGCTGAGACATCGCCATATCCTTCAGGATCCGTTAGGTTCATTGCATTACGACAAGCCTGTATCTGCGTGAGGCAGCCGCCTACACCGGAATATGATTGGAGGGCGTTCAGTTCCTCTGTTTGCGTAACAGCTTGGACCCCATACGTATTGTTGTAGGCGAAAAGCGGATAGTATTGGTCTTGTATGAGATCATCGACCATACCATTCATTATGCCGACGGAAGTAAGCACTATAGGGACAGTGCTATTGCTGGGTATCGAGCCGTTGCTGCGGAGCTTGTTCTGTCGGTCGAAGTATTTGGCGAATACTGGCCCGTATTTGCCACCGTACGATTCAGACCACAAGTTCACGCCAGCGGGATTGACGCTGCTCCAATACTGCGCGTACTCCGCCGTCATATTTGGCCGCGTTGCAGGGTTATACTGCGGAAATGCTGCAAGCCACGTTTGCAGGAAATGCCAAGTAGCTGCTGCCGCAATCTCCGTAGTGTTTGCGGACGCTTCGTAAGTGCCGTTCGTATTCGCCGTTCCAAACGTGCCATTCAAGTACATATAGCTCGGTAATGCCGCATTCGGCTGCGTGGGTGGCTCAAATATCTCGCCCGTAAGAAGATTGTATGAGGCATTCGTCGCTGTGTCGTAAGAAAACCCAACCTGATTCGGCTGATCGATAAACAGAATATTACTGGTGCGGTCCCAACCCCACGGCCTGTACTGCGTGCCATAACTGCCGTCGCTCATTTGCACTACCTCACAAGGGCCGACCTCGTTGAATAGCCCGACCATGCTGCTCGACCCCGGCCCGCCGTTGAGCCATATCGTGAGTGGTGCAGCTTCGGGCAACTGTCTCGCCTCAATAAACCAAAAGAAGGTATTGATGGAATAGTTCTGCTGTATTGGAGCGAGTGTATATGGCGGTAAGCCAATGTAACCAGAGTACTGCTTTTGCGTCGGGTATGCCGTTGAGCACGTTCCTGCTGGTGGCTGCTTGTATGCGACCGTAACCTTCGGGTTCAGCGGAGACGTCAGGATGTTCTGATACGAGGCCGGCGGCGGCGACTGCGCCAAGGTGAGGACAAAGGATGCCACGAGGGTCGCCAATGTTGGCGGAAGAGTGAAGAACTGCATTCCAGGCCCACGTCAGCTGTAACGTCCTACTTGCTGTCTCAGTGCGGCACTGGCCCACATTCATGGCTGTTGGCCAAGTCAGGCTCGCGTGCTTCAGCCGGCGATTCGTGCGTCTCTCCTCCAGCAGCCCGAAGGGTTGATCATGGCTTGTAAGTCGGTCGGAAGTAGCTGCTGCAGACTCGTAGTAGTCCGGCCCGATCACATTACGTTACGCGACTGCCTTCCTGCTGTGAGACGGCCATCCGAACTGCCCGCAAATGTCGAGGTCGTGCAGTTGCGCGCGGCCTGAGGCTGAGCAAGGCGAGTTGCATTTCAAGAAGTGGAGAAGTTGCGCGTCGCATTTTCGGTTAAGCCGTAAATGGATGCTCTAATGTAAGGACCCGCCACTCATCCGTGCCTCATTGCCGAGGTGGAATACATAGTTGTAGACGTGCTCTGGCAATAGCTGGGATTTTCAGAACCGAAATGCAGGCATGCCCACAGTTCACGTGTGAAGGTCTGACATGCAGTGCACACATGCGATACCATGCGGGCTTGAAACCAAGACCGAGTACCGGCGAGCGAAGGTGGCCGGTCATGTAACAGGAGTTTCGCCTTCATCGTTGTCATTATTAGCTACCAATGCTGAAGCACATCCATCTGGCTTGTTCTACTGATGGATGACTTCCATTTTGATTTCGCTATTGTTAACGCAATGATTAACTCGCGGCGCTTCCATCAATGTCATAGGCTCCAGCTAACGCCCCTGCCTCCACCCCAGTCTCACGTAGGCGGGCAAAGGCAGCGGTGTCGTTCTTCTTGCGCTCTGTGGCAACAAAGTACATATTCGTATGGATATAGAAGCCCACGACCATCTCATCGAACGGCTTCGCAAGACTGCATGGCTGTAGATTGAAGCGAAGCAATGTCTGGCGACTACAAGTCAGTATCAACTCATGCAACGGGACGATACGTGGCACCTCTATCACGGCCTTGTTCAATTCCATGGTCGCAACACCGCGTCCAAGGCAACCAAATCTGCCATAGCCGAAACACAGTGTTACCGTGTCGTTCATACGTGCGATACGATCAAGCTCCGCTTTGCTGTCGCTCTTCGGCAGCCATCGCTCAGGTCGGAAGATCTCTGCATCTTCACCCCATATTTTGGGATCGTGCATCATGCCCCAGCTGTTCCAACCGACCTGTGTGCCACCAGGAGCAAACTTTTCCACGCCGTCGACTTCGAGTTTGACGCCACCCGCCGGTACCATCTTCGCCATCAAACCTGTTACAGGCGGATAGATACGTAAGCCTTCCTTCAAACAAGCCTGCAAGTAGGGTAGCTGACGAGCTTCGGCATCCTTTATAAGTGGTCTGCTGACCTGGCCGGCCTCGATTGCTGCTTCAGCTTCAGCTAGCAAACGCGTGAGAACCGGCGCCGAAGTGCAGATGAAATGCAGTGTAATACGAAGTGCAGATGCAGTGCTGTCCGAGCCAGCAGTAATCTGGGTCAGTGTCTCGCTTTCCAGCTCGTCTTGTGTGAGTCCGCGGTTGACGAACGCACCAAGCATGTCATGACGAACAATGGCTTTGTCGCCGAAGCGCTCTTGCACTCGGTCTCTGGCAAAGCCCATGACGCGGCCTAATCCACGCTTATCTGTCGACTTGGGCAGTGCTGCCTTAATAGCAGGTATCTTCAGAAGGTTAGTGAGCTCGGTGTAAACGCCGAAGACGATGATGGCCGGTAGCATCTGAGCGAGGTTTGCAAGGTAGCCGAATGGGTCATCGTCTTGGTCCAAGAAGCCGAATGTCTGGCCAAAAGCGACCTTTGAGATGACATCCAGCGTAAAGAAGGAGGTAATGCGTGAGAGGTCCACCGTTCTGAAGACGCCTTGGTCCGGTTTGGCCACATATCTCGAGCTAATTAGTTCCAGATACTTGAGCAATTGTTCATCGATATCCTGCTCCATGTGGTAGTTCTCCTTGCCGGAGTAGCCTGGTGCCATCCGGGTGCGGATGGCGGCATGCTTATTTTCGTCCACGTAGGAGGTAATGTTGTCGCGCTCTGGATGAAGCTTTAGGGCTTTGTACCATGGTCCTCTAGTGAAGCTCGATCGCACCGCACTCATGCGCCGGAAGAGCTCTGGATCTGATGTAACGAGCATACGTGGTGCGATGCGGGCCGTTGAACCTGTTAAGTGTCAGTGACTCATGCTCGAATGGAACTTTGGGAGTGGGAAGCCTGGTCGCTGAGCGAAGACCTCGTCCCGGCAAACATCTACTTAGACGAGGAGTGAAGTAGGCGACAACCGTAATAACATAGGAGATGTACCTACCATAATTTCTGTTAATCTCGGTGAAGATCTTGTTCATTTGCCCGCTGCCTTGCGCTCTCAGCAGCCATATTCTCGACCACCCTACCGACCAATGGCCTCCGAACTGACGGAGCGAGTAGTATGTACGTACGGCTTGTACAACGTAAGCGGCAGTTGCCACAGCGAGCAGAGTCAGAACGACCGTAGTATATATCATTTTGATGCGTCACAATCCAATTCTTCCAGCTCGACGCTATGGCAGCGGTTGGCAGGCCAGCTCAGTGAAAATAATAATCGGTTAGCTTGTCCTTGCTACGGGCCACCTACGACGGCCGATATGTCAACAAAGCGTGATGAATAGTAGGTACTACGGAACTGCGTTCGTGCAGCATATTACAAGAGGCCGAAGTTGTGGACCACTACCCCGGCCATCGACCGCGCTCTAACGAAAAGAGCGGCTGGTCCTTGAGTCTGCATGCATGCACGAGCATGCATAGAGGGAGCCATTGGCAGCTGCTTTGTATGGCGCGGATAGCTTGCCCTTGTAAAGCTGCAGGCGGCTAAAGGCCGCATGCCGGACTCTAAATACCAGAATTCCGCAGCTGCATACTGCTTTGACACCAACTCCTTGCTCTGAAGGGAACAGGATCCGCCGGCATGATTGATGGAGCATATCGCAGTGAGACGCAAGTCGGAGGCAGATCGTAGCAGATAGAGGTCGAGTGACGATCGTACTCCGTTTCGCCGGTGCCGGAAAGCTCCGTACGATCCGAATGGTCATGCAGTCTCACATGCCTTCCATCTTCATCATAGGCAGCTTTGACCTGTGGAACGGTCCATTATCGGCCATTCACCGTGTAGCGAAGAGTAAGTGACCGTAAGTGAGCGTAAGTGAGCTCCTTGGCGGACCTAATGACTGCCGGCTCTCGTTCTGTTCTCAATCGTGGCCAGCGCTCATGTATGCCGAGCAGACGCGGCAAGGTGGAAACACTGGTGCTCTGGCATGAGATCCGTCTTCCCGTTATGGAGCTGTAGAGGCGCACCAGCGAGTCAACCTACAGCTTCTCGTGTATAAGGGGGAATCGTGGCGGGCTAAGGAGTATTTCTTGAGCCATGGAATACCTCGACTTCGGAACCCCCCAGGACCGTATATACATGCACCCGAGACCGACTCCTCGGCCGGACAATGGTTCCTCTGAAGCCACCCCGAGCAGTCAGCCTACCGTCGCGAGAGCAACATCCGGACACGGCATTTCTCCCGGGGCCAGCGTAAGCAAGCCTGAGCTAGCCGAACAGCCACAGCCTGGACTTAACTCATCCCAAGCGGGAGTCGGTGAAACACGCGCAAGCACTAACACGACCTTCTCCGCGGACTCACGACAAAACGCTGGCATAGCTGCAAGCACCAATACTGTCCAGCAGCCAGTCTTCCCCGTCCAATTAGCGCACGAACAGCACCTGGAAGCAGAGGTACGTTATGTATGAAGCTCAGGTGCAAGCCCGGCGTCATCACCAAGTGTGTAATGGCAACGTCCGTAACTAACCCCGGTATATGTAGGCGCTTGATGATAATGACTCTACACTCGGAAGCGAGACGTGAGTGGAATACCATGATCCACTACTCGAGTAAGGATGCACTGACGCTGACACAGCGAGTCTTTTACTACAACTTTGTCGGAATCGGTATACAACTTCCGTCAAGAGCATGGCCGAACTTACCACGGTAGGTCTATTGCTTCGCATGCGTACTCAGTAAGAATACTGAGCACCCGCTAGCATACAAAGATGGCAAGTACATCTTCCCGAACGACGAGGTACGTTTGACCCTACTTATCGCATATCAATCGTCTGTCTTAATGTGCATATAGCGAGAAGCGGAGCGGCTTGACCTACAACATAACATTTTCCGGTTGACCTTCGGCAATCGCCTCTACTTTGCACCTTTATACGAGCCTAGACATGCCATTGATGTAGGAACCGGCACTGGGAAATGGGCCGTCGAATTTGCAGACCGTCATCCGGATTGTCAAGTTGTTGGCGTGGATCTTAGCCCGAACCAACCACTAATGTAGATACGACCGACACTCCGCATACGCAACCGCAGCTGACAATCTCGCTAAGGATACCACCAAATCTTAGTTTCATGATCGACGACGCAGAAGACGACTGGCTGTATCATCACCGCTTTGACTACGTGCATCTGCGTCTGATGGCGGGTTGCTTCGCAGACTGGCCGAACCTCTTCCGGCAAGCCTACGAGTACGACCTGGCAAGAGTCATGAAGGCAACGTCAAGCGCTGATCGTCTTGCAGAAACCTCGAACCCGGCGGCTGGATTGAGCTACAAGACTATGGTCTGCCGGTACGGAGCACCGATAACACGCATATTGGTACCGCCTTGCAAAGCTGGGGTGAGGTGCTCTGTGAAGCAGCTCGTCGATCAGGTCGACCCATGGGCTCTGACGTGTCCGAACGGTACGTTGGCTGGATGCACGATGCCGGCTTCGTCGACATCAAGCAAACGACTTTCATGTGGCCGACCAATGGCTGGCCCAAAGATCCATTTTTGAAGCATTTGGGTCGGTTGAATCAAGTCAACATACTTGAAGGTTTGGAAGGCTTCTCTCTCGCACTGCTTACGAGAGGCATGGGATGGAGGAAGGAACAGGTAGATGCATTCGTAGCGGCGGTGGGGAAAGACCTGAGCGACCGGAGACTACATGCTTACTTCCCCATGCCGGTAACCATTGGGAGGAAACCGTTCAGCCATGAGCAGCCGCTGGGATAAACGAGAACTAGACGGGAGTGTTGGATTCGGCCCGGCGCCGGAAGCTGATTTTATTTTCTATCAGTCGTTCTGCCCCAGATATAGGGCAGCGAAAGAAGCCAATGTCGCTTGCAGATATGCTAGAACCAGGAGATATTCGCTACTGTAGGCCATAGCAGCTTCTCTTTGGCTTGGCTACACGCAGTTGCGCGTTGCAGCGGCGTCACGAGCTCCTCTTCGTTCACGCTTACTGCTTGTGACTACCCGATTAGTCCCAGGCGAAACCCGCAGCTTGCCGAGGCGTTCGGAAGGTGCCGCGAACTCTGATAAGCACGAGCGTCACTTCAGCACGTTCAATAATAGTGCAATTTGCAAGTGCTGAGATCACTTCGAAAGTCGTAGCGACCTCGTGGAATAAGCGACTAAAAGCGGTGTTGTTGCCACAGTGAACTGCCTCGTTTATGAGCTTTCATTGCTGCCTCGGTGCCTGAAACACCCGCTTTCTCGGATGTTCTAGCGTCGGATTCAGCCACCACATGACTAACACGCCACTCAGGTTATAAGACAAGCCAGCCTTCCTCCCTCAATCAATGTCTTCTCTTCCTTAACACACACAACACATCTTGTGGCCATCACACATTCCAGAACCGAAACCAGATCACTTTTCGCCCGCAGTTAACCACAAAAGCACCGCAAACATGCAGATCTTCGTCAAGACTTGTAAGCACTGACCCCGCTTTCACTGCCGTCATAAGGCTACTACGAGAGCGTATTGTGCTAACAGATGTGCAGTGACCGGCAAGACCATCACTCTCGAGGTTGAGAGCTCCGATACCATCGACAATGTGAAGAGCAAGATCCAGGACAAGGAGGGCATTCCTCCGGACCAGCAGCGCCTCATCTTTGCTGGCAAGCAACTTGAGGATGGGCGGACCCTTTCCGACTACAACATTCAGAAGGAGTCCACCCTCCATCTTGTGCTCCGTCTCCGTGGTGGTATGCAAATTTTCGTGAAGACTCTCACCGGCAAAACCATCACCCTTGAGGTAGAGTCTTCCGACACCATTGACAATGTCAAGTCCAAGATTCAGGATAAGGAGGGTATCCCACCAGACCAGCAGCGATTGATCTTTGCCGGCAAGCAGCTTGAGGACGGTCGTACTCTCTCAGACTACAACATCCAGAAGGAGTCGACGCTGCACCTTGTGCTCCGTCTGCGCGGTGGCATGCAAATCTTCGTCAAGACGCTTACGGGCAAGACTATCACGCTAGAAGTTGAGTCGAGTGACACAATCGACAACGTCAAATCGAAAATCCAAGATAAGGAGGGCATCCCGCCAGACCAGCAGCGATTGATCTTCGCCGGAAAGCAGCTAGAGGATGGCCGGACACTGAGCGACTACAACATTCAGAAGGAAAGCACCCTGCACTTGGTACTGCGCCTGCGTGGTGGCCAGTAGACGATTTGGGGTGTATTGCGTTTGTTACGACTTTATGAGCGAGGCATGACCGCGGTTAGCCGGTAGCCAAGATACTAGTTATGTCACACCGATGCAGCGGCCTCTGGCCTGATCATTCTGCACGACTCATCCGACATGCTTATTGTCTCTCTTTCTCCATGTCGTGCAATAAGAGTTCCCGTGATCGCGTGACTACTATAAAAGTGGCAAAGTGAACCCTTCCGACTTGTCGTCGTCAAAACTGTAGAACATTCTCCGGCGACGGCAAAGCGACACAGTTCAGCTTGTAAGCAGCATGTTTTCTCTTCGATAATTGCCCATCTTCTCTGCAATCATGAATACAGTAGGTGCTTTGAGATGTCTTCGTACTTCTTTCACCTGAAGCTGGAGCTATACACTGTGCCTGCATCAAACGCAGATACCAGGTGCTTTCCGAACTCTCCAGCGAGTCGCAAGGTCTACACCCCGCCATCAGGCACAGACATCTTCAGAGACACATTCCCGGCTCACGCCACGAGCAGGCTGATAGCAAAGCGGCCTGGTACACCGCAGAGTCATAAGTCCTCCGACTCAGAAGCCTCACCTCGCCGCAAGCAGTTGGCTGGGCTCGCAGACTCTTCGCCCGGGGATGCACTGCTACTTCCAGAGCGGAATCTCAACCTACGAGACATACCGCCGCAGTCACCAGCTCTGACTGCGGCAAAGCATTCTAACGAGACTTCAGCGCGCGACTGGCGATACCAGGCTGTCAGTATCGAGAGCATCGATATGGCTTCGCAGAGCAGCTTCGATGTGGCTGCAAGCAAGGCAGTCAAGAACCCTGTCAACGGTCTGCACACCAAAGCGGTCTACCTACCATCCGAGTCGAAGACGACAGAAGTCGGGTATGGTATAGTGCATCTGTATCGCGATAGTGAAGAGTCTACCTTGTTGGCGGATGGCGAAGGTCTTCCTCGAAGGTACCTAGAAGACAGGAGAGGCAGGGCGAGCGGTCACGGTGACCATGGCTTCAGTCCGGAAGACTGCACAACGCTCTGCATTCTGGCGGTGCCATCGTGGATGATGCCGTCGGATCTGCTTGGCTTTGTTGGAGATCAAGCAAGAGAAGACGTCTCGCACTTTCGACTGATCAGGACGGGAAGGGCCAACAAGTATATGGTGCTTCTAAAGTTCAGATCTGCGAAGAAGGCGAGAGAGTGGCAGCGACTCTACAATGGCCGACTGTTCAGCGCCGCAGAACCAGAGAACTGCCATGTAGTGTTCATTAAATCTGTCGAGTTCCTGTCACCGGATACTGACGTCAAGAGCGATGCCACGTCTTTCCCGCAAAATACCAACGACCCGTTCACTTCTAAAGCGCGCCTCAACGGCAACGAAGTTTCCGCCCTGACATCGAAGAGCCTATCAAGCAAGCCTTTAGCACCGCCACCACCAAATCTGCTGGAGCTGCCGACATGCCCAGTGTGCCTTGAGCGCATGGACGAAACGACAGGCTTGCTCACGATACTGTGCCAACACGTCTTTCATTGTGCGTGTCTGGAGAAATGGCGAGGCTCAGGATGTCCCGTGTGCCGATACACGCATTCGCCGTCATATACCTTCCCTTACCCAAGGCCTCACGAGTTGGAAGATACCATCAGTGAGCCGCTATGTTCCGTCTGCACCACCACAAACAATCTTTGGATCTGCCTCATCTGCGGAAACATCGGCTGCGGACGATACGATTCCGCCCATGCTTACGCACATTACGAAGAGACCAGCCATTGCTACGCCATGGATATCAGCACGCAGCACGTGTGGGATTATGCGGGCGACGGCTACGTTCATCGCCTGATACAATCGAAGCCGGATGCCAAGCTCATCGACCTGCCAACCAGGACACGGCACGAAAACGAAGCGTTCCGAGCGGAGGGCGGTGATAGCGTGCCGAGAGAGAAGATGGAAAGCATGGCCAACGAATACACCTACCTTTTGACCTCGCAGCTTGAGGGGCAGCGGCGGTACTTCGAGGAGCAGGTTGAGCGGGCCGCAGACAAAGCCGCTCAAGCATGTACGCGTGCTGACGAGGCTGCGACATCTGCTGTGAAGTCCACCGCTGAGCTGGTAAAAATGGAGGAGGAGCGGAAGAACCTTGCAGACACCGTGGCCCGCATCGAGGTTGCATTAGCCAAGTCGGAGAAGGCGCGACAAAAGTTCGAGCAGATGGCACGGGAGATGTCTTCCCAACTTCGGGAGGAGAAGACGCTGAACGAGGGCCTCGTCAAGCGTATCCACGCTGCCGATGAGAAAGCCGAACGAGCGAAGAAGGAGGCAGCGGAGGCGGAAGAGAAGCGAAAGGAGCTAGCGGATTTGAACCACGACCTAACGATGTTCATATCTGGGCAGGAGAAGGTCAAGGAGCTCGAAGCGCAGGGCGAGGAGGTCGTTGACGGTGCTGCGAGTGTACCTGAGCAGTCGAAGAAGAAAGGGAAGGGGAAGAAGAGGTGAGATACTGGGCAGCTAGCACGGCGTTCATTGGAAGTTGCGAAGATACCCGGGTTTGCTATGTGATATTATTAGCCTTACACAATATGCGTCCTAAAACCGCTCGCTCTAGTTGTCTCCGAGCACCCCACGAGCCGTTGGGTGGCCACGGCGCTTCCCTTCTTCCACCTCGCCTCCTGCTTGCTCACAATCAAACCTTGTTCCCGCCGGCTGCACAGCATGGCGCGCGGGCGTGAACATCACGCCAAGGTTAAAGTGTCAGGGCGCCTGGACTGACAGACCTGACCGCCATTCGACCTGCATGTAACCTATGGATCTGCACTCCACACTTCTAGCGCTCTAGGCGCGGTTATTCAGGAAACACCTGCGGATAGCCTGCAAGCTCTCAAGGAGATCTTGGGGTGTGCCAAACGCAAATCTGTTATCGAAGCCAGCCCGACAGTACTTTCTCTGTCGACACATCGGGAAGCGACAATCTAAGATCTGGTACCAACTTCAGCCGTGCGTTGTCTGATCGGTCGTCCAGTTCGATACCAGCAGACTCGTTGTCGAAGCGTTGACCCTGCGTTGACCCTGCGTTGACATGCAGCTCAACCGCCAATGACCGCGTGCCACAACGACTTCAGTTCATGCGGCCCGTTTTCGCCGGCCGATCCATTATCAACCCTCAACGGTGCACCCAAGGAACCACCAAGTGGAGGTTCCACGGTCCCGAACCGGCCATGCATGCTCGTGGCACACGGCAACGGTACGATCATTTGCCTCGTACTGCACATGGCAACGCCTGACACGGGACTCATTAAGAGTTTGCGGCCAGTCTCAAGCGGTGTCTCGGCTTCTGAATGCAGGTTGACGAGCCTTGGTCGTTCGGGAGATCAACTGCGCTCACAAGCTTCCGCCTTCGAACACGCTACCGTGGATTGACGCCGGATGTGGCTGCAGTAATTGCTACTCAAATGACAACGCATAGCTGCACGCTCCGCTACCATACCGCTTTTGGTTACACAAGCTCTGGTTTCGGCGTCAATGTGTGCCTGCACGTGCTTGTTTTCACGACCGGACCTGGTACTACACGTCCTCTCGCAGATTGCATGAACCCTTCTTGACGGCTGTCGTACTTCACGCGCTGCACTTCTTCGTGCTCACGTCATCGGGCCCATCTCAACGGACGTGCGTAATGCTCCGCCAGGCATCTGCGGGTTGCTGCTGTACAAAGGTCTCTGCTCCGATAGTGCTTCTGCGCGCTCGCGCACTGACATTGTCTAATGCATGACTACTGCGTGCTGGACCAACGACCAAGCTCCGCCCACCCACATCTTCCGCACTTGAGGTCGTCTCAGAGTGGAGGCACACAGTCATGCACGACATAGCGTTACTCCTTCGCTCGCTGCAACGGTACCTGACCACTTAGCGAGTCCATAACACGCCAGGCAAGCGTGGAATTCTCATCATCTTTGCTCCTTGCCATCCCCGTTACTGCATCTAGTAGAGTCTGGGCATCTCGATCCGCGCCGAACTACAACGAATTAGCCATGCGGAGCTCCACGTCTCGATCTTCATTTTGCTCTGGCCGTGACCCGCGCCAACACATCACCAACGGGTCCCTGGTTCCGGGGTAGATTGCTCGCCTTCTCGCCGTCTCGCCTGTGTTTGTCGGAGCACCATGTGCAGCTTGCTGCTGCTGGTGTAGTCTATGGTACCTCACTGCCGGGGCTGTTGTGCGCTGGTACCTGTGACTGCTCACCATTATCGACTCGGATGTGTTGCCAATTCACGCTTCATGTCCTCGGAAAAGATATCATCTCCTATTGCATAGTCACAAGCCGGTTGCTTTCACTGCTCTATCCTACACCTGGCCTACGACAGGCGGAGCCGGCTTGTTCGTGGCTGTTGGCGCTGGCATTGCATGCTTTCTGGTGGATCACTGCTGTGCAACTGCCATATCGTACCATACCGTTCATTGATTATACGCATACAGCCGCTACGAGCCATTGAACCCACCGGATGTGCGTCACCCACAGGGCCAACCAGCGAGTGGACTCCCATAATAAAGGCACGATGTACTATATTACGTATCTGTCGGGTAAGTAGGTTTTCGCTGCTCCTCCTAAGGACGGCTGTATACAGCAGAAATGCCTACCGTCGGCTGTGCCAGGTACTGACTACATCGAGTGAGCAGGCTTGTGCCAGCGCCGACAGTGGCCCAATCCTCTCTACGAAACTTTCCAGACCGGCCAAGGCTACTTCGGCTGCAAAGTCCGCGTCAACAACCGAGAATACTCTGCTAACGACCCATACTTTTCCGAAGCTCATGCACGCGAAGGTGCGGCCATGAAAGCTTACATGATCTGCCGGAATTTCTCCCACAATGACGGCATGTACCCAGGCCAGCGGCCAGGACAACGGTCAGCCAATGGGCCAGTACAAGGGTTGCCTGTGGCCATTGGTACAGGCAGGAGGTCCAGTAGGCAGGCTTGTTCCGCCGTGGACGTCCAATACGACTCTCAGTCCTCCTCGGACGCGACAAGCAGTGGCGGTGACAGCCCAAAAAGCCCCGGAGGTGGCTTTGCACATCAGCTTCACATGGTACAAGCCGTGCCTAGAGCCTCAGCGCGGCAGGATAAACAGTTACGGCACGATGCCCACACGTGCTACTGCCGACGTGGACCAGTCCGAGCCTATGGCCATTGTGTATCTTGTCTTCAAGAGGGCAACTGGGCGTAACGTCGCCTTTATTGAGTCAAGTGGCTAGTGCATAGCATGGATATTCGAAGTATTTGGGGCCATTTGCGTTCTCAATGGGAGGATGCCGCAAGGCATATTACGATTAACGATCGGAGGGCTCTCGTCTTATTGACTTCGTTTACACGACTAGGACAGCATATGAATCGCTCGGGTGCGGTGGTTAAGCGTAAGAGGCCTTAAGGCTTGCAAAAGCGTCGGCCACTACGTATCAATATCTCCTTCCGAGACCCTCTTACGGGCTCCTTCTGGAACCGAACCATCTGCTCACCATCAGATCGTCCAGCACACTGTTCCAGATGCATCTTCATGGCTAAATCGGTGGACTCTAGTCAGCGGGCCAGTCCGCGTGGGTGGCAATCCACCAGGCCTGAGCACCTGGCACATCGGCCAATCCATGCGATTGAGCCGGTGCATTTGGCTGTGCCACGTTGCTTAGGCTACGGATTGCTGATGCGCTACTGACCGATATAAGGCTCGCGAGTGCACCCAAAGACGGCGCATTTATGCGTGCGGGGGTTCTAAACGACAGAACTGCGGCATATATGGTGCTTGCGGTAACTACAGAGCCACTATTATCCACGCCGGACGCTTCTCATCAAGCTTCACGAGCTTCTTCCGCGGCGGCGACCTTGTGACTCCGGTCCACCTGCTAGCGAAGTGGTGCTGAAGCCCAGCGATCTGACGGCGATCGGGAGCCGAGAGTGTGAATGGACTATGCCAGTAGCTGCGCTCCTAGACTCTTCTTCAGCTTCTGAGCCGGTAAATAGGAACTGGGGAATGGCAAGTCAGTGAGATCGCCGGCCTCCTGAAAACCAAATTATGCGTCGCCTGCACAAAGCGCGACCGCGGCCTCTGTGTGCCACATTGAGACTGAAACAAGGCCTTGGCTGGTGGCGGCTCTGAATCCCGGTGCGTTGTATGAGAAGATTTCGCGTATATCTTTGTATCGATGCCGCCATGCTATACCCGCCACGAGCACTTTTGCAAGACGGGCAACGCCGAGAGCGCCTTCGCCCTTTGGTCCCCATACTGATACGCAAGATAGATTCGCCGGCTTGCGCCATTTCCACATACTAGAGTAGAGAAACAACCCGCATCGCCGACACTTAATTCCATACAACCAATGTAGGTCTCACATGATGATTGAGGGTGCTGTTGTCGCGTTAGTGTCATGGAAATTTCGCGGGTTACTGCAACATCAAACTTACAATCGACGTTCGCCTTGATGCTCTTGTGCGGTAGCACACTGGCACCGTTACAGTAGACCTCATCACCAATCGTGACATCGTCACCAAGCACACTGACGTTCTCGAGACGCGCCCATCGGCCAACAGTGCTGTTCCAGCCGACGATCGTGCTCTTGACCCAAGCATGCTCCTTGACCTTGCAGCCTTGGAGCAGCACACATCGCTGAAGACGCACGCCATCGCCAATTTGCACGTTCGGGCCAATGACCACGTTGGGGCCGATCTTGCAGTTCTTGCCAATGGTGGCAGAGGGGTCGATCATGACGTTTCCGCCGTTCACGAAGGACTCCGACGCAGGGGTCAGAAGCTTGCTGTTCTTCTTTGTGAGGGAGGTAAGGTAGAGGCAGGTGCCACTGAGGAAGTCCTTGGGCTGACCGACGTCCATCCAGAAGCCCTCGAGGTCGAATGAGTGCAACTGGCCGTCCTTGACCATAGCTGGGAAAGTCTCCTGCTCAATGGATGTTGGCCGGAGTTCGATGCGCTTCAGGATAGATGGGTTGAGAATGTAGAGACCGGCGTTGATACGGTTGCCGACGAATTCGACCGGCTTCTCGACGAAGCGGTCAATGCGGGATGGGTGGTCCGGCTTGTGCACAATGACACCGTACTTTGACGGCTCCTCAACCTTGGTGACCACGATCGTGCCCTCGTTGCCGTGGCTATTGTGGAACTCGACGAGCTGGTTGAAAGGGTAGTCGCAGATGACATCGCTGTTTAGGACGAAGAAAGGACTGTCATCCTACAACTGTGCGTCAGTAAAACCGGACTTCATTTTGACGCAGTGTCGATGCGAAACATACCTTGCCGAGAATCTTCTCTGCCAGCTTGAGTGGGCCAGCGGTACCAAGAGGCTCGGTTTCGACGCTGAAGGTGATGTTGACGCCATATTCCTCCTCGTACTTCTGTAGCGCCGCAGTCATGATTTCTGGGCGGTAGTTCACGGCCAGCACGATGTCCTTGACGCCGACTGCTGCCAGCGCCTCGATCTGATGAAGGATCATAGGCCGGTTGCCGAACTCGACAAGCGGTTTGGGGAGGGTGAGTGTCAGCGGCCTAAGGCGGGTGCCGAAGCCACCGACGAGAATGAGGGCTGCAAGACGTTAACGACTCTGCTGCCGCTTGATGGTACGAAGGAAGCCTACCCTTCATGGTAATGCTTAGTGAGAAAGGTAGTTGAACGGATGATCGTAAGCTCGTCGCAGGCCAGCTGCTTCTGGCCGGTCGTTGGTCAAGAAAGTGGTGAGGTTGATGATAGCGAAAGTCGTTGATCTTGCGATGGAGTACAAGATCCAATGGGATTGATATGACTGGATATGGTGATGACCTTGTCGGCTGTTCGAAGGTCGTCAAAGAGGAAAAGGCAGAAGACTTGCGAGCGGTCAAGGGAGCTTGTATGTATCCTCAACTTTTTCCCACAGTAGCTGCGTGTCCTTGACCCCTCGGAGCCTCCTGACCCTGCAGTAGATCTCGAAGGGTCAGCCGTTAGCCAGTAATGGCGCGGCTTGGCTCGGAGAGCTCCCCCTAAGGCTCGCCTCTTCCGCCTTCCAGAGAAGCTATTTTCGGCCGTTACGGTGTTACCTCGCAGAATGTTCTCCTCCGGTGTAACTGTGTGTTGCAGTATGAAACCGTGACTTCGATTCGAGTCGTGGCAACGCGTATGAAGGGGAAACACTGTCACGTGAAGGCACAGCGAGCTATATGCGATTACAACAATTACATACATGAGAAATTGCACCAGCAATGGCTTGCTGGACACGAACGACCGCCAGACAAGAAGGCGCCGAAGCCACCCGTTAAAACCGATTACTGCTAACCCCTTTCTTCACTCCGCAGCTTCCTCCACGTGCTCTTGCACGTGGGGTACATCCATTATTTCGCGATCTCTTGCCCAAGCCATCGCCACGGCCGACATTATACTGCCAGCTTTTTGCACCTTCAGTCATCACTGAACTTGCCAGTATCCTTAACCTTCACCATCTCGGTGTCGAGCATATCCGCATACTCCGGGTCCTTTGCGATAGGGTAGCGACGGTTCTTGCGCTTCCTGAACTTTCCCGCAGCGGCGACCGCGATGGCCACACTGATGAGGATGCCTCCGAGGGCGCCGGCGACTGCGCACACCTCCACTGGGCTGCCGGCAGCTTCGCGAATCCCGTCAATGGTCGCGTTGATGATCGATGGATGCTGCCCTATGCGGAACGGCGTGTAAGCCGGCACCGACGTGCCCGTCACGTGGGAAACGACGGTAACGACAGCGCTAGCGTTGCCCGGCACCAGCAGGAGTTCGTCTTGCAGATCCGGTGTCGGCAGTCCGGTGACTGTAGTGGTGACTGTGAGCATCGTCGTACTGTTGCTGGGCACCGCCAAGATCGCGTCTTGATCGTTTGGTGGCGGAGCCTCGACGATCGCACGCTTCTGGTGAGGCGGACCTTGACCGCCACTCAGCTTGCCGAGGGTGCCGAACATCTCCTCGAAAGCTTCATCGGCGTCCGGGAACGGCTGACCCTCCTGGTTGATGCCAACCTTGCCGTGATGCGCGGTCTGCTCCTTGAAGTCGTACGTGCCGTCACCCTTGTGTTCCTCCAGCTGATGCTTCGACTCGTACGAGAAGCCGGCGCTGTAGCTGTTGTTACCCTTCTGCGGAGTGGCCTCGCCAAACCTGAGCTCGCCGACGGTCTTGGAGGCGTTAAATTGGTCGTGGTCGAAGACGCCACCCTTGACTTGGGTCAAGTCCTGGTCGAAGTTGTCCGTGACAAAGTGGCCACTGCTTTGGGACTGGCTGCCATCCCCGTTACCGGTAGTGAAGGACTTGAAGTCACCGGCATCATGCGAAGTGTCGTTGGAATGGTTGCTGTAGTCGCCGGGCGCACTGTGAACGTCTTGAGAGCCAGCGGCCTGGTGATCAGTTTTACCTTCAAAGACAGTGCTGCCCTGGTCGTCTTTAAATGTGCCAGCCTGGGTTGCGGCGAAGCTGGCAGCGCTCGCTGGCGCCTGCGCGCTTCCGGTAGGTGGGCCAGTTGGAACGGCGTTAATGGCACTGACCACGTCATTACCTGGGATCTTGCCAGCGACAGCAGCGTCAGCCTTCGAGGAATGGTCGTTGTGGAAGTCGTAGGTATCTGCAGCGCCAGTCCGTTAGCAGCGCGATTCCATACTGATCTGAAGATGAACTCACTGTTCGCGTCGTGCACCTGTGTGTTGTTGAAGCTCTGGTTTTCGTTGAACAGGCAGATCTTGGTGCCGTCGGGCTTCTTGAAGCACTTGTTCGCGTTGTCTGGAGCCGGCTGAAGGGGCGCGATCGCAGTGCCTTGATGCTGCGGCTTACCGTTGCCATACGATGGTTGAGTCGGCGTCGGCTGTGGAGCAGCTGGCGGCGGTGGAGGGGGAGGCGGCGGCGGTGGAGAACCGCCTGCATTCACTGGAGGAGGGCCCGGCGGCGGACGAGAGCCCTGGCCGCCACCGTACGCTTGCGGCGCTGAAATCCCAGCATTATTGCTCGACTGAGTGTGACCGTTGCCCGGAGCGGCGCCAGCCCAGCCGCCACCTTGCCGCTGACCAGCACCCTGGGGGCCAGCTGGTGTCTGCGCGCTCGCCTGGGAGCTAGAGGCTGGAGCAGAGCCGCCACGGTTAGCAGCAGTCACCATTTGGTACGCTCCTGCGGCCGGGGTGGAGGCTGCGGCCACAGTCGATGAACCTGCCGGTGATCCCTGCGCAGTCATGATGTATGTCGTTGTGTAGCAGGAAGTACTCATTGGATTCCCTTCGCAGGGATTGCAAGGCTGGACACGAAGAACGAGCGTAGGGAAGCGAGCGACGTTGCAACTCTGAGGAGGAAGCACAAATCGGAGCGAAGAAAAGCTGTGTACTGGAACCTCCTCCCATAATATAGGTGAGGAGGGGCTTTGGGGTGTGATGTGAAGCTAATTATACAGTCAGCCACGTTGGTGCAATAGCATCGCTGGTAATCGTAATGAAGTCTGCCTCATGCCGCCAAGCTATATCGACGCTCCACTCTTGCAAACTCTCGCAGCACTCACACGCTTGTCCCATCAGCGACCGACAAGATACCCTTAGCCGACAGTGACTTTGCCGTCGTTTACGCGGGACACCAAGCGCTGCTGTGTGGTGGAGATTACGGTCGATAGTCTTCGTCAAAAGGATCTTCATCCGCGTCAAGAGGATCGCCGTCCGAATCGTACTGCTTTCTGGAGTCACCGTCCGGAGACACATCTTCGGCAGGGATCTGGTCTATCGTTGGGAAGTCGTCTTTGCATTGCCACTTCTCGTCTTCCAGTAGCTTGTGGTTCACTCTGCCGGACTGAGCGTCCAGCAAAGCAGCATTGAGGTGATCCAGCGCCTTCGATACTCTGACTATGCATTGGCTCTTTGATGCGACCGCGAAGGTGGGGTATGAAGGATCCTTCTTCACATCATCCAGCCCCCGTGTCAGCTCTTCGTCGGTGACTAGGATAGTGGTGAGACCTCTGAGATTAAAGAGCGTCTTGATCCCTGGGGCCGTTGCTGGGTTGGCACTGCACATAGACCAGCCATTCCGGTAGGGCCACTTCACAATCTTTCGGAAGAGGTCTCCCTGGAGGATGACGTGAAGCTTACGCAGAGCTTTTAGCCGCTTGAACATGCTGAAGGTAAGCTCCGTGAGACTGAGACCGCCGTTCTTGAACTCGTATGTATGCACAGTGATGTCTCGAAGTGAGTTCAGTCGCTCAGGCCCAAGACTGAGTAGGAAGGCGTTGAGGCGGAGCGTGTACTGAAACTCGAATTCATTGTGGTGGTAGAAGATACCGACTGCCTCGTTGTGAATCTGCCGATTGACTACCAGCAGGCTTAAGGAGGAGTCAGAGTAAACGCCGTCGTCGCGATACGCTTTGGTCCTTGCCGCTGAGGTTGGCACACCCTTGATTGGCTGGACTGCACCGTCAACACGAAGTACCATTTCGTAGACACGGTTGCGTATCTCCGGTGAGAGGTTGAGGAATGGGAAGCCTGTGGCTGCCTTTGCTTTCTTGCTGTTACGGGTTAACACACGACGACAACAAGTCGAATGGCATGGGGCACGTACTGACGTCCGCAGGTTTTGACCTTCAGCTTCATCAACCTAGGTGCAATCTGGGTCTCAAGAAAGCCGCCAGCTATCGGTCCGCCGCTCTCTTCACCCTTCGCATTGACTTTCTTGACGAATTCCACATGAGGTATCCCACTCAGCTCTAGCAGACCGGACAGGCCTGGATACTGCAAGAGCTGTAGTTGCTGTTGCGGAGAGGGATCTCGGCCGAAGGCCTGGCAAGGCACATCCTTCCGTCGTAGCATACGCTTCACCATGGCCCTCTCATCGACACGGATATAAAGTGCTTCTAGACCCGTGAAAGCACGCAGCCGTTGAAACATGTAGTAAGCACCGTGCGTCGTTTCGTCCCACTGCACCGTAACTTTCCTGAACAGTGTGAGGTGCTGCCTGGGCGTGCAGTACATGAAGTGGTTGAACGAGTAGTTGAACAGACCGTTGCCGCCGACAAAGTGGTTCCGACTGTAGTAGAACGGTGCGCCTTCTTTCTCCACCTCACTTGACAAGGTGAGGAGGGGTGGGATATCTCCGAATGAAGCATACCGGCTTTCGTCAAGGCCCACCATGAGTTTGTGCTTCTCATCGGTGAGCGGTTCCTCGTGGACGAGGTGCAGCTCGTAGATCCGCACCCGCACCTCCTTCGGTAGGCGCTCGAAGGCGTTTCGGGCGATGTCCGTCTTCATGATGGCTGTTCAGAGCCGTTGAAGGAGAAGCATGAGTGTGTGGTTGGCAGGAAAAGCTTCACGTTGGGCTCCAGAGACAGTTTGCGGAAGCTAAAGCCGCGCGTGTTTGGCACGACTGCCTGGGCCACGCGTGAATGTGTTATGACCGCGGTGAGCGTCCAGCTTCCTTGTCGGTTCACCTAGGATCACCTGCCTGCCTACCTACCGTATCAATTGTTGCTTTTGCGGGCTTACGTATTGTTGGGCATTGTGCGCCAATGTTTGCCCTTGCAGCTCCCATCCCAGGTTCAGGGAGGGGAACTAGCTTATAGCAGGATGGTTAGGCCGAGGCCTACGGTTAGGTAGTGGCTGTTCGCGGTGCAGGAACAGGAAGGGCTGTTGCCGTTCGCGAACGCGTTCACTGCTGCGAGATAAGATTGGCTGCAAGATCGTCAAGGCCTGTTCATACCTATAGTTCTACCAGCACAGAGAGCATCACGCTAAGCCTGTTCCTGCCCTTTGCGGCCGAGGTACCGAAGTCTATCTATGCCTCGGCCTCCGTTCGGTATCATAGTATCCGATATCAGTGCCCCGAAGACTTTTCCATCTGGCACAGCGAGATCACATGCTACAGCGAGATGGCGGCGGTGGCGAGAATGAGTGCTCCACCAAAGAGTGGATACTTATCCCAATCATTCCCCTTGACCTCCACTACTTCCCCAGCTCAGCTACACACCAGGAACACGAACAGCCATGAGCAAGCCTGGAGACTACGCCGCGGTGCGCCGCGACATTGCCGCCCTACTACACCAACCTGAGTATGATGATGGCTCCGCTGGACCCGTCCTTGTCCGTCTTGCGTGGCACTCTGCAGGCACCTACGATGCCGGCACTGATACTGGCGGCTCGAACGGTGCCGGCATGCGCTACGAGGCTGAGGGTGGCGATCCGGCCAACGCGGGCCTACAGCATGCGCGGGTTTTCCTTGAGCCGGTGAAGTCAAAGCACAGCTGGATCACATACGCAGATCTGTGGACGCTTGCCGGCGTGGTGGCGATCAAGGAGATGAGCGGCCCAGAAGTGCAATGGAGGCCTGGCCGAACGGACTTCGTGGACGATAGCAAGCTACCACCTCGCGGCCGATTACCCGACGGCGCGCAAGGTGCAGACCACATCCGCCACATCTTCTACCGCATGGGCTTCAACGATCAAGAGATCGTTGCTCTTTCCGGAGCGCACAACCTCGGCCGATGCCACAGTGACCGCTCCGGCTTCCACGGCGCATGGGTCAACAACCCGACCCGCTTCTCAAACACTTACTTCCGGCTCATGCTGTCGCGTACCTGGAAGGAGAAGAAGCTCGAGAATGGTGTGCGGCAGTTTGTCCACTACGATGAAGACGCGGACGAAGAGCTGATGATGCTGCCTACCGATCTCGCTCTGGTGTCTGATCCAAGCTTTCGACCGTGGGTCGAGCTGTACGCCAAGGACAAGGATCGCTTCTTTGCCGACTTCGCTGCAGTCTTCGCGAAACTGATCGAGCTAGGCATCAAGCGTGATGCCAACGGCAGGGTTATCAACTCGGACAATCTAAAAGGTGGCTATCATAGCGCGCCGAAGAAGGCTAGCACGCCTGGCTCGCCGGACCAAGTAGACCGATATGGTGAAGCTGAGCCGCTGAGAGAGGAGAACAAAGGCTTCAGAGCACGGTTATAGGAACACTGCATCACGAACCTTGTAGACATAGCGGCGGCGCTTCTAATAGACAGATATATCGGAAGACAATAGAGGTAGACGTACAGATATGAATTTAGTTCGTTCTGTCTCCTTTCTCGTTGCTCTTGGCTCTTCAAATGATCACAGTCGTTGCTTGGAGCTTTCGTAGACGCCACCTTTGGCATGGACAGTCACTGCCACACTTTGTCCAAGTGACGTGCCACTGTCTGGGTAATACTCCTCGAGCGTTATACGGCCACTGAGCGGTATCACGATCTTGGGAAGCTGTCAAGGAGCCCGCCTCCTTGCGATCATCGTAAGCCCGACCCTCTCTGAGTTGAGAGCAACTCAGTCAAGGTAATGCTACGCCTCCGCCAACTTGCCCATCTCCACCGCCCAGCTGCTCCATGTGTACTTCCACCGTATCTCCATCATCCATTTCGAGCTACCAGAAGTTAGCCGGGCACATGCATTGACAGGGCGCAAGTATTAGCACTTACGCTCTCAGGCGTGAAGTCGGCCTGTACTCTCTGCCCGTCAAACAAGAAGCGTAGTGCCTTCACGGAACGCGCTTGTTTCGTGGCGTACACGCCCATAGCCTTGCCTAACTTGGTGGTCTTCTTCAGTCGGAAGGCGAGTTCGAAGCCGTTGACGTCTTGAAACTTTATGTTGATGGCTTCTACACTCCCTTGTGGCGGCTCGGACGTGGCGTCGCCAGTCATCGCTTGGGCGGCAAGTTTGCTGTTCAAACCGTGTTGGTGTGCTGAGAGACGCTGAGCAAGAGCTCCTATTACTCCTTCCGGAGTAAGAGCCTGCCTGGTTGATCGAAGTTGTAGTGTTTGAGACGTCCAGCCACAATGTGTTCATGAGCAAGTGCAGCCCGCATGGTTGCCTAGCGAGACCACTTCATTCGGTGCTAATTTAACATTCACTGCACTCAAAAAAATTGTCTTCACCCAACTTCGGCTCCGGTAACAGCAGCGATCATGAGCTCGTCGATACGCCGCTTGTACAGTGTCATTGGATGCATCGCAGGGTCACCAAATATGGTGCCACGGAGCTGATCGTCAGTTAGCTGGACCGCTTCAAGCTTAGGCCTCTGATTGCCAGTTTGTTTTGAAGAAGGATTGAGGATTGGCGCTTCTCGCAACAGAACCAATCGGCCTGCTGTCGATAATGAACTCGGCGGCACAGGCCACTTTGGCGGGTGCGGTGCGGTTTGATCTTGTGTCTTTTTCTGACGGCAGCCTTGTTGCCGACCACCGGATTGCTCAAGCCGGGGTGCCGGCGCCGCGATCAGCTTGGCCAGCGACTTGATGTACTCCCAGTCAACGCGGACGATAAGGTCACCTTCACTGGCGAATGACAGGAAGATGTTTTTGTTCCTGCCCTTACCGCTAGGAGTTTGCAATGGCAACAACGTGAGCGGCGGCACTCCGAACGTGATACAATGAATGCGCTTGAACAAACCAGCCAACTCAGTCAGGTCGGACGAGATGGTCTTGGATAACATATGCATGTAGAGCAGACTGGCTACAGCTCCTCCAGCTGAGTGGCCGGTGAAGAGGAGATAGCTCGAGTCCCATGACGGATCTTGCTCGATGAGCTGCCGAAGCTGCTTTGCAACAATCTTGATCATTGATCTCGCAATCCGGAGGTAGCCTTCGTGGCATCCATTGCCCTCATCGTCCAGAAAGCCGGTGGGTTCCTTGGGCGCGAAGCCGAAATTCCTCTTCCAGTCGAACAGGTTGAATGTACTACCACGAATTGCACAGACGAGCAGCTTCCTATCGTCGACTTCCTGCACTCTGAATGAATGAGCCTTTGTATCGTTGCGCGGGTCTGCATTGAAGTATCCATCCATCTGCATGCGACCCGGTCGTTCGTACACATCTAAAGACGCTTTCGCTGCGCGGCTGATGAGTGCCCACGTCGAAAGATACGCTTTGAACGGTAGCATGCCCGGCGGTAAGCGGGAGTTGGCATACAGCCAGCTTTTCTTGAAGTTGAGCAACCCTCCACCGCTGATTGCGCCTGCGGTCGTACCGTCTGTTCTATCTCTAGCCTGGCCAGTATGAGCGCGTGCGGTCCGTGGTCGCTCGTTGTCTCCAGCGTCCAAGCCTTGAGCCTGGCTTTCCAGCCTCACGATATCTACCTTGTCGTCTTCCGACCTTTGGAGGAGCTCGTTCAGTCTCGCCCATAGCACAGCATCTTGGTTTGGCGGCTGTTGAGCAACTGCGCCCACAGTCTGGCTGTTCGATGGCTGTAAGTCATATGCAGCAGCCATGCTTTGCCAATCGACATCTCTCTTCGGCTCTCTCGCAGTTTGCGGTCTGCTCGTTATCCGCGGAGAGGAATAGCCTGAGTCTGCTCCGTCGCGCCTCGACGTCAACGTCACCTGCGAGCGATACTCTCGGCTGTACATTCCCGCAGACAACGTGGCCTGAAACGGAAAATCGTCACACGCCTGGTATGCTGGTGGTGGAGTCATGGGACTGCCCGTCGCGAACTGCTGGAAGGGCGAAAGGGCTGCCCCATGCGCGGCAAAGGCATCTGCAAGTTGCTGTTGCACTGCTTGCGAAGGCAGATCTCTGTGACTGAAGTTCGCATTCCCATGCGGCCTGGCCTTGGAATTCGAGAGCAGCGCTCCACTGAGCTTCTCGGGCGGTTGCTGTCTTCGACGACTGCAGAACATCCTCGTCCACTGCTGTGCCTGCCGATCAGGCTAAGACGGGGACGCAGGGGTCTACCGAAGCGACTGATTGGTGGGTTGCAGGTCGTCTCATTCTCATCCTCGCCGTGTTACAAGAAAGATTCAAATCTACGAGCATCAAGGTCACAAGCTTGACCGACTTGACTATGGCAGCTGCCACTGTCAAGGACTCAAGGAGTGAACGAACGCACAGATACAGACGCAAGCCTCAAGCCTCAGCAATATTGGTGTAGCGCCTTCTGCCTTATAGCACAACGGCGCTGCCAATGTCGGACGCCTTCCCAGCCGATAGTGAAGTTGCATGTCGTCCGATGACAGATTGTTCAAAAGCATGCAAGGGTAGCAATGTGGAACGACTCGCCAGCACACAGAAGATCTCAAACACAGCGGCCGTCGAGCCCTCCGAGCTGCTGTCGAACGCCGGATCTCCACTGTGGTTCGCTCGTGGCAAGCTGCAGCGGCAGCCCCACAAGCCACTCTTTCCTAAAGTGACGATCTAGACGTTGAGCTAGCTGCCAGAGTCCTGATTCGTCTGAATCGTTGCTGCAAGCAGAAAATCCCTTCGGTTAATAAGGGCCCCGACGACCGGAGACGGTTCCATCCATATGATGCGAACATTGTGCGATCTGCAGCATCTTCCTGCAGCTACCCTAGCTGTCCACGGACCACTCGTTCGAGTTGATCGCCTATCGGATTGCTGCATATAGGCATCTAGTTCGCAAGAGAAAAGGAGATCTCACCACTACGGACTATAACTGTGCCGAAGAAGTAAAGTCAATTTTTGTAACTGTGGCGGCGTATAGTGAAAGTAGCGATTCTGAAACGCAGTTTGCCACATCTTGCATAACATGTTCTTCTAAGGGAATCATATGCTGAGCTGTATTGAAACAATGATGTAGTCTACACACCAGACTACGATGGCACATCGAGCCTCGGTTGACACCTCCCATGCATGCTGAACGCTGCAGGTGATCAACATTGTACCAGGACTGACGCCTTCCACCACTGCGGAATACGCAGGCAGCTCCGTTCAAGCCTTGAGCTCAAGCGAAGTAACTCTTCCACAACACACCTTCCAAGTCCTCAAGCTGTTCCGGAGTAAATGCCTATCACGATTGTAAGAGTTATGTTGCAGGTTGGGACGGTGTGAGTAACGTACCTTCATGTCAATCTGCCAAGTGTCCTGCCTTGTCTTCTTGAACTCGCTCAAGATGGTCTTGACACTCTTGCCCACCGTTCCTGGGTCACTCGCTGCCCTACCAGCTAAGGTTGCCAGGACCTCGGGGAGCCACTCAGGCGGCGGTGACGTATACGGGAACGCTTGCACCAGCGCTCCAAGTCCCAGCACAGCCGCATGCCGGGTGAGCACCAGCTTATTACTCTCAGAGGTAGGCGTGCTCGTACCCGAGCTGTTACCTTCCAGATTCAGGCCCTTTGCACGCTTCGGCATGGGGTTCTTGATCAGTAAGTTGGTGAAGTGCTTTTTCAAATCGGCGATAAACTGCTTGCGGAAGTCCAGCGGTGAACATCTGACCATACCACTGAGAGTTGCGGCTGCGCCGAGGCGGACCTCGAGCTGGGGGTCGTGCAACATGTCTCGAACGCATCGCATCAGATCGCTCGCATGCTCTTGAGGCATTAAGAACAATTGCCGGAAATAGATAACTTGTATGTTGATTAGCACACGCAGACGCTGATGCCACGATGTTGACTCTCTCCCAATCTTGATCAGTGAGCGCACGAACGGCTCGTCTTCGCCTGGCCGGTGTGGCACATTTGGTAAATGCCGGAAGACGTGGTACGCCAAGGACTGCAGCTCAGGATCTTCCTTAATATCCATCATGTACAGCAACTGCGTCATGAAGGTGTTTGGGAAGAATGGCACAAGTACCGTGCAATCGTACGAGCTTAGCGTGGTGTCGAGCCACAGAAGCACAGTCTTGCAAGCCTGAGTGTAAGGTGTCGGAGTTTGCGTTCCCACTGGTCGCTCCAGTCTCCACTTCTCTAGACGATCAAGCACATTGTTGACTATCCCGGAGTACTCCTCAGTAGGCTTGTACGGCCTGGTTCCGAGCGCGCCTGCCGCTTTCTGCTCTTCCAACAGAGTCGGCACGTCCTTGTAACTCTCGTGATAGCGCGTTCGGAAGATCGTTGATAACGTGGTGCCCATAATCTCGCGGACCTGCTTATACGGGTGGTCTAGATGCTCAAGGAAGTCGTTGACGATAGGCCGCTCGAGCTGAAAGTGCCAGCCCAGCGCCGTAACGATGAGGTTCAGCAGCGTGATCTTCGAGCTTTCTTTGAAGGCTGCATGACTGGACACATCCAGCCTGAAGCCTGCAAGCCAATCAATCAACGGCCACGCTCGTCGCGGGTCCTTACCTCCAACCACGAGCGTGACGAAGGTGGACCAGTATCCGCTGTTCTCGGGCGTTAACCCATCACTGATGATGCGGCGCACGACCGGGAAGGTGAAATCCCAGACTTTCTCTCTCATAGCTGGATCGAAGTCCTCTGCGCTGCTGACCATAGCACCAACGATCTCGGCCATGACTCGATGCTGATGCTTATCCGTACCGTCACCGTACACAGCCTGAGTCAAGTCCTTGAAGTCATCCCACGTTGCCTTGGTCAAGCCACTGGCCATGAGATCCATCGCATATGCGACAATCATCGAGCTGGACATTCGAAAGCGGTCCGCGCTCTGATCTCGCGGTTCTTGCTTCATGTAACCGAAATACGTCGACAGCCAGTGTCGGTCGATATGCGAGCCAATGGTCTTGCGCACAGCTTGCTCTACCTCATCGTACTCAAGTCTGCTCGGTCCTACATGCGCGCCACGCATCGTTTTCTGCCAGACAAGCCAACCTGGGTAGTCCGCATCGATGTAAGCTTCGGCTTCAGGCTTTGCGAAACCCTCAAGGAAGCGCTGCGTCCAGTCTGGGTCTTCTCGGTGGGTGGGTACCGACACCTCGTCGGGGTCAAGCTGCGCGTCCAGCAGGTAATTCTCATACTTGTGACCGACCAGCGCTCTCGTTTGTGCGAGACTGTATATTGCGTTGAGGGATTGTGCATACAGCGTCCTCAACGCCGGATGCGGATCGATGACACCCTTGACCACAAGCTCAGTCATGCCTAGGCTTGACACCGTCTCGAAGCGATAGTCCAATCCGATCACCATAACTGCCGTTCGGCTCGCCTTCTTCCAGTGCGAATGCCTAACTTGCTCGATCAGCTCCTGAGCGAGCTCTGTCTTGCGCTTCTCGATCACAGCTCTCCTGCTCTGAATCTTTGCCTTCTTTGGCGGCACGAAGCTCTGCGCCTCTTCCAGCGTGTGCGCGATGGTCCTCGTCCGCCTTTGACCATCGGTGGACTCGCTCCGATCCGGCCAGATTGCTCTTAAAGTGTCTTCGTCCAGAATGACCATACGATCCATAGCCTTTGTCATGTCTTGTATGGTGAAGCTGCTATTCACCACCAGCTTCTGTATGCTTGGTCTGTCGGCTTCAGAGACCTGTATGAAGAGCTTGATCATTCGTGGCGCGAACTTCCAATTCCGAGAGATTGGCTTCGCAAGACTGCCGAATAGCAGTGAGTACACCGCACCTTTGATGCGCGGATGGTCGTTCTTCCTTAGCGCACCTTCCAGTGCATCTAGCAACGGCGGTATAATGAGCGGCTTGGCGCCTATAATGCTCTTGACTGCTTGCTCGCCCGCTGACTGCGCTGTTCGCCGAATGTCCGTATACACTGAGGTCGACGAATGCGCCAGGTCCAGCAGCAGAGTCTTGTCCAGCTCGCTTGCGGCGCGTGGATGCTCGTTGAAACGCAGTCTCTGGAAATGGTAGAGGTTCGCTCGCCTGACTAGCAGTGGCCGGGGGTACTGTTTGCGTGTACCACTGAATTTGAATGGGTGACAATCTGCGCTCAGCAAGCGCATCAAACGGTCAAGAACATGTGCCGAGCGCTCAATGCCGATATCCACGAACCAGCTCCGATAAGCCGTGTAGAGTGCATTGAAACACGGAACGTCGTCTTCTTGATTCTTCACTAGGAAGGCGTGCACTTTATGTAGAGTCTCGCCGACGGTCTTCCTCAGCTCGTGCACAGTTTCATACGTGGGGCTGCCAATCTCCAGCGGGTAGCCGGTAGAGTACTGGAAGGAACGCTTGATCTTGTCATCGTCCGGCTCGCCGAGATCCACTGCATTGTCGAACGCATCGTCCTCGTGTTTCTCCGACTCGATGATACCACCGTTTGCTTCGGTGTCGATGAAGGTGTACGGTGTAATTGTACCGTCGTCTGAGCGGAACAGGCGACATATGCCCGAGATGACGAGTCTGAGCAATACCAGGTTTCTGCTGACTTCGTCGGACCAGTCCTTGCCGACTCCATCTCGCTTGATAGGTGCTTGGTTCGAGATAAGCTCTTTCAACGCCTTCAGCGCTCTTCCACTCTGTGCCTCAGCGACCTTGACGGCAAACTCCAGTTCATCCTGGCATGGGTTGTGCCATCGGATGTCCAAGTTCGAGGGGTCGACCGTTCTGCCCCAGCTTTGGGACGTAAGACCACGCTCAAGCTCCGCTTGGTCGTACAAACTGTAATCCTGGGTGTACGTAACCGTCAAGTTCAGTAACAAGTGGTGCACAAAGTTGCTCACATGCACCAGGGGTATGCCCTTGCAATGATCCTGCATGAAGTTTGCGAGCTCGAACAGCTCATCCCGGTATTCCAGCACATCCTTGCCGACATGCACCACACACATGCTGAGCAAGCTGACATGCCACACCAAAGCCCTATCACGGGGCAGAATTTCACTTCCAGTAGTTCGTGTGCTGCCCGCCGCGTTTTCTGTGATTTCGGTCCGGATGCTGCTCATCAGCTCTGGCAACAAGCGACGAAGGGCCTTCTTCGGGTTAACCTTGACTAGAGCGTTGCAAATGAATGCCATGGCGTCTCTAGCCTGATGAACAACATGGTTGCTTGCGAACTTGGCGACCTGCTCGAGCGCGATATCGTACAGCTCCGGACTCAGACTAGCCAATAGCGGAGAGAAGGCAGCAGGCAGCGTGTTGACGACGTTCTCTTCTGGAGATCCACTCTTAACGCGCGCAGCATCTGGCAGGTTCTGCAAGAGCGTGAAGACTCTGCCCATGAATGTGATGATGAACTCCGCGAAGCCGGCGGTTGAAGACTTGAGGATTGCTTCTTCGTCTTCTTCGGACATTTCAGCCATGTAATCAATTTCAATTCCTGGACCTTCCTGCTCGAACCGAGCAAGCTGACCACTAATCCAGTCGACAGCTAGTGCGGTGCCTGCGCTGTCAACCGCTGTAGTGTCGGCCTCTACCATCTCATAGTCGCCGTTCAGCTCACTCCGCTCCATCTTAGGCGTCTTGGTAAGGTCATGTAGTGGGATATTGTAGCATACACTTTGTATGAAAGCCAAACTGTGCAGTGTCTTGTCCAGATCGTTTGCGTCTACACCAGGGAGCGCCAAGCCCAACAGCGTCGTGAGATGGCATCGGAAGCCCTTCGTCTTTGCGATTATCTTGCTCAGCATCTGCAAAGCACGAATGGATGATATCGTTCGGTGAACCTCGACCAAGCCTTGCATCGCCGGGTAGATGCGCTGTAGAGCACCAGGCAGGATAAGGTTTGGCTCCAAATACGCCAGACTTTGCAGCGTGCTAAGGCTATAGTTCATCGCAGTGCCACTCTTCGCATAGATGCCCATGAACACAACATCGCGCAAACATAGCACGAAGCGGCGTTTGACTTCGTCGTTCAGCTTTCGATCTTCGGGGATTTCGTACTCGCCGCTCTGTTCGCGGTTCCAACGCATAACGAAAAAGTCCGATAGATAGTAGATCAGCTGCGCCAACGGCTTTGTCCATGTGCCGGAGTTGGACGGGTGGAAGAAGGTTTCGATGCCTTGTATTAGTGCCTCCAGCTGGTGTAGCATGGATTTACGGTCCGTCACCTCTAGGCACTTCGGCGACAGCGACATGATGATCCAGCGTGCGATGCTATGGGATATGGGGTGCTTTCTGGGGTCGCGCTCAAGCAGGAGAGCGGTGCCAGCGCCAACATCGACCGTTCCACTGTAAGGTGTCGTGGCTTGTCCGACCGGTATTTCCAACAATCTCAGCACAGCTGTGTAGACGAGGGATGACTGCTCCTCAGTAAAGAGACCGCAGGCTCCGAACGGTACATGCTCTGAGCCCAGGCAATCTCTGGCCTGCCGGGAGAAGATGTCCAGCATGCGCATATCTACCATCATACTTCTATTGACGGTGGACCAGAGATGGAAGAATGTTGGAAGGTAATACTGCGGCTGCAGCTTTGGGTCATCCGCAGGTGGCGCCGCGGTTGGCAGCATGAGATTGAGCAGACCAAGGACCACGAAGGCATGCTCGGAGAAAGACATGCTGTAGAAAGGCAGGAACTCTTCGAGCATAGCTGGGATCTCTTTGGGGTCGAAGAACAGTTGTGCGAAAGTGCAGAGCTTGGTCAGCGTCCGGTGATTTCTCTTAGAGCTGTACGTGTTCTGCGTACTACTTTCCGAGGGCAGCACGAACACTTTGAGCTCTTTGTAAAGCGGTCGCCAGTCCAAGACCAGATCCTTACCGGGCCGGAGGTAGTGCTTCCGCTTGGTGAGGACCATGAACATGCTCGCGAACCTCTCTGATATCGAGTATTCCAGACCTGGCGCCAGACTTAGCTCGTAGTACAGCTTAACCAGGCTGGATCGCTGTTTCCGGGTGAGGTCGAACTTCAAGCTCATCCAGCCTCTGATTTCTTTTGTCCAGTGCACGGCGCCCGGCACGAAGTCCCCTGACGCAACCGCGATGTACAGATGCTTGATCATCTCATCCATGTCCGCCTCGGTCTGCTCTCGGCTCTCCGTGTCGTACGGTAGGTACTTCGTATAAGGAAACACTCGTGGCCTCGTCCGACCAAGCTTCGTGATGTCGAAGCCTGCATCTGCGTCGCCGTCATCTTTGCGATCTTGTCCCCCACCTGGCGACGTTGCTCTTGATAGTGCGCCGTTTGCCTCGTGGTTGCCGTGGAGGTGGCCGTTCAGTAGACCAGACACACGGTCATGCTGAGGGCCGTGAATATGGTCGGCGGCCATCGTGGTGAAGGCTGTCTTCAGTGGATTCCTCGCCACATTTGGGTCGGTTGTAGTCGAGACACTCGAGTTCACCTCTGCGCCACGACCTGTCGTCGATGGATGTGTTTGGTAAGCAGGCACACGACACTTGAACGGAGCTGCTTCCCAAGCGTTTCGCGTCACCGTGATATGTCTGGGTTCGAATCAAGTAGAAACAGTGTCTACGATACTGTGTGCAGCTGTGGCATTAGTTAAATTGACTATCTGTTGGCAAAGTCTGCCTGTGGGTGTGTCGATGCAACCGACTCTGTCGTGTAATGATCGGCCTCGTCAAGCTGCAGCCGCCTAATGTTGGCCTGAGGCAATCGGCTGCGTGGTGGTGAAGGCACGCGACAGCGATGTGAAAGCTGCAATGCAATCCTGCCAACCAGTAATCTAGAGCACCACAAGGCGTTGGTAGCTACCTTACAGCACGAGTTCGGAAATGCTGTGAGAAGTGGTGTGCAGTGATAGAGGCGACATGAGCGACATATAGGTACTGTTCGCTCTCCCAGAGGCAAAGGCAGCATCAACGCGCAAGCCGACGTGGCGACTTCTGCACCCGTCTAGAGCTTGTCACGGCTCGGCCAGTGCACAACCGACTGGCTTGTGACCGTCTCGGGCACCACATCATTAATAACCTAAGCCGGTGAGCCAGCCATGGCTTACTACTCACCAACGGCCATCCTCACGGACTCGCAGAAGGCACCCTGCACCTTTGAGCTTGCCGTTCCCGCGCTCTCACCCCTCAACAATGGCACTGCAATTCAGCAGGGTACCAAGCTTGATCTCCCGCTTTGGATGGCCGAGATGTTAGCTGTGTCCAAGCCAGCCGGTCCCTCTTCGTCCTCTCTCGCGACGCTGGACATGCCTACAGCGCTCGGCCAACGTGTAATGAATGCTCTACAAGCCGATCCCAAGTCCGTGGACTTGCGATCACAGGCCCAGTGGTTCTACGGCTTGGGTGAGCGGATGCTAGAGCTGTTTGAAGAAGAGGAGATGGTCGAAGTGATGACCGAGGTTTGTCAAGGGCGATGTTCGTATTACCAAAGACATGTCTCGTAAGCTGACTATGGCAAGACATTCAAGCAACGCGCATTGGAGATAGCAGACAAGGCACAGAACACTCGCAGCGCGCAACAGAGCGGTGGCGACGGCACAGACTTCATGCGAGGTCTCGATGAGACGGAGCGATTGTGTAAGTCATACAGCGCATGAACAGTACATGGAGCCCAACAACAAGCAAAGTCCAAACCAGAGCTATGCGTAGAACAGAACACTGAGCAAGCACCACCATCTCACAAGCACCCATCCTCAAGAATCCCCTTACCGTCCTCAAAGTGAGCAGCCAATCTGACGCGACAGCAGTATTTCGGAGCGCCCACGATGGGAGCAATGCCGTGAAGAAGTGGATGGATGCAGTCCGGACGTGAGGCAGCGAGGGCCGTGGCGTACGATTTGCAACAGCGGCAGAGGACCGTATGTCTGGGCGTGATGGAATCCCGAGGCCATGCGTCGGGGTACGTGTTGTCATCGCTCGCATCGCTGCTTGGGGCGTCGTCAATTGCGTTGAGAGCAGCGCGAGATCTCATGACGATCTCTTGAACACCACCACTGTTGACGATGATCTCACGCACGTAACCCAGCAAAACGCTCGTGTGGTCGCTACCGGATATTGTGGAGTTGTCGACACGATCGGATTCGCGCCAGGAGCTTCCCCATTCTCAACCCAATTGCCCACAGCAGAGCTCCCATCACTCCCATTGGCGTTTGCGGAGTCGACAACTAGATTCGATTCATCGTCAGGAGCGTCGCCGTCTCCACTACAATCACTTCCAGAAGAGTCCTCATCATCCCCACCGGTACTCACGGGCTCTTCGCCGGCGTTGGGAACGGTGTCGGAAGCGTCATCCATCCCAATGCCGTTGACCTCCTCTAGGATGCTATCGCCCCCACGGTAGCTGATGGAGTCCTCGGGAACGATGGTAGGCGCTGCAGCGTCCCCAAAACTCATATCAAAGAAACGGCTCGTTACCGCCCCCACAAGACTCGCATACTCCCTCTCGGTGGTGGGAACCTCACAGACCCAATACTCCATCGCCATGCCCGTCCACAGCTTCGTCCCGCGCTGGAGAAAGGCGTTGTACTCCTCGTACCAAGCCAATCCTGGAATCGCCATATGATACATGGCAGCTTCTTCGTTCGTTGTGGTGCTGTCACTTTGTGCTGTTCTGATGCTTGGTGATTGCTGTTAGAATTTCGAGACAGGAACAGTGGTTTCTGTTCGGTTGGGAGACGACAGGAACAGACAGCATCCTGTGCAGCCGACTTATATGGGTCGGCGTGTTTCCTTCGCTTACGCCGGCAACAACAATACCTGGACGATGATTACAACGTTCATTCTCGATCCCGACGGTCATGCTCCAGTCGAGCTAACAAGCGCTTGTTGATGGACATTTGCAATGGGACGTGCTCGGGTGGAGGTGGTGTTTCCTCTCAGCTTTCAATCGCACGTTCTCGAGCGACAACCTTGCACTCCTGAGTGCTGTAGGCGGGACATGAGCAAAATCAACGTATGCACACACTTTCTGGAGCATCGCGTTGGAGAGGATAAGTGGTGTCGTGGCATGGGAAAGTTTTAGGATCTCCACCGCTATAGAGATTGCGTAGAGTAAGTGCAACATCCCAACTCCATCGCAACCGGCACCTATGGTACCAAATGCCAGCACAACACCGCTACGCAATGTAAATGCGCTATATCTTGATCTCCCTCTCCGCGCGCTCCTTCTTCTTGCGCTCGCGGGCGTTTGCCTTGGCACCCATGATACCGCCACCCCAGTGTCTCTTGAGCTCCTCATTCTTGTCCATGTAGCCCTCCTTGACGGCCTGGACCAGCTTGCTAAGCTCAGACTGGTCCTCGCTACGAACCTCGGTGATGGCGAGAGCAGCAGCAGTCTGTTCGACACGGTCAGTTTGCAATTGGTCGGCCAGCGCAGCGTGGTGAACGAACCTTCTTGTGCACAACGGTACCGAGACGCGCCTTGCCCTTGACAATTGCGTACGGCACACCCATCTTCCTGCACAGCGCTGGCAGGTAGATGACCAGCTCGATCGGGTCCACATCGTTCGGAATCAGCACCAGCGCGGTCTTCTTCGCCTCGATCAAAGCCACCACGTGGTTCAGGCCATACTTGACGACATATGGCTTCTTGCTGACGTCCTCCTTCTTCTTGCCCTCCGAGACAGCAGTCGCCTCTTGGTGCAGCCGATCCTTCTTGTCCGCCTTCGTCTCTGGGCGGTACTTGTTCAGAAACTTGAAAAGCTGTGCTGCGGTGTTGCGATCTAGAGTGTGCGAGAACTGTGCAATGGACGGCGGGACCTTGAGGCGCATGTTGAGGATCTTGCGCTGGCGCTGCAGGCGAACGTACTCGGGCCAGCGGACCATGCGCGAGAGGTTGCGCTTGGGCTGAATGTCTTGACCGATGCCATAGTTGCGAGGCTTGCGCTCGATGAGTGGGTTCTCCATTGTGTCAGTACCATCAAGCTTACTTTGTACAGTATTGAGTGTCACTCACCTTGGCTTGCTTCTTGCTCGTGCCAGCCTTGGTGCCCGGATAGGGTGCCGGGGCGGCCTTCTTCGTTCCAGCTTTAGGAGGCTGTCATTGAGAAGAACAGTCAGTCCAACTGTTCTAACTCTACAGAGCATGCTTCAAATCATCTTTCGACAGAATGAGAGGCAGCTCAAGCCATTTTGCTCAGCACCACTACCATCGAGGCAGGGTGGGCTTGGGTCATCGCTACAGCATGCTGAACCGCCTTGGCAGCGGACAGCAGAGGCATGTAACTAGTGGTTTCCTGCTTGGTGAGTGCTTACCATAGTATCGATGTAACGAGCGGACTTCGAGTTTGATGCTGTTGTCGCTGTCGCTTCGCTACGCAGTTCAGAATTTCGTGTCGAAGTTCGAAGCGGAATTGGTGCGCCAAGGCCGAGCGAGCGGAGTGGTCCGCATTGCCAAAGAGCACCATCACATGACTCAGCTGTCACCACATCTTATTGGTCTCATAGACCGGTAGGCTAATGAACCGTCATGAAGAAGCATAAGAAGCATAAAGCACAGCCTTCTCACGCTCCCTCGTTCCCATTTCCGTTCTGCCATCACTGACTGGCCAAAGCACCCGTTACACGATATCGGCTCCAGCTCGCTAAACTCACAACGACATGCGCCTGTCTCCTTAGACAGTACCTGGCGTAATGAAGGTCACGTAGCGTTTGGTAAGATGCTCCTGCAGTAGTGCGCTGAGGGTGAGGCTGGCTGAAAGAAGCCTCTTACGGTGTGCATCGATGCCGCAGACAGAGGCAGCTGGATCACTTCCGCAGTACCGCTGTCACAATGTCTCAAACCTGTCGATCAACTTACTCTGCCCTCTCTTGCAAGCATCCTCTCATCCTACAAAATATTCGAGCGTTCCCGCCCTTCGATGACTATCGCTCCTCCTAAAGCTTGTTCTTCCCTCGGAGGTCACATCCACACCCCACACTGCTCGGTGGATCTTTATATCGACCCTCAGCGTTCCCACACATTTCCTGACAATGCAACGTCCACTGCATCGAAGCTTTGCAATGCTCTTCCCACTAGCCGTGGCTTTGGCGGGAGCAAGCGTAGTAGGTAATGCCCAGAAAGCCTTCTCTTGGGCAGGGGGAGGACATCAGCATGGAGAGATCGACAACACAGCCGACAGCATTTCACGCCCAGTAGTGCTTAGCAATATACCAACGCCCGTCTCACTGTCTGGCCTTCCTGCCATAAGCAGCGCATCACCAAACGGCCCAGTAGCGAGTAGCCCACCAGTAACTGGCACTCCAGGCTGCAATATTTCGCACACTCCAGGGTATCATTATCAGTACACCAATGGCCAGAACTACAGTATTGTCACAACCGATGGCCACACACGGTATTATAGTGTACAAGTACCTAATCCCTACGACCGTAAGAATCCATACCCTCTAATCTTTGACTACCATGGCGCAAGCGACACTTCTACCATTCAGCGCAACAACTCCGCCTACTTCAACTACACCCAGGATTACCTCGTAGTATACCCACAGGGTTGGGGTCGCCACTGGCAGGGTCCCGCCTACGCTCACAAGGGCGTTAATGATACCCTCTTCACCTCCGACCTTCTGGCACACATCGAAGACAACTACTGCATCGATCCATCCCGTGTCTACGCATCGGGCAAGTCCAACGGTGGCGGCTTCGTTGACACGCTTGCCTGCTCTTCCGCTGGCGACGCCTTTGCAGCGTTCGCCATGGCCTCTGCAGCTTTGTACACCGACCTGAACAAATCCTCATGCGCTAGGCGACGTCCAATCCTCGAGTCTCACGGCCTTATGGACACTGTGATCAACTACACTGGCAGCGCGAAAGGCAACGGCGGCCCCCTGCCTAACATCGACTCGTGGGTGAGTTGGTGGGGTGAGCGCGATTGCGGTCCCAATGCTACGCCGCACTATGACACGCAGCCGAGGGGCTACAATGTTACCGCGTACAGCTGCGGCGACCTTACTGACGTGGTGAAGCATTACGAGGTGTTCGACCTGGGACATTGTTGGCCGAGTAGTCATGGATGGAATTACGACGCTCTTCACCTGAAGTCGCAATCCTGCAGCAAGGTCAGAGTGTTGGACTTCACGCCGAAGGTGCTGGAATTTTTTGCAAATTGGTGTCTCGCCACGGCGCCCTAGAACGGACTTTGTGGCAATAACAATGTGCTTGTACAGCATGGATACGGCGATGGTATAAATTCCATCATCAGTTGTGGGCTTTCACCCCAAACAGCGGGTTCAATATCGCCGCTGCCCACTCGTATGTCGTGAACAGAATGCCTCCACTGAATACTGTCCGCCCTAACCGCATCGTCGTGCCCTTCCAGAATCCGCCGATGCCGTAATCGGCGACAATACTCTGAAACGCTTCGATGGTACTCGCTCCTCGTGAGCTCTGACATCGCGTCTTGATCGTATCAAAGGGCTGTGTCGCCAGCGTCGTCACTATACCAGCCACAGACCCATTGCCGAAGTTAGTGAGAGTAGATTGCTTGATGTTGCGCTTTTGCTCGTAATCCTTGAGGATGTTATACGTTCCCATTCGGAACGCTGTCGCGCCAGCTTGCTTAAGCGTCGTCCCTACAAACCCACGGTAGAGACCAATGAAGCCATCTTCTCGCAGGATGGTCTTGATACAGTGCGTCATACTCCGGAACCTCCGCTCATTCCTCGCATCATCGATCAAAGCCGTCTTGATCCGCTCCGTAGGTGTCACAGCAGTAATGGAAGCAACAACACCACTGCACATTCCCGCCCCGAGGTTCCTCAACGGCGTCAGCGTCCCCGTCTCCGGGTCCTTGAACTGGTTCTTAATCGTGTCGAAGGAAACAAAGCGGATTCCATCTTTGGCCACAGAACCTATGACCAGGGTGGAACAGCCTTTGTAGAGTGCGGCAAGGCCTTCTTGCGTGTAGACTTGGGCCACGACCCGGAAGGGATTGCGCGGAGTAGGTTGCCCTTTCTGCTCGCGCAGCTGAACGCGAGTTTTGGCGAACTCAAACGGATAAGTCGAGAAGCCTTCTATGGCGCCGGCTATCCCACCAGCCAAGATTGAGACTATCGCCGGCGTGGACGGGTCCTATAGGGTATCAGTCTGGGATGTCCTCTGAACGTTGCACTCTGCTCACATGACTCATTTCTCCAGAGCCCTCCTCCTCAGGCAAAATTCAATTCGTACTGATAGTAACCTCCAGGACAAGATGAACGTCCACGCATCGGGGCAATTCGAGCCGAGGTCAAGCGCGCTTCAGGAGCACGAAACTCGGTACATGTATCTCTGTACAGTATCAACCCAACACCCTCACTGCCTCTATGCTTGCCCGGCGCGACTGAGTGAGAACTCGTGGCGGCCTCCCCGAGAACATACGACGTTGGAGTGGCTTGTTCGCGGCCAAGGTCCTCTCTGCCATTGACCCACAATGACGTACATTGTTGGCCTGAGCGTGTCCATGGAAGCTTTCGTCGCGTGCTCCATCTGCGTACCCTCCTACGACTCCCTCTATTGCCTTTCCCTATTCACTGTCCATGGCAGAACCGGACAGACAGCGGTTGGGTAGATTGAGATGGAGCCTCTACTCTCCAGACTCCTCGTCCGTACTGCCTCCACCGCCAAGTCAAGGTCTTCCAATGGTTATTGGATGTGTAGCAGCTGTCGCGTGCTCGACCAGAATGGCCGGCCATCCTTCCCTTTCCGTCGGACCTTCAGTGTGCCCAGCGGACGGCGCATGAAGGTGCAGGAGGATGCTAATCAAACACCGAATCTCGATGACAGCTCCCATTCCCAGTCCGCAGCCAACTTATCCCACGATGTGACGCAGGCGGAGAAAGATCACTTTCGACGCATAGAGAAGGAAAGCAAAGACAAGCAGACTCGGTCACCGTGGATGCGCGAGGGCAGCAACGTGCCTCCTGTAGCGCGGCAGCGCAGCGCAGGCGCCATGGTGAAGGGAAAGCTGCTCACAACGCCGAGTCGAATGCTTAAGCTCATTCTGCCGTTGACGACGAGAGACAACAACAAGGACAGGAAAAACGTCGAACCATTGGCGCTGCTTGTGCATCCGCAGCAGCCGCTAAGCTACCTGGAGCGTCTTATACAGAGCGAGCTACCTTCGCTAGAGGATGGAGGGAAATCAAGAGCCCCAAATGTGACCTTCAGGGCGCAAGATCGCACCGAGGAGGACATTGGAAGCGGGAAGACGGCTGCTTCGGAAATTCAAGGCGAAGAAGAGAGTGATGAGGAGTTCAACATTGAGGATGCCGAAGAGACGATGGTGGACGGCAAGCTTGAGCGGACTGGCAAGATCAATGACCCTTCTGCTGCAGCTAAGCAGCGAGACTCCGAGCTCCCAGCACATGGCCATAGCGAGAAGGAGACTATGGACGCTTATGCGCCTTCCGATCCAGAGCACCCTGAGTTTGTCCGCTGGAGCCCGAGTACGGAGATCGGCGATTTCATCCGTGACGCTGCGCGAGGCAAGGAGTTCGCCATAGATATCGAAGGAGCAAGCAGTCCTATCTACATTGGCGTCCCTTCCTTCAATGACCGTACCTACTATCTGCGCATGCGACTACGCAAAACCGCAAAGCGGATAAGCGAGCTTGCGGACATCAAGCGCGAATGCGACGAATACGCTCAGCGTGGTGCAAAGCGCGTCGCACAGGCAGGCTTCTCGGCGCTGATAGCGTGGTGGGCTGCAGTCTACTACCTCACGTACGTACATCAACCTAATTAATCATCCAGATTGTTCAGAGCATTGCTGATCCCACACTCCTCAATGTTAGCTTCAAAACGGAATTGGGCTGGGACGTTATGGAACCCGTCACCTACCTCGTCGGTCTAACATCACTGATTGGAGGTTATATGTGGTTCCTCTACCATAACCGCGAAGTCAGCTACCGGTCTGCGATGAACTTCACAGTCTCGCGGAGACAATCTCAACTGTACGAAGCGAAGGGTTTCGACCTCAGCACGTGGGAGGGTCTGGTAGAGGAAGGCAATCGGCTGCGCCGAGAGATTAAGATGGTGGCTGAGGAGTATGATGTCGAGTGGGATGAGAGTAAGGATGAGGGCGACGAGAAGGTCAGGGAGGCGTTGCGGGAGGCGAGAAAGAAGGAGGGCAAGAAGGGCAAGAAGCGTGATAAGGACGACGACGACGACGATGATGATTAGAGGCTTGGAGTAGCGGCACTGCACGCCCAGTGGTTTGAGAAGCGTTCCTAGCGAGCATGTGGCAGCGTATGAGCATTATCTTGGGCTGATAGCGGCTTTCCAGGGTACATTGATGCTCCCCATTGCATAGAATATTCCAGGCACTCACAGTCATGGCAAAAGTGTTCAGTTGCTCGCATTCGCCGCCGATAGCGTTTCGACGCCAAGTTTGACACCTTCATGCTGACTGAGCAGAGTCGGCGAGCTTGACAAATCCAGCCCCACTTCAAGGCATCCGACGGCGATGTTCTGCCTCGCCGCATGCTGCTACATGTTAACACAGCCTATCCTCCGACCAATCGCAGAAGCTAGGTGTATTGAATCCAAAAGGTGTTGACCTTGGCAAGCGAGCGATTTGGGCACCAGGACCTCGTCGAGAATTGTTGATCCTACATTGATATAACACCCATAATCAACGATATCCAGAATAACGGTGATTGGGCTTTTAACACAACATTGAAGATATAATGCCTCTCACAATACTCGGCGATCACGATGTGAACCGGATATTACACTCCTTCACCCGAGAAGACATCCTTGAGCTCCAGCAATCACTCGCGGATGCACTGCACTGGTATTCGACCAGCAACGATGCCAACGATTGCTGTTCAGACTTCCAGCCTGAGCGAACAGTCCTCAAACGCAAAGACGGCTCAACCACGCTGTTCATGCCCGCGAGCGGGCTTAATAGCCAAGGAATCAAGGTGGTTAATGTGGTTCCTCCGGAGAGCTCCACAGGCCTGCCTGCTCTCGCCGAGAATCTTTCTTTGAGCTCCAGTAAAAGCTCAACATCGAGTCCGCGAGATTCCATCTCGATGACAAGTTCGTCCGATGCCACGTCCATAACTTCGCCTTCGCGAAGCTCGGTTGACAGCGTAGGCACCGGCCTAACATCCATCTCTTCGAGAGCGGGCACGGATACCGCGAACGCCACCGCAGTCTCCACTATTCGTGGCTCGTTGACGTTGATGGACAACCAGGGCAACACGACCGGTCTGCTCAACGCAGCAGAAGTTACTGCTTTTCGCACAGCGCTCGCATCCACAATGCTCCTCAGGAAACGTCACTCCGTGCACGATCTCACTGTCTTCGGTGCGGGAAAGCAAGCCTATTGGCACATACGCCTCGCAATGCTGCTACGCCCGGACGAGATTCACCACTTGAACATCGTTACGCGCAGCTTCGAAAGCGCGCGAAACTGCATAGTTCGGCTGTACAACCCACAGCCTGACGACCCTGACTACGTGAATCATATAGGGGAGAAGTACAACAGCAAGACGAAGAAGAACATCCTCACGCCGATGCACACTGAGTATGAAAGGCTATTGAAAGAATATGTTCGTGCATCTAACGTCATCTTCTGCACCACACCGTCGGACAGACCATTGTTTCCCGCCACTCACCTCACGAACCCCGAAGGTCGCAAGAAGGGTAGATACATCGCTTGCATAGGCAGCTACAAGCCTCACATGATTGAGCTGCATCCGGATATTCTGCGCTACGCAGTCGCGCCACACCATGAACACAAACACGTTCATAAGCGGCAACGAGAGGGTGGCGCCGTTATTGTTGACACAGTATCCGGGTGCTTAAAAGAAGCCGGCGAAGTGATTCAAGCGAAGCTGCTGCCAGACCAAGTTGTGGAGCTAGGAGAGCTGTTCATGCTGAAGCGGGAGGCAGATCGAAGACGGGCGCTGAAAGGAGAGAAGCCTGTGTCGGGCGCGGAAGGCTGCCAGTTCAAGGACGATGGCGAGAGCGCGGGTTTGATGGAGTGGTTGACGAGGGGAAACGTGATTTACAAGAGTGTTGGGATTGGGTTAATGGATGTGGTGGTCGGTAACGAGCTGGTGAGGATGGCAAGGGAGAGGGGCATTGGGGTCACTATTGAGCAATTCTAAGCTTGCCGCCGACAGCAGGAATGACATGCGACACGACTACGACATAGACCGATCGATAGGCTGACTGGATGCTTACTAGGTTTAGCCCCACAATGCTGCTGACTAGCTACGGTTATGCCACTGCTCCCTGTCACAGCCCGAGGTAAAGGACGTATGCTCAACCCTTCTGCGGCGACCATCGGCGTGGGAAAAGCCGATCGTACCAGCAACAAACCGCAATGCCATGTCACAAAGATTTCGAGGTGTGGAATTCTGTTCGACACCGACGGATGAAGCTTTGCTCAACATGATGACCTTTTCGTTGTTCCGGGTGTGTCAGCTATGTAGACCAAGGTTTAAGCTCTACAGCCTACAATGCGGGACCGACAGCGCTGAATGGTTGTCAGTGCCAGAAATCAGCATCTCACACAGAAAAGACGGTGTATGTGCCTGGGCCCATTCTATGTTTGTATTGCACGAACGCTGCAGAATAGCACGAATCGGACCACCGTGCGGCTCTCTCGGGTCCCGACATGTGGCAAAGCTTTCAAACAGTAGGTGTACTGGTTGCTTCTAAGTCGACATATCTTTAACCCTCATTTGCACACATTGCAGCTCTCCGTTGTGTTCAGCTTACCACCGCGCACACTCTCGCAACTGCGCCTTGTACATTGACTTACAGGGCCTTGGCTGTACCTGTCTTCATCGCACACTCTCTGGAAACGTTTGGAGCACACATCAATACCAGTCACTCTTTGCCGCATCATGAGGCTGCTATTGGCGGCCAGTTGGCTTGCAACAGCGCTTTCATGCGTTTCCGGCGTAGTGGTGCCGGTAGAAAAGATCGAAAGGCGGCAGGCAGCGACAGCTGCAACAGCAGTAGCGAGCACAACGTCACTGGTAGCGGACTCCGCCTGCACTCACGGTCCACTAACGAGAGCATGCTGGAACGACGGGTATAGCATTGCCACCGACTTCGATATCAAGTTTCCGGTGACCGGCAACACAGTCTACTACAATCTCGAGATCACCAACGGATCATGCAATCCGGACGGCTACGGCGCGAGAACCTGTCTGCTCGTTAACAATGTGTACCCTGGTCCGGTCATCCGAGCCACTTGGGGCGACATGCTCAGCATCACGGTGAAGAACTCCATGCAGGACAATGCCACTGCAATGCACTGGCATGGGCTCAGACAGTATCATTCGCCTGGCTACGACGGTGTTCCCGGCATCACTGAATGTCCGATTGCACCAGGACAATCCATGACCTACAATATCCAGGTGACACAGTTTGGTACAAGCTGGTACCACTCCCATTACTCGATGCAGTACGGCGACGGAACACTGGGAGCGATGGTATTGGAAGGACCTGCGACCGATAATTACGACATCGACCTTGGTCCGTATGTTCTCAATGAGTGGTACTACAAGACGGCGTACCAGATGGAGGCTATCGTATCGAACAATCTCCAGGTCGGACGCCCACCGCCCAACGCTGATAATATCCTAATCAACGGCACGAACAAGAACGCCAACGGTGGCGGCACCTATAATCAAGTTTTCATTAAGAAGGGTAAGAAGTATCGCCTTCGGCTCATCAACTCGTCCGTGGATAACCAGATCTGGGTTTCACTTGACAATCACACAATGACAGTCATGTCTGCCGACCTAATTCCAATCAAGCCTTACGACACCGAAACAATACTCATAGACATCGGACAGCGCTACGACGTGGTCATTCATGCCAATCAGGCTGCCGGGAACTACTGGTTCCGTGCAAATGCTGCGACGTTCTGCCTAAGCGGCAACAACTTCTACGGCCGAGCCATCTGGACGTACGACACAATTGCACCCGCGACGCCCACTTCGCCAGCTTACGCCGCGCCGACCGTATGCGGCGAATCGAGCAAGATTGCGCCGTACTGGTACCAGCCCGTACCGAGTGGCTCGTTCACATCAGCACTGGACAAAGTCAACATTAACCTCACACGGGTGGAGCAAATACCGGGTGAGGGCAACGTCATTGTCTGGGCGTTGAATACATCGTCGATCAACGTGGACTGGGAGAAGCCAACGCTGCAGTACGTGATGGACGGCAACACCAGCTATCCGAGCAGCCTCAGCGTCGTGCCTACCCTGAGCGAAGGAGAGTGGAACTACGTCGTCATTCAGCAGCTTCCAACCAGCCCGCCGCTTCCACACCCTTTCCATTTACATGGGCACGACTTCTTTGTACTTGGACAGGGAACGGGCACCTTCTCTGCCAGTACTTCGACGCTTAACTGGGATACGCCGCCAAGGCGAGATACAGCCACTGTACTGGGTGGAGGTTGGCTCGCCATTGCCTTCAATTCTAATAACCCTGGCACCTGGTTAATGCACTGTGAGTCCAATGCTGGGGTCCGATGACTATAATACTGGCTGACCACAGCTCTAGGTCACATCGCGTGGCACATCAGCGAGGGCTTGGGCCTGCAGTTTCTCGAGTCGCCCAGCAACATAACGCTGCCCAACAGCCAGCTGTTCGCGTCGCAATGTGCGACTTACGACACGTACTACGAGACTGCGTATTGGAAGAAGGAAGATTCTGGCCTTTAAGCACGATGCTTGCCTGAGCCAATGGAGATGGTGTCCTGGCGCGATTTATTCTGCCCCCTTGGCCTGCGCGTGCCCCTTCAGCCCTCTTGTTCCGCTCCTTTGCGCGATTCGAACCAAGGTCGGAAACCTTCACGCGGAAGAGGATGCTGCGAGTTCTAAGCCGGTTTCTAGATGTTTTTAAGTCCGGAGCCCAACTACGGCTGAACTGCCGTAAATAACCGTACTCTTACCCCGCTAGTCGGCAGTAGGATCATACCACAGCTTGGAAGTTGCACATGGCGGAACAAGACAGCACAACTGCGACGCGTAGGATTTGACAGCACAGACATAAAGCTTGAGGTAAGTACGTATCTCCAGTATAGATTCTCTGTCTCACTATCAAACTCTCTTCGCGTCTTCCAAGATGTCGCAGCCTCAGCGGACCCCTTTGGCCAGGTTCGAGGACATACCTGGCAAATTACCCGAGTCCAGTGTACCTGGCAGCGTCGATTTTCAGACTCTCGCGGATCAGGCTGTTGAGAAGCTCAACAACCTGACGCCCGACAATGTAACGGAAAGTGTTGTATGGCGAGACCTCTTAAGCTTTACCGGCACCTACCGCACATTCAACTCCCGCGCAAACGTTGTCAACACCCTGCGGGATCTCCGCCAGTCAAGGAGATGCTCAGCTTTCTATGCTCTAGGCTCGGGTGTTCGGACGGAGCGCTCTCTCAGTGACATTAGCTGGTGTGACGTTGATGTCTTGTTCGATGTACAAATCGACGGCCTTGCTGGGAAGGGGCGAGGTATCGTGTCTCTGGCATGCTGTGCAGACGGCCAATGGCGTATATGGATGCTCAGGACATGGCTGGAATGCTTTGAAGGGCATGGGCATCCAGACGTACCAGTGTCTGACGGCATAATACGGGTCGATAGCGGCAACAGTGCATCCCGTAACGCTGGGCTTGAACAGATCAACGGCAATACCAACTCGGTGCATTCCGATCTTGGTGGGATCTCAAACGGAGGCTCGCCGAACACCGACTACGATGTTGTGATCGTAGGCTCTGGGCAGAGTGGATTGTCGACGGCAGGACGCTTGAAAGCCTTGGGTATCCGGTATGTTGTCCTGGAGAAACGACCAGAAGTCGGCCATGTCTGGGCATCTCGCTACGAGTCACTGCGTTGGCACACGTCCAAACATTATGGCAGCTTGCCATTCGGCCATTCTTATCCGGACGAAGACGACTACATGCTGCCAGCCAAGCGTATCGGCGCCGGTCACAAGGCTTGGTCCGAAAAGTACGACATCAATGTACGGACAAGTACTGCCGTTGACGCAGCCAGCTACGATGCCGAGTCGCAAACATGGACAGTCCGAGCATCAACGCCTGAAGCCCAGCAAACTTTCACGACTCGCAACCTAGTACTCGCGATAGGTACCGGCCACTTGACACCAGTGGTCCCAGAGTGGGCATCTCCGGAGAAGATCGCGTCTAGCGGCTTCAAAGGGACCATCTTGCACGGGAGCAACTACAAAAACTGTACCCTGTTCGCTGGCAAGCGCGGCGTCGTCGTCGGCACGGCCAACACCGCCCACGATGTGGCGGAAGACATGGCCAATGTGGGCATGTCTACAACACTTGTACAGCGAGGCGCCACATTCATCTTCCCAGCCGAATGGCTCCATCACGCGGAGGACGTGCATTACAACCCCAATGTGGACCCAGCGGAAGCAGATCGGATCTCTTTCACGCATCCCAACAAGATCATGCGCGAGCTTGTTAACCGGGCTGTCTTCGCAGGAATCAAGGCGAATCCGGATCGCTTCGATGCACTAGAGAAGGCGGGCTTCAAGCTCGACCGTTATGGCGACATCTACAATAATCTGTATGTACGCTTTGGCGGGCACTACGTGGACATTGGAGCTTCAGAGCGCATTGCAAAAGGTGAGATCAAGGTCACATCTCGGCCAGTCAAGAAGATGTACAAGGATGGCCTGGTGTTCGAGGACGGTGGCGAGCTGCCAGCGGACTTGATCGTGCTGTGCACTGGCTTTGACCATGACTTCCGCAAGGACGCTGCACGCATTGTGGGTGCAGACGTCGCGGATCAGATGGACGACTTCTGGGGAGTTGATGCCGAAGGGGAGGTTAGGGGCCATGCGAAGATTGCTGGTCATCCGCATCTCTACTACCACGGTGGTGACATCCGCATGGCTCGTTTCTACTCGAGGTTTCTCGCGCTACAGTTACAGGCTGATGCACTCGGGCGGCCATTGCAACCTTATGTAGGCTAGAAGGGATATCTGCCAGAGTATTGAAACGACCCTCCTTCTTGGTTTCGACAGCTGTGTGCAGTACTCTGAGCCGTTCCCGTCGCTAAGGGCTGGCCTGGCCACTAAAGCGACTCACGGCTTCCCGTCCCAGGACTCGAATTCTTCATGGACCTCTTCAAAAGGAGGCAATCACCGCTCCACGATGACCGCGGCAACTCACAATGAGTTCGCTAAGGGCGAAGGTGTCAAAGTCTGTAGAACACTTGCTGCCTAACCATCAGCTGACAATTCCCAGGTGCTCAGTGTACAAGACTGCTTCGTATTCCCAGAGCCTTCCATCCGTGCATCAAGTGCATGACCTCTATGTAGAGCTTATCACCAGATCAGAACATCTGCACACCACCGCCTTTCCCGTTTGCCACCAACGCCTTGCTAATTCCATAAATCTAAGCATGACTGTCTCGCCATCCACACGGTTAACGCCCAACCTGCTTAAGCTTTGAATAATCCTTCAGCACGCCGGCCAAATGCACATTCGTCTTCTTGGCGTTCTTCTTCTCCGCCCTTCTCTTCTTGTCCTTCCGCATCTCCACCTTCTTGACCTCCCTCACCGCACTCGTAGGCGTCAGTCCCGCCCTCTCCAGCTCCACACGAATGTCATTCTCATTCGCCGGTAATCGGATCTTGGACCAGAAGTCCACAAACTCCGGGTCGACTGCTCCTTTCAGGGATGATGTGGAGGCAGGGTAATAAGAAGGGTCGTCAGCATAGACAACTCGCGGTACACCGTCCTTCTTGTTGCTTGTAAGTAGGACCTGACCATCAGCCTCCAGCCTTTTAAGCGTAGGCACGCAGTCAGGCCAGCCGTCTTTGAGTTCTTTGACGGGGATGCCTGCGGCGCTGTCTTGGCGGGCTAGGTAGCTGAGAAGTTCGTCTCCATTCGTGACATCATGTTGAGGCCGGTACTTGAAGCTCTCCTTGCCATCGATGGTAATCTGCTGCACGCGGTTGTGCGTACGCAATGCGCGCTTGATGGTCTCTTGTTTCCTCTGCAGGTCGACGGGGAGACTAAGGTATCGAATTATTTCCTCGAATGGCACGGGTGCGGCGTTCTTGCCCTTCAGATATTCGACGGTGTTTACGACAACTTTGAAGATCTCGCCAGTCGGTGCGGCAGGGAAGGCGGCATCGTGCGTTCGCTTCTCGGGAGGCGCAGGAGCTGGTTTGGGTGTTGATGTTCGAGCGGGCGCAGCAGCCGGACGAGACTGAGGAAGGTTGCGTGCTGCTGCCTCTGCGCGGTCGGCTTGGAAGCGGTTGAGGGAGGCCTGAAGGGAGGACATGCTGGTGCTGTAGTGTGTACTTGTGGATGTGAATGATACTGTGGCCCAGAAGACTGCAACAAAGCGCTCCAGGCCAGTGACAAGGGAGGCAATTGACGACCGGCTATCCCTGAAGTGAGTCGATGCCTGGAACGAGAGCGCCCTTGCTATACCAGTAGGTGGATGACTAGGCGTAGATGTGGGATGCAAGTTGCGCGATTCAGTGAGAATCCGATGCCAAGATCTCACTGTCGTGCAGCTGTGCTGCACCTGGAAGCACGTCTACTGCTTCGATGCAGAGTTGACTTGTTTAAGGACACGGTCACGAGCATGTCCATGGTCCAGGCGCGAGACATTCACCATGGCGCAGAGAAGGCTGGGTATGATGCGCAATGCTACTGCCCTTGCAGGGCAACGTATCGATAGTTTCCTCACTCGGCTGCACCGCACATTGTCAAAGACTGCCGGAGCTGAAGCAATCCTCTACACGCTGTGCTTTACCCTGATCTTCGTGCACGCAAGATTACGGCATACTCTCAACCGACAGTATGACCGCTTGGCATTCGCTGTTGCCACAAACGCGCCATCCCCGCTGCTCCCGGGGGACACGATGCTGGCTATCATTGAGCAGCCTTATACTCACCCGTCAGAGCTCTCTGCTGGAGTAAAGGCGGCTGCTGGTCTCGTGGAAGACTTCTTGGTCTTCTCACGCCTACGCGGTTTGATCAGCATATACAGCTGGGCGCGTGAGCACTATATGACGCCACCGGGCGATGCTATCCTCAAGCTACTTGTCTGGGCGCAGCTTGCTGCTAGCACGACGTTTCAGTTCCTGGAGAACGCATTATATCTGGCTAGCAAGGGCGTACTAAGAGGTAAGGCTTGGGAAGAACGTCAGCCGAGATGGTGGGTCTGGAGCAACCGATTCTGGCTTGTGCACGTACTACTTGAGGGTCTGAGGCTCCTTCGTGTACGACAGTTACGCTACAATGAGGACTTCGGCGCGAAAGTTCTGCCGCCTGGCAGTCAACAATTTGACAGCGACAGCACGGGAGTCGTGGCTCAAAGCGAAGAGCTTAAACGGAAGTGGCAGCGCGACTTCTACGCAAACGCCGGCTGGTTCCCATTGACGTTGCACTGGAGCTTTTACGATGAGAACAATAGCCCGCTCAACGATACATGGGTCGGTCTTTGTGGCTTGGTACCCGGTGTCATAGCGCTGCGTGAAGCTTGGGAAGAGGCTAAGCAGTAAAATTTTTCATCTTCCTAGCCTGTCCAGCACAATATCAGGCTCGTTAACAGGTCTGCAGGACGTTCGCTGTCGTAGTGCTGACACCATTTAGAGTGGTGATATTCGCTCTATACCCCAAAGTCCCAAAGCATATATCTGCGCCATGAGTTGCGCACCGAGGCTGTCAGCATCACCGTTACCGACCACGGCAGTGCTAGGCCGCGTAGATTCCCTCACGTCGAGTGTTGTAACCCCTCTATGCATTCTAGTCGTCGTCATGGTCAAGCTCCCCAACCTCTCCCAAGCCATTGACAGCCATCAATTTCGGGAGCATGTTCTGCGGCAGCGGAACCGTAGCGGCAGTTGGAACAGGCATCTTCATGATCTGCTCCATGGGCTGAGTATAGCACGCCGGTAAGTCGCCATGGAAGTGGACGTGAGTGAGACCGCGGATCTTGGTCAGAGAGCCAAGATTGCCGTGCAGCGTATGATCTGGGTAAAGCTGGGTCTCCTGCTCGAGAAAGCGGCCTTTGAGGTGGTCATGGAAGTGAAAGGTGAAATGCTTCAGAGCGGGTGGATCATGGTAGATGACAGCGTTGCCGATGTTGGTGTGGACAGCGCAAAGCATGGCGGCCGAGTCCGGAGTCGATCTACCAGAGCGGTACGGCTCACGAGCGTCTGCCGTGACATTGACGACGTTCGGTAACTTGGCGGAGGCGAGGTGAGAGATCATGTGCTCGAGACCGTAGATCCACTCCCACGCGTCGATTTTGACCTCAAGGCGCTCGACCTTGCGTAACGTGACCGGGCTTATAAGCTCCATGATATTGGGAACTTGGTACTGCTTCTGCATGTCATGGTTGCTGGGGAGGTCAATGATGAGTGGCTTCTTGCACAGGACTTGCAGCGCCTCGTGGGTGGCTTGGCGATTGATGAGCAGCACGGTTGGCGAGCCGCGGACTGGGTATGGTGGCTTCGTGCGCTTGTCTTCCCATGCGTTCATCATACGAGCGAGGCAGGTGCTGATGTCAGACCAGTCGAGCGAGTAGCCGTAGATGATATCTCGGATTTCTTGAGGCATGTCTAGGAAGCCCACTGGCCTGGACTCCATCTTCGCCTTGAGCTGAGTGGCCTCCGGCTCGGGAAAGCCTACCAAGGTCACATTTCCAACGTTGCGAATCTTGCGAAGTGCCTCAATGCCTTGGACGAGAGTGGTGCGGAAGCCACATCTGTAGGCTGCTGCCCAGCATGTCGTGACATGTTGGACAAGCCCCGGATTAGTGAGCGCGATTGTGAGTGACTTCAGACGGTGGCCATCGCTGAGATGCTTAGAGAGCTCTTTGAACAGATGGATGTAGCCGTGCCACGAGCCGGACAGTATGTTCGACTGGAACATATCATGCCCGGAGTCATTGATCGTGATGGACGAGACAGTGCGGAGAACCTTGGTTGGGAGAAGATCGGTGATTCGGGCAAGGTCAAGCATGCCTAAAGAGTGTTGGCAACGATCAGCATTCGCTTAGCGGCAAGCAACGCTATCTCTCAACACTCACGTACCATGATCGAAGATAAGACTGTGACCCTGACTGTATAGAACGGGATGGGCTTCGGCGTAGATCTGGCGATTCACCAGGAGAACGGTCGGGCGGAGGTAGTGGATCTGCGGAGCTTGCTCGTTGGCGAGGTTGACAGTAAGCTTGATCTTCTGATAGTAGCGGTTGAGGATGCTCTGAGCGGCTGAGACATCCGCTTTGCAGTAGCCGTAGATGATGTTGCGGATCTCCGCAGGTAGGTCGAGGAAACGGAAGACCGCGCGGATTTGGCGCTCTTGGTAGCGTGTGAGAAGACGACGGTTGAGGTTAAGGTCCGCAAGGACGATTGGTTGACGGTCGGTTCGCGGCTGCAGAGTATCAGTATAGCGTGACACAACCATGTACTGACAGGCTTCAGCGTACCGTCATGACTCGAACCACCAACAATAGAAGCCAAATCCTATTGTACAGCAGCTTCAAAGCCTGCAACGCCGGACGGGGACAATAGTAGCAACAATAGATGTCGAGTAGATGCCAATGCTGCTGTAACAATAGACCATGTATGAAAAGCAAATGGTGCTATTGTCGAAGAGGAAGCTGATCGGAAGGTCAGAAGATACAACCTCACGATGCACAAACCAAGGTCTCGGTGCAGGAAGAAAGCTGGTCCTGCATTGCCAAGCTCTAAAACCGGTTTGCAGGATTCCTGAAACCCGTGAGGTTCTGGAGTGAGCATCGAGGGCTGGGCCTGCTGGGAGACAGCGAACGTAATACGGCGCGCCATATGTCGAAAATGCGTGACGGCCACTTCGCCATATCGCTGCATAGACTCTGGCCAGCTTGTGGAACTGTTTCAACGAATGTCGACGACCACCAGAGCCCGTAATGCACTGTTGTCGTACCGCCTTGTACCGAGTATGGTGTTGGCGCCGGATGGAGAAGGCACGGTATGGCCCCACCAACTCCCAGAGGCTCCAGGATATGCGACCACGTGCGCTTCACTTCGACTTCCACATTGCATCAAGTGAAACAGTGAGCTCTGCAGGATCGCTTGTGACGTTCGACATCAAAACTTGGCGGTTCGTAGTTGCCATCGGAGGACGCGCCTGCCACCGTCGCCATGCGTAGGCAATAAGCTGGTGTGTTTCGGCACCGTCTAGGCGCCATAGAACAGTATGCACTGGTCTGTCGATGGAGAAGGCGAGCAAGCTTGAGGCTATAGCAGGGGTTTGGTACTGCACTTGCGCAACAGTCATGATGATCGAGCAGATTCATTCGATATCTTCACCGTAAGAATTTTGACGAAGATAGCTGATGTGCTGCATTCCCCTTGCGGCGGACAGCTCTCTGGAAACCATTCTCTGTGCAACGGAGCATTGTATATGGCGACAACAATAACAGAGTCCATGGGTTGACGTCTGTAGCCGAGCCGCCGATCGGAGTTCTTCCGCGAACCAGGATCTTGTTCGGTCTGCCGGCGACACCCCGCATTTGCCCGCAGTGATGTAGCTGCAGCACGCGTGCCCCATCGCCGGCATTCGCGATGAAGAATGGTTCATGGAGGCAATGTTGGCTGATATGCTTTTGTGCTTCGGGATACAAGAAAAGGTCATGATCTCGTTCTCTTCCAAGCGCTGACCGGAAGAGCTCACCATGTCGTGTAGGTCAATATGCCTTCGAACACTGAGCGAGAACACTGACACATAGTGAAGCGAAGCATTTCATTAATGATCCAACTCACCTGGTCTTGAGCGCATTGAACGCCATAACGCTTACGAACCCTAACACTGCCCTTGACTCCGAGAACAAGATTGTCTATCTTCGTCCTGATGCTGCAAAACCACAGGTCTCGCTAGTGTCGGGCGGTGGATCTGGCCATGAGCCCTCCTTTGCTGCATTCGTAGGCCCAGGTTTACTCTCAGGCGCAGTAGCAGGCACAATATTCGCTTCGCCGAGCGCCGAGCAAATTCGAAGATGCATCCTTCAACGTGTCGAGAGCAGCAAGGGCGTGCTCGTGATCGTGATGAATTACACCGGGGACGTTTTGAACTTTGGCATGGCTGTGGAGAAAGCCAAGGCTGCCGGCATGGACGTGGAAATGGTGGTCATGGCAGATGATGCCGGTGTCGGACGAGCAAAAGGCGGCAAGGTGGGCCGGAGAGGCATCGCTGGTACAGTCTTAGTGCACAAGATCGCTGGTGCGCTGGCAGCGACTGGGGCGAGCTTAAAGGATGTACACAAGGTTGCACAGCTCGTGGCAGACAATACTGTGAGTATAGGCTCTTCGTTGAGCCACGTGCATGTGCCGGGTCGTGCAGTCGGCGGTGATGAGGAGCTGAAAGAGGACGAAGTCGAGATTGGCATGGGTATCCACAATGAGGCGGGTTCAGAGAAGAGCACAGCGGATCTGCCAGGCATCGTGAAGACCATGTTGGCGTACATGCTTGATCCTTCGGACAAAGACCGAGCCTTCATGTCCATAAGCAAGTCGGACGAGACAGTGCTCATGGTGAACAATCTCGGCGGTGTAAGCGTGCTGGAAATGGGTGGCATCACCACTGAGGTCGTAACGCAGCTGTCGACGGATCATGGGATCAAGCCTGTCCGCATCGTCTCCGGAACTTTCATGACATCCCTGGTGTGTAAATTCCTTCGGAAGTGTTCAGAACCTAGCTGACCTGCCAATTTGTAGAACGGCCTTGGCTTTTCGATCTCTCTGCTCAAGCTCCAGGACACTGGTGCTGCCAAGTCTATGCTCGAGCTTCTCGATGCACCAGCGGAGTGTACTGGGTGGGCTGCCGCCATCTCAACCAGTACATGGTCTAAGCGGCCGAAAGAGACTCGTGAGAAGGGTGCTCGCGCAGATGCTGAGAACAAGCCTTGCGGCTTAGAGCTCGATCCTGCAATGGCGGCAAAGGCATTGAAGCACGCCCTTGAGCGCGTGGTTGAGGCTGAGCCTGAGATCACTAGATACGACACAGTTGTTGGTGACGGCGACTGTGGTATCGGGCTTAAGCGTGGTGCTGAAGGCGTGCTAAAGCACGTCGACGGCGCGCAACAGGAGAAAGACGCCGCGCTGTATCTCGATAAGATCATCAGCATCGTTGAGAACACCATGGATGGGACTTCAGGTGCCTTGTACGCTATCTTCCTGAACGCGCTAGCACACGGACTGCGCGTTCAGAGTGGCGGTGCGGCAAAGCAAGCCGATGCTAAAGTCTGGGCGAAGGCGCTTGAGGTGGCCTCAGAGAGTATGGGCAAATACACACCCGCGAAGCCTGGTGACCGGACACTGGTTGATGCGCTGGCGCCGTTTGTAGAGCAGCTCGGTGTGACTGGAGACATCCAGAAGGCCGCGCAGGCTGCTGACGAGGGAGCGAAGAAGACCAAAGGCATGAAGGCGAGCTTGGGTCGAACTGTGTACGTCGGAGGCAGTGGCTTCGAAGAAGTGCCAGATCCAGGCGCTCACGGACTAGCCGAATTCTTCAATGGCCTAGCTGAGGGTTTGCGATGAGCTGATGCCACGGTCGTTGTCCACATATCATAACATTCAGTTAGCGCTTGCGGTATTTTCAGCTTGACATCAGTTTGTCATCGCGCATTGTGCAATCCGCGGTGAGCAATAATGACCGAGCGAACGATACGTATTTCCTGAATCAATCGTGGGGCTGGCAACGGCTCTGCATTAGCGAACTATTGTTGCTGTGGGGCTTCGCAGTGCTATCATACCGATGAATCTGCGCCACTGAAACGCCATAATACACGGACCAACAAAACCGCACCTGATCATGACAACGCGACCTGAGGCGAACTGTGGCTGCAATGTGCCGACAGGCCTCAGCCAGCTTACGAAAGTAGCACCAAGATGACGCTGTCGCCACGCAGAAACATTTTGCTGATGAATCGATCCTTGTTGACAGGCCTCCCTCTCTTGCCGTCAGTCAGCCTTGGCGTTTCCGTCCACATCTCCTTGACGTTCTCCAGCACCATGTTGCAGTGTCTGTCAAACGCCTTTACTCGGGCGAGCAGTTTTCGATTATTGCGACAGCTGATCAAGACCTGCGTGTGGTTCCGCACTGCTGTCTGCAGGAGGGAAAGCGGTCCTGAAGTGAACTCGTGCGTTTCGAGAAGAGATAATTCGTATTCTGTAAGCTCCGATCGCGGTTTTGCTTGCAGCTCCCTGACCTGTGTTAGCGATACCACGGGAAAGGGTAGGACAGAAAGCATACTGGATCTTTACATCCGTGGTCGCCATATTCGATAGGACTCGCGTTGTCTGCGTGTGCCTGCTGTGGACGCTGGAGAGGTGGTGATTCTCAACGTACTGAAGAGCGTGTATGCGTATGTGGTCGTCAAATGCAAAGCGAATGCTCACGAGTCATGGATATGGCACGGCACAAGCAGCCGCGATCTAGCGCGCTTTGTGACGACTTGGCCCGTGCCTATCTGATTGAAGCTCGCGGTATGAACGCGCTCCAAGCCTCGTTGCACCTTGTCTTTTCTTTCCCTCAACGGCACCCTCTTCCACAGCTTCCGCTCTTGTGACTCACACCACTCCGCCGTCCACTCAGTATCTACACTCACCAAGCCCCGGCTGTGTCCGGCCGTCACCGGTCAACAGCTTGTCTTACAACCACAGCATGCTGTAACACGTGGACATCGCTGAGTCGCCTGCCGGCTCTTACGAGTACTTTGTACATCCTGTGGCGACACCTAGCCTGATCACATCATCATCATCACCGCAATATGGAAGGCCCGACAAGCGGAGATCAGGGCGGCTTTGGTGACATACCAACGCGTCCCATGAGAGTGAAGGTGCTATACTCGTTTGATCAGGACGACAAGGCAAGATGTCTTGCTCGGTTCCCGGACACGCAGCAAATTCCCGCCGTTGCAATCGACGAGACCTCGCAAGTCGGTATCATAGGCCTCCGCCAATGTATCCAGGCCATCGTCTCCGCATCGCCAGAGCTTGTCTCCATGCTATCTCACGGTGACTTCACTATCTACGCATACGACTACAGCGAGCAAGATGCTCCTCTGGTGGGCCAAGGCTTGTTGGGCAATGCTCTCGCCACCGCCGATCGAAACACCAACACCGACGATGCCATGATCACGGGACGAATCTGCCAGAACGTGACGGCGGTCTTCAGTAACGGCGTCAAAGAAACTCTGGAGGTGAAGCTGCGGCTTACGCCATTGCTGCGACCTGCTGAGACGACTATACCAAAGTTGTCAAATGGTGCCACTTCGGCAGGGTTTGACCCGAACGCATGGAATGCGTCCATGCAACAACATAGGATCCAGACACAAGCAAGTAACCCCTTCGACCTTGGGAGCAGCCTCCCATCGGAGAGCAACAATGTACCGTCATTGGAGGACATGTTCGGCCTGGGCTCCGGAAGCAGCGGGACTGGAAGCGAACAGCAGGCGCGTGGAGGCGTGGGCACAGCTGGGACCCCGACAGACTCGCCCTACGATTTCGACCCCGCATTTTCTCACAGCGCACCAGGCAGCCGAGCCGCAAGTCCAAGGATGGGTTTGGAACCCAGCATTTATAACGAGCACTTACGTCACCACAGCTTTTCGACCAACCCTGCGAATATTGCGGGTCATCTTCGGCCCAGCTCACGTGCAAGCACGCGAAGTGAAATGTCCTCATCACGCCACCAGCACCAGGCAACCAAGTCAAGCATACAACAGCATCTGCGACCACAAACAGAAGTGACATTCGATGACGATGGTCAATCCCGGAAGCGCGCAAAAGTCACCCAGACGGAATGGCGCGGTCGCTCGTCGTTCGGCGCAAAATCCGGCGACCTTCGCGTCACTGCTGCCACTGCGCATTCAGTTCAGATGCACAAACCAGTCGCACGGCGACCTGGCGCACCAAGCGCAGACCTTGAGCCGCCACCTCGAGCACCCACACCCGTCCCTCAAAGACAGTCGCTGAACAGATCGCAAGGCACATCACGTCCTACCGGCTCGCGAAGCCTTCTGCGACAGGCGTCCACAATCAGCTCCAATATTGGTGCTGACCACGAGCAATACTCTGATGCTGCCATAAGCTCACCCGAAGATCTTTCGCCAAATGGTAGCATCACCGCCGACGGCACACCGATCGATATGCCCTCTTCACCACCAGTGTTCGCGGGCATACTGCCGGGTCAACGAAGCAGCCCAGGACTGCCCACTTTACCGCCAGCAAGGATGCTCGACAGCGGCTACATGAGTGAGCGTGGCTTTCAGAGTGACAATGCTCTTGCAAGCTTCAATGACGATGACGAGGACCGTTCCCCGGACGCACAGGACCTTGAGATAGCTGCCCAGTATAGGCCACGAGACCGGAAACAGCCTTCCATTAAGCGTGAAGCTCTGAGTGACGGAACGGACTTTCTGTATGGGCATGATACGCTGCCGGGCAAGATAAACATGATAGTGCGATCCCCTGACGAGGCGGCGCTGCTCACTCAGAAGTATGCCATTAGTGCCGCACTAACAAGTGATCGTTGGGGCAGCCAAGGGTATGTTGAGACATCCGACCAATCGCCTGAGCACTGACCCTAGATGCTTCGTACAAGTATGCACGAGATTTTGGCTGATGTGTGTACGCAGACCGAAAACCTCGCTTGCGACCACAGGCAAGTTGCCGATGATGACTGCCAGTCCGGAAATGGAGCCAACACTGGCACTAAAAGCTCCACTCAGCAGGCGAGGCTCGCTTGCACTGCCGCCAATGCAACACCGTCGGGATCCTTCACCCGCTCAGGTCGAGATGTCGCAACATCGGCCGACAACAAAACATAGCACGACAAGATATTCCAGAGCGGACGGTTTTGGATCTGAAACAGGCTCGCCTGCCGCTAGTGACACAGAAAGTAGACCGCGTGGTCCCAAGCGCTCTGGATCTGGAGCTCAGCGACGGGTCATTATCCAACAACGCATGGAAGAGTCCCTAGCCAAGGGCGATATGCCCCAATTCTGTGCAAATTGTGGAGCAATAGAAACAACGACCTGGCGTAAACTTTACATTAAGCATTGTGAGGGGCAGCCATCGCCACTCGATGAAGTAGAAGGCGAAGGCGAAACTATCGGCGTCGAGGCCGTTGAGCATGATGGGAAGAGCGGAGAAGTCATCCGCTTCATCATACGGAAGTCGATGAAAGTTCGCAAGGACCTGCAACCAGGTCCTGGGTTCGAGCTCCTTACCGTGTGCAATCCTTGCGGCTTGTGGTTTACCAAGTTCCGACTGATGCGCCCGTCGGAGAAGTGGAACAAGAAGACCACCACTCGCCGGAGCAAGAAGCAGAAGAGCGGACAAGATGGCGATGGCCTTCTCACAGACGGACTGGAGCCGCAGTCTGACGCTTTCTTCACGGACCAGCTTGAGGCAGAAGACCCCTATGCACCAGGGCGAGCCCCCGGTGGTGGTTTAACCAACGCAGCCAGTAATAATCCCCGAAGTCAGGGACAGACCGCTCGTCCACGCGCGAGCAGTCTACAGGCTCAGCAAAGACGTCGCAGTAGAGACGGTATGAACGCGTCCGAGCTTAATAGCGCATTAACACGCGCTGTTCAGTCCAGCCCGGTACCCTTCAACGGCTCCCAGCAGTCACCGATCGAGATTGAGGACCTCACACCCAAGCCAACAAGACGCCTGCTCTTTCCGTCACCGCGTCGTGAGGGCGAGGTGAAGAGCCTAGACGACAATGGCCAAGCATCTCTGCACGCCACGCCGCCTTCGGGCAAAAGCGCTGTGGGCAAGCCTCCCTTATCGCCGAAGGCACATTTTGCTGTGACCAACAACAACCTGAACGTCTTCGAGGCTTTCACTTGCGAGAAAGAGAACCTTGCGCCGGGCGTGGAGCTTGATGATGGCTTGATGCGTCTGTTTGAAGGTTCTCCGAATGCTGCCTTCAAGACGCCAAGCAAAACGTCTGCGAAGAGTACCACTACTACATCACCATCTCAACAGCAGCTCAGCGATCTTCTCAAAACACCGACTCCAGCAAGGACCAATCGTAAGCCGCTTTCGCCAAATTCGAACTTGGCCCGCGGTGCGCCAATCAACGACTTCCTAACCTCGCCCTCTTCCACCCGGTACTTCCTGCGTTCAACGCCAAGTCGTCAGGCACGCAGTCCAGGCCGCCCGTCCAGTGATGACCGTAGACAGCAAGCAATAGAGATGACGCCTTTCTCTCGGAACCTGGCGCAGATGCTTAGCGACAGCGGTGAGAACGGCGCCTTCACCAGTCCGAGTCATACCTTCGATTTCGCCGAGCTACCAACTTTCACCACGCCGGGCCGCAACCTGGGAGAGATGGATTGGGGTGGGATGGATGACATACTGAGTAGCGAGTTTGCTGCGTTTGATGGCACTGGCAAAGATGGCGTGGTTCGCGAGTAGCAGTAGCTGATTAGGTGCAGAGCGTGCGAAAGTGGATTGTGATTACATGTGCCCTCTATCGAATATCGTCTTATCTCTAAACGTATCTCTCGTAAAGTGTCGGTTTATGACGGCTTACCGTACACGCATTACCACAATCGACGGGTATGCAAGCACAATCGCTGGTAGAAGTGCGCTTAGACCTGGCCCCAGTGTCACGTTGTGTATCCGAAGGACTGGCCTATGTTGCTGTCAGGGCTGCACGTCACGAATGTCAGCCTTATCGTTATTGCTGCCCTGGTATCCGTCACAGATCCAGTCTCCGGCGTAACCGTCCCGGCAAGCAAGAAACCCAACGGTCAGCGAAGTTTCGCGGCCTCAATCCGCGGAGTTCATAGAGGACTTACGACCACAGGTTGAATGACCAGCCCCCACTGATATCAATGCCCTGGTAGGAGATGCTTGATTCGGTAAGTGATTCACACTCATTGATATAGAAGCAGAGATCCGGCCCTGAGCCTTGGACTTGAGGAACCCCAATCGTCGAGCTGGTGAAGGCCTCCCGATTGCTTTCTTCTGTAACCTCACTACCGGCAAAGCAGAGCTTCAAGCCACTGTTGGTCGTGGTGCAGGTCGGACTGCTCGCGGCGGAGGGCGTGACACAGATACTGGGGAGCGTGGTTGTACTCGATGCCGAGCTGATCGTGCTTGATGTGCTTGCTGTGTTCGATGTGCTCGATGGGGTAGTTGTGGTGGATGTGCTTGGGGTTGAAGTCGTGGACATGGTGGTATCCGAGGCGGCAGGACATGAGCCGCGGACCGTTTGATTAGCGGCGATGATTGAGGGACACACATTTGCTGCGGCAAAAGCCGTATACGGAGAGGCGCGCGGAGTTCACGATGGTGTATGGACAATTGCCCGCTTCTGGCGGGTCCATGGGGAAACACTCCCAATCGTTGTCGGCAGTATCGTATTGCATGGTAAAGAAATCCCATCCAAAGCTGGCACAGTCGGGGAGGGTCAAACATGGGGCATCTGGTGGATTACATTCCTCAAATGGGTCGTAAATCCCAGTGTATTGAGCCGTTACGCCAGAACCAGCAAAGAACATTGTGTACGCATAGCATCCTCCGCAAGATGAGATGTCTTGACATGCCGCCGCGCTGAAGGGGGGTGGCGTGGGAGAAGCGACAGTGGAGCTGGATGTGCTGGAAGTGGTGGATGTGCTGGATGTGCTGGATGTGCTGGTTGTGCTGTGTGTGCTGGATGCGCTGGCTGTGCTTGGGGTGCTTGAGGTGCTCGAGGTGCTCAAAGTAGGGTCGCTCGCTGTGGTAGGGGTGCTGGAAGTGCTGGGATCGTCTGAAGAGCTGACGACCGGCGATGAAGTGCTAACGATTGGCGAAGAGCTGATGACTGGCGAGGAGCTGCTGACAACAGGCGAGGAGCTGCTAACACCGGGCAAAGAGCTGACGACCGGCGAAGAGCTCAAGACCGGCAAGGAGCTGATGACTGGCGAGGAGCTAACGACTGGCGAAGAGCTGCTCACGCCTGGCGAAGAGTTTCTCCCTAATTGCGTGCCTAACAACGACGCGCTCGAACTAGCCGAAGTCCGGGCCGAAGAGCGCACGCTAGAAGTGAACGACGGACCGTTGCTAGACGGCGCACGAGAAGATGAGGAGCCCGAACAGCTGGTGATTGTGACCTTGGGCGTGACTGTGACGGTAACGGCGGATAGGGTTGTCTTTGCAGTGACGCTGGTCACCGGTGTCGCGGTCTTCGAAATGGTAAGGGGGCACGTTGTGGTGGAGAGCGGGATGCTCAAGCAGCGGCATGCGCTTGAGATTAGCGAAGACGCTATGGTCTTGAGAGGTGAGGGTATGGACAAGGAAGAGGAGGAAGAGCTTGGCAGACTGCGCTTGTACTTGGCATTGACAGTTGTCGGCGTTGCGCAGACGGTTATTGTCGAAGTAATAGTGCCGGTAACGGTCACTGTACTCGGCGTGATGGTCGCTGTGCTCACTGCTAACGTTTTAGATATTATTCTGTGCTTCATGATCGGCAGTACCCTTCTCGTCGGTAAGATGTGAAGCCATCCGTACGTGGAAGTGGTACTGGTCACGGTCGAAGTCACGACCTGAGGTCCAAGAAATGAAAAACAAAACGGCGTTGCGCTGCTGCGTGCCTGTACCTGTGACACTTCACAGTTGATCAATTCACATACGGCCGATGGGAGTGCGGAAAGAGAAGTGACAGAACTTTGGGCAGCGACACCGACGAGCAAAGGAACCAACGAGACGACCATCTGCTTCGCAGAAAACCCCAGCGCAAAAGAGTGTGTCGCCGTCACGGAGACGGACGAGTAGAGACTGAAACGTAATGCGAACGTTACCTGCACAACATACAGCACCAATAATCTCCACATCGTATCTCCGGCAGACTGTAGCGGACGAGACGGTCAGGTGTGCCTACGACTTCCGTCAAAATTCCTGCGTCCTTGCACTTGACATTCTGTCTGAGCCAGGAGTAAGACAGTGTGGGATGAGGGACGTGGTGCTTCAGCTGGGTTGGGCCAAGCCTCGAAGCGCCACCAGCGCGCTGTGGAGGCGCGGAGAGAGGAGGTCCTTTGGGGGTGCTGTGCCATGCTCAAACTAGGCCACGTGCGAGATACGCTCAGGCTAAAGCTGCCTTTGTCGAGGTTGCATCTACAGCACCTTGAGTTTCCAGCAGCGGGACCACCAGTGGCTCCCCTCGTGAAGAGATCGTGTTGTGTGTAATCTCCTAACGATTATCGTGGAAGAAAATTGGCAACAGACATAATTGTCGTAGGTCTTCATCATCGCGACAGACAAGCTGTGCGGTGCATGCATTCGGGTTGCTGTTGTGATTAAGCGCAATAAGCATCGTGGAGAAGCTGCACAAGCGATGCTGCCGAGGGCCGCTACTCCCAAGAAGGAAAGAGGAAGCTTACGTTCTGGGATCTGTCTGCACCTGTGCTCACAAACCCTTGCGTTTCGGTACCCAGACGTGGCTACGGTTAAGCCTGTCAAGCTCACACAGTTTACCGGGGGTGGGCTCGTAGCGGCGACGCACTCGAGCCATACTCCATAGCGTTCCCATCATCACGGCCTACGGATAAAACTCCTGTTCCTGCTCACGCTCTAGCAGTACCTCGTAAAGCAGGCGCTCTGCTCTGCATGCACGAATGCAGCATACACTCTATCTCACAACCAACAGACAAATGCAAGCTCGCTTAGTCAGACTCTAGATTAAGGTAACAGGCAGGCCACCAGATCCATTACGCCTTCCCACCCGTCAATCTTTCCCTTTCCTCCCCGTCCCCATCCTCATCTTCATCCTCATCCTCGAGCGCAAACATCGTCTCGCCCTCCAAACTGCGTCTCGACAGCGGGGAAGGCTTCTGCGGCATCGGTGCAGGCAGAGGCGAAACATCTCGTCTCATATCCCTATCCCTTTGCCCGTCGTAAACGGGCGGCTTGCTGGCACTGTTCAGATTACCATTCGTATTAGTGCCGCCATTGGCTTCCGGGTCGTCGAGGTCGATGTCGAAGCTGTCGCGGATGGACGCGATTTCGAATCCGTCGTCGTCTTGGGCGAGCTAATTAACATAGCACGTCAGTCATTCCAGCTTTTTGGTATGGTAGGAGCGAACAACGTACCTCCTCCGACATAGCAAACCGCCGATTGTTCGCCGTCGGCCTCCACACATACGCAACAAACGCCACATCAACAAAATATACCAAATTCAACCACCCATCCAAGATGAACCACCGCGTCTGCCAATGCTTCGGCACAAAGTCCTCCTCGTTCACCCCCGCAAAAGTCCAACTATTCACGAAGAAGAAGATGAAGATCACGATGATGCTGCCGAGGATGCAGTACCACAGTTTGCGGTACATGCCCGCTTTCACCGTCTGCTTGCGCTCCTGTAGGTCTTTCATGGTGAAGTTGAGGGAGTTCAATGTCCAGACGTAGAAAGCGGTTAAGGTGCCTGCGAGTGGCAAGACGACGAGTAAGACGAGTGGACCGGCGTTTTCGGGCGTGATGCTGAGGGAGGCGATGGCGTAGATGACGCCGAATACGAAATGTGCGATCGCGAGCCAGCGGACGTAGATCATTGTCTTGCCGAGGGAAGGCTTGACGACGCCGTAGCCCATGCAGACGATAAGCAGCAGGAAGAAGGAGAAACTGTTGCGGCCTGCGGAGAGGATGGAGACGACGATGAGCAGCGCTTTCGCCCCGACGTTGAGCCCATGTCGGTTTTGGTAGTCGTAGAACAGCCAGGTCATGAACATCTCCACCACGAGGAAGATGAGGATGGCGGTGATGTAGTTCTGAACGGGGAGGATGTCGCGACGGTTGAGGTAGTAGAGCGCGCCCCAGGCGAGGGCGAGGAAGGCGTAGACGATTGTTATGGCGGCGTAGAAGGGTAGTTTTGCGATTTGCGCGGCGGGCAGCTCGCCAAAGGCGTTGCGGAACTCCACGGCGCCGGTGTAGTCTTCCCCGTTGAAGCCGTAGGTGCCGACGCAGTAGTAGCCGGTTTTCTTGATGGGGTAGTTGATGGGTGGTGGATCGTTGAGGTGGATCGCTTGGGTGATGATGGCGGAGTTGCTGATGTCTGTTGCGTTTGGGGCGAGGACAAAGGCGCCGAGTTGGTCTGAGGTGCAGAGTTGCGCGTCGACGCTAGACTGGTCGCAGATGTAGATTCGTTCTTGAACACCGAGTTCTTCGTCCTCTTCCAGAGCGTAGCCGACTAGAGGCTTATCTGCCCATTCGAAGATGACGAGGCTGACGATCGGGTCGCCTACGATGTCGTCGGGTTTGATGAACTTCGTGAGGATGTAAGGGGATGTGTTGCCGCCCCATCCTTTCTTGCTGTACATCCCCGAGCATACCTGCCGGTTGTACTCGGATTGATCGATCTTGGACTCCAGCGCGCATACTGTTGTCGCTAGTAGGAGTAGCAGAGCTGCCGGTAACTGTCGCCATCGTGGAGGAGTCATGGCGTGCGGTATATATGACAAGGTATGCCTCGAGACACTCCGTCTCGCGCAAGCTCACAAGCACATGTCCTTTGTCCTGCAGTCCATATGCCGGCAACCAGCCATCCACCAATAGTGACGTTGCGTAATGTGTCCTTATAAGGTCGCTATGCTTCCACGTTGTGCTTCCTCGTCCTATGCGGCTTGTGGACTCAATGCGACCCTTTCCACGCGTACTCTGAAACATACCCGTTGCTCGCAGCTTGACACCTGATCGTCAGCGCTAGTACCGTTCCGAGCCAGCGCCACACATGCGATCCGCCAACTGCGCCACACACGCGCGCGCAATGACGATGCGCTCGACGACTGGAGCTTGGAAAGCATGACCGAAAGCAAGGCAAGAGCAAACAGCCAGCACTCCTCTCTGCAACCCACTACAAATACTGCATTGCGGTCGCGCCTGCCTCGCGAACACTCTTGCCACTCTTGCGACTGGCTCAAACAGTGTTGCGACGGGCAATTGCTTTGACTGACTGCAAGCGCGCGGCGTTTCAGATTCCTGAAGCGGCTCTCCACGACCAGTTGTTGACCGCCTGCTATTTACGGCACGCAGTGACTACCACCCTTCAACAACGGCCTATATAGGTCGACTGGCCTGCTGAGAGACCCTCGCACCCATCGGACACCATTTGCATCCTTCTCAATTCATCACCAACAACCCACCATCAACAATGGCCGCCGCAGTAGGCAAATACGCCGCCCAAAAGTTCCTCAGCAAACAATTCAAAAACTACCAGAAGAAAGACGTCAACGGCGGCGATGTACGTCTACCAACACATCCCGCACCGCATACCCCTCTCCTAACAATCCAACGATAGGACCCCTACTTCGCCCTCCTCCCCGACCCGCGCCGCCCCGGCAAGTACAAAAAAGTCAAGCGCCAAATCCCCACCTACATCCCCGAGCACGACGCGCTCATCCTCGCCTCCGCCAAGAAGTCCGCCTACCGCCTCGACATGTGCCTGTTCAACCTCTTCGGCATCCGCTTCGGCTGGGAAGCCGTCATCGGCCTTATCCCCGCCGCCGGCGACGTCATCGGCGTCGCGTTCGCGTATATGGTGTTTCAGAAGTGCTGTCAAGTGGAGGGCGGGCTGCCGAGTGATGTGAGGATTCGCATGCTCATCAATATCGTCGTCGACTTCGTGGTCGGGTTGGTGCCGATTTTGGGGGACTTGGCGGATGCGGCGTTGAAGTGCAATACGAAGAACGTGCGGTTGTTGGAGGTGTATCTGGATAAGAAGTACAAGCCGTCGCAGGAGGTTGGGGGGAGGGATGGGAGAGATCTGGGTGGGGTGAGCGCGGCGCAGCGGAGGAAGAATCGGCAGAGTGGCATTTATCATCCGCAGGACCCGCCGCCGGCGACGGTGTTTGAGGATTTTGAGGAGGAGGCGCAGGAGCGGAGACGGTATATGCAGGAGAATGATGCCTTGCCGTCGCCGGCGAATGCGCGGGTTGCGCCGCATAGTCAGAGTAGGGGTGGCTGGTTTAGTGGTGTGAGGGGGAGTGGACGGACGGGAGGTGACCAGACGGCGCAGCAGCCGCTCGGCAATCAGGAGACTGGCTCGGTGCGTCGGTAGCCGCGATGATAGTTCAGAGTCATGTGTGCATGGTTGTTATTCTTTGAGCGATAGGTGTTCTGTGGCGCGTTGCTGCGGGGCGGCAATTGAGCAGTCATGAGCGTACGAGCGTAACCAACATAATGTTTTCATCAACGCGTGCATCATCTTTCGTCCCATCAAAGTCGTCATGTTTGCCGTCTTCTAGAAGACGATGCTACCATCCTCGCGCTCCCATGCCTCAGTTATGCTCGTATCGAGGCGATCCAATGCTCATGAGATCCGTTCGTCGACTATACTACGCTTTGCAGTCCAAAACCATCGTAGTATCGTCGTTCCTTCTCATCCACCCCATACTCACCCTCGTCAAAGCATCCCCTCACCAAACTCGGCGGCCTCGAATCCGACTCTCCACCCACCCTACGGCTTCGTCTCCGCCGCGGGATCCACCAAACTCCCCGCCGCCGCACTGGGGCCCACCCCGGCCCCCTTCATCCTCAACTTCACCATCCCGCCCGCCTCCCCCCCACTCTCCGACGGCGGCGTACTACACCCCGCCGGCGTCCCCAACCCGGACATCGGAGACACAGTCCCACTCCCAATCCGACTCCCCACCATCGAATCCGGGACGGGGATCCGAATATCCTCCGGGCTGCCGGGAATGATCTTATGCGGCAAACCGGGGATGTGGATGCGTTTGGCGGAGTTGTTGTAGGAGGCTGGAATCACTTCGATGATTTCGTCGCGTGGGAAGGAGAGGGAGGGGATGTCCGTTGCGGAGCAGGCCATGAGGTAGCCGTAGAGGACGCGCAGGACGGATTCGTGCGCGATGATGAGGAGGTCGTTTTGTTCGCGTTCGAGCTCGAGGATGATGGGTTCGAGGCGGACGGCTAGGTCGTGGTAGGACTTGATTAAGTTGGTTAGCATGATGGGCGAGGTGGGAGGGGTTGGAGGGACTTACTTCGGCGCGTGGGTAACGGTGGTGGTACGGATCGAGCTCGTGCTTCGCTACTTCTTCGGGATACTCTTGTCGTATCCGCCGCTCGGACATCTTCTCACAGACGCCAGGATTCAAGGCACTCATCTGGCTACGTTGCCGTACCTTGTAGCCCAAGTTGGCAAGGTACTCGCTCGTCTCGATGGTCCTCCTTCGCGTGCTGGTCCAGATGGTTAGAGGCTTCAGGGCTGTGCTCTCCGGTGCACCATGCCGGATAAGGTTCTGCCGCTCGCTCTCGCGATGCGTAAGCAGCGTGTCCGACATCTTGCGGGCATAGTCTTCGCCCTCCGGACTTAGAGAGGCGTCGTTCTTGAAACTATCCTCGTCTCTGCTTGTGCCGGCACGGACAAAGTACGTCTGTCGGCTCTTGATATGCAGATTCAGCAGGTAAAAGACGATCCGTTGGCTCAGATACCCGAAGGAGCAATTATTGACAATCACCCGTTCGCCGGCATTGATCATCTTGACGTAGTGCAACTCCGATTCTTCCATACTCTCATAGTGCGGTATCCGTGCGGCGATACGCTTGAGGTAGTCTTGGACAGCGTCTTCAGGATCCCAGCCGATGTAATCCGGTGAGCTGATTTTCACCGACCGCACGTTCTCTTCGATGATCTTCTCGTCTGTACACGCCGTTTCGATGAACAGCGTCTGCACGTTCTGCTTTTCAAACTCCTTGGCCAGCGCCCGTCTTCCGGATGCGAGAGGATTGACTGCATCGTAGATGGCTATCTGACCATTCTCCTGGTACAGGAATTTGAAGATGTCTTCTCGGCACTTCTTCGTGATCTGATTGCGTAACACAACCGAAGACTCACTGGCATTGGCGAAGAAGTAGTCAACAGGGATCTGGTCCTTCTGGCCAACGTGTGCTCGACGATAGTCACCCAGGTGAAACACGTGGGTCTTCACTCCTAGCCAACGGAGATAGCGGGCAAGCGCAACACTGATATGCGTCTTGCCACGCGCAGGCAGTCCAACGGTGGCGATCACTATTCGACCCGAGTGGAACAAGCGACCAGACTCTGTAGAGTACAGTTGAGCCGGTGCCATAGACTCCTTCTCGGGTAGAGAATGGATTGCATCAACATAGGTGCTGGTCCGCCGCATATAAGCGGGCGAGCTGGCCGCCAGATCGGCCGTGAGGAGGGTGTCCATGTCGAAGAAGGATCGAGCGAGATAGCAGTCCCTACAGTCTCACAGAAATCCAATCGGTTGTGGGCATACGGTGGAACCTAGCTGACCTCCTTGAGGTAGACCTTACGTGGTGGAATTGGACCGAGCAGGAGGGGAGGGGGAGCCCAAGGACCGGGACTGTTTGCTCGTGGACCAGGAACTTCAAGGAAAACAAGAGGCAACGTCTGCGCAGCGGGAACGGTTCGATGGCTAATAAACGTTTGGTACTTGTGAGTGCAGTGCCTCAACAAATGCGGAGCAAATCGGATGGAAGCCTGAGTGATATCGGTGTTGTCGTAGTCGACTGCTTGAGCCTTGTTACTGTTCTTGAGTATGAAATTGTTCTTGTGCGACGCACACTTGGCACTTGAACAGCTCTGGATGCAGGGTTGTATACAGTTGTAGTTGCTTCAAGTGTGTGGGAAAGTAACTCTTATCGGCGGTCACGTCAAGTAAGAGGTGCGGTCGGGGGCCAATGGGAAAGCTTCCGCATCTGCGATCTAGCGCATATTTCGGGGTAGAGCTTTCGCAGGAGAGACGAGGTCGTGTGCCTGCCTGTACTCAATCACCTACCACTACTCCTCCGCCATCGACCGTCTCTCACACACACCAACTGACAAGCACCATCGCTCCTATCCTCATCTGGACTGGATTGATCTGCTGCGTGAACGGAAGGATCGAACGAGATGGCCGCGCCTGGCCTGGAGAAGGAGGTTCTTACCATACCCGTCACCAACCCGTCCGCACCTCCTCTCGATGTGACAAAGCCCCCATCAACCGGAACCAATGCCATCTTCGACACATTGTACGATACATATAGCTCCTTCCTGGACCGGAGAGCGGCGCTGGGCTTGAGCAACCCCGGCACGGTGGAGAGCATCGCGAAAGAAGTGCAGCGTGACGTCTTCCTCTCCGCGCAAGCCTTCTCAGGCCTTCGCGCCGAGCTGAACAAGTCCTTCTCCCTCAACCCCATCTTCCAAGTCAGCCACGCCTTCTCCACCGGCTCGCAGTTCCTCTCACCCTACACCTTCCTCGCCCTCTTCGGCACCGACAATGTAAGCCAGCACGCATACTCTACTGCGCCATCTTGCCGCTAACAGTATGTATAGGTCCTCCTCCAAGGCCAAGTCGACTCCGACGCCTCCTTCTCCGCCCGCTTCAACCTCCGCCCCCACCCCCGCTACACCTTCAAATCCTCCGTGCAAATCCAACCCTCCTCCGGCATGTCCCCCGGCGGCGCGCAAGTCTCACTAGAGCAAGACTACGTCGGCGACGACTTCAGCGCCTCTCTTAAGAGCATCAACCCCAGCATACTAGAAGGCGGCCTGACCGGCATGTTCATCGGCTCGTACCTGCAAGCAGTGACGCCCAGACTGGCACTCGGCTTGGAAGGCGTCTGGCAGAAACCCGGCGGCGAGATGGGACCTGAGGCGGCGCTCAGCTACGCCGCGCGGTACAAGGGAAATGACTGGATAGCGTCCGCGCAGCTCTTGACGCAGGGTGGTCTGCAGGCTTCGTACTGGCGGCGGCTGACGGATAAGGTGGAGACGGGCGTGGATGTCAACTTGCAATTTGCGGGTCTGTCCGGGGCGAATGCGATGATGGGTGGAATGCGGAGAGAAGGCACGGCGACGTTGGGCGCGAAGTACGAGTTCAGTCGGTCCATTTTCCGCGCGCAGGTGGATAGCCAGGGGAAGATCGGATGTTTGTTGGACAAGGTCATTGCGCCGCCGGTGAGGGTGACGTTTTCGGGGGAGATGGATCATGCGAAGGTGAGCACCCGAATACATCGAAACCTCTACTGGGACAAACCCGTTGCTAATGCCTGTTATAGAACGCCGCCAAACTCGGCCTAGCAGTCTCTATCGAAGCCTCCGGCGAAGAACTCATGGAGCAACAAGACAGGGTCTCGCCCGCTGCGCCGCCCTTCTAAAACGCCAAACCGTCCGCAGCGACGGCTTTGGAATGGCGGACAAACTCTTCACTCTGTACACTACACCATGTACATTCTCTGCAGCTCGCTGTAAGCTTGCTGTTCTTCGCCATCTAGATATTTGAGGTTGGTATGGATGACGGTTGTTGTAGCATAGCGCGGCGTGGCGAAGTCGGGCGCGCTTCGGCTGCGCAAATCGCAGGAACAGCGCGTGAAGGGAGCACGTCACGGTCATTGAGAGGATGGTGTACTGCTGGGAGCTGTACAGATAGTAATACATTCGGAATGCAGCCGAAGCGTTCCGTTTGTGATTCAAGTCCGCATGCCTCCTGTCTCTTGCCGTTGTCGCGGTCCGTTCAAGAGGAAGGGTGAGTGCCCATTGCATCCGTACGACTTTCTACCCACGAGCACCCAGTCCAGAACTACAGCCTTCTCGTCGCTGCCTCGCGCCACATAGACTAGATGCACTTGCCTACGTTTCGCACAAGCCCTTTACCATATGCACTAAGACACACTTCCTCATCTCTTCCCACGCTCGTACAGTCGTCACTCACGCGAATCCAGTTCGTCGAAGACCGACAGATCCTCTCCCAAAGTCTCGCGGACCCAACCAGACCCATTGAATCTATTCACAAACTCGTCAGTAATATAGATGTCTTGTCCACACGGTGGGGTCTTGAGAACATGCCGATCAGCTTCTGCCGCGCTTACATGCCGATTCTCGCTTCGTCGTCCCCCTTCTTCTGCGGCATGTGCTGCGAGTGGCGAGTCAACCCTCGTCAGCGCAGTGTCGACGGACCTTGGCCCGAGGTGATCTGGGTTGCTGCCAGGCGGAGGACTGCAGGTGGCGACATATCCATCCATGGAAGAGATGGTGCGGGTAGGTCGGACAACCGTATCGAGACCGATGGCGTGTTCCTTGCTCCAAAGATGTTTGCGCGTCCATGTGTATTTAGGCAGCGCTAGACGAGATGGTGGTGTTTTGATCAGTACGTATTCAACCCCATCCTCCCAGCGAGTGTCTCCCAGGTGATGCTCTTGAACACGCTGCACTTTTGCCTGACGGTCATTTGGAGCGTGAAGCCTGAGATTCTCCAGTGCCGACGTGATGGGTACTTGAGGCGGATCAAGCGCTTGATGCTCCTCAACTGACACTTGGTTGTCCGCACGGACGGCGAACCGAACGCGTTTTGCCGCCGGCGGTGACGATTCCTCCAGAGGTAGCTGGACCGGTCGCTCAAGTCCAGGCGATGTCTCTTCATCACAGTCCGCGCTCCGCTTGCGTTTTTGCTGCACGGGGAGCTCAACATCACCATCTCCCTCCCCGACCGCTGGAATCACGTCATCAGCAAACCGCCTACGATTCGCTCTCCGGAAGATATTATGCTTCGCCCGTTCGCCCCACAGCCAGTCGTCAACCTCCGCAAGCGTAGCTCCGGTCCTCTCGGCCGCCCACCTTATGGCAGCCCTAAGCCTGGCCTGGACAGTCGCAACGCTCCGGAAGACGGGAAGTGGACGTCCGGCGTTTGCCATGTCGAAGATGTCCTTGTCCCTGTATCTCTGCGCCAGCCGAAGCAGGTTGCCGTAGCAGAGCATGTTTGGATCGGCGTGGAAGAGCAGCTCATCAGGGAGAACGTGTTCGGGCGGGGCTGCACGGTATCGCTTGAATGAGGCCTTGGTCGCTTCTCGGACGGTCTTGGGGTCGAAGTCTGCGTGTGAGAATCTGTATGTTAGATAGGTTATTGACTCCGGTTCCACGGGCTGAACCTGGCATGGTGGTGGCCGCTCCTTTTGGTGGGAGCGCGGATCGTTCATGATCTGGTCTTGTCGGAAGAGCGAGGCTGGTTCCACTAATGATATCTCCCATGCGATGACGTTTAATGCTTGGAGACTTTGAGCAAGCTCAATGTCCTTGATGTTCCACGAGAGGGAAAAGCGGTAAATGAACTGTACCTACTGTCTCTGGAGAATGGACTACACTTCTGGCGCGAGATGGGGACGGGATACTGGAAGCAGTCGTTGGATTTGTAGCGACGAAGCCAAAGTTCTGATGATCGTGGGATCCGATGTTTGATGCAGAGAGCTATTGTGCTTTGTCGCAAAAGGTGTCACTCTCTGGTGAACTTACTGTGAGCCTACGCCACCACTACACCATTTGACGTCGACAAAGCCTTTGTTGTGAGCAGGGCATGGTTGTCGTACACGTTGCTCTGATGTCTTTGGTAGTTTCCGTCGCTGACAACACTTCTGCGGCAGGAGGGTTTCGGTCTTCAGGTCTGATGAAGGAGCGGTACAGCAGCTGTCAATGCCGAATTGCCGATCGTTGGCCATCACGTATCACAACAAATGTTGCGGAGATCCCAGCCATGCATCATGGACTGTCTTGCTTGAGCAGGAGCTCTCATTCCATGTGTGACTTGATGATTGAAGAAATGGTATGAAGAAATGGTATGATGTGGATGTAAGGTAACTGTCACAGAGTGAGCCGGAACTGTGGTAGCGCCGCGGTCCTGCTGAGTGCTATGCGGTAGTATCCCTCTGATCTATTCGTAAGCATACTAAGTGCAACACACATGATGTGTTGGTCTATGTACTCTCCGCATCAAGTCCATCCTCGACATGGGGCGCGGTTGAGGTGGACAAGCGGCGGAGACCAGACATCATCGCAATGGACGAGACTGGGGAATCAATATAGCAGCTCTGTCCACACTCGAATACCCTGGTTTTAGGCGGTCACGAGCTACCCGCAGTGATAATGTCAGCTGTGCCTTCAATTTCGAGCAAATGTGATTAGTTATCTATCGTACCTCTAGCAATTTTCGCTGCAAGCCAACCACCAAATGAGAGACAGAGCAATGGCTTGCGCTGGTGGCACTGAGAAGCGAAATCAGTCAAAGCTCGTCCGCTCGTATCCAGGAGTCGAGCACAAATATGTGCCGCTTTCTGGCTGAGAGGATGTTTGTTATGCCTGCGCTACTCTGAGGTAGGCAAGCTGCTCGCAATCGAGGCGAGTGCCAGATTGTTTGCTTAGTTGGTTGGGTTGAACAATCACAGAAGCAGTTGACGTTCAGAAAAGGAACGCGCTTCGCTGCCAAGACTCGACAGAATCAGTCAGCAAGTAGCTTAAAATACACCTTTCAGCCCTTGCAGGTCTTGGCAGCACAGCCAACATCTGACATTAGAACATATGCGGCGACTGCTAACGTGAAGCTAACGGTGAGGCTTATCTGCGCTTCCTTGAACGCTACAATCCTGACTGTAGCGTGGACCGCAAGGATGCTGTGACGGCCCGGGCATCTCACAAATCGCAGGGTGCCTTGTTTGCGCAGCATGGCTAGACCGACTTCGTTCGTAGGGCCAACCAATGCCTAGTGGTCGACCAAGGGCGCAGTCAGACCACCGATCAAAGCTGTGCTCAGATCGGTGTAGCGACGACCCGTCAATCTCACGCTGGCAGCCACATCTCAGCAAGGGACAGTAGGTATATGAGTATACTCCGTTCCTTGCTCCTTTGTATCGACCATCATCACACCAACAAGCAAGCACAGCAGCACAGCCAAGCAAGGGTTTCCATTCATTCACTTCACATTCACTATTCCAACCCAACAGTCTTTCCATACCGAATCTCACCACGCAATAAACCAGTAAAACAGCAGTCATGCAGTCCTTCACTACTCTTGCCACCATCTGTCTTCTCGCCATCGGCGCGCTTGCCCGTCCTCACCCCCAAAGCGACAGCAGCAGCCCTAGCTGGGGCTACTGCTTGACCAAGTCCGAGGCTCAGCAGATTGCGACGAACTACGGCGTCCTCATTGCCAACTACAGCACGGCGCTCGCCGACGCCGCCCTCTCCCCAAACTTCACCGATTACTCCGAGTCCGTCAACACCCTCATCAATCAGTGCTCACAGGGTGCGGCCGCCCTGCAACTGCCGCTCTTGGCACCGACTTTCACCAACCGCACAACTTTCGAGATCGGTCAGGGCCAGCAAGAGCCCATCAACTTCAACCAGCTCAACATCTGGCACAGCTGTGACACTGTCATCATTCGCTGGGAGACTACCAACACTACCCGTCTTAACACTACCCGCCCCGTCATTGGTATGATAAGCATGGAGACCATTGCCGCTCCCGCCGGAAACCTGTATCCGTACTACATTGACACCGTCTACTCGGAGTTCGACGCCGGTGCTTGGCTCGAGAACCTGCAGGATGCGGGTATCTGCTCCACCAACACCACACTCAAGGCATGATCTGGTTGTGAATTGGTTGCAATGTCACGCCAAGACGGTGATACGAAGGCACGAAGCACGCTCTGGGCTCGTAACGGTTTTGCCTATGGGAGGCATGCAGGATTATTGTACATACGAACACTTCTACAACAGCGCGGCGTTGGATTGGTGAGCCAGGTGTGAGAATTCTAGTTTAATCCATTAATCCATCTGCAAAAAAGCTTTCCACCTCCCTCATTGTGCCACCGCTCACGCCACCCCAGACGCTTAGTCGTCTATTGCAGACACTAGTAGGTTACAACCTGTTCGCGTAGTTTCTCCTACTAGTTGTCGCACAACGTGTTGGAACGGTTGGACCCGCCTTTGGAGGCTGACGCCCAACAACGTCAGCCATGTCAGCGCATCTGCCTGCAGCTGAGTCGTCGAGCAGAGGTCTATGAAGAAACGACTCGCAGGCCTAAGACGGCTCGTTCGGGTGATGATGGCTCGCTGATTGTGGGCCAGCTCAAGCCAGACTGTGCTAAGCGCACATCAGCTGGCCTCCATGCCGGCCAGCGTGCTACGCTCTTTCGCAGTTGCAACATCGGCCTTCACTTCTTTTTCGTAAGCGTGCCGATGACGTGAGGCACAGTGTCGTACTTCCCCTCGCCTTCGCCTGGGCGCAGCTTGACCTCTTCCCAATCGCCGGCTTGCAGCAACCTAGTTTCGGCAGTCAGCACCGATATGACGTTGGAGGGCTGGTGTAAAGCAGTACGAACCACTCATCGGTTGGCCTTCTGATATCACACCCATTAAAGAAGTGCGGCCAGATGTGATTGAGGGCCGCTGCGCGCTATCAATCAGCATAGGTTCAGTTTGATGAAACGAGGCGTTGCCCACCCTGCCACGTCTCTACAAAGTCTCCGGTATACTTCGTTCGCACATGCTCGTATACGAGCCAACGACCACCGGGCTTGAGCAAAGGATAAAGCTCCTTGATAATGCGCTGAGGGGTCGGGATGCTGCAAAGACATTGCACAGTAATGATGGTGTCTATGCTATTAGGCTGGATCCCTCCCTTCGTACTCAGCTCTTCGGCCCCACAGCCTATGATCTCGTACACGTCGCTTAGTCCGGCGGCCACAGCGTTCTCACGGAGAGCCTTTGCTCGATTTAGTGCTTGTCCGCGTGCTACAACCTACATTTCTGGACCGACCTTGTGCATCCCCCGATTCGGCTCGACACCATAGATCTTCGTGATATCCTTGTTGTTGGCACGAGCGAACAAGTACAGCCATTGACCCGAGCCCGGGCCTATGTCCAGGCAAACGCCACGAGCACTATTCTGTAGCAGTGGCATGACTTTGGGTGCGGCGTTCTCGCGTGACCTGGGCCCAAAGAAGACCCAGAACCTTGCGAACCAGGCATCCTTGAAGTCATCGAAGCTAAAAAAGGGTTTGAAGTTGAAGCTTAGTATCAATTCGATAATGGTCGGTATCAGATAGTAGGCTGAATAGGACATGAGTAGCAGGGGCCGGAGCAAGTTGAACGGCCCGGCTTCCTGAGCATTACCGGCCATCTTGATACAACGGAAATGGGGCGACAAGTTACTTGAAATGCTAGAGCGTACGACAAGACGTGTCGTTCGTTGTCAAGCACCACGATGCTTGGCCGAGGTTGAAGCTGTAGGCTCTCGGCCCATGCCGCCTTCATCACTTGCAAACGCCTATCTACCGACACACTTGAATGTATGACCCCAATTAAGAGATATTTGGAAGGACTACAACTTTGCTCGGGCAGGCTTTGCAGGGAACTACCTACCATGACTGCCATCGGAAGGGGTAATGCCGCCGTATCCGTCACCCCTACCGACCTCGTCTTCGGCTTGGCCGTCGTGTTGGTCTTCATCTTTATCTTCATCATCATCATTCTCGGAGAAGGGCCCATCACTGTCATCCTGCTCCTGTTCACGCATACCATTCGCTTCGCGTTCCGCCCCAGGATCCTCACCTTTCTGTTCTACCGCATCTACTCTTTGCTCAACCTCACTTAGTCTCCGCTCTATCTCGTCTTATCTTTGCTCTACATGCTCGAACTGCGTGGACGGAGAACCTTCGTGGTGTGAATGGTCTTCGTACCGTAGCTTCTCGCGGTCAGCTCCCTGCACGTCGTCACCTTCGTCGGCGTAGGCGTCCTCAAGATAACTTCCAGTGTTCTCGTCTGACTTTGTCTCGGAGTAGTCGTCCTGCTGCGGTGCGTCTCGGGTGGGTTCGATGCCACGTTGCTGTTGCCGCCTCTGCCACTCTGCCCCACGCTCTTCTCTCGCCATTCTAAACCTCCTCTCCCCGTCTATTTGATCGCTCGTTGCGTGACCAACCATTTCCAGTAACGCACCCTCTATTAACATGAACGCTAGATTGTTCGCGGTTTCCCAAGGTCTTCACACGGAGCGGGTTGAGTGTACTTATATGCGCGATGTTAGGTTGCAGCAAGCGCATCGTCTGACTCACGGCATGCGCAAATGTTGCCACTGCTGGCAATCTTCGAATAGTCCAACCAAACAGATCTCGAAAACACCTTCGCTAACCCAGAGCAAGTATCCTGAGGCGATTGCGAAACCGTAGCCAGTGCTCAAGGAATTCAAGTGGCGCTCGGAGCAGCGACGATGCGTTCTGGGTCGTCACGAAAGACATTATCCTCCCCATCGACCTTGTCTTCGCTCCCAGCTTGCTTCTCCTCCTGATTAACAAAAACAAAGCTGAGGACCACAACCGCAGCGCCTAGCCAATACACAACGCCAGCGGTCTGGTTGTTTAGCACCATCTGCCCAATCAAGCTGAGCGGGATCGTCATGCTCAGGCCAACGGTCACCACGATGGGACTGGTAAGTAGGATTGCATATGCCCAAGCTAGATCTGCGATCAGGCTGGCAAGGCTGTTGACGACAATGATCATGACAACACGCTTCGTGGGTGGCGATTCGAAGGTCTCCCAACCCGCAAAATGCAAGATGAAGAAGCCTGGCCAGAGCAATACCACATTAATGAGCCCAACGAAGCCGAAAAAGATCGGTAGACTGACGCGACTTTCGTCGCCGACGCGCTTCTTCATGAAGGAAGCGTAGAGCCCGTACATGACGGCGGAAAGGAGCGCAAGCGAATCGCCAAGTGCAATCTCGCCAAGCGTCTTCTCGGGGAAGTCACCACGATGTTCGTCGTCCGTTGTCCCGCCGGAGAAGTCAGCGCCACTAATAAGCATGATGCCGGCTAGAGATGCAATCACGGCGAATAGTTTGCGCAATGTGAAACGCTCTACCTTAAACACAGCGCCGAAGAGGAGGGTGCTGCGTATCTTGTCGTCAGTCTTGGAGGTCTCCAGGAGTAGGGAATAAGCATCACTCACAATATACTGCTGGTGGATGTTAGGATTGTCGACGATGCCACGGTCGTGTACTGAAGGCAAGCGGCGGTGAAGTACTGCATTAGATAATGTCAACATAGGCGTCTCGAGCTACAGTAGCAGTCGAGATTGTTTGGAGGCAGGCTTCCGACCATGGGCGATATCTCAGAGCGCGAGAGACAGTTGAAAGACTTACATTCGCAACGAACCACAGCAGACAAAATTCGAAAGCTAGCCGTGCAATCTCTGCAAGGTCCATTGGTCCCTCCGGCTCGGACACCTTGGTAGGCACGCTCGTGCTCTTAGCGTTGTCTTGACTCTCGTCTGCCTCAGATGACCTCCCAAGCAAATGCTCCTCCGACGCATTGGCGGACTGTCTCCTTCGGGCGCTGCGCGAACTCCCAGCATACAGCGAGGTGATCGGATTGTTGTTGATACGGGCGTTATTCCGCCAATCCGCTAGCCACTGCTTGACCTCTCGTCGGTTGTGATATGCTCGTCGCAATAGTATTGGCAGGAGCGGCACGATAAAGAAGCTCGTGTTGATATATGTCATCAAGTAGGGTTTGCTGTAGGTGTCGTCGGCGAAGATGGTCTGGAAGACTTTGTCAGTATTCGATGCGTGTGGCAGGAGAGTGGTACCAACGACGTACGCTGGCTAGGAAGTTGGAAGCCGTCCACAAGAACACGGTCATGGCTAAGAGGAACAGACCAGTTGCTCTTCGCCATCGCTGCCACGTCTTGGAAGACAATGCGAAACGACTGGCTGCAGCCTCGTCGTTGGTGCCGTAGGGAGTGAATGCATCTGCCGCATTTGCTGGCACCGGCGGCTCGAGAGAAGACATCGTATGTATGTCGCTTAGGGAGGATGTGCCTGCTTCACGGCGTACGCAAAGACGCTGTCTCTGCTCGAACAACGCGGCGCCTTGTCCATGTGCAGTAGGAGGATACTATGATCTACCAAGATAAGAACGGCATTGACGGCCGACATGATAATCGCCCGAAGGCGCGTCCCTGCCGCGATGTATGTCATCTGTTCCGAGACGCTGGTTCGGAGATCGGATGGCAAAGTGGTGGGACGGTACGTTTGGCAGGCGACGGCGCTTTGGTCACGACTATGTATGTATCGCTTCTCGAGCAAGTAGATCGCTGATGCAAGCATAGAGATGCCGCCGTTAGTGGGCGCTGTGCTGTTTCGCGATCGTATCTACGTTGTGTTGGGATGCATCAGACCACAGATGAACGACGGGTGTTTGTATAAGCATGCATGCCCGAGCAATAAGACAAAATCAAAGTTTCCATCAGATGAGCTTCAGCGAAACCGTTCTCCTGATGGCTTCGACCATTGTCGACTACTGTACCTCCAACGAGCGAGCCGCGAGACAGAGAACAAAGCGCAAACCCGGGAGAGACCATCGAGACGCACGGCCGAGCGAACAAAAAGCTGGAAATATGTCTCGACAGCGTGAGCGACAACAAGGTCGGTGAGAGGACGCATTCAGTGATTGTAAGCTTTCGTTGCGTGCTCATAACCACATCAGCAAATGTCATACATGATAGTGTCCTCCAAAAGCAACATGGGTATCCAGAAGCCAGAACGCATCTTTTCACCCCCAAATGAGACGCCTAGAGCTTGCGCCGTTCACCTTCGTTTGCTTCGTACGCTGCCGTATAATGTGCAAGGAGGAACACACCTCCTCCTCCTTTTCGTTACCACAAATCGCTCCTTTCTCCGTCATCACTCCTACAGGTCTCAAACCAAGACGTCTTCAACGCCTCCCCAATCGTCAACCGCAAATCGATATCCCTCTCCAGACATCCCTTGACAAGCTCAATAACCGCATCACTGCCCGCCGCAGCTTGCGTCAATGCCCGACGATCCCAATCCGCCTGCAAAATCAACTCGACAGTTTTACTCGGCATTGGGTGGCGGAAGGGCAAGTCGCCGGTACAAAGCGCGTATACGATCACGCCAAAGGCCCACACGTCGCCGGCCGTCTCGAAAAGCTTACGGTTGACGCTCAGGCCCTTTGGCGAAGCGTACTCGAGTGTGCCAATCACGGAGGAAGTTACTGTAGGCTGGGCGGGTTCGGCCACAGGCGGTGCGTTCGCGTGCTCCGGCTCCGTTTCGTCGATACTAGCGTCGCTGTGCAGGAAGTCCGCGAGCCCGAAGTCGCAGAGGCGTAGGTTACCGCCTTCCGTCTCCGCGTTGGGAACGGTCATGTCGATCAAGCAGTTCTCGAGCTTGACGTCGCGGTGACAAACTCGTATGTCCTCGTGGAGATAGCGCAGCGCGCAGGCTAGCTGGTAAGCGTATGATTTCGCCAGGTTCGGCTCCAGCCCTTTACGCCCGCCATTCTCGGAAACGGTAGAGCGCGCCTTGCGGACCACGTCGAAAAGCGTGCCCCCGACGTTCAGATCCATGACGCAATATGTCGCGTACTCTGTCTCGTAGACGGCGCGCAAGCGTAAGATATGTTGATGTTCTAGATGTCGCCAGACGGAAACTTCATGGTCGAGATCTTGCTGCACTTTGTCGCTTTCGGGGTTACTGGCGTCCTGCGCTGCCTTGTGCACGATCTTCACGGCACGCACGACCCTCTCGCCGCTCTCGTCGATGGTGTGGGCCTCTTTGATCGTTCCGAATCCGCCCTGGTTGATCGTCCGACCAACAATGTACTCGTTGTTGAAACCTATGGCTTGGCCTTCATCGTCAGGTTTCGGGTCTGAGACTGGCTCCGCACTGAGTGCTCCTGTCGTCCAGCTCGACAGGAAAGCTTGTGCTGGGCTGGCAGAGGCAGCAGCAGATGCCGAGCGGCGCACTGGCTTCTTAGCGTTTGGTATGCGCGCGGGCCGAGAGCTGGACAATCTGACAGAGCGTGTACTAGACTGCCTACTAAGCGGACTCGTGATCTCAGTCTGCGTTGGCGAGGCTAAAGCGACCGAGTGCTCTACCACTTTCCCCTCGGGTATCGTCTGTGGTGAGACGACCAGCCTGTTGAGGATACTGTCTGCGCTATCAGTCATGGCACTGCTGTCACTAGGTGAGACTGGTGACTGCAAGTCCTCGTCAGGCATTCGCGACGTCGTCGATTCGGATGTCTGGAAGGCTCGTTGCAGGACTGGTGACCCCTTTGTTGGGTACTGGTTTGTGCTCTGGGTTGCTGAGGGTCCGTCGGACAGGTTGCCCTGCTTAGCGTCAATGCCATGTTCGAGCAATGGGCGATGCGGGAAGGAAGCAGCGACTTACCGCTGAATGGGTTTGTCTTGAACAGGGTGGGATCATAGACTCCCCCCAGCTCACCTCTTCCTCCCTCTGGTTCATCTCCCAGCTCATCTTCTGCTGCATCGCCCTCACGTTGTTGTCTTGGCGGAGACTTGCCTCCTCTGCGGCCACTCCCCTTAGGTCCCCGGCAGTCGTTAGATCGGCTTCGCTGGAGGTCGGCCGCAGGCGCGAGAGGTATCCGGTTTCCGTCGTCGGTGATGGCGTGCGTACCGAAGGTGATGCTCTTTCCACGCTGCCTAAGGCGTGCCTGGATAGCCTCGATCTCGGCGTGCCGTTGCTCCGTTCGCGAGGCGGAGAAGGCGCGCCAGGAGATTCCTGAGCCATTCTGCTTCGGCTTGTCCACACGTTTGACTTCCGGGTGTTTGGGACTGGGCAGAGCGCTCTCGTATGGGCTGAGAGCGTCGTCTACACCGAGAGCTTCCGAACTGTCTACACTATTTTGACGCGAGCTGACGGCTTCTTCGTCGGACTCGCTCGAGCTGTCTTGGAGATACTTTGTGCCCGCAAAAGGCGATGCAACTGTATGGCGCGGCGGCTGCAGTCGGGTCTGAGACTGCTCTTTCACAGTGTCCTCCGGGTCAGATGATTTTCTTGGCCTTGGGGCTGGACTCGGTCCGCGATCCGTGCGCTTTGGTGAAGTAACGGCTACTTCGTCTTCGCTGTCGTCGAGGTAAGCAAGCTGTCCCGCAGCAAGCGCGACCGCACTTCGTGGAGCTTTTTGATTTGTTTGCAGGCCTTTATCGATAGAGCCTTGTCTGCCAGCTCCGTCGGTGACGCGCAGACTGGCCAATTGTGCCGGCGCAGGACTTGGACGGCGATCAGTCCTTCTTGGCGCACTCAACCACTCATCATCTTCGCTATCCCTCAATTGATCAAGAACGCTACTTTTCAAAGGCGCAGCAGCGGCGGGTCTCGCCTTCTCTGCTGCCGGTGCCTCAGGCTTACTCAGTTTATTGTTGCGTTCGCGACGTCGAGATCTTTTCGCCTCTTCCTCACTATCATCTTCAAATCCTGTCGCAAACGGGTCTCTGCGGCCCTTGCGACGGCCTGTGTCCACTCTGAGCCCTTTGAAATGTTGCTTGATCTCGTACGCGGCCATACAAGCTGTACACGTGACTGTTCGTAAATAGCGCCTTGGCTTGCTCGGTGCTGGTAGAGTATGGTGTCTGACAACTGATCATCAACTGTTGCGGTTGCGATGCGTTGTGTGGCGGCAGGAGTCGATGACGAAGAAGCACGGAGGAAGCAGCGGCAGTAACACCTCTCGCGTGGTGCACAGCGGGGTGGTGGGAGGGTTATGATGGTATCAGTCAATGGTCACGCTCCGCCAAGGGCACAGCCCCGAAACCTTCAGCCAAGGTCGAGTAGAAAAGGGACAACCCGCGCCATTATTGAGCGGTAGCCAAGTCTTGGTAATGTGGATCAGCAGAGGAGAAAGCTACGGCAGTAACCTCCTCGCGAACATGCGCGCTTTTGCATTCGCTGCCTGACAGCTACTAGTGCTAATCCGTCCTCGGGCCCTCTCCGCACCCAACAGCGCGGGCGGCGGGCCGTGTCTTGCTTTGTGGAGCGGCAATGGCCAGATTGCGGAAGCCCTGTCGCTCTCAGCACTAAGCATACTGTACCGACGAAGCTATTACTACTGACCTGCAGCAACTTTCCCACTTGACACACGGCTGCAGTCATGTCGGTTGCACTGAATGTTGCGAAGCTCCTACCGCTACTACGCTCGGCGACGCCAAGCAAGCCTTTGCTGCACTTTCGAGCCTTGGCCCGCATTGCTTGTGCAGCTTGCCTGAAACGGCGCGACGAGATGGATGGAAGCGCCAAAGCACGTGGCGTTGCCTGCACAAGACCGACGACAGCCGCTGGAAGTGTGCAGCATGCACAATCAGCACGAGCTGGTACGAAGCTCATGCGGCTATTATATCTAATTTGACATCTTTGAGGAGCGCTCGTTGAGGCGGGTACGCCTTCTCCTAAGCAACGTAAGGTGCGTACATGGAGCGTGAGCGATGAGCAGCAGTGGATCGACTTGGCATCCAATAGACATGTGAAGATCGCATGCTTCCGGATACCATCCGCGGTTCTTCTCCGTCAATACCCTGGTCTCATGAAGGGAAGGTAATCACATAACATGCAAGTATTAGGTTAGATCGTGAAGTGACGTTGATCCACGGTCTCTATCGTGAGCGTTGTAGAGCGGCACTGCACGACTTGACGCTCTTCAATCGTTCGTTGAGCCGTGTCCGTAAGTCGCGGTCGTAGATTAAGTGTCAAAGGTCGGTGTTGTCAAGCGAGTTGAGCTGGTTCCTTGCCGATGGGACAACCACGGGCGTTGCTCACTGCTCGCCGCTGCTGTTTCACGTACGCCGTTTCTGCACGTGCAATTGCCTCATCAGCAACGTACCTTGATCTAACAGTCTCGCTTGCGCGAATGCATCTGTCTCAACATTGCCAGCCTATGTCAGCCCTCACCACCCAATCGCAGCCCGAGTTTTGTTTATTGAGCTAGTTTCACACCTGCATTGACGGCGCATACGCATACACATACACATACACATGACATAGCGGCCACTGGTGGATCTGGCCCACCCTCGAGCACGGTGCCTGAGGAAGAGCTTCCTGCTCGTGACATTGGCGACAGCGAGGAGCGGCGATAACCGGACAGCAGTGCGCTGCGCTGGGCTTTGCGGCCTAGGCCCGCTGCACACATACCATGGCCGACTTCTGTAGACGCATCTTCTCCAGCTGCTGTGGTGGTACGTCCCTGCACTTCGCTTCCAAGCGCTCACGATACCGTGGAAGCTGACAGCATGCCGCACTGGTAGGCCGCTCGAAAGTCGACTACGATAATGTCTTGGCCGACTCCGAACGGGAGGCTGTGGCTGACCTTCTCAACTACCTCGAGAATGTACGATATTGCACATACCGCGAGCAGTAAGAATGCCGGCTTGGATGTGACGCTAACGGCGCGGTGCGGACACAGCGAGCGGAGACCGACTTCTTCTCCGGCGAGCCACTTGCGGCATTGAGCACCCTCGTATACAGCCAGAACATCGACCTGCAAAGGAGCGCGAGCTTGACGTTCGCGGAGATCACGGAGCGAGGTACGCAGAGCGGAAGTACTGCGTCGTATAAATGGCCTGACGTAGAAGGGCAGATGTCCGGCCTGTGGACCGTGCAACTCTCGAACCCATCCTCTTCCTCCTTGAGAGCCCAGATATTGAGGTGCAACGTGCTGCTTCGGCTGCTCTCGGCAACCTCGCCGTAGACGGTATGCTACGCCATGGGATCATAAAACATACGAGACAGCTGCTGACGATTCGTAGGTTCGAACAAGGTGCTCATTGTTTCGCTTGGCGGCCTTACACCATTGATCAGACAGATGAACAGCCCGAACGTTGAAGTACAATGCAATGCCGTAGGCTGCATCACCAATTTGGCCACTCACGAAGACAACAAAGCCCGCATTGCGCGGTCAGGCGCTCTGGCACCACTGACTAGACTGGCAAAGAGCAAAGATATGAGAGTCCAACGGAACGCAACAGGCGCACTACTCAACATGACACACAGCGATGATAATAGGCAACAACTGGTCTCAGCAGGCGCAATACCGGTTCTAGTGAGCTTACTGAGCAGCCCGGATACGGATGTGCAATACTACTGCACCACAGCGCTCAGCAACATTGCCGTCGACTCGGCGAACCGGAAACGGTTAGCACAGACCGAGCCGAAGCTGGTACAGAGCTTGGTGCACCTCATGAAAGGTCAGGCGCCGAAGGTGCAATGTCAAGCAGCACTAGCGCTGCGAAATCTGGCCAGTGACGAAAAGTACCAGCTCGAGATTGTTCGTGCGGGCGGACTGCCACCATTACTCAGCCTGCTGCAGAGCAGCTACCTCCCTCTCATCCTGTCCGCCGTAGCCTGCATACGCAACATCAGCATACATCCTATGAATGAGTCACCAATCATCGATGCCGGCTTCTTACGACCACTCGTCGACTTGCTCGGTAGCACCGATAATGAGGAGATACAATGCCATGCCATCTCCACCTTGCGCAACCTGGCTGCTTCTTCGGATCGCAACAAGCAGCTGGTGCTGGAAGCGGGAGCGGTGCAAAAATGCAAGGAACTGGTTCTGGATGTGCCCATCAACGTACAGAGCGAGATGACTGCCGCAATCGCTGTGCTAGCTTTGAGCGACGAGCTGAAGCCGGAGCTGCTCGGACTCGGCGTGTTCGACGTGCTGATTCCGCTAACCGAGAGCGAAAGCATTGAAGTGCAGGGCAACAGTGCGGCGGCGTTGGGTAACCTCAGCAGTAAAGGTGCGTACGAGAGATATTGTTCGGGAGAGACTTTACTAACCAGACGTGCAGTCGGCGACTACTCGCTCTTCCTAACCTCCTGGAACCAACCCTCGGGCGGCATCCATGGCTACCTCTCCCGCTTCCTAAGCTCCGGCGATCCTACATTCCAACACATTGCGATCTGGACACTTCTGCAGCTCCTCGAGTCCAGCGACCAAAGACTAATCGACATCATCAACAAGTCCACAGACGTCATGGACGTCGTGCGGAGCATCAGCGAGCGGAACGTCGAGTCCGGCGGTGAAGGCGACGGAGCCGACGAGGAAGAAGGCGAGGCGGAGGTCGTGGCGTTGGCGAAGAGGTGTCTAGAGCTCAGTAATGGGAGTGGGAATGGCCAAGGAGGTTCGCAGGGCAAGGGTAGCGCTAGTAGCTACACGCCCAGCGATAAGACTTAGTGGATTGCTTCGGAGGCTTGATACGACGGCGGCTTTAATGCGAGAGCGGAACTGTCTATGAAGGAAAAGCTGGGTAGGGGTCGGAAGGCGGCTTGTTGCATTGATTGATCGTTGAGCGCATTGAGCAGGCGGAGGCGTTCAGAGGCGCAGAAGACTGCGGCATACCCAGGAGCCGCTCCGATTGGTTCGGCGGCAATGTAAGCATACTTTTTGCATTCATGGAGTGAGCAGCCCGGGCATGTGTTATTTCGATAGGCAATATGATGCACTAGCAACAATCGAGGACTGACTGCACGGCGCGTACTTCCCACACCATCCATACGCTCTAGTCTTCTGCCGGCACCGCCAAGGTCTCCACACCGTTCGATGCAAGGTCGTCGGCAAGTAGCGGAAGGTAATGCTCGCATCGGCAACCATCTTTCGTTGACCTCCCAGCGAGCAGCAGCTCAGCAGAGCCTCAAAGGCCCCTACGCGGAGCACCCAAGATGGGCCAGCGAGTCATACGTGCAGGTGTAACCCGGCTATACTCATGGTCAGCAGATGCCAGTAACGGAGGCCTCGGACGACGTTACTTACCCAGCGTGCATCGAACGGGATCTTGGTGGTATTGTAGTTGTAGAATTCTGGTTGGAACTCCGCCGCAAACTCGAACAAGGACTCCGTCGCTGATGCCCACTTCACGAGCCTGGCTTCCGAGTATGAGGTACCCCATATCCCAAGACCCATGGGGACGTTGAAACCGTCGACGTCTGTTGCGGAGCGTCAGTGACATGCTCTACTTCGAGGTTTCTGATCGTGGGCTCACTGATCGGAATGGTGACGGCTGGGTATTGAGCGGCATCCACCACGCTGGCGATGCTTGACGAGGCTCCGCCGCCACCTACGTTTGGGATGAGGATCGCATCAAGCTTGATCGTCGTGCCGTTACTGGTTGTGTACGAATACGCTCCATCAATGCAGGCCTGGCTCCTTGCAAGGCGCCAATCTAGGCCGCGGTATTAGTAGAGTTTCGCTTACGCGAGCCAAGCACACACTGCTTACACCAAGCTGTCCAGTATCGCGCATCACGCACTCCGCCGGTGGCAACAGCGGCTACCAGCGCATCTTGTCCACTTCTCCACGGGTACGCGCCACCTAGCGCTCCGGTCGTGCTGTTGTTCTGGTTGTTCCAGACGACGAGGTCGCCGAGGTTCTGTAGCGGTAGGTTGCCAGCAGTCCCGTTCGGCCACGAGATTTGACCCAACCATTCAGTGTAACCGTTGTAGAGGTCGACATTGAGGTAGCGGGCGCTTTGCAGCCAGTATGTCGTATTAATCGCATCACCCCAGCCATACGCGTTCTGGATGTCGTAGGCATAGGGCAGTGGTACGGTCATGTTCACTATAGTTGCGCCAGCTTGCTTCAACATGTCCAGTCGGGCGAGAAACTTGGCCTCGTTGCCCGGCGCTCGAAGGCCTCCAATCGTCGACCACCAGATCGGGTACGGGATGCCGAAGACGGCACCCTTGAGAGCGGACGAGTTCACCGCAAACTGCGCATACCCGCCATTAGGCGTCTTACCGACCTGTGCTAGGGACCACGGATCGTTGTCATCAGGCCCATACATCGCATCGAGCAGGAGCGCGGCATCGTGGACATTCTGGGCGAAGGTCCCGACGGAGTCACGGTTGTGAGAGCCTGGGATGACACCGTTGCGCGACGTAAGGCCGACCGTTGGTTTGAGACCGACTACACCAGCATGTCCGGCAGGATGAAGTACAGAGCCTACCAAGTATTAGCGAGCCACGACTTTCTCCATGGGCAGGGCTGCCTAACCGTGCGTTTCAGTACCGACACTGAGCAGGATATTGTAGCCCGCGACTGCTTGAGCGGGGCCTGTTGAACTGCCCGCAGTCTGCTGGGTGCCATTCCACACGTTACGGCACTGACCTCCGCGGTCAGACCAGCCTTCTGAGAAGGCTAGAACAGCACGATGGTCTGCGTCCTCGGACTCGTTGGCATGACCGAGGAGCACAACGCCGGCGGCTCTGAGCTTCGCTACTACAAAGGCGTCTCCCGACACCTTGCTCCCTAAGAGGGCGAGGTTGCCATCTGCATGGGGAGTCACGATGTGTTGAGTGCATTAATCTTCAATACTGACTCACCGGTCGTCTGAACCTTGTCGTTCGTGGCAATATTGTCTTTCGTCAGAATCGGGATACCGTGCAGTGGGCCTCGTACGACTCCTTTCGCTCGCTCGTCGTCCAATCCCTGTGCGATTGTTCTCCAGTCTGGGTTAATCTCGATGACATGGTGCACGTAAATGTTCGTCTTGTTGATGCGATTTACGTAGCACTGCGCAAGTTGGACCGCTGTAAGGGTCTTGTTTGCGAAGTGCTGAACAGCAGGTCAGCCAGACAACTGGGTATTCTTGACATTGCGCCCACACACATGCTGAAGCTGTGCCACAGTGATGCCCTTGATGTCCACACCGTTGCAAGGTTCTACAGGGAACGGATTGATCCAAGATGCTGCTTCCACAGTCTGCGTGATGGTGAATGCCAAGTAGAACAGGCACGCCACAGCTCGTGCAACCTTCGCCATTATAGTGAATATACGAGCAGAGACCAAGGGTAAAGGAAAGATCACAAGTGTGTTACCGTCTCCCGGCGCTCACTATGGGCGGTTTAAGCCTTTTGTAGCAGGCTTCAGCGGGCTGTACAGAGCCGCCGTCTACCGCACAGAACGCTTCCCAAAGAAAGGGCGGTCCATGAAGCCGCTTAGAGCACCGGTGTCTGCTAGGCTCCTCAAAACAGCCTCCGCGAGGTCGGCGGTCTTGAGAGTTTGGTCTTGCTGGGCCATAGTCGGTGACTCGGCGTGAACACTTTACGCCGGCAGTCTTATCGGAGGTGGGCCGGGAGATGCTTCTAAAATTCGCGTGCACTACCGCACTCGTTGTGTCAGATATGAACTACGGTATATCTCCTGCTACGGGCCATCCCAGGAAAAGGGAGCTGTGCCGCTGAGCTTTGACAGGGTAACGTGAGCATTCAGTGACTGGATTTGCCGGTACACTGTGCTATCTGATCGTCAACACGAGCGCCAAGATACAACGCGGCACAAGGCCAGGCGTCCGCCTCTGCAGCGAGAAGGGTTGTACACTTGCCTGCCGTTACTATTCGAAGGAGGGTAGGGTTGAGTGCTTCTCGGCCGGGAGAAGATGCGACTAACTCAATATGTAAGAAGATAGGCCGATAGGCAATTACCGGCACGCCAACTTCAGACGCCGGTGGGTCGCATCAAACAAAAACGATGTCTGGTGGAGTCGCCAACCTCAGACAGTCAGGGTACACTCTCGCCCTGCATGTTGAAATGCCAGTCTCGCAGGACACTGACTGAGACGCTCCGAGCACTCGCTGCGGCCAACTTCGAAGGCTGCCGGCCCTAACTACAAGGTAAAATTGGTCACTCCTGATGTAGAGATTGCAGTATCATATCAAAAGGTGGGTTTTTACCTTGCGTCCAGTCTCATGGAGGGGAGCCAGCTCATGGCACTGTAGTGGGGAGAGTACATTGACTATGTATCAATGGCGAGTATCTGCTCCTGCGACGATCTTGTCCGCTTTGTCTGCAAGGCAGCAGCACTAGAACGCGCCCACAGCCCTGACGGTCTTGACGATCTTGATATCAACCTCGTGCATGGCCCTGCCGAACCTGCAATGCTCACCGTTCAGGCACATACCGCTACCTCTCAAGCCGCCCTCAGTCGCCCTAGGGAACGGGCAGCGGTGTCCATAGATGCACTTGGTATCGTCGCAATACAAGCCTTTCTTGCAAGGTGTCTCTCGCGCTACCATGCGCAGCACATACAGCTCATGCTGTGTGAGCTTCACGTCGTGACGGTGCGGGCATTTGTCCGACTTGCCAGCGTTGAAGTGACAGCAGCCTACTCCAATGTAATGCTGGTTGCACATCTTGTACTTCTTGAGACGCTGTACCTCGTCGCGATCGTAGTCCAGAGGCTCGTCAATTCGGTGGCCGTGGCGATTGCGCTGTATCTCCGTGTTTCTACCAAGCTCAACGGTGCTTCCGGAGGGTGTGCGCTTGATATCTGTCAGAGGTCGATCAGCGGATGCGCGAGTTATTGCGGCCCAGCTGCTGACGGCTCCACCAGAGTCAGAGGTATTACCAGACGAGGTGACTGACATAGTGCGGAGGTGTGGGAGCCGCTGAGCCAGGGCGCCGTCCAGTTGTGGTATTCCACTGCTAGGCGTTTTGTACGGAGAAAGGGGCGTAGCCGTACGAGGAGTGAAAATGCTGCTGGCAGCGTTGAGGCCGCGCGAGTCCACGCGGCGTGTCATTCCGGTCAATGAATCTGGAGGTGCAACGTTGATCTTGGTTTCGCGAAAGATGCCACTGTACTTCAGTTTCGGAAAGGGCATTCCAGCCAATTCCTTTTCGAATGGGACGCCCTCCAAGAGCGTCACGCGTTGAGCGGCTTGCGAACAATCCGTGTACTGTTCCAGCAGGCGCGCGTAGCCGTTGTCGTGAGAGCAACCGAATAGAATTTGACGGCAATGGTAGTCGTAGAGAAAGAGCTTAAAGGTCTCCGCTACCTTGCCGTCAGCTCTATCCTTGCCGTAGCCGACATCGACGAAGTCGAACAATGTCTTGCCACGAGTGAAGCCACGAGCAAACTCTTCGAGCTGGACTGTAGACGTGAGTATGCTAGCCTTCGTGCAAACATCAGCCAAGTCTTTGATGTTTGCATACACGCGCACAATGACTTTGACATCTGAGGGACAGTCGACGATACTGACAGCCGCCCATTCTTGCACGGTGCTATGGAGCACGGTCGCTGCGTGTTCGCCACCTGTCTCGCCTTCGCGAAGAAAGTTGGCGTTGAAGATCATGCCGTCACCGTCCAAGAGGACCAGGATGAACGGATCGCGGTTCAGAAGGTTTTGCAGATGCGCGACGTTGGTAATGGCCCTCTGCTCACGCTGGAGCGCTTCCTTCGCTTGCGCGCGCTCGGACTGGTGCTCCTTGACGTACTCGGTGTGCTTCAGCATTAGATTCTCGTAGCGTGTAATGACATCCTGTATAACGCGTCAATGTTCGCTCCTCGAACGAGGTGCTACGCATTAGAGTAGCACACGTACCTCGAACAGGCAATTCTTTACAACGTCGTTGTACTTTAGCTGCTCGTATCGCTCCCAGTAACCGTGAACATGGTCGGAGCTGGACACACTGCTGTGATGCGCGCTTCCATCTGGAGCCATCGCGCATAGACTTGGAAGCCCGCCGTTTGATATTGACATTTGGGTGATGGTGATGGGTGCTCCGTCAGTTGAGGTTGAATATGCGATGAGGGTCTGGAAAAGCCGACCAAGTGGCGGTATGCGGAGGACGTGTTATATTAGCTAGCAAATAGAGCTGGCGACTAGTCTTTGCCAATCGCAGTGAGTGTCACTGTCTGTTTCGTGTGTGAAGAAACAGAACTCGAAGCTTTCGGTCTAGCCGCTTTCACTTGCGCTTACCGGTTTGATTAGGCAACAGCGACTGTTCGACTCATAGAAGGCAACTTCAAGAACAGCTACTTCCAGACATCGCACATTGAGTCGAAGTGCGTATGCGTTTGCCCGCAGAAACGCGGATTAGATGTAGCGGATACCAGCGCACAACCCCAGTCTTGTGTAACCCTTGTGGCGACGCTACATCTGGAAAGGGTATGATTCGCTGCAACGCCGCCAACCTGCTCCAAATTGTTACTCGTCACTGGGATCGCAAGAAAACACGCTGATACGTCTATACTCACTGGTCGAGGCTCGTCCAAACCTAGAGCCTGCGGCTACTGCAAATTTGAACCTACAAAGCCAGGCCGCGAGTTTGGACGCTGCCATCTTCGAGATCTGCTACTCCACTCTTACTCCCGTATCCAGCGCTCCAGCTCTTCGTCCAGGTGCTCCTTCAACCTAGCCATCCTGTTCTCGAAATTCTTCCCACACCGCCAGCAAAGCATGTCTTCCGGGAAATGCGTGTACATCCTGCGATGGTCGTCCTTGGATAGTGGATACTGATCCAAACCGATCAAGAAGTCGGTCGTAAAGGAGAGGTAGTGGTTGCGCTTCTTCATCGGCTCGCTGACCATGTCTTTGCTGAGTACGTGAATGTGCAGGTGATTCATGGATGGGTTAGCGTGAGTGCCGGAAATGATATCTCGCGACCAATCGCGGCCCTGAGGAAGCGCATCAGGTGGCTCGTCCGACTCGAGGGCGTGTAGATACGGCCGATCTGTCGCAGAATACCTGCCGAACTTGCGCCTTAACTCAGATGCGACGATGGCCCTGACCTTCTTCTCCTCCTGACGACAGTCGGCAAGAAACTGCAGATCATCGAACGCTTCCTGCGGTCGCTGCACGTTCTTCTTCGGATCTCGTGGTAATAGAAGTAGATGAACAGATGCCTTCGGGAAGAGATCGTTGATCACGACAAACTTGTCGTTATAATACACGACACGACTCTGCGGGAATGATGCAGGATCAGTCGTGTACGCTGCTAGCCCGTCTCTCCCTGCGAAGACGGTTCGTTTCGAGGCATCGTCCGTCTTGTCTGGTGAAGGCTTCGGTTTCTTCGGCTTCATGAGTTCTGTGACTGGCCATCAACATCAGAATCTGTATTGGATCCTTGGTTAGCGTACGTACATGCATTCGGCTTTTGGGATGGCGGAAAAGGCTGCGTCGATTGCTGGCCAGGCACAGCTGCGCTGGCAACATGTTCCAAGTCGTCTGCGGTTGCCATCGTATGCTTCCGAAGGCACTGTCTTGGAGATCGCCTAATCTCCGCCAAGTGAGGTACTGGAATCGCGTTCCTAGCGATACGACGGTTGGTGTAACATGGATTTCGTGTGAATGACACGCAAGTCATTGCGACTTCCCATCATTAATGCTCATGTAATAGCGAGTTGTAGCCGAGGAATTACGTTTGCCCGAACACCGGTGGCGTCATAGCAGCCTGCGCGAGACGCGTTTAAGTGAATCTTCGAGCAGCAAACAATAGTGAGAACTTACGTGAAGAGGCGCTCGATTACCTTCTTTGTGGACAGTAAGAAGAAAGTACATCTTCGTCTTCCACTATGCGTCCGCCTCGCAAGCGTCAAGCACGCCTTACTTTCACTCCGTTACCGTCATCATCGCCGGCAGCGACAGGCTACAACAAGCAGATACAAGACCGCGCAGCAGCTGTAGGCTATGATGGCTCACCCAGCCCAGCCAAACGGCGTAAGACGCATCGTTCTGATCCCAGAGACGGCATGAATGGCAGCATGCAGCTAGATGGTGCAAATGATGCACTTCCAACTCCAGCAGAGACCTTCAATGGTGATGGTGGCGCGTTAAGCGACGCAGAAGATGACATTGACAGCGAGACGATTCTACAAGCTCAGCATCATCCCAGTGCGGCGAGTACGATAGTGTCGCGCAAAAGGGCAGTGAAGCAGCAACAGCTCGATTGGAACGCGCGTCGAGATCCCGACACCTTCAGTTCGCCTGTGAGAGTGTCTTCGCCTGCCAAGCTTCACTCGTCCGGCATGTTCGGCATGCAGACACGGAATTCGAAGCGGCAGGCTGCTGCGAATGTTTCAAGCGACGAGTCTGCGGAGGAAGAGCTACCTTCGCCCAACCGCCTTCCTAAACGCGCCACAGCCTCTTCCCATTCGAAAGAAGCCAGACGGGCTAGAAGCTCGCAACGGCCACTTATCATCGACTCAGATGATGAACAAGAGGAAGACACTATCGTGGTGAGCGGTGAGCCAATCAACCTCGACGGAGCTGACGACAGCGGCAACGATATGCCGACCACCGAGGGCAAGAGAACACAGCGCATGCAAACTACCCGAACGACAGATGCCTACATCTCGTCATCGCCTCCTAGGGCGGACGAGAGTGATGACGACCTCCAGATTGTCGAGAGGCCGAAGAGGCAGCGTCCTTGTAGAAGGAGGGCAGAAGATGTCAGTGGTGACGACGACGACGACGACGACGACGATGACGACGACATGCCAATTACGCCGCGCCGACGTTACTTGAAACGCCCTAGACAAATGTCAAGGCAAGAGCAGGAGGATTTGAACGAGGATCTCGAGTTTCTTGGGCCAAGTAGCGACGTGGAAGCGCTCGAACGACAGCCTAGATCCGCGCAGACCAAGCAGAAGAATGCCCGCCTGGCAGCCTTGGAGAGGCTCAGGCGCAAGCGTTCCGGGCAGCCGGGTGACGCTGAGGATGCGAGACCTGCGCAAGGAGAGTTTGATGAACTTTACGACGACGACGACAAAGATGGCCTTCAAGAGGATGAAGAGGATGATGACGAACCCGAAGTGGTGCTACACCCAGCGAGCAGCCGTCAGATGTTCCGTGAGGATGATGAAGATGCACAGTTTATTGATTCAGAAGAAGAGGGCGATGACGTCCTCGGTGTTCCGGCTGGCATTCCAATCGAATTCACCCACTATGCACGCAAGAAAGCAAGCGAGCTCTTCAAGTATGCCGTCGAATGGAGCGTGCAAAAGCTCATTAATCCGGGCTTCCCATCGAAGGATGAGCTTTACGAATTGAGTTTCCGCAAACTCGACGACGAACTAAAAGCCTTGGCCAACTCCAAGTTTGTCTCCTCAGTATGGAAACCCGATTTCACAGCGTCGCTCAAGTCTCGTCCAGAAATCGCATTCGAGGCGCTTGAACCTGAGGAAGTCTGGATGCATCCCAAATGCGAGGCCTGTAATCGGTCCAACCATCCATGTACCTACCAACTCCAGTTCCAAGGCAAGCCATACCATCCTCACACCCTCGAAGAAGTGGCTCCCGATGAAGATGACGATGATGAGAACGACGACTCAGCCTCCGACGAGCAGCAGTCTGATGACGATGACCAACCAGCCTACGACTACCGCGGCAATGAAGTTCCACCGGCGAGCAAGATCTACTTCGTTGGCAAGTTTTGCATGGCGAACGCAGAAACTGGACACGCCTTACAGCATTGGCGTTTCCACCTGAACGAATGGATTGTTATGTGGCTGATCAGTCATGGGTACATGACAAACGAGAAGATCGTCAAGCGAGAGAAGCAGAGCACGAGGAAGCGCAAGAAGGAAGCAAACAAGATTACGGACCGCATGGAGAAAGAAGGAGAGATCCGAAGGCTATGGCATGAATTCAAAAAGAACAGTAGCGAGGCCCGGTCTAGCAAACAGGGAAGGTACCTACCAGAAGACTATTGAATGTGACACGTGGGATCTTAAGCGACCCTCGCAAGGCGCCGGGACCGTAACGGCTCACCTATTCCGCGATGCTCCGGGCGCCGAATACGGCAGATTGGGAATGGAGGTCGACGTCAACGAGCTGTGATTGGCCAATCGCTTGCAAGTCAGCTGCTTCGTCAGCAAAATAGGGCCTGACTTTACATGGGGCCCTGCTTTCCTGCGCATCTTCAGAGTTAGGTGCATCAAGAGTCGCCAACTGGATCACACACTCACGCAAGAGCGGCTCGCCGCGACCATCCTGTGATGTCTCAAACAGGAGCTTCATTGCTCAAGCTCACGCCAACGTCGGAGCTCGGCGAACTGGTTCGCCTCTATCATTCCACTTCAACCGTAAACCCTGGCGCATGTCCATCAACGTGCTTGAGGCTGCTTGACCTATTTGCTGTGCTGAACGGACACAAGCTGCGGCCTCACAGGTAGGGGTTTCCTCAATCCATATAACGGGCAGGCCTTTTACCTGCTTGCTCCTGTTTCCCTTCTCATCCGTCACTTCAAAACTGGCAAAGAATTGCTCACACTGTTAAAACAAACGCGAACAATCCCAGACAGAATGTCCGCCGGGATCTGGGATGTCTTCTCCGGGGAGCCGAAATTGGAGATCGTGAGTGGGATCGCTCTGAAAAGCGAGCATACACACTGTTCCCTAACATGTGCGATGTACAAAGATCTATCCAATAGTCGACCGGCCAAGCGGCCGCGCTCACCCTCACCACGCCGCCCGCAGTAATAACCCAACCAGGGACACTCCCAACTATCCTGATGTTGATGTCCGTGACGGTGGTAGGGAGTACTGGGTCGATGTGGAAGTCCCAGGCATTAAGAATGTCGAGGACATCCATTGCCAATGGACCAGCAACACGATCGTCGTCGTGAGCGGAAACATTATGCGCCCGATTCACAACAGCGAGCAGCAGCAGCAGCAACCCAGCACGGGCGGACGTGATGCCCATGGCGTCTACGAACCACCACCCTCCACGCAGGAACATTACCAGCCACCATACCAGCATGTTGGGCCTCCGTACACGATAGTGAGCGAAAGGCGGATCGGTCATTTCAGGCGCATTTTCCATCTCCCGGTCCCGGCGGAGGTGAGCAAGATGACCGCTAAGCTAGAAGCTGGGCTGTTGAGCTTGACCATTCCGAAGGCGCCGCACACGCATGTTGCCGATGGTGGAAAGGTCTTTATCACTACTGAGTAACCTACAAGCTAAAGGGTATAGTCTCCGACGTGACAGAGTAGGTTTGGTAAGAGTGATAATGCTATGGCAAAGGCGCGGAGATGGCTCATCCATGTTATACTCACCTCCAAAAGCATAATCCGTTGCTATACCTTTCCCGGGTCTAGCGGTTCCTGAAATATGCCTTGATGCAATAGGGAGCAACACACCACGCTCAGCCGGCTTGACTGATATTTCTCCGCTTCCTGAACACTCCGCCCACGCTATCCGGTTCGGAGACGACCCCTACCCCTTCAATGTCTTTCATGGACTCAGCTTCGTGCATGATATCGTTCTCCACCTCCGAAACTAGCAGCGGAATAGTGTCACTTTTCCACGCTTCCATGCCATAGCGAAAGGTCAGTAAGATACAGAACAGAAGGAAAAGTATTGAAGCGGTCAGCACCGCTATTGGGAACGCGAGCCAGTGCCGGCAGACTCTGATGTAATATGTGTAGGCGAACGCTGTTTTGTTGAACCGTGAGTCCGTCATCGTGGCTGTTGATTTTATGTAGTTCGACAAACTGAGGGCCAGTTGGCCGACCCAGGCATGCCAGTCATAGACAGACTATAGCGCACGCGCAACATCGCTAGAGTACGAGTACTGGCCGTCGGCGCTGTATGTGACAGTGGTGTTGAGCAAGCCGAGGGATCGGAACAGTCCGGTAGTAGTATAGTTCAATACAGAGAAGTTGCCAGTCTGCTGTCTTGTCAGCCACGTGCAGCGTTATGCTGAAATCCTTTACTTACCTTTGAGCTTACACCGTTTCCAGTCAACGTTCCTACAGTTTCGGGCACTATGAGAGATTCCGGCAAGCTCGTGAAGTTGAACCACACCTGGTTCGGATTTGCTCTGAGGTTGTAGTCGGTATGCGAGAATGAGAACCCTACTGTTTCCGCCTGCGCAGCCAGCTCAACGGTGTGATTGATAGTCTGGACACACATCCAAACTCCACAAGTGTAGGCCAGTGCTGAAGTAGCATTGCGACCTGAACTATCGAGTACCAAGAATCTTGTTATATATACAACATCACTCTCGTTATATGTGCTACTCTCATAGTAAGCAAACACCGACAGCGCGGGTAATCCGGGGTACATTTCTTGTGCCATGAGAACAGGGTTCCCGGAAGAGTCCCAGGTCGAAGTGAAATGCTGACCCGAACCGTCGTTGGTGGTTGTGTTACATGTTTACAAGTTATCAGCAAGGTTTCTGGAGCAGGTATGATTGACACTACTTGTGATGTTTGTGCAACCGCCACATACTGACAGCGTGGGAGATATCGGCCACGTGCAGTTTCCGGTCTCGCACTGCGCGGCGGGGAAGGTGATGCTTGACGGATCAAAGATGGAAGCGTACATAGCCGCTGTCGCGGCAAGCGGAGCAGTAAAGGTGTCCAGAGATCTTTCCATGGTGTAGTCCATGTTCACAGTCGCCGCCGATATGTTCGGCATCCGAAGTACTTCTTGGTACGCGGCGCGAGTACCGACCACCTGCTGGTTGAAGGTGTCAAAAAGCAAAGTCAGGACCAGGATGACGGCGCCAACGTAAGCTATCTGTGGTCGAATGCCTGGAAACACAAGCTTGACGCCTCCTGCTATGCCCCTTGAGGCATCGTCCAGCGCTCCGAACTCGGAACAGCGTCCGGCCAGGATTCCGCATGTCAGTAGCAGTAAAGCGAATCTATTTCACTTGGCTCATTTCTGCGGCAACTGCCGTCACCATGGACGCTTCAGCAAGGGTCGATAGCAGTGCGATGAGGCCGTTGAGGGTGAAGTAGCCAAACAGCCAGTCTTGCTGCTGTTGATCATCAACGAGCGGTCGCCCATCTTGTGGTGCAAGATGAGCGCCTGAGCGATCAGTACACCCACGGAGAATGAGACGGAGCAGAGTTCGAGTACCCAGTAAGTTCGGAGAGCAGATGCCACTCGGTCAAGGAATGGTGCCGTCTTTGGTGGGCCAACGGTGAGTTGGGCTGTCTCGGGCTGGTGATGCGCGGCGGCATCTGGCTGCGTGGACGTTCCTTGCGCCGAATGCAGCGACTGCATCTCGTGCGAGCTGTTCAGGAGACGGAGTTCGTCATCAGCGATGGTCCGGTGAGAAGATGTTCGCTCATACGGTTTGCGAGAAGTCGCCATAGCTGCTCGTGATTATCTAGAATATTCTTGTCATCTAGCCTGATGTGATGGAGAGCACATATTCAGAGCCGGTGGCCCATATACAGTGAGGATCTTGGACATGTTACGAACAAGGCTGCAGATGCCCAGACCATGTACTTGACCGCATGTCCGGCGTCCCAACATGGACAATGCTCATACCCACGCTCCGAAAGGCTCGATCCGGTTGCGCGAGGTATACTCTGTCACGCTGAGGGTATTGTCTCGAACCCGTGCGGAAGAGGTCGTCCATTTGCCTTGTGGTTCTCGACACAATCCAATGTATGAGATTATGGAAGGCGATACGTTGATGTTGTAGAGAGAAGGTAGGGGGTTCAGACATAAGCGGGACTCTTTGAGTGATCGGCATGGCATCCTTGTACCTGGCCTATCTCCGGCGTGGGCGATGGAAGACATATCCTACACTTGTACATATTTCAACGCTATGGTTTCTATTGAAGCTGAAGTCTGCAGTACAGACACAGTAAGCTCCAGTCAGCCGTAGATGCTCTAGATCAAAGAAGCAGCAAAGACTCGCGATGCTTCGCTCACTCGCAGGCGTTAGCATCCTCAATCGTCGATCTCTAAACCTATGCTATCCACAGGTCGCATATGACTGGTATAAAGGATTCCAACGGTTAACACATGTCGGCTATGCCACAGTACCTGGACCACGCAAGCCGCAGATAGTGGACCTCAGTCGCGAACTATACCATCGCAGCCCAGCGCATCCCTTCCATCCCCCCGTCTGCATTACACCATGGGACATTCACCAGCCGATGAAAGCCGGCAATACAGTCTTCAGATCCGCATCGTACTATCTGTCCATGTCCGACCACGCCGGTACACATGTAGACGCACCAAAACACTTTGGTCCAGGAGGCGTCGGTATCGATCAGATGCCGCTTGAAGACTTCTACACCGAGGCCATATGTCTAGACCTCTCGCATGTCGAGCTCAAGGCCAGCATCTCCGTCGCGGAAATGGAAGACGCTCTCTCACAGTCGGGCGAAGAGATTAAGTCGGGTGATACAGTGCTATTGTACATGGCTTTCAACAAGCGCGTTCCGTTCTCGGACCCGCGGTGGCAGCACGACTTCCCTGGCCTTTCGCTCGAAGCAGTTCACTGGCTTGCAGATAAGGGCTGCAAGATCTTTGGCGTTGAAGCGATTAGTCCGGCGCCAGAGGGCGAGTTGAACTTCCAGGCGCATAACGCGTGTGGCGAGAGAGGCATTACGCATATCGAGGGTCTCGACAACCTTGAGCGGGTGGTGGGAAAGGGAAGGTTCAGATTCATCGGCTTTCCGCTCAAGATTCGCGACGGTAGCGGTGGGCCGATGCGAGCAGTGGCCTTGTTTGAGTAGCTGGTGGCGTGTCGTAAAATGCTGTCGGTCCCGTTCAGTCTTCTTCAGAGCTTGTGTTACGCCTGGTTCGGGCCCTGAAACTTGATTTAGGCTTGTGAGATCGACGACTCCCTTCAAGTTTGCTGTCTTCGTTGGCCACATTTACAGATTGAGACAATGGTGTCTCTACTGTCTCTTTGCTAGTCTCACTAACCTGCCACTCGTCGAGCATCGCCTTGACCTTCGGACCCCAGACGTCTTCGCCTTTGGCAAGATCACTGTACTCTAGTACATTCGTTTCGAGAGCAAAGCCGCCTTGCCGTGTGCGACTTAGGTGTGTCATGATTGCTAGTGAGCCGACAGCGGCACCAAGGTCATGTGCAAGACTTCGAACGTAGAAGCCAGAGGTTACTGTCATCCGAATGCGTACAGCTGGTGCGGGACAAGGCTGGTTCTCGACGCTCTGGACCGGCTCATCTGTCGTTGGCACTGACGCCTCGTCATACGTGCTCTCGTCATATGGATCTTTCCCGTCCGGTGGAGCACCAGAAGCGACCGGTTCTGGCGACGTCTTAGAGCGCTTCAGTGGAGCTTCAGTCGTCGTGGGGTGGGTCACAACACCATTGACAGATTCCTCAAGCGTCGGCTCGCCTTGTACGTCGTCTTCGCGCCTTCGTTTGAGAAAGGTCGTCTTCTCCTTCACCGGTGCCGCAGACTCAGGAGCCTCGCCGAAGTGAAACACCTTCTCCGCAAACCCTCTTACTTCTTCCTCCGCCTGCTCTGACGGCCAGTTCCACTGATGCTTGCCGCAATCAAACCACTCCACGAGCTCGAGCTGCTCGACCTGCACTGGTCTCTCCTGAATTTCGATTGGTACTTCCTTACCTTCCCGCGCATACTCGTACAGCCGCTTGCCCTGAACTCTGAGCGCACTGAAAATAGGTGGTCGTTGCATGATCGAGCCTCTGAACTTGTTCAAGGCCTCCTCCACCGTGCTGCGCGTCACGTGCTTATACGGCGCTTGCGCGACAACTTTACCTTCGCTGTCGTAGCTGTCTGTGGCTGCGCCGAAGAGGACAACGGCATCGTAGCTTTTAGTGCAATGAAGGAATTGGCTGAGCTGTTTCGTCCCACTGCCGACACCTAGCACAAGTACACCGGTCGCCATAGGGTCGAGGGTGCCGCCGTGGCCCATCTTAACCTGCATGGGCTGCCTTTGCTTCCATGATCGTCGCTTACTCTTCTGGTTCGGTGACTCAGTATCTCGTTTCGCTTGCTCGCGCTCTAGCCAAGGTCTGAACAGCTCGGAGGCATTGAAGTGCTCTTGCACATTGCGAATGACTTGGGCCGAGCTCAGGTGGGGTGGTTTGTGTATGGCTGTCAATGCAGTAGCATTAGCCAGTCGCGTGCTTGTGCGGTGATGAGGTGGAAGCCTACCGTACCGAAGCAGCCTTCCGGCACAGCACTCTGGGGCCTCATGGCAGGCTTTGACGTTGTTGTGCCCCTTAAAGCTCGAAAGATGGTGGAGCGGCTCATGAAGGAAGCACACTCCGGAGATACAAGCGATCACTGTCAATTTCTAGCATGTGAAGACATAGTGCGGAGCCAGCTCCGATGCCTTCAATCACCGGCTACTCATTGGCTCGGCTTCAAGCAGCCTTGACCTCGAAACAGGCACGCGCCGCAGCATGGGCGGATGTACAAAGTCATACTCACATCCACACCGAAGCTTTACGCTCGAAGGAGCACACCACAGTGGTCGCATGGACATACTCAACACACTCGGCTGATAGGCTACCGCATACGACAATTATGCCGCCCATACCGTTCCTCGAGACCAACATCCTTGTCTCTCTCGACCCAACCAACCTAGACACCGACGAGTGGCCTGAGTTGAAGCTACAGAATGCGCGCGTGTGCGAGCCGGATGACCGAACAGCGCCAGTCAATCTCTTGCTGGCAACCGAGCATCACCCACTTACGGTGATTGGTGACATCCAACCTAGTACGCTACCCGATACCGTGCTGCAGCACGGAGTGACAAGTCGGGTCGTACCTGTCGAGATCACCGGCGTCAAGTTCTTCGCATACGGTCAACTGGACAACGGGACGATCGTACTGTGGGCTGCGGGAAGGGCTGGTTGGTATGCCATTTCGCCCTCGCGAGCGTACAAGGAGACGTATGATCGCATGCTGGAGGCGGTCCGGATGCTATACTTCGTCGCTGATGCTTACAGAGAGGAAAAGAGGATTGGAAAAGGCAGGAGTGCATCGGTGCTGCAGCCTTATAACGCACAAGAATTGTTCGAAAAGTACGCGGAGGAAGTGCTTCGTGTGCCACAAGGTGCTGCAGAAGCTGCTCGAAAGGCATATGAACATGTCGACTTCTTGTTTACAAGCATGCTCACTGGGAAAGAGGGAATTGATTGGCCGAAGAACCCGCTCTATCAGCATCTGAAACGGAAGTTCCCGGCTGAGCATGCAACGGTCGAGCACAGGTTGCGCGGACCGTCGAAGAGAGAGGAGCTCGGTCAGCCAAGCAAACACCAGTCTGTAGATAACCGTTCGCCTACAAACAGTCTTAAAAGGAAGCGCGGTCGACCACGGAAGGAGCTCGCAGAGAGCGCACTCGATTCAATTTCGATCAGCTCTGGTTCAACATCAGGGACCGTGAAAGACTTGCAGAGTGCTGCAGATGCTCCTAGGGGGCAGGGAGCGGCACACTCAAAGGCAAGGTACGGACGCCGTACGCGCCACACTCCGTCGGCACCAAGTGAGGAGTCAGCCGAGAGATCAGTACCGCCTGAGCGAGCTGCAGCACCGGACGCGAACGCCAGTGATAGCGAGGAGGATGCGCATCGTGCTCGCAAGGGGAGGTCGGCATTGCGACTCAAGCCTAGCGAGGGTGTGAAGGGAGCAAAAGCGATCAAAGGTGCAGCGAGAAGCAGAATCGCGCCAGACCCCGGAGCCGACGACTGCGACGACGAGCTTGCCTCTTCACCGACCATCAGCAAGCGCAAGGCGGAAGATCATGTTGATGCTAGACCACAGAAGCGGTGTCACAGCAAGCCTGACGTAGATGAAGGCATCGATATGCCCGAGACGCCATCCGTTGAAGACAACGCTGCACATGAGGAGAACGTCCCGCACTCACCGTCTGACGCGCCACCTGGTGTTGCAGAAGCGGAAGACACATCAGAAGCCGCTGCAGCCGTATTGAGCCACGTGCCCGACCCAGTACAGGAAGACACCTGGGTGTGTGCCCTGGACGGCTGCACACACAAAGTATACCTGGCTTCTCGATCCGGAAGTCAGAGGTTGATACGGGAGCATTATGCACTGCACGCTTACGATGAGGACGAAAGGGTGCAAATGGTGAAGCGGCTGCAGCACCCGTCACTCCCCGTCAACCATCTAATGGAGAAGGTGCGCATGCAGGCTAGGCGGGAAGGCTTTTCAGGCAGTGCATGGAATGGGTCGAGGTTTCCGCCGCCAATTGTTTCGCGGTATTGAGTCGGAGATGGAAGGGTATGCTTTTGCCTTGTATTTGAAGCGAAATTGGCGCGGCGCTGAATATGTGCATGGGATGATACCACTCTCGTCATGGATGATGATCCAAGGTAGAGGCTCATGTTTGATCTTACATCGTTCACCAGCTTCGCAACGCGACGATGTGGCTGCAACGTGCCCAGCCCATTCTCCATAGGTAAGCGCAATCATCGGCCCTTGCGTGAGTGGTACTGCATCAAAGCGACGCGTGTGAAGAGTGTCCAAAAAGTGATATCGATCGGGATGTAGACAGCTCAACGTCCGAATGTCTGGATGTAAGAGGCTTATAGGGCCTGCGCAGCGATGGGGTTTCTTAGATTTTGCGTACATTGTGGAGCTCCATGGGTCTGCCGGAGTAGGCTAGTAAGTAGCTGGACGATGTTTGGAAGTGGCTGAGTCGGGCACTCGAGTTGCTGCGGGCGATGGATAATGGCCGAGTCGATGGAATCAAGTCGATGAGGGAAGCGATCTATCAACGGGAAGATACAGAACTAAGACGATGTGCTTGGCACGGTAGGTTTCCACCAACAGAGGTCAAGCTGGTCGGAGCACGCCAACATCTGCCCACAACTGGAGCAGCATCATGTATGGTAAGATACTGCATCCGTTGGTGAACATGATTAAAAACTGTTTCAGACGTAGGATTGCCTTGCCTTGCTTTTCTGATGGCACTACACATGCTCACAATTCACAGTTGCAGGAATGCAGAAAGAACAAGGCTCGCAGCACATACGCAGATCTGGCCGGTGAGTTTAGCCTTGAGGACGCCCTCATGTGTCGCCTGGCAGACTGCTCACGTGGGATACTGGCTCCTGCAGGACACCCTACCCTGCGCCATGCATGATCTCGCAGACAGCTGCAGCTATTAGAGCTATCACGGTGGGCCTAAATCGCTGACCGCGTGTCTGGCAGAAGAAGCATCGAGATGCTGGGCTTCCAGACGTTCAGTCAACCGCCGATGTCGATGTCGGCTCGACAGCCATGCCACTTGGCGAAACGCCACAGACGGAGCCACAGGCGGCAATACCAACCGTTTCCGGTATGAAACGTGGCGATTGCCGGCCGCGTCTCAAGATGCAATTTCGTTACACTACCCAACGCAAGGTGACAGCACCTGCTGCAAACGTGCCTGTCAAGTAATGAGCCTACGCGGCCTACATGATGGTCTGCGAGAAAGCTTGTCTACCTCACGCCGAAGAGCTGGGTGATTTGCCGCTGGGAAATTGTGCTGTGAGATCAGCGGCAACAGATCGCTAGGGTGACGTTTTACCCCAGCACGCCTATCATCATTGACCGTGGGCGCATGCGCTATGCTGTCATTGCGGGACGAGAGCTGTGGCGTGCCATTTTGCGCGGCCCAGTTGTCGTAGCGCCCTCTGGCTATCGGAAGAGGAAAGCAGCTTTCTGCGTGATGATGGCCAGGCGCCGCATGTAAGATGCCATGCCAAGCGGTGTTGAATAGCGCTCTGAGGAGGAGGTCTCCGAGGCCCAAGCGCCGTTGCTAGGACGTCATGTGTACGTGCGTGAGCGTGAAACCTTGCTGCGAACGAGCTTTCCCGCTTTCAACGCTGCCCCCAGCTTCAGCAGCTTTGCTTCGTCTACAGCCTCACAAAAACAACCCTCCCACACCCACCACACCCGCACCACCTTCTCATCACCGCGCTTCATTCCCAGCGCCTGCATAATACCTTAATACCACATAGCATCCCTCTACACTGTAATAGCGTGTGGTAGCTGTACTGCTGCGAACTCTTCCGATACAGCGCGCTTCCCTTCCATCACGTCACTCACACCGACACCATGGCTGCTCAAGCGACCACCACGGGCAAGTCGGTGAACGTGCCGACGAACCCTCGCATTAGAGATCAGGACATCAATGCCAAGCTCCAGCTCTACGGCATCTTCACCGGTGCGTTTCGTGCAGTTGCAGCCTCTACCGCGGAACATTTGCAGCTAACACAGATACTGTAGCCTTCGCCAATGGCAAGTTTCCATCCGTAAGTGGTAATAAACGCGAAAGTCGTGTGCACGAGATATCTGACCTTGGCGCAGAACAAGCAAATCGATGTGGCCATGAACAGCGCGCTCGAATGGGAGCAACTGCGAAACCCATCTAAGAGGCTCTCCACAGAGGGTCAAGGACTCGTCCGCGACCTACGTAACGTCATCGAACAAGCCAAGATACTGTTCTTGACCAAGAACCAAGGCAACCTCATCCAGGACTTCATCTGGCAAACGCAGCAAATCGGCTCCGGAAATGCCGCCATGCCCAATGCTCCGCTCGACAAGGATACGGCCAAGCAGCATGGCAACCAGGCGCTCGACGGTCTTCGCACGCTCGGCACGCTCCTTATCACTAATGGCCAGTTCAGGAAGCTGTGTAAGTCGCGCAGTGTGATCGACACGTTCAAATACTGACCACGAACAGTGAGCGATGCCACTACCCTTCTTCGCGACATGGCCGGCGACGCGGCCTCCAAGGTGGCTGACAAGGTCAACCCTAGCGAAGAGGCACTCCAGAACATGGACAAGCCAGCCGAAGATAACGTCTGGCACGACACGCCCGACCTCTCGCGTGACAACCTCAAGCAGCAGGTTCAGTCACGGGCTCCTATTGGCAAGAAGGATCTGCAAGATGTTGCCGGCGATGCCACCCAAGCGGCGCACCCGAGTGGCTCGCGCGACCCCCGTGACGCCGCCGAGACGGCAGCCCGTGATCAGCAGAAGGGTGAGTATTGAGCTACGTTCATTGCAGCAATATGCGTGCATATACGCATGTTGAACATCCGCTGACGCCCAAATTCACCCATAGGCACATCATCCGGCATGGATGCTGCACAGGGCGCCAAGCAGGGCGCTCAGAACCTCAAGAACAAGTTGTCCGAGAATGTTGACGACGAGGACAAGGACAAAGCCAAGCAGAAGACCACGGAGGTGCGGGAGAAGACCGCCAACTACTTGAAGGAGAAGATGCCGCAAGAGCGGCGTGAGCAGATCATCTACCGCCTGAAGAAGATGGTCGTTGAGATCCAAGGCCACGAAGATTGTGAGTATCCGGAAGTTGTAAGATCTCCTCTCGGACGCTGACGTTGGGTGCAGACAACTCTGCTATTGACACACTACTTCGATTGGCGGAGGAGTACACCGGCCACTCCAAGAACTTGGCCACTCAGACGAAGGATTCTGTCAAAGGTGCTCACGACCAGAGTACGCTTCAGAAGGCTGAGGCTGATCTTAAGGTAAATACACAGGCTTTCTTCACAATAGTCAGCCTATGCTGACAGACTTGAAGACGCTCCTCGAGCGCTTTGCGAACAGCACGTCATTTGACGACCTCATGGATGCGATCAACCAGATCTACACCGATGCGGACCGTGACCCGGAGCTCAAGAACTGGTTCACGGACATGGATCGCTACGTCCGCAAGTGCCTCAAGGAAACAGGCTACATCCTGCAAGACGAGTCGACCGAGCGCTGGAACCAGCTCTACGACCACGGTCACTTCCTCCTGCGTGAGCGTTACAGGAACCACACCGACCGTATCACGGATGAGCTCAAATTCCTTGCTAACCAGTTCGATGCGGATCCTCAGAACAAGGCGTTCGCTGACGCTATGAACAAGCTGTTCTTGGAGCTTGGCAATGATGAGAACGGGCAGCCGACGTTCAAGCCACATCTGATTAAGGATCTGACTGAGGTTATCCTGCCTGGGTTCTTCGAGACCGTCAACTACATTCCGGTTCCGCGTATCGAATACAGCGATCCCATGATCGATGCCATCGTTGAGAACCTTGTTCTCGAAGGTGATAACTTGGCGCCCAACCTCATGGAGTTCGGCAGCGACAACTACTGGCGCTGGGGCCGCAAGGGCATCCAGAACAAGAACAAGAACAAGGTCATGCTCTCTGTGTCGGGCATCCAGATGGATCTACGTGATGTTTCTTACTACGTCAAGAAGAAGCAAGGCTTCCCAGGCATCACCGACAAGGGTGTCATGGACATCTTCATGGGTGGTTCTGGCTTCAGCTTCAAGGTGGCCATGGAGACCGCCGACACCACCGACAGCCACCACTTCTTCAAGATCAACACCGTTGTCGTCGACATCAAGAACTTGAACATCAAGGTCAAGCAGTCAAACCACAAGCTGCTCTTCTCCCTCTTCAAGGGCACCCTGCTGAAGGTCATGCGCCCGGTCATCCAAAAGGTTGCCGAGAAGCAGATTCGTGAGAACATCCAGCAGCTCGATGCGATGCTCTACCGTGTCAAGAAGGAGGCCGACCGGGCTCAAGAAGAGGCCAAGCGCAACCCCGATCCGGAGAACATCCAGAATATGTACCAGCGCTACTGGACCGCCTTCCAGCAGCAGATCCAGAAAGGCAAGAAAAAGACCGAGGAGGCGTCCGCCGACAAGAAGGTCAACGTGGCCATCACCAAGCACGACTCGATGTTCAAGAATATCTCCCTGCCAGGTGGCATCTCAACCAAGGCTACCGAGTACAAGAACTTGGCTGAGAAGGGTGACAAGTGGGAGTCGCCAGTCTTCAGCATCGGCTCCGCCAAGGAGAGCTCCAACTTGCCAAAGATCTCGGAGCCGAAGCGTAGGCCGCACGACGTCACGCGGGGTGGCGTTCGCGGCCCCAACTCCGATCTTGACAGGCAGGGCACCAACGGCAACTTCAGCAGCCAAGTCAACCAATACGATGGCCAAGGCGGTCAAGGTGGCTACGGCAACCAATCCGGCTACGGCAATCAAGCTGGCTATGGTGGGCAGGAGTTCGGCAACCAGGCTGGCTATGGCGGTCAGGGCTACAGCACCCAGGGCAACTTCGCAAGCCAGGTAAACAACGCCTTTGAGGGCGACCGGTCGCAGGATCTAGGTCTCATGCAATCAGGGCTGAACGGCCCAGGCTCCGGCGTTGGATCCGGTGTCGGTTCGGGTGTCACTGGCAGCGGCGCCACTCACGGCACCGACAGCGAGCACACCCTCCTCGGCCGTGACAACCCAGTGCTTCGCGGCCAGGTCTAGAAGTCCTAGGCGTGGCCCAGCAAAAGAACAGCGGGGCTGAACCTCACCGAGACCGGGTCTTCGACGCTTCGTCCTCGGTGTGGCATCGCCTTGGTCGATTACATAACGAACTTTGCACCATCACCCCGGCGTTGAAGCATCTGGGAGATACCCACGAGCAGCCTTGCTTCATCTTTTGCTTGCTTGCTTGCGAAGATTGGCAAGTTGCGAACACGGCTTTATGGAAAGAACATGGGTTTGCGGACTGTTATGTGCTTCTTGCATGATACCACTATTGCGTTTTACGGGCGGCATTCGGAAGGGTCGAAAAGTTGTGAGGGCGATAGGAAGCCTTCGGTAATGCAGAAGGGAGAATGATGGAGGTGGAGGAGGCAGCAGAAAGGAAATAGTAGCGGTAGCTTTCATTGCGTATGCGTGTTTCCTCACATCGCTGTGCCACTTTCCATCCCCTTGTCCACGGCTAGCTTTCGTCGCCACCGCATTCACGGATCGTAGTAGACTGCAAACTGATCACATTTCCGATCACCGGAACAGCATGCTGTCTAGACATGCAGCTTCGACAAGCTGTGCTCATTCACTCACTTCTTCCAGCAGCTATCTGCGTCGGGATGTAGCTTCGGCTCCTGAATATACGCCCGCTTCTGCGCTTTCTTCGAGCTGTCAACACCGAACCGCCGATCCCGATCACCCACCTCTTTGTCGAAGTCAAACTGACTCTTGGAGGTAAAGCTCATCATCAACTGCGGCTCGCCCAGCGGCAATTCATCCCCCCGATCCGTCTGCCACAAATGATACACCTTCCCGTACAACACCACCACCTCCTCCATCTCCTTGTTCTCCGCGGCCTCCCACACGGCATCCGGCACGCCGGTCGGCGCGGGCATGACGAGCATCCCGCTTTTCACCTCGAAGACGTGGGTATGCCAGAGCTTGCGCTCGGCCGGGTCGAGTTTCTCGTAGAGGTGTGGTTTGATCATGTATTCCACCCCGATGAGGCGCGCGTTGGCCTTGTCGCTGTCGTAGAGGATGCATTGGCGCACGTCGTCGTTGAGGTGCGCGCAGTAGTGGTTCGCTTCGACGTGGCGGCCGGGTTGGGAGGCGTAGGTGTGGAAGGCGTTGAGGTGGGCGCATAGGCCTAGAGATGTGCGGCTCGGTCAGGATCGCGAAGTCATGGCCACCCCTCGCTAGCACGGGGGGTTTTCACTCACGTTTGGGCGGTTCGAAGTTTTGGACCATGGCGGCGCCCGTTTCCAGCGTGCGGTTCATGAGCGATTCCTCGCCGCCTTTGGTGGCGTTGGTGGTGGGAAGGGAATCCATCGCTGACTGTATTCGAGGTCGTGCAATACCTTGGGATGTACTCAACGCTGGGGGATTAGAGAGATAGGAGAAGAGAGGCTACGAGTGATGAGGGTGGCATATGACAGTGAAGGAGATCATACTCGAGCAGCATCTGGCGAAGAGCAGGTCAAGTTGACGTCACCTACCACTATATCACCCACCGGTCGACGAAGAGATAGATCGCGACAGGGCGACAGGGCGCTCTGCTTCGTGCCGCACAACATCCTTCGAGTGCAGGAATCCATTGCAACAGCACAATACAATTCGAAGCCAGCAGGAGACCATGAAGGTAGGTTCACACGCACGTGATGTTTTGCCTAAGGCACGAATGGATTTGGCTCGCTCCCCATCAATTTCTGCGCCTTTCGTCTCGACAAGTTCGATTGCCCGAAGCTGTACGAGCACAATGCTGAGCGAAGTTCCTCCATCAAGCCCAGTAGCCGCTGCTGGACGAGCACGTACGTAGCGTCCTCATTCTCCTCATCTTGCCAGCCACAGCTGGTATGAGCAGACAGACGCTCTCGCCTTCGTAGATGAACAAGTTCCACGGACGAGGGCAAGCGCGAGTACTTTCCGCTTCCGGCGGCCGCGAAGTTTGTTCCCGCTGAACTTCAGCATCATGAAGACCCTGTGTATGCACCTTTTTAACTACTCGTGCAATTACCACCACAACACTTAGCAGCAGGTAGGTATTCCCGTTGGCATCGAACTTCCAGCATACCCCTTTCCAGGCATATACGTTACCCATCCTTCCCAGGATTGAAGATTCAGCCCGATCGCTATGAACCATCGCTAGCCCAATATGAACTTCTTTGGCAACCGTGCCGCTTCCGGCAACGGCAATGCGAAACAACCAGCCATCAGGAAGGTCACGACGCAGGTAGCCGTCAAGCCTGGCCGGGCTGTGGGTGCCTCGAGTACTGCTCCAGCCTCTCCTGCGCCGGCCTCTCTACCCGCTCGCTCCCGCAATACCGAACGCTTCAAGCTTTCAGGCAGCAGGAAGCAGAAGCAGACCAGCACCCTACGGCACAAAGCGTTGGACTCGTCGTCGAGAGGCGTGAAGCGGAAGAGCGCTACACCTGATGTGCAGTTTAGCGACGAAGAGCAGGATGACAGTAGCGACATCGGAACCAGTGATTCTGATGCCTCGCGGAAACGGCCGAAGAGCAGCGTGAGCTCGGTAGAGACCTTGAGTGCTTCGCGAAGATGCATCGTCCCCAAAGCTGCATTCCGGAACGGCGCGCCTCTAAGCTTCATCCACGGCGCCCACCTCACCTCGGGCGAATACCGGCGCAAGTATGTGAACCCTTGGGAACAACCCGATTTCTCCACTGTCGAGCTACAATACCCTAGTAAGAGGCAACGGGAAAGCTTCGAGCTGAAGTGGCCATTGAACGAGAACGATGACTACAGGCCCATGGAAGACATTCGTGACACGATCGAGACCATCGTCAAGTTCTACTACCCTGAAGATCTGGTGAGGAAGTACACCGAGATCGAGCACTCCTACGCCCGTCGCTTTGCACGGGCGTTCCAGTTACAAAGCATCCAAGACTGGATCAAGATTGTCCAAGACTTCAACCACGAGCTCCGTCGGCTGATCAACGATGGTTCAATCGAACGTGAGCTCCAGGCTAAGCGAGGGTTACATCTGGAGTGGATCCAACGCATCCTCGATCAAGTCTTCGTCCGGACCGTCTCACCCACGGCCGAAAGCCTCAATAAGTACAAATCCGGCAGCGACAACGTGTATGGCGAGCTCCTTCCACCGTTCGTTTCGGAGATCTTCCGCAAAGTAGGTCTGACGCACGACCACGTGTTCGTCGACCTGGGCTCCGGTGTAGGCAACGTCGTCCTGCAAGCCGCGCTTGAGATCGGTTGCGAAAGCTGGGGCATCGAGATGATGCACAACCCATGCGAGCTTGCGGATGCGCAAGCCGCGGAGTTCGCCTCGCGAACACAGCTATGGGGCTTGGATGTTGGCGAGGTCAACTTTCTCCGGGGCGACATGACGAAGCACTCGGCCGTACCGGGACTGCTGCAGCGCGCGGACGTCGTGCTGGTGAACAATCAAGCCTTCACCCCGGAGCTGAACGACAAACTCAAGAACATGTTCCTGGACCTGAAGGAAGGCGCGCGGATTGTCAGCTTGAAGCCCTTCGTCCCGATCGGCCACAAGATGGCAGTCAGGAATGTCGAGGACGTGGCGAACCAGTTTGTGCAGAAGCAGGATGAGTACTTCTCCAACTCCGTCAGCTGGTCGCATTATGGGAACAATCATTGGTATATCGCCACCAAGGACACCAGACCTCTGCGAGCTTTTAGGAAGAAGGCGGGGCTGGGTTAAATGAGTGTTACTTGCCGTTGGTGCCTCGCTCAAGCTGGCTTGGGTTCGTGCTTGCTGGTCGGTATCGTTCGCTTGCATACAATGGCTCGGGTGGCATTAGTTGCATGATACCCCCTCTGTACGTTTTAAAACCCTAGCAGGGAAATTCTTGCCGAGTGGCATTATGTGTTCACTACATACTGTTCCTGGAGCAGTATCTACATCTGTGCGTGTATGTCCGTCTTTGCTTCCTCCGTGTTCATGCTTGAGCGTGAACTTATGTCGTTAGAAGCATGGCTTGGCATGCTGAAACCCTACATTCACTCCAGATTCCAAGATGCCCGGATAATGTAGGCGCGTGCGGACTTCAACTTCCTCACTCTGACTGCAAAGATCATGGTAAGCAATCGCCTCATCATTACTGTCACTCTGCCAGAGACCCGTGAGCTAAGACGCGTCGCAGGCTCCAAAGCGCAAACAACCAGCCACCACCACCACCACCTCCTCCAAATCCGCCGCCGCAACCACAACCACAGCACCCAAACCCCGCCGCTCCAAGCTCGCAAAAGACAACGACCTAACCGCGGAAGAAGAGACCGAAATCCACGAAGCCTTCGCCCTCTTCTGCACCTCCGCCGACGCCAAAAAGTCCCGCATCGCGACAAGCGAAGTGCCGCGCTGCCTCATCGCCTTGAACGCCCCGGCCGCCAATGCAGCGGAGAAACGCGAGATCGTGGATACCCTCGATCCTGAGAACACGGGATGGGTGGGGTACGAACACTTCGTCGCCGTGGCGGCGTTGAAGATGCATCAGGTGCGGGATAGCAAGAGGAGGGAAGGTGGTGGTGGTGGTGGTGGGGGGGTGGACGAGGAGGTGCGCAAGGCGTATGCGTTGTTCACGAAGGGGGAGGAGAGGGAGATTGATATGAGGGATTTGAGGCGGGTGGCGGGGGAGTTGAGGGAGGAGGTGCCGGAGGCGGTGTTGAGGGATATGCTGAGGGAGGCTACGGGGGGTGGGTTGGGTGGGGTGAGTATGGAGGATTTCGAGGGAGTGATGCGGAGGGCGGGGGTGTTTGGGTGAGGTGGTGCGATATAGGTGGGATGTGTGTGTGTGGGATGGAGTTTGCGGTGTGCTTTTGTGATACCCATGGGCGGCGGCAAAGGTTCAAATTGTTGTGCTTATTTAATCGCTTCGTCCAATCTCTGCCATGGGTGGAGGTGGTCGGCAATGCTATATCCTGATCCTCTCGAACACATACCGGCCCACTTTCGCTCTTCGCTCTGCAGTAAGCGCGCGGCTGCTCTTCTTGCCTTCCGCCGTCCACGCAGCTCCACTCCCGGCGTCCATCGTGCTACCGAGTGGCAACGTCTGCAGCGTATCAAAGGGCGCATCGGCCGATGCTAGCAGACGTTTTGGCAGCTTACTCGTTGCCTGCGCTTTGTCCAGAGCGTACTCGTACCGGTACAGCTCCTCCAACAAGCTCCCCAGCGACTCGAAGTCGTACAGGCCCTCCAGACAAGCGCTGATCTCTGCTTTTAGTTCCTGGAGCATGCCAGTCGTGGCAAAGGAATCCGCACTCTCGCCGACAAGCCAGCCGCTGATACCAATGGCATCAACGGCACACTTCATCAGGACGCTGATTCGACCCATGGCGCTGTCACTTGGAACGTCACCCTCTTCGTTGCCAGTTCTAGCGGCAACGACGCCGACCACTTCAGGAGCGTCGACCGGCTCCCCCTCTCCGTCCGCGCCAAGGTACTGGTTCTGCCACCCGCCTGTCAGCATCTCGACACGCAAAACACGCACGAAGAAGATGAGGTCTTCATGGCGCATCATAGCTCGCATGGCTTCGGTGATGGCTTTCTGTGGAAAAGCGCCCAAGCGGTCAACAATTATACGGAACGTCTCGCTTCTTAGTTGCAAGCCGTTGGAGAGCGTTGAAACTGCAAGCTGCAGTTCGCGTTCGGCCAGTCCGGACTGTACTTCGAGCTGAGACTCCAGCTCGCCGTTGACCAGCGCACGGTGGCTGTTGGCTGGAGCGGAAGCCGTGGGAAGTCCCGTTGCATCTTCCTCGTCCGGTGAAGTCTCGAAGGATTCGATCAGCAGCGCCATTGCTTTGACAAGTTCCGGAAGCTCCCAGTACACTGGCAGTGCGAGTACGTCGTGGACCAGCTGGAATGTGTCGTCAAAGTCTTTGAGGGCAGCCATAATGTCCCCGGGTTGGCAAGTCCGATCGCTCCTTGACGTCTCTAAGTCCTGAGCTAAGCTTGACTCGAGCTGAGCGGATGTCAACAAGCCAGCAAGTGCAAGCCAGCGATATATCTGTGGCGACGAAGCCGTCGTCGAAAGCCGTACTGACTCTGTGCGGGCGCCCGTGTTGTCGACCTGGGAACGGAAAAGTGTGCGGAGAAGGTAGTTCGCTCTCGTTCGATCGATCTCTGCAGTACTCACATTTCTTGGGTACGGATCCAGTAGAATGCCATTCGCAGCAGTTTTGGAGTCCGGGACAGCATCGAGATGGGCGATCGGACCATGGTCGCAAGTGCCTTTCAGTACCTCACCCTCTAACTTCAGGACTTTGGCGACGAGACTCTCCAGCATATCATTATCGTTGCCCTCGCAAGCTACACCGACCTTAGACTGCCAGTCTTCAAATTGGTCTGCGCGTTGCACCCTTTTCGCTGCGCTTCCTGCCGCCCGTACGGCGGTTGTGCCGACTCCTCGCTCAAGCACGTCAATGAGAGTGGCTTTAGCGCGCTTTGTGCCGCGCAGGACTTCACGGAGCTGGATGCCGATGAGCTCCACTCCACGCAGTCCTACGACAAGGCCAATGTCTTGGTAACATGCAACCGCCTGAAACGCAATCTGAACAGAGTCTTCATCGGTCCGCTTGCGCTTCTCGCCAGCAGACGCCCCGTGTCCGGACGAAGCCAGCGAGACTGAGGCTACAGCCGAGCCATACGTTGTTTCGTATGTGATCGCCTGGTGTTTATAAACAGCCAATACTGTCGCACCTCCGAGGCGTGCCACGCTAAGGACTGGATCGGTCCCATCACCCTTCTTCAGGATCGCTCTCGGTATAATGCTCGTAAGATCGAACAATGTAAACTTGCCGCAGGATAGTTGATACAGCTTTCCCGAAGCAGCATGCAGATCGAAGAGTGCAGTGTCGTTACCCAAATGCCCCGTTTCAGTACTAGTCAGGTCATAGCTGGTTAACAATTGCAAGCTGTCTGGACGGGCTTGCAATCGGTCCCTCGACTGAATGCGAAGCCTGAATAGCTGCAAGACTCGGCGGTCATTGAGGCGGACAATCCGACAGAGGAGCGGCTGGGCTTTCGCATTGCCCGTGACAGCGTTGTCAAGAGCGGCCAGGACGTCACCTCGCCCTGTAAGCAAGCCTTTACGAGCCGTGTCCGAGTCGGTGACAGCCACATACACCACACGAAGATTGTCCTGCTCGGTGTGCTCCCATACAGTCGCGGATAGGTCTTCGGTCATACACGCTACTCGGCCGTCTTCGTAAGTGACCAGAACAAGTAGTGCGTCCGCATTATCCGTCGAAGCAGCAACGACATTGATACCCGCGATTTCTGCATCGGCAAGTCGATACTCATGCTTGATTGGTCCGATGTGTGCGACTTCATCGTCTCTCTCCGTTTGGTTTTCGTCCACTAGGCACACGAACCTTCGCTTTCGATCGTTCGGTCCGTCTCGCAGCGCGAGGTATGTCCGTCGTTGTGCTACCGCATTCCGACCAGCTTTGACGTAGATTGAGCATGGCGGAGAGCAGAGATAGGCTTGTGGCGGGAGAGCGTAGGAGGTGACCAAGCTCTGATTCTGCACGTTGTACACATTCACGCCTTCACCATCAATGCCTACTGCGATTTCATGTCTCTTCCTCTTCCTGCCCGCTCGGATACCATACACTTGAGCAGCTTGTACTTTTCCGTTGAGCGCATCAAGTGGCTTCGGCAACGAAGCAACCGTATGCGGCGTCTCCATGCCGCCTATCAAGCCTCCGTCTCAACGCTGTGTCCTGCGGATGCTCGAGAGTGTCTCTACTCGCGAGTCAAAATTTCGAGGTCGGCATATGCACTTCGGTAGCGAGCTGCGCCGAGCCGCCACTTGCGAACCCACTCGGCACCACTAGCGCTCCATCACCGTCCACTCGTTAGATACCCTCACATTATCACCACGCAACATGCTGTCTCATCGCAATGCGAATCGCAGTCTACGACATCCAGGAGAAAGACATCCCTGGAGCGATTACTTGCATCCAGCAAGCTTTCAAAGATGACCCTTACAACCATTGGGTCTTTGACCGAGCAACTTTCTCCTACAAGCGGAACGCTGTGTCGCTAGGCATTCGCTGCCAATGGGGTAGACATTACGCTCTATTTCACGTAGCGAAAGATATCGATGACCCTTCCGGCAATATTCTTGGCGTCGCCTGTTGGCTTCCACCGAAGGACCCTCAAGCGCCGCGGACTTGGAATGACTTTGCAGGAGACTGGTGGCTCTGGTTCGAACAAGTCAGGATGAACTTTTGGTACGGCCGTGGCGGGCTGAACGTCAAGCGCTACTACATCTGGAAGGCGAGTCAAGCCACGGCGCAGAGTGAGCTGTGGAAGGACCCCAATGGCTACTACTTCTGCAACATTGTAACAGTCCTCCCTGAAGCGCAGGGTAGAGGTATTGGCAGGCTACTCTTCAAGCATGTCACCGATGTGGCAGACCAGGAAGGTAGGAAGTGCTACCTTGAATCGAGTCGAGCAGAACCAAACATGGCCATCTACGGCAAGATGGGGTTTAAGCTCGCCAAGGAGATGGTTTGCGACGATGATGGGCAAGCGATAACGCTTTACTGCATGATGCGCGAGCCGGAAGTCGAGATGTAGAACGACTTGACTGCTGAACTTGAGACCTGCTAAACACTCTCTTTCATTACAATGTCACTTGAAAGCTCAGGTATCGTCCCTTCCCTGCTCTTGCGTGCCTTAGGCGCGGCGCCAGTGACGTAGCAGTAAACACGAAGCATTCACTCACGGCTGCCTTCAACCTGTATATTAGCAAAATATCAGACTTTGGCGTAGGCGGTACTGTGCACCTTCGACACATTGTCGCTGCCGTGAGGCCTTGATGAAACACCATGACTTCCACCACCACATTCCTCGATCTTCCTGTGGACGTTTTGTTACTGATTTTCCCGTACCTGGATGCAACGAGCTTCCTGCGTCTGACTTCAACCTGCAGAGCCCTCCATAACCCGGACTTCCTTCATGATGCAACTTACTGGTCTAGACTGGTCCGAACGACCTTCCGGGTGCCAAATCAGCCAGTCGTGCAAAATGATGGCATACGCTGGCAGAAGCTTTTCAGGCGCTTACTCACGCAAAGCCGCATATACACCTGGGGCAATAACGAGAAGGCTTGTCTGGGTCACACATACGAGTCGCATACTGCCGCAACCGGTATCGCTCTTCCCGGGCTGAGAAGAGTGAACGTGCGGAGAAGAATGCATATCAGCTGGCCTGCTGCAATGCAGGGCACAGATGGTCTGGGCGTGATTTCAGACGTACAATGCGGCGGTTGGTCAACCACACTGCTCACGTCTGCTGGAGCACTGTATACGGTGGGTGTCATGGATGGGATCGAGTTCAACCCAGGGCGACCCCCATACCTTCAGACTCCCATGGTGCAGCCAACACCATTGAGATACCCACCGGGCCATGTACAAGCACACGAACGAATTGATCCGAGCACGGCGATCAAGCAGTTCTCGGCGGGCAGAGCACACATTCTGGGTTTGTCAGATAGCGGACGGATTTGGAGTTGGCAAAACATCGAGCACTCCGCGCTTCATGTAAGGTTCGTCCATCACGAAACCCAGGAAGGTCGGTCGTTAGGATACGGCACTGTCCTGAAGGTGGTTGCGGGCTGGAACAAGAGTGCCGCTCTAATCGAAGGTGTTGGCATAGTGTTGTGGGATCCGTTAAAACGCGAAGATGGCGATGCTGAGGCCGAAGATGCTGCGCTTGTGTTGGAAAGCGCGGTTGTGCCAAAGACCTCTTACCTTCAATCTCGCGGCAAGCGTGTGGCAGAGCGGACGGATGAGGACCTGGCCTTGGCAGAGACGGTGGGCGAGGTGTCGAGCTTCGTAGTTTTGGAGCATGTCGCATTGTTCAGCACAACGCTGGGCAAGGTCTTCGCATCCGAAATCTTCTGGGACGACAACCAGCAACGGGCGAGCGACCCTATCGAAGTCGACATTTCGCAGACCGGAGAAAGCGAGCCGTTCGCGACAGATGTGCAAGGCTCCTTTCGCTCGTTCGCCGTCTTCTTGCGCTCCGGTGCCGTTCTCACAAGCAATCAAGACCGACTGATGAATCTCCTGCAATCACGCAGTTCCAACGAATCCCTATGGAGGCAAATACCTGCTTTACAACACAAAGACGTCATCAGCGTTGCATTTGGCGACTATCACTTTCACGCGCTACATTCATCGGGTTACATCACAAGCTACGGCACGGAGCCGGGAGCCTGCGGTGCACTCGGACTCGGTGGCCACGGTGATCCTGAAGGCCGCCTTCGGGGCATCAGATATCAAGGCATTGGTGGTGATGGCCGCCTTGTACCTCACGCATATATAGAGGGTCGCCGGGTATGGTTCGAGGAGGAGAAGCAAGACTGGATCACGTTCATTACTGCTGGCGGTGTCGACCCTGCCGAAGCTGCCGAGCGGTTGCGCATGGCTCTCGGAAGCCCAGACATACGCTGTCAGGGTGAGGTGAGCGAGTGGATCGAGCAGCAAGGCCGAGACTGGGAGTCGAAGTTCAATCTGCAAAGTGCCGATGATGACGGTCTGGGAGCTTACTTCGCGCTTAGCGTCTCGGCAGCTGGTTGGCATTCTGGTGCGTTGATGCTTGTGAACGAAGACCTGGCGGCGAAAGTGCAAGCCGCGTGCGAAGTGCGCGATCTGCTTGCGCCTGGCGCGGAGGAAGCGGAGGACAACAAGGGAGACATCTCACCGGAAACAGCGAGTCAGTCATTGCTGTCAGGTACAGTCTCCACGGTGCTAGATTATGGCCGCTGGTTCCTCGGCCTGCCACCCTATAACGCTCCGGCACCACAAACGCGCAATGAGCGGAACGCGACCGCGGCTCATCCTGCGGTTCGCGAGCAGCCACGCACTGCAGAGCAGATACATTTCCCCAGGAGCTTCGGCGACTCACCTCGGGAGGGGTACAAGTACGTTTGGGCATACGATCACTTTCCACGATTACGGCTCAGCAATGGGGCGGAGATGCCGGGTAACGTGCCCTTTGACGAGTGGAGGTATGAGCGACCGGCGTTCGATCTCGAAGCTGGTCCTTGAGTTGCAGGTAGAACATCACTTGTAGAGAAAGCTTGTCAAATCTCATAGCTTAGCATTGCAAGCAGCATGGTAGCTGTCTCGCCGTCGCCGCAAAGTATTTCAATGAACAATACCACACTCGTCATTGAGGTCGTATGTAAAACTAGTAGCAAGCTTGTCTCTCGTAATGCAGGTCGTGTTTCCATCATACGCTCCTTTTGGAGACTTTATGCATCATAATACCGAACGCCAGCATTCTTCGAATCGCTCGGTGCATTCATTGGGCAGGCCTACCAGTGCCTATGCCACTTTCCCGAAGTTTGACGAGCCGGCTAGTACTCGCCTTCGCGCTTGTGGTGATGGTGATGGTGACCCGATCCGGAGCCGCCGTACTGGCTACCTCCATACGAGCTTTGATCGTACCCGCCGTACTGTTGCTGCTGCTCGTGCTGTCTGTGATCCTTCCAGGCATCCTCCGCCTTGCTGCCCATGAATGCACCGGCAAGAGCACCTAGTTATCGTTAGCCATGATCACTGAATGATCATGAGCGAGTTGACTCACCGATAATGCCATGACCGCCCATCTTGTGACCACCGAAGCCACCAGCTAGAGCGCCTGCGACTGCACCGCCGAAGCCACGCTCGCCCTCTTGCGGGTTGTTTGGGTCGGCTGGGTCGCGATCGTAGCCGTAGGGGTTACTTGGGTCGCCTGACGGTGGCGGGCCTTGGCCTACGTCGTGGGTCAGCATGTGCTTTTGTGTGCTTTACTATGATATTTCAAGTGTACCCCAGGCGCCACCTTGGTTGTAGTCCTGCTGCTGGTGGCCCTGACCGTATTGGCCTTGCCCTTGGCCTTGGCCTTGCTCAGGGTAGGGCTGCTGATGACCGTGCTGAAAGCCGCCCTGCTGCGGTGGGCCGAAGGAGCTTTGCTGCTGGTAGTCCTGAGCATAGCTAGGAGCAGGTGGAGCACCATAGCCTTGCTGTTGTTGAGGATAGCCTCCGTATCCTTGCTCACTGCCGTACCCTTGGCCTTGGCCCTGGCCTTGAGGCGGGTAGCCTTGCTGTTGGTTGTAGCCACCCTGCTGGTACCCGCCTTGCTGGCCGTAGCCTTCGTTACCGTAGCCGGACATGCTGATGAAGATTGGTTTGAAGAAGGAAGTGGAATGGAAGGGAGCTGTTGTTAGGAGAAAGGGTTTGGATGAGATGGGACTAAATGATGAGAAGCCCAGTAGGAGAATATATAGGAAGTGAGGTGTCTCGGCTTACCCCACCAAAGCGGTAATGTGCTTCACTGTCGAGCTGAGTGAACGTCAACGTGGGCAGTGTAAGGACCCTGTGAAGTGTGGCTCAGCCTCACTCGATCGCGGCCGAGGGGCAACGACTGGAGGGGCACATGCAAGCGTTGCGCAGGCGGCGATGTCATGCAGGCGCGCCCGCAGCGATGGTGTGCGCCGGAGCTTGAGCACACTACGGACGAATTCTATGCATCATTAGTGAGCCATGTACCTTGTGTAGAATGGAATACATGAAGGCTGCACGTCTGGCGGCGTTGGTGAAGCTCGGTCTCCAGCAGGCTGTAAAAGGGATACTTGACAGCACGACGTGGATTGCTCTCTCATTTACCAGACGATACCGGGCCCGTCAAGCCTGGAGGAACGCTATGTGGCGTACCCTGTGGAAGCAACGCGAATGGTGCAGCAGATTCATGTTGGGTGCGATGAAGCCAAGATTGAATGCCTGCGAAGATCTGAGACTGCAATGTGTAAAGTGGTCTGGAGGCACAGCAGCGGCTGTCACTGAGCCGCGTGGCGCTGCTTCCCAGCGTCACACATGCAACTCCGGGTGAATGAGCAGACATGAATCGATGGAATTGAGCGACTTCCGACATTTGGAGCATTCTCGGTAGCGATAGGATCTGTCCATGCATGCCGGCATCACGTGCTTCACGAGCTCTAATAGCCTAGCAAGACACGTTTGCCCCCCACGCGTACCTCACGCGTCCTTTCGAAGATGGCTCCTGTAAGTGCAGAGTGTATCGTTCGAAAAATCACCATGTCCCCAGATCGGAACTTTGTGCAGTGACATGATGAGCTACTGTTGTGCTGCAAGGCGCGGCGGGATATGCAGGCTTCCGCAGGCTTGGTGTTCCATGGGAAAGTGCGCTCCAATCGCAAACAACTGGAATGAGAGGCGCTCCTTCCGAATCAGAGGAGTTCTTACAAGTGAATCATCAGCTCATCTTGCCTTTCCCGAGCCGCGGTTACAACAGTCAACAGCAGCAACACTACCACAACTCTCGTGAAAGCTTGACTGACAATGCAAATTGAACAGTACCGCCCGTCGAACCGCAGCAACCGCTCCGGCCGTTCACAGGCCGACAATGATGTTTTTGAAGGCTTGCCGGTCAAGCAATGGGGCGAACAATTCGCGCGAATCTCTCTCGCGCCTCCCGCATCAGAGACTGCCAAGAATGGCAGTGACCGCTGGGGCGAGCCGCCTATGCCGCGCGACTATCAGCTCCTCCTGCCATGGACGCAACAGCTTCTCCGATTAGCACGAAGTGGCAAGGTGGGAACCAAGCGCAAGGCCGACCCAGATTCCATGGACGAGGACCGGCCAGATGAGGAAGCAGCCGAGGAGTCCAAAGCAAACCTCGAAGACCGCGGCTACACTGCACGAAAGTGGAAGCCCATACCTGAAGCATTACTGGAGCCAGAGCACAAGCATTTCGAGTATCTTGCTAAACGTCGCAAAGGCCTACCAAGCCTATACGGGCAAGGATCAGAGCTTGCTAATGGTGGGCCCATCATCATGCGGAAAACCAAGGTGAAGAAAGCGGGCGCAGATGGCGAGACAGTCATCTACGAAGCTCTTGTACCCGAAGGGCAAGCTCTGGAAGGCGAAGTCACCGAGCCAACTGAGTTAGCCGACGTCAAGCCGGTCACTGCCGCACCCGGCACGGTCATCGAAGGGGTAGGCATTGCTAACGAAGACGGTGTGTTTGTTGCCGAACATCTGAAGCCCGCTGCTGTGGCTCCACGACGGAACAGACCTCCTCCTAAGAAGAAGGGTGGTCCGGGCCGTGGTAAGAAACGAGTCACATTCACCAACCCTGATGGGTCAACTTATACCAAGATCGTCCCGAATGCGACAAAGATTGTGCCTCAACCTGGCCAGACTGTCAAGCATGTCTCGAAGGGTGAGGAGGCTGCGGCTGATATATCTGTTGAGCAAGCGGCGGCAAAGGCTGCGGAACAGAAAGCGGGTGGCGGCGAAGAAGAGGGAGAGGAAGAGGGCGGCGATGATGATGATGATGAAGGCGACGAGGAGGACGAAGATGATGATCGTGAGGATGGCGAGCTGTCTGATGACGATGCGCCGGCAACAGGTGTCGCTACCCCCGCGCAGTCGGAAAGAGCGCCCGTGGTACCCACTTCGGATCCAGGAGCATCAGCGGCACAACCTCCGCCCGCCACTGAGCCGGAAGAGGGCGCAGCATCGACCAGCATGCGTGAGCTCTCCAGCTCGCCTGAAATGCCGCTTGCGAAAACGTCACACAGCAGACAAGGCTCTGTACAGTTGCCCGCTGCACCTGCGCCGGATGAGCTCCTCGCCACTGAAGAGCAAGCTGCGGACGGCGACGGCATGGAGACGAACCCCGGCGATGGCACCGCGCTCGAAACATTCGATGATGGCGAGGAGGATCTGCTTGGCAATCTCGAGAAGCACCTCAACCCCGAACGCGATGAAGGAGCGTAGAGAGCTCAACGTCACCATGAACCTATAGAGTCGAAAAGCTCGCGCAAACATGTTCGTAGCGTCCGCGAAGTTAATGGCCGCCGCCGCCTGTACAGTGGCTGCGAGCCCTTGAGATCGAGATGGACACCAGTTATAGTCGTGCATGAGCGGCATGCTATTCTATGGCTCGTTGCCATCGCAGGCTCCGCTTGGACAAGCAGGCGCTGTGATGAAGACTGGGCCGTCCACACGCACGATCTCCGCCACTCACAAACCAGTCCATGGCCGAAGCGAGTCTTCTGCGACTGGTATTATGGTCAATGCGGCTCCGGTGCGAAGTCTCCCTAATCTGCGCAACACGATGTAGTCGAGGCTACTGAGAGTAGTGGTGCGCTCGATCAACCAGGAAATTATGCAGGGCTTCAAAGCGTATCGAAAGAAGTAAGGAAAAAGGTGACGATTGTGATGGAAAGTGACACGGAGTCGAGTGACGTGATTACTGTACGAAGAAGACGGAAGAGGTCGGTCCGTGAAGCACAACATAATCGAAGCACTGCCCAACGTTATGGGCAAGGAGTGCCAAGCAAGGTCGGAGTGCGTAGGGTCGTCCGCAATGGCTGTGGAACGCAGCCGCCACCAATGCAGAATGGCTGTCGCAGGAAGGTCCGCCAACAGTCAGCGGTGAACGCCGCAGCAGTCCGTGGCGGCGGCGGCGGCGGAGCAGCGCATAAAACAAGCAGGACCTCGTCCACGAAGCGAAGGCGGACCGTGTACGATCAGTATCAACAGCTTATAGACGGCGCCAAAGCCGAGGTCACGGCAACGAATGGAGATCGCTCAGCTCGCCAGCTGGCAGCCTGGGGCGGCAGCATTGGCGGCGAAGGCGCGCATACAGCAGACCAATCCAAATTCGCAAAGCGTTGCAAACCCGAGTATGATAAGTCTAAACAGCTCATAGGGCTTGCAACAGCTGAGGCTAGACAGGGCCCGAGGGACTGGCGAACCTACTCGGCATGCTCGTTGGACAACTGTCATGACAAAGCCGTTTATTCCCAGTAGCGCCAGCTCCGACGAACAAAAGACTTTGGAAGACGACCATAAAGATGAGTGAAGCGTTTTAAGGTCGCTTCGGTGCACGAAGCGCACAATTCGTTGTGTTCATGCATTGCTTGTGCAGTGTTTGCATTCTACGATAGGCTCGTCGGCGGTCGTAGCGAAATATCTGAATAGTGTCATCATCACGGTAAGGTGATTTGACCGGACCACAGGAGGTCTGAAGCGGCTAGTTGGTCCACATCGCGAAACATTTGTATCCAGGACGTTTCAAACTGCACTTTTACATCGATGCTCATCGGAGACGATTATTAAGAAGAACGTATGCTACATATGGTGTTGCCGCGAGACCCAGCATTGCCCCTTTCGAAGGCTGCGATAATAATCGGCAGATCGTCGAGCTATGTCAGAATTTCGCCAAGCTCCAGCAGTAGATGTCATGCATTGCATGAGGCTATTGAAGCACTATTGAATGTACCACGAATCCTCTTCCGAGGTTACTCTCCGAAGTCGCTTGGCGGCACCATGTCTCGGCAAGCCGGAAGCGAGTCACTGGGGTGACAGACATGTTTGTATGGTTGTCTCACGATACTACGTGGTTGTTGGACGTGATCCAGCTATTTCCGCCACTATGCTATCTTACCGTTGCGGGGGCAGATTCGTGCTATGCCGATTGCCCGCTGAAGCTTCGTATCGCACCACCAAACAGGGCGACTGTGTCTGGAACACAACGTGGACTTTGTGTCGTACCGCAGCACGCGCGGAAGCCGTGCAACTATCAGGAATGATGGGAAGCTGAGTTTGAGGCAAGGTGCTGGCAAACGTAGAGACATTATCCATTAACACCGCGCTTATCCAATAATACAGTAACATGCCGTCCAAGTGCATGCTTGACATGGGTGCAGAAACGCCAGGATAAACACGCTGCGGCTAACCAACAGCGAACTTGCTCTTCTTCCGTAGGTTCTCACCAAACCACCACAGAATGCATGGTGCGGGTAGCCCAATTACAATACCCAAGAATGCAAGTGTCGTATTTCCGTAGCCGTAGCCTAGAGCGCTGTACATGGCTGGTGCAAACAAAGGGAAGGCGAAACCGCCGAGAGACCGTAGTACGGTCGTTGCTGCAATCGCTGACGCTGCAAATCGAGTGTATGAATCGACGATGTATGTCTGGCAGTTCTGGAAGACCAGCTGGTTGCCAGCGGCGAAGATGGCCGTGCCAATGTTCGGTACAAGCCAGAAGGTATGAGCTTGCGCAGACCACCCGTAGATGAGGAGACCGATGGGAACCATGACCGCGCCCGGGAACATGAGAGGGACACGGAACTCGCTGCGGCCGACATCTCCATTCTTCGCTTTGAGCGACTTGTAGATCCTGTCAGCCGTTTTTGCGGCAATCTGGGTGCCGGCATAGAAACCCAAGCCGAGTGAGATATAATTCAAACCACCAATGCCTGGTGACTGGCCGTATCCCGGAGGATGTTCGGTCGAAGAGTTCGTCCAGAGTGTTGGGAAGCTGGCCAGCACAAGATACAATACACCGTAGACATAGCCAATGTACAAAGCCAGAATCTGTACAATGGGTTGAGTGAAGAGCAGAACGAAAGGTCGTGCGAGTGCAGTCTTCAAGTGGCTGGAGAACTTGCGCTGAGGGTTCTCGAACTCAGTGCGAAGCTCCTTGTTGCCGGTGATTTTGATGAGCTGCTTCTTCTTGCGCTTCAAGATCTCCGCTGCGTATGTCTCTTTCAGGTAGAAAATGCCAAGGATTTGAACCAGCACCGCTGCGATCGAAGTCGAGTAGAAGACCCATCGCCAGCTGCTGTATTCCGCAATGAAACCACCAGCGATCGGACCAATGGCAGGGCCCAGCAGCGGCATCAGGGAGTATAGAGCCATGGCCTTGCCGCGCTCTTGCGGCAGCCAGACATCACCAAGAACACCGCCACCGATACCCATAGGCGCGCTGCCACCGAGACCAGAAAGGAATCGGAAAGCGATGATCATGCCGATGTTGTTGGAAAAGCCACAGAGTAGGTTGAAGACGCAGTAAAACAGGTTGCTGAGTTGCAGAATGATTCGTCGGCCGAAGAGCTCTGATAACGGGCCCAGGAAAAGAGGGCCGACGGCGAAAGCCAGAATGAATGCAGACATCGCCAACTCTGCGGAGAATGCCGCCGAGTCCGGTAATTGAAAGTCCGTTAAGATCTGTTTGAGACCCGGTGCGATCATAGAGCTGGACACGGGTGAGATGAACGTGAAGAGAGAGACTGTGATCGTGGCGGCCCATTTCGTCTTCCGAGGCCAGTTCTTCGGATTGTCTGGGTCGTCTGGCCCGTCCCAGGTGACAAGGTTGATGTCCTTCTCGCCTTTCTTGGACTTCGTTGAAGCTCCCCGCTTCATTGACACTCCTCGCTTAAGCGTGCCGTTTCGCACGATGTTGATTTGGCCAAAGGTTTGACCGTCAGTATGTTCGGGCAGTGGCCACTCGCCCTCGCCGCCATTCTCTAACCACTCTTCCTCCTCTCGTGCCCACTCCTCTTCTTCTTCTTGGTAGTCGTGCACAGCTCCGGCATAGTAGTCCAGGTCAGATACAATCAAGTGCAAGTCGACGATGCTTTCTCTGGGAATGCTCTTCACTGATCGTACAGAGTTCCCTCTGTTGAACGATTGGCCTTCATTGAACCACTGTGGCGGTTTCTTGGTCGTTCCTGTTCGTATGGGTTGGTAAGACTCGTCGATCCATGGGAACTCGGCGACGGATTCCGACTTCAAGCGGGCTTGCTCGACCTCCTCGATTGGCCGGTTTGATAACGCGTAACTGTCGTCCGTAAGGCCAGAGAACGATGTATTCCAGGACTTCACCGTGCCTACGGTGCTTCGAGGGGTGTAGGCCATGTTAGACAAATGAAACGCAAGACGCTCGCAATGCTGACGGGAATCAACACACTCGCGCCAGGAGAAGAAGAGCAGGGCAGAATCGTGTATATGACAGCTCCGGCGCCATCGCTGCCACACTCGGGGCTAAAACCCATCAGCCCGCGTACAAGCCTTGCACACGCGATCTCTGGCGTGCCGCAAAATAGGGGAGCTATGGCATGGCCAAAACGGTTCCAACTCTCCGTCAAAGCAGGACCGCTGACGCCGCTTGGCAGCAGCAAGGACCATCTGCGCACGCTTTAGGTCGTACTGCTGCTATTTACGTCGCTAGCGTACCGTAAGCGCGGACTACCATTCGTCGTAGGGTGTGGAGATGCATCATCGTACCGATGCTTGACAGGGTTAGGGGGCCCGACAACGCTCCCTTGGCGGCTCCACAGCAAACTCCAAGCCCACCGCACAAGCCTTGCTTCCAGGATTGCATGCTTTCCCAGCGCTGAGAGGAGGCGCAGAGCTTGCTGACAAGAGGCAGCATTTCGTCTTCTCGTAACCTGCTGTCAGCTCGTAATGCAGCGACGACACCGCATACACGATCATGTTGTAGCTCTGCAGGGGGACGGTGAGCATTGCCGGAATGCTCGTTTTGATCGCCTTGTCCCCGGTTAAGGGCGCGAGGTCAGGAGGCACTGATCCGCAGTTTCATCTCAATCTTCCCTTTTACGGGAACCTGGCGCTGCCTGGGCCGCCCTTGGTCGTTCTACCTACAAGCCTCAACCCCTCCCCAAAATTCACCTGCCTTCGGTAGGTTCTGTCATTTCGCTCGTTGGATCGGAAAGCGCCGTTAGTCATCGCATAGATCTCACGTTTTGGTTAACGCAGCGGGCAGTAATCGTAGCGGCGTGGCGGGGATTGAACGTCTGGATGCGTGCAATGCTTTCGCTCTTGGTAGTCAATCGCTGATCAACTTACAGAGCAGTGCGTTATTTCACAATCCTGCGGTGAGCCTACCGCAACCCTTAGGTAGAGCGGATGCCACAGCTATTCGAAACGCAGAACGCAACCCGTACGACAATGCCTGGCTATTCTGACGCATTGGACGCTGTCGGTAAGACCTGCAGCATTACCGTTGACCGGCCTTACGTACGAAACACCATGCGTCCAGCCCGCTAATTAGCTTGATCGTATGTGGTGCTTTGAAGTACAGTTCCTACTCGCTGTTCCAAAAGTGCTTTTGGAGACACTCCTCAGGGAAATGAACATACATTAACATCTCAAAGCATGCACTTACAACGTCCCAGCGTTCCAACTCGCCAGTGGCGTGGGCTGGACTCTCTAGCATCAATAACGCCGACCGTTTGTTCCGCAGTCGGCATTGTTCACTAGCAAATGTCTCATGGTCTTCAGACAGTCCGTTGGGCTCGTCCCGCATCTATAGCGTCGTTAAGCATCGCGTCCCTTGCCGTTGCGTTGTGATATTCCTTATGCACCTACCAAAAGCCCACTGGTTCATTCGGGCTGCGGTCTTGGATGCTGCTGGGAAGCAAAAAGTCGTGTAAGAGAATTAGGGCAATGTAGATAACCAAAAAAAACTGCGGTGCAGATTGATGGGTCAATCCGTGGATCGAACACGGGACCTTGCCAGCGGAGCATCTCCCGTGCCAGGGAAGCGCCCGGGATCATCGAGCGCTAGCGAGATGTCCTGGGCGCTTCCCTCCACCATGGCGCGGGAGATGCGGAGCTGGCAGGGTATGAACACTAAGCAAAACTCTACAGAGCAACCGTACATACGTGAAAGACCATGCCATGTCCTGTACTGTGAACCTTTAGTTACAATATGGCCTTGCCGTCCAACAATGCCATCCTGTAGGTAACAGCTCGCGATACCCAGTCCGCCTGTAGTAGGGCAGGATCATCGATACACAATGCGACGATTCACACCCGCGCCGAAGAACATCTGGGCCTTCCATCCGCGTTCATCCTTCCATGGCCTCCGCAGCAACATCAGCATCATCATAACTATCAGCAGAACCGACCTCAGGCTCAAGATCATCCCCATCACCATCCTTCCCTGATATGTCGCTATCGCCAGCTCGTGCCTTTTTGGTCGCCTGAGTACCTTGCTGAGAGGCTTTACGCTTACCGGGACGCTGCTCGATTCGGTCAGTAGATCAGTATAGGCTAAACAGCGAGATAGGCTTATACTAAGACTCACCGAGCCTCTAGCATCCGCGCTACCTATCTCTTCACCTACTTCCTCATCCGCCGCAGTACCCGCAGTAGCCGGTTTTTGGCCTCACGCTTCTGCATCTGTACCATATCGGAGTGCAATTGACGTACGATCCGACGAACGGCCGTTTTGTGACGTCCTTTGGCTACAGGGAAGTCGAGTGCTAATAGGACATCAGTCATATCTTTCTCTGGGAGGTCAGCTTTTCCGACAAGTCCGCGACCTTGCATAAACGAGGCCATATACTTGATAAGCTGCTTTCTCTCGTCGGCATTAAAGTCCTCTGGGTAGATACCTTGTATAGGCGCAGGGAAGGTAGTCCACCAAGTACGTAGGTGTGCAAGAACACCATTACGGATACGTGCAACCTCGGTTCCAAGGCGACGATGGCTCGTAGCGAAGCGGACTGGTGATATGATAGAAGCGGCTTCCCCTTTGACGGACTCCGTGGCTCTTTCGGTCATAATGTCAAGCCCTTCTCCAGTTACCAAGCGAGGTAAGGAGGGCGTGGTCTTCTTCTGCGGCGAGCCGGAACGCCGTGCACTGGGTGTTGGCGTCAGTGTTGGAATATCCGTAAGCGAAGCAGGCCCAGCGGGAGTCGGCGCAGTACCGAGCACCATGCGGCCCTCGTCATTGAAGCGCACGACACTGCGGGCCAGGATGTCATCTCGGAAATGCTTGGCCGTGTCCACACCGAGATCACGAACCTTGAGCACCTTGATGAGGTCCTCAAACAGAATGCCACGGTGACCTGCCTGCGCAACCGTGTAGCGAACATCGTCATCATCTGGAAGAGTTGGCTGCCCGCCACCTTGGCCGTCGATGGGAAACAGTATCTGACCATCCATGCGAACGTAGGGACGGAGTTCTTGCTGGAGATGCGCTAGCATAGCTCGGTCGTGCCGGTGGATGTTCAGTCTCTGGGTCAACGCCGTGAAGGTGATGCCCTGCTCTGGAATGGCTTCAACAACTTGGTCCACCGTAGGGACATCGCCCATTCCTTCATCAGCTGCCGTGGCACTCTCGAGAGCCGGATCGATGGCCGAGTCGTCACGACCAGCAAGCTGATGAAAGTAAAACTCGGCGATTTCTGCTTGCTGTTGATCAAGCATCGCTTGCTCAGCCCGGTCTCGCTCCTTCAACGACTCCGCAATCGCAGCTTGCAGATCTAGCTCTTCCTGCTCTCGCGCAAGTCTGTCGGCATCGCCAGGCGAGGATCTTGCCGTTTCCAGACCGGCCGGTATGGTGGAAACCTCGGCGGATGTGAACATCTGAAAGATTTCGGCAATGATGGGTTCCTCCAGACACGACGGGTAGCGGGCCACAAGATCGTTCACGTCAGATGCCATCAGCTCCTGTAGCTTGCACATGTTGCCGGTGAAGGACGACTCCAGTTCCTTCTTGTTACGAGTCAGGAATTTACTGTGCCGTGCAATGGTTTCGCAGAGCTCCACCAGTGGTTTCAGAGACTGAGCGAGAAACGGATCATCTTGCTCTGGATCATTAGGATTGTGCAGGAACGGACAGGCGTTCAGTACGACTAAGCAGTCGATGGTGAAGCGGTGGTAGCCATCGGACTTGAAGATCGAAGACGAGAGGGCTTCACCCTTCTTAGCAGGAGCCAAGTCTTTAGTTGGGGAGCTTGCACGAGAGCCTGGCCCATCTTGGTTCTCTGGAGAATCCGGCCCAGCTTCAGGAGCAGTCGTAGGGAGAGGTATCAACACAGCTTGTTGACCGGCTGGTATAGTCGTATGCCGAGCCCCATACTGCGTCTCGAACTCGTGGAGTCTTTTATCCAGGGTTGCAACATCTCCACTTACTTTGGCGCCTTCGTTCTTGTAGGCACGGAGCCTATCCTGGAGCGTCTAACAGAAACATGAATTCAGCTCAAGAACCGTGTCACTCAAAATAGGCGGAGGAAGCTCATCTCCACCGCCGTTTCCAGTGGTTTTTGGAGCCTATGCTTACCTTCTTGTTGAGTTCAGGGTAGTGGCGAGCCATGATGGTGAGCTATGATGGGCTTGACACCACATATGTCTTGTTGCCCGTGGAAGCCAAGGAGATCTCTGGACAAGTTCCGTTTGGCAGCTTCTCTTCACCAGTCATAGCAATCTTGATTGAACACGGCTTTGATCCGGGTCTTCTCCGTTCACGGGCTGTTTGCACTTTCCGTTTGGGCTGACGTAGTGGCTCGGGTAGGTGCGGTGGTGTCTTCCGCTTGGGTTGGTGTAACTTCACGCGTGAAATCTCTTTAACACCCCCGACTTTCACGCTTCAGCATTTCCGGCACTTCATCGTCATTTCAAAAGCAGCAGCAAGCAGGACGGGCAATAACAACAACCGCGCTCGGGACGAGGAGATCAGCCACAATGGACTTCAACGCGCCGCCGCCACGTTCCAGCAAAGTGCCCAAAGCTCTAGCCAGCATGCGCAAGGTCATGGAGGATGAAAAGGCGATGGCAGAGATCAAGGAGTTGAGTACCGGACTGTTGTTCTATGACCCGGCAGGTCCTTCGACACGCAAGAGGCGTGAGACCGCTCGTGTCATCTTCGAAGGCTACTGCGAGCAAGTGTTAGGAAGAGACGGACTTGCACCAACCGAGATGGTGAGTATGATCTCGAGGAGCGATATTACGACTAGGTTGCTGATCGTGACTCAAGTACAATAAGGAGACGATTATCGAGCGCACCTACGAAACCATCATGTTGTTGGCGGTCACAGCTGAAGGCAAGATTGGCGCCAAGCCAAAAGCAGGCGTTCTGTACCAATACAAAGAAGCGTTGTACTGGTGAATCATCCGTTTCATCCCGGAGTTCTCCAGCATTTTCGTCCAGTGGCATAACATGGCCAACGCCGCCGTGCACAAGGCTGCTATTACGCATGGTACGTCTTTCGTTCCGGAATATCCGGCCTGGTCTGGGAGCCACTGACGTGCGAGTAGGCTTCGAGACAGAGTGGCGTGAGAAGACAAAGCTCACCGTCGAGGAACTGGAGCTGTTCTGGAATCAAATCTCGAAGTTCACCACAGGTCGAGAGAACTGGAAGCAACATTACACCATCTGGATCCTTGTGTTCATGACTGCTGTTCGACCTGGTAGCCTGACTGTCTGCTACGGATACGAGAAAGGCACACTTCTTGCAGTCGGTGGAAACGTAACGAGAGAGTCCGATGAGACGCTCCGCTGGTCTGATATTGAGTTTTTCCGCGCACCGGGCGGCCTTGGCCTTAAGATCATGTTCAGATACCTCAAAGGATACCGAGACCCGCAGAGGAAGAAGCAGATGGTCTCTGGCAAGCGCACATTCACCTTCCTGCCCATCAACAGCAGTCGCTACTTTCTCGATCTCACACTGCTACTGACAGGTCTCGCCTTCTCTCGCGGGCTGTTCAAGTACGAAAGCCTGGAAGCATTGTACGGTGGCCAAGAGAAAGTACTGGAGCTAGATGAAGAGGTGAAGAAGCAAGCCGTATTCGTCGCGTCTGGCCAAGACACCAAGCTACAGGTTGACAAGGCGCTACACGAGAGCGGACTCAATCCCAAATTGCAGGAGATGTGCGAAGCAGTTGGACTGTTTCAGAGGAATACGATGTACTCTCTGCGTCGCACTGCAATTACCGAAGTGAGGCGCAAGCATGGCACAGAGATGGCACAGGAGCTCGCGGTCCACATTCCTGGCGGCAAAAGTCTCTACGCTTACGACGACGAGACACTCCAGGACATCGATCTTGCCAATGACCGACTCAACCTACAAACGATGACCCGAGCTGAGATTCGCCGTATGTTTTCTCAGAGCAACATGGCCCGGGTGAAGTTTGATGACAGCATCATGCTGACTGGACCCTCAGCCCAGTCTTTGCAAGAGAGCTTGAGGGCAGAAAGCATCCGTCGGGCTCGAGCTGATCCGCAATACGAAGCCGCGGAGGACGCTGTCCGCCAGCACTGCGCCCAAATTACACAGCTGCTTGGAACGCTTGGTGTCGATACCGCCCTTTTCACAACCGAACAACTCTACAAGGATCACCTCCGTGAGTATGAAGCTGTGAATGCTGAGTGCGGCCCTCTCATTGCTGGCCTGGAGAAACTTCAATCGACCCGTTTGCTCCTCCTCCGCCAGTTGAAGGAAAGGCATCGAGCCGATATTAAGAAGGAAATGCTCGAGCACGCGAAGAAGGCCCAGAAAGTCGCAGCAACTGCCGGCAAGACTGGTGCCCGTGGGCGCACGGAAGCGGAACCGCTTAGCGAGAAGATTGCCAGCATCGAAGACCCTACGCAACAAGCTGAGAGAGCAGTCGTTGCTGTTGAAAGTCTCACTGATCCTGCCGCCAACGAGGAAGAAGACAATGAAGGCCTCGAGTCTGACGACGAGCGGATGGATCACACACATGGTGAGCCCATGCAGTGGGAGAACCTTCCGGACGCACTCACTGTCGTTGTCGAGCCGGATGAGGGCGAATCTCCTCCGACTGCAGAGGGCCGCTTCCGCTTCGTCAAAGCATTCCTTGAGATGCAGTCCGCGCAGACATCGGGCTTGACTTGCTTGCCGTGTAAGCTGGACGAAACCGTACCGTACGAGATGAAGACGAAGACATACACTCGCAGCAAGCTCGACACCCATCTGAAGTCGGGCTACCATATGAGGGCCACGCAGCTGCAGAGAGCTTGGGTGATTGACTACGGTAGGCCATCAAAACTACAGCATTGCGTGTCCAATACTTAACAGCGGTAACTGACAAGTCACAGGTAAAGGCAAGTCTAAGGGCGAGTGCCCGTTGTGCGGTAAAATGTGCACAGCTGCGAATTGGATCAAACATGTTGATGAAAACCACGATGAGCAATTTGCAGATTGATGCAAACATCAGCACAGTATAATGGGGGTGCGGTGATCCCACAGCAGCACGTAGAGGCAATGAAAATGGAGAGATAGCAAATAATGATAGTTGCTAGCCAGTACGTGATATAGAGACCAAGCGAGGCGTGACCCTAGTAAATTGCAATCCATGGTACCGTTTCGGAAGCCCTCCCATTCTCTATAGTCATTGTGCACACTCCCGAAGTGCTTCAGCATGGGCTACACCTGGAGGCCGTCTGTCGCTGGGACCATTTCTCTAGCGCCGATGGCGGAAATCCTGCCGAAATCAGCCAAACAATGCGCAATACCTCAAAAGTTTTGCCATCCAAAGCGGAAAAGAAATCGTATTCGGGTCAATCCGTGGATCCTGAACGATGGTTAGTGACATTCACGGCGGTAGACGAGATGGCTTGCACGCACGAACACGGGACCTCTCGCATATTTGTGCATAGGGTGTGCCCTAAGCGAGAATCATACCACTAGACCTGGTCGGTTATTAGCCAATGAACGGGACGGAAGAAGGTGAGAGAAGTTCGACCTACCAATTGACCGGAGATTGTTGCAGGAAGCTACACCGCTAAATATGTTATTGAAGCATTTCTGCCGAAGCTTCTCCGGAAGAGTCGAGCTTCGTGGCTCCAACACATGAAATATGCATGATATAGCCACCTCATCGAGATGCAGCGCCTAAGTCGTTGTCACTCTTCATTGTATCACGACATTATACTACCATGGCGATGGACGAACGCTGCAGAACTGACTGGAGAATTGACACTGCGATGTGTCTCTGATGTTAATTAGGCGTACTATTACATTGAACATACATTAGATCATCGACTACCGGACCCTCCTGCGCCTGCCTGCTCTGCTCGGCGCAGTTGCGCATCAAGTGTGGACATGAAGACATTAGACGTTACGAAATTCAACCAAGCTCCTTCCCTTCGCCGGCCTTTAGCCATGATACAGTCTCCAACTCTTTTACAGCTTACTCTCATGAATCGCACGGATACGATTGCAGTGATTTAGTCGTACTCGTCCTTCACTCGCCTCTGGCTTTCGCTGTCAATGAAGCTGCCTCTGCTACGAGTACTCCTCTTCCGGCCAAAGTATGAGCTCTTCGTGTTCCTGCTTTCGTCCTTGCCGATTCCACCTCCGACGCAGAAAAGCACGGTAGCGATTAACCAGGCAGCGAAGGCTGCCCAAGTGAAGGCCATGGCTTTGACGCCGATATTGGCGGTCTGGCCGCTACTGCGAAGCGCATTGCGGCCAATGATGACCCAGGCCCTGTTCGCTGTTAGACAATCGTTGGAGACATAGAGGTGTACAGTACATACGTCATGAGCGCAGCAGTTACAGCTTGGAAGAACATCGCCAGGGCGGCATTGAGCCCTGTGAGATAGGCACCCAGACGGAAGCACAAGCCTAGAAAGCCCGTGAAGAAGGCCACAACTGCGAAGAAGACGGAGACGATATAAAGAGCCCAGGCGAATCGGCTGAGGTAGTAGAACTTGCGAGTTCCGATGAACTGAGTCGGGATGCCCGTTGTCGTGCCGAAGTTGCGTGGTGGATCAAATGGCAGTGCAGCCGTGGCGTGACCGCATTGGTAATTGAGGCCGTTCTGCTCACCGCAGACAGCTAACCATGTCCATCGTGTGGGGTTGTGAACGTTGGTGTTGCCGCCGGTGATGCCGTTGGTAGTACTTTGCAGGAAGAAGACCTGGTTCTCAGGAGTGCCCGCGGGTGAGCCGGAGAGGATGACCAGGAACTCCAAAACAATACCGCCAGCGAGCAGTATGAGTGCTACAAGCCCGAGGATGGGGCCTGTGGAGTGGAATGGGTCAGATCCGGTATGTCACGGATGCGCGATGCGCTGAGTGTGGTGAACTTACGTGCTATTGCCATGTCGTAAGAGGGCCGCGATGGGTTGAGGGCGCGTGAAGTGTGGAACGACTTGTTACAGTACCCTTGTGAAACACAGCAGACGCTGGCCCCAGATGATATGATCGACTCAAGATGGGTAGACAAGAGGTAGAATGGCGCAGCAGGCAGGATTTGAATCCCGCTCGGTTTCGTGACGTGTTGTGGCTTCTCCCTACGTCACCCCCGTGACTGTGAAGTCTAACCCGCAATGACCGTGCCGCGGCTCCTGAACTCTTCCTTCCGTGTTCGCGAGAAGCACCCAACAGCGACCATATGGGTACAGTATCACCCTTCCATGTGTGCTTCAAGATATCCACTCCAGCATACGGATCGCAGTCCTCATATCTGCAGCGGTAGTATTAGTATTAGAATACTGGATACTGCATCGTTGCAGAGCTCGACGTCACTGTCAACAGACTGGCGCGGCCCAAGCCGCATCTTACCGCCCCGGCAACGAGATCCCGGCATGCACAGTAGATCGAACCATGACAAGCTCTTAACCGCTTGGAGTATGTGCCATTGGGCACAATCGCACAAAGCATGTCCACGTCGGTATGGCCTCCCATAGCTCCAGGGGCTCTCCACAAGGAGGTACAAGCTACACTTGCACGTGAGCTTCAATGGCTTCTTGCTGCGCTGCAGGAAACACTTCAGTCGCTCAAAGCAGGCCTGGAGGAATGCGCCGAGCTACTCGCCCCTAAAGAGCCTGGCTCGACGCTTGTGCTGTCCTCTTTACGCTCTGAGAATCTAAAAGGCTTCATAACGCGTGTCGGGGCGCGGATAGTGAAGGGCGACGTGCATCTCCGCTTGCCCTCACTGCCAGCACCGAAGGGGCAGAATAGCTATAAGCTCTCCATCTCTACCTCCGCGGCAGCGCCTACACTAGTCCTGGATCAAGTGACAACAACCCGTACCCTGATCAACGCATGCCTCGACGTTGTGGACGCTACACGATGGACCGGTGACCGGACGAATGCCAACTTTATCTCTAGCCAGCTGCGTCTACTTCATGAAAACATTCAGGAGGCCAAGGCTGCACTGAAGGGATGGACTGACGATCAGAAGCCGTGGAATGAGGAGCCTGTCGACCCTGCTGCTTTCCAACCCCCGTTACCGAACAATGTCTCATTCCACCTCTCGATCTCTGAAGCCGCTGTACTCCTGAATGTGCGCACGCTGGAGGCGGCGTATCCTAATACTGGCACGAACACTCCGCTCTCAATCGCATCAGGCATTGGGACGCCATCTTACAGCGGCTTCTCGATCCGTGAGCGCTTAGCGAATGCACTTGGCGGGAGCAAACAGGCTTTCCATGATGAAGCGCACGAGGTCTTCCACTACAAAGGCCAGGAAGTGCGGGTCAGAGATAAGGTGAGAGTGGAAAGTCAAGACCCGAGTTTGATGGCCGCAATGGCCAAGCTCGCAGCGCTTGAGCGTAACATTGCTTTGAGCAGACGCGCGCTTGACGTGGTCATGGGCAAAGAAGCCGACGAAGGCTAACCCAAACGTTCTATCAAGCTACTCTATTGGCCCTTCAGACGATCTCCAGTGGCCTCGGTTTGGTTATTGGATGCAGAACAGCAACGGCTTGCTCCGGCGGTTATACAAAACCCAGCCACGACTTCCAGACCTTAGACCCACGCTCGATGATCGATGTGTGTAGGGAAAGGTCGGCATCCAAACCAACGAGAAACCCGATAAACTGGACTATTGTGTTTTGCAACAAGCAAGCCATTTCCGCGGCCCGCCCGCTTCTCTAGGTTTAGCTCATGCCAAGTCTTGAGATCGCCACATCGGCGAATGAACGCTTCGCAACTTTATCAGCGGCAAAGCAGAAACATTTGGTTGACGGGTGTATCACTCGTCGTATGCCCGCTACGCAGGCATCGTCGACTGACCACTGGAAGTATCGATAATGGACGCCGCTCTTGAGCGCTGTCATCGTTGAACTCCACTCAATCCTTACGAATAACACGCTGGCTTCCAACATGGCCCCAGCCTTGCTCACGGCCTTGGACTCCACCTCTCACGTCCACATTATTGTTGGCTCGAACCCACTCGCAGGCGCACGATGTAGCAGATCGATTGAGGTCGGTGCAACGCCTATTGTCATCGCCCCAAATACTGGCAACGTTCATTACGGACTTGCGAAGCGCATCGAAGAGCATGGCATACGGTGGCTGCAGCGCGACTTTGCAGATGACGACCTCAAGACGCTAGGTCGTGAAGAAGTTGAACACGTCGTCGACGCTGTCTTTGTTACATCTGGCGCGAGGAGCGCACTGGCACAGCGCATCTCTACCTTATGCAGAAGGCTGCGAATCCCGGTCAATGTGGCGGATGCTCCAAACTTGTGTACCTTCACGTTACTCTCAACACATAATGCTGGGCCACTTCAGGTTGGCGTTACCACCTCAGGGAAGGGGTGCAAACTTGCTTCTCGCATCAAGCGCGAGATTGCGGCTACTCTGCCAGTCGGCCTCGGAGACGCAGTGGAAAGACTTGGAACGGTGAGAAGGCGGATATGGGAGCAGGACCATGCCGCTGAGGCAGCGACGGAGTTAGAAGCGGAAGACGAGGAGACGGGGCAGAGTGCAGCCTTCAACAAGCTAGTCACTCCGACCGATGCGGAGGCGGCCCGAGCACGACGTATGAGGTGGCTGGCACAGATCTGTGAGTATTGGCCACTAAGGAGGCTGGCAGCTATCACGGACGGCGACGTCGACGCTATCCTAAAGGCGTACAGCCAGGAGAGCACCGGAATCACCTCGGTTGATGCGAAGCCATTGCTCAACCCGGCCACATTGGATGCAAGGCGGAGCTGCGGAAGGATCATCTTGGCAGGCTCAGGTCCAGGCCATCCTGATCTCCTTACTACAGCAACGCTGAAGGCTATTCGAAGCGCAGACCTTATATTGGCAGACAAGCTGGTGCCAGCACCTGTCCTGGAGCTTGTCCCTCGCCGGACGCCTGTACAGATTGCCCGCAAATTTCCTGGAAACGCAGATGCAGCGCAAGATGAACTCCACCGCATAGGGCTGGAGGCTATGAAAGAAGGAAAGACTGTTCTGCGGCTTAAGCAAGGCGACCCATACCTATACGGGCGTGGAGCGGAAGAAGTGGAGTACTTCCGCAATCATGGTTACGAAGCAACAGTATTGCCAGGCATCACAAGCTCGCTCAGTGCTCCTCTCTTCGCCAAGATTCCAGCCACACATCGAAGTGTCAGCGACCAGATCCTCATCTGCACAGGCACGGGCCGAAAAGGCGCCGCACCGGATCCACCAGCATTTCTTCCCAACCAGACTGTCGTCTTTCTCATGGCTTTGCATCGGCTGAAAGAGCTCGTTTCGAGCTTGACCGAGCGCAAAAGCGATCCATATCCATCCAGCACGCCTTGTGCAGTAATCGAGCGAGCTTCGTGCCCTGACCAGCGCATTATACGAACAACGCTGGAGCACGTAAATGCAGCAGTCGACGAGGAAGGCAGCAGACCTCCAGGCCTGCTAGTCGTGGGAGCTGTCTGCGAGGTGCTGCAAAAAGCACCGCAGAAGTGGGTGGTCGAAGATGGGTTTCAGGGGCTCGACGTGCTCAATGACCTCAGTGAAGGTGCGAACGGTCTGGATGTTCTGAGAGACTCCCTCGTAACGCCGGGACTCGAGGAAAGTGCCGACCCGATTGGACATAGTAGAAGTGCTGTTGCTGTAACCGTGTGAACATAGCTCCGCGCTTTACACAATGCTCACGACATAGCGATTGCCATCCGAACCAAAAGACGCGCTGCCTTGTCATTATCTTTAAATTCAACCTGGACGGGCTGTCAGTCTCAACGAGCGTGATTGGCGCTTTCGTCTTCGCCACTATTACAGTGTAGCATAATCACTCAATCGTTGAGATTACGGAGCGTCATGGTGGGATGACAAGCTCAGCGTGCGCTGCACTCTGGATTGGGTCACTGCGACCACTCGACAGATCGACCGGAGTTGCACGTACACAGCGATTGGTGGGTTCTGTCAACAACTAGCTGAGGTCAGACGGAACTGCATCGTCGAACTATGACAGGCTATCGGACGCAAAACCTCGATGGTCTACGACCGCCAATAAGCCAGGGCGACCTACTTATCGTCCGGATTCGTCCATTCTGTCAAGCCATCACCATGCACCAGGAGAGAGCAATGCTGCCTGATTCTCATCGTTGAAAACCGTTTGCCCAGGCCATGACCAGACGAATTGCAAGACATGACCGTCAAAATTCTGCGACATAACAATATGAGTCCCAGTGTCGTTCATTCTCGACGCTGGAGCAGATGTGGAGAGTGGCGTCGGCACCATGCCATCAGGTTGGACAGTTCAGAGAGACAATGAATGGTTCCTCAAGTATCTACCACTCAGTGGTGCAACTGTGAGGTGGTCTCTCATTCCCAGCCACAGCGGCTCCAATCCCAGCTTAGCGTTTCCACTTCCAGTTGTGAGTGATTTTGCAGCGATGTCAGGAGCGTTCTGATCGTTCACGTGCAGCTTATCAAAGGCGTTTCCATCAGATGCAAGCCAATTCGGATGCAGCGTCGACCGCCAAATCGGCATGGTTTCTCCCGTCGCCAGTACTGTATGTCACCTCGGTCCTGTCCCGCTGCAGATGCACTTTTTTACTGCGGATCGTCAAAGCCCACCTCCGCCGTACCCGCAGCGAGCTTACCGTTCAACAATACCTTTCGTATGGATAAGGCGCGCATAGACTGCCTCTGCTCCTCAGGACACAATTATCCACTTTGATATGCTGCTTATGCGGACTTGTTAGGGTTGCATTGCGTCGCTAGTCGCTCAATGTATCACATAACTGTCCTCCCACCACGCCCAACAGTGGCTGCTAGTCTTACACGTGCAGGTATCATTCTTTATTCTCACTGTAGTACACGTCCGCCAAATTTTTCTCTCAGTCAAGACCTTGCTTGATCCGCATAGCTGTAGCGCCGTCCTCTGCGTGTATCCTGACGGTACCCAGGCCGACCACTCTAATGCTATAATTATCGTGATTGCGGATCACAGGCTACTCACGTACATCCTCCGTCAAAGGCCCGGTCACGATAACCACCAAACTCAAGCCGTGCGCGAACATGCTTCCGACATCCTTCCACAGTCTCGAGCTTCAGTATGGCTCTCCTTGAAGTGGCCTGCTTCAGTCTCGAAAGCGCTACCTTGGCATCTACAGCGGGTGCGGACCGCATTGAACTATGCGCCAATCGAGAGGCTGGAGGTACGACGCCACCGCTGGAGTGGCTCGATGTTATCAAGCAGACGGTCGCGGTACCGGTCTATGTTATGATCCGGCCGCGCGGAGGCAGCTTCTACTACTCGGAGGACGAGATCGAACATATGAAACACGATATAGCGGCGTTCAAAGGTCTGGCCGATGGTTTCGTCTTCGGCCTCCTCACAGTTGAGCGCAGGATAGACGTATTTCGAACAGCAGACCTGGTTACAGCCGCAAGCCCGCTGCCCTGCACTTTCCACAAGGCCTTCGACGAGGCAGTGGATGCCTTTGAAGCCTTTGAGGATGTCATTGCGACTGGCTGCCAATGCCTGCTGACCTCCGGCGGTGCATCGTCGGCACACGCCGGCATCGACACAATCGCACAACTTGTACGGATGTGTCAGGGAAGAATCACAGTCATGCCAGGCGGCGGCATTCGAGCCAGCAATATCGGAGCTGTGCGAGCATTCACCCGGGCGTCGATCCTACATTCTTCAGCCGTGCCACACGGCGAGGATCGACCATCTGCAGAGGAGATTCGGCGGATGAAAGCAACGCTCAATGTGGAAGGCGCTCAAATGCCGTTACATATTGGTCCGCCAGTGCCCGCAAACGGATCTACCGAGGCCAACGGCGACGAGATGATGCCCTTGTCCGCAGTCTCAGTAGGCAGCTCCACGGACAGTGATCGATACTACGACTGTTGACACGAAACTACTACCCATTTCAATAGCGCGAGCACTTAGGAGTGCTTTTCTTGCAGGTACAGCGGCCGGCGGTTCGCCTACATCCGCAGATTCTCGACCCTCGCGTAGGCATCGGAAGCAGGCCACAGTCCATGATGGGGTAGGATAATAACAAGCCAAAAACGAAGGGCTCTACAAAATGCGGGCATATCTCCGACTCTGTGTCGTAGGCGAGTGGGGTCGCTGTATCTTGCAGGCAGCGCCATCCCCTACCTGGAAGGAACACGGTACACAAACTAGTGCGTGACCATCTCTGAACGACGCCGTGTAGCGTAGGCTGCATACAGTTCAAAGCTGCACGTCTTCTGCATTCACGGCTTGAAGTTCCCGCATGCTCATGCATGGCGCGGAAGCACCAGGTATTGCTTCTGTGAAGCTGCTTTGAGAATACAGGTTGGTTCGAAGCTCATACGATTGCCAAGCCCACAGGCTGCGAGGTCAAGGTGATCCGCACATGGAAATTTGGCAAGTCGCCTCATGTGGTGTCTAAGCTTTACTCGGCTTCTTGTACGCCTCACAGAACCCAATACGGGCTGTTTCAGCGATCTGCGGTACCGATTATACTACCTCTACTCGCTGACCCAGACAGCTGCCATTCCCATGCCAGTACCCACGCACATGGAAGTAACTCCGATTTTCTTACTTGTCCGCCGTAGTTCGTACAACAGCTTTGAAAAGGGAGTCAGCAGAATTCCGGCAAGGTCAGGCGAAGATAGAACTTACAGTGCTTACTTGTCTTGCACCAGTACAACCGAGGGGGTGTCCAAACGCAATGGCGCCACCTAATGCATCCATTAGTACATACCTCTCTTGGTGGTGTGCGCGGAAGCGTTACCTTTGGGGTTGATCTTCTCCAACGGCAGCCCGAGCTCGTTGGCGCACCAAAGACACTGCGAAGCAAAGGCCTCGTTGATTTCGAAGATGTCTACATCATCCTTCGAGATGCCTGCTTTCTCCAGCGCCACAGGGATGGCCTTCCACGGACCGATTCCCATGAGAAGCGGAGGCACACCGACAATTGACGCTGCAACGTACTTGCCCAATATCTTCTGACCCAGGCGCTCTGCTGTGCTGCGCTTCATCAACAGTACGGCTGCTGCACCGTCCGAGATCTGCGAGGCGTTGCCGGCGTGGATGGTACCATCTTTGGCGAATGCAGGCTTAATCTTGGTGATGGACTGCATGGTAACCTCGCGGACCCCATCATCTACCGACACGGTAACCTCCTTCTCCTCGTCCGTCTTCGGGTCTGTCCACCTGACCTTCAGCGGCACAATCTCTTCATTAAACAGCCCTTGCTTTTGTGCGACCCCAGCTTTCCTGTAGCTGTCCACTGCGAATTGGTCCTGAGATTCTCTGCTGATGTGGCGATCTTTGGCCATCTGTTCGCTCAACTTACCCATCGGAACCTTGCACTCGGCGGCAGCTTTGTGGTTCTCAAGCAGCTCGCTGAACTCGGTAACCGCCTGAGGGCCGTATTGAGTCGACATACTTTCGACACCTGCACCAATGCCGATCTCAATCATGCCGCTGCGGATGGCATTGGCGATGTCTGCGCATGCTTGCAGGCCGGACGAGCATTGTCGGTTCAATGACTTGACTGCCGTGCTGTCCGGAAAGCCTGCTGCCAGAGCTGCTGCACGGAACTCTGTAGCACCGCCGCCTGGTGCAAGCACGCAGCCTACAGCAATGTCCTCAACCAAGTTCGGATCGATGCCTGACCTCTCAATGAGCGCCCTGAAGGCGCCATGGAGGAGGTCCGCGCCTGCAGTGTCTTTGAAGCCACCCTTGCCACCCTTTGTGATTGGCGTACGTAGAGCCGTGGTTACAACAACGTCGTCGGGCCGCTTTTCTAACAAAGCTGCCTTACCGGTGGCGTTCATGTGAGAGGCGACCTGCGAAAGGCGGGATTGAGCGGCGGACATGTTTGCAGTCTGGTTTGCCATGACGAGGATTGGCACGTTAATGCGTCGAAGGTAGCTAAGAAGGTTATGTGGTCGTGGTCGTAGATTAAACGGTATTAGATACTAGCAGATCATTGTCACGAGCACATCGAACATTCGTGCTGACCACATGAGCTGGATGCGATGAGGCTGCTGCGACAAGCCTCGGCTCGCTTTCACATGCTTCTCCGGTCGTCATCAAGCGAATTGACTTCCATGTGAAACCTGCCTGAGGCAACCCCAGCTTCAAAGCGGATAAATGTTCTGGGGCAACGCAAAAGAAAACATGAAGACAGTAGATTCCGTTTGTTTGGACTTTTATTACTGTGCATGACGACGGGGCTAATATCGCAAACTTCTCTTGTTCATGCTATTGACGTTGCTTTCCGTCAGGCGCGTAGTCCTCAGTAGCCTGGGGCCAGAACATGAACTCGCTGGGTCCGCAACATGTCAGGGCTAACCTCGCTTCGTTGTGCACTTAAACGGTTTTACTCTGCTCAAGCAGTTCAAGAGGTCTACACCCTCACCGGTACCGGAGTCTGCTCGCTGTGCTGGGAACTAGTGGGTCGCTATCAGACCGGAACCGCGCTGGCACCGGAACCCGAGCGAGCACTGTCCCGATGGAACCCTCTTCCACGGCGCCACAATGCTGACTTACATAAGTCGAGGACCATGACTACTCGCTGGTGGCTGCAGCTAAGCTTGCCCGGCGCATGAAGTGCGGATGGTCCCAGCCTGAGTCAAATCGTTGACAAAAGAACAGAATGGCACTCGCAGGTAAGCTTGCTGTCAAATCTTGAATGCCCAGCCAGTGACCCCGTATGCCAAGTTTGTGTCGGGTCGTTAGTCAACTCCTCAAGACTCAACGGTCGTAAGGGCTGCTGTGCACGCCTCGAAGAAAAAGTATATCAACGCTTGTTCATCCTCCCGTTCCTGAAGGATTGGGGCGGCCTGAGGACCCGGTGCTGTAGTTCCTGCACAAGCGAAGCTCGTCGACCCGAATCCGCCTATAACCACCCCAGCGGCGATTGGGATCCTGAGGTGCAACGCAGCTCCTCTTGAATGCATATATGGCACGTGTAGGCGTGAGGTTGGATCTCGGGCATGCTACGTTCGTGTTGCCAACATTCAGCATATGTACGACATCCGGTGCCATCACGCACTGCTCGTGAGTTAGACTTGAGCATTTGAACCCAACATTGGAGGCCTGATAAACGAAGCAATACTTACTCATCGCTTGGGGCAGTCGGTACGCCATCGTCATAAGGAGTGTGGATAATCCATCATTTGAGCATATATGACGCGGACGTCAATGCGCATATTGCCATCCCGCCTGTCAGCATTTTGAGGATAACAATGCAACCTGACCTCAAAGTCAGCGAAACGCTATGACCTCCTACACGAACGATTACTGAACCTACCAGACATGATTCCACGTCGTCAGACGACCACCGCTATCCGTGCCTACTTCTCCCTGGACGTGCTCCTGAACACCGAGCACTACAGGCTTAGTGAGGACAAGGCGGCATGGACGCAGCGTCAAGAACACTCCCAACGCCAAATGTGACCCGGATAACAACCCTCAGCCAAGCGCATGCGACACTACACCATTGCTGCACCGTACTGTGGTGGCAAAGTCATCTGCCAGCAACAGTTCATTTCCCCAATGAAGCACGAAGACTAGGCGCGGAAGAGAAGAAGAATCTCCGCATTTGGCTCGAGAACTGGGAGGCTGCTTTCACGGAGTTTCTCTCTGCGCAAATGTCGACGATGGGTGCCGACGACCTCACACAGTGCCGTGTTCTGAAGGCCAATCACCTCACCTGCTGCATCTTGGCTTCGGACGGCGGCCCTGAACCGAGTGACTTCGACGTCTTCGAAGCTGAGTTTCAGGCCATTGTCGAGCTGGCACAGGCTGTACTACAAGCGCGTACCGCAGCTCCGTCTCCGCCGTCTGGGACCACGACAACACCACTCGACCTACTTCCAGTGTCTTCTGGTCTGGGCATCCAGGCTCCGCTTTACGTCGTCGTGACGCGCTGCACTAAGCGAGACATCTGGGATCGGGCCAATCGTCTGTCTCTCCAGGCTCGCGGACTATGACAGTAGCGAGATGCGCTTTTACGTCCGCATAACCGCGTCAGTCCTTGGGGCGGCAACGTATCTCAGCGCGCTTAGACTCTTGCATGTCGCTCACCTAATGACACCGAAGCCCGTGGTCTCCGGCGTCAGATTCAAGAGTTCCTGCTTATGCCGAGCCTCTGTCCAGAGCTTTTCGAAGCTAATGTCGCAGAAGTTGTCGTGGAACGCTAGCTGGATCAAGTGCTGACGCATTTCCTACCACAGGCTAACGTCAGCCGGCACTCGTGTCAGATATGGGAACGAGCTAAGTCTGAAACAAGGTCTTCTGCAGCTCAGACCCGCAGTTACACAAGACTTCCGTCGCTAATTGCGAACGAGTGGTGACGCACACCAACACATGGCGCACACAAAGGGAGATGCTGGGCCTTGCTATCGTGCCAGCCAGTCCCTTAGGTTGCAGCAGCCTTGAAACGCTACCACTGCTGTCCTGCCTTCCGCAATCTAACGGCACCAGTGCCACAGCTTCATGACGTTTGACAGACTCGGTAGCATAGATCAGACTTACCTCCCAGCTCTGGATGACCAAGTCCGTAATGACAACCACCAAATGGCCGACGTACCATGCCCTCTCGGGCATAGAGTGTGCAGTTATGCCGCCCACTGCTAAGAGCCACAATAGCAGGTGACTTCGCGTTCCAAGTGCTCTGATGAGGTGCGTGAGAGAGGCTTTGAGGTCTCGCACGATAGTGTGCAGTTATGCCGCCCACTGCTAAGAGCCACAATAGCAGGTGACTTCGCGTTCCAAGTGCTCTGATGAGGTGCGTGAGAGAGGCTTTGAGGTCTCGCACGATAGTATGCAGCATCAGAGTCGGATTGGGGAAGTAGCCGGACATGGGCGTGAAGACCTGAAAGTATGGACCAAATACATCAGTGCTGTTTCAGACAGAAACTAGGGCTTGTGAGTGAGAGAATACGTACATGCAGGCAGCCTGCAAGCCGGCAACTTTGCGAGAGCCCAGGTATCGGAGAGTCGCTGGCTGCAGTGTGCGACATTTGGAGCAGCCTTTCGAGGATTGAGCAGAGCAGACTAAGGACGTTGCTTGCCTCGTGAGGCGAACCATATTGGACCCGTGGACGTGTAGAGTCTTGACACCCGCTGGACCTCGTGGAGAATGTTCGCAGTAGTAACATCGACTCCGAATTCGAGGAGATTCTTCTCGTCACCATCATGGGTCAGAAGTGTAACCAATGCAGGGTTCTCGAGCGAGGCAATGCCACGTGCTCCATCTCCATAGCTGCTTATATTACCCGGTCAGCGACTCGCACGGGCGGCATGCAGACATTCGGCTTACGTCAATGGCAATAGCTGCGGTTCGTTGATGGATACCATGGCACACCAGAATACAATGTTCGAAGCCTAGTCAAGCACTCAGTTGAATGCTTCCATCAAAGAACGAGCAATATACCATGGGATTGGTCGATCTAATGACGTTCAGCCCGCCTCTTAGCTCAACGATCCGTTTCAGCCCCTCAAGGTGCATGTCGAGCGCCCGCATATTGCCTCGATCATGTTCCATAGCAGCCAGGGAGGATACAGCCACGAGCGTGTGGTCATTGATGCCAGCGACCGGATTCATCACCCGGGTATTCAGCAGTGTCAAGCATTGATCGAGCAGGCGCCGCGTATGCAGGCTGTCATTGGAGCCTTGCAAGTTCGCTCGATCCAGACTGCTCAGAAGTAGAACAACGTGAAACAGAACCTCGTCCGCGCGTACGAAGGGCCACCAGAGCTCTATAAGCGGCCTACTGGCATAGAAGGGAAAGGACCGATATGCGAAATTGGAGAGATAATGGCTCAGCAGAGCGTCGACACTAGGCGCCGGCTCTTGAGTAGCAGGCCGTGCTTCAAACGGATCGAGACGATCCGCTGCGAGCTCCAGTGGTATTTGTAACGGCTCGGCTAATCGACCAGTAGAGCCGGTGGGTCGCACTGTGAGCTCACCCGGTACGGAGATGCGGCGAGACTGTCCCGTGCGTGCCTGATGAGAAGATTCGGCTGATGGCGACGGAATTGGTCTAAATTTCGGCTCCTGGTCATCGAAATCGCAGGAGACAATGCTAGGGTAGCGGCGTTGGCAATTCTGGCAAGCTGGTCGATGCTCGTCGCACTGCAGAAAATGGTCAATACTTTGAGCCTACGCTCTCAAACAGCATTGAGTTCTGAGCCCATAAGTCGTACCTTCACCTTCCGCACCTTACAGGTACGACAGCCACTCTTGCTCTTCTTGTGGGAGCGTCTCGGTATTGGTCGGTGCTGCTGTTGGTCGATCTCAGAAGCCTGAGCTTCCGCCATACTTCGATCGTCGTGTCTTATGAGCTCGTGTATCGCACCACTTGGGTCGGGAAACCCTGCAACGAACAGAGTCCATCATAGCGGCAGCTCCTGTACCTTTATCAAGCAGCTCGGGTTCGTGTCTGCATGCAGGAACCTGGCTCAGCTAAACTGCTTCAGGTTAGTCTGCTCATTCCGGTGCTTTGATGTTCCGCTCTCTCATACAGCTCGAGCTTAGAGCAAGCCATATCTCATGGCACATGGTACAGGAAAGCATGCTTAGCTCTATGCGGATGGTGAGCTAGCTCGACAGTCCGGTTGCGTAAGGATTGGCTTATGCAATCTGTGATTGCAGCATGGTTGAAGTCTGTCAGCTGAACCTTGTTGAATCCGGGCTACATATGCCAGCGTTTCTGCCCATGTTGCCACTTTTGACAGCTTGGGCTCGGCGTGCATTCCGCCCGAGAGTGTATGTAATGCCGTGGGGGCGGAACATCGTTACGGCTTCCACGTAGACGACCAACAAAGGTGAGAGAAATCGAACGGACCAAAGATGGAACGAAACATGAAAGCAGCCGTGATTTACGAAGCAGGACGTCCTGATGTACTCAGGATCGAAGAGGTACGAGCGCGTTATTGGTGTGATTGTACATCAGCCCAATCAGCGTTCAATTCACTCACCAGGAACAGTGCCCAATTCCTAAACCGCAGCAAGGTTGGGTACTCATTCGCGTCAAAGCCTTTGGCCTCAACAGGTCTGAGCTGTTCACGCGTCAAGGGCACAGTCCCGGCGTCAAGTTTCCGCGCATCCTTGGTATCGAAGCAACCGGCATTGTCGAGGAAGCCCCTGGTGGCGAGTTTCAGAGGGGTGACGTCGTAGCGACAGCCATGGGAGGCATGGGACGTTCGTTTGATGGCGGCTACGCTGAGTTCACATGCGTCCCTGCCGGCCAGATCCAGAAGCTGCAGACGAAGTTGCCCTGGGACGTCCTCGGTGGCTGTGGCGAGATGCTGCAGACCGCATATGGTAGTCTGTTCAACGCTTTGCAATTGAAGCAGGGCGAGAAACTCCTTGTCCGAGGCGGTACAACCAGCGTTGGATTGGCTGCTGCGGCGATCGCGAAGAACCATGCCGTGACAGTCGTGTCGACAACTCGTAACCCTAAACGGGAGGAGCTGCTGAAGAAGTCTGGGGCGAGCATCGTAGTTATCGACGATGGCAGCATCGCTCAGGAGGTCAGGAAGCAGACGGGTGGCGAAGGCGTGGACAAAGTGCTGGAGCTGGTTGGGACAACCACTTTGCTCGACAGTCTGCAGTGTGTCGCTGCTCACGGTATTGTATGCATGACAGGAATGGTCGGAGACAGTGAGTCACTCAGGTCTGGTCTCATCTGTGACATTGCTGAGGAAGTGTTGTAGGCTGGGCTCTGAAGGACTTCAGCCCTATGGACGCCATCCCAACGAGCGTCTGCTTGACATCTTACGACGGAGGTCCTCGGGCGTTCATGAATACGCCGTTGCAGGAGATGGTCCACCAGATCGAGGAAGGCACCTTACCTGTGTCGATCGGGAAGACATTCAGGCTGGATGAAATTGTAGAGGCTCACACGACAATGGAGGAAAATCGAGCTGGCGGGAAGATCGTTGTCTTGCCGTGAGGAGGTCTGCGCCTATGGCACGGCACCTTATATGGCACTGATAGGCTTCTGATTGCTAGTTGAACGACTTTAGCGATCGACGCCGTAAGAGCCTACATTGCTGAAACCATCCACGTCCGTCTGCTCCAAATGGAATAAATGATGTTGTGAATATTCCAGGAAGCCACGCTTGCCGCACCAGCGAGATCCGCGTTTGGCGAGTTGCCCCACGCTCTACCCGCGAGCTGCCAAAGTCCGAACATCTACCACTCTTCTAAGACCTTGGTGGCGCCATCCATGCAGAGCTACCCCTTCGTCAAGTGTCCTTTAATTGGCTCATTGTGGGTTCCTGGCAGCGGCTTACGCGCGTGGAAGAAGACGCTGTTCAACCTAAAGCGTCGTCTTACCGTCTACCTACCCTGACCACTCGAGCACGCATATTGGGAAAAGCACAGACACCTGGGTGGTGGTAGTACGCGAGGGCAGTACTGCGGACGCTGCATTGGGTGGACCTTCATGCTTTTGGGCTGTCATATATTGACCCTGCCGACATGTCAATTAAGTGAGTCTCTACCCTCCACCCTTTCTGTACCAAGCCTGTCATGTCCCCGACCGCAACCGTGATCATGTCTACGACCGAGCGCATCCGCTCACACCTCAGTAGCTGGGTGATGCTGTCACCCGACACCAACCCGCCTTATACACCACTACCAAACGAGCAAACACTTTTCACTGCGCCACCGCGGATAGGCTTCGCCATCTCCACGCCTTCACATTATCCAGCGAAGCAGCAGAAACCGTTCAGTTTGACACATGCAAGCGGCGTACTATATCTTACGAATCGACGTATGATATACCTACCCGACAAGGCAACAGATAAGTTGAAGAGCTTCGCAGCACCACTTCTGAACCTGCACGATAGCCATGTGACTGCGCCGTTCTTCGGACCGAACGTCTGGACTGCTCTACTGCAGCCTGTGCAGGGCGGGGGCATCCCCACACCAAGCACCGGCGTAGTAGAGATTCGATTGACTTTCAAGGAAGGCGGAGCATTCGACTTCCACACCAATTACGAGAGGATTCGAGAAAGATTACAACAGGCTATCGAGGTCAACCGAGTGGACGGAGACGGGTCGGGACCGGCAAGAGCGGCGGTGAATGGCGTCGATGTGTCAAACGTGAACCTCGAAGATCTGCCAGCGTACCAAGAGGAGAGCGACGGCCCGCTATTGTCGCCGGTGATGGTCCCGAGTGTTGTGCCAACGGCGGCTCCGGTGCAGCAGAGCTCGGTGCAGAGGGATAGTGGTGTCGCCGTGGAAGATGACAGGCCGCAGGCGAAGCCAACTGAAACCGCACAGTCCGCGCCCCCTTCGTACGAAGAAGCGCAGATGCAGGGAGTGCAGGATGAGATGGAGAGAAGGTTAAGCGGAGGGAGGGAGTGAAATCGGCGTCGCGTCCGGTAACACTCGCCATGAGCGTAATTTGTAACACTTAGCGAATACGACTTGAATGACCACCCCAGTAGAGGAACGATATGTATTTGTCCATGCGGCTTTGGATCGGAGCTTTCTCGTGGCTGCTTGTTGCTTTGTCAGTCTAACAGATGATGTATCAAGGTGGACGACCGTTGCAATGACCTTACAATACGCAAGGAACCAAAATTTGTAACGTAGTTATATAGTTCACGTACCTGCGTTGAGATACGATGATGATGTTGCTAATAAACCGGAATGGCTCTCCTGACGATTTAGCGGCCTGCGCCAACGGGCAGACCCCTTCCCTTTCCTCCTGCCTCCTCCCGAACTTGAGGCTCACCAGCGTTCTACCGCCACGAAACAGACTCATTTGTAGTAGGCCTTTCCGTGCATTTGCCACTGTGGAAGCCTTCCATACCTTGCGTACGAGGCATGATCCATCCGTCGAGTGAAGATCAGGGGGTATATTGATGTACGCCCGCACTGCAGGACAGCGCACGCGACAGCCCCTCGGCCTGTCTCCGCGCACGGACTCTGACCGCCAGCACCTTGCACTGAACACCCTTGCAACAAGCACCATCGAAGCATCTGCGCGACTACAAGCGCATGGTGCTCAGGCTCCTGCCCTCGGCGCGCTTCTGGAGGTGATTACTGGAACTGAGGGTGAGCACTCGCTGGCCTCTTCACACGTCTAGCCCAGCATGTTCTGGAGATTCGGCGGTTACGCCAATATATCAAGTCTTGATAGTATCCTCGACAAGCAAGACGTCACAGTCGAGGAATTGCTGGACGAGAGCGACCTGATACAGGAGCTGAAGCAGCAGAACAGCAAGCTCATAGAGTTCCTGCGAGAAGAGCCTGTGCTGAGGAAACTGCTCCAATATGTCGTAGCGGACAAGCTACCTGACGAAGCAGAAGAGAAGATCAAAGCTGAAGAACACAAGGAAGAAGAGGTCAAGTCACCCGGCATTTCGTTCTTCGGCAAAGGCAAAGGACGGGCACGTTCAAAGTCCGTCAGCAAAAAGGACGAAGATGGCGAAACGGAGCAGGAGAAAGTAGAGGCGCAGCGGAAGAAGTACGCATACGTCGCCTGCGAAGTGCTGTCTTCAGAGGTGTGGTCAATAACGGAAGCCATTCTGTCACATCCTGACTACTTGCGAGAGTTCTGGCAATACATACGTCGGCCGACTCCGCTGGACCCGCTGCAGGCTGGCTACTTTACGAAAGTGAACGAGACGCTACTGGATAAGAAGACTGAGGAGATGCTCGCCTTTTTCAAGAGTCTGAATGGCATCGTACCTGCCATGCTACAGCACGTGGACTGTCCGGTTGTAATGGACCTTCTCCTCAAGATCATTTCGCTGGAGAAGCATGAAGGCGGTGCAGGCATTGTGGACTGGTTGCAAACCCAGGACATGATCCCATTACTTCTTGACTATCTCACAGCAGAGCACACCTCGGCAACGCAAACTTCCGCAGGCGACTTTCTCAAAGCCATCATCACCATTTCCGCCAATGCTACTACGCAAGATCAGTCTGTGATAGGACCCAATGAGCTTACCCGGCAGCTAGTGTCAGAACCGTGCATTCAGATACTCATCTCTGAGATGCTTCGTGGTAGCAATGCACTCACAGTCGGTGTAGGCATTATCATCGAAGTCATACGAAAGAATAACTCAGACTACGACACTGAGAGCCAGATAGGACCCGAGCCAAAGACTTCTGACCCAATCTATCTTGGTACGCTGTTGCGGCAGTTTGCAACTCACGTACCTGATTTCATGCACCTCATCCGCTCGCCTTCCGCACGAAAACCGGACCTCCAGGCCGCTTTCGGCGGCAAGATTGAGCCTCTCGGCTTTGATCGCTTCAAGACTTGTGAGCTGATGGCCGAGCTGTTGCATTGCAGCAATATGGCTCTGCTCAACGAACGTGGTGCGGAGGAAGAAGTCCGAAAACGTGACATTGAGCGTGAGAGGTTGAAAGCTGATGGCAAGCTCGCAACGCCGAGAGCACCAACGTCGCCACTCAACGATGACAGCCACGAGGAGTTTGGCAGCTCTGTAGACTCACACGGCTTCCACCACGCTCAACGTCCCACAGACGAGGAGATGGATGAGAAGCCAGAGGAGGCCCGCAAGCTTGAGGTGCAGAATGCGTCAGACGAAGACGGCTTCGAGAAAGTCACCCGCCGCGACGCGGACACAGACGATCTACCGGATGAGGTCAGCTTTGACGAGTTTAATGAGAAGATTGAGGAAACCGGACTCCCTGCAATGAAGGAGATTGAGAAGCGCGGCTCAACAGAACCACAAAATCATCTGCCGAATGACCCAGATATGCCAAAGCCTCTTTCACCGAACAAGCCGAAAGCGCCACCAAATGAGCCGATGTTGCACTTCGATCCTCCGCCCACACAGGCTGCAGACTCGCCGACGACTGCTGGTGTGACGGATAGAGTTCACAATATCAACATCGATGAGGACACCGTAATGACCGAGTTCGGCGAGGAGCCGACTGACCTAGATGACGAGGGCCCCACGGAGCTGGAACGAGAGCTGGCAAAGGAAGTCGAAAAGCCTGCTCCCCTATTCGCTCGGAAAGAGCCGCCTCCGCCAGATGCGATCGACCCTATACACGGCGCATCTGGACAATCTGACAGTGAGGATCAGACTGATGTCGATCAAAGCATAGCGACCATACAGGGTGGTGAGCCATTCATGACCAATGGAGAACGACAGCTGTACGAGACAGAAGCGGACGGCAATCCAGTTGTCGGAGACTTACTAAAGATGCAGTTCGTTGAGCACCAAGTTGTGCCTACTATACTTGTAAGTCCTGTTCTCTTCGCCCTTTCTGCACGCTCGAAGATTCTGTACTACCACGAGATACTTATACGGGTGGTACTTGCAGGACTTTTTCTTTCGCTTTCCATGGAATAACTTCCTCCATAATGTGGTTTACGATGTCATACAACAGGTCTTCAACGGTACGTTGGAGCGTGGCTATAATCGCGCTATGGCGTTCGACCTTTTCACGCCTATTCAAGACAAGGACTCTAGACCTAAAGACACCCTTGGCTTAATGTCGACGAGGGACATTACGGACAGAATACTGGACGGTCAGGCGGTGTCAGATCGATCGCAGACCGAAAAGGGCATGCGCCTAGGCTACATGGGCCATCTGACGCTGATTGCCGAAGAAGTCTGCAAATTTGGACATCGACAACCATCGGAGTTACTGGACCGAGTCGTCTTCGACCGTGTCAACAGACCAGAGTGGGCACATTATGTCGATGGCACTTTGACCGAGACTCGTGACAAGGACAACGCCGTGCTCGGCGGCATCCGGCCGGAGAATGCCATCGGCATGCGCCAGGCTGGTATGGGCGGCAGTGGCTTCGGTTCAAACACGGGCACTGGTCTCGCCTCCGCTGGCATAGGCTCCGGAAATGTGCCACAGGACACTCTGGCTATGAGCGAAGGCACCGTAGGACAGAGCTTCGAGATCAACTCCGGCACAATGTTATCGGGATTCGGCGAAGCCGACGATGACGAAGACATGGAGGATGAGGAGAAGGTGGTAGCTGACGCGAGAGAACGTGCGGCTGCGGCCGCGCGTGCGGCATACCCGGATGATGAACAGGTTGGTGAGCTTTCTTTTGATGAGATGGACTACCGTTGATCCATTTCTGCACACCCCTCCCGCACGCATACATGACTGCACGGCATTGCACGTAAAGATGTACGAATACTGTACAAACATCAAGGTTGTGGCACCGGTGGCTTTGGGATTGGTGCTAGATGGTGGTGGGCAGCGGATGCCGAGCGGCAGAAGCAATGAAGAAGATAGTGCGCACTCAATGCAGGCATGTGTAAAACGACCAAACCGAAGAGATGATGTTGCAAGAGGGTCTCAAAGTTCCGAGCCGGCGCACACATGGTTCGGCATTATCCCCGCTGACTCCCTTAACCTCGGTCACGCGACACCCCTTCCCGTCTCTTAGCAAATCACGAGCCGGGATAGCCGGCTTACCACTCTTCCACCCAATCGCATCCATCTTATTCGTGGAAGGTACGCTTGTCGTTCTGAACGAACCAAATACTGACTAATGCTTTCATTAACAGACAGAACAACCGGTACAGTCCTCGGAAGCCGGCTCTCCCGTCGCGATTGCAGGCGCGCCGTCAGTACCCGCGCCGCTCAACGTCCCGCCGTCGAGAGCACGAAGGCAACTCGCTGCCCGGCTAGCGCAGAAGCGTAGGGATGCTGAGCATGCGGATCAACGTGACCCAGATGCCACGGATGCGTTGGCAGTCGAGACTGCTGAGCGTCTGCCAAACGAGCCTGATGCATTGCACCCTGCGTCCCAATCAGCTGGCCTAGGAACGGAAGTTGCTGGCTCGAACATGGTCGGCGGCCAGAGAAGTACTGCGAGTCGAGTATCGAGTATGTTTAATAGCGATGATAGCTCTGACGACGAATACTTCGATGAGGATGAAGCCGGAAGGGACGCGACCTCAGAACGGCCAGAAGCAGACTTCGAAGAAGCTTCGCTGTTCATGGGCGGTGTTGGACGGCGCCGGAATGGCAACGATCGTCGGCCAAGCACCACCGAAGCGAAGGAGCGTAAACCTCTGGATGTGGACGATGATGACGACCAAGCCACGAGTCTTGGCAACGCTATGGATCGTAGGCTGCACCTGAATGACCAAGGCGAAGGACCGTTCGCCGACCCAGTTGATGTCGATGATGAGGACAGCGATGATGACGAGCTCATCGAGATACGGCCGCGTCGGACGAGTTGATGCCGTCCTGCGAACTGCTCATTACCTCGAGAATGTGGGCGTGCACCGGCGCTTGGACGGCCCGTCTAGATAGACGTATCTGCAGCGCTTAACGATACCCTCTGAACGAACGAATAGCTTGCCTTGTGTACGCTCCGAGTGCCAACTCGTCCCTGACAGCCAGTAGGCCTTCCACTTCCTGTGCATCACGACTTCTTCCGACACCGGCAAACGTTCGGCGGATGCAGTCTTTGTCGCCTGGCAACCGGTAAGCTGCGCCTTTCCAACGTAAGCCTGAAGAGCTGCAACAGGATAGTCTAAGCCGCCATCAATCGAAGCACATCAGCGCCAGTGAGGGTGCGTCGAGGATGCATGTTCGTCACGCAACACAGCACTTGTGACTGATAGGTGTCAGGAATGGTGATTACTAACGCAACGCAAGTATTCAGGCTCTCGAAATCAGCGCTTGCATCCGCCGGATCGACCGCCGGCGTATGTTCGCCTGAGTGGGTAAATGAGCACGCGACACGTTTCCCTTCTCGGCGCGAAGGAGTGGTTAACGATGCAGGCCACATCCCAATATCTGTCAGGCGCTGCGTTCTTACCCAATAGCATTTCCCCGTTGTCACGATCAAGTGTTGACAGCAGCAGAAAAGCGTGCCTGGTGAGGTCAACAAGTGGATACAGAGCACTCATTGTGGCCTATGGACCTGAGCCGTCCACCCCCTCCTCTACGTCGTGATCACCCTAGGTTGCAGACAGTGAAAACGACATAAGATGCTTGTGAAACTACTCTTGCTGACCTTCTGGTCCGCTCGTCCTCGACCATACCAACTCCCACCATGACCACAGCATTCTCGACTCTACCCATCGTGGACGTTGGGGTGCTGTCTGAAGTCCAGCCAAAAGCTCAAGATGTACTTGTGCTGACTCAGAAATTGTACGATGTATTCACGACAGTTGGGTTCGCCTACCTGGTGAACGCTCCTCTCACCTTCACCCATGCGGATATCTTCGGTCTGGCTAGCGACTTCTTTCGCTTGGAGGAGACGGAGAAGCTGAGATTAGCCACCAAGACTTCCGTACCGTCGAACAGTAACACGTACAGAGGCTACTTCCCCTTTCAGCCGGGTTGCGACAGCCTCAAGGAAGGCTTCGAAATCGGTCCGGCTCAAACACCTGGCCGTAGTGCGTTTGGCAAAACGCAGAGGTACGACTTGACGGAGCCGAATGTTTGGCCTGCTGGAGCTTCTTTCCATGATGGCCGTGTCAAGCTTGAGAGACTCCACGCTGAGCTGCAAAAGCTTGCTTCCACGCTGCTGCTCATGCTTGGTATTACACTTGGCAAGCCAGCCGACTACTTCGCCCCATATCTGCTCGAGTCTCTGTCTACGCTTCGACTGCTACATTACCCACCGCAGGAGAGCACCGAAACAGAAGTCGCGGCGATCAAGCTGTGTTGTACGCCGCACACTGACAGTGGTATCCTCACGCTCTTGCACCAAGACCAAACGGGCGGTCTTGAAGTACTGAATGCGGAGGGTCGGTGGATCGCTGCGCCGTACGTTCCTGGCTCGATCGTTGTCAATATTGGGGATCTGATGGCTCGCGTGAGCGGAGGCCGTTTTGTGGCGACGATGCACCGTGTCCGCACCAGCCCTGGGAAAGGCACACGCAAGGATGGTTTGGGACGGTTCAGTGTGCCTTTCTTCTTCGAGCCGGGAGAAGCGTGTCTAATCCGCAGTATCGACGGCGGTGAAGGCGTCGTCTATGGCGAGTATGTTCGAAGGAAAATGGGCACTTGGCTTGAATACCAGAGTTCGCCAACACAAGAGCCGGATGCGACTATTGCAGTCAGTGCAGGTATCGTAAAGGTAGCATCCTAGCGTTCAGTAGCGCAACTCTGAATGGGTCTCTGGGCCGTATTGTTGGGTCGCAGCCTCACTGAAAGCTCTGATGCTGATGGACTGCGGATGACCAAAGCCTGCACAAGAACCGTAAAATCTGGATCCCGTATCGATGGCAAACTCATGCTGTCTGCGGTGGGTTCTTGACCGTCCTGTTGCTAGTTAGCGGTGCGAGTCGCTCGAGGCCAACAGTTTCGCATCACGGTCGCGATTTGTAAGATCGACGAGAAAGTGTGGCAATGGGAGTGCCTATTGTGAGGTGCTATGCTTCCTCATAATATATACAAATGTGCGCATCTTGCACTGGCAGCATGGTCGACCATCGACCCTTGTGGCTCTGTATCCAGAGCTGTTTCCATCCTGGCCCGCTATCCGTACAATGCAAATGCAGCGGTCATGCCGGTTGCACGAGTACCATTTAGAGGAACTTGCACATCATGGCAACCATCAGGTCGAACTGAGACATCATTAGCCGAGAAGCTTGCCAAGAGGCAAATTGCGACCGTACCAAGCCAATGGCTTCGACGAAAGCGAAGCCGAGAATGGCGTAAGCGAAGAGCTGGCCACGAAGGGACGGGTTGCGAGCAACAGCGGACAGAAGGGCAGCGAAGACGAGGCCGATACCTGGACCTTGTCAGCACTGTTCCGGACAGCAAGCATATTGTTTAGGCGCACCGATTCCAGCGCCGCCGAGACCGATGGCGGCAGAACCCATGCCCATGTTCTGGGAGACCTGAACGAGGGCATTGGCCATCTCAGATGAGTAGGCACGGCTGGCCTGGATGCCGATGGGGGAGACCTTGGCACGGGCGGAGTTGAGGAGGGTCGAGGTGCGCTTGATGGTGGTGAAGGCAGTGTTCTGGCGGGTGGCAACTGATGAAAAAGTGTCAATAGAGGGCTATCCTGATGATTTCGTGATGGAGGAAGCTGACCAGAGTAAGCACGGGTGAGCTTCTGGAGCTGCACTGGCGACCGAGCGACCCTGACGGTGCTCTGAGCGGCCATCGACGCCATCTTAGGGGCAGCGAGACGAAGGGAGGAGGCCATTGTGATGATGAATGCTCACGAGACAACAACGACCCGTCTGCAGATGGTTATTTGATGGAGTGAAGTGTGACGAAGGGGCTTTGATGGCAGAGCTGGAGCTGGAGGTGTCACGGGGAAGGTGTGGGACAGGAGCAGGAGAGCAAAATTCTCAATGCGATGGCCGCTTGGGAAAAGGCCGGGTGATCCATAGGGAGCGCTAGGCCGTCCCACCTGTCCGAAGTGAAGTCGTTGATTGGTACTTCGTGACTTAGCGGGTCCATGCACATACCAGATGATGCTTGAATCCACACCGGACCTGCACCCGGCTCGTTTGTCGATAACGGTAAGCCTGATCAGGCACAAGTTTGTTTTATTCCAGCTGTTATCCGCGGTAGACGGTTTGATCGTTATGCTGTCGCAGTCAATACGATAAGAGCTCCATGTATCGCACATAACAGCTCTACGTCCTACATCCAAGTCTACAGCAACGAGCCAGTGCGAGTGGCGAACTCCTGTCGTCAGCCCGGGCCCTGGTTGAGATTGTATCAACATTTTCTCACGGGAGGCCTGTGCTGGTACGTTCCGAGTTTGTCCGATATCACGGATAGGGTACGATCCCTACATATCTGCATGCCATACGAATGCGAGTGAGGACGCTTTCGCAATTGTGTCAGAGCAGCCTGAGTGTGACTCACTGCCACCACGGTTTCGCAAAGCCGTACGGAAGTGTGGGTGGTACGGCTCCTTCGATCGCAAGCCAGCTGTTATACTAGGCCGCATCCTTGGGGAAGTGGCGGTTGAGAATACCATAGCGGCTGGCACCGTCGGGCTCCGCCAGGACACCAGCTTTGTCGAGTTTTAGTGACGCCGGCGAGATTTGCCCGAAGTCAAGGCTCGTTTGCCGATGTTGTTCGTTGGTCAGGATAAAAGCCGAAGCAGTTTTCGGACGCTCCCGTGTACCCGTCCGGAGCTACTGCCGGAGACAGCCCACAGCGTGGGATTTTTTCGGATCTCTATGACGGCTCCGGTTTGCCTAAATCGACGACAGTAGCTTGTCAATAACCAGATTGCTTTTGCGCCGAAATTGATAAGAACTGTCGCTTATGCTCGACATGCTTTCTGCTGATTCCAATGATATGCGCAAAGCTCGATTTTCTTTTGTATCCTGACAAACGCATTTCGGTAAGGGGCCATGGTGTGCCGTCAACGCGACCGCAAAGTGGATCGGGGAGACAGGAGACTGAGACCCACCAGCGTCCGTAGCGCAGCTGGGCAGAGCCCAGCGAGTGATTACCGACTAGCACAAAGAGTAGCCTTGCCTGTTCGATTGACACGAGTTATTGCGACACACGTTCGCGATGCTCAAAAAAGGCGGCATGAGCAGTACTAGCCAAGTAGTAGAAACCCTAGAGTTAGACAAACTGCACTGTTGTCACGACTAACTACTCCTCACTGCATACCCGAGGCTACTAGGGGGTGTCACGTGACCTTCTATTACGCGAAGTACACATCACCCTGCTGGAAAATGTAGTCGTGTCGCTGAGAGCGCCACAACACCGACGTGTGGTACGTGTTTACGGTATCAATACCAGATCTCTGAGTACGTCTAACACGATACGAGACAGTATTGGGCTGGAAGACCTCGTTTTCACCCTCCGAGAACTCGTTCAATAGGACTACATTGAACAGAATCATTTTAGTTTCCAAGTGCGCCTTCCGGACGTCTATCACGTCACAGCATGTATATCAAAGGTATATCCTATGCGTTGTCAATGTTACCAATGCCGCACTGCACAAGGAAGGGATGCCTGCAGATCAAGTTAGCATTCGTCACGGAACTGAGCAAGAGAGGTTACTTACGCTTCGGTGTTGAACACCCACTGCGAGAGATCGACAACAGACGGCTCAGTGAAACTAAGGTACAGGTACTTGAGGACTTCGGCGAAGAAGAAGCTATAGAAGGATCAGTCAGAAAATGACTCCGCTTTCGATTGGCTTGAGACACTTACGAGTCGAGAGGGTTGGTCAAGTTGCCACCATTTGGCGCTGTGACGTTCGACACTGTGGCAAACGCGACGCTCGTGCGGGCCGTGGTGTTGATCGCCTGGGCAATCTGCCAGTTGTACTCGGCCCACCTGGAATCACCAGTAATGCGATGAGCGTAGAAGATGCTCTCGATAGCCTCAGGCCGGGCCTCCCAGTTCTCGTCGCCGGTAGGGATGAAAAAGCCATGTGCGGCGGCGTATTGCTGATCGTAGGTGTCCATGTAGGAGGAGTTGGGCTGGATGTTTGACGAGTTGTACCAGCCCCAGCTGAGTGGACCAAGGCCGGTCAATGTCTGGTTGTAAGTCTGGTGGCAGCCATCGGTGACGTCGATACCAAGGTTGTAGTAGGATGTGTCGCCGAGAAGCTTGGAGCCAAGCAGAAAGTTGCCGCCGGCGAAGCAGCTGAAGTCGTCCATCATATCCGTAATAGTGCCATTCGCATCCAACTCGGAGATGAAGTAAAGGTTTGGCCAGCCGTATGGGTTCATGATAAGATGATCAGCGGTACTGTCAACCGCGCTAACCCAGAAGTTCTTGTACGCAGTTGTGTTGGTGGTAACCTGGTATTGGTACGTCTTAATAAGGTACTCGAGGAAGGAGTCGACACCGGAGTGCCAACCACCATCGTATGTGATCATGTGGCCAGTCGTGGGGTCAAAGTTGGTACCCACGAGACCTGGATAGATGGGCGCCGGAGAAGGGTTGACGAGGTAGCTCGTCGCTCTGTCGACAAGACTGCGGTAGGTGGAGTTGCCCGACAGGTCCGCAAGTCTGTACCAATCGAGGAGGAAGCTACCAGTAGCAGCAGTATTTGTTGCGGTGAAGTTCGTGCCGTTCACCACATCGTAGCTGTACACAATGGCACCGCTGCTGAAATTGACACTGCTGGCAGAGAGTCCCGTTGGTGTGTTGAAGCCGTACGCAATGTGGTTGGCGAGGTTGATTGCTTGGCTTAGTAGCGCATTCACCAGGGTCTGATTGTAGCCATTGTAGAACTGGCCACTCTTCAACAGGTCGTAGGCCGACAGCAGACCACCCAAGTAACGGATGCTCGTATCGAAAATCTCAACTGGTTCATTGGAGGTGTAGTTGAAATTGATTGTGGCGATGAATGCTAGCTGCTGAGCCACAATGTCTGTCAAGTTCATGACGATGGCAGTGTCGATACCGTCCACGATGGTCAAGCCCCACTGGTAGAAAGGATCCTGGTAAGAATTGTTGATCGGCAGTAGCTGATCATGGCCAAATGCGTACGTGGAGTAAGCGTTCCAAGCATACTGGTACATCTCAACGATGGCAGCAGCACGGGTGGCATTGCTGCCAGCGCCTGAAGCGAAGCTATACTGGATCGGCGTGCAAGCCGCGAGCGTCGCAGCAGAAGTGCCCGAGCTAGTAGAAGTGCTCGAACTGCTGGAGCTGCTAGAGCCAGTGCTGGTGCTCGAGCTAGTGCTGGAGCCAGAAGTGCCGGAGCTGACAGCTGTGCCTGACGAGGTGGAGCTGGATGTGCGTGTGGTGGTAGTAGAGTTCGCGAACGGGGCCGAAGAGCTCGCAATGCTGGAGCTGCTGCCAGAGCCAGTACCAGTCGTTGTGGGTATTGTGGAGCTCAGCGTTCGCGTGGACGTCGCAGTCGAGGTTGACGTGGACAAAGTCAGATTCGACGAGGAGGAGACAGAGACTGTGAGTGATGAGCCGGAGCTGGAGCCGGAGCGCGTAGAGCTCGACACAGTTCCAATAGAACCGGATGCCGGGGCTGACGAGCCGGACACAGGAGCTGCAGAGCCGGAAGCCGGTGCCAAGGAGGTGGACGCAGGATTGCTGGCAAAGGATGATGGTGAGCTAGACGAGCGTGCTGAAGCCGGTGCGGAAGCTGAGCCAGATACAGGTGCAATTGCTGACGAAGAGGGAGCAGAGGTCGACCGTGATACTGAGGACGTGGCTACAGAGACCGGAGCACTAGATGCTGTTGCGGGTGCGGATGCGGATGCTGAGGCATTTCCCGTGACTGCCGTCGACACCGGCGAAACTGATGCAGACAATGTAGGGACTGAAGTCGAAGAGACAATGATTGAAGAGCTGCTGCTTCCCCATGAGCCTGACTGTACCCCCCAGTGTCCGCGCCATCCGCCAAAGGCTGGGCGGTCCCAGACATGGAAGAAGCTGGCGAGCCAGTTGCTTGGAGTATCATCCGGAGTCTGCTGCTCGTCGACTGCAGGGAGAGGGAATGTTGGGGTCGCGATGGCGGATACCGCAAGCAGCGAAACGAGAGACACGTATTTAGCCATTATTGCAACGAAGGAATCAAGAGTTGTCTGCCTCTTGCTGCTGAAGAAACGAGCGCGCACCGAAATGAGTGAGGGCGAGCAAGACGGAGGTTGGTATGACAGTATGATGGAAACAACACCTACTTCGAAGTCTTCAGACAACGGGCCTAGTTGCATCTTAACTCTCTCACAGGACGGGGCCGCGGTGCCGTTTGCACATCATGGTGCACGGAAAGTTTGCTTGATACTAGGGTATAGCGCCTGGAGTAGGTCCTTGGAAGAGGAAAGGGCGCGTCACTACCCATGCACGCCCCCAAAGCGATGCAAGCGCTTTGCCCCAGAGGCACATGGATCGTCAGGAACTAGCCTTGCCCAGCCACTCAAGGCGATGCACGTCTGGGGGACTGCCTAGATTTGCGGCGGGATCGACATGCAGTGTGAGATGTCAGAGGAAGGCAAGGAGATGTGCAGCTCATCCAATATCTCTCCGCATAAACGACTTCATGAAGTCACTTTAGCCGCCAGTCGAGTGCGGTCGGACGGGCTCATGGGTGCCGACCGGGTGGTAGATGTTGCACCGCAGTCATCGGCCACGTTGTGTCTCCATACATTGTGCGAGCGTGTGGCGACACGAGCGGCTCATGGTGTCTTGTTGCATTCTGCATGCTACAACGCTCTCGTCGTCGAGGAGATTGAGTTCAAGGGTCAAGAGACGGTTATAGAAACTGTTGGACTCCATAATTGTCCGAGCGAAAAAGTTAGGTAAGATGTGGCGCTACAGTGAGCAGAAACAGATTGCAGGGATGCAGCCAAAAGCTTGTGTTTGTGGCGTTTACGGCACCACGTTGCCAACCAAGCGCGAGCCATTTGCTGCTGAGAGCATTCACCCAAATTGTCGCTCTCAGAGTTTCGGCACGGGGAAAGCGCTCACGCACTCTAGACTCGTTGCCTCTCTCAGCGAACATATTACGGCGAGGTAGCGCCACCCTCGTCTACGATGACGCGGGCAGCGTTGTAGAGACGTCCTCGTCACACTTAATAGCATGGATACTACATGTATGTACCCAAGATGCGAATCGGAAAGGTCAAGCTGTGCAGGTAGAGTGATTTGATGACGATCAGCCTGTGCTCAATGTCGCACTAATGTAGCATTTCCGGGGTATCAGTCCGTGCGTAGCACTGCTTCACAAGCCGACATTAGTTCATAAAACGACCGTTGGATTTCAGGAAGAGACCGGAAAACGTTAGCACCTCACAGATCCTTCTTTGCTTCCTCCGGCTCGAAGTCGCTGCTGGGAGTCATAACGCCAGCATCGGTGGAGTCACCTTCACCGTCCGCCATCTCCCAACCACCGTCCGTCTCACTCTTGCGCCGTTTGCTCCGTTCCCGCATCTGAGCGCGCAGTGTCTTACTCACCTCATCCATATCACGGTCTTGCTGGCCGGTGTCACCTCTGTTGATCGGACTGAAGCCGAAACCTGATCGAAAGTTTTCTCGACCGTCTTCGCTGTTCGTGCGGCTGCGAGATCTACTGGGTGTGCCAGGCCTGCTAGCGAAGATGCCTACCGTGCCGATGTTCGCAAAGCTCTCATTCCGCGGCAGGTCGGTCTTGAGACGCTTAAGCTGTGGCGAAGGGGTGACCTCGAGCTCACCGTCGCTCTTTGCGTGTGACGGCGTCCTCGGCGGATCAGGAGACTCCGGTGCCTCCTCTGGATCGGGGATAATACGTCGCTTGTCGAAGTCTGGGAAGAGCTCAGGGCCAAGCTCGTTGATGATGTTGTTGATCTGATCTTGTAGCTCCTGTCGCCGTATTCGTAGCTTAAGCAGAGTATTTTTTGAGCTAGGGCTGATGGAAAGAATGAGCGGCCGTAAGGATTTGAAGATGTCCATGCCGATTTCGCCAAAGCGAAGGGCCATGAAACAGATTGCTGGGAAGAAGAACAGGCCACCAAAGAAGACCGCCCACAGCGGTATCCAGGTCGGCACTCGACCACCGATTCGGTTGGCTGAGACCCAGTAGGTCAGGATAACAGTGTAGATGAAGTCTAACGTCGGTGTGAGTGCGAGCGCCACAAGCACCTTCCAAGTAGCGATAACATCGCGAGCTCGAATCTTTACGGTGGAGGCGGCGAGTGCTTCCTTTGCCTTGGCATGTGAGATGGATTTGCCTGTTATGAATACTGGAGAGAACAGTACCACGCCAGGCAGCACTGCGATCGTGAGGACCAACAGCTTGGCAACACGGTAGATAAGGGTTGCCCAAACTCTGTACCATGAGAACTTGGCGTAGGAAACTTGATGATCTCGTAGGCCGATCCTGAACAGCGTGCGGTTGTAGTCCAGTACTTGCGTGCGAAGGCTCACAATGCGCGGGTCGTCTTTGTACGTATTGTACCCTTTAATCAGCCTGCGGTTCAGCTCAACCACAGCGGAAAGAGGCAGCCGCTTGCCCTTTGGGTTGTACAGCCGGCGTACAGCTTGTATGAGCATTAAAGTATCGTAGTCGGGAGCTAATGTGGTAACGGCAGTGAGTCGCTCGTAGACAAGCTCCAGCACTTTGGCAATGGCCGTTCTTCGGTCACCCTCCTTATACTGCAAGACGAGTTCCGGATCGATTGAAATGGGTGCTCCGAACTCGATGACAGCTCGAGAGCGGAACTTGTGGGCGTGGAAGTAGTTCATGCCCACCGGCACTATCACCACGCCGCACTTTGGATCCTTCTCAAGCGCACCTAGGGCCATCACAGCGACGCCACCCTTGAGCGGCAGAAGCTCGGTACGGTCGTGACTGCCTCCCTCTGGAAAAATCCCGACACATCCACCTTGCTCTATCTCGTCAAAGACCTTTTCGTATACCTTGCTCTGGTTGACGTGAGGTGCAACTTGAAAACTGATTCCCTCAAACTTCTCCGTCACCTTTTCGGTCTGACCATTGGCCTGGTCTAACGGTCGCCCAGTGAGCTGTTTGTATGCTACATCGCCTTTGAAAGCCTTCTTCAGGCGGAGCTCTGTTGGTCCCAGAATCTCCTTGATTTCGGTGCTTGCTGCGGTATTGTCAACGCTGGGCAAGACCAGGAGACCACCAGGCATGAACACCTTCTCGTTTGTAAAGTCCGTACCATTCCCCTTGAGTAGCGTTGGGTCACCCTCTGGGTCTGGTAGGTATATCTTTCCCTCTGCCGGCTTCTTGCTGTCCATAGCCCGCCCCACCGGAACTGCGCCTATCAGTTTGGAGAAGAATCCGATGACCGGCCTATGTATGCTCTTCTCGGCTATGAGGAAACAGACTCTTCGCTTCGCATCTTGCTTCACAGTGCGCATCAGAAGCAGCGGATCTATGAACTGATTCGCATGCGGTGCAGCCACGAAGAGGATTGGACCAGTTTTGGGTATGCGCCATGTGCTTCGCGGATGTATCTCGCGGAAGAAGAGGTCCACTACAATTGTGAAGATCCATAAGAAGAGGTCGTATGCCAGGTGGTCGGTCCACCGCCGGGCCTTGCTCGCTGCGTTGGCCATGTCGGTAAAAGATGCAGAGAGACGATTACGTTAAGGTACAATTCCTAAATGGCAGGCTACCGCGCCCGCGACCACTATGCCATTGCTGTCGGATGGTGTTGAGGTAATCTGCATGCGTGCAATTCAACAAACCTCGCTCCTGCTGTTGACCTTTGGGGACAGCTTTCTCGGTGGGGTGGAGTTGAAACTGGGGAAGGTACGCAAATGCGTCACTTTCTCCGCAACAACGCTTCTCACTCCAGATACGCATCGCACATGTACTCCATATCTGTGCTGGTGATGATGCTTTCGTCTACGGGGCGAGTTATCAGTGTAAGGGAGAGCAGGAGAAGCTGCAAGAAGCTGAGGATCTCGCTCTTGGTCGTACGGGCGAACATTCCGTCAAAAGAATGATACGCGAAAAGTTTACAACACGATTTCATGGCAAAAGAGTGATTCAAAATCCATCGAGTACGTGTTCCAATCCACCTGACCCTTTCCTCCCCTCCCCTGGTAGGTGTAACGCATTTAAGTAAGTTCTACCTCTACTCCAGTCTGCATGTAGAAGCGGACAATCAAGACTTCCCAGGTGCTCGACTACCTTGGGTCGCTGCTGTCACGCAGGACCTTCACAAACTTTTTTTAAGCCAGGCCGGAAACATCATGAAGAGCTCAATATTACACACCTTGCTGGCGCAAACATAGTGAACGGCCGAGCTTCTCCAGGGACAACGGCCCTGGTCGGCATCCCCACTACAATCTTCAACACCCTTACTCTCTCACGGAAGCTGTGCTTGAGTAAGTACAGTTCGAGGACCGACTCAACCTGAGCTGGGTGATTAGTACAACCGGTTAGACGGAGTGTATCATGCTCTCAGCCCTTGCAATGACGCCTTCACTGCAAAAGCAACGGGCCGCTAGAAGCCAGTGCAGGATGCGGTGATGCTGCGTCTTCAATACTCAGCAACTGTTCATTCAGCAAGCTCCTAGTCATTCAACAGAGCAACAAGACCACGTAGATTGTTGAAGAGTTCACGTTGCCCAGACTTCGACACATCTCTTCGTAGATACGATATCTAATCTCAGCCGGCGGCGGAGAACGGTCTCGCTGGTGGGCTGTTTGGTAGACGGACCTTGACTTCGGCTGGCTTTGGAAGCGCTTTAGAGTGTCAGTCTGTCTACGGCTCTAAAGGTGAGCATGGAGACTCTGTTGTATGCACTCTCCATTGCTTCCTGGTAGGCGGTAAGTAATGTGCCAGTGACTTCTAGATGAGCGGAATGCTGGAGATGACGGGAGGATGGCAGCAAGAATGGGAGGTGGGAGGAGATGTTCAGCTCTCTGCAGGATATTCGTCCATGATTCGTCTGACAACATGACCATTGACTTTGCTCCCCATTGACCATATTTCGGCACATCGTCCGAGCTGAGCTAGCAGCAATGTCCGTCATTACCTTTGGTGAGATACGTTCGTACACGCAGTGAGCGTTCTACGCCATCGCAATGGCAAGAGAGTAGTGCCTCGCAGGGAGCTCGATGGAAACCAGGGATGCTGCACTTGCTCTGACGGCCACAAGCGATACATCATTGCTTCACAACTGGCTCAGCCTGGGAATGTTTTCGCGCCAGATCCTGAAAGTTGAGCACCTACAGTAGTCGACAAGGCGCAACATGCGAATAGAGCAGTCGCCTCTTTCGGCCATTGTTGACGGAGACCGCAACTTTACCTAGCCGAAGCTATGAGGGAGGCTCTCAATGGGGATGTCGATGGTCATTTCAGCCAGGGCGATGAACTGCGCCACCCGAGCAGAGAGTGATCAGCGGTGTGAAGCAAGACGAAACGTGGGGATGGCGTGCGTGGACAGAAGTTCTGATCGGATAATTGCAAGTCGTGTTTGCAGGAAGCGATTTCACCCCATGCGTTCCAGCGCGTTCGATGGACATGAATCAACTGCTGGTTAAGCGCAATGTTGATGCGCCGGACCACCTCTCACATGTACAACTCGGCGACACCCTGTGTCTGCTTGGTCCATGAAAAGCATTTGTCGAAGCGATGGCCAGCTTTTTTGTCATACAGTGTCTGGAGATCGTGCTTGCCCCACTTGCGAGAACCGCCTGGAACCGAGCGTGCGCATGGGCAAGAGCCCAACCTCCTCTACCTTCCGTCTGCTGCTGCGTGCGGTCAGCGGACAAGGTTCCATCTATTACATTACAATAGCAAAGACTGCTTCAGTATGGTAGAGCGAGGTCCTGGCATGTTATAGCCGCCTATGAGTATCTTACACGGAAGGTCCCACAGCGCACTGTAGAGTTGAAGGAGTCCAGACGGATGCAACCCCACCACAGCACAAGTGCGTCGCATCGATTGGCTGCTTGAGCGTCTTACTGCATTGGTGCGCTGCAACCTCTAGCCCTCACCGCTTCGTGCGCACGCAGCGCCCGGCAAACTCATGCTGGCGTGACGGAGGGCAAGCTTCACTGCTCTTCCTCACCCGCCTCACCGACTCCAGTCTCCACTGCACAGTCGGCGGCGGAAGCGTCGATTGCTGCGCCCTCTTCGCAGCGGAGCAGACCACGTCCATCTTACTCATACTCACGAGTCCCGTCCGCGAAGATGGACAGCTTTGCCTTCACCACCGACGCCAACTTCGCGCCCGAAGCACTGCTCGAGTTCACTGCGGCTCCAGCCTTCGACGGCACCGGTGACCAGCGCTCGCACTCCTACCCGCAACCCTTCCTCCACCAGCACTCGCACGCTTCCAACACGCACCAAGCCAGCTGGCCGCCGCTCGGTCTTGAGCAGATTGGAAGCGCAACCATGTCGCAGCAGCATCATAATCAACATCTGCACGCACACGCTACATACCCGCCCCAAAACCCACGGCAACATGGCAGGCCGCAATCCAGCGGTGTGCCTCAGCAGATGAACCTGCAGACCTCGGGTCTCGACCTTGAATACCAGAGCTTGCTTCCGATCGATTGGCAATTTCAACTGCAACAAGCGCAGCAGCAACAGCAGTATGTTCAGCAGAGCAATGCGCTGCACTTGAATGCGTTCGATCAGGCAACCTTCGGTGGCCATCTGCAGACTTCGCCAGTGGACTTCATGCCCGCCAGCGCGGCGGAGAGCTACGCTGTCAGCACCGGCATGGACCCAACTGCTTTCATGACTATGGCCGGGCCGATGGACTCCATGAACGCTCTGGCCTTCCCGCTCAACGACTACTCGAACGACGCAACCTTCGCTTTGGCTGTCAACCAGGCTATGCTCAACCAGACAGCCACAGAGTCGGTCCACTCGAGCGTACCTGGTGGCTCACCTACCGGCACCGCGTTGGAGGTACAGTCTGTGTCCGACAACGAGTGGTCGCTCGTCAACTTCAAGCCCAACAGACAATCCATAGACTCGTTCACAGGTACTGTGTCGAATCCCAGCCAGAACCTGCACATCCGGACTAGTTCTGAAGCGTCGGCGTCCGATGGCCCGAGCTCAGCTGAACTCTCCGGCAGCTATGAAGAGATACCGCCGTGGCCGCTTAGCTCACCGCATGACTTCCACGGCAGTGAGTGGCTCGACGCTCAATATGTTCAGCATGCTCATGGTCTTCCCACCAGCACCCAGAAGCAGACTTCACCATCTTCGTCGCTGGCTGTCAGCCCCACAGGAGGCATGTCCGGTTACCGTTCATCTGGCTCATCGTCCAACTCACCCACGTCATCCGGCCCCTTGTCGCCACCCATCCGGCGCCGCAAGTCGCCTGTCGAAGGCAAAACCACCAAGGCCGTCATCAAGAAGGTGCCGACTTCCTCACGCAAGGATGCCAGTGGCGAGAAGAAGGTTGGCCGAAGAAAGGGTCCCCTCAGACCTGATCAACGGCAGCAAGCCCACGAGATCCGCAAACTACGTGCCTGCTTACGATGCAAGTTCTTGAAGAAGACTTGCGACAAGGGCGAGCCTTGCGGTGGCTGCCGTCCCAGTCATGCCCGGCTTTGGCAGGTACCGTGCACGCGCATGGACATCAAAGACATCGGCTACTTCATGAAGGACTGGAAGGCCGACTACGAGCGCCACGTTAGCCTTGGTTTCTCCGTTGGCAACATAAAGGGCTTTAGTATGGTGGAACGCACACTTTACATCACTCACGGTTATGGTCACTACCTCCCCATCAACGCCCGCGAGGTTTTCGTGCGCGACGAGAAGTGCTTCGGCGTGGATTGGTCCGAGTCTGTACCTTCGCAGACCTTCGAGATCAATACCGCACGCATGTCTGCCGGTATTGAGGGTGTCAGCACTACCTTGCTCTCAGAGTACCTCGATCGCCACCTTGAGAGCGGCTTCGAATCATTCGTGGACGAGTACTTCGACGGCACCAAATTCGTCACTGAGATCCTGAAGACGGCCTACCGCTACTACATGCGCGAAAAGACTCCGTCCGTGCGTAAGGCATTGAAGCTTGTGCTCGCCTACAACCTCACCATGTCTGTCACCCTCGTAGAAGGTCTCTCCGAGGAGGAGCAGTTTGGTGGCAAGATCGAAGCCGAGACGTCTAGGTTCAACGGCAAGACTGCCGCGCCCGTCATGATCAACTTCCAAGTCAAATGCGCACTGGCCGACATGTGGCGTGAGCTGCAAAAGGACATCTTGGAGGAGCTATCGTCGCTGTACAGCTCCGTTTACTCTGGTGAGAAGCTCAAGAACTGGCCTACCATCTTCATGCTTGCTGCGATACTGCTCGCCATTTGGGAGGAGATGCAGTTTGACTGCCATTACCGTGTACCCGACGAGAAGGCGGTCAACAAGTTCTGCGAGGAGATGGAGAGAACGCCGGTTGGTGTCATTGTAGGCTTGTTCCAAGCCATCTCTACCAAGCTGCCGGGCCTACAAGAGTGGGACACCCGGAAGCATCATCACCTGCTCGGTTCCAACCCGGCGGTGTGTGATGCTTTGACCGAAGTTCGTGAACATGTTGGCAAATATGGTGAGGACCCAGTGCTAGTCCGCTCGTCCTTTGCACCGCTAACTGTGTTGCAGAACAATATCTCAAAGAGCGCTCAGCTGCCAAGTTCGACCGCAACGACTTCGACTGCCTGAGCAACAAGTTCTTGAGCAAGCTGGTCATCCGTGCGAACTAGGGGTCGACGGACCGTCACAAGCTGCTTGACGCAACGACGAAGGACGCCCGTCGAGCACGCAAAAACTCGCATGACGATAACAACGATGAACAAGATGCGATACCGCCAGCTGACATTCAGCGTGAGCGGCACTTCTGATACTAGAACGACGTGCACGAGCACGACGCCACGCATAACGGCCTGCCACACCCAAACCCCTTTCTTTATGTACGACTTTCGCTTTATTGCCACGCTTACCAACAGTCCGGGAAAGCTACGGCCAGGTTTTCGACGTTACACGATTGCTTCGCTTCTTTGTCATGATGATACCACTGCCTGCATGGAGTCCGAGCTGATCCGATTTACGAACGGTGCATCTACGAAGTAGCTCTTACGTGAACACAATTTAACCGGCGCCGGTAACGGACATCGCTTGCTGCACAGCGGGATGTGAAACGGGGTGTCGATTACGGCTTACGCAGCGATTTGATCTTTTCTCGGAGTTTGATGCAAAATGTCGTGAGATGGCTGACGGATCTTACGCGACGTATGTGATGGCACGGATGATGAAGAAGCAATGGCGCCGATGGTGTATCTCGCTCGAAAGGGGTGGATTTGTTGCTAGACTGTGTATGCAGATCTCGCTACCGACAGCTACTGATACAAGCCACAACGGTAGCTACTTCGCTTTTCACATATCATATGATTCAGTCGTTTACTACGTGGCATTACGAGATCTCATGATATCACGAGGCCCCGTCACCCGGCACAAGCAGATGTTCACGTCAGCCTCAAATGATATATGGTACTTGAGCTTGGGGTTACAGAACTATCTTGGACTTCTTCATTACTGTTTGTATGTGTGCCAGAACCGCTTTTGCTATGGCTACTAGGGCTCGAGCAAGAATGGCCAGGCGATGAAACCCTCGCCGACAATACCTTTCCACAGGCTAACTGGTACCGGCCAGGGCCGCCAATACCCAAGATGGCGTGCTGCTTCACAGAACAGAGGCAGGCAGAGTGTGAACCAGGCCACAACCCACAACACGTTCGCCAGCATCCTAACTCTTAGTCCCGTGCTGTGTTGCCAGTAGCTTGCTTTAATAAAGATACCGACGAATCGACCGACTGCAATCTCTAGAAGCATAGCAAGAGGCTGCACCCAGAAGAACGCTGCAATGTACAAACGTATCCAATTGACATCCACTGTAGCGTGTAATGGTTCAGGCGGGACCAAGCCAACGTGCACCACGCCACTGAGCCCAAAGGCCACAGCCGTAATGATGCTGTACCTTGCCAGTCCGCCAGTCTTCAAAGCTAGACCATCAGCGATGGCGTAGCCCGGGCCAGCTACAGACCACCTCATGGTCTGGTGCCAATATTGTCCCCAGAAGCCACGAACTCCGTTGATTGCAAACGCAGACGGTGAGCCGAAGTAAGCCGGCCAGTTATGCGGCGACCACTCATCGGGTAAAAGGCCGCAGGCATGTAAGGCAACGGGCAGAAGGCAAGGGACGTAGAACATCTGGCCGATGAGCGCCCAGGCTTGCGCACCGCTGACCATTGTGCGGACTAACTGCGGAGGAAGAAAGGCTCGCTTTCGAAACGGTAGGGGTGACGTAATTGGTATGCTCAGGTCCGTGAAGTACGGATCATGCTGTATGTAAGCACTCGTCAAGTCGAGAGTGATGTAACCTCGCACGAAGCAGAGAATGCCATGTGCTGCAAATGCCATGCGTGAGTCAAACGCAGGTAGAGGTGGTTGAGTCCGGTCGTGAGAAGGGCTGTTAATTTTCCAGTATTCTAAACGAATAGACACAAGTAAGGTTCCAACCCAGGGTAGGCGTCCGAGCCACGTGGAAGGATACGGCTGATCATCTTGCATCACCGAGTCTGAAGCTGGTCGCTGGGCACTTCGATGTTGGTGATTTGTTGGCTGTAAGAGGTTCGCTTGCGCGACTAATCTACCGTGCGCCGCGTTCTCCGTTTCTGCAATGTCTGCTACCTTCGCTGAGGCAGCGGCCCTCGTGTCTGTGGCACCGCGCCTGACATATCTAAAGTCTCTCCATGGGTCCTTCAGTGCCAGCAGAAACAGTGCCCAGAGGAGGACGTCAACACTGATTACGTCAACTCCTCTCATAACCCACCATGCATGCAATGTGCTGCCTACCATAACCGGTAGAAAGACCGCAACGTTTTGCCAATTCGAGAGTGTCGACCGTGGTGTAAGCAATGCCAAAGGTAGGAGGATCAGGGGAACAAAGTAAGAAACAATCTGGGGGCCCGGAACAACGTGTTGCGTTAGATCATAGTAAGAGAGCGTGAAATGCATAATGTATGAGCACCAAATGGATGAAAGTGGTGACGCTGGCGAAGGAGATGGCTGAAAATGGCCCAAGTGTCCAAAGTCGTGGTTTGCAATAGTAGTAACGCTGCACAGCCAAAAAACCTTGTATGATCGATGGTATTGAGATGCTGTTTGCGCTTATACCAACTTACACGTGGTTGTCTGCGCTAGTTGTTCCAGATCACTCCAAGCCGTGCGTAGACCTGATCCATTCCGCGATTTGCACAGCAGCTTCCTTGTGCGCTTGCGGCGCATGTGAGGCGCGCTGTATGGCCTGTATTGAGAACAGGATGAAGAACCGGCCCGCCATAATGCCCATCTTGGGCAGTGACGGCGCGCCTGGGCGCGTGAAGCCAAGGAGCTGAGAAAAGGATCTGATGATACGGTCAGACAACTCCGCAATGAATCCTCCCTCTTGCTCAATGCGCTCCCAGTCCGTATCTTGAAGCTCTCCCGACCGAAGATTGCCGGCATACTCGAGAACTTCAATCAGAGATTCTCTCAACACGACCTGAGCGCTGGCGAAGAAGTTTACTCTGTGCGCTGTGGTGATGTCACGATAGAACAGCAACCCTCTTTCCAGTATGGTGTACGGAAGTGGCGCGGCTATTTCGCTCATCGCTTCTGCTTCACTTAACTGCTCATGTGTCACCTCCTGGACCTCCATGGCTCGAGTCAAAGTTGGCATCCAAGCTTCGATTGATGACACAAGGTTCTTCATCTCCTGCACAAGGGTGGCGGCACGCTCTGCTTGCCCATCATCACCGCTCTGCTCTGCTCCACCCTCAATGAGTCTTCTGGCCTCCGCACAGAGAATATTCACGCGCATCTTGTCGGCACACATTCGCAGTTCTGGCGCATCCAGGTTGAGCCGGCCAAACCAGGTAATCTGCTCGGCGCTTGGCCCCTCGCGGAAGATGATCTGCCGCAGCTGTAACCGATCGTACGCCAGGCGCCAAGCTGCAAAACGATCGTGATTGAAGAACTGCCCGTCTCCGCGCAACCGCAAGATATCATCAACAGCTCTCCCGTGAAGACCTAGCGGCTCGGAACGAGCAAGGTAGACTTCTTCGAAAGCGTCAATCAACATCAGCGTTGCAAGGGTGCAGTCTTCGGTAATTTTCTGAGCATCGCCTGCCAGCTGCCGGAGATGTGTCAAGGCTTCACCATAGTTGCGGCGCGCTGTAGTTCGGAATGATATACCCGTGTCTCCATCATAATAATGCTTCTTGTCTGCGGCGGCGATAGCACGAATTGCAAAACCAAGAGCAGAATCTGGGCCGGATTGGACGTAAAGCGCTGGCAGAGTATGCATAAAACCAGTTGAAGCTCCATCATTCGTAGGGTACCTTAAACGTGAGGTATAATTGTCAGTAGTGTCTTGAGACAGCTGCCGAGATTACGGGCATCAGATGACATACAATATCCAGTTAGTAAAGAAATGGTCTACCGCTCTTGCACTTGGATCCCTCTTGAGCGGTTGTGGCACTTGTGCCAGGCCTTGGGCATTCAGCCATGAGTACAATTGCTTGGCTTCAGCGCCTGACAGCGTCCACGGTGTTGCCTGGAGCTGAGGCTGGCTTGGAGCGATTTCGAAGGATGCTGTAGGTGGACTTGGTCTCGATTCCCTTCTGGCGCGTTCCGAGTTTCGCTGGGCCGACTCCCTCTCATCTACAAAGATGAATTGCTCGTCGGGAAAGCCATGACATCGCAGGCCTCGCTGCACGCATCGGCCGCAAGCTGGGCGCACAAAGTCGCATCGTGCTTTGGCGGTTCTGCACGGAACGCAGGCGCGAGTGACGCTCATGTCAGGCCTTGCTGTAATGTCTCTACAGCTTGCGAAACGGCCTCTAGCCCATGGCAGCAACTGTAGCTGCTTTTCTTACTATGGAATCCAGTGCACTCGGTGGCAATACCTGTCGCGTGCTGCACTTTGTAACGAAACAAAATTGACATCACCGACGGCAACATTTCTTCTTCGATCGCTTGTAAAGCCGTATGACTCTCGTAGAAGTCGGTCCTGCAAGCGAGGTTGAAGTGGGCAAGTGGTTTGTCATCGATAAGCCTAGCCAAAAGAGGCGATGCGTCCGGATCTTCTCGCTCGAGCATCCGTTCTTGCTGATACACTCATATCGAGACTGCCAATAACATGGTACACATATACCATGACCTCATGTCACTAAGCCGATAGCCCCAAGCTTGCATATAATGGTGCCTGAGGAGCAAGAGGCTTTGTAAACAGGCTTTGTAACATACTGCAACGTGTAGACGGCGATAAGTGCCCGCATCTGGACGCACGACCATTCCAGGTAACTGACAGCTTCGCTTTTTCAGCGAAGCTTTTCGGCATCTTTGGCATCTTTCGCAACGGCCCAGAAGGTCTCAAAATGCATATAAAGCGCCTCGTTCTGTTCCTGGAGCGTCCGTAAGATTGTTCCATCACTTCCTCTGCAAAGACTTGAACAATACAAGCTTAGCAGCAGCACACACGATGGACCCTAACGAGCAGTACTTCGATTCGGCAAAGGATCAAGAGCCCTTTCCAGCTCCGCAGACCAAGTCGGCCATTGATGACTCCAAACTTGGCGGGTTCGTCGTGCATGGCATCGAAGACACTCCCGGCAAGAAAGCCTACCTAATCCGCCTCGAAGCGAAACCGGGCAAGGAGGAACAGGTCCAGGGCTTCCTGCAAGACATTCACAACGGCGTCAACAAAGAGCCTGGAACTGGTCCATGGTTCGGGGCGCGCTACTCCAAGACCACGTTCCTCATCTTCGAGGCGTTCCCGGATGCCGCAGCTCGTCATGCTCACGATGCCGGGCCCGGAGGTCAGAACTTCTTCACTCGCTCGGATGAGCTGAAAGAGATGCTGGCGTACCCAGCTCAGTTATATCGCATGGACATCATGCACGGCAAGTTCAATGTATTCCTTGGCCAAGAGATTGCAGAGTTGTCATTGGTCTAGAGTTGTGGGTACGCCCATCTGCGAAGAACGGCAGGCGTTGAATGTGCGTGACTGAGAGACTACGACATCATGAATTAGTTGTACTTAGCGGCGTTGATTAGTGTTGCAAGGGCGGCATTCTTCCTCGCGTCACGATCCACAATGCTACAGTATCACGCGCCTTCGGTCCCGAGTCTCCAGCGCTCGTCCAAGCCGTCAATCACCAGGCTTGTGGATGCATGGCTTGCGTGGCCATGCTTTAAGTTCCAGGTACTCCATAAGCTTCTCTGCGTGTACAGCTTCATGTCCGCCGTCTGATCGTACATCGCGAGGTCCAAGACTTCTGCCGAGCGCCATGCGTCAGTCTTACCTCGCGCGACCGGCTTCCAGGTACTGAAGAAAGTAGGATCTGGCTGTTGATCTAGAATCGATGTGAATGCAAGCTCCAGAATAGCGTTCTCTACGCCGGCATACAGATACGGCGACTGAGAAGAAGGCGACGCTAAGCTATAAACCGAGCTTTCGTGACTCCGTCGTGCCCAGTTATTCCCACCGCCACGACCGGTATGGGTCGCGGAGTGGGGACGCAGGAACAGGTTCCAATCTCTCGCAGGTTCTCTGCGCGCGCCACTACTGGGGAGATGACATGTGCTCGCATCGAGGTAGGAGTAGCAGTCTGCTCCCATGCGCATATCAAAGACCTTGAGCAAGCTATGGCGACTCGAGCCAGCAATAAGCTTCTCCTGGCCACGAGCTAGAAGACTGTAGATTGCACTATCATCCGTTGGATCGGTGTAGGTCCTCTCCACTTGGCGATCTGAGCGAAGATCATGCAGGCGAATGATGCCATCGTAAGCTCCGGTAAGAAAGACGTCACCATCTGAACTTCCTCCGCTGCTTGAGGATGGCGGCAGTGGCAGGATAGGGTAGATAGAGGACGAGCTTTTCTTTGCGAAGCCTGAGAGCGTAATCTCACCGACCAGCCGCTCGAAGTCGTTCTGTAAGCTGAACTTGCGAAATGGTTCCTTCTCCAGCCCCGAGGGTGTAAGGCTGTAGATGTGTATGGGCTCGTCAGACGGGCCAATTCCAGCAGCAATGCGTGCGGACGACAGGAAGGAGGTCGACCAGACACGTTGATGCTTGGCTCGCTGCCCATTTTCGCTCGTGGAAGGTTTGATGTCTATCGAATCCAAAGGGGCTATCTTCGATTGCGCCGCGTCCACAGGATAGATGCAGACTCGGGAGTCGCTCATGTTTGCGACGAGGAGCGTTTTCCCTAAAGGCTGCTGCAAAATGCTGCTGGAACGAACAGGATGGCCTTGAGTGACGAAGTGCGAGAGTGCCGCAGTGCTCTGATCACTCTCCGGCAGTGCGACAATGGCAAGGCCCCCATTGGCAGTTCCTGTAATGACTCTTTCTGGTCCCTGTGATGCCTCACCGAGCTCGGGTCGCAGCAAGTGCAGCGTCGTCACATCGTCCCTTCCCTCGTATGCGGATAGTGGACGGTATGTGTACCATCGTGCATATTCTTGATCGCCTCGCCGTACCCGCGTCTGAAGACACACCTCTGCCCCAGCGCTGAAAGCGAGGACTTCTTTCCTGTCCTGCCATCTGGGACCAATGCTCTCGTAAGCATCGAGATGAGGCGTGAAGCCAATGGTTTGCCCTTTAGGCGGCTTCCAGCGCTCCACTTTCCTGCCTCCAGGAAAGGCGCGAATGTCACCCCGTGGCTCTATGTAGCGAGCGAGGAACGCGCGATGATTCCAAGCCTTTGATAATATTGTCAACGTGCGTGCAGTATGTTTTGGTGATGGCGTAGAAGCCGGACATGTTGATGGGAAGCGGCTCCGTAGGAAGGTCTGCCACGCATCTTTTTCTACGAACGCGTTGAGACTCTTGCTTGTCTGACTGAACGATGCAAGTGATTGCGCCGTGGGTAGGTACGAGGTAATATGGTCGAGTAGCTCTAGAGGTAGATCTGTTAGGGTTGAGGGCGCCATAAACGGAGATGAAAGAGGTCGCGTGCCTCATGTTATATCCAAGAAGTTCGTTTGTGTCGACTGCGCGGGTGATGTCACGGCCAATAGTCGTGGGGCGCACTTCGTGCCTGCCTTTATCAGTCAGCACTCACTGCTCAAGATACAACCCTAAGCTGTGGGCAGCATCCATGACTGAGTACGGTATCATTCTAACGTCGTAGGCCTTACGACGGAAGGTCTCTTTTGCACGCGACACTACAAGGCTCTATTCCATGTCACATATTGTATTGTTCTGCCCAAGCAAGCTATCACGGACTCCCAGTTCTCTAAGCGGTCATGCTAACTCCTGCTATACCCACAATAACTTTAGCCCTCCTACTTGGCATAGTTGTCTACCGTCTTGTATTCTATCCTATACTTCTCTCTCCCCTTGCTAAAATCCCATCAGCTCACTGGACAGCACCCTTCTCCCGGTTATGGATCCTTTATTACCGTAGCCGTCAGCAGGAAACGCCAACTGTCCACAATGCTCACGCCCGCCTTGGTCCAATCGTACGTCTAGCTCCCAATGAGATCTCAGTGAACTGCGTTGATGGCGGGATCCGCACCATCTACGCCGGCGGCTACGAGAAGGGTGACTGGTACATCAACGTCTTCAACAACTACGGCATCCCCCCAATGTTCTCCATGCCCGAGCACGGTCCGCATTCGAGACGGAGACGCATGTTCTCCAATATCTACGCCAAGAGCACGCTGCAAAACTCAGCGGCTCTGACGACCATCACCAAGACTCTCCTCAAAGACCGGCTCGTGCAGCGCATGCGAGAGATGAGCAGATCGGACAAGCCAATCGAGTTCTACTATCTCTTCACAGCCATAACCCTGGACTTCGTCTCCGCTTACGTCTTCGGACTGGCGAATGCGAGTCGATGCATTGAGAAGCCGGATCTGGACCGCGCGTTCTTCGAAGACTACAAGATGCGGCAACCTTATCAGTTCTGGCCGCAAGAGATGCCGATACTGACAGCGTTACTGGAGCGCACCGGACTCAAATGGCTCATTGTGCCTCACAAAGTGAGCAGCACCAATAATGGGATCGAGGCGTGGATTCTTCAGCTGTGCGATCAGGCTGAGATTGTCATGCGAGAAGCCGACGGCGGAAAGGAGCCTGCAAAGCCAGAGGATTGGCCGACAGTCTATGCTCAGCTGAGGAATGCGCTAAGTAGGGATCTGTTGAAGCAGGATCTCGAGCTCGGGGCGGACGCTTCGGTGCAAACGCAGAGAATGACTAAAGCAAGCGAGATGCTGGATCATACACTTGCCGGCTTTGATACTTCGAGTATTCTACTGACATTCTTCGCCTGGCGACTAAGTCGGCCAGAGAACGCGACATGGCAGGAGAAGCTGCGCAAGGAGTTTGCCGGCCTGACGGACGAGTTTGACGCGAAAGCTGTTGATGCACTTCCTATGCTACACGCTGCGCTGATGGAGACGTTGAGGCTGCATGCTTCCATCCCTGGCAATCAGCCACGAATCACGCCCGCCGCGGCAACGCTTGGTGTATCAGATCACGCCGTATCCGGCATACCAGCAGGCGTGAGGGTGCAGTCACAGGCATGGTCTCTGCACCGTAATCCCCAGGTCTTCCCTGATCCTGAAGCTTGGAGGCCGGAGCGTTGGCTGGAGTCGAGCGAGACGCAAATGCGTGAGATGAACCGCTGGTTCTGGGCCTTTGGCTCAGGCGGCCGTATGTGTGTTGGCTCCAACCTAGCGATGTACGACATGAAAGCGATCATCGTGGCGATCTGGAGCCGCTTCGAAACAGAAGTGGTGTTCGATGAGGGAATGACTCACAAGGGCGGCTATGTCGCCGAACCAGCTGGAAAAGATGGACGAGTTTTAGAGCTCAGAGTTACCGAACTGTAGATATCTTCATCACCAAAATGCTCCCGTGGTGATGGCAATGTCAACGTTCGAATTCGAGCCACGCTCAGCGACCGATCAATCAATACCAACCTTATCCCATCCTTGCACTCTCAGACCGTGGTTTCGGGGCGCTTCAATGACATTGCTGAACCGTCCTGTCCTGCCAGAGCCGCTATACGGGACGACAGTACCGTCCCGATTCCTTCTAACGGCACTCTTACTGTGCTTTCTTAGCTTCTTCCTCGCCACCATAACCGGCACCGAGCTTTTCGTGACCAGGTAGTTCGAGAAACTGCCCAGAAGCACACCCTTCATGGCGCTCATGCCTCTGCTTCCAATGACGACAAGAGTCGGGGAGAGAAAGTCAATGACTTCCGTGATCATATGTCGTGGTGACTTGCAGTGGAAGACTTCGACCACAATGCGGATTTGCAGCCGCGTTTTGCGGAGGAGGTGGACGCAACGCTGCGTAATTTCTTCTGCCACCCGTCTTCGCTCGACTTCGGCAGAGCTGTAGACGCCTCGACTCCGACTTCGTATGTCAGCAGTGGAGGAGGCGTTGTTGCGCGATAGCGGCGACGGCCCCGGTGATGGCGGCGGGATGTTGTTAGCGGGTAGGTCATGGACGATAGCGGCGGTATCGCGAATGCTGTCCGCACCATGACCGATCTCGACACCGCCCTCGCCCGTGCCGCCTGCGCTAGCAGACTCCTCGTCCATGGCGTAGACTGCGAGGAGGGTGTCTCCGTCGCGCAGGACCGTGCCGATTGTCCACTCCAGCGCGTATTCGGACTCCGGCGAGAGATCAGTCGCCACCAGATACACCCTCTGCCGCTTCCTCCCCTCCTCCGCCTCGGTTTGAAAGTGAGCGTAGTCTCCTCTGATGATCTGCCGTATCACACGATGCGCCGAAGGTGTGCTGTGAATCGCGGACATTGCCAACGTCAGCTTTTGCGCTGCTCTCAGCTCTGACTGAGTCTCATCGTCACTGTGGACGGGGGTACTAGCGCCCGACGCTGGCATGTCGAAGGCCGTACTCGGATGGACCCTCTTCTTCTCGCTCGGTGGTATGATTCTGATCCTCGGATCTCGCTGCTGGGCGCTGAATTTACTCTGTCCCTTTGTTGGATCAGGTTTAGACACGAGTCCCGCCTCCGAGTCTACACTTTCATCGCGCTCGCTCAGGTTGATCGACTTGCCCGAGGTTGTCCGGCCTGGCTCTGGTCGTACCCTACCACGGCCACGCGCAGAATCGTCCACGTCGGTGTCATTGTCGTTATCCACATCCGCATCGTTGTCGCTGTGATTCAGCTCTTCGCGATCTGCACCTGAAATCGGTGGGTCCTCTTCCAGTCTGACGCCACCTTCCGAACCTTCAAGCGAAACATGGCGTTGATGGCCGGCAGGCGCTGGGCTGCGCGGTCGACGCGGATCATTAGGACCCAAATCTCCTGGCAGGGAAGATGGTGCTGGGGAGCGGGGCCTACGAGGGTCTCTTGTACCAAGATCGCCCGGTAGCCTGATCTGGGCGTTGCCATACACCGCAGACATGGCGCTCGGCCGTCTTCGGTCTGGAATTGGGTTACCAAGTCGGTCGAACTTAGGTCGTGCCGAGTAATAGTCGGCGACTGTCTCATCTTTGCGAGCAGGTGGCGAAGCCGGCGGCGAAGTCGTTGGTGAAGCGCCTGAAGCGGTGGATGCAGCTACCCTTGTGGGAGTATTCTCATCCGTAGCTGTTGGTCCTGCAACACTCCCACTCGCATCGGCACTCGCATCAACCTGCGCCTTCTCATCCGCCAGTACGTGCGCTTGCTCGGGCTTTGGCTCTGACATCTTGGAATCAGGGAAGGTGTTGCGCACACCTTCTGCGAGGCACGCCGCTACTTGTATGTGACCAGGTTGTGTTTCCAGGTTTCCTGATCTGGAGCTTCTTCAACCGCTGTCGACGAACAACACTCTGATCCACCGTCGCGCCCTCTTCTGAGACATGAGCAGATGCGATACACCCTCACTGCGTCCCGCAAAGTGCACTCCGGTACTTGTTCAGGTCGCACCAAAACTCAATAGTAACAAGCGCTGCATGTGTACTGGAGCTGTTCGCCAAGCATGCGCTCATCGGCACCCCTCCGAAGCTTTCCCTCTCCGACAATGGCGACCTCGAGTCAAGCGTATCGATGGATTAGGTGAATGCTCTGATACACAACCATGACAGCCGGAGGACATGGACGGGCGAGACGCAGCTTCTGACTCTGTCATGCCCGCCGCATACAGAGCAGCACATTGATTGACCATCCTACCGTGTCGATTGAGGTTGCCCCACTCCCCTCACCCACATGGACCGGCACACGGCTGCAGGAACGGTCAGTCCAAAGCTCCGGTCGGTGAGCTGAGTGGTACGCATTAGATCTCTTTCAAACGTTGGTGAGCTTTCATTGTCTCTTTGCTATCTTCTCTTACCCCCGCAGAACGTATTTGATACTACCAGCACACAATGACCGACCCTCGCACTGGCTCCGCCTGGATCCTCGGCGACAAGTTCAACCAAAAGTACCCCCACCTCGAGTCCATTGATGCGCTGTGGAACAAGAAGTGGAAGTTTCCTTGCGAAAGATCACTCTACCCTTTCCACGATGGCAAATACGAGGATTTCGCACCCATCTTCGAGACCCTGATTAAGAAAAGCATCCATGACGGCTACAGCGTGGAGTATACCAAGGAGTTCCTACCGACGTGCGAGGACCTCGTAAAGAAAGCGGACGAGGCGGCGAAGAAGGACAAGAAGCAGGCCATTGAGCTGTATCTGCGAGCTTGTGCCGTCTACCGCATTGCACGCTTCCCGTACATCAACAGCGACGTGAAGAAGGAAGCGTACCAGGCACAAAAGGATGCCTACATGAAGGCCGCTGCACTCTTTGACACTCCCATCGAGGATGTGACCATCCCACATACGGCCGGGACGTCAAAAGACGAGGGGAAGGAGATCCCGCTTTATGTCCGTATCCCTCACGGCACGAGTAAGGACAAGCCATGCCCAGCCGTCATCCTCATGTGCGGTCTGGACGGCCACAGACCCGACAACACCACGCGAAGCGACGAATTCCTTTCTCGTGGCTGGGCCAGCATCATCGTCGACATTCCAGGCACGGCAGATTGTCCGGCCGACCGCCGAGACCCAACCTCACCAGACCGCCTGTGGACGAGCATCCTCGACTGGATGGAGAAGGAAGGCGTTTACAACATGAAGAAAGTCTTGTGCTGGGGTTTGTCCGCGGGTGGTCACAACGCCATCCGTGCCGCACACACCCACGCCAAGCGCCTCGCCGGCGCCGTGGGCCAGGGTGCAGGAACGCATCACTTCTTCTCGCGCGCATGGCTGGAGAAGGCCAAGGACCACGAGTACCCCTGGACCGCCCTACCGGCGCTGACGGAGAAGTTCGGCTACAAGTCTGAAGACGAGTTCCTCGACAACGCGCAGAAGGACTTCTCGCTCGTCGAGCTCAAAGTGGTAGACATGCCTGCGTGCCGGCTGTTGCTGATCAACGGCACGCATGACGGCCTGATGCCGATCGAGGACAGTATGCTCATGATGGAATACGGCACGCCGAAGGAAGCACGGTTCTTTACCGGGCTGTTGCATATGGGTTACCCGCCTGCGAACGGCAGTGTGTACCCTTGGATGGAGCAGGTGATGGCGACCGCCTCGTGAGTGACGGGAAATAGCCACATAGAAACGATGAGGATTTGAGGCGTCAAAAGCGCCTGTACACTTCTCCATAATGACGTGACTAGATGCCGCTTCACCCACCGTGCACACAATGAGCCAACCCCTTCACGTCGTTCGGGCCCGCGCCTTCCGTCTCTCAAATGCCAATACAATCAGATCCAGTTCGGACTGCTCATGCTCTTTCAACACGTCACGTAGCTGCACCAGCATGTTCAATGTAGAACTGACAACGCTAGACCCTCCAACCATCATGCCAAGCCGACTATTCTCGAAACGGTCGCGGACGACCGCCGGTTCTACCTCATATGACCAGGTGAGCCTGGGCGTCTCCTGCATTTTCTGGCGACCCAACGCACGGCATCGCGCTTGCCGTCGGATCCAGAGGTACAGTGCACGAAGGGCGGTCTGGTCACAATGCGTTATATGCAGCCGAAGTGTCGGCCCGCAGTTCGCCATCATGGCTCTACGATCCGATCGCGGTAGTAAGGCTATATCGCGTCGGAGACTTTGGAAGTCGAAGTCACGGACCAAAGCCGACACTTTGGCAAGCCTAAGCAATACAGGTCTGGCCTCTTGTCTCGTCTGTTTCGAGGCCATCAGCAAGCCGGGGACCGCAAGCGTGCGACCTGCCTGTGGATGGCACTGATGCTTCTCGACCAGTATTAGCTCGATGTCCGAAGCCGCTATTTCGAAGATGGCATTGCGCAGCTCTGCAGGTAGGTCGAAGAAACCAGTCGGGAATTCCTCTTGTAAGGTAGCATAATGTGCAACAGCGGCGCCGCACACGCTTGGTCGCGCCGTTTCATCAGTGCCTCCATCCACCCCAAAGGCCATATGGTCCTCCACGAAGAGGCTATTCGCTACGAGCTATGAGTGAAATCGACACGATCGACACTTCAGAAGATATTGCAATTGTTTGATCTTACACGCGGTAGCTCGGAGTGTAGCCTGGACACCAAAGAGTCCAGCGCCGGCAATACGAGTCGTACTTGAAGCACCCTAGGCGATGTGAGTCAGCCTTGATGCGCCGCGGAAAGCGTGGAGAGCTTATACTGCCATCCGGAAAGCTGCAGCCTAAAGTGGAGAAGCGCTTGTTCGAATGCTCGAACGACGCTAAAAATTCACGGCTCGGCGGCCGTGAACTATGTAGTGTGTTGTATACTCGCAAGAGAAGCTGGTACTTTGTTGAGAGTAAGACATGCTCCGTTGATACCAACAAGGCATGTCAAAAGATTACGGCTTTGGTTGGGTGATTATCACACCGATAAGTCTGCAGGGCCGTGGTCAGCTGGCAAAACCTGGATATCCCCATGGGAAGCTGTAGCAGTACTGCAATATCATTAATGGTTCGGGTATCTCTTCGATGAGCATGCAGGCGTGCGCTGTAGCGTCGCTTCGAGATTCTGCTCCGTGACAAAGCAGGTGCTTCGTGTCACACCTTGGACATCAGGAGCACGGCTCACTGGCCTCGTCCAATGTTTTGTCTCGCCTGCAACACGTAAACAGAGTCAGCACATCACAAGAAACACGAACCACAGAACGTTAAAACGAGCTTACCTTCATCATCTCAATCCTCGCCTTGAGGTTCTGCGTAACTTCCGCCGCCCGCCGCCAACTCTCCACCCCACCCACACCATCACTCTGACTACGATCAATCGCCGGCTTCGAACTCATCCCACTCTCGCCATCCAAGCTCGTACGTTCTTCCGAGCCTCCATTCGATATGATCGGTGGTCTCGCCGACGCAAAAGGCGGCGGCGGCGGCGGTTGTGCTTGTTGTGGTGGTACTGCTGAGATGCCGCTCAGCTTCGCCACCTCGTATCGATAACCTTGCTGTGGAACGTTCTCCTTACCTTCCTGTCCTTGATCGCCATTCCCCTCATACGTGCTGGGGAGAATGATGTCGCCATACGCTCGCGCAGAAGGCACGTTATACGATCTGCTAGAGCCGTAGACAGGCCTTGTCATCCCACCGCCCGTATGCGATGTATCTCCGTTCATCATCCCATTCAGCGAGGTTTGTTGTTGGTCTACAGGCGGTGAAGCCGCGCCGGCATGCGGTCGGTTCAGCCTGCTTAACTCGCGCTTGAGTCGGTCCATCTCTTTTGACAGGCTGTTGGCGCGCTCCTCTGCGTTCTCCGCATCAGAGCGTGCGCGGACAAGTTGAGTTTCCTTTGCCTTGATCTGCAGCACGTCTCGCGTGTGGTCCTCAATAAGCTGGGCATTCTGGTTCTGGAGCTCCGCGATCTGTGACGTTAGGCGCAGCTTGTCCTGCCTTAGATCCGAAGTTTGGTTCCGCAGAAGCTCGACTTCGGCTCGAAGGTCGGACAGCTCTTGTCGTTCGATGGAACTTAGTGCTGAGGACGCTGCGGTGGTCTCTTGCCGCGGCGGTGTGGATGGTGCAGTGACTGGTTTGCCGAGCGGTCTCCCTGCCAACCCTCTGCCAGCCGCCGTGATGCCCGACTTCGCGACCGCGGCAGGCGTGTCATCCAATGCCACGATCTGTCGTTTGGGTGATGCGGTAGCTGAGGAAGGCGGCTTTAGACCCAAACCGGGCTTCTGAAGTCCAGATCCTGCGGGTCTAAGACCTGCAGTGCCAGGCGGCCGTAACCCGGCAGGTGGCTTGGCTGTAGGTCGGCTTGTGGGTCTAGGCTGTAAAGGTGCCTCTTCTGGAGGTGTTGGGCTCGCTGCTGCTCTTGGGGGCGCCGCTTTCTTCACGCCGGCGGGTGGTGCCCGCTTGGTACCCAACGCTGGCTTCTTCGCAGAGGGTGGCGCACCTCCAGTTGGTTTGGGTGGCGGTGCTGCGCTCTTTGGTTTCCATTTCGCCTTGACTTCTGCAGCGTCCGAGAACTCTTTGATCTTGTTCTTACGAATGTCGTCAAGACCCTCAAGATGGTTGAGCATATTTCGATCGCCCATGATCTTCCATAGTACACCCAGTGCCTCCGCTCCCGCATCTCGTATCGTCGCAACAGACTCGGTAAGCAGCTTCTTACTCGCCTCCGCAAACTCCTTCGTCTGTTCTAGCGTCGGAGCCTCCCTAGAGCTCTTCAAGCTGCGGATCAGAAACTTGGCCGTATGCTCCTTGACTTGTGGGTTCTTGCTCTGCAGTGCCTCCAACACGTCACCCTGTATCTCAACGAATCCAGTGGAAGCGAAGACAGCATCGCAGGCGGCGCCGATGGCATCAGTAACCGTAGCCTTCTTCTCCTTGAAACGCTCCAACATCGGGCCAAGCACAATGCCGCGGTACTTTACAAACGACTTTCGCAGACCTTTCGCTATGCATTCCACGCAATTTGCCGCCACTGCTACCACGGCGATGTTGGCATCCTTCATGCTTTTCGCACAGCCGCGCAGTATGTCGTCAAATGGTCCTTCCTGTATGGCAGGGACGTTCGCGGCGTTGTACAGATCGTCGAGCGCCTCTTTTCGGTCCTTCCATTTCGAGCTTGCCAGCCGGTCGCCGAAATCTTTCGGCACTTTGGCGAGAACGTCCACCGCCTCGTACTCAGGCTCGAGGTCGATTGCTTCGCCATCGCCGTCCTCACCTTCGCCGCCGTCCTCTGCGCCGTCTCCTGCTCCAGCTGTCTCAGCCTGCTCGCGTGCTGCTTGCTGAGATCGTAATAGACGCTCCTGCTTCGGTGCAGGCTCAGCCTTGACCGGCTCGAACAGCTTGTCGAGATCCTTCTGCTGCACCTCCTTCAGCTCGCCCCAGAAGAGTGGCTTCATGGCCTCCCGCAGCCATCTATAAAGCTCTACCGTCAGGTTTTGCGCCTCTGCGCGTACGTTCTTGTCCGCATGGCCAAACACTTTCGGTAGTTGTTTGATGACCGATTTCGGCTCAACCACCTTGCAACCGTATGCGTGATACACGCTCGTCAGTGCTGATAGTGTCGCCGCAATGATCTTGGGTTGCTTGTGTGCGAAAAAGGGCAGTAGCTCTTCAACCACGGGGTCGGCCTTGTCCAGCTCTATCAACAGCATCAAGCTCTCTAACGCGCTGGCTTTCGCTGCTGGCCGTCCCGTCAGACCCTTCTCTACCACCCCTTGCACAGTCACCCCGCGTGTCTTGCGCGCACCGTCCGCGCCTGCCGCATCCAGAAAGGCATTGTATGCATTGAGCGCCTCTTGCTGTGCCGCAACATTACTGTCGCTGACCGCGCCTTTCCACAAATTGCTGTCCAATGTGAAGTCGCGCACTATCGCGTCGTCTGGTTGCGCGGTCCTGAACTCTTTCGCTGCCGTCTCATAGCCGCCTTTCCGTGCCTTCCAGTTCTTGTGCGCGAATTGATCTGGCAATGAGAGTGCGCCGAAGTCCTCTTCTTCCGCCATGCTGTGTGATGGGTGACGGGGCAAGTGATGCTGTTGTTATTGTCCGGAAGATCGCAACTCCCCGTGAAATGGTGGGCGAGAGATGCGGCACTGGCACGTCGCAGGGTTGAAGCACGCGCAGATGCTCCAATCAACAAACCTTCGACCCCTCGGCACCCGCGCTTGACAACGCCGACAATGTGGAGGTGGCATGTGCGCGCTTTCCCTTCGCGTCTATAGTGTTGCGTGCCTGCCTTTGACGGACGAGCATTGGTGACTCGGAGTAATATTGTTGCGTGCGGTAACGACACCCTTACAGCACACGGACGTTTACAAGAACAAACTGGCGACTTTGGCACGAACAACTCACGAACCGCCAACTCGAGTATTACAGGGTCTGGCCAACTACACTCGGCCTCGAGCCACGCATCTCATTGCGCCAGCAACAGACACGGGGCTCGCATAACCAAGAGTCGAGTGTAGCCGAGAGACTGTCAGAGTTGGTGGCGTAGAGAGTCAGGTGCTCACTATGAGCAACCTACTCACCTCCCGCCAAGCGGAGGAACTGTACGCTCCACCCACCACCTCCTCCCATATGCCTCACGCTGATGGCGTGCTGACAGTCACAAGTCTCTCATCGCCTACCTATCGTCATGCGGCTATACCAGGTCCGCTCAAGCAATACGGGAGGAGCTAGAGATATCGGAAAGCAGCTTCGACGCTGCAACTTGCAAGAAGTATGAGGGCCTACTCGAGAAGAAGTGGACTTCAGTGGTGCGGCTGCAGAAGAAGATCATGGACCTCGAGACGAAAACGCAGCAACTCCAGCATGAGCTCGACAACGCCACACCAAGCAGTCTAGCGGCGAGGAAGAACCACGACCCAACCACATGGCTACCCCGAGCACCTGCACGGTACACACTGCAGTCGCATAAGAACCCAATCACATGCATTGCTTTTCATCCCATCTTCTCAAGTTTAGCATCCGGCAGCGAAGACTGCAGCATCAAGATCTGGGACCACGAGCTTGGCGAGCTCGAGCGAACACTCAAATCCCACACCAAAGCCGTGCTAGACGTCGATTACGGCGGCCCTCGGGGCAACACTCTCCTCGCATCCTGCAGCTCCGACTTAACCATCAAACTATGGGATCCCGCAGACGAGTACAAGAACATTCGCACACTACCCGGCCACGACCACAGCGTCAGCAGCGTCCGGTTCATTCCTTCCGGCGCGGCTGGCGCACCATTATCCGGCAACCTCCTCGCTTCCGCGAGCCGAGACAAAACCATACGAATATGGGACGTCACGACAGGATACTGTCTGCGCACGTTACCAGGTCACGGGGACTGGGTACGCTCACTGTCACCCTCAGCGGACGGCCGATGGCTGGTCTCAACATCCTCCGACCAAAGCGCACGGATGTGGGATCTCAGCCAACCCGACACCAACGCCCTGAAGCAGACATTCATGGCGCACGACCACGTCGTCGAATGCTGTGCCTTCGCGCCCGCTGCGACGTACCCACATCTGTCCGCTATCGCAGGCCTGAAGAAGCCGCCTCCGCCGACTAGCGCGGCCGAGTACCTAGCTACCGGCGGCCGCGACAAGCTGATCAAGATCTTCTCCGTCAATGGCCTGTGCATCAAGACGCTCACGGGCCACGACAACTGGATCCGAGCACTAGTCTGGCACCCTGGTGGGAAGTACCTCCTTTCTTGCGCGGACGACAAAACGATACGCTGCTGGGACCTGGCGCAAGAAGGGAAGTGTGTAAGAGTTCTCGAGGCTGCGGATCATTTCGTCAGTTGTTTACGGTGGGCGCCTAGTGTATATAAGGATGCCGCAGCGACGGCCACAAATGGGCAAAGTAATGGAGTGCCGACTAACGGCGTGACGGACGCACCCAAGGAGCAGATCCGGTGTCTAGTTGCATGTGGCAGTGTGGATTTGAATGTGAGGATCTTCAGTGCTTGAATCGTAGAAGTATACGCGGATATACTTTCTCCATCAGATGTTGCACTCCGCAGGTCTGCCTTCTGGCTGTTCTTGTCAGTTTTCCATCCACAAATCGTCTCCAGGCTATTGAGTGAATGTCATCAAGAACCTCGCCGGGAGCGTCACCCATGCGTTCAGGCTCGTAGAAAAGACGGCCCGCTCCTAGGTCATTGTCATTGTAGCTTGCACGATTACTCTTTCATCTCTGCGGTAGCGCTGGGACGTGGTATGCACTATATCGGACTGGCAGTACGTCGGCAAGGGATATCTAATCAGCCGTGTGCGTACACGTGTCGTCATATGTAAGGAGAGCATCATCGTCATAATCTTCGCTCGAACGCTATCATAGCCATAAAGCCCCCCCCCAAGCCACAGATCCTCATACACAAACATACCCAACACTCACCGCTGCCCACCCATCCCGCTCTCCCTTAGAATCTTCGCCGCATCCTCAGCGCTATACCCAATGAACACCGGACCCGTAAAGAGCATACGAGCTTGCTCCGAAGAACGCTGGTTAGACCCCTCCGCCGCTTCACCAGCCGGCAGCTGTGGTGCGACAAAAGCTGGTTGTGCTGACTTGGTCGGTAACGGCACCGACGCTGTAGGCTCATGCTCCGGCACGCTCGTCTGAGTCGGCCTCGTCTGAGCTTGAGCTTCATCTTCAGCCCGAGCATCCAGAGGCGGGACTTTCCGATCAAAGCCAAACGGGCACGTAGCGGCCGCTGCTTTCTTCTCGTTCTCCCTCGGCTCAGTCGCCGGCGACGTGATATGCGCGGGTACGCTACTCGTTTCGCTCTGGACATGCTCGAGATATTTCGCGGGTACGGGCAGACCCCACGGTCGACTCGGCGACTCGCCAACGCGTATCTCACGCATGGGGCGGTCAAAGTGGGGTTGTCTCTCTTCGACATTCTCTGCTGATGGTGCAGAGGCGGGCTCGATGCCCGCTTGTGCTGAGACGCTGCTGGCCCACTTCTGAATCTTCGCCGCGCTCTTCGCGTCGACGTGGGCTGCATCCTCTTCTTCGCCATCGAGATCGTGCTCAGGTTCTTGGGGTAGGTATTCCTTGTGCTTGACGCCTAGACCTTGGATCATCGACACGAGATTGCCGTACTTGGCATCGAGCTCGCGTATCTGCTCTTCGTTGCTTTGGTAGCGCCGCACGCATACTTCGTGTGAGCGCGGAAGTTCGTGCTTGTGCTTCTCAAAGTACGTCGCCACCTCTTCGGGGGAGTGTTGGTCGAGGAATCGGATGGGGCATACTCCGACCTCTACGTTTTCAACGTGCTCCGTGGTCTCGTGTGCGGCAGCCTCACGAGGCTGTGCGTTATGATCCGACAAGCCGCATATCTCCGCCTTAATAGGGTCCACGAAGCTCGCCCTTCTACTCCCTCGCTTTGAGAAGCTATCTCTGCCATTGATCCTACTGACCGAGCTTGCCGCGGTGCTCGGCACAGCTCCACTGCTCTCGCGAGTGTTGTAGCGGCTCAGCACGCTCGCGGCGTGTGATGATAGCTTCTTGTTGGCCATGCTCGCAAACGGACATCCGAGTTGACTCGGCTTGCCCTCGACTGTGAAGTCTTGCTCTAGCGGTGACTCCATGATAGATGGCATTAGGGCGCACGTCGGGTGTGTTTGATCTGCAGCAGGTCCAGACCATATCTTCACGCCTGCAGCGTGATCCGTCTGTGGTTTAGCAACACCTCTCCGTAACGCTTCGGCCGCGGTCACTGCCCCTCTGATTCTATCCGCCACATCCCTCCTCTCAATATTTCGTGCAACTAAGTCGGCTACTGGAGTAGTGTCGATAGACGCAGAATCCTTGTTGGGCGACGCAGAAGACGAAAGGCTAAGAGGCGGACTGCTCGCCAAGCCTGACCCGTACAGCCTGATGGCGTCGTTGTACTATGATATACCGTCAGCCTTACATTACCATCATCAGTCGTTTTGCAGGCAACATGGAAGCGAAAGCGGACGCAGGTCAGAGTCTAATTAAATCAAATCTAGCACCGCTGCGCATGGCAGCTACAGATCTAGAGCTAACATTTCTTTCATCATAGCATCCACATCGCAAACAGGAAGTAACAGGAATTGTGAGAGGTAGTGCACTTACTTGCTCCCTCGCCGTGGCGAGCTTCCTCTCCAGACTCTGCTGCTGCGCGAACAAGCTCCGATACTCCTCCTGCAGCGCTTCGAAGCCCGCCATCACCTGCTCCGCCAGAGTCATCACGTGCGAGTCTTCCATGACTTTCCTGACCCTCAAGTCCTTCCAGCGTTCTTGCCGGAATGGACAGAGCGATCGTAGCGCGGAGGAAGAAGGCGCGATGCGCCCGAGATGGTCTGGTCGCCGGTCCTTTCCCGTCGTGCGCGGCTCAGGTCATGATTCTTCCGGAGTTTGCGTAATGCCGAGAATGCTTTACTGCTATTATAGTACGTGGAGATGTGGTGAAGGGTAGGTGGAAGGGGTGATTACAAAAGTACCAGAAGGCAGTCGATATCGAACACGGCCGGTTCCGGAGCAAATGTCGTGGCGCGGAAATTTGCCCCGCATTCTTACAAACGTCTGGTGGTTATTGGGGTGCAGCAGGGTACATGTAACCACTCAGTGCGGATTGGAATATTTGGAACAAGCCACAAACTTCCACACGGCTATCCGACCAAAGTCCCCCAAGAACTTCAACCAGCCCGTCCAAGCAGCCCATCGCCCACCCGCAGCAAATACAACCTAACCCCCCAAAACCCGCTCTCAAGCAGCCTCGAGTCTCCAGCCCACAGACCACCTCAGCCATACTCCAACCCTCCCCTTCCCTCCCCTCCCCTCTCCTTACCTAAGGCAGGACTTCCTTCAACAAGTCTCCACACTCCACTCCCCGACCCTCTCCAACTCCCGCTCCCCATTCGCAAAATCCCACCCGACAATCACCTTGTTCTGACTGCAACAAATGATGCGGCGCGCATCGAACTGCAGCTTGAAAACGCGGTTGCTTTCCCTCGCGGCTGCTGCTGCTGCTGGCTGTGGAGGAGCAGCCGCAGCGCCTGCTTGCTGTTGTCCGCCGGCTGCGTTCTGCTGATGGTGGTGATGGTGGTGATGATGGTGGTGGTGGTGGTGATGCGGCGGCGGCGCGGGATTGTTCGCCGCGGCCAATTGCGCCGGTCCCGCCGCAACCATGGGGTGCGGAGGGTGCTGCACGTTCGCCACGAACCCATTCGCCGGTAGCGCGCCGTTCGCCACCGCCGCCTGCACCGCTGCTTGCACCAGTGCCGCGGGTGGAGGCTGGCCCTGGCCTGCACCCGGTAAAGGCTGAGCCGGCTGTCCATGCGCCAACGCATGGTGAAGATGCAATTGCTGCAGATTCGCATGCGCCGCCGCAACCAACTGCTGCGGAGTCGGCTGCCCGGCTCCTCCACCAGCACCAGCACCCGCACCCAAACCAGCCTGCTGTAGCTGCTGCTGCACCACGACCGCGCCCCTCCTCCGCGCTCCCCCATATCCCCTCAGCACCCCCTCCTGCCCCAACGTCCGCCGCACCCGCCACCGCCCCTCGCGATCCCGCCGCCAAATAATAACAGTCTCGTCATAACTCCCACTGACAATCTTCGCCCACCTGCTGCCCCCACCGCCCGGCGGGATTTTCGTCCCCACGCACATCACGTCCTCCGGGCGGGAGCTGCCCGCATTCCTCCTCTCCGGCCTCCGACTGGCGACAGGAGGCGGCATGCCCGTCTCTAGCGCCTTATAAAACGCGCGATCGGTTTCTCGTGCTTCATCCTCCAATTCTTCGTCGGTAACGGTGTCCAAATCCCCGAACCGGGCTTGCACCGTTCGAACCAAATTCCCGTGCCCCGACAAACAAGCGACTTCAGCCGTGGACTGCGCGTCAAAGATCCTAACCGTGTTATCGCTGCTCCCGCTCACGATCCTGCGCCCATCAAACTGCACGCACGCGATCCCCTTGCTGTGGCCGTTATACGTCTTTTGATGCCGTCCCGTGTCTATGTTCCAGGACTTTATCGTCCGGTCGCCCGAGGCGGAGATGATGGTGTTCTCATGGATCATGACGGCGTTGACGGCGGCTTGGTGGCCGGTTAGGGTTGTTAGAGGGCTGAAGGCGGGGATCGTGTCGGTATGTGGGTCGAGGATGCGGGTGGGGAAGTGGTTGTTGTCGAGGGTGGGGAGGATGTGGGATGGGATTAGTGGATCGGAGCGGTGGAGCGCGTGACGGTTCCAGATCCGCACGGTTTTGTCTTTGGAGCAGGTGACTATGAAGCGGTCGTCGAAGCGGAGGTTCAGCACGCTCTCGTCGTGGGCGTGGGTTAGTTTGCGGAGGATTTCGCCGGTGGAGAAGCGCCAGATGATGACGTGGTTGTCGCTGCCGCCGCTGACGATGAGGTCGTGTTCCGGCCGTTCGTCGAATTGGAGGCAGAGGACGCTCGCGTCGTGGCCGAGGAGGGGTTCGCGTCTGAGGCGGCCGGTATTGAGGTCCCAGATACGGACGGTGCGGTCGCGGGAGCCGGAGACGAGGTGGCGGCTTGTGTGCTGGATGGCGTAGACGCATTCGCTGTGGCCTTCGTGGGGATGGTCGGGGTGAGGGAGCTGGAACATGCGGTATTTGCCGTTGTCCCAGTTCGACTCGAGTTTGGCGCGTTGCTTGTAAATGTATGGCCAGCTGAGCTTGGGTTCGTTCACACCTCGTCTCCAGAGCGATGGCATTAATATATCAGCGGGACTCCGGTAGTTCAGATCGGAGTCCAGTGAGTTAAGGGAGATGGTCGACAGTCTTCGGCCGTTGTTGATGCCGCGGTACAGATAGGTATCTCCATTTGCCATATCAACGCGGTTTCTGGGAGGCGACATGTAAGGCATAGGCGGCGAGTCCGGTGTCATGATCCCCATGCCACGTTGAAGTACAAGACTCCGCTCCACACCTTGCATCTCCTCCTCACTATCCGGCGTGGAGACATTATTCGCCGTCGAGCCGCCAACACTATCCGGACTGGATCCCGAGCTTTCGGCCATCACGCCCTCGTTAAACGCCTCCTCAGTCTTCCGCTTCCGACTACCTCTCCGCTCCAACTCCGTGGTCGTCGTTGTCGTATCTTGTACCCCGCTCTCCGCGACCCGCTTACCCTTCTTCCTCGCCAACTCTTCAAACGCATCGAGCTTATCGCGGTCCAGGACCCAGCCTTCCTGCGCGAAGCAAGCACGCCACAGCTTCTCGTCCAGAGCTCTCTCGCGCCACGAGCGAGAAATGGCGCTGGCGGTGAGGAGGTCGTGGGGTGAGAGGTAGGAGAGGACTGAGAGCATGATCTCGGGCGGCAGGGTGAAGGCAGGGTCGAAGTGGGTGAGGTGCTCGCAGTAGGCGCCCATGGCTTCCTTGTCCGGGTTTGAGAGGCTGCGGATGCTGGCTTTGATGAGGACTGCGAGATTATCAGTCATGATCTACGAATAAAGAACTACAATTGCACCCACGCTTCCTCTGTGCCACCGGCAGACTCAAGACCAGCTTGAGCAACTCCGGGTCCAACTCATCGCCGTACATCATCTCGCTGTCCGCCTGACTCCTCGTCTCCGCATCCGCATACCCCTCATCGGGCAGTGGACGGTGCATGTCGGGCGTGTCGCCTTGCAGTTGATATGAGCGGGAGGGAAGAGAGAAGCTTGATCGGTGGTCGTGGTGGTGGTTATGATGATGTTGAGAAGTAAACGGGTTGTGTTCCATGTCTCAGTGTGAAGAGGGCTGTGTGTTGTTCTCGTCTCGGAACGTGATCGGTTGTACAGCATTCACCAGGCTGTGGAACAGTCTCTCGTTTTCCCCTCACTTGTTCGGCGGGCTGTCTTCTATTGATATGGGCGCATTGTACTGTACTGTTGTTCGTGAACCCCGACCTGTATCATCGACCTCCCAAGAATCACTGTACGCCTCCAGTAATGGCTCAGTGAGTGGTCATACGAGTGGAGCAAGACTTGTGCCGCCGTACGCTGTAGACGCCGAACCGAAAACGGACTAACCCAACGGCATCAACCGTCCTGACACCGAAGCGCTGGGACCGAGCACGTGATTGGCTAGACTCGCAGATTGTTCGAGAAAGTGAGGAGGATTGGCTACGGCAGGGTGCAAGTGCAAGGCTGAGACAATCTCCCACGTTTGTCTTGTCACGCCACCATGATGCAGCCCCAATATCAGGCGGCAGAGTGAATCAATAACCTCCGAGAAGTGGCTTGCAAGCGGTTTGACACTGGGGTTATTTCACGAACAACCCCGAGAGCACGGGATGTTGCAGGTTGCAGGAGGAACGAGATGCAAACCCTGGCCACTTTCGATTCACAAGCGCGACAGGCGAGCAGCACATGGTCGAGTAGGAAGCTTTCCCTTTTTCCTGAGATTCTCTCTCCCCACTCGTCAGCACTGGATTGCTCGGCTGCGACAAAGGGAAGACTTGGCAAGGCTCGCAAATCCCTCGCCTGATCGGGAGAGTGTCTGCAGCAAGGCACATCCTCTTCTCTCTCTCTCATCCCTACGTCGCCAACACGTGATGTGACATGTTGCTGCAGGCACCAGCCACGCTTTCGTCTCCACGCCTGCAATCGTAGTACCATCCCGCATTGGTAGACATGCGATGTCATTGGGAAAGCACGTTTCTTTGTGTGAGTAGCGGCGGACAAAGGAAAGGTGCTTTCTGCTTCGGAGCGTATCGTATCGTATCGTATCGGTTGGAGTGGCTTTCGGTGGCTTTCGGTGGCTTTCGGTGGCTTCCATTGGCGCGCTCCTCTGGTGCCGCGAGTGAGGAAGCTTAACAACACCCCCACAGCGAACTAGTCCCGGGCAGAGCCTCGCGCGCAGACCCTGCAAGACGGCACACCGGGACACATCTCGACCACCCACTGCCGTCTCCCTTTGTGAAGGTAGGAGCTGCAGCGCGCGCGTTGCTGCATCGCTCTTTCTGTGCTCACTGCGCCACCACCACCACCATTCACGAATGCACACAACATCACACCCACACTCACACTCTCGCTCACTCTGTCTACTGCCCACCTTCACTACGGCTCGGGAGCAACCGGCGGCAAAGGGAGGAAGGAGCAGCAACAGCACACCACATGAACCTCGCACGTGCACGTGAAGCAACGACCAGCGCCGGGCGGGCGCAATGATGGAAGTGGTGCCTCCACCGCACCTCGTACGCTCATTCACTACCCCCGTCGGCCCCAGCGGCGACGTCTACGGCGGCATTGGCGGTGGCGCGACCATGAGCGCGGCCAACACCGCCCGAAACACCACCGGCAGCTCCTACAGCAAAGAACCCTCCCTCATCCACTCCTCACAGGGCCACACCAGCTCGAATTGGAGTATACAAAGCCATCAGAGTCAGCCGTCCAGCCGGAGCAGCGATACGTCCGCGGGCACATCGCATAGTACACTGTTTGCGACGCCGCCCCCGGCACTACCGCCTAATGCGGGAGCGCTGGCGAGCAATGGTGACGTCACGGCCAGCGACAATGTCATGAACCGCGTCGCCGACGCCAGCAAGTCTCTCTTTCAAATATGCGTGACGCTGCGGCAACGGCTCCTGGCCGTCCCGGGCTTTGCCGACTCCCTCATGATGGAGGAGGACGAAGCGGATGATGACACCGATCCCGTGACTGTGCTATGGCGGACGTTCCGGCGAGGAGTACCGCTCATGGAGCTGTACAACGCGTTGGAGCCGGAGAAGCGACTGATGCTTGGGAATGGGATCAGAGACGATAAGAAGGGCAAGGCCGCGACCTTCAAGTTCTTGCAGGCTTGTGTCAACGAGCTCAAGTTCCCGCAGGAGGAGTGCTTTATCGTTACCGATCTCTACGGCGATGACACGACCGGCTTCGTGAAGGTGGCTAAAGTCGTGAATCGCGTGCTCGATATTATGGTACAGCGTGGATTGGTAGACGACATCCGCTCCCCTGCTCAAGACCTGGAGCAAGCGGAACAAGGTATGAAGCGGACCCACCGCCAAAACATCATCAACGAACTCGTGACGACCGAACGAACATACGTCCAGCATCTCGAACTCCTCCAAGCCTTCAAACACCTCATCGAAGAGAAGGGCGTGATTCCCGGCGACGCCATCCACGACATCTTCCTCAACCTCAACTCTCTCCTCGATTTCCAGCGCCGCTTCCTCATCCGCGTCGAACAGACCAACGCTTTACCCGAAGACGAGCAAAACTGGGGCAATCTGTTCGTCCTGTATTGCGAAGCCTTCAAGGTTTACGAACCGTACATCGCCAACCAGCACAAGTGCCGGAAGACGGTCGAAGCCGAGTTCCCGAAACTGAAGGAAGCTGGAGGGAGTATGGAAATGCGGCAGATGGTGGAGAGCTATACGCAGCTTTACAGCGGGTTTCTGATGAAGCCGTTTCAGCGATTGACCAAATATCCGGATTTACTGGAACAGCTATACAAGAAGGGCGACTTGGATGAGGACAGAAGGCAGGATCTCTTACTAGGTAAGGAAGCCGCGCAATCGATCCTTACGCGGACGAACAAGGCGCTCGACCGCGAAGAGAAGGCCGAAGCGGTGCAAGAGCTGAGAATGCGGGTGGAGGATTGGAAGGGCCACCAAGTCTCCGGCTTCGGCGAATTACTACTCTACGGCACCTTCACCGTCCTGAAGAGCGAGAACCTCGCTTCCGGCAAAGACGGCGAGCGGCAATACCACGTCTACCTCTTCGAAACGATCTTGCTCTGCTGCAAGGATATCGATCCATCGAAGCCGAAGAACAAGCTCAGCGGCAAACCGATGGTGGATAAACGGGGCAAGCCGAAGTTGCAGCTCAAGGGCCGCATCTTCATGCAGAACGTGACGGATTTGGTCTCGCTGGCCAAACCAGGTACGCCTTCTCCTCATCCGGATCTCTTGCTTCTCCGCAGTTCAGAAAGGGTATGTTCCGGTGCGCGAGTGTAACACTCACTAATCTCTTGTCAAATGTTTGCGTAGGCTCATACACGTGCCAGATCTTCTGGAAGGGCGACCCGAGCATCGAGAATTTCATCATCCGCTTTGCGACGGAGGAGACGATGAAGAAGTGGGCGCAGCAGATTGAGGCGCAGCGGAGGCGGTTTCGGGGGGATGGGGGTGGGGGTGGCGTTGGGAGTTTGAGGAATAGTAATGGCAGTGTGAGACATGGTGGTGCGGGAGCGGGAGGTGGGACGAGCGCGACGGAGTTTGTGTATATGCAGAGTCAGCCTGCGATTGAGAATCCGTACGCGAGGATGGCGCGGGAGGAGGAGGAGGATGAGGAGGAGGAGGAAGGCCAGGGGGAGAGGGATGACGATGTGGAGACGTTGGTTGCGAGTCGGGCCGGGAGTTGGGAGACCGGCGGCGCTACGATGGTGGGTGGTGGGAATCCATATCCGAGTCGCAGCGAGTTCAGCCAGAGTCGGAATGGGAGTCAGAGTAGTCTTCGCTCTCGCAGCACGACGGGCGAGAGCGCGATGTCGGCTTCGGGGTCGATGCAGCAAGGGCGCGCACCGCCGCCGAGATTCGCGCCGGGCAGTCTGCAGCAGCCGCTTAGTTTGCGCACGCAGCAGTTACCGCATGGCACTAACTCGCCCATGTCTGGTATTCTGCCGGTGGGGGCGGAGAGTTACTTCTCCCCTACCGGTGAATCGCCGATGCAGAGTGCGCGGACGAGTGGCAGTTCGGGGATGTATCCTTTCCCGCGGCAGGCAGCTGGAAGTAGCCTCTACGAGGAGGAACGGCAGGGACAGCAACAACAACAACAGTCGAACGCGAGGTTCACGGCGCCGGCGGTGGGGCGGAGTCAGCAATCCCCCTCTCCTTCTTCTATTTCTAGTTCTACCGCTCCTTCCGCGGTTTCGGCAGCGAGACAAGGACGACCTGGCGCCGGCATGCACAGCGCGCAGCAAATGCCCCTACAACCCCGGAATCGCTCGGCCAGTAGTCCGGACATCCATAATCATAATGGGCAACAACGACTACCGCATCAGCCGCAGCCGACGGTGTCGGGCACGGCGTTACGAGCGACTACTAATGGCGCAGGAGGACAGCCTCCTGTCCCCGATGTGCCGTACCATCATTACGCAGGCGGTCTCGGTGTAGGTGGGGGTGCGCCAAGAAGTCACAGCAACTCGCCGCAGTTGGTTCCCGGGCCGAGGGGACCGACGATGACGAATAGCAGTAGTCCGCAGCAGCGGGAGAGGACGTTCCCGGGGAGCGTGAGGTATCAGATGGACCCTTCGCCCACCTCTTCGCTGGGTTATGGAGGAGGCTACCACCACCAGACCACGGCCAACTCATCGCGGACAACGACGCCAGCCCCGGCATCTGGATCCTCGACTTCTGCGTCAGGCCCGACCCAACTGAAAGTCAAAGTCCACTGCCCCACTGCCTCGCAAGTCCTCACGCTCGTGGTGAGCACCAACATCACCTACCAAACGCTGAAGGACCGCATCGACGCGAAGTTGCAGCGCAGTACGAATTTGCGGTTGAGTGATGGTGGCGGAGGGGGGACGCCGGTGTCGGTTTCGCGGGAGAATCTGGTGAAGCTGAAGTATGCAGATGAGGGGGATTTTGTGAGTATTCAGAGTGATGAGGACGTGCAGACCGCGTTTGAGGCATGGCAGGAGGGGGGTGGAGGTGGTGGGAGTGGGAGCGGGAGTGGAGGGATGGGGGAGATTGAGCTTTGGTGTCAGCGGTAACCATAGAGGAGGAGAGGATCTTGATGGCCAGATTATTGACAGCTGACCAAGGAGATGGGCTATTTTGGACGTCTCTGCGAGGGGTCATCCCCTTATGAGCCGCTTCGGGAGTCGATTGGAGCTGGGATTTGCAGCTCGGTGCCGCATCACACCGGTATTCGAATCGGAGACACAGGCACCGGATGACACAAGGCACCGAAAGAACAGCCTCCCGAGGACTACAAACCTGACAAGTACCATCGCGGAACCGACTGGAGAAGGATGCAGACCTAGGGTTAAGACCAAGTAGAGCAAGACCAGTGACGGAGCCGAATAGAGAGGGAACAGCCAGAGCATGAGTGCTGACGATGATGATGACTGACGAAGAGAAGCTATGGATCTATCGGACATGTTCCATCTCAGCTAGATCTAACGTGGCATGTAGTTGTGGTAGATGAAGTAGAAATACCGTCGGCTCTGGCCGAGCGACAATCGCTTGCGGCTCTCAAGTCATCACCCCTCCGTCTCAATCGTAGACCGAGGCATGGGTGCTCCGTGCGCAAGGCCCTTGCAACCTGGACGACACCTCGTGAACTTCACCAATAAGAGTGTAACTGCCTCAGGTATTTACAAAACGTTTCCCCAATAGACACGTTTCGTCTGATTTGTAATGATGGAAACTCTTGGCCAGCCGAGTAGGGAGGAGGAAGTGTCCGCACCCAGAAAATTCGAGGACCCAGGGTGATCTCATAGTCGTCATTCGGCAGGCGATACGGTACCAGCATGCTTTCCCGTCAAGCTATCACTTCACTGCGCCTCGGCACAAATTGTGCCTCTACTTTCCACCATTCCATCCGCACAATGGCTTCCAAGGCTGCTCCTCCGTCTACCATGAAGGCCGTCGTCATCAACGGCAACACTGCCGCCGTGAAAGACCATCCCGTCCCCAAGCTTCGTCCAACATACCTTCTCGCCAAAGTCCACGCCGTCGCCCTGAACCCAACCGACTGGAAGCACATTGCCGGCCAGCTCGCCGCACCAAACGGCATCTCCGGCTGCGACTTTGCCGGCGAGGTCGTCGAAGTCGGCGCGGACGTCAGCAAGCATTTCCAACCGGGCGACCGCATCGCGGGGACCACTCATGGCGCCAACGCCAGCAACCCGGAGGACGGATGTTTCGCCGAGTACTGCGTCGCCAAGGCGGACTTGATGGTCAAGCTACCGCAGAGCCTGTCGTACGAAAAGGCGGCCACGTTCCCCCTCGGCACGTCGACGGTCGGACAGGGATTGTACCAGAAGGCGCTGAAGCTCAACTTGCCCACCCAGCCGACCAAGAACGGCGAGACGGTGCTCATCTACGGCGGCTCGACCGCGACGGGCTCATTGGCCATTCAGTTCGCGAAGCTCTCCGGCTACCGCGTCATCACGACGTGCAGCAAGCACAACTTCGATGCCGCTAAATCTCTGGGTGCCGACGCCGTGTACGATTACAGAGACCCGGACTGCGGCAAGCAGATCAACAAGGATACCAAGGACTCCCTCAAACTGATCTGGGATACCGTCTCCGTGCCCGAATCGGCGCAGATCTGCGCAGAGGCCATGTCGTCCGACACCAGTGGCGCGAGGTACGGCAGCATCTTGCCCGTCAAGTACCCCACCGAAGGGGTAGAGGTCGTGAGTACGCTCATGTACACCATCTTCGACGCGCCGTTCAAGAAGTTCGGCATGGATTTCCCGCCCGTGCCGGAGGACTTTGAGTTCGCGAAGAAGTTCTTCGATATCACGGAGAAGTTGCTTGCGGAGGGGAAGCTGAAGACGCATGAGGAGCAGGTTGGCCCGCATGGCCTGCAGGGGGTGTTGGAGGGGTTCCAGCAGATGAAGGAGGGGAAGGTGAGTGGGAGGAAGTTGGTGTATCGCGTGGCGGAGACGCCGAAGGATACCAAGGCGGAGGTGCAGTTGTAACGGGGTTGAAGTGTTTGATTAATGGCCCGCAGGGCGCTGTTAAGTTGTAGCGAAAGCTGTACATAGATTACTTCGCGGTCGTGCCGTAAGGGCGCTGCCCTTCTTCGAAAGGAATTTCAAATACAACCGGCTTGCCAGGTTTTTGCATACGTTAGGATCCGCTACGGAATTGCGAGCGGAAAACGACGACAACTCTGCTGTAATACTTCACTTCGATGACTCAGTCGCAGGAGCAAATGGCAAGTCATTTACGTGACCCAATGGCAAGCGGAAGCACCTCTTTGGCCATGCAGCAAGCCCTTTCACCTTATCAAAGAGAGCTTTACCTCGGCCGTGCCGCGTGTGAGCACCGTGACGAGCAGGAACATCCGCACATAACTAATTTTGCGGCCACACTATACTTGCACCTACCTTTGAGTGCCGACAAGCTCAACTTCTCTGCCGACCACCCGGCAGGTATGCTGAAGGGACAGCTACTCGATGCTGCCAACATGCGCAACATCTGCCTCGGTCAGATGTGGCTCGAATGTCAAGCATATGATGTGGCACACTGCGATGAAGGCACCAAGCTGAACAAAGTGGAGAATTACTTGGCCAACGAGCTTTTCAAGCCGGAGTACGAGGGTAAAGTCGCAACGGCCAAGAAGGTGCTGCATATCGAGTCGGTGTGGGTGGAAGAGCGTTTGCGTGGACAGGGTCTTGGGAGATGGATGGTGGCTGAGATCATCCATCAGCTCGGCTTGAAAGACGTGCCAGCCATTGTCTTGCTACAAGCTGGCCCATTAGCGCGAGAACGTCGATGTGTTGACGGAGCCACTATAGCTACTCCCGCGCGACGAGACTGTGGCACTGCCCACGAGAAGCTTACTCGTTACTAAAAGCAGATGTGCTTCGATGAGTGGAGCGATAGCGACGATGCTTGGCTGTGTCTCTCAGCCGATAAAATGGGCGACTTCAGGTAGCTCAAGCCGCTCTTTCTCATGGCGGGGTGTCGGGAGGCAACGCTTCCTTGGTGCCTGCCTTGAGCTGACCTGATGTCAATACCGAGGTACGGTCGTCATCCCGGCCCACGAACTGATCTCTCCATAGCGCCACTTGTTGGAATTTGGACCGCAACACTGCTGGCAGTTCCTGCTGCTCACGAAGGACTGTGACAGTCGTGGCGTTCCTGGAAAAGCGTTTGCTCAAGCTCTGTCCATAGACACAGCCCTGAAAGGGGGACAATGCTACATTCTGCACCAACACTACATCGCCGGGCCGCAAGCGACGAAGGTTGTCGCGTAATTCATCAAATGCTATACGCTGGCTGTCGAGAGGCGTTAACCAGAAGCTTATACCAAAGCCTGCCCTCGTCTCGTCTCCGATCACCAGCTCAATGATGTCCATCTCGCCGGTACGTTTCCGCAGACTGACGGTTCGCGAGGGCGAGACAGAAATAGTGGCTGCCAGGACGTTGACAGTCACTGTCTGTGGCTGGATAGAGATGATGTCCTGGGCGTTTGGAATCTTTCGAAGATTGGTAATATCCAACCTAGCGTGAGCGAGTTGGTTTGTCGGTCGCCGCTGTGATTGGTACAATGCGTCAGTGTTTGAAGAATGGCCAGCCGCCGAGAAGGGGTAATCTGCGTCAACCAGCAATGCTTGTCCCGTTGTTGCAAAGGAAGGAAATGTTGACGGCATGATTGTAGTCTCGTCCGCTGGCGCAATTTGCGAAGACTGGAGTTTATCCAGCAGCGCGAGAGTATGCTCAAGAAATCGCGTACGGTCCTCCACATTGTATGAGGCGTCGAATGATCTGGTTTGCGTTGGCTGAGACACGTCCTGCGGTTTCGTACTGTTTGCTGCTGCCCGCTTATGCATGGGTACCGTCCGCCACTTGACTATGGCATGGCTAGAGTCCTGTGTGCTTTTAGCAACAGCAGAAGCCTGACCAAGGAAGCGTCGGAGAGGGTCGTCGAATGTCTGTAATAGATCCTCGTCCCACCGCAGATGCTTGGTCTCAGGCGCGCCGGCCAGGATGATATGCGTGAGTTCAGCCACGGTCGCGGACGAACGATACTAACGCAGGCGTTTGTTGTGGGCTATCCATAATCTTGTCTGCTTAACCGGCGATCCAGATGCGAGCGCTATCTGGGTAGGTCTGGCGGTGCAACTACGTCGGACCCCACACTAATGTACGTCTTACACGGTATGAACACGACTGATGATTCGAGCAATGCTTACGCTGCATCGGCATGCCGTGGCCGAGATCAATCTTGCGGCTTCGGCCGAGTCTGAAGGGAAGCCGCAGTATAAGGAGGATTGTGTCCTGCTAACAGTCACAATTTTCGGAATACGAAATGTCCAGAAATACTCGAACGCGTGTTTAAGAGATCGCCATCGCAACGAGCTCACGGTCCGCTTCTTCCGATCCACCGCCACATGCATTGTCGCTGCCCGCTCCGCTCCGGGTGATAGATCCGATAATCCGGAGATACTCCGGCCAGTCCGATCTGATAAGGCAAGGCAACCTTACTCATGGCGCCCAGCTTCAGGTCTCCCAAGAAGAAAATGGGCACGTTATTACGATCACTCACTGACCGTCTCACGCCAAATGCATCTTCTGTGAACCTCTCGGAGAAGGTTCAGCGAGATGATGGCTTCTATACCGCTAAGACGACGGACGCCCTGTTTCCGCGCACAAAGCCGGAGATAGATGGCGAGGAGTGTCTGCATGACTGCGAATCATGTACGGTACACTACCCGCGCAAATTCGAAATCGACGAGGATGACAAGCTGTACGGGCAGATCAACGGATGGGATCGGCATTTAATCGTAGCCACAGGGAAGACGGATTGGGTGAGAGATGTGGAGGAGGAGAAGGGCAGCGTGATGGAGGCTGTAGGCAAGCACCGAGAGGCAGTGCAGGGTGGGAAGCTGATGTTGAGTGCGTCGAATATGCCAACGCCGTCAGACTTTCATGGAGAGGGCGATGGGAAGGGGACATATCATCGGGCGACAACCGTGCTACTGCTACCTGCTTTCCAATTCGTGGATAACGTGACGCCAGAGAAGACGCCAGCGCTTATTCAAAGCGTCATCAACAAAGCATCAACGAACACACAACCTCTGCCAACTACTGGTAACCTCGTGAACGGCCATTCCGATGAGCCCAAGTCGTCTGCAGACCTACCGTCCCTTGCCAGCTTACAGATATCGCAAGAATCGCTCCCTGACGGCCTATCGCTACGATCTTGCCCGCACAAGTACCTGATACTTCTCTGTTCGCAAGCAACGCGTGACGCTCGCTGTGGTCAGTCTGCGCCTCTACTTCGCCGAGAGTTCGAGCGCCACCTCCGCCCACTTGGCCTTTACCGTGACCTCGGCGACGAGCGACCGGGTGGAGTAGGCATCTACTTCATCAGCCATGTTGGAGGTCACAAGTACTCCGCAAATATGCTTGTCTACCGCCGCGCTGAGGTCAGCAGATCGGTGGAGGAGCAAATGGAAAACGGCACCGATGCAGGTGTAGGTGGGATGGTGGGTGGCAGAACCAAGAGCCAGGAAGTTGGCGAGGCGGCGCAGTGCATATGGCTTGCGCGGATACGCCCGGAAGACTGTGAGAATGTTGTTCGTTTCACAGTATTGCAAGGGAAGGTTGTGAAGCCAGAGCGGCAGCTGAGGGGTGGCTTCGACCGAGAAAAGTGCATTGTGAGCTGGTGATAATGGCCGAATCCGAAGTGCTTCCGAGCCTTTGTACACATCAATTGACTAAATATCGAAGCTTACCTCCTTCACCCTCGACAAGCAGTCGCTCCGGCCCGCCTTTCGTGCTCCTTGGTGCCCCTCGGTCGTCCTAATAGTACTACCCCACGTACTTCAGCCTCGCAGGGAATGGCAAAATGAGCAAAACATACAGCAGCAGGTATTCATGCGTGGTCACCCACCGCACTACTAATCTGCCGATTGACAGCTTAAGAGAGGTGAGCGGACGGGAACCACTGTTTTCTGTCATCTGTGGCCGTATGTGGATGAATGATGTTGCACCCAAGTTTCATATAGTGACGATTAGACCTCACCGACAGCACAAGGGCCGAGAGACCGTAGGCATGATGGGACTTTGCGACACATTCGGATATGAGCTGCTATGTGGTCCAACGCGACCGCATGACTGTACGTATGCAGGAGTGAATTTCAGCCATATACATCCGGCCACCAGAGCGTAAACGGCAAGTACGCGGAAGGTGCTGCTTCTGCTTGACGTAATTTGAGGTCAACGGTATCTGTCACGACACAAGTCCTGTCTCCCCAAAAGAGCACAAACCTGGGCAGTGTTTTCACCTGCTTTGGAGCTGTTAAGTACAACGCCATGAGCCTTGTCCTTACTATTCCTCGAGTCGCACTCGTGGAAAGGCGTGGCAGATATGATTCTTCCACAATCACGACATGTGACTTCCAACCCGTCGTCACAGTCGCGTTAGGAGGTCACCGCGATTCGAGGCCTTGCAGTGGGACTCATTGTCTCCTTAATGTGAAGTCTGATGAGCAACGATGTATGCGTTCAGCCATCAGCTGTGACGGCTGTGGACTGAGATTTCACCCTGCTCAGCCTACAATTCTTTCCAGACACTCGACCTTACGACTCAAGATGGATTCAGTCAGGAAACGGAGATCACAATAATAGTATTGTTGTCTCCTAGTCTATCACACAACAATGCTTCGGTCATGCTGTTGAGACGTGCTGGTAAGGGTCTACTGGTATGCAGTGGACATTGCGCATCGGAGAATTTTCGTCGTCACTGCACCGTCTATAGAGTTCCGTGAAGGAGCGTCAGTAACTTCCCGCAATTCCAGCGCCACAACCGAGACACGTTCTGGCGGCGGGAGTAGCTTGTTTCCAGCCTTCCACACTCGTCAAGATCGTCTTCTGCCCCTGGATTTCCTAGCCAGGGAGAGAGAGAGAGAGCGAAGCCTGATTTGCCGGCGGCCTAGAACCTCAATAAATGGGCCGTCGAATTCTTCGGCCTATGAAACACGTTCACGAATCATAGATGGCAGCTTAGAAAGGCGACTCGGACCCAATACTCGGGTCCGATACAACAGACGTGAATCTCACTAACACCCGTCTTGACAGAGGCACTTCTGCAGGTACATTTGCAAAGGATGCGTTCGTCCCACAAAAGCGAAACAAGGGCAGACGCCAAGCTTTGCCGGCAGCGTACGCTAGAGGTCAGGTGGAAGGCCTGGCGGTTGGTACCGCTTCTTAATTTGCTTCCATCCCAACGTCTGCCCAGGAACATCCCCAGAAGCATTCAGAAAGTCGTTATGGCAGAACGGTGCACCTGCAGCTGTCATGCAGAGCACTCTTTACTTGGCAAGTGATTGGTATCAGCCTTCTGCTGCACCTGCATTACCCGGCAGTGAGGCAATGGGACCAACCGTGTAACAATGGGTAGATGTAAAGGTCAGTGCGGCGGTCGGGCTTCATGGCGCTCAGACACTGGTCAACCCGTCAGGGGCCTCATCTCTCTGCCTCCGTATTCCAGCCGGGGTATTGCTCGCGTGCAGGGTACTGCTCGCATCAAGTGGAGTCGGCGGCCGTTGTTCGAAAGATCTTCGAGACTGCGCCGTCTCTCACGGCCCTCACGGAGCGCGTGTAAGAACCTCTTCATCTAATGTAATACCGTTCGTTACTTACACATGCTTGTTCCGATCTGCCTGCTTGCTTGCCTGACGTTTGAGCAAAGATACTAATCTGGTAGGCCGCGACTTCCTCCACCATTCGCCCCTTGTTGCACACCAGCGAACGGAACCTGGCACTGGGAACTGCGCGCAAACCCAAAGTCCAGAATTCGCAGCACGCACTCTCTTCTTGGTCCACCAACGACTGCTTCTCAGACGTTATGCTGCGCTGCCACTGATTGTTGATCGAACCGGCCCTAGTCGGAGTCATACGTTTGCTTCAACCGCGCGTCATCCTCACTTCACCGGCCGGATGCTCTGAGAGCTTCCCTTGACGACACTCGTCTGGCCTATACCTTGCACGACTTTGTACAACCTTCATTGTCACGGCGACGGCTTGTCGCACATCCGCTCTTTACAGCCCACCACCAACAGACGATACATTGGACAGACGCACGCTTATTCAGATATATCGTTGACTGTTTCCTGTCACTCCTTTGGCGCTGCTATACTCTAACCACCCTCATACGACACCTGCCTCCAACATCAACAGCTCTTCATGCCGTCTAGGTAACGAGGCCTGCCTGACATCCGCCATTGCGGCACTACAAGTTCTGCGCGCCACCCAAGATGTTGTTGCCCAAGCTCTTACCGTTCACTCTTCTACCGACATTAATCACGGCTTCGTGGTACGATGAGGCCGAGGTAGACTGGAATTTGAATGCCAACCAGAATGCTTCATCACCACTTAATTATACACCGCCTGCGTGGCCGAGCAATCACTCTTACAACCCGAGCCCACACAACTGGCGGTTTCCTTTCTACAGCTTTTTTCTTGACAGGTTTGTCAACGGCGATCCGTCTAATGATAATGTTAATGGAACATCATGGGAGCACGATGTTTATGGTACGCAGCTTCGACACGGTGGAGACATTAAGGGCCTCCAAGATTCTCTAGACTATCTCCACGGCATGGGTATCCGAGGTCTCTACATTGCTGGTAGCAATCTGATCAACCTTCCGTGGGCGGCAGACCAGTACTCCCCTCTCGACCACACTATCCTCGACCATCATCTTGGGACTATTCAGCAGTACCGGGACGCGATCGAGGCGATACACGCTAAAGGTATGTATGTCATCTTCGACAACACGATGGCTACAATGTCGGACCTCTTCGCCTTCCAAGGGTATGCCAATACTAGCGCAGCTTGGTCGTTCAAAGAGCACGATATGTTCTACAAGTCGGAGACGACCTACAGAGACTACAGCCACTCGAACGATTTCCAAGAGGAATGCGCCATACCATACCCTCGCTTCTGGGATCAAGGTGGACATCAGGTCATTGACAATAATACCAAAGAGATGACTGGATGTATGGATAGTGAATTTGATCAGTACGGCGATGTGGGAGCATTCGGCACGTATCCCGAGTGGCAGAAGCAGTTGTCGAAATTCGGTGGTGTTCAAGATAGGTTACGCGATTGGAGACCGAGTGTACTGGACAAAATCAACCATTTCTCTTGCATGATGATTCAAGGGCTGGATATTGATGGCTGGCGTATGGACAAGGCGATGCAGATCACGGTGGACTCGCTCGGCAATTTCTCAAGTTACCAGAGACAGTGCGCTGCAACGGTTGGAAAAACCAACTTCTTCATCGCTGGCGAAATGGTGAACGGCAACGCCGATGCCTCCATCTACCTGGGAAGAGGCAAGGAGCCCAGTATGATGGTGAATAACCTTACGAAGGCTGTAACTTCAAACGGCACGAAATACATTCGCGATGTTAGTCACTCGGCGCTCGATGCTGCAGCCTTCCACTACTCAACCTACCGTGCGCTCATGCGCTTTCTTGGCCTTGATGGAGACCTCTTGGCCGCAAACGATGCGCCCGTGAATTTTCAAGATCAGTGGCATACCTTTCTGGCGTCGAACGACATGAACAACGCCTATACTGGGCAGTTTGACCCGCGGCATATGTACGGTGTCTCCAATCAGGATGTTATCCGATGGCCAGGTCTCACCAACGGGACCGAGCGACAATTGCTTGGAGACTTTGTGGTGACTCTGCTTATGCCTGGTATCCCGTTGGTTAGCTGGGGCGAAGAACAAGCATTCTACACGCTTGATAGTACGGCGAGCAACTACGTTTACGGTCGTCAAGCGATGTCCTCAGCGCAAGCCTGGCAGATGCACGGCTGCTACAAAGTCGGCGACACTAACTTGAACAATGCACCTCTTAACAGCAGTCTTGTGGCGTGCGAGGACGATGGGGTGAGTCTCGATCATCGGGACCCGTCACATCCAGTATACGGGTTCTTGAAGCAAATGTACGAGATGCGCCAACGCTACCCTGTGCTTAACGATGGATGGGGCCTTACTCAGCTGTCAAACCAAACCTTTCAATATACGCTTCCTGGCTCTTTTGGGGTTCCGACGGAGACTGGCCTTTGGAGTGTATTCAGAGCCCGCTTCGAAGGCGTCCAAGACTTCACCGGTCAAGGCACGTTCGGTAATCAAGGCGTGTGGCTGTTGTACTCCAACTACAACGACTCGAATACATACACGTCCGACTGCACATCCGTCGATGCGATCATTGCGCCGTTCGACCCGAACACCACCGTCAAGAATCTCTTCTACCCCTTCGACGAGTGGACGCTTTCCACTTCAGTTGTGCAAATCGGCCTTGAAGGCGCGGAGACTGCCAACGGGTGCATGGATCAAGTCAACATGACGCGCTACGGGTTCAAGGCGTTTGTGCCCAAGAGCCAATGGCTGGCACCTTCTCCGGTTATCACGAAGTTCTTGCCGGCCCACGATGCACGCATCCTCTCCAACACCAGTGCCGACCAGCCAAGCTCTGTGAGTCTTGAGGTTCGTTTCTCCACCAACATGGACTGCGACTCGTTCAAGAACAGTTTCAGCGTCAACTCTACGACTGAATCAGGCAAGCAGGCGCACTACAGCAGCAGTAATGTCAATTGCGGGACCATTGATCCCCAATTCGAGGCGTACTTCTACGGGCCGTCGCCGTCCATATGGCGCGCACAGGTTACTCTGGACAATGTGTACGACGGTGTACACATTGTGAACATCAACAACGTCACGAACTCTGACCACAATATGTCTACCAACTCAAACGACCACTTCATGTTCCGCATTGGCCAGTCTGACAACCCAATCGTATTTCCGAAAAGCGCCAACTACAGCAACTCCTTGCTCTTCAACGGCTCGCCATCCAAGTGGGATATCAAAGCTGCAGACGGCCTCTACATCAACCACAAGGCGGCCGGTGCGGACATGTGGCGCTTCAGTATGTCTTTCGGCGCCGTTTGGTCTGACTGGATGCCTTACGTATCCGGGAACGCTTCGCTTCCCCCCCAGAGCTGGAATGGTAATGAGGCTCAAAGCTGGACCGGCGACCATGTTCAAGTGCAATATTGGTCTGCAGCGGCCGGCAGTAGCGATCACGTAACCGAAGGTGACCTATTCAGCAGTGCTGGTCCCGCGCGGCGTTTCCCACATCTTCACATACATGGCTCGTACAACAAATACGGCTTCGACTCAGGGTTGCCTAACGAAATGCAGCAGCTGGGGAACGGCACCTGGGCCTTCGACTTCATGGATGAGTGGCCCTCACAGTTTCAGGTCAATGTCTGGGGCATGGCATCCAACGGACAGCCTGACATCAGCTTCGCTTTCGGCGATGTTGATAATGATACCGTTCTCGAACGTATTGCGCCTACGTCGCTTCAGATGGTTGTCACTAACATCACAAACCTGGGTCCCCAGTCACCATTCTTGTCCTGGCAGATCTTGTTCGACGATGGAACCTTGCGTTACTGGCTTGTGCCCACAGGAAGCCGGTACCTGCAGCTTGCGCTTTGGCTACTCTTACTCATCGTCCCAGTTTGTACCGCAACAGGCGGAGTATACCTGTACACGCGGGCTTACTACGGCGTGAAATTCAATCAGATTGGTCTATCAGAGAAGAGAAGCGTGCTTCCAGTGGCCATGGTGAAGAAAGCTTTTGCACGTGTTGAGGAGAAGGAAGACGCCAGCCCGCCCTCGACGCCGAGGGCTATCAGCCCAACCATGGGCAACAGCAATCAGCAGCATTCGCTCATTGCAGGTGATGTCACAACCGGTGCCATCATTGAGAAGAAACGACGGACTGTGCTCATTGCAACAATGGAATACGACATTGCGGACTGGTCAATTAAGGTCAAGATTGGCGGTCTGGGCGTGATGGCACAATTGATGGGTAAGAACCTAGAGCATCAGGATTTGGTGTGGGTTGTCCCTTGCGCTGGTGGCCTCGAGTATCCTCTCGACCAACCAGGCCTCCCGATTGACGTTACCATTCTCGGCCGCACATACGAGGTCCAAGTGCAGTATCACAAGCTGAACAACATCACCTACATGCTTTTGGATGCGCCCGTCTTCCGCAGACAGACGTCGAAGGAACCATATCCGGCGCGCATGGACGATCTGGACAGCGCCATATACTACTCTGCGTGGAATCAGTGCATCGCTGAAGCCATGCGTCGCTTTCCGGTGGATATCTACCATATAAACGACTATCACGGTACCATTGCGCCGCTCTACTTGCTGCCAGACACCGTACCTTGCTGCTTGTCGCTTCACAACGCCGAGTTTCAGGGCTTGTGGCCCATGCGCAACCCTCGCGAAGTCGCGGAGATCTGCTCTGTTTTCAACCTTCCTCAGCCGGTGGTGCAGCGATACGTGCAGTTCGGTGAGGTCTTCAACCTTCTGCACGCCGGTGCCAGCATCCTCCGAATCCATCAGAAAGGCTTCGGAGCTGTCGGTGTCAGCAAGAAGTACGGCAAGCGCTCATGGGCGCGGTATCCAATCTTTTGGGGTTTGAAGAAGATCGGCGCTCTGCCTAACCCAGACCCATCAGACGTGGCTGAGTGGGACAAGAAGCTTGCTAGTCCGGACGAGATCCACATTGATCAAGTCTTCGAGAGCGCCCGAGCTGGACTCAAGCGACAGGCACAAGAGTGGGCAGGCCTCGAACAGCGAGCAGATGCCGACCTCTTCGTTTTCGTGGGACGCTGGTCGATGCAAAAGGGAATAGACCTCATTGCCGACGTCTTCCCGGCTGTGCTCGAGCAGTATCCACATACTCAGCTGATATGTGTGGGGCCAACCATCGACCTGTATGGCAAGTTTGCGGCGCTGAAGCTCGATAAGATGATGCAGAAGTACCCTGGCCGTGTCTATTCCAAGCCCGAGTTCACCGCACTACCACCATTCATTTTTAGTGGTGCTGAATTTGCACTCATTCCCAGCAGAGACGAGCCGTTCGGTCTGGTAGCCGTCGAGTTTGGTCGAAAGGGTGCTTTGGGAGTCGGATCCCGAGTCGGTGGCCTTGGTCAGATGCCCGGCTGGTGGTACACGATCGAGTCAACAACTACGAAGCACCAAATGCATCAATTCAAGATGGCTATAGCCGGTGCTTTGAAGTCGAATTATGACACTCGGGCAATGATGAGAGCGCGTTCTGCTAAGCAGCGGTTTCCGGTCGCGCAGTGGAAGGAGGACCTGGAGATTTTGCAGACTACTTCGATCAATATCCACAAGCAGCAGATGGATCGCATATCTGCGAAGAAGATGGGCCTCGATGATAAGAGCGTAGTGTCTAGCGGCTGGAACACGCCGAATCTGGGATCCCTAACACCGCGGAGCGGTTGGGCGACGCCGAACAGCTCAACCACGCCAACGAACAGCCGACCTGGCACACGAAGCGGGTCGCCGGATCGCTCTGGGGCTACCACGCCCACTGGCAACGCAGGGCTGTCACTTGGCTTGCGGCATGGTCCTGGCCATTCTCCGCCAGAAGAACCATTGACGCGTGCCCGATCGAGCGAGATGCGCCGGATCTCATACGATGAGGAAGAAGAGCGGCGAAGACGTGGTCGGCAACCCGAGTCCGTGCATGAGGAGCACATCAGCTCAGAGCGTGCAGAGCATGCTAAGCGCATGTCGCGGATGAATGACTTCAACTTCGACTTACGAGACGGCACTAGGTCTGCCGAGCCGACGCCGCCCGAACGCGCAGCAAACTTCAACCCATATTTTGCGTCGCCAACGGTGACACCAAGCACGGAAAGCACCACAAGCTTTGCATTCCTGTCGCACCCTCACACACCACTCCGTGAGGATCCGCCACGGCCAATGACACCGCTATCAACAGAGCAGGTCATGGATGAGAAGAAAGGACAGCCGCAAGAACTGACGCCCTTTTTTACCGACCCAACTGGGCTCTATTACAAAACGTTCGAGAAAAAGCTCGAGAGTCTGAATGGTAAGAACTCAGAGTCTCAGCTCTGCATCGAAGAGTACCTGGAAAAGTCAGAGAAGCAATGGTTCAACCGGCTACACATCGCCAAGATGAGCCGCAACACCGCGCATGGAGCAGAACAGTCGCCAACGCCTGCAGGATCAATTTATGAGGGTATCGACTCCGAGGAACCAATGAGCCAGTTCTTGTTACCCCAGAACTACCAGGCACCGACCGGGTTAAAGCGGCTACTGATGTACAAGGTCGGAGACTGGCCGGTATACACGTTGCTTCTCGCTCTTGGTCAGGTTTTAGCAGCCAACTCGTACCAAATCACCCTGCTCTCCGGTCAGGTGGGTCAGACGGCACAAGAGCTTTACATCATTGCCTCGGTATACGCAGCCCACACGATCATTTGGTGGGTGATGTACCGAAGGCTTGCCGCTCGCTATGTGCTAGCTCTGCCTTTCCTCTTCTATGGAATGGCCTTCTGGCTGCTTGGTTTCGCGCCTTTCGGCAGCACCGTCGTTCGCGGCTGGGTCCAGTTCATCGCGACTATAATGTACGCCACCGCTTCCAGCGCTGGCAGCTTTTACTTCAGTCAGAACTTCGGCACGACTGGTGCGGCGCCGGTGAAGGACTGGGCCTTCCGCGCTTGTGCCATCCAGGGTACGCAGCAGCTCTACACCGTCGGCCTCTGGGCTTGGGGAGCCAAGCTGACCCGACATACTGACGCCGGCGGCAACGGTGATCTGGGCTTTGCCTTGACCGGCATCGGCATACCCGTCGCGCTCCTCCTGTGGGCCATTGGTCTCGTTCTCTTCTTCGGCTTGCCCCAGTTCTACCTACAGAAACCTGGTGCCGTGCCTGACTTCTACAAGAGCGTCATGCGTCGCAAAGTCATCATCTGGTTCTGGATAGCTGTCATCTTGCAGAATATCTTCCTATCCGGGCCTTATGGGAGGAACTGGAGCTATCTTTTCGCCTCCAAGCACGCACCCGGCTGGGCTGTCTTCCTCCTGGTCCTCTTCTTCTTTGTCGTGGTCTGGGCAGCGGTACTGTGGTACTTTTCAATCTTATCGCAGACACACAGCTGGTTCGTCCCGCTATTTGCGGTTGGCCTCTTGGCTCCAAGATGGGCTCAAATCTGGTGGGGTGTATCCAACATCGGGACGTACTTGCCGTGGGCTGGATCACCGCTCGCATCCGCGCTTCTGGGCAGAGGCTTGTGGCTCTGGCTGGGTCTTCTCGATACCATTCAAAGTGTCGGCATTGGCATGCTACTGCTACAGACAATGGTGCGAGCGCACGTTACTTGGGCACTCGTCTGCGCACAAGTGCTTGGCTCGATTGCGACCATCATCGCGCGTGCGGACGGGCTCAACTCTGTCGGACCAGGCCCGACGTTCCCAAGCATTGCCAGCAATCTGAGCGGCCTCGGTAACGGATGGGTAAGCATGATGCTATGGGTATTCTGCAAAGCGGCAGAGGCTAATGCTCTCTAGTTCTGGATATGCCTGGCTTGCCAGCTTGCCATCCCCGTGGGTTTCTTCACTGTTTTTCGCAAGGTTCGTTCGTTCAGCTATTCTCCATCTCAGTGCAGGCAAGCTGACTATGTCGCAGGAACAACTTTCCAAGCCTTGAGGTATCCTTACACTCGGTTACTACGATCCATAGCATGGCGTCACCGGCTCATGGGGCAATTCATTGCATAGCGGCATCAGCGTTTTCAAGCAAGCATGGCGCACTCTCTGCGTACTCATGATACAGGTTACAGTTACAGATACCCGCCATATGTTCTAGAAAGCATGTATTTAGGCGCCGGGGGAGAACGAAGTGCTCGGACTTCCCACAGCCAACTTAGCGTACGAATCGATCGTTCTGCCACTATTACGGCAGCTTCACTGCATGATGTGTCCGTCTAAGAAACGATTGCCAGCATGTCTCGTGTCTCGTTCTGCATGCCATGTTTGACGCCAGATGTACATGGCGTCCGCAAGCTTTCCCAGCTTGCACATGTAGCGGAGGCGGCTCCGCGGACCATCGACCACTTCTACGTTTTAGCTTCGTAACACGTTTGTGTCTTACGTGTCTCTTCCTTCAGTATGTGACCTGAACTTTGCACTGTCGAACCTCTATTGGCCGCTCTGGCCAAGACTTGACACTTTCGGAAGTCACAATGAGCCGCCTGTCAGGACTGGGAAAATTCAAACATTTTGGAGCACCGTGACCGCAACGTTCCGCCTTTCAACAGTCCATTCGCTAGTCTCACAACATGTCCTCCACCTATGGTACCCACCTCCGCCGCTGGCTGCTTGGTCTTCCTCCAGTCGAATGGGCAGTCCAGCAGATCCGCGGGCTTCTCATCAGTACGCTCAAATGCGGCCCCATACCCCAACATATCGCCTTCGTGATGGACGGCAATCGACGCTATGCCCGCCAGAACTCGCTCGAGACTGTCGAGGGGCATCATATGGGCTTTGAAGCGCTGGCACGCATTCTCGAGGTCTGCTACAAAAGCGGCGTTCGAGTTGTCACGATCTACGCCTTCAGTATCGAGAACTTCAAGCGGAGTAGGTACGAGGTGGACGGCTTGATGGACATGGCCAAGACGAGACTCGTGCAAATGAGTCAACACGGGGAGCTATTCGAGCGATATGGGGCACGCGTGAGAATCTTGGGCGATTTGAGCTTAGTGCGGGAAGACGTGATGGAGCAATTAGACCGGGCTGCGGAAATGACGAAGCATCATGACCGTGCTGTGCTGAACGTTTGCTTCCCGTATACGTCAAGAGATGAGATCACGAGGAGCATACGAGAGACAGTACGAGAATACAGCACGCCAAGCCAGAGGGCGGCGGGAAGGGGTGGTTTCAGTGAGAGCCACGTTTTGCACAACCTCCGGCGAAGACAGTTGAGCAGCGTGGCGGAGGAAGACCGACCGAATCCAGAAGCATTGCTCGATTCGTATGATCACGGCGATAGTGCGAAGTCTGACGCAGAGAGCACAGAGATATCCGAGCAGGACTTGGACGCTGGATCTACGCTACACCCACCATCGAGTCACACTTCGCACTCTCCATCGCCCACACTCAAGCCAAGTCAACGTCATCACCAGCATTTACCTGATCCAGAAACGCTAACAGTCGAGAACCTGGAGAGGAATACCTATACCTACCCTGCGCCACCACTCGACCTGCTGGTTCGGACATCCGGAGTGTATCGGCTGAGTGATTTTATGCTATGGCAATGCCATGAGGACACCGAGATCCGCTTTGTCGATGTATTATGGCCGCAGTTCTCCCTGACGACATTCATGCCTATACTCTTGGAGTGGCAGTGGCGGCAGAGAAGGAAGGCTTCAGATGAGAGTCGGCAGGGTGTGCTGAAAGTGCAATAGCCAACGGCAAAAGTGCTAATCTTTGCAAGGCGTTGGCGGCATGGTGCATTGCAATCGAAAGGACGCTCTGCGATACCCGTTTGTACATTTTATGATATCATAGTGCTCATTGTGTGTTAACCCTCGTCCCTTCCTACGCAGCACGTTCGTACCATGAGGAATCCTGTCTTAAACCTCCCGATTGGGCGCCCATTCCATCGCTAATACGACAGCTGCATTGCTTCCTGTCCATTTCTCTTGAACCAGCTGGTGCCAAGCAACATGGGAGCTGGCACGACGGCAGCCGCGACAACCGCCTGGAACACCAGTGCTCGAGCCATGCTACCTTCCGGTTCGCCGGCCCTGCCTCCCTTTAAAGCGTTCATAATGACGATAAAGATACCACCAAGGAGTTGGCCGCCTGTCCAGCTTATTGTACTCGTGATCTCTGGACTGACCGGATGCGTGACGACGACCAGATACTCTAAAGCACACGGAAGCAGACTGAAAGACGTTGCACCAAGAATGCTGCAGATGATATATGGGCCGGGGAGAGAGCGGGTGGCGGGCATAAAGATGAGTACAATATAGCTGATAGCGATAATAGGGACGAGCGTCTTGATAGTCGCGAGAAAGTTGTTCGTCCGGTCTACGATTGGTGAGACGATTGCAGAAGCGACGAGACCGACGATAATGAGCAGGCCTCCAGCAATACCAGCATCGGTCTCTGAGAAGCCGTATGGCTCCAGGATCTGGTTCAGTAAACTGGAGACGGCGTTGAAGAAGCCGACGTATACGCTGAACGGTAACAGGATTAGATAGAAGGAGCCGTTTCGTGGCAAGTCATGGAAGGCTCGTGTCAAGTCCAGCTTCTCTGAGGCGGCTATGGAAGATGGAGGTGTCGGTGGTGCGGCAGGTATGAATGGAGCAGGAAGGCAGACTGCGGCACTCAAGATGCTGGTGTATAGGACCATATCTGGGATCCCAGATTCCGTGGTAGCCCAAAGTGGTGCAATTAACTGTCCCAATGCTGCACCAAAAGGATTCGCTAGGGATGCAACAGCTGTCGCTGAGACGCGCCCCTTATCGGAGAACCATAGATTGCTGAAGCGAGTAGGTGCTGCGAGCACAAATGGCTGCGCAAAACCTATGAGTATCTGACCAAACATCACTATACCGAAGCGTCCGTGTCCCGAAGATGTCGCCCGAGTACCAGCGTAGCGAATCCAGTTACCGACGAAGACTAGAACGCTAGCGACCAAGACGGAGCGCTTAGGGCCACCTTTGTTCAAGGTCCAGATCACAATGGGAGCCATTGGGACGAAGGCGAACAAGAAGCCCGTAGACAACCAATTGATCGCACTTTCGCTGACGCCAAAGAATGAAGCAGAAGTTCCCGAGACCGAGGCGAACGTGAGCCAGTCCCAAGACACTACGATGTTCAAAAGCACCAGTTGCGTAAGTCCAATGAATCGTCTGCGGTAGACACGGTAAGGCTGCTGACGCGGCACGGGCGTCAATGGATCATGCGAACGCCATGGTTCCATGTATGACGGAGTGTCATTTTCCGCCGTCGACATGGCACGCTGAGGCGCGTCCTCCCCGCTATCGCTGTTCTGTGAATTCAATAGTGGTCTCGCTGATGGACCAATCTGCACCCGGCCATGTGTGCCCATGTCTGATAGACTCGATGCGAGCGGAAAGCGATGAATGAGACATCAGAAGATAGACATGGGGAGGAAGTGGTAGTGAAGCGTTGTAGATGGAGACATACCAAGCACTAGATCCTCTGCCAAGTCTTGCCCCGAAGATCGCTGCAGGCAGATTGTGCCAGCAAACGAACTGTCGTGAGCATAGTCTTGGTTGAAGCATCGCTGTAATCGGAGATGGACGTTACATATAGTCTGATGGACATGAGCCAGCCACGCACCCAGCAGGGTGTCACACTTCTGGTATGACGACTATGTTTTCACCATCCATATGAGAGGTAGTCAATGGTTTGCCGTTGCACCTCGGTAAGAGTACAGTAGCTGCCAGGTGGGCTGGTCAATTCCTTACATAAGACATCAGAGCTTTGGCCCTCAAGGTCTGATTACGTGGGGACAGTCATACGCACGTGCTCTCGAAGCATCCATACTGAGACGCCACAGTATAATCTCAGCTTTCCCACCATCCCTCCATGTCGGACATCCGACGATCCAGAGATGTATCAGACATTCACAGGTTCGTCGCGTCGGCATCGGCAAGTCAACCTGTCAGGCAGACCTTCTAACCCATTTGCGGCTGCCTCGTCGATACCGGGAAGTGGTCCGCAGTCTGCGATTCTCTCCGCACAGCAGGATCGCGTACAACGACAGCAACAACGCGAACGACTGCAGGCATCAACAAGGATTCAACGTGTATGGCGGGGCCATAGTGCTCGACGGAAGACGTTCGGGTTGTGGCGACAAATATGGGATGAATACGAGGACAAGCATACAACGAGCAATGGCGCATATCACGACCCTGATGAGAGCTTGGCGCAGTTGACCCGGTTGATGCTGTTTTACAATGGGAGGGAGAACAAAGACGTGTCTAGGGTAACATGGTATGGCATGCGGCAAATAGCTACAGAGTCGAAGACGCCATGCTCGGGAGGACCTTGGCCGAAAGCGTATTTGCGTTTAGCAAGAGCTTGTACAGCAGCTCTCAGAAGTCGGACAAGGGCCAACCATGAATCGGACGCAGCGCTCTTGAAAGTTCTTGCCTTTGCGGCGCGCAGGTGCAACCTTGGATCTTCGGACGCCCTCCAATACTACGAGGCTTTAACAGCACCATCGAGCACCACCTTACCGAGCAGCCCATTGCGAGACGCTCTACTGGCACCGCTCGCTTCGTCAGATGCTTACACAGGTCTCTTACGCCTGCTTGCGCAACCTATCGCTGTCGACTTGCTCGACCTGCTCCGCTCACACATTGATGTGCAAGCGCTGTCTGATGCTCTCGGACGTGAGCTCGTCGAGACTTCAACAGGATCAATACGAGCAAAGCTTTGGCTTCTGGGCAACTTCATCTTCCTCGCCGGCCGTTCGAATGCCTCATTCTCCACCCCAAAGTACATCTTGGCCGTGTCAGGACTTATGGGGTCCTTGGCGGATGATGTGGACTTCGACTCAGCACCCATAGACATGGATAATGCTGCCTTTGACCGCGAGGTCCTGGCCAAAGTTGCCACTGGGCTTCCGCTGAATACGTACTTGTATGAGCAGATCACATCGCTGATCGACCAAACTACGATTCGCAACCTGCTCGTTCGGACGACGGAGTTGAGTCCGAATGGCTCCGGCGGAAGCCAACACGCGCAGGTATATGCTGGCTATGCGCTGACATTGTTGCGGTGCTTTCCTCGACGAGCTGACGACCTCCGCATGTGGCTTTACCTCGGTCCTACTTCAAGTTCAGAAAGCGACCTCCCGGCCACGCAGTATTTCTGGTACGCGTCTCGGTCATCCCAGTCATTCCAAACAATCTGGCGCAACTCGAGGGATGTCGTCGCGCTGCTTCAGGCATCTGCTCAGAACACCACTGGGTATAAGGAGGACTGGACCCTTATTCTCTTATTCCTCGAACTGTACACATTCATGCTGAAGATAATGGACGATGAGGAATTCATGGGCTCGTCTGGCAAGCGAAGCAGTGCAATACCCATCAGCGATGTTGCAGAATTGGTTACGTTCCTGAAGAATTTAGGATTTACGCTCTACTTCAATGCTTCCGTGCTAAATGAGGACGCCGGCGACTCGGCACGGGATGCTAGGCCTGTATCACTCGCGAGACACTTCGGCACGGCAACGATGTCTGAGCAGAATGGTATGGTACCGGAGCCCAAGCCGTTCACGCTTGCGGGACTACCAGGGCTTACAATCGACTATCTGAAGGCTCTCGTGACTGGTTTGCTGCGAGCAGTCTACGAGCGCGACTCAAGGCGGCACTTCCTGCCAAAAAATCATTGGCTGATGACTGATCGCTTTGACATGACCTCCTTTATTCCGGGCGTGGTTGCAGAGGAAGAGAATCGGCACCTCGTGCAGGACCAGGACGATGAGGACAAAGATGATGCATCTTCGGATGAAGACACACCGCGGCAGATAGTGTCCAGCCATATGAATGCTTTACGCTCGCAGCAGGCTCGTGAGCGCCGTATGCGGAAAGCTTCGCGGAGACGGTACCTCGAGTCTGTGGCGCCGAGGCTTGAGATCTTGCAGAACATGCCATTCTTCATACCCTTCACGACGCGCGTCGAGATCTTCCGGCAGTTTGTGCACCTTGACCAAGAAAAGCGCCGAAACGGTCATGTCGACCCGGACTTGTGGCGGCAAAGCATGATGTTCCAACCGCCCAACGGCATGCCGCCTCGAGATATGCTCGCTCGGCACCATGCCAAGATTCGTCGAAAGAATGAGTTTGCTGATGCTTTTGAGCAATTCTACGACCTGGGAGGCGACCTGAAAGAACCCATCCAGATCACCTTTGTGGACGAGTTCGACATCCCCGAAGCTGGTATTGACGGGGGCGGCGTAACCAAGGAGTTTTTGACTTCGGTGATCACACAAGCATTTGGACCGGATGCAGACTTCTTTTCGGAAACGGAGACCCACTTTCTGCACCCTAAGCCTACCGCAATTGAGGACTTGAAAGTTCGCCTTCGGAACATGGGCTTCAAAGAGCACTCGATGCGAGGAGAAGTCAAGAGTCTATTGCAGCAGTATGAGTTCCTTGGCCGCATCATTGGCAAATGCTTGTACGAAGGCATACTGGTCGACGTCTCATTCGCTGGCTTCTTCCTGAAAAAGTGGGCGCTCACTGGAGGCATGCACTCTGCGCCCATGGAGACAGGCTACCGAGCCAATATCAATGATCTCAAGGAGCTGGACGAAGGCTTGTACCGGGGTCTGCTTGCATTGAAGAACGCACCGGCGGAGCAAGTCGAAGACTTCGGCCTCACGTTTACAATCGACGACCTTGTTGGTCCGGACGACGATAGGCACGTTGTTGAGCGTGAATTAGTTCCAGGAGGTGCAAACACATCAGTCACTGCGGAGAACAGGCTCATCTACATCAATCGTATGAGCTGGTACCGTCTACAGGGACAGAGTGCTCAGCAGACCAATGCCTTTCTGAAGGGAATCTCGAGCATTGTGCAGCCAAGCTGGCTCAGCATGTTCAACCAGACGGAGCTTCAGACGCTGATTGGGGGCGCCGCGGCGAACATTGATGTTGCGGATCTTCGTCGCAACACACTGTATGGCGGCACGTATGTCATCGGCGATGACGGCCGCGAGCACCCGTCCATCCAACTTTTCTGGAAAGTCATGGCCCAGCTTCCGGATGAGGACCGCAGAAAGGTGCTCAAGTTCGTCACGAGCACGCCACGAGGGCCACTGTTGGGTTTCGGCCAGCTGAATCCGAGGTTCTCAATCCGTGATTCAGGGTCGGATGAGAATCGGTTCCCTACGACAAGCACTTGCGTCAATCTGCTCAAGCTGCCCATGTACAAGAGTGAGAGAATGCTAAGGGATAAGTTGTTGGCTGCAGTGAACTCCGGCGCTGGGTTCGATCTTTCGTAAACACCTGGCAGGCAATGTTCGGCGGAGCGTTTGACTGGCGGAGCACTTATTTAGCGGTCATTGATAGCATAGCGAGCGACGAGGTGCATGAGCGTGTACATTGCGGCGTTGCGGTGACGCAATCCGAAGCAGGCAGTATCAACTGCATATTTCCCCTTTCTACGGGAGTCCGTACCCTCCGAGTACTGCCGTGCGTCGACTCGTTCCACGCTTGCGATACTGGTCGATCGCATGCCCGCACATTGGAGGGCAGACGTTTCTACATGTGAGCCGTAGCTGCGTGGGGCAATTGGACAAGGGAACCGGAGCTGCACTAGCCGATTGTTAAGCTTGTTTTTGCATTAAGGCCGTCACTAATTGTATGCCTGCATGTAAAGCGGCTTGAATGCCATCTGTGGCGTTATTTAAGTAGTCTTCGTTGTGCCGTCGTAGCAGGTGAAGTACACTTCCCGGCACAGCCAGGACTGGCGGATGGATTTCGACTGGCTATGCGTGAGTGCAAGAGCATCGAGACTCGGCAATAGAGTGGTGGAGCTGAGCACGTCGACTGATGCGGGAAGTAGAGCGGAGTACTTTTCGCCGAGAAGCTGAGGTCACGATGTGAAACGATCTGGCCGGACGGCCGCACGACCGCGGCGCTGCAATCTAGTCCCATTCATCATCTTCGTCGTCCGCAACACTTGCACCTTTTCGGTCGCTTTGCCGGATGGATCGTGCTTGTTGCTCTGCCGTTATATCGTCGGCTGCGCCATCTCTACGCTTTAGCCTACGATCCCCAGCCTTTATCGCGCCAAGGGTCACAAGTAAGCTTTCAAGGTCGTCTAAGTCGGTCTTGTTCCCATTTAGCTCCCCCAACGTAACCACCTGCCTTCGAATCTCGCCATCTCGGTAGACGAGCAGCGTAGGCGTGTTGCGGTCCGGATATCCATCGATGCACAGATCGGCCTGCATCTGACAGAACTTAATGTCTCCAAATTTGATCGCTAGTTGCCGCCAAACCTGTATCATGAGCTGAGACTCCACGTTGGTGCCGGAGCTGGAAGTGAGCAGTACGAGTACCCAAGCATGCTTACTCGCCTCCGTCACCTCCTTCGCATACTCAGGCTTCTGTACAGGATACACCTGGCCGTAGACGCTGGCGTTCTGCAATGTTTGGATTTCGGTCATGCGTTTCCGGCGATAAGAGTCGAGAAAGGCTTCATCCTCCTCGTCTTCGAGCTCATCTAGCTCGTCCAGATCTTTATCTTCGAGCCTATTCTCGTGCAACAACCTCCGAGCTTCGGTGAAGGCTTCCTCGATCAAGGGCGTCGGTGAAGGTGGTTTCTCGGGAATGACGCCGTGCTTGCGAAGGATATCGTTCCTGTGAGAGGAAGCAAGTCAATACGTTCGAGGCTCGATTAATGAAGCAAGGAGACATTGAAAGTGTCTGCCTACCACTCCGTATCCTCATTTGGGTCGACTTGAACGTTGACAGGTACATCCATGACTTCAGTCCAGAGCTGTGGTGTTGCTACAGTTCAAGGTGCGAACGCTAGTATGCTTGTACAGGTCGAGACGTGCGCGAAGTGTGCGTGTTACATCGGGGAAACTGTCGGCCCGTAAGAGCCTCACCTCCACCACCCATGGCCTAACCAAGGACACATCGGATGGCATATCGGCATCAGTGCCATTACATACGGACCAGCGACCTTGATCGGCGCTAGTACTATGCGGAAAAGGTCCATCTCTCTGAACGTTACGCTTGCGGGACAATCTACACGATGTACAAGCCAACATCTCTCCATGTCATCAACCTGCCTAATCCGGTAGAGCCTCAGTCTGTTCCGCAGAAACATCCTTTGAATGGTACCGCGCCACGAGCACCCGGACGTACCTCCAATGTTGTCCGTCTGCTTCACTGTGACAATGCACTGACGCCCGAAGAGCGACCGGCTAAACGCAGAAGATCCGGCGATGCGCAATCCCTTAACTTGCCAAAGCTGCCCGTCAGGCACGCTCAGAAACGCTTGAGGATCCCACCAACCCTCAGTGGTCTTCATCAGCCCCCGCCAGATGCCGGTTTGTTGCCTTCAATCTCGACAGCGCAACCTGTCCAGCCGCTAGAGTCATCCATAGCAGACCGCCGCCAAGACGATCCCATCGAGGAGGCCAGCGGACCGGTCGCTGGCGCTGTGTCCGTTGGCGAGGCTCAGGCTATTGCAAAGCCTGTTCACTCCTCAAAGAAGCACAGATGGTCGCCCGATGAGACATCATGCCTGCTTCAAGGTGTTGCTAGGTTTGGTGTCGGAAGCTGGACGAAAATCCTTCAACATCCGGAATACCACTTCGACCGGCGAACTGCCCTCGATTTGAAGGATCGCTTCCGTGTCATTCGTCCTGACGATTACCGTGAGCTGCGAGGCCAACAGAAACCGCTTGACCCGCAGACACCCCGGGTGGTTGCCAAGCCGACAAAGACCCGACCAACCCGCTCAGCTCAGAAATCCAATGTCGAACTTGAAACTTTGGGTATTGTTGAGCCTTTCGCAAGGTCTAAACGCCGAAGACGTCATGGGTACAGCAGAGCGGAAGACGAAGCACTCTTGCAAGGCTTTGAGAAGTATGGAAACCAGTGGGCTCAGATTCGTGAAGATGGGGACCTTCACTTGAGCCACCGAACAGCGACTGACCTGCGCGATCGTATGCGAACAAAGTACCCGGAGCAGTACCAAACTGCAGGTCTTGCACCAAGACCTACCGTCTTCCCTAAGCCACCAAAGCGTGGCGCGGACCATGGCGGGACCAATACTGACGAGCCTGCAGTATCTGCAAGCGCCGCTAGGGTCGACAAGCTGGCTGAACCGCCAAAAGAGCCAGTGATGACCAAGGCAATACCTACCGCCATGCAATCACGGGCTTTCTTCCTCCCAGATGAGGACGTCTTCTTCGGCCTGCCCTTCGAGGCAGATGACCGAAGAGAGAAAGAGCCCGTGACGCTCGACCGCGGCATTCTGGCCTACGCCGCGTCGGATCACAATCTCAAAGTTCCAGCTACGGCAGGCATCGATCCTCGTGTGACCTTGAACGTGCCCTTGAAGTTAGCTAAGTCTGGCGGCTCTGCCCTGCCATCTCTTGCGGCCATGACCTCGTTTGACGGCCAGTCGTCTATAGCAGACCAACTTGAGCTGCCGTCGCTCATGCTTGGGCCTAGTGAAGACGGAAGGACAGGTGGACACCTACTTGGCATTGATGAGCTCTTGACTTAACGTCGCCTCCGGGTCCCTTTAGGATGCGGGCCTGACGTTCTGCAGTTTGGACGAGTGGTCAACTCGAATTTCAGAGCAATGTGGCGTTCTCAAGCTGCTCTATGTAGACACACCTGCACTCCTCCATATCGCAGCACTTTCTGCAGCTATATATGCATCACTCACTGGCCAGCCGCCCAGCTAACTACCCACGTTAAAGCGCTGCCCCAATTGATCGCCACTTCATTGGTACTATAACTGTTCACATCGTCTACGTAACAAGTCATCGGCGCACAACCCTGCAGCACGTCGTCCGCCGGCGGATCGGACGCGGCCTGATTCGCGCCACCCGACATCGCGCCTGGTGGAGCTTGAGGGACAAGGTCCGATAGTTCGTGTGCGTAGAGGCGGGAGTGTACGTTTTGCGTGTTCTTTGTGCCGTAGGTGCGGATGTAGGACTGGGCAAGAGCATTGCGACCGAGGACGTAGTCTATGCCTGCTAGGGCGGCGGTACGGTAGGCGGTGCTGTTGGTGGCGAGGGAGGCAGCTGTTGCGACGACCTGGTGGCCTGTGTCAGTGCCAAATATCAGAGACTACGGGAACGGCGGGGACGCACCTGCACGTTGTTCAGAGCATTACTGTTCGACCCCCAGGGCCACGTTGTCAGGAACACTCCGTAGCCATTAGAGCTGTTCTGCTGCACGGCTACAAGCATGTCTGCCGCAGTGAGCACAGACTGCACGATAGCCGAATGGTTAGAGACGTTGCTAGGAACAGTCGCCAGATCCATCTGTGCCAAGGCAGCTACAGAGCCCCAACTGAAACCGGACGGCACAGAGAACAACGTGGAGACGTTGGCGGTAGCGTACCGATTCGCCTTCAGATCGTCCAGGTACTGTTGTCCGGAAGTCGTGAGGTACAGCTCCGCAGCGGCCCAGTAAAACTCGTCGGACACATCGTTATCATTGTACGCTCCACCACCCTGATCCCAATCAGTGCCCGGCGCAAGGATGGCAGGGTTCTGTTTCGCGGCCGCGTAGGCCGTTTCGGCTGCGGCGAGACAGCGTGCCGCGAAAGTAGCATCAAACGCCGGGAACAAGCGTGCAGCCATCGCGGCGGCAGCAGCGAGGTTCAGCGTCGCAGCTGTAGAAGGGCGGTGCAGCTCCCGGCGCTTGGGGTCCTGTGAAGGATCCGTGGGTAGGGGCGTCCATTGATTATCATGCATCTTATGATGAGCCATACCGGACATGTCGACCATACTGCCATTGAAAAGTTGCCGGGTGGAGTTGGCAGGCACTTGCATCTTGAGCATGAATTCAAGCTCCCAGCGGGCTTCGTCGAGTATATCTGGTATCCCATTGTTTCGTTCTGGCAGGCGAAGGGAGCCGTCCCCCAAACCCGAGGAAACATTTGTATTGGTGTACAGTGTGCGCTCGTAAACCATCATGAGTTGGGCTACCGATATGCCGCCATTGACAACGTACTTGCCTTGGTCGCCCGCGTCGTACCAGCCCTGGGTGACATTGAGTGTGTAGTTGCATGTCCATGGTTCCAGATAGGCTATAAGAGACTCGTTGACGAGCTGGCAGGGCACGGCAACGTCGCCTTGATTGGGGGGGATCTGGACATGGCCAGCTGCACGAGCGTACTGTGAACCGACAAGGTTGCCGTCTATGGCAATACCGCTGCGTTGCTGATAGAAGAAGCGAAGAGAGTCCGCGCGGAGTGACTCGTAAAGGCTGGAAGATATGGAGAATGGATAGCTGGTGCTGTCATCGACGGAGAGAGTATAGCCAGTGCCTTCAGTGGTGAAGTTGCTAAAGTCTATGGTCGCAACCGTTTGACTAGATGCAATGTCCAAGCCTCTGGGTCGTGTCCTTCCACTTGCGGAGACAGCGCCTGTGTTGCCGTAAAGTGTCCAATTCATCGGCGCAATGTTAGTAGTTACAAAGGTCGCAACCTTTGGTCCGTTCGGCAAATAACCAAGCTGGTTAACCTTGATGGCGGAGCCATAATCCTGGCGCCAGGCACTGCGATCGATCCGTTTCATCGACACATTGCCAATGCACACAGTGGCCGCTCGTGGTGGGCCGGTCAGTAAGAACTCCAAGGTCGTATTTGGGGCCTGGTTTGCTGGTGAGAAGGTCATGGAGAAAGGGTATGGGCTCGTCGTTAGTGCTGCCGTCATGTTGAGGTTGGGGTCGAGTGGTGGGTCTGGCGTTTGCACCAGGATATCGTAGCCGACGGATGAGCTGGCGGTGAAGTTGAGTGTGTAGACATCGTTCTTCGTCTCAAGAAATTGATAGGTCGTGGTCAGATAGCTGGTGTTGCTACCAAGTGAGCCCCCCGCGGGTACGTTCATGCAGTACATGCCGTTCATTATCGTGCCTGGGGGGCTTGACTGCCAGCCGGTTGTACCGTTCGCGAAATTGCCATTCTGGATGATTTGCGGTGTCCCTGGGATGGGTGGCGGCGTCACTTGGCCAACGGCAAGCGCAGCCAGCGAGAGGAAAGGGAGGATTGCGTGCTTCATTGTAAACCAGAGGCGAACCGGTTGGATTGCAAAGAAAATGAGGGAAATACCGCAATTTATAGCCTACCTGCTTCGTGTGATGCCTCGGAATAACGGTGCCGCTGAGGAACAATGACATGTCATTGCAGCACCAAGCCGTTCACGGCTCCGCTCTGCTGTAGCGCTGGGCCTAGCAATGACTTGACGACTGTCATGTTGGCGGGTAAAGGATGGTGGTCGAGAGATGATCCCAGTGTCAACATGCAGCCGCGTGCGGAGTAGGCGGAGTATAGGCTGGAACGACGGACCGCTGTGCCGCATAAAGACCTTGCGGCCCATGTTCAATACGGGACTTGCCAAGGTATAGCAGTAGCACTCTGAGGTGGAACTTTCGGGATTCTGCTGAATGTTGTAATATGTAGTACAGAGGTGGAGAGTGGAGAGACGGGAAACCGCTGGGAACCGATGTAACGGGCTTTAGATGAACGCCAAGCAAATCACGACCGCTTTGGCGGCACTGTTCATCAAGCCTAACTCCACGACACAATAGCTCAGATATCGTCTATCTTATACCTTGTACTCCAGCACAGCCATGGGTAGTACAGGCACAGCTGAACACGGTGTTGTGGTAGCCACTGTAGCCTTACATGACGAGCTTGACCATCTATGGGAGCGCTACCTTCACCAAGTGGACCGGTATCAGCAGGCACAGAAAGAACTGCAGAAGCAGCTGTCTTCGGTAAGTTGATCGCCTCGAAACTAGTTACTTCAATCTCATTCGTTCCAAAGGGATTCCTCTCCCTCGCGCAGGCCAACAAGTCGGTTTCACGAAATCGATTTGGTCAGAACTCCTACGATCTACGCATGAAAGCCACCCGGGTTTGCAGTCTAATGCCGGAAGACCATGAGTCTGGGCTGGTCCAGGTAGCTGTGGTTAGTCGGACCTGCAATGGCGAACGCAAAATCCAAACGGAGACTGCCGTAGAGGAGCCCAAGCAGCAGCCTTCACCCCCAGCCACGCCTGCTCCGGAACACTCGGAAGATGCTGTTCGCAACGACATTCACGGCCGCACTACGAGTGGAGAGAGCGACCCCGACCAGTCTTTAACGTCCCACGCCGAGAACTATCCCTGGAAGCACGACCCGCTCCGCTGGTATGGCGTACTGGTACCACGAGAGCTTCGAATAGCACAAGCCTCGTTTGCCCAAGCCATTGTCACGCCCGTTGCAGACGTTTCGAATGCAGCAAAGCACATGCGGGCGCTTGAGACCGAAATTAGAAAGCTGAGGAAAGCGATCTCCAAAGCCGAAAAGAATGTTCCGCGGTAAGTATCTTGATGAAGAACGCTTCGCATCGATTCTTGCAGGCCAATGATGTACATTGCGTTGCTTGGGAATAAACATATATATATCTCTCTTGAGAAGCGACCTGCAGAGTGTTTAACCGCAGCGTCAATATCGCCACCTCAACAGAACGGCAGTGTCAATATCCCCACAGAAACAGAGTGCTTGTAGGGTAGCCATGCTCATACGATTCAATGGGCGAGTAGGTACTACGCAAGGCCATTCGTTTCCGCTCCTTCCTCGAATCTCAGGTCTACCACCCATTGCGGCCCGAATACCACAGCATCATCACTGTTGAGCGTAATGTTGACTCCGATGTCTGCTAGACTCACATCCCATCTCTCACCATTCTTCATCGCCTCCAGTAAGCCTTGCATAGGTACACCAAGCGACACAACCTTGTCCGGTCGTACAGCCAATGGTTCGCCCTCTACCAGTGTGGCCGAGCCGTCTTCGCCCGAAACGCCTGACGGACAGACAACTGACAACACGGGCGCTCGACTCCGGTTTGCCCAGTCGATCATTTCCCTCGCTTCTCGCTGGTAGTCGAGTCTGTGCTGCGTGTTCGTTTCCGACGGCACGTCATACTTCGAGCCCGCCAGTAAAGCATCGATAATAACAGCTGGCGGTCCAGTGAGGTTCTTGATGTAATTTGAAGCCTTGAGCCAAGCACTGCGCTTGATCGGTGCGCCCATCCGCTGCAAACGCTTGAGCATAGCTGTCTGCGCCCGCATCTCTTCGTGCTGCATCCCCTTTGCCTCAAAGAGCGCTTCTGCTATGATCACTCTAATCTTCCGGTTGGCGATATGACGGGCAGCTGCGACTGCTCTCGCCCCTACGGCGTGGTTGCCAGCTAGGATGACCACCACTGGCGTTTGCGCGCGGTCGAGCGTCATGCTAGAGGTGACACTGCCGCGGAACGTGTTCGCTCTTGAGCCGCGCCGACTCCCACCAGATGGGTCAAACATGCTTAGAGCGACCTGCGCAACACACCTAGCCGCACTTTCAGTAACAGCTTCGGGAGTCATGCCAAACTGGGCAACAGTCTGCGCTTCGAGGTTGCTGAGGCCCATTGGTAGTAGCACCTTGCACGGCCGGTGCGTACTTTGCACGACAAAGTGTGGCTCTTGCGTAGCCTCTGATATAGTACCTTGTGCATAGGCGTATGATACAGCCGACTGCGGCGAGTGCGTCCGATCCGGCTGCGGTGATGCTGTAAGAACAGGCGCTAACGGTCCGCTGGCGCGACTTGCGAGGAAAGTAGTAGTTCTAGCAATGCCGCTGCGATCTGAAGATATTGATGCCGTAAAATGGTGAGGCTTGCCGTCCGCTGGAACGCTGTTCTGCCGGCTTGGTGCCTTCCCCAGCACAGAACGCGTTACTGATTGACGCGACGATGTCCTGCCATTTGCGTGGTTGTGCTCCGTATCCGCGTCGCTCGAGCTGTCGCCCTCATTCCCAGTATGCGGAAGCGGTAGCTTTGGGCTCAGCACATTCTCTGTGGGATGCAGATTCTTGCCGCCGTACGTGCCTGGCCTCGCGACTTTGTTGTGGCTCACAAGACGGTCCTCGTCGGCTGTCGTGTCGTCCTGCCGTATTTGGTCGAAGACACCTTTCTTGTCAAAGAGCTTGTTACTCGCTTCGAAGTCGAAGTCGCCCATATCTTGCACGTCCGTGGCATCTTCGGTAGCCCAACCGTTCTGCATCTCCTGTTGCTCCCGCTGGCGTCTTGCTTGTTTCTTAGACTCAGCCTTGCCTGCCGGGCTGCCATTCTGCGGCGAAGGCTGTAACAACGGGTCTTGCCGCCACCCTTTGGCTGTCTGGCTGCTCCCAGACATGTCGTTCCCATTCCGAGACACCTCCACATTCATGACTGGCGGAGGATCTGAACTTGTTGGCGGACCGTTCTTCTTCTTCTGCTGCCCTCTCCGGACCTTCCTCTTCCCTCCCGCATCGCTGGGATTCGGCAGCTGATCACCATCATCCGCTCCGTTCTCCGTCCGAACAACCTTTGGAATCGGCGCTAGGTTCGCAGACCGTGGCCAAAGGTCTCCACCTCCCAGCTCGGACAGCGCACCACCCAAGCCTGCGCTCTTCACGCTCCCGGCCTCGGCGACAAAAGGCGAGCCGTTCACTGGCAAGTTCTCGGCTGCTCTAGACAGCATCGACTTGATGGGCGTAGCCGGAGCCTCGACAGGTGCCATTGATGCTTTAGGCGGGCCTGGCGACCTGCCATAGCTGAGGATTGCTGGGTCGATGAAATTTGACGGCTGGCGCTGAATCTGGGTTGGTCGCTGCTGCATTTGGTGCAGTGGTACGCTTTGCACTGGTAATTGAGGAGCGTTCGTTCGGATTGCCGATGCAGGTGGTGGTGCTGGCTTCGAGTCGATTACTTGGAGGTCGGCAATGGCTGAGCCAGGGACGGTCTGTAGAGGCCATTGTTCGCCGGTGGCGGGCACAAGCACTACGTGTGTCAGCGAAAAGCATTGCTTTGAGAAGAGAGCTGAGCTACCATCAAGGATGGTGAGTGACTGCCCGGCAACGATGTCTCGAACTCTGCCATGGAGTATGACATTCTGGGGCTCTCTTAGGGTGACTTGCACCAGCATGCCTGTGAAGTCGGCCATCTCCACGTTGTGCACATTCACGACACCAACCCTGATAAGCTTGACTGTGAACTGCCAGTTGTCGGGCTTCAGCAGTGTGTAAAGCTCAAGTGAACTTCTCGAGTTAGGCAGAGTAAGAGCGCACGCGATCATGGCGAAGCGCGACGCGAAACTTTATCGATAACAACCAGAGCAGTGGCGCCGAGGAGGACTTCGAGACAACGAGCGTTCACTAAAGGTATGACAATCAAGTGAAAGATGGATTATAAAGGGGCAACATTCCACTCTATTAATGCTGCATACGAGGTGCCAACTAGCCGGTCGTTATGGGGGCTGAGTCTCTTAGGGTTCGCCATCGTACGACCTTCCCATGCGCCGTGCTGTAGTGCTACGATGAAGCCTCACACAAACCGTCGTCTCTATGGAGGCTCTCCTCGGGCAAATCCGTGCTGCGTCGTCGTCAAAGGGGTTCAAAGGGCAATGTGTGGTCAATGCTGAGGTCGGGTAAGGGTTGCGTGACCGAGTCATGCAGATGATCGAGTGTTGTTGGTTGGTAAGGGGTGTACTGGATCGCTGCTTTGCTCGGGCCGGATGCTGCTGGGTGGGTGCGGCACAAGGGCGACAGAGGCGCTTCTGCGCCTGGAGTACCGAATCTGATGACTTACCTTTTGCGCCTATGAAGTGTGTTGATGCTAACACGGCGCTGCTTCTCCTGCTTCGACACTGTGAGGGTACTGTACCAGATCAAGTAGCCTCTTCTCACATGTCCATACTGTCGCCGCCGTTGGCGAAGTTGAAGTTCTGTTGCTGGGGTTGCGCGCCGAAGCCGAAAGAGCCATCCTGCCCTTGCTGCGGTGCTAGGTCGCCGACCTCCGCATCCTCGCCCTCGTCGGAGAAGTACTTTTCGATGATAGTGTAAGCCTTCATGTAGATCTCTTCGTTGCTGTTGTTCTGGCAGTCGTGGATTTTCTCCATGCCACCACAGTCTTCGATGAACAGTGCATAACGGTTCACCGGAGCCTCGCCACTGCCCTGCTCAGACTCCTTGTCCATGTCGCCAACCTTGAGAATGTTCTCAAGCCCATCGAGTGCGACTTGGATGATCTTATTGTCCGGGCATGATAGGAGCTCGCATAGTGGACGAATAGCGCCCTGCTGGACGAGGTAGCGAATTTGGTCCGGCTTCTGAAGACCGCCCGACGTAGCATTTGAGATCGCCCAGCAGGCCTCCTTGCGGGTCTTAAAGTCGCCATTACTGAGGAGATGGATGAGCGGTGGGATGATGTTGGCGTCGATGACGGACTGGATCTGGGTGCTGTTACCAGCTGTGATGTTTGAAATGGTCCAGCACGCTTCCTTTCGAATACCGTCCTTGGTGGAGCTGAGGAGAGACAGCAAAGCCGGAAGGGCACCGCAGTTGATAATTAGCTGAGTCTGAACGTCGTCGCCCGTGACGATGTTGCCGACTGAGCGCAGAGCCGGCGTCTGGACAGAAGTCGAAGCGTGCATAAGCAACTCAACAAGGCGGCGGGGAATGTTGGCCTCAATAACCGCCTGAATCTTGTCGTTTGAACCATCAGACAGATAAGAGATCGCCCAGCAAGCGTCGATAAGGACTTCGTCGTCCAGAGAGTACACCAGCTTCGCAAGCACGGGAAGAGCTGGCGCAATAGTGTTCCAGTCCGGCTGAGGTGTCTTGCCACGGCAGAAGTTGCTCAACGTCCATGTTGCGTTCCTCAGCATGCTAAGCTTCCTGCTGTCTCCAAGCAACCTGACGAGAGGCGCCAGAGCACCTGAAGCCAACACGAAATCTCTGCACGCCGGGCTGTCACCCGCAATGTTGCCTAGCGCCCATACTGCCTGCTCCCTGACATCCGGCTCAGGGCTGCTCAACAGCTCAACGAAGATCGGCACAGCTCCTGCCTCGATGACTACCTGGGTTTGTTGAGCTGAGCCTGATGCGATGTTGGTGAGCGCCCAGGCGGCTTCGAATTGGACGAGTGTGTGTGGCGAGTGAAGAAATTCTACGAAGCGGCCAACGACGCCGGTCTCAATAACGCGCTCAATCGGGGGGTTGCGCTCTTTCGAGAGCAGCTTCCGGAACTTGGTGGTGGCCGCGATCTGGTCGTCGATCTTGTCGGAGAAGACGCCTTGGACCATAATCGGTAACTCCTCGTTAAGCTGCTGCAAGTCAGCAAGACACCCTGGACGTGCCTAAACAGTAATCACATACTTGACTCTCAGTATTTGCGCCCTCGTCGTCACTGTCCGGCGCAGCGCCGAGCGAGGCACCTGGCGCAGCATCACCACGTGCACCGATGCCTCTCCTCTTGGCGAGATTCTCTTCTCGCTTCTGCTTCCGAATTTCAACCTGCTGTTCCTCGCGCCGCCGCCGAAGCTCATCGGGCTTGAACGTGGACTTCGCCTTGAAGTTCGTGCGGCGATGCTCGGGGATGTAACGTTCAGCCATCTTTGCCGCTCACGCTGACTGAACGCGAAAGTGTTGTGAGAGATCCAACGAGAACTTTGAGTGATCGGTACGACCGTGCAGCTTGCGTGGTATGTGTCTGACCCAGATCTCGGGGGCCAGAGCGACGATGGTGTACGAGAGAAGTCGTTTGCGAGGGGCTGACGTGGGTGTTAGAAGGGTCTGCTAAGAACGCAGTTCCGAGATGGTCCGTGCGCGACCAGCACGACGATCATACTGGACTCACTGGAGGACTCACAGATGTCAAACGTGCACTGTCGTGTAAATCAACGTCTGCTGCAGCTACGATCGATCTGCCTAATTCCACCTTTACCGGCAAGCGCACGCAAGTCCGATGTCACGTGGGCTAAGACTTTCTGCCCCACCTGACTGCCCCAAAACGGGCGTCGCGTCTCCAGACGCGTTCGACTTTCTGCAGAACTCACACACACAGCCAGACGGGAGGCGGTGGAGACCACATCGGTTCGTGTGATCGATGTGAGCTCCGCCGAGTACTCTGGACGTGCCATACGCCCATGTACCCGTATATTGGATGAAGCAGAGCTTGTCAACTACAACAGGCAATATATACGTGCCATCATGGTGCCACCGCCAGGCTTCATTGACTTGTCTACGGCGTACAAAAGCCCTGCCAGCTCCCTGATCAACATTATTGGCGTTGTGGTTGACGTTATGCAGCCGAGACAAGCCTCCACAGGCCAATATATGTTCACCTTCAAACTGCTTGATCCGAAGTTGCAGAACTCAATTCATGGCTCGGAGGGGCTCACTGTACGCTTCTTCAACGCAGATGTAAGCAAGCTGCCTCAGGTTCGCGAATATGGCGATGTTGTGCTGCTGCGGAATATGAAAACAATGTCTTTTAACGGCCAACCTTTGGCGGTGTCCAACTTCCAGACTAACGTGCAAGTCTTTCCATCTGCGGCTGTACCGGCGCCCACGTACAGTATCACGTATCACGGCACGAACAGGCTGCATTCTTTGGGCGTCCCGGCAGATGTTGAGAAGCTGACGCTGGAAGAACAAGCGTATGTAATCCAGCTAAAGGCAGACATTAACGTTACGACCCACCTTCTTCGGACAGGTGTCGCGGGCTTGGGAAAGAAACGCAGCAACGAGGCTCCTCCGCTTCCAGCACCGATCGGGAAGAAAGCGCGCATCTCAGACATTGGTCCGAAATTTCGTCTTGTAGAGGAGTTGCGCCATAAGGTGTTCAGTGACGTGGTTGTCCAAGTCGTGAAGAAGTTCTCAAACAGCTTCGGGTCATGCGAACTGTACGTGACGGACTACACGGAGAACAAAGACATGTGGTACTACAAGCCGCCGGAAGATCTCACGACAAGCGAGCGGGACGGCGATGATTTTGGCTATAACCGACCCGCAAAGAAGAACTGGCCTGGTCCGTACGGCTGGCTTGTACTAAAAGTCAATCTCAAGGATCCGCATGCACAATTTGTCAACGCCAAGATCAGCGAGGGTGATTTTGTCATCCTTCGAAACGTGAAGATGAAAATCATGATGGAGGGCGCGAAGCTTGAAGGCGATATGTGGCCGGACGATCAGAGCCCGGAGAGGGTCAAGGTTGTGAAGCTGATGAACCAAGACCTCCCGGAGATCAAGGAGCTCCTACTCCGCAAGGAGAAGTATTGGACGAAACGGCGCGCACAGCATCCCGAACTCTACCCGTATCAAGAGGAAGCACAAGCCAAGGAGAGCAAGAAGGACAAGAAACGTCGTAAGAAGGCCGAGAAATTGGCGCAGGAAGAAGCAGCCGCCGCGCAGGCAGCAGAGCGGAACAAGCACGTCCGCTGCAGTAACGAAGAGGTGCAGCTAATCAGTATCCGTAACATCCTCGACGCGGAAAACACCCGCCACAACAACACCACACCAGATGGTCATAGCTACGTCCTGCCCTTCATTAACGCCCAATACAGAACCAAAGCGCACATCGTAGACTTTGAGCCCAAAGCGCTCGAAGACTTCGCCACGCCTGCCGTGCCCGAAAACGAAGAAAATGACGAGCCGTCACCCATAGATCACATGGACTACGAGGCGACGCAGAAGTACGAATGGTATTTCTCACTCTTACTCGAAGACGTGGCAGATACTGCACCTGCGAAGGCAGCCGCGGACGACAGATCGCGCGTGTGGGTTCATGTGCGACATCAGGACGCGCAGTATCTCTTTGGCAACGCTGTGGATGACCCGATGGATTTGAAGACAAGTCCGCAGTTGCTCGCGAAGCTGAAGGAGAAGCTATGTATCCTTTGGGGCAATCTAGAGGAGAGGGCGGAGGGTGAAGTGTTGAGTAATCGGCCGTTCGAGTGTTGTTTGCAGGAGTACGGCATTCAGCTGGACGCGGATGATCCTGAACGGGCGAATGTACCGTTTGGGTATAGAAAGCTGTTTCGCTTGTTTGGCACAACCATATTGTGATGAAGGGGAGGGTCACATGATATGAAGATGACAACGACCGGTCGTCTTACATGCCAATGTGCATTCCAATCTGTTGAGTAGAGCTAAGCTGTCCGTCGCGGACCCGATGCCGCCACCTTCTCCATCGTTAGACAATCTTGTCATGTAGCCTCCGGGTTCTTGGATGCCAACTTCCGCCACCAGAGTTGCATCTGAAGCTGTTTTGCACACACCAAACGTACCTCAGCGCTGGCGTTTTCTCGGCGGCGAGCTAGGCCTTTCGGCACACCTCTTGAGACGCCGAGCATCGTCACAGCCGAACAGCGAGTCTCTGCGCTCGTTCGAACCTTTGTCGGACGACCCATCCTAGTAAGCCATCTCCGACTCGGTCGCGCCGTTGGGGTACTGCTCCTAGCCTTGATAACCGCCATAGCCGCGAGCGAACGGAGCAGCGACCTGAGGCTGCGGGAAGCCGCCCGGGGTGTGACTGCCAGCATAGCCGCCCGCACTCGGTGGCATGGCGGTCGGCCAGCTGCCTGGTGGCGGCTGCATAGTCTGAGGCGTCATTTGCGAGCTTGCCCAGCCGCCTGGGTTTGGATGCGGAGCGAATCCGCTGGCTGGCGTCACAGCTGTCGAAGGTCAGTCTTGAACCACAAGATGGGAAGATGTGCTTAACATACGTGGCGGGGACATGGGATTTGGCTGACCGTACTGCGGGAAGTACGTCTGCGGAGTTGGCGGGAAGGCGGACTGCGGCGGAGCTGGTGAGTAACCGTCGAACTGTCCAGTAGGCGGGCGGTCCTTGCCCCAGCTGCACTTGAGCGGACGGCCATTGACGTTGTAGCCACTCAGCTGGCAGATGGCATTGGCAGCATTTTCGTGCGTGTCCATCTTGACGAACGCGAAGCCGCGATCCGAGTGGAAGCGTGTTTCGGTGACGTAGCCAAAGTTCTGGAAGAGCGGTACGAGGTCATTCTGGGTGGTGTAAGGTGTAAGGTTACCAACATAGCAGGTAGTCTGCCACTGCGGAGTCTGCTGCACAATCATCTCGAAGGACTGTGCGCCCTGAGTGGGGAATGTGTGATGACCGTACGGTGTAGTCGGGGTCATGCCCATCTGTACCATGGCCTGGGCCTGCGAATAAGACGGCTGACCTTTCTGGTTTGCCCAATTGCACCTGATGGCACGCGAGCCTAGCCACTCGCCGTCCATTGAGCTGAGGGCCTTCTCCGCGTCGCCGCGGTCACGGAAAGAGACGAAACCGTAGCCGCGCGACCGACCAGTCTTCATATCCCACATCACGCGAGCTTCGGAGACGGTGCCGAAAGCGGAGAAAGCCTGGAGGAGGACTTCGTCATTGACTTCATTCGATAGATCACCAACGAAGATGTGAAAGTGGTTGGATGTGTCTTCCTTGGAAATGGTGTTGGACTGGTAGGCCCAGTTAACGCGGATCTCTTGTTGATGCACGCGTCGACCATTGAGGGTCTGCATGGCCCGCTCGGCGCATTGCGGGTCGTCGTACTCAACGAAGCCGTAATTGTAGCCTTTAGACTGGAACTGATTGCTGGTTAGCTTGCATCCGATGGAGTGCGTGAGCGGATAAGCCGAACATGTCAGGCAAACATGGCCACCGACCCGCGCTTCAAGCCGATAGTGCGCGACAGTATGCCACACACAGCCAGCGCACGGAAGTACTTACATTTTTGTCCGGGATGATCTTGACGCTCTGCACGTGACCAGTCGTCTCGAAGATCTGCTTCAAGACATCTTCCGTAACGCGTGGATCGAGCCCACCAACATATAGCGCTCTTTTGTTCGGTTCCGGAGCGGCACGTCGGGCGAAGCTGCTTGCGCTGCCCGGTGAAAGAATGCCCGCCGATGGCGCAGAAGCGCTGAGTGCGCCGGCGACATTGTTGTTGTTCTGTGGGATGTTGAGATTGAGCGGCGGCTGCGCTGGTGGTGGCATATGACCAGCTGACGAGCCGTTCTCATACAATGACTGGCCCATAGAGCCGCCCATGTTCTGCGGCATCGACATAGCCGTGTCGGCCATGTTTGAAGTAGTCTAACAGATGTATAGGAGAGTGACGCGAAAAGTGTAGCCGAGAGTGAGGTGACGTGGAAAGCTCAGCGGGAAGCTGCTGCAAGATTAGGCGGCTGTGAGAGCGCCTGTGATGATAGCAGACGCACAAAGAGACAAGCTTGTGGATGCTTAGCCTGTGCGCGCGCAAGTAGAGCGGTGATGTTATCAGCAGTAGAAGCAGCCGCTACTGCTGTACACGATGAATCCGCGAGCTCTTAGTGTCGTGGTGTGTGTGTGTATATGAGCTCTGACCGCGAGTTGAAGCACCCCGAATGCGCCCGGCGAGAAGACAGGCAAGGAAATGGAGGATACAAAGGAGATGCAGAGAAACAAGGAAGGAGCCGTGAGGTTGCGGCTCGCTGAAATAGTTGTCGGCAGTGAAGATGTTGATGGAGGAAGGTGGAAGGTGTGGAAATTGGTGGTGAGGCTAGCAATCGCTCCGTCCACCCTCCCGCAAGCAAGCAACCAAGCACCTCAAGCACCTCCGCGCCCACTACTACCCACGCGCTGGCGCCTCGATGTGTCGGCTGAAAGGCGCGGTCCGCTAACCGTAGTGCGTCGCGTGATTGGATGAGCCCACTTCGTCTTGCACTTGACAGGTCACCTACAGCGATATCTCTACGATTCGATAGATAGCCGTCACTTCTATACACTGAGTCGCAACCAGCAGGCTTGCGAGCTTTGCCCCCGGCGCCTCGGCTGTACTCCCTCCGTTTCATCCTGTACTCGCAGGCGGGATGACCACCGTTGACGAGCAGACAAAGCTGCTTGACCAGTTACAAAACGAAGTGAACCGTGTTGTAGGGATCTACCAGCGACGTCCTTTGTAACATATGCTGATGCACAGTAGCTCGAGCAAACGGGACGACTATTTGCCGCTGCCAATACTGAGGGACGGTCGGCGGCCGCGGCACATGCTGTGCGTCTAAAGCGTGAACTGCCCGGTTATATTAACCGTTACCATGATGCCCTAGATCAACTGGACGAGCAGCTGGTATGTCAGATCGGTTGAAACTTGATAAGTGATGTCTGACTGATTAGCAGCAACTGGCACGTACTGTTATGCGTCGAGACTTGGCTCGTTGCCGAGACAGCAGCGGAGAGCATTTCTTAAAGCCGTCAGTCAATACTGCCGCAGAACCTCGAGGTTCTGATAGAGGCAGAGCCGACACGGAAGCAACGAACGGGACATCACATGTTGATGCAACAGAAATTCCAGATGCTCACATGAGCGATGCCGCGCTCGATCAAGCCGAAACGGTGGAGCAGCCGGAGGCCGAACCTGCCAATCCAAGCGAGGGGTCAATTGAGCAAGACACCGAAGCTGCCAGGTCTCTCGAAGAGTCGATGAAGCGGGCCGCTACCATCAGTACTAACGTGCAGCAAGCGCCGCCGGCGTCTTACGATGGCATTGCAGATAGTCATTCGATGAGCGAAGTTCCAACGGAAGGAGACAAGCCAGCCGACAACGTATTTGAGCTTGACACTACCGCGCCAGATGTCCAAGCAAGCAGCGATGCGACTGATGAGATTGCTCCAGACACGGCAAACATAAGCGACACTCGCGACCTCGACTCACTCTTCAATGATTCGGCATCAGCAGGACCTGCCACGGGTGACTTCGACATGGGCACTAACGACGCCGCTGAGTTCGACTTTAGCACATTCAATGCTAGTCTGGACGGCAATACCGCTGACAACGATGATAGCATATCGTCGCTTCTGCCAGGCTTGCAGGATTATGCCAATACGCAGCCTAACACGAGTGACGCTGATCTCGATGCGCTGTTTACCTCTGCGCCGTCTGCATCAGGTCTTGACGGCCCGCAGCATGATACCACGTTTGACGATATCATGGACTTTAGCAATTTCAATGCCGATGATCTACCGGCCAGCGGAGAGGGCCAGGCGAGGACGCAGGATGATTTAAACTTCGATCTAGACTTCACATAGATTGCGAAAGTACACACAGCACTGTCACGGAGTCTCCCTTTGACCAAGTAGCCAGAATCTAGGTAACGCAGGCACGAGGTACAACCCCAACAAACCCCAATAACCTCAATCCCCACCCCTCATATTCCAGACCATACGCGCGGAGTGATATCGTACGAGCATCTTGTCCCCGGTGGGCGTCAGGCGATAGTAGACGTAAACCCCTTCCCTCTCCGCTCATCCACCGTAACAGCCAGCGCACACGCCAGCGCCATGTCAACTCCCTTCGCAACATGCACCTTGTAAGTATGCCGCCCCGTCATCCACTGCCTAGCATTCATGATATCGCGCTCCAATTCTATTACAACCGGACCCTTCTCGTTGCTGCCGAGGTGCACTTTAGCGCCCGGTTCGTTCAAAAAGTGGCCCATGATGAAGAGTTCCGTCGGCGCCGAGTCCGCGACGGCATTGTTGAATAGGGCGCTGCAGCGACGCGAGCCGAGTCCGAGTTTGCCGCGAATGGTGCAGACTTGTTTCTGCGCGACTTGAAGGTAGTGTTCTTTGGGGTGGCGGAACGGTTTGCGGCGGAGTTGGCAAATGTCTTTGCCGGAGACGTCGCGGAGGCGCTTGCGGTTGGAAGTGGTCAGTACTTTGCCGTCGATGCGGAATACCTATGTTGAAGTCAGCGAAGGTCTGTTGGTTGGTTGATGGAGAAGCAGGTTGAAGGTGGAGCTTACCTTGTTTCCTTTAGCGTCCGTGACCTCCTAGTCGTCACGAGATATGCTGTATACCACCTCATGCAAGGTGAGGACTGTGTCTTGCTTGGCAATGTAATCTGTAAACAATCCGATTGGCGTAGCGAGCTCGGTCGTTACCGGTGAAGAGGTGTTTAGGTGGTCACCTTCACTCTTCGACTTACGGACGTCCTTGGTTGTGGTAGTGGTGGTTGTCGAAGATGAAGTTGGCATGTTGTGGACCGTGGCGGCTTTCGTGGCGGTGGTGACGGTGTCAATACTGGCGGCGTGCTCTTCAGGGATGGTGGGTGGTGGGGGGACAAGCGTGGCGACCTTCTCTTTCTTCGTAACGGTGGTCGTCGTGGTGGCCGATGCGGAGCCGGCAGCCTTGTCTGTGGTCAAAGTCTTCTTCTCTTCCGTGGTCGTGTCTTTGTGATCCAATGTGACGACTGTGGTTGACTTCTTCTCCTCCACGACCGCAGGCTTGGCCGGCTCGGTGACTGTCGTCGTGATTCTGCTTAGTCTTTTTAGCGAAACGCCGCAATTGCAATGTAAGCGATGTGAGTATTCACTCCTTCTCCTCGATCACAGCCGGCTTAGCATCCTGCTTCACGATCGTCGTCGACTTCTCCTCGACAACGGCGGGCTTGACATCCTGCAGCACCGTCTCCTTCTCCTTGACAACCACAGGTGGTGCATCATGCACGACAACGGTCGTCACTTTCTTCTCCTCGACTGCTGCTGGTGGAGCTACGACAACATGAGGGGAAGGAGGAGTAGGCGCATCTGGCACATGCTCAGGCAGCGTCTTAATCTCGGTCACTTCGATGGCAGCGGGCTTCGCTTCGACTATCGTCACGGGCTGACCAGCTGGTGTCGTGAACGTGCGAGCGACCGGCTTCACGTCGTCGGCTGGCTTAGGTGATGTCTCTGGAACAGGAGGCATAGCTGAAGCCGGTGCCAGTTCGACTGGCGCAGGAGGAGCGGGGATAGGACTGGGTGCTGGCGGTGTTGGTGGTGGAGTTGAAGCGGCGTCAGGCATAATGTGCGCGTGCGCAGGAAGTGCCCTTGACTAGCTAATATCTGATGACAGGGTAACAGATGAAAGCGAATGTAATGCGCGCAAGCAATGCTGATGAAGCAGATGGGCTGGCACAGCGCATGAATGTACCGAGCAAAAGAGCGCTAGGAATGGGAAGAAGAGCTTCGAAAGTGCACTTACCAGATGCAGTTGTGGAAGTAACTTGGTGCTGCTTGCCGCCTTCGCCTTCCTCTTCTGCGCACCACCACTAGAGTAATCGGCCTCGGTCTTGCAATGCTTGTGCTGGTGCTTGTGCTTGTGAGCTTTGTCGTCATCATCAACCTCATCCTCGCTCGGCGTCTCGTCCTCCGCAGAGGGAGGAGCGGTGGGCGAGTTGGTAGGAGGCGAGATGGTGGCTATGACTGCCGAGCATATAGTCTGTTGCTGTGGAAGAAGGTGCTCGGTTGGTCGGTACGATGTGCCCAGATCAATGGAAGAAAAGGTAAGGTAGGCGCACACCGTGAAGCCAATCCGGAACCTGCTGTAATGTGGTAAACTGGGTTCCGAGAGCCGCGTGCTTGGCGCCGATGTAATGCCAGGTATTAAAAGTCCAATACAAGCGAGTGAGATGAGGGGTGTTGAGAATGGTGGATTAATGAAATATCGAATGAATAAGAACGAGAATGCAACTCCAGCGTATCGGGAACAGTAGAGACGTGCTTGAAGGGAGTACATAAAAACCGATGCAGGCTGTCTCCAGAGGCCATAGTCATGCTTGCATAGTGCTCTGCATGTGAGTAGGCTTGCGTCAGCCGGAGATGCGCATGTGCCTCCACGGTGCAGGTGGCCCTAAGTTGCCATGTCCCTGCTGGTCAGCAACTGCATCCCGCTCAAGCAAGACCGTGACCACTATTGCGAAGGTACCGCGCGCAGTGGCAATGATCTGCTTGTTAACCGGTTATTCGCTGTAGCACTTGAGCTTTAGACATTTGCGAGTGCATGGGGGTATCTGTATCCATAAAAGCATTAGTGCATATGCATTATTTCGGCATGATATCAATGCATGCTCCTTGCTTATGCGATCTGTCTGCAACATTGCACATTCAAGTCACAACCTGCATGTTGCCAAACTGGCCATCCTTCTCACCACCTCCCTGCTCGGCGCCGAAACCCATCAAGCTCTTGACTCGGCTATCATCCAGAGCCTTCTTCTTGACATCGCTGGCCATATCGTCAATGCCATCTACGATGTCGCGTCCAGTGACATTGCCATCGTCATTGCCGTTGCGGGCACCGTTCCCGTAACCGTGCATCCTCCGCTCCTCGATATTCTCCACCACATCAGCAACCCTCTTCTCCACGCCCGTAAGCCTGCCGTCTGCGCGACGCTGCTCAAACTGTGTCACGGGACTGAATATCAAAGCTAGCGCGACGCAGAAAAAGGTCGCCCAGAAGTGCCATAGGTGGACGAAGAAGGTTCCAACCCCCCACGGCGCAAAGAACTTGACGAATTCTTCGACCTGATAGAGGTCGTTCTGTTCCTCTATGTAGTACTTCGTCGGGACGCTTGGCTTACTCACGCTGGGTTTGTGCGTCAGCTGCAGTCTGGTGGTGAGGTTGACTGGTGATCGATGGAAGGGGATGAACCAGATAGCGAAGACTTGTGAAATGGAGACGAAGAGGACCATGTTCGCTTCGTCGTACGCTGCACATAATTGTTAGCGTTGGCCGTGAAACACTTCATGCATGGGGTTTGGTGTGTTTACCAACGCCGTTCACGTGCGATTCGACGATGGGACTCATGATCTTGTACCAGCGGAAGATGGCATGTATGAGTAGGCGGCTGCCCTCGAAACTCCCCGTACGACAGAAGGGGTGGATGAAGGCGGCATTGGGAACGAAATATCGATTGATGGCCTCTTCCTGTTGCTTCGGCGTGCCTTCGGTGAGCCGGTGGACAATGCCACTAATCTCGTGCACTGGATCGTCCATGGCAGCCGAATGCACCCAACTCCTTCGTCGTAGATTGCTACTGAGCCGCACAATTGCGTTCTTACTGTGTATTGTACAAAGTACCTCCTCTATGGGCCAGAGTGGTGAACGCTACCAGTGGCATCTCCGACTCGATCCTCAAGTGATTGGCCGGAAGCAGCTTGCTGGGGCAGCTTTCACATGCCAACGCTTGGATCACGATGACGTCGAAACGTCAGGAACAGGCAAAGTCAATGGCAGCAACCTAGCGACTCCGGACGAGCCGGGAAAGAGCTCTTAACCAGGCTTGCCAAAAGGTGACCTCCATTCATATCGCACTCGATCTACTCAAGTCAGCACTGTCAGAAGCTCTGCAATTAGCAGGCAACGTACCTGCAATATGGCGGCGAGTCTATTCCAACAGCTGCACACATATCTCGTCGATCTGATCAACCGGCCAGTAAGTGTCATGACCATCACCGCACCGTATGAGGTACTGACAGCGATGAGATCAACTTCCTCTTCCAGATCTGGCAATATATAGTCGCCCTCATTTTTGCGCCCAACCCTCCGCCGCCCCATGCAGAGCTTGGTCGTCCCAAAATCGCCATCATCGGCGCAGGTATCACTGGCGTGTCCTCAGCATCCCACTGCGTTGGCCATGGCTTTGACTGCACCATCTTCGAGGCCGGCCCGCGCGAGCACCTCGGCGGTATCTGGGCCAAGGTCAACAACACCAGTGGTCTGCAAATCCATTCGATCATGTACCGCTTCTTTCCGTCTGTAACCTGGAACCAAGGCTACCCCAACCGGCGACAGATCGTCACTCAAGTAGAGCAGCTATGGAAACGCTACCATCTGGACGAGCGCACCAAGTTCGATACGAGAGTCGAAAAGGTCTACAAAGACCGCCAAGGCCGCTGGATCATCAATGATGAATCAAATGGCCGCTTCGACGGCGTCATTGCTTGCATCGGCACATGTGGGGACCCCAAGAGTCCACACATACCCGGTCAAGAAAATTTCAAGGGGCCCATCTTCCATTCCTCCCAGCTCGACGGTAAAGATGCCAAGGGTAAGAAAGTCCTGGTTATCGGTGGTGGCGCCTCCGCCATCGAAGCTCTTGAGTTCGTGGCCCACGAAAACGCAAAACAGACCTACGTTCTCGCCCGGAGCGAGAAGTGGATCATCCCACGCAACCCCATCATTGACATGATCTTCGCCCTGAACATCTTCGGCGCGGAGACTTACGCCTCCGTCATCCCAGAAACGCTGCTGCGCCTCTTCTTCTACCGTGACCTTGCAGACCTCGCCCCGCCCAAGTCTAGTGGCAAAGGCCTCTACACCGAAACGCCAATGGTTAACAATGACGTCCTCGAACAAGTCCGCAGCGGCAAAGCCAAATGGCTGCGCGGCGACATCAAGCACTTCACCGAGACCGGCATCCTCTTCAACCACCGCGCGCAGGGCGTTCCGAAGGACGGTCCCGGCCGCGAAGAGCTGATCGAAGGCGACCTTTGCATCCTCGCGACCGGTTACCAGCGACCATCTCTCAGCTTCCTCCCCTCGGACTGCTTCGAAGAGCACTATGAGCCGCCAAGCTGGTACCTGCAAGTCTTCCCACCTAAGCATCCCGACATCTGCGCCAACAACTGCACGTACGTTAACGCGATCGGTACCGTCGGTAACTTCCACGTTGGCATCTATACCCGCTTCTTGCTCATGTTCCTCGTGGACCCGCTGGCTCGGCCAAGCGAGGCGAGGATGAAGACATGGATCGACTTTACACGGTGGATCAAGCGGAGGGTGCCGACGGGTGCATTTGAATTCTTCACGTACTCGGAGTTGATTTACTGGTTCGTCTTCATTATTGTGGTCAACCCCTTCCGGTGGAAGTGGGCGCCGTTTGTGCTATGTGGGCTTTGGGCTGGATTGCCGAAGACGGTTGTGGAGCAGGAGGATAAGTTGAGAAATGGGTTTCTGGCCGCGAGGGATAAGTCTCACTAAATCACAATATGATGATGGCGTTGGCAGCGAGTGACGGCGACAAGCGCAGGTTGGAGCGCAGCAACATAGACTCAACGTACACGACGACAGCGATGGTTTGGAATTCGAACGTATTGTACGAATACAGTGGTCGACGGCACCTATCGTGTGGATTAGAACATTCTGCTAAAGTACTAACATCAATGTATACGTTTCGGGCTTGCCGTCTCTAGGTAAGCTCCACCTACTGTTTTCACGCTGCAGCTGCCTCGGTACGCGCAGTGCATACAAGACCTGGAGCTTGTCACGGGGCAGAGCTCCTGCATCCGCCACTGCAGTAAACTTGTTTCAGAGCATTGAGGGTGACGAGTCACGGCAGATAGTTAGCCTCCTTGTTCGCTTTTTGTGCGATGGAAATCGAATCCGCGAATGTCAGGCACAGATTGTACCAGATAGAAGCACTGTCAGTCTTCACTGTACTTTCAGCAGGGATCATGGGATAAGTTCAGAATAGAGGCGGCAGCCAGCGTGGAGTAGCTGCATGGTTAGGACTGGTTCGATTCGGTCCCGCAGGTTGTTGGCAATTTCAATATCAATAGCGGCTATGCCAGCTTAGCCTGCTCATGGCCTGGAGGCGTGCTGAATGCCACTGACCTGATCATGGACTCGGTCTGTTACGCCAGCATTGCTCATATTGGTGTGGGCGCGACAACATAGAGTTTGTCGGTAAAGTTGGACGTGGTGCCTGATGGCTTGCATGAACAGCGCGTGCACGGTCCATCTGTCCCGCGGACGGTGGAGTCCCTAATCTGCATTCTGCCCTGTTGATCCGGACATTTCAACGGCCATCCGCTGTGGCCCCCCTCTCTCACGCCATTATTATCCCGGTTCAAGTGCTCGAAGAGGTTTGCAAACCAATCGCGATCGAATCGCGACAGCAAAGAGTGTCTTGGCACCACCAGAGCGTGACCCTACGTCCCCGCGTACATTGCTGTACAGCTAGAGGCTGGGAATCATCTCGCGCTATCCCGCCAACCTCCATTAACACCGGCCGGACTCGAAGGACTCATCACTTCCACCACCTCAGCGTTATCCATACGTCGTTGCGCAGATGCCGTGGTGATACAGCAACGCTTTCAACACCACCAAAGATCCGGCCGTCACGGCACACCGCCTGCTCTCTGCCCGGCCACTGCACGCGAGACCTACTGGTGACCTGCGAGCGTGAACCGGCAAGCACTACCACCATCACACTCGCTTGCACTTCGCACGGCCAGCACTGCCAACATGGGTCTTCTACGCCCTGCGACGCCGCTGTCGATCATCCTTTTTGTTGCATTTGTGCTCGTCCTCCTCTCCACCCTCTCCACGCCCATCATCCATGCCATACCCCTCGGCACTTTGCAAGGATGGAACTTGGGCGTGTTCGGATACTGCAAGGGCGACACGTGCTCGGGATATCAAATAGGGTACAGCACAGGTACGAGGCGTTATGCGCAAAAGCTGGGCGCCGCACATTGCGCCTGGCTGAAAGAGGAAGGAACGACTGGCTAACAGACTGCGCACAGACCAACTCTTTGCCAGCGAAGACTTCGACCTCCCCTCAGGCACGCGGCACAGTCTCTCCGCCATTCTTATTGTGCATCCGATCGCCGCCTTCTTCATTCTGCTCTGCTTCTGCTTGGCGATTGCGGCGCACTTCCACTCGCCTGCGCATAGCCCTCGCTTCCTGCTCTTCTTGCTTATACTGACCATCCCGACCCTGCTGGTCACTTTGCTCGCCTTTCTGGTTGACATCCTGCTCTTCGTCCCGCACATGCAATGGGCTGGCTGGATTGTGCTCGCGGCTACCATCCTCGTCATAGCAGCCACCGTCGTAACTTGCGCCATGCGCCGTACGCTCGTTAGCAGGAAAGCGCGCAAGAAGCGCATTGAAGAGAATGCTGAGATGAATGGCGCGAACTACTACGATAACATGGCCAATCGCACCCAGTTAATGCAGGACGAATTGCCGCGAGCGGACAGTCCGCCTCCAATGAGCGGCACGACTGCGGCGGACAAGGTCGGTGGCGTCACACAGTTCGCGACGTTTGAGATGAAGCGGCCCGAGACGAAGAGTGAACAGAGCAACACGGACGGCACGATGGTTGGAGGAGGCATGAGCGGCTTCAATGACGACAGACAGCCGCTGAATCCGCAGAGGGACCCCAGCATACGTTCAGCGAGTTCAGGTGGAGGCACGAGAAGGCCTTACGATGCCGAGCACGCGCCACCGATGCCTGGTATGGGCCATGATGGCAGGCTTCCACCGCCGAGGCGATCCGCAAGCCGAGACCAATATGGTAATATCATTCCAGCGGCAGCAGCGGGTATGGGCGCGGGAGCACTGGCCCAGGAACTCCGACACGAACGCTCACAAGGGTCTCTTGGCTCTCGCAACTCCAACAACAACTACCCGCCACGAGGTGGCAGAGGCGGTTACGGTCCTCCTGGTCGCGGTTATGGTCCACCCAGAGGTGGGATGGGGCCGCCGCGAGGCAGCTTTGGTCCCAGCAGAGGAGGCTACAGAGGCCAAGGCCCGCCTCCTCCGGGCTGGAGAGGCCGCGGTGGCCCTCCGCCTGGCATGATGATGGGCAGAGGCGGTACGAGACCTGGTCCGCCTCCGCCTGGTTATGCTTCGGATCCATACTACAACGGCCCACCGAGATCACCAAGGGGACCGCCAATGATGGATCAAGGTCAACCGCCGATGCAGGACGAGTTTGTGGCCGGGCCCATTGGGCAAGCGATTGAGATGGACGAGCGGACGGGATCGCCTCCTGATCCGATCGGTTCTCATGAGCAGAGAAACATCGCTGCACCAGGACAGTACGGTCTCAGAGATAACGACGCGGACGTGGCGGGTATGGTTGGCTTGCAGCAAGACGGACGTCAGCCTATGGGTGATGGCGATGGCATGAGAACTCCGACGAGTGTTTACAGTGAACAGTAAGTCGTCCCTAAAGCATTGGTTGAGACGAGATCGAACTAAACGTATCGTAGCACTTACGTCCCGCCTCGTTCGCAATGGGCGCCTCCACTACCTGTGTCAACAATGGACTTTGGTGCCGCTCAACCCACCGCATCTAATGCTGCGCCCTCAGCAGCTCTACCGCGCTCCCCGGTTGCACCGTCGCAACCCTCCCCTCGATCTACCCGCCATCAGCGCGCTGGCTCCGAGCCTTACTATGAGGACGTAGACCCTCGTTTTGCAATCGACCCTGCAAGTGACGTAGGCTCAGATCGCGCAAGCGGCATTCCTAACGCCCTGACGCCGGGAGGCTACGGTGCACCGCGGATGCAGGATCCCAACCTCCTCCAAGCTCCTCACACCTCGGGCGGCATGCGGTCTAATATCCCGAGCTACGTTACTAACAGCGCTGTGGGAGACAGTGGAGAAGACGGGGTCAACCACAGCACCCCCTCCAGCGAAGCGCCTCATGGGATGCGCGGTGCAGCAGGTGCGGAAAGCTCAGACGACAACCTCCCGCCTGGTGCTAGGAGCCCAGGCGAGGGTAGCGAAGCGAGTCACTTCACCTCGGTTTCTCAACGACCAGTAAACCCCAACTGGAGGCCGGGACCTGGAAGTGCGTATGGTCCTCCCGGCGGAGGCGCGGCCAGCTCAGCTTCGGCTGCGCAAAGGCGCAGAGAGGACGTATTGTTGAATGCAAACCCGGACTTCTCATTGCCGGGTATGTCATTCACGAGGAATGGCAGGGGTGGCATGAGAGGAGGCCGGGGCGGTTCCGGCATGACGAGAGTTGGGAGTCCGACGATGGGCGCGATGAGTAACGTTGGCTTGACGCCTGGCGGACGGTATCCTACCGACATCTAGTAGACGGTAGATGATTCTGGTGTTCGCGGACGGATGCATCTGAGCGCAGGCGTGCGGTGGAAGGGCTCCCAGGTGGCAAACATTCGCGTGGCGTGTACAGGGACGGCGTTTGATTTTGCATATTACGGCGACTACGAAGCTTTGTAGATACATGAGCTGCGCTATTGACGATGTGCGATCATGCTCGACGTGCAAAATATGCCTTTCGGTCGACTGCACAACGACTTTCTTCTACCCAAAAAACCAAGTGAATCATTCGTGTTCCAGCCCCATCTACTGATCCACACCACATATAGCGAAGTATTGGCGCGCCTCGACTCTCCATAAGCCCATCGCCATCTAGGGAATGTGGTGCCGCCATATCGTACAATGCCAACGCCGGAAATGCTGCGGTATTGTGTACAGTATGCGCTAACCATGCAAGAAGGCGTTCATTTCCATCAATCCCACCCTTGGTCCTTCTGCCGTATCAGGTCGCCCGAATTGCCCTTCTGCTTCATTTCCTTCCCGCCCTCCACAACAAGCCGATCGAGCTGGAAAAACTGGCTTACGACTGTTTGCCTCTACACAAGACGGAACCGTCAGTTCGATCGCATGGTATTTCTATGATATGCGAGACGCACCTTCAGCATCTGCAGCTCCTTCAACCCCTTCTGCATCAACTCCTGCACCTTCCTCTCATCCGATTCCGCTCTGTGCTCGCGAAACGCATCTCTTGTACGCCGCTTGGCGTACTCTCTGAAGTTGTAGGCGGCGAATTGGCGCGCTTGGCGGGTGAGGGAGCGGTAGAGAGAGCGCACTTCGTAGGCTGTTGGACTGGACATTACATTGAGCGGACGACCATGCGATGTAGTTGCACCGTAATTGCTGTTGAATAAAGTGGCACTTTCGCTTCCCGATGATGCAGTCTCGTGGATGCAGAAGTTGGGTGCCTAAGGCCTGCGCTCAACCGCCCCGGCTCACTTGGGTAGTTACCTAGTGCACGTACGCCATAACAGTGCGCATACAATGCGGAGATATGCTCACCAGTCACCACGGCTCTAGCCACATCTACTTCCACGTCGACGAGGTTCTATGCTCCTGGAGCGCTGAACAATCAGAGGGAGCTGGGGGCCGCCAGAAACAAGTCGGTCACGGCTCAAGCCTCTCGGCGGACGGGACCGAAAACGTGTCGAAACACGACATCGACGAATGCACAGCAAGCAGGCTGTCCAGGCGAGCGATGGCTACTCCGGCTCGGGTAGATGATGACCACATATCTTCCGTCAAGCTTACGTCTTGAGCCTTACTACAGAGTGCTCTACCGACATTACTGGATGCTGGCGTAATCCACACTATCGCAGTTGCTGCCGCGCACAATCATGAGCGTTCTTGTTAGCACTATCTGGCCATCTGCATGCTAATCCGCGTGTTGTGCAGGCGCTCCAACCATTCTGCACTGCATCGCATCTTTACGCACAAACCCCCACGTGAAACAGCTCCAATGCGTTCATCAAATCCTCCGCGTCTCTCGTGTCGCCTTCCCTCTTCAACAACGAGATGGCTTCAAGCAACCGGTCTGCCGCAAACAGGACGTCATTCGCCACACTCAGCTGCTTCGAGAGCAGCGTCGACGCAGCCTTTACTGCTTCATCGTAACGGTATCCGCTCCAGGAGCCTGCGCAGAAGCACCAAAACGCATCAGTGCGGCGGGCATAATGAGGTCCAGCGCGGTGTAATGCTGCAATAGCGAGTGCGACCAGTGACGGCGCGGTGTCAAGGGCGGCATTGGCTGCTCCAGAGCGGAGACTAGGTTCCTCGAGGAGATTGCTGCTGCCGTGGGAGTGTCTCGGGACGGGGTCGTAGAGCGTGTGAAGTTGCTCAGTGAACCGATCGGAGGTTGCGTCCATTTGTTTCGTTGGTGTAATGCTTGCCTACTCGCTGTAGTGTGACGAACGTTCTCTTCGGTAACACACCGGAAAATAAGTAGAGGCTACTGGTCCGCATCGTGTTTGCCGGCTTTGAGCTGGAGCAGGTATGCAAACTGGCAAAGCTCTGGGTAGGTGGAAGAGACAAAGGGCTCATTCACCTCTAAGATCAAGACACAGCATGATGAAGGACGTGCAAGAATACAAAACGCAAAACTCACCCAGATGTCAAGAAGAGATGGTCGTGGTTGTAGTAGTAATAGCTGTTACAAAGGCGGTAGGGTCTCACGGCAAATTGGACATTGCAGCCTGTACTTCATCCACCCTTCCAAGCACGCGCTGTGAAAGATGTGTCTGCACGGCGTGACCATGTAGCTTCGTCGCGCTAACAGGCCAGCACCCAGCGAACTATCGCCGCTCCCGCCAGCCTCAATGACAGGTACTTCGAGTTCTTGAAAGCATATCGCGCAGTCAAAAACACGTTTGCCTTTGGCTTTGGTGTCCTTCGCCGTGGAGCCTCTTCTCGCTGTCGACGATGATAGACTGGTACGCCGTTCGAGCAATGGTGTTGTCGGTGCGGACCCTGCAGACGTCTCTGAGAGACCAATGGGCATCGTCGCACCTTCTTCGTCTTCGCGAAGAATGGGATGGTAATCGTAAGCGGGCGGCGCCCAGTCTTTACCAACGAACCATCTCGGTCCAACAAGCTCCTGACTGGCCAATACGAGGACCTGTACCCATATCCAGATGACCAAGAAACCAAGGCTATAGTAGTCTGGCTTCGCAAACAGCACATTATGTTTGTACGCGTAGAAATAGGCAAATGGTACAAGCCGCAGCACGCTTTGACCCACGACGAACCTCCACTCAAGCGCATGGCGACAGTTACGTTGGACATTGCGAAGGATCTGCGGGACCCAGAACGACAAGTACACCGTAGCCAACAGGGTAAAGAAGCCGCGACGAAGCGGTGACGGCCAGGTTGTAGCATTGAGGCTCATAAAGAGCGTAGCCAGCAGCAGAAGGTAGAAGCGAAGGTAAAGAGCGCCAAAACTTGAAGTCCTTGGCCCCACCTGAGCGCCAGGCTGAGCGGTACCAACGGGTTCCGTGACGGGCTCCAAGCCCTCTTGATCCGAGGGCATGAAGACAGGGGTCGCTCCGGTATCAGTTGGTCGCTCCGCCGTCACCGGCAGTGGAAGCGAGCCAGGCAAGCTAGGCGTCGACTGGGTTCTCGTGGCGTCTGCTTGTTGATCTGTACTCGGTTGATTTATCTCGCTCGTTGGTGTATTTGCTGCTGCAGCGGCAGCGAGCCTCTCATTTCGTTCAGCCCGCAGCCGATCGAGCGTCTCCTGCAAGCGCTGTTGCCTCTGACGCTCCCGCTCATCGTCCTCGCGTGCACGCTGCGCCCTTTCGGGAGCCTGCGCGACCCAGAGATCTGCTAGAAAGCGCATACCAAAGAACGAAACGCTAGTGAACGCCAGAAATGCCGTACCAACGAGATCGACCCACAAGCCGTGTACGAAAAGACTGATAAGGAGGAAAGTCATCGTAGCGAAGCCATCGCCCAACGCAAGCATAGCGATCGTAGAGAAGCTGATCCTACTACGAGTTGAAGGCGTGTTGGCTTCTCGCATTTGACGCATGAGCAGCGCTATCTGTCCGCCTATCGTGAGCGCGAAGAGCAGGACGTGGTGCCGCCCAATCTTGTAAAGCATCTCCGCCTTGAGTCCGGCCAGGTGCTGAGCTTCCTGCGCCGCAAAGTCTGGTGGGCCTCTCGACTCCAGAACGTAACCGCAGTCTGGTGAGAAGGCGAGCATGGTAAAGCGCATGTTAGAGAGTGACGGGACAATGGCGCCTGTCGGATAGCGGGCCTCTTGTTCAATGAAGGCCAAAGTACTGCCAGTCATGGGCTCTAACTCGCCGCCACTGGGAGGCATTTGCTGCAAATACATTACGAGCTCGCATTGGGGCCCGCCCAAAGCGGTTGGCGGTGTACCATCGGTTTGTGACGGCCATGGATTTAGTCTCTCGATGTCGCCATTTTCCTGAGCTCTGATGGTCCGTGAGATTGATTGGTTCATGTACGTCTTCATAGTGCCGAAGCTGTGCTGCGAAAGGGCGAAATGCGGTAATATGAAAACCCCGGCGAATTTTTCGCTGGTCGTGGTCATGACGACTTGACCCAGTTGTATTTGATACACGCCGTACATCTGCAATTCGGTTTCTTCGCCAGTACTGTCGTCGGTGAAGGTCATCTCGGCACTGATGCCAGTAATGTTTGCCAAAGCTATGTCGTCGTAAGTTGTTCTCTCACGAAAGCGCATTCGCACGTCGCCATCCGCGCCGGTGATGTTGCGTTCGAAAGATCTCGACTGCAGTAAGCCGAATGGGCCCTCGGCCGCGTATGCGGACATATTCAACCGCGGAGTTGCCACGCTCTCCTGTAGCTTCGAGCGCACCCATTTGCCCTGTACGTATCCCGTCACGTTGTGGTAGAGAGCAGGCAGCGTGGCGAAGCTGTCGCCGTCAAGCGCAGATTCACCCGCATCGCCGAGCGCATATTCGAGGTGCTGACGTGCCCTTTCCTTAACCGCAGGGAGTGCACTCCAAGCGTATCCCCGTTCTAGCTCGAGGCCCGTAAGATTGAGGAACCCTTCATCGTTCCGACTTATGTCTCCGTATGTCGAGTTTTGTAGTACGGACAACGACCTCCGCTCACCCGCAACGGCATCTTGTATCGTCGCTCCGCTACCGAATTGCGCTGTCGGAGGGTTGTTAGATGAGAAGAAGATGAAACCGATGATCAGCAGAGGCACGATGATGCCGCGACGGTCGGCCATGCATCGTGTCCTTTACAAGGTCAAGTCTTCGACAGCGCGAAACCGTGTTGGTGCATCACATCGGGGTGCGCTTGCGACAGTCGTGACGTTGAAGCCGGCAACTTCCGACCGCTTGAGTCTGGTGGTAAAATAGGCAGCAACGGCAACCATCGTATAAAGGCATGGAAAGCAGAACGCATATCATGTCATGCTACTCAACAGCTCGCTATCTAGCATTCGCCTTATCTGGACGCGTGTTGTCCGGCTTACTGACGCCGAACGCCATCGCTATCAACATGCCACCGTCCCATGCCCAAAGACTCGATGCCCGCTGTGACGCTGGTCTGTTGAACAATACGAGACCCATGGTAAAAGTACACTTGCTTACTTGCCGTGTTTTAAAGTCACCTTGTGGCCGAAAGAAGCCTGTGTAGAGGGTAGAGCAGGCCAGGTGAAGGAAGAGTGCGTTCCCCGGCTGGAACCGCACATAAAGATCAGCCCATAGCACTCATGTCCACCCGCTTTTCGCAGAACTCCCAAAGCATCTTGATGAGCGGATCCGGAAGGGTGTACAGGTCGACGTGAAACTCGCCGTCTGTGCACCACAAGTCAGTATTGGTGCGGGGATGTATCGCAACCAGCAACAAGGTGTGAAACATTGCAGAGGCCCAACTCACTCTCGACATCGTTGTTCGTGTATGTCTCTTCGGTCTTATTGTCATGCACCATTTGCACGACCTGCAGAAGGTCATCTTCTTGTAGTTGCGGCAGAGCTTCGGCGAGCTTCTCCATGTCGACGCTCTTCGAGGTCTTTGCCTTCTTCTTCTCGGGCTTAGCCGCGGGCGCTGCGCCATTTGTTGCCTCGCCAGCGGGGGCGGACTCCTTCAGCGCGGAAAGAAGTGGCTCTTTGGGGTTGCGAAATGTCTAGACGTGAATCGGAGATATTAGCCTGGATTGAACGGAGCTGCACTCTCTCAGACATACCACACTGTGCGTGCTCTCGTATTCTTCCTGCGCAAAGTTCACATCATGCTGGAGCGTCTGGTCTCCACCCTTCGGACTCCCAAGCGGCGTCAGCACGATCTGCATATCGAACTCGCCCCATCCTCGCTCCTTGATCGTGAACGGCGGACTCTTAAACGTCTGCTTCGCGCGCTTGCCGAAAGTCTCGTGAAGGAGGTAGGTTGCTTTGTCGTAGCAGCTCGCAGGGATTGAGTCGCCGTCGGGTCCAACGAGGTAGATGGAGATTGACCACGAGCGCATAGGAAAGCCTTCCACCTCCGGCTCTACATCGTGGCTGTGGCGGGTCAGCAGTGAAGATTCCTTGTGAGTATGCACTCATACATGATTTGCTGCTTGGTGATGACGCGAACGGTACGCTTGATCTACGCTTGTTGTCAGCAACACTGTACCACCATGTAGTTTCCCCGTGTCGGAACCGGGCAACTGCTACATACGTCCGGCATGTTGACGAGTGTGGGTGCGCGACTCGCCGGCGCAAACGGGAAGTCTTAAGAATGTGGTTCGCTACTCGTTGGCACAGATGGACAGGTTTGACTGTGGAAGCCGCTTCAGGACGTGATCTCAATGTGAGAGGGTGGGAAACAAGAGAATGTTGAGCTGCAGAAACCCGTGTTGTAGCAGCTTTGGCGAGAGTGGAGGTTGGAGGCAGGTCAATGCGAGGGCTCGATGAGTGTGGGGTGAAGCTTCGCGGAGATTGATCAGTGAAGGCAGGGCTGGAAAGTGATGGATCGGCCCGGTGAACCACAGACGACAGCGAGATGAACAATATGTGACAGTCAAAAGTGATCATGGCAGACTGGCAGCTCATGTGAGCGACGATGCTTTCGCTATGCTGGGGAGACTATCTGGATCTGATGATACGGAACGCTAGAAATCTTCTTACGACCAAGTCATCGCTCATCGCCGTAGCGACGACGCGCCCGCCCCACTATGTGCGCCGTTGTAATGCTCAAACGACTTCCGCAGCTCTGTCGCGGCACCCCGGAGCTGGGTAGGCGGCGCACTTGACCCGTGCGGATTTGCCTGACTTCGTGGTAGGAGTAAGCTGCGGCGGCCTTCGTATCCATTTGCTATAGGAGTCGCTTAGTCCTGCTTCGCGAAGAGCTTCTCGTTCTCCTGCTGCGCCTTCATGAACGCCTCTTTGAACAGGTTCGCATTCTCGGAGTTTGCAAAGCGGATGGCGAGGGTCTGGGCCTCCGGTTCGCCTTCGGAAACGTCTGCGGCGGCGTTCCAAACCCAGCTGCGGTCGCTTCCGACATTGGGTGACAGCTTCATATCAGGGACGACTGATATGTGGTCAGCAAACGCATCCGATGAGCAGGTACTTTATTACGCCAGCCTTACCGTAGTGGTTCGCGCAAACCTTCAGCGTCTTGTCCCTCCGCATGACCAACCGCGTCTTCCCATTCTCCCTATGCTTCAACAACCGCACATCACCCGTCCCTCTCTCCTTCCACTCTCTCGAGTCGCGATCGAACTTGAACAGCTTCGCCCGCATCTTGAAAGTCTGCTCCTCTAGCTCTTCGTTCGTCTTCGTGTCGACCTTTTCCGTCAGATGTACGACCGGCTCGAAATGTACATCTGCCTCCTCCTCATCCGCTTTCTCGTCGTCCTCGCCACCCTCAGCTTTCGCTTTCTCAGCTTGTGCCTTGGCTGATCCAGAGCGGTCGTTGTCCTCGTCCTCGTCATCTCTCTTCGCTTCCTTCTTCGCACCGCCACCGAACATGGAGAACACGTTATCCTTTACTGCTGAAGCGGTCTCGGCCGCTTTCTCCGTCAGAGGCTTGTCATCGGTCTTTGCGAAGCTGGTGGAGGTGTCGTGCTTGCTCTCCGAATCCGCCATTGTGGCCGGTGCTTTGTTCGGGATGCTCAATGTCTGACGATGTTGGGAATCCGATGAGACAGAGGCTGACGTATATGGTTAGATTGAGGAGGAGTTGCGTATCGTGGTTGACAAAGGTCGGTCGGTGTGCTTTCTCAGAAGCGGTGCATATCGAAAACAAACGCCAGGCTAAACTTTAGTGGGGTTGATGCAGCCCCTGCAGCCTTGGGCACGGACCATATCCGTGCCGGCGGCACGTGAGAGCGTACGGAAGCACCACGTCAAGATATCAGGTTCGTAGATTTGATAGGCCTGTATTGCGTCTCTATACGACATCGCAGTGGCCTCGAGGCAAAAGGAGCAACACTTATCCGGGTATATCTCGCCGGCTCCAGCCAACGCCATTTCCGTACGCCGGAGGCAGGTCCCTGCTTAGCAAAATGCTACGCTGCATACCTTGACCCATCTTGTCCCAAGTTGAAGGTCATCATCATAAACCGACGTTAGTCATGGAATAGCGCCAATGCGCCATACCACGCACAGACCTGCATCACAGAACAACTATTGGCGCGACCTTCGGTCCCTCCCCTGCCCTCTTGACCTCGTTCGTGGACTTCTTACCCGGGTTCGGTGAATTGTCTTCGGCGTGCTTGACCCTCTCCTTACCGACGGGCAGGGCTGCAATCTTCGCTCCGTTGGCTTCGCGTGCTGTCTTGCGACGGCTGGCATCACCCAGAGACGGCTTGTTGCTCGCCGGCTCATGTGTTCTCAAATCTTGCCCAGTGACCATCGACAGCGAGTTCACTTTTGGCTTGGGCCGAAGGTAGGACAGCCCTTCGAACTTGTTTGCAATCCTGGCGGCGTCAATGGGGCTCCGAAAGCGTGAAAGCGCAGTCGAGCTGGACGTGCTCGTGCTGTCCTTTTTAGAATCGAAGATTCTGTCCTTGAGCTTCAGCGCACGCTCACGTGAGACCTTGAGACTCGAGCCCATCTTCTTGGACGCGGCTTCCTTCGATACTTGCAACGACCGTCCCATAGCCTTGCCAAGACCGGCTATGTCGCTTTGAACGGATGCTAGGTCTTTGCTGAGAGCTACCATGCTGCGATTACCCATGTCGTTGAGCTTGTTGAGAACAGAGGTCGCGGTCCCGACAAAGACCTGCAGCTCACGTGTCATCTGCAATGCCAGCGCTGTTGTGACGTTTCTTGTTGCAGCAGCACCCGCGGCGAACTCAGACTGGAATAGCTCCTGTAAAGACGCAGCATGCTTCCGCGCCTCGGTTACCTCCTTGCTGACGGATTTGCTCAGATCTCTGCGAACCTTCTCGTAGGTCTGACGTTGAAGCATCTTTCTCCCGAAGTCGTGCTGCACAGAGAAGGGACCCTGCGGGCACGCCATTTGCGCTTCGAAGCTAACAATGCCGTGCGCCTCTGCGGGATCGACCATGACATTGTAGATGCCGTCCATGACCTTCGTGAAAGTGTTGGTGACTTCTCGCTTGGCTGTAAAGGTACGGACGGACTCCAGCTTACGAGGACCCCTGAATCGGGACCTGCTTGGCAGCGACACGATTAGGTGGTTTGGCGCCGCTGCTGCTGTGTACACTTCATCTGGTAAAATGTACAGCGGCTTGCCGAAGATGTCTTGAGACATCGCAGTGGGCATAGGAAGGAGGTGACTGATGTTAACCGTCTTGGTGATGTCGGTGCGGTTGAAAGTACGGATGAGACAGCGAGCCAATGTCTCTCGGTTCTGTGCTTGGATGTCGACCTGGGCGAGGAAAAGCCCTCGCGATAGCTCGATCCGCTTGAAGACGGCCTGCAAAAGGAAGACGACAATCGTGCTGATAAGTAGAGCGTACGCAGTCTTGCCCGCACTGGCCAGCATCCACGACTTCAGCATTGACGGCTTCTGGATCTGCGGTTCACCAACCATATCGGCCCACTTCAGCGGGCTTAGCACGCTGTTAGGCGACGATGATGATGATACTCTCGCGGAGCCTGAGATATTCTTGTTCGCAGAGCCGAGCGGTTGCCAGGCTTGGATCGTTGATTGTGTGGGAGTTTCTGAGAGCTCAGAGTCTATATGATCGCTAAGCCATTTGACGTGGTCCTGTGACGAATCAATCTCATAACTTGTGGCCTTCCCAGGAGGGGTTTGCTGTGAAGTGGAGTCGGAGCTTTCTACGAAGACTGCAGACTCGGCAAGGGCAGTTTCCACGTCCGCACGCTGCTCATCGTCGGTTTGGTCCCTGGTGGTGTCGTTGCCCTCCGGCGTGAATTGACCGTCGTCACTGTCAGTGTGACCTGCAGACCCTAGACTGGCTGTGTCCTGACCGTCACTTGAGAGCTCTGACAGGTCGTCAAGCATATCATACTGATGATCTGCAAACGACGATGCTTCCGACGCTTGATCATCGTCGACGGACTTCAGACGCATGGCGAGAGAGCTCAGAGCAGCTGGCGGGGTGTGGTACGACGTGCGAGTCGGGAGCGTAGAGATGTTGTCGACCGAGCCGTCAGGGCTTAAGGTTGGGAAGGTGAAAGCAGCCAGGCGGGGCGGAGTGGTGACGCTGTTCCCACGCTCCGATGGCGATGTCTCCGGGGTGTGTGTCGGCGGATACTGCCCTTCAGTCACGTTAGCGATTTCCAGGTTCGCATGATCAGAACGCTCCATAACGGAACAGCGTAGAGGTTTATGAGGCAGGAGCAGACGTGACTGTAGAGAGGGTGTTGTATGGACGGTAGTGATGAGGCGACCAGTGTCAGGTGAACGGCGTGAAGGTGGTTATGGAAGTGTTGGAAAGAGTGCAGTCACAATCACAGCCTTGGGTCGCGTGTCTGCCTTGTGCGGGCGGGGTACTCCAGCTTACTTTCAAGCGTACTTTGACAAGTCGTTAACAAATCGCTCATAGGGATGAAGTCCTCTCACTTTAGACGTTAGGGCGCATTCAGACCTTGCTATAGAACGACACTGACGAGAGCTACAACATTCGAATCTACATCTACACGACAGGCAGGAGTCGGGACAAGGTCATGCTGATAGACAGCTCCCCGCAGTAGCGATACCGCCCTAGTTCGCCGCTAGCATTGATTGGCGCTGCAAGTGAAACAAAGGCGCGGGGCAAGGCACGAGAGAGCGGAAGCCAGCGTCTCGAATACTGACTACACTTCTTTCCCCGTTCGCACGAGCCCATTACATGTACTTGAATCTATCACCTCGTTGCGAATGATTTTACAATCCGTGACTCGCACCCGCTGGACCCGCCCCAGCTTTACACTCCTTAGCCACCCTTCTGCACCTTTCAAGCTCCAATACCCTGCTCCTGCAAGAAGTCCATGATCCATTCGTATGCCGCCGAAGCCCCGTAGTGCAGATTGATGCCATGCCCTGATTCCGGTACCAGCAATGACCGGAATTTCGCTTCCTGGACGCCAGGATATAATGCTGCCTTAACCAGCTCACCCTGGTCCGTCGGATACGAGCAATTGCCCGCGCACTCGGGAAGATCGTGATCACCATTTACAACCGCAAGGGGACCTTCGAAGTCTTGAGTGACACCGCCCGCCGTAGCTGAGGAGAAGATCTCACCCCAAGTCAAGCCGTACTTCTCTGCTTCAAGCTGAGCGAGCAGGGCCGGGTCATAGTTGGGCGGGTAAAAGAAGCCAAACTCGTTGCTAACCATGGTATTGGGAACTAGATAACCATTCGGCAGGTCGTAGAAACGGTACGGCTGATTCTCATTTGCAATGGCGAGGTTGAGTGAAGCAGCAAACGCTGTCTGTCCGCGTAGCTGGCCATTGACTAGGGTGCCATAGCCTGTAAGGATCACGGCGTCGAAGTCATCCGGATAGTTGACTGTGACGGCTTGAGTGGTGAAGGAGCCAAAGCTATGACCAACACCAACGACTGTCTCGAAGGCCATCCCGCCGACCTTCCCAGCGCGGAGGAGAGAGGTCAACGCATGGCAAATCTCTATGATCAGTGGGAATTGTACAATGTTGAGAGGGTCTGGTGTGTCGCTCGCACCCCACCCAATGCGGTCATAGGCCAGAGTTGCCCAATTGTGTTCCACCGCGGAGTCAACGTAGCTGTAACCCGGTGCGAAGTCCCAGTAGCGACGGTCGAAAGCTGCACCGTGCGTGAGGATCTGAACACCTTTGACTGCTACAGCCGGATGTGATGTGAGGTTCAGAGGATAGCAAAGCTCAGCACCAATATTCCTGCAGGATAGCGGTTTGTAATGTTAGGGTACTCTTCCATGGCAAGTAAATAGTACGATGTAAGTAGATCACACGTACCACGTTCCACTCACGTTTTGCGTACCAACTACGAGCCCCTCAACAAACGTTGAGCCAGCTGCGAGAAGGTCAAGAAAGGTACGCGTGACGCCGGACTGATTATGCGGTATATCCAGATTGAGCTTGAGGTTAGTAGCGGAAGCAGCAACGCGTAAGGTCCCAGAGACACAGATAGCTTTGCCGCTAACGGAGGTGTGGACGCTAGGATTGTCGAACCCGATAGTGTCTAACCCGACAGTGTCGAACACATTGTTTATCGGCCAAGTGCGTGCTGGCGCAGATGCCACCAAAGGTACCAGCAAGTAGAAGAGAGGAAGCATCGTTCGTGGAGACGACAGTAGATATGGAGGAGAAAGTGGAGGCGGAGTGTATGGTAATGAGGTGTCGTCCTAGGGGCAAACGAGAACGCGTATATATATCTCTTCAAGCGAGTGCACTTTGACGCAGCATCAGGAATGGTGTGGTTCCCGCGATATAGTCGGCACCATGTTAGGTGCGGAAGGATGTCGCATCTTCCTTCATTTGTCACCTCCGAGAGGGCCGACTTTGAGTCACCACCGGGTCGTGGTGGTAGCGTTTACCACTTTATCGTTATAGTGGTCGTGGTAGTAGAGTGTCATCTGATTGACCACTTACCAATGGCCATATTGGTCGTAGCGTAACGGCGTATTACAGGGTTCGCAATGGGTTGCACCATGACATCACGAAGGTGTATGATGCCTGCCCAGCGAGTTACCACACGGGCCAGTCGAAGAAGAGGAGTCGAGAGACGGAGGAGTTGGTGCAGAGAGCGGCAGCAGTATTAGCGAGGACGACAACGACGGCCACCACCATTTGGCCTGGTCAGGAACTGTGTCCTACCAGTCACTATGGTCAGCGGCGAAAGAGAGCCTATTAGTCATGTTGTTCGCCTCACAACATGGTCAACCGACCTCAAGAAACACTGTCAGAACATGATCCAGCCGGCATAGTCGCACAGTGTCTTGGAGTTGCGCGGGGGAGATATCCGTCTTGCGCCGCTATTTGGAATGCTGTGTACCATTCTGCACCGCACTGTTAGTGAATCACAAAAAGGTATGGTACAGCTATGCGCTGTCAGCAAATATCAAATCCGTCGTTACCCGTCAGTTTCCTCCTCGTCCCCAGCGAACCTAGGCTTCGGATTATTCTCAGAGCGTGCCCAAAGCCGCGAATGATCGACGTGAGCAATAAGCCACACGTAGCGCCAGCATATTACTACATAATTGATGGCAACGGAGTTGGTTCTCGCAGAGAGTCATTGCATAGAAGACAGAAGAGACAAGGGCGGCACAGAAGTGGCGGAAGTCAAGGTGATGAAATAGGGGAATCCTGCACCGAGGCCTCGATTGGGCGCTTGGAGACGCCAAGAGCTGCCGTTAATGGAGCTGTATGTACAAGCTGCTGACACCATGCCTTCTCATATTGACAAATTCTCTTGTAGCTCACGGGATTACTCTTCCGTCTCTTCCTCACCCTTCGCTTGCTGGCTTTCCACATACTCCTTAGCCAGCGCTTTGACCCTCTCGGCGCCCTTCCCATTCCCTTCCTTCTCCTCAAATTCTAACCATTGCTTGAAGACGAACCTCGCACGCCGCTTCTTCGTTTTCTGTGCTGCCATTCGCTCATAGAGTGCGCGCACCTTCTCCCGCGCTTCCGCTCGTTCGTCTTGTGGTCCCACGCGAGCGAGGCGTGATCGCTCAAGGTCGACCCACATATCCCAACCTGAGCTCCACTTGGGCCACTCGGTGAGCAAGCCTTCGAAGATGGTTCGCCCGCGCTCGGGATCACCGTTCAGGAAGCGAAACTCAAGGCCAGCAAACTTGGCGGTTAAAGGACGATGCTCATTCATCTGTATAGACTGCAAGGCCCTCGTAAGCAATGCTCGAGCTCTCACCGGATCTCTCGACCGATCCATGAGGAAGGTCGCATAATTCAGCCAGACTTCCGGACTGGCACGGAACGCCTTGTGTGCCACAATTCGTTCGAAGATGTTGTCTGCTCTCTTATGCTTGCCAGAGTCGATGTAGATCGAAGCCAACTTTTCGTGCATCTCCAGTGAATCTTGGACCTGGCAGGCTTGCGCAAAGACCTCTTCGACCCTGGCTTCATCGCCATATTCGACTTCAAGGTTCAGCCAAGCAATCCATATGTTTGCTTTCTCATCCGTCTCACGAATGTTGATGGTTCTAAGCGCACGCTCTGCAATGTCGCGAGCCCTTTGTACCTCGCTAAGCTGCAGCTGGAAGGCCATGTACTGAATCCACAGGCCAGAATAGTTGGGCTGACCAAGGAGTTGCCGCTCGAAGTCACTCTCACTGCGCGGTCCGTACTTGTCGAGGTCTCCAGTCATGTCCACCTTGATCTCAGGCTTGTTGCGCTTGCGCTTTTTCGTGACGCTAGTTTCAGGCTCGGAGTCGGACATTGCACCGTTGGTCGCGCTACCAAAAGCGTCGCCATTCCAATCGAACCCAAGCGTCTTCAGGCCTGATGTAGGTTTTGATACCGTCTCTTCATCGAAACCCATGCCATCGATGCCGTCCGTACGGCCATCGTGAACATCGACATCCGCAATGTTATCGGGATCGACGTCCTCGTCTTCTTCCCCATATGGGCCGTTACCCAATTGGACATCGTCAATTCCTACACCACCAACGTCACTCGCAGCTTCATCCTCCACGTCGTCAGCCGCAACTCCGGGGTCGTTGGCATCGACGTCTGCGAAGTAGCTTGCCTTTAGCCCAAGGCTGATCTTCCTCGCTTCAAGGTCGACACTCAGCACCTTGGCCTTGACAACATCCCCAGCACTGTAGAGCTTCCGTACGTCCTCGACTCTCTTCGCCGCTACCTCGCTCCTGTGACAAAGTCCAGAGAGTCTCGGCTGCGTGTTGTCAATGTCAATGAATGCACCAAAGTCCTCCACTTTCCTGACCTTGCCAGTCACGATCGTGCCAGCTGCGAGATCATTGATGCTTATCGGCGGAACGTAGTCTTCGTCAACATGTGAAGCCTTTAAGCTGAGCTGTACGTTCTTCGTCTCGCTGTCGACAGCGGTGACCCGCCCCTTGACAAGCTGATCAATCTCCACCAGGCTCTTCCAGTCCTTAACGTACTGATCGCTAAGGTCAGAGATCCGCACGAAGGCGTCTAACTGAGGGCTCAACGACACGATGACGCCCCTATCTCCCACATGCTTTACGAAGCCTCGCACGAGATCTCCAGGCTTGAGTTGGGACACGCTAGCAATCTGAGGATCCTTGACCGGCAAGCTGGAGCTCAGCACCTTCGATGGCCGCAGGCTAAGAAAGAGCTTCTTATTCGGTGTGTCAATGCCCAAGACGCAGACCCGTACGATGTCATTCTTCCGGTATTGCAGGACATTTAGCTGCTCATAGTTATCGCTCATCTCCACGAGCGGCACGGGTCCGGCGAGTGTGTCCGACAGCTGAACGGTGATTGCACGCTCCGTGACTTTGGTCACTCGGCCCGGCAATACCATGCCAGGCGAGATATCTTGCAACGTCAACGCCTTCTGCTCAGTGCTGTTTCTGGCGGTCAGGTCCAGCCTGCCGCTCACAAGATCAATCGCCTTCACAGTGACTTGCAGCGCACAGCCAATCGGAAAGCTCTTCTCAACCTTCTGCAGCATGCCGGCGTCATCGCTCAAATCCATAAGCGCAATCCTGCCCCTCACGTTTGGTGACAAATTAACCCACACGCAATTGTCGCCGTGATTGTTCACGAAAGCTAAGTAGCTCGCATTCGGAACAATTGAATCTAGGCCCAGTAGCTGCTCGCTCTGATCATTGATTCTGCTACGTTTGGCAGAGAGTTCAAATACTGGCGCCTTGCCTTGACGGTGGCTGATAGGTAAGAAGCGATGATTTCTCGCATCGTGCAGGCCAAGCACCTTGGCCTCGAGCTCTTCATTGGGCTTGAACTTCTGCAAGGGCGCTTTGTTGTTCGATATGTCGTCCCACGAATCGAAAACTTCGCTCACGTCGATGCGACCTTGCACTCCGTTCGCAAGCCGAACGTTGAGCTGGGTGGCCTTGATAGAAGCAATCATCACTTTCACTATCTGGCCTTTTGTGACGTCGTGCACAGCTGTCTGAGCACGATCAGCTACCGCTGGCTTATCTGTCTGCTCGCGCATACTGAGCGTGAACCGCTCCCGGGCTGTGTCGATGTTCAGCACCCAGGTGTGCACTGTTTGCTCCTTCAGCAGGCCGAATGCAGGCTTGCCAACCTTGTCAGTTCCGACCTGGCTCTTTGGCACTAGGCCAACAATGCCGTTGGTGAAGTCGACGTACACGCCCTCGGGCGTAACATTGCGCACGAATCCTTGGGCCACAGCACCTTCCCTGACGTCTGCGAAAGATCTGATCAGCGTGCCTGCTTTAGCAGCTTTGACAAGGGACGGCTTGTTCGAAAGCAGAACTTGTCTACTCCTCTCCCGTTTACCCAGAACTAAAAGATCCGTCAAGTTCTGGCCGACTCGTATGCGTGAGAGCGCGCTGTCAGCTTTGGTAGGCGCGCCATCAGCAAGATGTCCGTGCCTGATCAGGCCAAGTAACCCATTCTGTAGTTCGACAGTGACACTCTCGCCACCCTTCACAGTGACGCTGCCACTGACGAGCTGACCACCAGATACAGCTTCCCAAGCCTCCTGCTGCTCTGCATCGAATAAGCCGCTTTGCTTGCATGAGACTTTCATCTCTTGTGTCTCAGCGTTGACAGACAGGATGCGAACATTGACCGTCTGTCCAAGGCGGAAATGCTGCTCAACGCGCTCAATGTAACCCTCGCTCATCTCCGCGACCGGCAACCAAGCACGTACGTTTCCGAAAAACTGCACCGCGGCGCCGCTAGGCAAGAGATTGACAATCGTACCGGTCCCTTCCATGCCAGGCTTTAGGATATTGTAGTCTTGCCAAACCTCTACTTCTCTATCAATGAGTGACTTCTTGAAAGTAAGCCGAACATGCCTTTTCTCAAGATCCACAGAAAGCACTCTAGCCTGCACAGGAAAGCCCTCTCTGAACTTGCGCTCTGGGTGTTGCAGTTGAGCATCACTGAAATGCGTTTCCGGGACTAAGCCCGTGATTGTAGCGCTGAGCTTTACCAGCACTCCAGTGATGCCGGTTTTGCCACCCAGGATCAACCGCTCAACGGTGCCTTTGACTACCTCGCCAACCTTTAGATCTTCGAGGCGCAAATAAGCTTGGTCAAGAACACTCTGCTTGAGCGAGACGTAGTAGAGATTGTCGATGGGATTGAAAGCGATAATACGCGCCTTATGGACCGAGTCGACTTTGAAAAGGCCGCTTGACGACGATAGCACGTCAATGCGGGTGTCAGATACTTGGGAGATGTGTGCAAAGGCCGGCGCTGGCTGGCCCGCTACGGTAGGAAGTTCAAGGAAGATTCCTCGCTCGGATAATAAATGCACCACCTTCGCATCCCCTATGATTGCAGAAATAGGCATATGTTGTTCGAGTTGAGTAGCTTGCACGCGTAATTTTGCGCTTGCCGCTTCAGGCAGTCTCGAGGTAGGCGGCGGTAAGCAAAGCATGTGGTCTAACAATGAGACACCTACGCGGCGGCCGTCGTCGGCATTCGGTAGGGTCCAAACGATGCGTCCGTAAATTTTCGAGCCGATCTTGTACTTTTTGCTCATGTCTGCACCCTTCGTAGCGGCGCCTGAGTGCATGACATCGGCGGTCACGTCAACCATACCCATAACTTTGCCAACCACGCCTCCAGCACCAGAGTCGGTGACAAGGATGCTGACAGCCGTGCCGGGCAAGAAGGCTTCAACAGTCGGTGCCTCACTGACCACAGGCGTCTCCTTTTCGGCGCCATGAGTCGAGAAGCGCGCAGCGTCTGGCGACAGCTTCAGAACTTTGCCGTTGCTGCTCTTACCGGTCACTAAGCACATCATGACCTGCCCTTCCTGTAGCTGTCCGAGCTTAAAGCCAGCACCCAAGTCCTTTTTGCTTACAAAGCCTTTCACAGTCTCATCTCCAAGACCCAGATCCATGACGACACCATGGTCCTCAACGCTTCTGACTGCGGCCTGGAGCATGCTGTTCACGACCACGCTGTCTCCGTCAAGTCCACCATTGACCTGAGATGGAGCGATGGCAAGTTCAATGTGGCGCTTGCTCTTGCTTCCTGCTTGCTCAGAACCAACAGATCTCACTGTTGCCCTAAGCCACTGACCGACGTAGAAGAGCCTCTTGAGGTCCACATCTTCATCGTCATCCGCCCTGCGTTCGTCTTCCGCAAGTAGTCGTTCAATGCGAGCATTGAGAATGTCAGACACGGCAGTGATCGGAACGTAGCCAGTGAGATTATTCGGCAGGGCAAGCGCGATATCTCGGGCGGTGATGGCCGTTACATAACCCAGCACTTGGCTGCCAACGGCTAGGTTCTTGTAGCTCAATCCTTGTATTCTTATACCAGAGCCTGTGCCCTGAGGCGCGGCAGTGCTGTTCGATTGCTTCGTTTTCCGCTTCTTCCTGACTGGCTCCTGAGTTGGCTCTTCACCGAAAAGCTCGCCGTCAGCATCATCGCGACCCGGCGCTTTCTGGCCAGTTTGCTGCTCGAAGAGAACGTCTCGCTCAGCCTGCGCTTTAATCTGCTTATGCTCAATAGGCGTTAAGACACTTGCCCCGCCACGAGGAAATGCGCGCTCCTCTTGCTGCAAGACAGACTGCGACGTCGCTTTTCGTTCGCCGCCGCTCTTGTCCTGCTTGGACGCCTTTGCCGCGGGTTTCGATATGTCGGATTCAGTCACACTCGCCATTGTCTTCTTGCTGGGCCGATCATCGGTGACCGCCTTCCTCTTTTGCGGCGCCATTCTATGTTCCGCCACACGTGAGCTGCACTGCCTTCAATGCCACGAACACGATGTATATCGACGACCTGGAAATTTCTCGGCCAAGATTTCACTCGGAGCCTCGGATCATGCTCTCCCGATGTCGCGCTACGTCAGCTGGCTTGAGCTTCGGCGCGCGGCGCGTCTTCCACATCCGGCCTCGAAAAGCCAAAAGTCCTTTGACAGTAGGAGTGTCTGCTTATTGAGTATACCGTAGGCTTCTCAGCGCACGCATATCAGTAACAATGGCAGAGGCGCCGTTTATGTCATCCCAGAGCAGCATCTATGAGCAGCACCAGATCCACATGGGCCAGGAGAATGTGGCTTCTTCGCCACTCGAGGCGAGCAGTCCAGCTGCGGCACGATTGAGCAGTCGAAGGCCGAGGAGGCCACCTACGGTGACACCCAAACGCTTCAACAGATTTTTCACACCACGGAACCGTGCAAAGACGGGAGGTCGCCAGAGCAAGGCCGGACGGCAGCTCCGTGACATTACTGCGAACGGCATCAACCGGAGAAAGCACACTGCGCTAGTCAAAGATGAGCTTTCGAAGCATTTACAGGACGAGAGATCGGCTATACATTCTCCTAAGCGTCGGAAGCTTACAGCAATTAGCGCAAGCTCGCCATTGCAGTCATCGCCGTTGAAGCACGTTGAAGCAGTGAGTCCCATACGGATTCTCGAGGATGAGCCATTTTCTCCGCCGGCATTATACGACGATGACTTGCCAACTCTGAAGGAAAGGCCACAATCCTTCCCTGTGCGTGTTCGGACATTACGCCGAGCAGGTCGCTCGGATCGCATCCTCGAGCGTAGTTTCGGTGGTTACAGCGCGCTCAACCGTATGCCGGCGGGCTCTGGCCACTGCGCAAACTGGCAGGCAGAGACGGCAAACTTCGTGTCGACGCCCGACGATATACACAGTTTCAGACCAGGTTCAGCGGTGCCGTTCTGCACCACAAGCTGCAATGCCAACTCGTTGGTCGCAGTAGGTGACGAAGAAGGCAACGTGCGACTCATCGATTCGGCGGCATCGTCGGATTTTGCAGCGGCGTACCTGAACTTTAGGGTGCACCGCAATGCGATTATGGATATTGCATTCAACTCGAACGACTTGCTTTTGGCGACTGCGAGTGGCGATCAGACCGCCCGGGTAAGTGACATGCGCACGCAACAAGTGCTCTGCGTGCTTGCGGGACACACAAGCAGCGTGAAACAGGTTCGCTTCCAACCTATGGAAGACAATCTCCTTACCACAAGCGGCCGAGATAGCAGTGTGCAGATCTGGGATCTAAGATGTTCTGGCAAGGGTTCCGTTCAGAGCCTTCAGCCGGGGCAGAGAAGAGGCTTAGACGAAGACGGCATTGCACAGCCTTCCGTCCGATATGCTTGGCACAGGCTGAATGTGGGACCTGGACACCGTGCAAAAAGTATGCTAAAGCGAACTACGAGCGGCCAGCAACTAGATGACGCACCTGTGTCCGTCACAGCGTTCCAGCATCTGCGCAACGGAAGTTCGAATCTCCTCGTCACCGGGAGCGAGCTGGACGCCTCACTCAAGCTTTGGGACCTTCGCAACGCTAGTAGACGCGATCCGATTCCTCTTTCAGCTACAGAGCTACCGAAGATGCACCGCCGGACACGCAACTATGGCATCTGCAGTATCGAGCTCTCGGGCGACGGAGCCCGTATATACGCGCTCTGCAAGGATGCTACTGTCTATGCGTACTCGACTACCCAGCTACTGGCGGGACAGTCCACCGACGTGTCATCGAATTGGACAGGGAGAAGGCCGCTGAAAGATCCAACAATCACAGTTGAGCCGCTGTATGGCTATCGGCACGCGCTACCAGGCGGGCAGCAGCAGTCGCTGCTTGCGATAAACAGCTTCTACGTCAAGCTTGCATTGCGTCCGGCGCAAGGCGACCGAAGCGAAATGCTCGCCGTTGGCAACACCGATCGCTGCCCAATTGTATTCCCAACTGACGAACGTTACTTGCCGCTAAGGCCCTTTGGCGTACCTGGTGGCGAGGACACCTACCATTGCGATGGGTACGGATATGATTCGGAGCCGCCGGATGCCAGAGACGCTCCGACGTCTAAAGGAAGCTTCGTTCCGCGCATCTATGAACGAGGCACAGCTCTTCTTCGCGGGCATAGCAGCGAGGTTACATCTGTGGCATGGACTCATGAGGGCGATCTTGTTACTGTCGGAGACGACTTCACTGCTCGATGCTGGCGCGAAGACGCAGAGAAAGCAAGAGAGTTGCGAGCTTGTGGCGAAGGCGGTGGGCGGAGATGGGGTCACGGGTGGGCGGACGCTGAGGCGCGCTGGGATGAGGAAGATGGTTGAAAGCTATGCGCGCTTCGTATTCGCAATGGAGTGCCGTCGCAGAGCTTTCAGCATGGTACTGCAGACGAGAACCGCATGCACAGCAGTGCACAAGTGATGATTGGCCCATTCTGCGTCACGAGCATAAGGCCTACCGATTGTGTTCCTGGAAGTACCAAGGCTCTCTGCCATCGTACGTTCGTCCCGGATACTGGAAGGGCAGGTCGACCCAAGTATTGAAAACCTCCATACCAACGATCTCGTCCGCAGATTCTGAACCCTTCGCCTCACCTTCACCCTCACTCTCCGTTTCTGAATCATTACCAGGTGCAGGAGCACCGTTCTTGCCTGACTTTGCTTCCTTGGTATTGTTATTGCTAGCTGCAGACCGCAGCCTTTCTGCCGGCACAGGTAGGAGTACGCCACACTCCCAATTTCTGCAATTCACCTTCCAAACCTTCGCTTTCCTGTCGTACGACAGCTTCCCCCATGCAGACTCTGACATGTTTGCCGAGCCTACATAAGCCCACGCAACATCTTGCGTGCCTTGCTTTTGCTTACCGCGTGCATACAGTATCTTGTTATGGCTAAGAAGACCAGGTCGAGTCGATACGTAATCGCGGAACACGCTGCGTGGGAAGGTCATATTTTCGTACCATTTGCGACTGAGGCAGATCGTGCCTGCCGCGCCGGCTGTTGAATTAGTGACGGTCTCTTGCGTTGGAAAGTAGATGCGCAGCTTGGTTTTGATGTTATCTGCGGCTGACGTCCGCTTGCCAGGGCTAGGGCGGAAGAAATTTGCTTTGGCCTGTGATGCAGCCGCCGAAGTTAGAGCTATTGCATCCTCACCTTTCGCGGCTGAGTGAACACTGCGGAGAAACTCATCGTTCAGCGAGCCAATGGACGACGCTGCGAAGTCGACCTCAAGAGATCTCGTCTGTAACCGCAACGATCGTACCGCTCGTGCAAGGCCCGGAAGACCTGTTCTCTGCGCTTCTTCTCCGAAGGAAGTTCCGCCTGCAGTATGCACGAAAGCTATATGCGCGGTGGCCGCAAAGTCGAAACCCAGCACGCCATCTCTCACATCCTGGTCGATGTCCTGTTTCTTCAAGAAGTAGAGAAGTTCCTTTCCGAAGAAGGTCAGGTCGTCGGCAGTTACTCGTGCTCGCTGCTCGTCCACAAGCCGCGGTAAGTCGATGATGAACACACTGTTCTCCATCATGCCCGTCTCACCCCAGTCAAAGCTTAGCAGATTCGCAGACGGGATGGCAATACGAAGCTTGTGCGGGTGGAAGAGAAGCATAAGCTTAGAATGCATACAGAAAACCGAGCCACCCATATAGGGGAAGGTCAGCCGCAAAAAGGGCCTCATAGCATCTGTCTCTGTGAGCATTTGTTGACGCAGCGAGTCTTCTTTGGCCTGCATCACGAAGATGCATTTCGTCGTGCCCCCGTTCGGCGGCACCTTGAGCTTGGACAATACCCATTCTACGTCCCATTGGAAGGCTGAGAGCAGAGCAGTCCGAAGCGTTCTTGGTTCAAGGACTTCTTCGATCTTAATGTCGTTTCCAGTTCGCGCATGACCGAATGCCCATGTCGTCTTGACCACGCCGTTCGGATACTCCAAGCCGCTCGTAGTTTTGTCAATCGGATGATCTTGAACACGGCGGGCCCCTTTGTTCTCGGCCTTGAGGTTCGCAGATGCCGCATTGGCGGCTTCAGACTTGCGCGTCTGTTGGTCCTGCTGCACAAGAGTGGAAAACGTATTGAGCCGCGCACCACTCGGTAAGTCGATCGTCGTGCACTCCAGCTTGGGTGCCTTCCTAGGACTTCTGACCGGAGGTGGCGATATAGAAGGGTCCCGCTGACGCTTGCGAGATGCCGCGCGTGCCAGGCGCTCTCGCTCCATGGCCGCTCGATCAAGGCCAGCCAGAGTAGAAGTGGCCAGTGGCTGCAAGTCGTTGCTGTCCTGTGGCCGTGACATTGCTACGATAATCTCCTAGCAGATGGATGTGCTTATCAATGTGGGATGAAACGATTCCCAAATTCGGTAAGTGAGTGGTAACAGAGCTTGCTGAGCAGTGGAGATGAGTTGAGCGCTGCACCTGCGTAGGCCGTTCTTAGATTTCTGGAGGACGAAAAAGCCGTGACACGAGATACCATACGCTTCGCAAAATTGTGAGCGCTGACTAGCCGCTTGATAGTACGTGAGCAGACGAAACCAGTCTGCAGTACCGCATCGATGGGGTAAGCACGAAGGATGGACATGCAGTGAGTGAATGTTTGAGTGTTTACAGCACGATCATCACATCGCGGAAAGTGTCCGCTCTTGATCTCGACGAGGTGTGCACGCCTCCCACCCATGGATGTACTCACAACTCTGTCATGATCTAGTCAGGCACAGCAACCGGATCTCAGATGGCAGACTAACTCGTCTTGGACGTTGGTAAGCCTGTCAACAAGTTGCAACGTCTCCTGCACAAGCATGGCTCCCGCCATCTCGAGCTCTGATGGCCCCTTAGATTCCCGAAGTGTGCCACCGTTAGGTATGACCGGTGAGCAGTTTCACCAAGCAGCTACCTCTGTCATTGATGAGATCGAGATTTATTACCGCGGGTTGGCGTCTCGTCCCGTGCTGCCATCCATATCTCCAGGCTACCTGCGAAAGCTGCTGCCAAGCGAAGCTCCAGCAAATGGAGAAGCATGGCAAGACATAGGGCGGGACATAGAGCGCGCCATCATGCCTGGCATTACCCATTGGCAAAGTCCAAAGTATATGGCGTTCTTCCCTGCGAGCTCGACATATCCAGGAATCTTGGGCGAGATGTGGAGCGCAGCGCTGACGGCACCCGCCTTCAACTGGATCTGTTCGCCTGCCGTGACCGAATTGGAGACTATAGTCTTGGACTGGCTTGCAAAGATTCTGGGCCTACCCGATGTCTTCCTGTCTCATGGTGAAGGCGGTGGCGTTATACAAGGGTCTGCAAGCGAGGCCGTTGTGACAGTGATGGTAGCTGCCCGAGAACGTTTCGTCCGACATCAGACAAAACGGGAAGGCATCACTGATATCGAAGAGGCTGAGGATAGATCTTGTGAGATTCGCAGCAAGCTTGTCGCATTAGGCTCGGATCAAGCTCATTCGAGCACGAAGAAGGCTGCTATGATCGCAGGTACAAGGTTCCGCAGCATTCCTACCGTGCGGGAGAATGAGTTTGCACTTACTGGCAGCCAACTAAGGCAGACGATTGAGGAGCTGTGCAGCAAGGGTCTACATCCTTACTACCTGACTGTCAGCATCGGAACGACTAATACTTGCGCCGTGGACGACTTCAAATCTATCGCCGCAGTAGCTCGGGATTACCCTGATATCTGGATCCATTGCGATGCAGCCTACGCTGGTGCAGCGCTGGTCTTGCCTGAATATCACTATCTGGCCAAGCATATGGAGCTGGTTGACTCTTTCGATATGAACATGCACAAATGGCTTCTTACAAACTTTGACGCATCATGCCTCTATGTGCAAAAGCGCAAGCATCTCACAGATGCGTTGAGTATCACCCCGGCCTACTTGAAGAACCAATTTACAGATAGCGGGCTAGTAACAGACTACCGTGACTGGCAGATTCCCCTTGGGCGCCGTTTCAGGTCACTCAAGATATGGTTCGTGTTACGGACATGGGGCATCGAAGGTTTGCGTCAGCACATAAAGCACCATCTTCGGCTTGGCGACCTGTTCGCTGATCTGATCCGGTCTCGGGAGGATCTCTTCAGCACATTGACGTCACCAAAGTTCGCACTTACGGTATTCACGGTCAAACCTCGAAGATCTCAGTCCGCAATACCCAACGACCAGACCAATGGTCATGATCCAAGACCCTACCAAGACCAGCACCTACCGGTTGTACCTGACGTGAGCAACGAAGAGCTTCAACTGGCCAATGATCTGACGAAGCAGGTCTATACCGCAATCGACGAGAAGCAAGAGTTCTTCCTTACCGCATCCGTGGTTGGCGGCGTATATGCCATTCGAGTCGTGTCTGCTAATCCGCTGGCCGAAGAGAAGTATATCCGTCAAGTCTTTGAGCTACTGGTCGCCACAACCGAAGCAACACTTTCCGGGAAGCAATGATTATAACGCAGCGATTACTGCTGTTCGACGTGAGGTCAGCCAGTCATGTCCCGTCCCTCTGAGCCTGGATTGTCTGGACTACCACATATACCATGTAGGCGACATGAGCTTCTAGCTCTCAGTGCCCGCAGCCTTATCCCATACTGACACAAGCTCTGTAACGCTCATCAGACCTTCTCAACCCGTTCGGAGGTCACCCCACTTTTCGCTGACAGACTAATACCGTGCTCCTCCATATCTACCGCTTGTGCGTACTCTTCCATCTCCGCCTTTGTGGCCTGGTAGTAGTGAACAGCAACTTGGTCTCCGAATTGTGCGTTGATGTCCTCGAGACTGCGCTGACATGTTTCGGGAAAGAAGAAATAGATCACGGGTATGTATACCGCTGTTGGACAAGCGAGAACTTAGGACCTATCAGACACGGTTCGGATTGCATTCGTCTGTCGCGCACTTACCCAGGAAGAATTTCCAGCCAATGTTGTTGAGTGCGATGGGTCCAGCGACCAGCATTATGATCTGGGCAGCGAATCTTACAGAAATCAGCTACAGTCTCGGCGTCAAGCCAATTCCACTTACTGGTTGAACATCCCAACAGCAGTCCCTTGACCCCGGATGGCGGTAGGAAAGATCTCGCTCATGTACAAGTACTGGGTAGCATCAAAGCAGCTCGACCAAAAGACGATGAACAGGAAGACTGGAAATATAGCCGCCCGACCTCCTGCGCGGTTTGTGCTATCATCGTACAGCGCTTGCAGCACGCATTCCAGGATGAGACTGACAAGGATCCCACAGGCCCCGACAAGCATAAAACCACGGCGGCCGAGCCTGTCCACGAAGAGGGCCGTGACGACATTGCCCGGAAACGAGATAGTAATCCAGATCGCTAGAAGGAGCAGCGGCATGTATCCGGAGATGCCAAGCTGCTGGAAGACGAAGACTGCATAGTTGGCAAGGATCAAAACGCCGGTGAACATGTTGAACCACATCATGGAGGCCACGACGTACACTCGCTTCCTGTTCGGCGCAGTCTTGAAGACCTCAAAGCGGCTGATCGTAGCCTTGACTTGCCGATCATGCTCAAGCTGCTTTTTCATCTGATAAAACTCCTTAATAGCCGTTTGATGATTGTCCTCACCCTTCCTCGCGTGGAGACGCTTGAGGATGGCCTCAGCCTCTTCATACCGGTCCTTCATCATAAGCCAGCGGGGTGAGTATGGCAGCCATGGCGACCCGGCAAGCATAATCAACGCTGGTACGGCTTGAAATGCCAGCGGAAAGCGCCACGGGAATGTTGACTTGGACCCAGAAGCGGAGATGAAGTACACACCAAATCCAATCCATGAAGACAGACCGTAGCCAACAGCAAACATGATGCCGTGCATCGATACCATGAAGCCGCGGCTTTCAGGCGTACTTACCTCCGCCTGATACATAGGGATGCAGGTGATCAAGGTGCCAATTCCGACACCTGCGAACAGCCTTGCGAAAATGAGCATGCCGCTGTTAACGCTGCTGGCGCACAGCGCTGCGCCTATCGACAGGATGATGGCTCCGATCTGAATGGTGTGCTTCCGAGAGAGCGCATCGGCAGACCAGCTTGTGAAGATAGCGCCCAAACAGGCTCCAGCAGCGCCTACGCCATTGAATGCACCGATAAGACTTGCTGTACGTCCGTAGCCAGGCTCGCCTTGAGCGGCAAGGTCCAATGACTTGTAAAAAGATGGCTGGCCAATTGTTGAGCCCAGAATGGCCAGTCCGTAAGAGCATGCTGTGGAACCTAGAGCCACATACACGACGACAAGGAGGTTGAAGAAATTAGGAATGTATTTGCCCATCGTGGGGGCGATTCACCCTTTGGCAGAGAGTTTGAAGTGGGCAAAAGTGAGACGGGGCTGCTCCCTACCTTGTCACAAGCGTCTACGCGCGTTCCTTTGTAGCCTCGTACACCGCTGGCATTGATCCTCCAGTCTCACCAACCACATTCGAACATCCACGGCTATGCATAGTGTACCGGCATTTGACCCCTCATTTCCACGTGCGGAGAAGATGACCCACGTCAGCGGTATATGCATGTATTGGTCCCAACTAACGGGCGCAGTATGGAGTGCAACTTACTTCCAGACTCCAGAACGCCCGTCTGCAATTACTGATCAACCCTAACGCCTGCGGGCCAAGCGGGTGTTGGCAAACGTGGCAGAGAACTACCGAGGTCCTGTCATGCAGGATGTTTGAGATACGACCCGCTGAGAGATCTCATTTCATCTTCAGCTGAGGCAAGGCTATAGCCTAGGTTTCCTCAAGGTACATCTACCGCATAGAAGCAAGTGATAGCAAGTCTTGAGCTGTAAGCTGATCACAGAGCGGAATGCCATGCTGGACATCGCCAACGTGCTTCTGCTCTTGGAAACCAGGATTCGGTTCACTAACAGACTCCTCGCTGAAGAATTAATCCGTGTTTTATAGTGCCTGATCATGGCTCCTTAGAGTATGTTTCTCACCCCCTCTAGCCGCCATCGAACATCCTTCAGCACCTTGCTCGTAGGCTGCCACTCCTCGAACTCCTTGACCAACTCGGCGACTTCTGCCTGCAGCTTCGAATCCCTCTTGACCATCTCCTCTTCTAGCATGCCTCTTACAGCCCAGGGGAGGTAGAAGGGATTGTTGTTGCCTCCATTCAAAGGTGGTTCGTAGTGCGCAATCAGCGGCGCAATACCTGGGAGCTGCGTGTTTGGATCACCACGGCGGATGAGATTCGCTTGCGCAGCCGTCGTTGGGTACCCAGAAAGTGAAGCACGGCGAGCAGCAGCAACGGAGCGTGCTTTGTCTTTGTCGGTTGCAAGCAAGCTTGCGGCTGCCGTGGGTACAGGCGCAGTGTTCGAGGGCGTGGCGTCTGTGGTCTCGAGAGCGAAGTCGACGGCCAATCTGTACACCGCCGCATCATCATAGACGCGGCTGTGGCCTTCGCCGCCAACCAGACTACCAGCAAGCGGCAAGGAGAGCTCGCGTAGAAGACCATGGTCGCTCACGCCAAGATTGCGCAACTTAAGAGCGAAGACAACCAGGTGTGTCAAGAAATTCAAGACGTGTAGGCGACCGTCGACAAAGACTGCCCTGCTAACATAAGGATGGCTCAGTGGTGCGTAGAGGCTCGATTCAAGGCTGACTAGTTGATCGTCTAGGGCGCCTACGAAAGTTACGCGGACTCCGTGTCGGAGGCAGATGTCTAAAGCTTCGTTGTACGACTTGCTGACTTTGCTGAATGGGTCGCAGAAGTCGAACAGCTCCAGCGCGCTGCCTGATAGCAAGCGAGACTTATACTCCAGAAAAGGTCCGAGGTTGATGCCAGCGATGGCGCAGACACCGAGCCTAACGTGCGGCGAAAGGCATCCGAGCTGTATCAGTTTCGCCAAAAGCGTGATGCCAACTGGCACGCCTTGACTGTGCGCCGCAACCAGGATAAAGTCCGCTTGGCGAAGGTGACTCAACCAGTTCAACAGCAACTTCCAAAGTGTACTCACACGGTCGTCGACCAAGCCTTCACCTTCCAATGCAACCTTGTCAATCTGCACATCGCTGATTTCGGGCTGGTGCCCCTGGCACCATGCCTTAATCGATGCGGCAGCGTAGGAAGCAAACCGGATGGATGTACCCGTCGGCTGACCGAACACTCGTGCGAACATTGCAGCTGGGAAGAAGCCGTGGACGCCAATGGCAATGGCTTTCCTGACCTTCGGTGGTGCAGGGGAGATGTAGACATGTTGCGCTACCGGCGGTGCCTCACTACCTGGCAGACGTAGTGTCTGGGCAAGATATGTAGCAAGGCGCTCAAGGTAACTCAGATTCGGTGTTGTGGGGTATGTGTCCTGGAACAAGGGCAACACCAGGTTTGGCCGACTTTGGGCCACCTTCCATCGCTTGACTGGCAACGGCATGTCAAGGTCATTGGCCACACTGCCGCTTTCTGAGGGTGCCTGTGAGCTAGCTGGAGAATGTGCTTTGGAGTCTGAAGGCGTTGCAGCAGAGGAAGCTGCGGACTGGTCTTTGACCCTATCTGCTCTGCCACGCTTTGGTCCGAGCAGAGTGTCTGTTCGCTTAGCGGTAGCTTGCGGTCGCTGCTCCTCTCTTTGCTCGTTGAATTGTGCGGCTTCAGGATGGCTTTGACTTGGAGTATCGGCCACCGCAATCTCTCCGACTTCTTTCTGCGTGTCGCCTGGTGAAGCTGTGGCTTTCTGGGGCTGGTCCTGTGACCAGAAAACCCAGCCAGACGCTTTGGGGCGATCGGTCTCAACTGGCAGGTCGTCCGGCTTCGGTGTATCTTGAGTCACAGTAATTGCAGGATCAGTGGAGGTGGCCGCAACCGGCGCAGGTTCTGCCGTCCCTTCCAACGCCTGTGCATCAGCCGCAGCCTGCTGGTTTTGCGCAGTACTCCAAAGACGGAACCATGTCTTCGCTGCCGTTACACTAGAGCTCACACCAGGCTGTACGCCTTCCCACTGTCCCACGCTCTGTAGTTGCGGCTCCTGAGCGTCAATAGTAGTGTGGCTGGGTAGGTCAGGCATATTTGGGTCTAGCTGTTGTGCATCGGCAGGCTGCTGAGTTGGTGAGCCTGGCAAAGGCGTGCCGCTAGCTGTCTCAATGTCCAGCTTCCGCCGCTTGTTGCTCGCTTTACCTTTGTCACCATCACTACCATACCCGTCTGGACGCGACCACCACCCGAACCATGACTGTGGCCTCTCGTCTACGCTGCGAAGGCTCTTCTCGTCTCCATTGGCCTCTACTGTCGGCTCAGGAGGCAGAGGCGCGGATTCTTCGACTGTGATCTTGGGCTCCATGGATGTGGACTCGTTTGTACCCTCAACTCTACGCAGCTTTTCCTCAGACGGAAAGCGTGGCCTGCTCTTATCGAGCGCATCGCTTGTTGCGTGGATCCTGGTTGGCTCGGCCACAAGCGGCACACTCTTCCGACTCCCTCGTACACTCTTGCTGACTGACTGACTCGGACGGCGTGCTGGCTCATCGCTAGACTCGGAAGTTGCACCCTTGGCAACAGAGATGCTCTCCCGGGCTATCTGCGCGACGGGAGAAGCCTTGGCGCGCCATGAGCCTCCACCATACCAGCTGCTGGGCCGCGTAGCAGAAGATGTAGGTACTCTCGCAGACCCACCAGCTTCAGGCTCTAACAAGAACCCGTCCCTCTGCGGCTGCTGTCCGTCGGGCGATGGTTGTGGGTCCACCAATTGTTGTTGTTGTTGTTGTTGTTGTTGTTGCTGCTCGATAGGACCTTCTGGGTTCGCCTTACTCTTCTTTATAGGTGCCATGTCTAGCTGTTCATGTGTCAAGCATGACACTCACCAATCCCTTTTCTCCTGCATGACTCCTCCGTTGCTACCAGGCAAGCAAGCAAGTAGTCAGCCGTGCAGCCTGCTCACGCCGACCTGGTGCCGTCGCACGAGGCACGTCATTGCGATTGGCCAAACACTGGTGCTGTGCATGCTTTAGCGCGCCAGTGGCGCCACCGTCTAAACCTTGTGGTTTAACGCCTTTACACACATGTACATTTAGATGTGAAAGGACGCATTCTCCTGAGAACTGCAACGATCTGGAGCTTACAGGACAGGAGAGCTACCTCGATTGAGAAAGCCTTCGTAAGCGCTGGCGCCATCTTCTAGAGTCCTTACGTATCTCCTGCGCCGTGGGCGTATACCCTCGTCAACCATGGCGTTGGCCGTCTTCGAGCCTCCAATCGACACGCCAGAAGCTGTTACTTCGCCGCCTGCTGTGGTAACAACTCCGTGTGATCCATGGCCAAGACCGTATTATCTCGAGGACGGTCTTCGGAGGGTTGCGCCATACCACTTCACTTATAATACGAATGTCAAGGAGCGGTGGCGAGGGCGCGGAATTCTTGACATCTTTCGCGATGAGTTTCGTGACCGGCCAGAGGAGTACTATGTGCGTGCGCAAACGTGTGAGAAGATGTAGCAAGGCCTGACTGACAAGTTCAGAAAGACGCCATAGAGACGGGTAAGATACAGGTCAACGGCCAACCCGTGCCTTCTGTCGGCGCCGTAGTCCAGAATGGCGATATCATAAGCCATACACTGCACCGACACGAGCCTCCTGTGACAGCTCAGCCGATCACTATCGTGCACGAGGACGACGACATGATTGTCATCAACAAGCCTGCTGGCGTGCCCGTGCACCCTGCTGGTCGCTACAACTACAACAGCGTGGTGGAGATCATGCGAGCCGAAAGAGGACATCAATGGAATCCTCTGCCGTGCAATAGACTTGACCGATTGACGAGTGGAGTAATGTTCATCGGCAAGCACAAGAAAGCCGCCGAGCGGCTGACGGATCAGCTTGTTGAGCGGACGGTGAGGAAGGAGTACGTTGCTCGAGTTAAAGGCGAATTTCCGGCCAACGAGGTTGTTTGCGAGCAACCAATACTGCAGATCTCGCCAAAGCTTGGCTTGAACAGAGTCCGAGCGAATGGAAAGACCGCTAAAACGGTCTTCAGACGCCTTGCGTACTACCCACCAGCAGCCACGTCGCAAGGAGACAGTGCACCAAAGGAAGGCTACTCGATTGTCCGTTGCCTTCCATTGACTGGCCGCACGCATCAGCTCCGTGTGCATCTGCAGTTCCTTGGACATCCCATCACGAACGACCCGATATATGCCAATCGACGTGTCTTCGGCGCCAGTCTTGGTCGTTCAAGCGCCAACTCCGATGATGACGACGACATAATGACTCGCCTCTCGCGCATGGGCAAGGATGAAGTTGCAGAAGCCGTGGCATACGAGGACGAAATGATCGAGGAGTACAACAAGAAGAAAGCTGAAAAAATGACTGGTGAATCGTGCGACATATGCCAGACGCCGCTCTACAGTGACCCCGGGCCTCACGAGCTTGGCATCTACTTGCACGCCATGAAGTACGCCAGCGCAGACGGAAGCTGGAGCTATGAGACGCCGTTACCGAACTGGGCGTTGCCGCCTCCTGGTTTCGCAGGGCCGCTGGGAGCAACGCCAGAGAGTGATCCTTTAGCGGCGGATCTGAAGCGGTTGGACGTGGTAGATGATGCTCCGGAGGTCCAGGTGAACGGCAGTACGTAATATTTGGCTACTAGGAGGCATGCGGATAGAGATGCGGTAGCAATGTCGTGTGTCGAATGGCGCAATCACTGCCGCAACTGCTTGCTTGGCAGTGCAATTGCCTGCATGGTGCCTGCCGATCGCTCCACGAGGGAGGCTGAGCACTGCAGCTGGCCGCCTTGGCAATCATATGGCTTCGAATTCAGCTGTTGAAGCTCTGCATCACCTCATCTTCCTCATCAAGTGAGGGTCTACATAGAGAGAGCTTGCCATCCACCGTCCCTCAATCAACACCAAACTCTGCTTCAGACATCTGAGCTCACTCAGCAATCATGGGTGTGAGTCTCTCATCCTTTGGCACTTCTACCCCACCATCACAGCCCCTCCAAGCGACGTCATGGCACACGGGTGAAGGGACGCCCAAGGATTATACTGACGAACAAGCAGTTGGCCTCGAAACTCGCCGCGGCGCAAGGAGGACAAGCAGCAGTCGCCAACTACACCTCTCAATACCCTCCGCAAAGTCAGCAAGCGGGACCGGGAGCACAGCCACCGCAGCAAGGTCAGGCGCCCGGAGGCTATCGTACGTGACACGCAATAGCGGCTTTGCGCCGCGGGGCAAATCGTGTGCTCATCGTTCAATTGCGCAGCTGGTCAAAAGCAGTACCAAGCCTACCCTGGGCAGCAACAGCAGCCACCACCTGGACAGGTCAGTTGAGCTTGCTATCTCCTTCACTTTAACATTTACATCCACCTCACGTGCCTGCGCGAACGACTGCGGTAACTTCCCAACTATATTACTCGGCCTACAAGCGCATCATCTCCCTACCAACCCATTAAACAAACCAACACAACAGCGCACGGGAGACGTCTACCACCATGCCGCTGGCCTCCAAAATGGCTGCAAGCGGCGCTGGTGCGGGTTATCCTGGTCAGCAGCCTCAGTACCAAGCACAACCACCGGCTCCGTACCCACAGTCAAACTACGGACAGCAACAGAACAATTACGCGAGACCGGCGCCTCCGCCACCAGGACAGCCGCAGAGCCCCTACCCTGGCCAACAGCCTCCATATCCTCAGAGCCAGCCGCAGTACGGCCAGTACCAGCAGCCTTACCAGCAGCAACAAGGTCCACCAGGAGGCGGATACGGCTACGTTCGTCGCTTTCCAGTCGTTTCACAGATCACATGTGGTTCAAAAGGCTGACAGATCGCATGCGTAGGGCGCACCACCTCCACAATACGGCAATGCGCCTCCACAGTACGGAAACGCACCTCCTCCGGGCCAGTACAACGCGCCCCCTCCGGGCCAACAGCAGCAATATGGTCAGCCGCCGCAGCAGCAGCAACAGTACGGGCAGCAGCCAATGGGCGGTGCACCGCAAGATTCGCAACAGTACATACAGCAGCTAGAACAAGCGATCCGCGAGCAGGGTCTTGAGAGGTTCTACGGTCCAGGCACACCTGGTGCACAAAAGATACCAGCAATTGCTGCACGCGCTGGACAGCAGGTCGACCGTCTCTGCCAGGCTTGGCGCATCCAGAGAGAGATCGCCGTGGATATCGTTCGCTTGGCGCTCTACGATGTGGTACTGTACATCGACGATAGCGGCTCCATGTCGTTTGAGGAGAACGGTGAACGTATCAAAGATCTCGAGCTTATCATGCAACGCGTGGCATTTGCTGCGACGTTGTTCGATGATGACGGCATTGAAGTCCGCTTCATGAACGACGACTCAATCCCAGTGAATGCGCTCTCCGGCATTCGTTCTGAGCAGCAAGTTCAGCAGCTTCTTGCCAACAAGCGCTATAAGGGCCTGACGCCATTCGGCACCGAGCTGCGCAAGAAGATTATCGATCAATTGCTTATTCCCAGGCTGCGTGGACAGATGCAGAAACCTCTACTCATCATCGCCATCACAGACGGACAACCTGCCGGCGAGAACCAGAACGAGCTTACCGAGACGGTGCGCTATGCTATCGACCAAGTACGCCGCTCTCCCTACGGTTCCGGTGCAGTGGCGTTCCAGTTCGCACAAGTCGGCAATGATCAAAAGGCTACGGAGTTCCTCGCTAAGCTTGACAATGACCCGATGGTAGGAAAGGACGTTGACTGCACGTCGAGTACGTTACCAGATACAGCCCAGGTGTAGATCATTACTAACAGCTGTTCAGACTACGAGAACGAGTCCGCCGAGATGGCAAGGGCCCAGCCACCCGTTGACCTTACGCCTGATCTCTGGATGATGAAGCTTATACTTGGCGCCATCGACCACAGCTACGACAGCAAGGATGAGAAGGCGGGCATGGCGCCCGGTCTAGGCATGCCACCACGTCCTCCTCAGCAGCAAGGCGGTTACCCCCCGGGTCCACCGGGACAAGGCTACGGCCAGCAAGGCTATGGCGCGCCTCCTCCGCAAGGCTACGGAAATCAGCAGCCTGGCTATGGCGCTCCTCCTGGGCAACAAGGCTATGGTAGAGGCGGGCCTGCGCCTGGTGGGTACCCTGGCCAACAAGGCTATGGTCAGCAGCCTCCAAGGTATTAGGACTACTATGATGATGCTAAGAGGTTCTGGATGTGATTGACGGCATCGTGGCATTTCCATTCGAACAAGAGACCGAGCGCCAGCGCTACGCCTGTTAGTGCGCTGAGCTTTATCCTCCAGTTCAAGGCAAAGCGTTGTACCCTAGCTTGCCAGACAGCTCCCATAAAACGAAAAGTTGCCCACCCTCCATCACGGCTTAGGCACGGTGTCATGTCGGTGCGCTCATGGTTTTGCGTTGTTCAAAATCCAGATGGAAGACTGCATCAACTGTATCGAGTCTTTTCCACAGCGAATCAGCCCCTCCGCCATCTTCCGAAGTGAAGCTACCAACGTCAGAGTTCTGTAGATTAGCAACCAGCTCAGGTTGGTCTAATGGTTATGCGCTAACACACCAAGACAACAACAGCATCTCTCGATATTCGGACTTGATATTGGGTGTAGGCATGATACAAGTACTTGTAGCACGTGTTTCACCGCCTGACAATGCACTGTACACTGCGAACGGCTTCCAAGGTTTCCATGAGTACATCAGGACAGGTACGCGGTGTGACAAAGACGCAAATCAATCGGTATCATCAGTATAGATGTTTATATGCCGAAGCAGGCCGTCATGACGGGGAACCAACGCTAGAACTCCGACGCTCCCAAACGCAGGCACTCTACCACAAGCGCTCAGCTGGCCGGAAAGCCTCGCTCGCTAAGTTCTCAAGGAGATCTCTTCTCGCTGGTGACTGGACCGGGGTGAAGTCCAAATTGCCAACGTTACACCAGTTTTCACCACCAACCGTGACAGGCAAGCACGACAGGTACTTGCACCACGTACAGCCCGTCCGCCACTGGTAGAAGTTCTTCAGCAGTAGCACGAAGCCGATCAAGCAGCCCACGAGTGCTGCCGCACGCACCAACCACCACACCCACCAGATGCCACGGCGGTTTTGGAAGAATGCAATCGGGTTGCGGAAGAAGCTTTGTAAGCCATCTTCGCGGCCGGACGTGCTTTGCCGAGCGTTTGAAAGGCCAGAGTAGCGGCCGACGTCCTGCGATGTGCGCCGAGAGAAGGTTGTGGGCGAACGGAGAATGCAGACACCGAGCACCAGACCCATGAGGAAGCCGCCAATGTGGGAGAAGTTATCGAGGCCCGGCAGTAGACCGAGCACGAAGGCGATGATGACGTCGATGAGGATGAAGAGGAGGTCTTTGATCGGGCCTTCGCGCTGGTGCCAGGTATAGAGAAGATCGAGGAGGGTGATGGCGAGGATACCGAAGAGCGAGCCGGAGCAGCCGCAGGATGCGATACCGTTCGCGGCGAAGTTGCCGCCTAGCACGAAGCCGAAGATGCCGGCTGCGAAGTAGACGATGGTGAAGCGGATGCTACCGATGAGTTTCTCGACGTCTGCGCCGAGCGTGAGCTGGAGGAGCAGATTGAAGGCAATGTGGATGATGCCGGCGTGCAGAAATATGGGCACGATGAAGCGCCACCATTGATTCGGAGCAGGTTTGTCGTTGATACTGCCCCCAACGTGCGGATTCGGTACGCCGCTGAAACCGCAAAGTTCGGAGAGGGTGCAAGAGACACTGTCGCCGGTAGCTGATGTGGCGTTTGGGCAAGGCCATGATATCGACATTGTTGCATTCTGCACGTTGGCCATGTTATGCATGCACGGTTGGTACCGGGCACCCATGTTGATCAGCACGTAAGGCGAAGGTCCGATCATGGGATTGAAGGAGGGGTGGAGTTCGATGGGTGTGCCGGTGAGGACTCCCATCTTCACGAACTCGGCGATGAAGACAATAAGCTCCACCGCCGACAGCACGTACACGACCCACGGTATCCTTCCCTTGAACCAGCCGTCTCTGCTCAGGCGTTTCCGCTTCTTGCGCGGTTCTACATCCCGCACGAACGGATCCTCGACCTGATGCGGCAGTATGGGTGATATGGTTGTCGCGGAGTGGTGTTTCGGCTTTCTGCCGCTCATCGGTATCGCATTCTCGTCCGCATATGGATCCGCAACCTCGTGTATGTGCCCACTTGCGCCGGAGTACGATCGCGTCGGTGGTTGCCGTGAGTAATGGTAGTTGCGATCATCGGAGGGGGAAGTGGAGGGTAGAGGCGGTAAGGGCGCGTCGTTACGTCGACCGTATTGCTCAAACTCCGGCTCATAGTAAGGGCTGCTATCTGAAGGGCGGTAGGTCGTGGTATAGTAGCCGTTAGGGGTGGCCATCATGTGCTGACGGTGTGCGACAAGTCTTGCGCGTAGATTGCAAGTCGATTACTCTTTCCTGGGGCGTCTTCTCTTTTCCCCTTGCGCCCGTGTATATGCGGCGTATTATTGAGATGCCCGCGTTCTACAAATAGCGATTGACGATCGGTCGCCTGGCTCACGCCTCCAGTTTCAGGCTTGCTCTTGCCGCCGAATAGCGCTCCTCGTTCGTGCAACACCTTTCGATAACATCGAAATGAAGGTTTCTGACATGCGTGAGGCCACGGTGGGTTATGCACAACGAAAGCGATGTGAATGCTAGGAATAGTACCAGCACCGCCCGACAAAGCTGTGGCTGAGAGAGTGCTTCTGAGTGGATGGAGCTTGCGTGTCGCAGATCATCCGACTTCCGCGCCTCCACCACGCGCTGCTGCACAGTGCACAGTACTCGCTTACATCTCCTCGCTAGTGGGCCTCTTGGGCCCTCTTCCAACATCAGACACAGCTCAATGAACCTGTCAGGGACGCTGAACGTGTTCCGCCTGTTCGCCAACCCAGCACTGTCTCTCCCGCATTGCACGATAGCAACCTTCGATCAGCTGCCCGCCCCACTGTCCGCGGCGTTCACTGTTAGAGACGGCGAGAAGCAACCAGACATTCGCGCCGTAGTGCTCGATAAAGACAACTGTTTCGCCGTACCAAAGCAGAATGTAATCTACAAAGCAAACCTTTCCAAGTTTGAACAGCTTCGTAGAGCGTACCCAGGCTCTCGCTTACTCATCGTGTCGAATTCGGCAGGCACGAGTTCTGACATTGGTTATGCGGAAGCCGAACTACTGGAGAACAATACCGGCGTAAAGGTGCTTCGACACCTAGTCAAGAAGCCTGGCTGTCACGCCGAGATCATGGAATACTTCCGTAATGCACCTGATGCTCAAGTTACCTCGCCAGCTCAGGTGGCGATTGTAGGCGACCGCTTATTCACCGACGTGCTCATGGCAAACATGATGGGTTCTCGCAGTGTCTGGGTCAAGGATGGAGTAGTCCCAGATCATGGATTGGTATGTATATTGCTGTGTTATTTGCATATTTATTGTGCTTACGCCGGGCAGCTTTCTCGCTTCGAAAAGGGCATTTCGAGCTTCCTCTTGCGTAGGGGCTATCGTGCCCCGGAGCCACAGAGTGACTTTGAATGAACGCGTGGAACATCCTCCGCCAGACACGCATGGCGCAGCAAGGCGGATCGTCATGTTGGAACAATGCGTTCCTTACCGTCGATCCGCACAAAGTATGCGGATGGCATCATCCGGCCGACTGCCGACGCCCGGAACGATTGGCGTCATATTGTCGCCCAGGAGCCAACTTAGGATCTCACGTACAGATGTGGCGTAGAGTTGCTTTCCAGCACAACGCTCACCGCAAGACGTCTTTCCGAACTATCCGACCAGGAGCAGACGGTAGCCAGGGTTTGCGGCACTCAGTACATGGTATAACCCTTGTACCACATATACGCCAGATCAGCCAACACACTGGCTCCGGCAAACGGCAGGTTCATCTCGATAAAGCTCCATATCCACAGCGTGCCCAAGGCAGGCGTTTGCTTCATAACCGCATAATAATCGTATCGGTTGGTTACGTGGATAGTGTAGCAACCAGCCACGATCGATGCAACCAAGAAGAACGTCTGCCTTACGGTTGGGAATTTTCGAGCAGTCTCCGATCGTAACATTAGGATCAGCAGGAAAAGCACGGGTAGAATGGTCAAGGTGCGCTTGAAGATAGGTGTCCACTCAATTTCTTGCCGGTACTGGTTGTATACAAGCACATCGAGTGTGAAATGCAGCATGCTTAGCGATACAGACCAGAAGACAGCGTCACCGACAGGCCCAATCGGCTCGCTCTCACCTAGTCCGGCTTCGAGAATGTTACCACCTTCGTCCCTAATCAGGCCGTCTTCGTGTTTCAGGTCGAAAGGCTGACCTTGTTCGAGAAGAGATTTCTTCTCTTCGTACAGATCCAGTAAAGTCTTATCCTTTGGCTTCGATCGATCGGGTTGCGCCAGCTTCAGTTTGGGAGCAGACGTCGGCGCTGCAACAGGCTTGCCAGTCTCGCGAGCCGCTGCTCGCCGCTCCCTGCGGTTACGAGGCGCGTTGTCTGCCATTCCTCTGGCGACCTTATCATTCCGTCTTGCATACAGTTGACATGACCGAGGCCGGGCGTGAACGCTGGTCAAGCCACGAGATAGATTGTTGCACGAAGCAATAAGTGCTAGCGTTGTGGCAAGCATTCGCAATTGGCACCGCGCCAGCAAGTAAGGTTCGAGAAAACGTTCTATTTATGGCTCGTGCACCCCCAGCAACGCAACGCATATGCGGCTCTGCCCGTTCACAATCGCCTTTGCAACGGATCACATTGTCTGCTATTTCCTCCTCAAATTTACGAGTTGGCTGGACCATCAAGTCGCAAGGACGTCTGGGCTATCACAAGAGTTGGGGAAGAAGTCTTATAAGGGGTCAACTTCACGAATAACACAGGAGGAACATTCCGTTTGCCGTCGCCTCCGCCATGGGCGGGTTCGGCGATTTCACATCGATATGTGAGAAGACACCACTTCCACTATGCCCGCTTGTTGGGCCGACGAACGCCATCACTGGCACACACTTCACGCAGTCCTTATGCTATGCGCGAGCGATCGAGGTAGCGAATACGGTCATCTTTCAGGCAGCGACGGGTTTTGCGCACATACTGGCTTTGATTATGGTAGTGATCATGATCTTCCATGTTAGGAGCAAATTCACAGCGGTCGGTACGTGTTTGGGCAATCGCACTGTGGTGGATGAAAGCGCATAGTGCTGATAGCGCATACAGGCCGAAAGGAGATCACGACCTTCTTCTACACCTACACTCTCCTCACCATTTGTTCGCTCGTCATCGACTGCGGCGTCGTACCTCCCGCATCGGCACCATACCCTTACTTTGTCGCCGCGCAGTGCGGTCTTGCCTCCGCGACGTGCATATGCCTCATGATCAACGGCTTCGTTGGCTTCCAGCTTTACGAGGACGGCACGACACTCTCGGTCTGGCTATTGCGAGTAGTCAGTTTCGTCATGTTCCTGATCAGCTTCGCTGTTTCGCTCTTGACATTCAAGGGTTTGGCTGGACTCGGACCGGAGAATACAGTCGGACTGTTCGTGGTGGTCTACCTGTTCAGTGGCATCTTCATACTGGTCTACGTGATCATGCAAATCGTACTGGTCATGGGCACACTGCAAGAGAGGTGGCCGCTATGGCATATCGGCTTCGGCGTGTTCGGTTTTGTGATTGGGCAGGTGTTGCTGTACGTCTTCAGCGAGACGATCTGCGACAACGTACAGCATTATCTGGACGGGCTGTTCTTCACCACACTGCTGAATCTACTGGCCGTGATGATGGTGTACAAGGTGAGTCTTGCCACGCAATCTTCGCGGACGGATATAAGGTGGCTAATGCAACTGCAGTACTGGGACTCGATTACCAAAGAAGATTTAGAATTCTCCGTCGGCGCACGGCAAGGGAACTGGGAAGTCAAGCAGTTGCTACCCGAGGACGATGACAGACGGAATACCGTCTACCAGGACAGCGATTATGCATCGAGCACATATCACCAGCCCGTACACCGGGGCTCGTTGTACGGTGGCTACTGATTTCGTCGTAGCTTTACTTGAGCGGTTGAATATGCATATAGCGACAGGCGTCCTGTCACAATATTGATTTAAGGGAAAGTAATGACGCATATAATGTCTGTACGATACGGTCCATGACTCCCATACATGCCCCCTTCACCTACAATGGTGCATTGGCAAAAGTGTACCTGCATTAGTCGTTGCAGCGGCTTCTTCCGCTGCGGCCCACAAACCGAGGCCTAGATCTTGACGACACAACGACTTTCCGAGGTCGAAGTTGCCGTGGTAGCTTTGTATGCATCGCCGCAGACGTACTCATATTATGCTAGGCGCGGCTGTCGACACAGTTGTAGCGGCGAGCGCAACTCAATCATGTTGTATATCACCTGGTGGACAGCTCTACAGATTCCCGTTCTACTCCTGGTGCTGTACCTGTTCTCGTACACCACAAGCCGATCTTCTCCAACTCTGGCTGGCAAAAGGATATGCCTGCTAATAGCTCATCCCGATGATGAGGCCATGTTCTTTGGCCCAACACTACTTCTCCTCAACAAGCCTGAACTGGCCAATCAGGTCTTCATACTCTGTCTTTCCGCCGGTAATGCCGAAGGACTTGGGCAGGTCAGGAAGCAGGAGTTGGTTAAAAGTGCGCTTCTGCTAGGCGTCAAATCATCTGAGCACGTTGTAATCATAGATGACACCAAGCTGCCAGACTCAATGTCCGCCAATTGGGACGTCAAGCTCATTTCTAGCATTCTGACTCGGTACTTTGCGCCGAAAGCTGCTACAACGCCAGTAACTACTGCTCCGCCAGCTCTGATTGATGTCTTGATCACATTCGACAAGGATGGCGTGAGCGGACACCCCAATCACCGCTCTCTATACCATGGAGCCAGTCTGTTTCTGCAAAGCTTGATGCAGCGCCATTCAGGATGGGAGAGTCCAGTAAAGCTCTACACTTTGAGCTCTGTGAACATACTTCGCAAGTACAGCAGCGTATTGGACTCTGCGCTCACAGTGACCTCCATGCTTTGGCAGAGTAAGGACCGAGGTAGCAACCCGACGCCGTTATTGATTATAAGCGGACCCGTCGACATATGGAAGGCGCAGAAGGCGATGACGACGGCCCACAAGAGCCAAATGCGGTGGTTCAGATACGGGTGGATCTGGCTCTCGCGGTACATGCTCGTCAATGACCTGAAGAGGCAAAAGGTGGTCTGAAGGAAGCGACTCAGGCTCCGGATTTGTACAACCAGGCTTTATTTGTACATCTATTGACCCTTCTGTCCTGCATCTCAAGCAACCCTCGATCGAACGACTATAGTACCAGCGACCTTTGCGGTGTTCACACCACATTCTTGAATTCGATCCCTCCCATTCACACCCGCGCGATCTCCTTGGTATCGATGATGTTCCGCACTCGGTCAGCTCCAGGCTGCAACAGAAGCAAATCGGCTCTCATCCCTGGCGTATTGACGCGTCGACCTTCAAGCTAGTGAGCTAATAATGCAGGCACCAGCGTCGCAGCATTAACAGCTGCCGCTGATATCATATCAATATCGAGAAAGTTGGCGAGCTCATCGTGCAGGTACTCGCCGAACGGCAGACTGGATGGGCACTGCCCGACACTGGACTCTGGCCCAGCAAGTATCGGGATCTCTTTGGCGCGCATGTTGCGGACATATTTGCTGGACGAAGCCATAAGACTCGTAAAGTTAGGGACAGCAGCATTGGGGTCGAGTATTTGCAGCTCCGTCGTATTTGCCAATACCACTTCGAACGGGTTCATCGTTGGCGTAGCGAACTGCTTTTGCGCCACCATCGTGCCGTATCGTTGAGAAGCGCATCATATGGAATGTGTCCCGGGCCATCTGCCCTGGACTTGTTAGCCTGAAGACAGAAATCCAAAAGCGCAGCATGCGTCATGACTTCCCTGCTGCGGGCGTGGCTATGCAATACAGGCGCATTTTGAGTGGCTTGACTTGGGCCGTTCTCCTCTGCGATAATCTTGAGATAGTCGCTGCCGTTGCTAAAGACATCCTCCACGAACTGGGATGCTTGGTCTGGAGACCATATGAGCTGGCTTAGCGGAGCATTAGCTGCCTTTGCATGTGCGCTGTTAGGACCCGCGACGACGCGCTCGGCCGTAAAAGAAGCTCGCGAAGCCGACTCGGTTGCGCAAGGTGGCACACTGAGCGTAATTCTGACAGACCATGCTCATGGCTGTGGTGACACCCAAGCTGGGCAGCGCCTCCAGATGCTCAAGTTCTGCCGGGTGGCAGTTGCTGCCGATCAATCCACGCAACAACACACCACCTTAGCCATCGAGGACGGTGTCCACGTGTGTCTCGTAATCCACGTTGGTGTCGCCATCAAACGTAGACAGTGCTCGGTGTCTGAACGTCGTACCCATCGAATACGCGAACATTGACCAGCGCGGTCTTGGTCTTCGGTTGGGGCGATGCGAACCTGGACTGCCTGGGAAGGATTGGTCGTAACACTGGCGTTATCCCGGCGAATAACATGTGCTATTCCGGGAAGACAGACAGTTGCTGGGGTTGTGAGGAGGGAGGCGAAGGGAGCATTGTTGCGAGCGTGTGAAGGTGCATGGTGGTTGGCAAGGACTCGTACGTATTGGATAGGTCGCGATGGACTTTTATCGTAGCGCTCGGATAGACTCAACAGTGATGAGACAGAAACACACCAAGGTGGCATACTTACTTCAATCCTAAATATATTGGGCTCATAATACGAAGCCGTCTCTGGTGAAGTCCTGTCATACTTTCGTGGCTAGTAAGCATAGCTCCCTGGGGATCCCCTGGCTATCACACATGGCCCTCATCGTGGGCGCACTGTACAGGACAGTCATAATGTGGGCAGGCGATGAAGCCTGATATGATGGATGAAAGGCTGAGCTTCAGCGAGTGCAGGATAACGGGACATCACTCTGCTATACTTTATTACGCTCGTAGCTCGGTGGTGCGGCCACTCCCGATCCGGAAGCTTGGCTCTTGTAGTGCAGTGGAAGTGACCCCTCGGACCCTGTCATGACCATTCCAACAAGGGCTAGAAGAGAGGCTGGTTCGTCGACAGAGTCAGGACACGAATGGAGTTTTAGGAAACCACAGCCGTGTCCGAACGCAGCGGTACGGGTATGACGCGTACGTTTCTTACTTCAGCTGTCATGAGCCACTTGTTGCCTACCAACGCAATAAGTTGCGCAGGACAAGACGTCCTCTTCACAGAGTTGCCGACCAAATTGGGGCTGGACTTGTCTACAAGCTGCAGTAATGTAAGCGCAGATAGCAGCGAAATTGCGCGGATTCTCTGAGCATTGTACCGGCGAAGGGCGTTGTCTGCGCCAAAGCGCGATTGCAGGGAGATATCTGGTCGGCGTGTAGCCGCACGAGGTTGCCTCCAAGATGACTCGCAATGTGCGGCTTTCGAATTCTGTACGAGCTCCGTGCCAGCGGCACTGTATTTCGGGCGGTAACATAGTCGCAACATTTCCATGCTGATGAAGGACAATGGCCGCCCTGCTCTGCTGTACCTTGGGTAGAGCTGATATGAAGCCCGCTGGACATGACTGTGTCCGGACTGTTTCGGTGCAATATATCGGCTGACCACATCTGAGGAAATGGACGTATCCGTGTATGATTTCATGCTGCTGGCTTGCCTGCAGGCTTTGACGCTGTTGCCGTCTTCGCAGCAGACCTCACTTCGAGCTTCTTCGGCGTAGACTTGGCGGGAACACTGTCCTTGGTCGTCACCACTTTCTTCGCAGCTTCAGCCTTCGCCTTCTCCCTCAACTTCTCTACCCCTTCCTTTCGCTCTTTCTCGTCCACCTCCGCGAACCGGGGCTCAAACTTACTAACAAACTTCGCCGCTGTTCCTTCGGCTACCAGTGCGAACATCTGATCGTAGACGATACTTTTGAACTTTACCTCCATCTCCAGCGTAAGTCTAGCCGTCTTCTTCCCTGCAACACCAGTAGACCCAGCAGTAGTTGGTGGGGGCTGGATCTTCCACCGCTGTAACCATGTCGCGAAGATGATGGAACCTTCAGCACCTGCATCGCCGTTCTTGCTTCGCACCTCTACCACGCCGTTGTTGCGGGAGCATGACAACAGACAAGGCCATTCCTCTGCAATACCTAAGCTTGGGTAACCGACTTTCAGCTTGGCAGACTTCGGAAGGCCACTTGCATCCTTCGCCGTCAACGTGCTGGTGGAGATGAGGTCAAGTACGCTGGGATAGGAAGGCACGTCGGTAAGTGCCGCGAAGACTGTGGCGGGGTGGTATGGCACGTCTGTTGTGTGAGTGAGGCGACGAAGCTGCGGAGCAGAGGGCAAGTAGGAGCTCATGCTATGAAGTCTTGCTAGTCCGGACACAAAGCAGTACCAGCAGAACTGCCCCAGACGATGTCAAACGGAAGGGCAGATGCTACTGCAGACTCCACAACGCGCCGGTGAGTAATGGTCCAGTTCCCATGTTGACCTTGGACGCTATATCAATCGCGAGGTTCGTTCGGAAGAATACAATTGTTAGTTTCGTGAGGGCGACCACGAAACATTGAACATGACGTCAACCGCGCGCGGTGTTTGGCTAACAATCTCACATCCATGCATGCCGATAAGCCAGGCGCAGACTTGAATTACTGTAACGAGCAACAAGTCCCGACTTAGAAATACCCCGGAGTCCACGGTGACTTCTCTGCATTGTGGGTCTGGTGCGTGCTGAACAGGCGTCCACCTTCCGAATTCCAGCTGCTTTCAGAGTGATGTCTTCGTTGAGACATCCTCGTCCACATCCCACCAAGCCACCACCATTCGGTCGTAGATTTTGAAGGGCCGTGAACCCGACTCAAGAACCTGAGCATTGGTCTGGACGCGAGCCAGGCAGAGCCCAATTTATGCAAGATGTCAACATTGGATGTAGGTCTCAACGAGACAGTTGCGAACGCTGCAGACGATGTCGAAGGCAACGCCGCCGAGCGTGCAGTAGAGGAAGAGGAAGAAGAAGAGGCCGACGATGAGTTTGGCAACCCCAGCCGGTGGTGGTTTGCCAGCACCGCTTGCCCACTGCTCGCAGGCACCTTTGGGCCCATAGCCAATGGCTTCAGCATATGTGCCCTCGTTTACAACTGGCGGGTTGAAATTCCAGCTGGTGGCACCCAAGGGCATGGTCCACCTATACCGGATCCAGGCTGGCTTCTCGCCATCAATGCCGTGTCTCTCATCTCTGCTCTTGTCGGCAACGCGACTCTCTTGCTCAACATGGCTCGCCGAGTCAAGTTCTACATCGCTCAGCCCCTCACCATCACTGGCTTCTACCTTGCGGGCATCTTACTGATTGCCGACATGGCTGCACTCACGGCATCCCCAACGGACCACTTGACCGGCAGTGTTGCCCCTGCCGCCGCCCATGCACTTTCGGAAGCCTTTTATTACGCCATTTTCGCCTCAGTCATATACATGGTCATCGGCTCACTGATGTGCCTCACCGTCTATGGAGCGCTCAAGGGCTACTACGAGAAGGACTTCCAATTGAACGCTTCGCAACGCACTCTCATGCTTCAGACCATGTTGTTCGTCGCGTATCTGCTGCTTGGGGCACTAGTCTTCAGCAAAATCGAGGGTTGGAGTTTTCTCAACGCAGTTTACTGGGCGGACGTCACACTGCTTACGGTAGGCGTCGGCGACTATTCGCCAATGACAAGTGTAGGTAGGGGCTTACTGATCCCCTATGCGCTATGCGGCATCCTCATTATCGGTCTGGTCATCGGCAGTCTGCGGTCCTTAGTCCTCGAGAGAGGCGAGCAGAAGCTGGCAGCAAGAATCACGGAGAAGCGTCGGTCTACCGCAGTCCATAACGTGGATGAGCGAAAACAGACGGTCAAAATCTCATTCCTCGCATCCGCGGACTTCAGTACCGATCCCGCACTCACACCAGCACAGCGTCGTGAGGAGGAGTTTCATGTGATGCGCAAACTTCAGGAGGTTGCCGACAACGAGCGGCGCTGGATGGCTTTAGCCATGTCTGGCACCTTCGCACTTATGCTTTGGCTTGTTGGTGCTGCAATCTTCATGGTTTGTGAGCAGAGCCAGCAGTGGACCTACTTCGACGCCGTCTACTTCACATGGGTCTGCCTGCTCACCATCGGCTATGGTGATTACCGCCCGTACTCAAATGCTGGTCGAGCGTTCTTCGTCATCTGGTCGCTGTTAGCAGTGCCCTCTCTTACCATACTTATCTCTGACATGGGTGACACTATCATCAAATGGTTCTCAGATCTTACCACCTGGGTAGGTAGCATCACCGTCCTGCCCGAAGGCGGAGGCTTCCGAGCAAGAGTCAAAGCCATCCTACAGACCTTGATCAGGTGGTGCACTGATTCCTTCCAACGCTTCTCGCCACCAGGCTTGTTCGGAGACGTGCCGAAGGGCCATTCGATGAAGCACGAGAAGCGCATGCCCGGAACAGAGCACGAGCAGCGCATGCTTGATCGCCTTTCTGATCGCCTCACAAAGCACATCGAAGACGACGAGTCTCACCCTGACACGTCTGTGGATGAGCTGCAGCGCGATATGAACTTCTATCACTACGTTCTCGCCCGCGAATGCCGCAATCTTCAAAAGGATCTTGCTGCCAGCCCTCCGAAGAAGTACGCCTGGGGCGAGTGGGAGTACTACCTCAAGCTCATCGGCAACGAAGGCGACCCACAGAATCACCCGGGTCAAACAGTGCCCGACCTTCTCGTCCCAGAACCGTTGCGCATGGCCCCTAGTACCGGCTCTGACACTACGGCCGTCGCCGACTTTGCTGCCAACAATGGCCAGACCAAGCCGGCAACCGATGGTCCGGACGAGAAGGGTACTGACGAGCACGAAAAGCAGGAACTCGACACCGACGGCGCCGTCGATCGGGGGACTGAGCTCAAGGCGTGGAAGAAGCTGCACGACGCGCATAAGAAGCTTCGACCCAACCCTGAGCGGCGCGAGAAGCGTCGTCTCACAACGCTCGATCTGCAGGACTGGTCATGGCTGTCGAATAGGTCGCCGCTTATGAGCAGCAAAAGCGAAGCCGAATGGATCCTTGAGCGCCTTGCCGCAGCCTTGGAGCGGGAGTTGAACCGACAGCGCAAAGGTCACCGCCGGAAGCCGCCCATTAGTATGAGCGACCTCAAGAAGCGGACGAGGCAGAAAGAAGCGCAGCAGGCCGACGACGATGAGCACCGCGGAGGCGGAGGGAGAAGTGGTGGTGGCGAGAAGGGCGTGAAGAGCCAGAAGGGCGCGGCGGGCGAGATAGCGGGTAAGGAGGAGGATGCGCTGGAGAAGGCGGCGAAGAGTGAGGCTTAGACAAGAATCAGCAGTGACGGGTTGGACAGTACGCTTGTTTGTCTTGATGGTGCAGGTGCTTGGCGTGTTTTCTGCTATTCGAACGTATAGATACCCCATGGAGCGATACGTTGCTAAGATATGTTCGACATCTGTTCCGAATATTCGAACACTGATAGACGTTCTGGTCGCCAAACTGCTGAGATGCAAAGCACTCGAGTGCAAATGAATCACCGAAGTTCAGCCATTGTGTGGCAAGCCGTTTCGAGGCGGCCCACATTGATTACCTGTAAAGACATCCACATGACAAACGTTACAATCTCTTATTAGTGTGGGCCCAACTAAGTCGGAACTGTGTGCCGTAGTAAAAGATGACTTCTTGGTTGCTGTGATGTCACGGTCGTGCCTTCGTATAAACCACTGTTCTGACTGTGCACACACTGTTTCAGGCTCCTACATTGTCATATCCTCAACCCTGATCTCTTGCAACGGACCTGAACACACAATGTCCGACTACGGCTACCCCAACCCTATGTCCTTCGTCGACTGGCTCGACACCTTCCTCGCCAAGCGCAAGGAGAAGCGCAGCCGCGATGTTCCGACCAGCGAGACCGCCACTAATGCCAACACGAGGACTGATGCGGGCATTGAGAAGCCAGCAGTTGCGACAGCGGATCATCAACCTCAGAGCGCCATTGACGTGCCAGAGCCAAGCCAGCAAGGCCGGCGCATTCTGATCCCGGACGACGAGATCATCGTTAAGCCATGATTGAGCGAGCTCCGAATGTGACATTGTTCTCACCCTCTTCCGCAACGACTTGCCACGTTCGAGTTGTCAATGACCTCTTGGCCACCGTGATGATTTTTGGGCTGGCGCGTAATTCGCGCGCGCAAGGTGGAAGCTCGTACATCTGGTTGGGACTTTCGCAGGTCGGGCGTTGAAGGACGAGAATGAGGTCACTGCTGGCGTATTGTTTGGTGAAGCGGAGATCTATACCACGGCGGTGAAGCAGCAGGCAGTAATGGCATGCCACAGGCGTAAGCGGAGTCTGGCATGGTGCGCGTCCCTCATCCCAGCCATGACCTGTTCGGCACCTGGACTTTGCTCATCTTCTCTCCGAGTCCGTCTCTCATGATCTTCTGCCTCAACTGCTCCACCCTCTTCAGTTCCACCTCCACCACAGCTTCCTTCAGCTCTTCGATCGTCTGATCTTTCATGGTGTCTTTCTTTCCAAACCACCCTCTCCACTCGAACATGCTAGCACTGCCATTAATACGTCCAGTAACCTTCCCTTGCTGCTCAGCAAGTCGCCTGAGCATCGTCTCCCAGTTACCAACTCCTGTCATGAGGCAAGACCTGCACTTCTCCCTCTCTTTCTCTGCATCCCCACCAGCAGGCACCGGCATGCTGGCTCCAGGTCGTAAATTGGCCTCCGCAATTTCCACAGCCTGCTTTGTCCATCCAACGCCTTCTGCCGCCTGCGGACTCGTTGCGAACAAGATCTCGCCAATGTACAGCATGAGCTCACTCTCCTCGCAAGTCGGCTTGTCAGTATCTCGCATAAACGGCAGGTCGCCTGACGGAGGCGGCGGAGGAAACTTGGGAGGCGTGAAGATGTTGCCGAAGAACTGGAAGAAAGCACCAATGTCTGTTTGGGCACGTTTGGGAGCTGATGCGGCCGCGAGTTCCGACTGCGAGAAAGGTGAGATGGGTGCAGAGCGGTAGGCGCGTAGGACGGAGAGTAGCATTGGTAAGGCGGAGGAGACGTTGCCGGTACGGGCACGGTGAATTGCAAGGGCCGTAGTGGCGTGTAGGAGGTTTTGCGTTGCGGCGTTGGCGCTGTCTGCTTTGAAGACGGTTGTCTGCGGGTCTAGCAGCGCGTCTGCTGGTGTTGCTGAAGGAAGCGCAGCTTTGGCGATGTCGACGCCCCATCTGTACATCTCTTCTGCGCTCTCACTGAGGCCTTTGAACTCAAGCCAGTTGGCGTACGCTAGTGCTGCGTCGAGCTTTTGCTTCGTGGTGAAACCAGTGGTGGTCAGGATGCGCATGTAGTACGTTTCTGGAGGATCGAATGGCCGCTCGCAGTCCTCTTCGCGGGGTGCAGCCTTCATACGTGCTGATACTGGTCGCGGATCTGGGTTGGATGGCCCGATCATGTACTCCTTTGGGAAGACAACTCGCCTCGTCTTGTCCAGTACCATGTCGTCGAGATGTTCCGCCACCATCGCACATCCCATGAGCACCTCATAGTAACCCGCTCGCCACGGCCACGACTTCCCACTAACATCCAACCCCGTCTTGCCAACTCCCTCTACTAGCAAGCCTCCCTCCTCCACCTCACGGATGCCCTTGCCTTCCTTGGCACGGTCCTCCAGTCTCTCCAGACAAGCCCGAAATTGGTTTCCGGCAAAGGCCCAATCGACCATGATACTGCGTCCCTCCTCCACCGCGCTCAATGCCTCCCTTGCGGCGCGGAGCGCCTGTCGTGTGTAGAAGCGCCATTCGTCCGGCGTCGGGCGCTCTCGCTCATCCCATTCGAGCTTGAATCCGAAGTAGGAGATGCTGAGAAGAATTACAGTAGTCCACAGGTAGGCCGACCATTTCGTCGCTAGCCAGACTTGCTCCCGGATGTAACGGCGTGTCTCCGTTGACAGAAGGCGGGCGAGTTGTGGATTTGGGCCGAGGAGGCTAGTGGTTGGGCGGAGGGTGGGCTGCGAGAGGTAAGGCAGACGTGGGCGAGATGTGGACGGGAAGGGGACGAGGTGCTGGCCAGTCTGCGTGAAGAAGCGCGGCCTTGGGGCGGAATGCGCGAAGGTGAGGGAGCTGGGGGGGCGTAGCGGGCGCACAGTGGGTATGCGCGTGTGGATGACCGATCGAGACAGCATCATTAATAAATACAACGCTGTCCCGTCTATGCAACGCCGTCTGTCTGAAGAAGCTCTCGGAGACGATGATGAGGTTGATGACCCGTGCACAAACCTCGGCTTCACTGCCGCACTTACATACTGCATTCGTCACCCTCCACATTTCCTAGTGACGCTCACGTGAGGTCCCGTCTGTATCAATGGGAGCCTTCATGCGAGCAACGTGGGATAATACATCAACAATGCATCATTGGGCATTACGAATGTAGAGAAGGTTACAGCACCGAGAATGCATCCTCACGGGCTCAAACACGTCCCGTATCCCGTCGGTTCGGAACACTAGGAAGCACCGAGCTGACTGCCACTTGATCTGCTACCACTATCCGCCGGCCCTTCGCGCGAACCGATCTGAACTTTCGCTAGAACGAGAAAGCTGATGACGGTCGATCGATCTGTAGTGCCAGGTGGTCCAAGGTACAACGGCTCCAAGATCATGCTCCCCAATGGCTAGCGCGCAGAGACCATCCCGTAGGCACAAGGTTTACTTTTGTGAAGCATCATGACCGTGTCGCAAACGACAGCCATAGCCGCTCTGGGGGCAGGATCATAATTCCCTCGCACCAGCGTCGTTTAACGTTCGGTAGCTGCCAGCACCACCGGTCCTGGTTAGGGACTTTCGAAGTTTGACGGCTGCAGTGGAATGATTGTTCACCCTCCCAGATCCTTCACAAGCTTGCGCACAGCTTTCTTCTGCGCCTCTACGTCCCAGCCTTCTTCGTCGGTTTGCTGCAGTAATCGTCCAATGCCAATGGTTACCGCAACGCTACCGCTATCGAGCCATAACCTTCCATTCCTGCCGACCGCCACCTCGAAGCGAGCCTTCTCACCCACTTCATCGAGAACGATCACTCCACCCTTACCATTTCCCATCATCAGTCGCCGAGCGAACGAAGGTGAGACATCGAACACCATGCCTCCCTTCAGCGGACCCATGCCATCGGCTTTCCCAGTGGAAGCAGACACGCACTCGAGCTCCGTTTCTTCATACTTACTCGCCCGGCTCACGCGTGCATAGACCATATCTCCAGCCTTTAGCTGCGGTCGAGTCTTCTTATTCGCGCCCTCGAACGCTAATTGTCCAAGTAGAGCAAATGGCGTATGAGGCGTGACAATACAGCTGTATGCTTCGCTTGTTGAGTGATGTATCTGCGCCACGACCAGGTCTCCAACGCTAGGTTGATAGCGGCCATTGGGGTACTCCAGCCAAACAGCAGCTTTCTTATGATCAACTTGCAACACACCGGGAGTGGTGGCGGAGATGGTTGATGGGAGAATATGCCGAAGTCCAGGACCTAGGGTGAGGGTGCCTTTCTTTGCCTTTGGCAAGCGATCTGAGGGTACCTCCTCGCCTGGAATCAGCGAGACTGCCGCCATCGTCAAATCATCTTGCCCCGTCAACATGCGAGATTGAGTGCAGTTCGAAATGTGCATTTGATGCCGGAGATCGTTCGGTCCGCGCCGCCGAACCCTGTGCGAGGTGAGTTTCAATGGTTCTCGAAATTTTGGTAGGGCATCCTCGAGGCTTTAGGCGTTCACGTACACTTATTGTTAGCACTTAGCAACGTTTCCTCAACCTCCTGAGCGATTTTCTTCCATAACATCTGGTCAACATCTCACGCAAGTTTGAAGTGACCATTTCGCATTGAAGGAGAGAGTTCAGCTCAGCGTGAGACAAGATGAGTGCAGATTCAGCGGTAGAAGATACCGCACCGCAACCGGCGAGGACAGCGATCGGTGTCTCCTTCGGCAACAGCTACAGCAGCATCGCCTTCACAACCGATGACAAGCCAGAAGTCATAGCCAACGAAGAAGGTGACCGACAAATCCCGTCCATCCTTTCCTATACCGCTGGCGAGGAGTTTCACGGCACACAGGCGAAAGCTCAGATTGTGCGGAACCCTCGAAATACCATCGCATACTTCCGAGACTTTCTAGGGAAGGCATGGAAGGACATCGATCCGAGCCGGTGTCAGGCAAGCGCACATCCGGTGGAGATTGAAGGCGGAGCCGGTGCTGGGTTTGTCGTACAAGAGGGAGCTGACAAGGAAGAGGGTGGAGATGGCGAAATCGAGAAGAGCACTCTGAGCATTGACGAGGTTACTACTCGGCATCTACGGCGATTGCGGCAGAGCGCAACGGACTTTCTTGGAAGACAAGTTGACGCGGCGGTGATCTGTGTGCCTTCAGACTTTAGCGATGCCGTAGGTTGACCTCCAGTGACCTCGAACGTTACTATGATGCTAACAGGTGCTTGTAGGCAAAAGCAGCTCTGACAAACTCTGCCACCGATGCGAAGATTGAAATACTGCAGTTTCTCCCCGAACCTCTCTCAGCACTATTAGCACACGACGCTCGGCAACAGCAGTTCTCAGAAACATCAGCATCCTCAGCTCCTCAAGACAAGATCGTACTTGTAGCTGACCTGGGTGCCACACGCTCGGATGTCGCGGTTGTCGCCAGTCGAGCAGGCATCTACACTACGCTTGCCACAGCACACGACTATGAGCTTGGCGGTGCAAGCCTTGATGCTGTTTTGGTTGAGTACGCTGCGAAAGAGTTCATGAAGAAGAACAAGAATGCCTCGGACCCGAGGAAGAATGAGCGAAGTCTTGCTAAGCTGACTTTGGAGGCAGAGAATGTAAAGAAGGCCTTGAGTCTGGGTGCGACGGCGAGCTTCAGCATCGAATCGCTGGCAGACGGAATCGACTTCAGCCTGTCCGTCAACCGGACACGGTTCGAACTTTTGGCAAGCAAGGTGCTCATGTCCATTACACGCTTACTCGACACTGCCGTGCAAAAGGCGGATTTGGATATGCTGGACATCGACGAGATCCTGCTGTCTGGTGGATCAAGTCACGTGCCGAAGATTGCATCCAATCTAGAAGCGCACTTTCCAGAAAGCACAACGGTTTTTGCTCCGTCAACCAGCGAGAAGGCGGTAAACCCGTCGGAACTTGCAGCGAGAGGGGCTGCAATCCAAGCGAGTCTCATTAGTGGCTTTGACATTGGTGAGATCGAAGCAAGCACAGAGGCGGTAGTGACTGTAACGCCCCACCTGCAGCACGCAATAGGTCTTGCGGTTGGCGAAGAAGGCGGGGACTTTGCTGTGATCGTGCCAGCAGAGACGCCCGTGCCTGTACGGAGAACGGCGCAGGTGGCGATCAAGGCTGGCGGTGACGTGCTCTTGCGCTTGGCGGAGGGCGTGCGGGAGATCAAGGTGACTAGGGGAGAAAAGCCTACCACTAACGGTGCCGCTAAGGAGGATGAGGATGACGACGACGATGATGAGGACGAAGACGAGGATGACGAGCCGGAAGAGGTGCGTGAGAAGGCATGGAAGCCCGGCAAGATGCTCGCAGAGGTGGGCATCAAGGGTGTGAAGAAGGGTGGGAAAGTCGAGGTTCAAGTCAATGTTGCCGCAGACATGAGCATGACGGTGGTGTGTCGAGAGGTTGGTGGCAAGGGTGGCGTTCGAGGAGTTGTCGAGGCGGGCAAAACGGAGCAGAATGGGAGTGCTTCGTGAGGGGACAGTTTGGGGTGGGTTCTGGGTTTGCTTCGGGCGAAAACACCATACGAGCTACATGCTTGGTATGCAGCGTCAATCCAGCAGTGATTTCGAAGTTTGTTATGTATAGAGTAAGCAGTATGTAGGCGGCACGGAGGCCGAGCTGCAAGCTTCACAGCTCGGCGTATGTACAGCTCAGTGCTGCTACCTTCAATCTATGACTGGATCCGCAGGCGTAGTTGGCCGCCTCGCTCCTGCCACATCAGGTAGCATGCGTTGGGAAGACTTGTTGTTCGTCTCGCTCACTCTGCATTGCGGATCTCACGGCATTGCACTCACTTAGCGAGTAGTGTTACTCATTTACAACTGTGCGTAAGGTTAGTCCGTCGTTTCGTGCCTGGCAAACAAGCCTCTCCTTCGTTCCTTCCTTCTCTGTCATCCCAACCGCGGCTGCTCCTGCGCTAGGAAACAGGATTCATTGTGGCTGAAAGCTCTGCAGTTTCTTCCAGTAGCTTCTGCTTGCCAACAACCATCCCCTCAATCACTAGCAGAACAGATAAACCTGCCTGCCTATTGTCTGGCAGTGCCCAACATAACACCTTTGTCCACGCACTCAAGGCTTCACTGACAAAGCAAGATGGCGAGTTGGGAAACTGCTCCTACTGAGCCGGCTACTGACGGTGCCACTAACGGTTGGGGCATCGCCGCAGCTCCGAAAGACCACGACGCGGCTGACAGTGTTGTTGCCGATGGCGACAACGCGTGGGGCGCCCCAGAGAGCGGTGACGCCGCGGAAACAGTTCCAGCTCAGCCAGTTCTGACTCAAGAGGAGATGTTTGCCAAGGCTCGCGACAAGGGATGGACCAATCCAACAGCCGTCGATTACGAGCAGATTCAGCGCGATTATGCCGCCAGCGAGTGGCACGGCACCGCCGCGAGGTATGAGTGGAACGATGAACTCGGCGACGTCGCCCCTAGGGTCCCGGAGCTGGAGCAGATGCTGTTCGGTGGCGAGTTCCAGATGCGCAAGGGTGACCATTACAGCAACCTGAACATCGAGGTCTTCATAGATGGTAGGGAGCGTGTCCAGCCCGTCAAGGAGGTAAGTGGTTCATCTTCGCCCCTCCAATGCGTGTTGCTTGACGGTCTCTCACTCTGCACAGTTCGCGGACGCCGGACTGCATCCAGTTGTGTTGGACAACATTAACCTCGTGGGATACGAGAAGCCGACGCCGATTCAGCAGTATGCCATTCCGGCCATCCTTCAAGGCAGAGATGTTGTTGCGATTTCCCAGACTGGTAAGTTGCCTCGGCCTTGCATGCTGTGTTTTTCTTTCTCACAACCGAATAGGTTCCGGCAAGACGGCAGCGTACATGATCCCAATCATCTCACGTTTAATGGGCAAGGCGAAGAAGCTGTGCGCGCCCAAGCCGAATACCTTTGATCCACGCTACAATCCGCAGACCCACTTCACCAAGGCCGAGCCACTTGTTGTTATTGTCGTGCCCACTCGCGAGCTGGCGATCCAGACTTTCGATGAGGCTCGTCGCTTCTGCTACCGCTCGATGCTGCGTCCTTGCGTGTCGTATGGCGGCTTCCCGGTGAAGACTTCTATCGAGGAGCTTAGGAAAGGCTGCGACATCCTAGTTGCCACTCCTGGCCGCTTGGTAGACCTCATGGACAAGCCACATATTCTGACCATGAGTCGGGTCAAGTTAGTTCCCAGTAACTTTACGGTTCGGTACATCCGGACTGACCTTCATTTAGGTACACCGTCATTGACGAAGCCGACGAGATGCTGCACATGGACTGGCAGGAGGAGCTGAACAAGATCATGTCCGGAGGCGGTAAGTCTGGTGACGCTATCGAGAGCGCCTGTGGCAGTACTGATGTCTGCTAGATACCAACGAGGACGCCGACCACGTCTACATGATGATCTCCGCCACGTTTCCTAAGGGAGAGCGTGAGCTCGTTCGTCAATACCTTGCCGACGATCATGTGCGTCTCCGCGTTGGCCGTGCCGGATCCAGCCACAAGAACATTCGCCAGGATGTGGTCTTCTGCGAGTCGAGCGCGAAGCGTGAGGCCGTGTACGATCTGCTCTTCAACCTTGAGCCTGCTCGCACCCTCATCTTTTGCAACAGCAAGCAAACCGTGGATCTGCTTGACGACTTCCTGTTCAACCGTGGCCTTCCAACCACCTCAATCCATGCTGATCGCGGTCAGCAGGTGCGCGAAGACTCTCTGTAAGTTGGTCGCCACTACGGATTATGCAAAGCTGTACTGACGAGGCTACAGTCGCAGCTTCCGCACTGGCAAGGCTCCCATTCTGATTGCTACCGGCGTATCATCGCGCGGCTGGGACATCAAGGACGTCAAGTATGTCATCAATTACGACCTACCATCTGCGAACTACGGCGGTATTCAGGAGTACATCCACCGCATTGGCCGCACGGCGCGTATCGGTCACCAGGGCCTAGCGATGTCCTTCTACAATGATCGCGACGAAGCGATAGCGCAGGATCTTGTGAACGTGCTTGTTGAGTGCGAGTGCACCGTGCCCGAGTTCCTTTCCCACCTCGCTCCTCAAGATGGCGTCATCAACTTCGACGATGATACCGACGAGGAGAACGAGGAGGAGAACGGTGCTGATTCCGAGGCTGCCGCGAACGGCTCCGGTGTTGACGAGGGCGAATCTGGTGCGAGCTCTGCCTGGGGTGCTGCGCCGGAAGCTGGTGCTAATACCAATTTCACTGCGGAAGCTATGTTCCAGCCAGAGCCTGCTATGGCTACTGCTGGCGGGTGGTAGAGATGAGAAGTGAGGAAGACAGTGCTGGTTGGAGCACTGACGGGTGCCAGCTGCTCTATGAAACCTTGATGATGATGTTGCTTGCTCTCCTTGAGCACACGGCCTGGGTGGGAGATACCGCTGGATGCCCACATTCACCAGCGAGGCTACTTGTCGGCAGCTCGCCAACAAAGACCTAGGCCTTTGAAAAGCAGGACTCGAAGGTCTCAAGGGGATGGCACTGTCCAGCAGAGGTCTTTGGGGTCCTACGAGCAAATAGATCACGTACACGTCGTCATGGGCGGCAACTGCGAGATCAATACGCACAGACCCCAACTCGCCCGCCACGCCACATCCGCTCGTGCTTCCAGCTTCTGTGCTCCGTCTTGCCAACGCATTCGGCGCTGCAACCCCAGTGCAGGTTCTACGGCAGGCCGTTGAGGGCAGGCGGTATGCCTGTAACGCCATGCACGGCACGTTAGCTGCAGAAGCTTTCTTCCCACGACAGTGCTGAAACAAACGACGAATCAACGTAGATGTGGTGGAAGCACTCCCAACCTCCCAGCCCAGCCCATGCTAAACCAGCCATTGCACATCAAGTCCACAACCCAAGTTAAGTACCAGATCGCGATAATGTTCTCCTTTCGGCTGAAGACTATTGTATTGTTCGCATATTGTGCATCTGTATCTGTATCTGCCCATATGCCATCGCTGTCGCTATCTGCAGCCGGTCACTACTCGCTTTCCTGATCAGCCGCGAAGCCAAGAGCCAATGTCCAACCTCAGCCCGCAACAGCCTACGAACGGTCTCGCACTGAAACATACTAACGGTAAGTGCAACTTCCTCCAAGTTCACCTTCCAAGTTGCGAAACAACATTGCTTCAACAATGAGCCGCACGCTAATGCAGTAATCGACGAGCAGTGTCCAATCCGTCAATCATCGAACACAAACCTTCACTACAGTCTGTGACAGCGAGCGAGGATTACTACTCGCTTTCAAACTCTGGGTCATCAACGTACTCCGGCGACGCAGACAAGCGAGCAGGCACAGCAGGGCCGAGAAGCAGCGCAAATACCATCCATCGCTTCTCAACTCCACCAAGCAGGTATCGCACGCCGGCGCAGAGTCGGGACTTCCTACCGTATATTGGCGCCCCGGAGGATGGTGCAAGTGCACAGCAGGTGGAGGGCAGAAAGACGCCTATGAGGGGCCAAGGGAGGAGGAGGACAAGCACAGACGAACCAGCGGGCGCACAGCATACGATGTCAGGAGCTTCGGCGCCAATGTCTGGACCGACGGGAGGGCTAAGAGAGGGTGGCATTCGGCGGAAGCCGGTGCCGAGCACGGTGATGGAGGCTGGTAGTACTTACCGCGACAGCGCTGCGAGAAGCTCGGTTGCACAAGACATTGGTCGCGAGCCAAGTCCGCCTACACCGGAGATAGATGATGCTCCATTCATTCGGTTTGCGCTAGACCAGCTTACGAGAGATGAGGAGGTGCGAGGCTCGAGAAGGTATAGAGGCCTAGGAAGTGGTCTTGATGGCAACTATCCTTACTTGGCTCCGGACGCAGCGGTGGCGGCGACAGCTGGTCCCGGCGCAACAGACGATCACAGTAGTGCGCCGCTACCACTACCGGCGGAGCAGAGGGCGGCAGCGATACCCACGCAGTTCGAGCACCGAGAACCACAACTGCCAGCAGGGACAGAACATGGAGCACTACCTTACCCTGACAAGGAGTACGGCCCACAACCTAACCATCCTCCGCCACGAAACCCGAGAAGAAGTGACGATGCGTACGGCATTCGACCTAGCACCTTACTGGGCCAAGCAGCCCCACCACATGCACCCCAGCGACAGCAGCGACAACCGTTCGATACTCGCTTTCTTCCGATTTCGAGCGACAGCACTGGATTCCACTCGTCTCTGGACTTCCTTCCTGGCATCCTTCGGCCACTCCGCCTGATCCTCTTTCTTCTCTTGCTGCTCGCATACACAGCATGCTTGCTCTTCTGCGCTATCTGGAGTCTTCAACGTACTGGTCTCTGGAATTACGGCGGATTCGGCGATGCAAGATACTTCGTCTTCGAGTATCTACCTACCATCCTCGGCATGATCCTGTTCTTCTGGACGATTCAGATCGAAATAGCTGTCTTCCGAACAGCGCCGTTCGTAGCCATCAGCAGCGCCAGCCCGCGTGAGCGAGAGCGAGGCGCACGCCTGCCACTGGTACCACGCGGGTTCCTACTTCCATACTTTGGACACTTCGGCGCCAAACAAACTGCAGCAGGCCTATTCGTGGTTGTGGCTTGGCTGCAAATCTGGACCATACCGTTACTGGCGAGCAGCTTCAACGTGTACTTCTACGGTGCGCCAGATACTGGACGTTGGCGGTGGATCGCGACGCAGGGCGCAATCTGGACTGTGATTGCACTATACTTGCTACTTGCCGTGGCGACGATCACACTATTAGGCTGGCTGAAGTTCGGGCGAAGAGTCACAGGTTTGAAGTGGGATCCGCGCTCCTTGGCCGATCTGGTCGCGCTTCTTGCACGAAGCAACGCCTTGGAATTGGCAGATGAGGTTGCCAGGGAGCCACCACAACTTGGCTACTGGCGCACAAACGCGAGGCCGAATGAGGTCTTTCATGCCTACGGTTACCCGGACAAAGCAGGGAGGCAATACAGCCTAGAGGACGGACGGATCAGGGAGAAGGTAGCCCTACCGCCACCGCGAAGCAGGTTCTCTGCAGACCCGGAAGATGACATTGAAGCGGGCGATCAGCGTCACTCGCGAGAGAAGATGCTGCCACGACCCGGCGACCACGACGATGATGACACTTCGCGCGGGCGACACACAGCGCTGCCATGGTTTCTGCACCCTTCCATGGCCGCCTTATGGACGATCATCGCCATTGTTCTCCTCCTCGCCTTTCTCATCGTGAGCTATCTGCCCAGCACAACTGTTCGGAACGGCTTCCTGCCGTACGTTGCGGCGCCAGTCAACACGCTGGGCTTCTCAAGCACGAACTTCTTGTACTCCTTCGTCCCAGCATTACTAGGAATGCTATGTCTGCTATGCTGGCTCGACATCGACTACGCCTACCGGCGGCTGCAGGTGTTCGACTCGCTCATGAAGGCTGACGGAGAAATGGCGGAACACAGTGTGCTTCTCTCCTACGCAGCAGAAGCTCCCGGCTTGGTCACGGCGACCGCTCTCGTCAATGGCCACTGGCGCGTGTCCCTGCTCAGCCTGGTAAGCTTGCTCGCCGCCACCCTGCCAATTCTGGGCGGAGGCGTGTTCTGGGCTCAATTTTACGTGGCGACGCAGCGAACCAGGATCTCGGCGCACATGCCGGCTTATTACGCACTCACGGTCTTCGCGACACTCTATGCGCTAGCGTACTTGTTCATCTTCCCAGGACGGCGGCTGCGTCGCGCTACAGCACATATGGGCGGAAACACTGCGCTTTCGTTCGACGATGTGCTGGTGCTTGTCCGCCAAAGCAGGTTACTGGACGATCTCGCCTTTCACTCACCCACATCGAAGACAGATCTGGTGACGAGACTGCTGTCCGCGCCTGCCGAGGCTGGTGTTGCCCAGAAGGGCAAGATTAGCCAGCACGATGAAGCTGCCATATCGAAAGTAAGCTTGGCGGACAGCGTCAGAGGGTTCGGCAGGGCTAGGAAACAGGCGCTTGGTGGTCTCGGCGTCATGGAAGAGGGAAGATATGCGCTCGGTGTCCATCAAGGAAGAGATGGACGGGAGTATATGAGCATTGACCGGGTCAGGAAGTGAAGGCTCTGCCGATCTGGCGGAGCACTGGTGCTTGCGTTCCGAGCGAAGGCGTTCGGGGTCATATACACCATGGGTTATGAAGCATACTGGAAACGAGTAATGCCCTGAATATGTATACATAGCACGGAGATGTACGACTCATGTGAAGGACAACCACTGTTACAGAACGTTTCTATTTGAGTGATGCAGCACCAAGTAGTTCATCCAACATATCGTCCAGGCGCCCCAGCACAATGGAAAGGTGCCCTTCGCCTTCGACGAGATGGGCCGTTAAGTGTTGCTTGGGAATGTGCTCTGCCAGCCACTTCCCATGGCTGTATGGGACCATCTTGTCTTCGGATCCGTGATAGAGAGATATCGGGCAGTGGATCTCGCCAAAGTCGAAACCCCAAGGCTGCACGCTTGAGAGATCGTCGTCCATCCATCCGTCACAGCCGTGCTTGAGTCCCTCTTTGATGGCATCGGCGGTATAGTTGCCGAGCGTGTCGTGCTCAAGCTGGTGCAGAACGTCATGTATTAGCATATTCATCTTCTCGCGAGTGCGATATGAGAATTGCCACGCTACCCAGCCGTACGTACCATTGCTCGCTTGTCGACCGGAGGCAGGATGCTCGAAAGAAACTCTATGACAAGCAAGATTGCTGTGTCAGCTGCGCAAGTACAGCCGGTAGGAAGGTGAATTACAATCCGAAATTACTTACCTGTGAGTCCTGCGCCATCTACCTGGAGCATGCCTTCCCGCTCACGGGTGCAGAACTCTTTCAAGGCTTCCTCACCTTTTGTAGTGGCATTGAACTCATCAATGTCTGATCAAGAAGAGATTGTCAGCGTTCCCACGCTACCCAGTCATTGATGGATTCGCTGGCTTACTGTCCTGGCCCATACCGGCAAGGAAATCAAGACCGTCCACGCCGTAAGGCCCAACACTCGCGATAACAAGGGCGGCAACGCATCCTTGAAGCCGTGCCGCACAAGCCAATGTTACCGGGCCTAGTTGTGGACGTGATCAGTGAACGGTACTAACTTGCAGTGACAACGATGGGTCCAACGATGATACGTGTTGCATGCTTACCGCCACCGCTCCACCCGCAAACCAAAGCCATCTGATGGCCAAGGTGCTCCATCAATGACTGAACATCATCGACCTCGTCCACGATGCGACGGCCTTTACGTCTGGACGAGCCTCCATACCCAGATCTGGAGAAGGTCACCAACCCGAGTCCTTTCCGCTCACAAGCCGACAGGATGTCTGGGAAAACGGGATAAGCCCCTGGCGTGCCATGTACCCATATCACTGGCGGCTTGTAGCTGTCTGTAGCCTGTGCCGCGACATAGTAGTCGAGTATGCGACCGTCGGGCAGCTTCAACTGCGATGCCATGCAAGAATGGCCGTACGGCAGGTTGGGCAGCCAACAGGATTCAATTTCTGGCCTAATTCTTCCCAATATATGCGGCCGCACGGCACAGTGATGTTGCAGGTTTATTCAAGCAAAGACGAACACGCACATTGGTTTGCTAGGGAATGTATCTCCAACGTAACATATGCGAGCTACCTTAGTGCGCACGTCTGGAATAGGAAGGTGAGAAGAGATCAAGCATAACAGCGGACCACGCATGGGAAAAGCACGTATTCCTGCGCTGTAGATGAAGTGATAGAGACACAGGTCGTAAGTTATACATTATCTACTGTCATCTATCATGGTCGGGTATTATCAAGTCCTCTGCTTTCGTTGTATGCGCTGGACTTGCAGGCGCCTCACTATCTGTCGAAGCTTCAAGCAAATCGGCCGTTAAGTTATGATCATGCTTCCGGACAACGGGGTCAGTCGGCGATGAATCTCCTCCATCGTCAGGCCAAATGTGCGCGCTGCGGGCTTCTTGATCAGACGACTCCTCCGGTAGCGCAGTGTCAGACGGCTGTTGGTCCTCCCCGGTGCTAGTACGAGCATGATCAAAGTCAGCCTCATCTAGGTCACCACCATTATTGAACTTCTCCTCCGCTAGTTTGGCCTCTTCGTCACCATCATGATCGGTTTCGTCGAGCAGTGGTGAAGAAGGCGCTGGTTGTGAGGGGGCTTGTTCATCGTCTATGTCATTGTGAGCCTTGTCCTTGCTTTCGAGCGCGCTGCTCATATGCTCGTGAGAACCAGACACAGCCGTGATGGGCCTTGTTCCGCCAAGCGGTGGATCCTGGCCTAAGCCAACGTCTTCGCTTCCAGGTGCAGCCTGCGTGATCTTTGGCGCGGGAGGAGTTTGTGCGGATACTGTGCTTGCGTCATTGCCTCCTTTAGGCTGTGTTTCAACGACTGGTGGCAACCCGCCATGAGATCGTTCCTCAACGCTGCTCGGCATGTTCGCTTTGCCAGTTCGTCGGCGAGCAGGCAGAGGAGGCGGAATCTTCTTAGCTGGACGAGAAATGCTGTGTTCGGGTGTCGTTGGTTCGATGATTTGCGGCGGTGGAGTACCAAGGGCCGCGGCCTCAGGTTCGCTGTGCTCAAATGGCCCTTCGTCGGTGGCCATAGTGATACCCTGCGAATTAACTTGCAGCTCCTCGTGCAGTTCCTCATAGGTTCCTGCACCCTGACCCTCCCGCGTAGCTGGGATGCCACTGTTCTCACGCCAAGGACCAAAGTCGTCTTCAGTCGGTAGAGGTTCTTGCAATGCGTCATCCGCCTGGGACACAGTCTGCTCGTTTGCACTGGCTTCAATTGTTTCTCCATCCTCTATCTGACCGAGAGCTTCATCTTCGATATGTGCTTCGTCGGTGACAGCGCCGTGCTTCGTCTCCGTCGGTCTCGGTGGCAGGGCTGGTACAGGCTTCCTTCGGACGCTGCCGGTGCCTATGCTCTGCACTCCTCCGACACCCGCACCGGCGGCACCGGCGACACGGGCCAAACCACCAATCAGTGTCCTCGGCTGAGTCTGTGGTATAGGACCCGGGAGTGGAGTGCCCGGTGGCGGTAAAGGCTGCCCTCTACCAATCGGCTCATCATGCGCATGAGGTTGTTTATGTTGTTGCTGGTTGTCTAGAGACGTCCGAGAACCCATCGGCGACGTTCGAAAGACTGGCTGCCGAGAGCCATTGGCACCCATAGCAGCTCTCCGGTTTTGGATCGCATTCCAACTCCAGTTCTGCGCGGCTTTGGTGGCTGCGGCAGCATTAGCAAGTATAGTTTTGCGTTGCTGTTGCTGTTGTGATGCCGCAGACGACATTGTGCTTGTAATGGAGCGGTCTGTGTCCGTCCTCTTCGTGCCTTGCCGCTTCCGGAGCGCAGTGACGGAGATATCTTCGCCCTCTAGCGCTTCGTCTGCGTCAGCTGTAATAACGTTGATATCCGCTGAACTCATTCGTGCGTCTTCATCTTGTAGTGTAGAGCTCTGCCCCGCTCCCGGGACGCTACGGTCCCTTACCTCTCTGATTGCCTCCGCTGCTTCCTTTCTGGCTCCAGGCGGGTCATTGCTGACCCTGCCAGGTCGCCATCTTCTGCGTGCAGCTGGTTGTAACGCAGCGTCATCAGAACGTACAGCAACTCCGCTAGTATCGTCGATGGCGACACTGGGAGCTGAAAGCGGAGGTGAAGTAAGAGGAGGCGAGCGAAATGCACCAACCGGCGGAGGAAGTGAAGGCTGTGGCTCAGTGACTGAATGTCGGAATGGAAGGGTGGTCCCCACAGAATGCCGCTTAGGTGTTCCTGCGGACTCTGGCAATGCCGCAGATGTAGAGCCTACCACTTTGCTCATTGGCGTGTCGGAGCCAGATGATGCTGCGCTGGAGTCCGCTTGCAGTTCCATTGCAGCGCTAGAACTCGCAACCAGAGCAGACGTGGAAAGGCTCTTTTCGCTTCCCTTTCCAAGCGCCTCAGCCGTCACCCTGTCGGTGGGCTCACTCAGCGGGTGCTCAATCCCAACTTCGCCTCCATCACTCCATATGCCACCTCGGATCTTCTGTTGCCGTGTGTCGAAGAAGGGTACATCGTCCCAATTCGGCTTCACAAGAGACTCTCCGATCATCGCACGAACACGTTCCTCGATAGCACGCAGTACGAAGCCATATGCGACTTTCCGTGTACTTACGATGGGCTCAACGTGAATTTCCATCTCAGGCATGCTTTCGAAGCAGAACCAGATGCGGTTGCTTGGTGGTGGCTTGATGCGCACTAGCATCTTTCCGGCAATACGCTGCACGGAAGTGGACAGAAGCAGATCAATCGTACGGGCTTTGAAGCGTGTACCTAAGTCGAGCCTCGCCACGGCGGAAATCACCAGTGATGCTGCGCCGTTATACTTCACATCGAAAGAAAGGGTGAGATCGCCAGAGATATTCAGGTCTTTCAGTCTCGGCGCACTGATGACTGGCGCTGCATCTCCAAGATCGATGGCCTTAACCGCGAGACTGGCGATGAAGGTCGGCTTCTGCACCCGAGCGATCTTGTTCTCGATCTTATCGCACACGAAGTTCTCAAGCCATGGAGTGCGATGAAGGGCGAGGAAGACACGGCTCACGAGCGCGTTGAACGCGCGTGTCTCCGAAGTCAAGCTGGCGGAATGCAACAACGATTGCAACTTGATGAGATCTTCGGATTCAATAGACTGCGGTTTCGGTGGAGTAGCGCGCGCAGCAAGCAGTGCATGGTAGAAATCTTCCTTCTCCGGACCAGTGGCACAGAACAGGTAGAATGGCTTCGATTTCGCACGCTGTTGCAAGCTATTGGTGGGGTAGCCATTGGCGGACGCATCCGACAATGGTGTGAGGACGATCGCGGTTCTCTTGATAAACAGATCCGCGTCCATAAGAAGGTCGCCTGAAATCTCACCATCAAAGAGGGATACAGTATGGTGTGCCAAGCTTATGACATGACGAACTTCGACCTGAGAGGCAGAGTCGTAGAGCATGAGGTGGCCATGGCGAAGGACAATATAGAATACACTGGCGTGAATAACCGGTTTCCTCTTGACAGCGCTTGCGCTAGCTGGTGCAGCTCCGGCTGCTGTCGTACCGTCTCCGCCTTGCTCTAGAACAGAGGTGGCGGCTGCCACAGCGGTTTTGCTTCGGTCGAAGACTGTGCGGTACATGCTCTGGTATACACTTTCGCTACCGCTACCGGCGCCACTTGGCGTTTCCGCTGGCGCGCCGTCCAGCGAGCCATTGGCAGCGTGGCTAGTAGAGCTGGCTCCGTTGGGGACAGCGTTCCTCGCGTTGAGTGCTGCGACCGCTGAAGGGAGATGATAGCTTCGCAGCACGGCTAACGTACAGCTGGCCGCCACGCTGCCATCTGATGTCCCACGATCCTCAAGCTCTGTCTTGGCAATTTCGCCATTTTCCTTACTCTCTCCTTCCGACCCTGATTGATCCTGCTCGTCTAAAATCGAGGCGCTCTTCGCCGCATTGTTGGCATCGGGTAGCAGTGCCCATAATGCTGCTAGCACAGCGACCAGCACAAGAGGGAGGAATGTCAGGCCGCCGAATACATAGACGAAGAGGTAGGCCAGGAAACCCATGATGCCATACCATCACGGCACAAATCCAGGTTGCACTTGCTCCTCATACTCTGCCTCCAACAAGGCTGTGACCTGCTCGTATGCGCAATGCTGCGATGAACGAGGTTGGGTGGACGCGCTTGCACGTGTCTCTGCTGACTGAGCGGTCTCGCTGCCAAGATGCGCTTGACGTCTCGACTTCACCCCTTGCGTTTCTACAGTCTATCACTCCTATACCTTCCTACGGGCGACTTGGTCATGCTGGTATTGGCGCTCTCAAGTTTCCGGAAGTAGCTATTGCTCTGGATGCTGTTTCCCATTCCCGCCATTGCACATGATGAAGCATGTGAGACGTGGCTGATCCTGTCACGGGTACCATATTTGAATGCAAATCCTGAGCGAGACAAGTGTCCATGATGGTTATGATGGCATAGAGTGGCTACAATACAGTACGCACTATCACGGTAACAGTTCGATCATGGGGAGCTGGTAGTCTGTGAGTACTGTTCGATCCATTACCGTACAAAAGAAGGTTAAGCAACGCCATCTGTAGCCGGTGTCGTTCCGGTGTCGACGCTACCGGCACCCTTAACCGCCTCCGCCCACTACTGCTGCGTCTCTCTCTGTGCTACATCAGTCTGTGCACAAAGGAGATGTTGCTTCGCTAAGGGCAAGCAAGCCTGATTTACAAGATGTCCACGCTTGTCAAGTGTACAAGACGCCGCATTATGCCGTGTGTGGCTCATAGATGAACCGTAGACTCAGTGGCTCTGAGCTGCTGCGAAATGATTCTGCTGTAGTGAATATGCTGGCTATGTGCTTTAACAATGACAGGTACTGCGGTAACGATAACCTCGCGGCAGGGCCGGGCAATGGGTTGTACGCTGTCGCTTCTTCTGATGATGTTGCTTGTGAAAGAGTGCTCGGGTTTGCGATCGACACTGGAGCCTCGGATTGATCTTGGTGTCTCATGCTTTTCAGCTTCCATAAGCCAGGATTAGCAGAGAAAGCTTTTACTGCATGGCTTGCAAGAGAACGGCGTGCTTGTGTTGGACGGTCTGATCGAATGTCCGCGGTATTCTGCTTGGCGACTGAGCCTGACCTCAAGCAACGCCATCGTCGTTGACAGACTTGGAGAAATCGAGGTCGAGGTATTCTGCTATGCTCATGATCGGATCGAGCTCGACACCATGGTAGGCGTCGGCCTCAAGATCGGCAACGTTGTCGGGCGTTGGGTCGAACGTGACGTCGAATTCGCTGGAAGGGAAGCAGGGAGCCGAGAGTCAAACTATGGAACATACCCGAGGAACGGAGTGATGGAGGCGTTTTTGGCGTACTGTAAGCTAGGATAGCGAACGTCCTCACAGATCAAATACCATTACCGACGAGCCCTGCATCACTTACGCTGATCTGCTCGACCGTGCTCAAATATGGAGCGGAGCACTAGAAGTTGTCAAGTCTGTGAATACTGTGGTGAAGCTGCTAGGAACTGACCTTCGCAATCTGCGTAATAGTGAAACACCGAGAATTTCCTGGAAGGCGCACTGATCCCACCGTCCAGATCTGGGCATTCTACCGCGTAACAGCCAGCGGAGAGATTTACTCTTCCCGTTAGCAGCACACTCAATACTGCATGCAAAGTTAGACAGGGTAGCGATGTCGCAAGTAAGGATGGTGTTTTAGTACATGGCATCAGCGCAAAAAGGTGGCGCACAAAGAAAGACCTTCCTACAGGTATAAACCGCGACATGCGTGTAAGCACATCGGTGTTAATGTTGATGAAGTGCATGCCGCTGCAACAGAAGCGAAGACGGCGGTGCCGACCACGTCGTCGCGAAGCTGTGAGAAGACCGCGTAATTCAACAACCTAGGTTTCTGCCGCGCCTAAGGTGTGAAACTGTTGGCATCTCGAACAGCTCTTCGAGAAAAAGGCTTGATCACTGAAGTCATACCAACAACCGCCCCTGCTTATACATCTTCATGGTGGTGTCGTTTTGGTAGCGGGAATACGAGCGCCGCCGTCTGATGTGCGCATCAGTCCGGAACAAGAGTCACTTCGTGTGGAGGAGATGTTGAAGTAAAATGCCAAGCATTCATGGCCGAGCTTCCTCCGTGGTGAAGAACGTCGGACGAGGATCCGTGGCATGAGACGTCGCGGATTTCAGACATGAAGCACATCCGAATTGGCCAAAAGATGATGAGAGTGTCGCGGAGTATCATACTACTCCTCAAGATCAAGCTCTTTGTGACATAGGTTATGTGAACATTATCAGTGAGCATTGTATATGCAAGGCATGTCTTGCGTTCATGCTTTGTTCCACATTCCTGCCATCGCCAGTGAGACAAAGAACATTCCTCCGCCACACAGTCTCAACTGAGGCGACGTTTGTCCTTAGCGTCGGCTACTAACAGAGATAGATTCTCAAACGGACAGATGAAGCGTCTTTTCGCTTCGGCCTCAGCTGAACCCTTTGCACTCCATGCGTGTAGCCTTACACTTGATTGACAATCCTGCGCCTGTGATTCACGAACTTGCATGCAGCAGTAGCCCACCAATATTGCTCCCGCTTGAGGTTAACTGTGTTCCATCAGTGCAAGCGTACCACGAAGGTTTCCTACAAGACTTACACCAAAGCTCGATGACGGGCGGGGATGCATCTTGACAAACGCTACTCAACATCTGGATCTCTGCTTTGTTTGGGAATTTGCACACTTGGAAAAAGCTCGTGAGGACAGCATCGGCGTAGGCTGGGACGTCATTACCTGCCGCATTCGTGGCTTCGGACCACCCGACATAACCACGCTGCATTGCAACCTGGTCAACCTTGCTAGGCGTACGGTAAGCTTCCAGCCCCAAGTGTCAAAATGCGACAGACCTAGACTTACCAGTGCAGAGCAGATTCGGCGCCTCGAAGAATCAGGGTGCGCTCATCGTCGGTCAATGGTTGTGGCCTCTCGGCGCTGCTGATTCCAGGAGGCGGACTTCCACTATCCAGGTCTTCGTCATCGTTGGGAAAACGCTCGGCCATGTACGCAGTTCGAAGCTGCTGCGTTATCTCGGATTCGAGCATATAGAGCTTGTTCAGCCTCTCAAGTTGTCCTGGAGCAATACGCTGGCGTGGCGCAAGGTGAATGCGCCGCGAGAATACGGCAGGCTTGATCAGAGAATCCTGTGTTTCGAGGTGGTCATCGTCGAGCGAGCTGTCGAAGGCGAGGAGCTGGAGAAACTCATCTGCAGTAGATGTGATACGGTCGCGTCCCTGATGGGGAAGTAGGCGCCTGCTCTTCTTCAGCTTTGCCACCATTGGCCGGAAACCTGATATTTTGGACATCCTTGGAGGGTGATCGGTTGCAGCCTGCATGGCAGGTTATCACTGCGTGGAAGTGGGCGTATCAGACTTTGGCGAGAAGTAAGTCCTCCTTCATAAGTCTTCGCTGAGTGAAGTGACTTTTGGGGAAGGTGCGATCGCGCCAAGATGCTCGGTTGCAGCGTCAACCAGCCACCGAATTTTCGAATGCTCACCTTCTGCACCAAAATCACTTCTCCTTCTTCCGTCGCCGTCCTCATTCTTGTACCGAATCATTGGTTTCAACCCCTATTGTCTTAGTTTTTTCTCTTATCATTATCAGTACACCCCAAAGCACAACACTCATTGATATGGAAGCGCAGGTCGCTTCACAGCCGACGCAGGCCGTCGGAGCGGTTCGAGGTTTCATCGTCGCCTTCGATCATGTCCTGGCTCAACTGCGTGACGGGGTCGCTCAGCCTCTTGTTCCTCTCGGCATGGTCCAAGAACTTGGCCTTGAAGGCTTGGAGCTATTGAAGAAACATCTTGAGTGAGTGCGCTTAAAGTACCAGCCCACTGTGACCCACGCTTACTGAACCTCCAGGACCGCCACATGCTCGCAGTTTTCAACAACGGTGGACCTGTCAGCGAATTCTGCCAACTTTCTCCCCATCCGACTGATGCCACCGACACCTTCGGCGTCAAAGCCTGACCTTGCATCGCCTGGATCGTCTTCCATCAGCGCCAAAGGCGCCGAGAAGAAGGTTCCACGCCCGCTGAACCATTTTATAATCTACAGGAAGGAGTGGCACCCCAAAATTGTTGCGCAGAACCCGGGCTTGCACAATAATGAGATCTGTAAGTAGACTTTTCTGTTTGCCATGTCACGCCGGCTGACACAAACCGTCTAGCCGTTATCATTGGCAAGCAGTGGCAGTCAGAGAGCGATGAAGTCAAAGCTCTCTACAAGCAGAAGGCGGAGGAGATGAAGAGGCAGCATGAGCTAGCGCATCCTGACTACCAATACCAGCCCCGCAAGCCTTCGGAAAAGAAGAAGCGCATGACAAAGAACAAGCTGGCGAAGATGGCGCGAGCCCAAGCGCAAAGCTCATCTGACATCAGCCCTCAGCAACCTCTTCCAGACGACTTTCACGTACTTGCCATGCTTGACGACAACCTAGCATTCAAGGCCGAGACCCAGTACATGCCGCTGTTGAAGTACTCTCAAGAGCCTCACCTCAATCAGCCGAATGTTCGTACCAGCAGGTGTGGTCGTCACATCGCTATTGACATTGGCAGAGACCAGGACGGGTACATTCGTGAACTAGCGGAGCGCTGCAACAATCAAAGAGGCTTCCATTCTCACAACTATGCAACATTGAACAGCGCCGTCCAAGCCAATGCTCCGAGCATGACTACAGCTACGGTCGCTGCCAATAATGGCGGTCCTCCCAACGGCGGTGCCAACCTCTTCCCCGGCAACAATATCATTCCCTCCCAGCACGGTCAACAAGGCCTTGTTGCGCCGGTGATTGGGCACGGTGGAGCGCCTCGGCCGCGTCGTCGCAGAGGCCCGGTAGCTGGCGTCGCAAGATCGCTCACCAATGGAGTCCAGTCGGAGATTCTTCATGCGCCACTAGAGCTTACAGGTGCAGCCGCCGAGATCTGCAAGGATCCTTACAAGTGGACGCCTCCTAAGACGCCAACCATCGACCCTGCCGTTTTCATTGCGGGTAAAGCTTCGGGTAAGGAGCCATGGCAGCCTGACCCAACCACTGGAGCGCAGATCTCGCGTGAGGAGACCGGCACATTGATCGACATCTATGATCCCGTGGGCATCAGGGCTAATCTTCATTGGCCTTCCGCCCTCGTTACGGTCGAAGGGTCAGCTCAAGCAGCCAGTAGCACGCTCACAGGCATTACGAACAGCGCTATCTTACCGCAGCAAACGCCCAACGCAAGCAACCATGCAGCAACTCTTTCGCAGCAACCGGACAACGCTTCTACGAGCCTTCTAGACGACGACGATAGGGCACTGTTCGATTTGTTTGTCGAGCACAGCTACGTGCTGCCAGAATGAGGGCGCAATCCGTTCGCACCATAGTCGATCCTGTCCCAAATGGCGGTTCTCATGAGCCGGGCAACAAGGGTCACCCAGCGTGATCGCACTTTCACAGGCACCTGCAACATCATCATGTTATGCACACGAAAAGCGATGGTCATCGCGGGCTTACACCTAGCCTTCAGCGATACCCATTGTCCTCCCTAATACCCGTGTACGGTCCATTGCATCATTGCCAGAATCGCCAATACCTCGCACCTAGCCAGCGCTCACGTTCGTTTTCTGCGAAATTGCGGCCTCACAAGACTGTACACCAGGCCTCGCCTACGTCCAACAACGCTGTTGGAAGACACCTTTGCATGTCTCTGCATAGTCACGTCACCGCACGCAGTGCTCACTCGCTTCATTCACAAGCAACAAACCAAAAACCACAAAATTCTTCGAACCACCACCAGCAAAATCAAGCAAGTGGCCTGCTACTGGCGACAACTTCGTCGGGCGGCGCGTTGGCGCGATCAGATACTGTGCTGCGTGCGCGACTTGCTCGCCACCAGCCGAGCATGAGCGACTGACGAGCTGCAGGCTTGTCGATCGACTTGCTTGCTCGCCTTATGCACAATTGCTGCCTTCTGCACCTGATTGCCTGCTTACCTTGTTTATCTGCTGCGTTCTGGGTGAGAAAGATACGAGACGTTAATGGGGAACGTGATGGTGGAAGATCAGGGAAGGTAGAGGTGAAGAGGGAAAGGGGAGCGAGAGGACGAGTGAGATAAGATGGCGTTCACGGCGTTAGCACAAGTACATAAAACAACGACGATGGGTAACCAATGCAGTCCATCTGCACTTCCGGCATACCGGCACTACCTTCGGCGAACTGCCTTCATATGTGCCGCTCAACCTTCGGCATGATGAGAGAGATCGCCGCGCATATAATCCTGCGTCAGCCGTTTCCACCATCCTTCGCCTCCCCTTTCCCATTCTGCCAGTCTGAGCACCAAATGAAGGTTGGACATCTCCATTGGGTACCCTTCTCCTTGTTTCCACTCGGTCCCAGAGGTCTCGCACACATCCAGAAACTGCGGCCTTGATTGGAGCCTTTCTTCTTCGTCAGCATGCTTTTACAGGGCTCGTCATGTCCTTCGCACATGGGCGCTACTGGACGGGAGAAGAGGGTGGACCAAGACCTCTGCGTCCGCTCGACAGCTGCAAGTTTCGCGGAAACTCTTGACGGAGATGTCGTCGAAGACTGAGAGGATGGAGGGAGATTGGAGTCCAGGTCGGGTAGGTGCGTGGTCGGATCATAGGCGGGAGTAGCACTTGCATTGATGCCGCCGTCTGTGCTTTTGATAGGTGAAGTCTCCGGCGTTGTCAGTACACCAGCTGCGTCCGGCTCGATGGCAGTCGAAGACTGTGTAGACGCAGTGGTGTCTACCTCGGCTCTGCCTGACTGAAAGAAGCCTTTCAAGCTTTGCTGGCCTTTCAAAGAAGGCGCAGCGCCATCCAATTTCTGCCGCTTCGATGACTTGAGCTTTGTAGCCATAGATGCTTTTCGCTTTACCCCCGATGACGACTGGTTGTCGTGCGCTGTAGGTGCTGTCGACGCAATTTCTTGACTTAGCGGTACTGTTGTATGAGGCTCCTCACTCTCGCGCTGTGGTGGGGATGGTATGAAACTTCGCTCAGCATCAAATACGCCCTGCGCAACCTGCGTCGAAGACTGCTTGATGAGGCTCGGTGTGGAGAACATGGACTTGATGCTCCTTCGTCTCTCAAACTCCGGAAGTCTTTTAGCAGAGAAGACTGGTACGTCTGAAAGTCGCCACTCCCTTGCACGGAATCCACGCGAGAAGACGCCTGCTGGGTTCATGGCATCAGCAAGCTTCACCGTCTCCCCAGCACACATCACATCATCATGGAAGTCCGCGTAGACGGGACAGTGATCAGACCCAACTAAGCCTTCTTGAATGTTTGCATCCTTGACCCAGGTCTGCATCTCTTCGCATACCAGGACAAAGTCGATTCTGCTGCCAAAGTTCCCCGGGCGTGCGTTGATCTTCTGTTCCCAGTGCGTATACATCCGCTCCCGTTGAGGATGAAATGCGCGACAGGTGTCCCACAGAAGGCCAGACTCGCGACCATCGTCTCGTTCGCCAACAACTTCGCCATCAACCAGCAGCTGGTTGAAGATGCGGCGGTTTGGCGTGCTGATGTACTCTTCGTGCGTAATCCCGGCTTTACGCATATCCTCAAGCGCAGACGCAGTATCTCTTTCGTCACGGGAAACGTTGAGATCACCTACGAGTACCACCCGCTTGCCGGCTTTGCTGAGATTGCGAATGCGGCAATCTAACGCGCAGATGAAGCCGTACCGAAAGTCGTCACGCAGGCCGTTGCTGTTCGCTGGAGAATATACACCAAGTAGGACGAACGCTGGGAATTCCACCATCACACACCTGCCCTCCGCGTCAAGTACCATGGGATCAACACCCAGCTCGGCAACCTGCAATTCGCTAGGATAGCCTCCAATGCTCTGATCTTCCGGGAGCTGACAATAAGGTGTCCCGTTCGGCGAAGGCAGTACACCCAGAAGGCCCTCCTCTGCCTTCACCGGCGCACAGGTTGCATTCCTGGTGTAGATGCCCACGCCAGAGTAGCCTTTCTTATGCTTGGGCAGACTGAAGTAGCAGTCCCACCCGTCAAGCAAGACCATATCGTCTCGGAGGTCTTTGCGTTGTATTTTGAGCTCCTGCATGACAACGATGTCACTACCCAGGATATCGAACATGGCAGGGAATGAGCGAGCTTGATTCCATGGCTGGTATGAAAACGGGTTACGTATTCCGTTGACGTTCCTACATGAGACATCTTATCAGCTCCTTGGGGGTAACTCAGGCAAACTTTACTAATGGGTACCATGTCGTAAGCCTCATCTCACCAACGTCTGCCTTGCACTTGCCCTCGTCGGTGACCCGGCTTTAAGATCATCTCGTTCATGCGCGGACCCTACCTCTTGGCGCATGTGGAGGAGAGGATAGCAGGAATGGCCAATCGAGCGCACTGTTGTCTCTTAGATACGCCACGTTGCAGGTGTCGGGTGGTGAAGCTTTCTATGTTGCTGGAGAGCGCGAGTGAATGAAGTGAAGTCATCGAACGGAACGCCACGTGCTTTCGCGTTTGCCAAGAGATTGTGACAGCGCCTTCCTCGCTTCCGACACTGTATCGTGAACCTGAGAAGTGCAACAGCAAAGATGCTACTCAATCGCACAAGAGTATGGCTCGATTCCTGGTGCCAGACAGAGTCTGCTTGCTTGTTCTCGTGGAGCATTACCTGGACGGACACCTAGGAGCCAACGCAAGGCTCGCAGTGCTGAGCTTTCTATCTACACGTATACACACTTCGATCGACGACGTGAAGTCGACCAAGTCCCGCAGCCAACGATTCCAAAGTGGTCGCGACGCCATAGATGGAGCCTTCAGCGCACTCACTCAATCAGCTGCAGTATTGCCCGGTAGAACTGTCTACGACGTGTTTCTTCAGCGGTTGTGGCGTCTAGACGGTCTGGACGCTTTCCGTGAACTATTTGAGCGCATTCCCAACTGGATTCGAGCTGTCGGAGAGGCTAGCAATAGCAAAACTAGACTGTCCCGCGTTTCGCCGTTGGGCCAGTTCGTACGCCGATGTTGCGTTGAGTTTACGCGACTTCAGTTTCCTGATGTGCAAAGCCTCTGGACCAGCTTCTGCGCATATAGAGCTCCTAGCTGGAAGTCTTGGGCGCTCCGTCATCCTGACGAAGCAGCGCGGTACGATGCCATTTCAGCTAGTTCTAACGGCGTGCTGGATCCATCATACGAGCATGTTGGGGCCAGAGAAGCAAGCTACATGAGTGTCGAAGATGCGAATGAGCTAACCACATTCTGCATTCAGCATCTCCAGAAACTCGGTGGTCGTGTACCGGAAGATCTTCGTACAGCCTTGCAAAGCTGGATTGATCAGCAGCATGATGCTGGGAGCAGTTCTTTACAGTACTTTCTGGCATTCTTCGAGCAGTGGAAGGCTGGCCAATACAGCGGCGCCGTAGAAAGTCTGCATCGGTACTTTGACTATTCGCTAGCATCGAAAGCCGCAAACGGATCCTCAGATAACCCGAGGATGTACTACCAATATGCGCTGCTGCACCTGAGCGTCCTACATGCGGACTTCGACTGTTGGGATGAGAGTGTCGAAGCAATGGACGAGTGTATTGCGACTGGTTAGCTGCCACACTTTAAGAATGAAGGTTGCCTTGCTAATCCATACAAGCGCGCGAAAACCAGGACACGGCATGCCTTAACTTTGCGCTATCATGGCTGCTCTATCTGCGGCAAGCCATGCCTGATAGTCGCCATGCCACATATAAAACTGTGTCCTCCTCTGTCGGCAGCGTGACAAGCGAGCAGGACGAGCTCATATTCCTCAAGGCGAAAGCTCGAGAGACGAAGCATTGGTCGCTATTAAGCAGCACGCTGCTGGAGGAATCGAAGCTCATGATGTACACTGTGAGTAGTGGCAAGTATTGGACATCCAGTCTGCACAAAGCTGATAAGCAACAGCACGGCAGCACAACCAAAACATTGGAACTCGTCACACAATCTGCGTTTCTGAACGTTCAGCACGATCTGCGCACCGTCATGCCTGCAACAGCACTGTTCGGTAGTGTTGTTCTTGACCGCCTGGGACTGTCACATCTTGCAAGCAAAGCCTACAACTCCATCACGATTATATACGGCGAATCTGCGCCATTGACCGATCGCGTGCGCTCGACATGTCGCAAAGCGTACAACTTAGCACAGTGCGGGCGATATACAGCAGCACTGAGGATGTTGCAGGTGATGTTGTCGTCAATTGGTGGTGTCCTCAAGCTGGAGCATCGAGTTTCATGCTTCATCTCATTGGTACATCTCATGGAGAGTGTTCGCGGGTGAGACATCATCATGGCATCTCTGAAATGGCTGCCCTCAGGTGCTGACAATCGTACTCAGTCACAATCTGCAAGCCGCGAAGCACTACATGTCGCAGCTCCAACCCCTTCGACGTCTTGCCGAATCCGAGGTGACGTTCGAAGTTGACCTTCTTAAAGTGGAGCTTCTACTATGCGAAGAAATGTACGACGCCGCATACAGATGCGTCAACCAGCACATCAGAGGGATGCGCAATGCGGCGCGAAACGGTAGATGGCAGTGCTGCATGCAGTTTGGGCGCTAGCTGAAACGTGATTAGATGTCACCCGTCGCCTTCGCATGCTTGTTCTCAAAAGCAGAGTCTTCGCATCGGGTGGACAAGCGACCAAAGCGTTTTCGATTGCGCTGCGAGCAGCTTCAACTGCCAGCCGGCTGACGCTTGTCTCGACACTTCTGGAAGCTGTCAGCTCATTGGCACCCATCCTCAACGAGCTTGCAGCGTTTGACGCAACGAGACGCTTACTTGAGGCCGCTCTGCCCATGGTACCTCAAGCACCTGACTTCAGATGTGTACTTCACCCCAATACTGACATAATCCAGGTTCTAGAAGCTAAGCAGCCGGAGCTAGCAGCCACATCATTCGTCACCTTGGGTGAAGCTTATATAGGGCTTGCAGGCGATGCCCGCGAGGCTGGATCGTCTGAGCGGGTGCAGAAAATGAGAGCGGCTAGTACGCTTTTTGAAAGAGCCAGAGAACGTAAGGCTGCAGAACACCTTTTAATAACCGCAATGCGCTAATGGCGGTCAGTTTATGCAATTACGCAGAATACGAACGGAATGCTCGATTGCTTGTCAATGAAAGCACGAATTGCACGGTGGAACGGTGACGAAGCTTCGGCATCGCAGGCGGATGGGCTTTATATGCAAACATTGACGGCACTGGAGAGCACTTGAGATCGGAGGGCATACCCGTCTGCGTCAACAGCAGCAGACTACCTCCATGTCGTGCCAGTCAGCCTTTCGTATGCCTCTCGGTATTTCGCGGTGGTCGCCTTCACCACGTCTTCTGGCATTGTTACGCCGTCTCTGCCCTTGTTGCCGGAGTTGGTGAGCCAGTCGCGCAAATATTGCTATGGAACATAGTCAGCGACCACACCACGCGGAAGGGTTCGGAGATTGATGAAAGCCATCGCTCATACTTGCCTTGTCATAGCTTGCCTGACTCCTTCCAACCTCGTAGCCATCCGCAGGCCAGAAGCGTGAGCTGTCTGGCGTCAGTACCTCATCGACGAGCACCACTTCCTTCGTCGCAGGATCCAGCCCGAACTCGAACTTGGTGTCTGCGATTAATATACCACGAGCGGCAGCATAGTCCCTGGCCTTCATTGACGGATCACATGGTCAGCATGCTGATCGGACGCCGAGTATACAGGAGCAGTTTACCATCTCGTAAAGCTTCAGTGATGCTGCTTCCACCATTTTTGCGACATCATCTCCAATTATCTCGGCAGCACGAGCCTCGGAAATGTTCTCGTCGTGCATTCCAGCCTCAGCCTTGGTGCTCGGCGTCCAGATCGGCTTTTCTAACCGCTGGCTCTCCTGGAGACCTTCTGGCATCGACATGCCGTTGACGGTGCCAGCGCGCTTGTACTCTGCCCACGCTGAGCCGGTGATATAGCCCCGGACAATGGACTCGATTGGTAGGATGGGGTATCGGCGGACCTGCATCGTGCGGTTTTCTAGCACCAAACGTAACTGACTCGGGACGCTCGATGGTAGTGCCGTGGTGAGCATATGAGTCTTCAATTCCGGCATCTCGGACTTGATTAAATCGAACCAGTGCGCAGAGAGCTGGGTGAGCAGGGAACCTTTGCCGGGGATGCCATTTGCAAGTATGACATCGTAAGCTGAGATACGGTCGGTGGCGATGAATAGTAGAGTGTGCTCGTCTAGCTTATATATCTCACGCACTTTGCCGCTGGCGACCTTGCTGAAGCCTTGACGCTCCAAGTTGACGTGTGTGAGCACTTGATTGTCCGCCATTGTGGGTCGCTTTGCCGGCCCTTTATAGTGTTTTTCTTGAGGATGGTTATGGAGAGACTTGTTACTGACTGTCTTGGCCTACGCTTACTCAAGATGGGAAGCAAAATCTTTTATGTGCGCTGCTGCAGCCTAGAATACAATATTCACCTTGCTCGCTAGATCAGATGTGGCTGTGCAGAGATTTTAAAAATGCTTCACACCTATATCACGGCTTCATACTTTGTGCCGCGAAGTGCGTGCCGCAACATACCAGTTTTGGGGGTTTTAAGTATCACCATTGATAGCATTTCGTCCAACCACATGGATATATTGTCGCCATGAGTCTACATACAATCATCTTCTGCGGAGATGGGAGTGGGAGACCCTGAAAACTTCAATCAGCATTACAACCGACTGTAAGCTGCAATGCACCATTGTTGCTTGTCACAATGGCATCGCTAATATGTTCGTGGCATCTGCTCAAGGAGGCAGGGTCGTGCGACGCTAAATGAAAGTCGAACGCTCGTTTGAAACTGCGACGAGACTGACAGTGAGAGCCAGTAGTTGTTGAGGGTGTCTCCGTCAATTGAGTTGAAGATGACGGGGATGGCTGCCGACGCGGTTTGCCAGGTTGTCATTCCATGTTTACAGTAGCAGCTCCTTCAATAGGCTTTCCACCAGTATGTATGAAATTGTGTAACGAGTTGCACCGTAGAACGCTTCCAGCTTCATATTTCCAACCAACATCGCACCTATGGGAGGTCTATCGGTCTACTAAGCCTACCCTTTGTTTTCGCCTAGCGTACCATGCACTTCTCGCGCAATCCAAGATACTATGATTGTCCCGTTCCCTGGCAGAGCAGCAGCCAATGCTTGGCCGATCGATCCGGATGTTCAGGTCATCCAGCTTGCAACAAATGTCAGTCCACCGAGCAGCATCGACTCAAGGACCGGCGGAACCACATAAGAAGTGAAATGAGAAGGCCAGGGTCTTGGCCTCTTAACAGGTAACACGTCGTGACAGCCACCGTCCAGTCCCGGGAGTTTCTGTTGAGGGCGTAAGAGTTCGGATAGTGCTGACCCAGTCGCAGGGATGTGGATGCTCAGCAGTCCACTGGGGGCGTTCATTGTCGTCGCAGAGCTTCGATGGTAAAGACGACCCTATCAGCACAGTACGTCGTCACAATCTGTTGAAACGTTAGCGACGGCCGGGAAGGATGGGTATCGACGGGGCGTACGCACGAGCCCATCGCGCTGACAACGTGACTCAGCAATCATGCCATGACGTTCTGTCTTCCACATCAACCGGCTTCTGCTGGGTCGCATGCGTTTACAGCATGTTGTACGGACGGTTCTCACGTTTTTCGCAAGCCAGGAGCATTGTTGGCAAGTGCACTGGAGCACAAGCGTTGTGGTAGTGCCAGAGCTCAGCTGTTAATGGTAGGTTGACACTCGGGCCGGTTTGGCGTGGTTATGGAGTTGCGCCCTTTCGTGTGCGAAGATACCACGGTGACCCAATTAGCACGTTTTTCTGTTTAAGCCGTATAAGGACTCCCACCGCTGCGCATCCATGGCAGTGATGTGGCCGCTGCTGAACCGTAAAGCTTTGAATGCTCGCCAACAGAGATGCAATGTCCGAACCAGCTGACAAAATATCGAGTGCTGATTGAATGCGATGTGGTGTTTCAAGCCAGGTCGTTCGATAGAGACGCAGCAAGACTGAAGTACCCTAAATTGAACCTCATGGTGTTCTGTATCCTTGCCTTGGTGGGGAAGGCCAAAGCCGCCTGTCCTTACGCTTTCTGGCTCAGGCTCCAACCCACTCTTGACCATCTTGTCAAGCCCACCAGTACGGCACCGGCGAGCAAGGTGCCTCCGCAAAAGCTCTGCAACCCAATCCAGCCTTGTGCGACTATGACACCCGCAACCGGATTGCCAATCAGTATGCCCAATGCCGCGCAAAATGTATTCATGCCCAGTCTTCCTCCAACAACGCTCATATCATCAGTGATGCTGACGACCGTGCTAGGCTGTAAGCTTACAAAAGCGCCGCTGAAGGCTCCGTATAGCAGCGCCCAGATTACAAGTCCACCGAGGCTATTGTGAACTGCGATCCAGATGAATCCAAGTATACCAGCGATGATGTTGCAGATTGTGAGAACGTTGAGCGGGCCGAGGTGGTCTGCGATGTAGGACGGGAGTATGCGACCCACGATGGAGCCAGACGAGAGAATGGGAAGCATCTGTAACCGTTAGCCGTCCGCTCAAGTACAGCCGTGCTCAGGCACAGGGGATAGTCTTACATAGAATGCTAAATTCTCATTTAATCCGCCTTGAGTCGCGCCAAATTCGCTGATGTAGAAGAATGGAACGTACAGGCCTATGAAGCCGACAAAAGCTGCCAAGCAGAAAAGGCAGAATGGCAATTCGCGGAAGCCGGAAAAGTCAACGAGCTGCTTGCGCGGTGTTGCCGGCAATGATCGCACGCGGATGCAGATGCAGGGAAGTAAGAGCGTGCCGAGAGCCATGAAGCCTACCACTCGCGTCGCCCATCCGAACCCAAGCTGAGGCTGCAAGCGGTAGAAGACGATGGGATAGATCACGCCTCCGAGACTGCTTCCGGACGCTGCGATGCCAATGGCGAAAGCGCGCTTGGTCGTGAAGTATTGCGGGATGATGGCGACACTGGTGATGAAGAGCCCACCGGCACCTATACCCATGCACAAGCCTTGCGCAAGCATGATCTGCCAGTATTGGTTGCAGAGACTCGTCATCATGAGACCGAAGACGACGAGAAACGAGCCTGTCCAGACCAGGAGGCGCACATAGCCGCGGTCGAACAGTGGCCCTGCGAAGATAGTGCAGCAGCAGAGCAGGAAAGCTTCGATGCTCCCAATCCATGAGACCGCGCTATTGCTACTACTGGGCAGAAGAGTGGTGGTATAGTAACTCTGCCAGACCCCGAAGGCATTGATAAGACCCCAGGAGTTGAAGAAGAGGAAGAAGCCGCAAGCCACTTGGAGCCAAGCTGCGAAACCGCCATCCGGTATACCGGGTTGTGCTGGGACGGACAGGTGCGAGGGTGAGATCTCTAGAGGCGCGCCTTCCTTGTCATGAGGCGTATGAGTCGGGATCCTGTATGGTATATTGTCTTCCGGACCGGCTTCAATATCAGCAGGATTGTAAAGTGAGGGGGCTGTAGAGGTGAACGGAGTGTCCTGCAATTTCTCTCTGCTCTCGAATGACGTGCGCGCGCTTTGTGCTGAGTGCGCCATCTGCGCTCAGTGTACGCGAGAAAAGGGTGCTGTGAGAGACGAGAAGAGGACGACGACGAGATAGGAAGAGAGATTCTACTTGCCTAGTACAGAGCGGATGATAAGCGGGTCGTACGCGCCAGTCGCGGACGTTTCATTATCAGTGTATCACAAGGAGAACCGACTGAACGTACCGATCTGCGCAATGTAAGCACGTTCAAGTGGATAGGAGGTCGTGACGAGGCTGACGGCAGGCCCATAAAAGCCGACCCTTCTGCGTCGGTCCGGGGCCGCCAGCGACACCACCCGGCATCTGCTTCGGCTCCTGCATGAAGTCAAATTATCGAAATGTGGCGACGTTTTCCAGACTTCGGGTCGTTGGCACAGCCACAACATCCTGCTTGAGGACTCTCGTGCTGTCTTCACTACCTTTGCCGACGCACTGTAGACATGGCTGACAGACGATGCTTCGCGATTTGCTTCTCTCCTGTGGGCACGCAGAGGATGAGACGTTCATGACAGTCGTTGTAGCTGAAGAAACCGAGCCTGAGCCGATATATCAGGATCCTTTCGATGATGTCTTCGGATCAGCGCCCACCTCGCCAAGTAGGGAGCATGGAGACGCACAAGTGGATGTTGCAGCAGTAAACAGCGAGGGTAGTCTGGGACACCTGCTTTTGCATCCCTCCGATATACCGCGCTTGCGAAGCATCCATGTCACGAGCGGTTACCGCGAGGGCATTGCTGCAAGCAAGGAGCAGCATATGCAAGAAGGCTTCGATGAAGGCTACAGCCTTGGTGCAGAGCTTGGCCTCAAGGCAGGCGGGTGTTTAGGAGCGCTTGATGGATTGTGCCGAGCTTTCCCAGCACATTCGACGCCTTCTACGCAGGGTGTCATCAACGGCGCAAATGATCGTGACCACCTTTGCAAGGTGCGTGAAGAGGTGCATCAACTTCGACAGCAAGCAGAAGCGGATCTGACGCTCGCCTCACTCTGCGGATCAACGTACTTTGGAGAGGATGGCATCTGGTTGTACGAGGTTATAGAGCTCCACCATGAGCCAACATTCGAACAGATTGCGGCTGCTCATCCGCTCCTATTGCGGTGGAACCATGAGACCGCAAGACTCAGTCAACAGCTCGGTCTCGCGCTTGATGATGTGGTGGAAGGGAATGGAACAATCTGAATGATGTTGCAAGCGGAAGTTCAGAACGCGATTCCATGGCGTGCCTTTCTGAACGGTGCTAACACCGGGCAAAGACACATCACATTCACGAGCCTAGTGAGTCATGCAGTCAAGTATTCTTGAAGGTGTTACGAAGCTAAGCTTCGTGTGTTCAGAGAAACACTATGTGGCAGGCACGTTGATGCCTACTTCTCTCCTGTTTGCACGACACCACTCGCCGTCACTGCATCACTCATTGTTATCTCACACTGTTCCGATTTTCCATCGGCAAAGCCTGTAGCCAGCTATCAGCATTATTCATACTCTGCAGCACGCTCTTTCGCATCTCATATCCAACGAGCGTAGCTTCCGACCCCCACTTTCCAATGGATGGCTCAACCCACCCCGACTTGTCTGCACTTGCGTTGCCACGCAGCGACTCCTCCACCCTTTCCGATGTTCCGATGACACCGCTCAACCCTTCGCCAGAGATCGAGCGCCCCGATAGCGTAGGGTCTAACATTTTCGTCGCACCACGGCGTCACGCAAGATCTGAGAGCAGCCTTAGCGATCCAGTAGAATCGGCACTCAGCGATTGCAGCTCAGACAAGCGGGAAGATCCCTCGTCGGCTGTAGGTTACCGCGTGGACGATGAGCGCTCCTCCCTCACGCCTGCACCTGCCGTGACTGCTGTTCAACGCACCCGAACAAGCGTAGCAGCCTCCAGCTCCGTTCTTTCCTCGCTTGACTCTACGCCGGAGCCACCATCACCTCTTCGCGTCGCCTTCGCACATCTGGAGCGGGCGGTCGAGTGTACATGCGAAGGCTGGTGTACGTGTCCGAAGCACGCCGCGTGGCCACTTCAGTCACCGAAGCATCTACCCGAATCGGCGCTGATGAGCGCGAGCGACGATGCCCCCGTGAGCGCGGTGAGGGAGACGCTCATACGGGAATGGCGTCGTCGCAAGGTGCTCGAAGCCGGTGGAGGGAGCCTGGCAGAGTCTGCGAAGAAGGTCCATGAGACTCTGGTGGAGCTTGCAGTTGCGACGGGAAAGGGAGAGAATGCAAGCCCGAACGCACCGTCACCTGCTCAGGCGGCGAGCATGCTGACCGATCACATCCACGCCGTTTTCCCAGTGCACTTCCGGCGAAAACCGGTGCTTGACCGCGTTCACGATGCTCTGTGTCATTGGCGGAGCACACGCGAAGCTGACGGTGCAACAAAGCAGCTTTGGCACAGCTTCGGCGACGCGGTGGAAGGGCACCCAGATTTGCTACTGGTTTTTGCCGAGTACTTCATGTCGGAGGCCAGGCCAGAGGAGCTGCACCGTAAGCGCGAGCGGTGGTTGCAGCCGTTTGATCAAGCTCACGATGTGAAGGCCGAAGTAGGGATCACGGTTAAACAGGAAGGCATGAACATGGAGTACCTGTGAGTTGATGTAGCGCAAGGGTATATTGGAAAGAAGCTTGATGTTGGCAGACGCGCAAGAAATCTGGAGGGACGTATTGTTGTGCCATGCCAATTGTGCATTGCAAGGACAGTCCGCGGTCTATTCATCGCGTCGCAGGTGTAGGTACGTGTCTCAACTCCCAGCGCCTTCGCTCCGCCGCCAGGCCCGCATAGGCAGACTCTGCAGATGCAGCGCTTTAGGCTTGATGAAGCCCCAAAATGTCACTACGCCGAAGAGAACGCAGAGGATGTTCACAATATAGTAGCCTATAGCGTACGCACATCAGTATGTCTGTTTCCATCCGTCAACGTTAGCAAGTAGGGGTCAACGTACCATCCATCTGCACCTTACAAATCCCGCCTCCATCGAGACAGCGGTGCTTGTCCGCCTCCAGCACGCAGCTGAAGGGCTGCGTTATGAGTTCGCCCTTCAGATCCGCAGACGGTATTGACTGCGAAGGCGGTATACACGTGGCTCGCGTGAACGCATCCACGAACTTCAGGATGAAGAAGCGGGGGAATGTGCCGCCTAGGTTGCTCACACTGGATGCACCGTACCGTTAGCAAATCCATCTTTCTTCTCATCGACGCTGTGCCATGCCGGGTCAACTTACGTAGCGAGCAACGTCATATACGTCCCTCCAATCGCCGGATCGGCAATCTTAGCATGGAACGCACTAATCGCCACAAACATGACCGTGCTCATGAAGGTGCTGAAGACGTGCTCCACGATCACGACCAACAGGTACCAGTTGTTCGTTCCGCCAGCCGGAAACATCATGACGACCACCTGCGCGAAAACGGCGGCGATGAGCCGGCCCACAAAAGCCCAGGTCCAGACGGTCATGGGTTGGTATTGCTCGGACCATTTGCCGGCGTAGTAGCCTAGGCTGATCTCGAAGGGGAAGTCGATGAGTACTGTCAGCGCGAGGTCTTCTTGACTGAATCCCTTGTCGAGGAGTTTGAGGTTCGTGACGGCGTCGTTGGCTTGGAAGCCGATCTTCGCAATCAGGTGGATGACGATGAAGATCTGGATATTCCGAAGCTTGAGAATACCGCCCATGATTTTGTAGACGTCCCAGATACCTTCTTTCTCCCGCGTGCGGTCCTCCTTTTTGAGAAGGGCAAGACCGAGGGTGACGACTAGGTAGGCCCAGCCCCAGAACTGGAGGTAGGAGTTTAGTGTCATGAGGCCGGTTGGTAAGGGTGCTGTGGCCGGGCGGAAGTACTTGTTAGTGAAATCCGGGCTGGACAGGGCGAGAAAGACGGTGTAGGAGAGGAAGTGGCCAGCGGTCAGGCCGACGGTTTGGGCGGTGCTGGCGTAGGAGAGGTTTTGCGGTGAGAGTAGGGTTAGAGCCCAGCCTGAGAATCTTGTCAGCATTCCATCTTGCTCTCCAATTTGGCAGTGAGGAGGAACGCACCGTCAACCGCAATATCCTGCGTCGCACACATAAACACCAAACCAAACCACCACCCCGTGAAGCCCCAAACACCCGCGCCATCGTTCTCCCCCGCCTTCACCATCATCTCCTGCACGTGCGAACCCAGCCATATCATGGCCATCCCACTCAACGCCTGTATCGGCAGAATCCAACTCTTCCGCCTGCCCACCTTCGCACTCCACACCGCATCCACAATCGGACTCCACAGCAACTTCAAGCTATACGGGTAACTCGCCAGGCTGTACACCCCAATCTGCCCATAACTCAGATGACTCTTCAGCAAGAACGGCACACTGCCTCCCGCCAACCCCATGGGTATCCCTTGCAAGAAATACAGCAACACCAGCAACAAGAAATTCCGTCGATCTTGCTCGGGAAGCTCAAAGAACCCCTTACTCCCATCCCCACCTTCACCTCCCCCTTTCCTCGGCGTCTCCGGCACCGCCTCATCAAGCGTGAACGAACTCCGCCCCATCAACCGCGCATGCTGGCTCGCTATGTCATCCGGCGCATCGAGGGGAGAACCGGGTTTATGTCGTTCGCGAAAGGAGCCGTTCATGTCGGTGGGGGAGAAGGAGGAAGCGGCTGAAACGTTGCCGTTGGAGTGGAGGGTCTTGCGAAGGTTAGAGCGCGAGCGCGACTTCTTCGAGGGCATCTGCTCTCCCACCTCGTCGTTGTCGTCGTCGTCGCCGTCTTCTCCCCCGTTCGCGAGTCCAGTGTCGATTCGTAAATCTCGTCTGTCGTTTAGATCGCCCAGTTCGTGGTCGTAGCCACTGCCGCCCGCACTGCTGCTGTTGCCGCGTTGATGACCATATACGGGTAGGACGAGTGAGGATTGACGGCTGTGGCTGAAGGCGGAACTGGTGCTCACACTTAGACGTCGCGGATGATGGTCACCCATGCATTCAAGTCGGGTGCGGGAATGTATCGGTTACGTGGTGTCTTGCTGGCGGATTGTGAATGTGATGGTAATGTGGCCTTTTCGAGGATGCGGGATGATGGATGCTTCGCGCTTTCGCTGCAGGTACCCGCTGCGGCAGACGAGGCTATTTCTGGATGTCACTTATCGCGTTTTACTTTGGCTTTAGGTAGCTATATCGGATTGTGTTTGGACGCAGATGCAAATGGAGTTCGGATCGTCACTGAGGGGTTCGAGACGATGCCTCACGTGCCGTCAACCTCCTGAAGCTTGGCGGACAGAGTCGTTCATGCTACCCACCTAGTGCGATAAAGACCCTGCCAGATGCAGGAGCAAGACCAAAAATGCGAGTATCATATTTATGCTATAGCTGTACAATGGACCTCGCGCGCTATGCTTTCTCCCTTCATCCCGCAATCAGCACCCAAAGCAAGAAGAAAATCATCAACACCCCAAACATCTTCGCCACCAACCACCGGTTCCCCTGCACCCGACTCCAATACTTCATCAGCTCCCTCTGCGCCCCCTCCACATTGTCCACCACATCGTCGGTATTCGCGTCGATGCGTTGGATCTGCTCCGCCTGCTCCGACACCATCTGCGCGAGTTGGCCGAAGATGCCGCCGAGTTCGGAGATGGTGCGTTCGATGGCTTCGATCGCTTCGCCGCGTTGTTGGATGTAGGTGTTTGTGGAGCTGCCTTCTTCGAGGAGTTGCAGTTGTTGTTGCGATTGGGGAGTGTTTTGCCCGGCGTAGAGAGGGTTGCCGGAGGGGTTGTCCAATGATAGCACGTCCTGCTGGCCTTGACCGGTCCCGGGTGGCTTAGGACTTCGTGCGCGTGCTGACGAGGGTGTGCTGTAGAGTGGACTATCCGTGCGGCTTTGTTGCTGTGGTTGCTGGTGCGCGCCTACCGCCGAGACGAAGTTGTCTTGTCGTGAGCGGCTGGCTTGGATGTTGCGGGTTCGCACTTCGAGGACTTCCTTGAAGTTGACGCTCACATCTGCTAGTTTGCCTTGCAGTAATACAACGACGTTCTTGTTGTGCTCGCCTTCCTCCTTCGCTGTGGCCGTGCCTGAGGCGCGCTGTAGTTGCTGTAGTTGTCCGATCTGTTGGTTCAAGCCGGCAAGGTCTTGCTTGATGACATAGGTAAGCTCCGCGATCTCCACAGGCCGGTCGTCGAAGAGCGTCTTCCGCTTCGCCAGTTCGCCGAGCCGCTGCAACTTGCCCATGGTAGCGCTGATCCCTCGCCCAATGGCCGCGGCGTTGCGCGCGAACTCGCTGCGCTGTTTGCGCGTAGGCGGTGTCGCGGTGCCATTCTGCGATGCGGACGGTAGTAAAGGTTGCGATGCTGGCGCGCCGGGTCTTCGTTGCCGCGCGAGTGTCTTCTGGGCTTGGAGGAGGATGGAGCGGAACTCGGCCGTTCGGTCCTGTATGGTATGTGTGGTGGCCATGGGAAGCGTTGCGGGTGTGGCGGAGAGAGTCGTCAGAGTAGTTGTTGCCATGCGCGGCGTGCTGCTGGCGGATGGTCTACGTTGCGTCGACGCCTCGAAGGTTGCTAGGGGTGGCTATGCACGCAGACGCGAGTACGATCCTTTTTGCCGTGAGGTGGTTCTCAGGTTTGAACTCGTAGTTGTAGAGTATGTGCGGATGGATACATGTATAGAAGGGGAATTGCGATTGGCCGTAAGTGTCACGATGCGAACGTTGGCCAATCTCAACTCTTCAGCCCTGTTCGCCGCACGTGCAACGCTGTGGCGGAGAGTCTAAGCGAACAATTACAGTGCCGCTTTCGTACAAAAGAAGCACGTGATGTGTGGCAGTCTCAAGGATCAAGAACACACTTGTTATGATGGAGAGGTAGTGGGAATCAGGCCGAGTGTCCAAGTCAATGCCTTGGTTGATGGGGTGCATAAAGTGGTTGAAACAATCTAGCGAAGACGTAGGTTTGCGTACCGTAGATGAAACCTGGACAGGGTCCGAGACTCGCGTTGGAGCTCCCATGCACTGAGCACCACCACTACCGCGCCCATCGTAACTTGATAGCCTTCACTACTTCACTACCTCCACCCGACTCCTGTGTCATCGTGCAAGTCACTGCCTCTATCTCGCCCCGTATACCATCAAACTAATACCTCCGTTTGTGTCGCAATACTTCTTCCAGTAATAGCTTAAAGCAGCCTGGCCACGCATTGAGGCTGAGCTTCCGCCGTCACGCATCAGGCCACACATGCGCACACCCCACCACATCATGAACTTCGACCCATGGTAGATCCTCCAGGCGCGCACCTTGCACTACACCATCCCCGAACATGGCTCGGCCCAACCCTCCACCAGGCCAACAGCAGCAACAGCCCGTCTCCTTCAAGACTATCCCGGGCCGCCATCGCACCCAGAAATGGCAGCAAGCCAAGACATATAACTACGATGGCGATGACTGGGGCGGCTTTGATCCGTACGACGAGTATGCTGGGTACGAAGACGAACAGCCAGCACCCCCAATGCCTTCACATGTGCACCGGCAGAACAGCTTCGATACGGGCGATGAGAAGAGGCAGTTTAGCGGTGCATCCACGTTGCCGCCGGTTGTGGAGCAGGAAGACCAAAGGCAGAGGGGAAGGAACTTTACCAACCCGGACTTCGCGCCTCCGCCTCTGAACACACGCGCCAGTCCTGCGCCGCCAGTACACAGAGAGGTCCAGACGGCTGGAACTGCGAATTCGCCGAGGGCGCCTGCGCATAATACTGTAATTGCGCCGCCCGTCGCGAGTGGATCACGCAACATGGATAAGCCGCTGCCATTCATCCGGCCTAGTGAAATATACAAGCGCATGGCGGAGGAGAAGGAGAGGGAGCGGCAGAGTATGGACTCTAGTCGACCCAGCATGGATTCGATACAAAGAGACGCTCTTGCTCCTGGCTCCACGTCACCGCCAGTTGGTGGTGGATTGGGTGTGCCCAGAAACACAGACACTCCGGCGTCATCTATAGATCGACGACCGAGTCTAGGGCCCGTCATGGAGCACGCAGAGACTTACGAGGAGGACACACAACACGAGCAATCACCGCTTGGCCTGGCACAGCCACAGCGTCCGGGAGCGGCGAGGACGGAGAGTGTGCCGCAGGATCTCGGACACGAGCCTGAGTATCAGCCACTCTCGACGCTGCCGGTAACGAATAGCTTCGGTGAGCCAACGGAGAAGCAAACGAGTCCTGTGCTACCGCCTGTAAGCCGCGTCTCAGGTTTCGGTAGCGATTTCCTGCACGGCGTAACTTCGAAGCTAGCAGAGAGCGATGAGCCGGAACGCGAGCCGCAAGCCACACCTGTTTCGCCACAACAAAGTCGCTTTCAGAGCACCATTGAACGCGTTATGAACGCGCCAGTGCTCAATACCGGTGCTACACCTCACCCTCCTGCGCTGAATACTGGCTCATCATCCACAACTGCTCGGTCGCCGGCCTCCAACTTGCAGCATACACCCAGCACCGGCTTCCGCTCGGTGGTAAACACAGCGTTCGACTTCGATACCAAGATGTCTCAAGACACCCCGCCTTCTCGGGATAACTCAGAATCCGACGACCATGGAGCCAGCGGCACAATTAGCCGCAGCGATACCACGGCCACTGATACCACGGCCGGTATAAGTCCAATCATGAGCCGTGTTCCTTTCGCCGCCGCGGAAGAGGCATCGCCTTTGACGCAGATGACGGCGCCGAGGCCGAGACCGCTCTCCGGCTTTGAACAGCCATCACCGTCACCGGGACTTAGCACGCCACATCGTATTCCGCGCAAGCCATCACCTAGCCACAGTCGCAACGTCAGCGTCGAAACTGCGCACGCCTCACCTTCAGTCGTCCAGCCGGGTTACAGGAGGAGTCTAGACCCACCTTCCCATGATAACTCGCCCGCGCGGACTCCGGGGTTGGAGGACAGCTCGAGTAGAAGGGTAAGTCAAGCAATGGCTGCCGAGGTCGAAACCCCGATGGTGGAGGATGGCGCCCGCACGGCGGAAGCTCCTGACGTCGCAGACCAAGCTGCTGAGGTACCCATGCCGCACCTCGAGCCTGTCAATGATGAGCCAGCTGCCCCCGCACCGCACCACGCGTCAGGGAAAGCTTTCCCACACATCGATCTGCCAACAACCGGCCGCGCACGTAGCGGCACAGACTATAGCGTGCGCGAAGCCGACCTCGCACACAGCGTCAATGCTTCTCCGGACAAAGCTTCCTTCTCCCCTCCCGTCGCCGAAGCATCTGCTGCAACCCAACAACTCTTCTTACAAACCCACTCTTCCGCCGCCTCCCCCGTGACGCCCCGCCCAGTCTCACCCGGCATAGCGCGTGTCGGCACCGACGGCAGCCAACGGCCCGAAAGCCCTGGTAAAGTCGGCCGTGTGCGGGAGATCGCGGAGAATTATAACAACCTCGACGACGCCTCCAGACGCAACTCGGTCGTTAGTAGTAAGTCCAGCTGGAGCCAGTTCCGGGCAAACGGGAGTGAGGAAAATCTGGCGCTGAAGAAACGAGGGACGGGTGGGAGTGGCAGTTTGCTCGCTGCCGAGCCTGAGCCTGAGCGTGAGCTGGAGCGAGAGCGGCGAGAGGAAGGCGCGGATGAGGATCTGTTCCCGCAGTACGAGCAGAGTCGCGAACGAAGTCTGTCTGTGTCGAGGCCTGCGCCGCTGGAGAGTCAGCCTAGTTTTCGACCGCACTTGCCGGGTGAGTGGGTCAGTTATGCGCCCACACCGGCGGGTGAGCAGCCGCCCGCTATGGCAGATGAGGGTGAAGTAGGAGGCGATGTTGGAGAGAAGCGTGAGGGCTCTGCCCTGCTTACGCCGCGTGGCGAACAACCTCCTGCCGCGCCCGCGCCCGCAACTGCACAAGAGGAAGAACCCGTTGACTTCACACCCACGCGTCGTCCGACCCAGCATCGTCAATTCGATAGCCCGAGTCAGCAGCATGCTGCTCACCCTGACCCAGCAGCGACTGCGGATGAAGAAGAAGAGCCCATCGACTTCACACCCACATCCCGCACAATTCAACACCGGTCAACCGACTCGTCAAGCGAAGAACAACAACAACATCCCGCCGTCTCCGCCCTGAATCAAGTCAAAGACGCGGGCGCCGCGCTCGGCGCCAGCCTCACCGCCATGACCGGCCTCAACTCACACGCACGTGACTTTGGCTCCTCCGGGCCGGATTCGGAAGTCAAGCAGCCCGAGTTGGCCACTGCTGCTAAGGCGGCTTACGGTGCTGTAGAGAGGTTTCTGAAGCCCGAGAGGCCCGAATTGAGGAGGGATGAGAGTGCGGCTACGGATGTGAGTGTCGTTAGTGTGGAGTCTGCGCCACCGACACCGCCGGCTAAGGATGCCCCGTTGTTTGGGCCTGAGGCGCCGCTTTATGGGCCTCAGCCGCCGCCGCCGGGAGTGGATGGGAACGCGAATCAAAGTCGGCCTGTAAGCAACTATTTTGGAGGGGAGAGGGGTAGTACGGATGTGAATGGAAGTCGACCCGCAAGCAACTATTTCGGTGCTACGGTCTCGCCCTTAAAGACCAACAAGGTGGCGGAGAGGGATTATGCTATGCCTGCGGAGGAGGAGACTCAATCACGACCTGCCTTTCTGCCACATCTCAGCACCGATACAGGCGCCGGTGACACCGAGAGCGACCGCTTGAGGAAGGAGATCGTCCGGAGTCTGGACTCGGAGAAGCGGGCCGATATCAAGCGGCAGAGCATTCTCGAGGATGCGGAGAGGACGCAAGATGCGCTTGACGCGCCTGATAATGAGAGGAAGGTTGCGGCTGGACTGCGGCCGGAGCCCGCTGCTGAAGTCAAGGATGCGGAGAAGAGCAAGTCGCTGCCTATGATGCTTGATCAGCGCTTTAGCTTTGAGAAGAGAGGGCAGGGACAGCATGTGCTTTCGCCGGGGTTAGGTGGGCCGCCGCCTGTTATTGCGGAACCGGAAACGGAGCCGCAGAGCCCGGAGGTCAAGCCGGAGGCGCCGTATGAGCGGCCGAAGAGCAAGCAGTTGCATGTTATGAATGCGGACGAGGAGGATGACGAGGAACAGGATGATGAAGAGGAGGTTGTAGCGACGCACAGACGGCAACAATCGCAGCGGAGTCTTGTGAGCCCTATCTCGGCAATATCCAGGGACGATGAGGATTTGTCGCAGTTGAGTGAGACATGGGGGGAGCATGGATTTCAGCATCGGGCTCCTTCACCCATGGTCGACGAGTACGATCGTGATGCGGAAAGGGCGAGGCAGGCTTCGGTTGATACGGAGTCCACGCGTCTACCCTCTTACTACCAATCCGACACCGCTGCTGGTATCCATGTTCCATCCGTTGATGCGCCACCACCGCAGATACCCGAGAAAGACAACACAATAGTATCTTCTTCGCCTCTGACCCCTTCCGGTTCGACCGCTGCTGCCAAACGCAGCTCTGCTCCCGGACAGCGCGTGCCCCCTTTCCGCGAGATCCTTGCCATCAAGGCCACGTCCGAGCGGATACAGGCGTATAACGAAACGCGGCAGACGTTTGCGGAGATGGACACGGGACTGAATGACTGGTTGAAGGGGATGATGGAGCGGCATCCGGAGCTCGCCAACAGTTCCCTCACGCCGGTCAAGAGCAACGCTCTGACTACCTCTGGCACTTTCCGTCATCGACATAGTCCCAGTCTCTTGAAGTTTGGGAAGCAGTTCGGCAGCGTCAGCGGACCCTCGTCGTCTCCCGCACTCGGTGATCCTGCGGACGGGGAGCGGAAGGGTAGCTTAGACGACGTCACGGCTTTACCTATGACCCCGAGCCGAGACGCTTCGGGCGGACCGAAGATGGTGGATCGGGAGAAGATGCAGCAGAAGGGGAAGGAGTTTATAAAGAGTGCGGGAATGTTCGGTGGGAAGGCGCAGGCGGGAGCCAAAGGGTTCTTTCAGCGAGGGAAGACCCGGTTTGGGGGTCGGAGGGAGAGCGGAGGTGGTGCTGGTGGCGATGCGAAGGTATGATGACTTCTTTCTCCTGTTTCCTGACATGACATCTTGGAGGACGGAGGTCGGAGTTGGGAATGGCCAGATCGTCTGCTGAATGTGCTTTGCGTTTTCGGCAGGCATGACCACACCCAACACCTTTCCGTAACGGGATGCTTCTTAGCCGCCGTTCGTGGCGAGTACCCCTAGCGAGGCGCAAAAGCGGCGTTTCATTACCTGTTGTATACTACTGTCTCCGAAAAGGACTCATTATCTGCCTCACTCTTCACTTGGTCTTGGCGAAGCTGAATATCATGCTTATAGTAAGTCTTCTCCGTAGGCCCTTGCACCTCCTCCCGTCCCACCGCCAAAAGATTCGCCCGTCCCCTCTTTACGCGCAGCCACAACTCATCCACCTCCTTCCCTACCCTTGCCTACCGCTGCCGTGTCGTCTACGCTCGCATCGCGTTCGGAAGCGCCCATACCGCCTCTGCCTAGCGTTTCACCCTCGCCTTCTCCGTCTGAGGGGAGGACGCAGACGCCTTCTTCGTTCGCTGGTCGACCACTTTCGCAGGCTTTCGAGCGGCTGAGGGAGCGCTCTAGATCCAAGTCTACGACTAGATCGAGGTCGCGACCGACTAGTCTTGTGCTGGACCATCCCGAGCCGGTGGCCAAGTCCTCTGGCACAGAGAATGATGAGGCGGTCCCGGTTGTGCCTGACAATCTCACCAGGGTGAATGAATCCGCAGCGGGCGCGGGCGCCAACGCTGCGGAGGGCTTAGATGGGCTCCATGGTCGAAGACGTGAGGCGTGGGAGGCGCCGGCTGGTACTGCTGCCACAGGCACTACCTCTAGGCCTGGCGAACGACTCGGCATTCTTCCTAGCCCGGTGGTGGAAGGCTTTGCTGGTTTGGAGCAGTCGCCCGTGAAGCGTATCGCGGCTGAATCAGAAGAGAAACTATCAGAAGAAGCGTCCGAACTTCCTGTTGATGTGGGCAAAGAAGGGCAGGCATCGAGCGAGTCGGCACTCGAGACCCATGTCCACACCAACACAAGGACAGTCTTGGGAGAAGTATTGGACAGGCCGAAGTTCGAGCGCAAAGTGAGCGCTCTTGCTACGCTACCCAGTCAGCGACGCAAGCAAGCGCTTGACGCGTTTATGGCGCCCCCACCCGCTCTACCCGTCACGGCCGCATCGGATGATTTGTACGACAGCACGCCTGTGGCGGAACCTCTGAACCTTCCTCCATGGGCTTACAATCCGGACGATGAGATATTCCGTGGCATGGCTATAGAGGAACCAAGCGTCCCAAACACACCAAAAAGGGTCGATGAGGAAGATGCAAAGACTCCCACGGATGCCGAAGATGTTACGGTTGAGGATGGTGCGGTGTCAAGACCAGTCGTGGCCGGTGCTGAGGCTACCGATCGGCTTAGTGTGGTGTCCGCTGAGGACCAGATTGCAATCGGGAATGCAATGGATGACTTTGGGGACAACAAGTCGGACAATTCCTCGATCTCGAGCATAGCGAGTCCGGCTACTGTTGTCGACAATCGCTTTAGCAGGCTAATACCGATGGGCGACCGTATAGGGGAGCATTCTGCAGAGGCGGTGGGCATGAGCTCGCAAGCTATTCCCGCTGGTCCGATTGGTACCATCGCGCCACCTCGAGAAGACTTTACGCCCGCAGCAGAGAAGACCGTTGGCGCTTCGCAGCAGAATGAGCGGCGGCACGACCATCGTCCGGCTCTCGGACCAGACGACCGCTTGGACTCGCGAGGGTTCATGAGTCGCTCGTACCGCGGTCGGGTAGAGCAAGCTTACCGCGCGGCTGCTCCTACTACAAGGAACGAGAACACCCGTCCTGCTCCGCAACCGAGCCAAACGAATACTGAGGCCTCCGAAGAATCCGTACGGGTGGACCTGAGCGCGTTCAGCGGCCCACCTGCAAGCACACCACCGTTTCAGCAACATCCTGTATTTCGCAGCTCTGGCGTCGTGCAGCCCACCGAGTATGAGAGGCTGCGACTGTCGCAAGCACCGTCCGACACCGAGCACTCTGTGGAAGTCGATCCGAAGCGCTTCTCTCGCTTCTCTCGTACAGGTGCTGACAGCCTTGATACCACCACTGGCGCACCACCGCCCAATGCAATCACCGATTCGTATGGCCTGGACACGATGGATTTGTACGGTGCTGAAGCTTTACTCAAGGAGACTGGAGGCTCGGCGCCCAACCGTCGATCAGGCATTTGGGAGGCATTCAAACGTTCACCAAGTGCCTCACACACCGGCTACAGCAGAGAGAGCTCGATCGCGCCGCTTGACAAACGCAGAGACCCCAGCGGCAGATCGCAGGCGGATGAAGTTGCCAAGCGAAACATGCTTAAGAAGGTACAGCGCTCAGCGTCTGCGGCTATGCCGGTGACGGATGCGAAGAAGAAGCGTTTCTCTGGTATTGGTGCATTGTTCGCACGTTCCAACACGCAAGGCCATAATACCATCAAGCCCAACAAGCTGACAAAGAGGCAACCCTCCGTCAAGGAAAGTCTCGAGACACGAGATGTCGAGTCGTTCAAGCAGCGGCCGGCGTACCAGCAGGGAGCGGTACACCATCCCTATGACGGCGTGTTTGCCAACACTGTAGCTTCAGGAAGGACTCCTCAGCTTGAAGCAGTGCCACGAAATACACAGCCGGGTCCAAGGGAGTACTATGGCCCGCAGAGCGGACAGTCTCCAGTCGAGCCAATGTCGCCACAACACATGCACACACCTCCAATCGAGCTGCAGCGTGAGCGTCCGGCGCAGTACCGACGATTACATAGTGGCGGCTTCCGTCAAGGCTTACAACAAGCAAATATACCGGACGCCTTCCGGCCTACAGTGGCCGGATTTGGTAGAGACATACCGGAAGCGTTTAGACCAACCGAAGTATCGTACGGTAGAGCTCCGGTACCGATCGGACCTCCTCCGGAACATGAGCTGCCATATGCCGAACCACCGACAGCAAGCACACGCCAACCGACACTGCCGACGCAGCAGCCATACTGGGGCACGCCACCGCCGGCGTCAGATCACAACAACGATCGCTTCTATGACCCGATGCAACCTCCATCATCGGGACTCTCGGGCGCGTATCAAGCACCGGAACAAGCTCGCTCTAGCATGGACTACGAGAACCCAGGGTGGAGGCGAGAAGACTCACATACTTCGATGTCTCCGACCCACTCAAGGACTAGCTCGGAACTGCCACGGTATCACCGTGTTGGTTTGCTCGATCAACAGCTGAGCAACTATCCAGCACAGCCGTATGCCGACCAGCAGACGGCGTGGAACGGCAGCGTACAGTATCAGCGCCCGGAACAAGCAGGACAGCCACCTTGGACGCAACCGCCTCATGTGCACCCAGGGATGCCTGTGAGTCCTGAGCAGTATGGTCACCACCCTTACGGGATACAGCCTCGTGGCGTACCTTACTCGCCGCAGACGCCGTCGAGCCATCAACATGCAGGCATACGGACCCAGCAATTGCCGCCGAACAGAGGCTCACCGTACGATACGCTACAGATGCGAGTCGCACCACGTTCGTTTGCATCGCCGCCTTACTCGCCTCAGCATGCTCAGCAATCATTCTACGGTACTCACGGAAGGCCATCGCCACAAGCGGGTTACGGCCAGGAGCAGCATGACGGGGACATGCCTTCGATGCGATCGCCGAATCATCAGCAACGGCATTACCCTCCGGCACAATATGCGGAGCAATCACGACCGCTGACGTATCAAGGGAAAACAGCTAGCTACGCTGCCCGTTGGGATGCTGCTGCGATGGGCGAGCAAGATCTTCATCATTCGAATGCTGCCGCGCAGGCCAGACAGTGGCCGCAGTATAAATGAGCCTTCGCTCTAGAAATCTTGTTGAGCCTACTATATCACACATATGCCGCACCCTTTTCCTGCTCGTGAAGTGACACTAGTTCCGCCTAGTCGCTGATATGTCATTCGTCTTGTGCATCGCCTACCCGACTTCCGTTGACAGGCTCTGAGAACAAGCTAAACCTCGCTTCAGATGGGAACTATGAATAGGCGTGTCCGCTGTCCTCATGTTGTGGCTCGAAGACGAGATACAGCGAAGGTTGAGAAGTAATGTGCGCGAGCTTGCTATAGAATAGAAAGGGCAGGGGGCGATCGATGATGCTTTACCTTAAGTGCCATATGCGTGCCTGTGCCACAGTAAGATGCAGTCTCCTTTCTACGACCGCGCTTGCAAGTGGGTTTTATGCTGGAGGTTTACCAGAAAGTGTGCATACCGCTGAAGTACGCATTGCAACAAGCCACTGCATTGCAACAAGCCACTGCCCCAAAGTCTTGCTCCCATGCACAGAAAGATGGTTCTGTTCAGAGTTAGGCCTGATCTGTAGGGCAAGCAAAAGATTCCACCACCGCGCCGAAGCACGGAGCGCTATCGAAAACCCCAAGGTTTTGCATTTACGCAGTTTCATATGGCAGCCCAAGAATACTCGCCGACAGCTTGGCCCCGTATGACAGGCAATTCTCACGAAGAGAACTCAGAGACACCATCCGAAGTTCGAGTCGTATGCTGGCAATCAAGAACATCCCAAGTACACCACGGATTCCAGATTCAACAGCCCCGGGCGGTTCAGATATATATTGTGCGATTTTCGCTGGCCGTAGTTCCCCCGAGGCCAATGCGCGCTAGCACAAGCGACGCGCTGCTCGGCTTCGAAATCCTCAGGCGGCAACAATACGAGTAAGTTGCAAGCGAATGCCTGTGTGTTCTTCTTGAGCCCGGCTTGCGATTTCTCGTTCGTGCGCGCATTGCCACAGCCAGGAGAAGTGTCTGGCACTAAGCGATTGAGTGGCCAGTGGTGGCGACAGCTGCCACAGCAGCGTTTCTCGACACAACAATTCAAAAATATCTGTTCATCAGCATTCAGCCACGTCGTTACTCACGGACTCGCTCGGTAAAAACCCATCGGGTCAGCCTCGGTCGGTTTGGCTGGCGAAGAGCGCCGTCCGCCGCAGGGACAGTCGCATGTTCTCTTTGCAAATCAAAGCACTTCAGCTATCTCTTCCTATACTCGCGCCATGCCGCACTCTCACGCCTTCTTGTGCAATCGATATCTCTTTGCTGTATCAGAAGTCATAGCTCCCGTTTCCTGCGATTGTGTGCGGTCTGTTTTTACCTGCGTTGCGCAGAGGCTCTGCCCGCCGTCACTCGGCGCGGTCAAGTGAGTCACGGTGTCAGTCAAACACCCACCCCAACAAGTATTGCCGCTCTCATGACTGCAATCTGTAGCGAAGGTACGGGTGTTTACGCTGCTCAACTGCTCCAGCCGGGAAGCCATGAAAGTGCCACATACTCCATTCGTTACCGACGTGGAGAGTCGATGGTGCGTTGGCGAGGAGTGAACGATGAAAGCCATGGCAAGAGTGGAGGTTCACGGCGGTTGCACGGTTGCTGCCAAGACTGGTTGCATGAATGACACATGCCCCATGATGATTGGCCAAACGGTGGAACTTCACCAGAACTCCTGTCCCGCTCTATCCGCCAAGGCCCGACCAGCCCGACCGCTTGCTTGTGGTAGTAAGGCATCCTTATGCTCCAGATCGCACCTGTTGTAACGAACCACGCCCAGCAACATGCTTACTTCAGGCTTCAGCAACGCACCAATCTCTCAAGGCCTCGTAGCTAGCGTTGTCTTGCTATCAATCCTGGCTACTGTGACAGACACGAAGTACTATCTCTGGATCGAAATCCGGCCGCATCTATTCGATTATGGCCAGTTCTGGCGGCTGCTCACGTGGCAGTTGTGCTACACGAACAGTACAGAGGTTCTCTTTGCTGCCATGACGTTCTACCACCTGCGGATCGTTGAACGGCTGTGGGGAAGCAGAAAGTTTGCTGTAGGCGGAGACGGCTAGTCAGAGTCAAGCCAGAAAGGTAGGCTGACAGGTAGGTAGTCCTTCATACTGTCCACACTCCCATACACTACGCTGTTGCCGCCGCTTCTGCTTGTTCTCGTCATCCGTCCTTTGAGCTTCGGCCGCATCAACTACTTGCCCGCTGGACCGACCCCGATCGTGTTCGCTTTGCTTGCACAATATCACGCAGCGATTCCCTACTTCTACAAATACCGTCTTTCCAGCAGCGTCCCAACATCAACCTCGGCCGGGACACAAAGGGAGTACGGCCTTGACTTGACCTCGAAGTCGACTTCCTACCTTTTACCGCTGCAGCTTGCGCTTTCACAGTTACCCGGCTCTGCGATTGCGGCAGCCGTTGGCTGGCTAATAGGCTTTGCTTACCGAAGAGAGATTTTGCCCGGTGCGGCAAGGTGGAGGGTGCCAAATTGGCTGCTTGGTGGGGCGGCACAGAAAGAGCATTATGACTCCCTGAGGCGGAGAATGGAAGGTGAAGCGGGAATAGCAACGGGCGTCGAGACCAACCGGGAACATGTGCGACGAAGAGGCGTAGTTGGTGGGCTGATAGATCAGTTTCGGGGCGCCGTCTGAGCGAAGCACGCACGTGAAGCACGCGACACTATGCTATCTTGGCCTTCGTCTTGTCCGGTATGCCCAGAGCGCTCTCCTCGAACCGTCGCATGAGCTTGTTGGTCTGCTCCGCCAGACTCAGCGTCAAGATCGTATGCGGCAAGATACGCGCCAAATGTGCAAAGAAGCCCTTATATACAGCCAGAATCCCCTCAGTTTTGACCGTACGGTACAAGCAATCGAAAGCGCCCGAGTACAGATTGCCGGTCTGGTTGTACATTCGGCTCATGACCGTGTCCGGAGGATGCATGAACACACACACCACAAACCCAGACGCCGTGGAAGATAGCAAATGCAGTGGCGCTCCGTCTGGCATGTCGAACCACGACTGGAGCCGCCTTTTCGCGAGGAAGTATGTCGGTAACTGCACGGCAGACCCGAAGCCTGTCCGAACCATTGCAGGATAGATGCCGCGATACAGGCCGCGGATGCCTTCTGCTCGGTAGATCTGGCTCAAGCCGTCCCACGCGTTGCGGTACTGATGCTGGGTGCCCACAGGCAAGAAGGGCGAGTAGGACTGTAACCTGGTTTTGACAAGGAAGAAAGGCGAGCCGGCCGCCGCGCCGAGGATACCAGACGTGGCGCCAGAGAAAATGTTAATAGGCAGGCTTTGGTACTGCTTCACGCGTGTATCTTGCATATGGGAGAGGTCTCTGTTGAGAGCTAGTGAATTGAGCGACGTTCGTATAGGGTCGTAGAAGCCAAGCCGACAGCCATTGAGCGTCATTTGGTAGATGTACTGCGATCGCAGGTCAGCAAAAGTCCGTCACAATCGCCTGGACTCTTGGCGTACTGCGCAGCTCAATCCGCGTAGCAGCCCTCTCATGCCTTCATTCTGGTATATCACCCTAACGCCATGCAGCACACCTCGATACAGTTTCGGCGCATCTTGCTTCGCTTGCAGCTCGCCCTGCAACTGTAGCCGGATCTTAACTGTCTCGAAGGAGTGTGTGACCGTGACCGCGCCGCATGCCGCTATGCCGCCAGCAATGAATGAGCCAAGTGTCGTCGACATGCCAGCTGCCTCTTCCTGTCCACCCTCTCGTCTCCGCCTCAGATCCTCGACCGTCCGTTCACGCTACAGCATCTGCAGAATAATCGGGGGGAATTGTACACCTCTTATAGGGCGGCACTGTAATGACTGAGTGCTTAGTAGCGAGACGTAAGCGGGTCTTACAGTAGGGCACCGAGCGAAGGCTTTCAGACGATCCTTGTGATCGACGAGGGCTGATCCGCAAAGCTCCACTTAACTTCCCAAAGGGGCAAAAGCGACACACGACACGCCAAACTCGTAAGCGTGCACTTTTGGACGTACTCTCATGCTACCAAGTCGGTAAGAAGGCCGATAAGATGACAGCCGATCACGCAACGACGCAGTTCACGAAAGTGCAAGATGTTGTCCAGAACTATCGGCCGAGCAAACTCTTCAAGGCGCCACCAACAACCACATACACAAGCATAGACTTCGACGACACCGGCGAATTCCTACTACTCTCTCGCTCCGACGACACGATCCAGCTCTACAACGCCAAAGCCGGCGCGCATGCCAAAGAGCTCAAATCGCAGAAGTATGGCACGGCACTGGCGCGCTTCACACATCATCCGATGTCAGTCCTCTACGCCAGCACAAAGATTGACGATGGCATTCGCTACTTGTCCATGCACGACAACAACTTCATCCGCTACTTTAAAGGCCACCAGGGGAGAGTGACGAGCCTCTGCCTTAGTCCAAGTGGCGACCATTTCCTCAGCGGCAGCCTCGACAACACAGTCAAGCTGTGGGATTTCCGGTCCCCTCACCCCCAAGGCGAGCTCAGCTTCGACGCAGCGCCTTACCTGGTCGCTTACGACCCAAGCGCGAGCGTCATCGCCATCGCCTCGACGCCCGCGCAGCAAATCCTGCTGTACGACCTCAAGAATTACGACAAGCCTCCCTTCGCCGAGTTCGACTTGCTGGAGACGGAGAAGAAGTACATCCACCTCGGCCAACGACCAGCCGAAGGCTGGACTGGCATCGAATTCAGCAACAACGGCAAATACATGCTCATCTCCACGAACGGCCCAGGCCACTACCTCATCGACGCCTTCAGCGGTGATCTGATCCACTACCTTCACCGGCCCAGTGGGAACACCCACCGTCTAGCACCCGGCGATGTACTACTAGACGGAAATGCTTCGTACGTTCAGGCAGATGCTTGCTTCACGCCCGACGGTCGCTACGTTGTAGGTGCCGCTGGGTCCTCGAAACCTGGTCTGCTGGTCTGGGACGCACAAGAGCCTGAAGGCAAAGGTCGTGTGCTGGAGCCTACGGTTGATTTGCCGTGCACGAAACCTGCCGCGGTCGTGGCGCACAATCCGCGGCATAATCAGCTGGCTTCGGCGGACAAGGAGTTGGTGATGTGGTTGCCGGACATGGACCTGACGTAGTGTCAACGATGTGGCAGTTCGACTTGCGGGACATGCTTGCGCGAATAATTGAAGTTTTAGCGAGGCGTTCGGCGCAATGCCAGTGGGGCGCCATAGCATTAGACAGTCGAGTGCTGATAGGAGTAAGTTTTGATGAATGGAGATATAATCGTATTCAGTATCTGATCTTAATCCTTTCGTACGCCTTGCGTGAACAGGTATGCAATCAGTAGCACAGTATGGAATCGACAGCATGCAACCCAAACCCAGTGACGGCGTGTTTACCAGCCGTGTCCATGTCCAAACGCCGTCAGCACCAGCCAGAAAGCAAGCGTCTAAAAGTCCTCGTCAAATGCAAAATCGCCGTTCATCACCGGCGCGGCGACAGCCTCGGCACCGCTCTCAACTGCCTTCTTCGCTTGCTGCTTCTTGCTCTTCTCCATCACACTAGCCTTCTGGTAGTCTCCGACCCGCTTCTCGAAGAAGTTGGTCTTGCCTGCCAGTGAGATATTTTCCATGAAGTCAAAAGGGTTCGTAGCATTGTAGTGCCTACTCAGGCCCAGCGCCACGAAGAGACGATCGGCAACAAACTCAATGTACTGGCACATAAGCTTGCTGTTCATGCCCAGCAGGGCGCAAGGGAGAGCATCGGAGAGGAACTCCTGCTCGATGACGACTGCCTCCGTGATGATCTTCGTGACTAGCTCCTTGGAAGGCTTGTGTCTGAGGTGAGAGTAGAGCAGACAGGCGAAGTCGGTGTGCATGCCTTCGTCACGGGAGATGAGCTCGTTGGAGAAGGTCAAACCGGCCATGAGGCCACGCTTCTTGAGCCAGAAGATAGATGCGAATGAGCCGGAGAAGAAGATGCCTTCCACTGCTGCGAAGGCGATCAGTCGGCAGGCGAAGGTGGAGTTCTTGTCGCTGATCCAACGGAGGGCCCAGTCGGCCTTCTTCCGGATGCACGGGATGTTGTCGATGGCGTTGAAAAGGTACTGTCTTTGCTTCGGCTCGCTGATGTAGGTGTCGATGAGGAGGGAGTAGGTCTCCGAGTGGATATTCTCCATCATGATCTGGAAGCCGTAGAAGCATCTTGCTTCTGGGATCTGCACTTCACCGCTGAAGCGTTCGACGAGGTTCTCATTGACGATGCCATCTGATGCGGCGAAGAAGGCGAGGACATGCGAGATGAAGAACCGTTCGTCGTCGTTGAGTCGCTTGTTCCAGTCGTGAAGGTCTTTAGATAGATCGATCTCTTCTGCTGTCCAGAAGGACGCCTCGGCTTTCTTGTACATCTGCCAAATCTATGACAATGCGTTAGTGCGGAGTTGGTGGGATGATGCAAGCACTTTACGCGTAAAAGCGCGTTGTGTCTGGATGGGACGCGACACTTACCTCGTGGTACTTGATGGGGAAAAGGACGAATCTTTGCGGGTTCTCCTGTAGTATCGGTTCTGATGCTTCATCTTCTTTGATGCCTTCTGCTACTGTGAGTTCTGGTTGCTGTACAGGCACCTCTTCCAGAACGGGTATGCCTTTGATGGGAACGGCGACCTCATCTGACCGATATTGCGCGTCGAGGATGTTCTCCTTGTCCGCTTCGGATGACAGATGTAGTTTCTTTGCTGGCGACTCCATTTGCAGACCCGCAAAAGCCGAGGCAGCCTGGCATTAAAATCAGTGGAAGGGCGCTATGAATGGGAGAGGGCGGCGTTGTGGCTACCTTCTTTGAAGGCGTCGTTTCTATGCTCATATCTGCGTTGCTCTATGTATGCTGAGTGGTGATATGCAAGTGTCGATGGCACAATGAGGTCGAGGCGGTGATGCAAGTCGAGGTTGTAATGTGTAGCAACAAAGGGAAGACGTGCCTTTAATGTAGAGACGCGATGCGAGCGCGCTTTGAGCTGTTTTGGCTTGGCGTTTTCGTCACTGCAGGCGGGCCGAAACGGTCGACGCGTTTATTGCGGTGGCTGGCAGAGCGACTTCGCTCGAGCATTTCATCAATGCGCAAATGTGCTACATTATATGGACCCCATTCCTTTTTGAGAGGGGAGACTATAAGTGTGCATGCTTATGCAAGTCGTTGGTGGACGCCATGGAAACAGCAGTCAATAAGCAGCCTCGGGTGGCATCAGCATAGAAGCCCATCTGCAGCGTGATTCAAGACCGCAACCACGATCGGAGCCAGAACATGGTGCCGGTGCAGAGGTATACGCTGGTTGTCATGGCCTTCGTCATGACAAAGGAGGACTGTTCGCAGTATATCCTCCTGTGATGTGGCTATGCTACCTAGTCCTTCATGATCTATGAGTGGATGCACAGTCTCCAAATCTGTAGGCATACCAACAATCATTGGTACCAAACGGACCGGATGCCACGAATGGCGAGAAGCTCCCGGAAGCTGTTCTCCGGGAGTAGAGCAAGGCAAGCACGAGCTTGCAAATATTCCGCTCCTTCCCTTTTCGTTTCTGTTACTCCGGCCCCACATTAACAACCCGCACACGCCTCTCAGTATAAGCAGTTAACCCCACGTTATGGTTGAGACCTGAGCTACTGGAACATGCGATATGGAGAAGGACGCCGCTGTTCGCTTCGGGCCTGGCGGTCAATACAGCAGTGGTGAGTAGCATTGCAATTCTCGCAGGGAATGGTTACTGACGCTACAACGATCAGGATCGTCACCAGAGCACCGGCGTGAGTGCCCCAAGTGGCTGCAAAGGGGATATTGCCTGGATGGCGAGGCCTGCAAGTTTTGGCACGGCCGTCAAAGCTCGGTGAATGACAGAAGTGCGGACCTCCTTCTCCTTGGTCGCAAACACGTGGCTTTGTGCGAAGCATGACTGACCTAACCCTTACGATGAAGGCTCCGGCCAGACCAAGCGACACTACAGCGTGGACAAGCTCCGCGAAATCGGCCTCTCATGCAGCACGCGTCTCCCCCCAGCCTCGGCGGTGCAAGCGATGTTCTTGTACGAGTTACAGCGCGATGTCGAGGTGCAGCAACTCTTCGACTATGAGATGTTCCGCCTCGCGCGTAACGAAGACGCAGTCAACAACACAGAGACCCGCCTTGACGCGGTGGAAGCCGAGCTGAAAGCCTTGAACCAGGTCGTAACGTCAAGGGAAGACGAGGAGCGCATCGCTACCAGCAAGGCTCGCTTCGACACCCAGCAGGCCAAGCTTGAGGATTGCAAAGCAGACCTCCAGGCGAACCAGAATAGCATCACCGGCCTGAGTGCCGAGGTAAAGAAACTTCAGGACGCCGCGGCTGCTGAGAAGGAGCAACCAGTCAAAGAAAGCGAGCCTGAAGCTTCAACAACCACCATGCGGAGCGAAATCGACACCCTCTTCGACGAGCGTGACGCTATGCTTGATTTGATCGCCAACGGCCAAGCGCGCATTGAGAAGCTCGAAGACCTGGTTCGACAGCTCACACTCCAGCACGCCACAACCGCCTCCTCGACAAGTGGCAGCTCTCCTAAAACGAAGAGTGTGTCTCCGGCACAAACTCAACGCATCCCGCTGCAAACACCGAACGGTCAGCATGTCGAGCTGGCCGTACCCAAAGGCACCGGTTTGACTGCCAACGGAATTGCAGCAGCGCGAAAGGAGAATAAGCTGCCACCACATCTTCGCGCCTTCACTCCTGGCGAGCAGTGGGCCGCTTAGAGGGAGCAGCATGAGTGCCGCTCATCAGAGGGCGTAGGCTTCCATCGCGAGGTGTCTGTGGAAAGCAGCGTTGGGGGGCGACGCAAAATGTCAAACGTATCACGTCGCGCACGCGTCGAAGCCTACAGCAAGGTGTTATGTACAGAATGTAATTGACCGCTGTCCGCCCAAGTCATGCTCTATACATACGTCCAGGGGTATGCTCATCCCATCATCTCATGCCAAGGCGTGCACCAAACCCGAAGTGCCCTCATACCGCAATACTGGCACTACGCAAACGTGATACCCTTCCGTTGCAGATAGCTGCCCAACAACCCATCCAAATCACCCATCATCTTGTCCAGCCCCTTGCGCTCATTAACAAACAAGCCAGCCATGAGCGGATGATCCACGCTGATGGGCGTCACGCCGTTCTTATCATGTATCATGACGAGCATATCGCGCACCTCCGAGCCATCGTCGAGCCACGAGCGCAGACCGACGTCTGACCATACTTGCTCCTTTATGCTCGGCGTTGACGGCGTGTTCGGAGATAGTCGTGAAGAGTCGGTGCTTGCTGCCGAGAGCTCTCTTGTTGGGGTCTGGGTGCTTATAGGGGCAGTTGCTGTGGCCACTGGGTTTCTAGTGACATCTGTCTCCGGGGAACGAGGTGCAGTCGGCGTGGACTCATCATCCTCCCTCTCCTCCTCCTCCTCCTCCGTGTCTTGCGCCTGTGGCGTTTTGGCCCGGTGAACCGGACCACTCTCGAGTTCAGTAGGCGACGGGTGCTCAACAATAACCGGACTGCTCGACAAGCTCTCCTCCAACCCACCATCGTAAGCGGCGATCAGGTCCCCAGGCGTAGGCACATGCACAATCTCCGTCCCATGCATGAACGTCCCTGGCATGGCGTCGGTAGGCTGGAGCAGTGGCGCGCTGTCTTGCACTTCCTTCTCCGACGAGACACGCTGCTGCTGCTGGTGCTGGTGCTGGTGCTGGTGCTGCTGCCTCTCCTCCTGCTCCTTGAACGGGTTCGGCCCGTCTTCATCCACCGGTGAGTCAAAGTCATCGAGTTCAACGCGCTGCTTGGCCCGCTTGACCTTCTCCTTCTTCGGCTTGGCGGCAGGTGTAGGCTCCGCGTTCTCTTCATAACTTCGCGACGCGTTTTCTTCCTCCAGTTGCGGTGTTGCTTGACGTGGTGCGAGCTGCTGCTCTGCCGCGGCCATCTCGTGCGCGACTTCGCTGCCTTCCAATTCCGCCACAATAGCCCCCTGGGGCTTGTCAGTAGCCGCACGCACAGGCGCGGCGGTGTTACCAGGAGGCGGCTGCTTCTGCAACTTCGCTCTGCTCGCAGGTTGTCTCTGCGCTTCAACGCTATTCGCGCTCGGAGACCTCTCGATCGGCGATGTCCCGCCGCTTGTCAAAGGGCTGGCTTTGGGTGATTCCGACCGGTTCATCTCAACAGAAGGCTTCTCCATATCGCTTTCAGTCCCAAAGTCCTCTTTGCTCTTCTTGTCCTTCTTCTTGCTCTTGAATAGACCACTCAGCATGCCGCCCTTTGGCTTCTCTTTCTTTGCGCCCTTGCTCTCTTTCTTGGCTAGCTCTGTCGGTGAAGTGACCTTGACTAGATTTTCCGTGCTCCCACTACGTGCGCTCTCCGACGAAACCGACTTTGTCGATGCGTTGTCTTCCCGAAGTAAGCCAGGCGTGAGCGTGATTTTCCGGGTCTCGATCGTATCGTCTTTGAGGAAAGAGTCTGTGTTTCGTGGTGTGCCCTTCCGTGACTTGAGCGGTGCCGCCTCGGTTTTGTCGACAAGTTTCGGACTGAGTTGTGGTTCCTCAATCGCCAGTGCTGCTGTAGCCGCTTGTTCACGATCGAAAGATGCACGCTTCGACTGCATGCTCGAATGCTCCTCCTCCTCATCCGCTTTCGTGGCAATGGTTTCATGGTCTTCAACGTGGCCGTTTTGCTGAGGCTCTTCTACCTGGGCGCCAGCACCGTAAGGTTCGTTCATGGCATGCTCTTCGTCTTCTGTGGAGTAATCGTAATCGGAGGCCTCGACGTATGTTGGCGCTGCGAACTGCACAGTCTTGGCGTTCCGTCTCCGTATGGCCTTCATTACAGGGTTTCGTGTCTTCTCGGAATTATCACTAAGCATAGTAGCAGAAAGCTGGTAGCATACATCAGCACTGCGAAGAGAACGGTACCGGCAATACGTCTTGACTTACGTCTATGTTGCGGTGTTTGTTCAATCGTGCAAGTCGTTCGGTCGGCGTCTCGATGTGCTCTGCTGGTAAGTATCCTGCGCGTGTATCGGTCAGCCGTTCGGAGCGGCTATCACAATAAAGAATTGGGAACGTACCTATACTGCTGTCTTTGACCACCCTGACAAGCCACCAATAGCTGTTACTATCGTCGAGCAGCACCATGGTGTCGCCCTTGGTAGCGTTTGCTTGGCCTTCTACCGTCGCAACGAAAGTATGTAATGCGTAAACGAATTCAAAGTCGATGTCTTCTGCCTCGCGTAAGCATTCGCCTCCCCATCCATGATCAACGTAAGGAGAGTCAAGGTTTAAGAAAACGTCATTTGCATCATCGTTGACTTGGCCATTGTCGGAGGATTGTTGGTTGGTGTCGGAGACGCCTTCCCAGGAGTCACTGTCGTTCGGCGAGGGAGGTGTGTCGAGCAGCGGGTCGTCAACCGGTAAAAGCACGTCCGCCAAGTCGACGCTGCCTAGACTCGTCAAGCTTGGTGACTCCGCGATGCCAGGTTCGAACAGTTTCGCGGCTGTGCGTGCCCATGAATGTCTCCGAAACGGACTTTCGATCGGTCGGGCGTCCGTGCGGACAATGACAGAACGCTCAGAGTGGCCATCCTCCTGAAACCGATCAAGCGGACCTTGAAGCCGACTGCCAGTCTCCGTGTCGTCGTCCAGCTCGGACATATTGTCGTGTAACCCAGAATACTCACCACGATGATGCTCGGACTCTGAAAAGCGTACGCTTCCATCGCACTGATGGAAAACCGCAGAAGAGATTGCTGACTGCTCGTCAAGAGGCAGATTGGATTCCTAATCCATCGCTTTCGACAACGGCGACACTTCTCTCTCCGGCCACAGCCGTCGACAAAGCGGCAGATGCTCTGGTGTCCGGACGAATGGGCTAGAGTCTGCAGTAGAGCACGAATCCGTGGAACTGTTGAAGTCCTCACGTGTAGGGGTTGCAGTAGGTGTCGGAGAAGGCGACAGACTTGACGTTCTAGTCGGCCATATTCTCAAGCACGCTGCAACCGCCATGCTGATTTTGTGTGGAGTTGAAGAAGATTGGGAGTACCCACCATCGTCAATGCTCGGAGAGCTCGATATTCGATCCATCATGTCATCATCCCCTTCACTCTCACCGTCGGTGCCCTCGCCTCCTTCCTCGCCGTCTTGGTGAACTCCATTGGCGGCATCAGCGTTAGCTTGCGCCTCATCGATCGCGCTCGGCTCTTCGGTCAAGTTTTCAGTGTGGTTCCATGCGTCCGCTAGCGACTGTTCCTCGGTTTGCCTCTCTTCTACTACATGGTGTAGTTGTGATGCTTGATGCGGTGCGAGTCCGTTCTGTAACGGCTGTTTCTGGTGTCGCGCCGCCGAAGGATGGTCTTGATCTTGAAGATCGATCGTATCTAAAGCAGTCATGAGTAACGTATTGCTCAAGACCCATCCGCTTGCTATCGTCCATCCTACCTGCTCGCACAGGGTTCGGCCGTGCCATCTTGTCCGTCCTCCACATGCGGTCCAAGGGCCCCTCGGCCCACAACGCTGCCTTTTGTTCGCACGCGGCCGATCATGCACGGTAACAGTATCAGCCTAGTACACGTGCAGGACGGTTATCGAAGCTCGTGAGGCGCTTGCTTGATGGTGAGATGCTTAGAGTAGTGCCGTATGGTCTATCGCGCAAGATGTGGCTGGTCGTGAAATCCAAGTGGGCCGTGTGGGGCGCGTTCGCGTGGTGTGTTTGTTCGTATTGTCGCAGGAATCGATCAAGACGCTCAATGTGGGAGAACGTACTCGTGTCGGTAGTTACAAGTGCTACGAGGTACGGTGCGGTATGGTAGAGGCTGTAGTGCCAGAAAATGATGGCCCACCCCTTTGCCCCGAGGCCATTGTTCGTTCCAGATACGGTTCGGATGCACAGCCGTGTGGAGTCGGCAGAGGAGCCGCCTTGCTTTCATTCGCTATTGCCCACGCGGACGCGGGTCCAACGTCTCCCGGGACCGGAGCTAGCGCGCCGCTGCCTTGAATTGAAGATCAAAGCAGTACTGCACAAACGGGCAAAAGTACGGGTTTCATGGACCATGATAACACTGCGCGTTCAAGGCAGGAACGAAGGGAAAGGTAGTCACAGCAATTCATCAACTTGTCGACGTTGTCCAAATCGTACAGTTTTTCTGTCATGAGTACACCACCACCACACGTAGATAGTCCTCGTGCAATCATCCCAGCTTCCTCGAACCTCTGCACTATCCCGCACTTCGTCAACAACCTAGTTGGTCGAATTTCCCCCCCTGCAAAGTCAAGCATAGCACCACGAAGTTGCTGCTCAGCATCCATGGGCTGAGCCAGCGGCGTTAAAGGTTGCGTTGCGTCTGGGAACGCGACGCGCTTGGTCCGATAGTCGTGACCGAGATTGAGCAACTTGTGAGCATTCCAGGTCCACCGTTCTGGTATGCCCGTTGGATCCAGGCGCAAATAAGGACGCAAGTGTTTGGAGATTATCACATCAAGGCCGGACCGAGACGCCAGTGCCAGCAGCGAGAGAGTCGTGAGCGACATTAAGAGCATGATATCGCAGCTGACGCTAGCCGGGGCCAGTCCAGATTATGCCATCAGACCAGCAGCAGCGCCAGACTCGCTCGCGTTGCTCCAACCGAAGCTGCGGGGTATCTCATAATCCATGGCGAACTCGCCGTTGTGGGCTTGCCGCCGGGTGCAGGAAGCGTCTTCTAGAACAGCATGATTGGTATTCTCTTGTCCAAGGCCGCGGATGAGAACAGGTACCTGGTCAGGCCCGTAGCCGACGCTCCTGAACCATCGGCAGTGCGAGCGATGGTGTGAAGCCTCATTCAAGGATTGCCAGATCAAGGCTTCGCTGTAAACCGGTCGGCCGCGGCCAGCCGAGTGCTAAAGTTCGAGGTATAGCCTGTAGAGGCCTCTCTTTCGGTTCGCTGTCGGTTAACGCAAGCGCCCATGGCTTGTCGTGCCCAAAATGTTTATAAAGCATCCACGGCCCTCATTGCGCTGCCATACTCTTCCTCAACTGCCTCTGCCTTTGCCCTGCCTGTAGTTCCAACCGACTGACCGCATAGCTCAACCGTTCCTTCTTCTGTCGCAATTGTTGCAACCTCAACTCCTCCGCCGCGCTCAACGCGTCCGCACCATTGGGTGTCGCCGCCGCCGGAGCCTTCGCGCCTGAAGCTCGGTTCGCACCGGCACTGGTTCGCGACAGCCTTCCCTCTTGCAGCTCTGCTTTCGCAATGAGCGATTGCTCCCGCCGCTCTAGCTTGTCCAGGTACGTTTCCACGCGGGAGAGGAGATTAGTGACTTCAGGTTGGATTTCGGACAGCAGCGAGGATTGGGCGATGGCAAGGTCGTGGGAGGATATGAGCTCGAAGTGCTACAAGCGAGCCATCAGCGATGCGTAAAACGAGTACCGTGAAGTTTTGAGTGGCCAAGCATACTCGTGTTGTCTGCAGTACTTTGGCTAGCCTAGTGTAGTCGCTCACGCCCGAGTCGAGAATGTTGATGCTAGAGTCGAGAAGCTGCATGCTTGAGCGCAAGGAGGAGACACAGCCTTGTAGGGCATTGTGAGAGGTATGATCCATCTAGCCGCCGGCTACATTCGTTACACAGCCCTCACATAGCATTTGTTATCTGCATCATGCTGAGTAGGCGACGCGACTCGCGTTAGGCTCTCCGGCGTTTCCTCGGCTGGAAGCTCTTCGCTCTCAATGCCAAGCATCTCCTCCGTCTCCTCTCAAAGCATCACCTCCGGCAGCGCACCTCCATCACATCCCGGCACTTCCAACCACGCCGTCAAGATGCATCCCACACTCCGACGCATGCAAGAGCAAGGTGGTACCAGCCGGTCATTGCTGGGCAAGAACTTCCGGACGCCAATCTGTCAGTAGTCGCTCAAGCACCGGTGTTGGAAGTTGGGGTCATGGACTGACAGCTCAACAGTGAGACACATGTGGCCTTTCTACTCTGCTGGTACGCATGATCTGAGCCATCAACGCGCCCGGGACCAGTCCGAGGCGCCGGTCAAAGCGCATGAAGTCCAGAGGCTGACAAGATACTTCTCCGCAGGCCTTATTATCGCATACGGTGTTGCCAACATGGCTGGTATGCTTGCGAACTGTACGTTCTACCCCTCCACCTACCTTGGAAGAGCAATTGCTCGCAATAGAGACTACCGGATGCGATAAGCTAACATAATGGGTGCGTTCACAGCCGACGAGTACCGGAACGATCCCAGGAACCCAGCACTCAAGAGCCGTGCGCCAGAGAAGCATTAAACGGCGAAGGTGGCTACTGGAGCAAAGTCCTGAGAAGCGGTGTACAGTATGGCATTGGGTGTGAGGAGCATGTGCTCACCGCTACCCATTCGCTGGTGGTGACTGGCGAGCAATATCCGGCTTGTACATATACTGTCAAACACGGCACGCAAAGGCGGCTAGTCTACTTGTGCAACGCTCTCAACAGCTCACTTTACAGACTGGGAGCGTGATCCTACCTGGGAAAGATCCGAAAGGATGAAGTCGCTAGGCAGTGAGTGACTGCAATCTCTGCTAACTCGAGGTTTCACTGTGGTGAGCCACAGTGGCCACTGGACAGGTCCGCCAAGCAAGAGATCAGCTGTGGTTTGAACGCTCTGTTTTCCATCAGCATGAATGTAATCAACTATTGCCTTGACTACTCTGGCGTAGCCTACGCCTGCAAGCAACATGCTCCAGGTTGTAAACGAGACTTATGGATGCCCTTCAGTGTAGTCTCCATAGCGAGGCTCCACGGCAGATCTTGTCCGGAAAGCGTCGTTCTTTTAATTGTGTCTTCGGCAGCCGTGGCCGGATCGGTAAACGTTTCAGATCCTTTGTGTACCGCCACGCCCAATCACCTTGTGCCGCTCGCTGCAAGAGCACCATTGAATGTGAGTAACGCACTCCTCTTGGAGCAAACAGTGTGCGCCCAATGCGACTCGACAAGGCGTACGGACAGCGTGCAGGCAGAGTCTCTTGGTGGTTGTAGAAGCGAAGCGAGTGTGAAGCAGCAGCGATCGACATTGGCAGCGGTCTGTCAGGGCCGAGACAATTAGAGAGTGACCGGCGGTGCATGACAATCACAAGTGCCGCATATCCTTGCTCACTTCGCTCCCTTATATGAACGACAAACTTGACTGCTTCACGTGAGTCTATATCCTTCACCAAAACCACGAGTCTTCACTGCGAAGTGTGCCTGCTGCATTTTGTGGCGGCGGGCGGTTGTTGGTTTGCCGCTGTCGGGTGCATCGCGCCTTAAATCACGCTCTTCTCCACCGGGCGCTGAGGCCCAAGAAAGCTTGGCACTGCCATCCGAGCACCACTCACCGATCTTGCAGCTGCACGCTGATCCAACACTTGCCCACCCCAGATCACCACCGACCACCCCTTCACCCCCACCACCACTGCCACATCACGACCGCCATCACGTTGAAGATATCGAAGACCTCACTCAATACCGCTCGGTAGAAATACTGAGCAGTCGACACCCCTCCCGGAAACAACAGCCCGGCCTCTGGGCAAACGAGGCTGAACGACACGATGACGACCATGGATTTGCGAGTGAGTATATGGTGGTATGGCGATATTGTGGCCATGTATTGACCCGCTGTGTGTTTCTAGGTCGGGAACAGTTCGTCAGCCTTATCCAGCACGCCACGTCACACACACTGACAGCATGTAGAGTACCGAATAGGCAGGAAGATCGGTAGCGGTTCCTTCGGTGACATCTATCTGGGTATGTGCATGCAGAGTGTGGAACAGCGCGTGGGAGAAATGCACTAACACGTGCTCAATACAGGCACGAACATCATCTCCGGCGAAGAGATCGCCATCAAGCTGGAAAGCGTGAAGGCGAAGCATCCACAGCTCGAATACGAGGCCCGCGTCTACAAGTCTCTTGCCGGCGGTGTTGGTATTCCCTTCGTAAGATGGTTTGGCACAGAATGTGACTATAATGCCATGGTGCTCGATCTGCTCGGCCCCTCCCTCGAGGATCTCTTCAACTTCTGCAACCGCAAGTTCTCCCTCAAGACGGTGTTGTTGCTGGCGGATCAACTCATCTCTCGCATCGAGTACATCCATGCAAAGAGCTTCATTCACCGCGATATCAAGCCGGACAACTTTCTTATGGGGATCGGTAAGAGAGGCAACCAGGTGAACGTGATCGACTTCGGTCTGGCGAAGAAGTACCGCGACCCGAAGACGCACTTCCACATTCCGTATCGTGAGAACAAGAATCTGACGGGCACGGCGCGCTATGCCAGTATCAACACTCATCTAGGTGTCGGTAAGTGTATGTGTCATTCAGTGAACGTAGCTCCCGCTGACGTTGTGCAGAGCAATCGCGTCGTGACGACATGGAATCTCTCGGCTATGTCATGCTCTACTTCTGCCGTGGCTCGCTTCCCTGGCAAGGCCTGAAGGCGGCGACCAAGAAGCAGAAGTACGACCGCATCATGGAGAAGAAGATGACGACGCCCACCGAAGTTCTGTGCCGTGGCTTCCCGAACGAGTTTGCCATCTACCTTAACTACACCCGTAGTCTCCGCTTCGACGACAAGCCTGATTACTCCTACCTCCGCAAGATCTTCCGTGATCTCTTTGTCCGCGAAGGCTTTCAGTACGACTACGTCTTCGACTGGACCGTGTACAAGTACCAGAAGAACGCACAGGCGATTGCGGCAAGCAACCAGGCTCAGAACCCGCCCGCAGAGGAGACGGACGACAAGGCCGGCGGCCGCACCACCAACAAGGCCACGGCTGGCGGCGGACAAACGGCCGCTACTGGTACCCTAGGTACTGGGTTCACCAAGGAGCGCCGCGCTGTCAACAACAATAACTCCAAGACTGAGGGCACTGGAATGTGAGTTGAGACATTCGCCATCCGCGCCACCTTCTCCTCAGCACACTGTCTCTTGTAAGGCGGCACTTTCTCCTCTTGCATTGAAGCTTGTGTGCGCGCTGCGAGGAGACAAGGAGACTTTGGCTGACGTTTCGTGTTCTCGATAATAGGCAACTGCGTTCCAGCAAGCGTGGCGCTGATCAGTCTGGCAGCTATAACAACTACTGAAGAGGACCCTAGTAAACGGCAGGGTTGCCACCTTATCACCACTACTCGATGATCGACTGGACTCTGGGGAAACTGGACGACCGCTCGACATCAACTCCATTCTTTTTATCGTATCGGTGCGAAGCTTGTGTGAATACTGGCTGGCCGTCTCGGAATGTTTCGCTTCTCGCTTGGCCCTAATTCATCAATAATGACTGGTCTTGCAAAGAGAAGCGGACACCATGGCTAGCCGCACATCTAAGCATTCGACTTAGCATACTTATCTGGCAGTGTCACTCGGCAGGGTTTTCGGCAAAGCTGGACCCACCTGCAGGCTTACACGGCCACCCAGACACTGCGTCTATGCCGATTCGATGTGTTGCATTCCATCTGTGAGGAAAGGATGTCGACCACGATCGATCCGATCACGAAGAGGAGACTCTCAGAAAAAGCACAAAAACATTGCTTCAGACCTTAGGTTTCCTTGGTGCGTTCGATTGGCTTGACTATTGGGTTGGTTTTCTTTGAGTGCTGCTGCTGAAAGCAGGCCGATTGGAATGCAAGGCGGCTTCTGCGGTGCGGTCGGATGAGATGGAGACGACGCGTGGGGAGGCAGTGACTGAGTTTTGCAATTGGGTCGGGGGGTCCTGAAGCTATAACATGGAACCAGACTGTGAGAACGGAATTTACGGCAGAGGCAGAAAGACATGTACTCCCAATGCAATCGCGCTTTGTAGCTGCGGTGCCGATAGGAGGTAGATGCGCCTAGCCTTCAATGCCACCTCTTTGATCCATCACACCTCCAACGTTCGTACCTCGCGTCCAGGTGGTAGACGTTCCTTCTGTAAGACATAGGTGTGGCCTTTGGCTCCTGCTGTCTAGCACGTGAGATCGTTCCCACTTCGCCTCCACGCTAGCATCAATTCGGCTTTTCGCGGCAAGCATGCTCGCGTGCCTCTTTGCAACCACACCTTTACCATCGAAGTCTTATTCAACAGCTCGCAGCATGTCTATGAATGCAACTCTGCATAGCGCAGTGTGTGCATCATGCCGGCTGAGGGCGAGCATCAGTGCGAAACAGCTCGCCAGGAGTAGGGGTCCTTACGGGTTGCAGAGGCAATGGGAGGCGAGATGGTTTGGTACGACAAGATCGCGAAGCATGCCAAGGGCGAGACCGAAGTATGTGAAGACCGGTGCTGCGGAGTATGAAAGATTGGAGGATGAGACCAAAGCATTCGGAGCGCGAGCTAGAATCAATTCAGCAGCGGAGGAAGAAGATCAGACAGGTTTAGCAATAGACGCGCACAGACGACGGACGGGATCGCGTATCGACGTAAGCATCGATGGCAGACTAGAGGGTCTTTCGGGTGGTACAAGCGTGCTGAGAATGGCCGATGATGGAGCGCTTGAGGAGATCGAACTTGATAACGAGGGGAGTCAGAGAGGGAAGAAGAGTCGAAGGAAGAAGGGCCGGAAAAGCCTGGATGCTGAGGAAGAAGTTACGCTAGAAGAGGTTGCTGCAAAAACTAGACGGGAGGCGCTGGCGGACTACGACCGGCTGCACATGAACGCGGAGGCTGATGCAGAGATTGCAGAAGATGGTGATGGCGAATTGACGTTGCGAACACATCCTTTGACGCTGGCGAACCGCTTCGGTACCATGCCAACAACGCTACAGCTACCAAAGGACGCATTCGTTGAGCCTGCGACGCTGCTTCTGTCTGGCCTACCTAACCCACATCTAGCCTCGGTCGCTCATCGTATCTTTGGCGGTGTCGGGCTCCCTTACAGCACCTCTACGCCTGCAAAAGGCAAGACGATGCAACAAAAGCCCATCGCGCTTGATGCGGCGCAGGAACGCATGAGTGATATTGACGCAGACGTCTACCTGGGCGTGCTTATGCCGGGGATGTTGGCAAGCATTACAAGTATTCTCGTTGAAACACGCAAACGATTAGGTACGGCATGGGCGGAAAGTCTGGTGGCGAAAGCCGAAGCAGGTGAGCTTCGCATTCTGGATGCCGGGGGCGGCGGCGCAGGTGTGCTGGCTGTGAGGGAATTGTTGCGAGCGGAATGGGAGCGTATGCACGAAGAAGCATCCGAGCATGTAGACTCACCTATGGCTCTTGCAGAAGCAGATGGCAAGCTGGGCGGTGCTTCTGCGTCCCCACCATTGGGCCAAGCGACTGTGCTCACCGGTTCGGACACACTGCGGAAGCGTGCAAGCCAGTTGCTGGATAATACATCGTTCATACCGCGGTTGCCGGACTATGTGCATACTCAGACCGAGTCTGCAAGGCAGGAAGGCAAGTTCGACATCATTGTTGCGCCGCATACGCTCTGGCCACTGCGGGAAGACTACATGCGGAAAGTGCATGTGCAGAATCTCTGGAGTCTGCTGAGAAATGATGGTGGCGTGATGTTGCTGCTCGAGAAAGGCATTGCTCGCGGCTTTGAGCTGGTTGCTGCTGCTAGAAATATGCTCCTTGATACGCGAATATCTTCGCCTGAGTCGCGCGAGCAAAGCTTGGACATTGCTGATCCACGTGAGCCGGAGATCGAGTGGGATTCACCACGTACAGCCGAGGAGCAAGCTGAGAGTCTGACGAGGGTTAAAGAGAAGGGCATGATCATTGCCCCGTGTACGAACCACACCGGATGTCCAATGTACCTGCCGAAAGGTAGAGTGAAGGGCAGAAAGGACATCTGCCATTTCGAACAGCGCTATGTTCGGCCGAGCTTCTTGCAGAAAGTGCTTGGTGCCAGAGACAAGAACTGGGAAGACGTCAAGTTCAGCTATGTTTCTGTTATGCGTGGTCGCGATCTGCGAGAGGCGGACAATGAACATGCGGAGCCGGAGGTTGTGCAAGGCAAAGGAGCTTCTGATCGAGCTTTTGATGCTCATCCCGACCACCTATCGGCGAACCAAGAGCCACCGACTCACTCGCTCAATTTGCCTCGCTCTGTCCTTGCACCGCTCAAACGCCGGGGCCACGTCATCCTCGACCTCTGCACGCCTTCTGGCGTCCTCGAGCGCTGGACCGTACCGCGCAGCTACAGCAAGCAGGCTTTCCGCGATGCTCGAAAGAGCTCGTGGGGAGATCTGTGGGCGCTGGGAGCGAAGACGAGGGTTAGAAGGGATGTCCGGAAGACGAGGTATGAGAAGGAAGAGGGGGCGGAACAGGGGGAGAAGATGGTGGCGGATGTGGATGTGAAGTTGCAGACTAGGGGCAAGAAGAAGAAGGCTAAGGCGGAGAGGGAGCGGAAGGAGAGGGCGGGTAGGAAGGGAAAGGGGAGGGTGGGGGAGGGGGTAGGTGTTGATGAGTATGGGAGATTGATTGAGGTGGAGTGAGAGTGTTCATGTCGGTAGGTATACATTCTTCGGCAACAACTGATGTTGAAGGATTGTGTGCAATGTGGGCTTCCGTCTTCGAACTCCTTGATGTCTCCGCGAATTGCCGACCTCGCACGACTCGCAGTTCAATCGGCCTCACTCCGCTCGAATATCACAGACAGCCGGTCGACAACATTCTCCTTGCTATTCCAGCGTAACCCAAGCTTGGTTCCGTGCTACCTATCCACTGAATGCATTCATCACAGCTTTTACGGTCAGTGTCGCCTTGCTGTTGGTGTAGGCTGTCGAAGTACGGCACAGCTGCGCCATGTGTGCTAATCAGCCTTGTTGCCCGTACCTACCCTCTCGTATCTCATTGGTCAGCCTTGTCTCCTTCACTGAGAGCTATTCTACTTCCAACATGTTAAGATGCCCAAGCTACGCAGTAAGTCTCCAGACCATGCAGTGTCTTGATGGAGGGAACGGGGCAAACGCCCGTCAGCCGGCCGTACCGGCTGATCAGTGTTACGAAACGCAGACTCGAGAAAGCTAAGACATCATCGAATCCGTACGCCATCTTGTCGGCAAGAGGCGGAGGAAAGGTGTTCCGAACGTGCACGGCTTGCGCAGGCTCGCTGCTTGACCAATGTTAGACCTCTAACTTCGGCAATATTTAGAGATCACTACAGGGCCAGAATGCTTGAAGGGGAGGAACATTTTCGCGCACTATGAGCTGTTTCACCAGCTTGACGTGGCGAGCGCAACAGTCCTCCGAGACCCCCTGACATGCGGGTTCGTGACCGTGGTGGAACATTACATAAGCTTGCAAAAACAGTGTACTCCTCGCTATAGGCAGGACGGACTGTCTTGCGGCGATAGGGAGCATCATCGCGATGAAGTCGACACCCTTTTACGATTAAAGCCCTCGCGTCCTTAGTCCTCGTCGAAGATAGCAGTAGCGTTGACCAAGATCGTGTCCAATACCCTTGTCTGCAGCCCTGCGTCCGCAATTTGATCGCCCGTGTGCGTGCCCATAAGGCTTGGCCTGTGATCACCATGTCAGCGTTAACTCTTTTCCACGTGAACAATAACAGATTCAAACTCACGCGAAGCACATCGCCAGGTTGCCACTACCCATCCTGTTCCGGCTTTCATTCTGCATCACCCTCCACAAATGCAACACTAGCGCCCGTAACGTCGCGTAATTCGGGTCCGGCAGCTCGTTGATAAGTCCATGCAGAGCATCTCGCCTTCCCTCTACCCCTTCAATCTTTCCTGCTTCGAGAAAGGCGCCATACTTCTCGCCCGTGACCAGCGGATCGGGTAGTTGCTTGAAGAACTGCTTGAGCAGTCCAGCTGGGATATGCACGTCGTGGTAGAAGTTGGCCGGATTGCGGAAGTCGACGCTGGATGGGTTGTGGTTGAAGCGTGAGATTAGACTCTGAATTTGTGAGGTCGTGCCGGATTGCCTGTAGATGCCGGTCGTTTCGAGTCCGAAGTGGTCGACCGCCAGAATGCATTGGATTACCACGAGCGGGACAGCGGAGGCGTCGCGGTCAAAGAGAGATTGCAGGCTTACGCCGAAGGTGGGACGCAAAGCCGGCAGGTTGTTGGTGGGTGCCGGAGGTTGTTGAGTTTGTGTGGCAGCGGACATTGGGGCGCTTGGTCCGGTCGGGGTCGCAGAGGAGGGTGTCTGAACGTTATTGTAGCCTGGGTCGCGTTGCTGGATGGGAGAGACCATGGATTGTTGTGCTGGTGGCTGTTGGTAAGTCGGAGTGCGCTCGGAAGGATGCATTGGATAAGGTGGGTTCTTGTAGCTGTCTTGTAGCGGTTCGTGCTGGGGGCTATACGACGAGTGTGTGGGCGGTGGCGGGCCATATGCTGGTGCGCGATCGTAATCTTGAGTTGGCTGCGGTTGGTGTAAAGGCTGCGTGTAGCTGGACATCTGCGAAGGTGCGACGAGCGGACCAGGCGGAGGCTGTGAGTTGTACCTGCCGTTCATAGAGCTTGGCTGCGAGCTTGTGGTGTTGACCGACAGAGTGGGCTGCTGTGGTGCAGGCTGAGGCTGTTGAATTGTCGGCGGCCTCTCGACGGTCAGCTCCTTATCTAGTGGCTGCTGAGTCTTCGGTCGTAATGTCGGATGCTGCTCGTATTTGATCTCGCTTGGCCGAGGAGGCACTTTGTTGGCATGTGCCGACACATATGAGTGGAAGTCTCTGTCGTTGTCTATGTCTCGCACGACATCACTCATGCTTTTCTGCGCAAACCCTTCACCTGCAAGCGGCGATATCGCCAATCCGTTGCCGAGCAGCAACTTTTCGTTGAACGTCGCGAACTTCTGCAGCTGCAATGTCAGGCCAGAGTCGCATTCTCGACAAAGCTCCTTGAGCGTCCTTACGGCCCTCGGCCGATGCTCGTTCAACAACGCCTCCCTCTGCGTCTTCGCCATTCGCACCTTCTCCTCGTAATCTGCATCTGCTGCCTGCAACTTTCGCTGCAAATCGCTTTCGTACTGCTCCTGGCTTTTGGGACCTTTCAAGCCCATCCGCCGGCTGCCTTTCGTGTCGCCGGTGCGCGCTCGATCATAATCATCCGCTAGGCCGTCGTACCTCCCCTTGGCCTTGTGCATTGCAGCTTCCGCATCCGAGGCGCGTTTCTCGGCGTCCAGCCCTTCGTGCTTGCACTGCTTCCGACCACGCTCCATGTTGTTGCTGAGCACGTTCAGGTCTTCGTGCATCTGATGCAGCGACAGCGCGAACTGCATGCCGTTGTCCGCCATTCGGTCATGGGTGCGCATCACCTCTGCCAACTGCCCCGCGTAGCTTCCGCCTCTGAACTCCGAACGCTCGATGGTCTCAAGCTGCGACTTCGCCAGCCGCTTCAGACCTGTAGCTTGGTCTTCCTCGAGCTTCGATCGCTTTTGTAGAAACGTTGCGAACTCGCGCGCCGAGGCTATGGATTGCTTGAGACGGGCCAGAAGGGTCGTAATGCCTATCTCACTGTACATGACATCCTCAACGGCCTTGGGTACTGCGTTTGCTGGTGCGCCGTTTCTATCAACGGGTGAAGACATGATTGGGTTAGAGCCCGCCGCAGTAGCATTCATTGGGCTGCCGGCTCCAGAGCCATTGGGTCCGACAGGATCGTCTCCGTTCATATCGAAGGTACCAGGCTGTCCTGACATTATGCTGCTGGTAGTGAGAGTTGGCGGTGGAAGGAGAGTGTCTTCCAGGGTGAAGTGGGAGACGGGGACGCGGCGTAGAAAGAAACTCTATGGCTGTCTCAGCTCGCCGCTGTGCGAGACACCGACCTGCGCCTCCTTAAGCAACGTAAGCGGACATACTGCGGCACGGTCCGTGAGGCCCACTCATTGATGTGAGTTCTTTAAGGTAATTTCAATAGGACACCTGCTACGGAGAATGCCCTCCTCGACCACAGCCATGTCCGTTATCATAAACTCAGCATCCCTCTCTTCAACTGCGTCCGCGATGCCTCACTGCCCAACCTGTAGGTGGCTTGTTGGAGACGGTCATCAGGAAGCTCCAGCATGTCATGCAGCCTTACGATATTAGCTCTGCCAATCTCACTACTTCCGTGGATGAGACTTTCTTCAGACTGAGCTAACAGGGAAGGAACACGTGGAGGTGCCCATACATAGCGTCAACGATTTTCATCAGACAGCAAGGCCAGGCTCTGCTCCGCAGCGCAGCCAGCGTCTTTCATTTCCCTCCTAATCGAAACCACCCAACGCGGAGAGACGTTGGGTGGGCCCCGAAAGGAAAGGGCCCAAAGCCTTCCGTGATCCATTCCCTGCCATGCCATCCCAAGCCTCAATCCTCAGGCGCGTCGAGGCATGCCTCCCTCCCGGTCATGCTGGCTCGTAAGACTGCATTCCATCCGTCTCTTGGATGGATATACTTTCTGATGTGATGTGTACTACCGGATACACCACGAGTGAAGTATGACAAGCCTTCCGCTTCAGCTCACCTATCTCTTCATGCTGCGATCTTTGGCATGTAATGTTCTCCTCAGCATAAGGCATATAGATGCACAGCACCCGTTACTTTGACATAACATACAATAGGCGTTGGACGTTTGCAAACTCAAGATGCGATTGCAGTCCGATAGGCCTACAGGCATGGCAGCGCCTCCTCCGGCAGGCGCAGATGGGACAGGGAGGAGAGGTACGGACTGGCGCGCCGTGTTCGGCAACAGAGGTGGCCGCACCACACAGCAGAGTAGTAGGACGTCATTATCCGGCGCCTCGCAAGATGTACGCAAAGACAGGCCAACATGGACATTGGGCATACTGAATGACCCGGAGACCGACGAGGTGCCGGGATCAATTCTCTTGATGTCAAAAGTATCAGAATACAACGAGCCCTTAGGTCTACGCAATGCACCGGCACGCACCTCCGCATCATCCCTACCCTCGCCGTATCCGCCATCCATCTCCAGCTCGATACGGAGGCGGCGAGTCATCGTACCGGAGAAGAAGCGCACGAAAGACGGCAAGATCGTACTAGAACCACAGCCGGACGATTCCGCCAACGATCCGCTCAACTGGGGCGTGTGGAGGCGAGACCTTGCGCTCTTTTCTCTCGGCTTCTATTGCATGATCGGAGGTGGCATCACACCCATATTGGCCGCTGGTTTCAAAGAGGTTGCAGCCGACTATGGCGTCTCCGTCCCTCGCGTCGCGCTTACGACAGGTCTGTACATGATGGGTCTCGGCATCGGTTCGGTGCTACTTGCTCCGACCGCGATCTTGTTCGGTAAGAGACCGGTCTATCTCGTTGCAGCGATTTGCTTCATCTTGACCTCGATCTGGTGCGCATTGAGCCCAGACTTCCCGAGTCTGATCGTAGCGCGTATCTTCCAAGGCATCGCCGTGAGCAGCGTCGAGTGTTTGCCCAGTGCCACAGTAGCCGAGATCTACTTCTTGCACGAGAAGGCCTACCGGCTTGGCATCTATACGCTCCTCCTACTCGGTGGCAAGAATCTTGTGCCGCTCGTCAGTGCAGCAGTAATACAGAGTCTGGGCTGGCGCTGGGTGTTCTGGATCGTGGCGATCGTTGTAGGCTTCGGATTGTGTTTGCTGTTCTTCTTCGTGCCTGAGACTTTCTGGGATAGGACCCCAAGACCGAGTAAGCACTTAAAGCGGAAACACAGTGTGCCGAGTGGTCCGAACCTATTAAGAGCGGCGTCGTGGACACTGAGTCCGGACGCGAGAAGAAATGGTGCGCCAGTCGAGGCCGAGGATGTTGTGGATGGTGGCATGCCAGCGGCCGAGAAACGACGTTTAGAGAGGCGTGCGCACTTCCAACCGGAAGACGGATCGGAGGCGGAGAAGAGCAACGAGCTTCACGCTCACACAGATGGCGCAGACGCAGAGCAGGACGAGAAAGAAGACTTCACCAAAGTGGACAGTCCCTCAGCACCACAGCAAACCTCTGCCAAGTCAGCAGACAATACTACTGCCAGCCCAGATCCCGTAGGCAGAGATTACTTTAATCTGCGCGAGGCCACGCCCTCAGCCCTTGAGGACGCACGAAGACCACCAGTCGTCTCTCCCATCTCCCACCAGACGACTAACGACAGCAACGCCGCAAAGCCCACTAACCCATACGTACAGCGCTATGTCGCCTCGCCTCCCAAGACCTTCCTGCAACAGTTGAAACCCTACTCGGGCCGCTTAACCCACGCTTCATGGCTTCGTGTCGCCGCCCGGCCCTTCTTACTTTACGCATACCCCAGCATCCTCTGGAGCACGCTTGTTTACTCACTCTCGATCGGGTGGCTGATCGTACTTTCCGAATCCGTCGCCACCATCTACGAGAACCGGGCGACGTACAACTTCACGCCACTGCAAACCGGTCTCGTCTACATTAGCCCGTTTGTGGGCGGCGTACTCGGCACGGCCGTCGCTGGCAAAGTGTCGGATATCATCGTGCGGGCTCTGTCGAGAAGAAACGGAGGCGTCTATGAGCCTGAGTTTCGGCTTGTGATGGGCATTCCCATTGCCATCTTCACTACCATCGGCTTGATGGGCTATGGATGGAGCGCGCAGGAGAGGGATGCTTGGATTGTGCCCACGATCTTCTTCGGCTTCATCTCGTTTGGATGTTCGTTGGGCAGTACGACGGCCATCACGTTTGCCGTGGACAGCTATCGCCAATACGCGGGCGAAGCGTTGGTGACACTGAACTTCAGCAAGAATGTGTTGCACGGGTTGGTGTTCAGTCTGTACGTATACACTGTGCTGGTACGTGGCTGGCACTCTTTGCTAACGGGGATCGTGCAGGTTCTTCAACAAATGGCTCGATGCAGAGGGTAGCAAGGATGTCTTTGTAGCCATCGGCGGGATTCAAGTGGCCTGTCTGTTGACCACGATACCGATGTATATCTACGGCAAGAGGGCACGGATGTGGACAGTAAGAAGGAACATGATGGAGAAGTTCTGAGCAACTAGCCCAGTCAACCTTCGACCCAAGCCTCACGTCGCTTTCGGTTGTTCGACCCGGGCTGACGCATCAGGTACCTTCCTCCGATAGCAACTCCTCTGCGCCATTTGATGCATAGCTGGGAGATGCTCCATATCCTGGGCTATATTCGAGCGAGCTCGCCAACTCAAGAATCGCGTAGACATTACTAATAAGCAGTCATGACAGGCAGTCGTACACGACTGCTATACCATTTGATGTGAAAGGACACTCTCAGGCAGGCAGGATAAAGGACAAGTTGTGGTCAGAACAGGCCGGGCCGCAGTGGTCAAGCCTACATTCGTATATCAATACTGTCTGCACGACATACACACACTCAAAGCGCTCGTGCCACATTTCACAGCATGCCTAAACCATCCCATGGTAAAGACATACCAGCGCAGTCCTCACGCTCCTCTTCGTGCCGTCGTACTCATCAAAGTAATCTTCTTGCCTTTCTTACCCTTCTTACCTCCGCTACTACCAGCCGCCGCAGGTTTTACCTGACCAAGACTCACGCCCTCGATTGCACTGACGAGCTCCGCTTCTTGGTGGTCCATCAGGTCCCGCTCCCAGCCCTGCAGCCAGCCATCCTCGGCTTGGCCGAACTGCGCATCTGTGGGGAGAACGGCGTGGACTTCGGGTGATGTGGGAGCGATGACTGCAGTACCCCAGACGGTCCGGTGCACAGTCGGTGAGGTGGAAGGAGAGGCCAGCGAAGCGAAGCCTGAGCCCTGTCTATTCGACCACGGCGGAGAAGCAGCTTCACCCGGCGAGGCACCGCTTGGGGTGGAGTAGGAATGTGAGATGGATGTAGGAAGAGCTTCCCACTCCGCACTCAGAGTCGGGTCGCTCGTAATGCTTGGTCTTCTCCGGCGAAGGGACATCAACTCGCGCTCTTCTGCCCTCTCGATACGTAAGCGTTCCTTCTCCTCGCGAGCGTCCTTTTCATCGTGCTTCTTGCGTCGGCGGTCCAGCATGGGCTTGAACTCCTCCAATACGTTTGCGGCTACCAGATCGGTCCAGTCGCATTCCAAGAAGGCCACTTCACAACCATACGGTAGGTGGGCTACGTATTTCACACGCTTCCTAAGCTCATCGTCGATGACGTGGCCGGATGAGACGCGCTCGACGCGTGGTAAGATCGAGGATGGAAAGAGCGTGTAAGAGCCGAAAGCCGCTTTGAGGATGCGAATGTCAAGCGGCGAAAGATAGTAATGCGGGCGTGTCTGATAGAAGAGGTACTCAGAAGGTTCCGGCTTGCCAGCGTTCTGGCGGAGACGCATTTCATGCAACGTACGCGGAACCTCACTCGGGTGTGGAGCCGCGTCGTCAGCCGAAGACTGCTCCTCGCTGGGTTCCTGCTGCGCTATGGGCGCCGTTGGTGCGTGGACAGCCTGTCTGAGACGATACATCTCCGGCACGTCATCATCATCATCGTTGTTAAACACGATAGGGGCTCGTTGCGGCAGCTGTACACCGCCGTCGACCACATCCTGCTGCTCTGGCTTCCTCGGCAACAGCGGTGCGTTGCCAATTCCGCGTACCTTCTCCCTGGCCTCGTTCAAGAAACGGATCGCTCGGCCAGTCCACTCAGCGTCCTCACCAAACATCAGCTCATCTTCCTTCTCAAGCTGCTGCACGGCCGCAATAGCCTCGTCGTATTGTTGGCTCATATAGTCTTCGCTACCTTTCATCATCCGTGCATAGTCCATGACCTCCGCAGCAAAATACCATGGGATGGAGTCTCCGGTCGGAATCACATCCGTACTTTCGCGCGGCATGGCGAGCGTGCTGGCCTGTCGTCTCTTCATCAAACGGAGAACTACATCCAAGCCTTCATGTGGCGGCTCTGTCTCTGTTCCAGCATACCATCTCACCGGTCTGGTCTCAGAGACGTAAACGCTGTCCCAGCAGATGGGACATTTCTTCGACCTTGCCCTTCTCTCATGCGCAGCAGGGTGATTGCTGGCATCATCGCTGTGCATATACCGAATTAAACATGCCAAGCAGAAGATGTGGCCACATCTTGCCATACGCGGCGCAGTCGGCTCGCCAAGACATATCGGGCAAGAAGCAGCTTGAGAGACTGGAGAAGCAATGACTTGTAGGACATTGTTCCAGTCCAAGTGGACATCGGCATCGGCAGCTTGAGCCGTATAATCGCCAGCCGGAGAGACAATGAAGCGGTAGTTGGCGTGTATGTACCGCGCTTTGTCCACGGCGTGGTAACCGCTACCCAGACCCCAGGTGGCACCAGACCTGCCACCAGTCCTTCGTGGACCGTTGTAACTATGGCGATGGTACTGCTGCTGTGCGGGACGCGGTGGCAGAGCAATGTTCATCAAGTGCGTGATGTCCGCTGTCTTCCCTCGGCGTCCGATGTTCTGCATGGCGAGCCGCTCATCGTCATCCAACAGGCCCGACTGCTGGAAGCGCTTGCCCTGCTTGTGCTTCGGCTTGGCTGGCTGATTGCTACGTGGCACGGATTGCTGGCTTCGGGCTGATCCGGAGTTGGTGGGACGTCCTGTGGAGTTGCTGAAGAATTGCTGGGTCTGAGAGACTGTAGGCAGAGCCTGAGCGGCACTGCTTGAAGATGCCTTTGACGCGTTGGATATCCCTTTAGTAAGGGCAGGCGGCTGGCTCATCTTGGTGAGTTGACGCGCTGCTTTGTATTGGCTCGGGCGGGGGGAGGCGGCGGGACGTGCTCACTGAAGAGACGTGTGCCGGTGCTTGTCGATGCCTTGCTATGGGCGGTGGATGTTAAAGTGATGGTTTGGTGGCTGTAGCTACGCGCTTCAGCGACCCTAATGGGAAGCCTAGTGGAAGGGGGAGACAGATGGTGGCAGAGATGGCGATGACACAGATGGGCACGACCCCACCGACGCCGCTGCGGGAACTTCCGGCTTCCGGCTTTGTCTCAGGTTGCTATGGTACAGCCGAGACAAATACACTGTTCTGCTCAATCGTCACTCACCTGTTGCCCAGCTTCGCAAGGGTCTTCTGTGGCATAATGGTGCAGGAAACGGAGATGACAGTTGAAGTGATGTAGGGTGATTAGATGTCTATACAGTTCGCAGACACAACGTCGTCTTCTTGAACGTGCTATATAGTATCTCAAGCAACCGAACCGACAAGGTAGAAGGTCATAAATCATGATCGATACATTACCTGTCTTCGAGGTTTCTTTAAACTCTCACCACTATCAACATCCATCCTTACAACCCCCTAAACCATCTAGCAGGACCACGCCGGGCAGGCAATCTGGGTCCCGTACGGGTCTGGACCAGCAATGCCAGCAATCTGGAAGATGGCGTTGATGACACCACCAATGCCCTCTCCAGCAATGAGACCAGCAGCCACAGCGTATCCGTAGATGTCAAAGTGTTTCGGGTTCCGCTTTGCCCAGAAGTACGCAGGTACCGCACCCATAACCATGGCGGTGCCGTAGTAGGTCTGCGGCAGCACAAAGGCAAGACCGATACACATCATGTTCGGGTGGTAGATCCTGTACTTGGCCCACTTGCCGGTGTAGGCATAGTGGCGGATCAGGATCATGATGGCGCCAAAGATGGCGAAGACAATGGAGAAGATGCCGGAGCTGGTCGGGACAGGGAAGGTTGGATCGGTGATGGCGACAGTGACGGCGCGCCATGCGGCGATTGATGGACCACTGAATGGGCAGGTCTCGGCTTCCAGGTCGATAATGCAAGGGTACGCTTTGACGAAGAGCATGAAGAGCGCCGGAGCCAGGAAGACGGCGACGATCGTGCCCAGACCCTGGGCGATAAACTGCTGAACTGGCGAAGTGCGGAGCAGGAAGCCAACACGGAAGTCTCCCACCAAGTCCGAAGCTTGATTGGCACCCATGGACGCGAGCGAGCCACCTAGAAGGTTGAGGCGCTGAGCGTGCTCGACCGGCCAATGCTCGCCCTTGGTTGCGCCACCAAGCACAATCTGAGAAGCCTTCGACGCGGCAGTAAGTGGTGTGATGTCCGTCACGCCAGAGCACTGAACGGCCAAGAAGCTGAAGAAGAAGGCCAGGAAGACGGAGAGCAGTGACATGCCTACAGGCATTCCATACTGCACTCCCAGAACAACGCAGGAGCAGATGATAACGATGACGAGGAGTGGAGCCCACATCCACCACTTGACCAGCTCGTGGGGCTGGGCTGGATCCTGGACAAGATCTTCCTCATTTTGGCCTCCTTGTTTGGCGAGGAAATCGGACTGCTTGCCAGTACGCGCCATCAAGTTGGCAAATGCTTCACATGTACCGCGCCAAACGGCCTTGCAGATGAAGTAGAATACCTTGTATTGTAGGGCCAATTCTGTGAAGCTGACGACGATCATGAGTAACACGCCCGGCCACAGCAACCAAAAGCGTGGCGACGGAGTCTCCTTGGTGACAGAGCTACCAGACATACTCGCGAAGTTGACCATGCCAGACCAGTGCTCCCACTCCGGCGAAGTAGGCTTGAAGTAGTTCTTGCCGAAAGCGGCGCCATTGTGCACCAAAGCAGGACCGATGATTCCCCAGGCGAGGACTGAACCGGCGAAGAAGGAAATTGCAGTGTTGAGACCGACCAGGATACCAACACCGATGAAGGCGGGTGTCCATTCGATAATCCAGCCCCAGTTCTCCACGTTGAGCGCAAGATTGTTGTGGTGACCCCAGATGTAAAACCAAGTGAAAATATGCCACTGCGGACTTGTTAGCGAAGGCACTCCAAGCATGAAAACATCGCGTTCGACTCACATCCCACAACAGGCCCGTTGCGTACTGGGAAACAACGCGAAGCAAGAAACCGACGGAGAACGCGTAGCCAAGCGCCTTCATCTTCATCTTCGCAATGGCCTCGCCAGATGAAGCAGCGTGCATGCTACGAATGGTCATGGCAGTCGCAGACGGCGTTGGGAAGATAAGCTTCAGTTCACGGGCCACGTATATTATGAAGAATTTGCGTAGCGGTGTAGCGAACAGGAAGCCGAAGTACCCGCCAACAATCGTTAGAGCGATCAGACGCGGGAAATCTTCTTGCGGGTTCGTAAGAAGGCCAAGTTGGTAGAGCGCAGGGATACCAGAGATGAAGACGGACGACAGGCCACCAGAAGCTGTTGCCGCGGTCTGAACGATGTTATTTTCTCTTGGTCCGAACGAGCCCCCAAGGATAGGGAAACTCTCGGGGAGAGCCCGCGACAATGACTTGATGACGGCAAACCCAACGATCGAGCCGAAGAGCGAGGCACCAAATGTCCAGCCAGACTTGAGGCCAAGGTACAGGTTCGAAGCGTTGACGAGAGCACCGCAGATGCAGCCAACGAACATGGCACGGAAGGTGACAATGCGTTGCCTCTCCTCTGGTAAGTCGTCGAAAGGCACGAATGGATCGATCACTGGCTCTTCGTCCATCTCGACCTCCTCCATCTCACCCGCGTAGGTCTTGCCGACCTTCTCATCGGTGAACTCGGGTTCGTCAGAGGTGGAAGACTTGTCTTCGCTGCCATTGTGAGATGGCCGGAAGGTGTTCTGCTTCTCGGTAAGAGGAGGAACATTGGGGTTGATGTTGCCCTGAAGTGCCGTCAGTATAGCAACTTGTGCTCATAGTAACGCCCACGCTTACCATAAGCATGACCGGACGGTCAATGACCTCTGTAACGCCCGACATGATGGCGATCAGAGTTCAACGACGCTTAGTAGAGACAGAACTAAGAGGATGTCCATAGGAGACAGAGGAGGGCAAGATGCGCGCTGCCGCATTTATGGACCCATGAAGCAGCACTTACCTGCTCGCTCACGCCGAGTGCTATCTGCACTACAAGGCCCGCCTACGGTTACATTGCAATGATAACCATCCTGAGCTTTGATCTGTCCAGAGCCTGTCCACCACTTACAGCGCACATAATTCCCCGCTTACAAGCAAAGAAGGCGCCACAGAAGCATTTCGCGCAATTGAGTTCCTTGACTCCTGCCATGTAGGGTAAGGTTCGCCATGAGCGACGTGAACCTAGTGTAACAATCTAGGACGTGCAGTCTCTCGGCACGATTTCATCACTCGTGCATCTCGGTTGCCACGGCCGCAAGCCAAGAAGAGATAAGACGGTGGGATTGCGCGGGCCTGAACGGCCCTTTGCAGGAGGCTTGAAGACGCAATAAAGCGACATGAAACCGTCAATATGAGCAACGTCGATAACGAAGTCAGCAATTCAGCAAATGAGCTGTCGCGAGGGTATCTGTGGAGGAGCGGGTGGCGGTTGCGCTAGCCGCTCAGAGGTCCCTTGGTCGCGTGCTGAACCCCTCACGAAATGTCCAGTAAAGGCAGGAGAGTGTATTCATCCACACCTGCGCCGTCAGCCAAGAGAATGATGGCTGTCTGCAGCGACTTGGTGATCTTGAAATTTGCTGTCGCATCTTGTAGATCCTTCACTGGGCTGTCAGTCAATCCTGGCGCTGACGCCGTGAACTGCTTATCAGTTGCTGAGCACAGGAAGCGCTCCGTAACACTGCATCGGATGGGCCAGAACGGCCGTCTGTCATCTCAGCGTACCCACATCGCTCGTGTTTCGCCATATGGCGCGCTTCTAGTTCGGTTGACGATAGCTACTCAAAGGCTTTCGAAAGCGTGGCAAAAGGTCAGCCACACCCTGCCGACCCTATTCTCACGTCCCAATCAGTGCTACGCGAAATAGGCAGGTACTCCAGGCGGCAAATGGTTTTGGAGCTCCGCGGCTGTGCGTGAGGGTTATGTGGTCCCCACTACTTACTGTACCTTGTAGGCTATACCATGGCACATTGGCTGGCATGGAAGATCTTGACTTGGGCAAAACTAGAGCTTCATGGTTGAGCACTGGTCATGCAGTTGGCAGGTGAAAATCGGGCTTGTAGAGAGCACTATAAGAAGGAGCTTGTATCGTTTCGTATCCGATCAGTTAACAGACAATATACCAACCACAGCCTAAGTGGTGGCAAGCCAAGACAAGAGGCGCGAATGAAGCGTCCCTTGGCATTCGGCCTCGGCCAAAGAACACCGCGGCTCAGCATGATCAACACACCTGCCATTCATGCTTGTACACGCCGCTGAAGCTACATGACTCGAAAGGTAAGCATCTAATTGCCGCCTAGCCAGTAGCTTCACGGCATCCATATCGACACGGATAAACAGTTCACTGCGCGCATTTATGGCTGCGCGCAACTTCATCATGCTTAGCCCGATCACTTGCTTGATCGGAACCGACGCGCTGCGGCTATGTGGTAGGAGGTACAAAACGCGGCTCATCGCTCACTCGTTTAGGTAGTCCGGCACCAGTCATGCTGTCGAGTCGCGTATTTGTTATCCGCTGGCTCCAGCCATATAAGGCAGTGCTCATAGTACATCCTCGAACACCCTATGTTGTCAGAACGCCTGACCATTCCTGGCGTGAGTCCAATTCCTCCCAGGAGGAAGTAGATAAGGCCAAGATCGAAAGAAACGGCAGACTCGCCATCCTGATCCACTGCACAAGAGATTGGAAGGAGCCGAAGCCAAGGAGATCGGCTCGATTGTAAATCCATCAACAATCAGTTCTGGGAACCTAACGTGACCGGGTTGCAAGCGCCCTGAAGGCTGAACTCCTACATAGCGAGTGATGCCGTAATGACCGTTGAGAGCGGATCAGTTCCTTACGACCGAAGAGGGTGGAGGATGGGAAAGCACACGCAGGCATGAAGTCTTAGCGCCGCCCACGCGATCGCCGGGATGTTGGTGGGTACGATGGTCCAACTACGTTCGTTATCTCTGGCGCGTTGGACGCCCGTCTTGACCACCTAATCGGTGCGCGCCAAGAGGTCAGCTGGAGTGAAGCAGTGTTTGCAGCCAAAAAGCCCGAGGTATGCATCTGCCAGTTAGCGTTTGGGTAACATGCAAGTTCACTTCGCGTACGCTCCTAATCCCTCTTTTCAGGGCAGGTATGGATCTATACACTCCCAGTCTGCTAATACTTCACTTACCCTTGTCTCCAAGCGTCCCGCATGCGGCTCGCAATGCTCATGCCACCCCGCTGCATATTACTCAGCAGTGCGTCTTCCAGTGCACTCTGTGTGACACTCGCATCGTCCAGATCGCTGAAGCTGCTGCCCATACTAGGCGAACCGTCACTGCCATCCTTCCTGTACCGAGGACTGAGGCTGGCGTTAGCGAGCTGCGCGCGGTGTCTCGAACTGATGGGCCCATGACCGGACCGTTGGTTTGATTGTGTAGATACAGCTTCGCTGGACGCAGGCTCGCTCGAGATTGAGGGCGGTGGCTGCGCGGATGACGCAGAGGAAGTGGAGGAGTCGGGCGGCGGCGCTTCTGGCTTCGGTTTGCGGGTAGTTGTACTTGTTGGCGGCGATATAGCAGTCTGGCGCTTCGGCGAGTTTCTGATTGTTGCCATTGGGTCTTGCATTGCAGTTGGCTTCGCGGGTCCCGCGGCGAAGGGAAGGTAACCGCCTGATGAGTCTTCTTCATCATCATCTTCGGCGTCTCCGTCTGAGCTCAGAGTCCGCAGAGCAGGCTTCTTCCCCAGGGGCGCTCGTCTGTAAGCCTGACTGCGAGCCATAGAGGGTTCCTCCTCTGAATCAGATGCAGACGGTCCGTCGTGACCGAGCACGTGCTCGTCGTCAAGAGCTCCATCCGCTGGAAGTAGTGGCGCAATCGGCCGTCTTTGCGAGCTGCCAGAGGTTCTGAATGCTCGCTGTAGCGGTTGCCTACCGCTACCTGCAAGGATTCTGCTTTGCGTTACTGTAGTCGTTGACGGTGTCCGTGATATGGGCGGCTTGACTGAGCGTGGCGTTCCGGGAGAGCTTCCGTCGCCGCCCTGGCTTGGCTGGAGCTTCGATGTGCTGATCACTGACGGTACTTTGGACTCTACTTGACGAATCAGCCCGGATAATGTAGAAACACAGATTTCTATTCGCACCTCTGCTGCCCTGCCTCTGCATAGCAACGCCTCCGACGCCACCTAACGGAAGCGTCTGCGCTGCGGTGCCCGAGCTGGTGGCGCTTTCTTGTGGCACCGAGCCAGGGGCGTGCGTGACACCCAGCTTCTGCATCTGCTTTCGCATGCTGTCGAAATGTCGTTCGTACAGCCATGCTGCTTGTTGTAAGAGAAACGGAAGGTCAACATTGAAGCGGACCGCTATCTCCTCCCACTTCAGGTCCTACAATCTGTCAGACAGTATCGAATAACATCAGGGCCTCAACAGACCTTAGAATTGGGCGCTTTCGAAATCAGCTTCCACAACGCCTGGTCCTTGACCGCATCCCATTCTACAGGTGGCGGATCCTCGAAGTTGCCACGCGGGAAAGGTAGTCGGATAAGGCACGTGTAATGTACATTCGGCTGCGTTGGCGTTGGTGGCGGTTTTGGTGATGGCGCCTTCGACGACTGATCTCGTGTCTGCCCGGCTGCGGAAGATGGTTGGCGGGAGTGAGGCGTCTTTGATGCCTTGAGCAGAGCTGATGGCGTTGGCGTTGATGTTGATGGAGACATACTCTCTACGCTCACCATGGACAAGATAGCACAGAGTGTTGTTTCTCAGGAACTTACAGCAAGCCGTTGTCGAAATGTCAAGGACGAGGTGTGGTAAGATTCTCGGCGTTTGCCGTGCCACGTGATTGGCTGTTAGGATGAAGCATGACTGCCTAATTGGGAAAGCAAGAACTGAGCTTGCCGCAGTGCAAGCATGCAGAGAAAGCTACGGCATGAATCGAGCATTCCATTGTTGGCTACAGCAGTCGCTTATATGGCGACTGACGGCCTACGTGCCTCCGAGACATCACCGTAAAATGCCAGCATGCCCCATCCCACCATACGCCACTCAGTACAGAGACGTCCTTAGATCGTCGTCTCATACGCAATTGGTACAATGCTTTCCGGCTTGTTGTCCTTCGTGCTCACTGTCCGAGCCTCTCTAGGCACAACTGGTTGCCTCTTCAAGTGCATGTGTGTGCCTTCCTCCTTCGCCTTGCGCTTCTTCGCCGCGTTCTCCTTGACACGGACAAGGAACTCCTCTCTGCTGCGCGAATGACGGACGTGCTCGATGCGGACGTTGATGCGCTTCTCGATGTAGCGGTTGCCGACTTGCCTGTAAAGGATGACGCCGACTGCAGACTTGGTGACGTTGTAGACGACGCCAGTCTTGCCGTGGTAGACTTTGTAGGGCTAGGATTTCGTCAACAGCTTCTCTTTCTGCCCAGAAAGGCGTAATAGCCGATCCTGCTCCAAGATGGAACATACCATGCCCTTCTGGACCGCAGCGTTTGCGACCACATCCACAATATCTCCCACTTTGTATTGCTTGAGGTATGTCGAGAGCGGGATCATACCCTTCTTCCTGAAGTCGCGAGAGAATGCTGTGTTATAGTATCAGCCAATGCCCGAAACCTCCACGTATCGTCGCTCTGCCGTCTTCAACGGTCTTTCACTCCGTTCACACATTGGTGTTCTCCCCGTGCATCCAGAGATATGAGGTGGTACTGACCATAGCGAGTGCCAGCTCTGAGACCGGCGGCGTGACCCATGGCGGCGGTATTCGAAGGCTGTAATGCTGTAAGTGTGCGTTGTGCAAAGCGCGAGCGCTGGTCTACGTACGTCGAGTGTTCAAATACTGTGTGAGTCAGTCAGTAGCCGGGTAAGTCTCTTGGGGACGAGGTTATGCTCACGTTCGATAGCCGTACCTTTTCCACGACAAGCTGAACGATTTGCGCGATGGTGGTGGAACGCCAAGCCAAGATTTTGGCGAGCCGCACCGGACGCTTGGGCCACCACGCGGAATAACGTCCACTTTCGAATTTGCGATGAACCGCAGTGATCTGGTTTGGAAGGGACAGTGAAGTAGCATCACCGAGCAACAACATGGCGCCGTAAGTCCATTATGGGTTGATTGACACGCCTAGCAGTGTAGCGCAAGATGCAGGAGATTACAAGAGGGCGCATGTCTGGCAGAGGCATTGCAGCAGCCGAGAGCACACGACACAACCACCAGAGCCTCGACGAGCGGAAATATCACTTCGGAGTTTGGGAGATTGTACAGAGCAACGTTCAAGAGCGAGACCGATGCGACGGCTTGTCTGAGGCTCAGACCATGCACAGTTACTCAGCTCTTCGTCAAGGACTTTGTAATCGGCTGCTTGCTCCGCCCTACCGCTACTGCTCAGCTATTCCTGCATCTTGTGCTATACGGCTGGCTATCGGTCTCCATCTTCCGGACGTATGAGAAGACCATCACTGACAAGCTTTGCAGCCGCAAATATAGCAAGACCTACAAGGTCCCACGGCGTCCCTTCGAGTCGGCGCGTCTGTCAGTACACCCCTGATGGCCACTAAGCGTGAGCGTGCTCCGCTTATGTCAATGGTGCCTAACAACACTATCACAGTGACTCCGAGTTGAAGATCGTCGGCGAATACGGTCTCAAGAACAAGCGCGAGGTGTGGCGTGTCCAGCTTACGCTCTCCAAGATTCGTCGTGCTGCGCGGTAAGCCTTCCTTACCCGAACACCGAGGCGCAGCGTGCATTCTTCTAACGTGCAACCCAGTCAACTTCTCACTCTCGACGAAAAGGACCCGAAGCGTCTCTTCGAAGGCAATGCGCTCATTCGCCGTCTCGTCCGTGTCGGTGTGCTCGACGAGTCGCGCATGAAGCTCGATTACGTGTTGGCCCTGAAGGTTGAGGACTTCTTGGAGCGTCGTCTTCAGACCTGCGTCTACAAGCTCGGTCTGGCCAAGTCTATTCACCACGCTCGTGTCCTGATCAAGCAGCGCCATATCCGGTACGTATCGATGGCATCAATGGCTCCAAGAAATGTGGGCTGACGTAATACTGCAGCGTCGGCCGCCAGATCGTCAACGTGCCATCGTTCCTCGTCCGTCTCGACTCTCAGAAGCACATTGACTTTGCGCTCACCTCACCATTTGGTGGCGGGCGTCCCGGGCGTGTCAGGAGAAAGAAGGCCAAAGCGGCGGAGAAGAAGGATGATGATGGTGAGGAGGGTGGCGAGGAGGAGGAGGAGTAGGTGTAACGCCAGCTATGTCCGCCATTGCTCCAGCATTGCATTGAGTTCTACCGATGCAGGCTGCCGTGTCATCTGCGGGCTGCATCATCGTACCTAGTCGGTGCAATTGAATCATGCCTGCCTTTTTCACTGCGTCGTCGCCCACCTTGCACTTCACTTTCAGTAGCAGAACTCTTTCACTGTACCCACAAATACAATCCGCGGATTGGCAAGTTTCTCTCGCTCCAGTACGTGGCCTCGTCTTCTTCAGTACTTACAATCTTCGACTACTGTTATCATCAACTTTTGGCATTGTCAGGTTGATCATGTAGTACTGCAGACACTGCACCGAAGATGGCGGAAGCAAATTTAGATACAGACGAGCGTCCGGCCAAACGGTTGAGGTACGTACTCATCACCGCTGCTCGGTCTTACCAACTACATGACTAACGGACCCGCAGACCCAACTACTCTGACACCATCACTGTGTACGTGGGCGAAGACGAGCAGAAGTTCTCTGTGCATGAGGCACTTATCTGCGCCAAGTCTCCTTTCTTCAAGGCGGCATGTGGGTTGAACTGGCAAGAAGGTCAACAACGTGTCGTTCGCCTTTGCGGACGCCAAGCAGCGCCATTCTTGATATACGTGTGCTGGGTCTATACCGACAAGTTGGACAAAGTCCTTATGCGAAAACGGGTCGACGCTAACAAGGTATGCAAAACTGGGCCGCCTGCAGAGCATCCATGCATTCTCGCCTATGCTAAAACCTGGGTCCTGGCAAACTACTTGCATGACAACGTGTTCGCAAACCTCATCATTGATGGGTTGAGGGGAAAGTTTGAGGCACGTCCGGAAGCAATGGTTGTGGTCAATCCCACTCTGGACTATATCTGGGAGCACACTGTACCCGACTCCGGTCTACGACAACTGTGCATTGACCACCTGATGAGAACAGCACCGAAAAGTATTAGTCCGCAACTGGGACGTTCTCCCTAGAGATGTCACACTTGGGATGGCCTCAAGATATGCCGCGGGTGAACAGAAGTCGAGGAGTAATCTGGTGACTGCCTACGGTCGCTGCCACTACCATGTACACGACGAAGGCGAGGCACCGTGCGACTTTCACCCCCGGATGGAAGACGACAATGACGACTAGAGACTGCAGGAAGGCGCCGCGAGCGCTGAGCGGTGTTCGCGAGACCGTGAAGTTCGTCAATGAGGCATTGGCTTACCATGAGGTCAAGCTACGATGTGTGCTATCCATGGTGGCAGTCTTTCACCGTCTATCCGTGTCTATGCTTCATTATTGGATGGAAGAGGAAGCGTCGGCACTAATATGTGCACAAGGCAAACACCTCCTTGGATCTAGACTGTTTCGCTCCCAATCTGCTCGACAGCTGGTCAATACGATCCGAGTCCAGTAGAGATAAGCTACTCAAGTGTACAAAGCTGTTGATCGCGACAGTGACTGATGCTGTTGCTCGTAATGGCGTGTTGACACGGCGACAGCTCAGACTCGGCCATATGTGAACCTCGTGTCCAAACCCGCACCTACCGCCAGACCACTGCCCACCCTCGCAGTCGGGGTATTGAAGTCACCGAATCTCACACCTTCCACTCCACCATACCGACCGCCTCCGCCAACCCCAACTGAGTACCTCCCAGACGTGCCCTCTCCGCTATACCTACCGCTAGCTTCGGACGGCATACCGCGGTACCGAGAATCCCTACCAATCCTTGCTGGCAGCGTGGTGCAGTCTTTGTCGTAGAACGACGTGTTGTCAGAATGGTCGACAGCGTACTCGGGCGGCTTCGACCACGGCGAGAAGTAGTCACGGCGCTTCTCCACCGGACCCTGCACGTATGAGGCCAGATTCTCCCAGACAGGGATGAGAAGGCGGGTCATAGCGTCGCTTTTGTCGATAAAGCTCTTTTCCATGCTGCTCTTTTCCACGCTCGTGGACGTTGAGGTTTCAGCATTGGTAGCACTCTTGTCTGCGGCTTTGATGCTATTGTACATGTCTTCGTGACGTGCAAACGTAGTCCCATTGAGCCACCAATTGTCCAAACTATTGGTATGTGCCTTAGCATCGAAGCTCGCTAGTGCTGGCATGGGAACTGATGCTATTGACTGTGGGCAATTCCTAACATAATGGCTTGTAAAGAACTGCAAGACTGGGTCCTTCTCTGGAGCCAGTTCTTCGTCCACATAGTCGATGAGATCTTTGTACGTACTATGGAGACATGGAATGTCGGCCTGCTGGATAGTTCTCGGACTCGTAATCGAAGACGGTCGGGGTGCGCCAACCGCTTTATCGAACGGCCGAGCGCTTGTAGGCTGAGTTGCTAGTGGCTGCAGATGAGGCGGCAACCCGCTTGGGTTTGCCACTGTCTTCTTGAGCTGTGGCGAGGGTGCTGTTGCCTTCGTTGTATTAACCGCAGCTTGCTCGGTTGGGTCGGGTTGACTGCGGAATGGATCATATAGCACGGTGCGAATGTTGCTCTGGCTTAGATTACGTTCCTTTGCCTGGTCGCCAATCTTGACTAGCTGGTCACGCATGGCGGTGCGAGAAGTTGGTGGCAATGTCGCCTGGACATGCTCCGGCTGCAATCGAGTGTGCATGGTCGAGGCTTGCACCGTCGACGTCTTGGACCGAGCTGTAGAGATTAATGGTCTGGTAGCTAACATAGGAGCCGGCTCCGTCGGTAAGCTGAGTACCGAAGGTCCGCTTGAGATGCTCGATTGCTTTCTTTCTCCGCGAGCAGCCGCACGCTCAGGAGATTGCACACTGGATGGAGCCGGAGGGAAATGATAGTCATAGTTCAGCCCTGGCACAACTCCACTCCCGTCTGCGAAAACAGCTGGCGTGTTGTAAGCTACGGTCAGCATGGGATAGCCACCGAAAGCAGGGGGGGGTGCTCCGTAGACTGCTCGGTAGGAGCGATCGCTGTAAAATGGGTCCTGCGGTGCAGCATAAGGTGTTGCATGATAGGGCCTAGGATAGAAGCCGCTCGGCAAGTGATACTGGGGCGCGTACGGGTTATAGTACGGACGCTCATAACCCGCATACGCTACATGGTTGTTATCATAAGCTGGATAGCCAAGGTATTCGTACGGCAGCTCCGTGGTGGCAGCACGATCTGCTCTCCCGGCTCGCAGAGCTTCCGGGTCACCTGGGATGGTCTGCGTGTCTGGTGGTGCCGGCTCTGCAGCACCGGTTTGCGTGGTCGGCGCTGCGGGTGCGGACTTCCTCATAGCACCGGGCACAGTCGGTGGCGCACGATGCTCCGGCATGGCCGCCTGAATCTCCTTAGGACCGAACGGCAGACCCATGACGGTAGCCTCACGCTGCTTAGCCACGGTACGAAAGTATGCCAGTGTATGCTGTTGTATGGTCTGGTTCGCAGTCTCGCCCTTTAAGCGATCAGTGGCAAGCTGGCCCTCAATCTTCTTGCGAATGTTGGAGTATTGACCAATGTTCTCCCACATGTAACGTTCCGTTGACCACTGATGGGCAGCAATATCACCGTTAGGATGCTGTGTGAATTGAAGCTGACCGTCCTTGGTGCCCTCAGTCTGGGCGATGAAGTCAGGTCCGGAAGGTGGGTTGCCGAAGACTTTGTAGACCTCGCGGTTGTCAATCGACGCTTCCACCGAGGTCTGCTTTTGCTCTGGCTTGTTTTCGTATGCGCCGAGCTGGTCGACGGGCTTCTTGCTCCTGCGTCCGGTATATATCTGGAAGCCGCCGGCGTCAGTAGGCCCGGAGTCCTGTCGCTCCATGTCCGGAATCGAAGTCGTAGTACCTGTTGTCCGCTGCGAAAGGCTAGACAAAGAGCGAGTGAGGGAGCTATCACGCGTTGTGGGCATCCGGTATGTGTTGACTCGGACTTCCGTGTCAGGATGCCGGGAGCCAGCGGCGGCGTTTCCGGCACTGGCGGTAAGATCCAAGGGCGCCCATTTCGCCTTCGTCCGAGATGGCTGGCGCGCTCGCTCTGACTGGTGACCAGCTGACACGCCCAGGGTAGCTTCCGCTTGCTCGATTCGTCTGTTTTGGCGCGCTAGCTTGGCTGCTGCAAGTGACATTGCAGAGCCGTTGGTTGGCTCTGGGTGATGCAGCTCCACGATTGAGACACCTGAGACTTCCGCCTCGAGGACTGGCTCGTCCTGATAAGGTGGCTGCGATCGCTGGCTTGTACGGCTAATGGGGCGGAAGACTGGTGGCGAATGCGTGGCGGAAAATTGAGGCGTGCCAACTGGGAGACGGTTGGCCGGTAAGGCAGCAGCTTGTGGTATCACTTTGCGGCGGGAAGATGGCATATGGGATCCCGCGAGTCAGCTTGATAATACGGCCTGTTTGGTGTAACTCGGCGGACCCTTTGCAGCTGCACAAGGAAGCTTCCGATGCCCTCTATTGCGAAGCGGTCAGTTCAGCCAACTCTTCCAGTGCTCGAGCGTCAATGCTGGCGAAGCGGCAGCAGCATACAATTGTCTTCGAAAGCGTAGTTAGCGAGACTGAGAACAAGTTGAGCGCAATGGTGGTGAGAGTGGGGTCTCGATCTCTACAGGGCAGGCACGCTGAGTGCTATCAGTCGTTCCTTCCACATGCTGGATGCCGAGACATGCAGATGGAAGATGCATCTAACAAAGAATGAGACGTTACGCGCCTGAGACGGAACATCTACCATGTACGTCTTATGCATGTCGCTGGGCGCAAGGAACATCATCGACTTGCTACTAAGGACGCCTGGAGCTCCGTCCATCTCGGCGCCTTACATGTGCATTCAAGCCTGCGACCCGTCTTGCGAAGCATGAGGTGTAGCATGGCTTGTACGGTGCGAGCTTGCTTTGTTCAATCCTCGTGCTCTGTCAACCTATCTCGCATCTCGAACACACCGGGCAGTGCTTGACATTTGCGGGTGTAGCTGTATGCATTGACTTTGATGCATGAATAGCAGTAAGAGCGAGAGGGAGAAGGTGCAGGACGTTGGTGTCATCCAACTCCTGCCGTCCTTGCTGAGTCAGTCGCTTCGACGCTGCCGAACCCTGGCATGCCTTGCTCTCTTGCCGACCTCGCACATCAAAAGGACAACATAGTGCTCTTGTGTCTTCACGATGTGAATCTGCTGCTTGATCTTCCTGCGGATCTTGGTCGGTATAGGAGACAAGCTCGAATCAAGCTCACCCTCGTGTACGCCATGTACGCCACGGCTCCTCCCTCGGCATGGAACTGCCTTTATTCGTGCGGGGATAAACCGCCTGTCGGACTACACCCGTGTGTATTATTCCGCATTGCCACTCTACAACATCAGTCTGTCCCTGAATCTGTTGAGGTTTCTTACTCCGGTTACCTGAGCTCTCCTTGAAACAATCGTGGCATATTGAAATCCAATCGTTTGATCGTACCGCACGATGGCGCAGAAGGTGTCTGTCGCCGAGATTACGAAGCATGCCACGCCGGATGACTGCTGGGTTGTCGTCAATGGCAAAGTCTACGACCTCAGCAAGTTTGCGCCTAACCATCCTGGCGGGCCCGAAAGTTCGTACTCGCAACTCATCACCATTGCTTGATTCATGTTGACAACTGAATAGTGGTGTATAAGTACGCTGGCAAAGACGGGACGAAGACCTACAACCAGTTTCATTCGAAGGACCTCATCGAGAAGCAGCTCTCTGACAGCGAGAAGCTTGGAGAGTTCGATGAGTCAACCGTCACAGACACATGGGTCAATGCGCAGAAAGAAGAGACTATCTCGGAAGCCGACCCAAACGAGAGGCCACCGCTATCAATGCTCCTCAATTGCGACGACTTCGAGAAGGCCTTCGCCAAGTCCGGACCTCAGAAAGCGAATGCTTACATTTCCAGTGCCTCGAATGACCTGCTGTCTTTGAATGCCAATAAGTCTTTTTGGCAGAAGCTATGGTTTCGACCCAGGATCATGCGCAATGTGTCCGCGATTAACACCAAGTCCAAAATGTTCGGTTGTGATGTTATAATGCCAGTCTGGATCTGCCCTATGGGCGTGGCGAAGGGCGCTGGCGAGCAGGGAGAATGTGCCCTTGGTGCAGGTGCCGCAGCAAGTGGTATCATTCATTGCGTTTCGACTGTATCGTCCTATGACCTCGGCGATGTGCTAGCCAGCGCTCCGCGGACTTACCCATTCTTCTTCCAACTGTACGTCGACAAGCAAAGGCAGAAGACAGAGGCCTTGCTAAAGCGGCTGGAGACTCTGGATCAGATCAAAGCGCTTTTCGTGACTGTGGACTTGGCCGTGGTCTCAAAGCGGGAAGCGGATGAGCGAATAAAAACACAGGAGAACACGGCCAGCTACTTGCATGGAGAGAAAAACAAGATCGACAAGAAGGGAGCGGGACTGGCTCGAACGAATGGATCCTTTATTGACTGGGCGCTCTCGTGGGAAGACCTTGCCTGGGTGCGGAAACATTCGAGCCTGCCGATTGTTGTTAAGGGGATCCAGTCTGCTGCAGATGCGAAGATGGCGATGCAAATGGGCTGCCAAGGTATTGTTGTCTCGAACCATGGTGGACGCGCACTTGACAGCGCGCCGGCCACTATACTTGTCCTGCTGGAGATAAGGCGAGATTGCCCAGAAGTCTTTGACCGGATGGAGGTACACGTTGATGGCGGTATACGACGAGGTTCTGACATCCTGAAGGCTGTCTGCCTTGGAGCCAAGGGTGTCGGTGTTGGTAGGCCGTTCCAATGCTCGGTCATGTACGATCGTGAGGGCGTTGAGGCCGTTGCGGAAAGTAAGTGTCTTGCTTTCTCTCATCTTCCCAACACGTTTGCTAATCTGTTGGCTTAGTCCTACAAGACGAGCTGGAAACCGCAATGCGTTTATGTGGCGTGACACATCTTGACCAAGTGCGAGGAGACATGTCATGGCTCAATACTTCAGAGTTGGAACAATATCTGCCGAAGAGACAGGGCTGGTCTTTTTTTGGCAGCCTGAGGTCAAGATTATAGGAACAGTATCAGGATCGCATTCGTCAGACCTTGACCGGCACCATTTTCATTTAGCTAACAATTTACAACGCTTGAGTAACTCCCGCTGCGAGCAGCTGTATCTCGGGCATCCCGAGGCTCCTCTCCGGCGACATCTATGTTATGACGGACACCACCCCATGTTGTGAATGCGAGGGTGACACATCACACCGCGTGTCAGTCACAGCGGCCCTCGCGTAGGACCTCCAGTCTCAATCGTCAATGATAAGTAACTTATTACCACCTCACGTGCCCAACACCCTACGGCAATCCGCAGCGCACAATGTTCCTACGACTCCGGACAGAGCTACCTTTCGCAAGCTCGACTCCGAGGTTTGCAGCCATGAGCAGCCCGCCATCTGCTACCGTCTTCACCGTGGCGGAGAATCTTGTGGCGTGCTGTTATGCTACTAACCCTGCTTTAGAAACCCCACACCTCGTGCAAGATGGCCTGCCATCGTACACCTGACCAACATGCTCCACAGCACCGCATGCACCTTAAGCACTGAACTGACTCGCAACGCGAAGCGTCGACATCCAGCCCGCATCGTCTCCGCCATCCCCGCGCAATCCCCGCCATCTCCACGTCTCGAGGCCACACCTCGGCAACTTCTTGCGAGTCTTCTCTCAACCTCACGACCTTGAAACCCGGTTCCGCCCCACCACAGTCGTGCGCTAGCCAGTCCATGCATGCATGTATGCTGCAGCATGTTCGACAGTGAAACGCCATCTCTGCGCTATCGCCCGGGATCGCAATGTGATTGACGGAATCCGTGATGCCTATCAAGCGCCTGCTGCGTGGGAAGGTAGCACATGGCTGCTGGAGCATGCTGCAGTGTCCATCCCCCGCAGTGTTGCTGACACCCACTACTATCATGATTGCCGTTGCCCGGTATCGCACTGCTCAATAATCAGTAATCCAGGCTATATACCTAGGCCTGCGACCAAAGAGGGCCGGTGAGATTGCTTCTTTCTCCCCGGTTGTCCTATTGCTCTCATACTCTTACCCACTGGAAAGGAGACCGTCAGACATGGCACCAATTGAGACTCACGCTGATGTCAAAGCCTACGATAATGATAAAGTAGAATTCGCGGCCCAACCAATCCCTAGCGATCAATCGTCTGGCGAAGAGCTTCACACCGTCGAGAAGGGCTGTATGTTTCATTTTGGCACTCTTGCGTCGTCCTCTCCAGTCGCTGAATCGTTTGATAGTCAATGATGGCGTCGTCGAACTGCCTCTTGCGGAGCAGAAACGCATCCTCCGCAAAGTCGATTTTCGCCTCGTTCCACTACTGGCGCTCTTGTACCTAGTGGCTTTCATCGACCGCAGTAACATTGGTGAGAGTGCCGGTAGCATGGCGTTCTGGAATGAGAACCATATATACTGACGGACGATGCAGGCAATGCCAAGATTGCTGGACTGTCGAAAGACCTCAAGCTGAAGGGTCTCCAGTATAACACGGCGGTCACACTCTTCTTCGTCAGCTATGGTATTTGAACAATGCGACGCGACCCATAGGATGACAGTGCTGATCATAGTTGCCAGGTTTCTTCGAGGTCCCAAGTAACATTGTCCTAAAGCTTATGAGGCCGAGTGTCTGGATCGCCATCTTGATGTCGGTCTCGAAACGATATAGAAGATACGTCCGCAGAGAGCACTAACGGAGGTGCAGGTTCTCATGGGGCACCGTCATGACGCTCATGGGCCTTGTCCACAACGTACAAGGTCTTTATGCTGCCCGCTTCTTTCTCGGCATCGCAGAGGTCTGCTTGAACCCCTCCATCGACATTGAGATCCCACTGACAATGCTGGCGACAGAGCGGCTTTTTCCCCGCCGCCACATATCTTCTGACGATTGTATGCCGCTGCCATGTCCCCCACATTACCGCATATAGCTAACGAGTACGCCAGTGGTACCTCCGCTACGAGGTTCAATCCCGCATGGCCGTCTTCTACGCCTCCGCGTCTCTATCCGGCGCCTTCTCAGGCTTGCTCGCCTACGCTATCGAGAAGATGCAAGGCATCGACGGTCTCGGCGGCTGGCAATGGATTTTCATCATCGAAGGTCTGGTCCCGGTGGCCCTATCCTTGGTCATTTGGAAGCTGCTCCCTGACAGCCCGGAGACGGCTAGCTTTCTGACCAAAGAGGAGAAGGAGTTCATCATCAACCGGCTCGCGCTCGAGACGGGCTCCGGGCATGGTAGGGTTACGAACTCCGACAAGATTGGATTGAAGTACATCTTGGCCGCTTTCAAGGAGTACAAGATTTGGGGCGCTTGGGTGATGTTCTGGGTGCGCCTCCGCTCTGTTGTCGTCCGCTGTGAGGTATACGCTGACCCGACGATCCGACAGGCCAACACCATCGGCGTCTACGGCTTCACCGCGACCGTCCCCTCCGTCATCCAACAACTCGGCTACTCCTCCGCCAACGCCCAGCTCCTCACCATCCCCATCTACGTCGTAGCCATGGTACAGTCCAGCCCACCCACCTTCTTCCCCCCCTTCAAGCCAAACCCTCCCACCCCACCCATCCACTGACTCTGCTGGGGCTAGATCTTCACCATCATCTTCGCCTTCTGGTCCGACCGCGCGCGCCAACGCAGCCCCTTCATCATGGCCGGCTTCACCATCGCCGCCTGCGGCTTCATCGGCCAACTCGCCATCCCCCACACCCGCATGCCGGGCCTGACCTACGGTTTCCTCTTCCCCGTCGCCGCGGGCCTGTACTGCCCCTTCATCCACATCGTGTGCTGGATTGGGAATAATCTCGCTCCCTCTTCCAAGCGGGCTGTGGGGATGGCTTTGCTGATATCTGTGGGGAACTTCGGTGGGATCGCCGGGTCGAAGTGCGTTCTCTCTTTTCCCGCTCCCCCCCTTACCCCCCGTCCAGAGTTTATTATTGGTGATGATCGCTAACGTGGTAACTTGTAGCATCTACATCGCCCGCCAAGCCCCCAAATACCCCGCCGGTTTCGGCACGGGTCTCGCCATCTGCCTCGCGGCGATCATCATGGCCTTTGTGCTGCGGCAGGCGTTTGCGGCGGAGAACGCGAAGCGGCGGACGATGCTGGACCGCGATGGAGAAGATGCGATCAGAGCGCGGTATAGCGAGCAGGAGTTGTTGGAGATGGGCGATAAGAGTCCGTTTTTCATCTACACGTTGTAAACCTCCTCAATATGGCAGAGCGGCGGCGAAGAGGGGTGGAGAGTCGAGGTATTGGCATGAATATACTGTCCGTGGCCCACGCTCCACTATGCGCTGAAGGCGGAGTATACACGTATCGGCGATTTTCTTCGTCAAGCGTCTATGTTCATCATCATCATTATCTCAGTACCACCGTTACCGACCGACAACGCCTGCGCTAGAAGTACGCTTGGCAAAAGCCCTCGTGAGAGCGAGTCGAAGCCTCCGTTTCCGCGAAGCTTGTACAAAGCTCATCCATCAATCTCCCAAACCCCCACCCCCCTCTCCCACTCTCCAACCTGCCCCTCCACACCACCCTCCCCTAACCCACTTCCCCCACTCCTCTCCCTCTCCCACCCCGCCCTCGCCCCCTCCACCAAAGCATCCGTCAACGCCTCCGAATCCCCCGCCGTCGAGCTAGACCCCCACCTCAAACTCCTCGCCGCCAGCACCCGTCTCAAATGCGGCAGATTCCCATCATCCGTGATCGCGATCAAAATATCCACGGGCGTGATTTTGTCCTCCGCGCCCGTTGCGCCGCTCGAGGTCAGTTCGAGGGTGTGCAGGGGATGGTCGCGGAGTAAAGGGGAGGAGGCGGTCAGGTCGGACCAGTAGCTTGGATCGCGGTTTGTGGTGGTGGTGGATGGAGTTGGAGATGGTGTTGAGGTGGTGGAGTGGGAGGAGGAAGCGGAAGCGGAGGGGACGACGATGCTTTCTTTTGGTATGCGCCACTCGTTTCGCTCGTCCAGGAAGGCGGGGGAGATGTAGTCGACGCTTATGCTTAGGCGGTGGATTTGGGGGAGAAGGAAGAGGACGTCGTCCAGACTTCTACTTCCCAGGCGCGGCATCTGGCGGATTTTGAAGCTTTCCAGATTGCGTAGGGGTCGGACGGCGGTGCGGAGGAGGTGGGTGACTGCGTAGCCTTTTGCCAGGGGGCAGTGCTCGATCGTGAGGCTTCTGAGGGTTTGGGGGAAGGCGACGACGCCGTGGAGGAAGTGGGCGTCGATGCCGCCGCTGATGGTGAGGTCTTCGAGTTGGGGCGGCCAGAGGAAGGAGGTGGGTTTGTAGTGGACTCCGAAGCCGGCACTGCGCGGTAACCGTAGCGTTTTCAGCTCGCCCAAATGTGCCAGTGTTCGGAACAAATCCGGTAACGGCGGACTCTCACTAACGAGACTCAAATCCAAACACTTCAACGCCGAGCACTTGCTCAACGCCGGCAAGCAATTAATCGCGAAACTGGCCTGCGGCGCAACAAACGTCTCCAAATTCCCCTTCGTCCGCCCCAACACGCGCGCGGTCAAGCTTTTACTCCCCTGATGCACGAGCGAACCCATGTCGAGGGTCTTGACGAGGCTGGACAGCGGGGATTGGCGGACGTGGAGGTTGATGCTTGGGCAGATGGCGCGGACGAAGGGGTCGTAGTTGCCGCCGTAGAGGCGCGGGTGGGCGTAGAGGTAGGGGGTGCTGGCGTTGTGCCATTGGTGGGAGAGGAGGGCGCAGGCGGCGAAGGTGGGTTGGGAGAGGGGGGTGGGGAGGTGGGAGATGTAGTTGAGGATCTGGATGAGGATTTCGTCGGGGAGGTAGATGGGTGGGGGTGGTGTTGACTGGTCCGTGGAGGAGGTGGTGGTGGTGGTGGTGTGGTGCAGTGGTGCTTCTTGCTCGGTGACTGCTTCCCGCCTGCGCTTCGATGCCGCCAGGTTCTCCGCCATGGAGATGTCCCAGTTGCGTTGCTGGTCGAGGGCCATCGTGGCGGAGGAGGAGGAGGAGAGGAGGAGGAGAGGAGGGGAAGGGACAGTGAGTGGTAGCCGGATTAATCAGTAAATTAATTAATGGTAGAGAAGGTCTTCACTTCCTGAGCGCCACCTTCTCGACCGCAGTGGAAGTCCACCACGTGACGTGACGCATGCCGCTCGCTCCACCTTCCTATCTCGTCACAGCTCCTGGGAACTACCGGCGTTGCACTTCATGCAGCTCAACCTTCAGCCTCCACCCGTTTACACCCACAACTCACACTCACATCATGCTCGGCCTACGATCTCTCCAGCGTGCAACACGCACTCCCGCCTTCCGCCAAATGGGCGCGAGACGCGGCGAGGCGACGATGGGTGTGGGAGCCAAGGGGACGGGAGCTGCGCAGGACAATGCCTTCAACCGTGAGCGGGCGGCAGTCAAGGCGCATGCGGCGGCCACCAGTGGTGAGTATCGTGACAGACTGTCCCACATGGGGTTCTTCACAAGCTGATCTTGCCGACCACCCAGATACATGGAGGAAAGGGAGCATCTAGTACGTTCCTATCGCAAACTCGCAGAGCACCCTGCAGCCCACGGGAACCGCACATGGAAGCACGAAGAGGTCGAAGACGACTCAAGAACTAACATGCGTTTCTAGTATTGTCATCCCGTCCCTCCTCATCGCCGCCGTCAACGCCTGGCGGCTGTGGGACGAGCACCAGGAGCACATGAAGCACGAGCCGCCGCTTGAGGAGCGGGTCGAGTACCCTTACATGAACATCCGCACCAAGTCTTTCCCATGGGGTGATGGTGATAAGGTAAGATGTCGTCCAGTTACAGTGCCGCTCTCTGCTGACCAGGCGTACCTGCAGACGCTGTTCTGGAACGATGCGGTCAACCACCACAAGCGGGACGAGTAGTCTGTTGTTGAAATGTATAAATCGGTATTACCTGGCGTAGCTGGAGGCTCATTTCGAGCAGAAGGCCTACCTCGAACACTTCAAATATGCCGTTCTCAAGTCTAACCTTCACCCCTTCGACGAACTTGCCATCACTCCTCCTTCGCACCCTTACCTTCACTCAAACCCTCCACCCCCTCCAACCTCTTCTTTTTCCCCTCAATAGCCCCCTCATCCACCCCCTTCACCTTTCTCCCCACATAAAACCAACAAGGCGAGAAAATATCCATCTCCCCTCCCTCCACCACACTATCAACGCAATACTGCATCTCCCTCATCGCCCCAATCAGATCCTTATGCATCACCCCCACCCTCACCATCCCCACACAAAACCAAAACCACAGAAACCTCGCCACTGGCGTCAACCGAAACACCACCCACCAATCCTGCCGCGTCACCGTCATGGACGTCCACCCTTTGAGCGGGTAATACCACGGCCTGAAAACCGGCGGCCGCGGATCAATCGCCACACTCGGCACATGCGCTTTAGCAGCATACATGCCATCCGTCGGAACCTCAACCCCCGAAAACGGCGCCCTCCTCGGCTGGTCCTCCCGCGACAAGAAATCCCAATGATGCGCATAGTCCTCCTCAAAGTCCACCTCAAACCCCGCCACGCCAAGCGCCCGCCGACACTCCGCCTCGGAACACAGATTCGAGATCCCATTCCCCCTCTCAATCCGATTCCGCACGCCAACATGCCTCGCATCACCCGCATCGTATGTAGGCGTCATGACCCACTCGCTCAACCCAAACACGGCCCCCTTCTTCAACACCCGCGCCACCTGCGCGTACACCAGGGCCAGAGAGGGAGCATGACACGTCGCCTCGATCGCGTACGCGGCGTCGAAACTCTCCGCGGGAAACGGCAACTCCAAGAAATTCCCCAGTACATACGTCACCCTCCCGCCCAAGCCCACCTGCGCCGTCATCTCCGTCGCGAGATCGAGTTGCAACTGATTGATACTGATCCCCACCACCTCACACCCCGCGAATTTCGCAATCTCCCTCGCGGGCCCCCCGACCCCGCACCCGACGTCCAGCACTTTCATCCCCGGCCGTAGGTTCATGAGGTGCGCGAGGCGGTGGGCGTAGTGGGCCATGGCTTGGTCGATGGATTCGTGCGGGGCGAAGGGGGTGTAGTGCAGGTGCGTGGACCAGCCGTGGATTTTGGCTATGGTGGCGAAGTCGTAGTATCTATCCACATACCAAGAAACGAGGGTTAGTGGGAGGTTATCTGGGCAAGGGATATGTAGCGGTGGGTAAATGGCGAGCGGCTGGAACGGGAAATGGCTCACGCTTCAGCATTTTCCGCCGCCGTTTGCTGCCGACGCAGCCGTTCTTCCTCCGTCACGGTGGTCTGGTCGTCCCATTTGGTGAAGCGGCCAGAGTAGTGGGAGATGGATTTCGCGGCTTTGGCGTCGCTGAGCTTGCCCTTTCTGCCTAGGGAGGGGTTGGCGGACATGTTGACGTTTGCGGGAATCTGTAATTGGGACGCGCAGTTTTCGTCAGTTGACAGATGAGGAAGTGAAAGTGCCGGGAGGAATCGGCAGAGGTTGAGGTAGTGGTAGAGCGCGTTTGGGAGGAGAAAACGGCTTGTGGTGGTCTCGTCGTCGCACAGACAAAGGAGTGACGTCGCTCATATTGTTCGTGTGCATTCCAGGTGGTCGCCGGTGATAAAGCTTGCGTGTTTCGGCTGGGCGTTTGTTGTGGATATGGAGGCATACTGTTCTTGATGGCGGTGGAGGCAGTAAGCGACATGATTCGTGAACTGAAACTTGTGGGCGGAAGGTGCAATGCAAGTCGAAATATCACAGCACAGACTGCTTACACTTCTATGATCTCCCGCGACAGTAATACCATCCAGGTACGTGCTAAAACCGCCGCTGCGCCTCTGCTGCTATGCTTTTCGTACCTCATGTCATCATTCTCAGCCAGGAGCGGTATCTTAAGTACCGCTTGATATCATCTTCATCTATCTATCACTCCCCCAGTTTGGCTCGCTTCAGCGCTTAACCCTGCATCTCAATGCCACCGTTGACATGGATCACCTCGCCTGTAGTGTATGAGCCGAGCGGCGAGGCGAGGAAGACGTAGGCAGTAGCGACCTCGATCGGCATACCCGGGCGTGGCAGCGGAGCCATACCGACACCAAGACCCTCCATCGCGTCGGCAGGGTTGCCCTTCGTGGCTGGCTGAAGCGGGGTCCAGATGATGCCACTAGCAAATAGTCAGCTGGTGCTCCCAGAACCGTAGGCGCAACTGACAGAACACTATACTTACGGAGCGACACCATTAACTCGAATCCCCTTCGATGCCTGCTGCTGCGCCAAGCTCCTCGTGAACGTGGCAATGGCACCCTTCGTACTGCTGTAGTCGACCAACTGCGGGTTACCCATGTACGCCGCAACGGACGTCGAGTTGACGATGCTGTCTCCGCGCTTCATGTGCGGCAGGGCAAACTTGGTCATGGCGAACATGGCGAGGATGTTGGTGCGGAACGTCTTCTCCACCACCGCCAAGTCGATATCGACCAAGTCCTGGCAAATCTCCTGCATCGCCGCGTTGTTGACCAGCACGTTAAGCTTGCCGAAGGTCTTGATGTGCTCCTCGACCGCCTTCTTGCAGTTCGCATCCTCCCGCAAGTTCAGCGCCATGTGGTGCGCCTTGCGGCCGGCTTGCTCGATCATCTTGCACGTGATCTTGGCGTCTTCTTCTTCCTCGGGCAAGTGCACGAAGGTGATGTCTGCGCCCTCTCGCGCCATGAGCACGCCCACGGCACGACCGATGCCGGAGTCACCACCGGTGATCAAGACGGCCTTGTCCTTGAGCAGACCGCGACCTTCGTACTCTTTGAGGATTGGCTTCTCGTTCTCCCAGTACTCGAGCTCGGTGAAGTTGGCGCCCGGGTCGAGCTTGGTGTCAAGACCTGGACCGCCACTCTGGTCCTGAGGCTTGAGCTCCTTCCATGGGTATGCAGTTACTGGTTCGCCCATCTTTGCTGCTGTTGTGTGAATTGATCTTGGGTATGAAAGTAGGGGGAATCGAATGAAGGAAGTTGTTGTTGTTGTACGTGTGGGTGACAGAGACTGAAGCTTCGAAGGACTTATACCCACCACTCTCCTACTCATTAGCCGTGCGAGAGTCATTGACAGGCTGAAGGCATCGCGTATGCGTTGCGGCATCGCCAAAACATTCACGCTTTGCACGTCAACAGATCGTCATCAACCACCACTTTCTCAGGGTCTGTCCCGCATCACAACCCCCCCACTGTCCACCACGCTGTCGGCCATGCGCGCGTTCTAGAACAGCAAGCTTGCGCATAACGACGACATCATCGCCAGTACGAATGCAGCATGACACGTTCAACGCTGATATCGGTCCCAATGCATGCCACTGACCGGTTGCATCAATATTAACATATCATCCGACTACAGCCGCCCAGGTCTGCACCCTTCGACTTACCTACTCAACCGTGACCAGCTTCCACATGATATTCGCTCATAGCCGATGCGACTGCTCGTTCACGATCCTGACATCTCGCTCCGGCTGCGGCGTGAGAAGTCGGGTGACCACTTCCCCAACCACTGCTATAGCCCCCGGACAATGGGTTTCGAATTGCGACTGCAGGATAAGAACCTTTCCGTGCACTGACCCATTGGGTGCGGGAAGTAATTATATATGGTCTACGGTTTGCCTTTGCCTACACAGACATCGCTCCTCGGTTACTCGTCCTCCTTTTTTTCGATCAACCACCTCTTGCCTTTCTGCTACATCTCCGACCGTCACTTGCGCTGGGAACAAGACGGCGCTTTGTCCATGAGTATAACTAGCATTGTGCGGCTTGGTGTACTCTTCCAATAAGTCTACCTGCCCATCCGACGGTATCAAGTCCCTCTATGCGCTGTGCCATGCCACCGCAGCCGTCTCTGTATCCTGCAAACGCAGACGTTCATCGTCCCGCAAGCGGTCTACGCTTCACTGAGGCAAGTCAGACGGGTGTCAGCCGCGTCCACCAGCAAGGGGGCTAGTGGATGTCCTCAAATGGTATCATCATCACGTTGTCGCTGCTAGAGCCAGAGCCTGAAGATTCGGGAACGGCAAGTGCAGCGTGCAAGGTCATCGTCTGTTATCCATGATGCGCCTGGGTTTACCATCGGTTGGAAAGTACCACAGGCTATGCATGTAGGTGAGGCTCCTCCCTGAGGCTTTTCGGAACGTGCATCTGGAGTTGATGGAGTCGCTTGTAGGAGCTGGGTAATGATCTGATGACGCAGTAATCTCTACCAACTACAACGGTTCAATCGAGCGCTGATGTTGAAGGGCGGAAATGACATAGGTGTAGAATGTTGGGCTAGGTGCAGATACATGCTATGGTGCTGAAACTGGCCTCAGCAAGAACATGATGCCGTAGTAGCTCTAGCACTGTTTGCCAGCGCTTCAACCATGGGTGTGCGGCAAAGGCAACGTCGCTCTTACAACGGGCAGCGGCGCTGTAGATCTCAATACCTAGCATAGCGACGATGTGATTGTTTGAGGGCTATTAGTGTCGTCGGAACAAAACCATACTCCGAGGAGCACCTTCACGATGACAACTTGCGCAATCCGGCGTTCGGGCTCCATGGTGGTCTCACCACGGCAAGAAACGCGCACCGCTACGGTCTACCGAACTCTCACCGGGCAAATCTTACCACCCCTGAGAACTCTGTAAGCGATCGACATTGGGCACCATCAACCAGAAGAACCGTATGGAGACTACCTCTCGCCCTTCGGAGCATCAGCGGCCGTAATGCGTGCGTCGAATACGGCACCGGCAGAAGCGTGATGCAGCGCGTAGAAGATAGTGGGGGTTCGTGTCGAACTTATGCCGGCCGTTATGCGCGAGAACGTTGGCGGACAAGGGCGTGCCTGGCGTTCCTACAGTAGTTCATGCCGGTCGCGAGACTGCGCATGAGACTTGCAGCACGCGTCAGACCGTAAGATGTGAGGTGTGGCTTTTGTGGTGTCTTTGTCGCTGCTACACAGCATACTGTCCGCGAATGGTGTCCTGGACACACCATCGCAGACAATTCTCGAAGCCTCGTAGAATTTCTCCCGGTTTGACAGCGCGGGTGAAACAGTCGAGAGACGCCGCGGCCAATGATCAACGCACTTGCATGCTCTAGCGTGCTCTAGGGTAACGGGGAGGTGCCAGAGTTGTGGATCGCGCCGCATTGTTGTTGCTCGTGCGCACGCGCTTACACTTTTGGAGGACGACATGGGTCTGGTCTGTGCAATTGTGTGACAAAACGATGAGGAGCGTGCAGGTCGCTCAGACGACTGTGCAGCTCGTCCACGTCTTCAAGCTGCCCCTCCCCCAGCATCCGCACCTCTCTCCGACATGTCTGGCAGCAATGTGAGAGTGATGGTTGTGTTGGCGTATGCTAGTGAATGAAGCGTTTCAGACACCGACACCGGCTTGCCTCCACCAAACACCACCGTCGCACAATCACACGGTCACGGTCTCATCACACCAATCAGTGATCCTGCTCACTTTCCAACATATTGCGGCCTCTAACCACAGAGTATCTGCCGACATGCCTTGGAATTGACGGGTTTCCGAACTTACTTTCACTGCTTGCATGCCAGAACTAGCTCATCGCCCGCCCACCATGGACGCAGGCTTCAGATCAAGCCACAACGCAAGTCAGATGACAATGTCAGCATCACAGTTACTACAGGATCGGCTAGAGGAGCGCCGGGCGAGGAATATGCGGCCCAAGCGGTCGCGTCAGACAGATCTCGGCCTGAGGAGGTCAGGGCGTGACGACGACATCTTCCTGACTGCAGGTCAAGACTCTCCCTATGGAAACGGTAGGCTTCACGCTAGCTCGCCGGTTGCGGCAGGCGCGAGGGTGCCATCTGAGGCAGGAAGCGGGTATAGCCGACGACAGTCGATGGGAGTGCGAGATATGGATGAGCAGCTGGACAGGCTCAGCAAGCAGAACTTCGCGCTGAAGTTGGAGCTTGACCATAGGAGAGACCATACTGCTAGGTTGCAGGAGCAATTAGAAGCCATGCGCGCGCAGATTGAGCGTACGGAGCAGCTTGAAGCGGAGCATGCTGAGTTGCTGCGCATCAATTCTGAGTTGGTAGGAGAGATGGAGAAGCGGGATAGGGCCGTGCAGGAAGCGGTCGACTACATCTGCGAACTTGAGGAGAAAGTGACGGAGTTGGAGGAGCGGCGCAACCACACACGACCCTCGACTGGCAACGCTGACTCTGGGTATGCTGGAACCGAGACTCACGAACAGGCACCGCCTTCTTCGCCGCCCGAAGTGGGTACGAGGAAGCATTCACCAACATCTGCTCCATCTGCTTCATTGCCAGCAGCATCGGCAGCGTCACGTAAGCTTCACGATGCAGTCAATGTTCCGAAGCCAGCTAAGGTTCGGCGAGAGCCATCTTTCATGAGTCAGAAGAACACCAGCACCCAAGCCTTGCGCAACGCCTACTTGGAGGCGTCACACTCTCTACGTCCAGTACTGAGCTTCAATTCACTGCTCTCTAAGCGGGAAAGTAGACTTGGAGATGGTGTGGAAGATGACCTGCTTACTTCTCCTCGTCTGAGTGTGCTTAGCGAGAGCAGCTTCCCATCTCTGTACAGTCCGAAGCAGCGGAGTAGCCCGGACAAGTTCGCATGGGAGGCCGAGGCTGACGAAGAAGACATGCAGGACTGCTTCGCCCATTCGAGGCAGGATAGCATCAAGCGTGTCAGCCGCTGGATGGAGGACCGTAATGTGAGCGAAGAAACGCCATCTCGCTCGACGCGCGTCACGTCGCCACTCGCGCAACAGCTCGAGCAGGACGTTGCAGATGTGCCAAGTCGGCAAGGCGAAGCAGGCTACCAGTCTTTGAACGACGCACTCTCGACAGCGACCACGGCGGCGCAACAGCAGTCCTGTGAGCAGCTGCGCTCCGCTAACACCATGAAACCACGCGCAAGCGAAGCGAGAAAAGCCTTAGCACCACGACAGCAGCGGAAAATGCCTGGCACTCTCGGTGGACCGGTCTTTGGCGAGCCCCTTCTGCCGCCCACTCCGGACAGTGCGAGTACACAGATGCTGCGCACATCAAACTCAAGTATAGTTGGGGCGCGTGCTTTGCTCGACGACAAAGACATAGCTGCGGAAAGCCCTGATGGACATAGATCATCCCTACGTACCACGTCGAAACCGCTACGCTCGTCCGTAGAGCCGAACGGTGCCTTGTTGCGGTACCACAATCACCAGCAACGCAGTAGCCGACTCCAAACCAAGGACGGAGACTCAAGCTCCGATGAGGATGACGACGATGGAGATGCGCGTTCAGTGACCGTCAAGGACTTTAGCATGGACTACGACGGGTTTCCAGACGGCGGCTCCATCATTATGGGCATGCCGAGCCGCTTCCTGAAGCATGGCGCTCCGCCAGCAACAGACACGCTGGATGGAGGGAACGATCTGTCTGTACAACACAGCACGCCTTGGGCACCACAACGAAGACAATCAAGTTCCGATGCTACGTTGAGCCCGCAGAAGCCCGGCCTAAGCCGTGCAGAGACCAGCCCGACATTCTTCGGCACACTCAGCAGGATCGTGACAACCGTGTCTCGGCCTACCACGGATGGTGTTACCAGCCCCAAGTCGTATCACTCCGGATCGTCCAGTAACCGCACTGTTGTTGCGGAGGTTGAAGCAGAACGACTCGCGGTGGCGCCGCGGCAAAACAATCGCTCACAGTCGCGCCTCTCCCGCACTTCTCCTTCCCCGGCAAGGAGCCTCAGTCAGAAGACGCAGAAGTTCTTCCGTCGTATGTCGAACAATCACACGGAAAGTGCACGTCAGGGTCGGCTACAGGCTGAGCAAGAAACATCGCCAATGACAATGGTTCCAACTCCGTCAAGCACTGTGCTTGATCGCGGTGAGGCGACGGGTAAGGGTAGACCAAGGACGAGCGAGGCGCACCAGCCAATGACCCCTGCAGCTGTAGCACTTGACAGAGCGTCTACGGGAGGCGGAAGGAGACCATCACTTCAGACTCGAACGCAGACTGAGCCTGTGGCCACGCCCAGACCAAGGACGAGTGAAGCGCATAATTCCACGACTGCAGCAGCTGGGTTGGCCGGCGGAGTATCCATTGGAGGTGACAGGAGACCATCACTCCAGGTTCGAACGCAGACTGAGCCTGTTACCACCGGGACAGTCTCTGTAGCTACCATCGAGCATCCACACGCCAATGCTGGTGAGCGCAAGAATCCGTTCAGGCGGAGCAATAGCGTTAGGCACGACGCTAAGGCGTCAGTTTCGATACCAACGCCTCTGGAGGTACAGATGTCAGTCTCCCGGGGCGCGACCGACAGGCGGAGAGGCAGCGTTAGGGAAGCTGGTACGACTCGGAAGCCTTGGCGGTAGAAGTCCGTGGCGGCTTAGACCGACCTTGCTCGGATTTTGCTCAGAGCGAGCTTGAATGTTTGCAGCCTGGCCACCTAATAGGCGCTGTAGCATTATTACGGCTTTCGCCTGTAATAATCGTCACTTGTTGTATACCCATTCGCTTCGGCATTGCTCGCCCCATCATCCCGCCGAATGCCGCCGCGCTTCTACCCCGCCAAGCATGCTTGGACGTGGAGAGAGCGGGGCGCTATTGTGGAGTGGTGATGGGTGGACGGCCACGCCGAGTGCTGCAGACTGCATCCTCAAGCGAAGAGTTTTATTGCCGTGGTGGAAAGTGGGAAATCGTTTCCGCATGATACACACCTCACCTTTGCCAAGCTGGCCGCCGAGGCGAACCTGTAAGCGCTCCCAGTAGGTACGACATTTTCTCTTTACATCTCTACACTTTCTATCTCCTTGTCACGCGTGCTACGCTACTGTGCCTCCCTGGACATTTGAGAGAGGAGTCTTAGCGTCACGATGGACGTCAGCAAGCAAGTCGATGAGTCCGGCGGCGAAACGCCTCCGGAGAAGAAGCATGCCGTCTTGCACCTGGAACGTGAAATGGACCACAAACTGTCGAAGAAGGAACAACTGCACCAAGTGGATGGTTTCATCGCACGACAAGATGTCACGGCCGCGACCTTCAGTCATCTCGATATCAAGAAGATCCTTCGCAAGGTCGATATGCGGCTTATCCCCATGTTGACGACTTTGTACTTGGTACGTTGCCCTAACACCCTCCGAGATGGACTCGAGTAGGATGCTGATGTGTTGCAGTTGAGCTTTTTGGATAGAGGGAATATGTATGTTTGCACCTGCAACTTACGACTTGATACCTGCTGACGCATCGCAGTGGCAACGCGAAGATCGAAGGTCTTGCGGAAGACCTTCATCTGAAACCATGGCAATATAACATGTGCCTCACAGCGTTCTTCTTAACGTACTGCGCCTTCGAAGTGCCGAGTAATATGTTGTTGAAGAGGCTGCGGCCGAGTGTCTGGTTGCCGAGCATAATGGTCGCTTGGGGTGGGTGATTTCCGAGCGAAACTCGATACCAATGCTGATTCTGCAAGGCATCGTTATGACCCTAATGGGCATCGTACAGAACTTCTCCGGCTTGCTCTCTGCCCGCATCTTTCTTGGTGTGGCCGAAGCTGGCCTGTTTCCGGGAGTGGTAAGAAGCGTCGAGGTATTATTGGTAGATTCATGGTGATTGACTCGGTCGTAGGTCTACTACAACACCATGTGGTACTGTCGCTACGAAGTTCAAGTCCGACAGGCGATATTCTTCTCCGCTGCCTCCATCGCGGGCGCCTTCTCGGGTCTCCTAGCGTACGGCATATCGTTCATGGACGGAGTTGGTGGCTTGGAGGGTTGGCGATGGATGTAAGATCAATAGGAATTGCTTCACAAAGGGTCTATGCTGATACAGTTGTGCAGCTTCATTCTTGAAGGCATCGTCACCGTCCTCGTCGCCGTGCTCGCATTCTTCGTCATGTACGACTTCCCAGAGACGGCATCTTTCCTGACGCCAGAAGAGCGCGCCTTCATCGCTTTCCGGTTGAGGTACGATGGCCAGGACGCCGAGACCGATGATACCCACCGCGTCGCGCAGAACGAGAAGCAGGACTGGAGTTCCGTCCGAGCAGCCTTCGCTGACTGGCAGGTTTGGACGAACATTATCGTATACTGGGGCTACGTATGCCCTTTGTACGGTATCAGTCTCTTCCTTCCGACCATCATCAAGGAGCTTGGCTTTAAGAGCACGACGGCACAGCTTCTCACGGTACCTATCTATGTCACTGCCGCCGCTCTGACAGTAATTGTCGCCTACTTCGCCGACAAGCTACGACTCCGGTCACCATTTATCCTCACGGGTCTCGTCTTCCAGCTTATTGGCTTTGTCATGTGCATCTCGACCAGCCATGCAGGAGTCACATACGCCGGCATCTTCATCGCCGCCTGTGCCATTTACCCGACCCACCCGTCGAACATCACTTGGCTGTCGAACAATCTTGCCGGCTCGTACAAGCGAGCAGTTGGAATGGGCATCCAGATCAGTGTAGGAAACCTTGGTAAGTCGGACCGTCTACGCAAGCGCTTATGTTCATATATTGACCCAATGTAGCGGGTGCGTACGCCAGCAACTTTTACCGCGCAAAAGACGCACCTCGGTACAAACTCGGCCATGCACTCGAGATAGGCTTCATCACTGCCGGTCTGATTGCAGCGACGACGTTGATCGTGAGCTACAAAAGTGTCAACAAGAAGAGAGAAGCAGCAGTGGCTAATAACGAGCACAATGGGTACACTCCTGAAGAGCTCAGCGACCTTGGAGACAAGGCGCTGACGTTCAGATATACACTATAAGAAGGCTATGGGTATCCGCAGAATCAACGTAGTGCATGCGAATATGTATGCAATGAATGACGAAAACGCTGCTAGCGAATGGTTACTGAGGCCCGGCCTCTCGAGAGCGCGCTACTGAAATACCTCCTACACCTTGCAAATGCACCATCCGTTACTCAGATCCCTTCTTGTCCGCAATGCAACGCCAGCCAATGCGTGTCGTGGCAGTCTCTCAGGCCTGCCGTGCAAACGCAGCGACCGATCTGACGGCGTTTCTGTGCATCTCCGGCACGGCTTGCCTGAAGACTACACTCGCAGCATGCACAGACCCTATGTTGACCTCTCCAACTGCCAGTACTCCAGCGGCCGCAAGCTTGCGTACGTAGCCCTCGCCTTCCGATCTTAATGGATCCAGCTCATCCAAAGCCAAAACGTGTGGTGGTAAGCCTTCCAAGTCTTCGCGACTAGCGTGATACGGCCATGCTAGAGGGTTGGTTGCGTCCGCCGAATTCGGCGTGTACAGGTGTGCCATGTACGCCATGTGGTCGACGTTGAGCATATAGCCATGGCATTCTACAAGCGACGGCAGCTCCTGAAGTTTGCGAGCCTCGGACCAGTTGTACGCGTTGCTGATGAAGGGTGAGCATGCATATACGCCATCAATCTTGTTCAGCCAGCCTTCCCGTTTCGCCCTAAGCGCCGCAGCCAGTACCAGTCTGCCTCCGCCGCCTTCGCCGTGCAGTACGATGTTAATCGTGTTGAGGTCGTCCCGATGACTGTGTACGTAATGCACGGCAGCGCAGACATCATTCAGTGCGGCGGGATGTGGTTGAAAGCCTGTCAAACCACGCCTTGACCTTGGGTGGTCAACACTAACAACGACCATGCCCATTGCTGCCAGTGAAGTGCACCACCGTCGATGAACTTTTGTTTCCCTTTGCATGACGGGGATACCGCCACCGTGAACGTAGACAATGCATGGTAGCGGTCCTCCCCTCAGCACTGGTCGGTATATCTTAAGCGTGACGAGGTTGGCGTCCAGGCCAGTGATTGTCTCGTTGCGTGTCTCCACCTCCAGCTCGAGGCTGTCAGAAGGAAGGCTGTTGGGTAAGGCTTCATGCAGGTTCTCCCATTCCTGTTCCGCAGCGGTCATGCTGGCTTGCAGCTCGTCTAGTGTTGAGCTTGGTGACAGCGTAGCGAGAGACGTTGGAACATGGTACCGATCCAGTCCTTGCTGGGCAAGGACCTCGCGCAAGCGCGGGTGGAGTCGTGCGTCTTGATAGAGCTCCATACGCGGCGCACCTAGTCTGCCTGGTGGTGTGTAGCCGGGTCGTGGACTGGGTGGTGGAGCAAGTTCTTTGACCGGTGAACGACTGCTCGTACCTGAGCTGGGTGAGTGGATACTACTCCTCTTACGCTTGGAAGCTCCGCCTTGTTGTTCCATTGCTTGATCCGGAAATGATGGGTCTTTTGGGGTGAGATCCAACCTCCCGGAAGGAGGCGCCATGCGGCTGACCTTTGGATGGACTTATATTAAATCCTGCCATGACGCTTGTGGTATTGGCTTCGAAAAAGAAGTCACTGGAGCCACCGTGAAGCAACGCAACGCTCCGCATAAGGGCCTCGAACGGGCTTTGGATTTGGCAGCAATACTTTGTAGCTGCGTGTGAACGACAGTATTCGGGCGCGAAATGAATGCATCGTTACGAGCGGGCCGTTCACATCCGCAAAGAAATTCAATCGACCGCCAGCTGCTATCGTAACACGCATTTCACAGACGGGCTGCGGAACGACTCCGTACGTCGCATCAAACTTCGGAACTAATATGGAGATGCGTCCGAACAGCGGACGAGTAGATTTCGCGATGTTGTCGGCGTTATCTGCTCGGTGCGCGGGGAGTCGGCATCATGTCACGCCTATCCCAGGCTAAGCTTCTCACCGAGCAAGGACCCGGATCCTTTGGTTTGCCCGTTGATGTTTAGATAATCAATTGCCGCCGTAGGGCTGCTAGCGTGGTACCATCTTGTTCGGTCGATTTCCTTCAATCCAGCCGAGACAAGCGTGTACTGCGCGGGGAAAAGCGAACAAGCAAGCGTATGGCCTAGAAACAGTCGAGAAACGGTCGCTCTTACTGCTGTGCGAAGACCGAGATCGCAAGACATCAGGACGGAACCTGACAGCATCAAGGGACTCGAATACCTCGAGGCTACCTGAGGTACGGCAATCGGCAGCCGCGTCCGAAGGGTCCTAGTCTATGCTGTTCTGGGAAGCTGGAGCACGGCTGCTCCGACGTCACGACCATAGGGCTGAGCCGCGACACTCCTACCACGATCTAGAAACTACCGGGTCTTGTTGATTAGTACGGCGCTGCCGTAATGATCTGTAACCCTCATTGGCGCCAAACCTCACGCAAGGCTAATGTACAGTTCTTCCGCACGTCTTCCATGTCTTCGTTCGGAATCTCGAGCTATTCGGCTGCGGTATCCAAGTCTGCAGGCCAGCATGTCGATCGCGCTGCGGAATACGCATCTGCGAGCGAGCAACCTGTCGAATTGCATGAGGTAGTCCGGAAACGTCGGTCACCATCACCACGCCAGCGACCTAGGGGCGTACCAGAGGCGGACGAAGTGTATGTCCTCACTGTTCAGACAGACAAGGGTCACCATGATCGCATGACGCGGCTTCGCACCCGATACTTCCCAGCACACCTTAACAAGTTAGAGGCGCACTTGACGCTCTTTCACGCCCTGCCTGCTAGCAAACTGCAGGGTAGCATAATACCTGCGCTCGAAGACGTTGCGTCTCGGACTTCGCCGTACAAGGTTGTGGCTTCCAAAGTAATGAGGATGAAACGCGGCATGGGCATTGTCATCGCGAAGAACCAAGGTGCTTCGCAAACGCAGCAGGTTCATCGTCAGCTGAAAGGTCGATGGGAGGCTGAAGGCTGGTTGAGCGAGCAGGATCGTGGAGGCTGCCATGTGCACGTGCGTGACCAATCCATCTCTGTGCGACTGTCTGCGCCATTACTAATGCGTCTTCGCGTGACTTGTAGTACACTGTCATGAACAAGGTCGACGATGAAGCCGAAGTAATTCAGGCGCAGCAAGAACTCGAGCGCACCTTTCGGGCTGATACCGGTACTGCCGAAGGTCTAGGCCTGTGGAAGTACGAACGCGGATGGTGGCACTGGGAACGAGGTTTTAGCTTCGATGCTTCTCAGACTGTTGATCCGACTCAAGCTAAGCGGACTGATTGCTGATGCGCTGTACATTCCTGTTATTGCATGCTACTAACGCGCTTCTAAACAGCTGTGCGTCTAGGCCTTTTCTTAGCCGGACTACTGAGGCTGGCTGGCGGTATCGGCTTCACCGCTACCTTTCCAGCAGCTGCCGGAGCACCGAAAAGGAAAGATGCTTTGGGTGCCTTCTTCGCCGGACTCCCTAGCCCGGACAGAGTCTCCGTCTCGACGTTCGCGGCAAGCCTGGAGTCAGCTTTGGGCAGCTCAAGCTTTGATCCCAATGCGTTTGCTCGAGGCAGCGCACCCGCGCGCTTCTTTGGTGGTGATGATATGAGGTTCTCCTTGCCCGCCGTGTTCGAAGGAACAGTGCGGCTTGTTGAAGCTGGAGCTTTTGAGGTGTTCTTGCCCAGGATACCATGAGATTGCTCTTCAGACCGAGACTCTGCGTGGGGCAGGGGTGCCTTGGTCAGCCCTTTCGCTGGCGTTGCGATTCTTGAGCGGCGAGACTTCGGTGCAGCCTTTGGCTGCGCTTCGGATGGGTCAACCGCACCCATTAAACCATTACCTTCGTTGACTGCGACAGCATTGCGTGCCGCTGAAGTCGCAGCGGGAGCTTCCGCTATTCCAGGAGATGTCTTAGGCGGCTTCAATCGTCTGATTTTTGGCTTGCTCGGTGTATCTGCCGCAGCTGGAGCTGACACTGGCTTTTCGTCTGCGACTCCCACCGTAGGGTCAAAGTTCGCCGACTTCTCCCAAGGCATGCGCTCTTCTGGTTCGTCATAAACCTGACCGGACTCACTATCTGCGCTGGGCTGATACACCGATACCAGGACCTCAGCCCATGTGACGGCTCGCTTGCCACGTGAGCCCGGGCTCATTGGGGTCTCTGCTCCATCAGAGGCCAAGTTAGACAGCTCAATCAACGCCTGCTCGCCAACCACGTCCGTACGCATCGTTTCTGCAGCAAGCTTCAAGAGTCGCATCTTCGGTAGCACACTCGTACCCTTGTTCTTCTTTGTGTTGTTCTTGGTCAACGAAGAGAGCTCATGCGTCTCTGTTCTCTTAGTCAGCTCCACGCTGTTAGCCGCTCCTCGGATCGTTATGTTACATGGCCCAGATGGTGCAGAATGACTAGACTGGGCGAACGCCTGTGGCTTCTTCCTGCTACGTCCGCTCCGGGTTGTCTTCTTCGATAGGACGGTGTCCTGTTCGTTAACGTCCTTCGCCAAATCGCCAGTCTCTAAGCAGTCATTCATGATGTCAGAGGGCTCCATCTTCGTTACCAGAGTCGAATCGCTGGTGCAGATTTGACGAGCTGGGCTGTTAGGATCCAGTTCCATCAGTATATCCTGTCTCGCTGGGCTAGCCAGAGCTTGCCGGACAGTATCCGAATCTCGACGATGAGTGACTGACTCGCGCTCCGCCGTAGATATTGGGCGGAAGATTTTCATTTCGGCTGCGCGGTTGAGGAACGCTTGTATCAATGCCGTGTCGTCCGAGACACGTGGTTTCAAGTACTTAGTTTGAGACTCATTTGGTTCTTCTGGTGGCGCAGAAGAAGCGCGAGATGGTGCAGGTTCTTCAAGTCGCGCGTCTGTCCCACTGACACTGGGCATGATCTGAGAAGGCGTGAAGTCTATGGGCTCCGTTGTGGTCCTGAGAACTCTCGCATCTGCATCTGGATGCAGCAGCTTCAGCGGTGAAAGAGCCACCAGGTGAGACTGATCGGTCTGCCAACTCGTGGATGCTCGCTTCAAAGGGCTCGATGACTGCCGCCTGGGCGACCGACGAAGTGGAAGTCGAGGGTGGAAGCCTTCAATTGTCGGTACAGGACTTGCGGGCAGCCGTTCGCTGAATTGCAGTATGTCCGTTGGCAGTGATAGGTTGGCTGCATGTGGTGGAGAGCTCTCTGTGGCGCCTTGCGTATCGAACATATCATCTCTCGCTTGCAACGTGGTATTTGGAACTCCTACAGCATCGGCTTCCCTACGCTCAGTGTTTTCATCCATCGGCCAGAGAGGCACTCCATGGTCTGGCGCTATAGTGCGTGCTCCAAGCGACAGCTCTGTGTCAGGTATGGGATCTGATGCATCAGGGTGCCAGCTTTCTTCTGTGAGTCCTTTGATGCCTTGCTTCTCTGCCTCACTGTCTGCGATCTGTGGCCCTGCACCGGCAATGCCTGCTGGTGACGGAGTTGCATTCGCTGTCACTTGGAGAAACTCTGGAACGGCCTGCTGGGGAACAACATCCTCAACATTGAGGCTGATAGGCATGGTCTGTCGTCGCTTCGCCGAGGCTGCACGAACAGATCCAGGTCCAAGCTTACGCCTCTGTTTGACTGGGCTAACGAATCCTTCAGGGAGCACGACGCCATGGCCTATCGCTGGGGGTGTTTTGTCGCTACATGGCAAAGCTGGTTCTTGCGCATGCGAGGTGTCAGCATTGGTTATGTCCCGTACGGCGAGTGTCGTTTCGAGAGCAGTAACATCCGGCTTCTCGGACGGTGACTCCGGGTTGCCGAAAAATGTAGTCTTGTCGTTGTCACAGGCAGCATCATAATCGAGCGTTGTTATATCCGTACGGCTGCTCATGGCTTCCGCGTCATTCTCGTTGATGTCTTCCCAGTCTTGCTCCAACCCCTCAAGCTCATCGCCGACCCCAACGACGTTGCCGTGCTCGTCAAGTACATCCATCATGAATTTCGACTTGTCATGTGCTTCCAAGTCGACGTCGTGTGGAAGTGCCAAATGATCGGCGCTCGACGCGCTCCTTGTAACAATCTTTCGTGCTGGGCTTGCAGTGCTTTCCCACCTAGACACCCTCGCGCCCATACCAAAATTGCCGTCAACGCGAAGCTTTTTGACGGGTTGAAGTGGGCTCGAAAACGAAGTTCGCAATCTGTTGCCGCCCGCCGCACTCTGCGCCACGTTCCCACGTAGAGCAGATGGTCGCAAAATCTGTGTCGCCCGCTTCCACACCTTCTTGACGTGCACTTTGTCACGAGAGTAGGGCGACGACGGTCTGCGGTCCCACGCTCGCACAACTCGCGCAATCGGTAGGTTGCCGGGCTGCAAGTTGGCAGTGTCTCTTGCTTGCCATGCGCCTTCGAATGTGCTTTCTCCCCCACGAGCCTCTCTACACTGTTCGTCCATAGTAATGTTATTGAGCGATGTAAGCGCGTCCATTCCGGCTCATGAGATGTTACCGTCCTGATTGTTTGCTTGTATGTGCCTCCCACGTCCGCAAAACACACATGTAGTAAACAAGCGAAGCTGCAGGTGGAAAAGCTGGGGCGGCAGAATCTCGGCAAAATACGAAGGTTCCACGCGTGCATGTGACTGCTGCTCAGAATATATCTCGCTATCAACTGCCACCAGACTGTGTTACTCTCACTTCGCTCACGGACGTTGGCGCTCCAAAATGGTGGTAGGCAAGAACAACGCGCAAACCATTACTCGCGCCGCCGCCACTCCGCGCCTGCCACCGCTGCCGAAACTACGAGTACGGAGGCCAGACAGGGCGGAAGCCAACCCGTGCATTGGCGTCATGAGCACAGTACTAGGTAGGACAGCGTCCTTACTACATTTGGTACGCATCTGAAATGCTAATTCGCCATCGAAAAGGCTGCTGGGCGTCACAGGGCCAGATGGCGCAAGGGTGTGCCATGCTCGAGCAGCAACTGCGGGCATGCATGGACGCAAAGGTACGTGCAGTTTGATCTGTTCGGAGACAGCACGATGCTGAAAACATGCGTGGCAGAAACCCATGGAGGCGCAGAAGAGCAGAATCAACTCACACTTCTCGAGATTCTACCCCCAGATAATAGGGCCGCACAAGCGGAAATGAGCACTTGCTGTGCTTTTGTCGAGCATTGCGCAGGCGTTCCCACACTTCAACGGCATTGAGAGGGACAGGGCGGGCGTCACTGGTAGTGCAATGCATGCGACGTGCATCAGCAACACTTCCGCTATCGGATCCCACCAGATCATCTAGCAGGGACTCTCTATCTCCAGGCTGACAAAACCCCACACGAGAGATTCTCACTTCACGGTGTAGGTTGCCGCTAAACGCTTCATCAGGTGGTCTTTCGCCGTGAGAAGTTTACCGTTCATCGAGTCACTCCTACTTGTCTTCGCGGCGTATTCTGCCACGAGTTTGCTTGGCACGGCTTCCAGTAAAGCGTCGTCATTCGGATGACAGAAGTATGCCTGACACTGATTATTAGGAGGTCGATTGTGGCTCGGACAACGCGGAGGGAATTGCAAATCGCTCAGCTTACCAGACTATATCGATCGCTGCTCTCGCCAGCAGGAAAGACGACTCGGTGTTTGGTCGACTTCAAAAGACCGCTGGTCCAGTCCTGAAGTAGATCACCAATATTAACGAGTATCGGCAACGATCGAGCGTCGTCAGAATTTATGGTTGCCATAGAGGCACCGTCATGCGGGTCGACTGGTACGGACGTCCACTGTCCACCCGGGGTGAGGATCTCAAGCCCAGGCTGTCCACGTTGCTGAAACAGTAAAGTGATGCTGCCATAATCGCTGTGTGCTCCAGCACGGATGTCGATACCGTCTTGGTACGTAGAGTCAATCTGCGGGTAATAGAGCATGCGGAAGATGGTGCCGGAAGGTCCAGCCTTGCTGTCGTGACGAGATACGAACCAGTCACGATCGATATCCAATGCAACGGCAAAAAGTTCCAATATTCGGCAGCACAGGGAATGGCACTGCTGCTGGAAGTCGATGAAGGTATCAATCTCCGACTCGAAAGTGCTAGGCATGGGTTGTTGTAGCTTGCCATTGATAGGCTCCCCAATATTGAAGGCTCTGGATAGGTTAAATGCCGCGACTGTAGAATTGCGTGCCTCTGTGGCTCACTCTTTGACATCCGGTCGTTGCTGTGTCGTGGGATCGAGTTTCTCCACCCCTCTGCTCAACCAGCCATGATTCTTACCAGCCTTGTTAGACGAGATGGAGACTTCTGTCTTGTCCTGCAAGGACATTCCAAAGAACCATTTGGACAATCCAAACATATAGTCAATGTCATCAACATCTATGCCGCTTTCGTTGTTCTGGATGTACACGAAGCCGGCGCCTCTTGCAGCTTCTAGTAGCTGACTTGCTGCATGCGGGTTGGTAGGACGTATGTCCACAACGGGGATGACACTAGCCATACTGAAGACTCTAGAAGGTCGCCTCGAATACCGAATAGCAATGATGCGTGGGTGTGCTGTAAGGTCAAGGGCTGGCTGTGTGGAGGGTCAATATCGGTATCTTCCGCGAACTTCATCGCGAACGGCTAGACCGAAACCTTGCGTGCTTTCCACATACGGAGGCCGTATCCAAACGTTGTTACCCGCGCTCTCGTGGCTAGGCATGGCAGAAACCGTGACTTGTCTTACACACAATTGAGTGCTCCGTGTGCGCGACAAGTCCGCCTCTGTATAGGACCATTCAACGCTAGTTGTCACATGCACCATACAAGACCGCGGTGTAATTAGCCGTTCAATGCTCCATTAGGCGGTCTGTCTGTGTAGAAGGCCATCCTAGGTAAGAGAACTTGGCAACGACACCGTATGGTTTCAAGTTCCATCGATAACCTTAGTAATAGCAAGCAGCTGGATTGTACAGCACTCCTTCCCGCACGACCTGTGTTACCCATGACCCGCTCCGCCACGCGCTCTCAGCTCTCGTCTACTTGGCCTCGTGCCGAGCGTTTCAACCTCATCATCACTACTCTCTTCATAGGCTCTGAACTGGCAGAAGCACGTCCAATCGAGCATCTTTCGAACGTGCTGCAATCCTTTGACGCGTTGGCTGTGTAAAGCGCAACGCCAGCAGCGCGTTCTGTGCATGCGAGTGCGCCATGTGGGTCTCGCGCGGTGGACGTTGCGGACGTGGGAGGAATGGAGTGCCTCAGAGTTGTGTGACAAGGTTTGGGAAAGCGGCTCGCGTGCAAACGTCGGGTTGTGGTTGGGGGTTGTATGGGAGATCACAGTTGCAACGTCGTTCCCGTTGCCGTCTAGCTGCGCGATGTTCCGGCCTAAGTCTGCCAGTGCTGGATAACCTCTATTTCCACCAAGCGGCTGAATAGCCTGTGCAAGTCTGTGCCGACAAAGTTTGCCGTAAGACGTTACAGTCACCGGCGCGGGAATGGGGCTAGCGTACACGTCCTCACCAGAAGCAGGACCTGAGGCCGTTGCACGTCGGCCAGATTCGCTAAGCGACGGCACGTGCAGAATCCTGGGAGAGCGATGGGAACCCGGAAGCGCATTCAAAACACTTGTAGCGTGACTCCTATGCTGTTGCCTTGCGACCTCTGCTTCTGTTGAAAAACATGGGATCAGGCCAGGGGTGCGAACTGTGCTCGATGGACCGCATGTGCTGGCTGCGCTGAAGTAACGAGTTTGGCTGCTGTTGATGCTATGAGCGCGACTTGGCGTAACCGACTCTGAAAGCATCGCACCTTGTTCCAGGGTGCTGCCTTGAGTCCGAGGCATCGAAGCATCGGCAAGATTCGCCGGAGGAGCTGCGAGTGTATTCACAGCACGACAGGCGTCAGGGGGCGGGGACTGGTCAGGCAGGCAGGCTCTGCGTTGCCTGCCCTTATGGCGGTCGATTGGTCCGGTGTTGATACTGCTCACAGCCAAAGTCGACGAAGCGGGCATGTTCACGCCCGGGAAAAGCGACCAAGCGGCTCGTTTCGATGCTGATTGGTTCGCCTGTACTGGAGGCGATGGGAACCGGTCAATAAGGTTGACGGTTCGCAAGGTATTTTGTGGTAATGATGCAGACCGCGAAGAGACCCGAGTGTCTTCCACCAAGGGCGCATGAACTCGCGCATGGTTGTGAGGCAGTGAGACTGTACGTCCAGATGCTACTGCGGACGTGGCTCTCGCAACCCTTATTGGCGTGACCGGAATAGCATTGTCACTGACTGCACGCAAAGTCCGCTGAGACAAGCTGCATGCGGGAGTGTTGTTATCCGCAAGGCGATGTGGGTCCTGCCTTTCCAGGCTTCGATGTTCGACCACTGCACGATCTAATGATGACGGGCAGTCTAGTACCGACAGGCTTGCCTGCACATTCTGCCGAATGTCAGCACAGCTCAACACTGCTGGCTTAACGGTATGTACTCACTGAAGGTTCACATGCGACTGTAGCATTGGCAAACGGATGCGCACTCAACTCGACGAATCGCATTGTGCCATGTCCACTCGCTGGCGGGCGCCAAAACCGTGAGGCTACTGTCAATCGTCGATCCGCGGCGTTGTTCTCTCGGTAGGCACCGAATGGAAGATATCGCCTCTAGCGAGAAGGTCTGCCAGTACCGATCTGTTGCTCATGCTGTCCGGCTGGGTCGGCCGGCCAGGATGGCACACCCTCAGGCGTCTTGACGCGTTGTGGAGGATCAAAGGGTGGGACGAATGCCTTTGGAACATGCCTTTCGTCGCTGCTACTCTGCACAGCCGAAGACTAGCCGGCAGAAGATGTAGTGCGTGAGACCCAAACCCAGCGCTTCTCGTGTCGCCCATGGCGGTTCGTCTTGCTCAGCGCGGATTCATCGAGGAAGAAGCACAGTCTAGTCTGAGACCGTCGTATCGCTTGCGAAGTTGATATGCTGCGGTCATTATCGCCAATGGTGTTGTGGGTGACGTTGCCAACACTCGTAGCGTCCGGCAGCTGATGCGCAGCAATCGCACAATCCTCGGTGCCTTCACCCCTAGACTTCAACGTCGACGTACTGGCTCTTTCTACGATGCGGCACAGAGGCCGACCAGTCACCACGACCTCTGTCGAGCTCAAAGGCATCTTTACTTCCTCTCCTTGAGCGCTTAGAGTTGCCCCGGTCTCGCATGAGTCGAGTAGGGTCATATTTCAATTAGAGCGCTTGTCCGCCAGTTGCCGGTAGCACTTAGATGCCGATGCGTTCAAAGATGTAGAAGAGTTCGGAAGCGATCAGCGTATATAAGGAAGTTGGAGAAGTCGATGCGTGCCACGGGTCAAACACCCATCAAATGACGGCTATACCATGTGCCCTTATGCCTGTCCATCCTCCCACCGCTAACATGAAGTATTCAGTAAATGCGTGCAGAAATCAGCAGCTCGACCAACAAATCAGTTGAAAAATTGTGAAATGATCTTGAGAAAGCACGCTCGCATGCCACCACCTTCACCATTGCAACTTTGCGTTCACGGGCACTTGCTTTTCGCCTCAGTCGGCCCCTATAGATTTTAGAAAGTCCAGCCGTGGTGCAGGGACATGTGGCTCATCCGAGCATGCCTGTTCTTTCGAGGCCTGCAGCAGATGTATATGGGGCAAGGAGCGGAGCATATATGGCAGTCTACCAGGCTTACCACGCCAAGGGGTAGGCAGGATCGGAGACAATCGGGTTCATGCCGCCCATGGCTAGGACTTTCGAGCCCTGGTTTCTCGCCCGTGCATGCTCTCAGCCAAGGTAAGGTATACAAGGCCGCCGAGGCAGGCAAGGATGGGTTGGCGATCAGCGTGGGTAGGCAAGTGGAACTGTGGGTCGTTCTTGGATCTCAACGGACACTCTCAACCTCGGCAAGCCACTATTACCATGGCAATCTTAAGATCATCTATAATGGCCCGGATGAGTATCGCAAAGGGCGCGTAGGCAAATAAGTCTCGTGAGTGTGCACATGTATGGAATTGTTCGTCGTGGCAACGTCGAGTCTAGGCCATGATACGTGACTGGTGGGATGAGCGGTCGAATTGCACTTGAGCAACAGCTCTGCGTGACATTCCGTCCTGCAGTCCTAACCACCGAAAGATGGTGTGTAACTAGCGTAGGCCGCCGACCGGTAATGGTGATAGAAATGGTGGACTGCTGAAGAGAATTCAGAATTTACAACGCACTATGCACTCTGCCAGCGAGCGGATTGTCATGATGCTGCAATTTGTGGCAGTGCAGCATCCAAACCCTCCTCTGTCTGCCGTTAGAGCAGCGTAGCATTACGATGAACTGCACTGGTGACTACATGCCACAGGATTTTGGTGACTCGGGCGCGCCGAGGAAGTGAGTCCTCGACCTGCAGGCTCGCTACCACGTCCGTGGGTAAAGCTGCAAATCGAAGAACAAGAAGTGCGCCATATTCTGGACTAGTGAGCGTAGGGGCTGTAGGTATTCTTGCAGGTGCACTGGGCGAGCACCAGTGAACGCGATCGATTGGACATTTGGTGGGTCAAAGGCTATATCTGTCATTGAGGTGACCTAGACAAGCCGGGTGCTAACCTCGGAAGGTCTGCAGGCGTCCTTGAGCGACTTCTCCCATCGGAGATTGTCGCGCAGACGGGAAACCCGGTACGCTGGCAAAAGCGAGAGTTTCGTCTGTGTTATCGGCGCTGTCGGTGTACGGCCACGGTGCCGCAGACGATGGCGGTGGCCCAAGACGATGTGAAGCTGATGCGCCGGAGGGAAGCCCGATACAAAGAGAGCCCTAGACTTTTTCCATCGATTGTCGCATTCTCTGCTAGGGTCTGTGCGCCGCCAAGACCATTTGTTGATCTTGTTTTGCTACAGCCTCAATGGTCTCTGATGTGCTCTCACACATACTCATCGTCGCTGTACAAAATGCCAGGCGAAGCTGCAGCGCTAAATCCCGCCGATCTGCGAATCTGGCGGCCAGCGATAGTACAAATGCATACAACCAGAAGTAACCGACGTACTGTATGTTCCGTAGCGTGGGGGAGTGGGTCTTGCCCATGCTCACCACACGTGGCAGCCTCCCGCTGCGCATAAGATCGCAGACTGTGGCTGACAACCCAGAGGAGCTATCTGGTACGGAAGGATTCTAGGTCTTATGATCTGTATGCAAAGTCCCGCAGTAGGCTGCCGCGCCTTGATGAGCACGAAGAACCTCGCGGACATTGGTCGCCGCCATCACTATCGCTCAGATATTGCTAGACGAAGTGCATGGGGAGGTGCATTGGCTGGTCGATCATATGTGGGGCCACTCCTGCGACTGCGACACCGACTGAAAACTTGGATGCGAAACACCAGCCTTTCACCCCAGACGTTCATCGCACATGCGGAGGCTTGGACTTCCCATAAAATCAACAGCATGTTATGAATCTACGTCTAGCGAATCCACTTCCGTAAGTTCTTCAACGAATGTCTACTGTTCCCTGAGAGCAATAGGCCTGGCACGGAGACCGCATGTGTTCCTGGCGGTTCTGACCGCTAACCAGAGCTGCCCGCTTAATGCATAGCTTGTATTGCGTACGTACGATTCGGATGTATGACGGTACCAGCACCGGCGTCGGTGGCAGCGTTTGGATTATCTCCTTTCGTGTTTTCAGCGGCGCACACTTGGCTTGCGCTAATGGCCCGAAAAGGTAATGTTCTGGACTACTGTCTCGCCTGCGTTACAGCGCCCACATTCTATGAGTCGGGTGGCTGAATCCTGTGCTACAATGCACGTGGAAGAACGTGCCATGGGGTATGATCTAAGACGCTTGCTCAGTATCTAAGGGCCGAAGCATGACACTGGGCCAGAGAGAGTTGGGCGTATAGTGAATAGCTCAATCTTCCATAACGTTGCTAATCTTAGTGACCCCGTAAAGCAACAGAGAGAAACAAGCGCCCAGCAAAGCGTGTTCACTGCTTTGTGTGCCATCGCCGACTGGCCTTGCTGTCTCCTGTAGGCGTAAGCGAGCCATGTGGGTGCAATCGAAGTTGCAACTCCGGTCTCGGTTCGGGTGCACGCCTGTTCGACTAACGAACCTGTGGAACGACCAGGCGACATGCAAAACCCTGGCGGTGCGTCCGGCAGCGTGGAGACTCGGCAGTTCATGTCGCGTTCGCCTCACCAAGACGAGACTGGCGGCGGCCGCCGTCTCTGCCGGGCCGCTGCGGTGAGATCCGCGAGAGGTCGATGGATAGGGCAGCTGACAAAATACCGACATGGCGCAGACGGCAGGGTCCGTTACTTGGTTGCTCGAAGGTCCGTAAGCTCTATCGTGCTACCAGACCGTCAACCCCCGTTGCATCCGCCGTGCGTGTTGATCTGCCCTTGGCAAGAGCCGGTGCGTCTCAAATGATGACACGTTCCACATCGCTTTGGGTGGTGTGCATCCTACCGTCGCCTACGCGAACATGGCACAAAGCAGAACCGGGACAAGTGCTGCTTCTTGCTGGTTGTAAGGCGTCTCGCGGCACCAGGTTATGCGCTAAGTCCGATGATACATGGCACTAGGGTAAGGAATGTGAGGCGTCCTTTTCTCACACAGAAGCGATAGGTTGGACTAGTATATTATGATTCTCGCGCCAACGGTTCAGCTTCGAAGTGCATACCCTTATCATTGACGGTCTCTCTTGAATTGCACATCTCTGTCGCCCTCCGCCTTTTCGACGACACTTCGCACTGGCTTGTTTTAAAACATTCTGCTGTCTAAGAGAGCAGCCTTGTTTGACTTTACTGGCCTGAGCGGACCTCTCTGTCCGGACCTTCTAGCTCCCGTTTGGACATCCCGCTAGGCGCAACCGCCAGGTTGTTGATGGCACCGCCACGTATGTCTTACTGTCCTCCACTTCGCTTTGGCTAATCGGATTCACTGAGCAACACCTTACAGGACCTGCATTGGCGCAGAGCGAATCAAAAGCCAGATTCTTTGAGCGACTTGGACTGAACGAAGAGAATGAGGTCCACCGCCGCGTCTATGCAATGATGAAGGTTGTTGGCCACCTAAGCAGCCTCGTTTGGCGAGTGATACTTACATCATGCAACAGGAAGAGGCCGTGGAAGGCCGACGACGTTTGACCGAACGTCCAGAGTCTCTGTTGCCGGAGCTTCGTAATTCCAACATTGAGCCTCCGTACAGTCACGCCCATGTTAGCGAGACTGCCTTACACCGAGAGATTCTCCGAATATACCATCACGCACGACGGGAGACAAGGATCATTTACGAACTTGGACGGGATACTGATCGTGTCGAAGAAGAAAACTGGGTAATACGGTGGATGCTATGGCATGTCTTCCGGTACCGCGACAATCGCAACCGCAACCGCAAGCGTGAAGCTTCAAACGACAATGACGACGACGCTGACGACTCGGGTGATGGCACAGCTGGTACGTCGCCAACCAAACGTAAGGCGTTATGAGCAACCAGTTGCTGTCTCCATCGGCTGACTCTCAGGACGCGCAGTTCCCTCCCCGACCACCCGGTCGTACTGGGACCCGGTTCGAAACGGGTGATGCAAAGGCAGATGCTCTTCGCGCACCTTATATTAATTGCCTAGTTCCCTACCGCCACTGCACAATCGACCATATCTTGGATACAGTTCGTATCCTGGCTGACCTGGAGCCTTCTAGGTAGGCACTTCCTTGTTGAAAGGCTACATTCAGCTAATGAGCACAGCTGACATGCAGGACTATCCAAAGTGATGCTAAAAGATGCCTCAGGGTACGCCGAAGGCCTCATGTTAGGATCGGTATCGTCTATGCAGGGAAGTCCCAACATACAGACCTGGTGTATGCTGGGGTGAGCTTGATAACACAACTCGATCCGGCTGGCGGTGTCGACCGACGAGTTGTTGTGAGAATCCAGTCCAGAATCAGCTCCGGCTAGACCGGCTAAGCACCGAGGAGGGATCCTGCTTGTAGCGTATGTTCTAGACTACGTGCAAGCTGTGGTGACATGATGGCGCATATAGCACTAGCCGTCAACCTGCGAAGGTGTCCGCTACAATCGGCAGGGATATGCATTGACTAAACCACGGGCAGTTCGGCGACCGAATTGCAAGTTGTTAAATGCGCATGTGCTCATCAATGCCTAAAAGCTCCACGACATTGCACTAAAGCGACACGATGCAGATGCATAGAATCTTCTGGCATTGCGTAAGGTGAAGTGAGCATCTTAAGTGACTTTCACGGTCCGACGTCCGGGAGACAGGGGTGCTTCAGGGTAATACGAAATGGTCCGTCTATGCATGCAAAGCAATGTGACACAGCCCGGTATCAAGCAGATCCGAGTGCCAGAAAGTGCATTTGGGAGATGGCGTCAAGCACAATGAACTTACGGGGAGCTCGGGAAACTTCTAGATTGCACTCTTCGCCTGAAATTCGTAGATTATGGACCGATTGCTTGGGTGTGTTTGCGAATACCGACTTTGAGAGAATTTCGCTTAGATTTCGCAATCATTGGACGAATGCATCTCATTGCTGCAGCAGCGTTGATCGATGCACAAGCATACTCGCGCAACCAGGCAATGCCACAGGAGGTTTGGATGGAAGTGGTTATATGGTTTATGACTTGGATGCGAATAGGTCGCGCCAGAACTCGCGGAACCCATACTGCGGCTTGCGATCATCATGCACATGAGCTGCACGATCCATTGCGAACTTCTCAAGTACACCACCAGGTGTATGTCCGATGACCTCCACGCCACGGATCTTCGGCGCCAACGCACGCTCGCGAATGGCGTCGGCCACTGTCGGTGCAACATCGGCATATGCCGCTTTCAGCTCGCGATCAAGTGAGAAATATGGCTTCTTTGCGAGATCGGGAGCCATTAGGTTGTATGAGCGGGTAAGACTGTTGAGGTTGTCGACAGCTGTCTTCAGATAAGACCGCTCGGTCTCCTCCCATTGAGGGTCACGAAAAGGTGGGACGGCCGGTCGGCGCTGTGTGTCTACGTGAACCACAGATTCGGGAAGAGCAGCGGTGACCACCACCTGCTGTTCCGGCGATCGCAGATTGCCGTCGTCATCGAACTTCTGTTCCAGCATTTTGAACTCGAGGTCTGTTGCATCGCCGTTGGTCGGCTGTGAACGCAATTCTCCCGCAAGCGTGATCTGTGAAAGGTGCCCCCCGTCGTCTACCGCGTTCAGGCGCTCAATCTGCTGCTTTGGCGGGTTCGCGTAGATCTCAGCGTATGCGTACTCCTTCGCTAGGTTCAATTGCTGTTCTAGCGGACCTCCCCGACTCGCGATAGATCTCGAGACGTGTCGTCTCCAATCAGTTCGCAAGCGTCGACGGAATCTCGAGGCGGTGGCCACAAGCTCTTGTTGCTTTTCAATCCAGGGCGGAACAATCTCCTGTTTCTGAATCATCTTATTCATGAAGTACCTGCGGAAACCGTTAGCAAGAGCTTGAAGAGCAAGACGTGGTTGTAATCCGTGGACTCGTACTCTGTAGTATCAATAAACGGACTGCTCGCATTGTAATCTCGCTCGATCTTCTGCCCTCGCGGGATGTTCTTGAACTGCCCGCGCGCGATTGCGTCCTCTATTCGTTCGTTGGCGAGTGATGCTAGGCCCTTGATGGAGGCAGGCACGCTACGTGCACCGGGTTGAAAGCGAGCCTTCATTTCAGCGCGTAACTTATCTCGCTCCTCTGCGGACAGATTGGGGTCCTTAAGGAAGGAATAGTGCGACGATCTGTCCCTGGCGCTCGCCAAACGCACGCCTCTGCCACCAGTTTTGCTGGACCTACCGGTGTCTACTTTGGCAGGCAAGGGTAAGCCAGATACTCTTGATGGCGATCGCAGAGGCTTGTGCGAATCCGTGAGCATACGTAAAGCAGTGTCCTCAACATTCTCGGTGCCGGTCCATGGGCGCGCGGCAGCAACGTCCCTGGTGCCTCGTCCTGCACTACTAGGCAGAGTCGCCTCAGCCAGTGCACTTGCATTGTCGCTTCGGAAACTGGCATCTGCAATCTTCTCTTGCAGTCTTCTTCTCAGATCATCACTGAAGCCTGCGTCTTCCACTGCTTTCTGAGCACTTTTGCCACCACTCTCCAAAGACTCCTCACTCAACTGTTCTAGTCGCCGAGACAGCGCGCCCTCATTATGCTGCTTCCCAGCGCCATGCTCACTCGTGGCGGGTGGCGATGCCGCATTTGATGCGGTATGGACTTTGCTGTATCCTCTTGGCTTTGCAAACTGCGCTCGAGCCCGCAAGCAACGAGCACAGATGTGTTGTCCCGACCACCGCACACCGCGCATCCAGTAAAGATGATGTCGAATTCTAAGAGCCTCTAGGAGACCAACACCATCACGGACGCCTCGCGATTATGTCATCATAGAGTAGTAGCCTTGCGGCGATTGCCGCGAATTGAATAAGGTTTGAGGACTTAGCGCTTCTTCCTCCGCCTCTCCATCATCAACCCCTCACTCAACTCACTTTTATCTGTTTTACCCGCCCACTACGGCACCGAACTGGAGCGTAGCAACCACGGAATGTCATCTCCTCACCGTGTTGCGCGATGTCGGCGCAGTAGTCTTGATCCATGATGGCACGCTCGCCTCTTATATAAGAGGCGGCTGCAAGTACGTGACTCCGATCTCCATAATACTCTGTTGTGAGACGACTGCTCTCTCGATACCCACCATGATGCTCGCTGCTTTCATTGGTCTGATTGCTGTTGTAAGCGCTCAAAATGCGTCCTACGTGGTTGATCTTGGCTACGCTCAGTACGCGGGTGTTCTGAACCAGAGGTAGGTAATTGCACGGGTCCGCATGGCGGAGCCTTTTTGCTCAGGATGCTACAGTGTCGTTCAGTATTTCGGCATTCGATACGCTCAGCCACCACTTGGCGAGCTGAGGTGGCGAGCTCCGCTGGATATTGAGGCTCATGGCGGCTACGACCCGTCCGTCGTCATGCCTGCAACTGAGCGAGGCCCCATATGCGTGCAAGGTACACCATACTGGCGACCAAACCCGGCACTGAACGGCACCGGCAGCGAAGACTGCCTGCTGTTGGATGTGTTGGTGCCGCCGAATCCAGTCAGCGACTACCTTCCAGTCCTTGTGCAAATGTGAGCGAGCTACACGGAATGGTGCTGCAGGCTGTACGAGCTAATTGGTGCAGACATGGAGGTGGCTACGACCAGGGAAACAGCGAGAGCAATCCGGGGTATCTACTGGTCAACCAATCTCGTGGCAGCATCATCTATGTATCGATCCAATATCGTCTTGACGCGTTCGGCTTCCTTAGCAGCAGCGAAATCAAGGAAAACGGCGTAGCTAACGCGGGCCTGTTGGATCAGCGAGCTGCTTTGGGCTGGGTGCAAAGAAACATCCGAGCGTTTGGAGGAGACCCGTCGCAAGTATGTCAGTTCCTGTACGACGCCTTTAAGCGTAGTATGCTCACGGAGATAGGTGACGATAATTGGCGGTAGTGCCGGCGGAGGTTCGGTCATGGACCAGATGATCCTCTACGGAGGCGTGAGCAACCCGCCTTTCAGAGCCGCCATTGCTGAGTATCCAGTAAGTAAACCCTCCTCACGGTGTCAAGCGGAACCTGTTCGTAATACAGCATTGTAGTGGTGGCAAAGCTACAAAAATAACACCATCCTCGAGGCCCAGTACAGGGAGATTCTCACTGCAACAAACTGCTCGACTCTAGCATGTCTCCGCAATCAGAGCACCGCAACTATCGTCAGCGGCATGCAGTCGTCGCTTGACGTGGGTTACCTTACCAACGTCTATGGCTACGGAGACTTCTACTATGGTCCAGCGGTCGATGGTTATGTGATTCGTGACCTGCCATCCAACGAGTTCAAGCGAGGACACTTCACCAAGGTTCCCTTACTGACAAACAGAGACGGTTACGAGGGATACAACTACTCGCCGAAGAACGAAACCACGCAGGATCAAGAAACTTTGGATCTTCAGATCATCTTTCCTTATGCGAAGCAGTCGTTCTTTAAACGACTATACCAGCTGTATCCGGCAGATGCATTCAACAGCACGCTGTTTCAGCGGCAGTCCATATACGGTGACTACATCATCGAGTAAGCCCATGGATCTTTCGGATTAGAGTGTTCTTGTGACGCTAATTGATGTTGCAGCTGTCCAACGTACTACATGGCCACCGCAACGTCTGACTGGGGCCAGCCGACCTGGAAGATGATCTTCAATGCCGGCTCTCAGCTTCATGGCGCTGACGGGCCTTTCCTTTGGGGACCACAGTCCGGCGTGAACAATGTCACGCTTGCCAACATCATGAAAGACTGGTATCTCGGCTTCATCATCAACCTTGACCCAAACACCATCGCCTATAGCAATACGCCCAAACCCTACTGGCCGCAATATCAGACGCCAAGTGGGTCTAATTTCTCAGTGATGGATGTGAACTACACGATGATGGGCGTTATCCCGGACATGGATGCTAACGCGCGGTGCGACTTCTTCCACGGCCAGAGTTACGTGGTTCGGAACTAGCCTAAGACTGGGATATCGAAGACAATCTTCAATGGACACTCAAGCGCGACCCACAAGCTCGTTGGCGATTTCTTCCATCGCAAGTGTTACGTGGTTCGCGAGTCACTTCGGGAACAAGATGTAGAAGACGATCTTCAAGTATATACTCAGGTGCGACCTACAAAGTCGTTTCTCATATTTCGTCCTACCACTACATCTTCGGCTGGTCCTCCACGTAGGTAACATGAGAGTCCTCAGCTTTCTCGTTCCTCTCCAGATCCAAATGTCCTTTAACCATCGGGTTAACATCTTCGAACAGTCTTCCGAGCTCTTCGAGTGTCGGGCCCTTCGTCTCGGGGTATAGGAAGAAGATGATGGTGGTCTCTATGGCCAGCCAGGCAACATAAACAATGTATAACCTGTGAATGTCAGTTAACGGCTTCATGCAACAGATTCGACGTGTCCACTTACTTCCAACCGATTGCGCCCAGAGCGATCGGGTTGACAAAGCTGTTGAAGGACGCTGCTCCACGCGAGAAGAACTGTGTCAAGGCAACACCCTTTGCACGGTGTACGAACGGAAACACTTCGGTGACGAAGACGTAGGTCAAAGGATGCATGATGGTGTAGAACATATAGTAAACAAAGATCTGTCGCTACTCGTTAGTATAGATTCGAGCATACTGAACCCACATTACCTACCATCGCGACGACGGCGCCAGCAGCGTACTGGTTCTTGGTTTTGGCATAGTCGGCGCTTGCGCCCGTCCAGCAAGCGAAAAGGACAGTCATGCCAACGAAGGCAATGAGATACTGTGTACGGCGGTTGATCTTCTTCGTGAGAAAGGCTCCAGTTACACCTGTGACAAGATTCCAGCCTGCCAGTAGTCAGCAACCTGCCAATAGTCTGAGCCGAACTGACGTACAAGTAAGTCCAAGGTTTATCTCATTCTGGATCTTCTTCTTGGTGATGCCAACCGTCGCTAACACTTTGGCAAGGTAATACGAAACGAGGCCGTTGCCGGACCACTGTGAGAAGGTGCCAACGCACGCGGCGATGAGTACACGCTTCCGGTTGCCAGGCGTCTGGAGCAGCTCTACCCAGTGCCGCTTGGAGTTCTCCATCTCGTGGCGCACGGTTGCCTGGATTTCGGCGAATTCGGCATGGACAAGCGCGCTGTTGCGGTCGCCTTCAGCGTGATACTTGACCAGGATTTCGAATGCTTCGTCGCTGCGGTCACGCGAGACAAGCCAACGAGGGCTTTCTGGGATGAACCAAATGAAAGTCATTTGTAGCATCGAAGGCACGATCTGAAGGAGCGACGGGATGCGCCACGACCAGTTGTTCGGAATCGCGTATGTGCCTAGCGTGACACCTGCAGCAATGATCGCACCAGCGTACCAAGACTCGTTGAATAGACCGTTGAGGACGCTGGAGTGTTTCGGGAAAGTGAGCTCAGCGATAAGCTGGGAAGCACCGGAGATACAGAAAGGGATGCCGACACCAAGGAGCAGTCGAGCGACGAGGAACATGGCCAGATCGACGGAGGCAGTCTGGAGAATGACGCCAACAATGATAATCAAGGAGCCAATGGTGATACTGTGCTTTCGTCCAACCTGCAGATCAACGGGTAGCAGGTCAGCTATGTAGCAGACAATACAGATGGGGCTAACGATCGCTTTACGCACCCTGTCGTTGACCACGGGAACAATGGGCAAGGCGATCACGGCGCCTATGCTAAAAGCTGCCGTGATGGCGCCGAGAAGGGCACCGCTTGGTTTCCCGAAGTCTATTGGATCGGTCAGTGTGAGTGCGTCCAAATACCCACAAAGCAACAACGTACAATCGAGCCATGGCTGGACTGCCTGAAGACCGTTCAGGATGCTGCCGTCGTAACCAGAGGTCATCTCGACACCCAGAACGGCAGGCACAAGGCAGAGATACAGCCGCCTAAGGTTCGGACGCTTCCACCAAGAAACCGTATCCAGGTCGAGCAACCTCTTGACCTCGGACTGTTCCGACACCGCCGCCACATCGGTCTGCTTGTTAAACGCCATGCCGACAAAGTAGCCAAGAGTATGCCAATAACTTGGTTGACGCAGTGCAGAAGAAACGAGGAAAGGACAGCCTTATGTACGTTACCCATGCGCTCGCCGGTTAAGTCTCGACTGAACCGCAGTTGCCCATGTCGAATGCCGACCACATGGTAGCCCCGTGGGGGAGGATCTCCACAGCGCATTGGTAGTGCATCAATATGCATGGCAGCGAAATCCTCGTTCTGCCATTGGCCCCGGAGCCAAGCCAAGCTGGTTAATACGGAAGAATGGCCGGGTAAAAGCATGGTCAAGCACCTCGGCCCAGCAAAAGGATGACTTGTGATACCATAAGCTTCCCAACGCCAAAATCCAGAGCTTGTGACCGACTACCATGACTCGGGTCCCATGACTCAAGCCGCATGTACAAGGGTGCGGGTGGAGAACAATATGTTCAACCACAGATTCGCCGTAGCTGCTGGATGGCCAGACGGGCAAGCCCATACTTCTAGTATGGAGTCTCCGCGCTCAAGCCAAGTTGCGGACATTTAACGTTCATGGAGGACGTACGCTAGCTCTCAAGGGGAGATCACGCATGAGCGGCTGATCTGTGGGAATGGCGCTCGTTAGTCCAGTCTTCAGTGGGTAGAGCTCCAGCGAGTTCGGTTTCGGCCACCGATCCCTAGCTTCGTAGTCGCCACCCAGCCGGAAAAAGAGCCGTCACAGCAGCCTATGGCAGTGTCACGGCAGAGTAATCCATGGCAGTAGTGAGCTGTTGTTCCGGAGTATAGCCAACATTCACTGGTTCCCGCTATCATTGCCACCATGATAGCACCTTCAAACCTTCAAACCTTCGAACAAGCGTGTTGCAGCGTCGTGGGATTAGGAGTGGCGGGAGTAAGGGATTGTCTCAGTCATACAATCACAATGTGTGGCTACGCGCCGGCCAGCTGCCCAAGATTACGCATTCCCCATTGCATCCGCGATGTACAATCCACCATCGCTCCGACAGCATCCTAACTACAGTCGATCGGTCAGTCCGTGGACACCAAAGACGAGATGTGAGCGAACTCGTCAGTCAGATCAGACCTGCTCCGAACAGTCAGCTTGGGTATTTCGTATACCGGTCTTGATCAACCACTGCTTACACTTCGCTCCCCCCCTCCCGGTCATCCTTGCCTTCATTGTTGTCCGACCCAACGACGTTCGGCTCCACGCCCTCCCTGATCGACTTCAGCGACCTCCAGGACTTATATTCCACCAAGGCGGCATGTCGGGGCGGGAGTGGTAACTTCACCAGCTCGCCTGGGGCTGGTGCTTCTGATTTGATCGCGGCCAAAGCAGCTTCTTTCTCATCTGCTGCTCTCTGTTTGGCAGCAATGTACTCCTGCTGCCATCTGACGAACTTGCTCTCCTGGACCGGATGAGCACGATCTTGCTGCCACGCGGAAGAGCATGCACAGTACTGTCGCCAGTACGTGAGAACAGCCGCGATGTTGGGATTCCAAGCTTCCACAACATCGGACGGGAGCTTGCAACGTCGAGCCGCCTCCGAAGCTCGGATCCAGTCGTCAATCGTTGTCTGCTTGAGAGCCATGACTGTGTGATAGTGTTGAAGGTTGTTGCGTTGCGTGATTGTTGCTTCCTTGATTTTGGGCTTGGTGGGCGCAAAGTGTCTTTGGTGTATGTCGTGAAGTTTGAACGAATAATTCGCAATTCTACCTGCTTCTCTTATAGTTGCAGTCGGAAACTACTCGTGGGCTGGGCCATCACCAGTAAGTCATAGCCTCTCGCCCAATCGGTGTATTCATTACCTCGTAAGTGCACGAATTTGGCTAAGCTCACCAAACATGTCCACAATTGGACCTGGAAGAACAAGCATCAGATCGTGGGATATGAGTGGCCAATAACATCGAAATTGACACTCCTGCCAATGTAGAGATGAGTAATGCAGGCCAGCTTCCTATAGCATGGTGCCGAGTGGCTTCAGCGATAGAAACACGAAGGCGACCATCCCTGGAGCAACAGTGTTGTCCGGCTCTTCTGGACGCTATACCAATGTCACACGCAGTTTGGAAGCCTATAGCTTCCTGTCGGTTACCGTTGGGAATGGGATTGCGACAGCGCCGATTTCGGGCGTTTGGGAAGTGCTGGTACACTGTATTTGCCGCGGTCGTACTGCATCTTTCTCTCTTCGTTACTCGTAGTATCGAGGTTCGCCAACCACAGTTACTGAGGCTGGTATTCAGAAAAGCTCGTAGGGTCCTGACCTAGCCGAGCCGAAAGCAGTGCGGTAGCGGTATAAGCACGTAATGAACAGCGATAAGCTGGAATTGCCACTGCCATTAGGCGTAGGCCCGGGAGCAAGTCGAGCAACGGAGAAATCGAAGCAAGCGGTGGATTTGGGTCGTTGATGGATTGAGGTTGCTCTCCGTCAAACAAGCCTATAACACCCTCCCAGACGCCTTTCAGGATGGGAATGATCAACCACCAGTTTATGTTCTTTAGAAATGCTACCACGTGCCCCACCGCTATGGAGACCTCACATGCAGCTACGCGGCTTACTACATGCTGTTGCTGGTCTCTTATAGCGGGACCGTGGAGGCACCGCAGTAATTTTGCAGATCCACGACCGGTGCCTCTGAACCCATTTTTTGGACTGACCAACGGACGCTGAGTAGCGGCTAGGAGCTGGTGTACATCCCATGACTTGAGTATTGGGCAGCACAGTCAAGTCTCTGACCCGCAGAGCCGGCGACTGCTGCGCTGTCTGTCAGAACACTAACGTGGACCGAACCCATTCCGCGCCCCGTGCAGAAACGACTACTGATCCATATACTGGCATAAAGGTAAGTGCTGTGCTGCCTACAGCAATCATATCTTTCTGCGTTGCCAAGCCCACCAAGCGTTGAACGGCAGTCGCCAGTCGGTCACCCTGAGCTTCGGGCTGAACACATCGAAGTCCGCCTTCTCGAGCCTTTCGAGCCATAGCTGCGTGGCAATGGCAGGCATGAAGACGCCAAATGCACGCTCAACCTCTTGAGCTTGCGTCTCTTTGTTGCGGCCCCCCGCTGCCATGACTGGCAGGGAGACATGCTCCTCTTCATCCTGATGCTCGAATTCATGTGATTCCTGCTGGCCGGCACGGATACTGCTCAGCATCTGTCGCGCAGTAATCAAATGATCATTGGCGCGAGTAGCGACGGTGAAGACAGCGTCACGGAGACCGTGGGCATTGCCACCACTGCGGAGCACGTCTTCTTCCTGCACACCAGCCTCAGCCATGACGTCCAGAGGTAACATGACTGCACCTTGTCTTGTCGCTCCCATGTCACCACCACCAAGTTGGCTTTGGTTGCTGTGCTTGTTGGGTGGACCAGGAAAAGCAAGTAGTGGCAAACCGCGTAAGACGGTGGCGATGCCGGTAGCCTTGCCAATGTGACTGGCCACGTGGTCGGCCGCCAAACTCGACATAGGCAACGCCTGAAGGGTGAGGTATAGAAGCGTGCTGTACGTGTTCTCGGAGTAACTTTCCAGCGTAGGCATGCTCGGATACGGCGGGTTAGACAGATACTTCTCACGCGTATCAATGATACGCATAAACCAGCTTTTGCTCCATTTGCTACGGCCCTCGGTCTTCTCGAGTATGTCGTCCGCGGCCTTTGCGAGCAGGATAGCAATCGGCTGCTTCGGTGGCTGCCCTTGCAATGCCTTGGTTACTGCATCTCGCTGGAACTGCAGACGCATTGCACCAATGGTGGGGGTGCCTGTAGTGTCTGCGGTACGAGCAACGTCGATGTTGAAGGCTCGCAAGGCAACGTATGCATCTCGGGCGTGACTAGGGATGTACGGCAACAGCAAGGATGATGGCGTGTCGTACTTCCTAAGCGAGTCGAGGCAGTACCTCCGTGCTCTAGTGATCTCGTCCGAGGTAACAAGGCTTGCGCCCGGCTGTTCGACCTGTGAAGACCCATTGCGTCGTTGCCCCCGTGCCTTTATCGTAGAGTATATTGTTGTCGACTTCGTTGAAGGTCGGATATGTGGGCGTACAGTTCGCGGCAAGCCGGTCATTGCCACTCGATACGAGCGGCGGTTGATGTGAGAGCGCATGTCACACTCCCGTCCATATTTCCACATACAATGTTTGCTCCTTTTGCAAAGGAAGACGTACACGTACAAACTCAAGGAAATAATCTGTCCGCATAAATGTACAGTGTCGGATGAGCTCATGATGCGGGACGTGCATCAGAACATTTACAGTACGCTTACGGCGGGCTGTTTCGACGCGTCTTCCGCAGCAAAGTCGTGACACCAGCGAACATCGTATGTCCTACTCTTCGTACCACATCGCCCAGCATGGCAGACGTCGAGGAGCGCCCGCACAAGAAGAGGCGTTTCTTCGTTGACGAAGCACCAATCGACGACAGCACCTTCTCGGGCGAACCCTCCTCTCCAGACGATATCAAACCTCTACCGGAGACGAATGGCTTCGACGTGCATCTGGATCAACAGGCGAGCACAGATGTGTTCGATGCCGCCACCTTCCAGGCAGTGGCAGGCGGCCATGTGCAAGTGTCCGCGATACGCAGTCTACAGGCGAGATATGGGCCCGACCTTGAGCAAGCCGTCAACGCATACTTCGACGGATCATGGAAGACGCCGTCGCCGCAGAAGCCTGCCTATACGGCGCGAAATGCGGGACAAGGATCCATATCATTTGGCGTGCAGCCGCGGAACGCAAAAGCGCAAGAAAGGAGCACACCATCTACCTCGTCTGCACAACCAGCCTCTCCGCCATCGAAGCTTCCGGCCCTCGACACCATGCCAACAATGCGATACATTGGCGCACTAGGTGTGGCTGGCTGGACCACGCGGAGCGGCACGAATCTGCTCAAGCCGGGCGATGTTGTCAAGATCGATCGTACAAAACAGCAGGCAATCCAGAAAGCCGGCAAGGGTGGAAAGGTAAAGCAGTTGGTGCGGAGGACGCAAGACGTTATCGTACGTTTTACGAACGTCAAAGGCGAGGAGCTTGGTAGACTTGAGAAGGAGAGTGCACTGTGGATTAGCACGCTAGTGGACCAGAGAGTGTGCTCCTTCGAAGGATACTGCATCTTTGCGCCGGAAAAAGTCCGCACGAATGACACAGTCTACATTCAGCTCAAATGCTACCTCCTGAAAGAGGCGTTCGAAGTCAGCAATTTCATCAAGCCGCTAGAGAACAACCGAGAGACCGGAATCTTTGAGGCAAAAGAAACTTCGGATGAGCGAGATCTTCGCTTAAGACAGATAGGCCTTGTCAAGTTGTTTAGCGAAATCAATCTGCATCCAAGCAAGGTGAACGAGACCACTGCACGACACAAGCGAGAAGGCATCCTACAAGCTGCCGAAGTAGCGGAGCAGTATGAGCAGCAAGACACTGGGATGAAAGCTAAACGCAGCACACCAGAAGATGGTGGCGGCTCGTCGCCGCCTTCTGAGGACGCGGCAGAAGAAGGCGAAGAGCTTGAGCAGGACCAGCTCGACAGTCTGTACAAGAAAGCGCAGTCGTTCGACTTCAACACACCAGAAGCACAGCCCGCAGCGACTTTTGCGATGGATCTTCGCAAGTATCAGAAGCAGGCATTGCACTGGATGCTCAACAAAGAAACGTCACAGAAAGACGAAGAGAGGCAGCACTCTATGCATCCACTCTGGGAAGAGTACCTGTGGCCAACGAAAGATGCAGAAGATGCGCCTGTGCCTACTGTGACGGGCCACGACTGCTTCTATGTCAACCCCTATTCTGGCGAGATGAGCCTGGACTTTCCAGTGCAGGAACAGACATGCCTCGGTGGCATATTAGCAGACGAGATGGGTCTCGGCAAGACGATCGAGATGCTATCGCTTATACATTCACATACCTCCCCCGAACAACAAGCCGCGGTCCAGAGCGGCTCACTCGGCTCAGTCAACAGCCTGCCTCGACTGCCCAAGACCAGCGCGGACGTCGAGCGCGCACCAGCCACGACGCTCGTAGTGGCACCAATGTCTCTTCTGGCTCAATGGGCAAGTGAAGCGGAGAAAGCCTCGAAGCAGGGCACGCTCAAGGTCCTGCTGTATTACGGTAACGAGAAAAACGCGAACTTACAGAACCTCTGCTGTGGCGCAAATGCTACGACAGCACCCAATGTCATCATCACATCGTACGGAGTGGTGCTCAGCGAGTTCAACTCCGTTGCTGCTCACGGCGGCAATCGTGGCAGTCACGGAGGACTGTTCAGCCTTGAGTATTGGCGTGTGATCCTGGACGAGGCGCACATGATTAAGAACAGGCAGTCGAAAACGGCGAAGGCATGCTACGAGCTGGCAGCCACTCATCGTTGGGTGCTGACCGGTACGCCCATTGTCAACCGTCTGGAGGACCTATTCAGTCTTGTTCGTTTCTTGCGCGTTGAACCTTGGAGCAACTTCAGCTTCTGGAAGACGTTCATCACCATGCCGTTTGAAAAGGGCGAGTTTGTGCGCGCTTTGGACGTCGTGCAGACGGTCCTTGAGCCACTAGTGCTGAGACGAACGAAGGACATGAAGACGCCAGACGGTGAAGCACTGGTGCCACTGCCGCCTCGCATCATTGAAATCGAGAAGGTCGAGCTCAGCACTCCCGAGCGCGAGGTCTACAATCACATCTTCGCTCGTGCCAAGCGCACCTTTACAGCCAATGTCGAGGCTGGCACGCTCATGAAGAGTTACACCACCATCTTTGCACAGATTCTTCGCCTACGCCAGTCATGCTGCCACCCCATTTTGACCCGCAATAAAGCCATTATGGCTGAAGAAGAAGCGGCTGAGGAAGCTGCCGACATCGCCAATGGTCTAGCAGACGACATGGACCTGCAAACCCTCATTGAGCGCTTCCAAGCAGACGAAGGCGAGCAAGATGCTAGTAAATTTGGTGCCCATGTTCTGAAACAGATACAAGAAGAGGCGGAAATGGAGTGTCCAATCTGCTCCGAAGAACCCATGGATGAGCAGGCGGTGACTGGTTGCTGGCACTCAGCTTGCAAGAAATGTCTGCTCGATTACATTGAGCACCAAAGCAGTAAAGGCGAGCTGCCTAGGTGCTTCAACTGCCGAGAGCCCATCAATGCCCGTGACGTATTCGAAGTGATTCGGCACGAGGATGACAACGACGCTGCGCCCACCAACGCCCTCACGGCAGCAATGGATCTTGACGAAGACGACGAGTTGTACGGCAACACGCAGCGAGGGCGAAAAGCATCGCAGGAAGCTCCGCGTATCACTCTTCGCCGCGTCAACCAACTGTCTTCTGCCAAGATCACTACACTGCTCAATCAACTCAAACGCCTTCGCAAAGCCGAGCCGTTGACCAAAACGGTCATCTTCAGCCAGTTCACCTCCTTCCTTGACCTTCTGGCTCCAGCGCTTACCAGCGCCAATATACAGTGGCTGCGCTTCGATGGCTCGATGTCACAGAAGGAGCGCGCGAAGGTGCTTGCCGAATTCGCCAATCGTCCTAAGTTTACCGTGCTGTTTCTCAGCTTGCGAGCCGGAGGCGTAGGTCTGAACTTAACCTGCGCGAAGCGGGTATTCATGATGGACCCGTGGTGGAGCTTTGCTGTCGAGGCGCAAGCCATTGACCGCGTGCACCGAATGGGACAGACGGAGGAAGTGAAGGTCACGAGGTTTGTGGTTGAGGGTAGCATCGAGGAGAAGATGTTGAAGGTGCAGGACCGGAAGAAGTTCATGTAAGTTGTTCAGCTTGAGCTTTCTAAAGCCGTATGCTGACACCCGCCGCAGCGCCAGCTCGCTCGGCATGATGAGCGATGAGGAGAAAAAAGCGCAGCGGATAGAAGACATCAGAGAGCTGCTCAGTTGAGCGGATGTAGCCGTCTAGCACTCTTGGATTGTGTACTTGCAAAAGACAACGCAGCCTCCAGGCTCAGGGTATCTCAGGTTCGCCGTAAATTTCCACCCAGCGCCCCCGCCCAACGCCATTCGAGTCAGAGCCTTCTTCAACCAGTGTGCACTAGACGATCCGCACTGTCCTTGGCGCACGCCACACCGCAATCTCTGGCACAAAAGCACAATACCACCACTCAGTCGCCCTCCAGCCGCCCCTCCATACTCCGTTCTCCTCAGTGCCCGGACCAAAATCGATGGCCAGTCCCACAGTCCGCATCCACTGCACGACAAGGTCGATCTCCCAAACCCACAGCTTGCCTTCGTGAGCATTCTGAATGGCCTGGGCGGTGCTACCGGGACGGTACACTAGACAATGCAGGACGGAGCGCACAACCATGTCCCAAACGTCGTCTATCAACACGCCGTGGATATCCACCCACAGCGGAAGGCGCAAGCCAGGTTCACCTTCCACTGTTGGAGGATGTATCGGTACTGGTTCGCTTTTGAGGCCATGGTTGGCCGTAAATAGCGTGGTCGTATGGTACTCCACTGGGAACCTCAGGCGGTCAGCCTTGAGGTTGTGTGTGTTGTAGAGATACTGTATCTCATCAACGCCCCAAACGCTTAGTCTCGGGAAAGGGGCATTGTAGTCGTCGGTTATTGGTGGTAAGCGTGAGTTCACATTTACCAAGCCTTGAGCAACCATGTTTGTCAGTACAACGACGTCAGGATCTTTGGTGTGATAGTCCAGTTGTAGGGTGCCATGCTGGACAAGTTGCAACAGGATCCTGTGACGGGCCGCAGCAATTTCGCGGAGGTAGGTTGTCTCGTCGGCGGGCCAGCGCTTGAACTGTCTGATAGCTTTCTGGCTAAGGAGGTAATTGCGCCCGGGTAACTGCCGACCTTCCTTCTCCTTTCTGAGAATGTCTTCCTGAACAAGCTCGGTGAGGGCATCGCGGACGGCACTGGCTGGAAAGAGATTGATTCTTTGTGCTGCAGCATTTACGTTGTAGCTTGACTCTGGTGTCATGGCGATGGCACGACACCATGATTTGAGCAGCGTCTTGTCAGCCGCCAACGCACTTCGGCTTTCCTCTGGATGCGCAAGCGTCTCACCGTGGGCGAACTTAAGCGCAACATCCTTGCGGCTCTTATCAGTGATGCAGTCAAAGAACGCGTTTGAGTCAAGTCCGCTGTACCATTGTGACTCAATGCTGAACGCCCGGTCCAGGTTTACCCTTGATGCCGGCAGATCCATGGATTGTGGTGAGGTCGTCGAAAACGATGTTGATTGCTTCGCCATCACACTAGGCAGCACCGATATCTTCGCCCACTCAACCAATGCCGGCCAGTCTGTCGAGGAGAGATTTTGAAAGTCCATATGCGGAACCTCGCCTTTCTCGTAGGCGGCGAGGAATGGGTCGCGAAGGGCTGCTTGCAGAGCTAGCATGTCTGCGCCTCGCGACTTTTTTATCCAAGCCCAGCGATTCTTCAGTGCGTCCAAATCATAGCGGTAGCTGAGCGCATGCGCGACTGGTTCCCAGACTTGGTATCTCTGCTCCAGGCCAGAACACAGGGTCCGTACCAGTGCTAAGGCAATGATGAGCTCGTCCTCATGTTTGATTGCCGTCACAAGGTTTCGTCGTTTCTTGAACGACGCTGCTGACTGTGGCTCGTTCGGCACCCGCTCCCTCGGCTCCAGCACCAGCTCCAGCTCGAGCTCTGGCTCTGGCTCGGCTGCCTCCTGCCAATCTGAGTCAAGGTCTTCGTCATTTCCGGACTGACCATGGCTGATTAGGTTCTGTACCGCGGTGGCTACCTGCTTACGCGACTTATGCCTGACGGGTCGCTGACTCTGCGATAGGCACGCCGGCGCACTCGGTACGCCGACAATGTCGGAATTGCTTGCCGCAGCTAGGGAGGGGGACTCATCTACGTGCTTCGTCTGCGGCGCTGTCTGCGCCTTCAAAACCGCAGCATCTGTGCTCGGAAGGGAAGCACTCACAGACTCCTTGGATAGAACAATTGAAGGTGCTGCTTTAGGTCGACCAGCACTCGGCTTCAAGCCATGCTTGTACCGCCCGTGGCCTACGTGGTAAAACTTCTGATGTGGATGGGCTTCAACGTAGGCTTTGCTGACTGTCGCTTGTACTCCGGCGCTGGTAGAGTCTGTCGAGGACTGCTTGCCAGGCGCGATTGGTGTCGCTGACGGGTTAATGCTCACCGTACCGAAGGTGCCCGTCGCTGCATTGAACTCCTGAGTCGGCGAGTACATCAACCATGCATCGTGGATGTCTCTAGCTGCAGGACTTTCCAGAGTCGGGCCGGAAGCGCGTGGTTGATTGGCAAGCTGCGCCAGTGCATTATCTGTGCCAGGCGGACGCGGAACAGCGAAAGCGTTGGGTGCGGGTGGTAACTCATCGCCACCATCCATGGTGGCGGTTGACTGCGTACCGGGCCACCCGGGGAATGTACTAGCTTCTTCGGGGACGCGATACTTAGGGAAGCTATTGATGGCGCTTTGCTTCACCTCCGCCACCCGAGCTGAGGTAGGATCAATCTCGGGCAAGGTCAAGATGCTCGCTGTATGGTTGGTTCCTTTGCGACTCTGAAAGCTGAACGTAAGCTTTCGTAGCTTGCCAGCATCGACCAGACCCTTGACAACGCTGTCAACCGTGGATTTCTTTGCCGAGCCGTCGTTATATGGGCCCTGCCAGAGCACCATGAGCAAGCTCAAGAGTTCGCTATTGCATGCAACAACTCCGCCACAATGTTTGATGATATCAAGAGTCATCGCTGTACGCTTCTTGAGCTTGCGCGGTACGGAAGACTGATCCGGCACGGCTGCCGGTGGATGCACGGGCGTGCTCTGAATCACCAAATCGGCACCGGTGGTGACATGGCAACCAGAGACTGTGGATGGCTGGTCTAACGTTCGCTCCGGTATAGGATGGGCTTGTGTGCTCACATCAGCTGTTATCAGCCCCTGCAGTATCGCAGGGTCAGTGGTAGCCTTGATTGGTTTTGGACCTCTTCTCCATCGTCCATGACCGACATGGTAGAAGTCTTCCCCTGGATGCTCCTTCACATATGCAGTAGAGAAAGTATCTCCTTGCGGCGGAGTGCTTGTATGGCTAGTGGGCGTAACCGGCATCAACCTGTCATCGATATCTGCAGCTTCTTCAGGCGCCGGACCGCACTTCCAGCGCCCGTTGCCGACAATATGGTAATGCTTTTCAGGGTGGGCGTCGACAAAGCGCTTCGAGAATGTCTGTGCCGTGGCCCTAGTACGAGACGCAACTTCTTCGAGTTCTGCGTCATGCGGGATTGGTGGTGAACTGAACCTCGTGAAAAAGGTGGGCACGACAGCTCCGCTCCCAATTGCTGGCTCTGGCGGCGTGCCTGAAGTATCCATCGTATCAATGGACTCGAGCACCTTCGTTCGTTCCGCGAGCGGAGCCATGTCCACAAAGGAATTCTTACGGCGCCGCTTGGCGGAAGCCACATTTAATGACAGGGTGAACCAAGGTAAAGTGCTCAAGCGATCACTTTTCGCCACAGCAATGAGCGCGTTACGCGGCCTCCCACGCGTCACCTTGAACTGTGCCTTCAGCTCTCGCGCACCAGGTGGGTTGATGTAAAACCCTGGTCTACGTTGATGAACAAGGTCGGACTCGATCTCGGCGATGCGGGTAGCCATGGAAGTGACCAAGAGGGTCTCATGAGCGGACTGCAAGCTCGCATGGCTGAGCTTCCTTCTTTTTGTAGGCGGCTCATCACTCGTATCGTGAGACGCTGCAGGAGCATGGCCATAGCTCCGTTGGATCTCAGCTTTGGCAAGGATCTCAGCGGTACACCGGGCCCATGCTGCGAATGCAGATTGCTCGTCCGCAGTGGTCTTCTTGAGGCGTGCACCGTCAGTAGATGCTACTGACCTTGCTGGCGCCTTGGTAGTGTTGGCAACATTGTCAAGTGGGGCTTGACGGTTTGACACATCGAAGCGATCGTTCGTCACAAGGGTCCCGGTGCTCGTGGAATGTGATCCGAGTCTGTCGCATGATGTAAATGCCGGTAGAGGTGCAGTGTTAGGTAAGATACTGGTTCCATTCCCGACGATGCAATGTCCGTCGACCGTTGCATGCTGGACCTCACTTCCAACTGCCTGCTGGTGATGCAGCAGCTGCGCCGTGTCCATCGGGCTCAGGGAGCCTTGGAACCATCTGCAATAGGCTCCCCAAAGGTTTTCGCGGAGCGCGATTGTCACCTCCCGGTTGTGTGCAACAGTGTGACACTTTCGATGTACAATGTCGAGTCAGTGAAAGTGCATGTGGCGCACAGAGACGTGGCTTTGCGCGCGCTGCCTGACTCGTGCCCAGGTTGCGTCCACTCTCACATGCAGTATGCAGCTTTGATCAAGGAGCCTCTATTGCTGCACCAATTGTACCTGCGGTTTGCACACTGGCCGACGCCCTCAACATGCCTCCACCATCTAGTCGCATGACCAAGAACCGACAGCAACCGTCAAGATATTTCCCTGGCAAGGCGGAACAAGCTGAAGGTATTGATTCTGATGAGGAGTCCGAGGCCGAGGATGATGGCGAGAGTGTGGAACCTGCGCCAAGGGTACCAGCACCGAAAGCGACAACATTTCCTTCACAGCAACGGCCGCGCGTTCCTCAATCGGTGCGACCGCCTCCGGACAAGCCTGAAGAGCCCGACCTTGACGGCTTCGTCACTGCATCGGAGACATCCGAAGATGAAGAGGGGGACGGTAGTGACGGCGAAGGCAAGGACGAAAGTGAGGCGAGCGAAGACTCTTCCGACGAGGAGCCAAAGAAGCCTATGCTAAGGCCAACATTTCTCTCCAAAGCACAACGCGCACCGAAAGCGTCAACCGCGTCAAGTAACGGTGTCGAAGATATGGCAGCGGAACAGGAACGTCAACGCAAAGCCAAAGCCGATGAAATGCTACAGGCGCAATTAGAGCGAGACGCAGCCGCTCGAGCCGTTGGTCGAAAGGCTTGGGACGATGATGCTGATAACGTTGACCCTGAGGACGTTGTGGACGATACAGACGGTGTAGACGTAGACGCAGAGCATGCGGCATGGAAGCTGCGCGAGCTCAAGCGAGTGCGACGGGACCGCTTAGCCATTGAAGACAAGGAGAAAGAACGTGAAGAGGTCGAGCGACGACGTAACATGACCGCCGAGGAGCGCGAGGCCGAAGACAAAGCGTATCTCGATGCGCAGAAAGAGGATAGGGAAGGCAAGGGCAAGATGGCCTTCATGCAGAAGTACCATCACAAGGGTGCCTTCTTCGGCGATGATGTTGAAGACGAAGAAGTTCAGAAGGTGCTCAACCGCGATCTTGCAGGTGCGCGATTTGCGGACGAAACGGGCGACAAGGCTGTCCTGCCGGAGTACATGCGCATTCGTGATATGACGCGGCTTGGCAAGAAAGGTAGAACAAGGTACAAAGACCTGAAGACGGAGGACACTGGGCGCTGGGGCACCGAGAATGGGCGCAAGTGGCGAGACTCTCACGGGCTGGATGATCGCTTCAAGCCGGATGATCGATACGAAGGCGGCCCACAAAGTACTGGAGCCAACAACGCACCTGTTGGTGAGAGGCGCCGGGTAGACGGAGACCCGTCAACAGGTCGGCAAGGGAAAAGAATGCGTTACGAGTGATTACACCAACGGAGAGACGAGCTTGCAGCGTTGTAGCGAGGCGTTTGGGTCAGACACTCTGCAGTTCGGCGGGCAAGTTTCTTTTACATACGGGTTTTCTGACAGACCTCCGTCTAGTACTTGGAAGCCTGCCCATGTCCATCTGCTTCTGGACGCTGTAGTCTCGATTCTCATTCTGGAGGCAGCACATCGCCGTGGCCCGTGCAGACGCTCCGCATTGCAATTGCCTTGCTCCACTTCCTCGAAGTTCTTCCGTCCACAACACATCGTTCCTCATCTCCTGGATTCGTTGCGACAAGCACTTAACATTAATCCAGCTGTGGTCGAAAGATAGGCTCTTTCTCCTTGATCATCACACCTTTGCAAGATGTTCGCTTTCTTATTGTTGATCTTCGCTGGGGCCGCAATCGCTGCGACTACTGCACCGACTGTGACTGTGAAGAATGGAACTCTAAGAGGCATATACAGCTCTCAATGGGAGCAAGATTTCTTCCTAGGCATACCATATGCCCAACCACCCTTAGGACCACTTAGGTTCAAATGGCCGCAGCCACTGAATACGACGTACAACGGCACCCGAGATACAACCTCTTACGGGTATAGTTGTTACCAGTATGGGAGCAATTTCAATTTATCCGAAGACTGTCTTACACTGAACGGTACGTTGATCCTCTCGGTGGCGGTTATTAAGGCTGCTCTAAAGCAGATCCTAGTCGTTCGCCCATCCGGACATCAAGATCAGGCTCTACCCATTCTGCTATGGATCTTTGGGGGCGGCCTGACCGCAGGTTCGAGCGCTGATCCTCAATACAACATCAGCGGCATTGTCAAGACTGCATCGGACTCCGGTCAGCCTCTGATTGGGGTTCGATCAACTATCGACTAGGGTAGGCACGAAGCATATCCGGCGCGAGACATACGCAGCAACGACTGACTAAGGCAGGGTTTGGGGTTTCTTGCAGACACCATTACTGCTCAACGAAGGCTCGCTGAATGCTAGACTTCTGGATCAACGCATGGCCATGCAATACGTGCTGGAGAACATTGCCGCATTCGGAGGCGATCCTGCACGGGTCACTATCTGGGGTGTGCTAATCAACATTCATGAATTACTTTGGTTCAGCTAACGATTGTGCAGGTGAGAGTGCTGGTGCTCAGTCGATCGGTCTCCATCTTCACAGCTTCGGTGGCAGAAACGACGGCCTGTACTCGGCAGCAATAATGGAGTCAGGTGGACCTGTAGGGACTTCATTGAACCCATTGCCGTTCTACTCGGTCGCCTTCGAAAACCTGACGAGGACGGTCGGCTGCTGGACCAGCTCCAATCAGCTCGGATGCCTGCGTAATCTGACATCACAGCAGCTGTTCAACAGCAACTACACTGTTGTTTGGAATCCGAGCGTTGATGGCACGTTTCTCACCGCGTATCCTTCGACACTGGCAGCAAACGGAAGCTTCGTCCGCGTTCCGATCTTGACGGGCGCCAACAGCGACGAAGGCATCTCTTTCAGCACGCACGGCTTGGACAATTCCACCGCCATCTTCGACAATCTGCTCTACTGGTGCAACTATGCGCTCTCGCCACCATCTATTACGACATTACTCAACCTCTATCCAAATAATCCATCTATCGAGCCGCCATACAGAGACCGCACCAACACAACCTACCCAGGGTATGGCCTCCAATGGCGTCGTGACGCTGCGATCGGAGGTGACCTTGTCATCATCGGACAACGGCGCAAGACGTGCGGAGAGTTCGTCATAGGCGGTATCAACGATGTCTACTCTTACCGCTTCGACACTCCACTATGGAACGCCACCGCACCAGTCAGCGTTTATCACTTCGTCAACGTGGTGTTTTCGTTCCAGAACATCTCAGGCGCTCTTGGCCCGCTTCCGGAGTACGAGAGCTACAAACACCTGGCCACTTGTATTGGCAGAGCTTATGCTAGCTTTGTTAGCAGTCATCAGCCGAATGGAGCTGTTGTTGAAGGAGAATACACCAATGGCAATGTGACGGGCCTGCCACTGTGGCCGAAGTACGACCTGAGCGCGCCGAAAAACATGGTACTCAACGCTAATGGCAGCTATGTTGAGGACGATACTTGGAGAAGAGAAGGCATTGCTTTCAATAACAGCATTAGTAGGGAGCTATTGGCATGATACACCGCCCTGGATTGTCTTGATCCATGTTTAACGAAGCGTGTTCTCACTTGAGACTTGCGATATGTGCAGTGCATAAGCCCGTATACTATGATGCGAAAGGCACGTAGTTTGCACTTCGGTTAGCCGTAGGATCTTGCTGCTACACTGGGGCTCAAGCTAAGTTCGGGAGCTTCATCAATCCTTCATCCTGTGAGACCTAGTCAGATCGCGGATCACCGAGTGCTCAGATGTTCGTCGCTTGCTTTTTGCTTGCAATGCGACTGATATTGTAAAGAACTACAGACCTTTTCTCGCCAAAGAATAGCTCATCCGAGCACGGTCGCAGGTAAGCAGGCTAAGTAGCGGTCTACGAAGACATCAGCAGAAGTTGCCAAGATGCATTTGGCGATGTGCCAGGCCAGGTACGTTTGCTCGAGTGGCTCATTGCTCGACTGCCAATGAAGTCAAAAGTGCTTGACATAGGCTGTGGTACGAGTGTACCAGCGCGTAATGCTAGCTAACGATGGCCATGGTGTCACCGGCATCGATATCACACCAAGGATGATCGAAGTCAGTAGAAATGAGGTCACCAACGTAACTTTCGAGGTCCGCGACGTCAGAAAATGGGCGCCTGCGGAAACGGATTTGGGCATTCTTGATTCAGTCGTCTCCTACTTCGCTTCACTCAACGTTGGGTATCAGCGATCAGAGCATTCATGTCACGGGCGCTATCTTGGATGAAGCCTGGAGGCTGCTTCAGCTACGATGCTGTACCCCTCGAAGCGGAAGTCGACAATAGAGATATCAAGTGGCTAGGCCGAGGCATCGTCGTAGCGAGCCTCAGCACCGAAGGCTACATCCACGCTGTCAAGGAGGGTGGGTTCGACCTAACCCAGCAGGAGACTACACAGTTCTTGCACGAGCGGTTGATGCAGGGTTGTCTCAGGAGAGCGATGTGCACGAAGAGACGCACCTGTTTCTGTGTTGCCGCAACCCAGAGTGACTGGGACTGGAGCTGGTTCTATTGCCACACTGCCGTCCACTGGAGATTGTACCCAGTCTTGCGTTTGTACTCGCTACCATCATCCTCGTGCATACCTATTGTTCTTAGATCAAGCAGCCGCGCTTGCACATCCCAGGTCGTGTTCGTCTTTCGCGCCACCTCATTCCACATCTCCTCCACCGCCTTTGCGTTTGCCATCCAGATTGTCCGATACCCAGTCCCCATCCTGCTGTTAGCATACGTGACATCCTGGGTCTCTGGCAGCCCATTCTGTGAGCCCGCAAAGATGCTACCCGGCTGCGGCTTCAACATTTCGATCAGCCGTGTTGCATTGTCGATCTGCCCTTGACGATCAAAGAGATGTAAGAACTTGGGGCACCAGACAATGTCGACTGCGTGCTTCAAATCCTTGAGTGGAGTTTCGTCGATCGGTTTGGTGCCGTCTGCGTCGATGAAATGACCTTGCCATTTATCTCTATCGTTGTAGAAGTCGAAGCCGAGGTCGAAGAACGTTGGCTCGATGTCGAATGCGAACATTCTGTTGGTTGGCGCGCCTTCCCAGGCTAGAAGGCGAAGGTCAGGCGATATCATACATCCGCAATCAACGATTGTTCCTCCTGCCTTAACTCTCCGCAATATCGTCTTGTGTGCCTCATGTAGCAGCATGTAAGGGTTCACCCACGTGAGAGCTCCAACCGATGGGTATGGGCTTATGGACCATGCTATCTCTCGCTATACTCGGTCAGTTGTCACGAGCAGCGACAAGATGTGGAAGAAATCAAGTTACGTGGACTTTAATGTGTTCCACTATCCGGTCCGATGCAATACCTGCATACTCTTGCAACATTCGTCGACTCTGAGGCTGGATTATACTATCGATGTCGGATGTGTACCACGGAGCATCTTGCGGGATATCTGTCATGGAGAACGAATACGTTTCTTCTCGGCTGGCCATATTGTGTATTCAATAGTGGAATCGAGACCAAAGTGCATCTGAGACACTCACGTCAACGTTGCGGCCGTCTTTGTTCATGAACACAGCGCATAGAAGCTTCGGAACATATCGAGTCTACTGCAGGTCAGACCTGAGGAGCGCTAGCGAACACTACAATCGCCGATCATAGCGTCAACACGAACTGCAGCCCGTAATCAGGGCTAATTTTCTTGAAGGATCGTTAAGCGGCGTCAGCTGGCTATCTTAGTCATTGTCAACAGCTCGCAGGCGAATTTGCTCTATTCGATTCGCGTACCATCGTGACAGCATCTGTCTGTATTTGTTCGCATACCGCTTGCTTAGAGTCCGAAACAATTAGCGTAGTACGTTAAAGTACCGACCCAATCCGAGAAAATCTTCGTGGCGTTCACCTGGTGTGCGAGGACATCAATGAGCGTGAACTCGTCTCCGTCGTTGTTGATCAGGTTGCTGACACTCTGGTAGTAGTATCCGCCGCCGGTGTTGAGCGGGCCGGAACGCTCCAGAGACCATGTAATAATTTCGAGACCAGCTGCGTTTGCTGCGATGGCATACGAGGACGGCACAATCTGTCCGGTGGCATTGTTTGCGGTAACGAGCTGCCAGGTGGAGGGCGCAATAATCTTCACACCTCGAGCCGCAAGTCCGGGGAGCGAAGCGACAGCCTCATCGTAACCGGTGGGCGAGAGGTCTGCGCGCTCATCCAGGTAGACGGCTTGGACGCCGAATGCGGGATCATTTGCGATCCAGTAGACTGTGGTACGTTAGCTGATACTGCAACTCCCTGCAGAGCATATGCTGTGACATACAGATATCGTCCGGCAAGAAGGACTGTAGCCAGACCCGGCTCGGGTCGATGCCCATGTCGACGAATGTGTCGACGATCTGCTGCGCAAAATCTGCTTGGGTGTAGTTGCCTTGGAAGGGAGTCGGGTAGAACACCGGCGTCTTGGCCTCGGCTGTGAAGTTAAGACCATAGCTTTCTACGAGTGAGATCTGATCGCGTAATGACATTGGCTCAGCGCAGGAGTAGGAGTACATGTTAGTCCGCCAGTCGGGAGTGACGCCTATGCGGCCGAAATTCGGGCTCGTGGTCGTGCTGACGTTGAGTGCATTGAAGGTCGATGCCTCCATCTCTGCGCATAGAGACTTGAACTCAGCGAGCGTAATGTCGCTTGTGCAGCACTGGGCGCTAGCAGGCGTCCTCGTCGTGGCGTTATAGGGAGTGAATGGCTGCGTGCACTTTGCCGCAAGTGTTGCGTTTGCCAAAATGTTCGTGGTGTAGTGGAGGTCGCAGTTGGAATGACGGCAGACAAGCTCGCGGTCAGAGGTGAAAGAGACGTCGCACTCGATAATGGCTACACGTGGTCTCAGTATCTCGTCACATACAGGTGGTATAGAACTACGTACAGGCCCCCATCCGGGCAGCAGCAACGTAACCTTGCCTTGAGTGCTCTGGGAACATCAATGGAGCACCCCGATGCGAGACAACAAAGTCAGACGTGCTGAACGGGCCTTCGGAGCAAGACTCCAGCTTATCCTTGAGCGGCCCCGCATCCATGTTGTCGACCAGGTAGTACGGCCGTGGTCCTAGCTGGACGTTGATGCCACTGCCACGGCCGCTGCTGCTGGTACTGCCGCTCGCACCGCCGTGGGGACCTCTGAAGCCGTTGCCATACCCATCAAAGTGACTGGCTGGAGGACCGAGCTGGAAGGGGCTCCAAGGAGCAGCAAAGGCAATTCCAAAAGCTAGGAAGCCAGCGAGGAACGAGGTTGTGGCAATCATGGTGGTGGAGAAGGGTGTCGAACGCTCACCTTGTTTGTTGCGCGACGTCGCCAAACCTTGGGCGGACTCACCTTTTGTAAGCTCCAGCGACATGGTGCCGGTTACTGCACAAAGCACAGCCTAGGACTGGACAAGCCACGTTCCTGCAGAAGTGCATTTGTTCTGCGAAGGGATCGAACTCGTGGCCGTAACAGGTCTCTTCAGTGGCTAGAGCACAGCGTACACGGTGTGAGCTATGCCAGATGACGGTGCCTAGAAAGCCAAGGTCAACACTGCAGTCAAAGATCTCGCGGTAGCGCCGCGGCATGCAGGCTGGGCGGAGGCCGGGTCGAGCACGTGTCGACGGGTTAGAATATCCGCCGTGGTAAGACGCAGCGACTCGGCGCCAGAAAGTGTGACCTGATCACTTGAGAGGGCCTCTATGCGGAATGCGCCTCTCAATGGAGTCAATAACAGAATGGACACAATGGGAAGATGTTTCGAATTGCTCTCGATGAAGTGGGTGAGGATCGGAATCACCCGAAGACATGGCTCGGTCCAGACAAAGACCTCCATTTCCATCTCAACTACCCGTAAATCTTACGCACCTGCGCGATAGACGTTAACTTCGTGTGCGCGAGATTGCACAGGAATATGAGGTGTAATCGAAGCTAGGCTGCGAGATGGTCCGTTGAGTTTCACGCGAACAGTTGCCATTGCAAGAAGCACTGGTTCCAAGGGTCCAGAGGAGTAAACACAGAAGGACATGGACCTGGACATAAGAGTAACACGATATGAGCATTGAAGCGATAGGACATGGGCATCAAAGTGATATAATATCTGCGGAGCACGCCAGTATCACGCGATTCTGCTGACCACCTACTATACAAACGTCCTCTTTTGGGTATCATGCACCTCTATTTCGCATCGCTCTCCCGTACCAAAAGCAGATCTATCATTGCCGCCAGTATCGATACCGCACAGTCATCACTCGTCGTCCTCAAGGAGGGGCGAATTAAGAGCATAATCCAAGATATCGCTCAGCGACAGTAACCCTTTCAGCTGCCGATGCTCATCTATGACCACAAGACGGTGTACCCGCGATTTTCGGATGGTGTCGAAGATGGTGTCTAGGCGGTCATTCAGGGTGCAGGTGTAGATACCTGGAAAATCCTACTTGGAAGTGAGCGAATGCTTTTGCGAAGGAGAGAGGGTGACGAGCGGTAACGTTACGTACCTCAGACCTCATCGCAAGTGCCTTGCCCACGCTCAGGTTTAGATTGTCGTAATCGCCACCCTTGATTAGGGCGATGACATCCACCGCTTCGAAGACATTGAGCACCGTACCATCCCTGTCCAGGATTGGTACGCTAGAGATACTGCGCTTGACAAGCGTATGTATCACATCCATGACCGGCGTGTCCATATGCGCTGTTGACAGGTTCGAATATGAACCGACGCTAAGTTCTCGTAGCGGCTTTCTGAGCCACTGTGTCTCCTTTACGTTGACTGACACGAACTTGAGGATGCGATATTGCGTGACCACACTGACGACCATCTCCCGCCGGGTCTCATCGTCAACGTCAACGAGCGGTATCCGCCTTGCGCGGGACTCGAGCATGCGTCGGCACGCCTCATACAACGGCTTGTCCGGATGTATCGAAACGGTCTCTATCGGCGTGACGCCAATTGCTCGCTCGATGTCGCGGAGACTGTTGAGTTTGAATTGGTCCACTTGCGCTAAGGCGTCAGGATTCTGCCAGTAATATTGCACGACGTTGAGATAGTCAGATGTGGTAAGCAGGCCTGCGAATGTTGAAGTCTTCGAGTCCCATAGTGGTGCCGACACGATACCTGGTACCGTTAGTGACTTTAACTGTCTCATGCGGCCAAGGGGAATCACCTTGTTGTGAAAGTATGATTAGGCTTTTCTTGACTAGTAATGAGGTGTCGAAAACTATGAGTCTATAGCTCAGAGGCAGCACATCATAACTCGTGCGGACTTTGAGGAAGGCACGAATGGCACGCTACACCGCATACGGCTCGTCAGCCACACACACTCTCTTACCAGCGTGGCGAAGCATCCGCTGCTTCGCTCAACACAGGAAACACTCACCAGCCCATCCCTTTGCTCCCGATCTAAGGGTGTGGTCATCTGTCTCCGCGTCGTGGGTCGTGGGCCAGGATGGCCGCCGGCGCGTGATATCGGACGCAGGTAAGAGGATGGCGCAACAAACTGCGGCGTGGGATGTGTAGTAGCCGCAGACGCGGGCGTAGAAGGGCCGTCTCCGGATGGCAGGATAGACGCGGGCTGAGTGTCTGCTGACTGGGGGGTTTCTGCTGTGGTGCGATCCTTGGAGGTCTTGTGATCGGTCAAGGCTCCGTTAGACGCACTCGCGGGGCTGGGAGCAGGTGCCTGGCTATTTTGACTCGTTCCAGGCCGGCGACCGTCATCATGAGCATGAGCTTGATTCTTTCCGGGCATTACGGACGCCTCTTCCGCTGTCGCATGTGGGTTCGATGCACTCGCGTGCACGGTCTGATTGAGCTGTGTGAGGGGTTCGATGTGGCCATTGGCGTCCATGTGCTTTCCCTTATCAACCGGCATTGCTACGTTCCTGGCCTATGGCCTTGAGGGTATTACATAGAACGCCACCAGAGTGTCCTGTACCCGTCAAAGTCTGTGTGACACCAGTTTAAACGTTGGCAATTAGCGATCGGCAGCATGTGCCTGTGCGAAAGATTTGGCCCGCCCTTCATTCTGGGTGACTTGCAGATTGCGCCCCACAGAGATCCGCCGCGGGGTAAGCGCCAAGCGTGGGGCACAATGCACGTGGAGGCCGTCACAGTCAACAGGCTGAGACATGTGCAGTGGGAGATATAGTAGATGAAGACGGAGTGAGTAAGCTGACTGGCAAAACAATACAAGCTCGTCGTAAACCTCTCCACACGGCTTCATGACCATTCCGTCTTACGCTCATGCCGGCGTGCACTTCATTGACTAGACTCATCTTATGACCATAAGCGCCCCTCTACCGCAGACGAACAGCAGGCTGACGCATAGCAACCGCGCCGTCTCCGTATCACAGCTGCTCTCTGCGTTCATGAGTATGTGCCAATCCAAGAAACTATACCGTCATGCTATGGTTAGCTGCTCGCGGCTTGCGTATGCTCAATCCGCGCTTTATTGTCTTTTCTAGCCTTCTGAACTGCTTCCGCATTGAGCTCTGGACCCGGTTCTTGACTGTGGTCTTCGTCCTGCTCAACCAGATCACTCGGGACGCGGTCGAGCTGCCCACCCGTCTGGTCAAGGTTCTTCTTACTCTCCATCACAATCGCCTCGGCTTCGGTGATGCCACCTTGTTGAGTCGCAGGGTCACCTTCCACGCCGATAGGTTCCACCTTGCGGTCGACTGTCTGCTGTACCGCCTTGCTGTCGAAGCGGACAATCATGCAAGAGAGATTGTCAGTGGAGAAGCGGGCAAGCGCATGCTCGACAAGCGCCTTTGATGCGGCTTGCGGATCTTGGATGTTGCGCACAAGGTCAACTGCTTCCTGATCGGTGCAGACGTCCCAAAGCTACGTTAACGTCAGTACATGCATGTCGTGATTGCGTGATCTTGACTTACGCCGTCGCAAGCCAAGATAAGGAACTCGTCAATGTCCGGTTGTATCACTGTCTCCGTAGTATACGGGTGGCCGGTGACCAAATCCTTCATGTAAGCGTCGCCGAGCGCTCTGGTAACAGCCAGCACACCATTAACGCGGTTGTTCAAAATCAGGCCGCCAGCACCAGCAATTCGTTTGCCTTCGTTCTCATCGCTGCCCTTGTGATCGTACGAAAGCCGCAAAGCCTTGCCATTGCGGCAAAGGACGATGCGCGCGTCACCGACATTGGCAGTATAAAGCACGCGCTGCCGTGACGCCGCCTGGCGTAGCTTGCCCTCAGTCGCATCTAATGCGTCAGCCGCTTCGCCACCTTTCTGCTTCTCAGCGTCGAGCGCAGCAGCTGCAGCTGGTGCGATGGCAGTCGACCCAGTGGCCGACTGCGAGTTCGGTATCCGGTCTTCCCAGCGTAAGACTGCGATCACCGCCGTGCAGCCGCTGTTCTTCAGAGGTAGCTTCTCCAACTGCTGGTCGACCGACGTGAAGGTCATGTCGAGAAGCTCCGGGATAGGGGTGTTTGGATGCTTGCGGATAACCTCTTCCAGCAAGATATGCACCTTCTTACCGCACCAGTCGGCCGCGAAGGTGCCAGCGTGGCCATCAAAGATGGCAAAGTAGCCATTGTCTGTCTCCACAACACCCTGGCTGTTCGTTTCTGACAATGCCGAACCACTCTCGAGCGAGACGCGCTTTTTACTTGATGCATCCAAGCTCAGTGCCGGAGCGGGTGTGCTGAGGAAGTTGTAAAGGTAGGCGTGCGTATCTTCCATGGTTCGACGGCACTTCTTGTTCTTGTCTTCGGTCACGCCGACACGGAAAGTGGAGCGTGGACCAGGCGCCGACTCGCCGGCAGAGTTGTTATGAGAGCCTTGTGGCACATTGAGGGCCGGGTCTGTGCGGCCTAAGCGTTGCATAGGCGTCTGGTTGGCTCTCTCCGCAGACCCACCGCCCGGTGAGTTGCCTAGATTGTGCAGTGACGCCTTTGCATTGCTGAACAGCTCGCGAGCTCTGCCAACACCGCTACTTCTTCGCTTCTTATCCGTGGTCGGCGTCTCGTCGGCAGACTTCCGAGTAGGACTTCGTAAGTCGCCGGATGCGTCCTCGTTGCTCTCCTCCAGCGCGCCGGTTGGGTTGGCGGCAACGGGACTGCTGGGTGAGGCATCCGACTGTGTCCCATCGACCGCAGAGCCTAGGTTTTGCTCCCTGCCATTTCCACTTGAGCTTCCGAACATTCTATTCAGCAGGCCTCCCTGACCCGAGAAGCTTCGTCGCTTGTTCCCGGCCACGCTCGGGCTCTGCTTGGTGTCTACGCCGCTCATAAAGCTCAGCCCGCAAAGTATCCTTTTTCGCGATGAGGTCAGAGTCGTGTACGTGGAGAGGCGGCGGCACGTCGATCCCGCGCAAGCTGATTGGTAGGTGGAGGTGGAAGGAATGCCGGAAACGGAAGGAGCGCGTACTGGAAAGTCGGACCGGCCGCAGCTACGACAACAATGTCAACTGTGTGTCCCTCTGAAAAGCTAAGACTGATATCGTCGTCTCTAGACAACAAAGGCCGTTAGGTTACAGCAAACTCGGGGGTCAAAGCCGCTTACGGAATAGCAATGGGTGGTGTCGCTAGTACAAAGACTCGGGAATGCCAGCGCAGCAAACCGCTGGGAGGCGCGGCGAATTATATGCTTGCGTACGAGAAGCAGACGACCGAATTCCGTGGAGCGGTCGGAAGGCGTGGGTCTGTGGTATGGCAGTGGTCGACGTTGCCGTGTCGAATGAGGTCGATTAGCAAGCGGGCGCCTGTGCCTCTCAGTGCGGGACACTCCAAGGCCGATGGCCCGATGACGCAGAACACGTGCACAATTACCGGAAGAGAGGCGCCGACGAGGGGTCCGCCACCAACTGACTCTCCAAGTGATGTTCGAGGCTGAGACAGCCTTTTCGCACAATAACAAGACTGGCGCAGCTCTTCGGCACTCACAGTCCCGTGCTGTCGTTTCGAATGCGGGGTGCACGACGTCTCGATCATCGGCACCGAGTCAAACCTCCCTTGTTGCTTGGAAATGCTTGGCGGTGTCACTACTGCATCCTCGGTGGACGGTGATATCTAAAAGCTGACTGGCCGGCAGCTTCAACAGCTCGCCCTTTTCATATGACTTCAAGCTACCTGTACAGTAGAGCTAACGGAGAGGTAAACGACAAGCCACTTTCTGACCTTATGAGGAGTTTGCGTTCCTTCCCTATTCAGCGATAACTGCTAGGTCTAAAGCATGCAGCTTCAAGCATTGAGCGCGAAGCTATGGGCTACTTTCGCTACGAACTGGTCCCTGGGCTTCACCGCATTCGGTGGGCCAAATGTCCACTTTCAGATTGTAGGTAGTGGACCTGGTCCTACACTTTCACTTCCGTCGCGCTCGCAGCCCTGACAATGTTCGCCAGTTCCGTAAGAAGTTCGTGGATGATATAGGGTGGATCGATATGCAAGTGGTAAGACATATTACCGACGATCCTTTGAACTACACTAAGACAAACGCTCCGAACAGTACCAGGAACTGTTCGGCATATGTCAAGCCACCCCCGGTCCTGCTTCCACGAAGATGCTTTTCTGCATCAATGCTATCCACTTCAATATCCTTGCCGGTCTCTTCGCGTTCCTGATTTGGTCTCTGCCCGGCGCTCTGGGTATGTACGGCCTCTCGCTGGGGATTGCCAGAGTCGGGGACGTCCTGCCGGAACCGGTGTACGCGCTCTTGACAGGTCTAAACGCAGCAACTGTTGGCATCATCGCGTTGGCCGCTGTGCAGCTGGCGGAGAAGGCTATCACTGACCGCTTGACGAGGCTGATTGTCGTCTTCGGCGGGTGCGCTGGGATCTTGTATACGGCGTTGTGGTACTTCCCAGTATTGCTGTTTCCGGCAGGTTTGGCGACGCTGGTATGGGACTACCGGTGGCCGCAAAGTCTCGGTACTGCTGTCGTTCGACTGGTTCGTCCACGCCAAGTCGATGAACGGGACCAAAGCCGTGATATCGAACTCCAGCACGCCGGAAGTCCAGATGTGCCGGTTGATCCCTCGGGAGGCAAGGCGCGATCGCGTGCATCTGCCCGTGAAGCCTCACAGCCAACGATGTCTAACGAAGCCTCTACGAGCAATGTAGCAACAGCTGTAACGGACGAGCCACGCACAGTCCCAGTAGAAGTGCAGATGAACGTATTTTCCTGGCAGGTCGGTGCCTTGCTCATCGCCTTCTCGCTCGCTCTCTTGGCTACCGTGCTAGTCCTGCGCGGCGTGCTTGATCACCCTCCTCGTGGAATCTCCATCTTCGCCAACCTGTATCTGGCCGGCACCATCATCTTCGGCGGCGGACCCGTCGTCATTCCTCTCCTGCGTGAGTACGTCGTCGCGCAGGGCTGGGTATCCCCTCGAGACTTTCTGCTGGGGCTGGCCATCATCCAAGCATTTCCCGGACCAAATTTCAACTTCGCGGTGTATCTTGGCTCGCTATCCGCACTACATACGCCCTTACCAACCGCAGTCGGAGCATTGGTGGCTTACCTCGGCATCTTCGCTCCGGGTCTGTTGATCTCGGCTGGCTTGATGGGTATCTGGACGAGACTGCGCTCGCAGAGATGGCTGAAATCTTTCCTGCGTGGCGTCAATGCGCTGGCTGTTGGACTGGTCTTCACAGCGGTGTACAAGTTGTGGCAGATTGGGTACATAGATGCGGAGCACAGTGTAGGCCAACCACTTGGTACCGATGCATGGTGGGTGGTGGTGACTGCGACTAGCTTTACAGGGAGCCGGTGGTTTGGTCTCAATGTTGCCGCTGCGATCTTGCTTGGTGGCGTTATGGGCTTGGTATGGTACGGCGTGAGGCAGGCATGAGTAAAAGCCTACAGTGTCGCACTGCGCGACCTCATTGAATATGCCAAGAGCTTATGCCGGTACTGTGTCGTGCTGTCAGCAAACGCGATGCATCAAGACCAGAGTCTGTTGTCGATTGTGGGATGTTAGTACTTACATTGTGGGAACGGTGTCAGAATTGGTGTAAAGGGCTTGGGCCTCGATACAATATTGTTATACGGGCAAGCCCGTTGGGTTTCAGAATAACTACCAACACCTTGGTCTTGATACGGAGATCGGTCTGGCGGCAAGCCCATAGACTGTGTAGTGAGTAAGAAGACGAGACGCAAGGGCCAACGTCAAAACAGGATGTGCGCCTGAGCAGGAGCTCTCCTGTTGAAGATCTTCTTAAAGTGTATAATGAATTCGAAGCCACTTGGCAATGAGAGACCGTGGCGAAGTTACTCGACCGCTATACCAGGAGCGACGACGCTGAGTGTTCATGTTCCTCGTATTTTGTTGTTTGGTTTATTTTACATCCAAAGTGTAGCAGGGGGTGCCCAATATGCTGGGAAGTGAAGGTGACGGCATGCTGAGACGCAAGTTACTCCGGTTCGTAAATGGCGATATTGATGAGGATGGCGGTTCACTTGATTGGCCCATTCACTGGTCAATGATTAGTATGAGGAGGGGATTCGTCCACCGCTCTGGTAGCTCACTGTGTTGCCTAACGCTCGTAAGTGCCTGTATATATTTTGAGCGTTCACCCGAGCGTGCGCCGACCTTGAGTGGGTCTACTTCTTTGCTATGTGTGTTGCTACAATCCGGCAAAAGATAGAGCTACCAGAATCTTCGCACTGGGTGTCGGGTATCGAGATGTACTCACATTGTGTAATGCCCTGCATTGAGTGATGTGTACTCTAAAGACATCCCTACGGAAACGATTGCCGGCCGCTGTTGAAGTCTCTGAGCACACCACACATTGCTGGTCATTGACTTCCAGGTTGGTCGCTGGTCATTGAATTATGATTGTAAAGACACCACTACGTCATGAGTATCATTGATTCTGGTAATTGAAGGCTCACACGAGGTAAGCCGGATCCTGGTCATTGGTCGCGGGTGGGTTGGGTTCGATTGAACAACATACCAGAGGTAGTGTCGTTGTGTCTTTTATGTGCTTTGGGTTTGATTACATCCAGTGCTGTACAATCAGTGGATGCCCCTTCGTTTGAGGGGTGGAGGTGTCGGTCTTGGGTGACTACGCACTTCAAGATTACTCCGGTTGCTGTTCACTCATCAGTCAAGATCTCAAATTTGCTGTGCGAAGATTCTGGTAGCTCTTTCTGCTCACGCTCATTCGATCTTTGTAATAGCATTAATACAACGGCCGAAGTTGTGCCGAAGGCTGCAGCTTACTTACTCAGAGCCGACGATGTAAGTCGCGTTGGGCGGCGATATGGTTAGAACCTTGACGACGAGGATCTACCAGAGAAGAGGCGAAGAAGGGAGGATCGACCTTACAACAGGAGAGCTCGATATGGCATAGCGTAATTCGTCATCTTCGTAAACTATCAAGCCGGGCTTGCAAGTCATCGTCCCCAGGATCCCCACCGCCGATTGCTTGTGCAACCTTGCCGTCTGCCACAGCACTGCTTTGCAAACCTTGCGGTGTCTCACCGAGCTAGCATTTGCATTAGTGACTAGGTTTGTGTGGTGTGGCATCGCGCTAAAACTTACTGATTGCCCCAGATCCACGCCTATCTCATCCAGCACCTTGTTCACGACCTCCTCGCCTTCCTCCTCATCTTCTAACCCCGTGACATCGTCAATAGCATCGTCCATCATCTCCTGCCGCTGGTCCATGATGTCGTTTTCCTTCTCAAATTCCATCGCTATGCGCTGCAGAGCCGGGAGGTTCATCTGCCGGTTCATGCTGCCTAGTAGCTGTGTTGCACCTTTCATGCTCTGCATCATCTGCTCATTACTTCGTACTGTCTACAGATCTTGTTAGACATATGCCGCTTATAATAACACCAACGGTACGAGGCGCACCTGTATTCGCAGACTGATCGCCTGCAACTGTGTCCGCATTTGGTAGAACTTCTGAATATACCGCCTTGTGCGCACCAAGTCCTTCGCCTGCACCTTGACAGCGCCCATCTGGCCATTCTTTGCATTCTTTTTGATATCCTGCACGAGCTTCTTTTCCTGGTTCTCGAGCTTTGTCCGTTCGCGATCAAGCTCACGCTGTGTCTTTTCCAGTGCGCGCTGATGCTTGCGCAGACGCTCTGCCGGCGTCATACGCTTGCCGAAAGCCCATTCTATGATCTGAGAAGGCAATGGTAAGTGGCACGTGAGTGTAGCAGCGGAGTGGACAGCGTACATTCATCGCAACCGGCGAGCGTCGCGCTCGGGCAACGGAACGGAGTTGGAATGCGGATGGCCCACTAGCAACGCAGAGACGACAGTCAGCACCTGGCACTTATACCGAGGAAGCACACTGCTGCCTGCGTTGAAAATGTCGCCTTCTGTGTAGCGTCTGCCTTTGTGAAGTGCACGTGGTTTGCGGGTCGTTGATCGAGCTGACCAGCCACATGGCACGCTTGCAGTACATGTAGTGAGGAGCTGACTCCGGCCCAACAGTGGCAGCTCCGTTTAGCCAACCGTGGTCTCCGCCACCGCCAAAACCTTCCTTCTTTTTGTAGATTGCCGTCAAGTGCATATCAACTTGCAACTTCCTACGCCACCTACGAATACAATATCTTGTTCTCACGATGAGGTGAGGAATCAAGACAAGACAAGACAGATGGCGTCCAGCAACCCTTTCGGCAATGGTCCTGCCACGCCCGGCAGCAGTCGCTCCTACTCCGGCGATCGGCGCGGTGTTGCCAGACCACAGTACATGACTGTCGGCGGTGGGTCGCTGTCGGAGAGTGCGGGTCGATTACAGGCGATGCTGGACCAGGACTCTGGGTATGGAGGGAGCATAGCGAGCGATGACGTGGCGGAGAATGTGTGGCACCCTGGCCCAGCGGAAGACCGATATACGCCAGATCACACCCCCGTGAAGCCAGGGGAGCACAATGCGGCATCAGAGCATGAGCGGAGCGCCATGGCGAGTCATGTCGCGCAGCTCTTCTATAACCAGAACAGGACGGCGTTGGGTCGCGCAATCAACCAGACGGTGGAGACACTGCGAAAGCTGCAGGAGATGAACGCCAAATGGCCGGCGCATTACCCTACCGTGCAAAGACCGCCATCGCCACCGCCGCCGCAACGACCTGACATCCGACCTGGACTACCTCACACGCAGTCTACGACTGACAATCACCGGGAGCTTGATCGGGCTCCGGCACGACCGCAACCACCCAGACGAGCAGGCACTTCACTTGGCGAGCATCAATCCGCGGAATCGAGCAGCGCTGCCCAGGCAAAAGCACCCGAGGCTGCGCCGCGACTCGTCACGCCGCAGCTGGCGCAGGACTTTTCCGTGTTGAAGATCGAGCTGAAGATGGATGGCTTGCCGCAGAGTGAGATCGTGCATTCGCTTGAAAAGCAATCTGTGGCGTCATTGCTCGACAACCAAATCAACAACAGCATCCGACATCTCTTCTCATTACGGGAGCGTATCGAAGATACGTCGAGTAAGGTCCTTGTTACCGGAGACCTCAACGCTGGCAAGTCGACCTTCTGCAATGCTCTGCTGCGCCGGAAAGTCCTTCCTGAAGATCAACAACCCTGCACTGCAATCTTCTGCGAAGTCCTAGACGTCCGAGAGAACGGCGGCGTGGAAGAAGTACACGCGATACCTCACGGCTTCGTTTACAGTAGGAACGATGAAAGCACGTATCACGTTTATGAGCTCAAGCAGCTCGAGCAGATCGTGATCGACAGCGACCGTTACTCGCAATGCAAGATCTACATCAAAGACATTCGCACTGTCGACCAATCTTTACTCAATAATGGCGTGGTCGACATCGCACTTATTGACGCTCCCGGACTGAACAACGACTCGCTGAAAACTACTGCAGTCTTCGCACGGCAGGAAGAGATTGACGTTGTCGTGTTCGTTGTGTCAGCCGCGAACCACTTCACGCTGTCCGCCAAGGAATTCATCTTCAATGCAGCGCGGGAGAAGGCGTACATGTTCATGGTTGTCAACGGCTACGACAATATTCGAGACAAGAAACGTTGTCAGGAGATGATCTTGAAGCAGATTGCTCATCTCAGCCCGGCAACGTTCAAGGAGTCCTCCGAGCTTGTGCATTTCGTATCAAGCAACGCCATCCCCGTCAAACCTGCTGGGGCCGACGGACCGGGCGGTGATTTTGGCGGTAGCGGCAGCGGATCAGGTGGCGTGTCATCTGACAATGGTGACGGCAGGCCTGACAAACATCCAGAGAATGACGATGAGCTTACCGGCAAGCATGGTGAGCCCGGATCGCCACCGAAGAAGAAGAAGGGCAAGGGCAAGGAGAAGGAAGCCATTGATGACTTCAACGAGCTAGAAGCGTCGCTTCGACGATTCGTGCTCGAGAAGCGCGCTCGGTCAAAGCTCGCTCCAGCGAAGACTTACTTGCTGAATGTACTCGGAGACTTGACAACGCTAGCGAGCGTCAACAAAGACGTAGCCCAGAACGAGCTGGATCGTGTCACAGAACAGCTGAAGCAGCTCGAGCCGGTGTTCGAGAAGTCGAAAAAAGCGCGCACCGAAGCTGATGACGAAGTGGCGCGCAACATTGAAGAAACGTCGGGCGAAGTCTACTCGCTCACGCGCAATACGCTTAACACCTCAATCTCGCGTGTCGCAGAGAGCGATCTTGGCGTATCATACCCGGGTATGTTCAGCGCATACGGCTATGCCGATGAGCTGAAAGCTGCAATGCTGAACCAAGTCACCGAGACGGTCCACTGGTGCGAAGAACGAGCACGCGAGAAGACTGTCCAGGGTGTTTCCGCAATCAAAAGCCTCGGTCTGCTGCATCTGGGTGATCGATATGTGGACCTCACGTTCCGTTCGGATAGAATGTTCAGAAGCCGCCGGGACGCACTTGCGAGACAAGTCGATTTCGAAACCGAGGTTTGGGACTTCTTCGATCTTGCAAATCTGTGGGAGCGTCAGGAGAAGGTGGCCGGGACCAGCATGGCCGTGACTGTTGCCGGCGTGATTGGCGGCAGAATGCTCGGTGGTGTAGGCTGGCTGGACGGCGCTCTCACCGCCACCAAGATCGTTGGCACGAATAACGCACGCCGACTCATCGTACCAGGTCTCATCCTTGCGGCTGGTCTCGGCGCCTTCTACGTCGTCTCTCAGATCCCGAAGTCGCTGCCCCGGCGCCTGAGTGCCAAGCTCAGCGCACAGTTGGCGCAGCTTGACTACACACATGCGAATGCGCAGCGCATCAGTGCGGAGGTGCGGAGAGCGCTGCAATATCCTGCCAACAAGTTGACGGAGGGTCTGCAGAAAAACATGGAGAAGCTGCAGGAGCAGAAAAGGGAGACGGTTAAGGTGCAGACGGAGAGTGAGGTGGCGAGGAAGTACTTTGGCAACTTAATGAGGGAGAGCCAAGATGTTAGAGGGCGGGTGCAGAGGGTGGACCTTGAGGGCCCTGCACCTGGGATGGCCGCGTTGGCATGAGTGTAGTATTGGCGTGACATGCGGTATGGCGTTACGGGAAAGGGGAACTACCTCAAGCATGTGCAAGCGGGCAAGCGGGTGACGTGCTGCGATTGCTTGGCTGTTATTGAGATACACCTCTCTCCAATTTTATGCCTCTCCTTCATCTATAGCATCTCCGCAATGTTTTAACCATCTATGTCCACTGAGAATGGCCAGATTGCAGTCACCATTAGCATGAGCTCTCTCACGCCGGAATTGGCTTGACGTCAGTGGCACGACGCTTGAGCCTCGCACAATGCATGAGTGTATAGGCCTTGCTTTCTGCATAACCAAGCATGTAATAACATACTGCGCGTTGAGCGTCGTCTGCTCAACCGCCGTCTGCCACCAGCATCAATATGCGCCATGAAGAAGACGCTTCTGCTTGTATTCATTCACGGCTTCAAAGGCAGTGACCACACCTTCAACAACTTCCCGCAGGATTTACGGGCGCTTCTTTCCAACGCCTTGCCGAAGATCGAGATTCTGAGCGTCCAATACCCTCAGTTTGAGACCCGAGGCGATCTCAATCAATGCGTTGCGAAATTCAAAGAATGGTTGCAGGACAAAGTCATTGACTTAGAGGTCGCCAACGGGACACCTTCGCCGACGGTAGATCCAAGCGTGCACGTAGTACTATGCGGGCACTCTATGGGCGGCATTGTGGCCGCGGAGACACTGCTGAGCGTTGCAAAGGATGAGCCGCTACCTTCGCAAAGCTGGGCGAATGACACAACCAACACTACGACGGCAGACGGCGCGAGGCCGGTCACGCTACCACTCGAAGACCCCATTGAGAGAGCATCATCTGCACCACCCGTGGAGTCAAGCAGACTATTCTTCCCGTATATCCGCGCTGTATTGGCGTTTGATACTCCATACCTTGGCATCAGCCCCGGCGTGCTTGCGCACGGCGCAGAGGAGCACATCAACCAGGCTTCCGCCGCATACAAGGCATTTGATACCGCCAGTCAGTTCTTCGGCTGGGGCTCACCGGGTGGGTCTTCAGCGCGACCGATCCCGAACGCGTCTGCCAAAGCTCTTCCAGCGGCTGACGGCTCGACCACCGCATGGGGAACCTGGGGCAAGTACGCGATGTATGGCGGCGCCATAGCTGCGGTCGCAGGTGCCGCTGGAGCAGCGTACCTCAACTACAATCAGATTCAGGAAGGACTCTTGTGGGCAGGCAGTCATCTGGAGTTTGTCGGCTGTCTTGCACGCGGAGCAGAGCTACAGAAGCGAGTCGAGAGCGTGGTCGCGCTTACGAAGACGCACGGTATCGGCTTCGCCAACTTCTACGGGGCGCTTGATGAGAAAATCTCGAGCAAGACGCAATATGCCGGCGCTGTACTTGGTCAAGACCGGACCTTTTGCGTCGTACCGAAGGCTGCCCGGAAGCAGGACCCTGCGGCTGGCAGTAAGCGCAATGCGCCGTCCGGTGACCGACCGCCGCCGAAGAGACGGCGGACGAAGGACGAAGCGGCAATGGCACAGGAGATGAAGGGTGGGGAGAAGGTGCATCGGTATGTCGAAGATACGAGCCGAAGTAAGGGCGCGTGGGTCAAGTGTGTCAACTCGGTGGCGAGCGACGAGCTGAAAGCGCATACGAGTATGTTTGCGCCGCAGTGGAATCGCGACTACCACGCCATGCTGCCGCGGGCTAGAGATCAAATCGCTGCTTGGGTTGACAACGAGTGGTACGAGAGCTCAATGCCCGCGGAAGGGCAGGCGGCAGGACTTGGTGCTACAGAGGTATAACAGGTGTCAAGATACACTGTTTCAAGGTGTCCTACAATCATGTCATAAGTACTAAGATGCATCCACTGCTTCCCTCTATCTACGTATAGGACGTAAAGTCACGTGCAAGTGATCGCCCGCGCTTACAGCGGTGTCCGATTCGGCAGGTCTGTTATCTCCGCGAGAATCTACTGCAACATTGCAACACCAACGCAACTAGCTCCACCATACTCTCGCCTATCTGCACCCAGTGATCTCGCCTTATGCACTCTATTACGCAAGACGTGGCTTGCAGTATAGGTTAGTGACCGCATCTAATACGTGACACTACTCCATCGGCGCATATCGCGCACATGCTCCTCCTCCACCGTCTCCAGGTCCCGCTATGACACCGCCGTAGGCGCTTACTGCTTGATCTTAATTACTTCGCATATCTCCTTGTTCTTTGTTGTGATCCCCTCTCCTTTACTGCAAGGAAGTAACAAGACACGACTTGAGTCCTCCTTCGCGTGCCTCCGCTAGCCCAGCTGCATGGCTACCACATGCGAGCACAGGCGAAGACAGCTACGCTGCCAACGCAGAAGATCCTGACACTCTGGGGCAGCGTGAGCTAGACCTGCTGAGCTCCTTCGCTTCGCTTCCCTCAAGTCGGCACGTGGCTAGGAAGCACGCGGCCACGCGCTTACTGTATCTCACCCAGCAGCGCAGGTTGTCTCACGAGGTGGTACGGCAGCGGTACAGGAACTCTCGGGGAGCACGGTGGCTTTGTAACGGTCAGCGAATATGCAATGGCTCACATCGATCGCCCTTGAACCGGCATTGCCTGCTCACTGCGAGCCCACTACCGACTTTCTGCTTCGCTTCAGCAGTGCTTTTCACACTTGCGTGCCTACACCGCTTGCCTTCGCCTCGAACACTTTGGGTGCACTCAGCATCGTAGCATGGTTGTTCGCTCAATTACCGCAAATTTATAAGAATTGGAGTATCGCGAGCACATCGGGACTGTCCTTCTCGTTCCTTCTGGAGTGGTACTTGGGAGATGTGAGCAACCTCCTTGGTGCATTGTTTACGCACCAGGCGAACTGGCAGGTCGCAATAGGGGCATACTATGTCTTCGTGGATTCATGCTTGCTAGCGCAGTGGGTTTGGTATGAGAAGCTACAGCATGGGAGCATTGTGCGGAGAGCATGGCCGAAGCCAGGATACAATGTAGATGGCAGACGAGATGGCGGTATGGAGGAAGTAATCATTGAGGGTATGCCTGTTGATGCGGAGGCAGGTGATGCTGCCAACCGCCCTGATGCTGGTTTAATGCAAGCGACGGCAAAGCAGCCGACAAGGCCACAGATAATCTTCAGAGCACCGACCTTCCGGGAGGAGCGTAGCGCGAGCCCCGAGAAAGGCATGTCGAGTCACGCTCTAACACCTGGCGGTACGACCATACACCGCATTGGAGCATCGTCGCCATTGCCGTCGCCATCTCCAAGGACGGTTCTATTGCTCGCCTGCCTCATGGCTCTAGCCCAGGCGCACTCTCCGACTCAGATTGCACAAGTCTTCGATGCTCACCATGCCAGCCGGCAGGCGGGCCTTGAGACTGCTGGAACGGTCTTGTCGTGGCTGTCGACCGCGCTGTACTTGGGCTCACGTTTTCCACAGCTGATCAAGAACTGGCGGCGGAAGTCTACGGCTGGTCTAAGTCCACATCTGTTCATAGCGGCATTTTGCGGCAACCTCTTATACTCTACCGCTCTCACGACCAACCCATGCGCATGGTACGATTTCGGAGCGTATGGCGGAGGTGGCTGGGTGGGTGCAGAAGGCAGCCGGAGGGCTCAGTGGGTGTTAGCAGCTCTACCCTTCTTTCTCGGCGCAGCGGGAGTTCTTGGACTGGATGCATGCGTTGGCATTCAATTCGTGCTGTATGGTGATGATGCAAAGGTTGTTGTTATCGAGGAAGATCGGTGGCATAGGCGGCATTGGAGAAAGGTGAGTGGGTGGATGCGCGGTTGGGTGCCGAGCATAAGCGAAGGCAAGGGCAATGAGCGTGATGCGTTGATCGTTCACGATGATGTACATAGCAACGGTTACGGGACAGCCGCATGAACATCCTAGATGAGAGCTGCGAGACAGACTTGTCCACCTGCGAGGCTTGCACATGCTTCACACAAGAATACAGCTTGGAACGTCTGCAATTGCAAAAAGATTCAAGAGCTACCAGACGTTCACGAGGTGAGGAAGAGACACTTACCCCTGATAGTCATACCGCGGTCGAGGAAAGACGTCTCTTGTCCACGACCATGTTCTTCGTATATAAGGTCCTACTTCCACACCAGCTTTGGCTGAAGCATGTACTGAGAGCCTTTGTGTTCTGCCAGGTGTCCCTCGTTTTCCGAGCACTGGTCGTTCCTTCGTATATTCTCGCCACTTGCGTGCTGCAGCACGTTCGGGGACTTCGGTTGTGCTCAGGTTTTAAGCTGAGCGTTGGATCTTTTATGTGAGGTTGACGTTCAGCTTGCCATTAGGTGAACGCACGCTGCAAAGCGCTGGGGAGGTGTCAGCATGTCAAGGTGCGCAGATCCGGGCGCTCCAAGCATTCTTGGCCATGTTACTCCGGTTGAGCGGTCGACACGACTGGTTACCTCATTAGCAAACACCGGCGAGAATTTGTGGACTTCTGGTAGCTCTTATCACACCACTGTAGTCATTTTCATGCTATACATAGTTGCTACCTGTTGCCGAAGTCATGCCGAGTTTCTTGCTTTCTCGTTTGGTGCGGTTACTCCGAGAACTACTGGAAATGCTGCGCAGGTGTGGTGTTGGGAAGAAGGAATGAATAATCCGTGGGCGAAGAGGAGATAGTATACAAGGCTGCACCTTTGGAGAGGGTCGCCGGAGACGTATATGCTACACGAGATGCAGGCCAAAGCTTATATCGCAGGCTTTGCAGCCGTCTGTCCACTCCCTGTGCCTTGAGTCAAGAGCTGAGCAAGTCATGGTCAGCATAATTGATCCACACGTGGTTAATCGAACAGAAACATGTCTTACCTCGTTGGCACTCTGCTGCATTCTCATCTCACGCTCCATCTCCTGCACCTGCTGCTCCTCGCTAAAAGCCAGCGCCCACGGCACGCCGAGCAACAGTGCACTTGTGCTCACTACCCACAACGTCTTGCCACCTAGGCTTGCAGCTTTCGATGCCCACGAGTAGCCCGTTGATGCTGCATTCGACATGCTTTTGCGGTATGTTGGCGGCACAATATCTTTCAGCGCCACAACGCGGTCGAAGAATGACTCGTTCAAGGTGTCGTCGTCCTCGATTTCGGACACTTCGTCTTCTGCGTGCCGTCTATATCAGCAGACCGCTACATATAGCGCGACATAGAGTATGCTGCTCACCCTCGTCCGTATCCCATTCATCGTCGTCCTCTTTCGGGCCGGGCTGAGGTGCGTTGAGCTCATCATCGGGTACTTCTTCGAGCTTGACCATCTTCACGATTCCTTTCGGCGCAGAGAGTGTGATTTAAGAGATGTGATCGCACGTTCCGGAGAGTGAGGGTTGCAAAGGTGTGAAGCCGCCCGGGAGAGCTTCGACCACATCGCCCAGGGTCACGCGAGTCATGCCCAAATTGGGCCTTCGTTTGGGATATTGCCTACGTTGAGATACATCTTCACCACGCACACGGCATATACGCAACTTATCCCTGCGGGCAAAGAACATGCCTCACAAGCATACGCGGAAGCGCAAAGCGGAGAGTGACACCGATTTCAACCTCGCGCCCAACAGCGTTGCGAAGCCATTACCAGCCTTCTCGAGCGAACTTAGACAGCCGCGCAAACCGGACGAACCCAAGCGGCAGACGCTCAAGCGCAAGCGACCGGGCAGCTCAGATTACAAGCACGATGATACGCCACGCGCCTTTGCGCGGATGATGCAGTGGCAGAATGGTGTCAAGCACGCATCTGACCTTGACGATGGAAAAGGCAAGAAGAAACGGAAGCTGGGCGAAAAACCAACTGTAGCTACTACATCTGAGCCTGCGCCGGAGAAGCTTGAGTTGCCGAAAATACTGCCAGGCGAGCGACTAGCAGATTACAACGCCCGTGTAGATCAAGCACTTCCCGTTGGTGGTCTGGCGCGTAAAGGCAAAGGGCCGAAGATTGACGGCCTCAAGGAGCGGCAAACGAGGACTGAAAAGCGGTTGCACAAGATGTACGCAGCGTGGCGAGAGGAGGACGTGAGGCTAAAGGAAAAGAAGGAGGAACAGCTCGAAGCGGAGGAGGAGGCGGAAGATGAACGGCGGGCTTTGTATGGCGAGGACTACAATACGTCAGAATTGCGGAAAGGTAAACGGCGGAAAGTCATGGGCGAGAATACGGAAGTGAAAGATGAAGATCCGTGGGCGATATTGAAGGAGCGAAGAGAGCGTCCGCGAGGGCTGCACGATGTGGTTCAAGCGCCACCGAATTTGAAGGTCGTTCCGAAGGAGAAGTTCAAGGTTCGGAATAATGCTAAGGTAGATGTGACGAATGTACCATCTGCAGCCGGCAGTCTGAAACGACGGGAGGAGCTCAGTGAGGCAAGACGAGATGTCATTGCGCGCTATCGAGCTATGATGAAGGGCGAGAGTGGGCTATGAATACAATATCAACACGTGGACCTGCAAACCTGTTGCGCCCCTCAACCAATGAGCTGAAGATGAGCACCAAAGGCATGTTCAGTGACGCGCCTTTCCAGGACGATCTGCCTGCGAGTTAGCTGATGTCCTGTAACGTGGTGTATCTGGAGTGAATGTGGATCAAGCCTTGCGGGATTCACTAAAAGTTGGCAGGACGCTTAGTTGGCAGAAACTTGTCACATGCTGTGACGTCGCCAAGCTTGCCAAAGCTTATATTCGAGCAGCAACATATAGCTCGACCAGTTCACGGAAACTTCTCTCTTGAACAAGCATCTCAAGTTCACAACTCTACCACTCCCTTGAGCGGCACAATCGGAGCCAACTACATATCATCAATTCAAGCACAAAATGTCTGGCCTCATGGATAAAGCCAAGGACTTCGCGTCCCAGAAACTTGATCAGAAATCGCAGCCCGGGAACGACGTAGAACGCAAGGCTGACGACTCCGCCAACCAAGGTAGATTGCAAATCTTCTCTCCCCACCCAGTGTTGCTTGGTTTGGCAAATCTAACGTCTAGCAGAGATCAACAAGGTTGCCGGGGACGCTGGCGTGCCGCAACAGGACGATAAGATGCTCGATCAAGGCGCCGACGCAAAGATCAACAAGGACGTCCCGTTCGGCAACAATTAGCATAGCGGGATGCTATTAAATGTCGAGCAACACGGGTACTTTGACCGTCGCGTCTAACAAGCAGGAGTGGCAAGGTAGAGGGCAACCAGATATGATCATGTAATCTAACCGACCATCGAGTCTACCCAATCTATCTTCTGTTCATTGCCGGTAAGTTTATGACCTCGTCCAGCCATCTTCGGGGAAACCCTGTAACACGCAATCACTGCTGCATGGGGAACCCAATCCCGAGCAACAGCGCCGGCTCATCTATGCTACTGTGCTGGTAGCTCAGTATACCGACACCGCCCGGTTCCATCATCAGGCTTAACGGGAACGATAAATCGTAGCCTAGCCACCGCTTGGCAAACGCTCGTGTTAGATGGCCGTGGGCAACAAGCACGACGTCCTTAGGCTGGCCGGAAGTTTTCATGAGCGGTCCTTGCAGGTCTCGGATCTGCGAGATCAGTTCGTCGATACGTGCAGCCACCTGAGTGGGTGACTCGCCGCCTTCGCAACCATCGCGCCAGATGTCCCATTTACGGTCCTTGTCGAGTCCGCGGTCGTGACGCTTCGCTTGGATCTCGTGCGTCTTGATGCCTTCGTAATCCCTAATCGCTGCCGCTTAGCAAATCCGATCTTGAGGTTCGAGATAGATCACAGCAAGTACCCATAGTCCCACTCCGCTAAACACTCTGTGACTTCGTACCCTTCCCTAGTGCCTGCGAGGAGTTGGTAGGTAGTGATGGCACGCTTCCGAGGCGAGACCCAGACTTTGGCGACTTTCGCAGGATCTATGAGTTTGCCATTCCCGTACACAATCCGGCCAGAGGCTTTGATCTGGTCTTCGCCGTGGGGAGTAAGAGGGATGTCGGCTTTGCCCGTGTACTGGCCGGACTTGCTCCATTCGGTCTCGCCATGACGGATCAAGAAGACACGCGGAGTCTGTGCATCTTTGTCTGGCATTTCGCAGATAGCTACAGGCTCAAGGGAAACAGTACAGTACCAGTTGAGTAGAAAGCGAAAACAATTTGGTTGGGGCGAACCCAATGGCTAGCGCCCAATGCTGACCACCAACCCACAATCACATATATGACACATTATAGTGCAGATATTGCACTGCCAAGAGCTGACAGTCACCGGTCACATCGCACAATTGTGTTACACTTAGTGTATAGATGGATTACGAAAGTGCTAACAATGAAGAACTGAGGGTAGACAGCGCTTGGCACCGAGCGAGCCGAGTCAGCTTACACAATGGCAAGACCACGGTGCGACAGAGAAGGAGACCGTGCAGTCACAGCATGCGACATGAGGCGGAAAGAGACTTGATAATATGGTTGTGGCCGCACCGCTTCAATGTTTGAAAACAAGCTACCCAAGACCCAAGCGCAGAGACCGACTGCTCATCCACAAGCCCAGCCAGCCTTCGCACTAATTAGACTGCGAATTCCGCCCTGCGTCTATAGTGGAGATCAAAAAAAATAACCGAAAGCCCAATCAATCAAAGCCCGATCAAGTCGGGCATGCCGCGCGAATGTTGCTGGAGTCAAAGATCAACGTGCAGCAGAAGAGGCCACGTTCAGCATCTACTGCTCGTTGTTCTGGACGGTGCAGCCAACGTAGTCGATGGCTTGGAGGGTGCAGCCGACGTAGTCGATGGCCTGGAGAGTGCAGCCGACGTAGTCGATGGCCTGGAGAGTGCAGCCAACATAATCGACGGCCTGGAGGGTGCAGCCAACGTAATCGATGGCCTGGAGAGTGCAGCCAACGTAGTCAATCGCCATTGTGTATGATGGAAGAGCTTGGGGAAGCCTGAATGCCTGTCAGCGCTGTCTTCGATGGGAGGGGTAAGTTGTAGCGTACTTAACGAGTGTAGATAGCTGGCGTACTGAAGGCTGAGACTTGGTCTTCGATGGTGAAGGAGAAGTGTGGTTGTGATAGTGGTTGATGAAGCTTTTGTATGCTAAGGCAAAGCGTTCGTTGTTAGATTCTTAATGGAAGGAGAAAGAGAGCATGGAAATTGCAAATGTCAGAAATTGTATAGGTCTGGATCGTTGAGCTTGACACCTTAGTATTGTTCCTGATTTTCGCATGCATCATGGCAGATGTTAAGCCTTTGTGATAGACTTTAGTATTGTTCGGTTTTGACAAAGGGAACAGTGAGCCGTGAGGATTTCCTAGAAGACAAGGTAGCGAGGTGCAAATGCGAGGCGGCATTGGCAAGGCGAAGCTCTGGAGTTTTGTGTCTGTCGGAATAATATGCGAGCGACTAACAAGGTCTGATGCGGAGAGAAGTGAGGAACCAGCACAGCAGGCTTCGGAAGGGGATAGACGGGTTGTCAGGTTGGCATCATGGCATCCTCCTACACTGAGCCTCATGAATTTTTCTACTCCTCGTAATCCTCGAGCTCATGTCATTCATGTTTGTTTCGAGGCTTAGCCAAGCGGTCAATGTTCATGCTGACACTGTCACGGTCACAGGCCATTGGCATCGCTATGCCGTGCCCACATCTCGTGCATGGAGATGAGAGGAGTCGGTGGCTCCTCGAACTGATCTGGTGTGAACCGTCAAGGTCTAGATCAACAATGATCTCTGGCAGTACTGACTTGAAGTAGCAGTTGGGTTTCCATGATATTGTTCTTGGCTTCGTGAGGTTTAGCGTTTGAAGCACGTGACTGGAAGCCGTTACTCTTGGCACTCCCTCACGCCCGGCATTGAGCCGCGAATCAGTATGCGCCTCTACACTCACTGTACTTCTAACTTTACTGAAGCCTACCCGAGCTTGGAGGTGTTACCTTTTGTTACAATAACTACCCGCAATGGGTAAAGGCGAGTCGCTCGATCGTCCCGACGTCGTAATAGTGGGCTGACGGCTTTATAGGCACAGATAAGCTGTACGTATGTTTCCTGTCGTAGGTCTTCCTCACGAAGCGGACGGAACCCTAATGGTGGGCTTCAGATCACGCATTCGGAGTGGTCGAGCGAGGATGCCTTTGGTCCGGCTGCTGGCGCCAATGCCCGCAAGACCAACGGATCCGGAGCGAGCTTCAAGCGACTACCTTTCAACTTCTGCGCCGTCTCGCTACAACCCTTCGAGCATCCAGTCTGTACCGCGGATGGCACAACGTTCGATTTGACCAACATTCTTCCCTGGATCAAGAAGCATGGCACGAATCCAGTCAATGGTCAGCCGCTTAAGAGTAGCGACTTAATCAAGCTTAACTTCGCCAAGAACGATGTCGGCGAGTACGTCGACCCGGTTACCTTCAAAGTTTTCACGGACAACACGCATATTGTTGCAGTGAGGACATCCGGCAACGTTTTCGCAAACGAGACCGTAGAGAGGCTGAACGTCAAAGCTAAGAACTGGAAGGATCTGGTGAGTGATGAGGAGTTTAAGCGCAGCGATCTCATTACATTGCAGGATCCGCAGAACATTGAATCCAGAGATCTGAGCAAATTCAAGTATCTGCAGGATGGGACCAGCACACTTACACCCGAACAAGAAGCTGAGCGAGCCGCTGGCATCAAGACGGATAATCTTGGAAGTGCGGCGAAGATCTTGAAGGCAAAAGAAGCGGTTGCCAAGCGCAGAGAAGAGCGCGAAAGAGCTGCCAACCAGAATGGAGACGGCAGTGTTGAGGCTCAGGCTCTTGTCAATGCAAGGAAAGCACATGCCGAAGCCGTGAAGTCATCGCGCTCAGCAAAGTCGGCGCCTTACAATGCTGCGCAACATACCACAGGTGCCGCTGCTGCGTCCTTCACTTCCACCGGCTTAACTCCATCTACGTCTACAGAGCGCGCAATTCTGAGTGATGAAGAGTTCATGCTGAAACCCAAGCGCGTTAAGCAGAAAGGGTACGCTCGCATGTCTACTTCCCATGGTGATATCAACATTGAGCTGTACCCGGAGTATGCACCAAAGGCCGTCTGGAACTTCATACAGCTTGCCAAAAGCGGCTACTACAATGGCATTCGCTTCCATCGGAACATCAAGAATTTCATGATACAAGGTGGCGACCCGACAGGCACCGGGAAAGGTGGTCAGAGCTACTGGGGAAAGAGTTTCGCTGACGAGTTTGACGGACCGCTTACGCACGATAGCCGAGGCGTGATGTCTATGGCAAACAAAGGTAAGGACACGAATACGTCGCAGTTTTTCATTCTGTATCGGCCAGCGGCGCACCTAAACCGGAAGCATACCATCTTCGGCCGGGTTATTGACGGACTAGACTCAACACTGAAGCGGTTGGAAGCGGTTGAAGTCGACAGCGCGAACCGCCCACTGGAGAATTGCACGATCGAGGATGTAGTGGTGTACGTGGATCCGTTCGAAGAGTTCTTGAAGCAGAGGTCGGAGAAGGAGGCTGTAGAAGCGCGCAAAGAGCAGCTTAAGCTCGAAGGCGGTGCAGAGGATGATCGGACGACCTGGACTGGGAAGCGGATCAAGGCAGATGGCAAGGTCGGGGAGATGGATGGTGACGCTGGGGTTGGCAAGTACATGAAGCAGGCGTCTGCGGCAGACGACCACCAAGGCGGCGACGAGATCGTGGGTGAATATGATGGGGTTGATGTGCGACCGAGCAAGAAGGTGAAGAAGGGCAGTGGCTTTGGGAACTTCGATAACTGGTGAAAGCGCCATCCTTGGAGAATGTGAATACACTCCGCTTTTCGTCGGCTGAGCGCTTCGCTCGAGGGTTGTTGTGGCACGAAACACCTCTGCGAAGGCATGACTTTACTTGTGGTTCAAACACATCGATCAATCGTTATCTACGACCCCTGATACTCCCTCAACACTGTGCGCCTGCGACACACTAGATCTATACGCGGCTCGGGAAGTGAAGACTAGAATACAAGTAAGCACAGACGCCGGCTTGCAACAGCGTATCAGTTATGGTAGATATGTCACAAGCTGCTACACCGCGCCAGCATGCACTGACCCGCTCAAGGCATTCATCCCCCTACTGCCAATCCATAACAACATGAGTATCCGCGACGCCAGCCCAACCACTGCAGCCACCACTTGTGCCGCGTTGCCGATAACCCATCAGTGCGGGCTCGGCGTAAGGAATGACAGCAAGACAGCCGCGGGTACGACTTGTCCAGCCACTGCTGCACCGTCCGACAAGTCGTACCTCGTCGATATGGGCCGCAAATGTCCTACGGAGCCCAACGTGGAGAAGGTCGTAGGCGGCGGAGCAAAGTACACTGACGGATGGTTGAGGCTATTGTGAAGGCGGACTTATTGTGCGGCACACTGGCTAACGGAGCACATGGGAAACGTGGAGGCTGTTCGAACGGCACCTTGTACTCATCTGTTGGTAGCGGATTCAATTCGTTATCATATGTGTGCATATGATCAGGTCTGCTGATTCTGGTAGCTCGCCGTCGATACCCTCCGAATTCACACCCCCATTCACCCTCACTACACGCATTGGCTTGGCATCCAGCAAGAACCTGCATGCGCGGCGTTTGGTCGAAAACACTCCAGCTCCGCACGACTGCAAGCGACGAATGCAACACTTAACGACTGCTGCCACTGCTGCTGCTGCTGCTGCTGCTGGTGCTGCTTGAAGCGGCACTTTACCACTTGCTAACATGGCCGCAAGGTCCGCATCCCAAACGAAGTCAAGACCGCTTCTGCACAATCCTATGGATGACTTCAAAGCTGTACGTGCCTTTCGGTCCAGCTAATGAGGTGACGCTTACCGTGCTACAGATCCTCACCAGCGAGTCAGCGCCAGAGTACCTCAAGTGGCTTCAGGAACATGACCCAATCCTTCACGACTACATCGACGCCAGATCTCATGCCTTCGACCGCTTGAACGACACGGTGTCGCGTACTAGCAAAGCCTACGTTGAGACCGCGACAGGCGTCAAACAGCCCTTCCATCTACCCGAAAGCTATTTACGCATCGTGGCGCAGATCCTTTGGGAAGAATACAAGAATGGCAGACTCCCCTGTCTTGACCACGATGGACCACCTTCAGATGCCGAGGTGAAAGTCATGCACACTGCCGTGGCCTTTGTGACGAAGCAATACATCGCCGACCTTGGTTTGCCGCTACCGACAGAGATTAAACGGACATATCGCCTTGAGAAGTCGAGTCCGCTGAGCGTGATAAGCGAGAAAGGGAACCCTACGGACGACTCAAAGGGTGCCACAGGTCATGGCAGGAAGCGGAGGGTGAAGCGAGGCGCAGAAGGGAAGTCTGGCGCACACACCAAGCGCAAAGTTCCGCCGACGTCCGACCCGGGTGACGGTGTTCTCGAAGCGGGTGCAGATGGCGTGCTGATGATCACCGAAGAGTACGCAAGGGGCTACATTGAGCGCGCAGCAATGTGCCACATACCGATCTGAAGATGTACTTGCTTATAAGCGAAAGTCGGCCATGTGCTGGGCTAGTGCCGTAACTGCCACAAAAGCGTCATGTAGTGACGACAGTTGACCAACGAAAATCCTAATGCCAACACCGTGCCAGTATGCAACTCATCTGCTTGAACGCTTTGTCATGTGTCACCAAGTCTAGGTCACCTCTAGTGGCCGCCAACTGGCACCCACGAGCGTCCAAGATCCATACTTCTATTGATTCGGCCACCAGGCGTAAGCGGTACGTTCACCCTACCCGCGCGAGCAATTTCGTCACCCTCATCAGAGTCGTAAGCATCACTCAAGCGAGCAAAGTAATCAGTAAGTCCGTGAGTCGGACTGGCAATGTCATTATACTGCGGCGGCGGCGTGATGAGCGGCGGCGGAGGCTGTTCGTCCTCGAAGGCGGGCGGGTTGAAGGAAGGTGCTCGCAGAAGATGTATGGGTCTTTGTCCCTCGTGCGCCGAGCCGTGCACGTGTGCTTGCTGTGGTCGCGCAAGTGCAGGTGCTTGCATGGTAGGGGTCGTTGGCCGGTCGCCATCTGGTTGCCCTGTTCGTGCAGCGTTGAGTGCGTTGAGTGTGGGTACGAATGAAGTTGGCGAGTTGCGCCGCCGAATTGCGCCGGGACACCCGCACTCGTACAGCGAAGCCTCGCCGCTGCTTGTTTGTGGGGTGCTATATGCGGGCAACGAGATGTTGGCTTGTGTTGCGCGGCAGGAGAGGATATGGAAGGGCGAGTCGATGGAAATCTCGAAGTGCCTCCGCTTGCCTGGGTCGTTCGCATCTGGCTTTGACAAGCGCATAACAATCTGCGATGTGGTCAGTAGGGTCCGCGAATGCGTTGACATGCTCCGCCTTAGCCGTACCTTGATCCAGTGGTGCACCTGGATGTTCTGGTAGGTAGTATCAAAATGCAATCTCTGACTCCGCTCACGCTCCTTCATGTTATGGCAGCTCGGCAATTGCACATTGAACTCCATTTCCGTCGGCCCAATATTCGTATCGCCTTCGAGGTTGCCCAGCATGTTCGTGGTATCGTTGGGCACCACTTCCTCGCCCCGTGCAGCTCGCGCTCTCGCATCATACGGAATGCCACCGCCAGCCGTGACTCGCATAGTGCTGCCTGGGAAAGTGCTGATTGGCGGTCCGTCTGCTCGTTTCTCGAACAGTTGCACTTTCCGAGTCGGCTCCATACGGTGAACCCTCTTGTTGCTGCAGAAGTACTCGATATTCTCCGTGACCAGCACCTTGATACGATGGCACTGCACCTTCGCCAGCGGCGTGAGCTTGAAGGCTATGGGTACTTGAGTCCCCAGTGGAAAGCTCTTCCCAGAGATCACAATGTCGTAATGCAGTTGGTCTTCCCAGTTTCTGCTGATAGCAATTGGCTCAACTTGCTCCAGTGAACCTTCGGCGGGAGCGCGTATGATCATGACCTCTTTCGACCCGTTCAAGTTGCCTCTGAAAGCGCCGGACCGAATGACTTCAGCTTCGAGCTCGTATTTGACCGAGCCCAGTTCGACGTCGATAGTCTCTGGTAACCGGCTGTCAAGTGGGTATTCGAAGTTGTAGATGTAGTCACCGGGAAGGAACGTGCGGTAGCCCTTCGCCGCAACACTTTGCTGACCAGGTACAGGATCGCTTTTACTGAAGCTGCGTGACTGATTGACAGCAAGCGCAAGCTTCTTCGTCTCCTTAGCTGACAGATTGACAGAGGATGAGTTTGGTGACGACCGTCCAAGCGGATCCGCACGGGTCCCGTTAGCCGATCCAGTTTCAGCACTTCTGAAGAGCTGAACGTGGTCTGCATTCGTTCCTCTTTCGGCGTACTCGTGTTGTGCATTGAAGAAAGCCCATACATGGCCCATGAAGCTGTCAGTCTCTTCGAACTCAATCTTCCGCGGTGGGATACCTTCGGGCCACCTCGTGATAGATCGGCCTCTGAACTTCAAATTGATCGCTTTGATCTTGGCACTCTTTGCAACTCGCAGATGCAGACTGCCTCTGAGCATGGCAGTGTTGCCTGGAGAGCTCTCCGTGTTCTCGAAGCCCTGCAGAAAAAGCACCGGCTCTGCCAAGTGGATGGCGCAAGAAACGCCATTTCCTGATGCGATCGGTTTCTCATCTTGCAAATCGAGGGCTGGTATCACATTCTCTGAATTCGTTGATTGCAGTGCTGTTGGTAGCCCGTTGCCAAAAGACTCGCTCTGACCCGACGAGGTCGAAGTATTCCGTGCATCCGACATCAACCGCGGACGTTGCAGGTGCTGGTTTGTGGGCCCACCAATGCTGCCTCTTGCAGCTCCCCTCATATTGTCTTGTTCCGGTTGTCCGCCCGTTGGACCACTCACGGAATTGTTGCGCTTTTCCGGCGACCAAGAGCGCCTCTTCCCGTTAAGCTGGCCTCTCCCTGTAGTCGATTGCGCTGGATCTGTAGTAGTTGGCGCAATCACCGACTTCAGAAACCTCCTGGCGTTCTCTCGCGTGACCGCCAGCTTGCAAATTCGCAGCCGCTTTGGCCGCTTTCGGGTAGAGCGTTGTGTATTTGCGGAGTCGAAGTCGGTGTCAAAGACTGCTCGTATTGAGATGCGACCTGGTGCTGTCCGGCGCGGTCGGAATAGATTTGTCGGCTTGCCGGTATCGTAATGCGGCGGTGAGGGTGTATAGCGAAGTAAGCCGTATGTACGAGAGTGGTATGGAACAGCTAAGGTGCGTCTTGTGTCAGCCATGGGTACTCTGCAATTGCTGACCGAGTCTGCCACAGCAGAGGGTGAAGGGTGTTGAAGTATGCCATTGCGGACGATTCAATGACTCGACACTTCTGCAACGTACTCCTGCTTCCATGCAGTTTGCTACCTGGGTTGCAGTGCAAGTGCTTTGGGCACACAGCGGTGGCATCATGCCGGGTAAGCGCGCGCTCGCACTTGTTTGTGATCTCAAAGCAGGGAAGAAGCCTGTGTGACAAGTTACATACCTTATGAATATTCCACTTATGATACTTCGACTCTGCTATGCAATAGAGTATGCTTGACGCATGGAAGGGAAATTGCTCGTTTCAGAGGTGGCGGAGAGTCGAGGTGCCGGTCAAGTGGTAAACAGATCGCCCAAGTCGGGGAGCGGCGTTCGAAACAGCTGAGACGAGTGTCGCTTCTGTAACGCAGGCACGATGTACAGCTCGTAGTTGTAGTGAAAGGTGATTGCAGCCGAAATGATTCAGGTACGGGTGCCGGACGCCTGGTTTTCTTGCTTGTCAAAGAACAAAGTTAATGCTACTACGCAATGTCTGGTGGGCTATGCGCCCTGGCGATCGACAGTGGGCTTGCGGAGGATACTCGAGCGGGATTATCCCAATCGTGGGGGCAATTCGTGGCATCCAAATTGGGCATTGACTTCTAATAAATTCGATGCGGGCTTCAGACCTTGCTCAAAGTTCTTCGACACGGTGAGGATTGATGCCGAGGTCTTCTGCTGGCGTCTTTCTCATACCGCGTATTTTCCACGTCAAGGGAGACGGCCTGCATGATGAGAAGAAGCGTTCTGCGTCATCTATGAGCGTTTTCGATGGAAACCGGGAAGCTCGGCATGATCTGTAAGGAATAGCTCCCGCCGCAAGCCTATCACTTTACCGGGCTCAGGGCCGGGACGTGTGAAAGGGATGCCCTGCCTGCCTATGAGAGCCGTCGCAGGACAGGGAGTCGACAGATAGCACACGTAGTACATACTGGCGTAGCGAGGCTTTCATGTCACACCGGAAGAATTAGTGCGAAGACGAAAACGAGCCCCGCACATTCTGCACTCTCTGCCATTCCTCCCAGCCGCCCGTTCCGTTCCCAATCAATGCATCGTGGGCTCACGATTACGGTGATCTGTCGCAAGGATACTGGATGGTTCCTGGCAACATTCAGGAACGAGAACGGAGGCTTAATCTCGGTGTCGTGGCCGTGGCCGTGGCCGCGTTCGCAAGCTGCGCGTTTGCTTTGCAATCTGATGTGTACTCGTGAGTGTTGGGAGTCAGTTATGCCCGGGAAACCCGCGAACGTTTGGCAGTATTGCGGAGGCTTTGCGCCACGGTCTGGAGATCGTCTTCGCTGGTCTCGATATGGACGCTGCCTACGCCGAGGACATCCGCGCGATTCCTATAGGGCTAGGATCAAGCTTTTCGCTCTTGTCGGTATCGCACTGGTCGAACCTATTGTGTGAAAGCGGTATTTGCGAAATCGGCATTCAAATGCATGATGATGTCGAAATACCGAGCGGGCCGCCCCAGAACGGTTAGCCGCAGAGCTCCAGGCGCGTGTCAACATTGATTGAGCACGCGTAGATGTCGTGTGAAGTGTTACCCGTATCAATGGCAGATGGTGTAGAAGCGAGCGGTGAGTCCGGATATGCATCGATTCACTCAAACGATTGCGTCTGACAAACACAGTCCGCAATGATCAATTTCCGCTCAGGGGTGTCGTACTATGCTGCACTTCCCTGCTACAGGACGTCCGCGTACGTTCCGTGAAGATACCGCCTCATGTAATGTTCTGAGCTGAGACACTGCACGACAGACAAGGCTTACGCATACTGCTACCGAGCTTGGGGCTGTCGTTGAACTGGACCTGACGAAGAACTGCACGCATCTCATTGTAGGCAGCGTGTCGACGCCAAAGTATCGCTATGTCGCCAAGGACCGTCCGGAAGTCAGGGTGCTCTGTGCTAGCTGGATCGAGGCTGTACGTCAAGCATGGGTGGAAGGCGGCAATGTCGATTTGAGTCTGTTAGAAGAGAAGCATCGGCTGCCCGCCTTCTTCGGTCTGAAGATATGTGTGACCGGCTTTGATAACTTGGAGCAGCGCAACCTCATCTCCGACACGGTGGCGGAGCAAGGTGCGGAGTACCATGGCGACTTGACCAAGAATGTCACACATCTGATCGCCGCCACGCCCAGTGGCGCGAAGTATGCTGCTGCGAAAGCCTGGGGGCTAATTATCGTCTCGTACAAGTGGTTTGAAGACAGCTTATTTCGTGGAATGGCACTGGATGAGAGCCTCTATGATCCAGCTAGGCCTGATAGCGATCAAGGCAGAGGTGCGTTCAGGACGACAGCCAGGCCTAGAGAAAGCCTTGGTAAGCGAGGCAGAGACGGAGAGTCCCAGGAAAACGAAGATACTGGCAAAAGAAAGCTACGGCGGACAGCCAGCACTCGCTTGAACAGCCAAAGTCAAGATGTATGGCAAGATCTCTCCGCGAGGGAAGCTGCGCATGATGATGTCGATGCCAATCAGTGGAAGGACGAAAATTACGCCATGCCCAAAGATCCGGAACGTCCAAACCTGGTGTCGGTGCAAGTGAGGCGCTCGGATGCATTCCAAGCAAACGCAGTGCCAAGTGAACCACCGCGAGGGTTGTTCTCGGGTCTGTACATTATGATATCTGGATTTCCGCGTGACCGGATGAAGCGGTTGCGACAGTATCTGGAGCCCAACGGCGCAAGCATCGTTTCATCGGAGCGAGAACTGGAGGCTGCAGTTGTGGACGCAGATTGTCGCGGTCGCTACTTGCTGGTACCGCACACGTTCGAAGGCACCCCGCCTGAGCTGCCCGATATTCCGCAAGGCACCGAGATGGTGACTGAGTGGTGGGTTGAGCGATGTATCCACTCTAAAGCCTTGTTAGAGCCTCAATACGACATGCTCAGCACACCGATGTGGGATGCGCATATACCGGAGCTCTCTGACCTCACGGTATGCATCACAGGATTTGGCCAACTCGACTTCCGACAGGTTGCGGAGAGCATTAAACTGATGGGTGCTACTTATGCCGAGAATCTTGACCCATCGGTGTCCGTGCTTGTCAGTGGTTCGGAGACGGTCAAGAAAGAAAAGGCTTACTATGCCACGAAGCACAGTATTCCTGTGGTCTCGGCAGCGTGGCTTTACGCTTGCTTGAGAGCTAAGCGGCGAGCGAGCTTTGAAGAATTCCTCCTAAAAATACCAACGTATGATCAACACGATGCCATTCACCGGCATTCAATGAGCAGCCCAGCGGCGAGTGGCGGCAACGTACCCGGACCAGGTCGTAATACAAGGTGTGTAAAGTGTAGACAAAGCAAGTCTAGGCTATATTGGCAGAACTGACTTATCATAGCTCAGCGGCTCCGAAGCGTCTCTCTAAAGCGCGCAGACACGCCACACCCACTCTGCCACTGCAAGGCCAAGTTGTTCGAGCACCGCAGTCACGAACACGTATGCCTTTTACCGAGGAAGATGACGATAGTCGACAGGATGTGCAGTGTGAAGCTCAGCCTCCACTGTCCGCCAAGCCGACCTTCTCGCCTTCACGACCCCGGCCTTTGCAAGAGCGTTCACCGAATGCTTCGCCACGGAAAGGCAATCACGCGCAGACCGAGGATCACGATAACCACCCAAAGACAGCCAAGCTGCCGAATCTCGTACCTGCTGCCGCCCCAGAGACTGCGTCTATGCCTGTTTCGCCGCCGAGAAGTCCCCTGAAGAGCCTGTCACGGGACGTGCAATCGCTCGATCAACATCACCAAGATCGACTGACATCTGAACTCGCAGCGATGGTCGAACGCCAGCATTCAGCTTCCCGTCCAGACTCGGCAAGTGCCGAGGCACCACTCAAGCGAAAGAACCGCCCTCTGGGCCGCTCTCTCAGTGGCATCGGTCACCGAGCTGTGTCCGCTTCGGCGCAGTCGGACCACAGCACCTCATCCCGCCTCAATGCCGAGCCAAGCGACTCGATTGCGGATGGCTACGACAATCTCGCCAGGGAAGACGCTCCGCCGGTGGGTACGCAGCTAGGCTACGAGACCCCCGACACGGAAGCTCACCGGTCACTCATGGAGAAGCGGATGAAGGTCAATCTGCGTGATGATAGCGTTGGCAAGCGAGCTGCTAGCATTGGGACGGTCAAGGATAGCTTTGTCAGTCGCTCGGACAATGGCATGAGTGATACAGTTCGAGCTAGACGGTCAAAGAATGAGAAGTAAGCTGTAAAGCATTTCATGCCGATGCTAAACGTTCACCAGCTATCCGCTGCGGGTCGATACTCTGTGGCGGTGTCGCTTGATGTACAGGTTCACGAGACCCGAAAAGTATGCCGAACCTTATGGAAGCACGCCCGCATAGACCACACGGAGGGATAACTCCTTCAATCACCCAATACACTTTCCGCGTCTTGACTTGCACCGTCAACAGCTTGGTCCTCCTCCTCCGGCTCCGGCTCCGGCTCAGCAAGCTCTCGCCGCCGGAGTGCCTCCTCATCATCGGCATCATCGTCCATATCTTCCTCCATCTCATCCTCAGCAATAATAGCATTGCTTTTCGGAGCGACCTTCTTCGACCGCGCAGCACCATTGGTCTGAGCCTTGCCTTTGCCCTTGCCCTTCGGCCTGCCGCGCTTCGCGTGCTTCTCGTGCATACTATCCATGTCAAGGTACGCCACGACAGCTTTGTAGTTATGTCCAAGCGTGTCCTTGTTGCGCTCTAAACGCTTGCGAACGGCACCATCAGTCATCACGCCGGCGGCCAGTGTGTGAATGATCTTTCCGGTCAGCTCGCAAAGTTTGTGCTCGGCCGTGAGCGTGGCGATTTGCTTCGCTTCACGGCGTTGTTGTGATTGTGCATCTTGATCGTCTTCTTCGTCGTCAGACTCTGGGTCTGACATCGGATCTCCGTCCACAGAAGCTGTCTCCGCGCCATCTGCTGCAGTCTCATCAATTCGCTTGCCGCTGAGCTTAGCGTAGTTCTTCTCACACGCAGCGAACACATGCATGACAGCCTTCTCCAGCTCCGGTGTGAGGTCCATCACTAGCACAATATAATCGTCGCTCATGCCAGGCTTGGGCTTGATATCTCGAAGAATAGCTGCCGACGCGTACAGGTCGAGCAGACAGCCAGCCATTGCAGTACTTACGCCCTCTACAGGCTTTCGAGCGTTCAAGACAGACTCGAGGTTCGCAACCAGGCTGTCACGACGGGTAGCAAGAACTTCGAGATCATCAAGAGAGATGCCTACGCTTGAGCTTTTAGTGACAGTCGATTTGATCGTGTTGAGCTTCCATCGCAGATAGAAGAGCGCAGCCTCTGCAGCCCGCAGCGCGATCTGGTCCTCGAGAGCAGCTTCTTCAGCATCCGGTGCTAGGCCGCTGACAAGTACGCCGCGCTGGATCAGTGCAATGATGTAGTCAATGGCACCTTGGTAAGCTTCATCGCTGTTCCCACCGGGTGCAGCAAAGGTGGTATCCTCTAGATAGGGAGAGCAGTCGGAGACCCGTGCAAGATGGATGATGCGAAGGAGGTTGTTGCTCAGGGCTGTCAGTTCTTCAGACTGCGACGCGCCACGCACAGTGAGTGTGGCTGGATTCAGCAGTTGCGTCAAGTTATTGATCACATCATCCCAAAGCCCGGTGATTTTCTCCTCGGCAATGTCGTTAAGCTCTCCGTAGGACTTGGCGTGCAATATAGCATTGCTGGCCGGCGCAAGGACCTCATCTGTGCCGTGCGACATGAACTGCTTTCTCACGTCGTCCAGCAGCGTGGTATAAGTGGCCGAGTCTTGCTGGAGGTCGTGTAAGATTGGCATGCTCAGCACAGACTCTATCCTCAGCACCGCAGCAGCTGTGCTTGGTGCGTCACCAAACTTCTTCAACAGCTTGGGTAGGGTAGCAGCAAGGTGCCGAGCAGCCTCTTCCAGCTCTTCCTGCAGCTCTGCCTTCTCCCTCGCCGATGGCTTGTGCTTTGGCGCTTGGATCTTTTCTGCGATGTCGCTCAGGGTATGCCTGACGCTTGCATTCAGCACCGCGAGGAGAATGGTCTCTTCTCCCTCAGTCAGCACACACTCATTCTTAAGGTGCGACAAGGAATCGTTCGCAACGCCGTTCCCGCGACCGCTGGAATGGTCGAACAGCAGGTAGCCCGCTAGCATTTGCCATGCTTGACTAGTTTCGAGCTTGTCGTAGAGTGCATCCGCGGCAAGTGTGAAGCGTGACTCGCCACTGCTTAAGTCCAGCACTGACACACCACTGCCTTTACTGCGCTCTATCTGGCTCGGCAGCTCGCCCACCGTGGCGTAAGTCCGCAGCATCTCCGCCAGAGACTTCAGTTCCAACCACTCAAGCCGGGGCACTTCATAGTGTTCATTGGCCGTTTCCGGTAATGCTTCCTCCAGCTCAGAGCGCCCGCCGAGGTCTGCAAGCTTCGATTCATGGAGGTCAAGCACGATAGCGGCGAAGAAGGCGGCGACAGCTTTACGCACACGAGGTTCGGTATCGTATATCATGCCGCCTATAGCGTCGATGTCATCGGGCTCGAGCATGCCGTGCTCACGAAGCACATCTACCAGTTCAATGGCTGCAACGCGAACGGCGATCTCTGCATCAGTGGTCGCGATCTCAACCAGTCGGCTCCTGAATTTCTCGGTGAATGTCTTTAATCCACCACTCATATCCTTGTTCTTGTAAAAGCGGCTTAGCTGCTTTATCACCTCGCTCCTGGTAGCTGCAGCAGGGTCACTGAGGACCCAGCCCAGATAACGTAGATGCTGGCCATCGAAGAAGACATCAGGCAGAATGGCGATCCAGTCACCAAGAGCGGCGACGCAGTCTCGGCGGATGTTAGGGTCGATGTCGCGATAACGATGAATGAAAACCACATCGAACCAGTCCTTGAGCAAGAGCTCAACACTCTCCAAGGCCCTCGTTTTGATCTTCACGGTTTCGTCGAAGTCCTTAGCGCGCTGTTTGTTAGATCTGGGCTTCTTGCGTTCCGTCTCTGCCTGGCGTTGGCTGTTTGCTGCAGCTTCTGCATTTTCGCGCGCAACATCGCAGAGAGCCGTGACGATAGCTAGGGATGCAACCGTAGCTGTATGTCTGAACGATCTGTTTGGCGCGGAAGACATCGTAGAGACCCATATCTGAATGTTCTGCAACAATACATCATTGTCGTAAAGCGTGCCTTTCACAGCGATAGTCTTAATCATGGCGTCGAAGAAGCCAACAAGGCCTTGCCTGTAAGTCGTTCCGGCCTTGCCTTTCGCGATTAGCGGGTAATCTGTGGGATTGGTTCTCTGGTACTCATCACGCAGATCTTCCAGGCGGTTGGTCACGCCATCCGGATCGCCTATGTCATCGTCGGTAACCTCAGCTTCGCAGCCGGCGCATCGTAAAACCAGGTTTACGACTTCTGCGAGCGCACTTGATTCATGGGCCTCGAACCGTTTCAACCACTTGCCTGCCACATCCTGGAGCGCAGCACCGCCACCATAGACTTCCGCAAACAGTCCGCCGACTGCTTCTGCGTCTGCCGCATTCAGCGCCCGCAGCTTCTTTGGTGCTCGCTTCTTCGCCGCGCCTGGCGCATTCCGAATTGGCAGTGTAGCACCATTGACCCTGGGTTTCTTCTGCGCGGGCTTTTTAGGTGCGGTAGCCTTGACTTTGCGTGCTTTCTTCTTCTTTTCGCGGATCTCTTCCTCGTCTGGCTCCTCTTCGTCTTCGTCTTCAGCCTCGTCATCCTCAGAGACGTAAACGTCCGGCATCTCTTCATCGCCATCAGCATCGGGAGCGTCATCATCGTTGCGCTTACGCTTCGCACTGCCCATAGTGGAGCTGGACAAGAAGAAGTCCGTTCGTCTCCGGTCGCGCCCAGAAACGCGTGTCGCAGCCGCATGCCCATCTTGGTCCGACGTCGTCGGCATTTCGAGTAGTCGTCCGGGCATTATCTTGTCGTAGAAGTTAATTGCAGTGATGCGACAACGCGCCTCTTGCGTCTAAAAGTGCATACTCTGGCTGACAGCGTGGAAGGTGTGCTTGTCCGACGCCGTGTCCTCGAGAGCTTTGACAAGATGATGCCTTGCGTGTAGGATGTATGGGAGACTTTCTGGTGTGCGACCGAGGGTATGTGTTTGCGGTTCGGACGACGGAGCACGCGTCAGTACGCGACCGCACAGGCCAGCGTGCTGACTACTAACGAGACCCCCTGTCATTCACTCCGCTTCGATATTCCCCGGTGACACTCTGCCAACACCATAACCTCTTATCGACAGATATAGGGTAAAAGGTAGCACGTTACCCTGACGTAGCAGTGTCTGTGCAAACCTGCAATATGCTGCCTCGATAGACAACATTTCCGGACTGCCATGTCCAACCCTTTCCAATCCGATACCGCAAAACCTGGCCATGGATCTATCCATCTTGCATTGCTTCCCCCGGACACCCCGAGATTGAGACATGCAAACTACCAGTATCCTCTGAAGCTGATTTCTCCTGCACCCGTATGGACGGATAGCGAGCCGCGACGGCTTATCCATACTGTCTACCTGCTGACTTATGGTGGCGGCTTGGTAGCTGGAGACTGTGTCGATTTAAACATAACGCTTGAAGCGACAACGAGGCTTATCCTGCTGACCCAGGGAAGCACGAAGCTGTTCAAGTCTCCGAGCCGGCAGGTCCTCAGTCGACAGACCATGACCGTCCATCTCGCCACTAGCTCCGCACTCTGCTATCTACCGGACCCTGTCCAGCCATTCGAGCACAGCTGCTTTGAGCAGCAACAAATCTACAATGTCGCTGTGACCTCTCACGGTGGTCAGACGGGGAACCTCTGCGTACTGGACTGGGTCAGCAACGGTCGACCCGCTAACGGCGAGAATTGGTCTCTCTTCCGCTACGGCAGTCGTAACGAGGTCTACTTGGTCACGTCCGAGGGCAAGCGGAAGCTTCTACTCCGGGACAACGTCATGCTGGACGACCAGGGTATTAACAACAGCGTAGCAAGCCGTATGCACGGCCTCGCCACATTCGGCACGCTCATACTCTACGGTCCAATGTTCCAGGCGCTCGGAAACTTCTTCGTGGAGGAGTTCAAAGCTTTGCCACGCGTAGGAGGGCGTAAGTGGGATAGTGGTAGCGAGAGCGGCGACGAGATCGAACAAGATCGTCTGGCGCTACGTCAGGCAGCCAGGCAAAGGCAGGAGACTGCTGAAGGTGTGCTGTGGTCAGCAGCATCTGTGAGAGGTTGTGTGGTTATTAAGTTTGGCGCCCCACACTTGGAAGCTGGCAAGAAATGGCTAAAACAGATGCTGTCTGACCAAGGCACTGTTGCTACAACTTTCGGCGAAAGAGCTCTGCTTTGCCTACGCTGACCGTCCGTAGCCGCATCTTGCCTATGGGATAAGTCCTATAACTCTGGATTGTCACAAGCTCCTACATTTTCGATTTCATTTTGCCGTGTTCGCAACATGCCGCGTGCAAGGCGTGATCTCACGTCACACCTCTACGGCTCAGTCCTCAGCCAAAGTCAAGCAGGGCCAGGCACTGGCCATTTAGCGATTCAGGATCGCGTCAATCGAACTTCATTGACAAGCTCACGTTTCAGTCAGGAGGATTTGCCTGTCGTTTGTGGGCGAAAGCATGAAAATCTGCTGCGCTGAATTCGGCGTTTGATCGACTAATTGCTAGCATGAACTCAATAAGAATGCCATGTATTGCGGAGAAAGTGGACCGTACTGCGAACACTAATCCGTCGTTGCCGATATTATGCTGTCGGTCCACAACAGCCAGAGAAGAAGGTACCAGTGTGGTATGATACAAGATAGTATGAAGTTCAGTCCGATCAGCATCCCACGTTTGTATGCTGCCCTAGCCCGCCAGCCCGCCGCTCACCCTTCTTGCGCCTTTGCTGAGGTCCAAGCATACGGTAGAAAAGCCTTATGAGTCCGAACCACAGTGAATTAAAGCAGCTTTTGCTCCACCACCCACGCTATGCATGCATATTAAGATAGACTCGAGCTTGCTTACCACCAAGATCCAGACTGTAGCCCCTTGCCCTGGACAGAGAGGCTGTCGCGCCGCTCGGCGGTCCTCACAGCCTTCTCCTAGGAAGCCATAGCGCGTTGGCCAGCACGACGGTCTTTCTTGCCCTTAGCAGGAACGGTCGCCCAACCGTCATCCTCCATGGCCTGCGCGGTAGGCTCCGCGTTCTGGTTCGCGCCTTCTGCGGCATCAGCAGGGATTTCTCTGACAATTTCTTGCGGTTTCGTCTCCTTGTCGCCCACGATCGTGCCGTTTGCGGGAGCGTCAATGGCATCAGTCTCGCCTTCGCGCTCTTCTTTGGTGGCAGCGTCTCCGTTTTCCTCGTCATCTTCTGCATCACGGCGGAGAATGCTGAAGCTGGCACGCTCCTTCTGCGAGACGTCTCCATTTTCCTTTGGTGGCTGAGGGCGTGAGCCATTCTGTTGCTTGGAGGCGCGACGGTTGTTGCGCTGCGGTGTGCCAGTGGTCGGACTGGTGACTTTGTCCTCTTCTACTGCTTGACCGCGGTCTGCACGCTCAGCGCGCGCCGCTCTCGCTGCAGCATCTTGCGCTGCCTTCTCTTCCTTCGTCTTCGCGTCCTGCTCCTGCTTCTGGCGGAGCGCAAGCTGCCGCTTCTCGTCAAGCTCGCGCTCTTTGGCGGCGGTGTCAATCGGACGAGCCGCGCCGAATGGTGAAGCCTTCGAGTCAGCGGCCGATGAAGCTGTAGCATCCGTTTCCGCCGTGGAGACAGTGCGCTTGGCAAGGTTCAGCCGTGGTCGTTCCTTCGGTGCTTGAGCAGCTGGCGATGTTGGCGCGGAGATCTCCGGCGTCTCAGCTGGAGATGCATCTGGACGCATTCTTGAGCGCCACTGATTATCTTGCTCCGCCGCTGTCGGAGCCCTTTCAACGGGCGCTCTTGGCTCGAACTCTCGTCGTGGTGGCCTCGAGCCAGCATCAGACCTGCCCTCACCCCATGCTGGGCTTTGTCTCCGCTCACGGGGCGGGCCGTCTCCTCTCAGCCTCCCCTCTTCGCGCGCCGGTGGTCCTGGGTTGGCAGGTGGAGACATGGGACCTTTACGCTCCCAGTTGCTAAAATCACGGACCTTGCCGTCGCCCTCGAAGAAAGCTGGACGTCTGCTTCCGCCACGCTCACTGCCAGCGTCAGACCTTTCATCGAAGTTGCGGTTGAAACCGCGATTTGACGGCTGACGAGTATTCTGCGGCAAGTCTGGAAGGGGCCCTCGGCGCGACCAGTCAGAGAAGTCGCGCGAAGACTCGGCTCGTTCTTTGGCTAGTTGCTGTCAGGGACTGTTCGTTACACATACTGCCACTCATCACTTACGAGGCTCAGCTACGCTGATCTTGATGTTGCGGCCCATAAAGGGTGTGTCGGTCTTGGTGAGCGCGATCTTGAGTCCATCAAGCGTAGCAAACTCGACATAGCCAAAGCCTTTTGGCTTGTGGTCTAGCTTGTCCTCAACGATGCGGACACTGGTGACTTGACACTCGGCCAAGAAGTCTTCGACCTGGCTTTGTGATATATCGTAAGCCAGATTGCCTAGATGTGCAGTATATGGCGGCCTCGTTGGGAGAGGAAGTTGCTCGCGCTCCGGATACCGTGGGCGATCTAAGGTCGCTGTTAGTCTGAAGTACCGAATTGCACCGTTCAAGGCTATGACTGTCGTTGCCATACCATAGCTAGCGCCTCTATCACCCATACCGCGGTCACCCATGCCACCGCCCATGCCGCCGCTCATGCCACCGCCACTCCTTGCCGACTCCCACGCCGGCTGCGTGAATGAGCGCTTCTCCCCGCCATCCCTGTCTCTGTCTCTGCCACCACTACCGTAGCCTGTCGATGTGGGCATCGAGATGGGCTGAGAATCCATCTCGTCGGCCCATGACCCAAGCGTCTGATTCGTCAGGAACTCGCCAAGGTTCATCTTCTCGGCCTTCTTTTTAGGAGCTACAGCCATAAGTCAGCACTCTCCATTGGGTGAGACAAGCTAAGTCGAAGCGTTCGCCCATTTCTGCGCTTCCCATGCACGCTCAGCGGTGCTGAGTGGGGTGGGCATACCCATGATTGCGGTCTTGTGCGAGCCTCGCGATCTCTGCGCGCGGTGCTCGTCGAGTGCAGAGAGCTATCTTGCTCTCCCTCCCCGCTCTGTAATGATTCGTGCGAAGAAGCGCAAAGTAGGCACTCGTTCGATTGAATAGGTTGAGTAATGGTGTACTTGGAAGCCGATTGCAAGTGGTGGAATTCGAAGATTGTTCGTGAGAGTCTAGGGACGTCGGCTCTTGCGAAAATGGCCCGTGCACTCCGATTCCAATTACAACTGGGGTAGCGGCACCTCACCCTGTCTCCTCCAGTCAAGGCACTCGACAACACAATGGCTGCAGACGGCACATGATGGCTGACGTTCAACAAGTGAACGCCTCAAATGGCACCGCCGTCGATGTGCTGGCGCCGTCGCTGAGGGTCGGTGCCATCTGTGGTAGGTCGCTCTTCAATAACCACCACGGCCATGTTTGACAATCACGCTGGTCGTGGATTGTTTTAGCCCGTGTAATTTTCGAAAGATATGATTGCGGGACGCACGACGAGCTTCTATACAACGATACTAACGTTTGACCTCCAGGCTGCGCCGGTTTCCTCATTGGCGGCACATCAGGCATACTCAAAGGCACCACTCCCTTCTTGTTTGCCACTGCATCCGCGATACAAACCTTCGCTCTCGGCACGACATATTGGACATGTCGCAGTGCTTTCCTCCAGTCCCGATTTGCTATCGGTCAGAGTCCGCGCGACTGCACGAAAGCCAGTACCGTCGCTGGCGGCGTCTCAGGCGGCATTATCGGTCTTGTCACCCGTGGCCGACGAAACTTGCTCCCGGGCATGCTTGTGTGGTCGCTCCTAGGCTGTACTGGTCAATTGGCGTACAATCGCTTCAGCACTGCAGATCAGAAGCAACCGACGGAAGGGTTCTGGACTCGTTTAGCGAAGCAGAGCTGGACGCCGGTCAAATTCATGACTAATGAAGAGTATGCTGAAGTGCTTCGTGAACGGGTACTCAAACTGGACGCAGAAATCGCCGTGCTTGATGACAAGATCTCGGAGCTCAAGAGCGAAGAGGCTACTGCTTCCGGCTCCGACACCGCGGCTTCCTCCGGCCCTTGAAATCGTGTTGCCTTTCAGCGCCGGTTGAATAGTATTCATCGCCTGCAGCGATCACCCAGGCCCATGAGCTAAACCAGTAGGTCCGCTCCCGACGTTTCAACGCCAGCCACGGTTATAGAGTGCTTGATCTCGGCATCCCAAGCGTACATACCATAGTCATCGACCACTGAAACGCGTCCGAGGTGACTTTAGGACACTGTGGAAAGATGTCGGGCATGTGCAGTCTTTGCATTGCGTAGTCTTCATTACTATGATACACTCGCCACCATAACTGTGGAGGTGGCTAAGGCTTACGAACAATGCCCTGCTTAACAAGAAACACCCGGTCGCCACGTGGGGCTCGAGTTACCTGATGCTTAACCAATGCGCCGAACAACGCCTTTGCCACCTAACCGCGCACTTCCCGTCAGGCCTATAACCACCCAGCCTGCGCAGGCCAACCGTCCATCCAGAAGTCGAGGACCCAATCAGTACGTATCCCCAACGTCCCCATCATCAGTCCAACCGGCCTCACTGCCCTCCACACCGTGCTTAGCAATGACGTGCTCACGCTTTCTCGAGCCTAACTGCTGCGTCGCAGTGCCAGGCCGCTTGAGCGGATACGCTTGCTGCGGTATCTGCCGGAACTGCTGCGCCTTCGCCTTGGCCCAGTAAACCTCCGTCGCATCCGTTTCCTCGGTCTCGGAATCATAGGTCTCCCAGTTCTCTGAGCCGCTTACAGCAGACTCTGTAACGCTTCCATTAACGCTGTTAACCTGGCTGTGGTTGGACATGATGGAGCTGGTATTCGATGTCTGGCGTGATGAAGGTGCTATGGGCTGGTCCTGCTGTGACAGGGGTCGGGAGGAGGACGATGCGTACGAAGATGCGTAAGAGTCTTGGCTTGGTGTGGCTCGGCCGTAGCCTGGCCGTGGAGGTGGAGGCATTGGGGCTGACGAGTGCAGAGTATGGTATTGTTTCGGCTCGTCACTGTACGGATCCTCGGGCTCCACGTGACGCACTACGCTTGCGCTGCGCTCAACATCAATGTTCTCGTGGCTAGCAGCAGTAGGATTCGGAGTCGGTGGAATGAAAAGATCCTTCATCCTTGGAGGTGGTGCACGAGGGGGTCCGCCACGTCCACGTATCGTCCCGTCGAGCTCCTCTGGTCGGCCTTTCAGTGTTTGTTGGCTCTGTGCAGCCCGAACCCGCCGCTCAGGCGAGTTCGGACCGTCGCGCATCGTGCTCATGGGCAAACGGCTCGCACCTGGGATCTTCGAAGGACTCAGCTTGCCAGTGCCATGTGCCGAAACAGAGGAGCCCATGATTGAAATCGACATCGTTGACGCAGACAAGAGGTTTCTGGATATCGAGGCCGTCGGGGTGTGGCTTCGTGGCGGCGGCGCGCCTCTTAACGTACCGGCTCTGCTCTGGACTTGCTGTGACCTGCCTGCGCTCTTCGGTGCCTCACGAGCCGGTGGCAGCGCATTCGGGGTCTTGCTCCTAGGCGGCGGCACCTTGACTTGTGCAGCGTCCAGCTCATCCAAATATCGCTCGCCGCGGACGCAGAAAGGCCTGCCGTACTCGTCTTCCCAATCCTCGAGCGTCTTCCGCAGCTCGGCCTCGACCTTTGGTAGATCTTTTGCAATGCGCTTGCGCATCTTCTCTTCGCGCAGAAGCTTGCCGGGATCCCGCTTCTCTCCCTTTTGACCTTTGGCCATTAAGCGACTCGCGTCTTGACTACTCCGTTCCAGCTCCTCGCGCTCTCTGATCAGCCCTCTGTGTTTCTCCACTGCTGCCAGAATGGGCGCGCGCTGCTCTTTTAGCGTCTTTAGACGAACAATCTCCTGCTCATGCGCTGAAAGAAGCGCGTCCGTGTAGGTGTCTGAGAAGGCTGGCGAGAATGCAAGCATCTCGTCCTCGGAGAAGTAGAGGTTGTCCCAGAGCTCTTGCAGCTTAAACCGCGCATCTTCGACGAACAAGTGTAAATTCTGTCTTTTCAGCTCGTTCAATCGACTCAGCTCATCTTCGAACTCATTGATCTGCCGTAGCCCACAGCCTCTGTTCGCGGAAAGGAATTGCTTGCGCTCACTGTCTTGCACGCCGAGCCTCTCCCACAACGCCTCTACATTCGCTCGGAGTTCCTTCAGCCGCCGCTCCCGCTGTTGCTTCTCCGACACCAGCTTGTCACGCCTGGATGCAAGCCGCTTGAGGTCGTCTTGATGCAGGCCTAGCTGCTCTGGCGTGTCACGTGCGAATTGCACGATGTTGCTGTCGACTTGAGCCTGCGGTGTCCCTAGTTCTGACCAGAGAGTGATGATCTCTTCCGCGATCTGAGAGACTGTTGTTATGCGCTTGTTGTACTCTTCGTACACGCGCGTGAATTCATGGTCCAGCTTAGCAACATAGGTTGGTGAAAGGTCAAAGTCTGGCGGTATCTTCGCGTTCGGCGACATGGGAGGTAGCTTGAGCTGTACGAACGAGGGTTCTAAATGGGATGCGTACGAGTTCAGCGCTTCCACTAGCTTCTTGACCTGTTCATAGCGCTCGCGGTGGAGAGTCGCTAAGGTGCGATGCTTCTCTTTGAGGTGCTGTATGCATTGCAGCAGGGGATAAGTAACCTTGAGCCCGTCCTCATCGCTCTCGAAGTCGGCGGCCGGCCTCAAGTCGTCCAATGAACGCTCCATTTGCCGTATGATTTTGATGAGACGCTGCGCTTCTTCTGTGAGATCATGCTTCTCCTTCGCGACGAGATTGAGCTGGTTGTGCAGTGTCTCCGACAGAGCGGAGAAGAGCTACTCAGAGTCAGCTTGATGCGCAATCAGCTTGACCTCAGCCAGCTTTACCTCTGACTCCCGCGAATCGCGCTCATGGCTGGGCACGCCGATCTCGTCAAAGAAGCCATGCAGGCGCTCAATGATGGTCGTCACTTGTTGAGAGAGGTATGATGTGTCCATTGCGGTCTCAAAGCCGCCAGCAGCGGCAGGACTTCGCCTGTAAGCTCATATACGGGAGAGCGGTGCCGAGGAATGCAGGGGCAATAGTCGAAGATCGCACGGCGAGCACGGTAGTAGTCGCCAACGGCTGGCCGTTATTTGTCTTGCGGAGGCTTGCAATACGGCTTTTGAAGCAATCTGTTGATGTTGTTGCTACGGTAAACAGCAGACCCCTGCTTCCGAAGTTGACGCGAGGGCGGGGAAATCCGTCGCACTTACGTTACTTCACAGTCTCTCTGAACTCTTAGACATTGTACGTAACAGGAGTCTGTTCGCTTCAACAGCCTACGCCGTCACTTCCCCGCAGTCCTCGATTCCCGTTCACAGAGTATACCGTGACATTTACTGGGCATGCCAGACTTTGACATTGGAACAGGCGGATGCGACCAGAATTTATCGCCACCTAGCAAGAGACGTGTATTGCCTGAACACGAAGAGGGACGTCTTCCGCCCGTCTGTGTTTTCGACTCTGGCACTAAAGTCCCCGGTCGTACGAACCCTCGCTCTCTGCTAACCTCTGCATAATCGCGAGCAGCTGAAGCATTTGTCCTCGGGACACTACAGCTTGTTTACCAACATGAGGCAAATCTGTTGTGGATGAGCCACGAATGCAGTACGGTTGTCAAACCCTCCCTCTAAGTACATGTTCCACGCTCTTTCCATGTCAGTCCCTGTGCCTTCTGATTAGCGTGCCTTCCCCTTTTGGCTTCTGTTGCCGTTCGACTGCAAGTGCACACGGCTGCTCATCTACGACTCCCTTCCAGTATACATACCGATCACTTTGCCTTCACTCACAGGTTAGGAACCATTGTCGATTCTCGCACTTAGCATCTGGCATGGGAAGCTTTAACACTCAGCACGCTCCCTGTGCAGTTGGGGAATGATAGCTTCGCGCTCGTTGTGGTGAGAAGGTCTCCCATCCACGCTGTAGTCGAGGGAAGATGTGAGCGAACAGGACGAAGGTAAGATGAAAATTCTTTGGGGAGGGTACTGTCGAGGAGCAAGTTTTCCGAGGAATACACCATCGGAGAACGTAGCCACAACATCAAAATAGATGCACAAGACAGGCCGTTTATTAGCGACGCACTCGCGCTTACCCTCACATACCAAGAATTTTATCCAGAATGCTCCGCGCTTTTCTATGGCGGAAACACCTTTTCATACTCTGGCAGACTCGGACGCAATTATACGAGGGAGGAAATAGCTGTCGGTGATGCATCAACGTTCTGCCACTGGGTCGATACGCTAGGACTATCCGCGAAATAGCTCCGGCAGGCTACCATCAAGTACCAGGACGAGGCACTCCACGAAGGTGATATCGAAGCTACTCTCAAGTGTCTCAGGCAAGCCTTGCGCGTACTTGTTCCGGAGTACGGGGATACGTTTCGCGCCCTCCCTTCGGTCAAACACTCGCTAGAGATCGAGGTTGACAAGTCTTGGTTATATGAAAGAGGTCGTGACCCTTACGTCTTGACACTCCCGCTGGACTCGTCCGGGATGTTCGGTTACGCGGTCGAAGATCAACTCGATACTCTACTAGGGGAAGCCGACAATAGAGCCTTGGGACTAGCAGACGTGACTATCGCTGTGTTAGTCTGGGCCGACTTCGAGCACTTCCGGGAAAGATACCGCGAGCTGGAGCAGGACCTTCACGACGAAGGCGCCTTTGATACATTTTGTGGGAGCGTGGAGATTCACCAGACAGCAGCTGTGCAACGCAACCAGCATATCAGATTAAGATCAGAACAAGCTAGGCGTGCTTGGAGACGCTTCCAAAGTGCCTATGAGTTGTGGAAGACCGTGACGACAAAGGATTCCATAAAGCGGGACTCGGGGCAGCGGACCGTCTCAAGCAGACTGCCAAAAAGCGCTCAAATGGATATGGGAACAGAGATTACGATGCCAGCCGGAGGATGCGTTTGGTGCATGACCATAGGGTACCCATTGGAGAACAGAAGTTCTTCAACCGAAGCACTACGCTCTCCTGGCCCGCAAGCGTTTGTGCAGAATCATCAGCTGAGAGGCAGCGGCTCGGACGTTGGCCAAAGAATGTGTACTTCGGACCCACTGGAGCGATGAACCTCCCAGCAAGTGTCACGTGCGTGCGTCTCAAGTTCTCACAGTCCATGAAGTATCTGCACGTGGAGGTCGTACGTTGGCAGTAGGGCGCAACCACAGCGTTGACGGTCATTGCTACCACTCTTTCATTCACGGACGGCCTATACAGCGCAAGCCCAGTTATTCTTCCCATGCGCTACTCGACTTCCCAGGTTTGCGTAGGTGGTGACTTAGTCGAGCTTACAGAGAAGTCATAACCGGAAATACTCTGACTGGCATTACAGTGTCCGGCAACGCTGCCTCGATAGCACCATCAGCACAGTATCCCACGTCTCCGGCACGACTTCTCAACTGGGTCGCACTTATGTGTGGGCTAGGCCGTAGCGCGAACAGGCCAGGCAAGAAGCTGCATAAAGGTGCGCCCGTGGAACGTCGAAGTGTCACGGCCAGGCAGCCCGATATCCCATCGGCAAGCCCACCACAAGCATCTCAAGATGCGCAAGCCTTGTCACGCCGTGGCAGCACAGCCTCCACGCTATTCAGGCTGCCGCCAATGCTCAAAGACTTCGCTTACGAGATAGAACTCCGACTGCTAACGCCGCTAGAGAAAGCAATCCATCGTGAGCTCAGCAGAGTAGCGGGCTCTGGCAGCCTTCGCGTAATCACGCAGCCAGGTTCCGAGGTCCTTGAACTATCCGATCAAAACTCAGCGGATGCCTGCACAGCTGTACAAGGTTTGACCAAGAATCTGCGGGAGCGGGACAGGGAGATGGCATGTCGTGATCTTGATAAGCTAGTGACACACGCTCAGCAACTGGTGTTGCGGCGGCTTCTGTTCCACAAGCTAGAAGTTCGATGCGGGAGCCAGCAAGCCGGAGTTAGAACTGTCGAGGCTGACTCGATTGGTCCTGGAACTGTACGAAGGCCGGACCCAGGCCCATACCCTAGACTCTATAATCCGAGGCGAGCCTCCTTAGCGGGCGCTGATGCTGAGGCCGCCGGACCCCAACGCTGGTTGTCTCCCTACGAACTGCGCTGTACCAGCCCTGTGAACCGCGGCATTCGCGTTCAGCGAAGTTTCGCACTCTATGAAGAGCCTTACCTGCGTGGAGGTGGAGACGAGGTTGACGAATCGTCTCAAGCAAAGGTGCGAATTTGGGACGTTGTCCGCAAGCCACGCCGGTTAAATGACCAAGAGCGGTAAGTATGCTGAAATACGTAGCGAATGTTAGCTGTCGGTATAGTAGCTGATACGAGTTGCCATCCTCCCTAGACCTCCCGCACTGCTCTGGTGGTTTGCAGGAGGAAGGCTCAAACGCAAAAGGCCCGGACTCGCCGTACCGACTGCTGCCGAGCTTCGAGACCGACGCGAGGTAGCAAAACTGAACCGAGAAAGGGTCGGCTTCTGGGGCAACGTTGCAGGCGCAAGGGAAGTCTCTATGACGAGGAAGGAGCTCGCTGCGATGCGTGGTTCCGAAGTTGCCGAATCCTATCAGACACATCAGACAACTTGGCCACCACGAAGTGGTTTGCACTCTGATCCACCTCAACACAAGCGAGGTGGTGCAAAGCACCCTCAACCGGAAGACCTGGTCTCTTCAGAGTCTCATGATGAGGAGCCAGCGTCGCCATTAACGCACGGACTGCCTTCCGACGAAATAACTGCGCAGCCTCACAAACGCATGCCTGGAGTGCAATCGGAAGAAGAAACAAGCGGGTAGTGGACAATGTGCGGAGCTCTCGATGGGTCGACGAGCGAGTCAGATGTCTGCGCTGCGCCAAGACCAAGCAGTGAAGGACATGCGCAGTGCTCTCGAATTGGGGTTCAGCTGGGCTGTCACCATTGCCGGTTGCCTGGGAAGCAACTCAGGCAATGTTGGCCAAATCTTCACGGCCTTTCAGGAAGACAGCTTGTTTGCGCGATCGGCTGCAATCTCGCACATAGCCTGCACAGTCAGCCTGGAGTTGCATTCTACGGAAAGAGCTTACCTACTCTTATAGCAGCAGCCCGCTCAGTCTTGAGATCACTGCTTGCCATCCTCTTCCTCATATCGTCCATTATGACGGGTCTGCTCCGGCCATTGACGAAGACAACATAGCGCAATCCTGGAAACTTTCTCTCGTACTCTGCGTTCAGGTCCGCTAAATGTTCGGCTTCCTCACGGCTGCCTTGCAACTGCGCTTGCTCGGCTTGACTTTGTGCACTTTCGACTTTCTTCGCACCGAGACGTGGATGCGAGCCGAGGATGCTCTCTAGCCACTGAGTGTCCGAGGTGGAAGCGGACTCAGACAGCTCGGTCAGCTGCACGCCGACTGCAGCAATGAGCTCATCGTACGAAACAAACTCCTTGTCGTGCAACAGAGGTACGGATAAGGTATGCAGTTGAGTACTTGGCTCAAACAAGAGGTCCAGGATTTTCGCTCTCTCTTCTGTGGACAGCTTCGGTACGTCGGACACAGGTGGCAGCTTTGTCAATGCCATTGTGCTTCGATTACACGGCACGAACAAGAAGACAGTCAGCTTAGGGCCAGATTGAGGTCAAATCATTGATCTGGCTGCAAAAGAAAGCTCGACGTTGTTATGTGCCTAGGGTAAAAGACCCGCTGTAGTTCGCTGCAGGTTAGTGGAGCCGGCTGGCCTATCCACTAGCCGTGTGCGAAAGGAGAGTAAATGGGTGCACGACTCAAGTACGACCATTCAGATATCAGATGCGTGCTGTTCTTGTCTGAACGTGACGTAGCTCGCTTAAGACGACAGCCGTCAGATGCTCGAGCTATGCCTCGAATCGCGGTCCCGATGGTCAGAGCGTCCTGTAGAGCTTGCGTCGCCCCACCTTATCGAAGCTATGGAAGCACAAGGTGTATGCTAATTCTGTGTGGCTGCCAAACACGGCTCGTCTCCGCTGGGTTTGTCGGCTAGATCTGCGGTCCGGGTGTGCTGTGACCTGCACAGAACGCGGGTCCGCAACGTCTTGCAATATGCACGATCGGGGAATATGTTTTCGATTGTCGTCATGGTGGCTCCTCATGCCGTGGCCCGGCACTTTAGCCAACGGAGGAATAACGCTCTAGCGGCGACGTGCTGCCTTGGCGCACACCGTGAAAGGCAAACACTGCACACAGAGCACAAGAGGTGGGGATCTCGGAGATCAAGGCGCAGTTTCGCATTAAGGTGCGGCTGCTGGGCCAGGTAATGATTTGTCGATCGACCGCATGGACCGTAAAGATCCATGCGCCAGTCTGCCCTAGACCGAGCTTAATCTTGGTTGGCAAAAGTTACCAGGATGCTTGCGAACCGTGACCATGTTTCCCTCTCCCTCCACCACAGTGATTCTGTCCGGCCATACCAACAACACGCCGGCGATTAATGTATTGATTGTACTAATAGATTATTCGTTCATGGCAAGCGATGATGAATAGAAGTCATGCGACGTCTCTATACGCACGAGGAACCCCGCCGTCCACGATCTCCGGCACCCCTGAATGCTGCCACGACACCATATCTGCGCGCGGAGTAAGCAAAGGCTGAAGGAACATGTCGTTGAACGGGTTGGACCATCCTGCTGTGGTAGACGCCTACAACTCAGCCATTGCAGAAGCAGGAGGATGGTTAGTCTGTCAATGAAAAGCGGTGGCGCATATTGCGGGATACTGAGGCAACTGTGTAATCTAGGTTCCTGCTCCTCTATGTGTCGCGAGACTCTGTCGAGCTCCTTGGACGCGGAAAAGGCGGCGTTCTGGAAGCGAGGGCCGAGCTGGCGAAGTATGAGGATCAATCTCCGCTATATGGCCTCTTAATCTACCGACGACGGAAGATATTGATCAAATACGTACCGGAAGGCACATCGCGTCTACTCCAGGGTTAGAATAGTCGTATACAAGTGTCTGTCACCTTGCTGACGTTGGGTAGCACGAACCGCTGTCCACATTCAGGAATTCCTACAACGCTATTCGCCATATGAAACGCTCTTGGAAATTAGCAATTCAGACGAACTTAATGATACGTCACTTGCTGCATCGTTCCCATTGCATACGGCGTCTACTGCAACTTCGTCAAACCGGCTAAACGAAATCAGCGAGGATGGCGAGGATCATGGCGCGGTGCCAGAACGGCCTAGCATGCCTGCGCAAGCTTCGTCAACTTCGCTGTTACGCTCGCAACGATGGAAAACTGAAATGCGCATGGACCAGCTGGTTGGTGGTGACCGCGCGAGAAAGCCACCGCCGTCTATACAAATTACGTCCGAGAACTCTTCGCCCATCACCTCGCCACTTGCGTCTCCTGGCAAAACGTCGATCTCGCAGTTTCTGGTCTGGGACGAGTCCGGAAAGCACACGATGACGTCGCTTGGCTCACAGCCTTCGCTGGCATCTATAACCGATTACGCAGGTTCTGAGAAATCCGGCAAGAGTGCAGAGTCTACCACAACTGCTGGCGAATCCGGACAAACCACAGTGGCCAAGCCGATGGCGGAGACGACGAAGCCAGCACCAATGGAGACTCCGAGCGACAAGAGCACTTTTCCAGAACGCGCAGCTTCCGTATCCTCAGACAAGGTGTCGGCAGGGCGCTCAAGCATATCCGAGCGGCCAAGTCTTACAGAAACTGCTCGTAAGTCGGGCACAGAGGAGCCGTACGATTTCAGCTATCTGGACTCCAAGCCCAAAGTCAAACTCGGACCTCGTCTTGTCTCGGAGGGCAAACGCGCGACAGCAGCGACAGTGTCTGCGATGCCAGCCACTCTTCGAATGGCTCAAAAGAAAACCGAGTCAGTGAGCCGTCCAAAGTCGCAAGGACCGGGAACTGCACTACACTCGTTCCCGGGTATGGTACCTGCGCCACCACCAATACCGAACGTGCCGGAGTACAATCCGAGGCCGGTGTCGCGAGGAAGCGTGAAGTCTATGCCGTCACACAAGTCCACCGCATTGACGCCGGATAAGGTGCGCTTGATGAAGGCCGTGGAGTTGCGGAAGAAGCAACTGCGTAAATCGAACCCGCAAGCTGCCACTTTCAAGCCACCAGCCGATGAAGAGAAGCCTGCTGTGCCTGAAATACCAAGCGGGCTGAAGTCAGCGCCAGATCCGCAAGCCGAGAAGGCGCACAATCGAGACCCCGAAGCAGAGATGCAGATGAGCGAGGAGCAGCCAGCATCGTCCAAGAAAGCCGACTCGGGCATTGAAATGAGCTATGATGATGCTGCGCATAGAGAGCGCATTAGCGGAGCTCCATCGACTGCGAACGAGGCCCTCCAAGCCTCTTCAGATCCCGCAACCTTGCAGCAATTGCAGTCTGGCTCACCGAAGGCTAAGTTACTGAAGCTGGAGACATCGAACGAACACCTGGCCGAGCGGGCAATCGAGCACGACACGCAGCCGAAAGCCACAGACGCCATGCTTGGAGAAGGTTTGTCAAAGTCACACTTCGCGCATCTACAAAGCTCAGCGGCGACAGATAGCCCTGCGTTTGGACGGACTCCTGATGCGGTACACACAAGCCCAATTACTGAGCCGGAGGCAGCTAAGGTGCCAGCCATTGTTATGGCTGATGGCTCCCAGCCGATGACTCACAGCCGGCAGGCATCTCGAAATGATGTTGTCCCAGAGCCGGTTGTAGAAAACGAGACTGCACCTTCACAGGACGAACAAGCAGACATTGAGATCGTGGACGGTCCAAAATTGGGCCGCCGCCAGAATAGCGATCTCGCGAAGCGAAGAAGAGGCATTGTGGAGCCGTTGCACATCGAGGCGCAGAGCGAGGGCGACCTGGACTCTGATGATGAGTTTCTGGAGGAGCTACAGACTGCTACGTTGCAACAAGCGAAGCCAATGACCATGAGGTCCCCGATCCTCCCTTCGTTTCCGCGCCGGCCAAGCGCGCAGTCAGTGCACTCCGACCGGTCTGCTCCATCCGTGCGATCGGTCACCATCCGGAAGTCTTCCTCGAACCTAGTCGACCGAGTCGACACGAATACGGAGCATGGCTCTCCGCAGCAGGAAGACGCGCAGACGGTCCGGGATAGCTCGGTTTCAACACCGCCATATGAACGGAACGATCCATTACAGGGCTACAGCAAGAATATGTCTTTGGGAATCACAAGACGCATACAAGCACTGGCAGATTTGTCCGGCCAAGAGTCAGCGTCCGCCAACCCTGCCCAATCACCAACGTCTGAGACTTCGCCCCTTACAACATGGCGGGAGCGCAAGGGCGCAGTTCGAAGTCCACCAGGTTCACGTACTCCCTCCATGAAGGCCGCTGCTCGGTACAGCGGTCGATCAAGTGGACATTCAGCACTGGCGTCTCCCCCGTTGTCGCAGGGAGAGAACGCACCGGTTTATAACATCCAGCACGACCCGACATTGAACCGTGACTCTGTATCAGTGACGGCGCGTATAGTCCGGACTTCAATGATTGGCGAAACCGAAGAAGTCGTCGAAGACGGACGCCTACAGCAATCGCAACTCGTCATCAATCACAAACGCGCATCAGGAACGCAGGCCCGCAATACAAACAAGCCGCTCCCACCGCTGAATACCGACCAGCCCATACATCGCGTGGAGTCCGCGCCGCCCATGGGACCGAACGAACTAACTGGCAGCGGTCCCGTTGAGCATCGCACAATGCATTCTGCCAGCCGAAGATCGTTCGGCAGACACAGACAAGCGCCTATGTCACCTATTACGCCTTCAGCAGACGACTTCCCGCCACCGCCAGTGTTCAAAAGCTTCTCAACGACTTCCATTACATCTGCTAGCGACGAGAATGCGGCCGTTAAGGACAGCAGCAGGACGAGTCGATGGCTGAAGCGGATGAGTAATCTTGGAAGCAAGGACAAGAGGCGGAGCGGCGCGCTTTTGTCGAGTGCAGGGTCGAGCGCAGCCGACGTGACGAGCCCAGCGACAGCAGCGACGAGGAATCCGAGTATACCGCAGCATGATAAGGCGGACATGCCACCTCCTGTGGTGCTCGGGGACCTCAATGCGCAGTTTCCGGACTCTCTGGTATGTCTACATCTCTTTATCGTGCATCGTAGCTTTACTGACAAGAACCAGCTTTGGAAACGCCGCATAGTCACGCTCGACGGTGAAGGCAACGTCCTTTACGCCATACCGCAAGCTCTTGACGTTCATAAAGGGACAGCGCCGAAGAAATATCATTTGAGTGAGTTCAAAATACCATACGCGCCGGATCTGGATCGCCAGGAGTTACCACACTCGATCATGCTCGACTTTATTGATGGAGGCACCACGCTGCAGGCCGCCTGCGAAGATGCCATGACGCAGCGGCAGGTGCTGCATGTGCTGAGGAGCTATTGGAAGGCTTGGGCAACGAATGCTTGACACGCTTGCAACATGGTTGGTCTCGACGAAGGGTAAACGGCAGGCCTTGTATTGCCGTCCTTGGCGCAGTTGGATGGTTCGGTGAAATGGGTTAGAGAGCGACACCGGTGACGATATACCCGATCTTGCACGAAACTTAGGGATGCTGTTGGATCGTTTAGTGGAGTCCAAGATGGCTACTATGTATACATATTGTAGATCTAGCTGCATACGGGACACAGAACGGGCAAGACGCCGCCATCGTGCGAGACAAATATTGTCATAATCCAGAGATCCATTGACAAGCCCGTGTTTTTTTCGGACCGTTAGACAAAGACCGAGACAGTTATCGATTTATGATCAATATTTAGGCGCGCTTCGAAAACTCCAGCTGTTCACTTCAGTGGCGGCTGACAAAACAGCATCGCTACACATCAGGGTCCAAGCTGTCATAAACATTGTGAATCCGATCGATATACAGTTGCTCTCTCACAATCATATCACTAACGACACGAAGCAACCATGGCACCTTTACGACACATTCTAACCGCTTCTCTGGCCGTCTTCGGCGCCTCAGCATCCGCCGTCCTGGACCTGATCCCATCCAACTTCGACGATGTAGTCCTCAAGTCCGGAAAGCCCGCACTCGTCGAGTTCTTCGCACCATGGTGCGGTCACTGCAAGAACCTCGCACCCGTGTACGAAGAGCTTGCCACCAACTTCGAGTTCGCCAAGGACAAGGTCACCATCGCCAAGGTCGACGCCGATGCTGAGAAGGAATTGGGCCGACGGTTCGGCGTCCAGGGTTTCCCTACGTTGAAGTGGTTCGATGGCAAGAGCGACACACCTGTGGATTACAGCAGTGGACGAGATATCGACAGCCTGACCAAGTTCGTCCTTGACAAGACTGGCATCAAGCCGAAGGCGGTGAAGAAGGATGCCGTACAGAGCCCGGTTGAGATGCTGAACGACAAGACGTTCACGGAGAAGATTGGCGGGGACAAGGATGCTTTGGTTGCATTCACTGCACCATGGTGTGGACGTACGTCCCGCGAAACAGTTGTCAAACGGCTAGAGTGACAAGCTAACTGACCGCTGCACAGACTGCAAAACTCTAGCGCCGACGTGGGAGAAGCTTGCCTCGGACTTCGCCGCCGAGACTGGCGTTCTGATTGCCAAAGTCGACTGTGAGGCAGAGAATGCCAAGGCTACTGCTCAGGAAGCGGGCATCAAGTCTTACCCTACCATCAAGTACTACCCGAAGGGCAGCAAGGAGGCCATCTCGTACGAAGGCGGCCGCTCCGAGGGCGCTCTTGTCACGTTTATGAACGAGAAAGCTGGTACCCACCGCACCATTGGCGGCGGCCTCGACGCGCTGGCCGGCACAGTCCCCAGCCTCAATGATCTGGTCAAGACGCTCAAGAGCGGCGGCGATGCTGCCTACAAGGAGTTCGAGAAGGCTGCCGCGGCGGTGCAAGGTAAGTACGGGGAGTACTACTCTAAGGTGGCGAAGAAGATGGCGGACAACCAAGGCTACGCTGAGAAGGAGTGGACGAGACTGCAGGGACTGCTGCAGAAGGGCGGCTTGGCGCCAGAGAAGATGGACGACCTTACGAGCAGGAGCAATATCCTGAGCATTTTCCGGGGTGGTGACGATATTGAGGACGAGCCGAAGGAGGAGCTCTAAACGGGATGGCCATACTATACTTGATGTATTTCCCTTGCGACGGCCGCTGGGAAGGCTTCTGCAGTGGGTATGTGTTGACTTTTCCCAAGGTCATGGGCGTTGCGTGTATAATAAAATGCAGATAGGTGTTTGTACGGCGTCGTGTAGAAGCTTCGTTTTGCATTAGATGCTTAGGGATAGTCCATAGCTTAACACCACGTGCGCATGCGAATCATGTTACGCATCATAAGGAGCTCTTATCTCTGGCCACTCTGCACATTTACCCCGTCACCACTTCACAGCCATAACACGCAATTGCAGCGGAGCCGCCCGGCCTGTGCCGCACACGACACGACATCCCACGCCTGCAGCGAGGCTTGCGGGGTTGATGCACGCATCTCAACGTGTCTTCCCAGACACTCGGGACACATCTTGCGGCGGCGGATCCGAAGCCCGGCAACGATGGGAAAACAGCCCGTTCATTCAGATATCAACGGCATGTTGGTCCGGTGTTGTCGCAGCTGGGTAGCATTCAACTGCTCGTAGTTTTTCCATCTGAGGGTGAGGCGTAACAGATGATGAGGATGTCGGACAGACCAACTTGGCCGAGAAGCCCACCAATCCTTGCGTTGCGGACAAGATCGACTCAGGGATGGGGGGGCGCCTCCCGTCCACCACGCTATCTCGTAAAGGGCAGGTTGTATCTTAGCGTGAGCTCCACCATGATTCAATCACGACTGCGATCTCGATATAGCAGCCGCGGAGAAGACACGACGAATGTTTACGTTACATGTCAGTGGGAGACGTGTGCCACCGCGCGAAGAGCGCAACACGCCGGGCGAAGTTGGGCAGTAGGTTATGGCAAAAGGAGTGCTCACGCGATCACATGAACGTGCCAGAATCCCTTATCAGCACGTTCGGCCACTGCATCCTGTGGGGGGATGCATACGGCGTACCCTTTACGCCCGGCGTACGGTCATCCTTTCCGGGCTGTTACTGCTCACCACATCCTCTTCCTCCCTTCTATATTCTTGTCACGTTCATTTCCTAGAGAACCTCCCTCTGTGTTGTCCTTCCTCACATTTCCTCGAACTAATGATTAGCCCTGCTCGGCTCTTACGACATAGAAACACGGCCCGCTGCTAGATTGCATAACTACAAGATTGGCCCCCGGAACGTCACAACCAAGCCTCTTCAGGTACAGCGGAAGGGCAACAGCGGCGAAGCGGAAGAGCCTTTGCGCTCTTCAGCGCTGGTCGCGTGTGGAGCTCACGAGACCGCGCTTTGACTAAGGGACCGCTTTTCCCTACCGCTAGCGCTGGAGCCTCGCAAAGATGATGGTGCCGAGGGCGTACAGCTATTCATCGTCGCCGCCGCAGGCACTGCACATGAGCGAGAAGATTAGCGGGAGGAAGGGTTCAAGGAAGCATGCAGCGCACATCGAGAGGAGGCCTGCGACGAGGCCAGAACCGTCCGCGCGAACAGTAACGGAGCCGGTGAAGCCTGCTTCGAAACCCATGGCCGTGCCAAAGCCGGAGCGCAGCTATTCAGGCACTGCTCAGAGCGTACCGACGAGGACTCGCAAGGCTGTGAGACGCTTGCCCGCAACACACATTGCGAACGCGCTCCCACCTGCCGTGGCCGCACTCTTGGCCGTAACGGAGATTCCACCACCCAAGCCGCACCAGCTCCGGCGCAAATCACGCGACCAACGGCGAGTGTCCATAGATGAGCTTGTGAGCTCATGGAAGAGTGATGATACTTTGCGCGCCAGTTACAGCAGCAGTTCAGCTCTCAGCGTACTACTCGAGGATGCGAACCGCGATGTGGAACCATGCTCAGCATCTCATGATAGCCAAGGCGAAATGATGTTTCTGCATGCTCGCTCAGCCTCGAGTGATAGCGTACCTTCTCTGGATGCCGATGACAGGTCGGTGCTCTCTATGGGCAGCCCTTCCACGCCTGGGTCTTTGCGAAGCCGAAAGTCCAATAGCAATCTAAAGCGTGACCGGGCTCGGTCAGTGGCGCTCGTGGTGGAAGATACGACCTTGGACCATCCGCTCGTGCCTCCGCAGCCCATTGATAGCGACGACGACATCATCCTTATCACACCCAGCAGTAGACCGAAAGCGACAAGACCGAAAGCGACCTTTACCTCCAACCTCACCACCTCCCTACGTGCACTAAAGAACGCCACGATTGGTTCGATCACATCCTTCAGCATCAGCACAAGCATCTCACCAGCGCAGAGACCGTCGGCTCAGCGCTTCACCGACGACGTACTATGGGCGCATCCCTTCCTCTTCCCACAACTTAGCTCAGAGATCCGGCCGACAGTAGAAGGCACGCCTACGGAGGCACAACGACGCTATCTCAACCCTCTGCCGCTCAGCTTCGAGGAGCAAGAGGCACCGTTCCAGCAGGCCTTGCATGCTCCTTACCTGGCTGAGCGCATTGACGATGCACCTACCATTCCCATGCAGACTTATACTCGCGCGAGACGGAGAGCAAGCGAGAAGCGCAGCAGCAGTCCCGACCCGAGCACGGAAGCCGGTAGAGCCCTTCTGGCGCTGGCGGGGGTTCGTCAGCGCGAGCCGCGAGAGAATAGTGACTTTCTGCGAGTGGTGGTGTTGGAGATGAATATGCGGAGAGAAGGCAAGCTGGATTCTGGAAAGGCACGCATATGGTTGCCGCCGAGGCAGGTCACTGGTGTTCTGTCCGAGTCTCCGCTACGCTGCGTCGGCTTGAGCGCGTATGACTGAAGGCATTACACTCGAAGGCTTTTGTACCTTAGCACTTAATGCACAACCAGGTGGCATGCCAGCTTCCCGGCCGGACCATCGTTGCTACGGCGTCTTACACTACCCTTGACACATGGGTTGATTCCACTTATCCCAATCCTTGGGCGCAACAAGCCCCTTTTGCGCTTCAAGGTATCACCTCTCGGTCTTATGGACTCTTGGATTGGTAGCCCACAAAGATGCGGTGTCGTACGCGTTCTACAAGTAGCTGCTCCGGACCGATTCCGCGTGTGTTGGCGTATGACTCTGGGACGACCACGCCTGTAGCGACTCTTGCAAAGCGAATACTAACGTGGACGGCAAGTGATGGACTTCTCCGAGCATGTATCGTTCTCGGATTGACCACACAGAAGCTCCACATCGTTTAGAAGCAGCTTACATACTGTAGCTTTTTCGGCCCTAAAAGCCACAGGCGTCCAATCAACCACATACATCACCATCCTGAATGACTTTACTCACGACTTCGGCCCCTTTGGCCCCTGTCAATCGCTGTGCTTCGACCTCCGACGATGCTTCGCTCACCCTATCGACTCGCCGAATCGTAGTATATTCTCTTGTCTCCTGACATTCTCTTCCCACAAATCGCTCGGTGTGGTTTTCCTGCACATCCTCATCCCACGCTTGAAGACAATCATACATTTGGAGAGCATCCCTTTCCCTTTGGCATTCTCGTTCTTCCCACCATTACCATGTCGCCGCCGCTACCTCCTTTGTCGTCCTTATGGCCGAAGTCGCCGTATACACCGTGGCCGGCTTCGCAGGCCCCGGAGACGCCAGCTTCCATGCGTTAGGATATCCCTCTACGGACTTTTGGTCGACCATATAGGGACACTTGACTGAGTTAGCCGACGTCTCCATCTAGATCTTCGTGTACTTCTTCGTCTCCACCGGACTTGTGGTCACTATCACGACCATCCTCGCGGCGTTTGAGTAAGCGTCAGTAACACGGTGGTACACATTAGCCGGTCTGGCCACAACGAACGTTATCGGACGTTCGCTGTCTGCCTCGTGATACACCGTGGCTACCCCTTGAGGAGGCAAGACGAGACATAGGTACGCGGTGTGCGGGCACACGTTGAAACAAGCGCTGTTGAACTCACGATCGTAATGCAAGCTTCACGCGGTACGCCAGCTCCGCATGAACCCTTCCGACCATTGTCCTTGCTTTTTTTGTCGTGATCTTGCTGAACAGTGTTCACTTCCCCAAGGGCGTCAGTTCGCTCAGGCTCGTACCTATGCGGCCTAGGTCACGTCACGAGCCAGAGGGCCAGGGTCATCCTCGTGATGATGACACTGGCTGAGCGCGGTGAGAAGGTCACCTGAAGGAGGCCGAACAAGTCAGACCATCGAACTAAGGGTACCCCATACGCTCAGTGCTGGGTTCATTTAGGCCCCACGCATGCTTGCCGCCATCATGCACCTACGCATCGATGGGTAACAGGGTTAGCTAAGTCTTGGCCGATCAGGGCGGGACTGCACTTCGTTTAACTTACAGTCGCTCGTCTCATGTCTCGAACATGCTTCCCTTCGAAGCTGCCTCCGGTAGCACGATGCATCACACAAGTGTTGTCCCACAAGATCAAGTCCGAATCCTCGGTCCACTACGGTAGGTCAGTCATCCGAGTAACTCCTTCGGCCAACCTAGTGGCTCACATCAATAGCAACCGTATATTTTGGATTGCAAGCGTGCTTATAGAGCTTGTCCAGCAATACCTTCGAGTACTCTGGCGGCACGTTCTCGATGTGATGGACATGCGAAGCTATGTAGAGGTTCATTCTGCCGCTTGGCTCATGTCCTGTCAATCGTCAACAAAGCAGGTTGGCGTCAGCCTAAATCAGCACACTCACGCTGTACAAGCCGATGTCTCGACATGAAGTGGTCTTCAGGGTTCACTCCAGGTAGGGACTCGGGAGCTGCGAGCTTCCGCGAGTGATACAGCGAATGGCAGGCCACGTAGTCCTCTTCCAACAGCTCATTTCTAAGCTCATCTGGCAGTTCGTCAAAGGCGGTGCGAGTATCTGCATACTCGGTGGCGCCTCCGGTCCCTTGCGGCGGCAATTGGTGTGCCCGCAACAGACTGTAACCACCACGCCGAGGGTTGAACGAGGAGTCCACGTGGAAGAGCGAGTTACCTTTGTTCATTGCTGCACGGTGACTGTCAAGGGGCGCTACCGAACCGTCCTCAAGAAGGTTGCTCACGTCGAAGAGCTCTACGAATGGCAGCCGGTGCTTCTTGCCATGCTTGGTGTATGGGGACACGTCGTCCAGGTCACCAAACTTCGAAGCGAAAGCGACATGGCTGGCATCATCAAGTCCCGTGGCAGGAAATCGGATCACGCCGTATTTTGCGATAGCCTCTTGGATCCGGCTGAACACATGAGGCGCAACGTCGTTCGTGAAGTCTACGCCGTGGACTTCGGCGGCGAATGTAGGGTGGAGCTCCTTGATGAACAGGCTGGATTCTTCTCTGTGCGGCATGGTGTTGAGCGTGCAGACGAAAGTAAGAAGTGAAGAATGATATGGAAGACCTTGTGAAGTAAAGTTGCTCCTCTTATCGCTAGATCCTTTGCCGAGGGCCGCTCAGCTACAGTTCATGCAGTACGCAGCACCACTGAGGAAGCGTCATGGACGAAGAGCTGCAGGTTAATTCACGACGCCGTCTAGAGGACACAACGTCTCCGACGACCGTTTTCCTCGATGTACATTGACTGTTGTAAGAGATAATACCCTTTCCGGCAAATGGGACGACCAGGCAGAGTTGTGAAGATACTTTGGGTCGAACGGTTGGTAGCAACCACGCCGATCTTAACCCCGCGGTAGCTGTCAGACCTGAGACATTTGCTGTATAGTCGTTGACGGCTTCAACTCGTCTGCGAAAACCGTGAACAGCGGCGATGTCAGATTCACTGACCGTCGCCAAGCAGAGTAGTACTCCCACGCAAGCTTTCGGGGAGCAAAGGAGCATTTCATTCGTTCAGCACTGCCGCTTTGGTGCTAGCATCGGACGTAGGTAACCGCTCCATGCATGGTAGCGTGCATGGGCTCATGAGAGTCAAAGGCTGTCGCAGCGGGGCGCTGATGGACTCACGCTGTTGGCTGGCCTGTGAGCGCGGACCCACGCTGCACTCTGATGAGACTTCGCATCCATCCTCGTCGCCGCTCCATCTGACGCGCTAGGTGGTCCTCTTATCAAATGATCTTTCTGCAAGAAGCTTTTCTCTCCTCGATGCTCCCTCTGGGCAAGCTGTCTCTGCTGTGATCATCCGGCATTCGTTTCTATCTACTGTAGCGAACAGTTTGTAGCTATCTCTTTGCTAGCACTCCCGACAGATCGAGTCAAGCTTGTAATCAATTATTACAGATCACCGCCGTGCTTTTCGACGTCTCGTTGCAATCGTGAGCAACCCATTGCGCCAAAGCACCGGCTCGAAAGACCGCGACACCCAGAGCGCCTCGCCCACCACTGCCGCATGACAACGCCCTAGCGATCAAACTTATCTGGACACAAAGTGACACCTGAGGAACCCGTACGCCCATTGCGCTTGTGTAGAAGCAGAGTTCCCATTGCGACGCATCTCCCAAAGCAACCATGGCCGATCAGCTTGCACCCACGGAGCTGAGACAGCGCAAGAACAGTGTTGGCGCTGTGGAGCTGCAAGGCCCTGGCGGCGTTGTCAAGACAGTTCAACTGGATGAGCTCAGTGAGGCGGATCGTGCCCTTGCAGCAGAGTTCGGATACAAGCCTGTCTTCAAGCGAGAGTTTGGTTATCTGTCAACCTTCTCCTTCGCCGTGAGCATAAGCGGACTGTTCTCGACCGTTGCCACAACGTTCTCATACCCGCTATACGCCGGTGGAAGTGCATCCGCAGTATGGTGTTGGCTAATCTCCGGAGCTGGTTGTATGTGTATTGCGGTGAGTGTGTCCAGCGAAGACTTTGACCGCTAAATGCGTGACTTGCGCAGGAAACGAAACTGACATCTCGTGCTAGTGCTCGGTTTCTGAACTTGTGTCAGCGTATCCGACCTGTGGAGGATTGTGAGCATGCCACAATCGATGAAGGGAGACCACAACGCTTACTACTTTGGTATAGGTACTACACGATCTCGCGCACTGCGCCCAAGGCGTGGGTGCCCTCTCTCAGCTGGGTCACAGGCTGGCTCAACCTGCTCGGTCAAGTCGCCGGTATCGCTTCATCCGAATGGGGTGCAGCTTCACTTCTGCTTGCCGCTGTCTCGATGGGCACTGACTTCACATTTGCACCAACCGTCGGGCAGACTGTGGGCGTGATGGCCGCTCTCACCGTCCTCACAGGTCTCGTCAACTCCCTCTCGACGTATTGGATGGAGAAGATGACCAAGACTTATGTCATTTTCCACATTCTGGTGCTTGTGACATGCAGCATCTCGCTGCTAGCACTCTCACACCGCGCCGGGACAAATCACACAGCCAAGTTCGTCTTCACAAATGTGGACAACACCTCCGGCTGGGAACCCACTGGCTGGTCCTTCTTGTTTGGCTTCTTGAGTGTGTCTTGGACTATGACCGACTACGATGCCACTGCACACATTACTGAAGAGATTCAGAATCCGGAAATCAAGGCGCCATGGGTTGGTAACAGAATCCGACTAGCGTGCAATGCGTTACTAACATGTCTCGGCAGGCAATCTCAATGGCTATGCTTTTCACCTACCTAGCTGGCTGGCTTTTCAACATAGTTCTCTGTTTCACCATGGGCAATACAGCCGACATCCTCAGTTCGCCCATTGAGCAGCCAGTGGCGCAAATCTTCTATGATGTGCTTGGCAAGCGCGGTGGTATCGTCTTCACCGTGTGCGCCTTCATCATTATCAAGTTCGTCTGCTTCACCGCCATGCAGGCATTGGCTCGTACCGTTTTCGCCTTCTCCCGCGATCGCTTGGTGCCATTCTCACGTATCTGGACGAAGATTCTGCCATTGACCGGCACGCCTATCCTCGCCGTTTGGATCTCTGTCTTCTGGTGCATCGCAATCAATCTCATCGGTCTTGGCTCATACACTGCTATCGCTGGAGTATTCAACGTCTGCGCCATTGCACTGGATTGGAGCTACTGCATACCAATCGTGTGCAAGTTGGTCTTTGGTCGCTTCACTCCTGGACCATGGCACATGGGCAGACTGAGCTATATTGTCAACATCTGGGCATGTGTATGGACGCTCTTTGTGTCCATCATCTTCATCATGCCCACTGCACTCCCAGTCACTGCCGAAAACGTGAGTCCTCGTCTTGCTTGGCCGTTTGCATCCGCACTAACCTTCTGGCAGATGAATTATGCTATTGTTTACCTTGGTGGCATCCTCTTCTTCTCGATGCTGTGGTGGTACATCAGTGGCCGGCGGTACTATACTGGTCCCCTCATCGAGGCGGACATCCAAGAGGAGCACCTGCATGCTGAACGGAGCAGTGATGAAGACATCAATCAGAAGACTGAGAAGTACGGTAATATGATCTCCTAAATGTTGGAGGTCGGCGTGGTTGAATGCTCGGTCAGAAATGTAGGAGAGCTCATCGAAAGCGTTTCCGTCTGCAGCAACTGGTTAAACGATGCCATAATGTGCTTCAGCATTATTGATTGCCGTTCTTTCAAGAAATGGTACAGTGCAAGTCTGTCAGGCTGATTAGACATACTCTCAAGCTCGCGCAGCAGTGTGTACGGCCATCCAGCCCTCGACATGCTTCAGTAGATCCAGCTTTTGTATCTTGCCACTCGCATTGAGTGGGAAACCTGTCAGACCCAGCTGTTCAAGTGATGCAGCATCACGGAGGGCATAGTCCTTGTTAAACAATTCGAGCACATGGTGCTTGATCTCGTCCGCTGTCCAGCCGCCCGTCTTCTCGAGGACAGCAAAGGGTTCGGCGCCCAATGTCGGAGATGGCACAGCGACGACTGCTGTCTATTCCTCCGGTCAGCAATTTCCCTCTCTTGCAAGCTGAGTGTGTCAGTTACCTGAGAACCGGAAAAGCTAGAGATTGCACTTTCAAGCGCGGCAGGGGTAATGGAGACACCTGCCCGCTTGATGACATCCTTGATGCGGCCCAGGATCTTGACATGCCATTAGTCGTGCGTCAACAATGACAAGTCTGCGACTCACGTAGAACAGGCCATCCTTTGTCATGGTTGCTAGGTCACCACTTCGCAGCCACCTCCCCTCAGCGTCCTCATAGAAGCTGTCCTCGTTTACGCCTTCAAGATATCGCTCGATTGCATCTCGCGCCAAAATGTGCAGTTCACCCAGCTCACCTCGTCGAGCCACTTTGTTGTGCTCAGTATCCCATATCCGCAAAGAAGCTTGCGGAGTGGCAAGACCAAGGGGCGATATTTCGCCGTAGTATGGTATATCCGCAAGCGGCGTCTCGAAGAAGGGCCATTCAAAGAAGCCTCCGCCCTCTGTCATCCCATGAGCCGTCGACACCTGAGCCGCAGGAAACACTGAAGCTGCTTTCTGCAGCAGATCTCGCGTGATCATATCTCCACCAAGCCGGACGCCTGTCACGCTTGCAACTTTCTGAGGACTATGGTTGGGGTGGGTGCCAATGGCGTGAACCATGGCGGGTACCAGGCCGGTAGTAGATATCTTGAAGCGGTCAATTGCGTCTAGGACAACGCTGGTGTCATACGCAGGGCTGGCTATGACCACTGCACCGCCATCTCGCCATGCAGTAATGGTGAAAGCAGGGAAGACTGCCCGAAAGTTGGACGTCACCTGCAGATAGCGAACGATCGGGTATTCTTTCGTGCTCATCGCAGCGTTGTTGATGTTACTCATGCTTCGAACGCTTCTCGGACAGCCTTTCGGTTTCCCAGAGGAAGTCCCAGAGGTGAACAGAATCAAATGCGTCCGGTCCAGGTCAACATCCCGCAGCGCCTCCGTCACAGCCGTCTCCTCAACGGGCGTGTTTTTGGCCTCTGCGAGTAAAGTGGTCATGTCTGTCCAAGCATCAGCTTGAGCAACCTGGCCGTCGAGCTGCAATCCCACACTCGGTGAGCGGACGCCAAAGGCGGACCTGACCGCTTCCATGCCCTGAGCATCGGCAACGACCACAAGGTCTGGCTTCAGTACGCGCAAAGAGTTCTCTAGCTCGGCCTTGCGCGGCTGTCCCAAAGCACCGGGGTCTAGCGGCACGAACGTCAACCGCATGACAATAGCCATGTAGTAAAGGACGATAAACTCTGCTCGATTGACAACAAGCGTCATGAGAGTCGCGCCTGGACGTATTCCTTCCCCTGAGAGCCCCGCCCATAGTCGAAATGCGAGTTCGTGGACCTGGGCAAAGGTCCAGGCGAGGCAAGGCAGGTCACTATTTGGAGGGCTTCCGCTAGTATTGTACGCTGTGGAGAAGACGTGGCTGAGATGATCGGCAGGCTGGTAGGCAACAATCAATGCAAGCTGATCTTGTTGCTGCCTGAAAGCATGCTCGATATGGTGGTAGAGTGGTTTCGTGTCATCTCGGCGTCCGTGGACTTCGGCGGCTGCTGTTGACTGCTCTCCCATCTTCGGACTCTGCTGGTACGTTAAGTCGAGGGCGGTAGCAGAGGCTCCAGATGCTCTGGGAGGACGTCCGTGTTCTTATGCAGCCTTGTTAGCGCGACTAGCGGATAGTGGATTACAGTGTCCGCCAGACAGAGCACCTGCGGTACACAGGGTGGACGCCAAAAAGTGGATTGCTCCTACAGGGGGATCAGAATCCATCTAGCCCGATTCCCTCCACCATCAGCTAAACATCGTGATTCATCCTACCCAGTAAGCCCTATGGTTTAATTGAAGTTTAGATCCTGAAGCACATGTAGCTAGGCAGAAGATGGCGATGTTTGACTTACAGCACAGCTCTAGATCTCCCGCATCCGACCCACCCGCGAATAGCTTGCCGTTTCTGCTTTAGGGTATGTTGGAGCATCCGTTGTCAGAGTATAGAAGCCGCTCAAGCATTCAGAGTCGACGTTTCGTCTTTACCAATACTGTACAGAACTGTCCTGCCCAGAAGCACTACCCACGCTATGCATTAAGATTCACACCATGAGCTCGCCGCCGTCCCCTTCCCAGAACAGTCTTAGTACATGGTATCAAAGTCGAAACAGGCACAAGCACAGACGCAGTGTGTATCGCAGGCGGACCAGCCAAGCCCATTAGACCGTCACCCTTGAACCGTGGTCGACAATAGAGTCTGCGGACTATCGCAGAATACGTCCATAAGTTCGCACAAGGAAATGAGAAGAAATGCCAGAAACTCGCGCTGTTGCAGTGATTTGCGAGTAACAATAGTGGCCGTCTCGGCTCTGCTGAGGAGAGATGAGACTCTTACAGCATGCTCGATTATGGTGATCAAGTCCGCAGCTTAGAAGGCAGTCACCTCCTGCGCATGCGGTTGTGCGTGTGGAGTAGTTCGGTTGTTCGCTGCTTCGGGTGCAGCTCCAGCTAGCACGGCGTCTTCGTAACCGTTCAGCGCCTGAGCGTGCAGCTTGAAAGACTCGCCCATGAGCTTTGTTATACTGCGACACGTCAGCAAGCTACAGGTCAACAATTAGGAGGGCTTAACTCACCCCCAAACAACAACTTCGTCAATCATGCTACCCCACAGCCTTGCCACGGTGGCGCTTAGCTTCTGGTTGTAGCCATCGACCGAGTCATCATCGAATAGACCACGGATTTTCTGATACATATTGCTTTCTTCAGTGCTCGCTGGCTCTTCGTCATGCTCGACGCGCCAGAGCCACAGGCTCAGAATCACAATCAAATCCAAGCCGCAGAGCGGATGCTCGATGCTCCAGTTCGTGGCGCTTGTCCTGGCTACCCATCTGATGCCTTGCAGGGCGGCGACTTCGATGCAGTCGAAGCAGGCTTGGATGACGTTCAGCATCTCCTGGCTGCGCTTGACTTTGTCCCGGGCGTGAGTCATGGCTGCAGCCACCTCGTACGAGTCGTGGTATCGCAGCGCTTCCTGGACCGTCTTAAGGTCGACCAGCAGCCGTGCTCGCGTGTTCCTGTAGATCGCCATGGCATTAAATATGAGTGGATGGCCCTTGTGGGGCGCGCTAAGCTTCACAACCACCGTCTCTGGCTCACACAGCTCAAGCGACTTCTCCCAAGTGTCGAGCGCGAGCCGAAGCTTGTACTCTGTCACAACGTCCTGCAGCGCCTCTGAGCTGCGCTTGTGATACCACACCTCGAGAAATAGCGCATTGATCATCACGCGTGTGGCGAACGCACTGTAACGCGCCGTGTCGCCTAAGAACAAGGCATCGTGGGCTTCGCGGAATGTCATGATGGTTGATGCTGTCAAGCTTTCCGCCCAGCTCTCATTGTCTGTAGCCTCCAAACTCCAAAGCGTCTCTGAAGACGGTAGCTCCAGCGAGTCAAACTCGTCAAAGCTGATCGCAGGCGTGTGATTGTACGTCAGTGTCAGCAGACCAAAGAATATGTAGACGGCGTAGTACGTCCGCCTGCAGCCCTCGTCTTCAATCCACTCGTCATGTGTGGGTTGCCGACCCTCTCTAGCATCGCTGCGTAGTTTGAGCTCATACCGGTTGCCCGCCACCATGTTGGCGAGCAAGCTTTTAATCGAGCAAGCCCACTCCAGGCCTTTGGGGTCGCCACTCCAGCTCGCGAAGCTCATGTTTAGCAGCGAGCTTTGCATCATCCATAGTGGACATTTGCGCGAGCTGAAGTTGTCTTTCTTCTGCAAGAACTGCGTGACAAGTACCTTGGATCCAATATGGAGCATGTAGGCTTGGTCTTGCTCGAAGGTGTACAAAGCACCAATGGACAGCACGGACAGCAATAACGGCGCCGACACTGTTGCGGGATTGAAAGATGCCGGGTGCAGGAACGGTAGGTGGTGGTGGAAGCAGTTGAAGTAGGTTGAGAGGTAGTGGTTCAGCACAGACAACTGCGGAAGACGGAAAGTCTCAATGAGTGCGCCTTCGCTGTCACAGTATCGTATGTTGTCCATAATGCTTGTGATCTGATCCTCTGAATGCAGCTGAGGCGCCTTAGTCATGGTGCACTGCTGTGCTGGGCCCGGCGACCTGCGGTAATCAACAGGCGATACTGGGCCGAGCATGGAAGGGAACGGGGACAGTGCGCCAGGGGTCGAAAGACCGTTGTTCATAGACGACAGACTGAAAGAGGGGAGGCCATCCGTCTGACTCTGCTGGCGCTCCATGAGGGGTGGCAGCGTGTTAGGTACGTTGGTCATGACACTCGTGGCTGGGTAGGGTAGCAGGTCGTGTTGCGCATCGAGGCTTGACGTGATCGATGGCGCCTTTGCCTGACTGACGCTTTGCGGCACCATCTGATCCCAACCATTCATTTGCGGCAGGGTCATCGAACCGGGATATGGCATGGTAGGCTCCAGCATTTGGGGACCGTGCGGCGATATGAGCGGCTCGGGCTGGATAGTGTTCATATCCTGACCCGACATGGCAGCGCGTTGCTGGAAGTTGGTCATCAACATGGCCGCCTGCTCCACGCTGAACGGGTCGTTGCTGTCGCCATATTGCTCCAGCGCTGCTTCATCGAGCTCTGGTACCTTGGACGACGCGCCGTTCGGTGACGACTTGGTGCCGGTGTTCCGTCTCTTCGCATCGCTCTGAAGCGGCACGCCACCGTCCTTCGCGTGGACGGTACGGTCATGTCGGAGAAGCAGATCCCGTCGGACGAAGGTGCTCCTACACTTTGTACACTTGAAAGGTCGCTCTTTGGTGTCTGTGAAGGTATGTCAGCCTTGATACTGTTTCGATGTTTCGACCACCCCGCCACGACCCCTCCATGCGACCGTGGCAGCTCCCCACTACGCACTCGCAGACTACATATGAATCCATCACTTACGACTTCTCTCGTGCCTCGATCGATGCTCCGATCGACTGAACGCTCGACTGCAGTACTGGCACTTGTACTTCTTCGGCTTCTCGCCGTTTGCCTCCGTAGCGCCTGAAGCCTTCCGCGACGTGCTGGGAGACACCGGGTTGCTCGCGGACCCGTCTGCGCCGGCCACCGCCGCCGACATGATGACACTAACTGAAGTTGCACCTGGGCCAGACGCGTCCGGGGCGGGCAGTCAGCGGCGCCGGTTCGTCAATGTATGGTGGCGTTGGGCGCAAGAAGATGGTGCTGCGCTTGGGAACGCATAGAGGGCTTTGTCGGCAAAAGCGCGGAACTCCGACCGCTTAAGGTGAAGGCGAGGCAGCACAACCTAATGACAGGTAAACACGGCGACAGTGATGGCGGCCAGGAAAACCACAATGTCGACAACGGACGATGGAGGGGCACAGGAGGCTGACAAGATGACTTCTAGAAAGGAGGCGACGCAGGCAAGTGCGGGCTGCATCACGACTCGTTAGAAAAGCACTGGCCACTTGCCGCTGTTGTTAGACCGGCGTGCGTCGTCGTGACTGGGAAAGCTCTTATTCTTAGCACAACCACTTGCGCTCTGCTTTACCCTGCTGCATGCGGCGCCGACACTACGTTGCTTGGCCAGCCTGTCTGCCTCAAACTGTCAACCTGTAGTGTCTCGACGTGATTCTACGATGCGTTACTCGTCGCAAACAGCGGCCATCACATGTGACGAACATGGTGGGGAACAGATGAGCGGTCCGTGGCGATGAAGGCGCGCTTCCGTGATCTGTCTCAGAACGGCCCGACAGACACATCTATTCTCATCTGGCTATTGCTGCCAGCGCGGATTGATCGCCGAGAACGGCTGGAGTCAATGTAAACATACGAGGCTTGTCAGGCGCGTCGGCTCATCATACTGTAGAGCGCTGGACGCGATTGTCTTGTAAAGCGTCTGTACTGCCACGCGCGCAAGCCTCACCTCTCTCACCCCTCATAAGGCTATCGCATTCTTTCTGCAGCCAGCCCCTCGCTTGTCGTTGCCGCAGCCCACACGGCATCACGCATGACGAAACGCCGTGTTCCTGCATCGCGCATCTCGCATGTATCTTCCCGCGCGCGATGTGTCATTCGATCGCTTTTGCCGTGATCACTTCCCCTTGCTCTCCCCGTTCGATGCTGGCGTTTGTCACTTTGACCGATGTGGCTGTCGGCTGTTTCACTAGAGCCGGGGATCGTCGTTCCGCGACCTTGTTCCTGGTTCCCAAGCGTTTACACTACGGGCGGGGAACAGCTGCCAGGCTTTCACGACCCACTTCGTCCGCGATGCACAGAAGGTTCGCAGAACTTTTCGAACAAGCCCGACTTTTCACTCGAGCGGTGCCATCGCGAATGAAGCATCATTAGTCGGGGCCAGCGAGCCAGCGAGCCAACCTGCAATCGCTTGTCATGACAAGTAGGTTAATATTGGCATGCGTAGAACACTCCTCACCGTTGTAGACGATAGCTACCGTAAGGCTACGCCGTGCATGCTGTCGAACATACCGTCGGCAATACGGACTGTGTCCGCAAGGCTGTAGCCCTGGTTTACCTGTCAGAGGTTTCCACCCTCGCTATATGGCACGTGGAGATGCTCACTCTGCCTGCGACCTGTCATCTTCCATGGCGGTGCCAACGTCACAATGCTACGTGCTCGAAGTCTCATCTGCTCGCCATTTTCGACCTCACCGTCATCGCATAAGATCTTAATCTGGTGGACCTATCCCATGAGCCTGTCGTATGGTTTCCGGCAAGCTTTTCCGTAAGCCTTAGTGTGTTTGCGATGTGGGACAGCTGGCTTAGCTGCTCTAGCACAGCCTTCCATATTCCACGCGAGCACGAGAGGCTTCGGCTCCTGGGATAGCGTGCACGCCTAGTCAAGCACGTATGTAGCAGTTGTGCCGCTATCATGACTGGAAGGGTTCATGTTCGTCTTCATCATGGGTGCTCCGGAGCGTAAGGACAATTCGAATCTGAGGAGTCTGCCAATGACATGCGCTGGAACCAGCTGGCTGGAGACTGCCTCGTACGAATCCCATGGTTTGGGAAATCGACTTCAGCCCACAATTTTTCACGCGGCTGACAAGCGAAGACGTCCGAGGTACCGAGCGCTCGCGAAGAGGAATGCAGAAGATCTCAGAATCACTGAGACCATAAAGTTCTTCTCATGTGGTAGAAACACTAAGACGACAGGAGTAATGTCCCCGTGATGCCGAACGCACGATCACCGAGGTTTCAGGTTATACTGCACCTTCGGTTGCCTTGTGTGGTTTATTCGACGGAAGCAAAATGCATCGCACATCATACTTCACCTCATATACATGGAATGCACGTTACGGAGGCTTCTGAATAATGTCTGGAGGGGTCCTAGATCGCGCAGCTTCTGTTATGTCCAGCCTTGAGAAGGCGGGTTGTTTGTTGTGCCACCTCAGGAAACCCTTGCTACTCATCACTGAATCAGTTCAATTGCCATCTCACGTAACATGACGCTGCCACCATGCGCACTCCTTGCGACTATGTCCCGTTAGAGATGGAAACCTGCCACCTGTACCTGTACGGTTTGAGCGTAGGGGAGTAGGCGATAACAGCCGATGCGATATGGCCTGGGGCTAGCTCCAATCCGGCACGTAGGCTTGGCACGCATGTCCCTCACCCAATGGCGCTTCAAGTCGGCCAGTCAGATGGCAGAAGTGCCGTAAAGCCTCTATACCGGCAAACTGGCGCTCTCCCCTTCGCACACCTCCATGTGCGTGTTCGACTGCCTCTCACTCCTCGCTCGCATGGTCTGCGAAGGGGCGCAAGGCTGCTGGAGTGTGGAGTAAGGGTTCAACAGCCAAGTTTACTGCATTCCACCATCTCGCGGCCCGGGCACCGCGAGGGAGCGGCGACTGTTCCTGTCGATGAGACTGTACCTCCCTCATTCCATCCTGCACTGTCCTACTGCGGGCCTAAGGCGAGACGGCTTGCTGTACGACCATTTCTGTGCTTCGGATTGGCCGATACATCATCATGAATGGGATAGCTGGTAGCACTTCGCCGCGAGAACCTCTCTTCGTACGCGCCCTTTACTCTTATGATGCCGACGACCGGACGAGCCTTAGCTTCCAGCAAGGTGAGATCATCCAGGTGATCACACAGCTTGAGAGTGGATGGTGGGATGGCGTGTTGGATGGCGTACGTGGCTGGTTTCCTAGCAACTACTGCGCAGTGGTGAACGCGCCCTACGATGATGGCAGTGGAGGGCATGGAATCGCGGGAGATTCGGAAACGGAGGAGTCGGAGGATGAGTATGGCGAGCATGACCTAGACCATACCGCAAATGGCATCCCGGCGCGACAAAGCGGCTTGGTCACGAATAGTCAAGAGGAGGCAGCTTTCTGGATACCGCAAGCTACACCGGACGGGAGACTGTTCTACTTCAACACTCTCACGGGTGAAAGCACCATGGAGCTCCCGCTTGAGGCGCCGACATCTGCGAACGAGACAGGACCGCGAGATCGAACCCATGTGTATATTCCGGACCAGACCAGGCCGCCTGCCGAGCTAATGGTGGCTGGCTACGAGCGGGATGATGATACGGACTATGCGTCCGCCTCTGAGGCTGAAGATGCGTCAATGATGCGAGATTCAAAAAGCTCAGGCGTGAGTGCACCTTTTCAGCATTTCCACCAGTTTAGATGTAACTCCACTAACGCTTATCTGCAGCCACGGCGACGCCGCTCGTTACTTTCAGAGGGCGTGTCGCCCGCAACATCAATGGATTCTCTGCATTATGCATCATTGTTGACGCGGTCCCAGACCAATTTGACAGAGACGAGTGCTTCAATGTCCTTTTCCGCCATGCAGCAGGGTATACCGCCTATTGGTACAACTATGAGCTCTTTTGCAAACGCTCCTGCTGGACTCTCCGCGACTTCGCTACTGTCAAGACGATTCTTTGACGACGCCCAAGCAGTGCCTCTGACGTGGAATACTATAGTCGAGGACATGCGACGTGCGGTGCAGAGGTATCGCGAAGTGATCACTAATGGCGAGCGGTCAGAGTTTGTTCGTAGAGCCGAAGACATCTCCGATCATCTTCGCCTGCTTCTTGCTGCAGGCTCCGGTACGACAGACAACCACTCTGGCAATCCTTCCATCATCTCGACTAACAAAGCACTCTATCCACATTTCAGAGAGATGATGTCTCGCTTCTCAAAGTTGGTGCTTTCATCCCACATCGCCGCGGCGGACTGGCCGGCACCGGATTCATACCAAAAGTGTTTGCAGGAAGCCGAAGGTCTAATTCACGGTGTCTACGGCTTTGTCGAAGTGGCACGACAGCAGCGTGGCGAAGAGATTTCGCGGCTCACGCCAGGATTCATTGGTGGAAGTCGGTCAGCGGGCAACTGGCAGACGAACGGGCTGACACCCCGAGACCCTTTGAGTTCGATGTCATTTATGGACGACGAAACGGACGCGTTGAATGAACCAACTGCTCAGCTGGATCAAGCACTTCTGGAGCGCATGGAAGACCTCAAGCGACTGATAGTATCGAGCATACGGCGCTTAGATGAGCATCTTGTTCTGCGTGAGAAGCTCATCACGCCCACACGACACCGCCGAATCGGAGATGCGATCTGCAAATGCGGAAGCCAGGTGGTAGAAGTCTGCCGGCCTTACTTCTCCGCCGTCGAGTCAGTGGACCTGGCACCGGTTGGATCAAGCTTGAACAGTCCGCAATTGAACGACTTCGCCGACCACAAGCAGAAGCTCTACGATACGACTGCGGATCTAGTCATAGCCTGCCAAGCAGTGAGTAGTCCATTGGCGGATGAATGGGCTGAAGTTCGTGGTCCTTCGCTAGAAGAGCGGCTGAGCCGCGTGCGGACTGCTGGACGTGATCTCGACACGGCTGCTAATCAGGTATGGTTCTCGCTACAACTGCTCTGTGGCCTCCTTCCGCAAGATGATGCACCGAGCAAGGTTTCGCATCGCTTGACAGACGGTGGCGCGTCATATGAGCAACATGTGCGCCAGAATTCGCGGAATTTGCGTCCTAATGCACTAGGAGATATTGGCCAATCTAAATCGTATGCGGAAGGGCTACCGATCGAGCATTCTGCCGATATTAAGCGGAACGGAGACAACTCGAAGGTTAAGCGCTTCTTCGGCGAGGTTCCGGCGCCGATATCGACGGGCAGAGATTCTGAGGAGACACCCGAATTCTTGAAGCTTGACCATGAAGGGGAAATTCAGTACGACCTGAAGGCCAACCCTCCACAGCTGCGCGGTGGTACTCTGACCGGCTTGGTCGAGCAGCTTACGCGGCACGATCGTCTAGAGTCGCAGTTCAACAACACCTTCTTGCTAACGTATCGGTCTTTCACCAGTGCTCCAGAGTTATTCGAGATGCTAGTCAAGCGATGGAGCATACAGCCACCTGGTGGCTTGAGCGACCAGGAATTTCAGACCTGGGTGGACAAGAAGCAGAAGCCTATACGATTCCGAGTGGTCAACATCCTCAAGTCCTGGTTCGATATCTATTGGATGGAAGGCAACGACGAAGACAGCCAGCAGCTCATGCAGAGAGTTTACGACTTCGCGAAAAGCGCCGTGCAGTTAACAGCAACGCCAGGAGCTGGCCCGTTGATAACTGCCATCGAGCAGAGAATGCGCGGACAGGATGCTTCGAGCAAGCGACTGGTGCTCACAATGAGCTCACAAGCACCCCCGCCTATCGTTCCAAAGAACATGAAGAAGTTGAAGTTTCTCGATATTGACGCTCTCGAATTTGCACGACAATTAACGATCATTGAGTCAAAGCTGTACGGTAAAATCAAACCTACCGAGTGCTTAAACAAGACATGGCAGAAGAAGCTTGCAGAGGGCGAGCAGGATCCGGCGGAGAATGTCAAGGCACTGATCCTACATTCGAACCAGCTCACCAATTGGGTGGCTCAGATGATACTAACGCAGGCAGATGTAAAGCGCAGAGTGGTGGTTATCAAGCACTTCGTCACCATCGCGGATAAGTGCAGAACTCTCAACAACTTCTCGTGCTTAACATCTATCATCTCTGCACTCGGATCGGCGCCTATCCATCGCCTTAGCCGCACATGGGGCCATGTCAATGCTCGAACCACTCAAAGCCTCGAGTCTATGCGGAAGCTCATGGGCAGCACGAAGAACTTCCTCGAGTACCGAGAAGCCTTGCACAAAGCCGATCCGCCTTGCATTCCTTTCCTGGGCACCTACCTCACGGATCTCACGTTCATCGAAGACGGCATCCCGTCGGTCATCAAGAAGACGCAGCTTATCAACTTCGCGAAGAGAGCGAAGACGGCCGAGGTGATCCGCGACATTCAGCAGTACCAGAACGTGCCATACGGTCTACAGGCGGTTGCGGAGCTCCAAGAATACATTCTGAGAAACATGCAAAGTGCGGGAGATGTGCATGAGATGTATGAGCGCAGCTTGCAGGTCGAGCCGAGGGAGAGGGAGGATGAGAAGATTGCGAGGTAAGGACACGACCGTGTTTCTGACGAATATAACTCATGTACTGACCTCTGATGGTAGGTTGTTGTCGGAATCTGGTTTCCTATAGCATAGGGCGCAGATTGCCGGGCTGCTGACGCTTCGACACGACGAGCTCAGGTGGATGCGCTCGCGCTCACCGAGCTTGTGATACTCGTCGTCTTAGCAGCCATGTCGGATCTGGTGTGCGCGGTGTTTGTCTGACGGACAAGCGCGTTCAGAGCTTCGCTACTTCCTAGAGTCGATCTACGTCACGAACTGAAGAAACGAATGTAACGAGTGCATGTGGGTGTAGCGATGGCGCAGCGAGCTGGTATATACTGCCGCTAAGTGACGTACGTGGACTTTCTGTACCATTGAGAGGCGACTGAGCGATGTTTATGGCTTTGCTGCTATCTGTCTTGGACGTTGCTAGCATGCGCTCTTTAAGATGTCAGAGTCTGCACGTAGCTACCGATTCCGTCCTGGGACAATACAATAGTTCCAAGCGATCGAGCACAAACTCCGCTGGCTCATCGCATTTCGCAGATAGTTTTTGCACGTTTGTAATGGTCTGTTGCTTCGGATGGGATATGAGGAACTTGGGCTTCATCTCTCCACCAGTCATTGACATGGCTGTTACAACTTCGCCTTCGCTTCCCAGTCAACCACAGTCTTCTCGGCCAATTGCCTCTCACGCTTGCGCCGCAGCTGCGTTGCGTACTCCCTCCCATCCTCTTCTCCGAAGCTGTCAAGGTACCCTACAGTTTCTCTCCACATCTCTGCCTTCAGCTCACCATACACCTGCTTACCGCTGACGCCCGTGTTAGCCTTCGCTACCAGCTTTAGCTCATCAATGTGGGTAAGTGCCTCGTCCAGGCCGCCCAACCAATCTACGATGCCCTCCTTCAGTGCCTCGAGCGCCTAACGATGCTTTAGCGTAAGTCTTCGAAATGAGAAGGAAACAAATTACCTTGAACCTGACAGCTTCCAGCACCAATCTTCTGTAAGTCTGTGGGCTGACCTTCTGCCGGAAAATGCTCGTCATTGGCGGTCTTAACGGTACGCCAAGTTCGACTTCGTTGAGGCACAGGTAGCCTTTATGTGCATTCATTGCGCGGTAGTCTGTGGTTCAACAATGCAGCTGTCAGCTTGTAGACGCGGCGGGCTCGAACCATCCACTCGTACCATGCATCATGGCCAACATCAGGGCGCCGGCGAAAGCATGGCCTGGGAGTAAAGCAATGGTCGGCATCGGATACGTGAGGATCCTTCTCCATAGAGCGTAGAGGTTGTCCGGGAAGAAGCCTGGCGTGAAGGAGGCGTGCTCAAGGTCAAGGCCATTACCTGACACCAACGTCAGTGATGTAATCGCGCGATTATGGGCTACGGCGTGTTTTTACTGTAAAACTTCTCGATTCCTGAAGTCGTGATGAGTACACCTGGTTCATGGCGGGTCTCGATAATATCCAGTGCCAGTAGGAGCGATTGACAGAATGGCTATGCGAACTGAGGTCAGACTCGAACCATTATGGATTAAAGGGCAGCGTACAGCAGTAAGGCGATTGTCCGGTGGACTGATGAAGGTGACGAGGTACACTCTTTCCTTCGGCTGCGTGCACACTAGATTACCGCTTTCACCAATGGGAAGCTCAAACAAAACAGGTCCTTTCTTAGCCGCTGCCATCTTCCGTCAATACAATCGGCGACAACGTGCTATTCAATCTCACGGGTGATGACTTGTAATGTTTGCTATGCAGTCATCCGATGATGCCCGTAAGATTGTTGATCTCCATGCCTCGGCATCTCGAGGTCGCAAAAGACCTAGGTTTGGACAGTGCTATGATTCAACACAGCAACAGGATGTACGCAAGGAAGGCTGTTACAAATGGTAGACGAGAAGCAATCGATTCGGTATATGTACATGCAGTCAGTAGGAAATGGCGTGGGAGCAGTCGCTGGTAACCATGTGTGGTGGCAACAGGAAAGCCTGAAGTTCCCAAGTCATCATTGTGTTATAATACCGAAAATTGACGCATGGCCAAATCAACCGCTGACCTAGAAGACCGCCAAAGCATTAGGCGGACTGCCTATGCTACCTGGGACGTTCAGCGGTGAGCTCGTCAACAAGAACGTATACCTCTTCAGCTTCGCACACATCTCGCTCAAAGCCTTCAAATCCCACAGCTCGCCGATGGGCATGCCGAACAGAGCCAAGAAGTACTGGTGCAAAACCAGCCCAGAGATATCTGTCTCCTTTCCGGTCTCGGGATCAATCGCAGGGATATGCTCGAACGCGATCATGTCACCCGCAACGGCAGCGAAATGCTTGTTCCAGAACCACTTGGCGGTCTCGGCGTTGCCTGTCACGCCACAGGTGCGGTGCGAGCCCATAAGCTCACCCTGCTTCTCAGCACTGATACCGGTCAGTCCTTCAGTGAAGCCCGAGCGGATGATGATCACATCGCCAGGCTTGAAGATGACGCCCTGGTGCTTAGCAACGGCCTCGATGTCATCGACAGTGATTCGGTCACTATCGAACGGGTTGAACTTGCGGCCTTGCTCGTCAGCCCATCTTTTGAAGTCGATGAAGACCCCTCGAGCGACCAGACCGCCGCGCTTGTGCCAGTGGTTTAGTGTGGGTAGCTTCTGATCGAGGTCTTCGTCACCATACTCCTGCTTGAGCTCGGCTATCTTCGTCTTAGTTCCATTATATCCGGACTGGCTGGGCTGATGATGGAAGTGGCACAGACTATCCCATTGGCTACATAGATCGATCCCTTAGCGATTCCCGGACCGCAGGCAAGCACCGTTTCTTTCATTCACGTACCTTGAACATTGCGTGTTGAACTCAAGCTCGTCATCGTATCCATGCAATGGCAGCGGCGTGTCCATGAAGTTGATAACATTGTGAACAAGGCCCTTGCGGCCGAAGCCAGGTGTCTTGATGGCGCCAATGGGCCAGTTCATTGAGACAGATACACCATCTTTGAGTTCGGAGTAGGCGGCCTTGACCACATCCGGAGTAAGGAGATTGAGAGTACCGTACACGTCTTTCTTCCCGTCCTTGTCGAAGACGCCCCAGGCGCAGCCTGTATTTCCTTAGCGGTTCCAAGTATCTCAGTGTCCTAAGGGGAGCCTTACCTGGCGGCATGCCCTCCACCTTCGGCAGGCTGTCGAAATCTGGGATACTCGCCATGTCTACGGGATTGAAGAGGGATATAGGGTTTACTGGGAGAACGAAAGTAACAAGTAATACTAGTGGAAGATATACCTATACTCCAAGAGTCGCCACGACACACGTCTCCTCGTGATCACTCTCCGTACCCTCCGCAGACGAGGAGAGCCATGTGACATGGGCGGGGTAGGACGGCAAAAACCTACACTGAGCAGGAAGCCTCGGGACGTTCGGTGCGGCAGAGTATCGACAAACAACAAGGAGTCGGAAGCCTCTCGCCTTTGACATGCATTGTCCGGACGTTTCCCCGTTGTCAGCGGCTTGTGCGCGATACATTTCAACGGAGATCATAGTTCGAGTCCAGGGGTTTGCATGTTAGGTGGTTTGGCAACCTTGATGTGACGTTCGAGCGGTTTCCGCTGTGCCGCTTGTCATGGGCGGGGAAAGCACGGGACTGAGATCGATTGAGTCACGTGCATCCAGAAACACGACTGCTACAAGAACGCTGTCAGCGCGATTGCATGTGTACACTACGCCAGATGCTCCATGAACGCCCTCTCAATGTACATTGTACAAAGCTCTACTGTCCAGGAGAAATAAGCATGCCGTGCTTCCCCGCATCGTGCTGCCATCCACCCGCAAGCGCCTCACCACCCGCCTTCTTTGCATGGCTTTGGATACGTGCTTCCAGCTCCGGCCTGAAGTGTCGGATCAAGCCTTGAATGGGCCACGCAAAAGCCTCGCCAAGAGCGCAGATAGTGTGACCCTCGACTTGCTTCGTGAGCTCCTGCATCATGTCGATTTCTCTCGCCCGTGCCGTGCCAGCCTCGAAACGCTTCATGATTTGATCCGTCCACTTACTGCCCTCGCGGCATGGTGTGCACTGACCGCAGGACTCATGATGGTAGAATTTGGACAAGCGAGAGATGGCGCGGACAACGTCTGTGGACTGGTCCATGACGATGACCGCGGCTGTGCCGAGACCAGATTGTGAGTCCTTGAGTGCATCAAAGTCCATAAGTTGCTCGTCGCAGATCTTCTTCGGCAGGATGGGAGTCGAGGAGCCACCTGGAATGATAGCTTTGAGATTGTCCCAACCACCAATGACGCCTCCGGCGTGCTTATCAATGAGTTCTTTGAGTGGGATGGACATCTCCTCCTCGACAGTGCAAGGGTTGTTGACATGGCCGGAAATACAGAAGAGCTTCGTGCCAGCGTTGCGTTCGCGTCCGAAAGAGTTGAACCAGTTCGCGCCTCGTCGGATGATGGTCGGTGCAACGGCAATGGTCTCGACGTTGGCAACTGTGCTTGGACAGCCGAACAGGCCCACCGCAGCTGGGAACGGGGGCTTTAGGCGAGGCTTTCCAGGCTTGCCTTCTAATGATTCAATGAGCGAGGTCTCTTCGCCGCATACGTACGCGCCCATGCCACGATGGACGAAGATGTCGAAGTCGTAGCCAGAGCCGCAAGCATTCTTGCCAATTAGACCGGCCTTGTAGGCTTCCTGAATAGCACGTTGAAGAACGGTGGCTTCGTGGTAGAATTCGCCCCGAATGTAGATGTAGGCTGCCGAGCACTATTGGGTTGTTAGTACTTGCAACAGTAAACCGTCGTATATGCTCTTGACGTACATTCATCGCACGGCCAGCGACTAAGCATCCCTCCACAAGCTTGTGCGGATCCTTCCTCATGATCTCACGGTCCTTACAGGTACCAGGCTCGCCCTCGTCTGCATTGACAACAAGATACCGTGGCTTAGTGTCCTTGTCCCAGTCCTTGAAGTTCATGAAACTCCACTTCATGCCAGACGGGAAGCCAGCACCGCCTCGTCCGCGCAGACCAGAGGCTTTGATCTCTGAAATGAGCCAGTCATGTCCCTTGAGGATCATCTCCTTCGTCTTGTACCAGTCGCCATATTTCATCGCACTCTTGAGGTCTGCACCGTGGTGGCCGTACAAGTTCTGGAAGATGCGGTCCTGGTCCTGAAGTCCACGTTGGCGCTGGACCGGCGGCGCATCCTGCACCGTGGCCATAGAGCGCACTGCATTCTTCGACAGATTTGAGGTGGCGGAGGCGCGAAGGGCGCGGGTGGCAGGCGTTGTCAACATCTCGACAGTCGATACAGTACCAATCCAACTGACTGATGTGGCTTCTTCGCCTGAGGAGTCGGCCTTCTGAGATGCAGGGAGAAAGGGTGGCGTCGTCGCGAGGAGCAAGTCAATGATGTTCAAGACGGAAACCAAAGCACGGACCATCAACCCTGCTCATTGGTCGACGTGTATCTTGTCCGCACGGCTGCAGCCGGAGCCAGATCTCTTGGCATAATTGAGCGAATGTTCCATAGTGTACCTCCTGGTCTCCACTCATCCTACGTTTCTCTCCGTGTCTCATCTTCTGGGCGCCTCACATTATCAAGTAATGCGCGTTCCTCGTGTCACGGGCCTGTCGATGGTCTCATCCACTCTTTCCTATCCTCACGTATCAGCTGTTTGGCGGCCTTCGGTAATCTCTAACCAACTGAGCTTGTCTTCATATTTCACCACGTGGATGGGCTCAATGATTCCTGTTGAGGTTCTGCTGCGCTTCGAGACATTCATAATTACAGACATTCGCGTTCTGCAGCTAAGCTTCGCATATACACATTCCACTATCCCCTTCTCACTCTACGCTCAACGCTTACTACTGTGAATGTCACCAATCTCCTTGCTTCACCCAGCGTCGGGAAGGCGCAACCCTTAGGATTTTGCGTGACATTCGCACCTTCCTCCAGCCTTGCCGCTTGTCTTAGCCCTATCACAAATCTCAGCTCGATAGGTGAAGATACTCCGTCACAATACCCTTCAACATCAGCCTACCGTGGCTCCTACCAACTAACTCTCCACAAACAACCGACGCCATCACATTGGTACTGACCCTGCTCCTCACGCACTCGCCTTATTAATACAACCGTGAAGTGGATACCACGTCAATCTCGGAACGTGGAAGCTGATTCGGTACGTTTGGTAGGATACGTCGACAGCTTTGCACATCAGTACCAGCAACATGGCTCTCATACCATTCAAGATGCTTCCACGCGACCAGTGGCAGCCAAGGCCGCGTCAATCCAGGGAGCCGCCAAGAGCCAGGTCGCGCAAGAAGCAGAACTTGACGGCAACGTCACCAGCACGTTTCAAGGCCAGCACGCCACTATCTGCCATCACTGAAGGTAGCTTTACCTTTGTGTCGTTATAAGCTCTCGCTGACGGATTGCAGGATCTGGCCATGATAGGTCTGCACCTATTGGGCAACAAGCGAGCGACCTACATAGTTTCGCTCTCCATAACGAGTCCGTTGTCGAGAAGAATGTCCTCAGCACCATCGAACCACCTGACGTAGTCCTTGAGCTCGGCACAGCAAAGGAGTCAAACGCCATTGTGCTCAATCCCAGGAAATGTGAGCGCCAGTACTACCGTGATACGGTCACGGGTATCAAGCGTGAGGTGTGGCAACCAGGTACGTCTCACACTAAGCGCATCAAGTGATGTCTTGATGATTAACATATCATCTCAGGTGACGGTGATGGGCAAATGGGCAGCGATTATCCTGAGGCGATGCGGCTACCTCCCGACAGTCGCTGGCGGTTCTACCAGTCATCCTCTGTTCAAGGCCCGATCACGAAAGACAACATGCCACCGAAGTTTGTTGTACTGGACGACTTGAATACATATCTGGTCTGGCATTCGGACATACCGTCGCTGCATAAAGCAGTGTTCTGGGCGTTCGATTTTGGTGGCGTTGGCTTCGTCCTTACACGCCGCCCTCACCGCGGTCGCGGCGCAGTCGCATGTTTAGATGCCGAGGGTAACGCGAATTACCGCTCCGGCAATGCTGGGCAAAGTGGCAAGCCGTACCACTTCACCGGCGAGAAGGGCTACAAGCCGATCGTTTACCGCAGCAATGACCCGCCCGAGACTTTGACATACTCGTCGAAGCGCAAGGCCAATTCGCCGGCGCCGGGGGAGCTGAAGCAGACGAAGAAGGCTGGTCAGCACAATCAGTACACTCCGAAAGAGGAGATGGTTAAGTTCGGCGGCCCTTCCAAGTCAGGTCGGCAACCCACTCGCCGAGCTCGTATGGAGGCTTTCCTCAAGAGTGACCCAACTGTGGAGCTGTCCGGTGAAGGTGGTATTGTCAATACTGGACTGGGCCAAGGCTCAGAAGCTTTCGCGGCGAGCTTGGCGTCTCACAACCCAATGCGTGCAGCTCTGACAGGTGTCGCAAACATAGCGGGCGCGTACAGTAATATCCCCACGCCTTACGGTGTACCACTCGAGCAGAGACTAGTCCCAGAGAGTGACCGTACCACTACTATCGAAGACAACGATGACATGATAGTGTTATCCCCATCCAGGGACAAGGCCGCAACCCAGGCCACAGTAGCTCGGAAATGGACTTCCCATTCGGGACCGACAAGGCAGCTCAGTCCGATCATGGGAACGCGATCAAAATGCACAAAGTGAATGAGGGTGCCCGCCAACTCTTAGGGCCAGAGGCGTACAAGTATCACGGCCACTTCGAGCAATCTGCTACATTTATCGAGCAGAACACAGATAGTGTTATCAAGCCTCAGAACCAAATCCGCATGACTGGCGCCAACGGGTGTGCGGCTGCTATTATGCGCAGCGTCCAGAAGGCGCAGCTGATGGTCGTGCAGCTGAAGACGGATTTCAATCAAGCACAGAGCAAGGTTGTCGAGCTGGAGGGCTTATTCCTAGAGTTGGTAAGTGCAGCCAACGTGCTCAAGTCGGATATGGAGGCGTGAAATGGAGGACGGCCCGCGGGAGAGCTCGATGTGCTGTGTTGTTACTACCGTGGTGCTGTCGAAAGCGGACTGCATCATCGGAGAAGGTCTTATCTGGAAAACAATGAATGCAACAACTCGACAGTCGGCACGATCAAGATGGGCTTGCAGCATCTAGCAAGCGGACAAGCAGTGCACTAAGATACTGTCTGAAGAGAAAAGCAGCGACAAAGGTAGAATATGAAGGCGGTACTGCATTATACGTGTTCTAAGAAATATTCTAGTCATTATCATCACACGTCTGCTTGAATCATATCGCTTAATGCCGCCGATGCTATGGTATCCACGCACGCCCCAAATGCAAATTCTCCCGAGCACAATCTAACCCTTTGCGTTCCATTTATCGTTATAGGCGTTCACGGCGATCGCCACTTGCTTGTACAACCAATTCCTACTCGTCTCATCCGCAATCGGGATGAAGGGTCCATTAGTGCCACCCTTCAGGATGATGCTCATACCCGTCCGCTCCTTGCTGATGGTCTGAACGTCCTTCAGCGGCACCTCCCATTCCGTAGTCAGCTTCCTAGCCCGCAACAGCATGATGGCGTTGTACGTGACCATGACCAGCATGGAAGCCTCGCTCTGATTCGACTGTGCGCGCCCGTTCGACTGCTTATCGCCTTGCGAGCCTGAGTTGAGCTCGAGGTGGGCAATATACCTCTCGTCGAAGTACTTGCCGTTGTCGGCTGTCTTGAGCCAGAACTGCCCGAGCGCTTCACGCTGGGTGTACGGTCGTACCACGCCATCGATTCCGATGAAGCGTGGTAGTCGCACACGGTCAAGCCCTTCCTGATCGAAGACGGTTGTGGTGTTCTTGACGCCTTCAGCCATGTTGCTCGCCAGGTCAAACGCGCCGATGGCGGGTTTCGTGGCCAAGCCAAGTAAGCCTTTGCCGACGCCCTTGACGAAGCCCGCAGCCCCCTCCTTCTCTGCCCCCTGCATTGGCTGCCGAGCGAGGCCGCCGATGCCACTGGCCAAGCTGCTTGCGAAGGCGTTGCCGCCCGAGGTGATGCCATAAAGCGCATGCTTCGGCCTGTTGCGCGAGCGCGCCATCCGACGCTGATCTTGGAACTCCTTGTCCATGCTGGCGGCAGCCAAGCCTTTGCTGATGCTGCCCGTGAACCTCGACACACTGTCCGAAAGACCGAAGACACTCTTCTTGACGAAGCTGCTAGCTCCTTTGGCGATGCCGATGCCAAGGTCTTGCGGCCGATCAGTAACAAGTCCCTGGTACGGCTCGTAGAAGATGTCTGCAACACCGGAGCTGATGTTGTTGAACAGGCCAACAGGGTTGCCAAGGAAGTCGGCCGAGCCAATAACGATGTGGACTTGCCGCAATGACTCTTGAACGTAGTGACTTTGGACGTTTGAAATGAGCGCGCCAACAGACAGTCGAGCGTTCTCAAGCATGAGAGCATTGTATCGGATCGGCGCATCGTTGACGTTGCCGATCGACATGGTTAGGACGTTGACCACGAACATGAAAGGGTTGCTTGAAGAGCTGCCAGTATCTTCGGCGTTGATGCGCTCGGTCCGCACGAATGACAGGTCGAACTGCATCGGTTGCAGCTGTAACAACTCGAAGTAGATATCCTGGCCTGATTGCTCTTGTTGCGGTTCAGGTAAGTCAAGGCTGTCTGGCGCCAGCTTACCCTCCTTCTCCTCCGTCCAGGAAGCACCAGGGATCTTGGTGAAGTCAAGTACGGCGAAGATGAAATCTTCATCAATTTCGATGGTCATCTGCTGCATCAAGAAGGTGAAGTACTTGATGTACAGCACGCCATAGGAGTCATCCTTGACTCGTGTAACCGACGTGCGGAAGATTGGATGAGCGTCCATCTCCTTGCCGGTCTTGGGCACAACGCTGGGGTAGAAGATGAGTGGGAAGACACCGCCATATAGCTGGTTGTCGATCTGGATCCACTTCACGGTGAGTGTGACTGTTTGGTACAGCGGTGACTCCGTGTACTTCAGCTCGATCTCCCGCCAGGTCACATAGACCAGCTCACGCAGCTGGGCGTTGATAAGCGAAATACCGATGCCGGCGAAGCGGATTGCAGCACGCATCGTTACATCCGTATCCATCTCCTTCACTTCGAAGCCGGCCGTTGTCGACTGGCTTGCTGCGGCTGACTTCTGCTTGTACAAGCTTGTGGAGGCCTTGTAGTTGGATAGCACCAGCGTCTGCGTAGGACCATCAGCGACCACGTTGAGATCAATGATCTTCTGCCGCTGCTGGTTCGGTCCAGTAGGGATGCGCATAGGTATTAGGTTGCCAATCTCAGCAAGCTTGACGTGTCGCTCTTTGCCACCAGCGCTCAATACCAAGTTCTTGTTCTTCGTCGCTGGGTAGTCCCACGCGTACGGCATGATGCTCCGCGGTGGCAAGCGGTAGCGGATCGGTTTCCAGCCTGAGGAGCGATCCTCTTCATCTTCGTCCACGTTGGGGTTGGCCTGCCAAAACAGATATTCTTGGTCGCTCTCGTTACGGATTGAGAATGGCCAGTGTTTCGTCTCTATACTCAAGTGTAAGTAGATAGTCGCCGCTTCCATGAGAATCTCGACACGAATCAATTTCTGCCTTTCGCCGGATTTGGCAAGTTTGACGTGGACACTTCCTACGTTGGCAATGTCGAAGGGCGAAGACCAGGAATTATTGACGCCTGGAAAGCACAGACTCAGCTGCTGACCGGTCGACTGCTTCAGGAAGCGAAGCGGATGCAATTCGCCAGGCTTGATGGTGAATGCATCGGACGATCCAGGCTCGCGGATCTGGATGTCCTCGGAGATCCTGTTCTTGACAACGAAGCGAGGAGTGATGGTGACGACCTTTGTCAGCTTGTACTTGCCCTCACCCTCCATCACGTTCAGACCCGCATGCATCTCTGCACGCCCAGACTGCGCGGGCAGCTTTACGTCAACATTCGCGCCGATGGCGTCGAAGCTGACGGGCTGACTCCAGCTAGAGTCGCCGAGCTTAATCACTGCTCTGTTTCTGCGGTCATCCGTAGGATGTGAGAACATGAACGGCTTGGCCGTGCGAGCCTCGTCCTCAGTATCTGCGAAGGCTTGTTGACCCGCAGCAGACTTGCTAGAGCTGAAGTATGCTTTGCTGCGAATGTCAAGCTCAAGGCCCGTTCGATTGAGGATCACGTACGGGGCGTAGATGGTGATCTTGAACGCGCCACCGCTGTCGGGGACGTTGTAGTAGTGAAGCTTCAGGCGCAGCTCCAGGCCGTTGCTGTCCTTGACCAGCAATGTTTTCTCACGCCGAAAATCATTCTCATTGTTCGTGTTAATGATCGCGAACTCGCTTGCCTTGAAAGGCGTATCTTGCATGTCGACACTGATCAACAGCAGATGCGAGAGCTCAACCACATGTACTGGGCTTACGCCTCCCTTGCGTAAGAAGTTGGTCCAGTCTTTCTTCGTATTTTTGTCGTAGATACGGTACTTGAAGTCGAACGGCAGGAGGTTTTGTACCTCGACCGGTGCGGATAGACGGATCCGCATATACGGGTAGACAGCCGTGAGCGGGTTGTTCTTGTCGAAAGCAGCCTGCATCTGGAAGTAGAACGGTGGCCCCTGCTGATCCTGTTCTCCAGCACAGCTGAGCGTTCTGACCGGCCGCTTCAGCAACTCTTTCCAGAAGAGCCGCTCACTGGACCAAGTATAGCCGAAGCCTTGATCAGGACGCACAACAAGTGAGTGCATGAACGCCGCGCCGACTGGGGCAGGCCGTGATTCGCCTGGCGGTATCTTCTCGATCTTGAGCAGATGTCCTTCCTCTGGACTGTAGACCCCAAGCTCGACCGGAATCTGGGTGTGATTCTCGACCAGCAGGGGCGAGCGTAGGGTAATGTACTTGACATTATCCGTGCCAAGCTTGACTTCGACCAGCATGCGATGCTGCACCTTGTCTTTCCTCGGCTTCAGATTGAACAGATCCTCGCCTTCGCGATTCACTGGGATGCGCTCGATGCTATCGAAACCGCTACCCTGTAGTCTCACACCGATAAGGCCGGTCTGGCCTTCAGGCGACAAAGTCTCGCGCGTTGTCGTCGGATCCTCGAATCGCCATGGCTGTTCATCGCCATCCTGCAGCTTCACCGCTTGACCTTCGTCATCGCTTTGAGCCTCGCCGCTAGACCAGACATCAACTTCAAAGCCGGTGTAGTTGCGTATGTGGTACGGTGCATCGTTGCCACGAGGTTTAGAAAGCACATCCTCGTCCGAGGACAAGAACTGCGCCGATTTGGAAGCCAGCGCAATTGTAGCAGAGGTTATGCTCAACTCCAGCATCTTCCGTGAGTATAGCTCGACCGCCATGCCAGTAGCCTCCTTCGCCATGTGAAAGCCCAGTGACCACGGTTCGATCAATGGCTCCCATGCAGACTTGGAAAAATTGTACACGTTGAAGTACGTGTCAACGCTAGTATCTGCCGTCATATCGCCAGTCCAGTCTTTGACGTCAACCGCAAATGCCTTGACACTCCAGTCAAGCATCGGCAACTCATGCAGGTCGCCAATGAGAACGACACGGATGCCGTCCATCTGAATCTTCATCTCTTCGCGCTTGAGCACGGCCGAACCTTGCGCCTTCTCTTCCGGCTGCTGCTTGGTAGTCGACTTCTTCGTGCTGATCGTCTTGGCTTGCGGCTTTTGCGAAGCCGAAGCCGCCGTCTTCTTAGCCGACTTCACAGTCTTCGACTTATTCTGTTGGTCAGCCTTCACCTGCGCAAGCTTCTTCGGACCTTCTTCGTCCATCTTCTTGTCTTGGTTGCCTTGCATAGCCGAAGCACGCTGGAAGATCTGCATAGCCAGCATGATATCACGGAGCGACAAGCGAAGGACCAAAGGCTCGATATCGACATGAATGCTCATTAGGGAGGAGTCTTTCGCCTGCGACCTCATGTCAAGCGAGGTCTGTATGCTGAAGTCGTCCAGTATCCGCAGTTTCGTCGTCTCGAATTGATCCATGCGGCACAAGAACATGCCGACCTTCTCGACCTGGAGAGTCATAGCATGCTGCTGCGAGACAAGCACTTGCTTCGTCCCCAGCACGATGGCTTCTGAGCTGCTGAGGGCCGGATTGGCAATGAGCATGACTTGCGCGTCCACGACATTAACGCGATAGGAGATGCTCATGCCACTTTCCTGCTTCTGCTCAGACTCTGCCTCGCCATGAGCACGCTGGTTCGGCTGAACAAGTTCACCGTTATCGGCATCATCCTCGTGCTCCGCGACACCGTTCTCTTCGGGCTCTTCCTCAACCATAAGCGGGGCATCTTGCTTGAGCCCAGCGTTGACGAAGTTCAGCACGGCGAACAGGTAGTCTAACGCCAAGATGATTCTCGGACTGTCAACGGTCAACAGAGCGATCAGACTCTTTTCCTCGCCGCCAGAGATGGACACGCTAGCCATGAACTGTTGTTTCACATCGGAGTTAATCAGTGACATGATCTTGCGGAACTTGTTCTTCTCCTTCGTCCGCGTATCGGTAATGGTAAACGATTGAATGAGCAGTTCACTTTCCATGCCGCCATCGCTCATCATCTTGAGCTTGACGCTTGTCTCATTGAGTGTGAACTTGGAGAGGCTGGCGGCTTCAAGATCCCCAATAGGCTCGTCCAGCCGGCCTGACACGAGCTCGAGACCCAGAGCGCCGACCTTGAAAATGAGGTCGAGCTTGGTCCAGGTCTCCGGATCGCGGCCAAGCTCCGGTCCGAGATGTGAAGGCTTGTCGTCCTCCTGCTGCTTCTCGACGTTCTTCTCGCCGTTCGCTTGCACCTCCTTCGCAGGCTTCACGATCTCATCCGGTAAGTCTTCCTCAACCTCTTCTTCTACCTCTTCATCCGGCTCCAGCGCAAATGCCTGCGGGATATTCTTGCTCAACTCCATCACGAATTTGAGCTGCTGCTCCGTGATGCGCAGGTTGATGTTGCTCATGGAGCCTTCGATCTCCATGTCCGGTCTTTGCTGTCCAGGTTGGTGATCCAACTGCGTAATGTTGAAGTCTAAGCCGACCTTGTCTATCATCTCCAGCTCTTCGGACTTCTCATCCGGGTAATTGAACGTTGAGACAAGGCGCACGTTGCGGATGCCCGCACTCAGCTTATTCGCAGTGTGTCCATCTTTTTGACCCTCTTCGAGCGGCACAAACTTGTTGTTTGCGTAAATCTCACCTAGGTATGCGGTCATCGTATCTCTGTGAGGGTTCTCGGTAAGGACCATCCGCGGGAATGCAACAATTGGCGTCTTGATAACCACATCGAAGTGCATCTTACTGGCGCTCTGCTGCACTTTACTCGCTTGATCTGCAGCAGCTTGACGCGCGGCGTTGAAGATGGCTTGCATCTTGCCGAATTTGACGCCAAACTCCATGATCTTCCGAAAGGGCTCCGTGACGAAGTTAATCTTGATGGAGCCAGATCGTAAGAAGATAGTTGTGTCGTAGCCGGGATAGTCCTTCGACTCTGCGTCATGCGTCTCGTACTTGAAGTCCGCTAGCTCATCGCCTTGAATACTGACGAGCTGCCGCAGCGCAGAGTCCTCAGAGACGCCTTGATTGATGTCGTCCACCAGCCCAAGATTGCCAAGCCGAGCACCGACTTGCATTGTCTTGCCGGCAAGGAAGACATTGACCGATGCGGAGGTCAAGCTAAGCGTTGCCAGACGGATGCCGTCATTGTTCAATATAACAGCGATGCGTCTCAGCTCTGCTTTGATGCGTATCTTGTCCTGTTGTTGTTGCTGTTGTGGTGCCTTCTGCGGCTCTGCGGCCTCAATTTGCTTAGACTCCTCTTCTTGTTGAGCCGGCGCCTCTGATGACGGTGCGGCGAAGGTTGCCAAGATGAAATCCATCAATGTCAGTAATGTCCGTCGGGTTACCATCAGATTGATCGTGGATACTGCGACATCCAAATTCGTCTTGATGCCCTCGTACTTCGACTTGAACTCGGGATGCTGAGGCTGTACCATCTGGAAGTGTATGGTGAGCAAATCCCGCTTGCCACTATCGTCCGCCTCCTCGCTCGAAATCAGATTCTTAAACTCCGGCTCCGGTGACTCTTCGATATGATCTTCGACTAGTAGTGCCTTCAAGCGGACGTCAGCGACCGTATCGAAGGCTCGCTGGTAGAATTCCAGATAAAACGTCTCCGCTATCAGGTCCACCAACAGTTGGTCCTCAGCCTTGCCTTCAGGGTCAGATTTGTATAACGAGCCCTGCAGCTTGTCGACGGTAAATTTGATCTCAAAGTTCCTCTGCTCCGGATTGACCTCTGGCTGCTTCTTGCTTGCTTTTTGAGGTTCGCCTTTCGTGGCTGGTGGTCCAGCCTCGGCCTCCCGTTTGCGCTTCTCTTCTTCCTCGCCCTCCTCCACATCGAGAAGCAGCTCATCGCGGGAAGCCTGGAAGCTCTTGCCCCTTGGCCTGCCTTCTTCGCCGGGCAAGGCGCTCTTCCGACGTCGCGCTTTGTCGGCGTCGGACATGGCCGGCTTGGGCGCTGCTTCTTTTGGCTCATCGTCAAACTTCGGGATAGCAAATTCGAGCAACTTCATCAAGCTCTTGTACTTAGCATCGCTGAACTTGGCGTGCAATATCGGCAGATGCCCTACGACCCGGAATTTGGTGAGGTCAGCAGCCGTCGGGATGATGCATGCCTGGATGGAAAAGTCCATGTTGATACGTTCAACGATGTGGAAGTCCTTGCTGCTGGCGTTTTCATCGAGCTGTTTCTTCGTTTCTTCCACCGTTGTACCAATAAGCACTTGCGTACTGTCAAGCTTAAGCTGAAATTTGTCGTACATGAGTGACTCGAGGTGTTGCAGATCCTGCTCCGTATAACGCTGCCGCTGCTTATTCTGAATATCTGCCAACGTCGATTTGTCAATCAGGTCGCTCCTGACTGAAGCGTGACCCGCGTCCAGAATCAAGCAGATACTGCTCTTTTTGGTGACAGAGTCGGGCACGATAATCAGAGGAGCTTGCATATCAAGCTGCACATCGATGGTCTTGTGCTCCTGCAGCGCGTATTCGAGACCGGCTCTTGTTTGCTGCCTAAGCCCTTCGACCGTCGAGCCAGCCGTCTCCATCAGCGCGCCAATGGATTCCATGTGCTGCTCCGGTGGCTTGAAGAACTTGGTCACCTGCACCACAAAATTCGGATTGTAGATGATCTCCATAGCCTTCAGCTTCAGATTGACAGCGGAATCGGCGTGGCCATCGAGCGGATTCTGCTCAAACGACATGCTGAAGAATGGATCCTGCTCCTCTTCTTCTGCGTCATCAGCCTTGTCATCTTTTTCGCCATGCCCGAGCTCTTTCACGCGCTCGGAGTCTGGAACAGGCGGTGCATCTTTGACACGCAGCATCTGCTCGAACAGATTGCCCTCCGTTGAACCGTCATACAACCGTAATCCGCCAAGACTGAGGTTGACAAGCATCGAGTCCGTGCGCTGCAAGAACTCCGTGCTGAAATCGTCGAACAACAATCGCAGCATGTCTGTCTTCTTGCCGTGCGGATCTCTCCGAAGGGTAAAGCTTCCAGTCTTCAGGTTCATGTCGACCTGCAGCTTGACTGCCTCCTTCGGCATATCCACTGCTTCCGTGAGACTTTTCTTCTCATCGAAGTCGATGGCATGGTACAGCTCCTTCCGCTGCTCCTCGTTCATCTGACTATCATCAGAGTGCATTGCAGCGCCAGCCTCGAGCTTGTCTTGCGGTTTTTGCGTGCTGCTAGCCCCCCAAATGTAGCTTCCCCAGGTCCTTTGCTGCTGCTGCTGCGGCTTTTTGGCATGGCCCTCTTTCCGGAGCTCGTTTCGCGCCAAGCTGCGCCAGAAGCGAAGGTCTTCGTAGGTAAGCTTCTGCTCAAGCTGATCGATCTCCTTGTTCTCTTCCGGCGTAAGCTTCTCTTCACGTTTCTTCTTCTTGAAAAGTGCGATATACTTCTTCCGGTCGTCTCGTCGCTCCGCAAAGTAAGCCCAGCTCCACCGGCGATTTTTGTCGTGTATACGATCAAGCACCGCCTTGCCCGCAAATAGCAGCCAGGCTTTGGGGTCCTCCTTTGGCGACTTCTTCGGCTGCAACTTCTTGTACTCCTGATGCCGGATGAAGTAATGGAAGAGGTCTACAAGCATGAGGGCGTCACGGTACTGATGGTCGTCCAACAGGAACCCGAGTTCATTGAACAGCAAGCGGGCCTTCATCTTGGCACGGTCGGTCTTGCCTGTCTTGTCCATCTCGAGACCGGCTCGGCCTGAGACAGGCTTCAAGATGTACTGATGCTCGTTCACAGCCGGATTGTCACCCTTGACGATCATGGCACGGAATTTATCGAGCACTTCTTTCTCGTCAATACCTTGCTCCTTCGCATCCTTGGCACCAGTGCCTTCGCCGATAAGCTCAGTGTCAGTGTCCCAGTAGACAGCCAGTGCCCCAAGCGTAGCAAGCTTGTGTGTGGTCTCCGAGGCACTCTGGATCCAAGTAGGCCTCCAATTCTCATCCGTGGAGACTGCGCTCAACTCCTGCAAGGTGATGCCAGCGGCGAACGGATGGCCTGGATCTGATAGCGCATCTTCATACCGGATATGCACGTTCTTCACCTGAATCTGCACGTTGTCGATGATGGTTGTTGTCAGCGCAGCAGTAAAGCTCTGCTGCTTCTTCTGTTCCTCTTGCGACATGCCTTCTGTGTTGCGCTCCTTGAGAAGCTCGGCCGAATCGAGCTTCTCCATCTTCACCGCATGTGCTCGCTTCTCTTCTTCCTCTGCGTTGTACTCCTGATCCTCTTTCGGCGCTGCCAGAAGGAAGACATCCTCGATATGGATCTGTACGGGTTGAGCGCGCAGGGCTCTCCATGGTATCTTGAGCACAAGGCTTGAGATGTGGCCTTCGATAACATTGAGTGGTAGATGAAATTGATCAAGCGCTTCCCGCTTCAGCTTCAAATTGTTGAGCTTCACATCGCCTGTCAAGATGCCAACATTGAGTTGCTTTGGGTCGAAGTTCTTGACATACATGCCCAGGAAGCGGTTGAGCAGCGTCGCCACAAGGCTCTCCAACACCATGCTGGCGGTGGTGGGCCGTCACCCGGGCCGGGGTCAGGGGAGGAATGTAAGTGGCCAAGGTGGAGGAAGAGGTGTTGCTGTGTTTGGTCTATACTAGATTCATATCATCATGTCGTCTGCTCGTTCTTCGACGGGGCAACCTTGACGCGCTATGGGGCATGCAATGTCGACGGGGCCGTCGTCCAGTATCGCCACAGGAAGCACAAGACCAGAGGGGATGTAGAGGGAGAGACTGTCGAAGGTACGACCGTGGCTGTGCACATGCATCGGGTTGTCCCTCAAGAAGGTGGGATACGTTGTTTATCCTCTGCCTGCGGGGCAGGGACGTCACCGCGCATACTACGGTCACTTGACTGGGAGGTGTACTGGGCTTGAGGTATGAGAGGGGAGAGGCTACATCACCTGCCTTCGAGCGGTACAGTATGTTGTGACACGTGATGTAGCCGCAGGAGAGACCAAATAGGCAGGAGGAAAGTGAAGTGAATGCAATCGGCTTCATGTTTCGAACGATGGTGCGGTGTGGCGCTCGAAGCCACGACGATCATCCGAAGCTCCAAGCTTTCATTGCTTGGCGTTCCGTTCCCCTAGCAAGCTTCGTCCCAACCTCATATCGGGCCTCGAGCCATTGACTCTCCACTCTCCCCTCTCCGCCTTCGAGCGCCGCGATACAGGCCTGTATAGCACCCAAGAGTGCTCCCAGCATGGCCTTCCTCCGCTCCGCCGCCTGCAGGCGCCTTCTACAGACTCTCCCAACCACCACAGCCACGTCGTCGTTTACCCTCCGCTCCAAGCTTTGCACACTGCCCGCAGTCTCCCGTCAAACGACATTGAGCGCCGCCAAGCCTTTTGCTAGCCCAAAGACACTCGCATTGGTACGATGGCAGAGCCGGAGTGGCTCTGGCGACCGCAAAATGGTCGATGAGATTGACGAGCGTCACGAATCCGAGCTTCGGAAGGAGAAATTGACCGCGAACCCGGACCTTGTTAGTACCAGCTCTTCGACGCATCCACTCATGGGCGAAGTTGGCGCCGCGGCTGGTCAGCGAGGTCAGCACGAAGACGATACGGAGATGCTGGCAGGAGTCAAGGGCGATCTGGTAAGATAATGTTGATTCGCTCCAAAATAAAGAAGCGTGCGATGTGAACAGACAAAGCGCAGCTGACGCGCCTTCTCCAGAAAACAATCGTTGACACCTTCAGCCTTGAGGGTGTGCCGAAGGAAGCCTACTACGTAGGTCTGGCAGGTGTCTTGCCGTACTTGGCAACTTCACTTAGCACGGTCTACTGCGCTTGGGAGATCAACCACGCGTCCGAGACGGGTGCTGGGTTTCTCATGAGCGATAAGACGGCAGAGCTCGCACTACATGTCATCGAGCCGTTGCAGATCGGTTACGGCGCTGTGGTAAGCTTATCACGTTGCCCCACAATCTGCCTACACCGTAGAACTAACGTATAACGTTCAGATCATCTCCTTCCTCGGTGCCATTCATTGGGGTCTGGAATGGGCCGGCTACGGCGGCCACCGCGGCTATCCTCGCTACATGATCGGCGTGGTGTCCACTGGCCTCGCATGGCCTACCATCCTGCTCCCGGCCGAATATGCTCTGATCTCGCAATTCCTCATCTTCAACTTCCTCTACTACACTGACTCCCGCGCCACCCAGCGCGGTTGGTGTCCGCCATGGTACTCTGTCTACCGCTTCGTACTCACCTTCATTGTGGGTGGCGCAATCGTGGTGTCCTTGATTGGACGTGGACAGATTGCGGACAGAATCGGCAAGTTGCCGGGTCCGGCGGACCGGATCAAGGCGCTGAGAGAGAGCCAGTACGCGCAGCTCGAAGAGGAAGAGGAGGCGCGGAGACGCTTCTTGGCTGACAAGGATGAGGAGGAAGAAGAGGAAGGTGAGGAAGGTGAGGAGGAGGAGGGCGAGGAAGAGTAAAGGAGGTTGCACTCGTAAGTTCAATGGGGGCGATTCGATCGCTCTGGTAGGCTGTGGCATTGGGTGTATGTGCAAAGCGTCGGCTACCGAATCGTCTGCGGACCGGCGCTCACCCAAGCCGGCAGAAACGTTACCACCAGGACTACGCATACCACGAATGCTGAGGTGTCGCTGTATATTAGGCGAACTTATGCACCTGTATACAACCATTCCACACTGGCGCGCCAGCGTCCGCTGAGTGTACACATTAGCCTTTGTGTTATCGATGCAAACATCATCTCTGTGCCGAATCGGGTTGTCCCGTAAGCCTGCCGCCCGTTTAGCACGAAAGGTAGCTCGGTACTACGTACTTCACACCTTTAACAATACCTTAATGTTACATTCGTGTCTGGTAATGTGCAGGCCTTGACGTGCAACCCTAGTACGATCAACGCGGTGCAGGATCCACAAGAGGTCAATAGTCCACCTCCTGCCCGGTTTGGCTTGCAGATAAGGCTTGCACTTGCTTGGTGTCGCGCTATGCAACGATGACTGACGTCTTACTGCGTGACCAGGAAACCTTCCCCACCACGATGGTGGAACTCTGTGATAACAACAATCCGACTCACGAATGCGGAAGGTCCCTCATAGCACCACCACTTAGTCTATGCAGCATGATGAGGGGTGCTCTGATAGACAGCCGCGGTGGAGTGCGACGATGAGATGAAAGGGAGTAACTCCTCTCCTGTTTCCCTCCTGTGTTCTTCTAGGCCGCAAGAATGCATTTCAGCAGAGTAGGTGGGCTTTTCGCCGTCGTCTTAGGTGGTGCTGTCGCCGCGCCAACCACTTTCACTTCTCATTACGCGGTCAAGGAGCGTCATGCCGTGCCTCGAGGCTGGACCACTGCCGGCCCAGCTCCGGCAGGGCACGTTCTCAACTTGCAGATTGGATTAAGGCAGAGCAACCAGGGCGTCCTTCAGCAGCATGTCTTGGAGGTTTCGGACCCGTCCCATAAGCGCTATGGGTACGTAGATGCCTTTGACATTGCTTTGCTTGATAACGCATGCTTCTGCCGCCAGCAGAACCTGGCAGCATTTGTGCAAGTCTAGGTGTTGCTAACTGCGGCGACCAACGTTCCTAGACAGCATCTCTCCGCCGATGAAGTTCACGCCCTTGTGTCGCCTTCGTCAGAGACGGTCCGGCTCGTACAAGATTGGCTGCAGGCACATGCCATCTCCGAGCATACTCTCAGCCCCTGCAAAAGCTGGATCAGCGTCAGTGTAGCTGTAGAGAAGGCCGAAAGCCTACTTAACACTACCTATTCATTGTTCCGCCATACGGATGGCTCTGCGCTGGTACGCGCACCCGAATGGTCTCTGCCAATGCACTTACACGAACACGTCGACCTTGTCCAACCCACGACATCCTTCTTCAGACCCTCGAAACAGGCGTCCGATATAATGCCGCCGGAGCGCGGTGGTCCAGGCCACAGCATGGAGTGGTGGCACCAACATAAGCCCCTGCCACCACCTGTATGTTTGCATTCAAGCTGGAACACAGTTCTTGCATATACGAGACACTGATATCGTCGGCAGCCTCCAGCACCAGGTGCACCCGTCAACATCTCCGCAATTTGCAATATTACCTACACCACTTTGGAGTGTCTCCGCACCCTCTACGGCACCATCAACTATGTGCCGCAAGTGCCACAGCTAAACTCAATTGCCGTGACAAACTATCTAAATGAGACGCAGAACCGCTCTGACATCAGTATCTTCCTGCAGAACTTCCGGCCGGAAGCTGCAGCCGTGGCGTATGAGTTTCCCATGACCATCATCGCTAATGGGTCGGACGTGCAAACACCTAACCTTCCCGGTAACACTGGCGACATAGAAGGGAATCTGGACGGCGAGCTAGTCCTCGGTTTCACGTATCCTATAAACTTCTCGGCCTACAATACCGGCGGAATGCCACCCTTCAATCCGGATCTAAACACTCCAACTGACACCAACGAGCCATACCTGACATGGCTGAGCTACGTCCTTGCACAGAAGACGCTGCCATACGTGATCAGTACCTCTTACGGCGATGATGAGCAGACAGTGCCGCTGTCGTATGCTACAAGTGCCTGCAACGGGTTCATGCAACTTGCCGCTCGAGGCATCTCCGTCCTCTTCTCCAGCGGCGATGCCGGTGTTGGTGCAAATGGCACATGCTTCTCGAACACTGATCCGTCGAAAGCGATGTTCATTCCGGCCTTCCCAGCAAGCTGTCCGTGGGTCACGACTGTGGGAGGCACCGCAGGCTTCCAACCTGAGGTTGCCGTATCCCGGTTCGGCTCAGGTGGAGGCTTCTCGAACTACTTCGGTCGTCCTGCTTATCAGAGCGCGGTTGTTGAAGGCTACTTCGGAAAAATAGGAAGTCTTTTCACTGGGTTGTACAACACCAGCGGTCGAGGCTACCCGGACGTCGCCGCTCAGGGGTGAGTCATTGTACTCTCGGAGTCTAGGACTAGGGAAAGTCATATCGCTGACCAGCGGCAGCAACCACGACGTAATTGTCTGGAACGGCACAATCCGTACAGTCGGCGGCACATCTGCGTCCAGCCCTACCTTCGCAGCAGTGATCGCTCTTGTCAATGACGCTCTCATCGCGAAGGGTCGCTCACCTCTTGGCTTCCTCAATCCATGGCTGTACGGGGGCGCTTATAGCGCTTTGACGGACATTACAAGCGGTATATACTCCCACCTCAAGTGATCGCATAGACGGTGCGCGCATTGTGAGGTATGGTCACACTGACGACGAGAATCGCATAGGCTCTGCAATCGGATGTAACACAAGTGGCTTCCCGGCAGAGGTCGGATGGGATGCTGTGACTGGCTTTGGAACACCAGTGAGTCGACAGACCGTTACCTTCCCGTCTTACTTTACTGATGACACATGCGTAAACGCAGAACTTCGGCAAGCTAGTGGATGCTGCGTTCGACATCAATGCATCTCGTTGGTGGTAGGTGATGACGGCCGCTCACCTGGACGAACATTGCTTGGTGGCAGAGTTGACGTTTCGGGAGATCTTGCCAACAGTTGAGATTGTATGGTTCCCGTGCATATCGTTGCGCACCGTTGACAGAAGCGTTCGTGATAGCTATCACGTTCGGCGCACACGCATCAAGCATTAGCAGCAGCTCCAACCTCGCCGCCGTTCAAACAATCTGATAACGGCAACAAGAGCTTGTGGGTCAGATAGTTGTTTGGAAATATGGGCGTATGCAGTGTTCCGAACCCTAAATTGTTGCAGATACATCATTATCACGTAGAAGAAAGAGCCCAAGACGACTGTAATGTGGTAGTAGGCGCATACGACGTATTTAAAACTGCAGCCTCACCACTAGACAGCAGTCGCAGCAGCCGCCTCCCTCTTCGCCCTCTCCTCATCTCGCCGCCTCTGCGCATTCTTCATGCGCGTTATCGTGTTCTTGTCCAGACTAGCCGCGCCTGAGCTCCCCAACGTACCCTTGAACGTGCCGAGCTTTGGAAGTTGGCTCTGGAATGGCGGCGCGCTCTCTCCAGTCTTCTTGGGCTCATTCCTTGCGGGCTCGGCTTCGTTTCTCGCCCGGCCTGTCCACACCACATTCTCAAACACACCCCACACTTCTGCATTCTCGGCGAGTTTTTGCGCGAAATGGCTAGCCGCGGCCTGTGCACCGTCGCGGGAAGCGTAAACAAGGAGGACCGTAATATACGGTCGTTTTTGCTTCGATGTCGAGTTAGGCGGTCTTAGGTCCTTGGCACGGGTTATGCAATCTTGGATGGGCCCGAAGCAAGACCACAGTGATATCACGGCCTCTCTGTCTAACTGGGAAGTGGATGAGATGGAGGGGTAGCGGAAGGTGATGCTGCGGTCCTGGTCGTCGTCCTTGCTGAGAGGTGCTGCTGGTTGTTGGGTGCCACTGTTGGGAGCTTGTTCTGCTCGGGACGTTTGGGCGACTTCTCGTCGTTCTTCTTCCTCGAGTTCGGCGGCTTCGCGACGTAGGCGTGCCTCCATCTCTTTCCGCCGACGGGCGCCGTCGGCTGCTATACGTTTGCATTCTCGCTCAAACTCGTCTTCCTCACTCGCTATCCCAACGACATCCGTACCAGTAGCGTCTCGTTTCCGCTTCAGGCCCGCGCGCTCGCGTCGCTCAAGATCTTCCTTTAGCTGTCGTCGGCGGTCATCGTACGCCGCTTCACGCAATTGCTTCTCCTCTCGCGCCCTTCGCGCATTGTTGTAAAGTTCTCGCAGCGGTGGATCGGAGAGTATATCGTACGCTATCTGCAAGAGGTGGAATTTATCAAGCGCGGCCGTATCGGAGGCGCCAACTTTGTCCGGGTGGTATTTGAGGGCTGTTTTGCGGTAGGCGCGCCGGATCTCACTTTCTACGCTAGAGGGGGAGAGCGAGAGCAGGTCATATAGGTCTGGCGTTTTTGAGCTGATCGCTATGGATTTGAGGTCGTCCGAGGCCATGGCTGCGGCGGTATGGTGGTAAGAGCAGGGTGGGAGTAGGAGGATGGAGAGAGTGCACGGCGATCTTATACCGACATGACTCGTTTGCTCACGCGAGTCATTGTCGATAAGCGAGCTCCGCTCGGGCCGCCAAGTACAGTAGGTGTGCGATTTGCCGAAGCTCCGAGTCGAGGCGCGGCAGCTTGAGCATCACGGCGCTGAGAGTCAACAGTACACGTCTATCACACCGTCTTCACTAGCGGCATCGCCTCGTACACGTTCACCTTTCTCATATACCACTTCTTGGGTGGTCTACCTGAGCCAGCGATCAATCTCGACTGGCACCACCACCGCCATCTCAGTCGCTCTCACTCCGCATCGACACTGCGCCCTTCACCCACTGCTGGACCATTGCCCGCGCAATGCTCCCCCACCCACGCCAACATGACCGAGACGATTACAAAGATGAGCCTAGTTGACTGGCTGGATGATCTCACCGTTCGCTTCCTTCTCAACCTCCCCGCCTCCGAGTTGTCGTCTATGCCCCGCCTCTGCTTCCAAGTTGAAGAAGCGCAATGGTTCTATGAAGACTTTATACGCCCTGCAGCGGCTGCAGCGGGCAAGCAGCTCCCGTCGCTTACGCTGCGGCAGTTCTGTCTGCAGCTCTTCCAGCACTGCCCGTTGTTGAGTGGGTTTACTGGGGAGCAGCATGTGGCTGCGTTCGAGGAGTTCCTCGCCTATAAAGTCCGCGTCCCCGTCCGCGGCGCCATTCTGATGGATGACAGTTTGGAGAAGTTAGTGCTCGTCAAGGGCTGGAAGAAAGGTGCTTCATGGTCCTTCCCACGTGGTAAGATCAACAAAGACGAAAAGGATCTCGACTGCGCCGTACGTGAAGTTTACGAAGAGACCGGCTTCGATGTTCGCGCTGCTGGCCTTGTCCCTCTAGATGAGGACGAAGTCAAGTATATAGACGTCACCATGCGGGAACAGCACATCCGCCTCTTCGTCTTCCGTGGCGTAAAAGAGGACACGCATTTCGAACCCCAAACCCGCAAGGAGATCAGCAAGATTGCTTGGTACTATGTGCGAGACCTGCCCGGTTTCAAGAAGGGCAAGCAGCAACATGGCGGCGAAGGCAACCATGCGAGCAAGTTCTACATGGTTGCGCCGTTCCTGGGACCGCTGAAGAAATGGATCAACCAGCAGGTGCGAGTGGATGCGCAACGGGATGCTCAAATTGCGGCACCTGGTGATGCGATGGCGCATGCGCATATTGGTTCTGATGAGGAGACGGAGGGTGTTGTGGACCAGGGGAGCCAGACAGTACCTGATGCGGCTGTTGTGGACCGAAGTGCCGAGCTGAAGCGGCTATTGAGCATTGGAGTGACGGGTATCAATGGCAACACTTCGACACCAGTAGTAGCTCCGATTGGGCCACAAACTAACAGCCTCCTCTCTCTACTACAGGGCGGTGCACTAAAGCCGGCAACCGGCGTCCCGCAAACACCGCTCGAACAGATCAACGCATTCCCAGCGCAACCTGACACGTCACAGCCTCATCACCCACGCCAGCCGTCATTAGGAGAACAGCAGCGTTTTCCCCAGTTCCCGTACAGCGTACCACAGGAAGTGTCGCGCAATGCTAGCTTAGCAGAACCAGGTGTCTTCGGGACTGGCCCAGCAGGAATTTTGCAAGGGTCTTTGCCGAACCCGTCCAATGCCAATGTACACCCTCACTCGTTCCACCACCACCACCAGCAGCAGCACCACCAGCAGCAGAGGGTGAGCATGCCTGCTGGAACCCTTTTCTCTCAACAACCTCAGCAACGACAGAACAGCGTGCAGCAAGCCTACAATATACGACACCCGTTCGTACAAGCTTCTAGCGTCTCGGCACCCCAAGAAGAAGCCCAATATCAACCAAGACCGTCCAACGCGTCTTTAGCTCCGCAAGGCCCACATGGACCGCTTGCCGGCAGTCCTGCAGTACCCAAAGCAGAGCATCTGCCTATGCCGAACCTTAACGCGCATTCCCTTAGCTTGCTCGATGCCTTCAAAGGCGGTGCAGGTAAGACGCAGATTGCCTCTCAAGGTTCAGTGCAACAAGGCAGCGCCGGCCACGCAGCGAGGCATCCGAGCCAGCATCAAGCAGCTCTCTTGGGCCTCTTAAGGAAGTCTACCACAGCCCCGGATCTGCTTCCGTTACAGTTGCCTACAGCTGAGTCTGTCGAATTCTCCGACGGGCCGACTGCAACAAATACCTTAGAGAGGCCGGCAACGCTCCGAGAGAGGAAGCCTACGCTTAATGAGATTACGCGGACACTACCCTCAAAATTCAAGTCAAAGTCGCCGGTAAGTCCGTCAGCACCTCAGCTACCGCCAATCCCGCAAACGGCGCAACAACCAGTGAATGTCCCTCCACCCACTACGTTACAACGACCAAAGTCGCGAGGCCAGCTGTACGACCCCTCGGTGTCCAAGGCCCCGGCACGTGTCCCTGCGCAGACTGCGCAAACCACTGATCACGACATCTCCACTATACAGCGCGTACCATCTGCGCAGCACGCACCGCGTGCTGCTCGATTGCCGCGATCTCCAAAGGTGAAGGCGGACGAAAATGGCCAGCCGCAGCTTCCGCACTTCACAATCCTGACCCGACCGACATCGGAAAGACTGCAGTCTGCGAACCATGGAAGGATGCCGAGTAGTCCGCTCAGGAACGAGACGCCGACACCGAAACCATCACAGCCCCATATACAGGTTCTCAAGAGGCCTGAGAGCGTGGATCCAGTGACGGTGCAGAAGGCTGCTAAGGCTGTTGAGCAGTCAGCGGTGGCTAAGCCGGGTGTGGATAAGAGAGAGCAACTACTCGCGTTGTTCGGGAAGAGTGATAGTAATGCGATGTCGCCGTTAGCGGAAGCATCTTCACTTTCACTTCCGGAAAAGGGAAGTCAGAGTAGGCTGTTGAGTTTGCTCACGAATGCGCCGACCCCTGCTGCGAAATCTGTAGAGTTAAACGGTGCACCACCTACAACTGCGCTTGCCACCTCTCCACCACCTGCACCATTGATACAACCCGAACGAAAGCCGAGCGCGCAGACTGTGCTTGTGCATCAGCGGCAAGCGACGCCTCAGCAGAATGGACTTCTCGACTTGTTCAATCGCCCTGCTGCGACCAAGCCTGACTTGCAGAGCCCGGGAACGCCGATTTCACCTTTCGCGCTCGGGACGCCGGCGCAGAGAGTGGCGCCGGCGAGTCTGCTTTCGCAGGCATCTGCGCCAGCACTGGCTGCAAGTGCCCTTGCAGACGCGGCCCTAGGAAAGCTTGGGGATGGTAATTCCACACCGACGCCGACGCCGAGCTTTGAGAAGAGGTCTACCAGACTGGGAAGTGGTGGCGTGTTAATGGAGGGAACGGATGGGCAGAAGGGGAGCGGGAGGAAGGGCAGCGGCGCGGGCACGCCGGTGGAGGCCAAGGGGTTTCTGTTGGATTACCTCAACGGGGTGGTGAAAAGCGCTGGCGCGAAGAGGGCATAATATCGTAACTGGCATATGAGACGGCTTTAGTCGATCCGAGCCGAAAGTAGCACGCTCTAGCATTAAAGCGTGCCTACTTATTTGGGTCAGACGGCGTCGAAGCTTCAAGTGTCCCCCACCTTTTACCCGTACTTCGCTTTCGAGACGCGCTTTTTGGGTTACGCTACATATAGCTCTGCTACAATCATGTCTGTGACAGTCACTCGCAGAGCACCGTACATCTGCGCACAATGCCGCTCCCAACAGCTCCATCTCCGCCATCCTCGTGCTTACTCCAGCACCGTATCAATCGCCCCTCCCCCTCCCCCTCCACCTTCCGCGGCCGTCCACTTGACAACCCGCCGTCTCATCTCGATCCACGGTCCGGACTCCGCCAGGTTCCTCCAAGGCCTGATCACCGCCAATCTTCCCATCCCTCAATCTGATGCCTCTGCCAACCAATCTGCCTTATCTGCCTTCTACGCCGCTTTCCTCACCGCGCAGGGACGCGTGCTGCATGATGTCTTCATCTACCCCACTATGGGCACGCACTGGCACGCTGAAATGAACAACGAGTCGTCCGACCCCGGCTTTCTGGTAGAAGTCGATGCGGCGGAGACGGAAGGGCTGATGAGGCATTTGAAACGGCACAAACTCCGCGCGAAGCTGAAGATGGCGGTGCTGGAGCAGGGCGAGGGGGAGGTGTGGCAGGTTTGGCGGGAAGGAGAGCGATGGACGCGGCATGGTGGGGTTGCACGCACGGGCAGCGAGCAGGGTGCGGGTGCAGCAGCAGATGAGAGGAGGAGACGATGGGAAGACGGCTGGCCGCGCTTAACCGACTGTCGTGGCCCGTCGATGGGCCAACGACTACTCTATCTGCCTGCGGCGCAAGCGAGTCGCGAGGGTCGCCCTACGGATCTGGAGGAGTTGGAGCAGGCGCCGCTGAGCGGTTATACGATCCGCAGATACTTGCGCGGCGTACCAGAGGGACAGAAGGAGATTGCGCGGGATGACAGTTTGCCTATGAACTGCAATATCGATCTTATGGGCGGGATTGACTTTAAGAAGGGATGTTATGTGGGGCAGGAGTTGACGATTCGCACGCATCATACGGGGGTGGTGAGAAGGAGGATCCTGCCTGTGGTGCTGTATCCGCATGGAGAGGATGTGCCGGGGAAGTTGGAGTATAACCTACAGGCTGCGGAAGCTGTGGAGGGAGCCATGGGGCCGATGGGAGAGGAAGTGGAGATGGAGATTAGAAGAGACGATGCGCGGAAGCGGTCGACTGGGAAGCTGATTGCGAGGGTGGGTAGTGTGGGTTTGGGCATGTGTAGGCTGGAGCAGATGAGCGATCTTACGGTGTCTGGGGAAGGGAGTTCTTACGGCCCTGACGACCACTTCGTAATCGCAGCACCAGACGGAGAAGCGATGGTAGGGGTGAAAGCCTTCGTACCTGACTGGCTTCGTGGGAGGATACGCGAACCGAAGATCCAGCGACGTGTCGATACGTGATGTAAGCTTGCCATGAACTGTTCTTCATCAGTCCACCACCTCACCAGGGCAACGGTAGGGGTCGACGTACGGACACGGGCCTAAAAGCCTCGGAATTAATAATGTGGAGCTGAGAGAAACGGGGATCGAGACTCGTACGGTCGCGTAGATGAAAGTACAACATTGCAACGGAGCCATGTCGGTAACGATAACACAGCTGTGGAGCTTGAGCGTGCGACGTCACGACCTATGCAAGTTGACACACAAGCGGAGTGGTTTGACTACACAATGCCCGCCGTTCACGACACTCCAAGAGCCTACTCAACAAGCGGGAGGAGCTCCTCTGCCTCTGCGCGGCCCGACGGCGCAACAGTGTCGCAGCTTGTATGAGTCGAGACTAACACACGACGTCACTCCGCAATACGGCTACACTAGGGTTGCGAACGTAGCATGCGCTTCGACGGCAGTTTGACGGCAACGCAAGCCTTGGAGGGCAGGCATGGTGTGGATCGAGCGAAGATTGGCTCTTTCGAGATCTGGCATCGGACATTGAGAACAACCAATACGAGATGTGAGGGTTTCACGAAAGCACTTCCCGCAATACCTCGCCGTTGATGCAGTAGGCAGCAATGTCTGCTTCCGCCATTCCGCCGATGTCTCCGATCTCCACATCGTCGCTCAGTAAGCTGGGAGCCCCGAGAATCAAAGGATGTGAAGATGACACCCTGGTCTGGGTATAACTTGTCCACTGCAGAAAGTGGGTGGTGAACACTCTATACGCAAACAGTACATACCAACGCCATGCTAACACCACACCACTCCATCAAGCTTTCACCCTGTCCGACTGATCTTACATTTCCAGCCACTCTCTTGGCTCAACAGCGGTAAGCTGGCACCTAAACACCAACCCAACTCGTTGCCCTTGATCTTCTTCGCAATCTTCACCTCGCGATCAATCGGCATCTCGTACCCAGTATGCAACAGAGCAAGCATGAAATTCAGATCCAAGCACGTCTGTGGCTCACCAACAAGCTCGTCGACAGCTCCAGGTACAGACTCGAAAGCGGACCAGCCGTCATTCTCCGGACCCGAGCAGACCTGCGCCGTGAGGTCTTTCAGCTCCTGCAATGTAAATGACTCCGGCATACCGAGCGGTTGCGTGCGGTCATAGAAATATGAGAATAGGTAGATATCTTCTCTCGCGAACGTCTTCGACAGTGATGGCTGGTGTACGCCGTTGAAAGCGCAGGGAGTGAGGGCGCAGGTGGCGTCTTTCTTCAATGTCTTCTCAGCAAGCGCTCGACATTGAGCTGGCGCACCGGCCGCGGGACCTGTCATATTGACCGTGACTGTCTTGCCGAGAGGGTGGTTCTCCTCGAGGTTGACGTCCACGTTGCGGCTGATGCCGGGTTGGAAGCAGGGGTTGCTGATCGGTTCTGACAGCCATGACTTACTGGCATCGGTTGAATGCGCATCGTACAAGCCTTGCACAACCGTACGGTGAAGGTTGTTGCGTGCTTCCATCAGACCGTAGCCTAGGTATGAGTGCTGGTAGAGGTCAAAATCCCGACCACCGAAGCTGAGCGAATACTTGTGATCGCCCTCCGCCATCTTCTGCGGCATGCCACCGTTTGATGCCATAGGAAAGGTGGGCTGGAAGACGATCTGCGTGCTGCCGCCTCCGAGATCGAAGACGGCGGCCGTAGGCGTCTTGTCTGGGCCTCCAATCTTGCCCAGGAGATAGTTGGTCGTGATCCAGGCGTAGACACCTTCGTCCTTACCGTCCATGACCTCCACACCACCCTTGTCGGCGCTGACGACTGGGAATGGGTATACGGTCTCCAGCCTTTCGCGCACTGCTTTAAGAATAGCTTCACTCATTTCCGGTCCCAGCTTCCTCAACCCTGCGGTTGCCTTGACAGCCACTGGAGTGCAGCCCTGAAGTTTCTCTGGCACGTTCTTCACCGCAACATCCATGAGCACGTCCAGACTCTTGGCCGCACCCTCTGCATCACTCCTATAGCTGCTGAGTCCGCTGCCGCCCTCCTTCTTAGCAGTCATTTCGAACACTTCGTCTTCCAGCTCCGGCGTGGGCCCGCAGTTGTTGAAGCGATACACATGTATTCTGCTGCCAGTGCTTCCCGCATCTACCATCAGCGCATACTGCACCAAAGGCTTGTCTTTCGAGTAGCTCTTTGTACATCTCGACGTTGCTGTCGACAGGTCGGAAGCCACGTCGCCGCCTGGGAACTTGCCCGTGCCTGGGATGGATGCTGAAGGCGCATACTGACTGGGTAGGATGTAGTATACAATCAGAAGGACGAACGCAATCACGGCACCAGTCTTGATGTACCGCGACCGCTGGCCTTGATTCATCCACGCCGCTCGTACTTTGTCCTGCATTGAACTTCCGTGGCTGGGCTTCTCGTAAGAATAGGCCGTCTCACGCCTTGGTAGCGCGCTTGAGGACCGTCTACGTGGCCGTCCAGAAAGGCCAATGTACGACCAGACTGTGCTCTCTGGCGGGGTATTAACGTCGCTGGGCATGAAGCCTTGTGAAGCTCGATGCCTTGACGATCCAATCTCCGTCGCACAGGCCGAGACAAAAAGAAATGAGCGACAGAGAAGTTGCCGGCAGATGGCTAGCAGGACCGCATGCTTTCGAATAACAAGTCATGCTCAACAGCTTCGAGGGGCATCTCAAAGACCCCTTTTCGTGGCGCGCTCCGCCGCCAACACCATGGGTCGGTACGCTCTGCCCCTGCATTGCCACCGGAGCTGGCTCCGTTCAACAGATGAATACTCGTCACCATCAGTGCCTGAATGACAAAAACGTGTGCATATAAGGACGCGACCGTTCGTAATGGTCGATATCGGTTGTATAGATCCTTATAGGCCTTGAAACCGCCAGCAAACTTCACGCCAACCTCCATCTTGTCCCACCCAAGCTGCACAACATGGATATTGAACTCTACGTCTATGACTTGACACATGGCATGGCTCGCCAGTTTTCTCGCCAAATGTTGGGGATCTCGATCGACGCTGTGTTTCACACCTCCCTTGTATTTGGCGGCATCGAGTATTTCTTCGGCGCCGGCGTGCAGACGTCGTATGCAGGTTCAACTCATCATGGCCAGCCTATCGAGAAGATCCATATGGGAACGACACAGTTGCCGATGGAAGTCATCCTCGACTATCTCGAAAGTCTGAAGCAAATCTACACGCCGGAGTCGTACGATCTCTTTGCTCATAACTGCAACAATTTCACGAATGATTTCTCGATGTTCCTGGTCGGCAGAGGGATTCCGGATCATATCACCGGCCTGCCGAAGCGAGTTCTCGAGACACCGTTTGGGCAGATGCTCAAGTCACAGATTGATGCGAGCATGCGCTCTGTCACTCAAGCACCTGTGCCACCGCAGAATATCCCCACTGCCATGAACGGCAGGATGGGGCAGCCTGTTGCAATCAATGGCCAGCCCCAGCCAACGGCAGGGCGACACGGCAAAGTGATGCACGTTACACAAGCGAGTGCGCTCGACAAGCACATCGCCTCCTCGACCCGCCCGGCAGTCGTCGTTTTCTTCACGTCTTCCACTTGCGCGCCTTGCAAGCTAGCGTATCCCACCTTCGACCAATTAGCCGAACAACATGCCAATGCGCAGTTTGTCAAGGTCGATATCAACGAAGCCCGGGAGATTGGGTCGCGATACAGCATTCGTGCCACACCAACGTTCATGACCTTCTACAAGGGCACCAAGCAAGACGAATGGACTGGCGCGGATCCTTCGCTGCTGAAAGCCAACGTCGAGCGGTTGATATTGCAGGCATACCCGCCACATCCTCACTCCCATCTGAAAGTGCCTACCTTACAGTTTGGGAGTTTGAAGTCAGTCACTTACGGCAAGGTACCGCCCATGGACAAGCTGATGGTCAAACTTGGCGATGCTGCCAAATACCCCGAGATCGTTGCCCTTAGATCGTTCGTTGAGAGGCGGACTGCGGATCCGAGAGAGGCTACTCTGCCGAACCTACAATCTACCTCGCAAACCTTTGCCACAAAGGTGCTCTCGTTGCCGGTCGAGGTCCGCTTCGCAGCCGTCGACTTGCTCCGATGTGCTATGATTGATCCCCGTGTCACTGGCTTTCTGGCGGAAGACCATGGCTCTTCCACGGTACAGACCCTGGTCAAGCATGTCATTGAGCTCCCAGACTGCCCCCATAATCTCCGCCTGGTCACGATCCACCTCGCCTGCAACCTCTTCACATCTCACCTGTATGTCGGGCAGATACTGCGACCGGATGAAAGCTCGCTTGCATCACTTCTCATCCAACTTGTCAATGCTGCTTTGCTTGACTTTTCACACCCCACAACGAGAGTTGCCGCGTCATGGTTAGCTTTCAATCTGGCAGCTGGTAATTACCGCTCGCGCCTCGAAGAGTCTCGGGATGGATTGGCGGAAGAGCTGCAGGTCGAAATTGCAGCCTCGCTGCTGGAAGCTCTGCCACGCGAAGACAGTGAGGAGGCGGTAAAGGCGCAGCTTTCGGCTTTGGGGTATTTGGTGTACTTTGCGCCGGTCGACGGTGAGGTCATGGACTTGTGCAGGGCGTTGGATGCTAAGACGGTTGTACAGTCGCTAAAAAAGCACGTTGATCTGGGAAAGGAAGTAACAAGCTTGTTGGACTGAATGCTGCTTGACGACCTGCAAAGTGTAGTTTACAGCTAAAGCGATCCCTGTCGCCGGTACGACGGCTTTGATATCTGACGAAGCCATACACTGCGAGAGTGCTGGTACAAGAAGGCAGACCACTATTGGTACTTCAGCTCGATTGGTTGCCCACCCTTCTCGCCACTTGTCAACATCGCTTCCAGCACCTCAAGATCAGCTAATGCTTGTTCTGGCAGTTGCCGTGGTTCTTGTTTCCCGGAGACGAGGCTCTCTGCCCACGCGAAGACTTCTTGCTTCACACCGCCCTGCTCGTCAGGCTTCTCAACAACCTCCTCGTCGCCGTCTTTCGGGTTGATGGTGACTTTCTGCCCCGACACAGTCACGCTACCATTCTCGCATGCAACACTCCACTCGCCGCCCTTGAACGTCGTGCCAAAAGATGCGGAGAAGTTACCCGTTGACCCATTCGCCAGCTTGAACACAGCATCCACTGTGTCGATGGGCAGCAGGTAAGGTTGCAACTGCGTCGTGAAGCCACTCGCCTTGACCACCTTCGCCTCCTCACCGAGTAGCAACCGCATGCCTGCCATGAAGTGGACGCCGCCGTCCAGGAGAAAGCCACCTTGATACTCTGGCTTCTTTCTCCACTCGGTCTCGAGGTACTTCATGCCCGGCTGAATGCTTGCACTGACCTTCACTCGGCAGCCGATGACCTTACCAAAAGAACGGGCCTTCTCGGCACCGAAAAGAAAGGAGTTGTAGTACCTAGTACAATCAGCATGGTCTCAGCGGTGCGCAGGGCGCTAGACGTCGCTCTAATTACCGCCACTGCTCCGCTACGCCTGACGAGCCATGGGTGAGGAAGTCAGCTATCATGCAGACAATCTGGGGGCCATTGAACATCGCTCTGCTCACCGAAGGTAACTTTCTTGGTGTCAATGTTGTCGTGGTACCATTTAAGCAACTCTAGCCCGGAAGCGACATCCTTGGCCAGCGGCTTTTCCGCGAAAACATGCTTGCCTGCGCTTAGAGCCTGCTTGATGAAGTCTGGTTGTACGGGAATGGGTAGTGCAATGATGACCGATTGAACGTCATCTCTCGAGAGCAGCTCTTTGTAGCTACGTTCGGAGTCATCCGAGTAGAGATCAACATTTGCGAGTCCTTCAGAGACGCCTTTCGCCGACTTTAGAGATCGTGAGTATATGGCCTTTAACTCGAGATGTTCGCAGGCTTGCACTGCTGGTAGATGCTCTTCCTTGACAAAAATGCCTGCTGTTGTCAGTGTGACGACGTCGGGCGGCCACACTTTGTAATCACTTACCGCTCCCTATGAGGGCGACTCCAACCTTGCCAGTCATCGTACACAGTTTTGGTAAGGTTGAAACTAACAATGTGAAAGGAAAGGTTTAAGCTGCATATCGTGAACAACGGTCACGCTCAGGATTGACGTAGAGTACCTTCCCATTTGGGGCAACGTCATCACATTAGCCGACAGTTGCATGGGCGAAGCACAACGGTTATTGCACATTTAATGTTGTACTGCATAGGGTACTTCGACAACGTAAACAATGATATATCGTCAATTCGTGCTTGATCATGCTGTTGTCTGTCTAAACTGCTCACACGATGCCCTGCATCTAGATATTCTCTCCTTCGTTCGTCACCGTGGGGCCAGGACCGGAAATGATGCTTTATTCTTCAGACTTGGCCATTTCGCAATGGTGGGCTTAGGCAATGGGGGACACTCCTCATCGATGCGCCACGGGCGGCTTCGAACCCAGCTTCTGACGCCGAGGAAGCGCGACAAGCTTGAGATCGAGGAGTGAAGACTTGGCGCATATACTCGAGGCGTTGGTGGAGCCTGCGAGTTGGTCCAGCTCCAGCGATCAGGTGATACTATATCGCGCTCGCCATTCGCCAGATCCACATTTGACTCGCGGATTCCGACGCGGAAGTCGGACTTGGTTGTGTCTTTGCTGGACGATGTCTGCACTTTTGAACGCCCTCTGTCGAAACCGGTCAACACCCTTTCCGGCTTCCGTAAGTGCGTCTCAGACGCCGTGGTCGACTTTGTCACGGCATGTCGAGTGTTGTCGCATGTGGTGGGATCGGACGTCGTCAGTGTCAAGTGCTTCAATGGGGGTAAAAGCGGAGCTTCATGAGGCGGTCGTGCAAGGTGAACATGAGATGGGTGCCTTGAAGAATCCACCGAGTATCGTATCTCTCGATGTATTGGTAACGCTGTCAGTCCCTTGTTTTGCGGCCGAGGGCTTAGTAGGATCTCGCTGGGCTCATGTCGCCGGAAACAAATAATTTCATGGACCGTTGTGCCTTGAAGCCACCGGTAGAGGCTATAGAGTACAAGAGCTAAGACAAAGAACCCTATTCTTGAGTGGTCAATGAGAGTCTGAATGCCAACGATCTAGCTTACACGTACCAAGGATTGCGGTAGGGATGGCGACTTGCTTTACGTGCTGTGACAGCTCGGCACCGCGATGCGCGATGTGCGTCGAAGCCACAAATGATGTCGCAGCGGAAGAAGGAAAATCGGTAGTGGTCGTTGCAGCACTGCTCGGCGGTGCGGTTGAGGTCACTGGAGAGCCCGTTGGAGGCAGAAGCTCCGTCGCCATCGCAAGGGAGGCTGCCAGTTCCGGACCGGTGCCAGCGTTTGCGAGTATATCGCGCTGTTCTGATGCAGTGTTGGGTACCTATATCAGTAACAAGGCCTTCGTTTTGGGCACGTGAGCTTTCAAGAGAGCGCGAGAAGTGATACGAGGAATCGAAAGCTGCCAGGCTTGTGAAGCAACAATACGGAAAGGTGATAAACACAAAAGAAAGTGCAGAACGGCCTTCAGCAACAAGTATCGTGCTATAAGTTAGTAACAGGATGCATCCTCTCCCGCAGAGCAGAAACACAAAGCTCGAAGTTACCTTCGGTTCCAACGATTGCGACAGAACATCCCGCGGCGGATATGATAGCAGGGTGGCTGTCTGTCCAAAGGCCAGTGAGGTACAAAGCCACTTCCAGCATCGACCTGAGCTCTATCACACCTAGCGCGTCGGTTGCCTCTGCAGTTGCTCTGGTCGCCTTGCCGAAAGCCTGGTCAAATGCAAAGTTGGGAGGGTCATCCTGGCCTTGAAACTTAACCGTCTCGCTCAACAAGGCATGTTTGGGTTGGTGTGTTTAGCGAGGGAGGTTAGTGTGAAACGGAGACCTTGCTCAGTGATCTCCCGGCAGCTGCCGTGCCGGCGACGCATGGTCGCACGTTTCAGTAGCTCTTGGTTTTCGGCACTGTGACCGCCAGCTTCCTGTGGCGTAGTCTTAAAAGTGACTGCCGAAAGTGTCCGGTAGAGGCACCGCCGGGCAAGGTTTACGGTCGAGCAATTACTGGGCCGCTCTGATAACAGCCAGGATCTTGCGGCTGCGGGCTCATGAGCTTGCAACGCGCCCATCTCGAGGAACGTCTTGAGGTTGCTAAGCAGGCATTATGAAGCCACAAATAGCTCGCTTTAGCTTCGCTTGTGTTACCGAACTGAGGTTGGCGATTAATGCTTGTCTGGCTTCCAGTTGTCGGGCGCGGTGACTTCGGCCACTCTCGGGATACAGCGTGCCATAGGGTTAGGGTTCCCTTGATGCTCGCCTCCGACTTTGCGAGGCACAAGCAGCACATCATTCTATCTTGTCTCCAATTCAGGTCGCTGTTCATCATGGCGCAGTTCCGTGCAAGGAAGCTTGATCTGGGCTGTTTCGTCAACATCAAAATCATCCGAGATCATACCAAGCGGAAAGTGTTCGAGGAGCATGAACCGGAAAGGTAAGCTTCGTTATTTCAATAACAGCAGCATCCTGGTGTTCACTATTTGTTTGCCGCCTCTCCATGGGTGAGGATGTTGACAGTAGGCACGGCAGACAAGCACTTAGATACCTGGTGCGGAATACGTCCTTACCACAACGAACGAGAGCCCAGGCGCAACTGCAATTGACCCAAATGCACCCCTACACAAGCCCGACCAAGATCAAGAACCGGTGTATTATGGGGGGCAAAGGCAGGGGAGTCTCAAGAGCCTTCAGAATGGCGAGGGTATGTTGTGGTTGTCTTTAACACTATGATTTATCGCAATGAAGCGACCTGATATTGCGCAGTTCCAATTCCGCATGAATGCGCTTGCGGGCAGGTTACCTGGTGTGAAGAAAGCGAGCTGGTAAACATTGGGAAGCGTAGGGATTGACGCTGTTGCATAGCGCCGGCGTTAGCTCGATGGGTTGGATGGGATTCTGGACGACGGTTGTACGAGTATGAGCCGGGCCGCTCGAGCAAGCCTATATGGAGATATGGTGAGAAGGCAAAGCAGCACACAGCGTATGGCCGTGGCCTCAGCTCTGGATATCCACAGTAATTGCGTTCATACGAGACTGCAACAATCACGTGTAGGGGTAGGTTGCTGTAGCTTCAGCGCTCACCTCTATCTGTACCTTAGATGCTCTGCTTGCTTTGACGTGCTTTCCTGCAAGCTCCGCCTCCTCGCGCCTTCCCCCTTCAGCAGACGCAGACAGCGGAGCGGAGCCGGCGAACCTTCCTCGGCACGACTTCTTCACCACATAAATTCTGATCTCTTAGAAGCATAACGTATAAAACAATCAACAAGACCGGCCATGTTCCGGCGCAGAGACAACAACCTGCCACGAGATCCTAAGTGGCCCGCCGACTTTCAAGCACTTGGTTTTCATGTCAATGAGCCGTGCCAGATCGTCAAGATGTCGGTCACTGAGGGCGCCGCTGCCGAATACTTCGACTTCTTCCATTCGGACAATGAGCGCAGCAACCAGACTCGCAAAGAAGCGATTCACGAGTGCGCTCGCGGTGCCGTAGTGTTAAAATTGGCTGAAGTGGGTGTCAAGCCGCTCCATCTCGCCATGGAGACATTCGAGGAACAGATGCCGGAGATGCCGCACGTGACCATTTTAGCCACTGAGCTGGACGCACTGAAAGGTAGGAAGGACGTCATCGTTGTCGTTAATGAAAGCACGCAGGATCTGGGGATTTGGGCGTACCGTCTCCTGATGAGGGAAGGTGGCATTGACGAGGGGTCTGCGGTGGGTTTGATGAAGAATCTGCGCGGATGGGATACGAGCGAGGTATCTGGCGTGTCATTGAGCTGCCTCGATGCGATGAATGCTGGTGTTCAGCCAATGCCCCTGAAGCGTGGTGAAGCGGTAAAGGTAACGAGTCCTGGGGAAGTTCCAGGTATCATCATCCTGAACCCAGGTGCACTAATCTACAGCCACGAACTCAACAAGACCTTCACGTTGCAGTCGTGGCTCGCGCGCCCGAAGCCAAGTGCTGTCCACGACCACATACGTATTGACCCAGTGCATAACTACGTTGAAGGCCATAAGACCCCGGAAGCGCACGTACGCACCGTGTTCGACACAGTCATCCCGTACATCACCCGCGCTGATGTCAGACTGCACATCATCGGCATCAGTGACGGCGCCGAGGCCGTCCTGAAATTTCTCGATGCTAAGTTCGCCACCGACGGAGACGGTGAGCTCAGCAAGCAGCTTGAGGCCGTAGCCCTCATTCAGCCCACGCACAAGCCGACAGACCTGAAGTGCGAAAAGTTGAGTAGCTTTCTCGCGGCGCAAGGCGGCAGGGCAAAGGCCTGGGTCCTCTCTGGAAAGCCGAAGGGGCAGTTGCTCGCCGTACCAGCATTTGGCGGCCTTCCGTCAGTCGTCGACCTGATAGACTCCATGCAGCAGCTTCCCACAGATCAGAACCAAGAGGCAAAAGAAACGGCGCAAGATGGCAAGGCCTCAGACGATGATCCAAACAGGACGCCAAAGCGCCGACTTTCAAACGACCGTGCAAGTGAAGGCTCAGAGTCCAGCACGAGCACACCAATTCCCATCAAGAAGTCAGCAATTCGAGATCGTCATGATTCAACGAACTCACTCACGCACGGCAGTAGCGGTGCAAGCCATGCTAGCTTGCGAAGTCTAGAAAGCAAGGCCAGCAGTCTCGGCAGAGCCTCTTCCTACTCCTTTCCGAAGAGCGCCTCTCAGCTTCAAGACAGTGTCGCAAGCGTCGCAAGCCTTGCGGTCTCACCAGATACCCCGGGCTTGGACTCTTCCGTCGGCGATCTAGCAAATTCAACAAGCGATCTAGCAAATTCAACAAGCGATCTCGCACACTCAACCGCAAGTCTGAGTCGGTCGCAGTACGAGGGCATGATGCTATCCAAGACATCATACGATCCTGAAGCGTACAACGACCCTGTGAGCTGTCCCACATTCAGCTCCGGCACCGACAATGGCGTGGTGGAGTGCATCTTTCCCGTCGTGATGGACGACGTATTGAAATTGTTCCGCGACTGGAAGAACGATGCGGAGGAGATGCAGCGAGAAGAATAGGTGGCAAAGTCGAAGCTCGCAGGGTTCGTGCACGCCCCTTGCGTTACTAGGCATTGCGGACCTTTCTTGTAACCTTCAGCCAGTCGACCCTGCGGCGTCCAGGCATTCGGCAATGGCACTACATTTCCGGACCACGAGCAATTTTCACCTCAGTAAAAGGCCATCGGTGGGAGGACCTTGTAGCTAAGTGTAATAAGCGAGGTGACCAGAAAGGCAATCGCATAGCTCCTTGACTACTGTCGGCAATGCCGCGTCCAGAAGCTTGTGTGTACTGCTATAAATACATAGTCGACAGTGCGGCCAGCAAAGTCCACGGATACTACATGCCTTGAGCAACGCGTGAACGAGCTGTTTGTCGGTCAATACAACCTAGCACTCAAGTCTCAGCATTCAGATCCCTCTCCATCGGCACAGCATCCCGCGCCTCCCTATTCGTCATCAACGCCTTCCCAAGGACAGTCTGCATGATCGCATAGTTAACTACACACTTAATTCCCAGCTCCTCCCCGCGTCGCACGATATATCCATTAATGTAATCAATCTCCGTTCGTCTCCCCGCCCTCACATCCGCAAGCATAGACGAGATATTGTCTTGCGTCCTGTTCGCCACACCCACGACCAAGTGCTCCAGCCTCTCGGCGCTGAAGCGCTGATTGACGTTGGGGATGTTCTGCAGCTCCGGAAGACTTCGCATGACCAGGCTAGTTTCAGCGAGCAACATCCGCATCGTCCGGGTCAAGGCGAGATTGTAAAGCAGGCTACCATTGCGGGCATCTAGCACCGCAGTAAGCGGATTTAGCACGCTGTTGACCGCCAGCTTTTCAAGTTGTTGCTGCAATAACTCCGTGGGAGTAAAACCGACGGCACAAAGCACTGGCGTTCGGGTCAAGGCTCGCATGAGATAGCGTGTGGTTGGTGACAGCTCAGCACCCCAGTTCTTGCCTTCTGAAGGTGTGGATGACTGCTGGAATCCTGCCTTTGGTAACGGGCTCAACGCAATAGTACCGTGTCCAGCATGGATAGCGAAGAAGGGATCGCGATCGGCAATGTGAGGTGGCGTATTTGCCCCGTGAGTGATGACGCCTTGGATGTAGTTTGGGCGGGTGGCGATATCTGGGAACAGCTTGTCGTTCATTTCGTCGACGATGCCTAAGCCATTTTGGAGGAAGCAGATCGTACTAGTTTGATTCAAGCGGTGAGCGATGGCGGAGAGAGCGGCTATGGTTTGAGGCGCCTTGACCGTGACGATAAGGTTGTCGATTGCGGAGGAGGAGATGGCGCGGGCGGCTTGGGGGTATCTTTGGTAATATCTGTGCGGTTTGGCAGGCGTTGAGGAAGTCCTTTCTGAGGGGTTTCTGGCATCTGGCGCAGTAGTCCGCGGATCTTTCAAGCCGGCTTGACTTGCAACCCGCTCCTCAGCTTCCTGCTGCTGCAAAGCTTTCATCTGCTCGGCTACTTCGTGTGGTCTGCCTTCCTCACCGGCCAAATCATAGACATCAGGGCTAGTCTTCGAAAGGGTCACGCCATGCTGCTGTCGTACCTCAGCCATAAGCTCAACATCGAAGCCGCCTCTGGCGACTTTGATATTCTCGTCGTTACCATCCTGGATCGTGATGACCTTCTTGCCCTTCTGCCACGCTTCGAGCAAACGGTACCGATGAAGAATAAGAGTGATAGGTGGCGGATTCGGAACGCCACGCAAGGAATGGGCGACAAGCTTGCCGATTGCGCCAGTGCCGAGCAGATGAATGCGAGTGCGATCGCCTATCTCGTCAGGTCGCGTTGCGTACCGGCTCCCAGCAGATTCAGGTGGGTTCGCCTGGCTTGCCTTTCCAGCGTCAATGCCCAAGACATCGTTAGGGTTGTCCATGCCGCCATCCTTGTCCCGCACTTCGTCCCACGTAGGCTTCCCGCCCGTCGTCTGCGCCTCCATAGCGCTATCCTGCCTGTTCCACCAAGAGTATCGTACAGCCTGTGAGATCGCAATGGCCACCCGGCCCGCATCAAGGCTACCGCTGCTGCAGCATCTTCCTTTGGTCCGCAGTATCCGGCGCGGGAGGTGGTAGACTGACGTGAAAGGCAGGATTGGTTACGCTATGCTGCGAAGCATATCATAGTGGTGCAGAGAGTTCAGACACTCCGTTGGACCCTTAATATTGTACAGATGGAGGATGGCACGTGTGGACAAGTAGAGTCTCTTCGTCATGCACCCGCAAACTGCAAGCTTCGGGAAAGATCTCCGCAGTCTGCAGGATCCATTGACTTGGCACTCAAAGTGAACTTCACGTCTCGGACAACTTCTATTCTAGGTTGTAGTCACGTGCGCTCAAATACAACAACAATGCCTGGCAAAACATCTCTACAAGCATTTAAGCAGCTTCTTAGCCTGCCAAGTTCCGTACGGCGGCGAACTTTCTCTGTGCTTCATCGACCGCCACCCAACTATCCCGGCCATGTCCCACTTACCTTGCTTGAACGTGGCGGCCTAGCAATCGGTTCTGCCTTTGGCTCCCTTCGAAACCCGTACCGACACGATCTAATCGCTGCTCTCGGCGAGGCGACAGCGAAACCGTACTTCGTCTCCCGCTTGCGACGAGCAATGCTGGAGAACCCAACCGGCCGCCGCATTCTCCGCGACAAGCCCAGAATCACCAGCCAGAGCATGAGTCTTGAGAGGCTTCGTCAGCTACCTGCCAACACTGTCGGGCATGCTTATGCCGCATGGCTGGACCGCGAAGGCGTTACTCCCGACACTCGGGATTCTGTACGCTACATTGACGATCCGGAGGAAGCCTACGTCATGCAGCGATATCGCGAAACACATGACTTCACTCACGCCATCACTGGATTACCCGTGATTATTGAAGGCGAGCTCGCGGTGAAAGCTTTTGAGTTCGCGAACACGCTCCTCCCAATGACCGCGCTTTCACTTGTGGCGATTGTGAGGCTGAAGCCGGTAGAGCGAAAGCGATTCTTCGAAGTGTACGGACCATGGGCGATCAGCAACGGTCTAAAGGCGGAGGAGGTAATCAACGTCTACTGGGAGGAGGAGCTCGAGACGGATGTCGATGTTCTTCGTCAACGCCTGGGCATTGAGACGCCGCCTGATTTACGTGAGCTGCGGAAGAAGCTGCGAGATCAGATGAAGGCTGAGAAGGCTGCTAAGGATGCTAGAGAGAGGCTTGGCGCTACTACTGGGGTGTGAGAAGTGAAGCCAAATCCCTCGAACGGAAATCATATGACCTGGCAAGGTCCAGGCGAAGTGACTCACTTTGCCTCCGTCCTTGAAGTGAGGCCAGCTGGGACCAGCCGGAAGCCGCTAAACGAGTGATATAGCACGCATCCGCGATCCTCCAATCCTTTCACTATGTAACAAACCCGTGGACAACATTGCTCGCTGCGCTACAGATGCTCTCTCGGTCCGCATGCAATGCAGGGTGCAATGCTGGCTGCAGGCAATTAGCATGCTGTTACGCCACATCTACCCGCCTGAATGTCAATTTCTCGAAGTGAGCACAGCCCACTCCGTACTTCACCTTGACCATGCATGCTTCCTGCAGCAGTTACGGGTACTGGTTAGTACGTTGCAAGGGTATAAAAACTGAAGAGCCTTCGCATCGTCGCCACTCTACCGTTTGTCATTTGACATTGCGGCTCGCACAGCCTGCAACTCCACGCTCTACGCTGCGAGTACTCTAGCACTTGCTGGTTAGCGACATCGAAACGCAGTCTACTCAAGGACCTAGTACGACGGCTGGAAAGGCCATTGGCCCTTGTCGCTGTATGTTACCTTATAACGTGCTCTACTAGGATGAGCTGACTCTAACACCAGATTACTTGAACGCAATGCTTCGAATCGCTACCTGCTTCATGCTTGCCGTACTCGTCTCTGCGGCCGCTTCTGCTTCTACCAAGGAGGGGCAGGAGATTTTCAATACGTCTGCTATCGCGCTGTTCGACGGAGTGACGTTACTAGCATCGGACTTGAAGTCCTTAAATGACTCAGTCACCGTCCTTGAAGCTATTCGTCCTACGTTCGTCTTGCTTAGAAACCCGGCCTGCGAGTACGGCTTTACTTGGGTAGATGGTCCTGACATTCGCAACGCACTCACGCACCTGGATGCTGCCCTTAACGCTCTGACAGACCAGTCCGGTCAGTCTCATCCTGTGGTCAAAGTACGGAAGCTCGACGGTAGTGTCTGCTCTACGGCCTTCGACATCTTGACCACGGCATTTGCAATCCACGCAGAATGGTCCAGGGACCTCGTCGAGAGTTCAAAGGAGAACGTCGCTAGCGCAGCGGAACTAGACTTACCCGCAACCAAGTTCTACAAACTCACGCTCATGCATCCGGGTGGCGAGCACTACAAGTACCTTACAGCAGTCAATGGACTCCTACAGTTAACCGATAAGCATAGCAAGCTCCTAGCGCGGTACAAGAAGAGTGTTGTAAATTTGCTTGCGCGTGCGCGTGCGGATCTGGCATTGTATGAGAATAAAGGCTGCGTCGTGCATCAAGGCCCAATGAGCACAGATCTGCGACTACGATCAGTCCAGATGGGCGCGACCGGCGATCAGAGTGCGATAACCGGGCTAATTGCGGCCAGGAAAACCGACGTGCGGCGCAAGTAGCGTAGATGATCACTCGAGGTGTTATTCTTCGTCGTCATATATCCTAGCGGCCTCGCTACGGTACTGCTCTCGCGGAGAAAAGTAAGGCTGGCTACTAAGGAGCGAGAGGCTACTCAGTTTCTTCTAAGCAAGCTCCCCAACAGAAGGACGGGTGGCGGAAGGCTTCGATAGCTGCTGGCGTATACGTCGTTGAACGTTGCCAGCTTCATTAAGCACACCAAAGGCGGCGCTCTTGAAGGTGTTTTCTGAGTTGCTTCTCATCTGCTCCGACAGTCGCCTCATCCACTTCAGCGCATGTATCAAATCCTCTCCCACCTATTGCCCGGTCAAAATACTTGTATAAACGACAGTACGATTTCTCGCCACTTCATACTAGACCTTATAACTTTCTGGGAAACCTGTACCGGGCACGAGGTAAGAGCAGTATAGCAAGACGGCTAAGAACGGACGGGCTTGTGTTATGCCGGTGCATGTTGCCTGTCGCTATCGGACCTGCATCGTTATAAATCAGGCTTTAGGCTGCCTCGGGCACAACCTAAATGCATTAACGTCCACACATACCAGTGGCGCGAGGGTGGGTTTGATAGCCGGGGATGGTACGTTTGGACTTGGACGGACAGCAGTCCTCTCCACTCACAGAAAAGGGGATGGAAGTGCAGGTTCAACAAGCGGGTTACATGGAAATCGGTGGATCCATGTCATTGGAGCATGTAAAGTCGCTCTCTCGTGCGTGGCCGCCTCAAATCCGAGCACGATCAGTGGCGGGCAAGTCACTTCCTTTTTTTTTTTTAAAGAAACCCATCACAGCCATCGCACATATATTGCTGCTATCACCTCCTCCCCCGACTCCCATAAGTCAAATTACTCCGGCTCGTCGTGCCCAAGCGATGCACCGCCGCCCTGCGCTCCCAAACCCCACTCCGCCCCTCCACAATCCCCACCAACTCCTCCGCCACGCGCGTGGCGAACATATCCCGCCCGCTGCCCCGATTCTGCCGTTTCTCCGCCGCGTCCAGGATCCACATGAACGCTTGTCTCCTTCTCTGCCGTAACCCAAGTGGGACAGGGATTTGGAGGGCGACGCCACCTCCCGCCGCGCCACGTTGGCTTCGGATCCGTAAGAGTGGGGCTACGGAGTCGATGGCGAGGGTGAGGTAGAGGATTGGGTGGAGCGGTAGGTGGGAGGCTGGTGGAGCGCCCGGGAGGAGGGGGCGGGTGGGGTTGTAGACGGGGGCGGGAGAGGTGCGGAGGTGGGTCAGGATGGTGGTCATGTTGCGTTGGGCGGTGGCTTTTTTGCCGTCGCGCATGAGGAGGTTGGTTAGTTGGGTGACGATGGGGTCGTAGCGCTCGTCCTTTCGAGCGGTGGGCGGGAGGGGAAGGGAGGGGAGGGGGAATTTGTGGCCTGTCTTCGTGTCTTGGACGGAGGGTGGGGCGGGCGGGTGTGAGTCGGTGTAGGTGGCTCGTTGGGCGGCGGTGGGGATCATTGAGGGGTCGAGTGAGGAGGGGAGGTGGGTGGAGGTGGTGAGGTCTTGTTGTCGACGTCGCGTGAGGGTGGAGAAGGAGCGTGAGGTGGAAGGCTTGGCGTTGGCTGCTCCTTGGCCGGTTCTGATGGAGTCTTTCATGACTTGGGGAGCTTGCTTTTGCGCTTCCGGCTCGGCTTTCAATATCTACAATTCATACTGTTTAGCTGTTGGCCTGACAGACAGTCCCGCAATATAAGCGAACGCACATCTTGCACGGGTGTACCTTGACCCTCAATATCCGGCCCCTCTTTGCCCATGATCTCGTTCATCTTCGCCGTCTCCTCACTCACGTGCTCCTGCTGCTGCATGTTGGGTCCGGTGGTGCCTTGCTCCGATTGCGGCAAGCCGGTCAACTTGTCGTCGGCGAAGGTGCGGCATGCTGGCCGTTTGACGCCAATGACTGCGTTGCATGGTCGAAGATGGATTGCAGGTCGTGGCCTGAAGGCGAGCGTTCGCACGACTGGTACTGCTGTGTTCATGCTGGCGGTTGCTGTCGATATATATATATATATATTACGAGTTGTCTTTGCAGAACCGAGTTCGATATTTGTGCCAATGTCATATGCGGAGAGAGTTTGCCCACGTGACTAGGGCGGAGAGAGCCGTGGAGCTCGATGGGATGACGAAGGGGCAGTTGTCAGCGAAATGAGCGAAGCAACGCCGCGCATTCGTTTGCGTATTCTTGCTCTCCCACAATCCCCCTCTCACTGCCTCAACACTCGTCACCCATACTTTACTTATATCCTCTGGGGACTCGATGTGAGACCACCCATAGCCTCTCCCTACAACTGTTACATCATCCCGCATCCGAAGCTCAGACTGAAGCTCGAAGCGATAATAATCGCAAAAGCGCAGCTTAATCTGCGACCACCATATTAAAATCAACGATTCGTGGGAAGACCCCCGGACACTCGCTACGCATTACCGCGTCAGCATACCACTCCGGCAACATGTCGCAAGTCCTGCGCAGCGTGAAGAATGTCACCAAAGGCTACTCCACCGTGCAGGTCAAGGTGCGCAATGGTAGGGCCGGTCCTAAAGCCAGCAATGGTTAGGCAACTGCTTACGATGCGCGACAGCAACCAGCAATGACCCTTGGGGACCTACGGGGAGCGACATGGCAGACATTGCCCGTATTACCTTCAATAGCTCTACCGACTTCTACGAGGTCATGGACATGCTCGATAAACGCCTAAACGACAAGGGCAAGAATTGGCGACATGTATTGAAGAGTCTGAAAGTGCTCGACTACTGCCTGCATGAGGGCAGCGAGCTGGTCGTGACGTGGGCGCGCAAGAACATTTACATCATCAAGACTTTGCGCGAGTTCATCCACGTTGACGAGGAGGGGAGAGACGTTGGCGCGGCCAGTAAGTTTGAATTGATGTTGGTCGGAGTGTTGAGGAAGCTAATCATAAGCAGTCCGACACTCGGCAAAGGAGCTGTCATCGCTGATCATGGACGAGGAGCGAATGCGCACTGAGCGAGCCAACCGAGGCTCGTGGAAGTCGCGCGTTACCGGCCTGGAAGAGTTTGGTGGATCGGTCGAGGAGCCAGAGACCACGCCTCAGCGCAAAGGCCGGCGCAGGCATACACACAACACTGCCAGTACCGATGATGACGACCTGGAGTATCGCCTTGCGCTCGAAGCTTCGAAGAATGAGGCCGAGGCGGATGCTGCGCGGAGGAAAGGGGGCCAGCCGGTGGAAGACGACGACGATGATTTGGCGAAAGCGATCAAGCTCAGCAAGGAGGAAGAAGAGCTGCGGAAGCGCGAGCTGGAGGATCAAAACCAGGCGAATTTATTATTCGACGACGCTCCTGCCCAAGCTCCGCAGCCGACGGGCTTTAATCAGGGCTACCAGCAACAGCAAGCCGTGGATTGGTTCGGCAACCCGGTTGAGCAACAACAGCAGCAACAACCGCAGCAGACCGGCTACCTCAACAACGCATACAGTCAACCCACAGGCTTCCAGAACGGTTACGGCGGCGGCTTCGGTTACCAACAACCGCAACAAACGGGATACGAGCAGATGCAGCAACCGCAAGCCCAGTTCATCCAACCACAGAACACATACAACCCGTGGGCGCAACAGATGAACGGCTTCGGCCAGCAACAACAGCAACCGATTCAAGAACAGCCCACCGCGCAACCCGGCTCCAACAACCCCTGGGCCAGCGCCAACAACTCAATCTCCACCCCCGTCCAAGCCCAACCAACAGGCTCCAACAACCCCTTCGCCGCCCACCGACCCCAAACACAGTCCCCCTTCGCCTCCAAAGCGCCCACCCTCTCCGCGCTACAGGAACAACAAACAGCCCAACAATTCCAATCCCGCCGGAATCCAATCGCAAACTTCCATCAACCTCCCAGCTCGCCAGTCCAACAACAACCCACCGCCCTCCAACAGCAACAACAACAGAAACCGCAGGATCCCTACCAAGCCCACCTAAACGCCCTCCTAGCCTCCGGCGCCGGGCAGGATACCTTCGGCAATACAGGCGAAATGCGCGTCCCCGCCCATCACACCGCGGGAGCCACCTTTGTCAATTCCGCCGGGCAGGGGAGTATGGGCAGGCTGGAGGCGGCGCGGACGGGGAACAATCCCTTTTATACGCAGCAGAGTGCGGCGCAGTTTCAGTATCCCGCGCAGACGGGGCCGGCGACGGCGCATCCCGGAATGGGGATGGGGATGGGGATGGGGAGTGCGAATCCGTTTGGGGCGAGGCCGGGTGGGCAGCCGATGCAGCAGCCGCAGCAGGGCGCGCAGGGCGGGCAGGGGGTGGGTGGGAGTTTGATTGATCTTTGAGTGATCGGGAGGTTGCGGGGAGGGTCAGAGTAAAAGGCGAGGTAGCGAAGAGAAGGTTGATAGCTAAGGGGTTGGAGTGGAAAAACTTTGGGTGCGCGGTGGAACGAGCGGACGGACTTCGATACCCCCCCTCCCCAGGCTTGCTTCATTTTGACGCTGAGAGCGAGATATCTAAGGCGGGAACGGATGATTGTACAGCTGAACATGTTGGTGCGGGGTGACATCACCCTTTTGTGTGCTTCTTTTCAGTCGTTGAGCTCTCTACTGTCTCCGCAGCCAATACTGATCTAGAATGTACTGTAGACCTGCGGAACGACACTCACCTACATCATGTTTTGTTGTACTTCGAGTATGGAAAGTATATACGGTCTGCTTCTGCCCGTTGGTACGTCCTAGAATACAGTATTGGCAATGGCAGCCGCGTTGGAGGACTGCGGGGGAGACCAAACGGTGATGCCAGCAGTCAGTTTTTCAGAAATGAGGCCGCACATTTGCGTGCACGCGCAATCGTGCAGCAGCCGTTCGCATGGTCAGATATGATAATGAATTGCTATAGGTCGAGCCGCCGCATGAGCCAAATGAGCGCGCATGGTTGACCAGGCTTGGGCGAGTTGTAACAAAAACGAGGCTACAGCACCTGTATGCACTCCGCCTCGCTGCCTTTGTCTTGGCAATGTCTACTTATCACGAACGTGAACTCACTCCGGACCGACCACCTTCGCAAACAAAGTGAGACCCCGGAGTAGAAGTGGAAGTCTACATGTCCGTCGTCGTCATCAGCCTCGGCGGGCTCAATGGCGGACCCGCTGTCCCTCACAGCCTCCATCATCGCAGTCGGCACACTCGCCGCCCAGGTCGGCAAGAAACTCCGCGCCTTCTACCACGGCACGAATGAAATCTTCGCGGCGCAGAATGAGCTCACAGACCTCGAAGCGCTGCTCCGCAGCTGCGAAGACATTCAGGAACAGCCATGGCGGGCCGACCAACGCGGCCTCGCCGAGCGGGCGGCCGTGTTGCTGGGGAAGATTAAGCTCGAGCTGCAGTCACTCAGTAACATGCTGCAGCCGGCGGAGTCACGATGGGCCTTTGTCAGAACGAAAGGTTGGGCGTGGCTGAAGAACGAGAAAGCCATCAATCAAGCGCGGAGCAAAGTCCGAGCGCTCAAGCAGACGTTGATGGAGACGTTCCAGCTGTTGACCGTGGACACGTCGAGGCGAGCCGTCTATCAGATTGATGAGCTGAAGCTTCAGATTGGGGATGTGCAGACGTCGGTGGTGAGTTCGCGGACCGCCGTGCTCGACGAGATCAACGATATGCGTCAGCTTGCGGCTTTGATTCCGGCCGGGCAGTCTCCGGAGAAGATGGACGATGGTCTGCCGTCATACGCCGTGAAGCCTCCTGCAACAGCCAGCAGCAGCACCGTTGGTCTCGAATGCAGCATTCGCCGGATGAGCACTGGTTGTCTCCCATTGTGCAGCTGTCGTTGCCACAAATACGGCCGGCTCTCCACGCCTCGCTTCCTCGATCAAGTCGTTGGTCAGCTTCTCATCGGCTACACCATGCGGCCGAGGACAGCCGTCCATTGCGATGAGAAGCGATGCATGGGCAACGACCGCACCACCTTCCGCCTGCTCTATGTCTTCCCCGCCTGGTTCCTGAGCTGGGCGATTGCGGTGCTCATCACGGCCACCGCTAACCGCCCGCCAGAGATGCTGCTCCGGATTCCAAGGCTCCGTAACCATAGAGACGCGCTGTGGGAGGAAGTCTCCTTCGGCAACATCGACTTCGTCAAGGATGCTTTCCAGAGAGGGACGGCGCACATTGACGACGTTACGAGTAACGGCGCACAAAGCCTCTTGCACGCAAGTCCATCCCGAATCAACATTCCCGGCGCGTGGCCCGACTGACACACGGCGATAGATAGCACTCTTCGAGAAGCGAGCGGAGATGGCGGCGTTCTTGGTCGACCAGGGCGCGGACATCTACCTGGCCGACCGCAAGCATCATACCGCGGCGGATATCATGGGCCTGATCACATTTTCGAAAGGCATGCCGGGGGATTCCTGCTCGGCTCTGGCCCGTCGCTTCGAGAACTGCAGCTCCTTCATCGAGAAGGCGCAGTTCCCGTTGCTGCACAAGATAATCTTCGGCCAGGTAGACGCGGACCTGGAGGAGGTGCTTAAGGCCTCGACAGCCGACATTGACAAGCCAGATGCGTACGGTCGGACGGCCTTATCTTGGTGTGGCTCTCGGGGCGACACCAAGTCGGGTAGGATCTTGCTTCGCTATGGCGCCGACCCCAATATTGTTGAGAAGGGTGGGTGGGGCCCGCTGCACAACACGATGCACACACCTGCAACTGACTTGTCGCTGGCACTGCTCGAGGCTAAGGCTGACCCGAACAAGGCGACGCCCTTCTTCTTGGAGACTCCGCTGTACATTGCCATCGATGACAGTGGGAAGAATGCGCATATCCCGGTCTTGTTGAAGTTCGGCGCTAGCACAACGCAAGCGTCTGGTATGAACGAGAGCGCTCTGCACTTTGCCGCTGAGCGATCGCCGGAAGCCGTTGAGATGGTGTTCCCTTTCACCCCAGCGAGATACCACACACGAGCAGTCACCGCGGCGATTCGCCTCAATCGATTGGAGACGCTGAGCACACTCCTGCGCCTTGGTGCTGATGTGTGCGAGGCGGATGACGAGGCGCGGACGGTGCTGCACTATCTCGCTCTCTTCGCTTCGCTAGAGGCTCTTGACATGATGCAGCCGGTACTCACTGGGATTGTGCCGGATGCGATCGACTCCAACGGGCGAACGGCTGACGAGTGGCTTAGGATGAGGGTGGCTGCCGGGTTGGGGTGGGAGTTCGACACTGTCAAAGCGCCTGCAGTCTCTGACAAGTGGCGACTGATCTGGGAAGACATTCTTGCCGAAAGATATGCAGAGTGGGGCTCTATGACGAGCTCATACGAAGACTGCCTGGAGACCGTGTAGACCTTTTCCGTTGAGGAATACGCAGACCAAGTGGCTTGACTTCTACCCAAGCTTACAGTGCTTCGCGATGAGGTGCACTCGGTCCACGCACACGCCGTCGAGCCCTGCATCAAGTTGGATCTGGACACAACATGTCAGCCGTCCAAGCATCGTCGTTCAGGCTATGTGCGGTCACGTACCTGCGTGCATTGTGGCTCGTTATTCCTCCCACCATACGTGGCGCACTGCAGCCCGAACCCATGCACATACTTGACCAACCTTGGACAGTCGATAAGAGGGCTCGACTCCACCACAATGCCCGGTAGAGCCCACCGCCTCGCAAAGTGCACGGCATCCCGCAGACTGCTTGCCCTTGGATCATCAACTCCAGGAGCAGCCTTTACGTCGCTCAGAAAAAAGACAGGGTAGTGGTTCTGCTTGTGTGACAAGGCGATGCAGAGTTCGGGACTGAAGGATGAGAACATGATCCGTCGCTTGCCGGCGTGGGCGAAGATTGTGCTCAAAACAGTGTCGATGAAGACGTTAAGCTCGAGCCAAGTAGTGCTCATATTGTGATCGCGGCATTCAAAGGGCATGGGATACTTCATCTCGATGTCGAACGGGACGTCCGAGGGAACCTGCGAGAGAGTCTCCTTGAACGTGGTGAAGGAGTCTTGAATGAAGACTCCACGAGTGTTTGGCTTGAAGCCTTTGGCTTTGTACTCGAGCGTGTGCCCCATACGGGCACTGAAGTCTGCCATTTGCGGTTGGGCAAGGGTACTGTCATCGGCTACTCTCCGGTCGCGTCGGGCGGGCGAGAATTGCAGCTTGCTAGCCGCCATGAACTGTTCGTAAGAGACGGTATGGATTGGAGCGTCAGTACCTGTCTCGCTGAGCAAAAAGTCGTGATAGATTACAGGTATCAGATCCTTGGTGACTTGGACATCGAACTCCACGAATCCGGCTCCTAGTTGGTGAGCCATTTTGAAGGATTCGATGGTGTTCTCTCCCATCTGTAAGAACTTCCACCCTTGTTTGTTCTGTCCCAAACCTCGGTGCCCTCCTATGCGGTTCCTAAAGTCCATGCCTGCGGGCTTGTTGGTTGGCGCTTCCGTTGCGCCTGCGTATGGCTTGATCACCTGCAGGTAGAAGTTCACATGGCCGGCAAAACTCAAGTCTCCATGCGTGGCTTGTAACGGGACCCTATGATATCGACGAACATCTTCGAGGTCAGGCTGATTCAGGCTTTCGACTAATGCAATGCCGGAACTGATGATGTTGTCCGCCGAGCCGCCTTGCCGATGAAGCCTGAAGAGGAGCTTCGCCTCGCTCACGTCCGAAGTTCGAAAGATACATGGTTGGTAGATCGTAGCTCTCGTCGCTGGAAGGTGTAAGGTATACTTATCACCACTGCCTCCTTTGATATCAACTTCCAGCGTAAGCGGATCGTCCAAAGAGCTGACCTCAACCACACGCTCATCGTTGACGCTGTCGAGGGGCCCGAAGTTGACGATGATGACGTTACTGTCAATGGGTGACTTGTTCTCGTAGCCGCTCAGCCAGTTCACATCATCGCCTTCACAGAAAGCGAGTTCAGCGGCGTTGTCCTGCAGGTTCGGCGGCTGCAGCTCGTCTAAGCGCCCAACATGGCCATAATAGGCTGCGTACTCTGCAGCTGTCCATGCGGCATGGTCAAGAGACGACGGGTCCTCACCATTGCTCAATGCGGCTGTGATGCGATCCTGTCGACCATCCTTTGCAGCTGCGTGGAGGCCTGATTGTGCTGCCATACTTGAACGAGTGATCGGACCTATCCACTAATGCAGAAACGACGAAGGCCCATCGCTGAGGCCTCGCAGTCCACGCTCCAGTACCTAATGTCGAGTTGCGTGCCTTCCAGAATGGTAAGGAACGTTGTAAAGTGAGGTTCTGCTTCACTATAGCCCAGCCAATCATTTTCGCCCCTCGGCGATGACAAGCCACAGAAACCGACGACACCCAAACCTCGACCACGCTCTGCAGTATGCCTTCTACACGCGCCTCGGTCTCGTACAAGAAGAAAGATGGCCATCTCACTTTATCAGACGACCAGAAGTACCTCTTCTGGACTCCATCAACGCCCGCAAATGCTTCACCCGCCGTGACAATACCCATAGCGGAGATCACGAATCTCCAACAAACACCTGCTAACAGCGAGAAAGTCGCGCTTAGAGTCATTGTTAAGGACGAGAACTATGTCTTCAGCTTCACGAGTCCTGCGGAGGCGAGGAAGGAGCAGGAGGCAGTGACCGAAGCGTTGAGAGGGGTCATTGCAGCTGGCAAGGCGAGTGCGGCGCAGCAATTGAAGGCCACGTCGAACGGCGCAGATGGAGGAGAGAGTGCAGGGCAGAGTGCCGCGATGGCTATCGCGAAAGCGTTGTCATCGCGAAGTACGGATGAGGCGTGGTACGATGACAACAAGCTGAGAAACGACTTCCAGCTGCAGAGGAGCTTACTGCAGGCCAACAAACCGCTGTACGATCGCTTCAACCAGGCCTTGAAAGACAAGCCCGAGTCGGTATCTGTCGCGCAGTTTACGACGCAATTCTGGTCTACGCGCTTGCATCTACTGCGAGCGCATGCAATTGAAAAGGCGCAGAAGGAAGGAGAGTACAACGTCCTGCCCGAAATCAAGTACAATACTGTCATCGGTCCCGACGGCGAGCCGATCAAGACACTCAACATGACTAAAGAGCAGGTGGCGTTGATCTTCAAGCAATATCCTGTCGTGAGGAAAGCGTTCAATGAGACCGTGCCCAAGCCCTTCGCCGACGCAAGGAGATTCTGGAGTGCCTTCTTTGCTAGTCGGTTGCTGAAAAAGCTGAAGGGTTTGAGGATCGAGAAGAATGATCCGCAAGATCCTGTGTTGGATCGGTATCTCGAGCACGAGGAGGATACGGGTCCCGCGAGCATTGCTGGTCACGTGCCTCACATTATCGACCTGGAAGGCAACGAGCAGAACACACACTTTCATTTGGAGGGCGACTATGAGATGAGGGCTGCCAAGCATGATCGACCTATCTTGCATATCCTTAACTCCATGAGCGAGAAGTTGCTGAGTCATGTTGCGCCGGCAGATGGGGAAGCGCATGCGCCCATTGGTATGGATGAGGGCACGTTCGAGCAGCTGCGGCTGAGAGATCTGGCAGTGCAGGATAGTGACAATCGGGTTGTGTTGAATGTGAGGGAGCAGGCGAGGTATACCGGAAAGCAGGATGAGGACGAGTGGAGTGCCGATGCCAAGCTGTATGCGCAGCAGGATCCGGAGGTCGTGATTGAAGATATCCGAGCACAACTGCAGCCTGCCAACGATAACGGAGTCCTGCGGCTTGACGAAGCTATCGGTTTTCAATCCGACGAAGATGACGACGAAGAAGAAATGGAAGACGGCGCGACTACCGCCAACGGCGCTAAGCCAGCCCAAGTCGCCTCCCACAAGTCCCTCGACACCGCCTCCCGCTCCATATTATCATCAATCTCGCAAAGGCGCTCGCAGACCTCCAACCCCACTTCGCCCGAGTCTCTCCTTTCCGGCTTATCGCAGCCCCTATTCGACACCCTCACCATAACCCACAACACCACCACCGAGTTCCTGCACTACTTCTGGACCCTCTTCCTTTCCGGCGACAGCAGCCGGACGGCCGAACTACAGCAACTCGTCGCCACGCTGGATCGAAGTCTCGATCGCATTAATGCGGTCGCGGAGCAGGCGGAGGAGGAGCGGAAGGCGAGGGTGGAGAAAATGAGGGAGTATCAGAAGAAAACGGGAAAGAGGTTCAGGTTTGATGAGGCGGGTTTGGGTGGCGGGAAGAAGGTGGTGGAGGAGATGGTGCGGCCAACTGTAGAGGCTTTGAAGCGGGCGGGGGCGGTGTATAGGACGGCGTTTGAGGAACAGAGTAGGGAGGCTGGAGCCGGGTAAGACCTGCCTCGGCGGTTGTATGCAGTAGAACATCAGTTTTCTCCGTATCAAGGATCCCATCATGAATGCAGGACCAAGACGGGGGGAAAGCCTTTCCGCCATGACGAAAATCTTGGTGCCATTCACGCACGTCGTCCATAAGCTTGCGCCAGTCGTATACCTCAGCCGCTAACGTCTGCAACTGCCTGCACCGAGTACTCCAATCTCCAAGAGGACTCGACTGAACACCGTGCTGACGCGCTCAATGACACGCTTTCGTAATCTATAGCTGCTGCGGAAACAATGCGCTGCAAATGCGCCAAGCGGGATGCATCCCGCTGTCAAAGAATGGTGCATTTCGACTTCTTCGGCTTGCTGACTGGCTTTGGGCTGATGACGGCTCTGGGAAGGAAATTAGCGCCTAGACTACAAGCGAGTAAGGTTTGTGATTACTTGATAGCCTCATCGAAGACGCTCTTGAGATTCCGCTGGGTGAGCGCTGAGCATTCTAGATACTTGACTGCTTTGATCTCTTTGGCCACCTGGACCGCTTGCTCGTAGGAGATTGGCGCCATCTTCCTCTGACGGAGCTGCTCCCTCACTTCGGGGTCGTCTCGAAGGTCAAGCTTGGTGCCAACCAGTATAATTGGTACGCCAGGCGCATGATGCTCGATTTCCGGAAACCACTTGAGCTTTAGTCAGCGTATGGAGAAAGCTCCCATGACAAGTGAATGAACAAACCTTCGCCTTGACGTTGTCAAACGATGGCGGGCTGACGATCGAGAAGCAGATCAAGAAGACGTCCGTTTGCGGATACGACAGCGGTCGCAACCGGTCGTAGTCTTCCTGTCCCGCTGTATCCCACAACCCGAGACTGATTGGTTTGCCGTCGACCATCACGCTCGCTGAGTAGTTATCGAAGCTGCATGGATTGCTTAGTATAGATCCGACGGCGCAGTGATAAGCATGGGACTCACACTGTGGGTATATATTCTCCCGGAAAGGCATTGGTTGTATAGGAAATCAAAAGGCATGTCTGTTAATGGATTAGCGCCACATCTTTCCAGCAGCAGCAAGCGTCAGATGCGTACCTTGCCGACAGCACCGTCGCCCGTTACCACACACTATATAAACCGTTAATGTCTCATTGTGGTCCTGCGGTATCTCGAACCCCACCTTCAGTGACTGCGTTGCCGGTGTCGCCATGTTTGACCGCGCTCCCTCACGCCCTCCAAGAGTACCAACTGTGCCTGCCTGTCTGCCTTCCTGCCGTGCGACACAGTGTGTCTCGACCGCCACGTACCGGTCCCAAGGATATGACCTACGAGCCTGCGCTTCCAATGACTCTGCCGCTGATAAGGTTCGAAGTGGTACTCGAGCTGAGGAGTGTGGGAGCTTGCAGCACGACTCGAGATTCCCGGCTTCTTCACGTCGCCGTTTGTCAAGCTCGTGCAAGCTGCGGTCTAGCCTGCCGCGATCACCGAGTCGGAGGTGCGGCGTTGGGGTTCGAGGAGGGGCACGTGCGGAGCGAGCCGGCGGCGCGCTTCTTCTCGACGAAGCACGCCGATCTGTTTGCGATCAAGACAATCTAGGTAAGAAAACGTTGCAGCGTCGAAGACGGACGTGTCTGTCGAGAATCAACGGACGTCCTCCGACAAGGTTCACGAGCGAAGGCGGGACTCGCTGGGGTTGAGGCCCGAGCAGCTGCAGCGTCGCATGGCTAAAGTGGAGACTTCCTGGGATAAGGCAGGCGGCGGCAACGAGTGAGGGCTGCGGGGAGCCAATGAAGTGAATGCTTTTCCGTGATTCGCTAACGGTATACAATTGCGAAGGAAGGCACGCTGCAGTCTGTGCTACGGTATGTTAGGAGACGAACAGAATATATACGCAGAGCTTTGCATCACTCGCAACCTGTACAGAGTTCCAAATTCTCTTGGTTATACAGCTTCATTGGACTGTTTGCCAGCGCTTTATGCCTGTGAGGCGACTCTGAGCAGCATTGTTCGACATACAACCGGAGCTTCTTCCTCACTTCATCTCGTTTGCTCGCTTGTCTTCAAGCTCTTGTTGGGTCTCGCCACGACTCTTCCGCTTCTTCTTCTTCACCCTCTTCGTCTCCGCTTGGTGCAAAGAGCCACTTAGAGCAGCTAAGGCCTCGTTCGTGCTTTCAGAGCCTGGATAGTGGACCATGGTGTCTCGTGGCTGTCCTTCTTGAGCGATGTCAGTCGATGATGCGCCATCTGCATCTTCAGCCAACCTCCTCTCTAGCCTACGTTGGCGCTTGGCGGCCCTTCTAGCCTCCTTGTCCTGCGCAGACGTACCATTGGCGTTATCGCTCGTTACAGGTACGTCCTCGTCGTCCAGACTACTGGCTCGCACAACGGCGACTGCGTCTTCCTCAGCACGAAGTCTCTTGGCAGCGCCGTCAAACCTCGTGTGCGTCCCAACACCCCCCGCAAGCTCCTGGAACTTTCTCTTCGCACCAGCCTGCTCCCTTGCAACACGCTCTGCCCGCTCCCGATCGTACTTCTCGTTTCCAGCCAACCCCTGCTTGATGAATCTTCCCGCCGCCACCTTGTCAACGGTAGTGCTCCGCTTCGTGCCAGCAGTCTCAGCAGTCTTAATCTTCGCAAAGTACTCCTTTACTCGATTCAACTCCTGGAAGATAGGATGGGATTTCGCGTCTACGCCGTTTAGGCGCAGAGCAGAGAACAATATGGACTCTATTGCATACGTAGCATGAACGTATAGCTTAGCTTTATCCAGCAGAGGCAATTTGCTGGCACTTGTGGAAAGGGCGGTCTTGAGTAGCGGCGCAAGCGCTTCCTCAAGATCATCAATATTACTGCTCAAGTCTTCGACTTGCGCTTCAATGTCGGCGGTGTCCATGACGCCAATACAGGGTGTTGCAACACAGGCGTTAGTTGTTTCGCAGAAGACACTTGAGTGCTTGCGCAAAGACTTGGATTGATTTAGTCACGAGACGCGCTTGCAGAGGCCCCGAGCCGAGGCAACTTTGCCACGGCTGCTGCCTTGCTGCTTCCCTTCGTCTTCAGTAGGGTTTTGACTTTAAGTTCGCGAATAACCGTGTAGATGGTATCCGAATACGCTTCGTGAGCCAAGCTCGGAGGCGCCATGTCGTTAAGAGGAGCGAAGCGCAAGAAGGTATCCCAACCTGCAGTCCCGCCTGACAGTGACATGCAGCGGCACGAGGCCTTCACCGAATGGGCACAAGCACGCGGCGTGGAGATTGGGAAGGTAAAGCCTGCGAGACTTCCAGGGCGCGGTCTAGGACTGGTAACGACGGCCTCGGTGAAGAAGAACCAGCGCATCCTATTCGTTCCGGAGAAGGCCATGTTCAAGCCGGACTCAGCGCTTCTTAAACAGCATAACCTCCAACACGCATCTCCCCAAGCACAACTTGCGGTGAGCGTGCTCGCAGCGTGCGCGACACAAGTGTCCGCTATTGCTTTGTGGGAAGCGACATGGCCCACAGACACAGACTTTGAACAGGGTATGCCAATGAGATGGGACGGGTGTCTGCAAGATCTCTTGCCACCGTCTGTGCAACAACCGCTTCAGAGACAGCAAGACGACTACATGAAAGACGTGGGTTCTGTGCACACCTTCCTCAGGCACGCCAGGGTCACAGAGCAGCGCTTCCGTTATTATTGGTCGATAGTGAACAGTCGTAGCTTCCACTGGAAGCCTCCCAAGGGCAAGGCGGGATCAATGGTGATGTGCCCGTTCATCGATTACACTAACCACGGGCCGACTGGAACTGGATGCAACGTGTCCCAGCGGTCCAATGGGTATGAAATGCTTGCAAATCGAGACTACGGTGAGTTTTCCTATACTTTTCATGTTCCCACCTCTCCATTTCGTGACGTGATGTATGGAGTACACAACAACAGGTGAGCGATCAGAACCTTTGCGCTTCCATTTCTAGTCGCTGACCAGGGTGTAAGATGCCGGGGAAGAAGTGCTCTTCACATACGGCGCGCACTCCAACGATAAACTCCTCGTACATTATGGCTTCATCTGCGAATCACCACCCGGTTTGCGTAACAAAGACGACGACATACGTCTCGACCATCTGTTAATACCGAAGCTTGATTCACATGTACGGGACAAACTACAGGACGTTGGCTTTCTGGGAGCGTATGCCTTGCTGCCTGCTGAGAACGAGCTGTGTTTTAAGACTCAAGTAGCTGTTCGTGCGGCGCTTTTGACCTCCAATGAGTGGGAGTATTTCGTCACTAACGGTGAGGACATGACTGAGGACCAAACACCGGCAGTTTTGCGCTTCATGCACCCATTACTGGTAAGGTACCACAATGATGCGACAGGTGAACTTACGATTATCGAGGAACAGATTGTCGATGGATCAGGACCGTCCACTCAGCTGCTTCTGTTGCGGAGCAGATGGCGGCAGATACAGGATGCTTTAGAGGCGTTCTTGAAGATGTGAGCGCACATTTATGGAACCATGTATTCTACGCTGGCACCGTGCGCGCGCAGTAAGGTGCAACGATAGATCCTGCTAATTGCTAGCAACTTTTTGTCTATGGCTGTATGCTTCTTTCACCCGGAGCTCAGCTGGAATGGTCGGCGTAGATGCTTATAGCTGATCAAGAAGACCCTCACTCTCCAATAACAGCACGATCTGATGCACTGCCGTCCTTACATTGTCCTTGCTGATATCTACCACGAGGTCCGCTTCCTTGCCCTTGGGCTCCTCATATGGATCATCGACGCCCGTGAAGCCCTTAATTTCGCCCTTCCGCGCTTTAGCATAGATGCCACGCTTGTCCGTCTTCTCGCAGTACTCGAGTGGCGTTGCAACGTGGACGAGGTAAAAGCTGCCGAACTTCTCAACAATCTCTCGCGCAGCTTTTCGCGACTTCTCGAATGGCGCGATGGGGGCCGCAATAACGGCCGCACCGGCTCTGGTAAGCTCGGAGGCGACAAAACCGATGCGAGCAATGTTCCTGTTCCTGTCTTCATGCGAAAAGCCCAGCTCGGAGGACAGCTCACTGCGAACTGTTTCGCCGAGTAGCAGCGAGACGGACCGGCCACCTTGCTGGTTCAGCGTAACATTGAGCGCACGGGCAATGGCGTCTTTGCCGGAGTTAGTATAGCCCGTAAGGAAGACTGTGAAGCCTTGCTTGTTTCGTGGAGGATGCGATTCGCGTAGCACTCGCACAACTTCCGGGTAAGAAAACCAGTCCGGGATGTCTGCGCCCGTCCGTAGACGACGTCGCAGCTCTGTGCCGGAGATGTCGAGCGTGCGAACCTCCTTCGGCACTTCGTCTTTTGGACGGTACTCGTCGCTATCGGGAAGGTAGGTCATCTGCTGGAAGGGCACAACCTCAATGCCAAGCTCATCGCGGTACTTCTCAACCGCGTACTGTGCGTCGTAAGGGCCGTAGAACTCTTCGCCCTTGCTGTTCTTGCCAGGTCCTGCATGATCACGTCCGACAATGAAGTGCGTTGCACCGTGGTTCTTACGGATGATAGCATGCCAGATCGCTTCGCGTGGGCCACCCATACGCATCGCCAGTGGTAGCAAGCCAAGCACAGCCATGCCGTTGGGGTAGCGAGGGAGGAGAGCCTGATACACACGCACGCGAGTGAAGTGGTCGATGTCGCCAGGCTTGGTCATGCCAACCACAGGGTGAATAAGCACGTTGGCTTGCCTGCTGCGAGCAGCACGAACCGTGAGTTCTCGGTGAGCGCGGTGCATAGGGTTGCGAGTCTGGAAAGCAACGACGCGAGACCAGCCGAGCTTGTCGAAGTGGAGGCGTAGTTCGGCAGGAGTGTAGCGCAAAGCAACGTAGTCGTAGTGCATCAGACGGTCAATGGCCTCGATCTTGCCGCCAACGTAGTACTCGCCGGTCTGGGTGAAGAGGTACTTGACCGCTGGATGCTCAGGGTCACCACCAAAAACTTTCTTAGCCTCGTTGTCCTTGTCCGGCTTGTAGACATCTTCGATGGTCATGATACCCAGGTTTCGATCGTCACGGGAGTCTCGCAGGGTCACGCGAGCACCTGACTTGAGGCCCAGCTCTTGCACATCATGCTCATTGACGTCCAAGCATATTGGCATTGAGAAGAGGTTGCCGTCCGCAAGACGACTGTCTTCAACCACGCCCTTGTAGTCTTTCTCGCTCATGAAACCTTCGAGAGGTGAGAAGCCGCCATTGAGGATCAACTCCATGTCGCAGAGTTGCCGGTCATTGAGAACGATAGCTGACAGCTTTTCCGCCTCTGCGGAGAGTTCCTTTCTTCGCGGAGCATCGCGAGCTACGAGGTCTTTCAATACGCCGCCTACAAGGCCAAATGGTCAGTCACATCATGTTGAAGTTGGAAGAGTGGTAACGAACCATGAGGTGGATTGGCCATTGTCGGCTGTTGAACGATCAACCTTCGTTACGGTCGATCAATTCTCATGCAGATGCTACGTTCCACGAGGCTATACGTCCAAGCAACAAGTCTGCTCGTCGACGCAAGACGCAAGGCGAGTGTTCTAACGAGTAAGATGTCGCAACGCAGAGGAAGTGCGAAATGCCTGTCAACCAGTGATTGTTGATCGAACAGCCCAAAAAATCTTCCCCACAATGCAATCACGCCATCAAGCAAGCCGACACGCCTTACGCCATGCATTTCGCCAACTCTATACCAAGAGCAGGGACTCAGCGGTACGATAGTCACCATTGTAGACAGAATTTCACGAATGTGAGGCCGGGGTATACATGAGACGATGGAGCCGACAGGAGACAATGGTGCTAGATATGTCGGTACGGCAGCTTTTGCTGCATATAGATGGGACTGTTCAAGCGTCTATCAAGCCACCCACTAATGCCAATGCAATGCCTGCTTTTCTTCGTAAGGTAGATAGGTATCCCCATACCCAACGCCAATGCTAAAACTGCACTACACAAGTAAGCCAATCACCATCGATCGCGTAACATGTCCGGCGCCAGTGGTGAACCAAACGGAAATCAAAAGGCATCACTATGAGGTAGCTTCAATCTTCAGGCCGTTCTGAATGGCCTCGCTGAGCTCCCGCTGCCGCTGGTCTTCTTGTTCTTGCAGGAACATGGCGTATCGCGAACGCTTGTTGTGGATGCCGCACTCAGTCTTTTGGCGGCCCTTCCATCGACCAGCGCGTTCGTCTTCGCTCTCCGTCACTGGCTGAGTAGAGTGCCAGTCACCAACAGACCGATAACCTTGATCCAAAAGGTCGTTGGTTGGGACATCATTCTCCTTGATGTACGCCTGTACTTGCTTAAAGGTCCAGTTGGCGAGCGGGTTGACCTTGATTACGCCCTGATCATCTATTTCGATGATGTCCAGATCGCCACGCTTCCCACCCTGCGACTTTCTTCGGCCAGTCAAGACAGCCTTGACATCAAGCTCACGGTATGCTCTCTGCGCCGGCTCAACTTTGGCTACGTAGTCATAACGCTCTTCATCTGCCTCCCATAACCGCTCGCCGAACTTCTGTTCGAAATCCGCGGTCGTCTCGCAACCCTCCGGCTTGTACGTGTGGATCTTGAGGTCGGGATACCGTCCCTTCACTCGCTCAACAAGATCTAGCGTTTGCGAGAAGTGGTAGAGTGTATCGAGGAATATGAGTTCGATGTTTGGCTTGATGGCATAATCAAGCTTAGAGATCATGTCCATGATCGCAAGGCCTGTCAATCCGAAGGCTGACGTCTGCCACAGTTGCGGGAGTGATGTAAGGCACCACTTCAGCACATCGACCGGCTCTAACTTCGACAGTTGCTGGTTGATGAACTTCAAGTGCGGCCGAGTGAAGTATATGTCCGGTAACGATTGTGTCGATGATCCACTGGCATACCCAGACTCTGCTTCTGTCTCTGACGAGCTTGACCGGTTCCTGAACGCCATTGTGGATTTGTGTGCGTAGGATAGTATACTCGCCACTTGCGGTATGATTGCTTTTCTTCGAGGTTCACTTTGTGCAAGATCTGGTTCCACGAAAACTCGAGATCAAGATGGAGTCTTTTTGAGATCGTAGCGGAAGACAAAAGGAAACAGGAAATGTCGACTTACCCACCCCTCTGCCTACATCCACATCGCCGGCCGCGGCGTTGTGCTTTGAAATGCTGGGCCGCTCTACGTCAAATTTTGGACAATTGCGTGCTCGCCACTAATTCCCAATCAGGACGGGAACAAGGGGTCTGCAGTCTGGCTCCGATCGGTTTTCGACCAATCAAGAGCCGGTTGGGATGACATTGCCTCTGGAATATGCGGCTCTGCGCAGAGCGTTCGCGATCAGGCTGTGTATTTCCGTCATGGTTACGGTGCGGTACCTGATGATCGCTGTGCCTGCCGGTCGGCTGCAAGGCGGAGGGATCGAAGCGTGGCAGAAGCTTCTCTTGCAGCACTCATTCATAAGCGCGGACACATCGTTAAGGCATTTGCGTGGACGAACAAAGAACAGGCTGACCCTGCTCGATGGTGTACTACAAAGCCGACTGTTATTACCGTCCTGCTACGATTGTGTTGGGCTATTCATGCTGAAAGGCTTCTGTAGTCAATGTCCGATGGCCAGTGCGGTTGACCCCGCCGGCATTTCGCCAGTTCCAGTCGTAATCATGGTGCAATCTTCGATTGTGACCAGTCTGATGACTGTAATTTGCTTCTGGCGTGTTGCAATAAGCATAGCGATTGCGTGACCGGAAGTACCTTGGAGCTCGCACGCCACGGCGGTTTTGCTGTTTCGCAACGACAAGGCCAGATGAGGGGTCGTCTCGCAAAACGTCATGTGACTTCTTCATCGATCTGAAGCGGGGTTTCTGCGGATTTGCGGAGTGTAGGCGGAGCAGTGAAGCCAGCCCTTTGAGGTCCATAGATATTGTAGGCACATTAAGCAAGATTTTGTCCGGTCTGTAAGCGGCTTCAAAGGCATTCCCAGATCGTGAACTTCTATCCCACGCTGTACAGTATGGCCGGTATCACACGCACAGCACTCAAGGCCGGAAAATCAGTTGCAGCAATTGAATGACGTTACGTCGCTTCGCAGTGCTGAAGATCCTGCTAATGTCTAAAGTATTGTCGACGGCATAGATGCCATAGGTATCACAGATTCTGTATGAACGTACAGTCCTCGGGCTGCTAGTGGATGACGAGGTGCTCGCTGGCGATACGTATATAGACTCAACGGCACTGATAGACCGTATCAGCATCCGCTCTATCTCTCGCTAGCGAACAGCTCCTGCGCGCGACGTCAATATCGTGGTACTTCATGAAGCATGGGTTTTCACGAGGATGCTGGCGGAGTTGCACAACGTTTTAGCTGACTTCCACGGAGAGTCACGGTATATGCATTCAAGTCTAGATGCCATAATGTTGTTCCGCATAGCTTTGCCTCTCAATATCCTTATTCTTAATGGACATGGAGTACGTCCAAGAGCAGATCAATGTGACCCCCTCATTCACGCGTGATTTGAGGAGCGCGTCCAAGTCGCTGATTGAAATGATCTGCACGCTAGCACGTGCCCCGGCGCCGCTAAGTCATGCCGAATTCGTTGACTTAGAACTCTCCAACCATGAGCGACTCTGACTTGGAAGCGATAAGGCAGGCACGCCGCCAAGAGCTACAGTCGCAGCAAGGCGGCAGTCAAAGTGGAGGACAAGAAGATGCGCAGAAGTATATTTTTCGACAGTCTGCAATCACCCAGGCTGTAGCTGACATCAAGCGCAGAAACCGTGAAGCCGAAGTACGGTCTTCAATCCTTTCGCAGATACTCGAGCCGGCCGCAGCAGATAGATTGGGTCGCATCAGGCTGGTGAAGGCATCGAGGGCAGAAGATGTTGAGAACAGGCTGATCATGCTTGCGCGAAGCGGCCAGCTGAGAGGGCAGGTCTCGGAGACGCAGCTGAAAGATATCTTGAATGCTGTCAGCGAGCAGCAACAGGAGACCGAAAAGGTCACTGTGCAGAGGAGGAAGGGTGGATGGGATGATGATGATCTGGACGACCTGTTGAACGACGACGACTCATGATGCCGGTCCGTTACAACTTAATGCTCGATACACAGCGAGGTGTTCCGGAAGCTCAAGGATGCCCATCCGTCAGGTTGGATGAAGGCGATGATGTTCTTCTACCGTCTGACTTGTCACGGCTGTGGTGCACCTACGTTCGTCGCAGCTATTGGCTAGGGTACGGACGTGCTTTGGTACGCCCCCGTGATCCAGACCACATACATCGAAGATGCTGCTGGTGCTATGACAACATCTTCATGGTAGGAATCTACCAGATAGAGGAGTATCATTCGCCCAACATGCTGGATTTTTGACTGCACTGTGATCGACCAGCCACGCTGGCTCTGTCGCCCATGTAGCGATACTCCTCAGCACCCTTGTGTTTCAAGTGATGTCCCTAAGAGAAGGGCATATGTAACTAGAATTCCGGAGAAGGTATGTAGCATATTCAACCGCTCCGGTTGAGTTCAGAATTGGTAGGGCGGCGAAGACTCCACGCCAGGCATCGCGGAGGCTGCTTGGTGTTAAGTGAGGTCGCAAGGTCTAAGGTCGCTGATTTCTTTGCTCCACCGTCTCTTGAAGTCACAAACATCCATTTGCCGGCTCTTAAGTAGCCTTTGACGTGATGACACTAGTGTCCAAGCATTGGTCTTGGACTTTTACATTTGTCACGGAACGCTGTCAAACTCGTGTACGAAGCTGTATACACGTCGATCGCTTCAATGCTGCTATTTTGGAATGCAACTGTTGGATCAGAGATTTGAAGGGGCCAAGGACCATACTCCTTTGAAATCAACAGTGAACAGGAAAGAGTACATAGTGGAGGAATCGGCTCACCCAGCCGGATCCGTGGGCGCCTAGATCAGGTTAGACTCGTTTTCGCCGCGATGTGTAAACATCGAACGTCGCGTCTTAGATGCTTCCAATGACACTCTGCTTTCGCACGGGCAGTCTCGGATAGGTTGGGAAGGAGTCAGTAAACTATATGGAGTCATGATGATCCGGCCTTCTCTCTACTTCCGCGACCATGGCTAAGGATGTCTTCCGTGTGCGGCTCAACTGCGTCGACCACTACCAACACCCACCAACTTCACTTGATCCGCTCTTGTGGGGCCCTAAAGCACTCTCATCGACTCAGAGAGGCAACCTACCCCATGTGCCGATCATTCGAGTGTTTGGCGCGACGGAGACAGGCCAGAAAGTCTGCGCTCACATCCACGGCGCCTTACCATACCTCCTCATTTCGTATGCCGGATCACCCGATGCCGACCAGGTGGAGAAGTACATAGCAACCGTGCGACACTCTATCGATCATGCGCTGGCTCTTTCATATCGCCGCAATCCGTACGATAACAATGCTAGGAATAGTACGTTCGTGGCTCACATTTCGCTTGTGAAAGGCGTCCCTTTCTTCGGATACAATGTTGGCTACCGCTACTATCTCAAGATTTACCTACTAAACCCTTTACACATGACGCGGTTTGCAGACCTTCTGCTCCAAGGCGCCATTCTGCATCAAGTAATCCAACCATACGAAGCGCACCTGCAGTTTCTTCTGCAATGGATGTGCGACTTCAACTTGTATGGTTGTGCATATATCGAAGTCAAAGCGGAGAAAGTGCGATGGAGAGCGCCAGTGCCGGAGTTCGAGGAGCTGGAGAACCCAGGTCACTTTTGGCATGACCGTAGTATACCGCCTGGTAGCATCCTTGATGAGCAGCGTTACCCACGTCAGAGTCACTGCCAGCTCGAGCTTGACATTCGAGTTGAGGATATACTAAATAGACACGAAGTCCAACCGAGGGAGCTTCACTATTCCTTTATTGAGCGCCTAGCATCGCTTGAGAACCTGCCACCAGAGGAGAAGCTCGTTCATTCGATGGCTGGTTTGTGGAAAGATGAAACCAAGAGGCGAAAGAAGCGAATGGGCATCACTGATCCCTCCTCGTCGCCCTTCCCGCCGGAGGTCTTGGTCAGCATGTCCGCAGATCCGCGGAATGACAGGAAAGGCGGTTGGAGGCATGAGGAAGAGTTTCGAGAAAGCGTAGAGGCACTCGCACGGCAGGAATGGAAAGCCAGAGGCGGTACTGACATGTCCTTCGAGTCCTTCGCCGGTCCGCAGGAGGCTGATGGTGTGCAAACTGTGCTTGACAGCGTCAACGAGCTGTTTCACGAACGTCTAAGTGCTGAGTGGAGCCGGAAATACCAACTCGCAACGATCGACAATGATATCGGTGGCCTGCATGGATTCCATCAAGGTCAGGCCAACGATGGTCAGCTTGGAGAAATGGCTCTGGTTGACATGAGCAGCATTGCACAGCTGTCACTTGATGACGGCTATGGAAGTGATGAAGAGGTCGCAAAGACTCAAGCTTTGCAGCAGCAACAAAAGCTCAATAATGCGAGACTTGACGGGGCTCTGGACGAGGCGAAGGCGAACGGTCCTCCTGAAGAGATCGAGCATCATGCGCAGCATGTTGAGGATGTGCCAGTCCCTGAGGAGACGCTGCGCAGCGTGGAGCAACATGGCGGCTACAAAAGGGAAGCGCCGGATACCCACCACACCGATCACAAGCGACTAAAGACTGGAGTGGACAGTAGCGGAGCCCCAAGAACTAAACGAGTGGCCTTTTCCATGGTGCCAAATGACACCGAATCTCCTACTACCGCGGCTGGTCGTGTTCCGGACGATGAAGGTCTTGAAGATGTGCCCCCAAGCTGCCAGCGGGCGGTGCCACAACAGAAAGCGCTTCATAAGCCGGCATTTCAACCAACGATACAGCAACCATCATGCTCTCAGCACTCATCGCAGTCCTCCCCTCAGCAAAAGAACAAGCTCAATTTCGTGACTGTTAAGAACCCACATGATCCGGAAACGAAGATGCGACTTAGCCAGAGGGATGATCTTGGACCTCAGAAAATCCCGCAACAGATAAGCGAGAAAGTGCTATCCTTCACTTCTGACCTGCCGATTGCTGCGTTGTCGTCGTCAAAACTTGCTGATACATCCACCCATCTAACGACGAGGCCTACGATTAGCGCTGAGGTGGCGAAGAAGTACAAATCCTCCTTCGCGTTCTCGGCTAAGACCGGCGTCTTGATCTTCGGCCATACTCCGCCGTCATCCGACGAAGTCGTACAGAGCCTGGATCCGCATGTCATCTATCAGGATGCGTATTACAGCAATGAGCGAGACGTGCCTGACCGGCCACGGGAATATGCTGGGCAGGAGTTTCGGCTGGAGAGCAAGACGCTTCCTTATATACCACCATTCGGCAAAGTGGCTGGGAATGTAAATGCTAAAAGCGCGGGCAACGAGAAGGCAAGACTTGATCTTGAGGATCTGAGACGACGGAAACAATGCACGCTCAAAAACTGGGAGATCATGCAGCCACCGCCCACACATGCAGAAGTGCATGCTTGGCTGAAGACTGCAGCATCGACAGATGCCGACATAGACGAGTTGGATGCGCTTGAGATCGACGGCCCACCTACTGCGTCGCAAATCAAGCGGAAGAATCGACCGGCGCCTGAGCTAAGTCAGATCGATGGCCCCACGCAGAAGAGTAAGCATGGCTTCAAGTACTCCCAGAAGAAGAAAAGCACGAGCGTACAGCACGAGACGGGCTACATGTCTACCATGGCCCTCGAGGTGCACATCAACAGCCGCGGAGACCTCGCGCCCGACCCAGAGCGGGACGAGGTAAGCTTCGTGGTCTGGTGTCTGGCCGATGAGCAGATGGAAGATGAAAGCGTCAAAATGGGCATTGCAGTGCTTGACAAGGGCGCCGTAGAACCCCAGCTCATGTCCGAGAAGATTCGCAAGATTGTCGGCAATGGAGTGCAGATTGATGCGGAGGACAGCGAGTTGGACGTCATCAATCGCATGGTCGAGATCGTGCGAACGTACGACCCGGACATACTTACCGGCTTCGAGGTTCACAATAGCAGTTGGGGCTATCTGATTGAGCGTGCCCGGCTACAATACGAGTACAATTTGCCCGACGAGTTCTCTCGCATGAGGTCGCAGTCTCATGGCCGGTTCGGTAAAGATGCCGACCGCTGGGGCTTCACACATACTTCTACAGTGCGCATCACTGGCCGGCACACAATCAATGTGTGGCGCGCAATGAGATCCGAGCTCAACCTATTGCAGTACACTATGGAGAATGTGGTCTTCCACCTTCTGCACCGACGCATACCGCACTACCCTTTTTCGACGCTGACGAGGTGGTATACCAGCAGCAAGCCCAAAGACCTGTCCAAAGTGCTTGACTATCTCATCACTCGCACAGTGTTAGACCTTGAGATCCTTGACGCCAATGAGCTAATACCAAGGACGTCGGAGCAGGCTCGCTTGCTTGGGGTTGATTTCTTCTCTGTCTTCAGCAGAGGCAGTCAGTTCAAGGTCGAGAGCTTGATGTTCCGTATCGCGAAGCCGGAGTCGTTTGTGCTCGTCTCGCCGTCTAGAAAGCAGGTTGGGGCCCAGAATGCGTTGGAATGCTTGCCACTGGTGATGGAGCCGCAATCCGCCTTCTACAACTCACCTCTACTCGTCTTGGACTTTCAGTCTCTATATCCAAGTGTGATGATAGCGTACAATCTCTGCTACTCCACTTGTCTTGGCCGAATCACGGACTGGCGTGGGACGAACAAGCTCGGGTTTGCGGACTTCAAACGGGAGCCGGGTTTGCTCGAATTGGTCAAAGACAAGATCAATATCAGTCCAAACGGCATGATGTACGTCAAGCCCGAAATGCGGAAGAGTCTTTTGGCGAAGATGTTGGGCGAGATCCTCGAGACTAGAGTCATGGTCAAGAGCGGCATGAAGGTCGACAAGGGTGACAAGACTTTGCAGCAGCTGCTCAATAACAGGCAGCTTGCGCTCAAGCTGATTGCTAACGTGACGTATGGCTACACATCAGCCTCGTTCTCCGGCAGAATGCCATGTTCAGAGATTGCAGACAGCATTGTGCAGACAGGCCGCGAGACCCTAGAGAAGGCCATTGCACTCATACATCATACGGCGCGATGGGGCGCGGAGGTTGTGTATGGTGACACAGACTCCTTGTTCGTTTCTCTTAGAGGTCGAAGCAAGGCAGAGGCGTTCGAGATCGGCAACCAGATTGCGAAAGCAGTCACAGATATGAATCCACGACCGGTCAAACTCAAGTTCGAGAAGGTGTACCATCCATGCGTTCTGCTCGCGAAGAAGCGGTATGTTGGTTTTAAGTATGAGTCACCTTCTCAGACGGAGCCAGAGTTCGATGCCAAAGGCATCGAGACGGTGAGGCGAGACGGCACACCAGCAGAACAGAAGATCGAGGAGAAGGCATTGAAGCTACTGTTCCGGACGAGCGACCTTAGTCAAGTAAAAGCGTACTTTCAGAAACAATGCGCGAAGATCATGGGTGGTCAGTTCAGCATACAGGATTTCTGCTTCGCCAAAGAAGTCAAGCTCGGGACGTACGCAGATAAAGGGCCCCCGCCACCAGGAGCTCTGATAGCAACAAGGAGGATGCTCCGCGATCCGAGAACCGAGCCCCAGTATGGTGAACGTGTGCCGTACGTCGTCATTGCCGGTGCGCCTGGAGCTAGGTTGTGGGAGAGATGCGTCGAGCCGGAAAGACTTATCAACGATGAGCGCGCCGAGCTCGACGCGGAGTACTACATCTCGAAGAACCTGATACCACCGCTGGAGCGCATCTTCAATCTTGTCGGCGCGAATGTACGGCAGTGGTATGACGATATGCCAAAGGTGCAACGCATTCGAATGCTGGGAGGTCCGCGTGACGGTGAGATTGTCAAAGGGAAGAAGACGATGGAAAGTTACATGGGCTCTTCGTTGTGCCTCGCTTGCCGTGCACGTCTGCCACCGATTCGGCCCGAGGACGCCGAGCAGGCTCTCCCGCTGTGTCAGCGCTGTCGCGAAGAGCGCCGGCAAGAGACACTCTTAACTCTGCGCCGAAAGCTGCAGAAGGCCGAGAAGAAGGTAGGCGATATGCACGGTGTCTGCCGTTCCTGCGCGAATCTGTCTCCTGATGACGAGGTCAGATGCGACTCTAGAGATTGCCCGGTGATGTACAGCAGAGTGAAGTCGGACACGCAGCTAAGTGTGGCTAGATCTGGGCTAGGAAAGGTGCTGGATCTGTTGCAGCAAGAAGTCTCGGGCGATAAGGAGCAGTTCCAGTGGTGATGCTGAATATTAGGCTAGCTCCGAAAGTTGTCCGTCGCTCTGCTTCGGTTTCGTCGCCACAAAACAGAACACTTCCTCCCGGCACCACAAGTCCTCTTGCTTAATTTCTTCCTGCGCCTGTTTCTGCAGCCATGCGACTCGATCGTCGTCCCAGCCTTCCAGCCCACGCAACGCTTCCGGAATCAACTTCACACAGCACTCCTTGGTCCACATATTCCAGGATGGGTTCAGGTCCACAGCATAGAGCTCTGCAGACTCCACCTTCAGCCCACTCACATTCAGCCACTTTGGAATATGCTCTACCTTGGCTACATCAATATCGGTCTGCTGCTGTCGCAGACCCTGAAATATTTGATCGATAGCCGCACGCTTCACCCCAGGTTTGCGCTGCACTACTTTGAGATCTTGCGCATGCTCCTCGATCCACTGCAAGTACCCTCCAGGCTTCAGCAAGGCGGCAGCGTTCGAAGCCATGCGTACCCACATTTCGGATCCCTTGAGCGCCAGGTACACGAGCCGAATCTGGACTATGTCAAACTTGCTTTCGAACTTGGACCCAAAGCCAGACTCGGCGAGGGCGTCAGCAAGGTGGAAATTGACTCGATGGTGATCTTCTTGCCCTCGCGTGGCTGGAAAGCCAACAGCATCAATATCGAAGCCATCAAGTTGTGCTTGAGGGTACTGCTTGGCTAGGTCAAGAAGCCAAACGCCGGTGCCACAGGCTATATCAGCGATACGCAGCGCTCCTTCTTCCGCATTGGGCACAGGGATCATGGGATGAATACGGAACCCGAGCTGGTCAATAAGCCAGTCGTGCTGCTCGTTCAGACTAACCCACCGAGAGCTATTCAGCTGCTAATACACTTCGCCGGTCGACTTGGCTTGACCTTTGACTTACCGTATATTCTCAGCTTTTCTGCCAGCATCAGTTTGCGGGCGAGGATACGCCTCCCCAGTATCTTGCATCGAATACATCGTTAGTGGTTGTGAAGCCTTAGCGGCGAACTCTGCGATAATTGTCAAAGCGCGCCACAAACATTACGTTGTTGTTTCAAGCGGTGTACGAGCACATTCAAGTAACGACAAACAAATACTGTGTTGTATGGAGATGTCAGAAAGTCTGGGATATGAGTAGCCTATCAAACCTGAGGATTGCTTAGGCATGCTACTTTACTCAGGTAGGCAATCGAAACGCCGCTCGGATACACTCCGCACATCTTTGCAGTATCGCCACCACTTAATCCCAACTGATACGAAAGTGACTTCGGAACCACCAACAAGCAGACTGCCAATGAGTGGCGCGGATTTTACAACTGCAAAGCAGCTCTCATGGGTGGACTTGTGGTGCTTTTGCGCTCATGAACACTGCAGCATGCCGAGCGACGCTGAACACGTTTGGCTCGACGGCGTGATCATCTGCCATCTCGAGTGCCTCCGGAGTCCAAGGACGCGAGCTTGTTGCGCGGATCCGTCTCGCAAATCGCCACAGTGGTGCTTGGGCTTCACTGGTGGTGCTGCTCAGGTCATGCAACGTGCCGATCATGTTGCTTAGGCATACCAGGAATGAAACCCTTCTAAGGGCCTAATGGTCCTGAGCCTGCAATCATTGGCGTCACGCAGCGAAGGGGACGTGCGAAACACGCGGTATCCTATATTGCTGGCCGGAAGCATGGGGTTGCGGCAACAGTATCTACATTTGGTGGATTGGTGTTCATCGGTTCATGCTACTGAGACGAGGGTTCGGAAGGCCAGCGTGAGAGCGAAAGGCGCGGGATCATAGCTGGCAGGCTGCACGGCTGGCTTGTACCACATATCGTGAAGAATCTGACCGGGTATTGGACGATCTGTCGCCCATATGCAACCCCGGATGGATTTCTAGCGGCGATTGATCAGCTATTTACACGATCTTGGGCGTCCGGGCCGACGCTCGAGAATCATTATCAATCTCCAGTGGGCCCATGATGCAGCCAGCTGTAAGCTACTACAACAGTTCCGAAAGTAAGAGGCAGCCCGATCATCCACTTCGCCACACTTCGAGCCTGGGTGCGGTGTTCCTCCAGAATGGTTTGGCCTTCCTCCCTCAACGCCTCCATGCCAGGCTTAGTTGCACTCAGCTCAGAGATGAGATGGCCCATTGACGATCCGCCAAGTGAAGGCTTGTGGTCAGCGCCTCCAATGAGTGACCACTCGCTGTTGCTAGGAGTCTTCCGATAACTGACGGGCGATGATGACCAGCTTCGGTAGCCTTTGCCTGCACGTAGTGATAGCCGATGCACGCTCCGTACGGTAGCCGCTCTCGATGCCATCTGCATCAGCCCAAGTGTATCTGGGATAACAGCTCGCTGTACTGTAGTAAGAAGTCTGGGGATGCTACCTCTACAGGCTGTACAGATGCCCAATGGAGTCACTGCTGAAGCCTCCGGTATTAGTCTTGGCGGTCTTCGCCGTGCTAACCCCTGTGGAACAGTCTACCCCGTCCTAGCACCTCCTCTGCTGGATCTTGGACTCCCTGGCGATGGATTTGATGTTTCTATACTGCTGAAGTCGACAGTAATACGCAAACTCACACGTCCCACGCTTCAGCCCCCAATGCTGCCCCGCCACCAGCCCATTTCGTTTCGCGCGCAGCGCTTGCGGCTGAAACACTGCTTCATCTTACTGTAGCGATCAAATCGTAAGCTATCAGGGTACGAAGGCTAAGTTTTGATCTTCTACTTCTCCTCCAGCATTGGTCCGGCGAGTTTGCATAGCATTGCCATACCTGACATCTTCCCCTCTCTGATTATGTCTTACCTTGGCGTGGACGATCGCTCTTCGCGTACGCGTTCGAAGTCAGCCTCGCGAGACCGGTCAAGATCTAGGGGCGATGTGAGGGCGCCGTCGCCTCCACGATCAACATCCTATGGATATGCTCCGTCGACATCCATGGCGTCCGCTATGCCGGGCTCTTTTGACAGCAACGGCGTAACGCCCACTCACGAAGTCAGAACACCACGAGGAAGCTCAAGCTACTACCCGCCGACGACTACTGGAACATCGCAATATCCTGCTCCTTCACCCGGTAGAGTACCGTATCCTCAGCAGGACGATGACTTCACGATGGGCGACTACACGGACCTTCCACCGCACGAACGGCCCGGATATGTACCGACACAGGCACAGTATCCGCGTCAACCACACGAAGACGACGATCTAGCATATGGCAGCAACAGCCCGGAAGCTGCTCGACGCGCACCGTATGGCTCGCAGTATCCCGACCGGCCAAGTAATGCGCGTCCGGACCCTGGCTACCGCTACGCACCGCAGCAAGCATCTGAACCCACACGTACTTCATCTCGTGACTATCGGTACGCTCAGCTTCCAGAAGGTGTTAAGTATACCACACGACCACAGGATGTTACTCGTCATGCATCCTACTCGCAACCTGGAGAGATGAGGCCAGGGGGAGTGCGGCCACAAGACGCTCCCAGGCACTATCCGTATGCTGGGCATTCTGAAAGTGCCAGCGTCGTAGACATCACGCCTGGGCATGACCAACGCGATCGCTCTTCATCCAAGCCTCAGCGTCTATCAATGAACACATTAGGTGGCGACCTACTCCCAGGCGGACGTCGACCATCACCTAGTGGTCACCGCTCGGACATGCCGCCGCCCAGCCCGCTACTAGAAGCGTACCACGGAACCTACCAATCCATCTCTCCCATGCCTTTTGCCATCAAAGACGACGATGACCTAAGCGACATGGAGTCTCTCGAGCTAACCTCCTCCCGCCACCATGTCTGGCAAAAACCTCACGGCAACCTCTCCCAAGACGTCTCTATACTCGTCAAGGATAAAAAGCGCGTAACAGTCTATGACGCAGAGGGCGACGCGAAACGCCTCTCCAAAGCACTCGCCCACACGAAACCCGACCCGGACCCCATCATCGACATCCTGCCAACCCTCTCCCACGACCAAATCTGGGAGCTCCGGAAAGAGTACAAGAAGCTCGTCAAGATCCAGGGAAAAGGCATCAACCTACCCAAACATCTCAAGCTCAAACTTCCCGGCACCAATTTCGGCAAAGCCGCGTACGTCACCGCCCTGGCGCGGTGGGAAAGCGAAGGCTACTGGGCCAACTTCTGGTACCAGGCACATGGTAGCCGGCGGGAACTCCTCGTCGAAGCGCTGATGGGCCGGACGAATGCGGAGATTCGGATGATCAAGGATGAATTCAAGGACAAGCGGTATGCGGATAGTTTGGACCGGTGTATGGAGAAGGAATTGAAGATGGATAAGTTCCGCACGGCGGTGTTGTTGGTGCTGGAGGAGAGGAGGCAAGAGGAGAACGAGGTGTACCCGCCGGAGTATGTAGGGAGGGATGTGGAGGTGTTGCATCAAGCGTTGACGGCGCCGAAGGGTGGGGAGACGGCGATGTTGCAGGTGGTCATATTAAGGTCGGATAGGCATTTGCGGGAGATTTTGCGGGAGTATGAGAGGAGGTATGGAGAGAATTTCGCGAGGGCGGCGCTAAGGAAGAGCAATAATCTCGTCGTAAGTCTACTTCACCTCCACACAGTCTGTTATCGTCGCCAATACTGACCACATGTTCAGGGCGAAGTGATAGCCCACATCCTCAACGGCGTCATCAACAAAGCAGCCCGCGACGCCCTGCTTCTGCATCACGCCCTCCAAGACATCGCCGAGAAGAACAAGGACGACGAGCTCCGCTACGAACTCCTCATCTCGCGCCTCATCCGAGTACACTGGGATAAAGCGCATCTGGAGCGCGTAAAGCGCACCTACTACGAACGCTTCAAGACCGTACTCGAAGACGACATCGATGATGCCACGGTGAGCGACTTTCGCGAGTTTATGGTTAAGCTTTGCGAGAAGTAGTAGTAGTAGCAGCATATGAAGAATGTTCGTACCAAGACTGGACTTTTTCGGGCGCAAGCTGTGATTTGCGCGCAGGCTATTGTTCAGATGTCAGATACACGACGCCGCCGCTATGCACCTATCAAGAAACGCCCGGGAAGAAGCCTGCTGAAGCGTAGCTAGCGTTAGGAGTTGCTGGGTATATAGAGATTGTTGCCGTTAAACGAGATCGGAATGCAGATGGTCGTGATTGTGGAGTGGTCGGAAAATGCGATGGTCGCTGCTCCCTTCACATGACCGTGCAGCAACCGGTATCCTTGTCGCCCTTGGCGTTCTTGACTTGTAGAGCGACACGTGCGGCTTCCGTGAAGGCTTCGTTCACGCCGCGGTTCTTCATGGCGGAGCATTCTGCAAAGCACGAAGGGTCAGTATACACATACCTCCCCCAATTGTTCGTCTGGCTCAAAACGTACCAAGATACCTAAGCGCCTTGACCCGCTCCGCGACCGCCAATCCCTGCTTATAGTCTATCAGCGGCCGCTTAGGCTCCGCAGTGACATCTTCGTCCGCCTGCCCTTCCCTCAGATCACACTTCAGCGCCACGAGCACCAGTTTCACGCCGGGACAGTTCTCGGCAATCTCGCCGACCCATTTGCTCTCCACGTTCTCAAGTGACTCGGGTGAATCTACGCTGAAGCAGAGCATGATGGCGTGCGTGTCGTCGTAGGAGAGGGAGCGGAGTCGGTCGAATTCTTCTTGGCCTGCCGTGTCCCATAGCGAGAGCTCGACGTGCGTGTTATCGATGAAGATGTCGTGGACGTAGTTTTCGAAGACGGTGGGTTCGCTAACGGTAGAGTGTTAGTGAACGTGGTAGTCAGGGGCGGCGATGGTGACGGTGGTGTCCGAAGGATGGACGACTTACTATACTGTAGGAAAGTAGCCTCGTGTGAAGACGTTTAGTAGCGATGTCTTACCGCACGCGCCATCGCCGCTGTGATTCGCGGTCTGTTAGCCATCGCCTTCATGCTACCCAGCCGTTTCCTGTGGAAGGGAAGTGAGAGGGTAACGTACAGCAGCACCAGCTTGCGCGACACCGTCTTAGAGCCTCCGCAGAGCGGCATCTTGTCCTGTCCTCAGGCCGATGGCGCAGCTCTACCGAACCTCCTATGTCTCGCACTCCGCGTACGTATGTCGGAAGAGTCACTTCCCTCCCTTCCAAGGCACCACGTCCTCCGTTCCTTGCCCTGACGAAAGTACAACCGGCGTTGATATAGGCAGCTGAGATATGCCGTTAACCCGTCTTATCCGCCCCCGGAGGCTTTCCTGCGCTGTGCGAATGGCCCTCTAACCCCTAGATTGCTGGAATGAATAGTGATATTCCACGACGGCGATGCCTCTGAATGCAGAAGTTTGACGCAACGCAATGAATTGCTTGTGAAGGGAGAAGAAGATGGAGAAGAAGGCCCCACCGGTCACTGTTGAGCGCAAAGAGCGGATGTGTTCTGCCGGGAGGAACAGCGCCCTGCTTCCCGACGCCTTCCCCAGCCAGACTTCCAGCGATCTGGGCGGAGGCTAATCTTAGCACCGAAGCCGAAGCCAGCATGGGCCCACGTTTGCGCAACCTTCGATCCGACCCCGCCGAACTCACCTGCCTTTTACGGTGCAACGCCCAACGGGCCATGCATCTACGATGGCGAGGATGGAAGCACGGCATGGAGGCTAGAAGGGTGGAAGGGCTCATACAGTCTTGATATGTCGATAGATACATCTTTCAACACACCTATTGTCGCTACGAGCTCGGCAAGCGGCATAACGCTGACATAGACTAGCTGGAAAGACCCTGGAAGGCCTTGCTGCAGTATCGTGAACAATCAGCTCTCGCAAATAGGCGACGCTAGCATTCAATAATCTTCTCCACTTCCGCCCCGCCGACCCTGCAGTCTTCTTCCCAAATCAACCGCCTCAGCATCCCTCCTTACACTACCCACGAACCGACCTTTCTCAGACCTTTTCGTATCATCTTCCTCGCGCTGCCTGGCCTCCCTGTTCGCAACAGCTGCAAGCCTAGAGCTGCGTTCAGCTTCCAGCTCGGAAGCGTTTGATTGCATCGCAGCGAGCCTTGCAGCGCGTTCGGCTTCCTCGTGTCTCTCATCATTGGGCGGCGAGCTGTAAGGCTTGCGCTTGCTGCCGAGCTCCCGTACCGGCGAGCGGCGGTGACGGTGATTGCTGTCCTCGCTCCGGCGCTGATATGGTGACCGCGAACGAGAGTCTGACGAGCCAGAGCGGCGTGGGCTGGGGTACGATCGTCTCCGGTCTTCGCGCTCGTCATCGCGTCGTCGCCGAGGTGGAGTGCGTGAGCGGGAGTATCTGTCGTTCTTCTCCTGCCTTGAGCGGTATTGGCGTTCACGGCGATCTACATCATCGCGCCTTCTCCTGACGGGCGACCTTGACCTGGAAGGCGTGACTGACGGCGACCGCCTCCGATTCCGGTGCGAACGCTGTCTGCCCGCGTCACGCTCTTCATACTCATCGCTGTAGCGCCTACGCTTGCCCCTACGGCCATCTTCGTCGTCCCGATGCCTGTGCCGATGCTTCCTGCTATGCCGCCTTTCCTTCTCCTTCTCCTTCTCCCCCTCCTCCTCCCTCCCTGCCGCCTGCATCAACGCCCGCCTCCTCGCCGGATCACTCATTGCCGTCTCATATGCCGCCTGTTCCTGCCGCTTAATTGCCAACATCGGATCACTCGCCACCTTAGCCGCCGTATCCCTCGCCGTATTCGCCTTCTCATTCAACGCCATGAACCCACCCTCCGTACAATCCGTCTGCTTCTTGACAGCCTCTACCTCCCTCGTCTTGACTAATCCGTCCAACCGTCGCTTTCCCAGTAAGTACCCTTCCATCTCCTCGCTGACACCACCACCTACTCCGACCGAGCCGGAGCCGGGGCCATTGTACATCCAATCTACCTTGTCCACCCGTTTCTTCCCGCCCGCAGCTTCTTGGAGCCGTTGCAACTCTTCGATCGCACGTTCTTCGGCGCGCTCTTTGAGGACTTGCTCGGTCTTTCTGCGCTCGTCCAGCGCTTTTTTCTCGGCGTCGTGGACTTTCTTTTGGTTGGACATGAGCACTGGGTGCCATGACTTCTTAAGATTGAGATCGCCTCCCATGGTTGCGGTTGTTGGAAAGGGGCTGCTGTTTGATACTTGAGATGAAAGTTGGACGGAGAGGGTGGGCTTGTGGAAGTGTCAGAGTGCATGTGACTGGGCTTTGCTAGCGTAGAAGGCGGGCCGGGCGGGATCTCTCCGCTGGGGCTTATCGATTGCGAGTCGTGCATGTATCTGTGGGAGCCCATGCTGCCCGCACACACTCGCTCGTCTAGGTACGTTGCCAACAGACACACAACGACAAGTGTGTACGACTCATACACAGTATCTAAACGCTTCTACCGTCGCCGAACAAGAATCTAGCCTAGATTCCGCCGCCAACATGTCGGACGACGATGACTTCATGCAGGCATCGGACGAGGAGAAGTAAGGCGTAATGCGATACATATGCAATTCGGGGGGTCAACAAGACTGATACGATGTAGCTACGACTTCGAGTATGAGGATGACGACGAAGCGGAGCAGGGTGGCGATATCGATGTTGAGAACAAGTATTACAACGCCAAGCAGATGAAGGCCGATGCGCCGGAGGAGGCAATCGAAGAGTTCCTGGGCGTGCCAGCACTAGAGCAAGAAAAGGGTGATTGGGGGTTCAAAGGCTTGAAGCAAGCCATCAAGCTCGAGTTCAAGCTTGCTCGGTATAAGAAGGTCAGCGACACCCAAACGCCGACACACTATCCTCTTACTGATCGTTGTTCAGGCTGTCGAGCATTATAATGAGCTACTCACGTACGTCAAATCAGCTGTCACCCGCAACTACTCCGAGAAGTCGATCAACAATATGCTCGATTTTATTGAGAAAAATGCGGAGGGCGAGGCCGCACATGACTGCATGGAGCAGTTCTACTCAGCAACCCTCGAATCGTTCCAGGCAACCAACAACGAGCGATTATGGCTATCCACAAACACAAAGCTTGCTCGACTGTATCTCGCCAACAAAGACTACCCACGATTGACAGCGAAAGCGAGAGAGCTGCACAAGGCATGTCTACGCGAAGACGGCACTGAAGATCCAAGCAAGGGCACCTACTCCATGGAAGCCTACGCTCTCGAAATACAAATGTACGCCGACACCAGGAACAACAAGCGTCTCAAGGTATGACAAATTCCGATGGTGACAAATGGCGGGTGTCGACTAACTGTCAATGCAGGGCTTGTATGAGAAGGCGCTCAGCGTCCGATCTGCCGTGCCACACCCAAAGATCATGGGTGTGATCCGCGAATGTGGTGGGAAGATGTACATGAGCGAGGGTAAGCAAAGGATGGACGACGCCCTGCAGCAGTTCATGTCCGCTAATCTGACTTTCAGAGAACTGGAACGCTGCGCAGGCTGACTTCGGCGAGTCATTCCGCAACTACGATGAAGCGGGCTCACTGCAGCGCATACAGGTGCTGAAGTATCTTGTCCTGACAACGATGCTGATGGGCTCGGACATCAACCCGTTCGATTCGCAAGAGACGAAACCTTACAAGAATGACCCTCGCATTGCAGCCATGACCGAGCTCGTTGACGCCTACCAGCGCGACGACATCACGCAATACGAGAACGTCTTGAAGAAGAATCAAGATCTGCTCGCCGATCCTTTCATTGCCGAGAACATCGACGAAGTCACGCGCAAGATGCGCACCAAGGCTGTCGTTAAGCTCGTGGCACCGTACACTCGCTTCCGTCTCGACTTCATCGCCAAGCGCCTTAGCATTTCCATCGCTGAAGTGCAAGATATCGTGGGCTTCCTCATCATGGACCAGAAGCTCCGAGGCAAGATCAACCAGGATGCCGGAACCGTCGAGATTGAGAGCCGCGCGGACCAGGACCGGATGACCGCCGTAGCGGAGTGGACAGACGCGATCAGATCATTAGCCTCGTTCGTGCTGAATGAGGGCGAAGGCTTCAAGTCGGACGACGCTGGGCTTGGTGGGGCAGGAGGCAGGCCCGGCGGCATGGAGAGCTTCGCAAGCGCGCCCGATGCCCTGCTTTCAACACAGCGCACGGCGAAAACGGGTGGCAGAAAGCCGAACCGTGGCGCTGGCGGCAAATGACGTGCAGATGGATGTACGGTGATTAAGTCAAGTGAAGAAAGGTAAGCTTGATGCGCATTAAACTGGTTCACACACAGTGGGCCTAAGTGCAGATCGAACGCCACGGTTCTTGACGCGACGAAGATGTGGCGGCTATCAGAAGGTATTTGGAAGCACCACTGCCCTGAGCACCCTCACTTGCGGATGGACGAAATGGTTCTGATCGATGGTCCGACGACTCGGCAACTCTCAGCACTGAAGCAGATCGTTTACCGTCACACCGGATACGCAAGGTGCGCTCGCGGACAATCTCGGGCGTCGAGTCTGTGCTCGTTGCACAGAACTAGCACCAGAGCGCGAAAGAGCAAGCGGGTTCGATGAAAGCAGGCGTCCGTCGCAGATTGATCGATGAGGGACGCGCTGGCTCGCGCATTGCGAGCGAGTGAGAGACAGAGAGCGGGAGCAGTCAATATTCGTCATCTGCATAGCGTGGTTATTGCATAAGCGAGGGTACATTAGTCTACCGTTCCCTTCCATCCGCGTTCGTAGACGCTCCGGAGCGGCTCGGGAAGCCGACATCTACCCGCAGAGGAAGGAAGCGATCATACCGTTAACGCCTCGCCTACGAGCTTGTTCGAGGGGTTCTGTCACCGATCGCCAGAAACCATGGTGGGGAACTTGCAGACGCGCCCCGCCGGTGCCGCTGGTGCAGCGCGATTCGCCCGCCTCCCTCAACGATGGATCGGGTCGTACAGAAGCGAAAGGCTTGAGCCACGCTGCCGGGATCCTGCATCACCTGCGTCGTTCGGGCAGTCTGGGGAGGATTGCTTTGTTTGCGACAGATCACTTTTCGAGCGCGGATTTAGCAAGGGATTGTGGTGTTTTCGTCGGTGGCTTGTCTGCTTGATAGGCTGTTATTGGTCTGCTGCATGCATTCGCTGGCTGTCTGGTCGACACGTTCCAGTTGGCGTGCATACGAGCGATCCGAGATCTCATTTCAAGTCGAGCTTGGTGGTGGATGTGGGTGCCAGCGTACCTTGCTTTATAATTTGCATTGAGCGCGATCAGGCTTCGGTTTTCTGTTGTTCTGCAGCTTTGCTCCGCGAGAGTCTGACAATGCGCAGGCCCCGCCGTTTCGTAGAACGTGAGGCTCACCTTGATCGACTCGATTGCAGGCGGCTTATCGTTAGTTCGTGCCAGGAATACCACTCATTCCGCTGACAAGCTTGCACTACGACAATCCGACTGGCGGATGAGTCGGTGGGCATCTGATACATGGCTTAGGCGTTTGTCTCTGCCGTCAGTGCGGAGGATCTCATTACCTCTGATCTAGCTGCGCCAGTCAGGCGAAGGCAGGAGCTAGGTAGACTTTATGAACGATCTTGCCGGGCTCTCTGCATGATCTATTCGCAGCCGTGCCTTGACAACTCGTGCCGGAGAGGCTTGCCTTTGTGCTGCGCACGTCAGTTCTGGTACGTGAACAGAGGGGAAGAGAGAGATCTTGCTGCCGCGCAGGACATCGAGCCAGATGGCTAGTTGAGATTCTTAGATAGAGGACCCGCAATGGCTTAACATTTGGACCATTGCGTCTCGAAGGACAGGTTCTCAGATACTGATTCGGGGGCTTGCGGTTACAGTGGATCCGGGAGGGCTGCAGCATGGTTGATCGTATATCTGGCGCTACGTCCCATCACCCTGGTCGATTCTTGCATCTTGCCTTCTCTGCTACCGTGTCTGCTTGTACCGTGCCCCGGTTACCTTACAGCAAGGAAGCAGCAGCCTATTGTCTCGTCTCACTTCGCGTTGCGTGCTCGCTCATCCGTGGCCCCGAGCAAGGCAGGGCAGGGAGCAGCCGGGGTGCGTACAGTCCTGTGCGCCGGCTACTACTTGTGCTGCTTCAATTCCGCCCATTGTTACATACCTTTAGCTTGGACGGATGTCCGATCTACAACGAACCTCGACCTAATTGTCGCTACTGTCAGCCATTGTACAGGTAGCTGGATGGTTGCCACCAGGTTCATGCTGGACGTCAGGAACAGGTCTTGCCACATTCCAGAGACCTGACCACGGGCATCAGCTGCTATATCGAAACAGCTCGACTGCAGGCAACACGACCGTCCAGCTTTACCTCGGCGGCATTTCTTGCATGCTGGAACGAAGCCAGCAGAGCGAAGCAAACAAACCACGTCGCCCCGCTTAGTCGCAGTAGCTTGGGTCGCTAGCACGGCAATCATGATGAACCGCCGACCTGTCGCTACTGCTGCATCTTACTACCACCTCCCCTACGCTACGAACAGCTTTGCCCACGGACAATATCATGATCCGGCCTTCCTGTCCGTGGGCTACCGACCGCTGCATTTGCCGTTGCAGCAACAGCAACATTCCGCAGAGCATTTGTCCTTAGCCGGCTTTCAGGACCCTGGCTTCCAACTCCTGCAACAGCCGTCAGTACATCAACACTCACTGCCCGTACGCACGCGACTGCAGCATCGTCGAGCCGCCCAGGAGGCGATGGCACACCCACAGCAGTCAGAGGAGCAGTTGGCAGAGCTTCAGAAGTTGAGCAACGCGTGGGAGCCGGAAGTGATTGTAAGTGATGCGGCGGGTTGATGTGGCTTTTAGATCGCGGGAAGCTAACGATATAATCACCACACAGGGGCCGCTTGTTGGTCCACGCGAGCCGAGCACCAAGATCACAACTGAGTATGCGTCTGCTGACCCGGTATATCAAGTCAAGACTGCGGTAAGCTCTTTCTGCATCATAACTTGAGCCAGCCAGCACTGCTAATACGTTAACGCAGGCACTACCGCAGAAGTACTCTCATTACCGTACAGTCAGGGGCGATGGCAAATGCGGTTGGCGAGGTTACTACCCACCATGCCGGTCGCATGCAGAGTCAAATGCTAACAAGTTGCAGCGGTCGGCTTTGGCTACTTCGAAGCCCTCATCCGCTCGGATGACAGCACCAAGTTTCTCTTCGAAGAGGCTCGTCTCAGGTCGATGTCCAACGTATTCACTGCTGCTGGTATCGACTCCATGGTGTACGAGGACTTTGCGGATGAGGCTCTTGGATTGCTGAGGCGCATCTACGACGCCGCGCATACCGGTGATGCTACTGAGATCCTGTTCGAAGCGTTCAATGACGAGACGGTCCAGAACTACATCATCACCTACCTCAAGGCATGTCATTTGTTCCGGCTCTTGCGCCTGGTAGCCGCTAACAGCGAGACTAGCTTATAACCACGGCCTGGATGAAGACGAATGCCGGGGACTATGCGCCTTGGATCGAGAACGGCCAGACTGTGGATGAGTACTGCGATCACTCCATCATGCCGATCGGCGCGGAGATTGAATCCGCTGGTCTCGCGCCACTCAAGGATGTTCTACTGTCTCCCGCAGGCATCGCGCTAGAGGTGCATTATCTTGACCGATCTCCCACCGACGCTGGTGATATCCAAAACTACTATTTCGGCCCAGCCAGCCAGCCCACCGTTGGCACTGTGAGACTCCTCTACCGACCTGGCCACTACGATATACTCTACAAGAACGAGGACTTCCCACAGCAAGTGACAACCTACCTACAGTTCGCCAACCCAGACCACCAAGACTACGTGCAGAACATCGCTGGCTGCGACTTCATGACGGCCATACCTGGAGGTTCAATCATTAACCCCCATCAAGCCTGGCTATCTGGTTCATGCTACGGCAACAGCGTGTCCGACATCTCCGCGACTCCGGCACCCATTCAGCAGTGCGTCCAGCGGACTCCAGCGGCTGTCCACGCGCCCTCCGTCATCGTGCACCAACAGTTGCAGCCGCAAACGTTGTACATTCCGGCTCCTCCACAGCAGCTAATAACGCCGCCCACTGAGCTACCTCAGGAGCTGGTCATACGTACTTTACCGCAGGTCAGTCTCGCGCAAGCCGGCCTTCACGGGCAGGGAGCCGGACCGTTCAGAGCTTCGCCCTGGCAGTATGAGGATGGCCTCATGCAAGCCACTTCACGTATGCCATTGCAGACTACCATCTTCCGCAAGTAAGGATATTTTGAACCGAGCCTCTACGTGTGTGGTCGCTAATCATTAGTAGTTCCCACTTCAATACAGCGCATTTCAATAACCCGGACTTCCAGCCTGAGGAGTGGAAGCCGGATGACGACTACGTGACAACAACTTCGAAAGGCTTCCGACATAGAAACGGCTGATGAGGCTTGTACTGCTCTTTGCGAAGTCGCACGATCGTTCCCTGCGCGGTCTGCCTACCGTTGACACCGACGATTCGAGCATTAGCGGCCAATCAAGGCGGAACACCAAGTTGCAGCTTGCATGCATTATCATACCGCCAACACTCCTATCATAACCAAGCGACACCTGCATACGCTCCTTGGTCTTTTCGCTCAATGAGCGAAGCAGATGGTTAACGACGCCTTGACGACCATAGACTTATCAACCTCAGGGTACTTAGAGCGGCAGAGACCGCAATCAGTATCACCTAATTCTCGAGCATAGCATATTTCAATCATCAGCGACTATGATAACACCCATCAATAGCGACGTGTTAGCACCTGGAAAGCGTGCATCACAGGCGAAACAGGGGATTGGTATGTGGGAAGCCGCCAAATCGTTGGTGGCGCGGTAGATGCATTTAGCAATGGCGATGGGGATAGCCTCGATTTCTGCTGCGTATGGATGATATGCCCACACCCCTCTCGGTTGTCAATGAGACAGTCTTACATAGCTACAATTGTAAGCAAGCATAATTCAACCAGACGCCCTATTGTGTACGTCAGACCGCTAGTTTCGGCCTTTCTTCGGTGAATTGCAATTCTGAGACATACTCGATTAATGGGGCTTCCATCAAGAAATGCTCCGATGTGGTGTATCGGCTAGCATCACCCGCTTTCATTATGTATTTCTTGTCTACTGAAGGTTGCCGGGTAGAGCCGGGTTCGACTCCCGGCATCGGAAGCCAATTGCTCTTTTGGAGTCGGTTTTAGCATAGCAATGGCAATTGAAGATTGATTTTGCGAACATATTGGCTTGTGTCAAGCATTGCACGTTTGCATTTTAGTGCCCTGCATATGCGGGGAGGCGAAACTAGCGCCTAGTTCAACGCCCTCCCACCATCCACAGGTAGTTCTATACCTGTGATAAAGTCTGCCTCATCGCTCGCCAGAAAAGCAGCCGCATTCCCAATGTCCCTCGGTGTGGCATACCTTCCCAGCGGTATTCCCTTCATGACCACAGCCCTCCCTTCCGGCGTATCAGTCCCTCCCAGCACGTTGACGACCATGGATGTATCCGCTATAACTGGGCAAATAGCATTGCAACGCACTCCGTCTTTGGCGAACTCTGCTGCCAAACCTTTCGTAATTGCTGACACGGCGCCCTTCGAGCCTGCATACCAGACGAGGTTAGGGCGGGGTCTCGGAGCGCTGATTGAACTGACGTTGACGTATACGCCATGCTTTTGCTTAGCGAAGTAGGGCTGGATAGCCTTCGCGGACTGATAGAGCGGCGAGACATTGATCGACATGATACGGTCGTACTCTGACCGCGGAACTTCATTGGAAGGCTGTCTTTGTCAGCGGTAACTCCAGCGATCGACGTTGACTTTAGAAACGTACGCCAGCCCGATGCACCACACCCGCATTGTTCACCACGATATCAAGGCCACCCCACTTATCCTGACATTGCTTTAATGCTGCTTCCCAGTGCTCGAGGTTTGTAACATCGCCCTTGTAGAACATTGCTTTGTCCTTCGGCAAGCCGTCGGCCACCTTCTGGCCATGTTCTTGGGAGATCTCGAAGAGCAATACATTGGCACCTTCGTCGACAAACTTTTTCGTAATGCCTTCACCAAGGCCCATGCCAGCGCCGGTAACGATGGCCGTTTTGCCATGCAAACGGCCGGAATGAGACATTGTAGGCTGTGCACTCAAGAAAGAAATCGAAATTCTTGATCGGTAGTAGAAAAGCGTTCGAGTCTCGAGGGAGTTAAATAGCAGGGACTTACACTATTTGCCGTCATGTAACCTAGGTTGTGTGCATCGTCGCGAAGGTCGATCATTGAGCTGCTCTCCGCATACTGCAGCTTTCCAACCCCGCAACCCTATGTCTCCGGGCATTATATCCGTGAAGAGATATCCTTCACGCCTGTGATGCATCGCGCCAACTCCAGTCCAAGACATCGCAAGCCATGCACAGTCATCAGTAGTCAGTGAACAACCTCGTTGCCAATGCCGGCCTCGACCCTCTCCTCTCATACACCGATGGCTGACCCCGACTCTGCTCAATACTCTCCCTCCCTTCCTTAACAATCCACACCCCTCCGCTGGTCCCTAACCTGCTCGCTCCAGCCTCCAGCATCTTGACCGCATCCTCAATCGTCTTAATGCCACCAGACGCCTTGACCTGCATCTTCCTGCCGCTCTTGCTGCCCACGGCAAGCTTCTCGCAGCATGCTACCATGAGCCGCACATCTTCTTCCCGCGCGCCATGGCCATTGAAGCCTGTGGACGTCTTGACGAAGTCAAATTTAGCTGCTGCGGCCATGGTGCAGGCGGCTATGACTTCGGAGTGTTCGAGTTGGGAGGTTTCAATAATGAGTTTCAGTAGGATCGGGTGAGGGGCTTGCAGACGGAGCGTTGCGAGCTCGTTGTAGACTGACGCGAAAAGACCAGCCTTGAGTTCTTCATAATTTAGCACAATGTCCAGTTCCTCTGCGCCTGCTTGTAGTGCTTGCTTCGTCTCCCTGCCATTGCGAGTGTGGTTAGAGAGGTACATCTCGCAAGAGAGCAGTACATACTGCATCTTATAATATAGATCTTGAGCACCCTCGTGAAACCCTACCACACTAGCAACCTTGATGCCGCTACCTTTGAGATCTACGACACATTTGTGAACGTGCTGTGGCCGTACACAGACTGTCGCAAAGCCATCCCTCCTCGCTTCAGCACAGAGATCGTCGAATTGCACCGCTCTTGCATCCAGCTTCAGCAGTGTATGATCGATCGTCTTCGCAAACGCCGGGCTTCCAATGGCCGGGCACGGATAGGATGTGTTGGAGATTGAAAGAGAGTCTTCCACTTGTAGGATGAAGGACCTCCATTCTTCATCGGAATATCGAGTAGACGATCGGACGGCCCCAGACTCGGTGAGCGCAACCGCACTGCTGGCCAGAGATCCTTTGCGAGCAGTTGTTGCTACTGAGGCTTTCCGGTCTGTAGCTGTTGCCATTGATCCTTTACGGTCCGTCGTTATCACTGAGTCTTTCCAGTCCGCGGTTTGTGCTAATGACTCTTTACGGTTAGTCGTCGCCAATAATCCGTTACGGTCAGTTGTCGCTAATGAACCTTTGCGGTCAGTCGTCGATAATGAACCTTTGCGGTCATCTGTCGCCACCGACACTTTCCGGTCCGTTGTCGCCATTGAATCTTTACGAGCCGTCGTGGCTGTAGATCCCTTGCGATCAGTCGCCGGCAGCCAGTATTTGCGCTCGGGGATCGCCATCTTGGACATGTACACCTGCACCAGCTACGCGACGGATCACAGTAACAAGTGCCCTGCGGCAACCGCAAGAGCGGTGACAGGTGAGACGGTCCATGGTGAGAAGGCTTGCAGGCGGGAGGAACACTAGAGCCGCGAACGACTCAGTGCTGTTGATGCCGCGAGTGTCTCACCTACGGCGTTCGGGCCCCTCGGCCTTGGTAGGGGTAGACTAAGGGTCATACTTGGCCGGATAACGGTGTATCGTATGTCGATCACGGCGCGGAACACTATAATCTACCAGCCCTGAGGCGGCTGTTCGGCAGTGGCTTCATGAACAAGCGCGGAAATGATCAAGCCACGGCGCTTTTCGAGTGAATTCGGCGACATGGCTCAAATACATGCAGTACCGAAGAGCGTCCTAATGTAACGGCGTATGGGTTTGGAGTGGCGCGTAGAGCAAGAAGACGTAAATTGAAGCGTGGCATATCCACTCGGCAAGCTTGCTGAATGTAGTTACAAATGATGGTCACGTGACTTGGCCGAGACAAGTCAAACATTGACGAGAGTAGCACGTCCGGCAAGCATATGAGTGGCCAATTGCTGGCAAGTAGTTTGGTTGAATTGTTTAGCAATCCTGTCCTTCAAACCATACATAGGTGAGACTCCTCGCTGGTTGTCCGAGTCCTCACTCTTATGCAATGACGCAGAGCTCGCCGGCATATGCCACCTCGTCTCGATATCAACATCCCTCCGAACGCCGGCCGTGACTCGTCGCATGAACCCGCTGTGTCATATTATGTTGCAGTGCTGGTGCCACTCTCAGCCGCTGTGGCAGACTGACAAGCGTAATCATATCCATAGCCGCCCTTGCCACATCCGCGTTGGGTTCCATCTACTTCCTCCGGAACGAGCAACCCTCGGTGAGTCTTGCCTTACCACCAGTGGGTTGGCACAAAACTTGTGAGCAGCCTGCGCAGACGACGACAGTTTGGGCGTGCGAGAAGACGGTGGTGATGGTGAAGCAGCCTGGGCACTTGACGTCCATGAAGAATGATCGCGGGCCTGGAACGAGGGTCTGATGCACATGTTAGGCTGCGTTCGTATCATTCCGTAGGTGATGGAATCATACCTTGAGCTTGTGCTTGCGGGCCTCGGCCTGGGGGCTCGGGTTGAGCAGATCGACTGCAAGAACCTACGATGGTATTGTTAGCGATATTTGCTCGATAGATACCTTGACCTTCTCCCTGAGCCGCCTAATATCCGCGTCGAGGCGATGAATGCTGTGACATTGCAGAAGCCTCGCTCCTTGTCCCCCTCTTGCCACCGTGCCTACATCTAACCGCGACGTACCATTTTGGCTGAAGGAGAGTTTTATATGGCTGTATTGGTGCTCGCTGTATCCGCTTCGATCCTTGCCGTGCCCGTGATGATGCGGTAGATGCAGAATCGTGCAGTGATGCGATGCGAATGAAAGCGGAGTCGCTTGCTCGAAAATGGTTTGCGTGAGCGCACGGGCCATGCCAAGAGTTCGATCGACTTCACGGTGACTCCCATCGCAATTAAGACGAGCTCACTTCACGTTAGCACCTCTTGCTGTTTAGGGTGAGTCACAACGGGTACCCTAGCAGCACTGAAACGTACTGTTGTCATGAGCTCGGTTGCAACAAGGATAAAGACAGCGCTATCTGCATTTTCAACACCATATATGTACTCAGCTAGAATAACATCAACATACGCCGTACGTTTTGCGTCACGCTCCAGTTATGACATGCTCTGCACGCTCGAACGCCACGACAAAAGAAGGCACATAAGTATACTGTCCTCGCCCCGGTAGCCGAGCGATTGGGTGATTTGCCCAGGAGCTATGGCACAAGTACTTCAGCTCCTGCCCACAGTGGTGCCATTACTCAGCTTGATATTGAATCCGCTTAAGCTGCAGAGAAAGCCGTTACCAAGCGTAATGTTGTTCGCTGCAGCAGTCTGTCCGGAACCACTTTCAGCATTCTTAAAGTACGTCTGCAGGTTTTCTTGCGCAACAACAGCATCGTTGAGCTGCCCAGAGGCCTGGAAGACGTACAGTACGGCAACACGAGCGAAGTCCTCCTGCGTCAACGTACTGGTGCTATTTGCGCTGGCGGTCGCCGAAGGTGTCAACGCCGAGGAGCTGCTGTTGGTAGGCGAAGGAGGAGCTCCAGTGTCGTACGTGATGCCGTTGCTTGTGGCGGCTTGCCTGTTGTTGAGCGTCGGGGTAGGACTGGAGTCTCGTTTGACACCCGCTGAGTTGTCGAACGTCACCAGCGCATTCTCCGACTGACAGCTCAGGTCTGCGCCAGAGAAGAGCCCGAGCAGCGTCTGCGCGTTCAAAGGCACGCTGAAGTTGCCCTCAGCGCCAGCGAGCAGCCTGGGTATCGCATTACCAATGGTAGCGTCAGTCATAGAACCCACAGTCATCGAAGTACATCCGGCTCCAGACTGCGTATTGCAAGTGGATCCTGTGTAGCCGTTGACGCACACGCATTGGCAGACACCCATGCTCGTGATGACATTCGCGCCGCCGTTCTGGCAAGTGAGCTGACTCTGACATGTCTTGATGGCCGTGTTGGTCGAGCTGTTGGCAGTCTGATTCTGCCTCGGAATCACTATGAGCACAACTGGTACGATGATGGCCGCCGCTATCAGTAGGATGAGCGCAATGAGAAGTAGCAAAAAGAGCCACAATGGCATGCCGCAACACCGCCTTCTCCGCTCACGGCTGTCCGCACCCGGATCGCTGTCGCTCGGCAGGTGGCTTCGCTTCAACTTGCTACTCCAGTTAGTTATGCTTCCACTCCTAGCATCATCACCATCGTTGCCTCGGCTGCGAGGCGGCGTGCTGAGTCCTGGCGGAGGGAAGTTGGCAAGTATGTCAGAGATACTGCCCGATCCGCGGTTATTCAACTTTGCGCCAAACTTCTCATTGTCGCTGGCGTCCGCTTCATCGCTGATCCAGCCTGCCCCAAGTCGACTGGCAGTCTTGCCACGGTCAAGGTTCGATGCAAGACGGGTTGCGCGCTTGATCAAATCAGAAAGACTTGTCAAGCTGCCACGAGCCTCAGCCTCACGTACTACATCAACGTTGAGCCGTGGTGGGCGACGTTTACCTGCACGCTCGGAGAAGCCAGCAGAAGGTTTGGGAAGTTGGTCGGATTCTCGTACCGCAGCGGCTGCTGAGGAAGGCAGTGCGCCGCCCCCCTCAAGCCCTGCCAAGATCGTTTCACGTGGGTCGACCTCATTCGCGAGAGGCGAGCGCTCACGGAAAGCCTGTTGCACATTCCCGCTTTCGCCCACGCGCTCTTTGGGCGGGTTCTTCTTGACCTCCCTCTCGGACTCCGATGAGCTGGGATAGAGAAGGCCGGCGCCCGAGCCAAGCGCCTCGCTACTGGTTGTTCGATGCGATAGGTTATCGCCGGACCTATTAGCAGAGAAGAAGCGGGGCGCAGCCAATGCCGCAACATCGCCTGCTGCAGGCACGTTCGGAGGTGCATTCGACATAACAGAGCCGGAAACATCACGCTCCCTGGCTTTCAAATATGGGACAGCTGGTTCAGGAGCGGGCCCAGCGTTGGAAGCCGCAAACGGCATTGTTGGAGCCGTGACGGACGTGGCACCCTTCTGCTGACTGGGTAGCGAAGCAAGTCCACCGTCGCCCAAGCTTCCCTTCCGCATCCGCTCAGCACTTCTTACAGTTGTCAAGGTGGGTTTGCTTTTTCTTCCAAGACTGGCCTGCCTTACCAACGGGGCTGGCTCTGGACTCGGTGGGGTGCTACTAATACCCGAACTTTCCGTCCCCTGACTAATTCTGCTGTCCTTCCCGCTAGTTGGTGAAGGGTCAATTGGCGACTCGTCCTCATACTCATGTTCTGAAGAAAAGGGCCGCTCGGCTCCAGGCTGGCTCGTTACGCTCTCCGTTTCCTGCAAATAGTAATCTGGGATGCCGATCGGGATAGCGTTGCTGCTAGCATTCGACTTCATGCTGTCGTGATTGCCGACCATGCTGTGGCCGCGAGTACTGCCGTACATGCTATCGGTCTCTTCGGCGATTGGGTGAACCGGGCCTACATGCGGGTAATAGGATGGATGTCCTCTACGCGAAGTTGGGGGCGGACCGAGCGGTGGGCGCTTGTTCGCTTGAATGTATGCACCCTGCTGATAGATGTGCTGCGGTTGTGGCGGAGGATAGCCAGCTGACGGTGAAGTGTAACCGTCTCCGGTCCACTGGGGCGGTTCGTGATACACTTGCTGTGAAGGAAGAGCAGGACCTGGTCGGTATTGCTGATTGCTAGGAGACACTCGTGACTGTCTTGGTGGATTGGGCGGCGGCGGCTGGTAGTCTGGTCTTTGAGGACGTGGTGGTGGACGTCGACCGCCTGCACTCCCGGTCGGGCTGCCGCTCCGCGGTGACTGCGCATACGGTCTTGGTGCTGCTGGTAAGGGCCAATCTACCTGGTCGACATACTCTGGCCCGCCATACGCACTGCCATCGTACAGGTTCTCCGTGGGTCGATAAGGCGCACTCTGTCGTTGCGCAGGTTGTACCGGCATCATCCCTCGAGGTCCTCGCTGTGACGGTGCATCGGCGTAGTGAGCCAGAGGAGTGCGCCGACCTTGCGAAGGCAGTGAGTCTCGCTGGTTGCGAGCTGGCTGAGAAGGGTAGCTTGGTATGCCATAATGGCCACCTTGGTCATAATGCTGGTAGTTCATCGGTTATTCGAGGCCGAGATTTCCGACGCTTGCACTACCGACTTTCTCCCTGATACGCGACGCCGAGGGCTGTCGCAATGTGCGACTTGCGGTTTGCCAAACCGGAACAGCGTTGTGCGTGCCTAGATTACGCGCATGTCGGGCTGTTACTCAGTCGTGCCAGCCGGGGCGCCGTTTCCAGGGGATTGTCTAGGTACCACGCTGCAGCTACCCGTTCGAAGTCCCGAGCCAAGATCCAACCGAGTGCTGCAATGCTTCACGCAATGTGCGCAGCGCTACTGTTTTGCCGTGCGTGCCGGGGTGTAGTTCGTCCGACGTTTGCTCTGCCGACGGACGGAACGGGAAAGTATATATGTGCAATTTCGTAGCCTCTGTCCTTCCTTCGACCATGCGCGAGGAATGCTGCCCTTCGGCCTGTTTATGGCGGTTGTTTGCGAAACAAGCGTGGAGTCGGTGGTCTGAACAACGATGCGTAACGTGGCTTGTGGTGAGCGGTGTAATTGTTGAGAGGGTAAGCCTATAAGTGGCAATGAATGGCTACCATTCCCCTACTCCCAGCTCTTTAATATTGGCTCCCTATATCAGTCTGGCTGGGAGGCGAAACTAGGTCCAACGGATCGCTGTCGACAGTCCCGCTTGGAGTATAAAGAAGGCAGGATGATTCATCGTCTTGTAACGTCGCTGCCCGTGCGAATCGAACACAATTTCGTCGCAAAACTATCGAAATGAAGCGTTTCCGACCTCCATGCCATGCCATGCTTCACAATCGCGTGAGGGTATTAGTCTCAGTTGCCCCAGCGCCAACCCTGTCGAAGTCGAACGGCCCGCTCGCTTACTTGAAATAGATGCAGATGCTAGCGAACGAGCGATCGTCACTCCAACGTTTTCGCAACGGCGGTGTGTCTTGAACTAACAGCAGTTGTACATCAACGCCCATGATCTCATCCATGGAGCAACGTCGTCGTCGTCCTCGCCACACTTTCAGAGCACGAGCGATCATAGAATGAGCACCCATGACACTCCCATCAAGATTCAGGGTGATTCGGTATCCACTTCCTCTCACGTCTCCCGCATGGTGCGACAAAAACAGCTAGCGGCTCTCCTGCTGCTTTCCGCAACCCGCCTTCGGTCACTTCAATAGTTGTGTCTGCCGAAAGGCACCGTCTCACATAAAGCTTCCGGAAGAATCCACAGGAGGTTGCCAAGCAACTTATGAGCGGTGATTGGAGGCTGATCTGGTACTGATGATTCCAGCATATACTCGTGCCCCACCGACTGCCGCCGGCCTCTCTTGTGCCTCTCAATCTCGCATTGTTGGTAGTCGTCAATGTTCAGATTCAAACACCCCCCGGACGCAGGTCATCGCCCTGTGCCACATTGGCATCATCCCATTATATCATGCACACCCGCCGGAACAACGGCAGACCGAGCAAGACTTACCCTATGACAAGCTGGTCTCCTTTCCATTTAGACAATGTCGTGTCTACGTGCCGAACAATTCAGGAAGATCAATCACTTGCAAGGTGACGTTGGGGTTGCGTGTCAACGTGCATTCCTGAGTGCAAGTTCGCAACTACGCGAAAGCTCGACCTTTACGGTCAAGGCTTCGTGCCCCTCGTTCTTGCGTTCAATATATACGTGCTTACTGGCAAGGTGAGGTAGGTACAGGTGTAAACCGTATTCCCTGCGAACGCTCTTATCGTGACTGGAACCAGTGCCTGTCAACCCAACAACTGCATTGCGTGATCATTCTATACAACATGCTTCGCTTCCTTCTGTTTCAACTGTCGTACTCTAACAACAAGCGTCCTATCGCCCTACATGACAGGAAGCATGTTACAGAACATCCGTAACATCGCGAAGGAAAATGCTGCGGTCCACTGTACAGACCCGCCGCCGGTCAGTACGCCGCGCCCTACTTCGAAGTTGCCGATCAGATCACCTGTGTCTGATGCAACCAATGCGCAAACACACCCTCAGCAAGCCAACAGTGGCCGGCGTCTGCAGAGCCACGGCCGCCTCGCTGCACTGACTCAGTCGCCACCGCGAGCTTCGCATATGCAGCGCATGAGCAACATCTTCAAGGGGACAGCACCATGTCAGTCTCGCAGTGAGAGCCATCCGGACTCAACGACAAGGTGAGCCGAGCTGTTCAGTTCACGGAGGATTGCAAAGGCTGACACTACATGCAGTGAGTCTGCTCAGCGCTTGCGCGCTGACTCCGCCGTTTCGGTCGCATACCAACCAACTCCAGTCATACTGACCCAGGAACCGTTCATTGCTCAGCATGACAATGCCAATGCCTCTGCTCAGACTTCATCTTCAGACGAATGGACAGGCGATGACATATACCTGCCAAGGTCCGCACGACGCCGCGATCGAGAGCGAAGGCTTGCGATCAAGCAGCATCAGACGCAGCAGGAGCAGCGACGAGAGCGAATCAGCGACGCTATGAGCGACCAGCACATTGCCAAATCTCACGGCGACGCCAAGCCGGTCATACCTGCCTGTCCTACAACGCCTCCATCGTCACGCTCTTCCCGATTCCAGCGCCTGGGAGGGCCTTGGTCTGCGCCGCCAAAGCGGAGATGCTTAGGTATCACTCAGGTGTCGCGAAACGCCTCTAGGAACACCTCAAGGTCATCTAGCGATGCGGATGATGAGGAGAGCTCAACAAGCGGCTGAGCGGCTTCGTCGCGCTTGGTGTGTTCGTTGCGGCAGCCTGTAACCCGTGTCGGCGGCCTACAAGGGGTGGGCTGTACACTCGCAAATCTCACAAGATCACTGCAAGTTACGACGGACTAGAACACCCCGATACCGCATGTTGCCGCTCTCTAAATGGTTAAAGGCATGAGACAGGCCCTCAGCTGTCATATCAAATTGCTCGATCCATGGTTTGATCTTGTGCCGCGCCGCAAACTCAAGCATTTTGATATGGTTCTCACGAGACGCTTCCGTGGAGGCGATGAGCCGATGTCCGGGAAGTACAAACGGCATATATGGTACCTGAAGCGCCTCTTGCTGGATAGTCATGAGAACTATCGTCGCTCTTCGAGCCAGAAGCGGCATGAATGGTTCAAGATTTTGTACTCCGTTGGATGTTATTAGCAGTACGTTGATATTCTGGGTTACAGCCATTGTGTGTTGCGAAGTCCCGTCGTCGCCGTTGAGGTATGCGGTATCAAGCGCGTCGTGGAGTCTGACCTCATCAGCGCCTAGCCGGAAGGCATCAGCAATCTTGTCCTTCTTTGAAGTAATTGCCGTGACGGCGCAGCCCATAGACTTGGCAAACAGGATAGCCATGTGTCCGAGCCCGCCGACGCCGAAAACACCGACGCGATCGTCTGGTTTCGTGCCAGCTACGTCCAGTGCTTCAAATGTACTGGCGCCGGCGCACATTAGCGGGGCTGCGTCTGTGGGGTCAATACCAGCTGGTATGGGGTAAGCGAATGCTGCGTCAATTATCCTGTTGTCGCTAAATGCGCCTTGGTCGAGGTCGGAGAAGGCGAAACCGCGTGCTTCGCCGCAGTACTGACGGTAGCCGGTCACGCAAGTTGAGCAATAGCCGCACGACTGGAGGTTCTGTCAGCATGTACATTGATGAAGTTGGACAGAGGGACTCACCGAGTGCAGCCAACCCCAACCGACCCTCTGGTTGACTGTGAACTGGGTCACTGATTGGCCGACCGCCCTCACAAAGCCTACACCTTCTGGCGTAATGTTAGCAAACGGTCACTGAGGCTTCACTACTATGTCCGCCATACCATGTCCAAGTCCGCACTCTTTGGCTTTGGCGTGAACATCGGTAGCACAGAGGCCAGAATGGGTGGTCATGATCAGCAAATCATTCGGCCCTAACGATTTCTGTATCGTCTTCGTCCTGAAGGTGCTGCTCTTTGTGTCGAAATAATACGTTGTCAACGCATGCATCACATCTTGTGCCGCCATCGTTGGGATGAATTTATTGCCCAGCTCAGTATGAGCACTTATGACTTTTGCTACACCGCAGTATGGTCAATTTTGACGATCATGACAGCGTCGCCCCGCCGGGATCAAACAACCGACATATAGTGTGAAGGTAACAACAAAGTCAACCCTGTCGCCAGCGATCGTTGTTTATGGTGGTAGACAGCGAGGGTCATTGACGTTGAGTATTGCGGCCATTGCACATCCACAGAACGTACATTATTCGTAACACGTTAAAGACCAAACAGTTGCTCACCCAGCATCGGCGCGGGACAATACGTATGGTGGAGTTCGGCGGTACCTTCGACAATTGTCCACGTACATCTGGATTGTATACATGTAGTTCGGAATCGGAAGTCAGGCGGCAACGACTATTGACATTGATCCTCGCAAATGATTGTCAAGCACGGATGCTCTTTCCGCCAGCGCCACCAAGCAATGTCAAGCTATGAGGCCAACTCAATCTTGCGTACCTCTCGCGCGAGCTCCATTCAGCTTGACGAGCGACATGTCCGTGGTCAGGATCATACACGGTTAAGTCCAGAAGATGCAGTCTACGGCTCGTTACCGCGCCGGCCGCACCACCGCGAAAGCAGTCCCTTAGGCAGAAGTGATACCGTGACATTAGGAAATGCATCTCACCCAGCACCCGCCTACTCTCGCAAGCGTCACGAGAAGCGTAGAGGCCGCAGTGGAAGCCGAAGACCGAAAGCAGTATGGAAGAAGCTGCTTTGGGTGAAGCAGAGCTACCCTGACAATTACACCGACGAGGAGACTTTCCTCGACCACTTACAGCGGAATCCAAGGTTGAGACCCTATGAGTTCTGGCCGTTAGTCGCGGACAGCACGATCATTGTACAACATGTCTGCTCTGTGATCATCTTTGTGTGTTGCTTTACCGGCATCTTTCAGGAACGTATTAGCCCGCAGACAATTGTTAGCTGGGCGACCATTGGCACTGTCGCTGGGTGGGTCATGTGGGACTTTTGGCAGAGCCAGGAGCAAAAGGAGCGAGCTACCCTTGCCAAGCTGGTGCAGGAAGATGGCACGGGAGGAGAGGATGCTGCACAACGGTCTTCCTCCAGCGCTTCAGACTCCGCACCTAGAGCCTCCTCAGTTGCCGCGGAATTTGGAATGCAATTAACAGAATCTTCGATATCACTGCGAGCGGACCAGGGTCAAGATACATTCCAATCGCAGAAGTCGGGGCTGACTGCCTCTGCGTCGAAGACTAGCCTACCGCCAGTGTCTGCCATTCCGGGCGTCGACCAAAGCGTCCTTCCACCAACTGTTGCATCACCACCACCGGCTTACGTTCCGCCGTACCAAGGCAAGCCTTCGGTATTCTCTCTGCGAGTGCAAGAGCGGTTGCTTACAGCGAAGTCCGCTGTACTAATCTATTGCAGCCTTCTCGGACTGTCACCCATCTTAAAGTCGCTTACCAAGTCCACGTCTAGTGACAGTATATGGGCATTGAGCAGCTGGCTGATGATCCTCAACGTCTTTACCTTTGATTACAGTGCCGGTCCGGAAGCCACATTTCCTGCGTCGCTCTCCACTAATGCCGCGCTCATGGCGAGTACAGTGCTCGCTTCTCGTCTACCATCTACGACTCACGTATTCAGCCTCACGCTCTTCTCCATCGAAGTATTTGGGCTCTTTCCGGTTTTCCGGAGGCATCTGCGGCATCATAGCTGGAATGGGCACCTCGGTCTGACCTTCTTCCTGGTCGCCGTGGCGGGTGCCGGACTATCAATGATCATCAGTAGAGGAGGTTGGGGCTTCGGCATACTTGGCATGGTGCTTGGCGGTCTTGCTACGTGCCTTAGTATGGGGATGACGAGCTGGTGGCTGATCGGGCTTCAGCGGTACAAGAACGAAATACGTGGACCTTGGGATCCTGCACGGCCAGTGATCAGGCGTGGGTGGGACTAATGTACGTGATGATCTTCATTTGAGCTGTGAAGATCGAACCTATAGCTCATTAATAAGCCATACTAAACCTGTCGTGTACTCAGACCGTATACCATTGGATTATGAAATGACTAGGCTGTGGAAACATTTTCACGGGGGGCTTTCTTTGATACATCAGAGCCGCCGTATGTGGCCTTAGTCTTCCGTATGACCGTGCTCCTGCTGCATCCCTTCGACACTTCAGGTTGCCCTAGCTACAAGACCGACCCACGCTTAGCGTCCTAGCCTGAACGAGATCTGCAGACATTGTGACATTGTGAACCGTTGCGTCGATGAAATTGCATCTACCTAACCTGGCGAACATCTTTGCACAAACGGAATGGTGTTAAACATGATCGCAGTACTACATATCACAACAACGCTCTACTGGGCACGAGCTCAACGCGACGAGATGTAACGGATGACTGAACGTTGTGTGCACGTATGAAGGGCGGATGGCGCAAACTATTGGTCTTGATAATATGTAATATTTATGCGAGGATCAGTTTTGATTTACTCGCTATACTATTCTACACATGCCGTTGTGCTTCCACACCATTCATCGTAATGATGCTCATGATCATGCGACAGCTTTACTTGCTGACGCTACCGTCGGAGAACTTGGCCCCACTGGTGTCGTGGATGGCATTGGGAACGATCTTCTCAACCTTCTCGGGAAGACCCTCCTGAAGCGCCTGGGGCACGATGGACTGGCCGGTAGCGTGGGAAACCTTGCCTGTCTCCTTGTTGCTGCCTGTGTCGTGGACGGAGTCGGGGAGCTGATGCTCGAGACCGGAGGGAACCTATTCTGGTCAGTAGTAATTCTGAATGCATTGTCATAGTGGTTCAATACCTTCTCCTGGACCTTCTGGGGGACCTGGGAGTCCTTGGCGTGAGAGACGCCCTGACCGTGCTCGTTCTGCATGTTGACTGTTGAGATGGGGTTTGGGTGTTTGTGGTGGTATATCTGGTAATGGGGCTGTAATGTATGTGAGGTAGAGAAGAGCGGGAGAAGGAAAGGCTCTTATATGGTAGCTCGGCACGTCTCTCAGGGCAACGTTTCCCTACGTATGCATCTTTGCGCCTGCCATGCCACTCTTGGTTACATCATGACTACCTAGGTACGGCAACATCTGACCGTCCCGCAGCACGTCACTTGAGTGGCTCAGAGCGGCTGTACGTGTAAGCGGACAGAGACATCGCGTGTTCATTTGCTCCGTTCCCCGTTCGCAGGATCTCTACGTCAGTATTGCCCGCACATTTCGCGTTCGGAGGCGGAGCGTGAAGACGTAGTAGGTGCAGTTAGCCCAGCCTGAACGGGCAGTTTACGCGAAACTGTTAAGATTGACTGTCAATACTCCTTGCCATCTGCATTCCCAGCTATGTAGAACAGGTTTACGCCGCTGGTATACAGCTTACCAGCATACCAGCTGAAAGGCTTTCGAAATACGTACAGCATTTCCGACAGTCCCAAGCTCATGGTGAGCGAAAAAGCTCTCAGACAGATATGCTAGTATTACACCACTGTGTCAAAATGGGGAGAATGACGGGACGCAAAAGTCAAGAGTCCTCGTCCGGGCCGTTCTGTCTCCGAGCCGAGACCCTACGCCAAGGCCAAACCACAACCACAACCTGTCCTCCACATCACGCGATCGGTCAGGCACGTCTTAGATTGAATCTAAAGCATAGCGCGTACTGGCAACACGGCAGAACCGGCAAAGCTCACACTGTTACACAGCCGCGACCATGGACCAAGCGAAGGAGCTCCTGGAGATGCCTCGCCAGTTCCTCAAGGATGGCAGACAATTTATCACACGATGTAGCAAACGTATGGCTATAGAGATCAAAAATGGGTCACCTATGGCTTGTAGACTGACATATGATACCTTCAGCGGACCGTCGAGAGTTCTTAAGAATAAGTCAGGCTGTTGGAATGGGCTTCTTAATCATGGGTGTCATCGGATATGTGGTGAAGTTGAGTACGTGGCATACTGCAAATGGAAGGCACGAGAGATGGCGCAAGGCTGATCCAAGCGCTGCAGTTCATATCCCGGTTAACAACATCCTAGTGGGCGGCGCATGAGGCATAATGTCCGCGGCAAGCATGACCACACAATGGCTGGATGGGCCCCTGCCCGACACTAGAAAGTCTGGATTAAAGCATAGCGAGGGCGTTCTCAACACGGAGTTGGAGGCCATCTCTAGGCTGATACACTTCGATTTGATGTTGCAAAATGCACCATTGTTGGGGGTCAAGTTCTGCGCGTGAAGCCAAGCGCGAGGACTCCTCCGCCATGCTATACAAATTCCCACCCGACTCTCCAGAATTGCTCGCTGTACCGCCCTCTCCAAGCCGTCATAAAACGCCATATATCCAGTGTGTGCCTCAGCAATCATTCTTGTTGAGGTTGCGCAGCCCTCAGCGCTCAGCCTGTGTCACTTACTGCGGAGATCGTGAACAGGTCACCCGCCATGTACGCGTGAACGGTCTGATACCGTCCATCACTAGACAATTATTCATCATCGTCCGCCCCAAACAGGCTACCCAAACCCATCCGATCCGTCAGTCGTGTGCGCCGTGCCTCTGTTCTCCGCTCGGTGGGAGCGTTACCATAGAATCGCTGGTCATGTTGCAGCTGCGCGGTCACCCTCGCACCCATCGGAGTGCTGCCCAAACTCTTGGCGCTCGCCATCTCCTCTCCAGTTGCACCCGTGAATCCATCACGGTCGCCACCAACCTCATCGCTGTCAAGACCGCCGTTCCATGAGTGGACCGTGCAAGTTCCGAGGCCGTGATCCCATCCGTTCCAGCTCGTAGCTGCAATGACCGGCGCGGACGGATGCCAGCTGCAGTCTCTAACGATTGTCTTCCACACGCCACCACGACCGTAGTATTCGTACCGTTCTACGTACCGTTCGTCACTCTCTGGCCTGCTGTTTTTCGTTGCGGCGAGAACATTGATGGGCTCAGACGCTTGGGTGCCGTCCAGGTTCCAAATGTACACTTTGCCGTCATGCGAGCCAGAGTAGATGTAGCGGCCGTCTGTGCTTCCCGGCGGACTGAAGTGACATCGAATGAGCGTCTTGAGCACCCTATGGCCGGTAAAGGTGACTAAACTGCAATCGTGTGGATGTGGATCATGCGAGTCGGTGTCGTACGGGCTAAATCGATAGTCGAAGTTGGTTGTGTAATTCTGTCGCGAAGTTAGCAGGCATAAAACAACAAATTCGTCATTGTGACCGAGATAAGCGAAAGACTTGCCTGCGGGTTGATCCTCTCGGCGACATCGGTGTTAATCATCTTCCGTAGATCCCAGAGCTTGCACGTTTGGTCCTTGCCGTTACTTATGACATACCTACCGTCACCCTTCGAGTCAATGTACGTCAACCCCTCGGTGTGTCCTAAGAACATGCCCGCAGGTCGCATGGAAGCAAGAGACCGTCGGTCCCAGACCTTGAGAGTTGTGTCATCCGAGCCAGAGTACAGAATATGCGGGCTCAGCTTGTCGCCGAAGCAGACAGCATTGACGTCATCGGCATGACCGGGTATGCGAAGGATAGATCTCTGCGCCTCTAGGTCATACACATAGACACTGTGGTCTGAAGTACCTGCAACAATTTCACTAGCATCTCCGGAGAAGCGCAGAGACCAGATGCCGAAGTTTCGTCCTGACCTACTCCAGCCATCACCGACGCCGAGTCCGCGGCTGCCATTGCCCATGTCAGCAAGTTCGAGGTGCCGCGGTTCGGAGTCGTCGCCTTGCTCGGTGTTAGCAAGGCAGATCATGCTTCGTATCGAGCTGAATGCCAGTAGTTTGTTGTCCGGAGATAGCGATGCGTCGGTAATCGTCCATTGACCACTGTGGTAAGTGGAGGTTTTGTAATACTTCCAATCATACGGATTGGTAGTGTCGTACATTCGGACACGGAAGTCTTGACCGCAAGCGAAAAAGAACGAGCCGTCCTCGCTAAACTGGCCGGAATAGCAGCGAGCGTTGAGGTTAACAATCAGATCGGCTTTTGATGATGGGATAAGGTTTTGTACAGCCAGTCCGTTGAGCACACGTGCGCGACCACGGTTCTCGACACCAAGCTCACGGTCCAGCATTCGGCGAGAAAGCTTGCGCCGTTTGCGCATCGTCTCGTTGTCAAGTGGTAGTCCGCAAGCTGAATGATCACATCTATCGTTGTTGCCAAAAGTGCCGCTTTCCATCAACCGCTTGCCTTCTTCGGACGGTACCGTTGGGTATCGACTGCCCATTATCGGCGCTCTCGCTCGTCGTCTTCGCTGTGCGCCATAAGGAACGTAGTCCTCGTCATCCTGATCGTCCTCTGCGAGTTCAGCATGCTCTGCTTGAGACCGCCTAGCTTGAGAGCGAGTAGTAGGCCCGCCATACTGATGGAAGATACCGCGTATGCCAGTATGGGATAGGAGTTGCATGATCTGTTGCTGGGTTACTGTACCGCAGCGAAGAAGACACCAATCAGCCTAACGGTTCAATGGAACGGCACAAGCTTACGTGTGATATTGTCGCCGAGCTCAGGCGTCTCAGACGACTTGGTCTTCTTTGCCGAGCGCCGCCGTCGCTGGTGCTGAGAGACATACTTCTGATCGTTTGCGTTGACCGCTGTTGCTCCGGACTTTGTGAGCTCGTAGCAGGCTGCGGTGTTCTACTGCCATCGTCCTCCTCTTCCTCCTCCCCCTCCCCATCCTCCTCTTCACCCTCTTGATCTTCGGATGCCTCATCGCCCATCTCGATCGTCACTTCGTCGCCATCGGAATCCCGTAGCGTTCCATCCTCGGCATCAAAGTACAGTGTCGTCTCGCCTGCTTCATCGTCCGCCACGTCGTCAGACACTCCGGACTGTGTGGACTCAGCGGCCTAACACTGATCAGTCTTACGACATGTCATTCATGGTCACTCATGCCACTGTGCTTACCTCGAAATCCATGTCGTCATCAGCGCTGGCTTCCGAGTCGGTTTGCCATGATGGGGAAGGAGGTACACCTTCCTGTGAAGAAGCCATCGTGATCACTCAGCGGTCGATGTCCGGCGTATAGCGCCAGACTTGCGAGGACACAGTCACTGTGATAGATGGTGGGACTGCTTGAGGGAGGCTGCGGTTGGATCTGGGAAGCTCGAAGCTTATCTTAAGAGTACCGAGGAGTCGGAGATAGCAAGTATATTGCCGAAATATGTGAACGAGATGTTCCAGTAACCGGTTCAAACTATCTTAATCCGGAACAACAACTCCATTCAACGGCGTAGATGCTGCACAAGACAACGTGGTCGCTGTACAAAGTCACTGCCCTCCCAACGCCGAAGTCAGTCTTCGCTGAATCAACGCTTCACCGGCTCAACGTTAGCTCGCGCTGTAGTTACACATCGGGGACGATGGCGATCACCAATGGCAAAGTGGCACCGGTTCGTAAGCTCAAGATACTGATGATCCACGGCTACACACAGTCTGGCCATTCATTTGAGATCAAGACCAAAGCCCTCAAAAAGTCTTTGGAGAAACACTTCCCTACTGCCCCTAAACCTGGACATCTACGACAGTATCCTGGTGGCCTGGAGTTAGTGTATCCCACAGCGCCACTCAGGCTCGATGTGACCGACATACCTGGCTTTGATGTGGATGGGGACAAAGAAAGTCCTGAAGCTTACGGCTGGTGGCGTCGGAAAGGCGACGGCGAACCGTACACCTATGAAGGCATGGAGCAGGGCCTCGCGAGGCTAGCACAAGTGCTGAAGGACGAAGGGCCCTTCGACGGTGCTATAGGCTTCTCCCAAGGTGGTGCAGCAGCCGGTATGCTTGCTTCACTGCTCGAGACTGGACGACGGGAAGCCTTCGAAGCCGCACAGAGTAAAGGCGGTATGAGGTATCCTGACCCGTTTGTGCAAGATACAGGGTTCATTGAGGAAGTTATTCATGCGCCACTAAGATTTGCAGTGTCGTACTCCGGTTTTGGAGCGAGCACCAATGCGCTGTATCAAGCGTTCTATGAGCCGAAAATACGAACGCCGATGTGTCATTTCCTTGGGTCCGTGGATACGGTGGTAGAGGAAGCGAGGAGTCTGCGATTAGTCGACGCTTGTATACACGGGAGGGGAAAAGAGGGCGGTGTCCCAAGAGTAATCTATCATCCTGGCGGTCATTTCTTACCAAGCAGTCAAAAGCAGTATGTCGCGGCTCTTGTAGCCTTCATACGAGAAGTACTTGGAGAAACCGACCAAGCCGCCAGCAACGGGAAGCAAGAACAGAAAGTCGAGGACATGGACGTGCCATTCTAGATGCCGTTCGCTGTCTCTGATGTTTGAGCGTGGCGTCGGCGGTCATTGTCTTTAGGAATGATACACGCAGAGCGTACTGATAGACTAGCAATCGGGCGCCATGCGGCACACGCTGCCCGTTGATCACTTTACATGCATCGTGGCGATTACTCATCAACTGCCAGACAACGTCTGTAGCAGTCGAAGGGATTGGAAATCACTCATCAGGCAGTAGACCATGAAAGGTGTTAATATATAAGGCGACCTGCAGTTGTAGCGATGCGGAGTCTGCGCAACGCACACTCGCTTGCAATGGCGGCCTCCACATACCAGACGTTCGCACTCTCCCCAGTTCGCGACAGCAAGCACGCTGTGCGGTTGACTGTTTTCAACCCACCGATCAATTTGCTAAACGGCGCATTGCTCACCGACCTGCACGCCTACCTAGAGGTTCTACGGACACAGCCGGAGGAGGCGCCCAAAGTGGTCGTCATCTCGAGCAACGACCCTGATTTTTGGATCGGCCACCTCGATCTTCATATCGTCAGCGTACAATACCCACTGGCGAGGCCTGAAGAAGCAGGCCATTTTCTGCATCTTCTTGGCGGCATCCTCAACCTTTTTCTGACCTTACCTACCGTCTTCATTGCGGAAGTGAACGGCGCAGCCGTAGGCGGTGGCAATGAATTCGCCGTCAACATGGATATGCGCTTCGCTGGGCCAAGGGCTCGTTTCGGGGTGCCGGAGGTGGGTGGTGGCATTGTGCACGGGGGCGGGATCCAACAGCTCGTGAAGCTTATTGGTCCTGGGAGAGCTATGCAGATGATGTTGTCGTCGCAAGGTGTCTTGGGCGAGGAAGCGAAGAGGCTGGGGTTGGTTAACGGCTTCACGGAGGACGAGAAGCATCTTCGAGAGTTCGTGGATGACTTGGCAGTTCGCATCGCATCGTTTCCGAGAGGCGGCTTACAAGGGACGAAGGCGAGCATCAGAGCATGTTTGGATGGATCCGGGAGCATGGGCGCGGACATGAAGAAGTTAGGCGAGTTGGCACATACGCAGGAAGCGCAGAGGGCCATCTCTGCGTTCATCGAGAAGGGCGAGGATCAGACGAAAAGTACATGGGAGCTCAGACTGCCGGATAGCGTTGTTGAAATCTGGGAGTCATGACAGATCGGCAATGTCAACGAAGTAGATGGCCGTCGCTGAGACTATCTCGCCTCGGCGGGCTGGGCCCAGAAACGCTCATATTCGTCTTGAAGAATCTCTCGTCTTCCGGGGCGAGCTTTGAGGTCGAATTCGAAATGCTTCGGTTGCACCTGTGCAGGTCAGCATCACTCGAGTCTCTGTTTCAAGCCCCACCTACATTGAAGCCACCCGTGTAGTCGTACCACGGCGGCACGATAGGCTCTCCTTTTCCATCCAGCTTTTGCATGATATCACAAGCCCATGCGATTCTGGAGATAAGAACGTACAGCGACCGCTCGGCAATGTGGTTACCCGGACAAATCCTCCTGCCGAAGCCGAAAGCACTGAAGTTGAGGAGGTTGGGGTAGGTAGAAAGAGGTTCCTTGAACGTTGGCCAGTCTGGTTCAAGCCAGCGCTCTGGACGGAAATTATCAGGATCCGGGTATCGCTTCGGCTCTCTATGTATCGACCATTGTACAGGATGGACATTAGTGCCTGCTTCTAGGAATATGGAGCGACCATCAGGCATCTCGTAGACATCGTCCTTCGTAAGCATATGTGGTAACCCTCCAGCCGTAACGGGTCGCCACCTCAGAGTCTCCTTTGCGACAGCTCGCACACGAGGAAGCTTGGGCATGTCGCTCAGGTGCGGAAGACGGTCGGGCGTTACCTCGTCAACTTCTTGCTGCAGCTTCCTGAACTCTTCAGGGTGGAGAGTCATGGCTAGAATGAAGGACATCGTAGCTACACTTGTTGTTCCCGAACCTGTACATGCATTCCAATTTCAGCTAAGCTTTTACTGAGGGCTCGCCGCAGGTCACTTACCAGCCTCGAACAGGGTACCGATGGCATACGCTGCATGGTCATCGCTGAGCTTGTAGTTCTGCTTGCCGCGTTCCCACTGACCGCAGAAGTTCGGCTGAGTCTGCGTATTGCTGGCGGCTGTTCCTTCTTGCAGCAACGTTCGGAATAGGTCAATCTCCTCCTTGTGTAGTGCCATGCCTTCTCGCTTGAAAGGAGCGAGCCATGATGGGAGGTACATCAGCGCTGGAATTGAGTCCACCAGATACGCTCCAGGACTCGCAACACGCTCAACGTTATTCACGACGTTGATGATGCGTTTTACCACTTCTTCGTCGCCTGTACGGACAGTCTTAGAATACGCCAACCGTAGGATGAGACTTGCCGAATATCGCTCGAGCCATTTTTCATAATCCTCCGGTTGGCGAATCAGATCCACAATGGCTCGTAGGCTTTCCTCCTCCTGGAGCGAGCTGTACGCTGCAGAAACATTGACATTGGTCATGTTGTTGATCAGCTTTCGTACGCTACGCCAAGTTTCTCCGTAAGGTAGAAGAAGCGGCCGCAAATCACCGCTAAGCAGCTTGGCTGCCATTGGCAGCTGCTCCCGGGAGCTATAGATGTTGCCACGCTCGCGTAGAAGCTCATTGGCAATATCCTCACTTGCCACTATGATGTTCTTGCGGCCTACTATGTCGAGGCGGTATAGCAAGCCATATGTCTGAACCCATTCTTGGAATTTCAGCCAGCTCAGTGAGGGAGGAATGTCCAGCAGGTTGCCAAGCAACGGTATCCCAGGGGGGCCATTGGGCAATTGTGTCCCTGGTGGACGCCGCTTGCTTGTCGAGAACACCACAAAGCAGATGGCTGCAATGCTGCAGAGCGCGATCAAGGTTGCTCCCACCATGACTGAAGTCAGGAGGTTGTTTGCCACGGATTCGAGACCTTGTGTTATTCAAAGCCAAAGGTCAAGTGACATGAGTGTATTCTTCCGTGCATATGAAGCCTGCCATTCCGATGAATAGTCTCAGCCACGGCCCCACGTTATGGTCCTGATGCTGTTTCTACCCCGCAAGAGCCTCCACGGCATTCCTACACGGCCGTTCACTCCTCATCGGAGCAAAGGGGAAATACGCTGGAGTTGACCCGCTTAGAACGTGGAGCTCAAGGGCCAAAGCGCTCCGAGGAGTGGTTGGCTGTGCTGGGGAATCGCAAAAGCTCTATTCGCGTTCTCGGCTCCTAAATGTCATATCTCAGTGGAGGCTGGATCATTCCTGGATCTGTCTGCACAAGGTTCGACTGCCTGCGGCAGTCTACTTCGCTACGCTTGACTTTCGGCATGCCGCTTCAGATCCTCATTGAACTTCTTGAAGCCGGTCGCTGCCTTCGCGCCCATTCCTGACCAACCGATCAAGAACGCTAGAGGCCCACTGAAATCCTCACCGTGTGTGAAGGTGGTTGCATTTGGCGTAGTCTGACTTGGCTCCCAGCGGAAGTAGTGATCGCCGTAAAGCAGACCCCATACGCTTCCTCGCCACATGAATTGACGCTCCGAGTTCTCCTACACAATCTCAGCAGAGTGGTAAGTACAGTTGAGGGGTGGCACGTACAAGCACGATCGGGTTGATAGTCATGCCTTCAAGCACCACTTTCAGTCGGTCACCCCTTTCGATCTGTTCTTTCGGAACGATCGGTTCGATGGACCTGATGAAACCTTGGGTCCACTCTGGTAGCTTGGAGAAGTTCATGAACTAGTATGATGTTTAGTTTGTTGGGCGGTAAGTCACTACGGCCTAAATCGACATACTGCCTCCCTTACGCGTGCTGGCGAGCTTGCGATCTCTACCTTGGACGCAAGTGAAGCCATGTTGCGGTGCAAGGGGCCAGCTGTGGGTTGTTTATGTTTCTCAACGGCACAGTCTCGAGCTCTGTAGTCGGTGTGTTTGACTCTACGTGGACTTCACGATCCAGGGAGACGACGTCGAAGCGAGTGAAGCACAGTTACACAACCATCAAGTTGCTTCGTACTACCTTGGAGAAAAGGCTTCGCTGCGGCCTGATTGGACGCTATATCAACTGTACGCTACTCGAGAGTACGATATGTGATGTGTGAGCATGATAAGAGAAACATGACAACACAGGGGCAAGCTCTATCGAAGCTGGGTAATAAGCGGATGTGATCGCGCTTGGCCTAATGGGGATGGAAGACCCGGAGCCTCCCGAGGCTCACCTTGATGAAGCTACCTTGATGTTGCCACGCAGTGACAGATATGAAAACTAGGCGTCTATCGTTCATACGTCTACAGTCTGGCATCTCTGTCTCTCCTCTGGGAGCAAGAAAGGTTATCCTGGCCGAATGAGCTGTGTTCGGACAACACGGGAGGGGCATAGCGCTATGAGATTTTGCTACCAATCCTCAATACGTTGCACTTGTGAGGAAGACGCTCGCACGACATTCATAAAAACCAACCTCAGTATCGATCGTGCCCGATGTGTCTAAGTAACATTGGATGAGTACGTTGGGTTGGACGATTTGAAGTTTTGCAATACCATATCTACACCGCTCTCGACCCCGACCACCACTACGACCAGCGATCGCTTAATTCGAGGTGTCGACGACGTAACGTCCTGCAATCTGGCCCTTGTGCATCAAGTCATACACCTCTTGCAGCTTGCTGAGGCCAACAACCTTGTAGGGTGCCTTAATAACGCCGCGGCGGTAGAACTCTATGGCCTCTGCACTGTCCTTACGGTTGCCCACGTATGAGCCTTTAATGGTAACCATCTTTATGACGGATTCGAAGACCGGAGCCTTCAGGTAGGCACCTGCGGGCAGACCGATGCAGACAACGGTGCCTCGTGGGCGGACATACTTTAGACGGGTCAGCCTTAACTCTTTGTTTCACAGCCGGTTGGACTTACCTCTGCCGCTTGCTGGAATGGCTTCTCGTTCACGGCAACGAGGATGACTGCGTGCGGGCCAAGACCGTCGGGGGTGGCTTCCTGGACCTCCTTCACGACGTTCTTGCTGGTAGCGAAATCGACGAAGGCGTAACTGCCGAGCTGCTCCATGCACATCTTCTTCTTGTCATCGCCGGAGTCAATGGCGATGGTCCTCAGACCCATAGCGCGAGCATATTGCTGGGCAAGGGAACCAAGGCCACCACCGGCACCGACAATGGCTACCGTCTGCCCTGGCTTAGCTCCGGACTCTTTGAGGCCCTTGTAGACCGTAATACCAGCGCAGAGAACGGGAGCAATGCCGGCGAGGTCGCACTCTTTGGGGATGCGGGCAGCATGTGCCGCCTTTGCAATGCAGTACTGCTGGAAGGAGCCGTCAACGGTGTAGCCGGAGAGGAGAGCCTTGGAGCAAAGCGGCTCATCTAGTGACCAGCACGTTAGCTGCGCTTTCGTCGAAGCCTCGGACAAGTGCGCCTACCGGATTGCTGGCAGAAATCGCAGGACAGGCAAGAGCCGTTGATCCACTTCACACCGGCATAGTCGCCAATCTGCCAGTCGTTGACAAGCTCGCCCATCGCAACAACTTCTCCGGCACCCTCGTGGCCTCCCACCAAGGGAAGCTTGGTTGGAAGCGGCCAGTCACCATTAACAGCGTGCAAATCCGTGTGGCAGACCTGCAAGGCGATGGGTAACACAGTCAGCGATCGCTCTACGGCGTACAGTGAGGTGGAACATACGCCGCTGTACTTGATGTTCACAAGGATCTCATCTGGACCTGGCTTCTGCACAGGGATCTCCTTGTACTCAACGGGTCCTCCGGTCTTCTCAATGACCTGTGCCCACTGCTTCTCCGGAACCTGAGGCGCCATTTTGACACGGTGATATAGTCGAGAGCAGGTGTACAGACTTAGGAGTGATTGTTGTTGGTACTGGATGGTTGTATCTCTGGGCAATCACCCTGATGGACAGCTACGGACTGCTCTACTTATATCGCCAACATCCTTCCAGATCTTTTGCGACCCCGCTCACGACTGTCTTGTGGTTGCAACCCCGTGCGAACGGACCGGCACAATGGTCCTCGAGTCCGAACAGGGGCGCATCCGTACCCAATGCGCTTGTGACTAGCCTGCCAGACACTCTGTCCGCGTCCTACCTATGCACCCTATTTGGCGCCGTTACGGGGGAGGCAAGCAATTGGGCCATGCTCGAAAGAGACATGGTGCAGTAGCTTGCAACTCTCCGCTCGCGCGTCTCGAGACGTGTCGTGTGAGGTGGGCGAAATCTGGGCTGAGACGGACGCTTCGGCTTAGTGGAGCTGACTACGACCGGTCCGTGTTCTGCACGAAGCTCTGGTATTATGGCTCCAACATGATATTCGGATCCACATTTGCTTGGGACCAAGGAAGCCCACTGCAACAGCTTGGGCGGCAATTTGCAGCGGGGAAGTCTTTGCGGCGGTCCAATTTCACAACAGCCGCTCATCAGTTGGCACTTTCGCCTATACGGACTCCCCATTGTTTCGCGCAATGATTTCATCCGCTGGCACATCCAGGGACGAGATCTTACTGTCATTACCCCGGTTCCCGAAGGGTCCTTGAAGCTTAACGCTAAGGTCATCCCGCATCTGCGGGGAAAGCTCTGCTGCCGCGAGGACTCCGTAGGACACGTCAAGCACGGCCGATCTCCGACGCCAACGTGCAGATGTAACGCAACCGTCCGCATGCCCGAGAACTGCACAGTGACTCAGTCGCTCAGTGCTGCTGCCGCAACGCTCGCACGAGTCAGCGAACCTACCAGCTCATCCACCGGATTGGTTGTTACTACGGCCACTCTCACGCGCAATTGGCTCGCAATGCATCTGGATCATGCTCACCAGGGGCTGGCAAGCAGTTCTTGGTGCTGTAGCTCTTATTGTCTGGACCAGCAGTCGCATCCGACTTTGGCGTGCAGTTCGATCCTGCAGCGGACAAGGCGTTCCACTGCGGGTTGATGGAAGCTTGATCAGGCGCGCAACTAGCGCCATCTTCCTGTTCAGCAGGGTGGCCTAGCTCCTGGCTAGACCTGCTCGGCGCCTTTCCCAGTCAAACAACCAGTTCTTGGATTTTTGCGCTCAAGCCTCCGACCGCTTCAACAGTGTGGAAGAGCTGAAGTCTAGCCTCGACCTCCTCGACTGCGGTCCTCCACAGTGTGCAACGGGCAGTATGAGGTAGTTTCCCACGTAGAAGGAAACGTCCGTTTAAAAAGGTAGGTGCGTTCATCTCTGGCAACAACCCAGCCCCATACGGACTCTGCTTCTGTACATGTCTCGCTCCTTGTTCGGTCCTATCAATTGGTTTCGGAAGGTCTCTCTGGCACAACAATCCAGCTCTTGTCATCGACAATGCTGGAATTGCTACGGACAAATGCTTATAATTAAAGGCTCGACGATTGGGATGCTTACCGGCAAGCATCCCTGAGCTCGAAATAGGTGCTATCCAACACGAACCATCATCTACATGTACTCTTACTGTAGTCAGCTCCCAGCGATCGCGCGCCTGTCAAGGGGTGAAGACATGCTGTACCACACATTCCCAGCACTACAGGAGTGCTTTAGGATGGGGATGCAAGAGCGCCAACAACGTACCAATAGCCCGGCACAATATCAAACGTCGGCGGTACGTCGAATGAGAGACGCTATCTGGGCTCTGATCAACCGCAACAAACAAGGCAAGTGAAGTCGAAAGTTGCCCGTTTTTCTGCATCACAACGTTCTCACGGCTGTCGAAAGCACGTGAGAACACTGCAATCTTTTATTTTCTTGTATGCCCGCTTCCGAATGCATCCTCCACGTTGTCGGTTTTCAAGGACAGCACGTCGACGTGCTGGACCGACTTCACACATGTTCTCATTAGGATCTCTTCCGCGTACGCTTGTATCTGCTGAGAGCCAGGTTTGATGGTTGAAGCATTCAACGTACGACGGCGGCGTTCCTCTTCTCTGACTCAGAGTTACACGCCAATCGCGAGCGTTCGCGCGTCTCCCACGTTCGATGCTGGCAAAGGCGCCGACATGGTGACTGTCGTCTGGCTGGATAAGTGGCTAGCGAACTAGACAACATATGCGGACACAGAGCGACAGTCTACTCTGTGAGGAAATCAGGGTATGCTGGTAATACCTAAGGCTGGACACAGTATGCAGCGAACGTCCACAATTCGCTGCGCGTACGGAGAACCACGGTATCGATCACGACCGTTCCGGAGTGCTGTGGTAAAGGAGCGTGTGCCTGAATGTGACCTGTTTGACTTTCGGGGCGTCCGGTGGACAATCCCTAGCTCGATCTGCCAACCAGCACAGCACAGACTCTCCACAAGAGGCGTTTTTGCGATCTGGAGCGTCAGCTGCAACGGCACAAGTCTGCCGGCCAGATTACAATATACTGACGCCCTCGAGACAGAGGAGAGATCACTTCGTGATTGTGAAAGTAGCAGCTTGATACAAGGAGCCGATGCTATGATGTGCTTGCAATCCGGCAAGCGAAGGAAAGTTTGACAAGCTGAAGTGATGCGTCGTGACGCTTTCCGATTCGGAGACCTTGCAGACAGGCGTTTCCCTAATGGTGTAGCGCTAAGCGAGGGGCACGCCGTAATGACAGCAAGCTTTCACACAAACAGAGCAGTCTATGCGTAGATCTTATTAGGCACGGGCCTATGAAGTAATCCAGCGATTTCAGTCGCTGGTGAGGTTGTTGGTGCTCTTTAAATTGTCACCTTGTGGGGTGGAAGAAGGAGCCGAAAAGCCATAGCTCGCGGCGAGGATTGCGCAAGTGATCCTTCGGCAATTCAAAGACCGCAACCACAGGTCTGGACTACGGTGAAGGGCCGCATCTAAGTTTGACGCGGCCGATCGCCTCTCACTTCTGCGCAACAACCCAGGAGCAAGGCGGCGAGTTAAGGAGCATGTTGCGACATGATAGTGATTCGGCACCGCAAGCTGATCGCAATGCTTCCTATCTTCAAGACGTGCTCCGACTGTCCGTGGATGAGACGGAAGACGAGTTCGAGGAGCGGTTACGCAACGAAGCCCAAGCACTCGGCATAGGGATTGACAATCCTGTGGCTACTCTGGAAGTCATTGACCATGCAACACAGCAAAAGAAACCATCATTCGCCTCGGATGTTTCTCGTAGGTCGTCCGAGTCGGTTGTTTCTGGGGCGTCACAGTCAACAGGGTTCATGTCGACCTTTTCCGAGCAATCGAGAGATTACCATCGTCCATCAATCAGCAGCCGTACGACGTTTCGCTCGTCGCTGTCGTCGCGTGATAATGAAGCCACCGTTTCTCGAAGAGGAGTCAACGGTGCCATGAATGGCAGGCAGTCGGCATGTGCGTCGCCGCCAATCACACCATCGCGGTCGGCCTTCTCGTTACCGCTCAGCTTGCCGGAGACCTCGCCCAACAGGCGCTTCAGGCGCCTCAGAGGGCTGAGCATGCTGCGGCTGCACAGTCGCAATGGCTCCCGGGCATCACTACCAGAAGGCTGTCCGCACTGTCCGCCCGACCCACAGAGTCAGCGACGTGCGGTGCATAAGCTACCCTGTGGTCATCGACTATGCTCGCAAGCGCTGCGCGAAATCGTTGAGCCGGCGACAGGGAGGAAGTCGGGCTCTGTACCGAAGTGCTGTGGGTTGCCTATACCCAACACACTAGTTGAGCAGACCACCACGCAGGCCCACCGAAGAACCACGCTAGCAAGGCTTGAGCATCAGGACGACGCGATGTCCTTCGCAATATCTGCGAAGGTGTCGCCTAGGGCGTCTCTGGCTGTTCAGCATCACGAGTCCTCAACCAACGCCGGCCGGACGGCATCCGAGGAATCAGCCATAGATCCATTGACGCCGAGAGCGCCACCGACCCCCGACGTCACCTTCACGCACCCTCAAATTGTCGCATTGCAGCAAGAGCAGGCAGCACAGCACGACCGCTTTCATAGCTGGGTCGACGAGCAGCGAAATACCCTCCAATCCCACCACGACCGTCTCCGTAGTGATCTCCAAGCAATACATGCCGCCGATCTGTCATATCTCTCCGAAACCCATGCGGCCGCCATAGCGGAGGCGGAAGACAAACAAGTCCAAGCCGAAGCCACCCTTCGCGAGCAACATGCTCAAGAGAAGCTCTCCAACGCCACCGCGCTCAAACATATGGAAGCCTACTGTGCTGGTACGTATTTCAGTGATGGGTCGCCGCACGGCCGTCCCGTCACGGAGCAGGATCGTGTGGAGCTAGAAAGAACGCGACGAGCGAGGGAAGCAATGGATGGGAAGCATGAATGTGCGATCAATGTTTTGAGAGGAGAGCAGAGCCGACGGATCAGAGCACGGATACTGAAGCAGGACAGAGAGGAGCAGGAGCTGATGAGATCGCAACGCAGAGAGGAGATGGAGTTGGATCGTACACGAGAAGCGGAATACGGACGCTTGGAGGAAGAGGTGGAGATAAAGAAAGCGAGGCTGCAGCGGTGGCGTGATATTCGGGTTGCCATATGTGTGAGACGGCTTGCAGATGCAGGTAACGTTGATGGTGGGATTCGCGGGCGACCCACAGTTGTCGAAAAGGAGGACTGCGCATCAGAGTCAGCTCAGCTCGGGAAGAATGACATGTCGGCCGCGCACGGAGCTGTTCTTGAGAAAGTCAAGTCGGGCGGTATATGTACGGGCATTGCTCTTTGCGGACAGGCCTGACGGTAGTGTCGCTTGTGGTGGCTGCTATGAGAAGGCTAAGCTGGGCATGGCCAGCTGCGTTTCGAGGAATCTACAGAACCGCTCGTGTCTTCATCGGCGGAGACTGAGCGCTTCGGAAGGCGGGTCAGTCGCGCTGCATCTGGAGCGATGTCGCCCAAGGGGATGCGAACAGCTCAACACTCGTGCAACGGCAAGTGACAGGCAATATGCAGGATACGCAGCTCAACAGTCCCCGAACATCAGCAACGATACAGAGTTAGCAAGGGAGCAATGTAATTCGAACTCGCTGTGCTATTGTCTCTGCTGCCCTCATTGTTTATGGCAGACTTACAAGATATGCATCCCTTGCGTCTCCACCTCCGCGTGACCCATCGTTACACAACGCAAATTCACTGGCTCAACCTCCGATCTTGAGCTCTTGCAGGCAAGGCGAGCCTTCGGAGCCTGGAGTCCGGACGCCAGGCGGTGGATATCCTGTATTGACATTCCGCCCCTCACCTCCATTCTCGTGGGTGCGAGGGAGCGCATGACTTATAGCCGCGTGGACGTCCCTTTCCTGAGCAGGATCTGCGGTGAGTGAACTGCTGTTCGGCGTCTCTACCATTCCATCGTCTCCGTCCGCGCGAGCAGCAGACATGGCTACGAGAAGACCAATGCCGGAGGACTGGGTACCCTCCACACAAATTAAGATCCGAATGAAACCGCGGGACGAGCGCGTGAGGCTGCCGAGAAGCGTCCAACAGTGCACACGACCACCGCCAATACGTCTGCTTTCACCTCCCACAGTGGGCTCACTGGAATCGCCACCATTACCGTTCAAGGAGACCTTCGAACAGCAACAACAGCAGCTGCCACGCGACCCGGAGGTTGTCGATGTGGCCGCTCCAAACTCTTGGCCAAGACGAGGCGTGAGTGGAAGCCATGGCTACCTTCCCCGCTATGCCCCGTCGCCGACAATACGAGTCGTAAGCCCAAGTCTCTACTCTCGCTGTAGCACCGGCGGTCGCAGTGAGGTCTCCTTCGGCGTGCTGGATTACTATCTGCGTGCTCCGTCGCCAGACCCAAGCCCCTTGCTTCCGCCACCACCTGCGCCTGCGGTTGAAATGGACCCGGCGATGGAGAAGTTCGATTTCGAGTTGGTGTCCATGACGCCGAAGACCCCAAAAGCGGCATCAGGCCAACGAAATGCCACAAGCTTAAACACCAAGCCCTTGCCAGAACCTGTACCAAAGACCGTAAGCGGTGCAGAAAACGAGACCCAACTCATCGACGTCTCACCACCGCCACCAAACAAACCGCTTCCGCCCTTAACCTCCCACAAACGAGGCTACAGCCTCTTCCCCACAATCAAAGAGCTACCTCCTCGCCCTGGCATGCCAGCCCCAACACCCTCCTTTGACGCCCGCGCCCCGGCGCCCACCCGGGAGCGAGCAGCGACCACTAGCATTGTCCCGCCCGCAGCCCCACATGAACAACCCCACCCTTCCTACCGCCCTCGCAAAGAAAGCCTCAGCAGCTCCATCCGCAGCCGGAAGGACAGTTTCACCTCCTTCCGCTGCTCTGGCGGCTCGGGAGGCGGCAACCATAACCAAAAACGCATCCCCCTCCGCATCCTCTCATCAAGCTCCACCGCCTCAGCGCGAACCTTCTCGACAGCATCCGCCTCATTTTCCAGCAGCGGGTCGCCGCCGGACGCCAGTAGGTGGTCGGAGGATACCATTACCTCACCTGGCATCGTGACGACGAAGGGTCCCCGGACGAGTTTCGGGAGTTTGTTGGGTCCTCATGCTGAAGGGAGAGCGAATGAGGGTGCAGTGCAGTATCCTGCGTGTTTTTTCGAGGATGACGAGGATGATGAGGCTGCGCCTTTGAGGAGGAAGTTGGGTTGGACGAGGACGGGAAGTCGGACGCAAGCGCAAGAGCGTGGGGGTGGGAGGCAGAGGGGGAGGTTGGAGGGGAGGAGTAGTTTTGGGATGACGGTGAAGAAGGTGGTGTTGTGTGGAGGGTGTGTTGGGGCGGGAGGGGGAGGAAAGTGACGGTCGATGCGGGCTAATGATGCTTTAGGAAACATGTAAATGATGGATGACGTGAGCTGACGATCTTGTTCCTTACTGCTGCTTGACGCGGTCTTGGCCTGTCACGTTCGTGTTGTTTCAGCACACATCCTCCACCTCCCCATCCCCACCCTCCTTCGGTCCCAGGTCGCCACTCAACGTCCGTCCAAACAACTCCAGCAGCATCTGAAAGCATATCCCCGCAATCGCAGGATCGTAGCGTCCTTTCGACAGCTCATCCCGAATAAACGCGTGCTGCGCCCACGCCACTTCGTAGAAACTGAACGTCACTCCGGCGTCGTGCAGAGTCTTGCGGATGAGATCGCGGCCTTCGGGTGGGACGTGAGTGTCGCGTTTGCCGAAGATCTACAATACAACACCATCAGTGTGCACGCTGCATGGGAACGAACCGTCCGAAAAGCAAAATGGTTTAACGTACCATAATCAGCTCCCCCCTGATATCCTTGACCCTCTCAAGACTATCGTCCTTCTTCCCCTCTCCCAACGAACGCGAATGGATGTCGGTGGCAAAGTAACATACAGCAGCCCTGATACGCTTGTCGAACGCACAGCGAAACGCCAAATGCCCTCCCAAGCACATTCCCGTCGCCCCGATCCGGCCGTTGCAGTTCTCGAGTCCCATCAGGCAGTCGACGGAGAGGGTAGCGTCTTCGTCGTAGGCGGAGAGTTTCTTCTCGACCTTCCAGGCGTTGCCTTTGTCTGTGCCTGGTCCGTCGTAGGCGAGTGCTTCCGGGCCCGTGAACTCGTGGTAGCTGGACGGAGCGGCGACGACGTAGCCGTGGCCGGCGATTTGGCGGGCGAAGCGTTCCACAGGGCCGGTTACTGTAGGTAGGGTTGAGTTGAAGCAGATATTATGAGACGTGACATGTTATTATATCCGGAGAAAGGAGTGATGCGACCAAGTGCCGCTTGGAAGGAAAGTAAGAGCAGGCATACCTTGATAGATCTCACTAAAGACAACCACGCCGGGAAACTTGGCTTTAGGATAGCCGGAGACGGTAGGCGTGAAAAGGAAGCTGAGAGCGCTATCAACACCTACCTTTCGAAACCACAGATGATCTTGGCGTCTACTGACATTCGCATGTCGCCGCCAGACTTGGTCGGGACATCTTTGTGTGTTTCAACGATCAACATTCTGAGCGAGGGTGTCCGTTGAAAGTTCGATATGGAGTAGTGGTATGTAGCGATGCGAATGGGAGTAAAGCTGTTCGATAGCTTGGTCCGAGCTCTGGAATAGCTTCTGCTTACTAACACTAGACTCCTGACCTGCGTACTAAGGCAGCTCGATCATTGCATGAAGTACCACCACTGCCTTACAGTCTTCCAAACTCAACACTCCACGAGCGACTTTCGGACGCGCCACCTTGTTGCCAACACACTCTCCGCAATATAAGATCACCTCCGTCCATGCTGCCGATACGGTAGGCTTGTCTGAAGAGCAGTGTGCAGCAAACTGACGGCTGGGACGCGTGGAAGGGAGCGCTTGAAGGAGGGTGAAGGGGTCACTGTAATACATAACTCGAGAGGAGAAGCTGTCAAATGACTGGCACAAATTGTACTTCTCCCACGAGAACTGTCTGCTTCTACACACGCAATCTGTACGTATAATCGAAGGGCTGGTGGCATCGGAGGTTGGCTCGGGTGAAGAAGGAGGATGCGAACCGCAATGAAGCACTTCTAATCCGCTGTATCTTCAGAGAAAGGAGCGAAAACTACCTGACGCGACTTGTACAATATCAGCTCAAGGCAATCCCACCCCAGTCCTGTGCCCAATATCCACCTCTTGACTAGCCGCCCTGCCGTTGCCCACGTCGTCTCCTACTAATCCGCAGGAAACGATGGCCGGGGATGACGACACCTTCGAGATTGACATCTATGGCGACGAGCAGCAAGAACCCGAGGTGCGCGCACAACCGGCCGAAAGCCACCCAAACGGCGGCGAACCGGTTCCCGATCACGCAACACCTGAAACACGCGTGAACGGGACCGCCCGATCTGCGACCGCTGACCCCACACCAACACCCACAGACGCCTCGCACCCACCAAGACAAGCCGCGAAACGCAAGGCGCCCGACGAAAACGACGGCGGTGACTCGCTCCCTCCCCATCACAACGGCACAGCACCCGCCTCAGACAACAACAACAACAACGACCACCAACAATACCCCGACGACCGACCCCTGGAACCCGGCGCCACCCCGGCCCTCAAACTCACCGACCTGCACTGGTGGACGACGGAAGAGGACCTCCGCTCCCTCTGCTCCCGCGCCGGCGTCGGCGTAGTAGAAGAAGAACTCCTCGACCTCTCCTTCGCCGAGCACAAGATCAATGGGAAGAGCAAAGGGGAGGCGTATCTCGAGTTCGCTTCCCCGCAGGCGGCGAGTGCCGTGAAACGGGAGGTTGAGGCGGCGAGTCCGGTCAAGTCGGCGGGTGGGGTGAGGAAGACGCCGTTTGGGGTGGTGTTTGCCGGGGTGGGGAATCCGTTTAGGACGGTTGCGGGGGCGGGGGGGAAGAAGGAGTTTGGTGGTGGTGAGAGGGGGGTGGGAAGGGGAGGGGCGTATAATGAGTTTGGGAACCGCGGGGGTGGTGGCTTTAGGGGGCGGGGAGGTTTCGGTAACAGAGGTGGGGGTGGGGGTGGGGGGTATAATCAGCATGCTAGAGGCGGCATGATGGGACAGCAAGGCGGAGGAGGAGGGGGGTGGGATATGAGTGGGATGGGCGGTGGTGGTGGTGGTGGTGGTGGTGGGTTTGGGGCTGGGAATGCGGGGTTTGGTAATCCCATGATGGGTGGCTTTGGTAGCATGGGGATGGGGTATGGGAGTATGGGAAGAGGGGGCATGGTGGGGAATATGATGGGCCGGGGCGGAGGGTTTAACGGGATGAATATGGGGATGGGTGGGATGGGAGGGATGAATGGGATGAACATGGGGATGATGGGTGGTGGAAGGGGTGGAGGAGGGTGGAATGGCGGGTTTGGGGGAAATGGTGGTGGTGGTGGGAGTGCTGGGGGGATGCAGCAGGGTGATGGAAATAATAAGAGGATGAGGATGGGTTAGGTTGTCATGTTTTTGGATCTGGGATGGTGTTTTGTATTAAAACTGGTGGGAATAGGCTGGGTCTCCGGGCATCATGAGGCTGGTGGGCTGGCGTTGTGGCTGAAGGCCACGATGGTGCATGTGGGCAGGGCGTTCGGGGGATCAGCACATGGCATATGGCATACGGCATACATTGCCGGCAGGAACGTTGACTACACCGTCTGGACGACCACAACGTCGAAGTGTAACCATAATGGCTAGTACTGTACCGTTTGTAACTGCTCCATTCCCGAACCCGTGCCGAGTCTTCGCTAGCTACAGTAGTCAGGCACTGAGTTCATCCGTCTGCCGGATGACAGCCCCCGTTTTAATCCTTAGCGTGCGCAAGTGCGGGGCACACGGTTCAGGCGCGGTGCTGCTGCAGGGTATGTCGGCATCATCGTTGTCGTTGTTTGGTCTAACATTGGATTACGAGTTGATCAACGGACCTACACAATCATGTTCTGCTTCCATCTTCCACACTCGCTATCTATATTTCGTCTGACATACGAGTGAAGAGATTGTGTCGTCGAGTGCATCACATTGCATTCGCGCTTGCGACAAGGCATATCGCATCCTCAGCCGCGGCTTCTCATCCTGGCCATCACAGAAGTCGCACGGCGTCCTGTGTCGCTTGCTGCAGTAGCAGGGATTCGCTGACGAGGGTAGCTGCCTGCCTGCCTGCCTGCCTGACACACATCGACAGCTCGCAATGGCCGGCCTCACGTCTTCCGGCCGCATGCGCGACCCAGACGAGTTCGACTATTCCCAATCGCATCGACCCGTCCCCAGTCGGACTCGTAACACCGGCTTCACGCACAATTCTTCACCCTCCGGCTATCGTGCACCGCAATCGTTCGGCGACGCGGACAGCGCAGCTCCCGCCCTGCCAGCTGCGGGTTACACGGCGGCACGCATTGCGCCTTCCTCCCCCACCCGCAACGAGGCAGGCGCAAGTGCAGATCTCGCCGAGCATCGCAGGAACACCTCCTTCTCCTTCCTGCGCCGAACTCCCTCACTGGGCAAGCAGAGCGCGAGCGCAAGTGTGCCTGCCGACGTCCCGCCCGTGCCTTCTGGACGTCGTGCACAAGCGCAGGCGCAAACGGACGTGGATGCGCCTGCCGCACAATACCACCATCACCACCACCACAATAGTCCTTCCATAAGCGGCAGCATCCTCAGCAGCAACACGACGAGCAACGAGCAAGGACGCACGATGTTGCGCAAAGCCTCGAGGGTGCGAGCGGAGCAGGAGCGAATGCAGCAGGAAGCTGCGGCGGCGGCGGCGGCGGCGGCAGCAGCGGCAGCAGCAGCAGCAGCACATCCTCCACAGCCCCCCACGCTCCCTTCACTCGGACCAGTCGACGACGAGTCACGACCGGACTCGTTTGCCATCTTCAACAACCACTACGGCCCCTCCTCACCCACGTACCAACCCACCGGCACCACCACCACAGCGAACTTCTCGCGTCCCGGCCACGTCGCCATGCCATCGTCTACATACCACAACAAGTCGAGCAGCTCTCCCACATACGCTGTCCGAGCTGGCAATGCATTTGCTCAGCAGGCCGCCAATTCCAGCTCCTCACCTGCGTATGGTGGTAGCGGCACGAATGGCGAGTATGCAGTCGACCGCATGGAGAGCGTCACTCACCGCGGCCGGTACTCGTATGCGAGTAACAGTAATACCGCTCAAGGCCCGGCTCACCCCACCAACAGCCCCCGTAGGGTGCGGAGGCGGAAGGATCCGACGCCGTTCAAGTAAGCTGCTTCAAGTATTGAGCCGTGAAGGTGGTGTCTCGCTAACAAATTATTGTCTGGCAGTGTCCTCGTCGTTGGAGCCAAGAACAGCGGCAAGACGTCCTTCATCTCCTTCCTCCGACAGTCTTTAGCATTATCCCCTGCCAAGCAACACCACCACGCCGACACGTCCAATGACGGCCAAGCCACGGTCACCAGCTCCTCTTTCACCTCTCACTATCTCGAGACCGAGCTGGAAGGCGAGCGGGTGGGTTTGACGCTGTGGGACTCTGCGGGCTTGGAGAAGCACATCATCGACCTGCAGTTGCGAGAGATGGCCACCTTCGTCGAGTCGAAGTTTGAAGAGACGTTCGTCGAGGAGCAGAAGGTCATGCGCAGCCCGGGCGTCAAAGATACCCACATTCACTGCGTCTTTCATGTCTTGGATCCCGTCCGGCTGGATGCGTCGGTGGCCACTTCTGGCGGTCTGGGGGCTAGTAATGGTCTTGATGAGGAGATGGACCTGCAAGTCATTCGTGCGCTTTGGGGAAAGACTACCGTCATCCCGGTCGTGTCGAAAGCGGACACCTTGACGATCGGGCACATGGCATTCCTCAAGCGTGCCGTCTGGAATAGTCTCAAGGCAGCCAGGCTCGATCCTCTGGAGGCACTGGATCTAGAAGGTGATGAAGACGAATTCGACGACGACCTAGACGAGGAGGATGAAGACCGAGGCGCAGAAAACGGCGCATTCTCGGCTCAGCACGCAGACGACGACGACGACGAAGTTAGTGACTACGACCGTGACTTCGGCGCTGACGACGACGACGACGACGACGACGACGACGACAAAATCGGCAACAATACACCTCACCCGTCAAGCCTCAAACGCAACGCCCACCACCGCCAATCCTCCCTCGTCCTCCCCTCCAACCCCAACACCACCACCACCACCACCACCACAACCAACAACACGGACAACGCGGACAGCGAAACGCCGTACATCCCCATGTCCATCCTCTCCCCCGACCCCTACGACTTTCATTCCACCAGCAAACCGCCGGGCCGCCACTTCCCCTGGGGCACCGCCTCCCCCCTCGACCCCTCCCACTGCGACTTCGTCCGCCTACGCGACAGCGTCTTCTGCGAGTGGCGCGGCGATTTGCGCGACCTGACGCGGACGAAGTGGTATGAGAACTGGCGCACGCTGCGGCTGAGGCATTTGCCCGGCGGGGGCGGGAGGAGGGTTCGCGGCGGGATCACGCCGGTTGCCGCTGTGCCGCGGGAGGGGAGGACGAGTGTTAGTCCGCGGGAGGGGAGGAATGTTTCTGCACCTTCGGCCGGGTTTGCGTCTGCGTCTGGGTCTGCGTCTGCTGGGGTGGGTGCTGGTGTGGGGGCGGGGAGTAGTGTGCCGAGGAGTGTTTCTGGTGGTGGTATGACGGCGTCGGGTGGTAGTGGTAGTGGAGGGGTGGGGATGGCGGTTTCTCCGTCTCTAGCTGAGCGGGGTGGCGGCGGCGGCGGCCTGAGTAAGGCGGAGAGGTTGATGGGGATTGGGATTGGGGAGGCGCAGGGGTTGAGTGGGCGGGGTGGCGGTGGCGGTGGGGGGACGTATCGGAGTGTGGATACTTATCAGTGATCCGACGAAAAGATTGGATGGAATGGTTGGGACGGAGGGGAATAAGAGGATGCAGCACCGGAGGAGCAGAAATTCAAATTGCTGAGGAAGTGTAATGATGAAGAGGTATTTGCGAGCGAGGAGCCTGTTGGAACTTTTGCAAGATTACCGAGCGCAGTCCAGTCCAGTTCGGTCCAGCCGGAAGAGCTCGCTTGGCGTTAATTGAAGAGGTATGTGGGTTTCTGTGTGTGTGTGGATGGAAGTAGCGGCTATACCCCATAGAGCATATAGAAGTGTGGACAGTGTACCATTGTGGATAGCTATACGAACCGTCATGATCAAACCAACGCCGAGTCCACATATAGCATCCAAGGAATTTCGAAATGTGGAAAGGGGAGTGATGAGCAGAGGTAGTTCGTGGAGCAGAGAATCTGCCTTTTTGCCCCATTCCCTTCACTCGCCATGCGTATCACAATCCTACACATAGACCCCAAGGAAAACCCCTGCCACAGGATCCCCACTTCCGGTCCCTTTCGCTCACGCTTCAGTCATCCCTCTCACCCTTTTTAACCTTCCCCCTCCTCTCTCCGCCTAATCCCGGCATACATACATCCGTCTAAGCGTACGTCCTCGCCGCCGCCTGGCACGCCTTCAACTGACTGAGGTAGTAATCGCAAATCGTCAGATCCCCGTTATTCTCGTCCATGCACCGGCGGAAATTCGTCACGTCGGTCTGGCAGACGGGCGCGGCTTGGTAGTTGGCGTTCATGGCGAATTGGCCGTCGGGCGTTTGGGCGACGGGGAGGCTGGGGTCGGCGGTGGGTTGTGCGTGGCTGGAGGAGCCGCCGCCGAAGAAACCGCCGATGGCGTGGCCGATTGAGGAGCCGACTGCTACGCCGCTGTAGAAAGCGGACAGAATGTTAGCGGGACTGTTGCCAGCGCGGGGGTGTGGCAAGGGGGGTGGGATGGTAGGAGGGGGTTTATCGTGAGGTAAAGGGTGGCGAAACTTACGCAGCGGTGCTAGCCATCTGCCCGAAGAGCCCGCCGCCGGAGGAGCTCTGTTGTTGCTGAGCGGGTGCCGTCGGGGCGGGGGCGTGTGCTTGCTGGTGGGCTGGCGGGTGGGCCATGGTGGATGCTTGACGGGATTGCGGTGGTTGTTGGGGCATGGGGCGCGCGGCGGCGGGAGGGGGTGCTGGACGCTTGGGCGCGGCGGTGGGACCGCGGGATTGGCGGGGCATGTTTGTGGTTTGTTGGTTAGAGTGTTGAGAGGGGATGTGGTGTTGGTGTTTATTCGTTGGATCTGGATGAGTGTAGGTGGTGGTGATGAAGGAAAGGTAGGAGAATTGGATGGTGGTGATGGCGAAGATGGAAGCATACCGAAGCCCGTGCACGTGGAGCTCCGGTTGGCGAGCTCGGGCCGAGCGTTGTGATTGGCTGAATCAACAACTGGAAGCAAGTCTGTCACATACACTGGACGGATAGACGGTAATGGTTCGATAAACGTGTTCTACTAAGACTCATTGGAATGGAGGTACACCACTGTTCTTGCTTCCTCAACACCGCCATCTTGGCGAGGAACCATCATCGTCATGCTCTCATATTGCAGCATCTTCCCACCCACTTCCGCCACCCACTCCGCCTTCCAGTCTGAGCTCTCCCAAAAGCTGTCGGCGGCGTAATTACCATTGGCAGCTTGCGCGATCAACGGCATGAGAGCTTCTGCTCGCTCCAAACGCTCTTGTTCGTCCGTGCCCGAAGGCTTGGGAGAGGCTCTCGCGTCGATGTACTCGGGCAACGCATCAAAGAACCATCCGTAGTCTGATTCACCAGATCCCGTGGAGGAGATGTACGCCGTCGCAGCCCGGTATATGTAGCACATCAGCAGCACAAAAAGATCGTCCTCCCAGCCCGCCTCGCGCAGCGTCTCTGCATCCGCTGTACCAGTTATTGCTTGCACACCTGCAATAAACGGCGTAACCACTTCGCTTCCGTTACGCGCACTCCATAGCTCAATGAGCCCTTCAAACGTTACAAGGCGTGATCCAGGCTCCTCTGGCGTCTTCAGCAGCGATCGAGTGGAAATTCGCAGTGCTTCGATGACAGTCTGTAGGATCTCCCTCTGGCTCTCGCGGTAGATGCTCGCCTGTCGCTGTCGGTTGTTCGCTGGCTTCTCGGGTAAAGCTACGGCGTCCAGACGTTGCAGCTTAGGAACGAGGGACTGCACGATCATTCGGGCGATGTGTGGGAAGTACCTCTCACCATCGGGTGCGTCTGTAAATTCTTTAATCGACTCCTCAGAGCCAATGATGGGGAGACCGCGCTCATGGCGGAGGATGCAGTAGAGGAGCTCTAGAAGGCCTCGCGGGAGTTGTTGGATGACATGACCAACGCTTTCCTGAGAGTAGGCGCGCGGAGACTGAAGGCGAAAGGTAGCCTTCTCGCCGCTCCATTGTCCACTCGAAGTGAAATAGCCTGGATGTATGCGCTTTAGTTCCACCTGAAGTGCTTCTGGCGGCGCTTTGAGCGTAAGCAAAACCTCGTCACGCGGATTGTTCGGGATGCAGAACCCATAACCCATCAGCAACTCGTCGTTCGCTTTCGGTCCGTAATTGTTACAAACTTCCGCTCCGGCTTCGATAGGCTGAACGAGCGCTATGCTGAATTGGTTCGCATCAAATGACCAGTCTACTTGAGCATTGGGGTCGTGATTACCCGAATCTAGACCTGGAAACAGGACGGAAAAGTCCAGGTCCTCGGCGGGCGAGTGAGACATGTCTAGCAAGACAGTCTGTCTCCGCCCATTGGTGCTGGTTCTGTGGACAGGCCAGTACTTGCGGTTTTGCGGTAGGAGAACACGTGAGGTGAAGGAGCGGGAGGTGAAGGTTGTGATGGCCCAACGGAAGAGGTCCCTGAGATGTGCAAGAAGTGTATGAGAAGGTTGAAAGCACTTACCTCGGCGGCTTGAAGGAGAATGGTGCAGACTTACCATGTGTACAGCGTCACGTCAATGCCACTTTCACTCAACACCTTGAGACCGCTCTGGTAGTACTGTGCATAGACTTCTCTGCGAGCGAGCATAGTGTGAAGAACGTCGGTGCCATCGAGCCAGGCTAGGTCTGCCGGCGCATCGAACCAAAGTGGAGTGGAGAACTCGCTGGGCGAAGGCAGAACGTCAAGGTAAGGCTTCCAAAACGACTGCTCCTTGTTGAGATACTGTGTCATCAAGTAGAAGAAGCCGATGGCTTCAATGGTGAAGTCGGTCCGTCGCTGCTTGAAGACGGGATAAGCATCGTCCACCAGAGCGTTGATGTAAGATAGGGAGAGGCTGTAGGGAACGCTTGATGCTATTTCCTGAGGTGGTATCGGCTCTCGGGCTCGCCACTACAGTTTCGTAAGTAGAGTGTTTTCTGGATTGTGATATCGAATGGGACTGACAAGGAAGCCTGACTGCTCGTTGTAGTCTAGCCTTATGGAAGGATGAAGGTGGCCTCCATTGGCCTTGAACCACTGCTCTAACGCCGTGCCTCTTGCTATCGCCGACATGGTGCATGAACGGCTCTGTTGACCGTACCCAGATCGAATGTCAAGGCTGCATTGGTGCACGGGCCCATGGGTAGGGCTTCGTTTCGAAAAGTCTCCGTCCTCTTCACATCCCCATCCTTCTCCTTGCCAACGATACTACTTCCCGAACCCTAAAGAGTCTATCTCTGGTACGGTGGAGCCATCAGGGACGTCTTCAATGCAACAATGCCTTGTATGGGCGGATACTGCGGCCTGACACCTCTCTAAAGTCCATTAAGCCCGCGTGAGGTCATGCAAGCTGCATGGTAAAGGTAAATATATAGTTCTGTGTCCTCAACAGCCATTATTGTCCCTTCCCTTCATTATTGTTTGGTGTGTTCCGTCAGTACTCTCTACGCAGTAGCAATCAATATGGCCTCCGCACAAACCTCCGCCGTCAATGTCGTCTTCGGAGCGATGACATTCGGCAAGGAAGGTAAGTCACACCAAGGGATACTACAAGATACCTCAGACGCACTCTTGCTAACTTCCCGCTCAGGCGCTGAACAGTCCCGCGTCCACGACTTGCCCACCGCTGGCGCTATCCTCGACGTATTCCAGAAGCATGGCCACAGCGAGATCGACACCGCCCGCGCCTACGGCAATGGCTCCTCCGAGGAAATGCTCGGTGATCTCGAATGGCAGAAACGTGGCATCGTGATGGACACGAAATACTACCCGACCGCTGGTCGCTCAGGCCCGGCAGCATGGGACTCGTCCCTCCGGCACACTCCAGAGGGCTTGCGTGACAACCTCACCAAGTCCCTCAAAGCACTGAAGACCGACAAAGTAGATATGTGGTACCTTCACGGTCCTGACCGGACAACACCATATGACATCACCCTGAAGGCGGTCAACGACCTTTACAAAGAAGGCCACTTCAAGCGCTTCGGCATCAGCAATTACATGGCGTGGGAAGTGGCGCAGATGTGCGAACTATGCATCGCGAATGGGTGGAAGAAGCCGGATGTCTACCAAGGCGTGTACAATGCATTGCACCGCTCCGTCGAGCCCGAACTGTTTCCTTGTTTGCGGCATTACGGAATAGCTTTCTACGCATACAACCCCCTAGCCGGTGGCTACCTCACGTCGCGCTACCATCGCGAGGATAAGGAACATGAGGAAGGCTCACGCTTCGATCCGAATAGGTGGCAGGGGAAGATGTATCGGACTCGGTACTGGAACGACCAGTACTTTGACGCTTTAGACATCTTGAGGCCTGTAGCGAAGAAGCACGGTCTAACGGAGGCGGAGTGCGCGTTGAGGTGGATGAACCATCATTGCTTGCTGAGCCGAGAGAAAGGGGATGCGATCATTATTGGTGCGAGTAGTGTAAAGCACATGGAGGAGAACATGGTGGATTTAGAGAAAGGCCCGCTGCCAGAGGAGGTCATACAGGCTCTAGATAAGGGATGGGAAGGTTGCAAGGGGATTAGCATTCGGTATTATCACTAGCAGTGAGACGACGTGCTAAAGCGGATTCAGCTGGACAGTTCCCTCTAGCAGCACTGGGCTTGGTAGTCAACCACTACAGGCATCACTCAGGGCCCCAGCCCCAACCATTGCCCGTCCATTGCCAATGAGCGGTCTGAGTAGACGATGGCTGCGCAGGACCTGCACCTGACACTCTCGATGATGGCGTTGCAGCGCTCATGCTGGAGATCGTCGTGGATCCAGGCGGCAATGGCACCGATGCATTGGCTCTGGCTGCAGCAGCCGAGTACAATGCCTGGATGTCGGCCTGCCATTGTGAGACGTATGGCCGCAGGATCCGGCGATCGTAGGTAAGCAGTCCATTGACCTCGCCTTCGACATCGGTTGTCTGCGTCCACACGCCGCCACTGCAGGAATAGCGCGCGATCTGATCTTGCAGCTCGTCCAACAATCGGTGCCCGCGATAGTTCCATGCATCGAGAGTCAGGTCAATCTCGTAGGTCTGATTGATCGTGTTGATCGCCTCTTGCACGTTCCACAGACTGAAAGGCTAATGTTAGTTAACTCCAGCAATGTGCTTCTGGAAAGGACTTACTGGTCGATTGAGACATTGTTACCAGTGCCCCCGAACTCGCCTTGGAAGCCTATGCGGCTTGGATCGTACGGACTGGATTGAATCGAGTAGAAGGGTGAGCCGCATTGTGGGTTGGCGTAGTGGTGATTGTCCTGCCAAACGTGAGCATACTTTTAAGGGTACGTTTCAATACGTCAACTTACGCTAAAGTCGCCAGCACCGTGATCGAACCATCCGGTCGTCGAGTCAATCAGACGTGTCGGGTCAAGCGATCGAACAAAATCCGTGAGGCCGAACTCGGGATAGTACGGGGTTGTTATCTGGCCCCAGCCCTCGTTGTAAATGACCTGCAATGATCATGAGCTTACAATGATTGTATGTCTCGGCAGGACCTTACGTACCCATGTCACTATGCTTGGGAAGACCCTTTGCTGCTGGACCAACAGACCAAGCTGGCGTGTGAACTCTGCCTGCTGATCCGCATCCGGCAAGATGGTTTGAACCGTGCAGTTCGGCAAGGTCCGACTCTGCAGCGGCCGTAAAGACGGCATGTCTTGGATGACCATCAAGCCCATTTCGTCACAAGCTTGATAATATAATGCCATCTCGACTTTGATCTGTGCCTGGCGTCAGCGGCTCAACGTCATTTTTTGAGGAGGGTGATGCAAGCTCACATGCTTCCTTAGCATGTTGAAGCCAAGCGTCTTAAGTGTCTGGAGATCGTACACCATTCCTTCGTAGTTGGGCGGCACATAGATACCATCAGGCCAGAAGCCTTGGTCCAAAGTACCGAACAGAAAGATGAACTCGCCATTTAGCAGTGGCCGCTCGATACCATTGACCATGCCGCGAGAAATGGTCCGGAAGCCAGTGTAGCTTGTGACGGTGTCGCTACCCATGGTAACCACGATATCGTACAAATTTGGCGTATTGGGAGTCCACAGGCTTGGAGAGCTGACTTGGAAGGTGCTCGGCGTGTTGGCAGTGCCGCTGTGGGTAGCGATTGTGGCGTTCGTCTTGCGATCGATGACGGAGACCTGGACCGCACCGTTGCTCGAATCCGAGCTGTATACCGTCGCGTTGACTGCATGGTCATTAGTCTTGGTCATAGCATATCGCCATAAATATCGAACCTGTGCCGTCCATGCCCGCAGCAACCTGGAGCTGCGCAATGTGGCTGGCAGGAGCAGCTTCGATCCAGACACTCTGCCAGATGCCGCTGCATGGCGTGTAGAAAATGTGCGACGGGTGGAGCGTTTGCTTGCCAATAGGTATCACGTACGGATCGCTGTCAGTCGGATCATGCACGAAGATAAGCCTGCGGAGAATCAGCGCTGCACTCCGAGAACGATGCCGGACCGGAAGACAGAGTATGGAGCAGGCAGCCAAGCTTGTCTCTCCACTTACAGATTGTTATTGCTGTTGCCAGTGAGGTGGCTGGTGACGTCCACTGTGAAGGCAAAGTAGCCACCTCGGTGAAAGCTGGCATTATGTCCATTGACGAAGATTGTTGCCTCGTAATCGATCGCGCCAAAGTTGAGCAACACACGGTCTCCTGCCCATGATGATGGTACGTTGAAAGTTGTGGCGAACCATGAGTATCTAGTCCATGTGCCTTGTATGCCTACCCGCTTTGTTGGCGCCGCTCAAACGTACGCATTGATTATACTCACCCGAAAGCCCGCTCTCCAAGCACGATGGAATGAGTACCTGGTTAGCCAAGGCTTGGTTGAAGGGCGGGCTGTTGACAGCGTCAATGGAAGAGGCGTTCTGGTACGTCCATATGCCGTTTAGGGTCTGCCACTGTGAGCGTTCTAATTGTGGCCGTGGATACTGAGGCCATGGATTCGTTCCGACTTCATACGTCCAATTAGTGGTCAGTGGCGGTGTCTGCACAGCATACTTGGTGCTGTTAGTGTTCTGCCTGCGGACCCTGGCTGCTGAGACGGACGCAGCCACAAGGAAGGCTTGAAGAACGTTGGTGATATACATGTTGGTATAAGATATTACCACTACGATCTTGACGGTGTGTTCAGTGGGAGACACTGCTACTCTTGTAATGTACGCAGCGTTACAGTCGGCTCTCCATACAATACCCACAAGGACCCGGTAGCGTGGTGCATCCACACGGCCAAGTCGGACAGGTACCGGCAAGCAAGAAACTTGGCTGCTGATCAACAAGGCTTGCGCTTGGGAAGCACAGCCTACCACGCGGGTTGTGGAGGATGTTTGCATGGCAAGCTTGGCGTAGCGGAGAATACTACGGCGTGCTGGGCAGGTGTTTCAAAATTTCGCATTCACGAGGCTTCTTGTCCTTCGATACCACGCTAACATGATGGTTGTACAACAACTCTGATCTCCACACCGAGCCGTGTGTCGTGGTTGACATAAGTTGGTCACGTTGAAGTCCGCATGATGACCACAGTTGTGCCTTGACCCCGCAGTCGGGGGGCATTTGATGCGGAGGAAGCGGGGCGTGCCCTAAACCCTCGTCACCATTCACTCGTGGCCCAAGTTGTAGGGAAGTTTGCTGCGCTTCGATCAGAGTGGGAGAAGCAAACGTAAGTCCTGCGGGTAACGAAGACGATGTTTGCTTGGCTGCACTCTCATCTCCAAATTCTTGCACGGCTGGAAGAGTGACCTGGTATGTTCACAGAGTAAGCCAGCCAGATTCGTATCGCAAGCTGGGTCCGTGTCGTGCACCGTTATGCCGAAGCAGAAGCCACAGAAAGAATCATTCAAGAGTTGTTGAAGGCCTTGGCGGAACGGTAGCCGCGCATCCTCAAGGGCGGAACCGCTAACGTCGTGTTTGTCGCGCAACGCGGTTGCTACAGCCAGCATTGCGAAATCCTGTCGAACTGCCTGATGGTGCAGTTCCAAGTCATTCATCCAAGAAGTTATGGTGTCCTTCATCATGCGCCATTCTTTATCAGGGGCTCCCCAGAGTAAGTTAGGACATCAACTATCGCCCCAGATGCGTAGCGTAAGGCCGCAATCGCACGCACCCGGTTTGCCAGTAGCAGATTGCTGCGCCAATTTCCGGCTCATAAGTCTACTCGAAAGAGCTAGGGACATGTCCTGGTCCACCTTACCGATCGTCTTTGCGAGCGATACTCCGTGTAGTAGCCGACATTCGACTTCGCTGTCCTGAGCTTATAACAACTTGTCGGCAAGCTACGATGCGTGTTGAAGTTGAACAATGATGGAGTCATGCATACGGCGTGCACATCTTCTGGGGCCGCCGCACGTGCGCAAATGAATGGTCGTCAGCCGTCCAAATAGCAATTCAGCTCCGTCGGCACCGTGTTCACAAACGGTGGGTCCGCGTAGATTTACAGCACATCTTTGACGAGGAAGAGGGAGTCCAGTCAGTCGAACCACGACACAGGTGATTTGGTCAGCTGCTGCGCAACAGGGATTTGTATCCGACGAACGGCGGGGTTGTAGCCTGAGCCGCAAATGTAAAGATAAGGTAGCTCAAGCACCTTGGGCCTAGAGCTTCTCGCCGTGTATGGCGAGTTGCAGCACCTGGCTGCCCCTTTACTCAGATAGCTCGAAGAAGACCTGCATCGGTCAGGCACGAGCCTGCATGTGGTTACGTGGGCTCCAACCTTGGAGAACCGAGAACATCGTTCCGCTTAGTTGTGAATGCGCCGAGTGCAGCCTAGGAACGTTGCACGCGTACACCAATATGATCTGCTTCGTACTTCCGGGCGCGCCATCGTGGTGCGCATCGCGGCGCTCAAGTTGCTCAGGGTGCAGCCAATGCCAAGGGCGCCATGTGGGCCATGCAGCGAGCGACACTTCAATGCAGAAGACGAGGTTGTCGATATGGACGACCGAGTGCCCAGCTTCTGCTTAAGTTGTGTGCTCTCGTGATGCCACTGACCGTTGTGTAGGAGGTGGGACGGAGAACGGGTTAAAGTCCACTTTAGGCGGTTGAAGGTCGCTTTGTAGTCCCTCGTCGTCGTCCAGTATGCGTACGTCTTGCATGATCGTCTTCCTCCGCTGACCATGTTCGTCACATTCCAGGCCACATGCATTCAGCACAGCCCATCGCACCTCGTCCACGCCGAGCTTGCGGTGCCGGTTGGCATCGTCAACGCTCCTCTCTGCGCTGCAACAAAGTATGTCGAGCGCAGCCTTTCGGCCATCACCAACTTCACGGTCCAGCCCCTGTCGTATGCTGCCGCAAAGATCCTGCAGCTTGAGCAAAGAATTGCTCAACTTCCGAGGGCCGGGTGCTTTCGCGCCGGAATACATGAGCTTGTCGACCTTGCTGAGTACGATTTGGTGACTGATGCCTTGTCGCCTCAGGTGAGACAAGAGCTGTACATCAGTAGCCTTAAGCCCATGCTCCGCATCGATCATCACGAAAGTCCTTCGCAGCTGCTTTCTGTTCTCAAGGAACTTCATCGCTTCCTCGCCCCACTCCTCGCGTGACCCACTGCCGTACCCCGGCATGTCCACCACGACACAGCCACCTCTCGGAAAGCGCTTCCACGCTGCTTCCCGCTGACCTTCTTTAGGCGCTGCCCCTTGCACAAGGCCGCCGGTAACACCAAAGCCGTTCATAGTTCGGGTTCGTCCCGGGCGTTTGGAGACATGAGCATCCTTGATACTTGTCCGACCGAATAGCGCGTTCAGCAATGAGGACTTGCCGACGTTGGAGCGGCCGATGAAAGCTACTTCAGGATGCGATGACTGCGGGAAAGAGCGGAAACGGGCAGCAGTAAACAGTAGGACTGGAGAAGCAGCAGTGAAGAAGTTCTGAGCATACTTTAGCTGCGTAGCATTGGGAGGCGCAACGACTTGATATGAATTCAAGGTGGTAGATGACAGGGTAAGTAGCGCTGGAGAGGCGGCAAGGCTGGTAGGCGATTCATAACTCGGGAGAGAGTGCGCCGACGTGCTGAGGCAACGCTTGCAGTAACCAAGTCTTGAGACGAGGTATCGCACAGACGGTGGGACCCTCGACAGGTTCATTGCCGAGTCGTGAAAGAGAGTGTATGTGAAGTGTGATCGTGTTCTGGCCGGAAGTGGTCAGAGCTCACTTCCGGCTCTGCCGCGGATTGATTAGACGTGGACTTTCATCGCTTCTATCTTTCATTCGCACCTTTGCCAGCATCATCCCGCAGTGGCATAGTTGCACTATGACCGCGCAGGTGCTTCAGGTACGGTCACTGTACCGCCAATTTCTGCGCGAGCTACCTGCTCGCTCGCCATCAATCCTTGCCAATCCATCTCCCCTTCAACAGCATATCCGCGCAGACTTCCTGTCTGGCACGTCCGAAGGTATCTCTCCGAACAGCGAGAACAGATTATCATCAACGTTCCGAGGCCCAGACCATGGCTCACAGTCTCTGCAACAGCAGCTTCAGAAGTCGGCGGACAAGAGACTCGAGGAGGCCGAGCAGTATCTGCATTATCTGAGAGCGCAGCGCAAGTATATAACGCTGATTGAGCGCTATAATCCTGGCATGAACATGAGCGAAGAAGATAGAGTCCGCTTGACGGCACGACGAGTTGGCATGGACTTGCCGGTTGAAATGGAGAAGGGTGGCAAGGAGTGAGCGAATCCGCAACAATGATATGGGAGGTGTTTGCCAGCGATCTATGGGCACCAAACCTAGCCATCCGGTCAGGAAGACATTCCGCCGTTTACATGCCTTGTCTACAGAGCTTCATTGATGCGCAAAATAGCACTGGCTACTCGGCACCAATATATCCAAGTCGTCCCTGACCGGAACGATTCGCAACGCTCGACATGTGGAATGTTTGAGTGGATCGTCCGTCTTACATCCGCTGATCACCTCACACGATATGCTGAAGGTGGAGAAGCATTCAAAAGTGTTCGAGATGAAGCCACGGGCGGCGCGAAAGTGTAGCTCTGAATAGATAGCGATGGAAGTGCACTGTCCATTCGAGCTACTCCACGACAATCAGACGATGTGAACCAACAGAGTACACTCATCGACGACCGAACCCACGCTTACCCTACAACGCTGCAAGCCCAAGTAAGGTGGACATACTACGTGGCGGCTCTTCCATTACAATGACCTCAGGTTCCCTCGTCGGTGACGTTGGCTTCATTGGCGGATGCTCATGGCTACGGCGATATGGAGGTGCCTCTGAACGACCTTATCGCTGGAAGGCGCTCGTGGCGGTGCCATGGTCTCACCTACTGGGAATGACCGTGGTGGCGCTGTCGCGGAATGGCAAGGCTGCGAACGCGACGAAAGTGGCGGATACTCACGTCACACGCTCGCTACCATCGACGGCACATGTACGCGCGCCTCCTGCTACATGGCTGCAATGAGCGATTGCCTAAAGGAACTCGTTCGAACTCAACAAAGCCCGTTGGCGAATCTTGCAAGCCTAATCAAAGACCAGTCTCCTTTTGTCTACGCCAGCATGCTTCGTTCACGCGTTGCTACTATCCAGGATCAGTAGCCAGGAAAGAAGCAACAATTCCAAGCGCGCCATGCGCCATGCAAGCAATCAACATCTGTAACTTCCCGTTTTCGCTGCCAAGGTAACTGCGCCGCTTCAGCCGAGGCCTAGAGTAGCCGACGCCAATCGATCAGCCACTTCGTTAGTTGACGTGCGGTGTCCTAAATGTAGAACGTGCTCTCGGCCAAGTCGCCATGCACGCCGCTTGTCCACTCAGCCTGGTTTCGATTGAAGCGTGAGGAGGTGCTTGAGCGATTCTCCGACAACGTTGAGTAAAGATAGCAGCGTCCACGCTCGCACAGCAGGTCGGCGTAGTATGCCGGTGGGCACACCGAAACTGCTTTCGTGGCGCGATTGAAGAGATGGCACAAGCGGTGCGTGAAGCCTTGCAGCTCGTCCGCTCCCATGCCAATATCATCCTTGATGACCTCGTAATGCGCCGCACGGCCAGTACCCTGAAGCACGGCGTGTGATTGAAGGTAGAAGTCATGACGAGTGTGATGGGTGAGCCCGCGATCGATGACCGTGCCTGGCTCGCAGTTGAACGTGCGGTCGGCATCCCTCTGCGATGTTGGGAATGCGCGAATGTGATGCCGCTTGCCCACGATGATGATGGCAAGCTTCGGCCAACTGGTCCTGGCCCCATACAGCTCTTGGAAGACCTCGTGTATGGCGCCTTGCTCAACCTCAAGTACTGTCTGATAATACCCATCGGAGACACCATCGCGGTAGACGATGACTTTATTCGGCCGTTGCTTGTTGTGCTTGTCCCACTTGACGAAGCGCTCTTTGAGCATGTCTTTCAACTCCTGCACCATCTCCTTCTTCCCGTCTTGCACGCGGATACTAGCGGGCCACTGGCAGAGCCATTGATCGTAGTTTGCAACAACGCCAGCTATGCTGGGCGCACTCTCAGTACTGCCGGGAGATGGATGAGTAACGTCAATTCCGATCATCATGGTACGGTCGTCGAAAGGCTTCAGCTGGTCGACTGGGATATGGTGGTTTACGCCACCGCCCTTGATATTGAACTTCAGCGCAAGATTGCCGATCAGCATGCCTTGGTTCCAGGGCTTCGTCAGATTGCTGCCCAGAGCGTTGACCGTGTGGATGCCGTATTTGACATCTCCGTAGTATTTGATGCGAGAGTACAGCCACTGATCTTTGTCCGTAATAACAACGAGAATGATCTGGATCTCCGCACTCTTGGCTCGCTGTAACATGCGATCGAGAGCCTCGTTGATGCTTGGCCGGTTGCGAAGTTGGTGCCAGTCGTTGAGCTGGACATCCTGGGCACCAGCATTCACACCCATGTCGATGCCATAGCTGCGCAGCTCTTTGTCGATCATGGTGACAAGCTCGTTGCTAACTCCGCTGCCGCCGTTAATTCTCAAGCATGCCCACTTGCCGAAGCGCCCAGGCCGGAAGAAGTTGAAGTGGCTACCTTCTCGATCGACCAGATTCCACGTGCCAAACCTTGGTGTTATGGCATCCCGTTTGCCGTATGTCACCTTCGGACTCTGAAGGACACGAGCTTGGATCGTGATCATAGACGGCGTGACTTGAAAGCCAAACGGCAACTGCCATTGTTCTTTGTCCTCATCCCTCAAGCGAAACGTTTTTAGTCCATCGCCGTCATGGTCGGCACCCTGGATTGACATTGCGTTTGCGTTGGGGGCTCGAGCAGCGAAACGAATCATCTCGCTAGTCTGATTGCCACCAAGCAAGCGACGCACAGCCTGCCCTGGGAGCACATCGCAGAGCTCCATCGCCACGTATTTTGGGTCCGTTCGAGTGCCAACGTTGAGCACGGGCTCATTCGGAAACTTGAGGGTGATACCATGGTGTCTGCGGAAATAGTCATAGACAGTGGTCAGAGTTTCTGGCGCATCCTCGTTTCCATTGGGCTTGTACGTGAAAGTGGCATGGGTGGCATCCAGGTAGCGAAGCCTAGGAGGTTTGTCCTGCGACATCTCCTTGGCGAGATTAATGATGGTGTGTATCTTGCGGAGGGGTTGAGAACCCGGGATGATCTTGCGGTCTGCGTCACGCGGCTTCAGATACTTCGATGACACCTTGACCATATCGAGGAAGGGCTCAAGCTTGGTAAGTGTCGCTGTCTGATCAGCAGTTGGGATACCACCAAGGAAGTCGTGGACCAGCTGACGAAGCGGTCCGTCCTTGTAGAAAGCGCCGTGGGAGACGTTAATGTTGACAAGGATTCGACCCACAGACGTGCGGACACTGGAGAAGTATCCTCGGTAGGCAACCAGCCCTTCTCCAAGCTGGCGAAGCACAAGATCTGGGTGCCCGGGGCCAGGATAATATTTGTTTGTTGACGGATTGACGACGGTGCTTTCGTCATTGGCATACTTTTTAATGATGATGTTGAGCAGTTGAATGAGGTCGACGCGCCCTGCGTAATGAGCCCCACCGGCTGTTGCGCGGAGGTAGTTGGCAAGGTGCTGCAGACTGAAGCTGTCATTGTAGTCCAATCGGTAAGTTTTGGTGCGCCTCTGCTGCGCTTGTGAGTTGTCTGAACCTTGGTCACCGCCTGGCGGAGTGTCCTCAAGTGGGTTGCGGACCACGATCTTCCGCTTCTTGCCTTCTTCATCCGGAAGACGCTTCGTGGTGACGATAATGTTGGCGTAGTCAGTCGCCCAATGAAGTTCACCATCGGAGAAGGGTGGGCGGGTCACAATGCCACACACGAGGTAACGCTTCTGCTGCTTGGTGATAGCTCCTTCCACGGAGATGCTGTACATATGGAGAGGGATGTCCGGTTGGCCGCGGTCGACATTTGCGACGAGCTCGAAGCAGTTAGCTCGAAGGATGATCTTCTTGCCTTGTGTGCCGTAACCTACAAATGAAGCGTACAATCGTTAGCGATGTGCTAAACAGCAAACATGGGCAGGACCTCTTAATCACGCACCGGGTCGGGTTGGGAACCCGTCTATCAAGCGTCCCTTGATTTGCTGGACCAAGGCATCCTCGCGCTGAGTGACCTGAGCCGGCGGCGGAGCCACCTGCTGTCCCTCAAGGAAGATACCAGGCGGAGTAGTGATATATTGAGGTCCATCGCGCATAGGCATTGATTGCAATGGGCGTCCCGCCGGGCCCCTTTCGCCTTGACCGTCGCCATAACCGCCCGGTCCACCACCTCTACCGCCAGAAGCTGGACTGTTGCCACGAACTCCGCGCCCACCGCCACGCCCACCGCCACGCCCACCACCACGCCCACCGCCACGGCTCTGGCCACGTCCACGCTGCGGATTAGCTGACATGTTTGTTTGAGAGTCCGATGACGACAAGCTGGCCGATTGAAGGCGATAAAATGGCCAACTTTAAACGAAGTGGAGAGTGCGTTTCTGAGTAAAGGGTCTGAACATGCACGAGAAAGCTGAAGTGAGCTGTCCGTGTCAAAGCTTTTCAAGAGTCTCAACAGCGACAAATGAAACACAGCCAGCTGTGTTGGAACCAGGTATTTACTGTTTGCTGTAGTGTGAGTGAATGTCCGAGTAGTCTTGAAGACGTGTTATGTTCGTGATGTTGGTGACCTAAGCGGTCGAGCGGATCTGGTCTTTTCAACTGAGAGGGTTAATCTAGATGATCGGAGTGTCTGTTCTGATGAGAAGTTCAGTAGTGGCGGCAGAGAAGCTCCTATAGATATCTCCAGCAGACACGGTGGTGTTTAGGATGGGATGTGAGACACTGCTGTTGATGTGGGTTTGAAATGATTGCTGGTTGTCTTGGGAAGTCGGCGAGACAGTGTGAATCGTGAGGCAACTTACTGGGATGCAGACAAATGACCGACCACACCAGTTATCAATACTGAAAATGACTTGCACTAAAGCGCGTGGTGGTGGTGATGTGGTGTATATCTGCTCCCGTGAAGCTAGTGATAGCAGTGTGTGACATACGTGCGGGTGCGCGAGCGGTTTCACGCGACATGCAAGATTATGCGAGTGTGAGATGATGGTGATGCATCTTTGCACCATCACATTTGGAAGTAGACATGTCGTTTGCGACAAGGCTGGAGGGCACATGCGGGTGGTCAGGCGGCACACGCCGTGGCTCGCTCCTTCTCACTCCCTCGCTTCACTCTCTCTCTCCTACCATTGGACACTCCCGCCGATACATTCGAAAGCCTGCAGACCTTGCGGGCTTCGAGCCGCCGTGTTGGCGACGAGAGGCGGCACGGGTCTAGTCGCAAGCCCGGGCCTTGTCTAGGAAAACCCTTCGGTGGTTACGAATGGAAGCTGCACCAAGACATCTCACGTTGTTGGCAAGAAGGCTCACATCGTTGCCATGCCGTCTTCCAGGCAGCCGGAAAGTGCGGCATGGTATTGGCAATGATAGCGGGGGAGAGTCCGAGCCTGACCAGCTATAGCTCCAGGATGCATTATGCAAGCCGTAAGGAAGCTGTCCTACCACGGAGCTCCCTCACCCTCCCCGCTGCAACTGCCACCGCGCTTGCAGCTATGTCGCCGCTCATCATTCGTGGCAGATTGGAGATCGACGACCATCGCCTCACACCAGCACTCCACGCTTACTGATTCAATGTCAGTGTAGCTATCGTGTAGCTGCGGGGTGGGAGGATTGCTCACGAGTCCATCTTGATGGCGCCGTGGCGGGCTAGGGATCTATCTCAGGTACTGTGCATATCTCTTCTCCTCATTGTCTTACCATCTGTTTTGCGTGGGAGCGAGGAGACGTCGAAGTCATCACGAACAACATCCCTACCCTGCCTAACACCGCCGGTGACACAAGCCCACCATGTCTTTCAAAGAATGGCTTCTTCACGAGACTAGCCTCCACTCTCTCCTCGCAAGCGGCACACGCGACATCTACATCATACTCCTCGCTCGCTTCCTGCGCATGTGTGCCTATGGCGGTGCAGCTCTCGTACTTGGTATTTTTCTGTACACGGCTGGCAATAAGGGCACGCAGATTGGGCTGTTCATGTCAATGACACTTCTGGGTGATGCGGCAATCTCATACCTTCTCACTATAATGGCGGACCGAATCGGAAGGAGGCGAGTTCTTATGATTGGAAGCCTCCTCATGGCGTTCGCGGGTACGGTGTTCGCGCTCACGAAGAACTACTATCTCCTGCTGTTGGCTGCGATCGTCGGCGTAATCAGTCCAGGTGCCCATGAAGTGGGGCCGTTTAGGGCGGTAGAGGTAGGCTCAGTCATCATTGTGACTGTCGGATAGTTGCAATCGAACTCACAGTGGGCAGGAGTCAACACTGGCACAGCTTACCACGATCGAAGCGCGAACGGACGTGTATGCTTGGTTCGCTGTCGCGAGCACCCTCGGCATGTCCCTCGGTCTCTGCACGGCTGGCTGGATCACGTACGCCCTGCACACTTACGCAGGCTGGGAGAGAAAGGAGGCCTTTCCAATCATCTTCGCCGTGTACGCGGTGGTCGGCCTGATCAAGGCTTGCCTGACCCTGTTCCTGTCCGACCGGTGCGAGCAGAACTACGACCGCCAGACGGAAGAGGACATCGCAGAGCGAGCGGCTTCGGCGCCCCTAATGACCGAGGCGGATCGCCGGAACTCGTACACGAAGTCTGGACAGGTCCAAGCTACTGTGCGACGTTTGAGCGAGACAGTCAGCACGAAGCTGTCGCCAGAAAGTCGCGTTATCCTAATCAAGCTGTGCGTCTTGTTCGCAATCAATTCATTCGCCAGCGGCATGCTTCCGGTGACGCTTATGTCGTAAGTGCACCTTCTCACCCAGCTGGCAATGTATACCTGGGCTGACCACGCCTCTGGCGCACAGATGGTACGTGAACTGGCGAGCGCGCTGGTTCGTCCACCACCTTGGCTACGCCATGGCAGCCGTCTGGCTTGTCGCCAGCATCGCCAACCTTTTCTCCGCCTCTGTGGCACGCCGTATCGGTCTCATCCGAGCCATGGTATTCACCCACCTCCCCAACGCCATTTTCCTTGCATTCATCCCGCTCGCGACGACTTGGTGGTGGCTTTTGATCCTTCTGCTTGCTAGCTCCGCGTTTGGAAGTATGGACCAAGCACCACGCTCCGCCTTTGTGGCTGCCGTGTTCCTGCCCTCCGAGCGAACCGTCGTGATGGGCACACTCAACTTCGTGCGGACACTTGCATCAGCTGGTGGGCCTATACTTACGGGCTACCTTCACGATCAGAAGAAGTGGGGAGTCGTCTTCGTTATTTCTGCGGTCTTGAAGGTTGCATATGACTGCGGTTTACTCGCGATGTTCCTAAAGACGGTACGTCGGCATGAGCCGCCCCTTTTGGAGAAACCTACGTTCGCTAATGAGGGATGTTACCACTACAGAAGCTGCCAGAGCATGGGAAGAGGACGCGCGACGTCACGGTCGCCGATGTCGATGTCGGGATCCTCCTGAACGATCAACTTGCCAACCCAGCGTCGTTCGATATCAACGACAACGACGAGATGCCGGAATCGAACCATGGCTACAACACGAAGGAGTACCGGGGTGATGTCGAGTATGAAGAGGACGTGTAGTATCTTCTCGGAAGCCAAATTTCATCGATGGGTACTACACTGAGGCACAACAGTAGCAGGATGAAATGCACAGGAGCAGGCGCAAATCAGGGACGGCGGTGGCATACATAAAGCCGGTTTACGAGTCACGATTGCATGAGACGGACTGAGATCTAGCTTACTCATACGTAGCAATCTTCGCAGGCGTCCTAGATCGAGACGCAATGAATGGAGGCATAGAATGTACGATATGTATGTTCTGAAACGCATACGTTTTCCACCCCGGAAACAACTGCCGCGCAGTGTGAAGACGGAAGAACTGCAAGAGCCGAACGAAGACACTGACTGCTGACTAAAGCATGTAATCACAGTACCTCACTGCAGCGAACTTTCCCGTCTTAGTCGAGGTCAATGCTGCAAGCTCACCTTTTCGCGAGCCTCCAGTGTTCCTGGTCCACAAGTTCGTGTGATGGCAACAGGTTCCATTCGCGACCAGCTACTCGGTGCCTGGGAGCTGGCAGAGTACTGCGCCTTTCCAGTGGACAACCCAGACGCCAAGATCTACCCAATGGGGAAGGATGCGCAAGGCATCATCATGTATACACACAATGGTTACATGTCCGCCCAGCTACACATTCCCGGCCAGCCGCCATTCAAGTCCGATGACTTGAACGGTGGCACTACCGAGGAGCTCGCTGAAGCAGGCAAGAACTACTTCGCTTACACTGGCCCTTTCTACCTCGACGAGTCGTCGAAGGAACCCCTCTTGCTGCATCAGATGGCGAACTCAAGCTTCCCGAATTGGCAGGGCAATGTCCAGAGACGGGTGATGAAGATCACCGAAGAGGCCGGGGTGAAGTATCTGACGCTTGGTCCAGAAGCTCCTCACGTGGTGATGGGCGAGCAGAGAATGACGAGGCTTGTCTGGAGACGGTTACCCGATAATGGTGCAAGTCGGCCGACTTAGCATGCTAACCCAAGTGAGGACCGCAATGAGCTTCGGCATTGACATAATGATGGTCGCAGTGTGCAGAGACTGCCATTGAGACTCTCCGTAGCAGACCAAGGTCTCTAGGTCAAAGGGAATGAGCCATTGTTAAGGCCCGCGAAGGAACGGGGAGACTGCTCATGCTCCAGTGAGGACGTTGTCGAGCAGCTTAGTGAAGAGGGCAGCCATCTTCTGCCCACCTTGAACGCTGGGCTCCACTCGTGAGGTGTAATCTGCCTCCACTTTCCCGTCCATGGTCTCATATAGCGGACATGGAATGACAGTCGTACCTTCAATCCGCATTTCACAGGTAGCCTGCTCGTACATCTTCTTGATGGCGGCCTGCAATTGTCCTGGATACATGCCGTAACCGAGACTTTTCAGCTGGGCATCCGCCCAACTAGTTTGCGTGCTGACCGAGCTCTCGAGCGGGTAGTAAATCATGCAGACAATAACAGCTCGTGGTTTCTGCTTCTCAATGATGCGTTCGATGTACGCCTTTGTCTGATCACCAAACATCTGCTTGAAGTAAGTGAGAGAAGACGCCGTGCCTCGCTCGACTGAGCTGCGAGGTGTGAGCCATGCAAGCTGGAACATGTGACGCATCGTGCTCGCATTGGGTGACAGAGCAATATCGTTGGCGCCAACGGAGACCACGAGAACATCTCCCTCGCCAATGTTGTCACGTATGAAGTCATCATGAGGCAGCAGCTTCGTATCACGGTCCCGCAGCATAGTGGCCTCAACAGCCGTATTTATGGCAGTCGCTTTGCTACCGAGCAAGTGGTTCAACCAGAAGGCAACGTCTGGCTTAGGCTGCGAAGGGTCGAACAAATCTTGGTATATTTCTGGGACGTCCACGGGCAAAGCCTCGCCGCCGGGACCGTCTGAAGGTACCCACGCCTTGTTGTCGAGCGAAGAGTCTCCCGCAAGCCATATAACGGGTTTCCCAGGTCGCAATGATCTGATATGTGCGTAGATGGTAGCTAAAGATGCCACTGGATGACCTGCCCAATTTGCGAAGAACGGAAGAGGGTTAAGCTTGAGCATCGCTCGAGACCTTGCTATTCAGTACGTTCGAGATTGCAAAGGCTCTGCAGAGCATCACACAACCGCATCGGTAAGAGTTTGGTACACAACGTTATGCATTGCGCTCATCGTGAGGTCAACTCGGGACACTTGGACGGAAGGACCCGGTACTCGGCGGACAGACCTACATTCGCATAACATGAGCACATCGGGGTGCTACGATCCTCTGTACCCAGCGTGTGAGCGAGGATGCGCACCCGTGGCAATGGCCATGACCATGAAATTGCTGCTGGTTGATGGCGCCGACGAAAGAGGCTCTTGCCAAGGTGACGATCTCGACGCTTCAGCCACAGCTCGGCCCTGGACCTCATGCAAAGTGACGAACGCCTCAAACCTTCTTCGCGACCATTGCCAGGTTGCTGGACTTTGTGACGCGCGAGAGGGAGCCCTTTAGACTCTCCAGCCACTGGTCCACGTCGTATGTTGTTTGTACTTAGACGTAGTCTCTGTCCCATAAACTGCGTAACACAGCATTATCCAATACTCCAATAATCCACCGAGCACATTTCGTTCTGAACATCAAGGTCGTCCACAATGGCGGAATTGCAAACCATCCCTGCCCGCCACGGGGTAGCCACATTCGTGCCTGCAGGACAAATAATCAAAATTATTAACACTTCCGGGACTCAGGTGATTGACACGTGGGCATTCGCGCTACCAACACCGGAAGTGAAGCCGGAAAACAAGAAGAAAGAGGAGAAAGACTCGAAGGAAGAGGGAGACAAGACAGAGTCGAAACCACAATCGAAGCCAGAGGAGAAAGACGCGGTAAAGCCAACGCCCAAGAAGAAGAAAGATGCCGATCTGCCGAGCCAAGAAGATGCCGAGAAGGCGACGCAAGAGCTCATGAAGCAAGGCGATCAAGCCAAAGGTGGCGCCAAAGATGGGAAGGAGAGTACACCACAGAAGAGCACTTGGAGCTCTTACGTTCCAACACTCGGGTTGACGTCTTCGTCGAAGAAGGCAGCACCCAAAAAGGAAGAAACAGAGCAGCAGAAGAATTCGAGGACGTGGGCTTCGTACTTCCCTTCCGGCAAAGGCTTCAGCACATACATCCCAAAGTCTGCATCGGATACAGTATCTGCCTTCGCATCCGACGTCAGTAGTCGTGGTCACTCGCATTTCACATCAGTGCTGATAGTTGTGTAGCATCAGAGGGATACCAACAAATCGTACATTGAACAGCTTCAGGACTTCTCGAAGACGCCAGTAGGCGCAGCAGGTATGCAAGATCTCCAAGAATGTGGTGGTATCTGATGGCTGACTGTGTCTTGTAAAGGCCTCGCAGCAGTGACCGGTTCCGGATATGCTGGCTCCCTCTACGCCGGCTATCAAGCATGGAACTCACATCACGCCGCCGACGCGCCACCGATGGAATTCATGAGCATGCCACACTCTCGATCCGCCTCGTTGCACATGCGACCGAAAGTGAACGACACCATGATCTCAAACCTGCGCGAGCCTATGTTAACCCTAATCGAAGATACAAGTCCAGGCATCCACGATACGCTGATCGCGGCATGTGACCCGCAGCGATACAAAGGCCTTGGCGTGCAAGACTGGGAGCATCACGGAAGTTGCGCGGAGAACCTTGTTTTGGCGCTGAAGGAGTTGAACGAGCGCGCCGGGCTTAAGGGTGCAAAGAGCGTTGGTGCGGATGTGACGATCAACGCCGTGCCTGCACCGCTGAATCTGTTCATGAACATTCCGTGGGACGATGATGGCGACCTTGCGTTCAAGGCGCCGAAGGGCAAAGAAGGCGATTACGTGCGGCTGAAGGCGGAGCGTGATGTTGTGGTTGTGATGAGCGCATGTCCGCAGGACGTGTTGGAAATCAATGCGAAGAAACCGACAGACGCACAGTTTATTGTTGAAGGAGGCGACGAAGAGACGAAGGAGCAGCCGAAGAAGGCTCCGGCAAGGCGGCCGCCCCCGAAGAAGCTTAACTCGTCATCGAGAGCGCCTTCGACGGCAGGCACGGACGCGGGTGATGCGAAGCCTGCGACGAAGAGACCAGTACCTGCGAGGCGGACCGTTCCTCAGAAGAAGCCTGACGGCGCCACTGCAGCGCCGGCAGCGAAGAAGCCGGTGCCGAAGCCAGTGCAGCCACAGAAGAAGGTACCTGCTGAAGGCGGTGAGGCGAATGGCGAAGCGGCTGCGCCAGTCGAGAAGAAGAAGCCTCGGAAGCTGACTACGAAGCCCAAGGCGGAGGCGGGAGGGGAGTGATTCGCACTGTCAAACATGTAAGGTGTTCTTTGGGAGGCAGACTTGGGAGCATCTGCAATTCTTGGATAGTATTACCTCGAATCGCAGCGACTTTGGCGACGGAACGATCTTTTTGCTAGGTGACATGCAAGGGCTGCTGCTGATAGGCACGCGCACACCTGCACGCCCGAGTCGTTGTCAAGAACAATGTTACTCTGTGGCTTCGATCAGGACCTTTACCTCGTCACTGATTTCCTGCCACGCTGGAAGACAGCTTTCTAGGCGTCACCGTCGTCGAAGATCGTAACAACCTCGTCGGTGACCCCAAACCCGTTACTCGGACCAGAATATCGCTCGTCCGTACTGCCTGAGCGGCTCTGGGCAGAGCAAACGTTGTGGGAACGGGCTGGAGCTGTGACACAGCGGTGTGCGACTCAATGAGCATGGTGTCGGTAGCCTCCAAATGGGTGGCCGTCGGCCAGTCTTCTGCTATGGCACGTTCACAGCAGTATTGTGAGAACGCAACAAGCTGCGCATTTGGACTGAAAGCAATGAAACACGAATATAGCCTGCACTATACTTTTTGTCGTGCTGTGGTGATGGCTATAGTGTGCGGAAGCTGTTAGATCAACGATGACACTATCAAAGGTACAGTCTTCCCCTATAGCTCGCAAGCGGTCACGGAGTCGGTCAGACATATGTGAGATAGTTCCGAATCCGTGGTATTGGGAGTTGGTCACGTTCTGCAACAATTCCTATGGGTAGGCAATCCGGCAGATGTCGGAGTCCTCCGCTCGGCCAAGTCTCGCATTGTGAGCACCTACCTGTTTGCTCAGGTTGCAATCGTCTAAAGCGGGGCACGTAGATTTGAAGGTCGCATTCTACGTGGAAAGGTCACTTTTATCTGCCTGTCTGCCATATCAGATGCCGTCTATGAGAGTCTAGCTCAGCATATGACTATCTGCATTGACCTTTGCTCTCCATGCAGCCGTGAGCACATCACATCATCAGTCATCTCACCACGCAGAGTCTTCATGGGAAGCATCGCAAGCCCAGCAAGCTTACATGCTCTCCTCGATCTTCTTCACGCACTCCGGGAACTCCTTCCAATCGTGCATGACAACCTTGGCATTGCACTGCTCGGTCAGCGTCTTAGCCATCTGGTCCTCCTTCTCCTTGCCGTCCTCAAGGCCGTAGATGCCGACGTAAGCAATAAGCGGTATATTGGCGCGCATGCCGGCAGTAGCGCCCGACTTGCTGTCCTCGACGGTGAGGCAGTCCTCAGGCTTGACACCGAGCTCCTTGCAGGCGTGGATGTAGATAGCTGGGTCTGGCTTGGAGGAAGGCGGGTTGAGTGACGTGGCGGCGGAGTAGACATGCTCCTCCTTGAAGAAGCGGAGCAGGTTGGTCTTCTGCAGTGAAGCGATGACACGCGGCTTGGCGGAGGTGGAAACGACGGCCATCGGGTAGCCTTGCTTCTGGGCCCACTCGAGCTGCTGAGTGACACCGGGACACTCCTTGCACTTCTCGCTGAGCTTCTGCGTGACCTTGCCGAGCTCACGGCTAACGTAGTCGTCCTGCTCCTCTTTGCTCATTTCGAAGTTGTGCTTTTTCTGCAGGCCAACGAGCATGTTGCGGAAATTGTGGCCGACGAAGTCCTCGAGTAGGCTGTCGACATTGTAGCGGGCATCGATCTTGTGCTTCTCAAGCACCTCATTGGTGAGCTCGGAGCAGGCCTCGAAGGCGAGACGCTCGGACTGGCAGAGAGTGTTGTCGCAGTCGAGCAGAATGTACTTGCACTGTGTGTCAGGATCCAGTCAGCAAGGCACCTTCTCTACTGTTAAGCATGGCTGCCTCATCTTAACGAAGGAGAAGCCTGGTGTTGTAAAGCGGGGCTATCGTACCTTCCCCATCGTGACGGCTTGCTTGGTTGTTGAGTGAGGCTGGAGTGACCAGAAGTGCCGGAGTATTCGACGTATGTTGGGAGATTGTTGGAGATTCGAGTAGGAAATGTCAATGGGAGGCGAACTTGGGAGAGTGTCGGTGTGACTTGACTAGACTTCAGCTGTGTCAGGTTGATTCACTGGCGATCTGCATGCGCGGAGCGGTTCCTTGTCCCACGGGGTACGCAGTAGCGCGAATTTGCTAGGAACGGCTATGCCCGTGCCGCCAGCACCGGGCTCAATGTGGTCAAGTGAAGCTCGACAACTTCATTATTGCCGCAATGTGAACCTTGCCAGCTCACTCGAAGCCCACAATCCCACACACCAAGGAGGTGACATCCTACGAGTCTATGAGTTCCACAGTCTTGGACAGTCCCTCGACGTTTGTAATGACCATCTGCCATCAGGCACGTTCTAAAGGATCACAACGCATCTGAATATGCTGGTGGCGTCCGGTCAGGGGTCGCCGCGTAAGGCACCTCGTAGCTGGCTGCTGTGTGTTCTTTGCGTGCGAACCTTGGTGAGGTAACGATCCAGGTGGACAACGCATTCGCAGTCTCCTATCGGTCGCCAGCATCGCGAAATTGCCAATTATCGAAGGCATCATCCATTCACTTGTTCATGCTGCTTGCTTGCTTGGAAGCAATGTACGATGAGCATCATTTGGAAACTTTGCGCTCCTCTTGTACTATACAGTCTCACGTTGGCTCTAGGGGCGAGCAATGTCCGTTGGGATGATGGTGCCCTATCCACATTTATTACGGTATGGCTGCAGCAGCAGCATCAGTGGTGGTTGTCTACCTAGGCAGCTGACACAACACAGAGGCCCGATCTCAAGCCGCCCAAGCTCCGTGTCGCTGTTCACGACGCCGAAAGAGTGACTCCAGGCTATCTCTTCATTGCGCCCTACAGTCACTTAGTGCCAGCGTCTGACATGCATGTATACTCAACGCATCAGATAGGGCCACACATCTACGACCAGGCCGGAGTATGTACCCTCCTCTGCGGTTTCACCAGGAGGCACGTCTAACTGCGTCTGGTAATAGCGCCTTGTATGGAGTGGAGCGGGTCTTTTCCCTAATCGCGTCGCACTCGACTTCAAGAAGAAGACACTAGCGGATGGAGCCGAGTACCTAACCTTCATCGCTTACCAGAGCTTTCCCGGTTCGCCTTTCGAGAGAGGTGCTGGCATTGCGCTGGACTCGGCGTACCGCATGATTCGAAACGTGACCATTCCGTTGGAAGAAGGCTCAGTATTGGACGTGCACGAGTTTACTCTGGTTGACAACGGCCAGTCTGCCCTGCTCGCAACCTCGAAGGTCGTCTTGACCTCGGTCGGTCCTGCGTCAGGGAACCAACAGCGGACCGCCTTGATCATGAATGCGGAAGTGCAGGAAGTCAATATCTCATCGGGCCAGAAGAAGTTCGTGTGGAGTGCGATCGATCATATATCGACCAACGAGAGTACATCGCCCATGCCGAATAAGGGCTCGTTTGACAAGTGGGACTATCTGTAAGTCTCACTAATTGTTACGGGACTTCACCGTTCAGCTTGACTGATGTTGTGCGAAGGCATCTCAATTCGGTTGAAAAGACTGTCAACGGCGACTATCTGATATCTGCAAGGCACACCGATGCGGTATACCTTGTCTCCGGTATCGATGGCTCCATCATATGGCGCCTCGGCGGCACACGGTCGTCTTTCGTGATGGAAGGCTTTAATTTCTCGCGACAGCACGACGCACGACTACTTGCACAGAACGACACTATCACGGTCGTGTCTTTACTCGACAACGCCGCCGACGAAAGCTTGACGAATTTGACAAGCTCTTCGTGCTCATCACTGCTTACAATAGCTCTCCATACTGCCGTCGAGCCAAAGAGGGCGATCCTGGTCAGCCGCATCAGCCGACCTGATGAAGGTTTGTCTCGCCTTCGTGGTAACATGCAAACGCTGCCTGGTGGGAACGTACTCGGCGGATGGAGCGAACAAGGCTGGATCACCGAGCATGCTCCTAATGGCGACCTGGTGTATGAAGCTGCCTTCGCCTCGGATCGATTCTGCACGTACCGCGCATTCAAATTTGACTGGACCGCCTCGCCTGCGGGACTGCCGGTTGCGAGCGCCTTCGCTTCGACAACATCGCGCGGTGAACACGCCACGGTCATTCACGTGAGCTGGAACGGCGCCACCGAAGTCAAGGTCTGGAACTTCTTTACTACCGATGACGGCGTACATTCACCACGAAGGATAGGCAATGCGGAAAAGGCAGGCTTTGAAACCTCTGTTGTCATCGGTAGCCACTTTGCAACTGTGTTCGCAGAGGCTATCGATGGGTCAGGGAGAAGCTTAGCCAATTCAACTATGGTCAATACCGAGTTGCCGCTCGGCTGGCGCATGGACTTTTCTTTGCCAGCGCCGGAGCGCCCTTCTTCGCCGCAAGAAGCTTCGGCAGATAAAGAGCCACGACCTTCGACGGAAGAGCTTGCGCTACTTGAACAGATACGTGAGAGCAACTCCGCCGTATTTAGTATGCCAGTCCTGTTGGCAGTCGTGGTTCTCTGTCCACTTGGTTTGTCGCTGTCACTTAGGTGGTGTGTCTTGAGGCGGAGAACCAGAGCACAACTGAAGTGCAAGGAATGAAGACAGACGGCAGATGCTAATGTATCCCATTCCCTTCTTGAACATGACTACTTCATGCATGTACACTACGCGCGCATGAGCGCAGATGTAAAGAGGCCTGAGTATGCGGTCTGATTGAGGTCAGATCCTACGGCCATTTTCCCAGCCTTACGGTCGCGCACAAGCCATGGGGTGCCCCTGAGCCCAAATTGCAGTGGGACCTGATCGGTCAATCATCAGTATGAAGGACCGAGATTCGCCTGGAAACCAACTCCGTTCATTGATCACATAGATAGTGCTTGCAATCCGAGACTCCCCTGCACTCCTTCCTCTTCACCGAGCACCAAAGAAGTATCAGGGTACTACACCTGCGATCGCTGTCCCCCGAACAGCGCGTGCACGTTTTGACTGGCAACTCTACAGCTGTCGGCATTCTTGCAAAAGCTGCATACATCGCCCAAAGCGCGCGACCGGTTGCTCCCTGAGCTGAGCGACAGCTAAGGACAAGGAGCTTGCACGCGACAGGTGCAGCCGTGCAGCTGCGTGCATACGCATTACGCGGAGGGAGCTTGGGGGTTTGACGCGGCATGAGCGGATAAACTGTGAGTTAAGCTTTCCTCGTCCTTCGCGCAGGCACAGCCACACCAGGCAGGAAACGACGTTGGTATTGCGCATGCCGACCCCAACAATTGGTATACACGCAATGGCACTGCGTTCGCGAGGCCGTATACTAGAGCAGCCAAGCAATTGGCATGGCTGGGAGATGAGAAAGGAGAGCTAGTCAGCGTCACCGCCTTCGCCACGGATGTCGGCGGATGGAATAAGCTGCAGGCGCCGAACAGCCGACGTGCATTGTTCCTGCACAAAAACATCGCAAAGGCCTCGACTTCGTCTGCCACCGCTTGCCGCTTCCTCCACAACCACCCACACTCCCTACCACACTCACGTCGCCTGCGCATTGCTCCACGTGACACCGTCGCTCCCTTCTACATCACTGGCTTCGCGATAGACGAGCAGCTGCGGCTGCTACTACGACTACAAACCGAGACCCATAATACAATATACAGCAGCTAATCATAATCGAACCAATACCAGAACGATGCCTCTCCGCACCCTCAACCCCTTCGCCGCCGCGCCTCCACTCCCCTCCCACCCCGAGGTTCTCAACGAGAAGGAACCGATTCGCATTGAGACACGGGAGACAGTGGCGCCGAAGAAGGCAGTTCGATCGCGCTTCTCCGTGTCCTTCCCCAGCACACCAACCTGGAAAGCTCCCAAAGTCGCCGAAATACCACCACCGCAAGCTAAGCTAGAAGCGCCGCAACCGCCAACATTCCGCCCACCTTCACCCCTGAGCTTGCCTACCATCAACCTGACGACGGCGACAGGCGAGAAGAGCAAGATGGAGGATGCGCCGAAGTCGCTGACTCTGTTCCAACCACCTAGTCCTGCGGAGGCCAAACGAATAGCGAAGCAGCACGCAGCATTCGGTCCCTTGGGCTCAAAACAGCACCTTTACTCGTCACGCTTCGAAGGCACCGACTTCCCAGAGCCGGTAGAAGACGAGCCACCCTACTACTATCTTATCACCACCTACATTTCCTACCTTATCCTCATCATTTTCGGGCACGTGCGAGATTTCTTCGGCAAGCGGTTTCGGCAGGATCATTACAGGCATCTGCAGGAGCAAGATGGGTACGCACCATTGAACAACGATTTCGACAATTTCTACATTAGACGATTACAGCTACGGATCAATGACTGCTTCAGACGACCCGTGACAGGTGTGCCAGGTCGTTTCATCACCTTGCTGGACCGGACGAGCGATGACTTCAACTTGTCGTTCAAGATGACGGGCACGACCACGGAGACGCTGAACATGTCTTCATACAATTACCTCGGCTTTGCGCAAGCGGATGGCGAGTGCGCGGACGCTGCTGAGCAGAGCATCAAGAAGTATGGCATCTCCTTCTGCTCGCCTCGCGCAGATGCAGGGAACAGCGAGCTGCATGTGGAGGTGGAACGCTTGGTCGCGGAGTTCGTGGGCAAGGAAGCAGCGACCATCCACAGCATGGGTTTCGTTACCAACGCTGCTGTCTTTCCGGCATTGGTCGGTAAGGGTTGCCTCCTCATCAGTGACCAGCTGAATCACTCGTCCATCCGCTTCGGCGCAAGGTTGTCCGGCGCGGTCATTGACATGTTCAAGCACAACGACATGGTCGATCTAGAGCGCCTGCTGCGCGAGCGCATCAGCCAAGGTCAACCACGCACGCACAGGCCGTGGAGGAAAATCTTGGTCGCTGTGGAAGGCTTGTACAGTATGGAAGGCACCATGTGCAATCTGCCGGGTCTAGTGGCGTTGAAAAAGAGGTACAAGTTCGCTCTTTACGTCGACGAGGCGCACAGCATTGGCGCATGCGGGCCTAGGGGACGCGGCGTGTGCGACTACTTTGGCATCGATCCGAACGAAATCGACATTCTGATGGGTACCTTCACAAAGTCCTTTGGCGCGAATGGTGGTTACATCTGTGGCAGTAAAGCCATGGTCGACAAGATTCGCGTCACGAATGCCGGCACCATCTTCGGCGAGTCGCCTACTCCTGCGGTGCTCACGCAGATCGCGACTTCACTCCGCATTATCGCTGGCGAGATAGCACCTGGACAGGGCGAAGAGCGATTACAGCGTCTGGCGTTCAATTCGCGCTACCTGCGCCTTGGCTTGAAGCGGTTGGGCTTCATCGTCTACGGCCATGATGATTCCCCGATCATCCCGCTTCTGCTCTACCACCCAGCGAAGATCCCAGCCTTCTCGCATGAAATGCTCAAGCGTAAGATCGCCGTGGTCGTGGTTGGATACCCAGCTACGCCGCTCATTTCATCAAGAGCACGTCTATGCGTGTCTGCGGCGCACACGAAGGACGACCTAGACCGATTACTAGCCGCCTGCGACCAAGCGGGCGATGTGCTTCAACTCAAATTCAGCTCCGGCATCGCAGGCGGACAGGAGCCTATGCATGACGGCCTCGTGAACGAAGACCAGGAGGAAATCCGGTCGTGTCTAGAGATGGGCGGCAAACCAGCAGTCAAGGCGCCGCGATGGAGATTGCACGAGATCCTGAAGCGTGGCGTTCAGGATGTCAAGAAGCCGCTCTATTAGGGCAGTTTCTGACTTACGCCACGAGCGAGGGCGGTAGTGTTTGCATCTTCCACGGGTTGGTACAATAGGCGAGGTGTTATGGCGCAGATACGGGCGTTTGCGGCAACGCAAATTCTATGGCGACCGACCGGCGCTTCTCCCTCTGGCAGGTTTCAGGTTATGGGGATGGATCCACCCAATTGAGGATAGGGACGTTACATGAGCGACTGTGTGGAAATACCTTCTTCTTTTACTAATGTTTAGGTCTTACCTTAGCATTCTATGAGTAGGAATGAGATGGTGGCAGATGTAGCATGGTGTGACCTGCACTCCAGCCTCACATTGAACTCGCTTCCCTCGCATCCGTTTTGGGTGTTTGTCCGTTCCTTCGAAGGACTCAGCTGAGACGTCCAGTGACCTCGGATATGAACGCTCGAACCATTTTCCTGAATACTTGCTATCGTGCCGAGACCAGCCTTTCTTAGTTTGGTCGAAATCAGTAGGTCTGTCATCAATCTATGCCCAAAGGAATTTGAGGAGTTGGAGGTGCTCGGACGATATGGAGAACACGGCGGTTTCCACTCTGCGGTGTTATTCGGGTTTACGTGAGACCGAGATCCTTTCTTCTCGCCTTTCCGTCTTCTTGACGGACTTGGCGTAACAAGCGCGAACATCGATGGCAAGCGGACTGCACTTCGGGGTTTGCTCATATCCTCGCGGGAAGAGCGTGAACCGATCTACAGGAAGTACATGGATCACTCAGCCATAGAATTTAAAGCCAGGCGATGGACGCTGCGGAAGTTACTTCTCAGGACCCGAAGTCTTCTGCCTTCTTGGAACATCTCTCGAGAGCCATCATAGAAGAGTGTGGCAACGCCAAGAACTTCGACTCACCCATCATGTCATTGATGGCACCAACCTTCTCCGCCGTGCACGACAGTCTCACTACTTTCGAGAATCGGGCGGATTTTCTGGTAGGAATGAAGGCTCATTTCCACATGTTCCCGAGAGCCCATCTAGAAGTCCTGAACACATCGTCCGACGTTGATGACGAGGCCGGTAGAGCGGACGTCTTCCTGTTCTTCCGCATTTCGGGCGTGGGCAGAGGCCTTGATCTCAAGCGGGAGTGTGTGGCGCTAATGCAGTGGGAGAGGAGGGAGAACGGGCAGTGGATGGCGGTAAGGTATAAGGGAATGAGAGGGTCGGCTTCGTTCCGAGATATATGAGGAGGACATGGGACGTGATATGAGTGTGCTGACTCTTTCGAAAGTGGTTAATGAAGCAGGGCACACATTGGGGATATCTTCGTGTCGGCTACTCCGTGATAAATGCTAGAAGGAGCATACATGCTCATGAAAGCTCTTTGGATGAGCGCACCATTTCTGCGAGCGAAGTAGCGTGTATGCGCGAGTGATTTAACGGGCTACAGCCGAGCCTTGCCACTCCACGAATCACGGTCGAGAAAGGCCGTACTGCATTTGGGCGCTGGGCGACGTCGAAATCATGTCGTGCGCGTTGGATATATTGTGTTAGCAAAGCCGTGCCATGGCCGATGCAGACCGCTGGGTGCCGTTGGTATCGTGTGGCGTATGAAGCGGTGTAATGGGCAGCGCAGGACGACCAGCTGTGGTCTCCGATCATGGAAGAATGCGCAAAATTAGGCGTGCTTGCAGTTAATCACCTGCGAAGGGTGGCGAGGAGAGTCCTTGAGCGGTGCGTGTTACATGTATCGACACAGGAAAAAAGTGCCTTCGCATATGCCAGTGTTTCCAATGGCTCGCACTGACGCCACACGATGAGGGGCTGGACGTGGGGTTGCTTCAAGTTCCCTTCGCAGCTCAGCATGTGTGATCAACATTTTCCGTGTTCTCCCGAGGCGGCCTTCTTGACAGCGACACTTATCCTTCGTGCCTGTCTTTGCTCGCACCCATATCTCTAACGTCAACACCGCAACCATGGCCCGCCAATTCTTCGTCGGCGGCAACTTCAAGATGAACGGGACCATCGAGTCCATCAAAGAAATCATCCACCGCCTGAACGACTCCAAGTACGACCCCAACACTGAAGTCGTGATCGCTCCTCCAGCTCTTTACCTCCTCCTCTGCCGCGAACACTTGAAGAAGGGCATCGAGGTAGCGGCACAGAACGTCTTCGACAAGCCCAACGGCGCCTTCACCGGCGAGATCTCCGTCAGCCAGCTGAAGGACAGCAACATCACCTGGACTCTCCTCGGCCACAGTGAGCGGAGGGTGATCCTGCAAGAAACGGACGCTTTCGTCGCAGCCAAGACAAAGGCTGCGCTGGATGGCGGTATAGGCGTGATTCTGTGCTGTGGTGAGACACTGGAGCAGAGGGAAGCGAACAAGACGCTCGACGTAGTCACTGCACAGCTCTCGGCTGTTGCGAAGGAGGTCAAGGACTGGAGCAAGATCGTCGTGGCCTACGAGCCGGTGTGGGCAATTGGCACGGGCAAGGTCGCAACCACGGAGCAGGCGCAGGAGGTGCACGCAGCGATCCGGAACTGGATGAGTAAAGAAGTCAGCAGCGATGCAGCAGAGAAGACGAGGATCATCTATGGTGGTAGCGTGAGTGAGAAGAACTGCCGTGACCTGGCTAAGGAGAAGGATATTGATGGCTTCTTGGTCGGTGGTGCGAGCTTGAAGCCGGCGTTTGTGGACATCCTCAATGCCAAAGCATGAGCGCCTGTATGGTAGACGGTAAGCAAAAAGCGTCAGCACTTGAGGCACGGAGGAAAAAGCAGTGCGCCACAATGTGGTCCTCACACTGCTCCATTTTAGATATGCACAAGCTAGTCTTGTCCAGCCTCATTGCCTCATTGATACATGACATTAACATTAAGAGTACAGTGAGGCAAAAGGAACCAGCCCGTCGCTGTGACTGACGGGGCAGGAGGAAACATCAACAGCGACTCCACTACGTCTTCTGGACGATTTACGTGGTAGACCCTAATTACGCCTTGTTTGCCTTTTTGCAGTTGGATCGAACGCTCGTCGCATACTTTCTTGCCCAGTGGGAAGGATTTCAACTAGACCTCGACAGCTGATTGGGGGTGCGAGATTGCTGTCTGGGTCATATATTACTATAGCGCAGCCGAACTGATGCCGAGGGAAGGCACGCTAACCCGCGACCTGAAGGTATACGGCAGGGGCCTTTAATCTTCCCGTACCAAACCACAGTCTTACGGCATTCATACACTGATCTAGGTCGTCGCTCCTCGACGCCGACTATCTTCTCCGAGCAACTCCTTGGCGACTCCTTGCTAGCTGGGAGGCTGATGCGGAGCACAACTGAGCGTTCATTTTCGCCGCTCTTGCAAGCGATCCCTACATTCAACAATGCGGCCGTCGGCTGGAGGGTTGAGTCGCGAAATGTGATCTCCGGCGTGCACCGAGCGACGTCTGCTCCACCCAACGACATTGCGGCGAAGCCGCGTCTTGTGCCTCAGCATATCAGTAACGGGTTCGTGAGCCCAGCTCAATGCGTCTTCGCCCATTCTCGATACCAATCCAAGCAACCCGCGTTCGCCACGCTCGCGCTCGTCCTAACGTTCATCCCACACAGTATCTGCTTTACCGCGCCTTCGATCTTCTTCCCGTTCGTTGTGACTGGGATTTCGGGACACTCGTCAATGATGCCCGGAACGTGCCTCGCACTGAGCTCTTTGCGCACTACCGTCTTGATGTCGTCGACCAGCTGCTTGCTAAATGTGACACCCTCCTTCATCTTCAAGAAGAGCACAACGGTTTCGTCCGAATCCTGCTCTCTTCTTCGGCCGATGCAGAGGGCATCCTCCACCTGATCCGGGAAGTGCTTGAGTAGGATGTTGTAAATCTCGGCGCTGCCAAACCGCACGCCCGAGGGCTTGAGGATGCCGTCAGACCTTCCGAGCATCCAAAGGCCGCCTGTTTTCGGGTTGAACTTGATGAAGTCACCGTGGTGCCACACGCCCTCGAACTGCTCGAAGTAGCTCCCTCGATACTTCTTCTCGCCCGTGGGTCCCCAGAATTGCACCGGTTGACATGGAAACGGCTTCACGCAGACCAGATCGCCGGGCTCGCCGGTGGACGTGATGTCCTTGCCCGTGTAATCCCAGGCTTGCACGGCCATGCCAAGGCCTAGCACTTGAATCTCGCCGATGTAGACCGGATGTAAGGGACATGGTGCGCCGAACAGGGAGATGATGTCTGTTCCGCCGGTGATGGAGCCAAGGTTAATGTTAGGTCCGAACGCACGGTAGACATACTGGAACGTTGACGGCGCCAACGGAGAACCAGTGGAGTATATAGCCCTCAAAGTCTTGATGGAGAGGCCGGAGGACTTGGGCATGATCTCCTTCTGTTCCAGGACGGAAAGGTACTTGGCGCTGGTGCCAAAGTGAGTGATGCCTAGCTCATCGATCAAGCGCGGCATGGCGAGGTCGTCCTTTACACTTTCGCCGTTCGAGAGATACTGGAAGGGCGAGCCGTCATAAAGGATGAGCGTAGCGCCAGAGGCTAGCCCGGAGACGAGCCAGTGCCACATCATCCATGTGCAGGTAGTGAAGTAGAAGAGACGGTCACCTGGTCGAATGTCGCTTTGAAGGATGTGCTCCTTCTTATGTTGGATCAGGGTGCCGATGGCGCCGTGCACGATGCATTTAGGTGCTAAAAGTAGAGACCATCACTATCAGCACTGTCTCGTACAAGAAGAAGGGTTGTAGTCAGCATATCACGTACCGCCCGTTGTGCCGCTGCTGTACAGGATATAGACAGGATGATCGGGCGGCAGTTGCTCGAACGTGAGCGTCGACGGTGGTGAAGGATTCATGGAGATGAAGCTGGAGTAGGTGAAGATCTTGTCTGCCATTCCCGGCGGCGCGGCAACATTGAAGCCCATTGATGGAACCGTCTCAAAGATGATCGTAGCTTTAAGTGATGGCAACGAGGCAATGATCTCGGCGACCTTGGGTAGTACGGGATGCGTCTTGCCATTGTACATTACTGCATTATCCGTGAATAGAACTGCTGGCTCAATCTGCACCATACGATCCAGCACAGCCGTCACGCCAGTGTCCGGACTTACGGCGGTCCAGATCGCTCCGATTGATGTCGCAGCTAGCATGGCCACCAGCGCATTCGTGTGGTTGGCAACGTATCCAGCTACCCGATCACCAGCTGTGATCTTCAAAGCCAGCATACCAGCCTGACATTGCCGGACCCTCTCTCTCAGGTCTGACCACCGTACTTCTTCCCTCGTCGTCTCGGTTGCCGCAATCACAGCAACGCTGTCGTCTGCGACCTTCTGCGTTGGGAATAGAAGGTTCTCGGCAAAGTTCAGCTTCGCTCCTTCGAACCATGCCGGCCGCGGGAACATTGTTTTGTTGTCCGAAACAACGGTCTTGAAGTCGCTCGAGGAGCGAATCCCACAATGCTGCCATATCTCGCCCCAGACTTGTTCGATGTTACGGATGCTCCAGTCATGCAACTCGTCATATGTGCTGAAAGACTTGTGATAGCGCTTGTTCACCCGTTGCATGAAGTCCCAAAGCTGGGTGTCTTTGGGCGATGGGTGTCGCCAAAGGAGGTTGGGGTCATCGTTATTGATGGCCGATGTGGATTCGATGCCATTCGTTGGTTCAGACATTGCACTCGGCGTAGGCGGCGACAGTCTTCTGAACGATTGTAGCCCAAGAAGCGAAAGCATCGCCCTCGTAACGCGTCCATCTTCGTTTCACACATTGACTTCGCGACTTTTCGGAGCAGGAGGAGGTGGCTTGATGCAGGTGGGGTTTGTCGGCCAAAGGGGTTTGGTGAGCTTTCCCTCCACGATCGAGGCCGATGCACCCTTCGTCTTCTGGTCATGTACCAGTATTTCGCTGTCAACACACTACAGGTCCGGCTCGATATATGCACCTGGCGACCATGCATGCTGTTGCGGGTCAGATGTGGCTCGGACACGCCGTCGACACATACTACAGTAGCGCCGGTACCATGGTGTTGGGCAACGATCCTTTTGCCTAACTACTTAAGCACGAGACCGCCCTTTTGCGAAATAGTCGAACCGCTATCGTAGATGCGCAAACGTCGCATATCCGCTCAAAGCAACCGCGCTCAGGGCAAGAACCCATCGAAAGTTGTTCACACGACGCCAGAACAAGATCAGATCCTTCATGTCCGTCTCTTCTGCCCACTGTCTACTTGCCTGCGTCGATCCGTGGCGGTGGGCCGACGGATACCATATGCTGGTGTCTTCCATATTGAAACCCTCATCCTTCAACAGTGTCTGAACCTTCCACTTGGTCGCTCCATTTATACCCGGCTCCATGTAGAAGAAGGTGATGGGAAGGATGCTGAAGATGCCCATGGCGGCTGTGATGTATAGGGATCGCTGAAACGGCTCTGGTGCAGATAGAGCAAGATACACATTTGCCAACGTGCCAGGAGCGACAAGCGGTGGCACCCAAAGAGGTCCATACTGATAACCATTCAGCCATTGCTTCGCCATGACTTTTTGGCTTGACGCATGATTGACAATGGGTTCAACGAAGGTCAACGAGTCAGAAGCCGTAAAGCCTACCACCAGCTGTCCATCAGCTTGGTGAGCTTTATCAACTTTGCCGGCACGAAGGTGACCCACCTGCATAGAGTGTTGGAAACACAATGCCAACGAATCTGGCAGTCGCAACACTTGTAGAATTGTCCATTTACGTTAGGTTGCAACGAACGCACAACGAAGGCAATGGCAATCCGGCATAGCTCTTAAGTGACAGCGCCATATCCGGTGAGGAACTAACAGGCAGCGCGACCGCTGTTGGTACCCACTGTTGAGCGCCAATAGGGACGCCTTACGAGGCACAAGGCTGGCGTTATTAGAGCGCGAATACAGCGAACTAGCGTCGATACATCGAGCTGACCTTCTACGTTATGGTCCGGTTCCGACCAATGTCACCTGGCGCACAGTCGTCGATAATGTGTATGAATTGATCTTGAAACACGTGCGATGAAGGCTTGTGGAGGTGGCCCTACTTGGACACCGTCGGCTCGCTCACAGAAGCATACCCTAGTCTTGCGTGTCAGATTGTCTGCTCGAATTGCACGCTCCCCCGAGACACCACGCTGGGCACAACATAAGCATTCTACAATACAGGGGTATCATGACGGAAATCCCATAGACCTTTCGCGCAGCAGCCGCTGTATTTCTGGATCCTCGCGACCAAAGACCATTTGGTCTGCACTGCAAGCACCTCCTCTACTGTCCAACTGCTGCTCCGCTAGATCGTCGCTGAAGATGACCGATTTACCCAGGATAGTCCAGCGGCTGGTAGGTCGTCCATCGACTCCATGTGACTCTCTTGGCTCCAACAGCCACAATCGCGCGAGATTCACGTAGTCCGGATCCAAAAGTGCCGTCGGTATGGCCGGACATACAGCGCGTGAGGGCGCATATGTGAGGATCTTGCCGCCGTTCTCAGTGGCGACCCAAACCGGTCTCCATTCTTCGTAGTGTAGAATGTGACGCTGTGGCATCCCTCTTATGACCAGGAAGTTCACAAAGTCCATAATGAAAGCCGCCGCTTGCATGTCCCAAGCGCTCTGCGGCCACTTTCCGTAAGTGTTTCTCAGCGCTACCAGCAAGTTCCACGCACTTTCGCCGTCTCGTCGCCATCGGCTAACACCATACCGCATGCACACATCTTCCACCCAATCTGGCCCACACTCGTAAACGCATGCGAGTGTCTGGCTGTAGACATCGAACATCGACCCAAAATGACGGTTGGCAGAGGCGTCAGCGATCAGGTAACGGCCCCGGTTGCGACCCAGTTTCTGGTCCTGGCAGAAGTGTATAATGTTACAAGCAATCTCCAGGCTTCGCGCATCTTCGCAACCGCGACGCACTGGTCCGCTCTGTAGAAACTTTAAATCAAGCTGAACAAAATGCTCTCCAGCTGACACGCCCGTCTCGATGCGCGCCTTCGGATCGAGCCTGTTCAGCGTCCGGTAGTTATTGAGGCCAGAGTCCACGTTTGTTGGTTCGAAGAGCCATGTGGATGACGCAGTCGGCGATAGTGGTGAGTCGGTGTCTGCTTGGACGAGCCGCATTGGAGGTCCAACCGAACAAAGTGCGCCGGGATCCTGCGCCGCGAGTGCCATGGTGAGCAGCATATACTGACATTCCGCTTTCGTCAAAGACATGCCCGGGTCTCTCATCGCCGGCGTAATTGCGAGGCCGCATTCCATGGTGTTTAAGATTATGGATATCTTGTCCTTGAGCGCATCTGCAGCTCGCTGCCTTGGCGGGATTCGGGGATCTCCTCCGGTCTCCATGCTGAAGACTTCTGCAACCACCGTGGTGAAGTTGCCATGATGCGCATTCAAGTGCCTCTCATGAGCTACCAGCTTATTTCGATCGCGGAAGAACGCATGTAGCGCTGGCTTCACCTGCTCAATGTCTGACTCGAATGGAACCTCACTCGCCAGACCGAGGAGATGGGTCAGGCAAGCGCCTGTGAATCGCACAACGCTGTGGCCGCTCCAGCTGCCGGGACTTTTACAAGGCACAAGGAAGACATGTTCCCTGGCAAGCCTCATTTCATGTCTGCACCAGGCCCGCTTGAACCACGATGAGCGTAGGAGCTTCCGTAAGACTTGGTACATCTCATCATGCTGGCCCAGGTAAGGCCGCTCTTTGCCTCGGAAGCGCTTCCTTGCCGGCACATGTGTCAATTTGGCAAACTCCGCCATGTGGTTCTCGAGCATTTCGCCTTCATGAGCATCGAAGTGGATATCGTCAAGAGCAACGACAACTATGCGGGCACTTCTATATACCATGTCCATTGCAGACATGGATATCGTCGTCTCGTCTCGGCTAGTTCCGTCGATGCATATCTGATCAATCCAGAGACCTTCGGCGCTTGATGCGCGCTCATCTAAAACAGCCTTGAACAAGGCTTTCTCAAGTGGAAGCGTGTAGTAATCATGATGCTTCTGCACGAGGACTCGTCTGCGGTAGCTTAAAGCGATGAAGGAACGGTTTCGCTCGCTTACGTTTCGATTCTCGTAGATGAGTCGGAAAATGAATGATTCCTTGGTGTCTGGTTTCAACATGAAGTTCGCCGCGACATTGGCATCGAGTCGAGTCAGCCGCTCTAACAGTGCCGAAGGATCGATTTCAGCGTCTGCCGCTACCCCTAACACATTCGCTTTTTCCGTATAACCGAGAACGTGAACTTGGTTGACTGGGATATGGCTAAGTAGGGACACCTCGACAGGCTTGATCATGAATGCGCCGGTATCTTGAGACTCTGGGGACGATCTGCGTGATGCACTGTTGCTCCGAGGGAGACGTTGGTCCCGACCGTATGGAGAAGGGCTGCGCCTTCGACCCGGGTTCAGTGCCTCTGCTAGTCGCCGGGAGTTGACCAGCGTAAAGCTATTTCCATCATCAACTGGGGCTGGCGAAGGAGACCGTGAAGTGCCAGAGCCAGATTCTGGACTGCTGTCTTGCTCAACCATTCGGTCATCCAGTCCTGTTGGCTGCTTTACCACCATCCGGAAAGGGCCGGGGCTGGAACTCGTGTCGTTCCCAATATGGTCCTTGTGGGTGGTGTATGGTAGCTGAAACAGATCGATCGTAGTGTTGCGGTCATGGCGCCGATGCCATGCTCTGTACAATCCCACGGTCGCATTGACGCTATCTTCGTTCTCATCACTACTGCTGTGATCGGCTGTGATATCGCTGCTATACCCGCGCTTGTGCAGAGATCTCGTCCTAGTAGATGAAGCCAGAGTATCCGGCGCGAGATAGCTTCCTGTTTCAACGAGGTCTTCTGTTGACAGGATCTGGCCGCCTCCATCGGATATGATTGAGCTGGCGCGTCTGCGTAACGGTTGCTGTCCGAACGCTCTATAAGCGCTCATGAAGTGTTGGAACGAACGAAGACGTTCGGTGGTTTGACGAGGCGCTCGTTCAAAGTACTCTCTCTGCCACTTGCTACGTTCGTAGCGTTCACAGGTCTGCTCTACTTCGAGCTCCGTCTCAAACTTCTTCACCATAGCTCTCCGGTACTTCTCGAAAGCTAATAGCTCTTTGCGACGCAGCCTCTCGAGCTCCTTCCGCCGCAGCGAGAAGTAGTCGGCTTCTTTGGTCTTCCCGTCCGCCATTTCAGATTGCGTGGATCGAGCATGGTGTGATCGGTCACGCTTGGCAGAGGTGCGAGCCATGGCCGGATCAGTCATTGGTTTCTTGACGCTCATGGCTCGTTCCAGGACCGTCCGCCTTCGCGTCAAGCCGATATGAGGCAGCACATCGTCGTCGGGTTCGCTCGAGACGTAGCCGGACCCCGGCTCATGCTGTTCGCCCTCTTTGCCAGCTTTATTACCCTCGTTCGAGAGCAGGTCTGCCATGCGCGCCAGCAAGTCTTCCTGCTCCTCGGCAAATCGTAGGAACACTAAATAACGGCGTCGCTTGTCCGGGTCCGCAAGATGCTTCCAGGCCTGGTGGACCGTGTGAAACTGCTCTGAGAGAGCTGAATTCGAGTCGGCCAGTTGGTGCCTGTTTGGGTGATACCGACGAGCGAGGCGCCGGTACTGCAACCTGATCGTCTCGGTCGAGGCATCTCGTGGCAAGTCGAGCGCGGCAAACGGGTCGAAGACCGGAGCCATCGCAGATTACTGGGCCCCAAGGGACCACATGGTCGCAAGCGCATGGTCGCCAGAGCCTCGACTTATGTATCAATGGCTACAGAAGCCAAGACATCATTGACCAAGGCCCCTGCACGACATGCAGCTCAGCCGCAGCAAGATTGCCACGTGACTGCGGCGTGGGCGTCAGCTTAAGGCCGCCCATTCAGCACGGCACAGAATCGTAATTACCGTATGTATGCACTTCGCTCGATAGAGGATCAGTTCTCTAAGCGGCACATTGTACATCGCCCTCAGCGGCCCTTAAGGTCCTACTTATGAATGCCTCGCTTGTCAACAAAGGTGGTGTGGAGATGATCTTCGGTCGTTACAACGTGGTACGTAGTCCATATATCTGCTAGAGCTGTGGTGGCGAGAAGACCACGTTCAAAGGTGCCAGGTGCCGCCCTCCATCTACATACACTCTGGGAGGTGGCAGGGGATCCCAGCTTCTGTCGACGATGGACGTGACTGAAAGTTCTCTTCATTGCGCTGTGCAATCGATCCTTGTCACAGCCTGCCTATGTTACCGCAAGACTTCAAGCTTTCTCCATCGACCCACCAGCGGACTCATCAATCTCCATCTGCTCCTCCAACCCACAAACTTCGAAAATATTCTTCGGACTCAAGTCCTTCGGCAACCCAGTCACACCCTTACTCTTCAACCTGTGCAGCGTCTCCTGAATCGACAGGAAAGCGGGGCCCAAGCAAGCGAACGAGAAGATCATGATTCTGAACCCGAGAGTTTGCGCCTCGCTGGTTGGAATGGTGGGCGTGGCTCCGTTCTCAACCATGTTGAGTAGCATTGGCATGGGGTGCAGCTGCTTCACGGCTTCGCGAGCCATTTCTACGCTTGTTACTCCTTCTAGCTGTGCGACATCTGCACCTAGCTCCCTTGCTTCACGTAACCGTGCAATAGCTTCATCGAACCCATGTTTCTGCAGAGCGTCGGTTCGCGCAATCACGACGATATCACTGCTACAAGACATCCTCGCCCGCACCGCGGCCTGTATCCGTGTCTGGTACTCCTCTCGCGACACCACTTCCTTGCCTGCCAGATGACCGCATCGTTTCTGAAGTATCTGATCCTCGATATGGAAGGCTGCGACACCTGCTCGTGCATATTCTTTGACGGCACGATCGATCATAGTCGGTCCGCCGAATCCAGTGTCCATGTCCGCGATTAGAGGCACGGTCCGATCGAGGTTGGCTATCATCTCTGCATTGGCTCTCATGTCGTACAATTGTGCGATACCCAGGTCTGGTTGGCCAAGGCGCGATGCAGTTGTTCCTGCTCCTGTCTGAGATCTCAATCAGCTTCCGTGACGAATCGTTAACTGACAAGACACGAACCATGTATAGGGCATCGAACCCTACGTTTAAAGCAAGCCTCGCCGACAGACCGTCGTATACTCCAGGACAGACAATCAAGTCATCCGTCTCAGCGAGCATGCGTCGCAGCCTCGAGGCCGGAGTTTCACGTTCATCAACATGGCTGTGTGGCATATCGATCGAGTTTCCAATTGTAGCACAAGGGAATGTTTAATTTCAATGTTGGCGGCGACAGTATTCTCGCAGTGGCTTCCGATTGCACTCGGACAATGGACACAGACTCCGGCGAGGCGTAAGGATTAGGCGTGTTCCCTGGAGTGCGCGATCGGATGGGGATAGGATGGATTAGGGTTATGTGCCTCGCGTGCGCCGGCCAGAAAGCCACAGTATACAACCTTCTTACATGGCCCTCATTGTTGAGGAATCAAGCTGCTCAACGTGAAGATGGTCTTACTTGCGATTCGTGTTCGTGAACCAATAATGATGGGTTAGCCAAGGGGCGCAGACAAGATCGACCATGTGTACATTAGCGCCATGTTGTAGCAGCGAAGAAGTGATGTCAGTGAGCCGGCTAAGTGAATCAACGCTGTTGTGGACACGGCATAGTACAGTAATCGCGGTTTTATGGTTAACCTGGTGCAGCCACATTCGATGTGTCTAATGTAGTAGTGATCTGCAGCTTCCTTACTCGGCTAGTACAGTTCTTAGCCTTCAAACCCGACATGACTCGGAGCAGGCCGATGCTGGCGGTGAGTTTTGTGGGAAACTCTTTCCTTGTACACTCAATTAATCGATGTTCCACGACGGAGGCCGAGCTAACACGACTACCAAGCAGTAGACGATATGACACGGTGCACAAGATAGATGACTGCTATACATAAGTCTTGACCACCTCAGATCTCGTTGAAGGACCATTATCTTGATGGCTACCTGCTGCCGCTCATCGCCGGAACCGGAATCAGCCACAGTCAAGCTGTAACAAAGCGGTGCTACCTATATGAGACTAAATTTGGAACGTCACCGTGGAAGCGGGACAGATTGTGCAAGATCGGGAGATACAGGCTCAAACGCGGTACCATGGTCAGCCCCATGCTGCACAACAAGGCGTCTTATGTGGAAGGGAAGGTTGAGTGGAAAGTGAACGGAGCAAGAATGAGGTAGCAAGTATCTGGTCCCGTTTGATCTAGTGATCGTTACTCGCCAGAGGTGTACTTGCTCTTCAATCTGAGTCGCCCACCGTATCGATCGAAAGCAAAAGGTATCGGGATCAAGAGTACTGATATGAAACCTAGTAAAGATGTCGCCCAACCAGGTCCCAAACCCTCAAACATCTGGACGGCGAACAGCGGGAACACTGATGCGAAAAGGTATCGCAGGAAGGTGTTGGATGACCAGGCAGATGCGCCATATAGAGCTCCGTAGCAATCCGTAAGATATAGAGAGGCACAGGTGAAGATAAGTAAGTTGCCGCAGGCGAAGAAAGCTTCGGCGACAACTGGGCTTACCCAGTGTATCCGATATTCTGCGGTCCAGCCAAACCAGAAGAGCCTGCAATGCCTTGTGGTCAGCTGTGTCAACAGTAAGCATAGTGGCATGATTGAGCACTTACGAAACTGGTATGAGTGGCGCCCCAAGCTTTGCAATGATCAATCGTCGCTCCGGAGAGACTTTTTGACCTTGCGCCTTCGCGCGCTGTGACTGCGCAGCCCACACATACTTATACACAAACAGCATGATGACGAGGCCAACCATACTGCCAACCGTCTGACCAAGATATGTTAACCCTGTAGTCCCTAGGCTAAAGCCATACACATCCTCGAAGACCCAGGAGAAAGCAGCGAAGAAAGCATTCAACAAGCCGAAATTGAAGGCAACATAAATGTCGAATAGAGTGACAACAGGCTCCCTACACAGCATGTGCAGTGGCCGCACAATAGTCTTAGTCGCGAAGAACTTGATCTTCTTGGCCAGCGTGCCTTCCTGTCCAGGTAGTCCTGGTATACCCAGCCGCTTTGCGCGACGCTGGAGTATGACCTTCTTGTAGGTCTCTGACATGCCGAGGGTGATGGTGAAAACAATGGCCAGCCCCATCAAAAGAACCCATTGTGTCCAGCGCCAGTTTTTGTTGACAGTGACGTAGCCGCCAATGAGAGGTCCTAATGATGGACCAACTTGCACGCTGGCGACGAAGATGGCCATTGGTGCGCCACGCTTTTCGGGTGGCCAGATATCGGATATTGTGCCAGTACCTATGCTAAGACCTAAGGCAAAGCGTCAGCGATGGTCATTGCCTTGATATGATTAGGGTCAGACCTGGACTGGAGAACAACCCGGAGAAGAAACGACAAACGATCAGCGCAGTGATGCTCTGCGAGAAGCCAGCTCCAATTGTGAAAGCAGCGAAGATGGGCAACGCCGACGTATACACGATCTTACGTCCCAGTGTCTCGGAAACAGGTGCTGCCAGGACAGGGCCAAAGGCTAGGCCGAGCAGGTACAAGCAGAAAGGAAGCAGGGCGACCTCGCGAGAGACATGGAAGTCGTTCATGACTTGTTGATGACCAGGCGTGTATACCGACGAGCCGAAAGGGCACAAGAAAGCAACGCTCGTTGGTATCAAGGTATGGTATAATAGTTTCCATTTTGGCCAATTCTGTGGGTTCCCTGAGCATCGTCAACAAGGGTCGCGCACATGCATCGGATATATCTGGCGCCATACCTGGGTCGTTAGGACTGCTCCAGTCTGTTGCTGAAGATGGTTCAACGTTGGCTTCGACATCGTGCGCCGTTCTGCCCATGTTCGTGTCTTGCGGGCCGTGGCAATCGTGGGAACGTTCGACAGTGTGCAATTGAGGATGTCGTCACGTCACATGGGGTTTGTGGGTTATCATGATTGTGGATTGACACTCGTGGAGATCAGAAAAGTCTGTCTGTACAGGTACCTATCTTGGTTTGGCCCGGCATAACGTTCCGTTGATCACTGTTTACCTTTCGAACTTTGATGCCCACCGATGTTGAGGAGCGCCGCTAACACAAACGATTTAAGTATCATATTCTGCCTCTCACCCGAACTCAGATCGCTGTCAGTGACGTAGAGTCGTGTTCTGAATGCGCTGAAAGTTACTAAGTGAAGCTGTCAAACGACAACATCGAGTGAGTAGGTGTAGTAATCACTTGCTCTTGTCTGGTTAAAGTAACTCAGCACGATTACAATAATGGAATCAACTCTGCGAACGCTGTGGTCCCAAGTTCTAGATGTACGTGAAAACGACGTTACGGACAAGGCGAATTTCTTTGATCTCGGAGGCGACTCGGTGGGAGCTATCCAGCTGGCTGGACTGGCAAGCAGTGCAGGGCTCAAGCTCCACGCTCAAACCATCTTCGAGAATCCGGTATTCTCCGAGCAAGCCCAAGCCGCTGCAAATGGCCAGCATCCCAATGGTACCTTTCCGGATACCAGCAATGGCACAAAAAATCGAATGGACTTGACTGGGTCATGGGATGTCATCAAAGCCTGCATCAGTCAGTGCAATGTGCCATTCCATGCGGTAGAGGACATATCGCTATGCGTGCCATTCCAAGCAGAGCTCATGAGGTCGACGCACGAGCAAGGCGTATATGTCTTCCAGGCGGTTTACAAGGTCGGCCTAGATTCGATCGACCGGGCCAAACGAGCAGTTGAGTTGATTCGTGAGCGGACGCCTGTTTTTCGCACCCGCATTGCTCAGCACGAGAGCGGCATGTACCAGTTGCTTGTCCGGGACGAGATCGACTGGGCAGAAACAGACGAGCCATTAGAGGTGTACAAGAAGCGAGATCTCAGTCGACGGCAATGGTCGGTATTCCAATCCATTCATCTGGAGAGACAGGTGCTGATCTCGGTATGTCAGCTATGGCGACCCTCTGTTTCGATATGCCATCGTCCGGAATGACAATAGCACTTACATTGTGTGGTCGCAAGTAAGTATACTCAGTATAAGAAACCGCTTTCTGGAGCGCTGACTGAGCTTAGGTCTATGCTATGTATGATCGTTGGTCGAAGATGAAGTTCATGGAAGACATCAAGAAAGCCTTCGTCGAGCCAGAAGCCCTCGAAGCTATGCCAGAGCGACCCCCATTTCGCAAGTTTGTGGACTTTGTTGGTGCTCTGGATCGTCAAGCAGCAGTGAAGCATTGGACGTCGCAACTCGATGGACTGAAGCGATTTGATTATCTGTTCCCGGATGTGGATAAGGACCAGGCATTCGCCACCTCGAGAACCAGTTGGCTCAGACAAAACATCACATACTCAACTCCCAAAGCGTCCAATATATCGTTCGATGCCACAGTCCAGCTGGCCTGGGCCTTGACCCTTGCAAACATTGCGGAAGAAGACGATGTCTTTTTCTGCACCTTCCGCAGCTGCCGCCAGATGTCATTGGAGGGTATAGCGGAGATCATTGGTCCGCTTTGGTCTTTGGTTCCTGTCAGGCATCGGTTACAGGCCGACCAAAGTCTTTCGGATCTGCTACAAAATATATACCACCTGACACTCTCCGGCGTAGCTTACGAACCATTCGGTATCGAAGCTCTGCAGCAGCACTTCGGGCATCGGAGATATGGACAGTCAGTACTCCTACCTCAACCCCCTCAGCCAGAGAGTTTCGGTGCTGAGATGGTGGCGCACAACCTCGCTGGAAAGGAGCATCGGCTGCAGTCGACGGAGGGCCTATGGACCCAAGCCCGCGCGCACTGGGGCCTGTACATTGCGCTGACGCCTCAGAAAGGCGACCAACTAGAGCTCTGGGCACGCTATGATGAGCGACGTGTTGACGCCGTCAAAGCTAAAGTCGTTGTCTCGCAGTATGCGGACATGATAACACAGATCACGGCCTCACTCCACGACAACCGAGGTAGTACTATTGGTGACTTTTGCCCTCACCTGTTCTCGCAGACGTCGGAAGAGGTGGACGGCGAAGCTTTGACAAACGGCACTTCCATGAACGGCCACGATGCGCCCAAGACTCTGACTCACCTTTTCCGCAGTCAGTCGAGGACTGCACCAGCCCTCATTATCCCGACCGAGCCCGCTGTCACCGTTTCTCACGCAGATCTGCATGATCATATTGGCCAGCTTCAAGGCGAGCTTGCGAAACTCGGCATCCAGCATGGCTCTGCTGTGTCCATAGCTCTACCCAACTGCCTTGAGCTTATCGGAGTATTTCTGGCAGTGACGTGGCAGCGTGGCATTGCAGCTCCTCTCAATCCTGGCTACAAGCAGGACGAAGTCGAATTCTACATTGGCGATCTTGGCTCGGATCTCCTGGTCATACCACAAGGTGCATTCGAGAAAGGTGGGCCGGCAGTGAAGGCGGCTCGGACCTATGAAGCGGCCATCGCAGAGTGCTATTGGAACGGCAAGAAGATTGTCCTTGATGTGAAAGATTGCGGGAAGCTTGGGAGCCGGGACAGCCAGGATGTTCTAGAGGCGGAGGAGGATGATGTCGGGCTAGTGCTTCACACAAGTGGCACGACAGGTCGTCCTAAGGCAGTGTGTTTTCATCTCGTCTCGAAGAAGCCAAACTCGGAAAAGCTGATAAACAGAACAGGTCCCGTTGACGCATGCAAATCTCCTGGCGTCCATTGGTAAGTGAACAGTCGGATAGTGCACAGCTTCCAAGATTTTACTGACTTCGTCCGCAGAGAGCATATGCCGGACATATGAGCTGTCGCCCAATGACCGCACATTGCTAGTCATGCCTCTTTTCCATGTTCACGGTCTTCTAGCTTCCTTCTTGTCACCACTTTATTCCGGCGGCTCCGCAGTTGTGCCATCTCGTCTCGAACCATCCTTTTGGCAGGTGTTCGCGCAGCACAAAGCGAACTGGTATACTGCTACGCCTTCAATGCATCGATTGATCCTGCAGTTTCCACCTCCGGAGTAAGTCCAATGTCTCGTCCTTGCTACTGTAGTTTGCCTCAGTCGCTGACAAACCTCGTCTACCAGCCCACTTCCAAAGATCCGCTTCATACGCTCATGCTCTTCACAGCTGGCACCTGCCCTGTTCCACAAACTGGAAGAGGCCTTTAAAGCTCCGGTGCTCGAGTCATACGCCATGACCGAGGCAGCTCACCTCATGTGCTCCAACCCACTCCCACCTGGGAAACACTATCCCGGGACCGTGGGTCCGGCTCAAGGTGTAGAGCTCCGCATTCTCGACGCTGATGGGAAAGAGGTACAGCAAGGTGGTGTGGGTGAAGTGTGCATCCGGGGTGCTAGTGTGACCAAGGGCTATCTCAACAATGAGGAGGCAAACAAGTCCTCCTTCACGAAAGACAGATTCTTCCAGACTGGAGATCAAGGAAAGGTCGACGAGGATGGGTATTTAACACTAACGGGTAAGTGTGGTATGCGGTATGTCCACTCATGATCCTGGTGGACTGACCCAACTCCCAGGACGATTGAAGGAAATGATCAACAAAGGCGGCGAAAAGATCTCTCCAGTCGAAATCGACAACGTTATATCTCAGCACGAGGCAGTGGCAGAAGCCGTGAGCTTCGCCATTGATGACGAAGCATACGGTCAGGAAGTCGGATGCGCTGTCAAAGTGGCAGAAGGCCAGAGTCTAGACTCACGGGAGCTCAAGAAGTGGGTGGGCGAGAAGCTGGCTGCGCACAAAGTGCCGAAAAAGATATGGTTTCCCGATGAGATCCCGAAAACGGCGACCGGAAAGGTGCAGAGAAAGCTTGTTGCTGAGAAAATGGCGAAGTCCTGAACCTGCACTGCCGTATCGGTAATTAAGGTATCTGAGCTTCTGGTATGGCGGATCCAAGCCAGTACCTAGGACCACAGACATATCAGTTTAGATATGTGAGTTGCAGAAACGGCCGAGATTCTGTCGATTCTGTCATGCGATAAACTATCGAGTGACTCTTACCTCTCGTTGACGAGAGGTGATGCGGTAGGAGTAGTATTCGCCCATGGTCTTGTCAGCTACGACATTGAGTAGAAGTACGAGTAAGCCTCCGGAAGTGCTCGGACAAATTCCTGTCGTATGAGCGATTGCTTGGGGCTCGGGCGTGAACTTAACCGTAATTGAGTAAGACCAAGGTCAAGGGTTGTAGCGTCTCTTGGTCGCTTGCGCATCCATTATTTCAGCGTCCTCAGAACTTCTCGGGCACTCGCGTCCCGCAATGACATCGATATCAACGCATTGCCAGATCCAATATCCGAAGCAAGGACGCAAGCTGTGGGTATCCAGGGTTATGAGTTAGTCGTTAAAAGCTGCACAAACGCTCAGGGCACGTTTATTGTGGATGCCAAGATGTGTCGACGTGGAATCTCATAAGTCTTGAAAACAGAGCGCTGCCGCTCGTAGCGCAGCAAGCAAGAAATAGTTCTAAGATATAAGCTAGATCCATGGTGTTATTTTGATATATACATCAGAAGAGAGGTAGAGTTAAATAGAAGGAAATCTACTCTTGAGCACTCGACTAACTCTACACATACAACATGTACAAATACCCATGTTGTCGAAGAAGAGTCATCCGCCAAAGCGTTACGGAAGTAGAACACACCTGCACGGCAATAGGGTCTAGTTATACTGATTATGAACCAGCATGCGTTCGATAGGTGCCATGGCAAGGTAGCGGAATTACTTCACCAAAACTCAAATAGGAGAACGCTGGCTCGGACGCTATGAATAAACGATGTACCTCCTACCGGACACAATTAACGTTACTGTTGCGTGTCACCAAGTGCCTGTCGCTGAGCGCACACGCAGCTTCAATTCTCTCTCGAACTTGTTGATACCTTCCTCATGCGTCTTCTTATATTGCACCTGGGCATGTCTGTACTTCGCGTTAGCTCACAATGCCACAAGCAGCCGTGCAATCAACGGAGGACTAACCGGAACCACCATACCCATAATGCGTACACAAGGACCGTCAGTGGGATGGTCACGACAAAGTATACATAGATATACGGTGAAGCCAGGCTGTTGTTGTTCGCAAAGGGCCATTGAAACCTGAAGGGTGAGGTTAGCACTCTGAGCATTAGTAGCACCGTAGTCCTGTAAGCAGCCCTACATTGTCATGCTGAAGAAGGACTGCAACATGTCAGTTACTATGGCCGTCCGATCCCTTTCAGTACACATACCGCAACTGCAGTTCCGGGCAGGAATGTTAACGTTAGCACGGCAATGGTCTTCATTGCGGCACTGTCCTGACGGGTCTCCTCGGCCACTTGTGCCGTCGCTGCGGCCAATTCAAGATTCAGCAGGTTATCTCGTCTCGATTCCTCGGCGATTTTGCGGTTGCTCTCAGCTAGCTGTATGTTCAGCTGGTTGTCTCGTTGCACAACGTAGTTGAAGATCTTGCTAGATGTCAGCAATGTTCTTTGCGAAGACGAGTAAGGCGAGCTCAACGAAGCATACCGCTTTCGATTGGTTTTTGATCCGCCTAGGAAGTATATCAAGATCACGCTTGACTTGCTCCGAATAGCGCATTTGCTGCTCAATCTTCTCCCTCATGTCTTCCAAATAGCCAGTCCCGCCTTCCCATAGCGCGGTCCACATCTTCTGGTACTCGTCAAAATACTTCAGTAAATTGGTCGCTAGCTCCAGCTCAAAATCCGAACGCCGCTGTAATCGGATATGCTCCAGGTTAAGCCTATTAAGAAGCTTGTAGTCCCCATTATCTTGGAGTTGGATGTCGCCATCAGCGATACGTTTCTCTGTGGAAGTCACCTCGCGTGACAGCTTTTGAGTCTGACCAAGAGTCTCGTCTATGTGATGGACGAGTATGGTTACCGGTAGAACGGCGAAGTCTCGTGGTACCTTAGGGTGGCGATTGTGATACGTTCGGCCCGAGAGAAGCTTGTCCAGAGAATAGCGCTCGTCTGCAAAGTACATACCGCCGCAGTGCGTTCGCTCTCGGTTCACCAGTGAAAGGGAGCAGAACGAGCGTCCGTCTCTTGGCGTCTGCAACAGGAAAGCTATATGAGTCAGTCACAAAGGATGCCGAAGCTGTATCAGAGTATCCTACTTAAGATACCATGCAGGGTAATACATGCTGATCCTCCGCCATCACGCCGCCACAGATGCTCGTACTCGTCGCCGATCCAGCCTTGTTGCTTAACGACCTTGAGCACATCGTGTCGCAATGGGAGACTGGTATTGTCTTCCAGGTTGGCGCTAACGGCGCTCGCAACTAGCAGTTTAAAGCGGACAGTGGAATCATCGTATGAGCGATCTATCTTGTGGTTGAACAGAAAGTCCTCTTCGTCAAGATCTCTCAAGGGCCGTACCCTTAATGGGCTCGGAAATTGCCAGTTATTATGCTCGAGCTTGCTGTCGGACAGGTCAAACTTCTGTAGCTCCATTTGTGCGGTATCCGCACAAGCTATGTTCCAATGCTGCGCACTATTGAAATCCAGAGGTCGGGATATTCATAGCATCGAACCCTTTTCATGCCGCTGTTAGCACGTTCGTTGAGATTTTGTGGCATGGACAGTCACTTCTGATCGCAAGAAGGAACCAGCATGCGCATGGAAGAGGTCACACTTCTGGAGAGATGTGCCAATGCAAGATCATGCAGGCGAACAGTAGCGCTAATCCCTCCGGTTTAGTCAGAGACGACCGGCTAACTTGCACGACGTCAACGCCACGACAGACGGATCAGGCCCCAAGACACAATCTGAAGAGAGTGCCGTTGCGTTCTTCGCTAGACTTCGATGGGAGGTACGAGTTGAAGGGAACATGGTGGCGTAGGGTAATGTAGGATCACAACGGTCGCGGCTTCCCAGACCGCCACCAGAAGCGCGCCAAGTGGCTGTGCACGCGCCCTCGAGTCTCCTGGCGCCAACAAAGCAATCCCTTCGCTGTCGGCCTGTCTAAGCCTGCAGCAGCCTGGACGCCTCTGATGCAAAAGACGTTTGTGTGTTCGAGATGAGGCCGCCTTTGACTTGTCGCACTCCTACAGATGAGCTCGTCGGCGATCCTCGTGGCCGGCGCGGTGTCTTACAACCATCTTGTCTATCGTTCGACGCTTCCGCTGTGCGAGCCTAGTTTGGAATATCATATTGCTGGCGGCGAAGAAGACGACATCGCGCAACTCGTGATCCGGCCCGGGGGCGCTGAACTCGTGGCTGCATTGCTTACCGCTGCTGCGCCCCGTCAGGGAATACATGTATCCGGACCGCAATCGCAAGGTGTCATTACAAGCTGTCTAAAGCATACTGCTTCTTGCGTTTGTGATCTGGCTGTGGATGACCCAATCTCACCAGCCCGCCTACGATACACAATCGAAAGACAAAGACGTATCGGTCAGGCTCCAATCTGGCGTTCTCCTTCCCTTGGTACCAGTAGTCCCCAGCCAGGAAGCACAGTGGTCATTCTAGGCTCTGGAGAAGCCTTCAAGGACGTCGAGCCGGCTCTAGACTTTCTACAGCGTGTCAGACCTCGCTACATTATTCATCAGCACACCAAACCTCTTGCGTCTGGACGACTGTGGGATCTCCTCCGACATGGCCCTCTGACGCGGGAAAGCGTCCCCGAGCCAGACTATTTGGCCATAGTTGTTGATGCAGACGACCTTCGGGCCAATAACATTGCTATCAGTCGTGCGTTGTCCTGGGAAGCAACAGCCGAAGACTTTGTACGCAACCTTGGCTCGAACGGGCGACTTGATACGCTAGTAACCTGCCCCAACCTGATCGTTCGATTTGGCGAAGAAGGAGTCATCCATCACCGTGGTCGCGACGCTGGCGATCCAAAGCTGTACTACCATCCTCGGAAGACGGAAGGCGAGGGTCAACCAGGCTGTGGTGTATCTATGGTACGTCAAACGCACGTCTAACATGGCCGATCTATTTACTGACGGTGGGGTCAAGATCGAGACTTCTTCGGCATTTATTGCTGGGCTGGCCCTCGGGTTTGCTAACAACTACCCACCTGACATCGGCAAGGGCATCCGGTACGGTATGGCGGCCGCTGACCGGCTGTCAAGCTTGGGTTTCGTGCATGACACGATCGACGATGGTCCAGGGTTCCCTACCGACGATATCATGCAGGACCTTGTTCCCACCCGACAGCACGCTGCCGTAACCATCCCCTCGGCAAGGATCAGTTCAGGCGAGAAGTGGTCCATCTTCAATGCAACTACTGGCGATCCAGCAGAACTTGCTCGTCAGATCGTAACCGTAGGTCCCGCGAAAGCGCTGAGCTTCTGCCCAACGCAGCGATTTGGCGATATTCTCGCTATAGACCGAGCCGAACAAGAGGGAATGAGGGCGGTTGTAGAGGCAGTGGAGGAGCGGCTGCGCACACAGACCAGCAGCCCAACATCCGTTGGCGTCATTGGTCCTCCTGGTTCCGGCAAGCACTTCACTGCGAAGAATGTTGCTAAGCACGTTAGCGCCGGCAGGGCAGTGCAGACGCTGGTGTACAATGCTCGACTTCTCAGATCAAATGATCTGATCGCAGCATGCCACGAGATCAGAGACTATATTGCAAGCGGAGACCTAACAATTGTTACGTTTGAAAACTTCGAGTCGATGTTGGAGCCGGGCAGTGAGCTGCTCAGAGATTTCCTTGCGCTTATGCAGGACGGCATTTTCACGGACAACGGCCACGTGAGGAGAGTAGGGAGTCCGCTCTTCTTTTTTCTGGTCAACCACGAAGGTGGAGTAGAGGGTGGTACGTTTGACGTACCGCCTACGCCTGTCACACCGACGTCTTCCGAGCTCCGAGAGCGGGTCGGAACGCAGCCTTCGGTATTGCTTGATCATCTGCACGGTATCTTGCAGGTCACTGGGCCAAACCAAGGTGGCTTGCAGGACAAGGCTTACCCAGTACGGCGCGCAATTATGCTGAGACAGATATTGAAGGAGCGGTATCCGCACCTCGAGGTTGACGGCAAGATGAGGGTCGAAGAAGGTGTGCTCCATGCTCTCTTACTTGTACCGTCATACAAGCTAGGATTGCGGTCTCTGGAGAAGATCATAAGCACCAGCCGGCTTTCCGGTAGGTCAAGATTCGACGTTGCAGCGCTACCCCCCGAGGAGCAGATTCAGCTCCACGTAGACGGCCGCATCTTCATGAGCTATCTTCGGTCACCAAGGTTACAACCAGCCTTGCGTGAGCGCCTCGCACAAGGCCTGTTTGAGACGTACAAAAAGCGTCGCAAGGAGATGTGCAAGACAGACGAGGACCGTAAAGCATTGGAGTCAGACCGCTCTTACCGGGATTGGGACGACCTGTCAGGCGAGCTCAAGGAGTCCACTCGCTCCCAAGCTGACGACATTCCGCGGAAGCTGCGAGCCGTAGGATGCTTCATGCTCAATGAGGAGCGCTCGGAGCCACTCGTTCGCGTGGCGGCATTCAGCGAAGAAGAGCTGCTTATGCTGTCAGAAATGGAGCATGAAAGGTTCAATGCAGAAAGGCTGCAAAGACAGTGGCGCATGGGACCTCGCAACTCGAAGCAGAGGCTTACGCCATTCCTAGTGCCATGGCGGGACCTCACCCAGGAGTGGAAAGATGTAGATAGCGTCATGGTTGAGTGCGTGCCCCGGATTCTAGAGAAGCAAGGATGGTACATCTACCGGATGAAAGACGAGGTGGATGTCTAACACATGCCGCCCAGCTCCTCTCGTTCACAAGCTTCTATCATTAAGCTAAGCCTGCGTCGGCCTGAAGGATCTTGTTGAGTCCATCACGCTTGACACAGTTCTCCAGTTTGAACGATGCTGCGAGCTCGTCCAATTGTTCCAAAGACAGACCCTTGAAGTAGCTCGCAAACTCGTAAGTAAGCAGCTCAGAGAACAGCATCTCACGGATGACCCGGTGTAGGTGACCTTCTAGGCGCCAATGATGAGGGTATCGTCTGCCCTGAAACTCTTCAGGAATCTCCTCCTTCAAATGCTGGACCAAAGGCTCGTATATGTGTTTGACATGGGTGTCGTCACGACCCCACTTATTCAAGCCCAGTCGTTTCTGCTTGTCTAAAAAGGGTTTGAGCAAACGAATGTACGCTGTGTCGGGACCTGCATACACCATTCCTAGAGGAGAGTCAGTAGAGGTACCGACAAAAGCCATGTGATTCACACACCTTGGAAGCCAACATCTTTATACAACCATATGGACCAGCTAATCTGATCCTGCTTGTATATCCGCATTTGCTCGCCAAGCAGGTTGTACCGCTGCTGATTCGTCTGCTCGTGGTTCGCCTCGTCTGGCGATGCGTACACTGGTCCGAACTCGCCATTCCATATTGGCACCTTGTGGTCCTTCATGAATTGCACCTTGCGCTCGTATTGTTTGCGTAAGATCTCCTTCTGCTCGTCTGTGCCCTCGTACGACCCGCCGGGAAAGCCCATGTTGCTGTAATCATGGATGGCATACACACAGTTGGGCAGGACCTCCTTGAAACCAGAGAAGTCCATGGAATAGGTGTTGCCATCCAGCCAGAGTATGTGATCCGGATCAACTTCGCGGATAGCCTTCTCGACACGACCGTACCAGGCTTGAAGATTATGATGGTCAGGATCTGCCGGTTCGTTCATAGGATTGTAACCAGCTATCTGCGACTTCGTCAGCGCCCGTCACAAGTTCGCCAAGGTAGGAGAGTAAGTACATACCGAAGCATTGCCCTTGTAGTACTTGGCGATGGCAACCCAGAGCTGAATCGCTCGGTCCTGGAAATCACGATGTTCCCAGAATGTGGCTCGATGAAGGCCACTGTCACTATGCCAGCCTTGGTTCTGCCCGCCAGGAAACGTGTGCATGTCTAGAATGGTATAAATACCTTCAGCAGCACAAGCCTCCACAATCCGATCCACGAGCCGGAAGCCGTCCTGCTTGATCACATCGGGCTGCAGATCGTCCATAAAGTGGCGATGGTTGATCGGTATCCGAATACAGTTCAGACCTAGGCTGGCAAAGAACTTTGCGTCTTCCCGGGTGAAGAAGTACTTTAGGAACTGGGAAACCGCTTAGAGCTATCTAGGCTTGCCGACCTCATACTTGCTTACCTTGTCGAAGAAGAAGTCATATTTCTCCTTGCCGAGAACTTCAAGCAGTGCTGCGCGCATCTCATGCTCGTGGCCCGGATACCCGGTAATGAAGTTCTCCATGCTGCAGCACAGTGTAAGTCATACCAACCTACAACAAGTCACAACGCTCACTTACTTCAAATGACCACCAGTCGCAGCCCCCTTCAGAATAACTCTTTGGCCGTCTCCATCGACCACGTCGACTCCGCGAACGCGCAGGATGCTCTTGTGGTGCGCCATATTTGGTGTCGAATGGTTGTTGATATCGCTGGTTTGGTACATGAAGTTTTCAGTATGTACATTTATGCACAGTCAGTGATCGGCCATTGCGAGGTCGCCGACAATCAGGACCGACCCCATAGACGCACTTTAGCCTGATGTACTCCGGGTGCAGACTATGCTGTGTGGGGAACGCGGAACGACCGCCGAGTCGGACGGCTGTATGTGTAAAGGCTTGCTCTAACGTTAGGTTGCAATAAAGTGCATTGTGTTGTCGGCGCTGATAGAACCACTTCGGTGTTCACGCTGCTCCCTATCACCGCCACCTGATGATATCACACCGTGTTCAACGGTTTACAGTCTTGGCGCCATAAGACACGAAGTTAGTGTGCTCGTTGCACGCACTGACAGCATTGGCGGGATTACTATAGAGAGGGCTGCCAGCGCGCGATACCGAGCAAGAGGTGCAATCGCACAACTAGCACAGCAGGGACTTGTTGTCTCTGGTGGCTTTGATAATGCACGTCGTCCAAGCCGAGTTCTCAGTGGCATAGAGCTGTCGCCTTCGCGCATCTCCAACTCCACATGTACGGGATGAAGTCTCATGTCAAGCTGCATCTGGCGCTGAGTCGGCGGTTCGGGCAAACCCACCACATACAGATGTCTCCTCTTATGCCGCTGCCAGGCTTATCCTGTTGGTCGCACCTGCCAAGTTGTCTACTGAGCTCTCACGGGTGATAGCGGTCTTCCAACTCTGTTGGTTGGTCATGCCGTCACCGGTCGTCTGTCCCTTTGTGGCCGCAAATCTTGAGCTCCTGGTAAAGCTTGGGGCGTGGTTGTAGTACTGGTCCAGAATGGGGTGAATCAGCACGGTCTGCTTGTGAATAGTCAACACGCTATTGGTTGGGACCGTAACCCAATTGTCGCGTTCAAACGTGAGAGGCTCGCTCGCAACAAGTACAATATCGGCGCCTTTGTCTTGGCGTTCCATCTTATACTCGCCTTTACCAGCCTTTGGCGTCCCGTTCATCGAAGACTGCTCGCGCCAGCTAGTGCCGCTACTGAAGAAAAGAGAGGCAGCCTCGTCCGTCTTGCTGCTGACGTAGCGTGTGCACACCACGCTCTTACCGTCGGTCACTGCGAAGTTGAGCAGGCTCCTTGTATCGTTGCTCTGCCGCACCTCCTCTGGCAGCGCCTCTCTGAACTCATTGATACGCTCGATAGTTCTCAGCATTGTTTTGCGCAGTAGAGTGTGGCCGAAGCCCTCCCTTTGCTTCCCCTCATCGTCCGGATTCACCCCCATGCGCTCCAACGAATCGAGAAAGAGCGCAAACGCCCATTCACTGTCGGTACTACCTCCCACGCCTTCGAACCATCTGTCCGCAATCGCAGAGACGAGCTTCCTCTTGACGCCCAGTTTCCAGCCGCCTACTCCACCGTTATGCATCCACATAAGGGCACCGCGGCTGAATGGATGGCAGTTGCTGTCGCTCAAAGCACCTTCGGTGCTCGCCCTGACATGGGCGAAGATGAGGGGAGAAACGGTTTTGCTTGCCAAACGCTCCAGGTTCTTGCAATTCCAGGCAGGTATCGTGGATGTGAAGATGCAAGGCTCAGGACCGAGATCGATCACCTCATCGTACTGGATGGAAGCATACCCGTCGGCGTCATCGGATGGTCTCTGACGTCGCGTCGACAGAGCTGTCGTGTAGTAGCCCACACCGAAACCGTCGCCATTGTGAGGCCGCGTTCGATCAAGCCGAAGCCTTGAGTCGTATGATTGAGTCAGAATGCTGTGCGTTGGCAGTGTAATGAGGTGTGACAGCAGGATGGGCGAGTGGCCACAGTAGATCAGGAAACGACACATGGGTCATATAATGGACGCGTCCAGCTCCACATGGTATGTTTCGGTCCGCTTCTCAGCTAAAGATTGCGTGAGGCTGGAAACGGCGATATGCAGAGTCCAACCTGATTGCTGGCCTCTCGAGCTAGCTCAATTACAATACAATGCTGCTTGGTGGCTCATTTGCTTCTATTCACTTGCTGCAGCACGCACTAGGAACAGGCAAACTGCATACTAACGACGCGGAGTCTTCGGTTGGCACGTGACATGTCCTTGAGGACGCCAAGTTAATTGAGGCTCTCGCCTAGTCACGGATACCGTGCAAAGCAAGCGTGTCACGATGTGGACATATGGATGAGTCTGTACGTTGAACTGCGTAGTCGCTTAGAACAGCGTGAGCATTTCGTACAAAGTACGCCGTAGATACATCGGGCGCCTTCCCATTGCCACTCATCAAAGATGTCGTGATTCGTTCGTACGATAAGCAGGCACGTCGGCCGTGAAGAGCACACTCTTGCACGCTCTGGTAAACTTTTGGCCACCGATGCTTTTCCAGACCCATATGCACATGTAACTTTTCAGACTGCGCAAAACGCTGTGCTGTACAAGAAGGGGAAGACACCAACTCCGATATGGACATGGTCGACACCTAACTAACGGGTTGATTGATGCTTTGGTTGTGTGTTGCGAGACGGGTTCATTTGCATGATGCATCCGCTCTCTGATCCATGTGCGTGGCCTGGGTTTCGAGCGCTTTCGCCATGACGTGGGTGACTAGAACAATGTTAGTATCACGGCAGAGGGGAAGAAAGCTGCATTGCTAAGCTGGACGTACCAGGCCAGATGACAGCCTTTTCCAGCATCATCGCCGTCACCCTCAGTACCTTACTGCCGTGCCCACAAGTACTGAGATTGACATTGTTGGCAACAAGGCCCACGGTTGCGCTCGGATTCATTGACTGAATGTCCATGGCTAGGAGGTTCTCCTGCTGGTACCGCTTGGTCTCGAGGCTGTCACAGATTCGCTCAATCTTGCGTAGAAGTTCAACATCCTCGTTCTCCAGCAGCATTATTGCAGGCACGTTCTGGAAATCGATTTGGTCGCGGCCGAGGACACCTAGCAGACTACCGACACGTTCCTGTACAGTGCATGCCCATTCGGCAAGAACTTGGCTACAATCGAAGAAGCACATGGCGGACTGGATGGGTAGCTCATGCGCCGACAGATCTGTGTACGTCAAATTGTAGCTGCAGGCGATGGTCAGAGAATCAGCGGCGTAGAAAGCGGCCTTGCGCAAATGTCGCTCCCGTCGCGATGAAGCTTGGTCCAAAGATGGTGCTTTTGAAGGCCGGCGTTGCGGCAACGCGCTGTCGGGCGACATGCTGGCAGCTTTCCTTACAGACGGGTCTTCTGGTCTATCGCCCGCAGCTGTTGGCGCGCCGCTCGCATGTTGCACGATCTCAGTTCCGCGGGCAAGCTCCTCAGCCATGCCATCAAAATCGCGCTGCCAAAAGGCTTCTTTCGATCGTCCGAGGTTGACGAAAAGTCGCACAAACGCCAGGTCCAGCAGTGGGACACTGTCGGCAGATAACGGTCCAAGCTTGAAGGGGTTAGGTCGCTCCAGCTTGTGGTGCTGGTTTGCTTTCCACGCAGCTTGCCAGGCATTCAACGCTGGTTCAATGTGTGAGAACATCGAGTCCGTCTCTTGCTGTGTCCACTGTCTGCCGTGGTGTCGACTGCGGGTTTCCCAGATGTAGTTGTGGAGCGCATTGATCAATACCAGGCAGCCAAAAGTGCTAGGTTTGAGATTGTTGTCCGCCACGCCATCACCCGCCTGCAGTGCGCCGAGTGGGTTGTTGCTATTGTAGGCAGATGAGTTGTAGCTGCTGCCTTGTCGTTGATTGGCCGTCAACAGCGTTGTGAGAGCGTCAACAAACGAAATCGAACTGCGTTCTGCCGCGGTTAGGCCGCCGCGTTTATGCCACTCATGTGCTGTTTCTGCCTCCCACAGCTCCTCATCGCACGGCAAGTCGAGCAGAATTTCGGAGTTCATGATGGTCGGCGGGTGATTGTACGCGGTCGTGCAAAGGCTTGAAAGGATGAATATGGCGTAAAGCGTACGCTTTCGCTCCTCCACGTGCTTCCAGTTCAGCCAACGAGTCTGCAAATCCGTAGGAGAAGCTTGATGAGGCGACGTGTCCGCGCCTTCCATGTCTACGTCACTGTTCTCTTGACCGTCCTTTACAAAGTCTTCTCTGCCCGCTGATACGTCTTCAGGTGCTTGAGCAAGATCGGCCGCTCTCGCTAGGCTCACAAGAGCGGCACATTGGTTACTCGCTATGTCGGCAGCTGTCTTGTCGCCGCACTGGTGCCCGTATATTACATTCAACAACATCGAGTGCACTAGCCAGAGAGGCGTATAATGTTCGCTGCTGTGCTTCGCGCCACTGACCGCGGCAGACATGTCGGCCTTTCTTCGCTCTTCGAGGTACAGCTGAATCATCTTTCGCGCAGCCTCGAAGAGATCTTTGGAGGCAGGGTGGTCGTACTCATAGAGAGCACCAATCGATGCCATGGAAAGGATGAGACATCCGCTGCCGCCATTGACAATGCTATTCGGGCTGAGGGCGGCCTGATTACCTGCTGTCCTCTGCCCTCCGGAGCCATCGATGTTGTCGAAAGACAAAGTAGGTATATGAAGCACAGGGAGGTGCGGGTGTGCGAATTGTATAAACGCGTCGACGTATCTGCGCAGATCACTTGTACTCGGTAAGTTGACACCTTGTGCCGACGTTCGTGTTGCACCAGGCGACAGTGGAGAGCTTATGGTGGGCTGCGAGAACTTTCGGCGGTTGTGTCCAAATGCTGATGGCTGCGATAGGCAGCTTAGAAGGGCTTGACGTGTAGAGTCCGTGATGGAGTCCGTCGACACAGATGTCACAGAGCTCTGACGGACGCTGCCCGTCATGGAAGATGCCGACATACTGGGACTGTCGGAGCTGAAGTTCGACAAGGACGGCGGTACAAAGATACTCGAGGGTTGAGTCTGCAGCACTTCAGCCTGCGGTAGATGCGGCACTGACTGCGTGATGATGGGTTGGTCAAAGTAAGTATTAGCGCTCGCAAAGGACTCTTGTTGTAAATGAGCCGAGCCAGTACCAAACGGTGCATCAACACTTGACAAGCCACTTTCCAGAGCCAGAAGATGAAAGGGCCCTCCACCTGACAGCGGTAAGTGTGCAGGCAACTCTGGCTGCGACCATTGGCCTAGGCTGCCAGGCATAGCCATGCCGGGCATGCTATTCGACATGCTTTCATAGTCTGCCGCGGGACTCTCTCCGCTACTTATCCTGGAGGGAGACGACTCATCTACGGCATGCTCGGTACCGTAGCTTGAAGGAATCTGCATGTTCCATTGACGCATCCACCTAAAATCATCACTCTCTGGGATGAAGGAATGCTGGTTAGAGATACCGTCGTACCCGGGGGACTGCGTCGCTGGTATGTTGGACTGTCCGCCGAAATGCAGCTGTGCGGGATTGACCGTGGTGCCAGGACTGAAAAGCTGGTCCAAGTCAAAACCTGTCTGTTGCGCGAAGCTCCCCATTGGCGGCGCAGTTCGCATAGAACTGCCCATTTCAGTACTGCTGTTGATCGCAAGCAGATCCAGCTTGGGCAGATCATGAATGCTGCCATGATGTCCAATGGCGTTGGACATGCCCCGATAATCGTAGCTCATGTGACTACCCATCCCACTGACACTCATGCCGCTTACACCTAGCGCATTGACTCGATTGAAGCTAGCATTTGATCCGTTGATCAGACCGAGCGAGGCGAGATCGACGTGACTGATGGTGTTTGCTCTTGGCCTCGACTTCCCGGCTGAAACGCCACTAATGCCATTAGCATTACCGTTTGCAACGGAGTTCTTTCGAATCCTGCCTCCTCCGGCCGCGGATGTCCCACTGACACTCTCCCGCCGACCACTCCTAGGCCTGGATGAGGCCGGCGTCGTCATATGCAGCTTTTGCTGATGCCGCAGCAGAAGATCCCTTCTTGCGAAGCATCGTGTGCATTCTGGACATTCGAACGGTTTTTCCTTCGTATGCGAGCGCTCGTGCCGCTTAAGGTGCTCTAGCCTTGCGAAAGATCGACCGCAGGTTGCGCACACGTGAGGACGAGGCTTGTCGGTCTTTGGAGGCGGTACGATGTTTGATGCTCCATTCTGTACGGATGCTGGCCTTCCGTTCGACTTTGACTTGTCTACAATAGGATGTCCTGATTAGCATATTTTACAGCTGCTCATCGCAGAGCCTATATACCTTTTGGCACAACCTTCGCTTCGATCTTCGCTGACGGTGTATCTGGGGTTTTTCCGTCCGAGTTCGAATCGTTCGCCTCGTCAGACATGCTCTGAAATGAAGATAGCAGGTGCAAGTGCTCGGGGAGACGGCTTCGCAAGCTCTGATGTCGCTCCAGAGCTGGCTGGGGTGCGATGGGATGCTCGGACGGTATGTCACTCTCCGGTTGAGCGTTACTCTGCGTCTGCGCCTCTGGATTTTGCCAACGCACACGGGCGCTATATGGCCGTTTCGCAGATGAGGATGTTGCTGGTCAATGTGGATTTTACTGCGCGACAGCAAGCGAATGGCGAAGAACGCAACGCCTGGTGTTTTTGTTGCTTCCAGAACGGCACAGTAACTCCTACAACACCACCGGCAATTCTGATTACTGTTGCCAATATGCTGCTATGACCGCAAACGCGACGATTTCTGTGAAGCAGGTGTCCAACACCTGAACCAGCACTGTTCGTTAGTCAGATAGGCTCTGAGTTAACAAACTCTGCGCAGGTGACAGTACGATACCGTTAGAAGATGGTTGTCAGCAAGCGCCGAACCTTAAAGACAGTGGGTACCGCACTATGTTCTCGGATGCTGGTGAATGTCATAAAGCTGATTGCGTAGGACTCGGTCTCGAAGGTAGGCAGGGAAACGGCCTCTCGAGCAGCATGCAGGTGCAGGTAGTACTACTCCAATGAACTCGGACTTCGAAAGTCTGGGGTATGGGCTGTGGGGAAAGATGTGCGCGTGGTGGCGGCTCAGCATAAGCGTTCCGTTAATGCCGGCTCCCGACAAGCCTGTGATCTCCGATCCCTTTCCAGAAGGAGTCTCACGTCCTCAGGTAAACGGCGAATGATCCGGCGCAGGAAAGATCCAGATGCAACGGCTGGTAGAGTTCTGTTTCCGCTCAGGTGGTTGGAAGAAAGCATGCCTTCATCACCAGGTGCCTGTGATGGGCCTTTCGGCACTAATGCCCGCATGAGCGTTTCCTGCATATCGGTGCTGTGTCGCAATTGGTCTGCGTAGGCCGTTCGCATGCGAAGATGAGCAAGGGTCACTGGCGGGCTAGGGTACAGCCATGGCCAACGTGATGAGCATGACCGCGCGACGTTGATAGACCCTGAGCTACCAATCCACATGTGCCCTAGCACGATCCAAGCCTGGAGCAGCATGGAGCCCCCAGCTTGCCCACGATACTCATCGTGAGAGCAACCACAACCTCCGCCGCTGCTTAAGCCAAACCTGTGTAGAGCATAGCATACAACAACACCCATGGCTTGCGCACTCTCTTTGCTACTCAGTGACATTGACTTACGCTGCGCTCGAACGTCTGTGTCTGGCAGTTGTGCACTGACCGCTCGTATGGGCCGGGAGCAGTAACACCGCGGCCACGCTAAAGGCTTGACATGATAGACTTTGCCCCGAAGTACGGAGTATTGATTTCCGTACTGAACACCGATCTGGCCCTGCCTAGTTGCATTTCCCTCAGAATTAGGTGCCATTTCGAAAGCCTGCCCCGCGGTAAAGCAGGCAGACACACCCTGCCTGCTCCAGTACAGCATAATTCCTTGGGTTCTCTGCTTGGTCTTCTTCGAGACATAAAGGTGGGCCTGCCGGAGGCCCGTCTGTACTGAGGCATCACCCGAGAGAGCTGCGCTCGTGACACTCCGCCACAGACGTCGAAGTGAAGCTTCATTGCCGATTGACAAGCGCAGACGTCGTCATCAAGCAGCAGAGAAGGAGCACCATCCAGCTTCCTCCGAGAGGGTCATCTGGCGAAGCTTCCGCCTTATGCGGACAAATCAGAAATGGCGCATCCTGGAACTATGGGAAATGGGTGGATTTTCTGCGCAAAGGGGATCCGCAAAAGTGCATGGCGCACAGACGGTGCTGGCTCACCGCGCTAACCCGCAAGGTTGTGTCGGTTCTGGGGCGTGGCGTTGCATAAACCAGGACCATCTACCAGCAGCATAACCGCTCTCCCGCCCCTCATATCGCGTCCCAGGTCGACGCAAACGGCTGAGCGCTTCCACTATTGGGAACATTAAGTACTTCACATCCATGGACTGGGATCATGCTGTAAAGTTATAATATCATTGATTGCTGTTGCCTTGCCGCATATTGATCCCGATGTGGAGGCCCCGCAAAATGCCAAACAAAGCGCCTGCAAGCTCATGAAGTTTATGCTGTCCTTCTTGTGGCTGTGGTGTGCTTGATGGCCTGCAAAATGGGTCTTGGTTTGACGTAGACGCCTCGCTTGGCCACGAATCGATGTAGCGTCCATCAAATGAACTAGCGCTGGTCTTCGAAGCGAGGGCTTCATGATTATGCCAAGCTACTGCAGCATGCCTTCTGCCGCATAGATAGTGGTGTGGAAATGTCTAGTAGGCCAGTGGAACGGAAATAATTGCGAACAACCGTTACTCGGATGCAGTAGCTGCGCAACGAGTCGTCCTCGCTGCTGCGCGTTTGACACCTTGGAACCAACTAGACGTCGTGTCATAAACAGCCAACTGAGAATTGGTGGATTTCGGTGCACGTTTTCGAAGGTCCAGACGAATCTTGCGGCCTGAGCATCTGCGCCGATCCGTATAAGCCTGTGGTGGGTCGCGTCCTGGAACGACAGGCATATCACATTACCTCGTGCATAAACGCCTCAAGCGTCGATTCGCGTGTTGACCTCAGCCGGAGGTTATACAGCATCGCCGATGGTTTGACAACTACAGAAACACAATGCCAATTGTATCAACACGGATGCCAGCGAGGCTTCATCCAAGCAGACATGTTCAGAACCTTAGAGAAAGAGGTACGGTTTCCACTCGAGTTCGCCGGCTCGACGGGCATGACCGCCGGTCGCGCCTTCCCTTTTCGACTGCGCGACTGACTTGGTTCATGCGCTACGATGTAGCGGCCTCTTTGCTGGCTGCGTCTATACTTCACTAGAGCAAACTGCACGTTTGTTGTAACGAGTGAGATAATTCCGCACAGTAGTCGCGCGCGTGTAGCATCTCGGAGCATTTCCGCAACACTGGCCGGCAACGGCGACGACTACTGGCTCTTTTGACCATATGCGTACAATCTGCCAACCCTGCCGATCCCAAAAACCATAGCCGGCATGTAAGCTGCTGAGACGGACCGTGAACCTGTACAGCGACCAGTCGTACTTCTGGGAGGCGTGCAAACTTCTGGACTGAAGGCGACTGTCTAAGCTATCATAACTATCGAAAGCTAGTCCGCATAAATCAAGAGTATAGCTGCACGAAAACGATGTGGATTTTCCAGGCTGTCAACAATGTCTTTTCGCTGCAGCCTCCAGCTCTGACAGCGGATCTTTCCACGACAACAGAACTTTGCAGATGGTAATATCACCCGGTAACCGATGAGGAAGCCTCATCATGGCCGTCCTGCAGCTTCGTCTTAGGACTGATCACGGGTTGGCTTGACGGGTGCCCTGCAGGACGTACTTCGCAATATTAATGGCACATGTCGTTCCAGAATAGCTCGACGCCGCATTCACCGATCAACACAGTTCCCCAGGACCATCGTACTTGGTCCAGTTCTCTCTGCCAGACATAGGCCGCTCACTATCTGCCATCATACTAGTAGCCAGCGTCCTGTTCTTACTTGCTTTGGTCTGGAGAGACAGAACGCCTCGGTTGAGGGCCAACACTCCAGCCGCTTGAATTAGCTGTGAAATCGAGCACGTTCATTGACTAGGCACAACCACTTCAAGGGCAACATCACTTCTTTCCCTTCTTCTTCTTCTTGCCGCCGGCCCCTCCTCCCGTGGGCTGTTGCGTTTGCTGACTGGACGGCGAGACCACTCCTTCGCTGTCCTTGACGGCCGCTAGATTGCTGGTATCATCAGGCTGCCTACTTGAGGCTGCATTCTCCATGGGGGTGTCTGTGTGCGCTGTCAATCGGAGTGCCCAACGTGACGAGTCCGATTCGGATGGTACCTTCTGCCTTCTCCGGTAGCGCTGCCATATGCCGCCCAAGCCTGCCTAACCCGTTGATAAGCCTACCTACGTCGGCCGCTCTATCCGTCTTGAGCTTGAGCACTACACCGGACTCTGGGTCGTAGGTCTTCAGAACAAGAGCGGCTCTCGGCACTTTGGTAGCAGCATTCTCTTTCGCTTCTGTTTCGCCACCTTGCTTCCGCTTCGTTGACTTCAGGTACTTCGGCGACTCAAGGTTCGGTATCTTGTACTTTGTTGTTATGCGTGTCTAGCTCGCATCGTCAGGCTCGCCATGGCTAGTGAAGACCACTGGCTTACACTTACGCACCGTCGTCGGTCGTGCTTGTAGCAACAACGCAGACTGCCGCTGCCACTCTTCTGGGGAGTTGAGATACACCATGATTGCCTCTTCCCGCTAGACGCCTTGGCTGCTCTGAGTGTAACGCTGGTCGCATGGGGGTGTAATTGGTCGCGTGTTTAGTAGTGTTGGGCCGAGTCAAGGTGCACTGTGGAGAAATGCACTCGGTGGCTTGGCATTGCTGTAGAAGCGGCTACATGTACAATATGTTCTAAGTCGCATTCGAGTCATATTACCAGCTTCGGTGCATCCTGAAATCGTCTGGAACTTCCGCATCTCTACGTCTTGGTAGAGACGAAACGCTCAAGCAGCACACGTACTTTCCCAATCCGGATGCCACTCAGTGTCTTTGAGCGATATGGAAAGCGAAAGCATTGCTGCGGACACGGACGCTTCGATGCCCGACTCGGCTCTGCCTGTACTTGACGACCTCACAAAGCGGGCTCAAGCACTCCTTGTGGAACTAGAATACTTCAAGGCTCGCTTACGGACCTTACGAGAACAAGGCAACGTCGAGCTTGGCCACTTTCGAGGTACCATACAGTCCGAGCTAAGTATGTTACAAAGACTACGCACCAAGCCGGAGAATGCGTCAACGCATCATATTGCTCGATCATCGAACCTACCTTTTCTGGAAACTCTCTGGAACACGGCAAAGCTCTCTAGGGACGTTGTTGCCATGCAGAAGCGAGTGTTTACGTCTCCAATGCTCAAGTCACGCTCGCAGGGACTGCGACACGCTCGCAATGAGCGAGTCGAACTTGACAAGCCGGCTACCAAGGACTCCATGGTACTGGTCGATGCCATTGTTAACGGCGGCAGAACGTGGATCAAAGTGTCGCTTGTCACAAATTCTCGATTATTGTTCGATCTGGCGAAGCAAGGTTGGGACTCTGGAGGCTCAGATTACGAAGGCTGTGACGAGAACGGTTCTGTGCGAGCAGATGACGGCGCGGACGGTTACGACGTGCCTTTACTCAAAACTGCAAAACAACTCACTAAGGCGGCAAAATGCTTCCGAGTCCGTACCAAACTGCCACAAGTACACCTTGTGTTACCTCGTATCATTTCTGGCCAAACCCCGGAAGTAGATGCCATCTTGGATGACTGCCGTGCCACTGGTGCCGTGCTTATTTGCGGAGCTAGAACAGAGTCGGTGCCTAATATCGACAAAGCGGTGCTCACCATGGCAAGAGATCCTATTGATGACTTCTCCAACGTGCTCAACATTGACTGCACTATCCTGCTTGCAATCGTGTCGGAGTTTAGTCACGCCAAAGTTTCAAAGGAGCCTTGGTTTCACCGAGGTTTAAGACGGCAGGTAGAGATCGAAGACAACGAGAACTTGTTGCCGTCTTTGCTCTATCCCGCTCTCGGCTCCCATGAGCTTGTATGCACCGAGGAGGCCGCCAAGCGCATGCGTGAGATTGTCGATACGATTGGAACGCCTTCCGAAAGAGCTCGCACAGCCATCCTACTCGGAGATCACAGCTCGAAGTCTCAAGCTGAGCTTGTGACTGAGATGCAAGAGTGGTCAGCATATCAGGTGCCCATTGGACTGCAGTTACCAATCAGAATCGTGGATCAGAATGAGGGCGGCTGCCAGGCAGCACTTCCTCAATATGCTCAAGGTGTGAGCTCGAATATGACGGCTATAAATCGATCTGTCTTCTTATATGGATGGGCTACAGGATGTACGACCATCACAAGCAACCGAGCAGTTATGAAGCAGATTGAAAATGACATGGATGCGCTCGAGGACCTCGACGAATCATCGTGGCCAAGCATACATGTGTGGCTTTGTCCTACCGCGAGATCGCTGGTTGGGAAAGAGAAGCGTGGAGCCAGGAAAGCGAGCGGTACTTGGCCGCTGCCTGACCCACTTCGTCGCGAGGAGCAGAGACGTAACGGATTGGATGTGCTTACTATCAGGAACGGGCATGATGTTGAGGATCTTCGGCCAAACGGATACCCCTGCGAGGAAGTGCTTGCGGCCAAGAACGCTTCAAAGCGTTGAGCTACTTGTGCTGTACGATACCTCCTTACCGGCTTCTTGCTCCCGCATTGTCAGGCTCTTATAGTCATTCAAACCTAATGTACAAGCTCAATATACAGCCCAACCAAATTCACCTACAACACCACGCATTCGAGCTGAGCTTGTGCGAGTTTCGCACACGGACCGCTTTCCGCATCCATGTCATCAATGTCGACTTTGCAAATATCCCACCGTCTCGACGTGCGATGCGAAGTGCGTTGCTTGAGCAATAGAGGCCTCGCATCCCGGATGTGATGGCTCATACGTCTAACCAACCTCCAGTCTCTGGATTGTAACCGGCCGCGATCAGTCCTTGCCACAACATTTCTTTCGCGTCGAGTGTTTCTTTAGCGTCTGGTAGCACCTCAGCTCCACCCAGCTGTGCCTCGCTACTGGGAAGAATAAGCATTCTCGGGTCGATGGTGAATCCCACGTTGTCCTCACCGTTCACGCCCTGGTCCACTTGGCTCCAACTGCCGGCGCCATCGGTTGCCTCACTTGCGAAATATTGGATGCCGAAGGCCTTCGTCGCGTCCGACAGCTCCTCGGTGCCGACGGGGCCGAGTTGTTGCCCCTGCAAGTGGAACAGTCCAACGCAAGCCTTGCAACTGCAGTTTTGGGAGAGAGGGTCTCCATGAACGGTGTGTAGATGGCTGAGAACATTCTCGCCATGAAAGAAGTCAATACCGCACTCAAAGCATCGGACAGGCTGCGCGAGGCGAAATCTGGGAATGAGCACATCTTTACCCACGGCATTGCACTTGTGGTCATTAAGGTCCAACCTTCTATCCTCGACCGGAACAGGAGCTGCTGCTAGCTGCTTTCCTTTCGCCCTGACGCCGTTACCTTGGGAGCGGCTGCCCTTTCCTGGATGGATGTTGATTCCGTGAATGGCTTGTACGTGGCGATACAGGAGCCAAGGTCTGTTGAAGCCTCGAGACTTGTCGCCGCAGATTTCACACTTGTGGGGCCGAGTGTCCGTATGGGCAGACCGGACATGTTGACGCACATTGTGGTGGCAGGTGAACATACGGACAGCACCACTGGCATCCTTGCAGCTGTAGGGACAGGGATGGGTCTTTGGCGTGGCCGGCTGCCTTCTCTTGCGAGGAGCTTGATAGGTAGAAGGCGCAATGCTTGTCGATGGAGACGGTGTGTTCATGGCTAATGTGGTCTGCTTGTATGAGCTCGTTCTGCTGCTGCTGTGGGCGACGTGAAACAACGATGCGAGCGTTGACTGGTCAGCGGAGACTTGCTATTCTCGTTGGTATGCTTGACCAGCCTCAGTCTTCAGGAGCGAGTAGTGTCTCTTAAAGCAGGCCAGGTCACCAATGGCTTGTTGTCAAGGAGTAGCCATTGACAGACGATGTAGCTGATTGTACTGGGAAGGCACGAAGCTCACACTGCGTTGTCCGGTCACATTGCTAGGATCTCAACAAAGAACCGACCGTACGAGACAGCGGACAAGGACATTGTTATTAATGGAAACAAAGAACGCCACAGCCGCCTCCACATCGTCTGAGGGTGAATGGTTGGGAGACTGCGTGCTGTTCGTGCTATGGTTGCTAATGAGCTTTCTGCATGGCGGTCGAACTCTACTCTCCCCGGGACCGCACAGATTTGGTGCTTTGAGAGAATGGGCACAAAATTACGCCGAACGCCATGCTAACCCGACAGCGTGAGGAAAGTGTAGCTTGCCGCCAATGAACAACTTCGCATCATGTTCTCATTGCTCCTTGGTGTAGAAGATCTCATGGTACCGATGCGTCGCATCTACCACGGCTTCCACCGCATTGAAGTCTGTATGTCTGTCAGTCTAGTCCCGACTAAAGCGACTTGTTCTTGGCGAGATGATGCACCAATGTTACCCTCTGGACCCATATCGACGCTCGCCATCACCTTGACGCTAAGGTCGTTCTGCACCTTACCAATGATCTCGACAGCATGGTTCAGCTGGAGATGTGCATCCTGCTAAGCGGTCAGTAAGCCGAAGTTAAGGCCAATGATAGTATAGGTACTTACACGGTTGAGGTGGACGTTGATGTTGCCGCCGGCATCAATTGTGGCCTGCTCGCCACGCAGTTGGCGCACTTTGCCGAGAATGCGCACGTTCTGGTGTGAGAACTGCTCGAGGTACGGCGCAGTGACACGGGGAGTTGATTCTGACATGTTGAGGGTGCTTGAAGGGGAGATGAGTGTTGAGCGAGCTGTGCAGGTAGGGAATCGCTGCAGGTGAGGTAAAGGAAGACGCGTCAATGTTGGCAGCGCGTAAAGTGGTTCTTGGCAGATGCTCGCTGCCACGTGACCATAGGACGGCAATTATGATACGGATACAATACTACACATTCTAAGCATTTTGCTGTCGCCTCTGCAACCTCATTCCTCTCATCCTCGCAACCTCTTCGGCAATTCTTTCCTGTCTCTCCCTCTGTCTCTCCTCCTCTTTCTCCCTCACCCGCGCCAGGATCTTACTCTTGACACCATCCACAACCGCCTTTCTTGTTTTTTCCTCCGCTAGCCGCATCTTACTCTCCCCATCCACCTCCTCCTTACGCTTTCGAGCATACTCTTCATCTCCCACCATCGCATCTTCAGACGAGCCACTCGGCGTCGACAACATTTTGCGGCCCTTGCGATTCCATCGACTTTCTGTGAAGACAGCTACGTCTGAAATAGGTTGTGCATCCGGCCGAGGGGCAACGTTACGAGTCCACCCCATCGCTTCGTGCGCAATGTTGTCCGGCCAGGCTTCAGCGTATTCGGCGTCAAGAAGGTTGTTCCATCGCATCGTGACACCCTCGGTGCTGAAGATGGGGGTGTCCAGGCGTTCAAGTCTACGCCTCATTGCTCCACGTTTGGGCATGTTCTCTGGATTACGCGGCGGAAAGGACGGCAATACCTGTATCCAGTCCAGTTCTGCCACCCCGCCATCCGCCTGCGCTGCTTTCTCAGATCCTGTGGTCGTATCACCAGATACAGTGGTGTTGCCGCTCCGTCTGCCCGGCGTGACCATTTCTTCGGGCGAATCTGTAGCGACCGCAGACTCCATTCGCGCAGTACGTAACCGCTCTGGCCCATCTATCCTCGCCTCTTGCACAGCATTAGAAGCGAACACCATGCGTAACCGTCTTGCATTGAGATTGTAAAGCTCCCTTCTGAATTGACGCTTGCTTCCTGCCTCTTCCAGCCCCTCACCATCCTTCAACCTCTGCTTTACCGCCGCAATCTGCTCGTCTAACTTTTGCAAGCCCCCTTTACTCGCCTGATCCGCCAACTCTAGCATGACCTTGACCTCCTTCTCCCTTTCTCCCCGCAACATCCTCTCCCTCTCCTCCGCCGTTTTAGCACCTAGCTCCGCCTGCTTAAACAAGATCGCTGCAACGTCGGCGACACTGTTCGCCTTCTGATCCATCACAATCCGCTCTCTCTGTCTTTGTTTCCGCCTTTTAATGATATCATACACACTCTCCTTCTTGTTGCCGCCCCGCTCGGCCAACTTCTGTTTCATCTCGTAAATCTCGGCATCGCTGTAAGGCTCCGACAAGGATAGCGGAGGCTCCCAGTTCAGCTCGTGTAGTTTCCTATATTCGCGCAGCTGTCGGAAGGTGGATAAGCCCTGTGCTGAAGAGGGTACGGTGAGGGTGTAGAGTGGCTTCCAGAGGTCCTTGCGCGTTGTGTTCGGGGTGTTGTTGGCGCCGGTGTCTGGCAGCTGTTTTATTGTGGCATTCGACTATTCCTACATTAGCTGCTCGTGGTGGTGACCATGGTTCAGGGAGTGCATCTTACGTTGAGCGTCTGGGACAACGAGTAGACCACCTGATTTGTTCGCACGTGGCAGTAGGCGTAGATGTTGCGGCCATGCTCCGTCGGCGCACGACTGCTGCCCGGTCTTGCTTTACGCATTCTTGCGCAAGTTCTAATATTGAGAGTGATGTTGTTTAGCATTGCAGCATGGAAACTCGGGCTTCGCTCGCAGCACCTCCGAAGCTCTCCGCAAGTGAGACCTGCCGAAACCAAAGCACTACACACGTCCCCAGATACGAAGTACCATGGCAAATAATTGAACATATGGGAGGGATGAATGGCCACAAAGCCGACGCGACCACAGCTGCCGCAAGCGCTGCAGCACAATGGCTCCGTACGCCAGGTTGAGCGGCCGTGGTTGCTGCCTACCGTACGAATAGTTACCATGCCGTCCATCCAGCACGATTGCTCATTGACACTCATTATAGAATCGCAGGCTGCGCAACTTGGTATCGGTCTCATTACGTAACCTCACATTGACTCCTACATCACCCTCTCGCCCGCGGGGAAAGACAATAGACGACGATGCTCTGCCCAATACCCGCGTGTCACCCGCAAAACTCTTCGCATTGCGCGAGCAGAAATCATTGGTGCACTCGCGGAGCTCGAGCGATCTGAGAAGCGTCTCTGAGAATGCTGTCGCTGAGACAGACAGTGAACTGTCTCTGCCCGCAAACGGCAGTCCTCTCAAGGCAAAAGGGAAGCCCAACGGCACCCCACGCACTCCCCAAAGGCCTGGGCTTGCACGAGACAAGCGACGACGAAGCACGCATGAGTGGGCGAGTGCTACGCCGCAGCGTCGGCAGGAACGGCTCGAGAATGTGATCCAGGAGCGACTGGCTGATGTATTCTTCAGCGTGCATGTAAATGGTGTAGGGGGTATTTATATGGTTGCTTCTTGTGCCCAGAAGGCTAGCTAACCTGGATGGCAGAGCCTGTATACATTAGTGAAACCATCGAGCGGACCATGAACCCAACCTTTAGGCACGTTGACTGGTCAGGCTGTGGTGCGGGCGTCATGCGACTAGACCACTTCACCATTCGTTTCTGGGTGGACAGGACGAACGCAGGACGCTGGATACTGCTGCTTGAACTGTCGATTTCACTACGAAAACTGCAGTACCTTGGCAGAGGTGTAAGTGCTGCCCTTCCTCTGGCATCGCACACCTGACGGTTACTAGCTTGATCAGTTACACCATCCACTTCCACAAAACGCAATAATTTTTCACCTTACAGACGGCATTTATACAATCTTTCCGTCGATATCGGATTATGTACCGCCGGTCACAGCTCCATCCGCACGAGCGAATAGTGCGCGATTGCTGCCGACTTCATCCTTCGATGCACTGCTCAGGCTTGCAAAGCTTGACGACAGTATCCAGGATGCGCTCGCGACACGCAACAAGCTGGCAGCAGATCTCGAAGACCTACTAAAGGCGAACGGGGAGGCCTTGTCGGACCGTGACCGTGTCCCTGAAGCCGAAGACAGGCTTAAGACCATCGACTACGCCAAGAAAACTGTCGAGAAGCAGCTTGAGAAGGCACGCAAGCAGCAGGCAGAAAAGCGGCAAGCTCTGCAGAAAAGGCGCGAGCTCATGCGGACCGACCATGACCGTCGGAAGGAGCAATCAGTGGAGCTGCAACAGGCGCGGCCTGAGCTTCCGAAAATGGGTGATGAGCGTTCTGTCAGAGCGAAGGCCATCCGCAACCAGCGACGACGCATCTGCGAGGACGTGCAGAAGATCTGGCCCATCCTACCTGTGCCTGGTAAAAGTCTCCATTTCACCATACAAGACATACGCCTACCCGATGCCGATAGCCTGGATGACGAACCATCGGACAAGATCGCGGCGGCACTAGGCCAGGTGGCGCACATTGTACTCATGCTGGCCTTCTACCTCTCCCAGCCGCTACCCTACCCCGTTAACCCTCGCAGCAGTAACAGCACGATCGAAGACCCCCTCTCTCTGCTTAAAACCAATGCAAGCACAACACAAACGTACAACGACGAAAAGGCTCTGCGAACGTACCCGCTCTTTAGCAAAGGCGTGCCGCGCTTTCGATTCGAATACGGCGTCTTCCTGCTCAACAAAGACATCCAGATACTACTTGAGAACACGTACGCGGTCAGAGTATTGGACATTAGACAGACGTTGGGTAATTTGAAATATCTGCTCTATGTAGCGACTGCCGGTGAGGGGGAGTTGCCGGCGCGGAAGGCCGGTGGGATTCGAGGATTGCTGAGAGGGAAGGTGGATGATACGCCTGACCTGTCCAGAACGGGTAGCGATGACTCGAGTGCTTCGTTGTTGAGTGGAACGTTTGGGCATAATGGGAAGATGGAGGGGAAGCCAAAGGGGGCGGTTGATAGTCTGAGAAGGACTATTGGTTCGCTGGATGGAAGTCTTAAGCGAGGGTAGCATGACGGTGCGGTACGGCATCGTCGCACGTATTCGACACCACATATAGCAGTTGAGAATAACCACTCCATCCTTTTCGGCGCAGTCTTTCGGTGTGCATGCGATTATGATCGCAGACTCATCTCTATCGCAGGCTGGGCTTTGCCGTTTTGGGACAGCTTCAAGCTTGCTGCAAGCGAACGTCACTGCCGAGGAGACATGGAGACTTTCAATGCTATCATGCTCCACTTGACGACCGGAAAAGTCACCAGCATAGGCAGCTCGCGTTACTACTATACCGTCTCATCTCGTAAGAGCGAGCCACCGTAGTCTCCACAGTCTTGCTTTCCTTGGTGCTATAACGTTTCACTTCCGTTCCACATATCGCACCATCCTTTCGAACAGTACTCTCCATTCCTTAGCCAAGGGAGCTGATCATCAACAATAACAATGGCGCAACAACAGGGTGCCCCGTCGGGTGCAGTAGCAGTGCTAAACGTGCGGGACCCTACACTTCTGCCAAAAGCTTAGACGCACACACTGAAAGTTTCGAATAGCAAGACATTGTCCACCGTCTCCCGTCCCAAGCGCCGATGCTCTTTGCCAAGAAGAAGGAGAAGAACCTATCCTTTGAGAGTCTCGGCCAAGCTCTCGGACGCGACGAAGTCGCAGTCGCAGCTCTCTTCTACGGCCAAGCCAAGGCATCCGAAGACGACATCAAGAACCTCGCCAAAGTTCTCGACATCCCAGAGGAGACACTTCGAGGGACAGAGATGGCAGGCTGGCCGGACCGAGGCCACCAGATGGAAATGCCGCCGCGGGAACCGTTGGTATATCGGCTGTATGAGATCGTGCAGAATTACGGCTATGCGTACAAGGCGGTGATGAACGAGAAGTTTGGCGACGGTATCATGAGCGCCATTTCTTTCTCGACGAAGGTTGAGAAGGAGGTGGATGATGTGGGAACTTGGTGTAAGATTACGCTGAGAGGAAAGTGGTGAGTGTCGCGACTTCCCAGTCCCATGTTCCGTTGCTGATCGAGTGCAGGCTACCGTACACACGCTTCTAAATGCCTGCACAACCAAATCGAATTGAGTCTCGTTGGAGCGCACCCTCCACACTTGACTGTCGCCTTGCCGCTTTCCTCGTTCCTCTGTGCTCAGTCTGTCAAAGGTGGGGGCGACAGTGTGACCAACTCGCACCTCCTGCCAACGTCACTTCATACATTGTGGCTTCCAATGGCACATAACTATAGACTTTGCGCTTGCCTTTCGAGAGTCCACCGACATCCAGAAACCACATCCCAACCGCAACCACGTCCTGCACGGCCGTCACCGCGACTGCTACACATTAGCACCGCTAGGTGTAGTCCGCAGAAACATCTTGGCGCAGCTAGTCTCCAAGACAACACACCGGCTTTGTCCTGCGCACAACTTGTGAAGCAAATCGATATGGGTGCTAGTCAGTCGAGGAGGTCAGGTGACGGCAAGCGCTCACCGAGCCAGGAGAAGCACACTTCGGCGAACTCGTAAGCTGCACCTGCTCACACTGCTCAAGGTATGCTTGAACAAGTGTCACAGAACCACGCCGCTTGCGGCCAAAGCCGCCGAGCTCGACATTGAATGCTCCACCATTACGGACAAGCACGTTAGCCTCGCTAGCGAGAAGACCTACAGTCGTAGCCGAGCCAATACGACGAGCAGTAAGTCAAGCAAGCCATCCTTCTCCGTCATTCCCACACCGCAAAGCTTACCAAGTAGGTCTCGCGCAAGGTGTGGACGATATCACACCAGCCCCTATCTCTATCCATGAGACGGAAGGCCACTCCGATGTCAGCCGTCCCCCACCTCCACCTCGCTTACGTACCCTGAGCGAGTTGATCGATCCGACCGAGATTTTGGCGCGTGGCCACGTTCGCTCACCAAGTGGCAATCTGCTCGGCGCAGACGAGTACCTTGCTCACCCCGGACGTCCGCGCAGCATCCGCGAGCGCCAGGAGCAGATCCGAGAGAAGGTCCGCACGGCGAGTCGACTGGGCGTTGAGGCGGATGAGCCGCCCGCTGTTGCGGTTGCACCGCAATCGCAGAAGGTAGGTTGATCACGCTGTTCACGAGCCGCAGCAGCTGACTGTTTTGCGAAGCGTGTGTTGTGCAGTTGCTTCTGCTGTTGACACGAGTGACATGGAGAGAAGCAAAAGTCTTTCTCACGGACAAAGTGGAGACAGGGTCGATTCTAGCTTCATGATGATGTGCAGCTGCGAGGAACTTGCAGAGAAGCATTACGCTACTAGAGGTGCTTGGTTATGTAATGCAATCTGGCAATGAATTGAGTGCTGAAGCGAAGTATTACCTGTTCAATCTACGCAGTACACATGACCTCAGTAATGGCAAGCTCACAGCATCAATAGCGCTTCGTCAGTCTTATCCGCGGTCCATCCGTGACTCACTGACTGAAGCTGCCAATGAGGCACTGAGCCAACGTTATCAAGACTACTTACGACAACATATCGACACCACCAAACAGGCATTTCCGGATGACGGCGGGTCGAGACTTCTGCCATTAGTGAGCTGGTTATTCGGGAAGGAAACCGTCGAGCTTGCCGTACTTCCTGTTGCACCTTCTAAGTTAGATGCGGCGAGTGCTTCCTTCTATTTGCACTGAGCAAGAACAAACGCCACAACCCTTCAAACCTTCACGTATATGTCCGCATGTCCGCAAATCCCCCAACACCTTAGATGCTGACCCACAGATAGAGGGACACTGACTGATACATTTAGTTTAGTCAAGATACAAGGCCCCTGCAATTCACATACTCTTGCCTCCCTGTCAGGCGCGACATGGCGATCCACGGCTCCGGAAAGGAGTACGGCGAGCTTAAACCGGTCAAATGCACGTACAAGGACTGCCAACAGCGATTCGACAATGAAAAAGACATGAAGCGGCACAAGAAACACGACCCAAACCACAACTACTGCCGGAGATGTGACCTCGACTTCAACAGCTGGGAAGAGCTGACTCAGCATAAAGTTACTGTCATGGACCGGTGGCAAAGAGCTCCCCGTGACGAACGTGAAGATGGTCCTGCGCATGTCACATGCGAGTTCTGCGGTCTGGACTTCCACACCTTCGGTGGGCGGAAGACGCATCGTGCGCAGACGCACAAGGCTGGTATGTTATTCTGCGCGTTTGCTCTGCCACCGCTGCGAAGCTAACCCTTAACCTCTCCGCTCTGCAGCTCAGAGCCTCAAATGTCCCGGCTGTGAGGCTCTTTTCACTAAAGCAGGCAACATGATCGCTCATCTCGAAGAAGGCCACTGCAAGACAATCACAGCGTATGAGTTCAGAGCCAGCATCGTGCGCAAGCGTATCACCCCCGAAATAATGAACAACGCGGATGAAGTTCGCCGCAGGATGGGTCTAACCGTGGCTCATGGCAACGACGACCAAGCGCCGAGCTTTGTTGGGAACATTACGGACGGCAGTGAAGCCCTTGACGAGGAAGAAGGTGGCGTTCCAATGGAGCCATTACTCGACCAGAATGACCCGGAGCAGCAGCGAGGTTTTCCAGCAATGCAGCCTGAGGTAGATCTCTTGAGTAGAGACGCTCCGCTGACTATGGGCGACCCATTGAGCCGCGCGAAACGGGAGAAGTGGCCTCGCTTACCGGGCATATCGACCCCTATGGACCCCGCCATGTTAATGCGCAAGCTGTCCGTTGCATCGACGGCTGCATCTGCAATTGGCTCTGCGACAACCGACGTTCCAAGCGACATCACAAGCCGACGTGGTGGCCTCAGGGTCTACACGGAGTCATACCCTTCGCTTGGCTCGCCTACAAGCACACGGTCGATTGACTGGGATGAGGCTGCATCAGATGCCACGGTTGTCAGTACCGCGGCCAAACCGGCGGCATGGACTACGGGACGTACAGCGGACGCCCTCTTCCGGGAAGCGAAGACCAAAGTCGCCGCTGCGACGGCGATATCGAAGCGCAGAGAGGAGGCTGCGCTGATGAACACTAGCAATAGTACAAATCTGCTACACACTCACTTCTACGACCCGTCATCGCCCGACTGCGACGTGGAACGCTTCTTTCATCCACTCACGCAGACATACGTTTGTCCGTTTCCGGGCTGCGACGATCTCAACGGCAACGAAGTCAGATACGAGACACCATCCGAGATCAAGGCCCACGTCTACAGAGCTCACTTGGAAGTACGCCACGCGTGTCCGACGTGTAAGCGACGCTACGACACCGCGACTGCGTTTGTTCGTCACATAGAGGATACAAATAAGTGCAGGGTCAAGGACAGCAAGGACTTCTACAGGCTGCTCGATACGATGACGGGCGGCTTCATCAAGGCCAAGCTGCTTGATGAACCCTTCTTGTACAGCACATCGAGTGCGGTGATCAAAGCGGATGCGGTGCCACTAGATGGGGCAATGAAGGTGAAGTTTACGGCGAAGCTGCCGGATGAGGTTTAGTCTGCTTCTTGCAAGGCCATGTCCAACGGCCTGGCGCTACGCGCAGCGAGGTCGGCTTAACATATGTCATAAGTACTGATCAGCCACACGAGGTTAAATTGCTTTCCACAAGAATACTCAGTCTAGTAATCTTCTTTAGCATCATCATATTCCGCCTCCGAGCTCAGACTGCGCCGGTCACTGCGCTCATCGCTGAGCTTACTCACGTAGCTTTCTCCGTTTGACAGTGGTGGGCGGACGGCGAGATGACCGTTTTCGTTCCCATCCTTGACACCATTCACTGCTTGGCCTTGATGGAGTTTCTGCATCGCTTCAGCCCTCTCCTTCCACTGGTTGGCGTCCCAGAAGGTGTACGATTGGCCGCCGAAGATCGCAAGCGGGTTGATGTCGTTGTTTGCACGCTGTCCTGGGGAAGGTGAATCGGTGTCGCTATTGAGCACGGCTAACCGGTCAACAGGCGAGGCGGCCGTCTTGGTACCACTTCCTGATGTTGAAGAGTCGGTGTTCGTGGCGCGGTTGTTGGTGAGATCCTCCGCTGCAGTAGGTGAGCTGTCAAACTGGGCTGTGGTTTTAGGCCGTAGCTCGAGGGGACGCGGTGAAGAGCTACGACTTGTATGCTTAGAGGACGCCCGCCGGCCTTCATGCGCAAGTGCTGTCGTGCTAGCAATTCCTTGCCTCCATTGCGCTACCCGTTCGGGAGCAACTGAGCTTCCTGCCGAAGTCTGAGGGTCTCGCAAGCTACGCTGGCTTACCTTCGTAGCGAGAGATCCAGTCCTACTGGAGCGCCCGGTACGCTTGGCGAAGAGCGAGGAACGGTCGTCGTCCGCCCTCCGTTTCGACCACGCACAGTCTTGTCGAAACACTTTGATCTGGCCCACGTAGTCCGCCGTGACAATGATGTTGCCCTCCTTGTGCGATGAGCGGGCAAGATATGCTGGTGACGGCTGCGGCCGCTCGAACCGCCCGTCTGTTGTGGCGGGAGTGTGTAGCACACTTCCGCTGTCTGTAGGAGTCGAGCCATGGCTAGCGGTACGCTCCGCGCGACTCATCAGCATGACCGGCTCCGGATTGCATAGGCTGTATACCGGATCGTAGCTTCTGCTCAAGTGATGGCGTGTCTTGCCTGGCGCGATGCAGACCGCTGTCGTAATGCTGTCGTGAGCCTTGAACATTTCAACGGGCCGCTTCTCGCTCTTCTCGGCATCGACTGGCTCCATTGACCAGATGTAAGCTTTCTTGTCTTCGCTGCCACATACCACGTACCTCCCGCAATCGGAAAGGTGCGCCCGGATTTGGCTCGAATTGTTCTCATGGCCCTTCAGCTTCAACTCGAGCGCCTTGTCTCTGAGATTGTATCTCCGCACTCGAGAGTCGTTACTGGTGATTAGAAGCTTGACATCACCGTTTGCGGAGTAGGCCGCCTGAATGTTTGTGATCTTGCTACCCTTGGCGTTCTGACCGCGTGTTGAGCGGACGTGCCATTGAGACTAGACGTGCGTCAGCAATGTACGACGCGGCCGTTTGTGTGCGTGGCACATGCACAACTTACCTGATACTTCAAGCCATCCGTTTCAAAGACCATACACAGCCCGCTGAGTCCTCCTGCAATTGCATACTTCCCGTCTGGCGAGAAGGCGACCGCGGTAATCATGTCCGGAAACTGCGCCATGTACGCCACGTTCTTGTCTGGGATGCTCCACAAGCGAAGCTTAGAGTCCAACGAACCAGCCAGGAAGAAGCGGTCGTCCTTTGGGTGGAATGCTATTGATGGCACGAAGTCGTTGTGCTTGAACGTGCACAAACACTCTGGTCTGCTAAGATGCCAGAGCCGGACCGTCTTGTCCATTGACGACGTCAGAAGGAAACCATTCTTACTCCAGCCGAGATCGAGCACAGTAGCGGTGTGACCTTCATATTCACGGATAGGATGGCTCTGAAAGACTGGAGCGCTCAGGTGCGACGCAGGTGATTCACTGCCGTTCGGCTCGCTTTCGCCCGACTCATCCTGCTCCTGCTGCTCATGTTGCTCCCTGTCTTCTGGACTGGCTAACACAGCCCACACGCGCACGACTCCGTCATTGCCCGCTGCAGCAAGATACTTACCGTCTTTGCTGAACTGCATGGCCCAGACGGTGTCCGCCTCTTGCGGTGCCGCATTCTTTCGCCTTAGCTTGTTGCCGCTATTCTGCCGATTCAGCTTCCGCCTTTTGCTGGAACGGAGCTCCTGTGCCAGAAAGAGGTGGTCGAACTCCCGCTTGCTCTTGTTCTTCGCCCGTACTTTGATATACATTGGGGGTTGCGCATGACGCGGGCTGAAGCCAAAGTTGTTCACAGACTCGGCGAACACAGTCGCCGCGTTTCCTTCCGGCCTGTCTTCGCCTGACAACGACTCCGTCTCCGCCGCATCTTCTTCTGCCTCACGCTTCTTGGCACCACCCATAAGCTTGCTGAGGAATGAAACGGCTTTGACACCTTTTCTCAAATCCTTATGCGAATTGTCCGGAAGGTCTCTCGAAAGTCTGGCAGGTAGTGTTGCCGCATGACGGGTAGGTGATGGAGGTTGCGCACCAGGCTCATCGTATCTGTGCTCGGGTTTTGGCGCTTGGTTGTCCGCCGCGTTGGGTCTACCGTTCGTAGGCAAAGCCGAAGGTGTGTTCGTACGCTTCTGGATTTGCTATTCCAGCAGTATAGAGTAAGCACTTGTCATCGGCACAGTAAGCTGACCGGGGGCGATGTATTACCTACTTGCGACAACGGATCGATCGCGAGCTGCTCTGCCGGAACTGCGGTCTCATTGGGCCCTCCCTGACCTTCAGCCAACGAAGTGTGAGCAACCTCATCGGCGTCCTGCCTTAAACTTGCTGGCGACGTCCCGCGACTTCTGCTGCCGTCCTTTCTAGGCTTGCCTGGATGTCTCGTTAGCGACGTAGGTCCGCGCATGTTTGGACCTGCCACAGCTGAAGGATAATCATAGTGACTCAAGTATCGTCCGGTCTCAGAGAGGACCTTATGTACGTACCTGAACTACTGGTTAGAGTTGCGGATCGGCCGGATATATTCTTGTTAAGCTTCACGTCATTGTAGCTTCGGTTATCCTTGGTTGGCGAATGCGCTGCCCGCGGCGTAGAGTCTTTGTTATGCGGATCCGTCAATGTGAACGTGGGCAGTCGCTGCGCCATGTTGGTCTCTGAACGCATGTCATGCTTCCCTTGCAACACTCATCCCTGCACATATATGCCAAGAAGACCTCGGAGTTTGCGGAAAGGTGCGGAAGCAGCGGTTTGACGGGAAGAAATGGGAATGCGAACAACACCAAGCAGAGTGAGAAGCGATGCGTGGTAGAGAACGGTTCGTCGGAATTAGCAGGTTCACAGTGAAGGATCGCTAACCCGAGCAGCTCGTCGTCCGCACCCACATCAACGTCACGCACGGTCCGAGCGCCCAGCCAGCGTACTGTGTACCTGCATCTCGCTAGATATGGGTTGTGTGCTTCAGCTTCTCGTTCGAGCCAGTGGAAGTCATTGCGCCTTTTTACGTTTCGTTGCTGTTGCTTCACTAGGCTCACCGTTCCAAGGTTCGTCCAGGCTTCACTAGGCCGAGTACAACCTCGGCATCATCACCTATCATCGATATTAATACAGACGCCCTCTTTGCTTTAACAATGCTTCTTTCGTTCCAATGATTTCATGCCTCCAGCACGCTTTTGGGAGTTTGCGCATCTGACAGACAGTCTGCGAAACATGGGTTGGGTTGACCATGTCCCGCGAGCCGGCAATATCTATATCGGAGGGCTTCATGCATTATACCAGAAGCCGGATCTGTTCGAACGAGCAAAGATCACCCATATACTGTCAGTTCTGGATTTCGACATCTACGAGGCAGGACATTTCAAAGAGTACACACATTTGATGATTAGAATCGACGACGACCCTAACCAGAATCTGCTGCAACACTTTGAGCAAACGAATGCTTTTATCGAATCAGCATTAAGCAGTGGAGGCGCAGTTTTTGTGCACTGTGCAATGGGCAAGTCACGCTCAGCGACTGTTGTCTGCGCCTACCTTATGTCGAAATATAATTTGACCCCCGGTAAAGCCTTGGAACAGGTCTGCGAAGGTCGGCCAGTATGCTCGCCTAATCCAGGCTTCATGTCTCAGCTGGAGGTGTACAGCCGGATGCTCAAGGCTGGCAGCCGGGAGGAGTCCGCGGCGATCTACCGCGAGTGGCTGAGGGACGGCTTTAAGGGCGATCCGTGGGTGTGGGACAAGCGTGGCAGGGAGGTCAAGCTTTAAGGCGCGGGCATGCGTTTGAGCTTCACGTGACTGCATCGCGCTGTTCAGATGATATGCTGACCTTCGGGTTCATCCCAGCCTTCGATACAAACTGTGGACGTCCCACTTATACCGCAACAACTGCCGACATGACTGCCTTGCACTGATGCGTGTCGAAACCGCGGCGCATAATTGGCCGTATCTGGATGTGCGCAACGTACTTCACGTACGCCAGGGTCTCAAACCCTTGCTTTGGCACAACGGCAAGACGAGCCAGCTCCGTAGTGTTGCCGCCATATATCTCCCAGGCCTCAACCTCGGTCGCACCATTCCAGCTTACGTACACCGCCGCACTGTCATTGGCTGCACGCTCAGCAACGACACTAGGCGGCAAAATTGGACATCCAACCCATGGCTGCTTGAAGGCGCGATAGGATAGCGTGGGCACAAGCGGGCTGATAAAGCCTCCTTCAGGTCGGGCTTCTGCGACCCCGAACTGGATGGTCGACAGAATCTGTCCATCATGCGTGAACTCTTCCAGGACTGGGATCCATCCGTGTCCGATGAAGACACTGCCATCACGGAGAGGTTGATAGTTGCCTTGGGCCGTACTGTATATGGGCCCGGATACATTGAGGTACCGCTGAATGAGAGTGACGTGCTTAGACGTTAGATCTACCGACAAGCTCTTGCCAGAAGATGGCACCGTGTTGTTGTCAATCGGCGAATTGTGATTATCATGCATATGCAAGATAAAGGTTGATGTAGTACTGCTCGGCTGCTCAGGTACTGCGCGTACGTCATGTTGGTAGCAGAAGTCTGTTCCGTTCCCAAGCGTGAAGTCGCCGCCATTTCGGCCTTCCAGACGCCACTTCACCCGGCCATCTGTGCCGATCGCAATTGCGCTGCAGAGGAACCGTGAGCTGATCAGATACCCGCCGTCGTACGGACTTACAGCGTTGATGTGGAAGTAACCCCATGCCTGCGGCTGGGTTTGGCCGGTATAGCCTTCGCTGCCTAGTGGGTACACGGAATCTGTAAATGGTAGCTGGTCAAGGTGGTCAAGGCTGTTCCACGAAAAGAGCACATTGTTCGTCCCGATCTCGATCTCGTAGACAAGCGCCGCAACCACCCAGCCGTGAGCTGGCCCGCCAACTGACGTGAGATTCGCTTGTGTGACGTTATTCGCAGTAACGAGCATTGATCCGTCCTTCGTAATGAAGATCTCGTGGACATCGATATTGCTTGGAAAAGTCGCATTCGGAACCTGTTCCAGGAAGTTGCCCGGCAGCATCACTTCGTAGATTTGCTCATAGGAGCTATTGAACAGGTAAACGACACCATTGCCGCGTCCGACGGGCTCCGGGTAGACCGTACCATTCCACCACACCAGCACCGGCTCGCCCAGATAGTCTTGCACGCCGAAGCCGAAAGCATGTTCATGCAGCGGGCCGTTCCAGACAAGCTCGCCTTCCATATCCATGATCAAGGGAGCAAGCTGGTACTCTGAGGCGCCGTCTGGAGCGAAAAACAAATAGCCCTCCGCGGGTCGGTATTTGTTCGAGATCTCCAAATATGGGGGCGTGAAGCTCATAGTCTTGAATCTCTGATATGGCCATGTTGCGTTCCCTGCGCTATCAGCTGGTACGATGGCAGCATGCACGAATGCAGCAGCGGCGAGCACAGCGCAGAGTAGAGAATACATCGAGGCGGTGGTTTGCGCAGAAGCTGGCAGATTGCTGTGAACAGACTGCGAATGCATACAACAATAAGCATGGCGCCTACAACAGATATACGCGGCCTGCAAGGGTGAGGATCATGCGCTAACGCAAGGTCCGGATTTGTACGCAATGACGATCCTTCTCCGCGAGCTGAAGCTCAGGCGGATCTGCGACATCAGATGGAAACGGGATCCGGGCCTTGGAGCCAGGAATTGCATCTTGCCTCGACGCATGGTCAGGGCAGCTGCATGTGGCCACAACAGGCACTAAAGCTGGTGCATTCGAGAGCAACCCATTTAGGACCAGGCAACCCCACACACTGTGAAGCGGTGCTCGCACTCGTGCGGCAGGAGTATCCTTCTGTTATGGTCAAACTTTTCCACATTTGAGCCATCGCAGTCGGATCTCAACCAACATTCCCATTCTGATTGTGGCTTGCGTCGTCGAAGGCCTTCTGCCTCTGTCTGTTATTCCAGTTCAGAGTTCGGCTGATGCTGTCCACCCAGTCCTCGCTACGCCGGTCCAACGGCAGCACGGATGGAAACGGGAAACGACTTGCTGATATTGTTACGTAGTCGCCAGGCGTTAATTCGGTTCTGCCAGTGATCAGCGCTGCAGGATGTTACAACGATAAGTGAAACACGCGCAAACGTACCTCTCCTTGCCGTCAAAACTCGCCCAACAACTCGCTCGTGCATCATACGGTACACCTATACGCAATACTATCGTGTCCGGCAGTATGATGGGTCGAAAGCTCAGGGTATGGGGTGCAATGGCAGTGACGAGGATGACTGGATTGTCTGGATGGCAGAGACTGCCCCCTGCCGCGAGATTGTACGCTGTTGAGCCGGTCGGGGTTGCGACACAGATACCGTCCGCTTGTACCGTTGTGAAGTGCTCTTCGTCGCCAAACACCTCAATGGAAGACATGGTAGGATTGGGTCCGCGGTCCAGGACGATGTCGTTAAGGATATTGTGACTTGGTCCGGGAACGTGCGTTGTCACGTCATCACTCGCGTCGCCGATCAGCTCATCGATGAGATCTCTAGAAGCGCTATGCTCGTCGCTCGATCGCTTGCGTGAGTGCATGACTGTGGCCTCGAAGCGTAGGCGCAACGAGACTGTGACGCCGTCACGGAACGCTCGGGCGAGAATGTCCGGGTACTTGTCGAAGTCGAATTTGGTAAGGAAGCCTAGTGAGCCAAGTGCGAACGACATGACTGGCGGCACCACACGCTGGAAGAGCCATGATGAGTACAGCACGGTGCCATCGCCACCAAGTGCTAGGCAAATCTCGAATGTGTCGGGCTTCTTCCGACATAGCTCGTTATCCCAGTACTTTAATCGGTCTTTGTAGCTTGGGTCCTGCTTACTGATGCCGTCTGCGTTGAACACCTTGTTGTCTCTCATCGTCTCTTCTATCCAGACTGTGTACGAATGTCCGTCTGCATTCTTTTGTCGCAATAGCCACTCGGTGACGTCGCGGGTGTGCGCTACAAGTTTCTGATCGTATGCTTTCGTCAATATGAAGACGTTGCGCACTTTCAGTAGCAGCCTGATATGCCCAAGCTTTTTCGACAGCTCACGGATACCGAACGCCATGTCACTCAGCTGCTTCTTCGTCAATAAACGCGACTGCGTATGCCGATGCGAGCCATCCCCATTATGCTGCGTTGGCGTATCTTTGTCCGCCGGCCGCCCTTGTGTCAACCCATCCTCACTCGGTGTCCAGTGCCCAGCCTTCGACTTCTCCTCTAGTAGTGAGTGCACAAAGCAAGACGTCCTCTGCCTCTGGGATGATGGTCGCTTCGATCCGTCCGTTTGTGGTACAAGGGAAGCTCGCCGCCTTTGCGCTTCCTGTTGATCGAAGATGACCTCTAGCTTCTCATGTACACCGTCTTCATCGCTGCCATAATCGCCGTGATCAGCTTGGTACTCGCCCAGTACCCTGCCGAGCGAGTCGCCGTTGGTGAAGTCGGACAGAGGAGGCTCGGACATCTTTGACAGGATCTCGAGATGAAAGTTGCTGTTCTTGAAGCTCAACAAGAACGTGACGAGTCGTAGGCGATGCCCTTGGAAAGCGAATGATAATGACGCCCGCAGCCGATGTTTATGCGTCTGAGGGTATGAGGGCTTATCGATTAGCTGGCATCGATCGATTGCAGGGATGCAGAAAGATCGCCGAAAGATCCAGATATACGAGATTCGCGTGTTGCGATAAAGAGTCGTGCATAGGCAGGAGGGATGAGTTGCGAACGAAGAGAGGATGGATAAATGGGATGCGACCGTTGCTTAATCCGTGATACGCTGATAAGAATTGACGTTACAACCCTCGGCTTCCTGTTCACCACTTGCCAACGCGTTAGCTTTGCGTTTCCTGAGGATAAGCGAGATTCCGGGCGACAACTTCCTACCTCTGCCATACATCAGGCCGTCTATAATTAACGCGACGACGGCAGCACGCGTTCTGGGGACCACTTGCAGCGGGATTGGAGGGCGCAGAGCTGACGTCTAGTCAACGTTTGGTCGGAGCAAGCAATGGTGCAATATGCCGTGACGCCGTGGAGGCAGCATCATGACCTACTGGCTGTTCGGGCCCAACTGTACAGCACCGATGACAATGAGTCTCTCGACGTAACAGCAGATATAGCCATTCTAGACCAGGCTCGTAAGCGTGCCGTTGATCGAGTCCATGCCTGGAAAATGCGCGGCAACCTGCCCCATGCTGTCGAGTCCACTGCACTACTTGTCGACGCCATCCTACATTACCGCCAGGGCAATGCCCAACCTTCACAATTCGCCATTCGAGCAGTCTACACAGCAGCCTTCACCCGCTTTGTTACCGGCTTCTGCGACATTGGACGAGCGCGCGAGAACCGGCTAGATCCGCGCAGTATGCTCCAGATCGCACAGCAGATTGGCATGCCGTTGCATTTTGTCGCGCTTAGACATGAAGCGACGCACGAGGAGTTGCCGTCGTTGCCTAGACTTGTGGCAACGACCCAGGAGGCTTTGGACTGGTTATGGAACATGTATTGGACCAAGTTGGAGGAGCTTGCCGATAGTGGCGAGGGTGTGAGGGACGCAGGCAAAAGCGCTTCAAGGGAAGAAGCGAGACGGCTTCTCAAGGCGTTCCGAGCTGCGAGGAAGGAAGCTCTCAAGCACAAGAAAGCGCAATCTTCGGACCATTTGGCGGAGGTCGACGCATTCTGCAAACAATTCCGAATGTTGTGCGATACGAGTGAAACACGAACGGGCATTGTCGCAGGCGTATTAGTCAACGAGAAGCTCTTGTTCCCCTCGTCAAGAGAGTGAGTTCGAGTGCCCAGCTTATTATACAAGCGCTCGCTGACTATGTTATGTTCTAGGCTGGGGTCTTCGATGTCAGGTGCGTTCATTATGTGGGATGATTTCCTTCGAGCAATCGACGAAGACCGAGGAGCCTTCATTCCCGCGGTGATCCGGCAGCTGCTGGACAAGTTAACAACCACTGATACGTTGCTCCAACCGAAGGACGATCCAGGCAGCGAAGCGTATTGCCTGTGGCTTATGCATCTTTTGAACACGAGCGCGCAGGGTGTCCGAAATGATGCCATGAGATTGTGCTGTTTGTATCCGGGGCACTGGACCCACCGTCTGGGACAGCACTTGCTGGTCCACGGAGATACGTCGTTCGTAGAAGACTGGCAAGACTTCTTCATGGTCAGCGTGCTGGATCTCGATGAGCACCTAAAAGCGCAGCTTTCACCGGATGATCGGGGAATTGAGTATACCTCGACCACCAATGCAAGCATGAAAAACGGACCGAATGCGGATGACAGCTTGGGTGGCGGCTGGAGGCGGGCTTTGCTGCCACCACAAGTGCCAATTGGTGTGGTGTCGTAGTACATGTGCTTCGAAGCACCATTGCACGTGCACTCGCTGCTCCAGTGCCGGATTGTCCTATCGTGCCTCGTATCCTACCTCCAGCACTTCTACTCATTCGAGCCAAATACTTGATCCTCTCAACCAGCCTTCATCGCCTCCTCCCTTTCCACTGTCCCCTCTCCAAACCTCAATAGAAAGATCGTTTTGCCAGGCCACATCTCGTCAGTCTCCCCTGCCGAATGCGCCGACACTCCCTCCATGGCGAAGCCTGCCGCATCACACAAGCCTTCAATGATACCTGCGACAAAGGCGGCGCAGTTCAATTGGCTCATGTCCTTTGGCACGCTGATATACGTGTTGACAACCGGCTCATTGTCGACGATCATGTACTCGTTCTTCTTCGTGGTAGACTGCTCTAGCGCGTCTGCAGGGCGGTTGAACAAGCTGCGCCAAAGCGTACCGTGAATGAATTGCAGCAAGTCTAGGATACGGGTTGGCCGCTGAGGGGATCGCGGAAGTTGTCGGTATAACAGCAGGTCGAGGAGCTTGATTCCAATTGGGTAGCCGGCGCGGTTCAACCGATTTTCGATCTCGGCGACGGAGCCGGATTTGGTGTGGATGTAGGTGATGATCGCATTAAAGACGTATGCGAACGAAGGTAGTGAAGTGGGAGCAGTCTGTGTACGGTTGAGGTTCCGGTCGTAGATGGTCTTGCGATTGGAAGGGTACCGTAGAGTCGACTGGAAAGGTTTGGGCGGTGGAAGTGGAATAGAGTCGCCGTCCTTGAAGTCGAAAATGGGCGCTGCTGGGTTGTCCGGGTCGGGCATGCCTGGCATTGTTACGACATTCACCGCGCTCCTTCATCAGTTTAGTACACGTCTATCGTGATGCTTCTAGCCACAGCGCACTGACATCGAGGTCTGAGCGAGTCATGCTTGACTGACACGCGACTGTGTGGGTCGTAGCGGGAGCGGGTTGGGCCCTCCAGACTATTCAACACTTCAATTGCTATCGATACATCTAATGCCTTCTACATCTTCCTCAATGACACCGGGACCTACTAGGGTTTCGCATGGGCACGTCAACTGTGCGGACCTAGAGCGACAAGTGCTGGGATCCTATCCCTTCTTCAACCAACCATCATGCAATTCGGGCCATTATCACGGCGAAGTTAGCCCGGGCGTTCCCGGAGCATAGAGTTTGCCAATACTGCCGTGGTTCTACCCATGCTCGACCATAATTTGGACTGGACACTGTCTGTCAACGTTGGCTCGAAAACAATGCAAAGGATCCATCATTCTGACCGTCAGTATCGAATAGTCACCGCCGCTGCTCGCAAAGGCCGAAGGCGCAATGCAGCTTACGGCGAAGCTTGCACTGGGTGGAACATTTGCCGGTCTATTTCCAGTTGCCGCAAGTGCCACTTTCACATGCTTCGGACTTGTAGCTCCTCACGGTAGCCGAGCGGAGAGGGCACACATGACAGCGCGCCAACCTACACTCGGAATGAGTAGTGCTACTGAGGCAAGTAGTATCTCCTCTGTCGTGTCTAACGCCCTCTCTTACTGCATGATTCCTCCGATATTCTTCGTCTCAGTGTTGCATGTGACTCGCGCCGGCAGCGCATACTGCAATCGTCTCGGCTGCGCAGTATAGGTCAGCAAGGCGGAGTCGACTGACGAAAGCGAACCACGATCGAACGAAGTTCGGCCCACGACTCTTTTCACATGTCTCCCTGGTCGCTGTAGACACCGCTATCTTTTACTCTGCTTACACGCTCGTCTGTACGGACCTCTATCTGGACCATCGACTCATCAACCTTTACAACGCTCGCTGAAGATTCTCAACCGCCCTCAGATCGCCATGGAGCAAGCACATACGTTCGGCATGCCGCTTCTGCAGAACCGCCGATTAGAGCGTAGCATGAGAGCCAAAGAGACGATTGGTGAAGCTATTCCAGAGATCCTCCGCTCTAGTGCGCGCGCAAGGCGTGGCGTACAGCAAGTAGACCTCATCGTCGACCCGGACATACCAGCGCATCACGGTGCGGAATCTACCGCAGCGCTGCCCGATGCTGGACCGAACATTCGCCTGTTGTGCGCCGACACACTCGAGGCTGCCGCCCGCATGGCAGAGCGACCGTTCGCGCAGCGGCGGACGGGAAGAGCCACGTCTCCCGAGACGAGCTCGCAAAGACCCAATGTTGCCGTCTTGAGCTTCGCGTCTGCCTCAAGGCCTGGCGGTGGCTTCGTCGATGGTGCCAACAGCCAGGAAGAGTTTCTCTGCGCTCGCAGCACTCTATGGCATTCACTCTCCGATTCACTCTACCCTCTACCGGACATTGGCGGTGTCCTCTCGCCAGACGTTATGGTCTTTCGAGACAGCACGCCCGAGGCCAACGACCTTCTGAAGATCGACAGGTTCTTCGTTGATGTCATATCCGCCAACATGCCACGCTTCCCCGACGGTCGCGGTCGCTCCGAGGAGCGGTTAGAGCATGCTTGCACTTGCGGTGTCAGCTACTGCGATCGCGATCGCGATATTATTGTCCGCAAAATGAAAGCCGTCTTGCGTATGGCGCAGATGCGTGGGACTGAGCGCCTCGTCTTGGGTGCTTGGGGCTGTGGCGGCGCACACGGCCATCCGATAAAGGAAGTGGCTAAGCTCTGGCGCAAAGTCATCGCTGGCGGTCCGCGTCAGCGTAAGCCTAACGCCGAGAGGTGGCAGGGCATCAAGGAGATCGTCTTCGCCATTCCTGACCGGAGCATGGCTAGTGAATTTGAGCTGGCCTTCAAAGATGTGCTGACCTATGGTGTCATTTCACCACCTGCGAAGGACGAGAACACTACCGTTATTGATGTCGGTAAGGTCGGGAACTCCTCTATCGACGATATGGTGGTGAGAATGCAGGAGCTTGAACTCGAGCTCGAGAACATGCAGACTTCGCGATCGAAGCAACGGCTACGAGATGAACTAGCCATCATCAACAGAGATCTTGCGCGAGCTTCGGCACTCAAGCGGCTTCGCGACGAGGGTCTCTTGCTGGACACAGAAGACGCAGACCCGGTCAACGATGAGGACGAGGACTACGTGGCCGTCGATGCCATCCAGTCCGACGCCGAGAACACCTTCTATAGCCTTGACGATGGTTCAGACTCCTCAGAGGCCTTACCTGTCCCTGATGCCTTCGAGTTTAGACCGCAGCCTCCCGAGCTAGACTTCGAAACAAGTCTATCGGAAGACGAATTAGACGGCGACAGCTCGATGCGTATGAATGGCCTGCTCAAACCGTCTCCGCGATTCAATCCGAAGACCGGATGGTTCAATGGCAGTATCGATCAGCTTCACGGTATGCTCAAGCGAGGTGGTCCGGACATGGGTAGTCATGCCAGTCCGACCATGGAACCGGAGACTGGCGGCGGTTTGTGTGGCGTCGAGGAGTATGCGTTAAATGATTATCTGGAAAAGCACTCTGGACAAGAGAAGGTCGAACACTGATATGCCCTATGATTTGGTCACAAGCGGCGGAGTTTGCTGTGTTGGGTGAATGCATGATGACTTTGGCTTGTACGCAACGCACTCTTGGTTTACGGAAGCGTGGCGTCTCGGATTTGTCCTGGATGGTGGCTTAAAGAGCTCGGTTGTGTGATGGTTGTTTGGTCATTCGCCTTTGAGTGTACGATGTACAATTTCACCGTATCATCCTTTCTAAATTGATCATGGTCCTGAGTACTGGAGCAGAGACAATAAGCTCTTTGCTCGGCGGGAAGTCTCGTGGCACAGCCCCTTCAGCCGTAAGCCGCCCCTGCCAAGGGGGCCGATGGATGAGTAACCTCAATCCTACCTCCTGTCGCGCATCTACCAACGACACCAAGGAGCCGCAGGTGAACACAGCGCCCAGGTAGGCGCGTCCTGTCTTGGCCATAATTGACATTGCATTTATTATACAACGCTAGATCTGTCCTTCACTGTTCAACACAATCCTCTCTGTTTCGATACATTCCTTGCCTTTTCTCCTGTTTCTGTAACAATCCCACACTTTCAGTTCGCCAGGCAGCCTACGCGCATACACTCACATTTAACCAAATATGCAGAACCTCATCCTCATCTCAGCAGCCTTCGCGGCGTCGGCGACCGCTTCACTTCTTCCGCGCCAGGGATCTAGCCAGCAAGACCCATCCGACTACCTTGACTATGTCTGCATGCCTACCAACTCAAGCGGCTACCCAGACTTCAACGCACCATGCATTGCTGTACAGGCCATCACCGCCGAATGTATCTATGGCGCTGCTGGGCTTAGTGTTATAATGGCCTCGGGAAGCGACAATGGCGCCGAAATCGATGAGGACACCCCTATGCTGAGCAACAGCACCCAGCGCAACTGCGTTTGCCAAAGCCAGTTCTTCAACGCACTGAGTGGCTGCAACAACTGCTACAAAGCCCACGGCGCCCCTAGTGGGCTGGATGGCTACGTCGACCAATCCTTCATCGCAAGCGCTAGCTCGAGCTACTGCGCCGTCACCAACACACCCACTGCAGGCCTTGCGGATGTTCTTTATGGCTATGCCACAGGTAGCGTCGCGAGCTCCCTGCAAAGTGTGGCCAGCACAGCCAGTCAAACCAGCACATTCTCCGACCCGCTGGGCAACAACACCGCCGTCTCGGCCTATTTCACCCCATCCGTCACTGGCTCCGCTTTCTGGGTCGTAGCGCAGGCAACGCAGACTGCAAGCAATAGCACTGGCTCGAGCTCTGGCAGTGTTAGTGGCAGTGCCAGTGGGAGTGCGAGTGGCAGCTCTCGACCTGCATCGAGCGCCACAACCAGCCTTCATACCTCAGGCGGCCAAATTGTGGCCACTAGTGCTCCGGCCTCTTCAGCAGCAGGCACTTCCAGCCGAGTAAGCGGTTCCGCGTCTGGAGCGTCCGCTTCGGCAAGCACGACGGCCGGTAGTGGAGCTGGCAAGCAGGAGCTTGCGGCGGTTGTGGGAGCGCTAGCATTGATGGCTGGCGTGGTGGCTTTGTAAGAATTGTAGAGGAGTTGGAGGACAAGCTCGCGATAACACACAACGCAATAGCTTTCTACCACCTGCAGCAATTACTTTCCATTTGGTTCATTCAAGCAGAGATAGTCGTGCTCAGCTTAGCTTGGCTGCAGGAAACTGTGCGTGTACAGGGTATACTGTTCTTCCTGCCGATAAGCGCAGGACGGTGAGCCGTGCGTCTTCCTCTAACTTCACCCAATCGTGAGCACCCTAACAGCAGGCACGTCGTTGACACTCGACGACGCCTCAAACGAAAATTCTTCGTAAATCGAATTGGTACACATCTACACTGATCTCCAGCGGATCGCAATCCCTGTCGTAGCGAAGCGGCACGCATAACCAACCCAATCATGCATCACCCTGGTCGTGTATGATCTGACGGTTTAGTTGGATCTTCTCTAAGATCTTATCGGCACCTTTAGCGACAAGCTGCCTTGCAACCTCGAAGCCGAAGTCTTCTGCGTCCTGCCGGCTTAGTATACGCTTACGCGTCTCGGTTTCTGCGACCTCATCACCGTCAAGGCTAATCACGACAGCTCGCATCAGAAGCTCATCTGTCAGCTCATCCGTCTTCTCGTCCGCGGTGACGCCTCCTAATTCGCTCTGAGCAACACCAGTAAGCTTGTGATAGTCGTCTGCAGGCTTTGTGCCCACTCCCACATCCGTGTCAAGGATGCCTTTCCGTGACACCCACTCCGTCTCCACGCCGATGGGCACCGAACAGCCACCCTCTAATGTGCGCATAAGACTTCGTTCTGTGAGCGTGGCGAAGGTCGACCTCTCGTGGCCAATCCTCGACAGCAGCTCCTCCACCCGCCGATCGTCTCGCCGTGATTCGATGCCTAACGCGCCTTGCCCAACAGCACCCAGCATGCCGCCGTGACTACTTGAGAGGTAGCTCGTGATGCGATCACCCATCCCTAACCGGTCTAAGCCGGCGACTGCGATGATGATGGCAGCATATTCTGACTCGGGGTTGTCAAGCTTGGCTAACCGCGTCCCGAGATTGCCTCGTACATCTGCATATCGGAGTTGAGGGTACCGTCGCTTGAGCTGTGCCGTTCGCCGAAGACTGCTGGTACCGACCACGGAGCCCTCTGGGAGGTCGGCGAGACTGCGGCACTTACCGACTAACGAGGGTTTGATAACGAGCGCGTCTCGTGGATCCCTACGCTTTGTGACGGCGCCAAGCTGAAGATCCACAGGAAGCTGAGTCGGCATGTCCTTAAGGCTGTGGACAATGAAGTCCAGCTCGCCATTTTGCAGGAGCACCTCTAGTTCTTGCGTCCATAATGCCTTCTCGTTAAACTTGTGTAGTGCTGTGGTCTGATTTTTGTCTCCGGTCGTTGTCATGGCGTGTATTTCAAACAGATGGTCCGGCCATGCTGCTCGCAATGCCTTCACGACCTCATCCGTTTGGACCCGGGCGAGAAGCGAGGCTCGAGTCCCTACATGGAACGTTGCCTTTTGCGATGATTGACCCGAGACCGGAGCAGACGTCTCAATGGTTGTTTCATTGACAATTGGGGCATCCTGTAAGCCCGCCATTGTTCTTTCCGCTTCTCGATGGCGTCAAGCTGAAATACAGGCGGAGTCGCAAAATAGCTATATTCACTCCAACCTCGGCGTCATTGTGGGGCCGTAGTTTAGGCATGCGCTAACGGGAGTGGAACGCAGGAACCCTTGCATGCCGACGGAGATGTGGCCGCCAGTCACTGATGAGAGACATGGCCGTTTGGTTACGTGGGTGATGTAGAACCATAGTTACTCCAGCCTCGTGGGGCTATGCAAAACTGTCGCTTGACAAGTTGCCTGGACAATGCGTCCAAATATCACCACCTCAACTCAACTCACATCTGCGTTTCAAGCGCACCTCTAGTGACTAACCTCACTTTTCCTTATTGAGGTTCCAAAGCGTCCAAACAAATACCCGATACTATGGCTGGACCGCCATCGCAGCTTACTGCTCCACGGCTACGCATACCCAGCAACCTCGCACCTACTGCCGCTGAAGATGCGGCAGCGACGATGTCCCCGGCTCGAGGTGCCGAGATGCGCAACTTCCTGCAACAGCGTCTCCAGAAGAACCGTGTGCATCCACTCGTGCACAGTTGGGACTTCTACCATGACCGACAGGACCGCACGACTTCTAAGAACCTGAGCAATGCCAGCATCAGACATCAGGACGCGGATGGCCAGGAAACCGAAAGCTACGAAGCCCGCCTTGAGCACTTGGCTGTTATCCACGACGTAAGGCAGTTTTGGAACGTTTGGAACAACTTTCAGATCGCCGATTTGGCACTGAGAGACAGCGTGCACCTCTTCCACAAGGGCGTGAAGCCTGTGTGGGAAGATCCACGGAACACAGAGGGTGGCAGCTGGACGTTCCGTGTCAGCAAAGACAAGGGACAGGCTTTCTGGACGGAGCTTGGCATGCTGGCTATTGGCGAGCAGCTGCAAGCTGCGGTCGACGATGATACAAGGACAACTTTTCGAGACGACATCTGCGGCATAAGTGTTGGCGTTAGGTTCAACAGCTTCCTTGTCCAGATCTGGAACCGCGACGGCGAGCACGCAAAGGGGATTGAGGGTTTGTTTCACGCTGTAGTGGAGAATTTGAAGGAGGAGCTCAAGCCCAGGGAGGGCACTTACTATTACAAAAAGCATAGCGAGCATGCAGGCTTTGCGGTGGCGCCAACAACCGGCCAACAGCTCAGCCAGCCAGCATATGCAGCTCAAGACGAGGAGGCATTGCCATGAGGATTACCTGTCGGCGCCCTTTGACCAGCTTCGCAAGAGCATGCAAAAGGCTGGCGACTACCGAAGCACCTGAGACCTTTGTGGACGACTCTCGGGACAGCGACTTTGGTTTGGCAGTCAAACACCACTTCCCGAGTAGCTCTTTTGCGCGACTCAATGGTCGTATCGCACCATTGGCCAGGAGGATGTTCGCCGAGACATGAGCGGTACACTAGCGGCTGAACGGCGATATCCGTCACTAGCGCAATCGCCGCTAATAATCAGTTTCGCAATTAACCCGTTGAAACTTCATCTAGCAAGTTGTCTCGTACGGTCATAGGCCGTTGGCTGATCATGGCAAGGAAGAGGCAAGCCTCAGAGCTTGGGGATAACGTACCTCGTCCGCGTCGAGCCGATCCGAAACGTGCAAAGCCCTCGATATTCGTAGACGAGCGGAGCGACAGTAGCAACACATCGAGCGGATCCGTATCAGAAGACTCCGCTCTGCGGAGCAGTCCACCTGCATCAGTGCACAATCGTCAGGACAGTGTTACATCTATTGACACGTACCGTGAAGATGATTCGGAGAGCAGCATGTCAACCTCAAGCGAAGAGAGTTCGGATACAGATTCCGACGAGGGCTCCGGGATCGTAACGGTTGGCGGTCCTCAGAAGCCGTTTATCGACAAAGCTGCACCTACAAGCAGTGCTTCAGACCTGCAAGCAAGACTGGCCGCATTGTTGCCCGAGTTAGCTGCTGCGAACCGGCAGCTGGAACAAGGCGGAAAGGATTATGATATGGAGGATGTCCAGGATGGTGAGCAGCACATCGAGATGAACCTTGGTTTGGGTGTCCTGGAAGAGAAGCACGGTGATGAGACAAGTGCAGAAGAGGAGTCCAGTGAGGACGAGAGCGAGGTTGATGAGGACACTGCGCCCACAAGCCTGTTACATGAGTACCGGCCACAAGACAAAGATACTCGTGTCATGCAGAAGCTGACTGGACAGCACAAAACGATGCAGCGGAAGGTTGCAATAGAGGAGCTTGGATGAGTAAAGACCATATCAACTGCGCATAACGTGACAGTTCGTGATGAAAGCATTAGCGGGGCTTTGGCTTGCGTCTGATCGAGCCAACAAGCCTTTCACAGCACCAACAGCACACCCATCATGCTGGGCCTTGCAGAGAGTCCTCGCAGGAGACGGATCTATCGGATATTCTAACCCCACGCCAAGACTCCCCGCTTTGTGCCTGTATAGAGATCGCTCGCTACCGAGTCATGTTCGGCATCGGACCCAAGGTTTTCTGGGAACCTTCAACAAAGCAAGACGGTTGCAGCAATGGTATTAAGAACGGTTGTTTTTCTGCACTACTAGAAGGAGCAATTCAAGATGAGAAAACCGACTCTGGCAGCAAGAGGCTGCTGTGACATCCAGCCTGCTCCAAGCCCTCTCGCACAATATCAACGACGAGACGGAGAAATTATGACGCTGGCGGGATACACGACTCAAACAGCATTGTCACTCAGGTATACTTCGTTATAATGACCACTCTGTAGCGCTCCTAGCATTTCGCAATGCTAGCGACCCCGTCTTCCTAATGCATTTTCTTCTTTCTGCTCTCGCCTTCGTGGCCTCCGCGACTTCTCAGACTGCACCGCTGTGTCGTCCCATCTGTGATGTCCCTTCTCAGTATGCTTACTCTAACGGCACAGCCGATGATGCACCAGCGATCAACTTTGCCCTTTCGCTGTGTGCAAGAGGCGGCGTCGTTCGCTTCGCAGAAGGCGTGGACTACAGCGTCCTCACTCCCGTCAGCGCCACCAATCTTACCAACGTCACGATCGAAATGAAGGGCAACTTGCACCTACCTCAGAACATCACATACATGCAGACCATCTTCAACCAGAGTGGCTTGAGCAATCTTTACTGGTTCACATTCTCTGGCCCAGGCATCCAATATGTTGGCTCTTCAAATGTATCCGCTGGTTGGATCTACTCGTACGGTCAAGCGTGGTGGGACGCCAATATCTACCCTGGAACGGGCTTGAGTGGTCGGCCGCACTTGATGTCCTTCACCACGACCAACGGCAGCATGCAGTACTACAAGTCCCGCAAGCCCATCGCTTGGAATGTGCAGCTCAGTGGCACCAATATCACCGTCAGCGACACCTTCATCGATGCCTTTAGCACCACGGGCAGCTTTCCCTTCAATACGGACGGCTTCGATGTCACTGGGAAGGACATCACCATCACCAACAGCGTGATCTACAACGGAGACGATGCGATTGCGGTGCAGAGTGGAAGCTCCAACATCCTCTTCGAGCACGGCACCATCGGCTATCAGTCCCACGGCATGTCCATCGGCTCACTCGGACAGAACCAAGCTCAGTATGCGACAGTCTCGAACGTGACGTTCAACGATGTTACGGTAATCAACGCGGTCTACGCATCCCGCTTCAAGTCGTGGGAGGGCGGCCAGGGTCTAGCGAAGAACATCACTTGGAGCAACATCCGTGCCTATAACGTTACATTCCCGATTTTCGTAACGCAGACATACATCAATCAAGGCAGCAGTCAGACGCAAATCGGTAATGGAGCGACGAGCGGCCGGCCGAACAATGCCACGGTGAACATGCAGGACTTCAGGTGGGTGAACTTTACTGGGACGATCAACACGTTCCGGCCTGGAGATGGGAGCTGTGTGACCGATGTAAGTCTTCTCCTCCGAATTTGCAAGGGAAAGTTGCTGACATGCTGTCAACAGCCCTGCTGGTATAATGTCGGATTGCCGAATCTGACCCACACCGAGGCGATTATTGTTGAGTGTAACACCAACACTTCATGCGTAAACTTTGAGATGACGGGCATTGAGATCATACCGCAGAGTCTGGACGCACCAACTGTGATATGCTTGAATGCTACAGCAGCGCTGAATTCAGACTTGGGCTTCGATTGCTCTAATGGGACATTTGTACCCACATATGCACGCGCATCCTTGATTTACCATTAACGAACGCAGTAGCTCGTATCCTAACGTATACCGAGATAAAGTATTAATGGATAGACAGTGTATAGAACTGGCAGACGACAATACCTGTCCTCGTATGTGCTCCAATAGCTATTTCACATCAGCCGAGCGGGGCGTAACTTGGGAATGGGAGAACATACTCGCCCTTCGCCTAGGGCAGCGAATCTTCTGGACCCCGCCATCACCTCACAATGTATGTTATCAGACGTGCTCCCTCATTGCAACAGCGATGACTGCCGTGCCGGATATGATGGCAAGTTGGTTGCATCTCGTGCTTGGCACGGTTATGAGCGGAAGGCGCGAGGTCACGGGACAACGCCCGATGCCATACATGAAGGGCAACAGCAAAGCGCCCTCGCCCGGCAGCTGGATGACTCAAGTCGCTCTTGCAAATAAGAGACATATGAGAATGTCGACCTTTGTGAGGACCACCCAGGCGAAGCAAGGAAAACAACCTACGAACAGCACTACACAATCTAAGAGCTTCACCTGAGAAACCTCATCGCAAACATGGTGCTGGTACGTCAATGGCCAAGCAACGATCATCAGAACACTGTCTCACATACGAGCAGGGAAGCATCATCTTAGGCGTGACTGCCATCGTCTTTCCGCCACTTGCGGTTCTCTTCCGCGCAGGCTGTGGCGTACACTTCATCCTTAACATCGGTCTGCTGTTTCTTGGCTGGATCCCGGCGATACTGCACGCTTGGTGGTGTCTCCTGGAGTATCCGAGTACACGCGAGCGCCGTCGTCGCCGCAGGCGCGAAAAAGAGCACTACGCTGCCGAAAGCCGTCCCTATGAACGAAGGCGAAGCAGGAGCGCGAATAGTCGCCCTAGCTCAAGTAGCAAGCACAGGAGCCACAGCTCTGGTCATCAGTCGTCAGCGCCCGCGTATCGAGACAGCTATGCTGGAAGGTATGTGTCCGCAGATCCGTACTACAGGCAGGAGATGGCATACTCGCGGAGGAGGTAGCGGACTGTCATCGATAATTGTGGCGGTTGTTCTCAATTGACAGAGTTATTCTCTTGGCGCAGGGATGGTGAGCTCCTTGGCTAGCAGATTTTTATTGATTCCAAGCATAAACCGCCGTTACGGTTGTTCGAGTTGAGCATCCATCCATCGGAGTCTCCGTGCAAGCTGATTGTTGATGGAAGGTTGCTCGTTAATTTGCATCACCGCTCGTCCGGGTGGACATTGGGGTGCAGTCTTTCCATGTGTCCATGAGGTATCTTCCGTAGAATTATCTCCACCCTTTCGTCCATCAAAAGCCTCCTAACTTGCATGGCGAGCGGCGAGCGGACCCTGACTCGATCAATGCGCATCACCAGAGCCTATTGGGCTAGAGAAACCTTACCTACCTAGGCACTTTATCTCTCTCCCGAGAGCTCGCCGCCGGGTCCAACACTTTGCAACGCAGCGGCGATAAAGTCGCGCGGCTTCTTTCACCTACCTTCCCTGCTTCATCATGGCATCTAAAGTCTTGGCGAGATCACTGGTCTCTGTCACGGCCGCCATTGGTGTGAGAAGGAGCTTTGCGACAGCGCCAAAGAGCTTGTTACGGGTTGAGCAGAGGCAAACAGCACGGGTCGTCATACCGAGGCAAAGAATACAACAGGCCTTCCAACGACGAACATATGCAGAGATCTCGCCGGAGACACAGAGGGTAGTAAAGAAGCGGTCATGGAGTCTCCTTAAGTGGACGTGGCGGTTGATATGGGTTGGCTCACTGGGAGGGTTGGCGTACGTCGGATACGGCATCTATCTCGGTCGCACGCCAGCGCAGCAGGAAGATCCGGACCCCAAGAAGAAGACACTCGTCGTGCTTGGTATGCTCCATCTATCGTGCGTAAGGCCGTGCTGGTACTGACAACTCGATAGGCACTGGCTGGGGCTCCGTCTCCCTACTGAAGAAACTCGATACCGAAAACTACAACGTCATTGTCATCTCGCCGCGCAACTACTTCCTCTTCACCCCTCTGTTGCCATCATGTACGACAGGCACCATCGAGCACCGCAGCATCATGGAACCGATCCGTAACTTCCTTCGCCATAAGAAGGCCGCTGTCAAGTACTACGAAGCCGAAGCGACCAAGATCGACTACGAGAAGAAGATGGTCTACATCAAGGACGAATCGGAAGTCAAGGGTAACGTCTCCGCAACCGAAGTGCCATTTGACATGCTAGTCGTCGGTGTCGGTGCCGAGAATGCAACCTTCGGTATTCCTGGCGTACGTGAGAACGGTTGCTTCCTTAAAGAGGTCCCGGACGCTCAAAAGATCCGAAAGCGCATCATGGACTGTGTCGAGACGGCTACCTTCAAGGATCAATCACCAGAAGAGATCAAGCGCCTACTGCACATGGTTGTCGTTGGTGGTGGCCCGACCGGTGTTGAGTTTGCTGGCGAACTCCAGGACTTTTTCGAACATGACTTGCGCAAGTGGATACCGGAGATCGCGAACAACTTCCACGTCACGCTTGTCGAAGCCCTACCCTCTGTCCTGCCCTCCTTCTCCAAGAACCTGATCGACTACACCGAGCAGACATTCAAGGAGGAGACGATTGAGATCCGAACGAAGACCATGGTCAAGAATGTCACGGAGAAGTACATCGAGGCCGAGTTCACCGATGCGTCAGGCAAGAAGCAACTGGAGCAGATTCCATACGGCTTACTTGTATGGGCTACTGGCAACGCCCTGCGACCCGTTGTCAAAGACCTCATGTCACAGATCCCCGCGCAGAAGGACTCGCGACGTGGTCTGGCTGTAAATGAGTACCTCGTCGTGAAGGGCACAGAGAACATCTGGGCTGTTGGTGACTGCGCTGTGGCGAACTACGCACCCACGGCTCAAGTGGCGGCGCAAGAAGGTGCTTTCCTCGCCCGCCTCTTCAATCAGATGGCGAAGACGGAGCAGATTGAGCTTGAGCTGGCGAAGCTGTCAGACGACCAAAGCAAAGCTCCCAAGGAGGCGCGGGATCAGATCTTCAATACCATGAAGGACCTGCAGAAGCGGCTACGTCGGGTCAAGCAGATGGGTCCGTTCGAGTATTCGCATCAAGGTAGCTTGGCATACATTGGGAGTGAGAAGGCTGTGGCGGATATCAGCTGGTTGACCGGTAACCTGGCAACGGGCGGCCAGTTGACGTACGTCTTCTGGAGGTCGGCGTATCTGAGCATGTGCTTCAGCAGTAAGTGCTCATCATATGAAGTGAAGTTGGTTGGAGGCTAACTTATTCAATAGCGCGCAATCGCATTCTCGTGATTATGGACTGGCTGAAGACGCAGATGTTTGGACGCGATGTCTCCCGCGAGTGATTTTTCTGGGTTTTCTTGCAAGCAGCTCGTGAGATAGATATGCATGGCGTCTGTACGACTACTTCAGTTGTCCTTCATCTAGTAGTTGAGCTGTCATTGCTCTTTCACTTTTACCATGTCTCGGTATCCATGCAAGACACATTCTTACGCATTGAGTGCTGATTAAAGGCGTATATGTTAACAGTGCACCGCTTGGACAGACAGACTCCGACCGGACCGCGCCCGATGACCATGTTTCTGATCACTTCCGGGACTTACTCTGCGATTCTCAACATTGCTGCACCTTTGGCCGTCAGCATATGTCCATGGCTGAGCCCTAGTGGCTTATCAGCACGTGAGTCTGGATGCGCTAAGCGCAATGTCCGGCCTCCGAGGTCGCCATCGAGCATCGCTGACAGTCACTGCATCCCGCTTATGCAACGGCACCATCTTGCTGCGCCGAGGAATGACCTCGATATGTAGATGTTGGCGCCAAGATTGCCCTGGGCACTCATCCTCGGCTATCTAATCGCGTTTGTAGGTTGCCTACGGCCTTAGAGCGGAACAGTGTGTCCCACTGCGATTCAGGAGGACGGAGATTGTGGGGTGGCGATAACATGTACGCCGCCTGGTCGCAATATGCGAGAACGTATGTGCGAAAGGTTGGAGCATATAAGGTAGTATAGAGGCGACGATGTCTGCTCTCCAGAGTCCTCTCTTGGAATCCGGTATTAATCGGGAAAGGTAGCCTTACTATTGCTCGAGCTCGTTTCGGCCAATGCATCTTTTCCTAATTCGTCGATGAAAGCCTTCATTCGAAGGTTTAGCTCGAGAAAGCAAGACTGTGCCACTCCGTCATCCCCACCGTCACAGGAGGTGCAATCTTCGAGCGTTGCAGTAGGTGCGAACAACAACATTCCTACCGCGGCAACAGCTCCAACTGCGCAGGAGACCACCCAGTCAGCACCTTCCAAGCCAACCACCCCCAGGACGACCAACATGTCTGTGCCAAAGGAGCTGCCGAAAAGCTTCAAGGCTGCCATCCTCACTGGCGTGAAGGAGAAGCTGGTTGTCAAGGATATCCCTATGCTGGATGTTGTTGATGGTGAAATCCTCATAAAAGTACATGCATGTGGCGTCTGCCATTCTGATCATCATGTTGCGAATGGTGATATGGGCCCTCCGTAAGTCCATTCATAAACTACGTCTCTGCAGGGCACTCTTGGGAACCACGGCTAACGAGTTCCATAGCCACATTACTCGTCTCGGTCATGAAATGGTTGGTACCGTCGTTGCAGTCCCGGACAGCGAGCAGCGATGGAGGGTTGGAGATCGTGTCGGTGGACCCTGGCATGGTGGCCACGATGGCACTTGCAAGTCCTGCAACCGTGGTCTCTACCAGATGTGCGAGAACGAGCTCGTCAACGGCGTCAGCCGCGAGGGCGGCTACGGCGAGTATGCCACCCTACGCAGGGAAGCTGTTGTCCGCATTCCCGAAGATATGGATCCGGCTAAGGCAGCTCCGCTGCTCTGTGCTGGTGTCACCGTGTTTAACGGCATGAGACGCATGGGTGTCACCGCTGGCGACATCGTCGCTATTCAAGGTCTCGGCGGACGTGAGTATCAAGCAGATCAATAATACGCTGAAGAAGGCCGGCTAACGGATTCAGTCGGTCATCTTGCAATTCAGTACGCGCGCAAGATGGGCTTCCGAACGGTAGCCCTGTCGCGTGGCACGAGCAAGAAGGACTTTGCTATGCAGCTGGGCGCAAACGACTACATCGACACCGAAGCCCACGATACCGCCGAAGAGCTGCAGAAGCTGGGCGGAGCCGCCATGATTGTCGTCACCGCACCGAACCCGCAGATCATCTCACCTTTGCTCGGCGGGCTGGCACCGCAGGGTAAGCTGCTCATCCACACGGCCGTAGGCCCGGTGTCCGTGAATACTGTGCCAATGGTTATCAAGGCCTTGAGCGTGCATGGTTGGCCTAGCGGTCATGCTCTGGATAGCGAAGAGGCTATCGCATTCGCCCAAGCTCAAGGCGTGGAGTGCATGATTGAGAAATTCCCGCTGGAGATGGTGAACGAGGCGATGGAGCACATGCTGAGTGGGAAGGTGAGGTTCAGGGCCGTTTTGGTAATGGATTGAAGAATGTGGACCATCAAGGTGGCGTCGCGCAACTTATTCCTGCTGCTTAAGTCCGCCGCAAGTTTCTGTCAGGCATCATCGTACACAGACGTTGTTATAATACATATGTACACCGCGCTAATACCACGTGCCGTTTTCCGTAGATCCATATGCATCATTACCATGCGTCCCATATGCATACACAACCCCAGAGCAGTTCCGCCAGCTACTACAGCTCAGAGCTGCCGTAACTGTACTCCTTCTTATGCTGCAGCTGCATCTGTATGGCCTCAACGGTTGGGCCGACACCACTCAGATTCCTGGCCCAGTTCTCGCGAGCGCGCCACGCGCCACTACGTCTAGCGCTGACTTCTTCCATCATTCTGTCGACTTGCTCCAGCGTGAGACCCTTGGTTTCGGGAACGCAGAAGTAGGCGAAGATGACGCAGGCGAAGCACAACGCGCCCCAGACGAAGAACACCTTGACTCCAAGACCGTTGGATAGGTTGGTTCCGTCGGGGTTGTTGGTGCCTTCCACCATGTATGGTGTGATGACTGCGATGATGCAGTTCCAGAACCAGTTCGATGCCGTCGACAGCGCGACGCCCTTCGACCGGATCGGAAGTTGGAAGATTTCGCCAATCAGCACCCAGGCAGCCGGACCCCAGGTGCTTGCGAAGAAGAAGACGTACAAACACACGAATACAATGAGAACGTAGTTGGCCGTATTCGAGTTTGGTAGAACCGTCCCGACAATGGCCACAACGAACTCGCATACCACCATTGCAAGCGCTCCGTAGATGAGTAGCGGACGTCGGCCGAGACGCTCTATGGTGTAGAAAGAAACCGGTGTTGACACAACGTTGACGATCGTCGTGATCATCGAGATGAGAAAGGCGTTCTGAATGCCGACCTGCTGAAAGAAAGTTGTGTTGTAGTAGAAGATGAAGTTAATGCTGTGAATGTTAGCTGGCGTGATTTCATGGTTTGCGGGCTTCGGGATAGCGGTTACCCAGTGAACTGTTGAAACATTTGAATAGCTGTCCCGATGAAAACCTTGCGCGCGTTGCTGTTGCTTTTCATTACGCCACCACTGAAGCATCCCAGCCATGTCACCTCTCCCAATTGCTTCTCGTACTCGTAGTTTGCTTGGATCTCGGCAAGCTCGTGTAGCACATATTCGCTCTCCCATGACTGCCCTCGCACCCGTGCTAGAGCTTTCATGGCCTTGTCGAGTCGACCTTGCTTTACGAAGAACCGCGGCGATTCCGGCAACATCAGTAGGCCGATGATCAGCACCGTAGCGAAGAAGAATTGTATCGATATCGGGATCCTGAATGCTGCGGTGTCTGTTCGCTTCGATGTGGCGTAACCCACGCAGCTGGCAAGCATGATGCCGATCGTAATCGCAAACTGGTAACAGGACACGATCGCGCCCCTAACATTGCGAGGCGAGATCTCGGAAAGGTACAGGATGTTGGTCACGGAGACAAAACCGACACCCAGCCCTGCGATGAGTCGCCCTATCACAAGGGCGGTAATGGTGGTCTGTGCTAATTGCACAGTGACCCCGACAACGAAGACGACGCAGCCGGCGATGATGATGGTACGGCGTCCGAACCGGTCGGCCAGTGTTGCGCTGATGAGGGCGCCGAAGAAGGTGCCGCATGACAAGATCGCCACGATGAGACTCTTCTCTGATGTGGTGTAGGTGCCGGTGTTCACATCACCGTAGGTGTGCTTGAACTCGGTCATACCAAGCACCGAGGCGATGTAACCACTATCGTAGCCGAAGAGGAGACCAGCGAAGGATGCGAAGATACACATGAAGTAGGCCTTTGCCGCTGGTCAGCTGAGCTCAGACTCATCGTATCGGGATCAGTTACCTTGGTAGTGACTGGACTCTCTATCTGCTCTAACTCCATTACCGAAGCCATCGCTGCCTAAGCTGATTCGAGGCGGTAGGACTTGTCGTCGAAGAAGTTCAGTGGTTGTTACCGTCGCATGCTGTACCTCGTGCGCGCCAACGTGGCTCGCTCAGTTATGGTTCTGCTGGCTGCTCAAAAGCAAACTGTTGGAAGGGTAAACCGGTAGGAAACATTCTCGAAGATCGCAGTGAATGAAATAACAGTACGGAAAGAGAAGGCTACAAATGCCCGAAAGCGTGAACCGCGACGTTGGAATTCTTTATGTTACCTATACGATGCAATGGACTGTACTACCAAAATTCCAATGCAGATGCATGCAGGGTTAGCGTTGCCTTGCCATGCATGGCGAGGAATGCTAGGCCTGGCGGGTGCTGTTCCGGTGAAGCGGATTGGTGGTTGCTTACAGACATCCCCGTTCTTGGACATGCTCCACAGCCGCCCTCCGCAAGAAGCGGCTTCCCTGGCTCCCGTGTGGTTCAGCGTGGTTGCCTTTCTTACATGTCCCGTCCCTGTGTATTTGCCCAAGTGGATCTGCTCCGTTTAATGCTAGGCCCATGCGAATGTGCAACGCTCAGTAGCTGCTGAATAACTGGAGCACAACGTTGCTATTCATTTACGCTTTGAGACAGGGATTGAGGATCGTCAATCGCAACGTGCTACACTCCCATTCCGCACCGAACAACTGCTTGTCGTGCCGTACCCGAAGACCTCTGGCGTAAGGCACCGCTCTGATGGCTTCGTCCTTCAGACTCGGGTTGTCCTACAAATCTGAGGACACAGTGCGGCCCGCTGACACGATCGAGGACCGATCTCGCAAGATAGAGACGGGACCAACCCAATACGCTGGGATCCTTGACCCTCCCCAGGTTGTAATGGGAATCGCCACGAGATCGATTGCGCCATTGGCGGCTTTCGCTAATGGGAGTAACGCCGACTGGATGGGTTTTACAATGCCGCTTCTTGCCAATACTCTCAGGAGGCTCAGGGCTGGCCAAAGCAAGAATATGCGTATTCGCTTGCGTACGGCGACACTTACATACCAGAACGTGAGCACGAAGCATCGCCCTCGCCACGGGCAATTGTGCACAGCTGCAAGGCTGCCTCAGCTGAGAGAGAATCAGCAGCCCCGGACCGAGGCAGCTCTCGACGTGCCGAGGTCGCCGGCTCCGCAGCATACAGATGACTTCGTATTTCCAAGTGGTGTAGGACATACTGTGAAGGTCGGTCGTTGCTAGCTGTCATGGAGGACGACTTCAATGGCAATACTTACTTACCATTTACGGAGTTGATCCGGCTTGAGAAAGTCGATGAACGGACGTTTCGGTCGAGAGCTATTCCATTCGCTCCTGGTGGACAGTTAGGGCAAAGGCGCACGTACGGCGGCCATGTGTTCATGCAGGCAGCCTGGGCTGCGTCTCAGACGATAGGCGACGGGTTCCTTCTCCATGTTCGATGTCCCAATCTGAGCGCGCTGCATGGTTGGTTTCTGGACTAACACGTGCTTGGTAGCATATTTCGGGTAACTTCATCTTGCCTGTGAGTCCCTTCCGTTATTACGGTGAAGTCCCTAGCATATGACTGACTTGAGTACTGGCAGGGTCTTGTCAACATTCCCGTAAGTCAGCCGCTTCTTAACATTGTCGATTCCAGCGCAAGACATCGCTGAAACTTCCGTCCCATATTCAGTTCGTGTATAAAGTGCATATCATCCGAGATGGTCGGTCTTATGCCACTCGGATCGTCAATGTGACCCAAGCGCAGGAGAAGGGTATCTGCTTCACCTGTACCTGCTCGTTCAAGCGACCGGAGACCAGCCCACTAGAGGTCCAGGAGCGGCTCGATATTTGGAAACAATACAGCACCGTTCTGGATGGGAAACATCCGGCTGACTTCGACGAGATCCCGGGTATGGACGTTCCATGGTACTGGAAGCGACGGAAGGAGACGGGAACCAATGACCAGTTTCCTGGTTTAGAAATGCGTAAGGTTGAGATGGAGAAGTACAACTCGCAACGGCACCCTCTTGATAGACGGCAGTTGATGTTCTATCGCACACTGGGAGATTTGAAGTCAGACCCGAATCTTCACCTCTGCGCGCATCTATACGCCTCGGATCGCAACAGCTTGTTCATCGTTGCGAATCACTTCGAGGTTGGCGACATATACACACAGATGGGCAGCTTGGTGCATTCGGTCACTTTCCATGGTGATGCCAAGGATGCGCTGTTCGGACCATCAACGCACACGGACTCGCCGCTCGATGATCAGAACGGAAGATGGTTCGCCAAAGAGGACTGGGGCAGTAGAATGTCCGGAGGCCGTACCATGTTTCACAGCCGGCTGTTCTCGGCGAATGGCACACACATAGCGACAGTACTGCAAGACGGCATGATCCGTGTCACCAAGAAGCCCACAGCCAGCGACGAGGAAGTGCAGATGTTGGAAAAGCGAGCAGCGGAGTGGAAGCCCAGAACGAAGTTGTGAAACCTCGAAACGGCTCCTCCCTCATCCAGAGATCGGCACGCGCATATCCAAACGAAATTTCCCACGTCACACATTATCAGTCCACCTCAACCTCTGACTGTCGGTCTCACAGGCACAGAGAAACATCAACCTCGAACCCGTTGTCAGTGATGGAGACCTGCGCCACTAGGCAGCATACCGCCAGAGGTGCGAAACAACATCTACGAGCTCACACTTTACTGCGACAAACCTTTCGGGCTTAGCTGATTAATCGTGTTCGCAAATTCAGCGGCTCGCTGTATTGGGCTCCCGATTCTGAGCATGAAGCTAAGGATCGCCACTGCCTCGCCCTCACTAAAGTCTGCAAGCATATAAGGCAAGAAGCCCTTTCCACCTTCTGTAGCATCAACACATTCGCTCTCCGGATTGAAAAGACCTACTCCAGAAATTGGCACATAATCAATCCATCTCGGGTGGGGTTACGAACTATTGGCGAACAACACGCGGCCGCCATTAGGCACATAACGCTCGAATGTAGCGGACCACGGCAGTGGAATGTGCAGTGGGGATCGCTCAAGCTGTGGTGGCACTTTGCAGCGCTGCTTGCAGCGAGAGAGCTGCCAAGCGGCACCCATCTTAGGTTCGGTGGTATTCACGCCGCATTTCTCCCTAAGGATACCGGTGTGATCTGTAAGATGATTGACAGCGCCTCGTTGGAAAGCGAGATGTATGTGAGGCTGTCTTTGCCGCTCACCGACGGCGAAAAAGTTTTGGAGATACTGAGCCGATACATGCAACTCAAAATCGAGGCTCTCGAAGCTCCCGGGAGCCACAACAACTACTAGTTCGCGAACAACAACAGTGACTGGTTTCAAGAACGCGCACGATACGCGGAGGCCCACCTCACCGACAGTCTGGAGAAGTGGCAACGAGCAGCCTCACGATGATGGTGGCAGCCTCGTACAGTGCTGTGACACGCTTGGGACAGACACTGAGGAAATCGAAGGGTTCGGAGAGGTGTAGAGCATGCACGGTCGGGTGGCTTGGGATGTGTTTAGCGAGGCACAAGACTCGACCCCCGCAGGTGGTCAGAACCTTCCTGCCCTTGCACACATGTATGTTTCCGCCACAGGCCGAACGCCATGCGAGCATCCCGCAGCCAAAGCCCATACGCTTGAATGTGCCATGCGCCCACACTTGACGCCATTTGATGCAAACAACCGCGCTGAAAGTACAGCATCGTAAGCGACAACGACAATAAACCCTGCCATACCTCCGCATCACCCCTCACCCCCTCCCCGCAGGCGTAATAAATCCGCCCGCAATCTCCACCCACTCCGGAATACAACTCCCCTCCTTCCCCTCCACGTCCACAATATCCGTATCACACCTACACCGACACCCAACCCCATTCTCCTTCTCCGTATCCCACTTCGCCCAGTACTCGTCCTCCTCCTTCCGTGCCTTTTCGTCGACCGTTGTGAGCTCGAGGTACGGTTCACGGGGTAATTGGCGGGCGGGGGCGTTGGCGGGGCAGTGCTGGATGGTGGTGTGGCGGTAGCCGAAGTCGCGGAAGTAGTGGATGTCGGAGGGCGCGAGGAGGGCGCCGGCGGCGAGGGAGTGGATGGGAGCGTCGCCCCACTGTGGAAAGCGGACTGTCAGCTAGGCGAGGATAGAGAGCGAGGGACTACAAGACTTACTCTTTCCATCCAGAAGCCGCCGGAGCGATCCATCATCTGGAAGAAGTCCTCGTACTCTTGACTCCGGAAGAAGTCGAGTCGTGCGATCTCGAAGTTACTCCAGAAGTGACACATGTTGTACACTTCTCCCTCCATCGCATCCGGATCGATGTCCGGCAGCGTGCCTGCTCCCGGCTCCGTCCGTAGGATATCCTCTGGTAACGGCTTCTGCTTCTCCTTCGCGTACTTAGGATCATCTTTCGGTAGATCCTCCGGCTTCACCTTCTTCTTCGTGCCGTCCTGGTTATACCCTTCCTTGGGTTCGACGAACATCTCCCACAGACCCTGGCTGGTCAGGTTATGCGTTCGTTTGTATGCAGACGCGTAGCGGAAGATGTTCGGCACCGTCTCCTTCAGCTCCTTAACCGCGATCGTGAAGCCGTACGTCTTGTTCGCGCGCGCCATGTGGATGAACGGGTCATAGGTGATGTCGCAGAAATACTTGATCTCCGGCTCCACCCGCCAGTACCACTCGTACTTCTGTAACAGTTCGTGCTTGTAGAAGAAGCCGGAGTAGAAGCGACACATGTGGTGGTAGCTCTCCATGCCGCCGTACATGATCGCCGCATCGCCCTGCTTCCGTATGCCTTCCTTCGCCACATTGGTATCCACCCAGTCCGGGTAACCCCAAGACTCCGGTCCTATCTTGCCAAACTCGACGGTGGAAGAAGTGTAGTTCCGCACCACCTCCTTGAAAGTGCTGTTGAAATCGCCGTCATTCAGAAAGACATACGGGTAATGAAACCAGCGATTGAAATGTCGCTCCACGCTCTTGATGCTCTCCAACACACCCTCCAGCTCCTTATTTCGCGCCAACACGACAAACGCTGCATTCGCTCTCGGCGCATCTCGCTGCGTATTAGGGTCCAAGCAGCCGTTGACGAAGACTTTGTCATACTTCTCGCTGATTTTCCGTACGCTTGGTGGCGCTCCTCGGTCGATCAGACGACCTCCTGCTCCGCTCGGATGTCGGACGAATAGCAGTAGTATGATCACCAGTACCAGGACCGGGAAGATGAGGACGAGGTATAGCGGGACGCTGATCTTGCTGTTGCCGCGTAGTCGTATTCGTCTTCGGAAGAAAGCCCATCTTGTTGTTGTTGTGGGCTTGTTGTCTGTGTCTTTCGAGGAGGAGTATGATGCGAGGCTTTTGAGCGAGGGGAGTTGGTCGGCGGAAGGCAGCCGCTTCTGGATGGAGCGGAGGACGTCCATAGCGCATTACAAGGCCCTGAGGGCCGCAGTCAGGAACGGTCGTCAGTCGGACGTATCTCTGGTAGCCGTCCAAGAGCAATTGATGTGCGTGTGAAGACGCAATGTGGGCTCGGGCTTGCTGAGGGATGAGTGCGTGCGGGTAGCGAGCGACTTTCGGGTGAGCTTTGCGCTGCGCAGATTGACCGATCTATTGTTCGATGGTGACTGTGCCTGGTCTACAGTGACTAGTTAAAGTGGAACGGTGGGCGCCGGTTGCGAGGTGGCTTCGATGGTAAGGTATAGTGGGCTTCGGTGGTGGCCCGCAATGTCTTAAAGGAGGTTGGCGCAACTACTCGTAAGACGTGTCTTGGCGCGTCGAATCCGAGCCTAAACTCACCCGGCACGTGCATTGGCACCCTTCAGACCAAACCCGCCAACCTAGATATGCCGCGGTGGCACTCCCGAAAGCTAGCTGGACCTCACACTGTGGATATGAGCGTTGCAGCAGTGAAGGTAGCCGTATGCCCATAACTCGCGCCAACAAGAATGTCCGGCAAGATCAAGTCAAAGGATCTGCAGTACGATTCAACCTTGCCACCATTCCTGCAGAGACTGCATGACCAAAATGCAGGTAGAGGTGACTCTGACCGCCATGAGCGGCCTATCGCGCGTCCAAAGCGTGCCCGAGATCCCGACGAGGACGACGACGGACCTACTGTTGTAGATGAGAGTGGCGAAACCGTAAGCAAAGACGACTTGGAGCAGCTGACCAAGCCCGGGACCGAGTCCGCCAGCGTCAGTGAGGATGTTGGCGGAAGTATCAGTGGTGATGTCCATACGGATGCCGCCCCGAAGGCCTCCGGTGCGCTGCCCGTGAACGGCGAGAGCCATGCATTGCGTAAGGTCACTGATGGCTTGACTACCAAAAAGCGGAAGGCTGCGAAGGTGGTCGGCGACGACCAAGCCAAAGACGAAGGCGCCGAGAGCGCCGAGAAGGGCAAGTCAAGCAGCTCAAGAGGCGGAAAGGCTCCGGCGAAAACGAAGAAGAAGCCGAAGGCCGTCAAGCTCGCGTTCAACGATGACGATGGCTGAACTGTCGTTGTCGGTTTGCCCACCATCGGCAACTGCTTCAACAAGAACAGCAAATATGCAGCTTCTGCTAGGCCCACGCCCAGCACGGCTACCATTGCCCTGTGACAACACGTGAAAGCATGAGAAGGTAAGGACCGCACGAACACCAGCGCTTTTATTTTGCAATGATGACATATAACAATATTGGAGCTGTCCTAAACCAAATTGCGGATCAAACTTATACGCTGATTCTGTTCTGACATGCAACTCTCCTCATCGCTCCATCGTTATCACCTCGTCAGTGGACGTAACGCTAATTCCGCATAAGGGGACATCGACTCAAGAAACCTGACATCTCGACTTCTACTCCACCATCCTTGTTTGCTCAGCTCAGGGAAAGGCTGACACTTACGCATCACACACCAACCTCGCTTGTCGACAGAGGAGTGCGCCGGCAGCTCGAACGCAGCACTCGTCCGGCTACGTTGATGCCAGCATATTGCTTGGATCTGCTTGGCTCAATGGATATACTCCCGGTCTGGCGTGCCGGCGCCCTTACTGTTCGACGGGGCGACGGTCCGCTTCCGCAGAACCCGTCTGGCATTCTCCTTCTCTTACGGTACATTACCCGCACGAGCCTGGATGGCGGAGTACTTATCGTCGCGCTCCTGCGCTAAGCAGACCACCAAGTCCGGCTCCACATCCTGAGCACTTGCTTGCGCGTGCGCAAAGCCGTGATCGGACATACGAGCCAGTTTCGCTGCACGCCGAGCGATGATATCAGCCGTACTCCTGCTCGCTTGATGGCGTCGTCATAGTATACTGCGGTCTGCTCGCGGAACTCATCGACATGGTCTTGCTCTAGGCTCTTTCTCCGTACCAAGGGGTCAATGTTCATTCGCAGACACTTCCCAAGCTTCTATCGGACGGGCCACCTGGGTTGCAGATCACCGTAACTATCTTATGTTTTGCTCTGGGCCCGGCTGGCGGCGAGGCAGAACACCAGCACTTCGGACGCCCACCGTGGCAGGCTGTAAGGTCCGTGAGAGTACTCGATGGCGGCAGCAATGGTGGGTAGTGGAACTTGCCTGTGGCTGTGTAAGTCGCAAAATACTGAATTTGACGGGCCGGCGCAATCCAGCTCGAAGGCCTTGTTCATTGACAACGAAAGGTAGCGCTCTCTGCTTTGATATTTCACATTGTCAATGCGGACACTAGGCGCGAGAAGAGGTAATATAGACCGTGAACAATTTGCCGACTGTGCAGATCCCCTTCCATCGAGTGCACCAGGTTCACAATGTGGGGCGACAGCAGATTAATGCTGCCAGAAAGCGTAAGCAGCTCGAACCGCGGCAAGCCTCAGACCTTCCCCAGGCAGAACATGAGCAACATGAGAACGCTCAAAGAGTCCAGAATAAAGTGCGAGTCTCCAGAGCAGCAGGAGAAGGCGCTTGCGAAACAAAGCGCGAGAGACAGCTCGGCGAGAATTACTTGCAGAGGCCGCTGCCCGCTTCGCCGAGGTTGAGAAACGCCGTGTCGATGCAGAGGAGATGAGGCGTATCGAAGAAGGACCCTGAAAGTTCGAAACTGCTGTTGCTATGTCCTAGCACAAGGAGATGCAGAACGACTGATCCGCTTGGAAGCAGAAGCAGGCGCTGAGACGGCGATGCTTGCAGAGGAGGCCGAGCGGGCGAAGATACCAGCGGAAGACGAGCAACGACGACGGAGGGATAGACGGAAAGGTTATGCTGCCTGTTTGGAGCAAGAGGATCTGGAGCAGCTGATGCAGCTTAGCTGCAGCCACTGGTGTTGCCATGAGGCTGTGCGAAGTGAACAAGACGGCGTGGCAAAGACAGAGTAATGGCAGGTAGAAGGGTCTGCAGGCGCAACTGGGAATGCATGTACGATGCATTGGCCGTTTCGGTGCTGCCAGCAGACTGTACTTGCTGAGGGCGTTCGGCCGTTGCTAACCCATTGTTGCTTAAAACAATGCCGTAGTATGACGAGAGAAATTCTGGAAGCAAACCCGGTTTACTGTTCCATCCGAAGGTGTGGCATCTTCCTGCTATTTCATTTCGCATGAGGTCCCCATTACATTCGGTGTCCTCAGTGCGTGCGCAACACATCCCCACGTTGCACGGATCTGTGATGAAGCAGCCGTGGCAAGGATACCTCACGTGCATTAGTAGGTGTACGAAGCATGTCCCGTATTTCGGAAGCTAACGTCCATGGGCTCAAATATTGCAGGCTACATCGGCAAACATTTCGACAACCCTAACTCCTCCGCCTCAGCATTCTCGCCAATGCCTCGCCACTCCTCCAACTCCGTCCGTATCAACCCAGCATGGTGGTTCAACCGCGCGTTCTCCGGATATCTCGCCTTGCCTTGCGCCAACTGCAACCTCAGCACCGCACACTTGGTCTCCAATGCCGCGAGCGCCAGCTCAAGACTCTTCGTGTTGCTGGGCGCAACCTTTTCTTGAGCTTGCCGCTGTACTACGTCTCGTTCCTCGACCGGTAGTTGTCCGCGCGAAAGGTCGTTGATCCGCCTCTCTAGTATGGCGAGTGTCCCTGTCTCGCCGCTGCGGCGGAAGTAGGCGACCGCGCGAGAGAGGTTCACAACAACCTTGCGAACGCGGGAATTGGATGTGACGGTTGTGTCGGGTGAAAGGCGAGGAACCTGGATTTCCGTAGGTGCCGTGGTCATTGGCAGTTTGCAATGAGCCTGCTCTCTCGACTGACCTGCGAAGCGTCCGTCGAGCTGCGCTCGCCGCTGTTTTAGTTGATCATGGCGAGATCTTCCGTCTCGGGCTCTTCCGATCACTGAAGCCATCCGAGATCGGTTGGAAGTGGCGAGCAAGCAATGCACCAATCGAGGTGCCTCACCGATCGGCCGCATCGATTTCAACAGCGTACCATAGCTACAGCCGCGGACAGCACGTGTTGACAAAGTACAAGAAGGTAATACTTATCGCAGCAGGATGCAAGCGAAACGGTCATCCACAGGCTTTCGCTTAGAATAGTAGATTCTGGTTCGACTGCCGGTCGCCATTGTCCATTCTGATGACCCAAACTGAGCAATGTTGGTGTTGTTTGCTGTTACTCTCTCTGTGATATAGAACGTCTCGGCAGATTGCTGCATCATTGGACATCCAGCAAGCCTTCGCGATCCTAGAGCTGTAGAAGCTCCCAGCTGTCGGTGCTGCTCCTTGACCCATCTACTGCATCGGTGGTTGTGAGTTTGAGATTGCCTGAGTCGACTGTCGTACAGCTGAAAGCCATGCAACGGTAACGCTTTGTTGGTATCCCAGACCCATCCGTGGGTGCGGATCGCTTCCTCCTGAGCTCGCTCCGTGCATTAGCTGTTCCCATTAATGCGCTGTCTCGCTTCTCACCGTCATCGAGAGAAATGTTTTCGGCTCCTTCATGGCCTCTTCCAACCCGTGGCACTTCTCGAGGTAGACTGAGTTCTCGAATGGTGTGCGCCAGTCTACAGTGTAACAGCATGCTATATCCGCTCGCTCTTTTTGGCTGGGATACTGGTCATCAGCGCCGTACAGTTATGGACTACGGCGGTGTCGACTCGCCTTATGAGCCTTGCTGCCTCTCGTAATGCAACACATTCCCGCCTCCGCATACGCCTCGCTGTCCAGCCCCTCAGGCGTGGTATATCGCTGATGCTCCGTCATGACCATGTCAATCTCGCTGACATTGAAGTTACGGACACACCAAGCCGTCCATGCATGTGCGTCGCAACCCCAGCCAGCCTTGTCATAGTCATGTCTCGCATCGATGATCAGATCTAGTACGTTAGATGCCGGCGTCATGCGTTGGCGGGTAAAGCTGGATTCGTACGGCCATGACAACGCTTGATTGTAAAGGCGTGCAGCAAATTGCCGAGTGTCGGCGAAAAAGGACATGTCAACGCGCGGTAGACTGCTGTCGCGATGTTGAGAGGTGTTGCGAAAGCATGATTGCTGGAGAACAGTCCGGCGCGAAAGTGTGTCGCTGGCAAATGAAACATAGTAACTGTGGCCGCTTGCCACGTAATCGTAGCGATCACCTGTCACTGTCGCCGGTGCACGCCACTTAAGGCGCAGTCGATGTGCTTCACGATGAACGGCGATGGGATAATAATGGCGTAAGGTTCCCATCGGCGCACCGCAGTTGATGGCTGAAGGCCTCTCACGCTTGGCATCTAATATGTACACTGTAAGGCCGAGTCGCTTTCCAGTATCGTAAGTGGTTGGCATAGAAAGTACCTAGAAGCCAGGCTTGAGCTTTCCAGCATAGGTATCACATAGCCATTTATGGCGGCGCATAGCCTAGCCTCTAGTCAGTCACGGCTCGTTCAGCATTGAGAGTCATGACCTACGGTCTTCATCCAGTCTTGTCTTCTCCCGCCAACTATCTTCCACCCATGCGGGTATACAAAGTCTTGGCAGACGCTTTTTCGAAGCAATCGCTTGTCTGATCTCCTTGGCCCGAGCAGAGTCAGCAGGGATGATGACGTGCGTCAAACTAGCATCGTCAAGATCCTCACTGATGTGAGCACCAGCGAAGTCAAGACGTCGTCTTGTCTCGGCTAACGCCCCTGTGCAGTAGACTCTGACACCGTGGAACATCCAGCCGGGCAGTGTATCGAGCTGGTTTTCCAGGTGCAATTGCTCTATGAGCTGCGGCACGCTGATGGTGTCTCCGTTTTCGATTGGCGTATCGTAAGCCACAGACTTATTGTCAGTCGCTGAGTCGTTTGCAGCTATGCTTCGGGAGGGCATGCGGTTGAAGAGTGTCAACAGCTCGTCAGGTGTTGCGTCTCTTGCATAGCTGTCACCATATTCGTCGACAGCATCATCAAATTTTCCTGCATCCGTCGAAATAGTGTAGAAGAGATGCTGCGGTTCGAAGGGCAGCAGCTCACCCTGCTTGATGCAGTCGAAAAGCCAGCATGGCCGGACAATATTCCTTTCATCACGCTTTTGCAAGCTTGCCACCTTCACAAGGTTTCTGTCCGCGACCAGGAGCGTTTTCGAGTCCTTCTCCGACGCTACCACGTTTCCGCCGTTCGCCTTGATCAGCTGCTCCAAGTCGGCTTTGCTGCTCTTCTGCGGCTTTAGCGCCTCCGACAGAACGAAGAAGCTCAAGCCTTCAAAGACTTTGGTTGCAGGTCCAGCGTACGGCGTCGTGACATGTTCGTCCTGGCCTTGAACGACAAGACCTCGCTTCCGCTTCCGACTCGTGCGCTTTCGTCTTGCATCATCGATCTTGAATTGCTTTTCGTGTTTCTCGGTCTCGGCACGCTGCTTGAGGCTGTTGAATTCGTGAACTGACAATGCAGACTTCCAGTCCTTGTCGGTGCGTATCTTCTTGAACCGCGGGAAGCGCAGGGTAACAAGCGTTCTGAATTGGTCGGTGGTGGTGACTGAGGCGGCTTTAACCGACAGCACTATCGAGTCCTCAGGCTTGATCCAAACATCAGGCTTCTCAAACTGTCTCTCCCAGCCTCCGCCGAGTTCGATCCACTCCTTTGGCGGGTTCTTTGCATCCCAATCGATCCACTTGCCCTCGGTCTGGTGACGAACCTCAGCATAATCAGACGCGGAGAAGCCACCACCAACTTTGAAGAAGGAGTAGCACTTTTGCGGATTTGTGCCTTGTGAGGACGCGCGAATATCGTCATCGACCCGCAGTCCGCACATGAAGCTGCTGAGTCTGCCTCCGCGGTGCCCAGAGCCATAGTAGCCACCAATAACAACGCAGTCGAGCTCCTCGCCGAACTCTGTCATATATTCGGGCTTGACTTTGATCCAGTCATCGTTACGTTCGTTGAGACGGTACCGCGAGCGTGGGTTCTTCAGCACCAAGCCTTCGCTTGCCTCTGCGACGACGCGGCGCAGGTGAGGCTCGATGTCAGAGGCCTTGGTAGCTTCGAAATACTCGTGAATCTCCATGCGCCGATGTATGGTGTTTACGCTTGCCTCGAGAGCCTCGCGGCGTTTGCGTAGGGTGTACTGCGTGAGATCTGTATCATTAAGGTACAGACAGTCGAAGACTCGGTATAATGGACGGTTGCCTTCGGCATATGGGTTGGCCTGCTCGGAAAGGGCCGCTGTCTTGAGATGCCCAAATGGTACCACTGTGTCCTCAGCGGGGTTCCAAGTGATCATCTCGCCGTCTAAGATGATATTGCGGACTCCAACATTGAATGCGTCCTTTAGATAACGTGTCAAGGCAGCGGTCTCGTCGCTAAAGTCTTTGCCGTACAGATATGTGTAGTCTTTCGCCTTCCGTGACCAGAAGCCGAAGCGCTTGCCACCTGGTATTTCTTCGTCTTCGATCATGTGCAGTTGCATCCGCTCGCCGTCAAGCTTCTCCTCGATCCAGAAGACAGGGTCGTCCTCGGTGGGGTTCATCCGGGACACCATAATATCCATGGAGCGCATTTGGAACGCTGCAAGCTGCGGCTGAAAGCATTGCATGAGGTTGATACCGCGCTGCGTCCCCACAAGCCTGACATCTGGATCATACAGCTCCCAGCAGACGCGACGCAGACTGCTCGAGATGTTGAAGAGATTCTCAGCATCCGGATGCCAGCTCTCAAAGATCGTCTTCTCGGTGGCGCCTATTTTCATCTGCCGCAAAATCATCCGGATAAGCCACAGAAGCTCCTCGGCGTTCATGCGTTTGTAGAACTCTTCGACAATGGGTTGTTGATTTTCTTCCTTCTGCGCCACCGACAGCCGGTCGAGCAGTTCATTGACCTCAGCGATTGTCATGTTGCCGGGCGTTGCTCGCATTGGACGCTTACTGATAACCTCGAAGCAGCGGCCGGCGAAATCGCCAGCCATGGCACTAGAAGCTTTGATGCCAGGTAGCTTCCAGTGAAGCAGATTGTATCCGTCTTCACTATTCTTGTCGATCTTCATGACACGAACGAACAGTTTGCCCAGCGTCGTCTCCCTGAGCCCGTACATGCCACGGTCCCGATCCTTCTCGGGCACAATGAGGCGAAAGGCCGGATAGATGTCGTTGCCAACTTCCTTACGCCACCTCGAGATGAAGCGCTCAATGATAGACCTGCGGATATCGTTGGGCGTAGAAGGCGCGCCGAAAGGACCTACCTTCTTGCGAGCCGTTACTGGTCCTGACGGCTTCTTTTTGTTCTCATTGAGAGGGTTGAAGAGCGTTAGGTAGAGATCATGAAAAGGGAGGGTTTTGGAGTGATTATGGGGTCGGTTAGGATACTTTTCGTTCAGCTCTGCCTCCGTCATTGCACCATGACCGTACATCATGTGCTCTTCTTCGACTGCAAGGTCATCGCGCATCTCTGCATTGTCGACATCGCCGTCGCCATGCATGTCGGTGTTGTCCTCAGACATGTCTGAACGCCCCGTGATCCTGCAGCGCAACGGAGCACTGCTGAGCGAATACCTAGCTGATGACAAGTTGATGGCGTGGAAGGGAGAGTGCACCGAGAACTTACCTGTACCTACGATGGCGGCGGTGCTGGGAAGGAAGCTTCAAAAGAGCCCAAGCCCACGCAAGGCAGCAGGTGCGGCCGGTTAATCTCCGGCCGGAGGATGACCATGCACGTTTGCTGACGAGGCGTTTCAAGACCGTGATTTGTCTGCGTAGTCGTTGCAAGGGCGGACGTGACGGGCGTGACAATGGTCTCGCGATATCTGTCAACCTACTGCCGATGCGCTCATGGCTGCGCGGCCGGATATCTCTCGAGCACAGTCGTTCAGTAGCGTCAGCACCACGGATGCGCAGAATGCTGCGCTATTGGGGGCCACCAAAGCATTCGTGAGACCACAGCCGGATCCACTAAGAAGGACAGGTAAGCAGCATGCAACTCATGGCGCCTTGAAGGCTGCCAAAAGTGCCGAAGGCACGAAGCGAGCGATCAGTCCAGGTGGAGATGGTAGCTTGAAAGGAGCACCTGCTGCGCGTCCATCGCAGCAAAGGCAGACGCGGAGCGGCGCGGAGGGATCGCAGACGGCATACACGGTCGAGTATGGAAGAAGGCCCGAAGTATCTGAGCAGGAAGGGCAGCTACAGCCATCATCACAGCTTGCGGCACGAGTCGCTGCTGCCCGGTCGCCAGAAACGCCAGACTTTGCAAGACAGGAGCGGTCACGCGCGAAGACCATACAATGGCCGGCTGTTGCGCCTAAGCCGCGACGTCTATCCTGGTACGGCGAGGATGAGCGTCAATTGAAGCAGCATGAGCAGCACAACCCTACGGACTCAACCTCTATCCCACCAACGACGTCGCTTGTCGAGCTATTCGAGCGCAAGGCAGGCAAAGCTACAAGCGATATGGTTAATGCACGACCGCAGCCCATCCTGGCTAAGCGTAGCCCGGACTTGCCGCTGAGGTCGCCGAAGCCTGTACGCACCTCCGACGGCGGTATTACCTCAGTCTTTCACTTGGAGCTCGGAGATAGCCGGCGGCCCGAAAAGGTAGGTACAGCTACGCCTGTCAAACGTGATGCTGTTGGAGCACAGCTCGATGGCCAGTCGTCCGGCGACGAGTACTATTCGGCATCCGAAGATACAGCTACGGCAAGCTCGCCCATCACCGTCCCCAAGAGAGATTGGCGTGCTCTCCGTGACAGTGTTCCCGCCATAAGCAGCGTAGATCCAGATAGGGTGCGACCGGAGCCATCACCATCGCCGTTGCGGAACTTTTCCACCGAACCTATACAGATTGCGGCTGCGAGTAGACGACAGTCGATGTCACCACCAGACATGTCTGTTTCATTGCAATCGTCTCAGTCGATCCAAGCACAGATCAACCAGAGATATCCGCGTCGGACAACGCCGCTTAATACTGGAGAAGAATTGGCCAATGCCATTGTGGCTTCAAGTCTCGCGTCTTCACGGGCAGCCTCACCGCATAAGCTCGAGCCACCTTCCCTTCCTACCCGGCGCCATGGTTTTCACAAGCTGTCGTACTCGCGCACTCCATCTCCGGCCAAGCACGGCATGCGCCACACATTACGCAAGAAGGAGAGCGAGGAGTCGGAGTCGGAAGACGAGCACCACCCTTACGGCAAGCACAAGAAGAAGCGTATGGTGCGCAAGCATCCAAACAAGCATCATGAAGGCGATCGCAAACGATGGCGAGACGCCGTTACAGAACGTGAGCGGAAGCGCTACGAAGGCGTTTGGGCTGCTAACAAAGGGCAATACTGCACTTCCATCACATTCGAAGATGAAGGCATTCCGCGGTGGCCGGCAGGTGATACAGCGTCCCCTAGACGGGCTGCGGCCGCAGAGCAAGTCTCAAACATAATCGTCAAGGATATTTGGAGCCGCTCACGCTTACCTGACTCCACATTGGAGATGGTGTGGGATCTTGTTGACGACAGCGGTGTAGGTCGCTTGAGCAAGGAGGAATTTGTCGTTGGTATGTGGCTTATCGACCAGCGGCTCAAGGGTAGGAAGTTGCCGGTCAAAGTGTCAGAGACTGTGTGGGCGAGTGTCAGAGGCCTGCAGGGGATCAAGATCCGGAAATAATGGCGCCACTATCCCTGCTGGAGAGCGTCTCTCGCGTTAGTGGGCGTTCTGGCGGCTGTGCGTGGAGATATGTTAAACTAGTGGAAATACCCTGTCGCGCCCTAGAACAAGCGGGCGCGACGTGAGCGACTCATGGAAAGGCAACCTAATACTACTGCTCAATCTGCATCTCAAGCTTTGGGTATTTGGGCGTCAACCTTTCAGCCTCCACCATATCCCGGACCAAGGCATTACTGCTCCAAAAATAGCCACTGAAGTCCATATCGTACCAGTAATTGACCGCACATGCAAAGCCTTCAGCACCTACCGTCTGACTGACTTTGTGATACCACATGGCGGGCAGATATAGCATATCACCCTCATTCAGGGTGACTCGTAGAGGCTTCGCCAGGTGTGTATATGCTGTTGTCCGCTCATCCGGCAGATCCGGATCCCATGTAGCAACCGGTATGCGCTCATCGCTGTCGCTGATCTCAATAGCGAAGGCGTTCGTGACGTCTTCGAGACCATTAGCAGAGGTTGCCGGCACATACCGGCCCTGGCGCAGCATCTGTTCGTTCACGCACGGCATATCGGCCGGTGCTAGTAGGACGAAGTGTTTCTGGCCACGTATTTGGACGTAGATGTTCTCATAGTTGTCCTTGTGAAGCGAAGTAACTGACCGGTTGTCACCGAGCCAGAGGTTGACAGCATCCGCGGACTGATCGAGAGCGATGCGGGCGAAAGGTATGTCGGACGGCACGTCTGGCAGCAGTCTCGCATACTCTTCGCGGAGGTTGTCGTTCTCTAAGCGTACGTCAATGGTGAGGGATCGCGCGTGATGGACGGTGCTCTCGTACGGGTTTGGGCGTATTTGACGGGCAGCGGCTCGCGACTAGCAATCGGTCGCTGTATCTCGTTGAGAAAGTTATTGAATAAGTGATAGGTCTCATACGGCTCCACGAACAGCAAGTGGCCGTCACTTTGTTCGACCACAGCATCCGCATTCCTATGGTTTGATTAGCTCTTGCGGATGCCCGCTCGCTCTAGCTTCTCAAGACATTGACTTACCCACCCCAGTGGTGTGACTGCAACTTTAACCTGCTCGTCGGCCATCATCTGTCGCAGGTAGGCGGCGTCCCATCTTCGATACGCTTGCCAGTCTGTCGCCACGCGTCTTACCACGAACGGCCGGTTTCTTGCCACATACCGCATGAACTCCAGTGGACTTGGCTGCTCGCTCAACTCGTCGATAACGGCCGCATTGAGCTCATGATAGCCTTCGAGGAAACTCGTAATAGTCGTGGTCATTGTCAAGGAATTTCCGATGTTAAGCGACGCATGCAGGTCCGTTGTGGGATAGATGGTGGAGTCTGATGCTTATGTACAAGGGTGACAGATGTTTGGTAGTAGGGGCAGCAGCTGCAGATCCATCTACAGTCATACGATTTCGCTATGTACTGCTACGGCAACAAAGCTACGTAGATCCTGCGGCCGTGATGCAATAACCTACTAGATGCCAGACCTTTTGGGGCATTTGCTTGCCTTGTCCTTCAATGCAAACGCCTTACCGTTGATGCAACCCGATACGTTGTGCTCGACCACTCCTTCAACCATATAATCACCGTTTGTCGTAAGAGTAGTCTCCGGAAGGCCGATAGGCAGTACGATGGCTTGATCTCCATCCACGTATTGACCATTACATTAGTGATCGCTTGTATCAGAAGCATGTCAACGCTCGTCAGTACCTATATGAAGTCGATGTTGTTGTCGTAGAATACTCGTGGTCTTCGCACATAAATGTCGCCCGTCCACGGGTTATAAACTTTCTGCCTTCCATCACGGCCATAGTGTTGATAGCCGTCGTCGAGATCCAGTGCCTGTATGCTTGATTGCCAGGGAAGGCTGAATGGCCTCGTGGTTTGCCGGTGCTTCCCAAGACCGATGGCCATGTCGTTAAAGGGGGTACCAATTGGCGTGCAAGCCGGTAGAGGAAGAGCACCGTAAGGCGATGGCAACATGGGAAGGTCATTCATGCTTCGTGCCCATGGTGGGCCGCGGATCTGCATACTGTCGATGTTCCCGCGACCGATGGGGCCCAGAGAAGGCTGGGCAATGGGCCCACGGCCAAGGCCACCCATTCCCGACCCAGCATTCAGCGCATAAGTAGCATGCTTGCAGTCATCCTTGAGCGCCATGTTGCAATGGTAGAGGCTGTTGAAGCGCGATCCATGCCAGGCCCAGATCTTCTGGAGATTGCTCATGCCGGCGCTCGAAGGGTTGTAGGCGGAGTGAACATTCGGTGCATACCCTTCAACTCTGGCAAGGAACTCTCTGCCCCATTTATGAAGTTCGGCATGAATTGGTCCACTGTTGTCATGCTCGTTGTAAAGCTGTTGGAGAATGCTAATGGGATCGTCGTCGGTCACAGGTAGGTCCCAAATGACACTTAGGATGTATTTCTGCAGCTCCTCGAACTTCATGGCTTCGGCGACCTTGAAGACTTGCAGTTGCACCACAACACCAGTCGTGGACTCGGGCTGCTTCGAGCCTCTGTTGGTCAGCACTGGTGGACCTCGAGAATGCTCGTACGTGCTGGAGTCTTGCATTGAAAGTTCAAGACCCATGGCATACGAGCCTTTCATGAAGAAATCGTAGATATGCCTGAACACATATTGAGAGCATTCAGGTACCTTCAGCTCCATCTTGTGCTCTTTCTCAAGAGGCGTCATGATACTCTTGTACTTGAGTGCAAGCTCTCGCTTCACCATGACGCGCTTGTCCTCCCAGATTAGCTCAATGTAAGTGGTTGACGGCGGTGCCTTGAGACGGTCGAGCGGCACGAAAGCGTTGTCAACATTCAAGTCGTAGATGACATCGCCTTTGCTCTCCATGTCCAAGTCTAACGCAGCCGAATACGATTCGATCTGCCAATTCTTGAGCTGCGCATATCGCACTTTGCGGTTGTCGAAGCTGCAATGAGATTGACCATCCGCTGGCGCGTCGGCGGCAGCGAGACCTCTTGAATCGATTTCAACGAACATTAGGCCGTCATTCGGCAGCATTCGTCGAGACTGTCCTGCGGCCTTGCGTCTTCGGGTGGAAGCATAGAAGATGAGATTCAATGGGCGGCGGTACCTGCAGTTGATCGAAAGGTCTCTGATGGTGAAGAGGATTACACCGAAATGAAGGCCATCGAGAAGCCGTCCGTCTTGCTTCGAGCCCTTCGGCTGTGCGCCACAAGCGATGAGGAAGTAGGCATGGATCATTTGGTGTATTAATGCATCAAGCAGGTTGTCTATTTCGGCTTCGCCGTCTTCGAAAGGCGTACTGTTCAGCTCAATGCAGACTCGAGATATGCCAGGCACAACGCCTGGTGCACTTGTAATGCCGGGGGAGAAGCTTGCAAGCGACTTCCAGCTTAAGTGGACCATACCTCTAAGCTTACCGCCGAACAGCGCTCTGCTCAGATAGTCGAAGATGATGAAAGGCGTATCTTGAGTGACCTCGCCCAGCTCTCGCACACGGTCGATCGCGTCGACAACTTCAATCTGATTGCCAACAAGGTTTCTGAACGCCCATGCTGTGGCGTATGCGAGCGTCCAGCCTAGGTCGCCTGCACGGTCTGTAATGCTTTTGTCCTTGAGCACAGCGGGGCACTTCTCCGTGGATTCATTGTGTGACCGGCTGCTACGGCGCCTTCGCAAATGGCGCTCGTATGGATGGTAAAGGTTGTGATCCGGGTATAGAGTGGGATAGTAAATGTCTCTCGTGCGGTACGGAGTAGGGAAGGGTATTCTGTCCGAGCTATATTGGCTCCAGGTCATCAGGGTGGTAGTGGCTGTGTACCCAGTGGTGGTCAGTGACAGAAGCAGGAGCGGCTGCACCTGGATGGATTTGGGCGCAATAAGTATCTGCTCTAGAAATGATGACAGAGAGCGCGCACCAAACTCGATGATGGTGCAAATGTTCGTCGTCACGGACTAGCCATGAAGTCAAGGTCCCTTGAACAGATGAAATGATGCCACATGGCCTCGGACTGAAGATTCCCAAAGGCTAGAATTGCTGCTCGGATGATGCTGTTTGCTAGAACGGGAGCATCAGGTGTCGCGATTCAATGTTGTTTATCTAAAAACGTGTCAAATCCTCAATGAGCGGCACGGCGCATCGCGATGATATCTAGTAGAGAGTGTTTCTTGCCAATGAAGCCACGACAAGCGGTCCTCGTGCGTCTTCGGGCTGTCGCAGGTTGCACAACAGAGCAAACATTGCTACCCTCGCGCGTGATACGACATGTCGCAGCATCGGGCCTTTGCAACAGCTCAGAGAGTCTTCATATTAGGTCGACTGCTGTAGAAGCACACTGGCTGGCTTACAAGGTCAGACGGTGATTCGGTCCCCGCTCTGCTTGCCATTAGCTGCACGATCCGCTCATATGTGGAGACCTCGTTACATCCACAACAAATCATCGATCGTCGTCACGCAGTTTCTGCTGATCAAGCCCGAAAACTGCAGGGTAGGACGCTTGCATTGAAGGTACCAAGGGCAGAGCTGGCTACGTGTCGATGACGGTACGTACAGCTGGTCGAATCCCCTCCTGAGGCTGCTTGTTAACAGTACTCCGCTGTATACGCATGACAAAGCTTCGAAATAAGTCACCTAATACGCGCCGGGTGGCCCGCCTGGCCGACGTTCGTCGAACTCATTCCTGCCTTCTGCTGCCCGGCCCTCGTCGTACTTCCTCCTCAGTGCCTGCAGCCTCTTTCTCTTCGTGTGCGTGTTGATGTACCTAGCTTAAAATCAGCGGATAGACGATCGTGGTTGGCCACATTCAACGTACGTTCCAATCACAAAGCCGACAATATTGAAGAACGGCACCCACGTCTCCTGTGGCAGGAAAGCTTGTGCAAAGGCGAGGGCAAGCGGAGACGTAACCCAGGAGACTTTCATCACGGGCATGAAGCCTGCACGCACTGTCGCGCGGATCTGGTGGAAGGTGCGGGCACCGGCGATGACGGCCATGGATGTGAGATAGACGACGTTCTGAATTGGTGAGATCTGGAGACCGTTAGCAGTCTCTTCTTCGTCAGCAAACCAAGCAGTCAACATCGCCGCATACGATAAGGTTGGAAACCACAATCTGCAAAATCTTTGCGCGTAAGCTAGTCCGGCCAGCGAACATCCGCTGGAGTAGAGAGATCATCACGTGTCCTAACGGGGCGCTGATGAACGCGCCGTAGATTGCCATCTTCGGTACGCGGCTTGTGAAGTAATGGCCATTCTTATTGCGATCCTTTGCTATCCACGACGCGAGGAACTCTTGTAATGCAGATAGCGAGCCGGAGGTGATCATCTTCGTGCGGAGAGGGTCCTCTTGTAGCTTCTTAAGGTACCACTGTGTGATTACACGTTAGCGATTGTCATCGGCGACGTTGACTGTCTTCTCGATGTCAATGCGGCGGTGCTTACGGCGAGATAGCCATTAGGCCCGGCGCCCTTGGTGAGAGCTTCACCAACTTCATGCGCGAGTGTTTCTCGCGCTGGCGCCGGCGGTGGTCCCGCGCGGCCTCTTGGACCACCATTGCCACCATTTACGCCGGTGCTGGTGACTCGAATGTCCTCCCGCTGCTCAAACTTCACTTGAGACATCGCGATCTCAGCGGTAAGCGTTATCGCGCAGAGTCGCGAGGTTTTCTCAGCAATCTACCAAATGAGGAAGGGCCAGCTAGGGTAATCTCGAGCTAGAGGTGACACTTGTAAGACAAGCGGAGGTGGGTTATAGAAGAAGAGGGAGAGTGGGAGCGGGCAGGTGTTGTCGCTGGCCCCTAGCTAGGTACCGCGTTGTTACCCGTGCCGAGGGGGCTGCCGCGAGCATCGGCAACCTCCGCGTGGAGCTGATTGTGGAGGGCCGTTGAGATATGGCCGCGAACATGGGTTGTATCCTCAAGCACACCTTGTGACAGGTTTTCGCGAACGTTCGTCGAATATAAAGCATTCTCCGGCATCTTCTAATCTGTGGAAATTTGATCTTAGCAGAGCTCCAGAGCGAATCGAGATTTTCGCGCTGAGTGGGTGTTAAGAGCGAGCGGCGGAGCTCTTGTAATGCATGAGACGGATATTCGCATGTCAACAACGAAGTGGTGACGAGAGCTTGACGACACCCTGTAGATTGACCGAACGCAGAGCGATGCCTCTCCGTGCTTTGCGAAGGGGACAATGCTCTCGTCATCACGTGAGGCCATTTTCTCCGTATGAGGAAGGAACGCTCGGGAAAGTGCCGCACGAAGACCCACCTGCACCTTCTAGGATACGACAGTGGAAACTACACGATGCTGGTCTGGCAGGCAGGTGAGACGACAAGCGTGAACTTGCACTTACATGGTACTCTCAGAATTGTCCACAACCCTCCGTTTGCTCACCTCAAACACACATTCGTACGCTTACGCTACTGCTAAGCTGCCCACTCTTGCTACTTCATAGTCACAACTCATTTCCACTAGCCCAAGTCTCCGTCTCCGGTCCGTGCTTGATCGCTTGCACCATCGCGACGACACTTTGACCTCACTACACACACCGCAATGTCCGCCTTGTTTACCACGCTATTTGCGACCCCAACCGACCATACTGATGAGGACACGAAACCAACACACACCGACCCGTTCTGGCAAGCCACACCTCGCGTCCTGCATAAAGAGCTCGCCATGCCAGTATTCCAGAAGGTCAGTCATGCTCGACGCTACTTAGTCCCAGACGCACCCCCGTGTTGCGGTGTTTGCTTTCCGTTGCAGCGCGGTCTTAATGTCCGCTCTGCCTCCTTTGTGAGGTGCTGGTGCGGGTCTAACGTCGGATTGTGGTCGCTCACACGTAAAGCAGTCTTCCCAAGCGCCCCGAGTCCCTCTGCGGCAGTCACGGCAGACATCCGCCACGGCTGCTGTACGTCGGGCGCAGTGCACGCATATGACCGTCAACCGTGCCCATGGACATCTCACATGTTTCATATGCGGCAAGACTCCCAGCATAGGATGGCTGTACGTCTGTCAGCAGGATCGTGACAGCAACCACGGCGAGTCTCACCACGGCATTGACCCTGACATTCTCCCTATCGTACCGAACGACAGCACCCACTTCGAAGCACAGGCTTGTCTCGCCGAAAATCTTGGAATGCACGCCTGGGTGGTCAACGGTATTCAGAACCGTGACTACAATCTTGATCAAGTCGACCAGCTCATTGAGCAAAAGAAGCACCTTCTCGCTACTGTCCGCCTGCATGAACAACAAGTCAATAGCTCTAATATGCGCTCAATGGCCAACGAGGTGCGGAAGGACTTGCCGACCGAAAGAACCATTGCCTCAGTCGGCGCTAGCGCTGGCCATCGCGCAGGAGTACAGAGCAGTCCGGACCTGTTCAAGCGGCAGCTGAGATCGCAGAAAACTCAAGGCTGCAACTTCCAAGTCTGTCACACCTGCCGTCCTTTCTTTGTCGACCGCCTACACACCAGCTTCGAAAAGGTGCTCAGCGGTGAAAGTCCGGCTGTTACCGAGGAAGAAATTAGCTGCCTCCCGTTCTTGCGCCCCAACATAGTACGCACACTGGGTTTGCGCTATCCGGTTTTCCCAGCTCAACCGAGTCCGAAGCGGCAAGCAAGCGTTGATATTACCGCTCAGCAAGCGGACGGCACGGATGAGGATACGTCGGACTGGACGCCCACCAGCGCCACAATCAGCGAGTCGGGATCGGAGTCTATCGAGGGCATAGATCCGTATCCATGCCCGGGTGCTGGTCATTGTCCGGTATGGAGTCGCCGCTCGGGTTGCGCCTACGACACTGGCTTCGATGACGGGCTACGAGCTTCGAACCATGGCTTCGGTCCAGGTCCAGCATCGGACAACACTCGCGTGACCCCAGAGAACTCCGCTAGCCGTCTTCATCGTCTTCACGTCAGCGTCACGGATACACCAGGTGGCACGTCTTCGACAGTGTCCTCGATTAGTCTTCCGGTTACTCCGACAGCTCCACTGACACCGCTTATCCACATCGAACGGCCCTTTGAAGATGAGCTTGAGATGCGCTCGCTAAGGCCTGGCAAGGCAGCTTCGATATACGGCCCACTGATGGACTACACCGCAAACCACGGCAGGCTTGGACTTGGCATACATAACAGAGACAGCAGTAGCAGTCTGGGCGGCGCAGTCGAAGTCGAAGGTGGCGTGGCGCTGACGGAGGAGGCGGTTGAGACGGGGATGCCGGACATCATCACCGCTGACGATTAGTCTTTGTCAGAGGATAAGAATGCGCTTGAGGATATTGACAGCACTCGGTCTAGGCGAGGAAGGAGAGAAAGTCGGAAGAACCAGACCGGGCCTGAGCGACTTCCACTCGAAGGCGGCGCGTATACACCTCTGTCGTTAGACAACAATATCGAAGCGAGGACGATGATGGAGACACATAACCATTTGTTGAAGCATGGCGTCGTGACTCTGCCATTCGTGACAGCTGCACGCGTCCCACAATCCGCCAAAGACTTGAACGCATACTGCATCACTCAAAGCCCAAGGATGGTATGATAATGCGCGACTCCTCTATAGCGCACAGTGGACGGTCGGTCACCAGTGAGCAGGGGCGAAGAAGAGATATGGGGGAGGTTGTAGCAAGGTTAAACGCCACTTTCACTTTCCACTTGTAGTGCGAGTCGCGGCCCATTGTTTGAAAATTGCAAGAAGATCAGCGGTTCCTGTTAGATAGCGGACCAGTGCTATCGACAACACGAACTATGTACCGTCTCGGTGTTGTCTACATTCACGATATTTGACCCGCAGCCAATGCGCTTGTCACCCGGGCTTCGCCGCTTGAGGCTCGGCGCATGCGGGCCGAAGAAGCTGCATCATTTGGCAGTGAACACGAAGCGGAAGAACGTCCACTCCCGTTAATAACACCATCATGCATCGTAGCATTGACAGCAAGATCTGCGCACACGAAGATGGCTGCGAGCGACAAGGTAGGTCAGCACCAGACCATCACCTTGAACATGCCGCTTGGCGCCAAGCGAATGCCACGCTCAAGCGCTAGGCGCCTCGGCCAGTTAAGGTTGGAATTAACCGACTCCTTCCATCTCGTCATCTTCTCACAAAAACTCCCTCTCCGCCTCTCAACATCCCGTTCAGGAATACAATCGTTGGGAAAGAAATATCACTCTTTCGCTCCGCACATCTCGTATCGTATTGCCGAGGACACGCCTCGACTGCGTCTCGGCATATCCCCTTTAGGCTTCTCGAAGTCGGCGAGTGACCGGACATTCGACGAACTTGATCATTAACATTCATTCGAAGTGAGACAACAAGCAGCCAACTAGGGCATCTAGGAGCGGCGACTGGGCGCGACCGCAACGTACAGTACGTATCCTGGCTCAACACGAGGTCTTGAGACAGCCGGGGTAGCTTACCGCCCTCTACAGTGCATTCGACACGAAACGTATATCCTACACTGAACCGCAGCGCCGCTGCGGCATCATACGACGAGCGCCTGGCCCGCTACCCAACATAAAGCACCAGAGGCGAAGATTGAAGATCTACAACTTACAATAGAGTTTTGCATTAATCCCCAAGAATTATATGATGGCTTGGGAACAGCTTGATGTCAACAAGCCACATTTGGTGTATATCATCCTCGGAGGCTTCACGAGCCTGTTCATGCTATGCTCCTCCGTCATCAAGGAAAGGCTGTACATTGGCGAGGCTACCGTGGCCACAATCTGTGGCATTATATTCGGACCTCATGCCGCCAACCTCATCGACCCAACAACATGGGGCAATACCGACCAGATCACGCTCGAGTTCTCGCGCATTGTCCTTGTTGTACAATGCTTCGCTGTCGGTGTAGAGTTGCCGAAAGCATACATGGAGCGGCATTGGCGATCCGTTGTATTCCTCCTGGTTCCGGTTATGACATTCGGCTGGCTTGTCACGAGTCTCTTCATCTGGGCCTTCTTTCACCCAACGCTGAATTGGTTGGACAGTCTCTGCGTCTCAGCTTGCGTGACGGCAACCGATCCCGTCCTAGCCTCCTCAGTCGTCGGTAAAGGCAAGTTCGCAAAGCGTGTCCCGAAGCATCTCCGAGATCTTTTGTCAGCTGAGTCAGGCTGCAACGATGGCATGGCCTTTCCGTTCATCTATCTGGCTCTCTACTTGATACGTTACCGGCCGCATGCCAACGAAGTCGCACTGCATTGGATATGTTACACCATCCTATATGAGTGCGTATTTGGCGCTGTCTTCGGTGTCGCCGTCGGTTACATTGCGCGCCGTGCAATCAGGTACGCGCACGAGAAAGAGTGGATCGATCGAGAATCCTTCCTCGTCTTCTACTTTGTCCTGGCTCTCTTCTGCGCCGGATCTGGTTCTATCTTGGGCGTTGATGATTTGCTTGTTGGCTTCGCTTGCGGTGTCGGCTTCAGTAATGACGGCTGGTTTACCGAGAAGACGGAGGAGTCTCACGTCTCGAACGTTATCGATCTACTAATTAACCTGGCTTTCTTCGTTTATTTCGGTACGATCATACCGTGGGAGCAGTTCAATGCAGGGGTGTTGAACCTGAATGTATGGCGATTGGTGGTGATAGGACTCTTGGTACTGTTCTTTCGCCGCATCCCCGTCATGCTGGCTTTAAAGCCACTGATACCCGACATTAAAACATGGCGCGAAGCGCTGTTTGCCGGCCACTTCGGACCAATTGGTGTTGGCGCCATCTTTGTGGCCATCCTAGCGAGAGGGGAGCTGGAGACAGACTACCAGACCACGACTCCTCTCGCAGTCCTTCCGGAGCCTCCATTTCCGCATCTGAACATCATCGAGACCATTTGGCCGATCACTACATTCCTGGTCATCTGCTCGATCATTGTCCACGGCTCGTCTATTGCAGTTTTCACGCTTGGGAAACATATCAATACGTTGACGCTGACTATGTCCTATACGCAAGCGAACGAGCAAGGTCCATCGTGGATGGAGAGGTTGCCACGCATACAGTCCCGATCGAAGAGCTCCATGTCGTTACAAAGGTCCGACTCGGAGTTCGACGAGAAGGACCGGAGTAACGTTCCACCAGGCATGCTGCCGCCCATTGGCCAGCCAGGTACATTCTTGCGCAGACAGAAGGAAGAGGATAATCCAAGTCGCACGCAAAGCCGCGCTTCTAGCAGACATCGATCAAGACGTAGCAAAAGATGGGAGAGTGGCGAAGGTCCGGGTGGACCCATCAGTCAGTCAGCAATTGCACCTGCTCGGAGACAAGACAGCGAGGAGCCATGGAGTCGGAGCGACTCCGAAACGCTGGCTGTGAAGAGCGACTCCTTACCGAGCTCTGAGGAGGAAAAGAAGCAAAAGAAGCGTGCAGAGCAAAAGCCAGATGTCGGACCAGAGCCTGAGGCTGACCGCCACGAAGTACCGGAGTCCGGTGAGATTTTCGAGGAAGGTGACCAGACAGTGTACGAGGATATGGAGGGCAACGTCCTTGCTGTAGAAGACAGCAAGGATGAGGATGGTGACAAAGGACAGCCCGCGCGAGAGGAGTTTGAGCAGCGCGAAGGACGCCGCTTGATGCGTGAAGGGCATGCCGATGAGAACCATGGGGTGGCGACTACGAAGGATGATCCGAACCGCGATCCCGCAGATATGGCCAAGGACGAGCTGCACAAGGCAGAGCATGGCGTCAAGGAGGCAGTCGAGCGACCCGGCAAGCGTTGGCGAGAAGGACTCACCAGAATGAGCACTGCGACTGGCTTCGGCAAGCGCGAGGGTGGTGAAAGCAAGGCGAAGGAGAAGAAGACAGAAGAGCCCAAGAATGGCCCGGCCCGAGCGTATCAGTACGGAAACACCATTATCGTTGAAGACGAGGACGGCGAGGTCATCAAGAAGTACGACATCCCCGCCCCAGATCGCAAGGGAGGAGGCGCTGCAGACTCCGGCAGAGCTCAGCATCGCATTGGACAGATGGGCCGCATGCTTGGCCTCGGCGGCAAGGATGGGAAAGACGGCAAGGCCGCCGGTGGCGTAGCTTCATCTGCAGGCAGTAGTGAGAACAACAAGGCCGCCAAAGGACGTGAGCGTGACCAGGAGCAGGCAAACGAAGACGATCGCTTGCGCTTTACCATCAATGCCGGTGGGAGGCGCATGAGCAAGGCCGAATTCATTGACCAGATTCGCAAGATGGACCCGCGGACTCGCGTGGAAGCAGTCGAAGACAGCGATGCCCCCGAGGCTGTCAAGCGCGAAGCCCGTCTGGATGCTCGAGAGCAAGCCGCGGCGAAGGTCAGCGCTGCTACTGAGCCGAGCGTGCCTGTTGTGCCGGAAGGTGCAGAAGAAGAGCAAGGCCAAGCACACGAGCACCGTGGCAGCCAGCCAGCGCTACACCCTGTGAGGAGCCACGAGTCTGGCGAGCTGCGTCTTGTCGACTCCAATGAGCAGAGCATACCATTTCACGACGTCTCCGCAACGTTGCGTGACTACCAAATGCAATCAAGCTCAGGCGAAACAGCCGCGGAACGTCGCCGTCGGCAGGCCTTACGGCAGCCGAACGAAGAAGATTCGGATGATGATGGCACCGAACGTGTGCCGCCTAGCGCTGAAGCTGGACCTGCCAATAGAAGGTCAGCAGGTGAGACGGCTGCCGAGCGACGTCGTCGTGAGGGTGCACTCGGTCTTCGGCAGAACGAGGAGAGCGATAGTGACGAGAATGACGAGCCTAGGCAGCCACCTGGACGACCCAACATACGTTTTGCTGATGATCCTTTGCCGGCACAGCGGGAGCAGCAACAGCAGCGAGAGCCGCGACATACTACTCTCCGGTGGGGGAGGAATGTAGGACGATGAGGTACGATGACTGTTGTTGAATGGTTATATTGCGTTGATGCTTGTCTTACATACTTGAGATGCTAGATTAGCGCGGCGTTGGGAGGTATGGTATAGCTTTATGGATAGTACTCTAGATTTCTTAGTCATACTCGGCACTGTAGCTTGGTGACGGTAACCCGTATATCCTGAAAATACCTTCGCATGATCTCAGCTCGGTACACTGGGCTACTTAGGAAGGCCTAGGGTAGTTATGCTGGTTCTCACGCAACTCTAGCACGTGATGCTCGTGCACCCAGATCTGGGAGTGAGGACGTCAAACTGATGCCCGGCTCAGGTTCATGGCGACGTAATCAACGGCCTTCTCGACATCGTATATAGATTGCTACTGACTCGGGAATGTGCTTTGTCACTCATTATCGTGCGAAAACTCCTGATGCACTTTTCATCTGACAACGTGCTGATAGCTCGATGGTCGGCACGCTACACATATGTGAGAGTCTGCACACTGTGCCTTGTCTTGTTGCAGGATTGCTTAGGGCGCCGCAAGTACACTGGCCTGCAAAGCTGGAGTAGCGGTACAACGGTCGGTGCAAGAGCCGTTCTCGTTCGCTACGGTCTAATGTGTCGGACCTTGCCATTGCATATCTGAATTGATCCTCTCGTAGCGAGGCCGGGTGATGGGCGGCATTTGAGCCAGATCGACTGCTGATGAAGGGGTGTCATCTTTGCCCTTGAGCTCCACATCGTCGTACTGATCGGTCGGCTTGCGTACGAGCTGGTAGTTCTCAGGCAGACGGTGCTCGAATCCTTCTTCGGGTCCGACTGTGACGGAAGACATCAGCAGCAGAAGCTAGCATAGGATGATGCATAACTCACCCATCGCAAACCACACGTACTCCAGCAGCCTGCATAAGCCGTCAGCACGCACCAAGCTGTTGAAGAGATTGTGTTTTCGTCCCACGTACACTGGAATCCAGATGGTCACAGATATTACTTGCCCCAGCGTCCACGCCTTGAGATCGAGAGTCTGAAAACTGTTCGGCAAGAGGATGTGGGCGTAATCCAAGATGAGAATGATGTTCAGTGCCACAAAGGCACATTCGGTTCCGAGGAGTACGGTGCCTTGCATGAGACCCAGCAAATGGTTGCCAGTGTCCAAGCGAAATGCTGCAGTCCATCGAGGATATTTCTTTGCAGAACGCTCGTAGGACTCCCACATGCGCCACCTCAAGATCTGGTGACGCAGCCAGTCAAAGCAGTTACCCTTCCTGCCAGGCTCTTCCGGCGTTGGCACTTTGAAGACAAGAAGCTGGTCCAGGATCAGACAGATTTGCACAACGAAGCAGAAGGCGAGGGCAGGTATTGCCTTGGTCGTAGCATCGGCATTCCTGTAGAACCAGTCGGCAGAGTAGCAGTACTTGATTGGGGTGACGTTGCCTCCTCCGCAAGCGGGCAACGTTCGGCCAGGGTTGATGATGTCTGCATCGCTGTCAAGCTGAATGTAGAAAGTCAGGAACCAGGTCGTTGCCGACAATGCGACACAGCAGCAAGTGAAAGCTAGAGTGTAGACAGAACGTTTGCCAGCGAGCCGCATAATGAACAGCGCAAAGAGAACAGGCAGGCAGCCGCCAAAGGCGAGGTCGTATCTGGAGTGTAGCAGGGTTAGATCAAGCCATCCGCCAGTGTGCGATCCGGATGTATCGCGTTCGAGTACTTACAAGATGCCCAAATTGTTCAACAGCTGCTGCCACGAGGTTGATTGGACATACGCCGGGTTGTGAATCGCTATCAGAGCGGCACATTGCACGGCGAGCATGAAGAAGACTTGAGCTTTCTGAAATTCAACGAGTGCAGAGACAAGGGCAGCGGAGTGGTGTGAAGCTATCGGCTCCAAGGTCAGCACGCTGGCGATTCTGTACGCTCAGACTGCACTTCTCGGCACATGTTCTGAGCCATACAGCTTGGGCAGCGCTGTGGGTTGGGGGCAGCAATTGGGCGCTCCGCACATACCCTGCTGCACTGTCAGTTATGGTACACATGATATAATAAGTGTTGACGTGCTCTTATCGCATTCTGCAGCCTTTGTGCTGAGAACGAAGCATGTTTGGGACCACCGAACGGCAGTAGAACTAGTCTCAATGGCCAAACCGCCCATGTCTGATACAAGTGAAATAGAAGCCACGCTGAGAGGACGATGAACATCTGCATTAGATATGACACGAACATCTAGGGCAACGTCAGCCTAGGATGCAGTCTTCTTTGTAGAGATGGAAGGCATACCCCAATGCCCCCGATATCCGGGTTAATGACAGCGTTCAGGTTGTTGCATAGACCAGTATCGATCACAGTCTGCGTAGCCGTTAGCACACCGGTTTCTCAAGGTGAAGTGATATACATGCGTTGGGAACGGTGATGTTTATAGGGTAGAAACCGTTCGATTGGTTGAAAGCGTAGCCTTCGCTCGGCGTGAAGACAAAAGACTGCACGTCCGCAGCCGCATTGGTGTTCTTGCATCCTGGAGCTAGCTGCTCGTTCGACTCACAGAACTGTGAAATGCAATTGTTGATTACTGTTCCTTGTTAGTCACGTTGTTATACCTTCCACGTCTTAGGCTCCATGCGCGACATGGTGACGGTTGGAAGCAATGGCTCTGGGAGAGCTTCGTGTGCTCGCAATGAACCACGCGGGATCGGTCGCGTACCCTATGAGAGCGTCAATGACGGCTTGACTCCTCATCGATCTCTGAGACATACTGGCCATCCGGCGGTCGCGTTTCGCCAGAGATTCGCATGGGGCTGGATGTTGTACTTCTTTGCGATTTCAACCGAACGTGCGTTCAGCTGGTTGCTTGCTAGTAAGCTGGCAATGACAGGATAGACTATGCAATTCTGCAGCGTGTACGTTGAATTGGTCCAACTTGTGCTGTTCCAGACCAACGTCGGCCCAATGTTGGTGTCCAGGCATGCAGCGGTGCAGTTCCACCCGTTTCCGACCCTACAGCCAGGTTCGAAAAGCTGCAGGTAGGAATACCAGCTCCCGGCAGTGTAGACAGCACTATCGAAGTCATACCAAGGGAAGCTCCACTGGTCAGTGATCTCGGAGATGTTCCAGGACATGCTGACGGACTGAACGCAGACAGGAAGAGAGTGCTACATGAGAGAAGATAGGAAAGCATCTTGGGAAATGCAGTATCATTACTATAGGATCCTTCAGCCTACCTTACAGGGATCTACTGCACGCTCAGTATGTTGGTATACAAAGCGTGGCGTTCCGCGTGCCGATGGCCTGACGCTTGCTGCGTCGGTCGTGAGGCTGGACAGACCAACTCTCAGCCCCAAACAGCAGGGGCGCGGAAGCTCTGATGCTGCCGATTGGCGGGGTCTGCAGAAGTGCAGAGACTACGCTCCGGTGAGCACGCGATATAGCTCTGCCGGGTTGCATTGGCTCGATGATAAGAGTGCAATGTACAGCAGGCGTCGTTGTTGAGCTGGTGAAGGTCGGGAATCAGCGTCAAAGACAAGCCACCGGAGGGATCCGCTGCCCTTGATTGTGCCGTACGCAAGCGAGATGATGATTTTTGCTTGGCTTCCTTGTGCCTTCTGCTCTACTCGCAATCGCCGTAAGGCTTCAATGGCAGCAACTTGAATCGTGGGTCACTGTCGGGTGTTAAGACCCCTCCGACGTGCTGGTAGTCACGCTTGACATGAGTGAGCAACTAGATTACACCTGCCACAACTTTCAGCACCCACTTGGCTGAGCGTACTTGCTCGCATTCGAAATCCAGCAATGCCATCCATCACAATCGTGACAGAGTCACCGCCACGAAGTCCGCTCCGTCTATTTCGACATCGTACTCGCCGCATAAGCAGCGACGACCTCGGGCTGGAAGCAGACAGGTTTGTGATTCTTCCAATGCGCTTTCTGACATTCCTTGCAGCAATACTTGCGCGTCTTGCATTTGCTGCACGTCAATAATCCTATCTCGCTCGCCGCCCCACACCCACCGCAGACGTCCGCGCCGTACTCTTGCATCGGAGCTGTCTTGGTAGAGGCTTTGGCCTTGGACTTGGACTTGTCACCTGCCCACAGCTTCTTGCGAAGATCGGCGAAAGCGCCTGGAGGTAGTGGCCCCATGCTGAAAGGACTCTGGCAATTCATCGTGCCTTGCTTGCTCTTCCCGTAGATGGCCTCCGCATACAGGCGGTCTTGGTCAGGAGCTCCGCCGCATGGCATCGTTTCGTGCAGACCCATACTGCCGAAGTCCTAGGGTGTGCCGTCCGTGTAACCATCCGGACCCAAGAGAGCCTTGTGCATCTGAGGCTGGGCCTTACACATCAACCCGGCAGTCTGATAAAGATCTGTGAGTTGAGTCTTGAACGCGGTACTGAGGGTGCAGCCGCTGGACATCGCGCAAGCACCGAGGAGGCACAAGACATACGCCGGCGGATAGAAGTCGTTTGGCTTGGTGGCGAGCTTCTCCGACCAAGCTTTCACCATCTCGTCCAGCTTGCCAGCGTTCATGTGGTTGCGAACGGTCGCTTCGGCTTTGTCCGTCAGATTGTGGTTGGCATACAATGGGTAGGGGCAGCCGAGGGTCTCGTCACTTGCAAATCTTCGGCAGTTTGTCGAGTCCGGCTCGATTGTTCAGCTGGGCGATCAAATCATAGTCATCATCGGACTGGAACAGTCCAAGACTACAGACGCCAAGGTTGTGGTGTAATTTGACCTGTTCAGCTGCATTAGTTCTTCTAACACGAAGGAGGCGGCAGAAGCCATGAAGTACCACTGTCACTTTTATGAAGAGGCGAACGCTGATGGCTGTTCGATGTAGTAGCCAAAGACGAGAGACTCGTGAAGATCAATCTTGTGGCTCAGAGCGGACAGATACCTTAAGTAGGTCTTGTTGCAGCCATGTGTTATGGTGACGTTCGGTCCAGGCAGCCAGCGCGTGAGCGACGCGCACCTGCATTCACACACGAAGGTGCGTTGGGCAAGCCAGCCATCACGATGCCTTTGCAATGTCCTTACGCTTCCTTTAGCCTGTACAAACGAAAACTATCCGAGAAACTGAATTATCCATTGAATCGGCGGCCACTAATTTCGCTTTTCCTTTACCGATCGCCACTCCATGAGCAGCGAGCCCACCATTGTCAAGCACGTAGCACCAAGGGGCAAATACCACGTCTGCGTGATTGAGCGGTCGAAGCCAGCCAATACCTTCCCAACATTCTGCGGGCCCACACTGGCCACCAGCTCGCTGAAACCCATGTTCTCGAGGGCCTTCGCATCAGAACCAGGAATGGCATTGTGGAGGTTCGCACCCAAGCGATTCGTGAAGATTGCCTGAGCGATAGAGATAAAGAGGGCCGGCCCAAAGTTCTGCCCGAAAAGTTTTACCGACAGACCAAGAGGGCCGTCCACGTCGGACAAGCTCACCTGAACTGCAGACTGCGGGCCCTGGAAGCCAACACCTGAAGCGAAGCCGGACAGGGCAGAGTAAGCGACCAGCTTCGCGAACTGGGTCTGTAACGTCCACGTGGTCATCAAACCGGCTGCGATGGGCATCAGTGTTGACGAGATGAGCATGAACGGTGTGTAAAAGCCGATAAGCGTTGTGCCCACGCCATGTACAAGCATTCCAACGAGGAAGCCACCGATGATGGGCATGATCAACAAGCCGGACTTCGCGGGTGACCATCCCCTCACTGTCTGGAAGTAGGTTGGCATGTAGTACTCCAAAACCGTGATGCTGCCATTGCAACAAGCGCTGAAGATAAAGCCGGCGATGATACTTCGTCGCTTGATAATGCGCGGTGGCAAGGTTGCCGAGTCTTGCTTGCGACACTGGTCGTATACGAAGGCTACGGATAGCAGTCCGAATCCGACGAACAGACCAAGCACGGTTGCACTGTTGTAAGCGTACTTTGTCCCTGCCCAGGTCAGAGCGAGGAAAAGACACGTGATGGCAGGAACGAGTGCGACGGTGCCCAGAAGGTCCAGCTCGTGGAGAATGGCCTTCCATGACATCTGCTCGTGTCTGCTCTGTTTAGGGTCCGCGAGCAAGAAAATCATGAGTAGGAGCGTGACGGAACCAATTGGCAATGCGATCCAGAAGCCTTCGCGGAACAGGTGTTAGCTCAACGGCTACTCAAGCGCGAAGACGTACAGGACTTACACCACCTCCAGCCCAGTGCTTGGGTCAATACACCTCCCAGGACAGGTGCCATGATGGCAGCCACAGCCTCGATAGCGCCAAGCAGTCCCGTGTACAAAGGGCGCTTCCTCAGCGGGAGGATCTGTACCAGTAACGTGAAAGCTCCAGCAATGGCGCCGCAATCACCGAGTCCCGTGACTGCTCGTCCAAGAACGAACATATGGGAAGATGTGGCTGCAGCACACAATACTGACCCAAGCAAGAAGATTGTTGTCGAGGCCACCATCATCCACTTGACCGAGAAGATCTTGTACAGCTTGCCGAACATGAATTGAAAAGCACACATTGGCAAGCGATAAGCTGCAGAGTACCACCCTACATCAGCAACGGTACGGAAGTGATCGGTGATACTGGGAACGGCGGTAGCGACGATGTGGGTGTCGAGGCCGCTGAGGATCAAAAGCATTGCGATAGATAGAAGGATGAAGTAGAACCTTGGGCCACTCGGATACTCATTATCAGAGGTAACAGCGTCTCCCGGTTCTTCGATGCCGTCGAACTGCTCGGTGGGCGCTGTCGTGACTGCTGGTGTCACTTCTAGGACGGACAAGCCGCCGCTTCCCTCTACAGCCGGAGCTTGATCGATTGTCACGGTAGCCGTAGCCATGGCCCTCACAGAGCGGGATGCTGACTGCTGTCAACGTGTTACGCCGAGAGATGCTCATTCAAGAATTTTGCTAAGGACAAGTAAGAATTGAAGTAGATTGACACTTGCTCTTATCTGCACAGCGCGAGTGGAAGAAAGCTGCGCAATTAGGCAGCTCCATTATCGGCAAAAATACTGTACCTGCATTGTTTCGTTGATGCTAATAGATGGTCCATCACGATTCGTACTGTGCGACAAGCAAATGGTCATCAGTGAGAGGAGTGCATGCTGGTTGTATGTACATAGTCACTCGCCATGATCTGGGTGGCGTGGCGTGGCGTGGCAATCTTCGTTGACGTGTGGCGGACCGAAAAGTAGGGGGCTTGTTATGCGCTAAGTCAAGGCCGTTCAACGGTCGGCTCTCCAACGCCTGTCTCACTTTGATTGCGTGTACCCTTCTGGTCCGTACTTCACTTTAGATATATACAGCCACTGTCTTTCCTGCCATCACCAGCGTAGTCTATACCCAGCGAGCGCAGCGACTGCTTCCTGGAGCCACTTCCGCCACCATCCCCACCTTCTGCAAGCAAGCACAAGGAACCACTGTGGAGCGGTTGTACAGGGAACGAGGCGGAAAAACAAGATTACACATATTCAGTCCTGCATCGGTACATTTGTCACTAGCAGTCCCAAGCAGTAGTGGGAAGAGTCTTCGAGCATTGGATCCGAAGTGGGCAGAGTGAGGTAGGACATTGTCGGCTGTGCGTAAGCTGATCTTAACAGCCACCCAAGACGCGCCATCGCTGACTGGGATGTCTTAGACAATATCCAAGATCCAGCCCTCACCTTCACGACACCTTTGACCCTTTGTCCTTGAACTTATAATCTTCCTTCTTCTCCCGCTTGCACAGTCACACACCACAGCCATGAGATTATCGGCAGTCTCTTGTCTTCTGGCAGCGGCATACTCCACCTTCGCCAACGCACAAGACTTGCATGAGCGGACCCCAGCACATGATGTCGAGGCGGCGGAGGAGGTGCAACAGCCACACATTGCGTAAGTCTGCCTTGTCAGCGCGACGTGGAACGGAACACTGACGCAGATGCAGGCCACGACAAGGAGCCAACGTCGTAGCGCCTACTGCGGTCCTCAACCCACTTCAGATACCCGCCGTGACAACGCAATGGATCGAAAGCACCATCTTGTCAACCACGACTTGGGTGGAAGTCATCTACACCCAGACCTTCCCCTCCATTCCAGACCAGCTCCCGACCGCTGGCGTGGGATCGATCGGCTACGGCACGCTGAAGAAAGACCATAAGCGGCAGGCGCCAGTGGAGACTGGTATAGCCGGCCGGATACGCGTCTGAAGCATCATCTTAGCCTGCACACAACACGCCTCGGGTGACAGACGGTGCTGATGAGTGCTTGCTTCCGCTTAGGCTATGTCGTACCGGTCGTGCTGGAGATGCATGACGAGGTCATCACGCAGTATGTGCAGCCACTCGAGGAAGTCTTGATCTTGAAAACGGTCACGATCTTTGCGAATATGGCGAACATGACTTGGTTTGGCAATTTCACCTCCAATAACACGGCTGCATACAACGGAACGGCTTTGTACAATGGCACGGCAACAAGCGACGGCACAATGAACAGCGGCAATGCGACCTCGGCTGGTAATGTCGCCTTGCCAGCGTATCTGCAACTAGGTCCGCTTAACAGCACTACCGGATCAGGTTTCTTCGTTTGAGCGTTCAAGCATTGTACAGTATGCCCACATCAGCGGCATGATACGGAATATGGACTTTGGTGTATCCTGGACGGCGTCTTTGGTGGCACTGTAAATAACATGCATAGATACATTGGGTGCATCTCACAAGCCAGAGATGTACGATAACGACTCAAGAGATCAACCGAAGCACAAGCTCTTCATGCAACACAACTCGCTGTGTGCGAGATTTACTCCACTGACGAGTGAGCTATAGCGTGATTGTCCGACCTTCTCTCGAGCTCTGTTGCGCCGCCTCGATGATCCTCAAACCATCTCTAGCATCCTCTGGCTTTACCGGCACCTTGCCCTCCTGCCTCAAGGCCTTCGCAAGCTGTCGGTAAAACTCTACATACAGTAGTGGCTTAACAGTCGGGTACGTCTTCCGCTCCAACTTGCCATCAACTAAAGTCGTCAGCGTACCATACTTGTACTCCGGATCAACGCCAAAGCCCTCGTCGCCCGGCCCCCTGCCAGCCTTCAGCTGATCCTCCTGCTCATCTACGTGGAACTTCTTGAAGCTACCCTTGGTGCCACGCACCCAGTAATGGAGTTGCTCCACCTCCGGACTGACAACTCCAGCTTTGACCGTAACGAGCATTCCGTTGTCGTACCTGAGCAGCAACGTATGGCTGTCAGGCGCACCACCCTGCACCACGCGCCGCTGATTCCATAGCATGCCGGTAACACTCTGCGGCATTCCGAAGAGATGGTACACTTGATCTATCAAATGCGTGCCTAAGTCGAAGATGCTTCCATGGCCAGGCTCGGCTTTCGCCTTCCAGGTGGCTGGCGGTGGATCGGGACGATGACGGTCATAGTGTGTCTCGAACTCCGCGATGTCGCCTAAGGAGCCTTCGGCAAGGACTTGTTGCAGAGTGAGAAAGTCCGCATCCCAGCGGCGGTTTTGGTATACTGTTAAGAGCTTGCCGCTCTTGTGTGCGATGTCTATAAGCTCGTCGGCTTCCTTTGTGGTGGGTACGAAAGGTTTCTCGACTACGACGTTCTTGCCTGCTTCAAGCGCCGCTTTGCACATTGGGTAGTGAGTTGCTGGAATGCTCGTGATGACGACGAGGTCTACGGCCGGATCCGCGTACACTTCATCGACGGAACGCCAGACTTTGGCGTTGGGGTGGACCTTCGCCGCATCGTCGGTTGGCTTTGAAGACCGTTGGACTATGCCATAGAGCTTGAAGTCGGACGGCAACGCAAGGACGAGTGGGATGTGGAAGACTTTTGCTGACATGCCATAGCCGACGACGGCGACATTGAACTGCTTGCTACTCGTCATGGATCCGGTGAGGCTGATAAGTCGCTCTCAAAGTCATCGCTTGTGGTAGAGCGTACCATTGCATGATTGCCGGAATCTCTCGCGGCGTTTCAATGCAGGGCGAAAGCTTGCTGACGCGAGTGGGGCCTTCGTTCCTGGCTGCGCTTCCAGTGATTTCCCACCATACATATCGCGAGGAGTTCATCCGATAAGCGTGTTACGCCGAGTTTTGTCACTCTTCAGATCCTTCCTCCCTACAATGGCTTCCAGAGCCTGCGTCAAAGCCTTCGCGTCGTAGCGTCCACCTTTGCCGTTCTCGCCTCGTCCATAAAGGCGTATGGCTTCGATGCCGGCTACACTGAAGGCTTCTCGGTCTACTCGAGGTGTCGTTGGACTTTCCAAATAAACAAGGTGTGTTACGTAGTACCAGTACTGATCCTGGGTAGGCTGTGGCAAGCCACGGGACTCGCAGCATGCATTCGCAATAGCGCCCACAAAGTCCATTGCCGTGTACGGATCGGTGGACGGTCCAGTCTCACGGTCAATCGTGCCGTTGAGGATGAGTATTTTGCTCCGGATCATTGTAGAGCTCACTGCCTGGCCAACACCGCGAAGGATCAGGGACGGGACAATCGAGGTGAAAAGAGAGCCAATGCTGTAGATAATGCAAGAGGCATTGTTGAGCGCATCTATCACGCGCGGATTCGCTGGGTAGCTTATCTGGTTGCCATAGGGATTAATGTACCAGAGCCGCTCAATACGGGCCGGAAGATCCTCCTCATGATCTTTCGAAAATGTCAGGGCAGCCTTGCGGAGATCTGGTAAAGTGCCTGGTCCGTTGGCATCTTCTGCCTTGTCCTGTTCTTCGGCGTCCCTTCGAGCAATACTTCCAGGCGACATTGGCGATTCGCCAGGAACAGCGCGAGTGGGCGCACTAGGGTGACTGATATTGTTCTGTCCTGTGATTACAGTCCCGTTGGCCAGTCCAGCGGCGATGTGGAACGCGAAATTGGTGTTCACCACGGGGAGCACTGAGACGGTTGGCGGGACGGCGCAGATGCTTGAGAGCAGGTAGATAGCAGCCTCAAGGCTCCCAGTGAAAAGTCGCGCACCGGTCAGGAACAGGTTGCCTATGCTCGCTCCCGAAAAATCGAATCTGCTCGTCGGCCTCAGGCGCTTGAGCATTTCCAAATTGATCGTGTTAAGAATGCTGCGAATGAGCTCCTTTTTCGGCGATGACACGCCGACCCACAGTGAGTGTGTCGACTCGATGATATCGAGCCATTCTGCGCGGGCTGGTTCATATGACTTGGGCAAACGGTAGTTGAAGAAATGCTTGATCGCCGAAGCTTCTTCGTCATGCTTTGGTATCAAACGAACGAGGCGAGACCGAAGGTCGCCGATACCTGTGTCTGGTATTAGCAGGGGCGCCAGTACCTTGTTCCCAGCCTTTGTCGAGGGAGCGATGGGGTGCAATTCGACTTGCCTGGTCCGCCGAAGACGCGTATCAGCTCGCTTGATGAGCCGCCATTGTCACTGACGGGTATCACATAACTCAAGGTGGAGTGATTCGCTGCTCTGACATGCTCGAACACATCCACGATACTGTTGGCGGCACTGCCACCGGAGAAGACCACAACGCCGATCCGTGGTGATGCGACGTCCTGTGGTTCAGAAACGGTCCTCAAGGGAGTGAGTCGCCCATTTGCGTTCGCTGCCATGACATTCTGTGTAAGATTCACAAGATCCAGAACGCTCAGAGAGCGTATATAAGTGTGTTCACGACATTTCGGACACTTGTCAGGAGAAGGTAGGATTGTGGCTGCGGAAAGCTTGATACAGCTGTGCCAAGCCAATGGCTATGATCATGTAATGCTACAGGACACATCTACACACTTCGCATGGCGCCATGACTCCGTTACCAGCTTTATGAGTGCTTGAAGTACATGGCCACTCTTTCTCCACCCTCCTCCAGACCGGACTGTTAGCGAGGATTCTGCCCTTCCCACCATTGAGGCCTTTCTCGATGCTCAATCCTCTGCACCCGTTGGCTTGTTCATTACTCTGCCGCCTGTGTCCGCTCAGTCATGACACCGCCCGGAATGTGCGCACCCGTCTCGACCACAAGCTTTGGGCTTGCGAAAAGGCCCTCCTGCTCCTTCTGATACTCTGTGCCAATGTTTGGTTGACCTTCCCTCGCCACTCGCCGAGCCCGCTTCTCGAGCAGCCTGTCCCTCGTCTCACGCAGAAAACGCATCTGCCTATCTTCTATGCCCTGCAGCCAGTAGCCTACACTCGCGCCGATACCAGCGTAAACCGGGTATACCAAAGGTCGGCTCAACAGCGGTCGCATCTCAATACCCAGCTGCCAGAACCGCACGGCAACGCCTAGAAATGTGTTAGTATATACTCAAGGACGATTTCGGTCGCAGGTCGCCGTACCGAAGAATGACCAGAAGAGGATCTTGTTCACCATCTTGACCACCCTCTATCCTCTCCCCTCGGTTGCGTCAGGTGAAGCGATTCGGAGGTGGGGCAGCCTGTTTGATCTACTCGCGTGCCTATGTGTCTGGACCGTCTCTCAGGTTGGGTAGTCGAGCAGGTGACTGTGAGGTAGCTCGTGGGAAAACGACACTCTGATACACATAGAGGGCCGATGCGGAGCTTGAGGAGCAAAGGAAGCCTAAGGCTGCAACTCATGCTTGAACTGAGTCCGTGCCCCAGACCCATATTGACATTTCGACCATTTACCTCCTTGCCATTCGATCCATCAGACAACCCGAGGAAGCTTCAGCGCACTCACCATCATGGCGGCAGCCGTGGTCAAGCATGGAGCGGGCGAGTTCGACCTGCCGCCTCGTAAGAAGCCCAAGGTCTCCGAGTTGCCCCTCTCGTCCGCTCAACGAGCGTCGATAGATGGCATGCTGCACACTTTCAAGAAGAAGGGCGAGTTTGACGGCCTACGGAAGAAGGTGTTTCAACAATATAACGAGAGTGCACAACGTGGCATGTTCGAAGCGGCCTTGCGAACCTTCACAACAAGCGAGATTGAACGTGACCCGATCAAGTATCTTAAACCAGACCGCCGTATGGGAGCTCCGCTTCTCGAAGGTGCAGCAGCACGTAGCGATGTCTACAAGCAGACCGAGGCCGGCATTGACGCTTACATTGATCAATATCTCGTCAATGCGGAGCGAGCATTGCGTGACATTCGGCGCAAGGAGATCGGTGATGAGGCAGCGGAGGAGGAGACCAAACGTGGCGGTAAGAGTGATGAAGCATATGCCGCTGAGGCCGTGGTGCGCCGTAGCGAGCGCGCAAAGAAACATGTGGAGCAAGAGCGCTTGCGGAAGAAGCAGGAGGCGCAGGAGCGGAAGAAGGCAGAGCTTGCAGCTTTGAAGAAGAAGCAAGAAGAATTGATGAAGGAGACGGAGCGTCTGCAGCGTGAGCAGAAACGCCGAGCAGAACGTGAGGCGTGGAAGACCGCAGAGAAGGAACGCGAGAAGGAGCGCATTCGCAAGTTCAACGAGGAGCGGGAACGGCAAAAGAAGGAGAACGAAGAGCGCGAGAGAGCTCTCAGAGAGGAGCGAGCGCGTAGGGAGAAGGAGAGAGCGGAGCGGGAGCAGAAAAGGCTTGAAGAAGAGGCTCTGAAACTGCTGTTGCGCGAGGGTGAACAGATGGCGGAGAAGTCGCGACGCCCGGAGTTGGAGCGCAGCGAGAGCATGGAGCCTCCGCCACGCTTGAGGCACTCGGCACCACGGAATAGTCTCTCCAGAGATCAGATGCGCGCACAGGGTTTGATGCCGACGAGCATGACGCTTCGCAGGGGTGACAGAGCGCCCGGTGAACCGAGGGAAGTAGCGTCCGCCACTCCAGCTGCCGATGAAGATCGACGCCGCGTTTCACGCGTCCGCTCACCATCATCAGCTCGCTCAGGCCGTCGGCGCGAATCCTCACCAGCGCAAGACGAGCGCCGTCCTGCCAAACGCGACACGGCGCGTCGTGAAACGCTTTACCGTGACATCAGCGCGGAGCGAGAAGCGTGGAAAGCACGTCAGCGCCATCGCGACACAAGCCGTGGCGAGGAAGGCGAAGTGGTAGAGCAAACGTCCACACGCGCTCGAAGTAAGTCGAGGGAGTCTGCGCGCAATTCGTACCGTCCGCGCCGAGAGTCGCGCTCCCCGCCAAGACGCCCACACCGTGATAGTTCGCGCTCACGGTCGCCCCCTCGCTTCCGAGAGCGACGCCGCGAAGACAGTCCGCCAAGGCGTAGAGAGCGGAGCCGAAGTCCACCGGGCATTGATCGCTATGTTCCCGGCGGTAGCGCTGCAGCTGTTCGCAGACGGGAGGAGGACGAGAAGGCGCCACGCAGGAAACCCGACGATGAGCGCGACACCGAGAGGCGCAGACGTCCACGAGATGATGACCGTCCGAAGGCAGTTGACATTGACAGGTATATACCGCCGGGCAGTAGCGGCCGGACGGATGATGCGGATAGGCCGAGGAGACGGGAGCGGAGTCGTAGCAGAGAGAAGGAGCGCCATCGTGAGCGCAGCCGCGAGCGAGATAGGGAGAGAGGGAAAGACAAGGAGAGGGAGAAGGAGCGATCTGGGCGTGAGAGACCGCGTGAGACTGACAAGGAGCGTCGGCCAAGCAGCAGGGAAGGCTAGTACCCTATTCCGGCTTTTGCCAGCTTGAGATCTTGGTATTAGCATTTCAGCCCTACGTTCAGCCGATGTGTCAGAAAAAGAGCTTCGTGAGCCTCCAGATACCGTTGTAAGGCGTGCAGTCTGTGTGTGGAGCAAGTTCGCCTAAAGCGGAAGTCTGAGCTCCACCGCCATAGCGGACTACACCTACACCGGCCTCATGCACACGCATTCATCGTTCAACTGCTTTGTCAGCGTGGTACGGTGCTCATCCTTGGGGTATGGAGATGTACAGTAAGCAAGCCTAAAGCACTCGACGCGGACAATGTGAAAGCGTACAACCTGCGGGTTCACAAGGCCTTCGGTTGTAATCTCGTATCCGGGTTTGTTATCTACCCGCGAGCGTACCAACGATACTTGGCAGACAGACAGACTGTGCGTCCGCGACGTTATGACGGACGTGTAAGGCGTTCGATATAATACTACAGGAGCTGCACCATGACTACAGCTACCAACAAGCCGTGGGTACGCGGCCCACCGGCACGATATCGACTCGTCGATTGTACCCTTATCGATCCCAAAGACGGCGCAGTCCACCCAAGGGTAGTCGTCGACCTCAAAGATGGTATCGTTTCCCGCATGTCCAAGCTTGGCAAGTGGCCTTCGCCCGGAGACGAAGCACTGAGCTGGACCCAGGGCGAGGATATCCACGTTGTCAACATGGACGGCCGCTTCTTGTTGCCCGGTCTGATAGACTGTCATGTCCACCTCCAAGCCGCTCCAGGCGAGACGGGTCTCAAGGACTCCATCAATCAGGATCACGACACAAATTTGCTCCGTCAGCCTTATGTTGCCCGGGAAATGCTGAGGAGAGGCTTTACCAGCGTTAGAGACTGCGCTGGAGCTGGCCAAGCAATCAAAGAAGCCTTCGCCGAAGGCCTGTTTCCCGCACCGCGACTCTTCACATCTGGTCACGGCATCTCGCAGACTGGCGGTCATGGCGACCTCAGGGCCGCGAAAGACGCCGAGTATGCCTGCTGCGGTGGCAACACGCGCGGACTCGGCCGTATCGCAGATGGTGTCGAGCAGTGTCTTCACGCTGCAAGAGAGGAGCTGAGGTGTGGTGCTGACTTCATCAAGATCATGGTCTCTGGCGGAGTAGCGTCGCCCACTGACAAGCTGACGAGCCCGCAATACACGGCCGAGGAGATTCGTGCATTCACCAAAGTCGCAGCTGATGCCGGCACGTACGTGACCGCGCACGCTTACACGCCAGCATCGATACAGAACGCTATTTTGAACGGCGTGAGTGGCATTGAGCACGGCAATCTCATCGACGAGGCCACCGCCAAACTCATGGCTGAGCGAGGCGTCTTCCTCACACCAACGCTCATCACTTACAGCGCCATGGCGTCCACAGAATTCGCCGGCTTCTTGCCACCTGCGATAGCGGAGAAGAACTTCCAAGTACTCTCCGCTGGGAAGCGCAGCATCCAGCTAGCTGATGCCGCTGGGGTGACGATGTGCTACGGAAGCGACCTCCTAGGGCCAATGCAGGTCAAGCAGTCCGGCGAGTTCATGCTTCGCAAAGAAGCCGGGCTAAGCGCGCTCAAGATTCTACAGAGCGCGACTGTTAACGCGGCGCGGATGCTTCGACAGGAGGAGAAGCTGGGCCGCGTGAAGGAAGGCTTCTTTGCGGACCTGATCGTGCTCAATGCGAACCCACTCGACGATATGGAAGTATTGGCGCACCCAGAGCGGCATCTGCTTGCTGTTTTCAAGGAGGGTAGAGTGGTGGAGAGTCGCTGGTCAAAGCTGCCGAGCGACCTCGACCGAGTCTCGCTCATCGAATAGCAGCTTTTCGGCCGGGCAGCGATTGCGGGATCTTGGACGTCTTCCTGAATGAGGCAGATCTTGGGTGAACACTGTTCAGCGTGCCGGATTTTGCCGGACGGAGCCAAATACCATCCATCTCATCGCGAGAAGGGCGCGATTGGGTCCAAGTCCATGTCCAGACAGTCCAGCTTCCAGATCTCGACGTGCTCCGCTTCGCTCTTCGGCACCATGGTCACCTCTTTCCGCATCTCCACATTACCATCCTCAAGAACATGAGGGTAATTGCCACCAATCTTATACACCACATCACCAAGCCCAATCCATTGAAGTTGGTCAGCGCTGACCTTATACAAGTCGGCACTCAACATTGCGATGCGCTCTTCGTGAGAGGTCGTTTGCAGGTGCTCGGCCAACCACCCATTCATGAGGATCCGGCAGGCTTTCAGCTTTGGCAGGTATGGAACAAGCAGTCGGAAGACGGCGAAGTTGCTGTGAGTTAATGATAAACCCAGCTGCTCAAGGTTGGGACAATACCGGACCAATTCGGCAATTTCGTCCATAGTTAGAGCCCACTCTTCACGCAGCAGCAGATGTTGCATCGACTGCCCATGGTCTCGAGTGAATGTCTGCAGATAGTCCCTCCCGAGCTGCGCCATTTCTTCATCTCCGGTTGGTGTCTCGCTCGGCGTGATGGGTTGCTCCGGAGACAGAGTACCATCAGGCTGTCCAGATCGTGGACTGACGAAATACATACGCTCCAACCGTGCCAGATTCTTGCGGATGAGAAGGACATGCTGTGGCGCAACCTCGTTCACGCGCTGCACCCTCCAATACGTCTCAATATTCTGCGGAATATCCTTCCATGTATCGTCGATGTACACGTTTCGGGCATTGTTGCTACTGGTTCCAATCCCACCAAAGCAATCGAAGAAAGTGAGGCTAAGGAGGACGTGTGGCTGCATAACGAAATCCATGGCTGAAAGGTTGTTGCCGAAGTAATTCTGCATCGCAAAGTGCTTCAGATTGAGCCGGTAATGCGCCTTCTGACACCGGCCAAAGTAGGTCTGGAGACTGGAGCTGGGCTCGGCTTCCCTGCGCATCCGTGGTGAGAAGTGTATGCGCAGGTCCTCCAATTTGCGCGACTGCAGTAAAAGCAGGCTGATATCGTCCGGGTAACATAGCGGGTCGATGTCCGTAACCTTGAAGTAGCGCAGATTGGGTATGGGCGGCACCAGTACGCATGGCCGGGGTACTCTGCCACTCGGGAACCGCAAGGTAAGATTCGTGAGCGTGCTGTGAGTGGCCAGGCCTTGATACAGCGTCTTCAAAGGTTTGCAGTCCAATTGCCAGGCGAACTTCCCCAGCTTGATCATCTTGTCCGTCGACGCTCGTGTTAAAATATTCAACATCATACTGTTGTCCGGCACCCGGCCTTTTGCGAAGTCTTCTTGTCCAACCTCGCGCCAGTCACCGTAGACGCGGAACTCCTCCACCAGCGCTGCGTAGTTTCCCGTCAACAAACCATTGAGCGCCATGACGAACGGACTCCCGCCGCCAAAGCCCTCCGGCCGTCCATTGACGTAGCGAATGTCCTGGTAGGAGTGGAGGTTCACCCGCTTGTAGAGCTGTGGCAGCGTCATGTAGTAGAGTAGCCGGGACGCTCGACATAGCCTCGCCAGATCCCCGAGGTCGTCGAGGTACGCTGTGATGAGCGCGATGAGGTTGAGAGGCAGCTCATGTTGACTGGTGGAAACGGGCGAGATATACTGTACGAATCGTGGGACTTCGTTTGCGATGTTCTCCTGCGCTTGAACGTTGTCGCGCAATAATTTGGCCATGGTTCACTCGTGCGTCGCGTGGCGCTGCGTCCTTTAGATTTCCAATCATGCGAACACCATCTCTTTGGTTTGATGCCCACGACATTAGCCTCACCTGTTACCAGAGCAGGCAATGGTCGCATTCGCATTTGAGCCGTTGACACGTGGGACTGGCCGCGGACTTCGACGCCAGCGCCCGCCAACTCGAACGATCGCCAATCGAAGTCATGACGATCACCTGCTTTGTCAGAGGCTTGCAGTATTCACGTGCAAGACGCCAGACATGTTTGAACAGGAAACTGCTCGGACACGGTGTTGCTGGAGATAAAAGCTGCGTACTGGTCTGAGACTACGTATGGATGCCTCCCGCCAGCAATGGCTCGCCTCGTTCAGTTCTGCCCTGCTGTAATGCTTCGAATGGATATACTGACAACGCCATGCCAAAACTTTTCATCATCACCGCCATAGTGACTAGAGCCACCGCAAAGATATACCGCTGACTGAAACCGTGGAAACGATATACCGCTGATTGAAAGCAAAAGGGTATCTTCTCCAAGCACACATCCCGTCCGCAACGCTTCAGCCAGCGCCCGCAATGCCGCACATCGGCCGTTAATCATCATAGTCTGACCGAACTGCACACCTCAATTGTTGAGTGTGAGGTGCTCGATCTCCCCCTGTATGTTATTCTCATCGTAGAAATGCACACTCGTATGGTCGTTTTGATAATGTGGCGGACTAGCAGGCACATCCTCATACATAGGCGGCTGCTCGTCGTCCCAACTGATCCCCAAACCAGCACGCTCCGTAACGTTCAGGTTGAACTGCGTGCGCAGCACCCTAGCCGCGCCCGTCGGAGTCGCTTGGTGCGGTTTCTTGTTCGGAGCCCATTCTTCACTGATGACGAGTTCGAGAACGAGGACGTGCGAGATCTTCATGCCGTTGGCGGCTTCCATGTCGCACTGGGGTTGCTTGGAGCTGTCGATTGCGGCCATGAATTCGCCGTCGATTTGGCCGTCGGAGAAGTCGGTTTTCCAGCCTTGCTTGAGCTCTTCGGTGCCGACTTCACGGGAGCTTTCTTGCTGCAGACCTTTGCCTTCGCCTCCCACTTTGGCGGCGTGCTTGCTGCAAGCCGGGCTGACCATGGTTTCCTTCTCCTCGATGCGCCAGGTGAGTTTTCGCAGCCGCCAGCGCGTTTGGGAGTCGTCGTTTTTCGTGGTGATCCCCGTCATACGGCACGTCACTGGGAAGTCGCCAATGGGGAATACCACACTCGGTAGAGTGACGTGCAGCGTGAGGTTGGTAGGCGGGAAGATACGCATGCTGTTCTTGTCGTTACCAGGCCGCAGCGCGCGTTGAATGATGAGTTCCCGGCGATACTCGGTCTCCTGGCCGTCGCTTGACTTGGCACGCACGTGTAAGGAGTAGTCTATACTCCCTATCTGTCCGTGTGTTGTAACGGGAATGTGGCCAGGTATTAGATGCGAGAATGGCAGGTCTGCCGTGCCTTCACCGGCCTTAAATGTCTTTGGCTTGCTTAAGAAATTCCATTCGTATAGATCAGTAACGGTCTGCATGCATTCTCGGCATCGAGCCTCTACCGGCTTTTTGGTGGTCGTGGTACACTCCAGATACATGGTGATGCTGTTCATCACCACATCGCCGGTCTTGGGCGTAACGCGTAGCAAGCCGGAGATGAGAGCGCCTGATGACTGCTGCGGAATATCCTGGAACAACGCCGGAGGGGACTCGATAACCATGTCCAGCGTGACTGGCTTCGGGGATCCTGCAGGCTGCGACGTGATACTCATCCTATGCGCCGAGAGGTCTTTCGACTTGGACCGGTCTTTACTGGAGCGGTCATTTGAGCTGCCATGTCTCTTGCCGAGACCAGCAATGCTCGGCCGCTTGATGTGCATGTGCTCCATGCTTGAAGGGTTGACCTCTGCCACTGAATGAATGTTGTCGCTCTTGTGCGCGAAAGCGCCAGCATCAAGCTGTGGCTGAACACGCCTCACGCCGAAAAGCCTTGAGGGCATCGTTGAATTGGCGCAGGAGGCACGTCACTCTGCTCGGAGCTGCCGCCGCCACGGCGTATCAAAAATCTGGGGTGCAGAAGAAAGCGCGATCCGATGATGGTGATCACGGAAGGTACCGATGGCGAGCAAAAGCCCCTTCAGTAGTGTTGTGACAGGATGTTGATAAGGAAAAGAAGCAGCGAAGAATGTGTCTTGTAATGGAAGTGGGCAGAGAAGGACCGAAGCGGAGATGTGAGTGGTCCTGCAGCCTTTACGAACTGGTTTGGAGTCAAGTAGTGGAAACTATCGAGTAAGAGAAACATTATTGACCAGCGGTTCACCGAAAACGTGCGCTCCCGCACTCGCGCAACGCACCACCTTCATGTTCACTCATATAGCTCACTTAGCCTTTGGATTGCACTAGCCCTCCGAATGGCGATCACTTCTATTCACGGCTCCCCGTCAGCCTTCTTGCGGTCACAAACTCTTCTAAGCACCATTATGTGGCATTGACACGCTTGTCACGGGCTCATGCAGAGCTGAGATTCAGCCTGCGCTTACTACTCCGTTGCGCTTGTTCGAGCTCCATCTCCACATGGCTGGTCAGGCGGTCTAGAGACGTTGTTGAGTCTGTTGTTACGCCGCAACTCACAACGAATCGATTGTGTTCGAGGTCTATACGTACTCGCTCGGGAAGGGATCCTCGGCCGTTTCTGGCCGCCTCCCCGCAACATGACGCCTCTCTACAGTAAAGCCCGTTTATTGCTGGAACGTTGCACCGACATCGCATCTCCGTGGAAGACGGCATACTTGCGAGCTCGAAACTCTCGCATCGTACCAAAAGCACCTTGGTGCTCCTGACCGCCGAGGTGTACCGTGTACATTCTGCCACTACCAGCGCGTCGCGTCACGGTCGCCATTCTGTCGCCCTGCCGTGGTTGGCCGTGCCGAAAGGCCAGCAGCTTTGGATTGGCCGGCACAGAAAAGCTTTCGGGCAATTGATGTCTTACGCAATCCGCTCGGCAGCGGTCAGATGTCGCATCGGAAAACGCTCTTGGAGCGTCAGCCATTTACTTGGCGTTTCCGAGCTATCGGGCATCTCCGACGAGGAAGTCTAGCGCATTCGACACTCAAAGTCAATAGCACGACGAAGCATATGCAGGTCCGGCTCGTCAGTGTCGACACCTGTCAAGTGATACTTCCGTGTGAGCCATTAACAGTTCCTCAGCCAGGAATGCGTAGAATGCGCATCGCATTACCTCCCATAACCGCTTCCTGTGCCGGTTTGTCGGCCCGAAAGACGGCTTCAACAGCTTGCGAGTTCAGCTTGACGCTTAGCCATTCGTCCTCGCTTCCATTTAAGGGAGGGAAGAAAGGGTGATCCGTGCCTACCAATGTAAGTTGTTGAGCAACATTGAGTCTGCGCACACGGAGTACACATACCGAACATCAGTCTATCAGCGCCAGAAGCGTCGATTGCTGCCTTCAACCCAACATCCGCGTATATGACGGCGTCAAGGTAGACATTGTTTTTCAGCACATCCCAAACATTTCTTCGACTCTCAATTCGGCCGAGCTTCTTCAGATGCGCATCATGCGCGATGCAGCTCTCAATCCTACCGGCGAGAAAGGGAAGCGTGCCGCCACTATGAGCAATGAGGATGCTGAGCTTGGGAAAGCGATCGAATACTCCAGACAGCAGCATGCGTGCAACAGCTATGGTCGTCTCCATGGGGAAGCCCAGAGCCAACGGCAGCACATGGCCATAATCACTCGCCCTCTCGCCGTAGACGGATGTCGGCAGACCGTAATGCGGGTGCAGGAAGATGACCTGTTCGTGTTTCTCCAAGGCTGCATAGATTGGATCCAACGCCGGGTCGTCGACGCCCGTACCGAGTCCGGAAGTACCCATCACAATACCACGATGGTGTGGTAAAGATGCTAGACGCTCTACCTCCTGCACGACTTCGCGCGCTGGTGCTGACAGCGGTAGTGTTCCGAAAGCGTACAATTTGCCTTCGTGCTCCGCGCACATTCGCTCGACGTCGTCGTTGATCTGACGGGCCGTCTCTGCTGCTGTGTCGGATGGAAGGAAATCCAGCCAAGGATTTGCCAGTGACAGGACGGACTTGTCGATGCCGTGCCTAGATGCAATGAGCATGAATGCCACCAGGACAGTACCTGTTCGTCGCGGGTTTGAGTGATCTTCTTGCTTACACCTGCATGAACTTGAGCTTCTCATTGACGTCCCAGTACTCCCGACCAATTGGTCGACCTTTACTGGTTGACGTTGTCTCCTCGGCTGGCAGAATGACGAGGCGTTCGCCTGCGGCAGGATCTTGGGAGAAAGTCTTCACGTATGGTACTTTATTTCGCGACCGAAGTAGTTCCATGTACTTCGGCGGATACATGCTGGTTGCCGGCAGGAGTCAGTGTATTACTGCAATTACTATAATTTCTGACATACTGCGTGTGCACGTCAACAACAGGCATCTTGACTGTATCACCCGTTAAAGAAAGAGTCTCCCTAATGCGTAGGATGACTCTCTAGTATACTTGACATCTCACTTAGTGAAGTTGTACGTCTAATGCAAGAGTATAGGCAGACCTTATCGCTACCGGCCGAAGTGGGGCGCCTTATCATTCGTGACTACTGCTTTGAGCAGCAACATCAACCTCAACTCTGTCTTCCTCATATCAACGAACTCTGGACATATATCGCCACAATGCGTCCAGAAGCAGTAAGCAACGCGGTGTCCTCCGACGACCTCGATATACCGCTCATTGACTTCGCAAGCTTCACAAACGGCGACGCTGCAACGAGGAGGACAACGGCGCAAGCAATCCTCTCGGGCTTCCAAACAGCTGGCTTCATCTACTTACGAAACCATGGCGTGCCTAAAGCGGACGTCGAAACCGCATTCGCAGAGTCCGCAAGATTCTTCAAGCGTTCACCGACACAGAAGGAAGCCTTGAACTGGACTACTCCGGAGGCGAACCGAGGCTACTCCGGACCAGGACGAGAGAAGACGACGGATCTTACCGATGCCGCTGACATTGAAGCGAAGCGAGCAGAAGAAGGTGCTGATCTCAAGGAGTCGTTCGAGATTGGTCGGGAGGGCGAACCAGGCTTCCCGAACCAATGGCCTGACAAGTTCGACGAGGATGGTGTGCGCTTCAAGGAGCACATGCTCTCCTTCTTCGACAAATGCAAGCAGCTACATGTCGAGGTGATGCGATCGATAGCTGTTGGTACGCTTGTAAGGTTCCAAAGCAATACCTCGTTAGCTGACCGGCGCAGGCCTTGGTATTGATGAACAATGGTTCGATAAGTTCTGCAGCACCGGCGACAACACCCTACGTCTACTCCACTACCCAGCCGTAGACTCAAACGTCTTCCAGCAAAACAAGAACACTGTCCGTGCCGGAGCCCACACGGACTACGGCTCGATCACCCTACTCTTCCAGGACATGGCAGGAGGACTTCAGATTCTGTCGCCAAATGGCAATTTCGTTGACGCCACGCCGATCGAAGGCACCATTGTTGTCAACGCCGCCGATTTACTCTCCAGGTGGAGCAACGACACGATCAAGAGTACCAAACATCGCGTGGTAGAGCCTCCGACGAAGGCCGACCATCATCCCGCCCGATATAGTATTGCGTATTTCTGCAATCCGAATTTTGATAGCTTCATCGATGCTATACCTTCGACTTACGGTGATGCGAGGCCGAAGAAGTACGCTGGGATCAATAGTGGTGACTATCTCGCGCAGCGGCTTGCGGCAACCTATTAGCGGTTCGAAGAGCCTGGCATGCCAACTGCTAAGTCTATCGAGCTTACAACCGGTGAACGTCTAGTTTGCTCATGCTGAGACATGATGTAAGCATCCGGCAGCTGTCAGGAAGACAGCCGTATCCGCCCTGGAACTCCGCCCACACTTCGGCTAACGCTGCTGGACTGCGTTTGATCATAGCCAACAATGACGAGGCTACTTGTCGCCGGCGTTCTCCTCCGGACCGTCTTCACGAGCTTCAACCCTGTTTTGGCCCATTACGATCATATCCGATCCCTCCGGCTGGTCCACAACCCCACCCCCCTCACCACTCCCGCCCATGCCCTCACCCACCCCACCACCACCACCGTTACCCTCACCGTCTCCATCACCACCCCGCCCATCCATCCCCTCCACCCCTTCCATCTCAATCCCCGCCTCAGCCACAATCCTCCTCTGCTCCGCCCTCAACTTCGTCAAGCGCTCCTGAATCGCCTTGCCCGTCGGCTTCTCATCGAACCAATCCGCGATGGCTTGCGACTCCTTGCCGCTGGGATGACGGCCGAGGGCGAAGAGGAGCAACTTCCGATCGTTGTCGGCTGTCCATTTGATCCGCTGTTGACGGGCCGGGGGGGGAGGTTTGATAAAGCCGCCGGGTCGGTTGTTGGGGTGGTCGGAGGCGGTTGTGCGGACGGTGGGTTTCTTGAGGGGTTGGTTGTTGGTCTGGGCGGTTCTTGCTGACGGAGCTTGGCTGTCCATGTTGTTGAATTGCTTTGTCATGAGTTCCTGTACGGCGTGGAAACGATACGTAAGCTTGAAGCAGCAAGGACGCAGAGTCGAAGTTGTTGTGCTGGACGAAGAAGAACAAAGGGAAAGGGAGAGCTCTTGTTAGTCCCCATTTTGCACGTGAACGGAGCAAGTCTATGCTTCACATTCACATCACGTGCGTCTCGTGCCTGCTGTATCCAGACGCACGTGCGTCGTGTGCACCCATGGCATTCACACCCACCCACTCACGCGCACAAGACTCTCCAGCTCCCACCACACTCACATGCAGCTAGCTGCAGCACTTCGCGTCCCGACCCAACTCCAGACCATACGCACCACACGCACCACATCCACCTCCCCCACAGCCCACGGCAAACCCACCCTCATCCATCCATTACCCCCTTCTCAGCGGGCTCAAGCAAGCCAAACATGGTATATCAGTCGCCTTACTCGCCTTTCCCTCTGCTATCCACCACTGACGCAATCCAACCCCCCAAACAGAACAACCCGCCACCCACCCGTGGCAAAACCTGGCAACAAGCTCTAGACCACATGGCGGAATCGTGGCGCTTGCTCGTGGTCGCGGGTTCGCTGGAGAGTGCGAAGGAAGTAATGCAAGTGGGGAAACTGGCGTTTGGGGAGACAGGGTTTGTTAGTGCGATGGCGGAGGTGGTGGAGAGGGCGGAGGCGGGTAGGGGAAGAAGGGGCGAGCCGAGATCCGTGTAGGCCGGCTCGGTAGACAGTCCTCAGGAGTGTGGGTAACGAGCTGAGTCGGGTGGTTGAGTAGAAGGATTTTGACACGGGGCTAATAGTGGACTGACGACCGTGTCGTTCTTGCTCGATGTGCATGCGCGTGTGATCACCGGGAGGGTCGCGTGTCGCTGGGTAGGCCGATCTGGACCTAATACACAGCCTCGAGCATGCCGCTCGAGTTCTCAAGCTTCCCGGGCCTCCATCAAGTCATCGGATCATCAAACGCGATGAATCCATCATCCCGTTATCCCATCAGACCCATTACTTCATCACCCTATCCCACATCATCCCATCATAGTATCATCGCCATCGCCACCCGCACCCGCACCCTTACCCTCCTCAGCCGCCACACCCCTCCCCCTCCCCTCCAACAACTCCCTCCGCACCTCCGGCCCGATCTGCTTATGTCCCCGCACCAACAACAAATCCAACAACGCCTCGCGCTGGTCCTCCGTAATCTCGTTCTTATACCTCTGCGCAAACGCTAAGAGGCATTGATGCCACAACACAGGGAGTTTGCCGTGTTCGCCTGCTCCTGCTGCACCACCAACGCCTCCGACGCCGACACCGTTCCTCTTGCCCGGCGTGACTCCGCTCATGCTTACATCGTCTCCATCCCCATACTCAAGCTGTTGCGGCCGCACCGCACGAAAGCGCAAAAAGTGAAACACGAGCGCGTCCACCACGCGATACGGCAGCGCGTACTTCTTCTCCAACAGCGTGCGGATGAAGATATTGCACGCCCCCGCCGACTCCACATCCCGCATCATCTGCTCCGCCGCAATCTCACACAACCGGTACAACGCCGACGCCGAATGCAACACGGGGATCGACACGCGCGCCAACACGGACCCGACGATCGTCGCCTCACGCACCGTACAACTCCCCGACGCCACGAGCGGGAAGAGGAACCCGCGAAAAAACGCCGCGGGTTTGTACAAAGCCTTCTTCAGCGCTTTATACAAATGCACGTTTAGCTTCTTGGTCTCGTAGATGTCCTCCCTCACCCGCGGGAGCAGGATATCACTGCAAAATGCCTGTGCGAGGGCAGGGCGGGAGGAGACGAAGAGTTTCGTGGCTTCGTAGACGGCGTTCGGGGTCCAGGTTTCCGGGCGGGTGATGGAGAGGAGGGTGTCCCATTGGGGCAGGGTGGGGAGGATTTTGAAGGGTTTGGGGAGTTTGCCGGATTTGTAGCGGGAGAGGAGGGTGCCGATTTGGGTGTAGACTTCCACTACTTTGGCGGGGAGTTCGATGGCGTCGGAGGGGTCGCCGCCGCCTTGGATTTGGATTGCGGGTAGGGGTAGTCGGTCTCCGCCCGCTTGTTGCTGTTGCTGTTGCTGCGCTTCGTGTGCGGCGATCTTCTCGAGGATGATGTCGGCCAAGTTCGTGCCTGGTCCTGATTCTGCCGGCCCGTCGTCTAATTCGTCCCGTTTGGGTTGTAATAGCGTTGCGGGGTCAAAGGAAGGGTTGAAGCGGTTGAAGGTCTCTAGATCTTGCGGGTCCAGTTCGATCTCCTCCACTTCCTCCCCTTCGGAACCCCACGCCGCTTCCTCGTCGTCGTACTCGCCCAGCCGCACCCCGGCGTGTTCTTCTTCGTCCTCGTCGCTGACTACATCACGTGGGAAGCGGCTTTCGAAAGAGAAAGCGGTGCCGGGTGGTGTGGGTTCGCTCGGTTTCCGCTCCGCTTCATCTTCCGCCGCCAAGTCTTGGCCGAGGTCCAGGATGCGTCGCGAGGCTTTGCTGTCGACGTACCCGACCGCTCCTTCCTCCTCACCATGTGATTGTTTCCGCTTCTTGCCCGCTTTCTGCTTCAGTGGGGCGGATGGGGAGTACTCTTCGCTGAGTGGGTTGTGGCGTCGCTCTTGCCGTGCGACTGAGTTGGACCGCGCGGATTTCGGCATCGTGTTTCAGATCGGCAAGCGCGTCTGATGAATTACATGTAATATGACAATCGGAATGCTTCATCTGGATCTTGAATGGGGAAGGCGCATCGCTCGTGGAAATTCTGACCTTCAAGCCAAGATTTCGCCCCACTTCGAAGCGGACCGAACTCCGTGACTGCGGAAGGGCAAGCTTGACTGACTCGCGTGTGTATATACACGTATATGTCTGCATAACAGCTCAATTCATTCACCACATCACATCCCTTACCATGGCAGAAGGAGAGATGCGCCCCTTCTCGCCCGCCGCCGCACATCCCATCCCACTCGACCACCACGCGCCCGCCGTCGCCTCACCACTCAACCCCTCCAGCACCCGCGCCCCCTCCCACACCACTCCCGCCCCCACCATGCACCGCGAGCCCCGCGAGAAAAAGGACTCCCTGAAGAAGCGCGAAAGCAGCAACCCCCACACCACCGCCTCCACCGCCCTCGGCAAACGCAAAGCCAACGCGACCCACGCCTATCCCTCTCCGCAACGCTTCAACGTGCCCCCACCCAAGTCCACCGACTTCGAGCCCCCCAAAGAAGACATCATGGTCGCCCACGAACCCACCCCGCTTACCATGCCCGACGGCAACCGGCAACTCTACAAACCCATCGATCTCGCCGAGAACAAGCGGGGATACCGCTACAGCCGCGCCATCGCCGACCCCTTGTTTCCGCATAAACAGTACTACCGCTCCACCTCCCCGCCACCTCACTACGCACGGCTGAGTTTCGAGGACGCGGATAAGTGGATGCATTTCACCACCAACGCACTCATCACGACGAATGAAAAGGGGTGGAGGATGGTGCGCAGCAACGTGTGCGCGAGGGAGGGGACGTTGTATTATGAGATTAAGATCCACCGGGGTGTTCCTCCCTCCGGTCCAGCAGATACCACATCCTCCGATGCTGCAAACTGCGGTCCACAACCCCACGTCCGTTTCGGCTGGGCACGGCGTGAAGCCCCCCTCGACGCGCCAGTAGGGTTCGACGGGTATTCCTACGGCATCACCGACCTCCGCTTCGAACCCATGCATCGCAGCCGGCCGAGCAAATTCTACCACCCCACCCCCAAGAACAAGAAAACAAAAGGCTCCAAACCTCTATCCGGCGCGGGAACAGCACCCCCACCCATCCAGCTCGCACCCGAAGACGCCCACGTCAAAGAAGGCGACATCATAGGCCTGGAACTGCAACTCCCCTCCCTCACCCTCCACCGCAAGATCGTAAGCGGCGTCTACAACCCCGCCGTCGATATCGGCGACGGCTTCGACCAACCCACACATACCCTCGAACCGGGTGCGGAGAGTATGGATGTCATCCGCGACCGCATCCCCGTCGCGTACAAGGGGAATAGCTACTTCGAGACGCTCGATCACGTCTCCTCGAAACCGATGGAGGTGTATGCGGATCGGCAGACGAACCTCACCAATCTCTCCGGTAACGCGCCGAATGGTGGCGGCGGCGGCGGCGGCGGCGGGACGGGAGGGAATAAGGACCCCGCCTCTCTGCTCAAGACGGCGCCGAACCCCAACCACGAACACCCCTCCCTCCGCACCCTCCCCCACTCCGCCATGCGGGTGTACAAGAATGGGAAATTGGTCGGCACGGCTTTTGAGAATGTACTCGCGTTCTTACCGCCTGCGAGTGTGCCGAGTAAGACGATGGGGGCGAGAGAGGGGTTTGATGATGGGGTGGTGGGTTATTTCCCCGCCGTTTCGTGTTTTTGGGGCGGTATCGCGGAGGTGAATATGGGGGATGGGGTGGGTGGGTTTTGGGCGCCGCCCCCTCATCTCGCCGTGAGTAGGAGTAGAGATGCAGCGCGTGACGGGCAACTTGCTACGAATGGTAGTGGTCCGGACGTGCAAATGGCCGATGCGGGTTCGCGGGTGGATGGCAGTGGGGTTGATGCGAGTGGGAGCAAGAAAGGCTGGAACCCTGGTCGCCTGTGCCGGGCGGTGGGGGAACGGTATAAAGAGCAGATCGCCGAGGATGTCGTGTGGGATGTCATTGATGAAGTTGACTTCTTCATCCAGGACGGCGGGTATGAGGGCACGGTGGGCTCCGGGGCTGATAATGGTGGTGGTAGTAATGGTGTTGTTAGTACTCGGACTGGGGCGGGGAGGGTTAAGGAGGAGGAGATGTAGCAGCAGTATCCCCCATCACCTCATACGAGATTTCGCTGGAGTGGCGTGAGTGTGTGTCTTAGCCTGCTGCTGCGGCTGCTGTAGTAGTAGTCTGTGGAAGTGTCCGGATACACCCATAGCACAATCTGCTCCTCTCCGGCGCACTTTGGCCGTCCAACAAGGGTGCTTCGCACAGCTCGCAGTGCGGCTCCATCCCACTCCCCCTCCCGTTCAGCGCAGATGTGGTTGTTCGTTTCGGCAGGCGTAGTTTCCCCGCGGTCTTGACCACATTCGCCACGATGGACGGGTATTCTTGCTCCACGGATTCGAAGTACTGCGTCATCAAGTCGTCGATGGTGACGTTCTTCATACTCACCGTCTTTCCTGCGCTCGAGGTTGAACTTAGGTCCTGCACGACACAATCATCCAGCGCCGGCTCAATCATGCCTGCATAAGCAACGACTTCCTTCCGCAGTAAATCCCGCATGGGGAAGTAAAACGGCACACCGTACACCGCCTCAGCATCACCGTCCGCCACGGTGGTGGGGACGGCGAAACCACGCCCTTTGGCCGTTTCGGAAAGCGTGCGCTCGGCTAGCCGCGTCGTGCTGTCGCCCCAAAGGATGGCTTCGCAGGCGTGTTGGTTGGCGTGGTGCACGATCAGGCGGCGGAGGAGGAGTTGGGTGAGGTCTTGACGGGAGGTTGGAGAGGTGGTGAGGGTGTTTAGGGCGGTGGCGAGATCTTCTTCTGCGGTGGCGTTTGTTGAAGCGGTGGTGATGGAGGCGGGTGAATTTCGGTCGAGCAGATGCCGTACCCCGTCCGACTCCATAACATCGGAAAGACGGCGAGAGGAGAATGTATGCCCGTCTTGGGCGTACCGCTCCTGCACCCTCTCAAATCTCCTCCGCGCTTCCTCCTCGCCACCCTCCCTGTCAGCAAGTGGATGATGGACAAACAGAACTTCCAACCCGAACCCCCTCCGCCCCGTCCTCTCCCCCTGGCCCCTTAAGTGCAGACTCAACACATGCAGTAGAACGGTTGAACACGCACCCAGAGACAATGGTAATAGCAACGTCCGGACTTCACTAACACCTGGATCGGAGTGCCGGACTCGAAAGCTTTCCATGCGTTTGATGATTTTCGTGGAGATGTATTTGGCGAAGCAGGCGGTACACAAAGGTTCAGTCCGGACGGTGAGGGTTGGGGGTTCGGTTTGGCAGCGGCGGCAGAGGCACGGGTCTAGGGGCGGTTGGGGGCGGCGGCCTGGCATGGTTTTTCTTCTTCTTCTTCTTCTTCTTCTTCTTCTTCTTGATGATGTGGCGATGCTTTGGAAGGAATGAGACTCTTACATTAGTTGGGTGGACGGCATCCTGGCTCTTGTATCTTTTATGGAACTTGTGTCCTGATGTTGCAAGTTGGGATCAGTTTCGAATCGTGATATGGTAGGGTCAATCAACCGTGAATGTAAGAGTAGAAAATGTGGCAGGGTCCAAGTTCACTAGCCTGTCGTGCCTTCCCGTATGCGGTAGGCAGCATTTTGCTATACAGTTTGTACCTTCACGTACGCTTGTACATATCAAGTTGGGCCTTGACATTCGGTACAATCGACAATCTACAACGGTCAAAATCGATCATTAAATGCACGTCGCCAGGAACATCAGCTTTGAAACATCGCCGGGCAAACGATGGAAAGACGATACGGCGACACAATTCGCATTGATGGAATCTCATCATTCATATTCGTACATGCTTTCTGATGCACGGCTCGTTGGCCAACGGCAGAGTTCCACAAGTCTCCTGCTCGCGACATCGCGACGATCACGTATCCCAGCGAGACCGCAGGCCCAAAGCGTCCCTTCAAGCAGAAGAACATGAGGAACATAATCTGGGTATCCGCACGCATCATCAAAAACGAGCAGAATGGTCCTCTCAAAGCAAACGAGAGTCAACAAACCCACCATCCGTCCCATGTCAAAGCAGAAAGCCAGCGAAACCCACCAACCCAAGCATCACAACGGCACTCGACAGCGAGTGCACAACCGAACCCGTACCAGAGTTCTGGTTAACTTGTGTGTCGAACGGGCTGCCGCCGCTTTGACCGTTGCCGCCGTTGGCGGTCTGTGAGCTGCCTTGGGCGGTACTGGTCGAGGTCTGAGCGATCGGTGAGCTGGATGTGTCTATGACCAGTCCGGTGGTGCTTGTTGATTGCGCGGATGACGGCGGCGTCGTCGTCGTCGTCGTCGTCGTCGTCGGTATTGATGTTGTTGTTTTTGATATTGACGATGACATCGAACTTGAGGATGAAGTCGTGCTTGACGATGTCGAAGAGCTCGCGCTCATGCTCGGACTCGTACTCGTACTCGTACTCGTACTCGTGTCCAAATTCATCGTCGCAGACGTCGCTGTCAACGAACTCGCAGTCATCGTACTACTAATAATCGCCAACGTGGCCGTCGTCGAGGCCGTACTCCGCACCGTGACCGTACTCTTCTGTGCCGTCGAGCTAGGAGTGCTAGACGTACTGCTCGAGGTCGCTGAGGTGAAGGTGGCCGACGGCGCCGGCGCCGGCGCATTCGGACATATCGCCGCGGCGCCTTTGCCTATTATGAACGCGCCGAGTATGTTATTCTGGTCGGATATCGAAGCGCATGCGCTCTGGACTTTCGGTTGGAGTGCGCCTAGCGCGGAAAGACAGTTTGAGCTGCAGCCGCTCGTGCCTGTGAAGTCGGCTGGTTGGCAACCGGTGATGGTGCTGGTATACACGTTCTGACATGCTGATGGTAGACTTGTCACGGTTGGGGGAAAGTCCATGAGCGATACGGCGAGGGTTGCGGCCGGGAGCGCGAGCAGCGCTAGTGTTGATCGTTGTGCGCGCATTCTGCCGGTATCGTGTCGTTTGACGGTACGCGATGTGTCGGAGATGGCGCTATTGATGTGGACTCACTCGCAAGGTGGTGAGAGCCACGAGGCTGCTCAGGTTTGCACTCGTGGTGTCAGCCAACACAGAGCCGGCTGCGGAAGGATTACGCTGGCGCTGGTGGGAAGGCAGTGACTGTGAGCTTGCGGGATTGGCAGCCAGGCGCAGGCGCATGCACAATGCGGTGGTCGCGCGGAAGCTGCTACACTCCCTCTTGCGTGCAACCTCTACACACTCAACCGGTCTCCGCACCTCTTGCCGTCTCCTTCTCGAGCTTCTGTCGTGTAGCCCCAGCACGTCGCACGCAGACAACTCCCAGTGCGCCGCCTTGCACGCGCCAGCAGAGTTCAAGCGAATGGCAGTGTTTATTATGTCTTCGAAATGAACGACTACCGCCGGCTCCGGGCTGCAAGGCGGGCGATGTAAAGTCGAGCGGACGCGTGGAAGGAAGGAAGGGAAGGTGGTGCTCGTGTCGGCAATGTCAGCAAGGAACGGAGTGCAAGGAGCGGCACTGCCTCTCTTCCTGCGCGTGAGCAGCTGTCCCCACAGTTCCTTGGGTCGATGGTCAATCGCGATGGCCGTCAACAACACATTGACTACATGAACGAGCGGAGAGGGGGGAGAGAGGGTCGTTTGTATAACCACCCCGCTGTCACGCGTGTGAAAAGAATTACTGGATGAGACGACCGGGGGGTTGATGGCTCTCGTGCCTGACATCAAACATTGGTATCAGGTTGGCGCTGCGGCCGCGGCTGAGCAGCCATTGGTCGTGGGCGTGCGTGACTGGCGTTTCAGGTTAGATATGCGGTCTAGCCTAAAACTTACCCCATCCCGAAGGTCTAACACTTTGGTAAGATAGTCGCATGGACGGTTAGACGGTCGCTTCACTGGCACATGTACGCGTGAGTATGGCGACTACGTCTCGACCAGAACGCATTCGCCTGCTTCCGGACTACGGCGGTCGGGTAAGCAGATATTACAAAACAAATCTTCGTGACTGTACGCCATTCCGTTCGGAGTGAATACTTTGTTTCACGGACCTACGTAATCGCTACTTGACATCGTAGTAATGTCCCGAGAGCCTTTCAGCCATCCTCGGCCGACTCATACAGGCACTTCGCCTGGCTTGAATTGGAGCGGGACGATAGTGTCGCACCTCTATCTCACCCCTTAGTCTCGACCATGGTCACGGCTGGGCAACAGCCTCCAGCTGGCTTAGCCAGATCGCCTCCAATAAACTACCATTCCCATGCAAATCCGCTTGAACGCGACCAGAACGCTGTCAACAATCGCCCCATCACACGTATTTATACAGATCTGATAGTCTGCTCCATCATTGCTGCGGTGGCACGTGCTGCTGCCGTGCATTGGCAAAAGAAGGCCACTGATGTATCGGCGTCATCGGCTGATGTTGATCCCCATTGAGCCATACATTCTGCGCGATGTACGGCAGTCGACCCGACTGTAACTGCTGTCCCGACTTTGCGAGCGGCTGGTAATGCATCTGAGCGTGTTCCACAGGGTGCGGCCGTTGATGCAGAGCAGATGACGGCGGAGGGTATAGCAGTGTGGAGAAGTTCTGCACGGGTCGGTAGGGTGAGTTTCGCTGTTGCAGGAAGTAAGTTGGGGAGATTTGGTGAAGTGGTTGCAGCGAGACGGCACTCGATGGTGCCATATCTGCTGGTGAATCGGCGGCTGAGCCTGGGTATGGACTGTGTTGCCTGGATTGATACTGAGAGGACAGCTGCGATGGAGGCTGTGAAAGCGGTCCTGCTCCGAAACTACTCGCCGGTGGATACACCATGGCCATCGCTCTGGCAGGGACGTTTAATGGTGGGAGCTGCTGCAGGTGAGCAGATGCTTGGCCTTGGCTCCGTGCAGGTGAGGTAGTAGCTGGATTCATCAGACTCGGCAGGGTCAAGCGGGGCGCTTGCTGGCCGGTAGCAATTGCTCCGGCAGTGGTAGCGTACGTCGAGGGGAAAGCGGTGGTCTTTGAACCGCTCGCAATACGCTTCGCTGGCGGCTCTGTTAGTTGATCTTCGTGGCTTCGCTTGCGTCTGTTCTGCACCGCAGAGTGCGGTTGTGGCAGCCTGGCCAGTGGCGAGGGCACAGGCGTGATGCCAGACAATGCAGCACCCCCATAAGCTGGCTGCGCCACGTCTGACGAGTACGGTGGTGAAGCTTGGTTCGAAAAGGGCGGTGATGGCAAAGCTGCTGGCAAATAGAGCGAGGAGCTGGGTGGTAGTATAGGCGCCGGTCTGTTGGCTGGCGGCTGCGGCCTCGTTGCATTCTCGAAGAAGGCAGCAAATTTGCCAAGTAAAGATTGCCATCTCGCCCAGTCGTCCGCGGACGTGAAAAGGCAGTACTTCATATTGCTAAGGAATTCCACTTCCATGATGTGAACCTCAGCCACCACAATCCCAGACACTTCAGCCCAGGTCTTGTTCGTGTATGTATTATCGTCCAGAAACTTGTTGCCAAGCATCAAAGCAACAGTGAGAAGGCGATACTCGCTTCCGGGCTTGCCTTTGACTGTCGGATTAAGCTTCTTTAGCCGGTAGATGAACAACAGTGCCAGAATGACCACATTCTGCGCCACCAGTGTGGTTGACAGAATCGTTGTCACCCACTTAAGAAAGCCAGTAGTGGGCTTTGCATCCAAGACCAACGCTCTGGAAGGCTGCAAGCCTATCGGTGCGTCCTCCACAGCCTGCAACACATCCGCTGACTCGAACCAGAACAGGCACGTAATCTGGGCAGCTAGTACAGACAGACTGCCGCCACTGTCGTTCACAGATTTGGGGATCTGAAATGATGGTGCAATCGCGTTGGCCTGGGATGACCGCATTGACGAGCTGCCATCATCGAATACCGGTTGTCGTGGTCCAGATACAGGTGAGAGTGGTCGACTGCTCGCCTGCGCAGCCGGTCCAGCTCGGTGTTGGCTCGTATGAGCTACTTGGGGAAGGTAGGGTGCTACCGCAGCTGTGTACGCTTGCTGGCTCGGAGCATGATCGCCGTAATGGTACCCATTCTCTTGTTTGCTGTAGCTGGGCCTGCTGTTGCTGGTGGTATGTGCAACGCCATTCATATCCGGTGGAGGTGTAAGTTCCCTAAGAGAGTCGTGCCGTGGAGGGTAGAAGTTCCACTTCCTCTCGTGTTGGTAGGGAGCAAAAGGATCCCGGAAGTGGACGGCCGAGTCGGCGTACATATGGTGCGGTTGTAGTGCGGTGGTGGTCATGGAGGGTGGAGGAGAGATGAGGTTAGCTGAGGCGGAGGGTGGATTGCTTGGTCGTCATGGGAGAAGAGAGCACGAGGAAGGAACGGCTCAACAAGGTGTGGAGAAGGTGTTGTTGGGCAGTGCCCGGATGAGGTGAGTAAGAAGGAAGGAACGTCAACGGGGATGGGTTTGTTGACAATGCTCACGCAAGGGTGAGCTGCAGAGGTATGCGACTGAGCATGTACTCCACGGCACCGACTCACGCAGGCGGCAGCATGCCTATTTCGATCAAAGAGAGGGGATTGTGTAGAGTGCAATGTACTAGCGCCATAACCGACGAGGTCGTCACGACGTTTGGGAGCGTGAGCGAGAGCCATGTGAACCAGGCGTCGGCAGCCGAAGCGTAAGTGCTGGTGCGTCGTCGAGCCACCTCCCGCTGGGTCCCTGCAAAAGTCAAGTCAATCACAGATCCCAGAAGAGGCTGCCGGTGATCCCAATGAATGATGGAAGAAGGGAACGCCGCGAAAGCGTGATGTAACTAGCGAAAGGGAAGGCAAGACTGCTAGCCTCTGCCGGATCGCGAGCCAAGGCAAGCGCGCTGGACCCAGAACGCTGCCCGCCAAGCAAGTTCGTTGTTGCATCGTCCCACTATTATTGCCGCTGCAAGCCGCGGATGCTGACCATGCGATTGGTATGCAGCCGCAGCACGTATTACCTGCCTCTGCGGTCATCACTACTTCTTCGGCCTGCGAGTGCTCGTGATTGGAGGGTTCACATTCAGACCGCTATATGTCTCACGGCTGCACGCCCAATCCTCCCTCAGTGAACGTTGTGTAGCAGCCGATGACACCAACGTTGACGAACCATCGTGCCATCGGTAGAGTCAGGGAGTGTCCGTTCAAGGAGCGACTCGCCGGCCCGCTAATGCGATACCGAGAGTGTGCGTAGATGAAAATGGGTGTCAGATGCCGCCACAACCTTGACGTGAGCAGGCTCGCCTGTGCATGACCCGCCTCGATAGACATGCATTTCGCACGCCACGTCGCCGTGCTGTCTCAGTTACAGGCAAGTCCCGCCCCAAGAAGCTCCTGGAACGATTAGAATCGCTCCTTGAGCTCGGCAGCCAATGAGCGGCGGGCTGATGCGGGCTTGATGGTGGATTCACCACGCAGACGGTACGTCTTTCCCAGCCCGCGTCAGAGCGCAAAGGCAAAAAGTCTCCCCTCCTTTCTGCTCCGATCGGGTACAAGAATAATCGCTGCGCTGCGCACCGTGTCCGTGTCATGGTGTCAAGCCTGGCTCCACTCTGGAGCTTCCACTAGATCAGACATGACCTCCTGATATGCAAACGTTGCAACATTGTAAGGCGCGCCACTGCGAAGGATGCTTGCTCCACGAAGCAATCAGGCATCTTCGGGTCATCTCCTGTGGTTGAAGCGGGCCCAGGATGAGACGTCCGAACACGTGAACTAAGTAAGGGATCAGGGTCAGGCCGGCGTGCTGATTGATGATGACCATTCCGCAGCCCATCTGCCATGCGGGATGGATTGGATCGTTTGCTCAGCAATCAACAATATGCGGCGGCCTATTTGCCAGCATCCGTAGTGGAAGGCTACAAGCGCACACCATTTTACACGGTGTGCGCCACAGCCAAATTCCCAATTTTCGCCTCCGTCAGGGCTTGCCATCACAGTCCCGATCAATGCTTATGAGACAGAATATGCATGAGCAAACCATCCGCGCAAACACTGCAGGGTTGGGCCGCGCCTTGCTGTGCACTATACGAGTACGCGGTTCGATGCATGTTGGACGGTTGTTATACACATCCCCATAGTAGCAACCTTACTATCAAGCGCCTGCCCGATTGGCGAAATGCACATCGCCGGGCTTGCTACGCTTGTTCGCCGTGCAGCACACTTCTCAGCTCCGCACGCGTTGGTAGGTGCGACACTCTGACACGGGTACGATCGGCGGCGACAGAGGTTGATAAGACGCATCCTTGTGCACCGCTGTAACATGCCGAGGAATACCTAGTCTCACCCACAAATGCATGCATGGTGAGATTGACGCCGATCTGTGGGCACACTCGCGTATGAGATAGCGCCAGTGGCAATGCAAAGCAATTTCGCTGCACATCAGCTGTTCCTTCAAGCCATGGCCGGTTAATCAATATACCTCCTCGTCAGGATGAGCATTTGGACTAGCGCCGGATCAACACGCAACTTCGCACGACTCGGCGAGTCTTGTTCGATGCACCTTCGCCGACGCTACGACAAAGGGTCGGTCTGGTACGGCGTAGGCGGCCAGGCACTGCTTCATCATGGCTGCACCACTCCTGCAGCGGTCAAAAGATGGGCGAAAAGGCTTGCCGAGAGTGGCGTCTAACCGGAATTGTGCATATCTTGGAGGTGCAAGCGAAGTGATTCGCGTCGGCGTACATCAAATAGTAAGGTTTTGCGTTGGGTCAGATAGTGTACATGGAATGCGTCGTGCGTCACGGATACGGCGCGACCGTGTTCATCATGCTGCGCAAGCATCTTACTCTGTGTCCGCGTAAGTCACTGGTCGGAGACGGAGCTGCTTGTAGCTCAAGGCTGGAGGATTTCAACGGTTGGGTGGGGACTTAGCGATCCGAGGACCACCGCACTCGAACGGGTCAACTTCGTGTCAATTCGTCAGCTTGCCTCGTGCCTTTGGCGCATCCGAGACCTCCCCTTTCCTAGCGAATGGGCCGCTGCAAGGTGGGCAAGCTTCGTGTAATGAGACGGACAAGAAAAGGACGATGAAGCGTTCTTCTCCTGACCCGGCAAGGTGCGGTCAGCAACGTAACGCTCATCGTCAGATGCCGCGGACAGCACGGAAACCACTCCGAACAGCTCTCCTCCCATCCAGCTTTCTGCCTGCCCGTTTGCATGTATACGCAAGCTCAAGGGCTTTGGTGGCGCAGGCTGTCCACTTGCTGTTTGCCCACTGGGCAGCTACGCCGGCCCACATCCAGTCTATTAGTTTAATGGAGCGTATATGTGTCACATTTGTTCCGTTTCGTGGCTAAATGGTCTACCCTTGCGAAACCAGGCCGTCAGGCCGCTGATGATCTATGTTCGGGAGCACCGTATCCGTGCAGGGAAAAGCAAGATGGCTACCTGAGCTGTTTGCAAACGTTTACTGCAGCGGTCGCTTAACTAGAGAGTATCCAGCGACGTTTCAACGGTACTTGGCGCGTGGTCGCCAATAGACTGCGGAGCACGCTTGATATCGAGGCAGGATTCAGCAATCCTATCGCCCTTGGCAACTATTTGGCTTTCGTCGTCTCCGTAGGCTTTTTAGGGCTGCCGCTCAGGTGTTTACCTTCACTGCGCGGAACGGCGTCTGGCTTTGGGCGAGACAGGTCGATTCGCTTCGTTTGCGGGGCTAAATACACGCTCCAATGATTGAACAGGCGGTCAGCCAGCGGCTCAGGACAAGACGGGCAACCACCACCAGCGGAACTTCATGATCCTCCTGACAATGGACGGAACACGACAAACCTCTTGGGCCGATCAGTTGCCATTGGGTGGTTACTGCGTTACTTCTGCATGTTGGTAGTAGGTGGTGTGTATGCCTTTTACGGACGATTAGCTTTCCACCACTCTCCGGCAAGTACAGCAACTGGCACGTCCGTAAGTTCGTGTTGTGGGAATCACGGCTACTCCTCTGCCGGTACTCTCCGGTCGAAATCCTCCATCTCCTTGCCACCGTCTCCCACAAAACCAATTTTATCACGATTGTCGTCAATGATGCGACCATACTCTAGCAGCAGCCGAAATAGGTAGATCTCAATGTCCTCACGCCTGAGCACTTTGGCCGCCCATTGACGGCCTTGCTTTGCGATCTTGTAGGCTTCATAATCATGCCTCGGCACCTCCAAGTCATGGTTCGTTGAAGGCACAGAGAATCCAGCTTGGCTCATTGCTGGAGTGGACTCTGAAGGGTAGCCAATGAAGTACGTAAGTAAGCTGTACAGCTCATTGAAACGGTTGTCCATCGGAACGAAATGTCTCCACGCCCAGAGACGGCTGTCATGCCATTCGCGGAAGATGGTGGACTTGATGCCCAGGCTGCGTGACTGCAGGAAGGCTCGCCAACGGCCAGAGAAGGAGTGGCCGTCTACGTCGATAAGGTATTTCGAAGCAAAGGTCTGAGCAAACGTTGTGGGTTCCAGTACGCGAAAGGTCTCGTCGTAGAAGTCGCAATTGGGAATACAGGCAATCTTGGCGGAGAACCCAACATCTGTGTGTTTGCTGGCGAAATCTGCGGGCTCAAAGCTGTGTGAGTGGTAAGTGCCTTGATCGCCATTGACCAGCGTGAGTATAGCGGTAGTCTTTCCAGCAAGTTCGCTTGCATTCGTGAGCATGACAAGACGCTGTCGGTGCATCGGCCTCCACAGCTCAGGCTTGTCTTCAAACGCAGTTCCTCCGCTGGTGACACCACGCCAGGGCATCATGTCCTCCTTGTCATCCCAGCTAATGTCTTGACTGTCGTCGTACTCGTAACGCTTATCATGTCTCCAGTACATGTTCGCTGGGAAGAGGATCTCATTGTTGACATTGAGCTTACACTCGCCAAACAGCGGCACCAGCTTCTGCGTGGCAAGCGTCGAACTGGATGCAAACAGCATACCATGCAGACCTGAGAGTTGCGGGCCCACCGTGCAAAGATCTGAGGACCGGTTGAAGTTGGTTACAAACCCGCCAAGCTCATGTTTGTAGCTCGCCTCTGCTTCGCTTAGATGCGTCATGGAGTTGACATTGCGCGCATACGATTCTGGTGGACAAGCTTTAGCTGCAAGGTCCATGTACTGCCTGCCAGCATACCAGAACCAGCCGTAATCCGGAACCGGGTCATCTGGGTCTTCGACATGTTCAACCGGGTACCAGAATGGGTTCCAGTGATAAAGCCAAGAACCTTCCGGGGGCGGCGGCTTGCGCTCCCAGAAGCCAGACATGTTCTTCGTAAAGCGATCCGTCACTGCTGTTTCCTCAAGCGAACGAGACTGCTCTTCAGCTCTCAACATGTCCTGCATCTCCTCCCATGGCACTACGACCCGCGGCTGGTCCATTCTATTGATGGGTATGTCCATGTCCGGAAGCCAGCGGCCTATACGGCTTAGCATCTTCGTGAAGGTTTCCGACCTCCAACCCCAGAGTTCCTGGAATACCTGTCCGTCGCGCAAAGAGACAACTGCAGTGCCATGGTCGCGAATGTCCGAAGCGTGAGCGGCGTAGTGCCGAATAACATAAGGCGATACAGCCCAGAATGGCCGGAGGTCGTCCCATATCTGATCGAAGTCGTCGACGTTGTGTACCTGGCGCTTTCTGGCAAACTTGTACCACTGCCTCGTGTCAGAACCCTTTGCTTTTCAGACTGATCAGACAGATTGCCTACCTCTTGGAACCGAGGCGGAGGGTGCCTTCCATACTTCCTCCGGTACTTCCTGACTGTTTCCTTGAAGGTCTTACTGCGATCATGTTCCCGCAACTCGAAGTCAAGGTCTGCTTGCTGCATCATGTGACGGATGGGATGCTCATCCTCAACCCCTCCAGCAGCAGCAGGCTGCCGACTCTGCCGCCAGACATACCTGCCTACCCGTTGCTCACTCGTGCCAGAGACAGACGGCAGCCAGTGCTCGTGAAGAACGCTATGAGCGGCGTCTGTATTGAGGATACGGACATTGGCTATAAGTAAGGGAAGAAGAAGTGCTATGCTTAGATAGAGAATACGCCGGTATGAGGTCCCATCGTCCTCAGTCTTTCGCATTGAGCTGTATTCGCAATGCGTTGTGCCGGCGCCGTGGCATGATCACTGCTGGCAGTACTGGAAGACCACCGTGCTTGCAGCCGGGGGCATCGTCGCTATGGTTGCGTTATGTGCATCGTAGTGACCAGGTCAATATACCTGTATCTTGTTGAATGTTAGTCTGCACGGGCCTCGAGCGGCGGGATGAGCCGCTCATATACATTTCAAGCAGCCATTTCGGCGCAGATTGTTCCCTGGCCATCATCAACACCATGGCGCCTCGCCTACAGATACTAAGGCATGTCGTGGGAGCGGCGCAACAGCCATTATACCAGCCCGTCGCGCCATTTTTGTATCCGTGCCTCTTGCAGCAGCGCAGGTCCGCATCAATACTAAACACGCTGTCCGATAACAAGGGATCGTACAACAAGCGCATCAGGGTCGGACGAGGTCCTTCAAGCGGGTATGGCAAGACGTCAGGGCGAGGGCACAAGGGTCAAAAGCAGCATGGAAAGGTGCCGGCAGGCTTCAATGGAGGTCAGACGCCAGATTGGGTTGTACACGGAGTACGAGGGTTCAAGAACCGGTATTAAAATGGCATACACACTCCGCCTGCTTCAGTACTGATGTTGTCGTATCAGGTTTGCTGCGCAACTGTCGCCCGTCAACCTGAACAAAATCCAATACTGGATCAATGCTGGCCGACTCGACCCAAGCCAGCCCATCACCCTGAAAGAGCTCTCATCTTCGCGCTGCATACACGGCGTCCGTAGAGACGGTGTGAAGCTTCTCGCCCGCGGAAAAGAAGAACTCACCACTCCCATCAACATCATCGTCTCCCGCGCTTCCGCCGAAGCCATCAGTGCTGTGGAAAAGGCTGGCGGCACTGTCACAACCCGGTACTACACTGGTTTCGCCATCGAAAAGATCAAGCAAGGTCTTATGGATCCTATCCATAGCTTGCAAAGCAAGATAGTGCTGGCGCCAGGCACCAAGGAAGGCGCGATTGCAGCGGCCGACGCTCTCGCGGAAGAGGGTAGGAGATATAGATACCGACTACCCGACCCATCGAGCAGGAAGGCTTTGGAGTACTATCGAGATTCTGCGCATCGAGGTTATCTGAGCCATACTGTAGCAGAGGGACAAGGGCCAAGCTTGTTCTTCAGAACCCCTGGGGTAACAAGAGGTGGGACGAAGACCGGAGCGACGACCACCAAGCGAACGGACAGCAATCGGTTGTGGTAGTGTTAGGTTATAGCTGAATGTTGCGCATTATACGCTCTGAGTTAGGCCACTTTCTTGTACAAGATCCGACTCTGTCTGATTGGCTGACTCCGGTGGCTGACGCAAGAGGGGAAGCAGATGAGCTGCATGTTAGAGAGCGCATCTACGTTCCTGCATTAATGTCAATAACTTTACGTCACTCTGCGATAGCATATTCCTTCCATGTGTTGTCGACGGCCATGCCATCGATGATCGGCATGGTATGCAATAGGTAGGTGATGTCGTGCTTTTGCTGATAACGATCGGGGCGGCTAGTACGGGCGCGCTTGGCCTCACCTCATCTCCTGGTCCCAACGTACAACGGGCAAGCATTCTTCTCTTTGTAGTCTATCCTGCACACTTCAGCACTCACCTTACCGGCTGTCATTTTCCCAAGATGCCTCAAGCACTCCACTCCGTGCCTTCACCAGGTGCGGTGGACAACAGCGCACACGAAAATGTTATCGACACTGGATGTGCCGACCCGGAGAAGCATCCCATGTCAACCAATACTCCGTTCTTTTCGCGTCGCAACATTCTCGGACCGGTTGTCAAGGATCATGGCGATGTGCCTCTACTAGTCTGCTGTTTCGTGACCGGTTTAGTAGACGCTGCAAGCTTTCGAAATTTTGGCATGTTCGTTGGCATGCAGACTGGTACGCTGAACTTCTTTGTTTGTAGGTAATCCGCCTTGTGAGACTCATGATTACGCGCAGGCAACACGGTCATCTTGGGTCTGTCGACAGCCGGTCTTCCTGCAAACCCACACGCCTGGCTTACGACACTAATCTCCATCATTACCTTCCTTATTGGCGCATTCCTTACCTTTCGCTCGTCAAAGTACATCGCACCAGAGGGCCCAACGCGAAACCGCCTTTGGGCAAGTTCGCTCTTCATGGGTCAAGCCTTGCTCATCTTACTGTCTGCCGCTCTTGCTACCCCTCGCGGATTGATCCCCCAGCTTCCCGGAGGCACCAGCAGATACAGCGAGGATCCCACAGACGTCATCCGAAACATTCGAATTGTCAGCTTGATCCCGCCTTTGTCGTTCCAGAGCGGCATGCAGATTGCATCCTCACGGCTTTTGGGTAAGCGGAGCGATGTGTAGAACCCCTCAAGATTGTCCGAGACACAGCTGACCCTCGTTCCCCTCGTCCTTCAGGCTTCAATGAGCTTCCCGTGAACGTTATCACGAGTACTTACTGCGACATTATGGGCGACTACAAACTACTCGCTCTTAACAACGTCCGTCGGAATCGGCGTGTAGGCGCTGTTATCTTACTACTGATAGGTGCCATCATCAGTGGATGGCTACTGAGGAGTGAAGGTGGTCTTATGAGTGTGCTGTGGATTGCAGGTGGCCTAAAGTTCGGGACTGCCATAGCGATGTTCTGCTTTATGCCGGCTGTCAAAGAAGACTCGCCAAAATAAAGTCCACGTTACACCACTAAAGATGATAGAGATAGAAGACCGGTTGTCGTGTCGTGCTAGGCAGACCTGGCGAAGTGCACAAGGTCGACGTAAAACGCACTGACAAGGCGAATCCTGCAGAGATAAAGTCTCCGACAGCACCATCTCGCGCAACGGGCAGCTACTGCAATGTACACGACCTATCCAACGTCAGTAAGCTTAGCCACTGAGCTGCAACCACCGAACCACGTACCAACTTGCCTGCATCTCGACGCTTGCTAGGTTCTGCAACGTTTGGCTATTACCAGTCAATGCTGGAGAGCTTGCCCTTCCTGTGCCATGGCTTAATCCTCCACTACTGTGGGGCTCAGAACCGCTTGGGTTGTCGATATCAACCTCTGGGAAGCTGTACGAACCGGCATTCGCACCCTCACTGCACTCCAGAGACTCTGCCGCAGATCGAGCCGGTGGATGTGTCCACCCATCTTCTGTATCGGACTGGAGGAGTTCGGCTAACGCTTTTGACACGGCCTGCACTCGCTCCTCGCTTTCCTGGGCTTTGTTCACGTTCAGCGTCTTAGCATTACAGTGCTGCTGCTACTCCACCCAGTCAACGGCACGCTCGAATTTCTTTGCAGACCTGGGCTGATAGTGTAGCGCGTTCCGAGCCTCCGCCAATGCCGCTTCTGTCTTCGCCATGCACCGCTCGATAGCTACACCCAGGCAAACACTCCTCGTCGTTGGGCCTGTTGATCGCCCGGACACAGTTCCACTGCTGCCAGGCATGCCACGGTAGGACGTTGGGATATCGGGCCTGTGCAAAGTTTAAGCCACCAAGTGGACCGATGGGTCGTTCGTTGGGACTGTGCTGCTCCGATATAATACGGCGACAAGCGGCGAATTCGCTCGGAAATGTCACGTACAGGATGACTGTGTAGGTCTGGGGACAGGGAACACTCTGGTGTAGCGGGAAGTGTTTCCCAGAAGCTTTCACAGGCAGTCAAGATCACACGAGGATACAACAAGCCGTCACAGTGTACTGAAGTGGATCTGGAAGGCAACAAACGTTTGAGGTCATGTTCAATGCATGCTAGCACGATTACAGCCTTACCTAGATCGTAGCAAAGTACCGAAACGGCAAGCGGGTCGACTTGCCATTAAAGTGTTCGCATTCTTTTACGGTGACAGAAAGATTGTTTCTAATTCCGCGCTGATGATGTCGGTGCGCAACACCCTTGCTTCTTCGGAACGCTTCTCAAGGAAGCTGAAAGTCCTTTATGCTCGCGTCTTCACCGGTTCATGAGCCGTAAGGCTGTTCCGCCTCTTCCATCTGATGCCTTAGGATCTGTTCAGATACGTCAGCGACCAAGCCCTCTTAGCATGGAGACGACTGTCGAACACGCCGAATGAACGAGTCTTCGGCGCAAGCATGCCTGTGACGTGAAGGCTGCCCGGCTTCACACTCTCTGCAACCCATTGCTTCACATCCAGTGGCAAGCTGAGCCATCCGAGACTGGGCGATGGCGGCGCGTCTGGCACCCTCGTATTATTTAGTATTGCGATTTCGTCGGCCTGCGTTTCACTGATCAGATCCGAGACTGCTTCGAAGAGCTTCTGGCTGCTAGCTAGCAGGCCATTAGTGAGCTGGTCAGCCGCCGTGTAGCGTGCGTGCCACTTCTCTGCATTGCGCTGTTCATCTAGCTCAGCGTCAGTCAGATCCTCGGAAAGATGGTCCGACACTGGTCCCGCAGCCTGCTCCTTCGCTTCAGTGATGTGATGCTGTGAATGGGAAATTGCGCGATCAACACGCTCATTGCAGTCAAGCACCTCAGGTGTCGGAGGCAGTTGACGTGGCAGCTCTGCGTGAGCGTCAGCTTGGATGGATGCAACGATCTCAGGGTGCGTGGCGTACCATGTGCGAGTCTTGTCCATTAGCTTGTCAATCCTGGGAAAGCCTGTCTGCGGTTCTGAGAAGTAGAAAAGGAGCAACATTGCTACAGAAGCCATCTCGGGTCGTTGCAGTGATTTAGGAGAATGTTGGGATGGTTTGGAGGGCTGATGACCTTCAAGCAGTGTGTGTTCGTCTAGATATCGGACAGACATCATGTGAAGGCGAAGAAAGGTAAGTGTATACATTTCACACAACTCCATTGTAGGAATGGGGAACAATGGGAGATTATTTCCTTTGTTTGCTCGCTGTTGTGCTTTCCTAGATGGTGTGGCGCTGAGGCGGCGACACTCGAATGGAAGACCGCAAGGTGTTGACACCATCACAACGTAGGACCGGAAAAGTGGCTCGCCATTCTGAGACAATCTACATCGACGACTCCGTTGGAGGCCACACTTTTGTGGTCAGAGAATTGAACGATCGAAAAAGTCCGATCAGTCGGATACAGCGATGGCAAGTACAAACAGAAAAGGTACGCCAAACGAAGCCTCCAGATATCGGCTCGTCAGCCATCAAAAGGCCGTGTGCGCGCAGAGATGTCCCTGTGAATGTTTATGTCTCATACAGCAATACAGCATGTCATGCAGCCGACGGTCTTGGCGCGGCGCTGACTCAAGACCTCAAGCTACGATGCGTTCTCCATGCGCACCACCAGTTGCGCCGCAAACAACCCGGAACGGAACGAACAGTGATCGAGGCCTTTAACCCAAAAGCTCAATCGAATTGTCCTTGACCGTATCGCCGTCTGGGCATCGGGGTGCTCCATCATGACTTCCACCATTGGCATACCGATCAAACTTCTCAATGAAGCTACAGTAAGTCACCATCGAAATCCGCGCAGAAGCACCTGTGCTTACAACGCACCACAGCTGATCGTCCGTACTGTAGGGTCACCAAGTAACGGTTGAGATTGACTCCGGCCAGACCTACCGCGGCAAGCTAATTGAAGCGGAGGACAACATGAACTGCCAGTTAGAGAACATCAACGTTACACAACGCGACGGTCGCGTGACCCATCTTGACCGCGTCTACATTAGAGGATCGCATGTGCGATTGTTCATTGTGCCAGACATGCTGCGAAATGCACCCATGTTCCGTCAACGAGCAAACAAAGGCCGCGGTGTGGGCTTGGCGAGAGGGCGCGCGACGGTTAACAGAGCTAGAGGCAGAGGAGGACCTAGAGGAGGTTGACCAAAGACGAGTGTCGCAGCATTTGAGGATATGGCTGGACAAGCATTGTATGCGAACAGAGCAAAGCGAGGCGTTAACGGGACTTTTCGCATACTATCACAAGCAAGACGTCGGACGCGGCGTGTGCCAGGCGCATTAGTAGACACCGTCTGTTCGACAACGCGCGGACTCATGTAGTGTATGAATGAGTAGCAGTGGTGTGGTCGGCGATATGAGTAGCTCTAGTGATGCTTAGCTCGCTATTCCTTCTCCACACTCCACTCTCCGAAACCTTCTTCACATCTCTTCCTTCACTCTACATCCCGGAATGTAGTCGCATTGCATCGTTCCATCGCCAGATGGAAGTCAATCATCCACGTCGCATTCTCGCCGTCGGCGCACCTGGCTGCCCGGTGCTCGACGTCGTCGAAGGTCTGCCGTGGTCGTTGTATATAATCGCCGTCAAACCCTGACATTGACTAGATCTCACCGGGAGTGCACCGGCTCTGAATGAAGCAGGGACAATCGCAGGACTGACCCACGAGTGGGAGGTGCGGACGGCGTACTACACCGCTACGGTACCCATCTGGACAGACGAGATTGCAGACGCGGATGAGTGGAAGAGGGAGTTCTTGAAACCCGAAGCAGAGGAGGTTGTGCAAGCTATTGGAGCCTACGTTTACTGCTTCTGCATCCCACGTGATGGAAAGATTACATCCGGGGTGGAGGCAACCATGAAAGCGCTTCAGACTGTGGCCGAACACGCAGGTCTGATGGCGGATAATCTACTGCTTGCTGTTGCATTAACAAGCAGTGGTGACGGTGGGAGTGGCGTTGCCGCATTAGATCATGACGCGTGGGTAGATCTCTGCATACAGTACGGCTTCGAATTCATCAACTATGCCGCCGAGGGCAAGAACGAGTATGACGAGCTGACAGGCTCCGCGCGTCTGAAGGAGGCCTTGGAAGCGCATGAATGGGCTGCCGATGCCGCAGACGATGGTACCGGGATTGACACTCTTGGTCTTGGTGACGACGACGAAGTGGGAGGCTTTGACAGGGAAGAAGCTGAGATGACTGCCGAGCTCTTCGGCATGAAAGCGGCTCTGACGGATGACAGTGGGCTCGACATGGAAGCAGAACCTTTTGCACAGTCTGACCACCAAGCGGCGGAAGTGGACAGCTTCGAGCGAACAATGGGCAAGTTGCTGGCACTTAAGGAACATAGTACGAATTTGACGAAAGAACAAAAGAAGAGGCTCGTAGCCAAGGCACTGCTTGACGGCGACAGTGAATGAGAATGCCGCCTTTTATGTGGCATAGTGCTCTTGTCCTTGCATCATAGACCGATACGCAAGTGTCTACGAGCTTCGCCAGCTATAAGCGCTCTCAGCAACCCAGCCAAGGGACGCATGAGCGGTTTGATGCCTGTCAACAACCCAGCTCAGGCCTGCTGAGAAGCCTACTACCATCGCGACCCCCGCTATTGCGATGTTGCGATCAGCTCGTACTTGACGACCGTGATGCAGCTTCATACGCTTCTCTTCGAATGCTTTGGTCGTGTTGCCGCTTGGGAACGGCCTATCTGGTACTGGCTTACCCAAGGACTCACACAGCGGCTCCCTGGCCACCCGTTAGCACGACGGTGTCACGTTATTCAGCTTCAAGAATTTGGCTTACCAGCCATCTTCAACATGCCAATCAAGCCACTCCCTCGACTCCTTGCGCACTCTGCCTCCAACTCAGCATAATGCTTCCTGTACGTCTCTTTCCCATTCTGTCGAACATTGAAGTCAAACAAGGCTTTATAGCACCACACCACAGCACGTCTTAGCCAGAAACACTCGCTATCCGCAAATGATCGTAAAATCGACCACCAGTCATTCCACACCTTGTCAATGGTGTTCAGTTGGCTTTGATGCCAGCCTTCCAGGTTGCTTCTCCGGTTCAGGACAACCTTGGCGTGGGGGTAGGCGCGCAGCATTTCTACGCCCAACCCAGCGCAGGGAAGATCGGTTACCGCTTCGCACTCGCCAATGACTTTGTCGAGTTGGGTGCTGGTTAAGGCATCTCGTTCGGCGCTGCTCCCTCGAAACTTCGCCATATGCCAGCGGACCCAGTGCTAAAGCATTGAAAACAGCTATCAGCGCTGAATCAGACACAGGGGACGCCTATGGCCATGAGTTTGCGTACAACACAATCTGCCGGGTTCGTCGTGATGTGCCAGCCATGGTATATGTCGATGTAACCTAGGTCAAGCAGCGCTGCTTGCAGTAACTCGGTTCCTATAGAAAGCAGGGTGGCACTCTCAGCAACGTCCCGAGTCGCAAGCGGCGCCCAACCTTCTTCCATTACACACCAGTCCCTCCAAGACCAAGGGCGAGCACTTGCATGGGTCGGTCCCGGGTGCGGTTGGGAGGCGTAAGTGGGTAAAGAAGCTCAAGGAACCACAATGGAATGGTGGTCGACATGATGGTAGTAAGAGACAATGGTAATTGTCAGAAGCGGAACCTGTGCGCCGCGGCAGTTGTGTCCAGTGGCTCTCGCAGAAATGCATCCATACCGGGAAATGGGTGAAAATGAAAGTTATTATACTGTTGGACACGCCTGTGCTCCAGTGCGACCGCCGCGTCTATGCTCCGACGAACTGCTTGCTGGAGGAAGCCTAGTGTGAAGCTTCTGCCCCAGATGGTCAAATCCTCCCGACCCTACGTGTATAGTGATCTACCGACCGTACGTCTAGTCGAACCCCAAAACGTGATGATCGAAGCATCATCACGTGTTTGCCTCTGCTTGTACATCTTCGGAACGAGCAAGCTCCTCACCACTGGCGCACCACCAGAATTGTGGACGAGTGCCAATGGCCGCAAGACTCAGCTTGTTGCAAGAATCCCACTGTTGCATGCATGGGGCCTGATCGCGGCAAACATGGAGTCCTCCGACAGTACATTAGAATCGAACGTCGCTTGCGCAGACTTCCTGGCTGGGGAGCGGTCATGCGGAAGCCAAGAGACGTAGCTGGGCATCATGCGAGCTTCAGAGGACATTGAGCCTGGTGATCTTCGGGCCCTCGACCTCTGAACAGTGCGGTCATGGATGCAACACATCAAGACAATCGCTTTAATAGGATTGCCCGAATCCAAGTTCGACCGAATGTAATGTGCTCTATGAGCCAAGGCCTCTTCCGCATTCAGTATCAAAGTCCATGTGCATGGCGTTCCGACATCTCATCTGTTGCCATGCTGCCACGCGGACCAAACCTTGCTGCCACCAATGTACTTCTCAGAATATGCTGGTACTGTCGACCCAGGCTCGCTCATCATGCAACGTGCGAGCCAGTCTGCATACCTGCCGTCGCCTACGCTGCCCTGCACAACGGCTTTGCCGACACCGCGAACACCTTCGAAAAGGTTGAGCACGCTGAAGTCGCAACTTCCGTACATTGCTTGGAAGACTTCGATTTCGAGCTCTTCGGCACCGCTAAAGCTTTCCTCAACCTGCGATCTGCTGAACCGCGGATCGGTGTCCAGTCGGACGTGAATAAAGTACCTCCTGATGATGTTGGTCAGTCTCGGTGTCGTGACCGGCGGCAGGCAGATGCGGTTCGGCTTCGAGCGAAGCAAGAATGATGGCAGCGTTGCCAAGAGTGAGGGATGGGCCAGGAATACGTTCTCGCCGTAGAGTATCTCGGTGCCTTCGTAATGGATCTGTTTACAGGTGCGCAAGACGCTCGCACAGAATCGATCTGGCGGCCGCGACGCTCCTTTCGAAGCACCCGTGGCGACACACTCGTCCCTAGTCTGGACAAGCAAACAGTGCCAGATGATATTGCGGAGCTCTGGCGGCAAGGTAAGCAAAGGTGACGCTTTCTGCTCCGTCATGTTGTTCATGCATGGTCCGGTAACGGTGGGCTTCTTGCGAATGCACACGATCATGTCTGCGCCAAAGGCGACCTTGGCAAGGTCTGGATCGATGAGTAGGTTACATCAGGGCAGTAGTCCCCTGTAACAATCACTCGTCTCTACCACTGCCGACATGTCTGTAAATACTCAGAATTGCAAGCACGCGACCTCTTCGTCTCAATGCTGCTATGCCCGAGCTCCTGGACGTCATCGATGCTTGCCGAGGTCTCGCCGACGCGAGGGTTCGTTGGGTCAACACCGATACAGGAGGAGTGAACCTTCCGACCCTCAAATGCTTGCCCAATGGCAAAACCTTGTGCTGAGGCCTACAAGTTCAGGTGCAGAGACAGTACCGCAAGACATCGATCGCAGGAGCGCTTATGTGGAAGACAGCGGCAGGGATTGAGCACTGGCGATCATGGCCTAGGGCGACGAGTCTGTTCGCCAACGCCTTCCGAGCACCAGACCATACAGACCGTATGGGACGTGCCCGTCACATATTGGCTGTTGACCGCATACTCGGGTGACCTCGCCCTCTCTATGCTCGTAATTCCTCAGTTGGGCTGATGTCAAGCTTGAGCTGTGCGATATTGGGGCGTCCTTCCTGCCTCGTACCTCATACTGGTATTCTACTGAGCACCTCGCCGGAAGTCCGAATTGCCCAGATGCTCACCCGTACTTTCATCCTGCTCACACGCAGCCGCATGCAGGTCGTAGACGCGTGCTCTTATCGCTCCATGTGCTAACATCCACTGCGATGTATGAATCAGATGATGGTGGGCATTGGCGGAACATCCTGCGATCGCATTCCAACACGCGTTGGCATGCCAGTGGTCCGAGGTGCTATGGGTGCATCGATGCGTTGTCCCTATGCACGCTACCTCTGCAGCTATGCCAAGTCGCCGGCGGGGCTGCTTGATGCGATTCGCTTGACTCTAAATGAGGTTGGCCGCTCGGGTGTCGCCCATATTCCTCGCATACAGTGGCCGGATTATATACTCAATGGTACGCCGCGTTGCGATGATGCCTATGTGGTTGTTAAGGAGTCCCACAAGACAGAGTGCCGGCCATTTAGGATGCATACAAGCGCGACACAGAACGTGGACTGCATAAGAAACCAGAGCTTATTATGACTTCAGTCTGATGGTACGGGTTGCGAAGGCCTAGAGTATGACTCGTTTGTCATCCCAGCATCGCGCAACAACCTGCTGTCTATTCTCAGCCAGAGCGGAAGAGGGTGTGCCGGAGTCATCCCCTCTCTGGGGCGAAGAGCAAGCATGGGATGGCCAAGCTCATCCACCAGTCGCCGGTGAAAGGCAGACGGCCATTATGATTGGCTGGGGTAAGAATATACAGCTGACACCTACCGAGTTGCGAATTGCTAGGTCAAGTAGCCAGCATACATTCTGCACGATCTCGCCAGACCGGCTATCAGAGGTTGTTCGAGCACAGTCTGCCTCCAGTGGGGTCAAAACATTGCCCGAATTCGCGATCTTGGTCCGTTCAGCTGATATCCTTCCATGCAGCCTCTGCATATGCAAGGTTGCCTGCGCGACGCCCTGATGCAGCTCGCAATGAGGTCGCCTTCGAACCAATCCGGATAACCACCTCGGTTACACTCGAACGTCTCGCTCATTAACAGAGATATTGTATGCTTCCTAGCTTGCTTCTTACGCCTGCTGCAACCGGGCGTTGCCAGAAGCAAGACTTGACAGCACTCACTACCCTACACCCTCCCCCTTTCTCACCGAGCCGCAAGCGGCATATCATTTACCTCGCCCCCGCCTTCGCCAAAGCTGTTGCCCTTGTCTCCTCATCATCCAAGTGGCCTTCGTCTTCTGTCTCATCTCGTTCGCGTTTCAGACTCTGCCAATTGACCGTACAGATCGTCAAGCTAGGTCGCAGCCTCGAGGGCGAGCAGAGATCACAGGCTACCATGGCAATGCCGCACGTACCCATTCCCCCTCCCCCGCCTCAGTTTCCGCCCGTTGGCTTTCCTCCGCCAGGTGCCTTTCCCGCGCCTGTCGCGGTTCCAATCCACAAGGATCCTTATATGCACGACCAACCGGATCATATGATTGACATTCTTGATGACGATGGTGGCTATGGAAAGCCAAGGAAGCCGAAGAAGCATGGCTTCGTGGAACCGGAGCTCAAGGGCTATATGCTCGAGAAGGTGGAACCCTTACTCGGTCAGAAGCTTAGTTGGGCGCGCGTCGGAAAGCGCAAGCTGCCTTTCGATGAGGCCAAGCTCGAATCGCTTGCGAAAGGCCATCGTTTACGGACCAGGACTGGACCAGCGTCGGATTACAAGCTATGCACCGGCAATCAGCGCGGCATTATAGACCGGCTTATTGCGGAACATCAGCGTCTGGAGAAGCAAACGAACGCTATATGGGTCCTCCATGATGTACAGCGCTTCGGTACGTGGCACTGGAGATCGCTCGAGGTGAAGCAGATCCAGGTCATCCTACGGCGTCAGGATGTCAATGCAACAAAGCCTGGCGCCAGGCTCGGCAATGTCTCTAGCTCCTATCAGTTTGGAGAAATCATTGATCTTGCCGATCCCATCCCGACAAAGAAGAAGAACAGGAAGAACCACCACGCCCACGATGATGGACTGCAACCCATCGATCCTTTCGGCCCAGGCATCCCGGCCCTGGAGCCAGATCATGACCAATACGCATCACAGCAGCAGCCGCAACACCAGATGCCGATGCCGATGCCTATACCGATGCCTCAGCCCGGCTTGCCAGATCCGTTGTATGCTCCTCTGGGTGCACTCCCAGTGAATCCGGGGGTTCCGCAGTCTCCGTATCAGCCAGACTCATATGGTCCCCCGAATCCCTTCATGCCGCAACCCAATGTTATGGTACCGGGACAGTATGACCAACATTATGCTGGTGATGAGCAGCGTTGGCCTAGCGCTAGAATCGTGACCCGCTCACCGAGTCCTATACGCCGGCGCTCAAGCAGTGCTCGGAGACTGCGCAGACTTGAGAAGGATGTGCGTGAAGGCTTCGACGACCTCAACCGAAAAATTGACAGTTGGCATATCAGCAGCGACTCGAGCGAAGGTCAACAGGAGAACGACTCGGTCTTCAGTCCACCACGATCCGGAGGATCGTTCACTCCCCCATCCACACCACCGGGATCAGATGCCATGTATCCTCGAGGGAGTCTGCACCGCCGTGACAGCTTCGGGGCAAGGCGCGGCGAGAAGCGGTACTACGGCAATGGGCGAGTCGAGGTCCAGCCCGCTTACACATACCAACCACGCCAGGGCCGGCGCTCGCCCGATGACCGACGCCGCAACGAGCGCGTGCCAAGATTGCATCGGGCTCAAACTTATGATGATTACCCTAATGGCAGGGCTGTAGAGCCTCGGTACCTGCCGATACCGCGAGTGCAGCGCCGCCTCACCAACTACGAGGAGGCCTATCCGAACGCCAACTTTGGCGAGCAGTACCGTCGGCGGGCGGGTAGGGATCAATATGATCCTCACCAAGATGGCTTTCAAGCAGGCAGACGGGAACAAGTTCGCTACTTGCGCAGGCGCAGCGTCGATGCCAGTGAGAGATACCATCGCTAGTGGGAGCGCGAACGGCCAATGGTCCAGCGATTGCGGAGTAGGAGTGCGGATTGGGGTGATATTAGATATTAACAGCTTTCCAATACCCTTTTCTCACTTACGACGCCGCAGCTTGTCGTCTCAACGCTAGCCGCAGCCGGTTATACAGAGACATAGTCCGCCGTGAAGATTCTTAGCCGCCAAGACTCTGCGTTTCAGCGAAAAAAGTCCTCTCAGTCTCCATGCCTCTGCAAAGTGCAATCACTGCCAAAAGATCCTTGCCGCCTGCGCAGTCATGCCGAGAAGGACAGCAGAGCTAGTCAGGAAAATACTGAACCTGATCAAGATATGGTTCGTAGTCGACTGCACAAGTGAATGGACGATACGCAAGCCGACGTATGTCCACGCCAGTTGAACGGTCAGAGAATCGCGGACGCCAAGTTGGTTCAAGGCAAGAACGATAGCGTAGAATTGTGTCGGCTGCTCCATCAGGTCTGGAGCGCATAATTAGTCCGTGAGCTCTGGGTCGGGCAATAGATACGATAGGGATACACACGATTGAAGTTGTCAGCCGGATATTGGAGATGCCGTGGGATTTTGGCTGAGGTTCGTCAGCTGGGCCACTCAAGTGATTGAGGTCTTGGGGGCCTGATACCATTCAGATGTTCCTTGGTCATGCCTGGGCTCGCGTCGACGTTGTATTTGGACATGGCTGGAAGACGGTACAGATACCTGGAGCACATGAGCGGCGGCGACGTGTCATGAGCTATGGAACTCACATCCAGCCCTCCATAACAAACGTCCAACCAACAAGGCCGACGAGAGGCCCAAGTAGAGGCTGCGAGCCTGCGATAATTGACGGCATTGTAAACGGTGTTGGTGAGTTGAAACACTGAAAACGAGGATGCTACTGCGCAGTGGGTATACTTTATAGAGCCCGGGTGCAATGTGATCCTCGTGGAACGTGCCAAGTTATAAGGAGATACTCTCGATGCGGTTGAACCGTAGTCCGTGGAAGGTGAACTAGTACTGGCTCTCGAGCGATCAGCCCTACAGGTCAGGATCGGACCAATGGAAGCTCTGCAAAGCTGCAGGGATACTTTCGTCCTGCAGCAGTTCGTATTTATACCGGTGTGCTTTGGCGTGATGTCACAGTAGGGATGTACGTAGCGAAGATTAGGCATACGTAGGGTATGCTACGGAAACCCGCGCGCAGCGCTTGCTCATACGATGCTACCTCACAAGCTCCAGGCGGGAGAGGCGTCTCAGATCAACAAGTCGACTCCCCTTGCAAGCCCGGTCGATCCAATCCAACAATATATTCCACCATGCGGCGCTTCCATTCTTCGCTCGTCCAAACCACGATCGATGGTATATGCCAACCACATCCAAAGCACTGACCGTCTGTCTTCGTAAGAATGGTCCCAAGACCGTTGTAACCACGCGCACTGCGGCGATACTTCAACGCCGCGAACTAAGATTATCCATTCCAACACTCCTTCCCAGGTAGATGGCCTATTATCGTGCCAGAACGTTGTAAAGTTCGAACTTACACACAAGAAATTAGGGGGTATATTACGGTTATTGCTCTTGTCCATTGTGCTGTTTCCTATCGTTGGTAGCACATGTGCGGCTAGCCATCTGGGAGCACCCTACTGGTGACCCAAGCTATGCGGGTCAATCGTTCCATACAAAAAATCTTCTGCAGTCGCACCATTCGCGATCGGACTGTTGTGGTACATGCTGTGATCCTCAGACATGTGGCGTTGGAAATGGCCCGGGCTTTGATACATTTTTGCGTCGTGATACAGCATACCACTGTCATTTGGGCTGTTGAAGGTTGTGGCGTGCTCTTGTGGCATGTGTGATGGCGTCGAGAACGAGACACCACTGTCTTGATGGTGCTGTACACCGTGTGCATGCTGGGAAGGCGTCTGGAACACCATCGTGCCATCTTGGGTTTGTTGCGGCGGGACCTCGAAGCTGAGCTGGCCTTGGTGTCCGTCCATGGGTAGATTCATTTGCGAACCTCCTGCGCCGGGTGGAGATTGAAAGTCGAAGACGCCGTTCGGCATCGGTGAGTGGAACGATTCATCAGTTAGCGGACTTCGGAAGGGAAGTTGCATCTGCTTGTTGAACGACTCGGATAAGTACAGGCTGTCGTCGCTGAAAGTTGGGTGCTCGCCAGGCGTGCCGAAGATGTCCGCACTCTGACTCCGGTCAACACCAGTAAGTGGCGGCGAGTGATCGGCAATCACCGGATCGCCGCTCATGATCGACAAAGGTGTGTTGCTGGTGCCGATCATGGCAGCCTGATCGACCTGTAAGAAGCCGGAAACAAAGGGCGTACCAAAATGTGTGAGGGGCAGACATTCGCCTGGAGGGGCAGTCGTGAAGAAGTGCGGCGTGCCGTACTCGCTCGGCGAGTTTACAGTGGTCGCTGACATCGGGTTGTTGTGGTGAAGATTCAGCCCGTAGACGCCAGATGTATCGATGCTGAGGCTCGGGCCCATTGGCGCAGGACCAAAGCCCGGGGGAGGGTGATGTTGCGGAATAGGTGCAAAAATCATTGGATCTTGCATGACTGGCTGAGCAGACTGTGGCTCCTGTTGTATCAAGAACGACGGCATAGGATGGCGTAACATCGAGAGGTCAATAGCAGCAGGTACGGATCGACTTCGCTGTCTCTTGTGACCACGAGGTGCTGGAGGGCCCATCAAACCCAGCGCACTTTCTGGCTGCAGCATCTGCCCTTGTTGATGCGGGTGTATCAGGTGGTTGGGCTGACTCGCCGGTCGCATGGGTGAAACGGGGGCGGAGATGGCCAGTTGCGCCGGGTCGAAGACGTGGTGACGGTTTTGATAGGCCTCGAGGGAGACAAGCTTCGCTAGTTGGCCACTAAGGACTTTCGACGGCCCTCCAAGATGGTGTACCATCACCTGCGTCGCCTGTTGATCCTCCGTAAAGTCTCCGCACTCGTAAAACCCGCCACTGCCGGAGCTGTCCATGTAGAATCGTGGCGATCGCGTCAGCTCGATCACAAGGCCTCCCGATCTCTGCGACGCTCCTTCTGCCGCAGAGAGTACATCGCCTTGCTCCAAGGAGATGCCTTTGATCCAGGCAAAAGGGTACTCGATCTTGTAACCGGCATTGTCGTTGTTGATATAGTACGTTATGCATGCCTTGTCAGGCGAGTAGAAGATAACGAGATCCATGGTGCTCTGCCCAACCCTGCGCCATGTGCCGATCGAAAGTGACCGGCAGGCGAAGTGCTGTATGACCACTTTACCCGAACTGTTGTCGGTATTTAGCATCAGCGTGCCTGCGCCGAAAGCTCCATAAGCAGATCCTGTTCGTCCGAGCATGCCCGCTGGTAGCCCTTTGACGCCAGGACCGTAGGCTTGCATCGCCAGATACTGCCGCATGGATTCGGGGATGCTGTCACAGTCCTCTCCGCTTTCAATGCTGCGCTTGGCGATGTTCTTGATCTTGGCGCGTCTGCCTACAGTTAGCATTCATCAGGCGTGTGGTGGCATAGAGACACTTCACCTGTTCTGGAACCAGATCTGCACAGACCTTTCGGTCATATCAATGTCTTGCGCGATGCGTTCACGCACAACTGCCGTGGGCGTCGGGTTCTTGTTGAACTCTATCTCCAGCGTCATCAATTGATCCTGAGTTGCCCTCTGACGTTTTGCGTTCTTCTGCTGCTGCGTAAGGGTGCTCTTTCGTGGCGGCCGGTTTCTGGAACTGTTTGAATGTGCATTGTTCGGCGTGCCGATGCCGTTGGGTGGCGATATAGACATTCTTGGCTTTGCGTCCATCTGATTTGTTGGTGGCGAAGGTTGTCGTGGCTGCGGTGCGGCCATCACTTCCGCCATGTTGGGCGCCCGCCTGTATCTTCTTGATGTACCCTACAATGACTGAGAATCTCGTTCAGATCGTGTCGCTGCTCTACGTATGCAGTCGAGATGTACGTCGTGATCGTGAACCTTTGAAACGTAGACAGAGCGCCAGTCGGTAGTTGGAAGCAAACTGAGGCCTAGATGGGACGGATGAAAGAAGCCGTGCGGTCTACACAGATCTCCAGCGACCAGGCAGAGTTTCGAAGATAGAGTATACGCCACCCAATTGTGGCAGCCAAAGTAATGTGTCGTCAATGAGCGATTGTCCGGTGGTGTTAAGCTGTGTCTGAGGACCCAATACTCGCGGATAAAGAAACTGGACGGATTGCCAAAGGAAGGAATCGGCGGCCGGAAAGAGTGCACGGCTGGTCCGATGAAAGAAAACAAGAACAGGTCGCCAGAAGCACAGCACCAGAGGGAATGATGATGCTATGCTCCGTTGGCAGACCAGAACAACGGCGAGAGAGGTTTGGTAGGAGGTGGTGGTGGGCAGAGATCTCAGGGCTGCGACAGCGAGGGAGTGGGAAGCACTCTACTGCTCCCTCCAGGGGGGCGCCAAGACTTGCTCGCGCTTGCTGCTTTAGTCGCGTTTCTGGCGCACGGTTCATATGCAAAGAACCCGCTCTAACGTAGTCTTTCAACGTCAGCACCCGTGTCAAGGGAGCCTTGTCAGCGAGTGGAGGGCACCGTGGGATGCTTTGCTGCATAGAGGGCCAATATCGTCCAACTGCAACAACACGATGATGATCGCAGAATGTCTTGATGCACGGTTCGAATGGCGGCTCATATTAGACGCTTCAGTCAGCATGTTTGACGCCGTTGCGTCGTTCGGCCAAACCTCAAACGGTCAATGCCTCCTACTTCGAAAGTGGCGGCGCCATAAACGAACCTTAGCATTTCGCAACCGTGCCGCCTTTTGCATCACGCGCACTTCAGCTCATATATCGTCCACGGGCAGGCAGCGAATGGGAGCTTTCAAACACTACCAGGGTCAATGCCGGAGAACCTGTCGTGCTGACCTTCAACGGCCGGACGGTAAAGGTACCTGCAGGTACGCGGGCAGCTGCAGGAGTCGAGGACTAAGTTCATGTCTGATAGGCTGCACGGACCGCTGAAGGATTGGCTAGCGTCAGGCACAGCCGCCCTACTTTCGACGCCGCATTTGTGCCGACTGCGCGATCATCGACGGATTGCGCCGTGTTACAAGGTAAGACATGCACGTGAGACGCACGACATTCAGCCGGAGGACGGCTGGCAAGGCTTCGGTCGAGCGATGATCGTCAAGCCTCGCAGCCTCAATATATATTTTTTGACCAGGATAGATGTGCTGTCACTGTACGGGACAGTGTCCGGCAGTTGAGCTAACGTGAGCACAGGAGCAAGATCCCCATCACAATGGTCATATTGTTAGCCAAGCAGGGATCGTTGTAAAACTGCGACTGCACTAAGACATCGGCGCAGAGTTCCGCTCGAAAGCACCGCGTACTATTACAGCATGCAGGTTCTGCCTTGGCCTAGCTCTTGTGTGTGACGATCCCGGCGGCGTGACATTTCACAGCCAACCCAGGTCGTGCGAACCACGACAGTCCCTCGCGTCTACCGCACCAAGCGTGCCACATCACAGTCGGAGGACGCTGTGCTGGGTTGCTACCACAGCGTCGCATCCCTATCAAACCGGTCCATTTCCTTCCCCGCGTCCTCCACATCCTTCTTCGCCTTCATGCGCATGTAGAAGATCGGACAATCCCGACTCGAACATATCACCTCATTGTGCATACTCCCTTGACACCGCTGGCACTGAGTCCACAACCTCGCAAAACGCACCTCAAGCTCGCTGACCTTGCTCAGACTCCGTTGGTAAAGCTCGCCAAATCGTGGCCGACATTCTTCGCCCACCGCGCCGCCTCGCTCTTCGGTCGAAGTCAGAGGCTTCTTGCAGCCCAGACATGTTTCCGTTTTCTTCGCGAACTTCATCAGGCCGCCCATGGTTGGCGCCGCGACGGAGATGCTGCGCGTGTGCTCGCCTGTGAGCAAGGAAGCGGCTTTCTTCTCGCCTAGAATGGGCTCGAAGATGCGGCCAAGCGGCTTCGAGAGCTGGTTGTCAAGATAGTATCTCACATCGATGGGTAAGTTGTGCTCCAGCACAAACATGGGATCTTCAGAGTTCTCGTACCCTCTCGAGCCTGAAGCGCCCTTCACCATGACATAAGCTACACGGTCACCCAGCGCAGGCGCGGAGCCGGCATCGCGCTTGCGCATACGCTCCGCAAGCTCGGTGTGTGCTTGTTTCGATGCATAGTCGGATTTCGTAAGGGCTTTGGTGATGACCAGGTTAGACATATCAATCTTCCCGAGCAGAAGTTCAGAGATCGTATTCTTAACATAGCTATAAGCCGTCAGCATCGCAACTCGTCCAGCGGTTAGGTAAGATCACTCACTCTTGTGCGCCCTGTACATCTCGATCCATCAACAACATCCGCAAACTTGTCTCAATAACAGTCTGCACGAGCCTGCAATTGTCGCGACGCACAGTCTCAATGCCCTTGGTGTCCATCTTGTCATACTTCTCTGGCTTCGTCCAGTACAGGCCAGCATACCGCTTCTTGTTGATCAAGAGATACGGGTAGTACACCTTCTCGAATTCAAGCTTGATCGGTCTGATGAACTTCTTGCTTACGTAGTCCGCCGCATCCTGTCCGAGCTCCATGGCTTTGGCAAGGTCACTCGGACCGAACTTGACCATGACCGAATCAGTATCGCCGTAGATGACCTGCGCATCATGCGTATACCCGTTGGCGATGGTATAGCGAGCTTCAACCTCCTCCTTGGTCTTCTCGATCATCTGACGACCGTAGGAGGTAGTTGACGAAGCGATGGCCAAACACGGGAGCTTACCGACAGTGGCACCTGTAAGACCGTAGACCGAGTTGGCACTGACTTTCAGAGCAAGCTGTCGACCGTTCAACACTGCCTTTCTGAAGGTGTCCGTCTCAACGGCAAGCTCTTTCTTCGCACGCTTACGGGCAGACAGCAGCTCTTCCAGAATCTGCGACAGTAATCCTTTTCGGACTTTCGCAGTACAGAAGAGGTCGCCGTTGGGAGTCTGAATGTAATCTTCGTCCTTCTTCAGACTGAGCTTTTCGATAGCTGTCTTGTTGAGTAGAGTCGTGTAGCATAGATTGTGAGCTTGCATGATACTCGGGTACAGCGACGCAAAATCCAGCGTCGCCACTGGCACATCGTAGTAGCCTCTTGTAGGCTCAATGACAGTAGCACCTTCGTACTGTTCGTCAGACCCTTCGCTCTTCAAGCTTGGTATGACGAGTTGTTGCTCCAGGGCTTTTCGGTAAAGCTGGCTCAAGAATTTTATCTGTTGACCCTTGGAAAGCAGAAAGTTGAATGGCACGCCTGTGACACGAGCCATTTCGGTATAGTTGACGAGACACATGAGCTTGTCCATAAGTCGCTGTGGTAGGTATGCATCCTTCAAGCAGTATACGGCAAGACGTCGGCGTGATTCTGGCGTGCCGTTGTACAATTCTGTGATCATCGTATGGTGGACGTCCTCTTTCTGCTCGTTCAGAAAGTGAGCGCAGACGGAGTTCAGGGTGTAGCTTCGCAGCTGATAGTCGCGCTGAACGAGCTGCAGAAGATCGAGCTGCAAGCGGCCATTGGTGTTGGTAGCCTTGGTGTCTCTGTTGCCCATCTGTTTGCTGGAGAAGTTCGTATCTCTAGCCACGGACTTGACATTCTTCAACCGGGACCAGAAAGGGAACGGAGCGACCTTGAGGTGCGCTGCTCGGTCCAGAAGATACGGGAAGTCGAAGTTGCAGATGTTGTACCCAATGATGACATCTGGGTCGACCTCCTGGACGAAGTCTCGCCACGCCATCAGCATCTTCTCCTCTGAGCCGAACTCGAAAATCTGAGTGTTGACGATCAGGCTGCAAGTGTCCATGCAGAAGACATTCCGGACAAACGGTTTCTCCTCGCCGTATCTCGTAACAACGTTCGCAATCTGGATGACAGGGTCGATATTCGCTTCTGGAAAGACACCTTTGCGGCCAGCACATTCGATGTCGAAGCTCAGAACACGGAGAGGCGCCATCTTCTGCCACTCTCCGTCAATAGGATGCGCAATCAGATCGCGGTAGTGACAGTAGGCTTCGATCTGGCAATGCGAGTGCTTGGTTTGGGGCGATATCAGATGATACTTGCCAGGGTCTACGGAAACCCAGGACATGCCAGATACTTTGGTGTCGATCATGAAGCGCAGTACGTACTGGATGTTGTCGAAGGTGAGGATGCCGCCTTCTGCAGCCTTCCACAGGCCTTTGTAGTTCGCGTCACCTCGCTCTATCGTAGTTCGCAGCTTGTTGATGTGCTTGTGATCGGTCACTGTGATCTTCAGGTACGGGCTCTTCTGGTTCCCTTGGAAGCCGAACAGATTCTCGCGAAGCACCATCTGCACGGAGTGAATTGCTGCAGCATGCTGTCCCATGTGCGTCTCGAGGTAGGTCTTGAAAGGCTCGCAGTCGCTCTTCGTGAAAGACACAGGGGCGGCAACGTAGAGGTAATGGAGGAAGTCCGTGACATGCAGCAGAACCGAATGTCCGGTCTCCGTGACGCCGAAGAGCTTGACGGTTGCCCTACCTCCATGGAGGGTGCCCTCCTCCGCCTCAATCGACTGAAAGCAAAGGTCTTGCGTCTTCTCATCGAAACTACCCAGAGAAGGACGTCCCCAATGCTGGTCCTTCTCAGCATTCTGCTGCTTCAATTCGTCGATGTTCTGGGTCAGCTTTTCCAGCACCTCCTGCTCAAACTGGCTTTTTGGCTGGCTAGAACCGGCATGGCTGCCATTGACGACCTTCCTGGCAGGCGTCTTGAACTGGGCCGTTGCTCCACCATCGAGTTTCCGTTTCTTCGAGGGTGAGATTTGTTGGTTACGTCGCGAACTGGTCGTCTCTTGCAACACACGCTTGCTAGGCACCTTCACCGGCTGTTGAGCAAGTACGCCAGGCATTGTGACTATTGTGGGAATGGTCCGCTGATCGTTGTACATGTAGCCTTCTGCTATGGCTGGTTTCTAAGAAACAGCTACTACAGGCGCAGTTTCGCGAGAGCTTCGCGCCTAGCACGCGTTAATGACGCACAGACGGCGGGCCATGCCGCACCCTGTATGGCCGACAATGCACCCCGACCTTGGACACAAGTAATCCACCGGATTGACGATTGTTCAGAATGATGCGGGATGATATCTCCAGCAGATGCTCGCACTCAAAAATCAAGTTCCGTGCACGTCGTAAAGCAGAGCTAATTTGATTTTGATGCCCGCCGGCTCGATGCTATGATCAGCAGTGGCTTACCGAGCTCTCGCTTGCCTTCCCAAGACGATACAAACCCGCCATATAGAGGCGGATCACTCCACCTCCATAGCCTCACCACCGCCACCACCGCCACCACCGCCCGGCCGCTTCTCCGTCTTCACCCATTCAACAAACTCATCTATCACGCTCGGCCAGCTGCTCTCTTCGCTCCAGAAGCTCAGCGTATCATCCTTCATCGTCTCTTCCGCAAAGGTGAGCGTCTGCTTCCACAAGTCCTTGTTCACCGCCTTGGTCTTCTTCGCCTGCTGAAATTCCAGCCACCAGTCCAGCCATGGGCTGTTGCTCGTTCGCCAATCGAATGACGGCGGCGAGAACACCATGCGCCAGAACTCGATCGCCATCTCTAGCGGTAGTGTCTTCGCGCCTTGCGCTAACGCGAGGGTGAAGGTGTGGTTGTAGACGCTCTTGAAAACGGACTTGTCTTGCGCTAGGGCAGACTTGCGCTGTAGTATGACATTGCGCATTCTAGGTGTAGTGTCGATGGACTGTTCGGTCCAGCCCTCGATGAAGCCGTCACGGGTGATCCTGCCTAGTGAGGGTGATTGTACGATTTCGGAGAATATGAGCGCGCCTACATCGTCTAGTGGTATTTGGAGATCGCCCAGTAGGTTTGAGGTGCCGTTGATGTTGATCTCGTCTGGCTCGTTGACCACATCATCACGGTACTTGTCGAAAAGCTTGCTGAGAGTGTTCCGCATCGGATTCGGTGCGCCGGATGAGTTGGTGAAGAAGCTGTGGAGTGTCAGCAGGGACACTGCACGATCTGGTTGTTCCATTGTCTCTTACGTGTTAGCTGCTGCTGACACATTCCAATTGTGCTGTTTCAGGATCTTCGCTGCTGTGGACTTGTCACTCTGCGTAACTGTGACGAACTCGTTGATAGCAGCTTTCTGCTGCGAGTTATATGCTGCTGGCATGATGTGAGCACGTGAGCTGAAGATTGGTAGCAGAAGCCAGATCAGTCACTGAAGCGGCGTTCCTGCGAGAAGTTGCGGTTATTCACCGTCGTGGTGTTTGCGAGCGGCGATCTCGAAGATCGTCAGGTCGGAAAGTGGGCCCGAGTCAGGCAAGCCGATTGATGAGGCTTACAACGGCCGGCGGAATGATGCATTGATCGTTTCGACACGCGGAGTCCTTCACTTCTTTGACCTCCACCCTGCCTTCTCTGCCCAACCAAGGAATGCGATCAACTCACCATCTTCTCTTTGATGCTTTTTGCGTTGCGGCGTGTCTTCTACCTCATCGTCAGCGGCGCGTTTGACCATATTGTCGATGGTCGATTGTATTAAGATTTGGAACGAAATAATAACCCGATAGCAACTCGCTAGCGCAAGTGAACTTGGTGAAACCGATGCACAAACAAAACCTCACATCGCGTTGTGCCACCCTGATCTATCCATGTGGACGGAGCTGACTTAGACATGAAACCCTGGCTTGCTCCGACGACACTTGTGGCCACTGGCTTCGCCCTCAAGCATATTAGGTTGGCGCTCATAGTGCTATCGGCCACATGGCAGCGCATCCGGATCACAATACCCTTGGGAACATGAGAGCCTGCACTTATGAGCTCCGCATTATGAAGTGCTTGCAGCAGCCCGAACGCATACTGGGAAAGGGGGCGATTTCCGGGCACTTCGCTAATCATCCGAGTCGGAAGCGGTTGGGCGAAGCGTCATCTCGTAGTTCAAGGCTTGTCACATCTGTATTGGCAGTGGGTTTTGCACTCAGTTTTGGATATTATTGCATGGCGGACATCTGCTACCTAACCTTGGTGAAGAGGCTGTGTCTTACATTAACGCTTCCATGACTCCTCATATCGCTCTGACTGATACGGGAACGCTCGCAGTCAAGCTCGACTTGGACCCCCCAACTCTAACCTTCATAGAGCCCCGGGAAAAGCACACCTGCCGAAGCTTGCGACTTCCTCTGCCTACGCTTCTTCTTCAATTCCGCGAGTTCGCGATCCTTGACGCCGCTCAGTCCCTTCGTCTCCTTCAGCTCACGTTCGAGCTCTGCCGCCGGAAGGCTCCTGCGCATGGCGAGACGTGAAACAGCCAAGGCAATCCGACCCTTGACAGTCTTCTTGGACCTCGGTCCCTCTGTGCGGCCTTGGTCCAGAGCATTGACCACTTCGGCCACCGAGTAGAGCGATGCCAGCTGATAGACGTCATCATCCATGATTATAGAGGTATCCGCGAAGAGACCATGGACTCCGGCACAGCGCAAGTGCTCCTCAAAATCTTCTTTGTCGGTGCCGGTGTTGTCCTGGACGTCAACATCGCGGTCGCCGACGCCGTCGCTGGTCACTGTGCTGTCATACTCGTTGCGGGTGAGCGCGGCGTCATCGTTGCCGTCGTCTGCCTCGGAGCTTTCGGTGCTGCTCGGGCTTGAACGGCGGTCGGAATGGTTGTCCTCGCTTTCGTCAGAGTCACTGGCCATGTCTTGCGATGCTTATGGTCGTCCTTGGCACCATTCTCTGACCCAGCCGCGACTCCGATGGTGGTCCTCGTATTCTTGTAGTGGCCTCGATCAAGCACACCGTTGGCCTTGCGCGCCGCATCCAGCTCCGCCTTCATCTCAGTACGCCCACGCCCGGTCTGCTTAGCCACGCGGTCGAGACTGCGGCAAAGTCGCTCTCGGACGAGCTTTGCCGTGATTAGTTGCTTGGGTTGGGTGGCGTTGACCATGGCTGGAATCCTTGGTCCGGCGTAGGCCCTGGCAAGATCGATCAAGGCATCGCCGTTGACAAGCTCAGGATGACCTGCCAAGCTTCCCGGATCAATCATACTGGGCTGCGTTGCTTTTGTGGTTGCGTGTTAGACCTTGGCTGACGATAACTAGCACGGAGCTGCTTCTTAATAGGAGATAGACACTGATATCTTTATTGCGAGGTTATTGTGGTATGGCCCTGGAAACCGTCAAACAGACTGCCTGGCACTGGCTCCTTTAGCAGTGGATGCTTGTGACGAAGTACTGACATCGGTCTGCGAACGAAGGTATACCCCAGAGTTAAGCGCAATGTGTTATGCACTTCTTTGTCCTGAGTCGGATACAATGTCATTGTAAGTGTTGCTTCACTGATGAACGCACAGTCGAGTCACGCATCATGATTCCCGAAGACGCGAGTTGACCGTCTCTTCCTCTTTCGTCACAGGCTTGTGGAAGTCGTTATATGTACCGAACTTTGAGGACACTGCTAACAAGGGTTGCTAAAATAGGTACGCTGCTTGATGCACCCAGCAATATGAGATCATAGCATTCTTGTACTTCTTCTTAAGCCTTTTGCTATGTCTTAGGCTGAGTGCTCCTAAGTAAGCAAAGTCTCAAGACAATACGCGGCGGTCTAGCGAGGTAAGCGCCGATATTTCTGCGAATCGTCCGTGACACAGCGCTAAGCACCTTTACGAGTACTTACAGCCACCGTACCGCATGCTCCGAGATATAGCGCTGGAGATACTAACTTTCGGGTATTGTAGCTAGCTGTCCTTGCCCGCCATTACTCCGCCATTGTGAAGTCGACCGTCTTTGGCCAGCCCTTCAGCCCCATGGTCAGCTCTTCATTCTTCACAATGTCGTCCTGCATCCTCGCCATCTCGTCAACATCCCAGTGCGCCCAGAAGAACCTGCCGCCCACAAAATCAGCCCTCGGGCTGGCGAGCCAAACCGCGAAGCCACCAGGCAGGCTGAGATCGTCCAAGCTGAACGTCGCGCCCGACTTTGAATTCATTTCAGTCCCTAGTACTCCAGGATGAAAACTTGCTATACGAAGTTCGGGATGTTCGACTTGCAATGCAGCAATCAATTGCGCACTCCCCAGCTTCGAGACCGCGTAATTCGACCAGCCAGGAAATGGCGTCATGTGCGCGACACCAGAGTTTACGGAAATGAACGTGGGCGGAGCGCCTTCCCTGTTCGACGCCGCGTGCGGAAACCAGGCCCGGAACGTTAGAAGGGTGCCTTTGATGTTGACTTCAAAGGCCTTCCACCAGTCACTGAGATCGGCGTCGGCGAGCTTGACAGGGGCTGCCAGGTAGCCCGCATTCGCCACGACAACATCTATCTTGCCGACCTCCCTGGCCGTGCTGGCAAAGGCGTGTTCCAACGCCTCCTCTTCAAGCACGTCCGCCTTGAAGCTGATGACTCTGGACGTTCCAAGGCTCTCGAGTTCTTTCTTCACCTCTGCAAGAAGGTTCTCTCGTCGACCGAGAATTGCGACAGCTTTGGCGCCGGCTTGAACGAACGAACGAGCGATCTCTTTACCAATGCCAGCACTGCCACCTGTTACGAGGACCACTTTATTACTAGCAGAATTGGCTGGGTTGGTGGGGCTGATTGCGGGATACTCTGTTCGGTGTATCGTCTTAGTATACGGTGGAAACTCCCATGATGGAGACATCGCTGTCGGTGTTTATCACGTATATACTTCGACCTCACTAGGGATCACTTGATTGAGATGCAAGATAGCGCAGAGGGTGGAGCGCTCTGGCAGCGAACATTGTTCGACCTTTATATCGGAAAAGGACGTGCAGGCAATGTAGCATGCAAATGCCTCACCTAGGGGTTCGATTGCTCAGCGATCATACTGAAGCCATCTGCCGGGAAGGTTGAAACCCGCGATCCGCGAAGCGATGATTGGCTTAAATGTGCTTGCCAATCCATTCGACCGTGTAAGAAGCAAGTAGTAACCGCCTGCAGCTGGGAAGTTGATTTGTAAAACATTTCTGTAGTATTCCAGTGACAATAGCCCAGCTGCAACAGTGCAGATTCCCAACACTTGCGAGCTGCATGCCTCGTTGAGTCTACCCACAAGGGCTGGCTCCAATACATCGCTTGGCGTCCGAGGGTGTTTGTCAGCGTGAGTGAGCGTGAGGATCAACATTTCTCCGAGTCGTGGCTACTGAAACTCACAAGCGTGCGTACCGTCAGTATGCAAGTTCAAGGCGTCCAGGTTGCCCGTTGTCAAGTAGCGATAAGTTTGTTGTCTGCTGTTATCTCCACAGATAGGCAAGGATTGTCCCCTGGTTTTCTGCGCTGTCTGTCCTTTCCCTGCCTGTCCGCTGACAAGTCGGATTTGAGTGGATAAGGCTTCCTAATCCAACCGCTCATTGCTCCACCGAATTGCAATCTCCTCCAATGTCCTCGGGCTTAATCTCAAGACAGAGTAAGCTGCCACGCAGACGGCGCGCAGGCGGCGGTGATGTGGGCACCCGCTTCGGCCTGAATGGAAACTCCCTGGCGGCTGCATCCATGATATCGTAATTGTCATAGCGTACCCGACGAGCAGATTCCTGAGCTTGCTTCAGCCTCGAGTGATCCTCGTCGATAGTTCTCCGGTCGCACTTCGGGTCGTCTAGCTTGTCACGGAAGCGCCGTACTTCAGCCTCGGCGAGCTCCTCGCGTTCATCGCATTCGAGTAGCTTATCGCGCTGGACGCACGCGCCGCAGAGAGATGACAAACCCCGACGTAAAAAGGGATTCAAGCGACAGTTCTTGGAAGGTAGCCCTGTCCTTCTGCTGGTGCCCGAGAACGCGCCACGGCACTTGCTCAGGCAGAATTCGTACATGTGGCCGCATTCGTACCGGAGACAAAGAACCTTGCACATATTCGGTATTGTATGATCTTCTTTGTCGTGCTAGCTTGCGGGGCGTCGACCCGGGTTGGTGTGTGACTTGTTGCGTTGAGGGAAAGCAACAAATCAGCGACGTAGTGCCTTCCGAGATCGGTGCCAGTGGAGGAGGCGGGCGACAATTCGACAGAGTGCCAAGCCCACTGCTGCCTAGTGCTGTGGCTGCGGAGCCGCTTCCAAGTCCTCCCTCATCACACGCCGTTTCACAAGCGGACTCTCATCGTTAAGCCTTGACCAGTCGTGTGCGTCTAAACACGCCTGACGACTGGCTTTTACGCCCGTAGAGCTACGCTCGATCATTTCCCTTTCGTACTCTTCAATGGCAGTCTGCCACGCACCGTTGTCGCTCGGGCTTCTGCCATCCATGAGCGGCTTTACAAGTTCGAAGAGCCTGCCTACATCCACAATGGCATGGTTGGCTCCTTCACCACGATACATAACCATAGCGTGCCCTGCATCGCCAACGAGTGCTATCCGCCCACCACACTCCTGACCAAGCGGTGTGGCGGCAGTGGACCTTGGCAGCCAGTCCGCTAGGTCAATAGGCTTCACTTCGCTATCTTCTGAAATGCCTTGAACTAGGCTTCTGAAAGGCTCGACCCAATCCTCAGCGAGCTTCTTCATCCACTTGAGCTGATCGACCTTGCTTTCTGGCACCTCCACCGGCTCCGCACAATCGAGAAACCCAGGGCGATAGGGCCACGACGTCATTATCTGGCAGCGGTAGAGCTTGCCAGTACTAGCCTCACTGTCCACGGTATGTTCATCGGCTTCAGTCGATATAGAGCCCGGGTCAGAGGGCGTATTAAGGAAGCTGAACCAAAGGAACGCATTTGTACGCGGATCGGAGCCTTGCAGGAAGAAAGGGTCGAGTTTGCGAATCTCAGCTATACTGGTTTCGGGATATCGCGCACCAGCGCCAATGAAGCGGACGGGGAGCTGTGAATTATGGGAGTCGTCTCCATGGCAGAGTCGGCGGACCTGCGAGCGCGCGCCATCGCAGCCGACTACCATACATCCCTCGACCTCCGTGGCATCGTTAAACACGGCCACGACTCCGTCATGTCCCTTTTTCACGCCGACTAAGGTCTTGCCCCATTCCATTTCCAGGCCTTGATGCAGCAATGACCGAAGCCTCTCTCTGCTCACTCTAATCCGCTCGCCACCCATAGGCAACGGAACCCGCCATCTTGATTCTCCGGTACTGAGATCGAAGAACGCAAAACTGCCTATCTCACCACGCTCGACAGCCACTTTATTGACATATGTCTGTGGCAGCAGAAGCAAGATATCCTCTGGTAGCAACGAACGAAGTGTTGCGTACGACCAGTGCAGGGTGAGACCCCAGCCTGCAGAGCGGGCATGCGGTGAGGCATCACGCTCGAACAAAGCGTACGGCAGGTTGTGCTTTCGACATGCTTGTGCTAGGATAAGGCCAGCGATCCCGGCGCCAATGATAAGCAGTGGCCTGCTGCTGTTGCTGGTAGTATCCATGGTCAAGGAATATTGGTACTGAGAGAGCATGATGATGTACAAGTGCCGCATATATGCTCGCGCACCGCACGATCTCAGCTTCCCTATTCTGGAATCGGCCCCAATGTACGATGACGTAGAGTCGCACGGCGTATCAGTGCCTGCTTGCCAAAGCATGGTTCGGTGCCGGAGCTCGCTTATGGCACCGAGTGCTATGACAGGAGCCGGCCGTAAGGATCGCCAAGCGCTCGTTGAGATGGAATTGGCGTTGCGGGCAAACATGGCCATGCGGGACGTTCCCACGCACATGTGATGGCTACAACATGGTCTTCTCCCTTGTCGTGCAGTCTCTACACGACAATGAGGTTCGGCATTCATTGCAAGTACTAGGATGTAAGCTTTTCCAATTGCTTTCGAATGCCCGGTCAAGATCGTTCACTCGGTGTCATCGTCATCAACCGCAGGTTGCAGGGCATTTCGGATCGGTTTCCAGCGCTGTGAGAAAGAGACCTTGCCCAGAATCTTGCCGGTGATCAAAGCCATAGGCAGGGCACCAAACATCCGTGAGTCGCGGGACCAGGTGACGTTGTCGCCTACGACCCAGCAGTGTCCGGCAGGTATCTACCACTAGCCGTCAGATCAACCCATCCAGACACCGGGTGCTGGCTTAAGATAAGCTCGTACCTGTAACATTCTCCCTGGTCCTTCCCTGCCAGGCGTCTCCGCCAGGACGAAGTCACCCTCCAAGCCAATTAGCCTTTTCGTAGCGTACTCTCCCACGTAGATGGGGTGCTTGAAGCTGATGACATCGCCCACTTCCACGCCCCTACCGCGCCGGTAGTACTTGCTGATGAGCAGCCAGTCTCCAGCGGCGGCAATGGTTGGAAGCATGGAGACACCATGCGCGATCTCTAGAGTGAAGAAGTATTCCAAGAAGAGATGGCCGGTGATGAAGAAGAACACGCTGTATTTTGTTACTAGCTTAGTGAAGGCCAGGGCCCGGTGCAGCGCAGACGGCACCTGCGAGCTAGATGCATATCTAGCATGCCGTAAGTATCGCCCAGGGAGTGGCGAGATCGACTGCTTTACTGCAAGGCGGGCTTGGAAAGTCAGATAGGGCTGTCCAGCGGTGCTATGAAGCAAAGATAGCCCTGTTAAACGTCGCCGCAGCATCTCCACCCTTCACTCTCCGCTCCTCATCCTTCCTTCACGGGATGTGTGCAAGAGGTGGGTGTCGCGTGAGACCTCCGCGGTGATCGGCACAGTCAGCCACTTCGGCCCGACGCCCATACGGGCGTCACTATTGTTAATAGCACGCGTGTTGACGATGACAGAGGCAAAGAGAAGTGATATTCCGTACTTAAACCGTATTGCTATCACAGAGACGGCCTCGCTGGACGACGCTGCTCTGTTCGCAGGACAGGAACATCCAAGCCACACGAGCGGCGTTGAAACATAATTAGTCTCCTCCCGGCAATCCGACAACAATGCGGCATCAGCGATGGTAACCGCTCCCCAAGACCAACATGTCACGTACCTCCTTCACAGACTTCTCAGACCTGCCAGGCACGCTAGGTCGACCATCTCCACCCCACTCTCCGCCCCGGCGCAAACACTGGGCCCGGCGGCTCGAGCGAGCCTGTTGCCAAACTCTCGCCTATATCCCGCTCCTCTTTGTGTACGGGCTCACGACTTGGGCTGTCTGGGTGGAAGTCACTACCAGCTTTCTTGACACAAGCCTCCTTGGCGGTGCTTCTGCGCCTTCCTGGTGGAATTTGCTGAAAGCGGGCGCTGGAGCTGCATTATGGGCGCTTGCAAATCTGTCATATACTATTGCCGTGTTCACCAGTCCTGGAAGTACGATTGATGAGCGTAGAGATGCTTCGAAGAGTTCGGGCTGGAGGAAGGGACGGGGCTATGACGGGTTGCCAACGTATGCAGATGAAGCGGATGGCGAGGCGCAGGTGCCCGATGGCATGACTATGGTGACAGCGAAGAGTACGGGCAAGCCACGATACTGTAAGAAATGTCGGACGTTGAAGCCGGACCGGGCGCATCATTGCTCGACCTGTGGAAGATGTGTGTTGAAGATGGACCATCACTGCCCATGGCTGGCCACCTGCGTTGGGCTAAGGAACTACAAGCCCTTTTTGTTGTTTCTGATCTATACGAGTTTATTCTGCTGGGTTTGCTTTGCCAGTTCAGCGGTTTGGGTATGGTCGGAGATCGTGGATGATGTGCCTCTGCAGGAGGGTATGCGGGTGGTGAACATTATTCTGCTCGCTGTATTGGGTGGAATCATAGGGCTGGTTCTAAGTGCGTTCACTGGCTGGCATCTTTACCTTGTGTTTACTGGTCAAACGACGATTGAGAGTCTGGAGAAGACCAGATACCTTGCACCTGTACGGAAGACCTTGGAGGCTCAGCCGGGCCAAACATACGTCGATCACGATATGGGTGTCGATGGAGAGCGAGGCCTCACCGAGCAACTCAAAGAAATCCACGCCAACGCCCTGCCCGGAATCCTACGTGCGGAAGAAGGCGAAGACACGTCCCGTGCAACCACGCCGACACCCAGCCAGCTCAACCACCATACAAGCTCTCCCGCTCAGAGAAGTCTGCAGCGCTCATATGCGGCGATTGAAGAACAACGCGAGCGTGACCGATACGCTGCATACCTGGACGAGCTGGACAGCGAAAAGTTACCCAATGCGTTTGATCTCGGCTGGAAGCGTAACGTCCGACATGTATTTGGCGAGAACCCCCTACTTTGGGGCTTGCCTCTCTGCAACACGAGCGGAGACGGTTGGCAATGGGAGCTTAGCGAGAAGTGGCTACACTCGCGGGACGAGGTGGCAGGCCACCGCGCTCAGCGACAGCGCGAAGATGCTGTCTGGGACGGCCAGCCACGCAGCTTCGAACCTCCGGCGACCAGGCGAGATTTTAAATGGACACCTGGGCAAGGCTTCGTAAATCAAGCACATAACGCCATGCCACTCTTAAATGGGCATGTGCGAGGGACCGGTTCGCGTAGCGAGACGGAGCTGCAGATGCAATCGCTTGACCGGCGGAAGACGAATGGTGATGATGTAGACGCGTATGATACGAGTAGTGACGAGGACGTGAAGCAGATGTACTCGCATCCTCAGATTCAAGGTACGGGAAACTGGAATGACGTTCCGGATGAGTTCTTGTCGCCGAAGAGGTCGGGCGCGACCGGGCAGCGAAGCCATAGTCGTGGGAGGCGGAAAGGAGACTGATGACATGACAAGACTGTAACATATCTGTATCATGACTGTAATCGAGGTGTCGTAACATCTGGAGCTCACTGAGGAAGCGCGCCGCCAACGCCACGCTAAGTCAAGATCGTAATACTGCTAAGATCTGTACAAATTCACGCCTCATTAGAGCCTTGAGTCTGTTCGTTGCCGGCTTGGATCGTCGCTTCGAGATCGTCGAGTCGTCGTGACATCTCGTCCACTGCTCATCATCAGCTACACATGAGTGTCAAGCGAGGTTCAGGACATCGTACTTTTGCCTATTAGCTCGCCCGAAAGTGTGCTGAACTTGGTGCTTAATTGGTTGAGCAGATCATCTACCACTGCTACCAGCTCAGAAGGCGCGGTGTCTGTCGCCTACATCGTCTCAGTGATTTACCGCACAGTAGGCTCCTTATACTGACACCATCATCGCTCAAGCTGAGCTTGTTGACCTGTGCGGATAGCGTCGCGGTATCCGACATGATGTAGTCGGCACTCGCACTGTTGACAGTGGCCTTCGCACGGAACCGGAGAAGGTAGAGGGATCGTTTCGTCGACTAGAAGGTCAGGATTGAAGATCGATTGAATGGTGCCACTTAATCCGCTACCGACGCGCTTCCACGTGACCACGCGGAACACGCCCGCTTGAGAGCTCGAACTCTTGGCTGGAAATTTCCAAGACGTCGCATTGATCGCAACCACTCGCACCGCAATTAGGGTCGTCGTGGAACGTTAGGCTACCTGACAGAGAGAGAAACGAAGCAAACCATTATGGCCAAAGAGACACTCAAAGCTGCTTTTGATCGCTTCAAGGGGGTAGATCATAAGAAGCTTCACCAGAAGAAGCTGCAAAAGCAGGCCGAGAAGAGGAAGCTGAAGAAGCAACGTGCTGAAGTTGATGTTGGTGCTCTGGAAGATGTTGTGGCGGGCGCAGAGGAGGATGCGAATGCGCAACGCCTAGCCGCAGATCAAGAGGAGCTTGACCGCGAAAAGGTTGCCGCAGACGAAGCGCAAAGAGTTGCAGAGGCGGACGGTGAGACGCCAGGCTGGGAGACCGACGAAAGCGAGGATGCCGATGAAGACGAAGACGCTGACGGAGGCGTCACGCTTGAGACGTTCGACGACGAGTCCGAGTCAGATTCTGAAGCGGACCTGACGTTTTACACGGCTGCGGAACCCTCGCCTCAGAAAGCACGGATGATCGATGATGTTGCGATTGATGGTGGAGACGAGGAAGAGGACGACATTCCACTTTCAGACATTGACTCATTAGCGTCTGATGAGCGAGGCGATGTAATACCGCATCAGCGACTGACAATCAACAATACGGCCGCCCTACAGCGGTCACTGAAGTCCTTCGCTCTCCCATCCAGCCTGCCGTTCTCAGCAACACAATCAGTCACTTCCGCGGAACCTGTGGAGATAGCTGACGTGGAGGACGACCTTTCCCGCGAACAAGCCTTCTACCGACAGTCTCTGGATGCTGTGAAGGAGGCACGAATACAGCTGAAGAAGGAAGGCGTTCCCTTCTCGCGCCCGGCAGACTACTTTGCCGAGATGGTGAAGTCTGAGGAGCAGATGGGTAAGGTGCGAGCGAAGATGGTCGATGAGGCTGCGAGGAGAAAGGCAAGCTCGGATGCGAGACGGCAGCGAGACCTTAAGAAGTTCGGCAAGGCAGTGCAGGTGGCGAAACTACAGGAGCGAGATAAGGCGAAGCGAGACACTCTGGATAAGATTAATTCGCTTAAGAGAAGTACGCCTTGTCCCCCTCCATCAATTGATTGTTTGCTAACGATCGTACAGAACGGCAAGGTGGCGCAAGCCTCAATGCTAAGGAGGACGACATGTTCGACGTGGCATTGGAAGACGCCGCTGAGACCGAGAAGAAGGACCGTACGGAACGAAGAGCGAGCGGCGCTGGTGCGGGCAGGAAGCGACAGAAGAAAGACGAGAAGTTTGGTTTTGGTGGAAAGAAGAGGTTTGCTAAGAGTAATGATGCGAGGTCAGGCGGCGACCTGAGTGGTTACTCCGTGAAGAGGATGAAGGGTGGCGGGAGAGGAGGCGGGAGAGGAGGCGGGAGAGGAGGCGGAAGAGGAGGCAAGCAAAGACCGGGAAAAAGTAGACGGGCAAATATGTCGTGAGGTATGGTGTGGTGCCAGTGAGTGTTTAGTACGGGAACGGCTCGCTTTTGTAAGCCTGCCTTGTATGCTGCTTAACATCACGCTCATTCCCACATGTTACCCAGTTTGCTCGTCAGTACTTATATACGCTGCCGCATCCTTCCATGAACCTTGGACATTCATCAACCTCGAACACTCGGCCGCCCATCAGACATTTGAGATCACCTATACGATCACCTAACAATGCAGCAACATGTCGCTCCTCGACCCGGAAATTCTACGCATACTTGAGGAAGCTGGCGAGATCTCCGCCACGCTTCAAGGGGCGAAGCGCAAAGTGGCTGCAGCGTACGATGCTGTGATCCCTATGGGCTGGGACCCCGCCGAGGGACTAGGGTTTCATGGGCTTCAACACACAGACCGCCGAAGCGATTGCAACCAGACTTGCGCAGCGCCCGAATCCTGACCCGTTTCCTGGAACCCTACTCAAGTACGCTGAAGCACATGTCCGCTCGCCGTTCCAGCACTCGGAGTTGTCCGCAGCCCAAGACTTGATGACGAAAGTAGGACTTACCGAGCGTCTTGCAAATTGCCTGCCGAACCCCAAATGCGAAGACGTCACTGGAACCGAGACATTGGCGTTCTGGGTCATCGATACGATACAGGTCGATGTCGAGGGTATGACTGATATTGTGGGCCGGCTGGAGGAACGTGGAGCCAGCATGAAAGACGACAGGCGCAATCGCTCGAGTGTCCCGTCGGTCCTTCGATCGTCGCAAACAGCTGCTTATGGCGCAATGGAGATGATGCAGAGGGGTCACATTCGGCGTCCCACTCCATTTGCAGTTGCAAAAAGTGTCAGGGCACGCTGAGGCCCTCACCGAGGTGTGTCCACACTGGGAAGGCACGAGGGTATCGTTATGATGCTCTTTCGACTAGGAACTCACTTCCATAATGCTTTAACTGCCCATAGCTCCACAAACAAACGATGACTGCCGTATCTCACACCGTATTGCAGGGAAGCCCGTTTTGAGGAGTTCTTGTAGGATAGCCCGTAACGTTTAGCGATGATATGTGCCATGGGAAGTAACAGCCGGACCACAACATCCCTGGTTTGCCACCAAGGTTATGCGCACCGATTGTCGACGCCGAAGTTTCACATGCGCGCTTGGTTTTGGCAACGAGCCTCCAATGTTAGCTGCTACTAGCCGACTCTGTTCTGACGCTAAGGATGTTTTCGTTGCAAATATGCGGCAAGTGCGGCGAGTCATCACAACATCGATGGCTTACCTTCTCGCCACAACTGTCACCATCTATATCTCATGCCGCGCAGACGTTTGGTTGTGAATCAACAGAGCGCGAGACTGAAGTGACGGCCCATGGCATGTGCCATCGATCGCTCTCCGCGTACAGGGTATATAGCATTGCCAGGGAACGCCGCCTTATGCACCACCCAAGCCAGCCGCCATGCACATATCGCGCCTGTATGTCGCCAGGTCAAACACTATGATGATGTCCGTGGTAGGGACTCCACACGCCTCTAACACTTTCGTTCCAACTCTTCACCGGCTTCCTTTCTCTCCTCAGTTTCTCGCCGCTTGCCACCTTGAGCAATTCCGCCTTCTTCAGGATCTCGCTCGGCTCCATGTTGCGGACGCAAATCGCCTTTTCCCGTCCATTGATGTATAGGCCTTTGATAACCGGGTGTCGGCCCGGACGGGGGGAGATGGAGACTTCGATGCTGGGGTTGTTGGCGGCGAAGGCGGGGAGTGTGTGCTTCAGGAAGGAGCTGAATACGGTCAATTGGAGTTCCCTGTCATTTTGGGCGCCCGGGTAGCTCACTTCATGCCTTTACTGCTGCCGGCCCAGTCACAGTAGTGGAAGTCGAGACGCTTGCATTGGAGGATGAATGCGCCCACGCCATTCTGTGAGATCTCATTAGCCACCAGCACATGTTCCGCAGGGTCGAAGTAGAACTACTTGAGACTTGGCTACCGTCCGTAGCGCCTGCAAAGGCATTATCGCATTCTCGCACTGGTCGCGCAGAGCTGCTTCGTCTGCAGCAGGATGCGAGTCGGAGGTGCAGTCCGCAAACGGTCTTGGCATTCGCGCCGACTTCATCGACAGCCAACCCCCTTCCCCCTTGTCACCCACACAACCTCAACCTTGGTCCAACAACATTGAGGCGCTGCTATTGAACAGGCCCAAGGATCGTTTCTCGTGACCGGCGCATGCTGATGCTCCTTTCCGCAGAGTGAAGCCCTCCGCGCGGTTTGCGCGACCTCACGTGCGCGCGCATCAAAGCGCTCACGGAGCACATACAAGGCATCCGTTCACCGAGCCCGTCAAGCACATCACATTCAACGCCGTACAATTAGCCATCATGACGGACAAGCTCCCTCCCAACCTGTTGGCCCTCTTCGCACCCCGCCCCGCTCTTCGCTACCTGCCCCCTGCCGATCACGCGCCTGAAGACCGGCGCACCGCACGCATCACTGGTGTGGCTGCCTTCTTACCCGCGCTCAAAGAGGAGTTCGGCGACTACAAACCTACAGAATCCTGGCTGGAGAAGCGTGACCGCCGTATACTGGAGAAGCAAGAACATCAGAAATATTTGACCGGAGAAGGCGCCAAGGAGCTTTACAATCCCACCAAAGATGAGAACATTACCGGCGATGCCTTCAGCACGCTCTTCGTTGGCCGACTGAGCTACGATACCGACGTCAAGGACTTACAGCGGGAATTCGGCCGGTTTGGCCCCATCGCACGGATACGCGTTGTGCAGGATAATGGTGGTAGCGAGAAAGATTCGACGAGGCGACAGAAGAAGTCGCGCAGAGGTATGAGCCGAGGGTATGCTTTCGTGGTCTTTGAGCAGGAGAGGCATATGAAAGGTACATCTTTCATCGATCAACCCGCAATCCGCAAAGCGTACATGCTAACGATACTCTAAAGCGGCATACAAAGAGACGGACCACCTCGTCATCCGTGGCCGCAAAGTTCTCGTGGACGTAGAGCGTGGTCGCACAATCAGCGGGTGGCGACCACGACGTTTCGGCGGCGGATTAGGCGGGCGCCATTACACCAAGGCTCCAGCTATCAAGCCGTACAGCAGCTTCAACTCCGGTGGCCCACCCGCTGGTCCTGGTGGTTTCCGAGGCGGCGGGTTCCGCGGCGGTTACAACGACCGTGGAGGCTTCCGTGGTGGGCGAGGAGGCGGTGGTTTCAGAGGCGGACGTGGCGGGATCGGCTACTCAAATGGTGCACCGGACGGCGCACCTGCTGGTCCACGTTCTGGCGGCAGGTTTGGTGGTGGTGGTGGGTACGATGACCGCGGCGGAGCGCGGAATGCCAACTACGAGCCTTTACCGCCGAGAGGGGCCGGGGGCGGTGGCGGTGGCGGTGGCGGTGGCGGCTACCGAGATCGCGATGGAGGCGGCGGCGGCGGCGGCGCAGGTGGGGGTGCGTATACCGGCCAGAAGCGGCCGTACGATGGCGGTGGGTATGATGATCCGAGGTCACGGCGGAGATATTGATTGAAGGTGCATCCTGGTAAGATATCAACGCTAATATGAGACTAAAGCGTGAGAGGTAAGTTACGCGTACTGACACAGCGAAGCGTCTCACCTTCAACACAGCAGCCTCGCCCATCAAAATACAAGCGCCGCACGACAATCAGAGGTTCTGAGAACCCGCACGAAATGCCCGAAGAAGCGCGATCGACCAGCAACGACTACGAAGAGGTCCAACAACGCGGCAGCCGCCGAAAACGTAGGGGATCAGGCAGACGAGCAACCACAAACGGTAGGTCCGGACCGCCTCTCCAGGTAAGGTTCGCGACACAGCATTTGGCTCTCGGAAGAAGAAATGGCGGATTGCTGGGACTATTGAGAGGATCCGTTTCCTTTCTTGCATGTCTTTCGTACTTACCGCCCTGCTGCCGTAGCTCAAAGGGCGTTTGGCTACGCCGTGGGATGGCGATGTACGAAATGCGGCGTAAGAAGGTAGGTAGTTGGGTTAGTATAATTTATGCTGTGCCAACTGGTATGTACAGGTACATGTTGCATAGTCACGGCCAGACCAATAACTCAAACCTTGCGACCTTTGTTCGAACACGTGATTGCTATGAACCTAACAACTGCTTAGTGGGAGACATACATCGCTTACCGACCGACTTAAAGTATCTCATGCGACGTGTACCCAACCTAACCAACATGAGCCACAAGTCCTGCTCAAGCCCAGCGAGTCCTGCTTCAGCCGTAACGCAACTGACCATAACGCTCTACTACTGTACCTACACCTGAAGATCGTCGCTTTCGACATCTCCTCCACTGGCGCTCCGGCGCGGTGATACAGCCCAGTGAAATAGGATTCCCAGTATACCAATCAAGCTGGCAAAGACTTCGGCAGCCAATGTGAGGTTCTGGCCCATCGGTCTGGGCCGCTTCAGCATGTCGAGTACATCTGCGACAGCGATCCCAAGACACACCATCACGGCGAGAATGCGGCCAAGCCAGGTGAGTGGGGCTTCCCACAACTTGTGTGGCGATTGTGGTTGTTGCTGGTTGGCTTGGGGTGTAGTGCAGGTCCTGCTGCCACCGGTCGGCCGGATGTGATTCATGGGCACCGACATGATGTTTTGCCAATCACCAGATCCATATCCATTCTGATTGGAACGTTGTAGGTCGATCAGCGACGGGCTGTCGACGCGACATCGTGTGCTTCGAGAGTACGCGGCTGGCGGATGTTGAAGTGTATGTCCTTGCGACGTTGTGTCGAGTGTACTGTGCCACACGGGTCGGTCAGAGGTGAAACGGAAGCGATTACGCGTCTACTCTTACCTGGTTCGGAGACCGTTCCTCCAGTACGGCTCGAAGTATAGACACGCTGGCTGTCTCTGGGGTGGTTGTCGATCATGGATGCCCTGCTCGTTGAATGCATCGTCGTCTATGTTGGGAAGGGTACCGTTGTTGCTAATGTCGTCTTCCATCAGCACCTCGTCAACAGTAGGTGGACGGTACGAAGGCATGTCGTTGGGCTTGTTGCCTCGATAGTAGTTGAGGGTAGCGATGCAAGAGACAACGTGGCGACGCGACGTGACAAGACAAATCTGCCGAACAATGGAAGAATATAGACTTGACAATCGGTCTGTACAGCAACTGGGGATAGACAGTGGCTATCCTTACTGGTGAAGTAGCTAACGCAAGAATTGATGGCTACAAGGAGAAGACGATGCGTCGGAATCAAAACATTCGCGATACTGTAGGACCTTGCTCGAAGCCCTACGATTGGTCTATTAATCCATACAACAATGGTGGACTCTCGCACCGCCTCGCAATAACCAGGCTTAGGACCTTTGAGCTCCAATTCAGTGCACTTGACAACGTCAAGTCGCTGCCGCATCCCTCCTCTCTGCCTGTCGCGAGGAACACAGAATTGAGGCAGGGAGCGCTGCACGCAGTACTGCAGGCTACCTACACACCGGAAGCAGCGCTCTCTATGAAGCATGCCTGATCGTCAGTTGGATCCAGGGGACTCCTATCGCATGTCTGCGCTGCAGTCAGGATCGAAGGCAAATACAGCCATTCGCCGACACGATAGCAAGTGCAGCCGACAAGTCAACGGTGGTTGCGTTGCTTCATGCAGAGAAGGAGCGATCGAGGAAGCGAGCCTCTGGTCGCTCAGGGTTCTGCACTGTCGGCCCAACACGCTGAGGCCTCATGCGCAATCGAGCGTGCCCGACTAGCAGTACAAGTTGCTGTGCCAACGCGCGTGGGCTCAAGGGCTGTGAAAATCGGTTCGTTGCCTCCATCTCGGCGAGGTCCGGTTTCAGATGTTTCATGAGCGTAAAAAAGGCTAGGTGATCCGGGGATAGGCGCAACGACGATGGCTAGATGCTGGCTTCTTGCCTAGCTCCGAAAGCTTTGTTTGACGGTGAATACTTCTTCAAGCGTTGATTGGTCATAACATGGAAACGGTGTAAGCCACCAGGAACGACACGACGCCCGGGTACGGGCCGTATGGCGCAACCTGCTGCGAGCGGCATGCAAGTGTCATACTTGGCGACCCAGTAGTCCAGTCGAGAGCGTTGTGATTAGCCCGTCATGACCGTCCACTCTCGGTATCGAGACGCATGCCCAGCCGCTTGATGATCTCTGCATCCACTACGTAACTTCTCTCCTGCGGCATCAGTCCTTTGTGCACAAGCTGCTCGGCCGTCAGCTTCTCGTCTTCATCCAGTGCCTCTTTCATGGCGCGAGCAGCAGCAGTGACATCGTGGATGCTGTCAATCCACTCATCGCTCCATTTCTGTACCAGCACGCCTGGAATGCCGATTTGTATGCTTCGCTGGTCAGCAAACCTTTCGAGTCGTGGCCCTCGCTCAGGATCCCATTGCACGACCACCGTAGTGCCCTTGACATGGCTATCATGCGCTAAGGTTGCTAGCTTGAGCACTTCTGCGAAGTGCGTGTGCTTCATCCGCAAGGCAAGGACTCGATGCTGATTGGGGTCCTTGGAAGAATACCCGCAGCGATACATCATCCAGCACCAAGACGGCTTGATCCACGTTGTACGATTGATCTTGAACTTGGGTGAAGCGGAGAGTTTCTGAGTCGCTACGGCGGCGTCAGCAATCTCGTCGTTGCAAGCCTGGTAGACTGTGATTGTTTTGTCGTCGTAAAGGGCGACAATAGTCTTGCGAGGCTCCATAGTCATTTCGTTTTTTTGCTGCTCGAAGAGAACTTGAGACCGTGCAATGGTTGTGTTGTACTTGAGAGCATTGACTCATGCTGCCGGTCGCCCACAGTGCGGTGTCTGAATATGGAAAGTATTGTGGCGGTGGCAGTGCATCAGCACCATTGCAGTTGTATGTTAGTAGTAATCACCGGGGACCCTCTTTGAACGAGCTTATTGAGCTGTAGCCGAACAGAGACTACAATGTCGGAACTATAACCGCACAGGAATAAGGGATGATGAGAGGTGCAAGTGGAGAAGGCAAGCAATAATGTCAACGACAAATTAATTGTTCAACGTACGCACGTCCAGTGCTTACCATGGACGTTGAACTGATCAGCAAGACGAACAGCAAGATCTCTTTCCACAAGGTCTACAACGAAGTGGTATAAGAAGAAGTCGGCGATGTGACTTTAAAGGTTGGAAGCTGCCTTTTTGGGAATTCATGGCCTGTGCTTCAGCATCTGAGTTCGCAAACATCAAGAGTAGGTAAATCGTCGGTAGCCCGCCCTCGACAGCCACATCATCAATACACAGCCAAAGCGCCCGAGCCAATCGACCAGTTCTAGACTCGACGTGAGACCGGGTGGCAAGTCTTTGGGCCCTATATCGATGCACGACCTTTGAGTATACGACAGCAACCGGTGCTCACTCGCTCAAACACGGGTTGTAGCCGCTTACGGAGTTATAATCAAAGTGCTTGATCAGGGGCGACCAGTGTTCAAGTACTGCCGTTTGGTACGACTCATAGCTTGACCCTCGCGTTCCGCGATGGGACCAATTTTTGCTTCGCCGGATATTGCGGCGCTCGTAGCAGCCTTCCCACCTCCTCAACCGACTCAACAGATGCCTGGCCTTGTACTGGATCTCACGGGAAGCGGCTTTAGGGACTCGCGCAGGATCCACTTCCAGCTTCGGCACCTACTAGAGACCAGCCCAGCCCGCATCAAGCTGCGCGAATTACCCTCTAGACTGGACGTAGCCAAAGTGGACTGGATGCTTTCATACTATGAGGATACGCTGTTGGCAAGCAAAGATGGCCAGTCACTGATTGGGCGACAAGAAGCGTCCCGTATCCTCGATGAGCTGGTAGCGCGTACAGCAGAGCATCCAGTCGAAATACCAAAATACCTTGCTGAAACAGACATGTCATTGCCTTCCTTCACCCAGATCGTTGACGAGTACAATGATCGATCAATCTCCGACGGAGGCCAGGATCTTCCTGCAAAGAAACTACATGTGTGGCCCATCTCCGAGACGAGCGGAAAACCTGGATCATACATATACAGTAATCTCTATGCCATTCGAGTCGGAAAGGTGATCAAGTGCCAAGTCACCAACGATGCCGATCAAGCCTTCAATCTCAGTGACGCTTTCGCCGACACGCTACCAGCCCTGTTGCTCGACATCGCACGGTTCTGTGTTGCGAATGATCATAGCCATCCAGGATTGCAAGGGACCTGGCAGATCGTCGACGGCAAGGTTTGGTACACTGTACCAAGTCCTGAGGTGGACCCGAAGCACGAGTCGCAAGTTGCAGAAGCAACGAAACTGGAAACCCTCGTTACAGAACTGCGTGAACATCGCTTTTGCGTAGTTGCTACGTCGTTGACTGCTGAACGATCCGACATTCATGACCCTCAGTGTAACGCAAACCAGGTGAAAGAGCGAGCGGAATCTGAATCTGGCGGCAATCTACATCTCGAACCGCTGCCGCTCAATGAGCAGCATCGAGGCACACTGCTCGTCGAAAAGCAGGCGTTGCAAGACTCAATACGGAAGCTACGTCATGCGATGCTTCCAGCAATGCGCCGTATTGTGTGCAACCACTCTAGCCGCACCAATCTCCGAAACCAAATTGAACCGAAGCTACTAGAATCTGAGACCTCCGACCCTCTGGCCTTGCTGCTACTGCAGACCAAAGTATGGTATGACCTTCAAGAGGAGGTGTACCAAATAGGTATGAGCCTTCGCCAAACAGATCAGCAACTTCTCGCCACAAGCCTCCACACATACTTGCTGGCGCCACTGCGATTGTACCAGAACGGCATCCGTATCGTTGAAGACACCACTCTCCAGTCGCACCTTGAGGACTATCTAGGCGACCACTTCCGCTCTGAGGTTGTTCCTGCAACCATAACTCACATTCAAGAGCTGGACATGCTTGAGAAGGCTCGCAAGGAGAAGGCGGTTGTCCAGATCCGCAAGATGGTCTCTTCAAAAGAGAGGACGCTATCTGTACTGTTCGACGCTGCCACGAAGTGTGCCGCTAGCCTCGACGTACCATCACCATCGAATGCTGAGATTCAGCGCATCAAGCATGACACCCTCCGCCAAAGGGCCACGATCCTGCAAAAGCTCAGCCGCGGAAGTGATGTTCTGCAGCACCTTGTGTGGATCCTGCTGGCTAAAGAGGTCAGAGACGCACTATTTATGAGTGCGGGCAGAGACACGACGAGGATGATCAAGCTGTATCAGACACTGGTCGGTAAGCAAGGGCAGGGGAATGGAAATGAAGTCAGTGCGAATCTGGGAGCATGGCGGGATGCGCTAAAGTCTGGGCAAGACGAGCCGGCGATGCTGGCGGAGGTGAAGGCGTTAGGTGCGAAAGCCGTAGCGGAGGTTGTGGGCAACGTCAACGGGGACATGGGACAATAGAGGCGGTTACGAGTAATTCGCCAACGAGTGAAACTTAAGCGACGATTGCTGTGGCTACCATGAACGCGACTCTAACGGACGGCTCACGGATGGATTACCGTTGAATTCAACCCGACTCTCTGCCTGAGCTTGAATCATAGGCGGTTGCGAGATTGAGAAGACGCTGATTCTCGTCGCCAAGAAGGTCGCCCTTGACGGGAGGCGCCTGCTAATATGACCATTAATAAGCAGTAAAACTACATCAGGCCCGCTGAACGTACTGAACTTCAGCAAGCTACGGATTCGCAAGATCGCCAGCCACCAGCTCTGCAGACTTACATCCTCCACAAGCTCACCTTCACCTCTTCTTCTTCGGAACACTTTTCTTCTTCTCCACATCGTCCAACCCACTCTCCCGGTCCTTCCTTGCTGCTTTCTTCTCCAGCTCGTCCCAGTCCTCACCCTCTTCATCTTCACTGACTTCCTCCTCCGACGCCTCCGCACTCGCATCGTCGTCGAACTCACTCTCATCCTCGCTGCTCTCCTCACTCGCTAGCTCCTCCTCTGAAACCTCGAAAGCACTCTCCTCTTCTTCCTCGTCGTCGCCTTCCGAATCCGACTCGGTTGACAAGAACGACCAACCGCCGTCCTTGAAGAAAGCGTGCGGATCTGCGATAACGGTCTTCATGATTGTCGCCCAGTTGAGGTTGAGTGGTCCTTCGGTATAAGGGATGTCAACGCTGTCCAGCCAGTCTTTAACGCCATCTAGCGACTCCACGGGGATGGTGTTAATGTGGGCAGGTGCTCGTGTGAAGTCCTTGAAGACAATGACCATGTCGAAGTTCTTCAGCCCGAACTGCACGCGCTCGAGATGTACGACTTCGATGTCATTGAGTGTGATGACCATGAATGGCGGTTCGGTGAGTTGTACTAAGCAGTCCGTTGTGGGTTGTACGATCACGCTACTCCTGCTCGGCACACCGTTGAAGCCAAGATCACGGAAGGGCATGTCGACGGTAATGCCGTCACCCTTGCCCGCGTCCGCGATCTTCTCCGTGAAGTTCCTGAACTCCTTGTCGAGCTGCGCCCGGCGGCGCTTCTCTTCTTGCTCGGCCTCGAACTCCTCTTCGTCACCGTACCGGTGCTTCCGCTTCCGGTTCCCCGTCTCGTCGAATTGCATTTCGGTCGCTTCGCGGTAGAACTGCAAGTCCTTCGTCTTCTTCTTGCCGATGATGATGGGGTTGATGAGGTGCACGTGTATGATGACAATTAGCTCGCCCACACAGGGCTGGAAGAAGAGGTGCTTGACGTTGCTGAACAAGATGTCAACTCTACCGGCTCCCATGTGGAGATATCGTAGACCGTTCTGGTGGATCTCAACTGCGCCACTAACGCGTTTTGACTCCATCGCAGGGCGCATGTAGACGTTGTCCAGCCTGAGCGGACGACGGTTGCGGATCTCGACGAGCTTGTCTTGTTCCACGACATCTTCCAGGTCTTTCCTTTCTTGCTCCTTGCGGTTAGTGGCCTTCTTCATATCGGTTATCTGGTCCTTGATGTCCTCCATACGACCAGCGTCTTTGCTGCGGAAGGTCAAAGAGCGGATGAACTGCGCATTCGGATCTTCAAACGGCTGATCGTCTTTCCTACCTACACCTTGGCCGGGTGACAGGAAGTTAATGCGCAGATAGCAGAAGCCTCCCTCATTGCTCGTAGTGGCGTTCTTCAGCGTATTGATGTGGAAAGGTACCGGTCGGCCCATGATGGGTAGTATGATGGAGTCATTCTTCGAGTCGACCAGGACCGTGAGATCCTTGACCCGGTTCGGAAACTGGCTGTCACGCTTGTATGATTCGAAGCGCTTGAACTTCTTCTCCTGCGTGCCGTCAAGGTTGCCGTGACCTTCGCCGTACTTCTCCTTGCCTTCTCTCTGCTTCTTGTCGTGGAGCTCCTTTTGGTGCTCTCGCCGAGCAGCCTCCTTCTCCTCGTTCTGCGTCTGCGCGCCTTGACCACGAAGACGTGTCTTGGTGATATTTGATGATGCAACAGCGCCCACTCGAGGGTCCTTCTTCGGCTTCGGCTTCTCCTTCTTGTCCTCTTCCTCGTCTTCGTTGAAGAAGAAAGAAGTGCTCTCAATGTCGGTAGGCGCATCTCGAGTGAAGACAAACGCGTCTCCAACGTTTGGTGCAGTCACGCGGACGGTGTCACTCAGCATGAGGGCGTACTTGGCATCGCGCTTCTTATCTTGCGGATTCGGGTTCTCGAGGTCCGTAAAGCCAGTTGTGATGGTGAACGTCATGCCATCCTTCAGCGTGCGTGTATTCTTCGCGTTCAGCAGAAGCTGACTATCCCTCGTCTCAATGCCGACGCCTGCACCGACAGACTTCACGAACTTCTCGACCAGCTCTGGCTTCTTTGCCTTGATGACGGAGATAGCCTTATTGTATACATCCTTCGCAGCAACACCATCACGCAACTCTTTGATCACTGCATCATGGACGTTCAAAAGCAGCTTGTACATGCTTTCTTGGCTCTTGTTTGGATCGACAAGATATGTCCGCGCCACTGTTGACGCATATGTTTGGTAGCGCAGACCTAGCGCCGAGATGATGACGCCCGCATGCAGGTTGTTGTCATCAGGCTCTGTAGCGAGGCGGATGTCAAAGTTGCCACCACTCATGACTGTTGGGTTGAGAGACCAATCCAGCTGTGAGACGTCAAACGGCTGCGGCGCCTTCTTCCACTTGAAGAACTTCTCGTCATCGATCTTGTTTGCGATCTTGTCGCTCAGTGCTCGATGCGTGATCTTCTTGTCCTTGTCCAAGATGTCGGACATGTAGTCAACGAAGAAGTCGGCCATAACGTGGGCTGACGATACCGAAGCGTTCCTGATGTTGCGCAACTCGTTCTCGTCCTTCACTGCCATGACGGAGGAGAGGGCGGGGCTGATATCCACCTCTTCAACATCCTTGCTGATGTCCGCAAAAGCTGTCTTCCACTCTTGCACGAAAGGACCGCCTGACAAATCCTTCGTGATTACGCCGACCTTCTTGCCCGCAGCTTTGATCGTCTCCAGTATCCGCTCAAACTGCTTACCATTCTCTTCTACGTCCTTACCCCTCACCATGATTTCGATGTTCATCTTCGCGCCATCTTTCAGCGGTTCAAGATACATCGCCTTCTTCTTCGTTGTGACCATGTATATAGTTTCCAATGTGATCAGGAATAGCGTGGCAGGGAACTCATATCCCAACAGCCAGAATTGCATGGCATTTGCCTTGTGGAAGTTCTGCACCTCATCACTCTTTCCCATAACAATTGCGATGCTGCCGACATCACCGAAGACGTTGTTGCCGCTGCGCTTATCAGCCTTCCACGCTGTGACGAGGGTCGAGAGACGGTTATGGAAGTTGGCCTTGTCGATGCTCACTTCGTCCGCCATCTTCTTCGGGTGTGATGGCACTGTCGCTCGAAGTGATGATGGCAGTGGCGACAGCCAAGTGGATGTTAGTGAAGAGTGAGTGTGAGCGGAGAGGTTGATGATGGAGTCGCGTGTCGAAGGCTTCTACGCGGGCGCTCGGGCCTATCGCGAACATCTACCGATGTTCAGCCGAACGCTAGGCGAACCTGTATACGACCATTAACCCCGAGCTCCTCTTCCCACAAGCTAGCGCACATTGTGCTCCTCAAATTGCATTTAAAGCATGCTACCAACTTGGTGATGGCTACAGTAGCCCTTTTTCCCCGCGCCGGATGATGAGCGGACCTGATGGGAGACCAGTCTTACTCCCGCCCCCACTGCCAGACAGTGATGGCAAGATCCGTAGCACGCGGCAAGACAATGCCTCTACAGGCGTTGGCGCCGCCCTTGTACGTGGTCTAAGTGCGCGGCTTCTAGCTCTCTATTTCCGGGCTCCGATCAAAGCCTTCTTCAAGACCAGGATAGAGTAAGTGAAGGCTCCGCGTACACTCACTGGACGCTCTATCTGACCTTGAGTAGTTATATGGTGGGTGACCAGGTCGTGTTGCCGGGCGGATGATCCTAACAAGATTTAGGGCTATGCCAGGGCCATAAATCCCAATGTCCAAGCTGGTCAGAAGTGGTCATGGCGCATGACCTCTCCAGCGCTACTGGCATCAGCCATCCACCGCCATGGCTGGTCCTTTCTCCCGAACCAGGTTCTTCCGCCCTTGATGGCGAACACGGTCGTTGGCGCAGTCCTTTACACTGCATATCTGCAAACTCTAGGCTTGCTTCACGAACCGTCCGCCCGAGCAACAAAGCGTACCGACCCGTTGCCGCCACCCACTCATACGTTCGCCGCAGGCTTCGTGGCTGGAGCCTTTCAAAGTGTTGTTGCCGCGCCGTTAGATGCTCTGCAGATTCGCTTTCAAGCGAACGAGTTCCTCAGCGGCAAGTACGAGAATATGTGGCAGTACGCTTGGCGCAAAACGCGCGAGATTGGTGCTCGCGGTATCTTCGCTGGCTGGTCCTTGAGTCTCGTCCGCGACAGCTTCGGTAATGCCGTCTTCTTCAGCACGTTCGAGTACATCAAGGGCCAAGCTTTCTACAGCTTCGTCAGCAATTGGTATGGCACCTATGGCAGCTTGACCGGATTCCAAAAGGATGTTCTTCGATCGCAGCGCAACAAGGATGGGAGTCAGGTGACCAGTCCTGCGATAACACCGCATTACATGATCGAGCCGACTTTCATCTTGCTTGCTGGCGTTGCGGCTTCCGTGGCCCAGGCGCTGATTCAGTACCCCATCAGCCGCATACAGGAGGTGCACTATGGACGCCTCGAATGGATCGATGCACATCCGCACAAGAACAAGCCGAATAAGCTAAGCCGTGCTGGTGGCGCGCTGGGAATGTACGTCAGCGCTTATCGCAAGACCTTCAAGCAATGTCTTGCTGTTGCTCGCCGTCAAAATGGGCTCAGACATTGGCTGTACAAGGACTTTCTAATGCGTACGATCACCCAAGTTCCCAGCACAAGCGCGGGTTTGATCGTCTTCGAGGTAATTAGGCGGAAATATGGTGACAAATCGGACATTGTGAAGATCAACAAAGATGGTTATGACATCCTTTTAGTGTGATAAACCCATCACCTCCTGCTCCATTCAACACAACCCCTGACGACTGGCTTTAGCCGCTTACTTCACCTTACGCAGTTCCGGCTTGCTCAGACATTGGGAAGACGCGCACGGTAAACGGGACATTCGTTCTCCACAACGGCTTGATTGACCAGCCAGCTGTCCACATGCGCACGGACTTCAACGACCAATCCGGACACGTCGAAGCGAACGCACCAAGCGTAGCCAATATCAGACTTGAAGCCTGCCCACGGGTCAGAGTTCTTGGTGCCTATGTCACAACAACTGCATGCAGACTCACCACTCTTGCACTCAGCATGAGCGACCAACTCAACAACCGCCATCTCTGCTCGCCGCCGCCGACAACATTGCGAACCTTGAGCATGATGTCCGGCCCCGTTCATGATGGCACTCAATCGCTACAGCGTGCTCTTGCGGAACTCCGCAAAAGTGTTATAGCGGCCGGCTTAAGGATGCGTTCTCATGACATAATTTAGAAGATTGCGAGAAACACGCTTGCACGTCTCGCAGTAGTTACACGACTCCCTGTTGCGGAAGAGGGCGGCGATCTCGTCGCACCTGGGGTGGGGCCTAGATGCTGAGAATCTCGCGGCTGTTTGTGTCATGGGCTGTTTCGATATGACGAATGTGGAACAGCCGCCCATGCTGAGGGTGCGAGGATCCAGCCTTCTGCTCGGCCTGCGGCTTTTGCTGGCGAAGGACAGTCTGAGGGCTGCAACAGACATTGGGCGGAGGACGTGCGCTATCTGCAGCAACTGAAGGTTGCTGAGAACCAAGCTCTGGTGCTGCTGTGGTAATACACTTGGTGTTCTGGCTTCAGAAGCTAGTGGTTCATAGTTTACGTGGTGTTATGATTACTGCTGTTACTGCTCCGTTGGAAAATGACCTCAAGTGGCCTCTACGTGCTCGCCATGTTTTCTTACGGCTATCGACCTTACATCGTTCGTTCTTGATCCCAATGTGCCTACAACGCCATACTCCCAAGATGCATCGAAGCCATGAGGTTAATCTCGTCGAAGCTAGACGCCATTCCCGGTGTCGCAGATCGTTGCCTGGAGCAGCAGCCTTAGGCAGCAACGAAAGCACTACGCTGAAGCGGTTGTGGCCGCAATGCCAAGCTCGAACTTTCACTAGTGCGACATTCGAAAATCCAAACGACTTCGGCAGCATCGCGTGCGCATCGCTCATTGACCCCATTTCGCGCACCACGACAATACCGCCAAAATGGGTAAGAGAGGTATTATCAAGCATCAGAAGCGTCTGTCAGCGCCGTCACATTGGCTGCTCGACAAGCTCAGCGGTACCTATGCGCCCAAGGCCAGCGCCGGTCCGCACAAGCTGAGGGATTGCATGCCGCTCATTGTCTTTATTCGGAATCGGTATGGCAGAAGCACTCATACCAAAATCAGGAGTGACATACTGATGATCCGTTGCACGGCAGCCTAAAGTACGCCCTTAACACCCGCGAAACGAAGGCGATCGTCATGCAGCGCCTCATCCAAGTCGACGGCAAAGTCCGCACCGACCCCAACTACCCAGCCGGCTACATGGACGTCATCACCATCGAGAAGACCGGCGAGAACTTCCGCCTCGTCTACGACACCAAGGGACGCTTCACCGTACACCGCATCACAGAAGAAGAGGGCGGTTACAAGCTGGGCAAGGTGAAGAGGGTTCAGCTGGGCAAGGGCGGCATTCCATTCTTGGTTACGCATGATGCTCGCACGTAAGTGTTGACTGCGTCTGTCAGACGTTGGACCAATGTTTGGCAGAAAGAGGCAATATACTAAGATATGTGGTTGATGTAGCATCCGTTACCCGGACCCGGCGATCAAGGTAAACGATACGGTCAAGATCGATCTCGCTACGGGTAAGCCACAACACTATACTAGTCTTCACAGCGCCTACTGACAATCTTTTAGGTAAGATCACCGACTTCGTCCACTTCGACACTGGTGTCATCGCCATGGCCACTGGTGGTCGCAACATGGGCCGTGTCGGCGTCATCACCCACCGTGAGCGCCACGACGGAGGTTTCAACGTCGTCCACATCAAGGATGCCATTGACAATGAGTTCGCCACCCGCGAGAGCAACGTCTTCGTTATCGGACGTGAGAAGCCGTGGATCTCCTTGCCGAAGGGCAAGGGTGTCAAGCTGAGCATTGCAGAGGAGAGAGATCGCAGGAGAGCGTACGCGCTTGCTGGTCACTAAGCGTGCCCGAGCGAAGTGCGTACTGTCGTGGGTATGTAGGAATGGAGTGGGGCGTCGTGGCTTTGTGGGTGTCTAGCCGCAGACGTTGGCGCTGGTTGCTTCGAGCATTATGTTATTCTGCTGAGCTTAAAGCACAAGCTATGCAGCTTTCGGCCGTAGCGTCACATGAGAACAATGCGATCGGGCCCGACTGCCAGATCCAAAGCCATTCGAATTATAACTCAGAGGCAAATTCCAAAGTACTAATATATGTTTCTTGTCAATGCCTAAACAGCACAAGACGTCGAAGGGTTGTATCGTGCAACACGGCGACCACATCGTTGGTCATAACAACCTTTGAAATCAGGGTGTTGGAGGCAGTAGATAGCTGCGCCATAACGTGCCCGTTGTTCACATCATTTGTTGGCAGAGGCATGTCTGCCGAATTGTGGCGGTTCTCTATCAGTTGAACTTGTGCAGGATGCTCTGGAAGGGAATCATGTTACCTTCCATAGCTCCATATTTGCTTGCCTAAGGCAAGAAATGTGGCGCTGGTACCTACCTTAGGCAGGCATAAGGTTGCTCGAGGGCTGCCGTCACACTCCGCCGCCATTGCGCGGAAGCTGCGCGTACATCTTATCCTTCACTTAATCTGTTGCAATGTGGGCAGGTGGCAAGCTGTAGCAAAGCTGTTTTTTCATATTTCCTCACAGGCTCCAACAACAACAACAACAACAACAACAACGCCGACATGGCCGCCCTCTTCAGCCAGACGACTCGCAACGTCGACCTCAGCAAGTCGGAAACAGAGCTGGCGACCAACATCCGCAAAGCCACGTCGATAGAAGAGTCGGCGCCCAAACGGAAGCATGTACGAGCCTGCATCGTCTATACCTGGGACCACAAAAGCAGCCAAAGCTTCTGGAATGGTATCAAAGTCCAGCCCATCCAAGCCGACGAGGTCCAGACCTTCAAGGCGCTCATCACCGTCCACAAAGTGCTGCAGGAAGGCCACCCGATCGCACTCAAAGAAGCACAGGCGCATGTGTCATGGCTGGAGAGCTTGACGAGAGGCATGATGGGCGGCGCGGGCGGAGACGGCATGCGAGGCTACCAACCGCTGATCCAAGAGTACATCTTCTACCTCGTCTCCAAGCTGCGCTTTCACCGCGATCATCCCGAGTTCAACGGCACCTTCGAGTACGAGGAGTACATCAGCTTGAAGTCGATCAATGACCCGAACGAGGGCTACGAGACCATCTCCGACTTAATGAACCTGCAGGACCAAATCGACAGCTTCCAGAAGCTCATATTTGCGCACTTTCGCAGCAGTAACAACAATGAGTGCAAGATCTCGGCGCTGGTGCCGCTGGTGCAGGAAAGCTATGGCATCTATAAGTTTGCGACGAGCATGCTGCGGGCTATGCACACAACCCTGGGCGATGATGAGGCACTAAGTCCGTTAAGAGGCCGATATGATGCGCAACACTACCGGCTAGTGCGCTTCTACTACGAATGCTCGAACCTGCGGTACCTCACCTCTCTCATCACCGTACCGAAGCTGCCGCAAGATCCGCCAAACTTGCTGGCAGAAGACGAGGCAGCACCGGCATTGCCCGCGAGACCACGAAACGAACCAGTAACGAAGCCAGCCACCCCGCCTGTGCGCAAACCCGAAAATCCGGATCCGGAGCCCATCAATGAATTTTGGAAGAGTGAGCAGGCGCGGCAACAGGAAGAGTACGCAGCCGAGCAGGCGAGATTGCAGGCACAATGGGAAGAGGCGCAACGGCAGCAGCAGGCACAAGCAATGCAAGCACAGCGAGATTTCGAGGAGCAGCAACGGTTGCAGGCAGAGCAACAGAGACTGCAGCTTGAGCAGCTACAGCGCCAGCAGTATGCGGAACAGACACAGGGCAGGATGGCGGAGCTGGAGCGGGAGAATCTGAACGCTCGAGCGCAGTATGAGCGCGACCAGCTAATGCTCGAGCAATACGATCGGAGAATGAAGGCTTTGGAAACGGAGCTACAGCAGCTGAACGCCAACTTCCAGCAGCAATCGCAAAGCAAAGACGATCAGATTCGCGCGTTACAGGAGCAGGTCAATACTTGGCGGACAAAGTACGAAGCGTTGGCCAAATTGTACAGTCAGCTACGGCACGAGCACCTTGAGCTACTGCAGAAGTTTAAAGGTGTGCAGCTGAAGGCAGCGAGCGCCGGCGAAGCCATCGAGCGGAGAGAAAAATTGGAGCGTGAGTTGAAGACGAAGAACCTAGAGCTGGCAGACATGATCCGAGAACGAGACAGAGCATTACACGAGAAGGACCGATCGCAGGGCGGGCATAAGGACGAGCTCGAGAAGCTTAGGCGGGAATTGCGAATGGCGCTGGACCGGGCAGACAATGCAGACCGCGCGAAGGGAAGTGAGCTGAGCGCCATGCTGTCACGGCATAACCGCGAAATCGCAGACCTCGAAGAAGCGCTTCGCAACAAGACCAGGTCACTGGACGACGTGCGCTCCAAGCTTGGCGAAGGCAGCTCAGATCTGGAACGACAACTGCGCGAGAAGGAAGAGGAGCTCGAGATCTACAAGTCCGGCATGGACCAGACACTACTTGAGCTCGACGAACTTCGAAACAGCAACGGTGCTACCGACAACGCCATGGACGAGCAGATTGATGTTATGCTTCTAGACAATATACGCAAGATCAACGATATCATTGACTCTGTGCTGCAGTCCGGGGTGCAGAGAGTGGACGACGCCCTGTACGAGCTCGACAGCAGTATGCAAGCCGGTAATCAGAATGCTTCTGGTCCATACGTGCTATCTCAGATCGAGAAGGCACAGGCGACGGCCATGGAGTTCAGCACCGCATTCAACAACTTCATCGCCGACGGGCCGAACAGCACACACGCCGAAGTCATCCGGACAGTGCACGCTTTCTCCAACGCCATAGCCGACGTACTGTCAAATACCAAAGGCCTTACCCGCTTCGCCAGTGACGACAAGAAAGGCGACCAACTAATATCTGCCGCTCGCCGCAGCGCAAGTAGCACCGTCGACTTCTTCCGAGGCATTATGTCCTTCCGCCTTGAAGGCCTTGAAGACCTGCAAAAGACGGACGTTGTCATCAACAAGAACAACGACGTGCAAATCGCGCTAAACAACCTCAGCAAACTCGCCGACGCTTTTGCGCCAAAAACGAAGCTCACATCCACCTCTGGCGACTTGGGCGAACTGGTGGACAGAGAAATGACCAACGCAGCCAAAGCCATCGACGCCGCTACCGAGCGCTTGACGAAGCTGATGAATAAGCCGAGAGACCACTATAGCACGTACGAACTCAAGATCCACGATAGCATCCTGGAAGCGGCGATTGCGGTCACGAATGCTATCGCACAGCTCATCAAAGCAGCAACTGCATCACAACAAGAAATCGTGTCGCAAGGCAGAGGCTCAAGCATGAGTCGCACACAATTCTACAAGAAAAACAACCGATGGACCGAAGGTCTCATCTCCGCCGCCAAAGCCGTCGCACGAAGCACGAACATGCTCATTGAGACCGCCGACGGCGTGATCAGCGGCCGCAACAGTCCCGAGCAGCTGATCGTGGCCTCCAACGACGTCGCCGCGAGCACGGCGCAGCTCGTCGCCGCTTCGCGAGTGAAGGCGAGCTTCATGAGTAAGAGTCAGGAGCGGTTGGAAGAGAGTTCTAAGGCGGTGACGAATGCGTGTCGGAGTTTGGTGAGGCAGGTGCAGAAGATTATTGAGAACAGGCAGCGGGATGGGGAGGAGGATGTGGACTATGCCAAGTTGAGTGGGCATGATTTCAAGGTTCGGCAGATGGAGCAGCAGGTATGTCTTGTGATTTCTGAGAAGCAGGAGAAGCGTGGTGGTGCTGACGTGGTATCGTGTTCTAGGTTGAGATCTTACAGTTGGAGAACTCGCTTAGTGCGGCACGGCATCGGTTGGGTGAGATGCGGAAGATTTCGTATCAGGATGAGGATTGAGCGGAAACTCGCAAGACTGGCTGCGGCTCGACATGCGGTAAGGCTGATTTTGGCTGTAAGCCAGAAATGCCTTCGAGGGAAGGGTATCATTTCGATGTTCTTTACACCCTACCACACCGTCGTAACAGGGCTGCCTGCTCAACGCGTACGATCGACGACACCTTGCTCCAGGTCCTCAAACGCTTCGTCCTCGCGGCTAACCGGCTGCTGCGCGGCAGGATCGTCATTGCGACTTACGGCCGCTTGCTCCTGTACATTGTCCTCGCTCTCTTCGTTCGGGTCGTCGTGATATTGTTGTGGCGCTGGCGTAGCCGTGCTGCGAGCGCTTTGCGCGGATCGAGCCATTGACCGCACAACGTCCCCTTTGCATATGGGGCAGGTGCGGCGGCGGGTTGTGAGCCAGGGCGTGCTGTTTTGCGATGGTTAGCATATCGCCACTTCCGGAAAGACAAGGGTGGTGGTTTTGGTTCTACTCACATGCACTCCGCGTGAAATTCATGCCCGCAGGGTAGGCTCATTACTCTGCTTACGCCATCAACGTACTCCTCGAGACAAACCACGCACTCCCTTTGCTTGCCTCCATACCGTCTCCGCCACTCCGCGAGACCTGCCGCGCGTTTTTCCTCGATCTGCTCCAAGCTCGGCGGCGCCAGCTCATCGGATAGCGACGAGCTCGGCTGCACCGGCACCTCTGAAGCGGTCCGTGACCGCGGTCGCACGCGAGCGTTGATTGGTCTCGCGCCAGAGGGCAGGAGTGGCGTTGACGCCGTGACGGGCGAAGACACGGATGAAGTCGTTGATGACGTTGTTGCGGTGGTGCTAGGCATGGTCTGGTATGTGCGCACTGGTAGGCGTTCGACCACACTTTTGGGTGCGCGCCATCTGCGCCGCCGGATGCGGGAGCGCAGGAGAAGCAGAGCGTAGACTACTGTTAGGGTGACGAGGGGCGAGACGACTAGGACGAGAAGGGTATCAAAGAATGGAGATGAGGACACCAGGGTTGGCGTAAGTGTGATCCAGAGGCCATCGTGCTCTGACATGTCGTCCATAAGTCCATGATTGGAGCTTTTGGTTTGTGGAGAATCATGTGCGGGCTTGGGAGCCTCTGACGCAGACTTCTTGTGATTGTGCTCTTTGCTTGGAGGCGTGTCCTGGTAGTCGAACAGCCTCGCAAACCAGTTGGCCGAGCTGCCATCATGCTCTCCAAGCCCAACTTTGTTGCCAGCCTGCTTGTCCAGGCCAGTAACGTCAACGGCCTCGTGACCTGCTTTGCCATACTCGCCACTTCCGGGCGTGATACTGCCGCCTTTAAGACCGTGCTTGGAAGCTTTCGTGCTGGTCGCTGGAGCCACAGAGCTTGACGTCGATGTTGATGTCGTCACTTGTTGCTGCTCCTTTTGCGCCGCGACCATATCCGGATCGCGCCAGTCCTGCACGCCAATGACGAAGCTGTCACTAGCACCGGCATTCGCCGTCTTGCTCGAAGCCTTTGAGCTCAAAGTCGACGTGGTGGCATGCGTGCCGATAAAGCGAAGGATACCAACTTCGTCCTCGTCAAGCTCCTGCGGCACCCATCCACTGCTACCGCTGGTTGGAGGCCTCCTACTGTTCCCTTCGACTGTGGCCCTCCTACCTCCGAAGAAATATCGAAGCCATGTCACAGCGCTGGCTTTCTCCATTACATCTTTATCCACTGCAGTAGCTGAAGACTTTCTGCCATCCTTTGGGGTAGCCTTCGAAGTTGATGTCGACTCTGTTGCCACTGAGGTAGTTGTGAAGTTTGGCTTGTCAGCCGAAGTGCCCTTCTTCTTCCCACCCTTCCCAGACCCAGCTTTTCCACTTAACGCCAGTCCGAGCCTTGCGGCCTCCTCGGCCGCCAGATCATCCAATACACCGCCCGAAGGTATCAAGCTCGACAACAGATGCGAAGTCGTATGTGAAGTGAACAGCGATGGGATGGTGACATTCGAAGTGTCACCGCGCGCATACATCGTCACGAGCGGACCGCCACGAATGTCGTCGCCTACGATAAGCGCCACGCCGCCTCTGCGCTGCACCCACTTGACCTTCTCGAGAAAGCCACAACCACCACGACTCAACAGCACGATCTTGCCAGCAATCTCGGCACCCTCTTGCAAGCTCTGGATGTCCGCATGTGCCGGCTTCTTGCTGCTCTTCGCTGCCTTGCCATTGCTCTTCAGGCCGTCGGAAGGAGGCAACGGATGATGCAGATGATCATCCGTACCATCGTCCTGTGCAGGGACCTCTTCTATCACGTCTTCGTGATCATCCTCTTCCTCCTTCGTCCTTGGACTGCTCTTGCCGCTCTTGGCATCTTGCGCTTGATGGCCCGCCATCCGCACATCACTCGAGCCCTTCTTAGCGCCAGTGTTGCTCCTGTACTTGCCATCATTCCAGTCCGGGATATCGCTGCAGCCTAGCTCTCCTTCGCCGCCCGCCCCGGCTCCACCGCGGCCCGTATGGTCATCGCCGAAGCCACTGCCAATCCATAACTGGCCACTCAAACTCCGGCCAGGTAGCAGCGGACCAAACGCCGCAGGGCGTGCTAGGAAGAAAGTCGAATTGTCGTCGGTCAAGCTAATAATTGCCGAAGGTGGGAACAATGACGATGGCGTTCGCCAGTTAAAATACGTCTTAAGCGTTTGCCTTTCTTCGAGATCTTCCTGTGTCGTTGTGGCCCAGGGGCCGAAGGAGAGTAGGCAGAAGGAGGCAAGAATGCAGGTTAGCAGGGTAAGTAAGAAGCGCAGAGGCCGCATCTTGCAGCCTGCGGCTCGTGTTGCTGTAATGCTAGTATATAGATGTCGGAAGCTTGTTATTGCCTGCCCAGTATCGCCTGCTGATATGGCTGTCTAAGACCAGACTTCAACGATAACAAACATGAAACCAAGGCTGCGAGTCCCAGGCTTCTACTACGAGGGTCCAGTCATGCGGGCTGTTGCTCGGCGCCTGTGGCAGGTCTCGCTGCGGTCAATAATGGCATGCACGCGGTCCGTATGTGAGAAACTGAGCCGCCTACGTTGTGTGCATTCGCATGCCCCTCTACCATAACAAAGATGCACAACAGAGCCGTTGAAACATGGAGGTGTGAGTCTAGATGTCGTGGTCCAAGCTGCGAAGGCGCCACTACCGCCAAGCCATATCACGTGGGGCAAAGCTTCGCCCTGGCGATGAAACCTTGAATCTCGATATACGGGCAGGAGTTACCACAACCACACCACACCTTCCATCTGCCAGTGCCGACACGCGAGATCTGTGGTGTGCTTGCCACCCCGACTGCGATGAGATGAGATGTCGCAATCGCATCCTCTACCGGCAGCTCGGCATGCACACTTTCCACCGGAACGCATCACCCCTCGACACCGACCCAACCCCACAAATGCAGGGTCTTGGTATGTATGCCGCAAAGCCGGGACCACTTGGAAAGACACCGACGCCGGCCAGCGACAGCCTGTGTTGCTGAACTCACGACAGCAGAGTCGATTCCGTCCGAAACGTGGATCAGACGCACAAATACCTGAGCTACTTTGGCACGCGGCCACAAACTTCAAGCCTACCGTTGACAAGCTCCGTCACGTATGAGCTGCGCGAGCTCTGAATGGCCACTGACCTCATCGATCTACAAACAAAGTGTCAGGTGGGGCCCTTTCCTCCACAGACCAAAAAAGTTTCCAGCCGACTTCACCTCCACGCGTCTGCCGTGCGATATGCAGATGATGAAGCTCCTTCTGCATGTTCTGTGACCGGTTACCCTTGCTTGCATTGCTTGGATACGCGGCTGACATGGCACTAAAGGGCGCAGGAGGGGCGTTGATGGCTCGCAGCTCCCAGCCTTGGCCGTCATCCCGTACCGTCGGATGATGCGCAGATCGTCGCTAGGAGCTGCGATCCTGTCGCGCCATCAGCTCGGACGTGGCGTGTCGAGTACGAAGGAGCTTTAGCCTTAACACAGTAAGAGCCCTGTCTTGCACGGCGTAGTGTTGCATGCGTCAGCGGTCGACGTTTTCGCTGCTTCCACCGGCTATCGAGGCGAATGCTCGACAGCTTCGGCACGCTCCTACCGCGTGATACGCCACCATACACCTTCCTATCTGTCTATCTTGCCTGCTTTGTATTTGCATCTCTTCCTCCCTTGTGTCTGCTATTGCGTCCCTGCTCTTACTTTCGCATTTCGAGCGTTGTCGGCTGTGCATTGTTTTCCTTCCCTTGCGTCGGACTGAGACCTCTTCCTCTACCTCAGCATCAACTCGATACCGCTGTAACTTCGAACGACATCACTGAGCAGAACCTTCACCTGCGTCACGAAGCGTCCCTGTGCGCTTTGTTGCAAGAGCATAACCTACTCTGCAAGGTCAACACGAGCAACGCCTGTCTTAACGGGCCCCCGCAGCGAACCCAACCCTACCCACATATTCACCACCATCCTACCCCATAAACACCGCCGACCGCCAAGATGAACATTGGTAAAGTTCTCGATACTGGCCTCGCCATCCCCGGCTTGCACCGCAAGAAGGGCAACGATGTCCCATTGAAGAACGAGAAGAACGAGCTCCATGTGCCCCTCGTAGGGTTTCTACCGAACAAGATACGCAACCACTTCATAGCCATGATGGGCGAGTTTGTCGGAACCTTCTTGTTCCTCTTCTTCGCCTTCTCAGGCACTCAAGTCGCCAACGCCTCCGCAGCTGGAGCGGCGCAGAACACCAAGAGTGCTAGCGGCGGTCTTAGCCAGACGCCGAATGCTGCTTCGCTCCTGTACATCTCCCTGTCCTTCGGATTCAGCCTGGCCGTCAATGCCTGGGTCTTCTTCCGCATTACTGGAGGTCAGTCGCTCGCTTCCACATCCATTTTCTCGATCTTCGTAGCTGACAATATCGCAGGCCTGTTCAACCCAGCTGTGACCCTGGCCATGGCACTTATTGGGGCTGTGCCTTGGGTCCGCGCCGGCCTTGTCTTCATCGCTCAGCTTCTCGGCGGAATCTGTGCTGCAGCTATCGTCTCGTGTCTCTTTCCGCAATCGCTAAATGTCTCGACCACGCTTGGCGGTGGCACCACCATCGCTCGCGGTCTCTTCATCGAGATGTTTCTGACCGCCTTCCTCGTCTTCACGATATTCATGCTCGCCGCTGAGAAGCACAAGGGCACCTACCTCGCCCCGGTTGGCATCGGTCTCTGTCTCTTCGTGGCGGAGCTGAGCGGAGTTTATTTCACTGGCGGTAAGATACATTGTGCATATGACGCAAGTCATCCCTTCCACTAATACCTCATACTAGGCTCCCTCAACCCCGCCCGCTCCCTCGGACCATGCGTAGTCGCCCGCAACTTCCCACATTACCACTGGATCTACTGGCTCGGCCCTCTCCTCGGTTCTCTGCTGGCCGTCGGCTTCTACCGCTTCGTCAAACGGATGGAATACGAAACCGCCAACCCGGGCCAGGATTACGACGACAAGGAAGCCGAGGTGTTCCAGTACGACGAGGACAACGCGGCCACAGGTGCGGACGTGTCAAGACCTACTATTGCTATCGGTAATCCAGAGTATGTTGCTGATGACACAGGCCTTCATCCAGCAACCTCTTCCGGCAGTGATACCACCGCTGGCGCTGCCGGCGTGCAGCCAGGTAGCCCACCCCGTGCGCCGAATCCTACCCCTGCAACAGCGACGGGTGGGAGAACCACGAACGGAGGCCTGAATGTCAAACCTGCCCCCAATGACACGGCGTACCGCAATGCGCCTGCGGCCGAGGCCGGCCGTAATCAGGAGCCGGGTGGCAATTACCGTGTCTCTGGCTTGTGAGCGTGAGGAATCTCTTACCCAATGACCACCTTCCTCCCGGAGCATATCTTAGCCAAGCACTGCCGAATGTGCATGTCCGATGGCTGACATCTTCCCGCTGTGAACATAGTCCAGCACGCGCCATGGACGAATATCGTCCAGTGCGCAACGTCTGGGCGGTTGAGCGCATGAAAGCTTTCGAGCAAGCGAGTGTTGCGACGATATATTATAACGCAGATGATCATCCGGCTGAGCGCAGCGACAGCAGTGTTACAACAGCGAAATGCTAGCTGCGATCAAGTGTATGACTTTACGACGGCATGACAGCAGTATACCTTTAGCGAGCAATGAGCCGTGTGGAATGAATTGCATGGCATGGCAGAACGGGGGCATTTTGTACAGCAGCGTATCAGAGCGCAATGGGTTTTGGAAAAGCAGGAGAGCAAGGTGTATGTAGCCTGACGCTGCTCTAAGACGAACATTCACTCTACATTTGAGCGTATAGTACGGCGCACTTTTGAATGTCTAACCTACTTCTTGAGTAACCATGTCAGCGCACCAGCAGCATAAGCATCCACCGCCACCTGAAGCGTGGGCATGATGACCGGTGCAAACAGTCCGCTGTGGTTGATCGGAATCTTCTCGTTCAGCGTGCCCTCTGCTTCGCACTTGTCCCAGAGCTCGGGATCGGTGCCACCGTACGTGAAAAAGCTGCATGGTCTGTCGACCGCCGTGCCAAGGATGGAGAAGTCCTCGCTTCCGCCGAGTTTCTGCGCTTCTGAGGTGTATCCATGCTCGCCTTCTTTGAAATGGGCGCGGAAGGTCTCCTCTAGCTTCGCCGTCACCTCTTCGTCGTTCATCGTGATGGGAAAGGTGCGCGTGGTGAGGTATGTTGGCTCTTTAACTGCGTTACTGGCCAGCGACTCGGCGTCGACGATTCGCTTGATGCTCCGCTTGATTTTCTCGCGGGTCTTGGGATCAATGGTTCGGATGTCAAGAGCCATGCGAGCGTCGTCTACAACTACGTTCTCGGCGTCACCGGCTTGTATGCTGGCTACAGTCACGACAGCGGTGTCCCACGGGTCTACTTCTCGTGACACGATCGTCTGCAACTTCATCACAGTCGAGGCAGCCATCACGATGGGATCGACAAGCCGGCTGGGCATACTAGCATGCCCGCCACGTCCATGAAGCGTGATCCGCATCGAGTCTGCCGAGCTTGCCATGAGTCCGCGACGCGAACCGACCACACCTGCTCGCATGGGCATAACGTGCCCACCAAGACATACATCGGGAATGGGTACAGCGTGCCGTTTCGGGTCATACATTCCATCATCGACCATAGCCTGCGCACCAGTGCCACGCTCCTCGGCGGGCTGGAAAGCGAGCAACAGTGTCCCGCTCCAGCTATCTTTGGCTGACACAAGGAGCTCGGCGGCGGCGAGAAGGGCTGTAATGTGCATGTCATGGCCACAAGCGTGCATCACAGGCTTCTCGATCCCGTCAGCATCGATCATGCGCTTCTTGGATGCGTAAGGTAGGCCAGTTCGTTCCTCGACGGGTAGGGCATCGAAGTCGGCTCGGAGTAAGATGGTCGGGCCACTGCCATTGAACAATAAGGCGGCGATTCCGGTGCCGCCAATGTTGGTTCTTATGTCGAACTCGGTCGAGACTTTGTCGTTAAGGTATTTAGCAATGGTCGCAGCAGTCTCCCGCTCCTGGTTCGATAGCTCTGGATTGGCATGGAAGTGTTTGTAGAGCTCTTGGTAAGCAGCCAGATCTGGACGGTGTTCTTCCACCAGCTGGGAGATCGCCTTGGGCGCCATGGCGGCCGCTTTGTATATGAAAGAGAGGACAATGAAAATGTGACGGAGTAAGTGGATGTTTTCACCTACCTACTCTGTGTGCTTGCTCGCCGATTGCGAGTCATGGCGCTCACATGCGGGGATGAAACCATAGCCGCTGTATCCGATCAACAGGCGGCTTAGAGCAGCACACGATGCATCGTCGGTCGTATCTACATGCAGGAAATGCGCACAAGGCACGGAACTTGACGGTTCGTTATGAGAGAGTAGACTTACTCGCGCCTACAGTGGCTTCCCACTTCTGGCGGAACTCGAGCAAGTCTCGCTGGCCAAAGACGTCGCCAACAACGGTTATGATCATGTCCAGCGTAGCGAGTGTGTTCTGCCGCTTTGCTGGAATACCAATCGCCGTGTTGGACGGGGTAGTAGGTGTGCCATTTGTAGCATCATCCTCTTCATCCTCGAGGCTCACTTCGGCCGGATTGAATGCTTCTGGACTCGAACGAGCGCCCAGATCGTCCAATTGCTTGGCGGCAGCCGAATCACGAAAGGAGAGCTGAACAAGCACGGCCTTCTTACCGAGATCACGTATAGCACACACTTCGTCATTGTCCATAGTGCCGACATCATCCAGACGTGCAAGCAGTGACCAGATCCATGTGCTTGTGACAGTATCGATATCCTTACCACGCAACAGGTAGAGTCGATCGGTTAGTTCCAAAAGCCGCCTCACAGTCGCTTGTTCCATGCTCCGTACTTGCACGGCTAGCGGTGCGGTAGTTTTCAGGAGTCTGCCCCATTCTGCGTAGGCTTTGTTACTCCCTGATGGCAAGCTGATTGGGTGCTTGTCATTGAGCTCCTCCAGTGCAGCTAGACCAGGTGCGAGATGCATTTGCCGCCGCTGCTCAAGGAAGCGACGCTTAAGGCCTTTGGCGTAGTACGTTTGGGGGTCCTTCAATTCGATTTCGTGCAGTTGATCTGCTGCTGCAGGCATTGCACGGCCGATGTATGCGCCCCCAGATACATACCCTCTACTGTCGTCCACTACAGTGTCGTAGAGTGTTTTGTCAAAATTATCGTGGCCAGCACCGAAGACTGTCGGCATAGCTTGTCGCTCGGACCTAGAGAACTTTGTTAGCTTGTCAATCTGCGGCAAAGTATGAGCCTAGAATCAATTTCTTCGATTGCATGACTGGGGCTTACCTGACGGCACGGAGATATGCCATAGCTTCTTCCTCTTCACTGTCGTAATCGCCGGTTTCACCGTCTTCGTCTTCGTCCCACTGGTACGACAGAGCGCCGAGTGCAAGATGCTGTCCCGTGAGCGGATGCCTTTGCAAGCCTTTAGTTGGCACAGGCACCGCGTCTTCGTCCGCTACATCTTCTTCCCGAGGCTCCTCTTCAGCTTCGTCAGTTACCGCTGTGTCCGATCCAGGCTGCACGGATGGATCTTCCTGCTCGTCGGGATACGGCGCAATTGTGTAGTTGCTTGTATCTACAGCAGTTGCACCCGGACCCTCCGGACCGGCAAGCGAAACAGGCTGCTCCTCTAGTTCGTCGTCCGGTGCGTAGCTCAGCAATACCCTCTTGCTCGGGTTGTAGAGTGCGTTGGGTCCCGCTTTCGGCTTGTCACGCTCACGCCTCCTCTTCGTCATGTTACGAGTCTTGCTCGAAGCTGCAAAGTGTGCTGTGTGCAGAGTGTATGGTGTCCAAGGCGAGATGACCATCAATGTTGCCGAAGAAATTCCGCCGCCGAGGCCCCTTTGGACTTCCGAATACCATATCCACGCTCAAACCCGAGTCCGTGGGGCAAGCATATGGCAGCAGAACCATATACAAAAACCTGATCACTTGGAGTCACTCATGTGGTGTTCTTGTAAGTGGACAGTACCTCCTTGTCTACCTTTCTCCTTCCAAGGCCATGGCACAATACCGCTGGCTGATCACGGGAGCCTCGAGCGGTCAGGGCGCTGAAATAGCTTTAGCCGCTTTGCGACATGGATACCATGTCATAGGTACAGCACGCAATGTCGTGAAGGCGAAGGAAGACTATCCTAATCTTGAAGCACTAGGGGGCGTATGGCTAGACCTTGACGTGACCAGTGACGACACACAAGCTATCGTGGAGAGGGCAGTCAAGGAGCACAGCATTAATGTCGTTGTTAACAATGCCGGATATGGCCTTCGCGGCGTACTTGAAGACTTAAGTATGAAGCAGATTCGAGCACAAATGGACACCAACTTTTTCGGTGCTGTTGCTGTCACTAAGGGTGCGATTCCGACCTTCCGCGAGCGCGGTGGCGGCATTATAGTTATGATATCATCAGCATCAGGCTTCACAGGCACTCCTTCACAGAGCATGTACTCCGCCTCGAAGTTCGCCTTGGAAGGCCTGTCCGAGTCACTGGCCGAAGAGCTCGCTCCGTTCGGAATCCGTGTGCTAATTGCTGAGCTCGGTGCATATCGCACGCCTTTCCAGAGTGCAGTGGACAAGCCGTCAAACATTATCAGCGAGCCATACAAGGGCACGATTGCAGACAAGACCGCGCAACGTATTACAGCTGGGCATGGAAAACAAGCCGGAGACCCAGCGAAGGCAGCCGAGGCTATTATAGAGGTAGTAACGGGCGAATGTAGGGGCGTAAACTTAAGGCACGTTCTACGGCTACCGCTGGGTAAGGACGCCGTGCAGAGGGCGCGTTCGAAGATCGAATCTTTCACCCGCGATATCGATTCATGTAAGCAACTTGCCGAGTGGGCGAGCTTTGACACGTCATGGGATGGCTATCCACCACTGGAATCCTCAGCCGATGCCTGAGCGATATCCAGAAGGCCGCCGGTGATCATGGCATTATTCGCCCCCTGTAAGATTGACATCGACAATCAGCTATTCTCCAGTCGAGAACAAGACCATGAGGATCACGGGCTGGCTTACATTGTATGCACGTTGTGTTTCCGGGAACAGTGACTCGCGCCACTACGAAGTGCAATTAGCATGATGGCATACCGCACGCTTTCGAAAACTAACCTGGCTCGCCAATAAGACCGGTTGCGACATCTCGTGCCAGGATCGCAATGTTCTGGCTGTACTGGTTACCCACGGCGACAAGGCTTCCAGTACGGTCAATGCTGAACTGCCGTGGGTATGACCCGCCTGAAGCCCAAAGTTGTACAAAGACGAGCGTGCCGTCATCAACAAGACGGAACGTTGACAATGAGTCGGAAGGGATAACAGTCCCGTTCGGCCCTGGCAGACCGAATGAAGTGTTGTTTCTATTCGAGATGACGAGGAAACGGTTGTCAGGCTGCTTATTTGTCAGTTCTTCATTCCCGCTCAATGGTAGACCGTGCAACCTACAGTGACCGCTATCTCAGCTGGCGCATTGCCTTGCGGTTTGTTGAGGATACCGTATGTGCTGCTCACAAAGACTTGCGTGAAGTTCAGCCCGCCACCGTTCGGCAAATATCTGACCTAGAAGCGTTGACCACACCCGTTAGCGGTGGTTGACACATCAAAGCGCGCTTGTGCACAGATTGCATACCGCATATCCTGTCACGGTGCTTGCAAGCTCTGAAACTAGGTAGAAGTAGGTGGTGCAATTCTCGCATGACGTGCCGTATGGGTTCCAGAACGCCGCGTGGCGAGGGCCGGAGCCGGGAGGTGCTTGCAGAGGTGCAAGACCCTTCAATTGCAGCGTAGTCTGGTTCCACGAGAAGACACGGACAAGATCGGCTCCCAGATCGGGAACAAGGATATACTGTCCCGTAGGGTCAAGTATAGTCTCGTGCTCATGCGGCGCATCTTGCCGTGAGGGATTCTGGCCTGGTTGCGGAAGGGTGAAGAAGAGCTCCTGGTTTTCTGCAAACCTTCCGCCGCCCTGAAGGAGCCAAGATGTGACCGCAGAGCCGGTGTAGTGGGCTAGTGCGATAGCACGCTGGCCTGCTGCGTTCCCGTAGATAACGCCGTGGACTGGGCCCGAAGGGGTTGTTGTGTTCTCCACATGCGTCAAGCTGCCGTCTCCGTTGATGGTGAAGGAGCTGAGGGAGCCGTTGACTGTGTTGAGACCTTCGTTCATGCAGAAGAGGAGGCCACGGTTCGTGTCAATCTAGCATTGTGGATGATGGCGTCAGTGACATTCACGTTCGAAAATCTGGTTCCATCCACCCACTGTTAGCCAACTCGGATTGGGCGCGCACTCGGTTGTATTGAAGATGCTTGTGAGGGAATAGTTGCCTTCGCGCGCAGTAAGCGAGTAAGTGTTGACGTAGCCGTTATAGTCGGAGACGAAGAGATTCGTGGCTGACGCAGCGACAGTCATAGCCATCACGGTAAAGGCGGTGGTGGCCTTCATCGTGCTTCTTTCCAACAACGGATTCGAGTGCCTGGTCCCAGCCTCTACCGACAGCACTAAATATTCAGAACAATGGCGCTCTGAGACGGAGTCGACGATAATATAGTGGACACGAGATCTGAAAGTAAACAACGTGGAAGCGACTTGGAGTGTCTTACTCACTCCCGAGACCTACCTGTGCCAAAGTTTGCACCGTCGGCCACTACCACGGTGAAACGCTGACTGCGACTACAAATGATAGCCAAGCAAAATGCAGTGATCATCGTCACTTCTTGAGATAATGCGGGGTTCACATGCAGGAACAAATTACGCTAGAGGTCAGGCATGGGTGGGACGAATGGGCGGCGGCCCGGCGGGCCATCAAGCAGGCCGTGACGGAAGCCTGCAATGAAAGTGAGCCCGGCAGGACTCAGATGATGACCGAACAGTTGGCGATGTAAGATTATTCCATTCAGTCTACCTAGGGTTTTAGCCTTTTGCTCGTCAAGTCATAAGCTCATCATGAAGCACAGACGCAGTAACATCTTCTCCTCAGCTAACCTGAATGCTGCGCGGGCCCGTCAGAGGTATATTCGTCGTCTGCATCTTCGATTTCTGCGACGTAACCACGTTACTGCTCGTGTTTGCATTGGAGCTGCTTGGGCCGCCCAGGACCGTAATGCTGCTGATGGATACATTCGTCTGGTAGCCAAAGCTACCACCGATCACCAAGCTGTCACGGCTGTACGTAAACGTGATGTAGCTCGTAGCTGTTTGCACGAGGCTATTGCCGTCGTCGAGGTACAGAGCCCCGGAAGCGGTTCCGTTCTGAGACGGTGCGATGACGATGCTGAAATCTTGATTCCTAAGCTCGGTGGTGGTGTTGGTGGATTTTGCGCGGAGGGCGACAATGCTGCCACCTTTGTAGTAGAGTGGGATCGTGGTGTAAGGCACGTTGTCAAGTGTGACCATGCTACCAGTCCCTTGGACCTGCTCATGCGTGTAGAAGTCGTAGAAGACATCATTTGGCATGTAGATTTCCGCTGTTGTGCTGTTCTCATCAGTCACAGGTGCGACCATGATGGCTGGGCCAAAAAAGTATTGGTATTGCAGTGCATTTGTATTCCCGTCCTCCGGGTAGACGAAGAACATTGGCTGTACAGATGGCGTACCAGTCTGATTCTGCTCGTAGAAGGCAGTGTAGAAGTAGTCGAGGAGCTGGTAACGTGTAGCAATGGCGTTGCGAGCGGCTTCGGCGACGAGCGGCCAGCGGTAGAACTCGTGTGGTAGAGCGCCCTGCTCGCCGTGGTTGCGATAGAACGGGGAGAAAGCGCCAAGAGTCGCCCAACGAGCGCAGAGCAGTTCGTTCGTGTTGCCTGCATAGCCACAGACATCGCTGCCGACCATAGGCAGCTGGAACAGCGCACCAAACTCCAGCAGCTCGGCGATCGAGATGAGATAGTGCGACCAATCCGCCGCATTGTCGCCAAGCCAGTGGCCAACCTGTCTGCCTGATCCAGCAAATGTTGAGCGTGTAATAACCATAGGCCTTACGGTGGGTCGACGACTAAGCATCGCCAGACGCGAGGCCTCGGACATCATGGCACCGTAGAGATTGTGCGTATCGTACTCCACCCAGCCTCCATAATGCACGAGGTCGGTATCGAGCGTCTTATTGCTGAGACTGCCGGCGACATTATTGATCGTGTACTCTGGATCGATCAGATTACGTCCTGGTAAACCGGTCTCGGTACCAGAAGCTTGCCTTGCTACCACAGGCGCGCCGTGTGCAACCGGAGTAGCATCACGCTTAAACATCTTCGAAGAGCCAGGCGGAGAAGTTGTGGTGATGGTGTCGTTCGTAGATTGCGTGGAATTGCACCCTCCGGTGGTAAGGGTCCGGTTGGAAGCCTCGAAGATGTAGGTTCCGCCCGGCTCAGCCCGCAGGTACTGGTAGGTAACAACAGTATTGGCCGGCATGTCAATGGTAGCACTCCAAATTGGATAGTTCGCAGTACCCAAGCCCACGGCATTCATGGTATCGTCGCCGCTACCGATGGTAACCGCGGAGCCAAACACAGCAATGTTCTCACCAAAGAATGTGCTAGCATTGACGTTGAATGTCACTTCGGCCTTGCATTGAGGCTGGAAGTCGGCTGGGAAGCCGGGTATTGGCCTCGGAGCACCCAATCTGACTGCTGGTGGCCGTGGCGGATCTCCCATGCTCGCAGCTTGCCCTTCCGGGTCGGCGCAAGGATACACGCAGAAGTTCGAAGCCTCATTCATGTCGATCCACAATGCATCAATATCCACGCCCGTAGTTGGATCGAAGAAAGAGTCGAACTGACCGTCCCAGTAGCCTTGAGTGCCTGGAGCGAACCAATCTGGGAAGGCCGTCACACCAGGCCAGACCACACCTTTGTACACGGATCCGTTGCCTACCGTGAGGAAGGCATTGGCACTAACACCGTCGTTGAAGGCTGGGTAGTCCTGGTACGCAACGGCCGGATCGACCATAACAATGTAGTGCTGCTGATGGGTGTGCAAATAGGTGACGAGCTGCTGCACGAGGTCGAGCGGGAATCGGTCAGGGTCTAGAGTGAAGACGCGACGCAGATACATGTAATCGATATCTGTCCACATCGTCTCAAGCGGAATGCCAGCCTGGGAATAGTTTGCAACCACCTCAGCAACCTCGTAGACGTCCTGCATGCCATACCGGCATTGGTGGAAGCCGAAGCCCCAATACGGCATCATGGCCGACTTCCCAACCACTTCGGAGTATTGCTGAGCTACTTGCACTGGCGATGGGCCGCTCATGAAGTAGAAGTCGAGGATGCCACCGATGGTATTGTACTCCAGGTATTGTCCGTTTGTGTTGTCTATGACAATATTCATGCCATTTGAGTTGAGCAGGAAGACCCCATGTGTACCATTGGCGCCACGATGGTCAAAGTAGACAGGGTGATCACCATATAGATTAGTGCCAGGCGGAACCTCGTACGCATCGCGGTTCCAGATGGTCCTCGTGTAGTTGGTCGTATTGAGCATGAACGGGTCGGTGTGCTCACCGAGACCGTACAAGCTCGGGTTCTCTGGTAGGTTGGTACGCAGACGAAGATATTGCGACTCAAAGACAAGGCTAGCGGCTGAGGTGTCGAAAAGGACCTCTCCATTGCTGCGCCGAGTTACCGTGAAGCTGAAAGGATTGTTTTTGTGCCTGAAGATGAGATCTGAGCTGGACTGGCTACAGCCAGAAGACGAAGCCGGGCGCTCGAAAACTGAAGAAGGCACTTGGTAGACTTGATTTGCAGCGTCCTGTATCTTGACGTGAAGTCGCTGGTCTACATGCTCGGTGAGTATTGGGGATCCGACATGTGACTTGTGCAGTCGGCCTTACCTGTCTGGTACTCAACCGTCAAGGTCAGGTCTGTAAGATCCGTGCCGTAGGCGTTGCACGCAGTGCCAGCCAAGGTAAGCGTTGCAGTCAAGCCATTCTCTGTGTGCTGGATGTGGCTCGCTTTGTAGCCAGGACAGGCTGCTAAGACTGAGGTGCTGTTGCTGCCCTGACGTTCAAGCAGCGCAGGCACTGGATTCGCGGCTGAGAAGGATGCTATAGTGAGTGTAGCGAGCAGCAAGCGCTTGACGAGCGCAGCCATCTTGAGGGTGAAGGTGAGAAGTGGCAGTGCAATGAAGTGGGAGAGAAGGAGGAGAAGCAGTGCGGTCAAAGCAAGGAAGAGTCACTCTTTGGTGGATGAGGTTGACGAGATCCACTTTCACTTCTACCGTTCACTCACCGTCGGATTTTCTGGTAAACAAGCCCTCACGATCGTCTGACTTCTCCACGTTCACGGGCACATTCACCTGCGGCTAAAGCAGGCCCGGCGAAGAAACTGTACTGTATGCGTCTCGGATCGTCGTTGCGAGTGGAGCTGCAGGCACCCCCGCAGTCTGTGCAAGGCGGAGAATCTGTGTGACGATGCTCATGAAGCTGCAGGTCGCAGTCGTTCGGCAAGTCATTTCCGATCATGCGTACAGCAGATTATTTGAGGGGAGGATATCACCCAAGTGGAGCCGAGGAGAAGAAATGCCTCGGAAACAAGCTTGAGCTAACAGAAGGATGAAGCCGCAATCGCGTCGTCCTATTCCGGCTAGACACTAAACTCGAGTGAGTAAGCGATTGAGAAGGATAACGTACATATAGCGCTGTAAACGAAGCCTGCCCAGGTGCCTTTGTCGCCAGCTGCTCAATGCGGATGCGTATGCTCCGAGTGGTTGTGCGCATCTCCTTCAGGCTCGTCCCAATCTGGGACTCCGTCATCAAACATATGAACTGCCCAGGCTTCTCATCACGTAGCCTTTTCGAGCTGCCGCCACTAGATTTGTTCATGCCCTTCTGCCACTCCGCCCATTCTTCATCGTTCAAAAGGTACTCATCCAAGACTGCCTCAATCGCACTGGTCTCCAGCATTTCGCCATGAACACAAGCTCCTCCCTACTGTCACCCCATTCCCCGCCGCTCTCGAGATCATGCTCCACCATGGCATATCAATATCGGCATTGCCGCTTTCCCACTCGGACCGCGAGATCGTGCAGAACCATGGCCGACCTCCGGCGAGCGTCGGCATTGCGCCTGCCCGCGACCACTCCCCTGCACGGTCCGGGCGGTTGGCAAGCCAGTATTCGCCCTTGGAGTGGAAGAGGCGCGCAAAATGGGGTCGGCACGCTTGTTGGCAAGGATTACGGCAGCTTCCGGAACGTCCAATGGATCCTTTTTCATCTCAACGTCGTTAACTGGGCAGATGCTTGTGGCGCTGCTTGAGGCTGCTTTGTCTTCGTCGTCGTCTTCTTCGTCATCAACCTCCACCCAATCTCCCATCTCGTCGTCCTCGCCCTCCGCTTCTGGCCCGTCTTTTTCATCATCGACTTTCACAAGCGGATGCTGCAGAATGGACTTGTCGTGCAGAAGCGCGAACAATCGTTGGGAATGGAACCTCCTGTGTCGCACGTAGACAAAGCTGCGGACATTGTATCTGCAAAACCGCCACCACTGGCCGAAGCTTAAACAGAGACAGCAGGAAAGCTCACTCTTCGGTCTCAGGCTTAGGCGCGAGAGTCTTCTAGCCCTGTATTTCCCTCAGCGTCATAGCAAGGAGATCCTGTAGCCACCCATAGCCCATCTGCGTGCGTTCGACATCAAACATGCCGGTATTGAGTATCGCCTTTACGTCGATTATTCCGTACGATGACTGCAGAACATTGGCGCGATGGTTCATTTTCGTGACCAAATCGATAAAACGGGACAATGTCTTCGCGTCAACATCAACGTTGTTCATGACAATAACGTCCGCGAACTCGATTTGGTCTACCATCAAATCCGAGACGGTACGCTCGTCCTCCGCCGTCACATCGTCTCGCCGAAAGGACAACACGTCCGTTGTCTCGAAGTCGAGGAACATGGTGAAGAGATCGATGACTGTGCATGTAATTTCAAGCCGAGTGAACTTGTCCAACGCTCCGACATCCTTCGCACGCTTTAGTGTCGCTAAGATGCTTTTGTCGAGACCTACCGCGTCGCCACGCAGACGTCAGCAGGAGACCCTTGAGCTCATTTCATGCTACGCAAGTGAGAGGTAGACCGAATTTGTCACTACTCACCGTCTCGACCCTCACCCATGGCAGCGATCTGATCCGCAAGCCGCTTATCGAACGTTTCGGCGACCTGCTCAGGCTCGCTGATGCCGCTGCTCTCAACGATGACATAGTCGAACGTTGCTAGCTCTAACAAGCGCACGAGCTCTTCCAGAAGGTCGTCTCGAAGGCGTGCAGCAGATGCCCCCATTCTGAAGCGCAATCACTTTCGCTTGGGTCTTGGTGAGGCGATGCGTGTTGCAGATAAGAGAAGCGTCGCCATCGATGCTGCTGATATCAGCATGAATCTCCGGGATCGAGAAGATTAGCGAAGACTTGCGCTCCAATGTCATTTAGGACGACGGCGATCCTGAGTCCATGATTGCGTCGGAGAAGGTGTTGGAGCAGAGTAGTCCTGCCACTTCCCTAGCAGGTCGTCAGCTTGCCGCCTTCATAAAGCGACAAGCTCATAGCGTACCAGAAACACAGATAGCAGAGTGACGGGCAGCACTTTCTTTGGATGTGTAGGCTCATCGTTCACGTGCTCAGTCGCTGCCATCGTTCCTCATCCTATACTGTAGGCTCGTGCTCGTGTTGGAAGCTACTTCCCACAAGCGAATACTCATTGACTCCTTGGATTTGTTTCTTCAGTGTGCACGAAAAGCCGGCACTTTGGTGGTCCATATCAGCGCCCAGCATAACGGGCGTGTCAGGATTCTCTGTCTCTTGCTTGGGCATCATCTACTGACGATATAAGGGAGAAAGAGAGAAGTGAGATAGACTGGCGCTTGTGCTTTCGTGCTTCAAGCAGCGAAGAGGTTGGTTAAGCGGCTCAACCTACGATGAGCATTTACTCCCATCACATGCATCATGGTATAAAGAGCTGTTGCTGCATATACGTCTAATGCATCAGTAGTTACGATAGCTTTGGCATCACCAGATGTTGCTCTGGGGTCAAGCAACGGAAACCCAGAAGGCTGCCTTGTTGATGGTGTTGGAATTAGGCCTGCGAGCTGCATCCAGACGACTAACCCATAGGCATTATGCGAGCATTACTTGCCTTTGTTATGAACACAAGCTAGCTTGAGATGGAAGGCACGCTTGAGCATGTGACAAGCGGTGGCCATGTTAATGCTTCAGTGAGATTGCTTGTGGTTGTACAGGGTGGCAGAGAACACGTAGACTAAATCTCTCTGTTTCCAGCCGCTTCTCGCCGAGGATTATCAAAGCGTAAGCGGGTGTTTTGAGTGGCTGCTTCGGTTGCGTCACGAATACCTGCCTAGCAGCGGCGCCGGCCCGTGCGTTCAGGTACGTTCACCTTCGGAGAACGATTGCTGATGCACACAACACCCAACACTCCTCAAGCATCTCCCATACCAACTTGCACATCTTTTCGCTTCCTCCACGCGCTGCTTCGTCGTCGCTAGACCTTCAGCCAGGAGGTTGTTCTTACCCTCGCTCACTCAAGACACCGGAGGCGCCACAGTCTCGAGTGAGATCACACGAGCAACAATCTTCGCCTCATCCATCATCCACCCCTACACATCAACACAACCATCAAGATGTCTGCAGAGCCAGACCATACCGCCGACAAGAAGAAGGTGAAGCTCGAGCATGACCCGAGCGGTGCCGAAAGGCGCGAGCCTCATGAAGAGGAGACCGCCACCGCCATCCTGAGAAAGAAGAAGAAGCCGAATAGCTTGATCGTCACTGACGCCACTACGGATGACAACTCCATCATCGCCCTCTCCAACAACACGATGGAGACGCTGCAGCTATTCCGCGGCGATACCGTGCTAGTCAAGGGCAAGAAGCGGAAGGATACCGTGCTCATCGTGCTTGCTGATGACGATCTCGAGGACGGGTCAGCACGCATGAACCGTGTAGTGAGGCACAACCTGCGCGTGAAGCTGGGCGACGTGGTCACGGTCAACCCTTGTCCGGACATCAAGTACGCCAAGCGCATTGCGGTGCTGCCTATGGCCGACACCATCGAAGGTCTCACCGGCTCACTCTTCGACGTTTTCCTTGCTCCCTACTTCCGCGAGGCGTACCGTCCGTTGAGGCAAGGCGACCTGTTCACATGCAGAGCTGCGATGAGAACAGTGGAGTTCAAAGTCGTCGAGATCGACCCGCCGGAGTATGGCATCGTCGCGCAGGATACTGTCATCCACTGCGAAGGCGACCCAATCCAGCGCGAGGACGAAGAGGGTAATCTCAACGAAGTCGGCTACGACGACATCGGTGGCTGCAGGAAGCAAATGGCGCAGGTCCGTGAGCTGGTAGAGCTGCCACTCAGGCATCCGCAACTCTTCAAGTCCATCGGTATCAAGCCACCGCGCGGTATCCTCATGTTCGGTCCTCCGGGTACCGGCAAAACTCTCATGGCCCGTGCCGTCGCCAACGAGACCGGTGCGTTCTTCTTCCTTATCAACGGACCGGAGATCATGTCGAAGATGGCTGGTGAGTCTGAGAGCAATCTGAGGAAAGCGTTCGAAGAGGCGGAGAAGAACAGCCCGGCTATCATCTTCATCGACGAGATCGACTCGATAGCGCCAAAGCGTGACAAGACCAACGGCGAGGTTGAGCGTCGTGTCGTGTCGCAGCTCCTCACCCTCATGGACGGCATGAAGGCGCGCGCAAACGTCGTGGTCATGGCCGCCACCAACCGTCCGAACTCCATCGATCCGGCCCTGCGTCGCTTCGGCCGCTTCGACCGTGAAGTGGACATCGGCATCCCGGACCCGACTGGCCGTCTCGAGATTCTCCAGATCCATACCAAGAACATGAAACTTGGCGACGATGTTGACCTTGAGCAAATCGCTTCTGAGACTCACGGCTACGTCGGTTCCGATATCGCGTCGCTGTGTTCCGAAGCCGCCATGCAGCAGATTCGTGAGAAGATGGATCTTATCGACCTGGACGAGGACACGATCGATGCTGAGGTGCTTGACAGCCTTGGTGTCACGCAGGAGAACTTCCGCTTCGCCCTGGGCGTTTCCAACCCATCTGCGCTACGCGAGGTTGCGGTTGTGGAGGTGCCGAACGTTCGGTGGGAGGACATTGGTGGCCTGGAAGACGTGAAGCGCGAGCTCATCGAGTCCGTGCAATACCCGGTCGACCACCCGGAGAAGTTCCTCAAGTTCGGTCTAAGCCCGTCTCGTGGTGTGCTCTTCTACGGCCCACCAGGTACGGGTAAGACATTGCTCGCCAAGGCGGTGGCAAACGAGTGCGCTGCCAACTTCATCTCCGTCAAGGGTCCTGAGCTGCTTTCCATGTGGTTCGGTGAGTCTGAGAGCAATATCCGCGACATCTTCGACAAGGCGCGTGCGGCTGCTCCTTGTGTGGTCTTCCTCGACGAGTTGGACTCCATCGCCAAGTCTCGTGGCGGCTCTGTTGGTGACGCTGGCGGTGCCTCTGATCGTGTCGTCAACCAACTTTTGACGGAAATGGATGGCATGACCAGCAAGAAGAACGTCTTCGTCATCGGCGCCACCAACCGTCCGGAGCAGCTCGATAATGCACTCTGCCGTCCAGGTCGTCTGGACACTCTCGTCTACGTCCCTCTCCCCGACCAAGCCGGCCGCGAGGGCATCCTCAAGGCGCAGCTCCGCAAGACTCCCGTCGCTCCAGATGTCGACCTCGCCTACATCGCCAGCAAGACGCACGGCTTCTCCGGTGCGGATCTGGGCTTCATCACCCAGCGTGCTGTCAAGCTCGCCATTAAGGAGAGCATCGGCATCGCCATTGAGAAGGAGAAGCAGCGCGAGGCTGCCGCCGGCGACGACACCAAGATGGATGAGGATGTCGATGAGGAGGATCCAGTGCCGGAGTTGACGAAGAGGCATTTTGAGGAGGCGATGAGCATGGCTCGTCGCTCCGTCACCGACACGGAGATCAGGCGGTACGAGGCATTTGCGCAGAGCATGAAGAACTCGGCCGGTGGTAGCGCTTTCTTCCGCTTCCCGGAGGGCGGGGAGAACGGTGCTGGTCAGCAGGAGCAGAATGGGAATGGTATGTCTACTCGTTGTCGTGATGCGGTCGAGCCTGTGCTAACAGATGCTACAGGTGCCGGCGAGGAGGATCTCTACGACTAGGAATCTAACGCACAGAAGAGACTAGCCCATTTTGCGCTGGGGCGACGGTAGGTATACACGGTCACTGGACCGAGTACGAGCATACGGGAGGTAGCAAGAACGGTTTCGGCGTCCGCTGCGGTGCAATAGATTGTGTTTCCGATAACTTGTCGCCGCCGCTTAAGCGATGCACGGTGGGCTAGTAATGTACCATCACACTCGACCCCTATCTCCACTATTTTCATCAATGCCCGCTAGCCGTATCGCTCGCTGTTCTTCTTTACACTTAGCATACAGGGCACGTGAGACGGTGAGGATTTCGCGTTGATCGATCTACGTCTCTCCACATCTCCGCATCTGCGGGGACGAAGGCCTGGACTTTGGACCGCTTCTGGGTTGGTGACGGGAATAATGTCGACCACTACTTGCGAAGTGATGAAGTGTGGTGGTATAAAAGGCACCATCATGTAATAGACAGGCGGAGGTAGGCGTTCACCATCTTTCGATCACACAGCTTCCCAGTGCATAGAATCCCAAACAGCATCCGCATATTCACGATGTTCTCCTCCACCCTCCCACCAATTATAACGTGGGACTACCAATTCGCTCCCAACGCGCAGAAGTCGCGCAACTACCTCCATGCCACCGACACACCCTTCAAGATCTGCGAGCAGCCGTTCGTCCTACCTCGACCCATCCTTGAAGATTTAGGTGTGACCTACCGTAGAGTTCCGGTCATCAGTATCGGCAAGGACGTCTTCTGTGACAACACCTGCTTTATTGATGCCATGCAGATGTTGTTGGAGAAGCAAGGGAAAGGGTTGAAGAGGAGTAAGCATGATCGGGCGTATGAACAGTGGGGTTATCGCAGCTTTTGGGTGTGTTTGGCCTGTGTACCTGCGAGTTTGATATCGAAGGATCTCGCGAAGGATAGGGCGAATCTATTTCGTAGGTTAACCGACCAACAACCTGGGACGGACAAGGACGCTGACGGTATCCAGCTGTCTTCGCGCGCGAAGATTTTGGGACGCTCAAGCAGAATGGTCTGTCCGAGCTGCGGTCGCTGTTGACCACGGCGGAGAATGAGTTTTTGGGAGACGGAAAGGGACCCTTTATCGACGGCGCGGAGTGTGGGTTGGCGGATGTCCATGCCATGTGGATGATTAAGTGGGCATTGCATACCATTAGCGTGGCGAAGGAGCCTGGCTTTGACGAGCAGGCCTTCCCAAAGGTGCACAGATGGTAGTTGATGCGCACCCATTGCACAGGTTGGATAAGATCATGCTGATGCGTCTGTACAGGTGTAATGCCTTGCCCATCCACGACGACGAAATCCAGAAAGACCAGTTCGTTAGCGCGGAAGAAGCGACGAAGCAGATCTTGGCTTGCGAGTACGCATGTCCAGACGTTGGCGTAGATGCTGCGGATCCGCTTCAGCTCAAGGAAGGCGAGGGGGTGGCTGTTGAGATGACAGATGCGACGCCTGGCTATTTCCCGCAGAAGGGTGCTTTGGTCGGTTTGAGCAGGTCAAGGATCGTTGTGCAGCTGGAGAATGGCCTAAGGGTGCATTTCCCCAGGGTGGGCTACCATGTGAGAAGGCAGAGCGAGTATACGAATGTTAAGAATGGGACGAATGGGCATGCTTAGTGTTCGACTACGGATTCGTTGGCTGGGCGTTGTAACGGCCATTGTTATACCTGGTTGGGTAGCATGCGTCAGCTTGTAGATTCTTGGTTCCTGTTAGCCGTGTACCATTGATGCACAGTGGAACCTTGCTGTAATATCATATCATGCAGATGCAGATGGGGCGCATGGTGGTAAGAGAGATGGGCTGCGCACAATCAATGCTGAACAGCCGCAAGCGCAGGCGCTAAGGGGGCGCCAACAACGGCCGCTGATTTGTTCAGGCGACGGTGACGGGCCGCTGCCATGGCGAACCCTGGCGCCGGCGGGAAGCACCAAGCCGCCGCCCACCTCAATAGCGCTGCTCTTCTGCTCGCAGCCATGGCCTTCACCAAGTCCTCCGTATTGAGACCTGGGCCTTCACGCGGACAAACAAGGCTCCACGCAGTCTCAGCGAAGGAACCAATCCATCCCGCGCATGCAACGAGGCGACACTCTGCTTGACACAGCTACCCGAAACGCTTGGCTGCATATTCCGGTCGCTTGTGAAACAACTACCACGCCCAACTTTGCACCCCCAGACGCCGTGTCCCTCCAGCGAGGGTCACGGCATACGTCGTCATCCTGGCGTCTGCACAACCCACCTTCGACCAGGCGTACGGCAGCAGCTCTGGCGGCGCCGGTAAAGGCTCATGGTTGAGCCGGGTAAGGCTCCCCCAGCACTCCGTCTTCTTGGCGCATGGGTGACTGATGGCAGCATGTAGGTATCACACAGAGCAAGCCACATCCCGAACCGTCCTCTTCCTTTGCGCACACCAGGCAGCGCTGGGAGTGTGGCGAGCAGTGGCTTTCCGTCCAGCGGAAACAGATCCCATGAGCGTCTCCCGGTACTGCACAAGACATCGAGCTATCCTGCCAGCCCAACGAGTCCTGCCAGTCCCACTGAGACGGAGTTTGCAAGCACTCCGATCGATGCGAGCTTCAGCGAGAGACTAGAGGCACTCCCGCCAGAACGGCCACCACCTGCGAGGCCATCCGCGAGTGACAGAGCAGGACTGCCAAGTCAGAGGAGTAGGAGTGGAACGGCTACTCAGGTTGAAGCTCTCCCACGGAAGAAGTCCCAAAAGATGAACAAATACGCGCGGCAAGCAGGCGATGATAGCTATGACAGCGAAGGCGCGGAAGCAGATGATGAGTTCGAGCGTACAGTCTTCTCGCCAACGATGCCTACGCAGTTTGATGATCACGACACGGACCATCCTTCGGAGTCGGAGGATGAGCATGAGTCGGTGGATGGCGATGACACCCCGACCACGCAGGCCTGGACTGAGAGAGAAGGTAGAAGTCCGACGGGCATTGTCACGCAGTGGACGGAGGAGCAAGTGGCGGACTACATCGCTTCGCTGTCCCCGGCACTGAAGCCGTACGGACAAGCGTTTGCGGATGAAGGGGTCAATGGCGAGGCACTTGTGGCGCTACATCACGACGAGCTGCGGGAGCTGGGCGTGGTGAGTGTCGGGCACCGCTTGACCATCCTTAAGGCTGTCTACGAGTCTAAGATCCGGTCTGGCGTCAAGATCGAAGAAGGCGACTACGTACCGCTGTCTGCGGAAGGAGACAGGAGCGATTTCACCGCTACCCAGGACGATATTGCTCGAGTGATTGAATCGATCAGGCTGCGAGATCAGCGGATTCTAGCAACGGAGGCCGAGTTGAAGGCGCTCAAGCAGGATCTGGATCGTGTCATCGAAGACAACCGGAAGCTACGGGAGGAGACGCTACCCATCATGCGGCTGGTGAAAGATCAGCGAACGCCTTTACCGGATCCCGTGGGGGGCACAATACCTTCTCCACGAGATATCGAAGTCCCAAAGCTGAACGAGAATCTTGCGCCCGTACCTCAGAGCAAAGGCAGCTCGCTCAGCCGGAAATTCTCCACTAAGAAGCTATTCTTGGGCGGCGCACCGAAGCAGCCTTCACCCACTCATCCACCGCAGTCACATACGCCGCAGCCAAGAGAAGTACGCGATGACCCAGGCGGCACGCACTTAGAAGCCTCCGCAGCGGCTATGGCAGCGAGCACCCATCTCACTGCGAGCATGACGAGCCAGACATCACCGAGCAGTTTGCACACGCAACAGCTCAGCCCCACGAGTCCGGCGTATAGCACGCAAGCGCCATCATCCGGCGGATCTTACCATCCACCCAGTTCAGCGGCCGCTCGATCATTTCCCCGAGATCCGGCTCCGATACGCCATGCTTACGCGCATCAAGATGACTCTGGCACGGGATACTCTACGAGTAGTCAGTGGTCGAACGCTAGTACCATCGTAGCTGACCGAGAGCCACCCGCCTCAGCCCGCCCTTTGCGAAGACAAGTGCCCACTCCAAGCCCGAGAGACGACGAGGCGCCGCAGACTGCGCCATTACCGCGGGACCGAGACCGAGAGCGAGAGCGAGACCGAGACCGCGGCAACCCAGATAACCCGGTGGAGATCTTCAAGTCATTCAGAGTCGGCATTGAAGACCCTTGCCGTGTCGTGCTGCCTGTGGCACTCAAACGGTACAATATCACCGATGATTGGAGGCAATACGCCCTGTACATTGTGCACGGCGACCAGGAGCGCTGTCTTGGACTCGAAGAGAAGCCCCTTCTCCTCTTTAAGCAATTGGACAAGGAAGGCCGGAAACCGATGTTCATGCTGCGACGGCATGCGAGTCCGCAGGAAGGCTGGAGTGGGATGGCTAGTCATAGTCAGGAAAAGGTATGTCCGCTTGATGACTGAAGCAGTCACGTCTTGAGCATGTCGCTGATGTGTATGACAGTCTATACCCGGCGGTGTGCTGTAGTACAGCATCTCGCACGAGATTAGGCGTATGCTTGCCGAGTTGCCTGGCGATGACATGATGTGCAGAGTGTGCAACGGAACCAAGAGACGGCGGCGACACCGCGCGCGGAAGGAGTCTATGACTCACGATCAGAGATGCTGAGACGACATGACACAAACAGAGCCTATATCTGAGAAGCTGCATTGCTGAAAATGCCGACACTGCGAATATGGACATGAGACACTGCAGATATTTTGGGGCCAATTACCACCATACGTGCGCATGCCATATACCTGACAGCATTGAGCTCTCCTGTTGGGAGTCTCCTCTCTAAAACCTATACGGTGCCGCCGCCGAAGATGCGTAAGGTCATCACTGTGATCACCATCACCACTGGGCTCTGCTGCTGTGACGCATGGCTTGATACTACCGAATCTGTCGAGGCTGAAAACGACAAGTATTATCAAGATGGCGGCAACAGCGCTACTAGCTCATCACAATGCTCTTCGTTCACAGCGACCTCGTGAAGCCCGCTCACTAGCAGCAGAAGATGCACCCCACGTGGGTATGTTGCTTCGTACCTTAGCCCATCGATATTCGCCGCTACATGGCAGGAATGTGGATAGGGAACATCGCAAGCCTGGAGCTCCATACCATACCTGCGGTTTCCTGGATGCTTATGCATAGGTAGTCTCATATTTCCGAACGATATTCCTCCTTCAAGTTGCACTATCGGCGGCGCAGTGCTGAAGTTGCATTGGTGGTTCAGCATGCCGTATATCAGTTTAAGCTATTGTGGCATGACTTGGCCGTTGCGTCCTTATTGTACTGCTAGGATGAATGGAGGACACCACGCAAACAGCCATCACGGCTCAGAAGCATAGGTGCTGCAGTGGAGGTAACACGTGGAGAGGAAAGCTGAAACTTCGGGATGATTCCACGAGCCTTGTGGACGCTGTCTCACTCCCACGGCGTTGAAGCACTGACAGGCTACATGTAAGGTTCCGATGCACTTCTTCCCCCATACGAGCATAGAGGAGCTTGCTTCGAAGCAGCGGGACTTAGCTTGAGATCATGGATCGATGCAAGAATACATTGCTGCTGCGAACTCCCCTCTTGACATTGAACAATTCTCATCCCACAAGATTCAATACTTCACATGGACACGCGCGGTAGATCAGGTGATTTGCACTCATGTGAAGCTTGGGAATTATCTAACTAGGCTTGATTGGCCTTGTCTCTCCGTAGCCAATAGCACTTGCGTTATGCAGAAAGCTGATACTTCCGGCGGGTTTCACTTCTGCCGGGGACAGTCGAGCGGCTTCTGGAAGGCTTCCGGGCTGTGCAATGCACACCAAACCCTTCCTGCTCTTTCATCCGACGAGATTGCGGCTATGGGGATTCATTTGCCCACGAAATGACGATCCCGGCTATCCAGACTGCGGGCGTGCGTGAGAATGATGGCTGGCAAATGCTATGTACTGCATATGGTCCGAAGGCGAAATGAAGCTTCGCTTGCATACCTCAGGGCTGGCAAATCGCCACCACGTAACGTGCAGCATCATGCGCAGCAGAAGCGTTGTCAAGCAGTGGCGAAGACGGTGTCGCGCATGCTGGTATGTCTCATGGACTCGTGAGCATTTCTGTATGTAAGCCCGGCGCCACCGACTGCATTGTTCTGGTGAAGGAAACACCACACCAAACCATGAGACTCTCAATCTGACGGCAAGCGGCACAAGGCGTGGGCAACAAGGCACACATACCAGAGACTCTTTACGGCTAGAGTCTAGCTCCGCAAGAGGTCCTTTGTTCTGAAGCCGGGGCGCCCATCGAGACCTTGCAGCACGCGCAGAGAGTGGCACGGCTCGCTGCAGTTTCAATAGTCGCGGGGTCACCTTTGGGCAAAGTATCGAGCCAGATTGCTCAACGAAGCTCGAGTTCTGCGACGAGGAAGCCGTTCGTTGGCAGACGACGCTTATTGAACTGCGGTAAGTGGCTCCTAGACTCGTCTGAGATGTCCTCTAACAGCGCGTGTGGCAGCGTTTCGAGATCCTTGCAAGGCGGTACCGCGCATTAGCTTGGAGGGGTTTATTCGGCCGTGCTTTCGGCTTCAGCCAATTAACGGCGCTGGGCCGCACGCATTCGAAGAAAGTGAAGCAGCAGGCGACGACCTTACCTTGCTCCACGAAGGGGTGCAAGGCAATAAGTATAGGCTCGCCCACCTTAACATACTGTCTCGATCCATCACCGTCAACACCCACATCGGCGACCAACTCTCTGGAGAGCAACAAGTCTGTCACAATCCTCACCCTTGAACGACATCTGCATATTAGCTTTCTGCAGCCGACCCTGCATCTGGAAACAACTCATAAGCCTGTGACCGCCTCCAAACACCCAGACAATACTACGTGTCGCACTTCTCGCAGGCCGAGATCACTGTGCACCGACAACCATCTTTACTGCTGCTTTCCATCGTTCCAACAGCTCAAGAGCTACACCGTCTCTTTACGAAGCCTCGACATCGGGCATATCGAGCATACTAGATCACGAAATTCGTTAATCACAAGCATCTTGCCACCGCTATTGTCGGCTAATCCTTATTGTCTGTACGACCTATTCTTCAGCTGTCCGAATCTACTATTGCAAGCTCCATTGTCCGGCTATTCACCTTTACACAGTTCGCAAAGTGTCCTGCTATTGTCACGGTGACAATACGACACACTTGATCGACATCCAAGCCCTTCGTACAACCACTTGTCTGGAACATTTGCACGTTCTTCAACTATCAACACCACACCGACGTCTACATCCAACAATCTTATCAGTCATGGCTTACTGCGTTGCTACTCCAACCCAGAATGCAGCAGCACTGGACTACTTTATCTACATGCCTGTCTCCCAGGAGATGGTCTCCTACCTCGCACTCAAGGCATCACAAGTCATACGCTGCGAAGGCCAACCGGAGCTAGACAAGAACCTCCTGCCTACGCCTCCGACTACGCCACCGCAGCATGCCGCTGGCAACTACTTCGAGCCGCAGCTACCATCATTGGAGCTGTTCATCACAGCTCTCATCGACCGATCACACGTTCAAGTGCCAACGCTCATGTCATCCTTGGTCTACCTCAGCAGGCTGCAGCAAAGACTGCCGCCTGTGGCCAAAGGCATGAAGTGCACAGCTCACCGCATCTTCCTGGCCTCCCTCATCCTAGCAGCGAAGAATCTGAACGACTCTTCACCGAAGAACAAGCATTGGGCACGCTACACCGCGGTTCAGGGCTACGACAACTTCGGCTTCAGCTTGACCGAAGTCAACCTCATGGAAAAGCAGCTTCTGGGCTTGCTTGACTTCGATCTGAGAATCACCGAAGAAGACCTTTACTGCCACTTCGAGCCGTTCCTTGCCCCAATCCGGCTATGGCAGGCACGGCAGGCGGAGAAGCAGCGCATGCGCGAGGAGATGGCCGCCCTCGAGCAGCAACGGCAGGTGGAGCTTGCTGTCGAGCAGCAACGGCGGACCGCAATGGAAGCTGCGCGGTATCATGAGTCGCCGCGGTCATACGTCGATCAGTACGCCTACCGCGCGGCTTACTACGCCGCATCGTGTAGCGGGTCCTCTCGTGCACCGTCTCGGACACCCTCGCTGTCACCGCCTACCCGCAGTCAATCCTCCGCATCACAGTCCTCGGCTGAGTCGTATGCCTCCTCGGTGTCACCAGTCAGCGTTAGCTCGTCATATGTTGACCCGATCTGCGAAGACGCGCCGGTACACATTCAGCAGTATGACAGCCACGCCATGCCCTTGGTCGTCCGCATCCAACCTTCACTGGCGAAGCATCCCATGGCATTGCCATCGCTGCCGCTTGAGACTGCAGGCGAGCAGGCTTATAAGAAGCAGAAGACGAGCAACATTTTCAGCCGCTTCCTGCCCACTATGAACCGTTCGCAGTTGCCTACCGGCTACTAAAGGTTTCTCTTCCGGATCAGCTCGATGCTTGATAGGCGTTCATTACATATTACCATAATACGGCGGATGGCGAAGGGGCGCCGCAGCATAGACTTGGGCATGGCGATGAAATCATGAGTCAATGACGTGCTTGGGCTGGCTTCAGCATGTCTTGGGAGCATTATACCACGGCATGGCGGCGGCGTCGGAGGGTTGGCTTGGTGCCTGTTGAGCGATGGCTTCGGCGGGCGACGTAGCTCTCAGTGGCACATAGTCGTCTATAGCTGGCTTCTCTCACGAAGGGTCGCAAAACGTGCGATATCCGCACCAATTACTTTCTCCCTTTTCACGGTGGTGTAGGTATATTATGCTGCTCATCGTCCCACTTGTACTGATCTTTGTCCTCGTCCTTACCCGGCATCATAATCTCCTTCGTCAGCACCGCACGCACGTGCGAGATGAAAACGAAGAACCACATCGTCACCAGCACGATTGCCATGGCGCTCGCTACCCACATGATTCCCTGGCTGCCAAGCTGCCTTCCAATATTGCCCGTACAGATCGTGAAGCCGACGTTAGGGAAGACGAAAGCCCACCAAACCAGGTGAAACTTCGTACTTTTCGTCGCAGCGAGTACGCTTACAATAGCCAGAGCAATGAACCAGAAACTTAAGGACCACAGTACGATCGCCATGAACAGCGCCACTGTCTGCAGTATCTCTATCGCCATAGGTCGGGTGGCGAAGTAGCCATATCCCGAGGGCAGAGCGTTAGCCATCCCGATGAAGGCGAGGCCTGTGAAGGAGGGCGGACCCACGGCAATGAACATGCCTGGCCGCAGGTTCGAGGCTGGAAGGCCATATTGCATCAGTCTGGTCAGGTAGATTGGGTACATGATCATACTGACCATTAAACCTAGACCTTGGAATGTCACGCCCGCGACTATGATTGAGAGGCGTGCAGATGGTGGTTGGTTAGCGGCGATCAGGCTGGCGAGGGTTCCGGTGAGCATGACGGGGAAGATGGGTACTATGAAGGGAGCAAAGCGTCAGTACTTCATTACCACAGAATTGAGTCGGACTGATAATATACGTACATATCCAAGCGGGCGTCATACTTTGGATCGTCAGCCTCTTCGGCGCTGTGAAGAGGTACCAATACTGCATCACCGCCAGGCAGAACGTGACAGCCATATAGAGCCAGAACAACACCCTCAGCGTTACAACCAGCCAGGGTCCGGAAGCCGGTACGCCGTACTCCTGGATGCAGGCCAGGATATTGAGCACGGCCAGGAAAGCCGTCGGTACGAACAGAGCTTCCGTTGGGTGGAGTAAGGACTTCTGTAGGGAGCCGGGGGCCAAAGTGAAGCGAGCAATGATGCCAGCGACAAGGCAAACGAAGATGACAAGGTCGAAGATGTAGAAGATCTTGCCGATTGTGGTCAGGCCAGTGAAACGGTGCGGTGTCGAGGCGAGGAGGAGGGCAATGCCGCCTGTGGACATCGGGAGGGTGAACCATGCCCATGTGAAGCTGCAACAGCGTCAACGTCTGCAAGTTTCCATGAGTACTGCATGCCAACGTACTGCTTGAAACGCTCTCGGAGCGAGACATTCTGCGGTGATGGCAATTGGTGAGCTTTCTCCTCGTCACCATCTACATCAGCCGGGTTGCGACGTCTGAACGGCAGCTCCATATCATGTCTGCCCGGCCGAGGCCATAAAGTCTTCAATTGAGACAAGATTCATCACATAGGTGGGTATGCAGTAATGAATATTCAAGACGTTGAAGGAAGGTTCGACCATGACGTTGTGGCAATCGCGTCGAGCCAACACGGCGACACAAAATCATAGAGCTAGCTATGCTTACGTTGCAATCGACGCGTGACTATATTGTAGATGGCTCGTTCTCAGAAGTAGCGGGGGTTGAGAGGCAGTCGAAACAGTAAATACCAAGCCAAGCGATGTATCGGCGGGCAACGCATCATGCGCATTATGACAATTATTCCAGGTGAACCGTAAATGTACATTATCATTAAGTGACCAGCCGGTCGATGGTCTCGCCATGAGTGGGTCAATGGTATCCTGTACGTTCAAAGCCCAGTGGCGCCAGTCCATACCTGAACACCAGATCTCCCCAGGCTATCAGGGGCCGTGTGAAATTAACCCAGCATTCGCTCGATAACGTCTCTGCAACTCATCCACCAACCCACCTCCCTCTTCTCAAGCGCTTTCGCTGTGCTCCTGACATTCTCGATCGCACGCTGCTCCCGGATTTGGTCAGCAGTGAACCAGCTCCCATGCAGTCCATACGGGACGCGCTGTGGGAGATGCACACGAGCGACAAGGGTCCTCACATCTCTTGCATTCACGATCCACAGTTCAGACCTGGCGCGGAGTGGCGAGTTGTCACTTGGCACCTCGCCGTCAACAGTGAGCTGAGACTCGTCGAAAGCGTAGAAGACCAGCCACCCGTCGTCTTCCGAGCTGTTGGTGGAGGCTGGCACGAACCGTGGTTCTTGCGCGAACCATCCCTCTGGCAGCTGGAAAGCGCGTATCGGGTCATTGTCGTCATTACTGGCCAGGATTTCCTCTATCGAGCGAGTGTCGACGCTTCCCGTCACGCTTCTTGGCGGTCTTTGCAGCCCTCTTGCGATGAGCGTCTGCACATCAACCTTGATCAGGAGATCAATCTTCGTGGCCTTGCCAAGCGCGGAGCCAAACGAGGTCACGCTGCTACCGCAGCCGTAGACGTAGCGGGCAGCCTGCATTTCAAGGTCTGTACGCACAGAGGGGAACTCGAATGCAATCGTGGACAGTGCCCACTGGTGCTCGATCTGACCGGTCTTGAGACAGAAGCTGTAATAGTAAAGGCGACATTCGTTCTCGTCCCAGACGGAATCGTACTCTTCGCTGTCAGCAGCGGCCTCGCCACGTCGATTCGGGACTTCTTGCTCCTCTAGTGGAGACTCGAGCAAGGCTGAGCGCTCGTACACAGACGCATTCATGGGGTCGTCGTACTTGGCGAAGAAGGACATCCGTTTCGCCATAGCAACCGTTTTAGGCTTGCGTGCGGCCGGTGGCGCAACGTTACCAGTTGCAAAGACCAAAGTAGCGCTCGTCAGGCGGCAGGCGAGCATATTAACCGAGGTAGTATAACCCGCGGCATCAACAGTATCCCAACTGTTTGCGGTGTGGAATATGCAGCATGCGTCTGTCTCGAACCATCTAACCTGCTCAGGGTGCCGGCGCGGGAAGACTCCAAAGCGAGCTGGTTGGCTTGAATCATAAGACATCGGCGGCTTGCCTTTCATCTGGTTCATTGGGTCCAGTGCGAGCGGCAGATCCATAATGACAGTATGTCCTGTAGAGACACCGAAGTCGTGCATCATCTTAGCACTGTAGATGCCTGGCACAGCCGCATTAAGCATCTTCGATTGTGGCTGCAGGCTCCTCTTCTCATCGACCGGCTCTCGCGCTTCCTGTGGTATGATGCTGTATTGCACATACGGTCGCGCGAACGATGAGTGGAACATGATCATCTCCTTCGTAACCGGATCGAGTTTGGGATGGGCGGTAGTCCACTCGCGCATGAAAGCAATCATGCCACCATCTTGACCGAGCACTCTCTCTACTTCCTGCTGCTTTTTCGCCTGTGCCTCCTCTGCCTTGCGCTCGCCTTCTGCCCAAGCGCCATTGTACCAGCCAACAGTCTGTAGACCGGGAAGCTGTACGCGCATTGGCGGCCCGCTTTCGCATGTCGCCAGCGCTCGTCCATCATGATAGACGATATGCGTATTCGCAACGCTAATCTTCTTGATTTTCTGCTTGGAGCCCGGAAGAAAGCTTAGCAACACCAGGAACAGAGTCCGGAAGATGCGAAACGTAACGTAGATGACCGATGCCACGGGATTGACCAACGTCGCTATCGATGGCAGAATCGGTACTCGAAGTCGAGGAGAAGATAGTGTAGACAGGTATAAGTCGGTCAGCACATATTGATTGACAAACTCCGGAACGATGCGGCCGGCCTTCTGATCTCGTCGGAACGACACGCCCGAGAGCATGCCATCGCCGTCGAACCAATGGGCATCGCGACCGAGATCTTCGTTCGATACAGGATTCCCGCCGTTACGGACATACTCGCCATCGGCGAGCTCATCAGGAATGTCACCGGTATATGTACAGGGGGTGAGGGGTAGAGTCTGCTGTATGGGCGCAAAGTTGCCTGTCAAGTACGGGTGTTTTGCTTGAGGCGTAGGCTGTATCGTGTGGGAGCTGGATGTCCTCTTCCGCTTCTGCCCAGCCGCCAACGTGGGTGCTCCTTCAAGCATGACTGCTAAGGATCGAGTGAGACCGCAAACTGCGGCGGCGATTAGGGCTCGCTGTGGTTGCAAGAAACAGTGATGAGTGATTTTAGCTCCACAACGAATGTTGAGCAGGACCTTGCTGCACTTTAACCTGCAGGCCTGAGTGACCTTTCACGCTGCGCTTCGCTACCTTCCCACCAGCTCTGCTAATGCAATCGTCGAAGATGTCGAGGGCATGGCACAGGGCCTAACAGCAGGTTGCTCGGTCCGCCAATGACGTTTGACTGCTGTAGTTCCACGGTTACCGGCGGCCGCTAAAGCAGGACAGAGCGGCAAACGTTACAGGGGATGCAGGAAAACATGGAGCACTGCTCGCTTCACTACCCGTCTCACGACTTCTACGTGTGGGACTGCGATCGGATCGGAATGATCGTGCCGCAAGTCATCGTGCAGTGTGGCTAATGCGATGTGGCGACTGTTGAGCACGCGGAAATTGGACGAAGCGGACGTTTTCTTTGCTTTGCTTGGCTTGGCCCGCGGGCAGTTTGTTGACGCCGGCAAGCCGGCTTCGCAGTCGGTTCCTGTCTTGGGAGAGGCCGTTGTGTGGCTGTACAGGCAGCGGTGGTACTCGGCACCTTTCCTTACCGGCGCAGACGTGGACGTTGAAAATGTTGTTGGTGTAGCCGGTATGGCTCTGCGACCACGACCACGACCACGACCGTCCGCGAACTCTGTACACAGGCAGGAGAGATGGGCTACGACTACGCTCTAGTGTATGGCTTCCTTGACCTGCCACCGGCTCCCCGAAACATGACGCTGACTGTTCCACCGCAGGCACCTCATCTATACCATTCCGCCTGCAATACTTCTGTCCATAGTCTATTCGCCGCTATGTACGCGGCTCGACATATACAGGATCGTGTTCCTGCTTACCATTGCGGTCGTCTCCACCTTACCATGGGATAGCTACCTTGTACGGGCTAGGATATGGTCCTACCCGGAGACCGCAGTCATCGGCTTAACGATACTCGATGTTCCACTTGAAGAAGTCTTCTTCTTCTTCATTCAGACTTTCAACACGACTCTGCTCTACTTGATCCTGAACAAGCCGATACTGCACAGTGTATATCTGGTCAAAGAGCAGAAAGGTCGGAACGACAAGTGGAAGTATATCAGGCTCATAGGCCAGGTCGCGCTAGGCCTGACACTCAAGAAAGGTGTCGACTATGTGCGCGCTGGGGGTAACGAGACTTATCTGGGCCTCATACTCGTCTGGGCTGTGCCATTCCTGCTTGCGTTATGGAGTCTGTCATACCAGTTCCTGGTCTCCCTTCCAGTTACCAGCACGATCCTTCCAATCGCGCTGCCTACAGTGTACCTGTGGATTGTGGATACATTAGCGCTCAAGCGTGGGACGTGGGTGATTGGCTCCGGGACGAAGACGGGCTTGACTTTCTGGCCCGGCTTAGAGATCGAGGAAGCGCTCTTCTTCCTGCTCACCAACTGCTTGATTGTGTTCGGCTTGGTCACCTTTGATACTGCAATCGCCATACTCAATACTTTTCCGGCGCACTTTCGGCACGTACCAGCCCTACCGACACCATGGTTTGCTATGCGGGCTTTACTGCTCCCGTCGACCACTTACGATGATGACCGCACCATAGGCCTGCAACAGGCGGTTGCACGCCTGCGTGCGAAGAGTCGGAGCTTCTATCTGGCATCCTCTGCTTTCCAGGGTCGCTTACGCATTGATTTAATCATTCTGTATTCGTTCTGTCGAGTTGCAGATGACTTGATCGATAATGCCAGCGACGCGGCAGAAGCGAAGCAATGGGTGCAGAAGCTGAAGACGTTCCTGGACTTGTGCTACAGTGGAAAGGTCAAGACGGCGAACGGCAACTTGATTGATGCCAGAGATCCAAACCAAGGCCCTGCCACACTTTACGCGGTCCGGCAATTTCCACCGGACGCGCAATTAACGTTATTGTTGCTCCCGACCGACAGACTCGACCAAGAGCCACTCTATGAGCTTCTCAGGGGCTTTGATATGGATCTCGCATTCTCAGACTCATCGTTGACTGGGCCGATCAAAACAGAGCAAGACCTGGATCTGTATGGCGCACGAGTGGCAGGTACTGTGGCTTTACTCTGCATCCAGCTCGTCCTGTACCACTACCCAGGCACCTCGGAAGCGAAAGCAAAGCGCTTAATGGGCGCAGGACACGATATGGGTATCGCGCTGCAATACACGAACATTGCGCGAGACCTCATCGTTGATGCGGAGAACAAGCGCGTCTATGTACCGCCAAGCTGGCTCAAGAAGGAGAAGCTCACGCCGGAGTCGTTCGCCGGTGGCCTTACCAAAGCATCTGGTGCCGAGCAGGATGACTTCTTCCTTAAGAAGCTCTCAACGATTCGGCAGCGACTGCTCGATCGAGCCTTCCACTTCTACGATCGCAGTGTCGGTGCGATCGAGGAGCTGCCGGCCCCGGCGAGAGCGCCTATGCGCGTGGCTGTTGAGAGCTACATGCAGATCGCGCGAGAGCTGCGTAAGCCTGGCTTCAAGGTCAAGGCTGGACGTGCAACAGTCCCGGTGTGGAAGCGGTTATGGGTCGCCTGGCGGATGCTCCAGGGTCCGCGAAAGCGCTAAAAAGGAGTAAATTTGTATATATTGTATGCTTGCCAGAAGTTGTAGATACCCATGCATGCATAGTGGAGGGGAGCGTAATAGATTGCCGTCAGTCTCATCCGCTTAACCATGTTTGCTTGCAGACATCGCGACTTTGGCAGTTGGAAAATGATTTGGCGATGCCCAGGCGCTGTAGTCGCGTCATAGTCTAAGCGGCTCTTCTAGCTTCCGCACGCCGTCGTCTGCCCGTTGCATGTGAAAGACTTCAACGTTCACCACGCCACTATGTCTTCGTCCAGAGTCACACTCAATGGGCGCGAACCGCCGGCAGAAGACTGCCATTGTCATAGGTACTCACACTCACTTGTACATCGCCATGCGACAAACTGACATTCTTCCACAGGCGCCGGCGCAGGCGGCGTCTCGACCGCAGCTCGCCTCGCTCGTGCCGGCTTCAAGGTGACGGTGCTTGAGAAGAACTACTTCACCGGCGGACGATGTAGTTTGATTCATACCGATGAAGGATACCGCTTCGATCAAGGCCCATCTCTCCTCCTGCTCCCGCGGCTCTTCCGCCAGACGTTCGAAGAGCTAGGCACGACTCTGGAGAAGGAGGGCGTGGAGCTTCGCAAATGCGAGCCCAACTACCGAGTCTGGTTCGGCGATGGCGAGAGCTTCGAGCTGAGCACAGACCTGGCGCGCATGAAGCACGAGATTGAGAAGTGGGAGGGTGTCGGAGGATATGAACGCTACTTTGATTACCTGAAGGAGGCGCATCGGCACTATGAGTTGTCTATGACCCATGTTCTACTCCGGAACTTCACGTCGTTCATCGCGATGTTCAGGTGGAGCTTCCTACAGCACATATTCACGCTGCACCCCTTCAACACCGTGTGGGGCAGAGCGAGCAAATACTTCAAGACGGAGCGATTACGGAGGGTGTTCACCTTCGCGAGCATGTATATGGGTATGAGTCCGTTTGAGGCGCCCGGCACGTATAGCCTGTTGCAGTACACGGAGCTGGCCGAGGGTATTTGGTATCCCGTAGGCGGCTTTCACCGAGTTATGCAGGCCATTGTTGACATAGGCAAGAGGGAAGGGGTAGAGTACAGGCTGAACACGCCTGTGAAACGGATCGTGTTGGACGACTCAGGAACGAAGGCGCTCGGTGTGGAGCTGGAAGATGGAGAACAGATTCCTGCTCATGTCATCGTCAACAACTCAGACCTGGTCTATGCGTATAACAACCTGATTGCTCCTTCAACAGACAAGCGGACGCCCTTCGCGGAGACCTTGGCGCGGCGACCGGCAAGCTGTTCGAGTATATCGTTCTACTGGGGCCTGTCCGAATCTGTACCGCAGCTCGAAGCGCACAACATCTTCCTGGCAGACGAATACAAGGAGAGCTTCGACAGCATCTTCAAGAAGCATCTCATACCTGATCAGCCAAGCTTCTACGTAAATGTGCCGACGAAAGTTGATGCAAGCGCAGCGCCAAAGGGAAGAGAGACCGTTGTGGTCCTGGTACCTGTGGGGCACCTTATCGATGCACCATTCTCGCAGTCCGATGGCCAAGCTAACGGGCATGTCGTGTCCAACGACAAGTCAGCGGCGAATGGCGACATCAAAGCCGTCTCGCCTCCGACTCAGACCGGAGTTTCGCCAACCACGCATCAAGACTGGCCCGCAATGATTGCACTCGCACGCAAGACCATTCTCTCGACGATTCGCGCTCGCACCGGGGTAGATCTTGAGCCGCTGATCGTCCACGAACAAACGAATGATCCCATGACGTGGAAGGAGAAGTTCAACCTCGACAAGGGCTCCATTCTCGGCCTGTCCCACAGCTTCTTCAACGTGCTATGCTTCCGACCCTCGACGCGCGCCCGACGCGGTAACGACTGGCTTGACGCTAAGCTCGGCGGCGGCGTCGTGGGCAGAGTAGGCGAGCTCTTGTCAGACATAGTGAGGACCGACAGGGACATCAAGGGCTTGTACATGGTGGGTGCATCCGCTCATCCGGGAACGGGTGTACCCATCTGTCTGGCGGGCGGCAAGCTCGTGGCTGAGCAGGTGCTTGAGGACTCGTCGATGTCTATACCGTGGAAGAAGAAGAATGATGGCGAGGGAGGGCCGATCAACATGCAGCTGCTGCTGGTGGCGCTGGGGATCTCGATGATACCCATTTTGACCGCTTTCTTTATTGTATGGACAAGGTTTGGCGAGCTTGAAATGTACGATTACTAGTGGACAGTAATCTGCTGCAGTTCTCCGCCTTCATCGGGACGTCTCAAGTCCTCCGGAAACGGAGACATACGTGACCCGGTAAAAGTATCATTTCACTGCATGCACCGTCTAAGCGGCTAATGAGTCCGGCCAATGTGTCATCAAGTAAAAAAGTCTCAAGCGACAATCAACAAGCCGTGGGTTTACTTACAAAGTGAGTCCTGAGTTTGGAATAAAAAGTCTAGGTTTCGACGACGGCTCTCTCGGAAGCCAAATCAGAGCTGCCCTCAGGATCCCTAGGCCTGGCGCATACCGTCTCGAGTAGATGGCAGCTAGCCTATGGTGTGCAGTAAGTGTCACAGAACAGGCATCCCAAGAACGACATCCGAAGCGACACCCGAGTATAAGCGTGATTTGCCTAGCAAGTGGCCGTCCACGCTTTCAGAGTTCGGCCTCTGACCATTTCTGCTAGCCCTTTTTTGATCCTGCAGCGTCAATAACCACACGAGGTAAAGTGGATGAATGGCATGGGGCACTGATGCCGCTGCTGCGTCTGCGGTATGCAAGTGAATGGTCGCAAATGTGCCACCGATGTAGGGGTTGAATACCATTTGCGTCCTGGCTGTGAAGCTCTGGTCGCTGCGGAGTACCGCACATATCTCGATTCGGTTGGCTACGGCAAGCCGACAGCGACGTTGTGGACGTGAGCATTACCGGTGGAGATGGACTGCAGTCTAACCTTTACCAAGGAACAACAAGTACCGTGCCTTGGCAACGCAGATTGAGGGCACAACTCTAGATTGTGAGCCATGATGTAGCTTGAGTGTTCCAAGAAGCTCAGACAAGCTTTCTCCTTAAGCGCTTGTGGCTTGCCGCTCAACCGAGGTTGCCGCTAATGTCGTGACGACGAAGATCGATGTTGCAGCTCCACGGTCTGTCGCGAGATATTGTTGCATATGCTGCAGTCAGTGAGTGGCGCTAGTGGCTCTAGAATCGACCGCTTCATGGGTAGCGGGAGTCGACGTCAATGGGTGTAGTCACGACGGGCTCTGTCAGTGTGACTCAATGTACCAGGAAGTCTCCGTATAGAGGATATGCCGTAGCGGGAAGGCTACAGTAGGGATGCAAATAGGAAGCCGTGCTATGCCGGACCTATCGCATCGCGGATGCCGGACGACGCTCGGTGCACCTGGGACTATGGATTGGTAAAAGTTCGACATGGGTAAAGTTTCGACGAGGCGATCGCCACCAAACCGGAGTGGGCGCCGTGGAAAACTGTTAGCAGTCGTCGAACCATTAGGGTACCCTGCCGGTTAAGCAAGGTTCGGTCAGTCACTCTCGCAAGACTTCACGATATTTGACGTCACCCGGTCACATCCGGGCAGTTTCATAAGCGTAGCTATCCGTCACGAGAACTAGAAATGAATAGCAAACAAAATCCCTCCTTGAACCGTGGACTCACAGTTCCCTCTCACTCCCACCAACAACGTGCCATCAAGAGCTTCTCGGGATCGTGACAACAACAACCAAGTCGTAGGAGCTACTCAACCGTCACCAACAAGCAAGATGTCTCTCAACAAGCGCGCAAACAACGCGCTCAATACCAATAGTAAGTATGAAGTCGCTTTGACGACGTTGAGTTCAGGTTCTGACCGAGACCAGGCTACACCGTCAATGGTATCAGTCAAGCTGTCAACAACCAGACCCTCCAGATCACCACCCATGGCTCCGACTGGTACTGGGCGGTCTGTGCCGTGATGGTGTGCTCGACGTTTGCCTTCATGGGCCTCGCCGTCACCAAGCCACGCACTCAGCGCATCTTCCACTACATCACCGCTGCAATCACTATGGTGGCCTCCATTGCCTACTTCTCTATGGGCAGCAACCTCGGCTGGACTCCTATTCCTGTCGAGTTCCACCGCAACACCCCTCAGGCACACGGCAACTATCGCGAGATATTCTACGTCCGTTACATCGACTGGTTCATCACCACTCCGCTGCTCCTGCTCGACCTGCTCTTGACTGCTGCTCTGCCATGGCCCACCCTCATGTACGTTATCCTCCTTGACTGGGTCATGATCGTCACCGGTCTTGTTGGCGCACTCGTCGCCAGTGGCTACAAGTGGGGCTACTTCGCATTCGGCTGCGCCGCTCTTGCCTACATCGTCTACGTGCTCGTCTTCGAGGCGCGCAAGCACGCCAACGCCATGGGCCGCGATGTCGGCAAGGCATTTACATACTGCGGCTCCCTCACCACCCTCTTGTGGATCCTCTACCCCATCGCGTGGGGTCTGTGCGAAGGCGGCAACGTCATTCACCCGGATTCTGAGGCCATTTTCTACGGCATTCTCGACCTCTTTGCAAAGCCTGTCTTCGGTGCTCTTCTCATTTGGGGCCATCGTGGCATCGACCCGGCTCGTCTCGGCCTCCACATTCACGATTATGACGAGAAAGATTTGGCCATTGAGATGAAGAGACCTGGCGCCAACGGCACCAATGGCCACACCAACGGTATTACGAACGGCAACTCCACAGAGCAGACCGTATAAGTGAAACCGACACACGGGTCTAGTGCCTCAACTCCACATCGCCTCCATCACTCGAAATAGAGTAGGAATGCAACAAGGCGTACGGCTTTACAAGATGGCAGGTTGGCGTTTGTTACGTATACCCCCAGGCGGTGTTTATACTGCTTAATGAGCTTTGTGCATCGATTACTGCGATGCTTAATGGTTAGGTTCCGTTGTACGATACGTAGTTAATTATAATGGGTCACATGTTCCTTCCTGACGCCGTTCCGTGAGAACTAACACTAGCCTACTGAACCATCGTACAACTGAACATGTTCTTTCGCACCATGCGCTGATGTTTTCGCATAATTCAGCGTTCAGCCCTTAGCGGCCACCGTCGCTTCTGTTCCAACCTAGCTTTCCTGATGCAATGGCTACTTCGCCGAACCTTCACACAAAGTGCGCAACGCCTTGTCGCTTTGCTTTGGTCGTGAAAGGCCCAGCTAGCCGGTGTGCATTGCGGCAGTGCGCAGTCTAAGCAGCAGCTACATCGGAGTCCGAGCCAGCTGGCAAAGATTTGAGCCATCGCACAGTCGTGTCTTCCAAGGAAGCGATCGGGTTGACAGCTAGCATTTGTCAAGCCTCTGAGGTCAGCGAATCTCTGGTCCGCGACGCTTAGAGTATCGCCTTCGGCATTCTCTGCGTCCTATTCTGTTCGCACAGCATCGCATCTAGAATTGATTTCTTCGTCTATACAGCAGTCTAAGGGTATCTGAATAAGCGGACGTCTATCGCTCAAATTCAAGCCTTGTTCGCATCCTCTACAGCCCACCTCACGGCCTCTTGGACACCGTCCAGGATCATGGTAGGCTTACAGCTCGGCTCGCTCCCATCCTGATACACGCCGGTCTTGACCAAAATACTTCGCCACTGGCTCCCATGCGGCGAGTGGTAGTTGTTGGCACCTCGAACATCAGACTCTGGATTGTCGCCGACCATGTACACCCGCTTCAACGGCTCGTTGAGCCCAACGTGCCCGAACAACTTCTTCCGATGCGCACGCAGTCTGCGCTCCGCAAACTCATATGTCGGCTGATACGGCTTGCCGATAATGGTCTTCTGCAGCTCTGCATCGTTCGTTACCGCTCGCCAAAGGCCTGCGAAGGCTTCACGGAAGCCACCTTGACCCAGCCGCGGCAGGTGGTATGAAGACGCCCACCAGAGGTCTGGATTGCTGTAGTAGAGATGCGGTTGACCATCTTGCTGGTAACCATGATTGGGAAGGGATGCGTCCCCGTTCTTGGAAGAGAGCGTGCCCAGATATCCTTGCTTGGACAGCAGAAGATCGAGAATCACGGTACTGTCAAGCCCCCAGTCCCGAGGGTCATTGTAGATGAAGATGGCATCAATCTTCAGGCTTTCGGAAAGCGAGGCCGGGTTAACAGGCTTTGGTAAAGGTCTTGCAAAGCTTTTATAGTAGTCCATGAAGTTGGCCGAGAACGGCCAGATATCCGGGTATGCGCATACTATATCCGCCGGCGTGACCACAGTCCCGAACCCGTAATCCTCGCGTGCGACCCGCGCGCACTTGTCGTAGTCCCCTCCCATAATCAGCACAGTCTTGTCCTTGTAATCATGCATGTCCGCAAAAGGCGTATGCGATTGCACAAACATTCCTACGTCGAGCTTAATATCCAGCTTCTCCGAGAGGTCTGCCACCCGTTCCGTCTCCGACCTCCCACCTCCATTAGTGAGTAAGATGAATGGGATCCGCTGGTCCTGCAGGTATTTCAAAGCCTCGTGTGCTCCTGGTAGTGGATTGGCGGACCGGACAAGGACGCCATCAATGTCGAAGGCGAAGGCGAAGGAGGGATGTTGAGGGACGGAGACCTTGGTCTCGAAGCGGCGGCATTGCGGTGGGTGGAATTGAGGCTGCGGTATCCGCTGGGGTCTACGTTGTCTGGCTACTGTCGTCCACGCCGAGTCCACAAGTGGACGTAGCTTTGTGGCCATAAGGAGGCGAAGCACTGCGGAGCGGGTCGAAGTCAATGGTTGAGGGGCACATTGAGGCGGCTGATACCGCCGAACTACGGCCGAACTGTGGTCTCTAAAGAGGCAGGCACGATAATTCATACAACCCTTCCGATTCACCGGAGACTTTACTGGGCATTGAAGTAAACAAATCAAAAGCAACAAAACTTGAAAGGTACTTTGGTTCGAGTTGCGTCTACTATACGCTGTTGCTGAATCGTCGCTACAGACACTCTCGTAATCACCCGTCAGTCTGCTAGAGATACCCCATCAATACCGCAGCTTCCGCGTTCAACAAACTGCTCCCTGCCGCACCAATAATGGTATTGTGACTCAACGCAACGAATTTGAGGTCGAAAATCCCTCCCTCGTCCTCCCGTACTCGGCCAACACTGACCGCATAGCCCCGATCTGTCTCTCGATCTAACCGTGGCTGCGGCCGATCCGGCTCTTCCATCACTACAATCGCCTGCTTAGGTGCGCTTGGACAGCCCAGATGCTGCGCCTCAGAAACATACTCCCTCATCGCCTGTTTGGCCTCCTCGGCGCCTGGCGCTGGTCGTTTCTGGAATGAGAGAGATACGCAGGCAGTGTGGCCATCTAAGACTGGCACGCGCGTGCATGTCCCACTGATTTTGAGGTCGTCCTGCACCTGGAAGGCCGTTGCATCGCCGCTAATGCCACCCAGTATTTTCCTCGCTTCCTTTTCCAACTTATCCTCTTCGCCAGGGATGTACGGTACGATGTTGTCGATGATGTCCATACTACTCACACCCGGATAGCCAGCCCCAGACACAGCCTGTAGTGTGACTACGGAACATGCAGAGATCGGCCCGAAACGAGCCTGAAGCGCAGCGAACGGTATGACAATGCCAATGACCGCGCAATTTGAGTTACATACTTGGAACCCTGACGTATACTGGAGCTGCTTCTTTTGGTGCGGTATAAGCTTGAGGTGTGACAAGTTGACTGTGGGCACAACTAGTGGCACTATTGGGTCTTGTCGATAGTTCTTCGCATTCGAAAAGATGGGCAGGCCTGCTTTCGCAAACGCTTGCTCTGCACTCAATGTGTTAGTATGTGGACTAAGTGGTAGATCATACACTGCGCGTACCAGCTTCTCCAGCGACATCGCTATCCAGGCCACTGAACACCAGATCACAATTTCCCACAAATTCTTCAGGGCGACATTCTGTGACAACCAGCTCGCCCAGCTCTTTGCTCATGGGCAAGCTCTGCTTCCATCTCACGGCATCTTTGTACTTCTTGCCGGCGCTGCGAGAACTCGCGCCGACAACAGTGAGGCTGAAGTGAGGATGAAGAGCAAGCAGTAGTATGAAGCGTTGTCCCACGGAGCCGGTTGCGCCAAGGACGCCTATGGATGTTAGTTACGATACGGAACAATGACGGGAGCGTGGTGGAAGGACTCACTAACCGCACCGCTTTCTAGGGAAGTTCCTTGTTGGGTTGGTGAAGTGTTCGGCGTCCATTATGCGTGCTTTTCCCAAATACGATCTTTGCTGAACAAATCATTTACATCGGTGACAGGCGGCTCGCGGCAGCTTCCGCGGCTGTCGCAGAACGACATCTCGAACCTCAGCCTTACCCGACCAGCGGACCCCAAATCCTTCCACTCGAGACAACCCTAAACAACCAGAAGATATTGAGCCTTATGAGGTTGACAAATCACAGCTTGAGCTGCGGGCCAATCCATCGGAAAGCAGATGTCAAGATCAGCACAACTAGAACCCGCCTTCTTCCCTCAAGAGTGACGACACACTACCGCGTTCCGACAACTTACTACCACTCCTTTAGCTCCTGCAGCCTTATACGATCAGTCAGGAGCGGCTCAAGAAGTCTACGCGTACAGCTCTAGCTGAGGGCTAGGGCAGCGGTAAGCGGACGCAATGATCAGCATAAGTAGACCACTTCCCTGTCTCTTGTCTACCATCAAACACGTCTTCATTACTTGGTCTGCGGCACTGTCGCTCCTCGTCTGCCATGGACACTGCGTCCGTCATCTCGAGTCTTTCAAGCGTTAAGCGCCAGAACTTTGCGAACGATGAGTCTGCACGTGTTCACGCACTGGGGGAGGCAAGGTACGGAGCTCAAGATGGCAGGAACATCTGGCTTGCTATTAGACCTGCTAACGCTTGTCCTTCCGCTTTCAAGAGCGCTCATGGTAAGAAGACCGTTTTGAAACCGTACCGGACACTGGGCTGAAGTGAACACCCTGCACCCTTGTAGCTACGTCTGCAGAGGTACGGTCTCAATGAAATATGATGATGATGTCCGGCTAATGCTCACAAACACCATCTTCGCAGACCATGGGAAAGGGTCTACGACATGATGTGGCTCGATCCGATTACCAGTGTTACCGCCAAGATCAGCGCTGACATGGGTATCTTTTCGGCTCTGAGCGCGCAACCGCAGACATCGCACGATCTCGCATCAAAGACAGGCACCGATGGTGCCTTGGTGACTCGGTTCTGTCGTTTACTGGCCGCTCGCCAGATTATCAAGGAAGATGATGTCGACAAGTTTTCCCATCTCGAGTTCTCGGAGGCGCTGGCAGATCCCAACGGAGTCGTCAACGGCATACACCATCATTACGACCTTCCTGCTCTGTATGCCCCCAAAGCGCCAGCATATTTCCGCGAAACAAAATATGTCAATCCGACAGACGCCGAGCATCCTCCGTGGCAAACACTTATGGGCTCTCAGAGCTTCTGGAACTACATCAAAGATCGTCCCAGTGTTCTATCGCACTTTCAAAAGACTTTGGCGTCGCTGACCGGCGAGACAGGAGCTTGGACGGAGATGTATTCACCTTCCCATCTTTTGGAGGGTTACGACCCAGCGACTGCTCTGTGTGTCGACGTAGGTGGCGGGCTAGGCCGTGACATGCGACACCTTGCGGAAGCCATCCGGGACTCGCATAGCAACGCCAAAATTATCGTACAAGACCAGGCATCTGTGATTGACGTCTCAATGCATCAAGCCAACCCGCTCCCGTCCAACATTGAATTGGCGGTCCACGACTTTTTCAGGGAGCAACCGGTCAAGGGCGCGCGCGCGTACTTGATGCACAGTATATGCCATGACTGGCCGGACAGCACGGCGCGTGAGATCCTAGTCCAGCTTGCAAAGGCGGGCAAGGCCGGTTACAGCAAGGTGTTGCTGGTCGATGGTGTGGTACCGGAGAAGGGCGCCAGTCCACGAACGGCTCAAATGGACATCAACATGTACGTTACTCCGACGTCTTGCTTACATCTTGGATGCGTTGACTAATGTCAAATAAGGATGCTGTTGTTCGCAGCCAACGAGAGAACTGAGAAACAATGGCGAGCGTTAGTGGAAGGAGCGGGACTCAAGTTCGAAAGGATCTGGAGCATCGAGGGCGCAATACATGTAGTTGTTGAGGCATCAGTGCTATAGAAAAAATAAACGCGATGCACACCTTTTCGTACAATACAACATTCTCCCCGCCGCATAATTAGCTGGCCTTAGGCAGTAACGCTCTGCAACCACGTCAAATGCCTTGCAGGCACGCTTGACCTACTTCTGCTAGCAGCCGCCCATTGTGCCATGTGTGGCAGCGCCTCGCGCCTCCACTAGTATTCCTCGTGCATGCTCGGACCTCAGCTGAGGATGGCAGTGCTGCGGCCTCATAACGAGGTATTTTCATTGGTAACAATGTGTTCTCCTTGCTCCACTTCCGTTGTCGTGTATTGATCTCCTATCACACTTTCAGTCTTTGGCGCGCGAGCATGTTTCAATTCATAGCCAATACGAGACGAGTTACCGCGCGGGCAAGAGCTTGAGAACGGTCACGCGACAGTATGTGCAACGAGCGAAGAAGACACCATGCCTGCCGGGTTGGACGAGGCCACGGCCATCTTGGCCGTCGTCCAAGCTGGCTTAAGCCTTGCGACGACATTGAAGGCCTATGTTGACAGTTACAAAGATGCGCCGGAGGACATCAAGACTCTTGCGGCCGATCTTGAGTCGACCATGCGCTACGTGAGCGAGCTCAAGGAGATGCTCGATGAGAACAAGAAGGCGCCGGTTCTCAACAAAAATGCTGTAGCAGAAGCTGAGGCGCGCCTTGTACAAGCTGAGAACGTGGTAATAGCACTTCAGAACCACATACGTAAAGGTAGCCGGCAAGAGGGACTGGGCGGCCCTCTAAAGCTCGACGACTTGAATACGACGAAGTTTCAGCAGGCAATGTGGTACTTCTACAAGCCTGGCTTTGTGACGGTGAAGAACGAGCTTCACGACTTGGCAACGAGGATCGTGTTGTTCCTGGCGCTGTACGGCCGAGAGAAAAGGTAGACGTTTTCTGCAGACTAGAGTGTACACGCGTCTCTGACAAGTGGCAACCATAGTTCTTCGCCCTTCGAAAGGCGGCTGTATGAGACTCAGGTGGTTGCAGTGGACTACGTGCTCGAAAACAGAGAGCTTCCAGAGGAGATGCAGCCCGTAGGACCCGGCCAGCAAATACCCACAGCAGTCGCTGAACCCTTCGAGCTCCCCTCCCGTCATTCACACCTCAATGATCGGATACCGCCACCCCAGAACCACCATCAGCAGCACGCAACGCAGCAAATCGTCACGACAGGCGCGAGGGACATCGCCGTCCTACCGGCCGCCAACGATCAAGTTGTGCAAGTCTACGACACTAAGCCCATCGTCAAACAGCGCTTCGTGCCTGCGGCTAAGCTTGAGCTTGAGCTGGAAGCGAAGTTCCGCAAGCGACTCGAAGAAGATGAAGCAAAGCGCAAGCAAGCAGAGAAAGAGAAAGTGGAGCTTCAGATGGAGTCGGTTGCCACGTACCGTTCGGATCTTCTAGCGCAGCTTGCCGAGCGGAAACGCAAGATTGACGAAGAGAGAAACCGATTGAAGGAGATTTTTGGAAACGATCTGCCTCCCGCTAAAATTGAGGACTTCTTGAACGAGCGGCACACGCAGGATGTTAGTGAGGATTTGTTTCAGTTCATCACCGACGTCGTGAAGAAGGCTGATAAACCTTCACGAGAGGTGGAATTAGATCAGGCAAAGCAGCCTGATACTGTAGCCGCGACTACCATAAACCCGCGGTCTGGGCTTCGAAAGTGGTTCAACTTTGCGTCTCGCAGCCAAACGAACCTGAAAGAAGGTGACCGAATGACCGCACTCCCAAAGCCGTCTGGCCCAAAGGCACCGGACTATGTCGCCTTTATACTCGCCTACCGTCAGCGCTCCTGGACAATGACACCTGCATCTGTGCCACGCTCCTTACTCAAGCAGCTACGCCACGCCAAACACGAGAGTTCCAACTCCGCTCAGTCGATTCTCGGCAGTACGCTGCGTGTCTACGACAAACTCGACGGGATGTGTCTCCGCATGCTGGAGGGCTGGCTCGCTCGGCAGCGTGCAGAGGGTCACCTGATCTGGGGCCTTTGTTATGCATGCACTTGGTTTAGCGGTGCCAAAGATTCGCTTGCGAAGCGTGGACTGAAGGGTCTGGTGTCGATGGAGGCCGGGCTCGCGAAGATCGATATCGAACAGGAGGCCATGAATAACTTTCTTGTGGTGTTCAGGCTACTAGATGTGCTTGATCGTAGCACTGGAGGTAACAACGGTAGTGACGGTGGTAGTGGATGGGATCCTGGTCCACCACCGGCAGCACCAGGAACTCCGCCTAGCACAATATCTGGGTCTTTCGGTAGAAGGCCGGGGCGGCCTTCGCGTTCGCCTCCATCGTCTGACGGTTACTCCCGGCCTGGTGGAAGACGTGACCGTTCACCGGCTCGAACGCCATCCTCGCCACCTTCGCCACATATACCACCGCCGCCGCCGCCGCGGGCATTGTGGGATGCAGATGACCCTTATGACACTCGCTGGCATCGCGACGGCTATGACTACGAAAAAATTAGTAAACGTTCGCCACGCGGCTGGGTTTGGTACGAGGACGGACGCGAGCACGGTGATAACAGTAATCGGAAACGTTATGAGGATGCGCACTACAGCGACGGTTCAGTGGCTTCAAAGCGATCCATTGATGTGGAGTACCGGAGGTACCGTCCAGCCTCACCGGCGCATAAGCGCGAGGTCACTGTGAGACGATATGATGCAGCCACCAACAGCAGCCATTCTCGGGAGCGGCGAGTGTACGATGACTACCACGAGTCTAGGTATGATCGGGAACGGACATCTGCACGTCCAGGACGCGGGGAGGAACTGATCTTCCGCAGAGAACCACCTGAGCGTATTGTGGAACGAGAGGTCATCCGTAGACGCTCTTCACGGTCACCTATAGAGCGCAACGAGAGAGGGGAAAGAGATATTGTCTGGCGACGTAATCCACGAGACGACTTCAATCCAAGGCAGAGGCCAAGGGTTTACGACATAGCACCTTCGCCTCCGCCTCCGCCTCCAGGGCGGACAGATAAGCGATCTGACTTTCTTCGGGAAGATTACTCCTATTTCCCTCCGCCACCGCGCGACCGTACAGAGGTCTCCATTGTTCGGCGTGAGAGATCGCCAGCAGCGAGAGAAGAAATCATTATTCGTGAACGCGATCGAGAACGGGACCGAGGACCTAGGCAAGGCCGAGAAAGAGAAGAGATCATCATTCGTCGACGAAGTCGCAGTCGAAGCCGCAGTCGCAGTCGCCGTCGAAGCCGCAGCCGAAGTACGGAAAGGGAGCGGGCACCTCGTTCACCGCCAAGTCAAACTAGCACAGCCGACTCGAATGAAAGGATAGTGAAAGCGCGGCAGGCTTCGACCAACGTCATCACGAAAGAGCGTGTGAGGGATGAAGACCTGGTGCCGGTTTCGCGCAGCAGAGTGGACGGCGATAGTGCAGTATCGAACATCCTTCGGGGCATAGATGGCGAGGTCGTCGAAGGGAAAGAGCTTGTTGTCTATCGTCGAGGCGGGATGGCGGGCGCGGTAAGCAGTCATTCTCACATCAGAAATGACTATATGATGGTGCTAATCGATTCGAGCAGCCACCGCCACGCGCCAACTCTGGCGATCTCATGGACGATCCGAAGAACCAATCGATCTTCCAAAGGTATCAGCAGCAGTATACCCTGCACCCTGAGCATCCAGCCAAGTCAAGCGAACAGCCGGCAGATGGGAACTCGCAGCCGCTCAGCCAGGTAAGCTGCCGACCCTCCAATGCTCTCCAAAGCCGGATTGCAGACTGATGTTCTGTTAGCCCAGTCGCACCGCCACAACCGTGGAAGACGTCGCAGCAGCTCACGAGGATACACGACAAGTCGCTGGCGCCGAACATGTCGCCTCAGCTTCGAATGTTCTTGGCGTAGATAGCCAGCAGCGGGTGTTCCAGGAGCCGGAGTCGGATCAGGAGTTCTTTCCGACCTCGACAGAGGCCTACGACATGTTCTGACGCTAAGCAGGGTATAGCAACAACATGTGAGGGTCAGCCGGTGCCTGGCAGGTCAAACACCTAGTCTCTTTGTCAGTACGGATGCGGGTGGCTTAGGCTTGTGCGCGAGAGTACCTTCCCGGGGTTCATGATCCAATACGGGTCCACTGATGCTTTCAGCTTGCGCATCACGTCAATCGTATCGACACCCAATTCTTGCAAAAGCGAGCCCTTCTTGCCAAGGCCAATACCATGTTCGCCAGTACATGTCCCTTCCATCTCAAGCGCTCTATCTACCATTCGGTGTACGCAATCCTCTACTTTCTTCCGCTCCTCAGGGTTGTTCCGGTCATACATTATGCTCGTGTGAAAGTTGCCGTCGCCGACATGACCAAGCGCGCTTGCAAACAATCCAAGGTCGTCGAGTTCTTTCTTAGAAATCTCTACAATATCGGCCAGCCGTGACAGTGGGACTGCGGCATCAGTGCTCCATACTTCATCACCTTCTCGCCGCAGAGCCATCATTGACCACAGAGCTTCCTTACGAGCAGACCACAGCGCCTTCTGCTCCTCGGCGTTGGCGGCAAACTGAAACTCACCACCTCCTTGCTGCTTCGCGAGATCTTTGACCTGTTGGATGTGCTCTTGCACTGCAGCTGGAGTACCAGAGAACTTGAAGAACAGAGTGGGCACCTCCTTCCACGTACGCTTGGTGCCGCCTGCCTTATTGACGACCCCCATTTGCACATCATCCATGATCTCTATGGCTGCGATCGGGATGCCGGAACGCACTACTGACATCGCCGTCGCCGCTGCTGCGCGGAAGGTCGGGAAGTCTGCGACGGCTACTGAAGTGTGTTGAGGAACGACGGCCAGCTTAAGCGTGATCTCGGTCACGAGGCCAAGGGTACCCTCGGATCCAACAAATAGCCCGGTGAGGTTATAGCCCGCTGCGCTTTTCCTAGGCCGTCGCTTCGTTTTGATTACGGTCCCATCCGCGAGCACTACAGTAAGATTGACGACCCAATCCCGCATAGTGCCGTACCGTACGGCATTCGTGCCAGAGCAAGACGTCCCGACCATACCGCCTATCATAGCACTTGGTCCGGGATCGACTGGGAAGAACAGACCAGAGTCCTTGATCTGGTCGTTCAAGCTCATCCAGCCAACGGCAGGCTGCAGTGTAACATCCATGTCATCAGGTCTCAATTCCAGGATCTTGTCCATAAAGCAAAAGTCCACGCTTACGCCACCAAAAGGCGCGGAGAAGTTAGCTTCTAAGGACGAACCGCCTGAGTACGGTATCACTGGGATCTTGTGCTGATAGCAGACTTTGGCTATTTGACTGACCTCTTCGGTCGACTTCGGGTACGCTACAGCGACTGGCAATGTCTCGATGTTGATACTGCTCCACTCGCTGTAGCCATGCTTGCGGAGATCCTCGTCGTCAATGGAGATGGCATCCTCACCGAATTCATCGCGGAGCTCAACAATCGCTTTTTCTAATTCAAGCTTGGAGGCATACGACGGCTTAGGGAGTGGTTTGGGATTTCGGGCAGTGTGCGATGAGAAATCGCTTACGCCGTAAAGGTAGGTCAGTGTGCCAGTAAATGCTGTAATGAGGAGGACACGACCAGTTGTCCAGAAGTGCGAAGCGGGCAATGAGGATGTCGTAGGAGGTATATTCGTCTGCCAACGCCTATTATATCTGACATGCTTGACGCGTAATGCTCGTGTCGTGTGCAAGAGCTCATTGGCTAGGCTTGACATCCGTCTTCGCTCCATGGTCGACTCGAGAGGAAGGCTGAAGAGCTTCAACTGTCCAGTGAATAGTGGACAGTCTAGCGGTCTCAAGTTGTATCCTGCTACTTACTCTACCATAAATCATCAGCCCGGCATAAGGTGGCGATGTCGCCCTGGGTGAAGGCGCGCACCCCTCCCCTCATCATGCGGAAGACTGCCGCGGCTCAGCGAAGAGCGCGGAGAGTCGACACTTCAACGGCATCACTGTTCGGCTGCTGCTGCAGCAATCCCGACGATGACGCCTCATCCATCTGTCTTCGTAGTCCGCAACACTGTGCGGACTATTTGCCGTAATGATGGTTCACGGACGAGGAGCGATTGCCATGGCGACGCCCGTCGAGCAGCCACGCGTAAAGTGCGTGCATCGATGCGCCTGCTTCTCCTCACCTAGGGGAAGCGTATGCGTCGTATCAAGCCATCAACACTATTTTCCGTTAAAGTTTTGAGGAACAGCCATGTTGGGGGGCGCAAGTGCTCTAATAAATGAGCTAGACCAGGTCGTGAACAGCCGCTATCCGAAAGAGCTAAAGGTTCGCTCTGGACACGATTCAGCGAAAGATATGCAAGTACTGACGCCTAGTAGACGCTATTCAATGTCTGTGTGCGATGCTCGGACGCCGAGATCGCACAAAGTGTACTCTTACGCGCCTGTCAAGTTGACCGCTTGGCGGTATGCTTGCTTGAGGGTCTGCGACAGTGGCCGTATGTGCTACACATCCTAGCTCGCTTCGGTACGTACTCTGCAGTGACAACACTTCCATACTCTGACGACCACTAGCGTACCAAACGCCCTTTCGGGATGCGCTGCTTCGGTGTGATCCGAACATACTGCACCACCTCTTAGTGCACGCGACAGCAACCAACAATGTCCGGTCAAGGCACGCGGCAGCAGCTGTCGCCATACTGTCAAATGCCGTTCCAGAGCGATACGCTCTTCCAGCTGAGTGTCAGGTATTCTTCGTACGTCTCGTTGAAGCAGCTGCCCATGAACCAACGGTCCACAATATGGAGCCCGTGTACGCTGTCCTGAAAGGAACCTCCTCCTTGCTCGTCGCCCTTCTGCCCAAGCACACATTGACCTTAGTTGAGTCACGGCTCGACGACATCCTGCGAAGCGCCCATAACCACGGCGACCGCGATGCGGAAAGCCACTTGCTCACACTCTATTGCTTGGCTATTATGGGAACCATCATGTTGGCCGTGGACGACCAACAAGCTTTGCACAGTAGTTTCTACGAGACGCAAGATCTGCTTTCTGGAACGCCAGCCGGATCGGCGCCGTGGCAGGCCCATGGAATGCGCAACTTCTTCTCGGTATCTGACAAAGCGCGCAGAACTGTTCACCTTGTGGTCCTTCAGGCCATGTGGGCCTGCCAAACGCATCAAGAATCTGCAATGGACCGGTTAACTGTCCTCCGTCTTGCGAATGTGATTCTAAACTTCATCCCGCAGGATACGAAGGACGCCTGGTGCTCCAACAATGGCCCGATTGTGCAGAAGTTGCAGCAGAAAGCGCTATCCTGTAGGTCGGATAATGTGTTACAAACCGAGGCCTTTGGGTTTATATGCTCACTCTGCAAACCCGTCTTCTTACAGACATCGTGTATGGAGAGCATTAGGCATACCATCTCCTCACCAGACCAGCTGCGCGGAACGACCTTCAGCAAAGGCAGTGCTCTGGAGCACTGCTTGGACGCTGTGATGGACGGAGGAACCGCGAACCTGTTGGTACGCAATCTTGTGCAGATCTTATGCTCCTCCAATGCCATTACCCTTGTGGAAACCGGTACAACCTTCTCAAGCATACTGCAATGGCTCTCGTCCTTGCCGACGATCATGCTGTCACTCGTCACCATCATCGACGGTCCGCTTCGACATACCTTTCAAGAACTGGCATGTAGCGTTGTATCGCCGCATACTCTTTCCGGTCATGCCCCGGATGGACTTGCTTGCGCGTCTCTGTGGCGGTCGATACGTAGTCAGATTCTCCACGAGCTCAGCAGACTACTGCTCAGATGTGCACTCAGCGCCTCGGAGACAGAGACGATCATCCAACCTCAATTCGGTGAAATGCTCTTACGTATCCATGCGGCTACGGCGTCGACTGAGCCTTGTGCACACACCGTGCCTTCACCCTCGATGTGTCTACCCACTTGTTCTGTGGTGGAAGGAGTGGTTGCGCCAAATGAAGAGCATACAGAGTGGCGGCAAGTTTTGCAAAGCCATCTGGCGGACGGAGCTCAGGCCCAACATGATGCATTGAGCAGATTGTTCGCCCAAGCATGTTTCGATCTTGAAGCGCGCTGTGAGGACGTTGAGCGGCCCTTGCAGGACGAACGTCGTACTCGCCGAGAATTACAGCACCAATATGATCATCTGCAGGAAGCATACAATGACCTCGACGCACAGAGCATGAGCTGCAAGGTGCAGTGCGAGGCTCTCGAAGTGGAGATGGCGGCGTGTTCATGCCAGCTTGCTGGGGCGAACGAGAGAGTTGAAGAGCTGCAGCAGAGTGTGGATCATCTGGGAGACAGTTTGCGGCATGCTCGCGAAAACGCAGAGCGCACCACCATCAATGCGACGAGCAAAAAGGTGGCATCTGACCTAGCGCATGCGACTGTGCTTGCTAAATGCGAAGCGGATCTTGAGGACACGAGAGAAGCCTGTGCTGATGCGGAAGGTAGACTGCAGAAGGCATCTGTTGATGTGGCCCACATGCAAAGTCGGCTTGAGAACACCGAGGCAGAGCGGGCCTCGCTGATGGATCAACTTGATCGGCTCCAAAGGGGGCTGGAGGACAAGTGTGCAGAAGTGCATGCGCTGAGTGCCGCTGCTGATGAGAACACGTCGCAAAAGATCTCACTGGAAGAGAAATTACACTCCGCTAATGTTGCGCTCGAGCGTGAGAAAGAGGCCCACGAAGATCACGTTCAGCAGGTCAAGGCGCATATGCGTCAGAATGCGGATGCTGCTAACGCAGCGCACAACGAAGCTCTAGACCGCATGGCATCGCAACATGGCGAAGAAGCCGCAGATCTACAACGCAGATTTGCGGATGCTGAACAACAGGTAGGTCGCCAGCAGCAACATTGCGATTTCAGTGCTGACACAGTCATCTTCCCAGATCAAACGCTTGCGACGTGAGTGCAAGCAAAAGGACGAGCAAATCACAGACGCTGACGCCATGCGCTCAAAACTATTTGCTGCGCTTGGCGGACCCCAACACCAAGCAAGTCTGCCATATCGACCTCGGTCTACACGGGTGTCGGGCACGCAGCAAAGCCATTTGGAAGGTTCGCCATCGATGCTTGTGGACTCGCAGAGCCAAGCGTTCGATGGGCGGGCATCTTTTGCCTCCAATGCTTCATCGGGCAAATCGAGAAACGGACCGACGCCGAAGCGAGCGAAGCCTCGCAAGACAATCGCAGTGCCGTCACCTGCAGAGTCGCGACTCAGCATCGCGACTCGCGCATCTTGAGCAAGCATAGCGGCACGGAGCCGTGGCACACGTTGGCCGTTAGGCCAGCTTGACGCGAACAGTTCGCCGCTTAGCGGGAATCCGAAGACGCCACGGAAAGGCGACATGCAGATGAACCGCGGTGAATATGATGACCCTACGTGGGACGAGACTGAAATTCCATTAGGCTCGGCTGAACCTGGCACGATGGACTTGGCTGCCATGCTTGATGCGGACACCCAGGGCTAATATAAAGCCGCGGGGCATGAGAGCAAACGGCACGAGTAGGATACCTGCATGGTGCCTGCATTTGCTTGTCACAGCTTCGCAGCTGCTGCGCACTCCTGCTTGTTCACAAAGAGACTTGCAAGGCTCCTCTCGTTACGATACGTCCTGCGCAAGCGTGGGTTGTTGCCCCAACGCCATCATTGAAGGCTCATAGCGAGGCGTAGCAGTCGGTATGTGTTACTTGTCCCTCACGTGCTTCACTTCCTGCATTTTTACTTCGTGCATGCATCAACGGCACGTGACAACGCGGCAAAGCGTGCTGCGACTGCCTATTGTGGCTGTATCCGCTTCCTGTTTCCTCTTCTGTTTGCAAACGGCGCGTTTGTTACATCTTCTACTGCACAACACTTCTTGAGAATTCAGCTATTCACGGCATGTCACCACCACTAATCTAAAGCACGCGAAATGAGCAAGATCTTATATCCGTGTACTTGGTGCACATCGTCCGTCGCTACTACCGATTGAACGCCTCGGTGCCGAAGTCCGGGTCCTCGAATTTGAGACATGGGGAGACTCACCAACAATGTCGAGCTGTCGCCAGCGTATATGCCATCAGGCTCGCCTTCACGGAAGGGTTCGCGGAGCAAGACAGCGAAATCAAACTTCGATAGCTTATTACAGGCCAGTGTCCTGAAACAGACTGTTGGGAGCGAACGTTCGGCCAGCCGCTCACTGGAGAAGGCAATAGTGCGGAAGAGTTCACCGACTCCGACTCGGACACGCTCAAGACATTCGCCATCTTCACTAATGCGTGAGGGACCGGCGACCATAAAGGCGGCTCAAGATCCTCAACCCAGACGTGTGGATGCACCGGTCAACGGGTGGCCGTACCTCAAGGTCAAGGTCATCAGGATCCCAAGCGAATGGACTACGTGGGATGCGTTTGAGGCTCTCAGCAAATTTGGCAGCATTTCGGACATCCATCTCCGGATGCGGCACGGGAACGCCTATGTCACGTATCATCCGCCACCTACGAACGTGGACTTCATTCAACAGGGAGCCACTGTCGAGTTTGGTGGCTCGAGATACACACTTCGCTTCGAGAGGCAGCCCGCACCGGAGCCTGTCGAGCTGCCAGCGAGGCCAACGCAGAAGAGGCGAATTATGCCCGAGTCAATTATGCTCCAAGCCCTCTCTTTCGGCGTCGGCGTGATGGAGACGGACAGGCAGATGACGGTCTTGTTCCCAGGATCAGCTACCGGCATACTTCCGGCCGAGATCCACGCAAGCGCAAAGTTCAAGAAGTTAGACATCACCTTCGACAAAGACGTGCCTCCAACCTCCAGCGACAACAATCGAAGCAACACATCTCGCACGTTCAAGTTGTCGATCGACCTTAGTCAGATCCGCGGCGTACGCAGGCTCACCACCACTGATCAGCAGATTGCGGTGGTGGTTGACATTCAGATGCCGCCGATAGTGTATCGCAAAGCCTGGCAAGTGCGAGACACGCACAATGCAAAGGTGCCATCCTGGAATGAGTCTCAGAGCTGGTTGCGTCAGACAAGCATCGACAACGATTCGCGCGCAGGCGAAGCTCCAACACAGCTACGAAGGCGAAGCGTCATAGTCGACGTCGCTCGGTGGCTGACTTACAGACTCGAGTTCAGCAAAGAACATACTGAATCAAGTAGTTTTCGCAATCTCATTGATTTGCTGGTCTCGACCAACGTGGCCATTACCGATGATCAAGGCTTGCGATTCAGCTTCGCAACCGCAGAAGGATTGTGGAAGTGGGCACCGGACTCGCCTGAACTACAAGTCACCATGCACAACATTGTAGAGATTCTCACGTTCGATGTACGCTATCAGTTCGAGGCATGCCTAAGCCAGGGTATTTTCCATGAGTGCAACATCCGAACCGAGTTTCTCAAGAAGCTGGCAGACCTTGAACCTGCCAGAGCCACCAAGCTGCTGGAGAAAGCTTTAGATGGACGGAGACGCTTTTTTGAACCAATAGATGTCTTTCGCCTGCTTAATGAGGTCAGCACTATTGAGAAGAAACGCCCGTCGTACTGTGCCAAGATCCGGGCTGCGGTAATCACTCCAACAAGCCTGATCATCTCAACGCCGGTGGTAGAAACCACCAACCGCATCATCAGGAAGTATGAACATATCGTCGACCACTTCCTCAGAGTTAAATTCACGGACGAGAGGTACAAAGGCAAAGTTATGAACAATTCGGACAATAATCAAGACGAGATCTTCACCCGTGTCAAGCGCACACTGCAGAACGGCATACAGATTGCCGGTAGGCACTACGATTTTCTCGCTTTCGGTAACTCGCAGTTTCGGGAGAATGGCGCCTACTTCTTCGCATCGACCCCTGACCTATCCGCGGCTGATATACGAGTAGCGATGGGTACTTTTACGCACATTACCACAGTAGCCAAGTACGCTTCAAGGCTTGGCCAGTGCTTCTCGACCACCAGAGGCCTGTCATACAGGGTTCGGGTCGATGCGCTCGCGGACATTACGCGCAATGGCTACACATTCACAGATGGTGTTGGCAAGGTCTCACCATTCATAGCACAGATGGTCGCGCAAACTTTCGGCTTCCCAAATGCCTTTGTTGACTATCCGTCCGTTATTCAGTTCCGGCTTGGTGGCTACAAAGGCGTGCTTGCGGTCGACCCAACGCTCACCGGCAAGGACAACATGGTGATCCAGACACGGCCGAGCCAGATGAAGTTCCCCGCGGTGTATCACGGCTTAGAGATATGCCGTTTGTCACAGTTTACAGCAGCGTATCTGAACCAGCAGATTATTTTGGTACTCAGCGCGCGAGGTGTCGAGGACAAGGTGTTCGTGGTCAAGGTGCAGCAAGCGCTCAAAGATTTGCAGGATGCCATGATCGACGAGGACAAGGCGAAGGACCAACTCTGCAAGAAGATTGACTACAATCACACCACCCTTGTGCTTGCGCAGATGATTGACGATGGCTTTATGGCGGTTCGAGATCCGTTCATGATGTCCTGCATGAGACTGTGGCGCTCGTGGATGGTGAAGTACCTCAAGGAGAAGGCTCGAATCTTCGTTGACGAGGGCGCCTTCGTTCTTGGCTGCACTGATGAGACGACTACGTTGAGGGGTGATTTTAATGCGGACAATCATACGGTTGACCTCACGGACGCTACGCCGCTGCCTGAGATCTTTCTTCAGATACCCGACGTTGCGAAGAAAGGAAGCTATGTGGCAGTAAAGGGTGTTTGCTTGCTGGCGCGGAACCCTTCGCTGCATCCGGGTGATATAAGAGTCGTGCGCGCCATCGACGTGCCCGCCCTGCACCATCTCAAAAACTGTGTCGTGCTTCCGCAGACTGGAGATCGTGATCTGGCCAATATGTGCTCCGGCGGCGACCTTGACGGAGACGACTTCCTTGTGATCTGGGACAAGCAGCTGATTCCACCGGAGTGGTACCATTCCCCAATGGACTACCAGGCACCAGAGCCTGTGAAAGCTGAGCTACCGATCACTGTAGATGCTATCACCTCTTTCTTTGTGACGTACATGAAGCACAACAACGTCGGTATCATAGCTTGCGCGCACAGATACACCGCAGACGACGGGTTCAGTGAGGGTGTCAAGGACTTCAAGTGTCTGCAGCTTGCGCAGCTCCACTCCATGGCCGTGGATTATATGAAGACCGGAGTCCCAGCAGTGATGCCAAATGAACTGCGAGTCAGAAAGTATCCTCATTGGGCTGAGCGCCCTGGAAAGTCATCTTACCACTCCAGGAGAGTGCTCGGCCAGCTCTACGACGCGGTGCAGCGTATCGACTTGCAGCCGGCCTGGGACTTGCCTTTCGACGAGCGCATCCTCAGCGCGTACCAGCTCGACGCTGTTCTGCTTCAGGCTGCATCAGAGGTTAAGGTACGCTACGACGAAGCTGTCCAACGCATTATGGCTCAGTACGGTGTTGAGAATGAGTTTGAGATCTGGACGACCTTCGTCCGTTCTCACAATCAAGACGAGAATGATTACAAGTTCACGGAGAAACTTGGCGAGACCGTGACGACGCTCAAGCAGTACTACCAAGAGACGTGCTACGAGAAGGCTGGAACAAGCGCACAGGAGCGTGATTGGACAAAGATCGCTCCCTTCATTGCAGCCATGTACACTATTACCGCCAAGGAGGTGTCATCAGCCTTTGAGGAGTCGCAAAAGACGGTGCTGAGGGCTGGCCAATACGTGCCACGGTCTTCCTCGACCGTCGCGAATATGCCTTTCATGTCCTTTCCGTGGATCTTTGCGCACGAGCTTGGCTTCATTGCGAAGGGTCAATCACCAGGCTCTGGGCGAAACGGACCATATACCACGTTGACGAAAAACAAGCCAGTGAACAAGACCCCCAAGTCGGACCTGTTCGCTGAGCCACTGGAGCGGCTACAGGACATCATCACGACGGAGGGTATCATACATGAAGGCGACCTGATAGACGTTCATCATGTTGACGAGGGCAGCGACGCTGGAACGGTACATAAGATTGACAGTCTGAACACTTCCGGCTCCAATGACGATCGCAAGGCCGGTCAAACGGATCATATCGACGATGCAACCGAAGACGGCGGCGGTGCGCAAGGCTTGGCCAACCAACCTCCGGCATTGGCAGTCAACATGGTGCATGCGCCACAGATGCCATCACCACCTTCAACAGAAAAAGGTGGGTGCGGGAACATTGCTCTGCGTAGCGAGGCCTTAGAGCACATCGGCGATGGAGACGAGTCTGAAGACGAGGAGGACGCGGACGAGGTCCAAGTCGGAGTCGCGGGGACGTCAACACTCTCAGCACTTGACAGGCTGAATGCGATGCTTGGCATGTAGGAATTAGTACTGCCCAGTCCGCAAGCCTCGGCCGGGCAGGGTGCTGATCGCCGAGCCTTCGTAGAGGAGATTACGATGAATTGCACTAGGTGGCGGGTTGCGACTTGTAGTCGGAGCGTAGAGAGCAACAAAGCCCCCGTAGCTGAGATCTACAACGGTCCAATCACGCTATTAAGTGTAAGGTTTTCGCTGTTACGCAACCATACACCTAATAGCAATGAAAATGAGTGAAGGTTTGGTCCAACCATGCCTCCTTCAACCCCAGCGGAACAAGACTTCCGGTTAGGTAGGTCCGGCCTGATAGACGCCTCGGCCCGACAACTCTTCTTGCTGCTGCACCCCTGGGCATGATCCTTGTCTGCTCACGTGCTTTGGACATCTGGGCGTTGCAAGCACAGCAAGCACCGCCGAGCTGGGCATCAATAACGTCCCGTGTCTCGGATGAGTGCAATGCTATGCTCTTCATCAATGCGATCCTGCAGGTGATCCGATTTGCTAGTAGGCTCAGGGGCACGGTTAGCTCGGTCTCTAGCCAGTATTTTCTACTCATTGGGCAGGAGTATCAAGTGCCCTACGGTAATTGGTTCGCATGATCGACGCTCCAGAGAAGAACATTGTCTCCGCGCGAAGATGAGGCCAGCGGTCAGGGGCACTTACTTTGGCTATGCAGGACGCCGTTGCAGCCACCCTTGGGGATCACCACACCTTCCCCAGATCGTACGTGCATCGTAACCAACCAGGTGTCTAATCATGCAGCGAAGACGTTCAGCAAACCGTCGTGGAAGCTTAAACGGTTCATAACGCACGAGGCCACGTGAGCGTGAACCACATCAACTCTGCGTATCCGTTCAGCATCAAGCAATCTCTCTTCGTACTGCCTCTCTGATCACTTTTATCACCATACCATGCATGTAAGCAGTGCCAAGACTCGCCCAGGGGCCCATGCGGCAAAGCATTGCGCTTGCCGTTCCTGGAATGGTCGCAATGTGTCTAGGGATAGGGACAGATGAGAGCCTCGGACCGCTAGGGTAACCTGCTCATATACCCTGTCCGTCGCTACACATGCCCTCTCCGCGCGGCTGTGTAGAAGTCCAATGCATGTGCTTCGGTTCAGTACCCGCCGCGAAGCTGGCTTTTGGCAAGCTCCGCTAACCCACGAACGCGAGCATCGCGACTGCCGTGTCGTCTGTGCATCCAGCCAACTTTGTTAGGTCCAGACGACCCTGCGCTCACACGACCTGATCTGACCACACACCTTAAGCCCGCTCCAACCTATTCACCCTCCTTTGATGCGATTTGCGACAACCAAATATTCATTCTCGTACAAGTGCCAAACGATGTGAAAGCGTGCTTCATTGCAACTCCCTTTCACTTCCTCCAACCGCAACTGTGTGCTCGTGCGTGCAAACATAAAGCTCTTCGTCCCGCCAACACCGCACTCGTATACGCTAAGTCACCGTCCAAGGAGAGCATGGTAGAGGTAGACCTGCCACCATCGACCATCTGAGGGTTTAGGCAGCACGCAGCACAGAGATGTACGCGCCATACGAGCCCGAAATTCTTGTTGATGGTCAGGCCTACTTCCCATCGCCCTACAGCCTCGACCCGCTCCCGGAGGTTCTTCGCCATGGCCTGGTGGCAGTCGGGTTGATGGCCTTGATCTCGGTCGCTTCCACCTTAGTTCTGCTCTGCTTTATTGGCTACCGCTTTCTCACCTGGCGTCTGCACTATCGCACTTTCCTCGGTTACAACCAGTACGTTGTCCTCGTACTCAACCTTCTTCTGGCGGATATACAGCAGTCTTCAGGCTTCCTCATCAGCTTCCACTGGATTAGCAGAGGCAGCATTCTCGCGCCGTCTCCGGCCTGCTTCGCTCAGGGATGGCTGATCCACTCGGGAGATGTCGCCAGCGGACTTTTTGTGCTGGCGATAGCCCTGCATACCTTCTGGACTGCGGTGTATGGAAGGCGCATCAGCAATCGAGTGTTTGCGTCTTGCATTGTCGCGCTGTGGGCATTCTCGTTTCTCCTCGCAGGCACTGGTGTTGGCATCCACGGCGATAAGTACTTCGGTATGAAAAAAGGGTTTCAAATTCGTCTTATTGCACGTCGGCTGACCATGACCACAGTGAGGGCGGGCGCTTGGTGCTGGATCTCTTCGGCGTACGAGAACGATCGTCTGCTGTTCCACTACCTCTGGATTTTCGTAAGCTTGCCGCTCTCGGCCTGCGAACCTTCTCTGGCTAATCCTTGTCACAGATCATCGAATTCGGGACTATCATTATATATGTTGTGACGTTCTACGAGCTGCGCAAGAAGACAACGATGCTGTTTAATGGTCAGCATCCGGGTGGCGACGCGCCGAATCGAACGACCATTGAAGCGGTGAACCGCATCACCACACTCATGACGGTATATCCGTGCGTCTATGTTCTCTTGACCCTGCCGTTATCCGCGGGCAGGATGTGGTCCATGGCGCATGATGGACGTGCTACGAGTAGCGTCTTTGCTTGCATCGCGGGCTCACTGATCACCAGTAGTGGATGGGTGGATAGTCTGTGAGTATTCGCTGCCACTCTGCACGGTTCTACGCTGATTGTGTTGCCAGCCTCTACACACTGACCCGAAAGCGTCTCCTAAAGGACACGATGCCAGGACAAAGCTCGTCACGGCGAAACGGAGACGGTAGCGACGCCTGGGAAGCCACCGAGCTCGGCACCAAAGGCATCACCCATACTCGGACCGTTACCGTGGAAGGCGGACAGATCATGGACTACACGCCGGAGCCACAGGAAAGCGATGATAGCTCGCCGCCACGCCCGCGTCATCTCTCAGACAGCGGCCTGCCGCTCGCTATGGATCGCCCGCCGAGTCCAAACGGTAGTGTTGACCCCATCCTAACCGGCCGAGGTCGCATCGGAAGGAATAAGACCGAGATTACCGTAGGCACGCACGAGATGTATCCCGACGACCACGAGACACAGAGAATAGCGGAGCTGCCCGTCTATATTGCACGACCTGACTAGTGCAAGCGTCAATGATATCGGGCCCACAATCGGCGTTATGGACTGGAAAAGTACGTCCTTGAGCGGTGCCAACCGTGTATCAGTATCTGGCTTAATCGGCGCGATCGCCACATCGTCGGATGCCGCATGGCTGGACGAGTGTACCATGACTGTACAGCAATGTATGACTGCTAGTATCTTATATCCGGCAAATCGATATGTAGCATACAGCGTAGCCGCTTCGAATGTACCAACGATTGCCGTTCGAACGTGCCTCAGAAGGTCGCAGAACCTCGCTCAAAAACTTTGACGTTCCCATCCCGTTGAACAAGATACAACGCCTCCATCTCCTTGCCAGCAAGCGTTCCCTCCGCAGCCCCATAGACACCGCCTCCCATAGTGACGCGCAACACACCACTCACATCTCGCGCGGCACCCGTGTCTAGCTCCCGCACACTTATAACGTAACCAGCTTGGTGCGCCTGCTGGACGGCGAAAGCTGCAGTCTCGGCCTCGATGGGTGTTGGGACTTTCTCGGCGTGCTCTGAGGCGGCTTCCAGTAAGGGGAGGTCGGCTGATAGTACCACCGCTGTGGCGTGGACGAGAGTGCGCAGTTTGAGCAGCACTTGGCTCAGTGTTAGTGCGGTGGTTTGGCCAAGGGCTAGCAGGGTGTCTGGATTCTCGAGGATGAGCGTTACTTTGCGCGTTCCTTGCTTCGCTGTGGTAATTGCCGTACGTAGAGTGCTTTCGATGGTGTCCAGAACCGTCCCGTTATCGTTGCAGAGGAAGTCGACAATCGTAAGCCGTTTGCTTTCGACAGATTTTGCCACATCGGTACCCTGGACGGTGTAAGTGATAGTCCTATATAAAGGATATGTTGGCTGATGATATCTCACTGCCGCTCTTCGGAGCTCTTGCTTCCACCATGAAGCATCTCTTAGCCAGCTCGCTAAGACTACCGCTGTCTCGCCACCTTCATCGTCCGTATAGTCCAGCAATGAACTCACGAATCGTGCAGTGAGCCATGTTGCACTACAGCCCAGTGTACTGGTCAAGACTATAAGGCTTGCCTCGGGTGGCAACCGGAGATACGGTTCAAGTTGGTGAGGTATTCGGTTACGCGAAGTCATTGGTACAAATTCTCACGCATATGCGTGCTCATGGCGGGGTGACTTTGAATTGTTGCGGAAACAAAGGGTTTAGCTGGATATACATAGGAGCGGCGAAGTGGAGACTTAACAGGACGTACGCGTAAAGTCTTCACCAAGATCACTCAGTTTCGAGAACTTAAGTCTACGCTAGAACGCTATCCAGCTACGAAGTGCTGCATCCGTAAAGTCGTGTTACATATAGGTCATCCAACACCGCGCTAATCAAGCCAACCTGAAACGACCATATACCGACTCCTCAAGTAGCAGCCACAGCCCGAAGCGTACTGCCAAACCCTCCCTCGCCCACAGACTCCTGTGGCCGACCGCGCGCCGTGCGCATCATCGGCGGCGGCGTAAGGACAGGAAGTATGTCAACAGACGTGACCTTGTCTCCAGCTTCCGACTCGTCATCCTCGGTCGTTGTCCCTGTCAGGGGTGCCTCGTCGGCGGAGGGGACTGGTGACTCGAGAACCGTCTCCGCTTGTCTAGTGGCTGACTCTTCTTTAGTAGTGGTCTGCTTAGATAAGGGTGCATTACCCGCGCGTAACGGTGATGGTTGTGGCGTCCTGTCCGCATCGCCCAGTTGAGTTGGGGCAACAGAGGCTGTGGTGTCGTTCGCTAGTATTGAAGGTTCGGTAACGTCCCGCTTTATCGCCACGGAGGCCAACACTGCATCTTCTTCCCTCACCACCTTCTCCGGACCAGCCCGCACGTCGGAAGCTTCAGCGACCTCCGGCGTGAGCAACGGCGGCGGACTCAGAGCGTCGCCGTCCCGCTCATAGAACAACATGAACACGCCACCCTGATCCAGGACATCCTCCTCCGTCACCGCCGACACATCTTCATCGCTGAGACGCCACCATCGTTCCTTCTGTGCTTGCGAAGAAATAGGATCCGGATCTGCGATCTCATCGTCGTCCTGCTGCTGTCGGAGCGGATGTCGGCGGTAACAGATGTAATGCCCGTTCTCATGCCGTCCATAATGCGTCACGACGGCCTTCAATCGATACACATACCGCCCTTCCTCTCCTGCTCCGTCCGCCAATGACAGCGTCTGCAAAGAACGTAAATCCTGCAAAGCTTGCCGGGCGTCTCCGTCAGACAAGTTACCAAGCACCCACTGACCCAAATCTAAGATAAGGGGATATCGCACAGCCGCGTGATTCTTCCGCTGCATGCCCGTCAATTCATCGAACACGCTGCGATTGACATGCACGACTAATGACTGCGGCGCGCGACCAATGACCGCTTGACGGGTCTTGGTGCTGGAGACGTGCGCTCGCTTAGGGATCTGGCAAGTCTCGTTGAGGGTTTTGTCGGAGAAGTCGTCTTTCTCAAGGGCGTCGTGGATGGCTTGGAGACGCTGCGCGGCGAGAGTGCGCAGTTCGGGTGGTAGGGAGATGGTGTTGTTGTCAGGCTGGTCATGGGTGTCGTCCTCCAGCTGATCTGTGGCTGGTGGCGGCAGCATCTGCTTCAGCTGGGCTTGTGCTCGCAGGAGCGTGCACTTCGCACAGTCGACATCGCTGATCTCCTCCAACTTGATGTACTCGTCAAGGCAGTCTTGCAAGTCGTATGATGTGTTTGAGCCCAGCGGAACGGTCAGACAGTTAAAGGGGGTCATTGACAGGCCTTCCGAGAATCTGCATCGAGTGCAGACCACCCTCTGGGCCAACAGGCCCTCTACTGGGTTCTTCATGAGCGTCTTGTTTGACACTGCCGACCCATCCTGGCTATGGTACTTGTCGTGCTGCTTCTCGGCATCGTCAAGGATCATCTCTAGCCCAGGCTTTGCCTTCTCCGTCGACGCCTTCTTTCCGGCGTCCTTGTCAAGCTCGTCCATGATCTTCGAGAAGTACTCCTGTGCATCCTGTTGCTGCCAGCTGCTCATGCTCTTTAGCTTCGCCGGAGTCCACAGCTGCTTGCCGTTATTGCTTGCGTCGTTGAGCTTGCGAACCGTAGCCAACAGGCTGCCACTCGTACTGTCCGCATCCTTCTCGGCCTGCGCAGAACGTCCAAGATACTCGGGCAGGGAGTTCAGAGAGGCGAGACCCTGCAAAACGCTGTTCTGATAGCACGAGTTGTCCCAATTGCCCAGACCTGGTGGCGCATCCGTCGTCTCCATGCCTGTAGCACTCGCCACAGTCGTCGTAAGACTCCTCATGATACCTTCACCGCCTGAGAGCTTGTGAGTGAGCGCACCAGTGCCCATCCCCAATATCCTTCGCAATGCTTCACTCTTGGCCGCATGAGTCTGCGACAGCATGTTGTTCGCTTGTAGTTCCTGCCTTTTCGCCGGATCCAGGACGAGGCGAGAAGGCGCTAGAAACACGATGGCATTCCAAAGCAGTTCTTGTGGTCCCAGGATGGGATAGTCCAGGTAGACCAGCAGTTGGTGGAAGGCGTAGGTTGCCAGGAGAAGGTAGACAATGTATGTTGTAGCAGACGGTCGGGTCTCGGTCAACTGCAGGCTCTCCAGTCGCACTCTGCCGTCCATGATCGGTGGTGGGTGGGATCTACCATGAAGGTTAGTGATGGTGGCGCGAATGTTTGACAAGATTAACTTGAAGGGCAGATGTTGAAGGTTTAGGTAAGCCGACCTGGCCGTTCCGTGGCTTATGCAGGGCACCCGCTAGTGGAGTGCTAGCTCGTGCGCGTCTAGATATTCTCAATGCGGAAGTTACAGAATTTCTACTCGGATTGTGGGTAACACTATGGCCAAGACTCCGAAAGTGAAGAAGCGCGGTATGTACCAAATCCCGCCATACTAGGAACGTTGGCTGACATACATTCCAGAAGTCTCCTTCCGCTCTCGCGCGGCTCGACGAGGCATATCCCCGCCTCCAAAGGACCTCGCGGTCAAAGCGCCGGTCAAAGAGACTGACTACAAGCCATGGCTCCACAACACACAAACAGGCGGTATCAGCAAGAAGACGAAGGTGAAGCAGCTTAGCCGCGGACAGAAGCTGCGACAGCAACGTGCGTTGGAGAAAGCGGACGCGACCGTCAATAAACTGGAGCGCAAAGTGGCGGACAGCAAAGCGCGGAGTAAGAAGATTCAGGCACGGGCGAAGGATTGGAACGAGCTTAATGGAAGGCCGGCAGCGAAGGGGGACGGGAAGGTTCAGAAGATGGACGTTGACGCAGTAGAGGGCGGTGTTGCGGAACAGGAGTCGGAGGAATCGAAGTTGACGGGTCTGCGGCAGCCTTTGCCGTCAACAGCGCTAGTCCAGGCTGAAGAACCTGAGAAGATGGTGGAGGAGGTCGATGAAGTTACATGAGCTGCGATGCGGAAAGGCAGCAAAGTCACCTGGCAATGTCCATCACCCATGCCATGAGCAGGCGTCAAACTGCCAGCTACCGCATTGATTGGAAGATCATACTCGCCATGATTGCAGTATCGCACACCTGGCGGGCTATGCAACAGGTGCCAGGGCAACGACAGCATCTTGACACGTTTGACCAAAGTCTGGACTTGAGGAGGCAAAGCTCGCACTACACCATGTGTGCCAGGATGCCGTCTGCGAGCCAGAGCAGACTCAAAGTACCAAGGGGCTCTGACCCTTGCGGCGATAGGGTGTCATGAGCGCAAGGAATACGCCTGGCGACCCGTGGGCAATGTAGCAAGGACTTGGCGCATCGGTGAGCCAAGGGAGCAATCGGGGAAGAGTGAGCGCCCCCACCATTTGTGCTTCCGATTATAGTGTTGCATTCTGCCTTCGCGTAACGGAGGCGCAACATATTGATCGTATGTGGTACACACTACCGGTGAGAACACGCCAAAATCCTTCCACAACACCCAACCTCTCAACCCTGCACCGGCCCAAGCCTCTCCTCCCACTCCCCCTTGAGCTCCTCCATCTGCCTCCAACATTCCCTCCCCTCCACCTCAAACCGCTCCCTCCCCTCCCCCGTGGTCTCTACTCTCCTCGCATACCGCCCCGTCTTGCCACTCAAACTCCCCCTCGGCACCTTCCCCACCACCCCACAAAAACCCCACCCCTCCACCTCCGTCCGCGCAACCCACTCGTTCCCACGAATATCGGTGGCACAACCCCACTTCCCTTTCCCATCGCGCACCTCGAAGTCGTCTAGTTGCTCCGACGGCGCCAGCGCGGTGAAGACGGCGGAGATGGCGCCTTTGTAGGGGTCGGCTGGGTGCCAGGGCGAGCCGAGCCAGCGTGCCATATAGAAGGATGCTAGGACGAGGAAGTCGAGGATCCAGTAGAGGTTTTGGATGTTGGTGAAGATGACGCCGGGGTGGACGACGTACATTTTGGGGCGTGCTTGTTCCGCTTCGGGTTTGGCAAGTTGGTCTTGGTGGGGGTGTTCTTGCGGCTTTGGCGTTGCGGACAAGAATTTGGAGACGTAAGGTTTCGAGGAGGCGAGCTCGGAGTTGAGGACTAGGAGGTCGGTGAGGCGCTTGGAGCTTTCGTATGACATGGTTGCTTTCAGGCCTTGGATGTCGTCGATGTTGAAGGTGTCTGAAACGGCGGAGATGGATGAGATCCAGACTATCCTCGTTTGCGGAGTGAAGAGCGGAGTCAGATAGTGCGTCAGCATGTAGTGGCCGAAGACGTTGGACAGGAAGACCTTCCCAAGCTTTGGCTCTTCTTCACTGTATGTTGCTGTGGCTGCCTTTTCCGACGCCGGCCTCCCGTTGCCTTGCAGCGTTCCCAGGTTCTGTCGTTTCGCCAGTTGCCCAACATCGCTGATCATGAACTCCGGGTACGTCGTAGTCTGTAAAGGTGCAGTGAGGAAGCCCCATATCGCCTTCGGGTAATTGAGGCCTGACCATCCTGCCACGCCTGCATTCCACACCACTACGTCCAGCGTCTGCCCTCTTCCTAAGAGCTCTTCAGCCAGCGCCTTCACGGTCTGGAGGATGGAAAGGTCCACCGTTACCCCTTCCACCTTCACCCGCCCTTCCAACAGCTGACCGACCCCGGCCGTCTTAACATTGGCATTGCGTATCGTTTTCTGCACATGTGCCTGCAGCCGGCGATTCGTGTCTTGGCCTTTGCGTTCGTCTCTCGTGCTGTATAGGATGTGAAGGGTCTGAGAATATGGGCGGATGAGGAGGAATTCATCGATCATGCGGCAGCAGATGGCAAAGCCTAGCCCGCTGGATGCATGTCAGCGCCAGCTCTCTTCTACCGCGGTTCGTTCAATCGTACCTGTTCGCACCTGTGACGAGTGCTGTGAAGGTGGTTTGCTGAGGTGGAACCATGGTCGACTGTTGGATTATGTGAATCTGCTTAGGCGAGATCTACGATGGCCGCACAGAATGTTGTAGGATGCATCGTACGACTCTGATGATGTAGAAGGACCTCCCGTCTATGTGTTAGTCGTGAGGACATGATAGTTGTGAAGAACGGCTTGGAACTATCTGTGTCTAACATAACTGCTTGATCTGCCTCACTATGCAGAAAAGTGGTCCAGTGTGGCCACATACGGTAACTTTAACGCAGCCATACAAGCGCGCAGAGGGTTGCATTGACCTCTTCCCCTTTCTCGTTTCCTCCTTCTTGTTCCACCGAACGTCCGACAAGGGGTTTTGCTAAAGCACACACGCGTTACGAGTCAGTCACTGCTTTGGAGTAAGCTGCTCGACCCGAAAGCGCTTGCTCGAGCAAGGATGGTGCATGCCCGTACCACCCTCCCTGAGCAACATCCTGATCAGGCAGACCCTCACACCAGCCAATGACAATTTGCTGCTTTTCCGCAGCTATATGTGACCGCTTCGCTCGTCACCATTCAAGCATTGCCACAGCGGCGATACTGAAAGCCAGCATTACACCCACCGGCCCCCGGTCCATGACAGCATCGTTCCGCAGAGGTGTGCCTGAGTTTTGCGCGGTAGGAGCAGAAGTTGTCAAGATGGTCGAGGTGGCGAAGCTGGAAGACCCAGACGACACCGACACCGAAATCGCTGCGCCTGAGGACGACGCGGATTCCGACGCAGCGACGCTCGCTGTTGATTGCGAGGACACTGCCACCGGGACAGGAATCATTCTGTAGCGTATCATCAGCACACTGTACTAATCGAAAACCCTAAATTCTTTTGGTGGAACGTACGTAGTTGTGCCAGCTGCTGTGACCGTCATTGATGAGAGCGTAATCGGGCCACTCTGCGTGACAACTGGGACAGGTACTGTCTCAGTGTGGCTCGTGCCCTAGACCATGGGTTAGCCTTGACGTTGCTGTTGTCAATGTCCGGTCGGACGCCGTGCTAGGCTTACCGTAACCGCGAGACTTGAGAGGGAGAGCGCTATGCTTGATGAGAAAATGGAGGGAGCGCTGTACGGCACGGAACTGAGCAGATATGATGTGCTTGAGATTAGCACTGCTGGTGCAGTATACGCTGCGGATGAAGTGGGCAAGACCGGGCCAACGCTTGTCGATGGAGTCGTGATCGGCGAAGGCGTAGCAGTTGTTGATGGAACGACAGGTGTTGAGACGGCCGGCATCGAAGCCGAGGATGAGACGGATAGCGTAGTCGGTGTGGTGGGCGAGATCGATGTGGTGGGTGTGATCGGTGTAGCAGGCGTGGTTAACGCAATAGGTGTGGTCGATGCAATGGGAGTGGTCACCGCAATGGGCGTGGTCGATGCAAAGGGCGTGGTCGATGCAAAGGGCGTGATCGATGTAGTAGATCCCGAAGGCATGGGAATGGTTGACACAACCAACGGCGTGGTAGGAGATGGAACGATGACGTTAGCTGATGAGGTTCGGCAGGCTGGCGAAACTGTAGATGTCGCTGAGATCACCGTTGAGCAGCCGGCTTGAGGCTGCCCGTCGATGTACTCACATACTGCCGAGACGGTAGATGTAGTTGCGGATATGGATAGAGGTGTGGTCATAGTGGTGGATGAAGTGCAGCCGGCTTGAGGCTGGCCGTCAATATATTCGCAAATTACACCAGCGGTGGCCGAGCTAAACAAAGCGTAGTGTAAGTGACCTCCTTATTAGTGGACAGGATTGCAGACACTGACGCTGCAGTCGGTTGGCCATCGTTTTGAACGCCCGCTGTCTGTGCGAATGCACCACTGAGTAGCAGTAGACAAGCGGCTACTATGCGTGCCATAGCGATGCGATACCGGTGTCGCTTGCAGGCTGCAGTCGCGAAATGTGGGTTGTTTTATGTTGCCGTGGCGAACGTGATATTCAAGAATCTCTGAGACCAAGAAGAAACAATAAGAGATCGAAGGCTTCAGGTTCAGGAGAGATGGCTCAGAAGGTAGCAGAGCGTCACCATGGCAATACATGCGGTTCCTAAGTCTACCACTTTGGCATATCGGGTTGCAGCAAGGTGGCGCTGAAGCAACCCCTAGGAACAGGCTTAACATCGTTAATGTGTCAATATGGGTGAACAAGCCTGCATCTGCAGCTCGCTCGATGTGGATGCATGAAACATCAGCGCCCGAACGCTGTGGTCCAGTCCCTATTCGCTTGCCGCCTTGAGAATGGCTGGTGGTGAAACGCTTCCGATGCACGCCTTGTGCTTCGCAGATTGACTCTACTATATTATATCGTACCTGCAGGACACGTGACGCAACCGGCCTCTATGCCCTGATGTGCGGCTTTTAGGGTGTGGTTCCGGATAATAAGGGAGCTTGGCTGAAGCTTGACTGCGTACTGCCCGGGAGATGCGTTCTAGACGGCCGGTTCACCGGTGGCACGATGTATGTAGAGACGACGTACTCCCTCTCAGCTGCGCTTCTGGTTCTCTCCGAGCTTCCACGACTTCCACGGAAAGCTTGAAAGGACTTTCGAAGTACAGACGCAAGCCGAAGAAGCATGCCCGTTGAAGGACAGGACGACCAGGTCGTGCACTGTTCGGAGTTTCATGGCCTCTCGAAGACGACGCGGCGATAAGTACGCTGCTGTCAATAAGAACACTGGCGACATGTATGACAACAACAAGCATCGAAAAGCATTATGATTCAAGCTTTTGATGACGACTGGCGCCAGCGGCATCGTCCGACACCGAGCCGCGACCACTAACGTCAGGGGACTTCGACACCAGGCGCGACCAGCCATGCGATCTTCTGCAAGCTATCACGGCAATGTCGGCAATGCCTCAAGGTTACACGACCATATCGCGACCATCATATTGATGCGCGTGCTAGCATCCTCCAGCTATGCCAACTTTCATAACTTCGCCAGGTTTCATATCGCACGTGGATACCTCATCACTCGTCAAGCGCAGCAACTCACCGATAAAGGCTGCCCAATTGATTCAGGCAAGGCTTGCGTGTCGGATTGACTCGCGGCTACTGCGAGGTCCACAGCAAGCAGCGCCCGTCGTATGACGTTTGTCTGAGATGGGCTGCAGTTGCCCATGAAACTGAGCCTACTGGTCTGGTGCTGGAAAGGCAATGATTGTTGCCTTGTTTTGTACCACCATGACCAGTATATGAGAAGCTCGCTGTAACTGTAGGTTTGTAGATTGAGGTCCTGCTACAATTCTCCCTTTTGCAAAGCACTCACCACACCAAGCAACCAACATGCAGCGTATCCGCATCCCCCTTGTTCACAATAAAAAGTACAAGCGCCATGGCACTGGCTCTTACCTTTATGCCATGCGCAAGTGTGAGTGTGACCTTAAGAGGCGGAGGGTAGCCTTTGGATCTGTCTAACTCATACAGACAATTTCAATCCAACCTTCAAAGGCCCCTACGGCTTCCGTTCGCAGGTCCACCACCAGGGCAAGTTTGGTGGTGTCGGTGGCAAGACTTCAGTCCACCAGCATGTCCTAGCCAAAACTGATGCCACCGGCAACAGTGGCGATGTACCAGCCACAGACATCCAGAACGATTCGGAGTATCTCTGCCAGGTTTCCATCGGAACTCCAGCGCAGGTAGGACCTTTCTAGCTTTACCACTTCACAGCCAGTAGTAACTTGCGAGTAATGAGTAGAACCTCATGCTCGACTTCGATACTGGATCCGCTGACCTGTGGGTTTGGTCGACTGAGATTCCACAGTCTCAGCTCCGTGGCAACACCTCTGGTAAGCTTGAAGCATGTATGCTGTCAGGTCCGAGGGACTGACGCGCGCAGGGCACACTGTCTTCGACCATTCTAAGTCTTCGACCTGGAAGGCGAGCAAGGGCGAAACCTGGCAGATTCAGTACGGTGATGGGAGCACTGCTTCCGGCGATGTCGGCACGGATACCGTCAAGGTGGGTCTCACTTAACTAGGCCTACATTCGCACTAGGCTTACAAGGAAGACGCAGATCGGAGGTATCACCATCAAGAACCAAGCCATCGAGCTTGCAAAGACCATATCGACCCAGTTCCTGCAAGGTGCCGGTGACGGCCTTCTCGGTCTGGCTTGGGGTATGTACTCACCTTGTCTCTGTCGCGAATCACAGCTCACTTTGTCCCACAGGATCTATCAACACCGTCAAGCCGCGACCGGTCCAGACGCCTGTGGAGAACATGATCTCTCAACAGGACATCCCCCAGAATGAGGAGCTCTTCACGGCCTGGCTTGGCAACATCAAGGATGCCACCTCCGGCCAGAGCAACAGTTTCTACACTTTCGGGTTTGTCGACACGAAAGCACTTTCATCCATCGATCAATCCGAGAGCAGCATCTACTACACTCCGATCGACAACAGCCAAGGTTTCTGGATGTTTGACAGCGCCTCATTCACAGTCAATGGCAAAACGACCAACAACGCGAGTGGAAACACGGCGATTGCCGACACCGGCACTACGCTGGCTTTGATCAGTGATGCCGCGGTCGAGGCCATCTACAACGCCATTCCCGGGTCCAAGTATGACAACACCCAGCAGGGCTATCTCATCCCTTCGAACATCAGCGAGGACGATTTGCCTACCGTGAGTGTCGCCGTGGGTGGGCAGCAATTCACCATCAACAAGGAGAACTTCCTCTTCGCGGATGCTGGGAACGGGATGACGTACGGTGGTATTCAGAGCAGAGGCAGCAACCCATTCGATATCCTGGGTGATACGTTCCTGAAGAGCATCTATGCCGTCTTCGATCAGGGCAACACCAGGTTCGGTGCGGTGCAGCGGCCAAATGGCTCGGCCACGAGCACGAGTACTGTCAGCTCTGGTAACAGTGGAGCTTGAGCGTACATCTGACGACTAAAGTTCGCTCGAGGTCTGGAGGACGCGGCAATAAATGTAGCATGCCGCACGCGATTAGTAGCAGCAAGTAAGCCGCCGAAGAATTGGTAGCCTTTTTCAATGCGGCCGGTAAATGACCAACCAATGGTCCTGATACGGTCTCATGCTTACGACTATCACATGATCACTCTCTACGCCGCCATTCTTGAAGCCTTCTCAATGTTGCAGAAGTAAGGGTTGTCTCATGTCCGCTGTGACGGGACAGAACCACGAAAGCGCCACAGGGCGGGCCGAGGGCCGTGGTGGACGGTCCCGATGCGCCTCCACAATGACGATCTCGAAATACGCGTGGTTGTTACTTGCACATTTCTATTGTGTAAATTCTGAATGTCTTCCGCTTAGATTATATGATTACTCATGCCTAGCACGCGAACGTTTTACTGACGTTGCGGGCTCGGCAAATGGAAGGACATTAGGCTGGAATCATTGGCCACCTGTAGAATGCCGTCGTCCGAGCATTCTGACGCCAATGGCAATGACAAGAAGTCTTCCTCTGAAGGCGTAGGCGCTGGATCCAGCAACACGCCACAAGCCGAAGGCAGAATGCCGACTGTCCATGAAGATACCACCCCAAAGGAAGGCTTCATAGCGAAGATCAAACGGATATGGCTGGCCAAGACCGGCATCGATACGCGAACGTACATGCAGATGTTTAAGGGCGCAATCGCGCCGGTTATTGCTACTGCAGCGTACCAAGCGACGCCATGGGCGGAGACTTACACAACCATTGGCTATCTCGTGGGCATCATGACCATCCTGTCCTTGCCGATCCAGCCTCGGGCGAAGTTCATACAGACAATGCTCGTCAACATCTTCGTTACTCTGCTTGGAACTGCCGTCGCACTGCTGGCCATGCTGTGTACCGTCCGTGCCAGAATCAATTCCGAAGGCTACCGTGGGCCTGGGAGCGGTGGAGCAGGAACCAGTGGTCTTGCAGCTGGAGGAGCAGCGACCGCGCCGTACAACTCTTCAGCTTCGGCTGTTGCAGGCCTCTTCCTGTTTGCCGAGATCTATCTCATCAGCGTCTGGCGTGCGAAGATGCCACAGTTTACTATCCCCAGCATCATACTCGCCATCTTCGCCAACGTGTCAATGATATATGCTCCGCAATTCTCTTCCATGGTGCAGGCGGAAGCATTCGCACAGAGGCTACTAGAGGCTTTCCTCACTGGGTTTGCGATTTCTACTGGCGTCTCGTTGTTGGTTTTCCCGCTTACCAGTCGTCAAGTCGTGCTCAAGGAGTTGACTGGCTATATTGGCTTGCTGCGAGCATCACTCAAAGCCAACATCGATTACATACACAGCCTCGAGAATGCGGACATGTTCTCGCCGCATCGCGTGAATACGGCTGGTCAGGAAGTAGCAGGAAGCAAAGAAGCGGACGCCTTCAAGGCCAAGATGCAGGCACTAGCTGCACTTCACTCCAAGTTTACCGCCGATGTGCCATTCGCGAAGAGAGAAATCGCAATTGGCACACTTGGTGCAGACGACATGCAGCAGCTCGCCAAGCACATACGCATGGTCATGCTGCCCACACTTGGCTTAAGCTCTCTCTCAGACGTGTTCCAGCGTATTGCTGAGCAGCGTGGTTGGGCGCATGTTGAGGACGCAACATCCTCCGCAATGGACACCGTTGACGAAAACCAGAAAGCAAGGCTTCAATCCATCGAAGACTGGCACGAGCTGGCGAAACGCTTACGAGACCCGTTCGATCGTATCACGCAGCTCAACGACGAAGGCTTGGAACATGCTGCCATCGTATTACGGCTGGCGGCGAGGCGAAAGGCGCGGTCCGCGGAGGATTCCGTCGAGAATGGTGGTGACGAGCCCCAGCCTGGTGAAAAGGGCTTTGCAGCCTACTATGACCGCAGATCCCAGAGGTTCCTTGACAGCAAGAAAGAAGTGCTGAAGCTTTGGTGCGCTACCCATGGTATTCACATCCCAGCCAACTTTTTCGACGACCCGTCTCTTAAGGACTTTGAAGCACCAGCTTTTCTCAACGAAGCGCCCTCCTCATCCGAGGCGCAGCGACTTCGGCGTCAGCTTTTTCTGTTCTTGCACATGGAGTTCTTGCTCTTCAATGTGAATCGCCAAGTCTACAACTTGATCTTATGCGTTGACAAACTGGAGGCATCCGGCAAGGTTAGCAAGAACCGACTTCACGTTCCGGGCTATAAGCGCTTGAAGAAATGGCTCTTCACCACCTTTGCTCACGGCGGAGAGGCGCACGACGATCAACAGATTGATACCGATGCCAACGTAACAACCGTATACCTCGGTGACGCGTACCAGAAGAAGAAAGACCCAGAGCACCTGCCGCCGCAGAATCTATGGGAAAGATACAGCGATTCATTACGGGGCATTGCACACTTCTTCGCCTCTCCAGCGTCTTCTTTCGGGTTTCGGGTGGCATGCGCAACGATGTCTATTGCGATCGTGGCATATCTCCAGAATACGCAGAGCTTCTTCACACGAGAACGGCTGTTCTGGGCCCAGATCATGATATCAATCAGCATGAGCCCATCAGCCGGACAAAGTGTGCGAAGTTTCTTCCTCCGAGTCTTCGGAACTTTTGCGGCGATGGTCTTGTCATACATTGCATACTACATTGTCGACGGCAAGACAGCGGGTGTCATCGTCTTTTACTTCATTTTCTTGCATGGCGGTGTGTACATCGTATTGAAGTATCCAGCCTTCATCCCGGTGGGCATGATCAGTCAAGTCACCATGACGCTCATCCTTGGCTACGAGCTGCAAGTGCGCAAGATCGGAGTACAAGTCGCCGAGTCAAACGGTCAAGCGTACTGGCCAGTATACATTTTGGCGCCTGTACGGCTCGCTACTGTTGCTGGCGGGCTGTTTCTTGCTTGGATATGGACAATCTGGCCTTACCCGGTTGCCGAATACTCACTCGTCAGACAGAACCTCGCGAAGACATTCTACCTGTTGGCGAACTATTACTCGACCATGCACGAAACGGTCCGTACTCGGCTCAGAGGGTGCGAAGGAGACGTCTCCGACCCAAATAGTCCCGGCTACAAGCTTGAGAAAGCTCGACACAAGGTCTTTGGTAAATGCAACGCCATCCTGTCTGGACTGCGAGCGCAAGCCGGGTTTGTCAAGTTCGATCTGCCGATTGGTGGAAGATTCCCTAGGGAGAAGTATCAGGAGCTCATTGGCCTGTCGCAGAGTGCTCTCAACTTCATGGCACTCGTCAGTCTGGCATCTGGTACCTTTCAGGACCTACACCAGCGAACGGGCAGTGAGGAAGAGCATGATTCACAGTGGCTTCGCGACTTCCGCCAAATCGTGAGGCAGACAAACGTCACGTCGGAAGCAATAACCACCCTCCTGTCACTCCTGTCGGCCTCCCTTGCGAACGGCTCGCCTCTACCGCCGTATCTGCACGTGCCAGAGCCTTTCCAGCTCTCTCAGCGGCTTGACGAGCTTGACAAGGATATACTCAGTATCAGGCACATTGCTGAGCCGGGTTACTCGAGCTTTGCAGTAATACAGATAGCGACTCGTTGCGTGATTGACGATCTGCGCAAGATATTGAAGGGCGTCAAGGACCTGGTAGGCGAGCTCGATTTCTCCTTCCACGTCGTCGCTGCGGATTCGCAAGAAAGCATCCCGAAAGATTCGCTCAATAATCGACAAGGACGCAAGCTGGACTGAAATCTATGATGGCGAAGCTTTACCGAAATCACGAGACGAGGTGGCGACACCTCCACATTGTTGCACAAACCTTACTCCGCAGCCCCCACACTTGGCAAGCCTCTTCTCATACAGGCGCCAAATGCCAATCGTGTACCTGCCTAGATTGGGTGCTGTACCTGGCCTACCCCAAAAAAAAAGCAGAGTTGCGGGAGCAGGCGGATATGATGGAGACAATCAATAGGCTCCAGGACGACTTCCAGTAGCAGTTTCAGACAGATAATCCGCCGGGCCAACTTGACCAACACAATACCGAAGCTGACGAGCGCAAAATTGGTCCAGAGGCGCTTATGGATAAATCGACCAGCTGTACATGACCTTGGTTGAGGCAAGGAATCCAAGTGAAGACTGGGACTTGCACGCTGACGGATGCCAGGCGAACGGCACGAGCTTTAATGTGCTATTGGGCTGGTCCCTGACTGCGGCGACAGAGTGATACATCCTCATGCACCAAGACATCACGTCTAAAAGATTTATATGCTCGCACAGCCACCTAACTCAGGCGATATCGTGCACCTGGACGCCTTGCTTACACCAGGCTGTGGTTTGTGTAGATTTCGAGCTTCATTGCACTTGTGTGAGAAGAAGGGACTTTCACAAGGAGTGTTGCGCTTAGCTCAGCTAAGACTGGGCGCAACAACAGAGAGTACAATAGAAGCTACTTACGAGACCAATACGCATGCCCGTACAGACACTGAGTGCTGATTCAGGCATGGCGTGGGAAGAGTCTGAAGGAAGAGTGGTACATGCAACCCTCGATCGACATCTCGGAGCAAACACTTCTACGGCAAGGGCTGGCGGCTCGGGACTTCAAGGGGACATGCGCTTGGTATTGGAGAAGGAGACCAAAGTGCTGAGGAAGTATGTGCGCGTCCAGAGGCGAAACTAATGGGTCATCAGAAAGGAATGCGAGCTTGATATGCAGCTGCGAAGCTTTGTGCACTTCTCAAAGGCTCGATGCAAAGCGTGAGCGGATGGAACGTCTGCAAACTCACTCAATCATGACTGGACGGACAACAAGCAACCACTTATATCCTGTCCTGGACCTTCGGCCTTTTCTATTAAAAGCAAGCAAAGACGCTACATCTGGTCTGGCTGCTTCCCGTGCTTTGGGGTAACAAGTAAGCTATGTCACTTGTCACTAACGACCACAATAATCTTGCCTCGTACTCTCCCACTATTTAGCTTCTCATAGGCTTTCTTGACGTCTAGCAAAGAATACCTGTTGTCATCTTCGATGACACAGCGAACTTTACCCTCGGCCATCCACATGCCGATCATGGAGAGATCATCGGGTTTGTTTTCCGTACCTAGGAATTGGAAAGCTCGCTGCCCACCCCCCAAGATTCTTGGCCAGAGCGCCTTCTTCGCCGTCATTGCGAAACTACCGACGTCCATACCACCACCGACTTGCACGTACTTGCCATCCGCGGTAAGAAAGTGATGACAATTCCAATAGAGATCCGGTTCGGTGCCGACATTGTCAATGACCGCGTCGAACGATCTGCCGTTTGTCTTCGACCAATCCTTGAGCCATCCAGAAAGTCCGTTCGCACCACAAGTTCGGTAATCCACCACTTCATCAGCGCCGAGACTCTTCACGAAATCACTGTTGGCACCTGAACAGCTGACGACCACATGCTTTACGCGGAAGCAACGCTTCGCCATCTGAACAGCAAATGTGCCGACGCCGCCAGTGCTTCCATTGATGAAAATTGTTCGATCCAGTACTTGATCATCTGATGATCGCTGGAGCGGAAGGGGCAGTCCGCTAGCGATCAAGGTCTGCAAAGCCGTCTGGGCGACTACACCAGCCCCAGCAAACTCTTCAAGGCTACGCTTCGGATTCCAATCCGCTGGAATTTTGACGACGCCTTTGTTCCCTGCTACGAGAGTGTAGCTTGCACAAGTACCATGCTTCACGGACATATCGTGTTTACCCCAAACGAAATCCCCGGCTTTGAAACCCGGGTGCCTTGTCTCTTGGACTTGTCCCACGAAAGAAGTCCCCGGGGTGATTGGCGATGAGCCAATGACCAGGCGTGGAACGGGCCATGACATGGAGGGCAGCTTGTAGTCGATGGGATCGATGGATGCATAGAGGACACGGACGAGTGTGTAGACACCTTGTCTTGGCATAGGAGGTCTCGGGGCGGTTTTGTTGATTCGGATCGATGCGATAGGATCAGAGCAGGCATCCAGTAGTGCAGCCATCTGAGCTGCTTGACGTTCAGAAAGGGTAGCCATTACTGATATTTGCTCTCGTTCCGTATCTGTTATCTGATAAGTTGCAGGATGTCTCACGCGTTGAGTGTCCCAGTATGCAAGGCAACGTCGAAGAAATCAGTCAATATCCCAATACACGACCGAGAGCTATGCGCTTGCTCTATCTATCTTTTGAGCTGACGAGCAGTGCTCGCCGTGTGCTTTACCAATCATGCTGATCGACGTCACCGGAGCGGACTGTATATCTATGCCTACAACATGGAATGATTGGTAAGGTAACTGCAGAGTATGCCGTACCTTTTGCGGGTTGGTGTAGTGGTCGGCTTCGGTCTGGGAGCTTCGGCCGACCAATGACGGCTCGAAGAGTAGACCATGCCCGATTCGTCCTCACCCATGTGCCAGGATTGACATCGGCTCGTGGCGTTAGAAAGTACCCAGCATACGGAATCCGACGGCCACCGCGTAGAAAAATTGGCCCCGATTAGCAAGCCACGCACGAAACCATTCCGTGCACTATGCATGTTCGAATGTCAAATCGTCGTGGTGTTTCCACTGCCCTACGTCGAGGATAAGCATCCATGCAACCTGATTGCGCCTGGATTGGAGGACTCGTGGTTAGTCTCCCCATTCCCATGCAATTACGCCACGTAAACAAGGATCAGCCACGTAGACAGTCCGTGGAAGATAAGCATCCTAAGCCTTTCAGTTGCGGGGTAACTCATGAGTCCAAGAGTCGAACGGGTTCTTCAGGTCCTGATATCGACCGTGTCCTGGCTATCGGACTCTGCGGAGGGCCTGTAACTCGGAGCCGAACAGGTTGGTGTCGGATCCTTATCTCGCACGGCTCTTGCGGTACTATCATCCACCCGTCAGGGCGGTTCGAGATGCACTGGCCTGTCAGTATTAAATCCCCAAGCAATCCACATGTCATTCCCCTTATTCTCTTGTTCAATATCAAAGCTGATACAACAACATACATATACCTTCAAAGCTCGTTTCACCATTGCATCGGTCAACCATGCCTAATGTTTTGCTTGCTGGGTTACATCCACAATGGCTCCAGACTGCTACCGAGAAAGGATATGACATAGGCTCAACCAATCAAAGCTCGAACATAGCAGAAGAAGCGAAACAAATGATGGCGGATCTTCGAGCCTTACAATCTGTGAAACCGACAACGCACATGTTCAACCCTGATGACGATTCCAACCTCGAAGCGTTCATGACATTACTCGGAAGCGAGAAGTTCGACGGGGTCTCTCTTGGTGGAGGAGTACGAACGATACCACAGCTTGGGGATTACTTCACCAATCTGGTCAATGAGGTCGTTCGAAAGCAGCCAGGGGCAAAGCTGCTGTTTCCCTTGACGCCAAAGGATATTGTCCCGGCAATCAAGAAGTACCTCTTGTGATCTTGCAGAGACATTGACCAAGTCGCCGCTTCCGCAGGACTGTTTTGGAGGTGGATGCAGCCAGAGACTCTGATTTTGGTCCAGCGTTTAACCAGGGTGTTCGCTTCTGGTTGGTAGTATGACATATACTTTTCCGACATAGCGTAGACCAACATACCGAGATTCTTAAGCTCCTTATCATGAATTCGAGTGATTTCAAGGAGCGAACTTGCTGAATACGAGGCGTGCTCTCTTAAGGCGCTTACCATTTTGAGGTTGCCTACGGAACGGAAATGACAATACTTGCACCACCCACGAATCTTACAATCCACGTCCAGCTGAGGTAGCCTGGATATCCGGTGTTCGTACCTGGGTGGGCTTCCTGCTAAGGCAATAAGCAGCGAGACCTACATAGTCGCATTCTGGTCACCTTTGCTAGAAGGGTCTCGATATCCTTGTGTTTGGATGAGCAAATTGACTTGAATGACTTTGACACTGGAGCCCAGCGTGGGGAAAGCGCTGGCCCATACGATGGGTGCAGAGTGTCCAGTCGTGGCCAATCGCCAGTCTTTCCGCGAATGTTCGTGGACAGGAGCTCCGCGATAAGGATGTACACTATCGGACCAAGACCAATGTTGTATAAGAGATTGAATAAAGGTACAATCACTGCTTTGGTGCACATAGCTGGCTGATTGCGGTCCGAAGCCAGACCTAGAAAGCCCGTAATAGACATGAGCATTGCCGTGCAGATGCACATCCATATGTCCCTAGCTCTGCGGCCCGGGGTTGTAACTAATGGCCAAGATAGTATATTGCCGACCACTCCCAAGGCGAAGAGTGCGCGTGAATGATCGAACGATCGGTTTGTTCAGATAACGGCCAGTTCAAGAAGCAAGTACAGTATAAAGAGGGTAAGTTGATGCCACATAAAATTCGGCAATGTAGGCCACCGCATATAACTGTTCATCGAAGACTGGTACCTCTGAAGCAGTCAATATATGTCGCCGTGGCTGCAATTTCAGTCTCCAAGACAACCGTCTCAGTCATGTGCACGGGTGTCTCGTCAACATCATCATGGTAGCCAATCCGTGCGAGAGACCTTTAGGCCCCTTCATGTTGACCCTTTTTGGCAACAGAAACCAAGGTGTTTCAGGGGCCAGATATCCGCCAGCAGTACACTGCTAAGGGCAGAGACATAGCGAACATTCTTGCCCGTAAGAGGTCGGTTTCGTGGAGGGAAGCAGGAAGGACTCAGACACGGACTCTGCGACACCAAGCTCGGCTAATCAGAGCGAGCAGAAGTCGAGGGAGCAGAAGAGCGCTGAGTACAGCAAACCAGAGTATGCCACTGTACTTGTAACTAACGAATTCTTGATGGAAGAATCCCTACTGAGTGTCTCGCTCGAGGGCCAACGGAAGTGCGGACAGCTGCTTGATCAAGGAGAAGTAGGAGTGCTGCCAGAGCACTCATTGTTCCGGGATGACATCTTCAAGGCAACCTGCAACAAGATGAGGACGAAGATGAAGCCCGAGTTATCTAGGATATCACCAGGTTACTCGTCCTGTCAGCAGAGACACTAACCACGTACGAAGCCACTCACATGCGGTTTCTGATTGAGAGTGTGAACGAAGGCTGAAATAGTTCAGTTCCGAACCCGACCGCACCCAGTCATTGGCGACTTCAATAAGCATCGTACTTCGTGGCCATATTCTACCTTTCTCACCTACGAGATGAAATGCGGAGCTGCGGCCCTTGACGTTGCCGACCGTCAGAATGCCCACAGGGCGGCCACTGCGGTGCGAGCAGTCGTGGAGTTATTCCGCCCAATCACCCGAATACAGCACTGGTACTAAATTACCTTATTCACCAGTGCCAAGCTTTATCCCGGCTGTCTCTATTCGGTACTCCAGACAGAGCAACCCCACCAAGTCGACACTTCAGGCAAGACGACCCCGCAAAGTTCACACCGGCAAGCAATGCAAAGACAGCCGCGATGAAGCTTGGCGTTGCTGAAACCTACTGAATGCGACAACAGATCAGCTCCGGTGTTGTATTGCACGAGGACACAGCCTTTCGCCTAGACGCTAGTGCGCATTGACTATGCTACTACCTTCCTCCTCTCCATGTGCTAACGTGCTTTGGCGGATTCTCCGCCAGTACCATGACGTCTCTACCCCGAGGCTTAAACCGGGTTCACTGGGAATGTTATAAGAAGTTCCATCGCAACAGGTAAATGATTGCGTTCGATCGTGGTCTGACTGATCTACACCGCCGTCACCATGGTCAACATCACGAATGTCGACCTGCTCACACTAGCGACAAGCATTCCTTACGCCAACCAACTCCAAGCTGTTGCGAATGCCTCAACGAACTACATCTCCTTTTTGTCCTACAACAACTCATTCGTGACCGACATACTCGGCCCAAATGTTTCGCAGTCCTTGGTTGCGCACACCGATTGGGTTGCGTTCCATGAAGCGGGCAAGTACATGGCAGACAGCTCGTTCGACCTTGACTGAGTGTAGACAGGCGTCTACAACATCGAGACTGGGAAGCTGTATGCGACGAGTAACTGGGCGGGCAGCTTCAGCAACCCCATCAACGTCACAGCCATTGACATCCACAATAACAATGCAATCTCGTCGATCCGCTACAATCATCTAGCAGAGGCAAACGGCGGCGCTGCCTTCTACCCGGTTGGATCGCCTGCGAACAGCAGTGCCGGGCAGCAGATTGTCTTCTGCGATGAAGGTGACCTTACAAACCCAGCGCAACTGGTGTTGGTCAATCCGGCTACTAATCAGAGTCGTGTGTTGCTGAACTCTTTCCTCGGGTGCGTGACTGGATACTGCGTGGGCATGCTCATATCCGGACAACTGCTAATGGTGCGACCTTTTGATCTGTAGAAAGAACTTCACCTCGATCAATGACGTCGAGCAGCACTATCATACGGGCGATCTCTGGTTCACCGATGTGAGTGCCAAAATATGCGGCATCCTGCAGGCTGTTGGAGATATTGCTGACATTCTACGCAAAGGTCCCTTACGGCTATTGGCAGTACGCATTGTCCACGAACCTGTTGCCGTGCCTTGCGCTTAAGCTCACGATCTGCAGATACTTCCGCCCAGCCCCCGTAATCCGCTACCAAGTCTACCGCTTCGAGCCGAACACCGGCGTTGTACAAGCGGTAGCCGACGGCTTCGATGCACCCAATGGTATAGAGTTCTCGCCTGACTTCAAACACGTCTACGTTACAGATACAGGGTGAGCCCCGCGTGTTACGAGTGGCAATATCGTTACTGACGGAGCGCAGCGTGCATACGTTCCCAAACAAGGACAACTTCACAAACCCAGCCACCATATACAGATTTGACATTACCGAGGACGGCAAGCGGCTGCACAATAGGCAGGTGTTTGCCTACAGCGATAACGGCTTTCCAGACGGCATTCACACAGACACCATGGGTAATGTGTACTCAGGCTGCGGAGATGGAGTCCATGTGTAAGCGATGATTCATGCCGTGGACATGATATCAAGTCTCTAATGAACGTGTAGGTGGAACCCGGAGGGGGTGCTGCTTGGCAAAATTGCGGTGGCAAACGGCGGAGTCAACAACTTTGCGTTCGTCCCCGACGGCATGTACATTTTCAACGCACAAAACCTTTTCAAGGTCACCTTGAAGGCACAAGGAAGGACGGTGCAGCGTGACTTTGGCCTACAAGCGACTGCGCAAACTACGACTGCCCAACAAACGACTGCTCAACAGACGACTGCTCAACAAGCGACAACTCAACGTCCGCAGCCATCAGGCACCCAATGGAGACCATGGGCTTGAGCTGAACACTCTGAAACGTGATAGATCGGGATGAACATACGATCGCTGAGCCACCACATGCAGCTGAGCGGCGTAACCGAGATCTTGGATTCGGCAGGCCTACATTATACCGCTATGTGCTATAGTATGTCTCAGCCAAGCCACTTCATGTAGGACCGTGAAAGCATTCAGCTCGCATGTGCCAGATAGCCCGATTGCCGTTACAGAAGACGGCAAGCCCACAGTGATGCATGCTTGCCCTTGTGGTCAGAACTGTCAGATTTACAGCAGGCCCAGGTAGCCAACGTACCATGCAAAGCCATTACTCGTAAACTGCACTCCAACGCGGACGAAAGCAGTGTGAAAATGCCCCAGGGAGCAGATCAGCCATTCCCGAAATTACAACGAATATGTAACGCCAGCATCCTCCGCCATGGCTACGAGTGTCCTCGTTGGTTATCCGTGGGCAATGCACACAAGCAGTCAGCTTCGCTAGAGCGAATACTCTTTGCCGTATGAGTTATCGCAGCTTGATGGCGAGAGGAAAGCGCAATGATTCCAAAGCTGTAGCTGCCGTCAGCGCTACTCACTTTCGCTGAATGTGCTTGTGCCTGCAGAACAGTGTTGCGAGGGCAACTGCATAGTTTCGCTCAAACTCTCGTCAGGCGAGACCGAATTCAGCCATCGAAGCGACATGAGCACACCGAATTGACTACGACGCTGCGATCGCGCTTTGTTCCTGCTACAGGTTGGCGAGAGACTACCAGGGCTGTCAAGTGTCAGGCTTGAGGGCTATTGCAATGCCATAGCAACGGGATACGCTTTCACCCTTGCCTGGAAGCTCATTGCCTCCGGCTGCTGCACGGGGACACATATGGGCTCTGTCGCGAACCGTGCTGAGCAGTGACGGGTACCCAAGCTCCTTGCCCCATGCTCCAAAGGACCGAGTAAGTCTCTGCTCTGAGTTACGTCGTGTCGTCTGGTCGGAGCTTCCAGCCCAGCAACGAGCTATTGTGGTTGCTGTGTCAGTGTTGTAAGGGTCTGCGTAATGGACGGTGCGTTGCATTGATGTCTTATGCTCGTTTGTTGACTCCTTCCTTTCTTCCTTTCCTTCTCTCTTCAGACTGATCTTGGACTGGTGAGCACCCCTTTCCTTCCTCAACATACTGCACAACATCCGGCTCTGATCAACGGCACACGGTTGATGCATACCTTCCAACACACGACTTTCTCGTCCATCCGGATGATCTTTTGTCGCCAGGCCAAGCTTCCGATGGCACACCTTCATGTCTGCTCCGAAATCTGACCCAATACCAGCCCTTATCCTTGCATCTTCTCGTTCCCGCCCCAATCAATCGTCATGTTCGTCGTTGCTGCCTCATGCTAACTCCTCCGACAGAGTGAGCTCCTCCAAGTCAGGTACGCCCCCAATGCCATCCACGAACCTCACCAGATCTTACTTGTTCAGGGCAACCCGTGAGACCGGCACAGGCTCACGTCGCGGTCTCCCCTCCCGGTCCAACAGGACGCGGGGAAGTGCTACTGTGACCAGCACCCTCTCTCCGCTCAAGGTTTCGTCGCCGACAACTTCCCACCTGCTGCCGCGGGTGCCCGATGCGACGGGATCGACAGCAACAAAATTCAGCGGGCCACAGCTGACTTTAACCGACATTCTCGTTCGACCGAAGCGTCCGTTGCCGACAACTTCTCACCTGCCGCCACGGGTGCCAGATGCAACGCGACCGACGGCAACAGGGTTCAGCAAGCCACAGCTGGACCTTACCGACATCTTTCTCCCACCAAAGGTTCCGTTGCCGACAACTTCTCACCTGCCGCCACGGGTGCCAGATGCAACGCGACCCACGGTAACGGAGTTCAGCAAGTCACAGCTGGATCTTACCGCCATCTTTCTCCCGCCAAAGGTTCCGTCGCCGGCAACTTCCCACCGGCCACCACAGGTGCAAGATGCGACGGTTCCAGAAGCAACCCGGTCCTGCAGGCCACGGCAGGACCTCCCGGCTCAGCTATCGCCTATGGCAGCTCTCAGAGCGTTGCACATGGAGGTACCGGAGTTCGAGAACACGGAAGCCATCAAGGCTTTCTGTGATGGTTCGTCAAACTCACCGCAGTTGATATCGACGTTGGCGGATCGCAGCTGACATCTTGTTCGCAGATTTCGAGGCCAGGGCCAATGCGGTGCGGAAAGCGGATCCGGCGGCGTTCAGAGCGCCGTCTGTCTCAGCCTCTTCGTCAACCCACATGTCCGACATCCTGTGCGGACGGTTCCTTGAGTCGAAACCCGCGGCAGCACAGCCTAAGGCGCTTGCATCGTCTTACCGCAAAGCTGCCGCGATTTACGACCAAAGCTTCACCACCACCACCAGCACCACCACCAGCACCACCACTTCCCCCGACACCAGGTCCCTTGAGTCGACAATTGCGAAAGCGAAGCGTATGATGCTCACAGCATCATACGACACAGCTGCCTCAATCCCCGACCGGACTACCACCAAGGACTTGTCAACGCTGGCGGCGCTCAGAGCGCTTCCCACCGAGACACCCAAGGATTACTCAATGACGCCCATTCAACGGGCCATGCATGACACCGTCATGTACGAGGTGCGGAGGATCGGAGACGAGCGTAAGTCCCAACCCCGATCCGATCACCACGGCAGAAGCTAATCGCATCGTCTGTAGGGAGGAAGGCTCAGGAGTGCGAAGAGAGACAAAGGAGATGGATAGCTGGCGAGAGCTTACCCGTAGCCTTTTGGAGAGCGCCGCCGTATGTGCACCGTGATCCGGAGATGGTCAAGAGGGCAGCAATCTGGAAAGCAGAGGATGAAGCAGCGGACCGCCAGAACGATCTGGATGCCTGGACGAAGCCGGTCGAGGAGCTGTGGCAGCGATCGCCAGAACCACAGCCTACCGTCAAGATGCCCACCCGACCGCCTGGACGTGACGAGGGCAGGTCCGCCTTCCGCATCGACGCCCCCGTATTTCGCAGTGAGCCAGCACCTGTGGCTCCGGCACCACCGGCTGCCGATCCAAGTGATCATGCCACTCTGATTGATCACGACGAGTGGGAGCGTCGTCTGCAGGTTGTACGATCTCGCCGTCAAGAGCAACACGTACAGCAATCCGAGTCCGAGCCCGAGTCGACAGAGACCAGCACCGGCATCCTTTCGAAGATCGCCGCATGGGCCAGCAGGGGGTGGGATTGGTTGAGGGAGCGGATCTGGTGTTGAAGGAGGGATCTGCTAAAGGTAAGTCCCCTTGGCGGTGCGCTAACATTACTCAGGTAGGTGGATGCTGTGTCTCTGGATGCCGACGGTTCAACCCCGCTGTGCCTCTGCTCGCTCAACCCCGGAAGAGGCTATTACCTGCTACGGCGATAGGTCACCGCTCTGACTGCCAGCCTGTACATCGAGACTCGAGAAGTTCTCCGTGCGGGAAAGGGCGCTCGCATGCAAGTCAAACGGCTCCGGGTTTGCTTCTGGCATGATCGGCGGAAAGCCGGGACTGAGGAACGACGTTCACATCTTGCTGTTGCATCAGGTCTCGACTTGCTACTAGTAATAATGGAGAAGATGTGGACTGCTGGGCGAAGAGGAAGAGTTCACCGTCGATCAGACCGACTTGTGCATACTGGATTCTTGTGGGACGCCGCAGCCAACGGCCGGCGGCGGGCGAGACTGAGACGCTCGGTGATGGAGAAGAAAAAGGTTAACACAGTTGGGGTTCAGAGCGCCTTCTATCGAGACAGATGGCGGTGTTGGTGGCGGCGCATGTGTGACGGGCGAGGAGGTAAGGTGGGACCAGGACCTCCATACTTGAGAGGATAAGACTGGTCCCTTAATACAAGGAGCAGAGTTGGGGAGTTCATGGTGGCGGCCGGGGACGAAGATCCATCCTGGCGTGGCTCAAGAAAATGTGGTGGCAAAAAACAGACTCCTGGGGGGTTCTTGCGGGTTGCTTTTGCACCCATGGGCTTGCAATTCTGGGATTGGACATATGTTTTGGTTATTTGCCGTTAAAGTCTGACCGACTTCAAGGATCACTGGCATCCGGTTTTGATGGCTGACAGACAGGTTCACCGACGAGAGAGTAGCAAGGCTGTTGGGAGCGACTCTTGTAGAGACACCCGGTACGTTTCGGCTTCACTTCTTCTGCAGACACTGAAGATTACACAGGCATCTCCTTCACCCACCCGACTCGACCACGCAGGACCAGGTAGGTTACATTCGCTCCTGTTGTACTGACATTCTCCGGTGTAGGCCATCAGTGTCTGAGCAATTCTGCTTGGAACTGGAGGCCGCCATCCTCGTCACCATGAGGACGACGAAATCCTCGACGATAGCAGCCGAAGCAGTCGTCGCTGGTTAGGCCGTGTTGTGCAGGTTCGTCATGCTCATGGATGCATGTACTGTACTAAAACGATCATGTTACGCTGGAGTAGAAGTGGGATAGAACTAGCTTGCCAAGCCTACGGAGATTGGACGGACTTTGCGCTGCACTTGAATTTGCCCTCCCCCAAAAGTCTACACACGCAACATTCGCATTTACTGCCCGCCTGATACTGCCAGCACTCACACTACCCACTCGCCTTCACAACCATGCCGAAGTCCAAACGCGCCCGTGTAGTCCACACCTCCGTCGTGCAAAAGAAACCCTCGAAAGAAAAGTCCGCCTCGCTCTACTCCGCCATCCGCGCCGCCGCCGACAACTTCGCACACATATTCGTCTTCTCCGTCGCCAACATGCGCAATACCTACCTCAAAGACGTGCGGCAACACTTCGCTCTCGATGGGCGATTGTTCTTCGGGAAGACGAAAGTCATGGCGAAGGCGCTGGGTTCGAGCGCGGAAGACGAACATGCGCCTGGATTGGCGAAGCTGAGTGGGTACTTGAAGGGCAGTGTTGGGATCTTGTGTACGAATCGAGCGCCGAAGGAGGTCTTGGAGTTCTTTGAGGGGTATGTGGAAGTTGATTATGCGAGGGCAGGTGTTACGGCTAGTAGGACTTTCACCATTCCGGCGGGTGTGGTGTATAGTCGTGGTGGTGAGTTGCCAGTGGAGGACGATGTGCCGCTGCCGCACTCGCTGGAGGTGATGGTGAGGAAGTGGGGTATGCCGACAAGGTTGGAGAAGGGAAGGGTGATGCTGGATCAGGAATATACGGTTGCGGAGGAAGGGCGGGAGTTGAACAGCCATCAGACGGCGCTGCTGAAGCTATTTGGAGTGGCGATGGCGGAGTTTAAGGTGCAAGTGTTGGCGTACTGGAGTGCGGCTACGCAGGATGTCACAGTGGTCAACGAGGAGGCTGCGGCGGAGTGGCAAGGGATGGAGGAGGGCTAGGGTTGAGGCGAGCACCTTGTTGGGCTTTCAGACGACTTGACGATCGTTAGTGTACGACATGCTCTTCAGCGAGGCGTTGGAAGGAGTCTCGCATTGCGCAAAGCTAGCCATAGTCTGCGGCTGTAGACCACATCGATACCCACAAAACGCCATTTCCATCCTCTCATGCTCCTCAGACCATCGCTCATGATTCGGACGAGATCTTGGCCTTGGGGTTCGTGACCTTGACGCCGAGCTGCTTCGCTCGTGACACGATCTCTATCCGCTTGCGGGAGGAGACTGCATGTGCGATTCTGTGCCGTGGTTAGTCCTTCATGTCCTCCGCATATCGATGCTGTGTTGGACTCACTCCGCCGCGTAGGTCTTGTTGTGCATGAGGAGAAGCTCGAGGTCGCGGGTGTTGTTCACAAGGAAGGCCTTGTGGCCGGAGGGCATCATGTGCCGGGTCTTCTTGTTGCTGCCGTAGCCGATCTAGCACACGGACTATAGTCAGCATTCTGCTCTGTACCTGCACGCTTCATATCTCCGCATTGTACGCTCGTCAAGATGCCATGTGACCACCTTCTCCGCCTTCTCTTCTCTTTGCGCGGTATTCGCAGCTCAACGTACCTTGGGCATAGCAGCCTGGCCCTTGAACCGTCTCCTCACACGGTTGTCGATACCCTTGGGCTTCCTCCAGCTCGGGTCGACACACATGAAGCGGTCGGACTGATGGCGGTTGAAGCGCGCCGTGCGCTTCTTGACGATCGGAACATGGCTTTTTGCGGCAACCATCTTCGCGGTCTGATCAGTAAATACACTTCCGGTGGTGGTTCGATTGCTCTACCTTGACTGATTGTGTGTTGTGGAAGTTGTGGCTGGATCACTACAGTGCTGTCGTCGCCATTCGAGGTTTTTGCGTGTGGAGCGAAGTCTTGGCGGAGTGCGGCCCGTGCGCTCGAGCGGCTTTGCCCGCTACCAACGATCGACGTAGTGCTTTCTTACTATTCAGTGACACCATTCTTCCAGCAGAACAATACATGTGTTTTCACGTATACTGGGTCGAAGTGCAAGCTAAGTACCGGGTGGTCGCTTGCAAAATCGAGCGCTGGAAGAACGGCCTGGTATGTGCCCTTGCGTGTGAGGCGCTCTACAACTCAACGGTCTATGACCACTTGCAGCAGCTCTGAGAGTCACGCTTGTATAGCATTACACCCGTATGACCGCGTCGCGAATACCATTAGCCAGGATGCTTGGACGAGATATGCCTGAGACTAAGCCTCTGCCTACTCGCTGAGGACTTCGTGTGTTGCTTCCTCATTGAGATCTTTACGAGTCCAATACGGCTTTCGCTTAGCAAACTCGGCAGCGCCCATGGCGCCAACGTACGTCGGACCCAGGCCATCATCAACCCACTGTACCATCTCAGCATCCTCATGCATGAAGGCTTTCAACACATCCTTCACAGTCTCCCGCAGGCGCATATCAGAGCCATGCTCACCATACAAGATCACTTTCGTTGGCTTACGCCGCGGAATATTCACGAACGGCATGCTGAGAAACTTCCGAACCTCCTCCCAATAGTAAGCCTCGTCTAGCTTCTCGTACCTCATCTCTGCTCCAAGTTGATAATCGACCTTCGGCGCTGGAGACGTGCCATAAGCCGACAACGAAGGCGTAGTCGACGTGACCTCTAGGGCATTCGCATAATAGCCCACGAGGTAGTAGGTCTCATAAGCCAGTTGGGGTTGGGTACCATCGTGCAGGCATGTTTGCGAGCTGTTATACGGCCGACACAGGCCCAGACCGTGGCCAGCTTGGATTGAGTTCTCTGGATACAGTAACGGCTCGCCGAGGTAAGACGATATGACGATTGGTAGGTATCGGATCTTTGCCTTTGAGAAGGCTGCCATTACTAAGTCCGTCGCTGGATGGCCCCAACGAGAAATCGCATTCCGCTGCGCCATCGTGGCTGAAGCTGCGACTATCGGCCCTCCTAACTGGGCCTCCCCGACGGATACGAGTGCTTCGATCATGGGTGCGAGGACACTGACTGTCCACTGTTTGTCCCACCAATGGTACGGATAGTCGTCGGTGAGAGAGACTTTCGACATCATCACGCGCCATTGCCTGTTTCCTTCTATCTTCGCTAATGGGACGTTCGAGCCATTTACGAAAGACACGGCCACGGCACTTGACGGATGATTAATTGGACGCTCACTGACATTAATGTTGATCCGCAATACTTACGCATAGGAGGGTGTGAAGTCGAAGCCAATGCCGTACTCATTGCTTGTTTCTAGAGTCGCTACCTTCTGTTGCAGGTCGGAGCCAGCAAGACTTGATGGCGCGCCATCCGACATTACAATCCAGCAACAGATCGATAACAGAAGAAGCATGCTGTACGGTGCAATATCCCGTGAAGGTCTTCTTAATGTGTCGACAAGCTGGACCAACATCTAATAAGTATCGTCTTCATGGTAGTTGCATCGTTAACATGCACAGCCTAATCACGTAGAACGATACGATGCAGTTCAACCGAAGGATTCGGCCCCCGGAGGCTTAGACTTGGACTCGCAACGGCAGCTTCCGAGAAGACTTGGCATACTCTTGAGGTGCTATCGAGCTGCCACACGGCAGTGACCATGCCCGCATTATCTGCGATAATCTTGTATGAACGCTTCTTTCTGTACCAATCGTTTTTGGGAGGACAAATGCTTCTTGCTCGTAAGCACACTGCTAACTGGTGGAGCTTCGCGCTCCGAATCAAGATGCTCGGTACCATGCACATACATCGCTTGTGGCCCTTTTCACTCTCCAAGCGTGAACTCTCAGAACTGCAGCGCGAAGAAGATGAGCCTCTCCTTGCCCCAGAACACAGTACCCAAATACAACCCCTCCCCAATGAACCGAATCTCGTCCCTCACCCAATGAGCCACAAAGCTCGTCTGGCTATAGTCGAGGACAATACACTCCTTTCCGTCAACCCAACTCTCACCCTTGAACACTTTTGCGATGATTGCATCGACCCCGAATGCTGTGATTCGATTCACCAAGGCTTCCTTCTTCGCATCGAAGATCTTCCCCTGCCATGCAAAGACGTTGATAAACTCGGCGATCTCGGGCGTCCATGGTGTTCCGGGCGCGATGATGGCTGTGCCGTTCGCTTCGCCGTTAGGGATCGGACCGGCTGGGCTGGATGCGAAGAGTTGCTCGAGCTGGTCTTTGCTTAGCGTGAGCAATTTCTTAGAGTCCATCGTGCGCTGGTAAATGTTTCCATCCGGCAGGCAAGTGTGTCGACGAAATCACCGCTGGTCGCTCCTTGATGCTACCACGGACGGGAAGATTGAAACTTGCGCTGACAACGTCTGCAAACAAGATTAGCATTTGCGTGCTGCAGCTGCGGCTGAAGACCAATCTTACGTGCAGCCGGCGTGCATACCACGTGCTCCTGCCAACTCACATAACCTACTCCAGAACCATCGCTGCTGGATGCTTCGCCTGGAGCTCATAAAGACTCCATCCCGGTAGGTAGCCGTATCAAAAGATCCTCTCCACGCTCGGCCTGACCCACTGAATGGTCTTACAATCTCGGCCCTTACCACTCATCCACCGCTTGATGCCCTCGACATCCCAGCCTGCCATGAATCTCTTGTCCTCGGAACTCCATTGCATTGACTTTTCTTCCGGCGGTCTCCACTCCTCAACTTCAGCCGCTTTGGCCTGCCCGAGCCGAAACCACGGGGTAAACACGCATGATCGCAAGTGGTATGTCCACTGGAAGCAATTGGGATCGGCCTTACATGCATCCCCGCAAGCGTCGAATGATGCGTGCGCGGGGCTGTCAGAAGGTGGTGGATACCCACCCCATTCACTATTGACCCAGTCTTCCCGGACAGCGACTTTAGTCAGATTGAGGTAATCGACAAGATCGGCAAAGAGCAGGGGTCGTCGGGTTTGCCGTCGACTCTCTTCCCACCGGCGCAAACCCTCCATATCTTCGATGAAAGTCTTGTGCATGGATATAACGGGCTGACACCAGTATCTGTCGCTAAAAGGTATGCCATGTAGCGGGTGGGGTTGGATCATCGGGAACAATCCACTCAAGCTCGTATGTGCGTCTTGATATAGCGCCAAGCCCAGCACCGAATCACCGCAGCAGTTACCCGTCATCTCGTCCTCCCACCTTTGGCTCAGCGCTGAGCCGATGAACACGCCTTCAGCATCGAAGTCATCTCTGACGAGTCTGCGGACGGCTTCCCGTGACAAAATATAGCCCGGTCCACCATTAGCCATCCAGGTGCCCTCTACGCCCGGAGACGGAGAACCAAAGTACCACGGCATATCGGGGTCGAAGTTGGTGAGCAGACGGAATACATTGTCCCAAACGACGTACGTGTCGTCTTCGTAGAATACGTACCATCGCTTTTCCGGCCGCATGCGCCAGACCCGTGAGATCTGCGGCAGGAACTTGTACTTGTCGATCTGCCAGCCGTTGATGTCAGAGCCGGCGCCTGGTCGGAGGGTGCCGTTGTCCGACAGCTCCTTCAGGATGGTGTAGTTGCGGAGCTGCTTGTTGTCGCGCACGAAGTCGGAACGAAGGTCTGAGACGACGTCAATGATTTGGTAGCCGGAGAAGTCCTCGTCCACATCGGAGAAGATGAGGAGGGAGTTATCGAGACATGCGGAGGCGCTTCGCAGATGCGGTCCGACTCGGGTTTCCAGCACGGCATGGCCCGTTTTCAGCACTGGCTGGATGTCGCGCAAGAGGTGCGTCGGGAAGGCATGGCAGAGATCTAGTACGCTTTTGTTCTCGACAGCCTGCTGGACCGGGCGAAACTGCGAGCGCGTGTGCCAGTCGAAGAATTCTGGCAAAGATGCTTTGCCCTGGTCAAGTGTTGACGGGATGGAGGGTGGATTTGCATGGCTCAGGATCCTCTGGCTGAGATTGGGGCTTTGGTAGAGTAAGGTTGCGACGAACAGTGTGAATGCGATGGCGCATCCCGCGACCACATAGCGCCGTTTTCGGTCCACGAGCCAGTTATCTTGGAGAGCATGCCAGACGTTCATATCTCATGGCGTTTCCTACGTTTCATGCTGCCAATCCCGCATACGGGAACCCGTAGGTAAAGGCCTACGCTTCAACATAACGGACGGCAATGCGGTCATGGCAGGCGAAAACAAGGCACCTGCTGGGCCGCTGCTGCGGTTTCGTGCAGGCCATGACAAGACCTGTAGCTCCGTACTCATGCTCGTTGCCGCTCCGCTTGATGCACGCCGCGGCGCTACAGCACCCGCAGGGGTGCGCGAGTGGCGTGCCAAGGAAGCAGGCGGGATCCTTCGAACAACGCGGAACAGATGACACCAATGCCGCCGAAGAGGGTCCTTTCGGTGCGCTGAAGAAATGATTGTATGCTCACTTATCCCTCACAGTCGTACTCCAAGTGCACTGTTCCCAGCGTCAGTCGCCGAAACGAAGCCATGCGGTAGCGTCGGTCAAGTCGTCCGCTCTCCGAAGTCCTCTTATCTTGTAGGTCGCACGATGTTACCGCCCCAGGGATTTGCAGGTGTCGGTTGGTGCCCGCATGCATCCTGCACGTGTCGGGTCGTGGCTGACCTGCATCCTGCAGAGCAATTGGTCCCCACGAGAAGGCTGCATGCGCTCGTGCACATGACTGTACCTATGATTTTGGTTCAGGGGAGCGGCCGCAGTCAGGGTGGATCCCGAGTTACAGTAGTGGTAAAGCCTCGTAGTTTGCATCAACGTCTCATGAGGCTTCTTACGAATGACACTACTTTCGGCCATCTTCATACGTGAGATTCCACCCAGACTGAACGTGCATGCTCGTCATCCAGCGCAACTCGGTGTCCCCCTTGGGTTTGCAGAGCCCTTCCACGACACACCTCATCATTCGCAGCCACTCCTCATTAACAGCGAATAGCAGCAATCTAAACCAAGCGCCACAAGTCCGGGTGGCATTCACGCAAACATGATAGGAACGACTACTTGCAATGACAGTGTTGTGATCCCGGCCTTCATGGATTCGGCTGAAGATGCTATGATTAGCAGGCTACGCGTCTTACAGGCGCTCGCCGGCCTAAATCTGCGATTGTCATCGTCTTTCCTTGTCACGTACTACCTTTCCGTGATGAGTATTATTCAGCTCCACGACGAGTCAGAATGCGCTCTCATACTGTAGGGTCTTGTACTGGTTCATTGCTATAGGTGACCATTGCCAGTGCGCAAGCGTCGTATTGCTACCTTGAACGCAGCCAATTGTGGTCCAGCCGTATGACGGTCAAGCCAGCACGATCATCAAAACCCGCTCACGCATTCTTCAAAATCTCCTCCCAATCCGGCGTAACAACAAAATTCCCTTTCACCTGCCCCATCGCCATAGCCCATCCCGTCCCCGCGCCCTCATCGCCGCCACCACCACCACCACCATCACCGTCTACTCCACGCTTACTCTCCGGCACGCTCGCAACAACAACATCCTGCAGAAAAGTCGCCGCCATGCCCATGCCCACGCTCAACGTCAAACCACCCCAATCCAGCGTCGCCTTACCGGATCGATGAATGCGAAGCTTCCCCACCGCTCCCGGAGGAAGTCGTGGCGCGTGAACGGTCGGAGCGTCGCCAGCTTTAGCAGCGATGGCAGGTTTCGCGGCCTCGTCGTCAACAAGCATAGCATCTCCCTCCTCCGCTCCACCTTCCGTCGGCGCATCCGGGTCCGGCTTGACAATCACCGGCCGCAGATCCGGGAGTATCGGCGGGAATTGGAAGAGGTACACTTTATCCGCCTTCTTGTCCCGCTCCTTCTCCCCCTCCAGCCGCGGGCGGTCATCCGTCCCATCCATCGTCGCATCGCCAGCGCCATCCCTGTCCGGGTTCGGCACGGCAGCAGACGGGAGCGCAATGGTGCCAAGCTCCTCATACAAGATCTCCAAATCCCGCTGATGTCGCTCCCACTCGTCCATCTCCTCTTGCGTCTGGTATACAGGCCTCTCGGCCGCGCTGCCAGAAAGTGTGCGTTTTGTGATACTGCGGTCTTTGCCGCCTCGGCGTTTGCTCTCCGGACTTGACGGAACGTCTTGCTGTGGCGGCGGTACCAGGACCGGGACTGGATCATCGTCGGTAGGTTCCGTCTTGATGGGTGGGTTGCCTTCATCGCTGTCGGAGTAGGTGCCGTGAAACATCTCGCTCGAGCCGACAATCTCGACGTCTTTCGCTCGTTGCTTGCCTTTGCGCTTGTCGGTGAACGCGACAGCAGCCTCCCCGCTTCCACCGAGCTCGTTGTTGGTGGTGCCGTCCTGTATTGTCGTTGCGCCGTCTGCGTTGAGGCCTATAGCTCGATCGCGGTGGGCTTCCCGTTTCAAGCGAACAGGTTGCATGAGATCTTGCTCCTCGCCCTCGTCAGGTCCTGTGAGGTCAATGACGCCTAGGTCGTCGATGTTGATGCGTGATACGCCTTTTTCACCGTCTTCATCGTCGCTTGACATATAGCCTCCGCCTTCCGTCTTGACAAATGTAGCGTCCCCTCGAACAAGCAAATCTTGAGTAGACGCCCCGCTTTCCTGCTTGATACCATTTCCCGCTGCGGCCACCTTCCCAGCCGCACCAGCCAATCCACCACCAGGCCCAAACGCAGGCTGGCCTCGGCGAACAAACTCGCCTGCTTCATCCTCACTCCCGTCCCTCGCACCCCCAAACCCACCCCCTCTCCCCACAGCAGCACGTGCACCACTCCTCCTAGCAGCCTGCACCTCCGCATTCACCCGCCCCGCACTAAACGCGCCCTCATCTCCCCCAATCAACCCATTCCCACTCCCATACCCATACCCATATCCACCCCCAACCCCACCTCCCCTCCCACCCCCCCTCACTCCCTCACCCACATACCCACCCCTGCCCCTCCCCCTCCCACGCCACGACCCCGCCCCACCCACATCCCCGCGTCCCCCCCTCCCCTCTATCCCCTCCCCTCTCTCCCCCTCCTCCCCGCCGTAGTCGATACGCCGCCTCCCTCTCCCTAGCCTCAAGCTCGACCCTCTTCCGCTCCGCCTCCGCCTTCTCCGCCTCCGCGCGCGCTGCTGCAGAGCGACGGCCCGCGAATTTGGGCGTGGCGACGGTGGGTCTGCTTCCTCCTCTGCCGCCGCGGGGAGTGGATGTGGAAGTGGAAGGTGTTCGTCCGAGGGAAGAAGGGAGGCGACGGGGTGGTGCTGACGCAGCGGATGGTGTGGGTGTGGAAGGAGCTGGGGTGGTGGAAGCGGAGGAGATGGTTATGGGGTTCGCTGATGAGGATCGCTCGGCACCGGCGACATTTGGGTTATGCGAGTCTCGTTGAGGAGCATCTGGCATGTCGCGCTCGGTGCTCCGCTCGGGTTTGGCGTCTGCGTCTTGCGCCATTGTTGGGTCGTGAAGGTGAAACGACTTGAGACTGTTCGGGAATGTGGTGGTGATGATGCGTTTGAGCAGACGCCGCGCTACAACGCACTATCTTCTCTTCGGGTGTGGTACCCGTCTACTCATCGTACAAGACTCGCGAGGTCGTTGGACATTCTGTCATGGAGTACGATTCACATTAACCCTCCCGAAAAAGTTACGATAGGAGCTGGCATACAAGCCGAGGAATGGTTCACTTTCCTTATCAGCACGTGACACGACAACCACTCAATCGGGTGGTGAACGAAATACAGTTCACTCGCACCACGATATCGTCTAGCTATACACCTTCCCCCGATTTTCCTCTCACCATCCTCTCCATTGCGTATGCGCAAGCTCACCGCTTCCAAGCAACCGCCCCCTCCCTAACATCCGTCCTCCTCCCCAAAATCTCCCCCACCTTCTCCCGCACCCCCTGCTTGCCGGCCCTGCTCTTCACAAACTCCTCCACAATCTCCTCCCGCCCCTTCCCCTGCGCCCTGCCCACCGCCCGCTCCACCTCCGCCTCCCGCGGCAGACCCGTCCAGGCGTGGGGGTAATCCGTGTACGCCTTCACGTCACTTCCCGACGCACCACTACCACCACCGCTGCTGGGCAGCAGGAGTTCCAGCTCCGCCGGCGCGTTGAAGAAGCTGTCAACCTCTTCGCTCGTCACTTCCTCAATCGCTGCCGGTGACCACGAAGGAGTAGTCTTGGGCTTATTGACGAGTAACGCGCAAACCCCCTCGACGAAATCCGGGTGTTCCATGAACCGACTCGCCATCACATGTTCCTTCCGAAACGTCTCCGCGATGTCCCAACTAGCACCCAACCGTAACTGCCGCATCGTGACGCAGACGCTGGTGGGGCTGCGGGAGAGGATGGTTTTGCGCGTCTTGCCCGCCCACGTCTGCACTTCGGGGGGAGCGGAACCGCTTTCGTTTTCGGCCAGACCTTGCAGTGCCTTGAGCACGGCGTGGATGTCGTTGGAGGGTTGGAAGACGTAGTCGATTGCCGCTCGGGTGTCGCCGCCGACGACTGAGTTGCCCGGGGGAGAGTCGTGCGGGAGTCCGGTGCAGAATTCCTCGATTGTTTGGTCGATGACATGTAACCTCGACTGCAGACTGTCGTAATCCTTGAATTGTAATTCCGCCAGTCGCGCTTCGAGGTCCGGCAGGGAAGAGGAATGGAGGTAGTGCGTTGCTATCCCCGCCCAAAAGACGTCCACGCCTTTGACTTGCTCGGAGGTCAGGGCGAGATACGTGCCCACCTCGCCATCCATCCGCGGCAAAAAGAACCCCCCTCCCACGTCGGGGAAGAAACCGATAGTCGTCTCCGGCATGGCGAAGACGGTATTCTCCGTCGCGATCCGAAACGGGGCATGCAAACTCAACCCCACCCCGCCACCCATCGTAATCCCATCAATAAACGCCACATACGGTTTCGTATACGTCGCAATGAGATGATCGAGCTTGTACTCCAGCGCGAAGTAATCCTTGCTCTCCTGCTGTCCCTCTCGACCTTGATTCTTGTTGGCGAGGGCTAGAGCCGCTACGTCTCCGCCGGCGCAAAAGGCGCGGCCTTCGCCTTTGATCACGATGACGTTGGCGAGGTCTGATTTTTGGTACTCGAGCAGGCGCGGGATGAGTTTGCGCGCCATGGAGCCATTGAGGGAGTTGAGCTTTTTGGGCCGGTTGAGGGTTATTGTGCGCAGGCCGTGGTGGGGGTGGAAGAGGACGTCGTTGGGTTCGTCGGTGGGGAGTTCTTTGATTGAGGATGTGGGGGATGAGGCGAACTAGGGGGGCTGGAGTGTCAGTCAGCGTACGTATAAGGTGGGTGGGAGGTGAAGGAAGGATGGGGCTTACGGATTTGGAGGTGTTGCTGCCCGCAGCCATGGCTGGGTTGAGGATTTTGGCGCGGAGCGGCATGGTTGATGGACGGATGGGGAGGGCTGTGAGGCGTTTGCAGCACGTTTGTAGGAGCATTGGGACGGGAGGGTCGGTATGGAGGAGGAGGAGGAGCTGGAGCTTTGTATGCGAGCTTGCTATGTCATTGGCGAGGTACCTCGGCAGTGTGGCATGAGCTTTTCCCGTCCTGTTGTTATTGATGGGCGACTGGATCCTATTCGGTTTGATTGATGAAGTAATAAGCAGTGGAAGGACTTTACGACAGCCTGGTTGCCGGAGCTGTACTTGGAGTAGTGAAGGTTTGATTAATGCATCAATCTGATCACGTCTTGCATTACCGCATGGAGTTCAATGTCCGCATCGCCGCCGAACCAACTTCCATCAATACGTCCCATATAGCCCACAGTACTCATGTCGTCCGTGCTCCAAACATTTTCCTCGAACGGGCAACACGTGAGCGTCGTCCATCTCCACACCATCTCCTTCTCTCCTCCTCCTCCTCCTCTTCTTCTTCTTCATACCGCGGGTGTTTGGGGTTTCACTACAAGATGCCCTTCGCTCGCACTCTCCTCCACACCTCCCGCGCCTTGTGCGCCAGGTCCTCCCTCAACCCCGTCCAACAAGCCCTAGGCGCAAGGGGACAGACACAACTTCTCAATGCCGCCGCACGAAGCTACGCCACCATCTTCGAGCGCACCAAGCCGCACGTCAACATCGGGACTATCGGCCACGTCGATCACGGAAAGGTAAGCCATCACCCCCCAAGTCCAGTACTATCACCCTCCAGCTGATATATATATATAACGTAGACCACCCTCACAGCAGCAATAACCAAACGCCAAGCCGAAAAGGGCTTCGCCCACTACCTCGAATACGGCGCCATCGACAAGGCCCCGGAAGAGCGCAAACGCGGCATCACCATCTCCACCGCCCACATCGAATACCAAACCGAGCAACGCCACTACGCCCACGTCGACTGCCCGGGCCACGCCGATTACATCAAGAACATGATCACGGGCGCGGCATCGATGGATGGCGCGATCATCGTCGTCGCCGCGTCGGACGGGCAGATGCCGCAGACGAGGGAGCATCTGCTGTTGGCGCGACAGGTGGGCGTGAAGAGGATTGTCGTGTTCGTGAATAAAGTCGATGCGATCGAAGACAAAGAGATGTTGGAACTCGTCGAGATGGAGATGCGCGAGCTGTTATCTTCTTACGGCTTCGAGGGTGACGACACACCTATCATCCTCGGCTCCGCCCTTTGCGCCATCGAAGGCCGCCAACCAGACATTGGCGTGGAGAAGATCGACGAGTTGCTAGAAGCAGTCGACACCTGGATCCCTACCCCGGAGCGCCAGCTCGATAAGCCCTTCCTCATGTCTGTGGAAGACGTCTTCTCCATTCCCGGCCGCGGGACCGTAGCTTCGGGACGAGTGGAACGCGGTGTGTTGAAGAAAGACTCAGAGGTCGAGTTGGTCGGGAAGACACCCACCGGCGCACCTATCAAGACGAAAGTCACCGACATCGAAACCTTCAAGAAATCCTGCGACGAATCGCGCGCGGGAGACAACTCCGGCCTCCTCCTCCGCGGCGTCAAACGCGACGACGTGCTCCGAGGAATGGTCATCGCCCTGCCCAACACCACGCGCGCCCACCGCAAATTCCTCACCTCCATGTACGTGCTGACGAAAGAAGAAGGAGGCCGTCATACCGGTTTCCACAATAACTACAAACCGCAGCTTTTCATCCGCACGGCGGACGAGGCGGCGAGTATGTTCTGGCCGGAGGGGAGTGAGGGCGCGAAGGAGGATAAGATGGTCATGCCGGGGGATAACGTGGAGATGGTGGTCGAGATTCATAAGCCGCTGGCTGTCGAGCAGGGGCAGAGGTTCAATGTGCGCGAGGGGGGCAGGACGGTGGCGACCGGGTTGATCACGCGGATTCTGGAGTGAGCTGCACATATCAATTGATGGAGGGTGTGGGAGGGGCGGGGAGGGGAGTGGTGTGCGCGTGCGGCCGAGCTGGCGACTGCCTGTGTCTGGCAAAGACCGAACAGGCCGTGGAACCGGCGAAAGAAGCGGCTGGCGGGGCCAGATGCGATGTGTGAGATGAAGGTGAAGCGAAGAGGGAAAGTGACATCTGTACAGCATGACCTGCACGATATACCCGGAGCGCAACCCCTTGATCTTCGGACCTGCGTATCTGCGCTGTACTTCTACTTGAGAAAATGGCGTTGAGAGACGGGAATGTCATTGTGGGGATTTCGGGATGCATAGCCGGCTGGGTTGAGAGTTATACACTTCGCAATGTACGTATCGTATGTAGAACCATGGCATCAAAACTCATCTCCTTACAGCCTTTTCCCTATGCACGTGGCCGCGAGGAGGCTTAGCTCGCCTGCTAAGCACAAGATGTCTCCTAACATGAACAGCCAGGTCCTTGCTGAGACTTGGTGGCCACCACGGACTGGTATGTGCGTGTACGGCGCCACTGCGCGCTCGCGAAGACGTCGGAATGGGAGCGGTGGTACACGACGCCGTCGAGCATGCAGTCGTGGAAGTCATCGTCGTCGTCGTCGGCACGCCCAGCGACGTATACATCCCCGCCATCTCCTCAATCGCACAAGTGGCATCGCATGCTTGCTCAGCCAGAGTATCGACCGAGGAGGCAGAGCCAGAGCCAAAGCCAGAGCCAGAGCCAGAGATGGTCGTGTTGAAATACGCTTCCACCCACCGAACCCTAACCACAGCATCTCCCCCCGGCGGACCACCCGACCATCCGGGATCCCCATTACTCCAATGACTCAAATGCACGCCCCCCGCCCTATTCGGAACATCCTCAGTAAAGGTAGTCAACCAAGCCCCATCAGCGAACTTGTCAATCCGATCAGGCAGCCAGTCGAAACGGTACTCATGCCACCCCTCCGTCGGATCAAATGGAAGGTTATACGGCACAAATCCCACGGTGCCGACGTCGTTGTACCCCTGTGTTACGGAGACGGGGGACTGGTTGACGAGGTTGATTGGGTGGGTGCCGTTCGAATTCACTCGCGCGGATTGTTGTTGCTGGGATAAGACTTCCATGTCGATTTCTTGACTGTCGTTGTGGTAGAAGAAGAAGGCGCCGCAGGTTCCCGGGACGGAGGAGAACTGGATGCTGGCGCGGAAGGTGCCGTAGAGGATGTCGTTGCGGGTTGTGGCGATCTCGGAGATGGGGATTCGGAGGTCGCTGCTGCCAAGCGTGCCGTTGGTGTTGGGAAGGAGTTGGCTTCGGACGTAGAGGTCGAGGGTACTGCTTGAAGAGTTGAGGAGCACGGTTGAGAGTTCTGCCGCTTTGCCGTAGGGGCCGCGAGCGGCGGTGGGCGAGACGTTGTAGACTTGCACGGCCCAGTCGGCGGAGGGGGAGTCGGTCCAGGTCAGGGAGGCATCGGGGTGGGTGAAGTCGGTTTGGATGGCGTGGGTGAAAAGGCTGGTGGTGTTGAGGGTGTAGCCGCAGTTGCAGCTTGATAAAGCGAGGGTAGCAGCGGGGAGGGTGAACAAGGTGGATGCCCACATGCTGAGTAGTCTGTTGCGTGTTCCTGCCATTGCATGGTCATAAATTCGAGCGGCGGGACTCAGTAACAGGCGCTGCGTTATCGGGTTGTCGAAGTTGGCCGAGGTGAAGACAAGGCAGGTCAGGTGTGCTAGGGCCGACACTAGCGGCTGCGTGCCTTCCTTGTCAGTCGAAAGCGGCGGAAAGTCGTAACGTGAATGATGTCGTCGCGTACCGGTTGCACAGGTGACAACCTACTATCCGCAAGCGATAATGCTGTGTCACCACCATTCAACCTGCAAGGGACAGGGGCACTTTGGAAAGTCCGTCAAGTTGCATGCTAGCACCTTATCAACACTCCATAACACTGCTGTTTGTATCTACACTAAAGCGCTGAATATCACTGATGCTACCAAAAAGCCCATGACAGTTGACATAGCGCACGTCTTGGAGCTGCCAGACTTCTTGCTGCTCGTCGCTTTCGCCGGAGATGCTTGAGATGAACCAGACGGCTTCGTCGTTGTAACCATAGGAGGACGGACAGTCTGCGAGCCATCCACTACAAGATCCGACGACTGAGCGGTCAACGTAAGGCCGTCGACTGTTACTGCAATCCCACCAACAGAGACCGTTTGGCCATCGACAACATAGACACCTGTGTTCCCCGTGACGGGCGTTGCGGTAAAGGTCTGGCCATGTTCCGTGAAGACCAACAAACCGGATGTCGGTGTCGGTGCGGGTGAGGAATGGAACATTGAGATGGCGGCCGTTTGCGTCGAATCTACTACAATGCCGTTGGTTCCGAACGATAGAGTGCAACCGCTTACGGTAATGGGTGCTCCGCCCTCTATACGTGTGCTACCGGCCACGATCGCCTCGGTTGTGGGTTTGCCATCCGCTCCGGTTATGATTGCTTCTGTTGCGGTCAATGTTGAGGAGCCAAAGGTCAAGACAGCGCCGGTGGTTGTGGCCGAAGGATCAAACGTGGAGAAGGCATCGGTGTGGGTCTGGTCTACCACCAAGCCAGCCGAGTCGAGTGAGACGACATGGCCGCTCACTGTGATCGCGCCGCCTTGAGTTATCGTCTGACCTGCGACGACGGCCTCGGTCGTAGCTTTGCCATCGGCGCCTGTAACAACCACTTCTGAAGCAGTTATTGCAGTCCCGCCAAGCGAAAGGACGGCTCCCGTAATCAGTGGGGTGGACAGTGCCGTTATTGACTGTGTCGAAGTGCCGTCTATGACAATCCCACTGCTTCCAAATGAAAGAGTATGACCGTCCAATGTCACAGCGGGGCCGTCTTGAATCAACGTTGCTCCACTAACGATGGCCTCAGCAGTAACAAGGCCGTCAGCGCCAGTGATCATCGCCTCGATTGCGGTCAGGGTAGATGAGCCACTGAATGTAAGTATGGCTCCGGTGGGGGGTGCGATCAGTGCGGAGATCGAAGCGGTGCTGGAAGAATCTACCACTATCCCATTGGCGCCAAACGACAGGGTATGCCCGTTGACGACGGTCGAGCTGCCTTGATACAGAGTTACGCTGCCGACAAGAGCTTCGGTGGTGACTTTGCCATCAGAACCTGTAATCGTCGTCTCTACGGCTTGAAGGGACGAAGGGCCAAGCGTCAAAACAGCACCCGATGTTGCGGAAGGCACAAGCGCGCTAATGGTAGCCGTTTGCGTTCCATCGACGACCAATCCAGAGGAACCGAGGCTGACTGTATGGCCGTCCACAGTAACCGCAGAAGCGCCTTGAACAATTGTCGTGCCGCCAATGATAGCTTCCGTGGTAGGTTTGCCGTCCGCTCCGAGTATTACCGTTTCGATTGCCTGGACAGATGACGAGCCTAGCTGTAGCACAGCACCGGATGTTGTAGCGATGGGAAGAGCACCGATGCTCTGAGTTACTGTGCCGTCCACAACCAGCCCGCTCGATCCAAGACTGACCGTGTGACCGGCTACCGTGGCGACACCACCTGCAGTGAGTGTCGAGCCCGCTACGACCTCTTCGGTTGTGGGATTGCCGTCACTGCCAGTAACCACTGTCTGAACTGCCTGGACGGTCAAGGAGCCTCCCAGAGTAAGCACCGCCCCTAATGAGGCGGTCACCGGACTCAGCGCGCTCAAAGCTTGCGTCTGTGTACCATCGATCACGAGACCGTCCGACGCGAGACTGACAATGTGGCCGCTAACCACCGCCGTCGAGCCCGGCGCAATAGTCTGCGTGCCAATCACTGCCTCTGTTGTTGACTGGCCGTCAGTCCCAGTGATTACTGTTTGCATTGCCGCAACTGTGCTTGATCCGCTAAGCGTAAGAAGGGCTCCTGAGGCTACAGGCGACGAGGCAGACGCTTGGATCGTCGCACCGTTCACGATCACTCCGGAGCTCCCAGCGGAGATTGTTGCTCCACTGATTGTGGCGGCGGAGCCCCCAATCGAGATGGTGGTTGAGCCAATGGCATAGACTCCACTCGAGCCAGCAACCGAGCTAGCAGTGAGCATAGCCCCATCCGTTGTGATCACAACGGCGTTGCTTGCTTGTTCAGTACCTTCAACCGTCGCTACGCCGCCAGTGCCGACCAGGATAGTAGAGCTTCCAACTACAATGCCAGAGGCTGCGGCCGAGATTGTTGCTCCGCTGATTGTAGCAGCAGATCCTCCGATAGAGATGGTCGTCGAACCCACGGCATACACTCCGCTCGAACCTGCGACTGAGCTAGCTGTAAGCGTTGCACCGCTCGTGGTGATAACAACAGCGTTAGTTGCAGCAGCCACGTTTTGAGCCGTGACTGTTACGCCGTTCCCGACTTGGACAGTAGAGCCGCCTATGACTACACCAGAGCTTCCGGCCGAAATCATTAGTCCGCTGATTGTTGCTGCTGACCCACCCACTGAGACGGTCGCAGAACCAACAGCGTAGACTCCACTCGAGCCCGCAACGGGGCTAGCTGTAAGTGTAGCACCATTCGCCGTTACCACAGCTGTGTTGGTTGGGGGTGTTGCGGCTTGAAGTGTAGTTGTGATGCCGCCCCCTGCAACTGCCACACCCCCAGTGGAAGAGGCTGCTGACAATGTCACCCCGTTCACGACAATTGCCGAGCTTCCGACGGTGACAGTAATACCGTCCACTGCAACGACGTTGCTCGACCCCGCGACCTGTGAGACAGTACGCGTGCTGTCTGATATGCCCACCGTAATTGCAGCACCATCACTCGCCGAAGAGCCGGTCGAGCCAGCAGCTGGCTGCAGCGTGGTAGTGATACCATTTCCGACAACGCCGACATTACCTGACGAGCCTGCTGCTGAGACAGTCACGCCGTTGACAGCTGTAGGAGTGCTGCCCACTGACACAGTGCTGCCATCCACGGCGACGACGTTGGTTGACCCAGCCACCTGTGAGACTGTGTGAGTGCCATCAGTGCCGGTGACTATCACGACATTGCTTTGACTCGCAGACGACTCTTTTGAACTTGGATCACTTCCAGAAGACCCGCTACTCGGTGATGCGCCGTTTGATGATGCAGCATTGGAGGAGTCCGTAGCCGTCGAGCCACTGCCTGCTCCGGGGTCATTTACACCAGAGTTACCGCCAGAGCCAGAGCTTCCAGATCCTGAAGCTGTCGGATTAAATGCTGACGGAGCAGAGGCAGAAGGGCTAGAGCCAGAAGGGCTAGAGCCAGCCACTTCCGAGCTTGGCGAGCCGGAGCCAGCAGGACTGCCCGCAGATCCCGGAGAGCCTGGATCTGACACAGCTGGGTTGCCGGTGTCTGGAGACCCTGTGCTCGAAGGGTCACTGCCGGAGGAGCCACTGCCGGAGCCGCTAGATGAGGTTGTCGGAGAAAGCACGTTACTTGGGCTAGCGCCGCCCCCGCCGAGGAGTGATGCAATGTTTCCGCCTGCTGCATTGCCTGCTGAGTTCGTCACTGAGCTTACTTGAGCGCTGCCCACACTGCTTCCGAGCACATTCGATGTGCTTTGTAGGGCTGTTCCTCCTCCTTCCGATGGTGATTGTTGAGCATTTGTGCCGGGGCTACCGTTTGGAGACGATGAGGATGTCCCACCTTGACCGTTCCCTGCAGTGTCCGATGCCGGGGTCTGCGAACTGCTTCCCATACCATTTGTAGCGCTTGCAGGCGGAGGGGCACTGGTAGACTGCGAGGATGGCGCGTTTCCACCATCAATGCCACTCGACGATGTGCTGGCGGTGCTACTATCGCCTTGTGAGCCTTGCGTCGACTGGGGAAGCGCAGTCGCTGTGACAACCGACGAGGGTGTTGCGGCTGGGGTGGGCGTGGAGACGGTATTCCCAGGGGCTGCAGAGGAGGTCACCCCGGGTGCCTGCGTCGAAACCCCAGCGTATGTTGTTGCGGCAGACAGTGCGGTCGGTGGGTCATATAAGCCGCCCAGGTTGATTTGGCAAGTCGCCCAAGCTGGATCTAGATCGCGGATTTGGGTTGGCACTACCAGCACTGGCCGGTAGGCCCAGTCAACGATAACACCTTCGGTGTCGTCGAATAGTTCGCCATTCACATAGTCCACATCAAGATTCGGCAAAGGATTGCTGAACTCGCCGTTACACTGGCCTGCTAAAGCGTCACACGCATCGATATAAGCAGCGTAAGGCAAACCCGGGTTGAGATTGGCGAAATTGAACTGATGCCCGTAATCTATGCACTGTCCCTTCCCTGGCAGAATCGAGAAGACCTGAGAGGAGGCAAGTGTGACGAGGCGCCCAGATTGCGGGTTTCCGATCAAGCCGCAGGAGTTCGAGGCGTAAGCCGTTGCGAGCGAGATGTACGCACGATTTTCATAGAACGTTGTATTGCTCGCTACGATAAATGGTCCAGCGTCGATTGTCGTAGAGTTCGACTGGAGGTACGGGCAGGGCACCATGGATTGGCAGAAGCCGTAAGCGTTTACTGAGGCTGGAGCGTACGGCGCCGTTGTCGGCCCCAATGGGCATATCGTGGGAGAAGGGGCCAGAGTAGCGCAGAGGTCACGCGATGCGTTCACGGGAACTGGGAAATACATGAGTTGAACGGTGCCTCCGTAGATCGTACATGGACCGCATCCAGATTGAGTGAGCGCGGCGCCCGTCGGGGTGCAGCTAGGGGTCTCTGGCATATCGGATGTCCAGTTGAAGCTGCCTGAGCTCGTCACAGCTCCACCATCACTTAGATACGACACGACGCCATTTTCGACGGTCAGTGCATAATATGTTGCCGTAGTATTTCCAGGAGGACCATCCGTTTGCCACTGTTGGTAAGTCTGCCGAGTCTCGACATAGCCGGTGTAAGGCGTGCCGAAAGCCGTGATGATTGGCGGCGAAGGTAGTCTAGTGGTAGCGAACGTGGTCGTCTCATCGCCGATGGTGATGGCTGTGGCGTACGAAGCCAGCGTGACTGCCGTATTTGCGGCGTTCATGACTGATGTGTACGAGCTCTCCCCACTTAGATAGCTGTTCCACATCATTTGGCAATCCGAGGGGCCGATGGTACAGGGTGCTGTCACGTTGGGAGTAGGAACGCTAACAAAAGCTGTCGTCCATACTGACCCAGTCGCTGTCGGCGTAAACTGAAGCCACCCGTCAGTTATCCAAGCACACAAATGCGAATAGACTTCAACTTACCGTCCCAACAAGTCTCCCCCAAGTATCGCATCCACCCAAAGTCGTGTACTGCGCACTGTAATTGGTGTACGTCGTCAAGATCGTGGTCTCGTAGTTTTGTCCACCTAACCCTATTCTCGAGAAGTTCTGAAGGACTTCCTGGCACTGGCTGGCCCATACGCTCCCGTTACCGGTTCTGGCAATGGTGTAATTGGGATATAATGGAGAACTTGGTGTGACCAAGCTTGACGTTGATGAGCCAGTTGAGGTTGACGTAGCGTTCAGTGGAGAGGTCGTGGTCGTGGTCGAACTGCTGCTGTCCCAATCAAGCCATATCCCTGCAGTATAGCCTGCTGCTGGGGTCAGATATCCGGTATCGCTGCGTAGCACACAGGCAAGAGTCGCAGTATCGAACTCGAAGAAGAAGCAGACGTCATTGTAGTCGCATGCCAACGCACAGCTTGTCCAGTCGCCGTTGGGTATAGTATTATTGCTCAGCAGAGGTGCGTCTGAGACCATATCACAGATGAGCTGGTAGGTGGCCCCGTAGGAGTCAACCCACTGGGTACTATTTGTGCAGTCAAGCGTAGACGCCGGTGAGGAAGGTACGCTCAGCGCCGACGTAGAAGATGCATTCCAACCCATTGTGACTGTGGTTGGTGTCGAAGAAGCGTTGAGCGTGTACGGTGAAGACGCATCCGACCAGGCGGTTGCCAGAACTGCGACCCTGTAATTCGTGACGCTGAAAAGGTTTCCCAGTGCATTAGACAGCCAGCAGCCGTAGGAGCCGTCAACAGGGCCGAATTCGAAGCCTATGCATTCGGGTATCGCGTCGCACCTAGCAGCGATGGTCAGCCTCATCGGCAGTGTCTCACCGAGTGGAAAGGGCTCGGATCATTACTTACAGTGGCGCACACTGTGTCCAGTCATTATCATCAAGTGAGGTATAGCCCAGGGAGTAGGAGGCATCACTAGCCATATCACACCACACCATGTATGCCTGTCCGGCATCGTCGATATATTGCGTGTTGTTGACACAATCTGGAGGTGCCGGACTGGAAGGGGTCGTAGTAGGTTCTGACCCAGATGTGTCGCTGCCAGTTTCGTCAGGCAAGTACCCCGCGATATAGCCTGCGGCCGGCGTGAGGTTTCCGACCGAGATGCGCAAAATACAGGTATATGTACTGTCTGGTAGCGGGTGGAACTCGAAGAACCCTAAAGATCGGTGGGTAAGGGGTCAGCTGTGTTTTCCACAACCGCGAGAGGATAACAAATATCTTTCGCTTACAGCAATACTCGTTCGCATCGCACGATGTTGCGCATATGGTCCAGTCGCTAACGGATGTGACATCGACGCTCACAGAAGGCGCATCGGACCTCATGCCGCAGACAATTTGGTACTGCCAGCCGTTGGAATCTGTCCAGAGAGTGTTGTTCTGGCATGCTAATGAAGCTTCTGTCGATGCGTCGGAAGTAGGGGCACTCAAGTTTGGAGTGTCGTTGGTGCTGTTGGCGATGTATGCTGTTCCGTTGTTCGGAGACGTGACTTCGTTAGAGATGCTCGGATTCGTGGCAATGCTCGTATATGTGATGTTATCGCTAGGGTTAGTCTCGAAAATGGTTGAGCCGTTCAACTCTGCTGTCACGGTTGCGCTATTGAATGAGGCCAGTGTTTCGGTCGAAATGTTTGAGAGCGTTCTGGAAGTAGCAAGCGATGTGGTGCTATATCCCGTATCGTTGAAGAGTACTGCTGGCAAGGCCATACTTATGGAGGCTGCACTTGTCGGCGTGGATACGGTTGGCACAGTGTACAAACGATCTGAACTGTTTCCACTGCGTATCTCCGATGAGGACGCAGCTGGCGAGCTGGTCGCGCCGATGCCGAAGAGTACATAGTCTGCAATGGCCGTCGTGCTGGTAGTGAAATTTTGAGTTGCTTGAGGCCAAGCCGGGCCTGGTGTCCCAACTAGGTTCTCCGTGCTGGTGGAGGACGGTAAGATGCTAAACACCTTCGTTGCAGAACCATTGACCGGAAGCAAAGCAGGACTGGCGGATGAGGTGCTGTCGAATATTGGGGTGCTGACTGAGCTTGAAACGTTGGTGGATATCGGATCGTACACAACGTCGGTATTGACAGTGTTGGAAGTCGCGCTGCTGTGTGACAGAACAATGCTAGTGGCAAGCGATGTTATCGATGCAGTCGAAGAGCTGCTCGAGCTGGTGGAGCCGTCATCTGAAGCAGTGAGAAGGAGCGCAGACGTGCTTGGTACAGGAAGCTCTGTAGATGAGGTTATGCTGTCATCCAGACTACTTGTAACAGACGAAGAAATGCTGGACGCTGAAGCGAAAGTCGACGAGTTTGTGTATCTCGGATATGCTGTGGACCGATTCTGCGATGATGACTGAGCGAGGGTGTGTACTGCCAGAAAGACGAGTAGAAGAGCAGCCATAGCAATGCGGAAACGAAAGCACCAAAAGACGTACCACACAACAGTGTCACAGGTGCCAAAGACAAAAGAGACGAGCAACGAACGTAGAACGTGCCACGCTATCCTGGATGTTTTCAGCAGTTTACACAGGCCACGGCAGAAGATCCCAGCAGCCGCAGGCGGTGCAGCAGTGCTATCCAGCCGAGAGCACGAAATCATGTCGACCATGTCTAAGACCATGTCTAGATCCACCTTGTGATGGGTCTCAACCCATCGTGTGAAGGCCAGTAAGATGAAAAAGGGACGCAAGTGCTGACTGTGCGGCAAGGGTAGCGCACCGGCAAACGGGCTGATTACATCGCATCTGGTCCCCTTGGTCCTGACATGCATTACTGCCTTCTGAAGATGAAGCGTAGCTGTATCAATGACCGGTCCGCGCAGTATGGCCACTCGACGGCGTACGTGGTGCAGTGTGCGCGGTGCTAGCTTGGGACGGTTGGTTCTTTTCACGAAGATCCATCTGGCAGTGAAACCCGTCTTTCGACCTCCGGCGCGGCCATTCGTCATCCATGTACTAAACTGCGGGACGTAAGACAGTTATAGTATCTAGTATGAGTAAGCTCTTACGCTCGGTATCGCCGCGGTAGTGGCATCTTTCCAGTCGCCTAATGCAGGCAAAGGAAACCTGGATACCCGAAAAGCCTTTATGTGCCACGTGCGCTTGCTTGGCACCGAAACACCGAAGAAGTACCGAAACGCAAGCAGCGCGACTTGCACTCTCAACCATTGTCCACTGCGCGTACACTTACAAGTAAATAAGGGCGAGCCTTGCGAGTTCCTGTCATAAGGAAAAGAGACTGCAGCTATGAGTCGCCATGGATGGAATCACTCCGCTCGTCTGCAACGGTCCGATCCGGCGCCAGATCTTGACGTTTAGCGCATTTCTCCCGTATTCATCCCTCTTTCATGTTCTCGCACGACGTTGGGCTCTTTTAGAGTAGTCAATTGTGCCATGATAAAGCTATACCGCAATTCGCAGGCAACCAGACAATGTAGAGATTCCTCCCAGAATTGCGGCGAATTCGGCGTCGAAACGCCGCCCTGATTGCAGACGGGTTCTAATGCATCCTAATCTACTCCGACTCTTATCCTTTCCCCAATAAGTAGCCTCTACCTAGCAGGTGCACGCCTGTGGGAACGAGAAGTTAGTAGTGTAGTTCGTTGGGTGAAGTCCTGTCAATTGCTGAGTCTGTCACGGTCTGTCAAGTGCTCCCTCGACACCTCGCTCTGCGTTCATTGAGCTCGTGATGCAGCTATCTCTCTCGTTTCTTATCTGGGCCCTCTTCGCATTTGAGTTCCAATCCTTTGTTCTCGCCTCGCCAACATGGAAGAATACAACCGGGACACAGTGCGAGAAGACACAAGTCCTTATACTGTGAGTTCCGTCGTTGCTCGCCTCGGGGTGTCTACGCTGCTCATAGCTATTATAGAGGTGCTGGAACAGCCGGCATAATTGCTGCGGTACGTTTAAGAAATCACGCAAACAGCATGACATCTACTCACGCACGGTCAAGCAAACACTTGCGAACCAGTCAATCACCGACTTCATCATCCTCGAGTACAACAATTACATCGGCGGCAGAGTCCAGCATACCACTTTCGGCTCTCCCGATAACCAGTTTGTTATTGAGCTCGGTGCTAACTGGGTCAGTCTCACACTACCACCTCGCAACCTAGCTTGCTCACTTTCTATAGGTTCAAGGTTTGGTCAGCCCTCCGGGACCAGAGAACCCGATATGGACACTAGCGCAGTTGTACGGCCTCAACAGCACGTACTCCGACTACGACTCGATCTTGACTTACGATCAGACCGGCTACACCGACTACTCGGATCTTATCGACCAACTGGACGGCGACGTGTGGGATGCCGCATCGGCGGACGCCGGTACCATTCTCACGCAGGGTTTGATCGATCATAGTGTCCGCGCCGCCTTCAGTATGGCTGGCTGGTTTCCGGATCGAGATCCTCATAAACAAGCTGTCGAATGGTAGATACTGCTACCAATACTATAGCTATAGTATGCGGGCGACGACTAACGGTTTGCGCAGGTGGGAATGGGATTGGGAAACTGCATTCACTCCTGAGGAAAGCAGCGAGCTCTACGGCTTCGCAGGCTACAATCTGACATTCAATCAATTGTGTGGGCGCCACATTCCACACAAACGATAAATCCACTGACTTTGCTTGTTCAGCTCTGATGAGAATAACTTCGTATGGGACCAGCAAGGCTTCAACACTCTCATCGAGGGCGAAGCATCGACCTTCCTGCAGCCTAACGACACCCACTTGCGGCTCAATACGACAGTGACAATCGTCGATTCGTCCCCTCCATCGATGATACAGGTCACTACCGAAGACGGCTCCTGCTTCGCCGCAAAGCACGTCATCTGCACTTTCAGCCTAGGCGTGCTGCAACATGCACTTGCCGAAGATGCTCCCGTGACGTTCACGCCCGAGTTTCCTGCCTGGAAGAAAGCGGCCATTTACAACTTCGACATGGGCACGTACACGAAGTTGTTCCTGCAGTTCCCGGAGTCGTTTTGGGGCGACACGCAGTTCTATCTCTACGCTGACCCTACGAAGCGCGGCTACTATCCGGTCTGGCAGGCATTGGATGCACCAGGCTTTCTCGAAGGGTCCAATACCATCTTCGCTACCGTGGTCGAGCATGAGTCTGAGCGCGTTGAGCGACAATCTGACGCGGAGACACTGGCGGAGCTGATCGCTGTGCTGCAAGCCATGTTCCCGAACGTGACCATTCCGGAGCCGACGGCGTTTCTGTATCCCCGTTGGGGCCAGACAGAGTGGTCTTTCGGGAGCTACAGCAACTGGCCGACGGGTGTCTCGCTGCTCGAGCATCAGAATCTTCGAGCCGGGCTGCGGAGTGGACCCGACGGAAAGGGACAGGGGCGACTTTGGTTTGCCGGCGAACATACGTCTGCAGAGTATTTCGGCTTCATGCACGGTGAGCAGACGGCTTTGTGGACTGATTGGGATCGTAAATAACGTTGCTGACCTACTCATCCGTGGGTACTAGGTGCCTGGTTTGAAGGTCAAGCCGCCGGCTATGCGGTCGCAGACTGCCTTGGAAGACCGAACGCCAGTGCTGATGAGACATGCGTTACGGAGGCGCATCACTACCCAGTGCTGTACAGCGGCGTTGGTGGGGATCGTTATACTGCGTTGAATGGATGGTTTGGCGGAGAGAATGTGTGTACCCCGAGACACCTCGTCTTGCTAACGACTGCTAATTTGAACGTGTTGCATCTCAGGCCAGCTTTGAGACTTGGGGCCTTGAGGATTGACCTCAAGGCAGTGCAGTGCAGCCCGACATGATCTGCACCGCTAAGCATTAATTGCATACGCTGCCAATAGCTTGGGCAGCTCGAAGCTCCCCATTTGAGCTTCTTCACCTCGGCGCTAATCAAGCAATTATTGCATTTGAATGATCGGCCGTGGGGTGGCTGAGTACAGAGTTACATTCTGCACTCCTTCCGTCCACTTCTTAGGACTACCACATGATACACAAATACCGCGTCACATCTCGTATTGCTCGTAGTGCGAGATGATCATTTGCTCGTGCTACGCAAACATTGCCCGTGTTCCACACGACCCCGCTTGTTTACAAACAGTGCCGTCGGCCAACGACAGTGAAGTGGATGTGGATGGATCGTCTCCATCTGGTCACGCAGTTCACCACAGCCACGAGCTCGCGATGATCTTGGGCTGAATAGGTGAGGTGAGGTGAAGTGAATGTACATGAAACATCGGAATGGGAAGCGCTATGGAACGTGACAGTGCAGCGTGAGGTAAACGTACCTTCCGCGATTGAGACCATGTAGGTGCGACCGTTCTTTCCTGTTGCAATGTGACACCAGGAAGGCGAGCAGCTTCAAGTCCAGCCTTCGTATCTATCTAGGTGTGTATGTGTATGTATATAACTTGCCGTCGCCCACAGTTCCTCACTCACTCACTCACTCCAGCAACTCCGGAACCCAGCCAGCCAACCCACCAACCACCAAACCAACCACCGACACATCAGCCAACATGCACCACACCAACTCCATCCTCGCAACGTTCATAGTGCTCTTCCGCATCGCCCTCACTCAGACCTACAACATCCAGACACCACCCTTCTTCCTCTACCTCGTCTCCGACGATGCAGACTTCCAAGGCAAATTCCTCAGCCCTTGCCACATCGGCGCCGGCGAATCCACCCTCTGCTACAACTCCGCATCGAACATCAGCTCAGACCCGAGCCTGTACACCTACGCCCTCAACACTACCGCCGACGAGCCAACCGACCCTTCAGCAGAAATCTATGGAGCTCCAGGGGTGTTGACGTGGAACCTTCCCTATAATGGCAACCAATTCGGTATGTACTCGCCTGAAATTGAGGCAAAACTTAGCCCACCCGCTAACATTCCCACAGAATCAATCCCCATGAGCTTCGTCCCAGCCCGGAGTGTCAGCGGCGTCGCTCTCCTCGACTTCGAGCCCGGTCCCGCATCAGGTGGCACGCAAATCGCCTTCGACGACAACAACTTCATGAACGTCCAGACCGTCTTCGCCAACGCCACTGAGACCGGCCTGGTTTACGGCAGCAGCAACGAAGCCTACTACCGCTGGTACATGTGCAATGCGACGGAGCCGCCGGGAGACTACAACTACTGGACGCTCTCGTGGGACCTCAGCAGCGCGACTCCGGCAGATTCGAGCTGTTGTGCAGTGCAAGTATGGAGGATGTTCATGCCGCAGGCTGGGCAGCCGAATCCGTAGGTGGGAGGTACTTCAAAGCCAGTGCTTGAGCATCCGCAGCGGGAGCATGAGGGTGGACGCGGCGTTCACTGAGGCGCGCTAATGAGGCTTATGTGGCCACGATGAGCATGTAATGTAAGCATTAGCCATCGGGCACTGAATGATGAAGCTATGATTAGAGCTTCGGGATAAACATTGGCGTCTCCTCCTTCCACCTTTGGTAGTCCTTTCGGTCGCCGTAGCGCTTGTCGTACTTGCTCTCACTTAGTGGCACACCAGAGACCTGCACAGGACCCCGTTAGCATTGTACGAGCGATCAGAGACTAGATGTTCACCCACATATAGCAGCAAAAGCGTCACAAACGCCGGGCTTGCGCCAGCCATAGCAAGAGCGCCTAACCTGCTCGCCCAAGACCCGCTAAAACCCATCCCGGCCTGCCCAACATTACTGAGCATCACGCCCGCAGCCGTCGTAGCGATGCCAGTCCACAGCGTACTTTCGCCGAAGTAGTTAGGATGTCTACTCTTACTCCACAACCCACGAGTCAAGAACTCTTCGCTATGCTTCTTCTCCTTCTTCTCCTTGACCCACCGACTCTTCTGCGCGTCGGCGGTGGCTTCGAAGGTAATCCCACCCACGTACAATGCCAGACCTAGTACGTCGACTACCGTGATGAAGGGCAGAGCCGCGAGCGTGGTGGCGGGGATACTGTTCACGGCCAGCACCGGGAGAAGGCAGGTGGATACCCATACCGCTTGCGCCACGAAAGCGACGAGGAATGTAGGCGGAGAGCCGCGGATGTTGTCGAAGCGACTATCTCTGCCCTCGTCGGACGTAATACGGGAGAAAAGGTAAGATCCCAACCTAGTAGCCCAGATGGTAACGGCGGCGGAGAGGACGACTTGCCGCCAATTCCACGCGCTTACGCCGCCTTTACTCGTGAGGCTGGCGAGTAGACTCGGCCACGCTGGCGCACTCAGTGTTGCCGCGTACCGAGCGCGGAGGGTGGGGAGGTAGAGGGACAGCGCCGTGCAGGAGATGTAGGTTAGAGAGCCGGAAAGGTCGTAGAAGCGCTCGGTTTGGAAGAGGATGGAGGGGACTGCTGTTGCGGCTTGGAGGCCGAAGGCGAGGCCGATGGAGGGAACGAGGGTGCGGAGGAAGGGGTTGCGGAAGTTGGTCGCGTGTAAGAGGGTGTTGATGATGCCGGACATGGTGGGTAATGTCTCGCCAAACGTGTACAGGCGAGATGGGATCAAGCGAGGATCGTGAAATGGAGACTTCACCTACATATGAGCATCCAAAGCTGACTTGGCTCGGTGAACGGTGGTGGTGCCATTGAAAGGAGCAGGGAGTGACGACATTGGCCTGAGCCTTGGCGGCGAAGTTGAAGGAGTGGAAGCGGAAGCGGATGAAGCAATTGACCGATGGGTAATGATAGTTTACTAGCGTTCAGGTACTGTACATAGTGCACGCGCAGCATACATCTGGCACTATACAAATACATAGTATATCCGCTTCGTGGGCTCCATTTCATGCCAGTTTGATCATCGCACCCTCCGCTTGCTCGGTAGCGTCTCGCTTTTCCCCCCCAACTCGGCCCATGCAGCCAACACATCCGCCCCAGCGCTCGTAATGCTAGCGATACTGCTTGCAATGCTCCCACGAGCATCAACTCCCGAGCTGACAATCGACTCCAGTCTCGGCTGAGCCTTTCTCGCCTTGCCGCTCTGCTTCTTACTGCTCGCGGTCGTACCAGCAACGGGGCCTTGTGTAGACAGCGAGGCCAGATCTGTGTCCGGCGTGACGGTTCTGCCTCGCAAGCTCGCATCGCTGCTATAAGCTCCATCCGTCGTAGGCTTGTCCGATGGTGGTGCCGTGGCGAAGGTAGGCGTGAGCGGAGACGCTCGGCTGGTCGAAATTGAAGGCGACGCCGATAGCTGCGTTGCCGAGAAGTCCAGTGGAGCAAAGTCGAAGTTGGGTGAAAGGTAGTAAGGCGGTTGGCCATCTTTGCTCGCTTCTCTTGAGGGCGGTGTGGGACGATCTTGCTTACGCTCGTGGGGCGACACGGAGTCGCTCCCGTAGGAGGGTGAGCGTTCCGAAAGTACGCCTTTCCGGTCCTTTCTGCCGAGCTCGTAGAGCCTTGACATGCGATGTGGACTGCGTTCTGGGACGTCGGGTATGGTATTCTCTTCCAGGGCCGATGTCGGACTGGCACCCATGTTACGATGAAAGCTTGCCAGTGGCGTCTTTGTTGCTGTCGGAGCGATTGATGATAGACCATCACTTGTCCCACTTAGTGCGAGGAATTGACGGACGCGTAGATGGTGGTCTTCGAGTTCGTGCGAATCAAGTGCGGGTGATGACTCGTGCGAGGGAGACGGAGGCAAATCCTCAGCGCTCTTGCCGGGCTTCGCGTTGTATGTGCTCGGCGACAGTACCTCGAACGCATTCTGCAAAGGCTTAAAGCCAAGCCCATGCATTGATCGAGTCTCACAAGGAGGCTCGGGGAACTCTGAGATCGTCGGTGTCTCTGCGCTTGCCAGGAATCTCTCCACCTTAAGTGCCCTGTCCACGTCTTCCTTGCGAAGCTGGCTGTACCTTCTCAACTCCGGCTTGACATCATTCGCAGCGCCAGACTCTGCGGTCTTGCTGCCACGCCGACACTTCTGCCTGTCCTCCTTCGCTCGTAGTATCTTCATCGCTGTCTGCTGCGCACTTTCTCTTCGCTTCGCCAATTGCTCTTGCTCACGCTTGAGCGCTAGTTGATACCCTTCCGTGAAGCTGTTCTTCTGCATAGCTGCGCGCTTGCGACGCATCATCTCCAGCAGTATCATCTCTTCCTCCGTGACAGCCATGATGCGCGAGGCTTCTGTGGGCGCTGGGCTAACTGTCTCTCCACTGACGACTGTCTCACCGACCGTCTCCTGATACTCCTGAGTCGGTGTTTTCGGAGCGCGTTGGTTGTTGAGACCGACAGAGGCCTGAGAGCCTTGGCCGGTCAGTTTTCGGAGTGCTTGCTGGGTTGGGTGGTTGTAGCTGATATTTGTAGTGCGCTTGCTGTTCGGTAAAGTTGGGATGTCCGGCAAGGAGCCGTCATCGGTCAGCTTGATAGGGATGGATCCAGACGTCTGACTTGTCAACTGCGTGCTCGCGCTGTGCCGTGGCGCGCTATCTCGAGGCTTGCTGCGCTGAGTCTTGACTTTCTGCGCCGGCTCAACCAACTTCTCCGGTGGTACGGACAGATCAAAGTCGGCGTCTGCAAGATCATCCTCGACGTCGTTTGCAAGATCGACTCCATCCTCGACGTCGTCTCCAGAATCAGACAGAGACAGGACGCTCTGTGAGCCCAGCTCCGACATGGCCAGCCTGCTTTCTCCGCCGCGCCGGCGACTGGTGTGATCTGACGACACATGACTGGCGACGCTGCCTTTACGCTCATCCGTCACCCGCAGGCGTTCCTGCAATCGCTCTTTAGCGGGCTCGATCGCGCGGGCTCTATCCTCCAGAGCGTCTTGCGAGCCTTTATGGTATGGGTTTGGCTGTTCTTTCGCGGCTTTGGACCATGGATCGATAAGTGCTGGGCGGTTATAGTCAGCTGCCAAGTCATGGGGATCAACCTCATGCAGGTCGTTGCCCGGATCTGCTTCGTCTTCCTCCGAGCTGATGTCAAAGCCGTCGAACCAATTCTGGATACCTTTCGGCGGACGTCGCACGTTTGTCTTGGCCGAATCGAAAATATCAGGCTCGAAGATCTTGATTCGACTGGTATTGATTGGCTGTACGGGAGATAAGTTCGTAGTCTTCGGGTTCTCGAACCGACCGTCTGGGCCCGGCCGCTTCAGCTGGACCGTCTCGGGCGTGAAGTAGCTGGGCGCGTTGACATCCGCAGAGGGTGAGTACACAGAGCCGTACGGCGAGAAGAGGCTTCGAGACTGAGCTCTGGGGTGTGAGAACATCTGGGACAGATCGAGCTTCCTCCCGCTGCTGTTGGTTCGCGACAAACCTGACGTGTCTGGTTGTTTCCTAGCTTCAGATTTCCGCTTCTTCAATGCTGACTTGAGTGGCTTCTTAACAAGAGTCGTATCGCTGTTGGTATCATGGTGGAATGCTATGGGCGAGCCTTTGCGCAAACCCATGTCCCGGACTGCAGAGGCGGAAGTCTGCTGTGAGACATAATAGGGCTCTTTCGAAGGGTCGTAGAAGCGTTGCGACGATGCGTACTGCGGGCCGCGGTAGCCTTCATCTGGGCGACCAGTGGGCTGATACACTTCGGTATGTGGGAGGCTGCGAGCTGAGACATTGTTCTGTTCAAACTTTGGCCAGGCGGTAGACCTACTCCTACCCGGTGCCATTTCGCTGGCGTATAGCAACTGGGAATTGGTTCTGTTCCAATATGCTTCGTCCAGCGTTCCTAATGTCTTCTGCTCAACAAAATCTCCTTGACGAAGGTTTCCACCAATCGTCCCTGTACCGTTTGGCCGTTTGGCCTGCCTCCGAGACCTGTAGGTCGGGATCGTTGGCTCAGCATCTAACGTCGAATCCAGCCGCGGCGCAGCCTCTGATATGGTTGCAGGAGTCCTCTCATGCGCAGACCGACTGCCAAAGCGCATTGCAGCATCAATGGCACCGGCAACGAGCAGATCAAAACTTTCTTGCTGCAAACCCTTCCCGTTGCCTTTGGTCGATCGTTTCACGATGCAGGGTGCTGCCGTGATCTGCCGTGTACACGTGGATACAACGTGGCAATGCTGGGAGGAAGACTAAAGCCGTCCAGTCATTGGGAATAGGTCCATCCCGTCCGTCACCGCAGCCCAGCCTCGAGAGCCTATAGTGTAAGTGAACTTTGACGAAAGGTATTGAGAAACACTTACACCGGCGAACGAGCTGATTACGATGTGATCCCGGGACAAGGGGTACCGACGTTAGTCCTCATGCGCGACACTGCCCGAAGCGCTGTAGCGTGGCATAACTAGCTCGACTAGTGGCACGGCACCAATGCAATTGGCGCGTTGGTGTCGCTTGGGACGAACGCGGTTACCGGCAAGTGGTGCCATCTGGTCATCAATGCGGAGGATGGCGTTCGATAACCAAGCGAGCTGCACGCTACCATGTATATGCTTTGCACGCGCTCTGAGAGTGTGAAGGCAAATTCTACGCATTCGCCGCATTCATCCTCTTGATTGTCTCGGCGTGCGACCTCTGAAGCCGCCGACCCGGATCATGTCGTCTTTCCGTGATACCCATCACTGGCAACTCTTATCGGAACGTGCTATCGCAAGCAGAAATATTACCCCTGTGCTTACCCACATGCACGTCAGTGGACGTCGATCGACAGCATGGTTCAATCATTGCAAGGTGCCTTGTACCGGGCCGCAAGTTCCAGGGGTTCGATACACCGACGGGACTGTAGGCGAGTTCCTGAGTAGCAATTGTTCATGATCACGTAGGGAACGCAACTAAGGTACACACGTTGTCGTGCGGTGTTGGAGCAAGAAACTGCCGGGTCTGCGACCAGTCAACGCAGTACTACTGAAAGTTGACAGTCAGCTGCTGAATGTGCATGGCAACGTAGGCTTATAGTAGGTGAAGTCACAGTGTCTACGTCCTCACGTCGGCATGCTTGCAGCGATTCCGACGCTCAAAGGAAACCGCTCGAACCACCTGCATCGCAAGCCCGCTGTCACATCAACATAAAGCGTTGCGCGAAGAGGCTTTGACTTCACCGTGCAGATGAAGGAAGAAAGAACAAGGTGAGAGTTTGCTCTTCTACAGCCATGTATAGAAGACCAGACGACCCCAGAGACCTGCGTCAGACAGTCTCAGACAACAAGCCTGCAAGCAAGCTTGCCATCCATGAACCATCTCCCAGCCCAACAACCATCGCAGCGGTCCGGACGACACGCAAGGCAGAACCACATCCTCGTTGGCGGCATCCTCCAGCTTCTGCTTCGCAACAGCATAGCAGCCGCCCTAAACCAACGTCGGCCATGCACCCTCCAGACATGCATCAACCTTCGCCATGCATTGCTTCAAGACCCTTTCTTCGATCGCAACCATCGTCCCGAGGAGCTAGAAACACGCCTTCGCCCCCCGAACATACAGTTGATGGACTGTGTTCTACTGATGGCCAGGCTAATGCGAGTCTTCATGTGGGAAGGCTTCGGAGCACTAACGGCGGAGCAGCAGTGTGAGAGATTGGCTGTGAGAAATGAAGCGCTCAATCAGCCATTCTTCGACAAGGAGAGGGTGGTCAGCGTTCGTGGCAACCCGTTCGTTGACGATCCTGCTGCTGAAGATGAGGGATGCTTTACTTGAGCCAGTGATGTTTACCCGGGGATTGCTACGCAGGCAGTAGGAGATGGTAGTCCAAGCTTAAAACGGAGCGATTCTGCTGTACTCGATATGTTCTGACTCCGGCAAATTGTACCTTTGCCGGCAAGTGCTGTATCCTTGCAGGATGCGCTAGCGGTCCACAATTCCACGTTGGTGAAAACTTATGGTGCTGCAGGGTTTACGCTTCCATAGAAAGTGTGACTGCTGCAATTTTGGTTCATCTTGTTCTTGAGGGAATACACGATGGGGAAGTCATTAGTCTAAATTGACATTTGTCATTTTGTGGCGAAGGATGGCTCAACATGACGGACGATAACCGCGCGAGCCTGCTAGGCCTGCCAAAGGAACTGAGGCTGCTAATTTATCATCATGTCATGCATCTCCCGCTCAGCTGGTCGACCAAGGCAACCTTTCCACAACCTTCACGGAGACGAATGCCGGGCGGAACAGCACAAGTGCAGCCTGCAGTACAGCAGCAACCTCCCAAGCCCCGCCATCTAGCCATATCATGGGTCAACCTCATGAAAACTTGCAGAACGGCTGCAGACGAGCTGCGCTCACTCCAAGTGACTCCTCCATCAGATGAGTCCGGTTTCCCAAGCAGCCACACCTACGTAATGGAGATGCAGCTTGGGGAGGGTAGGCTCACGACCGTCGACTGGCTCCACCTGCCCTGCTCGCCGTTCCAAGCTTACAGCTTAGTTGTGCGGTGCTTCACGGCGGGTGAGTCCGGTTGCTGGGGCGATGGAGGGTACGGTTCCTATTGATTGGGCGATGGCATCAGTCTTCGTACTGCTTACTCGTGATACAGACCTCGACCCGTCACTCAGCAGCTATACCAGGCTCTAAATTATCTCATCCATTGCGGTCCGACGTTCGATCGCGCCTGACCGCTTGCCCAACATATGCGCCTCCGTACGCTCGTCATCGAGTTGCGGAGAAGTGCTTGGCCATATTGTGACGACCTGGAAGAAGACGAAATGCAATTCTACCACGATCACGCGGTTCAATCACTCGGGATGGCCGTTCGCCACTTGCGAGGGGCGGCGTTCCTTCATAGCTTTGTCGACCATATCAGGGTCGTTGACTGCGCAGTAAAGGATGGCACTGTTATAGAAGTGCCGATATAGCTGGAAGACGCTGTCGTTACCCGCGTACCGAAACAATGGACGCGGTACGGCTTTGCTTGGGGTGCGCGAAGTGTAGCTTTGGACGACGTAGAGCTGCGTGACAGAAGCGACTGAATCGTCACCCTTTCCGCGTGAGGGCTGGTCAAGTACGGAGATTAGTCAGATTCCGCCACAACAGTGTTCGACTCTTGTCAGATTGTAATCGTGCTTGTAGCTAGCAGTCCGCAATCTTCGTCAAAGCCACTTCCCCTTCGCATCCGCCACCAAACCCCTCATAACTGCCACCGTCTTTACCTGAGCATCACGTCTAGCCTCCCTCACGTCCTCATGATTCCTTATCGTCTCATCCGTCCTTCTCCGTCCATCCCCGAACACCACGGTGAAGTCCTCCAGCTTCTCCCCAGCCTTAACGCGCTCAAGCGCAGCGACCCTGCACCACTTACCCACCACTGCGCCCCTCTCGACGACCGCATTGACATCCACAATCGTGCCGTCACCGATGGCGGCACCTTCAATAATTGCACCAGTCTCGATACTCACATCCATGCCAATTTCGACGCTGCAAGCATATGAACCCTCAGCGCAGCCTACGACAGCCCGTTCCCAAATCATGCTGCCTTTGCCGATGCTGACACTGCCGTTTTCAGCACGTATCTTAGCGTACGGATGGACCACAACGTCTTCAGCGATTTCTACGGGATGAGTGCCTGTGATCTGCGCTTTCTCTGCGATGATTGCTGAAGCATGGATGTCACACGGCGGTTTCGCCACAGGAGGCTGCTCCGCGGGCGTGCGCTTTTCACGTGTTGTAGGTGCCGGTGATGGCTTTGAAGTCATACTGTTTGACCAGGAAGTTCATACACGCGTGACATGTAAGTTGAAAGTTCAGACCACGAGAGCGAAGCAAGAAAGCGCGCTAGCAAGCGCAAGCACGTGAATGCTGCATTGATAAAACGTGCTGTCCTTAGGGTGGCGGAAGCCATCACCATCATGACATGGTATGCCGTGCTAAGTGATGCAGTACTTCATGCTAGATTGAGAGAGAACCCCATCGGAGCAAACCCACAACGCCCCAAATGCGCAGCCCGCCTCCAGCGCCTTGCTCGAAACATAATCAGCGGCAATGAATATCTGTGCACACCGACCACTTCTCTGAAAGGGGACAGTATCCGCCTTCGTCGCGCTAGACATCAGGCGGGCCATCATCCCTTACCGCATCATTCACCAGATCTGGGAAAGCTTGCTGAAAGTCAGATCCCAGGCTCCAATGCCTCAGATCCCGCAGATGAGCTTCAAAGACAGGATTTATCACCAGACTTCCCTCTCCCAGCGCAGCGGCCGTATCCGGAATCAGCACTTGATCAGTCGGATACGGCCAGTTCAAGCTCAGCGAAGCCGTGTACGGCACGAAGAACTCGTCGAACTTGACCGGCGAAGCTGCCGTGACAAGGCGCTTGCGCATAAAAGGCCTGATGAATGTGTTAGCAAACTCGTGTGCTAGCTTATTCTCAGTGCCATCCTGCGCGCTCTCTTGCGGGAGGTCGCAGAAGAGGTCGTAGTCGGCATTTCCTGCCTTCGCCCACTGACTAAATTGGGACAATGGTTCGTCAACGTACCATGGCAGTAGGTCATTCCACAGAGCATGTGGTCTTTCCAGCTGCTCCGTCACGGGCTTGGCCCATTCCGGTAGTCTTTCATAGCAAGCTTCGTCCAGGGAGATGAACCAGCGTACCAGTAAGAACATGACGTAGAGCACGGCCACCCGTTCCGACAGTTGTGAAATGTCCGGGAACTTGGACAGGACGTCAATAAGCAGCGTGCTTACCGGGTGACACGGTTGTGTGGAGCTGACGCCCTGGTCTCTCAATGCGGTGAAGTCGGGGTACTCGGGACCAAGCACTTCGTGAACCGGCACGCCGGCCTTGACTTGAGCACGACGGTTAGCGATGAAGTCACTCAGCAGAGAGTCCAGGGGGCTACTTGGTGGCGTATTGTACGGTTGCCTTGCATGGACAGGCAGTAACTCTGGCTGAGCCGACGTCTGAGGGTAGGCCATTGCTGGCGCTTGGGCGTTTGGGGAGCCGTTCGAGTCCAGCAGAAACCTGAGATCGCATCTATCAGAGTTGCTTACGGGCTGTTGGAGTTGTGCTGGAGGCTGTAATTGTTGTGACGCCTGCTCGTGCTCATAGTGCCCGCCGTTCGTTTGGCCATGTTGCTGCATCTGCGCAGGCGGTACTTGCTGGGCATGGTTGAGAGGCTCCAGACTCGGACTCCACTTCATCAACGTACTACCTTGAGGCTGACCCGTCCCCGGACTCCCATGAGTAAGCGGCGTGCCGCTCGAATAGCTCGCCGGGCTCCTGAGATCCGGATGTACCAGCGTGTCGTTGAACCCACCTGACCCTGCATGTGAAGGATACGGCGCTGTCTGGTAAGGTCCAAGGGAAGTAGAAGGCACAGAAGTAGGCAAGGGAGTCTGCTGCGCTCCCAATGCCGCCAACTCTGCACCGTCTTCGTTCAGCCAACTGGGGTCGATTAGGTCATCAAACGACAACGTACCATTTAAACTTGCTTGCACGCCTTGCGCAGCCGCTCCATTTGTAACGGATAGTCCACCCTCTGCAATGTTACTGCCCACCACCTGCGCGACTGTAGCGAGTCGCCGTCTCAATTCCTCGCAATCACGCAAAGCGGCATCTCGTTCGGCAATGGCCCGTTGTAGTTCTTGAAATGGCTGTTGGCTCTCGAGCTCCCGGATCCTACGCTCGAGCGTCTCGATTGTGTTTCGTGTACGCTCGCGTATGGCTCGCTGTGCTTCACGGTCGTTGGCGCGCTTCTTCGCTAGCTGTTCTGGTGTAAGGTTGGCAACTCCTCTGCTGCCGGGTGCACCGGGTGCTTTGCGCTTGCGCCCGTTGGTCTGCACCTCGTCGCCATTGTGCTGCGAAAGCGCGGCGGCGGCGGTCGCCTGGCTGTCAGTGTAGCCGTTCGTCACCGCGGACCCGTGCGATGGATAGGTGCTGGGCGTTGCCATCGCACAAGGCGGCGCGAACAATGAGCGATCGTCCTGCAGCGGGTTTGACAGTGTGTGAGTGTATGACTAGGAGAAGCATGACTCTTGGAGGAAATTGAGTCGCTTTTGCCGCAGGAGCGGCAGGGAACAGTGCGGGGAACTAACGACGAATGACAAGCGCGCAGTTTGTGGTTAATAATTCATTAAGCGATTTTTCACTGCATCTCCCCCCCCATTTCCATCGTTGCATTCACTGCTCGTACTCAAGGCATGTGATACTATCCAGGAGCATCCACACTTGCGAACTCTCATCCTTCCCTGTCCATCCACGCTCAGTCGCTAATGTGTCTCTGTTCAATCCCCATGCGATAACCGCGTGCCTTTGCTTCTCTGTCATCATCTCCATCTCCCTCTTGCCTAGTACTAGTACGGCGATAGGATCAGTCAGCTGTACTGAAAGATGAAAGGCACTTTGGTTATTCCAGAAAGTCGAGGCTCCTTGAGCCGCGATACGTTTGTTCTGCCACCTCAGAAACCGCTCAGGATTGTCGTCACGCATAATGAGCCCCTGAAGCCTCTCTCTCACCGGCTCTGGGTCAGCGCAGTGGCTGAAAGCACCTTTTCTGTGCGGCTTGGAGACCATATTCGGTGGGATGGGCATGTTGGTAACCTCGAGAGCGACCTGTGGTTTACCTGTCATTGCATGCGAGCCCCTTGAATCTTTGCGGCCCACGTTCTCCTTGTCGGCGCTGACCGAGAGCTTCCTTGTATCTTTCTTGCTCTTCGGTGTAGGCGAAGACGGCGGCAGGCGTATGACTGGATTCCGTACCGGTGAGGGAGCGATGGGACTGGGACGCTTACAAACGAGGCTGAACATCCGGGCGAAATGTAGCAGCTTGAGAGCTGCCCGCCAAAGATCGACACTCGCTGGCTTGTCATGCATGATGATGTGACGCTGAATCTTCTTCCGTAGGCTGTCCAGCTCTGACGAACCACCGGCGTCGATCTCTGAGCTGCTGCCGAACTTCCCACTCGCCCTCCTTGCGCCTCTTGGTACTTCCATCGGCGACACGCCCTCCGCTTCCTCTTCGTCACATCCAGAATTCTGGCTGGCGGTTACCATCTGCTTCCGGACAGCCTCCGCTTTGCGAAGCAGAGCTTGGCTGTCCCTACTCAGAGATGTCTCGTTGCCAGCCCAGTCAATCTCCGAAGCATGATTCTCAAGCACATACGACAGCCATAGCGCTCCACTCTCGTTGAGAGCGATGTTGTTCAGTATGAGTGGATCTATGTTCCGGATGCCGGAAACTGGCGCCTTGAATGATTGCCGGATGTGCCACTTAGCTAGGCTTTCGATTGCGCGGCCTCCGAGACCGTTACCGGCGAGGTCGAGCTTGCTGACGTGCTCACAGTCTCCGAAAGCGCAGAGAAAGGTGTCCCATCGCTCAATATCCTGGTCTGTTTCGATTCTGAGCTCGTTGTTTGCAACGCTGATTAGCTGGAGGTCATGTTTGGCTTGCTCGATCACCGTCGCAAGCCGAGGTAGAGAAGCGGCGGTTAGCTGGTTGTTCGATAGGTCAATTTGCTCCAGAATCAGTGGCACATCGCTTGCTTCCTCGGACACCGAGAGTACCGCCTCCAAACACTCAGCGAGGACGTTGAACCCCGCGTCGCCCAGCTCCTTCCCAGGCAGTTTTATATCGAGTCCATGGCTTGAGCTTCCCTCGTGACCGTCCACACTTCCCATGGCGCTGCTGAGACTCTGCTTGCGTGCTCTCGTAGCTTGCTTCTTCGCCTCCTTCTCCAGCTGCTTCGCAATGAACTGGCCTAGGCCGATGCCAGTGTTCTTCTTGTTGGTGTAATCGAAAGGATTAGACTTGACCATGGTGGTGATGGTTGCGGTACGTGTGTGTAAGCGCTGACAGTATGACACCGGGAGCGTAGCACATTTAGGCAATCGTAAGCTAGGGAGATGGTGCAATGGCGCATCGTGTTTGCCTGTGATCTTGAAATCAGTGGGGCCAGCGGGCGCTAGTGAGTAGCGTTCAAACGAAAACGGCAGGAACGCAGGCTTGGGAGGTGCGTGTCTGGAACTTTCTAAAGTATTGCAGAAACACATTTTGCGGTTGGTCCATGTACGTGCAAACAACATATTGACAGGATCTATATATTGAAGAGGCATGCAATCGGGTCAGAAGAGCGAAGCTATGCTTCGGATCTGCAATGCGCAGCAACCTGACAATGAGATGGAGAGAGTGTCATTAGCCCGTGATGGCATTGTTGGGAGGAATATTCTCGAATGTAGTACGTGCCATGAATTGAGCCAGACACGTCGCATGCGTGATTCCGCACGCCTCCCAATTGCGTACCGGGACGGCATCCCCGTGGTTATCCTTCAGCGACCAGTCCTTGGCATTGCTTCTCCAAGCCCCTACCAAGCTTGTTGTCGACGCAGTCGGGAGAGGCCAGATCGTCACACTAGAGCACATTGTGCTGGTCTGTCCAACTAGCGCCGCAACGAAGATACCTGCCCGGCTTTTTTGCGGCTAGGTCGCAATAGGAGTGGGTTCCATCTCGTGTCGCGGATCATAGAATTTTTGACTATCTCGCTTGCTATAGGTATATCGCAGGCGACACCGAATGCCGTGATAGCCAACTCCACCATCAGTGGACCGGAACGCCATCAAACTCATGGCTCGCAGGCTGATGAGAGGCTTAGTCTGCCTCTTCGAAGCATCCAGGTGAATCCACGGTCGTACCGCTGAGCATCTGTACACCAAGCAAGATAGAGGGTCTACGTCCAAACCGCCTTGTCATGTCAGCGTATCGGCTATCTTCAGGAACTCTTCGGACTTGATCGTCACCCGGCGTCCAACACCCACCCGTTCGTGGGCCAAGCCGGAGAAAGATTACGTGGCAACGGTAGATATGAGGCAACCTCAAGAGCCATATCGACGGATAGGCATTTCCATAACGCCGGACGGCCATCCCTGCAAAGCTCCCAGCAGCGGAGGGGGAGGATGAAGCATTGCGTGATGTCTGCTCGCTGCTGGCACTCGTTGCTGAATTGTTCCAGGTATGAAGTCGGCCTGGACCGACACTAAGGGTGCAGGCGAATGCGAGAGCATAACGGTAAACGGCGTTGCGCAGTTCCTGTGGCAACTCAAGAAAGGTCCGCTTGTCGAAAGGCGGACACTGGATAGCTAGCGGAGTTTCCAACAGAATAGTGTATTCGCGGTTGAGGCAACCTCTGGTAGTGCTTTGAGGCACTGGTGACAGTCATATTGTGCTGCGAAGTGTGGACGTGGATACATGGTAGGTTGTCTCAAAGGGGACCGTCCTCCCGATGTGCAAACCTCCGGCCTGAGACATATTCGAGGCGGCCGTTAGAAATGAACGTGTACACATGACAGCCTCTCTTTCAACATCACAACACCTTCCACACCACACATTCATCGCATACGTCTAACAGTGGCTTCCAGGTGTTCGCCTTGTCATTGTAACTGAAGTGGCGCTTGCCGCGACGGCACGTCGGCCTCTCTTGACTCCACTGCCTTGCCGTGGCTGCTTCAAGCACACAAGCACGCACTTCTCAGCGCCCCTCCTTCTCCACCCACTCCAGACACTCCCACAACACTCGTTCCACCAGACAGACTTCATACTGCTGTATAGACGATATTCTCCGAGGCCGCCGACAACGACATAGCTGCTTTTCTGCGGAGGCCGGGACACGCCTCATGACCAGCCGCTGACGCTTGGGTGCAGATCCGAGCCCACCACGACCGGATAGAACGCGGTTACAGGAAAGGTAGCAGACATTGTTGTGCGTGACGAGCAGATATCAGACAGACCAGCACGCTTGGAGAACTGGTGACATCCGTATTCTGGCCCATGTCACCAGCATAACGAACCTTTCCCGCTGCACCCGGAACATGGACGCACCGCCGAGGGCAGGCTTGAGTGTTCACACGCAAACATATATCCCCGAGCACGCTCTCTCTACCGCTCCTGCCTCGCCGACCGAGCCCATGGCGGACGAGAGCTCGGCTCTGCCGCCTCGAAAGGACGCGACCCACACCACGACCTCAGCCTTTCAGTATCCACCAGCAGATGCCACTGTCGGCTCGTTCGAGCTTAGAGACGCCATACAGGAGACTGTAGTCACCACCACGACCACCACTAGAATTACACTGCCTCCGATTATCACACATCCGCCGCAGGATTTAGCCGAGCGTGACCCGAGGCAGTATGTGCTTGCCAACTCACTTACACCGGACTGGCTTAGACGGGTTCAGTTCGAGCATCATGGCAAAACCGTAACCTTCCAGGAGTCAGACGATCCACTGTCTACTATGCGAAGGTATCAGGATAAGGCTCGAAAGATAAGGCAGCGTGATGGCACGATTAGGAAGGAGGTTCGGCACGAGAACCTTGAGACTCCCGTCCGTGGTTATGGGCATGCAGCTGTGGACAAGGCAGTGCAGAACGTCAGGGAAGGTGCTGGGCAGAAGCGAACCGCCGCTCCGCCATCTATAGCAGAGGCGGCAGAGCTGGCAAGTCTGGGAAGACGGACCAAGAAGCCGCGCTCACAGCTGCATCGGATGCAACCAGACATCGTGGCGCATCCGTCTTTGAACTCTGGCGCCTTTATACTGCCGAGTAATCATTCGCCGGTTACACCAGACGCAGAAGCCGGAGCTGAGGGCGGACTCCAGCCTACCGCAGCGCTTGTCAATCAGCACGCTAGGAGGGATGCCTCCAGTAAAGTGTCATCTCACCGCATGCGCGCTGCTCCAGTCACGCAGCAGCCGACGAACCGGAATGATGACATACAAATGGCGGATAACGACTCATTAGAAGATGACTCTCAGCTTGGTCCTCCGTTTTACGGCATACATAAGAAGCAGCGCCTCCAGCCAGAACCGAGTACTGTGTTAGGTGCAAGTCGACCTGGCAGAGCAAACAGCCAAGCTCCAGTAGTGGATTCAAACGACGAGCCTGCTGAAGGTTCTCAGCCTCGGCGGCGTCCGCAATTACGGCCACAACCGCTCGACACCCTTACCAGCTCGCAGCTTGACGCCAGCCTCCCCAGTCCAAGCCTGTCGCCCATTACTGCAGCTGCCAATGCTGCATGGCGTCAGCGCAACCACTTCGATGACTCTTTTGCGGAGACAATCGACGAGGATGCAGGCGTCGTTTCCGGCTTTGAGCTCGAAGATGACAGCAATACCCATACGGCTACATCTCAGTCTCAGGGCAGTATGAGGGCGCCAAGCCTGCCGCAGTTCAAGTTCACGGCCGGACAGCAACAAGGTCCTAACCTTCTATCCACAGCAGGACTGACCATCAAGGACATACCCACCATAGTCGACACATTTGACAGCATGCCGGAAGCTTTGCAAACGTACGTAATGTATCAGCTCCTGCGACGCTGCGCCAAGCCTACTCTTCAAATGGTGGCGGGTGTGGTCAACCCAGCTTTGAAGTGCGATCCATTCAACGTGCTGCCACCGGAAATCGGTCTGAACATCACGCGATTTTTGGACGCGCAGAGCATGTGTCGCGCTGCGCAAGTGTCGAAGAGGTGGCGTAGGTTGATCAATTCTGACGAGACGGCGTGGAAGGATCTGCTTGACCGTGACGAATATGAGCTGCCGAGAGATGAGATTGCCCGAGCCGTTAAGGAGGGTTGGGGCTGGCAGCATCCGGGTGCAGATGGCCATGAAGAGGACCTCTCTAAATACGTGCAAAGAAACACGCCGGAGCTGGCATCGGGAGACGGGATGCAAGGCGTCGTCACGGTGAGCGACGATGATGACACAGCATCGACAACAACAACCAGATCGAAAAGACGGTCACTCACCACTCACGCTCGAGGCAAGAAGAATCACAAGCGCCGCCCCGCCCAGCCTGCGTCGGCGTCTAAGAACCTTGCCGTCGCTTCATGGCGCCGAACGTTCAGAAGCGCTCAAGGCCCGCTCGGGTATGCCACTGCAGCCGCTCAAGCGATTCCGCATCCTGCCGTTGGCCTGCCAAGCTTGAAGAACATGCACCTCTTCAAGTCGCTGTATCAGCGCCATTATCTCATCCGCAAAGCCTGGATGGATGAAACTTCGCAGCCGCAGCACCTCGCCTTCCGTGCACATCACAGACATGTGGTCACATGTCTGCTTTTCGATAGCGACAAGATTTTGACCGGCAGCGACGATACGAAGATCTGCGTCTACGACACCAAGACTGGCGCCCTCCGGACCAGACTGGAGGGCCATGAAGGCGGTGTCTGGGCGCTGCAATACGACGGCGATACGTTGGTGTCAGGGTCTACCGATCGCAGCGTTAGAGTTTGGGACATCAAGTCCGGCCGGTGCATGCAAGTCTTCCAAGGTCACACGTCGACTGTACGTTGCTTGGTCATCCTTCAGCCTGTGCAGATTGGCACAGAGCCGGATGGCAGGCCGATCATGATGCCCGAAGTGCCACTCATCATTACCGGCTCTCGCGACTCCTCCTTGCGGGTGTGGAGGCTACCTCAGCCAGGCGACCCGAAGTTCTTTCAGGCCGGTCCGCCAGGCAATGATCGCGAAAACCCTTACTTCCTCCGCACCCTCTCCGGCCACCACAACTCTGTCCGCGCGATTGCCGCTCACGGCGACACGCTTATTTCTGGGTCCTACGACTGCACAGTACGCGTTTGGAAGATCTCCACTGGTGACCTCGTGCATAGGCTGCAGGGGCACACTCAGAAAGTCTACTCCGTCGTACTCGACCATGTCCGCAACCGCTGCATCTCCGGCAGCATGGATAACCTCGTCAAAGTGTGGGACCTGCAGACTGGCGCCGCGCTCTTCAACCTGGAGGGTCACACTTCGCTCGTTGGTTTGCTGGATTTGAGCAATGATCGTCTTGTTAGCGCGGCTGCTGATAGCACGCTTCGTATCTGGGATCCGGAGAGTGGGGCTTGCAAGGCTACACTTTCTGCGCATACTGGCGCTATTACGTGCTTTCAGCATGATGGGCAGAAGGTCATTTCGGGCTCGGACAGAACGCTGAAGATGTGGAATGTTAAGAATGGGGATTGCGTGCGGGATTTGCTCACGGATCTCAGCGGCGTCTGGCAGGTTCGCTTCGATGAGCGCAGATGTGTTGCTGCGGTGCAGAGGAACAACTTTACTTATATTGAGGTAAGCCTTCCTCGCACATTCGCGAATGCGGACGGGAAGCTGACTGTTGATTATAGGTTCTCGACTTTGGCGCCTTCAGAGACGGCGTCCCAGCAAATCAGCGTGGCCGCCGTATCTTCGTCGACTGCCGTGGACGTGAGACCGTCGAGGTCGAGGCTGCGCAGCCAGATGCTGCTGACGGTACGGCATAGCTTGATGTGCTGTAATACGACACCTACATCGCGAATGTTTATTGGATGACATGATTATGCTTGCAGCGTGCAGTTTGTGAAAGAGCAAGGCGTGACCCGTTGCAGCGTGAGCGTTTTCGGCGCAATTAGAGAAGTTTTTATGGTATATGAGCAATCGCTGGCGCAGCGAGGATGTGTTTCGGACGGGAACATGCATTGTCAAGGCATATCTATGGCAGTGTTCTTATCGATGATTGCTGGAGCACAGCTAGCTGAGTACCAGTTGGGCTCTGTAAACGTTCATCCATCTCCGTCACTGCTCAAACAACCGCACTCACTGCTTGAACAACCGCACTTCTCGTGCCTCTCTCTATTCACAGCGTGTCGACCAAGGCCTTCCAGTTAGTTGTAAGCGCTCGCTCAACTTAGTGATTGCTATTATTCCTGCTACCCTTCCGTTGCAGCCTACTGAAACGCTTTCAGAGGGAGCTTGCAAAGGTTGACAGCGGATTGGGCGTCTGGTGAAAGGCCACTCGTTATGCTCGATTATACGTGTGGTTTCTCTGTTGTCAAGTAGCAATTGATATGGTACACGTCATGAACCTCGCTGCGGAACAGAAGGCGAAAAAGAGGGTCATCAACGCAAAACCATGACGATGAGAGCCAAAAGAAATCTTGTCAGTCACGACAATGGCAGGATTCGAACCTACGCCCCCGAAGGGAATTGATATCGGATCTTGGTCGACGGGAGAGTCAACACATTCGAGTCAATCGCAGTAACCACTTTGCTACATTGCCTTTTATGAAAATCTCGACCTCGACAAAGACACAGAATGTTCAAAACGACAGCTAAGACAAATATTTCAGTCCATCATTATTTCCGAGGATTAACCGCTCTATCCCGATTCCTCACTTCAACGGCCATCGTGAGCATCGTGGCAAGCGTCGGCAAGCAATGTCGCACCCGCAACCACCTCAAAGACAGCCCACGCCCTCTGAAACGGAGAGCTACCTCCGCGCAGTCCACTATGTCGCGCTTACTGCGCTCGTTGCATGCCCTGCGCTCGCTCTCATCCCACCACGCAAGTTCGATCTCTATACGTTAGGCCTAGTCGGTACGACCGCCATCTCTGCCAACTACCTTACTCGCGAACAGACGGGGCGGTCGATATGGCAGCATGTCTCTGGCCAACGGAAGCCGGTCCTTGGATCGTTGCCACCCACCGAGCAAGCGAACCTCAACCGGGAGCTACACCATGCGCGTGATGAGCTGCGAAGGTTCGCTCCGCTTGATCAGCATGCGAACGAGCCGTTGCACGTTCAGCAGAGTGCGAGAGAGGCCTGGAAAGCACAGCGGGAGAAGGAAATACAAGATGATCTAGATGTAGGCAAGGGCTTCGGCGAGATGATCACAGATCAGATATGGGAGGTTTGGAATGGTGGCAAGAAGACGAGCGAAGACGGCACGGATGATGAGCGTTGAACGTTCTGGTCCGGGGTTGTTCTTGGTATGATGCCTTCCATCAAAGCCTACGTGGTACACCTAATGGCTTCTCGGACGCTCTGGTGAGCCCCGGAAAGCGTCCCGTAGCTCTACACACCTTGTCAAATCCGTCCGCTGTGGATGTCAGCAGCGCCACGACGGACATAAGCAGAGTCCTACTGCCTAGCAGCCCTGACTCGCTGCCTCACAATTGCCAGCAACGTCCTCTCCCGGACTCTGCGCCCTGTCTGCTTGGACCGTTGCGTCGCAGGTAGCCATACTTATCGCGAGCTCCGGAGCCTTCGCGCTGTCCACTCTAGTGACAGCCTTTTGCACTGCTTCGAAGATCATGGCCCTCAACTCTTCAACACTGAGCGGTAGCGTCACCGCTTGAGACTGTGACTGCTGAACCCACCCCGCCATAGTCGGCGTTGTCGGCGCGGTGAGCAGTGGGTCGACATACTGGAGTCCAGCAGAGATAATTGGTCCACCAGTCTCTTCCGGTGTTGGTGTGCACACTCTCGAGTTCCAGAAGCAATGCTGCTCGGGCAGTGGTGCCAACGGCTCGAACATCATTTGCGATGGAACTATTGCCGACTGATGCATGACGTGCGACAAGTCCAACGAATAGTTTTGGACCGCCGGGCTCATCACTGGCGCGCTTGTCGGTCCCTGTGGCGGCATCGAATGAGTGTAAGCACGCCTGAGCGGGTACCTCTGCTGCTGTTGGCTTCGAGAAGCGTTCGTCTTGATGGGATATGGGTACACGCGTGCGCCCTTCGTTTTGATTGACTTCCTTGCTCGTTGGACATCGTCCGTGCCGATGAGTGTCTTACCCCGGGTAAACACGGGCTGGCACTGAGCCTGCTGGTTGCGCATTAGCCGGCCGTCAGGCGGCTCGGAGACGGAGCGGCGGAAACTATGACGGGCAGTAGACGCTTGGAGTGGGTGTGCGTTCCGCTGCTCCGCGACTTGGAGGTATGGCGCTTCAGGCCTGTCTTGCAGTGGTGAATACGTGCTCATCAATTCGTCTGGTTGATCTTGTGGTACGGAGTGATCCTTGCCCGCTGGATACTCGAAAGGATCGAATGAGAGTGAGCTTGATGGAGAGGCGCCGAGGAAGCTGGGGTCGATAGTGGCATTGCCGCAGCCGGCATTGAACGCAGCAACTGCAGCCAAGCCATGATTATCTTCAATAGATGTACAGGCAAAGGCCAAGTCGGTGGTTGGCGACGGCGCAACCTCGCATGCCATATCGCTTTCTTACTTTGATCAATGAAAACTCCTCAGTGCGTAGCTGCCTGCTGTGCCAATAAGGAAGGGTGCAAAGTCAAGTAAGTGGTAGGACAAGCCTGCATCTACGGCAGAGTGCTCTACATGAACAGGAGTTCGCAGCATGGTTCGCTTCCTGCAAACAGGCGTTCGCGTCTTACCCCTGATCGTCAGTCTCTTTGTTGTGCATAGGATAGCTGCTGAAGTGGTTGAGACATACCGCCCGTCTTGCCCAGCTGGTCTGATGATGTGAGACTCCGTGGGTCTGGCGTCGGACGCTGTACCGCGCATACAGGTAGTTTCGACAGCTGTGGACCGGTGTCATGCAACGTACCGGCGCTTGACAACGGATCAAACTCTCTGGTCTTGTATACACAGCCGACGTATGTCTGGACCAGCAGAAACCAATTGGGCGCCTGCATGAGAGACCTGCACAACGCCACGCATCATGCGTGCAAATGGCATGGCGTGAACTGGCGTTTGCAGCCGTTCGCAGTTTGACACCTACATCGCGTCGGATGGTCCAAACCAGACACTTGCGGGCTGAGACTGCGCGAGCCGGACGTCACTGGCTCTGCTGACGACCTGGCTTGTCATCCCAACAGCAGATACTCTCCTGATGCCACTTCCAAGTTAAAACCGTGGACGATAGTCAGTACCCAGGCTCCCACTTAGACGTTCCCGGAAGTAGTTCGGTGCTGTCGCGAGTACTCGTACAGCACTATGCTAGCGGCAGTCTGCACGTTCAAGCTTCGCGTGATCCCTTGCTGCGGTATCTCCACAAGCATGTCGCACTCTGCAAGCACAAGTGCTGGTATGCCTTCCTTCTCACCGCCCAGTACCAGTACGATTCTCTCCGGGAGCTTACAGGCATCAGAGCCTAACAGCAGACTGCGGTCCGTCTGCTCTATGCCAACAACAACCCAACCTTCAGCTCTCCGCTCGTGCAGGTATGTTGGAACCGCTGAAGCCGAAAGCTGCAAGATTGGGAAGTGAAGGTGTGACGAAACGGACACGCTTGTGAAGTCTTTGTTTGATGTGACGTTCTGGTTCTGCAGATGCATTTCCGATGCTCCGAAAATCTCTGCGACACGTGCGATTCCGCCGAGGTTGTAGGGGTTGTCAACAAGCGAAGCGATGACGACGATGCTGTTGCGCCGTACCTGCTGCTCAGCCTCCAGACCGCTCGCAAGATACGCTTTCCCTTTCGTCTGCAATGCTCGTGACTCGCCTGCTTTTGACGGGGCTGGAGTCCTGTCCGCCGTCAACCGAACATCATTGTCTGCTTGTGGCTCACCTTTTGTGGCAGGCGCAGTTGGCACAACGTTGCCGGCCGGGATGCACGAAGGCGGGAGTGCCAAGCATATTTCAGTATCTATCTCATACAGCCTGACGAAGTCCTCTTCGCGGCATGTAGGTGCTTCAATGCCGTCAAGCTCAAACCACGGACCCTCTACGAGATTGCTGCGGTTGTGATCTCTGTCAGGAATAAAAGGATCAAGCTGCCGCTCCCGAGGTGGCTGCTCGAACTTGTCCAGGCGCTTAACGAACAGATCCAGCTCCCTGAAAGCATCGCCACTATCGAGGCTGCGGCGACTGCACGAGGCTTGCAGAATTGGCACTTGCCATTGTGCTTCGTGGCGGATGATGATCTTCGAGGATGCTGCAAGCGGGACCAAGCTGGTTGCCATACGCACAGCGAACTCGGGCTGGCAATCTTCGCACGTTGCCAATATGACACCGATTTTCATGAGTGCGGCAAGATACTTTGGATTTGCATGGTGGTCGGTGGCGGAAAGGTTCGTCAAGATGTCCCACTGCAGCGAGGGCACTCTCTGATAGATGCGCACAATCATCCAGCTGAGCAAGTAGCGGTAGCTCGGTAGCGGTTCTATGGAAAGCAGGTAATGCAGGTCGTTCAGTAGCGCACGCGTCCTGGCAACGCCTTCCGAGGCTGGCTCATGGCGCTCCAGCCAATCTTGTGAGTGCTCACAGCAAAGCAGCATGATCTGTAGCTGCAGTGTTGACTTCCACGGAGAGACAGTCGGTGGCGGAGTCTTCTGCCGCTTCCAGCGTCCGAGCAAGTTCTCCAGAACCGACCTCCATACCGCGTCTTCACCCTCGTTGAGTCTGCTGACCAGGTCCAGCAGAGCAGCCACGCCTACTGACTGACGCAAACCAAAGTAGTAATCGTAGCCAAACTCACTCAAATCTGGCGAGACAGCCTGTAGAAGCGAGGATGTTGCATCTTCAAATTGAAGGTCCACCGTAGGTACAGGTAAGTGTTCCGCATAGTGCAGGATGAGATCGGCAAGTCCAGGGAAGCCTTTTCCCACAGGTGTAGCGCAGACCCATTGTCGTACCGCAAGCATCAGAGGCGCGAGGAGATACGCCCGGTGCTCAGACAGATCCTGCAGCTTGCGTAAGGACTTCGCAACCACATCCTGGACATTGATAGACTTCTCTGACATGATACGAAACTGGTCGCTCAATAGGATCTGTGGTAGGCTGATGAGTGGAGCCTTGGGATACTCCAGATACTCGATGTCAGACCAGATGTCGTCAACGGCCTCTACAATGCCGTCCTCGCTCGTAATTCGGAGCGACACCAAGGTCTCGCGCAGATCATGACATTTCTCAAGGAGGCGCTTCTCTAGTATGTCTCGGTTTGAGAGCTTTGTATCCCAGTTCGCAATAGGGTCCTTCAGACTTGTAACCCCAGCAAATTCGGATTTCTCCAGTCTGTGGCACACATTCCCCCACCGACGTACCGCCTCAGTCAGTGCGGAGCTCCTCCCGCCCTCCAAAGCTTCATGCGAGGAGTCTCTGCACAGCTTCAAGCAGCGGACATGAACATAGTCGCGCGCAACCTCAGGCAAAGCAGTCTGCGTGGCCAAGTTGGCAAGCTTCTCAAGATGTCCGAGTCCAGGTATTAGCTTCGGGTTATCCTCACATGCTCGACATAACCCTTCAAGCAGATAGACAATCGCGTACGGGAAGTTGCCGCTTCGTCTATCACTCGAGCGGGACAAGATTGCGTCGATAAGCTTCGCGTTGACACTCGGATCACAAACATGACGCTGCAGCGTATCCTGCACGTATGCAGCGACTCTGTCGCCATGACCACATCGTACAGGCCCACTTTTTGCTTTTAAAGTAGCGGTGTATAGCGAGCCTTGTGTCGCCCAGCCTAGGAACGCAGAGGCAAAGAAGTCCACGTATGCATCCGAAGCGTCAGGCTGGAACCGTGAGCGCATGATCCAGTTGCCGATGAACTTCCGGTTCGAGTCTTGAATCTTCGGGTTCAGTGATGCGGCCAATAGGGCGTAAAGCCATTCGGGCTTGACAAGCGACTCTGCGCTAGCCAGAAGATTGAGATCTTGCTCGCACTCCACCACTTGGTTGAGGTAGCGTCCTAGCAGTATAGTCTCGAAAACTGTGTAGTACCTCTCGTAGTGGTCTATCACTTGTCCTACAGACGTACTTGTCAGTAGCTCTCCAACAAGCAGGACTTACACTGAGATCGGCCAGGTTTGTGTGGCACTTTCTGCCTGCTGTACAGCGAGCTTCAGCCGAAGTTCTAACTTAGTGGTGAGCGGTACGAGATATCTCAGAACGTACCATCTTCGGCAAAGTCGGCAGAGCAGACCATACTGCTCAGGCTCGGATCATTAGCAGCCAGGCGTACAGACCGTCGTAGAATCTCAAGACACTGCTTTCGTCGCTCCCCGTCACCAAGCCGCAAACCGTCTTGCAATAACACCCAGTAAGCAGGCTCGAGCCATGTCTGCAACGCGTCAACGCTGGAGAAGGCTACGCGAAGCCAAATGGAGAAGCATATGTCGTGATAGAACCTATCTGTTGTCTCGGCAAGCAGTGCTTGTATTGACCCCCAAATGAGAGAGCTGTCTGACGTTGAGAGAATAACCTGCTGCGCAAAGAGAGATAAGAGAGTGTCGCGAGCGATCGCGCTGACTGCCCGATCCTTGGACCCAAGCAAGATCAAAATCGCTTCGAGCAGTCTACGAACGTCAAGCTGAGTAGTCATGATTGGGAGCGCCTCCATCACAAAGCTCAGATAATGCTGGAACCCTTCTGTCTTGCCGTAAGATACTTCAGCTCCGAGAGCGTTGACACCCCTGAAAGTGACATCGTCGCTTGGTATATGCGGCAGGGCAACGGAGATGGTTGCTGACTGTTCCGCCTGAAGGTGCTTGGATGCGAAGTACACTCGGTCAAGAGACGTAGACCATATCTCCTCCAGCATGTTAGCATCGTGCTGGCAAGCATTAAACACATCTTGCACGCCGCCTCTATCAAGCATGTTCAGAAGACGCGTTAGCATGTTCTGTTGCGCTACCTCGTCAGGCTGCTGTGCAAGCAGTGTCAGAAGCATTTGCGCTCCCTCTCTGCCGTCGCTGTCAGCATGCTGAACGGCTTCACGAACAGCTTGGACTCGCTGCTCTGGCGGTATATGCTGCAGCAACTTTCGGATCACTAAAGCAGATCCGTTGGCCATGTGTCGGTTACGATATCGTTGCCGTACGAAGGCTATGCGGTTACTGATCCATATGCGGGATGTGGGCTTCAGGAAGAACCTCATATGCGTGCTACGACCGGGGTCGCCGTATTTTGTACATTGACTGGGGTTAGATTGCCACGCGACGCGATCTGGCTTGGCGTGCCCCACATGACTTCTGGTTCCGGGATCCGAAAGCGATCCTCGATCTGCCTGTAGATGGAGATGGAGGCGTCATGGGGAGTACGAACCTTGCTGACCGTGCAAGACCAAGTGCATTCATTCCTCAGCAATAACATGGTAGGTCATATTCAGGCCCAGTGACCCTGCAGCTGTCCATTACATCCTTCTTGCAAACGCTCCCTTCTCTGAGTTTTACTTGATCGAACATCATGCATCAGCAAAGCATAGAACAGAGCATCGCCAAGATGGCACCCAACAATAATCAGCGGAACCAAAGCAACCACGATGACGAACGCCAGCCCCTCCTCAGTCACCAACCCACCGACGGCGGCGAAGGAGGCGACAGCCGCGACATCGTCTCCTTCTCCGACCACGATGGCGAGAACCCTCGACAGTGGTCGAAGTTCAAGAAGCTGACCAATGTCTTCATCATCGCGCTCATGTCCATCATCTCGCCGTTGGCTTCGAGCATGTTCACTCCCGGCATCGACCAGATCGCAGAAGGACTGAACACGACAAGCGAGACGGTCATCGGCTGCACCACGGGCTTCGTAGTCATGCTGGGTCTGGGTCCGCTAATCATTGCGCCCTTGAGCGAAACCCTGGGCAGGAGGATAGTATACCTGGTATGCTTTTCCGTCTTCGCGCTCCTACAGATTCCGAGTGCGCTGGCGCCGAACATCGAGACGTTGATTGCCATGCGCACTCTGTCTGGCTTCTTCGGTAGTGTCGGGATCGCCAACGGAGGCGGCACGATCTCGGATATGTTCCTGCCGGAGCAAAGAGCAGGTGTCTTTGGATGGTATCTGCTTGGACCTTTGCTCGGACCGACCTTAGGGCCTTTGTTCGGCGGCCTGATCGTACAGCGACTCGGATGGAGATGGATCTTTTGGGTCTTGACAATCGTTTGCGTGGTAAATACTTTAGCTGGCGTCTTCCTTCTCAGGGAGACGTATGCACCTGTGCTGCTGAGCTGGCGCAAGCAGAAGCTCGAGAAGGAAGAGGGTGCACAGGGCAAATACAGCTTTGAGGGCGAGGACACGAGGCCTCTGAAGTCGAAGATTGCGCAGGCTCTTATCAGGCCTTTCAAGATCCTACTGCAGCCTATCGTACTCACCATGAGCACATACCAAGCCCTGCTGTTTGGGACGACATACAGTATCTATACCAACATGCAGCCGATATATCAAGGCGAGTACGGCTTCAATACGGAGCAGGTTGGCCTTCTGTACCTCGGGCCTGGATTAGGCTTCTTGTTTGCGGTATGGTTCCTGGTACCGCGGATCGATACAGTATACAATTCTTTGGCGAGCAAGAACGGCGGCAAAGCGAAGCCTGAATATCGCCTCCCTCTGGCGAACATTGGTGCTGTATTCATCCCAATATCGCTCTTCTGGTTGTATGTGTCTCTTGCACGCCGTGAATGTGGAGCACCCGCTAACAGTGTCGCAGAGCTTGGACGGTTGAGCTTCACACCCATTGGGCTGCATCGATCGCCTCAACGTTCTTCTACGGCATCGGACAGGTCATGATACTCAACACAACCCAGAATTACTATATCGACAGCTTTGAGAAGTACGCTGCCTCCGCCATCGCAGCAGGTGCGGTCTTCCGCAGTGTATTCGGTGGCGTTGTGCCGCTCTTCGCCCCGGCTCTGTTCGACAAGCTAGGCTACGGTTGGGTAAGTGATTGGATGCTACCCCCCATACAAGCCACATGCTAAACGTTGAACAGGGCATCAGCGTTTTCGGCTTCCTCTCTGTCGCAATCGCGCCCGCTCCACTGGTATTTTACTACTACGGACAGCGCATTAGAGAGTGGGTCAGGATCGATTTGTAGTAATTATGAGCGAACAAGCATAGCGTAAAGGCGTAGTAGAAGAAGCATAGCGTACAATATTTGCTTCAGGCCTGGCAGAAACTCACTCGGCCGAGGCACGACCTCCGTTGCTCTGGAAACGTTATCGATATCCAACGACGCCACGCCAAACGGAAAGCGCGTCGGAAGCCCTTCCGTCACGGCGATCGCAAACGCACAGAGCAACAGACAGGCCCACCTGCAACGCTAAGGTGAACGATGCTACGCCGCAAGCGCGACAGATGTATGTCAGCCTTCGTTTACGTTCGCAAGCTGATCTCGAAGACTTGTGCGCCGCCTTTGAGAACATCACCGCTGGCCAATTCGCGACATTAACTAGCATGGCGCATCAGCGAGCACTAACCACACCGGATTTGCAATACTATCACACCACCGCCAGCACGCCGAGCCTGAGGAGTCGCGAACCTATGGAAGTACTAGAGCGGCCAGTCACACCCATTGACGGTGGCGGTGGGAATGTCAAAGTGGTCGTCAGAGTCCGGAAGTTCGTTAAGAGGGGTAAACATATCTACGCGACGCTGTGCCGCAGTACAACATACTGATGCGCAGCAGAGTTGGAGAAGCAGTCGCCATGCCTCGTTCAGATGAACCCGCATACCAATGAAACCATACTACATCCGCCGTCACTTACATCGGAGGAGGGCCACGACCGACGCCGACAATACGAGCAGAAGGACTTCACATTCGACAAGTCCTTCTGGTCACACAACGACAAAGACACTCATTATGCGGAACAGCGCGACATCTACGCCTCGTTCGGCGAGGAGTTCCTCGACCACAACTTTGACGGGTATCATACCTGCATATTCGCGTACGGACAGACAGGCTCCGGCAAATCATACACGATGATGGGCACCCTCGACCAACCCGGCCTCATCCCACGCACTTGCAGAGGCCTGTTCGAGCGCATCGAAGCGGAGCAGAACGGTAGTATAACGTACAACGTCCACGTCTCCTACTTCGAGATCTACAATGAGCACGTCAAGGACCTGCTCACTCCACGCACCACCGCACCGACGTACCTGAAGATCAGGGAGAGCAAGAGCGACGGCGTGTACGTACAGAACCTGACCGATGAGCCGGTCAAGAGCTACGAGGATATTGAGCGCTTGATGAAGATGGGCGACATGAATCGAACTACCGCCAGCACGAAGATGAACGACACGTCTTCGCGCTCACATGCCGTCTTCACGTTAACGCTCAAACAAATCCAGCACGACATTGCCACGGACAGTACCATCGAACGACTCGCCCGCATGCGTCTGGTCGATCTAGCTGGCTCCGAACGCGCGAACCGTACCGAAGCGACCGGCCAGCGACTTCGTGAAGGCGGCAACATCAATCAATCCCTCACCACCCTCGGCCGTGTCATTGCAGCTCTTGCCGACCCCAAACGCCAGCGCGCAAGTCGTCTCACCGGCCTGCAAAACCAAGCCAAGCGCCGCACAGAAGTCGTGCCCTATCGTGACTCTGTTCTCACCTGGTTACTCAAAGACTCTTTAGGCGGCAACTCGAAAACAGCCATGGTCGCCTGCATCTCACCCACCGACTACGAGGAGACTCTCAGCACGCTCCGCTACGCCGACCAAGCGAAACGCATCCGTACCAAAGCTCACGTCAACCAAGATGCCGTCTCCGCCGCCGAGCGCGACGCCAAGATCATCGAGATGCAGGAAACGATCAAGACGTTACAGCACTCGGTCAACAGCGCCGCGGCGCGGAAGCGAGACGAAGCTGACCGTGCGCGGGATGAGCTGGAGGACTACCAGCGGCAAGTCACGAAGATGCAGCGAGCGATGGAGGAGAGCCGTGCAGTCTCTGACGTCAAGATCCGCGCACTCACGCTAGAAGTCGAAGAGCTGCGACCGCAGAATGCGGCGTTGAGATTACAGATTGAGGCGTTGCAGCGCCATCTCACTCTCGCTGTTGGAGAGCTAAAGGATCCGATCGTGCTGCCGGAAGGGATGGCACGATCGCTGGATGCGGAGAGCGAAGTGGGTGAAGGGTCTGATAGCGGCATTGACGATGTGTTTCCTAGTGAAGACGGCGGCTTTGAGCACGAGGCTTGGCAGGCTGAGGTGGACGCGCTCTTGCAGGATATTGGTCTGTTCAAGCGCAAAGTTGCGGACGATAAGGAGAGGTTCCCGCATCAGCCGCAAGAGGGCACGGATGACGCTAGCACAACTTGGTGAGTATATCCAGAAGCGTGGCGTGTTGGTGTGTCGGGAACTTGGACAGATTCTCAGAAGCGGAGTGGTATCACGTTGATCAGCGTTCAAGCGAGGAAGTTGCGTACAGGGTGCTGGATCCGACGACGGCGTGCAGTATCCGCTGTAAGATCGGTAGCTGTGTCCATAATGACTATAATCTCGCTTTCAATCCCACCTCCCTCTTCGCCCGCTCTCTAAGCTCCCTCCGCAAGAACTTGCCAACAGCGTTCTTAGGTATCTCGTCAACAAAACACACACCGCCTCGCAGCTGTTTGTACGGCGCCAGTCGATCCGCCACCCAAGCTTTCGCCTCGTCTTCGGAGATGGCGCCTGGTCTCGTGGGAACAATGTATGCTCGAGGCCAGTCCGTACCCGGATCGTCTGGCGCTGGAATCCCGACGACGGCTGCTTCTTCGATCTGCGGGTGAGTGAAAAGGGCGTTCTCCAGCTCTGCGGGGGCAACTTGCAGGCCTTTGTACTTGAGCAACTCCTGGATCTTGATCAGTACCTCATCGAGTAGCTCAAAGGGACCATGGCTACGTACCTTCTTCCGGTCCACAATGAACAACTTTCCATCGCGCATCACGCCGATATCGCCACTGCAGAACCAGTCGTCGCGGAAAGCGTCCCTTGTTGCTTGTGGATTGTTGTAGTAGCCATTCGTGACGAGCGGGCTCCGAATTAACAGCTCGCCTTCTTGTCCGGGCTCGACGTCACGAAAGTCGTCATCTACAATGCGAAGCTCCACGGTGGGCAAGATGGGGGTAACGCTTCCTGAGACATCGCTCTGCCCTTTCGGCATCATCGTGACCGCTCCCGTTGTCTCTGACAGGCCCCACGTCTGCCCGATCATGGTCTCGACACCATTACCGAGCTTGCTGTTTGCGGCAGTCTGGAGTTTGCCATCCGTCGGTGCTGCACCGGTAGTTGCCACTCCGACATGCTGGAAGTGATCCGTTACCTCCGGCGCCTTGGATATTCGTAGGTATATTGATGGGACGGTGTAGAAGGATGTTATTGTGTACTGCTTAAGGTACTTGAGCATGTCGTTCCAGTTATACTTCCGCATCCAAACGACCGAACCGCCGGAGAAGAAGGGCGCAATGAGGTAGCCGAACAGACCTGCTATATGGCTGATGGGTAGGTGGGCAAGGGTGCGTAACTCGAATGGTGGAAGCTCGTTGCCCCTAGCCAGTTCTGCCTCCGCCCATTGGCGGCCTGACAATGCTGTCACATACGTCTCCGCTACAAGATTGTTGTGGCTAAGCATTACGCCTTTGGGAAGGCCCGTGGTTCCGCTTGACCACAGAATCGTGATCAGGCTGTCCTTGAGCAGTTTAGGATCAGTGATCCTGGGCCATCCGAGGCGTTCTGTAGTAATAGCGTTGATAGTGCCATCCACACTGTACAATCTCCATTGAGGCGACGACTCGAGGAATAGAACGCGGGACAGCGGTAGTCCACACTCCTTGGCCGCTTTACAGGCAACGTCATGATGCTCTGCGCCGCATACAAGGAGGTTGGAGTTGCCAACTCTCACCTGACGAGCAAGTTCCGCTGTTGTTGACGATGGGCTCGCCGCAGAGTAGACACCACCGACGCCTATTACACCGAAGAACATAGCAGGGACAAGAATCTGACCATGGCTAATCACTGTGACAACGTCTTTGTTCGGGCCGCTGGATCCAATGCCGTAGTACCGGCGAAGGCCATGAGAGATGCGTTGCGTGAGGTCGCGTAGCTGCCTCTTCGTTATGGTATTGGATGGGTTAGCAGCTTCCTGATGTAGGATCGTGTCGTCTTGTGCAAGGCCGTACTCGGAGTCTGATAACGCTCAGCTCCACGCTTTTGGCTTTCCCACGGTACAGTCTCACCAAACAGTAGGGTCAGGAGATCGATAGGCGGAAGGTCAACTGTAGGTTGTCTCGGGTTACGATAGATGCGGGACATCCTGTATGTGCACCTTCAAAGCAAACAGACGGGAGTGAACGTTGAGGAGCAAACAGTACTCCTACCAGCTAGCTACTGTTCAAGTATTGCGACGTTGACTTCAGGTACACCATTGCTTCCCAAACCCATCGCATCGTCTTGCCGAAGCAAGGTGAGGGGTTGGGAGTCGGAGGACCCGAGGGCCACTTCCATTGCAGCTCCGTCGTCGTGCAGTCGTGCTCTACATGGTACGAGTCGCTCACAGTACGAGTGTGAATTCCAATGGGACGATGACGGGGTGGATGTTGGACGTAGAGCAGGGCAGACTAAACTCACTGGTGATGGCTAACCGATGTCCGTCTCGTTGTGCTTCGGCCTTAGGCAGCATTTTCCTTCAACACCACCAAACAACAAGGGACAAATTGCATTACCGTCTATGCCGAAACATGCGATGAGTGTGAATAGCTACCTCACCTCATCGCCATCATGACCTACCAGCGACAATGCTCGACTTCATGGACTATGTCCAGGCGGTCTTCCACGCACGAACGCGCTGGGACCGCGACAACAGCTATGCCTCCCTGACCACGGCCGCCCACAATCTCCTCGACTTCGACATTCCCCATGGCATGCGTCTGCATGTTTCCTCACTGAGCTCGTCAAACTTCGCGACGAGCTACACCCTTGGCGCGAAAGGCGTGGTGGACGGTAGCTTGAGCTTCTTGTACACGAGCTTGGGCTTAAGCCTACCGCATCGGAGTAGCAGCATCCATTTGCAGAATCTTGTCCTCGGTTACAAACACCTTAGTGAGTTCGAACAAGTCAGCGAGCCACGTTGGCAGGACCTGTGGCGACATAGCAAGAAGGACGAGAGGAAAGATACGTTACTGTACGGGAGATTGTACCTGCCCACCAGCACGCTCGAAGCGTTGTATCTGCGTCGCATTTCGCCAAATCGGATATTCCGACTGAACTGTGTCTCGGACGGCAGCCTTCCAAACGGAGGCTCAGTCCTCGCCACTCTACAAAATGATTTTGGCAAGTACAGTACAGAGTTCTTATACTCCACCGATTCTTCCCTACTAGGTTTTCGTGGCCTGTACAACTTCGGTTACGACCCTCGCCGGACAGATGCAAAGCTCTCGCCACGACCTCCGGCGCACCCATGGGACCATCAAGGCGGCAGACTGAGTGCGGGCGCCGAAGCCTACTTTAGCCCCGTTAACAAGAGCGCCGGTATCAGCACGGGCCTGCGTTTTACCACATTACCGGTTCACAGTGGCTTTCCGTACACCATGACGTTGACTCTCAACCCGCTCATGGGTAATCTTAGCTCAACGTACGCGGTGAAAGCTGGTCCGGACGTGGCGTTTTGCTCTCGTTTCGATTTCAATGTATACAGCTATGAGAGCGGTGTTGTGGTTGGCGTGGAGTTGTGGCAGCGGAAGCAGTCATCTTTGGACACGATGTGGGCGCGCAGCCTGCTAAGACCGGAGTGGACTCGCGCCCCAGACGATGTTACTGGCGTACTCAAATTCCGCATCGATAACCAGGCCAGAGTCGGCTTGCTGTGGGAATCTAGGCTTAAGGAACTGCTAATCAGCGTCGGCGGCGGGTTTGATCTGAGAAACAGGGAGAGAATGCTTGGTACTGTGGGTCTGGAAGTCAGCTATTCGAACTGATAGCAGTTTGGCAGGTCTCGCTGTTGCGCGTACATTCTGCACGCTTATCATGACATAACCCACACTTTCCCAAAATATGGTACAGCAGTAGTTTCGTCGTTTGTTCGTCAATAATGTGCAATACATTAGGGTGATACTGTCAGAGCCGCCGGCGAAACACTAGCTTCCTGCCCGTGACCGCCACTCAAGCTCATGGCAGCACTCGCAGTAGGAGTCGCATTCCCACCTTTAGCCTTACGCTTGCTAAGCACACTCTTAAATGCTCCCAGCCACCGTGCCAGGCTCTCCTCGTCAAGCGCACAAAAGCGGTAATTGCGCTCCTCGTTTATGATCTGCATGCAAGAGGTCTTGCTCCGGCTGATAGGATCAATCTCCACCACGTCGATGATGGTGCTGAAGGGTAGGATGAGCATGGCCGTATACTCCGAGTCGTTTTTGTACAGGGCTATGGCTTTCGGCCGTAGCACCATCCAGACCTTCTTCCAAGATCGCACACCGGTTGCTGACTTGAGGAGGAAGATGTAGCCGTGGTAGACGACGCGTTCGGGATCGGAATTGGGGCTGTAGGGTGTGTTGCTGGGTTTGAAGCTGCCGTAGATGTCATGTGCGCTGCCGATGCCGGACACTTGGCTTGCGTTTCGCGCTCCCATTGATGGCCGGTTTTGGTACCCGTATACAGAGTGCTGCGGCTGGGTCGAACTTGTCGATGGTCGCGGATCGGTCGCTAACGACAAATTAGACAACCGCGCTGCAGGGGTAAAGTCTGAGAAGTCGGAGTAGGATCCATGCTCCGCTCCAGAGTAGTCCACTTGTGAAGGTCTTCTACCACTGACTGCGCTGGCGGAACTGACACCCGTGTTGCCACGATCTCTTTGCCGCGGTAACGAGTGTATCGTCCCCAACGACTCGAAGTCCGAAGAGCTGTATCCGCCTCTGTCGTCCGGTCCGGAAGCGATAGCATCTATGCTTCGCTCGAAGCCACGGTATACGGTCGTCGCACCACCCGGACTAGCAAGGTACATCTCCTCTTCCTCTTCGTCCATGTGGGCCTCGCGTCGTACCAATTCCACCCATTCTTGTGCCTCCTGCTCATTCTGCGCTTCCAAATGGAAGTTCCTGGCCGGTGTGAAGACGCCGAAGACGAACTTTCCCTGCCGCTTGGGGTCTTTCCGCCGCGCGACCGCGGTGACGTCTGACAGGTTGATTTGATGCCTCAACTTGGACTCGGAGCTATCTCGGTATATAGAGAGCAAGTTCGGTCGAAGCACAATGTAAATGGGTTTCCATGCCTGCGTACATGTCTCAGCCGTGCTTCGTTCTGGGTTGGGATTGTCGCGTACCCACCTTCGTCTTCCTTGTTCGTTTCAGAACTTGTCCTGATTTGATGATTCTGTCGAAGACAAAGCTGCCATTCTGCGTCACGGGTGACATTGTGTCCAGCTTGAGATTGGCATTGCGCAGACTCTCGGCTGGTGGAGGAAGTTGTATGCTTTGGAGCGGAGACAATGCGTTGTTGTGATGGACTGCCTGCGAGTGCGCCTGCGGTTGCGCTGCTATGTTGGCCATGGCAACTCAACGTATGGTAGCGCGCGCGCAACGGTTCTATACCATCGATGTACTTGTTGATGCGCCAACGGTTGATGAAGCTTCATATATTCCGCGACGATTTGGCCCAGTCGATCTCGAAGTGCAGCTGTGTTACTGCAGGAAAAGGGAAGCGCAATCCGGTACGGGAATGCCGGGGATCCAAAGATGTAGGTTGAGTCGCTGTCGCATGCCTCACCAAGACTTGAGTCGGGGACGAGTGGGGCGAGCCAAGCCATGCAAGTGAATGTGACTTGCATGACTGACTCGCCTCATGACAAGACTTCATGTTCTCCGTCTGTGCCAACTGATGCAACCCCGAAGTATTCGCTCGATATTGATAAGCATAACCTAAGATGCCAGTCGTGGTGGCAGAAAAGCTTGTGAAGCTGCAACAGAAGGGCGAAGGCATCAGAAACGTTAGTTGAATGTCATTGAAATTCGATCGCATACTGATGCATCGGCAGCTAATGTATGCTAGATCTGTATATTGGCTCACGTCGTAAGCACTACATCTCATGGAGCGAGAACGTCCATTGATCTATTGCCTTAGGACCATGGAAAGACCTCCTTGACGGACGCTCTGATTGCCACCAATGGAATCATCTCACCCAAGCTGGCGGGCAAGATCCGTTACCTGGACTCAAGACCAGATGAACAACTGCGAGGTATTACCATGGAATCGTCTGCCATCTCATTGTACTTCTCACTGTTACGACGGAGCGCACCAGAAGCCCAGCCGGAGCAGAAGGAATTCTTGATTAACCTGATTGACTCACCGGGCCACATTGACTTCAGCTCTGAGGTATCCACAGCGTCACGGTTGTGCGATGGTGCACTTGTTTTGGTGGATGCTGTCGAAGGTGTCTGCTCACAGACTGTGACAGTCTTGCGGCAGACGTGGACGGAGAAGCTGAAGCCTTTGCTCATCATCAACAAGATGGATCGCTTAATCACGGAACTAAAGCTGAGCCCTAGCGAAGCATACACGCATCTCAGCAAGTTGCTCGAGCAGGTCAACGCTGTCATGGGCAGCTTTGCGCTTGGCGAGCGTATGGAAGATGACCTTCGGTGGCGGGAGCGCATTGATGAAAAGGTCAGCGCTGCTGTTGCAGCCCGGGATCAATCAGACGCGGATGTCGCTAACGGCGGGCCCAGAGGTCGGGCCGCCAGCCTTGCTGAGGATGAGGAAGGCTTGGTCACCTCGAGCACTCCTGCAGAGTATGAGGAAAAAGAGGATGAAGACATCTACTTCGAACCGGAGCGTAACAACGTGATATTCAGCTCCGCAATCGATGGATGGGCGTTCACTCCTCGGCAGTTTGCAGGCTTGTACGAAAAGAAGCTTGGCATCAAGCGACACGTCCTAGAGAAGGTGCTCTGGGGTGACTTCTACCTCGACCCGAAGACGAAGCGTGTGCTAGGTCCTAAGCACCTGAAAGGAAGACATCTGAAGCCCATGTTCGTGCAGCTGGTCCTGGAACAGATCTGGGCTGCCTACGAAGCCACGATGGGCGGACCCAACAACAGGGGCGACCCAGCGCTGGTAGATAAGATTACAAAGAGCCTCAACATCAGCATACCAGCACACATCATGCGGTCGAAAGATCCGAAGGCTTTGTTAAGTGCTGTGTTCGCCGCGTGGCTACCACTCTCGACAGCGGTGCTTGTATCCGTGACGGAGCAGCTACCGAGTCCATCCGCTGCGCAAGCAACACGAATACCTGCCTTGTTGGCAGCGTCTCCAGGCAGCGACCATATCGAGGGCAAGGTCAGAGATGCCATGATTCATTCGAACGCTAAGCTTGGCGAGCCGGTTGTGGCATACGTGAGTAAGATGATCTCAATACCGGAAAGCGAACTACCAGCGAACAAGCGACGAGGCGGCATGCTCAGTGCGGAGGAAGCCAGAGAGTTAGGTCGCAAGAAGCGAGCTGAAATCGCAAGGGCGCAAGCGCAAGCTAACGGTGAGGCCGAATTAGCCTCTGTCACGGATGCATTGAGCACTGCCGCGATAGGAGATGAGAGTGAGGTCAATGGCGGCAATGACGAGTCGGAGCAGAAGGAGGATCCTGAGCACCTGATAGGCTTCGCTCGCCTACTCTCCGGTACGCTCACGGTAGGTGACGAGGTATATGTCCTGCCGCCAAAGTTCACCCCAGCGAGACCGCACGCGCACCCGTTACCGAGAAAGGTCACCATTACCGCGCTGTACCTGCTGATGGGCCGGAGTTTGGAGTCGCTCAACTCGGTTCCTGCAGGAAACGTCGTCGGTATCGCGGGCCTGGAAGGCGCCATACTCAAGTCGGGTACAATATGCTCGCAACTAGACGGTGCGCCGAACCTATCATCTACGACGGCCATCTCCACCAATGCGCCGATCGTGCGGGTGGCACTCGAACCGGCGTACCCTGGGGACCTGAATAAGATGATCCAAGGTCTTCGTCTGCTTGAGCAAGCCGATCCTGCGGTGGCATACGAGCAGTTGGAGAGCGGCGAACATGTCATTCTTACAGCCGGCGAACTACACCTTGAGCGGTGCCTCAAGGACCTCAGGGAGCGTTTCGCGAAATGCGACATCCAAGCCGGCGAAGCCATCGTCCCGTATCGGGAGAGCATAGTCAAGGCTGAAGAGATGAACCCACCGAGGGATCCAGCGCTTGGTAGGGGCACGGTGGAGGGTATGACTGTTAGCAAACAGATCACCATCAAGCTACGCGTCAGGCCGTTGCCAGCGCCAGTAACGGAGTTTCTGGTCAAGCATACTGGCGCCGTCAAGCGATTGTACTCGGAACGGAAAGCACAGGAGGAGGAACGAAGCACCAGCGGTGGTGCGAATGGCGGTGATCATGGTGACGAGCCGGAAGAGGTCGGCGAGCAGGAAGTCGAGGCTGAGGATACTACAGCAGAAGGCGGCCAGAACCTGTCCATGTCTGAGTTCCGGCAAAAGCTGGCTGACGCCTTTGCGGAAGAGAAGGGGGAGAAGGACGTATGGAAGGGTGTCGTTGAACATATAGCCGCCTTCGGCCCACGGCGTGTAGGGCCTAACATACTGATTGACATGACAGAGGGCGCAGCGTGCGGGAGATTGTGAGTGGCCCCCAAACCTCCCACTCTGGCACAACGCTAATCATCTTACAGCTTGCGCGAACACCACGAAGCATTGCCGGATCAGCACACTGATACCGCGAAACACACGGCTACCTTCGCTGACAAGGTGACGTACGCTTTCCAGCTCGCCACTTATCAGGGACCGCTGTGTAACGAGCCCATGCAAGGCGTCGCCGTCTTTCTCGACGAAATCTGCATTAACGCCTCGGACGAAGAAGCTGCGCAAAACATGGGTCGCCTCACTGGCGAGATCATACGGACGACACGGGAAAGTATTCGGCATGGCTTCCTCGACTGGTCGCCTCGCATACTACTGGCTATGTACAGCTGCGAGATTCAAGCATCCGCGGAAGTGCTGGGCCGCGTGTACGGTGTCATTAGCCGGCGTGGTGGACGCATTGTGTCAGAGTCGCTGCTTGAGCCGAGCACAAACTTCACAATCCTAGCGCTGCTGCCGGTGGCGGAGTCATTCGGCTTCAGCGATGAGATCCGGCAAAGAACTTCTGGCTTCGCGGCGCCGCAGCTGGTATTTGAGGGGTTTGAGATGCTGGACGAGGATCCCTTTTGGGTGCCGACTACTGAGGAGGAGCTGGAAGACCTAGGTGAGAAGGCGGATAAGGAGAATGTCGCGAGGCGCTATGTGGACAAAGTGCGGGAGCGGAAAGGCTTGACGGTCAAGAGGAAGGTTGTGGAGAGTGCTGAGAAGCAGAAGACACTGAAACGGTAACCAACGCAATGTTTCTTCAGGATCGAGGAGCATGCTGGCTCCCGTTAATACAACAGCTCTCTTACTCGGTGCCTGCCTGTTCAAGGAAGACAGCTCCCATGCTTCTGTTCGCTACGAAAGCGTTCCATAACTGAGTAGTCCGCCAAAGTTTCCACGCCACCCAGTTGCGGCTCGTGACAACGTTATAACGACAAGACATAGGCATGTCGCACCTCATTAGCCACTAACCAACACATCCACCGTCTCAACCGTCACCGATCGATCCTTCGTCTCAATCAATCACCCATGATGAACGAGCATACCTCCTCGTGCAAGTCCGCCGCGGTCTGGTCGAACCCGTAGTCCCTCTTTGTCTTCATGGGTCTCGCCAGCCTCAAACTGCGAGCATCGTCGAGATCCTTCCGGGTCAGTGGACGGGCGGGTTGGACGCGCAGCTGATAGGACAATAAGACGGCGTTCTCAATACCCATTCCATGCCAGAATTTGGTCCACTCGGTGTTGAAGCGAACCTCATAGCCACCGATCGCGTGGAATGTACCGTTGTTGCAGTGAATGACGTCCCTCAGACCGGCCAGTCCGGTACGCGGGCGCCACTGATATTCGGCGTGATACATCCAGCAGACCGATATCGATAATTAGAGCTTTGCATTCGCCAATCTTGTCAGCCCCGACTTTTGCAATCCAATGTCGAAGCACTGCAATCGGATTGATCGAACTGACTCCGACGGTACATTCAAAATCGTCTTCGAAAACGCTTAGATGGATCGTGAGCGTATTGAGCGTGAACACGATATTGCCAGCCTCCCAGCGTATTTGACGGCAGATATTTGTGAGCTCAAGCGGTGATCGTCCGCCCAGGAATGTGTAGTCCGATAGTCGCGTGAGTGGGGAAACGTCGACGTGTATACCTCGGGGTTCGTAGCAGACATAGTTATAGATCCGCACTCGAAGCTCAGGCGGCAGCCTCAGCAGTGGCGAATCGGCATTCGTGAACGACTTCTGCAAATCGGATTGCGCCGATCAGTAGTGTAGGTCAGCAGTGCCTTGGAAATAGCATACTCGCAAGATTCACCATACTGCCATCACTCGTCCTGATAAAGTTGGCGTTGACGTTGTCGACGTTGTCATCCATGGCTGTCGTGCTGCGTCGGCGTGCACATGCTGCTGTCGACCTAATCCGTCCATAAACACCAGCTCAAATGGAAGAAGGGGCGACTGACCGGCTGCACCGACAACTCGGGTACTTGCACGTAGATGGTTGGTATATCACGTCCCGCGCACTGCTCGAGCCGCCTTGACCCGATCACCAGTTTCCCGCCCTGCCTGCCCGCCTGTCAGCGTGCCCGATTGCGTAAACCTGCCTAGAACAAGCAGTCTTACCTTCAACCAATGGTGCGCGGAGACGATTCGGTGTAGCCGTGGGTGTTTGTCGTTCGTGTCAAAGAGGGTTCACGACAACGTACTTGCGGGTTTATCTTTCATGCAAAGAAGCAAGCTGCCTGCCTGCCTGCTCACTCGCCTATACCGCCTGGAAGAAGCAGTCTTACCTTCGTTCAATGATCGACCCGATGGTTCGGTCCGTCAGACAGCATTGGTGATCCGCGCCGATAATGCCCCTGGAAAGCATGCGTGAGTGTGATATTTCTTAAAATCGAGAGCAAGCTGAAGGCGAAAGTCACGGAGTATCCCGGCACTAGCGTGATAATTCGGTCCTGTGGTGGTCACGGCCGGCAATCGTGCAATGAGATTGAGTCTCTGTAAGCTCCAGCTGCATACCAGGACACCGGTGTCGGCAGGGGCGATCTCCACTGCTCGGCCGCATCAGCAGCGACCAAACCATTGCTGCACTCTCGCAGCCTTTCTTCACCAAGCGACAATATCCCCAGCATTCCACTCCTGCCGCATTATCATGAGCACCACTCTCCACGCAACAGCCTAAGTACGGGCGTGACTTGTCCCGCCGCTTCTTACCGCCAAGCCCATGCCCAGCTACAAAGCCTGTCTCATCGGCACCCAACCCACTGCCATGTACCCCAAGCTTCTCAACCGCCTACCCTACTCCTGTCAGACAGCGACGTCTTCCATGTCAATCCGCTGTCATACCATACTGCCAAAGGTGAGTCAAGAGTCCTCCATCGTAGTCGAGAACCGAACATGAGCAAGATCGCAATCCCAATCTAATTTCACGTTATCTTCCGCTGCAATCGCTTCCGGATTCCGCTCGAGGCACGTAATCCAAGTTAGTACACTCGATCCACCTCCCTTCCACCGCCGCAAGGAACGACGTCCTTGCACGCCACTTCTACATCCGACTCGAGGCGTCAGGTGGACCGTGTGCTTGGGGAACATTCCGAGAAAAAGCAGGCCGTCGTGGCGGATGACGGGCTTGGAAAATGGGGCGCCTGGCAGTCCCTACGACAGTGTTCCACGGTGCCGTTTCTGAACCTCCCCGAGCGGCTCGAAGTTTCATCGTGCGTATCGAGATCCCACAGGTCAGCACGCGGATCTACCCGAGGTTGTCGGTATACCGACTGATGTGAGCCAAGCGAAGCCAAGCCTTGGGATTGATAGGAAGATCATGTGTCCATCCGTCCGTCCGCCGTCGCCTTTCTGGTGAAATTCGTTTGCCGGTGTAGTCGCATTCCCCCACAGCGTCGGAATTATGGTCAGAGTGTTCAGTGGCAAAGATCATACGGCGAGTCTTCGCGTGTGAACCTGGCGGCACGCCAATGTGAGTGCGAGGGAGGCGTCTCCAGTCGCTGTGTCAGAGAACATCCGTAACCGATTTGCAAGCGGACGCCGTCCGGTACAGTCAAGACACAATCGGATATCCAGTTCCGTAGCTCTGGTGGCAGGCTCATGGATGGATACCGACTGCCCTCGAGCGGAGTATTGACATCTGCGAGTTCGATGTCAGTATGCATTCGCTATGCTCTTTGAGCTCGTTCACATAATAGACGGCTTGCCATCTGTACCCGTATGCCGCAGCCTTAAACGGGCAACCCCGGTGAAGACCAGTCGTAGGAGTGGGTTGTTTGCGGTACGGGAAGAGGTTGATGCTTCAGTGAAGGGCGCCAGAACTTTAGATGGTGTTGCAAGGCAGTGTTCGGCGGCAGCACGTGACATCCTTCGATGAAAGTGGATGGAGTGGACTGATGTCAGGGCTTGCATGAGCGGGCCTGATCAGTCGCCGCATTCTCTTCTCAGGTCATCGCCCATCAAACCGCACGTCCTTGCACTTTCGTCGTCATCTCCCTACTCACACTGGCATCCGGGCATGAGATGAAACGTGAGGATATTCTCGCAAAGGAGTGTGGGAAATGCTTGCCCGAGCAATCTTCATTCACTCACTCACTCATTCAGAAAATTCCAGACTTCAACCTCGCAACTCAGCCCTCGCCCCGATCTCCCGCCCCTTCCTCTTCTCCCCCATCACCACCACCACCACTCCTCCTCCTCCTCCCCGCACTCCCATCCAAAACAAACGGCCCCGCATCATTCCGCGGCGTCATGGGCCCCAAATCCCCCAACCCGCCCATCGCCGCCGCAAAAGCCGCATGACTCGTCGGTGTCGTGCTGCGCGCCGCGTCCATCAGTAACCCCGCGTCCCCTTCTCCGCCCATATCCACGTCGTTTCCCCGGGCGACGATATTGACCGGTTGGGAGGAGCCGATCCGGAGCGAGTCCGGTAGCGGCAGGCTGGTTTGGGGAGTGAAGAGGGTGCGGCGATGGTCCGTCGGATTCGTCAGGCTTGTGAGGGGTTGCAGCGAGGTGCGGTCGAGGAGGTCGGCGAGTTCTTGGTCGGTGATGTTGCCACTTCTGTCGTGACGCTGGGGGACTCCTCGTTCGTCAGTTGCGTTGCCGGCTGTTTGCGTACCGTCCGTGTCTTCTCTTCTCCCTTCGTTCCGTTGCCGCTCCTGCTCCGACCGCGCACCCTCTCCTACTATTTCCGCCCCCGCCTCCACGTCTCCCCCAGCCCCGACCTCATCCTCTCCCTCCATCCCCTCAAACAACCCATCTTCTCCCTCCTCCTCTTCCTCCACTTCTTCAGGCGGCTCAACATCCGCCTCCAAATCCGTCATAAGCCGACAATTCGGACACAAAAAGCTATCGCTCTTGGCCAACAGATTCCTCACGCACTTATAATGCCACACATGACTGCACGGGGCGACGAAAAGCGCCTGGCAGGGCGCAACGGGGTTAAGGCAGATGCTGCACTCGCTGCTGCTGTTGACGCTGCCCGCGTCGCTGTCGCGCTTACTTTTCCCCGGGCCAGCACCGTTCTGCGCGTCGTTGCCGTCGCGGCGCGTACGCTTGAGCAGTCGTTTGTGCGCGGTGGTGTTGTAAGCGTTGAGGCTTTTCTGCCAGCCGCGGTTGCATTCGATGCGGATTTTGACGCAGCGGAAGATGACTTCCTCGCCTCCCTTGAAGTCGATACCGAGCTGGACGGTGTCGCCATCGTTGACCTCGAAAGGTCTGCTCTCCTGGCCCGGTGGCGAAAGACGGACATGATTGAGAAATGTTCCGGAACTGGACTTGACATCCTTGATATACCACTGCCCGTTCGTACACCAGAACTCGCAGTGCCGGCGCGAGACGACTTTGGATTTGAATCCGACGGGTAAGTTGCTGGGATCGCCACCGCCTTGGATTTGGGAGAGGGTGTTGTCGCGTTCGCTGAAGCGGCCGACGCGCACGATGGCGGTGGGGTGTTTGAGGGTGCGGGAGGTGGCGGGGAAGTGGAGGGAGGGGCGGGAGGAGTGGATGTCGCTGTGCGGGGTGAAGCGGATGGAGGGGGAGGGGTCTTTGGAGGGGGTTCCTTCTTTCCCTGTCAGAGAGGATGATGCTGCTGCTTCTGGCGTGTTGGTGGAGATCTCCGCTGAGCTCGAGGATGGGGCGGCGGTGGTTGTGGTGGCTGTCGGGCCGAATGCCGTTGCCGATCGGCTTCGCGCCATGCCTGCGCTTGGCTCGGGTGCGGCGGACTCGATGGAGGTGGAGGTTGGGTTGTTCGATTCGCGAACGAGTCCGCTGCGGCCTTGGACCGTAGGCAGCCACCCGTTCTCGCCGTTTTGAATGCCTGACGTGTTGCCTGTCGTTCCTTCCGCTGCAAGTGGTGCTCCCGCTCCTGCCGCCCGCGGACTCGAAGTCGGACTGCTCCCCACCGGACTCGTGGTGGCCCGTCGTAATTGTGGCGCTTCGGCCCGCGAAGACGACGACGACAAATTTGGGTGCAAGTGGTTGTGGGTATACGTTCGTAAGTAGCTCAGTCCGCGCAGCCTGCTGGGCCGGGTGGGGGAAGTGGGCGTTGCGCTGGAGGTGGTGGTGTGGAGGGTGGCCGTGGCCGGTGAAGCAGAGCCCAGCATTCCTATTCCGCGTGCAATATGCTCCTCTGAATGTGACAAGCTTCTATGTGTATGTCGGTATTTCTACAGCTGAGGCGTAGCGCTGCGACTGCGTCACCGCGCAGAGCTGTCCTCGAGGGTCCCGGGGCGCTTATCAATCGTGTCAAACGCCCAATCGTCTCGGGAGCATGCAAACACCACCAAATTTCACAGTGCCAAATGAAACGAGCATCAATCAATCAATCAGCGCAATCAACGCAAGGTTATGAATGTCTTGGGGTGGAGTGGAGGTGGAAGAGATATCGCATCAGCCGCCGCCGCCGCCCACTTTCCCCTCGACTCGAGTTCGAGATCGGCGGCGGTTTGGTCTGGGCTTCGGCTGCCGACAACCGAGTGCTGACTGAGCGGATAAAGTCTAGAGTGACGGAAAGATACCTCAACGCCGCTTACAGATAACGGCTCGATATTGTAAGATTTTGAGACGCTGTTCGAGCATGCGATAATGTGAAGCAACAATATCTTTATCCGTCGTATGTGGATACTGTAATGCTCGCCAAGAGGGTATAGATGTAGACACGTGAGGTCGCGTGCTACGGCTTCGGCAGTGGCTCTCCCGAAAGTCTGAACCCTTACCGTTACATGTACTTTCCACTGAAACTGTGCGCATGTGCTTCATGCAGACAACGTACAGCTTCGACCATCTACCACTCCACCCGCCCGCACGGCCACGATGAAGAGGACGTTGTCATTACCCCGCCATCTCCTCTCCCGCAACGCCGCATCATCCACCCGAGCTGCGAATCGCGTGCGACGATATGCCACCGTCACCACCACCACACCTCCTGTACGAGATCCGGCGGAGCTGGACCAGGTAACCACTCTCCCAAATGGCATTCGCGTCGCCACCGAAGCGCTGCCGGGATCCTTCTCCGGCATCGGCGTCTATGTCGATGCCGGTTCGCGATACGAGAGCGATGCCCTACGCGGCGTCTCCCACATCATCGACCGCTTAGCCTTCAAGTCCACCGCCAAGCGATCCGCAGACGAGATGCTGGAGAAGATGGAGATGCTTGGCGGGAATATCCAATGTGCCTCGTCACGGGAGAGCCTGATGTACCAGTCCGCGACGTTCAACAGCGCCGTCCCGGACACCATCGCGTTGCTAGCCGAGACCATCCGCGAGCCCCAAATCACCGAGGAAGAAGTGGAGCGGCAACTCGAGACGGCCGACTACGAGATTGGTGAGATCTGGGGGAAGCCGGAGCTCATCCTGCCCGAGCTGGTGCACATGGCCGCCTACAAGGATAACACCCTCGGCAACCCGCTATTATGCCCCAAAGAGCGCTTGCAAAGCATCGACCGAAGAACCATCGAAGCATACCGCAAAGCCTTCTTCCGTCCGGAACGAATAGTCGTCGCCTTCGCCGGCGTCGACCACCACGAAGCCATCAAACTCACCGAGCACTACTTTGGCGACATGAAAGACCCCCAACAACCCACCACCACGACATCCGACTCCTCCCAACAACTCAACCCCCCCTACCCCACCTCCCAACTCCCACCCCAAAAGGACTCCCGCCTCATGTCCAAAATCCCCTTTCTCAAAAACCTCTCCACCTCCACCCACCGCTCCGCCACCCACGTCTCCCCCCTCGACCCCGCATCCATCATTCCGCACCCCCTCGACCAACCAATCCCCTACAACCAACCCTCCCACTACACAGGCGGCTACCTCACCCTGCCCCCACTCCCCATCCCGCCCTCCCCCACCCTCCCCCGCCTCTCCCACATCCACCTCGCCTTCGAATCCCTCCCCATCAGCAGCCCGGACATCTACGCCCTCGCCACGCTGCAAACACTCCTCGGCGGGGGCGGCTCCTTTTCCGCGGGCGGGCCGGGAAAGGGGATGTACTCGCGCTTGTACACGAACGTGCTGAATCAGTACGGGTGGGTGGAGAACTGCGTGGCGTTCAATCACGCGTACACGGATTCCGGCCTGTTCGGCATTTCGGCGGCGTGTGGGACGGGGTACGTGATGCGCATGCTCGACACCATCGCCCGCGAACTCTCCCTCCTCTCCGCCGAGACGGGCCTGGGCCGCCTCAGCGACGGCGAAGTCAAGCGCGCCAAGAACCAGCTCCGCTCCTCCTTACTCATGAACCTCGAGTCGCGCATGGTGGAACTCGAGGATCTGGGCCGCCAGGTGCAAGTCCACGGCCGCCGCATCCCCGTCACGGAAATGGTGGCGCATATCGAGGCGGTCACCGTCGCGGATTTGCGGAGGGTGGCGCGGCGGGTGTTTGGCGGGGAAGTGAGGAATGTCGGGGTCGGGAGTGGGGCGCCGACGGTGGTGGTGCAGCAGGGGGAGGAGGAGGGGGTCAGGATGAAGGAGATTGCGTGGGGGGAGGTGCAGGAGAGGATTGCGCGGTGGGGGTTGGGGAGGCGGTGAGATGTAGGATTGCAGTAGAGGGGGGTTAGGGTGTATGATGGGTTCTTTTGCTGTAGTGACGGACAGCTGGGTGGGTAAATTGATGGGGTGTATGGATGGATGGCATAGCGATGGCGCAAGAGGGGGTTTGTAAGATACGCTACACTCTACTCGGAGCGGCTCTCGCTCCTCGTGAACAGAATGTTATGATTGCGCAGCACCAGCGACGTACATTCTGCTTTTCCGCTTTCGAGAATAAGAGAGGTACTGTCTCGGTGGTCCCTCAACAGGCTCCTGTTTATACCAATCGCTGCCTGTTGAAATTGATCGCTTCGAAAAGAAGGGTTGGTGCTCTCCATATCCCTCTCTTCCCGATGCAGACAACGATCGATCGTTACAGACGCTGTATACGGGCTCAGACTCTGAGAATGGGAACCGCGACTAGGAAGATGGTGCACTGGGTCTGGATATAAATCTTGCCTAATATGTACGATATTTTTGGCTTCATTAAGTACATACGGCCATAGGTCGCAGAGAATAGAGGATCCCGTCCGCTCTCCTGTACTTAAGCTGCGAACCGGTGGATTAGTACTGCGGTGGGTGACCACGTGGGAATACCCGCTGCTGTATGTTTTGCTTTTCCTTGTCTCTGTTCGGACTTTCGGAAGTTTTTCACGAGCTTGAAGCTTGGTCGATGTTCCGGCGGGCGGGGAGGCGGGCTTTGGAAGGTTGGCAACATGATTTTTTGCATGGTCTGTAGACATTGACGCGGCGTAGCGAGGATGAGCGGGGAGGCGGCGGATCCGAGTGCGGCATTGGAGTAGGGAGGATGTGGAGGGGCGTGGGCTTGTGAGATGGCACAGATTGAGAGGGAGGGGATCGTGTAGTAGTGCTGTTGGGTATAGGGAGGAGGTTGGCCGGCTTTCAGCGGAATTAGCCAAGGACTGTTTGTTGGTAAGATGATTTTTCGATGTGAAGGCCTTGAGGCAACGCGTCGACCCGAGTAGGAGAGTCCAAGAACTGGGAACAGTACACGTCTCTTCCCCTCATAGTCATCCCCAGGAGGATAGCCTTCTGTCTCGAGCACAGGCGAACGAAGAGGTTGCACTTTACGAGTCACGGTGATAAATTCTGACCGCGAAGTTCCGGAGGATGGCTGGATAGCATAGTACTGTCGCTATGTGCACAGGCCGGGTTTGCATGGCCCAGAAAGCCGAGATACGTTGTCTGGTCGGCGAGGGGGTTAGCGTCAATGTTCAGGATATAGTAGTACAGGGTGAGGAGGATAGAGGGGTGTGTGAGCGAGCTTGTGGATGATGTAGACGGTGAGCGTATTTGTCATGATCTCGAAGTAGGCCCTGGATCAGCCGTTGACGTCGGGCAAGATGTCCCGTCGTATTGTAAATACGTAGCCTTGGTAGACTTGATACGCCGCACCACTCACTCCTTCTCGATCTTGACTTTGTTCTTGTCTACAAGCCGTTAGTTCAGTCCAACCACACAATAGCTCAATGCTCGCGCGTGACTTTCTGCAAACTTACAAAACGCAACATGATCCTTGATATTCATCGCCTTCTCGAGCGGCTCGGGATAGTACCAAGCCGCGTTCTCGAGCGCCTTACCATTCACGTTGATGGTGTAGTAATGGCTCGTGCCCTTCCAGTAACAGTGGGTCGTGTGATCGGTCGGCGTCATGGTGGCAGAGAAGTCCTTGATGCTATCTGGTGGGAAGTAGACGTTGCCTTCGACGAACTCGTACTTGTCAGTTTCGGCAATGACGGTGCCGTCGACTGTTGCTTTGGCGTGCATCTTGGTTGAGGCTAGATGGGGACGGGTGGTGGAAGCTCGTTGCTGCTTGTGCAGATGTTGTGGGAGCGCGAAGCTGAGATAAGGCAAGAGTCTGAAGTTGTAACACTGAAGTCTTAGCTCGCCTGACCACAGGTGTATCGGTGTCGCCTTCAACGGTATTTCATCCACAACTACCTCATGTTGCCGCTCAAGTCGAGGTAGTATGATTTGTCATCCACGAGCTGTGAGCTGACGGAATGCGAGCCGGCGAAAGGTTCGGCCGATCCGTCACAATTGTAGGTCGGCACGGAGTATTACATGGCCACTCGCGGAGTGCCCTATGCGCTCAACCGCAGTGACATCCAGCGTCTTTCGAAGAACGACAGGAGTTAAGGTGCTCATTCACCCCGGACATCCTGGGATGAGGCACAGGTCTCCCGTTGCCGTAGCTTACTGAGAGTCTTCTTGTGCGCTTTGCTGTTCACATGCTGCTCCCATTGCTGCGGCACCACACAGGTAACATTGCAGGCGTCGCAGTGACGCTTCTTCCACTCCTCGGGAGCCGCCGAGATATCAAAAGCTCGCTTCGGCTTCAGAAGCTCCGCCGCTGCAGGCAAGACTTGCTCCGCCGAAGGCATGTCACAGCCGTGCAGAAAGAGCTGAGTAAGCTCGCGAGCGGGCTCGACTACGGTTTCCGAAAAGTTTTTGACGTTGGAGCCATCGACCACGTAGATGCTGTCAAGCGCGTTGGCGTTGAGCAATGAGAGTAGCAGCTTGATGCGGATCCACCGAAGCTGACGCTTGGCATATTGTCTTGTAGCGACTCTGGTCTTCTCGAGCGCCTCGAGCCTTAGCTGTTCGAGCTCCTTGGCAGTCGCGAGACCCAAGTCGAGGGCATGGGCGTAGTCTTTGAACTCCTTGTAGCCGATACTGACCCAAATGCCCCTCGTTTCATCCACTGTCCTTCCAACAGCAAGCTCCGCCTCAGAATAGGTGTCGAGAGTGTGGACCTCCTCAAGCAAACCAGCGTCAAACATCTTGTCAACTCGACGATCCAGTCGTTCACGTAACACATTCGGCTCTGCGTGGAGCCAGAATATGAGGATCTGAAAGCGCGTTCTACCAACGTCCAAGCCCTCTGCGTCTCCATCTGGAGAGTCGTGTTGGTCGGCCGTGTTTGACCGGCGTGTTCTTTGCTCAGCATAGGTTTCAGATGCTTTCTTCCCGGTCTTGAGGAAGATCTCAAGGCTGCGCTGGATCTTTCGTCTGTCCCGTGGGTGCCAACGCTCAGCCATTGCAGGATCAACTCTTCTTAGCTGATCCAGGAGAACTTCCGTGGGTTGCTCCAGGAGCGGCAAGCGATCGTGACCACTATCCTCGCTATCACTCACGTGTCTCGCAATCGTTCGATCTCCATCAGCCAGCCGGTCATGGAACAGTAGGCTCTGCGTGTAGTAGTGCGTGCCGCCGACGAGAATCGGTAGCTTTCCTCTTGCTCTGATCTCCTCAATGACGCCTAATGCCTGCTTGACGAATGTGCCAACTACCCATGTAGGCTCATGCAGACCAATGCAGCCCAGTAGATGGTGAGGTATGCCTTGTTGCTCCTCGAGCGTAATCTTGTTGGTTATGATGGGAAGCCCAGCATAAAGCTGCATAGCATCTCCGTTAATGATTTCGCCATTGTGTCTTTTCGCCAGCTCGACGGCTAGCTAGCTGGTATGATTAGCACCGAGGATGCGGTTGTGCGAGGAAGTGAAAGCATACTTGCGATTTGCCAGTTCCTGTTGCGCCAACGATGGCAATGAGAGGCTCTCGAGGAGGGTTGTGTATCATGGTGCCGATTGCGCGTCTGACACCAGCAAAACGAAGCATTAAAGTCGACGGCGTGACCCTCGCATGAACACAAATGATGCGCAACGTATTCCGCAGAGACGTGCAAGTCACGGACAATAATGTGGGTTCTACGTGAAGTTCTCACGCTTGGATCGCGGAAGGGTTCAGACTGCATGCGATTACAATAACGTCCATTAGTTGACATCCACCTCATGATGATTACCGCATCGTTATCCACTTGACACTAATAAGGCCATGGCGACGGGGCCAACGATCGAGGTGAAGAACCTCAGCTTCACCTTCCCCGACAGCACCTCTGGTCTCCTTGACATCGCCCTTGACCTACCAGGCGGCTCACGAACTCTGCTCATCGGCGGTAAGATTGACCCTCGTGTTAAATAAAGAACATGAAATGCTAAATCCACAAGAGCGAATGGCGCCGGTAAGACCACCCTGTTACGCCTCCTTTCTGGCAAACGTATGGCACCAGGAGGAACAATTTCCGTGGCCGGCATCGACCCTTTCGCCACGGGACTAGAAGGCGTAACGTATCTGGGACTTGAGTGGGTGCTGAACCCCATCGTTCGTACGGACATCGCTGTACCGGAGCTATTAAAGTCTGTAGGCGGCGACCACTATCCCAACCGTCGCGATGAGCTCGTGCAGATCCTCGATGTAGACCTCAGCTGGCATTTGCACGCTGTATCCGACGGCGAGCGTCGACGCGTACAGCTCTGCATGGGCCTCTTGCGGCCCTGGCGTGTCCTACTCCTCGACGAAATCACCGTGGATCTCGACCTGCTAAGCCGACATAACTTCCTCACCTTCCTCAAGCGAGAAACGGAGACGCGAAGTTGTACCATTGTTTATGCGACGCACATCCTCGACAACCTTGCTGCTTGGCCTACGCACTTGGTGCACATGGCTCAGGGCAAGGTGAAGAAGTGGGGCGCCATGGAGTCCTTCACCGTACCGGAGGTGGGCGACGGCGTCGAAGGCAACAGTCGCCTGGGCCAGCTGGTACTGCAGTGGCTGCGTGAGGATCTAAGTGAGAGGGGTCCACGCAACGGACAGTCTGCGGAAGGCAAGACTTATGAAAATTTGGAGGGCAAAGGTGGTTACGGTGCCGAGACAAAGTGAGCTCGGTGAGGCGCGCTTGTCGACTGCCGTTTCAACACGCAAGGGAAGCCCTGGGAGAGATTTTAACATTGGCAGCGCTCCTCGAGGTTATACCACTATGTCCTACACTATTTATGTGCTACTGAAAGCGACCGAGGCTTCCGTGTCTCCTTCGTAGGCTGCCGTGCCGGCGAGCTAACAGCGCGACAGCTCCAATTGAGACTGCCGCTTGTGGTGAGGACGTTGAAGTGTTCTGTGTTCCGCAATCAGATGGACACTGCCCTGCGACGCTGCGGGCGCAAGAAGCCGCGGTCACTCTGCTCTTGAACTTTGCCAAAGCTCGCTCTACGAGAACTGCCTCCCGTCCCACCTAGACTGCTATTTGATGATGCACTGTCACTCCTTCTGCTAGTCGGGTTACCGCTACGCTCGTGAGATTGCTCAATAGCAGCGCCAGCAGCCACACTGTCCCTAAGGTAAAAGTTGGGAGCGGGCCAATCCCAGATGTGCATCGTCTGAAGCGCGGCGTATTCCATGATCCGGTGAGGAGCTTTGAACGCAGGCGCTCATGGATTGAGGCTGCGATCCGCTGGAGAGGGTAAGCGAATTGGGACGTAGTATGTGGACGAGCCATCTTGGTCGGCTTGCTAAGCGTCTCCATTTGTTGTTGCGGTTCTAGGATTGATGAAAAGGATGGTCAGCTATGTTTCAGACAATCACAGTGGAGTGTACACATTGCTTTGCTTACTTCTTCTGCAACCACTCATCTGCGCTCCTGAACATTTTGCGAGCTGATTCCGGTACAGCGTCAGTAGACTGTACACCAAAATTTACAGCACCTGAAGATCGATGAGTGAAAGAGTCAGCTGTGTCACAGACGCTCGCAAAGGGTTCCATTCATGCTGCTTACCCCAGAGCTTCCATGCTCTTCTCAAGTCATCGTCAATATCCTCGACATAGTTGAACCACTTTCTAACGTCGCCACGTTTGGAAGGTTCTTGAGACAGTTCATCCAGGTAGCTCTTAACAACAAGCGACAGACCCAAGTCCGGTTCGCGGGTGAATGGCAGGCTTGCTGCTAGGTCCGTAATTTGCTTCGGCGAGACTTGTCGGCTCGCGTCTCCGGAGGTGAAGATGGCGCACGCATGCATCTCGAGTAAGCCACGCAAGCTCGAGCGCACAACTGCCGCCATCTGATGGAACGCGAGTAAGTGGCGAGACAGAGGCCCGGTGTAGCCAATTTCGCGGTGATGGAAGAGGCCCAGACAAGCAACGCGGCTGATAAGAAGTGTGTTCGCTTTGTCGGACTCGGAACCGCGTAGAGGCTGTCCGGAGAACTGCGGGACCGGGAAATTCAGCTGATTGTTGAGCACTTGCAAGCGGAGAAGCTCAAACGCCATATAAATGGCTTCTTCAGTCTCCGCAGAGACTTGATCGAAACTGTCTCGTGCACGGTTGAGCGCAGCGAGCAGCGCTTGACCCCACTTCGACAGATTGTGATCAGCCTTGATGTAGTCGCGGTCTCGCAAGAATCGGAAGACAGCGTTGCCTAGCAGCTCTGTAAGCGAAGACAGTTCGTCGCCCTCTTTGCGTGGAGTCTTGGTCTTCTCCGCCATCCCAGTTCCAGAAAGAAGACGGATAGTGGCCTATGAGCAGGACGGTCAGCTCCGTGCGAACAACCACAACGAGATCCAAACATCGCCTCTGCTTACCGCAAGTGGGTGCGATACAGCTTCGGTGGAACCAAAGACGCGGTCATTGACAAGCCATGTCTTGTCAATGGCGTCCAGCCTGTCCTTAACAAGCAGCTGTTTCCTAACAAGAAGTAGGTAGGGCGGTCAGCTACGCCTTGACGGTTACGCAGGGAGCTTACGCATGGCTGTACTTACCGGTCGTCGATGAACCAGAAAGTAAGGTCGACTGGGGTGTTGGGGTAGTATTGATGAAGCTGCGAGGATATTACTGCCAGTGCTTGACTTCGGAGCTCGACCAGCTTGTTCTGCACGAGGTCTCGGTAGGCTTGTGAGTTGCCGCCGTCGAGAGGCGGTGTTTCGAAGATCTGGCTGTGGGTTCGCCAGTTGAGAGTGTCGGTGCTAATAAGGCCTCGCGACACGTAGAAGTACAGTTCTTCCGGTAGCCTCTTACCACTGAACTCGTGGATATCACTCGGCGCTTTGTCTAAGCTCTTCGGCTCGATCCGGCCGTCCTCTACGTGCAATTAGTCACATGCTGACGTGTATACGAACTCGGAGACATACCGAGCACTAATATCGGATGCTTAATTGCGAACTTGGCTTTTCGAAATGCAACCAAGTACTCCTCGTCCCTTTGCTGCAAGCATACCGCATGTCCGTCTCCTCTGAAGCGGTCCAACAGAGCACGAGTTGCACCAAGTCTGCTACTTGGTGCTTCGGATTCGACCTCAGCGAAGGCAGGTAGGATGTTTCGCACACATCCAGCCAACAAAACGAGATCGGTAAATGTATCCGCAGACATTGACTTGGCTTGACACGCTTTTGCTTCGACCCACTGAATGGTATTGTCCTGTAACACCAATGTCGTGGTCAGCATATGGCACACGCCTGTAACCGCGGAAAGTTCGAATGGAGGCATATGAGGTGGACATGCGTACCTCCCACGAAATAGACGTAACGACCTTGTCTGCGCCGAACACAAGAGAACCAGCGGAGCCGGTCACAGCGTCGACATAGTTGGTGCGCAGCAGGTAAACGAGTTGCGGTGCAACGGCATAAAGAGCGGTATAGATCTGCACACCTTGCCGGTGCAGATACGAGCGAAGCCACCGTATTGTGTGCTGAATACGGTACGTACATGCGTTGCCAAACATCTTGACTGCATCGTCGCCACGTCCGGAGTCGTAGATGGTCCAGGCGTCGTCAAGAATCTTGGCAGCTTTCTTCGCTTCACGGCTGACCATCGCACGGTCTCTGCTGGCAAAATCAAGGCCGCTGAAGACGAAGATTGGCTTAATGCCCGCATTGCGGAAGCTTTCAAGGTCATCATCCACATGCTTCCGTAAAGCGAGAGGGAGGCCACCTAGAGCAGGGAGAAGCGGTTCCCGGGTAAGATTGTTGGTTAACAGCGTCTCGAGGTACTCCTCAGCATCGAGACCGATGCGCCTTCCACGAAAGTGCTCGATAGACACATGTAGCGAGAAACCTTCGGCCTGCGACCATTCCTTGAATGCAGCCATGATGGGGAGACTAGCGATAGAATACGAGCAATAGCATCAACAGTGGTTGGTGATGGTACACTGCAGTATGGGAAAGCGAAGGCGATCCGGGGGATGTGCATGTGAAGAGCGATGGTTGCGGATGCCCCCGCACGCTAAAGCATGAGCTTATGCAGGAACAGTTTCACCGTCAGTAACTTCAGTCGTTATAACCTCTCATAAACCCGTAGAGGCTTTCTGCATATTCCCTGCTGTTCGAGCACTCTGTGCTGCACCAGTTTGGCAAGACATGAACGACAGTTCCAGAGCTGTTCCAACGATCCCGCATCCTTGTCAGAATCCATGATAACAGAACTGTGGGCGGAGTTGGCAGTCAGTCCACAACGACTGTTGACACTTACCGTTGCAGCGCCCACTACGGCCTCTACCAACCGTGTACTTACCACCGCGAGTCTGGAGACGACACATGTGCATCCCGCTGTGCCGCTTACGATCCATACGATAACGAATAGCGAGATCATGCCACATGAAAGGTTATCTCTGGCCTTCATGACTCGCATGCATCCTACAGGTTGTACGAGGCGGCTACTCTCCGCCGCAAATCTCCATCCAGCTCATGACGGTTGCCTTTATCTCACCGTGGCTCCAGTCATACTGCATCATGCGCCGCACTCGCGTTGATAATGTCAACCACCCCCCCTACATTGCTCAGCGTAGGCTCACACAACCCCACTTACTACGTCGTCTACGCTCCAGCATTGAGTGCATTTGCATGCAGATTCAGGTGCGACTTGTCGAGGCCAAAGAAGCTGCGCACCTCAATCCAACGTGCCTGTACCCACTACCGCAGTTTTCTGGGTCGCATGGCTGCTGACCTCGGTGCTACATAAAGACTCCAGATTTATATAACTGTAAGACGCTAGCGGAGCACGTTCGCTCTCTGGAGACACTTTACTCGCCAGTGACGGATTTCATCCCAGCGCTCTGCGCTCATTCGATGCTCGCGCCCCTCTTTTCGCGAGGTGAGGACCGTCCTGCATTCTCTCCGCTAACACACTCCACGTACAGGTACATCCAGGTCTCCGTGTTCAAAGACCGCATTCTCTGTTCAGTTTGCGATGCACGAAGTAGGGTGAAGGCTAATGGAGTTTCACGACCCACCGTTACTGTTGCTCGTTGCGCGAACAGGACCTTCAAGCATCGACCTGACGGCGCTGATGACTAGTCTACATCCCACGATCCAAAGAGTTCTGATCGAGCTGCCTGCTAACGGAACACATGAGCAAGAAGCCAAGAAAGAGGTCGGAGGTAAGCCTAAACCTGCGATGTCTTGTTCTCGATCCAATGCCCACCGCCGCCCATCAACTCCGTACCGCGGTCCAGCTCGGCCTCCTGCCGTTCGCCAAGCCACTCTCGCCGTGTCTTCAACAGACCCTGCTCGATATTCCAGGCTCGACCGCCCTCGATGTACATGGTCCCACCACTGAGGTTACCATCTGCCAGCACGCCGACGATAACGCGTGCAACATCTTCGGCTGAGTTCGAGGGTAGGCCGGCTGCTTCCCATGTCGACTCAATGCCGGCTACGAGGCGCGTGCGGGTCATCCAGGGGCAGATGGCATTTGTTCGGATGGGGTTAGGTTTAGCCTGCGAGAGCGGACTGCAACAGCTCTGTCAGCATTCTGTGAGCGTTCTGTACAGGAAGCTGGACGTACACTCTCAGTGACCTCATCAAGCCCAACACACCATGCTTGCTGGCGACATATACGTACAAGCCTGGATCTTCGCGAAAACCGGCCACGCTGCTTACGAGGGTGAGACTTTTATCCGTTGAGGTCCCATCTTGCGAGGACTGTTGTCGAAGGTATACGCTTGCGAGTCGTGCGAAGTACAGTGGGCCCTTCAGATTGACGTCTGCGACTTTCACAGACTTTACAGGCTCCTCCTTCACGCTCTCTGGTGTAAGTTCTGGGTCGAACATATTGCCCTGCTCACCAAGCCCGGCATTTGCAATTGCATGGTCGATACGACCGCACTCTGCATAAGCTGTTTCAAAGAGGCGAACATTGTCCAAGTACTGTGTGACGTCGCAGTGGACAAACTTGGCCCTGCTTTTACCATCCTTCGAGAGTTCCTTCTCGAGAGCCTGCCCGGGCTCGTCTAAGAGGTCGCCGAAAAAAATGTGGGCGCCGGCGGAGTGCAGGATGCGGACGAGCGACGCACCGACACCAAGTGCGCCTCCTGTGAGTACCACAACCTTGTCCTTCAATGAGGCAGCATCCGCGGGGTGGAATTGGGTCGTCATTGTACCGTTTCGGAAGTAGATGAAGAAGGGTGTACTTCCCAGTGACCGTGGCAACACCTACCCATCGTCACAACGGGTATCTAACCCATATCCGCGGTTCTGACCAGCACCAACCGTTCGGCATTTGTTGATCAACCTTCCAGACGACCGAACCCCTTGCCCCGCGGTAGCCCCGCCCTGTCCTGTTCCTGATGATCATTGCGGACAGTTTCCGCGGCATTCACTGGATCGAAAGACCCTTAGACGTCCGTCAAACGATATGGTAACTGCAGCGCGCGGACTCCAGGAATTCTCGAAGACGAATGGCATGCAAAGGCCAGCTTTTGTCTCCATGTTCTTATAAGCCTTCGGTAAGTGCAGTACAATACACTTCGTCTTACTTATGACAATTGCAAACACATCCTCCTCCACTCAGTGTCACATCCTCTTATTTGCCTTTCCGTCTCTGCACTTCCTAAACCATTCTAATGCTGAGTTGCACGCTCATATGCTCGTGAGACTCACAAAGCTGCACCCTTCGCTGGCACGTGCCGAGATTCATCGCTCACATGACGCTCGGCTTCTGTGAAAGCCGGCTCGTGTGACCGGCTTCGCCCCTTCATGAATCATTTCACACTTCCGCCTAACCATTTACGCCTGACATCTACCAACTCCATCTCGAACATGCTGCTGACCACATATCGTGCAACGTCCAAGTCCCTCGCCATCATCCTCCTACCAAACAACGACACCTAAGACAGCCACTCACGCCACTTCGGCTAAAGATCCTGCAGCTAACTGCGCCATCTCCACTATATCCCCACCATCACCGCCCGTGGCGGTCTAAGCGCCATCGGGTGGAGGCTGACACAAACTCCTGATCGTCGCGCGGCTGGCGACGGTTCAGCAGAAGTCTACCTAAGGCCGAGTCTATACGGTCTATACCATGGCAGACCCTTTCCACGTGGTCAATGGCGCTCTACCAGTCAACAACCAGATCTTCCCTGACTCGCAGCAGTATGCCGGGACGCCACCACCGGTCCAGCACGCCCGCGATCCTGCTGTACATCAGCGGACGTATCAGGCTTGGTATGGGCTTTCATAGCACCACCAAATCGTACTTTTATCTGCTAACACGTGTTCTAAAGCATCCCGTGCCGAAAGCGCAAGGTTCGTTGTGACCTAGGCTCCGTCGACAACCCGAACAAGCCACCATGTATGCGCTGCAGACGCGAGTCCAAGGATTGCTACTTCTCCTCTACTCGTCGTAAGAAGAAGGGTGCGAACGGCGAGGATGCTGGCTTCGCCTCAGATGATGACAGCCTGGTGGAGGTAAAGACTAGCAGGAAGCGAGCCAGAGCATCGACTGTCGAGGAAGATGAAGACTCGATGGAAAGGCCGCGCACACCTGGCGGCTCAGTCGGAAGGACGCAGCCATTGCGCAGGCCGGAGCAAAAGAGACCTGTCAAGCATACCGAGGAAGATGAGCAGGCAGCAGAGCAGTCGGCCGCCATGCTGCAGGCTACCGAGATTCACAGCGGGCACGATGCGCTCAAGGTGCTGTACGAAGCAGCTAAAATTCGGGAGCGCCTCAACAGCCGCGAAGCGCTCGAGCGTCCTAACTTCAGCGGTACGTCACCACTGAATATGACTGCGGCTATTAGTCCGGTCATGGAGCGCATTGGTACCGGAAGCTACAACCACGGCGGCATGAGCATCATCCAGGACGATCCAGTATGGCGCACGAATGGTGGCTCGCAAAGTCATGTTCGAAGCTCCTTTGATGGCACCTCGAATGACAGTACAAGCTACGTTACCGCGGTGAATGCATGGTCTCGTTTCCGGTTCGTGCGTGAAGGCTGGTTTACGGCTAAGGAGGCCATTGACTATATCCAGTACTTCTACAAGTATCTGGCCCCTCTGACGCCCGTCGCTTTACCGGACTTCAGACCGTTCGAAACGCACCAGCGATTACTGGAGAAAGAGCCCATGCTCACCATCACCATGTTACTCATCGCCTCCCGTCACGCCAAGCTGGAGGGACCCGGCTCTGTCAGTCGCCCGTACGAGATCCATAAGAGGCTCTGGAGCTACCTGCAGGGCATGATCAACCGTGTCGTCTGGGGCCAAGAGCAATTCGGCGGTGGCTTCTGCGGCGCTGGCAGCGAGCCGGCAAGCGATGTCAACCCACTTTCTCGCCGCGGCCTGCGTACGCTTGGCACGGTGGAATCTCTGGTGCTACTCACGGAATGGCACCCACGCATGATGCACTTCCCACCAGATGAGGCTGATAGCGAGCTCATGATGCCCGTAGAGCCGGTCAAAAGGGCGAACCGTGAGATGATCGACGAGCAGCAAGGCTTGACAGCCCACCGTATGGACGCTTGGCTCGAGCCAGTCTGGCGTAGCGACCGCATGTGTTGGATGCTCCTCGGCATGGCCATGTCCCTTGCCATGGAAATAGGTGTCTTCGACATCACGGACTGGAACAGGCACAACAAATATCAGCTCGGTGCCATCCTTAGCCCTTCCGCCGAAGATTTGGAGACGTACAACAAGCGCCGCGGCAGTGTCAGGGACTTGCTACTGGTATACGTCACGCAGACTAGCGGTCGGCTTGGCCTCACCACAATGCTCCCAAGTGACTACAGCAAACCGGAAGACAGTGAGCTGTTTAAGCGAGGTGTCGGCCAGCATGGCAACATGCAAGAAACTGTGATGCACTTCTGGCTGCGCATGGCGGCTATCATCCGCGAGGGTAACCAGCAGATCTTCGCGAACAAGGCTTTTACGCGCGACCTCATCAAGAATGGCGATTACAAAACTGCCATTGAGCGCATGCAGGAGCCGCTCGCTGCGTGGCTGCAGGAGTTCCGGGCGTGCACGTCAATGCCCAAGTACATGCGTGCGATTCTAATGATTGAGTACAACTACTGCAAGGTCTATCTCAATGCGCTAGCGCTGCAGGCTGTGGCCGAGCGCTGCGCGAATGAGCAGCCGGTGCAGAATCTGTTCGAAACGCCGGTCGAGGCTGCCAAATCCGCCATCTCGACCAACGGCATCCGCATTGACAGTGCCATACAACCGCAAACGCTGGCGAAATGGCTCGGCGGCGATCGCAAGTACATGCTGGCGGTAGGCGACGCGGCGCGTAATCTCCTGAAGGTGGTCGTCGACGATCTGTACCCGCAGGAGTATCTCCGCCACGCCCCCGTTCGGACCTACTTCCGCGTTATTAGCACTGCGATGATGCTACTCAAATCCTTCTCTCTTGGCGCAAGCGAGAGCGACATTGTGGAGTCGCTTCAGCTTCTTGACCGTACAGTCACTGCCCTCAAGACTTGCATTGTGGATGATGTGCACGTTGCCAGTCGCTTCGCTGAGCTGCTGCAGACATTAAGTGACAACCTCAAGCCAAGGCTCGTCAGGATCTCCGCAGATGGTCGTGCACCAAGGAGTGGCAGGATCAGTCAGCGCGACACACCCGCTCCTACGCTTGGCCCGAGCGAGCTGGGCATGAGATCCCGTGCTCCTTTTGCTTCGACAACTTCGGCTCAGGCAGTTGCAGGCGCCATGCAGACGCAGCAGCAGCGGCAACAGCAGCTTTGGAACCTCAACGGCAGCTTCGACAACACACTACCCGCAGCGACAAGTAGCAACTTCGGCAACACTGTTAACGGTATCTCAGACAACCTACACGATCTCGGCGAGAGCGACATGATAGTCATGCCTCCACCCAACTACCTTTCCTCCCCAATCAAGTCCAACATTCCATACATGGGCGCCTACGATCCAGTGCATGGCACCAACACCTTTGGCATGCCGAACAACCACAGTAGCAACAGCCCGCAGGAGGACTGGTTAGCCCTGCCCCTCAACAATCTGTATGGTTATGGTGGGAACGACCACCACGCGGTCGTCAGACAGACGATGGGTGGGCCGGTTATTGATGGGCATGATATGCTCGAGGTTCTTTTCGCGGATGGCAATGGCTTCGATGGTGGGCAGAACGGCTATAACGAACTCTCCGGGCAGTATCGCGGCAGCGATGAGTTCGGTGGGAATTAGCGACTCTTACGGCTACCCAGCTACAGCAACCTACGATAAAGTCTACGTTCACCTTTCCACTTACGGCCGCCTTTACGACTTACGGCTTACGACCTTTACGAGACTGCTTCAAGCGCCGGCTTAACGGCTGCAGACGATCATTTCGAAGACCTTACCAGCGAGCGCGCATAATGACTATGCTCTGGGGTCGCTTCAGCGTTTCACTATAGACACTGCTTCCAGCGGCTCATCAGTTACGGCGTGCATTTCAGCGGTACCTCGAGTGCTTACCATATTTGATTTGATCAGCAAATACCCTCCAGATGAGCTCAATATTATCCTACCGAGTAAAGGCACGTCACAACGTGAGTTGCCGCTAAACATTTTCTCTGGCACTATGGAGCAGGTTTCCCTCCCCACATGTATAACGCACCGATCTGCATGTCCATCATCGCCTTGCGTTACATACCTTCGTTCGCCAGCCGATGAACCACAGGCACCGAGCTTGGCGGCACGCTTCCATACTCGCATATCACCATGCGAATGTATTCTGCAGGCGTTACATCGTACATGAGGTTTAATATCTGCAGACCAGCAATGTCCTTCCAGTCACGCAGCGACCGTACGGCACCGCCATTTGCATCGTCTCCACCTTTACTGATTTCTTGATTCGAGGCCTGGTTCTCGGCATGAGCTTCTACACGAGCTGGCAGAAACAGCTCTTCTGAAGGCGCCACCTCGTTCATGACAATACTGTCTAGCGTCACCCTATCGCTGAACTTGACCGACTCGCAGCACACAATGACCGGAATGTGCTCCTCATGCGCCGCCAGAGCTATACTTGCTGTGCCGACCCTCGACTGCAGTCGCCCGTTACTGAGCATAGCATGAGCGCCCAGAAGCACCAGAGACGCCTGCTTGACCGCATGCGTAATGCCGGAAAATGGCAGGTATTCCACCTCTATCCCAGCGCGCATAAGTGACGTGGCCAACTGCTTGCCCTCGAACAGAGGCCTTGCATCGACTATGACCACGCGGAATTCCGTACCATTGGCGTAAGCTTGGAGGATGGTTTTCTCGACAATAGAGCTCTTCCCGTAAGTTAGTAGAACAGCGCCTTTCCTGATCTGAGCGCTGGCGGTGGTGGCAATAGCCTGGTCGGAGATGGTGATACGCTCGTGCACGAAGCGGTCAATCTCTCCGCACAAGAAGTCTTTGGCTTCTTGCTCCGGCATGTTCGGATCGACCTTGCCGATAAGGTTCTTTAGCCAGCGGATGGCATTGCCCATAGACATCGAGATAGGCCGGCAAGATTTGAGGTAATCAATTTGAGGGCTTAGGTAGTGCGAGTTCAGATGCCGGGAAAGTGCCCAGTTGTTTGGCGTCGTGTAGGCTTGTATCGATTCTTTGAAGGCGAGGAGCATGGCGACGCACCGCGCGCTGCTGCCGCAGATCTCATAGCTGCTCATTTGGAAGCCGAGCGCGAGGACGGCAGGGTGGATGTCTTTCGACGCTCCTTCAATCGTATGGCGGCGAGGCTGAGTGTATAGGTGGCTGAAAAGCTCGACTTGCTTACTGCCCTTCTTCGGCTGCTCTCGCTCTTTGGTGGCGTCGCTTTGTGACGGTCTTCGTCGCAGCGGCAGAGACTGCTGTGATGATCCAGGACGTTCATGATGCTTGCTGTCCAAGCTCGCCTGCTTGTTCTGCTTCTGCTGTGGCTGTTGGCTCTTCTGCTGACCACCTTTCGGCCTTGTGTCCGGTGGCTGCTTTGCTGGCGAAGGCTCCTCTACTGTGCCGTTTGTTGCTGGCGGCTCACTGGGCTCCACACCCTGCTGCTCCTTCTGCACAGCTCTTCGAGCCTGTTTCTCCGCCTTTGCCTTCTTCTTCAGTTCAGCCGGAGACAGCTTTGGCTCTTCGGGAATGGCAGCCGGAGGCTTTGCTTGCTCAGATGCAGTCACGGGCTCCGGCATCGTATCGGCTGCGCTATAACGTTCCTTCAACAGGATATGCCTGCTTGATCCGGTGAAAGTGCGGGTCGTACACTGCGATCAGATTGGCTGTAGTCTTCTCGTTCGAGATTGTGTGTATTCGTCGCGAGTTGCGGCAAAGTTGGGAGCGCTCCATCCTTAACACAAAGGCGCCATATTGTTCTGACTCAGTAGATTGCAGTGCGATAACCTGTTGGACCTAGATGCTGCGTGTTCGAGGTTGATCTGACGACAACGATCCATATCCAGTCCGTGTAACCCGTTGAATTGGTATTGCTTGGTGGGGGCGGTGCTTGTCGAGAGTGTGTGAAGTAATGCTTTGAACAGAGGTGGTGCTGCAGGCTTTCTCCGCGAAACTTTGTTTAAGCCTTGCGTGAGTCAGAGCGACGGCAGCAATATAGGACTACGAACATAAAGCCTCTATCCTTACAGTATGATACACTAAGCGATGCAACCCCAGCGCCATCGCTAATGCACTTGCAAAGTCCTCGCTGCACCATATAAATGCCAATGCCATGCCACGCCAGTCCTAATAGTACGCCGACCACCCACAAAACAGCGTTGCAAGGTTCTTCTCATCCGACGCCTGTTGAATCAACTCATTGACGGTCGCCGCCGTGCTGAGCGTCGTACTCAGCTTTGTCTCCACAATGCCCAGTGCCCTGTCTCCTTCAGCGGCACCGTGCTCTTTCCGCTCTGAGCTTGGAACATCCACACCGATTCCGTTGCGACCCGTCTCTTGCGCATCCTGCATCTTCTTCGCTTTTCCCGACGATACGGTCCAGCTGACGAGCGGATCATACCGCAGCACGTTCAGCAAAGTCATGATGCTGCCCTTGTCTTCTCGCAGGGCGTCCATCGTGAATTCACAGCAACGCCGGAATACGCCTTCTGTCTTCGTGATGCCCATGCCATCAACGACGTCTCTCGTTAGCCGGAAAGGTACCATTTCTGGTACTGGCAGCACCCTCCCAGCTTCGAAAGCGATACCCAGATCAATGTGCACAACCTCTCCGCTGTTCGCGTCCAGCAGGATGTTTTGGATATGACGGTCACCGACCCCGAGGACGTACCCAAGGATGGAGATCGCAGCGGTCGTGCGCGTATAAGCAGTACGCTTCGTGAACCATTCGTCTGGTTCTTCGAAGTTTTCAAAGAAGAAAAAGCGAAGCACAGGCGGTATCTGCTCGCAGACCTTTCTGTATTCCTTCACACGTGCGTCCTGAGACATGCGCTCGACACTCCTGATCTTGTCTGCTGCGACAGAAGGTTTCATGCCGCTTGGATAGTACTTCTGGTGCGCCGGCTTGAGATAGTCACCGATGGCAATCGAGTTCGCCACAAACTCAATAATGCCTGACCTCGGCGCAAGTGGGATGACTTTGTAAGTACGGACTGTCAGATTGCGCCGACGGGTGTCTTTGTGCTTGCTCAACATCTTGCTGACCTCTCCGAAAACTTGCTCCATGATTGCGTCTTGCCGAAGATCGTCATTAAATTTGAAAAGCTCTCTATACACCTTCCCATCGGTCCCGCGCGCAATCAGCAACTTCGGATGGCTCTGGCCGCCCATGATGCGCATCTCAGGTGCAAAGCCTGCCACCTCGGGAACGTCATGGTAGCGTCCGTCAGGTCGCAGTGGGACGCTGACTGTAGCAGGCGGCACGCGAAGATTGCGTATGTTGGATGTCAATCTCGCTGCAGGAGGGAAGTCGGCGATTGCAATCTTGCTGACATTCGAGCCGTTGTTTGGGCTTTGAGCGAATCGGTTATACTCGTTATCTGCTCTAAAGACTTTCTTGACCAGATCTCCAGTATCTGGGAGCGTCTGAAGTGCATTTCTAATGCGCTGTGCTGCTCGGTAGCGAGATTGTGCCGCCTCGTCATTCGGCTGCTCGGGCTCCCTCGTCGTTGCGTAGAGGTGGTGCAGTGTGTGATATGGATGTTCGGCGCACAAGCGTTGTACAAGACCTCGAAGTGATGACTGAAAGCTTGACAAGTCGGTGTACTCGAGTCGTGACATCAGCTGGTTGTTGAGAACAGCGAACTTCCAGCTGGGCACCTCGCTCAAATGCTTAGCGACCACGGGGTTGGCGACAGGGGAGTCAGCGTTCTCAAACCACATTGCGAAGAATCGCAGGACACTGATGTCATGGTCGTCCGAAGCACGTAGCGCCAGCATGTAGTTCTGCAAACTCTGCTGCATGAACTCATCTCGACTTCTTCTCAGTCGTTGCTGTTCTTCGCTGTAAATAGCGTACCATTGCTCCGCCCTTCCAGCTTGCCTATTGAAGTCGTTCCGGTCATCTGTGTTCTTCATCTCTTTCTGGAGCTTTCGAAGTCGCTCGGCCTCCAGCTTCTTCTTCTGCCGTAGTACTTCTAGACGATCCAGATCTTCAGTGACAGCCGGTGACTGAAGTTGACCATCGCAAAAAGATGCGAATTGGAAGAAGACTTCCCCGGCCTCGACCCCTTCGGCACGGCCGCGTAGATCCTTGATAGCGGACTGTAAGTGGTTACTCAGTATCTCTTCCGGTCTCTCGAGGCGAGCTTGTGCAAGCTGAGACGCAAGGATAGCCTGCAAACCGGCTTGTCCGACCGGAATGTCTTGGCTGTCGCTATCGTTCGTCCTCAGAATGCCCTTCAGAAACTGTACCGAAGCTGCAGCCTCGCCGGTGGCCCACAGTGCGGATGCCGTCTGCCGTTGAGTCGCGGCGCTGACCTGTAAGCCAAGCTCTTCCGCTTGTGCGGCGAGCACTTTGACTTGCGCAACGGCGGAGAGGGCTTCTTGCAGGAAGTCGTGCCCCTGCGCAAGCTTTGCATATTCCAGCTGCGACGATATCTCCAGCAGCTTCATCTTCTTCGGACTCAAGTGCATCTCTCGCAGCAAGGTGGGATTCTGAGCAAGCACGCTGAGAAGACTCGAGTGACTGACAGCGAAGTCATTGACATCTTCAAAGCGGGCGTGTCGAAGCCAGTCATGCCGTGAGCTCATCCTGTCAGTCACCGCACGAAGTGCGCCGTCTCCGGGACTCCGAATGACCTCCGCAGTCCCTACTATGGTGGCAAGAGTATTGCACCATGACCAGGGAGGCGATGCCGCGTGCGTGACATCCCGATGTTTCGTAACGTGCTGGAGGAGAAGTCCATCAAGCCTCTTTCTGAGCTGCTCAGGATTAGTAGCGCGACTGAGATCTTGGAAGCAGGTGAAGCAAGTAGCCTGGTCTCCACCCGAGGCTTCAGGTATCGTCAAGTCCCATTGCTGCAACTTCTGTGCTGCACGAAATACGTCAGGCGCGGTGTGTTCCGTGCTGGTTGTACGGCTGGAGACTAGCGCCAGCTGTAGACTGTGCAGGTTTAGAGTTGACAGAGACCGCATTAGACCAGTAGTATCTGTGCTTAGGGCTTGATGCTGCATCCGCATTACGCTATCCAGCTTTGCAGCGTGCAGCATCAGGCCCTTGTACCCGGCGCCCTCGTAGTCGAGCCTGTCGAGCACCGAATCCAGTGTCGCTGGCTGCTGTACTCCGTAAAACGAATCAGGCTCATCAATTTGTTTGAAGATGCGAAGGAGTAGCTCGTCCGATATGTCAACGTGCTGGAACTGAGAAAGTGATGCTCTGCTTGATGTCCGCCGATTCGGTGGTGCTGTCGGCAACGCGCTCTCAGCGAACATCAATGCTGCTGTGCCCATTCCACAGCGAGTCGCAGCTTCTGCCGAGACCAACAGGTCAACATCAAGCCACTGAAGACGGTCGACTCTCGTAGCTTCTCCAGGATAAGGCTGTCTTCGGAGGTACAGAAGGAGCTGGATTAAAGAACACTGTCGAGACAACAACGCAGCGTCTCGTGCCATGAGGTGGTCGCTGATGGATTGGGAAAGCTGTGTCTTGAGCTTCTGCACAGTATTGATCTCATGAACGAGCAGGATATGAGCCACGGCGGGTAGAAGGTCAGCAGCCAAACCCGACACTCTCTGCAGGATTGGAGGAAGCGTAGGTAGGATGGCTGCCTTGGGAGAGGACTGACACAACGCGGTCGCTAGGCTGAGGATCCAAGCGCTGCTAGCGTATGAAGGACGCATCTCCAGAGCGGTACTCAGTTGCAGCGGAGTCGCTAAGAAAATTTCCGATAGGTAGGGCTGGTAACCATAGGTGCCGTCTGCGATCGCTGGCGTAAGAGAGTGAGGCAACGCCTGTTCAAACCTCAAAGCATCATCCCCACTTTCGAAAGTGTATTGAATTCGTCGCAGCGTCCATTCAGCAAGACCGGCCACATCACGCTCAGAGGTGAAGACCAACTCGGAAAGTCGACGGCCAATCTCTGCCTCCGAGTAGGCAAGCGCGTTGTTCAGTGCATTCTTGTGAGTAGATTGCAGGTTCTGGGGGCTTTTCAGTGGATATGGTCGACGGCCCTGCGCCGCATAGGCCCGACCCATAACCTGAGCTGACCAGGTCGCGAAACCATTGCTCGGCTCGTGCGTCCCTAGCAAATGCCACAGAGCGTCCACGTAAAAGATGCACCCGGAGTCCTCGCTAAGACAATCTTCGTCAGTGGAGTGCGATGGCTCGAAACTGTTAGTCAATGCGGCCAAAGCTTCCTTGCAATGGGCGGACGACATGATACCATCGACGGACTGCATCTCCGCGAGAAGAAGCAGAAGCAGCTTACTCTCAGGCGTGCCCTTGCGACCATTACCTGGCAGATTGACAGCACGAAGTGCCTCAACCAGCTCGTCGAATCTACCCTTCCTGGGAGACGAGTACGTAGACCGAAGCTGCTGCAAATACTTCACCAGCCATGCGTGAAACTTTTCCATGCTTCGCACAGTGTCTTTGTGCTGACTCTCCTGCGTGGTGCTTTCATGTCGAGTGATTGAGTGCTGACGCATTTGCAACACCATCAGTGTCACGATGCCACAGGCGAAAGAGATTGCCTCGGGTTGCTTCAGATAATGTTGTCCGCGTTGCAGGAGGTACTGAACGATCCCTAGAACGTCATCTGCGCACTCGCTAACGCTGAGAAACGCGCGGACAGAGTGCATGAGCATTTGAAGTGGATATCCGGAGAGTGCGACATCGCCCGCCATGGCGATCAAGATTCTCATCTTCCTAAGCATCATGCAGACATGCAAAGGGCCAAGCGCGTCATCCATGGCATCTGTGATCATGCGAGCCGTGAGTGTGAACGAGGAGCAGTCCCAAGGCTGCGCGGGATCTCGCGAAGTTCGCCTGCATAGTCGCTCAATCTGTTCTGGGAGAAACTTGATCTTGAAGGACGGCTGTTGGCCTGGAGGGAGTGTACGCGGAGAGTGGCCGTAGGTTTTCATCTCTGCTATCGCTTTTGCCTCGGCAGTGAACGAAGCCTTCTTCTCCAACCACTTGTCCTCTTTATCGCCATCGTCAAGCTGAAGAGACAGGTAAAAGTGTCCCATGATCGCGGGAAAGTGGTCGGTGGCGAGCTTGCGGTACTCTTCTTTCCCACCGACCAAGTTGCGTAGCCTTCCCTCGCTCGTAGCACCGCCACTGTGTTCCGATGAAGGGCTGATGTCCCAGCTGATCGCATACGCAGCAGATTGCGCAAAGGACTGTCGGGCAAGCTCTTTTGCGGTAGTCTTAAGCGACGTGGTTACAACGTGCATGCCGTCGTCTTTGCCACGCGCCAGCAGCTGCGCCACGGTTTCGCTCCGGTTCCGCTCCAGTAGTTGGGTGAGTGATGCGTACTCGAAAGCGGCGTATGGCAGTCCATTGACGGTGCGCTCCTCCAGCCAAGTGTGCAACAGCTGTGGAGCGAAAAGCCTGAAGAGCGTCTGGCAGGAAGCATAGCCGAGTGCGGTTGCTAGCTCTTTAAAACATCTAGCGGCATATGGCGCCGCGTCCGGGATCCGACCGGCGGTTTCGAACATGTAGTAGACACACTGTCTCCGCAGGGAGTGCCACGCCGAAGCCAATCGCGACAAGAACAGAAGCCTCACAGCTAAACCTTCCAGCCAGTCAGCGTCTATGGGAAGGTTGTCATGCAGATCATCAAACACTGATTCATGTTTGGAGAGGACGAAGCGGCTGAAGATGCTCGCTATGCCACCCGTCATGTGATACAGCACTTTAAAGTTGTTACACTTCAGCAACTTGAAGAGGCTGGTTCGGGCAGACTGCACGTCTTGGTCCCGTCCGTAGTCGGGATCGATATTGCACAGCTGCAAGACGAGCGAGGCAAGGCGGATCTGGACATGCATCGAAAGCACACCACTGCCTTGTGCTTCAATATAATAGTCGTAGATGTCGACGCCCAAACCAAACAGACTTCGGTTCGAAGAGTCACTCAGTGCTGGAAGAACGCTCTGCGCCATGTTAAGTAGAGCCGTCAAAGCGGGCTCCGAACGCCTGCGATCGTAAGCGGCCAGCATGCTTTCTGACCAACTTTCGAACATCATCTCCGTGTCTGCAAGGTCAAAACGCAAGCCTATTCGAGGTAAAGCCGCGATGGCAGCGTGTCCAGCAATGACCGTCTCCGGCGGCAGTGACAGAATGTATTCTCGAACCGTCACGGAAGCGGGCCGAGAGCTGGGATCATTGGAAAGTAAATGTTGGTGCGTGTCCCGCGTTGCTATTGACCATAGCTCGACATTGGCTCTGACAGCATAATTGGAGTATTCCACGGCGGCATACGATTGCAGCCTACTTTGTATAAGGGTATCCGCTCGTCGAGCGGCCCTGCTGCCCTGCGAGTCATAGTCGTCATCAATCTCCATCGGCTCCTCGTCTTGAAAGGCATCTGTGCTTTGAAGCAACCGACGACGGACAGACAAGATGTTGGCCAAGTGACAGCCCAGTATCTTCTCAGCTTCAGAGCTTTTGGCTTCACGTGACCGGATGTGTGGCATCAACGGTACGCAAGCCCTGGAGTATGCTTGGATGATTGCGTCAATCACACCTTGACCACAACTTGTGCTTTGACCAACGGTAGAGATTGCTGTTAGTAGTCCCTTCAGTTCCTGTTGAATTTGCTGCTGTCTCCTAACGTCTTGAAATGTAAGATCATGTGCAACTATGGCCATGAAGTAACAGGAGTCGAATGCTGACGAATACGCATCAAGGCTTCCTCTCCCAGTGCCAAGATGCTCGTCCCAAATGGCTCGCATTGAGCGCAGCTCAGAAAGCAGGTAGCTTAGCAGCCAATTTTCGCGACCGGGGCGCACCATGGTCTGATGCTGCTCCGCCGTCACTGGCAGGTCTTGCAGGCGCGGATTGGTCGCTTTCGTGATGGATTGACCCAGTAGTAAGTAGGAGATCATGGGATAGGTATCTTGGCAAAGCGTCCAGGCTTGACCGACACTGTCGTAAACCGGCAGAGGCGTAAGTGTCGGACGAGGTGAGCAGAGATTGAGGCACACACAGATCAGTTGCACAACGTCGTTGACCTCAAACGTCTGACGAAGCGCGAAAAGATGCACCCTGTCTGTGAGCCTTCCAGGTGCGAATCCTTTCAGAAGCCAATTGAGCCCGCCTTCCGCGAGCTTCGATGCACTGCTGCGTCTTAAGTCCAGGGAGCGTTCAATGATCCTGGCAAGAAGTTGCATGCCCGCGTCAGATAAAGTAGCCGGCCCTCCAAGATCTATCGACTCGCTGAGTGTATGCATGAAGTCTGTCGCTGCGCCATGCTGACCGAGCTCTAGCCGTAGCATGAGGTGCAGCAAGTGGCACGCCGCACGACTGGTAGCAGCATTAGTCATAGCACGGCCAGCGAGCTGCCAGATATTACCCCATCTGTCTGTGAGGGCATCGTCTGAGGCATTAGTCTGGGATGCGCAGCTAGCCAGGGCCAGGAGCGCCCACGACGAGACAGTGGTATTGTCGTCGGCACAGCTTGAGGAAAGCGCATCGATCGCCTCGCTCATCATCTCAACTGTCACCAACGCTTGCTGAGCATACACCGCCACTACTTGAAGCGCGCCTATGCGTGAGGATGACGGCCCAACGCGCGTGGCGGCAATGACTTCCTGGTATTCATTCGACGTTCGCTGCCGTTTATGGGGTCTCGGACGGTCGTCTTCTGCGCCAGAAACACGGCTAACTTCCACGCCATAACTGAGCATTTCCACAAGCGTTGCAAGGACGGATACGACTGTCCATTTGTGCTCTGCATGAGAATTAGGTGATCTTGGGTCTGCTGGGAAGTTGCCAGGTTGTAGTTCGAAGATCGCAGTGCCAATATGCCTTGCACCCTCACTCAACTCAGGCACTATAGCCAGCCGTAAGTGGTCAACCTGAAGCTGGTCTCTCTCGAAGCGTTCATAGTAGTCACTCCGTAGAACGTCTGCTAATCCTGAAAGTTCGCCTCGGAGCGTGAGCGCCTGGTCAGTATGCATCAAATGTTCGAGGTATGGGCGAAGGTAGAGGAGCATGATACAGAGCTCATCTCGAAGATCAAATGTCTTTTGAACGCGACCCCAGTGTGCAGCTGCCAACCGGATCATATGGCTTGCGCCTTGCTTCGTGAGCGTAATGTTCTCGGTCCGCGACCATGCCAGAATATGGTTGATAGTACTGAACGCTTTCTGTGGTACCCTGTTTGCAAGCTGAGCGTGCTTAAGATGATCAATGACTGTCCAGAGGACAGCCGATCCCTTTGACCCTACGGGCGCATTAGGTGCCGACGTTAACAGGTCTAAGCTTGTCACTATTTCGCCAATGACTTGCTTCGTAAGCGTGCGCTCTGTTTGCGATGCGCTAGATTCCTTGACCTGTGACCTTGAAGATCTATAGCTGGATCCATTAACAGTGCGACTGATGGAAACATTCTCCGCCCCACCGACAGCACCGTCTTCTGGAAGATCAGCAGTACATTGTGTCACGAGGTCGACGCAGAACTGGACAACACGACTCCATTCCGCCCGCGGCAAATGTTCAATATGGGGAGTGAAAGACAGGATCGCATTGAAGGCTCGTGTATAGTCAAGCGCAAGGGGCAGACAAATGCCTCCACCGGAAAGAGGTAGTGTCTGGATGACATGGTCAAGCAGTGCTTTGACCGTCTTACCCTTTACGTGTGCAGCACCGATCTCGACCGCAAGACGTAGAGCCGTTGCTAAGTCTGAAAGCCGCCTCTCTGTCGATGAGACCGCGGTCTTCGTGCTGCCTTTGAGCCAGGCAGACTGCTCCGCAACCACGAGCCGGAAAAGAACCTCATAAACATGATGGTATGATGCATCGTCGAGCAACGAAGCACCTGATTGACGTTGATTGTGTCTCAGAATATGCGTAAGATTTTCGATGCCTTCCTTGCGTGTCTTCACTAGGCTTGATTCAACTTGGTCCAAAGCTTCCTTGAGTGTGATTTCGCCGCCCATGGTGGCCAGTATTGGCCTTGCAGCGGCACTCTCCTCGCGGACATGGCAGTATGTCGCTGAACGTAATCTAGGAGGCGAGCTCGTTTACGTTTTGGTACCTTGTGCGCAGTACGTGAATGGCAATGTAAAGTGGAGAGTGAGTTTCTTTCACGAGCGTGGATTAAATAGGTACATGTAATTGCTGATCTGATTACGCACGGGCCATCGGGCGCGTGAAGGATCGCGTTTGGACTTCACATCCACATGCATTGAACTTCCTAACACACCAGCAATAAGCTGCAACATATCGCGACGCCAATCGTAGTTACCGTCACTCCTCCCAGATCTACACGGCGGCGACATGGACGACGAGGCGCCCTTGCACCGCCTACAATGCCTACAGCGCGACTTGATTGCATTCTCCGAATCACGGTTGCCCAATGTCGCAAGGCTTTCCGCAGAGCTTGAGGACAGTATCGCCGACCTCAAGAGATTCTTGGATCAGAAGGGGAAGAACGACGAGTCTCGCAAAGTGGTTTGGCCTACAGTCACACCCAGGCCGGAGATACTCGCTATAGAGGGCGTTGAATTTAGAGTCAATGATGCCTTCAGAGAGTCAGCACTTAGAGTCGCCGAGGAGGCTAGCTTGGACGAGTTGGAAGCTGCGAAGTTGTGCACGTTGGAGACCCCGGATGCCGGCGGCCTCCCGGACACGGCATTGCCGTTCAGAGCATTACTGCGCTACCACCAATACCGTCAGACAGTGTTGGAATGCATGAGAATGCTCTTGAACCAGTATAATGATGCACCCTCCTTGAATGACGAGCACTTGACCCTCATGTTCACTCAAACAGTCGACCAACTTATGAGGGGACCCGAAGGCCAGCAGGACGCAGGATCAAAGCTTTGGACGAAGTGCTTAGAAGGTCTCACAAATGTGGAGGGTCTTCTTGGGAAGCTTGCCGAGCATCGACAGACGCTGGCCATGACTGGCCGAAGCAATCAGGGCGAAGTAGCCGAGGCCTTGGAGGCTCAGCGCCTTCTATTGACTCGTCAGCATGAATCGTTGGCGGGCATATTAACTTGCCTTCTCAACGGCACGTTTGCGGTAGACTCTCAAGCTTACCGATCCTTTGTCACGAAAGTTTCTTCTTTGGACGTGCCCCGAGATATAGCGATCCATTATCTGCCTGTCTTCATTGCAAGCGCCGCGCGGCTTGGGTCGGGCGACAATACACTCGAGACAGAGTCACACAACCTGCATAAGCTTTATGCAGCTGGTCCTGCGGCGCAACAATGGAAAGCGTCCGATCTGAGGGCAGCAGCGATCGTTGCGTGGCTTGCGGAGTACAACAAGCGCTTCGCAGATCCGACTGCTGGCAAGTTCAACTTGCAAGAACGACAAGATGCCGAGCGCGCACGTCTGGATCTTTTCATGCAAGCAGTGAAAGACAAGGCATTCCACTTCATGCTTGCTGCCTGCCAGTGGCTGAAACCGGAGGTTTGGCATGATCCTGCAAAGCTTGGCCTTGTTGGCTTTTTGCTGTCAGACGCACCGGCTATGCCGTTGGATGCACCAGACCCGTCATCTGCCATGGTCGAAATGACAATGAACGAGCTCCAGAACTTTACGGAAGCCCTGATCGAGAATATGCCGGACGTTGTGCGCCGGTTGAAGGCTGAGGAGGACGACCAGAGACGGCTCAGATGGGCTCCTGCGCCAAACGATCAAACTCATTTTGAGCCGGACTTGGAGCGCTTCATGATCATCATGGCGTACGCTTACCAGGATGACCAAGATGCTACGCAAGACTTCTGGCTGGACAAAGAGAGTAACCTCTATGGCTTCCTACGTTGGGTTTCGCAGCGCCTACCAACACCCAGAGTTGCTGCATTCTGTGAGTTGCTGCGGTCAGTTGCGAACAGCTCCAATACAGCCAATCACGCTCACCGTTTCCTTCTGGAAGACTCAACCATGTTGTCCGGCAAACTTCGAAGAACTTATAGCGTGAGCTGGGCGCAGATTTTCGCCGAGCTTGAGGTTTTCGCATCATCCTTGCGCGACAAGCCTGCAATGCCACAGGCAGTAGGCCAGGAAACCCCCGCATATGTTGACAATCACATCGAAGGGATCGAGACGAGCATCATGCTTGAAGCGTACCTACGGCTCGCCGCCCACATCTGTAGGAGCAGCGTAGATGCGCGCAATTGGATTTTGCGCGAACAAACCTTCCATCTCGGCGAGGTGCTCCTTCAATTAGCGTCAAGCGGCATTGAAGGTCGTCTACAAGCTTCGTGCTTCAACATGCTCTCCGCTTTATTGGTGGATAAGGTTGCTGAGGTGAATGACGGCATCTGGGTCATGCTGGATAACTGGATCGCAGCTGGTGGTCCGGCCGGGTCGACCGCAACGAGGCCTGCAGTGACTGGCAAGCCATCTAATCCGGAGCGCTACTATTTGCAGCGCTTTGCTGAGAAGCCAGAGACTGCTACAGCATTTGTTGCTCTCCTGATCGCGCTGGTCACAACATCGCCCTCACAGACCGAGATTGTGCTTGACACTCTCCCCTTTCCGGAGCATCTGGGCGCGCCAAATCGCCATGGCGGCATTGAAGCCTACATTGACTTCGCTCTCGGCACAGTCTTCAAGCAGTCTGGCGCTTACCTTGCAGCGACCTTTGACGCAACCGAAGTCAGTGTCCTTCGCTATACCTGCCTGCAATTGATGTATGTGGCACTGTCCACTTTCAATGAAGATCTCGTCATGCTCGCGAACACCACGAGCATGGCTGTGGACTCTGCCATCAAAGCATCATCGCTTGCCGCATACGCAAGGCTGCATCCATTTGCTCGGGTTATGGACTGGTTGTTCAATGACAGTATCATTGCTGCACTGTTCGCCACGGCCCAGCAAGACTTGGACATTCTGGACAGCCTTGATGTTGGTTCACCACTCGTTCAAGCTACTATTAAGAGTGTTCAGGTAATGAACCTTGCGCTTCGTTTACAAGCAACTTATTTCGACGTCGTGCGTCCCATCGTTAAGATGCACTCAAGCTCTCGCGCGCCGACGGTTGGCAACGCAGCGTATGCGTCTTTTGATGATGTGATGCTAGGCCAGCTCCCTGTCGTGGCGCAGGTCGCCAAATTTGCAGCAAGCAATCACGCCGATCTCAGTCTGGAAACACTGAGCTTTCTGCAAAAGGTAACAGTGTCACGCAAGCTGTCAGAGACAACTCAAGCTGGCGACCGGAGACTGCGCGAAAACAATCGCTTGGTCGGTTTACTGCAGGACTCGAGTGACGCAATGGCTTCTGAGCTCGCGCTGGTCTTCGATATTGGGGAATTGGATATAGAGAGTGGAGAGCTTCCGCTGAAGGTCGTGAAGGCGCACGCCACGTTGGACATGCTCATCCGCAGTCTGGACGCTTCTCCCACCAAACCTTCTCTTGCACATTGCTTGCTTGGCTTCACTTGCGACGAATGCGGAGTCGAAATCGCGTCAGGTAGCGCATTCAGCAACGCAAGGTCACTCTTCCACACTGTGGCTGCATGCGCGGCACAAATAGCTGTCGCAATCCCACCCAGCAACATGTCCTGGCTACTTGCCGTCAAGCGCGGTTGCTTGGAAGTCATCGCAAAGCTAACGCTGTCGCCTCTCACGGCACGACTGGTTCAACCTGATCTTCTCTCCATGGAGTTTCTGGCCGCTGTAATGCAAACCCAGATCCCAGCGGCTATCAATCCGCTATGGGATGCATTGCTACCCAATGACCCAGAGGCACTGCTCAGCAGTTCCGGCGCAGCTTTGCGCGACTTCATAGTTGCCCGAAAGCTCTCATTCGACTTGGCTGCGCTGCAGCTGCAGGCTGCGGCCGTGCAGAAGGCTTACTCGGTGCAAGAGGCAACGATGAGTATACTGCGTGGTGTCATTCGCTTGCCGACCGGCGAAGCAGAGCCGACTCTGTCCGTCTTTGACTTGGTTGACTTCATGGACATTGTCACTGCTGAGCCTCTCGAAGCATCTACTAAGTTTTTGATTGACCTTGATCTCTCGGCGTGCATCAAAGATGACCCATATACCGGCATGGCCTACGATCTCAGCGTATCAGAGCAGCTACTGGTCCTGCGCAAACGCGAGCTGGTCAATGGAGGTACTCTCAAGGATGCTAATGACGAACAGCAGATCGACGATGAGATTCGCGCCACCCTCGCTTCGCTTCTGAGTTCCAACACTTTCCGGTCAATCAAGGCTGCACGCCTTGCTGCGGTGGAAGCCTGGACGGAGCTTGTCGCAGTAATGATCACTTGTGGTGACCTCAGCGAACGCGATCTCGCTTTACTGGCACTGCAAGCCCTCCAAACGATACTTCCCAGACTCGAAAGCTCCTTATCCGATAGCATGGATGTCGCTACGCTACTTGGCAGCCTTGCGTTGGTCGTGTTGCCTGCAGCCTTATCAGCACTCAGCTTGCAGCAACTCGCAAGCACTGCTCACGAACGCCTCATGGCTGCATTCCGAATGTGCCTGAAGGCGCTGACGGACAGCACAGCTGAGTTGGTGCTACGCGGTATATGCTACAGAGTCTGCCGCGAGGTCATCAAGTCAATGCCTCTTACCGACGCCGATGGCAAATCAACGACACATGCGAAGCAGCTCCTGCAGCTCGTTCAGTATGCCGGTGATCGGCTTCTTGCTGTCGGCTGCGAAGACGCATTCTCTGGACGTGGCTTGACGCGTGTCTCCGCGGTCATGTTCATCAACATGCTTGTCAAGCTGTCGCAAGCCACTCGGAGCAGTGCAGGCATGCTGAGGACGCTGTCGAAACTCAATTTCGTGCCGGTGTTGATTGACACCAGCATTGGCAGTGTGGCAGCTTCCTTTCAGGCGGAGGATGAAGAGTTGCAAACCACGCTTGCGTACTTTCACGCCGCTCTCAACCTCTTGCTGACACTTTGTCGCAACGCTGACAGCACCCAACTCGTGCTCAGCTCTGGTTTCTTCTCCGCGGTCGAGGACAGTCGGCTTTTCAGTACTGACCCGGACATTGGCCTAGATATCGACAATCCACGCGCGCTCGTTGAGTTCTACAAGCTCCTGGCGGCCGTGCTGCGGGCCGTGGCCGCCATTGTTCTTTCCCATGGCTCGAACAACAACGCCACCAAGCAAGAGGCGAAGAGGTTTCTGCAACACAACCGGTACAGCATGCAGGCTGTTTTCAAGCGTACGAGTGCGATCCAGAAAACATCAGGTCCGCCGGAGAAGGAGGCTCTGAACGTGGCACAAGAGTTTAGCCGGTTGATGCTGCTTACTGGCTTTCTTGAGGTTAGTCAAGCGGCCCGCGAGCAGACCGTGGCCAGACACTGACCTGTTTGTAGGACGATGAATCGGCGTCGCAGCGGAATAGCAGGTTGGATGGTTTCACATAATCTAGCGACTGCTGCGGGCCAGCGTGCCGCGGTCGATCAGAACAGATGTGTAGCCATGTCATTACTGCTTAATAACTGTCTGCAGGTTCCTTCCCAGCTGCAGGGGAACCTCAAATCCTCAAGTATCAGTTCGATTTACTAGGTGCGCCATGACCTCGGATGAGCTCGAGGCGATCTGTCCCGCCTTACCGAGAGAGTCCTCGTGTCAGCAGACCTGTCCACAAGCAAGCTGGCTTGTAAGCCAAGCCGTCTGCTGCTCTAGAGCAAGCCAGGCAGGCCGAGAGCTTCGGCTTGCTTGACCTGTTTATGGACAGGTCTGCATCTCACATCATCAGCAGATGTACCCAGTCGAGCGAGTTTTGGAGTGGTCAAAGTCATGCTGGGTCTGGAAGAGCGCCTGGCGACGGTCGCTAAGCTGGTACCCTTAGATGTATTACCGATTCGCGTCGGAAGTAGTTACATGTTACCTTGAGATAGTCACACCATGCCACGGTCAATCCACCACGGGGCTTGCGCGAAAGCCGCCATTCACCCTAGTAGGCGGTCAGTGTGCAGACTTCTGTGCCTTGACAGAGGCGGACCAAATGCAGGCAGCACTTGGCTTACGAAACCGGGAGTACTCGCGTCACTAGCATTCTTTAAACACGTAAACACAGAACCGCTACGCAGCGACGCAGATCTCTCGTGTGGACACTTCTTGTCACTCATAATCATTATAGCCGTAAGAACGTGTCCGTGCACTTAGTGCATGGTTCTGTCAGCTCATACTTGCTGCTGCTTGACGGATAAACTAACGTTCTTCGACAAGGAGCACGGATGGGACAAGCCTAACCGTCTGCGAACAATATCGGAACCGACCAAAAGTGTTTGAATGAGCCCCCGGCTTTCGCATGTAGGACATGCTTTGTTGAAAACGGACATACTCCACTGCGAGTCGCACTCCTATATCCCGGACCCTCCTGCGCTCGGACTGTCGAGAGAGTTCAGGGAACGCAGAGGCTGGCCCATTGCCTAGTAAATGACCCTGGCAAGCTGGTTCGTACACAGACTGTTGATACTGACAGGCGAACATGAGCCTGGATCGCCTGTCTGAGGCTCGCTGGGTTCCGTAACCGGTATGCGGCCGTCGCAGCCGGGTCGCTCTTTCCTCACGAGGAGCGTGATGAGGCGTGCGATTACGTCACTACTTGCGGTCGAGGGTCGAGATGTTTGAAAGGTGGTAAATGTTTGATGCAGATGTACAAACCGTTCGCCGCAAATGCATTGACCGCCTTCTCCGGCATGACTGACCAACGCCACGCAAATGCTTCTTCCGCAGTCACCGACTCCACGGAAAACTCTATTCATGAGAGCCATACGATGGCGAGCAGACCGGAAGTTATGCTGAGCATCATTGCGCCCGCGCCGGCCACTCCGCCTTTCCACCTTTATCCGCGATCTCCTCTAGCTTCTCGCCCATCTTTACCACACTGTATCTGATCATCCTCGGATCGAGACCTAACGTCCGCCTCACGGCATGCTGAGTCTTTGCGCTCGAATCGAAGCGCAGAATGAAGTAGTGTCCTTGGTTGTAGATGGCGCCTTGTTTGCGGGCCGGCTTGGGCAGGAGAAAGGTGCCCCAATTCGTAATGCCGCGCACCACGCCGCCCGATGATAGGACGATGTTACCGGTCGTTTTGGTGATTCTGAAAGCAGTGTTAACTGAGTATAAGCGAGGTGCGATTGAGGTGCGCAGGTGTAAGCGTACTCTTTGATCTCGTTCACGCCACGACCGGGGCGGACCTGCGCAATAGTCAGTATGTGGATGAAGCGTACCATCCAGCATTACATACCACACCGATGAGCTCATAGAGCATGTTATTGTCGCTCGATCATGAGTCTTCGTGCATGTCCAGGAGCACGCGAGCATGCATGTGAAGTTCACGAGGGGGATGCCAAGCCCACTGTTTCCCGAGTCGGCCCGAGACCATGCTCGCAGGCGCCATTGGAAGCTCATGCAACCATCGAACCCATAGTCTGTCACTTCGTGTCTTCATACAATGTCTGTGGCCATAGCTGGTGCCGGCGCAGCGCTCGCAAGGTTACTACAGAAACCAGCACAAGGTCTTGCGACATGTAGTCGGCAGCAACATCTGCGCACGCGAGCGCAGCGATTAAACGCTCGAAGGACTGCAACAGTAAGAGGGTTCACCTCGAGCGGACGAAGTACGACTGGTAATGAGTAAAAGGTTTGAGCAGCAGCTGAATCAACAATAGCACTCGAGAAACGGTACACAGAAGACCACGAGTGGATCGACACCTCGAACCCCGAGCTCGGTGCGCTTCTCTTCCACCATTGTCGTACTGCATATTCAGTCTAATGCAAGCCTGCAGCGTCAATCGGCATATCCACCTACGCCGCAAAGGCCCTGGGTGACGTGGTCTACGTTGAGCTACCCACAGTTGGCACGGAAGTCAACAAAGGCGACGCAATCGGCGCGGTCGAATCAGTCAAATCAGCTTCCGATATTATGACGCCGGTTAGCGGCACGATACAAGAGGTCAACCATGTATTGGAGGAGAAGCCGGGAATGATCAACAAGAGTCCGGAGGCAGACGGCTGGTTAGCGAAGATTAAAGTGAGCGATGCTGCGGAGATGGATGGGTTGATGGATGCGGAGAGTTACCGGAAATTCACGGAGGACGTGGACAAGAAGTGAAGTGAGTGAGAAGACTTTTACTACTTGCCATGGCGGCGCAACGGTGTTTGGCAACCTATGGTCCATCGTAATGCTGAAGGAGGTCAAGTTGCTGCTTGTAGTCGACGACCGTACGTAAGTGGACGTGCTTGTCCTGTGCAAGAAGCACCATCGCTGCGCCAAACGCCTCGCTAAACGCACTCGAAAGCCGATAGAAGCATCCACATCACCGCAAAGCAACCATACTCCCCACGTTTCCCCTCTCCGCCCCTCTATTCGCCTGCCCGCCGCTCCTCGTCGGCGGCCCACCCTGCATCAAAGCCTCCAAGCCCAGATCCCTCCACGCAGGCTGGCTTTGCCGCTGCGTAGCTCGCTGTATGCCAAAAGCCGCATGCTGGTCGGGGACAACATCGTCGTCGTCCTCGGCGCTATTTGGCTGATGCTGCGGCGCGACGAGAATGTCTTCGGCGGGTAGCTTTGAGGATGAGCCGGTGAAGGACTCGAGGAGGTCGGCGTGGTGGGACGCTTGGAGGTGGATGTAGGTGAAGGATGAGTCGCGTGACTGCCAAATGCTGTGAGTGATGGTATACCAAGGTTCTTTGGCTCAGCTCACCATGTCTGTCACCGAGTAACTAAGCGGAGTCTCGCAAATCACAACTGTCACTACCTATACCACTAGCGAAGCAATGCCTTTGAAGGCGCTCTTTCAGGCCTGCCAATAGCTCGACAGGCCCGCATTGGTTGGCTTCATGCACATATGCCTAAGGCGAGATTGTTCGGCATCGGAAGTATCCGGCGGCGCTCACTGTCGAAATTGTCCGCCAAGCCATCGCGAACATTTTGCGGCAGACACCATCACCACAACTCACCAGTGACCACATCAAGGGTGTGTGGACTGATATTATCTTCACCAAAGCACCAGTCTGACAGGAAGCAGCCTTTGCAAAACACCTCCCAACAACCTCCCACAACCGCGAACATGTCTCATGAATCAGTCTGGTACTCGCGCCCGCGCAACTACGGCAAGGGCGCAAGATCTTGGTGCGTACATTACACCACATAGCCATGAACACAAGTAGTCGGAAACGGGACAAATTGCTGATGGTTAGAACAGCCGCGTCTGCACCCACCAGGCCGGTCTCATCCGCAAGTACGGCTTGAACATCTGCCGCCAGTGCTTCCGTGAGAAGTCGGCGGACATTGGCTTCACCAAGGTATGTTGCGATTTGCGAGAGATCGGGAAGTGGGTAAGTGGACTGATGTTTGTGTAGCACCGGTGAGCGTGTGAGGAGGTGGGGGAGAGGTGGAAGAGGGTTGATATAGCGCGAGATCCGAGGACCTTGATGGAAGGTGTGCATTGATGGCGGGCATGCGCACCGTACCGGCGTTTAAAAGGCGCACTGAGATGCTGGTGGTTCAGTGCGAGAGAGTGGTGAGCGTGGCATGGCTACAGCTGCTGGTTTCTGGACGAGTAGCTACGAATCGAACACCTTCTAACAACAGATACCGAATCGCTTCCTTACGCGTACGCATTTGTATCTGACCTACGAGCACTCATGCTGCCACTACGCAAGCAAGCGTTCTGCTCTCCTGCGTCCTGCTCGTTCAGCACTTGGGCGGAACTTCGATCGACGAAAGTGCATTATGCTCTACCAGGTGTTCAGTCCAAGGGTGCGAGTTCCTGGGAAAGCTGTGAGGCCTCAGGTCGTAGAGAAACAATCGTTTGTTGCAGTTGCAGAAGATTCTCTCTTTGCAACGGCATGATGTCGATGATGATCCCGACTTTGAGCGTGATGCCACACCTATACTAAACGCTACGAGACCAGATCTAGAGCGCCTCGACGGTTAGCAAACGGACAGAGAACTCGCGTGTGATCACGGAAGACATGAGTGTTGGTTTTCTTAGCGACTCCGTGTTCAGACTTCCTCGCTTCCTCGCAATCACCCGCAGCTTACCAAACTCGTGCAATCAGGAATTCCGGATCGACAATGTCGGGTCGGACGTTCTTGGGCATCAATGTCGCACAGATCAACCAGGTTGGCGACAATGCGCCGGTACACCGCAAAGAATGAACCCTGGTTCCTTGCGTTTGTGGGGTTGATCTGGCCCATTTCCTGGTTCAAGGTCCAGAACCAGGGGGTGTTGCACAACGCGATCGTTCTTCACGCCGGCGCAGCGCCGGTGTATACCGCAGTCATGTGACCTGTGGTCGACGTAGTGTTTTGTTGGTGCCGCAGACCGAAGCAGCGAAGGGAAAGTGGCCTGACGGAAATTACATTACATCTGCACGCCCCCAGGAGCTGCAGCAAGGCAATTAAGCGAGTTGACAATTGCCGCTCCCGACGGCTTGTGTGCTTGGCCAATTAACACCGATCCTGCGCAGTGGGTGTCGCAGAACCATTGTCGCCGTCGCTGAGGAGTGATATGTGTCTCAGTAGTTCAGGCTAATGTGTATTGAAGACGCTCCGATCGTTGCTGATCTGCGTAGATGTAGGCAACCAACCCGGAGCATGTGTTCGGCAGGCTCATCCGGTCAGAGAGTTTAATCAGCCAGGCCTAGCGCGGCGGGATTGATGCCCGTTTTCCATTGGATGGTTCGTGCGTTTCTTCCCTTGCTCACTCGCTCTCCCTCGCCCAAGCGTCTCGAAGCACGCCAACGGAGCCCCATCGCCCACATACAGCTTTCTAAGCTCCGACGAACACAGACAGCACCAATCGCCCGCTGCGCACATTCCACGGGAATCTTCCTGTGCAACACAGCAGATCATCGTCACTGCGGCAGTCACTGCCCATCACTGCTGCATTTAGGTCACGCTCCGGGCGGCAGCCGAACAGCGCACCTGTGAGGCGCGACCGCTGGCAGCCGGCAGCGTGTCATTCGTTTGGCTTTTACCCATTCCACCTCGGCATATTCCATCTACCACCACCACCAGCTCTGTCAGCTGTACACGGGCGGTGACTGAGGTCGCCGGCGGGTATTGTGGGTAGGCATGGCGGACGCGAACGCGGAGTCGATTCAGCAGAAGATACAGATAGCCCGGCGGGATGCAGAGGCGCTCAAGGACCGGATAAAGCGCAAGAAGGATGAACTCGCCGACACCACACGTATGTTACCACCATCACGACATCCGCCCGCTGATGCATCGTGCTTGCGGAGATGGGGATGCTAATTTGCATGCGTAGTTCGCGAGGTCGCGCGACAACGCACCGAAGCCTTGCCGAGGCTGGCAATGCGGACGAAGCGAACACTCAAAGGTCACTTGGCCAAGATCTATGCAATGCATTGGTCAACCGACCGGAGACATCTTGTCTCCGCATCGCAAGACGGCAAGCTCATCATCTGGGACGCTTACACCACAAACAAAGTGCATGCCATACCCTTACGATCATCATGGGTCATGACATGCGCATACTCACCGAGCGGCAACTACGTAGCGTGTGGTGGCCTCGACAACATCTGCTCGATCTACAATCTGTCCGCAAGGGAAGGGCCCACGCGGGTGGCGCGAGAACTTAGTGGACACTCCGGCTACCTCAGTTGCTGTCGCTTCATCAACGACCGCCGCATCCTCACTTCCTCTGGAGACATGACGTGCGTGCTGTGGGATATCGAGTCCGGCCAGAAGATCACAGAGTTCGCCGACCATCTCGGCGACGTCATGAGCCTCAGCATAAACCCGCTGGATAACAACCAATTCGTGTCTGGAGCTTGCGACGCTTTTGCTAAGCTGTGGGATATCAGGCAGCAGAAGTGCAGTCAGACTTTTGCTGCGCACGATTCAGACATCAATGCGATTCAGTTCTTCCCGAACGGTAACGCATTCGGAACGGGGTCTGATGATGCGTCTTGCCGGCTGTTTGATATTCGCGCTGACCGCGAGCTGCAAAGCTACACTGTAAGTGGCAAAGCCATCACACAATGTACAGCTGGAAGGCTGACACTCTTCAGATTGGCGAGCCGGTGTGCGGTATCACCTCCGTCGCGTTCTCAGTCTCCGGCCGATTACTGTTCGCGGGCTACGATGACTTTGAGTGCAAGGTGAGTCGATTATAGCACGAGCGACCAATTCTAGACCATACTAACAGCGTGGATAGGTCTGGGACACTCTCCGTGGCGAGCGGGTAGGAACACTACAAGGCCACGATAACCGCGTCAGCTGTCTCGGCGTGTCGAACGACGCCATGTCATTATGCACCGGATCGTGGGATTCAATGGTGAGTCACCCGTTACACCAACATCTTAAGCTCCAACGTCTGGTGTATCCGCCAGCTAACGCGCAGCAGCTCCGTATCTGGGCATGATCTGCCAACCCACGACAATAATGCGAAGTGCAGAGCGAGATACTCTGGACATAATAATCACCCGGACGTCGAAGTGCGCCGAACCGTTTGCGTAAACCCAGGCGACTCCCATCTTCAGTCAGCGTGTACGATGCAGATGCAGTACGATCGATTCGCACCGACACCGACAGCGCAGCATCTTTGCCGAGCTAGCGAGAGTCAACGCGGCGGACGGCGAAAGGATAGAGCGATGTTTCTTTATGGCAGAGATTTGGAGCGTCTTCTTCTCTCGGATCGAAGCGACCGACCAGGCCGCGATCGCGAGAAAACACGGAAAGTCAAAGGATGAACCAGCACCGGCGATTGTGTTCTCAACGTCAGATGAACCGGACTGTGGGCGGGCGCGCGTGTGTGACATCATATTGGGCAAGCGGAGAAAGCCAGCAGCGAGTTACTACAGCCTTTCACTGCATTCTGGCGGAGCAAGAAGGAGTTCGTAGCTGCTGATGCTGTAGCGGTGTGTGTTGTTCGTTGTTTTCGGTCGTCCCCTCATCAGGCAGACGTCAAGAGAAAGGAAGCTACAGCCAACACACCTTAAGCATCACGAGGACTCCGTCTCTTCCCGTGGTCGTTGTACCGGGTACAGCTGAGTGCAGCTAACTGATTGCTGCTCGCCGCTTCTATCGGCGGCCTCCTCTCTCGCGGGAATACGTATATGCCGTGCGGAAGTGGCAGCAATGTCCCTCTGGTGTCATGTCTGGCGTGTCGTGGTGAAACGGTCTCTAGCAACGCAGATGCCACGGTGCATTGCAACGGGTGGCGCAGTTGTTGTATGCATTGCGATTGTTCGATCAAGATCATCATATCTTGCGCGGCCGGTCACGCAAGCGTTATTGATAGTATCGCACCAGCAGCGTTGATGCAATGCGGCAATACTAAAGCTTGCCCACTATGTCGCGCACCCCAGCGAACTCAAGCTCCTGCAATGTCTCCTCCCAGAGCCGCTCCATAGTCTTCTCCCCGCCATCGCTATACATCATGGGATGATAGCTGTATCCGTCAAGCATCAGCAACCAAGTCAATGTGCCGGGAGAGAGAGAGCAGAACACACCTTCCGATCTCCCAATTCTTGAGCAACGCATCGTGAGACTCCGGTCCCTTTACAGCGACTGCGTCCACATAAGTCCACGCCGCTTGCTCGGGCGATCTGGCGAAGAAGAGCTTCAGTGGCGCGAGTATCGCTTTAATCCACTACGAGCATCAGTCAGAACCGTGTAACAACCTCTTAGACAGCACGCAGCTTCATGCAAATGCGGTGACATACCAACGGCGCACCTCGATCCAGCTGAGTGCCGCCCGTGTAGCCAGGATCAACGGCATTGATAATGACCTCGTCGCCTCTTACTGCCTTGCTAAGTTGGTGGACGAGCATCAACTCAAGTGTCTTGGTAAGGCTGTAGCGCTCTTGTGCCGAGGACAAATTCCAGCCGGTTGGGTCGTCGAAAGAAGGTATCAAAGGTACGGCGTCTCGGTTCGGAAACGCAGAGATGAGAGCGAACCCAGAAGTCACAACTGACAGTCGAGCTGGACCGTTTTTGTGCTTGTCCTTCAGCAGCGGAAGCAGCAGGATGGCGAGAAGCGCGGTGGACAGGTAGTTCACTTGGAACGTCTGCTCATGTCCGGTGGATGGCGCCTTGATGAAGTCCATGGTGCCTATGCCGGCGTTCATGATAGCAATGTCGAGGCGCGGTAAGCTCGTGCACCGGCGTACGAACGACTGAATGGAGTTGTAAGAGAGAAGATCCAGCTCCCAAACATCGACTGTAGCTTTGGGGTGAGCTTTGCGCAATGACACTGCAGCAGCCTCGCCTTTCTCAACACTACGAACGGCCATGATTAAGTGGCTGAGGTGGAGGTCCAGCATGACTCCTGCGCTTGCTAAGCCGATGCCTACATTCGAGCCAGTGATTATGGCGGTCTTGCCGCTGAATGTCGTTCCCGGAAGGGGCCTGCTAGTCAGAGGACGTTGTGAGCGAAAGACCTTCGCTGACATCAAGATCTTGCGGTCGCAACACGTACCGTTTGGCCTTGGTATGAATCTGACCTTCGACAAAGAGTTGGCCGCCAGTGTACCCAGACTCGGGCGGTTGCAGAGCGTAGGATCCCATGGTGTCTGTTGTGTTGTAGGCTCGCCGTTGAGGAGGTACAGAGTGGCATGACCACATATGATTGCCATGATCTTATATATGTTTCTCGCACCTCAGCTTGTTTCACTCCGAAATATTTGTCGGCGACAGATTGATGTCCTAATTGGGAAGCTTGCATATCCAAGCGTGGGACTCTTGATTGGTTCTTTCGCCCGACGGAGATACTCTGGCCTTACTTCCGCTTCCTGCCTGCACTTCCCGCTGCTTGAACTTCGCCAGCACGCAACAAGCCAAACAAGATGCGATCGAGCAGAGATCATTTGCCGGTTGCTAAACCTCGACCGCTATGCCTGGAACATCAACATTCGTCTTCATCGCCAACGATGGACGCAACAAAGCGGAAGGCTTTGAACGAGCTGTCATCCGCAGTCATTGCATGCAAGGCCGGAACAAGCGTCCTGGTTCGGTACGCTCCCTGCGTCAGGGATGGAGAGCACCACTGCATCAAGACCGTTCCCTGCGTGATGCCAACTTCGTGTCCCGGCAGACTCCTCCCAGCATTGTTACATATCAAGAACCCAGCAGCCGGCGCCTCGCTCACGAGGTTACGAAATACGGCCTAAGTGATCGTACTCCGTTGTTCGTCTTTCGCCGTCTAACGCGTTGTGCCCTGCCATTCGCAGGCGAGTTGACGAACGACAGCCAGGTCGATCTTTCAGAATGTATGTTGCAATCGTTCGCACGGTGCGTCCTGTTGAGTGTCGTTCGGTCTGATGGTGGACAGTCTTGATGTCCACAGCGATGAGACACCATGCATTTCCTCTCAAGCAATGCATAGATTTCGGCCCCGAGCAAGAGACTCATACCGCATGGCTGTATAACGACCACGCATACGTGCATAGCGTTCTGTTGGGCATCTCAGCCCTTTCAGACTACTCTAATGCTCAGCCGCTGTCGCGCAAGACACTGCGACATCTCCGACTAACGCTGCAGTGCTTGAACAATCGACTGTCAGCTCCAAATGCACACTTACAAGACGTGGTGGCGCACATTGTAATGTCGCTAGCTTTGGTGGCGCTGGTATGTAGAGATGACGCTGCAGCTCGAGCTCATGCAGTCGGCTTGCAGCAGATCGTACGTCTGCGCGGCGGTCACACGTTCCTTCGTGACCATCCCAAACTGCACCTCCAACTCAGCCAGCTTGACTTGTCCTATTCGTTAGTTACCTTCAGCAAGCCATTGTTCGCTAATCCCGAACCCGACCACACTTGGGAGCCAATCTTTGCAGGGTGCTACCCCTCGCAGGAAACGGGCGGCGATGCTATCGCTTCGCTTACAGATGTTGTAGACACGAAGATTGCGGTCATCTTTCGCGACTTGCGGCAACTGAGCATCGCAATCAACGAGCATTTCGAATCCGGTAGCCTGCTGCATTGTTCTGTCGTGCAAGACTGGCTTGTGCGCATCCAGTCGCGGCTTTTGCAGATATCATACGACACAAGCACGTTCTCCGAGCTTCTCAGACTTGGCATGCTGGCCTATCTGACTGCAGCATTCCGGCTTGCCGGTCGCAGACTTGAGTACGAGTGCCTAGGCGCTCGTTTCCGCGAATGCTGTCATGCGACACTGTCGCAAATGGCGACGGTTGCCGGTCAACAGACACTGGTGTTCTGGATCATCATCGTTGGGGCCATGTCTTTACTCAGCTCGAACGAAGAGTGGCTGCTTGAGATATACCGAAAGGTACAGATACACGAGACTTGGGATGCTGCACAAGAGATGCTGGAGCGTGTGATGTGGATTCGTCTTATACACGATCGGGCCGGACGGGCAGCCTTCGTTGGGCTCAATAATGAACTGCGTCAACCGTCCGACGGGAGGGGGCAGCCAGAGGGTTGAATTTACTTCGTTTCAGACCGGAATCGGTACGGCGTGATGCAAGCCATGTTGGCCTGCGTGCTGCTTACCGATGTCTAGGCCGAAAAGGTGATGGGGCCTTCGAGCAGAAAGAAGTGGCCATGAAGAGCCGCCTAACTAGCTTGTACATGACTCTGTCGTCTGTACACGTGATGACCCGTAGGCTTCTAGGTGCATTCGTAGATTCGCCGGTGCATCAACCGTCATGCGTGGCTTGCATTGGCCGTTGGTACCTTGCAGCTGGCGTGTAATAGAACTTCCTGCGAGGTCATGGGCTGCGTATACGGTCACTTTAGTCAAGAACATGTTGTCTTCTGCGTCAACATACGTACCGTTATAGACGTTGCGGCATGCCCACCCGGCACTGTGCTTGTGCTGCCCAGTATAAAAAGCTCAACCGGCTCGAGCTGTCACCTTCCGTGGGGCTTGCAAGGTTGTGTAGGTTCAAGTTGCTCGCTTGCTTTCATCTGCAATTCACCGCTGTGCATGTGCATGCAGCTAATCAATCCGTACCTGAACTACCCCTTGAATTTGCGCTGCTGGTCGCCCGCCGGCGCTTGACGGAATAATATCGAATATAGGCGTGCTTACGACTCGTCTCATGGACAAGAGATGCAGATACAAGGAGGCGTGAGCCTGAGCCCGTCGCTGCTTGGCGGAAGACACTATCAGCCGCCACCACGTCCCACATCGAGCCTGTTGCGGCAGTGAAGGCGTAACGTACTATTGAACCCACGCCGCATGGCGGACACGCGGGTCGTGTGCTGCATGTCAAATAGGCATATCGGGACATATCCTGATTCTCTGCCCACGCTTTTCGAATCCGAGAATAGCCTTCCAGACTCTCCTATATTGCTCCCTCTCATTCTCAGAAACAACCTCGTAACATTCAAAGCAGCACACTCAGCGCCAAGATGTCTTCGGCACAACAAGAGTTCGACGAGCTGATGCGGGATAAAGAGCGAAGAACGATGCACCCCGAAGACGACGAAGATGGCCGCTCCTTCCTCAATATCTCCGACGACGAAGGGGACAGACCCAGACACATCCGCTCCAACGACCACGATCACGATGAGGAGATCACAGCATCCAGACCCAGTCACAGCCGAACCCGAAGTGCTGCGACGATTCCGTTCAAACGGTATGAAGCCAACACCGGCCCGAAAGGCGTCATCTCCGATGCGCAGAATTTCCGCGATTCGAGACGGCAGCATCGAGTGTCGATGCGGAGTACAGCCACGCTGCCGTCGCAGCAGTATGGCGGGTTGTCACAGTACGACAAGCCTGCGCTTAGGGAAAAGCTGCCCGAGTCAGGCGAGGAAGAGGACGGGGATGATGATGACGAAGACTTGGACGATGACTTCATGAAACAATGGCGCAGCAGTCGACTGCGGGAGATGCAGAGTCACAAGGGCTCGAGAGACAGTAAGATGCATCTGCGTCAGCAGTCAAGTCGGAGGACATGGGGTGGACTTGCGACGGTAGACGGAGACGGATACCTAGACGCTCTTGACCGCTCAGGTCCGGACACAGTGGTGATAGTGTACATCTACGACGACGAGGTAAGCATCCACCACGCGTATCATCCTCATAATCACGCTGATGAACGTTCTTGTGAGCAGTCCGAAGTTAGCCACGCAATCGAAGAATGCATCCGCGCCCTAGCGAAACGGCACATAGACACTCGATTCATCAAGCTAAGTCACCTAGACGCGGAGATGGAACCCGCTGGCGTGCCCGCGCTGTTGGCATATCGAGGTGGCGAGAAGTTTGCGGGTTTAGTGCCCATTGTTGACGAGTTGCCGGAAGATGCTGAGCTCAGCGAGCGGACGCTTGAGGCGGTGTTGCAAAGGCATCAGACTCTGAGGTGAAGTCAGTGTCACGCTCGTCGAATGATAGACAGCATGTACAGATACGGGACCATATCAGAGCTTGCAATATGTTTCCCAGTTGTAACGATAGTTGCTTCACAACCGACGAGTAGACCTGCAGACTCGTTATATCCTCGTGATATCCACTCTCGCGCGCTCAAAGACATTATGGCCTAGCACCTCCTCCTCTCGTTCTTCTGCCGAAATCACACGAGGTTGAATGGTCATGGCTGCAAAGTGGCCTGGCCCGCGCTTTTTGCTGAGTGTGCCCGGGTTGATACACGTGACGCCTTCGACGACCTACGTACAGGAGGTTGTCAGCAACTTGATCGATTCAAATGCGACGAAAGTGTAAGTGTACTCACCTTAACAAACGGATTCAAAACACTCGGCAGAACCAGTACATCCGGCCGCACTTTCAGCCACTCCCCAAGCTTCAAATACGACAAATCCAAACACGCGCCCACCGCCATTCTCTCTTCCTCACCCAGCGCAGGTACCTCACCCGGGATCGTCGCAGGTCTGGGCAGATCCACTCGACTCTGCGGCGGAAACACGGGAAAGAAATGCTGCTGATCGATCACCGCGCCCGTCAAACGAGCAAGCAAGTCGTCATTGAACGCTTGGCCTTTGCCGGCTTGATAGACGTTCTCTTTCCGTAGCTCAGATAGCACGTCCTGCGTACTCACTGCCAGTATCATCTCGTTGATCGAGAGCATGATAGGGTTTGTGACGACGTGGACTTGCTTTGGAAGACCCAGGGCCGCTCGCGGAAAGCGGTCTTGGGGCCAGGCAGTGTGCTTGTTGATTGCGTCGCGCAGGCTGGGTACCATGATGATTGTGATGGTTGGGACGGCGCGTACGAGGTCCTGGATCGGTTGAGCGATCAAGATGCGGAAGAGATCGTTTAGTGTTGCGCGGTCTGGTTCGATCTTTGCGTCTGCTGGTAGGTGGTCTTCGAAGTCTCCTGATGCGACGACGGGGTGCTCGAGATCCAAGAACGGGCCGGCAAGCACGAGGACGTCCGTATTCTGTTCTTTGGCAGTGGCGAGAAGAGCGTGCAGTGGAGCGAAGGAGAAGTCGATATCCGTCGTGTACGGCCCGCTCGCCACAAGCATGCTTAACGGTCTTGTCTCGCCATCTGCGCTCGTGAGTCGATCATTGTGGATGTCGATATCGGCAGGTGATGACGCCGGCGGTGGCAGTCGTGGCATGGACAGTACTTCCGCAACAGAAAAGTACTCGCCGCTGACGTTCGTGCCACGCAGGGCTACGATCTTGCCTGGGAAGACGTCGTAGCCGACACCCGCGGCGAACTTCAGCGGTACCCGCAGGCCCGCAGCCATCCTTCTGCTGCCCTCCAGCACTATGCTAGCGGCATTCAGCTTTCCACTGGGGTCATCACAAGCTATGCGGCCAACCGTGACGACCTCAGCGGTGGACTGCGCGGCAGGGTTGCCGAATGCGCTGTCGGGCAGCTTATGGTGGGCCTGTATCAGATCGGTGAAGGTGTCGATACGGTCGTCGAGGACTTCGGATGCTTCGGAAAGCTTCATAGCCATGGTCTTGTAAGCGAACTTTGCCTGATCGAGGTTGGCCTTCAGCTTTACGCGGGCTTCGGTTGGTGGGTCCAAGGGTGCAGTGGCGGCTGGTAGGTGGCTGTTGATCTGCTGTACTATCTCGCCAGCATTCTGTCGCTTCTCGAAAGCAATCACCTGTCCATCGCGCGGCGGTATTGGCGTCTTGTTGTCGGCTGGTGAGCTGTTGAGCCCGCTCTTTGCAGACTTGGGCGCGGGCGTTGCAAAGTCGTTCGCCTTCCGCTTTGCCGCACTTGAAAACCTCGATCCGGGTGTGGCAGTTGTCATGCCATCGAGCATACCAAACACATCGCCACCATTGACCGCTCGCGGCGTTGCAGCTGTCTTCTTCACGGCGCTCTGATGGACTTGATGCCCTTTCGCCCGGGACTCCCGCTCCAGTGCATCTTGCAGATCCTTCTTCAAGTCACGTACAGTCTTGTAATCCAGCTTAGTGTTCTCGACACCCATCTTAATCACGTAGCTTTCCCATTTGAAGAAGAGTTCCTGCGGGCTAAGTCCGAGCAAGCGCATGATATGTTGCAGTTCGGTTGATACGTCGTCTGGTAACGACCCTCCTGCTGATGGCGCAAAGAGCTCCACCAATATTCCGGTGTCCGCCATAGTCTCCTCTACTTAGTGATTCGCTTTCTCGTCTGCTTGTCAAAGTTACTCTTCTCAATGGTATATTGACGATGCGAACACGGCGACGCGTCTCGGGGGACGCGACTTCGGTAAAGTGGGCGCCGAGACGCTACTTTAGCCGCTCCACCCGTAACACGCAAGCCACGCGAGAACTTGACGTATCAATGTGGCATCATGCTACCTCCACGATCATATCGAAAGGCAGCTTGACGAGTGCAACAAACGAAGCCGCCCGTACGGCTCCCTGCTCCGTATGTCTCGGCTCTACTTTGTTTACTGATGGTGGGTGTCTCTCTACTTGAACAAGCACTGCCTCGTCCCAAACGCACCGTGCCATCATCTTCCAAGCATTGTGACGCAGGGTTCAATCTTCCTTATCTCGATGAGAAAGTGTGCCGCATGCCATTGAGACTGCGTCGCAACTTTTCCCAGCTATCCCAACACTCTTCCACAACTGGTCGATAGACCTTCTCAGTCTCCGTAGTCTTTTGCCCGCTCAACACATCGCTTCTGTTGCAATCCTTACTTCAAATAACTCCTCGTCCAAGGAAATCGAGACACACCGGCCACTCCTGTCATGGCGAATCCATCCAATGGCTCTATAGGCGACAAGGCAGCCCTTGGGGTCGCTCAAGGATCTATCTCTGAAACTCCCTCTTCAGCAACGTCCTTCATGTCAACTTCGTCCCGACTAGCACCTACAGATACACCAGCCAGTAGTGCCGTAACCGGTACGACCACACGCGAAGAGGAAGCGGAATGGGAGCCTCCCAAGAACGGCCCCCTCAAGACACCCATCACGAGACCTATGAAAAGTGCACATCCGAAAAGACCTGCTGCCCTAACACCCGAGCAAGAAGTCAAATACGCCACGGTACTGGCCAGCGTCTCCCAATGGCAGAGTCTACCGGCCACCACGCTCAAAGGCGCACCGACAGTGCCCATACAGGATCACGAGCGCATGTGGCTGACACGTGACTGTCTACTCCGCTACCTGCGAGCCGAGAAGTGGCAGACCGCCAATGCCCTCAGGCGGCTACAGTCGACACTCAGCTGGCGAAGAGAATTCGGCGCGGACACCTTTACCGCAGACTACATCTCGGAGGAGAATGAGACGGGCAAGCAACTGGTCCTCGGCTACGACATAGAAGCCCGACCATGCCTCTACCTCAGCCCAGCAAAACAGAACACCAAGATGTCTGACAAGCAAATACACCACCTCTGCTTCATGCTCGACCGGACAATCGACATGATGCCGCCCGGCGTTGAGTCAGCCTGCCTCTTGATCAACTTCAAGGGTGCTGGAGGCGGTCACACCCCGACTGTCCAGCAAGCACGCAGCGTCCTCAACATCCTCCAAAATCACAGCCCGGAGCGGTTAGGCAGGGCGTTAATCAGCGATCTGCCGTGGTATGTCACGACATTCTTCAAGCTCATCTCGCCTTTCATCGATCCCGTGACGAGAGACAAGATGCGGTTCAACGAGGACCTGACGAAGCACGTACCCCGGCAACAACTCTGGGACAGTCATGGTGGCGATCTGAAATTCGTGTACGAGCATGATAGTTATTGGCCCGCGCTGGAAGCGGAATGCAGGAAGCGGCAGGAGGCGAGTCGGCGGCGGTGGGAGCAAGGCGGGAAGCGGGTCGGGGAGTATGAGGAATACCTGCGTGGCGGCGATCATCCCTCATTGCAGCAGGTTTTGAATGCGGCGAAGAAGGAGGTTGGGGTGGATGGGGGTGGGGATGAGGCGTTGGTTGGTGAGAAGGATGCGGATTTGGTTGCTGCTGGGGTGGGCAAGTTGAGTGTGTAAAGTGCGAGTCCTACACCTCAAGGCGACAGGCGCAGAGTGAAGGCAGAACATATGGGAAATGGTCGCCATACGAGCGCTTCGCCTATGTCTCTGCATAAAGCAACAACCGGGCTGGCGGTCCTGCTGGCCGACTTGATTAGAGCAATACAAGGGTCGTGCATCAAGGAGCATCGGGGCCAGCATAGCGTGTGTACAGCAGCCGGTACGAGTCTAAACAAGCATTTTCGAGCCCATGGAGCAAAAGGCATGCATGCGAACGGCATCCTCCTTCACAAACCTCCCGCACGAGCTTTTACCAATTCCTGCTCGCTTCGAAGTCAATCACACGTCAAACACATCTGCCGGAACGCTCATAACCGAGCCCGAGGTTAACCTCATGCACGGCACGGCACTCGTTCGTCGAGCTTCTTAAGAGGCTCGAGCGTGCTTTCCCCGCGCAAAACCCCACCACATCCCGCAGCCACCATTCCACTGTTCGTGTGCTTTCCTCTGGTAAATATCGTATTTAACCAGCTTCCCTCCCCCAGTAACAATGCCGCCTCGGCTACCCGACGATGACCCCGGCCGAATACTAGTCCCAGCTGGTTGGCAAACTTGCGGTATGACGTTCTTTAGCCGGCGATGGTGCCTGTCTACGAAGCTTGATTGCGACCTCATACTGTAGTCTAGACACATCGTGCATGCAGCAGAAGATGAGACGAAGAGATATATGTAGGTTCGGGCACCGACATCTAATTGCACCTCTCCACCTTGGCTACAAGCATTCCTCCTCTTAATTCTCGCAAACATGTGGCGCTCAATCGCTCCTCTCCTTACCCTCCTCTCCTCCCTTCTCATCCCAGCTCAAGCACACCTAGGACCGCCAGGCCCGCCGTGGTCTTACTTCCCCACCAACAAGTACGCGGCCGGCGCATCGGCCTGTTCAGCCATCGCACAGAGCTTCCGTTACCAGAATGTCACGGTCAACTTCGCGCATTACGTGCCCGCAGGCACAAACATTTCACTGGAGCAGACGGGCGCGCTCGCAACATGCGCTCGTCCCTTCCAAGTCGCACCGGTGGATGTATGCCGTGTAGCCATGTTCGTGGCGACCAGCAATCGCAGTAACATTACGCTTGAGGCGTGGTTGCCGACGGACTGGAACGGTCGGTTCTTGAGTACGGGGAATGGAGGCTTGAGTGGGTGTATCCAGTATGTGTTCATTCCCCATTCGCCGGCGACCAGCAGAATAGCTCGTTCTTCTGACACTTCACCAATAGGTACGAGGACATTGCCTATGGGACCAGCTTTGGCTTCGCTACCGTTGGAGCCAACAATGGGCATAACGGGACCAGCGGCGCGGCCTTCTACATGAACGCGGATGTGGTCGCAGACTTCGCCTACCGCAGCGTGCATACTGGTGTCGTTGTCGGCAAGGCGATCTCGAATCAGTATTACCGCCAGCAGTACTCCAAGAGCTACTACCTGGGTTGCTCTACGGGTGGCAGACAAGGATTCAAAGAAGCGCAGGACTTCCCCGAAGACTTTGACGGAATTGTCGCCGGCGCACCAGCTGTTGGATTCAACAATCTCAGCTCTTGGTCTGGACACTTCCGTAAGTTTCACACCTACCGGGTCATGCGTGCCACGTTGCCTCTCAGTGGCTAACTTGGCCTAGTTCTGATCACCGGCACACCCAACGCCTCTACCTTCCTCAATCCCGCACAATGGGCGCTTGTTCATCGGGACATCCTCTCCCAGTGCGATGCCATAGACAATGCCGTGGACGGCATTGTCGAAGACCCTCTGCTGTGCCACTACGACCCGATAACGTTACTCTGCCCGCCCGGCAACACCACGAACTGCCTGACATCCGCCCAGGTCCAAACAGTCGCCGCAGTCTTCGCTCCATACTATGGCGTCAACGGCACCCTTATCTTCCCAGGCATGAACGTGGGATCGGAACTGTCAGACGCCTTCATCTACTACAATGGCCAACCGTTCCCATACACATCAGATTGGATTCGCTATGCTATCCTCAACGACCCCACCTGGAGTCCGTTTAACTTGACCGCTCAGCTGGCCGCGTATGCACATGCAGTCAATCCATCCGACATCGAGACGTGGAAGGGTGATTTGTCCGCCTACAAGAATAAGGGAGGCAAGATTGTGAGTCGACCCACCCTTGCAGGCACGATTTGAAGATGAGACGTGCTGATTCCAGGACAGTTACACTACCACGGCCAAGCAGATTCCATCATCACTTCGTCCAACTCGCCGCGCTACTATGACAACGTTGCTACATCCATGTCCCTCCCGCCAGCGTCGCTCGACTCATTCTACCGCTTCTTCAGAATCAGCGGGATGGATCATTGTGCCGGCGGAGTTGGTGCCTGGCAGATAGGCCAGACGACGGCAGGATCTGCAAACACGACGTTGGATCCTCAGCATAACATCCTGCTGAGGATGGTTGACTGGGTTGAGAATGGGAATGCCCCTGACACTGTGACTGGGACGAAGTTTGTTAATGTGAGTTTTGCTCGCTCAGCTTTGGTAGAGTGCAATTTGCTAATGGTTATTTGCAGGACACGGCAAGCTTGGGTGTGAGCTTCGTGCGCAATCACTGCCGGTATCCGCTCCGCAATGTATGCGTGGATCCGGCGAACTACCAGAACCCGGCGGCGTGGAAGTGTGTGCTTTGAGAACAGCAAGGTGTGAGGACTGAGTGAATCCGTGCTTACAGTGCGGTACGTAGTAGGCACAGCATTACAGACTCGGCGCAGCTATGCAGACGAATTATTGAGCCAGCGTTGGAAAACGCAGTCTGCAATCTCATATACGCCACCACATTTATTCCGCTTGCTTGGCTTGCTCCCTCAGCGCCGGCGCAGTGCCTGCCTTGTGCTCCATGTCAGCAGCCCACAAGGCAGCACCGCACGTGTTGGTGAAGGCGAAGAAGATGCCAGCCAAAGGCACGATTTCGAGTAAGGTAGCCACAATGCCGAAGCTGCAACTACCATCAGTAACAAATCTTCAACCATCTAAATCAAATACGACACACCTAGTGTAGGCGCCCTGCCTCTCCTCAACGAACTTCTCGCGCTGCGTGGTGCTCATGCCCTTGAGTTGAAAGTACCTGGCGTGCGCGGCGGGACCGTATCGCCTCCCTTGCAGCACCACGAACGCCACCGTCCCGATCACAGGAATAAAGTTGAGGGGAAGATACATGAAGTACTTGACGATTGCGCTCGGTGTGAAGTTTGCGAATGGCTTGCTCATCAACTTTCCAAGCCTTGCAATGGCATCACTGGCGCCTCCGGACTTGATCTGACGGTCCTTCGCCACCAACGCGGTCTGGCCCTTCGCTACGAGCGTGCCGTCAAACGTGTCAACGAGGGCATCCTCGATGAGTAGAGCTTTCGACAAGACCATGGTGAGGGTGCTGCTTTCGCTTAGGACTAATAGGATGGTGCTGAGGGCGGCCAGCGGGCCGGAGGTGAAGACCAGGACGGCGACTTGGGGGAGGTAAGTGAACAGGAACATGAAGGATGTTACGCCGAGGCCGAGAGTCAGTGTTGGCGCCAGTCGGGAGAGTAGAGGTCGGTAGAGGTCCTTGTGAGTTGCGAAGAAGTACATTCCCTTGAGTGGGTAGAGGTAGGCGCCTGACTTGGCTCCCTCCTCGGCTACGTGACGGACGCGGTCCAGCTCCTGCTGAGCGGTCTCTTTAATTTTCGCCGACATACTGTCCTGTGCCGTGTTGTGTCTGCTGGATATTTGGGGTAGTACGTTGGTGTTCAATAGGTATGAGTAGTGCAGAGATTCTTGAAGTGCGGTTTATGTACCTTCGACGTCATCCTTGCGTCCAGGGCAACCACTTTCAACTGCAGTTGCCTTGCTTGACCTCCCGCATGTAGTTCTCAGTAGTTTTTCAGTGAGAAGCAGCCTGACCAATAACTACTTACATTCACTGACACCGGTAATCACATTGTATATCCACTTACAATGCCGTGTGTAATGCGACAGGACGACCTTTCCATCTCTGTTCGCATCTGGTGCCTTAATCTAAAAGTGAACTTGCTAGCAGCCTGTTCACGCAAGCAGACACCAGACTGTGGTCCGGTAATCCTTGGGACTTTACAGCCGTCAATATATCCAATCACACGCGAAGGGAGGTTGGTAAGGCTGTTTTTTACTCCGCTCCTCGCTCCGCCTGGTAAAGACTTAGTAAGCGATGTCGCGCTACGGCTCTCCTCAGCGGACAATTTACTGGGGCTCCAACGGTCATGCCACACAACCTAGGGTGCCATCCCTGGTCGATCAGTCCACACACATACAACAGCCTTTCGGGAGCGCAACGAAGTCCGACGATGGCACGGATTCGGTAGGTTGAAGTGGTGGTCCGCTTCCACAACCGTTCCAATTTTGCCTACATTGCATCCACCACAGACCCCTGTGGCGCTTCCAATCTTTGATACTACATGTCTGTGTTCCGCTCGCGTGCTTTCATTGTCACTACGTACCCGACCACAAAGTTGCAATGAAAACCAGCCCTCCCCCAGCGACAATACCTGCTCCGACTAATCCTACTCCGACTCCCTGGTTTGAGTCGTACGTAACGACCAGTCTCTGATTTGACAACATCTCCACAAGATGCATCTTCGCTCATTGAACGATCTCGACCACTCCGAGGGCACTGTGCAGCTGCACGACGCGTCCAATGAAGGTCGTTTGATTCTGCATCCAACGCCGAATCCTAACGATCCCAACGAGTACGCAGCGCGTCTGCAGGTTCGTCTTTTGCTCAGACACTGATCGCTGCAACAGCCCTCTCCGCTGGCCACGGTGGAAGAAGCACGTCTGCTTCGCCGCAGTTTGCGCCTTCACGTTCTTAACTAACTACGCTCTCGGTGGCCTGTCTCCGGCCTTTTACAACCTCAGCATCGAGTTCAACAAGACACCAACAGAAACCAGCGCACTCTTGTTATGGGTAATCCTCGTGCTTGGTATCTTCAACTTCTTCTGGGTGCCCGTGGCGAATTACTTCGGCAAGCGGCCCGTCTTCGTCTTCGCCTCCCTCTTGCTCTGCGTGTGCTACCTGTGGGGTGCTGTTGCCCAATCGTTCCAGTCGCTGCTCTGGAGTAATATCATTGCAGCATTTGCTGGATCTTCCACCGAAGCCCTCGGCGCTGCCATCGTCAATGATCTCTACTTTCTCCATGAGCGTGGACACTACCTGAGCATCTACATGAACGCCATCAGTGGTGGTAACACCATCGGGCCGCTCATCTGCGGCGCAGTGGTGACGAGCCTGTCCTGGCGTTGGCATAAGTGGATGGCCTTCATTTTCACTGCGGTCAACTTCGTTGTGGTGCTGCTCTTCGTTCCCGAGACTCGCTACGACCGCGCCGAATTGCAGAACCTGCCGCCAGCGTCGCGAAGCTCCGACTCGATCCCGGCATCTACGGATGAAGAGGCCGTAACAGAGATCACGGATGACAAGATCGTTACCACGAAGTCTAAGGAAATGCCGCAGCACCCTGCGCTCCGCGGACAGCAGGTTCCGAAGAAGACTTGGAGACAGGAGCTCAGCCTCTGGTCCGGTGTACCAAAAGACGAGAATCTCCTCACACTCTTCATCCGGCCGTTCCCACTCATCGTGTACCCGGCCGTCATCTTCGCCTTCCTTGGCTACGCAGTCTCGCTAGCTTGGGTAAGTGCAGCGAAGCGTCATCCCATCCGTATAGTCTGAGACATAGCTGACCCTTGTGAGGTTGTGTCCATCAACATACTCAACTCGTTCGTACTTCAAGCACCGCCGTACAACTGGAAGCCATCCATCAACGGTCTGATCAACATCCCCGGCTTGCTTGGGAATCTTTTCGGCGCTTGGGTTGGTGGCTGGGTGGTCGACCGCTACTCGGACTGGCGCAGCAAGAAGAACGGGGGTGTGTTCCAGCCGGAGACTCGTCTTCATCTGCTTTGGATTCCTGCCATCATCGTGCCTGCTGGCTTACTGGCTTTCGGTTACGGTGTTGCGAAGACGCTTCATTGGACTTCACTGTGAGCCATTTCACGCGCAGTGCCTGAAGCAGGCAATGCTGACAGTCCTGCAGGTTCTTCGGCTATGGCATGGTTGCTGTTGGCTTGACTGCAGTGCCGTAAGTATCCGGACCTTCGTATTTCATTGACATGTCGACTGACTCCTTCTCGCTGTTAGTGTCGCGACGATGACCTACGTGTCCGACTGCTATCTACCCGTCAACGCGGACGCGCTCCTCCTCGTCAACGGCCTCAAGAACATTGTCGCCTTTGGCTTCTTATACGGTGTCGTACCATGGGTGATGGAAGTCGGCTACGCCGACTCATTCGGAACCCAGGCCGGCATCTACGTCTTAATAATGCTTCTGGCGGTCCCACTAATCCTATTCGGGCAGAAATGGAGACACACGACTGCCAAATGGAAGATCATCTTGTAATAGGCGCACAAGCGGCCTTACTATGCGTGGGTATAGCAACATAATTTAATGTCTTTGCATCTCAACCTTACCCTTTGAGATCACCTCAGTGTGCATTTGCGCCACTTCCGGCACGATCCAGGACTCTATCTCGATCGAAGGCTCCCTTGGCTCTGCATTTTCGATCGTATCGCCATCTTTGCCAGTGACGCTTCTCGTGCGACGTCCTAGCGGCACCCTGATCCACCGCTCACTGCCATCGGCTGCGACAAACAGTACTTCCCATTTGCGCGTGTTGAGCAGGTTGCCTATAACGAGATGATGCGAGTACTTTTGAAGTGCGCCTTTCGCTTTCTTTGCAAGCAGGGAAGGATCCGTCTCGAGCTTGAAGGATATAATCATGCTCCGGGGCGCCCAGGTATCGACAAGCTGCTTCAAAAACTTCGGCACCGGATCCAAATCGATGATGAGTCGTTTGTCCTCCATATGAGCTGCTGGCGGTCGGTCACCATCGCCATTGGTTACATCCTGGTGATAGTCTTCCGAAGACTGAATCTTGTGCTCAACCATTCGTGCGGCAGGCACGAAGAAGTCGGAGACAGCAGCGGCAAGATAGAACAACCCGTTCGCTTCCAGCGGCTGCATTTGTATAGCCAGCTCCCGCAGGAGCCAGAGGTAGTCATTCACCGTCACAAAGGGCAGAAGCAGCAGAGTGTTCTCCCGTTTGGCCTTCCGATACTGATCGAGCACTTTCGCCATCTGCTGCTGATACTCGCTCTCGATCACCACAGCGCCGGCGTCGTTATGCGTCATGAAGTCCAGAAAGCAGTTTGTACTATGGGAGTAATGCCTCGAGTAAGGTAGCAATGAGAACTGCCGGTGAAGGAAGATGACTGCATAGCCAGACTGGAGGAAGTACTCGGCGCTTGTTGCGCCTCGGGTGCCGGCGGAAAAGTTGTCGATGAATCTGACGGTTTGGTTCTCCAATGGTACCGTCGTGCCTCCTGATGTGACGAGAGCGACTCTTCGGTGCTGCTCGGCATGCTGCTGTATGAAGGCACGTGCGAGAGTCACTTGTCTATCCAGGTTCGCCGGCTTCGGGCTCGCGGTGAAGTAGTCCATATCTGACGCATGCTCGGCTACACCGTTCGTCAAATTGCCCGGTTGACCCATCGACAATGCAAGCGGTTGCTGCGACTAGATATTGTGCGCTAATCCCTAGTCGAAGCCTCAGCGATACGGGTCCAGTAGTACCGTAGTTCCAAAGTTGCAACCGGACAAGCAACTTGAGATGACCCTACAGTCAGCTTGCCAATGAAACTTCTTGGAGTAGTTCTGCTCCATTTCTCCGAACTTGCTTTCGATTGACAAGCTGTGCTGATACATTCCGTGTACGATCAATCATCCGACGTCAGCGTAGAAGAGCCTCGGCGGTCGTTCTGTGCGATTCATTCGATTGGTGTGATTCGTCGAAAGATCTCGGCCGCTAGCGAATGTGCGTGGGAGCAGCCGAACATGCGGCCAACCTGTGATCAACACTCTCTCAATCTATCGTCAACTCCAGCTCAACTGTAGGCCAACTGGAAGTCCTAACTTAATATGGAGACTTTTTCGTACGGCGGGCGTGCTGGTGTAGAATGTCTGCTTCAGTGCTAATAATGGCGCTTGGCGAACACCTTGCCAACTCCTATCTTATATCATGTCTCTTCGCGTGCTAGAAGACGGCACCCTCCATAGTAAACGCCATTGTCCGGCTGCTCTCACGCAAAGCAGTCAGCAGTTCATCCGCGAGAGCGAATGAGTAATGATCTCCTCTCGGCTGTCTCAGTCGTAAGATGCTCGGTTTACGTTGCGGCGTGCTACTCATGAGCTAGATGTCTTTATTATGCATATCGAACATCGGTTGGTCGCAGCGACGTTTGAGACATGCTACTGTAGTGCATGCAGAGGTAGTACACTGCTATGATCAGTGGTATCCTACAACACCCCATCACCTTACTCCTACAGCTATGCAAAGAAAGAACCTCAACCACAGCCGTACAACCATTGCCCCGTCCGCCGTGCTAGAGAAAAGAAACACTCCACCAACTCCTCGCTCGGAACGTGCCACACGACGCAATGCGATGCATGCTCTCGCCAACGCTATGCATACAGCAGCCGACTTTTCCAATCTAGGTCCTACCACACCTTCTCCACACCTACTCTCAGGTCACCAGTAAGTAACATGGCATGTATCTATCACCTCTCCGAAAACTCCCCCGTCCGCCGACTACTCCTCTCCTCTTCCTCTTCCAACACATCGCTCAGCCGCGTGGGATGATGATGCCGGGTCGTCTGCACCTGCTCCCAGCCGCCATACCCGGACCCTTCATAGTCCGGTCCTGCATGAGCTCCGGAAACCGCAGAACCTCCCGCAACACCGGCACTCGTCGCAGGATAGCCGCCGGGCGCCGCCATACCCTGCGCGCCCGACGCAGGCACGCTCGGAGCCTCCGGGGGAGCCGATGAGCCGCCGCCACCGCCATAACGCGGACCGTATTCAGCTTCCGAGCGAACAACGTCATCGTCGTAAGGCTCGTCGGCTTCTTCCTCTCCGCCCCTGGCTGCGGGTCGCTGCTGGAAGACGATCGGACGACCGCGATCATCGTGTCGGAATTGTCCCGTAGGTTCGATGACGTATTCGGTATCGCCTTCGCTGAGCGTGTCGACGTAGCTAGGTTCTGAGCGGAGATCTTCGCGGCGAGTTGGCGCGCTGTGTCCCGCTGGGACTGTGCCGCCAGCGGAGGAGCTTGGTGCGGAGTGCAGGAATGTCTCTTGCGGTGCGTGCTGGTAGAATTGTTGGCTTGGCTGTGCAGCGGTAGATGCAGGTTGAGAACGTCCATCCCCGTGTGAGCCGGTCGAAGGAGGAGCATATCGCTGAGCTGCAGCAGCGGCAGCCTTTTGCGCCATGCCAGCGTCGGTCCCCGCAGGATAAGGCCTATACGTACCCGTAGCGAGCGATGCCACGTCGGGCTCATGATGCAACGGCTGACGTTGGTGCTCGGTGAACGGATCCGTGTTTGTTGGTGACGGCCGGCCATATTCGCCATACTGCTCGTCATCGTCTCCTAGACTCGCCAGACCTGCCGCACCCGCACCGGCACTCGAAGCGCCAGCAGCACTGCCACCATACTGTGGCACGCCCTCTCTAGTACCCGGTCTTTGACTCGCACTGCCAGTCCTACTCGGCTCGCGGTAGTAGGGTACCACCTGCACTCCGGAGACGACAGCGATTCTACCGTTCTTCAACGCCTCCGCAGTGTCAAGTGATTCTTGATTGCGTCTGCCGAGTTCTTCCCATGCACGACGAGCCTCTTCCTTTGATATGTTAAGCTCACGCCTCATCTCCGCGAGTTCTGTGCTTGCCTTGGTAGCGGCAGCTTCGGCCTCGAGTCTCTTCTGCACAGCCTCATCTCGCGCACTACGCTCAAGCTTGAGCTGTCGATCCAGCCCACCTTGGATCTCCTCTTGCTTCTCCTTGTCTGCTCGGGTTTCGAAGAACCATCGTTGAAACTTGCGCTCACTGCTCGCTCTGAGACGCTGTAGCTCCACGACAGCATGGAAGAGGTTCGCACCAGCGGCAGACAGGTCGGTGATTTGCCGGCTCAGTGTTGATGCATTCGGGACAGTGTTTCGAATCTCTTCCGCATTGCCCTCGAGTTTGTGCAGCCAATAGGATGTCAGGCCTTCCCAGTGCGACGATAGCTGCTCCCACCGCTCAAAGGCGTGCGGGAATGAAGAGCTTGTGCCGCGCTGTCCACTCTCTGCCGGCTGTGGTACGCTTTGTGAGCTGGCAGCGCCCGCCGCAGTCTGGCCGCTTGGCTGTCGCGGCGTCGGTTGACTTTGTTGTGTCCGACGAGTACCACTTGTCGCTGCTGGTGCTGCTGGCCGAGGCTGTTCCTGCTGAGAGCCAGTGGAGCCTCTTGTCCTACTGCTCGGATACTCTTGGGTCCTACCCACCGGCTCACCAAGCTGATCCACCCCGGATACTCTACTGCCATACCGCATCGTCCTGTCAGCACCACCATCGTATGCCCCTTGCGGCTCTCCGGAGTCTCGTGTATATGCCGAGCTTGCCTGACTGAGCCTAGGCGCACCGCCGGTGAGTGTAGCAGCCCTACGCTCGGCGCTGCGTCTCCGCTCCTCTGCTCTGCGTGCCTCCTCCGCCTTCAGCTCCTCCTGCTTCTGCTGCTCACGCGCGTTACGGGCTCTCATGACATCTCTGGGCGTACGGAGACCAGATGGCGTGCCGGATGAAGCGACTGGGACCGGTCCAGCTGCACGTGCTCCGCCATTATTTGCGCGCCCACCGCCGAGCTCTGACATCTGCGCGTTCTCCTCCTCCAACACCGGCGTGAAGTTGTTGGGCTTACGTATGAACTCTTCTAGCACGTGTTGTATGGCAGAGTGTGTGCGACGTGAGATACGAAGCGCTGGATGCGGGGGTTGCGCAGAGTGGAAGGCGCTTGTGGCACGTCGTTGCGCTGTTGGCGCCGGTGACCGTGAACTATGACGCGATCGTGGCGGTGACGGTGATCGGTCAGGCGGCGAACCAACGGAAATGGATCGTTGACGAGGAGGTCGTAACTCGTCAAGCTGGGGTGTACGGCGGAGGGTATGTACGCTGCCGGAGGAGGAGGATGGTCGTGAGTCGTCTCGTAACCCTGCGCGCTGATAGAACGTCGAAGCCTGCTCCTGTCGTTGCTGCCGGCTGAGGGATGTCGTATACCGGTCGTGGGTATCGTGGCGGTCGTTAAAGCGGCGCGGTGTTGCAGCGGACACGGCTGCTGCTGCTTGACCTCAACTGCGGTGCGCAAGGGTGGTGTGGACAGCAATGAAAGTCCACGCAAGCGCCGAAGCGCCGATGACTATCGTGCAGCAAGAGCGACAGGGAGGTGTGTTGGCGCGTGACGTGAACGTCGACGGGGTATCGTGCCTGCCGGCTGCGGCGATGGCGGGGGTGAGGATGTTGTGAAGCTGGAGGAAGCGAGTGTGAGTACAACGGCTGCCATCGTTCAACGGAGAAGAATGGAAGAGACGCGTAGCGCGAAGGGAGCGTAGTTAATACCGGTGGCCGGGTACCTGACGTGTGTTGGTGGAAAGAACAGGGCTGGGAGGGCCAAGGCGTATGGTGTGGCTGGAGACGAGGACGGAGGACGGACCACCATTTCCATGCAACGAATGAAACCCAACTCACCCTTACTAAGTGCGCTGCAATGTTCCGTATGTCGACTCGCGCAAACGAATGCGTTGTCAATGCGATGCGAACGCCGAAGTTTCGTCGCGAATGACGGCGGGCGGTGAGCAGGAAGTTGCTTCAATGGTCGAGCCGCCCTTCAACGGCAATAGCAGCTTTGCGACTGCTCGCTTCCACTGCCACCCAGCAGTCCAGGCGCAGACGGATCTGCCTCGGATAGGCAACGAAGCAAGGAGATGAGTGCTGCTGGCTTCCCCGTCTGCTCATGGTGTCAAACGAACGATGCCGTCGTTCCGGTGGAATGCGGTTTGAAAGCGTCGTAGCACTGCGAGCTTTGGGCTTGTGTCGCTTGCCGTCTATCGCTCTAACATACCACTCATGCTGCTGTTGACCGTAGAGTGACTTTTGCAAGTCCACTCAAATGGCAATGCTCGCTGGCTTGCGTGATATGTTCTTGATCAAGGAAACAGATGCCATCATTGCGGCGCTGCCAGCGAAGCAGTGTGGCGAATCCATGACCCTGGTTCCCTGCTGCCTTTTCCCTTCCGCTGCAACAAAGCGGCGTAGGGAGCACGCATCCTGGTGTTTGCGATCCTGTTCCGAGATGAGGACAACATGGAGAGGAATGATGACGAGCAGAATGAGAGATATACCAACGACTGAGGTCAGAACTAGTTACCCGCTTCTCTGAGACCGACCTGATGGTTAAGCTAGGAACAGCCAATCAACGTCCGTAAGAGCTCTGTTTTCCCTTTCGGGAGCTCCAGTCTGCATCCACCCGGCCGTCATGTTTGCCGGATCTTAACACTCCTATACGTTTTCGCTCTCAACTTATGCGTGTAGCTAGATATGGCTAAACATATGGATAGCCAAGATCGAGTATACGAGGCTTCGAGGTGGACCTGTAACTTACCTGTGGTCGAGCGTGAAGACAGCGCAGATGTCTACGGAGGCGAAACGGAGAACGGTTCGACTCACAAGCGTTAGATACAACTACGATATAACTACTCGGTCCCCTTACTACTTGACACGCCTCTTTGATAAACACTCAATACGATGCACCCGTTAAGCCAAGATGGACGTGATTGAAAATCCCACAGTTACCGTTGCTGAAATACAACGACGCAGCCACATCCTCCGGCGGAAGCGCGTCAGCGGTGAGCGGCACCGAAGCGACCGCGCACGTATCGGCAAGGTCGACGTAGTTCTGACAGTAGCCCTGGTCCGTGAATTCGAAGAAAGCGAAATCGCAGTTCCCAATGTTGATGCACGACACGCAACAGTTGTAGGCGTCGGTATCAGTTGTCGGGTACTCGGCCGCTGTCGTTCCTTCAAAATTGTAGAACTGGAGCCCATCGGAAGTATGATTCAGGATGTTGTTTGGGGCGCAGGCGGCGTAGTAGGTTGACGCGGGGAGGTTGATGATCTCGACTTGTGTGCTTGTTGTTGTGGTTGTTGTTACTGGCGTGGAGACGACAGTACCGACCTGTGTGATGGTTGTTGTGGTCTGGAGGTCGCAGTTAGCAGGGAGAACGCTGCGTATATATTCGTGCTGAGACGTACGGTGGACTTGGCAGGGGCCGGTAGTACGCTGCTAATTATGGTTACCGTCTTCGTGACCTAGACGGAGTCTGTTAGTCTCAACGCAGTGATCGTCGTGAGAGAAGTGCATACCTTCGCAGTCGATGCTGCTGCCGTTTTGGTAACCACCGGAGTCGTATGTGCCGTGACAGTAGTAGTGGCAATAGTATAAGTGTAGAACCAGTTATAGCGCACATAGCTTTGGACGTATTGTGCCGAATTTATTGTGGTTGCAGTTGTTGCAGGCTGTCGTTTCGCCACGACATCATCCTTCGCAACGCGGCCTCGACGACGGCGTTTGGTACCGGAAGCGGGCGCGGTTGGGAGGGAGCTTTGAATAGGGACGAAGCCAGCGCTCGTGCTAATGGTGATGGTGGCGCCAGAGACGGTCGACGTACTGGACGTCAAAGCGGTTGATGTTGACGTCGAGGTAGGAGCGAATATTGTGGTACTCGTTGACACGACTGCAGTCGAAGTGGCGATCGAAGTCGACTGCGCCAGCGTCGTGAAGACTGTCGTGGTTGCTGAGATCGTGACTGTGATGGTGCTGCCCGGCACCGTGCTCGTGGAAGTGGGAGTCGTTGAACAAGTCTGCCACAGCGGCCAAGTGTAGATCTTCGAAGAAGTGATAGTGGGTGGTGAGCCCACTGATTTGGTACCTTTGACGGTATAGTACTTGCTTGATGAGGCGACGCTGTACACTGAGCCGGCGAACCCATGCGCCACGAAACAAGAGAGTATGACGACCAGTTTCCCCAGATGCCTGATAGACATGATGAACACTGGTCGTGTATACAGTGAGGGTAAGAACGAGAGCCTACGGGTACTCACTCCACACCTACCTTGTCAGAGCAGTCCTCCGAGACTTTTATACTGCCAGTGCACCATGCCATGCAAGAGATGTTCACGCAGTGTATTGATGACCGATGAGTCTGGGCCGGGTCGAGAGGAGGCATCTGTCCCATGGCTGCCTCCCTACCATGCCATTGGTACAATCACCGAAACTCAGCAAGCCACGGTTCCCTCGGTAAGCGACCTTCGCACGGCTCATGGGTAAGCCAGACGAGTCAATTCGATTTTGGTGTAGCCAGCCCTTCTTGTCACTTGGGAATGCATACCGTGATACCGTAAGCGAAAAGTTCTGAGGAGTGCGGAGCCGAGACGCACCCCGCACAACGGCACGCGGGCACGATCTGGACCAAGCCTTTCTCCATCAACAAACGATGCACGGCGACATGAGGTACATACACAGCTTGATACTTCATTCACGGTGGCGGTGTCGACGTCGTCTTGCGGTATCGTCGTCGTGTACGTTGTCCGAATCGTCCATCTCAACGCTCCGCTGTCTCTGGAGCTTGCAATGTCGTGCAGCAGGAGTGAGCAGACCATATATCATGGAACATCAATGGACCAATGCTTGAACCAGTCAAAGCACCATAGAAAGCTGTTTGCCAAGCATCTACTATCCTGAAACAGAGGCGGCGGCTAACCTTTTGCAAGCTGCATATGATGCACGCTTAGCGAGCAACATCAGATGTATCTCTCTTCAGCCGGAGGGGCTTCTGAATCGGACGAAGAAAGCGCCAATTCTTGGCATTTCGATCTGCTTTTGGCGATGATGCTCAAATTGTATGAGGAAGTTGATGCAGGAAGTGGACCAGTGATACGTCGTGTATGACTACAAGCAACTGTTGAGAAGGAGCGACAGTTCGATACAGCTCTGATTGCTTATCTGGAGCTTCATCTGCAGGTACCGTCAGCTCAGCCGCACATTGATGCCCGGCTGCTGCAGTCCCTCACCTGAGCCTCTAATTGTGGCTTAACAATGGCTGGCTGAGGACGATGTCTCGCTACCATCCTGACCTTTATATGTAAGTCTTCCACTCAAGCCTGCCTGGAGTCAGAGCGCTAGCTTTAGAGCATCCAAACCCGCAAGTACAACATATCATTGATGGCGAGCTTACCGCAACTCTCGGCTGTACTCGCCACAGCCTTCGTGACAATCGTTATTGCCGCTGTCGCCTACAGACTTTTCGCCACTCTGATCCTACACCCACTAGCTAAGGTTCCGGGTCCAAAGTACGCAGCTATCACCAAGTACTACCAGTTCTACTACGATGTGGTCCTGCGCGGCCGCTTTCCATGGGAGCTCAAGCGCCTGCATGAGCAGTATGGTACGATCTGAGCGTGCATCGAGGGTGTTCCATCATTGCCGGCAGATTGACGAAGCATAGGTCCCGTCGTCCGTATAGGTCCAAATGAGGTTCACGTCGCCGAACCCAACTTCTACGACGAGCTCTATACGGGGATTGCCCGCCCGCGCCACCGCGATCCATGGGAAGTCCAAGGTTTCGGCTTGCCGGATGCAGTCCTCTGTAGCCCGGAGTTCGACATCCACCGTATGCGAAGAGCGGCGCTGAACCCGTACTTCTCTACGCAAGCAATAGGTCGCATTGAGCCGGTCGTGCGTAGTAAGCTCGATTTGCTGTGTGGTAGGCTTGAGGATGCTCTTGAAACTCGTAAGCCGGTGGATGTGGAACTAGCCTTTATGGCTTTGACGGTCGGTTGTTCAAGTGTCAACTCGATGGCGCGAAACTCATGTTCAAGTAGACCGATATCATCACGGAATACTGCTTTGCGCGCTCGTACAACTTCATCAAGCACCCAGACTTTGCGCCGGATTGGTTGAAGGCGACTGTCGGTGCAGTCGAGGCGTCAATGTTAGGAAGGTACCTACCCTTTCTTCCGGCGGTCATGAAGGCTATGCCACCTTGGCTTGTAAAGATGCTTAGTCCGCCAATGATGCAATTAGTGATATACACCAAGGTTTGTTCGTTGTATTGCGCTGGCCGTACGAAGCTGACGGTGTGATTAGGACCAAGAGAGCCAAGTCCATGCCATGAAGAACGGAGAGCGAGTAGAGGACATGAAGCAGGGCCAACGAACCATCATCCACGAGCTTTTCGACAGTAACTTGCCGGAGTCGGAAAAGTCAGTGGAGCGTATAGCACAGGAGGCACAAACGCTTGTCGCTGCTGGCTCGGCAACGACGTCGTACTTTCTCAAATCAGTGGTCTATTTTGTTCTTAGCGATCCGGACGTGCTCAAGCGACTGCAAGCAGAACTACAAACAGCCATCCCGGATATTAAAGAGTTGCCATCGTCCGCAAAACTGCAGAGCTTACCTTACCTTGACGCCATTATCAAGGAGACGACCAGGACGGTGCCAGGCGCTTTCTGCCGCCTCGGCCGCATAGCACCAAATGAGGATCTCAAGTGTGGGCAGTACGTACTCCCAAGAGGTACGGTCATTAGCATGAGCACCTGGATACAGCACAACGATCCGAATCTGTTCCCAGAACCAGAAGCCTTCCAACCTGAACGATGGCTCGACAAAAAGGCCGAAGACGGACGGTTGGAGAGGTATCTGGTGCCGTTCAGTAAAGGATCGAGAGGCTGTCTCGGAATCAACCTTGCTCGTGTCGAGATGTACTTGACCGTGGCATTATTGTTCCGGAGGTTTGACTTGGAGTTGTTCGAGACGGATAGGGGTGATGTTGAGCCGGCTCACGAGTTCTTTCTGCCCATCTCGAAGCTGGGTTCAAAAGGGGTGAGGGTGAAGGTGAGAGGATTACGCAGTTGATGAGTGGTAATATTTATCTAGATCTTGATACCTGCACTTCTTGCATCGGTCTGGTAACAGCACGGGAGACTCGCCTGCTTAACACGATACATGTGATTATGGTTTGCGTATTGAGCGTGCAGGCCATTTTCACGCTGCAGTGCTTGGACGTAAGACTGGACGTGGAAGGTAAGGTGAGCATATAGATGCATCGTCGAGTAAGGTCGACTATATCGCCTTGAGCACCCAATCATCTCACCTTGTCACCATCTCACCTTGTCACCATAATTGCATTTGGGGTGTACCTCTTTGCATCAGTCAACATGCACTTCGGCGTAGCACAGACCTTCGGCTTCTTCATGCACGTCATGTAAGAGCTAGTGCGCGAGACGCCGAGCGCAGACAACATTTTGCTGTAGGTCTCATTGTCGAGATCACTGGACATACAGTGAACTACTTCGGGTGCGAGAGGGAGGGTGTTGGAATGATGCAGGTGTTCAGGCCGACGCTATGTCGACAATGCGCAAGCAGCATCCTAAAGCCTCGATCTGCTTTCGCACCAGACCTCAGGCGACACCTCTCCAGCGCCGCTCGTAGTGGCATTAGGAGTCGCAACACTCTGGCACCACCAAGGACAACGGTATCTAGACTACAGTTATCGCTCGTGCTACGCCGCTACCAGAGCGCCTTCGAGCCGCTGAAACCACCCACGCCCGAATCTCTAGGCAAGCCATCTCAGGCCAGGACATACCGCCGTACACGCCGACTTCTGCGCCGCCTACTCCAGCTCTCTGTCGCAGTCGGTCTGATCTACGCAATCGATCAATACTTCTACGATGCCTGCCTTACCCGCTCCCTCCGCACCTTTACCGCGGCCTCCGTCACCGCGTTGGACTACAAGCTCAACTTCCGAGCTGATCCGTGGATAGGCGATAGCGTTGCTGACGTCCACGCTCGAGCGGCGCAGAGAGTATTTGATCTGTTGAGGAGCAATGGCGGGCTGTACCTTAAGATCGGTCAGGCGATTGCGATGCAGAGTGCCATTCTGCCGCCGGAGTTTCAAGCGATGTTCGCGCGTATGTTCGACGATGCGCCTCAGGATCAATGGAAAGACGTAGAGACGGTGGTGAGGGAAGACTTTGGGCGGAGTGTGGAAGAGGTGTTCGGCGTAAGCTTCAGCGGAGACCCGACGAAAGGAGTTATGGAGAGGACGCCGAGGGCGAGCGCGAGCGTGGCGCAGGTACATTGGGCACGACTCGAGGATGGGAGAGAGGTCGCCATCAAGATCCAGAAGCGGGAGATTGCACGACAGGTTGGGTGGGATCTCTGGGCCTTTAGAATGGTGTCCGGCATCTACACGTGGTACTTCGACTTGCCGCTCTACCACCTTGTGCCCTACATTTGCGAGCGCCTGCTACTGGAGACGGACTTCACGAATGAAGCGAAGAACGCCGGCCGGATGCGCGAGATGATCCAAGGCGAGCCGAGACTCAACGATAGGGTGTACATACCCAAGGTCTACCACGAGTTGACCACAAGGCGCGTCATGACTGCCGAGTGGATTGAGGGCGTCAGGCTGTGGGACAAGCAAGGCATCACCGGACGATGGGAAGGTGGCTGGCGGAAAGGCTCGCCGGGCGCTGGCGGTCGTCCTCTGGATCCCATCCCGCCTTCCATTGCCGCCTCGGTCCCATCCCACGACCCGAACAACGAGAAACTCAAACCCGCTCGCGACGCCTGGCGCGGTCCAGACAAGAAAGGCGGGCTAGGCCTCGCATATCGTCCAGTCATGCAAACAATGGTCGATCTTTTCAGCGCGCAAATGTTTCTCTGGGGTCTTGTTCACTGCGACCCGCATCCAGGCAACATCTTCATCCGCCGCTTACCCTCGGGCAAACCCGAACTCGTCCTGATCGATCACGGCCTGTACATCGAAATGAAACCGCAATTCCGGCACGAATACGCCTTATTTTGGCGCAGTCTCATGACCTTTGACAACGCCACCATCGCCCAGGTGACCGAAGGCTGGGGCATCAAAGCACCAGATATCTTCGCCTCAGCGACATTGATGCGACCCTACGAAGGCGGCGACGGTAAAACGCTGACTGAACTCCGGCAGATGACCGCCAAAGAGCAGAAAGTCAGGCAGTTCGAGATGCAGCAGAAGATGCGGAAAGGCATTCGCGAGATCCTCGCCAACCAGGACAAATTCCCACAGGAACTCATCTTCATCGGCCGCAACATGCGGATCGTGCAGGGCAACAATCAGTACCTCGGTTCTCCCGTCAATCGGCTCAAGATCACGGGGATGTGGGCGAGTCGGGCGTTGGCGGAGAATAAGGAAATGACTCTGCGAGAGCGCTTGCGCGAGTATGGGAGACATGTTGTGTTTCGTTTGGTGTTGTTGAGCACAGATGCGGTGTTCTACTGGGCGAAGATTCGGCAGGCGTTGGGAATTGGGAGGGGAATGGATGATGAGTTGGAAGAGGAGATGAGGAAGATGGCGCATGGGATGGGTGTTGAGTTGCAGCATGGTGTTTTTGAGGGATAGATTTGACGGTCTCTAGGGATGCGCGGTGTTGGTGATGCGTGGTTTGACGCTTACTGTATAGATTGTTAGAGCCGTTACCTCACACCTCATGACCAATACCAAGGCCACTCAGATCGTGTTAGAGGTTATCGAAGACGAGAAAGCCTTCCCGGCAAAGAAGCTTCTTTCACTTCTGCCCGCCATCCTCATCCTTCTTCACCGGCGGCCCCTCCGGTCCAAACGCCGTCTTCCCATCAATCTTCTTGGCAGCGTCATGCTGCTCAATCATCTCACGACAGCGGTCTGCTATCTCCTTAACCGTAGGCTGTATCATCGTTTCGGTGGGCTCAGGGACCGGATCGCCCGGTTTTGCCGCCATGACCTCGCCGAGAGTCGTGATAGGTCTAAATTGGATTGCGCCTGGGATACGCTTGTGGCGGAGAAATACAGTGACCATGCGCACGCGTACCGACGGTCGGCTGCAGACGCAGTTTGATTGGTGATGACTTACTACGCTGCTTGGGTCATAGAAGGCTAACAACGGAATGTTGGTTTGACGACGAGGTGGTGCCCAGCCACTGCCACCGTGACCGGTACTGCCGCATGGCTGAGTTTTCGTTCTCTCAGTGAGCATAATTTCGAGCTTCTATGCTCGGATGTAGTGGCCTATTCCCACCTGCTTCGGTTTGCTACCCGATCTGTTTGGCTTCTCGCCCTTCTTTTCTGGCGGGGACGACATGATGAACCTTGTTGCGATTAGGAGAGTGCAGAATGAACCTGAGCAGAAGGCATGCTGAGCTGTGATCTGTAAAGAAGAGTGGTATATGTGGAGGTCAAGGCGAAGGAGGGACCGTCTCACAGAGAAGCGTCCAGGCTCTGACTGTCTGGTCACCGCCACAAGATCGCTCGTCGTTCACCGCCAGCTTCCAGTCAGTAGCCGTAACGCAGACAGCCCTCAGATAGCGGTGCCGTGCGGTTCATCACATTCTGCAGCTTTCCGAGCGCTTTCCGCCACCGCCTCCACCGATGTGCAGGGCGTTGCCGGAGTCCGGCGTTCTAGAATTGCTATCGTTATGAACGCTCCCAACTCACGAGCACGAAGCGCTTAAGATAGTACAATGTCCGGTCACAGCATGTACGAGACAACATCAAGAGTAGATGATGGAACCTAAGGCAAGAGCAAGTGCCTCGTCGCATACTGAGCTCCAGCCTCTACAATGCCGGCGCTAACAGGGCCCGGCTTGCAACTAGATTGGTCCTCTGCGAGGAGATGGCGAGAGTGATTAAGGCACTGAGGGTTGAAGATGGGGAGTTGAAGTAGAGGACCAATGCAGACTGCAGTATTGCTCTGACTGCCTTGAAGAAGCTGCGTCCGGCGGCGGTAGGAAGTGTCTGGCAAAGTGCCGCGCTGCCAACCAGATAGTATTCAGCTTACTTTCGTGGGCATCGATATATGGTCTTAGATCTGCCGTAAAATATGGAGGGTAGCAGACGAGCGAAGGACATTTGAAGGTGGAGTTGTGGAGTTGAACCTATCTGCCTAAGGCAACTTATCTGTAAGATCAGTTCGATGCTAATGCGGGGTTCGGCCCGTCCGCTGCTCTGACGAGACTACGACAGCCAACCGATGCTTGCCGAGCGACCTCACCAGCCCTCCACCTTGCAGAACGAGCATGCAGCAACCAGCCACCCACCTCCATCCCTCCACCCCATCGAGCAGATATTTGCGTCGATGGAGGGGTAGCCGTAGCACGTTTCCGGCCATAGATGATCTGTACCTGCATTCCCACACTGTCTCAACTCCTTCCTCTTCTGCACGTAACAGGCATCAGTGTCACTCTCGCGCCGCTTGTCTCGCCGTGATCTGAACCAGGCGTACCTTCGACAAAGGCTGCGGTGTATAAGCAATGCGACATGCATGACGGTGTTGATAACATCTCACCTCTCAACAAGACTTTGGCTAGCCCTACTAATACACCACGCACCATCTGCGCAAACACTTCTGAATTTGATCACAACAACAATCATCGCATCTTGACATATCGCACTTCTGCACAGTAACTATAGATGACAGTCTCAAGCTCATCCGCCATGACAGCGCGCCAAGCCTACCTAGACTACAGCTTTAATGCATCAATGGACGATTACGAAGCACCAGCGCGAGAGTTCTCTCCGACTATGCCGTTCGACCTGCCGTCTCAGCACTCCGGCTTCCGCAGCAATGTCGCATCTGAATACAGCGAGAGCGGGTCATCGCGACGATCATACAGCCCACCCGCATGGCGCAAAGCGGGCAGCGGCTGGTTCAAGCATCCTTCTCTGTCGCCGACAAGGGAAAGGCGAAGGAGCAAAGAGTCGAGCCCACAGTACGCCGGGCCGGGCGAGGAGGGCGATGATGGCGATGTAACAGCGTATCGAATTGCGACTACCGTGCCATTACCAGGCTCGCCAACAAAAGGCAGGAGTCCCAGCAATAGCCCAGAAGCTGAGGTGAGGCCTGGCGCACAAGTTGATAGAGGTGGTGGTGGTGGTGGTGGTGAAGGTCGGCTACCACCGGAGACGCATGTGAACAATGAGCGGGAGTCAGCCGAACCCGACACCCCTACACAAAGTAACTGTAAGTCCATGCAAACATTCCCTACCCTCGTAATATCGCTCCGCGCAAGGCATGCTTCACGACGTCAACATGTCGCGTCGCAAAGCGTCAGCATGCACACTGCGCCCGCAAAGACTGACAGCATTGGAAACAGACTTTCGCTTCTCAACACGATTAGATGTGGTACAGCGAACGCAGCCGATCGAAGATACCATCAGCTCCGTACGCAAACTCTATCATAACATGACGGAGTCCAAATGGCACACATTCGGCTACGTAATGGGTGCGATTGCAGCATGGATGCTTGCCATAAACCTGCTATCGACACCCAACCAGGGTCCAGTACCCGATCTTGTGAAAGTGGCCGGATTCGCCAAGTCACTGGAGCCGGCCATCTACTACTCCGAGCGTGGTCATGCGCAGATCGGCGAGCTTCAAGAAACCGGCGTCGCAGTATGGGACTTGGGCGAGAGCGTCCGAAACACGAACATGACTTCTGCGCCGATCATTGTCAATCAGCTTGACGATCTGAGCGACAGCATTAAGACGCTCGCCATAGAGCTGACGCGTTTCTTCTCCGGCGTCGATGGCGATATTGACAACATCCTACTCATGATGGAGTGGGCGCAACGCGAACTAACCGCCATCTCCAACCTCCCCACCTCGGGTATCAGTACGATCTGGTCAAACACTTACAGCCTGCTCACTCGCATCGGCCTGGTAAGCCAAGGCCAATTGGCGCAGAGCATACTAGGCCAGACGCAACAGCAGCTCACGCGGTCGACACTCGAGCGCGTCTTCCACGAGTACCTCAACGTGCTGGAAGAGACCATCAGTAACGAGATCACATACAGCATGCAGCTCTTCCAGTTGTTTGAGGTGATTGACAAGCAATTCCTCAACCTGCAACGCAGCGTCATCCGCGAGCAAGACACGCAAGAGCGACTCGAGAACGAGTTCCTAAGCACGCTGTGGACGAAAGTCATTGGCGTGAACGCGAGCAAACTGCGGAAATATGAGAAGAACAAGGATCTACTCGCTTCTGTCCGTGACCGGACAGTGAGGAATAAGCATATCCTCGTCGACCACAACCAGCGATTACGCCAGCTGCAGTCCAATCTCGAGACGCTGAGACGCAAGCTCGTGAGTCCGCTTGTAAGGAGTCAGAATAGCAGCACGCTGTCGGTGGAGGAGCAGATTAAGGGGTTGGAGGGGACGTATGTGCAGCTGAAGAGTTCGAGGGAGGTGCAGAGGAGGAAGATGTTGGAGGTGGTGTACGGAGCTGGGGATCGAAGGCATGGGAGTCCGAGTTATATGATTGGGGAGCCGAGTTTGGAGGCGAGGGTTGTTGGTGGGTGAGAGTAACATGTTTGATGGTATTGGCGCACTTCAGGTTGGAGGATGGGTGGGTGTGGTACTGGAGTAGATCTTGGCTAGGGTCTTTGCGACTGTCCTGAGCACTTCACCTGTGTCTTCGCGTTCTCTTGTGCATCCCGTCGCTTGTAGATATTGCCAAGCGGAAGCGAGATGGTGCCAAGGGGGGCTGTGCAAGCGTTGCCGCTACCCTGCCGTTACCCGCCTGGCGTTCATTGGACGGGAGTGACCACTCTTCATGAAGCTTGCATGAAGTGCTTAAGGACAGGTAGTTTGCACACTGCGTCACGTACGCACTGAAGGCACTTGCTGCGCCCCCTTCACCCCGCTCTGTGTCTCGTCGCCCAAAGCTCGCCCAGTTCATTGACGCCGTCTTACCATTGCCGGTGGAGGTAGTGGTGGCAACGCCCAGCATGAGTACGTCCTTTGCCTACCATCACTAGCCTCCCACTTCCCCATCCACCACACAGTCGGCACGTCTTGGCAGCAGAGCGTCGCCGCTACCAGCCTTTCGTGTGATCTCTACGCCGCTGCCAATGCTCCTCAACCTTGGCGTCATTTACTTGGCATGAGAAACGTCTACATACCCGTCCGCCCCCTCGTCACCTTCTTCCATGAACACCACCGGCCACTGCACCATCTCAGGCGGGAAACGTCAAGACTGACGTAAAGCACATCATACAGGCCAGTTCCGTCGCGAGTTCCTAAAGCACGGCCGGCGCCAAAGCGGCCTTTCACGTACCAGCACCGCTCGCTCATCCAGCATGCCTCGTGACGACCAACAGCCAAACGGCGTCTCTGGCGATGGCACCATTGACGAGCATCCCAATGAAACTGCGCCGCTCCTGTCCAGCGCCAACAGACTGGGAAACATGGGGTCCACACTGCAACGGCCCAAGAACTCGAAGGGGCAACCATACAGCGAGGACAGCAGAGCTTGGGTACGACTGCCTGCCCTGTTTCTGCGCTTGACGTGGGAGACGTTGAGTAGCAATTACGTGAACGTACTGCTGGTCTTCGTACCGGTCGGTATTGTGTTGGGCGCATTGGAGATGAATCCGACCGCTGTGTTTATCGTGAACTTTCTGGCCATTGTGCCGTTGGCGGCGCTGTTGAGCTTTGCAACGGAGGAGCTTAGTGTTAAGCTTGGGCAGACGATCGGAGGGTTGATGAACGCTACGTTTGGCAATGCTGTTGAGCTGATTGTGCGTGATCCACAACATATCCGGTGGAAGCAATACTAACCTGATCATCCAGGTCTCGATCGTCGCTTTGACGAAAGGCGAAATCCGCATCGTCCAATCCAGCATGCTTGGGTCCATCCTCTCCAACATCCTGCTCGTGCTAGGCTGCTGCTTCATCGCCTCCGGCGCGCGCCGCCTCGAAAGCACCTTCAACGCCACCGTCGCCAGCACCATGTCCTCACTCATGGCCGTCGCAGCGACCTCGCTTATCATCCCCGCCACGCTCTACGCAAGCTTACTCCGAAGCGACGCGGACGCCGAGAAGAACATCCTCATCCTATCCCGCGGCACAGCCATCATCCTACTAATCCTCTACTGTCTGTACCTCTACTTCCAGCTCCGCTCGCACACGAAGTACTTCGATACCGAGGCGCAGGAAGACGGCGGCGATGGCGAGGGCAGTGGCGAGCAGAAGGAACCGGAAGTCCTCGGCCCGGTCGCTGCGTCAGTCTGCCTGGTGATCGTAACGCTCTTAGTCGCCGTCTGCGCCGAATACCTCGTCGGAAGCATCGACTCCATCGTGCAAACTTCAGGAATCAGCAAGACCTTCATCGGTCTCATCCTCCTCCCCATCGTCGGCAACGCCGCCGAGCACGTCACCGCTTGTGTGGTCGCGTACAAGGACAAGATGGATCTAGCCATTGGCGTCGCGATCGGATCGTCCATGCAAATCGCCCTGTTCGTCACGCCTTTCCTGGTCATCCTCGGCTGGATCATCGGGCAGGAGATGACGTTGCATTTCCAGGGCTTTGAGACGGTGGTGTTCTTCTTGAGTATATTGGTCGTCAATTACCTGATTCAGGACGGCAAGAGCAATTACTTGGAGGGCGCGATGTGCCTGGGCACTTATATTATCATCGCCATTGCTTTCTATGTGTACCCGGACGATGCGGGAGATATTGGAAGTATGGTGAGCAACTTCTTCGGGCGATGATGAGATGTTCAACGCTCAGGACGTGGAGTTGGCTCGTAGCCGGTTGTATGTATAGCTTTCTAGCATGTAGTTGAAACACATTACCCCTTCATCCGTGAATGCATACAGATTATGCAGATCTGATGTTCAATAGTTCCACAATCGTGCACTAGCAAATCTGATTTCGTTCCTCATGCATGGCTGGACTACCTCAATGAGCGCCGGCGAATGGCCAGTATAACTCAAATGAAATCGTGTGGCGAGGCAGCTGGCGGTCTGATGTGATGAGAAACTAGGGTTCAGTCCAATAGAAGATGAAGCATTTAGCTTCACGGAAGTCAAAGTAACGAAACGCAAACGGCAGTGACGATGGCTTGCTCGAGGCAAAGGAAATATCCCACAAAGTTTCCCTAACACGATACACCCCGCGCAGGGTAGACTGCACAAAGACAATACGTTCTTCTAGTTCTAGGGACAGCAATAATCGCTTTTGGTCAATACATATGTACAAGTATGATCATAACCGCGTACAGATCATCCATACTCATGCATCAAGCTCATGCCATGCTCATTCAGTACATTTGATCGTACAGGCACATTCTGATCTCCATCAACTTTTTTCTTTTTTACACATTAAGAGTGCTCCACGTGCAGTTCAAGTTACTCCACGCGTTGTTGAAGAACCCACGAAGCGAACCGAAGCCCCAGTGAGGTGGCTGCGGGTAGGTGGTGGCGGTGCTGGAGTTACGCTTGATAAGGGTAAGGGTGTCGCCGACGGTGCCGTCAATACCCTTGATGTAGTTCCAGGTCACGGTCGTCTCGTTGTGGATCTCGAGCTCGCTGAAGCCGAAGTTGTACTGGTTCAGGACGGCGGTGATGTTGAGCACCTTTGACGCGTTGATGGTGGAATGGGACTCGATGTTACCGGCCATGCCGTTGACGATGTGGGTCATGCTCACGTTCGGGTTGGTCAGGTAGGTGTTGTTATTGACAATCGAAGAAGTATCGATCGTGCTGTTGCCGATGGGCCAGATACGCTCGTACCAGTGGATGTGGCCGGAGAAGTAGGCGTCGACGCCAGCGTTAAGAAGGACACGCTCGAAGGCGTTGCGCACATTAGCCTGGTACGAAGAAGTCTCGGAGCTGTACATGGGGCGGTGAGACATGGCGAACACCCAAGGAGTCTTGGTGCGGTCGACCTTGGCGAGGTCGTTGACCAGCCACTGGTACTGCTGGTAGCCTGAGTTGTTCTTCCAGTTGTTGTTGGCGATGGTGCCGAATGGGCCACTGTCAGTGGGGAAGGTCTGGCTCTCCGTGGGGAATGTCTCGTTTCCGGTGAGGTCGCGTACGAACGGCCATTCGGGAGAGTATGCGAAATCGGTCTCGCCATCCAACGAAACGAAATGCGCAAGACCGTAGTCGAAAGAGTACCAGAAGTTGCCTACACCGTTCGACTCTGCGCCGGGCATGCGGAAGCGGAACTGGTAGTCGGTGAAGTTGCGCTGAGACGGTGGGCAGGAGTAGTAGGTCAAGTTGCTCTTGGCAGCAGTGCTGTTCGTCTTGTTGTTGACGAGGTATGCAGTAAGCTCGTTGTTGGGACCATCGAACTCGGCGCAGGAAGCTTCGTGGTTACCTGGAAGGACCATGTAAGGGATCTTCGTGGTGATGTTGTTCATCCAGTTCTGCCAGAGATCCCAGTTAGACTCGTAAAGAACGCTCATGTCACCACCATTCGGGCCACCCTGGTCCGGCTTCTCGCCAGCGGGAAGTGGTGTGTTGTATTCAGCAGGGTACGGGGCTGGAGGGGTGTTGGGCAGCTCCGAGCCAGGTCCGGTGTAGCAAACGTCCCAGTCAGAGGCGCAAGGAAGGATACCAGAGTACCAATCGTCAGCGTAGCTGATGTCACCGCCGTGCCAGGCGAAAGCGGCGTTCGAGTTGGCAGCTTTGAGAAGCTGTTGGTAGGTTCCCTGGGCGTTGGTATATCCCATATCGTTCAGAACGGCTACTGTGAATGGGGTCCTGTCGCCAGCGTTGCGTGCAGTGGTGAACGACATGATTTGAGAAGCAGTGGTGCCGTTGGCGGCCGGAATCTGGTAGTAATAGGTTGCACCCGGGACCAGGTTGGTAAGCTGCACATCGTGGAAGAACTGCGAACACTCGGTCACGCTGACTGCCGAACACGGTGGAGTGCGGTTGTAGCTGGATTCACGTCAGTCACAAATGCCCAAAGATATCAGGATTGGGCTTCCTTACGTCTTGGACGCGCCGGTAGCGGTCGAGTACAAAACGAATGGCTCAAGACCATAATGAACGGTTGGGTTCTGACCAAGACCGAACGGTGTCTGGTAGTGAATGTTCACGCCACCCGGAACATAGGACAGTGAGATCACGTTGATGTTGTTCGTTGGCGACGAGCTAGACGGCTTGACCGCAGGTGGCTCGGTCAGGCGAACGAATCCCTTGCCGTTGCCGTTGATGGTCTGGTCGACCCAGTCGCCAATCGGAACTGCCGGGCCAGTGTACGGAAAGCGGGTGTCGACATCACGAGCGTTGACAGTCTTGATCTTGTCAAGGGGAATTGCATTGGCGACGACAGCGCCAGCAATGGCGGCGGATGCAATGGCAGCCCTCATCTTGATTGAACGATGGCTTGATAGTAACGAGGGAGATGGGGAACAACCGCGTGGGGAAGTTTGATAGACAGAGTCAAGTAAAAGGAAGCTTCGCGGGTTATGTACCTGCATGCCACCTTCGCCTTGGCAAGCGAAGAGCCTTTCTTTTCGTCGTTAGCGACTGCTAATGAGCCACGCTTAAGGCGACCCATCGCACCGTCCAAGCGATTGCGAGGTGAAGACCACCCACGTGCGCACCAATTCCACAATATCGCGGTGGCGAATCTTCGCACCGAAGATCTTGTTCATGCAAGTTGACAGAGGAGGCCACCATGGTGTTGTGGGAAGCTCCAATCAAGCGCCGCACGTGGTGGCAGAACAATCGAGAAACGGCAGTATCGGAACAAAATCCTCTCGGACGCAGCGGGCTTGAACCATTCAGGCAGGTAGCGCATCCACACAAGCTTTCCGCCCGCGTTCTCCTTGGCCGCTTGGTGAGCTTAGCGCTTATCAACGGTCGTCGTCCCTGCCAAGAAGTTGGGATGGCGCAGAGCCTCTCCCCAGCATGGGTCTAGCCGCCAACATCAATCGTAGGGATGTCGTCAACCCGCAGTTGCTGCCCCGCTACGCCAGGCCATTAAGGCGCTGTGGCACGATGTCTTTTGACAGCACTGAACTTGCCTTGCACAGCGTCTGCCTATCTTCTCCTCCTTGCTGCAATAAGTGTAGCATCTGCGCAATACGATGAAGTAAGTGCCTGGCTACTGTCCTGAGACTCTCATTCGCTCGGCGCACTGCCACCTCGTTTCCGACATGACCACGATTACCGGAGATGAGCGCCATCTTCATTACAGCTGTCGTGGTAGCCTGTCATGAAGATGTTGCCGCTGTCGAGCCGTCCTAGACGCGCGCAAGCATGTAAGCAGCCAATGCGAAGCAATACTCTGCCGGCCAGCCTCCAATTCGACATGCCGAACGGCAGGGCAATACTATCTTGCACAAGGCTGCAGTAGGTCAACCATGCTTTTGGCAGGCTACTGCAGGGCCGAGAGCAGCTTGACAGGCGCTAGAAGTCGAAGCGCTTCTAGCAAGTTTTATCTCTCTCCAAGCCGCTCATTCCGTTCTCGAATAGAATCTTCGACCGACGCTTTCACAACAGTTGCAAGAGACATGCATGTGTTTGGTGCATTGCAAGACACGGCGCCTTCGCTGGGTCCGTTGGTCGTGGTGTAGCGTCTTGCAGGGTACTTCTACATGATAAAACACACCAGCCGTGTCGGCGCAAGGCTGTTGGAATTCAGAGCATCTGAGTGAAACTCCCCATAGGTGCCTTCCATGCTACGAAAGGTTTCAGCCATCGTCGCTGCTCAGACGGTGGTGTACCACACTTCCAGCATCGCTGAATGTGCTTTGCATACTGTCTGCCGTGTCACTCAAAGAGTCAGAGCTCGCATCTACCGCATCCCCAACATGGCCGGCGTCGTGGTGTATGACCGAGCCGAGACTCTCTACGCTTGGGTCGTCGGGTTGAAGATACGGCGTGACTGTCCGCGACGCTTGCTCGCGCGCTGTAATGGGGCTCATCAGGCTTGAAGCCGGCGAGTAAGCTGGCGCGGGTGACGGCGTGATGTAGCGCTGCTCTGATGGCGCGGTTGGCCCACTTTCTGCCGACAATTCGTCTACTAGTTGCTCCTCTTGTAGACGGATCTGATTAACAATGGCTGGGTTGAGCGCCGTCATTCCGGCCAATAGTTCGGAGAAGGAGGACATGAGCGACGCAAACTCGTCTTCGGACGTTGGGCGGCCGCAAAAGCGGGAATGCTCGTACTGCTGTAGGAAGGAGGTTCCGACTTCTGGAGGGTTGACAAGACCGAGGTACGACAGTTGCGTCAGATAATCGCGCATGCCCATCGTTTGCGGGCGGCTAAGCAGCTCTACAACTGCAGGATCTGCCACCACCTGTCCATCTTTAGGCGTCGTCAATGGGTCCGACGGCGCCAGTGAGACTGCTCTTGCCTCTACGAGGTTGGGTAGCTCCTCAACGACATCCGCGAATTGTACGTTAGGGTATTTGTTCTCGTCCGCGTGACTTGGCGAACTCCAACCCGGATGGCGTACTCTGCCCCAGGGCGGCCTTGCCGGATCAACTGTGATAACCCTGCCAACCGTGTAGTCATTATGCCCTACACTCATTGTTTCCGGTGGTAAGATACCCTCCACTTCTGCCTCCACGATCTCGCCCACCAAGTCTCTAGGCCGTGACTCCCAGCTCACGATAGCACTCCTCTCAAGCTGTTTCACAATCATCCTCCGGACCGAACTCCCCACCTCTCCATCCTCAATAGGGATGTATGGCTTGCCAACCGCAGCCAGTACGGTGCGGTTGGTGTAGAGCCGGGAGGAGTAAATGAAGATGGCAGTCAGAGCGGTGAGCACATAGACGCCGCCGATCATGAAGGTGTACTGGTAGGCATGGTTGGTGATTGCTGTCCAGATGAGCGAGGCGGGAGCGATGGCGAGGAAGAGGAGGGTGACGATGTAGAGGACCGTATATGTGGTGCTGTAGAAGATCCGGAAGAATGGGATCCGGAACGGCAGGACTCGACGGCGAGGTTTGCGTGCCATGTTGGACTTGCTATTGCTTGGAAATGCAGCAGTAACGCTGCTGTTGGCATTGATCACATAGTCGATTCTATTGTGGCATGCTGTCTATAATATGCGCGTGGAAGCGTGAGTTCACCAACGAAACTCTGTCGCAACTTCCCGAAACAGCCTAGCTCCGCCCGATCATGTGTTCATATAGCAATATCTGCTCTTCCATGATCGCACGCCCTCGACCATTGTACATATTGTAGCTTCCACTTCATACTATACCCCAAGCTCGACAAAGGGACGCGATTACAATGCGTTCGCTGCGTACGTGAGCTAACTTGTTTACGAAAAGCCTCGCGCAGGAAGCATGCCGTTGAACAATACTAAGGCGGCTGCATGTTTCGGGTGGTGCTGTGTGAACCGCTGATGCTCGGTCTTTCTTATGCGTTCTCGTATCTCTCATAGGCGTCGGCGTAACATTTCTTTCCCACAGAGACGCAGCATGGCCGCTCAGAATAACCAAGAACATACGCTTGGCAACCTTCTGAGGGAGAAGGCACGAATCGTTGAAATTGACGGAGAGGAAGGCTTCGACTATGCTGAGCACGACACAAACGAGCTGAATGGTGTTCCATTCCCTGGTAGCCATCTCAAGCAAACAGTCACTGGAGTCTCTATCGTGCCACACTACCTTCAAACCGCCACGCGGAACCTCGTCCATGACGACTTGCAAACTGTCACCTCAGAGACCCAGGCTAAAACGACAGCGGAGTGCTTACCCTACGTCACCGGCAAGGATACGCAAGGCCTCGCACTAAACTCACACGGTCTGCCGCATCTCCGCCGCAAAGCTCACGCTGAGTATCTGCGAGGCTTTCTGGGCGAGCTTCCTGCCGGCTATGCGGCTATGGACGCCAGTCGTCCCTGGCTCTTCTACTGGTGCATCGCCGGACTCTCATTTCTCGGCGAAGACGTTAGCGAGTACCGCGAACGGCTTATGGAGACGGTACGACCTTTGCAGAACGCATCTGGTGGGTTCGGCGGCGGACACGGACAGTTCAGTCACTGTGCTTGCTCTTACGCCACCATTCTAGCGCTCACGGCCGTGGAAGGGTTAGAAGTGGTTGACCGCAAAGCAATGTGGCACTGGCTAGGTCAGGTCAAGCAGGCAGATGGTGGGTTTCGAATGGCTGTCGGTGCTGAGGAAGACATTCGAGGCGCCTACTGCGCGATGACCATCATCACTTTGCTCAATCTCCCGCTTGAACTACCACCAGAAGCTCATGCAAGAGGGGCTGGTCTGCAAACTTTCACGGATCGGCTTGGCGAGTGGGTTGGTCGTTGTCAGACTTTCGAGGGAGGTATAGCTGGCGCTCCCACGAATGAAGCGCATGGCGCATACGCATTTTGTGCCTTGGCTTGTCTTAGCATCTTGGACACTCCACATGTTAGCATTCCGCGGTACCTTGACACACAAGCCTTGGTTCGCTGGCTAGCAAGCATGCAAACCGTTGCTGAGGGCGGCTTCGCTGGCCGTACGAACAAGCTGGTGGATGCTTGCTACAGTCATTGGGTAGGTGGATGTTGGTCGCTACTTCAGGCTGCTTTCTCGCAGTCGTCTGCGACTCGCGATGATTTTGCAGCCGTCACTGAGCTCGAACCGAGCGAGCTCTGGAATCCAGCGGCTCTGATCCGTTATCTGCTTACCTGCTGCCAGCAGCCGGGCAAGAAGGGCGGCATGCGCGACAAGCCGTCCGCAAGGCCGGACGCATACCACACTTGCTACTCACTCTCCGGGCTGTCAGCCGCACAGAACCTATACATTTATGAGAACGGCATCACCGTAGACGCGGAGTCTGGACGTCTCACTGCAGCCTTCAACTGGCTGGCGCAGAGATTGTCACCCGGCAAGGCGATGCAGGAGCTGGGCATTGATGAGCACGATGTCGTGGAGTGTGTACATCCAGTCTTCGTCGTGACCTTTGACGCCGTCATGCGAGCAAAAGAACAGTTTGCGAAGGGCGGGCTCTGAGCGGTGTCAAGCGATCGACTTGAAGTGAACTATCATGGTCCCAACCTCGAGCTCCGTGGGGCGGCTGTACGTGACATAATGGTCATTGACGTGGGCTATCAAAACAAGTTTGCGCCAATTGCGTCCCTTCTTCAAAAATATTTACTGGTTCAGTAAATCGTAAGTTGGAGCCTTCTCTCGGATAAGCTTATGCAAGACTATAGCTGACTCGTGCTCAGTGCTTACCCATCGGCTCAGTCTTGCACACGCCGCACTCGGAGGCTTGCATGTGTTGCTCTCAAGTCCGTCCAGTGCATGGCTTGGATCCTGCTGTTACAATCGGTTGCATAGCATGGGAGCCTTGAGTCTACGCGACGACAATACCACCCGCAGTAACACTTCAGTGAAAAAGCGAGATACGGCGAAGCATCATGTTGCCCAAGGTATACTATTGGCGGTCCACGTTGGCCCAACCCCGGAGTCTAAACTTAAGGCGGCGGAGGCTGAAACTCAGCCTTGCTGACGGTTGCCTCTTCGGGGAAGCGATGTCGCACGAGCCACACTTCCACGACTCCTTGGACCTTAACAACATCCGTGCGGAAATGTCAGCATCGAGGCTCATTTGGCGGCGTTGATGCGATTAGTGTATTCTGGTCAGCAACGAGGCTGTCCAACGTATCTCACCCTTCATATAGTAGCTTCCCTCTTGGCTGTTCATCTCCCTCATCTACACCCATCTGTCGTTCGCAAGCATCACTTTCCTATACTTCAGCTCTCTTAATCAGCTTTAGCAAAGTCATTACGTGTTGTAGCAATCGCTTCGACATGCGTACCTTTACTCTCATTGCTGTCGCTTCAGCGGCGATCGTATCCGCTCAGACAGCTGCTCAGAACGCCACTGCTGCCGCGCTTGCTGCTCAGATTCCCGCTTGTGTGGTGAGTAACAGCGTCACGTTAGACGTAGGCACGGGATCATGCTTACGGATGCTTCGAGATCCCCTGCGATGATGCCGCCATTTCCTCCGTCGGCTGCGGCTTGACCGACTACGCATGCCACTGTGCCCACGGCACCCAGCTCTCTCAAATCATCCCAGGATGCCTGGCGAACTCCACCTGCAGCCAAAGCGATCTTGCTCGTACGCTCAGCCCACCCGCCTGACAGCCATGAGATCCGCTGACAGTAGCCTAGTCTTCGCGTCCATCCCTCCAAAGATCTGCGCGGCCCTGAACAGCTCCGCAAACGCAACGTCTACGACCACTGCCACGCCAGTCGGCACAGCAGTTTCTTCCGGCAGACCAAGCGCAACTGCCAACAGTACGACTACGAGAACGACTTTCGTCTCCAACACCGGCTCAGCCACCGCAACGCCTTCGGGCCCAAGCGCTAGCCCGAGCGCTCCAGCGCAACAACACTCCGGTGCTGGTTCTCTCAGCCCAGTCATCAGCGGGCTGTTCGGTCTGCTTGGTGCTGGGCTGCTCTTTGCTGCATTGTAATGAGCTTTTTAACATAAGAATTACTTCATCTTTTTGAGCGTTTTGTACAATTAAAAGCATAATCAGGCGCAAGATGCATTTGCGGGCGCACTGCACAACTGCTTAAGTACACGAGGCGCGACTGGTATTCATGATGGATAGACGCAGATGACCAATCGAACATATGATTGCACAATTCCTAATCAAGACGCATTTTACGTCACCGTCGATCTTCCTTTATCATATCGGCTGCCTTCTCCGCCACCGAGACCACTACAGCACATGGGTGGCATGCAACGGGCTTGGGAAAGATGCTGGCGTCCACCACACGAAGTCCACGTACTCCATGGACCTTTAGCCGCTCATCTACGACGCTCATAGGGTCAGTAGCTGGCCCCATTTTCGCCGAACAGACCGGATGGTAGACAGTCTCGGTACGCTGGCGAGCGTACTGCAGCAGCTGTTCGTCGCTAGGGTTATCCGGCAGAACCGTCCAGCCTTTGTACCAACCATCGAAGATATCCCGGTACGGCTTCGTCTTCAGCATCTGCATGCACAATTGAAGGCCGTAGGTCATTATGTCGCGGTCGTATTGCGTCTCAAGGTAGTTGGCGCGGACGCGCGGCGGTGTGAACGGTGACGCATCTGCGAGCGTAACAGTCCCGCGAGATGTTGGTCGAAGTCCAATGCATCCGATTGAGCAGTAATCCTAGAGAAGTCAGCTCTTAATACTGTGCTAAATGAGCAGTGTAGATGTTCGCACCTGATTAGTTGGTGCAACATCTAGGCCATGGTTGGTGAAAGCGAGTGGTCCGGCCAGTAACTCGAGGTCTGCGCTCGTTGCACCACTCGTCTCATCCTTTTCCTTCAGGCTGGAAGAGGCGTCATCACGATCTTGGGTGCGAACGAAGGCAGTGCATTCTGCCACGTTCTATTCAGGCCATTTGTGTTAGTCACTACACTCTGCTGATGGATACGATTTCAACAAGCCACCTACAGTTGTCAATGGACCGGTTCCGGTACGCAGCCATTGTACGAGCGCCGGAAGCGACTTAAGCGTATTCGCCGCCCACTGCAGACTCTCTGCTTTGCACTTGAAGACCAGGACGGTGAGGATGTGGTCCGCCAAATTTGAGCCGACGCCAGGCCTGTCGGCGATGAGCGAGATACCGTGCGATTTCAGCTCATCTGCACCGCCGATGCCTGACAGCTTAAGGATCTGTGGCGTGTGTACTGCACCTCCGCAAACCAGGACTTCCCGTCGGGCTTTGGCAAGGTAGCGAAAAGGCGTTACAGCAGAACTCGCCATTTCAACGCCAACAGCCCTTGGCTGGGAACCAGATTTGTCGAAGATAATCCTCGTGACAGTCTGAGCCACCGCAATGTGAAGATTCGGGCGGCTCGCAACCTGTTCAGTAAGGTACGCCACTGCGGTCGAAGAGCGCTGGCCTTTGCGATCGATGAATGTCTGGGTATGAGCAGTGCCAATCATGCCTGATGGTGTGTTGAGGTCCGTCCGCTTGGAAATACCGATGGCCTCGCAGGCGTCAAGAAATGTCCTGGTGAGTGGGGAGCACCATGAATAGCCGGTCTGCCATGGGCCATCGCGTCCATGATGCTTGAGATCGTCGTCAGTGACAGGATTGGGACCTTCGCCAGATGGATGGAACGATTCTGCTTTGCTCATGTAAGGTCGCAAAGAAGCATAGCTCCAGCCCTTATTCCCTAAGCGCTCCCACTCGTCAAAGTCATCAGGGGCGCCTCGATTATAGATCATCGCGTTGATGGCACTGCAGCCCTGAAGGCCCAATCCCACGGTTAGCTATAGCTGAAGCATCTCGATCATGTCAAACTCACGCCGAGCATTCTGCCGCGCGGCCAGTACATCTTTCGACCCTCGCATTGCTTTTCCGGCTCCGTGGTCAGGTCCCAATCAGCACCTGTTTTGAACAGCTTGTTGAAACCGCCCGGCAAACGAGAGAAGATCTGCTTGAGGTCGGAGTGACCGCTTTCGATGACCAGGACTTTGCTGTTGGCATCTTCTGTGAGTCTCGCGGCTAGCACACATCCTGCGGTGCCGCCTCCGACAATGATGTAGTCGAACTCGGCCACATTCTCAAGATCTTTAGCTTCGGAAGTTCCCGGGGTTGTCTTAACCGTCGCCAATAGAGCTGTGTTCGTCTCACCCGGAATGAAGCTGCGCGCATGTAAGCAGGTTCTGAACACAACGCATGAAGATTGAACCCAACGAGGAATGCCACCCTCACCTAGGAAATAGAACGTGGATTATCTCTCGGATTGCCTTCCCCACAAAGTACGCAGGGATAGCGCTGACTGCAAGTGCAATGACAAGCTGTCTGCTGCCGGCGCTGAGCGGAAATCGAAAGCTGTCGTAAAGAGACATTGTAGACGTACTTGCAATTGTGAACCGCTCTGGACTCGTCAGCAATTGATATATACCAATGCAACTATCATGCTCCTTGCCGGTGGCCTTGAATGTGACAATCGCCGAGGCAGTCGAACTCAGCTGAACGTGATGCAGCCACATTGAGGGGTATCAAGGAATGGCCACATCTGGACGCAGCTGACCGTGGCAGATAGAGCGCCATCGGCACAACCATAGTGGTTACGATAACCTCCTTCTGGCAGCCTCCGTGGGGCTCTCCGACAACCTTTACATGATCTTTTCCATGGCCCTCCGGTAGCCCTCCCACATATGCGTAGCAGCAAGCATGCTGTCTTGAGTGTCTTGCTGCTTCTGACCCTTTCCACGCACCTCATTCTCCTCACCCTGCTCCCTCGCAACCTCGTCAGCAATCCTCTTCATCTCGATCACCGCCACACTCTGCTCTAACGTCCTTACCAATCCCTCCTCCTCCATACCCAGCAACCCCATCCTCAACACCCTCACCGCACTAACACCTTCTGCTCCCATTCTCTGCCCTTCCCGCATATTCATCAACCGCGTGAAAGCGTCGTACACCAGGCCTCCTGACTTCCAGCCGACGGGTTTCTGCGGGGGAAACTTGCCCATCAGTACAACCAAATCAGCGAAGTCTTGTTCGATTACAGCCGTTGGGGCCACGTCGTCACAGAGAACTTGATGCGCCTCTGCGATGTGACCGCCATTGAGTAAGTAGCGGATTTGTAGCCAGGAATCGCTGGCGGCTTTAGCATGCAGAGCCTTGGCTGCTAGGACGATCGAGCGCGGAATGGACCACTTCTGAGTCATGATCTCGAAGTTGCCGTCCTGGTTGGCGAGGTCCGGATCTGTTATCTGGCCTGCGTTGCGCTGCATAAGTGCCGTGACGGCACGAATACGATCAGGGTCTTTGTGCAGGTGGAGGAGCACCCATGCCGCTTCTGGTACTTTCCGAGCACTCTCGAGCTGAGAAGCGAAGTCGATCGCCAACTGCGCGCTCTTGTCCTCCTGCATGGGGCCGACTTTCTTCGCCAGTAGACTTCCAAGCTGCCATGCGACGCGAGAGCTGAGCGCGCTGCCAGAAACGGCCGTGGGTTCGCACAACGCATCAAGCCCAGTGGCTGCCGAGCCGTGTGCGAAAAGTCGGCACAGGAGCATAAGTGTATCCTCCGTAGAGTTCCTGTCATGCCTTTCAGGCGCCCATGCGCTGCTCGGCTTCACAGATTGCCTGCCCTTCTCGACGTCCTGCTCATATGCGTTGATCGCCCCCACTAGCCTCCCGTGCCCGCCATGTAGCACCTGCAAAGCCAAGCTCTGCTTCCAGTCAAGCCCGAACTTCTCCGAGATACAGAACTCGCTCGCCCTGTCCTCTGCCGCCCCCGCTTGGCCAGTGACTGTGCAAACGCTGCCCGCTAGGACGGAGTAAAGAGTGCGGATCGCATCGCTCATCTCACTCCAGTCCTTCCGCCTCTGCCAAGCCTCGATCTGCGTGCGCATCGTCTCTCGCATCATCTTCGAGCCGGGTAACTGCGCGATCAGAGACGCAAGGCGGAAGTCTCGAGCACCGACAAGTGCCTCGCAGGCACCAGCAATGTCGTTCTTAGTGAGTAGCAGGAGCGCCTTCTCCTCGGCACTCTTCGCACGCCTCAGCTGCTGCTCCACCGTTGGCGCAACAAGCTGAGACCATAGCGTTACAAAAGCGTCTCTCCTCATCCGCTCCGCGAAGGCCTCCGCTTGCTCCTTGGGAACGTCATTTATGAAGTCAGCACATGCCACCTCGAGCGGGTCGAACAGTACGCTGCTTAGCTGCCATATTGCCCGCTCTTGCTGTTCCGGGAGCGACTTCCCAACAGGTGCGGCTTTCGCCATGATTGCAAATGTGATATCTTCGCTCGTCCGCGCCATTGGCATACGTCCATCCTTGCCTTCCACAATGGTGTACTCCATCTGCGTCTCAATGATGGCCTTCGCAGCTCTATCCACCAACTCCGCAGAAGGTGCGAATCGAGCAAAGCGGACATCTTGGTGCTCGCCAACGACAGGCTGCTTGCTTGGCTGCAGCTCACCAGATACAGCCGGAGCGGATCCAGCGGCCGAGTAGACAAGTGTGCCGTCACCGGCGAACGAAGGCTTAAAGCTATCGTGGAAAGCGGCATCGTCTTTGTCCTGGTCATTTGTAGTTGACAGGCGTGGTTTCTTCGAATATGGGTACTGTTATCCATTGCTCAGCTATGTACTTGTTACATCCAATGCGTGCATATACGTTCGCAAAAGCTTCGCAGCTGCTATCGTGCTGAGGGAGGGCTGACAGAAGTGCGGGTCGGAAGTGAAGCAAAGCGCGGAACGCCCAAAGCCCAGCCGCTTGACGTTCACTAATCATCAACCGTGGTCTCTCCCATCTACACAAGTCGTTCTGGGTGCTCATGCAGTCTCGGTCAGAACAAATGTAAGGGGGCATCATACCTCAAAACCTCGCTTCCCCTTCCTCGCCGACTTATCCTCCGCCCACAAACTCTTCATAATATCCATACTCGTCTTGAAAGCCTGACTCTTGCCCAGATCCTCCTCTTCCACCACCGTTGGTCCAAACTTGGCCTTCTTCGCGCTCTTCTGCGCCAAATAGCTCTCCCCAAACGTGCTGCGGCCAAGCAAACTCTGCTTGAGCGGGCTTTCCATGCCACCCGCGGGCTGGTCGTCAAGAGCTCTCATAAGGCTCTGCTGCATTTGCCTCAACGCCGCACGATCGCGCTTCCTTGGACTGATGGTGCGCTGAAGCTGCTCTTCCCATGTCTCGGTTGCGAGCCTATCCGGTGATGCGAAAGCGTTGGTGCTGGGCTTGAGGATTGAGCGGAGTAGCTTCGGCTCTGGGGCGAAGGCGCCGGGCATGCCAGATGCAGCCATCGTTTGCTGCGCTGACTCCCGGATGTCATCAGGTTGGTCGCGCTCCGCGTCATCCTCTATCAGGCTAGAGTGATAGCGCTCGATAGCTCCAGGAGATGGGGCTTGCACGGGATCGGAAGACCGGAACGAAGTCTCCATATCTGCATCCCGGTCGGCTTCGGGCTCAGCTTCCACCCTTTCATGGTCATAGCCGCCATTTTGCTCCTCACCGAACCCACCCGGCACACTAATCTGACTCCGCTTCTGCAGCTTGAACTGAAACGTATCGTCCGGCTCTCCAGCGTCGGCGTCAACACTCTGCATCGTCACATCCTCCTGTCCCTGCTGCTCCGGCGTCTCAGGCGCATCGCTCAGCCCAGAAGACTCAGCCTGCTCGGTGAACTCTTCGTCGTCTTCGTCGTCATCATCCAGACCGTACGTGGTAAAGTGCTCGACCGTGAATTGCCACACTCCAGTCTTCGCGTCGTAACTGACGAACTTCGTACCACTGACCCTCTTGAGCCGGGCAATATGCTTGTCGTACTCTCTACCCTCCGTCGCATGCACCGCTTTGCGGCCACCGTGCGATCTCGGCCAGGAGTTCTCTAGATAGATCGTGCTCGGCACGTTGAGCGCCTTACCCATGGCCGGCTTGTTGACGTCATCTTGATATACTGTCGCAGAGCGTGGGTTCAAGCGGACGATTTCGCCGCAGATATCGTCAAGCGGCGTATTGCTGAGGTCGCACGGACCGAATTCGATACGGCCGACACCATGGCGGCCTACGACGAACTTGCCAACCTTTTGCAGCTGCTGGCGCGACATATTCTTCAGATCGCGCAATGCCGGCTGAGTCCAGTACTCGCCGACTACCTCTTTCTGGAACCCAGACTTCGGCGCACCCTTTGATTGGGTAGCGGGTGCGGAGCCTGGACGCTGCGGCACGCCATCTTCTGGTACTGTTGAAAGAGCGCCGTTGGTCCCATTGATTTGCGACATCTCCGGTTGACGAGAAGGTCCGCTAGGCTGCGGAGGCGCCTTCATAAGCGCAGGCGGCTCTTCACGCTCCGGCGTGTCGTCAGTCTCCGTCCGCACCAGCGCATTCTCCCGGCTCGGCTGCGGTTCACGCGGAATCTCCTCAGGAGTCTCCGCCGTACCATTGAAGTTGACCCTCTTACCACTCTGCTCAGACTCCGTATTGCGCGTACCGAACAGATCGGTCCTCAAACTCCGATCGATATTCAACTTCCGTACGCTGCCGTCCCCATACCGGCCCACAGCGCTGCCAGGCGGCGACAGCGCACTCTCACGCAGCAGACTGCGCCCCTCTCCCGGCGTACCGTCTCCACGCAAGTTGCCCATACTAATGCTCTTGTTAAGACGGCTGCCCAGCGTACTGCCGAAGCTGCTGGAAGGCCTGAGCATGCTACTAGCGCCAGGCGTTAAGCTACCTGAGAAGGCGGAGCCAGGAGTGCCGTACGTCGAGTACGAGAAGCCGTACCCACCGTTCCTACCGAGTGAGCCGCCTCGTGGCGTGTACGCTGGAGAGTTCAGCCTCATGCTAGCCATCAAGCTTGGAGTCTTGCGAGGCGCAGGCTTGGCACCATTGAGCGGCGTAGCGAGGGGGCCGACCGGAGGTGATGGTGAGGCCAGCGAGGCAAAGAGCTGGCCATTTCCGTACGGCTGCTCCGTGAGCGAGGTATGTAGCTGGTTCTGCTGCGGTTGTTGCTGCTGATTGGTGCTGCCGAACAGAGAGCCGCCTTGGTTCTGTTGGTTCTGGTTGTTATTACCAAACAGTGATCCGGTGTTGTTCTGGTTGTTGCCGAACAGCGAGCCGCCGGTGTTAGCAGTGCCGCTGTTACCGAAGAGACTTCCAGCCGGCTTGTTCTGATTATTTCCAAACAGCGAGCCTCCAATGTTATTGTTGCCGAACAAACTGCCACCAGCGTTCTGCTGCTGCTGCTGGTTGTTGTTGTTGCCGAACAAGCTGCCGGTGTTGTTGTTCGTACTGGCCCCGAATAGACCACCTCCAGCCGGCTTATTCTGCTGATTGCCGAATAGCCCGCCGGTGTTGTTCTGGTTGTTGGTGTTGCCAAACAGGCCGCCACCAGTGTTCGTGTTGGAGCCAAAGGCATTGTTGGTGTTGGACTGCCCGAACCCGCCAAAGGCAGGCTTGTTCTGGTTCTGCTGGTTGTTACCAAACAAGCCACCGCCAGTATTGGTTGACTGTCCGAACGGGTTGCTATTCTGCTGCTGCTGCTGGTTGTTGTTACCGAAGAGACCGCCACCGGTGTTATTGGTGGTGTTTGAGCCGCCGAAGAGACCACCTGCGGCGGGTTTGTTCTGCTGGCCGAACAACCCACCGCTGGCGTTTGTCTGCCCGAAAGGATTGCTCTGCTGTTGCTGCTGTTGATTGTTGTTGCCGAACAGACCGCCGCCAGCGTTGGCGGTGTTGGTGTTGGTATTCGAGCCGAAACCACCGGTGCTGCTGCCGAACAAGCCTCCCCCGGCGGTTGACGCGCCACCGAAAGCATTGGTAGCAGGCGCGGGTGTTGTGTTTGTGCTGCCGAACAGACCGCCGCCGGCAGGCTTGTTCTGACCAAACAGGCCGCCTCCTGTATTGGCGCCGAAGCCAGTGTTCGTGTTGCTTGCGGCGTTATTGGCCCCAAAGCCGCCAAACGTACTACTTGTGTTAGTACTGTTCTGTTGAGCGCCAAACAGTCCAGCGCCACTGTTCGTGTTGGTCTGGCCAAAGCCACCGAAAGGCGTGTTCTGCCCGAAGCTACCTGCTTGACCATTCGTGTTCCCGTAGCGCCTGCCTTGTGCGTAGTCTTCGGTCCTCAGCTCTTCGAAGCTCTTATTCTTGTATGGATCTTGGAAGGTGATAGATTGGTAGTGCTGCATACCACCACCTGCCGTCTGCTCCTTCTCTTGCACCGCTTGAAAGGGCACGGCTTGCGTGCCATTGTTGTTATTGGTCGCGACTGAGGCGTTCGCACCGCCGAACCCGAAGCCGCCGGTATTGGTGTTCGACGCTCCGAAGCCAGTGTTTGTGTTTGTGTTGGCAGCGAAGGGGTTGCTCGCTGTTGTGCCGCCTGCATTGTTGGCTCCAAAACCAGTCGAGGCGTTGCCTCCACCGAAGAGTGAGCCGCCACTAGTCGATGCACCGAAGCCACCAGTCGCAGGCTTGTTGGCACCGAATAGACTTCCACCGGTATTGCTGCCGAAGCCGCCGGTGCTTGTATTGGCAGTATTACCAAAAGCACCGCCTGAGCCACCGAATGTGCCGCTTGTGCTCGTGTTGCCGCCAAAGAGCCCGCCACCGCTGCTACTTGTGGCTGCGCCGAAGGCTGGCTTTGGCGCAAAGGGATTGCTCTGGGTCTGGTTATTGTTGTTGTTATTGTTCGCGCCGAAGCCGCCAAAGCCGCCTGCTGTTGCCGTGCCTCCGCCGAATAACGAGCCACCTGACGTAGTCGTACTCGCGTTGTTTGCACCGAACCCAGTATTCGAAGCGCCGAAGCCGCCGAACGTCGAGCCGGTGTTGGTATTGTTACTGTTGTTGTTACCGAAGAAAGACATCTTCGCGGTGTCGAGGGGTAGATCGGTAAGGGGAAGGTAAGTGTGCGCTGTTGCGCTTGCGCGAAGATTGAAGCTTCTTAGACGTGAATAACCATATGAGCTTCACTTGGGCGAGATGTCCTGACTTTGACGCTGTTACACCGTCGCTGTTCGTTCTTGACAGCCTCCCGCAGTGTGGACGCGCTCTGGGTGCAATGTTGGTATGACCGAGGATGTGGATGCGGGTTCGAACAGCACAATGCGCCAAGGACCAATGCAATACTCAGATCAGGCAGGAAAGGAAGGGTGGTAAGTGGTGACAGCAGCGCGTAGCTCGCATGAGGAGGAGGAGGAGGAGGAGGTGGGAAGTCCTCATTGTGAAGTTCGCGTCGTGATGCACTTTCATGGAGCCCCGACGCTCGGGCCCCTTTACTGAAAGCTAATTCGAACAAGGCAAAGGCAGCGATCCTAAGGCACCTGCGGGAGCCTGGTTCCTTTGCTTCCCACGACGTATAACATGGTCTGGATATGATAAATACATGAAGACCCTCTCGGCCATGCAGATACGCTGTACGGAGGTACACTGCAGGTCCGGCTCTGATAATTACGGAGAAGCAAAGAGGCGCAAAGCAGAACCGACGTATGCCCGACCATAGCGCATCCACATGTCAAAGCGAAGCGCTGCCGCTCCTCCATCCCATCCTTAAACGACCGGACTTGACGGGAGCCCATTCGCATCGATGATGTATCTTGACTGCAGCGTTCGTGTGCGCCGGTGTGTGGTCTTGCCTGTCGCTGTTCGTTTCAGCGGCGGAGATGCTTCATCAGCGTCAACGCCCAGTGACCGCTTGCCCGCCTGGGTAGTGCGCCTGGTAACATAACTTGGTGTTCGATATGGCGTTATTGAGTATCGCAGATCAAGACCTGATGTTGGTGTCGTCGCCTTACCCTTCTTCAATGCCGAAGCCGGCGTGGCTGGTGGCGGCATCTCTTCCGCCTCAGAGGCTAGCGGACGTTGCGTAACTGCGGACGGCTCCGGTCTAAAGCTTGCGAGTTGCTGGTACTATCACACCGTCAGTCTAGATTCATGTGGTACAAGTGCCAGTACCGGCTTACATGATGGTCGATGTGCAGCAGCGGATTGAAGAGCGTGTCGAGCATGAGTTGGTGCTTTGGGCCATCGGTCACGGCGAGCCATTGTGCTTTGCCCGGAACTCTGGAGCTAGTCTTGCGTGAGCCTGGCGCTGCAACAATGAAGCCAGAACTCTTCAAGAAATCAAACACTTGCTTGACAACCGTCTTGTTGAAACCTAGTTCTGAGTAATCAGTTCTACTCAAGCGACCATCACAATGAAAGAACCCAGACTGTACACTTACCGAGCTCCATGGTGATGCTCTGCTGTGTACTGAGCCCATAATGTAGAGCATGGTCCATCACCCGCCGCTTCGCTGCCAAGTCTTCTAGTTTGTTCAGCCTGGGCATCTCCTGCTCGCCCAGCAGGCAACGGTAGCACACATGATCTTGCGGTAAGCGCTGGTCAGCGCTGCCAGTGAATCCATAGCAAGGCAAATGCTGCCATGTGTCGCAAAAGGCGCATTGCACCATATCGCCATCCTCGTTTGTTTGTCCGCATTGGCAAAGTATCACATCGCCTATCTTGGATCTGCGTCCTGCCTGCTTGGCAGAGGCGGCGGCAGTCTTGCAAAGCTTGTGCTTGTCGGCTTGCAGCGTGCGGGCCTTTGCTTGCGACAGTGTTAGCTTGCCTGAGCTCTGTGTATCAATATGATCCCCTCTCCCTGTTGAGGTGACCGCACGCCTTTCAACCGAGTGAGAGCGTCTTTGGAAAGGCTGCGATTCAGGTAAGAGCGGAGGCTGAGTTTGCGTGTCTCCTTGCGTCATATTCTCCGTTTGCATCATGTCATTAAAGGCATTCTTCATGCCTAGAATGTTGCTCGACTGCGTCTCAGTGAAGTCCACTGACTGGTCGATCCCGGAGGATGCTCGGGTTGCGGTCCTCACTGCGGTTGCCGTAGACTCTGCAGCTTGCACGTCAGCGCTGACAGTAGGCATGGTGGTGCGTTTCGCAGCTGGCAACGGGGTACCGAGCGCCTCTCTTGGGTCGATAGTGGCATCCTCGTCAAGCTGCTGCCATTGCGCTGCCGGATCTACGATTGTAGATGGGCTTGCTGTCTCAGCGGTGGATATTCTACTTGGCGCTTCTTCAGAGCCCTCCGCTGAGTCTGCGGTTGTTGTGGTAGCGCTCAATACTTCGACAACGGGACATCTACCGGAGAAAGAAACTTGCTCCGGAAAGACCGACGTGCTGTTTGTAGTTGGAAGCAGGCATGAGACTTGCAAAGCCGAACTATCAAGCATCAGTGCTTTGGAACACATGTCGCCTTTTGGTACACCGAGCACTTACTGATGATACATCGAGTCCACCTCTGGCAGCTTGTTGCATTGGCTCGCCCATCCATGCGCTTCAGCAAACTGCAATGAAGTGGTAGCAGCTAAGTCAAACCCCGGTAGGTTGTACTCCTTGTCGCAATCTGGCGTGCACACTAGCTGCATGTCGATGCATCGAGTAGCTGAGACGCGTGTGTCAGCATACCATCACCGCTCGGAAGCTATAAGCATACCTGGTAACAGTGGAAGCCTCTTGCACATCTCCATCAGGTTCAGTAAATGCTGTTGCAGCGCGTGTATCGACGACTGCACGCTAATGAGCGCACTTTCAGGACCGTCCATCCCTAGTCCAGCGACTATCTTAGTGTTGTCTAAACCTCGAACGTACTCAATGTTGAAAGTGTACGCTTCGAGGACTTGTTCACGCCGATCTGGAGCTGGATGGACCAAGATCTGCACGGAACGTAGGTAGCCATCTCTGAGGGCGGCAAAGGCGCCATGCTCCTACATCTGGTCAGTCTGGTGGAGAACTTGATTGGCCAGCGGCACTTACTAAAAGATCTAGCAGTCTGTCCACGCGCTTGCTGCGGCCTCGACGGAGAACCTCAGTGACCACGGCAGGTCGCTGGGCCTGGCTCTTCCTCGGTGGCAGACTGCCTGCAGCATACTCCTCATACGGAAGGATCTTCCCCGTCATGCCGTACGCCCCTTGGTCGAATGAAGTCTCTGGGAAGAAATGGCTGCGGTAGTGAGCGACAATCTCATAGCATTCAACTCGGCGATGAACTTACCGCAAGAAAGCCAACACACTTAACTGCGGAAGCTGTCAGTGACGGTTCAGAATGAGCATACAAAGACCTACACTGCTATGCATCATCGTTTGGACGACCTCGAGACTTTGCTTCTGATCGATGACCGTCTTAGTGATCGTCTCCGTTGTGCAGACCTTCTGCAGCTGAATCGTCGCCATGCTGAGCGTACATCATACGAAGTGGAGCGGACGTGCAGGAAAGAAGAGTGCTACGGATGATGCGAAGTGTGAATAAAGAACGCGCGATTAAGCCGAGAACAGATCGAAGCCGAGAGATGGGTTCGTAATGACATGAGGTCGTAAAGACATGGAGTCAAGTTGAACGAAAACTTCAGACGGGGAAAGCGCGATACCGCAACCACACATCCGCACCATACACCACATCGCCTCGTCGCAGAACCAATTGAGATATATCGCATAATGTTGGCATTGCAATACTGACGGAACGTAAGACATTTGCAGATGACGGCCAACGAACGCATCCTCCTAGAGACAGCTAGCGGAGACCGCCGGGAACTTCGCTCTGTATCCATTTTACGCGGTTGTCAGCCCATCTAGAATGCTGACGGCAGAAGAATGCGGTGGTACCGTCGCTACAAGCGGTCACTTCGGGGTGACGGCGACGGCGGTACTTGGTGAGGTATAGGCGCCTGAAGCTCACCACGTTTTGGGTGTGTTGTCCCGCAGGTCGCATCTGATTGCCGATGCTTGCATCCTCGCCACTGATATGGGAGGAGTCCTGTATAGCTCTTGCTTCAGCGGCTGACATAGGCCAGCAGATAGCGCTCCACACCCGGCGCCAGAAGCTGGCCGTTAGACAAGCACGCCACGGCATTGCATGCACGTGGCACACGTCGTCGCTCGATACACGCTCGATCTCTACGGTGGAGAGTCACCCGATTCCATTATGGAGTCGTCCAATGTGAGTCTTGCGGAGCAGATTGATAACCAAGTCGAAGCATTCGGCAACGAATCTGGAGTCTGCGGCATGGTCGATACAAGCGCGCCGCAGAGGCTCAGGCTACGATCTCCCGGATTGGAGACTGTTGCCGTCGGTATCAGTGCCTTCCGGATGGCCACAGAACATGTGAAGTGGTATGGTGGTGGTCGGGAATGCCAAGCGACTCTCGCCTCGGGTGAGCATTCGTCCGGAGTCAGGCGGATCTGTCCGCCGCACTACAACCTCACCACAAACGATGCTGCCAATTGCCCACGGATGCAGCACGACGCATCGGGAAGCGTTCTTCCGAACGACATATTCGCATGCAAGAATGGTCCAGGACATGCATAGAGGTCGCCTACAAGGCTTTCGAGGCTCTCAGTATGCAAACGGCCGGCAGTAATGAGAAGCAAGGAGAATAAGCAAGGTCCGCACGGAGGTTGACCGTTCGTTACAGAACATTATGAGGATGAAAACAACCATTGCTGCGCCTTACCCGTGCTGGCCTGTCTTGACCGATCTGTCGGCCAGCGAGCTTGTCACGCAAGTTACTGACCACTCTGCGGACTTTCAACATGCCGCTCACAAGGATTCCCTCCACGAAGCATTGCTGGACCAGAGACCTTACTGGCTCGCCTTTCGGCCTCGAGTGGTGCCGAAAAGGTTAAGCAGCAGGGTAATGTTAACATAATCGAAGTGAAGCATGTTCCTCGTTGGGTTGTTCCATCAATCCACAGCGATTCACAACGTCGCAACTTGTCTGGACAATCACCTTCGCTTGGCTTCGCACAGCTGGCTCCACAGATAAAACGGTAACAAGTCATTTCGGACTTTATGCTCCAGCAATGTCGGAAGAACACTGGCAATAGGTAAGATATGAAGCATGCCCAATGTGACCGGCACTCTGGGCCTTCGGCACTTGCACCAGATCTCTAGGTGCTTCTAGCATGAATTCAGATGCCCGAAGATTGACGTGACCGGCTTCCAGCGGAGCATGCTTCAATGACTTGGTGCCGCAGTAAAGTTCCGCTAAGCACATTATGAAACTCTCGAGCTTGCAGGCTATGGACCGCCGGAGTGACTGGAGCTGCTCCCAGAATGTTCATGGTGTATACTTCGGCACTTTGAACCTAGGACCACAGGCTAGGCCAGCCGAATTCGTCCGCTTTTTGCTCGGCGGAGTGCCGACTGACTGGTCAACCACTGCGGGCTCCGGTGAGGCTCTGCTACGTCGTCTATCATGCAACGTGCAGGATGGACTCGTTGCGAGATCGATGAAATGCTACAATGAACGGGGCGTGCCCACGCATGAGCTGCAACATGGTCTTTCGCTCCAAATATCGTGGTAGGTCGCTCCTTCCCAATCGAGCTGCTGGGGCACCAAGCTCCGATGTAATTTGCAATCTGCGGGTCACTGTCCGCGTTAGCCGGTGTTGTTCCGCCAAGCGACGACGCGATTGCTGAAAACACCGTCACCGCACCAGCTTCGCGCCCCTTCACGCTCTTCACGCATCGCGTTCACGCACCCACTTCACGCACCGCGCTTACGCACACCTCAAACCTCATTTACACTTCCTTTTCATCAGCACATTCTTGCGCCCCTACCTTTCTTTGAAAGCACAGGTACGCGATGGCGGATGACAACTCTTCCGAGGTGTCCGATGCAATCAGCGACCACTATCTGGAGCGCAATCCAGAGCTGGCGGGCATGACTCCGGTTATCTTTCGTCAAGATCCTCATTCACGTTCTTTCAAGCGCCTCGCCATGGCTGCAGGTGGTCATATGGAGGAAGCATTCGCCGGTGCCTATGACATTATCAACAGTATCAACCCGGAAGTGTTCCAGATGCCGTTCGGTGTAAGTCACGTTTACCCGCAAAATGAGTACCACTTACTGACAAGCTCTCAGACGCGCGTTGTGAACATCAAAACAGACTTCTCGGATAACATTATCTTCGGAGCAAAGAAAGGCCAGTGGGCTACTCTCGAGAAAGTCTCTGAGCGTATCATGAAACTCTACGAAGCTCGCAAGCACAGTAGCGAGCAAGTTCTCTTTCTGTTTGCTGTCAACGGCAGCAAGCAGTTCTGCGGTCTTGCCAGGATGAGTGGACCGTGGGATCGAAACGGTCGCATTGACGGCTGGCTCGAGAAGGAGTCCAGCGCTCCGAGCTTGGGGTAAGCAATTCATATCGGCCTGGCTTGGTTTCTTCCTTCTGCTAACGTACCAACAGCGTCATTCCCATCACGTGGCTGTACATCAAGAACGTGCCGTACGCCTGCTTCAAAAGCTTGGCACCGCAGCGCGGCGGGCAGTCCGTGGTGAATATGTGGAATGGGATGAATTTTGAGGCTGATATTGGCCGCAATGTGATCGAGCTCTATGTGAAGGAGCCCCACGTGAGCAACATGATCACGTGGCCGAAGTCAGAAGCGTCTTCCGGTCTCAGTAACCGCACCCCATCTGGGTCCGCCAATCGCGGTCTTGCACTTACTTCTGCCAATTGGCGCGTTCATGTCGGCGGTCAAGCCAGCATTGCAACTGCAAGCAGTTCAACAAGCTCTTCGCCGTCTCGCCCGAGCGACACTCATGCGAGCATCAATACCGAAAGCGCAGCCAGTATTCCCGACGATGAAGCTACTCCGACTGCCAGAGACCGTACTTTACCGCACAATAGTGCTGGGCTGGCTGCTAGTGGTCTGAACCGTAACCCGCAGGCTCTGCCACCTCGCCCTTCCGTGCCTGGGCCGCCGCGCCTCACGCTCAATACCCACGTTGTCAACACTGCTCCTCCACAGTTCGCCGCGCAATTCGATGGTACCACTGACTCTACCATTTCAACACGTCCAGGTACACTCTACGTGGCCAACGAGCAAGGCCACCTCGTTCCGCTCAGCCCAGCTGCGCTCGCCGCCAGTCACTCGGCTCCCCCGACGGGCAGGGAGCCCTCACGCTCTTCCGACGAGCATGCTCGTAACCATCGTGTCTTCAATGGGCACCGCAACCAGCGTGAGCAATATGGTAACGGTCACGGCGTTCCTCGCATGGCTTCATTCGGCATGGAGAGTGCGGCGTACGTTCATCCGAACGCGCGCATCAACGACGCAGACCCCGAGGAACCCGGCCAGCTCTTCAGTCATTCTCCGCAGCAGCACGGTCAGGCGCAGATCAACGCCGGCTTGGGCATCTCCGGGTCCGAGCGCAGCGAAGACAATCTGCGCAAGGCTGGTTCTGACGTGCAAAGCGGCCGCCAGGGCAACAACGAGCATCAAGCTCCAGCATCTATGAGCGCCTCGCTGCCCCAGCATGCTGCCGCTGCTCCCGAGTTCATCCCGCTATCTCAGCAGAACCGCGGCCTCCACCACACGCGCTCTTCTGCCAATCTCAGTCCACGTAAGGAGTCTTCGCCTCGCTTGCGTAACAGCACGTCTTTTTACTATGACGAGCGTGGGTTCCTCAATCAACACTGGCACTCAGATTCGCAGAAGCTCAGAATGACAACAGTGCCAAGAGAGATTCAGCAGATTGCGCGCGATGCTGGCCATAGGATTCCGCCATTCGCCACGCTTGCTAAGCAAAGCACTCATATCTTGCCATGGACCGGTACGCGCACAGCTCCGTCGGAATTGTCGAGCCATCACACATTGATCACCATCGACTCAGACGGTGACGCTCATTGGGAGAAGACTTACGACAAGGTTGTCGATGAGCACCGTCGCGGCCCAAGCAGCAGGATCGAATCGCTTTCTGACTCGTACCCCAGCGACTTTCGCGGTGCTGACTCTATGGCTGGCTTCAGGCCGAAGCCGAAGGAGGCTGGTGCGGACACTGCTGGATCCCCGTTGCCGGCCTCCTCGACGCCCAAAGCCGACCCAACATCGACCCCACTCACCGAAGAGACGCTCATGCTCACACCAAGCGGCCCTGCGCATCGTCACGTTGAGGACTGGGTCATCAAGACAGCTTCGCAAGAGAATCTGAGGTCTCGCATCGACGATCAGACCGCTAAACAGGTCAAGCCGGCCGCGCCGAGTCCGAAGCCTATCACTCCTGTTGGTGTAGCTGGTGCTTCCCTCCCATTGGCGCTCAAGCCACTCTTCTACGGCCTTATGGCAGACAAGTGCGCTCTGGAGAAGAGGGTCTCGAAGATCGACGCCAACATTGACTCGGAAACGTACTACAAGACCATGTCGGTGTTGGCCGAGGTCGAGTACAAGCTTGAGCGCTTGACTACCGGCGAGCTCAACGTGTCCAACATCAATGGTGTGGAAGGTTTAAGCAATGAGAGCGAGAGTACCAGATCTCTCCTCTCCTCCAACGCTTGGAGGTTCAACGTCGCTCCCTCGCTCGGCCGTGATGGTCGTCCACTGACCTCTGCATCTAGATTCCCCTCACCAACGAGAGCTGCCGATGCCACTGCTGCTGCTGTTACTGCTTCTGGACCTCGTGGACGTCATAGCCGTGGACCATCATCGATCTCCTGGGGTCCGGACATCAGTGCTAATGTGGATGGCATAGTAGACACGCCCAGCACCAGCGGCAAGGGCATGCTACGCATCGCCTCAAAAGAAACCGCCATCGACTCTGCCGAAGGCAGCGAAGTTTCTATGGTCACGAACCCCTTCGGAAAGCGTGCAAGCGAGAACGGAGGCGTTGGGTTGAAGGATTAGGGCATTGTGGCTTGACGAGGGCGGGCATTGCAGGAGAGGACTCGGTTTCATTAGCAGGTCACCGCAACACAACGTTCCCACAGGCTGCTGCGCAGGGATTGTTTGAGTGAGATTGTTATTAGCGCTAGGCGCTTGTGATGTTTGTCGTGCTGCGTTTGGGGATCGATGGATTGGCGGATAGTGTACTGTTGCACGTAATACTGTAAGAATCTGCCAGCTGGATTGCGCCCTTTGCACCACTCTCTCTTCCATTGGCAGGTTACATGCACCTACACTCTGCATAAGATACCATTTCACGGCGTTTACACCACGTTGGGATGCGTTGCACTCATGGTTGACCCGGGTGTACATCGCTGCTCTTCCCACTGTCATGGGCGGTTTATACGCATCTACATCAAGCATGGCGGCCTATGCTCACCCATATGCCTCTATTGAGACGCTGCGACGTACGCTCATTATGCCAATACATCGTGTCATCGTTCTCGCCCTCATGCTTGTGTGATATGCATCTTTATCGGAAATGACATGCTGCCGATCTTGACGTTCGTGTGGTGGAGATGTGTGGTTTGGGTAGTTTGAAACTTTCCTTCGCAAGACCATCATTTCGCTTCACAAGATAGCTCCGTTATTGAGGCTACCGGTGGGACTAGCGATCATAATACTGCTGTCATTGCTCCTCATAATGACAAGGCACTCCCATCTACCACTGGAGCCAGAAAATTCTGCCACAACCACCACCCTGCCGGCGAACGCCATCCCGACACCTTCAACGTTCAACGATGGCCTACCCTTACCGAAGATGATGGTGTTTGATCTTGACTATACTCTGTGGCCGCTATGGTGTGACACGCACGTCTCCGGCCCCATCAAAGGCAGCAAAGACAACGGCCGCACGGTCTACGACGCTTACGGAGGCAGCTACGGCTTCTACAGCGACGTGGCGGGCATTCTCGCCACCCTCAAGCAACGAAATATCGTCATTGGTGCCGCAAGCAGGACCTCAGCGACAGAGGTTGCTCGCTCCATGCTCACGCACCTACGCGTGCCCTTCACCGCTGAAGACAGCAAAGAAACATCCGCAAAAGCGATAGGCATGTTCGACTATATGGAGATCTACCCAGGGAGCAAGACGACGCATTTTCAGAGGCTGCATAAGAAGAGCGGGATCAAGTACGAGGAGATGCTGTTCTTCGATGACGAGAGCCGGAATAAGAATGTGGAGGAGCTGGGCGTGGTGATGCATTTGATCAGGAACGGTGTTACGGTTGCGGAAGTGGACAAGGGTGTGGAGGCGTGGAGGAAGCGAAATGGGCGGACGAAGAAGGAAGCCAGTGGCTGACAGGCAGGTTGTAGAGTGTGAAGAAGAACAGCACAATGCTTGGTCGACCATTCTTATGATCGCTGAGGACCCGGGTGGCAAAAGTGCCTCCACCTTGCTACGCTACCAAATACCCACGCCATGGCAATGCGCTAGTGATGAGCCTTGCAACGCGGTGACGCTTCACCTGAAGCAATGCCAGCATCAAGGTCGGTGGCTTCGACGGCCGCGAGATGTTCGACTCCACGCTCCATCTATCAGGCGGTATGGCTCGTGCGCATACCTGTCGCGGCGCTCCGCTCCTCTCCTTAACGGCACGATGATCTTAACACTACATGAGTGATGCCTGGCATAGAGTTTCGGCAATGGTGGACGGCGTCGACAAAGGAGGCGAAGCGAAAATGAGGGTCACGGCGGATCACGATCTTACGACTGTGTGGACGCCGTATTGGTTCTGGAAGAACGGGCAGTTGACGGATGTGCGACTCAATGGTTATGGGTTCAATCAAAGCCTATGACGGTAGAATAAGTGAAGGGGGTAAAAGAGGTACAGAAGAATGGATTATTGCAGTGGCTCATGATACGGTGAGACCGCCTACCGACGCGGAGGTCGGTATCGACGATGTTGGCTTGAGCAAGGAAGAGGTTGCTGCCTTCACGCGTTGTAGCGGGTGCGGCTGGATGGGACGTACAGACTGAGATCCTCTTGAAGGACGCGGGTTATGTAGGACATTGAGAAAATCCGTACCGACAGTGGAATTCCAATCTTGGTATGAAAACTCGTACGCCATTCTGATGGATGCTCTTCTCTTGCTCGCTCGGGCAAAGATCCGATGTCGGCATTCTTCAGACGCCGAGCCCCTCTTGTGATGCGAGGAGCATCGAAAGCAGGTCACTCCATTTCGTCTCTTGCGCGGGACTGCGTACATTGCTCCGCATCCTCGGAACATTATAGTGCGTAGCTTCACCAGGTGTCAGGTACAGTACGGTAGCCTTTACTTTCTTGAATCTTCTTGACTCTTGGTTGTTCGTCCCCATCATTGCATGAACTGTTACTTCCAGCTGTGAGCCGATAGGACAGCCATATTCACCAATCCCACCCTGTCAACCTCACCGTGAACATGAAGATTCTCATTACAGGTGCCGGCGGCTTCGTAGGCCAATTACTCGCGGAGCATCTCCTCAACGACAACCACACTCTGATCCTAGCCGACATCTTCGAGCCTCCTGTCCCATCGCAAGCCTCCAACAAGCAGAACGCGCAATGTATCAAAGCCGATCTCTACGAAGACCCCAACGTCGTCCTCAGCAAGGACCTGGACGCCATCTACGTCTTCCACGGCATCATGAGCGCAGGCAGCGAGCAGGATTTCGATCTCGGCTACCGCGTCAACCTGCAATCTACCCTTCGCTTGCTGGAAGCAGTCCGCCACACTTGTCCCGGCGTGAGATGGATCTACAGCTCCAGCACTGCCATCTACGGCCAGCCACTACCGGACATGCCTTCTGAAGCCACCGTGCCAACGCCACAGGGAAGCTATGGCACGCAGAAAGTCATGCTCGAGTACGCCATCAACGACTACAACCGCCGTGGCATCATCAATGCTTTCACCTTCCGCTTCCCAACCATCTCCGTGCGACCAGGGAAACCGACACAAGCGGCGAGTAGCTGGATGAGCGGCATCATTCGAGAGCCTTTGCAAGGCAAGGAGAGTATTCTACCATGCGACGATGACTTCCCGGCTTGGCTGTGCAGTCCCAAGACTCTGATCAAGAACCTACAGATTGCACTTACGTTGCCGAAGGATTGCATGCCGCCGCATATGCGACAGGTCAATCTGCCCGGCATCACGGCAACGGTGAGGGAGATGCTGCAAGCGCTAAGAGAAGTAGGCGGGGAGGATGCCGTGAAGTTGGTGAAGAGAGAGAAGCCAAGTCCGGAGATCAAGGCTATGCTTGATAGCTGGCCGATACGCTTCGATGTCAGTAAAGCCTTAAGTTTGGGCTTTGTGGCGGATCAAAGCTTCAAGGGTGCAGTCGAGGATTTTGCGGCGAGTCTGAAACAGCAGCCGAACGGACAATAAACTTTGTGCCCAACCTATTCCGAATACTATGCTTTGCCGCTCGATCCAATGTCGTCCATCCATTGCTCGCATTGCGCTTGCATCAAAGCTGTGCCCTTCTCCAGTAGCTGCGTCAGTGGTACTTTGCCAGTACTCTTCGCCACATATTCGTTGTAATCGCTCAGCACAAGCTTGTTCACATTGATCCTCGTCACGCCTCGCTCGATGCACTTCTTCATAATATCCGGGGGGAACTCGTTGGTGCCGTGCAATACAATCTGCACCCTCCCGTCCACCTTCTTCTGGATCGAAGCCAGTCTGACCCTCGTTAGCACACTTCACGCACGCCCTCGCATTCAGCGAGACTCACCGATCATAATCCAGATGTATGTTCTCCACACCATGGTAATCACCGTGCACGTTGCCAAACGCGGGCGCCAGAAAGTCAATCCCAGTCGCAATGAAATCGTCTACCTCCTCCGCCGTCGTCATCATCCCTTCCAACTCCGCCGTATCTTTCACCCCGTCCTCGCCGCCCTCAATCCTACCAGGCTCAGCCTCCGTCGCAATGCCTCGACTGTGGCACAGCGCCACAAGCTCCTTCGTCTTGGCCAGGTTCTCCTCCTTCTCGTAATGGCTCATATCCACCATGATGCTGTCGAAAGCGGGTGTGCCGTCATGCGCCTTGATCTGGGACGCCTGTTTGATGACTTCAGGATCTTGCGCGTGATCCATATGCACTGTCACGGGGACGGAGGCTTTGCGGGCAGCCATTGCGGCGAAATCGACGAAGAGGGGGGAGTACTTGAGGGCCCATGGGAAAAGCAGAATCTGTAGAGGTGATTTCTTGGCTTCGGCTGCGGCAATGCAGGCAATGATTGTTTCCATATTGTACGACACCACGCCCAGGACGCCGTATTTGCCCTCTGCTGCTGCATTGAGCATGCGTACAGCGCGGTTGTTGCTGAGCTTGGGCATGCCTCCGCCGGATTTTGTGCCGTTCATCTTCGCGGTCAAGGGAGGTTGAGAGTTTGGAGATTAAGGACAGCCGGCAGCTACTGGACAAGAATGGGTAGAGGAAATAGACACAGAGTGACGGCAACAGCAAAAATTCGCTTGCCCTGATGGACGTACCTCGACTCTATACACCGGACTTCGTCCTCCACTCTCCGCGCAAAGGACAATGTGGGCATTGCTTGCCCCGCCGCCCACAACCCCACCATCTCTTTAGGCTGCTTGCTTGCGGCATCGGAAGGCCGAATGCAGACGCCGAGCCGATTGCCGATGATGGCAGACAACGATCTGAGGGCGAAGTTGGTGTTCTTATGCGTAGTCGCTGTGACCATCAAGTCTCAACTCTCAAGCACACCCACGGTGATGCCACTCTTCTCCTCTGACGTGAGATTGATGCCAAACATCTCCTTCAAGCAATCAATCCTCTCCTGCTCCGTCTTCAGCTCCCTCACAACCGCCCTCTTTCCCTCCACCGTCTTCGCCACACGGTCATTAAACATGGTGAGATCGCCAACCAACTCCTCAATTCTATCCGCCATCAGCATCCTCGTGCATAGCAACGACTTCGTGAAGAAAGACTTCGGGTGGGTTGATGTGAACCACGACATCATCTCGTAGTCCTGCGGTAAGAACTCCGTCTCCGTAAAGCAGTAGGTGGGCGTCCAGATGTTACTTGATGGATCCGTTTCGGAAGGGTGATAGCAGACGTCGTAGCACCATAGCTTCTGCGCATCTTCATACCTTCCCGCCGCGTGCTCGGGTATACTTCGCCATTGCAGCCGGATGCGTCTGGGAGACAGACTCACAGTTTCATATCCATCACGCAGCGGGTATGGGGTGTTAGGTCCCATCGCGCCCATGCCTACATCGACGATGTACCATTCATCGTCGAAGCGGACAAGGTTTAGCATGTGATTCCAGCAGTCATACGTCTGGCCTTGCTGCTCGCGAACGGTGCGGTCGGGGTTATGCATACGGCTGACTCTGCCCGCGCAGTTGCGGACGTCGAAACCCAGTGATCGTAGAACTGTACCGAAGAAACCGTTGTTCTCCATGCAGCGCCCACCGCGGCCGTACTGAAGGCCACGTTCGGCGAATTTGGTGAACAGATCGTCCATGTTGAGACTGATCGTCTTGTGTGAGGAGTAGTGAAGCTCGAGGTTCTCAAACGGGACGAAAGCAGCGTGATAGCGGGTCATAGCATGTACGAGTGGAAGGCCATGCTCCGTGGTTTTAGCAAGAGCTGGTTCTGTGAAGACGGGTGAATCGAGACACTTCTGTGGCAGCTTGATGCGCTCAAAGTACGTCTGCAATTGCTCCTTCGAATAGCGTGGCCTATCTTTTGGGTCCAGAGCCATTTGCGTCTGCTTATGGCCGGAAGTGTTGTGAGCCATGTTGCCGGATCAGCATGAGCTGCAGACAGACTCAATATTGCTGTCCACGAATGGCACAGCGCCTAAGGATGGACAGGCGGTGTTAGATGGTTTGCACCCCGGCCAGCAAAGAATAATGTTCCTAGGGCTGCAGGCGGTCTTGAAAGCTGACCACCTGCAGCTGCGAAGCTCGACCCCTGCGCACTACATCAGACGCAAAGAGCTGAGTTCTCTGAGGCGCTACTGTGCCCATATTGCCGAGCTTCATTCGTACATGTACCACTTCCAACACCTTCTCGGTCTGCGTCTGGGGCAAAAACAATAAATGGCTGGCTCAGCGGCTCAGCCCGTCGTTGCCAGGAGAAGCTTGACGGCTCCACGGAGCTTGATTACAACCCCTTCATGCTGAACAGCTCTCTGTGTCAAAGTATGAAACTGCCTGGACACGATCAAGCGCTCAACAGCGGTTGGTTCGTGCGTGAAGAGTGAGTTCCAAGATCGTCAACCGTACCTGGCTGGCATGTAGGCGATACCCTATCGACCTATGAACCACCGTGCATGATGGCATTGGCAGAATGGTCAGCGGCGGCCGAAGTCTGCACTCCGGCGTGCTTGACACCGGCTTGAGGTGATGTAATACATGCCACAAGGTGCCCGGTTCGCGACGTGAAGGGAAGGCACGCGTAACGCGACGTGGATTCGTGTTCAACCGCACTTTATCGCACAAACTACAGCTCTCAAACATCATGTGAAAAACAGATCCTCTTTGGCAGCTGATGATTGTATGATTCACAAGCGAATCTTGACCGTCTCGCAATTGAGTTTCGCGTAACGTATTTGCCTGTTCATTTTATGTTTTGACATGTCCATGCTACAGACATAACAGTCCCTTATCCCAAGCACTCTGGGCTTACGATGCACTGGCAAGCGATCCAGCAGTCGAGACGCTCTCTCGAGAGCATGGTCCATCCAGATCATGCAGAGCCAGATCTTGAGTTGTTCTACCTTTCCGAAGATACAGAAGCTGACGCTGACGGGGAAGATATTCTACCCGTGCCACTCGGTCACGACAACGCGGCAGATGTCAAGTCCCACTATAGTCTAGCACGTGTGCGGCAGTTCGACAAGATCGACATCCCAAGCTCAAGTGGCCATGGTGAGTGCACAAGCGGAGAACATTATACTCAAGTTGCCATTCCGACCTTCACCACTGGGATCACCACTTTCGCCTATCAGCTCGCGCTTCAGAACCGGATCAAGGACGCCACGCTACGTGAAGGTGGCGAGTACGATACGCACAAGTTCACGCCGACGTTCATCCATGACTGTCTTATGCTTCCCGGCTCGCTGGCTGGTCTGCTCCGCAAGGTAGAGCGACCGCACGACGGTCCACTGCACAAGAGAATTCGCTGACTTCTCAATTGCGACTTAGTCTTCGACACCTGATCTTATCCACAAGATGACGCCGGCTCTGCTTCCTGGCTTCCATGCACATGTGCATGCAGAAAAATTGCAACCCTGCATTCTGCAATCACCGGACCCCAGTGATTACGTCTCGGGCATGCTCATTTTTGGCCAAGGCAAGGACAGCCGCAAACTCATCAACGAGCACTACCGGAGTGACGCACGCCGCATCAAATTGCAGGTCGAAGTCGATGTCCAGGTACCCGTATTAGCTCACGAGCGCGATTTTCCAAGCGAGCGATGGCGACTGAAGCGCCGACGTGTCGAGGCTCATGTATGGCTTTGGGCGAACGCTCGTACCGGCGACGCCTACCTCCGAACACATGCGCCTAAGTGGACGCTCGAGGACTACCTCGCCGGGACGCTGGCACCGAGGGCGCCGCTTAAGGTCCTCGACTCGTCTCTGCTTCACGAAGAAGTCGATCTTTCGGATGATGAGCGTGAGCAAGCTCGGCCTCAGCACGAAACGATCGACGGCGGTTACGGCAACCTAGACTACCAGATAGAATATCGCTTCACGGGGTGGTGATCTGCTATACCGGTCGCTATGTAGGAAACTCTACTGCAACTTGTCCCGTTGAGACAAGGTAGACATGCTGTCAGCTCGTCCTCTAGTACCCATGATCGACGGTTTAAGCTAATAAAGCTTACAAACACAGCCAATTATCTTATTACATCCTCGATTACAGCTTAGATCCCTTCCACACCTTCTTCACCCACTCCTCGACATCCGAGAGCAGAGCTTCAGGCTGCTCCATGGCCTGATGACTGTTAGCATCCACTTTCGGAGAGACTCTTTCAGTATGACCTACCGCAAAGTGTCCGCCTTTCGAATGCTGATTGTAAGTGACAATGTTCGCATACGTCTCGGCCCAGCTTTTCGGCGTCGGCGCTAGCTCCATGTGGAAAAAGCTGTATCCGCTCGGCTTCGAGATGTGTTCTGGCCTTGGCCGATCCTTCTGCGGAGGTCCTCTGTACGGGTATATACACCGTGGGAATGTGTCAGTGAGCCAGTACAGCGACACGCTCGTCAAGATCTCATCAACCGAAGGATCCTCGTCCGTCCATTCGAGGAACTTCTCACCAATCCACGCCAGAAGCGCCAGCGGAGACGCACTCAAAGCTAGCCCGATCGTAGCTGTGCGAGTGGCATGCTCGCGCATGTAGGCGTTGCCCTCGTACATGAACGCCTCGCCACGCTTTAGCGCCTTCGCCTCCAGTGCGTCCATAGGCAGCGATGAAGCGTTCTCCGGTGGCGGTACGAAGAACATATTGAGGTGCATGCTCTTGCATGCATCATACTTCGAGGCCAGGACCCGACAGACACCGGACCCAATGTCGCCGCCTTGACACAGATAGCCGGACTCGAAGCCCAAGTTTACCATGAGCTTGTGCATCACGTTGCTGGCCTTCTCGACGTTGTAATCCACGTCTACCGGCGGACCGCTGGAGAACGCGTAGCCCGGTAAGCTGGGCGCGATGACATGGTATGGGAGATCTTTAGGTGAGTAGCGTTCTCTTAGTAGTGAGAAGATCTTCAGGAACTCGAGGAAGCTGCCCGGCCAGCCGTGGTAGAAAGCTAGGGGGATGGCGTCCTTCCGTTCGGAGAAGAGGGCCATGAAGTGGACGTCAACCCTGACCCCGTCGTCTCCGGTGATGGGCATGGTGAATTGTGGAAAGGAATTGATGTGGTCCTCCTGCTTACGCCAATCGAACTTGTTGAGCCAATGGTCTTTGGCCGCCTCAAGATAATCGCGTCGCATGCCGTATTTACGCGATGGGTTAGACATGAGGGTTGAGCCTTGGTCTTGACTTGTATTTTCCCATACCGCTGGGCCGATAGGGCTAAGCTTGAGTAGGTCTTTCATATGCTGAAGCTTTTGCTCGTCGATGTGGGCTCTGAAGGCTTTGGGCTGCACTTTGGCGCCGGCGGGAATTTTGCTGTAGTCTGCCATATCGCCTGGTCGGTGTGCTTGGGTGTAAAGTCGTGGACAATGTGGGATCGGAAATATTTGACGCAGCAGGATGATGGGGGAGAGATTGCTGGCTTTATGCTAGCATGGAGGGTTTACTTAACTACGAGTGCTTTGGCTATTCTTACGATCGGAACACCGACGATGTCAACGGGTGTGAAGCTGACGAAGCATGTCATTCACAGCGTACATGTTGCAGCTCAAGATGTGACACCGCAAAGCTAGACCAATAGCTGACTAAAGCCAAGGAGCGATCAGCGCTCGCGATGACGTCTCGTTTTAATGGCAGCTCATTGATCCAAGCCGTCAAAGGTCACCATCCTCGTAACTAGCCTTACAGTGTCCATTTTGCTTATGTCTAAACCTGGCTCATCCACTTTTCGCGCAAGTAGAGTATCAAGTAACATCCTCATCCTGTTAATCAGCACGCCGATTCTGGCCCATCCTCTCAATCTGAGCCACCCATCCACAAGCAAGCCTCGCCCTTGTGGATCAATCTCAATCTGACCACCGAACATCAGCAAGCTGTAGACGTTGAACGGCGTCAGATCGCGGATGAAGGTCTTGCTGGTCGCCATCTTGGCGAAGTAGCTCATGAAGACGCTGTGTCCCGGAAAGCCTTGCGCATCAAACATTATTGACCCTGGATGGACGAAGACGCGGCCGTTTTCTTCGTTGAAGTATTTGATCATGTGTGCTTCCGGGTCGACAGCGACTGCGCCAGCGGCGGAGGCTTTGTACTTCGCATCCGGAAAGTCGATGCGTGCGATTTGTGGCTGGAAGGCACCTGCGATGAGTGACCGCAGTAAAGGATCGTTGGCGTTATGGAGGTTTAGCGTCTCGGGGACATGGCTCCCGTAAGGTGGTATGAATCCGATCTCCTGCAGCGACGTTGCGTACTGTGACCGTGTAGTAGCAACATCCATGAGTGTCTGGTGGCTGAGAAAGTTTTCATCGCACCACCTCCGCAGGGAAGATGTTGGCTCGCCTTTCGAACGCCTGTGAGACCATTCTTCGAATGCGCGCAGATCAGCGATAGGGTCACCTTGGCCCTTGCCAAACACCGCCTTTGCCGCTTTGGCTTCGTCTCTTTTAGTCTGCGGGCTCACGAACGGGCTTTTGATCGTTAATGTAGCCGCAATGGTCAAGCAAGCATCTAGGCACCCGAAAGCGACCCCATACACGATTAGCTTGCCGCACCGTAAGTCTGCCGGAATCTGAGACAGATGCTGACCGAGCGCAGTAAGCTTGTTCTTCTCAAGCGCACCGACTCGTCCGAGCAATAATATAGCATTCGCGATCGACAACGTTTCAGGCGGCGTGAGAGCGGATGCAAGGAAGGCAGGCACGTCGTCTACGCCCATAGCTTTCACGGATAGGCAAAGCTGCTCGAGCGGAACTCTCCGAATCTCAGGCTCAGGTCGCTCCGCCATGTTGCTTTCTTGATGTCGGGTGAAGAGCTTGTAGCACTTACCCGCTCGCACTCTGCCAGCACGACCTCTGCGCTGCTTGCATGCCGCTTTCGACGCCCACGTTTCCGTCAATCGAACCATATTATCGGCGGCATCGAAGCTGGTCTCTTTGACTCTGCCAGTATCGATGACGGCCACGATGTCGTCTATGGTGATGCTAGTCTCTGCGACGTTAGTGGCTGCTACAACTTTCCGCTTTCCCTTGGGTGATTTAGCGAAGACCCGCCGCTGTTCGGAGCTTTGCAAGCCTGCGTGAAGTGGGAGAGCGTACAGGTTCGGCAGGTCACGGAGTCGGCGTAGAGTTTGGTCGATCTCCATAGTGCCGGGCAAGAAGATGAGTATGCCGCCTTCTTCGGCACCCAACTCGGCGTCGATGTGATGAACGGTGTCTGCAACGAAGTCGAAGTCGATACGGTAGGCATCACGGCCTGCCTGCTTGGGTTGCTTTGTTGGCTTCTCTATGCGAGATCTTTGGTGCGTGAACTCGTCACGCTCATCGGATGCCGCATCCCAGTCTTCCGCGACACTGCGGTCACCAATAAGCCTGAGCAAATCCTCCCGGTAGACATCCTGCACAGGATGCGTCCGCCCAGCTATCTCAATCTTCCCCACCGTCGAGACACTTGAGAAGTACCGCTCGAACACTTCAGCATCCAGCGTCGCACTCATGAGGATGAGCTTCAGATCCTTCCGCATCTCCAGCACATCGCGAAGCAGCACCAGCAAAAAGTCAGTATCGAGACTGCGCTCATGCACCTCATCGATAACCACATGCGTTATGTCCGCGAGGCTATCAACAACATCCTGCGCACTGCCACCAGACGTCTGCAACCGCCGCAACAACACACCAGTCGTAACAAAAGTGATCTTCGTCAAGCCAGGCTTGTGCTTCGACTCCCCACGAATGATATAACCCACTTCCTCCCCCACCCTCCCGCAGCGCTCATCCGCCACACGGTCAGCCAAACCAAGTGCAGAGATCCTGCGCGGCTGGGTACAGATGATATTAGCTTGCTCGCCGAAGCCCTGTTGTATTAAGTCGTCGAGGACGAACTGTACGCTTTGCGTAGACTTGCCGGAACCGGTCTCTCCCGAGATGATGGTGACTTGGTTGACATGGACGGAGGCTACGATTTTGTCGTTGAGTTTCCAGGCAGGCAGGTTCTGGCGGATCCGAAGCATGTTTTGTTGTTCGGCGGTGCTTTGCTTGGCGATCCAAGCCGCTCTTATGCGTTCACTGACCGGCGTACTGGGTGTCCAGGAGACGGGCTTAGGGTGCTTGCGCAGTCTCGATTTTGATGCGGTTCTGGTGTTCGATGCGGTAGTCGTGGAGGTGGCGGCTGCGATTGAGCCTAGATTGCCTGGATTATCAATGATGCGCGGTATCGCTGTTTCAAGCCAGTCCAACATGTTGAAGAGCATCATCTCGCCCAGCAGATTCTCGCTTGCATGCAAGAGGAGCTGGCGGAGTATGCTGAGCTTGATGTAGGCGGGTAGGCTGGCTTCTACGGAGATGGCAGGGAGTTGATGCGGATAGTGAGTGGGCTTTGTGGCTCGGAACAGGATTGGTTCGCTCGAGGGTGTGCGTAGCTCTAGTCGAACGGAGCAACTCAGACCCTTCCTGCTGTACCGCTCACCGTAGATTGCTTCTAACGTAGCCTGCTCCTCGCCCCAGAGCGCGTCCGCCTCGGCGATATTTGAGTCGATCGATGCGTTTGATGTTTGCTGATCCGGCTGGATGATCAATCTTCCCTGTAGCAAGAAGGCGGCCTTGGCCTCGTTACCAGCACAAGCAGTGAGTGCTTCCTCGCAAAGATCACGAGAGTACCCAGCTGCAGCGAGCCTTTTCACCCTGCCCTCGCGTTGCAGGTCGCCACTCGCGAGGGCCAGTCCAGCAAGATAGTTCTCCGGCAGCGCCCAGGCAGGTACATCATCCTCGGGCAAATGTATCAAAAGCCATTCGATGGCCTCCTCAAGGCCGCTGCAGTACTCTGTTGCTTCTTCGGCGTGGCTCGGCCGGAATCCATAGCTTGCAAGCTTTTCTATCACCAGCGCTCTCGCACTCTTGCTGGGACGGACATCGTACGGATTCCACACGCCTTCGCTTCTAACCAAGCGCTCCACCTCCCTTCGAGTTTTGACGCCCATCTCCACCTTTGGAGCCTTCGCCCACCCTCGATCGGGCCTATGTGCTGTCCCGTCAAGGCTGACGGTAGCGTCTCTCTCCGACTGTTCCCGCTTCTTCGCTGCCACTGCTCGCTCCTTCTCTTTAGCGTCTTTTGCCTCGTGTCGTTGCTTGATAGCCAGAAATGGATCGGCGTCGTATAGATACCCCGTACCTTGCGCAACCGCATCAGTCTTCAGCGTCTGGAAGTCGCCTCGCCACAAGTCCCGATACTGCGGCGGCAGCGCCATAGCCATGTTCTTCATATTGCAAACTCGATACAGCGCGTATGCTGCGGCGAAATGTCTAGCCTCCACCGCGCTGGGTTGCGCTCCCTTTTCCAGCATGTACTCCTTTGGCGGTAAGATTGGCGGCAGCTCCGTTATTTCGTGCGTCTTTGGGTTCTTCTGCCGCAGTATGACCGCGCCAGTAAAACCCTTAGGAGTGCGGTGGACGGTATACTCGGGCTTCTCCCATGACGGCTGCCGCTGGACATGCTCGTTGAAAAGTGTCATAGGTAGCTTGCCGGTCCAGCTCGAGCCTGCGATCAATGTTCTCGTGTCCGGCTTCTTCTTCTCCGGCTCTGTTTCGGGTGGGACGGCGACATCTGCTTTTGCACTTTTGCCCTTCTTGCCAGGTGCTGGAGGTGTGGACTCGGCTGCGCCAGGCGCAGGCTTCTTGCTTTTCTGACCAGGCTTGCTTGCCGGCATTTTGTCGTGCGAGACGACAACAGATGTTAGTATAGGATGGGAAGTGTCGAGTGTCAGATGGAGAGAAATAAAGAAGAAATTCCAGCTCTAGCAGTCTGTTTTCGCTCAGCTTACCGTTACCCACTAACTACTGCAACTCACCGGAGTGTGTACAACATATCACGGTGCGCGTCAGGCTTGACGGGGAGCAAGGCGACGATGGCAGGTAACGGCATTCACTCAATCGAAGTTTCTGCGAAGGATGTCACGAGGTGGGTGGGTGCTTTTGTGGGGCAGCTGTTCGCCTTGAGCACGGCGGAGAACCCAGGAACAGAGCGGGCACATGTTGATCAAGGTCTTTGGGTGAGTAGAACTGCTACGAATCGCCCTGAGGGAACATGTTATCCGCACTGCCTCGTCGCCACTCCTCAAGCAGTACCGTAGTCTCGGTCCGCAAATCCTCCACGATTGCATCGACCTTGATATCATTCCTGTCATAGCCGAATGGATCCTCTAGCTGTTCCCCAATGGCATCAATACCATAGAGCGTAAACGCAATGAAAGCAGTCAATATGATCGTCCACCAACCCATCTCCTCCACGAGCGCAAACGGTAGCACGCAGCAGAACAACCCTAGGACCTGCCGCATGTGGATGAGGTATGCAACTGGCAGCGGTGTCAAGTGAATCGTCTCCAGGCTGCCATACGACGATACTAGGGTGTTCAGCTGAACTGTCAGCTGACTCGCGGCGGGAGCGTGGAACCAGCCTCTATCGTGTCCACGCTTGATGTACCGCTCCACCTGAATGCTGAGCTGCAGCAAGAGTCCGAGTCCGTGATCTTCGAAGCCTCGAGTGCCGCGTGGTAGCAGATCTTCATACTCCGGCTTCGCCATGGAGTGTGATTCCCGCCGCCTTCGCACGACCTCGGATTGTGGCATCAGAATCGGAAGGGTGGTCGCTCCCCACTCAGCTCGTAGGTGATGCTTGGCGGCGTACATCATTCCGACGAGCACTCTCACCACGCTCTCGGTTTCTGCACGTTCCGCTTCCGTAGGCGCTGGCCCTCCTTCGCGGTACGAGCAGGTCAGGAAGGAGCGCGTCAGGTTGCGGATGCAGGTGGAGACAGAGGTGATGTGCTGGTTGCCTTGCCAGAATCGGTCGTAGGAGGTTTGGTTGCGGAAGACCAGCATGAGTCCTACGACGATTGAGAGGCTAGGAATGACGCTACTTGGGATCCCTAGATGGCCATCTTTAATCTCGTCGAGGTAGCAGACGACGGCGGCAATGGCGGCGTGGAGCAAGACAGGAAGGACCACATCGATGTGGATTGCGCCTTTGATGAAGCGAAGGGCGAGCGGCCATCTTCGTGGCTTTTTGCGGGAAGAGTGGTAGAGAGGGCTAAGCGCACGGTCAATGTCGGCGCACCGATTCGAGGGTGTCTAGTAGAGACTTACAAAGTAGGTCTCCGCATGTGTTGTCTTTCAGACTGTGGCATGTCGAAGGTGTGGCATCAGTGATGGATGGCAAGTGTGCGGAGGGAAGGGCCAGATCTGTGGCCCTCTAGCTTGTTACCATATCCACGATGGATCCCAGCCACATTGCATCGGATTCCGACGTCCTTAGTGATGTTGAATTCGCAAAGGTGCAAGGTCCAATGCGACCTAAGGTGCGAGAGCAGTCGTTGCGCTAGCGTGCCTCCTCCTTGCAGCTGATTGGTGGCGCCAAGGCTGCTTTTCCACGTGACTGCGCGTATGATATGACGCACTATCAGTTCGAACAACAGCATGGAGGATGACAGAGCTGACTTCACTGAACAGATATGACGGATTGTTCGTCGACCGTTGCTTGATCATCGAACGTACTTCCGTCCTTCCTTGCGAGGGGTGAGCTCGGAAGACTCGCAAGCGAACGGTCAGGGACAGAACCTCCATAAGGGCCATAGACCTCCTCACAACGGCGCCTGCAAACTCATGATCACATCCTCGATGACATCTTCAACCGTCACGCCCTCCAGCATCTCCCTCACCGCATCCGGATCGCTCCCCCATTGCAACGTCCGCTCGGTCTCAGCCGTTGCAAGAACCAACCGGTGAGGATATACCTTCCTCGTCGCCAAAGCGACAAGCGACGGCGAGATGTAGTCCAAGCCATGCAGTGGTGCAAGCGCTGTCGCCACAGCGCGAAGATGTCGCGTCGCTGCCGCAGTGATACCGCCCTTGACGTACCGGCTGTTGCGTAGGAAGATGGTGATGTTATGCAGGTAGGCCCGAACCTCGCCGCTTAAACGCACGGCATCCGTGGATGACCGGAGGTGCTCTAATTCTTCCAGCTTCAAGGTTGGAGTTTCTGAATTCGAGCTGTCATTGTAGATGTGCGTGAAGCCGTCTTCGGGACTATGATAGTGGGACAAGGCGAACATATCGTTCAAGTGGTGCGTCAGGCGAGCGCCTGGCGCGGATGCGATCACGATGAACAGGAAGTCCTTGGGAGCAGTATGCATGGCAGTGCGGGTGAAGATGCGCTTCGTCCTCAGCAGCTCCAGCGTCTGCACCTGTATGGTTGCACTTGCTTGATCCAGATCTGCTGCGATGATAACATCTGCGATGCGGCGGTCATCTAGGACATTGTGAAGTGTTCCAAACCGGCTTGGACTGCGGTCAGGCGAAACATCACCGTTGAAGGTTAGATTTCGATTTGTGGCACCCTCGTGTTGTTCACTGGCATCTTCGAAAGTGTCATAGACGTCGACCAGGATTGACTGGCTGAACTCGTCTACATTCGTCTTGCTACTGCATCTGATTGTGGCGGTTTCTAAGCGAAACGTTTCTGTACATAGTACCCGGAGCTCGTCCCGGAGATCGTTGGCATCTTGTTGTTCGCAGTACAGGATACAGTGTTGACCAGCCAGTAGCGAAACCAAGACGGCCAAGTCAAGATCACTCATTGGCTGAACTTTCTCCGTGATGAGCTCGTCCATGCTCGCTACATGCGTCTGAGAATACAGCGGGACGCGACCATCATCGCGCTGCTGCTGCTGCTGCCATACGATCAACCGATATACCCCACGCGAGCGGGAGACCAGGTCCCTTAGAGTACGAAATCGATGTGACCTCGGAGTGCGTCGTTTGTTGAAGGTCGGAGAACGTAAGAGCAAACGAGGCAATTAGGTGCAGACGCTGACTCAGCGCAAGTGCATCAACCACCGCATAAGGCGCTCTACTTCTCTCACGATGCGTACCATGTCCTCAGTCATGTTGTCAGTGGTAGAGTGGATATAATGCAGCCCGAACATGTCAGGAGCTAGGGCAGGCTGGGAGCCCGTAGGCGACCGCTTCTACCGCAAGACGCAGCTCTATACATCGGTCTTCGACCAAGACCTTGAGCTCGAGAACTACGTCGTCACCGGAGCTCCTTATAGCGGCGCTGTAGGTAGGCACAATACACAACCCCGCACCGAATGCGCTAAACATCTGTACAGCACTGTACCGAGATGCAAGCAAGATCTTTTCACTCCGAGGCGCGCAGTCCGCAAAGTCGAGCATCGACATCTACAGCTGCGCGGGCAAGCTGATACGACAGATACCCTGGGAGAGGCAGACTGTCAAGGCTGTAGGCTGGTCAGAGGATGAGCGATTGCTCGTTATCACCAACGATGGGACAGTGAGGAGTTACGCCGACTTACACGGCGACTTCACTCCATTCAACATCGGTCATGGTGCGGAAGAACACGGCGTGAAAGGATGCAAATTCTGGTCGAATGGCTTCGTGGCGTTGCTTGGAAACAACCGTCTGGTCGCTGTCACGCGCTACGAAGAACCCAGGCCGCAATTGCTAGCCTCGACGCCCAGCGGTGAGGTCATGTCCTGGACCGTGATACCGCCGGAGTACACATCTTCGCGGGCTGTTGAGGTGCTGTTGGCGATTAACAAGACAGTCTACGTCGTGGATCCTGCAGAGTGCGAGGATAGAGGACTCGAGGCCGGTCCGTTCAGACATATCGGCGTCTCGCCAAACGGCAAATTCATCGCGCTGTACACCGACGATAGCAAAGTATGGGTCATCTCCAGCGATTTCCAGGACCGGTATAGCGAGTACGAGTCCAAGGTCAAGACGATTCCGAAGGATTTACAATGGTGTGGCAACAACGCTGTCGTACTGGCTTGGGAGGACGAGCTGCACCTGGTTGGACCCAACGGCGCAGCATCTAAGTTCTACTACGACTCCATCATGCATCTGCTCCCGGATATTGACGGCATCAGGGTCTTAACAAGCGACATTTGCGAGTTTCTGCAGAAAGTGCCCGACCCCACGGAGGAGGTGTTCAGACTCGGCTCGACGTCTCCAGCCTCAGTCCTCCTAGATGCTCTTCATCATCTCGAGGACAAATCTCCAAAAGCCGACGATAACATTCAGCTCATCCGCGAGAGTCTGGACGAAGCGGTCGATGTCTGCGTTCGCGCCGCAGGGCAAGAATACAGTATCCACTGGCAGAAACAGCTCCTCAAGGCCGCATCTTTCGGGAAGTCCGTTCTTGACCTCTACAACAGCGATGATTTCGTCGACATGACGGAGACGCTGCGCGTACTGAATGCCGTCCGCTTCTTCGAAGTGGCGTTGCCGCTATCTTACGAACAATATCTGCGTTTGACACCGGAGAGGCTGGTGCAACGGCTGGTTAACAGGCAGATGTATCTACTCGCGCTCAAGGTATCCGAATATCTGCACTTACCGGTGGATCGGATCTACGTTCATTGGGCGCGGCAGAAAGTCCGATCCTCACGAACGGATGAGGACAGCATCTGCGCCGAGATTGTGCAGAAGTTGAATGGGAAGCGCGGTATATCATTCGAGGAAGTGGCGCGCGCCGCATACGATGAGGGGCGTGGCAAGCTGGCCACGGACCTGCTAGAGCATGAACCTCGGGCGGGCAAGCAGGTACCCTTATTGCTCAATGTGGGTGAAGACACGATCGCGCTGGACAAAGCCATCGAGAGCGGTGACACGGATCTCGTCTTCTACGTCTTGCTAAACCTGAGGAAGAAGATGCCGCTTTCCAGCTTCTTTCGTACGATCAATAGCCGACCAACCGCTACGGCTATCGTGGAGTCGTCCGCCGTCGACCAAGATGAAGAGCTGCTGAAGGACCTATACTACCAGGATGATCGACGTATAGAAGGGTCAAACTTACTGGTATCCGAGGCGCTTGCTGCGTCGGACACCGCGCCCGCGACGGACAAGCTTAAGATGGCCGCGAAGTTGGTGCGCGACAGTAAAGAATACGCCGTGCAAGTCACGGCTATCGAAGACGCACAAAAGCTGCTACGCCTGCAGGAGACTTTTGCAAAGGAGCTCAATGAGCGGTTCGTAGGGTTGAGCGTGAATGAGACGCTGAGTAAGTTGATCAGGACGGGAAACATGAAGCGAGCAACGAAAGTGCAGACAGAGTTCAAGGTGACCGAGAAGGTGTATTGGTGGATTAGGTTGAGGGCATTGGTGAGCAACAGAGATTGGAGAGAGTTGGAGGAAATGAGTAAGGCGAGGAAGAGTCCGATTGGGTGGGAGGTGAGTCAATTACCAACACAGAAATCGTTGATAGACCTGCTGACACTGGGTAGCCTTTCTACAATGAAATATTGGCCGCAGGCAACACGAAGGTTGCGGCGCTCTTCATACCTAAGTGCGCGTCGCTGACGCTCAGCGAGCGGATTGAGATGTGGTTGAAATGTGGTTTGGTGGCCAAGGCGGGCGAAGAAGCGCTGAAGGCGAAGGATCGGAATGCTTTGGAGGACTTGAGGAAGCAGGCTACGGGTAATGCTGCGGTAGAGATTGAGCGGATGATTGGGCTCTTGCAGAAAGGTCGATAGTGGTAGCATCGTAAGAAAGATGCCAGGACGGTAGATTGTACTGCACCTTGTTTGCCATGATTCAGCGTTTCGCCAATGGACATGGCGTGCATATTTTCCCTTGTTTAAACGACGATGTGCTGACCTCTCGGGTGCTTGTCGGGTCCAACTCACAATGCTCGGCCGGTGTGGTAAGTTTCATGGTCTCAGTTCAAATCGAGAGATCTGGGCGGAACCGCAGTTTCGCCGGTTGCCGTACTGACATCACCACTCTCTCCATCACCACAACCACGCGAACGCGCCCCCTAGCGCCTTAGCAACGTATTAGACAAGAGACGTAGGTATTCCTTAGTCCTCATCGCCCTCCATTTTCACTGTCTCCGTCGACTGTTTCAATATACAAACTCACCCTCTCAACACCGTCTCCATAACACAATATCAAAACAGCAACCATGGGCGTCTCCCTCTCCACCGCCCGCTACCTGGCGCCAGCCTCCTTCCTCTACGACTTCGCCCTCCAACAGTACGGCCTCTGGTCCTCGCCCAACATGAAAGAAATCCACGACCGCAACCTCTCCTTCTTCTCCCCCAACCCGTACTTCATCGGCGCCTTCTTCTTCCCCCAACAGCTTTTCCAGTTGGCATGGATGTACCGGCTCTGGAGCCTGAACGAGAAGAACCCACAAGAAGCGAAGCAGCTTGACACTATCCGCCGCTTCGTGCCATACTACGCGGTAGGCAACGTTTGCATCGGGACGTGGATGTTCTTCTGGAATAGTGAGAGGATGGCCATTGCGGACGTTTTCGTTCTCGTAAACACAACGACGCAGTTGTGGTATTGTTACACGCAGCTTGAGCCGATGAACACGAAGGATTGGAGCAGCATCCTCACGCACGTGGTCGCGAAGACGTTTGCGGGTATTGGTGTGTTGGATCTGCTTCACAACACTAGCGTGGCTTTCTACCAGAACCAGCTTCCCAGCACCGCCGTGCAGGCTTTGACGGGCGTTGGCTTTGCCGGGCTGGCGGCGACGAGCGACTGGATTCTCGGTGGCTGCTTGGTGTTTGACCTGGTGGGTTTGGCAACGGGCCAATACCAGTACGGCAACAAGCAGTGGGGTCAGCTGTTGGGTGGCTTCGCGGTTGGCACGGCGGCCATTGTTGGGCTGAGGAACTACTTCCGGTAGGTTCGTAAAGGCCTCAGATCTGACAGTGTAAATGCCGGGCACGAGCTGATCATTTGTGCAGACCACCGTACATTTCTAAAGCCCGGGACTATAGGACTGTGGCGCAGGATGAGGTTGACGATCGGGTATAGTTGGGGCGCTTCATCTACTTGATTCCTATTTGGTACAGGCGTGGCATATGCCTGCTTTATTCAGCGTTGTACTGTACTGTATGCTCTCCGCATAACCCATTTCCAAGCAATGTAGTCTTCCGTCATCGTCATTGCGCATTGCTACGGCTCACTGTCACGTGAGCTCCTTCGCGCATATTGAGTGTTGCAAGCATTGCGCAGATACTAGCCCGTCGAGCATACGCTTATCCAAGGCTTGTGGAACCGTGCTTGTAGACCCTTGTCGAGTTCAAAAGGCACGTCTTGAGGCTCTGCTCGTACCACGTGCCCGCATACGCTGTTGATCGCGCCGTGCTGTCCTTCCACTTAACATGCGTTCAGGCAGCCCTGCTCTTCGGCCTTCCACTGCCGACCCTCCTCGCCTCCGGGCGGTTTAGATGGCTCGCCGGTATCCAACTCTCATCATACGCCTTTGTCTGCGCCCCACTCGTGACCGCCGGCCCATCAGCGCCAATTACACTTGCCTGGTCGGCCGGATCGACCTTTTTACTCCCTCCACTTGACTTCTTCGCGCGCTCGCCGCCCTTGCCGCCGCGCCGCTTCTGTGGGAAGAGCGTGGTGATCCAGGTGGTGTAGATGAAGTAGCAGACTCCGCCGAAGGCGGCGAGGAGGAAAAGGTAGAGGAAGATGCTGCGGGAAATCCATTAGGCCTCGGTGAGGAAGAAACGAGAGGGAATGGGAGGGCTTACATTTGCGGGTCGAAGAATGACAGTGGTGCCTCTACTACGCTCACAGTCTCGTTGTAGACAATCTTGGTGAATACCTCTCCCGCGCTGTTCTGCAGCACGGCTGCAAGACTCAACCGCAAATCCTGCGGATGCATCTCCGTCGCGAATGCATACGTAAGCGTCTCGCTCTCCCCACCCGGGATCTGAACGCCATACTTCTGCGCCGTGAGGTTGCGTAGCACCACTGGCGGGTCCGGAGCGCCAGGAGTATCGTTGGGAGTCGTCAGCGAGCCTCCAACGAGCAGAAGATGGATGGAAGTCGGCTCATTGTTGGTGACGTCGAGGACGGCACGTGTGGAACGGCCATTGACCAGTTTGACGCCGAAGATCTCGGCGTCGGGGAAGGAGGTGCTGATGGTGACGGCGATATTGGGCGTGGAGCCTACGGTTTCTTCTGCCACCAGTTCGTCGGCGTAGTCGCGGACCTCTTCCACGGGCAGCTCGTCCTGGGCGAGGACGGTGAATGCTCGGAGGGCAATGAGAGCGGCGGAGGCTAGTTTGAGGGCGACCATGGTGGCGGTGGGTGGAAGTCACGCGATCCGTACTGTTGCTGTGATGCTCCCACTTTGGAATTCGTAAAGCCACCTATGTAGCTCTACTGTATGATCGCCTCGGCTCGAGTCGAGCGCATTGGTCCAAGCGCTTGACATCACTTTACTTCACTTCACACACCTCGATACACTGACCCGCCGCCACCACCACCACCACCGCCAGAAGACTGACGGTACTACTGCTAGCAGCGATAGCTGCGCACCGTGAGAGATCTGGCTGGAACGGCGAGTTCACTTCATCGTCAGTAAGCTCGCACCATCAATTATAGATACTGTGGCACGGTCAGTCCAGTCACCGTGTTTGCTGTGATGGGTCATAACCCCAAGTCGGATGCTACACACCTATACGACCTCGCTTGATGAGCAAGGCGGTCGCTTGTTCGTGCACTCATATCACGAATGCGGTGAATCTTGCACGCTGGGCTCGACTTCGTAGGACGCATAATGTGCAGGCTCGCACTACCCAGAAGCTCAAACGCCCTGTCGCCCTGTCGCCCTGTCTCCACTGCAGTGACAGGCAGGGCTATCAAGAGCACCGTAGAGCGCCTCTCAACCCAAGGTAGTCGCTCAATCAAGAACGTCGGCCGGTATAGCAAGAATGTTTTTCCTGCTCGATGTCTTCAACGCTTTACTCGTCCGTGGTCTACGTCTAGGTAGCGTTATTGCTTTGCGTGCACGGGTTATACTAACTACAAAGTCGTCAAAACGGATATAGAACCACTACCGCTCGAGCATGTCTGGCTAACTCTGCCTAACGAGCCTATCGTAGTAAGCAAGGATCAACCTGATTGTTAGGCAGGTATTACATGAACTCCTCGTGATCAAGCCTGTCCGTTCGGGCAGGCACGACGGCGACGGCTAAGATCCGTGCTCAACTAGTGTAATGCTAGTACGTCTGCACGTACAGCACAATTCACTTTCTACGTCTTCTCCTTATGAACACTCAAACTGTCCGTCTCAGACACGAAGCGGACCACATCTGGCCTCATCCGCCGTCATGGCTTCCACCTCGGAGTCTATTATGGAAGTCGACTATTACACCCAGAACTTCCAGGCAATGCAAGTGGAGCTGCAGACTGTTCCTAATGAGATCGCAGAAGCAAAGAAGAAGCTCTACGAAGCTCAGCGTCGTGTGAGCTTGAGCAGCTTAAGTGGCAAGTTTGGCGCCGATGCAGAGGCGAAAAAGGCTGCAAACCTTGTCAACATTTTCCACTCTCTAGGGGTATAATGGCCGTTTTGCTTGGAACAACCAATGGGCTGACACTCAATAGCTTTCGGGTGTACTGGACATGTACCTTATACAAAAGACAATCATTATGTATACAATCAATCACGAGGAGAGTGGCATTACGACGAGGGCTCTCAAGTCCCTCGACAGCCTGGAGAAGGCCTTAGCGACACAGGCGGGAACCCACGACCTTGATGCGGTGCGCAACCATTATTACACGCATGCACGCCAAACTTCAGCCAGTTCATGACCACAAGGACAAAATTCCAGTGGGAGCAATCTCGCAAACGACGCGAGACTCATGCGGGAGGCACTCGTGCCGATGGACAAGGTGTTCTCATACCTGCAGCAGAAGTACGGTGATGGGGAGCTACTTGGTAGACCAGTAACAATAGAGCACAGCGACCCTGACCTATTCAACAATGAGCACTCCGGGGTTGAGGTTGAAGGCATTGGAGGTTCAGTTGCTCCACCTGAAGGCACCGAACACGCTCCGCTATTGACCAGGCTTAACAAGCAAGCTCAGGCTGCACAGTCGCAAGCAAGCCAGTCTGGAAGTTGGCATTCCGAAACAGCACGGTCGATCCATTCAAGGCGCGGTTCTGCAGCATGATCAGAGACGGCACGGCGCACACCCTAAGCTGCCGCGAGCTTATCAGATGCGGTTCCCTCAGGCCAATCAAGCTCTAACACCACACGGCTATCAACTCCAGACCTCGCATGCCGATTATACGGTGGGCCCACAAGTCGACCACGCTCAGTTCACATACCGAGGTCGGTCTCCGCAAGACCAGTACAACCAGGCACCGCAAGGCCATCACGATCATCAGTATCTGCGAGGCGTTCACGCTCAACCACCGCCGTTCCCCTCCGCGACTTCCGCTTCTCTGCAGCCAGGACAGCCAACACCGCCCACAGTCGCTCGCTTGCGTGAGCAACTCTCTTCGTCTCCGGCAGGCTACGTGGCCGGTCCACAGCATGCGTCACCTCTTTCAGATCATGACCAAGGCTCGTCTGCATTCACGCCGCCGCCATCGCGAGGGACTTCGCTTCCGTCGACTGTGGCACGGAGACTCAAGGACGAGCCGGCAGGTCTGAATAAGCCCACCGAGCCGCATCCGCTACTTGGGAGTTACCTTAAGCAAGACCGCGGTCTCCTCGCTCACTTCGCAAAGTCGACGCAAGTGAACCAGCCCAGAAAGCAGACGGACACATGCCTGGTGCAGTGCGGCGTTCCACTCGACCGTCAGTGCGAAGTCAAGGAGGTATACTACATGGGAACCATCAAGAAATGGAAGGGGAAACGTGAGCGAACGCGAGGTTCGCTTCGTCTCGGTCAAAGGCAAAGCCCGCAGCGCGCAGGCTTCCACAAGAGACAAGATCCGTTTCGAGGACCTCCTGCGCCGGGAGAGATTTTGCGGCGAAGAGAAGTATCTTCCTATGTCGAGCAACCCGGCCCAATGCGGTAGGGCCTGGAAGGACTGCTTGCTGGCCTACCTCGAATTCCCCGCGCCCGGTGAGTTAGCCAAGCTTGACAACAGAATGAAAGTAGCCGCAGAACAGGATGCTGTCACGCAAGCAGCGCCCTCGTCCAAGCATGTTCGCGAGATGGCCGACACCGACATCGAGAAGAGGTCTGCGAAGCATAGGCGAGTCAAGATTCCAGACCCGCAGTACGTCGACACGGATGACGACTTTGACGACGTCTACGGGAACTAAGAATCTCTACTGTCGGAAATAGGGACCCTTTGATGGAGCGAACCAGAGGCTTTCGAGGCAGCTCGGGTACAAGTCATTGAGAGCTGGCGTTGTTTCATAGCTTCTCCGAATCACCCAAGGCAGTAGTTTGGAGAGTGACATTCGGGCCTGAGCAGGCTAGCCAGAGCGGCAGCACGAAGTGCAAAGCACAGGCCCGTGCGTCTGCGGAAGCAGTTTGTTCATTTGCGGCAAGCGGCGGGCATGTACACACATGCAGCCAACCACTGCCGATAGCCTAGCTTGCTCGACCGTAGGTCAATATTACAGAGATGCTATGCAACAAGAGTATATGACGGAAAGGCTTCCGCAAGCTTCGCATGCTATATGACCGTGACCACACCATCGCCATCTTCCACGCCATAAAGCTACCAGGCCATTGAAAGTAGACCACATCATCTACCTACTAGCCTCGCACTAAACGCTCTCCACCTCGCACCTCTTGCCCACCAACTCCCGCACCCTATCCTGAACCGCCCGCACGAGCTCCACAAGCACCGCCGCCCGGAATTCCTTGTGCTTCATAAGCTTTTCGCAGGCCTCAATCACCAACTCGTTCACCCACTTCGGCGTCAGTTGTACCGCGCACCTACCGTAGCCGGTCAGGGTAGGCAGGATGCAGCTTGCTTCGTGATGGATTTCCACATTAGCACTCCCGCCGCTAGGCTTGAATTCGATGGCGAGCATGAAGCTCGCATCCTCCTCCTCGTAGTCGCCGTGGGAGTCGAGCTTGCTGATGCGCGGTGGTGCGTAGTCTAGCACCCACTTGTGGATGTGCTTGAGCCAACCGCCTGATTCGATAGCCTCCGCCCGGCGCTCGAAGGTTTGCATCCCTGACAGCTTCTTCGTGCCTTCAGCGAGATCACCGAGCCTGCCAAGTGCCGTTGCGCTGTGTCCGGGCTTGATGATGAGCGGTGGTGGTGGCGTCAGATCCACTTTGAACGTGTTGCTGCTGTAGTAGACGGGCAGGATTTCCATCCTGATTAGCTTGTTGACCATTGCCAAGTCCGGCTGCTCGTGGTCGGGTGGGATAAAGAAGCGCTGCTCGACGACGGCAAACTTGTAGACTCGCTTGCGAACACGCTCCGGCAGGTCGAGAAACCTGAAGACGGCATGCTCGCCCTTGATGTCGACCGCATCTAGCTCGATCACTCCCGGATACGGCAGGACTCGGAAGTCCACAAGCTTCTCGAGCTTGCTCAGGACGTTGATAGCCGTTTCGTTGTGCTCCTTTGCTTTGGCGCGGCAATCCTCGAGAACCTTGGCCGCTGTGGAGTACCTCGTCTTCCTCGCAAAGACCTGCACCTCAGCGCTCCCCCACAGAGCCTTCACCTCCGGCATCTTCATCGCCCTCTCCCGCAGCTCGCGAGCATGCATCTCTGTCCGCTGCGTCGGGCGACAGATTACCGTCAAGCCGTCTTTCTTCCCCGCAAAGCGGACAGCTGTCGGAGAGTGTTCCCTTAGAATAGACATCATGCCCGGCCTTTTCACGGTCCTCGTCTTGCCGGCCCTCTTACCCTTGTCCACCCTTCCCTCCAACACTTTCTCCTTCTCCCTATCTGCCTCTGCCTGCCGTTTCTTCAACCCATTCGCGTTCTTACTCTTCGCCTTCTTATCCGACGCCGCCAACTTCTCTCTTGTTGTAAGTGGTTTCCTGGGCTTGGTCGACTTACCCACCCGAGCCTTGTTCTTCGCTTTCAGCGCCCGCAGTCGCTCTGTCTCTTCCGGGGGCGCCATTGACTTCTTCTTCGGCTTGGCATCCGGCGGTGGCGAGCGAGGGACATTCTTGAGCGCCTTGGCTCTAGCAACCTCGACGTTGGCAAGTCGCTGAGCGGTGGTCAGTGGGTCGCGGGTGTAGGTGGGCTTGAGTCTCGGTAGCGGATCGCCGGCGGTCAGGAGGGCTGACTTAGGCGGCATGGTGTGGATATGGTGATGGTTGTTCGTATATACTATGCTGGTGGTGGGAATCCAATCTGTAAGACCGAAAAGTGATCGATTGTAGTTGCTGGAAGACCGCAAAAGGGGTGTTTGTATCAAGAGATGGTTATGGTACTGGTGCAACAACCTTTGCATTGATCCAAACACTCGCCGCTTGAAGGTGCGAAGTGATGTAAAGCCGTTGATAGTTGCGATATTCAAGAAGGAACGGCATTTGATATATATCTCGCAAGCCAAGAATGTGAGCTTTCTGCCTCAGAAACAGTGGCATGTGAACCTGCTAACTGAGTTGTAGCTGAAGGAGCCCACAAGCCAGAGTGACCTTGCTTTGCCCGGCACTCGCCCGCGCATGTGGATCGAGGTCGGGAGTCGTCCGTGATTTCGAGGCCTCGAGAGAAGGATTGCTTCTTTGGCAGATGGAGCCTGTATTGGACCGGCCACCTTATTGTGGTGCCGCCGTCTTGCGGCTTAGATCGGGATAGTCACAGCTACTTCGTGCACGCTGCGGGCTGAGGGTTGAAGCGTACTTGCACCAAACTTCATTCGATATTGGCAGTGGATTCCATAGGCGCGCATCGACAGGTGCAGACGTCCGGAAGTCAACGGCGCTGACAGGTCCCCTCATGGCAAGACAGAGCGGCCAGTTCGCTGCGTCCAGCATGATTCTCGGTGGTACGCAGCACTTCAGAGCCTCTAAAGCCCATCGTCACCGTCATGGTGGATGAATGGGTTGCAAGCGAGCAAGATCTGGTTGGAATCATTTCGCGCCTCCCACCCACTTCCCACCCTTCTTTTCCCATTCAAGCGTCCCGAAGCTGGCAGCACGTAACACGCTAGCCTTGAAAGACTTGAGATTGGCGCACTTGGCAGTAAGCACAGCTAAGTCTGCGGCCGAAAGGAGGCTCTTCTCCAAAACACCAGAGCCTGGCTCTTGAAGCTAAAAAGGCTGTCAGTACGTTCCACCCCAAGCTACAAGCAAGCCAGCTTACAGCCATTATGAACTCCATTGTCGGACTCGCCACCAACTCTACCTGCTCTAGATTCTTGCAACCTTCCAGCACCTTAATCAATGCTTTCTTCGTGTCTGCACCCGGCGCCGTCTCCAGCGTTACATTAAGCACCATGATGTTCTTCTGCACCTCTAGCACCTTCCTCAACTGTGCCATAGTCAATGTATACAATGTGCAGTTGAGCGCCCTCAGCCCTCTCGGATACGCCTCATCTTCCGTCAAAGCCTTGACCAATCCATCCGAAACCTCTGCGTTATAAGCCATGATACCTTCTGCACTACCTTCTTCCTCCGGTGCAGCGACATTGAACGAGCAACTAATCAGACCCGGTCCAATCAACTTCGGTAACTCATGCGCCTGAATCTTGCCCATGAATTCTTCGTCCTCGTGCCCACGGAATGTGTAGTTGACCTCCAGAAACATCAACCCCCTTCTCGCCTCTCCCGGCATATCGCTCGTGTTGTATTTCAGCCACTCTGCAGCTTTTGCAAAGTATCCGGGCTGGGCGAAGACATCCAGTAAGTGTAATGCGCGAAGGAAAGGTAAGTGTTTGAAGAACTGTACTGCATCTTTCTGGCTCTCTTCGGTTGTGCCGGCGAAGAGCTGACTGTATAGCACGACACTCTTCAGGTTTGGCAGTCGCTTGGCCAGGTCCGTAAGGAAGCCGGACGGATATCCTAGGCTGAAGAGCTCGAGCGTGAGGCTTTCAATGGCAACCGGTAGACTTGATGGAATGCTGTAGGACGGGCCTAGGATTGATTGATAGTTGTCCACTTGGATGTCCGAAGTCAAGGTTAGTGCCTTCAGGCCTCGCGCTGAAGGTGGGAAGTCGGGGACGTTGAATGATTGCAGCGGGATCTGAGCGCCTTGGGCCGAAGCTGGGTCGACAGGGGCGCCAGGTAGATTGGCTGGGTTGGTGGTAGCCATAGCAGGAGCGGGTATGCTGCCGGACGGGTAGCGAAGAGCAGATGAAAACAATCGAAACACCTACGCTCCTGTTGCGAAGCCTACATTCATATTGTGTGGTCTTGTGGGCTCGAAGAGCTGGCTGAGAGGAAGTCTGACTGTGGGGAGAAGTGGAGTATGGCAGTAACCTGGAAGAGATGGATACACTTCAATACCATGAGTACGTCGAGGATAACAAATTGCAATGTTTGCCGGTATACATTAGTACATCTGCTGTACACTACTGGTGACAGCCAACAACAAATGCGAAAGAGCAGCCTTTCGACCGCCGGGTACTTGCGGCAACAGGCAGCTCGGCCGCGCCTCGTGAAGTTGCCCAAACCTTCCATCACAACTCGCCCTCGCCAAAACCGCAAACTTTTAGATAACGTACTGCAGTCCTGGTTAGTCGTCGTATTCTCGATGCCGTATATCGAAGCGAAACTCACCGGAACGAACAACCATGGCGTCCTCTTCTCATATTCCACCCACGCCGCCCCGTACTTCTCCCGACACCGCTGAATATCCCTATACGCTCGGTGCACAATCATTGCGAAGAAGAAGACCGGGTAGAACCACGGGAACGGGGACTTGAAACCCGTAATCAGACCCCATGTCAAGGCAAAGTACATGTCGCAGGTATAGTGGATCTTGCGCGCATATTTATACCATCCATCGGCGAGGATGCTGTCGCCGGTATCCGTCTCGATTTTTTGCGGATTCTTGATCTCCTTCCACGGGAGCTGAGGGAAGGATTTCCGGTCAACTTGGTACCCGCGTTCCGAGGCGCGGAACATTGCTTTCTGCGATTGCGCGGTATCCCACACGTAGTAGACGAAGAGGTAAGAGGTGTAGAGGATGACGAGGAACCATTTGGGCCAGGCGTAGACGCTCGGGTCGTGGTTGGCAAGATAGATGGTGCAGTGGCAGTAGCTCAGCGGCACACCGGCCAAGTTCCAGAAGATGAGCATGAAGCCCCACTTCTCATAGTACATGTCCCACGTTATAACGATCATTTCTTCGCCTTTGCAGCAGGCGTTGGCGTAGAGAAAGTGCGCCATGAGCAGGAAGCCGACCTCGCCGGTAACGTAGCCGTAATTTTCGTATTGACGTGCGGCGGCTGAGAGGGAGGTGAGGAAGAGCATGAACCACGGCAGACGGACCTCGAAGAACATCTTGAAGTCCAGCCAACCGAACATGCGAGGGTTGAGCTCAGCGCCCATGAAGAAGTCGTAGACGGGGTAGCCGGTCATGCGGTGCTCCGCGCCTCTCCAGATGGCAGAGATGTATGCGATCACGCTTACGATGAAGCCGGAGATGATGGCCACGCTCATGATGGGACCGAACTCGTCGATCAAAGTGTAGAGCTTGAAGAGACCGGTGAAGTGCAGCACGCCGGCCAAGAAGATGGTGAAGTAGAAGCAAGTGACGCCGTTGCAGTAATAGCGGAGTTGTCGGCCTCCTTCGTGTGGGAGTGGTTTGCCAGTGGAGTAGACACCTGGCATGGTCAAGTACAAAACACCTTGTCCGACAAGAAAGACCCAGTAGATGAGCCATGCCTTAAGGCTCGGATATGCGCCGGTGTAAGCCAAATGCACCATATGTCGCCAATACTCCGCTAAAGTCATGTTCGGTTCAGATGGAAACTTGCCATCGTAGTAGGTGGCTCCAACCCACATATACCACATCAGCACCGGGAAGCCGAGCATCATTGCGCTCACGCCCCAGCTGCCCCCAAAGTCGAAGTGAGGGTTTAGGTCGACTTTGGGGTCTGAGCCTTCTAACCAGCCATCGATGACTCTGCCTTTCGGCATGCCATTAGCATGGCCGTTCGACATCTTCTTCGCATCCTTCTTAGCTGCATCCTGTTCAGCCTTGTTGACCTTCACAATGGGTTCTGCGCCTGGCGCATGGCCGTTGGTGAGGGGTGATGAAGACCGGTCACTGTCCCCTTCTGACTTATGCGCCCTGCGTTTCCTTCCCGGCGTCTCGACGAAGCCTTCTGGTACAGTAGACTTTCTGCGCGCCTTATTAGTCAGTTTACGTGAAGGGAAAATACTGGCTGGCATACTGAGGCGCCTTGCCGGTTTGGGACCGAGTCACGGTCATTTCGGCGAGGAATGCACACTTTGCAGATATGTCTCTGAGACCAGAATGCACCAAGTGACAGTCTGAATGCCGGTAAAGACTGTGGCAACCACAAACGAAGGATCGCTGGCCGCGCCCAATAAGACAGAAGTATACAAACTCGAACAACGTGTAAACAATTCCTTGCCAAGACCTCACCATATCCGCGGCTTGCCGGAGGACTACTGCTCGCTACTTCCATACTGCTTACCATCCGTATACACCTCCGTAGACTGTCGCAACTGTTGCTTGCGTTGTGGCCAGCGCTACGGTAATAAGGGTGTTGAGTCTGTCTCACAATCACGACTGCAAAAGTTCGTTCCAACGACAAGGTAGGAGTGCCGCGAGATCGACGTCACATCTTGATGCGCTTGCAGATTGTTTCCCATTCACCTATCCTTTCCTGCTCATGCTCTCATTATCGTCAAGACGGACCCTGATAACGGCAAGAACCATGAAACTCGACAGCGCCGTCGTAAGCCTCTTGGGCCTTGACCCTAACCAAACCTCCGTGTCAAGCGCCGGTGGCGGCGGCATGTCTTCCGCATCAACGTGCAAAATCACGACCAAGACACCAGATGGCGGTGACATGCAGTACTTCATGAAGACAGGCAAAGGCCGAGAAGCCGAGATCATGTTCGAAGGCGAGGACGCAAGCCTCAATGCTATCCACAACGCCGTCCCAACGCTCTGCCCCAAGTCCTTCGGCCATGGCAAGTTCGCGGACACGACGGGCAAATCCTTCCTTGTGACCGACTATCTCGATCTGTCAGGACGCGGTGCTCCGAGCGTAGGCATGTCAATGGCGGAGAAGCTTGCCAAATTGCACACCACCCCAGCACCAACGCCGAAAGGCTATGACAAGCCGCAATTTGGCTTTGCCGTCCCTACTTGTTGCGGCGATACTCCGCAAGACAACACCTTCTCGTCTTCGTGGGCGGACTTCTACGCGAACAGCCGCTTACGCTTCATTTTGAACCAATCGAAGAAGTCTAATGGATCCGATAAGCAGCTTGAATCGCTCGTGGAACAAACATGCACGCAAGTAATACCGAGACTAATCGGCGACAAGCATCTGAACAGCGGCAAAGGGGTCACGCCTGTGGTTGTACACGGCGATCTCTGGTCTGGTAACGCCTCCGCAGGCAGATTACCCGGTATGACCGAGCCGGAAGATATCGTCTTCGACTCTTCGGCTTGCTACGCTCATTCGGAGTATGAGCTCGGCATCATGAAGATGTTTGGTGGCTTTGGCGCAAGCTTTCTGAGCGAATATCATAAGCTTGTTCCGAAGACGGAGCCTGTTGATGAGTATCCGGACCGGGTGGCGCTTTACGAACTCTATCATCACCTCAATCATCATGCCCTCTTCGGCGGTGGATACAGAAGTGGTGCAATGAGCATCATGCGCAATCTCATCAGCAAGTATGGTGATAGTGACAAGAGCGAACTATGAGCGATAGCGCATACCAGGGTCATATAAAAGCATTCAGCACAGCGACGTTGCTACTTTGGTACCAAGATGGTCCGCACAATACACGTCTCGCCGTTATCGGGACAAACGTTTGTCCGATTGAGCTGCTTGTCCTCCGGTCCTGTGGGTCCGCTGGTATACTTGTACAGGCCGTTTATATCGAAGATGGTCTTCTGTCTCGGGTCGCTATCCGGGTACTGCCGGTCGCCCCACTGGCCGACATAGTACAACCAATTCACCGGCGTGCTGTCGTCGTACGCGGCGAAGGTCGAGGTGCTGGCATTGTAGGTATAGTAGTAAGCGCTGAGAGTTGGATCCCAGATTGGGCCGGCGTCGGTATGGTCTTCCACCGGGCCGAATGGGAGATTCAAGTTCGGGATGCTATGATCATGAGTGCCGCTGATAGCGTAGTTGGCGTGGCTGCCGTTGGCGCTGTAGACAACAGGCTGGCAGTGCTGTTAGTTACAAACCACGTGAACAACACTAGTGTACTCTGCTTACCCTCATGCCACCAGTGTACTTCTGCACAGTCTTATAGGTGAAGGCCTCTCCGTTCGAATGCTGGCTGTACCACACAGCTTGCGGGACACCATTCTGGAAGCGGACCATGTTGTGCTCCCAGTCACCGACGTGGTCACCGATCGTGAAGCCGAAGTAGGTGCCGCCATAGTCAAACGCGTAGAAGTACATATAGAAAGCATCTACGAGGCCTGATCCATGGTCATTGACGATGATGGCGCAGGAGACAGCTCCGTCCGTCTTGCCGCTAGCATCAGGGGTCACGCCGAACAGCCATGAAGGCTGGTCCTCCACGTTGTCCGTGGAGGTCAAATAGACATTGCTGCCGCCGAGACTGTTGAGTGAATTCAGATTGTCAAGTGTGAGCGGGTTCGGTGCGCCGTCGACGACCGTATAGTTCACTTCAGGCCTGTGCGGACTGTGAGCCTCTGCTAGTGCTGCGACTAGAAGCAGTCTTACTGAGTGTGCGTAAGTTGCGCTCCTATATCAGAGGGTCGGTACGGGTCTGTGGAGTATAGATGGACCATCGGGGCATATTGCGTGACATAGCTCGGTACGCCGGAGGGAGCCTGACGTCTCGAGATTGGCGTGGCAGCAGCCAGTGCTGCCGTGAAGAGCGTAGACACGAACATTGATCTTCCGTTTGCTCTAAACGCAACTGCTCTTGTTCGAGGTGTATTGAGATGATGCGAAAGTAATCGGGAAGAGTACGGCCTACATGTTACTTTCTACCTCCCCTGGTCTACACGGACGCTGCAACCTCTGCTTCGAAGAAGGTACATTGAGCGGGAGCGCTGCCTCATACCGCCATGATCAGCAACTCTGAAGCAGTGGTCGCGCAAGTGGGCAGGCACCTCATCTCCTGCAGGGCTGAATAAGCTGCCGCACGATGCTGTAGTGGCGACCATGATTGGTGATACAACGAAGCGTTTCGTGATTCCCGCTCTGTATCGTTGTCGTTCGCGGGCCGACCATGCATGACCCACTTTTGCGTCATTTCCGAGGAGCACAACCTCCATATTGGGAAGACATTCAACGGCGATGTGAACGGAACAGAACAGCTCACTGCAAGCTTAGAATCAAAAGTTTCGTCGATAGGGCAGCTCACCTTCCAGAGACAACCATCGATTCAACAGTGGTCGGTTATAGGTCGAAGTGCCTGTGCAGCTGTCTCGTGCGCTTCAGGGAAATGGAACGCTGCAAGCACCCGCGTTACATTCACCGTCGCAACGGCCATACGATTGCGAAAGGTATCTATGAGTATCTGACTACCATGTCACTCCGCCCGAGGCTTGACGTTGCTCATCCCGCCGATGTGCCCTCCGCGAATGCTTCATACCATATCTTAGCATGGCCGCCTCCCACACCAGCCGAGCACCGACGCGGTATGATGGATACAGCGCAGCCGACATTGGCGGACTCACGAGTTCCATGATACCAGTCATTTGTTCGTGAAGTACCAATCTCCAGCGTTTGTGCTCTTGACGTTCGCTCTTTAGTCACCGGTAACACGGCTTCCCGTTTGCCAGTAACCGATGCCGCGTTCACATGTAAGTCGTGGAACTTGGTCTTCATCATACCAACTCTGCCGGAGTGGTGCTTCTAAGACTGACCGAACTCCCCTCTTTGTCCAACTTCCTGACTCCTGCCTACTGTTCGTCTGCAGCCGAGATAGACGTTGCGCAGCATGAAGGCCCCTCTACTGATCCTGGCAGGCAGTACTACCTTCACCACGGCCAACATCGTCTTTAACTTCGTCCAGTCAAACTGTGACCACACGCAAGTCGACTTCACCGGCTGTCTCCGTGGTCAAACATGCCTTGAGAACAACACTTGCGTGCCTTCCGAATCCGTAATTCCAACCATCCGCTACCGCGATACCACCCCGCCACGCTCAGACGGCCGCTGCGGCTCAGCCTTTGACGGAGCGACTTGCGACCCCAATGCGGCTTATGGCGGGTGCTGCTCGGAGGCTGGATGGTGCGGCACCACTTCCGAGCACTGCTTACTGAGCAATGGCTGCCAAAGTGGATGCACAGATGCCGCATCAACGTTGCCAACAAGCACTGGCACTCCGCCGACATCTGCTGCTCAGCCAAATTCTGTGAACGTCGGTACGCTCAACAGTGAGCCAGTCATTGCTCCCACGAAGACTGCTGGCGCTCAACCGAGTGGTGCTGCAACGACGGACGGTACGTGCGGAGCCACCAATTCGAACACGATCTGCGGCAACTGGCCGTTCGGAGGGTGCTGCTCAATGTACGGCTATTGTGGGAATACTGCAGCACACTGTGGCGCTGGATGCCAGAGCGGACCTTGTCTCCAGGCTCCAGTAGCCCCCGTGCCTAATGCATCTCCGGCACCGATGAATGCGAACCCAGGCTCGTTCAACATCGTCGGTCAGTCCGGTGTACCTGCAATGCACGCTGCGGTGCTCCCGAACGGGCGTGTAGTCTTTCTAGACAAGATCGAGGATTACACGCAGGTGAAGCTTCCCAACAGCCAGTACGCCTACTCGAGCGAGTATGATCCGGTCACCAATACATACGTCCCTCTGGCGTATGAGAGCAATGCCTTCTGCTCGGGCGGCTCGTTCCTGGCTAACGGCACCCTTCTCAACATCGGCGGCAACGCGAACCTCAGCTGGCTCGACCCAACAGTCGGCGATGGCTGGCAAGCAATCCGTTACCTGTCTCGCTCATTGACAGATGCCTCCCTCGACGGCCAGTCGTGGAATGAGCCGGGCAACAAGCTCAACAGTGCCAGATGGTATCCCACCGCTCAAACGCTGGCAGACGGTAGGATCTTTGTCGCATCCGGCTCGCTCAATGGCCTCGATCCTACAGTCCTGAAGAACAACAACCCGACGTACGAGATCTTGAGCGCAGGGGGCGAGTCCGAGAGCGGTTCGATTGGATGGAATTGCTAGTCAAAGCGCAGCCATACTTCATGTACCCCTTCATCCACCTTCTGCGCGACGGCACGCTCTTCGTCTTCACCTCGAAGAGCTCTGTTAGGTTCAACGCAGCGAGCAATAACCAAGTCACAAGCTATCCAGACCTGGTAAGCCTGATGCCTTTCCACCCTAACCTCACTCACACTCGCTGACACCATTACAGCCCGGCGACTACCGCACGTACCCCAACACCGGCGGCTCCGTCCTCCTCCCCCTCTCGTCCGCCAACGAGTGGACATCTGACATCATAACCTGCGGCGGCGGCGCGTACCAAGACATCACCTCACCCACGGACCCTAGCTGTGGACGCATGAGCCCCTTGGGAGCCGCTCCGGAATGGGAGATGGACAGTATGCCCTCCGGTCGTGGCATGGTCGAAGGTATATTACTGCCAGATGGCACAGTGCTTTGGCTCAACGGCGCGCAGAAAGGAGCTGAAGGCTTCAATCTTGCCACCGACCCTGCTCTTGAGATGTTGATTTATGATCCGGATCAGCCGCTGGGAAGGAGGTGGACGACAGGCGCTGGTTCTACGATTCCAAGACTGTACCATTCAGTTGCCCTGTTGTTGCTCGATGGAACGGTGTTGGTGGCGGGCAGTAATCCGGATCAGATGCCTGTTGTCGCTCCCGTGGTTGATCCGCAGGGGTTCAACACCGAGTTCAGGGTCGAAATCTATACGCCTCCGTACCTGAGTGGTGCCAACGCAGACCGGAGACCTACGGACATCACGTTGTCGACAACCAAGCTTACAGCGGATGCTTCGAAGTTCCAGATCAGCTTCACCGCTCCGGCCGGCGCACAAGCCGTGAAGGTTGCGTTATATCACGGCGGTTTCGTAACGCACGCGGTACATATGTCGCAGAGGATGCTCTTCCTCGACTCGACGGGCTGGCAGGCGAGTAGTACGAAGCAGATTCTGACCGTGACCAGCCCGCCAGATAACAACGTGGCGCCACCGGGTCCGTACGTGGTGTATGTGGTCGTGGATGGAGTGCCTGGTGTCGGACAGTTTGTCATGATGGCGTAGCGTACGTTGATCGCATTTGTTGGCGGTCAGCAAAGTGCGGGAAGGGCGTGCATAACAAGCGAGCGTACAGAATGCGAAGCGTGCAGAAGGTGTTTATTCCTCGCTTGACATGCACCCGGATAGCAGCGGCGCACGGGTTCTTCATATATCGACTAGCTGATCCCGCCCAAGCATCGTAGCCATGGGATCATTCTTCGCCACCCTCTCCCTCCTCCACCGCTCCATTTCTTCTTCACTCACGCCCGCTTTCATCTCCTCGATCCTTCTCCGACTCTCATCCAGACTCTGCTTCTCTGGTCGATCAGGCGCATTCGGTACATGACTCGTCCTTACTTCGTCCCCACCATCCGCATCATCTGGCCCGCCATCCTCTAGCCTCCGCTCCTCCTTCGGCACAATCTCAGCATTCCCCGCATCCCCCGCCGTAGGCAGAGCAAGGCCGTTTGAAAACGCCTCGGCCTCCTCAGCAGCCCTCCTTCCTTCCTCACCCGTGCAGAAGCTGTTCTTGACGGTACTGTTACAGCACGCGTAACCCCACTTGAAGTCCTTCCACCAACTGCCCCAAACGGACGTGTGGTTGTTGATGAGCACGTCCTCGGCGTACATACTTTTCACCTTCTCCTCGAGTGCGCCCTTGATCCTGCCTTGCTCGTCGTACTCGACATAGCGCTCATTGCTCGGCGCCACAGCCACGGGCTTCTTCGCAACGGTATCTTGACTGCCGTACTTGTCCAGCAGCACCTTCTTCCTCTCCTCCTGCTTCCGTAAGTCTTCCTCCGCCTTTCGTTTCCGCGTAAGTTGTGCTTCGGTCGGATTGGCTTGTAAATGGATCTTCTCCGCGTCGCCTCGTTCCTGCGTCTCCCACGCATAGCGCGTGGCACGCTCAAACTCCGCCGCATCGCCCGAAGCGCGCTGGAAGCCGTCCTCGGCAATCAGCTCATTGTTGCTTGTACCAGGATCGACCATCGACCGCGTCTTGGGGTCATACTTCGCACTCTCCAGATCGAGATTCAGCAGATACTTTGCTGTGTCCTCCCTCAACCGCAAATTCCTCGTGCTGGTACTCTGCTGCCGTCCCATATCCGTCTCTTCTTCGTACTTGGCTCCTTCACCCTCCTCCCCGTCCGCACCATCCGCCCCCTTCTCCCCCTCCGCCTTCCTCTTCAGCTCCTCAAGCGCCTCAAACTCCTCCACCACCTCTCCATACTCCGCCGCCTCGAACCCATTCCACCGATCCCTCTTCGCATCCCATCCCAACCGCACCTCCTCCACCTTCTCATCGCCCGCGATATCCTTCCCCGTCCATTTCGCACCCTTCTTCCGTTTCCGCTGCAAACAGTCCTTCTCTTTATGGCTCATGCTCCCGCAGTTCTCGCAAGCGCCCTTACGGTACTTGGTCGCTCGTGGGGCGGAAGTCAGTGACCCACGATCGTACCATTTCGAGTCTGCTAGAGTCGGACGGGCGGCTTGCAGACGCTGATGCTCGAGATAGTCGGATTCGGAGGCGGTGGCGTCGTCGATGTAGAAGGGCTTTTTGGCGATGAAGGAAGGGATATATTCATTGCGCTCGTTCTTGGTGGGGTCGGTGGTGCCGGGTTTGGATTTGTTGGGGGCATTGTTACGGCTGCCGCCGGCGCGAGACATGGTGGTGGAGGACGCGGAGGGCAAGTCGAGGGCGCGGGAATGCAGGAGATCGTAGAAGAGGCGAGATATGAATGTGGGAAGCTTTCGATTGTCGAGTCGAGAATGGAAGGCACAGCGGACGAGTCATTAGCGCTTCCGACGTTCCGCCGAGAGATGCCGAAGTTGCCTAACGGTCCCCAAGAAGTTGATAGATCCATAACGTTCGCTCCTCCACTTCGAGGTTACATCGTGCCTCACATAGAGGACATGGTTCATCAAACTCCACTCTGAACAAGTCTGCTATACATCAGCCTCGCCTTAGGACGGAGTTTGTTCGGGATTGCTTGGAATAAGCAATAGACGTATCAAAGCGGCACACTCGGGTCTCTATGTTCATGTAGAGGGACGCATTGCTGCGTCCATATCGTGGCCTCAAGCTTCCTGCGTTCGGTGGAAGGAACGTGGCTGCAGGGACTGGTTGAGCCTTCGATTGATCGGGAGGATCCTGCCCGGGTACAATCCGTAGTGAATCTACTTTCACGGAAACTTCTATACAGTGCATTCCCCCCGTCTCCGTCCGCTCATCTCACTCACGCCGTGGCGTAAGAGGATCTAATAGCCCTCCTTGCCCCACTTGTTGTACTTCTCGTGAAGTTCCTGTCACGACACGTCAGCATGCGAACCCTCTCCACCCAACAGATCAGTGCATTGAGATCCCACTTACCCTCGGCAAGTTCACGTTGGGAATGATAACCTCGTTCAACGCACTCGGCGCGTCCTTCTTCCCTCTGCTCATGTCGCCATGCGGGTGGTACTGGTACTTGGCACTACCGCCCGTCTTCCAGGGCTCCGAGTCGGGTGCTTGGGCGACGCGGTTCTCCGAGGAGGAGGTCGTGGGGTTGCGGGAAAAGTGCCAGCCGACAAGGGTGAAAGCGCCGGTCATGATTGCCAACAGAATCTACCGCATCAAACATTAGTACAGAGGAGGGGCTATCGCGAGGAGGGGATGATGTACGTATAGTTCGGGGTCCCGCTTCGCACCCTCAGCCAAGTTGACTTTCTTCATGCCCGCATTGTCTCCCGTCAAGTCGCCGGCCTCGCCGGGCTTGTTCTCGGCGTAGGTGCGGCGGAGGGTGCGGATGGGCGTGCGCCTGGCCGTGAAGGCAGCTCGTCTTGCCAACGCCGACATGGTGTGATTGTGTTGGAGGGGAGTGAAAAGGGTGCAAGATTGGAAGGTGATAGTGGTGTATAGTGACGTCCCAAAGCTGCGGGAGTAGCTCGCTCAGGAACCGGCAACATCCGCCAGTCTTGGCATGCACAGAGTGGTGTAGCGTGGCGGGCGGAGATGACGGCGTCGATTACGGTTCGGGATGGATGCACGACTCCTGATACGCGCGCATATACACCACGCCCACACACCACACCCACACCCACATCCGCCCCGCGTGCGAACGATCGTAGCGGTATTCCATACAACAGCCATATACAGAATAGCGACCCGTACCGGCTGAAACAACAAGACGCACCACCAGACTATGCATCGCGCCAACACCTCCACCGTGCTGACCAACGCTCCGTCCCATACCGCGCCCACCACCTCCTCCCGCCACGACCGATGACCACCACCACCACCACATCACCAATGGCAGCGCCCAGCAATGTCAACCGCAGCACAACCGCATTCCCCACCTTTCTCGACATCGATCCCTTTCCCACTTCGAACGCGGATGCAAGACCTACTTCCTCCACCTCTTCCGCGGGCAGCTCCACCCTCGGCCAGGAGGAGTTCACGCCGGCGCGGGAGCGACAGAGTAACATCCCTTCCACCGTGCTGACGGTGACCGGACCGGTGGGTGAGCCAGGCCTCCCGCCTTCGCGACCTACGAGTATGGATGCCAGCGTGGATTCGCGCGGCGCACTGAGAGCCGCCACTCCACCCTTCGGCACACGACGAGGCCTGGCTGCTTTCAAAAGCGGAAGTAGTCTGCGCCAGAGTGTCGATGCAGGCTCGGACGGCGGCGCAGCATCAAGGCCCGGGTCAGCAATGAGCCAGAACAGAACGCACGTCCCCAGTCTTGTGGCGCAGGGCTTCCACAACCCCATGAGCGGGCAGAAGTTGCAGGCGCAGCGAAATAGTGTAAGACCCGGTAGTTCACTGGCAATGGCGCAGAATGCGATCAACAGTCAGAGGGAGAGCCAGGAGAGTCTGCACAGGCATCGGTATAGCGATGCTTCTGTCAATACGCTCAGGGACGGCCCGGTGGCGGTGAAGGCGGAGGACGTACCGCCCTTGCCTACGAGTCGAGGGACGGCTACCCCAGCGGACGAGGCGCTGAGGGGTGGGCACACTGCTGCAAGCGTGGCGAGTTACAATAGCCAGGCGCCTTTGCAAGATCGACAAGCACCGACAAACAGCTTAAGAATTCAGACCAACGGTGGCCTTCGCAAGAGCACCTCGTCTCTACATACGCCGAAAAGTCCGAAGTCGTTAAAGGCCTCCTTGGGCCTAGGATCGCGGAAAACAAGCAGCCATGACAGAAGGCCCTCACCGCACCAACACGAGAAGTTGCATTCGAATCCGTCTTCGCCTAGTGCGGCGGAGAAACCGTCCATACCCGCTACGAGCCGCACCAAACGGAAGGGGAAGACCAAGAATTACGAGTATTTCGCAGGCAACATGCTGTTCTGCTGCTCCGGCCGCCTACTGAACAACCGCAACACCCGCGCCAAACCACCTCTTCACATCATGACTCTTATTATCACCATCCTCCCTTGCGCCTTGTTCTTCGGCTTCTCGGCGCCCTGGCTTTGGCATCACGTTTCACCTGCCTTACCCTTAGTCTTTGCTTATGTGTTCTTCTTGACGATATCTTCTTTCTTACATGCTGCGTTAAGTGATCCCGGGATACTGCCGCGGAATCTACATCCGCATCCTCGGAATCCGGAGGAGGAGCGGGATCCGCTCACGGTTGGGCCGGCCACGACGGAGTGGGTGATGGTGAAAACCTTCTCATCCGCTTCCTCCAAACGTCGTCAGACTCCTGGTGGGGAAGGTGGTGGGGAGGCGGAGCTGGGTAGCGGGTCGACAGCAATGGAGGTCCCTACCAAGTACTGCAAGTCCTGTTCCATCTGGCGACCACCCCGTGCGCATCACTGCAGAGTCTGCGACGCGTGTGTCGAGACGCAGGATCACCACTGTGTCTGGCTTAACAACTGCGTAGGCCGACGCAACTACCGGTATTTCTTCGGCTACGTCGCTTTCGGCTCGGTCCTGGCTCTCTTACTCGTCGCTTTCAGTCTTACCCACGTAGGCATTTACGCTCGACGGCATGGGATGAGTTGGGGTGAAGTAATTAGTGTGCGGAGAGGACGACCGCAGGAGCAGGTGGCGTTTGCGATGTTCATCATTGCAGTCCTGGCGCTGCCGTATCCGGGAAGTCTCTTCTTGTACCACTTGTTTCTTACCGCCCGTGGCGAGTCGACTCGCGAGTACCTGAACAGTCATAAGTTCCAGCTTAAGGACCGATATCGCCCGTTCACCCAGGCCAGCTGGTATCGCAACTGGATCTCCGTGCTCGCACGGCCGAGACCGCCAACGTATATGCAGTTCAAGCGGGAGTATGTGGAAGGGGATGTAAGGTTCGGCAATACCATGTCCAAGCGCGAACGGATGGCGGGAATGAAGGGGCGGTATTCGCTTCCGGCAGGAGGGAAAGGCGTGGATGGGCCGCCGGGGAGAGGTGGAAGTGGCAATGGTGAGAAACAGGCGCTGGAGATGAAAGCGTTGCCGCCTAAGCCTCCTTCGCCGACTGCGGCTGGTGGGTTCGGCACGAATAGTACGCCGAGGTGAGGGAGGTAGGTGGACGGATGGATTTGTACAGCAATATGACATGTTGGGACTGGCGCGTCGGTGGCTGCTTGGTCGAGGTTTGTGAGGTTTCACAGGATATATACCATGGGAGCGCTACTTGGGGGTTTGGAAGGGAAATGGGTTGCTATGCAATGTAACGTATTATTGTGTAATGCATTTTGTGTATAGTACGGCAATCGTACCGTTGCAACAGTTCTCATGATCTCACTGTCGCCGTGACATCGTTACAAGAATGCTGACATAAGGGGAGTGATGGGCGGTGATTGGATGGTGGGTTGAATGGTGGAGCTCGTGTTATGGCTCGGCTTCTTTCAACTCGCTTCGCTTCTTACATTCACCACACACATTCACTTACGGCTTCGCTTCAGAGTGTGTTCGAAGCTTCGCCGAGGTCACCCATATCGCACTGGCTTGTGTACGAAGCGATTAAGCCTCTTCTACTGCGTTCCCATAGCCAATATCAAATACAGTCCGGCTTCTCCACCTCGCGTTCTAGGCGCGTCGTGGACGAGCTTCCTTCTGCAGCGTCCTTCCAAACACCACCTCTCGGGTCCCTATCCACGATGGAAGGCAGCAACAGCGAGGATATGACGCGTTCAAGCTCCACTGACTCGTCTGCTTTGTCCAACATCAATGTTGCCGTGGCCGACGATGTGGAGGAGGGCAACTCGGACCAGGTCTCGCCTACCAGTGCCTCGACACCGCCCACGAGCATGCCAGACACGGGCAGTGTGGATTCAGGCACTAAGCGGGTCAAGCTGGAGCCAGTCCACGAAGAGGCAAGCTCGGGACGGCCGAAGCGCGTAAGGTCGAGTATATCTACGTATAACCTCAAGGCACTCTCGGATGCTCAACATGCGGCTGCAGATAGCGGAAGTCGTAACGTCTCGGGCTTGACAGGAAAGACGCTCGTTGCGGGTGAGCCAGTTGAGCAACAACAAAAGACAAGTAAAGCACTCAACCTCGACTGGGAGTCTCCGGCCGAGTCTACGTCAGATGGCTCGCCTAGTAAGCTGCAACGAAAGCCGAGTGTTAAGGACCGGCTGAAGAAAGTGGCGGACAAGGTGGGTTCGGTGCTGGGCAAGCGAGGACGTGGCATGGTAGATGCTGGGAAGCGTACTCTCGGAATGAAGAGTCCAGAGACCGAAGTAGATGGAGAGCAGGATGCAGAGGATGACGAAGAAGAAGAGGAAGAACTGCCACGCTGGAAGAAGGAGCTCGACATGGGCCCTAGAGGACTGCTTGATGAGATCGACCTCGACGCGGAAATGGACTTACCACCTCCACCCGCGAAGAAGACTCGATTGAGTCGTAAAGTAGTCCTGAAGGAGCTCTCTCAAGCGCGAGCAGCCTCAATACCAAGCTCGAGGGCGTCAGCTTCCGGAAGGAAGACAAAGACTTGGCAGAAAGAAGGACTCTTCGTAGGGCAGAATTCGAACTCCGACCCAACCCAACCAACTGGCCACAAGAAGTTGCAGAAGAAGAGACCTGGATCGTCTTCCTCTGAGGCCTCGAGCACGGCCACGGCCACCAACAGGGCCACCTTTCTGCCGCTGCCGATGTATGGTTACTTGGAGAAGACTCGCCCATTCGCCATCCCCTTCGACGTCTTCGCGCCGTCGTGGATGAAGGGTGACGAAAAGCCCAAGGACTGGCACCAAATCAACCGGAACCGGCTTGTGGGCGAAGCCAAAGATCTGTGGGAACGCTCTGCGAAGCTGCCAGCCTCAGTTTGCGTTTGCTCTCCACCAGCAGAAGGCGAAATGGGCTGCGACGACCACTGCCTCAATCGGGTGATGCAATACGAATGCAATGACGAGAACTGCAACCTCACCGCGTTCGAATGCGGCAATCGCTCCTTCGCCGAGCTCGCCATCCGCATGAAGAAAGGCGGCGCCTACGATATCGGCGTTGAAGTCCTCAAGACACCCAATCGAGGGTTTGGCGTAAGGTCGTGTCGTACTTTCACCCCGGGTCAGATCATCATGGAGTACACGGGCGAGATTATATCTGAAGGCGAGTGCCAGCGCCGCATGCGCGAAGACTACAAAGACAAGCAATGCTACTACCTCATGGAGTTGGAACGCGGCCTCATCATCGACGGTACCAAGGGCTCCATGGCGCGCTTCATCAACCATTCCTGCGCACCCAATTGTGAGGTACGTATGCTCAAGGTCAATGGGACGCCGAGGATGGGCGTCTTTGCGGGTGAAGGTGGCGTCTCTACGGGCGAGGAACTGACGTACGATTACAACTTCGACAACTTCGGTACGACACGGCAGGCGTGCTATTGTGGGGCAGCTACTTGTCGCGGGTTCTTGAGTAAACGTTTGAACAAGGAGGAGCTGAAGAAAGCGATCAAGGAGGAGACTGAGCGGAAGCGGAAGGCTGCTGTGGAGGCGGAGACGCACGCGGAGGAGGAGCAGAGGAGGAAGAAGGTCAAGACTGAACGTGGTGGTGGTTGGAGAGGGTGGGTTGCGGTGGACGATCCGGAGGTGAAGGAGCGGTTGAAGGCGGAGAAGAAGGAAAGAGAGGAGGCTGCGAAGAGCAGTGACCGGGCGAGGCGGTTGGCCGCAAGAGGTAGCGGTGTCGCGGGGAGAACGCCATTGCTAAAAATGGTATCCATCAAGCGGAAGAAGGCGGCGGAGACGGTTGTCGACAAGGCCGAGGAAGACGAGGACGAGGTTCAGGTTGTGGAAAGCGGCCAGCAGTCTGTCTCTGTCGCCACGAGCTTGGACGTTACGGAGGAGCTCACGACGCCATGGCCTGCTACCGCGCGTAGTGTGAGTGCGTCCATGATCACACGCAAAACTGAGATTACGATTATGGAGACGGAGACGGAGGTCAAGCACTTCGCCGATACTAAAGTGGGCGATGCTGTGACTGCGGTGGTGGATGATGCGCAGTTTGAAGTTGAGAAGAAGAAGCCAAGAAACGATGTGGCTGATGCCATGAAGCAGGCTGTTAAGGGCTTGATAAATGGAAAGATGAAGCAGAGCACGCTGAGTTTCGCGAGGGTTTGTAGGGGCTAAGGATGGACTGAGAGGTGGGACCGGCGGTAGCTCGACCTAGTAGGTCGGATTGCTGGCGTTGGCGAGGCGACTCGACGCCATGTCGATGACGCGAACTTCCGCAGTTTTCGCCTTTGATGCTTGCAGCAGAGTAGCTTAGGTTGAAAGCAGCGAGCACGTTCCTCCCACTTGTACGCGAGGGCAGATAAGAAGCCTGGTTCGCGGAAACCAGCATTGCGTTCTCCATCGCGCCCGATCGTTCTGGTCAACGCACTCTCGGGGCCAGTATCACCATACAAGACCTCGGTGTTGCCGACTCCGCGCATACCCTCTTTGCCACTTGCAGGACGATCCAGCACACTCAAGCTCCCGTACCCGTCAAGTGGCAGAGTCTCTCCTTCGGCGTACAGAGTAGCTTCGTGGTATATCTTCTCTCGTGAGCGCCGCCGGTTACGAAAGTCGACAGTGCAGCGAGAGTCAAGCACCGGAGCGCCCAAGACCGGCGGACTCACATCGCTCTGATGTGGGCTGCAGCATTAGGCATCGCTGCAGCTTAAGTTGGGGTTGCTGTCTCACAAAATACGGGCAATGCTCAGCCTGCGCCAGGCCCGTCGCAGTTACCGTTGACCTCAATGCCTGTCCTCGGTCGGGCTTTGTTGAGCCCTTCAAGCAAGACGCAAGCTTTGCAGATGGCTTGGGACGAGAGGTACCCGCACCTCTCGCACTGGCCCAAGCGCTGCTTGGGTGCAGCAGCGTCACGTGTGGGTTTGCGGGTGGAGCGCTTTTCTTGCTTGGTGCGAATCGGCACGGACAAAGCTTTCGATGGCAGAGCAGCAGCCGGATGGGATGTATGTCTATCGTGGTCTTGATCATGGACTTCTGTGTCAGAGAAAGTCGGAGGTGCCATACCATCCGATTGCACGTTAGCATGCCGGTCATTGCGACGCTTGACGGACGGAACAATCTCAATCTCCGTCCCGTCCACCTCAGCTTGCTCGTTCTCTCGCAGCTGCTTCTCCATCCTCGCCATCTCGCCGGAAGCATCAGCACCATTACTGTTCCCACACCCGCGCTGCGCATCATCCTCATGCTGCGCTAAATCACTCGAGGACTGACCTCCACAAGCACCACCGCAGTGTCCATCATCGACTGGAACGAGCTTAGCCATATCTGCTCCGGACCGGACAATGTCAAGTATGCTCTCAGGTCGGATACGCTCGAGGTTTTTAATCAGAGTACGAGCGGAGCCACGAAATGCTTCGGGACTGTATATGCACTCTGTGCTGAAATAGTCAAGCTTCTTGTGATGAGCATACAGCACGATTTCTTTCTCGTAAGCATACATGAGCGGCTTGCTACGCTTCACGTTCGTAAACGAAGCTCCATTCAGGCGTTGTTTTGGCATAGCGGCAGAAGGTGTGCTGGTCTCGATACTAGTTGCCCTGCTCAGCCGCGGCAGATCACCACGTAGCAAGTTCATGAGGACAGTTTCCGCAACATCGTCTGCATTATGACCTGTAACGACGTGTCCGACTCCAAGCATCGCCGCACCACGATCGAGTGCTTGACGCCGGAAGACGCCACAGTAGGTGCAGTTGCCTTTCTTACCTATCTGCGAGACTACTTGGTCCATGGACCAACCGTATAGCTCTTCATAGCTGACGATCTTGAGCGGCAAGTCAAGCTCGGCACTGTTACGCTTGACCGCTTCCAAGCTGTGGTCGCGATAGCCTGTGATGCCTTCGTCGATGGAAAGCAGTACAAGATCGAGATCCCAGGCAAAGCGGTCATTTAGAGTCTTCAGAACCAATGCCAACACCGTGCTGTCCTTACCACCGGACGCACCTATTGCGATCCGTTCGCCACGCTGGAAGAGGTTGGTAGAGAGGATTGTTTCTGCGGTTTCCGCCTCGAAGATGTCAATGAAGCATGGCGCGCATATACGAGCGTGGTTCTTGGGTCGCAGGATCTGTGCGCGGTTTCTATTGCATGCCTCGCACAGCGCACCAGGCATCTTTTTGGTGATCGGGGGAGTTTGTATGTAACTTTAGGTGGAAATCTCCAACTTGGTGGCGGAAGTGGCTGCGATATAGCCGGCATGATCCGCTGGCTTCCCATTATCTAACGCAGACGCACTTCAGCGCGCAACTTGGAAGTAGAAATTTTGGTTGTGCATGTGAAGAGAACAAACACAAATCTGTCTGCGCTGCACTGTTACGTTCGACGGAGAACGTCTTGGGCAATCGCATTGAGTGTATCCCGAGTCTGTGTTAGCAGAAATGGCAAAGCGTACGGCAGAAGACGATGACCAGCCTCAAGCGCTGAAGGCGGGTGAGAGACCCGTCGGCAACGGTGGCGTCGCAGAAGGTGACGAGTTCGAGGATGAATTCGAGGACGAGTATGAAAGCGAAGACGAAGTCCTGGAAGCTGGCGTCGACGGTCGGCCGGACGCTGAACGAGAAGCTGACGAGCGAGCAAGCGGTGCCATGGATGTGGACCGGGAGACGTTCATACCTGGACGCCATAAGCTGGATGCAGGCCAGACTTTGGCTCCCGATCTGTCCACGTACGAGATGTTGCATACGTTAGAGCCGACTTGGCCATGTCTGTCCTTTGACATTGTCAAGGACAACTTAGGTGATAACCGCAAATCGTATCCTGCAACAGTATATGCAGTGGCAGGAACGCAAGCAGCCCAAGGCCGAGAACGAGAGAATCAGATCCTCGTTATGAAGCTCTCCGGGCTATCCCGAAATGATCAAGCTGCGAACATTGAGTCCGACGATGAAGAGGACGACGACGAGGTCACGACCGATCCGATACTCGAAACGAAAACGATACCGTTGGGTTCCACAACGAATCGCATACGAGCACATCAATCTCCGCAAGCAAGTGCATCAGCACCCGGTACCACACTGACGGCAGCAATGCAAGAATCCGGCGAAGTTTTGATTCACGATGTTACGCCTCACCTAAGCGCCTTCGATACGCCGGGCTTTCAGCTATCGCCGAACGCATCGAAACCGTTGTGCACTATTCGCGTGCACAAGAGGACCGAAGGATACGCTCTGGACTGGTCGCCGCTCGCACCTGCCGGCAAACTTCTCACTGGCGACACAGCTGGCCAGATCTTTGCAACAACCCGCACCGAAGGTGGTGGCTTCGTCACGGATACCAGCGCATACACAAGTCACGCCGGCAGCGTCGAAGAGCTACAATGGAGTCCCACAGAGCGTAACGTCTTTGCTTCCGCTTCTTCTGATGGGACGGTCAAAGTTTGGGACGCGCGATCGAAAAGCCGCAAGCATGCCATCAGCGTCAAGGTCTCCGACAGCGACGCCAATGTACTGTCGTGGTCGCATCAGACCCCGCATCTACTCGCATCCGGGCACGAAGACGGGACTTGGTCTGTTTGGGATTTGCGGCAGTGGAAGACGCCCGACACGGCCGCCGCTTCGAAACCGGTGGCAAACTTCTCCTTCCACAAGGAGCAGATCACAAGTCTTGAGTGGCATCCAACCGATGACAGTATTGTCTCGGTTTGCGCAGGCGACAACACGCTTACGTTGTGGGATCTTGCCGTTGAGCTGGATGATGAGGAGAGCAGGTACACTGCTGATGTAAAGGATGTCCCACCGCAGCTGTTGTTCGTGCATTACATGGACCAGCTTAAAGAGTGTCACTGGCATCCACAGATTCCTGGGGCGGTAATGGCGACGGGTGGAAGTGGGTTTGGAGTATTCAAGACAATCAGCGTGTAGACCTGGCCATGTGTGAGTCCGCCCCGGGTCATGGCAGATATGGACATCCTTCGACTTGCGCAGAAAGCCAAGCACACGCAATCTTGTTGACCGAATCCGGACAGCCGGCAAGCTTAGCGGCTAGTGCTTCTAGTGCTTAATCAGAGAATAATGTAATCAAGATACAGTATTAAGCGTTTCGACGATCAAGCTTCTCTGCGCGTCTTCGCTCTTTAGGTTCCGCCGTTATCGCTTGCCTAATAACAAGAATCCTACGAAGCCAACGGTCCAATGACTACGCTAAATAAAATTCACGATATCCACCTCTAGACTCTATGAATTGTATCGTAACTATACACGCGTTCGAATGCCTTGCCCGAATGCAGCCTTCTTCGAAAGCGAAGTTGCTGAGCATTTAATAGCATCACCGTCATGAATTGTAGTCCTCCGCGTCTAAAGCATTGGTGCTCCGGGCATCCTCCATCGTCGTCCTCTCACGTTTGGAGGACTCTGATGTCGTCATCAGCGTCCATACCCCGGACTCCAGGCTAAATAGTAATTTCCAGACTGCAACCAGCACGAATTGCCTTCTCGGCTGCGACTGACGGTGAAGCCGGTGACGATTGTCAAGCAACGACCGCAGGAGAATGTTCAAGATGGCTTGTGCCTTGACCTCTTTCCAGAGCGTAGGGGCTTTGAAGCTAACGTGGATCATCGCGAGAGCGTAGTGACTTGAAGATTTCGAAGACGAAGCCAATGCTGTCGTCCGGGAATGCGTAGCACTTCGTCTCGTCCAACATACGTGAGTAGAAGATGAGCCGTGGACAATACGACTAACCTATAGTTTTACTTCAAGAGCGCGGCGCGGGGGACCGCTTTGACCTACACAAAGTACGCGGAATATCCTTCTCGCAAGACCAGAGCGTACGATGGCTGCAATTCCTACACAGCACGTGGTGCAGCCAGCAAGCGAAAGAGCGGCTGGAATAAGATAATCACAAACTGGGCAATGCCATTGACTCGATGTACAGGCGTCATGGGATCTCGTAAGAGTCCTGCATATCTTCGGTTGACGGGCCTGTGAGCCGCAAAATCCCAATGTCCTTCCCAAATCGGCTTCCAAAGTGGAGGTCTCCTTGTGCAGGCTGAACTGCAATATGTCTGACCCCAGTTGTACCTGGCAATCTACTGCATGCAAGACGGCACGAGCGGGGTTGACATGTCGTAGATCACCGACGCTGATTCTGCTTTGGCCCTTCTTAAAGCAGACTGGCTGTCTTGGAGTGAGGTAAGTCACGGAGAGTCAACATCTTGCTTCATTTAGAAACAAGAGCAGCTTTTCGCACGAGTCACCATTATGGCTCATCTACTCGTGGCCCTGGCTTTTGCTGTAGCAGTGTCCGCCCAGCAGATTGGCAGCGACACCGCGGTCAACCCGACATTGATTACCCAACAGTGCACCATGAGTGGCGGGTGCACCAACCACAACACGATGGTCGTCCTCGATGCACTCTCGCATCCCATTACTGACATCCAGACGGGAGCTTCATGCATGACCTCAAGCGGCGGTTTCGATCCCACGATTTGCCCGGATATCAACGCCTGCGGTGCAAACTGTGCCATTCAGGGCGTCGATTACTCCCAACATGGTGTCACCACCTCGGGACATTCCTTGATCCTTCGTCAATATCTTCGGACAGGTAACACGACCACAGCGGTGTCTCCTCGCGTTTATCTTCTGCAGAGCAACGGCCAAAAATACAAGCTCCTAAAGCTCCTCAACCAGGAGTTCACATTTACAGTCAACGTTTCGAACCTGCCCTGTGGGATGAACGGGGCTCTCTATCTTTCTGCTATGGATGCCACTGGTGGTCGTAGCAGTTTGAACCCAGCAGGTGCTACATATGGTACCGGCTACTGCGACGCGCAGTGCCCGAAGAGTGCTTGGATCAATGGTGAGGCGAACGAGCGCAATCAGGGCGCTTGTTGCAGCGAGATGGATATTTGGGAGGTGAGCATCGCAAGGTTCCCTCGTGCCTCTTGTTGTCCGACTGACTGGTATTGTCAGGCTAACTCTGCCGCGACCCAAATGACGCCTCACGCCTGCAACGTCACCGGTCTTTACAAATGTTCAGGCACCGACTGTGGATTCAACGGTGTTTGTGACGAGAACGGCTGCGGTTACAATGTGAGCAAAGAACTGGATACAAACCTTCCATCCGCGCGAGACAGATGCTAATGATTCTCCTCATCGATAACAGCCCTATGCTTACGGCGCCAAGAACTTCTATGGGCCTTCTCGCGCTAATACAGTGGACACAACCAAGCCGCTCACAGTTGTGACGCAGTTCTGGACGGACGACAACACCACTACGGGTACTTTGTCTGAGATCCGACGGATATACGTGCAAAACAACGTCATCATTCAGAACGCACTCGTTTATTATGGTCCTGGCGAGCAGGCCAACTCCATCACGCCGTCGTTCTGTAACGCTTCGGCTCCGGGTTTTGAAGCGCGTGGTGGACTTGCGCAAATGGGAGGAGCTCTTTATGAAGGTATGGTCTTGGTAATGAGCATTTGGAACGATCCAGGCGCATACATGAATGTAAGTCACATGGATTTACGTGTCCGTCAATCTACGACTTGAGCTAATCACTCTCACTGTTCTGCTAGTGGCTTGATAGCGGTAATGCTGGTCCTTGTAACAGCACGCAAGGCAATCCGGCTCTCATCGAGGCGCAGGATCCGGGGACGAGCGTAACCTTCTCAGCTATCAAGATTGGTGACATTGGGAGCACAGTAAAGGGTTTCGTAGTGTAGGGTGATCTGCGCTTCCATCCAGGCGCGGCGCAAGAACGGTAGCGTGTAGCTCGTAAGATAGGTAATAATCTATCCGGTGCACCGCGGGTCAGTGCCGGGTATATAGATAGCTTGCGCTCAGTGTTGTACGCTAGAGAGCATACTGCTGTGTAGCAAGAGACGTGAGAATAATCTTTAAATTCGATAACAGAGTCTAGCCTAGACTTTAATAAATACTCCCTTCGCTATTAGAGATAGAAAAGCCTTGAAACTTTGTAGCAAAGTACCAATACGAGTAGAAGATAAGTAGCCGCTGTATCTTATATACACGACGGTTTGCATGGAGCAGTACTATCGCAACTAACAAAGTTAATACTGACGCTATAATATACCTCGCGTAGGTCCAACCAGAAATTGCTGCAGATCTCCAAGAAGAAGCAAACATTAGAGATGCTGTCGTAGGAGCAGAAGCTGCTGTAAGCGCAACCGATGATAGTTCGCCAACACTGCTGGTACCCGTGGTCGTGCGGTAAGCCGAAATTGTTTGGAACAAAGTGCCAGAACTAACTAGCAAACCTGCCGACTCGGCACTCAGCACGTCCGCTTAGATCGTAAGTGGTGAACCGTCCTTTAACAACGTCCAGGACTTGGTACTGTCTTCAACCACGTAAGCGTTGTTAGGAAGCTGAGATACAACATAGTTGATCGAATCGATCTCGAGCGATGTCAGTGCAGATGCTGGTCTTACGACGACTCCCTGAGGTCCTACGGCAATCAAGGTCTCTCTGGTCCCGGCTTGGAGTAGGACGCCACCTACACCAGCGCTTACAGCCTCGCCGCCTATTGTAATTGGGCTACTGCCGGCTGTCGATGTGGCTGTAGTACCGCCATCTTGGACGACGTAGCTGTCACCAGCTAGTGATGCTAGCGTAAGGTCACTGGATCCAAATCGGACACCGCTCGCGGATGGAAATATCAGTCGTCCTGGGGTAATCGTAGCGCGATCTGCTCCTGTGCCTAACACCAAGTCTGCTAAGGACGCTGTGCTTACTATTTGCGTACCAATCGGTATAGCGGCGCCTCCAGCAGCTATAGTCCCAGTTATATATCTTGAATTAGCACGGAGGACGGTCCATCTGCGACTGCGGTGAAAGTCTGAGAGCCGACGGCGAAGATGAAATCACCGCTGATGCTGGGTAAGAGGCCAGTCGTTGTCTCAATGTCCGCGCCGGTACCTATTGCGAGATCCCTAGATGGTCCTGCACTGGCCTGCTGCGTTCCAATGGTCACCGCGGCACCGCGGCACCGCGGCACCACCAGCAGACAGTGTCTTGGTCGTCTGGCCGTTCTGTACAACTACAGAGAAAGCCCCATCTGCGGCGGCGGTGAAGGTCTGCGATCCGACAGTCAAGACAGAAATGGCGCCACCAACGACTAGCAGCCTAGTTGCTGTTGTACTGTCCGTCCCCGTAGCGACGATGAGGTTTCCAGCCGAGCCAGCGCTGACTACCTAAGTGCCTAGTGTCGCTGCACTGTCACCAACAGCAGTTGTAGCAGTCGCCCGGCCATTGGCCACGACTACTGAAGAAGGTCTAGCCGAGATCTCTGTGGAGACTTGTAGGCCGATGCTGAAGACTGACAAGCCACTAGGGGACGAGCCGCCGGATGCGCCATCTCCATCACCTGTCGCCGCCTGGAAACTGCCGTCAACAGCGGACACAATATAGCAAGCAGCATCACAGCCAGATGTCACAGCACCGGCCTGATCGCCAGATGATCCACTGCCTACCACAATAGCGCCGCCCGATGGCGCAGCACCGACAACCTGTCCACCAACCTAGATCGTCGATCTAGGAGCCAGGGTCGCGGTTGTGGCACTCGAAGCTACGACCACCAGTCCACCAGATGTAGCTGCGCTTAGGGCTTGTCCGCCCAGATTGGTCGTAGATCCTGGAGTCAAGGTCGCTGGTGCGCCGTCCGAGCTAACGATAACAGCGCCACCAGATGACACAGCACTCACTGCTTGGCCCTCCAGGTTCGTCGTTGCGCTGGCTGCTAACGTTGCTGTCGTAGTGCTCAAGCTCGCAACTACGACGCTTCCAGATGGAAGAGCACTTACTACTTGTCCGCCCACATTGTTTGCAAACGCAGCACTACCGTTGCTGTCCCATCAGGTAACCCAACCTCAACAGCGCCTCCGGACGATCCAACGCTTATCGCTTGTCCACCTAAGTTTGTCGTCAACTCCGGAGCCATGGTCGCTACGTTAAGAATCGAGTCGACCGCAACCACACCTCCAGACGACGCGGTGCTTACTGCCTGCCCGCCTATACTCGTCACGTCTCCTAGCGCCAACGTTTCTGATGGATCCGCGGAGCTAAGCACAACCGCTGCTCCAGCCGAAGCCGCACTGATTGCCTGTCCAACCACGTTTGTTGTAGATCCAGCTGCTAACGTCGCCTTCACAGTACTCGAGTTCACTTGTCCAACTACGCTCGTCGCAGCTTCCGGTATCAGCGTCGCCGTAATGTCTGCTGATTCTGTGACGAGGGAGGCAACCTGTATCTTTTTTACTACGCCGAAAGTAGGATCATTTGTGGGAGTCGGACCATCGGATGAGGTTGGGGCATTGAGAGCGGTTGGATCATTCGTAGATGTGGGGTAATTGGCCGATGTTAGGCTATTAACCACTACTGAAGACGAAGCAGGCGTCTCGTTCTCGCTCGAGAAATCGAGACATCGGAACTAGCTACTCGAGAAGTGTCCACGGCAGTCCACGAAGGGACGGTCACGTGAACTGTAGTCGTCAGTAGTGCCTAGGTGCCTTCTACGTTTATAATACTAGCGCTCGAGGCAAAGCCGATAGGACCGTTTACTATAGGGATAGTAACTTAAGACGCTATTAATCGTCGCTAATCTAAATAGTAAGGAAGCCTACTTAAAGCCTATATACTAGATTATATCTTATCTAATTAAGTATAGCTAGCTAGAGGGATTATATAAATTAGTACTAGTAGTAAGAGATAAGAAAGATAAGTAGTTATAGGGAACTAGAGAGATAGTTATTATTATATACCGTTATACTTATATAATATAGATTAAGTAATTCTTTCGTTATAAGTAGTTAGTACTCGTCGGTAGTTTAGTAGTCGATAGTAAAGTATTACTTAGCTAAAGTATAATCGATATAAGAGATCGGAATAAAGTAATAAGTTAATTCTAATTAGTCGGTTTATAATATAAGTTAGATATAAACTTCTAACTATAAAATCTATTATAGCTATATATAAAGGAGATTTATATCTACTATTCTTAGATTAGTATAATTAGTATAATTAGTATTCTTAATTAAGCTAATTAACTAATTAAAGTTCTAATTAGAGTTATAGCTTATTCCGCTACCTAATTATTCTATATTATTTATTTAGCTAAGTACTCTAAGTACTAGTAGAATATAATACTATTCCCTCTTTACTCTATATTACTTTAATATAAGAACTTTCTTTCTTATAGCTCTTTATTATATTTAGAGATTATTCTAAATTAAGTACTATCTACTATTATTATCTTATAGAGTTTATCGATAGTTATAGAAATATTATAGTAAAGCTATATACTACTTATATAAAGTATAAGCGAGTCTATTATATCTATATTCGTTCTAGAAGATATAGTAAGTATATCTAGTATAGTTAATATTATAATCTATATATAATATAGTCGAAATAGAAGTAGCTAAAAAAAGAGTAAGTCTATCTTTATAAGGATATTAAGGAGGTATATAAGGTTTAAGAGAAGGCTCGTAAAGTCCTAAATATAAGTTTTATAAAGGAGATATATTTATAGTAGTAATTAGACTTATTAGAAATATAGAAGGCGAATATAATTACTATAGAGAATACGAATATTCGAGATTAGAAAGTCTTAAAGTCGTTAGACTTTTCTTATAACTTAGTTCTTATAGAGACTAGTCTATCTTTTTAGCTTAGTCTAGAAACCTAGAATACTCTTAATAGTAGTTTTAATCTTAAGAACGACTTCTAGAAGGGTTAGGGTTAGGGTTAGGGTTAGGGTTAGGGTTAGGGTTAGGGTTAGGGTTAGGGTTAGGGTTAGGGTTAGGGTTAGGGTTAGGGTTAGGGTTAGGGTTAGGGTTAGGGTTAGGGT